TTCGAGGATCAACCGGGGGATCCGAGTCCGGATAACGAGAAGTGAGTGCTCATGTTGGCCTGGCGCGCATGAGCCGAACGTGACCACTGGCGCGAGCAGGTTTGAGCACCTCGGGGATTCGGTTCTTAGCATGGTGGTGACGGAGCTCATCATGGAGATCTACCCTTACATTCGCGTTGGGCCGTCCACCGTCAGTTCTCCCGGCCGTTGCGCCCTGTTCTTCCACTGAGCTAGTTGCAGAAAATACGGTCTCTGGTAGTGGGTAATCCTACGTTGGCTTCAATGTAAGTCGAGACCGCCGGGATTCCTGTTCTGCGAGATGTCTCATCGCGCCGCAGCTCTGTCCACTACTGCCTTCCGGAGAATCTGCGAATGCACCCTGCGCAGGCGATCACGTTGAGACACTCGCAGAATGTCCAAGGTGCGTGTTTCGTGCGTCCAGCAGCCCGAGAAGATTCACTGACGATCCGCGCACAGCTGACTTGTTCGAGGTATGAAATCGCTGTGCTTCTCGGACAGGCGCTGACAGAGGAGAACCCAGGCGTTCGTGGGAGGGCTCTATCTCGACCAAGGCCTGGAAGTCGCGAAGATGTGGCTCTGCCCGCTCTTCCGCTCGTACGTCACCGAGGCGTACAAGCTGGTGCGCGTCCAGCACTGCCTGCCGCCCGAGGCGGAGGTGGCCGCCTTCCCGACGCTCAACGCCGCGCCGCCCCTGTCCTCGCGCTACGCGGCGAACATGGGCCACCTCTCGCTGTTCAACCAGCACCTCCAGCAGCTCAGCAAGGGCATCGAGTGGGTGTGGTCCGACAGCGCGGGCCAGGGCACGCGCACGACGCCGATCTGGGTCGTCCGCGCGATGGTCGACCAGCGCTGCATCGGGAGCGGGCGCGGGAGCACGAAGAAGGCCGCGAAGAACGAGGCCGCGAAGGAGGGCCTCCGCAACATGGGCATCATCGTCTCGTGCGTGTCTTGCACTTGCTTGTGGGGTACTGAATTTTGCTAATCAAAGGCGATGGTGGCGGCTGTTCGCAGGCCTCCTGGGTCTCAGATGATAGGATCTGCATCTTCTCTCTAGACTGGGGCCGGATGCAGGGCGTCGGGTGCTTATCGACTCTGCGCCCCATCCCGCCCCAGTGTGAAGAGGCTGTGCGGTCGCTGCCCGCTAGCTGCTCTGACATAGATCTGTTTTCTTGTATTCACATCTTGCTATGAATGTGTGCTATCTTGTTAACTACACACGCTGTTCCGTCTCGTCTGTGTCCGCACCTTGTTGTGCATCCTGCTGTACAAGTTGTCATCGCTGTTACTCGCTGTGCTCCACTGAAACTGCTACGCGAATCTGCTGAATCTTGCGTTTTACTGTCCACTTCACTTGGAATATTATGTCAATGCTATGGATACACTGTGCAGCATGCCGTGGAAGAGTGGGGAATCACCAATCATACTCCAATGTCATATAGTGAGATGGTCTACGGCTGAAGACTTCAGCGGCGTGAACGATCCGACAATTTGCCAACACTGTCCACGGATGGTGCTCCCCACACTAGTGTTTTCGTAGATGGGTCCAAGAGGCGAGGGAAGTACCGTTCCGCTATTGGTGGCAATATCCCCCTCCTTGCCGCCGCCACAGACACCGCGTTCATGATCGGATTCGTGACTGGCGTCGCAGAGGTTTTCGCGGTCGCAGCATTTATGCCGCTCGTTACAGCATCCGCCAGCCTTCGTTCCGCCTCCTGCTCCTCCAGACTCTTCTCCCGCGCCCTTGCGAGTGTTCGCGCTTCCTCGTCTACGTCGTCGAACACGTCCTGCCTGACCGCGCTGATCGAGTACGCCCACACGCCGACGGCGAAGGCAAGGAGCGCAGTGCCCACGATGGCGTTGCGCAGGCGGAACGGCTCGCGGGCACGTTGGAGGCCAGGGGACATGAGCTGCACGCGCGGAGTGGGTGTGAACATCACGAGTAGGTTCGGAAGGCAGGATACACGCGCGGACGTACATTGTTGACCGGCCTGTACGACTTTGCCGCCTCCCTCCTGTCGACGTATGGGTCGGCCATTTTGTGTAGGCTAGGGATGCAGGCTGGTGCCCACGCAGAGTGAGGTGGTGGTCGGGTACGAAGTCCTCTTCGGCTTCACACGTGCAACTTAGCCGGAGACTTCGCGTCGCGCGACGCGTTCAACTTTAGTCTTTCCGTCATCGCCGCGAGCGTGCCCGAGATATGGTATTATTACTCTTCCCTGTACATCGCCTAAAACAATGCCATGCATCGTGCATCCTCATTGATTCTCTGTACTTATGCGGTTCAAGACTTCAAGTTGACTAGCGGCTCAGTGTTATGTTTTCCCGCACCATAAGTCGGTGCGGGAGGATTCGGATGTATCGTTGTACGCGGGGTAATGACGAAAGCAAGTCTGGAGGAACCAGCACTTCGCCCTCCGGTGGGCCATTCGGCTTGGGTTGTACACTGCTGACCACTCGCTCACAGCACTACTGCCAGCTCAGCCAAGAGTGTTACATTCTCTATGCAGCATCCAAAGGAACAATCTACTCCGCCGCGGGCTTGCCCTGAAAGAAATAAGATGATGAGCTCGAGGAGAAAACAAAGTATGATTGCCTGACCTTGATCAACGAAACCATACCATAGACTGCTCCGAGCATGCCGAAAGCAAAGAGACCATAGTATGCCCCTGCACGTCACTTGTCGTGAACCACCCGGCGAACGATACAGACGACTATGTACTCACGGACGTAGATTTTCGCGCCGGGGTTACTGAGGTAGATGGGGTCGCGCGACGCCTGCGTTAAGCTCAGCATTGCAGGACTCTGCATCGACGCACTATATTTACCTGGATCATCCGCTGCTTCTCCACGACGCGGTTAGGCCCTGCGCGAGTTGCATTATGAGCTGACTGAAATGATATAAAGCGAGCAGAGCGCACGGTTGATGAGAGGGTCGAGGAGCATTGTGACGACGAGCGAGGAGAGATGGAACTGGGAGCGAGGGAGGGCGACTTGGGCGACGGCGAGGATGAAGTCGGTGGCGGAGTCTCAAACCGGCGCTCGGCTCGACTCGCCTCGAAGCCACTCTCGACCGCCATGGCCTCCAACGACCGCGTCCGCCAGCGCGTACGCCCGCCGCCTCCCTGCCCTCCCTGCCTGCTGACCCCGTATCCTCTAGGGCATCACCATACACAGGCCCATCATCTATGGCAACACCGCCGTAGTCCTCACCCAGCAGGAGCGCGAGACCGTCCCCAGCCCCGACCACACCCACCGATGGACCGTCGCCGTGCGCAGCCCTGCATCAGCCGACTCCGAGACTGTAGGGGGTAAGGATGACCTCAGCTATTTCATTAAACGGGTGACCTTCAAGCTGCACGACACGTACACGGTCCCGTCGCGAAGTGAGTGGCCACATCCCTGCAGAGGCGCGCACAGCCTGACTATCTCCGTAGCCTTTGACAAGCCACCGTTCGAAGTTACAGAAACAGGGTACGCATGGATGACCCTGTTCTTGCTTGCTCTACTAACGAGTTACACACAGATGGGGAGAGTTCGAGATCCAAATTCGTATCAACTTCGTCCCTGAATCCGGTGAAAAGGCCGTTGTGGTCTACCACCACCTCAAACTACATCCCTGGACTGCCGCCGGCTCCAATGACCCAGAGATCCCACCGCTCGAGGTGGCCATGAAGATGGGACCTGTGCATTCCTGGCAGTACGATGAGATCGTCTTCCACGACCCATTCCAGTCCTTCCTCAACATCCTCACCGCACACCCGCCCACAGCGCTCCCGAGGCACAAATCGCGCCCTGTGCCCTTCCACACTGCGAATCCGGCCTCATTGGAGGCATCAAGGGGCGGCGTGCCGGAGTTTACTCAACAGATGGAGCGTGAGGAGGCCGAACGGCTGGAGGCTGCGCGGAAAGCGGTCGTGGCTGAAACCGACAATTGGAGAGGGCGACTCATTGGCAAGGAAAAAGAGCTCGAAAAGCTCAAACGTCTCCTCGAAGCTAGGGGTGGTTCGACCGATTGATATGTGATGCATAACGGTGTATACTATGTACTAATAGTGTAGCAATACAGATGATGGGATAGCGACGTGCCTAGGATACAAAGGATACAATGATGACCGTCCGTCAAAATACAACAAGGAAAACATGATGAAGTGGATACAAGCTCAGTGCCATGGTCCCCAGCCCGGATACATCCTTGCCTGTTGATGCAGATCAGCGACGCCTGATACTACGAGACAGACTCCTCTTACCAAGTTCGCGTTGTCGCTCGCTTCGCGGATCAGCATCTCAACGAGGTTGCTCGTCGACGTCTCCTTCTCGGGACGTTCTCGACTGTTGGTGTAGATACCATTCAGCTTCTTCGCGATGGGATTGAGCGCATCCAGCGCGAGCTTGCGGAGGTCGATGTTCGCGCGGGTGGCATTGACGTCCCTGCCGCCACCAGCCTTATTGCGCCTCGACGTCTCGCGTTCCTTGACATACAGGTCAATACTGGATACTCATCAATATGGATGAGGGTATGACGTACCTTCTTGCGCTTCTCGTCCTCCCACTCGACGAGCGGATCGTGGATGAAAGCATCCAGGACGCTCATGAGCGTATCCTTGTTGTCTCTGAGGAGCTGCATAGTGACCTCGCACGCGATTCGGAAGACGCCTCCAGGGAAGTGAGTATGCGCACATTTACGCGTCAAATGTCCACTTACCCTCCACTCCGGTGATACCAAAGCCGTCGACGATGTTCTGCGTCAGCCGAAAGGGAACACGTTCCGGGGTCTCCAATTGTTTGCCCTAGGCCATCCAGTGAGTTAGTCGAGCAGAAGTTTGTCAAGGAGCGGGGCGGACCTTCTCGAAGAGACAGTTGAAGTCTACGTGTACCACAGAACCGGTGGTCGTGTCAAGGAGGATGTTCTCAGAATGCCGATCGCCGAGTCTACGCCTCCGTTAGCATAGCCATCCCAGCCAAGCGGATGACTTGCCCACCCTATGATGAATCCCACCATGGACATGACCGCTGCTGTCCTGCTATACGCAAGCCTGGCAGACAGCCACGCCGTGGGCTCGGGGAATTGCTCGAGGAACCAATTGTGGAACATCGGGGGAAACCTGCCGACCGTCAGTAAGCTCGCCTAATGAGTTCGAGCACACTTACTTGGTCAAGATATGCTCCTCGAATTTTGCGGCAGCCTCCTTGTCGGTGCTCGTATTCTTGATATGCGCGAAGACGGCGCCCATTTCGGATGTCTGGAGCAAAGACAGGTCAGAGAAACGCGTTTCGGCACGGGATGAACGTCATACCCAGCCTTTGACGCCTAGCCTGTCGTAGTATCCATTGAGGATAGGCCGTATCGGGGCTGTGTTCGGGACCCATTGGATGAACCCGCACTCCTCGTTAAGGGTGACGACACCGTAGGTCCGAACGTCTGTAGATAGCCGCTGCGGTCAAAAAAGGACTCAGCTAATTTATAAGAAGCCTGGACGCACAAAGCTGTCTGCGGCGTGACTCTGAGTTGGCCTTCAGGAGCTTGTTGATGATCATGTTGAAGTCCATGAGGCGCGCATCCTTCCGCAGGTCATCCTTCGGCTTGCCAAGGAACATGTAGATCTGTCCGTCGCTTCCCTTGAGAGCAATCTTCTTCGGCCTTGCGAGAGACTTCATGACCTCCACCTCGTCCAGGAACGCTGTCAACAGCACACATTAAACTTGACTCATAGCATGCGGGGACCATACGTACAATCGAAGGTAGGTGCGTTAGGCGGGAAAGGTTGATGAGCCGAGTCAGCCACAGAGGCGGGAGGGACGCTGGCCGTCAAGGAGTCTTGCAGCGGAATGATCAATTGTGACGGTGCGAGCCTATATAGGCCAGGGAATTCCTTCTGCATATTGAGAAGTCTCTTGCCTTCAGGCACGCCACGGATGCATAACTCGAGTAGCTGCTCGACCATCTGTTGACTCTGGTCAATGAGGGTTGTGAGGTCGCCCTTGCGATCTGTGGACTGTACATATATTACCATCAGTCGTTCTATCATGTCATACTACCTGAAACACTCGCCTGCAGTCGATTCAGTATCTCCCTCCCTCGCCTTGATCTCTGCGTCTTTGTAGACTTCACAGCGGAGACGAAGAGCCACAGTGACTGCTTCGGATATTCGTGAATGACCCGCGCCATAAGCTGAGACAACAGTGTGTAGACGACGTCGTTGTTGTGGCCTACACGGGAGACGATCTGTGGAAATGCTGTGTACCACTGTGAAGAGCGTTAGTGACCGTTCTCCTGAACAGGAAGCCCATGCATACCTTGCAGACAGGGATTGACTTGATCGCTTTCTCTATCTCCGCATTCATGTACTCGTAGTTCCTGTGCTTGGACATTTCAGAGTGTTCCCCCATGTCAAGCCACAGAGTGAGGAGCCGTGGCACAGTTTGGTAAATGAACTTCGAGCCGAATCTGATGGCTCTAATATAAGCTCGAACCGTATGAAGGCTCATCTTCATTCCCCTAAAGCCCGATTAGACAGTACCATCGGTATGCGAATACGGCATACCTGTCTATCCTATCTCGCTCCGTTCGCAAACCCTTGTATGCATCGTCGTAAAACCTTCCCGTATAGAATTGGGCGCTCTCCCATCTGTGAAGTCGTGAGTGCATCTGAGAGACTAGTGTCAGGACGACCGCACCTGTCTGCGGACTTGACTGCGCTTTGAAAGGCGTTAAGAACATTTGTCGGTTCGTAACGGTCGGCCTCGTACATCCACCTCGCCCGGAGCAATTGCGCCTGTTGTTCAGATGAGCACGTTTGACAACCGCGAAAATCTAGGGCATACTTTAGACACAACATTGGGACCGGTGTTGTCATTGGTTAGATCGATTATATCGTTGTTTGCAGCGCCCTTTTGCGCATCACTCAGCATCCCAGCGAGTCGCATATGATTCTCAAGTTCTTGGAGGGCGCGGAGATGCTCGCCATTCGCCTTGACTAGTCTCGCGCTCTCCAAGAAACAAGATGCAATGGTGTACTGCTGCGCTTGAAGCATCGCACTATACGCTGTTTGCCAATGTCCTGCCTTCCTTGCTATCTGAGCCGTTGCTAGCCATGACTCCCCTATGACGTCTCTGATTTCTCTACTGTTGGCAGACCTGTGCATGGAGTTAGCTGTCAGCAATGTGTATAGGTGATGCATGATAATGACGTACGTCAATGCAAAGGCAATCCTCCGCATGCTCAAGATTGGTTCCTGGGTACGAAACGTGGGCAACGTCGAATTGAGGCGCGAAGAGAGCTCCGACGATAGGATGCCAAGATTATCCGCCGCCCGACCTTCGCGCAAAGATGCTGATACAACTCTGTGAATAGTCTCCAACTCGTGGACCAGATGAAGGTCAAGCACAGCCTCGTATGATCTGCGATAGCTTCGAGGTCCAGCAGCCACGATGGGGGATCCTAATGATGCACGAGCTGTTGAAAGTGCTTCGGAAACAGCTGAAACGTCGCCTGCACGTAGCGCCAGTAGAACGCAAGCAATGAGCACAGAAGATGCGTCGGACCCGCAGTGCTGAATCAGGTTGTCTACTTCGTCCCAGTTCCCAACCATAAGTTCACTCTCGACATGGAAGCCGACTAGGTGCGACTGCCAGCCAGGGTTCCGGGTAAGGATACCTTTGACGTGGGTACGCAATGTGTCTAGAAGCACACGTCAGACGTATACAAATAAGAATAATAATTCCACCCAACCGTAGTGCCCTAAGTTCCTGAGGCAGCGTATCATGCCTAGATGAAACTCAAGGTTGTCCGGCGAGCTTTGCAAACGGACTTCCCAGCAGCTTTGGGCGGACGTCCAACGACCAGTACTCTCGTGTTGCCGAATCTGGTGTTCCAGCGACGGGGACAAGATGAGTGTAGAGATGCCTTCCATACCATCGGGCTCGTCGAGATGAGCATAGATCTCGTGTAGGCGCTCGTAATACTCGTGGATCTCGCTTTCCTTGGCTTTGCGTTCTCGCAAAGTCAAAATCTGCCGTTCGAAGTTCATCAGGGATCGGGCGTATGCCTTGCATTGTAACGCTGCCTTGGCCATTAGGTTTTGGTCGATATTCGACAGCAACGAGTCTACGATGACGACTGCCCTCTCAGTATCCGCGATTTGACGGGTTGACTTGGCCCCTGACTTGTCTTTGGACATTTCTCTCCACTTGGCGAGTTTGTGTGGGATTACAGAACGCCAGTAGCCAATATGATCGAGGAGGACGAAGACGGTCTGTATTCAGCCCGTCAGCCACGTAAGTCGCAAATATGAATGCGGCAAACCGACCTGTGCGCTCAAGAGCTTCTTGTCCGACGTAGAGTGGGAGTCGACGTCAACTTGATCTTCGAGGACCACAAGCAGCTCGTTGCGGATGTTGCTCACATCGTCTTCGTTGCCAGAAACGAGGACATGTAGAACTAGATGAGGGAGGAGATGTCGTGCTACCCCGACATCTCTGTTGCGTACGACAGCGGAGAAAACATTGAAGATCGTAGTCGCTCTATCACCGGAAGTCCTAGCCAACAGGTGGCTAGTCCATATTTGTAACCAGTCGCGGTACGTCTCCATGGACGGGTATACGGGGTGTTCGACTGGTCCGGGTGTTCCGGCGTCAAGCGTGAAGCGGGACGATAGGAGCGGCGAGATCGTCTCAAGCACATGCTTGGGAAGACTAGTCCACCGGAGGCGAACCTTTAGGGAAATGGAAGCGGATGATCCATGGGTAGCGATGAGGCCGGGAGAGAATTTGCAAAAACGCAGTAGTTCTTGGATTGCATACGCGAGGTGACTCTGATACTTGATATCGCTCGTCGAACGGAAGGCCCCGACGAGCACGTCTCCTATGAGATGTAGGACAAATGCGAATGACTCGGATTCGTCGACGAAGTTCTCCCACACTACCATCCTCGTGTCGCTGGTACTGATCTCGAACCTGTCCGGATCCACCGCCCCAAGGATCCCTATGCACTCGAAGGCGTGAGTACGCAGGGAGTCGGTACCTTCTCCATCGCGACAAGCAGCAGTAAACAGAGTGTCAACAATGCGGCCAACGAGAGGATCGAAGACATCTCCAGATGCCAGAGACCGCGTGAACTTCGGTTCGTCCACAATCATGAACGACCTCAGTTCTTGCAGAGCTTGCATGCACACTGTGAGGTTCTCGCTGGCAGAACGGTTCAAAATGTTCTCGAGCTTGTCCCGTGGCACCCACGTCTGGCGGTAGGTAGCTAACGTCCGCTGTGCCGCAGCCAGCTGAGAGACTGATGTGAGGTCGACCACGTCATCGAGAGAGGCACCGAGCTTCACGCCCATGTCGCAGATGAGGTAGTCGAGGCATGCTTTAGCGTCTTCCTTGCCCGTAAGAGAGAACGTCGGCCAGTATGTGACGAAGGATGCACTTGTGGGCCCAACGTACGGGCCTAGATCTTGAACGTCCAAAGTGGTCAAGAACTCCCGCCAACTCTGCAGAGTCACGTCGGTCAGTTGTGGTATTACGAGCATGGTCTGCAGCGTGGCCATAATCTACCAAAATTTGAGTTTCGCGGATTGGAGTTCATACATGAGTCTCACCTGTGGAGCAGCAGTCGCAATTGCAGAGCCCATCTCCTTGATGAAAACCCCGAGACTGCGAATAATTGTCTTCTTCGACTGCAGAGTGCGCTTGCCGTACACATCCTGTAGCTGGTCATTGAGAACAGTGATGATGCCCAACATGTGCGGCTTGAGGAAAGCACTAAGGCTTTGCGTAGGAGGTGACCTCGAGCTAGTCGTCTGGGGCCTCAATGCGCGTTCTACCTTCTTGAGCGCTTGCTTCGCCTGGATTGGATTCCCCATTAGCGCAAACCAGGTTTCCACCGCGTTGATACTCACATAATCGGCTTGATCGGGATCCTCATTCCCGAACACAGTGATCAACTCCGCCAGCAAGGGCAATTTGCAACTACCCACTAAGCTGGAGAGGTCCAAGTCAAGGGCTTGCTGGGTCCCCTCTTTGAGTAAGGTGACGATGAAGTTGAGTACCTTGTTGGATGCGCCTGGCCCCTGCAAGCGGAACGCATACGCCAAGATTTGGTGCGAGTACATTAGAAACAACTGTGAGATGCGCTCCTTGGTTTCACTAGCAACGGCTTCCAACACCTTGACATTGCATGCGCCGAATAGTTGGGGTAAGGTGTGTGGCAGTGTCGCGGAAACGAAGCTATCGGGCCTGAGAGAGAGAAATCTACAACTCTCGGCCAGCAGCATGGGTTGCGTACACAGTCTTGAGACCAAGAATGGTGCGACTTGCGTCATGTACGGAGAGACGAGGGCATACGGCGTTTTCTTGTACAGATCTGCCAGGCCTCGCAACTGCAGTGAAGGTATATTTGAGCATGACAACGTATAAGCATGTCTTGTGAGTCTCACCTGAGTATGTGCTGTGCCTTTGACAAGAGGACTACGTTGACCGAGCTGCGAGATAAGGCAGTATATCACTTGACCGAGTACTTCCGGCATTGCTATCCTACGAGGCCCGTAAACGATCTGTATGGCAAACTAGAGTCGACTGAACAGACCTGCCAAGACGCCCTAAGGTGACGATGGAAGTCTCCCTGATTATGTCATCCGTCGTCTCAAATATTCGGAACATCGTTGCGAATAGCGGCTCTGTGCGCCTCAACACTCCGCTGCCTAGGTTCTGGTGCAACCTCGCCAGCTCGACCAACGACTGGCTGGGAGAAATCACTTGAGACTTCTGCCCTTAGCAGGTAGAACTGTCTAGCTCACCCTGCTGCCAAACGGACACTACGATCCTTGTCCTTCATTCCTCGCATGATCAATTCCGTGACCCTCTCGAGTTTGCCACCAGATTCCAAGACATGGTGCCTCAATGTCAGCGTCAATGAGCTGAAGACGGCCTTGCGGACTCTGGGAGTAACTTCGTCAACCGCACCGTCTAGAAGCGGGATCGCGACGGCCAGAAACGGGCCGATGGTATCAAGCGGCGGCTTGCTGCTCGAAAGCAGGCATTCGGGGTTTTCACTGTGCACAAGTGTGCAAGGTAACCTGCCCAGCTCCCGTGCGAGCGTCTTACGGCCCTTGGCGGTAATGTTATAGAGTGATCTGTGAAGATAGACTCAAACAACGCTCTGGATGAAAGGCGCACGATTGTGACGTACCTTTGATACCTCTGTTCCACTTCCTGCAGCGCGCGAGCCATGTACCGCGCATCCGAGAACGAACCCTCGTCGTCCATCCAATCAACTACCTGCGGCGCAATGATAGCCTCCACATTCGTCCTAACAAGCATTCGCCACGCCGCGTTTGCGCTTTGCGCTTCCACTGAGGCGCTCATCGCCTTGTCCTGAACACTCTCTAGCACATTTTGACGCGCTTTGACAGTCTGCAGGAGTACCCGATAATATGCAGCCTTCTCTTGCGTGTCCAGAGCTTCCAGGATCATCCTTAGGCCACTCGCAGATTGTAAGGCTATCGCACGGTGCAGGTACGCCTTTACAAATGCCTAGAATAGAAGATTGCTACCATGAGCTCTGTCGTTGTCCAGCGCAGTGAACGTACCCTGAGACCGCCGTCTTCTTCCCCCCATTGTTCAGTCCTGGCTTGCATGAGGACGGGTTGTATGTCCGTTAGCGACGAAGGAGCGAGTGTCCGGAATACTTCCATCAAGGCATCATCGAAACACTTCCAAGCCTCAGACGGGCCAATCTGCAGTCGAAAGAGCACCACACGAGTGCAAATTGTATCCTGGGAACCGCGAGGAGCTGGACCTTCGACCGGTTTTGAGAGGACAAGAGGTGCCACGCGAGTCAGAAGTGCTACGCGGTGGGCCATTGGGATATTGCATTCAACCGACACTAGTAGATCCAGTGCATGGTTGGCCACAGAAGCTGCCTCGCGGGACAAGTCGCACAGATACCACTGGGAGCCTGTTGACACAAAGGACGAGTGGACGCACAGATCGCAGAGGAAAACTAAGAGGCGGAGCATCATCAGCGGGGTGTCGATCTCGATGTACCGCACGCTATCTGGTGTCTATATGGCAATGAGACTCGCTTGCCGGTCGACAATGCTGACGACATACCTCTGATTGAAAGCGCGGCGCGTTGAAGAATGTGATGTTGATTGGGTACTGGACGACTGCGAACGAGGTGAATATGTCTGCATATTCATCAGCTACTAACAAGACATCCCAAGTGGTATTCCACATGCCATTGCAAACAGCCAGATACTCCTCGAGGATCCTTCTCTGTAACTCGTACACAGGCGGCGATCTCCGTTCTCTCTCCTTCTCTATGTCCTTCTCCTTGTCAATACGCGGCAGATTTGTTCTCGCAAGTGATGTCAGAATTGCTTCACTAGCGAGCAGAGTTTTTGCACGCATATCCTCAGGGTTCAGGTAGTTCCCCTGACGCTCTACTGCCACCTCCGTCCAACGGTCGGACACCAGACCCATCTGCAGAAGGTGATGCAGAACTCCCAGGGCGAGGTCATCTGGTCTTGAAAATAGGCGGTCGATCCTCCGTGCACTGCGTTCCAGGACTTCAAGCGTCAACTCGATGAGCTTGAGCTTCTCGTGCATGGAGTGCCACGAGATCTCCTCCGGGAGCGGCGTGTCGCGCAGTACATGGGCCGAAATGTCTCGAGTTAGTCGACGCCATGCATCTAGGTCCTTTTCTATCTCCGGATCATTGTCGTCGATCCGTGTGATAGTTTGCTGTAAGAACTCGTATAATTGAGCAGCGCCTCCTGTTGCGTCGTCTGCCTGGCCAAACGTTGGGAGCGGTATTTGTGTGGGGCTGGGCTGGTTCATGAATGCATCGAGTGGGCTGCCTCAAGCACAGCGGAAAGCCACGAGTGGGGTTGAACTTATGCGAGGTGAGAGTGAAGGACAAGGTCGAGTTCGAACAAACGCGTTCATATTGAACGCGTCGCCACAACGCGCACACGTGATCGCAAAGCGTGGCTAACGCTGTCCCAACGCTGTCCTATTGCGAAGTCTGAAGGCCTCCGGGCTGCGTAATACTATCCTCAAGTACTTAAGTATTGCAGGATCACGAAATGAGCACAACACATGCAGAAGAGGACAATGAAAGGTAAGCACATCACTTCCGACCGGCCCGCTTTTTATCCTTTGCCTTCTCTCGCTCCATCGCCTTCTCCTCTGCCCTCTCCGACTCGAGCGACCCAAACACCCTCCGCATCCGATCATTATACGCCTTATCCTTCTCCTTCTGCTGCTTCTGCTGCTCGGCCGCCAGGAACCGCCCGTCCTTCCGCAGCTCCCTGATCGCACCCTTCCTCTCCTCCTTGTACTGCCTACGCAACTTCGCAGCCTCATTACGCTCGTGATCAGGGTCGTGATTCTTGAGGTAGTTCGAGGAAGACTGCTCGAACTTGGGTACAAACGTCGGGATAGGGATGGGTTTGTGCGACTGTAAAGTGAGCGGACGTCGTGCTTGCCGGGAGAATTTCAATAGTCTACCGAGCGTGCCTTGGAGAGACGTCAGCCGTGCCTGTGTTCGTCGTGAGCTATGGCCAGCGGGGAGTGATACAAAAAGCTTACAGAAAAGGCTGATGGAAGGCCATTCAACTTCACACCCGCCAACAGATCCGATATTGGCTCGTACAGCTCGATGAAGCCGTCCAAGCCCTTATACATGTCCGCAAACCGCCCAATGAGGTCCAGTGTCAAGCCGAAAAGATTCGCCTTGTCTTGCTCGCTATGATCACCACCGCTCAACAATTGAGACAACGATGGCGACTCAAGCGTCAAATCTTTGACTTTCTTGCCGATGATAGTGAACGAAGGACAATGTTCGGAACCGAAGTCAGGACACGGGAAGTATCCCGGCACCGTCGACTTGTCCGCGAACTTATGTGGCGCAAGATGCAGGATGGCGTTGGCTAGGAAGTTGATCGCCTCGGGCACGAACCGTTTCGAGAGTTGCTCGTACTGCAAGAACAGCGTGCACAAGAACAAGCCACTCGTCAGGTCTCGTAACAAGCGTACCCGGCCGAGGCCAAGGTATGCGCCCATCAACAACCGAGCAGCGGAGACGACATGGTGGTTCTTGTCGCTCGTCGGCCATATCTGGTTGATGACCCGTAATAGAGAAAGCTCGGGCAAGCCTGGCCACGTCTTCGCGTCAAGCTCCGTCGCGCCATGGGAGAGACCGCGCTTGAGGTTTTTGTGCATTAAGTTGAGCTTGGAGACGAAATGCGCTGCCGACTGGATGGGGTAAGACTTGGTGAGGGTGTAAAGATGTGGCACGAGTGATGATAACAAGGTGAAGCGTGGTGTCGGCGGCGAGGTGATGTATAGGATATGGTCTATGAGCACGCTTGTCAGGCCCTGGTTGACGGCAAGCGACGTCAGACATGAACTATCAATCGCTCAAGAGAGCATGACAGACCTGCAGCTTGAACTTGTTGTCTTCTGCGAGACTTGGGTGGTGCAACGTCCGTATGCGCTGGACGACGGTGGGCACGTCCTTGTCATCAATGTTCTCAACAATTTCCAGGAACTCGTCGTGACTTGATGGACACGAAAACGTGAATGGGATTTCCTTAGAAGCACCCTTCCGACTAGCAGCCTTCCTGGCGGGGGCCACTAGAGCTTCGGACTCGCCTTCTTCGGCTTCAATGTCACCAGAATCGTCTGAAGCTGCCTCCTCGTCCTCGTCCTCGTCTTCTTCGCTATCTTCCTCTTCGTCCTCGGCGCCACTGTCGCCCTTGAGCATCTCCTCGTCCGCCTCATCTTCTTGCAAAGCACTTTCGCCGAGTCCAGATCCCAGCGCTGCGAGCCCATCCTCTTCGTAGAAGTCATCTTCGAGGTCATCGCCCCCTTTCTGCCTAGCGCGCTTGCCCTTCGCAGCTCCCTTCGTACCACCCTCCTCCTCGTCGCTCTCTTCGGGATCGCCGTTCATTCTCCGGATGCGCTTGCGCTCCGCGCGCTCGAGCGCCTCCTTCTCCTCTCGCGCGAGCTCCTCCTCCGACTTCGTGCGATCCTTCGGCTTCGCGCGCGCCTCAAAGACAAGCTCGCGCACGTACTGGTCGTATTCCTGGTCCTGGTCCATCTCGCGGCCGGTGCGAGGTACGGAGACAGCAGGTTGGGTGGTGTCATCTGCTGACGGGACGGCTGCTATGGACGTGGATGCGGAAGGCTCAGGTGCGAAGAGCAGGGAACGGATGGAGTCGAGTTCTTGGTCGAGCTCGTGTCGCAGGTTCTCGTCCTCCTCTTGTTGTGCTTGTCGTTCAATCTACGCAATTTGTGAGCGTAGTATCATAGATATCAGCGAGTCTCGTACTTTGTGCATTTTGCTCTTCGCTATTACTTCCGACATCACCTCCGCCTTCGTCTTCTTCCGCGCAGGCTGATCAGAGGTCAGTGAATGCGGGTCAGTCGTTGCATGCAGGCACGAACCTCGTCCTCATTATCTTCCTCATTATCTCCATCATCTCCAAACCCTCCGAAATGAGCCTTGTGCACCGTCGACCTGTCAATCTGACCCCCGTCTTCTTCTTCGTCGTCATCCAGCCCGAGCCCGACATTGTCAAAATCGTCGAGCTTTGAGAGGCTCTGGCCATAGTGCGTGAGCTCGCCCTCGTCTTCGAGATTAAATGCAGCGCCCTTCGAGGTGCGTTGGTGTTCGCGCGTGAACCGCTCCAGCATGCGTTCCTCCGGTGTCATGGTCGGGTCGTTCTCACCGAATCGGCGATCGACGATGCCTCCTGCACGATTTTTCTCCTGGAGTTCTTTCAACAGTGTCTTCTTCCTCTGTTATTGTTGTCAGCACGAGTACACAGCTTTCATCCATCATGAATGCGGACCTGCTCCATGCCTGCCTGCTTGCTCTGCGCGGGCCGGCCTACAGTGCCAATGATCTTGCGCCCGCCAACGTCATGCTTCAGCTTCGTGACCTTCACGTCAAAGGGGTTCATCTTCTGGTGGATCTCGTTGAGCTTTGTGGCCTTCTTCTCCTTGTCCTTCTCGTCCATAACCGTGCGCTTCCTCTTCTTGCCATTTTGTTGTGGGCGGGACAAGCCTGCCTGGTTGAGGGCTGCCTTCAGCTGAGAAAGCTGCGAGCCCTTTGCCATCTTGATGTTGTACGCGGGCGAAGGGGTCCCCGACGAGGGTTCAAGCACTTAGCAAGTGCTGTGAGTAAGTTAGTAGGCGCTATGAGTGAATGCCCGAAAATGAGGGCTCAATCACGTGTGGCGACTGCTCAATCCTCAATCTGAGATTGGCGCCCGTGATATCATTGACTTCCAAGCCGATCGCGAACCTCCACAGGACCACGACTCTTTAAGTAGTCCACTATGCTAGCTGTCTACTACTTATCTACTGTACACACTCAGATCCGGCTGCTTGAAGTGTGACATCTATGGCTAAAGTTAGCTTATTATCAACATACGCACCAGCATCACAAATGCGACCTCATAGGAGTCCTTATGGATAACCCGGCTAGCTCGACATCCAAGTCTAAGGTGATACGTTTGTGGACGATGCATCTAATTGTACAATTGACTTTGACTACATGACATACCCGACTCGCTCACGCAATTCGATACACTATCTTCTCTCCACTGTGCTTCCCTTCCCTCATGTGCTGCAGACCGTCCGAGATGGCATTCAAGCCACCCTCCCACACTTTGATCGGGTTAGGCTTGACCGTACCGGAAGCCACGAGTCCAGGTGTCTTCGATAGGAACTGAGCCATATGCGCGTGGTCCTCAGGGGACGCTTTGAATATTATGCCGTTCCAGTTGACCTCGCGGCCGAGGGACGTGTAAATCAGTGTGACTGGAGGGCGGCAGTGAGATTCGGCGTGAATGTGGGTTCAGCGTAAGGGTACGTACTTTGCTTCTCCACGTCGTCACGCAATTGCTTGGCCTTCTCTTGCAAGGGCTGGATAGTAATCAGCTTTCCTGGGCCAGGACCGTAGGAGTTCAGCGCGAGGGTCTGCGTGGACTCTTGGGAGATCGTGTCCAGCGCATGGTGCAGTGAGTTTTTGGTTGTCTCCTTGATCTTCGAGACGACATCTGGATCCCTATACTGCAGTGTTCATGGATGTGAGCGACGCGCCAGACAGAAGCAGGGCACACTGCACGTACGTCGAAGACGTAGTCCGCACCAAGAGACTTGCAAAGCGCGTGGTTTTTGGCGGAAGCGACGGTGACAACCTTGTATCCAGCGGCATGAGCGAGTTGCAACGCGTACATGCCAACGGAACCTTGGTATGATACGATTAGCAAAGATACTAGAGGTATGTTGTGCATGATGGACTTTACTCACTGCTTCCACCATAGATGAAGACGAATTGCTCCTTCTCCACCTTGTTGGGGGGTTCAACGAGGCCAAGGCGCGTCGGATGGAAGAGGCTCTGTACGGCGGTCCAGTACCTGTAACGTCCCATGTGAGCGAGAGCCTCCAACCAGCTTGAGCGCATATCATACGTACGCGCAGCCCATAGTCGCGGCTTGTTCGTGCGAGAGCGTGCCTTCCGGGACCTTCCAGCACAGATCGTACGTTGCCTTCACGTATTCGGCATATGCTCCGCGATCCTTGTACGTCCCGCCATGCGTGAAGCCGGCGACGTGGTCGCCGACCTTGAGGCCTGTCGCGTTGAGCTCCGTGACTTTCTTCCCGAGTTTGACGATGTAGCCAGACCAGTCGCAGCCACTGATGGTCCCTACGTTCGTCACAGTGTCGATGTCTGATATTCTCGGCTTTAGCCATACGTCCTGGTGGGAACGGAAGTGGGTGAACCTACATTGCCAGTCGGTCGGGTTCTGAGCGACCACGACGACCTTGGCGAGGACTTCCCAATCATCAATCTCTGGTACGGGGATTTCTTCGACCTTGACTGTCTTGTTGGCTTGTGTGATCAACGCTTTCATCGTCTTCGGAATGGCGGACGTCATGTTGTAAGTTTCTGGAAGCGGGGTCAGCGCAGAGCCATCCTGCCACCTCTCAAACCACACTCACATGTGGTTGGAAGACGGGGAGAGACGGGGGAAACTGAGAGGGGTGGGTTTTGTGCTCGACATTTGTAGCTTTATAAGACATCGGAGCCGACTCCGCTAAGGCTCTTCAGAGTGCGGTGAAGAGAGCTTGAAGATGAGGCCTATGATGTCAGCGCTTGTGTTCTGCCACAACACTGAGCGCCCGTCGTCCCCTGCTCCTCAATGCTCCTCAACTTGAACCTACTAGCGGAGGCTTTGTAATGTTGGGCTCGCACCATTGGACGAGACCACTCCCCGAAAGGACTTGACTCCATGAGGCGAACGACAGTCTCGGTCTTCGTCCGGTGCGGCCAATGCACCTGTCGGATTTCGAGCAAATCTCCCCGAGCGCTTGCAAGCAAAACAGATGATATAAGTAGAGTTACCCCTACAGTGTACACTTCTTTTGGCCGAGCCCAGTCCAGGTCCTATTCTATTCTAAACACGGTACACAATCTTCTCTCCGGTAATCTTGCCCTCCTTCATGTACAACAGGCCGTCCGGAATAGCCTCCAGACCGCCTTCCCAGAGTTTGATTGGGTTGGGCTTGATCGCCCCAGAGCTGGCGAGCCCCGGGACCTTGGTCAGGAACTGCGCCATGTGTGCCCGGTCATCCGGCAACGCAGGGTAGCCGTTGCCGAGCTTGAGCTCCTTCCCGAGAGCAGTGTAGATCAGCGTGTCTGTAGGGCATGGCGCGATGTGAGAGAGCAGACAGGTGGATGTGGGGAGAACGTACGTTGGATTGTGACCTTCGAGTTCAGCTTCTTCGCGTCCTCCTCCGGTTGCTGGATGACGATGAGCTTGCCCGGCCCGGGCGCGAAGGTCTTGACGGTCAGGACTTGCGAGTCGTGAACGGAGATGGTGTCGAACGCGACGTGCAGCGAGTCGCCGGTCGTCTCCTTGATCTTCGCAATCACGTCGGGGTCGTTGTACTATAAAATCATCGCCGTATGAGCATGGCTCGGAGCGGGAATGGAAGTGTGCCCACGTCGAATACCGCATCAGCGCCGAGAGACTTTAGGACTTCGTGATTCCTCGGTGATGCGACAGTGACGACCTTGTAGCCAGCAATGCGCGCTAGTTGGATGGCATAAAGTCCAACGGAGCCTACTCAGAGAAATCAGAGACATGCTCAATCGATTCACAAGCCAGATACGTACTGCTACCACCATAGATGAAGATCCATTCGTTACCAGGCGCCTTCTTAGGCGGCTCGACCAAACCAAGGCGAGTGGGGTGGAACAAAGCTTGAACCGCAGTCCAGAATCTACACTCAAAACCTGAGCTTCGGAAACCCAGTCGGTCGAGCAACTGAGCAGACTCACGCGCAACCCATGGTCGCAGCTTCCTCATGTGAGAGCGCACCGGGAGGTACCTTCCAAGCGAGGTCAGGTTCTACCTTCACGTACTCCGCGAAAGCGCCCCGGTCCGTGTAGCTTCCGCCCTGGTGGAATCCCGCGGCGTGGTCTCCGACTGCATACGTAGTGACGTTCTTGCCGACTTGGACGACGTTCCCGGCCCAGTCGCACCCGCAGATGGTACCATGGTTCTGCACGAATTCGACGACTGAAATTCTATGTCAGCACGATGGCAGTGAGAAACGTGGAAGATGGACGCACACTTCCAGTCCGTCGGGTTCTGCGCTACTGCAGCAACTTTAACGAGGATCTCGTCATCGGTGATACTTGGCACGGGGACCTCCTTCACCACGGCCTTCTTCTCGGGCTGCGTGATCAAGGCCCTCATCGTCTTCGGGACGGTAGCAGACATGTTTCAGTTTGCGAGTCGTAGGAGACCAACGAATCTGAGCAGTGGTCGGGGAGGATATTGAGCGAGGTTTGCTCGACTCCCTGTACTTATATACGTTGCGATTCTATCCCCGGGTGATCCATGCTAGTATGGTCACAACCGCACCGGCCAATAGCCTGTAGCGGGTTCTCGCAAATACCTGAGGCATTGCTAATATCTCCAACGGGCAAGTGTCGGGGAGACAGCGAACTTTATAAGCATCCACAATCGTGCCCGATCCGATCAGCAGGCCAAGCAAGCGGAATCCTGAGAGTTATGACGTACCCAGTCCTCAAGGCCTCACAGTGCAGCCATCATAGCTTCACGCGTGCAGACGTGCGAAGTGCTGACAACGCTGGACTTGGTAGGCACAGTCTGGAAAAAGAATACGCGGTCATTTTTTCTACCAATGTCATAGAATGACTCATCCGGAGGAGCAACAACATGCTGGAGGGGATTATGCCGCAGTGGACGCTTCAGTCGCTGAGTGCGATCGCGAACGGAGGTGAGTGCAGTATAGCCTCCATCCGGGGTAAACTCCAAACTAGGCAAGTCAGCATGGGCCGCGCCGAGAACTCGGTCAAACACAATCCAGTATTCCTCGACGGTTGCGGCTCGATTCGACCGCAATGACTCTGTCTTGTTCTTGCCCGCGACAATGGGCTGTTGCTGACCCGCTCAAGGTATCCACTTGCTGCGCAGCTTGCCTCCCGCGCGCCGGAAGGAGACAAGGCGGCGCCATGCGAGGGCAACGGACGCCTTTTTGTTCGCTTTTCTCACCTCGTTTATCGCTCACTCTACGTTGAGCCAGCCACATAGTACTGTAGCTGGGTACGTTCAAAATTTATCTGATCTGACGCACCCTGATCACGAACAACCAGCATTAGCATGCAAACGCGCCGCGCTAGGAGTGAAGTCGTGGAAGAGTGGGTTCGAGACGTCAAGCGCAGCAGCCCGTCGCCCGGACGCAGCCCGCGCAAGGTTCCAGAGTGCAAGTGGTGTGGCCGGCCCCGCAAGAATCATCCGCGGTCGGGCTGCCCTCACGTCGACCCGCCTGTCTCTGGGTCGGCGTCCGCGAGCAAGCAGTCCGACGACCAGACGCATCAACTCACGGATGACATGCAGACACTCAACATCAGCAGTCCTGCAAAGTCGCGCCGAAAGCGGTTCTCGGGCACCCCTCACGAGCTAGTCACGGAGGCTAGTCAGGAGCTCGTCTTTGGTCCCGCCCCGTGTCGTTCACCAACCGGGGACGCACAGGAGCCAGCGCAGACCGGGGGCGACACACGGCCTGTCTCTCCGATACCGGAGCCATCACAATCATTGTCTCAGCGGTCTACTCTATCCCGCAGCGTCAGCCAGGACGAGCACGAGTTCATCTTCCAGAGCCTCCTGAAGAACCCCGGCGCGTTCATCGTGAAGCACGACAAGGCAGGCATGCCCGCGTTCCTCTCCTTCCTGAAGAAGAAAGGATTTACGGCAACAGTCCTGTGCTCCGTAGATGAGGATGCGGAGCTAGTGGCCATCGGGAAGGACGCGCAGCTCGTACTGCAGGTTGGGCGTATCGGGACTACGCAGACGAAGGCGGTGGACGAGGCGTGCGATAAGCAGGCGCAGAAGGGTGGCTTCCCTGCATTGGTTGCGTGCACAGGTGCGGGAGTCGCTGTTGGTGCCGTGGCGACGTGGACGGGCCTGGCATTCAGTTGAGCCAATTGAGCGGCTGGCACTGCGTGGACTGTGGGCGCAGCCTCGTCGCAGATGGGCGGACTCGGGAGTCTTACACACGGACTCATCTGTAGCAGTATACTTACGTTGATGTCGCGACATTGCTTTCCGTGCTACTCTCGCTGTCGAATGTATTGTTTCCTGATGTTGTCGTTTAAGTTTCCCTTGTCATTCGGACAGACGCTTCGGGCGGAACACTGCCTCAGTGATGCTTCCTTGATGTTACCCGGTCAGGCAAGCCCGGGCATACCCATGGATTGTGGGGTACCTACGAAGCCTCAGGAGGCTATTCTAGTGCATCGATGCTGCTGAGAACAAGCCAGGGCCATTGAAGTTTGGAGACGGTTGCCAAGTCCTAGTGTGCTAGCCCCAGCCCTGCTTCACTGTATTCTGTATCCCACCATGCAGGACTCGCAATCGCCACCCGAGCTACCAGTCTTCCCGGAGCGCGACGAGCAGGGCAGCGGCGATCTGCCCACATACGACGACCTTGCCACGCAGCAGGGCCCGAACTCAAGGTGAGTGGTGTGAACTGTGCCGCTCGTGCCGAGACTGAAGCATGTTATGTCCGTAGGTTCGGGCGATGGAGGCAATGGATAGAGAAGAGGTGTGCCGCATCCTGTCTGTCCGCGAGAGTTTGATTCACACATCCCTGCAGGGCGGCCGAGCGATACACAGATAGCACCCCGGAGGATCTGCAGCGGCGGAGGGCAAGAGGGTGGGGAGAAGGTGTGAGTCCCGTCGCCGTCTGCTACAGCCCTCTGCAGTGCATTGACTTACTCGGCAGACCAACCAGAGACAGGCAGAGCTCTCGGCCCCTGCACCCGCTCGCTACGCCGCACAATCCTCGCGACCACTTCCACCTACGCCCCAGCTGCACATCCAGACTGACGTTTCCGCCGCGGGCTCCTCCACTACCCTTCCACCAACCCAGACACCGAGCCTTCTGCCTGAACCCTCACCGCCTGCGACGCTCGTCTCGGAGGCCCTCTCGCCTTCACGACTGAAGCTATATCAATTCGGTTCTCGCTTCCTTCCCCATACCACTACCCCCATACGATGTCTCCTTCCGCTGTTGAACGACCAAATCCTGCTGATCGGCCATGACAGAGGGTTGTCTGTCCTTGACATGTTCCCGCGTGAGTGGACGGACGAAGGGTTGACGGAGAAGGGGCCAACAGACGCGGAGGTAAGGGCAGTTTGGGAGGGAGAAGCGTATGTGCACGCGTATATCTCCCGTTATTGCGAGAAACTGAGAGCTTGACCCTGTAGCGTGTACCAGATGTCTGTGCTGGAAATGGAGAGCACGGGTCAAGGGACTCCCCAGGGTGTCGTGCTTGCCCTCGTAGGGCCCGTACAGGACGACTCCTCGAAGGAACAGGAGGGGGTCAGAACGCTACGGATGTATAACCTCGCTAGCCTTGTAAGCCTCGCCAAATGGGCGATTGCCCAAAAGGTGAGTATCCCAGTCGTCTTCTATGTGCACCGTCTGATAATGCATACAGGGACAGAATACATTAAACCTGCGACAGGTGGGTTATGGTGCTGGGAAGCACGGTCTATCCAAGAGGCATAGGCAGCAAAGCAGCCTGACAAAGGGCCTCCGGAATCTCGTCATTGAGTCGCCCATCGCGCAGCCACAAACCCCACCAGACTCTAATGCTGAGCCGCAAGCGTCGTACTCGGATCTCGCGGATGCACCGATGTACTCGAAACGCCTACCGCCCCGTCCCTCAGAACAACGAGCGGAGTCGGACGACTCACAGGCCTCTTGGGATACCTTGGACGATATGCATGATCTGCCGTTGCTTTGGGCTGCTCATTATACCCCGCTTGCATCGCCTGGCTCCCGGTTACACAATGCATCGGTGCTGTTCTACGAGTATTATCGCAATGAGAACACACGTAGCAGGGGCGGCGTGCTCCTCGCGGTTGCAACGAAATCAAACATCTTCCTCTATGAAGCACCGAAAGGCGAACGGGCGTTCCACCTCGTGAAGGTCAGTCGTCCCTGGATTGTCAACACCGAACCATATCTGACAAGGAGCCTCCCACTGTGCTAGGAGTTCTACACGCCGCTGACAGCGAGGAGTATCTCCTTCGTCCAACAGTCCGTGATCGACTCTATGTCGCGCAGTTCTTCGGACGTCTCGCCTCGCAAATCCGGAGTCTCGCGAGATCGACATTCGCGGGTCGTATCCCTAGGCCCCGACAGCTACCGATACCCCAACCAGCTCGGCCTCTTCGTCATCTTCGAGAAGAAAGCCGGGCTCATCCGAATCGCGGACTCGGCTGTCGGCGAGGTAGACTTATACGAGGAGAGCGGCGGCCTGCAACACCTGCTTAACCCAGGGACGACGTCGCCCATCTCCCGCAGGTCACGCTCCTCCTGGGACGGTCGAGGCTTCACCAAGGAACACAAGGGACTCTGGGTGGCACCGGTGAAGTTCAACCTACCTTCCATCGAAGGTGCAAGTCGACCACTGGCTCAAAGCATGTACGTGCTCACGCGCGGAAGGATCTCACACGTCGTCCCGCATCCACTGCCTCCCAGCGTGTCCGCCGTGCCTCCAAATCGCGTCCTTGTATGGTCGTCGCAACCGACCAACATCAGCTGCAGGGTATGCACGCCCGCTCGCGACGAGAACGGACCACCGCCTTTCCTGCAAGTGGTCGCATTCGGCGAAGGCGGTATTGAGGTGCAGGAAGTCATGCTCTCCACGTTGCTCCAAGCGGAACGCAAGGGCAAGAAACGGGACGATGAGCCTGTGCGTGCGTCAGTCGATATAGGCGGTGATACTGGGTACCTTGGCGTCGGGGGCCACTGGAGTCGGCCGTACTATGCCCTGACTCGCGCATCCTCCGTCGCGAGCTATGACTCCGCTGAGAGTGGCTGGTCTGACCAGACCCTCGCAGACAGGCTGCGTGCACATCAGGGCATCTACGGCTGGGTGAGGAAGGGCCTAGAGGACTGGCGGGTCTTCTGGGTGGGCGGTACCGGAGCAGAGCACGAAGATGAAGATGACGATTATGTATGAGTACATGCTGGACTCTACGGACCAGACATATCGAGTCCCATGTGTACAATCCCCTCGCATAAACTACAAATAGTCCGCTATTTAAAAGATCAATATAATAAAGGGCGTAGATCGTGCAGAGACGTGAACTGTCCGCTACGACGCCGTAGCATGAGAATCTGAACCCGGTCCACTGCGGAGAACGGTGAAGGATTTTCGTTCCGGTTCTGCTCCGCCCGCGTTACTCGAAGAACTCGAGGCCTCCTGAGGTGGCACGCCTGGCCTCTGTTTCCTGACCACAACGAAGGAATGGCCGGTCTCCTTCGGTTGTTCGGACATGGACATGAGGTCACCTTCGCTCATACGCCTGCTCTTGCGTCTATTGTACCACCGCTTCTTCGGTGCCGGTGCGTCGTCCAGCGTGTCCACTGCTTCCGCCGGAGCAGCGGCAAGGCCTTGCGTCCGGAGGGCGGCGAGGGCAGATGCATCCTCGATGATAGCGGTCTGCGACCTCGTCCGGATGTGTGCAGGAGGCGCGGCTCCCGCAGGAAGGTAGTTGACGTCTGCCTTCTTGGGACCGGGTCCACTCCCGACTGACGGCGTGGGTGGTGGTGAGTACTCTATTGTCGAGCTGTGTGCCAGGCTACTGGTCGGTTTCCGTTCGGCGCGTTCAGAGGATGGAAACGCTTGGTAAGACCCCGACCGTATCGCGTACGGCGACTCGAAGTGAGCCCGGCCCCCACCGACACGAGCAAAGCCAGACGACTTGGTCTGCTCTGGCGAGCGCGGTGCGTCATCGACAGGGCTGTAGCCAGGTCCTGGGAAGGGCTGCCAAGCACCCATGATGAACCCCGTTTCATCGTCGCTCTCCTCTTTGTATGGTTGCAAGGCGTGCTCCGGTCGAAGCACCGATGGGGGCCCGGACGGTGTGGGCGTAGCGTCTCTGTAAGGCGGACTCGGCTTCGTCAACGGAATCGTTGAGGGTTGCTTGGCAACCTGGGGCCTGCGCTGTTGAGGCCTCCGAGACCCGCAGCACCCAAGCAAGCTGAGCGTCCCGAGCAGTCCGCTGTCGACAACATGTCGGCTCCGATGGAAGCCAACGCCGCCAGCTATCCGGATGACGCCCTCGACAATCTTCACCACTAGCATCAGCAGGTGCGCTAGGTAGATCAGGGCAAGGATGCACAAGATAGCATATGCAATCCACTGTGCGGCACCTGCATCGACGGACACCTGCAACGGCGGACTTAGAGCTAATAGACCGAGATGAAACACGGAATGCTCACTATGGGCGTCAGGATGACCAGTAGCACTGCAATGACTATTCTCGCAACGCAAAACAGGAAGCTAATGAGACCCATGCTAGCGCCCTGGCCCCAAGGAAGCCAGACACTAGTGCCGAGTGCAGACGCTACCTCAACTACCAAGATGATGATGGCTTGAGCGGTACCACTCTTCTGGCCACACCCAATGGTAACCCCGAATGCAATGTTTGTGGCGAAGAGAAGACAGGCGAAGAGCTGTGAGCCGTGCCTGTAGTGGTTGTAGAGAGGTCCGAGCGATAGGAGCGTCCATGTTTCATCATAGAGTTTCGTGGTGTTGGTGAGCGTCAGGCGGACCACAAGGAAGATAGGGAGAAGCACCGAGAAGATGGCGAAGGATATGGCAGCGAGGATGATAGACCCGAGAGATGCAGTCTCCCTCCCGAGGGTCATCTGGTAGCAGGAGAAGATGGTGACGGGAAGGTGGAACCAAATGAGGATGCGGACTAAGTTGCCTTGCAGGACGTTGCTGTGGTACGTCACAAACCCGCTCCTGAGACGCCACCAGCGTCGACCTGCAGGGAAAAATGATGTTGAACGCAACAGGAAATGGCTGTTCAGGGATCGCTCGTCCGCTCCTTGACCGGCGCCTTCGAGTAGGTCTTTGCTGCCAGCTGAATATCGCGGGCTCCGAGAACCCGCGAGAACCGTCGGTTGCGAACCTCCATTGAAAGTCAGAGAGGCCATCCAATCAATGCCCCACACCAGCATGCTCAGCGCGACTGTACCAGCCAAGATTGCCAGAAACAGGACGAGGCACATGCCGAACAAGTCCTGTGGCCGGATGCCAATTGTCCATGCGAACGACGAGATGCCCTGGGTGGCATCATCCGGTAGCATGAAGATGAGGTTGGGCGCGTCGGCATCGACGTATAGAGGGGAAGACGCGTTGTTGAACTGTGCAGCAAAATTGGATGGCGGATTGTACTCCGGAACGGTCAAGGGGTACCAGCGAGACTGGGCACCCGTCGAACCTTGTGCGAGCGTGATGTCTGAGCTTGATAGATCAGTAAAGCACTAGGTTCTACGAGTAACGCCCATACTGAATGTCAAGGTAGACCACCCTGTTTGCGCTAGTAGAGGATCTGTGACATCACGACAATCAGAGGCGAGTCAACTTGAGCAGATTACCGCTACATACAAACGAAGGCCGGCCACTCGACGGCAACCATTGCGAGTGCCGCGCACCATTGCGTATGGAATATGATATCTCGCAAGGAAGGCGTACCTTGACGCACATTAGCGGAGATACATGCGATCGCAGCAAGATGGATGCTTACAGTATCTCATGAGTGCCGGTGAATTGGCCAGACGTTCACCGCTAATGGCGCTTGCAAGGATGAACCCAGCACTCTCAACCCGGGCCCACAAACCCGTGCCCATCCTAGTCGATCCCCTGCCCCACGCTGATACCAATCGCGCGATGCCGACTACCACCCAGTATCCGATGGCCAAGGCGACCGTGACCCAGAATATGGTGTCTGCATGACCGTAGACGCTTCCATCAACACCGGGGTCAAGGATAGTAGTGTTGAGATTCATGCAGAACAGTAGGTTCTGATCAGGATCCAGCGCGTAGAGCCGGGTTTGGAACGTTGCTAGTTCGTAGTCGGTAGGCAACATGACAGTGGTAGAGAAGGCGAATGGACCTGGCGGGAACGGACAGTAGCTTCCAGCCGTGACATTGTCCAGTAAATCCGTGGGAGGTCGCAGAGTCGAGCAGAAGAACGAGTAGTTGTTCCATACTTGGAACGTCAGCTCCTCCGTCACAGTGAACAAAGTCGCTGCCTCTTCTTCAGCACGGCATGCAGTATATCTGGTCGCGGACGGTACTCACTGGCAACCGCGTTAGAAGGGTTCCCACTGGGAGCAGACGATTTCATGATCATCTTCGGAGTCTCCCCGAGTACCGTGAAGTTGAGGTACTTTCCCCCTGTATTTGCATCGTCGAGGACTTGTGCGAAGACGGTAGAAATGTCGAACTTGAGGCTGGTATTGCTCTGATAGTAACAATCTTGCCATTGCAGCTGGGCCGGCTGCGCGTAGGAAGACGGTGCGCGTATGAGAGAGAGACAGAGAAGTAAGAGCACGCGAGAAAGAAAGCAAGCAAGGAGACCGCGTGAGCTGGTCATGACGGGAGCCGTGAAGGGGTCGCTAAGTCCGAGAGCGAGTGCAGGAATTGTCGCCGTTCCAGAGCACGGCGCCAGGCATGCCTCGAGGCGACGAAGACGAGCGAATATGTTTTCCTGCTCCCAGCCCGCCTTCGTCCCGCGCGAGCGGGCGGCCGCCCCACGTGATGCACTCCTCGCCCCTTGTGTCCAACTTGCGTCAGTGTTTATTCTCAGTTAGACTCGTCCTCCGCCCTGCTGCGTTCTCAGGTTCTGTTTTCGGCGACATGCTGTGTCCAGTTGGTCGGCTGGCACTCGTCCTCGTCGACTAGGCCCAACACAGATCGCACACGCCGCAGACCGCAGCAGTGTGCGAGCGACCATTCATCGATATCATCCTGGGACCTTGATCAGTTCAGAATGGGTGCAGTATGAACCTGAGTGCTGTACGCAAGATGGATCATTTCCCACTAGGTAGGCTGTGTGGTCTTTTCGTACTGACTGCATCTAGGCTACCCTCTTTATTGAACGTCGCTAACAGTTCGATGGTGAACTTACCTGGGATGCAGTACGAAATTGGTAGAGTCGATTTCCAATACCATTGCTCTGACTGAAGAAGCTGCTGCAGAATCAAGTAGCTGTCCTGGTGCCCAGATTACTTCTCTCCGTGGTCTGCACTGTGCGACTTGTCGCGGACTTCGAGTTTGAGGTGAGCGGCCGGACCATTCACCGCGTGTCAAGCCGCCCCTGTGATAGGTGTGTCGTGCTGGTCGAATATTTATCGCGTCCGGTTGCCTTGGTCCTCACGCATGTAATGCAATTTTTTCTCTCCCGACCCCGGACAAGAACTTTGTGCCGCTGCTAGTGCCGCCGTGCATGCCACTGCAATCTATCGTATACGACGTTACCGTTTGCAGCGGCCATACTGTCAAATTTGACGCAGTTGCGGAGTTGCCACACAGGCCGAATATGTCTCGTCGCTCGTGCGAGACAGCAGGGCTGTCTGGTAGAGGCGACCTTTGACAGGGAGAATGCTAGCGATTCAACGTCTCAACACCCAGGACACACGTCGTCTCTGCATTTCGAGGGACATGCATGATTCACATTGACACTGTACACGGAGAACCTACGTGTACTTCTGCGATGCAGCTCCCTTTTCCTCTCCATTTGAAAAATGACCCAGCCTCTGACGTTCACAGCCTGATTTTCAGATTACCAGGTAATCAGTGCGATCTTGACCTTGAGGGGTGCGGGAGCTCTCATTCATTGCTCCATTAGACTGCTCACAAAGTCATGTCAGGTGTCGCCATGGAGCAGGCGGTACTGCTGCCATCGACGTACCCTCTGTCATACAGTGTTCCAGCACAGCCATACACCTTATCAATTCGAAGGGGGTACAAGGACGTACGGAGACGTACTGCCAGCCGATGCGCCTTCTCTAATGTCCGAAACACCACCTCTGGCATGTCGATGGTCTAGTCCAGCTCCCCAGGTGATCCCGACCGTGATGACACCTATGCTACATTGGTCTGACAGATTGGCAGCTAGTAATAGTCTGTAATAGTATGGAGCGGCTCCTTCGACGACGCATTGCCGGATTGCAGTGTCTCAGGCCGTGGGCTCGCGCACAGCCCGACTGCAGATGGCGCCTATGAGCTCGCGAGGATAACGTCGCCCTGGCCGATGGGCCCTCCACGGACATGCGAGTCTCACGGGCCTCCATGTGCCGCGTGTCTCCCAAACTAGCCCGTGTCTCCCGAACTAGCCCGGTCGCCGCACAATGTATTTGAATGCTCGACGCCGCCTTGCATCGGCTACCGACGGAGCACGGGTGTCTGTCGATATGGTCCCGACCGTTGTCCCGCATGGTTCGGTAGTCATGTCAGGCTGCTAGTGAGTCAAATCTGCCCCGCGTCTTTGCGATCATTTCCAAATGTAGGCCCCGGCTTACTGCAAAGCACTCGGACTCTTCCACGCACTTGCGCGGACGAGTTCCCCCGTCTGTCTTTTGCTGGTGAATTGGTCATTGCCTAGTTTGGTGTCTTGTCAAGGTCGGTCAATTGTCCGCCTGTCACTTGGGGCACTCACAAATGACGTCTGTCCGAGGAGGGTGATGATCGTCGTCTTCGTCGTGTCTCCGTTGTGTGGCCTGCCATGGCCGCATGGCTAGATCTAGCAACTTATATGGCGAAGCGAAACGCCACAACGCAGAAGTCACGGTGGTCCAGCCGGTCCTGTTGACACAGTGACAGACCCCGGAATCACGTCCACCACGACGGCTTCATTCGTGTTTCATGTACCAAAACCGTACTCGGCAAGCACACTCTGCCTGTGAGAGCAGGGCACCCTATGGGGCAACTTCAGTCCGGACGTGCAAGTCGAAAGGAAGCAGGCGTTCTGAGTCTCGCAGCAAGGGGCGCGAGAAGCGGCACTTTAGCCAGGAACAGTCAAGCGCACTTCGCCAGATATCATGGAGATATCCTTGCTCATACTGTATGTTTCCCGAACCTTGGGCTCGGGGGCATCCGCGAAGGCGCCACTGACGAGTCCCTCGTACTCAACTCAGCGGGCTATCGGTCGCCCCGCGATGCACGTCATGGCCAATGGTGGCCTGAGGGACGCATTATACAAGTCAGTACGATCACACGTTTTGTGTGATTGTCATTTTCCTGACGATTGGCCCGTCATGCAGCGAGTCGATGTCGACATCTTGCGGCCTCCCCATCAATCCCCGGGAGATACGGTCCATATGCATGCGCACGGTCTGGAATCAAGATTGCAAATATTCCGAAGTCATTCCAAGCGAATTTGCACGCTGGACTAGGCTGGACTGAATACAGCTCCGTTTTACGAAAAGCCTGAGGTGGGTGCCCGTTGCATCTGCTTGCATGTTGCCACACTCATGCCAGGAGAGCGTAACTCAAATCAAGTGTGCCTTAGTATCAGGCCCATCGAACCTTCCAACCGTCTGTACTGTAGCGCTGACAACAACGGAACTGGTGCGGTACCGCTGAAGTGGAGACGTAGAACTGGAAGATTCTACGGGAGATAAGGCCGCCCACAATGAATGCGTCAGGGTCGAACGGGGATATAATGGACAGGAGAACCCCCTCGCAATGCCGCCGGTACTGTCCGTTTGGTTGGCCGGAGACATGACTCGCTCGCCAGCTTACAACAGTTCATATGACGGGAGAAGCACTGCGGTGGCGTTGTTGCCGTACGTGGGTCGTCCATCGGTGCGCGCTGGGATATTCCAGTGTTCCCTGGTGTGCCGCTCAAATGCGGTGACGGCATCCGGTGATCAATTGGGATGTACCAATGGGAATACCGTGTGCGAGTTCGCAAACCCCGTACGGACGACATGGTAACAAGCGGTACGTATTCATGCTACTCGCCGCTCGGGGCGGAAAGCCGTTCCCTGGCACGCTCTCGCGTCGCCTTGTTCAGGGTCTAGGATGTTCATAGATGTCGAAGATTTTACGCCATGTAGTTGCCTTCGTTACAGCGACAAAGTCAGGCATTCGCATTGTCTGAACGCTGCAGGACTCCCTCACGACGTGCGATGACGGTCTGACTCTCAGTGCGTAGACCGGCGACGGCGCAGAAACACGTGCGCTGCAGATCGTACTACTTACGCTAATAACGGTCTTGTCCTGGTCTTGTCCAGGCGGGTCATGTTTCTAGAAACCAACGATAGTGAAACAATGATGTTCTTGAGGGCAATATCTATCGATACACGTTTTGGGTTTCGCTTCTCTAATATTGGTCCGGTATGCTCAAGACTCAAGCGAACATCCAGCCCTCGGTACTTAGCTCCAATAATGCACTACCACGCGGCTCAGCGGGTAGTACCCTCACTTTACGGCAACAATCCAGCCCGTATCTGCGCTACAAATAGGTTCTTCTCTGAGGGCCCCATACGTCGTTTCGGTTGTGGGGTTTTTGAGCAAATGACACTCCTGTCTGGCCTATCCTGCGCGACACTCGGGCACTCATGCCACGGGACTTGTTATGCGTAACGGGAAGCTCGCCGCGCCGCTACCAAACGCCTGGACCCCGGGAACTGCTCTAGCTTCTGAGAAGCCGCCGTTTACGTCATCTGTCCTACTTGGATATATAAGGAAAACACCACGAGGGATCAGCTAATCGGGCTTCAAACCTTGGCTTGATAACCGTAGGCGCCCATATACAAGCAGGCTTCGACACCCTTAGTCATTTGAAACTCCGGCCCAAGATTGACGCAATCGAATTTCCCGATTTCGTAACTATCTCTCTTGCCACCATCATCCTCTTTCCGCCGGCTTCCTCCTGCGGGCTCTTGCCTTCGTCGTCTTCTCAGTTGCCATCCCATCCGTACAAAGGGACATCCGCTGCATTATGAACACCAATCTGGAGGAGGCCGCTACCATAGCGGCGGAATACATATCCAGTAAGTCGCATGGTTCGATAGTCTGCTAATGTCTCGTCCCGGCCACGTATTGCTCGATCACATGGGTGGTGGCGACATTTGATTAGGGTGGTGTTACGTCCCGCGCAGATGCAACACGAGATCTCACCTTCAAGGCTCCTGATAGCATGATCTGTCATCCCGCCACCGACGCGTCGATCGTGTGTGGGTGACTGCCTCGCTGCCCATCCCAGCGTACTCCATGACGGCCGCACCTCGATCTATTCTCCTCCCGCGAACGTGTACACGGTCATAACCTCTTTCGCCCGTAGGTTTGGACAATCTCCCTGCCGAGACACAACACTTGCTAGCAGAGATAAGGCATCGTGATTCACGCACGCAAGGTCAGTTGAACCGCCTTAGCTCTGTTCACTCTGAGGCCATTAGCTGATTACTTTACTCCATCACTTCGCCTAACTCGTGGCCCCGACGGATGGCTTCCTGCGACATGAAACCCATCGTACCTGATTCTTCTGCTGTGCTGCACCATCATGTACCATATCGCATGACCTGGGCCACACAGAGCTGCAGCAAGAGATACAGAAGGACGGTGGCAAGTATGTGCGACACTCGCTCAAGAACCCTGGACAGCCTCTCGGCGCGAAAGATGGCGCAATTCCTCAGAATATCGCTGCCCAATATGCTGAGATCGACCAACTAGCCTCCGAGAAGATTGCTCTTGCAGAACGAATGGTACAGCTGATACAGCGTGCCCGGGCTCGGTTGGACCATGACCTCAGCAAGGTGCTCGTCTTGCAAGGCGAGCCCGCTCCCGAGATTCAGACGAGCTACTCGTTTGGCCAAGGCTCGCGAAATCCCGCGGAAAGAATCAACGAGAGTTTGCGCAACGCCATCGCCATTCCCGAGGCCCCGCCCGCACCTTCGGTGAGCGCAGCACCACCGCAAAAGAGTGCGTACTCCAGGCTGCTCCTTTCGCGTCGCATTCACTCATTTGTAATGTTTTTCTTTTGCCGACCGAATATGACCATTTCTCCCGGGTCCCTACGCGCATTGCTGACATTACGCTCCATCGTACGTACAATAGAACGGAGGATAGCCGCGGCCGCATCGGCGGGAAGCATCAAGCTGCCGAGCCCCGCGCCCATGCCAGCGGGCGCCTACGGCGCAGGGCGGTCGAGGGCGTCGCAGCAGACCCGACAGTCCCCTGCGCGCTCGCGCCGAGTCACGGCATCCGCCGGGCTGGATGCAGACGAGGATGCAGAGGGCGAAGACGATCTCGAGATGGAAGAAGGCGGGGACGCAGAAGATAAGGATTTGTACTGCATTTGCCAGAGAATGTCTTACGGCGAGGTGCGTACCACCCGGGGCGCCCGGGGACGAGGGCCCGGCGGGGCTTTGCTTGGGAAGGTATTCGCTTGCTAACTGTGCGCGCCACACGGCGTTATGGTACATTTCAGATGATTGCTTGCGACAATCCCAATTGCCGCTTCCAATGGGTGAGTCGCTTTCCGTTTTGCTTTGGCAGTTGTGCCCGCGTGTTGACGGGGCGGCGGTGCACAGTTCCACCTAGATTGCGTTCATCTGAAGTCACCACTGCCAGAGAGCTGGTATTGTGATGACTGTCTTGCAACGATGAAGAAGGGCACGGTGGGCGCTGCGAGCGCTGGACGGAAAGGAAGGAAGAAATGAAGAGGTTCGCCACAAAGGTGCGCTCGGGGGGCTGAAACACAGAAGGGCGCGCCCTTGCGTAATGGGCCGCGAGCGCCGTGGAAGGAGTGTGCGGTGTGCGGTGGCAGCTTGGGCGGGCTGTGCGGTGCGGTGGTGTGCAGACAGGGGAAGGAGGCCTCCCTGCGGTATGAAGGCACGAACAGGATGGAGGCGCGTGAACCGGGAGAAGGGGGCAGAAAGCGCCGTGGAGGACTGAATGGAGGAGCGGGACTGTACATGGATTGGCTGGGGCAGTAGAGCCACCGAACGAGTTCAGCCCAGGTCGCTATGGAGTAAGGCAGAGACGCCGGGCAGCGGCGGAGGCCGAAGATCTTCGGCGGGGGCCTTTGAATCGGACTGGGAGATCCACTCTGACGAGATGAGAGACTGGCTCAGTTCGGGACTGTAGGCCTGCCCGATTAGGCAGCCGGACGGTGTATTGCGCAGGAGGGCGAAAATGGGCATTGGAAATTGGGCGTAACTAGGGTCACGAAATACGACGCCGTGGGAGGCGTGACGTTGACAGCGGTGCCGCACTGGCGGAGGCGGTCTGCCCGCGGAAGCCCAGCGTGGGTGCCGTATTCGCTGCAGGGTGGCAGACGGGTGGCGGGTGTGTCCCCCGCGAACAGCGACGAGAGGCAGCAGACAACGGCAGACGAAGCAGGCCCGTCCCGCGCAGGACGGGCCCAGTAGGCGTTAGCGTGCAGCGATTCTTCGAAGGCCGCGCGTGGCTCGGTTGTGTTTGTCCGAGAGCCACCGTGGGGACCGAGGGAGTGGGTCGAGGAGAGTGGCCGCTAAGCCATTCTCGGTAGCGTGCACAGGATGGCCGGACCCCGGAACCACGCGGGCGGACATGCTGCTCAAAACCAGAACGCCTTCCCCGCCGTCGAACCGTACACCTGCCCCTTTGCGGACACGCGCTGCTGCTTCCCTCCAGGCAACGTGTTGCTCACCCCCGCCGCCCCGCCCATGGAACCCCTACTCTTCGACTGCACCTCCTACTCAGACGCGTCCACCCCCCGCACGCCCTCCCCCCGCACCGACGACATGCATCCCCCCTTCCAGTCGCCACCCAGCTACAAGTCCTCCCTAGACCTCGCCGCGCCGCGCTACATCTTCGACCCCACCCACGACGAGAACGGCATCGCTCCCGAGTCCCACACGCTCGAGGCCGCCCACTTGTGGTCTGCGCCTTATCCTGGGTCCTACCATCCGCCCGGCTCGCGGGGCTCCCTTCTGGACGAGCTGTACGAGCCTGACATGCCCGAGCACCACCAGCACCACATCCCGCACGAGCAGTACGTCGACCACCGCCTCCGCCAGCAGTCGCATCACGCCCACTGGTCCGGCTTGCCCCAGTCTGCGCACATCGACGCGCCACTCGGGCATGGTATGCGCCACGCGCACGACATCGCCATGCAGCGCCGCAACACCTTCCCCTACGTCCGGCAGGACCGCGCCGAGATGATGTACACCCCGCCACCGCCGTTCATGGGCAGCGACCACGACTCCATGTCCGGCAGCCCGTACGGCTCGCGTCCGAGCACGGTCTACAGCGAGCCGCTCTCCATGGACAACTCGCCACACCTCGCCATGTGCGAGCCGCTCCCGCACTCGATGGACGAGCCCTTCGCGCACACCGTCCCTTCGCCGCACCCGCCGTATCATGACTTCCACCACTTGGACGGAATTAAGACGGAGGACCCTACGCCCGTGATCGTCCCTTCGCAGACCGCCTACCGGCCAGGGTCAGGTGGGATGCACCCGCTACCCTGCCTCGTGCCGCACAACGGGCTCTTGGTCCAGCACACGGACGACGCCGCGTCGAAGGAGACGCAGTATCTCCGGCGGCGGTGTTTCAACTGCCACACCACGGAGCCCCCCAGCTGGCGGCGGTCAACCCTCAACCCGGGGAAGATCGTCTGCAACAAGTGCGGTCTTTACGAGCGGACACACTTGCGGCCACGCCCGCTGCGCTTCGACGAGCTCCGCGCCGGCAGCAAGACGCGAAAAGCGCCGAAGGCCGTTGGCGGGAGCCCGAAGGGGGGGAAGATGTCAGCTATGATTAAGAAGGAGCCGCGCGAGGGCGAGATGGACGGCGGCGTTATGACGATGCCGCGGCGGTCGTCCGTGTCTTCCTCAGCTGGTTCGTCCGTTGGCGCGTCGAGCGACTGGGACGACAACGGTACGTCCCAACGCACCCTCTAAGCACCTTTAGCGGTGTTAAATTTCGTCGTGTTCATACAGTCTCCGGCTACTCCTCAGGATCTGCACCTTCGTCGTCGATGGGTTCTCCCGCCGCTCAGCCGTTCCCCATGCGCGACTCCAACTCACAGTCCCCGCCATTGGTTGGCAGGGACGGTGGCATTCGGCTGCCTAATGCGCCGCTCAACGACATCGCTTCCCTCCAGCCTGCCTCTCAGCAGCCCAACCCGCGTAAGGCTGCGACAGCGCCGATGTACTTCCCCGGCAACCAGCCGCAAGGCGACTACTATCGGCGCGGCTCGCTTCCAACGCCGCACGACATGCAGCAGCGGCCAGTAGACGTCACGATCCCCGAAGTTACCGGTTGGCAGCCGGTGCCCGTGGACATGTCGCCGAAGGACAAGGCGCGCAAGGCTGTGTGCTGACCGCATTGCATTATTCTTTATTGGACACTTAGAGACACCGTCCTGCGCCGCTGCCGTATCTATTCGTCACCCCCGTTGTCCCCTCGCCGCCCCGCCTCCGCCCCCCGCTGTACATCTTTTCCGCGGGCGAGACCGATACCTTCAAAACGGCCATACCCTACGCGCACGCACACGAGCCTCGTGTGTGGGACGTCACCACGAAGAAGCAAGGCCAAAAGACTGGTGCTGCCATGTACTGACCACCCTCCATTACGCCTACGGCGCTCATTGTATCATTCACCCCGCATTGCATCGTTGTGTTCCACTCTCATCCGGTTCTTGGAGTCATCGTCGGCTTTGTGTTTTCCTATTTTTTGTTACTTATTGGTACGGATCTATCTCCGCTCGCGTCTCCTGCGTATGCTCTCGGTGCCCGGTGTGGTTGGACTGTGGCGCTTATATATATATTCAACCGTCTGTCGTACAATGCTCCTCTTATCCTTGCATGACTCCGCCTGTAATCGTAGCGTATAGGAAGTACACAATGCAGAAGAAGCCAAAATCATCCGCATGCTCGAGGGACGTGCGCAAAGACGTGTTATCTGGGTAGGGCGAGCTGTTCACGGGCACCGTGCGGTCGGTACTTCGAGGGGACGGCTGCTAACCGTGTAATGGTGAGACAAGGCTGGGGCTGGGGCTGTCCGAGTGCGCATGTTTCAGAGGAATAAGCCTCGCATCTCGCTACCGCTGAGGCGCGGCGGGGCGGACGAGCACGCGACGAGGACAGGAGTGAGGAGGATGGAGAACGTTCACCCTGGACGCGTCGCGACGCGGAGGAGAGCCGCATGTGCAGCCGGGGGCGGGTCCCGCGTGATCGTAGCCTGACGCGGCCAGATGCGCACCGCCCGATCCCTCCGCGAGTGCCACTGCCAGCGCACGGCCGCCGCTTATCGTCGCAGCGGCAGGCTATGAGCAGGCTAGTGGCGCCACCACGCCAGCCACCCTCCCAGTCGCTGCACCCGCCGCCGGCTCCCGCGCCCAGCCAACAGCCCGGCGACCTACCCACTCCCGCCACCGGCCCTGCCGGATCCCCCGGCCCGCCGCAGGCCCCCCGACGTCCACGGTGCCCACGTGTGGCGGCGGGAGAGACACCGACGCGACGCGCCGCAGGCGAATGCGTCCGCCGCATCGTGCCCGCTGCTCCCAAGACGGGACCGTATGGGAAGCGTGCCTCGCGAGCTGCCGCACACTGAGGCCCAGGTTTACCCCCGCGTCCCTGCAATCTGCGTGGCTCCGTCCGTCCGCCAGATTTGCAGCACGCTCGCCGCCCGTGCGGTAGCGTGCGCTGTACCTAGTCGCCGCGCCCGGCCATGTGAGCAGGGCTTCCGAACGACTGCACGACTATTCTGGCTACGTCTCGGCCGCAGACACACGCATGTGGCCCACTTGCCTTGCGCAATTTGTAGGCGGCACCTGCCAATCCCATCCCGGCGACCTGCGCGCGTCGTGCGCCCGTCCTCTGCCCTGCCACGCTCAACACTTGAAATTGCTGTCCATACTACGTATCGCGGCGGAGTTGCCACCCCGGACCAGAGCGCCGCCGGAAAACCTCCGTGCTATTCCACCGACTTCAAGGGCTCCCAGTGGAGTCCCGAGTGTCGACTGAGGGGACGACGACAGTCCAAGTGGACACTCCCGTGGTGCGTATCTTAATTATCTCCATACAAGCCTTTGGGCCCCATTTCTTAGTTCCGGACGAGCATCGGACGCCTCATACACCGTCCACGTCTAATTCCGTCCGAATTCTCCGGCTATCGCAAGGAGAATTCCTTTTCCTTAGTCTTTTTCGCGTCAGCGTCATGCCATTCGCGGGCCAGCTGTCCTAGGCTCGACGCGCGAAGACGCGTCCACACGTCCAGCCTGGCTCACCAGAATGACAAACCTTGACAAACGTGGGCGAATGCGAGTGCGCGACAGCGGCGCTGTCCACCAAGACGACAGTTTATTCCCGCTACAACTATGCAGAGTACGAGTCCTGCTAGACTGTCGGCATAAACTAGTACACGATTTGCTTGTGGCAATCGTATTTGACGCAGGGGACTTGACATGGCACTGGCACTTGACGTATGTAATCGGGAGGTCGGTCACTCCTATTACTCTCTTCTGCACCACTATGGTAAGTAGACCTTCTATGTCTGGATCTGCATGTCTGACCAAACAACGCCCCTGCGCCACAGCAGCGCTGCAGCATTGTGGCCGCAGCCGAGGACCACGGTAGTTACGACATGTTTTGCGTGCTCTGTCAGCCAGCGAGACTCGAGAAGGGCAAGTCCACTTCTTACACGACTTCCGCCCGCGCATCGGTCGTTCAGCAGCGCTGAACGACCCGCACCAACAGCCTATGTACGTCCGCGCTGATCACCTGGTCCGCGCTCTGCGCGACGATGCCGCATACTGGGAAGCAACTGGGAAGCTCGTACGCGCCTCAAGGGAGATCTGACGCTTGCGCGCATCTTCCGACTGTCTGCACGGGCCCTGTGTAGATACGCTCGTGCTTTCTGTCGTTTCTTATCTCGCGCAAACCTACGTTGACCCCGGCTCTCGGAGGGTCAGGCCCCTGCTTCTCGGACGATGCCATAACTATGCTTCCTCGTTGCTTCCTGGACGTCACTGTAGCTTCGTTCGCTCTCGCACTTGGGCCTTCCTGTCGCCAGCGTGGCTTGAATGCCCGGGCGAAGCACAGAAGTGTGCGTCGTTGTATTGGCCCGTCCTAACGGTACCGTGCTCATAACGCCTGGGGGTAAACTAACCGGTCAATGGCTGTCATGCACGAAGGTTCAGTTCAGGGACTCGGGGCACGTTTCAGATCTATACCATGTACAGCGAATCTAGCGGTATCAGGGCGTGCTACTCAGTGAAGAGCGTCACTGTCTACGACATGACACTCCGCTGGTATGGAAGGTGTGTACCTGGCTATCACTCCGCCATTGTATACCTGACGTAGAATCAATAGTGCGCACCTCCGGTTGTACTCAGTTGTCCGTCGCGATGTCTCCAACTCCAGTACTCGACAGGTAGCACAGTCCATCCCATTGCAGTTAAATGAACGCTGTTGCCATCCGAGGATAACCCAGGGCCCATCGTCTTCGCTACCATGTCGTCGATCCCATAGGACGTGAGTGTGGCCATGGTCCACGGGCGTCAGGGAGTCGCGCATCTCCGGTGGACTACGGAAGTACGCAAATGCGGTAGCAAAGGCGAACGAAGGTTGCGGTCGCGTCCTCCTGTGGGAGACTCGAGGAGCTCGCCCGCTTCCGTCGTGCGCGCAGCTCGCTACTGAACGCTGCGGAAGCCTGTAGCGCACGAGGTGGGAACGTGGACGGCGAATACCGTGGGCGCGCGCGCTCGGCGCGGAAGCCCCTCCCCTTCAAGTACAACAATAGCGTACCCTTTCGGCCGGCTCGCGAGAAGCCTCGAGTTCTGGCTTGTCCTTCCTCGCTCGAACCCGTGGCATATTGTGCGCCCTGGAAGTGTCAGCGTGCTTTGTATCGAGGCTCGCAGGAGAGCTAGTCCAATTCGCGCACTGCGTTTGTCCGCCGGGAGCATTCGTCCTTCCTCCGCGCTGCATGTGTTGTCATCGTCGACCGCAATAACGCGCGGGCCCGAGGTAAGGTGCGTGAACCGCGCGTGGGTGTCTGCATTCCAGCCAGCTTCTAGCGGTGTATTGTGGCTGTCCGACAACGCGGGCGTACAGCGGATGGAGCGCACTGGGACTCGCTCGCCTTGAGCTTCCTGCCTTCCCTCGCACCGCAGGCTTCTGAGTCTCTCGCCCCGCGGTTCGCGCGCTCTCACGCCGAACGGTCGCGGAACGCGAGGAAGCCCGTGGTGCCCCAGGTACGATGCGCCCGTGCGAGTCTCCCGCAGGTACGCTTGCCCACGGGCTTCGCAGCATTCAGTCGCGCACGGCCTGAGAAGGGTATGGGCGTCTTCGCTGGCAGTGACGTATATGGCTGGCAGCGCGAGAGGGCGAGCGTTTGCTGTCGGTGTTCCGTCTGTTGCTGGGTGGGGACACTAATGCGCCGTGTGAGGTTGCAGCCACGTCGGCTGCGGGCGAGACGGTGTTGTCTTACGTTTTGTGTCCGACAATACTACTGCGAAGATCTCACGTACCCCTGGTCCGAAGCCGTCTTTCTGCGGCGGTCTCGGTGTGCGGATGGAGGTATGTGTACCTTGCCAGGTATAGTTTTGATGCTGTCAGTGCCTTTGATGTCAAACATTGAATATTGAACGGCAGACGTACACACCTGTGCGAGGGGCTTGGTCACATGGAGTATGTGCGCCGAGGCAGCGCATTGTCAGGCGCATTAGACCTGCTCGTTCTTCCTGATGAGTGTATTGAACACTTCGAGAGCAACCAGAAGGAATTTGGCAATACCAGTCCTCGTTGAAAGAGCTCGGGGCAACTTGAGGGTAACCCTAACCTCGATTGGACACTTGGGAAATCACGAGCCTGGCATGGCCCCACCGCGGGTCGTCGACGCGGACCGTCGAGCAAGCGATCCTGCTTGCCCGCTACATTCACGACGACAGGATGAACAACACTGTAGCATTTCCCACCACGTCTGTATCCAATGCTTCTAGACCCATTGAAACTACTTCTCTCATCTCCTACGCCGCGCACCGCGCTACTGCCGTCGAAGTCTGCGATCTCGTCTATGGCCCAGCCGTTCCGTCCTGGAGCGCAGTAGAGAGGTTCTACGAACCTGACGCGGTCTATGAGAATCCAATCGTGACCGCAACGTCGCGCTCCGTCATCGCAGACATTCACGCGCTTTCGAGTCGCCTCGCGCAGTTGGATATCCCGCGGCCGGTCGCGCTACTCCATAGCCTCTTCGGAATTTCGCGCGATGGCGGCTTGCGGGACTCGTGGTTCAAGGCGATGAGCATGTGGAATGAGGTCACAGATGTGTCCGAGAGCGAAAGCTATGGTGAGTGATCGCCAATCTACACGCTGATGAGGGTGGAGCGTGCGTGATGCAGCTTCAACTGCCCAGCCACGACCCACGGAGGCGCGGAGGTTGTGTTATGATCGAGTGATCGCGGCGTTGCTGATCCAGGGCTGCTACTCTAGATGGGCATCAAACCACGATCATGGAGCATACTCTGCACATTGACATCCTCCCTGGGCTCCTTGCACGGCGACGCTCGAGTGCAGGGCCGTCTTACTCCCTGCCGTCTACCGCCCCAGACCTGTCCCTGTCCATGCCGCATCCACCATTACATCGCCAAACATCCTACCTCTCGAGAGGCCACTCAACCCAGGCTTCTCCGTCATCAATACTTCATCTTTCGCTGCCAATCATCACTCGCCTCTCATTCAACGATGCAGGCAAAATAACTCACCATCGCGACTTCTGGGACATCAAAGTGCGTGTTCCTGATGTCCCCCTCCCTCTAGTCCGCGAACGCCGCTTACTCTATGTACCCTGACTACTCCATAGGATCTCCTAAACCTACTCCCTGGTATGTCCCTCGCACAATGGATCACCACTCGCATGATCGCCCAGGGCATCCGGGGGCTTGTATCCGCCGGCCGGATGTTCTCTGGCTCCCGCGCTGCGCGGGCCGCGGACGAGGGAAAGGACGAAGAGGAAGGTCTCTCCCCGGCGGCTGTGTATGCGAGTGAGGTGAAAGACCGTCTGTAGACTGTCTCTGGCTTAGGCGCTCGTGCGTTGCGGGTCGGTGAGGACAACCTGCGCAGGATTTGTGCGCACGCGATCCCTCGCAGGTCTTACGGACATGCCCAAGCTGCCGGAATCGAGCCACTGGGGATTGACTCAGGACTGTAGAATCGGCGATCTTCCAGACCACACCTCGTACTTACTGCACTCCCTTTCTTGGTGCCCCTTCGCTATGTACACGACATCACCTAATCTTGGTATGACTTGTATGATGTCTTCAATGCTCTGTGAAATGTTCTGTACGCACTATCATTATTATCATTCACGAACTTGTGGGACGGGGTCCTCCGGCAATGCGGAGACACCTTGCAGTCAGTCGAGATTGGAGAGAAACCTCCAGAAACCAGCGCCTGGTTGGCTGTCCGCCAATGTATACCACATTCGATTTTACGCATCATTCCGCAAATTCAACGCATACGGACTAGCGCGGCGAGAGGGAGACGCAGCGGTTATTGCACTCTCCCAGTCCAGCTGGGCTCTAAGAGACTATAAGCCACCGTCATGATCGGGGAACATGCCAGCGACACTCGATATGTCAAGATTGCTTCCGTTCAGTGACAGGACCCAGTCCCCCGGCTCATGTGCATGAAGGTCGGGAAAACCGTTCACTGCCACCCGCCCGGCGCCAGAGCGATGTTCAGTCACACACCCACTGGCGCGGCCCAACACGGCCGGTGAAAAGAGCATTGCCCCAGCTTGACAGTTCGATCGCCCTGTCATCGAACGGGAAAGGTTATTCGCTCTATGCGTGTTGGGCTCGTCCTATGACGAATCGTCGACATTCTAGGTGTGCGTAATGAAGGAAAATTGGCCGCACAGCGCGGGTGTTTTGTGTCCGTCGACGGAAGTTCGATCATGCGAACCGGGGCCGCAGGATGTGTTCGACCGAGGTGGGAAGGTTTCATTAATTCTGTGCCGTGTGGCCCTTCGGGGCCGCATTATGAAGTAGCTAGCCCCGCGATACCAGGGGTATGTACGTTGCTGAACTTGTCTCGGTTCGATTAACCTGAGACCATCTTCGACCGACGACAATGTACAGGCTTACATTGAACCAATTCTAATCTGTAGACGTACTTACGTTGCCGCCATATCCTTGCCTTCATTTCGTTCGATACAGATCCGAAACGAGACGTCGACCGTACGCGACGCCTATGTATGAAGCCGGAAAAGGGGGATGAAACAACGTTTCGCCCGCGAGCGTCACAGAGAAGGTACCATGGAGCACGTCAGAAGGGGCTGCAACCTGTCCCAGGAACTGGGGCCATAGCCATTAATATTCCGGACGTGCGCAGCTCAAGGCTGTAAATTACGTCCCCAAGGTATGCGCTCGGGTTACATTGGGTCAGATAAGCTTAAGCTTTCGTCCTGTTCGGCGAGCCCCTGGACAATGTACATGCAGGGGTACCTCACCAAGCGGAAAAGATTTGTTCGTGCGTACTGTGAAGTGAGCGAGCATGTAGGACGACGCTACTGTGCGTCGAACATACGCAAAAGTGACTGAACGCGGCCCAAGTCGCCGGAAGTACCGCTACGGCCAGGGAAGACGAGCTGGCCGCGAACCGGATTGAAATGTCATGTCTGAGCAGTACATGAAGTCGGGATGAAATCATGATCATACTCAACTTCATTGCTAGCGTTGGAGGAAGATCCTCATCTCGTTTGACATTCACGCAGAAGAAGCGCAGTGCATTGGGACAACGAAGATCCCAAGGGGCCATCTGTCTCATTCCATAAGGTTTCAACCACGCAATATGAGCTTTCCAGGTATAGAGAAGCACAAGGGCTGTGTTCTCCAAAATTGGGGATCGTACTAGGAAGTCGCATTGAGGATCACGCCCTACGGGAGAAGTTTCAGATACACGTCGCACCCGCCGCCAAGATCGTGCGCGAATCGCCTGGGCCGCTACATCTCGAAGCCACATCGTAGGGGGAGTGGAAGGCGAGACCTCGAGGACCCCTTCATACTTTCTCCGGCATTGCGTCGGTGGTACGGCCAAGAGCAATACAGACCCGCGCTATGTGAAGTTACTTCCACCGCAGTGACATGGACGATTTGACTTTGCGCTACTTTGCGCCACCCGTGTCACGGTCTGTATCGACGAGGCGCACGGGCGGACCTTCTAGCAGATGACGTTTGCAAGCGGACTTACAGCTCTGTTATCTCCAGTTCACTGGTATCGAATCATGATACGCGGGCAGAGAACAGGAGGAGCATCTGTCGTGGAACGGATGTTTGTCAGACACTTGTGGTAGGGAATAGCGAAGGTGCTGTTTACTGACCGAGTGTCAGGATTCATACCTATTACCTTCGTCCGGCGCCGGAAAGGGTGACGCAATGCTTCATCAAATTCTAGCCTGCTGAATGACTGAGCTTACGGCATCCATTGAAACGAGAGTAAGAATAAGATCGCCGAGGAACTGCCAGAGTGAAAGCCTGAGGCAACCGATCTGACCTCAGTGCGAAATTCGGTTGCTTCGATATCCTCCCACGTGATTTGCCGACGTTGTGGCGCACCGCGTTCTATTCACCTTGCTCTCAGCCACCGCGAACGTGTACTACACGCTCGTAGACGTACCGGTCAGCCAGACGGTTCGGTCGTCGTGTCACTCGCACGATCGTTGATATGTCCTTCGAGCATGCGCCGGTGACCAAAGGTAGGTTCACTCAGCGATGCAATTCGGCCCTACTAACCGTTGATTGATCCATGGGAACGCGGATTCTATGTTATAGGACTCATGCTGGGCATTGCTCTCGGCTCGATTGCCATTGGAATATTCGACCTCAAACACTACATGCACTTGCAGCTGGTCCCGCACATCTCCCAGTATCATCAGGTCAGACCAAATCGCTTCACGCTGTTAGCGGAAATTGACAAGCAGACTTACGGTTTCTCGATGCAGTACTGGCGTTTGTTCACCCACCATCTGGTCTGTGCTAACTCCAGCGACCTCTTCCTGGTCGAGCTTCTCCTCTACTATGTCTCAGTTCGTATTGAGCGAACGTTCGGCAGCGTGAAATTCGCAGTAAGTCTCGGCTAGGCAATTTGCTTGTATACTTATACTAACCACTCACCATCTACAATCAGTCCTTCTTGATGATCACCATGCTTGTATCGACTATTTCTACATTCCTAACCCTCCTCATCCTGCACGCCTTTCGGTTTCTTGGAAACGTCTTCAACGTCGTCCCCTCAAGCCCAATTGCTATAGTTTTCAGCATTCTGTATCAGTACACGCGACTCGTACCCGAAGCATACCAGGTGAAGGTGTTCGGCCTCGATCTCAACGACAAAGTATGGGTGTACATACTGGCCGCACAGGTAATGACTTCTACCAACCTATGCTGGCTGGCTCATAACGTCTGTTCCCAGCTCACCATTTCGCAATTTCCGCGGACGCTGGTACCTACATTGGTCGGGCTCCATGCCGGTTACCTCTACCGGTCGGACATTCTGCAACTGAAGAGCTGGCGGATCCCGCACCGGTAAGTTCAACGACCCATTCAAAGCAGCCGCTGACACTCGCGTCCACAGCGTTCTAACCTTCTGCGAGGTCTGGGTGAATCCGTGGCTGGGTGAGGGCACGGTTGTGCGACGTACAAACAGAGTCCTGCCAGAGGCAAGACCTCGACGGCACACGGAGACACCTCAGGTCAACGAAGAAGAGGTTGTCACAACCGCACGCGGCCGTGGTCGGCCTGACCCAATAGATAGCCTCAGGCGACAGACAGCATACGTGCAGAGACAAACGGACATACAGACATTGACAGGAATGTTCCCAAATGTTCGACCAGCGGCCATCACAGCCGTGCTGAACAGAAGGTGAGTTGGGTTCATACTTCGATAGAATGAGTTGTCTGGTCTGACCTATATATTCAAGTCCCAACGTCGAGGCCGCAGCGGCCCTTTTGCTGAGTTCACAGCGGAATCTCTGATGTGTATTTTTTTTCCAATGCGTGGCCAAGGAGTAAACAGCACTACTGTGATTTCACTGCCAGTCTGCCACAGCCTCTCGTGCCATCTTTCACCGATGTGTTCGATCTGGTCGCGCTCGGGTGCTAAGCATTGTACCATCACACATTCGCATACCTGTTCGGTCCGTCGCTCGTCAATTCCTTCGTTTTCGCCGGTCTAGGGCCAAGGTTTGGTCAGTCGATGATAATTGACAGCACAGCCATATGCACCAGTTGGTAATGCGGGAAGTAAGCAGACCATATGCTTGCGCTCGGCAAGCCAATCGAGGGTGAGAGAAACGAACCCAACGTACAGTATCCCGTTCCTGAGCCGGGCGAAGTCGACGCTGGATAGGGCTAAGTTCAGGCCACTCTCAATGTCATTGAATGCCGTATCACCAGCACCGTTCGGACCGTCCACAGATCAATATCCAATGCGCACTCTCCGCATCCCCGGACTCGCTTGAGGATGTGATCATTGCGGCGTCAATGCCGACTCGATATGGGATGGTACAGCGTAGCCGTGATGGTACTTTGCTTCCGCGTACTCCTACCTGCACGCCACCCTGTCTCCGCTGTCAGCGGGCTGTCACGGTCAGACAGCACGCTGCCAGTGTGTCCGCCGGCTGATCAAACGAACGCGTACCCACAAGCTGCCACCAGCACGAAGTTGTTTCTACTGAGCCGCGACCGCTACTTCGACACTAAGCTGGTACATTGCGGCTGCGCCCGAGTGGTTCGGCATAAACACGCTCGGCGCGTAGGCCAACTCCCATGTCGGCATTGCGCGAACACGCTGTCATGCAGTACACAATGGGACAAAGGTCACGTCGGATGCCGTTTCTCGGACATCAGGGTAGTCAACGCCTTCTCCCGAGCAGTCTGGAACCATGACCGAACTGAGCTTCAGATGCGAGTTTTATGAACATTGCGATATGCGTGTCAAGATACAGTCTAAGGCTACGATAAGGAGAAGCCCCTAGCAATACATGTGCATCTTAGGCGGCGGAGTCGAGTTCTTCGCCGTCGAGGCCACCTTCCTCGTCTTCGTCCTCGCCAGTGAAAGCATTGAGAGGAACAGCGTACAGTCGGAGCACCGGCTGTCGGAAGAAGCACAGTCAGTTCATGATGAACGCGAAGAACGGTAGAAAAACAGCTAGAAGCCCCGGGTTCAATCGCCCGAGAGCTGCGGCCTTCCCAGTTTCGAGGCAATGACTACGGCAGGTAAAGTATCTCCAGTGCCACCAGAAGAGGGCGGCCGCATTGGGAGTGAACGGCCGCTGCCATCGTAGCGATGTAACAGGGGGCGACACGTGAGGACCCGAGAAGCACTCACCTTGTTCGGATCCTTGACCAGGACGTACTTGCCGTCCGGCTGCTTCATACACATGTCCGTGACGGTGCGGACGATACCCCAGCCGTTGGCAAGCGAGACGTTTAGCTGGGCGGCAAAGTCCATCGGGCGGGTAGAAATTGAGCCCATAATGACATGGCGCGTGTTGTCACGGGGATTCACGCGCGATATGAAACTAAAAGTAGCAACACAAGACGGGGTCAGTACGACGAAGCACAAGCAGGAAATTAGAATGTGCATCACAGTAGTGACATATAGAGCACAGGGTAGCACGATGTCATGACTCACCCAATCTTCATGAGGTCAGCACCAGCAAGCACGCTCTGCACCGTCCACTTAGCCAGCTTGCAGCTGTTGTTCTTCATCTCGGTGGCGACGACAGCGCCACGCTGGGGATCGAGCTTGGTCCGCCAGTCAGGCGCACCACCCGCGCCCTGCGAGCGGGGGTCAAACTCGTTCAGAGCGCGGATGGTAACAAGTCCCTGCCCCGAGCGAGGATTGCCCTGGCCAGGAGAGTAGGCGTCGACTTCAGTACGGACGCAGATCTTGACGTCCTCGTCCTCTGTGATACCAAGGTCGAAGACCCGGTAGCGGTAACCGCATGAGGCCAGGGGCTCCGTCTCCTCCGGGCCGTAGAAGGGGTTAGGCTTGTCAAACTCGACAGCCGGTGGTGGGGGTGTTTCAGTAACTGACTGGAAGCCAAAGTTCTGGTTGATGTAAGTGGCTTCCAGCGACAGCGATGTAGCAGAGTTGATCGTCGGAGTTTCTGGAACCGCGATCTTCTCGTTCGGGTTGTTGGGATTGACGGTGGCAGGATCCTGGGGAGGATCGGCTGCGTTCTCATTGACGGTCACGGTGTCAAAGGGACCGCCATCTCGTTTGTCTAGGAAAAGCTTGTTCCCTTCGCGAACCACAACGATGTCCCATGGGTTTACCGACCGCGGCGCCACCATGAGGCCGCTGAGAATGACATCCGTGGTGTATACAGTTGCAGTTTCTTTTGATGCCAACTGTCATGAGAGAAGCGCATCAGAAGACAATACCTCCGCGAAGATAAACCCCACTAACATCACTAATGACTGGATCGTCGGACGTCGTCGTATTGTACTTGATACGATCGACCAGTTGCAGCGGCCGCTCCGATTTGGTGGTAATACGATCATAGGATTTGTCGTACGGGAACAGCTTGCCGTATGAACCCCTGTCGGGTAATCAGAGAATGACTGGGGGCAGAACAGAAATGGAGCGCACAACTCTTCAGGGTCATCAACTTCAAGCCGCAGCTTAGACAGACGATGGAACTCAATCTCCTCGAGCATTTGCCATTCAGGAGAAATCGCAACGGAAGCTTCGCGTGTGCGGTTATTCTGGTGAATGCTGTTTGAGAAACGGAGACAGCATCAAATGAGTGATGGACGTACCTTATCCCAGTCTTTCCATCCTCTCCTCCCTCCTCGTTGAAAGTTACCACCACGCCCGCCAGTAAATCCACCGCGTCCACCGCGCTGCGAGGCACCTCTGTTCGAAGCGCCGCCACGTCCAATACCTCGTCCTCTACCGAGGGCTCCACCTCTGCGAGTCGGGCCCACCCTGCTGTCGACCAGAGAGAAGCTAGACTCGTCTTCCGCGTGGAAGTAAGCAAACGCGCTCGCTGCACCGCTGCCGAACGCAGGCTGGCCATCTCGTCTTCCCCTCGCTCCTGGTCCGCCTCCCCGACCGCCTCCCTGAGCTGCGGGGCCTACATTCGGACGATTGTCTCCCGAGATGTCGTTCCAATCGGCGAAACGACCAAGCTTGTCAGATTTTGAGTACGGCGCGTACGGGATGTCCCTGAACTTGAATTGCGCGGGCAGATTGGACGTGGACGGGCCCCAACCGCCGTCTGGGTTGTCGTTGATAGGTGGGAGTGAGAAGGAGGCCATGGTCGCAGCCTGGAGGTCAAGTGTGCACAGACGACTATATCGTCGTCCTCGCTGTGAAATCCAAAATTTTGGATTGCTCTGTACTCAATCCGATCATATGATCACGTGACTCAAGCTACTGACCGCGCGACACGCCCGCGAACCCGCGCCACCGGATTATACGCGACTTCGCACAGTGCAGCCATGAAGTGAGTAGCATGTACTGCTGCGTTGAACCCGTGCTCAATATAGGACAGTGTTGTACGTGAAATCAACAAAATCAATGAAAGGGAGCTCGAGATGGGGGCGACGGGCTCCTGGCACGACGACTACAAAGGTGAGTCACGCTGAAGCATATGTCACCGCGACTCAACCATTCAAACTCTTCAAGACTCTGCCTATATCTTTATCGGAGGGTTGCACTCTGACCTGACAGAGGGTGATGCAATCACCATATTCTCCCAGTGAGTATCCGGCCCTTCTTTTGCCAAATTATGCTGAACCGTTCGCACAGGTACGGAGAGGTCATGGACGTAAACCTTCCGCGTGACAAGAACACTGGAAAGACCAGAGGATTTGGATTTCTCATGTACGAAGACCAGCGCTCGACAATCCTCGCGGTGGACAACTTGAACGGCGCAAAGGTTCTGGACAGGACCCTGCGCGTGGACCACGTGAAGAATTACAAACAGCCGAAGATGAAGGGAGAGGACGGCGAATGGCAGGACGGAGAAGAGCAGAGTCTCAATGCGAAGCCGGAGCTGGTGGTAGGCGAGTATTATTCCCGTCGACATCCGTCTGTGTGGCCCCTGACAGTATCTTCAGAAGGGGGAGACGAATCCGAGTCATCTGAAGATGATGGGCCTCCCATCGACCCCGAGGACCCTATGTATGAATACCTAGTTGCCAAACGCAAGGAGGAAAGGGCGGCCAAAAAGTCGAAGAAGGGCAAATCCAAATCGAAGGCCAAGCACAAAGATGAGACTCCAGAGGAGCGGCGAGCTCGGAAGGCACGTAAGAGGCTGCGCAAGGGCATGGGAAAATCAGAGGGCGTGAAAGCCGTAAAGGAGCTGCTTGCTTCGTTCCAGGACAGGCAGGGGAGCCGGGAGGATCGCATGAACAGCCGCTCTCCTCCCAGGACACCGCCTCGCGAGCGTGATGAAGACGGCTATGGACGTCGACATCCTCCTGCTGGAAGGCGCAGCGTCTCGAGGGACCGGTCACACGTTCGGGACGACCATGACTCTCGCAGACGATATTCTCGTTCACCGCTCCGCAGGGATAGAGATGCAGACGACAGACGTGGGAGGGGTCGATATGATGAGATGGGCCGGACGCCGCCACGAAGACAGCGAGATTACGACTGATTGAGTGCGTTATTACCTATTTCACAATGCATTCTTGTTACGAAGTTCATGAATGAGAAATATGTAGAGCTCTAGACTCAACGTATCGTTGCTTCTATTACCCAAGAACCGTACGTACGGCCTTTGACATGGACCCTTGACATGGAATGAACGGTTCACCTTATATCGACTCGGGCCCATGTGCGTATAGTACGCGGAACATGAGTGACATTGACACTTGCTGTTCCCGTGGCCATGCAAAGTGGAACGTCTCCACTATCAAAAGCGAGTCGAGTCGCTGCATTTCAAACGCCCAGTGTAGTACTCTATCGAATGTGAGGTGAGAACTCCTTGTCGTTCGTCCTGGGGCAACTCGTTGAGGCTGAAGCAGTGCTAAGTTACCAGGTACAGGAACATCGGCGCACGTAAAGAATCATCAGGTTCTGATCAAGTTCACATCGTTGCAGAGCAACAATATTCGCGTGCACAACTCTTGAGGGAACAAAGTCAGTCCTTGCTTCCACAGGGGTCATACATTTGCCCGCTCAGCTGACAAAGGGGTGAGACGTTGACCAAAACGTCTATACTTCTTTCCTGACAAAAATTCGAAGTCGATGCTGCGGTGTTTATACAATATACGATAAGGTTCGCCCTTCGGAGCTCACGAAGACCCAAAACAGGATGACTTCGCGCTCGTTCGCCGTGTGTTGATGGGATAATGGTTCGTTGGCCCATCAGTGCGTTTCGTCTGTCTACTCAATTCATCTCAGCATTTCAGACCAATTCACGAGCGGCGGCGTCGTTCGACAAAACGCGATTCGCCTGCAGTTCATGACAAGGTTCCCCGATCATGATCACTGGCAGGAAGGTTCCGCGCCCGACTTGGAACTCATGACAGTGAGCCAGTGCTGAGAATCCTCGCGTGCCATGATGGACCACGGTAGAAGTCAGGCATTGCGGTGTGGTGTACCACCACAATCTCCCTCGAGGCTCGCAAACATCATTGCGAGCACAGCCAAACGACATGACCGCCGGCCGGTGCATCTACATCGTGAGCGCCACGAACGCCGACGGAAGTCCGGGGACTGCACTTGCGTTTGCCCATCCCCAGGACGTCTCATGCTGGCGGTGCGTGTGTCTGATAATGCCCATCTGTCAAGTCAAGATACGGTTCGCTTGTAAGATTCGCTGGCGGTGGATCTGGGGCCGCAAACAGCGCGGCACCCACCAACAGTGCATAGCCTCTTCATTCTGTTTAGATCCATACACGGCCTACCAGGGCCTACCGTGAGCGCGTGGCGGAATGTCGCGAGAAGCGCATGATCATGGGCTTCGAGCGAGATGGACGAATGCCAATCACTCCACGTTCAAGACGGTATGTATGAGGCGTCTCAGTGCCAAGATAGGCACAGTATCCGGGCTCCTACGTGCTTGTCTATGTACTCCTGGACAGATCGTCCCGGAACTGGTACCGGCGTTACGCCATGGCGTTCTCTTCAAGGATGACAATCCATGACATCGAGTCGCTATTCGCGGAACGTAGTGCACACAGGAGCTTTGGCCATACAACCGGATGGTCCTGCCATTGGTCAAGGTGCGCCTGGCGGAGTGAGGACGTCAGTCAGATCTGACAGGGCTCAGAATTGCGGCGTAACTTTCAGTGCGCGATGGTCGGCCATCTTCACCCCAGGAGAAGCGTCGTATCGTGCATACCTGTGCAAAACAGCATCTGTCAGAGACGCAGTTAACGTTCGCTGACCGGGGTATGCCCATACATCGTCACCAAGAATCCATTGCGGACCTCGACCGAAAGCGGCTTTAAAGGGCTAAGAATAAGTAAGTGGTGCCGTAAACTTTCCGTGACCCCGCACCTGTGGGAGACTTCGTACCATCTGAGACCCCGTCTCGTCGTTGAGATTCGAAAATTGGTATCGCGCCGTCACAGGCCAGAGTTTTTGTGCTACACCTGGAATTGGCAGGGCGCGCCTTTTACACAGAAACAAAAATGACTTTGGTGAAACCCTGCAATGAGTGCAGATAGTCTATAGGAATGGGTAGGCATTACTGTGACGAATAACACGGCCTCAAAGTCACGCGTTATGGGTCAGGGAATAGTAGTGGTGTTGCTCGTCATTGACATTTAAGGATAGCAAGGCTTGACGGGGAAAGACCGGAGAGGTGCACAGGCTGCAATGCTGTAGATGCCTCGCGTCGTATGGGCGAGTGATATTAGCAGCACCCAATACGGAGACTCAGGATTGTACAGTATGATGTACATTTCACAAGCTATCGGAATTTGTGGTGCACTGTGTCCGAGTCATGAGTACCATCGCCAAGCGTCTTCCACGAGGTGGTGAGCTTCCTGCGCCGTTCAGCGCATTGGTCAGAACTGCCAGTACACCAGTGAAGGGTCGCAGGCCAGTGATACACCGCAATAGAGAACTTGGATACGATGGACCTCTAGTCCGTGGACTACCCAATTGCAGGACATTACTGCGCTTCGATAAGAACGTAGACTCCGCTATCCCTATGTATCCAGTCTTAGGACGGGAATGGATCGATAGCGGAGATACGAGCCCACAAGAACCGCTGTGATACAGCTCGGGGGTCAAACAGATGTGCATCAGCAGAAGATACTGCACTGAGCACTCCGTGCTGCACGACTAGACAAGCTTATGAGGACCACTTGCCTAGCGTGATGAGAGGACAGCCTCGTGCCAACAGGATTCGCAAGCCAGATAACAGATGCGGTACGACACCGATTGCACCGGTGTCGGTGCAATCGGTGTACTCAGTAGCAATCTGTGGCTGACCATCGGGCGTGCAGCGTGAGGCCAGAGAGTACTGGAAGAGTGCTCCTTACCGGAAAAGAGCTAGACCAGATATTTTTCATAGAGCAGAGGTCCATAAAGCGCAAGGTCGAGCGTCTTCAAGACACATTGCGCTTGAGTCTGGGTGCGCCGCCTCGTGCCTATCCGGCTCCCCTGTACGGCGCGCCAAGCGAGGGCGTTCTATGCCCGCGACCCAAGGGCACGGCTACACGAAGCACACGAGGACATCGATAGGCTGCGATGGATTTTCGAGAGAGGAGCTGGGGACAAATGAGGCTGAGAGATGGAGCGGGACGGCGGGCGTTGAGTATACGAAGCCTGATGGCAGTGATGGCGGGTGCTTACGTAGGTCAATAAACTGCCGGGCCGGGAATTGTGGCGGGCGAAGGGTCGCCGAGGACAGTGGGCGGGCGTAGTACGCTCGTTGTTCTCGTCCACAGCACGGCGCTCTGTCGCCTCCCTCCCCTCCTTTCCTCTTCTCCGGCTTCTTCTTCGGTTTGGTGCATCTCGTCCTGGTCGGCAACACATCATGTTATCTGGACGCTTCAGTCTACTCTGCCTCGCCACAACTGTACTAGCCACGCCTGCCAGGCTTGCAAGCGGGCTACATCACCGACGACATGTCTCTCACGAGAGCGGCCTTTTTGCGAGGTATGTACTTGTCTGAGCACCATAGGCGTAATAACGAATGCATGAGCACAGAACGTTCGCGGACGTACTCCCTCGCAACGACTGCGAACCTGCCGACCCCCAGGACACAGTCACGGACAGGTTGAACACCCTGCTCAACTCCTCGGGACCTGGATACACGCTGCCACTGTGTCCTAGCGAGTCATACTATATCACAGCACCACTACAGTTTGCCGCACATGACCAGGAGATCAGCACGGTGGGCTATCCGGAGGGCGACGACCGAGCCACCCTTGTCGTCTCGGGGGCGATCACCAATGGGGCAGGACAGACAACGGCGGTCATGGGTCAGTGCGCAGACTGCGACGATATTAAACTGCGTCATATCCAGGTGCGGATCGCTGTGCTCGCGTCGGTTGGCCGTAATGACCGGACGTCCCGTTGCAGATCAACGGCACTCGCGGGAATAACGGACCCATCAACGGTGGCGCTAACATTGAGATGGGCGGCGACAATTCCGGGCAGCTCATTGAATTCGTGCACTCCTTCGATCCCAGAGGCTGGTCATGCCTGCACATCGCTGAAGGGACCTTCAAATGCAACAACCAGACCATACAAAACAACGACATCGGGCCTTGCGGCACTGACGCGTTCCAACAATGGGCAGATGGTATAAGCATCAGTTGTATGAATACTGTTGTACGCAACAACATGGTCAAGAACCCGACTGTGAGTGGATTTTGGTTGGACAGCCGCAAGATTCCTCAAATTTGTTCAGGACGGTGGCATTGTTATCTTCGGAGCACCCGGTACACTGGTCGAGAACAATACAATCTGGATTGTGGATGTAAGTCATGTCGTACTTTCTCTAGAAGTGTGCTCAAAGTATTCCAGAACACTCTACTCGGTGGTATAAACATGGTGGACTACGATCCTTGGTCCGGCAACTACACCAACACAATCGTACGGAACAACCTCATCATGGGTGGCTTCGCTACCAGCGATGAGGAGCCCGGGGACGCGGACGGTACCAATTCAGAAGACGTCATCATCAAGTCAGTTTGACTGCCTGTAAGCCATCGCGATACTACTGACCACATGCTCCTAGGATCGGTATCGCCATTGGCCCACGCACATGGTTCGGCAACCAGTACTACCAGAACGTCAGCACGTCCGGCACCGTCCTGAACAACCAGCTCACCGGGGCATTCGGGTACGCCATGGCCATGTCCTCCGCGCGCAACTTCACCGTGCAAGGCAACACCCTCACCGGCAACACGTCCTTCATCGGCAGACGCGGCCCCAACTGCACCGCAGGCGACACAATACCCAACGCCGCCGGGTTCATCATCGACCCGAGCCTCGTCTCGCTCTCGACTGAGCAGTCCGGCTTCATGAACGTGAGCGACGGCGACGGCCTGACATGTATCCAGCCACCGGACGGGGGCGACTACTGGCCTTTCGGTGGGAACCCGTCGAACCCGGGCGCGGCATCTACCAGTTCGCCCTCACCCTCTTCATCCTCGTCGAGCGGCATATCAGGAGGCAGCAAGGCAGGCATTGCTATTGGTGTCATTTTGGCCGTCGCCGCTATCGCCGCGGCGACGTATTTCATCCGTCGCTGGGCACTTGCGCGTGCGACGGCCAGCGGCACCGAGCCCTGGCGTAGGTCAGGCTACCTCGGGAAGGGGAAGCAGCTCTCATGAGGACGCTGTTCACGCAGCCGAACACCTATCTCGATGACACTACTACTATTTCATCATGGGTTTATTGTTTTGTTCTGACACTTCGACTAACGAGCGCAACGTACCTTGCCACATCTATTTCTATCGTACGGTCCAGGATACTTTGACATGCTTACACCGACGCACCCCTCTACCCTGCGATATACCACTATCCCTTCAGGTCACTCTCCTTTGGTTGTGCTCGGACTGTGCTATTAGATTCTAGAATGTATGTGTAGCTGCATCGATAGAATGATCACAGTACCACATCAATGCAATCCTTGCTGTTCTGAATCACTGTCACCCTTATCGCAGGCCTAGGATCGTGACGGCCACCTTGAACCCTCCAAGAACACGCGGTGGTGAAGGTCCGACATACGACATACGCTTACTCATAGATTTAAGTTGTACAATACATAGCAGCTATTGGTTTGTTGCAAAGGGATACAGGAGGTATGTCATCAAGCGAGACCGCTACCAGCAAACAAGAAGGAAAGACCAGATGGACCCGAAGAACCACGCCTGCAGGATAGCTCCTGGAGCGGTCGGCCGCACTGGGCCAGCGCGGTAACCTGTCAAAAGCATAGACCGAAGATGAATAAACCAAGGGAAAGCGAAGGTACTGTACGCGAAACAAGACGTAAACCTGACTCTGGAGACCGTTGACGGTGGACTTGTGGTACTTGAATCAACACACGCCGAATAAGAGGGGAAGGAAGTCCGGGTCGAGTGGCTACTATGATGGGGTCACGCCTGTAGCCACGGCGACGTTCTCGCCGAAGGGTAACTGAGGCGACTTGATCTGAGACGGGTCCTTGACATTTACTGTGTATATGCCGTTGCTTGGTGGTGTTGGCTCGACAGTGGCTGGCGTAGCTGCGGGGTTGACAGAGGCGATGGTACCGTTCTGACTGGTTTTGAGAGGTTGCGACGTTGGGACGACCGGCTCGGACACGGAGTTGGATGCACTGTGGGTTGCAAGTGGCACCAACGAGTCAGCGTGACCGTTGGCCTTGGGATGTTGTACCAACCGTCGCTTCTTGTTCGGTGCGTCTGGGGAGGTACCGTTCGACTTATCCGTGTCCTTGACGAAGCGAGACCGACTTTCTTGAGTAGCTATCCAAAAATGTATTTGCGGATACACACCTTGCCGCTTTTGGGTCGTTTGAGCGTGGACCGAGGTTGCCGCTCACCCTCGTCGAAGACGTAGTCAGGCAGTGCAGTGCTACATAGCGACAGTTAGATGACAAGTGCACGGCATAGTGAACATAAGGGGGAAAGTGATACCTCTTGATATGTCGAACGGTGATCCCCATCTCGGGTTCAATGTACTTCTCCCACATCTTCACCTGCTTGGTGAACTCGGTAGTTGGGTAGGAGATGTCTAGCTTCCGAGGCCCCTTGGAGCCAGCTTGGATGCCACCAGGTCAGTCAACGTTACCAGCAATAGAAGCAGAAAGTATGTAAGAAGACGCACTTGGCTTAGGCTCGATCGCAAGGCCGATGTAGAAACTCGTCGTGTATACGGCTGTCGCGCCCTCCTTGCCCTCGACGTCTTCCTTCTTCCGCTTCGCAACAGCTTCTAGGACATCACCTTGCGCCACCGCACGGATTTCCTCTGGTGTCAGACAGTAGTGAACCTGGTCAAATCCTTTTATGAAAGGATGCGCCAGGGTCAGAGATTCGACATATTCCAGCTTCATCACCAACTGCCGGATTCTTGACTCGACTGTTCCCGACCTGTATGTGCGCGTAGTGAGCGGATTCCATGTCTTGCGCAGCTATCAAGCGCACCATTTGATCTGCAGATCCGAACTACGTGTTGAGGCGATAATTTGAAGGTAATAACGGTACTTGTGGAAGAAGTCATGCTTCGCAAAGAGTGCCGACCAGTCCGCCGAACCAACGATTATTCGGTCGACGATCTCGGAGCCTACCAAAATGTCAGTCTCCCCCGTACGGACCAGTGCTGTACCCGACCTTTCTTGAACTCTTCGGTCATGATCATCTGTGTTGAAGCAGTAACGTTGTGGGTTGCGCACATTGAGGGGTAGGCGGGTGTGATGATGGGCATGCGATGTGCTCTATCGGCGGGATAGACCTATGCGATATCAGACGCTGCAGACTGACCGCTACAGGGTCGAAGCAAACCTTCGGGTTCCAGACTCGGACTGGTAGTGGTCCTTCTTCAATTTGCTTGAGTAATACAGGTTGCGGCCATGTCCTACAACACGCGGTCGACAACCTCCCCCGACAACTAGGATAGCTACTGACCATTGGTACATGATGATGAAGAATCGACTAACAATTGCACCCGCAATTGCATTAGGATACAGCTGACATACTCGAGCGACTAGCATCGCCCAAGCCACACCTCCCAGAAAGCCATTGACGTTCGAGTAAATGGCCCTCCCTGAGTGTCATGAGCAGTTTGTCAACTTCTTGATGACGGTATACTTACGTTGCGCCCACAATTTGATACATCGAAGAGAGTCACGGAACACAGTCACGTTAGGTACAAGTCGCAGGATCTCGTCCGTGACTCGCGAGCCTGGTTTGCCTGTCAGCGTATGCGTAGACATATGCAAGGTAGAACGAACCGTTAAGACTTCGGACGCAGCGGTCGTCTAGATTCCGCAAAAGCTCGTCGTCTTGCAATGACAAGTCGTCCGCGATTGATGGCGAGGCTAACCGGGCCATGAGCAAATCTATGGGTATGCCATTGATCTTGGTTTTGATAATGGGGACGTATGCTTCGGGTACTCCCTGTGCGATGTCGTGAGTGAGTGGCATCGTTGTGCGTGAGTAGTAAGTAGCTTACGGAAGCCTCTGTAACACCAGGTTGTTCCCTCAGCATATCCTCGAAGACATCAAAGAAGTCGTCTCTTGAGACGTGTTTGGGCACGACACATAGTGTGTCGATGTCAGATCCTGGCCCGTGGACGCCTAGGCGATATGAACCGAAGGTGAAGATCTTGCCACCGGTTGCGCTGGCTGCGGTCTCGGACATTCCATGGGCAAGACCGACTTTTGTGACGAACTTCTTGACTAGGGCCGATAGATGACCAAGTACAATCTCTCTGTTGACATCCAGGGGGCAGTACGTTGGTCAGTATGATTCGATGCGGGGCGGGGGCTGAGCAAGAATCGCAAGGATAATGCGCCTGCGACAAGAAAGGAACCACCCTTCCTGAAGTTGCAGGCTGCCAGCATTCATTCGGTGATCGAGGTAGCTACTGTGCACAGAGGACTGTACGGTGTGGCTCTAATGCGGTGGATTGAAGCTGACGACTGGCATACAAGAACACGAACCTCGTTTTTGCCTCTTCCTCGCTCTCAAAGGTGCCCTGCTTTCTGAGCTCCTCCATGAGGGTGACAGTGACCTGCTTCTCCCTCTCGTTCGATTCGCTCGTGGAGATGGGCTGGGTCACGCCCAAGTATCTGTACAGCGGTATTTCAGTTCCGCGGACTTCACGTTGACCAGTGCTCAGACTTGCCCATCTGTTGTCGACATTGCGCGGCTCCCGGCGAGTGTGTGGAGAGTAGAAGCTAGGTGTAGTGGAAGGGAGGAGTACGCTGGCCTCTCGCCTGGCAGTGGCTTGTCTGACAAACTGGGAAAGGAGCAGTCTCGGCGGCAGTTCCCGAGAGAGCCCGTGCCACTCCTGGGCGCCAACGCCCTCTGCCCTCTCATGCTCTGGCTGGCCCATGCCAGGAAGCTCGCGACTCTCCCCCCCGCTCTGAGACATGCTCGCTGCTACAGCGCACGCGTGAAGGATGATTCCAGGTGGCCGGGTTGGGATGTGGTAGTCGGCATCGAAGTACACGCACAGATCAAGTCGAGAAAGAAGCTATTCTCCGGTCAGCCTAGCCGACACTGGCCTCGGGACTGTCTGGTCTAACATCGACGGTGTTTAAAGATGCGATCACGTACAGCGGGCTAGCAAACGTCTCCGTCTCTCCCTTCGACGCCGCCTTCCCGGGGACATTACCTGTATCTACGCGTCTTCTGGTTAAAATGGCACATGTTCGTTAACTCGCTCTGCCATAGCGTCTGAACCCGAAATGCGTCGAGCTCGGCGTGAGGACCGCAGTCGCGCTGAACGCCAACGTGCAGCGCCGCTCTGCCTTTGACCGGAAGCATTACTTCTATGCTGACCTCCCGGCGGGTTACCAAATAACCCAGCATTATGGTGCGTAGAGACATTCCTACACCAGTTTGAGCCCTGAAAGTCTGGCAATGAAAGCACCATTTGCTACCGGCGGCCAACTTCAACTCGAGATAAATGACACATGCGTTCGTATCAAGCAGATCCAACTTGAGCAGGTACGCTATGCACGTCGCGCTCCTCGCGTGACTAGCCATGACGAGCAACGCAGGACACGGGGAAATCTACTTTCGACCCAAGGAACCAGGAGTCCTCTATAGACCTGAACCGCGCTGGGGTCGGTCTCATGGAGATAGTCTCTGAACCTGACATGCGGTAAGCCTCTTGAAAGCGGTTCCTAATGACAGCTCAACCTCTACAGGTCACCAGAGGAGGCTGGACAGTATGTACGCGCTCTTCAAGCATTGCTGCGCGCCGTCGGATCGAGCGACGGGAACATGGAGCAGGTACGTGCACGAAATCTCGTAACAAACAGCGTCTTGACGGCTCCCAGGGGTCACTACGGTGTGACGTGAACGTCTCGGTCAACCGACGAGGTGAACCGCTCGGGACGCGTTGCGAGATCAAGAACCTCAACAGCGTTAAGTTCATCATGGTAGCCATTAGTATGTACACTGAGCTATCGTGACGTGTGTTCCTAGTTGACGCGCGAACAGCCTCTGAGGTTCGCCGGCAGATCGCCCTCCTTGAGAACGGTGGCTCCGTCTTGCAGGAAACGCGTGGCTTCAATGAAGATAAAGCCGAGACCTACTCATCACGTAGCAAAGAGGACGCGCCCGACTACAGATACATGCCTGATCCGAACCTGCCGCCATTGCTCATCGGCGAGGTGCGTTGGTCTTTGAGCATGTATTCGACAGCTGCTAATCGCAACGGGACATAGACGTACGTCTCGCAAATCCGAGAAACGATGCCAGAACTCCCTGACGCAACACGAGCGCGTCTGCTCGGGCTGGGGTTGTCGAGGAGAGACGCGGATGTCCTCATGGATGTTGACTCCGGGCGGGAAGTCAAGGATGACGGAGTCTTGGCCCCTGGCCCGGTCGCGTACTTCGATGAAGTATCGCGCGGTCGTGATCCCAAGGTCGTCGTGAACTGGTGGGTCATGCAGGCTGCAATGCGCGTATGATGTCTCACGGTGTACACGCTCCAGGATAACACATGAACTCCTCGGCCAACTGGCCTTCCGCGAAAAAGCCTTCTCCAACAACCCCATCGACGCCAAACAAATGGGAGAACTGATAGATTTGGTGCAGAGCGGGAAAATCACTGGTCCGTCTTAGTTGTCATGAAGCGTGTGGCGTGGCAGACGTTGACCCATATGCACAGGAACGGCGGGCAAGACACTCCTTCGGCATATGCTGGACAATTGCTCTGCAGAGATGCCTGCTGAATTGGCTAGCGAGTTGTCCCTGATTGCTGATGACGGCGCCGCGCTACGAAAATGGTGCACGCAAGCTATCAAAGCTCTGACTCAAGAAGCGGATGTGGTGCGTGGCGGAAATGTGAATGTAGTCAACAAGATCCTCGGGCATGTGATGAAGGCGAGCAAAGGGAGAGCAGATGCGAAAGCAGCGAGAGCGATGTTGCTTAAGCTGCTGAAGGGGGAGGAGCGTGACAGACCGAAGGGCGAAAAGCCTGGGGACAGCTGATGTGTAAAATCGTATTGTTACACCCCGCTTGCTAATCTTACAGGTCTTATGGCGATGTCTAGACAAGGACTTTCTTCTCCAAGAACCCGGACCACTCCTTTTCGCCCCAAGAGCTCGATATCTCATTGGCAACGATACCGTCCCAGAGCACCGTCGGGGAGACGTGGATGCTGTTCTGCCTGGAGAACTTGACTGTGGGTCGTAGGTGTGAGCGCTTGAGCAGCCTGGCGGCGCTTGAGCCTTTCCAACGACTTACTGGTGTACTTCAAGTCATCGGTTACGTCGACACCGCCATTCGGCGTCGACTTCAACGTCAAGAGATCCTGGAACGGAGCAGCTTTGTCTTCACCGATGGTCTGACTGACGAGGTCGGCCAGCTTCGCTCGGATCTGAACGGGCGTCAGGTTGGAGGTGGGAATGTCGAAATATTCTCCTTGCTGCTTGAAGAGCTGTCCCGCAAATCGGTCAACATCGACTGAGCACATGCATGACCAGCTGGGCGTCGTCTCTTACAGCCAAAGAGAACGTCCAGAAACTCTCAGGAGCTACGCGCGCGACCTGACGTTCCATATCAGTATGGGTCCATGAAGGCGAGGTGAGTTGGATACTGACCGCGAGACCCGCTTCGTGCACGAAGGTAGAGCTAGCATGCCACGGCTGCACCTGTGGCCTGAAGATGGCCTTGACCTTGCCATCGTACCTGCCTCCAGGACCGAGCAGGGGTCTCAGGACGCTATCAATGGCGAGAGACAGCTTGGCCGAGAAAGGGCACACATAGTCCACTGACCGCCAGATATGAGCTCAGGAACCTCTCAACGCAATTTGATAAACTCACGGAAGATGTCTAGCGTGTGGGGAGCGTTGGGGCTGCCTGCGATGATCAGGGGGCGAAGAGACGGTTGCAAGGCCATGGTAAGATGCTGGGCAGAGGCGGGTACCGAGGGACTATGTCCGCGGGCTCGAGGCAGTTATATAGCTGCATAGGCAATGTAGTGACACATCGTCATTTTGGCGTGGTTTATGATGATGTCGTGACCATAGGCTCGAATCGATACCGTGGATATGACCTGCGCGCTCCTCACCGTATCGCTGGTGTCAGCTGAACTTACCAATGTTCAATTGCAATCACGAACGATTGTCTGCTTCCTTTTATTTTGTTTTATTCGTTTAAGTCGAACCAATACTCTGTTCTTCCGCATATCTCACGAAGATATCCGCGGAGACCGGTGGGCATTCAGAAACGCGAAAGTGGCGCAGGCGCCGACACGTCTGACGCGTCCCACGTGACTGGCTGAGTTATGAATTTGGCAAGTAGAGACCAAGTAGAGACTCGACCCTGTACCAGTTCGAGTCTACTGGCTCGTTGCACCGTTTCGCAACGATGACCTCCGCCCGATTCTCCACATTCCTCACACAAATAGCCCAAGCCTTGCGCGAAGAAAAAGGCCCTCAACTTGCCTACCTCCTCAAGCCCACCAGCGAGCATGGCAAACAGCTGGTGAAAGAATTCAAGAACCCAACGGTACGCACGGAACCCGGCGCATGTGGTGCATTACTCACTTGGAGAAGCTCAGCGGCAATCCCTATCGTACTATGAGGGCAGCATGGAGGGCCCGTGGGACGAGATTGCGATACAGTACGTGCTGGTCGTGAATCACTGCGCGAAGCGACGTGCCGCAGAGGCGTTCAAGGAGGAGTGCACGCTTGTCAAGTGAGTGTTCAAACCTGGAGGACTTCTGAGTGTTGCTAAAGCAGATTGGTGTTCAGTCATCTCCTTCGGTACTTCGCGGCCAATAGCGGATGGACGTTGCCCGCCCTGTTTTCGATTCTGCGGGACTTGCGAGACTTGGCGTTCGACGTGGGTGCTCCGTTCACTTGTGGCGGTTTGTGTCTCAGTATGAGGATGCAGGCAGATCTTGAGGCAAGCTCAAGAGGGCAGGAGGGTACTGCCAACATGGAGGAGGCTGCGCGAATAATCAGCAAGGCGTTCTCCAGCTGTGTCACAGACAGGCAAGCATGGTACCTCAACTTCATCCTACGCAGTTGTTCATCTGTTCAACCGCAGGATGTCGCCATACGCTGAATCGCGTAAATGGGGCGTGTACTATGTCGTCGGGCTCATCCTGAAATGCTACTTCCGGGTATGTAGCGCACAGTGCGGTTCCCAATCCCTAGTGCTAAGGTGCATTCCAATGTGGTCCGTGACGGTCCACCCAGGTGAAACGAATATCGCTCTCGAAGAACATCCTCCGGGCAATCGATGCAAACCCTGACATTCCACCACTGTCTACATACCCACGATCTCATCAAGTTTGTATAGCGCCCTCGTATACCCCTGACCATCCCTAACCATTCGCAGGTAACATACAGATATTATCTTGGCATGCTGAGTTTCCTGAATGAAGACTTCGCCAAGGTCAGTTTCGCACTGAAGGTAAGTGCGCCGATGAATTGAATAACATCTCTTGCTTGGCAGGCGGAGCAGGAATTGACACTTGCGTTCTACAACTGCTATACAAAAGCGCGTGCAAACCAGGAGTAAGCGATACCTGTGCTGTCGTGCAATCCATTGCTAATATCATGTTCCAGGAGGGTGCTAACATACCTGATTCCACTGCGCATTCTCCGGGGTCATCTACCATCCCGCGAACTACTCGACCGCTTTCCGGTGCTTGACGACCTGTTCACACCCTTCATCAGGGCCGTTCGAACCGGTGATATTCGTGCATACGATTCCGCGCTGGATCAGTGTGAACGACGTCTCGTGGACCTGAACCTGTACCTTACGCTCGAAAAGGCTCGAGAGCTCTGCATCCGTGGGCTTTTCCGCAAAGTGTACGTGTTCTCCGGCATCCCTCGCATACACGTACTGCGCTGACAATCACTGACGCGGACCGCTATCTTGGTGGACCTGGGTGTATCCAGGTGGATCGCGTCTTCAAAAGGCACGCGAATACCTGTGGCGATGTTCCATTCGTCCCTGCAGATAGTAGGCATGGACGTCTCACTCGAAGAGGCGGAGTGCTTCGTTGCCAACCAGGTTTACAAGGGATTCATGAAGGGATACATCTCGCATGAGAAGCAAATGGTTGTCTTGTCCGCTGTGAACGCTTTCCCTAGGCTGGCGGACCGACCATCGCCTTATGCACTGTTGTACTAGTTATGTAGAGCGATTTGTGTATTCGCGACCTGTCCGGACTGCCAGTGTCAACTGCTCCGAGTCATGCCTGGGTCGTGTGGCAGTGACGCTGGCGACTCACCCACTCGCCGTGACGTCGCTACCTTGCTTTGTGTGTACAGTGTTACCTGTGTGGTTAGCATGAGCACCGCTATGCCACTGTATCTCGAGACACTTCGAACGGAACGTTCGTTTATATTGGGACAGCTTTGATAAGAAGCGCAACCCATGGATGTCGTAGCCACAGCCCTCCCTTCAGCTTCAGCCGCTTCGATAGTCCAGTCGTCTCGGATAAGGCAGATGCTGTGCATACCAATTTCTCCGCTGCATGCTTCATCTATTTGGGGTCCACACAAGGTCCACATGATGTTGAACGAAGACAAGAGACGCCGTACCCGGTACCGCTTTTGCCTGTTGTATTATTATAAACATGGAGAGGTGCGCTCGCAATCAACCCGCCTTCGCGCACCTATACGCTGAACCACCATGGGCAACTCATCTTCGAAATCGCCCAAACAAGCCTCCTTTGGCAGATCGGACTCGATATCCAAACCGAAGGCACTCGCCTCCAACGCGGATCCAGGAATCAAAGAGGATCAGCACAACGGAACCCCTGGTGGCGTATCTCAGGCTCGTGTGCACAGACATGCTACGGCGCAGGTCTCGCATAGCCCAGGCTATCTATCTGCTCACACTGCTGGCCCACATCGACGGAGTAGGTCTGCGGTAGCCATGTTGAATGCGTCGCGGGCCGTCCGCGAATCTGCCCCACCTCCGTACGAAGTGGCGGTGGGCGCCGGTATGCCCGGTCCAAGTACCCTCGCCGTTCCACAAGCCAATGTCAATGCGAGACGGAGGTCGTTCGCGGGTGCGTCGATTGTCCGTGCTCCGGCTGGAGTGCCGTCGATGTCGGTAGCGGAGCGCATGGAGGCACTGAGGCGACCAATGCGCCAGAACAGCGTAGAGGATGCCTTAGAGACATTGCGCAAGTATAACACCGTGATTGTGGTTGATGACTCTGGGTCGATGGCAGGTAGTCGATGGAAAGAAGTGCGTTCTCTCATACTACTAAGACAAACAACGTGCTGACAACGCGACAGGCTCGGAATGCATTGGCAGCCCTGGCGGGCATTGCATCAAAGTATGATACCGATGGGATTGACGTCTGCTTCCTGAACAGTAAGCATGTCGGGAACAACGTGAAGGTGCGTGCATCATGAGTCTCGCTTACTTTGAATTAACGCGAGCTGCACACACCAGGACCCAGAACTCGTCCGACGATTGTTCGATACAGTAAGGCCTGGGGGACCCACGCCCATCGGCGAGAAGCTAGAGACTCTGCTCCTGTATTACCTTGACGGTTTGGAGAGAGCCAAAGCCCGCGCGGACGAGGGGGATCACTCCTTCATGAAGAGCATCAAGCCAGTCAATTATATCATGATCACAGACGGCGCCGCAAGTAAGCACCCTCTTTCACGACCGATTAAACCGATATTTATTACCCTCCTGCGTAGCGGATGATCCTGAAGCTGTTATTGTGGCAGCTGCCCGGCGACTCGATACGCATAACTTCCCGCTTACACAGGTCGGTCATATTAATTCCGAGCGTTCTTCACAGGCTCATTACTTTGGGGTCGCAGGTCGGAATCCAATTTGTTCAGATTGGTAACAGTCCGGATGCCACTGAGTTCCTGAACGAGCTCGACAACGGACTTGGCCAGAATTATGGCATACGCGATATCGTCGATACTACACCTTACTTAGGCGGTGAACTGAACGCAGAAATCATCATCAAGATCCTGCTCGGAGGGATCAACCGACGAGTCGACAAGAGGGGCGGCCAGAGCGTTGTCTGACCGAGGATCCATGAGTTCCGTTGCCGACTTGTTTCATTCATGACACTTCTGTAATCTTCAGTTGACATTTCTTGTGTGCGCCTCGCATCCCCCTTGTAGCCGTTATGCCTTTATGCCCATACTATCTCTGTAGCGTTATCTTCTACGTATGCTTCTGCAATGCTCACAGTACCGTATTTTCACCTATCCCAATCCTCCAATGCGAACGCGAATACACCAAACGCCGGTGCAGCTTCACCAGATCCTGCCGCTAAACTCTCCACTCCCCGCCTGATGAACCGAACCAGAGCATCCAGTTCTGACGACATCTTGTCTAGCCGGTCTACGAAGCTCTCGTCCGGCGCTGACATCGTCGACGCACCCAGCGAGAACGACGGCTCTGGGGCATTGGCCTTGAGGCGGTCGTCATCAAAGTCTGAGTCGCTCTCGGAGCTGTCGTCGGCCTCCCCTTGCATGCTTTGCGAGAACCCGATGACGTCCTTCTTCTGGCGGCGTACCCGACGGCTGCGGTGTCGCTTCATGACGAGGATAGAGTGGCGCGAGATGTCGTGTGTCGTATCGCCCGCGAAGGCGACGAAGCAGTCGCTAAAGTGGATGGACATGTCGAGGATCGATACGATTGCACGTTGCAGAGCGTTGGTCTGACATCAGGCGTCAGCAGAAGTCATAGGACATTTTGCTTCAACAACCAACATTACGCTGAAGAAGACATCGACTTTCCATCTTCGCCAGGCTACCGAAGGAGAAGTGTCAGATGTCGTAGTAAGGCCTCAGACAATACACACTCACTGTTCATCGTGCAGTCGAATCATGTCGTTCAGTGACACGGCTTGTCGGAAGTCTTTGTGGAATCTGAGGACTTCCGCGTCCAAAACCTGTGCACTACGTGTCAAAAGCGGAGTTTCACCTCACATGCGATACCTCACATTTGTAGCCACAAAATTCAGCAACGTACTGTCACTCGGGTCAGTAATAGATGTGAAGGTGAGATGACCGACCTACTTCACAAACCATGACAGTTTACTGCGCATGGCATAGAACGCCTTCATCTCGCTCGCCATGTGCGACGCATGCCCCATCGCACCTCGAACCAGGATGCGCTCGAGCACGCTCTTGGCTCGTCGTATCTGTAACACGAGAGTGAAGATAGAAGAATAGATCTGCATCGCCTTCGGTCCGAAGACATAGGTCAAAGGGAACGGGATGGCGTACTCGATCGAGAAGCCGTCGAGTGCTCGGACAGTCCGGTTGACGGACTTGTCCTTGCTGCCTTTGTGGGAGAAGCGCACGAGGGAGGTATCGACCCAGCGGTGTGTTCCAGCTTCCGCGACGTCGCGGAACGCGGTGTTCAAGAAGTGGAAGTCATTCCACGCTTGCTTAGAGTCCATCTACGTCCGCTGAGTGTCAGTGTGTCCGAGAATATTCTGAAGTACTCTTACCTTCGTAAACAAGATATCGACGAAATGAGACATGGCGTCGCCTCTGCGCATTAAGCACACGCTCTCGATCGCGGAGAGGTGCAACATCACGTCGCATTCGTCTACCAGCACTCTTTGAAGTGTTTCTTGTGCCAGGGAGCAGTGGGGCCACACCGCATCATGCAAAGTTTGAGACAGATTTTCCGTGGAGGTGAATAATAGTCTAGATGCAGGAGGATCACCGCCTTTAAGTTGACCTTTCGCAGTGCCGAGTATCGCAGAAAATGACGGCCAATGGGCCATCCATGACCCAGGCGTATCGCGGTCCAGCAGCGCCGCGATTTCCAGTACACGGAGGAGACCCACAGCCTTGCCAGCGTCCAATATGCTCTTCGCCACGCTGTTGAGAAAAACAGGGACCGCCGTCCGCCTTGGCGCATCGCCATCCCCGCCTTCTTGGCGTAACACAAATCCGTCCGTCCAGAAATCGGGGTCGAATAACGGAAGCTCGTTATCTTCCACGAAGAACTCGTCGTCCAGCTCTGAAAAGCGACTATTGTGGTGTGATGTGATCTCCCGCACAGGCATACCATCCTTCATCCAGCGACCTACCATTGCCCATATCGGTTCTGCTGACCCGCTGAAAACGCTCATCAGAGCATCGGCCGAGACGTAATCGCCCATCGAGACGTGCTCCTGGACGGCAACCAGTAACGAGTCAAGGAGCAGCGCACCGAAAGTAGAGGGCGGCATCTTCATTGGGAGCTCTGGGAGCGTCCAAATGTCGACCACCGGCTCCGAGGTCCGCCATGCGCGTCGGGTGACCTCGCGAACGACATCGAGAATGACGGTGAACGTATCGGAGAAGGTATCCCGGATCGTCTTGTCCAGGCTGAGCAAGCTTACGACAAGTGGCTCTCCGGCACCTGCTTGCGCGCGGCAGATGTCCTCTTCCCTGGCGGCGCACCATGCGTTAAACGCTCGAAGTTGACCATCGACTGCTGCAGAGAACGCCTCGAGAGTGAGCGTACTCTGCCGATAAATGTTGAGCAGATGCATGGGTCTGTCCGGGTCCCTGTCGTCTTTGCCGGCTTTTGCGTATATGGCGGAGACGAACATTCGTAAGTGCTGCAGAGTGGTGGCTAGCCGAGCAAAGGAGGTCAAGATGGAATGTTGAGCACCAGCAGTGAGATGGAGCAGCTTCAGTGTCGCGTTGGGCTAAAAACATAAGGATCGCGAGACGCAGAGCAGAGTGAGGTTGTATGCTACTCACGGTGAAGGAGAACGCATCCCCCCCGCTCGATAACCAGCCCAACATCATATTGCGATCTCCTTGTAAGGCCATGAGAACCTCACGAACAGCGTCATGCTCGTGTATATATTTCTAGTGTTTTAGGAGTATTTAGTATCAGTTGACGAACGGTGAAACAGCCTACCTGTCTGGATGGCCCGGCAATTCCGTTGGTGTGTTGATCTCCGAGAATGCGATACATTGTGGGGCCTATGAGCGCAAGTCAGATCCATTCCTGTGCAGACAGTAATATACGAACCCAGGGTTGAGGCGTCCCCAATGTTGAAAGCTCGGGTTGTCGAGGCATCCGTCCTCCATTCCGAGCGCCAGTACTGCCGGGCTTGTAAGTCCTCCACGTCTTGACGATGGCGGTAAGCAGCAGGGGGCAAGTAGGGCTTGTCGATGCCACCTGCGGCTTCAGGTGGTAGTGCGTCCTCATCGATATCCGGAATGGAGGAGGAGGTAACAGATTCGTCCAGATCTGAATCGTCCCATGGCGAAAGAGAGGGCGTGCTACTTCCACTCTGCGCACCGAGCTGGTCGTCAGTACTTCGGGGATAGATGCCCTCCCAGTGCTCTCCCTCGAATGGTTCCTCAGCAAGAATAGCTTCCCAGGTAAGACCTGGAACAGGTCTCTTGGGGTTGCTCAGCCCATCCAAATAATCTTCTGCGCGTTCGAATGTGGCTTCATCCGGGGGACTCGAAAGTGTAACCTACAACATTTTGAACAACGATGCAGAGATGGAAACCGAATACCTAGTAAATACCAAAAATTGCAGATGGGCAGGCAAAAGAACCGTCTACGGTATGTCGGTATGTGTGTAAGTGTATCAATGTCTAGCACTTCACCTTAATCTCGGAGTCAAGGTCATTGTTTTTCTGGGCCTGTGTCTTCAGCGTTCGAAGGGCAGTTTGAAGAGCATCAGCGAACGTGTCATGGGAATTGATGCGAGCTTTCTGTATGTGCCTATATCCGTCTGTAAATACTCGACGTGATACGAAGGCGTTATAACCATACTTACCCTCGAATGAGCTTATCCATCGTATTCATGTCCACATTCCCCGATGGCCTTGTCGTGAGGTCGAGATTCTTGGACAGGAACTCGACGGCAGTCCGGAAGTTATCCTCGTCATCCTCAGCACGAAGTCCCGTTACCCGCGTCACAAGTTCCTGGTAGCGTGGTACCAGACGCGTCGACTGTCGCGAGACAGGACGCTGAGAGAGGCGCGAACCAGGTCTTTGAGTGAAGCGAGAGCTTGGTCTAGTAGACAAGCTGGATACTGGTCGTACGGATGATAAGCTGGACGCGGGCCGTACACCAGACAAACTCGACGCTGGTCTCGCGGCGGACAGACTTGAAGTTGGTCGTGTGGGGGCACCAGACGAGCCACGGGACGATCCGTTCACCGTAGGTGCGCTGGATGAGGGTCTCATCGAAGCTACTGATGACGGGCGCTGGGGCCTGGATGCTGGACGAAGAGGCGCACTGGAGGATGCAGACAGCCCGGGGTCTCCGCTAGTAGGTTGCGTGCCCCTCGCCCGGGATGGTCCTCCGGAGATAGATGGATACATGTTGCCTGTTCGCGCGTGAAAAGAGCAACTCAACTAGCTGATGCGTAGAAACTGGTGCAGTGTAATCTGCCGCAGTCGCGGTCGTACCAAGACGAGTCGCTGAGACCGGGTTTCACTTACTAGCGGGAGGCTCAGGAAGGACGCCAAAGAGCGCGTAGGCGCCCGTGTCGAGAACACGCTGTCGCGCAACTGTCGCGTGACATAACGCGTTCATACGCGCGTCACACGGCTTTGCATCGTTGCACTTGCAGATAGTGTTGCCGCGAGTTAAGGTCACCTCGCACTCGAGTTGCAACTCGACTCGACGGCATCTCGGCGCGCCACCTCGAGGCCCCTCGAGCCCACCTCGAGTCACCTCGAGTTGTCAGTGGCGCACGCGGAGCACATGGAGGAACGGTCACGTTATTGACGCGTTCACCTTCTTCAGCTGCGACGTGTCCCGTCCTAGCGCATGTACGACGTAGATCAAGCTACAGCTCCCCGTAGAGGATAAATTCGAAAAAATGATCGACGACATCAAAACTCTCCGCTAAGCTCTCTAGCAGTGCTATCGTGCAGCGGGTAATGCTGACGTGTGGGGAGTCGTCATTCAGGATGGCATCCACGCTGACTCCTGAGTAGAGAGCGGCATATAAAGCCACCGGTATGCTATGTACAGTGATGAAGGAAGTGAAAGAGATGGACGCGCGCACAACACAGCCTAGCACGTCTCGCGGACAACCCACCCAGCCAATCCCACCCTACATACCTTCCGAGACGGAACCCCACTGGTACTTTCCACAAACTGCTGATCCTGATACGTACTTTGCACCCCCGACTCAGCCTTTCCCGTCTGGCAGTCACTTGCACCATCCCCTTGCGTATCTGCCTCACGGTGTCTGGGCTCCAACTCCGAGTCAGCCACCTGGGCCTGTGTCTTACTTGGACTATACTACCTACATGGCACCAACCGCTCCCGGCGTGCAGCCGGCAGGCTACACCCTCCCGGTCACCCCTCCTCCTCGGCATGGCGGCACGGCGGTCACAATTGTGCTCACCCCAACGCGGACGCAGGGTCGATCAAAACGGAAAAAAGACGCTTCGGAGGGAGATGGTAATGGTCACAGCCGCGCTAAGAAACGGCCAAGGCAACGTGCAGCGAGAGATGAGATTGAAGTGCGTATGTCCGTTGTTACATGAAGACTCGGCTCTGACCTGTTTTCAAGATGTCTCTATCTACAGCAGTTTTCGGTGTAGGGCCCGCCGGCCCTGCTACCGCCCCAGCTTCTCCATCTCCCGAGCCGCCGGTTGGTCCCTTAGGATCGCTCGTGCGCCAGGCAGCGGGCAATCGGAAGCATGCGGCAGCAACTGACGTGTGGTATTTCGTCGACGCCTTGAGTACTGTCACACCTGGGAGTGTGCCGGTCAACACTGAGCGTCTGTCGACTCGGCCTCACGATGCAGCATTTCTTCGCTGTTACCTCTGGTAAGCTTGAGCAACATTCGTACGACAGCCCATGTAAATCATGTGACTTACCTCTTTAACGTTGCACCCCTCAGTTCACTTGTCAACAAGGTGCATACATGGCAGAACTCGTCGGGCCAAACTGGTGCTATCCGTGAGCACTTGAAGAAGTCGCACATCAAGGAATGGTCGGAAGTGGTGAAAGCAAAGAAGCTGAAGGGGTGGGAGGAACTCGCCGGCATGGCGGGACCAGCTCCTGTGCGGCGGCATCATGAGCCATATACACAAGAGGGGCTGCAACGCCGAATGGTCAGATGGATGGTTGTTGACGACCAGGTAAGTACACCCACTGTTGGCTGTGATTGTGTAGCAAAGTCAACAGGGATAAACAGTCACTCTATGTCGCCGACAATCCGGAGTTTCGTGAACTACTCACATATGTGGGCGGTCCCAATTTTGACAAATCCGACATTCCCCACCGCACCAAAGTGCGCGACCTCATCACTGAACTCTACAACCTCACTATCAGTGATATGAAGATCGAGTTTAAGGCTCGTTTCCTGCTGCTCTTATCAGTGAAAACAACTAATCAGCCTGAGATTCATTAGAACGCACTTGGCCGTGTATCCTTCACATCTGATCTGTGGACCGATCATCAACAGCGGGGCTTTATGGCTATAACAATGCACTTCTGTGCAAAAGACCAGCAACGACAACTTGTCATCCGCTCTCGATTGGGCGCATTTCGCTATGTGCGCGGTAGCCACTCGGGATCCAATCTCGCTACACGTTTCTTCGAAGTAATTGAGGATATGGGATTGCTACATAAGGTATGTCTCGGTCTGCTGTTTACGTGGTGGCGACACAATGTGATTCTGAACTCTCAGCTTGGAATGATTACACTTGACAATGCGTCAAACTGTGGCACTATGATGGAGTCGCTAGAAGCGATCCTCAAGGCAAAAGGTATTCCGTTCTGTCGGATTGGTAACCGCATACGGTAAGTGAGTTCAAGACGTGCTTGCGGGCAATGCCTCATGTCGTATGAAGTTGTTTTCCGCATGTTGTCAACATTGCTGTCCAGACCGGTGTCCGGCAGCTGACCGATATCCCAGACGATGTCTATCATGACAACGTCGCTACGACGGATCCTGTCCTTGCATTTGCCTTCGATGAGGGCGACTTCGACCTGTCAACCAATGCCGCACTGTTTGAAAGCCTGGAGTACCTTGATGCACTGCGTGCAGACCCAGTTGTGCAGGCACGCGATTTGGTTCGCGTCTCACGAGCTTCACAACAGCGCCGTGAAGAGTTTCAAGATACAATCAAGGAAGGCAACACACAAAAGGCATTTGGCGACCAACCACTACCGGAAGCCGTCTTACTTCAAGACGTCGACACTCGATGGTCCTCCCTTTATCTCATGATTGACCGGGTCCTTGAACTCTATCAGGTATGTTAACAACTCACGATAGAATCACTATCTATTTGCAAGCTCATTGTTTATCTCAAGGCAGTCCATAAATTCCTCCAGCGACCACGTCAAGATGCTATCAAGCACTATGCCCTGAGTAGGGAAGCCTTGGAGGTACTGCAGGACGTGCGTGAGTTTCTCCAAGCACCACACATGGTACAGGAGGTCCTTTCGGCGCAGAAGACACCGACACTCAGCATGGCACTGCCTGGATACGAGAAGCTGATTGTTCTTCTCCGCTTGCTGCGAAAGAAACTCCCACGCATCGCTCATGGAATTGACGCGTCAATTCGAAAATTGGAAGAATATCTCGGACGATCGCGCGAGACGAAGATCTATGTAATCGCAATGGGTATGACTTGCTCGCATTCTCTCACACTCACATTAACCATTTCCTTAGTCATCAACCCGACGATGAAGATCGAATGGCTTCGGAAGAACTGGGGTGAGCGTGATGGCAATGAGGCGCGGAAGCTCTTACGGGATACGGTACGATGACTGTCGTGATATGAGCATCACTAGAATTTCCCTGACATCCTCCTATAGATGCTTGAGTTCCGCCGTGCAGCGCGTACTGTGACTCATCAAGCCGGTCTACAACACGAAGATAATACAGTTGATCCCTCGACAAGCTCTTCTGCCGATGAGTTGAGAGGCCGGCACGCTCTCACGCAGGCTTCTGTGCGAGCTGCACGAGCACAAGAGACGGGGTTTGCACGCGTCGACGCACTGATGGCGTCACTCTCTGCGGAGAGCATTGACCCTAATGCGCCGGCCACTGCCAGCAGCGGGGCTCGACATGCGTCCCGCCCTCTCACTGCGGAGGAGCATGCGCGAGTGGAGCGCCAGGCATGCGAAGAGGACGAGCGCGTGGTTGAGGCGGAACTCAAGCAGTACGAGGCTGACGGACAAGTTAGTAGCGTTGGCTTCAACTTGCTGCAATACTGGGAGGTACGTCCTACAGCCACCAAATCTTGTTTCCGAACTGACCTGCCAACCGTACTTGGGCCGCCGGGATATCTGCACTCGTAGGAGAATGAATTCAAGTACCCAGCAATCTACCATGTCGCGCTGGATGTTCTCCCCGTCCAAGCCTCCGCCGTACCATGTGAACGCGCCTTCTCGGCAAGCAAGGAGACCGATACTGATCGTCGCAGCAACCTCGATGTGACGACAGTCGAGATGCTGCAAGTCCTCAAGTATGGCTTCCGAGAAGATCGACTAACGTTCACGGAAGGTTGGGCTGGTGATAGGGTGAAGATGGCGCATGTCGAGACGGACCCAGATGGTGTGCCGTCGGACGAAATTGATATGTTATTTTCTCAAGGTAGAGTCGATGAGCTACTGACGTTGCTTCATGAGGCGCGCGCGGCTCGCAACTAGATGCAGACTCGTTATATGCTTGAGTACTACTACGTGCTGTGGTGGCCTGATGGAATCGGACAACGTGCACCTATATCTCTACAATTCTGTATCGCAGGTCACGGCCAGTGTGCGATGTTCAACGCTGCGCAGTGGTTGGCTGCGCGGATAGCCGAACTCTTTCGGTATATGCCGGCAAGCTCGAGGTAGCTCGAGGGCAGCTCGCTTCACCTCGAGGGCTAACGAGTTATCAACTCCGACGACTCGAGGTCAACTCGACCTCGACTCGCGGCAACACTACTTGCAGACCAAGGCTCTTCATCTTCCGCTTCATTCGCCAACATGGCCTCTCGTGTTGCCGCTAGCCGGCTCTGTGGTACGGTTAACTCTTATAGGCTATGCACAAGGGCGTACTCTACGGGCAAGCCGTTTACTTCGGTTTCGAAGGCGACGCCGAGGGCTGCTTTGCCTCGCACCAAGCTTCCAGCGGCCAACGCGAGCATGACCACCGCAAGGCCCAATCCAAGTGGTAGGGCGGGCGACACAGTAATCGTTGATGATATCCCGCCAGAAGCGTTGTCCACGCCGCCGGAGAGCATCCCGTCGTCTTCCGTGCTCGCCTCTACCATTGCGCCCTCGCCACTCGGCACTGAGCCTGACACTCAGCCTCCCTCGGACGGCACACCGACGGACTGGTCGAAGAGCTACCATGGATTGTCTACTCAACCGTTTTCCAAGGAGGTTGCGGACGTCCTGCTGTCTCCCATTGATCCTCTCGACGTCGAGATGAAGCCAGGTATGGATGTCTTGCTTGTGTTCGCTCGCGTTGGCCAATCTTTTATGCTTGTAGACGGCCTGATATACCTGCCGGAGATCAAGTACCGGCGTGTGCTTAACAAGGCATTCGGTCCAGGCGGCTGGGGCCTTGCCCCGCGGAGCGAGACTCACGTCGGGCCAAAAATCGTGAGTAGAGAGTATGCACTCGTCTGCCTCGGAAGGTCAGCCACTTCTTGTATGATTTTCGTGTCGTCAAGCTCATATTAAGTCAGACTCGTTGCCATTGCACGAGGCGAGCAGGAGTACTTCGACCCTAATGGCATCCCTACCGCAACAGAGGCGTGCAAGAGTAACGCACTAATGCGCTGCTGCAAGGATCTCGGCGTGGCGAGCGAACTCTGGGACCCTCGCTTCATTCGCGAGTTCAAGGCAAAGTATTGTGTGGAAGTCTTTGTTGAGCATGTGCCGACCAAGAAGAAGTCAGTCTTGCCCTCAGTCGTTCTGCTGTCTATTGACCAACGCGGCCTGCAGGAAAAAGCTCTGGAGACGCAAGGACCAGCCGAAGTTCGAGTACCCGTACAAGGAGTAATCATAGATCGGCCTCAGCACTGTCCTTGCTCTCGGATTACTCTACGCAACCGCATTAGATCTGCTAATAACATTCTCAGACCACTCCTCGCACAGTCACAGCAATAAATCAAAAGACACTAGATCTATTTCACAGTGCATAAATTAAGCGGTAAGTTACTTCTTCGCGTTCTTGCGCCTGCCTTTGCTCTTCGCAGGGGAAGATTTCGTCTCCGTCGTCTCAGTTGCGGTTGTTGCGGCGGGAGCGGGAGAGTCCTCCTTTGGAGCCTCTCTCTCAACTCTCGGAGGTGGCTGGTCGGTTCCTGCATTTGAGTGCATGGCTTTCATTACGATGTTTGCAATCCCGCCGGAGGCAATCATGAGAACCCATCTCGGGAATATGATGAGGGTCTCGTAGAAGTACTTCAAAGCCAGACTGAAGTAGTGCAAGGCAGGCTCCCTGTGTTCCGACGTGTCACCGAGGGATGTCATGAGTATGGCAACGAAGCTTACCATGAACCACCGGGAGCGAAGGGTGAGTCCCAAGGCTGGTTGTCGCGCCATCTCTCTTGAAGAAGGAAGTCACGGAGCATCTCTGGCTCGAGCCTAACGGCGTTGGTCTTGTAGAAACGCAGAGTCTGTCCGCGGTCGGTCAAGACAACCAGGTATGGCGCTCTGGACTTGTTTGAGACTAGATTCATGATGTGTGCAACTGCCTCAACTCACTGCCAAATTGACCACTTGGTCGTGATGTACGTGACGTTGAGGTAATCCACGCGTCCCCAGCGGACGTTGGGCAGATCACCGGCGATGACAGATTCATTATATGCCTTGTCGAAGGAGTCATCGAGCTTCAGGGATAGGGCGTTCTTCCCACCCTTCGAGACCGAACTGCACTAAATCTCAGCAAGACGTTACACCGTAAAGGGGTCGTGCGTACATCACCAGGAACCACAAACGGTCCGCCTCTTCCTCTGGCGTCGACGACTCCTTCACAATGATCTCTTCGTAGTTGGTGTCCGTTATAAGGGGTACTCGCGGGTCCCACATCTCCTGCTCCGCCAAAGCCGCTGCTTCGGCCTGCGCGAGCTTCTCCGTCATGTTCACGCCAATCTTAGACGCGATGAAGTCCACCGGCCCTGACGTGAGCACGTTCTTGAAGCTGAACTTGGGCGCCTTGCCCTCTTGAGTCGGTATGGGCTGCTGCACCCGATGGTAGGCCTGCGTTGGGCGGGCCTCCTCTGTCACAGGCTGTCCGGGCTGCCATCCGTCTGAGAAGTACTGCGCACTTGCGGACAGCGCGAACGCCAGCGACGCAGACAACACCGGCAAGAGCTTCATGGTGGTGGAAGGAGAGGAAGATGGGTGAGGACGTGATATGCTCCGCCGGACCTGACCAGCCCAAGACAATAATACGTCGGAGGCAGCATGGTGGGTTATGATGATAAGCCCCGAAAAGGAAGCGTGCCTGGGATAGAGAGGAGGCGATAAGTCCCTGGAGGGAAATCTGATTTCCCGAACCCATCTTTGCTTCCGCCAATTACGGCGCTTCACCTACTCATGGGCGCCTCCGCGACACGCAGTAGGCGCTTGCGCGGTCGCTGCAGTGCTCCGGTCGCGGCGACGGCGGTGCAAGGCCTCCCACTGACGGTAACAGCGCTCTTGGTTTCGCATTCGCCTGTATTTTCATGTTATATCTCTAAACCGACGTGGACCTCTGCGACGACACTTTGAAAACGCTTGACCGCTTGTGCTTGGCCAGCTGTGATCTATTTGGTGCGAGGGACACTGCAAGATGTTCCACGCGTCACCTCTCAGACTGCTCTGGGCACTCCTGCCACTCTGGCTCACCTCGCACAGTGATGCGGCTCCTACAGACGGTAAGTGTGCGTGCATGTCGGGGAATCTACGCTCCTAAACATATATCAGTACCGTCGGCTGCTTCGTTCTATGTGCACAACCTACCCGACCTGCACCAGAATGCGGACCACCCGTTGCGCATATTCTCAGGACACCTACCGTCCGACCCCAATGCCACAGATACACCGGATACGGAGGTCACCGCACATCTGTTCTTTCTCATGATCAAGAACAGACGAATGGCGGACAAGGAACGGCTCATGTTCTGGTTCAATGTACGTGAATAGCATCACGTTGATGGCACTCCGTGGGCTCATGGACTGACTAGGGTGGACCTGGATGCTCATCCTTCGACGGCTTGATGATGGAAGTTGGTCCCTGGCGATTAGACGGCAAAGGTGGCCTGAACGTCATTGAAGGAGGCTGGGAAGAATACACGACCATGGTTTACGGTGCGTCGCGCGCTCGTTATCCCATCTGCATTCCCCCGTATCTCATGGCATCGCACAGTCGATCAACCTGCAGGGGCCGGTTTCTCGTATACTTCGTCGGACCAGTACCTGCACGAGCTCACCGACGTGGGTCTTCTGCCTTGCACAAGCCAGCGTTGGTGCTAACACCTCACTCCATAGGCGGCTGCGCACATAGTAGAGTTTCTAAAGAACTTCTACAACGCGTTCCCTGAATATAAGGATGTTGACGTAGGTGTCTTGTCAGCCTGTTTCGCTGGCTGTGGTCTGACAGAAGGCCCAGACGTATCTAGCAGGCGAGAGCTTTGCCGGCCAGTACATACCATATTTTGGTCGGTGGTCCTTCCAGTTATGCTGCTTGTACGGTATTCATTACTTCCGTAGCGGACGCAATCCTGAATTCGACACTAAACATCCCATTACGCGGAGCGGCAATTGGGAACGGCTGGATAGATGGACGTCACCAGTACCCGTCCTTCCTCCAGTATGCAGTAAAGCATGGCCTAATTGAAGAAAAGTCCGAGGTAAGCTATCGGACCGTTCGGTATCATACCAAACACTCATGTCGTGCGGCAGGAATGGAAACACGGGAAGGAAGCGACGGACAACTGCATGAAGGAGATGGACAAGCACAAGGACTTCGAGCCCGTCAAGGTGAACATCTGTGAGGGTGTCATGCACGAAGTCATCAAGAGCAAGTCGCGGACGTGAGCATTTTGCCCTCTTCTAGTCAAAAGCACGTTGCTGACGCTACACTGCACGAACAGTGTGAACGGCAAACAGATGTGTGTGAACATCTATGATGTTCGGCTCGAGGATGAGTCTCCCGCGTGCGGTATGAACTGGCCCCCAGACTTGAAGCACATGTACACCTACCTCCAGGTGAGTGCATAAGCCTGACACCGTTCCCCCGGGTGCTCAGTGTTGTGTACTAGCGCCCCGAGGTAGTCCGCGCCATTCATGCGTCCGCCGCATCACAAACGTGGACAGAATGCAGAGGGTCGATCCACCATGCATTCAGTACTGCCAAGTCTCCGTCAGCCATCACGGTCATTCCAAGAGTACTTTCAAAGATCCCGATGCTGCTCTTTGCCGGCGACCAGGATCTCATCTGCAACTATGTTGGGATTGAGAATCTCATCCAGGCCATGGCCTGGAACGGTGCTACTGGACTAGGGGTAAGTATCCTAGTCTGCAGTAAGGGGGCATTGAGAACTCACGAATTAACGATAGACTGTCAAGACACAGCCGTGGTCAGTCAACGGCACACCCGCTGGTACCTGGGTCTCATCACGAAACCTCACGTATGCCAAGGTGAGTTGTCAATAATCTACACTCTACGCACTACATTGACTTCATTAATGCTAGATCTTTAATGCCTCACATATGGTCGGATTCGACGTACCCCACATCACGCACGACATGGTTCTACGCTTTATGGGCGTAAACTTCAGTATGATTCTCGACGGCTCCGCGAGGATTCCGAGTGCTGTCGGTGACGACAGCAAGCCTATCCCCGAACTGCTGAACATGATCCCTACTGCGTCGCCGACGCCCACGGAGACCCCAGAGCAGGACAAGGCTAGGTGGGAAGGTATGTGATCATCCTGCCCGTCGCGTCGTCCGGCTCTGAACCTATTTATCAGCGTACTACAACGCAGGCTCTGCTGCGATGGTCCTCGCTATCATCTCTATCTTCATAGGCGGCTTCATCTGGTGGCGCTACCGCCGGAGTCGGCTGCGAGGGCTGCCCGTCACGAGGGAAGACTCGACTGCTGAAGAAAATATACCGCTCGCAGCGAGTATGACGGAGGCGAACGGGCATGGCGATGAGGACGAAGTGCCTTACAAGCAGGCGAAGGGCAAGGAGCGGGCACAGGACCTCCCGAGCGAGGAAGCGATATTTAGCATAGTGGGCGACGATGAGGATTTGAGAACGCCTAGGACAGGGCAATGATATTCCGTACAGTGTAGTAACTTATGACTTCGGGGTTATTGTGTTTTGAGAGTATGCTCGACAGCAGTGTTTTCGAAGTGCGTGTTTATTCACAAGAATCCACACATCACGAACTCTTGAACATTCATAGAGCTCTGACTCTGAGCAAGACGAGCAAAAAATCTCAGCAATATTTGATTGGTACACGAAGCCATATCATAATACACGTAGTGGTACGACGGGGGATGTCTGTGTTATGGTTTCACCGGACTGTCAAGGCGACATAGTCGCAACCCATCCTGAGACAGGCGGGTACAGAAGGTACAGGAATATAACACCGTGCCTCCTCCCCACTCGACCCCTCCGGCGAGTCGACACCGAAGTGAACTCAGCCGTGGCGAGAGGGAACAGGGAGAACGCACTCGTTCTCGTGAGCATCCCAAGGGACGCCTCGCTCCGCCGACTAGAAAGACGTCACTCAGAGGCGGACCTCTGCGCGCGAGGCTAACGGTTCAGAAGTCGGTCGGACACTGAGGGAACCACGACAAATTTGCGCGCTCTTATATCCTGCGCGCGGGCGGAGTTTAGTTTAGGGCAAACTCCGGCGCGACGCAGCGCCACAGACGCGACCAGCGCCCGTTGCGAGTTCAACACGTCTGCTTCGGACCCGGCACACCCCTCTGGCGACTTCAGGACATCCAGCGAAGATGGTCGACAGAAGCCATCGCGTTTCCCGGCTTTCCGTGCATCCTCGCTATGGCCCGCGCGAATCCGTGTTCACGAGCGCTCCGCCGGACATGTACCGTTCGGAGAATGCAGTCTGCAGCCCTTTTTTGCGGGAATGTGTCCTTGCCATGGAAGATTGCTGCGAAGAGGTCAGTGCCACTCTGTCTAGCCTTTCTCTGGCTTATATTCCGCTGCACAGGCCAGGGAAGCACAGAAGGTGGTACGAGCGGGTACCTACGACCTGCCCCGGATCACAAAGGTGTTGGAGAACGAGCATGTATGTCCCCTAGGTGATCCCTCTCCTCACGGATCACATACTCAAACGAATGTAGATATTCCTCCTCATTGACGAGGCGACCGTCCGGAGATACAAGGCTGACCTTACCGACGAGATTGAACCACAGATCAACGAGTTGATATCCAGGGCGGAGAAGGGCCTCCAGATCCTGCTCAAGAGGGAGAGCATGCTACGAGCCAAGGTCGTCCCGTTCCTTCGCGCATGAGATGTCACAATTCATTTTCAGTTCAGGTCGAATCCTCCATGCCCTCACGGCCGTCCTCGCGCGCGGCGGTCACCATCAATACGGCAGGGATGTCGAAGCTGGATATCAGGAAGATTCAGATGCTCTCCAGGCAACGCGAGAAGCTCGAAGACGAGGCGGCCGCATTACAAAGGGAGATCGACGATTTGGTGCGTATAGGACGTGGTTGTATGCCGTTTCAGAGGCTCATGACACGACCATGCAACGCAGGAGCTCGCCGCCATGAAGAAAAGGTGATCATACTCACTTTCCGGGCTCTACGGTCAGTTTGCATCTACGTTCATACATTATTGTACATTGGCCATTGACCATCCTTTCTTTTTATTGCATCTGCAGCTCCCCGATGACCACCGCCTCGGCTACCTCGCCGGCCTTTAGCTCGGACGGCCCGTCGGAGGCCTGCGCCGGGAGGGCAACCAGGCCGTTCGCCCCGCTCAGGCTTGCCACCCTGCTGGAGCGCTGCCCACCCGTGCTGTACGCCACCAGTCCCTCAGGGCCTGCCTTGATGACTACACGATGGTACTCCGGTCGGGGGTCGAGGCGCATAGCGTCCCGTAGCTATACCACAATGTATCCCTTAGACTATGCCCAACGATACACACCTCTCTCGCCAATGGCGACTTACCTGGACCTTCATGCGTGGCAGCTGGCACCGCCCTTCAGGCCATCCGCCGAGCCTGCGCAGCGCAGGGAGGACGAAGACGTGGAACATCACGAGCGCGGAGGCGGGGTTGCCCGGGAGCGCGAACATGGGTACGCGCGCGCGGGGCGTCGGGATCGTCGCGAAGGTGGTCGGCTTGCCGGGCTTGACCTTGACGCGCCCGAAGTGGACGGTCCCCCCGAGGTGCCGCTCGATGACGGGCTTGAGTAGGTCGCTCGCGCCCATGGACGTGCCGCCAGTGGTGAGCACCAGGTCTGCTTGCTCGACGCCATTCCTCAGGGCGGAGATGTGTGCGTCGAGACTACAGCCGGTCTTTCAGGGGAACCGTCACGTAACACTTGGACACATAGACTCACTCATCGGGCACGATGCCCAGGTCGATGACCTGATACCCCACCCCCTCGAGCGCCGCCTGCAACGACGGCCGATTAGTATCCCAGATCCCGCCCCACTCACCCTGCATCGGCTTCGGGTCCTGCAGATCCAACAGCTCGTTCCCCGTGCTCAACACCGCGACCACCGGCCTCCCATACACCTGCACACTCCGCCTGCCCACGAACGCGAGCGTGCCGATCTCCCCGCCCGCCGCGTGGAGCACCTGCCCGCGCTCGAGGACCAAATCGCCCTTGCGCGTGTCGCTCCCCGGCGCCCGCACGTTCTCGCCCGGGGGCACCTGGACGAGCGTCTCGACCTCTGCCTCCTCGACGTCTGCGCCAGACGCGTCCTTGTGCGTGCCGTGCAGCCGCGTATCTTCGACCATGACAATCGTATTTGCACCCGCGGGAAGCGGGCCCCCGGTGTTAATGCGGAAGATCGTCCTCGCGGGGAGCGGGTCGGCGAGGTTGTGCGTTTTGGAGGTGACAACTTTGTAGATGCCTGGTGGGTCGGTGGCTGGAGCGAATGTGAGCGAGCTGTGTCTGAGGTACAATGATCCACGACTACGTACAGCGGAGTGCGTATCCATCTACGCTCGTAGTAGACGTGGAAGGAACGTCCTGAGGGGCGTACACATCCTCGGCAAGCACATGTCCCTTGATATTCGCAGTGACCTAACAACAGGATTCTCACATCGTACTTGCGAAGAGAATGTAATGTTAGCGCACGGGCAGCTCAGCAGTGTCCAGTGGTTTGACTTCTTTGAGGATGGATGCAAGTGCTTCGTCAACGGTCACTAAAGGATAGGGCGACTCCCGGTGTCGGGTTGTCACTATGATCGCACAGGCATGTGAGAATGGCGCATATAGTCACTCATCACTCGAACTACAAACCTGGCTGTGAGGGATCATGCGACAGCGTTGTTCGAGGCTGAGGTGCGTGGTGGTCATGGCCATGGTGGTGGTGATGGTGGTGGTGTGCATGCCCAGAGCCTGCGACCGCACTCGCGCCTGGCACATCACTGTGTAGCTTCCTGCTGGACGCGCCCTTGACAAGCTGGAGAGCGTGATCAATAACGCCTCCCCCGAGTAACGCCTCGAGGTTCTCTTTGACTGCCTTTACGCTACCCGGGAGCGTCACCACGAGGGTGTCTTTGACCGTCCCTGCCACGGGACGTGCGAGCGCAGCCAGAGGCGTCTTCTGCAGCGACGCAGCTATCATGAGGTGCACAAGCCCCGGAGCTTCTCGTTCGATGAGCGGGCGGATCGCCTACAAGCAGCCATCCGGGGGCGACATCAGGACAGCGCAGAGGAGAGACGTTTGGCCCAAGGGCACAGTGCGCACCTCCGGTGTGCGATCGCGCACGCCGAACCCGGTCCCGCCTGTGGTGACAATCCAGTCGACATCGCCCTGATCGACCCACGTCTGCACGGTGTGCCGGATGCGGGGCTCGTCGTCGGGGACGACCAGGAGGTACTTGACCTCGTACCCCGCGCCGGCGAGGGTCTCGCGGATGGTGGGCCCAGACTTGTCCAAGCTTGTGTCTGCGGCGGCGGTGTCGCTCACTGCGTCCGGGCGTGCGCAGGGCTCAGCGGATGCCTGACTGGTGCAGATCGCACAGCTGACCTGTGAGGACGGCCACTCGGGCTTGCGACATTCTGGATGTGTTCTTGTCAGTGCTGCCGGGGGGACGTTCGGACGATGGTAAGAGTGATAGGATACTGCGTCCGGAACAGAGAGCGCACCTTCGCTGGGTTCGCTCCGACAAGCGTGCCGCTGGGTCTCTGTTTACGGCGAGAAGAATGCAATTGTGGCGCCGCGCATCAGCGTGCGCGTGTATACGGGCGAATGATGGGACGGGCGTGTTCCCACCTCGGACGGTCGTTGAATTGCGCGCAGGTCTGTGTGCTGCTCACGAGGATGATACGGTCTGACACGGTGGACCAGCTGAGCGGGGCTGGACCGCGGTGCGGACAGAGGAGACGTAAGTGCGTAAAGGCTAACTGTGGCTGATAGAGTTTCCGATGCGCCCAAACGGATACTCGCGTCGAGCCACTGCGCGTCCCGACGCGTCCTCCTCGTCCGTGGTCAATTCGTCCCTGCAGCGCTCACGCACGCGTGCACATGTGCTCGTACGGCTAGGTACGCGGCGGCGGTTGCAGAGACGGCGGCCTGGGCCGGGGGATCAGGAGACGGGGTCGCACGTTCGCTTAGGACGGGGAGGTGGAAAAAATGATTTATGGGCCATAAATGGGGAGGCCTCCTATTGCCTTACGCGCGTGCCACTGCTTACTGCATGTCTGCATCCCGGGTGTTCTGGACCGCACGCACGGCCGTCTCCACTTGCCGCACCAGCATCTGTTCGGACGTGCTGCCATCCCTCCGTCCGCCCCCAATCTTCGCCTCTGATCCTTATATATACCCTGCCCGCCCCGCTGGTCCTCCCCCCTCTCGCGCTCGTCACCTGTCGCTCTCTAGCCACTCCTTCTTCTCTCCCTCTTTCGCCATGTCTCTGAGGTCTCTGCCCGAGTGCTGGGGCCACCGAGGAGTCAGTCCTCGCCTCCTCTGACACGTCGCCCCGCCACTGACACGCTCGCGCGCAGGCTTCTGCCACCTTTCCGGAGAACACCCTAGCGAGCTTCGAGAAGGCCATCCGCGATGGCGCAGAGGGCATTGAGAGCGGTATTTCTCCATAGGGCAGTTAGACTGGGTTGCAGTCCGTAACACTTGTGAGCAGACGTCCACGTCTCCCTAGATGACGTTGTTGTCATGTTCCATGACCCGTGTAAGTACCAGTCACTGTTCGGCTCTTCCACGCGTTGACGACCTATGGTGTCCTTGGCAGCATTGAACAGGACGACGAATGGGTCTGGTATGTGGCACGCAGGCGCAGTGGTCGCTGACGCTCGTCTAACTTGTCTTCAGGTTTGATTAGAGAGCAGAATTGGTATGGGCCGGAAGGTATGGAGCACCTGAGAACCATGAAGGAGCCGAAGCAGTCCATCCCGACGTTTGCGGAGACGGTTGAGCTTCTCATGAGGGTGATTTGTGTTCTTCATTCGGGTCCGCGTCGCGTTACTCAGCCGTGAATGCTATAGCCCGAGAACCATCACGTCAAGTTCAACGTCGACGTGAAGGTGCAGAACAACCCGGCGCGGTTGTTCGCGCTCATGCACCAGGTCATCTCGGCTCAGCCGAACTGGGAGACCGACCTCGCGCCGCGCATCCTGGTCGGTCTGTGGCACACCACCTTCATTCCCCACGCGAAGACGCATCTGCCATACTGCCGTCGCTCGTACATCGGCGAGAGCGTCGAAATCGCGCGCAAGTACTTCTGGGACAGCGTCGACGTGTTCTCCGTCAAGTTCGCCGTGTTGGCGACCGCGGACGGCGAGAAGTGCGTGGCTCCCTTCGCGTTTCCGTCATTACTCCGTGCTGACCATACCCACTCGGCCCTAGGTTCCGGAAGGCGTGCAAGGCATCTGGGAAGAAGATCATGGTGTGGACGGTGAACGAGCCAGTAGAGATGGTCGAGGTGAGGACACGCTCTGCTTGCGCGCACGCGATTGGCCAAGCGATCTCACCAACGTGTCCAGGCGGTGAGATGGGGAGTGGACGTCATTCTGACCGACGTCACGAAGGTGTGGCTCGATCTGCGGAACGCCCTGCACGGTGAGCGATCCCGGGCAAAGCCTATCACTTCGCGGGACACCGATGTACTCATGACTTGCCGCGCTTCCCCACCCAGTGGATTACGACAAGATCGCGGCGCAGTACGGCCGCACGTTCCTCTGGACCTCGTGGAAGTTCTACACGCCCGCCACCAGGCTCAACGCACGTTCCTCGCGCGCGTACATCGAGTCCTTTGTGGGTCCCTTCCAGCAGGTCCAGGACACCACCCCTGCTGCCCCGCGTGTGTCTGCTTCTGCATGATCCCCGCTATACTTGTTTTCGCTTCGCTCTCCGTACCATTCGCTCCGATCATAGACTTAGTAGTTTGTCCGCCTCCATAGACGCAGTAATCTCTTCACTCTGGCCTTGACTGCGCGGGATGACTGGTGTGAGGCGGGTGAAGGGCCGAGCTGCCGCCACCATGAGGCGACTAGCGCCAAACAGGCACATACAGGTCGTCAGGCGGCCCGCGATGAGTGCAGCGGCGCATGTTGCTCTCAATTTCTGCCGCACATCGACGGCAGCACCCTCGCACTCTCCTCCGTGAAGACCCCTGCCGTCTCTGCTTTCTCCTATACTCTTGATCTGTGCTGTGAGCGGGTATCACATCCATTAGCCTGCCTGCAATGAACTCCCCAGGCATCCGTCCCACTCGCGGGAGGCACCGCAAGCAACTATCCGCACTGCGTCTCTCGTCCGACTCCACTGTGACAACCCTGCCGCCATACACCTCCCCACCCTGGTCCAAGCATGCGTCCCTGGACATGTCGGACTCGGACAGGCCCCCGGACTACCCAGACAGTGCCGAGGAGGCCGACGCAGACACCGATTCCGACGAGGACATTGTCTACGTACAGCCGCCCCTCCCCCAACTGGCCGCACCCAGGGGCAGCCGCATCCGCCGCTCGCACTCGCAGCTCCAGTCACCGCGCTCGCACTCGAACTCACACTCCAGCTCGTTCTCGCAGACGCACCGGCGTCAGCAGAGCACGGCCGGCAGCAGCGATCCTTATCTAGACTCGCTCCTCGCGCGCAGCGTGCATGCGCTCGAGATGTCCAACGTGCTCCTCCAGTCGTCAATGTCTACCCAGAGTAGTCTATCCGCTGTGCTCCAGAACGACCCTATAGCGGACCTCTCGCTCGAGGCGCGCGCGCAGATGCTCTCGCGCCGCGTGAGCTCGGGCCGCGGCGCCCATGGGACGTGGTCGGACGACCTGGACGAGATATACCGGGGCGTCGAGGACCTTGTGGGTCCCCGGGAGGGGGTCGAGGAGGAAGAGGAGGTGGAACGAATTTCGAAGGCAGATATGTGTTCCCTCAGCAGAAGCGCCCCCGCGTCAAGCTTCGAGGATAACTTCAGCAAGGGCCCTCCGACCGTGGGCGCCGAGGAACGGGTACAAGTACGCAGGAGACCATCATTACGCAGGCCGTCGCTGGACAGCATGGGCGGCTCGCATCTCGAGTATTCGAACCACGATCGGAGTCATTTCGTCGCACCGGCCCCGCGAGCTCTGACTATCTACGTCGACTCTACGGATGACCCTGATTCCATTACGTTACCCCCCACCCTGGGGCTGCGTACCACCGCGCACTTTCCACCTACACCACTACCTTTGCAAACCACCATCCCGGACACCGTCCGCGAGGTATCGCTCAAGCCATCTGACTCGAAGAAGAGCATAGTCGACGTGCTATCGTCTTACGTAGCACCCCCTCCTGCTGCCGGTCCATCCGGCTCTGCGTCCTCATCACCCCGCTTCTCAATCATGTCGCGTAGTGGTAGGAGTTCGAGCACGAGTTCGGGCTCTAAAACTGTCCGCCGTGTCAGCCAGTCAAAATCACCACCCGCGACTACGTCCCCCTCCTTCCGATCCCGATCGCTCACGCCCATGCGCACCGCTACACCTCCCCGCGCTCCCCGCCCCATGACCCCACCTATCGAAGAACTATCCGCCTCATCGTCCTCATCATCATCCGAGACGCTGCACGTAGACCGCACGCTCGAGTCCCTACGCACCATCCTCGGCAAGCAGCCTCCATCCGCGATCTCCCCGAGCAGCAGCAAGAGCACGCCTCCGCCCCTGCCCCGACCGTCACTACTCGCCCCACCCACCGTTGAGCCCGTCTCCGGCACCTCCAACGCGACCGCCTCCATCTCGCGGCTCTTCACGAAGAGCCGCCATTCCTCCTCCACCCGCCCACCGTCTCCGCCCCGCCAGTCCGTCCTCAAGAACCGCTCCGCGCCCCCGACACCTACGTTCACCGCCCCGCCGACGCCGTCCATCGCCGGATTCCCTGAGCCGTTCGCGGGGCTGCACCTCAGCATGCCGTCTGTGCCCGGCCTTCGGAGCTCAGGCTCGTCCGGGCGGTCGACCCCCAAGCGCATCTCGTTCGCGGAGCTGCCCGAGAGCTACGCGGGGAGTAAACCCGGCGGTGCGCCGAGCAAGTTCAAGGGGAAGGAGCGGGCGAAGGGCGTGGGCAAGGGGAAGGGGAAGGGGAAGGACGACGAGGATGGCGGGTGGTGGACGGGCTGGTTGTTGGGTGCGGCGGGCACGGGGAGCGGGGCGGGCTTGAGCATGGGCGCGGCGAGGGAGGAGAGGGTGAGAAGCCCTGGGTGGAGTACGCGACCTGGTTATGTTGGTGGGGGTTGGGAGGAGTGGGGGGCATAGCAAGTCGCGTTGTATTGCAGTTTCTTGCTTTGGTGAGTGGTTCTGTTGGTCAGGCGATGGTGTGCGGCTGATCTGTGATGCTCTGTTCCAGATGAACTGTATAACTTATCAAATACTAACCTCGGTCATGATCGTCACGCTCGTGCTACGAACACTCACTCTCCCGGATCGGAACTGTTATTGCTTTCTTGTCTCCGACTGCGTTTTGGATGTTAGATCCGTCGCACGGTCGTGTTAGAGCCCCGTCTTGCTCATCTGTCCCTACGCAACGTTTATATATCCCCTCAGCACGAGATACCACTTCATTGACATGACACACGGCTGTATACGTAGCAGTAGCAATTGGTTTGCATTATATGCATGCACCCTCAGTCTCATTTCGGTCGATGGATCTGATACAGTCAACAACAAGCGTATGCCATGAACACAATAACACGATACAAAGAATAAGTCACAGCGCGTGTAGACCCAAGTACTTTTGACAACACCCACGCAGCCCTCAAATCACGAGCTCCTCCATCTGGTACATCCCGATGTTCATCTCGCGCTGCTCAGTCTGCGCCTTCTTCCGCTGGCGCCAGTCCTGCGACTCGCCCTTCGCCCGCCCGGGCCCGTGGAGGAACGCGGAGCGGGACTGCGCGCTCGCGAACGCGCTGAGCGGGCCCTTGAGCGACTGGAGCTCCGCGATGAGCGCGAGCTCGGGCTCGAGCCGCGCGAGGAGCGTGCGCAGCAGGGCGTGCGCGGGGGGATGTGCGAGGAGCGCGACGAAGGAGGAATCGAGGACCGCTTGGGTGAAGAGGAGGATCTGTGATTCGCGCGTAAGGCAGGCTCATCAGTGACGGAACAGGGAGCGGGTGAAGGGGCAGGGACGTACCTTGTCGAGAGGGGGCATGTCTGGCTTCCTCTCGTCCTCGAAGATCGGCACGTACATGCCGTGTGTGTCCTTCTTCACCCTGTCTGGCACGAGCCTCAGCTCTTCCTCGCCCCACTTGCCTACCCACTCATCCAGCACCTCGAGCAGGCACGCGACGTCCTCTGCGTCGGGCAGGTGTTTCCGCAGCGCGACGCGGAGCGGGCCGGGGGAGGCGGGGGAGGTCACACATAGTGCGAGGAACGCGGGGAGCGTGGGCGGTGTGGAGAAGGAGGGGGAGGGGGAGTCGACTTGCATCGCGTCGGGGTTGGTGTTGCTTTGACGGTGGTGCGCGACGACCTTGGCGAGGAGGCTGATGATGTCGGACTCTGGGAGGTCGATCACGGTGGACAGCGCGAGGACGGCGTTAGACTGTAGTAGAGAAATGCGTGCATGAGACAAAATCCAGAAACGACAGAGATCACTGGAAACGTACCCAGTCGTTGCGCACCATGAGCGCAGGGAGCAGCCCGCCCTCAATCATCGCGTCGCTCACAGCCCTCCTCTCCAACAAGTACGTCAAGACACCACGCGCATACGCCTCGGTCGCATTCGTAGTCGCAACGTCCCTCCCCGGGGACGGTACTAGGAACAGCACATCCAACAGCTGCTTCACGAACAAATGTCCGAGGCGCGGCTTCCCCTCAGGCCCGCCCGCCTCAACATAGGCCGCCCACCGCTTCTCCACCTCCGCAGTGCGCCCCTTCTCCTGCACCTCGAGCAGCGCCTTCAGCGTCCTGCCCTGCTCCGGCTCGAGCCCGCCCAGCTCTAGCGTCAGCTGCGTGCCCTTCACCCTCTGCGGGCTGTCCGCCTCGGGGCGCAAGTAGGCCTGGCTCGCGGCCGCGCGGCCGAGCGCGTTCGCGATCGTCGACGTCCTGGGCACGCTGAGGGGCACGACCAGCACGCTCGTCGCGCGCGGGAACAGGCTCTCCTGCGACTTCGCGTCGGCGGGGTGCAGCACGAGCAGCGCCTGGCTCGGCTCCGCGGCGCTGCCTGACGCGACGAGGTCCATGCGCACGCCGCGCCCCTTGCCGCGGTAGAGGTTCAGCGGACAGGCGAACTGCTGCTCGGCGAGGATCACGCCGTACTGTACGTCCCAGAGGAGGAGGGTTATCTCGGGGTTGGCGAGCGTTATGCAGGCGAGGAGGACGTGCGAGGAGGTGAGCGCGAGGAGGGAGATCTCGGAGGTGTGTGCGGAGGCGTGGGAGACGGAGGAGAGGAAGGAGAGGGAAAAGAGGTAGACGGGAGGACTGAGGGGCAAGGTGCTGAGTGTGGATGACGGCGAGACGGAGACGCGGTAAGCGGTCCACTTTCCAGAGCGAGCTGCAGGGAGGTGTCAGCGCATGGCACTGTGACTGTAGATACCACCTACTCAAGACACTCAAGCAACCAGATGTACTGAACGAGACGTCGACAATGTCCTATTGATATGATTCAGTCAGTGGACCCGGAACAATAAGACCAATACATACCGTGTCGTCCGCGGCCACTGTACAATCACCAAACGAATGGATTTTGCCCTCCGTATCGACCAGTGAGACCGATAACAGGACATCTGTATTCCGACGCAAGGCCGATATAGAGATGACACCGTTCGATGGAAATGTCTCAGCCGGTAGAAATGTGCAAGCCTGGCGGGGAAATACAAAGTGTCGGAGAAGAACAGTGTCGACTTCTTGAGAGGAAGAGGACGATATTTGGTTCAGCTCCGGATCTGTGACCGTGAGTCGGCCACCAAGGCCAGTGATAATGAGGTGGTCTGGAAGGTCTTCGGGAGCGTATATATGCGTGACTCTATGCGGAAGCTGACGGTGTCGTTGGCATCATATGCTGTGAAGATTATGCGCAATAAGATGTGATGCTCACTGTTCTCGATTTTCTTTTCTTCTGCGCATCCGCAGACATAACCCCACCCGACAAGGACTCCTCCCACCACCACACAGTGCGCTCCCTGTCCTCCTCCAAGACATCGGGTGATGATGCTACGGCTGCATACGTTGTGCATATCTTGGTGCCGCTTTTTCTGCTTGTTCGACTTGTGGGTGGACATGAGAATGTAGTGTTCGGACCCAAAGTATGTGAGACTGCGGGGTGCAGTGTCGAGAGCTAGGAGACACACAAGCAAACGCATGTAGCGACAGTCTCCTCCAAGCGGAATGAAACTCACATCGAGTACATGTATGCCGTCTCCCTGTACGGCTAGCGAGACGAAGTTGTCGGCTCTCTCGCTGGACGAGGCATGGCGACTGTCGACCAGAACATGAGATGCGCTGCCGGGCGGCTGCTTTGACGACGAGGGGCGGCCTTGGCGGATGGGGACGGGGTAGGAGGCGAGGAGGAAGGGGTCTGTGATGTTGGCACCCATCAAGTCCGTCTGCACAAGGAGTTGTTACAACTCTCCGCGATCGGCTCGAAAACTGGCCGCCACCCGCGCCTACCATAGGGTTAGGGCAGGGTTAGGGTCTCGCGCTCAGCCGCTGGATTCCCGCAGACATGAACCGTTGAACGTTGCAATAGTATTCAGAAAAGGTACATGATCAATCTGGACTCGAGCACTTCATCATCCAGAATCAACGTTAGAGATGTCCACCTAGGCAGTAGTCTGCAGACTACCCAGTCGCATTGAGTCGCGGAGATTATGCTTGCCCGACTGGACAACTACACGAGCGGCCTCAAGGTTTGCACCTTGTGCACGTATGATCGGCAGTAGAGCGACCAGGGCTGAATGAACTCGATTATGATGCTCCGGCCGGTCATCGACCCTGTCGTGGCGTTCGGGTAATTCAGGTAGCACAGAGGTAATTGAGGCGTCCAATTGAGTGGCCTCTTCAATTAGGTGATCTGTCAATATGGAGATCACTCAGGAAGCCCGAGAAGTCCTTGGCGCAGAGTATACTCACCGATTTTGTCCAGAGCGTCATTGAAGTGAGTAACGGACAGGTATTCATTGGCTGGTTGTTGAGCAAGCTGTAGAGCTTCAGACAATATCCGCGAATATGCTTCTTCATGTGCAAGGAACTGCTGCACTAAGGATGCAATTGCAGAGGACGTCTAATTCGGGGCCGTCAATGCCAATGGTACGAGCTTCAGGGAGAGAAAGAGGTACTTGAGGTGCCATGAGCTCTTCATAGAAGGCGATGAGTCTCTCAGCCTCAAAGCGCACCCGAGCATCGGCGATGTCTGCCTCCTCCACAGAGAGTTCAGCACGCCGTTGCTCCAAGGCCGCCGTGGCCGCGCGCTCAGCAGCCTCATACGAACTCTCCAGTGTAGCCGACATGAATAGCCATGCCTGTATCTGACCCGCTTGCTGTAGCGCATCCAGGGACGTCAGAACGGAGGCCGGGTCGCGCGTCACATCGACGATCGCCGGATGCTGTTACGGGTTACATTCGGCACATACAGTCGGCGATGTATTGACGACCGACCTTATCCTGGGATGAGGTCTTCTTGGGCAATGAAGACGAGCTAGAACTGGGCGCAATGTTCTTGCTGACGCTACTGGATGCCTTCACGGCCGCACTCCGCACCGGTGCCGACCCACCAGGAACATGGCCCGCCGACCTTGACGCCTTCAAGGTAGAAGTACCGCTGGCAGTGGTCTGTAACGCAGGCCTTGGGACCTTTGCGGTTGGCGTTGGTTTCAGCCTAGAGGACGATGCACTTGGTGTGGTCGCAGAGACGGCGCGCGAGCTGGACGCGCTCGTACTGCTGAGGTACCGAGCCGTGGCGGGTCTACCTGTCGCCCTGTCAGCACCCGCAGCCCCAGTGCATCGCCAGCGCATGACCAGCAGACTCACTCGGCGGTTTCTTGCCCTGCGCGTGTCCCTGTGAGGGAGCCTGCACGCTGGAGGCCATGGGCAGGACGCGGTGCGGTGGATTGCCTGGGCGTTGCGTGGCTTGGAACTCCGACCTGTGATTTCTGCGCGCTGCCACAAGCGTCGACGTCTGCGCCCGTCACGGTCGGTCCGCACAACGTGCGCGGCCTCTCTCCCATCTCTCTCATCTACCACGACCAGCTCGCTGTCGGCGCCCACGACGACCCCGAGCACGATGTCCTTCCTCTCCACGCTCGTCAAGCCGCTCGCCTACGTCTCCCTCCCCGTCTTCGCGCTTCACACGCTCTCAAAGTCGTCCCCGATCGCGCGATACTATGTCCGCCTCGCGCTCTACCTGTCGACGCTCGGCGTATGTTCAGCATGGGGCGTTGTCTGCGCGGTGGGCATGTCCCTCGTCGGCCGCAAGCTCGACGTGTTCTTCGTCGTGGCGCGCACGTTCTACATGATCGCCAGTCGGGCGCTGGACATCCGGCTCGTGGTCGAGGGCGAGGAGCACCTCGCGACGAAGCCCGCCGTTCTCATCGGGAACCACCAGAGCATGCTCGACATCCTCTACCTCGGCAGGTGCGTCAAGCAGTCTTACGATCGGCCTGCATCGCGCTGAGTCAAGACTCTGTGCGCGCATGCAGGATATTCCCCCGCCGCGCTGCTATCATAGCAAAGAAGGAGCTGCAGTGGTCGCCTCTGCTCGGACAGTTCATGACGCTCTCTGGCGTCGTCTGGATCGATCGCGGGAACAACGCGAAGGCCGTGCGCTCGCTCTCGGCTGCGGGCGAGACAATGAAGGCGCAGCGCATGGCGCTGTGGCTCTTCCCCGAGGGCACGCGCTCAATGCGCGAGCACCACGACCTCCTGCCGTTCAAGAAGGGCGCGTTCCACATTGCGGTACAGGCCGGCGTGCCCATCGTGCCCGTTGTGTGCGAGAACTACTGGAGGCTATATAGGAAGAACGTGTTCGAGAGCGGGACGCTCAAAGTCCGCGGTGAGTGAAACGCCAAGTCAACAAAGACCTCTACTGAGCAGCGATTCCTCAGTACTCCCGCCAATACCGACGGAGGGCTTGACCGTTGCAGATATCCCTGATCTTGCCGCACGCGTCCACGATGCGATGGTGGCCGCGCTGCGCGAAATATCCGGCCCTGTTTCCTCGCCGGATGTACCGCCGGAGTCGAAGCCCTCTCCGATACCCTCTGACAAACCTGACGAAGCTCCTCGCGATACCTTGTCTGCACAAGCAAGTTCCGCACTTCCGGTTGAGCCCGAGCCAGCCCAGCCCTCCGAGTCTGTACAACAAATACCATCGCGCTCGGAGAGCCGAGCGTCGACGCAGGCGTCCGAGGACAATAACTCCTCACCTGCGACGAGCCGGCGGTCGGGCAGCGACAATGGCACGGAGACGGAAGAGGACGACGGAATGGTGCTGGTGGGTCGCCCGAAGTAGCTGCTTGGTGTATAGCGTTTGCGTCCGGGTTATCGGCGTTTGGTTAATGCGAAGCTTCTTGCTACAATCTACTAATATTGTTACCGCAATGCGTGCGCGACAAGGGATGGTGATGTCCCTAGCTCCACATTGGACAGGAGACTCGCTGATGGTTCCCCATTGCAGTAGGGGAGTAGGCACTGTGCTATAAGACTGCCGCCTGACTTGTTTTCAAAAACCCTTCGGGTCAGTGCCTCTCTGGTGTGGACGGCCAACGTGACAATGACTGTGGCGGGCTCCGTCAGGAACGTACGTCGGATGGTAAAACATGTCCTGGGCATGTCCTTCGAACAGGCGTATCCGTGCGTACTATATCGTTCTACTGTACATCCAACGATGGTCCTTCAGCCCCATCATCGGATGATACCCCACAAAGATCGTCCTCACCCCACCCTGCTTTCATCTGGACTGCGGCAGTCATGTCACCGCTTGTCTGACCTTCCCCGGAAATTTGTTGCTCAGGGCCTTGCGAAGTAGCGGCCTCAATAGGGTACTGTTGCGGCCCAGTGGCGGAGCCGATGGTCAGCATGACCAGGAACCATAAGGCATGGTGAGTTCGCTGCCAAAGCCTCGGGTTGAGCTTAGTATTGCGCTTACTCATGACCTGATAGTCTGTGACTAGGCAATATGCATGAGGCCCTGAGGTTGCATGGAGATGTCGGTCATGAACGAATGCGTTATCACACTAATACATTCCGATCCGTCATGTAGCATACGAAGGTACTGCAAGAAGACCAATCCATTCAAAGTCTGGGTGCTCCACAAGCCTCATACCACTCGCTCCATAACTCCTCCAGCTTCTCTCGCGGGAAGCGTTCGCGGACCTCGCGCGCCTTCTGCTTCAGCTCCCGCGCGACCGGTCCCCAGGGCACCTTTGTGAGCTTTCCGTCCCGCTTCACGATTTCGCCGTTGACCATCACGAGCTCCACGTCTGCGTTGGACGCATGGAAGGTTATACCAGAGATAGGGTCGTCGATCCCCGCGAGGTTCGCGGAATCCGTGTCGAACACCACCATGTCGGCTTTCTTTCCCACCTCGATGGTTCCGATCTTGTCGTCGAGGTTCAGAGCTTCCGCCCCGCCCAGTGTCGCAAGGCGGAATGCGTCAGCGCAGAGGTGTTTGTTGGATTTCGGCCCCGCATGACCCTCTCGCTCGATTATCTCGTGGCCACGGCCTGTCAGGAAGCCGAAGTTCATTCCGCTATGCTCGCGGGAGAAACGATGGGGCGGTACGAACCTCTCGCAAATTGTAGGGCCATCCGCATCTGTGCGAAGATGTCTCCACCGTTGATGGACAGGCAGTCCTAATATGACCGCAGGTGTTAGTGGAGAGAACGCGAAGGCGATTTGGAGTGTACGTACCGCACCTAGGCCGCACTTGACCCCTCGTTGTACAGCTTCTATAGCAACCGGGTTCCCGTGCGCCATACCGAGCTCGTCAACCGGTGTCGACGCGATCGCGCACTCGTTCTCCTTCATGGCTTCCCACATCTCGTCATCGGGATCCGTACGGTCGTAGAGGCAATTGCAATGCGAGAACACGACATCCGGACCGAGCAGGCCAGCGTCGCGCCAGGTTGTGATGCGAGGGCCTACGGGGTCACCAAACTGTGTCAGTGTCCGGATCATGAGGTAGACGGAGCTCCTGGAGTATCTGCTGACCTTTCACGACGTGCGCAGTGATGATGGAGACGTTGTTCTCGCGGGCATACCTCAGCGCTGCTTTGTGTGGGCTGATGGGTCCTGCTTCGATAATGTCGTAACTACAAATGCACAAGGTGAGTTTGATTGGTGGCGGCCGCAGGGTCTCTTTGCTTACGCTAGGCCCAAGGTTACTCGTCCGTCAGGACTCAGTCTTCCACCGTCCTTTGAACCCCATTCTGCAAGCTTCTCCATCTGCCACTTGCAGGTCTCCTCTTCGTTGCCATATTCGACGGTTGGAAGGAGCTGCGTCGGGCCGCTCTGTCGCGCAGGGCACCAAACCACCCTGGCTCCGCTCTGTATCGTCGCTTGGAGAGACGCTTCGGCGTGTTCGGGCGTTGTTGCGGCATGGAAGTGGTCCAGAATGGTCGTGACGCCAGAATGGAGAGCGTCGAGGCATCCCGACAACTGACCTACCCGGATCTCTTCTGCCGTAAGTCGGGCTTGCAGGAACCTGGTGAGCGCGTAACTCTAACGTTAGTCCGGCAGACTAGTACAGCGTCCGGCTATCGGTCACTAACATGGACATCTTCACGAGGTACTCCGACAATAGCCAACTGTGTGAGGTTTGGTGAGCGTTACATTGTTGCGAGATAACTGAAGACACATACTCGCACTGCTCGCCACGCAAAACTGTCGTGAAAACATGTCTGAAGGCAATGCATGAGCGAGTTGAAGGTATGCATTTCTTGTTGTACTCACCGATGTGTATCGACCATTCCGGGCGTGACCCATTTGCCATCGCAATCAATAACTTCGACATTGGGGTCAGCGGCAATGTTTTCGCCGATCTGTGTTATGACTGAGTCTTCGACGAGGACGTCGGCAGCGTACACAGAGGGTTTGTTGCTGTCCTTCGTGAAAGTCGCTATGATACCACCTTTGAGTAGGTACGTCATGGTGCGTCAGTAGGACTGCAGATGGACATCTCCTGCTCTATCCTCGGTGTTTTATATCGCAGGGGAGAGAAGCTTGACGACCACCGGCCGCCATGCCATCCAGAAACGATGTACATATAGAGCATAGATTGACAGCATAGATGAGTGCATAGAACATAATTGCATATAGGGCATAGACCTCCGCTTCCGCCGCATATAGATCTCCTGAAGTCACAACATCGACAAACCGCAGAACACCACCAAACCGCCCATTGCGCCCGCGAATAGAATGTCCAGGAAGGTCGGCCTAAGATAAGCGTGATGAATTGGGTAGGCACCCACTAAGCCAGAGAGACATGGGTCCTCCTCTGCGCCCTCCTGACCCTGTGCGGCTGCACCGGTGTTAGCGATCATCCGTGTAACGGCCTCCACGTCCCTGCCCATGACTAACCACCAGGAGTTCTGGCGCTCCAGAGCATCCCCGTGGTCGCTTGAGCCGTCTGGCTTGACCGATCGTTCGCGCCGCTCCTTGGGGGCGGGCACGACGGCGAAGCTGACACCAGCTTTGGTCGCGGCATGACTGATGGCGGGGATGTCTCGTGTCGGCGTGCTCCACACGCTGGCCATTGGCACACTGCGAGTGACCAGCTGGGAGAGGGTGCTCCTGACGCTAGACGTCGACGCGGAAGAACGCGAAGAAGTCGTACTGGCGGCCGCGACGGAACGGACGTCATCGTCGTCCTGCAGGTCATAGAGAACCGTCTCTTCGTTCCCGACTTGGGAGCCTTCGTCCGAAGACGACGACGAATCGCCGTCCACCTCCGTGGGCGCCCACGAGGAATGCATGCTTCGTTCGACCTCTCTCTCTCGGACAGGACTGACCCAGTGAGGGTTACGCCAGTGACCGTTCCGCGGTAGCTGAAAGTCGGCTTCGGGCGTGTGACTGTGGCGTCTCGGAGTGGCACCTCTTTGAGGAATAGGTTCGGGGGCAACTGGAGTAGAGCCCCGTTCAGGACAGACAGGCTTGCCGCGTGGTCGCTTGTGCCCCGCCATGGGCGAGCCGCAGGTGCGGCACTGGGGGGCCTTGCGAGGTGACATGGGTCAGATTAGGCTTGATCCGGAAAATCGGTGCTTGAGGGACGCCGTTCTGTAAACAGATACTTCAGCGAATCCGAGTTTCACGTGAGAGAAGGAGAAAGTTCAAGAATGCAAGGTCGGAAACAGTGTGTATAGCACACGCGACGTGATATAGCCACCACAAGCAGAGTCCTACTCACCTTGAGGTAAGGAGCGAGGGTTTGAGCGAGAGCTCAAATTTGATGCACTAGGAGGCAGAGTTATAATGCCTCTCTGTCGCGTAGGAAATACAAGTCGCCTTGTGTAAGTTCCGGATGTCGACGCAGTACAAGGCCGCCACTTCGGGTACAAGAACCCGCCAGTTGTTGTTCGACGCGATCATGTGACCGCGAACTTCTATGAAGATTGTACACAGGAAGGCTTCTAGGTTCAACGTGAGTAGATACCTTGTCATCTGCTTGGTTACCTTGTACACTGTCGGCTCGATGAACTCTACAGACGCGAGTTTGCGACTGACATTGTATCAGCAGCGCGCTCGCTGCATTGTCCACCGCCCGGGTATGCATCAACCAGATCAATCCATACCTTATCCTGACACGGCCGCCGAGGGGATGGTGCCAGGCGAGTCGCTGTATGCCTACTGTAGAGGCAGATCGAACTGTGCGGTACATGCAAACGCCTCTTACGGGCGAACGGAACGCTTGGCACTGGTCTCCGATCGTTCTATGACGAATTGCCTGTAAGTCACCTGTGCTGCAACAGGTTAAGTATAGGTCGAATGAGTAAGTCGAAGGTGTTTGAGGGGCTTCGAGCCTGTAGCTTGAGGGCGGTGCGCTCGATAAAACGGCAATAACTCTCCGATTCCGACATGTTGCCCATGTGTAACCGGTGTTAGTATCTATATATCAGCTCTACTTGAAGGAGACAGTTCAGTCGACAATAGCTTACCGATGTGCATCAGCGACACAAATGCATCACCGGGAAGACCGAGCGGCAACGTGGACCCGTTATCCAAGTGAACCGCCCATGTACGATATGTTGCATTAGCTCTAACTTGCATATTGCTAGGATGCCCAGGCTGCATAAGACTCGCCCTACTCTGTAAAATCTTGTCGAGCAACGAGACAAGAAACCATACATATGCACGTACAGCGCGCCAAGGAACATCCTGAGAGACGCCATGAATGGAACATTGACGCTGCTCACCGATGGTAAGCGTCTGGAACGAGCACCCAAGACGGCGTTGCTTCACGTAGAGACAACGCTTCCCGAATTCTGCAACTTCCCTTCATGGCAAGAGTCTGTCGTCACTCCGAGTCAGCATCCGTTCTCGACGACGCACGTCTGAGGCCCTCGTAACGCCATCTCGACACATGCCTTGAGGCGTCTGAGTTCATTTCGCCGCAGGATCTGAAGCTGTCAGGGAGATAGAATAACGGTAATAGTACACGGGCCAGGCCCCAAAGCTGTAGGATAACAAGAACGTCACCGACCACGTCTGTTAGACATCTTCCTCTCCTACTACGTGAGTATTCTTCGAGAAAGGTAGTAATGGCTGCATTATGAATCGGAGCTGCATCCTCGGCATCCTAATAACAGCCAAATGAGATGCTTTGTGCACCGATGCCAGCAAGAGAGACTACGCACCGCAATGTACACACTCCACAACCGTGCCCTGTCGGAGCTGTGCCTTCGGCACTCGGCATATACACGTCGAGCCCTGGTAGTTCATGTCCTGTCGGAACGAGGCAAATATCAGCACCGCGAGAAAGAGCCGCACAGCACGCTGCGAGCACTCACTCTGGTCTGAATACACCGTATGCAGCAGAGCTTCTCATATCCAGCCTTCTTCCACTTAGCAATGAGACTTCACCAAACACATTGTCAGCATCCACTTCCACGCTTGGAGTAACGAAGAGATGACAAGGCACTCACTTCGCATCTGCATAACCCTCCTTCAACAGCCAGTCGTACAGCTCCCTGCTGATAGCCTCCCGCTTGTAGTAGAGCTCGTAGATGTATCGCGAGCGGGTGTGGGATATGCGCATGATGGGCCAGAGTGACTCCGACTTGCGCTTGCCCTCGTGCGACTCGTTCTCGGCGTCGCGCATCTTCTTCGCGTAGTCATCGAGGATCTAATGCACGGATGGTGTGGTCAGTGCATGCTCGCACTCTTCACGGCGCCCCCAACAGAGAGCACTAGCGGAGATGAGGCGCGGGAAGACAGACGCGTACGTACAGCCTCTATTTCCTCAAAACCTTCTGGCGGCTTTTTTGTGCGGGTCGTCCGAATTTTGGGCATGGCGGCTCAGAGACGAGGAGGAAGAGAGCGAGTCGAGTGATGTCGAGCGAGCCCAAGTGGCTGAAGGACGCGGTTTACGTAAGCCGACCGTGACGCGCCTGGTTCTGCCTCGTTGAAAGCGCGCGGCGCGCCGTGCACGCCTGTTCGAACTTCAACTTGACGGCCGCCCTCGCATGACCCTTGCCAACGGTGCTCCTGCCCTGCACACATCTGTCCAATGTTGTGCTAATATATAACACTCTGTGCTGACTTGCTGGACATTCCGCGTTAACACTAGTACTGCCACCAAGACCTTGTCCGCCGGGGTGCGAACCGCGTCCCTGCTCTCCCTTTGCATCTCAAACAACAATCGATCAACCTCATAGACTTTGCAGTATCCGAATCTGTACAAATTTTTCTTCAGGCGACAATTGACTGAGCCACTGCATCGCAATGCCGCTCATCGTACCCATCCTACGTCTGGCCTATGTCTTCTCGAACGTCTTCGAGACCTTCAAGACCCTGAGGCCGCCTCCGCCGTCTAGTCGCAATAGTGGACAGCCCAGCTTGCGTGCTCTCAGTCAGCGCAAACGCGCCATGAAAGGCTGCATGGCCGTGTGGCTCTGCTGGGTGAGTTGTTCATCTTACCGGTCATTCATCCCGCGGGGACAGACTGACATAATGCCTAGGTATGTTTTACGATGTACGAACGAACTTTGGACGGAGTCATCAGGGTGTTCATCCCCTTTTATGACGAAATCAAGTCATTGGTCATTTTATTCTTCTTGATCAGCAGGGCCAAGGTGCGTACATGTTCGCGTGCCGTGCAGCACCCGAATTGCTCACAGCTTTTCCTTACTCGACCCAACACAGGGCGCTGAACCTATCTACCTGCATGTGCTACGCCCGGTCATCAAGCCCTACACCTCTACCCTTGACATACTCCTCGAGGCCGGCCACATGATCGGCGACTTCGTCCTGCTCGCCGCAAGTATCCCCGTGAACTCAGTCCTCGCGCACTGGCGCAAGTGGACACATAGCGACAAGGACCCCTTCCACGAGGATGACTCCTTGCGGGAGAAGCGCGGCGCACAGCGCCCGGACGACGTCGTTCCCCCGTTCATCCGTGAGGCTGCCAACGGCGCACGGCCGCAAGCTAAACGGAAGGGTAGCTCAAATTCTAGTTCATCCTCGTCTCGCGACCGCAGCGCTCAGCGGGCCGCCAGTCAACACGCCTTTGTGCCCATCACCGCCAGTGCCGTCCCGCAGCCCGCAGCCCGCACCTCGCGCGCGTCCCGGATCTACCGCGAGCCCTCGCAGGGTGCCCAGCCGCCCCCGCCGCCGTACGAGCGGTGGTACCCACCCACGTCTGCGTACGCCGACCGCAGTGGGTCCGGCCTGCCCACCCCGCCTGCGGACTCGCCCCCTCCGTTTGAGGCCGTGCAGGCAGAGATCCTCGCCGCCGACGCAGAGTGGCGGCAGTACCCCGACTTTCCCGCGGCGTACCCGCCGACACCACTGCAGACCGCCGCACCCTCGCTACCTGGGGCTGACGGTCTCGTGGCCCCGGTGCCGCTGAGGGCGCCCCAGTTCGCTGGGATCCCCGAGGAAGACGCAGGGGAGAGCGATGAAGAGGACGAAGACGGTGAGGGCAATGCGACGGTCCGGCAGGGTTTTCGCAGGTCGCTCCTGTTGCCGCGTGAGTTCATGAATCCCGACTCCGCTGGCGACTTGAGCGACGAACACGAACAACCCGGGATTCAAAGCACGGAAGTACATTCGGACAACGGTATGGACATTGACGCGCACGGTGACGAGGATGCGAGCATGGGCTCTTCGGATGATCAGAGCGAGCCGGACTCGGAGGATGACTTCGACGTGACGCTCCGGACGCCCCGACGGATGCGCGTCCGCTCCAAGACGCGGGACGACACGATCAAGGCGAGGAGGAACGTCTACGGCCTCGCCACGACGTCCGCCGAGAGTCTCGCAAGCAACTCGACCAAGCTCAGTACAACGGACAACGGCTCGTCCCTCCGGACGATGACGCGCACCAACTCCGAGGCCTCGCACAGCTCGCGCCTGAGCAGCGCCGCACCCTCCGGATCAGACGCGGCCTCGATCGTGGGGCGGAAGAGACGCATTGCCACCGCAATACCGCGCGCGCCGAGCACAAGGGAAACACGCTCCGCGGATCGCGATCCAGCTGCACCGGGGAGCAAGACCAGCACGAAAGCTGCAGCTGCTGAACGCGTGAAGAAGACGAAGGCAGCGGGTGCGCGGCCGACCGCGGTGCAGATGCAGACGCGCATGCGCATGCGCGCTGCGACGCGCGCTGCCGGCGGGGCCTCCGATGCGAGCGACGAGGACACCGCGGCGACGGACAGCGACCTGAGCGACTCTGCTGTATCGTCTGACCTCAAGCGCAGACGTGTACCCGGGGCGCCTGGAGAGCGCGGAAACCTACCTGCGACCTCCGTACGCCCTCGGACTCGGCGAGAGGACAGCGAGCGGACGATTCGGCCACCGAGGGCGCGCGACAAAAGCGCATCACATGCGGTCAGCGAGGAGACGGAGGCCCCGACTCTGCGACCACGGCCTGCAAGAACAACTTCGCGAAATTCGACTCGTAGTCGGCGGTGAAATTTCGGTGGCCCAACGGCAGCCGTGAACGGTCGCGACGCGAGATTCGCGAGCATCAGTGTCACATTGATTTTGACGACAAATGGCATTCCCAGCATGGATCTGAATCGACGAGAACGCGCAATCACTTGGCAATTTATCACATTGCATCGAGACTGGGAACATTCACGCATTATTCACAACATGTATGTATAGTTTGCAATGCATTGGTCTGAAGCATCGTTTTTTGCGTAGCAGGTGTGATACAGCGCGAGTAGCTGCGAGCGAGCGGTGAGTACAACGCCGGGAGAGCGATCACGCGGACGAGGAGCGTCCCAGAGGCGGGGATCTGCTGGAATGGGCATGATGCGCGTGGGGTTTGCGGGGCTGCTGATTGGCTCGATCGAGGGCAGATACGTGCGGACACCGAGCCTTTCCTCGGCAGCCTAAGCGCATCGTCAGTCACGTCCTCAACGTTTTCACGCCATCGCTAGAATCCATCCCAGGTTCGTTCTATCCTATGCTTGTCGCCTCGCAACATCCCACTCATTCTTCTACAGGCCTGGTCTCAGTTCAAGTACGCAGCCGGGTGAGGCGCGGCCATCACAAGCTCCCCCGATAAGTAGACATCACCCATTATTACGAGAGAAGGCGGCAGAGACAATCTACCACCCTCGAAGACGCGCTTGCTGCTGCGTCGAGACAACGGTGAGGAGACCCAGATCGCGTCGAAGCTGTCTCGCTAACTAGTGTGCTGCGATAGAAATGTGCATGGAATCTTCCCGCTGGCGTGGATCCTGTCACCGCCAGACCAGCCTGCTTCCCAATCGGTCTCGGAAATGCCTCCGCACGCCGCGGGACGCGCTCATATATAGTCGTTCAACCAACCTCTCGGGGCACGCCCAATCCCCTTCTTGCTCCCGCCCACACGGCCCCGCCGATATTGACTAAGTACATCCACCGCCATGACTGCCACCATCGACCAGGTGTCCAACAAGTTTTTTGACTATGTGGTTTGCGGTCAGTCGTGTTTCCTTGCCTGACGCGTCCACACTCACACATGCCCGCAGGTGGAGGAACGGCCGGCCTGACCTTGGCTGCACGCCTGTCCGAGGACCCGAATGTCTCTGTCCTCGTCCTCGAGGCTGGTGGTGCCAACCTGGACGTACCAGGCATCTGTGAGTGTATCGCGCAGATCACACTGTATCATGGTTCTCAAATCATATAGTGCGCCCCGCTTCCTGGGGCAGTCACTTCACCAATGTCGATTGGACGTGGCCGTACAAGACGGTATGCTGCTTGCCATGGCAGAAAGTCAATTGTCTCACATGCGCCCTGTAGATCAAGCAGAAGGAGCTCGGCGATGCGGACTACTTCTGGTTCAGGTCTGTATATATCTGCCCGCTTGCCTATCCGTGCCCTGACAGCCATGGAACAGAGGCAAGGGCCTTGGCGGAAGCTCCGGCATCAACTTCATGTGCTGGACTAAGCCACCCAAGGAGGAAATCGACGGCAAGTCCGCTACCTCCTCAAGTCTGATATCTAGTCTCATGCGCTACAGAGTTCGAGAAACTCGGTAACCCGGGCTGGAACTGGCACAACTACGAGCGCTACGTCGCCAAGACGGAAGGGTAGGTGCCCCAGCAAAATTGCACAGTCATATCCTGACGATCGTGCGTAGCTTCGTCCCTCCGAGCGAAGAAGTACGGAAGCGCAATGTCAATGTCAATATGAACTTCGACACGTGGAAGATCGGACGGGATGGTGGGGATCGTCGTTTTCCTCATCCGTTATTTGATGTAAACCGGACTTCCATGCAGGCCCACTCAAGTTGGCATACCCCGGCACGATTGATGACCTTGAGAAGAAGACGGTCCAGGTGCGCTACACCGGTTACTACATGGACACCGGACTCTGCCTCACAATTCACGTCTGTTAGACCATGCTCAATGCAGGCTTGTCTAAAGCAGCACACCCGGTAGGTGTCCAGCAGGAATATTTCCAGATTTGAACTAACCATCTAAACGAACTATAGCTAAGCGGTGACGTACGTTCCTCAATTAGGGTCGAGGGTACACTGAAACTAAGTGTCACTACATTGATAGCCCAAGGGTGTGTTCCTCATTCCGAATACATACGACCCGGAGAAGCACGTCCGCAGTTACTCTGCCACTGTAGGTTACGTCAACATATACAGGCAATATCGCTGCTCACGGTATTCACCTGCAGGCTTTCTACCTGCCCAATAAGGACAGGCCAAACTTGAAGGTTTTGATCAATGCGGCTGTTCACCGCCTTCAGACTCAGACAGCCGCAAACGGCAAGCTGAGCGCCGTCGGCGTTGAATTCGAGTATGATGGCAAGGTCCACACTGTCAACGCACAGAAGGACGTCTGCTTGACTGCCGGGTGGGCATCCATGATATCCTATGATGATTCCTATTGATCACGATGAATTGTAGGTCATTGAAGTCTCCTCAGATTTTGGAACTTTCAGGTATTGGCCGCAAAGACGTGCTCGAGAAGATTGGTGTACCGTTGAAGGTCGAGCTCCCTGGTGTGGGAGAGAATGCCCAGGAGCACATGTTCATCGGTATCAGCTGGGGTATGTTGTTCATGTGGGGGCTTGTGCATGCATGAGATTGACGTTCGCGCGTAGAACTCAAGGAGGATGTCGGCTTTGAGACCATCGATCTCCTTCGGGATGCTACCCACAATGCGAAGCACCTCGATCTGCAGTATGTGTTGCCTATCCTACGAATGTTCAGCATCGCTAACGCGGATCATCTGTAGTGCCCTCGGCGAGGGTCTGTACACGCGAGGTATCATCGCCTTTGCGTTCACCGCCCCCAACCAAATCTCGCCCCTGGCGGACACGATCTACCAGAAGACGAAGGCGAAGATCGAGGCGAACAAGGGAAAGTTCCCGCCTGGCCTGCTGGAGCAATACAATATTCAGCTCGACCGCCTCAAGCGTGGCGCGCCTGGCTGCGAGTTGATCTGCATCCCGGGCTACCTCTCGGGCCCCGCGCCGCCTGCAGAGGGCAAGAGCTATTTAACGATCCTTGCTGCTGTAAACCACTGTTTCTCGCGAGGGACGATCGTGAGTATACGCTCATATGGTGATGCATTCTGGCTAGAGCTCACACGACTTGGATGTAGCATTCTACGTCGTCGGACCCCCACAAGGACCCCGAATTCGACCCGCGTTACTTTGAGCAGGAGGTCGATTTGGACATCTTCACCGAGTCTGTCAAGTGGTGCCGGAAGTTGGCGGACCTCTCGCCTATGAAGGACGTCATCGGTACGTTGAGAGACTCGATTTCCAGAGCAAGAGCGAGGTCTGATCGGGTCTGTAGTGCATGAGTTGAACCCTGGCCCGCAGGTCGAGGACGAGGCACAGGTCCGTGACTGGATCAAGAAGTGCATGGGCACGACATGGCGTTAGTGCGCACTAGTCTGAACCACAGTTGAGACGTTGACATATTGTCACCATGCAGACACCTCGTCGTCGTGCTCGATGCTCCCGAAGGAGCACAACGGTGTCGTTGACCCTGAGCTCAAGGTGTACGGCACGAACAACGTTCGTGTCGTCGACCTGTCTGTCGCTCCTCTGCAGTTCGCTGCGCACCCGATGGGTGAGTAGTGCCTATTATGGGCGTTTTACAGTAATCTGACGAAACATCCGAACAGCGACTGTCTATGCCATCGCCGAGCAAGGCGCAGACATCATCAAGGGCAAGTTTAACCCCCTCGAGGCGAGCATGGCGTCGCTCAAGCTGAGCGCGTGAGCTACCCGCTAAACCGACAAGGAGGTTGTTAGAATAGAGCGTAGAACTTGGTAGAAGGGGAAGATATCTGGCATGTTGTGGCATCGCAGTTGTTGTCGAATAACGCATTGAATATCGATTACATACAATGGATTGGATCTTCAGAACTTCCGGACATTCCAAGTGTGCCAGAGCAAGTACTTCGCATTGACGCGACGCGTTCTCTCATACACACACCACGTGATCGTGAATCTACAGACGCGTCGGGGTGTCCGGGCGTTGTAGACTTGTGCTTACATGCTCGGGCACATCTGACGGTGCCTACCACTCACCCTTCTAGCTGGGTCTGGACTGTTCGGGGTATATGCTGTTGTCTCACCACTGACTGTACTGCGGCTGGATCATGCTGCGCCTGCTCACGCACCTCAGACCCCACTCGTGCTCACTGGTTTCAGCTGCTCGGAAGAATGCCTGTGCAAGAGGCGGAACTTTGCGCACTCCATACTCGCGCACACTCTCAATCAGTAGCCCTCTGAGCCCTCACAACTCCATTTACATCTCACAGTCCACGAACCCGTACTTCAACCTCTCCCTCGAAGACTGGTGAGTGCCCCGCACGGCCCTCCCGCACCCAGACGCACGCGTACCTACCCGCTTGACTGAAGGCTCTTCAGACACAAGTCCCCGAAGGAGCCGCTGCTGTTGCTGTACCGCGACGAGCCATGCGTCGTGATCGGGCGGAACCAGAACCCGTGGAAGGAGGTGAATATGGATGCCTCCCGGAGGACGGGGGTGCCGTGGATCCGGAGACGGAGCGGTGGAGGGACTGTTTATCATGTATGTCTGGAGAGGCATAATACATTGCGTACAATGCGTGACGTTTCTGCGCTGTGTAGGATCTGGGGAACACGAACTTCTCGATACACCTCCCCCGCACGTCCTTTGACCGGCACGCAACCGCACGAGTCATCCTCCGCGCTGTCCGCTCGCTGGGCATCGACGCACGTGTGAACGACCGGAACGACATCTGCGTTGGAGAGTACAAGATAAGTCGAGTTCGTCATGCGCTGTAAGCGTATGCCGTCGCTGTGCGAGATGCCCTGGCTTACGAGGTTCTCTTGGTTCTGGTTGATACGTTTCGGGCTCTGCATACAAGATCGTCAACAACAGGGCATACCATCATGGCACGATGCTTATATCCACGAGGCTCGACTTGCTTGGGGATCTCTTGCGTGTGAGCAAGGTGATTGACAAGTATTACATTCTTCTCGACCTGCCTGACCAGACACCAGGACACAATGCATACGAAGGGCGTTGAGTCAGTGCGCTCGCCTGTGCGGAACTTACAGCACTTCGACTCGGCGGTGACCCATGAACGTTTCGTGGATGCTACTGTTGCCGCTTTCCGCAAGGAGTACGGCATTGACGAACAGGTGCGCCAACCGGTACGCTTTCCCACTGCTCGTGCGACTGACTTGCAGCACAGTCACGAACTGTTGAAGAAGACGAAGACGCTCAGAGCATCGAGTACATCCGAGATGGCATGGCCGAACTACCGGTACGTCACGGAGTGCATACGAAAGCTACATCGACTGACCGAACGTCAGAGCTGGAACTGGGCATACGGCCAGACACCAGAGTTCTCGCACACCATAAACAACACATTTGCGTGGGGACAGTTGGTGAGCGAACACCCCCGTCGATCTGCAATGGACCGCTCATGATTGGCTGGCGCACCAGACTGCTCATATAAAGTCAAAGCACGGTGTCATACTATCATGTAGTTTCGAGATACCAGCTTCGGCGGACTCAACGTTGGACCAGCATTTGACTGCGCTGAGCAAGAGGCTGGAGCAGCAGAAGTATGGTTTCGTGGAGGATAGCGCTCTGGGACCCGAGGTGCACAGCGGCGCACTAGGGGAGGTCTGGGAGTGGTTGCGTGCGGAGATGGATAGTCGGCCGTTCACTTAGTGTTGTTCCCCATCGAGTAAAAGTCGACGATAAAGTGGACGACAGACTGTTCTGGTTTGCTGGATCGCAGAGTATGGGAGTGTACACGAAAGCAAGGGTCGAAGACGGGGACAAGACAAGGCTCGCATTTACCGCGTCTGTTCAGTGTACCACTCGCTGTTCGTTGCGAACTCTTCAGGTGCAGCAGGAGTCGACTGCACGGATATTCAGCACAGTTATAGGCAGACGTGAGGGCACTGTTGACGTACCGTCTGCCCTCGTATGTGCCCCGTCAACCGCTTGTCCCGCTCCATCATCGTCTCGTCCCACGGATCTATGTGATATCTCGGAGGCTACACATACACCAAGTCACTCCCCATGGCCAGTGTGCAGATGCACTGCACGCGTACCTTTCCTTGGTTCTGCGCCCGTTTAGAAATGCCCAGCAGCGTACCCGCCGCACCGAACATAGCGGTGACCAGGCCTGACAGATCCTCAGTCAGCAATGCTAAGCCCCTTCTCTGCTGCTAGAGGCTTTACCGAAGGGAATGAGGGCTTCCCATGGGACGGGCATGTTGAGCGGAGTGCAGCAGTTCTACGTCGTTGTTGTGCGTCCGGACTCGGGATGATCGTGACCGGGGTAGGCGTGACCGTCACAGCATCGTCACTTCCAAGCGCTGAGGTCACTAGTACGTACTATACCGTCACGCATACGCACTCAACCCAGCAAGTAGTAAGTACTAGTAAGTACTCTGCATCACCAGGCCGCTACAACGAATTAATAATAGGACCCAAGGGATGCAAAGGCCCGGGGCGACAGAATTCAACCAGATACATCGTAATGATTATGATACAAGAATGTAGCGTAACTGCATGCAGCACGCGAGGCATGCATGATACGAGCAACATGCGTGGACGAACTGCGCCTCGAAGAATCACCCGCGTTTCTGTCTCTTGACAGCGCCGATCGCCGACGTATCCACGGACGATATCGACATTGAACGACGGGACTGCGAGAGAGACGGACTGAGCCGCAGAATGGGGGCAAAGCATCAACAAAACTCACCGCTCTCCTGCTCCTCGCACTCCGCGTACTGATAACACTCTGCGCCCTGCCGTCCACTTCGCCCTCTGCGTCGTTTCCATCGTCCACGTCCATCGGTGTGGGGGCTGCATCACCCGTCTCCGCACCCCCAGACTCCTGCTGGCCCAACCGAGCCTTCATGATCCGGATGTCCTGCTCCACCTTGTCTACGACTTTCTTCGTTTCGACAAGAGCAGAGGCGGTCTCCAGGAGGTTTTCTAGTTGTGCGCAGTTCTCTCGAGTGGGCATGACGAGGCGCGTGTGGGATATGCCTAGTTCCCCAAGGACCTGCGCGACCCTTGCTGCTGATGGCGCTTTGGGTTGTGGCAGCTTGTAGGACCGCAGGTATACTGGGACATGGGCGGACTTCGTCGTCGTCAATGTTGTCGAGGGAGCCTCGGTGCGGTGGATACAATGAGTCGCATCTGTCGTCGTACATGTTTAATGAGTGGCCACGACGCCCAGGCAGTGTTTCGACATACCGTAGCGTGCGGAACTCACAGACTGCGACTTCTTGGCCTGTGGTTGACCGAGCGAGATGACATTTGGTGCATTAGATGATGCCGAAACGGGTGTCTCTGGTTCAGTGGTAGCACTGAAATGGCCCTTCTTTTTCTTCTTCGTGTCTGTTGTTCCAGAGTTCAGACCGTCCTCTTCGACAGGAAGGTCTGGTAGCCCAGAGTCGATGCCGAGCAGAGTCCGAAGGAGCTCCTCTCTGTCTCGCTTGAATCGCCGCTCGCCCTGTTCAAGTCGTTTGAGCTCGATGTACAGCGCATCCTCTTCTGCCTTCTGTTGCGGCGTGCGGCTCTCAAGACTGGCGATGTACTTCTTCCGCGTAACTTCACGCTCTACGGGACTGTTACGATGATATCGGACAAAGAGAAGATCGCGAATAAATACCTTTGTCGAAGGTGAGGCTGGTAATGAGCTGCGCCTTGCTCGTTTCATCGCCGGCCCAAGGTCGATTTCTGATCAGTTTACGGCATACGCTATAGTACCGGTCTTTCAAGTCCTCCAAGCGCATTGTGAGGCTTATTGCCTTCAACACAAAACACAGACGTACCTCCATGCTTCTTTCAGGCCCACCTTCGTACTCATAGCGGTCGTACACGACGTACCACCTGGCGTCGAAGTCCCTCACAAGAGTGAACAGGTAGTCCGTTTCGTCTTTTGTCCAATCCTTGTCTACGAGATAGTGGATGGCTGCCCACGGAGCGATGTTGTGTGGCCTCTGCTTACCTTCGAGGAGTCGCATATACTCATCTTGGGAGTAAACATATGTCATGGTCTGGACGTTGTACTTCGCGAATGGGTAATCTGGCAAAGTGTGCCACTTCGTATGGGGATAGCTGCATACAGGAGACGGAAGGCATACCAGCCTCGGGAACCGTCCCAGCCTTCACCCAGTGATAGAGCTCCAGCTTGTCGCCCCGAGCACCATTCTTGAACGACCTCCAATCCCTACGACACGAACATAAGCGACGCATATTGGGTAGAACATTTCGAGATCTCGCCATTTCACTCGACCGCCACCGCCCAGGTTCGGCTTCTGCTTCAATCGAGGTTTCGCGAGTTGTGCAGTCAGTGTCGGAGCGGACGGCCCAATCAATGAGTACAGTTCTCTTGAGATGCCCTCCGGCTTGCGAGCCTTCTCAGCTGTACTCGGTGTTCTACGAGGCTGAGAAGGGCCTGGAGTAGGAGGGTTCGGGAGGGACAGTATACTGCGGACGTCTGCTGCTGAAGCTCCTGCCATGGTTCCGCGCGCGGAATAGAATTCGTTTGCGCTCAGGCCGGGGCGCGATATGAGACAGACTGGGCTAGGACTCGAGAGCAGAGTATGAGCACACTTCGGCCACTGAGATGGTGGCGGTCAACGTGAAGGATGAAGTCGTCTGTAACAGACGCGCATTCTGTGGACACTACAAACTGTATTGGACTCTTACTGATCCCATCACAAACAATTGTGAGGTCGCGCATACCGCGCTTCGCCACTCGATCTCCGACGTCATGTCTCTCCGACTGCTGGCAAAGGCGACCCCGAGGCAGGGCATCCGTGCAAGCTCTCGCACCCTGCACTCATCTGCTCTGCGTCGCAACGAGGCTGGAGGCTTCGGTAACATCCTCGCAGGTGGACCCGCTCCCCCAGTGCAAGTCAAGACCATAACAGATGAAGGTATCGAATTAGCAGACGGCCTCATCCTCCCCGGCGCGTCCATCTTCTTGGACGGCAAGGTTTTCCTGTGGGATGTCCCGCAGAAGCAGTGGGAAGGCTGGGATAAGAAGCACTTCGAGATATTCGATGTCGCGGTCCCAAAACCAGGTGCGTGTGTGCGCGTCATTCGTTCAACCCTCGTTTGACGTCTGAGATAGAGCTTTTGCTGTTTGGAACTGGGAGAAAGGTTGCATTCGTGCCGCCCATGCTCCGTCAGCATCTCAGCTCAATGGGTATACAAATTGATGTAATGGACACTGTACGTCTCTTTTTTGTTGCCAAGGTTTGTTCACTCAGAGCTTGCATCACATGTAGTGGAATGCATGCTCGACCTACAATATGCTGGCTGAGGAAGGTCGACACGTAGCTGCGGCTCTCTTGCCACTGGGTGCAACTGCCCAGCCGTGGCGATCTACACCATCGCAATGAAAGCTTTCCAGAAACATTCTCAGTCACGGTGCACCACAGACCATCAGGATAGTCACCTGGGTACTCAGCGCAGCGACGACGAAACTGCTTGTGCTACACAACTTGACTACAACGGGGAGTGTCCAAGAAAGCGTCCAGAAAGCATACAAGATAACACAGCACAGTTGAGGTCTCTACTCGCCTTCCGGAGGCGCCTTGCGTTTTCCTTTCCTCGCCGCGGCAAGCTCCGCTTCTTCATCTTCCTCATCCAGGAGTGATGGGGTGGAGACTTGCACAGGAAGCAATTCGCCTGGAGGTCGACGTGTTGGATCAGGGGAAGCTCATATACGGATGATTGGGAGAGTATCGTGCATATGATCGTGTGTATGACATGTAGCCACAACCGTGTGTCGTACATCGAGGAGAGAATGGACTCACCGTCGGTGTCCCTGAACTGCACATACAACGCATCCCAATTCGTGAGACAATTTCTGACTTGCATGTCGTCCTCGAGGAGCTCGTAGATGCCCGTTGGTCGCCCCCGCTCCTTGAGAGCTCTGCATAGCTCGAAGTCTTTCACGCTCCCGGCCGTAGGCACAGTCCAGTCCTGGGCGTCGTCGACGTTCATTGCGGACTCGGATTTTGGATTTGGGGCGCGTAGGACGGGTGCATTGAGCGCCATCAGAACATCCTTCTTCAACGAACCGATCGTGTCGTTCAAGGAGGCCGTGAGGAAGACTGAGAGCTTGTGCGTCTTCACCGGCAGAATGTATGCCTTGGGCTGGGCTTTTGGTGGCTAAGACTCAAGTCAGCCACGATGCATGCTGCGGTTGAGTCTGACACGCACCATGATGTACAGCAGTTCAGAAACGCGTCGTGCCTATGCTATCCAGTTGAACGCGCGTACTCGTCCTCGTCGAGCACAATGAAGCAGGTACGCGCAAGCGCCCACATCCCAAGCGCCCGGTCCCGCATTCGGGCGAACGGGATTGGCGCCCGCAGACCACCGTGACGGTTGCGTTGTCGTCGACCTCTGGAGACTCACCACTATGAGCAGCAGGTACCACGACCCGTCCGAGTCGGCGCAGCCGTACCGGGACCCCACTCCCCTCCCCGACAATGTGCCCAAGGTGCAGGAGCTCGGTGCAACTAGCGCACCGCTCAAGAGCGCGGCTTTCTTCCTCGGGGCGTACTGCAAGGATTACAGCGGTGTGTACTCGTCCGTTCAATGGGTTGCTTAAAACCGGTGCTGTGCATGTTGCTCTGCGCGTATGCTAGAGCCAGTGTCTGGGCAGTTCTGGGTAGGAAGGAGTAATCGAACGGATGCTGATATGCGTCGATTTATAGAGGACTTCATGCTCTGCAAGGCGGAGAATCGTGACCCGGAGCACTGCCTGAAGGAGGGGCGGAGAGTGACGAGATGCGCTATCGACCTGTACGTACCCTTTCCCCTCGCCTGTCCGACTGACGGTGTGCCATAACGATGTCCTGACAAAACCCGTCCCTCAGCATCACGAAGATGCGTGATAGCTGCGCCTCCGAGTTTGAGCAGCACTGGCAATGCCTAGAGAAGCACAACCAGGTCTGTCCTACACTCTGTTGACATATCGCCTTTACCTATCGTGACCGGCGCAGGAATACTACCCATGTCGGAAACCGGAGCGCACTCTGAACCAGTGCATGTTCGAGAAGTTTGTACGTGACCTTCATACCTATCTGCACATTGACCCTCAGTATTGAGCGTTCAACCGTAGGGCCTCGTCAAGACTATCCCTGGCACGTTGGAGGGAAAGACGCCCATTCATGAAGTCCGCAACCCTGTCTTCACCACTATACAGAAGTAGCCTGCCTGATCAAATAAACGCCGGCCTGCTGGACGTGTTGCATATACTTCGCGTGCTATCTTTGCCATGCGGTGAGGACCGCACAAAAGTCACAACGGTGCCAGATAGACGGCAAAGTTGATGCATCAAGGTACGGGTACATGGCACGGACAGCAGGGTAACAAGATCGATAGCGAAACGAGTCCTTGTGTCAACGAAATCCTAGGCTGTGGGATATAGTATGCAGGCCGGGAGGACGGCGTCCTGTGCTCGCGGGCCTGCCTCAAGGTTCCGAGTCTTCCTGTGTGAAGCGCAGGATGAAGTTGACGACAATAGCGACTGACGGAAGCATATGACATGAGTCCAGTACTAAGGACAGCGGATAGTAGTTGGCAAAGACTCACCCAGTAGGGCGATACACAATATTGTCTGCAGATATATATATTTCAGCATTGTTTCCGTGCCTGAACCAGTCCAAGCGATACGTACAGGCCCAAACCTGTCGTCGTACGGCCCACGTCCACCTTTGCGAATGGACGCCGCCCTCCAGTGGTACGTGTAGAGAGCGTACACCATCACGGCCATAGCTTTAGGGGTGTCACACGACCAGTAAGCGCAGTTCGCCTCACGATGGAGAGCACTCACCAACCACCGAAAACATCGCCGCGCTGATTTTCCCAACCTAGAGATGCTTCAGCTAGTGCTCGCCAACCACCAGCCCTCAACCCGGCTTACCTTATCACCGAAGTTGAGCAACCCGACGGCAAGCCCGCCGAGGACTACGGTAAAGTGCAGCCACGAAAGAAACGTCCGCTCATTGGCGAAGGAGACTTTGGGCTCGACCCGGACGGGCAGAGCGATGCGCTTCGCCGCTGTGCGCTGCAGCAGAGGCTGCGTGGACATGGTGGAGGGAGTGCGCAAGGTTTGCGGTGTTACAGTACCTAGGCGAAGGCGGGAGTTAAGGGTGCATGGCCTAAACGGGCACGAACGTGCGCGACGTCACTGGTCCGCTTATTCGAGCCCGGGGTGTGACTTAGAGTCTAAAGATAAGATAACGGCGTGACTATGCGTTCTGAGGATTGTCACAACGCTTGCGCGTCACGCGACGTTCGAGTTCTTGTGGCGATCTCAATTGTGGACTAGGACCGCTGCTGCTTCTTTACTCTCTTCCTCCACCCGCACCGTTTCGCAATGTCTTCCACAGGAGATGCAGCCATGAACGAAGCATCTGCTGACGAAAAGCCCTACACCGCACCGCCGATGACGGTCCAACAAGAAGGTACGACTCTGCGATCCGGGCAACTCACGGGGTCGCTCCATATCACGTCTTCACCTTCTTACAGACGGTATCATACACACCAGAATCACCAATGACGAGAAGGCATTGCGTCGTGTGACCCGCAAGTTCCATAGCTACACGTCTCTCGCATACACCGCTGGGCCAGACCCGACGCCGGCAACGTCGACAGTGGACGATGCGCGCGAGGCATTCCTCGTGGAGCTCGCGTCGTTCCACCTATCTCTGCAGAAGAATTTGATGGTGTGTGAGGCGGAGGCGAGGCAGGTGGAGGAATATCAGAGGGAGCGAGAACGAATAGGTGAGTCGCGCAGACCGTTCGGACGGACCTCCAGCTGAGTTGTATGATCCTTCGGAAGCCTCGGACCATGCGCGACTCAGAAGCGAGATTGAACGCCTAAAAACAGACTTGGAGGACGCCCAGTTACAGAGGAAACGGAAGATTGAATACGACGCTATTGCGGAGAAGATCAATACACTGCCTAGTAGAGATGAGCTTCAACGGTGTGTGATGTACATTGTCGTAAAGACCTCCGCTAATACTGCAGTAGGACTCTTGAAGCCCTTGAGAATGACATGGCTGCTATCCGATCCGAACATGAGCACCAGACGCATACCATTCAAGCCCAGAAAACAGCCTTGGACTCTGTGATCGTGGACCTGAATCAACTTCGCGTTCTGGGCAAGCAAGATCCCGCAGATGTCTCCAGACCTTCCACGCCTCCACCCGAGATCACTGCGCCCGACGAAGACGTCGACATGGACGGTTCCGCGAGCGTGCGCACACGCGAGGAGTCGGGCGAGCTGAAGGAGGACAACTTCAGGGAGATGCCCGACAACGACAAAGAGTCCGACGACGTGCCATTGGCGGCGAGGTTGCACCTCAATCCCGGCGCGCGTCCTTTCGTTCCTACCAGGTCGAGGACATCAACGCCTGCATTGCAGTCTGCTCCGTCACCGGCGCCACCTCCACCATCAACAGAGGACGATGACATCGAGATGGGCGAATTGGCTGAGGAGCCGAAGGATCTGAAGGCGAGGAGGAAACCGCGGGAAGAGGAGCTGGAGGAGGGTGAGGCAAGTGACATGAGCAGTGAGCTGTCTGACCCTCCTGACGATTGAAGAGTTGATGTCGCGTCGTTGTTCTGCTCTACTTGCTTTGAATGACTCCCGTACTCTCTTTAGTTAATTATGCAATTCTACATCGAAACTCATGAAGTCCCTTGCACAGACGACTGGCCCGTCATACTTTTGCATTGCCAGCCCTCTGATGGCCTCCATAATATTCTTCGCCTCTTCACTCTCGCCGTCGTCCACATAGCGGGCGGAGAAGTGATTGAGCAGTAGTTTTCGTGCGCGTATCCGCTTTGCGAATGCACCCGCCATCTGTGGGGTTGAATGTCCGCGCGACGTCGACTGCGCCTCTACACCCTCGTAAGTGTCTCCGTCCTTCGTCCGGGGGTCAGTGCCGGGCAAGTGCGCATTTGTGGCTTCATGGATCAGGAGATCCGCATCAAGGGCCAAGTCGGTGATCGGTGAAGGGTCGTAAGTGTCGCCCAGTATAACCAGCTTGCGTCCTGGCTTCCTTGGCGGCCCATGCAAGACCGTACCGTCAGGTAGCTCGATACTCTCTCCATCTTGTAATCGCCTCATCGTACTCATTGGCGCTTTGTTTCGCTTGAGGTGGGGTATGTAGTCCTTCGGGTTGATTTTGCCTGGTATTGGTAGCTCAGTGACCACGAACCCTACGCAGGGGACCGAGTGCAGGATAGGCGCAGCGGACACGCTGACGATATCGTCGCGGAATATGTCCTTCCACACGCCGTCTGTCTGCGCGATGTTACGTCCTGGTCGTTCGGGCAGTCGCAGAGGGAGCTCGGTGTAGTCCCCGTCCGAAGGATCGGAGGGGAAACGGAGTTCATGCACCACGTAGGGCGCGCCGAAGTTTGTGTACGAATAGAAAGAACCGGCGCGGATGAAGGCTCGTGTGCCCAAGGGGCCATATATCTCTAAAGGCTACGCAGAGACTTCATGAGATGACCTGCACGATGTTTACAGTGTCTACACATACCTGGACCTCCTCTGTAGTGCTCGACTGTAGTCTTGTGTCCTGTGCGACGTCAATCATACCCCCTGCACCGTTCAGGACAGCAGCCATGAGGGGCAGAATTCCAAATATATGGTCGCCTGCCGGGCGCGTCAGTCACGTAAGGTTTCAACGAAAGACGGACTAACCATGAGTGTGGGTGATGAATATCTTCTTGATATTTTTCCCCAATCTCACGCTGCTCTTCTGTATGCGATGTTGGGTCGCCTCGCCGCAGTCGAAGAGCCAGGTATCGCCGTTGAGACGCAAGGCGAGAGCGGAGTGGTTGCGTGATGAAGACGGTGTAGCGGACGCAGTCCCGAAAACGGTGACGTTGACAGACGATAGAATCTGTGGCATGTTATGAACGTTCTTAGCTCGAGGCGCAGCAGGTTCGTGGATGGAACGGGCGACTATGTGCGGCCAGTACTTCGTCGAGTAGGATGCTCTCGAGAAGTGGAGTCGGAGTCGAAGACCGAACATAAGTCGCACTGTCCATCATGTCAGGTCTAGTAGTCATGTACAATTCACTGAGTAATCGACTCATATGATTTTCCAGTTTTTCCCGCCAGGTTTTAGCAGAGTGTCCCGCCCCGCCGAATTCGGCGAGTGGGCCAAGGCCGCGAGAGGAAGACCCTCTTGGGAAGAGTGTGTGGCAGGGATGGATGGGGCAACGGTGTCATCTAATGCAGTAGTCGTCGGGTAGCCTAGTACGTAGTTCTATGGGTAATTGTGATGTTGTACTAGTGAACGCTGTCGCCGTCAAGAAGCCGATGCGCGTTTGCGCTATCGGCCGGCGGCTAAATGGACGCCCCCCTCCCCCTCCTCCTCCTCCTCAGTGTCTCACACCGGATGAAACTTTCGATCCTTCAAGTGAAAGATCGATAAAATTGACAAAATCTTTTTCACGATATTTCGTATGAAAGATTGTCAATAAAAGTCAGAAACAATCAATGAATCATTCAGACTCGAAGTATCAGGAACAGATCACAGAAGGATTCATTGACAAGTGTCTTTGATCTGTTTGTGATCCTCTAGGCAAATGATTGAGAACATGATTTTGAAAAATTCTTAACACTATGTGGCTCAATTGTTCTGAAAAGATTGAAAACAGATTGTCACATGGGGCAAGGGGTTTCCATCAGTGGCAATTCAGAATATCGACCCCCCGCAAAGTGCGCGCCATGACCCCGAAAACCCGCCTACAACCAACCAACCTTTAGCGCCCAGAAGTCTGCAAGCGCCGGAAGGCGAGTAGAGTGAAGGTGGGGACTTGGGTGGGACCGGCGGTGTTCATGCACGTTCATGGCGCAGAGTGAGGCAGCCGAATCGTAGAAATGATATTACAGAGGTCTTGCTTGAACTATAGTAGTTTATGGTAGTATCTATGGCTTAGATAGGGACAATAATTCACATCGAATCGAACATTAGGACGGGCCCGGGGAGGCTGAGCGTGCCGCGCCGCGCTCAGGCTCAGAACTTCACGCGTTTGCTTGCACGCTTTGCAGCTGAAGGCTCACCGGGACGCTTGCTTCCCGCTGTGGCCTGAGCACCCTGGTGTAGCCGCGCTTCGGCCTCTGCATCTGGAATAGGATATGCGCGTGTCGCGCTGGGGGCGATTGCACCGACCTCGCGCGGATCGACGTTGATTGACGCGATGAAGCCTTCGCTGAGGCCTTGCGTGCGATGGGTCTCCGTGTCCCAGTGCTGAGGATGTGACTCACGGATGTGCTGGAAGATGCTGTACTTCCAGAAAACCGGCTTCTGTTTTGTGTGAGGATCGATGTCGCAGAGCTCGCAATGCAACGGAACGTTGGTTGACGGCATACGCCCCGAGTGCTTCTTGGCAGATGCGAGGGAAAATTTGTGCGCGCGCGAGCAACTCGACGCTGGTTGATAGGATGAAGATGTCTTCTGGAGGCTGATACCGCATCCAGTTCGCCCGCAAAAGCCGCAGGGATAATCTGCATGAACCTTAATATTGAACCGCTGAGTCAGCTACTGACGCACTTGAACAGAGAACGAATAGCAGCTCTTACACGTTCGCGTAGGCTTGGCTCTGTTATCCCAAGCAGTGCTCGCAGGATGTGCTCACTGACATGCGTACGGCACAGATCGGGCGTGATGATGCGATTGCATTGATAGCATTGAACACGATTGCCTGTAACACCGCTCTCGTTCTTCTGCGCAATCAGCCGCATCACGCCGTCAAGGGCAAATGGCGAGTATCCTGTTTTCCATTGTCAGATCCACTGATTGGCTTAGCCAACTAGTACGCAGACGTACCATGTCGATCAAGATACGGAAATCGTTTCAATTCCGCAGGTCCATATCTCGGAAGCCGGCTCAGCAGCGCGCTAGGCTCTATTGTCTTGAAAATACTCGTGGTGAGCTCCTGTAGGGTTTTATGGTCCACGGCGCATGTATGTAGTGCTCCCCTGTCATGAAGCACAGTCCGCTGAGCAGGAGGAAGGAGCGTCGTAGGCACAATCGCCATATCGACGGGCTGAGCAAAGGCGCCAGGAACTTGGACTAGGAGAGCATTCCGTGTCCCATCCTCGGCCTTCTGTGCGCTGCGTGACGCGGCGCCTGCATTTGCGGGGTTGAAGCGGACGGTTTCACCTGTCCAAAGCCACTGTTCGTTGGCACCCGGCGGTGGGCCCGGGGTATCGTCCGAGCTCGGAGTCGCAGGCTCATTTGCAGGCCCGGGTTCCGGCGGAGGGCTAGCACCTGCTTCTCCGGTGCCGGGAGCGGACATGGATAGGACTTGACCCGTTATCTTGACATCCATTGACGCCTCCTCCAGGTCTGCCTCAGTGACTTGCGCAACACGATTGCCTTTTCGCTCGATGCCCTTGACTTGGACGAATCCAGCCGCCACGGAATCAAGTGAGCGAAGAGGCGCCAGCACAGTATCCCCTACATTCACGACATCTTCTCCTGTGAGCTCCTCGCTCTCAAGCTCATTCGCCCGGAAGACGCGCGGAAATCCTCGAACACGACGCAGCCGGTCGACTGAGAGACGACCGCCCGCTGGATCGAAGAGCCCGCTGACGATGGATGCCTTGTGAAGCTCTTTAGGGTCATTGCCATCATCATCTGGTACGTGCAGCCAGTCGGAATCCTTTTCCTGTGACGTCTGGATGTTGCCATTGGTGTCTGGATTGGACAAGAGGTCGCTCAGCTCCATGTTGACCAGATCAGGGTCGATGAACTCGGATTCGGATGCGGATTGGTTGGCATTCATACGCGGTTGGATGGGTACGGAACCCGTTGACATGGGTACGGAACCCGTTGAGTCTGGATCAATGACAATGGAGCGATCAGGATCCGTGGACACCCCTGGGTACGTGTCGCCTCGCGGCTTCATGAAATCAACTCCAGGGTGGGAGAGCTTCTCGTCGAAGTTGACTTGGATGCCATGCGTATGGAGTGTCTTGTCAGCAGCGATGAGCCCTGATCGCCAGACCGTCTCCAGACATACATTCTTCACGACCATGTCCCCCTCATAGAACCGCGGATTAACATGATCCACACCTTCCCGTCCGGTGAATGATCGGCGGCGCTGTCCACGATTCCAGTCCGGATGTCGGTTGTAGATCTGGATGATGTCGGCGGATATTGCAAGACGTTCGGCAAGCTGCGCCATATCGCAGTTACGGTCGTGTGATTGTGTGCGTACTTCTGCGAAGAGCTCCTCCAGACGGTCGCTCCCAATCTGATATAGATAGAAGGGCTTTGTGTCATCCAGGAGCTGCTGTCGTGCAACACAGACATAGACGGCCTTGATAAGCGCTTGGATGTCACTGTAGAGCTGATTTGACATGAATGTTGATCCGTGTTGCAGGTACAAGATGAACGCCATGTGTGCGAACTTGGCGAGGCATGTCAGCTGCTGCGAGAGCGAGAGAGAGGGGTCTATGAAGGCGTCCAGGAGGGATTGCCATAGGCTAGCCTGGAGGCAGATAGCCTGGTACGTGAGCATCGCTGTCGGGCTGAGGTCCGTTGGATTCATGTTTGCGAGTTCTACAACAGCTTGTAGTAGTTTTGTGGCGCGCGGAACATTCTGATGGTCAGCCGGGTCGACCAGGATGTCAACGCTGGCTTTTGTGTGGCCCGGCAGCATTCGCAGGAAGTTCGTGACCACAATCCGATTGATCACGGTCCCGTTCAGTACTGATCCTTCTGCGCTCCGTACATGAGTTGCGACGCCTGCCACAGCATAGATAATGATGTCAACTCATCATCTAGATGTGAACATTCATCGCGTGTACGTACGTTTGATCAAGTGCTTGGGATCTGGTGCATGGACTACATCTCTCTTCCCGCAACGTAGATTGAGCCCCTTCAGCGTTGAGAGCTTCCGGTACAGTGCGCTTGAACGGTCAAACTCCCGGACCATCAAACGGTCATAGCACGCTCCCCGAAACGTTGTAGCCCCATCGCATGAGAACGTCCAGAGATCTCCATATTCATCGGAACCATGGATGGACCAGTCATCGATAGACGTGTCCAGTATGTCACCAAACTCCTCGGCTTTCTCAGCCTTGCATGATGCTGACAGCCCGATTGGTAGGATGTGGTAATTGTCGGCCCGGAATGGCGCCATGCCAAAAACCGTACCGTCCGTGCCATAATGACACGTTGGCGTGTCACTGTGCATAGCCCGCGCCACCTCTAGGACAGTATCAAAGCTTGACATCGACATGTCGAGGCCAGCCGAATGCTCCCGACACGCACCGACCATGCTGTCTATGGACTTCACCCAGCGCATGCGCCGTTCGATAGCAATTCCGTCCGCAGACAACGAGTAACCGCACCGCGAGGACTGATTGTGAGTACGTCGTGGGAACTGGGTTTGGATATTATAAACAAAGTCTGCTGATCGTGGTTTGCCCGTTGATGGGCGAACAGACGGTGTCTTTGCGAGCCGATGGAGGGAGGAGGCCGACAGTAGTTTGCAGTGCTTCTGCACTGCGAAGAGCCCGTTCCGTCCTGCGTAATATTGGATCAACCGTGCAAGATCAATGTCCGACTCGCTATGGCCTCGTGCTTGGTAGACGTTGTTGACCGCCTTGAAGAATCGCTCCAGGATCGCGTTGGGTCCACAGCGTTGCTTGAGCGCAATACGAACGAGGTAATGTACCTGCTTGACATCATGCGTCGCAATCGCTTTCACGAGGCGCTTCCAGTCATTCAGTTTCCGGGTTGTTCGCTCAAGCTTCTTTTTCCCAGCCTGCTCCTATTAGTGCACAAATTCGCACCAATCAACACGGTCCTCTGGAGGAGTGGTTCATTTACTCACCCTAGATCGGAGCTCGCTCAATTCCGTCGTCTTGTTGCTCAAGGCCTCCGTATACTGCACCTGGTTGAGCCAGTTGTAGGGTGTATGCGGAGTCCACGATTGAGAAGCACGGTCCGAGAGTGCATGGAATGTCTTTGACACCGGGATAGACAAACATGGTGGGCATGCCTCCTCGTCATTGGCTACAGCTTGCTCACAAAGATCGGACTGCAGCCAAAGCTCGGAGCCACTCTTCTTCAGACCACCCACGTGGAACCCAAGGTGCGGTCCGCAATCACGGTCCGTGTCCATGAGCTGCCACGGAAATGTCTTCAGTACAGGTCCTGCGTCCCACTTGACAGGGACGCCGTCGCACGCGCGCGTTGCGTCTGCGTCCCCATCCGAGTCGGTCGGCCCAGGGAATAGGCCGTCTTGCTCTGGCGGCAGCGATGTTTCAGCTTGGCGCGGAGTGGGTACGGGAACCGATCCAGACACGACGGATGACGAGGCTCCTGCAAGAGGCGAAGCAAGAGAACATGAGGGGTCTGTGGCCGGAATTAATGGATAGGTGGATGGCGTGCTGGCAGTCGTTGTAGACCGCTGAGGGAACTCAGGGAAGAGTTGACTTCTCGTGCGGTCCGTCTCCTCTTTCTCCTCCTCTGCTCTCCGTTTTTTCATTTCCACCCTGTGCCTCTTACTTTGCAGATGCTGTCGCATGAAATAACTGCTCGTGTCTGTAACCGTGACAGGTAACCCGCAGCCTGCGCAGATCACGGTATGATAGCCATGTCGTGGCTCAGGTGCGTCTCTGTCCAGTTGGGACACGTTGTCCGCGAACGTTATTGGCGGCTCAACGGTGTCATTGTCCACAGTGGCATTTGATAACCCTACCACGGCGACAGAGTCTCCCGGGCCGACCTCGCTCAGAAGCTCTCCAGCGTCGTCATCAGAAGGCATGGGGAATGTCTCCTGTCCTCCCGCCGCAAAGTCGGGCGCAGAAAGTCGCAGTAAGCCGGAGTCACTGATGAACTCACAGGTACTCGACCCCTCCGAGACATCCGAGGCATAGCTCCCACCGAACCCGTCACTTTCAGGCTCGACGCTGTCATACCGCAAGCCAACACCATGTGCAAGATGCCGGATGCGAGTGTAGTAGTGGATAGGCGTAGGTGGGGAGTACAAGTCGTCCGAAGGATAATCCTGCGGCATAACATGTAGACTCCGTAGACTTGGAGCTGAGGCACAGTAGATGCAGGCACAAGCGCCTAAACACAGTCGCGTCCTCGTCGCGTCGTCGCGTAGACACGTCTTACGAATTGCGATGACATACGCGTTAATTACATACGCACATTTGCTACCATATACGAACAACTTCCTATTTCTCCTATATGTACGCCCCCTCTTCGTGTAAGACTTGTTGGGACATGTTTCATTGACCTCTAGATGCGAATAAACAACCTTTCGTGACGGGAAGTGTCCAGCACGGTGGACTTCGAGGAAAAGTGCTCGGAAAAGTGTGTGTACCCTTAATATCCGGACCCCGAAAACCTGCCTGGGGGTTACCCGGGGGGGAGTCGATATCGGGCGCTAGAGTTTTGGAGACCCCTTGACATGGGGTGTTACAATCTGTTCTCAATCTTTCAGGCTGTCACAATCTGTGCCAAATCCTTCCAGCTGTTGAAATCTTGGTGAGATTGGAAACAATTTGTATCCCAGGAGTTCAAAACAATTTGCCCAAAAGGATTGACAAGAGATTGTGACACTAGCTGTGACACTGTGCCACTTCCCTATGACAGAGCAGTGAAGGCAAATATGCCAAACCTATGATAAGCTGCCTTCTGCTGGTATGCTCAGTCAATTTTGGTCCCTCTTTCATTGCATCTGGACATGCACAGGTCTGGGACATGTTCATTAGTCATATAATGAGATGCACATCTCTAGGAATGTACAATCACAAGTACAACCCTGTACACTGAGTGCATCTAATGAGACTCATGTGATGGCAGGCAATGAATGAATGAGGGACCAAAATTGACTGAGCATACCAGCAGAAGGCAGCTTATCATAGGTTTGGCATGTTTGCCTTCACTGCTCTGTCATAGGGAAGTGGCACAGTGTCACAGCTAGTGTCACAATCTCTTGTCAATCCTTTTGGGCAAATTGTTTTGAACCCCTGGGATACAAATTGTTTCCAATCTCACCAAGATATCAACAGCTGGAAGGATTTGAAACAGATTGTGACAGCCTGAAAGATTGAGAACAGATTGTAACACCCCATGTGACAATCTGTTTTCAATCTTTTCAGAACAATTGAGCCACATAGTGTTAAGAATTTTTCAAAATCATGTTCTCAATCATTTGCCTAGAGGATCACAAACAGATCAAAGACACTTGTCAATGAATCCTTCTGTGATCTGTTCCTGATACTTCGAGTCTGAATGATTCATTGATTGTTTCTGACTTTTATTGACAATCTTTCATACGAAATATCGTGAAAAAGATTTTGTCAATTTTATCGATCTTTCACTTGAAGGATCGAAAGTTTCATCCGGTGTGACGCTCGGCCCGTAGGGCAGGCGGGCGCCTACGCGATCTTTAGTAGGCCCTCCACTCAGTCCGCTCACTCAGCACCGTTGCTGGGTAGCCTCACTCATGTCTAGCAGACCCATCGAGCCGATGCCCACCTCAAACTTTGCACATGCCGACGAGAACAGCCCAGTGGTCTCTGCTAATAACGGCGAGACACGCACACGACTCAGACCTCTGGACTCGTCGTTCGTTCGCCTGACTCTGGTTGGCTCCGTCGTCCTCGGCGCGATCGCGCTGCTCCCATATGCCATCATGCGCAGACGATTCCTCGCCCTAGAGCAGCGCCTAGAGCGCACCACGACCGCCAACGCCGCGCTGCAACATGATGTGCAGAAGCTGCTCGAACAAGACGCCGTGAGGCGGAGCGAGCGCAAGCAGCTGGGCGGGCTGATAGCGGAGACGAAGAACATCATGGAGGAGGTGCGCAGGGCGGGCGATAGGCGGGAGTCCGAGCAGCGCATGCTCAACGACAAGCTCGTCCGAGGCGTGCAGGAGCTGAAGTCACTCGTCGAGAGCACAGAGGCTGCAGCCGAGGAGCGTCACTTGGTGGGGACCAACTTGAAGTTCCGTTGGCCAGGCTTGAAGAAACCTTGATCTCGGTTTGCGCTCTTCAAGAGCCTGGAGACACCACGTATTCATTATATCCCCATTCGTTGCGCGTACTGCTTTTGACGAGACATTTCAACAGCTCTTGGACATTGTACCAATACTCCTCAGGCTGTATCTCTTCTTCCCTCATGTGCCATACCATTGCTCGCAGTGTGTCTCTCAATGATCGCGATGCGATCATTCATGGATGTACGATGTACGACTAGCCGGATCTTTGTACAGAATAAACAACGCATGTACTGTATTTCCTGAGCGTTGGGCTTCGTGTGTCTGAGAGTTGAGTTCCATACTTATCTCACCACGAGTACACTGCACCAACCGACGCTCCCCATCGCATTATCACATAATGCATGCGCATTATTAGCTCCCCCCACGTATCGTAATCACGTACCACGTGCCGATCATATACACACCGTGCGGCAGGCAGCTGGACGCGTCAGTTGCAGTCCACCCTGCTCCCTGCCCCTCCCAGGTCAGGATACAAGCAGCCAGCCAGCCTCAGTACTTCCTTCCGAACAACCACCAGGAATGCCCTCGTCAGACTCCCGAGAACGCGACGGCACCGAAGCCTTCGTCGCGCTGCTCGCCCTCGGCGTTATCACTGCTGCGCCCTACCTCCTCGTCCGCCGGCGACTCTCTGCCCTCGACGCCAGCCTCCACCGCATGAGCTCGAAGATGACCGCAAAGTCCCGCGAGATTGTCAAGCTCCGCAATACGATCGCTGCGCTGCAAGCGACGCAGATGGCCAAGGAGGCGGGGAGTGCCGCGCTGCACCGGGATGTGCAGGCGCTCGCGGCGGCGGTGTCCATGGTGAAGGGAGATACGGAGGTCATAATCGATGGGATGGGGGAGCTGAAGAAGATAGTGGGTGACCTGCGCATGAAGGCGGAGAGAGACGAGGACGCACGTCTGAGGAATGAGGAAGCGGAGGCTAGGATCCAAAAGGCCCTGGACGATATCAGGCAGGTGGTGGCCGCACTGCAGAAGACGACAGAACAGAAAGAACAGCTGCGTATCGAGCGTGAAGAGGCGCGATACGAGCAAGTCATGGGTTTCCTACAGCAGTACCTTCATGCGCATAACAGGTAGGATCTACTTCATCAGTATCGCTCCACGACGACGTCGCCGTCTATGAGCCTCGCTGCTGCTCACATGGGGCATCTAGGACTGTTTCATCTGCATTCCGCGACGTGGGCAGGTCGATGGGCGACGTCGCAGCATTCATGCACGAAGTCGAGCTGCTGCACGGATACGTAGCCAGTCCTGGCGACAGGCGCGGCATCGAACGAATCCGACAGTTCGCTAAGAAGCTGCAGGAGCTGCCCAATGCCTTGCCGGGTTGCACGACTGCACAGGTGCGCGGATCTCTAAAGCAGACGAGGGGCGACTCGCTGAGGTTGGATCCACCTACTTACATAGCTCGCGGAGAACCCGCGCTCGGATTCGCCACCGCCTAAGGGAAATGAACCAAGCGATCTGTTATCCCATTAATCATCGACTACAAGTTTTTGGTAGGATGGGGTATCTGGAAGGACGGGGAGTATCATCAGAAGACTGTATGCTTTATCACAGGCCGGGGACGCTGCATCCGCACATTTGTAGTCTTAGTCCGCACATCCACGCACGCGATCGCCGCCACATTTCACTTCGTCCAGCCATTTTTTCGAGACTAATAGCAGAATGCATTGCATCAGTACCTAGTACATCGCGATCGAGGGGCACCGCAAGGACACACGACCTTGACATTCTTCTGGTGTGGCACGAGGAACTGCTCCATCAGGTCCACCTCGACCTTGCCCCATCCCGCGTACTCGCCCACGCGCATCTCCTTACACCGCCGCACGTAGAACGCGAGGTGGTACCGGAGCACGGCGGGCCACTCGTACTGCGTCGCGATCTTGACGAGGTGGCTGCTGTAGCGGAAGAAGTAGTAGGGGAGCATCGTTGGCTGGCCGCGCGCGAGCCCGTGCAGGGTGAGCACGGAGAAGTACGCGTTGAGCGGGACGAGCAGCGCGTCGAGCGTGGGGTAGACGTCGACGGCGTGCGGGGCGGAGCGCAGCGCGTGTGGCGATGCGCTGTCGTCCAGAGAGGCGTCGATGAGGTCCCACTGCGCTTCGAGGATGCGTCGTGAGTCTAGCTTGTAGAGATCGCCACCTGGGAGAGAGTGGTTGAGGATGGACGACATCGTGTCATCCTCGACGTGCGGGAAGAGGTAGAGCAGGTCGCGGGCGGTCTGGCCTGGAGGATACGATTGAGACATCGCAGACATGGTAGCAGCAAGAGCAGAGAGTCCGAGGAGCGATCGAGAAAGCGGGATGCCCGGGGAGGAGACAAAACCAGGCGGATCTTATAGGCCAGAAGAGAAGCTCAGCGAAAATGAACAAGGGGAGCTTCAAGGGCCACATCTTTTTATTGATCGCGCGGCAGACGCCCTCCCATGACGCAGGGAACACCATAGACGACCAGTGTCCCTGGCAGCTGCTGTAGTCGCTGTAGGTTCGAGCAGTTCTCATCCTCACGAAGATCCCAAGCATTTGCAAAGCGAGTCCGTATCAGAGTTCAAGGGGACAGTCGTGAGTTGGCAGGCTAGACTCGCGCCACCTTCGAGCTCAAGTTTGGCCTTGGTTTGGCCCAACTCGTGGCCAAAGTGGCGGTAAATTCCAGGAAAGGCAGGTGTCGACCGTGGGACTGTGGCTGGTGCAACTGCACAGTTCATGCACTCCGGATCCCACGCTTCATTCCCCATTCTCGGATCGGCGCGCACACCCTCCACGACACCCCTCAAGGTGAATACGGCCGTTCTGCGCATCGAGGCTCTGTCGGCGACGTCTTCATGCTGCCGGGACCTGTTTGCATGCTTGGCGACGTTTCCGACGAATCCCGATGTGCTCTGTTTCTCGTGCAATGCGGTTGTACTGAAGTCGGCTTGTGTTGATAGATCTCACCAAAATGCCCGGCAAGGTCAAGGCGTACGAGCTCCAGTCCAAGTACGTCTCCGTGCTGCACTGCTCTGCACGTGGTATTGAGGGTGGAACACTAGGTCGAAGAATGACTTGTCGAAGCAACTTACTGAGCTCAAGAATGAGCTCCTGAACCTCCGGGTCCAGAAGATCGCTGGTGGCTCTGCGGCGAAGCTGACAAAGATGTGAGTGACGACGGTTTTCTCTTGTAGGACGTATGTATTGACTTGGCTTTGCAGCAACACTGTCCGCAAGTCGATTGCCCGGGTCATGACGGTGATGAACCAGAAGCAACGTCAGAACCTCCGGGAGTTCTACAAGGACAAGAAGTACAAGCCTCTTGACCTCCGCCCCAAGAAGACGCGGGCGATCCGGCGGAGACTCACTCCTGTGCGTGTTGTGAAATTTATGCTGTAAGTGTATACTGATGCGATCCTGGTGCAGAACGAGAAGAAGCAAAAGACCCTCAAACAGCGGAAGAAGGACATCCACTTCCCGTTGAGGAAGTACGCCGTCAAGGCAGCATGAGCGCAGCGTCTGCTGCTGGACAGGGAGCGGGTTCTTTGACTTTATTTTCGACTACTGTATGCTGTACGCCACCACCGACCCTCCATGCTTGCTATGCCATGTGTCGTCTCATGCAGACAGAGAGTGTGTCGGATCAGACTGGCGGCGCTGTAGCGGTGGCCGACGCCATACATAATGAGGCCTGAACGGGAATGAGTAGATGCGGGATGTGAATGGGATGAGCAGGTGCACATGCACGCTGGATTATCCTGAGCTTGTGTCCGGGTGCCATCAGCGTGTGAGCCGGAGGCTTTGCCGTTTCATGCTGGTGAGAGAGTGGTGGCCACCGCGGCTGGCGAGCAGCAGCTGAGGGCAATAAATGGGGAATAGGGCGGGAGGAGATGCAGAGAACAGGGCAGCTGCGGGCGTGTGCCGTTTGAGGCGATGGCGGGGGCGGGAGGACAAGGCCTGATCGTGGCAACACCGGCCGATCTCCGCTTGCCCTTGCCTCACGTCATGCCTTTCCGCTGACCAGCCTCGACGCGCCCTCTGCCTCTTCCCTCTTCCTCCTCGTCCTCCCCCTCGCCGTCCCCCGTCTTTTGCGTCCTCTTCGTCGTCCACCGCGGCCTCGCCGTATCACCCTAGCGACAGACCTGGCTTCTCCATCTTCACTCGCCTGAATAGGCAGGCGCCGCGCCCGTGCCTCTCGCTACCATCGGCCCCACACGTCCGGCGCACGCGTCAAAGTCCCCGTCGCCCACCACCCTGCGTCCAGGGAGACAGTACGGCAGTTGACGATACTGATTAGTTGACGACCACTGTGATGAACAAGGTTAGTGATCCCTCATGTCCGAGCTGGCTTCTCGCGGGGCGCGTGTTTGCAGATAAAGTCATGCGGGATAATGACATCCTGCATGGTGAGCCCGTCCTCATGGGCCCTGCACGTGTGTGGGAGCAGAGGTCGTCGTCGTTTGCGTCAGGGCTAGGCTACAGGCCCGCCTCCCGCCGCCTTTCTTCTTACCCCGCCCCCCGGCGAGTCGCCCACAATGCAGCGCGTCGTGTCGTCGAGCTCCAAATTCCTGCGCAAGTCGAGCAGCTCTGACAATGGCCATGCTCCTCCACAGCCAAGGCAGCTCACCAAGTCCCCGCCGCCGTCCCCGGCGCGCGATGTCAAGCGTGCACCAGAGCCCTACCCTATCCCGAGCAACAACCCCGCGAGCCAGTACACGCTTCTCGAGAAGCTGGGCACGGGTAGCTTCGGCACGGTGTACAAAGCGATGCACAACGAGTCCAAGCAAATCGTGGCTATCAAGCAGATCGGTCAGTATTCTGTCAGTGCGCTTCTCAGGGTGCAAACATCATTGACGCTCTGCGCTAGACCTCGAGGACTCGGACGACGACATCTCTGAGATTCAGCAGGAGATCGCAAGCCTCGCGCAGTTCGACTCGGAGTACGTCACGCGTTACTATGGCTCGTTCGTCGTCGCATACAAGCTGTGGATCGTCATGGAGTACCTTGCCGGTGGCTCCTGCCTCGACCTTCTCAAACCAGGCGTTTTCTCAGAGGCGCACATTGCGGTCATATGCAAGGAGCTTCTGCAGGGACTGGACTACCTTCACTGCGAGGGGACGATCCACCGAGACATCAAGGCTGCGAACGTACTTCTCTCCGCATCAGGAAAAGTCAAGCTCGCAGACTTTGGTGTGGCGGCTCAGTTGACAAATACTCTGCGACATACATTCGTGGGCACGCCGTTCTGGATGGCACCCGAGGTCATTCGGCAAGCGGGCTACGACGCGAAGGCGGACATATGGAGCTTGGGCATCACTGCCATCGAAATGGCAAAGGGCGAACCTCCATTGGCGGAGTATCACCCAATGCGGGTATTGTTCCTCATCCCGAAAGCGAAACCACCGATCCTGGAAGGCGCATTCTCGGCTACCTTCAAGGACTTCGTCTCTCAGTGCCTGACGAAGGACCCGAACACCGTGAGTACATGGTACTTGACTACATGAACTGGTATCTAATCCGCATTGTAGCGTCCGTCTGCCAAAGAGCTTCTGCAACACCGATTCATTCGGAGTGCCCGCAAAACGTCTTACCTCACTGAGCTCATTGAGCGGTACCAAGACTACCGTGCTCGTGCACCAAGCAAGGCCCCGCAAATGTACCAGGCAACAGTACGCAACAGCGGTGCATGGGATGGCACGCTCCGGAGCGACTGGAGCTTCGACACCGTCCGGACAAATTCAGCTATGGGCTCGATTCGGAGTATGGCGCGGGACCTCCTGCCGCCAGAGATGATCCCGGACGAAGACGAATACGACGACGACCCCTCGATATACGACAACGAAGGTTCCATCGACACGACAGCGGCGACTTCTGGCGGGAGCGCGCCGCTTGCGCTCGGGATGAACGCGGGCGCGCAGCACTCGACGGTGATCATCCGGCCCCTGAGCCCGCCTGCGGACGAGAAGGCCGTGCCGTCGCTCATGTCGGACAATGCCAGCGACGAGACGGCGGGCAGTGCGGAGCCTGCGACGCCCCCGATGAACGAGCCGCCGCCTGCTTATACCGGCTCCGTGCGCACGACAAGAAGGGCGAGCTATCAGGCAAGGAATAACCTGAACGGAACTGTGATTGGTGAGGCGGATCTGGGCACGGGCGTAGACACGATCCGGCCCGTGAAGAAGGTGGATACGGTGCGCTCGTTGAGGATGAGCGAGGAGTATGTCGGGACGACGAGAAGCAGGGAGAGTAACTCCGCGCCGTCTTCTCCGACGAATACGAAGTCACACAGGAGAACTGCGAGTGAAGCGGTGAAGGCGGGCAAGTCCCTCATCGATGAAGTGCTGCTCCCAGTATTAGAGAGGGTGCGTATAGGCTGGATGTTCATGTTCGTTGGGTTGGATGATTGATTTTGTTCTACTAGGCCACGAGAGACGATATGGACGCCCGCGAGATTGAGTCGATCAGCATGATCTCCAGAGGGTTCGAGGAGTTGAAGGAGGTCAACCCCGAACTTGCCTATAACATTGTCCTCGACCTACTTTCCGGCATCAATGAGTGAGTGACCTTCGCTCTGGCTTTTCTTCGCCTTACTCACCTATTCTAGGAATTCTGCCATGCGCCAACACGTCCAGACGGCGCGCGGTCTCTTCCCTCACAGACGCATCATTCGCAAGAGCGAGATGACGGCGAAAGGCCTTGTCGTCACCGAGGAAGAAGAGATCAACGGTCTCCCCTCGTCATCTACACCCATACCAAGCGACGGCGAGCCCGGCTCACCGACACGCAAGTCACCTATTTCCGAACTGCTCTATATGCGCTGGCTCGAGGGTCTCCGGCTGAAGTGGCCGAGCATCCTCTAGCCCGGGTGGGGTCCGCCTCCCCTACCCTCCCCACCCTGTTCCATATATCGCGAACCTTACACGTTACATGACCGCCCATACCGGTACCTTCTCACCCACCTTCGGACTCGCTTTGGAATCTGCCCCTCGCATTCATCCTCGTTTACGACACGCTCATGAATCTTATGACTTGCAATGCGTACCCGGTTCACACTGAAGCCTCTTCCATGCCCCGCACCCGCCCCTAATCGTCTCTTGGACACTTCGCCCACCCGTAATTATGTTTACTTACACTGCCCCGGGCGCGACGTCTTTCCTTGTTGTTCGCCATTCGCTACTCGCTGACCGCTTGCGTCCCTTGTTCATAGTGTACGGGCCGCTCGATGCATTTTCAATCATACAGTGCCCCTAGTTGCCTGCTCGGTTCTACAGTATTCTGCTCTGCTTGTTCTGAGTGCGTGGTTGATCCGACGATGTTGTAGGCGGTGGTCTGTCGGTATCGCGTGTATACCCCGGTACTTACGAGTTGATGTACGAAGTCGAAATTCAGGCTGTATGTGCATGCAAATATGATCACGCCTTGGGCCAGTCTGAGTCCGTCCATCCATCCATTGTGAGCAAGCTATTGTACAGTGGGAGAGCTATGATACACCGGGCAAGGGATACATCCGACGACAATAGTATGATGTGATAAGTTGAGTAGCGAGGATCGACAGCAACCGACGAGCAAACAAAGTCTAACATAAGGGGTGTAGGGTACGAAGGAGGGAGGCGTGAGGACGTAACGGGTCATGACTTTTCTTTTTCTTTTCTGCGCCATTTGAGCTTGGACAGGAAGTTGCGCTTCTTCTTGGGAGGCTCGGGCGGGGTATCCAGCCTGCAGTTGCATGAGTGAGAATACGCGAAAGAGGACAGGAATGCAAGTCAGATACTCACTCGTCGACATACACCGGGTAATCCGGTTGAAGCTGCGCCTTCGCCGCCTCGATCTCCTGCTCATATGTGTCTCGGAGCGACTCGGGCACGCTCAATTTCCGCCGCCACACCGCCATGCTATTGGCAGAGTTCGAGAGGAGGAATGCAAAGACGATGACCTGCACGGCGGGGTCGTACGACGTGACAGACTCTTGCAGGACGCGGTCAAGGGTGTTCTGGAGCTGCGACAGGGGGACCCAGTCGAAGGCCGGCTGAGCTGTACCCGGCACGCGGTAGTCAGCGTTCGTGACGAGCGCGCCGCGCTCGCGCGTCTCAAGGAATCGTTGCAGCTGTGGGACCGCATTCAGACTACAGCCATAAGCGCGAAGTGAGCCGGGGACCCTCACCCCGATCGTGGCGAGGCCGTTCGACATCGCGTGTATCCACTTGAGCAGGCTTGAGACCCGCGGGTCCTTGTCGGGGTTGAACGACCACCGTATGCGCAGCTTCGTGGGTCGCTCGCGCGAGAACAGGGCACGTTCTGCGGGGAACAGGGCCTGCCCGTGCGAGGTGGCGAATGAGTTCTCGCCGAGGCCGTTCCGTGGGGGCTGCAGCTCGAAGACGGTCGTCTGCGTCGACTGTGGCGTGCCAGAAGCCATGGCAAATGTCTTGGAAGGTGATGAGTGCGTGCCAGCGGTCCATACAGCAGGATGGTATGCGGCGGGGGTCACCGACGCAGCGGGTGGAGCAGCAGAAGGGTAGTGGGCTGCCGGAGGGTAGGCGGCAGCAGAGGGGTGGAAGCCTGCAGGGGCGGGGGGCGCAGCAGGGGGAGGTGGAGCGCGAGAGCCAGGGTGGTCGCCCTGGTAAGATACATTCGGAGAGAAACGCACGCGGTGCCCGTAGTCCGAAGTCGGAGCGGGCTGCTGTCCCCAGCCTGCGGCTTGTTCGCCTGTCCCCCACCCGTACCCATACGCGTCCTGCTTGCCCCGCGCATCATCTCCCTCTCCCTCATCTTCCTCTTCCTCATCCTCGTACTCATCCTCGTCCTCGTATTCATCCTCCTCTTCCTCTTCCTCCTCCAGGATCGGATATGGCCGGTCAGTGTCGTATGCAGCGTTTCCCCATCCAGAACTGCCCCAACTGTCGGACTGTTGCACTGGCGGTGCGGAATGACTGCCCGACCTGCTGCTCTTCTTACCACCACTCCCATATTGTTGTTGCTGTTGACGCTGCTGGTGCTGCTGCGCACGCACTAAGCGTGCCTGCAGCGCCTGCTGTGCTTGATGTTGAGCCAACAGAGCCTGTCGCTGAACCAGAGTCGCCTGTTGTTGTTTCTGCTGCTGCTGCGGGAGATGGCGTCCGATCGCCGCAGCGGACTGCTGGTACAACGCTGCCTGCTGTCGCCGTTCCATTCCCGCAGGCGAGCTCATGTACGTCTGGGACTGCTGCTGCTGTGGAGGAGCACTCTTAGCGTGACCCGAACTCGGATGCGTGAGCAGCGAGCGGAGACGATCGGTCTGCTGCTGCGGGGACATCACAGGCCTGTCCTTCTGAGGCGCAGCAGCGGCGAGCGGGAGGACAGAGGAGGGTGGCGCGGACGGAGGAGGAGGGAGAGGGCTCGCAGACGCAGAAGCAGTAGTAATAGCGGTAGTCACCTTCAAGTTGGTCGACATGGCCTCGCTGCCCCAGTTCCTCCAACCGCCTCTGCCTCCGCCTTGTGATTGAGCACTGATTGTGGGCGCTTGCATGGGGGGCGGTGCTGGTGGAGGCGGCTGATGTGCGGCTGCAGCTGTTGCAGACGAGGACCAGGCAGAGGCATCCTGCGAGCCCGCGCTAGCGTCTGGCCATGCATCTCCGCCCGCGTCGCCCCACGCCTCTGCAGTCGGCGCTGCCCCCCACAGGCCCGCATCGTCATCCGCCTTGGCGGCGGGCGAACTATTTCCCCAGCCATCCGTGGGACCCCAGCCTGATGCGGCCTTGACGGCGGGCGACTGCGATGCCCGCGAGATCAGAGCCGGAGCCGCGCCAAAGCTCGCTGGGAGGCCGGCGAACGTCGCGGCGGGGGGCGCTGATGCGGCGGGGGCAGCAGCAGTAGCCTTGGCCTTCTTGTCCTTCTTGGTCCGATCGGCTGGCGGTGCAGATGTTGCCTGATCGTCCGAGCCACCGACAGACACGCCGCCTCCTCCTCCCCAGTCGAGATCATTCGTCTCCCCGCCGCCTCCCCACATATCGCCTGCAGCATCGGCACCTGTGCCCCAGCCGCCGCCGTTCGCACCTCCAGCGTTGTCCTGGGCACCACCCCAGCCGCCTTGTGATTGAGACACAGCGTTGCGGCGAGCGCGAGGCATGAAAGAGCGGATGCACGGGCACGGGGATTACGGGGCGACGTAGGGGAAAGCAGCATTGTTTTTATTAAAGCATTCATGTGAGTTTACGTTTACGTGGTGTAGATAAGCGCACTGACATACCTGGAACGACCTGCTGACTCTCCCCGTTTTCGACGATCGCCTCCGGCTCGGACGCAACAAGTACCGCTGGGGGTGGTACCAGCGCGGTTTCAGCGACTGTAACAGCTAAGGGCGGATCGACAGCGTCTGGCTCCTCTGCTGCAGGCGGCGACGCAGTCGTAGGTTTGTCTTGAACCTTCTGTTTGGTCTTTTTGCCTCCTTTTGCCATGTCGTGCGGGTGAAGTCGCGCAAAATCCCGAAGGCGTAGATTTTGAAGATATCGGTATCAAGTACGACTTCGCGCAAGCAGTTCAAGGGGCTTTGCTGCCAGATTCGACAAAGAGGAGTGTGTAGATAGCAAGACCCGGGGCGCTGAGAACGAGGAGGCTACACGAGGCATCTTCTGACCCACCTGAGCAGGAGCGTAGACTCTCCGCTCAACGGCAGCCCTCTCCTCACCTTCTACCCGTGGGAAGATTGTCCGATACGCAAGGAGCGCCGGTCGGGTACTTGTATCAACACGACCCCGAGAATCCATAGTAGAGTGGCCAGATGAGCATTGTACGTGAGGACAGAGTGCTTCGCGAATGGTATATTCTCTATCGAGCTGCCCTGTGTAAGTAACTGCGACGCCAGAAGCAGCAGACGACGCGCCTGTGGCGCAACTCAGATAACCACATGACCGTGTAAGCAGTCAGAGACGCCCGTTCGACGCTTGCCTCAAGCTCGGACCGGGAAAGGCACTCAAGTAACTCAACCACTGGTAATTACCTACTATCTGTGGGGACGATATGGACGTAGACTTAGCAAGTTCATGCTCTAGGTGGCTTCTAATCGACTTCATATTACACGACATGCAAAGTTCTGCTGGCCGAGGGCTCATGCACATGCGCTCATGCATTCTCGACCTACCTGGACAGAGTCGGGCCGCCGCATCCTTGCTCGCCCCGTTCTACTATTAGTATTACTGAACGGCCGTGCAAACCCTGATAACATGCTACATGGCTCCAATTAGATAATGAGATAGCCACTATATCCGCATGGCAGTTGTTTATTTACATCCGTACGCTACAATACATGTACAACCCCCATGCGTGCGCATGTCGTAGGTAGTTACAGCCCGGCGTACTAGGTAAACGAGGAAAAGAGTGACGATGGTTAGTACGCACTGGGTCTCTGTCAAGAGTATAAAGATTGCCAAGCGCAACACAGGGAGTGATCAATACTCATCGCCATCGTCCGCTACCTGCGAGTGTCTCCGCTCGAAGTCAGTCCGAATGTCGAACGTTGACGAATGCCGCTGCCGCCTCGATATGATCGACAAGTCATCGTCATCCGACGAGCTATCCCCAGACCACGCCGGCTCGCCATTAGCCTCGTGAGGGGAGTCCCCCGGCCGTGGCTTGTTCTTCCCCCTCAACGAAGCGAACGTCGAGAACGGCGATCCTTGCCCCAGCCTCCGGAAGAACTCAACAGGGCTGGCATGTGACGTCGATGGTTGCCGCGCCTGGGCGTACGCCTGCTGTTGCTGGTTATCTCCTGGCTGAGGCGCAGGGTCCGGCGTCGCTCCTCCGCGATCCTCGTCCCTCGCCGCCTCCTTCTCGACCTGCTCCACCACGCTCTGCACACGCCGGCGCCTCCCAGTCGTGCGGCGCCCTTCTGAGCTCCCGGCGCCCGGCGACTGCAGGGGAAAGGCCGCGGGCGCTGCGTTTCGCTGCTCTTCCCGCTGTGCACGCGACAGATAGGCTGCTTCGGCATCCGTATCCATGGGCAGGGGCCCCTCCGATAGCGTCGAGACGACTGGCGTGCCGGCGACGACAGGTAACTTCGTGCCCGTGTTGGGCTCGGGAATGCGACCTTGAGGCGCAGCTTCGCCCTTGCGAGACGCCTGGCTGCGGGCCTGCATGGACTTGCGTATGGCCTGGCGGCCCAAAAAGATCTGCTGCTCCAGCCGGAAGCGATTCTCAATCATGTGCAGCTATCCACATCTGTCAACCACTAATCGTCGAAAACGAGAACGGAACGGCCTACCTTCGGCCACGTAACGAGCTGTCCGACATGGAGCATCCTGGCCAGTTCGGTCTCATCGGGGTCGCTAAGGATATGAAGCCAGTCCTATACATCAGAACATTGATGAGTTGCAGACGCTATGAACAATACACATTGGCGCACCTGGAAGCGCGTCCGCGGCCAGATTCTGCAGATGTGGAGAAGGAGCGCCATTCGATCACTGATCACAGCGGACGAAGGACACAAGTGTACTCACGTCACACTGCCTTCAAAGCGCTGTAAGAACACGCTGGACCAGTCTTGCCCCAGTAGTTGCGGGAGCAAGTCGAGATCACGAATCAACTGCGGCGCGAGGGTGAGTGTTACACCGCTCTAGACTGCCTACTGCACAAACCTTGAAGTTCTTCGTCAGTTCGAGTTTCAACCATTGTTCACCAGCCGACAACAGGAAGTTCCCTCTCCATCCTATCGAATCGAATCAGCCATCCGATCCGTCAACACCGCCGGCAATATCACCTTTGTTCTTCCGATGGGCCACCGGCTTGCCAGCAGAACCCTGCGGGGCGAAGAAGAACAGATGTACGTGAGGGTTTACTTGGGACACAATCGGATGTGTGACTGTCCATCCATCCATCAGCACCACGCCACCGCAGTCAACTCCTTGCGATAGGCATACCATTGAAGTAGAGATTGAGTGCTTGTACAGGGATGTCAACTCTGTTGATGCCGTGAGTAGAGGAAGAAGTACATCGCCCGTATTACGGCACTGACCTCAGCGACCCATCCTTGAACTTGCTTCCCCAGTTCCACGGCACGATCGTCCCATCCTTCAACTTCTGCATCAGAACAACAGGGTTCAAGATACCGGGGACCGCTGCGGACGCCAAGAGAGCGCTCCAAATGACAGTGTCCGGCGCCGTCATATAGTTCAACAGCTTGGTTGGTCTGATCCAGAGCTTCAACGACAGGTTAGGCTCGAGATCACATAAACAACTTACGAGTGCCGATCAGCTGGGACCACTGAGATGTTGAGTATCCGCCCGGTTCGCATATACGCTTCCCGGAATGTCATGGAACCGCGCGTGAAGAAGCAGAGCTAGGGAAGATTTCAGAGATCGGTCGCGGTCCCCCGGTGACAATCGGTGCCTTACCTTGCTTGCCCAATGAATTGCATCAAACCTAGCACCCGTAGACCAGAATCTCTTGAACCAGACTTGGAATGACTCTTCGAACGCAGTCAATCGCCTGGCCATGTCCGGAACGAGCAGCCGCCTCAGCTCTGCATCTGTGCGCGTGCAGACCATGGCCGCTACGACTCCTCCTGCAGACGTGCCCGATATTACGCGAGGCATGAGGCCTGCGTCCAAGAAAGCCTTGACGACGCCAAAATGGTCTGCAAAGTTGATGCCTCGTGAGCTTTGGTAGCGACGCTTTACTTGTGTACTGACAATATCCAAACGAAGCACCACCTGACAAGCATAGGGCGGAGGTTCCGAGGTTCGTATTCACGCTCTTGTAGAACCGCCGTTTCTCGTCGTTGGAAAGATCCGGAGACTCGCGAACGAACTCCAGCGCTTTCTCCTCTTCATTGATGTAGTCTTCAATGAGGTCCTTTGTGCCGTAGAAAGTCTAGAAGTGCAAGACGTCCAGAAACGTGTTGTTCAAGTCATCGACCAATTACTCACTTCACTGTACAACCTGAAGAGAATGTCATGTTCCATGCAACAGTGAGTTCAATGGAAGCAGCTCACCTTGCTGATTCGACTCCAGCGAAGTTCGTACGGAGACAAGTCTCGAGGACTCCGACAAGACCGCGTGCATCCCCCCTTTCTCTCAATGCTTTCAAGGACTTCCTCACTTTCCTGATGAGCCTCCAGTCAAAGAAGGGGTCCTCGTCCACATGCTTCCATTCGTCGAAGTGGAGGTACTCGTCCAAGACGAGAGCAGCATCTTTCCACTCCTGGGCTCTCTCAGACAGTTGTACCAACACAAATGTCTCAGCGGACGCACCTGATACGTTTGGACGCTCCGCAAGCGTTGCCTCAGCACTCCCTTACGACCTCGCCCTACCTCCAGTGTTAGCGACCGCATGGCGTGCAAACAGGAAAGACTCACATGCAGACAGCCACTCCTTCGCATTAACCATTTGCCGGATGAGTATGTACATCCCGAACTCGATGGCGATGAAAAGAAAGATGAAGCTCTGTAGGCTGTTAGAAAGGTGAGACACAGATTGTCCGACACCTCACCAATAGTGGCCATCGTACAACAATATACAACCATTCCTGCCTCTTGTGTTGCGTTTGGCTGGGTTTCCTCCTTCTGAGAAGCTGTGAACAACGTGCACGAATCTCGCGTCACGGTCAACTCACCTCTTCACTTTGACATTGACTGGCGCGAAGTCTGAAAGCGCGGAGATCTTTCGTACGCGGGGTCCGGGGCTCGTCGGCGTACTTGTGACATTCGGGGCTTCGTCATTCAGGTCGAAGTCCTCGGTCTGCAGAGCTTGCGAGAAAGCCTGTATATGCCTGCGAGTGGAGTTAAGCCGAACGGGTGCCAGACGCTGCAATGGGCTGATGTGCATACGCTTCGTCGACGTAGTCTGCGTCTAGTTCAGATCGCGCAGTGCGCCTGCCATCCACGGTGTGTTTGGGATGCGGCATTAACAGTTATGAGGTATCTCGTAGAGTAGCAGGATATAAGTTGTTGAGTATGTAGTGGTAGTAGCAGTGCAAGTGTGGCGGATGCTGCACCCGCACCGGCTCCTCGATGATGCATCGCTCGGGCCGACTTGCGCGGGAACATCACGTGAATAACACCTGCCGCACGTCGCGACGCGACGTCGACGACGCGTCCGAGCTGTGCCTTTAAGCTTCCTTGTATGCCCAGCACTCGTTTCACTGTTTCTGCCAAGTAGCCTTGTACCATGCTCAGACTCCTGGTTTGATAGCCCACTTTTGATGCATATCAGTGAAAAAGCTTCGGGACGGTTGTTGGTTCAACGTCGAATGAGCGATGTCACGGTTCAGCCTGGCATTGCAAACACGTCCAAATGGTGCTGAAAACTCGGTACGTCCGAACTCACTTCACTGACGTGTCCTCGACTGACGGCGGTACCAGTACGAAGTGTCGCTGCTCCGATGAGATAGAGGTTGTCGTCGGGCAACCTTGTCACTGCTGGTTTCACATACGATACCATGCGTACCATGATCCCGGCACATCGCTGCATTCTAAGAACGGTAAGAACTACATCCCGAGCCGTGCGTGGAAGTCGGCAACTGGATGCATCTTGCTCCATCGACTGGCCTCATGTGAGCGCGATAAACTGTTTACTTGGAATGTAGCTTCGCGAAGAAGGGAACCATGCATGCTTCGGACAATTAGACCTGTGTTCGCTTGCATGGTTCTCTCCTGCGCAGTCGGGCGAACTCCTCGCTGATGAGAACGTTGGCTCATCAGGCGCTGTCGGTTCAATACATGAGCACCATCGCAGTTGGCGATGACAACGCGATTCCTCGAATGGCACTATGTCATGCGCATATGCAGTGATCACCATGGCGAGTGGGGCGTTGCCCTCTGTTGAGGAGCGGAGGACTGCTTCATCTCACGCAGTCCTCAATTCATGCCAACTTCATGCTGCTTCGATTGTTCCGAGCACGTCATGCTGGCTGTGCGATCAGGGTCTGCTGAATTGCTGCTGAAGGCACTGATCCCAGTGTGTGCGAAGACCCGACGCCACCGACTGCGGGCTTTGGAGAACCACTTGTGGTTAACACTTCTGCGAAATGAACGGCGGATGTACATCTCGATATTATGACCCCTGTTGCCTCCTGGTGAACAATGACACAGGGGGGTCCCTGAGCTGCCACGGCCTCGTGCATCCTGCAGGTCATTGCGAGTCTGCGCACCGAGATTGCGCATCCATTCCATTGTACACCGAATCCAGCAAGGATTGATTCTGAAATGTCGTGTCTGTTGGTTGCTAACCCGGAGGCACTCGTGACAGTGAGCGATGGCTCTTCCGTATGGCGAGACCACAGCATTGCAGCGCCCTGGAGCCAGAAGTGGAGATAGCAGTCGCTGGCTGAACGGATACGAATCAAGGCAATCAGCTGTGATTATGCTATTTCGGGCTCCCTGGAAATCGGCTAAACGAAATTCAGGTGTGCGCAACGAGCGCAAGGGCAGAGCAGCCTTCTATGGAAGGGTGATGTAAGGAACGCGCCGCTCCGAGGCGTATATAAGGCCCCCTGCACACCGCGTCTCATCCCCAGCTCCTGCTACTTTTACTCTCATCCACACTTACACTTGCAAACATGGGTTGGTTCGACAACAAGGAAGACGACTACAACAACGTACGTCTGGGTTCTTCTCTATTACCTGACCTTATTCTTACGATGCATCTGCGTCTGTACAGGTCGTCAACGCCCCCCACAAGGCGGAGTTGTCTCATGAGCTGATCGCCGCCGCTGCTTCCTACGAGGTAGGCCTGCTCGCAGTCCTTTGTACCTCGTCCGTCGTCATTAATCCCGTCTACACAGGCTGCCAAGGCCTACGAGAAGCACGTCTCGGCCAACGGCAAGCCTGCGAGCCACGCTGAGGCGAAGGAGCTCCTGTACGTGCATTCTCGCTGTCTGGGTTTACCGTTTCACCGCGCTTACGTTGGCTCTAGTGCTGGTTTCGCTGGTGCCTTCGTTGACCGCATCGCTGAGACCAAGGGTCTCGACTTCGTTGACCGCGAGAAGGCGAAGCGTCAGGCCAACGACCAGACCAACGTCGAGATCGTCCAGACCGAGTACGGCCAATACTAAGCGTCTCGCTCCGACGCCCAGGGGGGAATGTGTATTGAAGTCTAGCTATGTTGTACATCGATGAAATGAAGCTCGTACTGTGATACCATCCGATGAGATTGCGTCCGATCGAGTTGCGATTATCAGTGGACCATGACGCGACATACGGCTGTTGCAGTGATGTCTTCCGGGCAGGCACCACCCCGATCAGCTGCCGAATTTGAAGGCAGTCTTCAATTTCAGCTTCATATCCTCGAGCAGCGATGTTGCCAGGATCACGGAATGTGCATCTAAAAGCCATGATGTGTGGGCCAAGCGTATGCTATATGCGCAGGCTGATGAACACGCAGAAAGAACTGCATGCTGGACAGACACATTGCGCTCATCACATCAGCATCACATTGTCATTGTCCAAGAAGCGTCTCACTACCGCCCATGATACAAGACCGTCCGGTCAATGTTTCTCACAGATACGCCGTTCACGAAGCGAGAGAAACATATCATTGCATCTTGTTCAACCACTTTTTGAGGTTAGTCTGTCCCATAGACTCCACCGCCCTTTTCACCTCCAGTCTATCAACCGCGCAACGATGCGGGACAAACTCCCTAGCGACGCTGCTCGAGGACGGAGCGGTAGCAAGGAAGACCTTCAGTGTGACAAGTTGTTCAAAAGCCTGGAAGGAGAGGTGGCACAATTGTTCAGTATGCGGAGACCGGCTGTACAGATGACGGAACTCACGCCCATAAGGACTTCGCGACTGCACCGGACCATGCCGATGCTCCCACCGTCAACCTGCACGGGCGCAGACTGCGATGTGCGCACCTGATCGCGAAAGGCCTCGTGCAGCATCTCGAACGTGAAGCTCTCATGCCCTGACGCCCGCGCATGCATCGCCGCTATCAGAAGGCATATGGAAGGGTATGGCAGGGCTGTATGTCGGCGGCGTTCTGATCATCAGATACAGACCATGTACATACGTTTAGCATAGGTGCTTACCGGAGAGGAAGGGGAAACGTGCAGGGCAGCGCTGAGTGCCGGCGGCAGCGGTGAACGTGGCCGGCGAGAGAAACGGAGTAGTCTCAGAAAGCTCGATCACGACAGGAACCTAACAGAGGTATAGTCAGCGGCTAGGGATTACATTGGAGATAGGCACCCACCAATAGACGACGCAGTGTGTAGACGTCTCGAGTGAGCCCAAACGTGTCCTTGAAGCATTCCTTCACTCCAGGATGGCCGAGGAAGCTTTCCACAGACGCAGCCCATAGAGGTTCCCACTCGTCGTTGTCGTCATCTTGCGCTCTCGGCGCGGTCAGGATAGTCCGCGCAAGATTCGTCCAGTCTCGCAATCGACGAGGACAAGCTGTCCGGAGCATCCTGCCGGAGAATCGACTTTTGACGCGCTTCTCCAGCAGGTTGATCGTGTCAACGCGTGCAGTCACGCCGACCACTGCCAGGCCCTTGTTGGCTTTGCCCACTCGGCAATTTTGCACTGTATCGAGCAGGCAGTAGAGGAGTGATTGACGAGCATGGCTTGCGAATTGGTCGAACGCATCCAAGACGATGACGGTGGCGCGAGGCAGCGTCGGTATCATGGAGATTAGTGCCAGCAAGTGTGCGGGAGCCGGCAAAGCAATCACAGAGACCGCGTCTGCAACGTCCCGACTCTCGAGGAAGGGGTTCTCAGGGTCATTGAGACCATCTTCGGCAGTTTTCTCATCGTCAGTGGGTAGGAAAGACGTCCCAGTCTGTTGTGTGAGCTGACGTGCGATCTCCCGTATTGCTTGACGGTCGTTCTGTTGCGCATGTCCCGAAAGGCGAATGATAATAGGTCGCTCTGGGAGGGCTGCGATGGCCTTCTCAACAATCTGAGGACGACATCAGTGCGACAGTCGACACGCTAGAGACCATACCACTTACTCTAGTTTTGCCGCTTCCTCGGGCTCCGATGAGCAAGCAACTATTTCCCTCCCCCCGGAGGACAGTGCCTCTGAGGAGATTACTTAGCTCCTCGAAGGCTACCGCGTTCGTTGGTGGTTCCTCGTCTTCAGCCTCAACGGGCTCGTCTTCGATATCCGGAACGTCACGAAGGGACTGCAGTATCTCGCGCTGTTGGGCATGCAGGCATGCGTAGAGATGAGGAGGCAAGTTTTTGGCCTGACGAGTCGGAGAAGACTGTACGCTTGCTACTCCTCGGCGTTTTGAAGGAGATGCGATTGGAGTACGTGTTTGAGATGTACCCTTGCTCGGTGTCGCGGGCGGCGATATAGGTACAGAGGAAGGGCCCGCAAGTGCCCCAATGTCCTCTGCAGCAGGAGATGCGCGAACAGGACCATTAGGCCGCGACTTAGCTGGAGATGTAGGAGGTCCGATGCGCTTCGACGGAGAAGGTGTCGACGAGCGTGGAGGCCCACTTGCTGGCGCGCCAGCGTTCAAATATCGTACAGCAGACATGCCATTTGTAAGACTTCTGGCCGACGTCCGGATCTCTACACACTCCATGAACACCCGAGATGTTGAGGGTCTCGAATTGCTCGGTCTCGGAGGCGTGGCAGGTCGTGCAAAGGGCTTTTGAGGCAAAGACAACGGCACCTCGTCTGATTTCTCGTCATCTTCGTCCTCAACCACTGCGCGTTTCCCCCTCCTCTTTGTTGCAGCTGGCTTCTTCTGAGCTTTGGTACGCGGTCGGCTCGGTCTAGGTCGTGGGTCAGGAGCAGCGTCTTCAGCGGGCTCCGAGCGGGAGACTGTTCGTCGCGTTCTGGTAGCAATAGGCGCGTCTTGCGGAGGTTTTACGACGTCCGGTGAAATGTCACTATTAGCAGCGCCGCGTCTCGGTTTGCGCGGCTTGACGGTGGGAAGGACGACCTGCTCTGCACTAGGCTTCCTAGAGCGCGTCACTCGTTTCGTGGTCGGTTGTTCGTCATCCGCGGCTGAAGGGGCTTTCCGTTTGGGAGGCATGATATCGCCCGGCCGAGGAGAGTGAGTACCAGACGACGGGTTGACAAGTTCAGCCACAGTTGAGACGCGCTCTGAACCGTGGCCGGACGCGTACTGTCACACCTGCGTCACACCGCGTCTATCGGGCACGAGCCACCCAGATCCAACCCAGATCAATTCCATGACTGCTTCATCCTCGACTAAATTCTGTGAATCCAACTGCTGCTCCGTTTTCCTGTCGTTCGCTATTTGAATTGTTGACCGCTGTTGGAAACGTGTACCACATGGGATTCACTGGGTGCGAGCTGCTTTACTCAATTTCTCTGAACCGACTGACATTTTCGCCCAGGTTAGTACGATGGACAAATGCTCCATCGGCAGCCGCAGACCTGATACGCCAGAACATCATTGTGAATCACCAAGTGCGGATTGATTGTCTATCTTCTTGAGTGCATTGTTGACTTCCTCATCAAAGGGCGTGCTACGGGGAAGGTGGCAAGTTGTCCTCAGCTCCTGGCGATCCCGTTTCACAGGGGACTCGAATGATATGAGGAGCCTTGAACGCCCACTATATACTGTGACTATGAATGGTAAGTCTGCATGCCCATCTATTTCACTGTGCAAAACTACACGCGCACGAGCACAGACAACACCTTCGTGATGCTCGAGGATCCGGGCGCACCGAATAGGAGCGACTACTTGAGACTCAAGGAATCACAAGAACAAGGACAGCCTCCACATCCATTCGTAGCGGCGCCTCCACCTCATTACCATTATACCCTTGTCACTGTGAGTCCGCCGGGTGCATTAGAACAGCTCATGTCCCACCTGGGCGTAGTGGGAAAACGCTGGATACGTACTGGCGGAGAAAAAGGCCAAGGCTCTGGTCACCACCTGAACGTCGATGGATTGATCTTCTCGATTGGCAGTGACTGGCTTGTCCGCTTCGGCCATGTCATGTTGGGTGGCGGTGCCGTGAAGGGAATGCTCATCGAGGTATGTCAGAGTGATAATATCCACGCGTTCCTGGTTCTCATATGTTGATGACAGGCTGAGTACTTGCCTTTGCCCGACCTGCATACCGAAGGAGGAGAGGGTCGATCTGAACTGCTCTCGGATTTCCTTGCATCTATCATACCCATACTTCCGGATTCGGAAATCTGGACGGTCGCTGTGAGTGACGAGATGTGGGCCGAAGTACTCGCTGGGTTCGGCGAGGATGATGCTGGAGAGGAGGCGGAGAGTAAGATGGACGAAGCCGAGGATGACCTATTCGTCTCGCCCGAATACCTCCCAGCTACGCGCAAGACTGACTGGTTGGGTGCCAATAGGGACAAGCGATCAGCGTACTTGATACAGGGTGCCCTCAAAGGAGAAGCGTTAATATAACTCGCAGTGGTAGCAAAGTGGTAGTGTACGATTATGATGTGGTCTGTGTTGTACCAGCGTGAGACGGACTTAGATTGACCTTGCCAGCGCCGCAATCAAATTGTCATACTGAATTTGAATGTGATCGCCTTGGCCCTTACGTCAAGCAAGAGGCCGGCGGCAACGTGGAACTGACTCGCGTCTCCGCCATCCACAGGTCGCGGGGCAGTGGATTGTCTTGCCCAAGCTCCTCACAGCCTGAAGCAACGCGATGCTAAAAACATCACAGATTCTCTCATATTTCCTTGCTTAAGAGAGCATCGTCTACTCGGACAGGACCGTTCACCACATCTCCGACTCAGGCCAGTATGCTGGGCATCTACCGGCCAGGCTCAGCCATCTTGTGCGGCCGTACCTCTTCGTGCCCGAGACATTTCTCGACTCGTGCCTCATCCACCGCACTTCACTTTTATCAGAACAGACAACTGGAGCTCTATGCTTCCAAGGACGCTCAGAGATTGACGCTACGGCAATTGGTACTCCCACTCGTCTTCGTGAAACCGCTAGACGCATGACACCGTCATATATAGGTGTTCTTCGGACGGTCTATCACGGAGGAGAGGCTTATCAAAGTGTGTGCATGATAATGTCTATGTTTCTGAGATTTGACGGCCTTCGAAGAGCGCGAACTATGTCCGCACGGAGCTCCCCGTGAGGATAGCGCATAGGCTGCGGGATATGCAGACCCTGCCATATGTCGTAGTCAATCAGGAGGGCGTAGCGAGTGTATATGAGGTGAGATAACCGCTGTCGCTAGTCATGCTGTACCCCGATACCTAACGCTATCTAGGCCTACTGGTCTGCTTTCGACAAGTGCGTTTACGTCTTTCCTTTCGATACGAGAGGATGAATGGTTATCCTTGTGCAGGTTCCGGAGATATCCAGAGATCAAGACGCTAGAGGATAATGAAGTGTTCTGCAAATTCGTGCGCGGCCTGCTCGACGAACAGTGAGTGTACAATATTCGCACTAAGTCCGTGGATCGTTAACTCGACGCTTCAGCAAAACAGTGATTCCCAATCTCTCACTGGGATTGTCTCTTTCATCGCCATACCTTGAGCCCGATCGCCTAGACTCGTTCATGCACCGCATGCTTGTCTCCCGTATATCGCGTCGGGTTCTAGCGGAACACCACATCGCGCTCTCGAGATACTTCTCTGCACGGCAGAGCGGCCAACGCATTCCCGAGGACCGTGTCGGTGTCATCCACTTGCGCTTGCCCGTGAAAGACAACATCGAAAAATGTGCGAGATTCCTGCGCAAACGGCTGTGTGACGCAGATCAAGACCAAATCGACGGCGCCTCCGCAGAAGCTCCCTGGCCTGAGGTGATCATCGAGGGACATCTAGACATCAAATTCTCATATATTCCTGCGCACCTTGAGTACGCACATCCCGTGTCTCAACTGCACGACACGATGCTCATACAGTAATTGTTTGCAGATACATCGTGTTCGAGCTACTGAAGAACGTGAGTAGTTCAGTTTCTTGCTCCCGCGGTATTTTATTTACGAGTGATGTCGCGATTTAGTCGCTTAGGGCTACCCGCCTCAAACATACCTCGCTGCGTCAACTCCCTCCAATCCGTGCTACCGTTGTTGCAGGTGAAAATGAGGTCACCATTAGGATATCTGATCAAGGTACGTCTTGTGAGTGAAGCTGATTCCCCTACCTGACCACTATTCTCTGACAGGCGGAGGTCTGCTCACTCCTGAGATCAAGAACCCGATGGACCAGTTCTCGTTTTCACATCTGCGGAACCCTGCACGTATGGACAGCAGACGTCTCGTTGCGCTACGCAGTATCAGCTCCAGCCAGACCGGCATGGTTGCCACTGTTGAGGAGCAGGTAAAGCGTTGGGAAAGGGAAGCCGACAGCGAGGATCCTCAGCAGGAAGCTGGTGTAAGCCCACATCCAAAGATCGGTATTGGTCTTCCGATGAGCAATATCTTTGCAACGTATGCCAATCCTGCTGCGGAGGAGGCGCTGATATGTCACTGACCCTTGCAACTAGATACTTTGGAGGATCGTTGGAGCTCGTCAGTCTGGACGGCTATGGTACGCTTGCTTAAGATCAATGAACGGTCCCCTGCTTATTCCTGATGCTATTTTAGGCACGGACGCGTATCTCCGTCTTCCAAGATTGGTGTGTGAGGCATCCAACGTGACACCGTGTCCTACTAACTGACTGTTCAGGGTACGAATCTCGAGGGCATCGAGCTATGGTAGATGCTGGTGATCAAGACGTCCTGACGTAACTTATACTGATGTTCTTACACGACCACACTTCGCGATGTATAACATACCTATATCACCGTGTGAATGACAAACCTCACGGCCGAGCGTACAATCCGTATGCCCAATTACATATCGGCCCTGGCCATCGCAGTGAAGATTGCGGCGCAGATGATGGACAGTCGTTGCGGCAACAGACGCCAGCACGTGACCTGATGCTGTATCTTAAGTGGGCGCTATGGAACTGCAGTTCTGTTTTCCAGACTGCACACCGACGGGATGGCAACCACCTCCTCCTCCAACCCCCAGACCCCTTCGCGCCCATCGATGCAGGCATCGCAGTCGTCGTCCAGCGTGACGAGCGGGCAGTCGTCCAACTCGAACGGCAAACCGGCCGACTATGTCTACTTTGAACGGACTACAGCAGGCTTCTCCGATGATGCCGTGCCACGCGCGAAGGGCGCCCAGCTGAAGCTCGAGCACTTCTACAAGGTCGCTGTCGATGCGGCAATTGAGCGTAACCAGAGGTATGGAGGGTCGCGATTGTGTGCGAGCGCCTCGCTGACATCTGAAACGCAAGACGCGTCGAGCTCGAGCGGAAGCTGGCTGCTGACACCAGTATGTCCGATGAGCGCAAGCAGCGACAGCTGCAACAGCTGGGCAAGCGAGAGTCTGCGTTTCTGAGGCTGCGGCGGACGAAGCTCGGCCTCGAAGACTTCAGGACGGTGAAGGTCATTGGTAAGGGTGCATTCGGAGAGGTGCGTACATCCCGCGGGGAGCGGTATCCTATGTGTCCGTGAGTCATGATCCAACAGTCCCCCATAGGTCCGTGTAGTGCAAAAGACAGACACTGGAAAGATCTACGCCATGAAGACTCTGCGGAAGGACGAGATGTTAAAGAAGGATCAGGTGCGTTTGGAAAGCTGTGTCAAACTAGTACCGTAGCTGACCTACATCCCAGCTCGCACACGTGCGCGCAGAGCGCGATGTTCTCGCGGAATCCAACTCGCCATGGGTCGTCCAGCTCTACTATTCCTTCCAGGACTCCGCGTATCTCTACCTGATCATGGAGTTCCTTCCTGGAGGTGATCTGATGACTATGCTGATCAAGTACGACACCTTCTCGGAGGATGTGACGCGATTCTATATTGCGGAGTGCGTGCTCGCCATCGAAGCCGTTCACTCTCTCGGTTTCATTCACCGGTGGGTTGGGCCATCTCATTGTGATGTCCCGTAGGAGCTAATGGACTGCCCCGTTCAGTGATATCAAGCCGGACAATATCCTCATCGACAAGGACGGTCACATCAAGCTGTCTGATTTCGGTCTATCCACCGGCTTCCACAAGCAGCACGACAGCAGCTATTACCAGCGACTCCTGGAGTCCGCTAATGGCGTTGCATCACCTACCACGCAAGCGCGAAACAGTGTGATGGTCAACGCCATTAACCTGACCATGTCCAGCAAAGACCAGATTGCCACCTGGAAGGCTAACCGTAGAAAGCTGGTTCGTCTCATCTGGCTACCTCATTTGTGCAAAGTTGATGGGCCTCATCCATAGGCCTATTCGACTGTCGGTACGCCAGACTACATCGCGCCCGAGATCTTCCTCCAGAAGGGGTATGGTAACGAGTGCGACTACTGGTCACTGGGTGCTATCATGTTCGAGTGTCTCGTCGGCTACCCGCCATTCTGCTCCGAATCGACACATGAGACGTACCACAAGATCATCCAGTGGCCGAACTACCTCATGTTCCCCGACGACGTCCACTTGAGTCGTGAAGCTGAGGATATCATCCGAAGGTAAATTTGTATCGACTAGGGCAAGATCGCCGGCTCACTTTGGCGTCTTGTAGGTTGATCACATCGCCGGATCGTCGTCTGAGCGTGGATCAGATCAAGCACCATCCCTTCTTCTACGGTGTCAACTGGACCGGCATCAGGAACATCGACGCTCCCTTCATTCCTCGTCTGCGTTCCATCACGGATACTTCATACTTCCCTACGGACGAGCTCGAGCAGGTGCCAGACGAGCCCGTCGGCGCAGATAGCGCAGGCGCAAACAAGGACCTGGCATTCCTTGGGTATGTGATACTGCCTGTATGTGTGTACACCAATACTTATCGTGGTACCATACAGCTATACCTTCAAACGGTTCTCAATCTCGTCTCAAGCATTCTGATTACCCTGGAACTTGCTCTCACCTCATCTGTTGGTATCGGCTTAGGAACAGCTTCTGTAACATACTCATAGCTTTGCACTTCGTTCATGTACCTAGCAACATTCACGACAATCACGAGACTGCTCTAGCGATGGACGGGGATAACGATTACATGTGGTGGTTAACATCGTACAACTCGGTCGGCGCACATGATTATTGGTACAACAAGTGGATGGTGTTCCTCTAACTGGCTGATGCTACAAGATCGAAGGTCCTATCGAAAGCGACAACTGTCAGACAGCATGGGTACTCCTCTCACACACGAAGAGAAGGCTTCATCTGTAGGGATCGTTAGCTAACTCTGCGATCGTGTATGGCCAGCCGAACTTACTAGTTCCATGAATATAGGGAGTAATTGTGGAAGGTGAAACAGCTCTGGCGGTTGGATGGCAGACTCTTTCTTCTTCGGCGGCAGAGACTGTGGTCTCGTCGTCGATTTCGATCGTGAAGCTGCAGGAGCGGAGTTCGGGACGTCTGGCGGCGGGGACTTCTTTCCCGACTGCTTCATAATCAGCGAGCGTGAATGGCGAAGATTTACAGGAGAGCGGTCTGTGGATGAACGGGGGGAGGATTCTTGACTGGCTGGCTTCGACCTGAACTTTGACCGCGATGGAAGTGGAAGAGGTACGTGCCCAAGCGTATGTGACCGCTTGACTGGCGAAGTAGGCGATTGGCATGAAGTGGCAGACCTCTGCGAGTCAGGGGACCGAGGAGACACCGCCGGCGCGCCTTGTCGGTGCCGTGGATGCGGCGTCCCCTCCCTCTCCGTCCGACCACTGTCGCTCCCATCGCTACCTTCGCTGCTGTCCGTCTCATCCTCGTCATCCTCATCGCTGCTCGAATGGTCCTCGTCGCTGGAATCGTCCTCCTCAGAGTCCGTGTCTTCCGCGGCGAGATCGTCCGCGTCGCCCTGTATCAATTCGCCGAAGCTGAGATCCTTGACGACACCATTGACAAGTTCTGCCGCTACCTCGTCTTCGGCATCTGCGTCATTCATACCCTGCGTGCGCCCGAAGCGCTTGCGGACCTTGTCCTCATACGCGACCTTCAGCTTATAGTGGTAGAGCGCGACCGCGTCCACCTCGCGCATGATCGCCTCCCGCTCCGAGCCTGTATGCGGCAGAATGAACTCCATGCTGATGCGCTCCCCAACGCCATCACGCATAAGCGTGATGAACAGCTCGATCCAACGCATCAGGTCTGTGAAGAGACCTTCACCCTTGGAGTGCACCTTGTGCACAAAGCTGTAGAACGCCTGCTCATGCCGTTTGATGAGGTCGATATAAATCTGGACCGTCTTCGATGGGTCTGATTGACTGACTGTGACAAAAGTCAGCAATAGATAGATGTCCCAAGAAACGCAGAGGACGTACGTTCTTCGGTGGACTCAACAGTCCGTATAAGATCGTTTATGAAGTTCTGCAAGTCGCCCAGAGAGTCTGCGATGCTGGCTGCGCGGTACACCTGCGCCAAAGGTGCATAGAATATCGTTATGATATCCTTCAGCAAATCCGCGGTCGAGCCCTGTTGCAACACCGTCAGCACACTTTCCCGGTTCTGAAAGAAATGTGGGGAGCACCTCGAAGATGATCTCAATCAATTGCTCCCTATCCCTTAGCCTCGAATATAGTCGTGCGAGGACGCTTAGGTCCTCGAACAACCACGCTTGCTCATCTTGCGGCCCATCATCATCATCCGAGTCCTGAAGGGTCTCGACATGTTTGAGGTACTCCTTGTGTGCTCGGTGTGAGTAGTGCACCCGCTGCATCTGTGCACGAGAGAGCAAGGGCTCTTCCGCGGAACGCAGGACAGCAGCAAGGAGGTGGATGTCCTCTGCGGCTACATAAAACAAGACGCAAAACTCAGCGAACAGCCGCAACGAGCGCCAAAGGGAAACGTACTAGCATCTGCCTTGTAGACTGCCTGGATCTCGCGAGGCGCATACACGAATTGTCGGATCTTCTCGCAGATTATGGGGTCGTCGATCTTATCCTTGACTGTTTCAATATCCTCCTCGACCCCTTTGACCTCCTCGATAAGGGAGCCTGTGAACATCCTACACGAACTTAATTAAACTGTTACGGCGCATGTACCTCGGAGGGTACCTACCTTTGGAGCAGACTGCGCCCACCGAAAGGTTGTGCGAGGAAAAGATCCAGCACTCCTATAGTGTTAAGCACCGTCCCTCAGTTGTACACCAGATACGGGTGTTCCTGTTGGTGACGCACCCCGGATCATCGCCACTGGATTGCTGACCTTGAGCGCAGTCTTCATCATGAAGTATGGCATCAGCCCGTGTATGCGCTTCAAACCCGCGAACGTCTCCGACGCGGTATCCGCAGCAACGAACTGCTGGAAGACCGTCGACGCTAGTCTACATCAGGGAGCTAGTGATCAGTCTGGGGTAGGTAGAGGAGAGGATGGGACAGCGGAGGGACATACGAGATGCGTGCCCACTCAATGACGGCCTGAAAGTTATCCGGCAGCTCGCGCACGTCCTCCGTAACCTTGATCGTCGCGAAAATCTGCGTTAGGCCGTCTGCAGATGTGCTGGTCAGCGTGATCCGGGCTAATACCACTTAAGACGACAAGCGCACCTTTCGCGAACAGCTCGCCCTTCACGCTCTTCGCCGTGTCCCTCAGCCCGTCCACCCGCGCAGCAATCTCCTTCGCAAACCGCTTTCGCCCATCTTCTCTTAGCCGGTCTGCCTCTTCCCTGCGTCTTGCATCTTCCATTTCCTCCGCGGTCAGCCTTGTCGGCCCACTCAGCAGGAACGAGCGAAGCACAGGGGAGCTAGCGAGCTCTGGCATGGCCAGGAGCGTATGTAGATATGCACGGAGGGTCAGTCGGTTCTTCTCACGGGCCAGTTTCGAGGCTCCACTGCTGAACCCTTGTGCTGACGCGAAAGAGGCCGGCGAAGTAGGACTAGTCGTTCCTTGACTCGAGAATGAGTCCCTACTGGGATTGTTTTGTGTTTGATATAGACCTCCAGGCATAGAGAACGACATGGGTGGCGGTGGGCTTCCTGGCGGAGTAGAACGGAAGCCCGGGGGAGACACTGCAGATGCCGTGCTTAGGTTGACGACCGTGCGGTCCTTGGCTGGAGGTGCGGGAACCGACTCGCCCGGGTGCGCCTTGCGCAGCTCATTTGCAAGCGTCTTGAAATCGCCGTACCTACGCGAGACAAAGACATCCTTCTGATGAGGTCTTCGCGTCCGGATGATGAATTCCTTGCAACCTCGTGTCAGAACCGAGAGTTATAAGAGCGCATACAATTACACACCTCGTGAACTCGACTCCGCACACGCCCCTTCTCAGTGACGGTCCTCACGCATGCGACGTTAACTTCGAAACGGTCCTTCACCTTGTTCTCTCTCGCTGCTCGCTTTCGCGCAAGCATCTCCAGCCGATCAAGGTCCGCCTGCTTCAGCCGCACGACCTCCTCCTTCTCCTGCAACTTGGTCCCACTGGTCATGAGCATTGCAGCATGCCTCTCTAGCTTTGCCAGCAGCTTGTGGCGTGCGGCCTCCTCACTATCCTGGCCACCTTCATCCAAGATACCCGTGGAGCTCAGGTTCCGCGACAGCATCGACCCGAGGAAAGGCTGGAGCTTGTCCGGGAAGAAGTCGCGGGGTGCGTCAGCGAGAAACGGGAAGGAAAGCACAAACTTGCGGAAGCAATAACGCAGGAAGGGCAGCTCGGGCGCAGGCACGCCCTTGGGCGGTGGTGTGAAGGGTGGCCCGAGGTACGAGAAAGGTGAGACATTGTTGGTGGGCACGGCCACGAGCGCGTTGAGCTCGCGCTGGAACTGGAGAGATATGAGCTCCTTCTTGAGGTAATGCGCACGCAGCGGTGTCAGGGTGGTTGGGTCGCTCGCGGAGAGTTCATGGACCGAAGAGGCACTTCCGGCAGATGGGAGAGCCCTCTCGTCTTGAACGGGTGAATCGTGGACGATGGGAGGAAGCGGTTTCTCCTCTTTGTACGGAGGAGAGTGCTGGATCGGTGGGAGAGGTTTCTCGCTCGCGGCAGAAGTGGAGGGCTCATTAGGGAGAGGCACAGACAACTTGGCCGGGGAGGAGAGGGGTGTGGTGAACGGATCGGTGGGCGAACCCGAGACGGAGTTAGTGGCGGGGGGCTGCCTGGCGTAGCCGATTGCGACGGGCGACGAGGAGGCAGGGTCGGTCATCGTGGGCTGCGATGAAGACGATGGGAGAGACGGTGCCCTCAGCGCGAGAACCGGTGAGCCTGAGCTTGAGCTTGAGTGTCTCGCTTACCACGGCGCTCTCAGCGGACCCGCCGACTAGCGCGTGACGTCACGTCGATGGGCGTCACAACGGACCCGCATCCCGAGTCCGGCCCGCGGCGTCTTCTCTCTCCTCCTCGCTCGCACACCGCCCGACCAGACCACACCCGGGCGAATGTTGCCCTTCAAGTGGTTGCTGCGTTTGAAGGGAATTCATATGCTGACTATCTCGGCATGGTTATACTCTCATTGGCTAGTGGATCGCGACAAACGTGCAAGTCGACCAACACATTGGCTTCCGGGGTCAGGATAGCACGTTTACTCTTGACATCGCTATATGGGCACAGCCCGTCGAAGGTGAAGCTATACCCTGTGGCATAGGCAAGATACGGTACGACGCAGGCTAGCCGTATCTGACTCGCTGGTGAGTAACTTCCTGTGTTTCTTGAGAAGAACGTCGTCCCCGTTGCCTCGGGGATGTTACGAACATCTCTCATGATATGGCCATCCGATGGAGTACGTGTTGTACGTGTGTCTCCGCGAGTGGGTGAACAAGGAACTCGCAGTGCGAGGCACTGTACAACGTGTATCTCCCATCCGCAGCCGAATGCGTATGTCTTCTACTGGCGCTCCATATGCTGCCGTGCTTCCTAGTGAAGCTCCGCACTGGCACCTGCGGAGCATGAGCTTGGACAAAGCTGGACATGCATAGCCATGTTTCTTGTTCTATGTGAGTATTGTTCACGGCCCTCCGCTATATATCGGCGCTCGGTCCCATCGCATCTCACATCGATACCACCATCGGTGCAAGCTACCTGCCATCCTGTTCAAGGTACGTCTGTCCGTCTCTCGATGCATCGTTCAAGCGTTGACAAATTTGCAGTGTCTTCTACCGTGGATCAAGCATGAATACTCTCGTTGTAAAGGATTTGCGCCAGTCTCGCCCACATTATCCACTCGAGATTTACGAATGCATAATCGGCTTCGGGCCTGTTGAAGATATTATCAACTGCACCATGGTATGCAAGGCGTGGTACCCTAGCAGTCGGTACCTGTCTCTTCAAACAGTCTACCTCCGGAGCCAGGAACAGACATTCCGCCTGGCAAGCATACTCCGCACCAATCCGCAGCTGGGTCAATCGTCCAGGAAGTCCACATTATTGATCGACCCGCAGGTCTCGGTCAGCGTACTATCCCCCAGCTAGGGACGCTCGCTGCGACCTGTGCCGACCTGATGCCCAATCTGAGCGCCCTCACCATCCGTGATGTGAAGTGGGTCGCAGCGCCTGTGCACCGGGACGTATTTCTGCATCTGTCGAGGTTCACCGAGGTCACCACACTCAGTCTAGAAAAGGTTGAGATATTCTCCCCATCTACGCTGGCAGCCCTCATCTGTGCCCTGCCCGCGGTCTCGGCTTTGAAATGTACTCGGGTCTCATTTCGCAGTCTCAGCTGGGGCCCCCTCCGGCGACCTCGTGGTACCCTGCTCCGTCTTGATCTCAATACCGATGACCATGCAGCATCCGCAAGCCTTGAGTCGCATCCAGATGCCGATGAACCTTGTGGCGCTATCTTTTCCGAGCCCTTTGGCAGGTCTTGCAAACTCGGATTTCCGTTCATTGTTGGATGCTTGTACTCAAACGTCTTGGCTCAACCCGATCACCCTAATCTTGGATCATCGAGGTGTATCCCCAGAAGAAGCGACACCGCTCGTTGGTGAGTATTTTGTTCTTCCAGTGCCTTCAATAACTCATCTATGCGGTTCGGGACGGGCATAGGCCAACATCTGTCTCTTGCACAAGTCAAGATACCCACGAGGCTTCACACGAGGATAACAATTGATGCCGCCGACGTGGCGCGTTTCGACTTTGCCTGGCTCGCTGCCCTGTTCGCGTCGGCTGCGGCCGGGAAGTTTTCTACCATACTGGTGTTTTTCCAAGTAGTCGGGGAAGACATTGGCGATGGCGTGCATTTGCTGCGACTACTGCTAGACGGGACCGCTGCCGATGAAAACCTGAGGAAAATTGACGAGATAATGACCAAGCATTCGTCCAGAGACATACCAATTGTGGGCTTTCATTGCGAATTGTGCAACACGAATTGCGGGCCTGCGTTTGATGCATGGTATGAAACCTTGCGAAGCAAGCTGCCCAGACTACGTCGTGCATCGAGACTGTACGTTGTCTTGACGTGCTTCCGCTTGCTGGCGCGTGTTGACTTGAAATAGGCAAACTTAGGCAGTCGGTGCACTGAAGACGAGTCCGATGGCGCAAGCCGGAGTGCGGGCCCACTGTGGTTTGCTGCCAAGTTTGAAACGCTGACAATTTGTCTACTATGTACTACATGTAGCCCTATACGTATATGTGGAATTGTTTAACGAAGCCATCATTCGGAATGGCAGTTAGCAGGGACACTGACTCATAATGACCTCTTCCAACGCCTCACACGACACTCTGAGAAGCCGCAATTGGGTGTCTACTCAGTTCCCTTGTATCCGTGACTTGGTATGGCAAGGCGGTCGGGCAAGACCCCGACCCTGAACAATGCAGCCAATAAAGTAGTCTCCCCAGGCAGACGTAGACAATTCCTTCAACCTTCGTGCCTCAGGATATCCTTGTCTGACGTCTGCTATCAACTAGGGGGGTCTTATCGGTAGGTCAAATTTCGCCGGTCGGCACATCATGTGATGATACAAACAGGGCCAACATTTGTGTATAACGCGTCGAAGGCGCGCTTTGACGCTCGTCGGATGCCCCGCTCAGTGCGATCGGCGTTACTATATGCAACTGGGGTACTGTCGACGGCTCTGGCATTTGTAACTCCTAGTGTCATGTTGTATCATTATCCTGCTCCTCTTGCTCCTCCTCCTCACCACTGTCCAACCCATCCAACATCACTTCGTCACCAACGAGTAGCTGCCCGTCTACAACCACATTCGGTAATGCAGCAGTATCTATCGCTTGTTGTTCGTCGTCGGCGGCCGCTAACTCGGAATCACTGTGGATCGCGCCGGCATCCCGAAGTGTACGTGCAATGAAGTCTTCGATCTTTTTCCCATCTGCTAGCTTCCGGTAGCCCTCCGTGAAGTCGTCTTGTGCTACATGTCCCAGGGTACGTCCCGCTCGGAACTGATGCAAACCTTGTTCGTCCATATGCCGCGAAAGCTCGTTGAGTGTAGCATGCTTGTCTTTGCGTGCATGTTTTGCGCTTTTGCTTGCAAGGTGAGCGGTAACTCGGGCCGACGTGATTGTCTGCAAGAATGCACGAATATTATAGGCGATAACTTCCTTGAAAAAGGAGCCACCAAAGGAGGCACTTCGTCGCTGCGCCATCTCCTTCAGCTGCTTGATGTTCTTCTCTTGAAGAAGATCCATAGGAAACCAGCATCCAGCAAACCCAGATAGGTTGCAGAGCCAGTTGTTTAATATGGCTTTCTGGAGTTCGCCCGAGTACTCGTACTCGAAGTGGCACGTGAGTTCCAGTAGCTCATTCACGTACTTATGTCGACCTGAGCCCATGAACGTGAACGTCCATACCTACAAATACTACAGAGTCAGATTTTCTCGCAATATTGAGAATCAGCGATCTATCGGAGCCTCACCGACATGACGTTCATGGCACGTCCGATGTCTCCTTCAGCGATTGCACACTGAAATTCATAATGAAGTAAGATATCCCGTGTGCGCAGAATGATGTTTCCTAAGACTTGATCGCCACGGTTTGAGGATAGCGCATTGTCCTGCAGGCCTGCCACCGTGGCCATAGCTGGGGTGCCGTCTGTGCCATCGGGGGCCTGCCATGCCGCACCGATCGGGAAGCTCACAGTCGCCATGCTGTCATCATCTGGTAATACTGCTTCTTCCCAGGCAGCAGACGTGCAATACGTGAGCCGTATGTCTTCAGCAACTTGTAGAAGCTCTTCAGTTGGCACAGTATGTGTGCTGAAGTACGCAGGTAGATCCTTCACACCGAGTCGGATTCTGTACATACAATTGTGAGCTAATCATGTCGTAAAAGATATCTATATAGAGCGAGACTCGTACCGCCAGATACTCAGAATATCGGCCTTGAGGGTGTCGAAGAGAAGATGCTGGGTGGGGTAGTAGTCTGGGCGCTTCTGATCCTTGACCTTGCGCCCGAGGAGAACATTCATCGCACACAGCGATGATAAATCCTTCGCATCGGACTGCGACGCACCCCAATGCGTGGAAAGAATGCGCTCCAGATCTGCCCAGCCCATGTGCCAGAGCTGGATGAGCGGAAGCACCCAGCCATACCGTTTATAACCATGCGGGCAGGATGCGAGGAACTTCTTCAGCGTGCGCAGCTTCTCCACGGTAGATTGATCCCCGCCAACAATGACGAGGAGTTTATCTACCTCTTCTTTCGGCAATCCAAGCTGATGAAGGAGGAGGTCGTCGAGAACCTTCGCATTCTCGCTCGTTACGCCTTCATTGTAATCAGATGTAGCCAGGGGATGGAGCTTTGTCTTCCGCCCGTCTCGCATACGATGGGTTGCTAGAGTAGTGGACAGCCGGAGCTTGACGAAATCTTTCACCGCGGACAGATGCTCGGGTACATGTTCCGCGAGGATACCGAGGATGTGGGTGGTCATCACTGCATTAAGTTTCCACCAATCAACCCGGCCGTGCAAGACATTGACGTGAAGATTCCTGCGAAGCTGCTCGCCTTGCGCACGCCGCAACGTCTCCGGATCAAACGCGACCTTCGGGTCACAATCCTCGAGCTCGACAAGAGTCGCAGCGGTGCCATTGTGCATTATGTCGTGCTCGCCAACGTCGGGATCCCAAGCACGGGCCATGCGATTGATATTGTCGTAGATGAGAAGGAATGCTCGCGCAGTCGCGACACGTTGGATTACCATTTGGGCAGACTGTGATAGGGAGCGTAACAGTCTGAGCACAGAACTGTAAGAGACCGAGACACCAAAGCGGCTGAACACCGCATAGATGTCACTAGAGGCTGTATGGGCGAACAGCCATATCCCGATGAACTTCTGGAATGCCGTGAACTGTAGGTTGCGCGCCCCGAAGAGCAAGAGGCATGCAATCAAGGTTATCTGCGTTTGTTGAGTCAGAAACCGGCTCTCGAAGCATGAATATACATGCTTACAAGCATCGGATCACGTCGCTTCCCTCTGTCTCCGTTCGAGTCTGGTTCTTTGGAGTAGTACGTTCCACAAAAGGTTGCCGAAGCATCTTGAGGAGCACCGGGCGGTTTGCGAACACGACGGGGGATAGCGGCGGCGGTAATCACACGCAGGGCAGTCGGGGCCCTCGCATTGATGACGGACAAGATGTTTTCCATTGTGAAGCTAAACATGAAGTCCCATGTAGCGTCTTTGTCCCTCAGGTGAAACCCGCCCGCCTTCGACGTGACATCCTCCGCCTCCTCGTCCACGATATCCTCCACCTTCTCCACAGCCCATTCACGCAGACCCCAGCGAGCCATCTTCTTCGCGTCAGGTCGCGGCGCTTCGTGGCCAGGACGTCTCGGAGAGTCTCGAACAGGGATGGGAGCACTGTACCTGCTCGAGTACATGAGCTCGACGATTTCGTGTGCCGACTCGCTCGATCGTCCACCCAGGAATGCAGAAACAAGCTGCGAGTGTCGTGCCGTATTTCCCTTGGAAACCTGAGGAGGCGGCACAGTGAAAGCTTCGCGCAAGAACCCGCCGAAAGTCATCCCGCCTGCCTGGATAGCGCGGAATACGGTGTCGAGCTTCTCGGATCGAGCGTCGTCAAGATTGGCCTGTACGGCGCGTTGCCGAGATGAGGATGCCATGTTCAAGTTATGAGCAGCGAACAGAACGAGAGACTCGACCGCAGGCCCCGCAGGGTCAGACTGCGATGTACGGTAGCAAGAGGTAGCAGGCCGTCTCTCTCGTGCTTCACCATAGTTCACCCTCCGATCACAAACGAATGTAATGTGTTATATTGGATTTCAAACGGAGGTCGAAAATGGCGACCTCTCGGTAAGGCCCCCGCGTCTGAACACAGACTACAATAAAGGCGCGATGAGGGCGCAGATCGGGAGCGTGATGATGAGAGGGAGATGATCGAGAGCACCGTATTCTACAAATTGATTGTCGTACAGCATGTCGTTCATACAAGTACCTTCCAGCGGTGCGCCGTCATTTCAGGGAACGTAGACCCGTCCCCCGCGGTACGTCTTCCCGTTCTCGTCCAGCAGCCCCTTCAGCCTGACTGCTACGCCGCGCACGGTGTCCCGCCCCGCGTCCATCTCTCGCCATGACCCTGCCACGGTCCAGCACTCCGAGCATGCCTTGCTGGCGGCGTTCACGGTGTCGAGCGCGAGCTCGCCTCTGTTGTGCAGCGCGACTAATACGTCGATGAGCTGGCTGAAGCCGATATTCCAGCTGCTGAGTCCAGTATCAGGGTTCATTGTCGTGTCGGTGATAAGATACGACGAAGCCAAGCCTAGGCACTTCCGCAGGACGCTTTGGTCAACTGAACTTGATGTGCGGGAGTGATGCGCAAGCGTGGCACGCACGAAGGCGCTATAGTCGGTCGGAGCAGGGGACGGTGTGCGCCGGCGATCGGGATGCCGCTAGTGGTAGCAGACAAGTCAGGGTGTGGTCAATGACGGCAATGGAGACTGCCAGTTGAGGTGCATCTGTTAACGTACATCGGACTCGGCCATGGAAAGGCTCGAGGCGAACTTTCCTATATGGGGGCGCGGGGCCGTGTCTGCTTCAAGCACGAGAAAGTTGATGTGAATATGCATGCTGGCGGAGAGAGCAGAGGGGCGGGCTCACGACGAGGCTGACATGCACCAGTGCCCTGCAGCTGGCAGACGGACAGCGGCGGGCGTGATGGACCTGTCACCGGGCGTCCATGGCGTGAATGGCTTCGCACCGAACAGCGGCGCGCCACTTTCCATATCGGGCCTCCCGCCATCACCCCGATCTGGGCGCCTCTTCTGAATCTGTCCCTGAACACAGACGCCGTCCCCCATACTCGCCAGCGAAGCCAGCCGGCGTCTACGGGCTGGCTGCACGTCTCCTCGGTGCGCTCAGTCAAATTCGAGAACCAGAGGCAGGATGGCCTCCCTCCTACTCAGCTTCCTCACTCCGCCCCCGGTCAACCTCTCGCCAGACTACGAGGGCACCGAGTACCGGTGGAAGTTCATCACCATCCGCCCCGCATGTGAGTGTCACCCCTTACAATGTTCCATTGCCTACAGGCTGACTGACGCGGAGCGATGTAGTCTTCCAGAATGAGCCGTACTTCATTGCTGGTATCCTCCTCTTCATTGCCCTCTATTTCTGGGGAAAGCGGGTGAATCAGAGCAGAGTGAACAAATGGTGCGTACGACCTGGACTCCAAACCTTGGGCAGCCAGCAGACAGCTCACACCACCGGATCTCCAGGTTCGACACGCATACCCCGCTGCTCGAGGCCCAATTCTCGATGCCCATACCTGCAAATGGTCTTGTGCGTGGTACGTCAAACCTCGCTCCATGATCTACAATTGCTTCACGAACTGAGCACGCCCCTGTGCAGACGGAAACTCCGACTGGTTCAACTTCTCCACCGGCCGTCGTGCAGTCAAGTCCCTGCACACGACCTTCGCCCTCCGCCCGCGGCACGATCTCCTCCAATACATCTACCAATTCGGACGGGGGCTCATGGAGCTCGACTACAAAGCCGCCGACGCCGTCGAGCTCGACTTCACCTTCAACGCGCCCGCGTCCGCGAGTGCGGTCCCGGACTGCGTCTGGGCGGTCATCGCGAAGGACGAGATGAAGGGCATCCGCACGCGCCGCTGGGACTTCACCTTCACCAAGACGACCGACAACCCGACGCTCCCGCCCTCGCTCACGGTGATGTCCGAGTTCGCGGACATCACCACGAGCCTGCTCAAGCCCCTCGGTGCGCTCGACCTCCCCGCGGTGCTCTCGGCCCCGGCCACGCTCAAGTACTTCCGCTCCCTCTCGATCACGGACCAGCCCCGCACGCGGCCCAGCGCGCCCCTCCCCCAGAGCCAGCGCAGCAAGCACCTCATTCTCGAGCTGACTCTACCACCGCCTTCGGATGCCGCTGCTACGCTGCCTCTCCTGCAGGCAGCCTTCCAGCTCGTCGACGCAATCGCGGGCGAAGGGAAGGCGAGCGGCATGCGCGGAGGCCTCGCGGCACAGCTCCGGCCCGAGACGAAGAACAAGCTGAAGAAGACGCGCGAGGAGGTCGAGAAGCAGATCAGGGAGGAGGCGAAGCGCGAGCAGCGGGAGGAGGAAGAGGAGAAGCGCGCGACGGCCAAGCGCAAGGCTGAGGAGGAGCGCCTGAGCAGGCTGAGCGCGGCAGACCAGAAGAAGGCTTTGGATCGCGAGAAAAAGCGCGCGATGCGCAAGAGTCAGACGAGGATGAAGGTGCGGTAGCCGCTCGCGCGTTCGCTCTCTGGACAGCAGCATGTGTATTGCCCACTGTACGTCGAAATGTTCCTGGGTATTAGCATAATCTAGTGGTATTGTTATTGCTACACGATGTTGTCCCAAGCGATCCTCCAGTCCAAAGGTGAGATGAACAACGCAAAGATGAGCAAAATGCGAATGGAGGGAGGTCAGCCAGCTGTTGTCTTAGTATGCCTCGCCGCGGGTCGTAGCCGAGGCTGAGTAGGCGAGGTAGGAAGAGACGCGCAGGTCGTCTGTACCTCCTCCGACGCGTCCTCCCTGTCCTCCCTGTCGGTCTGTGGCTCGTCCTCCTTCGGGGGCGTCGACTCTTTCTTCTGACCAGCGGCCCCCCACTTACTACCCCAGTAGTTGAAGAAGTTCAGCAACCATGTCGGCCGCAGACTCTGATGCTGCACCACATCCGCTTCATCCTCGCTCTCCTCCAAGTCGATCGCGTCCGCCCCCGGCAAGCCCGCATCCTCCTCCGCCTCGCTCTCCGTCCTTCCAAGCGCATCCACAAGCCGCTCGCGCCCATCCAGCGTCCACTGCACGCGGTTGAACCGCCCATGCGCGCCGCGCACGCCCTGCGGGTGCTTCCGCCCCGTGCCGAACGTCTTCTCACGGAGCGCAAGCACCCTCCGGCGGGGCTGCACCGCCATATGCCAGAGGTCCTCAACGAGGTACTGCGCGCTCTCGTACGAGAGCGCCTGCGTCTCCTGCGTGAGCACGTCCGCCCTCGCGCGCGCCGCCTCGACCCGGTGCAGGATCCCCGTGCGCTCACGCAGCTCCGCGAGGCCCGGCCGCGCGCGCTCGTGGTCCGTGCGCAGCTGCGTGTTCGTCCGCGAGAGCCGCTCCGTCAGCGCGGCGAGGCTCGCCGCGACGTTCACGAGGTGCTGCTCGCGCCGGTACATCACCAGCAGCTGCCCGCAGAGCTCGACGTCGATCCGCATGCGCTCGAGGGGGAGCACGCGCGTCTCGACCATGTCCGCCGCGGCGTCGAAGGAGCGGCAGCGTCGAGGACCGGAGGTGAGCGGGCGCCGTCGGTGCGCGGTGTCCATCTCGGTGTCGCTCGCGGTCGCTTCTGTCTCGTTGTCCTCGATGGAGTCTGTTCGCCGGAGTAGTGATAGCGGCGATGTCAACCTCTCCCTGTCGTCGGACGAGTTCGAGTCAACGAGTTCCTTTGCACTGAGTGGGTCCGACCAGCTGATGATCCGTGATTGGTAGGGTGGTCTTGTCGAGGGCCGCTTCCTGTTGAACTCGGTGACGCGCCTGTCGTACTCGGAGAGTTCGCTGGCGGACCGTTGCGCAGGAGTGTACGAGCCGACTCCAAGGATGACGGGCACGGCATTCTCGACTGTAGATGTTGGGGAGCAGCGTTAATCGCGCACGGCAACGGGTCTAGAAGATGTGTACTTACAGACGGGAGACGTCTGGCCACTGCTCAGTGGCTCCTCCTCGTCTAAATCCCTGAAATAGGCGTGTCGCCGTGTGTCGGTGACATGATGTGATGAGGCTACTTACCCTGTAATCCGCACCGAAGGAACTGTCGAGGAGGGACCCGACTGCTCAGACTGTCCGCCGCGGTTCTTGCCAATACTGCCGAAGTCCACGCTGAGCTTCTTCGCTCTCCCAAGGCTGTAGGAACGAATAAGATCAGAAAGAAACTGCTAATGGCAGTCATTGAACACTCACGCTGCCCAACTCTCGATCTTCCGCTGCACCCTGCGCACCGGCTTGTAAGACTCACTCTCGTCGCCAGACGATCGAACGTCCCTCTCCCTCTCCTCCTTCTCTCGATCCTTCTCTCTCAGACTCTTGTCTCTGTCTCTATCTTTCTCCTTCTCCCTTTCCCTGATATCCTTCGAATCCCTCTCCATCTCCCTCTCCTCCCTTTCCCGCTCACCATCACTCCACACCGCCTCCTTCTCCCTCCTCTTCTTCCCCACATCATCCGGACGGCCCGTCCACAGATACCTCAAGCTACTCGGCGCGTCCTTCGCCGAGCTCGCGACCACGAGCCTCACCAGCGCCGCGAGGTCCGCCGTCGGGCTCACGCCACTCGCGCCCTCGACGTCGCCCGCGGAGCGGAGGTCGTCGACGAGATCGTCAAGCTTGCTGATCAGCACGCGGTGCACCTTGTACGACTCCGTCGGGCGCATCTTCTTGTCGTACGCGGCTTGGACCGCCTCGACGAGCGCCTGCGAGAGGTACGCGACGGGCGGTATCGGCGAGGGGGCGGTGGAGGGCGCGCCGGAGCCGTGGTGCGCCTTGTGTGGGCTTGTTGCGCGGGGAGGGGAGGGGGCGCGCGGGGAGTGGGAGATGGAGTGGCTGTAGCCGTGCCCGTGGCGCTGGGGGGACTGGAAGGCAGTGAGGGCGCGCGTGAAGTTGTACGGGTCGAGGAAGGGGTCCTTGGGGACGTAGTAGCCGAGGGCGTGCAGTTTGTTTCGGGTTGTGAGGATCAGACTGAACAGGGCAGCTAGCACTGTCGGGTCTGCCACTCGTTCTGTGGGCTGCGAGAGAAGACTCAGTCGACAGTTCCGACTTCTAGAAGCGGCACGTACTTCGATCTTCATGCATGGCTCGCCGACCTCGGCTGCCCAGCGCCGGATTCCATCGCATGTCACGTCGCATAGTAGCCCGTTCCGTTCTTCCGGGTTGATGTCGAAAAGCTCGAACATCGCCAGCCCGGCCTGGATGAGCTTGACGAGCTCGAGTACAGTTGCGTTGAAGCACGCAGCAGAGCGTGCATTCCCTTTGTCAGGGATATGGTACATCAAGATGAACCGATCCTTCGTGGTATCGCTAGGTACGCTGTCTCAGCGTGCAAGACGTGGGGTGGAAGAGGGGGCGCCTACCTGGGCTCCTCCAGGGTGAGCGCACTGCGCCCGCTGCATCCCATGCGGAGAAGGTTGATGTTAGTATACAGTTGTTCACGCACTTCGAGGAAGTTGCCACGGGGTATATGTACGATGGTATAGTCTGAGCGGAAGTTCGCAAGGGAAGTGACCATGAGGACGCCGAGAGCCATCTGCTACAACGTCAGCTACGCTGAGCACCAGCATCAGCTCGAGGAACACGCACATCCTTGGGTCGCGCGCCCTCGCTGCGAAGGTGTCGGAGTGCTTGGTCCCATTCTGTCTGAGCCTCCGAGGGGCTAAGTGACGACGATGGCGAAAGGGCAGTCACCAGTATCTACGCAAGCAGTTCATGAGCACAGTGCGCCGGTAGATATCAGCAGCATACCTTATGTTGTGGATCTCCGGTGAAGACTGTCAATACTATCACTGGCCGTCGGCGCTCGACCACCCTGACACAGTCCGAGTGAGCCGGAGGACAAGACCCAGTCACGACAAACGCGACACACCACTTCTCCACCGCATATATCTGGTACCCCGCCAGCTCAATCTGCTCCTCCACGATCTCAAACCTCCGCCCGCCGCCAATCCAGTCCGGCGCGGTGGCGTTCGCCGACTTGTCGCTCAGGTCCGAGAGGAAGGACGGGTTCGACACCGAGCCCGCGCGCGACCTCGCGATCTTGGACGGCGAGGCCTTGTACGGCGGGATCTTCGGCGAGCCCATCCCCGGCTTCGTCGAGCGCACGGTCGGCATCAGCAGCCTCCGCGTGCCGGGCGGCGCGACGCTGACATAGCTTGACGACGGCGGGGTGTCGGTGGGCGTGGTGGGGGCCGTGCGGGCGTGGGCGGTGCCCGCGGCGAGGTGCGAGTGGGAGCGGGCGACGAGGGGGGAGATGGACAGACCGGGGGAGGCGGGGGACACGAGGGACTTGGAGGGGCCCGCCGCGGCGAGGGAGGGGCGCCGGGAGTGCGTGCGCGAGCTGGCGGAGGACGGCCCGGAGGCGGCGGAGGCGGGGATGGAGAGGCGGGAGGTCGTCTTGTCCGCCATGCCTGCTCCGTCGGCGTGGTCGCGGTGGGCGTGGTCGCGGGCGTCGGTGGCTCCTCGGCTGCGGTGGCCGCTCGGGCTCTGCAGGCGCCCGATCAGGCGGCGGGCGCTCCCCCGCCTGCCCCGCCACACCGGAACGGTACTCGATCAGCGCCTCCGCCGCCGGTGGCCACCCGTCGCATCATTGCCTTTCGCGGAAGCAGTCCAAGTTCGTTCTCACTGGCCCGTGGCACCACGCAACGAGGCCCTCCCGGCACAGGCAAGCCGAGTGCTTTGAGTCTTCTCGCAGTCACGGTCCCCGCCAGCACCCCGTTTCCCTGCCCCGAGATGGCAACCTTTGTATTCTCGATTGGGAAGACGGCGGGCGCCCTACGAACTTCGGGGCATGGTTGTGAGGGAGTAGGTTCTTCCAGGCCCGTTCACTGGGCTCCTATGTGTCAGGTATCAACTCGCTTTGATGCGATGGCTTATCATGCGCGATGGCTCGTCCGGATAAGGCCACCAATAGCCCCGCGCGGCCACGGGTCACGTTCGAACCCCGAATTCGTCAAGGCTCAAAGAGCGGGGGCGCGATGCGTTGCTCTCATTTAAACACCCGTACGTCTCCAGAAATCCCCTAAGCATCCCCGTACATACATGTCATATCAACCCCCTCCAGACTGGGGCCCGCCCTGGTCTTCCCCTCAACCACCGCCACTGTGGGGCATGTGCGCGTCGGGGGGCCCTGTGGCTCCGATGGGTGGACAAGTTCAGGCCTACGCGCACTATCCTGGCTCTGAGTACCAGCCAATGGAATCCACTGGGTCACAGGTATGAGTTGACGCGTCGTTTGTTTATCTGGCGTGAGTTTGACGCGTCGGGGCCGTCGCCCGTTTAGTTCTATCCCGCAGGACCTGAAGCGCAAATCAACGACCCATGCAATTATGACGTGGTCATGGACATAGACTCACCAGACGACCTCATGGACGTAGACACGACCGCCGAGTCGTCGTATGCGCCGTTCCCCGTCTACATGGATGAGCCCCGGACGCCGACGCGTCGCCGGCATTCGCGCGCCACTTCCGTGGCCTCCAGCATATCGAGGTATCTCAGCCCAGTGTTGTCGCCGATGAAGTCGCGGTCCCGCACCCAGTCCGCAATGAAAGCCTCGACGAACAGCCTTCGGCCAACGCCCTCTACCCCCTACACGCTACAGCGGACCCCCAGAAAGCCGACGCTGGCGCACCACAACCCCCTACCCGCGCTCTTCGGCGGCTCGACGTACTACCCTCCCATTACTCCGCGCCGTAAGAAGAGCGAGCGATACGCACGGCTGTACGCACACGAGGTAAACGAGCTCACCGACCGCCTAGCCGACTTGACGATCACAAGCGCCGACGCCGACGCCGACGTCGCGAAGCCTGCGGGCCCCATCTTCGATGGGGCCAGCATGCTGAGCGACGTAGGCTCGGAGGCCACGCTGGTCCCCGTCCGCGGCTGCGGCAACGCGAATGACATGAAGAACCTCGGTGCGAAGATGGAGCTGGGGCAGCACTTTGAGTGGAACGAAGCCGTCGAGGAATTCCTGCAGAGCGTCCTCGCGATAGTTCCGCACCAGTAGGCGAGCGCGTCAATCGACAGGGGAAGAGCTCGCCGACGACGCATCACCAACTCCTCCTGTCACTCGTGCGCGCTGCGGGTGCCACTCGCGGCCGCATAGTGAACCAGTAAGCATGGCCGGCTGCTCCGTGCGGCTGGCCTGCCCTTTTATCCTCGTTCCCTCCTTTGTCCTGGGGGCACGGGGACGTAAAGTGCTGTGGACCGCCCGCTGGACATGCGGCGCGGCGACACTCAGCACAATCGATGGGCTCGGGGGCGCTTCGAATGGAGTGCCGCCGACACACTACCATGCCCACGGACACCCGCGCCACTCGACCACACTCTCTGCAAACCATTCCGCGCGAAGTCTACCGCTTCTACACGCCTCGACGGTCTCTCTTACGCTCTCGTGGGCGAGGGGACTGAACAGGTCGCTGGGGATGTCTCCCTCTCTGGACGTGCGTTCCATTGTGGCCCGGTGTGCCACTCGCCACAATGGTCGGTATCTCGGCTCAAGGTGTCCGCTGATCACAGCGCGGAGGCAACGCGCGTGTGATAGATGCAAGACGTCGCAGGCTTGGTGGAAGACGGTGTTCCTCGTCGGATTCCGTGCATTGCGGAGGTGCATTGTGGACAATATTGCGGGCAAGGACAAAGGACATGTTTGGATCGGACTGTGCGGTGTTTATGTGTATATATTGTCTCTGTACCTGTTGTAGCGCTTACGCCGTGCACGTCGCTCGCTCTCGAATGGGATGTTATGTTTTATGGACGGTGGCCGCGGCGAAGGGCAAGTGCCTGTTTAGGGTTAGGACCGGTAGGGTCACGCGGGACATGCCGGTGGCGTGGATTGTGGCGGAGTGGCGGGGCCGGGCGGGCGCCTGGGGAGTGGCAGTTGACACGGCGTGCCACTGGCGCCTGCAATCCATACCGTCCCCTCACTGCGTGCCCCGCGAACTCGCCCACCATGGCACAGCCAAGTCAAAGCGACATCGCCGCCGCCATCGAGCGCCGCGTCCAGGCAGAGCGCGAGGCCGCCGAGGCGAACGCCGCCCTCCGCGCGCAGCGCGAGTTTGAGGAGACCCGCGACAAGCGGCAGGAGTTCAGACGGCTCGTCGACCCTGGCATCCTCCGGCCGAACCCGCGCGAGCTCGCGCTCGAGTCGCTCATAGTTCCGTCTTACTCCGTTGAATGGCGAGGCGTTCGGCTGACGCGATGCGTAGACATTGAAGATGTTGGCGGAGAACATCGTCGCGCACCCGGGTGAGGACAAGTACAAGAAGTTCAAGCCGACGAATACGAAGATCAAGCGAGTCCTTGTTGACCCGAAGGGGACGCTGGAGTATGCTGTGGCGGTCAGTCAGCCTCGTAACCATCGTGCCTGACGACTCCTTACGAACCAAGCGCACGGTAGATGGGATTCAGGCCGGAGGTAGCTGTTGTGACGTACCGCAGCAATAAGCACCACTAAGCACCAGATCGCTGCACCTTAGGTCGTTGACTTCCAGCCCTTCTACGTCTTCAACGACCGCCACAAGCAGGACCTCGAGATTGGGCTCGCCATCATCCACGAAGTCCTCGAGCGCGAACTCGTCAAGCAAGAACGAGACGAGCGCACAAAGCGGCAAGCGAAGGAAGCAGAGGAGGCTGCGAAAGAGAAGGTCCGCACCTCGCCTCCCACCCCCTCTTACATCTCACATCTCACATCTCACCATCCCCCACAGCTCAAGCGCCAATTCCTCGACGACCGCAAGTCCACCGCCCTGCGCGGGGAACGAGAACGAGAACTGCGCGAAGCACGGGCCGCTGCGGCCGCACGGCGCGCGGCCTCGCAAACACCCGACGAGCCGTCCTCACAGCCAAGTAGCCCATCGCCCGCGCCCGCCACACCTCGCCGAGTTCGCATGACGGCGGGCACACGGACCCGCCCGATGTCGGGGACAGGCCGGACGCTGGACGGGCGGGTCGTGACGGCGGCGGATGATGCGGATGGCGAGGTGCCTCCACCGTACCATCCGCGAGAGGATGTCCTGGAGATTGAGGACGATAGTGAGGGTGAGGATTGAAGCTGTGTGATGTAGAGCGGTGAGGATGTGAATTTGTGTCTGTTTGGATTATGCTCTCGTGTAAAGATATTGCTGTCACTCATCGTGTAGACTACGCAAACGTTGCAGATACAGGCGTCGTCCGGGATCGTTCAGTGCGCCTGATAACATACTGTAAGTGTCCCCTGGTGAGAGTCGAGTCTTATACTGGACGATGTTCTTTACGTGCTGAATGCGCCGAACCACCACAGGAACGGATATAGCTCAACTGGCTTCTTCGCCTCAGGCGATGTAGAGGGCTCGTATCGATGGCTTCTACATATCATGCTCGTCCGAGGACTGCATGTTGATAGCAGCCCCTCGCTTCCTGATCCGGGCAATGAGACTGCCAGCCGTCACCAAAGCATGGCGGCACGAATGCATGACGCATAGAGTCAGGCATGATCTCTCTTCTCTTCCCAGAGCTCGCATGCCGCTGACTAGTCACCCGCTCAACCGCGAATCGAGTCGCTGGCACGCGTGCTTTTACGACAACTTCCATCGTTTCTCCCGACCGAGCATGGGAGTATCCGCGCCACGCCTCGCAATGGAGGCATTCTGACGTATCGCTACCATCTATATAAGGTTTGCGATTACCTCGCTTGCGAAGCTGGTGCTGTCGCTTCGCATACAATGATACATGCGGCAGGCCATGTGTCAGGGTCTAGAGTCTCATGGGGGAAGTATATCTGGCTAACACCACTGACCTGTCCCACCAACCTCTCCCCGGCAACATTCGTTCATCTCTTTCTCTTCCAGGGTCATGGCGACAACGGCTGTCAGACGTGCACAACTCGCCGCCGCCGCCGAACGCCGCCTGCCCGCGAACAGGCCTGCAGCCGCCGGGGCACTCTACAAGAATCACGACGAGGGCCACGTTCGCCGACAGCAACTCAGGAAGATGATCGACAAGGGGATCCTCGAGTCAAACTCACTCCCACTCGCCCTGAAGGCACTCGAGGTTCGTAGCGTATCCCAGCGACAGAGCGAACATGGATCGACCGGGGTCTGGGTATCATAGACAATGAAGAGATACGCAGAGAACATCGTGAAGTACCCAGAGGAAGAGAAGTACAGGAAGATCAAGCGAAGCGGATCGACGTTCATGGCGAACGTGGTGCAACCCAAGGGTGCCCTCGACTTCTTCATCGAGGCACGTACCCAGTCGACGTCACCCTTCTTCGCATGTAACTAGCACTGACGCCCCTCTCCAGGTGGGCTTCCGCGAAAAGGTCATGCAAACACAACAGCCCTGCCTCGGTGACCATACATACTGATCGCTCTGCAGGCCATGGACTACCAGACGTGGGTCGTCTTCCACAAGGAGTACATGCACGACCTCAAGCTCGGCATCACCCTGCTCGGCGAAGCGATCGAGCGCGAGATGCCCAAGAAGGAGCGCGAGGAGCGTGCCCGCGAGCTCGCCAAGGCCGAGGAGATCGCAGCGAAGGAGAAGGTCTGGCCAATCCCCCTACAGAGTCGACGCTCATCATGACGTGTCTACTAGGCAATGAAGCACTTCATCGACGACCGCAAGACCGTCCGGGAGCGCACGCTGCGCGAGACCGCAGTCCACGCCCGTCGGCGTGGGTCGGTCCCGCCTCCCGCTCCTACGACACACGTCCCTGTGGTGCAGCCCTTCGCGGGTGGCGGACGTACTCTCGGTGGCCAGTAGGCCGACTTCGGGGTTGTACAGGCGATACAGGACTGTCACTGGCCCCAAGGCAATAACAGGATGTGTCTTGAGGTCTGCGCCACTCCTCTCTTCTCTGTATCGTGCCTCGCGGATCGACATCTCAAAGGTGTTTTGCATGTCTTGTGAGGATATCGGGCCATGGATCACATAGCGCACTGTGTCATTAGGGGAACGCACGAATGTACAGGTACAAATGGCAGATGCGAAGGATAGATGTATGGATGCGGTCACGAATCTACAGTATGAACACGGACTTCCTCAAATGAAGGGGAACTTGGATCGATCCAGCTTGGAGACAGGCCTCGCCTTCGGTGGGGTCGATGTCGGAAGGGGCGGCCGCGGCGGTGTCGGGAATTGCGACAGCGCCGTCATGGTGATACGCGCGGGGTTGTCTTCCGTAGTGGACTTAGTAGCTGGAAGAAGGAACAGTCAGCGACTCGAGCATCTCATTGTGAGTGTTAATTGCACGAACCAGGGCTTGTATTATCATACGCCCTCGCCTTCTCCATAACGATGCTCATTCGTCTCCCACTACGACCCGTCTTCGACGCGGGCGTCGTGTTGGCGCGGCTGAGTTCAGGACCTAACTGCACCTCGGGCAGCGTCGGCGGCAGCGTCTCGACACTCGACCGCGGCGCATACGTGCTCTTCCGAACATCTACGTTGAGTCGGCTAGTCGGCCTGCCCGAGTCCCGCATAGCCTCCAACGAGTTCTTTGGCACTATCCGGCGGTGTACAGCCTGAGATGACCTCTCGAGTCCGGGTTCTGCGACTGTTGCCAAGGTAGGGCTTGCCGACGAGTGTGGCCGCGGCCCATTCGCGAGAGAAGAGGTCCTTCTCAACGCTGCCGGATGTGATGGCAGTCCCACCAAGGATGCTGGACGCATCGATGGCCCTGCCCCAGCCACCGAGAGTCTAGGGTTGACCGCGGGGTGGAGTAAACTGCTCGAGCGATGGGGAGGCGGTGGGGGCTTCAGCATAGACGGATCCGTAGGTTTGGGTGGAGGGATTGGCCGATTCGTCAGTGAACCGGTGCGAGATCGTGGGCGAACAACAGGCTGGCTCAATTGCTGAGGAAGAGGGGAGGCCCTATCCGCTGCCTCGCCGCTCGAGATCTGTGCAAAGACTTGCTCGTGCAGCTGCGCATGAGTGTATCTGGGTTTGCGCCTAGGCATATAGCGAGGGATCATATGAGCGACTGGTATTAAGACCGGAGGTGCCGCCAGCTGTTGAACGGGAACAGGCTGGGCTGCCGGAGTGATCATTTCCCAAACGTCTCCTTCCTCACAATCGCAGGGTTCATCGAACACCTGGTCGCATAGCTGTGCATGGGTGAACCTAGGTTTATGCCTGACGGCGTAGCGTGGAGTCTCCCTGATGACAGGTGTGGACTGTTTGCTGGTGATCGCGGCTCGCCTGACAGGGCTTGAAAGAGGTGGGTAAATGGAGAAGTGTGGATAGACGGCGGGATCTGTCTTGAATGAGTGATCGTACTGGGTGAAGTCCAGAGGAGACTCACAGATGTCGAACACGGGGTAACGGGTTGTCGTCCCGCTCGAGAAAGACCTATGCTCAACTATTGTTGTCGTTGCACCCGAGACCGCAGGATACAGCTTGAAATGAGGATACACGGCGGGATCTGAACGAGTCCAGTGTAAGCTAACATCACACAGAATTGGCGGCTTAAAGAAAAAAACTCACAGATGTCGAGCGTAGGGTACCTCGTGTCTGCTACGGTCACGCGAACTTCCCGCTTCAGGTTGAGCGATGCCTCACGCACGACCTCTGGGTAGATATGGAAGAAAGGGTAAACAGCAGGATCTACGTCGCCTCGCCGTCAGAGTTGGTCTATGCACAAGTAGCACCACTTACATATCTCAAGCGCGGGATACCGCGTCTCACACAACATCACCCTCACCTGGTGCTGAGTGTGACTGCTTTCGCCGGCTGCCTCTGGGTAGATATTGAAAAATGGGTAGACTGCGGGATCTGCGCGTGACTTGAGACCACTGAACGGATGGGAGAGATACCACCAGCTACGCACAGATGTCGAGAACAGGATATCTCGATGCCTTGACATGAACTGCGCGTCGATCCTCAGCTCCCGTAGAGTAACCGTCGGCGAGCTCAGGATGAAGCATCAGGAAGGGATCCACATCTGCGTCTTTGAAACGGCCGTCAGCTGAGAATCAATGATTCTGCATGAGACCTACAAGGACAAGTGTAGATGCACAGCACGAAGTCCAAGTCGTGTGCAGTCGCATTCGTCTTTACCTGGACAGCACTCTGCTTTCTGTGTGACCTGACGATAGGGTAGATATGCTCCAGGTTGAAGGGATATACCGCCGGATCTACGCATGGATCAGACTAAGGCAAGACGCAGTACTCGCATACTCACACAAGCTGAAGTATGGATACGCAGCATGCAGAGATACCTCAACCTTACTGGCGCTTGTCACAACAGGACCGGCAGAAGAGTAGATGTTCTCCAAGCTGTACGGATAGACTGCGGGGTCTGGACTCGAAGTCAGAATACCATCGTGAGCTCCAGATAGGGACCTACAGAGGTCGAAATGCGGATAGCACGCATTCAGCTTCACAGAAATGGCCGTCTCATTCTGCACTGGGATTGGTCTATCGGCGGCAGGTAGAATTGAGGGAGGGTACACAGAGACGAGGTTCCACGGATACACAGCAGGGTCTACAAGGTGGTCAGTCATGTACGTTGTTGAGGTCAGTGCCTACTCACAAACGACCAGGGACGGATACACAGACGGCAGGTCGACAGACAGGGTACGTGCCTTACCCTCCTGAACCCCATGTACCGGATAGACGTTGCGAAGACTGTAGGGATACACAGCAGGGTCTGCGACGTCTACCCTCAGCAACGGGGCACAATGGCATAGGACGGTCAGACGAGTCACTTACACAAGTCAAATGTAGGATACCGAGAAGCCAGCTTGACGTGGACCTCCGTCTTTGTCGCTGAGATACCCGCAGTAGGTACCGCTGCCTTTACCTTGCTCGTAATAACCGCGGGATCTAGTGGTAGCGGTATCAATAACCCGAACACAGACATCAACTGAATGCACGTACAGATGTCAAAGTGAGGATAGACCACAGCTGCCTGCCTGGACATTGGAGCTACGTCCTCGATCTGTGTCGCTGGATAGATGGAATCCATGTTGTACGGGTAGACTTCCGGGTCTATCAACCACGTTAGGAATATATCCTGGACAGAATAATGATGCACTCACAGATGTCAAAGGCAGGATACACCGCATTCAACTTCGTGAAGATGTCCTTGGAGTTGAAGGCCATCTTGACATCGGGATAAATCTTCTCCAGGCTTGCAGGGTACACGGCAGGATCTGTGGACATCATCAACCGCCGTGCATTCTTCATTTCCGTAAAACACGTACATAGGTCGAAGCAGGGGTAATGCGCAGCGAGCTTCACCTGGATCGCAGGTTTCATTGCGATCACACCCGATGCCTGCGGCTCTGCGTTCCTTTGTGCTTTTGCGGGATAAACATCGAAGTGGGGGTACACCGCAGGGTCTGTAAATGTGTCGAAGTGAGCGAAACCAGACGGGTTCGACCGCTGATGAACCTACACAAGTTGAAAGCAGCATACGATCCCTCGAGGACGACAGACTTCTCCTTGTCTGCTTTCGTGGGCACAATGCTGACCGCAGCGGGGTAAAGATCGAAGACAGGATACACCGCGGGGTCTGCGATACCGTCAGATTACAATGACTAGTCACACACATATCGTACTTACAAAGGTTGAAGTACGGGTACTTCGCCTCGATAGCATCATGCGGCTTCGCCTGCGTCTGGTACGGCCAAACGTGGTTCCACATGGTGTCCTTGGGCTCATAGTACGGGAAGACCATACGAGACGGCGGAGGGGCCTTCTTCTGAAGCGGCGCCGGGCTCGGACCACGCTCAGGCACATTGTAGTAGGGGAAGACCAGCAGCGAAGACGGGTGCGCCTTCTCCTGGGGCTCCGGCGGCTCCATCGTCACGAGCTCTCCACCGACATACGGCCAGACAAACTCCCACTTTTCCCCGCGAAGGCGGTAGCTGGTGATGGGGCTCGGCGCCGCAGATTCCTCCACGGACGACGAGCGCTGTCTGAACGGCAGGGGAGACGTGGGCGCGCTAAACATGCGCGCGCCGAGGTCGGGAGTGGTTACGCGGAACTCGCTGAAGGCGGGAGAGACAGGGTAGGACGGCGCGCCCCACGAGGTTGCCGTCGCCGGTGTCAGAGGAACGCTCGACATACCGCGGTCCGCAAGCCCAGGGGACGCGGCGCGATACGACGGCTCGTACTGGATGGGAGAGGCGGGCCAAGATGCAGGGCCCCAGGAGGTCGCCGTGGATGGCGTCGCGGGACGACTGGACATAGCCCGTCCCCCGAGGTCGACCGAAGCCGCGTACCCGGAGCGCAAGCTGACCGGGGACGTGGGGTAAGAAGGGGCGCCCCAGCTGGTCGCAGTCATAGGCGTGACTGGCCGACTGTACATGGCCCTGCCCGCCAGATCGACCGACGGCGCGTAGTCAGAGAGCGCATGGACCGGAGACTGCGGGTAGGAGGGAGGGCCCCAGCTGGTGGCAGTCATAGGCGTCACCGGTCGACTGAACTCAGCCCTACCTGCCAAATCCACAGAGGGAGCGTAGTCAGAGTAGCCATACACAGGCGAAGGCGGGTACGACAGTGGCGCGCCCCAACTCGTAGCGGTCGTCGGTGTGGGAGGTGCATCAGACAGTTGGCGACGTGCGAGGTCGGGCGAGGGAAGTCGCCATGACTCTGAATCGTCTCCGTCGTCTATGTCGTAGTCCGCGGGGCCTAGCGAGGATACGGACCATGCATAGTCATCGAGGTTGAGTTCAGACTCAGCGACCTCGGACTCAGCAATCGGGAGATCGACTAGGATGTTGGGCATGTTCGCCGCATCCAAGCTCGTCTGTCCAGTCGCGGCCAAGGGACTAGGGGAAATCTTTGCACTCGCACGCCATTCTGCGACGTAATTCGTGACATTCTTTCGTGCGGTCTTCGGCTCTTCTTCCTGCGCGATGGGCGAGAGTACCCTGTACTGGGCATCGGACAGTGGGCTCTGCGGGGAGTCGTGACGCGGGGGCTTAGTTGTCGGCACAGCAGACGACGGGTCAAAACGATCGAGGAGTGATAGTTTCCTTGGGACCATCCGCGGCGCCTTCAGTTGCTGCTGCTGCACAACGGAGACGCTGTCCACCTGGTCATCTACCTGTTCGTCCAAGAAAGTCGTCCTGCTGTCCCCCCTCCAGTGCGACAATGATGGGAGCCGAGAATGGCCAGCCACCGACTGCGGCACGTCCGCATAGTCCTTCTTGGGTGATGCTACCCACGAATCGTACCAACGTGCCTTGCTGAAGTCGATGTCGAATTCGATCTGTCCGCTAATGGGCAGTTGAGGCTGTTGCATGCCATGACCGCGGACATCAAACAGATGGGACCATAGCAACTGCCATGACTCGTCCGTAATGCGTGGATACAGCGAGATGCCATTGTGGTTCGTGTGCAAATAAAGACACAGGCCCGCCGTGCTGGGGAAGCTGAACTCGCGGGCGATCGCGCCGAGTTGACCACCCATCTACCAGACCGCCTGTCATGATAATGCCATATGTTTGGGCAGCTGGGAACTCACCGTCGGGAATAGTGGCATAAGGATACCCTGGGAGAGTCGGTTGGGTGACCCCGAAGAGAGTGTATGTCCCAGGTGGCCATGCTCCGTCGAGAACGACGTCGGAGGTATCACAACAACAAGCCATTTGATCATGCTCCTCTGGGGACCGCGTTCACGGAAGTCTCGCGGTCCCGAGTTGATGTAAGACACGGAGGGTTGCCTGCGGAAGAAAGGAGTGGAAGTTTCGTTCGCAGAGGCCTGCGGTGCGATGGGGTCGGCGTCCAACGCATCCGTTCCATGAATGGGGGCAGAGCGGAAGGGTGCGCCAAGAAACTCGCTGTCTGTGTCTGGAGGCGTGAGGGGGTGCACTGCGCGAGGCAGGTCGAACGGAGAGGGCTTGTTGTATGGGTTGTGCAGGAGATGGGACATTACCGTGACCGAAGATAATTAGGTGGTGAGAACGAAAGGAAGTAGCCTCTGGACGGACGGGCGCTGTCTAGCAGCGGGAGATGGAGAGGCAGAGGACCGGAGCAGGCCTTAAGTATAGACTGCTGAACTGCTTCAGGCTGACGTGATACGGATCACTGACTGCGGGTGAGAACGTACGTTTGTAATCCCCAAGGAGACCGCGTCAATGCGTTCGTTTGCCTGGCAAGTGCACCGCACGCCCGAGAATGAAGACCAGCTCGAGGGAGAAGAAGGAAGACGAGGGGATCCCAGGGCCAGCGCGGCGACCACTCTCTCCGGGCCAGGCAGCCGGTGGCCATGGCAGCATCCACTCCGACTGCCTTTCCGGGAAGTCGATCACAGAGCACGTGGCGCCGCCGACGCGTCGCCACACACGCGCCCGTGTACATGCCTCAGCCGCCACAGCCCTCTCGCCCTGCCTTACGACAATGAGCATGGATAGCAGACTAGCACAGGCAGCAGGCCTCAACCAAAAGGACAAGGCCACCGCCTACCAGTCTATCCTTACGGACCTGCTTGCGCGCCCCGACCAGGCCACACTTGCTCAGGATCTCCATATCCTCGTCGAGAATGTCGTTCAGGAAAGCACAGGCCTCGTAATCGGGCGACAAGTTCTGTCGGAGCTGGCGAAGGCATTGGAAGTGGGTATCGTGCAGGACGTCGGCCTCAGGAAGCAGATCGTCCAGGATACCCTCGACATCATTCAGCCTCGGATAGTGAGTTATGAAGAGCAGGTGCGTTCTCTGAGTTCAGTGCTGGTGACCATTATGAACCTCAGGACAGGTCAACTCACTTCGTTTCCAACTCGCCGATATACTGGAAGCCGACCACGAGTGGAGTGAGGCCGCTCGCGTGCTCATGGGCATATCGTTGGACGCAGGGCAGCGGTGAGTAACAGCGATCATCTTTGTATATGTCCGCTGAGAAGCTGCTGTAGAGCAACGGAGGACAAGTTCAAAATCCTACTACGAATAGTCCGTCTTCTGCTGGAGGACGAAGACTCCGTACAAGCCGAGACTTACTACAATCGTGCAGCCCTCCTGGCACCGTCGACACAAGACAAAGAGGCTCTGCTATCGTTCAAACTGTGTCAAGCACGGATCAGCGACTACTCACGGAAGTTCTTAGAAGCCGCTGCGCGATATCACGAACTGAGTTGGGTTACCGAGATCGACGAGGATGACCGTGCGCACATGCTGTTCGTATATTCGTGTTATATGAACCGCCTCAGTGCTGACCTGCATAATGTCACGCAGCTCAGCAGCAGTAACATGTGCGGTTCTAGCACCAGCCGGCCCCAACCGCTCTCGCATGCTCGCCTCCCTCTGCCGTGACGAGCGAACCGCCGAGCAGCCCTCTTACAACATCCTCCTGAAGATGTTCCACGACCGCATCCTCCGCGCCGCCGAGATCAAGGACTTCGAGGGCACGCTCAAGCCGCACCAACTCGCCAAGATCGCACCCTCGTCCAACGACCGACTCGCATCCGCCATATCAGACGACAACGACATCAGCGATCCCAACGCGAGCAAGCGCACCGGCCCGTCTACGGTGCTCGATCGGGCGGTGATGGAGCACAACCTCCTCGCGAGCTCGAAGATCTACAACAACATTACCTTCAGCGGCCTAGGCGCCCTCCTCGATCTGACGCCCGGAGCTGCAGAGACGATGGCGCGCAGGATGATCGAGCAGGGCCGTCTAAAGGGCTCGATAGACCAGGTCGAGAAGCTGATCGTGTTCGAGTCGTCGCATGACGAAGACGACGCGCAGGGTAAAGCTGGCGGTTTGGGCGACGTGGAGCAGACGGCAGAAGACACCGGCGCACCCTTCACCAAGCGGTGGGACATGCAGATCCGCATCACAGCTGCGAACGTGGGTGCAGGCATATTTCTCATACTTCGCTGTCCTAACAAGATATGTAATCATAGGTCGAATCTATCGTGCAGCATTTAACGGAGAAGGGACTTGTAACATTCGAATCTCAAGCATGATGTCAACGGAATGGCCTGTATCATAGATAGCATGACAGCGGTGCAAGTAGCGACGAGAAGTCCGGATTGTCTGTGCAATAGTACATCGTGTGCTGGGATATTACAGTGATGATTACCCTTCCACTCGTCGCCGCTTCCTGGCACGTTCCCGCTTTGCCTCGAGTTCGTGCCACTCGCCTTTCATGGTGTGCAGGCTGGGCATGTCCATGAGACACCAACCTGGAAAGATAGATTGAACCAAAACACGTACTTTGTTGGTGCAGAGGGACGCGGTTGTTCCTCCTGAAAATATGGTGCCTCGAGAGCTTCCAAGGCAGTGACTCGTTTGGCAGGGTCATACGTCAGAAGGCGCTCCGCTAGGTCAAGCCCAGCTGGTGAGAGCCATCTGGACATCGCGCGGACGGTTAGCTGACCACGAAGAGAAATTGCACATGAAGAACGTACTTCTCAAACAACTGTCGGAAGTGATTCGGGATCAACTCCTTAGGCTTCACCAGTTCATACCAAGGCAAACTAGTCATCCCCGGCCATTGCTCGACCACAGGTGTACCAAGAATCCGGTAGATCACATCCAACTGATGAATCTCGTCATTACCCTGGAACACGGGCTTCTTCGTAAAGAGCTCCAGCATGATACACCTACAGACAGTCAGCAATTGATAAACACCAGACGGCGACGTGTGCCTACCCAGCACTCCACATGTCCACCTCAGGACCGTACACCGTTGTCCCAAGGAGTAGCTCTGGTGGCCTGTACCACAGAGTGATGACGCGGTTCGTGTAGTCACTCTTCCGACGTTTCTGGTAGAAGCGAGCCAGTCCGAAGTCTCCAAGCTTGAGGACCCCGGCGTTATTGATGAGGATATTGGAGCCCTTGATGTCCCGATGGATGACGCCCTTGCGGTGCAGGTATGCTAGACCCGCGAGCATCTGCTGACAGAACGATTTCAGATGCGCATCTGTGAACGTGTACTGTGTCTGCGACAAGATGCCAGTCATATCATGGTCCATGTACTCGAACACCATGAAGACAGAGCCTGTTCATCGTCGTGTCAACGAAGAGGCAAGCGGAAATGAAGTAATACACACACCGTTGGATACCATCATCTCATAGAGGCACACGATGTTTTCATGCCGCAAGGACTGCAGGAGCTTGATCTCGCGCATGGCTGTCACGGGGAAGCCGTCGCGTTCAGCCTCCATGCGGATTTTCTTGAGCGCAACAACAGTACCGCTGCTGGTATTCCGCGCCTTCCAGACCTGCCCGAAGGTGCCTTCGCCCACCTGGTTGAGGCAATCATACACTCCATATCTGACTGGAGTTGGAGGTCTTGTCATGCTTGGAGTAGCCGTGTCGTGCTCCGGATGCGACATCGCCGCATCCTGTCGACGGTCCTCCTCCCTGTCGCGCGACCGCTGTGGTGTCTCCCGGGACGATACGGATTGAACATCAGGAGGTTCAACGACCCGACCATTCATTGGACCAGGAGTTGCCCTGGATCCATCGGCCTGGGGGGACACCCGAGACGTAGCATGGCCAGTAGATGTGGAAGACTTCTGGATATCGTGAGAGGCCGAAACAAAGCGCGAAGACGAAGACGTTGCGGCAGATCTCGTTGGGCGTTCAGGCGCCGTTTCCGACTCATCCTCGTCCTCTCCAGGGAAGAACCGTTTCAACGCAGAGCTGGCCTGGCCGATAGGCTTGAAGCCTGCTTTTTTGGTTGAGATCGGTTGAGGGGCTGATACTCTATGCGACTCCACGGGGCTGCGACCATGGTCACTGTGTGCATCAGCTGCCATCGGCCGGCTAGGAGGTAGCATGTCAGACGCTCTGGGATCCCGTTCTGGTCGCTTTTCGTCTCCTAGTCGTTTGCCATGGTGCGGTGACGAAGCAGACCGCTTGCAAGGCTTGTGAGATGGTGTAACAGCGAACATAACCGACGACTTACCGGTTCCCATCTGCGCGCTCGTGGAGGTGATGGATCGCGAAGTAGACGCAACTTCGCAGCGTCAGAAAGGTCCGGTCGAGTGCTTGTCGGTAGACGATGAACTGTGCGACTGCGCTGCCTTGGACTCGAGGAAGGACTACGACTCCGGCTCCTGCTAACGCTCTGGCTGATGCTCCTGCTGCGACTCCTGCGCCACTTGCCTGTCCCATTGAGTGTATAATGGGGGGGACTACTCCGACCACGGCTATCAGGGCTACGAGACCATGATGGTGATCGTCTACGCGCATGGCCATTCTTCTTGCCATGTCTAGAGGGAGCACCGGGACTTCGACCAGGGGGGCTGTCGAACCGACGTCGACGCCTCGGGGTGTCAAGGGATGGGGAACGCCCACGAGAAGACCGCCTTGAGTAGTGTGAATCTGCGGGAGAGCGCGACCGACCTCGCGAAGGCGAGCGGTGCTGCTTACGCTTGCCAGGTCGATTACTCTGCTTCGCGGACTCTGCGTTATCTCTACGTGTCCAACTGGGTGGCCGTGAATACTGAGTAGCAACGCAGGGACATTCCTGAAGACACGTACTTGTTCAATTGACTGTCATCCGCCTTCCAATCCCGCTTCTGCTGCTTGATCTTCTTCGCCTTCCCGTTTTTGTGGCGAGAATGTTTCTTGGAGCTGTTCTGACGTTGAGGTTGGTCACCGCGACCAACGGGTTGCCACGATGCGGCGGGCTCCCATGAACGATCTTCCCCTACAAAACATCCATGAGCCCATACAACCGACATGAGGGGTGAGGGATGTCCTGACGTGGTGTAGGCTGGTCCCTCGGGCTCCGTCGCCGGTCAGAACCACCAACGTCTCTTCGCGGCCAGCCAGAATCCCGTCTATCTTCACCGTATCTGCCACGCCCTCTCTCACTCTGCTGATTACGCACGTCGTCTTCCGGCCCTTCACCATGTCTACCACCTCTATCATATCGTGAAGTCCAAGAAGACGAATCCTGGCGTGAAGACGCCGAGTAGCCCTGATCATACCCATGTCCACGCCCGGAGCCATTGAAGGGCGGGTCTCTGTCGTGTTCATCTTTGCTGCGGTGGTCATCTTTCGCAGAAAAGGGAGGCCGACCATGCGATGACTGGGGGTCTCCCGACCGCCGTTCGTCTGCATCGCCGCGAGTGCGCGAGGACGACGCTTCTTCCATGTCGTCGAAGGCGGCAAAGAGGGCAGGTGACGTTCTCAGAGGTGTATGAGATGGGCGAGCGAGACGTGCAGGATCAAGTTGACTGCAAGGCCGTCAGAGCAGGGGTGGCGCTGAGCCGTGAGTTCAGGTGCGTTGAGGCACTTGCCAACCAGCCCGAGGATGGTGGTGGTCGAGTTTTGAGCGCACAAAGTTTGGATGCGAGGTGGTGGAAGCAATGAAGCCGGACGTTCGGACGCTCGCGTAACGTGTCGTGACGGTGTGGGCGTAGGCTTGACGGTCAAAGGCTCCCCCTGAAGGTGCCGCCGAGACAGCGATTAATGGCACTGGCTGAGGCTCACTTCGTGAGCAGCAAGCATTCGATATTACTCAGACACATCAACAAACTGCAGTTGAACGGGAGGGGCAGCGTGGAATCGAAGACACATCAGCACAGCGTTCACCGCGGGCAGCCGGGGCGAAAATTTACGACTTACGTTCTGACGACTTGTCCTGTGCTGTCAGGTCGACCCCAAATGCCAGAAAAAAGTAGTCTCGTACAGCAATGGGCGAGGGGGCAGCCGACAGGGATGTAGAGTCCACAGGTAGTGGGAGTACGAGAGAGGTAACCCCAACTCTCGCGGCCAGAGGCATTGATTTTCCACCGACAGTACGCCTATCAACTCGTGCGCACACAATCTACCTGCCTCCGCGTAGCACCGGAAAGTGTACGGCGCAAGTCATCCAGGAGTCAACGAGCGAGACAGAGTCCACTCGACTGTCCAAGTGGAGGTATCAGAGAGAAATGGAATACCGAGTAGTCTACAGCGTGTATCCGTGTACATTGCCACCGCTACCTGCGGCAGCCACCGCAGTGGCCGAACTAATGGAACACCATTAAACACCTCTTTGCTATTGGAACTCCGAGTGCATCATCGACCTATGCAAGGCGAATTGCGGAAAATATATGGAGATAGAGGGATGGGGAACCAAATACAACGATACAACAGGAGGCACTATGGAGGTCAATGTATAGCAAACGAAGACGTGCTGAAGGTGCCGATCTCATATGATCATTGTACAGGGCACTCAGTTCCTGAGCTCACGCCTGCAGTGTGCCTTGCTAGTTGATATTGAAGAAAGAGACTTGCAAAGTTGATGGGTCTTGATCTGGCCTCAGAGTTGCGCTGCATGATGTTCTCAGCATTTGTCAGCCTCGAGAATTGACTAGGACCACGAGCAGGGCCAAACAGCTGGACGAAGGGTCAGTTCATGGGCAGTGCGGAGAAGAGAGACATGCTCACCTTGACTGTCGTGTCGATGCCGCTCACAGCGACGAGGGGCAGGTGTGGGTGAGCCTCGATGACGTTCACGACGCTGCCATCACCTTCCAGGATGTCGTGCAACTGGCCAGTGCTCTTTCGCCAAATAAAGAGGTTCCCATCGTCCGATCCTGACACGACGTATTCATCCTCGGGTCCAAGGAAGTTCACTGCACAGCAGCATCAGTAAAGCAGAGGTGACAAGCTAGTTGACCTACCATCTTTCACAGTTTCGACGTTGCATGCGCCAGCAAAGCGAGCCCGAGGATAGATGATAGGAACAGTTGAGGTTGACGCCACATGGACATCGTCCATTTCATCACGACTGTCGCTATCTTCGTCACCTTCGTCTGCGTCCTCGTCCCCGTCATCATCGTCCTCCTCGTCATCCTCCATGTCTTCGTCCATTGGCTCGTTTGCATCGCCCATGGCCGAGTCCTCCGTCATCAGCCGTACGATGTCTTCCTCCATCTCTCGATTGGTACGATGGATAGCACTTGGGTCATTGCTAACGCTGTGAGCGGGGGAGGAGCGTGCCGATGAAGCCGACGAGTGATTTGACGGGAGCACAGTGCCTCCTCTACTCAAAGATTCTTCTGCCGGGTCGTCACGCGTCGAATAGAGGTACACTGCATCTGAACTGTACGCTGCACACAGCTTATCAGTCTCCACAATAGGCATCACACATTCAGCAAGACTCACATAGCAGCACCTACACGCATTCAGTGCAAGTCCTGCGTCGATGGTCAACTCTGCACGTACCTCATGCCCGTTACTAGATGCCATCTTCGCACCAGTGATATGCTCATAGCCTCCCGATTCGCGTGGTCCCCGCCCTGCCCGGCCAAACCGCCTCACACACGTCGTGACGTCATCTGAGTTGGGCGGCATGCCCCATTCTTCCTTCAATATCCGTCCCGCGTGTCGCCGGTCAAATAAGTAGCCCTGTCGTGACTGCATCAGACGACCGTGTAGGAGCAATGCATAGGGTGATACTTGCGTATGGGGATTCACCGGCAACCACAAACTGGTACGGTGTGAGAGGGGACAGAGCGATCGCGTTGAGCTCATGGCCCAGCCGCACGAGCGGTGCAGGACAGTTGTCTAACGCGCAGCTATGTGGGACGCGCAAGTCGTGTTGTCTGACTGTCTTGTCCTGAATTGGCAACGAACGTCCTAGTTAGACTTTCGGTACCGTGCAACCAACGACACCCACTCACCTCCGCCACTGTAAGGAACATGTCCGGACCCTCCTCCGTTACAATCCTCTTTACCCGACCGCTGTGACATCTCAGCACCTTCACATTCGCCTGGCTGCTAGTGTATTCCGTTTCACCGTTGTAACGCGTAGAATGGGCAGCGGCTCCTACGTCGCATATCCTCACTTGCCGGTCGGCCGCCACGGTCGCTCTGCGCTCGCAGCTCTCATCAGCCACGGAGATGGACCACAAGCTGGGAGAAAGGGAAGGAAACGCACATTCGTGAGGAGTGTGGCAGCATGTGCGCGTTAAAGATATTGCCGCGGTGCCCAGTGCGTATGACGGTCTCGCATTTGAATGGGTAGTCTTGAGAAGACTCGCCTGAGTCCATCCGCCATACCCTCACACTGTAGAAGACAGTCAGCTGTGGCATACCAGCACGTAATGACTTCTGAAACCACGCACGTCGTATCGTCCCCGCCACTGATCAATAGCTCCCCGTCTCTCGCCCAAGATAGTGCATTGACACATCTGTTTAGGTACGCATGACAATGATGACATACGCGCACACGATCAAGTTGAGAGAACGCACCCTGTATGTCCATAGTGGTCATCACCCAGAACGTTCACCCTATCCAGGGGGCGCTGCAGCACAGAAGAGAGCAATCGTCGTTTTCGCCGCGCTGACAAAGTCAAAGAGGGGACAGACGTGGAGGGCGACGATGTCTCGTCAACGAGATGATGATGGGTCGTCATGATGATCTCCGGTCCTCCGGCGATGAGGCCAAACCTGAAGACAGTACTGTCTCACGATCGAAGTACTCACAAGGGATTCACAGCGCCAGATGTCCCGAGAGGGTCGCCCAGTACGAGATGATTTCAAACAAGGGCATTGGAGCCCAGACTCACGGGAGGCATATCTTTGTCGCGGCGTCGCGCGACGCCAACCCCAAGGGCAGTGACGATGCTCATTCGCGCCACCACGGTCACCAGATGCAAGTACTCGCGAAGTGCAATGAACGGGCACCAACATGCCTACCGTCCGGATTATCCGAACCTCAGATCCATTTCCATGTACGAATTGTTGACGGCTTGCCTTGTAGCATAGCTATAGACTACCTTGGCTGAAGAATAAACTTGAAGGCTGTGCTGCTCAGCTACTCAAAGACAGTTCCATGTGGTACAGGGAGGGTCATTGATGTCAGTCTCAAGGACGCAAGAATGTAAGGAAGTAGAATTGGAGTAGAAATGGGTGCAAGGCCGCCCATCACTGCGGACAAAGCGGATTGTGGGAAATTCGAACATCGGCCTAACATAGGCAGAACGAGTATATCATCTCGCGGCTAATTGCGGGGACCTAACATAGCGTGACAAATTGATTTGGTATTACTATGTTCGGGACCTGACAATTGAGGCTAACGATGGTATGTTCGGTGGCATAACATAGGTCACGTTTTCGCCGCGATGTTAGGAGCCCGCACAAAGGTGGAGCATGCCGCATGTTAGGCCAATGCTCGTGCGTTGTGAGGAGCCAGCCCATGGGCTCCGCGAATGTCTCAGAACATGGTTAGAACGTGTATACCATTTAGAATCTCGAACATTAAGTATTGACGGTAACCGACCATTGGAAGGCACGGCTCCTGATTGGCTGGCTTACAATGTTCGGGCTCGGACCATACAAAATATTTGGAATTGATAAGATATACACGTTCTCGCTATGTTCGGACCGTGTCAGCACTCCGCACCATGACGCATGGTCGGGTTCCTCACAACGCACGAGCATTGGCCTAACATGCGGCATGCTCCACCTTTGTGCGGGCTCCTAACATCGCGGCGAAAACGTGACCTATGTTATGCCACTGAACATACCATCGTTAGCCTCAATTGTCAGGTCCCGAACATAGTAATACCAAATCAATTTGTCACGCTATGTTAGGTCCCCGTAATTAGCCGCGAGATGATATACTCGTTCTAACTATGTTAGGCCGATGTTCAAAATTCCCACAATCGGCTTTGTCCGCAGTGCATGCTGTCGCTGCAGTGTCGCACAGCCCGAGGGTGACTGTTTGGTGCCTTGAGACCTCCATACCCGAGCGTCTAATACCAAAGCAACATGTTCCTTTTCGGGTAACTATTGCCACAAAAGGAAAACAACTTCTTCAGATGCGATCTCTAGCAGAATGGACTTCCTCCCCATGTGCTCTAGCCTGCACTAGCACACCTGGATAAACCTGGAACAAAAATTTGGCCAACGCCGGGATTGAACCGACGACCTTGGCGTTGCACACCGGCAGTCTTCGAAATATTAGCACCACGCTCTAACCAACTGAGCTAGTCGGCCATATGCCAAGCCAGCGCATCCAGTACAAGAGATGCACCACAGTGCGGATGAAGGACCATGCAATAAGATCCCACCCGCAGGCAGAAGGGCCACGATCAGTCGTCGAAACGATGAGGATTTTGAAATGACATCCGTATTATACGTTGCGAGGGTGATGATGCGATAACAGTTGCGAGAGTGATAATAGTACAGGCAGAACAAGCTCAAAAGAGGTCGTGTCAAAGGAACGGTCGACGAGAGCAACACCAAGGCGCGTCTAACCACAGCTCAGCCACCCTGCGTCCATCCAGCCACTTACTTCGCCTTGGCAAAGCCAACAGCGTCTTGGCCAACGTCGTAGACCGTGTAGTACTTCCGGAGGAAGACGTCACCGACGATCCAGAGGGAACCGCCGCCGGGCATCTGGATGTCCATGGGGGTGAACGAGGACATGCACGTCCCTTGGACCTCCAGGATGTAGTCGGTGCCCTTGAGCGGGTAGTCCTTGCCATCGAAGGTGAATGTCAGGTCTGGAAGATCAGGCACCTTAGCGCAGTCGACGGTGTACTGTCCGTTCCAGGACTTGGTTGCGCCGATCTGGGTGTTGATCATTTCCGCCATGTCCGTGGGCAGGGCAATCAGCGAGGTACCTACAGAACATCAGAACAACACGGAAGCGCTTAGCCGAAGAGCACCATACCAGTGTCAATCGCGGCGCCAGTGTTCTCCAATTCGAGCGAGTCATCGCCGAGGGCAACCTTCTCCAGCTCGACCTCCCAGTACGCCTTACGACGCACGGGAACGTAGTGGATATCGCCGCTGTATGCGGTGGCATCGACACCACCGAAGATGGCCTCACCACCATCCTCCTCAGACGAGCCGAGGCGGAAGGAGAAGACAGGCGAGTCAACAAGGCCCTGGTCAATCATGCTGTAGAAAGGAGGCGTGATGTGGTTGACCGAGATCGTGTTGTAGGCAAGACCGAGGATACCGTCGAACCTGAAGGGGATAGTTCAGCTTAAGGGTCACTCAAGTCGCGTGACGACTACTCACTTGCCGAACGCGAACGCCAGTCCGGGCTCCTTCGTTGCCTCGGCGAAGTCCTGGTGCTTGATGGTGATGTCGCCAATGGACAGTGTATCTTGCGACACAAAGCCCTCCATGGAGCCGGAGCCATACTGAATAGAGAACTCCGTGCCATTCGCCTTGTACGTCGATGACGAGCTCGAGTCATACTTGGTGTGGAGGAAGCACGCGATAGAAGTGCACTTGGTGCTGGGCACCCAGAGGTTGCTCGAGCTGGGTACAAGGTCAGAGGCGCGTCACCGTGCACAATGCGTCTGGACCCACCCAGTGTCGAGGATAACCTTGAACGTCTGGGGAGGCGTGCCTAGCGTGAGCTCGGCGAAGTACTGCGCATTGAGGTAGTCTGCACCAGTCAGTGAGAAGGAGTCGTGCTACACGCGTGTCGTATGACGTACTGCTCAGGGGGACGGTGTGACCTCCCTTGAGGAGCTCTTCCTGCGTCCAGAACAGCTCCTCGCCGTCCTCGCTGTGGCTGGGGCGTGCGGCAGGGACCTTGCGGCCGACACCGCCAGCGCCGAGGATGGACTGCTGAAGCTGGTTGCCACCATACTTCTCAGCAAGGTACGCTACCTCCAGCTCGGGGCTGCTGGGGGTGCGGGGGATCTTGTTGAGCTTGAGCTTGTGGATGCCACCTGCCGCCGCAGCGAGAGGGAGAAGCAAGAGGGGAGCAGCCTTGAGCAACATGGTGGGTGGGAGGAGAGAGACAGGCAGCTGCGTAACCACTCCCCCCGCCCGCGCTGTATATGCTTCCGGAAGCGGACCCCGGCGTAACTCCGCACGAGGCCGCAACGCTGCGCGACGGGGCCGGCATCCGGCCGGCAATCACCGGGTGCCCGGGGGCGTCTCCTGCGCACACCGGCACAGATGCAGCGACCTCGCTTCCACCTCCCGCCACTCCCTCTCGTCGCCGCTGCTGCCTCGCTTCTCTCCCTTTGCGCGAATCGCATGGCCGCTGGTGGTCGCGGCAGACAGACAGAGGCCGACGCGTCCAGCCTGAACAATGTCGAACGCCTCCTCCTCTGTCAGTGCGTGTATGAATATGGCTCCAACTCTTGGCCAGAGGTGGCCAAAGTCCTCTCGGCACATCCTATGATCTCGCGCCCAAAGACGTTCTTCACGCCCCAAGTCAGCAGCCATCGTCCTGTTGTAGTACGAGTGGCTGAAGCAGCTGTTGTATCTAGACTTGTTCTGTGATCTATACCCAACTAATGCAAGAGGCCCAACTTGAATGGTCAGTTCAGCATGTCCGCGCGTTTCGCCAATTCTGAGAATGTCGTCGAAAGCTCGGACGCACTCGCCGTCCGTCGTGGTAGGTTTCTGAGTCAACCTTGACTTCTTGACCCAATAACCGAGCGTGGCGCAGCATCTCTGCACCACAAGCTAGCCAGTATACACTGGCAAAGACGTATACAGGAACTCAAAGACTTGATTGCTGCTGAAGAATCGAGATTCAAGTACGTAGCTTATGCGGTAAAGATGCAGCGAAATGTGTTCAGCTGAGGAACACCAGAACTCTCGTCGCAGAGATTGACGACATCCGTGCTGGACGATGGGATGAAAAAGTCAGGACAAATCTCGGTCTGCCCACAGAAGATTCCGAAAGTCACAAAGACGAGGAAAGCCGCACAGAAGAACCCGCGACCGAGCAGCGGGAGGCTACGCCTGCCGTAGACATAGAGATCGACGAAGTAGCTGGCGTCCAAGAATCGCTGGAAGTGGCGTCTGAAACGGTGTGTGATGCTACGATTAACGTGAGCATGTCGAACGGTACTGACCTGTGCAGCACATCTCGGAGTCCGAAGTGCAAGAGGTGCAGGAGTCTGACCTCACTTCTGTTGACCAGTCCAGTCCTTCGAAGGCTGTGGAGGAACCGCTCGAAGACGTCCATGTAGGCCTCTTCCCCCATCGTGCCCTTATATGCAGACCTGGACGGCCGCTAAACGGTACATCAGGAAACGGAAGAGGTTCCAGAAATTGATCTCACTGGCGAGGATGAGACTAAGGAGCACGAGGATACTGTCCCCGCTCCCCAGGAACCAGAGCAGGGCTCAGAAGACGACGTCGACATGGTAGTCGAAGACCAGTCAAGCCCCTTCCCTGCACCGCCGAGTGCTGCTCCAGAAGAAGCAGAAGAGCCTACAGTGACCCCAGCAGCAGAGGCAGAGGATGACACTACAGCACAGGCGGGGCAAGACGAGGAACCACCACCTCCAACTCCAGCGGAGTCGCCGGAGACTGCTCTCGCTGACATGATCGAAGACACCAACCAAGCCAAGCAAGGGGAATCCCCAGAGTCGACAGCATCTCCGGATGAGGCGCAGCGAGCAGACGGTGAGAACCGTGGCGGCGACGAACCGTCTTGTACACTCGAAAGAGAGCTGACGTCCTTGCAAGGCAAACGGAAGGCAACAGACCTAGATGACTCCCTGTCCGACTCGGCGCGAGACAAGAAACGTCCGCGGGAAGACTCCGAGCCCGCTGACGACGAGGAAGCCGGTATGCATTCGTCACTATCACCACGCACCCCCGCTACTCACCCGCCACAGCACCCTCGACAGGACTCAGACGCCGGATAGGTCGTCCGCCCGCCGTAGATAACCCCGTCGTCTCCAAGCGCTTCCAAAACATGATTGGCATGCTGCACTCCCAGATCTCGCAGCACCGCTACGGCAACATCTTCCACAACCCCATCCGCAAGGCGGAGGCGCCGGACTACCACGACATCGTGAAGCGGCCCATGGACCTCAAGACCATCAAGTCGCGCATCAAGGACGGGCTGATTGCCAACTCGCTGGAATTCCAGAGGGACGTGTACTTGATGTTTGCGAATGCGATGATGTACAACAGGCCGGGCTCTGAGATCTATAACATGGCAGAGGAGGTGAGGCTCATTCTATGATTCACGTCTGCGGCGTGGATACTCATGGGCAGTACCAGATGATGCAAGAGAGCGAGGTACAGATCAACGCCTTCCGCCAGACAGAGGGCTTCCACCGGACGTAACATCACACTCATTTTTGCTCCATAATGCGATGTATCCATTCAATTGCGATTGTGACATACGTGTACAGATGAGATAGCAGTCGAGAAAGAAATACAACATTCCAATATCAGAACCAAGGCAGGTACGTCTCCGGCATCTTCGCGAGATTCATGGGGTTCGTTGCAGTAGAGATGAAGTTCGTTACGGTCTGCACCAAGGGCACATTCGGGAGGTTCTGCGGCTCCTTCACGACGATAGCCTAGTTCGAACGCTCAGCACATACACATTCAACACTTTGAACTTTTCACGTACAGTCTCGCGCTCTGCCTTGCAACCCAAGAGCTCAGCTCGCTTGACGATTCCGTCGATCACGCCAGTAACAGCCGTGCGGAAGCTAGCCTCCTGGCCAACCTGTCTGGCGCGGAACGTCAAGACCTCGTCCCGAGCAAACAGACACAGATGCGACTCGAGGTCAAACTGCTGGGGCGTTAGCAGCTTCGCATCGCGATCGGGGCAGACTCACCTCTGGTTCAGTCAGGCAGCGACCGATCGTCATGATGCCCACCGCAAGGACGCCTTCAAGCAGAATCGGGCCCACGAAGTGCTGCATGTTGGGTGTCAGCCGGAACGGCACCACGTCGGGACTGGTTAGGACTGGCGCATGCGGCGACATGCCTGCATTCTCTTAGTGAGTGGCTATGCAGCGTGTAAGCACGGAGAAGATCGCACCAGGAATCAGTTCCGACATATACATCAGCCCGGTCTCGCGGGACAATTGGAAGCGTGACGGCAGACGACTCGTGAGGCAGAATGCGTGGGTCACGAAACTGGTCGATGCGATTTGGAGCGCGAACTGCTTGCGCATGCGCCACAATTCACCGGGTCCATTCATGATCCTCAGCATATACTGATGGGTATGAGTACTATTGTGCGAGCGAAAATGTAGACACCTACTCGGCTGATGACGTCTGGCGGAATCATCTTGACGGCGACCTCATCAACTAGATCTTTCTTCAGAGTGACGTACTCGGTCTTGTCAACCTACGCCTTCATGAGCTGTGTGTTGATGGAGGGAGAAAGTGCTCTTACCCTCCTGCCCGTCGCCTGAAAGGCTTCTCGTACAGCCGTCTTAAGTTTGTCATTAGCCAACAAGACAGGGTCCTCGCGTGAAATGCCTGTTTCCTCGCAGTGTTGATCGTAGATGTCACCGAGCGTGATATAGGACGCATCATTCTGTAGGAGTCGTAGATTGCTCGAACATGGGACCGCGACCGGCAGATGGAAATGGAGATTCCTCTTCCGACTCTCCTTCTTGCGCGAAAGCGTCCTGGGGGAGTGTTAGCTACGGAAGGAGACAGAACTTGCAGACGTACAGATTTAGTGTGCGCAGTAGATGCATGAGACGTTCCTCCCGGCGACAGTGCTTTGCAGCAGGAGTCTGGGCGGCAAACGAAGCCCTCGAGTGATCATGACCGTAGATAGCGAATCTCTTCCACGAATAGCCATGAGTGCGGCAGTGTTCGAACGTCGGTCCGAACTTGAGGAGTCGGACGAAGTTCTGATTGCTGTCCTTGTCCTAAAGCATCGTCAGCCGTTGAAAATAATCAATGGTCTCGGCATTACCTCAGTGTATTGACCCGGCACTTCGATCTCGTCCCATTTGCCATACTGAAACTCTAGCAAATGGTGACTGAGCATGTCCAGAGACTGGACACGGGGTCTTGCATCCAAATATCGCTCGTATCTGTCTCTCCACTTTTGCAACCGCTGAATCAACACGGCCATAGAAGGCTTCCCCTTGATGAAATCGTCGTCCCAATTTTGCTACGTGCACGTGTCATCTTCGACAATTTGAGACCCACAGGAAACTATTGACTTACCCGTATGGGTCCTGACAAACTCTGTGCAAACCTCTCGATAGTCTGCGCAGTCGCGTTGTGCAAATGACTGTCTTCATCTGCGTTGACCCTCAAGGTGCAATACTGAAGATCCATATCGTTAGCGCAAGGTCGTTGTTTTGCTAAGTAAACTGAACCTACGTGGACAGCTTCTTGCAGAAGGATGCATGTGAGCCGGTATATCTCTTCTTCGGACGATGCCCTGAATCTAGTGGAGATATTATCGACCATGGTCTCCATGCTGAGAATCAACAGCGGGAAGGCCGTCTTCAAGATCTGCACTACTTCCTCGACGTAATCCGGTGACTGGCGAGGAGCATGCGGCATCGCAGCATCTGCAGGACGAGCCTCGCCCACAGTACCCGTCGACCGCGTAGGTGAGTGCTGCACCGAACCACTCGCTTCTTCACCCATCTTGATGTCGCCATTAGCGTCTGGAACATTATCATGACCGCCTTCACTTCTGTGTTGCGATGCCGCACGTTGAGCAGCGATGGCTGCGACCTTCGCTGCTTGATGCCTGGCCAGACTCAGATCTTCCTTCGTTGTACGTAACTGGAAGAACAAAGCCTGATGGATACCCAGTCAGCTACCTTGTAACACATCAATGCATGGGTACGCACCTGAGGATACAATTTGGCTAGATTGAGCAGCAGGTACCGCGCTTGCTTCAACTCCCGTTGCGAAAGCGAGAGGCAAAGTTGCGGAATGAGGGTGATCCAGTACCAATAAGCAGCGTCCCCTTTGTAGGTGTCGAAGGCTCGAGAGATCGTGAGGTTACCGTCATCTACGCTCAAGAGCCACAGAACACGCGCCAGGAGTGGTCGACTTTTCCTGCTCTTGTACAAGCCTGCAGCCTGAAGATAGCAATGGACTGCATGCGCTGCGAGCACCATCTCCCCGGGGTTTTCCTTGAATAGACGATCCTGGTACTTTCCCCAAGCGGCCCATCCTTTCGCCTGCATCATGTCTAGCTGGATTGCCTGACCAAATGCTGCATTCGCTTCGTCATTGCGACCGAACTTGGCGTAGAACATAGCTTTGAGCGTGTAGAACTCAGCCTTCTGAGTGGTCGAGAAGTAGATCAAATTCGTATTGTTGATGACTTCCAGTCCCGCCTGGAGGTCGCCCGGTTTCTGGTAGTGGCATCGCGCTTGCTCTCTGAGCTTCAGGAAGGCTTCCGATATCTCGATATTGGGCAGAGTGTAGATCTTGTTGAGTTGACTGAAGCAGACGTCCAGCAGGTCATGCTTTCGAGCGACATGGGCGAATCGATTGATGATCCAAGCTGTCTCATGGTAACCTCGATATCCAAACGTAGGCGCGCTGCTACCGCTAGCTCCTGCAGCTGTGTTAGCGTTGGTGATCATTGGGAGATACTTCTTATTGACGGCGTTGAAGACATTTTGCCTCCAGGCAACGAGGTCGCTCCATATGCTGATATCGTCGTACTGGTTCGGCAGTCGCTCGCGCCAAGCCTGCAGTACCATCTTCAGATCGGAAGACTTCTTCTCTAGATTATGCGGGTGGGTAGTAGCGAGGGAGGTGAAGATGGACACCGATTCTTGCAATTCTACGAACTGCTGGAAGTGTTGCAGCAATGGTACGTGGGCGGCTGAGAGATGGGATGGCAAGTTCGTCCACTTGCGGAGCGACAATTGCATGGCGTCTTCCAAGAGCCTCGTGAATTCGGCGGCCTTGAAGTTCTCGGTACCGGAGGTCTTTACCAGAACGATAAACGCCTCGAATACTCTGCGTCTTGGTGTTGCGACGTCAGGTAGAAGGCCAATCTGTTCTTCGAGCTGAGCTAGCTGATCCGTTATTGCCCAATCCTTGGTACGCCATGCACTTTCGAGCAGCAGCTCATGGTTGTTCTCCGCACGCGCCAGGTCGTACAACACCTCCCACTGCTGCAACTTTTCGGCCGCCAGCATCCAATGATCTTCCCATAAGCAGAACTCCGCCTCGGAGAACGGGAGATTCCCAGCGCGTACCTTGCTCTGCGCTGTCTCGTAAACGCTAGAGGCCTGGTCCCACATGCCGCACTGTTCGTACGCAATGGCCACGTTCGTCTCCGTGTACAGTGCACGACGGCGCCATAAGCCGTAGAAGATGTCGTCTTCGGCCAGTTCTGCATACATTTCAGCGAGTGAGTCGTAGACCGTGTCGCGAACGACTGCCTCATCTTCACGCAGATGATCCAAAGATGAGGTCAGGTACTCCGCGGCGACATGCCAGGCACCGAACGTCTTCGCCAGGTACTTCACTAAGTGCGGCGGGAGATTCATCGGTGGTGAACACGCCAGAACACCCTCCAGCAACGTCTGGACGACATTGGGGCGCAGATCCACTTGCTTGACGTGGTAGTCCTTGCCCAGTAGTGCGATGAAGTGATGGGTGACGTCCATCTGTTCGCGTCTGGACAGACAAGCCCATGCTGCCGGAAACACAGAGACCCAGACATCATGGACTTTCTGAGGATCGAGGTAGAGGAGACGTTGCATGGGTCGAACTAGAGACGAGGCACCCTCCAGGGCAAGAGGTGGGGAGGTGAAAGACTCCTCCAAAGACCCCTTCCGGTCAGGCATGATAGCATGTTCGGAGTCAACGGAGCCCAGAAGCAAGTGCAGCGCAAGGAACATCCAGTTATGGTCCGCAAGTGCCTCCCAATTCTGAACACCAATGATGTATGTTAGGCGGCTGAATAACGACCGAGGTATGCTGACGTCCATTAGGTCAATGAAGCGTTCTCGCAGGGAAAGATCGGCCGCACGACAGCCCAGAAGGAAGGACTGCTCCAGTTTTGTCGTAAGATCCGAACGTCGCAGGCTGGGTTCCGTGTAGATGTCGTAGATCAACTCGAGGTACAGGTTCAACAAGGATTCGGCTCGGTCGCCACGTAACTCGAACGCAGCCATCTTCTGAAGTAGCGTCGCTTTCTCCTTCATGGTAGGATACGGGTCACGCTTGTTCATCGCCCACTCTCTCGCGATGTCCAGGACAGCCTTGCACAGACTATGGCTTTTGGACTTCTCGGCACATGCAACCAAGGCGCTGAGCAACCACTTCCTCTGGTCGCCGAGATAGGCCACGGACGACTGCGAGATCTCCAGGATGTTCAGGATGAGGCGCACGTTCTGCTCGAAACCGGGTGTTGCTTGTGACGACTGGATGTGGTCTCGGGCCAGCCTGCTGAGTAGCTTCATGAGGGGCCCAGCGAACGGTTCTATGCGCTCCGGCGTGATCTGGATAATCGACTTCAACATGAGCAAGACGCCTCGTAAGACAGGCGCGGAGTTGGCCCGTAGCTCCTCTGTGTTCCTGAGGTTCTCCCCAATAGAAGTGTAGACAAATGCGTGGAACTCAGACATTTCCGACGACTGCTCTTCATCCTCTTTGGGGACTGGAAAGAGGCGCACGAGGCGATCGTAGACAATATGGAGTGAGTCCTGGAGACTGCTATCCTCGCTGAGAAGTCCCTTGCGAACAAGCCTTGAGAGAATACCAGCATTTGCCATGCACCATGCGTCGTCCTTCTCCGCGGATATGACTTGCAACACTTTCGCTGAACTCTGTGCTTGAGCTAGCATCGTTGCGTCTCCCTTGAAGTCGTTCTTAGAGGAATACCATCAGACATTATGGTGGCCTGCTAAGCGATGATACGCACCTGCTCGAGAGCACGGGAGAAGAAATGCAACTTGAATGTCACGTCACTCCATCCATTTGGCCCTACTATCGCCCGCAGGAGTTCGAGGGCCCGAGGCAAAATCGCAGCGCGCGTCTGGGCGTCATGCGCCATGGTGCACAAACGGACGAGGTAGCTGACTATGCTCTCACGCAAAGGTAGGGGTGTGGTCCAAGAGCGCTCGTTTGCTGAATCCACATCCATCGTGTCGTTGTCCGAGGAAGGATCAGACATGGAGGCCGCCGCCTGTTGCTCCCAATCAAAGACGACCTGTAGTATCTCCACCGACAAAGATCGACATTCGAAGAGCGTTCGGATATCGTGCGACCCTTGACTTAAGCCGACCTTTGAAATGTAGTTGACGATATGGGGAACAAAGAGTGCCCTGACAGGGTAGAATAGCGAACGTTGTCGGACGATGAGGTGGTAGATGAGGGCGACCTGTGACCACCCTGCCCCTTCTTCTGCGAGGAGTCGACGTGTGGTTTTCGCCCATTGAGGGTATCCGCCGTCGAAAGACTGCGAGCGGAGCAGAACAGGGGCTATGATATCGAGCGCTTGCCGTACGAGGGCCTTGGCTTCGATGTGGGGTGGCTTGAGCAATCCTGTCCAGACACGGAGGTGAAACTTCTGAGGTCCCTCAAAAGCTTCGAAGAAGCGCGCAGCGAGGAGATAAGCGGTCTGCTTGACTATGGCATCTTCACTGGTAATGTAGTGCCAGGCGCAGCGTATGATGTCCTTTTTCGCATCCTGCAGGTATTCTGGATAGCGGTGTACCATGACGGTCGTCAGATGCAGTAACTCCACTTTGAAGACGTCGTCATCTTGCGCAAAGGTGGCATCGTCATTCATCGGTTGCCATATGTGCACATGGATCTTGTTGACGAGGCTTTCATCGAGGAGTCCAAGCTTCGACGAAGAGCGCGCAGCGTGCACCAAAAGGGTCGGTGTAATCACGTACTGGATGAAATGCACCTTCTGCACCTGCGGGACAGATTGGTCACGGAACCAGATGACAAAGCGAGTGAGCACATTCCGCCGGAACGCGAGGTCGTCGCTGAAAGCAATGTGTTGGTAGAAGAACTGGGAGACGTGGATGATATCCCAAGGAAGGTTGCGCGAGAAGACGGAGACCAAGTGGAACAGGAGGTCGATTCGCGGCGTCTGCTGCAAGGCTTTCATGATGATCGAAATTAACAGAGAGTACCGTTGTCTGACGTCGCCGACGGAAGGGCCGAGCAGATCGATAGCGGAAGGTTCGATGTCCCACAACGCTAACACGGCATCCACGACGTACGCGTTCGACGCCAGCCAGCCTGGGATCAGTTCGGCCAGATCGCAACACATGAGAAGCCCAGGCAGAACCAAGCTAGGGTCGCGGCCTTCGAGACATACAGAAACGATAACCGAGGTTCGGGACGCTAGTTCCCTTAACACATTGGCCGCAAGCTTGGCTTGCAAGATGCTTCTCAAAGTGCGGATGTGCCGAGGGAAATGGAGGTGGCGCATGAAGAAATCGACGGCCTCCACTGGATACCGATCCAGGTACTTGGCCAGAGGTTCAGAGAATGGGCTCTGACTGGAGAAGTGCATCTGCGCTTCTGTCTGCACGATAGCATTCACCAGATTCTCGAGGAAGATGTGGGCTGCGGATGGTAAAAGATGGAAGATGTTGGCCAGTCTGACGAGTTTCGTGATGCCTTCGTTCTCTGCCAAGGGTAGTTTTGACGACGCCAATAGCATCTGAGGATCAGCGACGACCCGGAAATGGTCGAGTAGCTTGTGCCCAATCTCTACTTTGAAGTAGTTCGTGAGCAACTCGAGCAGCCTCGCCAGACCCTCTAGCCCTGGTATCGACAACCGTTTCGGATCCGCGAGATTCATCAGGATCGGCCGCAGCCCAGTCTGCAAAAGCTCCTTTGGCAGTCTGCTTTGATGGGTCAGGACCATTCGGAGACCTTCGTGTGCAACCTCCTTGACCTCCAGATTTGGCGAATAGAGTGACTTGAAATACACTCCAGTGACCCTAGTCGAAATTATGAGCACCTGTGTCAAGCCATCGGGATGACCACATCGTTACCTCTGGCGCGTCTGATGCTGCTTGCCGAAGAAGTCGGTCAGCGGCATGGACGCCGTCAGCAGTTTGATGCATGCGACGCGGAGCTTGATGATCTCCATGCTCACTTGCCTCGCATTGTTCCTTCCAATGAGAGCCATATCGTCGGCGTCGGCGAGAGCAAGGGTCTCGTGTAGAAGACGAAGTAGCTCGTCGTTCAACTCTGGCATAGGCGGTTGCAGGCTGATGCAATACCTGACTGCTTCGATGATTCCGATTTGCATCTGGAAGGGTAGTGCGCGGAGAGGCTTGGTATACAGTTGCGACAAGAGTCGATCGCGATTGGCCATGAAGAGTTCCGCGGGTCGTTTGTGGTACAGTTCGCCCAAGAGTTCGATGCACTTCTGCGACGCGGTACGGACGATGGCGCTGGAGCTTGCGAGTTCAGCCATGATGATGTTCATCAGGACGGCCAGCTTCATTCGAGACGACGAGCCTTCTTCACCCAACGGTTGCGACTCCGTGACGCCGACGCGGATGACTTCCAGCAGAACGTCGACGACGTGGTCCACATCGCGAGGAAGGTCATACTGCATATCCTTCAAGACGCACAGAAGCACGCGAATCAGGTCAAGCTCGCGATCATTGACCCATTTCACTCCTAGGCCTGGCAGGCGTGTCATGATACGGATCCCGCTGCAACCAGCAGCCCTGCGTACCCAGGCGTCTTCCAAGCACAAGGCATTGAATCGAAAAGCGATCTGGGCCAGAGTCGGCGCGACGTCCTGCGTGGACACGTCTGGTGAATTGGCCATGTCAACCAACTCGCCGAGGAGAGCAGAGAGCAGTTCCTGAGCTTTCTGGGCCTCCGCAGGGTTGTCGCGAGCGATGCCACGAGGCATTGCGTCGAGGAAACATGACAACTGCTGGCTGGGGTACCTCCTGAGAGCGGTATCCTTCGACGAATTACGGCGGACCTCGGAGAAGATGACACATCTCGACACGTCTTGCAGAGTCTTCTCAGCCCGCTCTTTGAGACCTTCTATGTGTACGGCATCGTGGAGGCCCTCGAGACAAGTCAAAAAGACCTGTTCACTGTCGCGGCCCCTTAAGCCCTTCGTGTTCACAGGGTGAGCGGCAACGTAGGTGCTATGATTGTAAGACGAATGACTTACCTCATGCAGCAGTAGAGCAAGGCATGCCTCGAGGTAGTCATATGCGTGCAGACGGTACGGCGTGCCAACTTTACCCCCGACGAGGGTGGACTGAGCTAGCGTAACGACAGAACTGAGCTCGATGGCTTGTATGGTACCTCCGAACGATACTCGAGCCTTCATCGGTTCGGAGTGATGACCGTAGCTCAGTGAGGGCTCTTTGTCTAAGAGCCGTCGATTGCGACCGCCCAGCTTGCCTAGGATACGTATGGTAGTGTGCGAGTGTTGGTGACTCGCCGGGAGTGGCTTGAGGTGCTTATGCAGCGCTTCCATCAAATCCCGGAGGACGGTGTTCAAAGTCGGGTCCAAGAAATCCGGAGTGAGGTTGTCGATGCATAACTCGAGGGTACGAAGACCTTGGGACACCATCTCCGGTGTGCCCCGCAACGCCAGAACGAGAGGACGCATCAGATACGAGAGGTAAGGGAGGAGGTGTGTGAGACGTAGCGGGACGGTGAGGCACAGTTCTGCGACGAGATCGCGGGTGGGACCTTCGGAGATGAGGAGCTGGCGGTTCAAGCATTCCAGCATTTCAGGAAGTAGAGGCAAAACCTCCTTGTAGAGCAACTCGAATCGGCCGCCGCCGCCTCCAATGGCCCGGAAGAGAAGTCTTAGAAGGAGGAAGTAGTTGTTAGGCCTCGTCGCCTTTGCTGCGAGCGGGAAGCAGTCCATGATCAACTTCCCCAGGTGGGATGCTAGAATAGGTTCGTTGGACTGGGAGAAGAGCCCTACAGCGCCGAAGGTCAGCTTGAACATCCGGATGACGATTGCGGCCGTCTTATCGTCACGGCCACCGAGATCGGGCAAGTGATTGACGAGGAACCGCAGTACGATCGCAACTAGCGTCGCAGAACTGGGCTCTTTGCTGAACAGGGCTTGCACCAAGTGCATGACTACTGGATGCTTCTCGGCCTTGGAACAGAAGAAGTCGATCTTCTGGGTCCAAACTTCCTGGAATACATGTAGGTTGACCTCGTTCAGGCCGAGTCCAAGCCACTCCAAGGCATCCTGTGCATCTCGCGTCTCGCCATCGAATGCGCAGACGCAGCGAATAGAACTGTCGAAGAGACGTGCGATGACAGCGCCGTCTGCGACCGGCGCATCGCATTTCTTCATAGCGCCCAATGTAACGCGAAACCCGGGTATCAGCGTTCGAACCAGCTGGCGGTGTCCTGACGTGGATAGCCTGATGAGTACTGTCCTTCTGTTCCGTAGTGCAAACTCACCGACGAGAGCGTCTCCTGGCTTCTCAACAGCATACATAGCGCCACCGACGGGTCTTGCCTTGTCAATGGTCGTGTAGTCCACGGAGATATCGTCTTCCTTTCCTTTCTCCGCTTTGCTCATGTTGGCAACCTTGTTCGCCAAATACGCTTGGGTGTCGGCCAAGCTGCTGACCTTGTCTACGGTCGCGTCCAGCACAGTCCTGAGCGTACGCGCGGCGTTTTGTGGAGTATCCTTCGTCGCAATATGGTCCACCAGCCCGTATATGACCTTAGCGCACAGATGATGCATGGATTCAGGGAGACGAGGATCCATGAGATGACGCAAGAAGAGCATGCAGACATTAGTGAGCTGCGTCGGAGTCATGTCGGATTTCAGGTGATGAGCGAGGTCGCCTGCACAGGCAAAGGCGATCTGCCTATAGCAGCGGTCTAGTCAGACGCAGGCGATTGTGACTACGAAAAGGCGTACCTGATAGCTTCTCTGCAGCCAACTCCTGTACCCCATAGTACCCGGTCGTCAAAGATTTTGTCAATGTATGGTACTATAGCCCGGCGGTAGGGAGAGCTAAGGACATGTCGAAATACGACCATTAAATCCTGTTGACAATCATGAGTTGGGAAAAGTGGATCGCGAGGTCTATGCGTACTCGTCGCGCAGCTATCGCACTCGGCGGACAATCTTGGAGGAGGCGGACGGCGGTGATAGCCAAGGTGTCCCCTTCCGCTCCAAACTGTTCTGACCCTCCACGGTACATGAACGCGAGGCACGAAAGCAACTTGATCTGGGCAGACGTAAAGTCTGAGAATACGGCAGGGTTCTTGAATCCAGGTGCCATTCCCGCCCAATGGCCTCCCATGGCCTCGTAATCCTCCTTGGCTTTTCGTTGGATAGGCGCCTCGACCATCAGAGCAGAGACGTTCAAGGGAAGGATTTCTTGTAGTGCAGGAAGAACCATTTGTTTGTATGTCTGAGTAAGCGAGACAGTTGCCATCGCGTACTCCCCTAGAACTTTGAAACTGCGGCGAGCAGGGAGCGCCACATTGGCATCCACGACAGCAGAAGTCTCCGACAAAGTCTCGTCGACTAAGCCTTGGATGTTACGGAGGACGTCTGCGTAAAGGTCCAAATACTCCTTCAGCAGCTCTTCGGTGAGCAACTTATACGAGCGCGCAACTTCTGCGAATATCTTGCAGCAAACGCTACCGTTCTCCTCGTTGTCGTAACGGAGCAGATACAACATTCCAGAGAGGAGAGGGCCAGCCTGCGGTTTCACTCCGTCGTTCGCAGGTAGGCGATGAATAATGTCCAAGAGGCAGCGCCTGAACTGAAACTCCAGCGAATCTTTGCTGTGAGCGACCTCTCCGGACCTGAGGATGTCCAAGAGGATAGGAACCATGTGCGGTATGACGCGAGCTGCCTCCGCCTCTCGCACTACATCTATCATTTCCCGCAGCTCGTACGCAACATTGAGCTTCGTCTTTAAGTCTGAGTATAGATGAGCAGAGTGCGAGGATATTAAGGTCAGTACTAGTGCAGCCACTTACCTGTGCCAGGATCAGCCACACGGGCCGCCCGCATCTCGAGGTCGGCAGCCGTGGTGAGGGTTTGCGTGCCGTCCATGGTGGACAGAGGCACGGGGAGAACAATCCAGAATCAACTGTGTCCAGTGCCAGACAGATTGGGAGGGAGGGCGAGGACAAAGCAGGACGTCGGTGGCACTGACGGAGGCGGGGGCGAAGCTAATAGACAGGCGCGTCGAAGGCGCGAAACCCTGAAAGTCGCGGATCACGCGTATATCACGTGCTTGAGGTTTGTGGCCACATTACATTTAAGGTCCGAATTGCGGGGGCTAACCTTTCAATCACTAACTTCATCGGGGATCGAAAGTGAATACAGTAGAACACCGACGTTCGGAACACACACGCTCAATGACTTGAACAAAGCGACTCCGATATGCGGACGTTCAACTTCCTCCGGAGCAAGTAAGTAAATGTGGCTCCCACCGTGGTTCTGCTTCCATGATGTTTCTACGCCTGTGTATACATTGTTCGCCTGCACAGAGATCGTCGTGAGGGCTTGTCATCCCATCGCGGCTGCAGTGGCCTGTCAGTTTGGCCTGAGTACATTTCGGTGTGGTGATGCGGCTGCGCAGAAGGCGCCCAGACACAGCCAAGGCTGCTCTGGAATGCGCAGCGACTGATCCTCAGCTTGCCCTCGTTGCTGGTCAACACTGCGGCAGGGCTTTCTGAACTCACCTCCCTCCTAGGTCTTGTTCGTTCACGTCTCGGTCCGCGTTGGTCGCTGGTGCTACCACTCTTCGTTCGGACAGCTGGCCTGCCACAATTCCCTTCGTTCACGCTCTGACTGAACTTGGTCAGGCTGGTCCTGGCGTACCGGAGAAGAGAGTCACATATTCCTTCACATGTCTGTTGCAGAGACTGTAAATGGGCAGGTCAGCATCCAGGACCCTCGCAATCCGGTTGTCCAGGAGGTCTTCAACCATCCCGACTAGTAAGTCTCCGTGTCTGCCTGCAATAATGACGCCTCACAGGAAAACCGCAGCCGAGTTGTCGCTGCGTTCTTGCTCGGATGGGTCCTTGTCAGTAGCGCGTATTGCGCCCTTAGCTCAAGACTGATTCGGGAGCTCGCACGTCGAGGTGTTCGACTATGCATGAGCAAGCGGGCGAAGAAACCCGTCAAGGACATCGAAGCCGCAGCGAGCACGGAGGACGAGAGCGAGAAGGGTTCCGCGACCCCCGCTGCTACTCAGCAAGAAGTTGACGATAACGCTTCTTTGTTCATCCTGAATTTATGTTTTGCTGTAGCCGCACTGGCGAGCTTCTGCTCCCTCTTGAATCTAGGTGGCCAGAGGGGAAACTCCATAGGTTGCAGTAAGTGAATACATACCTCCCATGATCGGATACTAGACCACAAAACCCTCTAGCCGTCGTTATTGCTTGGAGCAGCATGGCTTCGCAGTCCGTGCGTATTGTCGGACTGTTGATGTTGACCTGGAGACTGCGACATTTCGGGATGAAACGACTAGAGACGTATGCTCTCTGGTTTGGTCTGTTGACTGTACTAGGTACCATTGGATGCAGTACACCTCGTGTTGCCCCGAACTCATGCCATTTGCAGGCCTTGTATTTGCCGTGAATGCTACAGGAACCGGCGCTGTTAGGTATAGCCTATCCGTGATTATCTATTCAGTGCCATATTAACGTAGGGGGGTAGCCTGGTTGGGCCATCCGGCATCGCAGTATGCTATAGGCAATAGTGCGTCCACCATTCTCTCCTCAGCTACTCTATCCTGACTGGAGTCGCAGCTTCTGGCCCGTGGCAATCTCGCTGTCCGGCGTCCTCATGTTCCTCGAACTTTACGTCGCAGCGCGACTGTATGTCCTAGGGACACCACGTTCTCCCGCCGGGAAGGGTAGGTTGCGTAGGGTCTTCAGCGCAGAGGTGGCAAGACCGATGAGTCTATTTGTCCTGGACGTAGCCACGGTCGTTCAGGCCGCTATGTGGGTGGACTCACTCGCTCAGTTCATCCCATTTAGCTTGGCTGCTTTGCTTGTCATCGGTGAGTACCATCCCATCTCCTGAAGGCAACGTTGTCCTAATCTTGTCGAGCAGGAGTCTTCAATTACGCCGGAGGGACCCGCGAAGGAGTGCCCCGTCTCGACGGTCCCCGCAGGATCAGTGTGCTGACTGATGACTGGAGGTTCTCCGTGCAGCGGCCCACCTCCCTCCTGGAGCCCAGCCCCTTCCTATTGCACTTCATGGAGCAACCAATGTCCCCCGATTCGCACGCGAACACTCTTCCTGTGCGGCCTCGCTCTACTCGAGGACAGATAGATGGACAGGATGGCGACCTGATCTTGCACATTAGTGCTACTGGCCAGGAAGACCAGTACGCGACTGACGTGGAACTCCCGCGCAGTGCTCCTGCCAACATAACTGAAACACCGAAGGGACCGCTTTCTGGACCGCGTCATATTCTCCCCTTCCAGGTGCAGTACGTTGAACGACTGGAACGGGAGGCTGCCGCCATCACTACTGGGCCTGTCCCACCACGTCGTGACCGTCCGCAGATCTTCGTTGTTATCGATGAGGACGATCAAGGGATGTCTCCAGCGACCCACCGCGCCAGTATCATCGGTTCAGACATCATACGGATGACTCCGACTACCCCTCGGAAGAAGCGCAAGCTGTCTTTGTTGTGGTCGCCAGAGTCGTCGGTGCCTTCCGCTTTCCCCTACACATCGCCCCGCGACTCTCGCTCAACAACTCGCACCCAAGTCACAGCCTATTCGTCGTATCCGCATGTAGAGCGCTCGCCTACAGTCCACTCGGAACACGCAGAACAGCACCTCAGTCGCCAAGACAGCTATCTCTCTCCTGAAGAGCCGTCTCGGCGGTTCTCTTGGAGGACTGCATCCCGCCACCAGTCGGTGACCTCGTCGCGGACCGCGACGCGCGACGAATTGCCCACGGTCATGGAGGGCTCCTCGACGATCCGTACCTCATCTGCGCCATCGCGAAACTCCAGTCGTGTGCAGAGTCGGAGGCTCACCTTCGGCCAACTGGTCAAGCCTCCGCCTCGCAGAGCAATAAGCAGTGCCGCTCGAGACACTGCTGCGCTGCCCGCGTTACCCCGCCTCCCATCTTCTCAGTCTTTGTGCGAGGCCATCTCGCCACTCCTCTCACCAGAAGTCCCTCCCGTGCCTCCGATGCCCAGCCCCTTGACGAGCCCAGGTACCGGAGTCGGGCTCCTGGAGGCTGGTGGTGTTGGAACGAAGAATGTCAGGGGGCCTCGGCCGCCCCCACTTGCCACAACCTCCCCAGCTACCAGTCCGCACGTTGCACAGGTAGGGAGCAGCAAGGGTGCGTCGTAGGGGCACGATGCTGCCTATTTCGTCCGTGTAGTGAGGTTACCACCTTCCCTACTGTAATACTTGCCTGGTGCAATGTAATGCTGTACTTCGTACTTAATCGAGAATAGCTGGCGCAAGCCTAGTGGGCTCTATGCTTCTGTGCAAATTGTCTGTCGCAACGTTCGCCACGCACTGCAGAGTCCGGTCAGGGTGACTGTCAGTGTGAGAGCAAATGCGCCGCGCCGGTCTACGCCGCAGCTTGAAGCGATGACGCTTGGATTTGGGTGGCTGGTGCCGTGTCCATTGTCTCGCACACTCATCTCCGTACTCGCCTTCCACCACCTCCACGCCTCCCATGGCATCCTCTGAGCTGCTAGCCCAGATCCAGGCCGGCAAGAGACTCAAGAAATCCGTCACTAATGACCGCAGTGCACCCGCTGTCGAAACCCCCAAGGGTGGGGGCGCAGGAGGAAGGTTGGCCAGCTCGGGAGGAGCACCATCCATCTCACCGTCGCCGTCTGCGTCAGGAGGGCCTCCCCAACTCGGCTCACTTTTCGCGGGAGGCGTGCCGAAATTGAAGCCTGCTGGGCAATCGAGTGCAGGTGCGTCCTGCTTTGCACCACCTCGATTGGTGCTGATTTGAATCTTCCGCTTCAGCGAAACCTCCAACACTAGGTAAACCGCCTTCTATCCCTCATCGCTCTGCTGTCCCGTCAGCGCCGCCGGCTCCTCCAGCACGGTCAACACCCGCCCCACCTCCGCCCAATAGACCTAGTCCCGCGAGGCCTGCCGCACCGCCTCCTCCTGCTCCCAGCGCACCCACTCCCCCGAACAGACCAGCTCCAAGTTTGCCGTCTAGATCAGTCCCAGCGCCTCCTACAGGGCCACCTACGCCTCCACGGAGAGCTCCCCCTGCTATCAATGGCTCATCGTCGCTCGCGCCTCCTTTGCCCTCTCGTACTGCGTCTGCCGCCTCTACGCGCTCCGTGCCCGATATCCCGCCGCGACCATCATCCGCTGCGCCGCATGTACCCGCTCGCAAGGTACCTCCAACCTCCCATGGACCCGGCAGGGCACCCCCACCTCCACCTGCGAGGCCATCCAGTTTGAAGCCAGATGGCACGGGGCGTGCTGTCCCCCCTCCACCGCCAGCACGAAGACCCGTGAGCATGGCTGCCCCTCCTGCGCCTCCTCCGAGATCGCGCGCGGTATCCGACGAGGGATTGCGCGCCCCCTCACCGACAGCTCGTCCTGTCCGAGCGCCCCCAGGTCCGCCCCCGCCCCCGCCTGGTCCCTCTCCTGCAGCGCGGCAATCCCTTGCGCCTCCCCCTCCTCCGCCTGGCCCATCGCCTGCACGATCCAGGACGATGTCCACCCCCAGTGCACCACCTTCGGCTCCTCCCAGCAGAATGCCCTCTGCTTTAGCGAGCGCTCTGACTGCCGCGTCCACTGCGCCGCCCTCAGTGACAGTCAATGGCAATGGGCGCCGTAAGAGTGAGTGTGTTGTCATCGTCCTACTAGATACCCATATTGACTGCATCTATAGTACCTTCGCCGCCGCCGCTTGCGGGATCACATACATTCTCGGTGACCGGGTTCCCGCCACCGCGGCCGTTCAATCCAAGCGCCAAACGCTATGGAGGCGGTCGACAGAAAGGCAGCGATTTTGATCTGGGTCTACTGTAACGATTACTATTCTACTGGCTAGGCAGTTGTCACTTGCACATGCTAGTTACGACGAGGATATTTGAATATTCTTCGCACAATTTGAGGGTCGAAGTCCATCATGCCGAACTATGTACGAACGGCTGACTGATCCTGGACTGATCTGAACAGACAAGATACGTGGCTTCGCAGTTGGCGCGCACGATTGTCGAAACAGCAGCCCGCGCGTTTACATAGCAGTGTAGTGAACTCCGAGTCGTTGTGTCGGAATCCAGGCAATCGTTGTTCGGACACAGCAGTGTCCGAACGGCTGTAGTGAGCAGGATTTGAATGCTGCTGACTCAGAGTGGACCGATACTGATTCGGTGACCAGGCCAGTGACACGTCAGTGTGCTTGACAGACGCCATATAACACCGTTCGCCAGGGCGCGACAGTCCAACGGTCGCTCTTTCTCTTCCCCCACCGCCATCATGCGGTTCAGTCTCCTTGCCTCCTCAGCAGTTGCGCTTTATGCTTCTCTGGCCACCGCCGACGCGTCGGACGTGATCAACCTGACCGCGGAGAACTTCGACGCTGTGGTCAAGCCGGAGCCTGTCATTCTGGTCGAGTTCTTCGCACCATGGTATGGATACTTCTGGGCGTGGGTGAGGTCTGTTCTGACGACCAGCTAGGTGTGGACACTGTAAGGCATTGGCTCCCCACTATGAGGAGGCCGCGGGGGCTCTGAAGGAGATCGTGAAGCTAGCCAAGGTCGATTGTGTTGACCAGGCAGATCTCTGTAGCGCCAATGGGATCCAGGGCTACCCGTGAGTCGCTCGCATAGCTCGTACGTGCTTGTCCCTTACGGCTTTCGCATAGGACGCTGCGAGTCTACCGCCAAGGTGACTACAGCGACTACACGGGCCCTCGGAAAGCAGACGGTATCGTCGCGTACATGGCCAAGTATGTCTGTAATCGCTGTGTTGTTATACACGTGTCTGACTCTCCTCGACTACTCAGGCAATCCCTCCCTGCGGTATCTGACGTGACATCCGAGAACTACCAGGAGTTCATCAAAGCAGACAAGGTCGTTGCCGTTGCCTTCCTTCCCGCTGAGACGGATGCCCCCGGACCCGAATTCACGGCGACGGCGAACAAGCACCGTGACGACTACCTCTTCGGTGTTACCACAGACAAGGCTCTCGCTGAGGAGGCCGGTGTCACCCCTCCCACCATTGTTGTCTTCCGCGCCTTTGATGGCCCCAAGACCGAGTACCCTTACCCCGTCGGCTCCGCCAAGGTCAAGAACATCGAGAAGTGGCTCCAGGAGATGTCCGTCCCTGTTCTTGAGGAGGTCGGCACAGAGAACTACCACGTCTACGCGGAGAGCGGCAAGCCGATTGCCTACCTGTTCATTGACCCGACCGAAGAAAAGAAGGACCAGCAGATTGCTGCGATCCGTCCTGTCGCTGCGAAGTACCACAGCGACGTCAGCTTCGTCTGGATCGACGCTATCAAGTTCGCCGACCACGGCAAGGCGCTCAATCTCGTCGAACCCAAGTGGCCTAGCTTCGTCATTCAGGACACCCAAAAGCAGCTCAAGTACCCGTACGACCAGGCTAAGGAGGTCACCCCGGAGGCGATTGAGAGCATGGTGCAGCAGTTCCTGGACGGCAAGCTCGAGCCCCAGCTCAAGAGCCAGCCTATCCCTGCAACCCAGGACGAGAGCGTGTTTAACCTTGTCGGCAAGCAGTTCGATGAGGTTGTCTTCGATGAGGATAAGGACGTCTTCATCGAGTTGTACGCTAGCTGGTCAGTCGTCTTTCTTGCAGGCAGCGAAGGTTTGTTCTGATGACGTTGTGTAGGTGTGGTCATTGCAAGCGTCTGAAGCCAACTTGGGACCAGCTCGGCGACCGTTACGCGGCAGTAAAGGACCGTATCACCATGTAAGCGATTTACATCCGTTGGCTTCGTGTTCACTTACTGAAACGACATTCTAGTGCCAAGATGGAGGCGCAGGAGAACGACCTCCCTCCCTCTGTGCCGTTCCGTGTCAGTGGCTTCCCTACCCTCAAGTTCAAGCCTGCAGGCACCCGTGAGTTCATTGACTACAATGGCGATCGCTCCCTCGAGAGCCTCGTCGCCTTCGTCGAGGAGAACTCGAAGAACCCGCTCGACCCGAAGGTCCCCTTCAAGAACGAGTCACAACAGGAGCAGGTGCCGTTGGCGGCCGACCACCACGACGAGCTTTGAGGTAGCTAGGTGATCTTGTCGACCTGCACTGCTGTATTATTCTTGTTATTTAATCCGGATATACCGTACTTTACTGGAATGCCTTAGCGCCGATCCTAAACCGTCTCGATCGATCGATATGTTGCGCGTTTGACCGGAAAAGCTACAGATTCAACATGGTAGACACCAACACAGAGAACATCCGACAAGAAACCATGCGTCACGAAAATAGCCAATATGTGAATAGGGATACATTTAGTACTTGATCTCCTTGACGCCATCCTTCCAGAAGGTGAAATAGGCTGTGCGGTCTATTTGTGAGTCGAGGTGCAGGTTAGGTGGGGAAGGTACGCACGAGTGACACCATCCTCGCGGTAGTTGAGGAGGCAAACCATGCCATCAGGGTTCATGGACTCGCCGGTGTACTGAAGTCTTCCTTAGCGGGATGTATGCAGTTGGTGAGACCAGATACATACGAATTCGTAGTCCTTGAAGTTGGCTACGATCTTCTTCGCGAACGTCTGCGCACCCTTCTCGAAAGCTCCAACACGCTCGGGCTTCGACTTCTCGAGCTCGGCCTTGACGGCCTTCATGTAGCTCTAAGCGGCCCCGTCAGCGTGCTGTTGCTGGCTTATAGCGAATGTACATACCTTGAGGTGAACAAGGTACGACTTCTTGTCGAAGACCGTGGACTGAAGACGGTGCGAGTAGACGACGTTGTTGACCTGGGTCGCACCCTCCTCGAGCGCATCGTCCTGGTCTTCCGCGGACGGGTTGGCACCGATGTCAATATCGGCACCCTGCTTGACGGTGATCAAGGAGCAGTCAACCTCGTAGACAATGTCATCGACCTCCTTGCTATAAGCGAGACAAGATTAGCATTTCAGATGCGCCCCGGATCGCTGCAATGGACGGGACGTACGTCGCGAAGGCGTCGGAGAAGAGCTCGTCGCCGCTGATAACGTCGTTGTACAACAACATAGTGGCTTTTGCTACAGAGGGAGGAAAGCGAGGAGAGCGGGAGAGAGGGAGAGAAGGAGAGAGGGGGGCTACAGCAAGCTGGAGGAAAGGCTGGTTGTGGCACAGATTTTGTATGCGCCGCAGAAAATCTCATTTCTCCCCGGATCTATCGATCTTCTTATCATTGCATCACGTGGGCGCGTCCGAAATTCTCGACTGCCATTTCGGGAAAACTGTGCACCGTCGAGAACTCGAGAGCGAGCTCGATCGCTGCACGCCCGCCACCGCCCGCCATGGAGTACCAGCCCGTCGTCGTCGCGAAACACCCCCGGCCAGCCGCGACAAAACACAACTCCGAGTCGAGGTACTGGCGACAGTTCAAGCACCCCGTGTTCATCAAGGAATACGCACCGGTCACCTCTGTCCACTTCTCTCCCTTAAAGCCTCACCGGTATGCGGTCACTGCGGCCACACGCATCCAGATCTATGCGCCCAGAACACAGAAGGTCACGAAATCTATCTCGCGGTTCAAAGACATTGCCCGGAGCGGTTGTATCCGAGGGGACGGCAAGCTGGTAGTCGCGGGAGACGACACAGGCCTGATCCAGGTGAGTGAATGTCTCTTTCGAAGTCGGGTGCAGTGTTGGAACAAGGCTTCCAGGACGCTTGCAACTGCTTGACTTTATATGCATAACGGCTGAACGCTAGTCTCACAGGTTTTTGACATCAACTCTCGTGCGATCCTCCGGACGTTGGACGTGCACAAGCAACCCGTGCATGTCACGAAGTTCTCTACCCTGAACAACACACAAGTACTTTCATGCTCCGACGACACCACCGTCAGGCTTTGGGACGTCCCATCCCAGACATGTACACATACCTTCACCGATCATACCGACTACGTCCGCACCGGCCAGGTCTCCACCTCAAACCCCCATCTCGTCCTCACTGGCTCATATGACGCTACTGTACGCTTGTACGACTCGAGAACAGGAGAGTGTGAGATGCTGATGGGAGGACCGTCCGGAGAGGGCGGAGGTCAGAACACCGCCCCTGTCGAGCAAGTCCTTATGTTCCCTTCCGGCACCATAGCACTGTCCACCGCAGGTCCCATTCTGCGCGTGTGGGATCTTGTCGCAGGCGGTCGGTGTACCCGGGCCTTATCTAACCATCAAAAGACGGTCACCGCACTGGCTTTCGACTCGACAGCTAGCCGCCTTCTCTCCGGTGGACTTGACCAAATGGTGAAGGTATACGACGTCAGCACGTATAAGGTCGTGCACACAATGCGGTATCCTGCGCCTATTCTCTGTCTTGCAGTCTCGGTATGTCCGTTCAATGTATGATAGCTATTGACATGATGCTCACAATAAATTTCAGCCTGACGAGACGCATATTGCGGCCGGCATGGCAGACGGCACTCTGTCCATACGGCGGCGACAACCGAAGGCGACAGAGTCTGCCGCATATGAACAGTCTCTCGCTGCCGTGCGCGCAGGGGCGTACGACTCATTACTCACTGGCGTCCTACCAAACATCGGTCAGGGCCGCGTGAAGCAGAAGACGAAGTCAAAACCTGTGGGCGACATTGACGAGATCAAGGTGGAGAGCAGGAGAAAGAGGAGACTGCGGCAATACGACAAGTTCCTAAAGAACTTCAAGTACTCTGCGGCACTGGATTCTGTGCTGAAATCAGTACGTTCGATCGTGCGCATCCCGATGGACTGATGCTTACTCAGGCCCACAGCAAGTACCGCCTACAACAACGTTCTCATTGATCCAGGAGCTCATTCACCGAGACGGTCTCCAAACAGCCCTCGCCGGTCGAGACGACGTCTTACTGGAGCCAGTCCTCCGGTTACTCCTAAAGTACGTAGCAGACCCTCGCTTCGGCGAGATGGTTTGTGATGTCGCGAGTCTCGTCATTGGTAAGTCTGCACGAGGGAGCCACTGTACACATACTGACCCGCGGCCGCAGACATGTACAGACCAGTACTCGGACAGTCGCCACTCATTGACACTCTATTCGCCCGTCTTCAGAAGAAGGTCGCAGCGGAGCTCCGCTTCCAGAAGGAGCTTGTCAAGACCAAGGGTGCCCTCGATATGCTCCTGTCCTCCACCTCTCTCCTCGCTGTCGCATAGTCATCTCCTCGCTCTCGTCTCGCAATGGACTCCTACCATCGTCCGGGTGTTTTGGCATATTAGTAATAAGCAAAAGTAGTGTACAGTGCGCGCTTCAAGGGTCGCGCTAACAGGCCTCGAGGAATGCTATCAGGTTTCTGAGGATTTCTTTCCTCGAGGGTGAGCCGTCGTCCTGTGCATTCACATCTTCCTCGTCGACGTTGTCGTGGTAGATCTGGAGGGTGCCGATGATGTCTTTGAGTGAGCGATTCCGTCTGCTCAACATCTGCTGTACGTGGGTGCGGATCTGTGGGAGACCGGTCGTCAGATGTACGCAGTGGATTCGAACATCGACGTACCCCATCATCCTCCATAACGATCCACGCAAGAATGTAGTCGACGGTTTGTAATGTGAACAATCCTCCATCGAGGCGGCGCAAGTACCACAGGGCCTCTTCTTCTGGACCGATTTCCTCTCCCTCTGCGATGAGCTCCTAAACAAATCGAAACCATTAGTGAGTGGAACTCACACACCAGTCAGTGACCCACCTCTTTCTCGGCCTCGATCTCCTTTTCCACGCTCTTGAGTCGAGTCTGCGCTGCGTCTCGGATCTCAAGCAGCTTTTCTGCCTTCTCGTAGTTGTTCTCAACGAACTTCGTAAGGAGGCGAATCCGCGCGGGAGACTCAGATGGGAGGTTGGACAGGAGCGAAGAAACGATGCCGAGCGTATGTGATGCGTCTCCGGATGCTGGTGCTGCTGCGGGGTTCTTCTTCTTTTGCGCCTTTTACTAGTTGTCAATAACGTACTCAAGGACGAGGTCGTCTGTGACAAACCTTGCCCATGAAGGCAGAGAAGAGGGTTTTCAGACCGAGTGCTTCCACGAAGACCTCGCATGTTGCTGTACCAGCTGAGCCTGACATGGCGTAGTCGAGCACCTTGATCGAGCGTGACTTCGCCTGCATCTTCTCCCTGGAAACAAGCTTTAGTTGATTTTTGATGGGAGAAGCGGTGGGTATACGCACTTCATCAAGAGGACCATCAAGTCGACGCCTTCACTGTCGAGGAAGAACTTCTTGATCTCAGGCTCTGCTAGCGCTGAACACAAGGTGTCGAAGACGTTGTCCATGAACTCGGTCTCGTCTGCATCGACTGGGTCGCGTTTACGATATTGCTGGCTACAGGGTCAGACTGGATGCTGGGTGACAACTGGGATCGATAACATACCGACAAGACCTTCAGCACGGTCTCGACACCGTCCTGCTTGCCGAACTCTAACCGGCTTGTGCGGTTATTTTGCAACAGGATAGACATGATCTCTGCCGCATACCCTCCGTTCTCGTTATTCGCCTTGGACTGTATTCGATCGAGGAGCCACTTCAGGATAGATGTCTCAGCGACAAGTTGTGGCGCGAAGTCGGCATTGGATCCAATAATATTCTCGAAGATGCCTGGGAGCCATGAGCACCCTCATAACGCTGTGTAGTATGAGAGCTACTGACCTAGTGTCTGGAAGACGCCTTGTCTGTCCGCCTCTTCCGCTTCGTTGAGGCGACCGAGATTGTCCACGAGAAGCTCGAATATTGCATTCTCCATCTGACAGTCACTGATGAGTACATTGGCCAGATGAAGCGCAGATGAGACAGACCTACCAGGCCCTTAATAAGCATCTTCAGGGCCTCTTCTCTAGTCCCCTCGCCCTCTTCGCCCTCCTCAATCTCGTTGCCCACTTCTTCATCTGTCAGTTCGTGAATGACTTCTAGCACGTCCAGTGCAATGTCTGCATTCTCGTGGCTGAGCAGGCCAACTAGACGGGCTAATGCGCCGCTCTTGACGAGCTCTGGGTAGGCTAGCAGAGGAGCCTGGGCAAGTGGAAGGAGGGCTTTTATTGCTGCATCGAGGTCCGCTTCGGAATCAATGAATCTACGGCAGACATGTCAGCGCGTTGCGTCCTAGTCGAGAGATATGGCGGACTTCGTGGGATCATCAGGATACTTGGACCGTTGATCCTGGTTTTTGTTGGCGGCCGCCTCAAATCGTTTGAGGAGCCTGCGGATCCCTGGCAGAGATAGCTCCTCGAGCTGTAGTATGTTAGAATTAGAGGTGGCTAGTAACAGGGCAGAATGAGACACGTACGTCCTCCCTAGCTTCCTCTCCTCCGGCCTGGTCAAAGATATTGAGGATATCCTTCTGCTCCTGCGTCAACCCACCGCCATAGAACCGGCCTTCCTCGTCCTCCTCAGCGAAGTAGTCTGCATCGCCACCAGGTGCAAAGTCGGGTTCCATTCGCTCTTCGTGTTCATCCACATCCTCGACCGTCGCACGCGACTTGCCCTTGTCCGATGTTCCATTCTGAGGTGCAGGGGCAGCTGTTCCTTCTGAGTCCACCCTCATCTTCTTGAGCATTTCTGGTGTGGGAGCTTCGGGCATTCGCCTCTTATTCGAGCCGCCAGGAAGCTTGGGCATCTAGGATACTCATGAATGACAGAACCATCGAAGCCGGCACGGACCGAGCTCACCTTGAACATTTTGTCGATATCCATGGTGGGCTAGTTGGCTTGGGAGACGAGGTGGGTAAGTTACTGAGGCAGATGAGAGCGTTTCTCGGCGTAGGGGCAGGCGGATGCCTTGCGGAGGGATTAAAGTGAGTAGGTGGAGGTCTGAATGAAGTGACGCGCAGGACCCGTGACAAGCGCGACGCGTCCGGCTCGCGTCCTCGATCGGACGTCATGCGCGCCTCCCTTTTCCGGTCCTCCCTCTCTTCCGGAAGCCATGTATCGCCATGTAACAAAGGCGACACCGAGAACAGGCGGTATGGTGCTCAGGAACAGCAGGCGTCGCTGCCTTGCTTCAGCTGCCCATCCCGAAGAAAGCGACGTCGTCATTGTTGGCGGTGGTCCCGCTGGACTCGCACTCGCCAGTGCTCTAGGTACATCCTTGAAGTTGGCAGATCGGCTGTGGACTTGAGAAATAACTCTTTATACAGGAAACTCAGCGGAGGTATCTAAATCTCTCCGCGTTGTGCTGGTTGAAGCGGGCGACCTGTCCAAAATCCGAGACTGGGCTCCTGCTCAGAACAGCTTTTCTAACAGAGTCAGTTCAATCACGAATGCGTCCCGAGCCTTCTTGAAGGGTGAGTATCTTTCATCTGAAGTCTGTTCTATTTATATGTGCCATACGTCTTGGTAGACATCGGTGCATGGTCGCACGTACAGCTCGATCGTACAGCGCCAGTCGAGGAAATGCAGGTAGGTCTCTGCAGTCCTCTGCGAATCGCGCTGAGACTCCGGCGTTGCTACAGGTGTGGGATGGAATCTCAGATGCTCGCGTCGCCTTCTCTGCTGCAGAAATGATGACACCGGAAAGAGTTGCCCTGGACGAGATGTCTCGACTAGTGGAGAACCTCAACCTACAACGTGCCTTGCTGCGTCATATCTCGAGTATGCCCGGTGTCAGCATCGTTGACAGAACGAAGGTTCAGTCGATTGAGAAGGAAGAGCGCGAGGGCAACGGCTGGCCCCTGGTCCATCTCTCTGATGGTCGTGTTCTGCGTGCAAGGCTCCTCGTACGTGCAGATACATTGGCCATATGGGTGAATTGACATGTCCTGCAGGTTGGCGCAGATGGTTTCAATTCTCCCGTACGCTCGTATGCAGGCATAGAGTCGTATGGGTGGGCATACGACACACAGGCTATCGTTGCGACGATGAACCATCATCCTCGCACTGCGTTCGAGCCTCCGAACACTGTCGCATACCAGCGCTTCCTCCCTACTGGACCCATCGCCTTCCTACCGCTCTCGCATACATCTTCCTCTTTGGTTTGGTCTACTAAGCCTCCCCTCGCAAAGGCACTTCAGGCGTCGGACCCGGCTGTCCTGGCTGGTATGATCAATGCCGCGTTCCGCCTGCCCGAAGTGTCAATGCGATACTTGCACAACCGCGTATTGGAGGCTCATGCCGGCGGTTCCACGCTCTTATCGGACGAACTGAACAAGGAGATCGCCTGGCGAGAACAGTCGCACAACGTCGATCCTCGCACCGCATACTCCGTAACAGCGCTCTCAAGGTCAGCTCCTGGCGGGATCCCGCCGGCAGGCTCGGACCTCCTTCCGCCCTTCGTTACGAGTATCCAAGAGGGTACCATCGCCTCCTTCCCGCTCCGCATGAGCCATGCGGACGCGTACGTCGGAGAGGGCCGCGGAGCGCGTACAGTCCTTGTCGGCGACGCAGCGCACACAATCCATCCGCTGGCTGGGCAAGGCCTCAACCTAGGCCTCGGAGACGCTGAAGCGTTGGCACACTGCATACATACGGCGGTGCGAAACGGCGGTGACGTCGGTGAGTACATTGCCGGACCCGATACTTACCGGTGCTCATTTTGCGATAGGTTCTTACACAGCTCTTGCCCCATACGCGCGGGACCGGTACTTCGAGAACCACAAAATGCTTTCGGCCGTCGACAAACTGCACAAGCTGTACTCAGCTACCGCGGAGCCTGTCGTTTGGGCTCGCTCCGTCGGCCTAGAAGTTTTGAACGAGTTGGACACCATCAAGGCGGCTCTCATGATGTCAGCCGGGAGTGCCCGTCGTACAGACCCGGCATCCGTTGGATGGAGTGTCGCGGCGAGTAGTCTTGAGACAGTTGCTCGCAGTGTTAATAGTGCGAAAAGTGTGGGCGACACTATTGTAGGACTTGCTGGCGCGACGGCACAAGGCCTGTTGAAGCGACTCTCCAATTCCAGCCGGCCTTAGTGCAAGCTCAATTTCATTACCAATTCTGTAGTCTTTGGCATTTCGGTGTCTTACAGGACAATGGAAATAATCACTTCTCATGTCAGCAGTCATTAAGTAGATGAAGCTATTTCTCGAGGGAAACGAACATTATCACCCGTGAAGATTTCCACCGAGTTACAGTGTAGCATAAACATAGACATCGACAAACCCACTCACGAATGAATGACGTGTGTCATCTGTGCCCAAGTCTATCCCCAAACGGCCAAAGTGTAGTCGGAAGCGAAACCTGGAACTGAAAGCAGACAGACACGCAACACAACGGTTAATGAAATACACTGACCATAAGCTCATGCACGTCCACAATAGAATAACAACAAGAAGCATTGAGAAGGACTGTGAGTCCGAACATCTCTAGCGCCAAAGGAACACGTTCACCTCGCCTCCATTACAAGTCATACATCCTCCCAGAACTTAGTAGGGTTTGTGCCTGTTCTGCTTCAGCTCCTTCTCCAGTTGCCTGGCCTTGCGGTGACCGATCTCAACCGGGTTGACGCTGTTGTCTGCCTTCTTCAGTTTCACAGGCCTGTTACCAACGTACTTGCCTGAGAGCATACAGTCAGTCCTTGGAAAAAAAAAAACAGAAGCAGACACCCAGGTACGCACCGTCCATTTCCTTCCATGCTTTCAAGAAATCTTCCGGGTCCGAGAACGCCACAAAGCCAAACTTTGCCTAACAAGAAGTCAGCTATGGCCAACGGTGACAAGGCATGAGAGCTTACCTTGCCACTCAAGCGATCTCGTATGACTCTCGCCTTCGTGAAGGACGTATACTGGCTGAAGGCATTCGACAACACATCGTCGGACACGTCGTTGCTCAGGTCACCAACGAAGAGACGGAACCAAGCTAAAAGGCCAAGCATATATGAGCAATATGACTGCATGCTGCGGTTGAGCACACATACACGAATCCCATTCCAGCAGCGTCTGGTCTTCCCAAACCTTTCCTCCGCCTTTGCGAAGGACTGTCGTACGCTTGCCTCCCTTGGCAAGCTTACCACCGGCTCCGCCGCGCTTATCGATCATCGCCCCCGGAACATAGACACTCTGCTGAGCCAATATTCCGACATCGTACTCGTAGGCATTGGCTGGCACAGGGGCATGGTGAGCGGATGACGACGACCCAGGGACGGAGTACATGGGCCCTTGATATGGCTGGTGGTACGGATTGATGTCCGTGGATTGCTGCTGGTACTGTTGGTAGTAGTTCTGCGAAGAATAAGGATCCATGGTGGCTCTGGTGTGCGTTGTTTGGAGAGAATGAACTCGGTATAAGGATTGCCACTGGGTGACGAGTGGCGTTGAGCGACGAGGCAAGAGTCAAGGTGTAACAAGCGCCGAACTCGACCGAAGCTGCCTTTCGTGGCCTGGATGGGTTACGTAAGCACCCAATTGAGCCGTGCCCAGTTCTGTGTACTGGCTCATCGTCGCCGTCAACGCCGTCAACGTCCCCCTCAAGGTGAGTACAGCTCTGCCCGTTGCTCTGGAGACTCTGCTAGGCCGTAGGGTCGAATGTCTGTCACTGTGCACGAATCAAAGCAGCAGAATGCGATGGATGCACCTCCTCCCTTCTGGATGTAGCACCACCGAAGACAGCATGTCTGACTGACTGCCTTCTAGATGCCATTCGTCAAGAAGGTCAAGTCCTCCGCCTACTTCTCGCGGTTCCAGGTCAAGTACCGCCGCCGGAGAGAGGGGAAGACTGACTGTGCGTAGGCTCTCAATTCACTGCACTTCACGTTCTGAGCATTCCTTCAGACTACGCCCGTAAGCGGCTTGTCACCCAGGCGAAGAACAAATAGTACGTACTGATGCGCCTTGCGACGTCCACATACTTATGCTGTGTATAGCAACGCCCCCAAGTACCGGCTAGTTGTCCGCTTCACGAACAGGGAGGTCCTCGTCCAGGTCGTCTACGCACGTCTGCAAGGTGACTTCGTCCTTTGCGCGGCACGATCGAAGGAGCTGCCGAGATATGGCATCAACCACGGTCTCACCAACTGGTCTGCCGGTACGCCCATTTTGCTGTCCGCCTGCTCTAAGTTGCTGATTCGTACACACAGCATACGCGACTGGCCTTCTTTGCGCGCGTCGTGCTTTGACTAAGCTCGGCCTCGCGGACAAGTACGAGGGTGTGACGGAGCCCGATGGCACTCTCACCTTGACCGAGACGCTTGACGAGGAGGATTCCCCGAAGCCATTCAGGTGCTACTTGGACGTCGGCCTCAAACGCACGTCGACGGGTTCGCGTGTGTTTGGTGCCCTCAAGGGCGCCAGCGATGGTGGTATCTACATTCCCCACAGCAGCAAGCGTTTCCCTGGCTACGACGCTGAGTCTAAGGAGCTCGACGCTGAGGTGCTCAAGAAGTACATCTTCGGTGGTCACATTGCGGAGTACATGGAGTCTCTCGAGGAGGAAGATGACGAGCGGTATGTCCTCCAACACATGTATCCATTGATCCTCGAGTACTCACGCTTCCTCAGCTTCAAGAAGCAGTTCTCGACGTACCTTGCTGACGGCGTCGGCTCGGAGGACATGGAGGAAATCTACACCAACGCCTATGCAGCCATCCGTGAGGACCCCACCTTCAAGCCCACGGAGAAGACCACTGACTGGAAGGCCGAGACCAAGAAGCACATGACTCCCAAGCTCACGCTCGAGCAGCGCAGGGCCAGGATCCAGGAGAAGATCGAGGCTTTCCAGGCTGGCGCGAACGAGGAGGACGAGGAGTAGACGCTTTCATCGTACCATTATTACCCTACATGCACTGCTTATGTTGCCCGCTACGAGCGTCGCCTATGATCGTCAAAAGACAGGGCCATGATATGCCATGCCATTGCTACGCATTCTCAGTCGGTTGTATAGATTTCCTGAGACTTTGAGTGAAACTCAAGATGTCATGATGGTATAGGTAAGGATACACAATATGGCTACAGTGAGATATGTTCAGCGCTCGGGTGTGGAAGATATGTCGTGTGGTCATGAGCAGCAAGGGGGAAAGGGGGTCAGACGGGTCAAGAGCGAGGTATTGAAGGGGAGGGTTGCTTCAGTAGTGCTGAGTCAATGATGTGCATTGTCCAGTCGAAAAGCGTGCTGTCATTCTGTTGCTTGGTCGTATACGTTTCTGTTGTTGGCTGCAACTGGCCTTTTGCACGTTCCACTCTCGTAGCAGTGCACAACAGGGTCGCATCGTCCGAGAACGACACACGGAAATTCCTAAAATACTGTCGGGTCAGTGGCCATGTACTCAGTGGAGGGCATTCAACACATACAACACACAACCTTCCCACTTCCCTACACTCCTGCTTGTGAGCGTATCGACGAACCATGCACCGCTGACTCCGCTGCAACGCTCCGTGCCGATATCACATATTCGCTTCAGCAGGAACATTCCTACTTCATCAGCCAATAGCTGGGACAGTTGAGCCATCGATACAATACCCAGGGTCGCCTGTGGGAGGTGCGCAATCAACAGAGACGGTGAAACGAACGTAAAGCGCAGTGTTTGCCTATCAACGCCGGTGGTCGGTCAGGGATGAGCATCGCCGTGAGATCACCGGCACACTCACCGGTTGTCGATCCGTAACCTGGCTTCCCCGCCTGCTGGCTTGGGCTTGTTATCCGTGACCAGTTTGACGAACTCCTCCCCGCTCCCCGCCATCACCTCGAAGTGAATCTTCGCCGGCACCCCCGCGCACCGGAGGGCACCCACGATGCGCTCGAACTCGGAACGTACGCGGTTGCAGAACACCTCGTACTGGAGCAGGTCGATGATTGGCTGGAGTATGGGCGGCGTCTGGAGGATGGCGGCTTGGGCGGGCATGCGAAAAGAACCGGTGCGTTTGATACGCTCGTATCTTAGGTAGTGGTGCGCACGAAGCAGGAGAACTCGGAGAGCAGCGGCGATGAGGTCGCATGTTGCTGCCCCGGCACTCGAGGACTGCACATCTTGCTCACTGTTGCTGTCCACCTGCATTTTATGAGTGCTAGAGCAATAAGCTTCGCGCGAATGTACACACCAACTGGATGCTAAGCTCAGTTCCCGGAGCAGCCTTGATAAGTATTGACCGCTCAGACACCCTAGCAGTTGCTGTCGGCAAATTGCCTGCTTCCTTGATGAGGGCGGAGAACACCTCTTGTTCTACCACCTCAATCTGCGCTGCACGAAGCGACTCCTCCAGGGTTGTCTCCTCCATCACGGAGAAAGTGTTCGTGACCACATGCTCAGAGTCATCATCATCAGTCCTCTTCAGTGAGACCCGCAAGCGAGTGTTCTGCCGTAATGGGAACTCTATCCTGTTTCCCTCTGTGTCCAAAATCGGCATTCGACCAATAGCTCGACGCCGGAAGACGGCAGGCGCTATGCATGAACGTAAGCGTCACCCTTGCGCGACATGAATTCCACACACATTCTTCTAGGCCGAAGGACACGAGGAAGTCCTTTGAGGTTTTGTCAGCTCCCTTCCCGGTCGCAGATCCCAGAGGTAGTGGCGCGGGGACCAAACCCCAGTTGCCCCGCCTGATGCGCAGAGCGTCGAGCCAGTGCTTCTCGCTCCTGGCTCTTCCAGCCTCCATGTTCTCGGCCGCGGACTTAAAAAGGTCAGCAGCTCTGCGAAGCGCCCTGTCCTTGCCACCGATGACCAGCTGTGTATCGAAGGCGCGCACAGACAAGATGGGCGGCGGCTTTGTAGCGACAGTGGCAGTTAGGTTCGATGGAGGTGGCGGCGCCGGCGCCGGCTGGGAGGTAGGCAGCGTGGGTTGTGTTAGCAGCTGAGTAACGGATGGCGCCGAGGAGGGACCGGCAGTCGAGAGAAGCATTGCCAGCAGGTCCCTGGCCTGCGTCATCTCACCGAGGGCGATGCTGCATGCAATGAATTGACCTGACCGCGATTGAGTTCAGCCAAACACTTACTGCAGGTGAGGGAGCAACTCTACGCGCATTTTGTAGAGCTCCTCCGTCGTCATGGGCGGGCGAGGACCCTGAAAGTCGTCCGGCTTGTCCTCATCCTCCGGTGATGCGTTCTGTTCAGGTGCCTTGCCTGGGGCATCCTTCTTGCGATCGAAGTAGTCGACACCACGCTCGAGGAAGATCCTACGCAAGTTTTCGCCAACCTGTGCGATCGCGTCTTCTTTTCTGGAGAAGGTGAGCGCGTGGCCTGGACGCGTCCGAGATGCACGTACGGCTCGTATATGTGCTGCCCGTCCGCGGTGATGTCGAGCAGGACGGGGATGGGGTTGCCGTCGTCGTCCTTGTGCGGCCGCTCGAGCGAGAGCTTGATTTTCTTCCACGGGGGCTCCTCCATGGCGGTGCGGGGAGGCGTCTGGCGCGTGGTGGGTACGGACTGCCCGACAGGAGCAGCGACTGAGTAACGAGAGGCGAGAGTGACCCGGTGCGCGGCGCACGCGAAGCCACTCGGGCAAACGCCCCCACGTGATCGGCAGGCCTCGGGCCGTTTCGCGAGTGCTGTGATTGGCTGGCGGCTGGGCGACTTCTTTAAGTAGCTTTCCCAGCCAAGCCTGGCTTCCCCAGACTCGCTCCCTAAGCCCGTCCTCCATCTCCTGACGCCTTATAGCAGCCTTGCCACCCAGTCCAGGCGTCCCCTTCGCCCCGCCCATGCACTGCTAGCTCCCGTCCATATGGTCAAGAACGCCTCCCGCATGACTCCAGACAGCGGCACCCCCGGGCCTTCCAACGGCCTGAGGAGAAAATCAGAGGAGGAGGATGTCCGTCTTAGCAAAAAGCCGCGCACTCGGGTTAGGTCGGTCTTCGCTCGCATCGGAGGCATACTGGTGGCTGAACATACAGATTCAGCTATTCTTGCGGCGAATGTCACCGCCGCAAGCAGAAGGTTACTCTTACACTCTTACTGTGTCTACTAGGCTCTGACCATGCCGTGTCCATCGCAGTGCGATAGGCAGATCCCTTGCTCGCATGTAAGTCACAATCTGTGTCCTCGGTCGTACATAATTGACAATGTCGCCCAAGTGTATAGCTCGCAAGGTCCCAGAACTATGCAAGGCCTATACCCCGGGGAAGACAGATCAGGACGTCCATGTCCGTCTCGCCCGCCTTGAACATATAGTGGAAACCGCGCTCCCTTCATACTGGAACCGGAGTCATAGCCCGGGCACTCCTGACATTGGCAGCGAGCGGAGACGGTCGTCTTCCCCCATGGAGGATGGCAACAGGTCGCAGGCCGAAGAGGAGGATCCTTGCGGGGGAATGTTCGAGAGCGGACGTTGGTTTGGCAAAAGCGCTTCGGGAAGCGTCGCTGCACCCGTTGTGCTGGAGCAGGTACGAGCACCCTGTGCGTCACCGTTCCCGATTGCTCACCCGCGCGAAGCTGCAACATGTCGAGAAGCTATCCGCCGGAGACACGTTACCAGCGTCTCAACTTCCGGCAGACATCTTTCAGCCAGACTCCAAGTTGTTGGCTACACTCGAGCCCCAGAACGCCGCGGACAAGCTCCAGCTATTGATATCCGACTATGGCTTCTCCCCCACTAGAGTTCCAAAACTCATTAATGAACTCCCTCCGCGCCATCTATCCGACCGTTTGGTCGACTACTACTTCAGTGCTATGTGCGTCTTATCTTTGTCTTCATGCGACCCGTGCTGACCGCACGGCATGTAGCAATTGGACTCGCTACCCGATACCAGAGCGAGACTTCCGCACGGCGTACTCCGCCATTTGCGCTGAGGGGATGACGCCCAACCCCAACAATCTACGGTTCCTCCCGCTACTATTCGTGGTTCTCTCCATAGCTATCCGATTGGCTCCTGAGCACATTGGCGGCGACGAGCGCTCGCGCAAGCTGACGTCCTCGCGATACTATTGGTCTTGTGAGCAGGAACGATGCGCTGACTTCCGTATCGACTGACAATATCGCAGCACGCCGCGCGTTGGTCATCACAGCGGCTATCCAGCCGGACTGCTTCGAGATGGTGCTGACTCGCATGCTGGTAGGTGCACGTTGTCCGTCGGTCGCGCGCCTTACTCATTGTACGCGACACAGAGCGCCCGGTTCCTCATTCTCGATCGCAGAATGACAGAGTCTTGGAATCAGCTTGGTGCTGCCGTCCGGACCGCTCAGGCCCTTGGTTTACACCGTGATGGTGCTGACATGGTGCGTCTCATCACATCGGTCTCGTAACGTAATGTCTCATTCCGCTCGAGCAGGGTATGGACCTTGTACAAGTAGAGAAGCGCCGGCGCATATGGTATGTTAAATTTGTCGTGCACCTGAGCTTTCACTGACAGATATGAAGGTCGCATCTGTATCACGCTGACCGGTCAATAGCTCTGGTGCTCGGCAGGCCAATAGCGATCCAAGACAATTACACTTCTACACATTCTCCGTCCAACGTCGATGACTTCGTTACGTCGGATCTGCGGAAGCCGCTGCCTCTGACTACTCCCACTCCGTCTACGTTCATGATCCTACGTCACCATCTCGCCGGTATCATGGGTCGTATGTCACACCACTTCCAGCAAGTGCGCAGTGCGCACCACTACTCCGACGTCCTTGCCCTCGACGATGAGCTGCTGAAATTCATGCAGACTCTTCCGCCGCACTACGCCATCGAACCCGACACTTCTCTTGATCAGTCTCACCCGTACATACCCATCCACCGCTTCCTGCTCGTGACTGAAATCCTTTTCGTGCGGATCACCCTGAATAGGCCCTACCTCCTACGCCGGCTAGGCTCGGACCGGTACTTGCGCTCGCGGAGGGCCTGCTTCGAGTCTGCGCTGACTGACTACAGGATACGCCGGGCATTCTTAGCCACGACGACTAAGGAAGCTCGGGACCCTATAGCCAGTGCTTATCGCGAATTCCAATCTGCCATGATCAGTGGAATCTACCTCGTCCTCTACCCACGGGGGAACGACGCCGACAACATGCACTCGGTCCTGGATAGCTTCCTGGAAGGCCGCGAGGGGAAGGGAAAGGAAACAGATGAAACCACTCGGAGGGAAGTGAACATCATTCAGTTCCTGAAGGAGCGGTCGACACAGATGGCGGAGGCTGCCGCGCATGCTGCTCAGCAGCACGGTGAGGCATCGAGCTCCAAGAAGCCGAACATGACCCTTAACCTCCGGGAATACTTGCAAAAGCCCGCCATGCACCCTGTGGCACCGTCTGTCGCTGGGCCTTCTCTGTCCTCCGTCCCGTCATATCCCATCGGTACTCACCCTCTCGCCAACCTGCCATACATGCCCTCGACTCATGCCACCGCTATCCCTTCTCACCTACAACACACCGAAGGCGGCTCAGGCTCGCAATCAGGGACTGGCAGCCCTCCGGGAGAAATGGACTCGGAATCGACCGCCCAGACACTGCTCGATCAGTGGTGCAACATCTTCAGCGGCGGACCGACGGACGACTCCACTGGTGCTTCGGCTCGGTTGCCTTGGGGCACACCGGGGTTGACTGACCTGACGGGGTGGCCGTTACCCACGACGCCGAACATGGGCGCCGAGCCCTTGCCTGGCCTCGACGGGTCGGACTGGAGTTACTGGGAGTCGCTAGTGAACCAGATCCGCAGTAGTCCCGTGTTGTGAGGCGTATACTCAGGCTCGTGGCGCGTCGAGCGAACGTTGTTGTAGCTACAGCTCTGAACTTTGTACTCTTCCTATCTATGCGCTATAGCCATAGAGCGACATGCTATCGATTGTGCTGTATCGTCTCCGTAGTGTATATTAGCCTAGATACTAATTCGATTTCCAGTAATCTCATGGGAGTCGATGCATGGCCATTGACTGTCACTGCGCGCGCTGCGAGCGTTTGGTAGCCTCGAGGCGCCTCCTGAGTCGCTGTGGCTGCGACCTGCGCGACATTGATCCATTGGTGTTTCTCGCCGGATACTTGCACTCCGACCACCATCACCCTCAGTTAGCGCTGCCACAAGCCGCTGTCGGAGCCTCCTCTTTGGTACCCCTGTCTGTTGTGCAGCGAGCGTACGCGCGCGCCCTCTCCAGGTATTTGCAGAAGTTGCCATTTTCGTGCTTCAGCACTTTCCTCATTCGACATCGCTTGCAGAATGAGCAAGCGGACCAGAACCGAAAACCGTTCCGCCCCAGATCATGAACCCGTCGCGAAGAAGTCTCGTACAGAGGCTCCTTCCTCTGTCGCTCAGCCAACCGCACCAGGGACGATCAAGATCCTTTCATGGAACGTCGAGACACCCGTCCCCTTCCTCGACCTTACCCCGCGGAAAGCAGGACCCTCGTCAGTCAAGCCTGCAAGCAACCTCTCTCTGCTACGTGACGTGATCGCGAGACATGGGTACCCGGAGTTTATCTGCCTACAAGAAGTCCGTGCCCGGCACACGGACAAAGAATGGATCGCATCCCTGAAGAACGCGCCCAACGGGAAGGGTGATGGACCACAGTACACCACGTTCACGTCGCTCAACCGCGCGCCTCGCGGGCAAAGGCATTTCGGGGTTGTCACATATGCCAAGAACCCAGACGACATCGCAAACGCGCGGGAGGTCGACTGGGACGCAGAGGGACGTGTCATGATCCTCGAGATGAAGAGCGGCTGGGCGCTGGTGAACGTGTACGCGCTCAACGGGAGCGAGTACATGTGGAGGGACGCGACGGGGCGGAGCCCGCCGAAGACTCGCAACGAGCGCAAGCGCGAGTTCAACCAGCTGCTCATGCAGGAGTGCCGGATGATGCAGCAGCGGGGCCTGCGACTCGTACTCGTGGGCGACTTCAACATCTCCCTCACGAAGCGCGACTGCGTCCCTCGGCTGCGAACGGAGTACCCGCATTCCCTCGCGCGGAAGGAGTTTATGGACAACATCATTGCGGGGCTGGACGTCGTGGACGTGTACCGCACTCTGCATGGAGACCGGTCTGCGTTGAGCTGGTTCGCGAAGGGCAAGCCTCAAGGGTCGGACGCTGCGCGGGTGGACTATGCGCTCGTCGAGCGATCTATCGCTGACCGCGTCACGGAGTCGGAGTACTTCCAAGACCCTGAGGAGCGTGCCCACAGCGATCACGCACCGTTCATCCTCGCGGTGCGGGATATGGACAGTCTGCCACCTCCAATGCTACTGCCTGCACCTTCACAGCAGGAAATGCAGCCATCTCTCCCATCGGCGGAAGCTGCACCGCAACAAATCTCGCCGACGCAGAGCTTGGCCCCGCCTGGAACGGGCTCCGACGAAGGATCACAATCCACTCCCGACTCGGCCATTGATCCATCCTTGCAGATGGATCCTCAGGCATTTGGTCTCCTGGTGGAGCAAGCCGTGGCCGCATCCACAGCAGCAACGTCCTAATCGAAGTCACCTACCCATACAGCTCATTAATAATCGTGGATGTACTCTCAGACTGTAACTTATGTTTATGTTGTACCAAGAATCGTCGCTCTGCACATTGCTCTCTGTGTACTACGACAGTCCGACGCATACGGTATTCCATTCAATCTCACAACTACTGCTCATGAAATGCCATGATTACAGCTGAGGGACAACGCCCACAGCGGCGAGGACCAGGTAAAGCCACGCAGGACCCATCGCAGCCGAGATACCAGGTGTACCAGCGCTAGACAACTTGGCGTCGTTCAACCCATCCGTGGCCGCGGAGGCCTCTGTACCAGATGTAGAGGAAGAGGTTGAGAAATACGCATCCGAATCGGTATTGGCGACTCTCGCAGCCTTCGGAGGCATGCTTACGGTGGGGTCGAGGGTCCCAGTAGCGGTAGCACGAGAATTGTCAGAACGGGTGGATATAGCGTCGACGAGCTTCGAGCTGTGGTGCCTCTCCATGCGGGAGGACGACGTGGAGGAGTCCATAGAGGAGTCATCATCGTCGCCGCTGTCGTCGGTCGCCTTAGAACCCGAGGCTTCCTTGTCCTGAGAGTCTGGTGTCTGCGTGGCATGCATGTGGTGGAACGTTTTGGTACTGGTGAACGTGCCGTCGCTGCCGTCGTTGCCGTCGTCCGTGTCGTCTCCAGAGTCACTAGTGTCGCCAGAGTCGCCGCCGTCAGCCTCGTCGGAGCCGTGCTTGCTCGAGTCCGAGTTATCGCTGTCTTTGGAAGACTTGTTGTGCGACGAATCGGCGGCTCGGTCGTAGTCGCCATCATCATCATCGTCGTCGTCATCGTCATCATCATCATCATCCCCATCATCATCGTAGTCGTCGTCGTCATCATCCCCATCGTCGCCATCTTGACTGCTTGCATCCCTCTGGCTGTTGCTCGCAGTAGCTTGGGCTACATTCTTGATCGCAGGCAATCCAGACTGCTCTGCTTGAGTAGTCGTAGTCACCGTGGTCGCAGTAGACGACGGTGCGCTAGAGGTAGCGTTGCCAGAAGCAGACGTCGAGCTCGTCAAGTTCAATGAAGCGAGTACACCGACACCCCATGGAACCGGGTCGCCGTTGAGCTGCAGCGAGAACGCCGGGGAAACGGTTGTGTTCGACGGAGATGCAATCTGCAGGAACGTTGAGAGACCGGGAAATGAACTAGCCAGTGTCACTCACCGTGAATCGAGTTGTCCACTGAGAGTCCGACTCGTTGCCACCGTTTGTGAACTGTGAAATGTGTCAGCCGCCTGATCATGTCAGTTGCCAACGCTGTACCTGATAGAAGTAGATCTCAGAATAAGGGTCGACCTCGGGACAAGTCCAGTTGTACGGCGAGAGGCTGGAGTCAGTGCCGTCCAAACCCGATGCGACGTTGGTCACGGCAGACATATTGTCGTTGGAGCCAGACATCAATTCTTCGGCGAGGTCAGACATCCTGAAGGACGAAGCGGAGGCGAGTCAACGGACCTATGGACAGATTCTTCCACGTCCCGCTGGTGTCAGCATCCCACTCCAGAGTGCAGTTAGAACCAGCTATGAACGTCTGATTTGGGCCCGGAGCCGTGGGGATGACGTCGGCAAGCGCAAGACTTGCCAAGGATGCAGAGACCGCAAGCACAGGCAGAGACATTGTGGACGAAAGCTCAGACAAGAGAGATGTTAGATGGAAGGTAGTGATAGCAGCAGACGACCAGCGACTTAGAAAGCAGTAGCGGTACCAGACCGTAGAAAGCAAGTTGTGGGAGGACAGTCAAGTCGGCATTCGCGCATTATATAGCAGTCTGGCAGGCAGCCTCCGTGGCTGACCACACGGCGGTCAGGAGCAAAACACTCGTCAGAGTCGTCTGAGGCTCTGAGCCGAATCGCGCAAGAACCGCGATCGACGCGTCCCACAGCACGTGGGCCGCGTGACCGCGCGCTCCCCCTACCGCACAGTGACACCGCGGTTGGTCGCCCCAGGCCCCTACCACCATGCAGACTATCAACAGACTCCTCTATGGGCCAACACCAGAAGAGCGGGTACGACAATGGCAGACTAAGCTGCGCCAGGAGCAGCGCGTTCTAGATAGGGAGATGAGGCAGGTTCGATCCTTACGGCTGGTGCGCTGTGCGACCGCTGACATTGAGCGCAGTTGGATACCGCCACAAACAAGGCGAGGGCAACGGTCAAGCAACTCGCGGGCAAAGGAGATGTGAAGTCTGCGCGAATACTGGCCAAGGAGGTCGTGCGCAGCGACAAGCAGAAGGATCGCCTATCCGTTAGCAAAGCGAGATTAGGGTCAATCAATAACCAACTCATGCAGCAGATGGGTATGTACGGCTACTCTACATGCGGTAGCTAGCTTGCTCATCAGCAACACTTGAAGCCATGATCAAGGTCACTGGCTCGCTGCAGAAGTCAACAGAGATCATGAAGCTCTCGAATGCCTTGATCAAGCTACCGCAAATTAGTCAAACAATGCGGGAGATGAGTATGGAAATGACGAAGGTGCGGTCTTGCTTGTGCTTCCGGTTACATCATGCTGAGGGCCGTCTTTGCATCCTCAAGGCAGGGATCATGGAGGAGATGCTAGACGATACCCTAGAGATGGAAGACGATGAGGAGCTTGAAGAGGAGGCCGACGAGGAAGTCGACAAGGTCCTCTTCGATTTGACAAATGGCAAGCTTGGTCAGGCAGGTACCGTACAGACCGAAGTTCCTGTGAGAGTCTTCCCCAGTAATCCGTGCGATACCACTGACTCCGTTCAGTCTGCGCAGGAACAAGTGGACGAAGAAGAGACGGAGAGGGCGCTGGAACAGTATCGGCAGCAACTCAATGGGCTTCTCAGTGGATAGATCCTTCGTGGACTCGGCTTTTGTATCATGGTCATTTATCGTACCTTCATGCTTTACTTGTGGACATTCTGTGGCGCTGTACTATATTCTATGCTCGCTCAAATGCATGCGAGCTTTTGGACATCTTCAGCGCAGTCACGGTAGACGCACCAAGGGGCAATCCAGTCTAAGTGTATGCGTCGCTTGGAAGTGTGCAACAGGTGGGCAATACTGGTGGTCTGCGGCGGTCGCCCCGGTTAGCGAGAGACGAACATATGGACATCGCGCGCGGAGTCGGACGGACCGCGGTTGTCGGGCGTGAGCGGCCCTCGGTGTCTACATCATAGGTCACGTGCACCGTGTTTTTCGACTTGCTTTCGGGCCCGCTTCGGCCTCTACATCTCTTAACACCTCCCCCTCGCCTCCCCATCCCCCATCTGTAAAATGTTGGCCTCCCGGACTCTCGCTCGTGGTGCGCGGGTCGCAGCGCCAAGCTCCCAGGTACGTGGAAAAGCCGGGAACGCGAGTCGGAGCGGGCTAACACAAGACGCGCGCAATAATCAGACCTTCCGCCGGTATGCCTCTGCTTCACCGACCGCCGCGTTTGCTGGTCAGAAGGGGAGCAACGTGAGTGTGCGAGTGTACTGCAGTCCAGCCATCTCCGCTAACATCCTGCGTAGGGCAAGTATACCGTTACTCTGATTCCGGGAGACGGTACGTCGTTGCAACGTCATACTCTCGTCCGTAACCTAATGCTCTCCCGTAGGTATTGGTCCCGAAATTAGCCAGTCCGTCAAGGACATCTACTCCGCCGCCAAGGTGCGTCCCGCTAGATGATGCTGTGTATCGGAAGTGGCATCTGGGAGAATATTGTTAGGTCCCCATTGAATGGGAGGAGGTCAGCGTCACGCCGATTCTGAAGGGAGGGAAGACAGTGATCCCGGATGCGGCCATCAACTCTGTGAGGAAGAACACGGTGGCATTGAAGGGTGCGCTCGTAAAACAATCTTGCTGTATGATGAGAAGGTCTCACAACTGCACACAGGCCCGCTGGCTACACCGAGTATGTGCTTGCTTTGGTACGCGACCCAGTGCGACGCTGAATGCTTTCGCAGTCGGAAAGGGTCATGTCTCCTTGAACTTGACATTGCGCCGGACGTTCAACCTCTTCGCGAATGTCCGTCCCTGTCTGTCCATCAAGGGCTTCAAGACTCCTTACGACGATGTGAACACTGTCCTCATCCGTGAGAACACCGAGGGAGAGTACTCAGGCATTGAGCATGAAGTGAGTCCGCGCATGCAACTTTGAAGCGAGAGAGTTCTCAGGCGAGGGGATAGATAGTGGACGGTGTCGTCCAGTCCATCAAACTCATCACCTGGGATGCTTCTGAGCGTGTCGCTCGCTACGCGTTCCACTACGCGCAGTCGCAAGGCCGCGGACGTGTCACAGCGGTTCACAAGGCCAACATTATGTATGTCAACCCCGTGTCATCTCACTCGCTTCGTGGGTGCTGAGATCTCGTTGACAGGAAGATGTCTGATGGCATGTTCTTGTCTGCCTGCCGACAGGTAGCCAAAGAGTTCCCGAACATCGAGTACGACGAGGACTTGCTGGACCGTGTCTGCCTGCAGGTGCGCTTGCTGTATGCGAGGCAAGCTCTACTGCATACTGACGTAACGATCAGGTCGTACAAAACCCGAAGCCGTACGCCGACCGGGTCATGGTGATGCCCAACTTGTACGGTGACATTCTGTCGGACATGTGTGCAGGCCTCATTGGTGGTCTTGGCTTGACGCCCTCCGGGAACATCGGCCGTGTACGTGGTCTTGACTTTCCAAATTCTGCTACCATCTGAAGGAAGATTGCAGGACGCATCGATCTTCGAGGCGGTCCATGGTTCAGCGCCAGACATTGCTGGTACGTCTGCACACGTGTTGTAGTTGTCGTCTCCCCATGCTAACGGGCCGCAGGCAAGGGATTGGCGAATCCCACCGCGCTTCTGTTGTCGTCACTCATGATGCTTCGGTGCGTTCTCAAGCTGTTGTTGCTTCTCCCGCGTCCTCTAAACTGGTTCTTACCTATGCAGGCACATGTCCCTGGACCAGTACGCCTCGAAGATCGAGAAGGCGGCGCTTTCTGTAAGTCATTTTTGTTTCTACCCAGAAACGCAGCTAATTGATCCCGTGCCTAGACCATCGCGGAAGGCAAGTCGATCACGGGAGACTTGGGAGGCAAGGCGACGACGCAGGAATACACCTCTGCCATCATTCAGAAACTTGCGCAATAGAGTCTGGCATGGTAGTACTTAGAGTACCGCAGGACAGTCTATAATGCTATTCCCTCACTGTTCCACATCTGTAACGTCATACGACTGCGGCTGTGAGCCGGCTGGATGTGCCTGCAGGATCAGACATCTGTCTGTTGTGCGAGCCCGGGAAATTGCAATGCGCTCAGCTGAGGCAGGCTGAGGTGTTTGACTCCGGCGCAGCGAGAGGGCGTGGGAAGATCCTGTGCTACCCCGCCTGGTGATATACCCGGTCGCGCTCGCTGCGCGCTGCTCTCTTGCGACGATAAGCTCACTCCTGCCAGCTTTTCTGCCCTTCCCCGCCTACCCAGGCAACCACTCCCATATACACCCACTGGCCCTCCAGGGCAAATCCCCCACGTCTTCATTTCACCAACTCCTGGTGCGTTTGTCCAGGCCGCGTATGTCGCGAGTCTAACAGCGAGCCCGCAGTATCACAACTACGTCAGAAACACGAAAAGCCCAAAAACAGCTCATAACGACTCAAACAAGGACCACACAGCCAATACATCACGAACGACATGACCGACGAAGCCGCTCCTTCCACCCAGCAGAACGCGCCCAAGAAGGACGAGAAGAAGCCTGCCTCCGCCGGTGGTGGCCAGAACAATGGCGGTAGGAAGCGCAACCCCTCGCGCACGGCCTCCGTAAGTGCCAACAACGCGAATGCAAACGCCCCGAGGCCGTCGTCCGGGGCCAGCAACAAGAGTACCAACAAGAGAGGCCCGTCCAATGCTCCCACGGGCACCGATTCCGGCTCGGAGTCCAAGAAGGGCAACGAGCAGAAGAAGACTGAGCAACGTGGCAAGCCGCAAGGGGGGAGTAATGCGCGCTCCAATGGCCATCGCAAGGGGCAGTCGACTGCCCAGAGTCGCCAGGGAGGTAACAAAGCGAACAGCAACGTTCCTCAGCCGAAGCAGCAGTCTAACTCGCCTGCTCCTCCGACCGTCGTGGACAACAGCGACGCTCTGTCGTCCCTGCAGAGGGTCATTGCTGACTTGAAGACGACCCCGAACCCCTCTCAGACGCCTAACGCTTATACCTCCAATCTGCCCGCCAACGCACCCGTCTTCCAGCCTGGTGCGAACGCGTACCCCACCGCTCAGAACGAACAGCCGCCTAGGCACCGCAAGGCAGCATCCTTAGGCACCACTGGCAACCCCGCGTACAACCCGTACTCCCCTCACTTGGGCTCCATGATGGAGGACGTCGAGGAAGGCCAGACCAATTTCCCCGTGGAAGACGGAGAGATTACCGAGACCGCGTATCCTGCGGGTCACCAACGTCGCTCGCTGTCGCAGAGCTTCACCGCTCCCCGCTTTGCGGCGCTTGCCGCCCAGGAGGGAGAGATAGTCGGGCCGACTGGCCGTCCGCAGCTCGCACCTGGGTTCATGTTTGGCGCCAGGCGACGCCCTAGCCAGAGTGTCAACTCGCCGATGGGCCCTCCCATCAACGAGGAGGACGTTGGCTTCCAGTTCCCACAACAAGCGCAGCAGCATAATTTCGACATTCCCGCTGGCGAGATGAACCAGAGGAAGAACGACGGCGGGCCGGAGATCTCTGGTATCATGGCCGAGCAGGTATGTATCGACAGGCGCAATCAGTCTTATGCTGACGAAACTTGCATCGAACAGATTGCTCTCCAGAACCAGATCGAGGCCCTGCAGCAACAGCAGGCGGCATTGTACCAGCACCAGCTCGCTTCCAACCAAGTCCTCTCGTTTCAGACTCCGGGTCTAGCACCTGGACGTCCCAATGTCCACCGTCGCGTGCACAGCACCGTTCCTATGGGAATGGGCATGAACCCCTTCGGCGGCCCGCAGGCTGCTATGGGTCAATTCGGGAACCTCGGTATGGGGTTGGATGGCCAACCCTCTGGCGTTCCCCGCGGTCACGGCCGGCGTCACAGCGTAAACGTCCTGAACAAGTCGGGAAGCTCTGCGTTGGGAGCCCTAGGCTTCTCTCAGAGCGCTGATGGATTCGACGACGGATTTGCGGCCCCCGGCGGAGGCGGACACGCACGCAACGATTCGAGCTGGCGCATCAGTACGTCGCTCAAGTTTGTTGTTCGCATGTATTTTGACTCTATTCCCTAGACGGAGGCGTTGGCAGTATGCAGAACGGAAACTTCGCGGCTGACCTCGCACAGGCTCAGGCGCAGCTCAACAGCCTCCAACAATTCCGAGCTGCTGCAGGCGGTCATCACCAGAAGATGGCTTCGTTCAGCTTCCCCAATATGCTGCCGAACATGATGGCGGCGAATATGATGGGTCTCGGCCTGGGTGGAATGAACCTTCTCCAACAGCAGCAACAGCAATTCCAATCTCAGCTCCAGCAACAGTCCAACCAACCTCAGCGCAAGTCGCTGTTCGCTCCTTACCTTCCTCAGGCCTCCCTGCCTCCGCTCCTTGCCGCCGGCAAGCTCGTCGTTGGTATCCTACGAGTCAACAAGCGCAATCGCTCTGATGCGTACGTCGCGACTGAGGTGTTGGACGCCGATATCTATATTTGCGGATCCAAGGACCGTAACCGCGCCCTCGAAGGCGACATCGTTGCTGTAGAGCTTTTGGACGTCGACGAGGTGTGGGGCACGAAGAAGGAGAAGGAGGAGAAGAAGCGTAAGAAGGAAGAGAACTCTGCCTATGACCTGAAGGGCGCGGCCGGTCGCAAGAACGACAAGAAGAAAGACGATGTCGAAGTTGAAGGCCAGGGTCTGATGTTGTTCGAAGACGAGGAGTACGTTCCTCCCTTACCTAGTTGATACTCACGCTAACGATCTGTGTAGGGTCACCGATGAAGTGAAACCTCAGTTCGCCGGTCACGTCGTCGCCGTTGTAGAGCGTATGCCTGGTCAGCTGTTCTCCGGTACTCTGGGTCTCCTTCGGCCCTCCTCGGCTGCGACCAAGGAGAAGCAGGAGGCTGAACGTCGCGAGAGGGAGGGCGACAGGGGCGATGAGCCTCGGCGTCAGATCGAGCGGCCCAAGATCGTTTGGTTCAAGCCTACTGACAAGCGTGTTCCTCTTATTGCCATTCCTACCGAACAAGCTCCCGCGGACTTCGTCCTGAACTCGGAGGCCTACGCCAACAAACTGTTCGTGGCCTGCATCAAGCGACACGTAGGTCCCATTGTCTCACACCATGATGTGTTGATTGACATTGCGTACAGCCCATCAGCTCTCTTCACCCCTTCGGTACCCTCGTAGAGGAGCTTGGACCGATTGGTGATATTGAGGTCGAGACGAGCGCTCTCCTCAAGGATTGCAACTTCCCCACCGAGGAGTTCAGCGAGAACGTCTTGAAATGCCTCCCCCCTATGCCCTGGAGGTACGTGCGAGTGTGATGTCAACGATAGAGATGGACTCACTCGTGATTTCCCAGCATCCCCGACCATGAGCTGGATGCTCGCAAGGATCTCCGTAACGAGCGCATCTTCACGATTGATCCCGACACTGCTAAGGATCTCGATGACGCCTTGTCCGTGAAAGCGAACGAGGACGGCACCTTCGACATTGGTGTCCATGTTGCCGATGTTACCCATTTCGTCAAGCCCAACTCTGCCTTGGACCGCGACGCCCGCAAGCGCGCTACCAGTGTCTACCTAATGCAGCGTGCGGTCCCGATGCTTCCACCTGCTCTGAGCGAGCAGCTCTGCAGTCTCACTCCGGGTCAGGATCGCCTGGCATTCTCCGTCATCTTCACCATGACTCGGGATGCCAAGGTTGTGAAGAAGTGGTTTGGCAAGACTGTCGTGAAGTAGGTCTTTGGACACGACACTCGCTTATTACCATCTCTTACTCGTTTGACACAACAGGTCGTCCGCGAAGCTGAGCTACCAAAATGCTGCAGCCATGCTCGAGGGACAGACCCCCGAGTTCGAGCGTGCTCCGGAGCAAAACGTCTCCGACTACGTACAGGATCTCAAGGTGCTCAACGACCTGGCTCACCAGCTCCGTGAGCGTCGCTACAAGGACGGCTGCATCAGGACAGAGTCGCTGAAGCTCACCTTCAAACTGGACGAGAACGGCATGCCCGTCGACTGCGCTCAGTACCAGCGTGGTGATGCCCACCACCTGGTTGAGGAGGTCAGTAACCTTAGCATCAGCATATGAGATGTTCCTGACCATTCACATGCAACAGTTCATGCTGCTCACCAACACCGCTGTTGCGCAACAAGTTGCGGTGCACTTCACTGAGCAAGCTCTCCTGCGTCGTCACGACGCACCGATTGAACGGAGACTTGTACGTACCCATGTTACGTGATACGGATTAGCAATGACTTACGCTATTGCAGAATGCGTTCGTCGAGCGTGCGGCGCGTATGGGCTTCAAGCTCGATGTGTCTTCTCCTGCGGCGCTCATGAGATCCTTGGAGACGGTCACCGACCCCAGTGCTCGCAAGACTTTGGAGCTCTACTTGAGGAAGGCGTCCTCTACGGCCAAGTACTTCTGCGCTGGCATGCTGGATATCGCCAAATATGGCCACTACGCTCTCAACATCCCCCTGTACACTCACTTCACCTCTCCGATTCGTCGGTACGCGGACGTTCTTGTCCACCGCCAGCTGGATTCCATCCTTCAGGGTGGTTCAGAGCCTAAGTTCACCATGGACCGCGACGCTGTTGCGAAGGTTGCTCAGCAGTGCAACATGTAAGTGTGTCCATCATCATAACTCTTCGTGGACTTACGTTCTGTTAACTTCTAGCAAGCGGGATTCGGCCAAGTTGGCACAGGAGCAGTCGACGCACCTGTACCTTTGCATCTTGATCCATGATTTGACCCAGCGTTATGGGCCGGTCATTCGTGAGGCGAAGGTTGTGGGTGTGCTCGACGCTGCCTTCGATGTTCTTGTACCGGAGTTCGGTATCGAGAAGAGGGTACACGTTGACCAGATGCCCATCGACGTGAGTGAATCGGACATTTGTCGCGTGTCTAATGCTCACGAGTGACGCCCATCTAGAACCACGTTTACGACGAACACACGCACACGCTGCAGATCTACTGGTCCAACCGCGACGTTATCACCTGGCTCGCCGAAAACAGCGACGACGAGCACCTCAAGAACGTCAAGCAGAACGCGGAGCAGCATGCGCTCAAAATGGAGGTCGCGTCCAGGTCTGTGCACGACGAGAAGGCGCTCTTCGATGAAGACGATGGCGAGGACGAGATCGTGCTCGGGCGTGATGACCGCCAGAAGGACGACGGGGTTGAGTCGAAGCAGAGGCAGCTCTCTAAGAGCAGAGTCGCGCCGCGCTTCGAGGGCCTGCGTACCACTTCTGCTGGTCACAAAATCCAGGAGATCAAGGAGCTTCAGACCGTGCCGGTACGTATCGACGCATTCTTCTGCTCGCTCAGTAACTCATCATCTACGCAGGTCATCGTCACGGCTGACCTCACCAAGAGCCCTCCGGTTATCAAGGTCTACAGTGTCAACCCCTACGCTGACCACAGGGCCGAGTACAAGTAAATTGCCCGTGTCTCCATATTCGTTCTCCGTTCCTTCTCAATGTTGTGACCCCGCGGGCTCAGCGTGGTTGTACGATATAAGTCCCTATGTTGTTGATGCTGGATGATTGCCTTCATGTTCCCCCTCATGTCACGCTCTTACGGCACCCTCACCTGCAGTTCTGCTGTCCTGCTGTTGTCCGCCGTTGTATTCAAGCGCGGTTGTGTACGTTTTGGATGTTTCTACGATGCTGATGTCCCTTACAAAATTCATGATCATGTCATCTCTAACGGCGGTTGATCGCTCGCCGCGACTGTCAATGCGAACAGTGAACGAACGTGAGTTCTTTGCAACTTGAAGTACCATGAAGGAAAGTGTATCTACGAAATACCTACGCTATGCTATCCTGCTACCCTAGATCCTGCAAGAAAGCAGACAATCCTGATCCAGTAGCCTTCTTCTCCTGCTCCTGCTTCTCACGATTCCGTGCCAGTAGATTCTGCAGCCCGGTAGACTTCTTGAGCCGTGCTTTCGAGCGCGCGATGGTTGCGGGCGTGTTATGTGAGCCGTCGGTAGTTCTGCTGCCTTTGCGTTCAGCTGTGCTCTGGGACGGGGCAGCTGAAGCAGCGGCCAACCTCGATGGCCCGGCCTTGGTCTGGGACTGACGGCTGTCTGCCAGACCAGCAGGTTTGGGTTCACTTCGCGCATGTACAGCTTCCCCGGACTTCGCTGCGACCGCGTTGGCGTTGGGAAGGTTGGGGATGTCGGCATTCGAGGCCACGGTTTTTCTTCTTTTCCTCGGCGGTACAAAGGAGGACGCGCCTTCTGGCTCTATAGGCAGCTCTTCACGATGTCCACACACCCCGCATAACATGTGCAGGGATCTCCTAGGCGGTGTCTTGTCCATGCGGTTCACGCGCCTCTGCCTGTCATTGGAGCGCACAGACCTGTACTCGCCTCCCCCGTCAAGATATCCCGCGCCGCATGCTGGGCAATGCGTAGTCCGCAAGGTCGCGTCGGCCGGATGCAGCCTGCGCGCACGTGCGGCATGAAGGGCTGCGAGACCCGGTGAGACAGAGCCGAGGATGTGGGGGACAGCGAGCTGGAATTTCGCGGTTGCTGGGGCCACTGCCTGCATACGCGGTCGTCGTCGAGGCGAGGGACAAGGACGACCAAAAAGCGGGCGGTCAATGGGGGCGCCTATGGAGGCGGCGGGCGCTTGCACTGGGCTGGTGGCCAAATAGGAAGGTGTTTAGGTTGTGGGTAGGCGGCCATGCGCCTTTTGTTCTGTCCTCCATTGTGCACCGCCCGTCCGCAGCGCCTATAATGGCCCCTGAGGCGCACTCCCATTCATATACCTCCCTCCTGACGACCTTGTGGACATCGTTCTTCATTTTCGACCTCTTCCTCTTTCACCATGCAGACGCAGCGCGCCAAAGCTTCTCGTTCTCCCCCCACCATTTCAAAGCCCATTCCTATCGACGAATACCGCCCGGCATCCCCACCGATGACGCCCCCGAGACAGCGAGGAGGCTCGATATCTAGCCCACGCAACTGGCTGACGCGTACCTCGACGAACAGCTCCACGCACTCTGTTCCCTACGCACCCTCAAAACCCGTCCGCATCTCGGAACCCAGGTTCCTCAAGGGCTTCGACGCGTTCGCCACGCATCGCAGTGGGACGTTGGGTACTGGGGCGACGATCGTCAAGACCCCGCAGGAGGCGTTGACGGGTAGTAGGTGTTTCTCGCCATTCCGCACAGAGCTGGAATCAGACGAGGATGAAGTTCCAGACGATGCACAGAGCGGCGACGGCGTACAGGATCCTCCACTTCGGCCGGAGAGTCCACCGCTTCCTCCCATCCCTGCTGAGTCGCCCATCGCCACGGAGCCCCCACGGTCACATACGCCACCGCGTCCGACGCGCCCAGTGCCAGAGTGCCCGCCCATCTCGCCTTCTGTCTCGGAGTCTTCCACTACATCCACGTACGCGCCAAGTCCGGAGTCGCCTGCCACCCTGACCGCCAGTCCCCTCCGACCCTCACTGAAAACGCGTTCCCCGCAGCCTTCGGAGTATTGTCCACCCGTTCCAGCTCTTCCAACGAACCTCAGTTGCTCTCCTCCTCAGGCTCCATTTGACGCTCTCCTGCTCTCCCCTCCATTGACTGGCCATGTCGACCCCTCAAAGGTTATTGTGTCGCTCGAGACAAGCACGATGACGCACCGTACCACGCTGAGCACGCTGATGTCACGTCCATCTTTCCTGTCCACGTTCCTCAAAGACCTGTTACCTGCACGCCGGCGTGACTCTGACGCGACCTCGGTATACTCCGAAGTCAGCGAGGCGGACAGTTCATTCAACTCCATCTTCCACCAACATCTCGCCTCTTCCGGCTTGCTCTCGCAGGCGGCGACAACCATGCATGTATTCCTGGATAGACCAAGCGCCCCGTGAGTACTTCTGCTGTATAAGCGAACGTACCGTTATTGAAACAATGGCAGATACGCGCACATTCTGTCGTACCTCCGTTCGCCTCCTTCCACGCCGGAGAGCCCTGCCATCCTTCCGCGGGCGGTCCAGTTGTCAGGATCTTCTACATCCCGTCTGGAAGCGCTTCTAGAGCTGCGGGACGAGGCACGGTACCTTGACCTGGAGGAGCTCTCCAAGCTGTGCAATGACGAGCTTCGCCTGCGCCAGGCTAGAACGTCGCCTGGGCCACTCGGTTTGCACATCCGGGGGCTGAGTAATGCTAGCAGTACTTCCTTGCGCAGTGTCACGACTCTGCGTGACATTGCAGAAGACGAGGCAGGCAAGGCTGAAGGGGGCTCGCGAGACTCGGGCTTCGCGAGTCTACGGGCGAAGAAGAGCATGAAAGCCAACTCGGACGAGTCGGCGACCCCGATGCCTGGAGCACCGCGCGGCCGCCCTACCACGAGGAAGGAGGCTGTAGTGTCGCAACGACCCAAGCCTCAGCCTGGATGGATCTGACGTCCGTCAAGACCTCACGCGCAACGACTTCATGCCGTTCGACCTATGTGACCTCTTACTCGTATATATCTGCGGGTCCTGGAGACTGATTCTGTTCCTTACTTACCACCACTCACTTTCTGTAGCATACTTGACGAAGCTGATGAGTGTCTGTTGCTAGTTGCTCTGGACAATGCGGATATCCTGTTTTGCCTCGTGTATCATTATAGCTCCTCCACATGCCGTGACGTACCGTCTACTCTTGACTATCATGTAATACATAGATGATGCACAGTAATCTGAGCCACGATCCATTCATTGACGGACTGCATTTGCATCGTATGGTGTGGCGAGGTCAGCGTTTCGGTGCCCATAGATCGTACAACTCTTTGTCCGCCGTGTCAAAGCAGGTGACGAGGGTAGGATCGGCGCGGATAGTGATCTTTCTCTTCGGGTTGTCGAAATTTGAGGACAGTGCAGAGGAAGCGGATAAGGGGATGCTCGAGCGGTTGAACACAGAACTCAGGGTTGTGGACGTGGGCGACGCATCACCTGGAGTAGGCTGTGAGGTTACGTGGGTCTGTTGTCACCGAAGTGTATTGCGTAGGAATGAAGTGGAGCACACCTCAGCATCTCCAAAGCGTGATCCAAAGAATCGACTGCGCAAGTTGCTGTCTGTCGTGCCAGGGGTGGACTCGCGCAGTGGCACGCCACCGTAGCGTCCTAGACATCTTCAGACCTTGTGGCGTGTGCGTAGGAATGGCATAAAGACTTACCAGGCGTGGAGGGCAATGGCGAGCTGAGCCTTGGGCTGGGAGAGGAGGACATGACAGTGGTTGACGAGTTACACGAGAGAAAGGGTGGCACTGGCAGCCTCTGATCAGGATGACCGGGACACGCTTCGCGCTGATTGACTTCCGAGCCTCCGTCCTCGATCGCGTGCGTGACGTGACGAAACGCGTCAGATACAGTCACACCGCGAACATCACGCGTCGAGCTTTGCCCTATTCCAGAGTTGCTCTTGTCCCGCGCGCACTATCTCATTCCCTTCTACTCCCATCTACCAGCATGAACATCTTTAGAAGCCGTGAGTCTGTGCCCATTTCTCTGCTTGAACAGTGTGTTTGACAGGTCAAATCTTGCGTCTAGTAATCGGAAGAGTCTGGCGTGAGTATATGCGAGTTGTGTCTGGTGGAGCACTCAGCTAAGCCCCTGTACCCCCGCAGACGATCCCAATGCAGCTGAAGTTGTGAAGATCTCTGAAGGGCAGCTATATCTGGTGCGGTCGGGCACCGTCCGTGGGGCCCGCGAATGCATGTAGGTGCTCTCGACTGGTTTACGCGTATGTCCTGCGACTGAACAACACCTTCACAGATACAATGACGCCATGGCTACCATCCGGCGCGTTGCTTCAGTAGAGCACAATTTCCAGCTTGTGGTCACTCGCGTGTACGAGGAGGGGGATCAAGAGTTGTTGGAGGACGAGGAGGAAAGTAAGTGGCTCTAGACTATCCCGTGGGTTTGAACCTAATGGTTGCTTTTAGCCGATGAGGAGCGGGTTTTCCTGATCAGCGAGGAACTAGAGTTCAAAAGCACAAACAGCGAAGAACACCCGTGCTTCGTCTGGCGCGACCTGGACGGCGATGTCGATGAATTCTATGAATTTGTGGCACCCGGCACCAATGAGCCGACACGGGCCTTCTTCGAAACGTGCATGTATCGCGCGATGTACGAGCGCAAGTACAGAAAGAGCGCCGATGATACCACAGACGCCGAACTCCAAGAATTCATCCGACAGTGAGTGTTGTATTCCATTGTCCGCTTTACAAGGGCAGACCAATAATGTCCTCCGATGCTCGGCTGATCATTGCGTTATTAGACCTCCGTCTGAGCAGGACAAGGGAAAGGCAATCGAATCCGAAGCCCCTCCAGAACCCATACCTGCTGCAGCTTCTGCGATGACATCTCCCAAGACCTCGACAATAACCGTGGATCCCAATGCGCAGATTCTGCTCACTCACCCAGCGGAGCTCCATCTATGGGATCTGGACAAAGGTTTCTTCGTCAAACAAGCTGATGTTAGCGCCACAATCGCGCAGCATACATCCGCTGGACCTTTCGACTACTGGCTGCTCGCGAGCACAGACGAAGGGCCGGCACTGGCTCACAAGATCACGTCCGATATGAACCAGCGATGGGCGGCCAAGATGCTTGCTTTCACGTGGAATAATATCAGTGATACTGGAGCACAGAGCAGTTGGTGCCTCAAGTTCGAGACGCAGGAAGCATACGAGCAGTTCCAGGCGCTGTTCAGTAGGGGTCTGTGGGAATCTCTGAACAACTACTCGTGGGACAAGGCAAAGGTACATGGTCTGCATTTCGCGTATTTCCCGCACCCTGACGTCGTTTTGTAGGTGGAGGAGCGGGCTTACGTGCTGAGCTCGCAAGTACAGGACGTAGAGATGCAGGATGTGGAGGATGAAGAGGATGAAGAAGAGGACGTTGCCAACGAACTTGGTGAGTATGCAGCTACGCATACAGCTAATGGAGGGCTCAATCTCTTGGTAGACAAGAGTGACGAGGAGTCTGAGTCTGAGACTGAACCTGAACCTGAGCCAGAGGAAGACGGTCTGCCACCGCTTCGCAAGGGCGAGCGCAACTCCCAGTTGACAGTTGGTTACAAGGGCGATAGGTCGTATGTCGTCCGAGGCGGAAGCATTGGGGTGTTCGCGCATGCAGGCGATAATCAGGTCAGATACCACGCGACTATCGGCCACCTTGAGACCCCCAAGGGCAAGGAGTTCGCTCCTAAACATGTGCGTATTCTCTGTCTTCTTCCCGAACGGCAGATTTAGACTCAACGTCTTCGAACACAGGTGATGTTGCACGATCAAGACACGAAGATGGTTATGATGAACCCCGGTGCACCAAACTCGCTATTCAGCCTGGACATCGAGCGCGGGAAGATCGTCGAGGAGTGGAAAGTGCACGACGACATCAACGTGAACCACGTCGCGCCCGACAGCAAGTTCGCGCAGATGACGCCGCAGCAGACGATCGTCGGCGCGTCGCACAACGCGCTCTTCCGCATCGACCCGCGCATGTCGGGAAATAAGATGGTCGACAGCCAGTACAAGCAGTATGTCAGCCGGAACCAGTTCTCGGGCGTCGCCACGACCGAGTCCGGAAAGCTCGCCGTCGCGAGCGAGAAGGGCGACATCAGGATGTTCGACTCGATTGGGAAGAACGCGAAGACAGCGCTGCCGCCCCTCGGAGACCCGATCCTTGGTATCGATGTCACGGCGAATGGCCGCTGGATCGTGGCGACGACGAGGACGTACCTCTTGCTCATCGACACGCTCATCGGAGAAGGACGCTATACTGGGCAATTGGGCTTTGACAGGAGCTTCCCTGCGAATGCGAAGCCGATCCCTCGTCGGCTCCAGCTTCGTGCAGAGCATGTTGCGTATATGGACCACAGCGTGTCCTTCAGTCCTGCGAGGTAAGGTTTCTTCTATGGTGCATCATGCCGGGTCTGGTCTGACTTTGATGATATCCAGGTTCAACATGGGCGAAGGGCAGGAAGAGAACGCGATTGTCACGTCGACAGGCCAATACGTTGTTGCCTGGGACTTCGCCAAGGTCAAGAAGGGTCAGCTCGACAAGTACGAGATCAAGAAGTACGAAGACATGGTTGTCCAGGATAACTTCAAGTTCGGTGATGATAAGGAGATTGTGCGTGGTCATTCCCGTTTGATCGTGATCCTCAGAACTCACGCGATGTCATGCAGATCGTCGCATTGGAGAACAACGTCTTGGCAATCAACAAGAAGAATTTGAAGAGACCGACGAGGGCCTCCATCGCGACACCACGGAAGAGCCTCGGTAGTCGGTCAAACATCGTCAATGCGCCCTACTGAGCAGATTCGATTTGGAAGTCAAAGTAACGTCTGAGGGTGAACCCATGTATCCATATGTTTTTGTTTAGCTTTATGACCCTACCCCTTCTCTCGGTCTCGTTGTGTTTTGTCTAACGCGCAGTTGTAGCTTAGGGGTGATACCAGTCTCGGTAATGTAGAACACGAGAAGACAGCGCATATATATAGTTATAGTGGATGAACACTAAGCTGCGACGAGGGCTGTCGCCGGAGAAACCAAAGAGCGATTTGCTACACAATTTGTTTGACTTCTACGCCTGACCCATCTTTTTTCACGTCTACTTGACATCGAGGCAGGTCGTCTCCACGATAATCGCGGTGACGCGGTAGGGGTCTATGGAACATTGTGAGACATAGCTCGCCGATGTGAGTTGCTGTACATACCGACGTTGGAGGCGGGACGCCTGTCCTCGAGGTAGCCGTAGCCCTGAGCACCGACATGCCTGGGAATACGGATAGACGCGCCACGGTTGGCGACACCAGAGCTGAACGTGTGAATGTGGCCGGTCTCGTGGCGACCAGTGAGACGGAGGTCGTTGTCCTCGCCGTACACGGCGATGTGCTCCATGTGGCGCTTGCCCAGCTTCTCGATGGCATCCTCGATGTGCTTCATGCCTCCAGGCTCACGCATCGCCTTGGTGGAGTAGTTAGTGTGGCAGCCAGCGCCGTTCCAGTCGCCCTGGAGGGGCTTGGGGTGGAACGAGACCTTGACGCCCCACTGCTCGGCGATACGGACAAGCAGGTAGCGCGCCATCCAGAGGTGGTCGCCCATGGAGATGCCCTCGCACGGACCAACCTGGAACTCCCACTGGGAGGGCATGACCTCCGCGTTGATACCGGAAATGTTCACACCTGCGTAGAGGCAGGCGCGGTAGTGGGCCTCGATGAGGTCACGGGCGAAGACCTTGCCCGCGCCTGTGTTGGAAGAGCACAGCAAGATCCGTGGTCAGTTCTCACCCATGTCAGAAACCAGCCCCAGAAAGGGAACGTACCGGCACCGCAGTAGTAGGGGCCCTGGGGACCAGGGAAACCACCCTTCGGCCAGCCCAAGGGCGTACCGTCCATGTCGAAGAGCGTGTACTCCTGCTCGAGACCGAACCAGGGGACGAAGTCCTTTGCGAGGTCCATGACCTTCTTAGCGTGGTGGCGGTAGTTGGTCCTGTTGGGGGTGCCGTCGTTGTTGTAGCATTCGGCGAGGACGAGGATGTTGTCGCCGCCACGGAATGGGTCCTTGAAGATGGCGGCGGGGCGGAGGTAGACGTCGGAGTCATTGCCGGGGGACTGGTTCGTCGAGGAACCGTCGAAGTCCCAGATGCGGAGCTGCCCGATGTCGGTCACCTTCTTGGTGACAGTCTGAAGAGCGATGGCGCGTTAGACGAGAGTGCACGCCATTGCGGGGGCCTACATACCGTGGTCTTCGAACGGAGCCCATCATCGCCGTCAATCCAGACGTCTGGGGTGAATGTGAGTCACGTCGAGTCACATAGATGCGCAGTGGATGCGCGTACACTCAGCCTGGATCTTGTCGCCCTGGGGGAGGGCAAGGAAGGGTGCCAGTAGGTCGGGGCGGTAGGCGGACATGTCTACGACGACGAGGAGAGGAGGATGGGGAGATGGAGGAAAGGAGCAAGTGCAGGCGGCTTGGGGCACTGGAGCGGGTTGACGGTTATTTACACGGGCTGTCGGGAGCCAGGAACCCACCTCCGCCTTATCTTCGCGCGCTATCCAATTCGATCTACCATAGATCCTATCCGCCATATCATCTATCCACTCATATTCCCCCAGTTTATTCCCTCGCCCGCCCGCCGGCTGCCCGCCCCTCCCGCCCCATGAGCGCGCCCGCACTGCACCGACCTCGGGGCAACGGTCATGCGGCGCTTCGTTCCATCCTCACCGCCACTTTTCGCTCGCACAATGTGGTCCAGTGGATCGACGAGTCACAGCCCAAGAACGCTTAGCGCGCCAGTCATGGGGCTGGCCCACCGTCAATTTGTGGCTCACTCGTCGCGGCACACGATAACGTCCAGTCCATCAACGACCATGATATTTTGGCCCCCAAGGAGAATAAGATATTCGATGCCAGACTCTGACATGCGAGGCGAGCAGGTGATGTTACCGCTTCTTCACCGCCTTTCGTCTACGTCCGCCAGCCATGGTAGCGGCTGTCCGACTGCCCTTCGTTGACCCAGTCGCCGCGCCGTTCTGGGGCGTCACGGTCCCACTGCCCGGAGCATCTGATCCTGTCGCGGAACCATCCTCGCCGCTGTCATACGCTTCCCCGTTGGTCTGGGCGTTCCCCTTGTCGGATGCAGCCGCTTCCTTGTTCGCGACTTTGCTGTATAGGTCGAAAAGAAGCGTGATGAACCACGTCTTCCTCAGGGATGGCGGTATGGCTGTGTCACTGTTCACGGGATGCAGACTGCCATCGGAATCAAGCTATGTCGGTAGACGAAGGTGAGCAGAGCGAGAGAGAAAACAGTACAAGACCTACGAAGTACACGTCGTTTCCTTCAACCACCATGTCGACCATTTTGCCACCGATGACATTGCCACCCTCGTCCAGTCGCGGTGAACCACCCAGATTGATCTTCACCTGTGTACCGTGTTATGTAACATACTCTTGCCATACCACCCGACGTACTCACCTTCCTCTGGCCTTCAGACGTAGGGACGAGCTTCGCTCCCCATGCCGCGGAGCGCGCCTGTGACACAATAGAGTCGATTCTGCCAAGGTCTCGCTTGTAGTTCAAGGACTGCACGAGGTACTGCAGACCGGAAGAGAGAATCGTCAGGAAGACGACGACAGTCTAGAGCGGACTCGACGTCAGGTACAGCGTCATCCACCGATTCTTCGCAGAGACACGTACGCCTAGCCCGGGCCGGAATCTGGAATAGTAGTATCCTGTTCCCCTCCATCTCGGAACACCGTTCTTGTAGAAGAAGTCGTAACTATCTTGCACGTCATCAGTGATCGCGCATGGGCGACATTGACCCCACGCACCGCTCGCGGCCTTCGGTGCTCCTCAGGATGGCGGATACTACACCGAGCCTCGCGAAGCGTTCGTGGGCATTCTTGTCGCCTGGATTCTTGTCCGGGCTAGCAACGTAATGATGTGAGAGGACAGAGTAATGATGCGGCAACAAACGTACTGGAGCTGTATGCTCTTTTTCCGATAGGCCTTCGCGATCTCAGGAGTGCTGGCAGTTGATGGTACGCCCAGCCAGGAGTAGAATGTGGTCCCCTTCCCTTCACAGAATACCGGATAGTTCAAAGAATGACATCGCTTGTATTTTTGACCGTGTACTGACCTTCGGAGGACTCAACCGCGCTCACGAGGTCGAAGATCTCATGGTCTTCCTACGGCGCTGTTTAGGTACGAAGACCCCGATTGTGCGGAGGTGCATACCTTTGTCCACCTAGTGAAGAAAAGAATGAGCCTTGCCCCCAGGTGAGACCCAAGCTTGTGACGCGACACTCACGCTGCCACGCATGCTACCAAAGTAGCCAGGAGGAGACAAGGCAGTAGTAACCTCATACTGCGTGTCTGAGGGTTTTCCCAGAAACCCCGAGCTTGTCAGTGCTTCAGTCCAGCGAAGTGCTGGAAGAGTGGAAGAGTAAACAGGTGTAAGTTAGCGTAGCAAAAGAGAGGAGACGACGCGCCGGTGAAACGCGATCACGACGCGAGCAGTGCGTGTAAACTCCGCGCGCTCTCATTGGCTGCTTCGGTTGAGCGCCAAACTGTTCGAGCGATCCTCCGCGACCTGGCCGCGACTCCGAGGACCTTAGGCTGGCGGTAGCTTCCTCCTTGCTCGTTTGCCCACCACCCTGCACAGAAACTCGCAAACTCGATTTGACTTGCAGATTCTTTGTTAAGACGCCTTCCAGAGAGAATACTTGTGGTTCATGGCGCCTCGCCGACGTTGTCCCATCTGCGGCTCGAAGCAATGGCACAAGGAGCCTTCGAGCGGACTCATAACATGTAGTGAGGGGCACGTCTTGCAGGTATTTCGACTTCTGAACTTTCTTGACTGAGCTGTTAAAGTATCCGACCTTAGAATTACCGCAATGAGACGAGAGAGGTCACTGAGCTAGGCCCGCACGCTCTGAAGAAGCGCGCGCTGAAGTCGACTAGGAAGAAGAAAGAACGAGAGAGCAAGGCAGACCCGAGGCGTCAGTACCTTCTTGCTCCATATCGCATGTCTGTCTTACGTGCATTATGCAGTCTACCATGGCGAGCGCGCACGGTATCACTACTTCCAGTGTCTACAATTGCTCCTGCGCATGCAAGTCACAGCTCTGACAGGGTTATGGGGACTTCCAGCAGAGTTTGAGGTGAATATATGCGTCATACTGCGCACCTTCTCCTCATACTCTTCCAGATCGTCTGCCGAGACGTATGGGCGTTGCACCTTAGTCTGCTCCCCGTTCCACCTCCAGCAGAACCTCTCTCCGCCACCCAAGCCCAATCAGATACCCCATCTTCCAAGCCAGACCAATCTACACACGACACCTCACCGTCGCGCGAGGGAAGCGGCGACGAAGCCGGTCCCGAGAAGACCGCTGAGCCCGCTAACAGCGAGTCATCCTCGTCGTCGAGCGACGAGGAGGATGACCCGGAGATGGTGGAGCTCATGAGGCAGGCAGAGGAAGCGTCGTCGTCGTCCTCGGAGGATGATGAAGGTGGAGAGGGCGCGCAGAAGAAGGTTCCCGCATCTCGAACGAAAACGAAAACGAAGTTCGGCAGGAAGTACGACTTGCCCGTGAACAACCTCGCGGTGCTGGTGGTGGCTTGTTGGACGTTGCGGCTACCAGCGACTTATATGGACTTTGTGAGGTATGTCGCACGTTCGCAGGCGATAATTTTGACCGGGTCCTTAGGTGTTGGCAGACTGGTTGAGGGATATGATCTACCGTACCTTGACCCCGTCCGACTCCTCCCTGAAAGCCTCACTACTCATCTCACGAAGCATACGAAGAGTGCACTGTCCCCAGAGGTAGGTATCTGGCCTAAGCATCTCCTGACGCGACTGATGTGTCGCCAGCATGCACCATCGGTCATACTTCTACACGGCCTCGCATCTAGGCTTGCCAAACTAATGTACTCCACACATCAAGTGCAGACGCCAGAGATGAATGCAGCGCCAACACTCTGGCGAGCCGTCCGCGCTCTGTGCGGGACACGTGCGTTGCTTCACTGAACTTGTGGGTGTGCATTGACACAGCACTGCAGCGACGCTATATGTGTTGACCAAGAAAGTCGCCCGCGTTCTTTCCGTGCCACTGACCTTACACCGCACGCTCTCGGCGCCTCTCGAACGCGTCAAGAAGAAAGATCCGACATGGCATAAGTTTGACAATGCCGTCCCCGAGGTCTCCTTGATTGCCACCGTGATCGTCGTTCTCAAAATGGTTTACGGGCTAGATGGCAAACCCAGGTCGGCATAGGTAGCATAAGCGACTGTACGGCAGCTGATGTCGAATCAGGTCGCCCAAGAAAAGGAACGATCCTGCATGCTCTCTACCCTGCATCGACGACTTTCTGGGTCGTATCAAGGCTTGCGACGATTCAGCACATGAGCACCATCGGTTCTGTGCTACTTCACAGATGTAAGCCTCTCTGGGTTGGATCTCTTCAGTTGATTTGGACACCGGATCAGGTACGTTCAGGATATGGACAACAACGCCTTGGACGATTACTTGGCTTTCTGCGAGAAGGCGCTGCTACCGCAGGAGGATCGAATAGTAGGTGAGCATGAGGAATGGCATGAGACAATCGCTGCACCATCACATTCCGAGGGCTGGAACGTGATTGTGCAGCAGTCGATCGGGCCACACCTTGATGCATGGCACTAAGGTTTTGTAGAGCGGAACGCAGCGATAACCTTCTTTCCTCTGGACAAGCAGGACAAGGAAAAGCAGGACAACCCTCAATCCCTATCGGCGGAGCCCACCTCTCTGGAAGCCACGCTACGCGTCGATGAGGACGACGACTGCCTGCTCCCTGGGGAGAAACTACCGATTTACAACACCTTCGACGCACTTGGATCTTTACCTGAAGAGTATGACATGGTTATCAGGCGGGCCGCTCATTGGTGCGGTGTCCACGATGATTACGTTGCTGGTGTGGTAGAGAGGTTTGAGCGGCGACTGTTGCGCTGGTGGACCAGGAGGACGGACGGCGAAGGTACAGATTCTGACAACCAGGACGCAGACGGATCAGTGTAACATGCCTCGTTGAGGCTGTACATAGCGAGCAACATCTGGTACGCTGTTCCTGCTCACGTTCAGGTCGTACAACATCTAATTACATAAACTCAGCTCCGGTTGACACAAGTGCCCGCAGGCACACGGCGCCGTCATTGGTCAGGCGGCGTTGTCAGTATCACTACCAGGACGCCTACATGATCGACAGCCGGCGGTCGAACCCATACCTAGCCATCATTTTCCAGGAGCGCTGCGGGAGAATCAAGGTTCGAGCGGGGACTAGGCATGTTCAGGAGGCGTGCAGCGTGCTGCGCTACTACCGGTAATAAGGAAGCACATCCTCCGTGTTTGTTGTGTAGTATTGACAATTTCAAGAGTCGATGCCGACAGCAGCGCTGGAGGGCACGAAGTGCTGTGTGTTTCTGCTCTCCTCATGCTTCTCAATTGTCGGTCATAGGTGGTAACAATACGGGTTATTGTTAGTGCTTCCACTGGATCGGACCGTAGACTCGCGGGGGTCATAACGAGAGGCAGCACAGTGGCCAATGGTAAGTGTTCTAGTAAGTACCTTCTGGGTTTGAGACAGTCGGGTTGTCGAACTACCCGTCGTGCTGTGCAAGGTCGGGTTTCTCGCAGAGTTTCGTCCTCGAGGCCCCGTGCGCCCCGAGTCGTGTTTCACACAGCCCCACACTGCCTGGTGTCTGCATACAATTGGCTCCCGTCGCACCGACTGGCGTTGTAACAATGAGATCGTGACGAACTCCTATCCGAATCTGGATCGGGGTAGCGCGACCTCTTGTAGTAAGTACTACTGATTGCTGTGTACGCGCCCTCGAAAAACGGCGCGCGTGCCGTCACGGGAAGCACGCTAGTGGTAAGTGCTGCTATTCGTCGACCCGGTTGCTCACCGGTTCCATGACAGAAGTCTCACAGGTTTGAGACCATTCCAACTTTGCGATGCGTCCACAGGGGCGACCTTGTTCGCTAGTGTCTCCCACCGGGATCGCCGTTGTATATAATATCTGCGTTAATGTGAGGTGACCTCTATCTACGGTCGCACACCTTCTTCTTTCTTGCTTTCGCAGCCCTTTTGCTTTCTTCCTGGCCTCTTTCACGTCATGTTCTCTTCCTTTCTCCTGCCCATCGCCCTCGCCGCCTCGGTGGTTACGGCTCAGACCACTACGGACGTTAACTCACTGATCGCCGAACTCATTACCGCTCCGAACCACAAGGGTCGTGTTGGCGATCTTCCCAAAGACTCCGATGTATGTTGAGCTCTTCGTCTGCTTGGTTGCCTGTTTTGACAACACCTTTGTAGTTCGTCTTCGACTTCGCTAATCCCCCGGCTGCTGGTGTGACCACAGGTGCCGGTGGGCACCTTGTCCTCGCGTCTGTCGCCGACTTCCCAGCGCTGGTTGGTAATGGTATGTGGCTTGTACTCTACCATGGGTCCTGGAGTAACTGAGTTCTGACTCTAAGGTATTGCCATTGCCGCCGGTTTCCTTGGGCCATGCGGGATGAACACTCCCCATACACACCCGAGAGCAACCGAGTTCCTCTATCTAGTCAACGGGTCGCTCACGAACGGAATGATCACGGAAACGGGCTCTCGCTTTATCATCAACAATATCACGTCTGATCAAGCGATGCTCCTGCCCCAGGTTTGCCTGATATTTGCGTTGAGTACAGACCACACGATGCTGATAACGGCGTAGGGCTCTATCCACTTCCAGTTCAACGACAACTGCGAGACTGTACACTTCGTTTGTACGTGTGATGCCTTTGTATCCGTCACATGCATCTCACGTCTCCTGCAGCCGCTCTGAACTCGGCTGACCCCGGTGTACTCTTGGCTGCGCAAGGGCGTAAGTGTTGACTTAGACGTGCCTTCAGGTCACCGTTAACGTTCCATTTCTAGTGTTTGGCTTGCCTCCGTCTATCGTTGCTGCGTCACTCGGTCAGCTGGGTGTCGAGGAGGTGGCTGGCATTGCGACTATCGTAAGTGTCACCTGTACTCGGTAGTTGGTGCCCAGGATTGATGTCCGTTGCAGATTCCTGATGACATCGCCTTTGGCTCGCAAGAATGTCTGGCGCGGTGCGGCATCAACCCCGGTCAGCAGCCTACGAAAGAGCAGGTCCCTCGTGTCTCCGGCAATGCTCTTCCTTCGGCCATCATGACTGCTAGTGCATGGACCCCATCGGCGACAACGCCCTACACGAACCAGAGCTCGAACCAGAGCCGGAGCGTCCTCGGAGCAATCGCCGACTCGTCTTCGGGTTCGTCAGGCTCGTCCTCCAAGATGCAACCAGTTGAGATCGCGCTTATCGCTGTCGTGGGTGTCATGGGCGCGGGTTACCTCGTCATTGCGGCCATCTTCTTCATGCGCCGCAGGAGCAGCGCAAAGCAAAACCGCACCTATACTCGTCCTCCCATGAAAGGCCGCGCCCTCGTCCCCACTCTCGACAGCGAGGTCCCTGACGTCTCTGACGACAAGCCTTACGACCCGGCTGATTCGCAGCAGTCGTTCTACAACCATCTCCACGCATGATTACTCTTCCGAGTCGTTCGTTCTAGTTGTTGAGTCACGGCTATGACGTGTTGGGCCTTTGGGGTATCCTTGTTGATTGGTAGTATGGCTAACGGACAAATACCTTTTTGTAGCCGTATCATTACCTTCTAGAACTAATTTATATTCTACGTCTGTCTTTCGCAGCCATGACAATCAAATTGTATGGGATCGCGAGCTGATAATGAGCGATTTGCCGCATGTTTCAGAAGACTATTGACTCTGAGGCATGTCTCGACAGAAAGGCCGGGTCTCACTGGACAATAACCTTTCCATTGTGATTGGTCAAAATGGCATCGATCGTATCTCAATTGTCGACACAACTTGCAGTGAAACGCGTCGGCGTTCCAAACCTGTCATGGGAGCCTGCGCTCCAAGACAGCCTTCTCTTTCTCTGGAAATGAGAACGTCGACTGCGCCCGACTTGTAATCGAAGAGCTGAGCGTCCAACCTCAGAATGAAGTCAGGGTATGTCGGGCTTCAATACTACGCACAGTACCCACGAAACATGTTTCGGACAGCCAAGCAGACCGAAAATACCGTGACGTAGGCGGTCAATGCATGACAAAATATCTCATCCTTCACCGAGCACTGACCGAGACCGAGCGTAGCTGACCTCCCCGGGGGCTGTGTCTGCGCGTGTAGTACTCCACCCCAACAGGCTAGCCCTGTAGGTCGCCCGGGAGTCAGTGGTTCATGTATGTGCTTGAACCCAATAATAGCATGCCTGTACAGAAGACATCACAGACAAACCACAATGCACATTGGACGTAGGAACAATACTCATTAAGGCGCTGGCACTATAAAATGAGGTGAGACGGCCTGCAGGTTGCTAGTGTGGCATCGGCTGCTCAAGAGGGTCCCCAGGCACTCAAAAACAGCATCCTACCTTCGCCTACTAATCGCCAACACTTTCGCTATGTTGTCGCCTTTCATCGTTTCGCTGATCCTTGCGATTGCACCGGGGGTTATTGCTCAGAATACGACGAACACGACATCTTTAATTGAAGAGCTCATCGTAGCCCCCGATCATGTCGGCCGTGTTGCTGACCTTCCGAAGGACTCTGAGGTAAGCTCCACGATATTTGGTATGATAATGATGCTGACTTGAACGCCATACAGTTCGTCTTCGACTTCTTGAAACCCCCGGCAGCCAGTGTTGTCCAAGGTGCCGCTGGACATCTCGTACTGGCATCGGTTGCCGCTTTCCCTGCCCTGGTTGGTAACGGTGAGTTGCATCGCCTGTTTTGTAGCACATTGCTTACTGACACGCCACTACCAGGTGTTGCACTACTGGCAGGGTTCCTCGGGCCTTGCGGAATGAACACGCCACATACCCATCCGCGCGCAACCGAGTTTTTGTACCTGGTCAACGGTACCTTGCAGAACGGCATGATCACCGAGACCGGGTCACGATTCGTCGTCAATAACATAACGGCAGGCCAGGGAATGCTTCTGCCTCAGGTAAGAACAACGTACGCTGGATCGTACGAGTCATTGATAGTATTTTTGCAGGGTTCCATCCACTTCCAGTTCAATGATAACTGCGAACCTGTTCAATTCGTTTGTGAGTACTTCCCGGGAAGAGTAGCCGTCACCGTCTAATATTCACAACAGCGGCACTGAACTCGGAGGACCCTGGCACCTTGCTCGCTGCGCAGGGCTGTAAGTTTGATTAGCATCATGCTGAGAATCACGGAGCTCACAATGACGCACACAGTGTTTGGCTTGCCTGCTGCTATCGTGGCTGCAACTCTGGGAGAGATCGGCGTCGAAGAAGTAGCCAGTCTTGCAGAGATGGTGAGTATTGTGTAGTTTCCTGATCGTTGAGTGAAAGTACTCAAAACAGTAGATTCCAGATGACGTAGCTTATGGATCCCAGGAATGCCTGACGCGTTGCGGCATCTCTGTCGGCCCAGGTGCACAACCGACCAACGAGCAAGTGCCCAGGGTTTCGGGGAACACTCTTCCTTCCGAGTCGGTCAGCGCGTCGACCACAACGGCGAAGTCGACAGCGAAAGCCGAAGTGACGAACCAGAGCCGTGATCTCCTCGGTGGACTTGCTTCTGACGACGAGTCGGAGCAGCCGGTTGTCTTGGGAGATATCTCATACAACTCCGAGAAGGGCTCGGGGGACCACGCTGCCTTGACTGCACTGGTCATACTCGTCATGGCCATGGGATCCGGTTACATCAGCCTCGCAGTTCTCTTCTATGTGCGTCGCAATAAGGCTGCCAAGGCTCATGGGCGCGGTCCCGCATGGGCCACTTCCGAGGCGATGGAAACTGCGGCACTGACGTCTCCCCTCGAGAAGTACGGCAAAGATGAAGAGTCGTATCGTTTTGCTGGCAAATCTTCATGAACTTCGACTACTGGGATCCGAGGTGCAGTACGGGTACGGTCATGCGGCGTACGCCTGATTGCCAACGGACTCCAGAGTGTACGATTATTTGAACTTGCGTACATCTTCAATGGGAAGATAGTTCCTTGTTACTGATGAGCGTATTTATTGTTGTAATCTACCACAGCCTGTGGAAGACGGTACTTACTGATGATTGTGTGAATGTAGACTCTTGCTGGCGAAAGCTGGCGACTCCCATGATATGCAGTCCGTCATTGCCATCAGATCTCAGATTTCTAACCACGCATTCTGCCGAGCGCCACAAACTGTACCGAAAGGACTCCCCACAATGTATTCAAAAGCTACAATTCAACTCAATACAGATCAAGAATAGTCTGTAGCACTCAGTAGAACATGAATTTAGTGAGGGGAGGCACGAATCGGAACAAGACTTTCGGCCAGACTAGCTTACGTAAGCAGACCGGGCCTTGGCAACAGCCACCTCAAACGGAAATCGAACTGTGGCCTTCCGGCGTACCATACACGCTTCAGCTTCAAAGAGCTTCAACCCTCATCTCGTGCATATCCTCTCGAGGGCAGCACTGACACAAGGATAGAAGTCTCAACAGTCGACGCGGCATCGAATACAAGCGGGACGAAATGGGCGACAATGGCACGCCTGCGCCGCCAATGCCACTGGCATGGTCGCGGTCTAGTGGTACAAGTGGCCCAAGCTTGGAACCCTGCCGGCGTGGCGAGCCGTGGTTTGACGATGGGAACATCATTCTCCAGGCAGGCGATACCATGTTCAAAGTTCACATGGGGGTGCTAGCGAAGCACTCGTTGGTTTTCAAGGACCTTTCCACGATTCCTCAACCAGTCGATGCGCAAAATCACGGAGATACCCCGATCGCCGAGTTGCATGACCACCCCAAGGAACTCGCTCGCCTTCTGGATGCTTTCTATTGCGGTCCCATGTGCGTATTGGCATGAGGTCTGATTGATCAGGAGCGAATATTGACTTGTACATCGAACTTGTAGCTTCCTGCGAAACGAGATGCCAGACTTTGCGTCTGTCACATCTCTCCTCCGTATCGGACATAAGTATACTGCAGAGAGCCTCTGCGAGGACTGTCTCGGACGCCTCCGAAAAGCCTTTCCACTTCGGAGCGCATTTCCGTATCCCTTCAGAACCTGCGAAGTTACCGACCACTTACCAGGTTTCGTGCTTGAAGATGCCATTGAGGTCGTCAATCTAGCTCGTCTTATCTGTGCGGCCGATTTACTCCCAGCGGCACTGTACGTGTGCTGCCAACTGGACCATCGCACTCTACTACATCGATTGTCCCCCTTCCGCGTCAACGGCACAGACCGCGGCCTTTCCTTGGATGATCTCGAGCGTTGCCTGGACGGGAGGGTGCAGCTCTGCCGTATATATGCGGAGATGTCGATGAAGCTCTTTGGTCCGCACGATCCTACAACAAATCGTTGCTGCACGGCCAAACAGGCATGCCCTACCAACAAAGCGCGAATGCTAGAGTCGTTCGCGTGGCCGTCGTCGGCGTGCACTGCGGACGTAATGGACGGTCATCTGAACCTTTGGATGGTCATTGAAAGAGCAAAAGTGTGCGAGTCTTGCGAGGCGGCTATGCACGATACACACGGGAAGGTTCAGAAAGCGGTTTGGAAGGCCCTACCGACATTATTACGTTTGGAGGGAGTCGTGGAGACTGAGGCTCGATGACTCGGGCATGATGACTCTGAGGAAAATTCGGACGAAGTGAGTAGCCCTTTAACGTAGGAGCGACGACAGGTATCTAACCTTGCTCCCAGGTCGTGGCGATCTCGGCCAGAAACGCTTGCTAGCCTTGACTAAGTCACATCGGCATCATACAACCGTGAGCGGGTCAGAGTTGGGTCAGCGGCTTGATACTCTGGCCGCAGCGTTGGTATGGGCGTGTGTCAGTGTCAAGTCCCCCACCGATGAACGTGGACCGCTTGCATGTAAATGCATACTTGACACCCGTGGCCCGCACGACGCCTTGCTATAAATTAGACAATGGCGTCCATTGAATGCTTCAGCGCATCCATGACCCACCTCACGTACTCTATCGTTCGTTAAGTTCTATCTGGACTCTCATTTTGACCGGGAAATTGTACCTAGCACAACAGACCTCCCAATATACTACCCACAACTTTGATGCTCTGCTATGCCGCGTCCGTCCAGAGATATCGTATAGCACTACAGTAGGAAGAACCCATAGGACGCCAAGAACAGGAAGGCCCGCAGGTATTAGACTTAAGTGAATGAGAGAGACGTGAAGAGGAAGTCCATGGATGTAAACGACATGCTATGAAGTACGGAGGTATATATAGTCTGTCGGACAATGTATGTAGTGGAGAATACGAACGATGCAAGTGAGATGGGTGGTGTACACTGCATGGAGTGGACGCGCAGAAGTCCGTGAGCACGAGCGTAACGGAGGTTACTACTGTTGATGCAGTGGAACGATGATGGAAGGCATGAGGGGATCAGGTCGAGAAAGAGCGAGCGAGAGAACGGAGGGGCGGGATAAGGAGCGGCGTCCCGGGTAGCGGATAGCAAGGGCGAATAGAAGAGTAAAGTACTGTACAGTCAAGCAACCTCGATGTCGCAGAGAACCCGAGGAGAAGTATTATATCACCATCCGCGTACAGGATGTTGGGCTTTGGGGGATGGTCATGAGATGATCGTCTGTCGTCTCTGCTGCGCAGGTCGGCTCAAGATCTGGAAACCAGAGACCGGTCGAGAAGTCCGGTCGACGACGATGGCAGGCGGCGACGATGGCGAGGCGGGCGAGGGCATCGAAGAAGAGTGGTACGGTTGGGGACGCGAAGACCTTGAACTCGGACTCGGCACAGGCGGTACCTTGCTCGCGCGGCGGTCCTCGCGGTTCCTGTGATCCCTGCTAGGTTCGCCGCGTTCGCTGCGTGTAGCAGTGACCGGTGGTGCTTGCAGGTTGCTTCGGCGATGCAGGTCCATGTCGGCACTCGAGCGACGATGATGGCTGTAGTCCACCGGGCGCGAAGACGACGGCGACGGCAACGGCGCCGGCGGGTAGTGCTGGCTGGCCCGCACTGCACTCTGACCAGAGCTCGGCGGGAACGAAGCCTTCTGCTCACGGGCGACCGTCGGACTTGAGCTATGCGAGCGCGGCTCCGACCGCTCCTTGCTGTGATGCCGTGGCGTAGGTGGTGTCGGGCTCGAGCTGTGGCTTCTGCGCTGGCCGCTGCTCGCGCTGCTGTCGCGATGGCTGTTCTGGCTCGGTGGGCGGTACCCGAACTGCTGCATGACGAACGGCGGGGTGGGCGGGAGCAATGGCTCCATGCCCATCTGCATGGGAGACATGGGGTAGCCATGGACAGGGACAGCGACGGGGACAGCCATCGGCACGGCCATCATCGGGACCCCCATCATGCTCATCCGGTTCATCTGCATGTTCATATTCATGTTCATGTTCATGTTCGGCGACATGCCCATCATCGGACTCGTCATCCACATCTGCGACGACGGCGACGACACGCCCGGGTTCGGATTCGAGGACGTCCGGTCGCGCCCGCCGAGGCTGCTATCTGCCATCGAAGAGCGGTTGGCCGCGCCCCGACTGGAACTCGCACTCCTGTCGCGAGGCCGCACGTCAGGCGCGGAAGTCGACCGTGAGCCTGAAGCAAGGGCCGCAGGGTGGGGAGGGGCGAGATGTGAATGGGCTGAAGAGCCCCGCTGGCTGCCGCTCCCGCTGCCACTAGGTGCAGGCGACGCATTCCGAATGCTCGGGCTCGTCGGCAGCGGCGGGACCGGTGGCGGATCCCTCGACACGTCCCTCGTGCGACTGACGCTGCTGCGAGCCTGGCTCGACTCGCTGCCTCTCCGCTGGTCATAGACAGGCCTCGGATACGTTTCCGCCTTTTCCCGCTCCCTACCTCTCGCTGCGAGCGCCGACGATGACGCTGCGCCAGCACCGATGGTCACGTCCACAGCGCTCCCACTCATGCTCAGTTGCGGGGAAACGAATTTGGTGCTCTCACGCCGCGACCTTGCAGCGATGACCTCCTCCTGGTACATCCGCCGCCGTCGTTCCTCGTCTTCCCTACGGCGCTCCGCTCGGATACGCGCCTCCTCCTCGGCCTTCGCCTGCGCAGCGCGCCGTTGGACCTCCTCGGCCTGCGCACGCCGTGCCCGCTCGGCAGCAAGGAAGCGCTGCTTCTCGAGACGCTGTTGCTTGATGCGCTGGACATAACCGAGAGGAATGGTGTCCTTGCGCTTCTGGCGGTCGTTCTCCGAAGCGTCCGAGTCCGACGTCGACTCGTCAGAGTCCTTGCCTTTCGTCGACGGCGCGAAGCGGACGGCAGGCCGAGGGCTGTCCTGCTTCTGTTGCGGCCTAGGCGAGGTGGCTTGGAGGGTGACAGTGGCAGTCGACGTGCTGGTGCTGGGCGTTGGCGACGTTGACGATGTGCTGGAGCCAGAGATCGATGACGGCTTGACGGGAGAGTAGGGGTTGGGAAGGAGCATATTTGACTCCATGCGAAGAGGAGACGGCATTGCCTTGTATGGCTGCTGGCGTTGTTGAGAGGAGGAGAGGATGCCTAAGAGCATACGGAGATGAGATTGTCAGCACTCCTGCCGGGCGAGAGGTGGGAGAATAGATAGGGAAGACATCGAAGGTCCAGTGCACAAAGAACCGACGGCGTACTGTATTGTCAAGCAACAGGCGACTGAAACGAGGCTCACCTGATGGCTGCTGGGGCGATGAGCCCGGCGTTCTCGAACCCGCGTCTCCTTTCACGCCCTCCTTCACATCGTTGGCATTGCCTGCCGCTGCGCCTGTGAGCAGGGTCCCAGTGGGCGTCGGCGGTCCACTCGACGTCGGGCTGGATGTCACGCTTGACGACGTCAGCGAGAGAGGCGGTGTGAGCTGCGGCGGCGAGCTGTCCATGGTCAGCTTTCGCTCGAAGTCGATCAGCTCGCCCAGCCCACCCACGCCGACGTCCACGTTCAGTGCGGGGGCCGCGTGTAAGTCCTGTGACAACCTCCGGGGGAATTCGATGGAAGCGGGGATCTCCTGCGCCTTCGGGAGCTCCAAGGTTGGGCTGGTGGTCAGCGTGAAGGTAACCTCGGTGGCAGCGTCTGTTTCTGCGTCTGCGGTGACCGTCATATCCTCGGCGAAATCGTCGTAGAGGCCTGCCAAGTTCTCAAGATGCTCACTGAACTCGAGCGCAGCAACGCCCAATATAGTTCCAGACACGGGCACGCACACAATGCCCTCCATATCAGGCTCGCACTCTTCTCCTTGTTCTGCGGGCCGGTACACAGCAAGCCGATCTTCGAAGCATGGGCGGTCGACCCATCGCCGCAGGCCCTCGCTCCGCGCGCATACACGACCACTGACGGCATTGTCGTCCAGATGGAGATGGGGACCCTTTGGCTGCGGCTGGTACTTGCCGGCGAAACGCTGAAGAGTCTGCTCGTCGGCACGACTGGGGTGTGAGAGGCGTGCCAGGACACGATTCTGGAAGAGCTGTGTCCGAAGGGAGCCTGTCATTAATGACGAGACCTGGGAGTGAGTGTTGCAGGAACGCGGGAAGAGCGGGCTGTTGGCGATATGCAGGAGGGGCGGGGGCGAGAAGGGGTGCGAGAGACCATTGTTCGCGAGTGCCCTGGTGTAGTCTACGGCAGACAGCGGCCTTGCGGGTGACGGGGTCGTCATGGCCGGTTGTAAGACGCGAGTGCGCGACGAGAGGACTGTTGGGGTGTGCGTACTGCTTCGAGAAAACTCACTGCCGGAGGACTCGTCGTCCGAGTCATGCTCGACCTGTGCGAGCGGGCGCGCAGGTGTCAGTCCAAGACGAGCTGCATGAAGACTGTCTATCCCGGAGGTCTGCGGGACAATGAGACTCGCCTGTACGTGAACAGCCGTCTGCGTCGGAGGTGCGGCGTCGGTCTGGAAGAGGAAGGTCTTTGCTCTCACGAAGCTGCGCGCATCGTCGTCCGGCGTACTGGGCCCGGCGCTGGAGGAAGACGAAGACGAGGGGTGATCGCCATCCAAGGTAATCAGGGGGCCAGCGGGCGGCTGCGCACGGCGAGAAAGCGAGCGAAAGAAGCTGGATTTGGGACGCGACAGAGTCGTTTGCTTTGTCTGGTGCGTGTCGTCGCGGGGGTTGTCGTCGCGAGCGGTAGACGCGTCGTCGCCCTGGGAGGAGGCGATGTCGGAGTGGCCTGAGCGGTGGCGGGAGCCAAAGACAGCAGCGAGACGACGTTTCATCTGCGCGTGTCGTCGAGTCGGATGAAGAGCGACGAAGGAAGCGACGAGCGAGCCTGAAGAGGGCGAGAAGGTGGATGAGGAATCAGGCCGACGTGAGCATAAGCGGTGTTCGGCCGGAAGAGAGAAGGCTGGACCGAGACCGAATATGGATCGAGACCAGGCGTTGCAGCGTCGGGGATGACGGGGGGAAGAACAGCGTGGAATCGGCGGGAGGGAGGAGGGGCGAGCGACGGGGTGGATGGTGGCCGACGGTGGCAAAGAGGGCAGACGGCTGTGGGCGAGCTCGTCTGGCTCTTTCCGGAACACACATGGGCGCTGCCAGATGCCCGGCCAGCGATGCCTCGCGTTTCCCCAGCCACGTGCTTCGGCAGCCCGTCCGCCAATCAGACCCGCGCCTTCCCCGCATTCGATCCTGCGACAGCCACCCGCGCGTCCACCGCCTGAGCCTCCCTCGCCCGTCCCCTCGCCGCCCGCCCTCGTCCGAGTCGTCGTCCCTCCCCACCCTCCAGCAGTCCCGCACGCCAAGGCATCTCGCTGCGTATGCTCCGTGCGCGTTGAACGATTTCCCCCAAGGCGTGCATATGCATCTCGCATGTGCCAGCATGATCACCTGTGGCCGTTTCCCATGCTGCCGACCCGGCTCCAGGTCTATCTTTTGCTCTCCTCTCCTCCGGCCCTCCTATGCTCCCTACGTACCGCACTCCTAGTCTGCCTGCCCCACCGTATGCTATACATGGGTTCGCTTCTAGGTGCGGGGACGCGGTGCTATAGCCCTCCGCTCCTTCTCGCAGTTCCACACACAAAAATATACGCGTCGGTGGCAGCACAAGGAGTCTGTTCGCCGTTGACATCCCCATCACTTCAACATCTGAATTCGCCCCGCCTGAGACTTTCCGCCCCGTTTTCTCATCGCGAGCCCGCACGATGCGATGGTGCGCGCGACGCTCTTGGCCGTGCATTCGCCATCTACGTTCATCAACACGCATCCTCACCGCATCGTTAGCAGTTCGTTAGTGCGCTCTTCGTGCTCCCCTTCAGGCCTAGCGCCGACAGGTGCCTTGGCCCTCCGACGTCCGTGCCCGAACACCATCCGCGCGTTCTTCTGCAAACTCAGATCTCATTCAACCCCCTTCGCATCTGCCTCGGTCCGCACCTCTCCCATTCCCCGGTTCGATTGGCCCGGGGCCCGGGACACTGGCTTCGACCCTCCCGCGCCACCTTCGGCATCCACGATTTCGACGATTTCAACAGACCCACCATGCGTACTGCCGTTACGTGTGTACGGTGTGCCCTTGCTGCATGCAGGATCTCTTCGGCCTCTGTACGCCCGCTAGAGCTGCATTCGCGCTTCGCAATACATTTACCCTTCCCAGTCTGCGTCATGCCTGGTACGCAATCATACCGAAAACGCTGGAATGTTTGTTTATCGATGACGCGACTAATCGAACTGTGTCTTGTGTGAAACGCAGTGCGTCATGTTGGCACGTATCGTGCCGCTGATGCGCCGCCGTTGCGTTGGGCTGCGCCCAGTGCAACCTCACGCCGGTGCCGTAGACCGTTACCCTACTCACTGTCATCGTCGCTTTAGCCTTATGGTATGTTCTTCTCAACCCTCTATCTGGCAGATATGTTCGCAGCATCTACTAGTGGCTCTAGCACCACAAACAAATTCGGCTCCAGCTTCAGCCAGCACAGCGCGGTCAGGGGCCGCCGGAGTCAGACGTGATGGTGATCGACACATCGCTCCGGGACGCGCCGCGGTCGCGCTCCGAACACCGAGGAAAACAAGCGATTTAGGTACGCCCCTGCGTTGCCCCTGCGCCGATTTTACCTGGGCCCGTAAGGTTGGTCTGCTCAGCGCCCGATTACGACGCAAACGTTCGTGCATCAACGCCAATTTTGGAAAACATCGGAATGTTTGTCGAGCGTGCTGTCCCGCTGGAACGCGTACATGTCGCTGCGAAGTGGTAAGCATGAAAGTTCTGAATGTCAGGCATTGACTTTTCGCGCCGCCGTCGCGCCCGCCTCGAGCGACCCATCCAGGCCCGCCCCAGTTCTCTTGCCTTCCTACATTGAGGCGTAGTCTCTCGACGGGGCGCAGCCGCGGCTTTGCATCCCACCGACCCATCAAGTGGACTTCGCAGCGATGCATCTCATCCAACTCCTGTGAATGACGTTCTGCCAAGTTTTCTCAACGGAGCCCCGCCAGCGCGCCGGTGCACCCACACTCGGCACCCTCGCGACAAGGCTCGTCTTCGCAACGTTCGCGTTCCCATTGTTGGGTATTTTGGCCTCGACGATTCGGAGCACTCTCACGCTGCGGCCTCGGCGGGCGTCGTCCCAGGACACGCTCATCGGCCGCACACTCCCACGCTGTGTGGTTCGCGCTTCGCAGTGCCAGTTCGGAGTCACGGTGGACGGGTTTGCCACCCTGGCAGGGGAATGGATGATCGAAGCGTGCTATGTATACCAATATGTGGACGGTGGATCGAACCCCATTCTGTGAAGTGGACGAATGGGGCTGGCGAACCACTCGCCCACGGATGGGTAGGTTCTCGCCGGGATAAATGCCAACGTGGCGCACGCTTTTCAGGCAGTCGGTGCGAGGCGCTTTGTGGACGGTGTCTTGACAACCGCCGCTGCCGCGAATGGAGAGAAGCGGTGACCGGTGAAGTAGCAGTCCGAGTCATTTGTATTTATTCAATCGAGGAAGTAGCTGACAGTTGCCGACAGCGAGCGGTCCACGTCCGAGGTTCATGCATGTGGCGGGTCGTCCGGGAATCAAGCATCACGCATCATGCATTGCGCAACTTGACTGTCCATAGTAACTATGTGCGGCTCAGACAGTGACCGTCGCTCGGCCGCTGTTCGCGGTCGCCCTACTCGCTACCGACGGCATCCATCGAGTGCACTATTTTGCAGGCACGTTCGTAGCGCGAAGGATCGAATGAACGCCCACCCAGTACGTCGTCTGCCAAATGTTGCTCGAGACCTTGAGGTGCAATGGTCTGGCTGCCCACAAGCCTCACCTCGCGGCCGGTGAGTTGTGTCCGTTAGGCAGCAGCTTAACCGGGGAATTGCGTATAGAAGCTGACCGCGATAGTCATCTCAGGATTCGTTCCAGGAGTCTTTTCCCAGGTGCCTTCAACAAGTTGTGCGCTGCATGAAATCCCGAGTTCAGACACTATTCGGCACGCAAGCCATGTTTGTAATGTCCTGAGTACTGTGGCATAATTCGTAGGCGCAATGGCAACCTCGATACGGTTCTCCGGCAGGCCTGATGCGGCCCTTGCATCATCAAGTGCGTATTTACGTCGCCTACACGTCGGTACGCTTCACAATCGATTCACCGTGACATCTTCGTCTAGACTGCTCTGTGCGGATTCGCGAGTCCCTGGACTGTCTACGCCAAGCAGTGCAGGTCATCGGCACCGCTCACTTCACCGCCGTGCAAGCAAGTTGACCACGCGGCAAAGGAAGCACAGGGAATGTGCGCGGCCGTTGTGCCAAAGGTTCTGCGGGCCCACGCCACCTGCAGGACCACGCTCCGTCCTCCACCCTGCGGACCCGGCCATCGATAGCTCGCTGGCAGAGCATGCTGCCCCACCCAGGGTCCATTGCTCACCACGATCGCGGAGCAGACGTAAGCGGTCTACCGGTGAGTGTCGATGTCCAGCCGCATCTTCACCGTGGCTCACTCGGCAGTGATCACCGCTGGCTCAGCCTGAGGATGGTACCCTAAAATACTGCAGGATCGTCTTACGGCTGGTGGCCTATGCGGGTACTGGATTGGCCCACACTCGAGGGCCATCGGCCACCGTCTCCGCGGGGACCTGCCAGTGAGAGGGCAACAATCAAACAGTGTGTGGCCCGTAATGTGAATGGGACTGCCCGTCTTGCGGATCTGTAAATCGCATTACAGATACGTCCACCTTGCGAAGGCTCGTATCGCGCGGGCCCTTGTTCTACCTCACGCCTCGTTGTACGGCTAGCATATGGGCGACCCGCCATGTTGCTCCGCCGGCGGCGGTACAACCAACAAAGCGTCGTCGAAATGCAATGAGCTTAAGGTCGCGACGTCATCCTCAGCTCCTCCCTCCAGGAACAAACCCGATCCAGCCTCCCGCTACACAAAAGTACACAAACAACGCGATCATGATCAGGTACGCGCGTCGCGTATCAGCGACCAGCCGACATCCGAACCTACGAACGTACTTGCCGGCGGGGAGCATCACGATTCACAAGCGCTGGTGGGGTCGCACAGTCGAAGGAATCTACTCAACGTCCCTACAGGGTTAGCCCCACTATTTCGAAATCAACTAGTGGAGAGGGTTGTTGCGGCGACCTCTCGCCGGTGAGTGAAGTCGGGAGCTAGCAGCTCATGCATGTAGCTTCTTTCGCTATCGGAGGGGTGCGTTCTTGAGCATGGTATCTTAGGGTGGTGCGGTAGGCGATGCTGGTTGCTGCGGAGGGATGAGCCCGTACGTAGAGCGTGTAGGTCATGGCTCGCCTGGCGGGAGGCGAGCCCGAGATATGGTACACGAGTAGGATATACCTACGTGATATGCCGACACTATAATAGCGCCCACAATGAATACGTTGGTCAACCGACGGTGCGGCAAGACCCTACCAGCTTCGTGAGTCACTTGCTGCGCCAAAGTGATGCAGTCAAGCCTAATCGGCGTCATAAAATGCATGACATGCTGAACGATAGTACATGTACCAGCAACCTGAGATCCTCTTTCAGCAGCTACAAAGAGCTCGGCAAAGCGAGAGGCATATAGATGGTATGGACAGTGCTCAAGCAGGAGTGCAAGGAGGGCGTGAAAGAAACGCATCGTAAAATCGGTATGAGGATACACGGACCCATCAGGCCATACCGCCGTATGGACCGCGTATACGTCGCGCTAGTTGAATATCTTTCTGCATGAGTGTCACTCGTTTTGCGTGAATTGCGCAAAGATTCCTGATGTGAATGTGAGCGGCCGTGTGTAGTACCAGAGAATAATGACATACGCATCCTCAAATAGATGCACCAGATATGCTTCCGTAGCCTCTTGCAACGCCAAAATAGCGGAGCTTTGCCATCGTAGACCCATGTCACCATAATCCACCATGTCCGTCATCATGTCCAGTGCAATCTCGCGCACCTACGCGTGCCCCGCAAGGGACGTGTCAGAAAACATTGACTCGCGATGCGTCCTGGCAAAGAACACTTACGACGCGGGAGAAGGGCAGTTTGCGGATGAGGAGCTCAGTGCTCTTCTGGTATTTTCGGATCTCTCGAAGAGCCACCGTTCCTGGTCTAAAGCGCTTTTCTGTGGTTGAAACACTCCACCGGTCAGCGTCAGCATTGGCTATAGCGAGCATTACGTACTGCGCGCTGCTTTCCCGGAACCTCCGCCGCCGCCTCCTCCTCCTCCGCCTCCTCCACCGCCGCCTCCTCCTCCGCCACTACCACCGCCGCTTGGACGCCCACGGCTTGGCCCTGCATCGCTAGGACGATTGCCTTTCGGGGGGTTTCCGCCAGTGCTTTTGCGTGCTGTCCCGGTGCGTGGCTTCTTGGCTGGGGCGGGTGGCGCCTCATCGGAGCTGTCTTGGTCGTACACAGGTTGCTTTCGCTTGCCTTTCTGTACCGTCTGCGCCATTCGTATTCGTAGAACGCGACAAAACGCGTGAATAAGTGTCTTCTGTCGTAAGTTTCAGTCTTGTCAGTGAGCGTGAGGTTCAAATTGGTGCGGTGCGCGGGGTGTGGGAAGAGGTGTCGCAAGACGCGTCGAGGGCAGTGCAAAGCGCGTGTTTGGGTACGGAGATGGATTGGTGGGAGGGTATCACGGGTGTGAGGTGCTCGGAGAGCGAGAAAGCAGATATGGCCTTGCGCGCGTTTGAATCCGAACGAAACGCGTCGCCCGCATACGGAAGGCGTGACGCGTGGCACGTGCAATGCACGCGCACGCGAAGTCGGGAAGCGCGACCGTGACTGCCGCCTGCTTCAGCCACTGCGATTCTGCCTTTGTCTCTCTACCGTCACCTCCTACGCCACTCCCTCCTTGTCCCCCTCATCAGACAAAGTCTAACCTTCATACGACCCCTATACCTACGATGGCCATCATTGAGGAGGCGATCATAGGCTACTACCGCTTCACAGACATATTCTTCGAGTGGCACGTACCATCTTGGCCACTGATCAGCATGCAGGGCATCTAACGGCGTAATTCTGCTTGTCAAATACTTTCAATGTAGGCACAAGGCTTTGCCCCACCAGGAGGATGTGGGACCTCTCAAAGCTCTTCTAGCATACCAGGCCCTTGTCCACCCAGATCATCCTCTGCGCAACGGAGGGAATGAAGGGCTTGAGCTTCACCTGGGTATATCTCAATACATGCACTTCTCCCAATAATACGGCTCATTTGCATCAGGCACGTTCGAGAGCGGAGAGATGCGTCTCCTTGTTTCCTCGGCCCAGGTCGAATACTTGCGCTACTGGCTGCACGCCATGCAGCTCACGAAAGAACTCATACCGATCCCGTCCTCGGACTACCTCATTCAGTCCAGCGATCTCACCAACTGCTCTCCATCTGTGTACAACGATGCGGCCGCGCTGAAGAAGGCGATAAAGGTACGTTCCCGTCGGAGGCGTAGGAGGGCTCGTAGGGGCGCTCGCTTGACCAATCAACAGACGATCGAGAAGAACAACAAGCGGATCAAAGGCGCGCCGTCCCTCCTCACGAACCGGAGAATTAACTTCGAGAAGATCCGCACCATCTGGGCTGCGAAGGTTGGGACATGGCTTGCGATCGACTTTGAGGCATGGGATCGTGACCATAGTCTGCTCACCGAGTATGGTTGGAGTCTCGTTCGCTGGGAAGGCGAGGGCGACAACAAGCGTGAGGTGACCGAGGACGGACACTTGATTGTCAAGGAATATCGAGGTTTCCATCAGACCTACGTCCAGGAAAACCGCGATGCAAGTGACATATACACCTGAGATGTCAAGCTAGAAATTAACACTGTCTCTTAGCACTACAACTTTGGGAAGAGTGAGGATGTCGACAAATTCACGTTCCGGCAGCGGATACGCGACATGATAGCCAAGTATCGTGAGATGGGTCCACTGTTCCTTGTCTTCCACGACAACAACCAGGATGTCAAGTCAGTATCCCGTTCTTTCTACATATACTGTATTGAGGTACTGATCTTCAACTCGCCCCCAGGTACCTCCGCAGCGACGCTATCAAGGCATTGAGCGACTTCGAGTATCTGCTCCCCGACCAGCCGCCCGAGAGCGGCGTGTACGTAATCGATACGGGTGACCTGTTCGCTGCACTGGAGGGTGAGGGTAGCGGGAACAAGCGTTCTTTGGAGCGTGCCTGTCGACACCTGCAGATTCCTACCGAATTCCTGCACAATGCGGGAAACGACGCGCACGTAAGCCCCAAGCCCTGTTCTTCAATATCTTCTGATTAACGAAACCTCACGTCTGTAGTACACCCTGGCTGCTATGATCGCCATGGCTTCGGGCGACACGCTCGATGTGCAGCGTGACAAGCGTTGGCCCAACCGCACCTCCAGCATCAACACGAAGGTCGAGTTCATGCCCTGGGAGGAGGACTCCGACGAGGACGACCTCGAGGCGATCATGCCGGGCAGTCGCGCCACGATGCAAATCAGCGGGGAGCAGGTGATGCCCAACCCGGACGGTAACGAGGACCTGCCCGAAGTGGAGGACGATATAACGGAGGCGCTGCAGAACGGGGGCCTCATCCCGGTCCACGCGTGAAGCGGGTGGGGCGGGCGGTCCCCCTTTTGCCGTGACTTCTGTTACCCTGGACCGCGGTGTACGATCGTACGAGGAGAGGGTTTGTTCCAGTACAGCGCAAGTGATTGTATCATTGGGTGACGTGTCTGTTTGTGCGGCTGTATGATGGTTGTTGTACTTGTAGTGCTGTATCAGAACCGTCAGTGTGTTTACTAGTCTCACATTATGAGACAGGAGTGATTCGATGAAATTATCACAAAGTATCCACCGGTGTATGACTTGTACCACCATATCATGGTTATCAGAACGTCACCAGGAATGTATTAGGGGGTTCCTTCATCCTTGAGTGCGGAGTGATACGAACAACACGAACCGAAGCCACCCCCGGTCATTATCACTGCACCTCACAGCGATGCCAACCAACACAAGAAGACCGACGTCTGTCCCACCTCACCGCCCGGGACCACCCACAAACACAACTCATCACCAAGTCTTAAACCTGCCCGTAGGGCTCTTCCTGCTGGCACAACGAAGCGGGTTTTCCGAACATTGTGTCTCGTTCTGCAGCCTCCGACCAGGCGTGTTACAGGATCACCGCTACCGCGCCATTCTATGGCTACATGCCCAATTGTTTCATGTATCATCGTATCGTCTGGGAAGCGAGCCCCAATGTTGCCAACTGCCCCTGCACTCTCTCCAGACATGGATAGCATGTAGGGCATGAAGGGTAGAGGGCCCTTAGTCCTCCTTATCATCGTCGTCCGGCTCGTCCTCGCCCTCGTCGTCTGAGCGCTCGTCGGTAATATTCGGCTGCGCATCAAAGATTGCCCTATGAGTGATGATGGATGCACCAGATTATCAGTCTCGCATGGGAGAGCAAAGAGAAGACCAGTGTACGCACCGCAAGGCTATTCGCCAGATGAGGGCATACCAGAATAGGTTGAGGAACTGCAAAAGTAGAATGGGCGCAAAGATTTGATACTTCATCCACCACACCATCCAGACGCCGTCCTTAGGAGACCAGCGTTTCGAAATTTCTCTGTAAATAGCGTATGTTCAGTAAGAAATTGTCGGAAAGGCTCCAGTCATGAAGTGATGCACGCACGGCATCAGATCGAATTCGGTCCACACCGAGTATAGCATGACGAGGTTCATCCAGTGTCGGAAATACGACCAGATAAACATGAATATCACGAAGGAGATTGTCTTCGCACGTTCCCATTGTATGTAGTTGAGAAGTTTGGAGAACTGAAGCATCACGCGTTAAAACTCTGGGCGCGCAGTCAGGGGTGAATGTCACGTACGGCGAGGAAGGCATCCGGGACATCCATGCTGAGATACACCGCATTCCCAATGAGGGTGAGATTGACCAGGTAGCTCCACCTATGGAGGCATAGAGGTTTTACGAGAGGCTACTAAACAGGAGCGTCGGACGTACCCGACGAGCCACAGCGTGACGAAGTGGTGCGCGACAAGTTCGGCGTAGTCCTTCCGCGGCTTTTCAAGGTTAAGCAATAGAACCACGAGCTGCTGACACCAGTAAGCTGCTTGCATGAGATAGTAGCATTTAAGCTCGGGCTTCATGTCCCAATGCGGATAATCTGAGGCACAGACGTGAGCTTAACTCGTCAGTGCAACTCATTAATTGGACATGCCGATCCAGAAGTACTCCGTACGGTACCACCAAGTCGGCAGTTGGGACATGATGCGCTGTGGAGTGTTTCAGTGACGGTAGTGCGGGATTCATATAGGAAAGCCCACAATTCCCCATGCGCCCATGACGATGAAGTAGAGCATCGCGTATCCCTGCTCTCCGAACCGTGCGAGCTTCGCGTGCCTCTTGATACCAAACCACCGCGCTATTGGCCCACACACATGAAGAGTTACAACCTGCCGGACCCAAGACCAGAAGACGATATAGTACGCGATGAACACAAGATCCAAGTAGCCCTTTGCATAGCGCGGGTCATCCGGGGACGAGGTGGGGATATAGTGGGAGATGAAGAGGAGGGGCGCGAATGGGTTGGGAGTTCCAGGAGCAACGTAGGGCGTCACAACCTCCCAGTTGCAGTAGAGGACGACAACAATGAGGAGTAATTTGAAGGAGGACCCTGGCATGGACGTCAGTATTGAGGACAATGTGCGGGGGGCTCCGGCGTATGAGAAATCAACGTACATGGTACAACCACCCATCTAGAGGAGCAAAGATCGGCCACGAAGCCTGCAGACTTGGTGGACCAAGGGTCTAATCTGCCAGCGGGGCTTGCGGGGGAATTTACGGGAGAGTCGTACTGTGCGTTCAGAGGCCTGCGGGGACATTAGCTAGTCCACAGGAGTGTACTCGGCACAGACGCACGTCTGCGGCCTGAAGGGGCCAGCCAAATGGTGCTGGGCATCTGTCCTGCACGCACACGAGCTGGGTGTAAGCAGTGCGCCGTCACGGGGAGCGATACAGGCTCACTCGATGTTGTTGAAGGAGTCGCGGAGGCGGAGACCGGGCGCGCGAGCCTTGAACTTTGCCCGTCTGTCTGACATGGTTCGCAGCGGACGCGGGGAGGGCGGCGGTATGGAGGAGAGAAGCGGGCGAGAGCCTGGCGACTCCGAGAGCCCGCAGCGGTTCGTCTGCCGGGACCGCGCGAAGGAGCGCCCGACGCGCCCGCCGCTCGGCACGGCAGCTGCCTCCACGCTAGGCGCCCGGTACAGAGCGAGCAGCCACCGCAGGCAGCCAGGCAGCCACCATGTTCCCCGCCAAGGGCCTCTTTGCAGCCCTCCCCTGCCCCGACAGACCCGCCTGCCGCCGCCCTGCCTGTCTCTTCAGCCATGCATCCGACGCAAAGGACCCCCTCGCGCTCAACATCCCCGTCCACGCGCCCAAGGAGGCCCCCGTCGCGCCCGCGCCCTTGCAGCACAAGGCCACCGCGTCTGTCCCCGCGAAACGCCCCATATCGTCTGCAGCTGGACCAAGCACACCTGGCAGTGCACCAGGCTCTGTATCTGAGCCCCCTCGTAAACTGCAGCGCACGGGGCCGTCGAAGCGACCTGTCGCGGTGCCTACGGCGACACACACCTCCGTGAGTCCGAGCCCATCAACCTCCGACTCAGAACCCCCGACTCACATGTGTATCCTGACCTTCCGGTGTACAGACGGGCTGCCCTCTCATAAGAGTCCCTCCAGCCCAGTCGAAAGTCGCTATCCCCGTCCGCCAAGTATGTATTTTGACGATGACGGCGATGCATCCGACCAACCTCAGTCGCTCGTTCCGCAGATTATGCTCCAGCAGCTGTTCCAGCACTATGCCGTTCTCTACGAAAACATCCTCGCCCAGAATCCAACCCTAGCCTCCGAGCATGCCCTCCGACAAGAGGAAGAGGTGTATTCAAAATCAAGCAAGTTCACCTACCGTAATGTACGTATGGTGCCGTACATCGCCCGTCCTCCAGGAGCACCCTGACGAATTGCAGTATTGTATCCTCGTGTAGGCCATAATCACCTCCATCGCGACCCTCAAGAACCGGCGGAAACCCGATAACGCTTCACATGCCTCCGTCGGCACAGAAGGTGACCTTGCACGACGAGCCGAGGAGCGCAAGAAGCTCAATGCGCTCCGGCTGACCGCCGAACAGCTGAAGCCGTATGTCATGTCGCTCGACCAGCTGCGCCAGTGGGGCTATATCGTCGAGATTCCTCCAAGTGAAGGCGGATCACGACCAAGTGAAGAGGGCTCCGTGAAGACATGCGAACGATGCAGCACTGCGTTCAAAGTGAAACGGAGAGAAGACGCGTCGATGGACGAATGCATATACCACTGGGGAAAGGCGTTCTCGACCAAAGTCAACGGTTCGTTTTGAAATATGTGTTGGCCGCAAGACCCGTCACTAATCAATTACCTCGACGTCTCTGCAGGTGAAAAGAGACGCTTGTTCACCTGCTGTTCGCGTCCCGCAGACAGCGAAGGTTGTGAAAGAGGGCCGCACGTCTTCTACGAGTCGTCACCGGAGGACTTGCACGTCCGCCATCCATTCTCATATACCCGTGGAAGCAGGCCACCAGACGATGCGCCATCAGAGGAGACTAGCCAAGAGGCAGATGGTGAAGCCGACTCCGCACTAGACGTTGTAGCGCTCGACTGCGAGATGGTGTATACGACGGGCGGGATGCGCGTTGCCCGGGTGTCGGTAGTCGACGCGACCGGGAAGGAAGTCTTCGACGGGCTCGTCAAAATGGACGACGGTGTGGACGTCATGTACGTTGTTTCTCCGTCCCTGATTTGACCCGAGACATGTATAACCTTACTTGCGCAGTGACTACAATACGCGTTTCTCCGGCATTACCGCGGAAGCACATTCAGCAGCGCTCCTCCCATTGACCGCGATCCGCCGATCGCTCGACGCGCTCGTATCATCGAAGACGGTCATCATCGGGCACGCGCTCGAGAACGACTTGAGAACGCTGAGGATGGTGCATCATCAATGTGTAGACACGGTTGTGCTGTTCCCCCACCCAGCGGGCCCACCGTATAGACGAGCATTACGTGCATTGTAAGTGGTCTCGTCAGTGCGGTGCTTGCTGTTCGCGCTAACGCTTTAACAGGGCGAAGGAACATCTGGGTCAGACGATCCAACAGGGAGGTGGCACGGTGGGGCACAGCTCTGTCGAGGACTCGGTCGCTACTCTGGACCTGGTCCGATGGCACGTCCTGAACCGTCCACCGCCAGCGAAACCCGCCGCATCTGCACCACCAACGAACAAGCTTTGACCGTCGCTCTCCCCTGCTCTCATGTATACTCTCATTGCGCTCGGGAAGGTGTAGCAAACGCAATATTTAGATACCAGGTTAGACTTTCTTGCACGTACATCTCCCCCATCCCATCTCACATATCATGTAGCATAGTCTATGTATGCATTTCCACCCGGATCACACTACATTCCGTATTTTGCACCTAATAGGGGCGGGCCCGGCTGGCTGTGAGTATGGGTGTTATGGCCCCCGAGAACCGAGGCTACCTAGGCGCGCCATCGTGTCCTCGCTGTTCTCTTGCTCTTCGATGCTGTCGGCTTGTGTCACCTGCGGATGATGTGTGCGTGCTGAGGGTTGAGAGCGAGTCAGAGCGGGAGGGACGTACGACGCGGAGCACGGATTTCTTGGATGACTCCTGAAGCTCGCCGGCGATGATCAATTCGTCCAGGATCTGAGTAGCGGCGTCTGAGTGCTGTGATGCAAGTATGGTCGTACATAGACACGTACGGCATACGCTTTCTGAAAGTTGAAGATCCTGAGAAAGACATCAGCATACCGATTTGCGGCACAATATCCAGCCTGCTCACAAGTCAAGCTCGCACACCTGTTATGTATGCATCTTTAGCTATGACTGCTCTCATGACCTCAGAGCTAGAGGGCTTACATTCCCGAAGTAGCGGTCGAGCACCTCGACGTATCGGTGTATGATCTCCAATGTAATGAGCTCATTGTCCCCTGAGGCGATCCCGCATACGAAGAACAGCGACGCGTATCGCCGGTATACGACCTTCGTGTCTACATCAACGTCGTTAGGACTGCAAGGCTGGGTAGCCGAGATGCGTAGCTGACGCACCTTTGTACTCGAGAACATTGCACATGCGCGTCCTTCGCGCGAGAACTAGTTGTGTGACGTCCTTGACGATCTTGGCCTTGGTCTTCTGGGGCATCGTCGTGAACCATTTCGCGAGGCGAACTTTCCCTGGACACATGGTGAGTCAGCATACGCGCTATGTGTGAGCGGGGAGAGCCTACCTTGCCGGGAGACGAGCAGAATGTAGGTGATCATGGCGTGGTCGTCGCGAGTCGTGGGATGGGGAGGTGAGTGAGCGCGGTGTACAGCAACGATCGGCGCTCGGGGGTGCCTGTCGGGAATTGCCACATCGGGCAACTGCACAAACATGGCCAAGCGCGTGTCGATTGAGATCTGTCTTACGCGATCGACTCAGATCCACCGGCCCCGCACTAGATCCAGCCATCCGCCTGGGGAAGCGCGTCACTCGGCTTGAACCTCGACCACCACCACGCACGCCAATTCGCAGTGACTCAGGATGGATAGGAAACTCTCACTGCCGGACTTTCTCAAGATGCTGTCCACGAACAACGTGCCGGCCTCCAAGGCCATGGGCGTTGCAGGGAAATTGTCAGGCGAGCTTCGTCATGTCTGCTAACGCACGCGCAGAAATGAACGTCCCGGCAGGTACAAGACCCACAACACGCCATCGCAGCTCGGTCAGCTCACTGACGGCAAGCTGAAGGCCGCTGGAGTGGACGATAAGGATGTTCGCAAGCTGGTATTGGCGGCTATCCGCAAATCGGGCTACAAGGTCCCAGCAGCGGGTCCCTCCTCGCGCAACGCAGCCCAAAATACCAGCACGCCCGGGGCCGCAGATCCACCCGCTGCGTCTACAAGTGCCCAGGTCGAGGTGCGTGTATTGCAATTTAGCCGGGTTGCGCGATGCCCTTACATAAATTGTACGCGTGTGACGTTTACAACGGCGGCAGCGGCCCAGAAAGAAGCGCAAGCGAGATGACGATCTGAATGAACTGCTGCCTGACAGGCCCCCAGATGATGGCGAGCTCTACGGCAGCTTGGAGTTCAAGGAGGTGCTCGATGAAACGGTGCGTACCGTGCTTGGAACACGGCCCCCTGCTTGCGCTCAGCGCGGCCTCCTCGAGCTCTCGGGAGGCTTCCCTGTGTGCATGCAGCTGGCTGTGTCGAAAATGAACTCCGGCTCATGGGAGAGCATATGGTGCCATGTTGTATTACAGATCCTCATGAAGAAGTCCACGGCGGTGAACCGCGCCCCGATCATGATGGCATGGGCCTTCGTCGTGGCTGAACGGCTGGGTTTCCAGCGCGAGGAGGCTCTGAGTATAGGTACGACCTCATTCACCAAATTTTCGGCACAGCCGAGAGGCTGTGCGCGCGCACTGCATACCCATTGAATTTCCTGCGCTCCCAGCATCGGTGTACACGGAAATGAATGCCATTACCAAAGGCGTATCCCTCGGCATCTTCGACAAAGACAAGGGTAAGGGGGTGGAGGCCGCGCAGGGTGGCTCACAGCCGTACGTGGACCTCATGGGCCGACGGTAAGCCGCCATTTCCCTGTGTCGTTGGAGGGACCAAGACTGACACAGTGTCCTGCGCCTCGTGCTCCTGCTGTGGTGTTTCAAATTCCTCACTCCTATCCGTAGAATGTAAGTAGGGAGCACCCTTCACGATCAGATCCCCCGTTGCAATAGCTGAGGCTCTGAACGCTCATACCGGCTTCACGCAGACCTCTCTACCAAACAGCAAACGGCTCTTGGCGGGCTCTCTCCTCGGGCACGCCTGTCGCACCCTCCTCGGCATTCTCGTATATCACCCGGGCCTTACGGCAGACCGCGCCATTCGTCCTCGGTGCACTGCGCCTCCTGGCCAACAGCTACGCCCCAGCGGAGCTGACCCGCACAGGCTTTGCCCTCTACGCTGACTTCCGACCGGACGTGCAGGGGTGGGGTGGTCGCGCGGAGGTGCGCTGTGCGACGATCCTCGGGCTGAGGAATACGGACGTGAAGAAGGAGGACGAGGAGGCGCCGCTCAGCAACGTGCAGGGCATCGTGAAGATTGAGCCCACCACCATGGAGTCTGGAGGCGAGATGGCCCTGTCAGGGCTCGACGAGCCGCCCAATAAGAAGCAGCACATAGCGGCTATTGAAGACGAGTATGAGGCGGCATTGAACGACCCAATATTTGATGACGCGGAACTCAACCTGGACAACATCCCTTGATGCGCGCGGCAGGATGACCAACATGCACAACGAGCCCTCCATTCGCGATGCAGAGTTCTTCAGAGGGCATCGAAATATATGCAGGTAGTCATGTCATATAACATCTACACAGTGACCGACCACGGCGTCTAAGATCCGGAATGTCTTGCCTCACCCAGCAAGCACACATCCTCCCTTGGGTACATTACGGCTTGATGTTTTTGATGACAGCACCTGTGAACTCCGAGGTCGTCGCAGAGCCTGAAGCCATGCACTTGAGTCTAGATCCGCGTGCTACGGATGCGATATGTCACTTACCACCCATGTCAGCTGTGCGGACCTTGGCGGCGTTGATCACGTCGAACGTTGCGCTCGCAATGTTGTCGGCGAGGTTGTCAAGACTGTCAGGGCGTTAGTTTCATCGCCCTCAAGAGACATACTTAAAGACATACCCAAGATGCCTGAGCATCATGGTTGCACTCAGGATCATCGCAGCAGGGTTGGCCTTGTTGGTACCCATGATATCCTGGGCGACGTGACGGCAACCGGGCTCGAAGAGCGCGTACTCGCGGCCGACGTTGCAACCAGGGACAATACCGGGGCCGCCAACCAGGGCAGCACCGATGTTGGAGACAATCGCGCCGTAAAGGTTGGGCATGACCATCACATCGAACTGCGTTGGTCTTGCAACCAGCTGCATAGACCTGCGGAAATCAAGATGTCACCGGACGGTCTCATATCACGGAAGCCTTTGATGCATACGTGTTGTCAACGATCATATCGTTCGACTCAATGCCAGCACCCTTGTACTCCTCTGCGACCTTGCGGAAGGTGTTGAGGAACAGACCGTCACCCAGCTTCATGATGTTGGCCTTGTGCACGCACGTGACTTTCTGAATGGTAGAATGGCCACGGGAACGCCTGTGAGATGCCTATGACGACATAGTGCAGGCAATTGCATCGACGCACCTTGCGGCCGTTCTTGAGCGCAAAGTCGAATGCGAACCGTGAAATACGCTCCGCCTTCGCGCGCGTAGAGACCTTCAAGCTCTCAACGACACCAGGGTAGCTCTGGTGCTCGAGGCCAGAGTACTCGCCCTCAGTGTTCTCACGGATGATGGCGAAGTCGACGTTGTCGTGGCGGGTGGGGAAGCCGGGGAGGGACTTGCAGAGGACGACGGAGGCGTAAATGTCAAGCTGTTGACGCATCGCAACGTTCCATGATACGTGACCGGATTGAGAGATGGGGGTGAAGAGGATACCTGATGCGCATACTGAGCATAGAAGAGAAGAAACAAAGGAGTATGAGACATACCCTTCAGCCCGACGCGGTTCCGCCGCAAACTCTCCACAGCCTGCTTGAAGAGCTCCTCCCCGGACGAGGACATGCCAGAGACGTTGTATTGTTCCCACTCAATGGGAGCGTTGACATACTCGAAGATCTCCTTGACGGAGTCGGTAATCTCGTTACCGATACCGTCACCCGGGATCAAGGTCACCTAGAGCGATCTTTAGACGAAGACATTGCGTCCTGTTCACCAATACGCACGGTATAGACACCACCATACTTGGTGGATGGCTAGAGGAATGTCAGGCGATGCGGGCTATGCATGATACGCGGGCACGTACACGCTGGGTGACCTTGGGAAAGCCAGCAGAGAGAGTAGTGGCAGACCTCTGACGCGAGCATGAGTACGCGATCGGGTGCGGTGCATGGGGTACGTACTGCCTGGAGTGCGGGGCGGACGGCGGAGGCGAGGGCGTTGCGCAACATGGCGACAAGACGAGGGGGAAGAGGAAGAGGAGGGCGTGGCGAGCAGCGTCGGGAACGGCGTTGAAAAATGGGAATGCGACGTCGGCCGAACCAGGGCAGCGTAGAGGACATGCACGTGACTGGCGTCATACTGCAGCCCGGGGCGGGCGGGCGGCTGATCCGGGCCACATGGCGCCGTCTCACTGGGGCTGGCGACGGACGCGAGCATTCGGACGCGCAGAGTCGTCCGAGTCTCGTCTTCGGTCTGCGTCGGTCGCCCTACCCCTCCCCTCGCTCGGCCCCCCTCCCGCCTGCGACCAGCCTCTCCTTTCATGCTTTTCTGACGGCGCAGGCATGGACACCAAGCAGCAGCAAAAGCTCGCAGATCTCGCCGAGCAGGTCCTCCCACCGCGCAGACGCGACCTCTCCTTCTACGTCGTCCTCTTCGCAGCGGTGATCCCGCTCTGGCTGATCGTCCCTTCCTCCTGGGTCTATGTGATCTACATCCTCCGTACTGGCAAGATATGGACCCTGGCTTGGCGTGGACGGCTCCTCTTCGCTGCTGCGCTCTGCGAGGTCAGGTCCAGTGACCGCGTCAAGGTCGTGTGTGTGGGCGCTCACTCTCCTGCAGGTGTTCTTTAGCGTGTACCACTACAATCTCACCACATTCATTGGTGGTCCTCACTCGCTTGCCCCCAACAAACTCAGCGAGCTGCAGAAGGCCTTCACGCGTGTTCTGCAGTCCGGTCTAGCGGATCTCCCGGAGGACGGCTTCGATGAGGAGACGCTCAATGCTGAGAGGCCTGGTAGTCCGGCCGAGGACATCATCACCCTCCAGCACGACGATCCCAGGGCGGTGGACTTCCGGAACTACTTGCGGACCTGGTGAGCCCCTGCCCGTGGTTCCCGGAGACCCGGACCTCGATCTCAGTCTTCCGATAGGTTTGGCAAAGTACCGTGGTCCTCGATCCGCAAACATGAGATGACTGCGTGGCTCTATTGGTCGATCTTCAACCAGCCGTACACTACCTTTGAGGCTCTTCCGCACGCACACCAGGTTGCGCTCCGTGATGTCATTCGTCTAATAGAGGCTCGCTCTGGTTCTACCATCCCCGACGGGTCTAATCCTTCCGTCAAGCCTTTGCTGCTCACCCTCGACCCTGTAAGCGTCGTATGGCGGCCATTTCTCTGGTACGCGCTCGTGGCAGCAGTAAACCTCTACCTGCGGAAGCGCATGGTGCGGATGTGGAACTGCAAGTTCGGCACGTATCATGGCCTCGAGTACGTGCACCTACATCCATGCGTGTTCTCTGCACCAGTTTGACTCGTCATTCGTTACAGCTACATGCTTCGCGTGCCTGCTGGCTGGGATCCTCGCACGGGACCGAGGCCTGTCGTCTTCATGCATGGCCTCGGGCTCGGGCTGGCGCAATACAACCGCTTCGTCACACATCTCTTCCGTACGATCCCGGACCACCCTGTGCTCGTACCCCTTCAGCCACATGTCAGCCAAGACATTATGCACCCGCGGTACCTCCGCCCGATGAGCCGACGAGACATGGCGAGGACCCTTGCGAGCCTCCTCGACATGCTGGGTTGGGCGAAGTGGGCCGATAAGGAAGATGTGGTGGAGAAGGACGATACCCCTATGGGTGTGACGATGCTCAGTCATTCAAAGTGGGTGACGTGCTTGTCCCGAGCGTTTGTGGCTGATGCCTTGCAGTGGCTCGTTCGCGCATGCGTGGATGCTGAAGCACTATCCGTCCATGGTCGCCCGGTCGTGCTTCGTTGACCCTGTGGTGTTCTGCTCCTGGGAAGGCGGTAGGTCCCCTTGCTTTCTGCAGATGCCGTTACTCAACTGACGTGGCGATCAAAGACCTCTGCTACAACTTCATTTACCGCCGGTGTAGTACGGGTGTCGAGTTGGTTATCAAGTTCTTCGTCGGGACGGAGCTCGGAGTAGCCAACTTCCTCCAGCGGCACTTCGACTGGTACGCTAACTCGCTATGGTACGAGGAGATCCCCAACGCGCGTGATCCGTCCAAGACGATGTACCTCCTCGGCGGTAGAGACGACATTGTGAATGCGAACGTACGTGATCCACAGGATGCTCCCGGTCCAGTCGGATATTGACTTTGCTTCGCAGCGCGTGAAGCGTTACCTCACGTCGCACGGCATCCGAAAAGGCCTGTGGTATGATCCCGAAGGCAGGCACGGCCAGGCTATGATGTTCGCCGGCCAGGATGCCATCTTCCGGTGGCTCCTCCAGACCGAAGAGACATCACATTCGACAAGACAGGAAGCTAGTACGCGCGACAGTGCGAAATGAAAGCAGCAAACCCATCCCTCTGTATACCTGCTCATCCGTGATGATTCACGCTTGCTCTCTTCTGTGCATTTGCTACGCACGATAGATTACTTGATACCTACATTCATAATGCTTTCGAATGCTGTTGTTTGACTGGACGGTACCAGCACAGAGCGTAGTTGTAATCAGTAGCCGATGCATAGATGCCCTAGGCCTGACCGAAGTATGGGGTGGAATGAACCTAGGACTATGCTCCTGATAGCCGCTTCTGCAGCGTCGGCATGAGCTTGAGAGCGTTCTCGCTCAAGACGGCTTTGAATTGGACGGGGTCGTCCTTGTAAAAGCCGTCTAAGTTCTTCTGGTACCACGTGGCCATATCCTTGCTTACGGCTGAAATATCTCATAGCTCGGTATGAGCGGCAAGTGCGGGCATGCTGAGACGATCTTACCTGGGAAGTCGGTCCCAAACAGGACATGATCTGGAGCGAGGAAGTTCTTCGCAAGCCCGAGAGTCGACTCGTGCGCGGCCAACGCGGTGTCGACGTAGAACGTCTTGAAGTCATCCATGATCTCCTCCGGGGTCAGCGCAGACCCCATGTGGCGCGAGAGCACGGCCACCCGCGGCGCGAGGATGAGCGTGCTGCCCCCGAGGTGCGAGAGGATGATCTTGACGTTGGGGAATCGTCGCTTCTTGCCGGTCACGACGAGGTGTGCTGCGCCTTTGTGGGTTTCGTTGGGAACCTGCGGTGGGGAACGTGTGAGAGTTTGCTGTGGGGCTATTGGGAGAGGACTACCTCTGTAATCGGGATACCAAGGAGTGCGTGGGGCCAGGGAGTAGAAGAGGGTGTCTGCGTTCCGTGCAGGTGAACTGCTACGCCCCGCCTGTCCAGCTCTTGCCAGACGGGGTCGAACGCATCGTCGCCTACATATACTAAATCAAGCGTCACCACATAGGCCTTGCAGGATTGTACAGACCGCCTTACCCGCGTCTTTCCCTTGCCCGTACGAAGACGCCAGCCCGACGCCATCCGCACCGAGCTCGTCCAGCGCAAACGCGACCTCCGCGAGCACACCCTCCGTGTCGCCCAACACCGGCGTCGCCGCGAACCAGCCAAACCTGCCCGGGTGGTCCGTACATATCTTCGCGAGCATCAAGTTCAGCTCTCGAGCGGCGCGGCGGTTCTCCGGACCCGCGGGGCCCTCAGGCATGCCGGTGGGCACGGAGAGGACGGCGAGGTCGATGCCGAGCGCGTCCATCGCGCAGAGGCTCACTTCGGGCGTCCAGGGGACGTTCTGCGCGGGGAAGCGGAAGCCTACGGACGCGTCGAGGTCTTTGGATTTGCGCGAACCCGCGGGGAGGACGTGGTGGTGCACGTCGATGCGGAGGGGGCGGGCCTACGGCGGGCAGGTGGGTCTATAATTCATAGTGTTGGAAACAAATATATCTCACCATCGTAGTTGTCAACGTCGAGGTTGAATGCTGAACGCAGTCGTCGCAGTTGCAGCACGCTGCGACCGGTTATATGGGCTGGCGCTGCTGGACCAACACCACATAATGGTGACTCAGACTGTAGAGAATTGACCTTCACGCCTTGTGAGACCTTCAGAGAAGCACACTTAGTCGGACAGGCACATTCTAGAATAGGTCTCAAGCCGGCCACGTAAGGATAGATGAGCACGGTCGGACGACAGCGCGATCTACTCAGTGACGGACGGTCCGACGATCACGCGCACGCGGCATGTATGCAGATTCGGGCGATTGACCTGCTTATTGGGAGACAGTGCGTCTGAGTCGCTTGGGTTGGTTGAACAGATTTTAAGAGGGCACATACCTAAACAATGGCGGACACGCGGCGGGTGGGCATACGGCAACGGCATTCTATCAGTGGTGGACTGTAGGTGGGCCGCGTAAGTTCGTGTTGAGGAGTTCGTGAGGAATAGAAGACTACATACGTCGGGCATGCCCATCTACACGGGAAGACTATCAGTTACGGTGGCCCCACGTCACGTCGGGTGCGAATCGAAGACTGTACTTCGGCACTTTCAAGTCAACTTGGTGCGTTCAAGTCATACTGACGCTTCGCACCCACAGAGAACGGATGAAAACAGGATACTGAACAATTCATTCGCTACATTGAGTATACAATGACACACTCGCCTTCTCTAGGCTCACTTCCGGAACGGCGCGCAATCCTCGGAATCGTAGCTCACAAACTGCCCACTCATCGACTTCGGTGCCTCTAGCGCGAGTGCTGCCATCACATAGCCAGATACCTCGGGCTTGATGAGCTTGCTGTCGGTCTGCAAACCCATGAAATATTTGTGAACTTTCTCGGTCATAGCGGTCGCGCCTAGCTCGCGTATTTGGATTTGCATCTGGGCCAGGTGTTCAGCACGAGCGAAGATGGAAGTAGGGAACGCAGTACCGGTGTGTCAACAGTACCAGGACGGAGGGCAACCGAGACTACGTCAGGTTCTTCCTCACCCAAGGTCCTGAGAACCAGGCACAGTGATTAGACTGTATCGACCTAGCTCATACTAGACATTGACACACCTGCATAGGCTGTTCATGGCTGCCTTGCCTGCGTTGTAAGGACCCATAGTCGCAGTGCCTTTTGTCGCCGAACCAGAGCTCACAAAGACAATGCGGCCGCCCCGCTCGCTCTTGCGCAGGTGCGGCAAAGCCGCCTGCACAGCAGTGATCAAAGAAAAGAAGTTCACATCGAAGTGCGACTTCCAGCCTTCCAGGGGGACTTCTGCGATCTTTCCCAGGGGCGTCAGAATGCCGGCGTTCAGAATGAGAGCATCGAGGTGTCCGTGTGTCTTGACTGTAGAGTCGACCGCGTGCGCAACGACGTCCTTATCTGTGCTGAGAGCGAGGTGCTGAGATGGACGCGGACCGAGGAGACCACAAGACTAACACGTCGCCCTTGATGATCAGTAATGCGCCCGTGTGAGACTGCTTGAGGTCAGTCAGCTCTACAGTTTCCGAGCGGGACAGTGCAACCACGATCGCGCCGAATTCATCGAGCAGGATCTTGGTGGCTGCGAGGCCGAGTCCTCTGCAACAAGATGATCATCTCAGCCACAGTGCGCCGGAGACAGAGAGCAGATGAGAAGCACTTGGATGCGCCTGTGATGAGGACGACAGGCTTGCGGGACATGGGGCGATGAGACGACGGGAGGCGGCAGCTGAGGGCGTCGAAGCAGAAATGAGACGAGCGATGGGTTCGCACGCTGGAGTCGCGCGAGGCGGCCGTCCCGAGAGGTGCCGAGCCAGCACACGCCGGCGTCCCTTTCCTCACAAATCCTTCCCAGTCCCCTCCTCCCCCTCCTCCCCCTCCCTCTCCAAAAAGCCATGTCGACGCGAGCTGCACTCTCCCGCTTTGCCCCAGCCATCACTCGTGCGCGTAGGGCACCCGCTTTCGCGGCGCGGCGAGCTGCGTTCGTCCGCGGCTATGCTTCGCAGAGCGAACATACCGTTCGTGCATCCAAAGTCGTCTACGTGTCCTCCGAGACTCACTGTGTTCTCTCCTGCAGCTGACCGTGCGTGATGCCCTCAATGCCGCTCTGGAGGAGGAGATGCTGCGGGACGAGAAGGTGTTCATCATTGGTGAGGAGGTCGCTCGGTACAACGGTGCATATAAGGTATGTCAAGTGTCCACCTCAATAGGTAACCAGTCACAGAAGCCGTGCGTGTAGGTCACCAAGGGCTTGATGGATAAGTTCGGTGAGAAGCGAGTTGTGGACACACCCATCACCGAGATGGGTTTCGCTGGTCTCGCGACTGGTGCCGCGTTCGCGGGTCTTCGGCCAGTGTGCGTAGAACGCTACGTGTCTTTTTGTGTGGTGCTGACATCTACGATTGAACAGCTGCGAGTTCATGACCTTCAACTTCGCCATGCAGGCAATTGACCAAATCGTCAACTCCGCCGCAAAAACGCTCTACATGTCTGGTGGCTTCCTTACATGCCCTATCGTCTTCCGTGGTCCCAATGGTGCCGCTGCCGGTGTCGCAGCACAGCACTCACAGGACTATGCCGCATGGTACGGCTCCATACCTGGCCTGAAGGTCGTCAGCCCTTGGAGCGCTGAGGACTGCAAGGGTCTCCTCAAGGTTTGTTCTGGCTCCGAAATAGGCTTCCCGCTATGTATTGACTCGCCCCATTTGAACAGGCTGCCATCCGTGACCCCAACCCTGTTGTGTTCCTTGAAAACGAGATGTTGTACGGTGTCAGCTTCCCCATGTCGCAGGAGGCGATGTCCGACGACTTCGTCCTTCCCATTGGCAAGGCCAAGATCGAGCTTGAAGGCAGCGATGTTACCATTGTTGCGCACAGCTTGATGGTCGCGCGGAGTCTGGAGGCGGCTGAGGAGCTCGCGAAGGAGGGCATCAAGGCTGAGGTCATCAACCTTCGCAGCATCCGCCCGCTCGACATTGAGACCATTAAGAACTCTGTCAAGAAGACCAACCGGTATGTTTGAACGCAATCAGGCATGTACGAGGGACGCTGATGGCAGTGAAGACTTTGCATTGTCGAGGGTAGCTTCCCGGCCTTCGGTGTCGGTAGCGAGATCTGTGCTCAGATTGTTGAGAGCGAGGCGTTCGACTACCTCGATGCACCGGTCGAGCGTATCACTGGCGCTGACGTCCCTACACCCGTAAGCACACTCTTTCCCAGTCACCCTCACATACTTCTGACATCGGGTCTGCTAGTACGCGATCAACCTCGAGGCTCGTGCCTTCCCCGACGCGCCGCTCATCACGAAGGTGGCCAAGCGGGCACTCTACAGGACCAACTAAGAGGATCCTTCCTCGCCACGCGCGTGGCGCAGGCTTGGGCGAGGGCCAGCGAGGGTGCGATCGATTCTTTGGTTGGGCTGCGCAGACGTGTTATAACTTAGGGACGCATCATGCTATATAATTACACGGCTTGCTGTCTAGAGCACTTATAGATCTCCTGCACCTTACAGAGCCCGCAGACGAACGCGCACCGCGTTCGCGTGGGCGTCCAAACCTTCGCAATCGGCCAACGTCGCCACCACGGGACCGAGACCTCTGAGGCCGTCTGCACTGACTTCTTGTGACGTGATGTGCTTTTGGAAGGACAGCGTATTGACTCCGCTGAACTGACGAGCGTAGCCGTTTGTGGGTAATGTGTGATTTGTGCCAGAGGCATAGTCGCCGCAACTGCGGGGCTTATCAGTACGGAACTTTGTGGACGGATGGCTGTGCCTTACCTCTCCGGTGAGTATGGTCCGACGAACACGCTCCCGGCATTCTCGACTAGAGCCGCCGCTGCTTTCGCGTCCTCCAGGTGGATGATGAGGTGCTCCGGTGCGTAATCGTTCGAGAACTCCAGTGCTTCCTCAACAGTCTTCACCTTCACGATGTTGCTCTTCGAGATCGACTCGCGGACGATGTCCACGCGCGGTAAAGCCTTCGCCTGCTTATCGAGCTCAGCCTCGATCGCAGCAAGCTTCGCGCCCGAGAGATCGACCGCAACGAGGACGACCTGCGAGTCCACGCCGTGTTCCGCCTGTGACAGCAAGTCCGCGGCTACGAACGCAGAGTTGCACGTCCGATCGGCGATGACCTAGACGAAATGAAATCTCAGAACCGCAGGACTAGCGCAGGCGAGATAGAGTGGGTACTCACGAGCACTTCCGAAGGCCCCGCAGGCATGTCGATCGACACGAGCGCGTCTGTGTCGTTCTGGACGAGCATCTTCGCCGCGGTGACCCACTGGTTGCCCGGGCCGAATATCTTGTCGACCTTCGGGACGGTCTGCGTGCCGTACGCGAGCGCGGAGACCGCCTGCGCGCCGCCGGCTTTGAGGATGGCGGACGCGCCGACGAGCTTCGCGACATACATGACCTCGGGCGAGATGCTCCCGTCCTGCCTCGGCGGCGTCGCGATCACGATCTCCTTGCAGCCCGCGACTTGCGCGGGGATGCCGAGCATCAGGGCGGTGGAGGGGAGGATCGCGGTGCCACCGGGGACGTAGAGGCCGACGCGCGCGATCGGCCTTGCGAAGCGCGAGCACACCACGCCGGGCATGGTCTCGACGACCAAGGTCGCGTTGTCCGCCTGCGCAGCGTGGAACTTGTGGATGTTCGCGTACGCGACGTCGATCGCCTTGCGCACCTCCTCGTCGACCTGCATCGTCTCCGGCGCGAACGGCGGGCGGACGACTGTCGACGGGAGCTGCACCTTGTCGAACTTGGCGGTGAGCTCGAGGAGCGCGGCATCGCCCCGCACCCGCACGTCGTCGACGATGGGCTTGACCTTCTGCAGCATCTCATCGTATTTGAGCACGGGCCGGTGGAGCAGCTGGGCCCGTTCCTGGGACGAAGTCGCAGCCAGGTCGTATGTATGCATGCGGATAGGTGCATTCGGGTCAAGGACGGCCTTCTGCTTGGCTGGGGCAGGTGCAGGAACGGTAGGTTTGCCAATTGTTGCTGCAGTGGTCTCCGACGCCGTGTTCCACTGTGGCTTCGCATTACCCGCGCGCCGAGTGACCTTTTTTGCCTTGTGGTCCAGTGATTGCTCGATGTCAGCAATGCTCACGCCTGCAGCTACACATCGTGTGAGGGCAAAATAGATGAGGTCGGCAGCCTCGAACGCAACCTCGTCCTTCGTCACCGCGCGGCATAGCTCGTCTGCCTCCTCCATGATCTTTGCTTGGAGAAGCGCAGGGTCGTTGAAGAGTCGGCGCGTGTAGGAACCCTCTGGGGCGGACTCGAGGCGCGATTGCAGGGTCTTCTCCAGCGCCCGGAGACCCTTTGCCTCGTCCCCGCCGAAGCACGAAGCGCGGTTCAGGTGACAGAAGCCGGCGCCATGCTGGATGACGGAGAACTCTATGGCATCCGAATCGCAGTCCAGACGGATGCTGACGATGTCCTGCGTCGCGCCGGAGGTCTCGCCTTTGCGCCAGAGGCCGTGCTTGCGCGACTGGTACACGCCCTTGCCGGTCACGATGCTCTCCTTGATCGACTCTGCGGATGAGTAGACGAGGCCGAGCGACCGTCCCCCTTCATTGTGGGCGGACACTACGGTCGGGAAGAGGCCGTCTGGCCGATCAGACGTGAGGGGAGATAGGAATGCATCAGCGACGTTGATCTGTCGCTCGGTCGAGGCTGTGAGCGTGAGGAGGGCGGTGGGTAGCACCAAGATAGCCCCCGCAGCAAGAAGCCCTCGAATCGTTGACTGCGAAGGCGGTGAAGTCGTGTCTGCAGGCAGGACATGGATGGTGGAGCCCGTGAAGAAGCGCGAAACGGACGAGACGAAGTCGACATCTACGGCTGGGGTCTTGATGAGTACGCCCGAGATACCGTTGCGCACGGTGTCCGACACTGCACTGACATTGGCGACGTCGAGGAGAAGGATGAGACGATCGGCTGGAAGGACGCCGATGGCCTGCTTTGCCTGCGCAAGGGGCAGTACGACTTTGTCTGCACCCTGATCGAGTGCAGCAGTTGCCTCGTCTAGACTGCCGTTCTCAAAGAGGACATAGCGTGGTGTCTGTTGAGGGAGAGGGAGAGTGTTGGCATGACTCGGGGGCAGTACGAGAGGTCCGATGCGAGCGAGGGCCTGGAGGAGGGCAGGGTCAGTCTCGCCTGCGAGGAGAGGGAGGAAGACAGACATCACGCGAAGATGACTCCCGCAAACTCACCGATCGCACTAAATGGCCCGCACGTGGGCGCCGGGCGGTGTATCGACGCAGTTACAGTATCGACAAGCAAGCGTTGGTGAAATCTGGTAGACGACCTAAATTAGGCATGGCTTTGTAGTGTAGTGGTTATCACAGCGGATTCTGATGAGACTCATTCCCATCATCACGTGTTCCGCTAACCCAGGTTCGACTCCTGGCAAGGCCTGCTTTTTGCGTCCTTTTGTGTGGTTTACAGAGGGCATCATTCGTGTAGCCTTGATTGATGGGAGACGCGTGGCGGGGAGTGTCGAACCGAGGGAGCGCCACGCGGGAGGCGCATGTCAGATTAGGCGCCCGAGTACAAGGATGATCGCAGGCGCTTGGACGAGTACTTCTCTCAGGCTCGAGCGCCACCAGGGATGTTGTTTGCTCCCGCGCAGCATGGCCAGAATGGCGGCCACAGTGGGCGGCGGTGCAACAAAGAAGACGCACAATGCAAGCAGGCAAAGCAACGGGTGCAGCGCAGGACAGGCCCGAGCGAGGAGGGTTGCTTTGCGGAGGCCCAAGCTTCGCGGTGGCAAACGCGTGATGACAATGATCGAAGGACGATCGCCGAGAGGCACAAAGCACACAATTGCAGGCCGCATCGCTAGGCCCCATCTGGCTGCACACCCATGTCCACCCTCCGAGTCCCAGCCGCTCACGCCGTCCTATAAAGCCCTCGCGTACACCCCGTCCTTCCTTCATACCTCTCGCTGCTCTTCTCCTGCGCCACTCTCGTCGGCGCGCCACATTATTTCCCAAACCCACTCTAGCTCTCAACCCCGACCGAAATGCCTCCTCGCGGTGCTCCCGGGCGTGGACGCGGTGCGCCCGTCAGCTTCATGCCCCGTGGCGGTGCCGCTGCCCGCGGCGGTGGCCCCCCCAGTCTCGTCGGACGCGGCAATGGAGCCGGCGCGTCCCCTGGGCTGCCCGCGCGCGACTCCCATATTACCACTGTCGGTGTGAGGCGCAGCGCGTTCGGCACCGCAGGCAGGGTCATCGACATCACCACGAACCACTTCTTGGTCAAGATCCCCGACGCCATCATCCACCACTACGATGGTACGTCGCGAGCGAACTAGTTGAACGCGTCCTACTCACTAAACATTGTACCCACAGTGGTCATCCGTCCGGACGAGAAGACGCTCCCGGCGCGACTCAACATGGAGATTATTGACCGCCTCCAAAAGGTCATCGCGCCACAGGTCTTCACCCCGCGTGCTGTGTATGACGGTCGCAAGAACCTGTTCGCCGCGCGAGAGCTGCCATTCGGAGAGACCAGGAGCCAGGAGGCGCGTCTCTCCCTTCATACGTGCATGTTCGTCGATTGACACGTTCCGCAGTTCGATGTTATGCTCGAGGATCCCGCAACCTCCACCAGTGCCCGTGGCCCGAAGGTCTACAAGGTCAAGTTGACGCATGTGGCAGAGATCAATCCCGAGTGCGTATCTCCCCTTTGAACTCAAAATGGGTGTTGACTGTGGCGCACGCAGGGTCCTCGCGCGTTTCCTCAAAGGCCAACAGTCTCACGACAATACCGTGCTGACCGCTATCACGGTGAGTACGTCCTCTCGAGCGGCGCATCCTCCGCGTTAAACACCAGTGCCAGGCCCTCAACGTCGTCATCCGCATGGAGCCGTCCTTGAAGTACCCGTTCAACGTGCGCTCCTTCTTCACCAACCGCGAGACAAAGGACATCGGCGGGGGCATCGTGCTCTGGCGTGGCTACTTCCAATCCGTGCGCCCAGCTATCGGCAAGATGCTCATCAACGTGGATATCAGCACGGGCACGATGTACAAGGAGGGTCCGCTGTTCAACCTCTGCCTGGAGTTCTTTGGCACGAGGGACCCCAGCTTCCTCACGCCGAGGCGCCTGACCGAGCGCGAACGCCTCCGCCTGCAGCGCTTCATCAGCGGCGTGCGCGTCACTACGGTGACACCGGGCCAGCCGCCGTCGAACCGATCGCCGCGCGTACTCAGAAAGCTCTCTGCTCAGGGGGCGAGCTCGCTCAGCTTCACAAACCGCGAGGGCAAGGCCGTCACCGTCGCGCAGTACTTCCGCCAGACGTACAACTTCCAGCTGAAGTACCCCGATGTTGTCTGCGCGGAGGTCGGCAATGGCGCGCTCATCCCGCTCGAGATGCTCCATGTGCCCCCGGGCCAGATCATGAAGAAGCCGGTCCCCCCGGAGAAGACGAAGGACGTGCTCGAGTTTGCGACCAAGAAGCCGCAAGACCGGCTGCAGAGCATCGCGAATGGACTCGGGGTAAGGTGTCCGATTGAACTGTTTGACCTGCGTCACTAACAGTATGGCTAGGTGCTGCAATACGGCCAATCGGAATACGTTCGGGTACGTAGCCCTTCATCGCAGACAGGTTCGACCGCTCACAGTAGCTTCAGCAATTCGGCTTGGATGTCGATCCGAACGCGAAGCCCATGAGACTGCAAGCACGCGTACTGAACCCTCCGACCCTGAAGTATGGCCCTGGGTCGAAACAGCCCACAATTGTAGGTGTACCCGTAGACCTCCTCTGAACCTCCAGCCCTAACCCTCATCTAGGTTCCCCGTGACGGCGCGTGGAACATGTAAGCTCTTCTTCTCAGCCGGCTTGCACCGAACGACTCACGTCCGCTACAGGGTCGAACGCAAGTTCTGGCAGCCGTGCACGATCACGCAGTGGATTTTGGTCGTCTTCGAGCGAAGGAACCGCTTCGACGAGAATATCGTGCAGGACGTGGCCAGGAACTTCGTTGCCGCCTGCAAAAACGTCGGTACGTGAATGAATTCCCGCTCAGAGCGCATGCTCTGACCCTGAATGTGTCGGCAGGCATCACAATACAGAATGAGCAACCGATCTACGAGTGGGCGAATCCTCAGTCCTCTGTCCATGCGGTAAGTCCCTGCTACGTGTTGCGATTCCTCATGTGCTGATGGCGGCCCTCAGCAATTGGCGCGCATCGGGGGTCTGTGCGGCGCCAAGTACAAGACCATGCCCAACCTCGTCGTCTGCGTGCTGCCCGAGGGAGCGACGGATGTGTATACCGCCATCAAACAGTGAGTGTGTATCATTGGCATCGGCGTGCGAAAGGCTAACGCATGCATAGTTTCGGTGACATTCAGGTATGTTCTGATTGCCTTAGGTGCGTGTGAGTAACGAACGACGTTGCCTGCAGACCGGTTGTGCGACGCAGTGCTTGAAGGCCGACAAATGCAAGAGGGCCAAGGAGCAGTACTTCGCGAACGTCTGTCTCAAGTCAGTCTGCACTCTCCCCTGCGTGTGCTTGTGGTAGTAAAGTCTTACCTTGCTCCAGGGTCAACGTGAAGCTGGGCGGCATCAACACCATCCCGGAGCCTCGCTCGGTAGCAGCTCTGACTGACCCCCACAACCCCACCATCGTTATGGGGTATGTGCTCTCGTCTGTTCGGCTATACACTTGCTGACCACCTGAGCAGCGCGGACGTCATCCACCCCGCCCCCGGAGCCGAGGGTCGGCCGTCCTTCACTGCGCTAGTCGCGAACGTGGACTCCGACACCGCCAAGTACGTGGCGGACTGCCGCGTGCAGACGTCGCGTCAAGAGCTCATCGAGGACCTAGGACCCATGAGTCAGGTGCGCTTGCCTAGTCTCGTCGTTCGGGGTGTGTGCGTGTGCTGATGCATGTGTAGCGTATGCTCTGGAGCTACATGGACTACCGCAAAAACAAGGAGGGGAAGGCCAACCCGGCCCCCACGCGCATCATCTTCTACCGGGGTATGGTATATCCTAGCCGTGCCTCCCCTCCTCGCTAACTGTTTTCTATAGATGGTGTCTCCGAGGGACAGTTCAAGCATGTGTTGGAGCAAGGTGAGCTGAATGACCAGTTAACACGCAGTCGTCAAACTGAGCTTTTCGATCATCTGAAAAGAATTGCCCCTCATCAAGAGTAAGTCCGCCGTCCGTATTTGTAGCCTCGTGCTAATCTCTAAACTCCAGAGGCCTGCGCCAACCTGAACATCAAGCCCAAGATTACCATGATCGTGGTCGGGAAACGCCACCACGTCAGGTTCTTCCCCCAGGGCCAAGGTGGAGACAGGAGTGGCAATTGCCCCGCCGGCACCGTCGTCGACCGTGAGGTCACGCACCCGCTCGAACTGGATTGGTACCTGCAGAGCCACGCTGGATAAGTCATGTTTTACTCTCTGTCCTGTCACGGTATTGACATCAGCTTTTTGGGTTATCCACGCTGCTGGGCACGTCGAGGCCCGCGCACTACAGCGTCTTGCATGATGAGAACAATTTTACGTACGTCCAGGTCGTTGTTGTAATCGCGTGCCCCCACCTTATCATTGCATCGCATCTAGGCCCGACAGCTTGCAGGCGCTCTCGTTTGCCCTTTGTCACGTCTACGCGCGCTCGACACGATCCGTGTCCATCCCCGCGCCGGTGTACTGTGAGTACCCTTGATTATGCGACGCGTCCATCGCTCATGCCCCTTACGTGTGTGTAGATGCGGACATCGTCTGCTCACGCGCGAAGAACCACTACAACCCGGAGGAGTCCATGCACCTCGAGGAGAGCTCTGGCCTGCAGCAGGACAAGGCCACTGCCATCGCGAACCTCTCCAAGTTCAAGAGCAACTTCAAGCCGTTGCACTCGACCATAGCCAAGACCATGTATTTCTCTTAAGCTATCATCCCCGCGAGTCACTGAAGTGTAAAGGTCAACTGCTCTCCCTGTCGCTCATTATGTTTGCTCTGGAACCCACTGTTGTCTCCGTGTACCATCACCCGTTATGTATCGCCTCCACGCTCCTTAACGCTGTAATCATACCCCGCGATCGGTCTGGAATGCTCATTATCCGTTATTGACTCCTCGGAAGCGGCTGTGCGCAGCAGCGTTGCCATGTTAGGTCAAGGGTTAGGTACACTCGCCAGCTTGGCTGATTGGCGGTGCGAAGGATGCGCGACGTGAGGTAGCTATCTCCACGTGATCGCGTTTTCCGAGCAATATCGGGGGTGGCGGGCGCCTGGCGCGGTCCATGCAGACCAGCCATGTCTGAAGGTAAGCGAGAGGCGAGAGGGATGCTCGTGTCGTCCTTGCTTGCTCTGTCGCAGATCCTCGTGCGTCTAATGCTTGTAGTCTAGACTTCCCGCCGCTCAGATATTCTGTGCGAGGGAATGCAGACGATTTCGGCAAGCCAAAAGCTTCCCGTGGCCAGGTGCAGTTCTTCCTCCCAGCTGAGTCGCATCTCCTACACGCGTCCTGACATCAGCCAGCTTCTTTACTGCCCGGTGGTCCTAGGGCTGTACCCTCTTTTGTCGCCGAGATGGGATGCGTGGATGCCGCGAGGTCCATAGCGCTCTCGCCGCGACGCACTTGCCTCAGGAGTGGACGCCACTGCCCTGCCCGATTACAAGCCTGGCAGGTGAACCGATGGATGCCTTTCATTTCCGAGGCTAGCGTCGTGCTTCTTCTGTAGTCTGTGCTCTTCCTGCGCCGCTCGTTGCGCTGCCTCTCTATCTGGGAACTGCGTGTGCTCCGGTCTGTGCGGATATAAGAACGAAAGACGCTTGGACTCCTCTTTGAAGATTGTGCCTCGGCCCTCCTGCGCTTGGTTGCGCCACACACTAGCTTTGGAGCTACTCAGTGTATATAACCCCGTCCTGACGTCTGTGGAGACCCGACGCAACTTCAGTCCTCACCGCCAGCCCCAATAGCCGCCATACACGATGCCGCCACACAGAAATATGGGCTGGAGGAAACCGGTCCCCAAGTTCATCCCTGAGACGCCTTGCTCGCTGTCGAGGTTCAGTTCAACGTCGTTCAAAAGGCTTTCATTCTCCCACTTGGATAAGGAAGTGCCGCCGGTAAGTGGGGGGCGTTTCTCGCAGTCGTCTTCATTTTGCTCATATGAGCGTCCTGCTGGGCAACTAGTTGCCGGACGATTGGCTGCTCAAGCTGGGAGGCTCCCTGAGCAAAGCAAAGCGGCAAGGCTTCGTCCTTGACGACCAGATCGACCCCCGGTGGATCGAGCAATACCGATCGCACCCGGTGTCCTTCCCTACAGTAGAGGAGCAAACTTCCGAGGTAGATCACGCATGCCAAATGACCGTTGAGCATGGCGCTCACATAGCTTCATGGATCAGCAGGACCTCCGTTCACTTTTTTCAATGTCGAGCACGCAAGGACGGAGCGAGACAACACACACCATGCCTCGACGTATGCGACACAAACGCTCATTGCCTCAAGTATACCGGCAGCCTCCTGACCGGTCGCCATGTTCCGTTGACCACTCTGCTGATCAGCACTATCGTCCACCGACACCGCCCTTGAAACGGGAGCACCCCGAGCGCCGGCCACGTTCCGGTTACAGGATGGCACAGCAAACAAAGCAGCCGGTACGCACTTGTGCCCGTTGGTTGCTTGCATAGACTGAATTTCCGTCAGCTACCACACGACAACCACGACGTTCTGTCTCTCCAAATAGAAAACTACGTACAGTCGACCGCATCACCTACCCCTATGATCCAAATTCTCCCTTCCGTTGGCACGGCCAAGCAGTTCCGGGTTATGCACACTCGTTCCCGTCATGGTCCGGCTGGTGCTTCGAGAGCTAGCAGCCTTCACTCAAGGACCATGTCCTCAACGTCCTCGGCGCTGCGCGCCAAACGGCACGGTCAGGGCATCGTCACCATCTGGGCAGACGTGAAAACTCTGGGTATCCAAGTCCGTCTTAGATTCCACCACCTCTTCCGCTGAGCGGAACATCGACTCGCACTCATTGTAGCACTACGTATGGCGACACACTATCTTTATTTCCTCGGACCTTCATGCCAAGTTGACATTTTTGTACCTATACAACCCCCACTGCGTTACGTGTATGATATGTTGTAGGGCTGAGCCTTGGGCTTATATGGTACTCATGCGAATGGTACTCATACAAATGGATGTCAGATTTCGGTCAATGGACTCTGGCGTTCGTGTATGCCGTGGACGGTGGTACATATTAACATAAGCCAATCAGCGGGGGGCTATCACCACACGCACTACGCCGGCGCGCCTGCCAGTGGCTGCACCGACCCGCTGTCGACCTGCTCCGCCGCGGTGACCTCCACAACATATCTCCTCCCTCCTCGAGGCATGCGCCCCCGCTAGCGCGTCTTCCCACCCCCTCATCAACCCCCACCACGTTTGCCTCTACAGCACTCCCGTATCACGCATTCGCGCCGAGTAGGTAGCTCCACTTTATCGTCTACGCAGTAACCCGCTCGTATGGCGGGCGAGAACCACGGCCCATCTAATCGGGAACTGTACGAAGCCTGCCTCACCGGCGCACAGGACCGCCCCTCCATTCCTCGACTACGCTCCGACCCACCACCTTACCAGTCCATTCCACACAGTCTCCAGGAGTTTCGCGCGCAAGAGAGCCCGGAGGAGCGAGACAGACGGCTTCGCGACCTATGGGCGCGCCTACCACAACGCGACGGCACCCCTAGCGGGGATGACGACTTGCCCCAGATAAGTGCGGGGTCAGACGGGCCCTCGGTGCTGTCCGACGGTGTACTTACGGCGGAGACGGCGAAGCGCTTGCAAGGGATGTACGAGGCCGAGTTACGCTCGCAATGTGGGGTACACACGAGCGGCTTCCTGAATCGCGCGGTGTCGTGGAGGGAGTTCAAGAAGTATGCAGATGCGAAGGAAGCAGGTACGTGATTCACCCACTGACTACTTGTTATGGCTCATGTTTCGCAGAGCTTTGGCGTATCTTCCATGACGAACTCGACTTGGACGGTAATGGTCGTCTCGACGCGGAGGAACTCACGCAGATCTTGCAGAGAGCAGGTGGGTACTCAACTATTCTACCTCCATTTACGTTAACCCGGGGTCAACATGCAGGCATCCAACTATCCTCATCAACACTGGCTGAGTTTATGACATTCATGACGTCCTCCGCCCATTCGCATGCCGTCACCTTCCCGGAATTCAGGGACTTCCTCTTGCTGATGCCCCGGAGAGCGTCGCCAAAGGAAATATTCCGTTACTACGAGGTGCGAAAAGTCACAGGTGACGAGGCCAGAGGTGCAGCCCGCGTCAACATGGAAGGTGAGTCGTACTTTCAGCAATATGCCAGTGGGACACTAAACTGAAGCCGTGGCGCAAGGTGACGTTACTCTCAGTGCGGAAGACATGTCCGTCAGCAGAGCGCCTGTTATACAGCAACACCCAGCCAACCCAGCGACCGCAGATACCCCCATAGACCATACCGTAGACCTGTACGAGGGGGAGGGCGATGACGAGGGGGAGGAGTTTGACGAAGAGGACCATCACAGCTGGTTCGAAGGGTCAACTGCCGCGAAGTTTCTTCTAGCAGGCGGCGTTGCTGGTGCCGGTGAGTCTCGATTCCCTTCACACTATCAAAAGGCTTCTCAAACCTTCGTCAGTATCGCGGACATGCACCGCGCCATTCGATCGGCTGAAGATCTTCCTGATCACGCGGCCACCAGACCTCGGTGGTGTCTCCTTCAGCTCGAAAGCACCTGCTCGCGGTGTTCGTGCGATCGGTAACGCTGTTGGGCGAATATACGCCGAAGGTGGTGTGCTCGCCTTTTGGACAGGCAATGGGCTCTCTGTAGCGAAGATCCTGCCTGAGTCGGCCATCAAGTTTCTAACCTACGAATCATCCGTTCGTCGTCCTTGCTTCGTTGGCCTTCGTAACGACCGACAGACATGGTCTTGTAGAAACGGATGTTCGCCAAGCATTGGGATCACGTTGACGACCCGAGAGACATTAGCGGTGTCAGCCGTTTCATGTCCGGAGGGTTAGGCGGGATCAGCAGTCAACTGTGTGCGTAGAGGCTTCGCTGGGTCATGCATTATCACTGATGAGCATGTTTGTCTAGCTATCTACCCAATAGAGACACTTAAGGTACGCCGAGGCAAAGCATATTCAGCCAAGTATGACACTGAACGTTCGTGATAGACACAAATGATGAGTAGTACCGGGGAGACGAGACGGTCACTCGTCGACGCTGCCAGGAAAGTCTGGGGAATGGGTGGTTTCCGTGCCTTTTACCGGGGATTGTCGGTGGGTGCACTCGCTTCATTCAGCCATGATTCCCGCTGATCTTCATGTCAGATAGGGCTAGTTGGAGTGTTCCCGTGAGTCCATGAAGATCCTCCTCTGCGACCTCAAATCTCAGTGGCGAGATAGATATTCGGCTATCGACATGAGTACATTCGAGGCGCTCAAGCTGGCATACATCCGATCAACAGGCAAAGAGGAGCCAGGAGTCCTTGCGTTGCTCTCGTTCGGCAGCGTATCCGGAAGTATTGGCGCTACGAGCGTATATCCACTGAACCTCGTCCGAACGCGATTGCAAGCGTCGGGGTCGTCAGGTCACCCACAAAGGTATAATGGTTACATGGACGTCGTCCATACAACGTATGCTCGCGATGGTTGGCGTGGCTTCTACCGTGGGTTGCTTCCAACCCTGGCAAAGGTACGTGTGATCGTTCTTCGATCTTGTATGGAGACTCATTGCTTTGCTTTAGGTGGTACCAGCAGTGTCGATATCTTATGTCGTGTACGAATCTAGCAAACGCAAGTGCGTACCGCTATCCCCTCTCCCCCATGCCGTCACTAATATAGACCCCGTCCAGACTTGGTGTATAATCGTCACCTATCTCATGCGTCACTCCTTCCTGGGACAGCCTATTCTTCTCGTGATTCCCGCATTGCTTCACTGTATCTACTACCACACGTAAGTTTAGTATGTGGATGGGATACCATTCCACTTCGCTCGCTCATTATTACCACAGACAATAATTATTGCTAGAGCTATGATCTCTTGAAACAAACATATCTTCCCGGACTCCCATGAGCTGTATTGAAGGTGAAGCAGATATGGAGTGAATACCGTTGCCTGCGTCGGGCCAAGAATTGCTCTGTCGCCAGTACAGGGTTAGACTTGCCGCTGGCTTTTCGTGCTCACAAGGGCAAATGCTTAGCTAATCATCGCTGGTAGACGTCATGGATTCATCCGCGTAAGCACTTCTACGGTGACCTCCATACAGCCTTCAGCACCAGCCACAATGGACTATCGTCCACGATATCCACAGCCTTTCACATTACAGGAGGCCATAGCGTTGGATGTCCCGGTGATCACGGAAGGTTGACTGAAGTCTTTCCATGGTCTGAAAACAAGAAATGACCTTCCTATGTTCAGAGATAGCTCGCCTCCAGAATTCGCTGCAGCACCTGAGGAGAACCCAAAACGAGTTGCAAGCAGCCTCAGACGCAGCTCCAGATCCTGAGTTTACCAAGGCAATCGAGGAGAATGACCTCGTCATGTCAGTGCAGTGTACATGACTTCTGATCACGCACGCTGACGCGTTCACAGTGGTTCGCAGGAGGAAAGGATCAGCATTCTCAAAATGGCGTTGACTGAGAAGGGCATTCTCATGGGCAGTCATTACGATCTCAATCCGACGCAACAACCCACGGGTAGAGGCGACGCGTCTCACAGTGCCGCCCAGCAGGTGGAGACAACGTCAATCTCATCAACTCAACCAGCAGCCACAAGCAACCACCAGCCTGTCGAGGAGGCCGAAGATGGTGTTTTCCTGTGATGCGGTATAGGCGAATGGGTCTGCTAGAGCAGAATGGCATAGTTGACATGATATGATATGATTGTGACTTCATTGAGGCGGTGTGGGTACGTTGTAAAATAATGACACAACAGAACGACAGATTACACTGGTATGACAGGGGATCTGGGGATCAGAGACGTAAGAACTTCTTCCCAGTGTGTTGAGGCCTGTCTGCTCCAGTGACCGTGTGGAGTATAGGGGATCTTCGCGAAACGATACAGTAGCAGGCAAAGAACCAGATCACAGATGCAGACTGTTCTAGAGGGAGCCGCCTGAGTCACATATAAGAGCGCCTAGGTCCCAGTATTGCCAGCTGCAGTCGATCATCGATGTGTCCATAGACGTGATGGTATTTTAACGCCGCTTGCGTGGCCTAGTCTTCGAAACCGAAGCCGCGACCGGGGGCTGAAGGTTGTTGATGCGAGTGAGTAGCAGCGTATGATTTGAACCACGTACCTTGTCGGTAGATGCCTCGCCTGTTCGCTCGTCAACTTTGCGCGTGGACGTCCTCTGTTGCGTTTCAGCACACTTTCACCAAGTCATACAAATGTAGCAACACACCAAGCGTTTGGAAGGCGGCTTCGACATAGTCACACTTTCGGTAGCTCTGGATGGCGAGTCCATCGCATCTCGCTTCCGTAGGACTGTAGCGAGCGGGACCTCGACTTCGGGTAATTCGTCAGACGAGTCCAAGGCAAGTCTGCCAAAAGCAGGCTTGACAACAGCGTGACCTAAAGGGTCAAGCGCAGGCAGGCGATGGGTAGGTGGTGTCTTTGGTGCCCTCTGTACGCTCCTTCCCTGTTCAGTGAGATTCTGACCCTGTACCGGGGTCACTTGCAACGGTGCTACGGGGACAGCGGACAGAGCGGGTACGGGTCGTACAGGAACGCGAGATGTTGCGGGTGTCGACTTCGCAGCGACGGCGTTGTCCACATTCGTCGACTGCTTATGTTCTCAACCAGATGGAATGGTACATAAGGAGAAGGAGCTCACTGGAACATCTCTATCCGGTGCTTGCAGACTAGAGTCAGGCGGTGAGCTACTAGGATCAGAGGATGTCCATGCTGCAGGATTGATCATTGACCGGTTCTCGACTGCTGGGGGCGCCGTCTTCTGCACCTATGAGTAGTCTTTATTTAGTCAGTATACGCGAGGGGATGCCTTTACCTGGGCCTTGATGTGCTTGCCCAGGGAAGACTCGAGCAGATGCACTTTGGCACGCAGCTCTTTGATTGTGTTGTCGCGCTGATTCGGATAAGTGTCCTCAGTCGTTCTACAAGAATGGGCAATGACGCTTACGCGGCGAAGATCATTCCCCTTTGTGATGAGTTCCTGTTCGTGGATAGCTTGCGACATCTGCACCAGAGTATTGATGAAGGTCTTTTCCTCCTCATTCTGCCGATGGTCAACACCTCATATCAATACGTCCGTCACACTCAGGACGTACCAGATCCCCTCGCTTGTATCGTACATCGATGGTCTTCGCTCGTTCAAGGAGCTTATGCTGCTCTGCCTCTAGGTTCTGAATGCGATGCTTGAGAGCATTGATCTCCTCCCCGTGGGTTGGGTCAGGAAGCAAAGCCTGGCTGAGTTGCTCCCGAAGATTCTGAGCCTCAGAGGAGGCGCTGTCTAGGTTCTCCTGCAGCGATTGAAGCAAGGCGCGCGAGGCCGCAAGGTCCTGCTCAGCACCGTTGGCTCGTGTCTGTTGAGCATCTAATTGGGAACGGTGTCGGTCCTCTTTGCTCTTCAGCTTTTCTTCATACTCATTCGTCGTGGCAGAGAGTTCGTCTTCTTGGCCCTTGATCTTGAGGTCCAATTGATTGGCGATGTTCTGCAACTGAGCATTCTGCTCCTTCAACAGAGCGATTTCACATCTGAGATCCCCAGTTGCGGATTCGAAGGCCCGCTATTTGCCTAATGAGAATGAAACTGGAATAGCGAGGTCGGTCACATACCGCATGAGCAGCTTCGGTAGTGATCAAGCGCTCCTGCATCTATCATGAGCATGTAGTCCCGAAGTTCATTGAGCCACTAACCTGTAGGTCCCCATTAGCTTCCCGAGTTACTCTGAGGGTTATTGACTGTTCTTCGAATCGTTCTTCGAGAATCTGTCTCGGAGCTGTAAGCTAGGGTGCAACAGTCATTGGGCAATGCCTCACCTGGCAACGCGCGTTCGCCTCATGCATCCTATGCCACGAACCGTCAAGACAGCGTATTACGTGTCGAATCATCCACTCACTTCTCATTGCGGAGGTCTAATTCCTTCTTGGCTGCATCGAGTGCCTGCTCAGCAGAGGCGAACTTCTCAAACATCCGCTGGTGTTCCGATTTGCGACATTCGGCATCCTTCAATGCTGAAGCTTCACGGGCCTTGTGTTCTTGCAGCCCGCCGGTCAGCTCTCGAATCTTCTCGGTGTCGTTGGCAATGTGTGACTCGAGGACCAGTACTCTGAGACATAAGCTGTCAGCTGGATACAAACCCCCACCCCTGCGCCCAGGCCCACCTCGACCTCATTTCTTCTACCAGCTCCCCCTTCACCGTCAAAGACGCTTCGAATGTGGCTATGGCTATGTCCTTCTCGGCCAACAGCTTGCGTATCATGTCCACCCTGAGGAGAGGATTGCGTATCATTGTGTATGGCGAGCAATAGAACGTACTCTTCCGCAACGTGTTCCAGCGAATGAGCCTTAGCTTCACTTTCCTTGAGCAAATTTGTCAATTTCTCGTTGCTGTTGTGTGGTACAGTCAGGAACTGATCGACTACAGTGATAATTCACCACTAACTTATGCTTGACCGAGCGCATTTCCTCCAGCTCAGCGTCCTTAGTCCCTAGTGCTGCGGTTAATGCCTGAATGCTACGGTCATGCACACCCTCGTAAGCCACACAGTGTGAGCGTAATCATGTCTACACAACGTACCGTTCATTGGAGACACTTAGTTTTGCATCGGCCTCCGCAGCAATCGATAAGACATCGTAAAGCTCTCGTTGTTGCTTCTTCATCGCTTCTGCCAGCTCGGATAGCTGTTGGCCTGAAGAAACGATGTCCAGCGCGAACACAGAAAATATGAGACATCATCGGTACCTGCGTTACCCAGACTTTGGGAAGATCCCTGGAGGGCAGTACGGTCCATGAGTTGCGCATTCTCTAGTTCGGTCACACGGTTCCTCGCGTCGACGAGTTCTGCGCCGACGCAAGAGAGTTTGTCGCGCAGCATGTCCGCGACTTCTTGAGCTGTCCAGGATGAAACGACAACATTGTGGACACCGTAAACGAGTGCCAGTCATAAACTCACACTTCTGGCACTCGAGCTGTATGGTGTCAATGAGGCGACGTGTCTCAGAACTCCTGATGCTCAGCCCATCCTCGTCTAGGAATGGCTCAATACCTTGGATCTGTCAGATCTATGAAGTATGACAGTGCAATGAACTTACTTCGCATGGCTTCGGACACAGATTCACGCAGTTCTTGAACATCGGGCAGCGTACTCTGTGCCTTGATGACCATCTCGAACGATGACTGCGACTTGGTCTTGAGTTCATTCATGACGTCCTCTAAAGCGCTCAAGCTGCGCATATACGCGAGTCAAACGGCAGTGCGGAGGACTGAAACTGTCCACAGTACCTCTTGGAGCTCTTCTCAAGGCTCTGCTTGGCGGCGTCCTTGACTGCTTGAAGGCGCTTGAGCGCCTCCTCCTTCTCACCTTTCACACTCTCGAGTTGCGACTGGAGGAAGGATATCTCTCGGCGCTGGAAGGGAAATCAGCATCCGGACACGGAGTAAAACGTAGGACGCCTTTGGGTTCACCTGTTCTTCGAGTTCAAACTTTGCATTCCTCAAACCGGTCGCCCCGCGCATCATGATCGACGATATGTCTTCGTCCTGTCTTCCTACTAGAGAGCTGACAACGGACGCGCTCCGAGAATAACCTGGCGCCATGTAGTCTACGCGAGGCCCTACGTCGCTCGGGTTCGCCGTGACAATACAAGCTTCCGCTGTAGGAAATTTAATATGCTGAAGAGGCGTTGCAGCGTGGGGTAAAGGAGGAGACGCATGCGGTGGTGCATCTGACAATCCACAAACGAGTGTCATCACCAAGTTACACTCCCTTACATCGACTACCACTTACCCTCGTCACCCGCGTCGAACCTCTGATGCAGACTTCTACCTGTCCGTTTCAATGACATTTGTCGAGGAGTTGCCGGTTTGACTGCGCCATGGAAGAAAGCGTTCAACACCGGTGGGGACAGAGCACGCCCGGGTCCGTGGCCAAGTCCATTGCTCGGAAGTAGCTTCTCGTTCACGTCGCGAGCGGCTCCATGCTGAGGGTCTACATACAAATTCTTGCGGGGGAGATTGATCGCGTTCTTCAGCGGCTTGTCAGCTCGAGCCAATGCTGGCTTAGTGCCGAAAAAGAGACGGCTTCTTTGAGAGTCTGCGTGTCGAGATTTCTGGACAGGATCGAGTGACTGCTTCCTCTTGAGACCACCACCGTCATCAAACTAGCTCGAGATATTAAGTAGCTGGCTATATATCCCGCAGATTGAATGCAAACCTGAAGCGGAAACCCTTGCGGCCTGAACTGCTCCGGAGAAGCGGGCGACGAGAGAAATACCGAGTCCTGAGCAAAATCCTCCGCCATTTGGAGTATATGCGCGAAACTTGAGTGCGTTCAAGATCAGAAGTCCCAAACAGCAAGAAGCAAGAAGTGAACGGGTGGGGAGAGTCCCGCTAACAAGCTACCGATGTGGTGGTCGGGAACAGGGTGCAGTGGTACACGGCGCGCCGGGGACGCGTCCGAGATGACGCGCTCACGTGCTTTCATATTCACCAACCGCTGTCTCGACGGATCTTCATCATTCTGAATTGTTCAGATAACCTTCGAGATCCTGAACTCAGTCCTCCAGACGATAGGATGACGTCTCCTCCTCTACCAGTTACAGAGGCGATGACGAATGGTTAAACGCCGCCGGTGCGCGATATTCGGTAGACACTATGTTGGCGCCTATTGACACCCATTCAGCAGGCACTTTCTGATCCTGACGGGTGAGTAAACATATAGATTATCTACCTTCCCCTGCTACACAGCTGAATGTCGCGGGGCCTGGCAATGTAGCCGGAGATGTAATTACAGGACCTGCCATAGTGGGACAGCAATGTCGTCAGATCTTGCCCGATCGGAACTGGTCTCGGCGCGCTCGCGGCCTCGTGGCAACCTCCTTCAACGCAGCCACCGAGCTTCATCTCCAGACTCTGGCCCGCGACCGCGTCGGCCTCGTATCTCATCTGCCCTCACAACTCTCCCGACGTGCGGTTTATGTCCCGGAAAGCTCAGATGGAGGCAATCGAGCAGCCGGAGTATGTGGAGGAGGAGGTGGTCAGTGGAGAGGGCGACGAGGTCATGGAGGACATCGACGCGCAAGAGGAGGGATACAGTACGTGCATCGCTCATACACATCACCACTTGCTGAATATATTGTCGTGCTTCCTTGTGTGACTTCGGTCTTCTATCGTCTGTCGCAGGCTCATCTACGCCAACATCAACCCTTACGTGGATCAGCTGGTTCTGTTCCCTCCCAGGACACGAATACTTCTGCGAGGTAGCCGAGGATTTCATAGAGGACGACTTCAACCTCACAGGTTTGAACACCATGATACCGTTTTGGAAAGAGGCGATGGAGATGGTCCTCGATGTCGAGGCGGGTGAGTACAATGACTACCTACTGTGTTCTTTGTCTCACGGCTGTCGGAAAACCGATCCCTAGACGAGGACGCGGCCAAAATACCAGACGTCTCGATTGTGGAGGCATCTGCGGAGTTGCTCTACGGTCTCGTTCACCAGCGATACATACTTACGCGTGCAGGGCTACAGGCAATGGTATGGATTTTCCTCACGCGTCTCGCTGACGGCTTCTTCATCACAATGACAACCACAGGTGGACAAATACGAAGCGGGGACATTCGGCTCTTGTCCACGCGTAATGTGCAAGGGTACCAATATCGTCCCGTGTGGTCGCTCCGACATGCCTGGAATCGACACCGTCAAGCTCTTCTGTCCGAACTGTAACGATATCTATACCCCTCCCAGCAGCCGATTCCAAGGTGTTGATGGTGAGTAGCAGCGCATCTCACGTATGCTCGAGCGAGCCACTGACTCGCGCGACGCGTCAAGGTGCTTTCTTCGGCACAACCTTCGCGCATCTGTTCTTCCAGAGCTACCGCGAGCTCGCGCCAGCCCCGTTCTACAGACCGCACTCCCCATCTAGCTCCTCCGGTTCCCCCCATTCTTCTGGCAGCTCGCCTCGCCAAACCTCTGCGTTCATTAATCCCAACATCAATGGCGGCCAGAAGCGTGCGGCAGGCAAGGTCTATGTCCCCAAGATCTATGGCTTCAAGATCAGCGAGAGAGCGAAGTGTGGACCGAGGATGCAGTGGCTGCGCATGAGACCTTGGAGTCCGGACGAACTGGATGAGGTCGACTGGCGGGGGAAGTGGATTGATGACGAGGATGACTACGGGGAAGAGGAGGATGACGTGGATGAGGACCGACCTATGGAGGACTTTGACCCTGTGAGTAGTTACACATAGGACCTCCCCCCTGCTATGACCTGTACTCATTAGAAACGTACAGGACATGGGAGAGGGTGATGAGGATGAGGACGAAGAGGAAGAGGAAGAGGATCAGCAGCCACCGTCGTCACAGAAGGGCAAACGGGTGATGCACTCGGCCTCCGCGCCGTCGTTGAGACCCGCGCTTCCCGACGCGACCTCTGCATCCCCGAGGCCGAGCGCGCCACTACAGCCTCCGCAGGAGGATCTCCGATACGCGTCGCGGGACCAGGGCTATGGATCTGGCTCGAAGGTTAGAGTTGTGCGGCAGTGGGCGCCGCGGGGGACCACGGCACAGGCCTGAACATTGCGGTGCGGTAGATAGAGTGCAGCGTTTGTGTTTACTTTATTAGCGTACAATGACGTCCAAGTCTCTGTTCCATCTCTCATATCACCGCCTCTGTTCTCTCCTGTTCTCTCCCGGCCGTTCCTGAACAGTGTGCTTCCTCTCAAATATGTCCATCTATGAATCTATGAATCGGAAAGATCTCAACGAATCAATAGGGTTCTCCAAGGGTTCTCATAGAAAATGTTACGCTTGTAAGCTGCAGTTTAATGATCGTGAGAATGTACAGTGAGTGTGAGAAGTCAGCTGTATAGCACCAAAGCCACAGCTGACCCATCACGTGGTACGAAACGAGGAGATCTCTACGGCAAGTAGTGGCGGAGCGACTTCAACGACCCTCAAGACATCAAGAAAATGGCCCGCTCCAGTGCGTCGTTCATGCATATACTCACCCAGAACTGCCGCTGATGCGATGTAACTACGATTTGCTATGCAGACGTCCGTTACGGCCTGAACAAGGGCTTCCCTACAACCCCCATTGCGAAGGCTGTCCGCCCCAGCCAGCGCAAGGGCGTCACCTCTGCACGCACCACGTTTGTGCGCTCTGTCGTCCGGGAGGTCGCGGGCTTCTCGCCGTATGAGCGTCGGGTAATGGAGTTGCTGAGGAACTCCAAGGTGCGTAGTCTGATTTATGTAGACCATTTACCTGAGATTTACGCTTTGGCTTCTACAGGATAAGAAGGCTAGGAAGCTCACGAAAAAGCGGGTATGTGGGCTAGCCAGGTTAGTAGCAGGGGCATGTGTCGCTAAATCGGCTTTTGCAGCTCGGCACGCTCCTGCGCTCGAAGCGCAAGCTGGAGGAGCTCGGCAACATCATCCAGGAGAGCAGGAGGGCAGGTCACTAAATCGGCGCTGTAGTGGTCGTGATGCTCTCGTCTCTAGTTCTCTATCGGCTCACGGGGGTCGGTGGGTCTATGTCATGCCGCTATGCGTTCGCTGTAACATATGCGTCTCTACGGTGCCCTGCTATGCATACTCTCGCCATTGCAAGTGGAAAGTCGCAAATGCGAGTGCTGTATTGCGTTCACCGAACTAACCTACATAAAGAATGACCGGATTATGCACCACGAGGATGACCTGAGGATGACCAATGATCCCGCGGCATTCCAGTCTGCGACGCATCGGCCTCAGAATGTCGGACTGACGACACCCGCTTCGGGGCGCCTTATTGCCGCGGCGATCTTCGTGAGATGTGTTGCAGACCAAGGCAGCTGAGGGGACTGCGTGGTCGGTAAATGCTACAGATCGGGGTATTGATCAGCAGAAAAGAGGTGAACGGTGAGCGCGCGACGGCGACTGTCGTGAATAAAGCGGGATGTGTGAGGCTGGCGAGGGCAGAGACACGGGGCCAGCGCAGTCGCAGAGCCTGCAGCTAGGCTGGGCTGGGTGGAGGAGCGGTGGGTAGCAGGCGTGGGCGGGTAATCAGGTAAGCGGGCCGGAGCCGACAGAGGGAACACGGAATGGGGCTTACGAGAGACAGCCGCTGAGGCCGGGGCGGGACGTGTGTGAGTGTGTGAAATCATTCAGGCCAGCCGCTCTTCATCAGGCCTCTTGCGCTCCTCGCTGGGCGAATGGCTTCCCTCCTACCTCCCCCCAACCGCCACCGCGCATCCTCAACTAATGTCCGTCCGCCGTTGACACTCAGTTCCTTGGGTTCCCGCCGCAGGTCCAACTCGCTCCTCGACTTGCCCCCGCACACCCCCGTCCACGCTACCCCGCTCACTCCCCCCGCGGAGGTGGACACCCCGCGGCCCATGGTCACTCTCCCAGTGTCTCCGGCGAAGGAGGTCCAGGACAGCCCCTTCGAGAGCTTCGTGTCGAGATGTCTGCAGCTCCTCCATCTCACCCACGATGACACAGACCTCTCAGCCCCGTCCTCGCCGCGCCACAGTCGCGCGAGCACGGACTCGACCATCCTCCCTATGTCTGCATCGCCGACAAAGGAGACCTTCGCTGAAGCCTTCCCAGACGACCCAACGTTCCAGTCGCGGAAATGGTTCCTGCGAGGCCCGCCTTCAGTGCGTCGCCTTTCTCTTAGCGCTCGTGTGACCTCGGCTAACGCAGTTTTCATATTCAACTAGGTGCATACACCCGTCCTCTTCGTGCTCATGCTGTTCCCGCTATCAGCTGCGCTGGTTGTGTTCTGCATGTCTACACTGCCAATAACTATGCAGTGGCCGCGCAACCTCACCGATTTAGCCGAGCTCGGCCGGGAGCTCCAAGGGTACACGCAGAGCGAGCCGGCAGCCATGGTACACGTCTTGGCTGTGATCTCTATTACTGCAGTATGGAAGCATGCGTGGTCAATACCAGGCAGTGTGATCTGGGTGAGGACGACTCTCGTTGCTACCCGGTTTTGCATGCGCTTACTGATGTCCGTTACGGCAGAACGTCCTCGCAGGCGCTTTGATTTCCCCAGCCTACGCTACCATCTTGTTCACGATGCTCACCACCATTGGCTCAATCTGCGCGAGCCTTCTCGCGGCGCCTCTAGCGCCCGTCCTCTCCCAGGTGTTCCCTCGCGCTCTGGACATGACGCGCTCTGTACTCGAAGGTGACTCCAGTTCAAGCGACTCGGCGAGCACCAAGCACAGCCAAGCTTGGGTGCGGCTGTCTATCCTCCGACTGGTCGGAGTTGTGCCCTGGGCTGGCATTAACATCGCGTGCGGTGTATGCGGCGTAGCGATCTGGGATTGCTTCCTCGGATCGTTCCTTGGCTCATTACCGTGGACCGCGGTCACCTGTCAGATAGGCGATATTCTGCAAACGGTCGCGTCGAATCCATCACCAACGCAGCAGAGCGTGAGGGACCTCCTTACGTCTCCTCAAATTATTTTCAAGCTCGTCTTCCTCTCCGTCCTTTCGCTCGCACCCATCCTTGGCCGCAATCGGCTACGAGAGTGGATCGCAACGTCAGTGACGTCGTCACCGTCGGCACTTCGCGGCGCCGACCAACGAGAGGAGCGGACGTCTCGGTGGGCGTGGGTACGAGACTGGCAGAGCAAAATCCGCGTGCCTTCCCGGTCCAGGACACGCGAGGTGTTCCGGAAAGAGCTCGAAGCACTCGTCCAGGAGAAGAACGCGAGCCTGCCGCTATAATGGCTGGCCTGCTCGCCCCCGCACGTACACGCCGCTCTACCACTTCACAGGAATGACGTCCTCTGCCGCATGGATACCACGATACGACCTTTGCATTGCTTTCGATACCTATCATGACGACTACATTACGACTTGCTTGGACCCGCTCGACCCCACGTCCGAGGACGCCCACCGCCACCCCCGCTCTGCCGGCGGCCGCCTTGACGCTTGACCTCGTCATCAATAATCATTGACGGGCCCTGTAATATGCCACCGACACACCGCACGCCACCTAGAATCTCACCGCCTTGCCACCAGAATTTGCAGCCTCCCCTCGGACGCGGCCCCGTAGAGTCATAGACTACGCCCGGCACTCGAGGCGCTGCGCGCGACACCCCGTATACACCCATCCACTGCCCGCTGCATCGAGTCCAGTCATGCATCACGCGTTACGATACAGAACACCCAACCCAGCTTGAGCACGTCCGATGTCCTGCATGCATATCCCGTAGTCCACGAGCTTCGCAGTGCTATATTTATCCCCTTCGCTCCATCGTTCGTCGTCACTATTAGCCCTGCCCAGCCGTTTGTTTTAGGCGTTGTTGGATGGGATTCGTAATCGTCAATAGCCACATTCGCTTTTCGCTGCCTTCGTCATCGTCTGCTCTGCCGCGTGCGGCTGCCCCGGCGTTGACGTTTTGAATGCGTGCTGCCGCGTCTGTGCATCGTGCTCCTCGATGGGGCGCGCCGCGGACCGGTGGTGTGCGCCTTCGTTATTGTTCCATACTGGACCGCGGAGGCGGCGCTCTGCGGGCGCGGCCTCCGCGTCGTTGAGTCATTTCTGTTGCATATTTAGTGTCGGAGTCATCTCTGGTGATGGGTAGACAGTGTAAAAGGGAATAGGATTGGGAATTCGTTCGGGTCTACGGCGCGGCGCTGGGCAGATTGTCAGAGGTATCTGGGATTGGAAATGCTGAGCGACAGGCACGATCCAGGCGGTGGAGGACGCCGTGCCGGGGACGCGTCGTGACGCGTCTGGAGAGCACGTGCCACGCGTCTTGGACCCGCGTACCGCGAGGCGCGTCGAGGCGAGTCCCGATCGGCGGCGGATGGTGTACATAGCCTGCATTTCTCCATTTACATACTCCTGGCCTGGTTTACTCCGTCGAATTGTCACCCGGTGGCCTTATTCGCGACAGCCTGTATCAAATCCCTGATTTTACTGTGTCTGTGCGGCACACGCATGGACAGTTATTGTGACTGTGCCTAGGATCACCCCGGCGGATCAGCATCGAGGTAGACTTGCTGGCATTTCGACCCATCGAAGCTGCCACGTACGGATAGTCACCGGACCAATTACCACGACTGACAAGTACACTATTGTTCATCTACATAGAGGCAGTGCGGAGACCAGTGAAGTGTATTGATAGATGACAAAGAGCTAGCGGTAGAGGTACTCGCATGTCACTTGCTCGCTCACATGCCCTGCCCAGTATGACGGCCCCAAAATCACCAACAACAGCAGTTGCGAACAGACGACACTCAAGATCGCATAGAACCACGCCTTCTTGTTCTCCAGCGCGTCCACCTCCGTGGCGAACGTACTGACAGTGGTGAGACAGCCGCAGTACCCGTTCGCGAGTCCGGCGAGGACGTTGCACGCCCTCACGGACGGCGGCCCGCGCGTGCCCTGCAGCACCTCGAAGAGCCCGATGAACCCGGTGCCGAGGATGTTTGCTGTGAACGTCCCCACGGGGAACAGCTTGAACCTCGGATTCAGGTTGATCGATAGCAGATAGCGTGTCAGCGTCCCTGGGAAGGAGTACAGCAGCGCGGACGTCGCTTGGTGGCGGAAAGACTCCGGCATGCGGAAGTAGGCGGGGAAGGTCGCGGCGTAGATGCAGACGGACAGCGCGGTGAGGAAGTAGCGGAAGGCGGCGTTGGGAGAGGGGGGTCGCGGGACGTGTGGGGCAATCAAGGTAGCCAAGTGTGCGCCAAACGACACGGCGGAAAGGGACAATGCGAGTGTGAAGACGAGTTGGGTGAGGCCGTCAATGACCTTAAAGATATAGACATTTGGTCAAAAAGCTAAGAATGCTAGGGAGTTACTCACATCGCGCAGCCAGTCTCGGTGGTATCGACCGGAGTTTATCCATGCCTGAAACACGGCAAACTGCCATGACGAGAATGTCGTAAACGAACCACAAAACCCTGCGCAGAGGTCAGCCTGAAATCTTGCAGGATCGATCGAAAGGGGCCTCACCCGTAGTAAAAGCTGTATACAGCGGGGCATAGCTGGACAAGATACTCTTCAATGTCTTCGCTCACACAAAATAGAAGTCGCACCTACAACCGACCGAACGGCTCCCTAATCCCGAGACAGAAGCCCATAATCAGGCAACCGCCAACTTGCACCCAAGCCAGCGGAAAGATGGCATTGCCGTCAAATGTGACGAGTGCCTCCAAGCCCAACCGCGCAAGGGTCCCAAACACAGACGCGGGCATCAGCAGCGCGATTACGGCGGGGTCGTATGGGTGGTATATTTTTGCGGGGGGTATCTTCTCTGGATCGCTGGGCGGCCGGTCGATGGACGCGAGCGACGACGCTTCTTGCAGCGATTCATGGCGCGCGAGGGCCGAGCCGACGTCGCTGGGAGTTCGCTCGCTGTGTGTATGAGCTCTGGAGGGGGTTTGGGTGAGAGACGGAGAGCGCTTGGCAGAGTCGGTGAAAGGCGGGTTTGATTCGAGATCGTCTGGGGGGACCTCGGGCTCCGGGACGTGCATGTCTTGCGTCTGCCCCATCCTGCTCAACCCTCCTGCCCAGGACAGTCAGCGTTTAGATGTGCTAGTAGCAGGCGACAATTCGCATTCAGAATGTCCAAGAGGTACAGAGCAGAGCTAGAACGTGGCGAGAGACCGTCGGGCATGCAGCGTGAGAGCGCTTATCCAGCGACTGTCCTCCGGCTCGCGTAACGCGTAAGTACTGGTACTGCGGGCCCCTATATACAGCACAAGTCGGCGACCCAAGGCCATCGCCTGTGTTTGATGCGCCTCTCGCGGTCGCTGCCACGTTGACGCCCTTATGCTCTTAACTCTGCTCACGACCGTGGCTGCAGTGGTCCTTGCTGCTCTGATACCCCGCATGTTCTTCAAAAGCAAGTGGGATCCCCGAGGTCGAGTTGAGTATCCAGATCTGCGCCAGAACGTGCCCACGCTGACACGCCCATACAGCACTGTTATGTCACTGGCGGCTCGTCGGGGCTTGGGCTTGCCTTGGCTGTCCTCCTCACCAAGAAGGGCGCGCATGTGTCCATAGTCGCGCGCAATGAGGAACGACTGCAGAAGGCACTAGAGACATTGGAGGTGCGGCAATGCGCGGCATCAACGCGTTTCGTACTAAGTACCCGACCCTGCCAGGCTGCCCGCCAGACACAGGACCAGGTGCTAAAGTACTACTCGTTCGCGCTCAACTCTGAGGCCGGTGCTGTCGCTGCGATCGAAGCCGCCTCCGAGGCGCACGGAGGGAGGTCCCCAGATGCGTTCTTCTTTTGCGCGGGCAAGTCAACCCCCGGTTTCTTCGTCGAGCAGGATGAAGCGTCCATGAGGAAGGGCATGGACGAGACGTATTGGGCCCAGGCACCATCCGCTTTAGTCTGTGGATAGCTCTTGACAGTGGTTGCACTCGATGCTCATGTCTTGTCATAGGCTGCGGCGAAGCGCATGGTGAGCAGACGCGAGAAGGGCAAGCTCGTCTTCATCTCTTCTGTGCTGGGTTACTTCTCCATGATTGGATACTCGCCATACACTCCCGGCAAGTTCGCCATCCGAGGTATGCCTGCGATTTTCTTATGCGTGGGAGCCGTGCTGAACAGGTTCATGATATTAGGCCTTGCTGAAGCTTTGCAGTCTGAACTTATCCTGTATGACATTGATGTCCATGTCGCATTCCCTGGCACTATCCTCAGCCCGGGTCTGGAGCAAGAGAACCAGGTGAAGCCTAAAGTGACCTTGAAACTCGAGGAAACGGATGACGGCTATACGCCTGAAGTCGTCGCAGCTGGAGTTCTCAAGGGTAATTCCGACCCGCTTCGAACCCGCATGCGACACGTGCTAATTGCAGTCCACGTAGGTGTGAGGAACGGTGATTTCCACATAACATACGAACTCCTTGGCCACATCTTCCGTGCCTCCACCGCAGGGTCGTCCCCACGGAACAGCTACCTGACAGACATCTTCTACGGCCTTATAGGCTATGTAAGTTTGATCTCCGAGATTGGTCCCATATGCACAGGCTGAGCTTGCACAGGTTGGGCTGCCGATATGGAGGCGGTCTGTAGATTCTACCGTCCGAGGACATCGCCCGGAACACGAAGAATATCTGTCTGCTCGAGGGTTCTTCACAGGAACAACGTCAGAGAGCACAAAGTGACTGATACGTTCCATACCAACACCACAAAAATACCCCAAATTGATACCTGTTTCTGCTAATGATTTCAGGGCGTTGGGGTCATTGCAATCGTACGTTGCGTTGAACGTTGACTGTCGCTGGCCTGAAGCTTGACTTGAGCACGGGCTTCGCTTGGCTTCACACAATGAGGATTTTGACTTGCTGCAACGACTCGAGCCGCTGGCGTGTGTAGATCCCACACTTCTCTTCGAGCACGCTGTCGAAGGACCACAGAATCACGGGCACTTGTCGCACAACCTTCCGAGGAACATATATTTGGATCACAGCTGTCTAAGCACAGCGCCCCGGTAACCACGCCCGGACACGCATTACAAAACATGTGGCTAGTACACAACCCGTCTGAAGTGCACAGGACGTGTCAGGAGGGGCGAAGCCCAGGTCTCACCGGATGGTAATCCGAGCAGAGAATGAGCATTAGAACCCCCCTCGTCGTTCTTGGTCCTTGCCATTTAGCAACGCAACGGGGATTGGAGAGTTGCTTGCCTGGGTAAGAGTGGGACCGACTGTAAGATGAAGAAAGCTGCTCGCGCGCTCGGAGGCCATAAGCACAGCGTTCAGGGCAGGGCGGATCGTGGCCGCGATCGACCCGATTGGGATCGAGCAGACTGGCACAGAGCGGCGACAGCATCCGGGATGCGAGAAGTGCCAGGCGGTGTTCACATTACTACGCCTCCGTCTCACACCCGTCCTCTCTCATAACTACCAGGCCGCGGGCTGGCCCACTGCATACTCGCCTGCAGCACCGCCGGTCTGTCGCGAACCCCGCCACGCTCGATCTCGCCCTGTCGAGCCACACGACCTGCGAGCAGCCTCTCCGCACACGATGTCGTCGGCACCCTCCACGGCGCTGCCCACCTTCTACTTCGCCGTCTTCGGCCTCTATGAGCCCCTCCTCACAATCCTTGGGTTCATGGGTGCTGTCTTGGACCCGAAGACGGTGAGTGTACCTCCTGCCCCGCTTTAGGCCGCAGCTCATCCATCCGCCTCTACAAGACCCACGACCAACAGGCACCATGGCCCGCGGGCGGGCCCCCAGTCGACATGCCCCTAGCGACGCGTGTCACCATCCTGCAGCTGGGACACGTCGCAGGCCTTCTCGGCCTTCTCAACTTCTTCGTACTCTCGGCATGCCGAAAGTATTTGTACTCGCAACCGGCGCTCCAAGAGAAGATCGTCGGAGCGCTCCTCAAGCCGCTGCTCCTTGGTGACTTCCTACACATTGGAATCACCCTCTGGGCACTCGGAGACAGCAGATGGGACGTTGCGAGCTGGGGAGGCATCCTGTGGATCACAGTGGTGACAGGCTTCAGCCTGATGATTCCGAGGATTACATGGCACCTGGGGATCGGTCGTTATGTCGACAATAGAGACGGCTACCCTGCAAAGAAGCATTGATCTGGAGGGCAACATCTATTAGTGCGTATATTCATTACGGTATATGTAGGCTACTTGTTTCAAGGAAGGGGTGCCGTTGGTTGGTCCCATTCGAAAGTCTCAGGAATACGCTCGCGTAGACTGCATTTGTAGTGTCATTCGACTGGCCCATTGATCCTGTAATATAGAAGTCAGCTTATCAAGTAAAGCATACACGCTCAAGAGCACCGTCATATTAGATCAAGAGGAAATCACTGGACATCCAGCAGCTCGAGAAGAGTGTAATGCTGGTTCCCTCACCACATATTTCTATTCATCCGATACCCGTACTGCGAATCGGTGAAACTCACCTTGGTGGAATGCTCTGGACGCGGTTGACGTGGTACCAATGCGTGGCTGACACGACGGATGCCCCACAAACTTCAAGGATTACTCGACTTCGCACTAGCGTTCTCTTGAGGGGGCAACGACTGGCGATCTCGTCTGGTTCTCCGCGCATCCCACGCATTCAGGACCCAAGACTGTACGAGACCAAAGACGGCAGAGGTGGCCCAGTAGACCTGGACGCTCTGATGCACTTGGTAAGTACAGCCCATGTTCTGGTGGAAAGAGACCTACCCCCGGTACGACGGCTGCAATGAGGATACGAGCGACTGATAATCCCCTCAAGCCTGACTGTACTATTTTGCCTGGCTCTAGCACCGCTTCGCCCTTCGCACGCCGCGCCGCGACCCATTCGGCAACCTTTGCTTGTCTCTGCATCGCAGCTGCGCTCGCGAACCACCGGGTGCTCTCGACTTGCATGAGCGTGACAAGGCCAACGACGATGGGCAATGCCAAGGTAGGATCAGAGTGTGACAGCGAAGTCAGTGTGAGGAACGACTCGGAGTCGAAGCCCGTCGGTGCTTGCGATGCCCTGCTGAGGATCACGGTGAAACCAACGAATAGCGGTAATTGCGTGATAGGAGGGATGAGCATGGTTGGGAGGGGCGTGCAGCCATGCTTCACCAGCAGTTCTTTCTTGCGTGCGTCCGCCTGTAATGGTTCCAGCGATGTATCAGAGGCAGACATGCTACAAGGCTCACCAACACCTTCAGCCTTTTGTTGCGCTCTTTTCGCGCGACTTCAAGCTCGCCCCGGTAGCCATCTTTCTTCATGTCAGCAATAGCTTGCTTGTTAAGTTCCGGGATTTCTTGCTCGACCTGAGGCATCACGACGTGCTCCGCTCGCCATTGCCGGTTCTTTGCCTACACAGCCCAAGCAAGATTACAAACTCGCTGATTTTCTGCCGTAAGACCGACGTACCCAGACTGAGAATGGTACAGTGAAAATGAGACGCGATGCGACCGTCACAAGGATGATCGTAGTGGAGTACGGTGGCAGACTGGCGGGATACGGGAGCGCAATAGCAAGGTCCAGGAATCCATCTGTAAGTGTTTGTATGGCAGACGCAGTGAATTTGCGAGGACGAGCAGGTTGTGCCCGAGGAAGGTGGAGAGCGTGTCTGGTCGGGCGGAGGGTCGAGCACCTGGCAAACATGAAGAAGGGATCGGCGCCTTCTCGATCCCGAAGCGCTCAAGCTGGCCTTCCGGCGTAATCCAGCGCAAATGTCTCAAAGGAACGTCCAAAGGTCTCTCAAAGTGGTCGTTGCATACATCAGGTTACTCAGATACAGTCTTGGGACGCGGCGATGCGAGGCCAGCATCCATGCATTGATGTCGATCGAGAATGTCATATGCATGCAGTATATGCGCACCATAATCATAGCTACATGAGAGAACCCGCTGCTCCTCCCCTACCAACCAACCCCCGCCGCTCGCCCGTTCAGAACGCCAGCTGGTGAGGGAACTGGCCCTTCGACAGACCCCAACTCGACTTCAGGTACTTGTTGATGTTCTCCGTCTTCTTGACGGCAGCGACGACGGCAGCGTCAACCGCCTTCTGATCAGCCACCTTCGACTCGGGGAACGCCTCCTTCTCCTTCGGCTTGCCATCAGCGAAGAACTCCTCCTCTGCTGAGCGGGAGCCCTTCTTGGAGGACTTGGCAAAGTAGGCGTCGTTGATCTTCTCATCAACCTGTGGTACATAGTCAAAAAGACGGCCTTTTTAGCACATGAGCATTTGCCTCACCTTGTGGTCGCCGAGGTCAAGCTGGGTAGAGGTCGCAATAACGTAGGCCTGGTTGACCCGTCGGAGAGGGACGCCGTTGACCTTGTAAGGGCCGGTCACAAGGAGCAGACCGCTCTCGAGCTGCTTGAGGAAAACAACGCGCTTCCCCCGGAAGCGGCCAGCGAGGAGGATGAGGACGCTGCCGGGAGTGATAGATGGGCGAAGCTTCGTGGGCTTGGGGGCCTTACGGCTCTTCTTGGGTTGGCGGACGTCCTCAGCGGGGTAGAAACGAGGTGCCTTTGCGACGGGCACAAGACGTTTGCCGCCGTTCTTCTCCCCTCCAACTGTAACCTCCTTCGTCGCGGCAGCCTCTGAGGCAGCCGGCTTCTCGGTGTTTTTGGGGCCCTTGTACAGACCACGGCGGGCGAAGACCTGGGAGCGAGAGAGGCGTCCCACGCCGGGTGCGATTTCCTTGCTGCGGGCCATCTGGGAGGACGTCGCGGTCAGTGAGTGAGAATTGACGCGAACCTGGAGACAGCTTCATCCGGGATGATATCCTCGCATCCAGCCAAAATCTCCCTCTAGCAACACCATCCAACGGGCAGGATCGAGCGAGACGTCTCCCGGCATGCTCTCCAGGTTCATCGAAAAGAATGGATGCTCACTGGGTCGGGTCTTGAGGATTGCTGGACTGTGTTGACAGCCCTTACGGTGGCAAGTCGGATGGGCGGCGATGATTAGTCAGCACTCTGGATGAGTGACCAAATCGGGCGCACGGTGGCGGAATGTGACGGGCGCTTGAGCGCACGTTCGGTCTCTCCTGGTTCATGACACTCTGCCATCTCAGAGCTGCAGCGACACGTAGAGCTTCGGGTTCACTCAGGACATTCTTTCCTACACCACAGCTTATATCCTTCAAACTCAGCGCACTCATTCAACTCCACTCCAAGATGTCTACCCAGGCGGCTTCTACCCGTTAGACTCATGTCCCTCGATTTGCACCATCGTCTGCGGCTGACTCTTGGTTGTTCTGTTCCCAGAGGATGACCGATACATGATCTGGCTGGACATAGACAACACACTGTACTCCGCAAGCACACGGATTTCTCAGGCAATGGGCGAGCGTATCCATGGTCCCGATCGCATCTCTTGTCCAGTGGTTGGCAGAACTTAACGAGCATTTTCGGTAGCATACTTCCTCTCATTGGGCTTCCCCGAAGAGGAAGCAACGGATCTGCATCACAAGTATTACACGCAATACGGCCTGGCGCTCCGTGGACTTGTACGGCACCACCAAATCGGTAAGCGATGTTGTGCTAATCGTCTATGCGTACTATGTTCGACGCAACGGCCTCGTAGATGCACTGGACTTTGATCGCAAATGCGACGGGTCGTTGCCTTTGGAAGATATCCTCGAGCCGGACCATAAATTGCGAAAGCTGCTCGAAGACATGGATCGCAGCAAAGCTCGCGTATGGGCTTTGACGAATGCGTACAAGACAGTATGTGTCTCCGTACAGTATGTATCACGATGCCGACTGATTCTTGTGATACCCCATATAGCATGCGAAGCGTGTCCTAGGCATTCTCGGCGTGGAGGACCAAGTGGAAGGTGTGGTCTTCTGCGACTACTCCAATCCTCAGTTCGCGTGCAAACCAGAGCCCGAGTACTTCCACAATGTACGTCTCAGACAGATCCAATATATTTTGTTAGCCGTGCCATTGAGCGCGTCGCAGGCCATGCAGAAAGCGAACTTGCAGGATCTATCCAAGTGCTGCTTTGTGGATGACAGTAGGGCCAACGTGCGTGCCGCGAAGCGACTAGGATGGGGCAGATGCGTGCACTTCTGCGAACGCGGTCTGGTAACCGTCGAGGGTGGCAAGGCTAAGGAGATTGGAAGGGACGGGGCGCTTGATCCCGAGGACGAAGGCATCACGGTCATCACTGACCTTGAAGAACTGAGAACCGTTTGGTCTGATCTCTTCAAAGCAAGCTAATGTAATGTAGATGTGTACAAACATGCGATTGCAATGGACTGTTCGTGGACGATCGCAGTCCCCTTGGGTTTATAGGAAACGCTGGCTGGGTCGTCAGAATAGCATCACAGACACCACTTGCGTCGACTCCGTGGCCTCGAGAATGATCCCGTCGAACCCCAGCAGACCTGTGTATTCGAGTCAGTACGATCCGTGGATAAGCATAGCATGTGCGTACGGGTCTTCGAGCTAGGGAGTGTCAGTGCATCGTCTTCGTCAGTGCGGTCGAGAAGCATGGTGGGTGGTTGTGCTTTGGGACTCAGGAAATGACTGATCGTATCACCCTGACGAACGACAGGTGAGCGCAGATAGCGAATCAACTCGGCATTCTCACTGTGTCGTAGAATCCGACACGGGGATGTGTCTCTGCTTGTCATTGAGTGACCGAGCGATCTACCTAGCATCACTGCACGTACCGTCTTCGTCGTCTTATGGCCTACCTTCAATCTCCCAGGGACACCGTTTGTATCTTTGGAACAAAGGCGATCCCGGCTGGCACTGAACGTCAGCTCCGATGTTACTTTTCGCCGTTGGGTATGACACACCACGTTGGTGTGGACAACAATCTTCTTCACAATATGGGTAGTCCCATCAACAAGGAGGTCAACTCCATGTTGAAGATAGTTATAGAAATCTACGCGTGTTGTAGCAATCATGCATATCATATGGAGTAGATAACCTACAATCTGTGTCCGCGTCTTCGTCTTCAGCAGAAAGTCTCGCGTGGATGGTCATCCTGTCGTCTTCTTCAATGTAATGGACTCGCAGTGGCGCACCAAGGTCGCACGTCAAGCCTTGGGCGGAGGTCACGCCCAGGCGTACACGGACAGGCTCCGTAGCTGATGGGTAGAAGTAGAGGTCTACGCCTTCATGGACCTACACAGTCCTGAGACGTGGCGCAAACTATTCATGGAGAACATGCTACCTTCAGCACAGCCTTTCTAATCTCACCGGACATCGAAGGGCACTCGACCACTTCGTCAAGAGCATCTTTGACTTCGTCGTTGGCGCTCTTCTGTGTGGTAACGACCCGCTTCACCTCCTGCAACTTATCATCTGTATGCGTTGCAGTTCCCTTCAGGCCTTCGTCCCGGCTGTCTTCCTCAAAGCTGAATAGAACACCGGGGTAACGCAAGTCGTCTCCGGGATATGTAGGACCGAATGTGCGGCTTACGCCGACTCGCCTGAAGACCTCATCCGCGGAGGAGAGGATGGTCTCCTTAAACTTGAGTGTCACAGGAGGATTCGGATCCCGCAACTTTCTGAGGCAGATAGTGTGTAAGCGTTGGTGATGACCGGAGAATAGCAGGTCCAGATGTGGTCGGATGTGCAGAATGACAGGGGTAGTGGATGAATCAGGGTCGAACTTGACATCGACGAGAGGAAAGGCGTGCTGTACGCGGCGTAGCATATCAAGCACGTTCCATAATGACGACCCTATATAATGTAATTTCAATCCAGCTGCGCTTTCAATGACTAGGCGTACATTGTACTAACCCACCTCGAACAGGCCCAAACCCAAGCCCGGCCGGATGTCTGCCTCCAGCGTGGAGAACATAGTGAGGAAGGCTCGTCAAGTTGTACCAAGCCTGTAGCAGACTAGCATGTCAAGTAGTCACCAGCCAGCGATGACCCGTGCGATCCCAATGCGAAGGATGACTGTTGTGTGCAGGTTGCGAGTCAACCCACTGCCAGGGCAGCCACAGCACCACCGAAATGGCAAACGCGCTCGTGCTCGACGCGTCACGGTCCAGCGCGTCGCGTCGCGTCTCGCGTCTCCGAGTCGCGTCTTGCCACAATTTGCCACAGTCCACTCCACCACTGCCGCAAGCATCACACGATGGCCGACCCAAGGCAAAGAATCATCATCAAGGTACCAGAGGCTTGTGACTGAAGCGCGTCCATCCTTGACGAGACCTGCAGGTCTTCCGGAAATACAGCCATTCATTAGGCCCCGAATCACTGGAGTTTCTGGAAGAGATTTTGGACCGTCATGAGATACCTGACGAGGAGGTAGAATTCTCCATTGAGTGGATAGCGAAGGAGTACAACAAGCAAGATGGTACGCATCTGAAGCCACGAGCCACAGTAGTCTAACCCTCCCTCAGACGCGCAGATGAAAGTGTCGCTAGACGTCCTTCAACGGGTGTACGACGCGTTCCAAAACTCTGGGGACAACCCCGCAGAAGAAGAACAGGAAGCAATTGATCCTGATAGTCACTTGCATTTCATTGACGCGTTCGATATGCCGTTGTGGCATTGGTCTCAGGAGAGAAGCTCGTTCGAAAGGCGAGTGGGATCAAGTATTGCCCGCCAGACTCCTCGATGACCTTAGACGTAGAGCAGCTGGAGCTCTCACTATATCTGGCTCTGCTGATTCCCAAGTCATGGCTATGCGGAATAGACTGAACGTCATCCGGCAGACGGTTCTGCGAAATGATCACTTCTCTCCATCGACTCTACCCTCTCGTGATCGCGAACGCCTCCTGACGGTATGTTGGAAGGTCACTGCGGTACTCTTGTACTGACATACTGCAGTTACGGTCGACAAAACAACTGCTAGGGCGTGCGGGAGAGCGCTTCTTGCTATTCGGCATGCTGTCTCATAACAAGGAGGGTAAACTCTGCTTAGAAGATCAGGACGGGGCCGTGGAGCTTGATTTCTCTCAACTGGTCAGTGACCGTGAACTCAGTCCTTACTTCGTATCGTTCATGTGTACATGCCAGGACCAACCAAGCGAGGGACTATTCACAGAAGGATGTTTCGCCCTCGTCGAGGGGGACTACACGGATGACGCAACGCTAAGCGTCATTGCCATAGGACACCCACCATGCGAGAGCAGGGAATCAGCAAGGCACGTATTTGCACAGACCAAGAACTCAATGTCTCATGGTGAAACAGGTCAATCTACGGCCACATCGACTTCCTTGGGAAGGGCGCGACCACTTTGCTAGAGGATGTCAGTTATTCCGGACCCTACTCAAGCGCGATTATTGAGACAGCTGTTAGACACAATTGGCAGCTCGCGTCCGCCTAGACCTTCCGGACCTACGATTTTTCGTGCTATCTGACGTCTGGTTGGATCATCCTGACACGCTTCGAGGGTTGAGGAAGATGTTCGACCATTGTATGGAGAACAGCTTCATCCCACGAGTCATGGTGCTATGCGGGAACTTCAGCAAACGTGGACTCCAGCAAGCGGACAGCCGAGAAGCTCGTCAGTTCCAAGGTGCGCGAGATGCGCTGGTCTTGCTTCACGACGAATGAGCTGACCAGTACAAATAACATAGACCACATGGACAACCTGGCGGATCTAATCGTGGCATACCCGTTAATTATGCGTACGACGCATTTCGTATTTGTCCCCGGTCCTCTAGACGCCGCTGTGAATTCTGCTCTGCCGCGGTGGCCGTTGATGTCGTCGTTCATTGCGCGTCTCAAGTCACGCATACCCAAGGTACACTTCGGCTCAAACCCATGCCGGATCAAGTTTTTCGAGCAGGAAATCGTGATCTTCAGGGAGAACCTCATGGCAAGAATGCTGCGAAACCTAGTAGGCGTCAAGCCCAACGTGCACACGGACGACTTGAAGCGATACGTGAGTGGTCATTGCTCATGAGCGAACCAAAAGCCCCGAATTCACGGCCTGCAGCTCGTACAATCAATATTGGACCAGAGTCATCTTGTTCCTCTGACGACTTCCATACAACCTGTCCTACATGACTTTGACCACACCCTCCGGCTGTATCCACTGCCAACTACGGTGAGTCCCATGAGATTGACCCCCGTCGCTGGGCTCTGAGTTGGCGTTATACTAGGTCGTCCTCGCCGACAAGTATGATAGATATCAGATGACATATGAAGGATGTCATGTCTTCAACCCAGGTAGCTTCGTAGGCAGTTCGTTCACCTTCTCGGCATATACGCCCTCCCGGCGGGAGTCGGAAGAATGGTAAGTCGTCGTCGAGGTATGTCACCGAAATATACAGTCGCTCATACTCCATCCATCCTTACAGTGTCCTAGACCTTGAGGGGGAATGACTTCCATTTTTATCTTCCCCTGGCATGTGTTCTGTAAACCAATCTATTCCTGGGGACGCTTTGTTTATCTAACAGCGCGCATTCCGCGCGTGTGGGGCTATGAGCACGACCCAGTCCGGGAGTTCCGCCTTCTGCACCGTCAGAGGCAGTCATCATAATATTTGCTGAGGCGGTGCTGATATGACAGGATAGCACAATGTTGCAGCGGTAACGGTACCCCGTAACGAGAACATGGTTCGCACTGCGGGAGTAGGCTACCTCCGGAGGGAAAGCTTCACTCGAAAATGTCGCACCGTCGCTGCAACGGCAGCAAGGCACGTACAGGCTGGCCCTGGGCTCAGCCGCCTGGCGAGACAGGTCCTGTAGGCTGTCCGAACGCGAATCGGATCGGAGAGCGATGGCGGGCGCATCTCAGATCGCGATCATGTCTCCGGGCTCGCGTGTGAAATAATGAGTGTCGCAACTTTCTTACGCGCATAGTAATCCAATACAATGCATTTCATTGCGTTTAGGCGCCCATGTCATTGAATTGCGTCGCGTTCAACCCCAGATTATTGCAATGACATTGTGATCCATGATCGCTTACACGCCAATGACATTCCAATGTCGGAGCTCCAAATTGTAATCACGTAGATTGTAATGCAACGGAATTGCGCCGGTGGCATTGGAATGTGACAGTAACGAATACAATAAAAGTGACTACATAGTGATGCCTGCGTAGCGATGCGATGGCTGTGTTTCATTGCAACGGTCAATCTATCTAGTTAGGCGCATTGGTATGACTGCTGGGGATTGTTATCATTGCCTGATCTCATACTGATGCTATCGTACCACTTACTGTGCTGTTACTTATACTATTGTGAACGACGATCGACATTGGAATGGGCGCCTATTAATTGGATGGTCAGAAAAGGGTTCGAACCTAAGACAAGGATTATAGAGCTTACCGAAGGAGCATTGTAACGACGTGCATACCGCTGCGCTACACGGACATGTAGGGCAGTAACTTAAATGGAATATGATGACCTCTTTACCGTGCCCTTATACTATTATATATTGACTTGTTACCTTTGATTGCTGAGGTACTAACGAGGGCACGGCTCACCAGGTGATTCGAGAGCAATGGCACGCATTCAGATCGAACCAGCGAGTACACTTGAACAAGTAATACGACACATTGTCTACGACTTCGACTTAGGAAGGACTGCGCGTGAACGGGTGACACGAGTTGCGGGAGCTGCGGGAGCTACTACATCGCCCGGCGGCGGCACAACGTTAACATCAGGCGGCGGCACCGCCCTTTCCTTCCCTTTCTTTCTCGGGGCCACCTTCTTCCTCGCCGCTGGCGGTGGCCCACTCGCACCTGGTCCCGAGTCAGGTGCCGGCGGCACTCCAGCTGCGTTGGCGATGGCAGGTTCATCCGATGGTCCAGGTGTGAGCTCCCTAGCAATCGACATGGCACCAAGTGCAACGGTGAGCGACGGGGTTGTACCGCGAGTGGCGGGGGCTACGGAAGTGGACCGAGATGCGGATAAGGCGGGCTGTGGCGGCTCAGCATAGGATAGTACAGAGTATGTGAGGACATCATTGTTCAACGCCGCAGGGTGGTCGTCTGCCCAATCCGTGCTGTCAACATCGACATTGTCATCGTTGTCGACTTCGCAGATGCTGTCTTCGTTGATCGCCAGGAGTAAGCGGGAAAGCGTGTTGGCTTGCGGTATGCCGGGGGTAGTCACCAGTTGAGATTCCGAAGACAGCGAAATCTTGATGGAGAACACGTGTTCGAGGTAGAAGGCCACAAGTGACGCCTTGCGCGTTGCACTCATGCGGGCGATGAGCTCCTTGTACAGATTGAACGAGTCAAAATATTTGATTTTCGACTCGTCGCCCCGTTCCTCAAGTGCAGCGTCCGGAGAGAGCAGGTAGCGAACCTGCGAGTAGTATATCAGCGAGATACGGAGAGTAGTAAGAAATTCGCAAACACTCACAACGATGGCCGCAAACGCGATCAGACCATCCGTGGGAGACGTGATGTGCCACTGCTTGCCAACGGGTTGTTTACCCGATTGTGCGCCGCCTGCGCGGGTGAGAGATTGCTTCCCAAACAACATCACCTTAGCAGCCTGCGGAAATCAGCATGCCGCGTGCGGAAAGCTATTCATAGGGCATACCTTTACAAGGTACATGCTCTGGAACATGCGTGGCATCTGCTTATCAAGGGGCTCGCGGTCTTCGGCCGGGAACAGGACGGGCACGATGTCGCCGTAGTCCTTCGGTTTGCCTGAAGTGCAGATCAGGCGTTGCATCTCGGCGTCCTCAGCGCGATTGTGCGACCCTTTGCGAGCGAAATGTAATGCCGGCATGCCGAAGATCTCGTTGGCGCAGTGTAGGACATTATTGACCGCGTTCGAACGTGCCCCCTGCATGGCGGTCTTAAACTGTGATTGAGAGTAAATTATTCATGTGTCGGGGACGAGATACTCAAGAACTTACCAGTTGGACAAATCCGGCATCTGCATTTTCGATCCTTGGGTGTAGATCGGGTGGCACCCAGCTGAAGAGCTCGGCTGCACTCCCTTGTCGCCTCGACTCATCATCCTCGTATCGATCCTTCGAGTTTGGATCGACGTCAGGACATTCTTGATAGTCGAAGGCAGAAGGGTTCAACCATGGCGAGGCGAGCAAGGCGTATTGCCGAGCCGCCACGGCGAGCCTCTCGTCAAGCTCACCGATCCCCTTCGTTTTGCTAACACGAGTCCGCTTGCCACGGCCCTGGTTCTGAGCTTGCAGGGTGGCGAGTTCGACCTTGACCTCGCGTAGCTCCGTACGCATTCGTGCATACTCAACTTGATAGAACGAAAGGGCCTGGTATAATCACTCACAGTGAGTCGTGTATTGCTCTCGTGCCATTTGCAGACTCACCTTTTTGTAGTCTTCAATCGTTGCACCTGGTCCAGGCGCCGGCAATGCTGGCTGCGCGGCCTGCGAGTTTGATGACGCGACTGCGAGACCGTCTGTCGGGTCATCATCGCTGCTGCTGACGTCCAAGTTGAAGTTCTCTTCGCCCTCGGCTCCCTGGGAACTGGCAGGAATCGAGCGCGATGCCGATTGTTGACGAGGCTGGGTACCTCGCATCGTGATAGCGGCAGCAGTGGGGCGCAGTGCCGGTGGTTGACGGAGTGGGGCCCCTCGCATCGGGAAGGCGTCACGGACTTGCGGAGAACCTGGCGTGGACTCGTCGACACCTGCACCGTCCTCAAGTACAAAGTGGGAGCAGCACGTACTTACCTCAGAACACACACCTCTGGGCGAGGCTGTTCGCTGGCTGCACCGCGTGCCATAATCTTGTTTGACGGCAATGCGTTACCACCTGTCGATTTACAATTGAGTGCTACACCTGTATGCACAGGCATCCCGAGTTGTGCGGCAGCCCTTAATGATTACGGAACAGCTCAACGTCGGATTGACCGATACAGAGAGCATCCCCGGTGTAAGGATCACATACCATCAGCACGCTGTAAGATGTACAACGTTCATGACTCACTGATTTGTCGTTCCAGGTGCCACCAGGCGAAGATACGATTCTGACGACGTCCGGGAAGTCGAGAAGCAGAGGCGCGGGGCGGCTACTATCGAAGCCGTCCGCGTGCTTGTCGGAGGAGATAGAGTGGATTTAGTAACGTGTATACCTGTCCAGAGCCATGACTGGTGTAGTACGTACTGCCGCATCAGGCCTGAGGGCATGCAGATGGTGTCAAGATTAGCCGACACAGATATTCGAGTGTGCGGTATTGATACGTACCTGATCGATACGATACGAACAGTGGCGGCTTGCGGGAAGTTTGAATGCGACGACGAGGCAGTACCCCATCTGATGGTACTTGTTGAGCATGACTATGAGGTACAGATACGTCACCAACACGTTTAGTGCACACCCAGCATGTGATAATAGAACTCACCAACTTGAAGCGATGTATTGCGCGTACGCGGAGTGATGTACGAGGCCTCCGCGGCGAGCTCGATGTCAGCCTACTCCGAGTCAACCAAGAGTGGGGAGCTCCGAGTCGTGGAACAACCTGCTATACTTCAGACGACGGCCAAATGCTTCGCACCGATTGGGTACTCACCTCATCGATATCCTCTTTCTTAAGGTTCGCGTCCTTGAGCACCCGCTCAACCGGATTCATCGTCTTCCGGAAGAGGTTCATGTTGATCTCCTTGAACTTCGCCCGAGTAGTAAGCGTCTCCGAGAAGTTGTTGCCGTTCTCGAAGCTCTCAATCTTGACACGAGTCGATTGCTGGCTGGACAGTGTACGATTGGCCTTCTCAACCTCGTGCTTCAGCTTGCCCATTGCACGCAAGTTGTTTGACACATCGATGCCGGTCTGCTTCTTGTACTGCTTAATGAGATGGTCCATCACGCGGTTGTCGAAGTCCTCGCCACCGAGGTGGGTGTCACCGGCAGTCGCCAAGGCCTCAAACACGCCGTCGTCGATAGACAGCAGCAAGACCTCGAAAGTTTCACCGCCGGGATCATAGACGATGATCTGCGACTCGCTACCCTTCTTGTCGAGACCATACGCGATGGCTGCGGCCGTCGGCTCGTTGATGATACGGAGGACCTGCAGACCAGCAATCGTGCCCGCATCCTTCGTGGCTTGACGCTGAGCGTCATTGAAGTCTATACATGCGATCAGTAACTGGCCAAAGGCCACGCAAGTGGAAGTAATGCACAGGCTGGGAGTGACAACTGCGTGGGTGACGGTCTTGCCGAGGTATGCCTCAGCAGTCTCCTTCATCTTGCTCAGGACCATGGCAGAGATCTCCTCCGGAGTCTGATGTACAACTTCAGCCTGAGATAGCTGTCATACGCATGCAGGAACAAAAAAAAAACTCACGAATTCACGAGTCTCGCCCCGGTACTACACCTGAATGATGTTGCCGATGACCTGGAAAGGCCAGTGCTTCCAATCGCGCTGCACCTTCCTCGCCGGCCGGCCACTTGAGCCCGTCTCTCTCGACGCCAAAGCTCCTGCGCGACGGGCTCTCCCGCCCACCGTTGTTCTCCACTTCGCCCATCTTGAGCCTCCTCAGCCGCTGACTCCACTCCGGCTCCTCGTCACCGGGGTTCCTCGCCGAGTCCCTGGTGATATCCTGCCCGACCGAGCTCTCCCCTTCGCTCACAGCCTCGTCATCGCTGTCGAGCAGCTTCTCTTCGCCCTCCTGCACGGCCCACCGGCCGCTGAGACCACTCAGCCCGGGGCGCAAGTGCGAGTGCTGCACGAACCCGCGCGGGTTGAACGCCGCCTCCGCTTTGTACCTCGCGCTGTCCAACCTCGGCGCGGCCTTCTGGCCCAAGCTCGAGAGGGTTCTCTGCAAGTTCGCGATGGGCTCCTGGATGACCTCCTCGGGGCGCGGGCGACCCACGCCCGAGAGCGAGTGGTCACTGCTCAGACTATGCGTGCCCGCGCCCGTGCCCGAGCTCGGGAAGCTTGGCCGCGATGGGCTCATGAATGGCGAGGCGGACGCGATCGGGGGCAGCTGCACGCTCTCGAGGGGCTTCGGGCGCAGTGGCTGGAGCGGCGGGGGCGACGGGTGGTTCATGCTCTTGCTGCGGAACACGCGCGGGAACTCGCCCGTCGTGGAGGGCGAGCTCGGGCCGCTGCGCTCGCTGTTGACGCCGGGCTGCGTCGGCTTGCAGTCGGGGTGCGTCAGGGGCAACTCTGCGGGCAGGTCAGCCAGTGGCCGCGGCGGCGCGCGCGTGGGCGAGGTGCAAGCGGACACGGAGGGCGAGATCGAGATCGCACCGCGGGTGCGCGATAACGAGGTCGGGATGCTCGCGCGCGACGGACTCGAACGAGCGCGTCGTGGAGCCTGAGACGGGTGACGTGGGAGGGCTCATCTTCCTTCGTGGCGGGAGCGACGGCGCAGGCAGGTCCCGCAGGCGCTCCCTCCTACCCGAGCCCGACGAACCAGAGGACGACTGCGCGGCAGGGTCCTTCGTGGGGCCGATGCTGCGTGTCCTCCGCAGGCTCAGGCTATGGACGCTCGAGGCCGACGGGTTGCTGCTCTTGAGGGCCTCCCACACGCGCTCCTGTTGCAGGCGTTGCTCCGCCTCCTTGAGGCTCTGCGCGACGCATGGAGGCTTTCAACTGGATGAGTACGTTCGGGTTTGCCGCGCTCGCGCCCGAGGTGATCGTCTCGGGCATCTTCGCGAGCGACGAGTAGCACGGCGGGAGGGAGGGCACGACCGGGTCGTCAATCTTGCGGCCAATGAGAAGTTTTGCACCGAAGTCAGCGTAGTACTTGGGGTTGGAGTGGAACACGTCCAAGTTCTTGTCACCAACAAGATACTCGTCGTCCGGGAAGCTGACCCGTATTAACAAGACGATTGAGTCTTAGTATTGAAACTCACCAAGCGATGAATTGCGCGCGCGAAGGCCCCCCACGCCGACCTCTTCACCCTTTTCATCCTCTGCAACCAACGCAACACGGTGCGCGCAAGCAGGCGACTGCCTTGCACGGCGACCTTCTCCTCCAAGTTCCCGGCCTCCTCATGCCATCGGCAAATCTGCGACATGCTTGCTGGGGTGGCGGTGCGGTACTGATCGGCGCGCAAGTGAGAGGGCGACGCGGGCTCGCTCCTAGCTTGAAGCGAGCTTGAGGTACGAGTGTGTTCGACGGGGCGGGCCGCATCGGCAAATTCGCGACATGCTTGCTGCCAGTGGGGTGGCGGTGTTATACTGATCTGCGCGTAAGTGAGACGGCGACGCGGGTTGACTCCTAGCTTGAAGCTTGGAGCTTGAGCTTGAGGCCTTGAGGCACGAGTTGCTTGCATGTGAGGCTGAGGAGGAACACGTGGGGATGAGCTCGATGCGTGCGCGACGTGCAAAGGACGCCGGAAACGAACCTTATCGGATAGTGAACTTCACCCTCCTCCTCCTCCTCCTCCTCCTCACAGCCCATGTCCCTCGGCGAGCTGTTACGCAAGGCCGTCTTCAGGACGTCTGAGTTGCTTGATACGGCTATCATGTACTCCGAGGTAAGTCGAAACTTGACGCATTGTCCATCGCTCATCTTAGACTGCTTTGTTGATACCTCACCTTGTTACTGAGGTTCTCACCACTAGAGCTTATCACGACGTTGGTCGCGGTATACTACATCGTCCCCTCAGGCTGCGAACGTCACGGTATTGCTCAAGAAATACACCGAGCACGTAGCACGTTACACATGGTTGCCCTGCGACTCCATTGTTGTGAGTATCAACGTCGATGTACATGTCACACGAAATTTTGACAAACTCACCACCTCTGAATCAGGCTCCGAGTCGGTCAGTTCGCGCATCAATGACGTCGGCACGGTACACGTAGCTTGGCCAACCTGAAGCGATGGCTTGCGATGTCGAAGGACAAGCAGGGTGAGTCAATCCGCTGCGCATATAGACGCCTCGCCAATGCCCAAGTACTGATCGACATCGTTGCGGCTGCGCGATTTGCAAACGCTCCGCTGGCGGATGATGCATGTATACAGTATGGGTCACTGCGCCATGAGCGATGTCCCCAGATCTCGCATTTGATCTGTAAGTGATCATGGGCATTCCGTTTCCGGCGCGTGCGTACGGCTACAGTGACGGTCTCGTCATGCAGCTCGTCAACAACGATCTCATTGGCATGCAGCTCCGAGTCGTCAACAACGAGGACGGCCCGATGGTTGTCAACAACAACAACGAGGACAACCCGCCGATGGTCGTCATTGAGCAAGTAGGTAGCCTGAGTCCGAGTATTGAGGTGGAGGGCCGCCGGTCGTGACTCGGCGTCTTACAGGTGGTTGGCATCTCAGGCTACATGTCGCAGAACATGATCTGGCAACTCAACCTGCGACGTCGTTCCCGTTGGACACGCTCAAGGACAACAAGCCCGAGCAGGGTCACCTCCAGCTCGAGATGTCTCGAAACCTTCAAGTTGTCCATGCGCCTCAAGTAGCTATCCTCGGAAACGGTATGTTCGCGCACTGCGATCGTCCCGGATCCAATCATATCTGCTAACCTGTGTGAGAAGGCAGTGTTCAAGTCGTTGCAGAGAGTATGTCCACTGCGTTTATCCATGCTTTCGTCATACGTCTGATGGGAATTGTCATAGCAAAGATCTCGCGGACATCAAGCACATCATCGTCGACGCTGCCGCGTTCCCTCCAGACATAAGTCCGACGGGCATACTGTGACTAGACGGCGACTTTCAGTGATACCGTACTACTGGTAGCAGATCGTCAACTACTAGTACTGATGGACACACGATGATGTTACTCGGATGCTGCTGCACACTGCGCGCACGTCTGTCTGTACGCTTGTTTGCCGTCTGTATGTTCATCTGTCTGCATGGTCGTCTCAGGCTGTCTGTACGCAGACCAATGATGGCCCCAGCCTGCGCCGCTGCCTGCTGTCGGCGCAGACTCGGACATGATCGTGATCTTTGTCGCTGCCATCAGTGTTCAAGCTGCGGTGTAACCGCGAATCCCAGCAACTGTACCAGTACATCAAGATCTACCGGAACCGGTTCCTACGTAGTGAGTTGAGCCTACAAAACATGTCTGGATCATTGTCAACCACGAAGTAGCTCCTGCCAGCTGGACTTCCATGGTCTGGTGTCACCAAGGCCCCTCGTATGATAGCCTGTGCAGGGAGTACCTCCACGTCATATGCACTTGGCTGAACCCTATAAAATCCCAAAACCCGGTCCCTCTCCTGGGGCTCCACCGGCCCATCAAGTGGTTTGACAATGACAAAAGGGTGGGTGTCACCGTCTGCCGTGGTGCATGTGAACATCATGAGAAGGCATGCAAAGATGGGGCCCTCTGCCGTGTCAATGATGACATGGTCTCGACGTTCCTTCCCAAACCATGAGGGGGTACATCGGAGGAAGTCTGTCTCTTGTTTCCAGGTTTCTTCAGATTCATAGCTGACTTTGAGGAATCTGTACTCCACAACCTGTGACAAATTCAATAGACAATAGTGAATATATATCTTCATACTACACACCTCATCATGAGGTCCAACTGAGATCTTGTCACCATTCCTAGACCTGATCTCCAGGACATCCAGGACAGTAGTGACATCTTTGTGCAGATCCATGACATGGTTTTGCAGCTCAGCCAGGGGTTTGGGCTTCTCTGGTGCTCCAAAAGAGATCCGGTCATCAAAGATAACTCTAGTGGATGTTCTCCGAGCTGATGTGGAATTGTCATCTGGGTCATCTTCATCATCCTCCTCTTCAACTCCAGTATGGAATGCATCATAGTCTTCAATGTTAGCTCGGATGATCTGCATGACAGCAAGGTCATGTTCTGCTGTCAATAGCTATCTGACTTGTTATTGTCATCTATGACCAGTATGAACAGTGTTACTCACCTGGTTCTCTACATTTCGTTTGTTTGAACGCCGCAGGTATGATTTCTTGAGAGACCCATGCATCTTTTCAAATGGCTTTGTGTTGTAGTTGGCAGTAATCCCCTTGTCTTCTATATCTTCAGGACCATGTTGATGAGAATGAACCTTTGGGAAGTTCCAGTCTTTCCCATCTGGCCCAGTCTCCTCCTGGAGGTCCTAGGTAGTACATGTCAATTGCCACATTCATGGATTCAATGGAGTGAGGATCTACCTTGAGGCACTGAGAGAATTCAAGCAATTTTGTTCTAATTGCTGCAATTGTATCTTCAGTCTGGACTCTGAAGGAAAAATACATGTCCAACTCCAGATACTTTCGGAGAAGACACAGTAGAAGGTGGCCTTGACTGCCTAGCTCAGTGGCAATGACATTATGGACAACATATGGAATAATCTCAAGCAGTCATCAGTGATTTGAATTCACATACTGACCCACAATGACCATACCTTGGACAGATCCTGGAATTTGTGGCCATCATTGAAGTTTATGTTCACAACTTGCTTGAAATGGGTAAGACCCCTCCATATTGGGAAGCTACTTGCTCTGTAACAGGTCAATCATTGGATGAAATCAAGAGGACTTAAGACCCACTGTTCATCAACCTTAGCAATTGCCCACCTCCCTAAGGCTGTCACTAAAGACACAGTTTCTGGCCATATATGATCTCCAAGCAAGCCACTGTCATATGCATGCAGCTTGTCAAAGCTCAATGCCCTGTAGGGGTTTGTGTTGAGGAGCTTCCAGAAAACATTCTGAGTGATAGTCAGATTGGGGAATAATATTGAACTAATATCACAAACTGGATTTCCTCTGAGCCCATAATCCTTCAGTACTTTGTCTGCTGCAGCCCTAGTGTTTCCTGGGGCCTGAGCTTCAGCAAGAACTGCCTGCATGTTCTCTGGGGTGCGAGGGATTGCATGTTGTTCAAGGAGTGTCAGATCCTTTGACTTTGCAAGACAACGTGGGCAGTTGCAGAGGCTCTGGTGGCCCCCTCGGATCATAGCCATGAAACATCTGAAAGGTCCATTAGATTCAAAACACAAGAAATAATCAAGACATACTGTTCTTCATAATCAGCAACAAGCATTACAAGGAATGGGTAAAAGTTCCTCATGATACTGGGAAGGTCACATTGAAAGCCAGTCTTGGCAAGGACTTCAATCTTCTTGATGAACAGATAGAATGCTTCATGCCAGACAATCCTCTTGTGATCAACAAAGTTCTTCTTTCCTTCTTCAGCAGTTCCTTCATCAATCTGTAACAATATTTGTGTTAATTCAATCAAGCCATAGACCATGACATATATCATGCAATCACATACCACTGGCAACCAACCTACAATGGCACCACCACCTATCCCATTTCCATTCCGGATCTCAATAGGAAGTTGGGCACAGCGGACCATGACAGGATATCCCTTCTGTGTGCCAAATGATGAGAGTTTGGTCTTGTCAGCATAGACAATGAACCCAAATGGTGTTCCACCCTCTGGAAGTACTGACTATTTATGTGTCAATTTAGTCATCAATATATTATGCCTGAGAACTCACCTGAACTTCCCAGAGCATGTTAGCTGTCCATGGCTCATCTCGAAAACGGACCCATTTTGTGCCACTCCATCTGAAGAGTCGGAGGGAATCAAAGGCCCAGTGAGGTGTCAATCGAGGATCATGCAACTGATCTGTTGCCCAGTCCCAGAGATCACAGGCCCAGACTTTATAATCACGAACTTCATCTTCATAAGGAACTTGAATCTTCATTTCCTGGTACTGTGACATACAGTCAATCCATGATAGACCATTCATACTTAAAATAAAAATGAACATACTGGTGTCAGATATGCTGATGCAGACTGCCTGAGCTTACGAAGCTCTGCATGACTTGATATTGTGAATTGATCCTGGCCAGATGCCACTGTCTTGATGAGCTTAATGAGTGCTTCAACATGCTCCTCGTTCAGACACGCGCTCAAAGCGATATCTGCAAATCCAAAGTCTGATCGAGTACGGTACGGTCGCCAAGGATTATCGGGGGGCTGAGGTGGTGTCCTGAACTGTTCTTCAGCTGCATCATATGCTGCTTTGGACTGTACCATGGAAGCCTTGCCAGTTTTGGGGTGATATTGAGTCTTGATATCCCCTACCTCATGCACTGAAATGACAGCACAATCAATTAGATTGTGGCATCTCTCTGAAAAATTACTAAATACATTGGGCTCCCATCTGGACTTGTAAGTCTCCATCATGTACTACATCTTGTGGGGCTTGGGAGCCTAGCACAATCAAGTTCATCAATAATGATACAATTGACAAACTACTGTAGATTACAACTCAATCCACAGCAGGGCATCGTCAGGGCATTGCGACATCAGGCATTTGACTCATGGCATGCTGCGGATTGTGCTGTAATGTACAGTATTGCCAAAAATTTACTCACCGAGAGGTATAGGCTCATAGTCATGTTCTATGTTGCTGGGCCCCGGTACAGGGCCGCCTAAAGCGAGGGCAATCGTGAACAAGCTCATCCGGTAATTGGGAAATGTAGCTACCAATGTGTGAACTAGTTCCAACACTCCCCATTTCCTCCCGAAATCTCTTGAATCGCTCCTGCTCGGCTACAGCAACAAACAGCTGATTAATATTTAATTCAGTAGCTTCGTGATACAACTTACCATCTCGCTGTGCTTGAGCGATCTGAGCCGCAAGCTGTCTGTCACGGTTCAAACGCTCCTGCGATCTTGCGCACGCCGCCTCATGGGACGCGAGACCCTTCACGTTGAAATCTTCCCCACAGATGCTGCAAATCTTGCGCTTTGCTGAGGTATAATTACGCGCTGCGTTTGCGCGACCAGGCGGGGCAGACATCGTCGGCGGTACGTCGAGAGAGAGGCCTCGTCGAGAGAGAGAGGCTGCGTCGAGAGAGAGAGGCCGCGTCGAGAGAGAGAGGCCGCGTCGAGAGGAGCACGCCGTGAGACTCTGAGAGCGCACGCGTGGACGATTGTAATCGCATTTCGATCAGTGTCCGGAGATCTAGATTACATTGTAATTGGCTACCCGAGCGTCGCGATCATCCATTCCCCGGTGTAATTGGACCCCAAGCATTGGATCGGCCTCGCAACGTGGCGATGGCCAGTGCAATGATCGTGGAGCCGATGCTATGGTCGGCCGCTCGTGCGATTGACATTCTTATCTAATCTAATCCCACATCGGGGATTGCAGTCACATGGTAATGGGCATGGCAATGCCCGGGCATTAGAATCCCCGGTAAAAAATTGCGACAAGAGGCGCTCGCCAAGTCCTTCGGCGTTCGCTCAGATCACAGTGCGCCGTCCATGCCGGCAAGCGTGTCGCCGCGCGCCCAACCTCCTCTGCTTGCCAGACACACTCACCTACGGACTGCGCCTACATACTCGCCCTGTCTATGCTGAAGATACGATCCTTATAACGCGAAGAGAAACTACCTCACCTAGCTCGCTTGACGGACGTCAGAGCATACTCCGTTCCTTGCCTACACTTCAATACTACAGGTATGTCATGCTGTGCTTCACATTCTACAACGACTCAGCTGCGTAGAATCTAGTTATGCCTCTGACTGTCTTCTCGATACTGAAGGCACTCTTGCTTGGGAGTCCCGGTCACGGGTTCTGGGCCTTCCTCCTGGTATGGGTCGTCCGAATCGTCACACTGTCCTTCGTATTCCGCACATATGCTGGACCTGCTCTCCTCAAACTCGTCTCAAAGCGTCTCCGGGTGCGAAGCGTCAGCTTGCGCTCTATTCGCGGCATATACTTCCGTGCTGGAAGCGGCACCATCATCCGTATTGACCGTGTCGGCATTTCGTACCACCGCCCGTCCCCGACCACGGCTAGCCGCTTGACTCTCATCGTCGAGGGTCTGAAGGTTGAGCTCAGCAAAGACCAAGAACCTCAGCTACGCCCGTCTCTCAAGCGTAGGCGTTCTACTCCTGCTACTCGCTTCGGAGACCGCGTGCGTTTGATAGCATTGGCGACCTTGCGGTCGACATGGAACACCTTGGATCCTCATGTTCGCCCGTTTATCCGGACGTCGATCGTCTCTATCCTTCGTTTCGTCATCCGTGCGCTGCCGGCCCTCACCCAAGTAATTGACTTCGAACTCGATTCCGCCGTCGTAACGTACGCCGCAATCCCTGGCGTCGAGCTCGTCCTGAAGCAGGCAAAGGTCAAGACAAAAGTAACCTTATCTATAGTGGACAATGTCGTAATTCCTGGCGCGCCTTCTGCGCCTGAATCGCAGCCGTTTCGAGGTCATAGGCGTTTCGCTAGCGTTGCAGACTGGAATGCCAGGGTGCAGAATAGTCTACGCCGTACCTGGGACAGAGCATGGGGTGCTACGCAAGTGACTGCGTCGTTGTCTCTGCGCCTCAAAGGTATCTCGGCTACCGCGTCCCCGTTGGCCCTGAAGGACATGCCGACGGCGCTTACTGCGAGTGAGTACTCGGTTGAGATGGCCGTGCATTCGTTGACACGATATGTACATAGGCACAAGCTGCTTCGTATACGTCCCCGGGACTAAATACAAAGCATCAGTTCGTATCGACCCGCACCGCGATGTCGAGGCGCACAGTGTTGAGACAAGTCTCCTCGTCGACTCCTTGGACGTACATACAGACGTCGTTCAATACCTCCTGAAACGACTGAACGCCGGAAAGAAGGCGAAGACCAACGGTGCTGCTGCAATCAACAGATCTAAAATCCCGCCTCCGCTGACGCCTGTAGCTCCTGCCAGTCCCTCTTCGCCGTTGCTCAGCCCATCATGGTCGCAGCTCCGTAGTCCATCTGCACACCGCCTCTCCTTCTCAGCGCTCTCGCAGCAACAGGACCCCAGTCCCCTTCCTCCCTCAGGACCTTCGGAGACTAACCCGCTGTCGCCCAATGAGAACAGCCCCCTCACGCCCTCTCCAGCGACAGTTCGCAAGCCTATGTGGTCTTCTCCCATGTCTCCTGGTTCGCCATTGATGGAAGCATTATCATCCGTACGTCATTACACCTGTAAAATTGTTTCTGGTATCTGAGGGCATGTCCACTACGATAGGCATCACTTAAGTTGGGATGGGGTGCTAAGCAGATACCAGTGCGCAGGCTCAACAGTCGAAATGTCTCGGTATGTCGCATGATAGCAAAGGTGACTTGTACTGATGTGAAGCTGCTGTATAGTCTCGTTTGGCGATTCTCAAAGGCATCGACGTGACCATCGCGAAGGTCACCCTGAAGCATTCTCTGCCTAGGGTAGAAACAGATGTCGCGCAGACCTTCGAGCTGGGGTTACGTGATCTACACGTCGGGGCGGGGCTCAGCCATCCTGACACCACACCGTTGCACCGACAGCACCTTGGCTCGAGGAGTGTCCCTAATGATCCCCTCAGCGCAGACGTCTATCGTCTCACATTTTCGGCCAACCAAGTGACAGTGGACCGATCCGGCTCGGGCGCATTGGTCGATCACCTTCGTCTTTTGTCCATCAACTCCATCTTCTCAGGGGCCGTCGTCTCACAGTGGCCGACGCCCTGGCTGAAGGGCCCGGCGTTCATGTTGGGGGACCCGAACTCTCAACTACTGGCCGTTGATATCGAGCTGGGCAGCGTGGAAGTCACGGAGAGATTGGAAGTCCTGCGTGCTATAATGGCCAAAACGAAGCCGCCGAAGCCGCCGACCGAAACACAGTCCCTCTTGCCTACGGTGCTCTCACCCGTGCCGCGTGTCGCATTTGGCTTCAAGGTTGGCCCAGTCGTCGCTCGACTCATTTCGTTCAGCACAGACGAGACGCCTTTTGCGCTGGAAGCACGAACGGACGGCCTGGCGGTCTCTCTGAACTCGCAGTTTGTGTCACTTCCGGACAAGCGCATGGCGCACGCCTCGCATGACCGCATCGGATTGCAAATGGACGTCCACCTCGCCTGTCAGTTGCAGCGCACCTTCGTTGGCGTGTGCATGAGCGCGAGCGGCAGCGAGGAGCAGCCGCCCGAGAGTCTTCTGTCTATTGACACCATCCAGGTCACGGCGCACGTGAATGCCCTGGGCGATGTCGCGGACGAGGTGCACAATACGGTCACCATTGACGTGCCATCGACATATACGGACCTACAATGCTCTACAGAAGCCATCTCAATTGAACTGTGGCAGCCCGACGTCATCAAGGCCGTTTCCAGGATTGTGGCGAGCTTCGCGGGCACACCGAAGCCCCCGGCTTCATCCCCGCGTCCTCGTATCCTTGACAATCTTCCCTTCGGCCTCTCCGTCGCCGTCGCCGTTGGACGCTTTGTGTTGTTTGTCACGGCTCCAGACATCGCACCTACGGAGGACCTAGGGATCTCGCGCGGGATCGCCTTGCATCTGGGTGCTTGCTTCAGCTATTGCGCCGTACACAGCAGGCATGCGGAGCGCGTCCAAAACCTTCGTCCACGGAGTCAGACCCGCCTACGGTTGTCACTCCCGACGGAACACGTCATGAAAGCGGTAGCTGGGAATAGTCCACCCGTGGCGACTCGAAGCACCCGTGTCCTAGTTGGGGTCTCTTTCTGGGATGTGGTCGCCAGGGATGCCGTTGCGACGAAGTTCTCTGCCGATGACCCCTACTGTCTCGCGGAACAGGACAAGAATCTGGACACCCGAGAGTTCCTACGCATCGAGAGCATCGACGTCGAAGGCATTCTGACTGGCCTTCGTCCGAACGGTACGTTCCAGCCAGCTCATGAGGACGAGCTGGTCATCACGGCCTCCGCATCCCTGATACGTGGTACTCTTCGTCTCGCGCAACTCTACAACATCTTGCTTGCCGTCAAGACGCTGAAGTCTATCTTACCCTCCAAGCCGAAGAGCAATCAGCCTGGTCCCGCTCCTTCATCGATGCTGGTGACAATGCAATGTGACATCAAGCAATTGCAGCTTCTCGTGCTGTTCCCTATGCAGACGAAGTTGTACCTGCGTGCATCATACCTGCGCTGCGATGTCACTTCTAAGTCGACGGTCGCGGTCAAATGGAGCAGCATAGTTCTAGCAGTCAACGTGTTTACCAAGCGAGATGGAGTACAGCGGGAGGAGTGGGAGGAATTCGCATGCCTTGCCGACTGGCGCGTGAACTTGCCCCTCAAGGCTCGACCCCTCGTCGTCGATGTCGAAGCCGATGGCGCCCGTCTCCGCATACCTTTTGACTATGTCCTGGCCGATCTTATCCTCGACATCAACCTGACCATCAAGAGCGCGAAGCACCTGATCCGTATGGTGGCCGCGGGCAAGTATCAGAGACCGCCCACACCTGAAGCTGAATCAGCGAAGGTGCTGCCCAAGGTGCACATCAGAGTACGATGCCTGACGGTGGAAGCTGCCGACGAGGAGTTCGAGTCCCGGCTTGGGGTAATTTGGGAAGCGGGGTTCCCAGCAGCCAGGCTTCGGCACGAACGCGACGAGGCCTTCGAGGCGAAGGTATCGACCATCACTGTGTCCCAGTCCTCGCATGCGCTACCACAGGGTCGCGATGCCGAGTCTGATTTCCAGTTCAGTGCCAAACACACCGTCTCTGTTCAGGATGCATGCCAGCGTCTCTTCCAGGTTCATTCTGTCGCTTGGAGATCTGCCTACTCGAAGACCAGGTCGGCTCAGGCAGAGCGTCAACAACATCGTCTACGCCACGCCCTCGGTGATCATGCGGATGCAGAGGATATCGACGACATTGTACCGGTCAACCCTCGGAAACACTTGCCCCCTCTGTTCCGGTTGACCTTTGACTCCCTAGCATTGACTCTTGAGTCTCCCGCCTCACTCGTTGAGAACGTGGCCGACTTTCTTCATGACGCGGGTAGCGGCCTTCCCAAAGACACGCAGTTTTCATTGTTGGTCCCGCTCCACATCAGCTTCACCGTGTCTTCCGCACGCTTCGCTTTGCGCGAGTACCCCTTACCCATGGTCAACATCCCAGCGAGCAGCACATCTTCACCGGCCTTGGCATTCGACAGTGACGTCGTCATTGCAGAGGAGATGGGAAGCGAAGGCTCCGTGGATTGGATCAAGTCAGTGGTCGTCAAGGCAGACTACGGCGTACATGGCGCTTCCCCCCTCTCGATCAGCATTCCGAAGACAATCATGCCTGTGAAATCATACGCGCGCCCGACAATCCGTGTGCTCACCAACGACGTGACCGACTTTGCCTGGGGTCTAAGCTACAGCGCTGCGACACAAGATCTCATGCGCATACTTGATACTTTGTCGCATGCAACAAAGGATCGCTCTCCACCGATCGGATTCTGGGACAAGGCACGCATACATTCCTCACACATCAGGACCAACGCACCTTGCTGATGACATGACGTTCCAGCTGAGATTGATTCTTCACTGGCGGATCAAGATCACGTTCGAGAACGAAGTTCACCTGCATATGAAAGGCAAGCCGATATCGTTGGATAATGGTTCCGTGGTGTTGATGATACTGTACAGGCTCTCGCGATCCGTATGAGCTGACAGGAACAGGTGCTGGCTTTGCCTTGTGTTGGCGAGGAAACCCTAGCATTTCGATAGGACAGCCCAACAAACAGGATGAACTCATACAAGTACAGAGTGACTCTATGCTCATCGTGATACCGAAGTAAGTTGTCCATTCGTCGATTATGTGTTACATGATTTATGGTGTCATTGCAGCGTCCAGGACAAGTGGGGCGCGCAGCCAACATCCGTATCGTCAGCAACCTTTTCCACTTCCAATCCGAAGAGGCTTCGTGAGGCCAAAGTCTGCGCCAAGCTGAGCTCCGGTGTTCGCTTCGGTATCGGCTTTGTGCTTGAACGAGCCTGTGGACCTGAGTGTGCAACCTGCACCGGCAAGCCCTTCGATCGCAAGTGTCGTATGTTCTCGTTCCGCCCTCACTACGAGGTGAAGCTCGAAACGAAGGCAGTTGTGCCAGAGATGAAGGTGTGTCTGCACCCAAAGCCTGAGTTCATCATGTTGATTGTATATAGTCTGCGGCCGATTCTTACAACGGATTCCGGTCGGACTTCATCCATATGTCCATATCCCTCGAGTCTGCTCTCCACGCGAAAGAGCATTCTGGTCCACAAGCCAGCAGTCTTCACCTCTCTCCTGAAGTATTCGAGCAGTTCTGGTCTTGGTATCGGTTGTTCGACCATGCATTGTCACTACCCGTTCGGCAGGGCTCTCATTACACCCGGAAACGGCCTGTCTCCCCCAAGTTTGGACAGCATCTGGCGACCCTCAAGTATCGATTCGCCATCTCTCAACTCTTCCTCTCTCACGTCTATGTGGATAATTCAAGTGATGCATGGGCTGACGGCGTCACTCCCTTCGTTGGGGTCAAGGCTCTCATTGATCGCTTCCAGGCGGATATGCACCAGAGGGACCAAGAGAGCACTCGTATGACAGACGAGGGACCTCAAGTCGTTCACCACAAGTCTTTCTATGCCATCGAAGTGGCGGCGAAGCAGTTGGATCTTCGTACAATGTTGGCTGTCTTCCCGGATCCGCTGAAGCAACAGGTTCAGATGAATCTGTCGCCGCTGGTCAGTGATTACAGATCGAAAATCAAGACAGATCCCATACCGACGGATTCACCGTGGATTGACCTTGACGACTTTGACGATGCTCGCTCCTCGACTGCTACTCCACCCGAAGTGCATCTGTTCCGCGCTGCCTACTGTCCTCAATTCACGTACTTCAAGCGACCAATAGACCCAGGACTTGTGCCGCAAGGCAAGGTTGTGGAGCGCAGCAAGTTCGGTACCGAGGAGACGCATGTGTGCTACCTCGGTAAAGAGGCTTGTCAGTAAAGTTCTGGTAGCAAGATAGCTTTCGCTAATTCGATTGCAGCTGTTACACAAACGCAGCTTGCTATCACAGGTGCTCGTATCAAGGAATTGCAAGACAAATTAATTCAAAAGGCCGGTCGTAGCATGGACAATGGCTTCCTCAGTGTTCCGCGACCCAACACGCCACATGCGGCGGATACAGTACGTGATCTATGGATAATGCTGGCAAGCATCCACTGACAGTTGAGCGTCCCAAGACTGGCGACGATGCAGATGATCTGCGGAAGAAGATCAACCTCTTGAACAAATACGTGTCTCACCTGCACAGGGCTGATCTCTCATCCAATCCCCATGCTTCTCATGGCATTCATAGCTACCAGATGCCTTCTGAAGCGGTGTCGTCAGATGACTGGGCTCAGTTCGACAATGTCTACCAGATGCATTCTCCCCAGATCTTCCTAGACCACATCATCCGCGACGTATGACAACTGTTCATTGATATGAGATATGAAACGCAGCTGACGTCTGATTGCTTCAGGTCATGATGCAGTACTACTATTGTTCTAGGGCCAAAAGGGGCATCGAATACCACATGGCGACCCGGTATGATTATTCGTTACAGCATGTCTTGTCACTGACGGTCTTCGCTTCAGCGCTGTGAAGTTCATACGCGACCAGGCCCGAACTGCGCTTGTCGATATACTTCAAGAGAAGGACGAACACCGAGGACCAGTAGCCAGCGCGCAGGCTGCTGCTATTGCAGTACGCAATTTCCTAATTGGAGATCATGCCTCGAGTCATGCCGGAGACGACTCTCAATATCCACTGCTGGATACACCGGGGCCTGTCGACCCACTCGATGGGTGGTCCGACGGTGTCACTCTACGAAAGAGTCACTTCTGTCTTCTTCTCAAACCCCAGATTGTGCTCCGGAGCGACACGGAAGCAGGGCTGGATTCCGTGTGCATCTTAGCCGCCGTCCAAGGAAAGCTCAGTTCCTTTGCCATACTCGACGAGGCAAATGCGGACGATCCAGTCAGCGGCAAAGTGATGACTCGGTACGTCTGACACAAATCTTCATGTTCATAACCGATTCTTATTCTCGCAATAGGAATTTTGCCTCCGTCTCAGGTCTGCAGGTATTCTCCCCTTCTGCAACGAACACCTCTGGAGAAGGCTCTGTACCGCTTGAGGTGTTGATCGACTTGCGCTGCGAGAATAACGCGTTCGATCGGCTAGTTCCTCAGACCGACGCGTCTTTCCAATACGATAAGTTCAATAGGCTCCGTTTGCGCAATGACGTGACGTCCATCGCACGCACGAGCGATGACAAGGACCGTCAGCACCACCATTTACACAATCAGACTGTGGGTCACTCACTTCCTCGGGTTTTTCTGGCTCTAACGTGACTCTGCTCTTCTAGGACTTGATCAGGGTTCACGTCCCTCGCTTTACTGTGTCTGCCAACGATCGACATTTCCAGGCCATATCCAACATCGTCACGAATCTTGTGCTGTTCTCCAATGCCGCATCGAAAGATCGGTCAGACAAGCTAGAGAAGATGGTATTCAGCTACGACTTCACGAACCTGGGATCGGCTGCGGACGTCGTGGCAGACATGCAAGCCCGTCTACGCCATGCGTATGAGACCAGACGTGAGGCGGTGCGCAAGCTTCGCGGTGCAGGAGAACAGGGCCAAGTGGAGATATACAAGATCGACGCTCATATTATGCTCCTCGCCGAGGAGCTCAACTTGACCTTCGATGCGATCAAGATGGCTCAGGACAAGTCGACGGAACATTCGGAGCAGAAGTCTGCACTGATGCTCCATGCGTCTTCGTCCGATATCTCGTGGAGAATGATAGATAGACATGATCAGCTTCTCGCGAAGCTCGCCGTCCGCGACATTCACTTCTACTGGCTGAGCAGGCAGGACAGCTCGCTCGTCAATACACTGGTCGTCGGAGATCTACAGGCCTTCGATGGCGCTGCGGATGCCGAATGGACTGAGATCCTGTCGAAACACGAGGAGCCCTCCACTCATCCATTGGTCAAGGTATGTTAACTGTGTTGCGTCTCTTTGGGCATGTCATTGACTTGGTATACTCAGCGCAAGTTGTTCCTCCTGGCCGACTGGACAGTCCTCCCCGCAGTGGGCGGCATTACAATCTACGAGCGCTTTGAAGTCACTCTCCACCCCATGCGGTTACAAATCGACACGCGCATCGGTCGCAGGATCATGGAATACGTGTGGCCGGCACGTCGCGAGAGGCAGCAAACGGAGGACGAGATCCAGACGTTCGATACTCTCATGGAGTCGCCGATCACTGAAGAGCCTGTCGATATTGTTATTATACCTGAGAGCCCTATGAGCCCACGACGTTCTTCGTGGGACGTATCTCCGCGGACGCGCGAAGATCACCATAAAGCAGCGACAACCCCTCTACGTAAACTGGGAGCCTCGCGGTCTTTCACGGATTTACGGAAGGCAAGGACAGATTCTCTACTCCCACCTACTCCCACCTTGCACAAAACGCGTTCGACGGAAGGGTTGTCGCACGAAGCGCACCGCCCTACACGGCAGGCCTCGAAGTCAGGCAGTGATGCGAAGGATCGGACGCATCCTGTGCGCAAGGGCAAGGACGTCGATGATGCCACCGAGATGAAGACCCGATCATCACAGAAAACATTCGTGTGGGTGAGAGTAAACAGGTAGGCAATGATTTCTCTCTTAGCACATCAATGACTGAATCGTGATATCGCCGTAGCCTCCATTTGCTGCTCAGTATTGCGAAGGAGGACTCCTTCCTGTGCCGAGATGCAAGGATCCGGACAAGAGATCTGGAGTATCGCAACCAGACATGGAGTGTACGTACCTTGATATCCCGTTGTTGACTCTCCATGACCTCCTTCGCAGTTCGAGGAGCTCGTGGATCAGTTCATCCCCAGCGGCCGCAACTGGCGCGGTTGGGTCAAGATGGCCTTCCAGCAACCGCTGGTACCCGTTCTGCCCGTTGCCCGCGAGCTCATAGCCAAAACGAAGTGGATCAAGTCCTCGTCGCACAGCCACACCCCTGACACGGAGCACCGTTCGTCTACCCCGAGCCTCATGCCCTTCCACGGGCGACACACCGCCACCGCCGGGTCATCATCATCATCCACAACCGCGTCCTCGAAGACCGCACCTTCCACGCCCGCCACGCCAACTAGCAGCACGACCGGCCCAGGTGGTCATCCTCCAGCGGCGGACGGCAGCTCCGCACCTGGGGCACCGCCGAAGAGACGGCGCACGCGCTCGCTGTTCTCTTTGCACCGCAACCGCGTGTCGTCGCCCCCGCCGATACCGCCAGTGCCGTCGATGCCCATAGTGGCGCCGGACCTCTCGTCGGAGCCGGAGCCCTTGCCAGAGCAGACTGACGCGTCTGCGGAGAAGCGGGCGCGGAGGCCGCGGGTGTTGAGCGTGTTCAAGCGGCGGCAGCATTCCGCTGGTGTCAGGAGCAGCATGGAGTCGGATATGTCTGCTGCTAGCGTGCGTATCCTCGATGTGGCGAGACGTGAATGTACTGACACTGCGCCCTTCTAGATGTCGTCGCGACCCTCGGGACACTCCCGGGCAGAGTCGAACACGACCGACGAGTCCTTCACGTAGCACCCTCCTGCACCCTCTTGCGCTATCGTATACCCTGGCGTTTTCACTGCTCCCATCTACCCTCATTACTTAATGCTATCGCTACTGCCTATTCTACATTCGCGCACATGTTGTATTAGCGTATCGTTATTTTATCTGTATTCATCGACTAGTCGCGCCAGTATTTATCCAGAGAGCAATGTATAATATAAGCTTCGCACAGACGACCGCGTACACGGTTATGATTCAAGAGTCTGTCGTAAATGCGTCATGAGGGTGTTTACAGCATAAAGGATAGTGGCTACAACAGTTGGCGGCATTACAAAGGATACTGGTACTAGTGAGTGCAGTGGTATCTATCGTCTATCGTACGTAGTGTGAGTGAGTCCATTCGCGTGTTGCTCGTGTATAGCGGATGCCAGTATCAACGTTCAAGCCAAGATCGCGCCCACACATCATCCCTCAACGCCTCTCATCCAACTGCTCCGCAGGCGGCACGAACATCTCGTCCGCGATCGTCACCGAGGGCGTCGGGGGCACACGGCCCTCCATCGTCGGGGTATTCTCGACGCTCCCCACCTCCGCCTCCGCGTAGTCCTTCCGCTGCGGCTTCGTATCCGGGTCGTGCGAGGACGCGCGCGCGGGGGACACGCGCGAGCCGTCTCCGGCGGCCCTCGTCTGCGGGGACGGGCGCTGCGGCTTCTCGCTGAGGACGACGGCGCCCGCGGAGCCGGAGGCGGCGGAGGGCTCGAGGGCGAGGATCATCCGGAGGCGGTCGGTCACTTCTTTGACGCGCTTGGTCTTCTTGCTGCCCCACCAGATGAGCACGCCGGCGGCGATCCCTGCGACCTGCGAGGGTGTGGGTGAGTGAATGGGTTTAGGGGAAAGGCAGGGAGACATACGAATGCGGCCGGGAGGGTTGTGCCGTCTGTCCACGCTGGGCGGTTGAAGCGGTTGAGCCCCCACATGACCCCACTGAGGAGACACTGAAATGGGCCCGTGAGATCCCAGAATTGAATAGGGAGGTGAAGGCAGGGTGCTCACCTGGAAAATGGAGTTGAGATCGTTCAGGACACAAATCCAGACGGCCGTACTGATCGAACACATGTCAGTACGGCTGATATTAACGAAACGTACGCAGACGTACTCAATCGGGAACGCCCTATGTGTTTGCGTCCCATGTGGTCGATACCACGTCTGGCTCAGCATGAATTTATGTTGCTCTGCAAAACGGCACGATCATTGTTAGATCCCATCTATTTGAGTGTTGAGTGAAAGGTTGGTGCTCACGATAGTGCAGATCGACCTGCTCCTCCTCCGTCAAGACCGGTACAAAATTCGCATCATAATGCGGGTCAGGCAAGTCATTAGGGTCGTAGAGCTCCGGAAGGCCGGCGGCACATCGGAGTTTCTCCGTCTTCCGCTTGTACCACCAAATCTTGAACACCCCTGCAAATGAGGCAGAGTAAACCTTCATGAACCATCGAGGACAGACTACAGATTGACGACATACGGTAAGTGTCCACGGTCCGGAAAGGCATCAGCCCGATACTCGTGATCGAGAACAGGCTCGTCTCGATCTGCTGGCAGACCTCGACCCAGAAGCCCTGCCGGTCCGAGTTGTGCACGTTGATGAAGCGCGCGAGGAAGAAGACGAGCCCGGTTCCCCAGAAGACGACGAGAAAGCCGTATATCGCTGTGACGACCTGCGTCCACACATAACAGTAAGCACGATAATCCACTTGCACGGTGATGAGAATTGAGGCTTACACCAAGGGCTGCAGAGATCAAGTCAGTTGATAGCCGCAAAATGTCAGTGTGGCAGCTACGCACGAGTTTTCACGAACGACCAAACGCCTTGCATCACCCTCCGTGCACGGTCTCTTTTCCGCAGCACGTCTTCTATGTGCATGTCGAGGTTGTCCTCGTCCTCGTCATCTGAGTTCTCCTTGTCTCCTGCTTGGCCCTTCTCGGCAGCGGATTGTCGATCTTTCGCAACCTTCTTCCGCCGCCGTCTGGGGAGCACGACAACGGGCTTGCGGGAGTACCAATCCAGTGGGGGTCTAGGTGCATGGTCAGTCTGGTATTCGGCACGATTGTAAGATGACGCACATCACGATAGCATTCGCTGCATTTGTCAAGGTAGCCACGGTAGCGATTTGCGGGTCTAGGAAGGCCTTCGTGAGACTGAGGACATGGAGGAAAAGTGGGACGACGCACCAATGACGTCCAGGTGCTCGACGATGTCATCTGGGTGGTGATCCCCGTCAAAGTCGACATCAAAGTTCCCGTAACTCGAGCGCTGCGAGTGAGGCAAGCTGAGCGAGCTCCCAACGCGCCCTGGCTCGTGCTGTGACTTCGGCACAAGGACGTCCGTCTGTGGGCCTTCAAGAGAGATCATGTCCTCTTCCTCGTTCTCGTGGTGTCTGGAGAGCAAGAAGCTGTGATGGTGTTTTGGCTTCTCCCTCTGAAGCTCAGCCTCCGCAGCCGCAGTGAACGGGTTCCGGTCCTCGCTGATGTGGGGCAATGGGGTGGGGGGCGCACGCCTGCTCAGAATGTGATCCGAGACCTTGCTGGACGTGCGGCGCTGGCCTGGGCGGGAAGTCGCGCCGCCCTCGCTCCCGCTCCCGCTCACACTGGCGCGCCCGCTGGTCGCCGACGAGAGAGCGCGTTCGCGCTCTCGCGGCGAGCTGTCCGTGCCGTCTGCCAGGCTGGCCTGTGTCGGAAAGTCGTAGCCCGACGTGCGGATTGAGTCGGGACGGGGCGTGAGGAGCGCGGCGACGGAGCCTCTGCGTGCACCGCGCGAGGCCCCGGGGGTATCTTGGGCACTGGCATCGCGTGCAGGGTCCTGGAGGGGGGTGTAGCCACGCTTCACTCGGACTGAGGGCATCGCGGGGGGCTTGGGAGGGTCGGAGGGGGGTCGTGAAGGGGAAGAATGAGGAGGGGTGGAGAGACGGGAGGATTATACGAGGAGGCATTGCAGTGGAGCGGGGCGTGTCGCGGTAACTCGACGCGCCGGTGGCTGCAGGCCAAGCCAGTCACGCTCCACGTGCGCCTCCCTGCGCAGCGTCATACCCCACACGCCATCTCCCTCCTCGCACTGCCAACGCGCTGCTCCAGCTGCGAGCATACGTATATGTACAGTCCTTCTATGCACATATGTAGGCCTCAGCACCGCTTCGTCTGTCAAACACAACTTACCTGCTCCATCTGATGACTGCCCGGCACAATGGGTCGTTGAGTAGAATTGAGATCTTGAGATGTGATGACGGCCGTAATGCTGATTTGCTTCGCGAGTCTCGTCCCGGTCAGCCGCTACACCAAGGACAATGTCCTGGCACATCATGCGAGGCTTCGCGGCCCATCGACCTGGCTGTTTCGTTCAGTGAGCATACTCAGGGGTAGAGGGCGCCGCATGACCAAATATAGGAGTCGCCGCACCCAATCAAGGCTGCGCGACGGCCGAAGTGGCGGCCCAATCATTGGTAACCCCGATCTAGCTACCCGAATCTAATCAAACGCGAAATTTTTTCCCATAGTACCCATCGCGTAATGTGCTGTACTTTCCCGAATTTGAGAGACCCAGCGACGCCCGACGGCTGCCACGACGACTACAACACCAACCACCACGTACGTGGGCGGTGCACTGTTGTCGTTCGTGCGGCCTCGTAGCATTTTGCGCGAATAAGGTACGTGGCTTGATTTGGCATGCCTTATGCGCGTCGCAGCTTATGAATTGGCACCGAATGATAGGTTGAACTTCGCAGAGTGCTTACAGATCGCCTTTGCGAGACATGGAACAGTTCGCAGCACAAGCAGGACGTGAGTGTTGTAGTCGTCAGGGTTTCAGCAGCATCGAGTAGTAGAGATCACGGCATCTCGTATGCTTTCCAGCTTCTCCTACTTTGACGTAATGCGATTAACTGACATATCGCACAATTGTCACAGGCAGCGCAATGCAAGGCGCGGTGCTCAATGTTGCCAACTGCGCGAACTGTTACAAGCCTATTCGGCCTGACGCAAGGAGGACGCTCTGCACAGGGTGCCGCGCCAAGATGCGCCTCATGTACGCGGCCACCCAGCAGCCAGCCACACAGGTGCGCACTCCCATCTCTCTCCCGACGCCTTCGATCGATCCTCATGTGGCACCTCCTCCAGGCCCCGCCTCAGCCCCCCAAGCAGCCTGTGCTGGTCGCAGCATGCGCAGTGTGCTCTGCGCGCGTCCAGCTCCCCCCGTACCCCATCGACCCGAAGCAAATCATCATCTGCGTGCCATGCCACAACACGCGGTTCTCCAAGACGCGCCGCCGCGAGACGCAGCGACGCGCAGAGCCGAGCGCGCCTCACACGCACGCGCCCCCGGCGCCCCAGCAGGGCACGCACCCAAAGAGCCCAGCGGATCTGGACGACGTCGCGCTGGCACAGTACATCGCCTTCGAGGCGATGAAGTACGTGCACCCCGCACACACGCCCGCCGAGATGGGCGGGCTCGGCGCGGACTACGTGCGGATCGCGCCGGAGGGCGCGATGATCGCCCCCGCGTCGATGCTGCCCCCGACGTTCAGGCCCTCGCCAGACGGGAGGCACTACAACGAGCGCGGCGAGATCCTCGTACCGCCGATCGCGTCGTACCTCCCGATGCCACTCCCGCCACCTCCTCCCCCCGCCACGCCGAGCTCGCACAAGTTCTACACACAGCGTGGCGCTGTTCCGCCTGCGAATAGGCCGGGCAGCATGGCTGCGCCCACGACTATCCCTACCAGGCCACCAGGGAGCGTCCCATTTCCGCAGGCGCAAGTGGCGCATGCACCCTCGCGACCAGCTCCACGATCGTCTTTTGTACCAGGAGCGTCCACCGCGTCCGTGCCCAGTATCAGGCGTGTCGCACCCGGACAGCCGGTCGCCCCGTCGCACCTTGTCCGCCTCCCTCCAGGGCAGCCCGTCATGCTGCAGCACTACCACGCCGCCGTCCCCCCGCCTGTGCAGCCCGGGTCGGACGGCATGGTACAAGGATGGACTAGCGGAGATCCGCAGGCGGCGGGCAAGGTACGCGTCTGCGAGACGAGCGGGTGCAGCACGGTTCTGTCTGCGAAACATCTGTGGAGGGTGTGCAGCAGGTGTCTGGCGGCGGCGGACCCTGGGCACTTTGCTGCGGTCCCTTCGAAGAGAGGACGGGAGAAGAGTATGGACGCGTCTGCCAGCGCGAGTCCAAGTGCGAGCGCGGGTGGGGAAGTGGCGGCGAGCGACGAACTGAACAAACCGCGTTTGCGAGTGGCCATGCAGGCTTCGGCGTCATCTGCGAGTGAGACTCCGCCGACGGAGCCGCACCACCACGTTTTTCCTTTGTCCGCCAGTTCGGTAAGCAGTACCCCTTGCATTGTCTACAGTGATGAGACCTGATGCGCTCCTTATCAGCAAACGAGCCCGTCCGTGCAAGTCCCAATCGCCCGTTCAAGACGATCTGCCAGTGTTGAGCTCGTCGTGAGCCCCGGCGTGGTAAGCGGCCTCGATATCGCAGGGATTCCTCCACTGACAACCCGATACATCAACAGAATCCGGGTCCGCGGAACCAACCGCCCATCTCCATCCCCTCGCTCTTCTCCCAGCCCATCTCCCAGAACGCCCGGACGAAGCACCGACAAACATCTTCCCTGACAAACGCCCTTGCACCGAGCCACTTCCCCAACCACGTGTATCCTCTACAGGACCCGACCACCAGCAACGGCCAGGGCGCGTTTGATCAGAAACCCGACACCGACGCCATGCTGGAGCAGCTCGAGTCGCTCGTGCGGGAGCACGTCGGCGTGGCCCGGATCCCGGCTCTCACGCCGGACGCGGCGCGGGCGCAGCATTCCGCGGAGAGGATACGCGGAGGGGCGGGATCGAGCCCTGTCGGCGTTCCCCCGAAGCTTGTTGAACCTTCGCTGCAGCCGCAAGTGCGATCAGTGCCGCTGCCGTTGCCTAGGAAGATGAAGAATATTGCTGGGCCATCGAAGGCGACGGCGTCGGCATCGCCTGCAGCGGATCAGTCAATCCTACTCGACGACGACGGGGACGTTCCAATGCTCCCTGAACCTCCTACCCCAGCTGTTGAGCCAACAGCTGCGTCTCGGAATGAAACAGAAAATGGCGGCTCAACTGATGCTGATGTGGTGATGAGCGATGTCAACACCAATGCTGAGCCAACTCACAGCCTCGACCCACATACACAAGGGCCTTTTCGAGATGTTGCGATTAACAACGCGCCCGCTCGGGCTGAGCCTAGCCAACTCACCGTTCCCGTGAAGGCCGAGCAAGCTACTGAGCCGTCTTTCACAACTGTTGCCGAACATGATGAGGACGTACGCATGTCTCCAGAACCCGTAGCAGGAGATACGAGTGAGGAAGACGAGCCGCCGCTCAGTGTAGTCGTCAAGTCGAAGCGGGATATGGAGAACACGGACGAAGAGAAGCCTGTCGCCCGCATTAACCTCAGGTTCAAAACCACGACTCCGTCAACCTATCGTAGTCAGTCCACTCCCAAGACAGGCTCGACGCCCCTTCGCATTCGGATACCATCTTTCAAGAAGTCGAGTCCGCCCCGAGTTGATGTCTCGCTCGCTCCTCCGAGTACCCCGCCTGTTCCCGAGTCCCTTGCTGCGCCCTCTTCTCCGACATCTCCTACCCAGCCAACCACTGGCGTGAACACCCCATGGGACAGCGACCTCTCCGATCTCACCCCGATCGAAGACTTGACGGACGAAGGCGAGTCAGAAATTGGTGAGCCTGAAGACGATGCGGAGGAAAAGCCCAAGGTTTGTTTCTGCACCTTCGTGCCTATTAGTTTCGTGCTGATCTTGGAGTGAACAGCTCAAGATCAAGCTCAAGATCCCAAAGTCATTGCAGGGCTCCAAGGGCCGACCCGTTCGATTAGTGCCCTCGCGGAAGGAGGATAAGTCTCCGTCGACGTGCAATATCCGCAGGTGCCAGAACATGCTCGCACCTGGCTACCGGTATAAGATGTGTGATATTTGCCGGGAGCATAATCGCGTGGGTCAGCGAAGGATGAGGGCCGCCGAGAAGGCTGATGATCCGTATGCAAAGTCGAAGGTCAGTAAACATCTCTCTGCTCTCATGCATATGATGGTATTGATTAACGCCGTAATAGAAACACTTGGTGGACCTCAGTAAGTACCAGTCATCCCAGGAAATCATCAAGGATCATATTAACAGTGGTATGTTCAGGTGGTTATCCTCCGGGCTCCCGCATATGCGTTGGCAAATGGTGCAAGACTGTTGTCCCACCTGAGTCGGAATATAAGTGGAAGATGTGTGTCGCCTGTCGCCAGGCATACCGGAAGCAAGATAACTACGCTGCAATCTTCGAACATCCCGCGTTGCTCAACGGAAAGAAGCAGACGCGAGAAGGCGACGGGTTGGACCTCGAACTGCAGGTATGCACCACAATCCTTTTTGTGTAGTTGGAGGATTGACGAGTCCCTTTGTGCAGTATCCTGATGATGACGACGACGGCTTTCCATATGTCGATAGAACGCCTGTAAGTCATCGCATCTCGAGCCTCATTGACACTCTGACGTGTTACACCCATAGAACGCATATCAACATCTCGGTGACCTCCTGCAGATGCTCGAGAGAAGATTCCATGCTTTCTTTGTTGCCCAGCTGCAGTACTACCAGTTCAAGATCGGGCGGGGCGTAGACGTCACGGCAGCCACGCCTTCGATGTTCAGCTTTACCGGAGAGTACTCTATCGTAGCGAATCCAGCTGGAGGTACCGTTAATGAGGCCGTGAAAGCGCTGGCTAGCCAGGTTGAAGGCGCACTGGGAATTCGCTTCAAGTAAGTGTGCGCTTCGTATGGTTGAGGGAAATTCCCAGACTGATTCGTCTGCGTAGTCCGGCTGGCATTTTCATGGGGCCTGAAGCATCCGTGGTCAGCCGATTTGGATGTGTTCACGAAGTCAACATGCCTTTTCCACAAGTCAAATCAGAACCCTCCGCTCCCGATACTCCAGCCCCAGTGCTAGTCAGGAGGATGGCCGGTGAATTGGAGATCGACGTCTCTTGGGATCGACGCCACAAGTACTTTCCCGGCCAGCGCATACAGATCCGCTTCAAGCTGCTCAGCTGAACTCTGTCTCGGACGCTTGCTCACGACGCTCCTTGCATATGATCTCCTCAATATATGATAGTTAGAGTTACAGTATGTTCTGGCGTTATGCCTGTGATTTATGGTATGTATAATCAGTCTTGCTATCGCACCCCGTTACGTTGCAGTGGTCATGCTTTCGAGTTTCTTTCCCGTCGTAGCATAGGTTCATCATACAGTCGCTTCGCTGGTTGTAATCTGCCAGTGGTACTTATAATATATACGCGCGTATCAATACAATTGACGATGAATTTTTCACGGTGAACAGGCACTTGTTGCGTCCGCCTCAGGCTGGGCCGCCGTCTGTTCTGTACGAATCGACAGGGACGAATGAACGACGACAGTTGCAGTGTCGCCATTATAATGTACATGGGTTCGACGGAAACCCCTCACCTCCACACTAGCGCCGTGTGGAGGGTCTTGGTTTGAGACTAGCTATGTACATGTCGGCGAAGGTGATGTGTCTGTAAGCTGCACAGCGCTGGAGTACGACAGGCTTGCGCCAGTCATGACGAGCCGACAACATCCTCAGCCTCCCACATCTGTGCCAATAACAACATGCATAACAACAACGCCGTTGAAGCGCATATATTCGGGATTGTTGAAATCCGAATGCAACCCCTACACACCATACACTCATAGATACGCTTAATACTCCTACGGTACGCATCCTCGCGTCCATCAAGCCAAGCAGGCCCTCGCGTCCTTCCAGACCGACCCACCCGACACAATGACAGCGAAGCGTCTCCAGGCCGCCGCCGACGCCTGCCTGGAGTTTTGTCGCCACAGCTTAATACCCTGGGTCAAGAACACAGCGCGGCCTCGTTGAGAGGGCGACGCGCCGGTCACTACATGGCCACCATGCGGGCGCTGTTGAAGCGCAATGCAGATCGCGTTCACGCGTAGGTCTGGCGCGCCCAGCGGGCGGCGTTGACGAGGTTCACGAGCGAAGCCTCGGTCTCCTTCCAGCCACGGGTCTTAAGACCGCAGTCCTGATGACGAAGTTAGCACGACCAACGTGATGAATGAATTGACGCAGACGTACAGGGTTGATGACGAGCAGCTCCTCGGGGAGGATCTCGAGCATGGACGCGATACGGTCCTTGATCTCCTGCTCACCCGGGACACGAGGCGAGTGGATGTCGTAGACACCGGGGCCGATCTGGTTCGAATAACCGTACTGCTTGAACGTCGTGAGCAGCTTCATGTCGCTCTTCGACGCCTCGATCGAGATGACGTCCGCGTCGAGCGCCTGGATCGACGGGAAGATGTCGTCGAAGTCGGAGTAGCAGAAGTGCGAGTGCGTCTGGAGGCTGTCGGTAACGCCCGCAGTCGAGAGCTTGAACGACGGCAGCGCCCACTTGAGGTACGAGTCCCAGTCGGCCTTACGGAGCGGGAGACCCTCACGGAGGGCGGGCTCGTCGACCTGCACGGCCTTGATGCCAGCCTTCTCGAGGTCGACGACCTCGTCGCGGAGCGCGAGCGCGAGCTGCATGCACTGGAGCTCACGAGAGATGTCCGCACGAGGGAACGACCAGTTGAGGATGGTCACCGGGCCCGTAAGCATACCCTTCATCGGCTTGGAGGTGACGCTCTGCGCGTAGCTGCTCCACTTGACCGTGACAGGGTGAGGGCGGCTGACGTCCGAGACGATGATGGGGGGACGGACGTAGCGGGAGCCATAGGACTGCACCCAACCGTTCTGGGTGAAGACGAAGCCCTGGAACTGCTCGCCGAAGTACTGCACCATGTCGTTACGCTCGGGCTCACCGTGGACGAGTAGGTCGAGGCCGATGCGCTCTTGGAACCGGACGACGTACTCGATCTCCTTCTTGATGAACTCCTCGTACTCGGCCTCGCCAATCTGCTTCTTGTTGAGCTTAGCACGCGCAGCACGGATCTCCGCGGTTTGCGGGAAGGAACCAATGGTGGTGGTCGGGAACTTCGGTAGCCCGAGGTTCTTTTCCTGGAGCTGCTTGCGAACAGCGAAGGGGCTCTTGCGCTCCAACATGTCGGGGGTGATGGAGGCAACCCGCTTCCTGACGGCATCGTCGGAGGTGCGCTCGAAGTCGCGACGCTTGGCAATGGAAGCCTTGTTCGCCGCAAGGGCGGAGGAGACTTTAGCATCCTGGGAGTCAGAGAGGACAGCGGCGAGAACAGCAACCTCCTCGGCCTTCTCGAGAGCGAAGGAGAACCAATCCTTCTGATCAGCAGTGAGCTTGTTCTCGGACGCAAGGGTGACGGGGGTGTGCAGAAGCGAAGATGAGGTAGCAATGATGACGCGGTCAGCACCGAGGACGGAGATCGCCTTCTGGCCCAAGACGATGCCTGCGTCGAGGTCTGCCTTCCAGATGTTACGGCCGGAGACGACACCGAGCGACAGAACCTGAGCGGTGGGCTTCAACGCAGCGACAACCTCGTCGAGCTGCTTCGGGGCACGGTCGAGGTCAATATGGAGGCCAGCGACGGGGAGCTTCGCCACGAAGCTGAGGTTAGAGCCGAGACGTCCGTAGTAGGTAGCCAACACGATCTTGGGAGACACAGGAACAAGCTCAGAGTAAGCCTGCGCATACTGCTTCTCATAGTACGCAGCCTGGTCAAGGACAAGCACGGGCTCGTCGACCTGGACGGACTCGACGCCGGCAGCCTTCAAGTCAGCGAGCAGACGCTTGTAGACGGGGATGAGCTTGGGGAGGAGAGAGATGGGCTGGAAGCCGGGCTTCGCCTCCTTGGCGGCCTTGCCGAGAGCGAGGAAAGAGACGGGGCCAAGGACGACCGGGCGCGTGACAATGCCGAGGGCCTTCGCCTCGTTGTACTCCTCAAGAGCCTTGTTGAACTTGAGCTGGAAGTCGGTCTCATCCGAGAACTCTGGGACGACGAAGTGGTAGTTGGAGTCAAACCTAAAGAGGAAGTCTGAGTACCACGTCTGAAGTCTGCTTGAACCAAATAGCCGAAATGCCTCAAGGACTATGGCGGTAGGGCGGAACCGAAAGAACGGCTACACACCATTTCTTCATTTCGCAGGCAGGGACGTCGACACCCGCGGCTTGGCGACCACGGCCCATGGCAAAGTAGACATCGAGGGCCGAGAGGTTGTGGCCGCTGTAACGCTTGGGGATAACGTTGAAAGCAGCCGAGTGGTCGAGAACGTGGTCGTAGAGCGAGAAGTCGCCGCTGCGGACGCGGCTCTATTAGATGTGATTCATGTACATAGATAGCGAATGAAGCATACCTCGGGATGAGGTCGACGCCGCGCTCTTTAAGGTTGGTCCAGCTCGTCTTGCGCACATCGGCAGCGGCTTTTGTGAGCTCGTCGGCAGAGATCTTGCCGGCCCAGTAGGCCTCAACAGCCTTCTTCACCTCACGGTTACCACCTGAGACGATAGTCAGACGGAGATTTCCTGAAGGGCTGCAGAATACTGACCAATACGAGGGAAACCGAGCACACTGGACGCAACCATGTTGATTCGCGAGACGAGACGGGTGTAACAGCGGGGGAGGAGGATGGTAGGAGAGAAAGAGGGAGTGGGGATGGTGCAATCGAGCGAGACTTATATATCCGCACGATGAGAAATTGATTAGCTGACTCTTCACACCCGCATCTGGAATTCCCAGGCGCGCACGCCATTCGGGTCGGGAAGCGAGACGAAACCCGACGCATCGTGCCATTCCTCCCAACATCGATCCATCGATATTCTCTGCGGGGGACGCGACGTCGACGCCTCCCAGCACGCTGAGCACGGAACACACATCCTCGCTGCCATTTCCCCGCTCCTCCGGGTCCGAGCCATCACTTATGATCGCCCCGGTTGAACGTTCAGCAGAGTAGCTTCATATTGACGAGGCTGCAATGGCCGGCGACTCGGGATCGTCCGGCAGGATATCCCCCTATTGACCTCAGACCTGCGCGCGGGCTGCGTCTTACACGTACTCATGCAGTGTACACGGCTTCGAGGTCAATGGCGTGTGCATGCGGGGGTTCCACGGTGCTAGTGGAAGATCCCAGGCGGGGCAGGAGCACGTCCGGAAGGGCAGCTCGTTTACTGAACCACCGTGCGTTCGGATTCTAGAGCGCAGCTACTTAGGGATGCTCAGGACCCGCTGTGCTCGTATTGGCCTGTGGGACGAGCCAGGGGCCATGCGCACGCTCCTTACGGTTCAGCAAGAATTGATAGACCGCGTATTGACCGTCATCAGCTGCTCTCCTGGCCCAGACGCGCTCCCCGGTCCGGGGTACCTCCGCCCCCGCCCCCTGGGTCTCCGTCCTCCGATTGCTCAAATAGCCCTTTGCCTCCCGATGCACCTCTCCAGAGTACTCGCATCCCCCCGCCTCGCCTCGCCTTGCAGCCATGTCCAACAACCCTTCCTTCGTCCTCCGCGGCATCAACGATGTCATCTTCGAGGAGAGACCCATCCCCCAGAGTAAGCGATCGTCTGCCCCGCACCCACACCCGATCCATGTAACCTTCTATGATAGTCGGCGATGACGAGGTACTCGTCGAGGTGAAGAAGACGGGTGAGTTGGACAATGATCTATTCTTGCAGTGTCCCTGATCATCGTCGATGCAGGTATCTGCGGGTCCGACGTATGTGCATTCATAGCGCACCTCTATGAACGCGGACCGATCATAGACGTTTATTCAGGTCCACTACATGGTTGCCGGACGCATTGGGCAGTTCATCGTCGAGAAGCCCATGGTCTTGGGCCATGAGTCCTCCGGCATCATCTCGAAGGGTGGGTTTACGTAGAAGATGTTCTCTTCGGAACACCTGCTTACTTCATTCTGTAGTCGGCCCTGCGGTCAAGAACCTCAAAGTCGGTGACCGCGTCGCAATGGAGCCCGGTGCAACCTGCCGCAAGTGTGATGCTTGCAAGGGCGGCCGGTACGAGGTACTGTGAACATTCCTTCTCCTATCACAATATTGGCTGACGGTGCAAATAGCTCTGCCCAGATATCGTCTTCGCTGCGACCCCTCCATACGATGGCACGCTTGCCCGGTACTACCCTATTCCCGCCGATATCGTTTACAAGCTCCCGGATCACCTCACTCTCGAGGACGGTGCCATGGTGCGTCCTCCGTGCGATAAGTGACCCACGCAAGATTATCTGATTCTTCCATGCTCACACGTCTAGATGGAGCCTCTCTCTGTCGCCATCCACGCGGTGGCAAACGTTGCAGACTTCCATTCGAACCAGTCTATTGTCGTCTTCGGTGCCGGCCCCGTCGGTCTCCTCTGCATGGCTGTGGCCAAGGCGCTCGGTGCCTCGCGGGTCGTCGCCGTCGACATCGTGCAGGGCCGGCTCGACTTCGCGAAGGAGTTCGCGGCAACGGACATCTACCTCCCGCCACCTATGGAGAAGGACGAGACGCGGATACGCTACTCGGAGCGGAACGCGAAGAAGCTGATGACGGACCTGGGCATCGAGGAGCGTGGCCCCACGAGCATCGACCTCATCGTCGACGCGAGCGGTGCTGAGGTCTCCATCCAGACTGGTGTCCTCGTCGCTAAGATTGGCGGCACCTTCGTGCAGGTATGTTTCCCTACACGTTCTCGTCGTATATGTTAGGCTCACCCCAACTGCGTAGCTCGGTATGGGCAGTCCCGAGGTGACCCTCCCGATCACAACGATGCTCACGAAGGAGCTCAACTGGAAGGGCTCCTTCCGCTACGGCCCTGGCGACTACCCGCTTGCGATCGCGCTCGTTGCGCAGGGCAAGATCGACCTCAAGCCGCTTATCACCCACCGCTACTCTTTCGAGCAGGCTGTCGAGGCATTCCAAACGACGCGCACGGGCAAGAGCTCGGACGGCAAGGGCGTCATCAAGGCTGTCATCTCGGGCCCAGGCGTCTCGCTGAGTGATAACTAAGTGGACTCATTTCTCTGGTGGTATATACGGCGTGTAGTAACTTAATGCAAAAGTAGCCCGAAGTGTACGATACCATTGTTGTTTGCTGTCAGACTTGAATGAAGTTGTTTTGGGTCCCCACTGCGTTGGTTGTGAATGATCTCGATCAATGGTGTGGCACGTGAGAAGAGCGCGATCGAGTGGGACGCGTTCAGCGACGCGCGAGACGCGCCTGACCTCGAACTTGCATGTGGTACACACTCGTGCGAACGACCAACAAGATTCCCCAGACTGGCGTACTAAACACGTAATTGCGAGCCTTCGTCGACGTCTAAAGCCTCCGTTCGTACTCGGAGAAGCTAGTACCAGGACGCACAACGATCATTGGAGCCTGCCATGCGCTTCGGCCCAAGGAACGCGTACTACTTGCGCATATCAGGAAACACGGTGCTGCCTCTCTACGTATGTACCACCTCTCATTCGACTGCTATGCAATTTGGTGAGACATTTGAATAGCTCTACCTTGATGAACGACACATCGATTGGATGTCAGAGCAGGTGCTCCAACATGTGCTCTCTGACCTCCGCCCAAAGTGCGTTCTCCACAATTGTATGCGCGGTAGATTGAATAATGGATCACCTGCACTCCAGGATCCTTCCGAAACTGAAGGACGAGGCGAACACCCGCTTAGGCCCCGGCGGGCCCGCGAACGCAAAGCGGGGAACCGTCGACGTACATCGAGGAGGTGCGTCGCCGTCGGGTCTCCTTCGCAGCAGTCAGCTGAACCTCGCGCGCGCTGTGGGGCCACGTAACAGAGGCGTATCAGTTCGCGTACTTCCTCGCCGAGACGAAGCAGCACTCGGTGCTCATCAAGGTGAGATTGACCGGTCGCAAGGCTCTCCCTGCTGACTGCGCCGCGGCCAATCACCGCAGACGCGGGACTTCGTACCAGCCCCCGCTCCTCCGCCTGGTGCCGTCCCGCCGCCTAGACCACCCTCACCTGCCCCGCAGAACCAGAAGGGCAGGAAGCGCACGCGCGCGGCTAGGAAGACGCCAGCGCCGTCCCAGAAGACGAAGCAGCGAAAGACCAAAGGCAAGCAGCGTGCCAGGGACAGCGACGAAGACGAGCCAATTGAAATTTCGAGCGACGAGGATGCCCGTCCTCCGGTACCAGAGATTGGCGAGCCAGAGCCTCCGGTGGCGGCTCCCCGTCGGTCTGCGCGAGCCAGAAGGGCTGCAGCAGGCGGGTACCGGGATCAGGACGAAGACGAGGAAATACAAGAAGTTCACCAGGTGCATGATGTTGATGCGGACACCGACATGATCGCTGCACCCGGAAGCCCGCCTGCGCAAGCACCCACGGATCCCGCGTCTTCCGCTCTGCAGCTGGACGACTCCAATCTGATAGCGATGGAGGACTCGGAGGCAACCCCAGCACTCCAGCCTGCTGTCAAGCGCGAGAACATCGAGCCATCAATACCACAGACGGAGGAAGCTGAGCCCATTGAAGATACAATCGCGGAACAGATCACAGCAACGACTCCTACTGGCCAGGATGAAGTTCAGTCGTCCCTGCGTACAGGGGTGGAAGAGGACGAAAAGAAACTCGCGTTGCGACTGCGGTACGAAGCGTACAACATCCAGGGTCGCCATCTGTGCGTGGTGGTCGAGCCCTATCCACCGATTCGTGGGCCAACACGCGCACCGTCTCTGGCACCGATATTCACCAACGCCCAGAGGGCACCGAGCATCGCCCCTCCTGACTTTGTACCCAGCGGAGGCGCGGCTCAGCGCGAGAAGACCCCTCTCTTCCTCCCTGAGTATGACAGGGAGCGGAGCGTCACACCAGCACCAGCGCTCACGAGACACCGAACCCTACCACCCGTGCCTCTGTTCAACGACACTGCAGAAGACAGTGACGGTGACGATGGCGGATTCATGGAGTTCACTCAGATCCTCAGGTCCGTCGGCCAGAACCAGGCCGGCGCAATGGAGGACGACGATGAGATCGAGGGCGCCGTGTTCTTCGGCGACGCAGACGAAAAACAAGAGCTAGAATTGTAAAATCATCGTACTATGCATTGTACAGAGGTCATGCTCGCCCTATCTCTCTCAGGATTTCCATCTTTCTCGCCTGCGACACCTTCCTGAATCCCGCGTTGACCATCTCGAAGAGGCCGTGACCGCCCGAGAGTGCGCGTAACCGGCTTGAATAGTCGAGCATCTGACTGAGCGGCGCGACAGCGAAGATAGACCGTTTGTACTGCGAAGAGCTACCTGCGCGCGCAGTCGGGTTTGCAGCTGAAGGTGACAGCTCCTTCGGCGGGATGTATACGCCGTCCTCCGAGAACGGCACAGCGTCTGCATCGGGATCTGCGACGTTGCCCGAGCCTGTACCCAGGTCGAGTACCTCCCCACCACGCTCCGTCAGGTCCTTGACGACCTTGCCAACGGAGTCCTCGTTTACGGTGATTTTGAGACGGATATACGGCTCCATCACGTCGCCCATGCCCGCATTCTTCAGGCAGTCCCGTAGGATGGACGCACTCGCACCTGCGAGTACCGAAGGCGAGGCCGTTTCGCTAGGATACTTATAGCCCTTGACTTGTATATGGAGGTGTGACAACGCGAGTGATGTATGCGGAGAATTCGAGAGCAAGCTTGAGATGCCACGGGCGAGCGGGTCGACTTCGCTGAGGGCGTCGTCTGGGGCACGTAGCGGTTTGCCGTCAGGATCGATGACGACGTTGTCGTCCCACAGAGGGTCGCCCTCCTCGTCGCCCTGAAGCTCACGGATGGCGAAGTCCATTTGTACAGTGATCCTTCTGCCAGAGATGTCCGTGGACCAGGTGTTCTCAGTCGGGCTGGGGTCGTTGGGACCCAGGCACTCGCGATAGCTGACTCTGCGCTTGCCGAACTCGAAGTTGGCTTGCCACTCGTCTCTGAGTCTGTTCTCGATGATCTCCAGGTGAAGCGCGCCGAGGCCGTGCACGAGGATCTGCCCTTCTTGGACCTCAAAGCGGACTGAGGGGTCGGTGCGAGCGAGAGAAGCGAGGGCCTCTTGGACGGGTTCCGTGTCTGATTGCGACTGTGGAATAATCGAAGCAGACATGACGGGTGGAGGTGGGACGATGTCACGTAGCGACGACGCTTCTGAGGGTTTGTGGTTGGAGACTAGAGTGTCTCCCGTTCGCGTGAAGCGCAGACCCAGTACCACGCCTACTTGTCCAAATGACAAAAAATCGACATCTTCTGCTTGCGACGCATACAGCAGCTGTATCTTCGATACGCGCTCCCGCTGCTGACGAGTCGCGTTGAAAACAACGCTCTGTTTAGTGATCGTCCCTGGGGCCGACGTTAGCATGGGACTGTGCCGGTGTTACGATGTTACTTACCTGAGTATATCCGTACGAACGTCATCCACCCCTTCCGCTTATCCCAAGCGACCTTCCAGGCGAGCATACGGAGCGGTGCCTTTGCCTTTGGTACATCATCGACCATGTCGACCGGGCTAGGGAACAGCTCCCCAACGTAGTCCATCACCATTTCGGTCCCTATATGCTTGAATGCTGACCCGCAAAGGACTGGTAGGATGTCACTTCGCACGGTGGCTGCACGTAGGTGTGGTATGATACTGGAAGGCGGCACAGTGAGGTAGGCTGACGGATCGGGAGGCAGGCCAAGCAATGTTTGCAGCAGGTCGTCGGAGAACATGGAAAGGGTTTCGAGCAGGCTTGTCCTCGCAGGAATCAGTTGACCTAACACAGGATGTGCGGGAGGCAGAATGGCGCTTTGCTCCAGCTCTTCGATGCTGCGCGGTAAAGCTTGTTTCGACGACTCGCCATTTGCGTTCCATCTCCAGATCTCCCACTTTACCAAGTCCACTAGACCTTGGATCCCTGGTTCGGCTTGTGCGTAGTCCTGTGGGTCAAAAGACGCAATAGGCAGTGATAGCGCGACCGGGCGCGGGTGTAACTGATTCGTGAGTAGCGATGTGATAGACTGGGAGAACGATGCTCCGACACGGTCTAGTTTGTTCAGGAATATGAGCCGCGAACGGACGCCATATCTGCACGCGCCGCGGAGATGAGCAATCGGTATGGAGTCCCACAACGCCTCACCTAGACGCACAGCTCACCTATCCAGCTGTCTCCAGACACCCTTCGTCTGCGCTTCAACTCCCTCTACTGAGTCTAGGAGGACCACCGCGCCATCCACTACCCGGCTGGCACTCTCGACTTCCATGCCGAAGTCCGCGTGACCCGGAGTGTCGATCAGGTTGAACGTCCAGTCTCTCCATTTCACTGGAATGCTTGCAGATTGAATGGTAATCCCTCGCTCGCGCTCCGCAGGTAAGAAATCGGTTGTGGTGCTTCCTGTGTCCACCGAGCCAGCGTGACTGAGGTAGGAAGACCTCAGTAGAATCGACTCTGTGAGTGTTGTCTTCCCAGAGTCTGGGGGATTTGGTCAGGGGCCTCCAGTAATCGAAATGAAAGCTCACCGATGTGCGCTACGAGAGCCATGTTCCTCAAATTTGAGGTTGAGCTAGCCGGAGTGGCCGTAGCGAGGCGTCGTTTGCAAGGGACCTGCCATTGTCTCGAAGGCGTCCGGGAGTAACATCGAAATTTACAAGCGGACCGCGTCCAACTCATGTGCATGAGGGTACGCCAGGCCCTACCGGTGCGCAATGCTCACGCTCGTTGCAGGCTGGGGTGCAGGACGGTGGTAAGTGCTCAGGCACGTGAGTACCTGCAGACAAGCATCCCAGGGCCTGCCTTGGATGTCATCCGGATGCATCCACGCATCCATGGGAAAACCATCCACGGATAAACCATCCATACCCACGCTCGTCTGGGTGTGACATCACGTAAGGCTGCGCTCGTAAGACCCGCCGTCACGCCCAGTGTCGGCCTTGCTTAAGTCGTCGTCGCCGCAACTCAACATTCTTCGAGCATAGGCCGTTTGGTACAGGAGTGGGCCCAGTCCGGCGTGATTAGATAGCGATGTATGTAGAGCTACTTCGAAGAAGGGTACAGAAATTTATATATAATCATATTCTACACTCTCCTGCTCCTTCAAGTTTGAATGGTGCAGAGTTCATGACAATGGCTCCTCCGACAGAGACCGTCGCAGAGGGCGCAGAGGGCGCTAAATGAGCAATATTATGTCTTCGGCGACATTGTAATCGAACCATGGGGCATCGGCCCATGCGCCGAGGCTCATCTTTGCACGAAACGTCTGCGAAGACATGGCGCGTTGGTTCCAAGCGACCTGGTTGCGGCCTTCGGAAAACGCGAGCTCTGCGTCGGCTGTGGTTGTTAGTGGAGCGCGCTCTTTTTCAGTACATCGACTCACAAGTCAGATGTTGAAACTCACCGGGCGCGGAAGCATATGCAAGGCCTATCTTCGCTAAGCCTGGCGTCACCGCGAGCTCCTTGTTCCAGTACTCCAGCACCGACGTGTCGCGCGGGCATACTAATGAATTGCCAGCGATTCACGCCCTGTGACAAAATGGCCGCGATCTATGAGTGACTGTGGACAACCTTGGTAACGGCACTTACAATGTTGTTGGCCACAGTCGGAACCGTTGAACTGCCTGATTGTCCTACCAGTGGTTGATTTTGCGTGGAAAGCGGCGGCTTGAACCTTCGATGTTAGTTATCAATAGCCCGCCTGCGAACCATCTCGATAGCATCAACCGGCCACTGATGTTGAACAAACCAATGAAGTTTGCGGTCAGGGCACATGACTACGTGCAGAGAGTCAGTGTTTCGTTGAGTATGAATGTAATAAGTACACACCTATAGCCGTAGTATACGCATCGCACTCCACAAACAAGCGTGAGAAGTATCTGCGCGACACCAGATAGCCTGCGTGCGCGGCAACACGACAAACATTAGGTAATGTTGGTAGATTGACCATAGTGATGAGGTCGCGTTGAAGCTGGCCCTGCAAATGCGGGAAAGACGTCAATGATGAGTGGGATGTTGTTCTGCTGAAATCGTTGAACTAGCTCGTGGATATTCCGTGCACAACAGTCAGGGAGACGCGGCGTCAGAAGTCTACGAAATGCACGCACACTAACATGTCTCGCAAATTCGTTGAGAGAGACCACTCTTGCGGTGTCAGTTTCATTGCGTTGAGCTTAAGGTCCCGAATCTGAGTCGATCACTTCCCGGAGCGCGTGAGACGACATAAGGAGCCTGAGGCGGTAGTCCGAGTCCCAACGTGTCGCATTGCGTGGATGGATATGCTGGTCGTGGCTGAATAATGGCTGTGGCAGATGAAAAGCGTCGTGGACAGGTCCGCTGTCCCGAGTCTTGTTCGCGAGAGCTGCGTGTTCAGCACTCAGTATGTACTCAGTGTGCAACGGCGTGCGCTTTGCTCTGCCTCAATCAACCGTTACGAGCTCGTTACTACTTTGTGACTTAGCCGTGACTGACTGTGACCCGGGCACTTCGTGGGACGATCACGAGCAGGCGATGGATGTCTTGGGGTGGGAACACCATCCATTCTCACGGCGGATATCTGTGGATACACCCATCCAAGGCAGGCCCTGAAGCATCCCAATCTCGGATCTCGATCCTCAGATCTGACCGAGGACAGGGCTATTGTCCTCCACTCCCCCGGGCCACCCACTGTACTCTTACAGACTCTTACGCGACTCTCAACGACCTCTCGTTCTTCTTGCGCACGAATCATCTATGACACCCACGCAAGGAGAAAGGGATGGGTTCGAAGAACGACTTCGGCAGCGTACAGATGACAAGTCGTCACATCCACTCGACACTGTACCGACGGATCCAGGTCTGCGACCCCGCGGGAAGATCCCAAACACACCACTAGCTGCATCTACCCTCTCATTTCTACTCGGCATCGTCTTTGCACTTGGATTTGGGACCTTTATACTTGGAGGGTTTGATCGCTTCTGGTGGACAACGCACCAATTGGGTTTCTATCTCGCTGCATGGGCAGCGTTTCATTGGGGCGAGTTCGCTGTGACTGCGGGTTGGAACAGGGACAAATGTAGCATAAACTGTGCGTATACAGCATCACAGCCTAGTTCGTGGAAACTGAACTTGTTTACACAGCATTTCTGCTAGAGAACGGAGCGCAGTACCACATAGCGCACAGCGTCGCAATCGCCGAATACTTACTCACATTGTACTTCAAGCCGTCAATTAAATGTCATCCCTATGTTTCCCAAGTTGGTAAGCAGAGTTAACCCCTTCCCTTCCCTCGCCTGACTTATCGTTGCAGGAATCGCCCTGACGGTGGTGGGCCAAGTGCTCAGGTCGTCTGCTATGGTCCACGCAGCCCAGAGCTTCTCGCATGTTATTGCGATGCGCAAGGTCGACACGCATATACTCGTCACTGATGGTATATACAGGTGTGTCGCACGTATCTAGTTGTCCTCATTCTCGAGTAACGCACCTTGCCCTCAAGGTGGTTCCGGCATCCGTCGTATGCTGGCTTCTTCTATTGGGCCTTGGGCACCCAGCTTGTTCTGCAGAACCCTATATCATTCCTCGGGTTTCTTATTGTGCTCTGGAGATTCTTCGCTCAACGCATACGTGGTATGTCCGTACCATTTCCTCATAGCTTGTGTATGCTTCATTTGCGTGTTCTCCAGGCGAGGAGGGCTACCTCATCCGCTTCTTTGGAAACGATTACATACAATACCGCAAGAGAGTTGGCACGAGGATACCATTCATCCCATAAACATTCGTCTGTGTACCAAAATACGATGACCGGCTTGGTGGATAATAGTATGTCAGTCACATGTGTAGTGACGCGTGAGGGAGCACAGTGACACCGGCAGCCAGCCTCGTTACTTCAGAGTGAGCTTGGAATATCAGTTGCAAGAGAGCGAGAGCGGGGAAAGATCGAGGGTGGTGAGGCGCAGCCCACAGGGCTGCCCGACTCGAAGAGTTTGTATGGACGTGAGGCCTGAGGCATGAGGGGCAACGGGTGACCCGCGAGGGTTGATACCACAGCCCTGCGTTTCCGTTGCCTCTGCTGGCAGTGGGCCGCAGGGTAGACACATCGAGCCAAAGAAACACACACCTTGAGTTTGTCACAGCGTGTGCTACGTAGAAAGGGCGCGAAGGGTAGGGAAAACGAGAGCGATTCGAAGCGCGTAGCGGCCGCGGGGCCTTCGAGAGCGGTCGTCCGAATGGGCGTGCAGAGGAGAGGCCCAAATCTCCTCCTGCGTACTTAGTCATTTCTACGCGCGCGACGCTCGTGCCTCGCTTCGCTCAGAGTAACACACATGTACCATTATCGCTGCTCTCGATCTGAGCCAACTCGTAACTCACATATTGTGCCCGCAGTTCACAGCGATGAAGTTGTCATATTGGTCATAGCAAAGATAGTAGAAATGCAAGTTTTAGCCGCCAACGCAACATACACCCATATGATAATGGCATAGAGAGGGTCCTACTCCTGGAGGATCGTACCCCGCTCCGAAACGTAAATACCGTCCAAGAATTTACGGATGTCCTTGTTCCGTACGCGGCAGATGCCCTGGATGGATGCCGCTGTGCCATGCGTGAGATGTTGCCCTACTGAGGTACAGCTAGTGACTTACCAGACTGCGACACGTTTTGAACGTCGTTACCCTCAAGGATGAGCTCATCCTTCTGCGCCTTTGATTCGAGGACAGTAACGCCATCCAACATGTTCACATGCCGTACGAGCTAGTGTCCGTCGTGAGCGACGAGATAGAAATCTGAAACGCACAGAGTCATACCTTCTCCCCCAAGAAGTTCCGGATCTCCACTGCCTTCCCGCTGTCCTGGATGATGCAGTTGATGGGGAAGTGGGCGTACACAGAACGCATCTTGTACTGGAAGCCCTGTAAAGCGTACAATCCTTCAGCACCCGCAGACGACCCAATGATCACAAATCGTACCTTCGTGACACCGATGATCATGTTGACGATGAGGCTCTTAATCGTCCGGAGGCACGCAACGTGTTTCCTGCCACCTTGCCACACCGCCAGCTTCACCTTGTTATCCTTGCTCTTGTCGAGCCGAATGTCCATGTCGATGTGTCGGACATTCTTCGACAACGTTCCCCGAGGGCCCGTGACGGTGATCTGGCGGGCCTTGATGGAGACCTCAACCCCCTCGGGAATGCTGAGCTCCTCGGTCTTGATAACGTCCTTCATCTGCGTGCAGACGAGAATTCGTTAGCGCCTTGCAGGTGTACATCCGCAGACTGCGGCCTCAATCCATCCGTTCGTCCGGGCGAGAGGCCACCAAACTCGTTAAACAACTCGTTGGACGGTCGAACAGCATGTCTCGAGGCGAACAGGCATGGAGAACTCACCTTGCAGTCTTGAGGGAGGGGGCAGCGTCGAGCTTCGTGAGCGTAGGCAAATCCGATGACAGACGAGAGTTTCGGTCGTTGCCTTTTCCGGTTACAGGCACCTGAGCCGAAACGGGAAGTTTGGGGACTGGGCAAGAGTCTGGGGCACGTGCAGCGGCTGTGACCGGGCGGAGTCTCAATATGACTCAGTGTTCGGTCTTGCGTGGCCCCGCCAGCCGAAAAGACCTTCACCACCGACCACCATCTGCTGTGCGTGCCCTCGCGCACCAAGATCCCTTTGCGTCCGTTGCAAGCAAACTGTGTGAGACACAGTCATAGTATTGGCTCGCTCATTCCCCAACAAGGCGACCCTCTACCACCGGCCCCCGCATATCGCCTTTCTGCACACAGATCAACGTCTCTAAGGGTCGACTCGCGACTTGGATTCGCGCGCATCAGTCAAGAACCCTGATTTCTGGCTTACTCTTCCCTCTATGTCTCTGTATCCACAGCCTCAGAGTCAGGGATACGGCGCGGCGGCTTTCCCGCCCCCGGGCTACGGGCAGCCCTCGATGTATGCGCCCCCCGCGTTCAGTTATGCTCCTCCCGCGCAGCCTGTGTACCACGTCGATCCAACCAGTTTCCGACGGGATTATAGCACGCGTTTGGCTGAGCTAACAGTCAATTCCAGACCGATTATCCAGAACCTCTCCATGGTTGCCCAGGACTATACTCGATTCGCAGACATCGTGGTGCAGTGCATCGAGAGCCATATCCGTAGGGTGAGTGCCGATTTCTCTGGTTGACTCATCACTTTAGCTCGTTATCCCGGCATCTGCTCCTTCAGAGAGAGATCGTGCTCGTAGTGTACCATTGCCATGTTCGTAGTAGTAGTAGCAGTAGCATTCTCAGTCTGAGCAAAGACGACTCGCTGGTCGCTCAATGCAGTGTCTTGTGGCCGCCGGGGCAGTTCCACGACAACGCCCGTGCGTAGCTCATGCTCTGAGAATCTTGCTACTGCCGCTACTTGCGACGTGTTCGCGCCCTTTGCGTATTTTCTTTGCTGTCGTTCCGCGGAATGCTGACTAACTGTTATGCCCGTTTTGGCGAATCAGGTGCCTCAGTGGATGAAGCTGCCCGCCTTCTATCTTCTCGATGCGATCTCCAAGAATGTGTACAACCCATACGCGAACTGCTTTGCTCCTCTGGTCGTCAGACTGTTCCTCGATACCTATGAGCAAGTTGACCAGAGTACACGCAGCAAGATGGAGGAGATGCTGTTGACTTGGCGGACAGGTTCTCCCAATGGGAGAGAGCTCTTTGGCGTTGTTCCACAACTGGCCATCGAGCGTCAAATCTGGGGAGGCGAGTCGACACAGAATGCCGTAAGTGTTCCCCCTTCGTGTCGTTGTGACTAATCCACTCATTCTTATCGCTATAGTCTTCGAGTCGCTTCGGCACGTCATCGTCCGTATCCGCCGCCCAGGTCCTGAGTGAACTTGAATTCGTGTTGAATCAGCAAGAACGCGCATTGCAGATGAACCCGTACGACAAGGCAAGCCAGCATCATGTCGCCGTGTTGCAGCAGGTAAATGTGTATCATCACCTGTCCATGCTTGACGCTAACGCCCTGCTAGTTGCGCAAACTTGTGCAAGCTGGTGTCTCGCAAGCAGAGCTTTCTCAGATTTTGAATCAACTGCGCACTCTTGCCCAGTCCGCACCTACATCCGCACCCGTCTCTGTTCCTCCACCTCCACCGGCGGCTCGTCCGTCGTATGCTGCTCAGCAGGCCTCCTATGCGCCCCCTCCTCCTCCTGCTCCCCAATCGTCGTCCTATCCCCCTCCTGCTTACATGGCGCCTACTCCTTCGACCGCGTACACCGTTCCGAAGTCTGAACCGATAGACCTAGCGAGCTTCTTGTCTTCTGTTCAACCGCCAGCTGCGTCTGCATCTGTCCCTACAGCGTCGGCGCCGACGAACAACATCGCAGACCTTTTCAGCGCATTGGTCAAGGCAGGTGTCGTGTCTTCGACTGGGACACCAACGGGTGCCGGTGCAACCGCCAAGGCGGAAGAGCCGTCAAAGCCCGTTGATCCCGTGAAGGACGCCGCAAGGAAGTACAGAAAGGCAATTCTGAAGCACAAGATCAAGCTGACCTCCGCGGATATCTCAAAGTACGGTGTTTCGTCCCCTTTACAATCGCTGTCGTCGAACCCGATCCCACACAGGCAACGTTCGCATGTTGTCGAGTTCATGTACGACCGCCTGCCTGCACAGTGCAAGCAGTGCGGCATCCGTTTCCCTGATGGGGCGAGCAAGAAGACCATGGACGACCACCTGGACATGCACTTCAGGCAAAATCAGAAGGCGGGTCAGGCAGTCAGTCGCGGTCACAGTCGTTGCTGGTTCGTAACGGTTGAGGTACGTTTTGAATCTCATTTCACCGCACATTGATATTGACGCGGGTACGCAGGATTGGACACACGATGGCTACGTTGATGTCAAGGGCAAAGGTCGCGCGGATGGCCGTAAGATTAGTTCGAGTGCAGCTGCTGCCGCGGAAGCGGCGAAGCGTGAGGCTGAGCTCCGAGCCCTCTATGTGGTCGTGCCGCCTGGTGACGAGGCAAAGCCAATATCATGCCCAATTTGTAAGGAGCCATTGAAGTCGGAATTTCTGGAGGATGACGAGGAGTGGGTGTGGCGGAACGCGGTGAAGCGCGACGACAAGGTCAGTCCAATGTCTGCATTGCTTAACGACGGTGGTGCTGACGTTCAGCACTCTAGATATACCATGCGACATGTCATGCCGAAGCTACGGCGTCTAAGAGCACCCTGGCGGTGCGTTTGCGGAACGAGAAGACGGGGAGCCGTAGTCGCTCGATCACACCTGAGAAGCTGCGGACGCCTCCGAAGGCTGCTGTGGATGGCGTGCCTCACAAGTCGAAGTCGCCGTCGCCGACGTCACCCGTGCGGACGAAGCGTAAGGCTGAGGACGATGATCCGTATGCGCGCCTGGAAGGTAAGGGAGATGCGCCCCCGGCGAAGAAATTCGCTGTTTCAGCATGACGGTCGGACTTGGAGGGGCATCGGACGATAGTGCATTTGTAATCGTTATTCTCTGATTATTCCCCGCACGACCTGCATTGTAGCTTTACACACACACTAGAATGGCATCAGGTTGAAAGGCGATTGTGGACGTCTGTCGGTCCGAATGTGAACTGGCACTGTAAGTCAAGAAGGTATGAACGAAGGGACCAAAGGGTGCACGGGAGCCACAAACGCGACGCGACAGTCACGTGTGCGTGTCGGACAAACCATCCCCTTTGTCGAGATCGATTCTTCTCCTGATCGTCATCCAGTCTTCGCTTTGCCTACTGGGTATTTCGTCGTCTTCAAGACCTGACTTTAACTCGGTGAGTGCTAATATACTCGACCCCTGACATGTTTGCACAGGGACACTCAAGCCCCGGCTGGCATTCGCCTTCTGGAGTTCTTCCTTCTCCTCCAGCACAGTATGATCCAGGTATGTGAGCCGCTGTGCATTTCGTCAGTACCGAACTCAGTGATGTGGCGTCCATTGCAGCACACTTCTCGCCAAACGCAGACACCACCGGCAACGACGACACGTTGCAGCGCATCTACTCCGCTGCCAACGCAGATGTGGAGATGAAGGTGGGTCGTTTCGCCGACATGACAGTAGCTCATCGCCGTGACATTCGGTGTGGTGCCAGGACGACTTTGTCACAAAACTGTACCTCGTACTCGACACCAACGTTCTGATTGACTATCTTGACGTCATCCAACGGTTCAACGAAGACATAGAAAGGCTTGGGATGCCTGTAACCATCATCATTCCGAGCGTGCTTCTATCCGAATTAGATGGGTGCGTCTGCCTTGCTTGTTTCGCAGGCGTTCTCGTGGAACTCATTCCCACCCGTGATCGCGTTCGGTCGCCAGCCTGAAGAAAAGAGAGAAAGTCGGATGGTTCGCGAGCCGCGCGTCCGCCTGGATCCTGAACAAGATGAAGGAGCGCAAGACCGTGCACGTCCAGTCACGGCGGGAGACGTGCGGGCTCGTCCTCGCGCCGCACGAGCAGGAGCGCAGGAACGACATGTGGATCTACGACTGCTGCCAGTTCTTCGCGCGGCGCGGGCACGTCATCTTCATCAGCGGCGACATGAACCTGCAGAGCACTGTCGACAGCATCAACACCGACAGCGTGGGCAGAGGTGCGTTCTCATCGCCGTGCCGCGAACCAGGACTGAGACGTTTGGTCAGCGGATCTGTTTGCGGATATCCTGACAGTCATGCCGGACAGGAGGGGCTGGTCGAGCCGGGCGCTCGCGAGAAAGCTGGCTGATAGTGGCGTGAACATTCCCGGGCTCCGAATACATCCAGACGAAGAACCAAAATACCGGCGGTCACGCAACACCACGGAGAGCCGCAAGATCGTGCTCGGCGAGCCTGACGACGACGACGAGGTCATGATGGACGTCGACGATGTCGGCCCGCCGCCGCAGGACGACGATGCGAAGAAGCACGCGCTCGACGCGCTCCATCTGCAGGTCGTCGACCACTTCGCGCTGCTCCTCAAAGACCTCGCCCAGCGTGTTCGCACAAGCGCGGGAGACGTCGCAGATAAAACCATATCTCTTCACGCGGCAGGTTGGCTCCGAAAGGAGTTCTCTGAGTGGACCGTGGGGGACTGCCTCGATTACCTGGAGTTCAAGCTTGCCCAGTTGAAGAAGGGGCTGCGGCCACGCCAACCCCCACTGCAGTGGTTCCTGCGGCGAGAGCGCGGGGACAGACAAGGCGGCCGCGCAGGCAAGGAATGGAGTCGACAAGCATGGAATGACGTTGCGGATGCGCTGGAAGAGCTCGGGACCAAGTTCGAGGACGGGGCCATGCTGGTGTCAGCGCAGTACCTCAGACAAGAGACAGAGTATGCTTTCCATCTGCAGCCGCGCCCCTCTGGCCGGTAGGCCCACGAACTAGGCGTGGGCGCGTTGATCACGAGCGTGTAGGTAGCGCACGTTCTCAAGAGCAGACAAATGTGAACGGAAGCTACCGAAGAAGACGCGGACTCGGTGTCTCTCCCCTTGGAGTTCTCAGGCGCCCTGGAGCGATGTACGGATGCATTGGTGTAAGACAGACCGATGGCTATCGGTGCAGGGACGGATCCACTCCATAAATACACCATATGATCCACGAATTGCCGCCCCGGGCAGAGCGACGCAGGATGGAGGGGACAGGGGAGGCAGGTGGAGGCGTGCTGAATAGATGGAGCACAGAGCGGCCGCCCGTTTGAGTGGTCGAGTTCCTTCATTTCATGTGTCTAAGTCCGTGCTCAATGAACACTTGTCAATGTGATTGCTCCTGAAGTCAGTGTGGCCGTCGAGGACACCGCAGGCCGCGGGGAGCGTGCCTGGCTGCGGGGCGACAGCTGCCAGATATGGGCCGTGGGAAAGCGGACGGCTTGGCAGTCGCAGTCGGGCGGCTGCGTTTGGCGATAGCAGTCTGCACTGGAATCTATTTACCACTCCTTGCTCCCCCGCCCCGTCCACTCCTTTCCCTTCCGCCGTCATGTTCCGACGCCGGACAGTCTACATCCTTCTCAGCCTCCTCGCCGCAGTCCTCGTCGGCACCGTCGTCGTGCTCTCCTCCATCTCCTATTACCTCTCCATCAACGCGAAGGCGTACATCACAGAGGTCAACCTCGACGCGCCTCTCAACGCAACCGTGCCCTGGAACGCGACGGAGCATGGCAAGGTCGAGCGCATTCCGCGTATTCTCCACCAGACGTGGAAGACGGAGACCCTCCCGGAGAAGTGGGCAGACGTCTCTCAGGGCTGTCGGGATTTGATGCCGGATTAGTGCGTATCAGCTTTTGGCCCGCCGTGTTGTTTTGCTCACCTCCCCGCCTCTTCCAGCGAGTACATGCTATGGACTGACGCCAGCTCACGAGAGTTCATTTCCGAGAACTATCCTTGGTTCTTGGACACGTTCGACGGGTACAAGTACCCCATCCAACGCGCCGACGCCATCCGGTATTTCATACTTCACCACTATGGTGGTGTCTACCTAGACCTCGACATTGGATGTCTGCGTCCGCTCGACCCCCTCATGGTCTACCCCGTCATTCTCGCGAAGACCATCCCCGTGGGCGTGTCCAACGATCTCATGTTCTCGGAGCCACGACACCCGTTCATGGAGCAGATGATTCACGGCCTTATGGCGTTCGACCACAGCTGGGTCCTCAACTACCCCACCGTCATGTTCAGCACGGGCCCCATGTTCGTGTCTGCGCAGTACGGGCTGTATACTTCGACGCACCCGGCTACCCTTGCGCAGCCCGGCGGCGAGGTTCGCGTTCTGCCGAAAGCGCTCTACGGCAAGAATGCGAAGCCCGGTGAGGCGCCCCACTCGTTCTTCTCGCACTATTATGGGAGCAGCTGGCATGCAGACGACGCTGCCTTCATCGGTTTCCTCGGCAAATGGGGCAAGGGCCTCATGTGGGCGGGCCTGGTCGTCTTCATCCTCGGAGTGATCAGACTCGCACTTGCACCCACCGCGCGCCGTCGCAAGTATCGCCTCAGACGCATCGGTGGCTACGAGGTTATGATGCCCCGCTGGGTGCAACGGGATGGCCGATGGTATCTCGACCTCGGATGGTTCGGCCTGCCCGCGTCGGGCGCCACGACTCCGACGCAACCCGCCTCCCCCATCTCCCTCCCAAGCGAGACCTCCTCCGATGCTGACGAGGAAGACGTACAGCTGTTGCCGCTGTCTTTTGCGCCAAGGTCTTCGTCGCCCGCACCATCAGAAGCCTCATCAGCCATGGACTCGATGTCATCATCGTGGCAACGCCCAAGCGGCGGTTCCCCCCTCGACGTCGTCCGGCGCGCGAGTCGCCGTGTGATGACCTCCATCTTTGGCCGGCCAGACTCACCAGAGCTGCCTCCGTCGCGGCGCAGGCGCAGCCGGGGCGTGCTCTTCTTCCTCCCAGCCTTCCTCTCGACGTCCCCCGAGATCGAGCTTCCGCGCGGGCGCTCACGCTCGCGCTCCGTGCACCTTGCACCCTCAATCTCGCGGACGACCATACATCTGCCGCCGGAAAAACGGCAGTACGACGAGGAGTCGGGCGCCTACCTCCCTGCGCCGAGCGGCCCGCCACACGGGGGCCGGTCACACTCGACGGTGTCATCTTCATCCACGCTCTTGTGAGCGAGCGGGTCGCGCGCCCGGGCAGCCGCTGCGCGCAGTGTATCCATAATAGAGAAAACCAACGCTGAACGTGACCGCGCGTGTACACAGTACAGATTCATGGGGCTAGGGCTGGGGCACGGTGCCGGATACCCGTTACAGATTCAGACTTGTTGCTTTGGACTTTAATCTTGTGCCCGTCGTTGGTATCTTGATTCGCTTTCGTTTGCTGGCGCATGAACATTCCTTAGCAGGTACATTATCGAGTAGCATAACACCATTCCTATATCTATTTCATTGAATGCACCGCCTGCCTACGTCGATGCTCTGGACTTCCTCGCAGGCTTGAGGGATCTACGTCGCTCAGGGTTACTGACGTCCGTGTACGGTGTCCGCAACGTTCACTCTGGCGAAATATACATAGAATGGCCTGTCTGCATTGTGTGTATAACGGCAGTACAGCATCATGAGACGGTCTTTCTGGCGATAGACTTCGTGCCCATGGATAGCGCAAACATAGCCACTGCACCGACGGCGTATGTCACGGATGGTCCGAACGTCCAGTAGGACGCGCACGCTGCGGAGCATTCCAATATGCAATGTTCAGCCACATCGTACGGCATGCGATAGTAGGACCGGGAACGCACCTAGCAGGGGCCCGAGAGCCCGGCCAAGCTGGCCGGACGAGCGGAACTTGCCCAGGGCCTTGCCCTTCGCCAGCTCGGGGTGCTCCTCGACCGGCTTGCCCGTATCCTCGTCGACGCCCTCGTCGCACTGCAGCGACGCGTAGGACGTCAGCGAGTTCACGACCGTCGCGGAGGTGAACGCCAGACAGATCGCCGCGCCGCGCAGGAGCGTGACGGACGCGGACGTGCGCGTGTCGGCGAGGACGGGCACGGCGGACAGGAGTACCAGGCCGAGCGCGCAGCTTGAGATGCCACGGCGCGCCATGATGCCCTCGCCGACCTTGGGGATCGCGCGCCGCACGTAGCCGCCTTGTAGGAGGGCACTGACTACGCCAATCGACCCTATGAGCGCGCCGTTCTGCCTATTATTCCAATCGAAGACTGGGACGGAGGTTAGGAGTCGCTCGGCGTGGACGAAGGTAACCACGCACGGTCGAACGTGAGGAAGGTGAGTGTGAATTCGACACCAGAGAAAATACCCAGGAATAGAAAATGGAGCTTGCGCAGCGTCTTGAGCAGGCTTAGACGCTCCTCGACCGTGGCCGGCTTCTTGGTCACACTAATGGTCTTGGAGTGTACATCAAATCTTCCATTGGTGGGGTGGCTAGATTTTGCTTCCTTCGTATTACTTGCGATGTGTGCACGTTTTCCTCGTGTCTCAGGGAGTGCTACAATAAGGAAGATCGTCTCGAGAACAAGCAGAACGAGGGTAAGTAGCGCAGGTGTCGCGTAGACATTCAGCTCGATGCCAGAAGCGGTGAACGTAGGTGGTAGCGGGCGTGACGCAAAGTATGCACCAATAGGCGGCCCGATGCAGAAGCAAATCGCGAAAGCAATGCCAACATGAGCGAGGGCTTTGGCGCGCGTCGCGGGGCTGGAGACGTCGGATAGGATTGCACTGACACATACTCAATTAGCACAAGGACAGCGGTTGGGACGGTCGGAAACAGAGGCAAAACATACATCGCAAGTTGCACGTTTCCCTCACTCAGACCGCCCACAACTCGGGAGAGCATGTAGGAAGCGAAGGTGGTTGACTTGACCCATCTAGTGATTCTGCAGTCAGCGCGAGACTAGCCACAGAGTTTACGAGGCACCCACATCAGCGCAGACAGAATGTTGCCGATCATGGTTACGAGGAGCACTCGTTTACGCCCATACTTGTCACTCAGTGACCCGATGTACGGGGAGACGAACCTAGGGGATGCTATGAGCGAGACCATTCACGTCGTGCACGGCCGTAGCAATCGCACCATTGTAGCATTCTACGAGGATACATAGCTCAGCTTTACGATTCCCGCCGCGGAAGGCGTGTAAACACACTCACGAAAACACCGAGCCCATTAGACCACCTGTATCGACGTCGCTCCATGACCCGCAGTGGCACAGTGGTAGCAGTAAGGCTCACCGAGCAATACCACATCCCATCGTTGAGGGTTTGCAGTAGGCTTGTAGAGGAGCCCGCGGACGGATGAGACGAAATAGAGCGTGCGTGAAAGGAAGCCTGAGGGATCGGACGATTCCCGCTATGTCGCGCAACAGCATGAGCACAGAATGACATGTCGGTATGGTATAGCAAACTCACCTTGGTATACCACTCAATGATACGCGGGAACAAGGGCAAAGGGATGGTGAACGCTAAACGGATGTACACATGGTCACATCCCTGAGCACAGCGCCTTGAGGGCCGCACATACCAAATAGATCCAGCACCAGCGAGAGGAACACGACGCGCTCGACCTTAGGCATCCTGAACAATAATTGTCTCGACTCGCAGAGTCAACTGCGCCGGAAGGTGGAAAACGAAGGTGGAGGTGGGAATGATGATTCACTGAGTTGCTGGCGGTCGGTGGCACTGCGGCGTGTAAGTACCTCCAGGAGACCTCGATTAATGTCCGCCTCAATGATGGTTTCATGCCGGAGAAGACAAACTGCATCCGCAGCACGCGCTGGGCTAGACTCGTCTGTAGCATGTATGTCGTACACATCCTAGCTTGGAGCACCATAAACCTGATCGGAGCGAACGGTGCGGCATCGAGGGTCGTCCGCAATGTATTGGCAAGTACAATCTAATCAGACAACGACAATCTACATCTACATCAGCTTTCGTCCACCTCCTCCGGCGCTGCGACGTCCACCGCCGTTTTGTACTTCTGGTCTTCCGAGGCTAGCGTCAAGCTTGACTGGTAATGTGAGCTCGTTTCCGTCTTGGTGACCTCGCGCAAAGCCATGGTGGCATAAGCTGCCGTTCCGAGTTGCAAGTTGATTTGCAGTGCCATGAACTTCCCGTCCTCAACGACCATCGGTGGGTCGAAGCCTAGGAGCTTGTCTTCGTCTGCTTGTGCCAGTGCGACGTCTGGGTCAGTGTACCGCAAGACTGACCAGGAGAGCTCCTTCGGTAGGTGTAGGATCTTACGGTACGAGCCACCCAGGCTGTACTCCCTGCTCGACGTTTCATGAACGATGAATTATTGAATATGCATCAAGTCCACGCACCTCTGCTTGCGCTCCCAGTCATCCGGATCCAGCCCGTCCATGCGAAGGAACTCACGGTAACGCTCCCCGAGAGCGCCTCCAGGATATGCAACATCTCTGCCTGGTAAAGGCATGATCACGTCGAAGATAGAATAGTTGTCAACGTCTTCTGCTGTCAGTGTCTTGACTTTCGGCGGCTGCCAGGGCTTCCTGGCTCGTTTCTGCCGCTTGTCAGTGGATACCTCTTCTGCATGAACGACGAGTCAGCTTAGCAGACCCACCTCTGGTAGATGTACATACCATCTTCCTTCTCCTGCGTGGCCGCCTCACCCACTTCAAGCTCCTCTTCGTCCGGCTTCTCCGAGGGGTCGACCTCGAACACCAAGTCTCCAGGCACAGGCTTGTCCGCGCCGTGCATCTTGATACGCTCAGACACGATGGCGTTCCAGACATAGGATTGATACGCATGGACGTACATCAGACGGAGGTTCTTGGGGATCTATCATACGCTGGTCAGCGCGCCACCTGACTAAAATGACAGTTCGGCGACATACCGTAGACAGCGCGCCCATGGCATTGCGCGTCTCGCCGCCCTGTTTCTTGTAGCTCTCCAGGATGCAGCGCTCGGCGACGACGCGACGGGGCATGCATTGCAGGGCCCTCTCGAGGTCACCGTCGACGAGCCAGGCGTTGCGCGCTGAGACCACATCTGGGTGCTCCCCCGGTCGGTTGCGCAGGATGAGGTTGACGGCGCGGTGCCAGTCGGACTTCAGGAGCGCGAGGCCGATGGAATGTGTCGGGATAGACGCGGTACCAAAGCGCTGCATACCTGTGCGAGATGAATGAGAGAGACTCGGATGCGGTACAGGCTCAGCCTACCGTAATAGTTGATGAACCCCTTCGTCTTCATGATGTTCATCGCCCTGTCAAGTGTCTCCATCGAGTCGACTTGCACGTTCCTAAACCCCAATGAACATCCATGCGCAACCAAAACAGACTACATACCTCAGGGTGATGACGAACGCGTTGCCCTTCAGCATCCCCAGCTCCAGGCTCGCCTTCCGGTAGTTGAAGTCGGCGATCCTGATGCCCCGGTCGCCGCGCTTCGTCAGCGCGTCCTCTCGTGTCCGCCGCTGGGTGGAGTTGATGCCGCTCGCCATAGTCCACACGTCCTCTACTGTCTTGTTTCCTCTGCGGAGTGAGACGCGTTGTACTGTCACGCCGCGCTTGTCCTTCGTGCCGGCCACAGACAGATCCTTGGCGTTGACGTGCAAGACACGGGAGAGATGTGAGAGCGCGTCTTGCGTATCGCGGTTCGTCTTCTGCATGGTGAAGTGAATGTATGAAGGGTAACTCCCTCTCTCGGGCCTGTCTCCTCGAGCTTTGCCAATTATTGAGCGTCAACTTCGCTAGCAGGAAGGCGTGACTCACCCGACCTTCCACCACCTCGCCCTCCGCCTCTACCGCCACTCTTCGACCACTTGATCACAATCCGAGAGCCCTCGTCGGCCGCAGGGGCGCTCAGATCAGTCTCAGTGTCCAGTTTCCCCTCAAACAACTCTCGTATCGCTTTGTGCAGCCCGGTGCGCGTTTCCTTGGACGAGATAGGCTAAGTATCACCATGAAAGTCAGATCCCATTGACATGAAGCGGTAATGAACACGGCGAAACAGACATCGGTCAGCACTTTGCGATGATCCTCTCTCTTGCCGGGTCTACCACCTCTCCCTCCTCCTCTCCCTCCACGTCCTCCGCGCCCGCCTCTGCCGCGTCGTCCTTTACCTCTAGTAGGCTCTTCCATCGGCGGTTCTTCTACTGCTGGCGCCTCTTGATCGTCGGCTTTCTCGCCACCCTCAGCGAGCTTGGTTTGGCGTCCGCCCCAGCCGCTGTCACTGAGGAAAGGTGGTTCAGATCCTTCCAAAAATAGCCCTCTGATACGGGCTATGATGTCTTCGGAGAGGAAGGGAGACAGTGTGGTCGTGAATCGCTCAGGCCAAGGCTCGCCCTCCTTCGGCGGAATTGACGAGCCAGACGGTTCGGCCTGTGCGTCGCCAGACCCGGAGGCTTTCCCATTACCATCTTCTAATGCCGGCTCCTCTTTTGTCTCTTCTTTTGCGGCAGGAATTTCCGCTGTATCTGTGTTTGTTGTCCTTTCTGGATTGACAGCGTCGCCATCATTGGCCTCGTCTTTCTTTTTGGGAGAGGATTCCGGCTTGTCCAACGACTTGAGATGAATCACGTTGCTGTCCAAATCTACCTCATATACAAGGAAGTCCGTGAATCTGAGGCACGTAGGTCAGGGCTTGTATGCATGTCTTCCGAATGCCGAATCACACGCACCGTTGTTTGATAATCCCCTCGATCTTCGGGACGTCGTGGCCAATGTACTCCGAGATCCCGACGTCAGTCTCCATGATACGCTGGATGGACCCATCCGAGCAAACTTCAGGAGCAGGAACACCAAGCAGAGAGTGACTCGGAGGCAGCATGACTTCGTCTGCTTTCGCGCTCTCCGAGGATGGTTCCGCTACGGCGTTCGCGTCCTCCGCGTCTTCCGACGTGTCCATGGCAGCATCCTCAGCCAGTTCGTTTTCAACCTTCGTCCTCTTCGGCGAGCGTTCGAGGTCGTCGTCCTCTTCACGGGGACGGATTTTCGGTGAGGAAGACATAGTCGGAGTGAGAGCGCGCAAAATGGGCGCTTGCCGAGAGATCCTCAAGGTGATCGAGGTGAGATCGCCTGAGATCTGATCTCGACGACCTCTGCAGCCGCCTCCAAGTCCGCCGTCCCGACTCTCCTCCGCCCTCGGGCTCATCTGGTCCGTGAATACAACTGCTGTCTCTCATTCCAGTCTGACAGACATGTTAACAAACAGCCATACGCTGCTAAGAACCGCCCCAGTGCAGTCCACTGCCACGCCCGTGACCTATCATGCCTTCGGTACAAAAGCAAACATACGCCCAGAGGGCGTCGAAACACGCAAACCCTGCAGCGAAAGCATTGCTCGAGACCATTGAGCGCAAAAAGAGCAACCTATGCGTCAGCGTAGACGTCACCAAGCAAGCGGACTTCCTCAGGATCATCGACGTTGTGGGGCCGTACATCTGCCTTGTCAAGGTGAATGGACTGCTATGAGCGCGACTCCAGTGACCTGACTGGGTTTGTGTCATGAAAGACGCATATCGACGTGGTTGAGGACTTTGAGCCTTCTCTGATAGATCGCCTCAAGGAACTGAGCATGAAACACGACTTTCTCATCTTCGAGGACAGGAAGTTCGCCGACATCGGTATGTGCTCCCTCCATGCGCATCAATCCATTCACGCTCAGCCCCGGAACTCAGGCAACACCGTCGCTCTGCAGTACTCCTCCGGCGTCTACCGCATCTCCTCCTGGTCGCACATCACCAACGCGCACCCAGTTCCCGGGCCAGGCATCGTCACCGGGCTCGCCTCCGTCGGCCAGCCACTCGGGCGCGGGCTCCTGCTCCTCGCCGAGATGAGCACGAAGGGCAACCTCGCCACGGGTGCGTACACCGCGCAGGCGGTCGAGATCGCCCGCGCGCACCGCGACTTCGTCATCGGGTTCATCGCCATGCGCCGCATGTCGGAGGACAATGACGAGGACTTCTTGATCTTGACGCCTGGCGTGGGGCTGGACAGTAAAGGTGACGCGATGGGCCAGCAGTACAGGACGCCGAGGGAGGTGGTGTTTGAGAGCGGGTGCGATGTGATCATTGTTGGGAGGGGGATCTACGGGAAGGGCGGCGATGAGGAGGTAAAGGCGCAGGCAGAGAGATACCGCAAGGAGGGATGGGCAGCGTATGAAGAACGAATCCGGGCATGAAATTGGCCAGAGTCATATCCGTTGCAGTAGCTGAGCAAGACGTCAAAATAGTTGTATAGTACTGGTGCCTTGTATCCGTGACCAGAAGCCGGACTGCTTCGATATCCGTAGCATAGAAAACATGTATCAATTCTGCTACACTATCCAATTTGTTCTCTATCGATACATGGGATGAAATTTCCATTGACGAAACCTCGGCAACGTTGAGGATCAACTCGACGCTTCCACTTCACCGTTCTCTTCTGCTTTCCTTCGCTCCTCCTCTTCTTTGGCTTCCCGTTCTTCCGCCTCCACTACTTCAATGTCCAGCGGGTACGTCAATATGGCCGCAATGCCCGTTAGCTGGTTCAATTCTGTGACACATGATTGCACGTCAGTGTATGCGAACTGAGCGAGAACGATGAGCAGACTCACGCTGCCCAGACTCATGCATGCTTGAGAAGATCAAGACCTCACCGCCGCGTTGTCGGACGTTCTCCACGAGCCTGACATACTTCTTCCTCAGCTCCGCCTCACTCGCTCTGCATGCACAGTTCAACGATACAGTCTGTGCACAGGGATGGCAATGAACACACCGAAATAGCTCATCAGATATCAACAGTGTCCCGACGGCACCTCGGTCTACTGCAAGGGCGACATGGTCTGAGCCATACCAAGCACGCATCTCGTCTGTGCCTAACATCTTGAAGAACCTGGACAATTTCAGGTCAGTGACTCCTGAATATGAGTAATCGTCTGAACGTACTTGTCAAGCATAATACCCTCCCTCGCAAACTTCGTCTCCTTCAGCTGCGAGATGATCTGACGGAACAATGGTTAGTGAACACCCAGAGGTCCGAACATGCCCAACGTACTTCCGGACTCTTGAGCACTTCCACTAGACTGTGCACATGTGGGCTGTTCACATGCACCTTCAGGAACTTGTTCCGCGAGCCCATGAGGGGCTTGTTCCCAGTGCGACTGGCCTCCGCCATGATGTAGTCGAGAACGGCGTCGCGCACCCAGCCCGGAGACGCGATGACGATGGCGCGCAGTCCGGGGTTGGAATAGGGTATGTGCCGGAGGAATGATGCGTAGAGAGATGTGTAGAACTTGGTCAGGCCCTTCTCGTGCGCGGAGCTGCCGGTCGCGATCTTGCGCGGAATGGGGACTTCGAGGCGTTGGAGGATGACGGTCATGTGTTCGGAGAGGAGGCAGAAGATTGCGGTACCTGGGCCAGCACAGTCAGGGGAGATGCATCTATGTAGGCAGAGCAGTCACTGACCCTCCCCGCAGACCACAGCGGCGACTTCAGCGCCCCGCCCTGGGACACAGCTCTCTTGCACTCGACCAAGAGCAATGCTATCCCAGCCCCCTTCCTCCTTTACAATCCGCACGTCCCGATTCACCTCAACGTCGAGCGTATGGAATGCGCCCATCTTCACGTGCTGGTTCTCCTCCGCGACCTGCCCTGCGATCTGCAGCGACGCGGTCGCTTCGCCTCCGCCGCTCGAGGTATTCGCAGACGACGGGTCACCAGGGGCGGCTGCAGTAGCCGGGGACCAGGTAACGCGGGTGACGGCAAGGGTGAGATTCAGCCGGACGCGGTGCGACTCGGTCGACCCCGTTGCAGATACATTCTGCACTCGGCGGATGGCAGGTGCTCGGACACGGTCACCCTGGTGGGCCGTCAAAACACTGAGACCCATGATTATTCGCAGTATAGCTCACCGCCGAGATGAGGTTGTAGAGATGCCACATATCCTCGTCGTCCTCAGGACGCAGCGCAACATGGCCCTATGTGTGCATGAGCTCCTGTGGTGCGAGCAATCGTGGACTAAGCGCACGGACTGAGCGGTCTTTGTCGATATGTTTACCGATGAGCTTCATGGCGGCCTTGTGTTCGATGGATGACTGGGCAGCGCAGAGCAAGCTGCTTGCAGGTGAGTGGTGAGGAGGGATGGCAAGTGCTGAGCGCTGAGCGATGACATCGCTGCGATCGAAAGAGCCCCCCGAGCCATGCCCGAGGCGCGTACATCGACTGCCACATGAGGATCGCTTGGACGCGGACCTCGACCTGCCTCCGACTTACACCCCAGGCTCGTCAAAATCTGCTACCACCATGTCTACCACCGACGCCAAGATCAACACACTTACGTCCCGCATAACGCAGCAGTCGTCCGCGTCAAGGAGGGACGGCGATGACCACTCCGATCTCGACGACGAGGAGCTCTTCGCACAGCTGGAGGATGAGATCGAGAACGACTCGAACATCGAGCTCAGGGAGCAGGGGCTCCAGCGGTTGAAGGCAGAGTGAGGTGCTTCCACTGTCCTTCGAATCCACGATGACTTCCGTACGTACGTGCAACGTGCTGACGATCTGTTCCTCCTCGCCTAGGATGGAACGCCTGCAGCAGATGAAGTCGAGCGGGCACGGTCAATATCAAGAGATCGTGGATGAGAAGCAAGTCATTCGAGTCAGCGCGTACGTAACCTCTGTCTACGCTGCAAGGTCTGTCTGCTCACTTGCATGTAGCCAAGAGAAGCGATGCATCATCCACTTCTTCCACACCGACTTCAAGCGGTGTCAGATCATGGACAAACATCTCGCTGTGTGTCACCTCGAGTCTAACATGCACACATCTTTGCCTGACCGTATCATACAGACCCTCGCACCGAAATACTTCGGCACGCGGTTCCTCCGCGTATTCGTCGAGAACGTCCCGTGGCTCGTAGAGAAACTTGGCGTCAAAGTCCTGCCCTGCGTAGTCTGCTTCGTAAACGGAGTGGCGACGGATCGGCAAGTCATCCTCACTACGCTTGGCCGGGCACGTACTGATACAACCCAGCCTGATCGGTTTCGAAGACGTTGGCAATGATGATAAATTCGAGACGGCGACGCTGGAATGGCGTCTTCTGAATTGCGGTGAGTGTCAAGGTTTGAATGCCATGTCTCTCCGTTCATCATCTCGTTGTAGGGGTCTTGAAGAAAGAGCAGCAGGGCGGTTCATCGAACATCGTGTACGGCGCAACACCCAGTGTGCGACAGCACATTCGAGGACGGCAAGATGATGACTCTGACTTCGATATCGACGAATAATGTGTCCGTTAGACCTGATTCGTCGCATGTTCACTCAGTCTCAGGATTATGATAATGACATTGAATGGCTCTCGCAGGATGTGACACGACTCGGTGCATGGCATCAAGCCGCGAGCTTCATCGCGCACAGCAGTGAATAACGCATGACGCCAAAAACCCATTAATATGCTCTACGAGGTACACAATTACAGTGTGTTCTATGCCCATTTCCTGTTGCTTCTCGTATGTTCTTCTCATGACTGTTTCCACATCCCCTCCACTTCCGTTGCCCCTACGGGCACTGCCCGGAGCTCGCCACCCTGCTGCTTCGCGACCGACAGGTATTTCTTGTTTGCGGGGTCACTGGCGTCATCGAGAAAGATGAACTGGCGGAGGTGGCGAGAGAAGGTGAAAAAGATGATCGCGATGCACGCCGCTGACGCCGTACTGCCTGCAGGATGGGTCGAGGGTGCCCAGACGATGGTCTCAACGGCGGGGCAGCACCGTGAGATTGCCTGGGAGAGACCAGGGATGGCAGACTGGCAGTGCGGTGAGCATAGGTGCAGTGACAGGCATGACGTTATACTCACTGCATCGTAAGATTCATCGCGCATCTCGAGAAACTCCAATTTCGCCCACCGCCTGTTCATCGCGATGCGGTTGATGACCGATGCCATGCACATCGCTCCTGAGCGATCCGACGCAGGCGACAGTCGGAGGGCGCTGCGGCACAAGCTGAGACGCTTGACCGTGGAGCTGAAGGCAGCCAGCGCCTTCAGCGCCTCGCTCTCGACGTTGGGGTGGAGCTTGTTGAGGTCGATGCGCATGTGCGTGAGCGGCCTTGTCGGCGGCGACGCTGCCTGCAGCGACAGGAGCACGGGCGCGGGGGAGTCGAGCGTGCGCAGGCGGGGGACGACATCCGTGGGGAAGGGCATGTGCTGGTATGCGTTCCTCATCGGGGCCTCCGACGCTGGGGGCGAGCGGGTGCCCAGGTGGACGATGTCCTGTTGCCTGCGAAGGAAGTCGAGCATGTCCCACGAGACGATCGAGAGGTTCGTGCAGAAGAGCCGCAGCCTGCCGGTGACCTTGCGGAGGACCCAGCCGTCGGCCTCGCGGGAGGGTAGTCCGAGGAGGACGAGCTCGTCGAGGTTGGACATCGCGGCGAGGGCGTTCGCGACCATTTCGAGTCCAGCTCGTGTGGGCCGCACGTCTTCGAAGTCCATATCCAGCCTGCGCACCTGGCGGGCGATGGACTCGAACTCCGGCGAGGCGATGGTGCGGCAGAAGGCGAGCACTTGGATGCCGCGGACATAGACGTCGCCGGTGTGGTGGAAGCGCACACGCGGGAGGACGGCGTTGTCGACCTCGGAGACGAAGGAGTTGGGGTGGGCGGCCCTCTCGCTGTCGGAGAGAGCCAAGTGCGCAGGGCTCGGGAAGGAAGTGCTGAGCATTCTAGCGAAGTTGTGGATGTGAAGTAAACGTAAGTGTTCGTGAGTCGTGGTATGAGGAAGTATGGGGAAGCCATGGCCATATATATAGTGTTTGCGGAAACGGCGAAGGGCGGTCTGGCTCGCTCTGCGGGAGTGGAGTACAGGGGACGTCGGAGACGGCTGGGTGCGGAGACGGATACTCTCTGGGTCTGCCGCTCCACCAGATCTGGGATTCTACTCACTTGCCCGATCCGGCAGGCCACATTCCGCATTTGGCCGCCCTCGCCTAGACCGCGGCGGCTCTGGACGCCCACGGTCCGCGCGAGGCCCGCCAGGCGGATGGCTGAAGACCTGGCTGCCGCTGCAAGCCAGGCGACTCTCGGATGTCTACGTCTCGTCAGTACCAGCGGCGCCACCGACTTCTACAGGTGGCTCCCTTGCTTTGAATCACATTCGCACGAGACCAGGCTACCCCACAATTCACAAGTTCAAAGAGCGCCTTGGTGCAGGGCTGATATGATCGCCCACTGGCATATCCGTGCTTCTGTCGGTATGGCGCGGGGTCGAAGGCCTATGAAGCACCACACGGCCTCATGATGACCCCCATCTACTCATGCAGCCAAGGGAAGTTCGCCGATACATTGCCATGTACATAGTACAGTAGACTATGCCATGACGGCGCTCATTCCTCCCCGGGATTCTTGTACCGCCTAATCGCGCGCTTCCTCGCTTCGTCATGGTCCACCAACGGCCTGGGATATCCGAGCTTGTCCGCCAGACCCGGCGGCGGTTTGTGAAGCTCTACCCAGGTGCGGGTCAGATATTCTTCCGCTCAACACAACCATCCGAGCGGACCCTCACCTTCACCCCGTAGCTTCGCCAGTTCCGGTACGAAGGTACGGATGTACTCTCCCGTCGGATCGACCTGTGCGTCGAGGGATGTCGGATATGGATGCGCGAAGACGGGTGGCTACACACCTTGTGGCTCTGCGTATACGGGTTGAATATCCTGAAGTAGGGGGCGGGATCAACGCCAGTGCTGGCGCTCCACTGCCATCCGCCGTTGTTTGACGCAAGGTCACCGTCAATGAGGATCTCCATGAAGTACTACAGCCAGGTTCATCCCCGTCTTATTCATGCGGCTTGCATATGTACTTACCTTCTCTCCGAGTCGCCAGTCGATCATGAGATCCTTCGTCAGGTACATGGCGGCGATCATCCGCACGCGGTTGTGCATCCAGCCCATGGTCTTGGCCTGGAGCATTCCCGCGTCCACAATCGGCACACCCGTCCGGCCGTCTTTCCAGGCCTGCAAGTGGCCGTCGCGGGTCTCGGACTCCCACTTGACGTTGGCCATCTTCTCTTGGAATGGGCGGCCCATCGACACACGAGGGAAGAGCGCGAGGACGTGATTGTAGAAGTCGCGCCAAGCTATGCGACGAGACAATGGTTGGGATAAAAACATGCATACTATGCTCTTGACTCACCGATCTCCTGGTTCCAGCGACCGATGCCCGTGTCCCGACTGACGTCTATCTTCTTGTTGGCGGAGAGCTCAGTGGTGGCACGGACACATGTACGAGCGGATATGATACCGGCTGCCAGGTAGGGACTGCAAGATCACCTCAACCACCAGTCCTACATTGTCCTGAGCGACGCGACTCACCTCAGACGGCTAGTCGTGTCGGCGTCGAGCCTGTCCCTCTCATCCTTGTACTTGCCAACACGGCTGTCCTTGTTAGGATTCTTGGTAGGGACCTTGGCGCCCTCCGAGAGCGGATCTACGGCACCTAGCTGCGAGGAGCGCGACATGGTGTGGAGGAAGCGATCGAGCATCAGCCTCGCAGCTTCTTCTCCAGCGGGCCAGCACATCCGGATCCTCTCCCTTTCCTCGGCGTCGTCCATCGTGAAGCCTTCCACTTCATCGGGGACGGTGTTGTCGAAGAGCGGGCCGTACACGGGATGGTCCCGAACAGAGGGAGTGTTGCTCGCCGGATCGGGGGCGCAGGCGATCGGGCTGTCCTTCCCTTTAGGCGTCAAGTGCGGGATCCAGGAGCGCAGGAAAGGAGAGTAGACCTGCAGTACGGCGTCAGCAGCTACTCAGAAATTGCTGGTCCTGTGCTCGTACTGTGTAGCCTCTCTCATCCTTGGTGAGTACCTGACCGGGTGGGATAATGCATCTGTCATGGACAAAGGTGCAAGCGATCCCTCCGTCTTTCTTCGCCAGCTCGCACAGCTTGATGTCCCTCCGCAATTCGTCGACCTCATACTCGATGTTCGCGAAGAGCGTCGTTGCCTTCCACTGCTTCAGGAGGGACAGTACGTAATCCGGCAGAGTCGTCCGTGGAGTATGGGACGTCGTGTAGAGCGGGATGTGCTTATCAGCCAGAGAAGACTGGCGTGTAATATGTAAGTGGATGTTACTTGGGAGAACCGTGCACAGTGACGCGCGTACCCTTATAGACTGCAGGTTACGCAGAGTGAAGTCGATCCTGCGTGCGCTCCGGTCATGAGCAACGTAGTCCTGCGGACTCAAGACGAAGAGCGTGAGCAGAGGAACCCCATCCTGCTGAGCGTGCTTCGAGGCCAACGCAAGGGCTCTGTTATCCGTGACTATGCACGCGCGACACGAGATCAACAATCGGGACTCCAGGGACGTTCAACTACATACTCCGCAGGTCTTCCATCCTCATCCAGTACACGACAGCCTCCCCCTTCGCGGGGTGCTTGTTAGCATGCTTCATCGCATTCATGAGCTTAGCCAGCGGAGGGTCTCTGTCAACCTTCCCCGCCGTCTCTGCCGTCGCGATCTTATTGGGCAAGAACTTGGCGTCCTGACGCGTCTTCTTGGTCGGCGGCGGCACGGCAGCAGCTGAGCGCATGTTTGGGGAGAGACTGCGGGGTCGTTTAGGCATGGAGTGGAGAGTGGTGGGAAACGTGTCTGGAAGGGGGTGAGGTGGGGGATGCGAACCGGGCGGCAGCGGGGTCAGACAGCCGCGTCGGTGGCTGACGGGCGCGATCCCAAGTCTGTCTCGTCGGCTCATCGCGAAACACGTGACCGTTCCACCGAGCAGGCGGGCGAGCAGAAGCTGCAGAACGAACCTTCATCACTGTATCGGATGGCGCGTCTACGTCCTGAGACATCTGGATCATGTTCCTCGTTCAGTGTTCTTTGATTTCGTGCACTCAAACTACTATACACAGTTTATACGATATACTAGCGGCAGCGGTCAGCACTTCCACAGGACATCAGTCAGTCACTGAACGGCACTCACGTCGTAGCAGTTCGTGTCGCGGATCGCAAGTCCCAGTTAGTAGTTGACAGTATTTCCATACATTCCAATAAATAATGCAGCGTCCAACGACGTACTCGGTGAGGGGTAGCTCGTGATTACGACATCGCGAACGCCACGGCGAGCTGGCAGACAACGCCGAGGGCACCGCTTGCACGCCACACATCAAGCCTAGAGCCCGACGACGCGTCAACAGTGCCATTAGAGTAGATACCTCCTGTGGTGTTGCTTACGCTCGATTCTGCCGCTTGAAGTGCAAGCTGCGATGCCTCAGGTCAATACTCGGCGGGTGCGGAGGTATGTGGGATCACTGACCAAGGCGAAATGGCCACCAACGACCGGGCGAGCGCGGAACTGGTACACCTCGCCGTTCGTAGTGTAGTAGAGATCGCTGAGGGGTGCGTTGTTCTCTCCGTCGGCGGCATATGCGTTGAGGGCGCTGATGAACGTGTCCCTGACTGTCGTGTCTGTCACGATGCCGGCCGTGTAGGTCTGCCAGTCTGTGGGATACGAGGAATGGGTGTTAACGTCTGGAAGGGCACACATTTGCCACGCGACTCGCCTGTCTTGGTGTACGTGTGCCTGTTATGCTGTTAGATAGTGCACACTACAATTGCGGAACAAGACGTACCGCGTGTCCAGAGGCACACCATATTGAGCTATTCAAAACACGTCAGTATTTTGCTGTCAATCAGACAATAAGTTCTGTGCTTCGCACCTTCTACAGTTGTGTACCATGCCGTCTCTGTGGAAAGTGAGACAATCTAACAATTCGTAGGATATGTAGGCACTCACGCATCTCATACACCGACTCCGGAATAAGGTTCAGCTTCAGAAGCTTGTCGGCCCACATGTTGTAGGTAAGGCCCCAGCTGTAACAGGCTATGTGAGCATATCACCGAGACGGAAGCTGATTGTACCAACCTTGAGTCGTTGTTGTACTGACGCAATTTATAAGTCAAATTAAACGGCATGATTGTAGGGACGACTCACGTTGAGTGTCAAGTGTTTTCCATCTGACGATGTCGCGAAGCCCTGCCACTGTGTGACATATGACGACGCGATTGACTATATCATATACACGTCAGATATGCCGAAGACACATCATTCCACAAGCAGCGACAACTTACGGTGTAGTTGGAGCTCTCGTCGCTGTTGCCAACGAGGTTTGCCAATTCCGCCATCGCCCGGATACCGATGATACCCTTGATAGCGAGGTTCGTCTGGTTGGCGAGCGAACCGGCGAAGTCATCAGTACTGATCTGGTTCGCCGGGATGAGCGCTTCCTGGATGAGGTATTGCGTCCACTGGTCGAGGAGCTTGTACTGCACAGAGGGAGATTAAGCCAACTTAAGCATACCAAGGTCAGCGATGCTTACGTATGAAGTGATCAACGAGGTGTCGCTGGCTGCCTGGACGTAGCTCAGAGTCATGATGAGCATGTTGCCGCTCTCTTCGAGTGGCATCGGCTCGTCGTTGCCTGTGAACCTCGGTCACGAACGTCTACCACCAACAACAACCTCCTTACCGTCATTATGTCCCGTCGCGTTCGGGTAGTGTGCGCCTGTGGGGGTGATAAATTGGTATATTTCTAGCTAAGATGACGTGAGAGCGACGAACCCATATCGTGGACTGACCATCCGTTCGGGTACTGTCCAGTTGCCTGGTACTCGAATAGAGGCAGGAGGAGGTATTTCCCGATCGCAGGGTTCGTGTACAAGAAGATGGGCCAAGAGGGGTAGATGACATCGACCGTGTTGACATTCTGTAGACCGATCTGTGAGGCAGAGGCTATATCCTGCACACATCGCCACTTACCCCGTCGCTCGAGATTTCTACCGAGAAAGCAATATATCAGATATGGATATGGGGCCACGAACATTGAACTCACCCTTCATGAATGTCAAAATGTCAGATGTGTTGAAATTGCCAGAGCTGTCCTTCGAGATCGTGAACTCAATGGCACCGAATGCCTGGCGCACAGACAGCGCGACCCATTCAGCGTAGTCAGACGAGATGCTGGACGCGTCTGAGCTGATCTGCGCATCAAAGGCATTCGCCCTAGCAAGCGCGTTCTCGTAGTCTCCCAAGAATGTCGACAACTATTTTGAGAAATCAGTGAGACGAGGCGAATGTGAACAGCGCGACACATACCACATCCGTCACCGACGAGAATCGGCTCCAGAAGTATAGGTTCCGCTGCTGGATCTGATTATCCGCGATGATGTATTGAATCGCAGGGTCGCGGACATGGCCGATAGCGTATACGACGGTAGCAGAGGTCCCAGAGACGGTGCCGAGGTCGTGCGCCAGAGCGAAGACGGGCCACTCGTCCGAAACAGCACGGAAGCTCGTGTCCTGCGAGTTCGCGAGTACACCCTTGTTGATGAACTGCGCACGGACGACTATGTCCTGACCAGTCTGGTGGGTAACGCCATTGGTCTGGAAGAGATCGGTCAGCAAGCAAGCTCGACATTGTACATGTTGTCTAGAGATACGTACGTTGAGGGTTGCGTAATATGCGGATCCCTCTGTGATGCTCATCAGAATGACAGGCCGACAAAGCGGCTATTGCAAAGCTCACGTTGAGTGTGGTCGTTGATCTCGCCGAACTCGGTCTGATCCTCAAGTTGTACTTGATGGAAAATTGTATCACCAGTCGTTGTGGACCAGTTCGCCGTGAGGGAGTCATCGCCAGTTACCCACTCTGCACTGATGTCTGAGTACACAGACACGCTGTGCGAGCTGCCGTCATTAGAAGCTGCAGACAAAGCCAGGTACGAGAAAGGAATAGATTGGTTCAGCAGATCGCTCGGCTGACGGGTGGCATGATCAGGGTCGGATGAACAAATTCACGGCGAAGATGTGTTTACCTCCACAGGGCTAAGGAAGGTGACGGTCAGGTCGATCCCTCCTGCTGTCAATACGAAAGTACTTTGAGTGCTAGTAAACTGCAACAGTGTGAACATCAGAAGTCTACCATATCAAGCAAGCCTTACCTCTGCACTCTTCTGTGTAGCCTTCGAGAAGGTTGCGCCAGATACAGCTGGATCGCCGAGGAAGCTATAGGATGAGCCATCCACGTTCACGAAGCCCGCCCATCCAAGTGTCTAGATTTCAAAATATGAGTACGCAGGGCACATATATGCGGATGTTACGAAGGCATACAGAACCGGTCCAGAATTGAGGCCAAGCCCCATTCAAGGCCGTACCGCTTCCTTGAGGAAGCCATGCAGAGAGGTACGGAGAACGGACTGCAAGGGGATAAGAAGGGGGACTGAACGGCGTCGCGGTCCAGCTCAGCGCTGAGCTGACAGCGGGCAGCAATAAGGCGGCACCCAGGACCAACAGGCGCATCGTTACAGCAAAGTTGGGATGAATGACGAAAGACGTCCGCGCTGTCAACCTTATATCCTGCTGAGTGGAAGGTAGGTTTGACAGCGCCGGTTGTGACATCGATCATGGGACTAGTGTGAACCTGTGTGGCATGCGTATCCACCGATCGACTCATGCGGTGAATTGCTGCCTTCCGGTGACGAGACCGCCTCCAGGCTCACGGGGTTCCCTGTAAGGACGAGGCATGGTCCAGGGGTAAGTATAACCTTCCAAAGAACAAACCAGAAGACGGACTGCACCAGATAGGCAGAGCACATGCGTGTGCAGCAGGTTGTGTGAGAGGATTGCTACCCCGGTGAACGGGCGGCCCGCCTGGAGAGTGGACGGAATGTGTCCGACACGTGAGGCAACAGCCGGTTCGATGACAGACATTTCATGTCCCTCGGCAGATGGCAACAAAATGACAGCCCGGTTTTGGCCCGGTAACCGGTTGCACATTGCTCACAGCAAAGTAGTACCCCAGTAGTAGCACCGTCAGGCAGGCTGAGAGTCAGACTGAGGCCTGTGTGGGCCCGGCGGATCGACGATTCTCAGTGCGGCCCTCGGAATCCGCTGTTACACGCAACTGTCAACGAGCAATCATGGGGCTCGCCGTTTCACCCGGTACAACCTATGTGCGCCGATCAGTCTCCTCCATTGCTTAGCATTATACTACACAGCCACCTACGCATCATGATGCCAAGGGCCGAAAGACGGGGTGTACTTTAGTGGTACATGACAGAATCTTGAAGTTGAACGGCGCGTCGGCCCTACGTGCTTGGGGCGCTCGTTCAACATCAATTAGTTGGCGAAACAGGTTTTATACGCAGAAAATTAGGCGTATGGGCTTACTGTACCGAGTTCGATGTGTGAGCACCGATGTGGCCGCGGTGACACGCCAGTTGTGCACACCGATGCAGGTCGGACGAAGGCCGGTTAGAAGTTAGTCGAGACTTGACAGCAATGCCAAAGTGCTCCGTCGGCGTTGGGTGCATCTTGAGACGCTCGAACCAAACAGAAACACACAACGCGGTCGCGATCAAGACGCGCTTGTATTGACGCGTCACGACGCGTCCCGGGTAGAGACGCCCAGCCGTTGTTCTTGGCTGCCTTGTCCTTCTGCGTTCGAAGCCGTTGTCGCTCTATCTCCGTGTAGGAAGGGTACAACTCGTTGCGCATACAAGAGATCGAAGTGCTTGATATGGCGGGAAGTCCGCCCGAGTACATTGTCCTTGGCAACGCGAGGAACATTGCATTGCACTAAAACAGCACTCCTTGTGGGTCCATGTTGCTACCCTCGCCCAAATAGGCAAAATCCTTGCTCTTGTACTTTGCGCCTGCGGTATAAAAGGGCTCGAATGAGTCGATGGCAGACCAGCTCCAGCGTGAGTATCCGACCACTCGTCTGCGACGAGTTCACCGCTTCAAGCCGCACTCCTTCACGTCACGCTTCCCTCTCCTGCACAACATGTCTTGCCAAATCGGTGGCCCATCCTCATCACTCTTCTCTACGCCCTCCACTACGTCCAACCCGTTCGCTCTGGTTGCGACCTCCCATTCTCCGCGCGAATCGTTCGCGATGTACGAAGACCTCTGGCGGCTGCTGCGCCCAGTGGCATCAAACGAACAGACCGCACCCGCGCGAAAGCGCAGGAACAGCCTACCCTCGGGCGTGACAGGATGGAAGCGGATGCTCTGGCTATAAAGCGTCATATGCCTTGGTGCGTGCTGTTGTGAGGTCACGGTTGTGCCCCGCTAAACGAGTCTGATAGCAACGCAGACATCTTGCTAGGCTCGAAGCTTGAAGCTTGATGGATGACGGGTCTCATAACGAACCCAAACGATACGACAGCCACTTCCAAAAACAAAACACGCTCGCCTCTGAGCAACTGCATCCACATCGATACGTGGCAGATACCACTGCATTGTCCGGACATTTCCCCTCCCCCAACGGCCACTGGAACAGGACCCTTCACCATACTCTGTACTTGTATACAGGAACATTACCTATCCTTAATCTTGGAACGACTCTTACGATTCTGTACATACGAGACATGACTTACCTCTTGGGTTATATGCATTTCACGGCTTCATCTGACGCATCTGCATGATCGAGTCTTCAAATGTTCAAAAATGCGCGAATGCTAACGTCCATACAACCTACTAAATAATGGAGGCATAAATAAACGACATGGCGGTCAACGTTCCTGTGGCGGGGAGTGGCTTGCAGGGCAGAGGGAGCCCTACAAGGAGAGGTGGAGCAGTACCATCACCAGTGCAGGCATACAGATCGTGCTGAGGATAGTCCGCGGGTCCCGGATGCTCATCGCAGAGGAATGAGTGGTGGTACTGGTAGAAGATGCAGTCGCAGTTGTTGGTGACGTCACCGTGGAAGTCGCCCCAAGGGTAATGCTCGCGCCGGTTGTACTGGAGTTGGAAGCCGAGGCGACGAGCTACGACCGACACACGCGCGAGTCAGCACACACAACAACACAGCGAGGACGCGCGGGAAGAACGCACGAGCGCGAGATGGCCACCGACAACCGGCCGTGCCCTGAACGGCTGGCAGCTGTTCCCCGTGCTGCACTGCGCCTTACCCGTTGCAGTGTCGTACCAATCAGAAGCGGGGAGGCTGTTCAGGCTGGACGCGAGGTACTTGTGCACGTAGTTGATCAACTGGTTCCTGGCGGAGGTGGTCGTCATGATCGCGGCGGCCCATATCTCCCAGTCTGATGTGCAACGATGCGGCATTAGTACGGAGCCATGGCTCAGCATAAGATGGAATGGCGTGCTTACTGCTCAGAGTGTATGTGTTACTGTATCAAAGGAGACAGCATCAGACGGCTGCCCAACATGCGAAGGATCGAAGGCGTACCGAGTATCCAGAGGCACGCCATACGTGTCTGCGTGCGGTCAGCAAACTTGTCAGTGAGACGATACTCATCTGAGACTTACTCTCGACGGATGTGTACCACTGCGTCTCTGAATAACAAAACGTAGATTAGCAGCGATAACCCCTATGCGGAGCGTGGACACGAACGCATGTCGTAGACAGAGCTGGGGACGATGTTGGTACCCAAAAGCTGATCGGCGTACAAGTTGTACGCGATACCCCAGCTACATCGGACAGTCAGCTCGGGGTCTCACCATATGTTTCGCCATGAAATCAGGGTGCTATACTCACCTCGAGGAGTTGCCATACTGTGTCAACGTTGGTCAGAACGCCGCAAGATAAGGCTATGAGGCACCGTACCTGCAGTGTGAGGTGCATCCCATCCGATGTCGTCGCCATCTGCTGCCACTTCTGCACGTACGAAGATGCGATTGACTGCTGCCCCATTAGCACCGTATACGACACCAGTCAAATACCACAACGCACATTGTAATTCGAGTTCGCAGAGGAGTCGCCCACCAGACTCGCGATCTCCGCCATAGCCTTGATACCGATGATGCCCTTGAGGGCGAGGTCGGTCTGGTTGACCAGCGAGCCCGCAAAGGCATCTGAGCTTAGCTGGGAGGCTGGTTCGAGTGTGTTTGAGACGAGGTACTGGGCCCACTGGTCGAGCAGGTTGTACTGGAGACACAAGGGGTGAGAGAAGGACGAACTCGAAAGGAGAATGACGGACGTATGTCGTGATAAGCGACTTGTCGCCAGTCTTCTGAGTGTAGCTCAATGTCATGATGAGCATGTTGCCACTCTCTGGTTGCCACTCGGTCAGACCATGTCTGCAGCATTTTCCAAAATTACTCGCCTTCGATAGGCATCTGAGTGTCATTGCCTGAGTGAGCGTCGTCAGTGCAATACTTTAGACTGCGACAGTTGATGATAGCGCACCCTTTGGATACCCAGGAGCGCTCGGGTACGCAGGGCCTATCATTGTATCAAAGCGTCAGCACGCGTATATCATAGTTTTCGCACAAGAGCCACGAACCCAAGTCATGGCAAGCCCACTTGTTCGGATATTGCCCAGTTGCTTGGTACTCGAGCAGCGGAAGTAGTAGCGCCTTACCAATGGCGGCATTCGTATAAAGGACTAGCGGCCATGCAGGGTAGATCACGTCCGTGGTACTGATTGACTGCGACGAATGAGTGAGTCTAAGTGTCTGAATTATTCTTTCTGCAGCACTGACCTCTGAGCTGCTCATTGCTACCGACGACCAGAAGATCAGGGTAAGTCATTGGCGAAGCATAGAGATAACGTACCCTTGACGAACGCCATGACATCAGAAGTATTCCCCGGGGTGTACGTGAACTCAATTGCACCGAAAGTTTGTCTTATAGAGAGCGCGACAATGTCCGAGTAGTTGCTAGAGATCGCCGACGTGTCCTTGTTGACCTCCGCGTCAAGCGCGTCCGCCCGGCTCAGCGCGTTGCTGTAGTCCTTGACGAATGCCGTGATCTTCGCAAGACGTCAGAACGACTCGAGCTATGTCACCACCACACTTACAGCGTCGTTGATTGACGAGAATTGACTTAGGTACAGCGAGCTCCGAGACTGCATTGTGCCACCGGATGTCACATAGTTGATAGCAGGATCCCGGGCATGCCCCACAGCGAACACGACCGCGTCCGACTGGCCAGAAATATTGCCAAGGTCATGAGCAAAGGCGAAACACGGCCAATTGTTGTTGATAGCGCGGAAGTTAGTGTCTTGCGTGTTCAGCAGAGTGCCGTTCTTGATAAACTGAGCACGCAGGACGATGTCCTGGCCAGTTTGCCAGGTCGTGTTTGACGACTATGACAAGATCAGCGAAGCGTTCCCAAATTTATTTCAGATGACACATACGCTGAGAGACGAGTAGTATGCCGCTCCGTCTGCGTCACAATTAGACCAGTGGCTGAGAGGGCTGTGACAAACGGACTCACACTGAATACGGTCGCCACTATCGGCGAACAACGTCTGGTTCTGCAGTTGAGCCTGGTGGATGATCACGTCGCCCGTGGTCGTTGTCCAGTTCACCTTCTGGCTGTCAGTTCCAGATACCCACTCAGCGCTGATATCCGAGTACACTTGGACAGAATGCGATTTGCCATCCGTAGGTGCTGCATTAACTGCCATGTATGAGAATGGCATGGACTGGTTGACGAGGCTCGAAGGCTAGAGTGTCAAGCGTGAACTTTACGGAACTGAAGGATAGCTCGATGAATCGATACCTCAACTGGGCTCAAGAATGTCACTGTTAGTTGCACAGGCCCAGCGGTCATGACGAAGACGCTTTGTGTCGATGTCCACTAGTAGCCGTCAGTCTCGTGCTGACATGTAAACTCAGGACTTGTACACACCGACAGGCTAGCCTGTGTGGCTCTCTTGAAAGTGGTATTGGCTACTGCAGGAGCTCCCAGGAAGTTATACGAGACGCCATCGACGTTCACGAAACCCGCCCATCCAAGTGTCTGCAAGTGTCGCTTGAATCACTTCACCATGGTCAAGATATAATCGTACGCACATCACCGTTCCAGAATTGAGGCCAAGCAGCACTGAGCGCGGATCCCGAACCTGCGCCTTGGGACAGCCATGCCGATGAATATGGAGAACGAACAGCAAGAGGGACAGAAGGAGGATTGAAGGGCGTTGCCTTCCAAGCTATTGAGCCATGAGTATAACCGACACAAACCAAGAGAATGACTAGAAAGCTGAAGAGACCAAACATCGTGCCAATGAAGGAACCCACGTACGGGGAAAAGGGGAAGCAGTCTACAGCACCGCGTCAGCCATATATCGCGCCGACAACGTGCAGATCAGTTTTCAGGCATCCTGCGTGAAGGGGATACACCGCTCTGTCATGATGATGAGATGTTCTGGAACGGTGTATCCTTAATGCAACGGTCACGAATGACCCAAAATTACGCAGGGGAGAGTCGCATATTGACAGATCGCAACAAACTGAGCGTCTAGCAGCTTGGCATTTGACGGTCGTGCCTCTCAGGCTGTGCGGAGGTCCAGGCGAAGGTAAACACGTATAACAGAGACGAACAGGGCCTTTATTCTGGTAAGAGGTGAGCGGGCCCATTGAATATCATGTCACGTAGCGCGACACTCAACTCTTCAGCGGTACACATAAGTATAAGAGGAGACGACCTCGACAATGGACACAGCATCGTGGTGACGGCACAGCGGAACCTTGACAGGAACGGTGGGCGGCGCGACCTCGATCAGATTCCCAATAAGCGCCCATCTCACACGGTTCACGTGAATGAATTCGAACACCACTCGAATTTGATGACAATGACCTGGATCAGAGCACCAAGCGGTTGAACTGGCAGGAGATAGCAAGTGAACACAGCGATTGAGCTGCAGATAACAAAGAGGACAGACAACATGCAGAGCGAAGACGAAAACATGTGAGAGAACATGGAACGCAGAGCATCAGTCACGACCCAACCCCCTCCTGACCGCATCCGTCAGATCCCACTGGTCCGTGTCTCCAGTGACATCGAACATGTTCACGCCCAACATCCCCACACCCTGCGCGAAGTTCGCCTTCATGCCCAGCGAGAGCGGGTCATCGTAGGTCACCACCTGTTCCGCCGCGCCCGAGCGCAAGAACGGCGTGCTCGAGCACTCGTCCCACTCCCTCATGAACCCGCTCCAGCCATCGTACAGACTGTCAATCTCCTTGGTGTTCGCGAAGAAGCGCGTCGGCGCACTGCTTCCGCCCAAGGCAGTGTCTTCCGGCTGGCCTTCGTACGGTTCCTGCGGCGCGTACTGCAGTATGCCCTGCAGCACGAGCCCGCGGAACTGCACCTGCCCATCGGCCGCACTTCCGTCATCGTTCGTGGCCATAATCGCTGGCGGCGTCATCTCGGGAGCACTAGCGCCGTCAGACACATCCTCGGACATCCCTCCCGAACTGTTACTGGGCGAGCCCGCCGTGTCCGAGTCCGAGTCTGCCTCCGTCCACTGCACGAGCGACGATCGAGTGCGGTGCCGGTTTCGCAGACGCCGGCCATGCGAGCGCCGCCGAAGCGTCGGGCGCGATCGTTGGCGGAGGTGCGTCGCGGTCGATTGGGAGATGTATCCGTACGAGGGCACCCCGAGGACGAGTTGGTTCACGGGGAAACCTGCGGAAGTCCATGCCCTTACGGCAGCGGCCGCGCTCGCCACGGGCTGCGTCGAGTTGTGGCACGCGTCGCTGAGGGGCGCGTTGGGCCCGGGGGTCTTCGATGCTAGGTGGGCGCGTGTCAAGATCAGTGTGCTCTCTATTCGGTTTGTGAGGAGAGAAGTGGGATTGTGTACGTACAACCCCACGCGTCGTAGTTCATGATCAGTACCCAGTCGAGCACCTGTGCAAATGCGGAGACGTCACCGAGAGGGTTGCCGCTCGCGTCGGCGAAGGGCACGGTCTGCACGGCCGCGCTCATCTTCGCATCAGAGGGGAGTGTGGCTCGTAGAAGCTGCAGAAACGACAGGAAATTGGACGTATCGTCGGGAGAGACCACGTTCCCATCGTTTCCTCCTTGCCCAGGGTACTCCCAGTCTATGTCGACTCCATCCAAATCAAACGCATCATAGAACGCACGAATATTGCTCGCAAATGTCTGCCTGCTCGCTGCATCTGACACCGCCGGGGAGAAGTATCTGTTCGCGCATCCATCAGCGCATCCAATCGACCCAACACCCGTCGCGCGACCGAAAGACGTACTGGCTGCCCGTCCACCCACCCACACTGAGTTTCACCTTCTTCCCGCTATCATGCGCCACAGTCACCAGCCGCTCGAGCAGGTCCGGCGCCGCGTCCGAGCCGTCCCACGTCAGGTTGTAGCTCTGGTCTGGCACCGCGAACGCAAAGTCAATCCAGTCGAACCTGCCGAAGTCGATCTTCTCGGGCGGGAACGCGGGCGCCGCCCAGTCCGGGTAGTAGCCCATGACGAGCGGCGTCGGCGCGCTGCTTGGTGAGGCCGCGGAGGATCCTTGAGTGCTTGCGGTGGGCGAAGGTGCGAGGGTGCTCGTCGTGCTCGTCGTCGCATTCAAGACTGATATTGAGCTGGGAGTGCCAGCGGCCGAACTAGACTCAATGGAGGTAGACGAAGCCTGCACAGTAGACGATGTCGACGACGACGCGGATTGCGCACCATCCGGCGGAAGGAAGAATATCGCCTCAGGATTTGAGCCCGAGGCCATCGTAGCGCCAGGATCGGGAGCTGCAGAACTCGAAAAGGACGTCCCATCGGGAGAGCTTGATGACTGAACTGTGGTGGCTGACGAATCTGCGGTAGAGAAGAATGTGGAGGCCTGTGCCCCGGTCATAAGGAGCGTCGAGGTGAGCGTTTCCGTGACGACCAGGTTGTCTTGTACAGAATCCCCGGGCCCCGCGAAGTCCCAGGGTACGCACAAGACTAGGCTCGGAAGCGCGAGAAGGGCGACAGGTATAGATCGTCGGAAGTACATCGCAAGGTCGCAAGAGGGCGTCAGTCAATGACGATGTGAGAGCGGGGCGTACGAGAGCGAAGGGAAGCAAAGGACCTGCCCGAAGAAAGGAGCCAAACTGGATAGTCCGCTGGAGGGCTGACCCCCTTCGCGCATACATGGCGCATCCAGCGTTGCGAACGCAACTGCGACTGATGATAGCGCTCGTCAGCCACGAAGGGCCGAGATCCAGGCCACATGAACGCTTGAGCGAGATCGTTTCGAAGTGGCCCGACCTTGTGCTTCCATCCTGGTCGGCGCGGGTTGCTTCCGCTTCCGTTCTTGTCTCATCTGCGCGAAGTGCATAGGTAATCCAGGGCACCGAGGGGACGGCGCTGTCCCGAAGGTAGATACCTATCCGGAACATGTGGTCCTGAACAACCTGCCGGAGAAGAGCTAGCTGAGCGGGATGTCACGTTAGGTAGGCATAAGTTATTAGACAAGCACGCACGACCGCTGTCGACCCGATGCTAGACAATATCGTCGCACTCTGTCTAGGACTCCGGGCGCAACAAACGCTTCATGTCCGCCCTGAGGCTGGGCGTGGATCACAGTCGACAGGCAAAAACTGCACCGCTGTATTTCCGAGACAATATGAGGGTTATGAAGCCAAAGAAGCGCAATCAATCAAACGAACTTCCACACACTTACTATGTACAGGGGCCCGCCGCGTTCCTGCGTTTTTTTTTTTTTTTTTTTTTTTTTTTGGATGGCCATCTCGGGTTATCGCAGCTGACAATTGGTCAGTCCGATGAACCCGGCCGTTCAGCAGGTCTCCCCGCTATTTTGTCCAGGGTTAAAATGCATTTACGCACGACCAAGTGATGGTCAGTGTGGGGCTCTGTTTCGGTAACGTCGATCATTGCTGATCTGCTACGTCAATACCCACTAAAACCCAGTTTAGCATTGTCCAGTCTTCCGGCAATGCGAGCTCGTCTCGGAGCGTGTTCTGCCATGTGCCTAGGACTTCGTTCCGCTTCAGGGCCTTCCTTCCGAACCTCCTGTGCGTCATCGCCATATCGAGGTGCAGTCTTTCGTTAACCACTCGAATCCACCTCGATCTTATGGCGGCCTTCGTTGGGCACCAGTCTATGTCGTCGCTATGTGCTATCACCCTCTCGCATCTTAGCTTCCAGATGAGGAAAGCCGCTTCTGTTACCAGGATGCGCCATAATCGTTCCGCTCGGGGTCGGCGTTTCATGCTTCCGGACTCATGCGTCCATGTCCGCGATCCTACGGTGAGTATGTCTTCTATTACTGGCTTAGACCATTTGAGCTTCTTTTTCTCCCATAGGTTGCCGGTCATTGCCCAGATGAGCTTCTGGCCCGGGGCTTTGCATTTCGTCAGGATGTGGTCCATGGAGTCGGTCACACCGCATATTTGGCACGTCCCTCTCTCTTCGTATCCGGGGATGGTCTCCCAGAACGCTCCACACTTATGTGCGTTGTGCGTGCACTTCCATAGGAAGTCGGCGATGTTCCGCCTTATGTCCCGGTGTCGTATTCCTCTCCATACGTCTTCCGCTTCTAGGTTCATTCCAAGTTGTCCTTGTGCGTGTTCTGTTATCTTTGTTATGTTCCTTTGTGTTGACTGTCTTGTCTCGGTTTTCTTCCGTTCTCGTATGTGTTGGTATGCTAATTTTTGCGTCAACACTGATAGGCGTACCCCGGTGACTTGGAAGGCTGGGTTCAGGCTGGTGTCTGTTTGTGTCTGGGTGTTTTGGTTCTGACGGGCGAGGCGGGCTTCTTTTCTGGCTACAGTGATTGCTTTCACGTCTTCTCTTGTGTTGGCTTTGCGGATTGTTGTCGGCGCTCCTCTTTGTCTCAAGGTGTTTACTAGGGCCATTAGTGGGCCTTTGTTAACTTTGTTCAGCCATCCTATGTCCTCTGTCTTGCCTAGTTTTTCGATCAGTTCTGTCGTTAGATAGTCCGTTTCGCCTACTATCCTGAGTGGCACGTCTGTTGGGGTTGTCCTTACTGCTTGCAGTGCCGCTGACGTTTCGGCCCACGTCTTCTTATCTGGCCTCTCCTCTATTTCGGCGTATACTAATTGGTTTCTTACATCGTTAGGAGTGAAGAATAGGAATCCTTTGCCATCGCTCTGGGGTTTCTTCCGGCGGGCCGTGTGCTCGCTCGTTATGGTTGGTGCGTCTATAACGTACGCTGTTATGGCTTCGAGGGGGGTTGACTGGGTTCGATTAGTTCTTTCGGCAGGTGCGTTTATTAGGGTGTCTTCTTCGACGAAGACTCGCATCGCTTCTGATACACCTCCTCTTGTTGTGATGGATGGGTCGAAGATGGCTTCTCCACCCTCTTGGAGTGCTGTCTCGTTGTGTTCCTTTCGCTTGGTTGTGAGTGTTAGGCCGTCTTGGGGGGGCTCTCTATGCGGGTTCCATTTTTCGCTGAGGTTACTTAGGATTCTTCCGGCTGCTTCTAGGCATCTCGCCGGTTGTCTACATCCCCTCTCTTTCGCGTCCGCGCATGTCTGGCATGTGCAGTCTTCGTTCGTTCCGTTGTGTCCACTGCTCATTGGTGGGTGATTCAACACTTTCACTAGGTCCGCTATTATTCTCACTCCATGGTTCTCTCTTAGGCAGTTACTGAGGTGGGTGTTGTTCAGTCGCTTTAATTGCTTATTTGCGCTGATGTGGTACCACGCTGGCAGTTGCATCTTAACCGGTTTACTTAGCTTGATTGCCGCGAAGCAGGCGTTGTGTTTCTTTGCTGTGTTTAGTAGACGTTTGAGGTACGTTGGTAGGGGTGGTTTTGACTGGGTTGAGGGCCTCCAGTCCTGGAGGAAAGTGTTGATTTGGGCGTTTCGCTTTATGGCTCCTGCGTCTTGGGTCACTCTTATTGCAAGGATTACGTCTACTAGGAAGGCCCAACGTGGTCTGTCGCTTGTCAATGTTAGGTAACGCCTCAGCCATATGAGGTCTATTGCCTCATTTCTCGCCTCGATGTCTAGGATACCGAGGCCGCCTTCGTTGGTGGGGCGGCATAGCGTTCCCATATTCACTGGGGATCTTCCGTCCGAGTCCCAGATGAATTGCCTTATCATCTTGGTGAGTGCTCTTTCTATCTCTTTGGGCATTCCTTGTACCTCAGTGAGGTATTGCGTTATTCCGCCCGGTCCCATCTGCACTATGTGCCGTTTTCCTTTCATGGTTGGGTGGCATCTCTTCCAGCGCTCGAGGAACGTGCTTACTTTATGTAGGGTGGGGGCCCATATGGCGGCTTGGTCCGTCCTGTTCCCTATCCATGCTCCTAGCATGCGCACTGGTTCGCCGTCTTCGGCGATGTGAACGAAGTCCGGTATCTTCTGGTCGGTCGTGTTATCGTCCAGCTGTCTCGTGGTGGCTACTGACTTGCGGTACTCTGTCGTTCCTACTGGGACTATCTCAGTCTTTTCTTTGTTGAATCGTGCCCCTGATATTTCGCACCATTGGTCTAGGATCGTCCAAAGGTCGCTCCATTTGTCATTCTTTGATAGGAACGTTGATGTGTCGTCTGCGAAGAGCGATGCTACTAATTTTTCTGCTACGCCAGGTATCCGGAATCCTTGCAGGTTCGAGGCTCGTATTGCGTCGGCTAGGGGCTCGATTGCTAGATCGAAGAGTAGGCAGGAGAGTGGGTCTCCTTGTCTTACCCCGCGGGTTACTTTGAAAGGTGAGCTGCTTTCTCCGTTAATTATCACTATCGTTGTTGCGTTTTGGTAGAGGTTCTTGACCCATTGGATGAATTTCGTTGGAAGTCCCATTGCTTCTAGGGTTGCCCACAAGTATTCGTGCAGGACTTTGTCGTAGGCCTTTTCCTGGTCTAAGGCGACGATTACCCCGTTCTCTTCGGTTGCTTCAGCGTAATCTACCATTGTCCGACATAGTTGGGTCTGGTCTGATATTTTCCTGCCTGGCATGAAGCCCGCTTGGTCGTTATGGATGATGCTTGAGGCGACCGGTGCGAGGCGCGTTGCTAAGATTCTTGTGTATAGCTTGTAGTCCGTGTTTAGGAGGGTGATCGGTCTGTAATTTGCGATGTCTCGACGGTCTTTCTTTTTGTATATCGGGCACATCCAGCCCTCGGTGAATTTGCTCTTGTCATCGATTCCGAATTTATTCATATCTCCGTATAGGATCTTCAGGAGTTCTAGGACATTGAAGGGTTCGGATTCCTCATCTGCGCTTGCATGAAGCTTCTGCAGGGTTATCCAGAATTCGTACGGTAGACCATCGAGGCCCGAGGCTTTCCCGGTATGTGTTTTGGATAGGGCGTTTGCGATACACTGTTCTGTGATTTGTTCTGTTAGGTCTTGGAGTTCTGGTCCCATCTCTGGGGGTTTTGCTTTTGCTCGTATGTCGTTTATTCTCGTGACTCGCTCATCTCGGGTAATGTTGCTAATTCCTTTTGTTTGTAGATCGTTGTGATATCCTCTTGCCAGTTCGGCCATCTTGTCTGATCGTGTCTCGTATTCTGGGGGGTCTTTGGATGGGTGCTTTAGGTTGTATATGACGTCTCTGGGTCTCTTCTCTCTATTGACATTTGCCCAGTATCTAGATACAGATTCGTCGTTTATTGCATATGCTGCAGTCGTTGCTGTTCGGACGGCGTGGTACCTCTTTCGTTCAAGCTCCGTTATTCTATCCTGGAGGATTGCGGTCTCTGTCTGTTTTGACTCGTTGGATGTGAAGTCGTCTGATGATTGGATGGCGGTTAGCTGTACCGTAAGTTTCTGTATTGCAGCTTTTATTTTGGGTGTTTTTGTCTTCATGATGTTCCTTGCTAGTTCCGTGACTTGCTTCTTGAAGAGACTGTATACTCTTTGCGGGTTCTCTTCTTCGGACCTGTCTTTCGCTAGTTCACATTTATGTGCTCGCTCTAGGGCCATCTTCCCTAGTTCAATCGTCTTAGTGATGAAGTTTTGGTCGTTAAGTATTTGTATTGGCAATGTCCATCTCCCTTTTCCTATGTGTGGTGCTCGTGGTACGCTAAGCATTGCTGATACCAGCTTATGGTCTGTTGGTACCCCGGTGGTGGAGATTTTCCATTCGTATGAGGCTTTCGCGATGTTCTCAGGGACGTATATTCGGTCGATTCGGGAGCGCGATATTGAGGCTCTTTGTGGGAATGAATATTCTTTCGCGTGTGGTTCTGCTAATCTCCAGCCGTCACATAGTTCTGCTCTCTGAATTAGGCTTTGTAGGTTCTCTACGGCCGTCGTGTTGTCTGGCCTGGGCGGGAGTCTGTCCAGGGTATCCTCGACTATATTGAAGTCGCCTAGTAAGGCGTCGACCTTCCCTTTGTTCGCCAGTAGTGGATCTTCTTGTAGTTTAGTCCAGAAGGCCGCGTTTTGCCCCATGTCGTTTGGGGCATACACGTTTATTATTGTAATTGTTGTGTCACCATGCCATCGCATTTGGATGCTTATGGCTCGCCCAGGCCATATCTCTCTGACGGTTGGGTTGGATATGTCTACCAGTTCCCTGTTGAGTACGAAGGCTACTCCCTGGGAGTTTGTGCTGTCGCCGGCTTGTGAGTTGTATATCCTTAGTCTACGGCCGTATAGGCGATGTATGTCGGCTATTGTCTGGTCGTCTAAGTGGGTCTCTTGTACAGCTAGTATACCGATGCGTTGCTCTCTCATTAGCTGGTTGATTGTGTTCCATTTGTTATTGCTTGTTCCGGCTAGGTTTCCTCTCCCGTTTATGTTCAGTGATCCTATGTTTACCGCCGCCTTGGTGTGTCGACCCTTGTTTTTCTTTTTATGTTGAGCTACGGCAGGTTGCGCCGTGTTATTGCTGACCCGGCCCTTAGCTATCGGTGTGGTACTGGGAGTACCGCTAGGGGTCGCCCTGTCTCCGTTTCCCTCTGGAGGGTCACTCAACGCCTCGCGGGCAGGGGACACGTTTCGTTGTCTCCTCCGGAGGGGCTCAGAACCGTTTGCCAATGATCCAACCGTATGTGTTTGTTCTCTTTGTAGTTGCGCCGTTGCTAATCAGTCCCGGCGCTACAACGATCCGCGCCGGGTGGGGACTGCTCCTGAGTCCCTCAGGGGACATGTCTCTTGTCCTTTGGGACGATCGACTTGGGCTTCTCAGCCAAGGGGAAGTCTATTAGTCCCCTTATATGTGCACTTTGGTGGATACTGACGGCGCGACCGGCTTTCCTGTCCTACAGGATGTAGTCAGTATATGTGGGCGCGTTCGCGTCGTCAGCATTTGCTATATGAATTGTTTATTAGTATCTCTGGCCAGGGTGTTTACCGGGATGGTGATTGGTTTCTTGTCTCTCGGGGTTGTGTCGCTTATGTTAAGATCGTAGCTGATTATGTTCTTGTACAGAGTTCTCCCCGCGTTTGTCAAGAAGGTTTGTTTTATTGCGCGTATATCGCGGTGTCTACGACGGAAGTTCGTCGGTGTGCATGTCAAGTATGTACGTTTTGAAGGTGCTATGGTACGTGTGGATCATGGGGGGCGGAGGTGCGACGGGACATGAGCTGACGAGGCGTCCGAGCGGGTGCGAGCAGACTAGAGTACGTCTGTCGCAGAGTATATAACAGTCAAGATATGCGTATTTATCAAGAGATTTACGAGGCGTGTCGTTTGAGGTTGTCCAGGGTACCTAGTAGCCGCTCTCGTACCTTCCCCTCTTACCGTTTCCTCCGCGGCCACGGCCTCGTCCTCGCCCGTGACCTCCGCCTCGACCTCCCCCGCGTCCTCCGCGATCGTGGTGGTAGTCTCCCCTACTCGGCCCCGGCTCGCCGCCAGGGCGAGGGGCGTTGGTGTCGTGCCAGCCGGGTATCTTCGGGAGTTGGCACAGCCCGGTGGGGTGGTCGATGGAGTGACAGTAGGTACACAACATCTCATCGAGGAAGGGGACGGGTGCGCCGGCGAGGTCGCTTCCGAAGTTAACGGACCGGAGCTCCTTGCAGAAGACCTTCCACTTCTCCGTATCGTAGGTAGGTGACTCACAGTAGAGACGGACGATGGGGTCGGGCCTGCCTTCGCCGTGGGATAGCGGGAGCTCGTCGGCGTGGATGGTGCTGAGCCACGTGTAGTAGGCGTCCTCGAGTGTGTGTGCACTCCAATGGCCGCCCTCGGAGATGTCGTTAGCGAGGTAGGAGACGACCAGGGATTGCAGGGCGTCGCCTTGGAAAGCGCGTAGGAAAACTCCGGTGTAGTTCTTATCCTTCGCTCCAAACCTACTAGCGTATCTCCACGCGCCCGCGTACTGCGGGTTGTCTGCGGTGAGGGGGCGACAGTTGATCGTACCTTCCGCGGTATCGAGCCATTCCTGGCTCAGTATCTTGTTACAGTCGCGTAGGGATACTTCGTGAAGGAGGAGCCAATAGGGGGCTTTGTTACGCTTCCCGGTTCTAAGGACGGCTACGGGGGGCGTAATGACGAAGCGATGGACGTTCAGGTAGTCTTTTATCATCTTCGTGATGTTTTCGACCTTACCCGCCGTCTCGGCCTCGTCCGCTCCGCAGCCTGGCATCTGGATCAAGGCCGTCGGTTGCGTTCTGGCGATGTCGGCCCAAGCCTCGTGCTGTTTCTTCATCATGTTCTCGGTCCAGGCGAAGGCGTCCCGGCCGTGCACTGCCGGCCAGTTGTTCGCGGGCCTTCGCGTGGCGGCCGTGGGCCCACGGATGGTGATGAAGTTGAGTATACGCGGCGCCGGCGTCGGTTGTGGCTGGTGTTGGCCGCTAGGTCCGGGGCCTGATGGCTCGTGTTGCGGGGGTTGCTGGCTGCGCATAGAGGCCGAAGAGGACGTTCTGGACGACTGTCCTTCAGCTATGTTTCCCCTCGTGACGGTGTGAAGGGCTGGGATGGGTGGTACATTACTAGTCGTCGCCGGGTACCGAGTGAAGCGTAGGTCGCGTAGGTTGGTCGGCGTGGGCGACTGCGGCGTTGCCTGGAGGACGTTACTACGGAAGGCGGGAGGGAGGTACGTCGTCGCGTTTGGTTGGGATGGGTTTCGTACGATGGAGGTCGGTGTCTGCGGGTCGGCGACGGCGGTGTTTGTCGGAGCGACTATGGTCTGCGCGAAGAAGAGGGGCGGGGCCGGGGCCAGTTGGTCGACCTCCATCGCGGATTCGATGTTGTCGTCGTGGACGACCATCTCGGTGTCGAGGTCGACGTAGCTGAGCCCTCCGTCGCTGTAGTAGCCATCGGCGGGCGGAGGGCTTAGGCTAGTTAGGTCCGCAGTCAGGTTTGCTAGGTGACTTATCTGGTTTGGCGTGTCGCGTTCAGCATCCTGCCTCCTATCCGTGGTACCCGCCTCATCCTCGTCGCCTAGATCCACCGTCGTTCTCCTTCTCTTCTTCCCCAGTTCGGCATCGGCTCTCGCCTCTTCTTCGACTGGGCCTTTAGCGGGCTCGACCGGGAGGGGTGGGGGACCTACCCCGACCGCCGCTCCTTGGTCCTTCTGCTTCTCCTGTTTGTTCTTCTTCTTTTTGTGCTTTACGCGGTCCTTCTCTGAGGTCGTCTTGGTGACTGGTCGGGTTATGGGGTTTTGTTGAGGTCCTGAGGGACGATACTCATGCTCATAGTGTACGTACCTTCCTCCTTACGTCCTCCGGCTTCCGTTCCCTCGGTCGTCGGCGCTTTACTTCCGTCGGCGGCCATTGTGGACTGGGTCTGGGTTGGTGGCTCGCTTAGGTCACGGTGGGCTGGCTGGGAGGGTAGCGGTACTCACGTTCGTCACGACCTCGGTCGACGTCAACGTTTCGGGCGTCACGTTGATGAAGGTGAGGGGCGTCGCCGTCGTAGGTCTCCACGGGTTCTCGTGTGGGTTAAGAGTTGGGGTGTTCCCGCCTTGGGTGGTCGACAGCGGCTCGACTTGGTCGGGCACGACGACGGTTACTTGGGTGGGAGGAGACGGTAGAGTCGTTTCGTCCTGTGTGGGCATTGGGGGCGATGGGGCGGGCAGTGAGGGCGCGGCGTAAAGGGGCGCTCGTGGTTTTGTGAGTTCGCGCGTCTTGTTCGGCCGGATTGTGGCTGACCTGTCTCTCGCTGGGCGGGCCTCTGAGGAATGTTAAGGTCCCGTTTGGAGTTGGCTCGTGGGTTAGTGTCTCTTCAAGAGGTGTGATTAGTTCCAAGTACGTGCGTGTTTGGCGTTTTCGCGTCCCGGGTTCCGATCTTCTACCTTGTGGCGGTTCTGCTTGTGTATTTAATTAATTTGGGACGCGTTCTCGCGTCCGTGTCGGCGTGTACGTTGGTGGTTGGGTTACGTGCACCTATCATGGGCAGGCGTCCGTTGTTCTAGGGAGGGTCTCGCTTGCTACTGCGGTGGTTTCTGTCAGTATGCATGTTGTCTTGAGGATCATCGTGCGTGGGTGGCTTGACGTGTGCGGATACGTTGTGGTAGTTTCCTCCTCGGTCGGTGTCGCGTGAGTATCTCGCCTCGTTATTTGGCGCCTGCTTGGTTTTTGTCTCTCTTTTAGGAAGGTGGTAGGTTTTACTCTCTATATCGGCTCGATCTTGGGCGCTCTTTTGTTTGCTTCGGGTCCTGCGTTCGATGTGGACTCGATGACGTGTTTCTAGAAGTGGGGGTCCTTGTGGTTGGTGTGATGGTTTGTTCGCTCGTGTCCGATCTGTATTTACACTCCTTATTTGGTTATATCTAAGATCCCGGCCAGCCTCCGTGTCCTCCTCAGCTTGTCTTGTAGTCCCTGTGTTTCGCGGGGGTCGAGGTCAAATTCGTACGGGTTGTCATGTGGGTTTGCGAAGGAGGGGCGGTCCGTGAAGGTATTATGTGGGGGAGGATGATCGGCGAGGGTGGCGTAGTATGTTGTGTGGACGAATCGGTCGAGCTTTGCTAGGTGGCACCAGGGGATCGGCGCTCTAAGCTTGGCTCTCCGGGGTCCTCCTGTTAGGAGCATTGTCACCCAATGCTTCGTGATATCGGTTACGACCGATATTCTGCCGGAGCTAATCACGTTTCCCCGAGATTTCAGCGTGATAATATGCCCGTTCGTCAAGGGCTTTATTGGTTCGTCTTGTATCGTCCATACGAGTTCTGAGCCTCTCTCGCTCCCCTGCCTACTCCCCTGCCTGCCTCTCGGTGAGTCTTCCACCTCGACTTCGTAGGTTGTGCATTTATTTGTTAGGTGTGGGGCGACTGCGGGTTTGTCAGGAGGTCTCTGTGTGGGGGGGAACGTGACGGTCGTTACCATTGTTTGGTGGCAGTTGGTCGTTCTTTTGGAGTTCGAAGGTGAGGTACATGGTTTTGGTGGGCGACTGGTGTTGGCTCACCTTTAAAACGTCTCAATCGTGAATACGTGCGTGACGTTTTTCGTTTTATTTTAGGGCGGTTATCAGGGATTTATTTGCGCAACTCGCTTCCGTTCAGCCACAGACTTCAGACGAGGGGCATTTGCAGAAATTTCTGGTAGCAGTCCGTTGTGGTGATCAAGTTCTGGCTGCTTGTATCTGCTCTCACTCTTTATAAACCGCTTGTTTCGGTTATCTCAGCTCGGTTATCATTTCTTTATATTGTCCCATCAGCGGCTAGTCTTGGCCGGGCCGGGTTGTATTGATTCGTTCCTGATGGTTCCGGGATCTGGGCTATGGCGCTTAGTGTGGTGCTCGTGATTTCCGGGTACTTCTCGGGCCGATTTCATGTGGTACGATTTTGGTGAGGACGTGTTCATTATTGTGTTCGATGAGCTCGAGGTCTACTCTCTGTCTGGAGGTTCGAGCTTATTGGCTCTGTTGTCCTGGTTTGGACTGGGGAGTTCCCGTATGTATGTTTGGTTTAACTGTATTACTACCGGGGTGTTCGGTATGCGGCTTGTTTGCTCGCTTAGGCTTTGGTGGGCCTTGGTCGTCGCCGCTGGTTTCGCGGACGAGACCTTTCAGCGCATGTTCGTTTCACCTCGTAGAGGTTACTTACCCCCCGGGGCCACGAGAAGGCCTGCGCCGGACTCGACAGTGTCGAGCCCTCCCGGGGGCGCGTTCCTGCGTTCAATCACCGAGCTGCCAGTGTCGCGTCAACTTTGATCTGCAGTTGACACAGGCCCGGACCGAGTCTATGTGGCGTTCCCCTACTCTCGTCCGGCACATTGCCATGCGTGATGTTCCCACTACGGGTACAGCTTCGATGTGCAGCACTCATACCTAGACCACAATGGACGGCGACACGATGTTTCAGCTACCCCGGTCCTATAAAACATATGGGGGCGCGCACCGCTCGACCAGCGGGCCAATCCCTGAGCGGAACAGTTGCGTCCAAATTGGGAGCGGAGGATCAGGGCGTGGACAGATGTTGAGTTGAGTACGGGGATGTTGGCCTGGAAAGGAAGGAGCGGCGGTCGGGACGTCGGGACGAGGTAACTGACAGAAGAAGGTGAGCTCGGTGTGCAGGCTGACAGGTCCGTATGCAGCTTAGATGCGTCGCTGATTTCTGCCCCGAGGAGGTCCTTCGATCATGGCTGCACGATCGCAGGGACGTTGCGAGGTAGACCGCAATCAATCAATCAATTGAAGAGACATGGGTGGCGTCCAATCGTCCAACGCCACACTTCTGTCATTCGTCTGGGAGAAGTGCGCTCGATGCAGCACTACATATCATACGCCGAGCGGTAGATCTCTTCTCTTTAGGGACGTGTCAAGGAGATGAATACCCCGTCGCCTGCGCAAAACGCGCATCGCACGAGGTGATTGACGTGAAATCCCCCAACACAAAACTGAGCGGCAAATCCACCGCTCGGCGTCGGCGTAAGCGAGGACATACGCCCAACCTATTGTTGCGTGACAACGGCGTGCCACGGAAGATCTGCGCCACGCAAACGATATGTAAAAAGACGGTAAGAGACCTGTCCCGTGAATTTTGAAGCGGTTCCAAAGGGGCGAAGAAGTAGAGAAGCACGACGAGACAAGGATTGGACGGGGCACGGAAGGCTATTGTCTTCCACATTCGGCGAGGATCTCAATCAAGCCCAGCGCGGTGGACTGATGCTGAGAACGGCATGTCTTCTCCATTTGGTCACACGGCTGCCTTTATGGGCGCGAAGACGGGACAAGTCACGACGAATACAATTCGGAACGACAGGGTTCGATGCATGAGGTGAAACGCTGGCGCTCCTCGGGCTCGTCGTGTTCGGGCTGCCGAGATGGGCAAGAGGCGCGTCGGTAAGAAGCACTCACCGCCGCATCCATTAGTCAAGCCGACGCGAGGCGGGCAGCCCTCCCCCTTCGAAGCTTCGCGCAGGACATGAGGCGGGTGAAGAGACGCGGGGTCGGCGCGAGGCGACACGATTATCGGGCGGACCGGAGGCGTCGAGTCATGTCGGTGGCGGGGCGGAACACATCGCCGGGCTGAGTTCGATGGCAGCGCGAACGCGGGCGCCACGATCAATATTGTAGCGGGTTAGTGAGAAAGGGCCGACCGCAGCGGGCGGCCGCACAAGGGCCGCGTTGCCGGCAGCGCACAGGATGGCAGGTGTTGTGCGGCGAGAGTCTCGCGCGCATGCCCCGGTGTTGCGAGGGAATGCTGCAGGGAGGCGCGACAGGTGGCGGGGTGGGTGGCTGGCCTGGGGAGGGATCCGGACGGGACGGAGAGCGCGGGCTGGAGCGGCAGGACGATCTGGGCGGGAATCTGGATCGGACCGCCAGATTGGTCGGCTTCGCTGCCCGATCCGCGCGCCTCTCGCGCGTCGCGTCTCATTAGGGTCACGTGTGCGCGGCGGGCTGTGGTTGGCTGGGGGGAGGCGCCGGCACTGGAGAGGGAGAGTGTCCGCGGTGGGTGGCCGATCGGCGAGACGCCTGTCTGCGCCTCACTTGCCACAATGGATCACAACCCACGGGCCATGTCTATAAAGCACCCGCCTCCCTTCCCCCCTCCTCGTCCCTCCGCCGCCCAGCTCTCCCACCATGTCCACTGCTCTCTCTCCGCCCCCTCGCATCCCCTCGCCCCAGTACATGTCCTCGCCCCTCCCGTCCCCCCGCCCCGACCTCCCCCGCCGCTCCTCCCGCAACCGCCTCCACCTCCCCGCCCATCCCGAGGAGCCCCCCATTCCGCCGCGCCTCATTGGCTCGCCCCTCCTCAGGCAGATGACGGTCAGGCCCGACCAGCCGCACCTCCTCAGCTACAAGGCCCAGTCCGAGCTGTGGATTGACGGCGATGAGTTTGGCACGCGCAGGACAGAGAGCACACAGACGTCCCCAGCTACGTCCTCTTCCTCTCCCGTCTCGCCCAGACGGCCCGGGCACCGGCGCACGCCCTCGATCGTTCTCTCGCCGCCGCAGACGCGCTCGCGCTCGCCTCCCCCAAGCCCTATGCCATCTGCGCCGCCGCCGCCAGTGCCGCCCATCCCCTCGTCCGCATTCGCGACGCCAGGAGCCAAGCGTGCGACCCTGCGCTCGCCGCCCACAGGTTACTCGCAGGTGCACATTCCGAACATCGATCACTCATCGCCGCTGGCGCCCGCCTCCCAGCCAATTCGCAACAGGTGGGCTCGCAAAGCAGCTTCTGTTGGCGGCGTGCATTGAGCTCAAGCCATTGGCAGCTCGCCCTTCGGGCCGGACTCGGGCACGTCGTAACGCCACGACATATGCATGCCTTCATTCCATCCTCTCGCTCGACGCGGCCGCTGTATGTATCTCTCAGCCGCAGTCTCGCAGCCACCCCCTCATACGCCGCCCCCGTCCACCCGCTGGCGAGCCAGCCACCCTGCGTGGCTCGGAGGCGCCGCCTGAACCCATCATCGACGTCACCGCTGGCTCATCGTCGTCAGGCATGCTCTCGCTCTGCTGATAGGAGCGTCACGCCTTCGCACTAGGACGTGGACGACGGCAGGCCTAGGGAGGACCACTACGCCGCGTCGGTTGCACCCCGTGTACTGTAAACCTTGTGTACTCCTGACAAGCGCCCCCTTTCTTTGCCATACTGCCGGGCTCTCTCAGAGACTCTCACGCCTTGTTCTCCTTTCGCATACTGTAGATTCCCCTTTCTTACTCTGGTCCCGCAGCGCATCCGTCTGCACTATCGCATCCGCGCTTCCCGATGTCTCTCTTCGGTCTCCCGTGCGCTATGCTCCGTCCACGTTCGTTGATGTCGATACTATACTCTACTCCCGCCGCCGCCCCGCTTTCCGCACTGCTCTCCGCCCGCATCGCTCAGCTAATCGCCTCGTCCCCATTACGCATCATCACTCGTTCCTCCCTGGGTTTCACTCTCCATTCATCACAAGGTGATCCGCATCGGTATTTAAGGACTTTACTCTCTTTCGGCCGTAGGATAGCCTCGGCGGACGTTGTAGTACTGCGTCTCAGTACGTACTCGCCCGCGTAATCGTCGTGTGTAGCATACGTTGTACTAGGTATGGTTGCCAGTCTTGTGCAGCCGTGTATTCTGATACAGTAACCTCTTATAATGAATGGGCATTTGCAACGTATCCGCACCTCCGAGTCCTTATATGTGGTGGGAAGACCTTGGCGGTTCGAGAACTCGTGCGTTGCACTGCTCCTTGACGTCCTGCTTCTCCGCCATGAAGCTCGAGCTCCTTTCCCCATGTTGTCAAAGGTCCGCGATTCCCGCCATGTCCCTCTGCATCCGCAACCTTAGGCCTACGCTGCGCCCTTCACACGACCATCCCCGAACCTTCACGTGTACAGGCATGGACGTCCATTCGGTGACAAGACCACGGCATCCCACTGCCACATCCGGCGCACCCACCCCAGATCCAACCTCCCGGCGACTAGCGGAATGTACTTAGAGGCATCTCGCAGCCGTGCTGGCGGAACGACGTCCGCGCCAACATGTCCCGCGAGCTTGGTCGCGCACTTAGTGCTGGCCAGTCACGCTCTCGTCCTGAGCTCGTCCGCGAATCTTCAATCGACGCCAGGATGCGGGGGCGTGCCGCACCTAGAACGAGCACGCCGGGGAAGATGGAAGATGGCCGCTGTCGCCACCGGATCCTCGGGCGGATGCGCCCCTGAAGTGCGTCCCCGGTACGCGGTGAGGCATTGCGGCTCAACATGAGCTTGCGTGCTTTGATCTTGACGAGTACTCGGCGTGGTGCAGCTGATTGCAATCGACAGTCAGACTCAGGGCAGGCCTGGGCGTACCCAAATGCTAATCGCATTGAGCCTGGAGCCTGCGCCACAGCGTCGAAGGTTGGTCGACGTTGATCCAATATCGTTTGGAGCCTTCTGAGATCCAAGTAGTGTGCCGATCTCGTCCACCCCGCCCGTGCTCCCTGCCTTCGGGCCCGGCGCCATACTGTATCGCTAAAACAATATGTAATTAGTAACGCGCGCCCTTCGATGCAAGGATTGCAAAGCTGAGTCGCGCAAGGACCGAGCAAGGCGGCGCAGCGCGCAGCCAGACCCTATTCCGCACCGTTAGCTGAATCGGCTTCTGCTTCTGCAGCTAGCCCATCACGCTCGGCCACAGCATCCGTTTCCCCCGCAGCGAGAAGGACCCTTGTGTGGGCCACGGACCCTGCAGCGTCAAGGTTGGATGACCAATTAGCTGGCCCGCCCAGGGCGTCCTTGTCGCTCGAGCTGAGCGACATAACGCCGGCTGAGAACGCGATCAGAGAAGCGGCTGGTCCACAGTGTCAGCGTGATCAGTGGTCAGTGGGTCCGCAGTGGTCTCTAATCGCGCACGAGCGATCCGCCATCGCAATACACATGCGCGCGTTATCCCCGTGTTGCACGGCCTCGACACACCGCTGCTCAGTCTCGAACGCCGCGACCAGTCAGTCCCGAGTACAGGAGCACCGAACCTCAACAGAGGGCATGCGCAGCTACTCACTAGCACATATACGATCGCGGGTCCCTCTGACCCACTAACATCGAAATTGATAGCGTGCCAGCCAATCGGACACGCTAGTCCGTAAGTCCGCATATTGGGCAGCCCCCTGTCGGGCGAGGCACTGCTAGCCTTGGTCAACGCTCGCTAGCTCGCGGTGGCCAGCCAGAAGAAGCGTGTCTCGGCGAGCCAAGGGCTGCTTGAGGGCCTGAGATGCGGTCTGTGGGAAGGCGAGAAGGCCGGGAGGGATCGGAGGCACCGGGAACGGCTTCGGACCGCGTGGTCAACCCACTAAACGCGATCTCGAGTGCTCGAGAGAGAAAGGGATCGGCGCATGATACTAGAGGGTCGGACGTACCGGTGTACGAGGTAGACGCTGGTCCGCGAAGCCAGTAGCGATGTTAGACTGGATGACGAGCCTAGGAAAGAGCAAACGGGCCGAGGGCACACGGCAGCGTTAGTGATGTGACCAACATGAAATGAACAGTGGATAGATGATATACGATACGATCTTGACAAAAGAGCAATACGAGAGCGTGATGAGCGTGACCATGAACATAGTATGAATACAGCTGTGAGAGGGAGCAAATAAGAATAAGTTAGATGCGTATGAACCGAGGAGCAGCAGATGCCGGGTCTAAGGAAAGGGATCGTACCGTGTACACTAGTGGACCGTCGCCGGATCCGTCATCATCATGCGAATACAGACACATCCTGTCCTGTCCGTCCAAGCAATGTCCCAACTATGGGTCCGTCATAGTCCCATCCTCTCCGCCAACGTCCGATCCGTGCTGTCGAATGACGGTAGGTTGTTCTGTCCCCGCCCACTCCGGCGGCCTCCCCCTCCTCCACCGGATCGTCCCCCACCATTCCTACGGGACGTCCGGTCTCGCTCGCGGTCACGCTCCCGCTCGCGGTTCTTCTCGCGATCTTTGTCTCGCTCTCTGTCGCGGACTCGGTCCTTGTCTGCGTGAGGTGGGCGGTCCCGGCCGCGATCATTGTCTGTGTGCGGCGGTCGATCGCGTCCGCGGTCCTTGTCGGTGTGAGGAGGACGGTCGCGTCCGCGATCACCAGCGGTATCCACATGGGGCGGACGGTCGCGCTCATGCGGCCGATCAGGTGATCGTGGTCGGCTGCGCTGATCCTCGTCGACGTCCATCACATGTGGAGGCTTTCTGTCCATCGACTCTGGACGTCTGTCGCGCGTCTCGCGAGGAGAGGATGCAGCAGATTGTGCGTAGCTCGTCGCGGAGCCTGGCCGGCCGGGGTTGGGCGGCGCAGGAGATCCGTGCGACTCCGAGAGCCGTGGCTTTTTGTGTGCTCGGGGACCCGTAGGCGGGAGCTTCCCCGAGCCATTTGGTGCCGCCGAAAGGTGTTGCGGATAGTGGTTTCGAGGTGGAACAGGTGATTGAGAATGCGAGTGCATTTTAGGTATCTGCGTTTGGCGGCTATTTGCCACGAGAACCTCATTAGACTTCTCAAGCTCCGCGCTGTATGAACGAAAGATAGGCATAAATGTCGTGAGCATAAATTCCTGGCAAAGGGACTCACGAGAGTGAAGCGATGACTTGATGTGATTCTGTGTAGATGTCAATGTCAGTGCTTGCGCCACCACGCCGTATTCACCGTATACACACCTTTTAGCGCCCCCTCCAGCTTCTGGACCACCCGCCGCAGTGCGCGGACATCTTCCTTGAGTCTACCGGTCTCTCCAGCCTTCAAGAGGCCGTAAAGTTCGTCGTTCTCTTCCTGCAGGGTCTTGCATCTCTGTGTGAGAGCTGCAGTGACGGTATTCGACCCCGATGATGTGGATGTCGCGTGGTCGCGAATATGAGGTAGCAATACAGAGACCAAGGCTGGTGGCAACGAGACAGGGTCCGTCACAGACGGCGGCGGCTGGGTAGAGAGGTATTGGCGCAAGTGCGTGATTTCATCCTGGGGCGCGACATTGAGGTCAATGGGGCGGGCACCCGGGTAAGTGGATCTCACCGTGAGCTCGGCCACCTGCGCATCTCGCTCTCTGAGTAAGTTCTCCAGGTCAATCTCTCGCGACGACGGAAGGTCCATGGTAGGTGAGCGAACGGGCAGGCACCGTCGCGGTTGAGGAGAAGGGCCTCTGCGACTGGGACAACGACGCCTCGATAGCGCCTCGGGGAACAGACCCCACGTGCCCGCCGCGCGCTTTCACACAGACGGCGCGGAGATGGCATGCCAAACATGGCAAGTTTCACTACCACTTCGACTCTGCTACTCTCAGTTACTGCTACACTATGTATTCTGTTTATATCTCCCAGTGCAACACATATGCGATGGTCGAATGACTGGATATGATTCCGCTGGTAACGCAGCGAATGGAATATGGTGACAACTCCAATTGCGCACTACATGATAGAGGATCCTCCTACTAAGGTCCGAGTCGATGAGTACGGAGTCCAATGGTGATACCCTCCCAGTTCTACAACTCCCAGTAATCAGCTCCAACCATGACAGGGGTTTCCGGGCGACGACTCTTCCAGACGACGGGCGTAGGTGTCAAGCGGGGCCCTAGACGAGGAGGGGGGGATCCCGGAGGGCGACGCTATGAGCTTGCAGGAATGTGTGTGCATGATGACATCGAGTCGTCCAGCGCTGAGTGCGGTCGATGTTCGCGCTTGCGATTTGGCTGCACCGGTATGAGGCGGGCGACGTCCGAAGGACAGCCGGCGGCCGAGTAGTCCACGCCCTGGAGGTCGGCGTAGCGAATGCGAATATGCGGCATACGAGCATACGGGGATATGGGGTGCGACGGACAGCGAGGTGCTGCCGTGACTCGAGTTGAGGCGTTTACATGCCAAACAGCTTCTTCAAGCCCGTAGTAGCCTTCGACGGCTCGCTGCAGGCTCGCTTCCTGCCATCGGAGTTCGAGGGACGAAGGACCTGCCAGAGGTCGTCGTACGTCGCGTAGGTGTCGCGAGGGGATTGCGAGGAGATGAAGAGGTTGAAGGCATGAGGCGCGGCGGGTGCGGCGGGGAAGAAGTTGAAGGAAGCCGTGGTGCAGGACATCTTCGTCAACGAAGGGAGGATGATCAAGTGTGACGCAGAGAGACGAGTGCGCTGGCTGTAGAGAGAGGCTTTTCGTCGCAGACGAGTATGCTGGATATGCGTATGCTGATGGGGGGCATAGCGGCGAGGGGGCTCCCCTTAAGTACCAGTCGACGAGAAGCCCGTCGTCGCGATCAGTGGGAGGGATTGGAGGGACTCACCAATCCAGACGACTGCACACGCGGACCCACGACTGCACACATTGTATCCTGGAAACGGAATGCCCGTGTTGCCGACTGTGTGTGACCGACCACCGGATACGCGAGCGAGGTACCATAGGAGGCCGACAATGAGCCTTGAATGAGCCCCGCCCTGGCGCGCGTTCGCGGCGCGTTGTGGGCGCGTGTTTGGCAGTGATTGACACCCGCCCCTGTACAAACAACAGCAAATCACCCAAAATTGCCAGCGCGATGAGGCGCCTAATATCGCGTCTCAACCTCTCTTCTCCCATGTCGCCCACTTTTACAGGTTGAACTCCCCGATGTGTGCCCCGCCAATCGTCTGCTCGCACCGGCGGTGATGTAGCAGGAATAGCATGTAAGTCGTCCTTTCATACCTCGCGCGATGATGCCATCTATATTCCTAAACATACGAACGCTCGCGCGTGATGAGCGTATCTTACTCTACAACGGTATCTGAGCCCTTGTCCTTGTGTCTCGTGTCGCATGCCGAGGATTGTGTACTAATGCTGTCCTCTCATGTAGGGTTTCAACATCCCAGATGTTACGGCAGCGGACACCACGGTTTCATGTCCCCGCCGTGTGGGAACGCTTCTGGCTGCGACTGCTTATGCAGTAGATATCACCATCTACAGGTGAGTCTAACTGTCTGCTTGGTCCCGACTTGCTTTTGGTTCTTCTGTGATGACAGTTTTAATTCACACTGTACGAAGTTTTGGTGCTATTTTAGTGCCATCATTTATGATTTGTATTTACAACGGTATCTGAGTTACTTCTTCTCTTCATTCTACGCTTCCCAGGATGCAGTCCTAACATGTCAATCCGCAGGACAAGACCTCAGCCGGTCTCCTCGGTCGCTCAAGGTGCACCGCGGCCTGAGGCCGCCACTGACGGTATGTGTGGTCCGTCTTCGCTCGATGCTCAGTAGACTGTAGTACATAGGATTTTCCTGGTTGCCCTCACGGCCCGCCAAATACTCTGTCAGACTTGGAATATCATTATCGTGACATCATAACCCACACGGCATGTTGCATGGGTTTCAACATACCTCCAGAAGCAGGTATGGTAGAAATCAGACACAGACATCATGCCTGACTAGGCTCCTCGTCTGCGAAGGCGTCAGGCGGAACCTGACCTTGTATCTGGCTAAGGGCACCCTTGAGAATGTACAAATGGGGTCCTGACTTGGCTGGTGGCGGTGTGGTCTGATACGCCACGGGCAGCGTACACCTTGGACACTGGAATTGATATTGACGTTCATATCCATCGGCGCTGTATGTGTTGTCAAGATGTCATTCGGGGAAAGGTCAGTCGCACATGCGCACCGTTCTACCAAAATTGGATCCTTCGGTGTCGCGTTCAGCTTGAAAACCCGGGCCTTCCCAAGCTCAGTGTCTTGACATCGTATCACAACGGCGCCATCTGTCTTCCGACGCGGTAGGGAAGCAAGGCTTTTGTCTATAACGAGCTACATGTGTAACTATCAGGGGCGCGATGCCGAGCGGAACGGATAGCGATGGGTCCACTCACGATGAACTCGCCGCAGATGCAATCTGCGCCGAAGAGAAGCGAGATGGACGTCAGTGCCCGTACCACCGGGTGGGTAATGAGGTCTCACAGTAGACGCGTAGTGCTGCTGTTGAGGATGCTGTTGGTTGGGCTGGAGACAGTTTCATGTTTTCAGCGGAGATTCATCATGGATGGCCGGCGGCGAACACGGCAGTACTAGGTGATGACTGACCATCGGTGGACGAGGAGACCGCGGAGCGAGAGACGACCTTGGGCATTGCGAGGGCGTCGGCAAAGAAGACGGGAGCGGGGGGTGGTAGGAGAACAGAAGCAAGAGCGACAGGACGCGCCCAGCGGGGAGCGCGTCTGCTCGGCGGAATGCGTGCGAGCTTCGCGGACGGAGAAAGCCTGAGAGAAAGAGACTGACATAGTGTTTCTGCAGAGGCGAGTCAACTCGCAACTCGCCTCGACTCGAACCCTCGAGTTGCGTAACTCGCTGATGGAGAGGCGAGTCGAGTTCACCCCCGAGCCAACTCCGAGTTGCTAGGTGGGGTGCTGAGATAAGGACTACGCACGCATATGATTGGCCGGCAGCCCCCACTGCGGTCACGCGAATGCGTTCAACGCGCGTTACGCGCCGCGTCGCGCTGGAATTGGCCACCGCTGTCGTTATGGTCCTCCGCAATGGATCGAGGAAAATTGGGACCCCAGCGAAGCTGCCAGTGCACGTCAATGGTAGATAGAGGCTGTGCATCCGATTCTCCATACTAACGCAATCTCAAGTGACTAATTCACGCTTATGCCCCGCTGCAGATGCTCGAATACCGCATGGACGAACGACTTCGTCGCCGGGGGCTGGCGAGTCAAGCCTCAACCCGGCGTAGCGCAAGCTTCCCAACAGCCGCGAATAAGGCTCACAGCGGCGCGGACTCGCCGGTCTGCGTCAGTTGGCTGCGCGCCGCATCGAACGATCCGCGCTCAATGCCGACCTCGTCTGCGTCATCTGGGTCAGACTCTCCTGCACAGCCCAGCGGCCCCGAAACCCGGCCAGCGACACCAGAGCCTGGCGAGCCAACAAACAACAAGAACGCGACCTCGAGTGCTCAGGCTGGTGTTCCCGAGAGCGGGACCAATGAGGCCTGTTGCCTCGACTACCAAGCTGTCGAACTGGGATTAGAGAGGTACCTGAAAGATAACAACACTGGCACAATTGACGAGGGTGCAGACCTCATCGATATTGGGGGGTATGTTTGAAGGTTCTGTCAATCACCTGCCGACGATCGCTGACTCGGACGCGGCAATTCATGTCAGGAGCGGAAGACGGAGTACTCGTATATGTATCGTGTCGCACTCGACGTGCTCCCTGCTCAAGCACCCGCGGTCACTTGCGAGCGGATGTTCCCGTCCAGCAAGGAGACCGATACCCTCCGCCGCAACAGACTGTGTGACTCACCGGAGGTCATGGAGGTGCTACAGATCCCCAAGTACTTCTACAAGCAGAAGCGACTTCACTTCGCGTCTTAGCTTCTCGCGCGCGAGGACGACTACACAATCGAAGGCCCAATCACTGAGGCGGCGATGGACGAGCTTTACGAACTGGCCAATACGTTGTTCTCGATGATCGAGTCATCCATAATTCGAACGAGCAAGCCGGGCAGATGGCGTAGCCGCCGTAGCGTACATTAGGAAGCTTAGAGTACTTTACTATAGTGATAATTGTGGTTCATCTTGCGTACATGTTTGCCCGTTATCCGTCTCCGCGTCCTTTGCAGTCGCAGGCCGCAGCCACCGGGTCTGTTCTCCCATTGGTCAGTGCTCACGTGCTAAGTGGTGGGCAACTCGCGAGTTGACTCGCAACTCGCCTCGTCATAACTCGCATCACCGAGTTATGTCGAGTTCCCGGACTCGACTCGCCTCGACTCCCTCTGCAGAAACACTAGACTGACATCCGCCCTTCATCAGTCCAGCATCACGTGGCAGCCCTCATCCTATTATGCCTCCCCCAGTCGTTTGCTGTGTTTGCTGTGCCCACTCTCTTCCTTCCCCTGGTCCTCCCCGCCAGCCCTTCTAGCCGCACCGGCCAGCACCGCCGCCTGCTTGCTCTCGACCGCCATGGCGGAAAAGGACGCCACCGCGAGGCTCCGGCGAGCCGTGAAGGGTACGTCTGTCCGCCACTGCTCGTCCAGCTTGGCCTAATGTGAGGCGCGCAGAGAACAATCTGTTCCTCGTCAAACGTCTCATCAAGAGGACCGACATGCGCAATCCTGACCCACTGAACAAGCGGTACACATCACTGGCCTGGGCGGCCGTCCTCGGACACGAGGAGACATTTGAGTTCCTGTTGACTAGCGGTCATGATGACCACGAGTACAGCAAGGTGCGTGGACATTACTGATGGGCACCGCGTCGCATCTCACGGGTCGCTTGCAGGACACAGACAACAACACTATACTGATCCTGCTGGCCGACGCGAAGCCTCCCATTACAACCCCATACGGTTCGACCCAGAGTGAACAGGATTTCCTCAGTGCAACCCTGCGTATGGCGCGCCTCTACTACGACCGGTACCCGGACATTCTAGACTGGGCGAATATGGAAGGAAAGACAGCGCTGCATGTTGCGGCGTTGAAGGGGAAGGAGGAGCTCGTCCGAGTGAGTACCTGTGTCCCTACCGCGGAGTCTCCGCCCTCATGCGTTCCTAGATGCTCTGCGATTTCGGGGCAGACGTCGATCTCGCGGATAACGAGGGAAACGCGCCCCTGCATTAGTGAGTGGTCCGACCCTGCTTGTACGACGGGGATCTGATCTATATGGTATGTCAGTGCAAGCGCTTGGGGCCATATCCCAGTTCGTATTAGATCACGTCACAGCTTGTATACAGACTGACTGGTCAACAGATTGTGCAGCTTCTTATCGAGCGTGGGTGCCAGTACTCTGCTCGCAATAACGAGGGTTTCACACCATCGGACTATGCTTACTCGTACGTGCCTGAAATACGGTCCCTTGATGATGATGTTTACATGTGCAGTAGAACAAGCACCAGGGACACCTTGCAGGACACCGCGCGGACGCAGTTCGAACTGAACAAGAAGGCTCGCAGGAATGTCTTCGCGCAAGCTGCTGCAAGAGGGACCGAATGGGGTGCGACCCCAGATCCCATAATGGGACCCCCGCCCAAAGCATACTTCATAAACGGCTCGCGCATGCGGAGCGGCTCCGGTACAAGTCGAACAACGAACACCTCCGACAGCGGTGATATGATTGATGCAGCCTACTCCTCCCGCAGCCATCTCTCGCCAGTCTCTTCATTATCTCCTCCCCGCCGCCCCACACAACTCCCATCTGGATCCCACTCACCAGCTCAACCATCCGCAAGCTCGTCCAGCAGCACCCCCTTTTCCACTACGTCACCTTCGGCGCAATCTCACCTTAACCCTTCCATGTCCAACAACCCCGCGTCAGCACTATCTCCCATAGCTACGCGCATGCGAGAGCGCGACGCCGATGCCATGGAGAAGTACAAACTGCGACAACGTAGTGGAAGCGGCGCTACGGCTTCGACAGATAATCAGTCCACCAATGGGTCGGCACCAACGCCTGAGGACCGTGCACAGCCGCTGATAACAGTGGGCTCTGTTGCGCCCCGCCGTCGGTTACGACCATCAGCTTCTGCAGCCCAGCTTCGTACCACTCCCCAACCACCCCCGATCAGCCCGAACCCATCCATCTCGCAGCAAGAAATGGCTCGACATCGATCGGGAACTAGTCCTGCTACGATTCCCGCGTCGCCGACTACGCAGGACCCATTATCATTAGCAACACCGACTCAAAGCTCGTCGAGGCCGCCCTTGCGCAGGCGCGAGGACGGCAACACAGGTGGATATACTGGACCTCCATCTCAATATGCCGACTTCCCCGCTCCACCTGTCTCCGACGACCCCATTGAGCGCACACGCACGATCACTCCCACCACCGCAACTGGCCCCGCGCTGTCGTATTCGCGGCGGCTGCCCTTCAACCTTCTTTCGTCTCACAAGTCAAGCACGGATTCGACCGCAGGCGGTCACCGGCGAAACGCGTCTGTCAATGCTGCTATCAGATAGGGGCCGTATAATCGGCTCTAATGAGCTGTACTTGTTCTTGAACACTCCTCCTGGTCTGTACGCCACACATGTCCCTTGTAGTCGACTTTGCTTCCGTCTCTCGCTGTGCAACTATCCACGCTTCATCCGTCTGGGCTCGTGCATGCATTGGTTTCCACTACGCAGAGAATGCAATTATCTTATTTGACACTGTATCGAAGGTGCCTTTGCGCTGTTAAATTGCGCAGTTTCGTTGCTCTTATGGGCTCGTACAGTCGGGGACGTCCTGACTGGCGGTCAATCTGAGGAGGCTCCACGCACCTGGATCGGGTGAGCCACGTGAAATTAAGGTACGGAGCTGGGTCGGGAAACGCCGAGTTTACGCCATAGGACGGCCCGTTCCTTGCATGAAGTCCTCAAGGCACTGAGGAGGCCCGCAAGCAGCCGCTCTGAACTGCCTGTAACGCGTTCGTCTATCTTGCCTCAAGCCCTCATCATCTCTTTCCAGCAACCAGCGGCGCAGCATGACTTTCCCAGCGACCAACGCGGACGCGGATCCCGACCCTACGACCCAGATACCCTGGCCCTCGAGGAACGGGAAACGGCACGGTCCTGTGTCAGACCAAGTGGGCGCTGCTGAAGATGGACAGAGCTCTACAACCGGGAAGAGGACACGTACACCTGAGAGGGATGGCGATGGCGACCGTCGCAGGATGTCCACGCTGGACCTCATGAAACTGAGTGTGTCTATGGCCGGATCGCAAGTTGCCTGGACGGTCGAGCTTGGGTACGTTATACGCGATCTATGCGATTGCAAAGGCACGTTAGTTAACGGTCGTAACGACGCACAGATACGGCACTCCGTTCCTACTCTCCTTGGGGCTGTCTGAGACGCTTACGAGCCTTGTGTGGTTGGCTGGTCCGATCAGTGGACTCATCGCGCAACCTGTCATTGGTACGTTGCAGATACGATGGTTCCCCATGACAATGCTAACTCTGGCTCGCAGGTGCGATCTCTGACGCGTCCACCTCGAAGTACCGTAGGCGGTACTGGGTTATGTTGTCCACGGCCGTACTTGTCTTCTCGACTTTGACGCTTGCATACTGCCAGCAAATCGCTGCCGTCTTCGTCGACCTATTCGGCGGAGGTGCTGGAAGCTGGGATCCTCAATGGATCAAGCAGGTACGTCTGTGCGGAGTCTGATGCTGAAGCGTCCATAATAACGCTAGGCTGCCTCATAGGTTCAGAACACCGCTATCGCACTGGCCATTATTTCATTCTATCTGTTGGACTTCGCACTCAACGCGCTGCAAGCATCCTTACGAAACTTACTCCTGGATGTCACTCCGCCCTCGCAGCTAAATGCCGGAAATGCATGGCACAGCCGGATGCTGAACGCCGGTAATATTGTTGGGTATGGGTTCGGTACGTCACGCGCTGGTAATAACACGACGGAATTACTCATTGAGTTGTCTGCTGACAGGATTCTTGCCGCTTGCGAACATGCCGATCCTTCGTCTGCTGGGCGGTGACCAGTTCCGCAAGTTCTGTGTTGTCAGCATGGCAATCCTGGTCATCACCGTGTGGATTACGTGTTGGACACAAGAAGAGAAGGAGCGCGAGTCACGGCGCATCGAGAAAGAGTGCGTATGTCTCGGCGAACCACTCGGATAGATCCTGAATTGGAGGATGTAGGAACAAGCTGCGGGACATCCTGGACAATATTTACAACGCGATAGTCCACCTCCCGAAACCGATCAGGCGTGTATGCTATGTACAGATCTTCGCGTTCATGGGCTGGTGTGTTCCCTTCATTGCTTCTAGCTTTGTTGACTCTAACTTTAGGCAATAGGTTTCCTTTCCTGTTCTATGCGTGAGCGTTGAGACATATTCGGTATTGACTGATGTTCTCAATATCCTGGCAGCACCACCTACATTGGCCAGGTAATGGCATACGAGCTTCAATCAGATCCAGACAAGGACACAGCTACTCGGATGGGAGAGTTCGCCATGCTCATCTACAGTATTGGTATGGAGTCGGGTGTCCTCTCTCACGTCCCATGTTCTCACATGTCCGGATAGTGGCTGTCGTTGCGGGAGCAACTCTTCCTCGTCTCGCCCGCCGGGATACACGTCTTCTGGCCCACGAGGGTGATGACGAGGACGAGGACGCTGAATTGACCCGCCTGCGTGCGACTGTCATGGAATGGAGGGCCGACGCGGCACGCAAGGGCCAGCCGTTGCGGCTCCCCTGGATGCCGTTCTTCCTCCGAAACATCTGGTCCGGTGCCATGATACTGTTCGCAATAATAACGTTCTCGACATTCTTCATCACGAAAGTTTGGCAGGTACGTACCAAAATCAGGACAGGTGGAGTGACGAACTTGACGGGTATTTGCAGGCTGTGATCGCCGTGAGTTTGGTCGGCATTTGCTGGGCCGTTGCTTGCTGGTGTCCATTTGCTATCATCATGGAGGTATGTCGCACTGAGCGCTGCGTCTGTATACTCGTAATTACTTACAAGACTACATCACCAACCAGTTCCTGAAGGAGCGCGAGCACGAGCACAGTGCAGAGGAGCCAACAGTTGTTGCCACGGACTATGCCAGTCGCCCGTCGCACAGTCGCACAAGGTCGACGCCTGCCATAGTCCGCCGTAGGAGTGACGACGGCGAGCACGCACCCCTGCTTCGCCGCCGCCGCTCCTTCAACCAGGATGAGCTTGACGCAATGCCTGCGGAGACGCAGTCTGTAGCGGGAGGCACGATCCTTGGCATCCACAACTTAGCGATTGTGTTCCCTCAGTTCATCGTGAGTCGATGTTTGCTCGCGTTCACGATGCCGATTGACCATTGTCATATAGATTGCACTTGTATCGAGCGCTATCTTTCACGTCGTCGACGCGGACATTGACAACGATCCTGCTCACCATACGACATACTACGGCAAGAATGGTGTTGCCTGGGTCCTCCGCTTCGGTGGTCTCTGTGCTCTGGTATGTCGTTTACCCACGATGATGCGAATGACAGGCTGATGGTGTTGTTCAGTGCGGCGCCGCCTTCGCTCGCATGGTCCCTCCAACTCGCACCGAGAAGGAGATGCGCCGGCGGCTCGCCGAGCTGAAGGTGCTCCAGGAGGAAGACACGCCCTGATCTACTGCATGTCGACGCACTCTATCCATCTCTCTGTGATATCGCCAATGTACAACACCACATCGCCAGCTACGCTGCCATCGCCATCGGTTCGAGAATTCGTATAGGTCTGGGTTAGTCGGTACAGTTAGGATCCTACAATGAACATAGCGTAATCCCAGTAGTCGTCGTCCCTGCTCGAGATGTACCTAGTCGGTATGAAGGTTGTTGGAGGTGGGTTGCTGAGCCCTGCGAAGAGCTGTTCGTGGCATTCGCGCACTGGGTAAAGGTCAGTCGCAAGAGCACGTACGACCGACATAATGGACTTACTGTAAGATGTCTCGGAAGGTCTGTAGAACAATCTGACTGACAGGGCGTGCGGGCCTAGCGCGCGTAACGCCTGTACTGTATGTAGCCATGCGATCACTCCTGCGTTTGCGTGGCGGAAACATACTACGGCCAGAGAGGCGTGGGTCTCCTGGAAGCTCGACATCTCCCAATGACATCGCGTTCCACCGGTGCCTTCGTACGCCCCTATACTCCAATTTACAGCTTTCAGCGCCCTGACGTGGGTTCCTGGGATGCCTACCTTGACTGTAGGAAGGCTTGACGTTTTGTTGGACCACCTCATCATCTTCATCTAGGACTAGACATCTTCCCGTGTGCAATATTACCTGTTTTTCTACTAGGGCTCCTTTCGGCAAGGTGGGCACGACGAGGTACAAAAGCGGCGTCACCGCATCCTATGTTACAAGTAGGCAGCGTGTCAACTCCGGCGAATGTGGTACGTACCGGAGGATATATCTTCGAGGCTGCCCGAACGCGCTGGACATCGCTTGCATTAGCAAGCCAGTATAGGACACCCTGGTGATGAGCATCCCATCCACCGCCTGTGTTGTTTTGCAGAGCGTTCGTTACGCGCTGCACATGCTGAAACGATAGTGCCGTTTCCAGAGCTAATGAAGGTGGTGACGGAAGGCTGAGGCTGCTCGGTATGAGTCCTATCTGCCCTGATATAAATATTCGTTCGCCTGCCTGTATCACGGTCAATGTGAGGGCGTAGCGAAGCCAGATATAGTAGCTCTGACGAACCACAATCGCCTGAGAATACGGCCCGATGTTCGCCGGTGCCCAGTAGCTCAAACCCTGGACATGCATTGCTTGACGTTCGCTCGGACTCTGCTCGACGAACGCGATGGCGTCGAGTTTGACTCTGATCGGTGCAGGGAGGTCGACGGCGACGCATGCACGAGCTGGTGGGCTGCTCCCGAAGAAGGTTGTGTAGATGGCATTGACACGGGCAAAAAGGTCCATGGATGAGATGAATATATTGATGTTGGCGCAGTTGGAGAGACTCAGAGAGTGTGTCGCCAAATGATCTGAGGATACTCTTTAGGAAATCGCATGCACAGTGACGTTACTATGTCTTACCTTGCAGCTGCTCGAAGCAATTTCGTACCTCATCCTCGGTGGAGAGCACACCATCGCTATCACTAGCTGTGATGTTCGCGACTGCTACCCAACGACCGACCTTACTGACACTAGTCCCCGGGGGATGCAAGGAGGAATCGTCAACCAATTCCATTCCCGATGGATCAGGAGGATAGCTCGGTCGATCGACGGCACGGACGACGGCATTCTGAACCTCCGCGAACACTTCGCTCAGTAGGGGAGGGATTGCAGGGCCGATATGGAGTTCCTCAGGCTTCGGCTCGAGGACAGCGTTCTTGACCCGAAGATAGGCGACCGTGGCGAAGTCATTGTCCGAGTGTATGACGGTCTCCACTTCTATACTTTGGGACGTTTAGACCCCCGTGGCGCACGGAGTTAGACAAGACGTACAGTCTAATTTTGCGCCTGAACAACGGACAATCCAGCGTGAGTGTCTCGTATTCACCACCTTCGCCGCATATGTGCGACCCATATGATTCGTTCTGTCAAAGGTTTTCATGAACATCGGAAGCAGGACACGGGATCGCCTTCGGCTGAAGTGGTTTACCAGCTTTGTCAGAGTTGGCTGCATTTCAGCGAGAGTTTTCCCGAGATGCGAAGCCTTCAAACCAATGCCTGCAACTTTGATGAGGACGGCCTCCATGCCGGCCTCAATCATCTCCGAGAGTAGCTCTGCCTGATCACGTTGCCAGAGGTAGCAGAGCGGAGTCAGCGACAGACGTCGGCACCTGGATCGGACTAATTTATTCAACAATCCGGGTAGCTGAACTGTGCTGCTCACACATGTTCGACTCGAATTCGCTGGTAGTTCGAAATGATCGCCCCTACCGACACACCCTCGACATCAGGATGAGACACCTACAACCACGACGACACTGAGACATAGGAGAAGCTCAACGAGATGTGGGGGTGTATACTTTTACGGTGGACAGGAGAGCGTATAAGTCTTCCGTCTCGTCCCCAAGCACACCATGACCACTCGCAGGGCTTCGGGCACCGTATTCATTTCCTTGTTCGACAGCTGCTCCAGATATGACCCTCCTATATAACGGGACTTCCAGCGCATCGGCAACAATCTGAATGGCATCTTGCCCGACAGTCTGATACATGTAGGAGTCAAGCTCCTCTAGAGTGAACCCCGTCGGCGAGAATTAAACATTCGGAGGTGAGACGATCGGACCTTTGCCATGCTCGGGGCCTAGTGAGGCAGCTGCGACGAGCTGGTGGCCGTTGGCGGCGCAGTGGAGGAGGTTGTAGCAGCTGTCCTTGCCGCCGCTGAGGAGGGCGACGTACTTCATGGGGGAGGAAGGCGAAGAGGCCCGGCTGCTCGGGTCGATCGCGCTCAGATCGCGGCGAGGCAATCTCTGCTTAGCGCATCGGGAATTGCCATTTCAGGATGCCCGAGGGCCTGCTTTGTCACCTGTGACGCGCGCTCCAGCGCGTGACGGGCACGCGTCGCCAGTTTCAAGTTGTTGGGCGGCCCTGCTCGCAGCCACTCTTCCTCTTCTTCTCCTACCATCCCCATCCATCCATCTCTTTCACGAATCATGGCCACGACGAACTTATCATCCGCAATGGACATCGATGAACAGGCCATCGACGAGGGCCTGTACTCTCGGCAGCTGTGAGTCTCGCGAGCTAGTACCATGCCTTCCGAGTCGCCGAGGCTTACCAAACCCGCAGCTATGTCCTGGGCCATGAAGGTAGGACCCATGGTTGCCCCACATCTCGCTCTAAGCTCATGGATTCACGTAGCGATGAAGCGCATGGCCGCGTCCAACATCCTCATCGTCGGCGTGAAGGGTCTTGGTGTCGAAATAGGCGCGTCGAACGCGATCGCATCGCGTACTGTATATGCTGATTACTGTTGCAGCCAAGAATGTCGTCCTTGCCGGTGTCAAGTCCGTCACGATTTACGACCCCGAGCCTGTCGAAATCCAGGATCTCAGCAGTCAAGTGAGTACTGCATCAGTGAGCGTGCTGAGCTCCTTTCTGAGCGCTCGCCAGTTCTTCCTCCGTGAAGAGGATATTGGGAAGCCTCGCGCAGACGCAGCTGTTGCTCGCCTAGCTGAGCTGAACGCTTATGTCCCGGTGCGCAACCTTGGCGGCCAGCCTGGAAAGGAGATCACGGTCGACATGATCAAGGGTTTCCAAGTAAGCCTCGTCGTACATGTCATCGGTAATCGCGTGTAACATGCGACTAGGTTGTTGTGCTTTGTGGCGCCAGCCTGCAGAAGCAACTGGAGATCAACGACTGGACTCACGAGAATGGCGTCCACTTCATCGCGGCCGAGACCCGTGGTCTCTTTGGGTATGCACGAGTTACATTCCTGGCCTACCTGTTCCTTACGCGTTGTACAGCTCGGTGTTCAATGATTTCGGCCCCAAATTCACTTGTGTCGACCCGACTGGCGAACAGCCATTGACCGGTATGATTGTTTCCGTCGAACGGGTATGTATGCACTGTATGACTAAACATTGTCCACTGATTTGACGGGCTGCAGGACAAGGAAGGTCTTGTCACTTGCTTGGACGAAACGCGCCACGGCCTCGAAGATGGCGACTTCGTGACTTTCGCCGAGGTTCAAGGTATGGCTGAGTTGAACGGCTGTGAACCGCGCAAGGTCACTGTGAAGGGCCCTTATACCTTCGCAATCGGCGATACATCGAACCTCGGCGAGTACAAGACTGGCGGTATCTTCACCCAGGTCAAGATGCCCAAGATCCTTGAATTTGTACGTTACGAACGTGTTCGGATTTCGGTCACATGCCTGACACATCGATGATGTTAGAAATCCCTGAGGGCCTCGCTGAAGGAGCCAGAATTCTTCATCACTGACTTCGCCAAGTTTGACCGTCCTGCAAGCCTGCACGCCGGTTTCCAGGCATTGTCCGAGTTCAAGGCACAACAGCAACGACTTCCTCGACCCCGTAACGCAGAGGATGCTGCGAAGGTCGTTGAGCTTGCGAAGAAGCTGGACGCTGAAATCGACGAGAAGGTCGTCACCGAGCTTGCCTACCAGGCTACAGGTGATGTCACGCCGCTTGCAGCAGTCATCGGTGGTTTTGTTGCCCAGGAGGTCCTGAAAGCGTCTTCTGCCAAGTTCATGCCCATGGTCCAGCACCTGTACTTCGACTCGCTCGAGTCTCTGCCTAACACTCTGCCCACCGAGGCTGACTGCCAACCTATCGGCTCTCGGTACGATGGTCAGATCGCTGTGTTCGGCAAGCAGTTCCAACATAAGATCGCGAACTTCCGTCAATTCCTCGTGGGCTCTGGTGCCATCGGCTGCGAGATGCTGAAGAACTGGAGTATGATGGGTCTTGGATCGGGCCCGCAGGGTATCATCCACGTCACGGACCTGGATACCATCGAAAAGAGCAACCTGAACAGGCAGTTCTTGTTCAGGTCGAAGGACTTGGGCAAGTTCAAGTCCGAGGTGGCTGCGGCCGCTGTCGCTGCCATGAACCCCGACCTCAAGGGCAAGATCAGCAGCAAGCAGGAGCCTGTCGGCCCTGACACTGAGAGTGCGTTTGATCTCTGAAGCATCTCGGTGAAAAGCTGACATGTTTCTAGATGTCTACGACACTGACTTCTTCGCGGGTATTGACGGCGTCACGAATGCGTTGGACAACGTGAAGGCTCGGCAATACATGGACCAGCGATGCGTGTTCTTCCTCAAGCCTCTTCTTGAGTCCGGTACTCTCGGAACCAAGGGTAACACTCAGGTCATCGTCCCCCACTTGACGGAGTCGTACTCGTCGTCTCAGGACCCGCCAGAGAAGGAGACGCCCTCGTGTACCGTCAAGAACTTCCCGAACGCCATCCAGCACACAATCGAGGTCAGAACCATACCAGCTTGCAGCAGTGCAGTGTCTGACTTCGAGTGCTACAGTGGGCCAGGACAGAGTTCGACAACCAATTCGTCAAGCCCGCCCAGGCCGTCAACGCCTACCTCTCCGAACCGAACTACCTCGAGAACAACCTCAAATATTCTGGCCAGCAGAAGGAGCAGATCGAGCAGATCGTGTCGTACCTGGTCACCGACAAGCCCCTCACTTTCGAGGAGTGCATTGTCTGGGCACGGCTGCAGTTCGAGGAGAAGTACAACAACGCCATTAGGCAACTACTGTACAGCTTGCCGAAGGACGCTGTGACGAGCACAGGTCAGCCGTTCTGGAGCGGTCCCAAGCGTGCGCCCGACCCGCTGACGTTCGACCCGAACGATGTGAGGACCCGCGAATCTTGATATCCCAAAGGCGTACTGACGATGTGACAGCCCACTCACTTGCAATTCATCATCGCCGCCGCGAACCTCCACGCATATAACTACGGTCTCCGGGGCGAGACTGACCCCACCCTCTTCAAGAAGGTCGCTGACTCAGTCCTGGTACCGGAGTTCCAGCCCAAGAGCGGTGTGAAGATCCAGGTGAACGAGAATGAGCCCGTGAACCAAGAAGGCAACACAGGTGATGTATTTGCTGTACAGGCCACATGTCTCGTTACTGACGCTCCATGCAGACTCATCCGACTTGGGTGAGCTGATGAAGAAGCTGCCACCGCCGTCTTCGCTCGTCGGCTACCGTATGAACCCGGTTGAGTTCGAGAAGGACGATGACACCAACTACCACATCGACTTCATCACTGCAGCTTCCAACCTGCGTGCGTCGAATTACAGCATCAAGCCCGCTGACCGCCACACGACCAAACAAATCGCCGGCAAGATCATCCCTGCCATTGCTACGACGACCTCCCTCGTCACCGGCTTGGTATGCCTGGAGCTGTACAAGGTATGTCGGCTGGTAGCTTGCGTCGGGAACTACGCTGACTGTGTTTCCCTAGCTCATCGACCACAAGACGAAGCCCGAGGACTACAAGAACGGCTTCGTCAACTTGGCCCTGCCCTTCTTCGGCTTCTCTGAGCCCATTGCGCCAGCCAAGAACAAGTACGGCAACACTGAGTGGACCCTCTGGGACCGCTTCGCGTTCAACGGCGACCCGACGCTTAAGGACATAGTTGACTGGTTCAGGAAGGAGCACAACCTTGAGATCACGATGGTCAGCCAGGGCGTCAGCATGTTGTGGAGCTCGTTCATTGGCAAGAAGAAGGTAATGGACAGTCTTATCTCACGACGAGACGTCGCTGACATGTGATGTCAGAGCGAGGAGCGGCTGCCCATGAAGTTCAGCAAGCTCGTCGAGCATGTCAGCAAGAAGCCGATCCCACCGCATACCAAGCACTTGATCGTGGAGGTTATGGTGTGCGATGAGGAGGGTGAAGACGTAGAGGTAAGTCGTCTGGCTAGTCCTATATCAACATAGCGGAGATTAACCATGACATTAGGTGCCGTTCCTCGTCGTCAACCTGTAGTGTGGCACGACTGAAAGGAGAACGATGGCTGTACGGTCAATAGAAGTAACAACCGGATCTTGTAGCTAATATATCACTCATACGTCGACACGAATTGCAAGCAATGCTGTATTCTTTCTACTTGCGTAACATGCCACCGATGTATACTCTTAAGTACAGTGCTGTGCAAGCAGTACTGCGGCAACTGCGTCCTTCACAAGCAGCGATGACAAGAAGTCGGTTGTTGGGTGCAACAGCAACACTTCACACAGGCATGGAATAGGTGCGACATAACTGGTCTCCGATTGGCAATGACATATACAAGCAAGGAACAGCCATGGATGTCTCGAGACCCAGGTGCGTTACTACCTACAAACGACGAAGCCAGAGACGCGGGAAGGAGGGTATGCTTCGTTGGGGGTGTGTCGACGGTAAGGAGGGGAAGCGCGGGGGAGGGGAGGAAGGTAGAGGCAGGTCTGGTCATCCAAGGGGAAAACAGAGACTGTCTGATGGTGATGGGGAATGTGCTATACGTGGGTTTTGTGGAGGTTTCGAATGTTTTTGTAGCTGATAGTGCAAATATGAGCGACAATGGAAACGTGTAGAACAACGTCAAAGAGCAGAGGCAGCGACGTAAAGAACATTAGGGGTGATAAACCGTCACAATACCGATCGAAAATCTGTACACAACGAGCTCTGTACACATCGAGCTTCATGAACAACAACACCGAGGGGGACCGTCCATGGATCGGAACGTGCTGACCGTGGACTCCGGTATGGCGGCGTGAAACGTGGCAGACGCGTCTTGTATAGCTGGCCGCGACGTGGAATATCGAAGCCGCCATGCCTCGCACTTGAGCCCGGATCGGATTGGCGAATATATACGAGATGCGAGATGAGTGGCCGAGGAAATATGTGGCGAGCCTGCGTTGGCATGATGATGGATGTCATCGAGGATGGGAGACGAAATGAGACGATGCGGGGGGATCATATGGCGAAACGAGAACCCGAGAAGAGAGTATCAAGGCTGACACGAGTTAGGGAGTGAGGGGGAATGACCTAGCGCTGGCGTAAGGGCAGTCCGAGTGGGGCGTATATTACAAGGTGTCGGCAGCCGGGGGGACTATGGTAAAGCGCGATGAACGCTGAAGGGGACCTCTGGTCTCCGCATAGCAGACTTCGCAGTAAGTCTAGTCGCAAATCTAGGGGTTAGGTGAACGGAACATGGATCAGACCTTCAACGGCCTCTGGTACTCGGAGGGTCGGTCGTAGAACGGGGGATATACAGCGCCAGGGCTCCAACGTGTCAGAGCAGGCAGCGGCAGAGCGAAGTGATTCTCGGAGAAGCGAACGTCGCTGTAGCCCTGATCGTACCTCGTCTGCGAGTATGCACGATGACGACCCTGGGCGTGATCTCCGACCGCCTGGTTGTACGACAGCGACTGCGAGCGGGAGTGACCATGCGTAGCGGGGTACGCGTAGTCAAAGCCAACATGTGACGGCCGAGCATACACAGGGGGCGGGGCGTACGTAGCGGAGGTCATTTGCTCCTGCTTGTGCCCATAACCACCGTAGGGCCACGTGGGTTGCTGAGGTTGCAGTACTTGATGGAACGGCGGGGGCGGAGGCACGATGGCAGGGACATGACCCATAGGCTGCGGTGCCACGTACTGCCTAGAGATGCGGACGTCGCGCATGATGGGCTCATCGGCAGCAGGACTCCACCTCGCAGGGGGTGGCAGGATCCTCTCAGGCTCGACGACCTTCTCGGTAGCTTGGGCGCGCCGCGAAGAGCTCACGCTGCTAACGCGACGCCGGGGCAGATACTCCTCTCGCAAAGGTCCATCCTCGTCCAGGTCAATCTCCAGTACATCTTCATCATAGACCGGCGCATCGGCCTGATCCCTCTTCTCATCCTCGAGACCGGCGAACACCGGCTCCGGGGGCATGGTGCACGTAGCGTCCTGGCAGCAACCGCGACCCACGCCAACTTGAATGAGCCGCTCGATCGCCTTGCGAGTGATAGTGTGAGGGCTCGACGAAGGGCGCGAGATAGGCTGAGGGCATGCCGGAGAGTGCAGAGACGTATGATACTCGTGTATGTGCGACAGCCAGTCAGTCCACTCGTGCGTGGAGATTGACAAGTCATAGCGGAAGATGTCGAGCGCAAGTGACTCCAGCTTGTTGAGAGACTGCACGGGAACGTTAGAGATAGTGTGCCTGTGCAGAATTGTGCCTTAGTTCTCGCTACATACGAATACTTGAATGAAACATACCATGTCTTGTTGGAAAAAGTGTGATCGTCCAACCACTTGTTCGCTAGCATACATCCAAGAAGGATGAGACGGAACGGAGCGTAGGACTCAATGGCGTCTCTGTCAAAGCTCAGGTGCGCTTCGCCAAGCAGTTCGTCTCGGAAGCGGATTTCCTTCCGATGTCTTTCGCTGTCCAGGTTGACGGGGCCGAAGAAGACAGGCAGGCGAACAATGTACCACAGCGCCAAGAAAATGGCCGACGGCTGCAGCAACGTCGAAAGCAACATTGAATGAGTCGAACTGGCCAGATGACTGGGAGGCGAATTGGAGTAGTGTTTGATGAACGCCCTGTAAAACACCATCAATACTCAGACGTAAAACGACACGAATGATGTAGACTCACGTCGGTTGCGCATAGTCCGGAGGCAGGCTCAAGCCCGTTGTGCACACCTTCCATACGTACGACGCGATCCAATCAGAAAGCGGCTCAGCCATTTTCTTGTAAGCGGCCGTGGCGGTCGGCGTGACGACGGGCTCGGGAGCTGGTGGCGCCATAGGTTGTTCGGCCTGTGCAAAGGTCTGGCATTGTTGGCACTGAGCACCGCAATGTTGGTCTTGGTAGGCATACCGTACCTCGCGGGTCGTGCTGACGGGCTGAGAGCACCCATACGAGGGAACGAATGGATCCGCGGCGAACGCGCTGTCGACGTAATCGGCGAAAGGGGTATTGGGGCCCATCGGACTCGACGCGGGATCGACCATGGGTGCACCGTCAGGGGACATATCTTCGAAGACGGGGCTGAACGCTCCCCGTTCGTACTCCTCAGAGGCGTACATACCAGCAGAGCCGACATCGCCGTACGAGCCAGGGGTGTTCATCTCGTAGTCTCGATAGCGGGCGTCCTGATAATCCTCCATCATCCTGTCGTCGTACTCTGCGCTGGCTGCTGGAGATACGTTTGTAGAGCGAGCAGCGCCGTCACAGGGCCATCCGTGGATGCGGGCCAAGTACATGTTCATCTCCTCGGGACTGCGCGCGTACATGTCCGTGGCGCGGGAAGCGGCCCCTGCACTCGCTAGCAGGGTAGAGACGGGCGGGATGCGAGCTTGCGCGGGCGCCCCTTTAATGACCGCCGCGTTGTCCGCAACGGTCAACCCCTCTTCAAAACCCTGACAAGAATCCTGTGCGTGCGCGAGATCCTCCTCCCAAATGCGGCGCGGCTTGTTCCTCCTCCAGGAAGGCAGGGAACTGATCCACTCCTCGCGCGTGGCGAACGAAGGCGGGGGCCCGCTGGGAGGCAGGGGCAGGGAGTGCGTCAAGTGCTGGAAACCAGACGAGCGAGACTCAGCGACGGCAGATTGATTGATCTTGATTACTGGGTGCGCTGGCTGCTTGGGGTAGTAGGAGACGGGAACTGGCATCTGCGATTAAGAGGGAAGCCGAAGGAGGCCTCTACTGCAGTCCTTGCCGAAGGTGGTCGACCTTGGGCGTGGGCTGCGGGTGGGGGCCGAGAGACAAAAGACGAGAGAGAGAAAAGCCGGTCGTAAGGTAAGTCGTAAAGGGAGAAAAGGCAGGAGTTGGACGACGATAGCGTAGAAGAACAGAACAGGATGTGGCAGACGCACAGCGAAGGCGTGCCTTTTGGATGCTCGAGGAGGCGAAGCTAGTTCGGACAGAGGGGGTGAGCGTTCGAGCTACCTTCAGACCAGCCTGGAGTATCTCTAGAGGAGATTCTCGGGAACGCCCTCTCCTGTCGACGTCGTCGCTGTCGTCGGTGGCGGGGGGAGGAGAACTGGCAACGAAGGACCGACAGAGGAGGGTCGATCCGGGGGGGGCCAAGTGGTGGTGGCTGCGACGAATTTCTGTCTTTCAACGCCCTTATACGAGCTTACGTAACCCTCCCCCACGCCCGCGCCTCCGTGGCACTGGAAGCTCAGGACCGCGCCTGAGCTCATCTCCGCATGACCCCCGCAGGCAGCTCCCTGACTCATGCACCCCGCAGGCAGCAGCGTGCCGGCAGGCTACGGCAGCCGCGCGCGTCGCACGGCGCAGCGTGGGGGCAGGTCGCACCGGCGGGGGAGGCGTGGCAGGCGGCTACAGGCGGCCTAAATGGGGAGGCACGGGCACGTGTGACGGGTGCGACACCGTGACGGTGCGGTAACGCGACTGGGCGCCCGAGCGAGCGGGAGTGGTTTTCCCCAGTCGCGATCCTGCAATGTCGGCCCAATCTCAGGACAATGCAGGCACGTCTCAGATCGGCCTTGATTCCATCACCCTTGGCCAGCTCAAGGCCATGGTAGGCTCTGCGCCAAAGCCCAAGGCATGTGTCGTTGGCATGCGCGTCCCGAACCTAAGTCCCATTCGCTCACACCAGGGAGCAGCAGTCCTATTACGACTTCAAGTATGACGACGAGGACACTGTCCTCAACGAGATCGAAGAGTTTTACTCCTATGTGGAGATGCCTCAGGTAGCCGAAAACCTCAAGGCCTGGGAAGGCTCATTTCCCGGAGGTATGTGTCTTTGCGTTATGCATGTCTCGCCTAACCTTACGCGTATTCCTAGTCTGGATTGAAAGCGCGTTCACACAGCGCAAGGCGCATGTCGAGGTGCTGCTCGAGAGCTTGGAGCACCGTGACGCGGAGATCAGGTTCACCAACGCGCGCAGGCTGCTTTACGTGTTGCAAGGTGCGTCGGTGCCTCCCACACACCCGTTTGCGTTTGACACAGGCCACAAGGCACGTTTGCCGAGACGACGTCGGCGGAACACCAGCTGCACTGGATATTCGAGAACTGTAAGGTTGTCCGGGCGGCCAACGGCTTGAGCAACATTGTTGAAGCCATCAAGATCGCGAGTTCGAAACACGACTTGTTATGGTACACGGCTTGTCCTGAAGGTATCATTATGCGCGCTGACGCTCGATATAGTAGTCTATCAGATGCAGATGCGGCGCGTTTCAATATTTCCGCACAGGAGAAGGTAGATTTCATGGAGGAAGTCACGACCGAACTTTCCGTCTATCTTGCCATGTTGTATCACATGGTGGAGGTATTCAAAGGGCACGATGATTTCGCTGATGAACTCAGTAAGTTTGGTGGCGTCCCTACTACCTCCTGCTGACCGCATGTGGCTCAGTGAGCCTCGAGCCTCCGCTCCCAGTGTACCTGTTCAATGTGGTCGCCGGTCTTCGTGACAAGAGCGCCAAGGGCTATCCAGTGAAGAAAGTTCGTTCTATCCCTGATACTGGGTGATCATATCCATCTCATCTCCTTCGCAGCTCCTCTTGGTGCTCTGGAAGACCCTCTTGACGTGCTGTGGCGGCATTCGTGAACTCACACGTGTCAAGAAGGTTGCTCGAGAGCTAGCTGGGCTGCCGCCGGTGCCAGAAGAAGGTGTGCCTATTGTGACATGGGATGAGTGTTTCATCTCACGCACAATCAGCCATACCTATCAAGGCCTCGCCGCTCGACATTGAAGCCTTCAGATCGGAAATCAGCGTCAAGTACCCGACGTTCACCCCGCCTCCGGCCCCGGTTTCCGTCGCGGCTCCCATCCCCGTGCCCGTCTCCACTTCTAAACTTGCACAGGCATACTCCCCCATCCCGGTCCGTCACCATTACGATCATGATGACACCGAGTCGCAGCAATCAGGCATGGCCTCCAACATGCCTGGTCACCCGTTCCAGCAGATCCAGCAGTCCAATTCTGGCTTCCGGCAGATCCCGCAACCCGCTACGCCCGCACCAAGTCCCCCTCCGCCGTCGCCGAAGCCGAAGAAGCAGCAGTTCCAGACGGACCAGAGTCGCCCGTTCCTATTCCCCTTCTCGCGCAGCCAGACGAGGTACAACGGGTCACGACTCATCCCTTTTGCTATCGACGAAGCGGACAAGTTGTACACGAAGCACATGTACACGAGTCTGTCGCTCTGGCAGATGTGGCGGACTCGAGAAGAGTGTATGACTTCTGAGAGCGGGCTAGAACGCATGCCGGGTTCTGAACCATTGAGCGAACCCAAGCTGGCGCCCACTGTGCGTCTCATCACAGACCATGTCCGTCATGGAAGCTGATTCGCAACCTTATGCAGGTATCGCCGGAGGACGAGACCACAGAGACACTACCAGATGTCGCAATGCTTGACGCCAAGATCGCAGAAACGGACGCCGCACTTGCGAAGGCAGATACCATTGCGGAAAAGCAACGGCTGCAGAACAGGAAGGAAGACTTCATGCGACTGAAGCGAATCGAGCAGATCTATGTTAGTGCCACAGCCAACATCGCGCGCTCCCTTGAAGGCGCTAACAGAGATTCAGAGTGCAGTGCTGCCCGTCTTGCAAGGCTGGGTACTCGTGTTACTGAAGCTGCTCCTCGCAACTGTCTCAGCGGCAACAGGAGCACCGACGCAAAATGGCGCCGCAGCTGGCTTCCCCGTCTCAGCACGTAAGTTGATCGCCGAATTGACATTGGCGTAGTTGACAGTTCATGATCCTCATCAGCCTTAAACGAGCCTCCTGCTCCGCCTCCCACCCTTGAGGAGATTGATGTCACTAGGCACAGAGAGATCAACTCCAAGGCGGTGTCTGCGATCTTGTTGCTAACACTGAAGTGGTTCAAAGTTTCTCGTGGGTGCTTCTCAACACGGCCAACTCGCTGTCCAACTAATGTCGATCCGTGTACAGATGCGATGAAATTCCATCATCTAGGCCAGCAGTTGCTGGACACGAATTGTCTTCTACTGATCTTGAAGATGTTCGGTCTGCAGGAAGTATCTGTCACCGTGGTGTCAAAGGCAGACTCACCGGAAAACAAGTGAGATATCAACCTTGCTGCCGGGAGAGATGACTAATGTGACCAGTTTCTTCCACTACTGCCAGAGTAACTTCTCAAAGAACCCGCAAGGCGCGAGACTCGATGACAATGGGAGACCACCGCGGCAGACGATCATAAGAATGACGACGCTGCCGAATGGCTTGAAGCACGAGGAGGAGATCGATATGCTGACCGACTTCTCGTGGCGAAACTTTTTCTCAGTGATCAACTTTGCGAAGATCATGCAGAAGCTTTCGAAACATCGGTCGCATCGCATAAGGATGCTTGTTCAGTACAAGAGCTCGGTAAGATGACCGTGAATGTCTGCGAAAGGCACTTCTGACGCATGACGTAGGCTGTACTCAAGCGCATACTGAAAGTGCAGCATCCGATGCTGCAGCTCCATGTGCTCAAACTTATCAAGAGTCAAGTGCCTTTTTGCGGCAGAAAATGGAGGCAGTGTGAGTTCGATCTCTAGCTGATATCCGCGTGGGCGATCAACTGGTCATCAGCGAACATGCAGGTCATCACTGCGATCTATCTGAATTGCAGACCGGAGCTAAGGGACGAGTGGCTCTCGGGCAACGAAGTGGATGATGTATCGGACGCTCAGGTATGCTCTGTCAGCCATCGCCGAACAATGGACTTGTGCTGACAGTGCGATACATTGCTGCAGGCCCAAGAACAAGCGCTGCGGCACTTAGTCAAGTTCTGTATGTTGAATCAGACATGTCTGACGGGACCGCAACTGACGTCCACACCATGAATCAGACAATACGAAGCGGTACGGCGCAGCGGCAGCGCAGCATCCCGGTATGCACAAGCGCGCCGCGAGCATCTCACATCATCTCGAAGGCCTCCATCCTGGACCGGAACTTTCGGGGCTGATTCGGCCAGCTGGCACCCCCAGCACCAGTGACGCAGATGTGTTCCCGCCGCTGCGTGCACATGCCGTGGAACACTCGCAAAGCTTCCTGCCCTACACCACGGAGGACATCGCGTTCGAGGAGGAATACGAGGAGTACCTATCGGACCTTGGCTGGTCGGATAACAAGCACCACACACAAGGACAAACTCCCTTCTTCGCACCTGGGGGCACCTCGGCGTGGAGCAGGCTGCCCGAGTATGCTGCTGACATCGCAGACGGCATCAGCGATAGCGAGAGCATCGTTTCTATTGGGGAGCTGGGAGACGCGGCGCGGCTGGATGTCGGGAAGGACGATCGCGACGTGCCTGACGAGAACGTGAACAATTGGGAGGTAAGCTGATCGACGATCGCCTGCCCTGGGCTAGACTGCCGGTTCCTTTAACGCGAGCTGACTCCCTTTTCTGTGTCCTCAGCACATGAGCCCCAAGACGATGGCGGCCCTGACGCAGAGCCCGGCACGCGGACGACGATCGAGCTCCGAGAGCGGCTTGAGGCCCGTGATGCCGTTCGACCTGTCCTCAGACGTCGGGAGTGCGATCGAGGAGGCTGAGGAACAGGAACTAGGGCCCATACCTCGAGAGCCGTCGGGTCCGTTCCACGCTGGCGCTGGCGTCGACGAGGTTGAATACGCCTATGGGTAAGTTCGACTCTACCCGTTGATGCTCAGAATCGTACTGACAAGTAATCGTAGCGTATAAAGGGATTGTAGTAACACGTATACATGTGCATTGTTATTCATTGGTGCATACAATCAGAGCTTCTAGCGATACATGGAAGTTGCAGCCATTCCCCTGACAGCCATTCAATACGTCGCCTTCGTCCTTGCCACTGCCCAGGGACTGCCAGCCGCATAAAAGTCCATCGGGTAGACACCTCCATTCTTCTTCCCATCGTCAGCCTTGCTATCCTGCATCCATCCAATAGCCTTGCCTACGGCCACAGCAGTCTCGTAAGGAGTAAGCAATGGCCTGTCGAAAGCATAGCCCCAATCGATAGACAAGCGCGGACAGGACGTCTGCACGAAAGTGGAGATGTGTGGGTTGAAGAGGGCGAGCTTCGCGGGCGAGAGTTCGGAGAGGAGGATGGGCATATACGGGATCTGCGTGCGCGAGGAGCTGAGCTGGTGCGTGATGGCCTGGAGCTGCTTAAAGCTGCCCTGGCGGCCCAGCGTACCGAGTACGACGCCCCACAGCGGAGGCTCGGACGGCTGCTTGGTCTGCAGGGCGCGGCTCTCTTCCGGTGAGGGTGCGAAGTGCTCTATGCTCCGTCGTGCCGCTTGGACGGCCTCGTCCCGAATGGTGCGCATTTCGGTGTGGTTGTACCGCTCGCGCGTGAACTTCTTGGAGTAGGGGTCGTAGCGGAAGGCGGGTACGGAAGGATTGGCGATCATGATGGATTCCAAGTGGAATCGGCCATCACCCAAGTAACTGTCGTGAGGATATGGTGAGCGAGGGAAATTTGTCTCAACACATACACAACGTACATGAGAGCATCTACGCCATCCAGCGTCGGCGCCGTGCATCCTAGGATCTCTCCCGGTGATAGAGGCTTGGAGCGCGGGATAATGGCGTCGTATTTGCCGGTCCATAGCTTGGGTCGGCCTAATGCGAGGTCATCCCCATCCTGATTAGGAGTATCCTCGATCCTCCCAATACTGGGACGAGGCTCTTCTTCAGCATACTCCGTTGTGAGGTCGTCCTTCAGCCGTGACAGGGCGGCTACAAACTGGATGGTCGATACAAGGGCCAGCCTGGTCGGCTCTTGAGATGCAATAGAGACTCCTGAATGCGTGTCCGGTAAATCTGTATGTGAACTCTCCATCGGAGGAGGACCCTCTATTCGGAGGTGATTGCTTTGCGTCAATGGCCTGCCAGAAGGGATTTGGCTGTCAGTCTCCTCGGAGTCGAGCAGAGCGTCGTGAAACCGTCGCCGGTCGGTGGGGAAGTTGAGGCGGATGGTCTGGATCAGGTGGGACGAGTCGATAGCAATCTCAACGAAGATGTATAGTGTCTTGATCGTCGTCTGGTCAATGGGTACTGGTACACGTCAGGTGAGTGCCTCTAAGAACTACTAGTTGGAGTAGACTTACCAAGACAGCTATGGCCGTAGTGTACAAGCATATCGCAGCCCAAAGCAACGGCGGTGTAATCGTCGATGCAGCATGCACCATATGTGACATCGCCCATGATCACAGTAAGCGCATCGGTGAATCTGAACGCTCATTAACTTGGTCACATCACCGCAACCGGAGGGCGGCCAGCACCTGCGCACCGTTCGATGATATCCGCAATCGTGCAAGCAAACATCTGCAGCCCCTCAGGCATCTGCAACGCGACCATCTTCGCATTATTCTTCCTTATGTGATGAATCGTCTTGTGAATCTCGAAGGCGTAATTTGAAGGCAGCTGCTTGATCGCTGCAGTGAGCTGAGCATCGTTCAGGATGTCCTGGGGAATCTGGTTTGCGACGATCGGGGAAACGCCTGGTTTGGACGGGGTCGCGGATTTGCTCCCAACAAAACGTTTGCGAGGCTTTGTTGCATTTTTCGAGCTGGAAGCCTTTGGGACCGGGGTGCTTTCGCCCATGGTCGTGGTCTCTGGGAGGTTAGCAGCTGTGGCTGAGAAATCGTGAAATCTCACTCCTGGATCTCTGCTCGATCACTCGTGACGCGCTCGTCTTTGTGACGCTTGCAGGGAGTGACGCGTGACACGCGTCCTTCGCCTCCGCCACCGCACCAGCCCAACACCAGCCTGAGTTCAGCTGCAAGATGTCGACCCGAGGACGCTCAACCTCCCCACGTCCGCTGCATGATGAAGACGTCGATATGGAGAACGGAAATGGCGTCGACAAGCCGCACGCAAAGGTAGTCATCGTCACCAATCTCACGCGCAACGTCGTCGAGACACATCTCCGCACAATATTCGGGTTCTACGGCGACATCAGCAAAATCGACCTGCCAATGTTCGGGAAATGTGCGTGTGCCGCATCTCTCTGCATCTCAGAGGTCACTGACACGGGCGTAGCTGGACAGAACCGCGGCAAGGCAGCGATCGAATATGGGGACACTGCTTCTGCACATAGGGCCGCCTCGCATATGGACGGCGGCCAGCTGGACGGTGCCATTCTCAAAGTCGAGCTCTCGGAACTACCAGTCCGTTCACGCTCGCGCTCTCCTCGCGCTCCTCCACGACCTCGCTATGGACGCGACCGCCCCCGGTCCTACTCTCGCACACCTTCACGCTCTCGATCCCCGCCACGACGCTTCGGACGCGACACCACCTACCGTGGCGACAGCTACCGGGGCAGGCCATTCGCTCGCCGCGGCCGCGGCCCTCTTCCTCATCGGGACACCTACCGTCCGTTGTCACGTTCGCGCTCTCGTTCTCCCATACGCAGAGGTGACCGCCTACCTCCGAGAAGACGGTCACCCAGCTACGAGCGCGGTGGCACGGCATACCGTCGCGGGCGTACTCGCTCGCCGAGCTATTCCGTGCGGTCAAGCCGTTCTCGCACGAGGTCCCTCTCACCCCGGTCCCGATCACGCTCTGGGTCTTACTCGTCGTACTCGCGGTACTCTCGAAGCAGGACTCGGTCTCGGACGCCCACCCCCCGAAGGCGGAGCCGTAGCCGCGACGATATCAGAGACAGCAGGTCTCGCTCGCCAAAAGACTGATTTCTCTTTCACGGCACTCGTTCTCGTCTGCTCTCTTGCGAGAGATTGCTTTCGTACTCCCAAAAATGTTGCTTGTACCCAGGGACTATTCGTTCAGCATGTGTGCTAATGTACAGATAATCTATCTCATGTCCAAAAATCGGGTATTAGGCATTAGTCGCTGGTTATTGAGTCATCATCCGCAAGGAAGGGCCTGCAGAGACGTTCAGCAACGCTGGGCAGCACAGAGGCAGTGGTGCTTACGTGTATTCGTAGTCATGCCGTATTGCATGCGACATCCACTCCTCATCTGCCTCCTGCAGAGGGAACCCAGGCCCTCCCGCGAAGCTGAGTACAACGGGCAGCAGGACCAGTCCGTGCAGAGCCCCCGAGATAATGAGAGTGATCCACATGCGGAAGTAGTATATCTAGTAGATGCTGTCAGATGGCGTGCTCAAGACAACGCGCAGGTACGCACCTCTAGGAATCTTGAGCGGGTCAATGCGAGGACGCACATCCCGATGAGCTTCGTGAACGTGATGCCAGACAGCACCGAAGGCCCCACGTCGACGAGAGCGGTCCACATCCGCTCGTCCCGCTCTTTCTGGCCTGCAGGGTGGTCGACGGGGAGACCTGAGCCGGCACTCATGAACGCCCTGGCGACGTGCGCGCAGAACTCCACTGCAATGCCGAGCGAGATGACCAGGTTTACCAGACTGATCGCGTTGAGCATGATACCCCATACGCCCATCACGCCCATCACACTGACCACGGTGAGCGCAACCACTCCAGTGACAATGACCCCCGTACGCCACGACCCGAGCATCAACGCTGTCACCAGCAGGACCGCGCCCAAGCCCAGCCCCAGGATCTGCTCCGTGATCGCGATGATATGCGCGTACTGGTCGAAGAACACGTAGTGCAGCGAGTACGGGAAGACAGACATGCCGGTGCGCGCGGAGAGGTCGTCCGCGATGCGGCGGGCGGCCGCGAACGAATTGATGAAGTCCGCCTGGGACTTGAGTGGCGTGTGGAATGTGCGGAAGTGCGACGCGACGACATCCGCGCCGTCCTCCGACAACGCGAGCGCGGTCCCGAAGGACGCCTTCCCAGCGAGCGAGCAGTCCTCCGTTGTCGGTGAGACGAGCCATTGCCGGACGTACCGCATGAACTCGTCGCCCTCAGGCAGGCCCTCCATGGTGATGTTCCATACTGGGTCGTGGTCCTCGTAGCACATCTTGCAGAGCCTTGGGGAGTCTGTGTCCCTGCAGAAGACGTCAGGGCTGCGTTTGCGCACCCGGCAGCACTTTTCGTGGCCAGGATCGAGCCAGTTGAAGTAGTCATCAATCCATGAAGCGGCCGGTTCGGCGATGAACGACGATTGCGACCGCTTGCGCTCGGCCTCAAGGATGTTAGCAACGGAGAAATCGTCACATGTTGTAAAGCGACCACAAATGTTCTGCTGGCCTTCTCGCTGCTTGACGTCGACGTCGTGCACGACAAAGTAAACCGGGGGTCCAATCTCCAAATAGGAGTCAACGCTGTCGAAGTAGGGAATCAGGTATGACTCGGATGGCAGAGCCAGTCTTTGGTCTGTCAAGTGTATTAGTGACACATTCACGTCAACGCCTAGTCATGTACTGACCAAAGCCGAGCTCGACGTGTTGCATCGAGATGATCGAGGCAAAGCAAATCCCGAGGAATGTCAGCAGCACTATAAATTTCACCACAGGTTTGAGTATGAACGGCGCATAGTGTCGACGTATGAATCGTGCGATCATGCCGAGGCCGCTGCCAGTAGGGGGATCCTCCAATGCGATCCGAGTAGGCAGCTTAACGCATGGGAAACAATCGACGCGACTGGCCTGCAATTCTGTGAGACGACCGACCATCACAAAGACGACGACAGCAGGCTTACCTCGACGCGCTTCAAGTCCAGAGCCAACGTGCTCACGAAGACGGTCACCTGCATGAGTGCATTGAAGAGCACGCTACCTGCAGCATACAACGCGAAGTTTCGGACAGCCGGCATAGGCACCAGTGCACCCAAAGCGAATGCAAGTGTCTCCGTGATGGTGCTCAGCAAGATGGACGGCCCCATCTTAGCAAGTGTCCTCGCAACACGTTCTTCTGCAGACAGATACAGCGGCGTCGAAACTGCATCGACTGAATCTTCCCGAGAGCGGCCACCCTCGAACTGCGACCGCGACTGGGACTGTGTCGGCGACATAGGCGCATCACCGTACCCGAAGCCCTGCGTCACCGCCGCTGCGTTCGGGCCATGAAGGAGATTCTGCCTGTCGAGCTCGTGCACAAGGATAAAGACGTTGTCGACGCCGACGGCGAGGACGAGGAAGGGGATGACCTCCGCGATGATGAGCGTCACTTTCACGCCGAAGAACGAGAACAGTCCGACAGAGCACATGCACGAGATGATGACGAGCAGGATACCGAAGAGCCCGAGCGAGAACTTGGAACCAACGAAGAGCTTGCGGGGAAGTCGCGGGAAGATGGTGGGCTCGTCCAGGGAGCTGATCGAGAGCGAGGAGGATGAAATCCCTTGGTGTTTGAAGAACTTGGGCAGGTTCCTGGCCCAGCGGACGAGGGATGCGATGGCGCCTTCTTCGCGACCCATCTGGGTACCACTGCCCAGGGTGAGGGAGACGTACAGGAACATAGCAACATACGAGAGGACCACAATCTTCACGTCTGTGTTCGTGCTCTTGTTTATCTCTTCCTCCAACGACACTCCGGTGGAGAACGCGACTTCGAGCCCTGCCTCCATGGCTGCCCGTTCGCTAAGCCGTTGCAGGTAGTCTCGTAATGCACGCTCCCACTCCATCGCCTTCTCCTGTACCTCCGGATCCAGCGAGTCAGAGACGACAAACGTGACGACGAGAGCCTCGGAGTCCAGGTACTTCTTAGGGTCGTCACCGTCTGGAATCCCTCCAAGGACGTACTGAGGTGCAAGGGGTTGCTGGAAGTCAGGTAGACACTCAACTGGTGAGTTGGCGCAGTCAAGGAGATGCGACGCCCATGTGTCCTCGTCATACGCGTCGAGGTCGTTTCCAAACCATGCGGCGACGGACTGAACCACACAGTATCCGTCAGGCCCGGCTGGCTTGAAGCATACATCATCAAGTGTGTACCCATTCGGTTCGGAGCGCAGCGACCGAATGTCGGCTTCTACGTCGAGCCAATACTTCAAGTGCTCCCAGGACAGGACCGACGGCTTGTTTGCAGCCGATGCCGAAAAATCCGTACGCTCGTCGCTCCAGGCCTCTGGTAAGGCTGTGACAAAGATCTGCTCGGGACGGTAGAATGGTCCAAAGTGTTCATCGAAATACTCCTTCTGCAGCTTGCTCTGCGAGTCGGGGGCGACCCACAACCGTACTGGCTCCGTCTCGACGGAGAACCGACTCCAACCGGAAAGAAGGGCACCAATGACGACGAAGCTGCCGCAGAGCGACAGGAAAGGATAGGATGCCATGGTCAAGCCGATTCGGTAGAAAGAACGACGCAGCAGGTTGTTCAGTCGATATTGCCTAGGCTGGACTGTTTCGATGGGATCCAGCAGCGACGCGCCACGTCCGAGGTTCCGTGAGTCGGATTGTGTGCCCAGAGACTCTTCTCCGTCGACGTACTGTGCGAGGGACGACGCGCCGACAAGACCTCGTGCGTGCGTGCGAGGGGAGATGTGTTCCGAAGCCGCATCCGTGGACAGTGCAACACGCTCGTATGATTTGCGCCTCCGAATGGTCAACTGCAGACCATAGCCCAGGATGAAGGATGCAACAGCAATCCCATATGCGACGAGGAGGACGAAGGACAGGCACGAGATGAGGCCTACATGACATGTCATGCCTGAACTCGGCGGCGGTATGTCGGGGAGAGTTTTGCAGACGTCCGGACAGTCAATGCAAGCGCAGCGGCTGCTGAGGTCGTTGTCGTAACAATTGCGCGGCGTCGCGTCGAAAAAGGTCATGTCTTCTGGAGGTTCGCTCGGATAGTTGATCTGGAAGGGGCTGCCCATGTCCTTCTCGTCTCCCATGAACTTGAGGAACGCGGAGTAGTTCTTCGCGCCTCCTCCGATGAGGTCCATCGCGTAGCCATTGGTGGCACCCATCTGTATGCTTTTGCAGCTGTCGTAGAAGCCCTTGCCAAAATGCTCCGAGACATGAAAGTCTACCGACTTGACACCTTCTTGCCCGGTGTGCGTCTCCTGTGTGGAAGTGACATTGAGGAAGGTCGCTTGGTTGGGTGAGCATGTGAAGGTGCACCAGAATTGGCGAAAGTTATTGCGGCATGCGGGACAGGAGGATATGATGTTCTCCGCCAAACCAATGTTGTCGCGCAGGGTCTCCAATTGGGTCGTCGTGCAGCATGTCGGTCGGTCCGCATACTCGGCACCACACAATGAGACTAGGAGGTCGCGGTCGACATTATCCTAGAAGCGAACCATGAGCGTTGCGACTCACTATGCGAAACCCGATATTACTTGCCTGCGAAGCAGGTCCGTCATATGGGCATGGCAGGGGCTTGCCGAACCAGTCCTTAGAACCACAGGAGCCGCGCATGGCGCAGTAGCCATCCTGGCTGAGTCGCATTTCGCCCGGATATTGCGTGTCCGCCATTGCGGCGGGAAGAGGGGAGGTTGCTATGGCCAGCAAATGTCTGACCTGGTAGATAAGGGCGACGAATACTGGGTGGTGAGAAACAGGCCAGAGCTTGCAGCTTGAGTGACACTGACACCACTGCGGCAGCACCTGGCGCCAGGCCTCGGGGAGATTACGTCCCACGACACGCTACACGTGATACCTCATTGAACTAGGGCGCGTCGCGACTCTCCGCTCCCCATACACCGCACGCGTAACCTCCTCCTCACAACATGTCTCTACCCTCAAAACGCGTCCTGACCGAAGAGCAGCGCGCGAGTGAGCCTGCCACAGCCAGCAATGGGTAAGTCCTCTCCACCTACAGGGCGCGTAGCCATGACTCCAACTCGAACCACGTAGCATCGATGCTGAGCTCGCCGCACGCCTGAGGAACACGGCCTCCCGGGTCAGAAAGAGTGGGTACGCGCTCAATGGCGACTGATACTCTGTCCTGAGCGCGTCGATGCGTCGACAACCCCACCAGGTGTCACCGAAGGCTACGCTCCCTACGCGCTCGGCGCCTACAACGGCCCCCGCATCGCCTCGAAACTCCCCTTCACCAGATCAGCGTCATTCCAGTCTGCAAACGACGCGCTCAGAGAGGCCTACGCGTCGCACACGCACAACGCGTCCTCGAATGTGAAGCGCAAGCTCACCGCAGCGGAGGCGGACGAGGATATGCTCGAGGACGACGATATCGATCTGGAGGGCGAGGCGACCGACCTACGTATCCCCCTCACCTCGCGTACCCCCATGAATCATTCCACCCGGCCCACGAAGCCTCTCCCAGGAGCCAGGCGGGGCGGCATGCGTTCCCTGTCCGAAGGCACCCTGCCGCTGGGCGGGCGCACTAATACCGCACTGATCGCTCCTGGAATGACCATCGATGAGGAAGACTGGAGCCAAGGAAGTTTCGCACCATTGTCCGTCGAGAGGCCTCAATGAATCGCAGACAGCAGCTGGACGCTCACATGAATTCGCATTGATACCATACCCTTCTCGCCATCGACTTCTTCCCTCGCTCTCGTTCGGTCGCATCGAAAAAACACGAAAATGTCATCTGCTGTGTTCTCGTCTCCAACATTAATACACTACATAAGATTTCGTAAAATACATGCAGGGAGCCCGGGACATACTTGTTACGCTGTAAATGAGCCAGCAATCCGACAAAGCACAGGAAGCATACACAGTGCACACCGCCGCGTCTAGTTCGCAATCCGGAACAGAGCGTCTACGAGCGAGCATCATGGGCAGGCAAGGGCGTAATATGGAAGGGGAAGCGGAGGGTAAATGGTGGTAAAGAGGTCCATATGGTACATTGTGATGTTCGTGGTGTTGCAATTATAACTTGTTGCTTGCAGTGGAACAGTCGGAAGATATGAATGATGGGGGACGCAATGTGGAGAGGGAAAGGAAGAGAGGCTGGGTTGTGAGGGATGTGGGGTTCGCTAGTGCAGGTCCTCATCGAAGCCTTCCAAATGGTCTTCGTCGTCGCCTCTTCTCCGCGCGTAACGTCCCGCAGGCCGCTCGTCGGCGAGCTCGTCGTCCGTGTTGACATCCTCATCCTGCGGCGACACCGCATCCTCCTCCACGCCGCCCCTTGCGTCCGCAAGCATGCCTGCCGCAGCCGGAATGACCGATTCGCCATGGTACGTGAAGCCTCTAAAGTTCTCCTGCACACTGCTCGTCAACGGGCTGCCCGCAGGGCCGCGCTTCTTCTTCCTCTGCCCCTGGATTTCGATCCCCGCCGGCGCTGGAGGGGCCGAAGGCGCAGTGACTGGCGCGACCGTCGCGACCACGACGCCCGACGGCTTGTCGCTCCCGAGCGGGCCATTAGGCGTGTGCATCGTCGCCGCGGAGACGCTCTGCGAGAGTGCAACCCAATCCTCTGATGGGTCTTCTTCGTCGAGGTCCATGATCTCATCGGGGCCCGCGTCGCGCACGTCCGCAGAGGTAAACTCGGGGTCGAAGTTCGCGACTGACTCGTCTGACTCGACGGCAGGCTTGAACGGCGGCGTGACCTGCTTGAGCGCGAGTGCCTTCCAATCAATGGTCTTGAAAAACGGGTGCTCCTTCAGCTCCTCCGCGTCACGCTGGGCGCCGAGACGGTGCTTGGGATTCCGGTTCAGCAACTGTGTGAAACATCAGGCATGTGAGCAGGGAGCAGCGCCTCGTCAAGTGTTGATACTGCTTACCCCTTTGACGAATTGCTTCCCATCCTCGTTGATGACACCCCTTGGGAACCTAATCTTCCCAAAGCAGATGTTCTTGTACATCTGCTGGGTGTCCTCCGCGTAGAATGGACTCCATCCACAACACATCTCGAATAGCAGCACACCTAGACTCCAGAAGTCGACCAGCTTCGAGTATCCATGCTCGTCTAGGAGGACTTCGGGGGCGAGGTACTCCGTCGTACCGCAGAACGTGTTCGTCAATTCGTCGGAGCGCAAGTCAGGTTTCGACAGGCCGAAATCGCATAATGCGACGTGCCCTGTCGCGTCCAGTAGGATGTTCTCCGGTTTCAAATCCCTACGCACCAATCAATTAGCGGGCACCACTTGTCACAAGACCGCTGCCACATACCGATACACAATATCATATTTGTGCAGGTGCTCAAGCGCGAGAATGAGCTCAGCGATGTAGAAGCGCGCGCGCTCCTCACTGAACCGCGTTTCACGTTGGAGGTGCCAGAATAGCTCACCTCCGCTCTTGAAATCGGTCACGAGGTAGAGGTCCGAGCCCGTCTGGAAGCTGAATTTCAACCCGACCAGGAATGGACAGTCCAGAGAGCGCTGGAGGATCTTGCGCTCGCCGAGCGTATGTGCAACCTCCTTCTTCGCCAGGATCTCGCGTTTCGAGAGGACCTTCATCGCATATATGCGCTTCGTGTCCTTCTTGCGAACCTGGAACACACGGCCAAACGTACCGCGCCCGATGAGCTTGAGGAAGTCGAAATCACGCGGGGTCAGGGCGCGTTTCGTCTGTGGGAAGTTGGGGCAGGCGCAACCGCGTTACGGATCACGGGGTCGAGTGGCAGCGAAGCGTGGGGCGACGCGGGGTGACGCGGGGGGACAGAAGCAAGGAAGCCAGTTGCGTGAGTAGTGAGTCGATCGCCCGGCGGATCATCGTGCTTACCTTGTTCGCCTCGAACGTGATCTGTACGCGCATCTCCCCGCTCACCGGCTCGTTCTCGAAGGGCCGCAGTCTGTCGCACACGCATCATGCACCGGCGATACGCAGTAGCGGATGGCAGAGGCGGGGGAAGAGGGTGGGCTTTGTCAGCCGCTGCAAACGAGGCGACGAAGGGTCGAGACTCACTTGTACCACTGGTCAACAGTGTGATCGTGTACGAGCGCAGGCTTAATCTGTACTGTTCCCAGAAAGCCTGGATCGCTTGCCGAACGGTCGTATACATTGAAGGTGATCATAGAGAGATCCGAGGTGACATCGCTGCCTGGAGGTCAGCATGAGGGTGGGTAGGGATCAGGCGGACGACGCACAAGGACACCTCGTGTTTCCAGACAGGATTCACGGCCGATACGCGCGAACCGAAGAGCCCGTTGAGGCCCGCCTTGGAGGCCCCGCCGTTGGCTGAAGGAGGTGACCCCGACTTGGAACCATCTTTGCCCGGGTTCGCCTTAGTCACGGCAGTGAGAGCGGAGATGGCTGTCGACGACGACTGCCGGGAGAGATTGGTCGCGATGCCTTTGGCTTCCTTCCCGGTCTCCTCGATGGCATCGCGACCGACGAACTCGTTTTGCTCGAACTGCACGACTACATACGGCCTGGATTGTGAGGAGCGTGCATTGAGACCGCGCGCCTGGATGAGCTTGACGTGAATCTGGCCCTTGGAAGGGCCAGAGGCTGACATGGCAGCAGTGCCGTTCGCCGTCTGGGCTACCGGAGCATTTGTGCCTGACGAGAGAGTAGAAGAGACCGAAGATGTAGGCGAGGGGTTCGCAGACGGTTGGCGGGATGCACCGGGGCGTCGGGACGGCGGGGGCTGTTGCATGTTGAAGACGGGCGCATGAAGCGAGAGGCCGGTGGTGGGCGGGGCTGCGGGATGCGAACCACCAGGAGTCAAGGGGGCGGAGGGGAAGTAGGACGGGGGCGCGTTGATTGCGGGCGAGCCTGGGGGAGCGCCGGTGGAGGGGGACAGGAGATGGGCGGGCGGGTTCAGGAGGTGATGACGGTATGACGGCGCTGACGATGCGGGGGAGGGTTGGGGCTGCTGGCTCTGCTGGGTGTGCTGGGCGAGGAGACGGACGTCGTCGTGGCTGAGAGAGTCGAAGGGGTTTCGGCGCTCCTTGCCGTCTGGGCCTGCCTTTGGCGTGAGATCTGCGGGGGTGGAGGGCCAGAATTTGAGCATGGTGCGCTGGGCAACGGACGACAATGCACGGGCTGAAGATGCAGCAGAGCTGGTGGTAGTGGCGGTCGTTGATAGAGGTATGTGGGCAGCGCTGCAGCTGGGCGATACGGACGGCATGGGAGCCGGGACAAGTTCTCCAACAACCACCCTCATCGTAGCCGGTGCGCTTCCTCCTGACTCGCTCCACTTTTCATCTGCGCTCATGTTTGCACCCCATTCCCCGCAGCCACCGTCTGCCGTAAGCCGCGTGCTATCTACATCCATCGCACCCGCCCCGCTACTCCTCGCCCGCCTCCCGCCCCTCCCGCGCCAATCCCAGCCGCTCCCGCGTCCCCCGCAGCCCCCGCAGCACCGCCCCCGTCAGCAGGCCCACTGCCAGCGTCCGCCGCGCCTCTCGCCACGGCTGTCGGTCTGCACAGCAATGGTCAGCGTACATCCGACGGTCCACGCTGCCGCCACTCACAAACACCGGCGAATGCACCCGCAACCGCCACAGACGACGCCACCTCTCGCACCTCGCCCCAGAGCCCGCCCAGGTAGTCGCACGCCTCGCTCACCGCCACAAACACTCCCACCGTCGCCGTCAGCCGCGCTGCATCCCTCCCCGCCTCCTTGAGGCCCGCCATCAGCACCCGGTAGTTCTTCGTCTTGTTGTAAAAGTACCACCCCTGCACCGTCGTCGGCGGCCGGTGTGCATTTTCAGCCAGGAATTGCATGGACGCCGTCCGCGCGCCTCGCCGCAGCCCGATCATGCCCCCAAGAATGAAGGCACCCCCCGGAAGAATGTAGACATGGGGCGGGACATTAAGGCGTATCGTACGCTGGGCCGGCGTTCCATCGGTGCTGGCGGGTGTCTCTGTCGACATTCGTCGAGGTAGGTGCGCTGCAGCACTCGGCTACAACCAGCGGCAGAGGATGGTCATTTTCGTCACGTGAGCGTCCCGACTGGATGTAGATCGCATTGGTGTGAGCAGAGCTTGGCTGCACGGTAGGTACGCTTTATTCTTGTAGGCCAGGTCAGTATGCTTCGAATACCCTGTGAAACCCGACTTCACAGCGACGACGGCAGGTGGGCGGGGAGCACCGAGTCGGTCAAGGTCGGTCATATGATGACGTCTTGCTACCAACATGCATTGTCATGCATTCCAGTCAATGACCATCTCAGGCGTGCTAGCTAGCAACCCGAAGGTGGATGGTGAGTTAGTGACACATACCACTCTATTATAGCAAGTGTATGTGTATAATCAACAATGTTTTTGCCATGATCAATACAAGTTGCAACTTGACGAATGTTGATGTGCACAGAACGTCGTCGTGATGCTATTGGGTATCTCGTTCTAGTTACAACCTCGCGACTGCGGTACAGGAATCACCTCCTGCTCGAACCTCGCGCGATGGCACTGAATGACCATGAGAAAAAGTGGTATCAAGGGGACGTATTCGAAGATGTAGACGCGAAGGCAAACTGACATCCGAACTCCTCTGGTTCCAAATCGCATGATAGAATGGCTGGATACATGTCGCGCCGCATTTGGTGACGGTCTATATGTACACGATGAAGATCGAGACCATTGAATTGAGTAAAGATGCTCTCCACGTACGTTCGCACGAGTCTGGCCGTTTTGTAAACTCTTTCACCGTGGCCAGATCGCATGACGCACTCGTATAGCGTGATTCGTCTTCGGAGAAGTGCCAGTACTCATATTGGGCAGAAACACAGGCGGGAATAGGGTCTATGGTGTGCGGTGAGACACGAAGCACATCTTGAGAGGTGTTCGCGGTCTGGATGCAAGAGCAGTCTGGTCCTAGAAGCTCGGGAGCAGCGCCCATGAAGCCTATTCTGTCAGACGTTTGGTCCATTCGGCGGGAAGAACAATTGGTATATACGCAGAGAATGCCAGCGAGGGCCTGACTGAGCATAGAACGCGAGTGCAGGCCGAGATTGCGCTGCAGACAGGGTGTGCGACGAGGGGGACGATGGCCCCTTTGTTTGTCTCCTCTTTGCAGCTGCTTGTAGGGAACAAATTTGTTTTCCCCGGTTTTCAGCAATTTGGACCATGTATGAGGGTGTTTTGCAGGGGACAACAAGTTACAACAGCGCACCGACGCATCCGCACCGACCTCATCGTCGCCGCCAGCGTCGGCACGCGCAACGCACGCAGGCCATGCTGTCCTCGCTGTGCGCACCCGCGTCGGCGGCCATTCTGGGGACATGGCCCGTGCGTCCCTGAGATCACTTCGCATGGATGACATAAGCAACGCCCGTTGGTTCGTCTCGCAGCCTGAGTCTGCTCTCCGCCGTCTTCCCCCTCCCTGCCTCGCCCCCGCCCGCCCTCGCCACTCGCCCTCAGTCGGACCTACCGACGCAGCACCCCATGATGGCTCAGCAGCCACCACAGACGGTCATTCCGCCAGAAATGATGCAGGCGGGCGCACCCATGCAACACCCGTCGTACTACCCCGAGAACCAGGGCGACATTACGGGAGGCCTGCCGCTCAACCTCGATTCGCTGCGCGACGGTCCGCCAGGGAGCAAGCCGTTCTACCCATATTCGACCCTCATACGGTAAGTAGCCCGGTCGACATTGTTTGTTGTGGCATGTAGCCATGGTCCAAACAAGCGGTGGCTCACTCCTTGTTTGGCCAGCTACGCGATTAAGGGCTCGCCAAATCAGAAGCTCTTGCTAGAGGATATCTACTATGCCATCGAGTCGAGAGTGAGTCCCGCGCGTCTTGTGCAGTAGACTCGTGCTCAGTGGTTTGCAGTTTCCATACTTCAGATCAGCGCCGCCAGGATGGAAGAACTCCGTCCGCCACAACCTGTCTCTCAACCCATGCTTCGAGAAAGTGCCTCGGCCGCTGACCGACCGCGGCAAGGGCTCGTACTGGATAGTCAACGACAACGTCGACCCCCGGACTGGAGTCCACCGCGTGCGAAAGAAGAAGGGGGGCAAGGGCAAGGGCCGGTCACATCGTGTCGACGAGGAGGACATTGACTACCATCCATCGGAGGAGGCCGCGTTCAGTGACCCAGCCTTCGCCGCCCAGCCTATGCGTCCCGTTGAGGCTGGGCCAAGCACAACACCTCCTCTACCACCTCCCCCGTCGAACGCCCCGTTCGTCCAACACCAATATGGGTACGTCCGCTCTATCACCGTGTCTGCATCCTGCTCACTTCTATATCTAGCTTCGACCCTAACTTTGGGTTGTTGCCGCCTCCACCACCTGGTGGCATTCGCTACCCACCCATGCCGCCGCTTTTCACGCCCGACGAACGCTTCGAGCTTGATGAGCATGGGAACGTGAACTGGCAGGCTGCATGGCTGAAGGAGCTCACAAGCCTGCAGCGCCTCACAGAAGACCAGGAAAAAGCAGGGGCGGATCAGGAGTGGTACAGGATGATGCTGTTCAGAGTGCGCAGTGGGATGATGGCACCGCCAAATCCAGGCGATCCCATGGTGGGCCCGCCCATGCCTGCGATGGACCAGCCTCCGAACCCGGTGGAAGGGGCGACCTAATAGCTGTCCTGCATGCGCGCTGTGTGTTGGTTGTTGATCTTGTCACTACACGGCAGTTCTCCCCTTGATACTCATTGTTATTTCCTTGCGTATGTTGCCCTTTGGTCATGCTCGGGTTCTTTGTCCTTGGACTAGTGGTGCGACGGTATTGGTAGTGTCGGATGGTCATAGTAGCCACTCTTGTAATCAAACATCCTGCTCGTCGAAAGTCGTCATAATCTGCTGCCAGAAGTGTTTTTACGAACGCGTCCATGTGATCGTGTGTCGACGCGTCAGTTGAGGATCGGACGATCGAGATCCGCTGAAGTTCGAACTACCGTCGCATCTTGGTCGTATCGTTGGCTTTGCGAGTTAGCACACATCGTTCAGAACAACTGGTCGTTCACGCTGGACGTTACAAACCACCATGTCCTCCCACTACTACGAGGTCGCGCTCTTCGGAGAGTTCTACCCTCAGGATCTCTCAGGCGAGTGCCCTTCTCGCGTCGGAAACCCCTAGGCTGACTGCTTGTGGCCCTGTTTAGCTGTTATGAACCGCATCACGCTCCATAGCGAGTCTGCACACCCCATGCATGCTCGAGAGATTGTCTTCGAGCAGATGCGTTTCACGAACGACCCACCGGCTCACCGAGATCAAGGACAGGAGCCTCCGTTGCTCAGAGCTCGCAAGGACTTGCTTGAGCAGGATGCAAAATGGTGAGTGCACACCGTCCTCTACAGTCATCAAAGTTCTCAAGATGCCATGCGTCGTGCCTTCTCAGGATTCTGTATTCGTACTTGAAGCCAGAGTCGTCCCGTGTGCACCCTGAGGCCACGGTGCGCCCTTGGGCTATTTGTCAAGTGGTCGGCAACGCTCTTCATTTCGCGTCCGCTCTCGGATACGTGTATGTCCTTGCGTGCATCTGTGGTGTGCCTTCGACGCTTAAGCCCTCTGCCACAGGCGTCGCTCGCAGATATTCAAGCGCGGATACGTCTTCCGGCGAGGTCCCCTCCTCATTCAGATGTTCCAACAAGAACAGGTGCGTTCAAGGAGCTGAGTCGTAACTACATGCCGTTCCTCAGCGCTGTCTCACAGGTCGATCCGAAGACGCAGAAGCCCATTCCCGCACACCCGGATGCCCTATGGGAGGTCGAGGTCCGGACGGCAGCACCAGTGCGCAACAGTCAAGAAACGCCGCTCAGTAGATATATAGAGGCTGTCCTAGAGATCCAGCTTCTCATGAAGGGTCTCCTCGATCTCCGGCGCAAAGACGTTTGAAGAGTCAATTGCCGCTGCCGAAGCGAAGTGGTCAAGAAATAAGCTATGTATCAATGTCTTCATGCTCATCCCCAGACTCGCCCCAGTCCACCTGCTCCTCATCACCCTCGCCCATCCCTGTCAGACGTCCATCCGCACCTGGGTCTCGAAGCGCGCCTGCCTGGCGGAGCTGCTCCAGGAGAACGGCGAGGTCTTCCGGAGCCGCTTCGTATTCATCGTCTGTCTCGCCCTCTGCGTCTTCATCGCACAACCCGTCGTCCTCCTCGTCAAGACCAGGGCCACTAGCTTGTGACGGGCCGTCTGCAGCTTGGCCCGTTTCCTCATCGTCGCTCCCAGCGTATCCTCCGAGCAAGTCAAGCACGTTCTTCTCTTCCGTCTCTTCGCCTTCCTCGTCGCTCCCGTACCCTCCTAGCAGACCGTGGATAGCCCTCTTGCCTTCCCGTACGCTCAACTTTCGTCTCTTCCGCAGAGGCTCCTCTGCTTCCCGCTGGACACTCCCTTGGTCGTCCACTATCGTCCCCCGGAAAGACCCGTCCTCCCATATCTCGATCGTCGGAAACTCCACGAAGTTCTTGTGCTTCAGGTTGACACCGATGGTATTCGTTGGGTCGAGCTTGTAGTATGCTTCGCAGCGTACGTGCCCTGGGCGTGGGCCGACGCTTTCTGGACGCGACTTCAACGATGCTAGAGGGTCGAGCGGAGTGCGCATGACGCATACGGGCATGGTGAAGCCATCGGGGTCGTCTGGGTCAGGGAAGACGAGAGGACTGATCCACTTCGGAAACGGGTCGCCCTTCTTGGACTTTTTGCGCTCCGCGACCTGCGCACGCATGGCCTCTAGGAGCGGTTTCTCGAGCGCGTTACGGTGTGTCAAGAGAGAGAACGGCTGGCGAGTCTGGTGTGAAGAGGGCTGGAGTGGGTCGGGCGGAGGATGGAATCTTAGTTCGATGGTGAGCAGCGCAGTGCGATTTCTGCAGGTACGATAGTGTGGATGAAATATATATCACGGTTTAGCGAGTAGATATAACAGAGGGCGGATGCGTACTTGAAATCCCACGTCGACTGGTTGAGGATCCGCCTCTCCATACCGTTGGGAAGCATCTCCATCTCGATGTCCCGGAAGTCCAGCTGCATCTTCAGCACGTCCCTCTTCGACCGCGTCTTGCCCCCCGCTGCCCCGGCCCCTCTCCCCCGTCCTCTCCCTCTTCCGCCTCGCATGCTCGTAGCAATCCTGCCACGTCCCGCGCCCGCAGCGTTCGCCGTGAATCCGCCCTGTACGATCTCGCGCCCGCAGTCGCCGACTTTCCGCCCCATCTCCTCGAGGAAGGTGTAGTCACTCATGAGCGACATGTACCCGTACTCGTTCATCGGCACATACGCGGCTTTGTTGCGCACGCCGGAGCACCCTACGCCTAGCGTCTTGTGTTGGTTGGAGCATGACATGGTGCATGTTCGCATTGAGCATCGCGGGCAGGTGTAAATCGCCGGTTTGTCATGACAGACGGAGCAGAGAGGCGGCTGGGGGTTCGGGAGGGTGCTGCTAGATGCCTCGGGTTGTGCAGACATGACTGCACGTCTGGAAGATACTTTTGAGAAGGGCTCGACGAAGGATGAGACTGGGAGGTTGGCGAAGCACTAGAAACGCGTGTGGATACCAGGAGTACTTATGATTACTCGTTCAAGAAGCTCGAGCTCCTCAGCCTGCGACTCGGACTCTGACGCGCAGTGCGCACAGTCCAGACGCGAAAAATACGACCCACGTGATCTCATATTGAGGCGCGACGGACCAAGTTAGACTCAATGGTACAACTAAACGTACAGCAACTCGGACCTTGGTCTTAGGCATAGCAATTCCAGTCGTTCAAACTGAGCGAGGCGACAGTCCCCTGAGAGCATAATCATCCGTCAAGGATTAGGAAAAATCTATATTAAAGGATACATAGGTGCCAGTAAAACATGATGTACAGTCCGTCAGCACTCTAAATGTCATCCATTCCGAGGTCAATCTCAACTTTCTCTCCAGGCTTGAATGCAGGCAGACCTGGGGGAACCATGAGACAAGTCGGCGTATAACAGATCGATGAGACACACCTCTGTAAGGGCACCCCGAACACCGGAAGGCATCGCCCAGGTAGCAGCTACCACAGCTGCTCGTCGCCTTCGGGGCGGCCGCAGCAGCAGCGATCAGCCTCTCCTTCTCACTCTGCGCCACCTCTATCGTCTGTCCACTCTCCGCGCCGTCCAGCAGCACGACCTTGCTCTTCTGAAGCTCATCCGCCTCGAGCTCCGCGAGTCCGCACGTGCAGTTCTTGCACGCCTTCTTCCTGCGCGGAGCACCCGCCGTCACAGGCGGGCACACCTCCGGCCGCTCGCGGTCCTCGGCGGTCAACAGGCTCTCGGCGTCGATGGTCGGCGTCGAGGGTGCGTTCAGCGTCCACAATGCCTTCTTCGAGGCCTTGCGCTCCGGATCGGCGGCCTTCCGGCGGAGCGGAAGCGCGGCTGCCGGTGCTGATTTCAGGGGAGCTGCGGCTGTGTGCGCGGGCTTTTGTGCAACGAGGGTGCCCTCAGCGAGGGGTGCGAGGATCTTGAAGCCGGAGAGCGTGAGTTCGGATGGGAGAGAGGGAAGCTTGTCGCCGAGGTGGAGGATGTGCAGCGTTCCCAGGGGCTCAAGCCCTGTAAGCAGCTGCGCGAGGAGCGTGGACAGACGCGGTGCGAGGGCTTCGTACTCTGGTGGTGAGAGCGCGACATGGACGGAGGCGAAGGTCGAGGGCGTCAGGGTCGTGGCTGCCAATGACGACGCAGCAATATGTCAGCTCTAGACCTTAACCAATATACGCTGCTTGTAGCTTGATCTGCTTACCTCCATCTACGAGCCTGTCTACCATGTACTTCTCAACCTGCCGTGTCTCCTGCAAGCTCGTGATGAGTGACTGGTATCTCCCGTCTTCGGCCGTCGCTGGAGAACCGATGGCGAGCGCAGGCCCCTTGATGGGCACTGCTGCGACGACGGGCTGGCCCTGCGGGACTACGGGGGCGTCGTAGATTGCTGTGGGGGCCATGTTTTGGGATGAGCGGGATTGCGAGGATAAGGGGTATCGTCGACGGTGTGGGGATTTATGAGACTGCTCGGGGCAAGGATGTAGTGGGACGGGCTGCTTACTCAGTCGGGAAACAGTCAAATAATCCTGGACGATCGACTCATTGGATCGGTCACCCGCGGCGCGACGTCACGTCATCGGGGTCACGCATCCCCGCGCTCCGGCTCCCCGGGTGGCTGCGCCTGGCGAAAGACTGCCTTGGCTGCCTCTTGCTATACACCCGGTGGACGATGCTGATGCAACGTACCGTCAGACTTAGCGTACAGAGAGGCGATGCTCCTTGTGCGTGATTCCATACTCATACCAGAATGTTAAAGTCTAATGAAAGCAAGGCCAGCCTCGCGGTCGACGCTCGACATGACCAAACGTTCTCGGACTGAGCACTTCGCAAACCCCAGCGTGATAACTCTACATCTTCCACACTTGGTGGCCCTTATATCCCAGCTCGCCCAGCACACCTCCGACAGCGCCCTGCGAGAAGTTCCGACCATACGGCCCCGCAATTGCCGTAATCATTCTAAGGAACCATGAAGTCAGTTTGTGCTTCTCCAAATCGATCGTGACGACGTACGGTTCGGGCCCACAGAGCAGGAAGAGGATTTTCTTGTCGCTGAGGTCCCGCGAATCCGGCCGAGAGCCGATCCCCAGCAGGGATCGCCACCAGGAACTGTTGTCGGAACCGACGGCGCGTGCTATCGCGAGGTCGTTGATCCTCCCCACTTGGACGTCATTCGAACCAACGGACGGATGCGTAGGTCCCTCGGAGGAGTCGACGAAAAGGGATAGTCGCAGTCGGTCCGGGTGCGCCTTGCTCGCAGAGAGTAGAGGGTCGAGTATATCCGGCGGCGGGAGTTCGACCGGCTTGCGCGACGCATGGAGTAATGTAAAGCGAGTCTTTGTTGGTACTTTTGAGGGGTCCTTGAGCAGCTTCGCGTGCAGCAGCTGGTAGAACGGTGTTATGCCCGTTCCTCCTGAGATCTTGCAGCGGCTCAGCCGACGAATGTCCCGGGACCGAAACGTGCAGTAGACGCACCATGACGACCTCGTCCCATTTGTTATCATCCCATAGCCATGTGCTCAAGGGCCCTCTCAGCTCAATCCTGTTCCCCATCTTCTTCGAGTGCAGCCACCGCCCGACCTCACCCTTGTCGTACTTCTTGATCCAGAACTTCATCCGGCCCCGCTCATCGACGCCCTCCAGCGGCGTGTACGGACGCTCGACCTGGATGTCATCGTCCTTGATATACACAGACCAGATGGGGTTGTAGATGGAGTCGTCGCCGTTCGGGACAGCCTGAGGAGGCAAGGTCAATGTGATGAGGCGCGTGTCTGGATCCGGGCACTCTTTAATGTAGGTTAGTGTCGCGGGGGCGAAGCGTCGCGGCGACAAGAGTACGTCACGGCGGTCAGGAGCAGCCTTGGACCTGTCCGGAAGGAAGAAGTACGTGACCGCCCCAAGCCCGACCATGGCAAACCATATGCCTACGAGAGTCGCGCGGTACTTGATCAACTCTACGGAGGCGCCGGGCAGTGGTTTGTACGCAGGGTCACCCGGTTCAGCATGGGCGTAGCGAATCTGGAACTGGATACTCCGAGGGGGCGGGGAGCATAGGCGGATGGGAGGGCGCCGGAGAGGAAGCCTGAGCATGGTGTTGGCGGTAGAGTACGGATTCGGGGAACGGGCGGAGGATATGGGCGTCACGTGGGCGTACCGCTGGGTTGACTTCAGGCGGGATGCGACCTGGTTCTGCCAACCATACTCTACGCTACCTCCCGCTTAATGCCCGGTCATTGAGTCGCAAACATCCTATCGCTCATTTCTACTGTCTCGCTAGGAAACACATTCCTACCTCCAGGCTATCCTGCATCACGACTATCTACCACCCACACGACTTGTACGACTATCATGAAGCGATCTTACGACTACAGCTTTGCTACGGATGGCCGGGACTACACATATGCGACTACCACACACTCCTTCACCTTACGACACCCCTACGCTAGGGCGACGCAGGCGGCGCCTTCATACACCTACTCTGTTCAGGCTTGCTCGACCAATATCGCCTCCGGCTCTTCCTCTGGCACTGGACTGCCTTTCGTCGACTTCCGGAGGCCTCTGCTATCCGCGACTTCTGGCTCTCATGATGACTTCCAGTCGAACGCAGCGACGCCCAATGCCGCTGTCCCTCAGGAAGCTGATGGCTACTTCGCGTTTCGACCTGAACCTGGTTCCACAGGTCTCGGAATCCAGTGCGACGGACTCGCCGCCCAACATGCGCGTCCTACTGTGAAGCATGAAGAGTTCACTCTCGACAGCCTTGGTCAACTGTGCTCCCCTCTTCCTGGTGGACTGTTGGAAATGCTCACTGAGCCTTATGCCGCGCCTACTGGAGGCAACGAATTCGGTCCTAGCTGCACCCAAACCGCGAAGGACGTTCTGCTTACACGAGAAGACGCTCAGGACGACGTGATCACTCTCGAGGACTCTCTAGGATTCTTCCCCGGGTCCGCCACGCCGTCTCTGCTGTACCCCAGCAGCCCTGCACTCGGCACGGGGGCATTTTGGGGCGACGTCCCGCTCTTCTACTCTAGCGGCTCGGAGAGCAGCGTCGAGGACACGCTCGTCAACACGTCGCTGTTCTACCCAAGCAGCGCAGAAGTCAGCGCCACCAGCAGCCCTGTCAAGGCGGCGCTCTTCCTCTCCAGCAGCTCCCTCGCCAGCGTACAAGACAGCCACGCCGCAAGCTCCGGCTGTGTCAGGGACCCTCTTCGTGCTCTGCTCGACTTTGACTCGCCGCTGCTGGGTCTCGGTCAGGATGTCTTTGTCAAGCAGCAAGAGGCTGTCGTCGGCCTCTACGCGGACGTCAACCTGCGCAGGATCCCCACCGCACACGATGCCCCTGAGGTCTATATCAACCCTGCTGAGCTGACGAGCGGACATGGACTGGCGGTCAAGACAGAAGAGGAGCAAGACGTGGCGGAGCTGTCTGGACGTCCGGACGTTGTGGCGCCCGAGCAGGACAAGCTGCCAACCACCGACTCTGGAGCGATCACTGGCTTCACCGACGAGGCGGTCCAGGCCATCGTCGGCGTCATCACTGGGGCGAACCATGGGGAATACAAGCCTCCCTCCTCAAGCCTCCCTGAGCCTCGGGAGGCTCTCGCATGTCTCTTTCCCCCGCCAGGCATCCCTCCGCCTATCATTCCTCAACCCACCAACTTTCCCTTCGCCCCCTCTACTCTGGCGCCGCCTGTTACTGCCCCGCCTCCCAAGCCCGCACTACCTCAAGAGAGCATCCAACCCGCGCAATATGGTTTCGCAAGCCTCAACTACGCTCCGTATGCATTCTTTCCTTCAAGTCTAACCGCCCTCCAGCAGCCCCAGGTGCACCGCACACCGCTCCTCGATTGTCAACCGCCTGCGCCCGTCCCGGTTCAGCAAACCCAAGCCCATGCCTCGCCGATCCTCTTCGACACCCACAACGCCGGCGCCTGCGTCACGCACCCGCAGAGCCCCATCTGCAACGCGCACATGGGCGTCGAGCTGGAGGAGCTCCGGCAGCGCGCGGAGAAGTACCGGCAGCACAACTTCGGCGTAGACATCGACAAGGTGTGGCTGCAGGCGTTCGCGGGGCGGCTCTCGGAGGACGGCGTGCTCATCGACGAGTGGCGGTGCTACGTGAAGGGGTGTTCGCAGCGCAACAAGCGGAGGGACCACATCCTGGTACACGTCGGCTCGCACGTCGAGCATCGGCCGTTTTGCTGTGGGCGGTGGTATGTGCCTTATCGATAAGTCCCTTTGTGTGAGGCTGACTGGTACACGTAACCGTTTGTAGCGGGATGCGCTTCCTGCGCAAGAACGAGTGCAAGCGGCACGAGGCGAGCCACGACGGGACGAAGCCATTCGAGTGCTCGATTTGTGCACCCGTGCAGCACAGGAGCTTCGCGCGCCAGGACCTGCTCAAGCGCCATATGCGCGTGACACACGGCGTGACGGGCGGGTCGGAGCGGCGGAAGAGGATGAAGATGGACGTGGACGATGGCGATGGCGAATACCACCCGTGAACGTGCGAGGAGACACGGTGCTTCCGAAGAGTATTTGGAAGCGTCTCGTATAACCTGTTGAGAACTGGTGTATGTTGGCCTCCTGGTGTATCTGACAGCCTAGACATTAATGAGTCAATATTATGAGATGATGACAATGTAGACAGCTGTGTGCGGCCCTTGAGTCAGCGTGATAGATCTTACCTCAAACCAGTCGTCCAGTCACCATACGGACCCTAACGTTGAGCGCGCATATGACAAACCGCAGACATAGTGATACCATAGATGCAACAGGCGTAGCGCGTATAACAGGTGTCTCTACCAATCATGCAAACTCGCGTGACCAGGGCGCGAAATGTTGAGTCCTCCGCGGAGGAGCGGAGGCAAAACCTTCCCTCCCATTACCGTTTCCTTCACTATCGCGTCCACCTCGTGCGGCGTGACGCGCCCATACCACACACAGGCACCCTGGGGTGTGTTGATCTGAAAAAGATACGTCAGTTTATTGCAACATGCCTTCGAGCGATTGAATTGCGAGACACACAATGACGTTCCCCGCGAACTTGTGCCCGCCCATGTGCGAGTTGCGGATGACGAGAACGCGCTTCGACTCCGCGGAGGCCTTCAGCCGCTTCTCTATCTCGGCGTTCAGCTCCTCTTCCGAGCCGGCGAACTCCTCGAGGGGAGGGCCGGACAGCGAGGGGTCCTCGACCTGGGTGTGGACTTCCCAACCCTCGCGCTCGAGCGCCGCCGTGAAGGTGTGCTCGAGCTTGGGTGCAGCGATGGCGCAGCGGTTGTCCCTCCGCTTGTGCGAGCCTGCGTGAAACGTGGTTCAGCTTTCGTCCGCATGGCCGAGGCAGAGCGGACTGACATAGCATGACCACGGAAGCGTAAGGCAGCACATAGGTCTTCAGTCCCTCGCTCTCCTTCGCATTCTTGAGCGAGTGCAAGAGCTTCTTCGCACCGTCGGCCGAGCTTTCAACGTCCGCCACGACCTTGTACTGCGGGAACACCAGGACCGTCTCGTGCGTCGCGTCGTCGCTGACGGTCCTGTGGCTCCCGTTCAGGATGGTGACCTTCGAGGTCTCCGTGGACTTGTACACGCCCGGGAGGCCGCCCACGCCGTTCGCCGCTGGTGCGCTGTTGGCACTCTTGTCCTTTGGGGGCTTGGACTCGCCCCGGGCGGCGTCGACATACGCAGCGAGCGTGCCCGACGCATCCGTCACCTCCTTCTCCCAATCCGACTTTCCCGTAGAGATCACAACCTGCGCAGGACACCCATGAACATCTCTGAGCGCAGATCACACTAGGCGGCGAGACGCACCTGCATGGCGTACGGCTTCATGGAACCGAGCATTTCTGTTTCCATGTCCACATCGAACCTTGGTGGATATTCGTCGTGTCCTGCGCCGGTCAACAGATGCCCTCCGCGCGGCTGCGCGACGCACCTTCATCGCAGGGGTTCGCGCACCCGCGGCAGTCCACCTCGGACACTGGGATGTCGGCGGCCTTGAGCTCGGCGCCGTGGTCTACGCCGACGCCGCCGACGATGTACGCCTTGAGCTTGCGGAGAGTGCTCATGTCTGTGGTGTTCCTAGCGAGGCGCGGGGGATGTGGATGCTCAGAGAGTATGGAGGCCCATCTAATAAATAGGGAGGCGTTTGTCAGGGCAAGGATAGCTGCCAGTAAGCTGCCGAGGCGCAGCCAGTGGAATGATCGAGCATTACGATCATCCACGGCACGGCTCTTTCTTTATCAGATAAGATTCGCGTCCGCGCGGTCCCGAACACGCACGTCGGCCCTGACTGGCGCACATTGCTCTCAAGGAGCATGTCATTCAGGATGAGGATCAGATATATGATACTACATGTACAATGTCAGTGAAAGCTACAGAGCGAACGACAAGGCCAAAGCTGTAAGATAAATTATATGATCCTAGCTGCTACAACAAGAAGACCAATACCTCAAAATCATCACCGTCACACCCAGTTCCTCGACACCACGATGTCGGCACGAGGTCGGTGAGCAGTGGTATCGTACCATAGTTCATCAGCCATCACCGCCCATAGTCGTCTGGAACGAACGGCGTAACCAGGTCATACATCTCCGCGTTCCTGCTCCTCTGCGGCTTGCTCCCCAGGCCGACAAAGTTCTTCAGCTTCTGGCGCATCCCCGGCTTCTCGTCCGCGTCCATCTCGCTCCGGTCCTCGGGATACAACGTGTCGACGAGCTTCGAGAGCCGACGCAACCCGGGATAACCTTCGGCTGGGCCGCTGCGCGCGAGCTCGAGCGCCGAGGCGAGGTACATCGCGAGGCCGGGGAACGTCGTCGGGAGTGTGGGGTAGAGGTTCCCTGGGACGCTCGGGATGGTGTAGTACTTCGATATGGGCGCATCTGCACCATCCCGTAGCACAGCGGGCAGTGGGCATATCGTGTACGACCACGGAAGCACCGTGGAGTCGCCATTCCGGAAGCGCACCGCGTTGGGCGTGTTCACTGGCACGGGCACGTCGATGGACATGTACACCGCTGTGAGCCACTGCGACGACGTGCTATGCACCTATCCCCAGACGTGTATCAGTACTAATTTCGCTCCACGAAGGTCTGGGTCGCGGGTCGGACTTACCTTGACGAATGACACAATAATCCGCAGCGTCGCTTCGCCCTTGATCTTCTTGAGCACATCAATGGACGGCTCGACGCGCGTCGCCGGCAGGCGTGCCATGAACTTGAGCAAGCTGCGCCAATTGGGAGCTTGGATATAAAATGGCGACTTATCCGCGTTCGGAAGAGATATGAGGGTAGGTATTGCACCCTTGTAGGGGACGTCGGCCGAGATGATGGGCGCCGTACCAAAGCCCATAGCTGTTCGGAAAGCATGTAAGCTATCGTAAGAATCACAGAAGGAAGGTGCGTACAGATTCCGGCGAGCAGCTCTTGTGGTATGAGCTGCTGATGCGCACTAGACATACAACTCGAATCCGACTCGTTCGCCGACACAGCCGACAGCGGTGCATGCTTCTCATCGACGTTCTCACTGAACGAGTGCGAGGATGTATAACTCGGGGGCGCGACCTCCGCTTCCTCCCTCCGCGGCGAAGGTGATTGGACTACAGGTGTGTCCATGATAGGTGTCAGGTTGGGCTCGCCCGCCCTCGGTGCTTCTCTTATGGGTGGCCCCACGGCCACCGAGAGGCGTCGGCCATTCTGCGGCAAGTGCCCGAGGTCAGACTTCGAACGCGCCGTACGATGCGACGAATGCTGCTGGCCTCCAGGGGACGCATGAGGTATTCGCTCTGTAGGGGGCGCCGAATGAGGGAGCGCCTTCGCCCTGTTCGCGTTTTCACTCCGTTGGCGAACGTCCTTCGGTAAAACTGTCTCAATCGAGGTCGAGCGCATACGTAGCGCCTGTGCTGTATCGAACGTGCTCCCCGGCGTTCCCGGGTTAGGTGATGTGAGAGGCGTTGCAGCTGCAGAGCTTCCGCGTGAACGGTGTCCAGGGAAGAAAGCCAGATGAGGGACTGATGACGAGGGGCGCGGCGACGCGAACGGGGAAGCCATTCGCGATGAAGACGCAGCAGAGCTACTGACCGTACTATGTCCGCTAGAAGAAGGCGCGATCGAGGAGGGCGGACGCCGAGGCGGGGAAGGGGGTCGTCCGACATCCACGAGGGACTGCTTCAATGCCTGGGCGAGCGCCGCGTCCTCGTCATAGCGAGAGGGTGTACGGGACTCCTGAAGCGAAGCCTGTACAGCCTGTCTGAGCCCCTCGTCCTCAGAGGGCTTCAGAGGCAGATCGGGCTTGGGTGAGCTCAATGTCGGGTATGGCGTAATGTGAGGCGCGGAATCAACGTGACGGTGTTTAGAGGCTGTCGGAAGCGTATGGTGGGCGTGGGGAGTGGCATAAGGGGAAGGTACCGGTGTAGGTGCGGGTCGTGCGTAGGGATAAGGGGCAATATGGCGAGGTGCGGGTGTTGGGGCGGGGAATGAGTGCGCGGCTTTTGGATGTATTGGTGACTGGCTCAGATGCGGTCTGTGAAGAATGGGGGGTGGGGACGACTGGGCATGTCTCAGCAGAGGTGCAGCCCTCTGTGGATGCGGGAACGGCACTACAGGCATATGCGAGAAGTAGTCCCCACCGGCAGCTGCAGTACTCAATGTTCGGCCATGGGATGCACCCATGTTCACCATGCTCCTGGGCGATCGGACGGACGGTCCCGGCGCCGGACTCGCAACATGGTTCGGGCTGGCTGCATAGTACGTATGTGGCCGGCTTGCAGAGGGCACGGGGGATGGTCGCGGTGCTATCTGGTATGCGGGCCCTGCAGGATGCTGCTGCGGATGCGGTGGCCGCTGGAACCTATCGTAGGGATTGGGTAGGTCCTGATTGATACTAGCGGTATCAGACTCCCAGATGGCTTCAAGAAAGGCTCCGCGTAAGTACGACGTTGCTCGAATCGCGGGAGCGCAGCACGTACCATGCAGTGGCTCTCGCCCTGTACTGGGCATCGGGAACTGGACTGAGGCGCTGGCGGAGGTCGCCATAGCATAGGGGTGGCCTGGCATGGTGGGAGTCCGGAGGCTTTCCGACCGTTGAGCTGCAGGATATACGGGTACACTGAATGTGCGGGTCGCCGACCCAGAGCTGGTACACGGGTTGCGCCGTGGTCCAGGACCACACTACGTACAGGTGTCGCGGGCTTTACGATATGGACAGCGCCCAGTCTTCGCAAGGTTGGCAGAAGAAGGTGAGCTATACAGAGAAGATCAGGGTGGGCGAGCCGCTCATGTTGTCGGGGAATAGGTCGTTGCACGAACGTTGCCAGAGAGCATAGCGGGAGTCGCCCTGGCAGACGAGTCAATAAACTGCAGGCAGTGTTCGTGGTTTGTCTTTACCCGCCAGGGTCGGTCACCATGCGCGTCCTTTGACCGAGGCAGTGCACTCAACTTGGGACCGCGACCGGTTGCCCCACGCACACCGCTACCGCTTACGGAGGGGCGGGCGCGAGTAACACTGTAACACATCCATGCCATGAGTCCACCTCGTATTGACGGAATCAACACCAGGGCGGCATCAATGCACAGTGCGGTATATATATGATGCTACCCAGGCGTCTCTTCGATCAACTCATTCACGCTGTGCGGAAGACGTGAAGCTAGGCTATGCCCGATAGTTAATATCACAAGTACCTCTAGCTAGCTTAATACAATGCACAGAAGATGAAGTAATGCGGAGAGATCGATGCTGCAGAGCGATGCGGATAGGATGCATGATGATAATGAGAGTAGCAGAACGAGGAATATTGCCGGAGACATGCATGGACACGAGAATCCGAAAAGCAGCAGGAGAGGAGAGAGGGAAACGGAAATGAACGAATAACGAGATCGTAACGGTCGTAAATATATGTCATCGCGCGGTAATCACTTTTGCTGCCTGCCCGCGACCTTGCCCCTGAACAGTCGAAGTTTTGAACCCTAGCTGGCGCATAGAGGCCACCAGATCCGCCTTCTGCACCGGCTTCGAGATGTACGCCGCGAAGAGGTTGTTGTTCGGGTCCACCACATCGTTCACTGTCGCGCTGTACGCACTTACAGCGATGATGGGTGCCTCCGCGTTCTTGTTGCCGCTGTTTTTGATGTACCGGGCAGCACCTTCACCATCCACTGCGCGCTAAATCAGCAACGATTACCGGCTTGCAACGACTCGGGCATCACTCACATATTGGCATATGAAGGTCCATCAAGATACAGTCAAACTCTGTTCGAACACACGCACATCAGTGTCAGCTCTTGTCGAATAATAGTCAAGGCACTCACTTATATCACCCATGGCAACACTGATGGCCTCTGACCCATCCGCCACCACAACACAGCGGCACCCGAGACGTATGAGCAGAGTCTCGATGATCTTCGCCGTAATGGGGTTGTCTTCCGCGAGGAGGCACGTCACTGCCCGGTCTGACGGATCAGGCGCCCTCTTGAGGTCAACCGATGCGACTGACGACGGCGGCGTGTTCAGCTCGTAGTGGTTAGGCGCACTCGACGGCGTCGGGGCCCAAGAGTCGGACGTGACGCTCTCGCCAGTCGTGGACACCGAGGCGGTCCGGAGACGGCTGGGCATGGAGTTGCGGCGAACGTTGTCGCCTTCCAGATGGTTCAACTTGAACCGCTCGACCGTGCTGTAATCCGACGGCTTACGAACGTGGCCGCTAGCACTTCCAGGTGTGGGTGGACCCCGCGACATCGAGGAGGCAATGGACGAAGTCGAGGTTGCGGGCGAGGGCGGGTTGGTAGGCGAAGGCTTACTGGGTGCATCCGTAGCAATAGTGACACTGGTCGGCTTCTTGATATTGACCTTGGCCGAAACACTCTTGCGGCGAGTGTGAAGGTTCGCAGGCTCCGATAACGTTTGCGACAAGGGTGCCATCTGGTCGGTCTTCATCTTCCGAATCATATCGTCATTGGCTTGTTTGAGGACAGGAAGGTTCTTGAAGCTGAAGGAACCGAAGTCATCATCGGACGGCGACGGTGCGGCCGTGTCGACAAGGGCTGGCGGCGCTGAAGCAGAAGCAGGGTCAAGGTCAGCAGCAGGCGCTGGGCTGTAGGAGTTGACGGCGGTGCTCAGTGTGGGCTGTTCAGGCTCGTTGAACGGTTGTAGCACCGCTCCGCGAGGATCGAAGTAGTCAGTGGACTCGGGGTCCGTGACTTGCGGAATGAATGCCGCCTCGGTAGTGGTGACCTGGTCCCAATCGATACCAGCAAAGAACGGATGAACCCTGACCTCCTCGGCGCCATTAGCTCCTAGGCGCTGAGCGGGATCCTGGGTCATCAACCGCTGCATGAAGTCTCTCGCCTCAGGTGAGACGTCCACGTATTCCGTGTGCCACTGTATACGGCCTGACAGGATGTTCTCGAATACCTTCTCAGGTGTCTCGTCATGGAACGGAGGGATGCCGTAGAGAAACTCGTAGGTGATGACACCCAGAGCCCACTAGAAGCAACCGATCAGCCTCATGACGGTCCCGATAGTACACAAGGTACTCACCCAGTCCACAGCTGCGTCATCGCCGCGTAGACCTAGAATGGTCTCGGGGGCGAGATAGTCCGGAGTGCCTACTACCTTCTGTTCGCCGGGTGGTGTACCGCCAGGAGTAGGATGTGAACGGAGGTCCGTCGTCAGTTCCGTCGCGAAGGATTGCAAGGGGCTATCCACGTGCGGCTGCTGCTTGCTGTTCGACCGCCGCATAGCGAAGAGCCCAGAGCCCTGGAGAGACTCAGAGCCGCTAGATTCGCTAACGTCATCTGAAAGCGACAAATAAGGCGACGATCCTAGTCGAGGAATCGAGCTGGTCCTCTGCGTAAAGTACGAACCTCCCGCATACAGGTCGGATGTGAAAGGCGACTGCCCCATGTAGACAGAGTCGATCGAGGGTGGCCGTGATCCAGGACTATGTCTTGACCGCGTACGCAAACCGCGGTCCGTGAAGAGTTGGGCGTCTCGCGTTTGGCGGCCCAAAAGACCAATTCTGCTCAACCCGAAGTCAGTGAGCTTGAGGTGACCGTGCTGATCGATGAGCAAATTATCCGGTTTAAGGTCACTGGTAGCAATGAACGTTAGCTCTGCAGACAACTCAAAACGAACGTGCGACATACCGATGTACAATACCGCGCTGATGTAAGTATTCCAAACCAAGAACAACCTCAGCAATGTAGTTGCGCGTCCACTCCTCAGGCAACGACCCGAGAGACTTGATGAGCGCGGCGCAATCACCGCCGTTGAGATACTCCATAACTAGATACAAATTCTCCTTGCTCTGGAACGTGAAGTAGAGCTTGGCAACGAAAGGCGACTCGGCCTGCTTCATGAGAATCATGCGCTCCGCCTTGACATTGGTGATCTGGTTCTTTGCGATCATGTCCGCTTTCTTGAGCACCTTGATGGCGAAGTAGTCGCCAGTGGCTTTCTTCTTCGCGAGGAAGACGGAGCCGAAGGCACCCTTGCTGATAGGCTTGATGATCTCGAAGTCCTTGATGGACGTGGGCGTCGTCCTGGATAACGGCGCCACAGAAGGAAGGCGGGGCGACAATGGGGTGCCCGAGATCGAGGCGGTCGGGCTGAGAATTGGTTGCGCTGCGGTCGAGTGTCGTCGTCGACGCGGTCGTCGCGTCTGCGACTGATCTTCGGGTGAGACCAAAGGCGAGAGGGGCGGGGTGATGAGTAGGCGAGGCTCGAAGGTGCCTAGAGAAGGTCGTGGCCGAACCGTGGTCTGGTTGACCTCGTTGAGATCCATGGGCGGCGGTGTGAGATCGTGAGAAGCGAACGGAACAATAGGTGCTGCCAATGCTAGAGGAGATGAGACGGAGGATGGAGTGGACGACCGTGTCTGCAGGTTGATCGGAGGATAGGCCGGAATAGGCGCGACAGGAAGAAGAGGCGAGCTGAACGTAGAAGCCAGAGTGGTGTCAATGGTTTGACCCGAATGGCCGCCAGAGAACGGGATCGGAGAAGTAGACGCAATGGGAGTGGGCTCCGCCGTTTGGCCACCATACGCGTACTCGGAGGTGTTACTGGAGTGGTCATCACCCTGCTGCTCGTCCTCCGTAGCTTCCGCAGTACCTGCGCCGTCTTCATCCTCTTCATCCTCCTCAGCGAGGTCCTCCATTTGCTGCGTAAGGGTCTGGGCGACCTTCTCCTCCCACTCCTGGCGAATCTTCTCCGAGTACTTGATCGTGTTCTGCATGCGCAAAACGTTATCGATCTTCTGTCGCATAACTCGCTCAGTGTCCTCGATGAGCTGCATGAGCGCTCCGTCCTCGATAGAAGGCTTGCACCACCGTCGGACTTGCGATATCTTGCGCTCGGAGACAGGCGACAACAAACGCTGCCTCTCGATAGGCTCTGCCGACTCCTCGTCCTTGAGCGCAGGGATAGATATCTCACTGCACAGTTGCAGGATATCTTCGAGTTGCTCGAGAATATGGCGCTGCAGCTTCTTCACGCTGAACTTCTTCATCTTCAGCGGCGCGCGAAGGAGCTGGAGCGGCGAGGAAGACCCAGGAGAGGTAGCTGGAGAGAAAATGGGCATGCCACGATACTCTGGAGCGGTCATGGGCGACGACCGGTCAATCGCCGACATGAGTTCGCGGATAGTGTTGCGGAGCTCGCCAATCGACTCGTTGCACTCGCTGATCTCAGCTTCGAGCCGATGTGTCTCCGCGCACGTCTCGTTGTGCTTCTCGAAGTACCATTGCGGGACCTCACACTCGCAGATGCGGCAGAGGATAGGCGCAATGTTGATCGGCCGCGCGAACGGGAAGGGAGTGACGGGGTCGTGCACCTGACGATGTCCGAAGCCTACCTGCGCCGCCTCTGCAGAGGCTGGCTCGTCGCCGATCTCGCCTGACTCGAGTAATATTGAAGGAGGCAGCTCCAGGCACTCTGGCTGACCGATGGGCTTGACGACCCACATTGTATGCGTCGGCGTACCCTCCTCACGGTCCATCATGAGCATACCCGTCCCCACCATCTGCTGGTACAGGTTCTTGTAGGAGGATTGACCAGGTTCGGCGTCGGCAACCTTGAGTCTGAATTGTACCTCGACGGTGCGCGAATCGTCCTCAAGGAGTCGCCGGGTCGCATCACGGAAGACATGCCAGTCAGCAGGAGCAAGCAGGCGAGATATTCGCGTTCCTATGAGATCTTCCTGGTCGGTCCTAAGGCCACAAATCTATTAGCCGGCGGCGAGAGAGACGATTCAATGTGCACATACCCGATAACGTTCCGCCAGGCATAGTTGACCCATATATAGTGGTCGCCATCCATGCTCAACTCCAAAACGATGTTCTGGTTCTGGGCATGCTCGGCTTGGAGACGTAACCGTTCAGTAGCCAGAACCCTTGCAGACTCGTTGTTGTCAGTAAACTTCGACGTCGATCTGGCCTGGTAAGTCTCCTTCGCAGGAGTGACAGAGAGATCCTTGGGAGTTTCGTCCCTAGTTCGGCGGGTCTGGCTAACAGTCCGCGACATACGCAGCTTGTTCTCCTCGTCCAGCTGGAAGCGTATCGCACCTGGCCCCTCCGCCTCGGCTCGGACTGACGGTGTCGGGGCGACAGCTTCCTCCTCGTCGGCGGGCCTCAAGACAAAGGTGAGCGCCTCGTCCTGCTCGTCATCGTTGTCGTCGAAGTTCCAGAACTGCTTCTCCGCCTCCCACCACTCGACCACTCGAGACAGACTCGCAATTGCGAGCAGGACCTGGACGTACCAGTTGCGGCCGTGCCAATCCGGGTGCTCGTCCCATGCCTTACCGATGTTCTGCACACGCTGCACGAGCTGCTCACAGACCTTCGGGTTGGCAGTAAGCTGGTTGATGGACATCTCCTGCACGTCCGTCGCGATGCCAATCAGGTCGTACAGTGTTGTCATGATCGGATCCACCGGGTCATCCACCAGTATTCTCGATGAACGGCGGTTGTTGGTCACCGGTTCCTGGTATCCCCGAGGAAGGGGAGACCGGGACCGAGACGTCGAACGCGAACTTGCACCAGAGCGAGGAGTGCGGACGGGTATGTGGATCGTCCGGGATAGTCTTCGACTGGCCAAGGTCTGTCCGCTCCAATCCCTGGATTGTGCCGCTGCACTCTGCTTGCGCGGACTGACCACCTCCGGTGGGGGCGTCGGACTGGTAGCGTTACTCAGCGCAGGACTTGAGGCGCCAGTACTCGAGGACGCGACATTCGCTACGGACCGGTCCCGAGGAAGAGTCGAGTGCCGCCGCAAAGACGCAGGGCTCGTGGAAGATACGGACGCTGTGAGAAGCCCGGGCGACGGTGGCCCGAAGGTCAGCGAGTGCTGGGTCGCGGGATCTTCATCGAGAGACGCACGTTGTCGACTGTGATAACTGCCTTCTGGGTCGGCTTCGTAACCGCCATCAGAGCTCACATCGTCAAACTGCAACGCGGACCTGAGCTCCGCCGGCTGCAGGACGAACGCTTCCCGGAGGGGTTCCGGCTGAGGGTCCGAGAGGGTGGACTCCCGTAGTCGTCCATGCTCCCGCTCCCTCTCGCGCTCGCGCTCGTGCTCCCTCTGCTCGCGCTCGAACTCCGCCTCGTGATCACCCTCCCTGAGGCGCTCTTCAAAGAATGCAGTGATGGAGTTGGTGGTGCGCTGTAGCTCCTTGTCGCATTCGGCCTTTGCAGCCTTGAGACGACGCGTGACATGACGCCTCACAAAGGGCATTGAGACCGTGTTTGAGGAAGAGGCGTGAGCGTTAGTGGCACCGTTGCTGCTGGTGGAAGAGACATGGCTGTGAATGGGTGGAAGTGCAGTTTCCGGCGAGAAGACAAGGGGACTTGGCGGCTGGCGTCGAGGATGCGACGAGTCGGCGGACATAGAGGTCCTGGCTTGGGAGACGGGACCTAATTAAGTCTGACGACAAGGACACTGCGATTAGGATACGGGCTGGCAGGTCGAGTGGCAACGGGGGCGAGAGAGGAAGAAGAGAAACGAAGGCAGCGAGGCGGTGGTGGCGGGGCTCAAGGCGACATGGACGAGGGACAGGACGACGTTTGGACGTGGCTTGGATACGCAGGAGCGATGGGCGGCCAGTGCGAGACGGGGCCAACGTCAAATCCAGCAGGGCCGAGGCACGCGCATTTCACACACTACTACCTGCCATATATGGCAATGCCCCAGCGCGCCCGCACTGTCGGCCCCGCGTCCTCTGCCTTTCCCTCTCGCCCACGCGACCGCCTTCTGCGCTGAGGCCGTCGGAGAGCAGCAATTCATCACCGCAGGGCCCTTGCAGTCGCAGGCAGTTGCACCAGTGTGGGCCGCCGGAAGAGGCAGTCTGGGCCATCGTGGCGCTGTCCGGGGTCCGGCTCAGCGCGTCCGGCTCGACAGCGACGACAGCCACCTGGGCGACTTTTACGCGCAGACAGCGAGGACGCCTGCTCGGTACGCCGTCCCAGCATCCAACGAACCGTCATTGCTCACGAAGCCCTCAGCTGCTCTCATTCCCGGTCTAGCCTGCCATCTCACGCCTGGTCACCTGGCCCCGCCTTCGCCTTCCTTTCCCTTTCGCAGAAGTACTTGGTATTGCCCCAGCTCTTCCTTGGAGCCCAGTCCATTCTCAATCAAGTTCAGTCTCACAGGTTCTTAACGGCCTAGCCGCCTGCCCTGCTCAACAGCATGCTGTCCCTCACAAACTCCCTCCGACAGAGCATTTGTCAGACGCGGTCGCGCTGGCAGAGACCTCTGGTCGCTGCTGCTTCAGCCGAGGCGCGGAGACACAACTCAAGCCTATCACTAGATAATGTCACCGACACCCTCAAGAGCCAGGGCAATGCCCCGCTTCCGCCAGAGGGGGGCCGCCCAGAGATACGTATCAACTACGGTGAGTTGTACCAACGGTCTCTTGAGCCCACGATGCTAAAGTGTTCCAGACGAGATCACCACTTTCGATGGTACCGCACCTCACTTCAGGCGCCACAAGGTTCATCTCACTCTTGCTAGACCGTCCTTCTCTAGTGCTCACCGTCTCATAGTTCTTGGTCCCAGACAAGCTCTCGCACAAAGCACAGACGATGGAGACCCACCCGCGCAAGAAACCGATGTGCGGCCCCAACGCCAAGGAATCGCGGCAGCTCGACATGTTCCACCAGCTCAACATTGACCCGCTACAGGAAGCATTGAACTCGCGCCTGCTCACGGGTTTCGTGTCAGAAATGGGGAAGATCAAGTCGCGCGCCGATACAAAGCTTACATGGCGCAACCAGCGCCGCCTCGGCAAGGCGATCCGTCGCGCGAAGATGATGGGTATCATCCCGGTCTTGAGCAGGCGGACGCTCTTGTACAACTTGCGAGACACCTAGTCGCCGTGTGTAGTTACTCGACTATCATGGGGCGAGGCGCTATAGCGGTGATCACATTGATGAATACATTGCCATCTTTCAAAGCAGAGCGTTTCACGGTCACGCAAGCGGGCTTGACGGCAGTACAGTCAGCAAACCAGTCGGCCAGCGGCACTCAATACATCTACAATGCCTACATCCACAGCCATGATCCGGCCGCCCCCAGTACGCTTGCATTGAAAGTTTGATCTGGTTGACGTTCTCCACCTGAATAGCTGCAACTATAACTGGGCGGGACCCCCAATTCCTCTGTCCGCGTGGTCAAGAACGTGAATCTTAAACGATAAGATTAACGTTGCAGTGCTCTATGACGGTCGTTGACCCCCTGTGATGCTCAGCCCCCCTGACGGGACCGAACGGGTCCTCCTAGGAGATTGTGTTACTTCCGTCTACGGATGCAAGTGGACACTTCTCACATTCATTGACCCGCTTAAAGAAGGCAATGTCCACGCTCAAAGGTGAGCTCTACCGCATCCGCTCGAACATCATCTGCCACAGGGCCCCAATTCAAAATTGCGTGCAGCGTCTGCATCCGCCGCGGTGTGGACATGCCTGGGAGGACCATGGTACTGCGGTATCCCGTTCGAGAACAGCTTCCGAGCCGAGCGAGCTTGCGCCCATCGCCCACCCCACGGCACTCTGGACGTGCGTGCGTGCGCGTGGTGTGAGGCTATCGGAAGCTACCGACTGTGTAGTCGCACAATGTACTCGCTCTCTTAGGCGGCGACGATCCTTCGACGGAAGGCGTGTGCTGTAGATCACACGGTTCTCCCCTGACGTCGCCGGATTCTCTGGCCGCTCGCGGAAGGACGAACTAAGTTGCATACTGTGTCGCTCTCATAAACTCGCTAGTTCTTTGATGGCGTGTTTCCCATAGTTCGGCTACGAAGCCCTCATTATGGCCCGGAGGGTGAAGTGATCTCGCTCGTAGTAAGTATCTCTCCAGAGAGCTGCAAGAAGCCGTGTCGTCGGTACATATCATTGTACGACTATTCAGAGTGAGAGTGCGTTGGTTGATTGCTTTTGTACCGGTCGGACGTTTCGATTGAAAGGATGGCCATGCAGACGCGTACGTTACGCGCAGGGTTGAATGTAGTCCCGTTGTTTCTCAAGAGCGTCAAGAAGTTTGTATGTACAAGTATTCTCGTAGTGTCAATTTGAAGCCACGCTTCTGGCATTATGCAGACGTCGACCTATAGTACCCTATTAATACGAGTGAGCTTAACCAACTTTGTCGATGACTCGCCACTCTGCTCTGCGCTGTGCAGTGTGTATTGCTTCAAGCATACGTCTATAGTACCGTCACCACGAAGAACTGATCACGGTGAAAGTTCGTTGTATTCGTCTTCCCATGAATACTGCTCATTGTAGCCCGAAGGATTCGGCTGCCATACAAACCATTTCCCATACGTTAGGCGGCGCGTCTCAAATGGGGAATGCAGCATGTAACTACGGACGGCCGGAAGGCGGTGTTGGTCGTCACGGTTGACTCGGGTGACAGCGCTCATAGCGTGATTGGTACGACCTGTCCAACAGCAGTTTGACGGACGTTCAGGGACCGGAGGTTGAGCAGATACGGTTGTACCTCATGCCTGATCCACTTGACATGAAGAACCGAATGGTAGCGCTGTGGGTGCCGACAAGCTGGGCCTGCGCCAAGTAAGGCGGCGTTCAGCCGTGCTGGAATGACCACTCGTGCAGCTCGGTGACACTCAAGGTAAATTCACTGTCGCATCTCTCATTTCATGAGAAATAGACTGGTAGATCCGGGGCCTTCTGTTCCCAAGTAGGTTACCACAGCGTCTGGCCCAGCTTTGAGGGATTGAGAGTGATGTTCTCTGAAAAATACAGCATGTACTCTCATACAATTGCGGCGTCGGTGAACCTTGAGGGACGGGAGATCTGCAGTTTCCCCTGCGAAGACGAGGACGTGACTGGCGCTGCGAGCTACTAGTATGAAAATCGAGTGAGTCGCACAAACAAGAGGCTCGCAAGGAGGTGACTCAGCTTCTTTGCGGATATAACCTCTTGCAGACCCTGTTTTCCAGGAGGCCGGGGAACCTATCCGAACGGAAGTCAGCCATCACGGCCAGCGTTCAGAAGACGGAGAGCTAGCGCGAGTAGATTCTCATGTTTCGCCGAAACTGCTCCGACGCTCATCGCGCGTATGACACTGGCCACAAGCGTTCATCGTATCCCAGACGAGGAGTACCGCACGCACGCCTCCCCAGTCGCAGGGCCATAGACACGGTCACCCTATATGCAAGGATGACCTCCGAGCAGCAGACCTGCTATCCGTTGCTCCTCGCTCTCCTCCTGATTCCTGGGTGTTCATGAAGTCGAAGCGCCTGGAAGAGGGTACACGCAAACATTTGGTCATACCGTCATAGTCATCCACGACCGCATTGGCAGGTCTCGATACTCATTGGTTACTATTCACTTACGGACAGCTGACAGCATCCTCAGGCTGACCAAGGATCAAGACACCATTTTAATTTCGGCGACCGCATCAGAGCAACACTGGGCGATTTCCAATTTAGCATCTCACCAGAACGGACACCGAAGAGACTCACCGATTGGCTCACCGTGTAGGCCGCCGGACAGATAGACGTGAACCCTGTTCGCGAGGAAGGGCCCCACCTCTCAAAGCATGCGCTGACAAAATCTCTAGGCTTGTCATCGACGTTGACGGGGGCTTGAATGACCACGGCTCGTTGAGGTACAGCTTAGGTGCGTGAGTCTCTGCCGTGCAATGCATGTCATTGTTGGTGACGACGACAGATCTGTAAATAATCCTGATCATCTCTATGTCGAGCACGTATCATCATCCCACTGTCCTCCTACCCAGGTGCGACGGTTCCTCTAGTATGCTTCAGGCTCTGCAACCGCGCTACTGTCCCACCCACACTCCCAAATGCGGTGATTGAGTGGCAAAGGAACGACCTAGGATAACATCATCTCCGTGATGGAAAGGATGCTGCGGCATTCCCAGATCTTCACGACCTTGAGACCTGCCCGCGCTGCCAGCGCGCTGAGCTGCTCTGGAGTACGTTCAGTGCCGTTGAACAGGGCGAGCATAGCTAAATCCTGCATGTTCTTGAAGATACTAGCACTGCCGTAATTTGCAGGCAGGGGTGCGGGAGCACTCTTCAGAAGGGGAGACCCCACCGTCGTATGCATGACTATGTCGGCAACCAGGATACGGGAACTCGCGCTCATAGCCTCGCGTAGCCGCGTTAAAATGGTGACGCAAACATCGTCCGCCCAATCGTGTCTAGCGCCTTTTGTAAGTAGCCAACGTATCGGAGACCGTGAAGGCTACTCACAAGATGTAGCGGAGAAAATAGACATCAGCGCCTTTGACGGGCTGCTCCCGGAAGAAATCGTGAATCTGCAGGGTGACGCGCCCATCTAGTATCGCTCGAGGCATCCTGGACATCCACATTGCTCGACCTTGCTCGACTACAGGACCCCTGTCCTGTACGACGAAATGCAGCTTCGGGAACTGCGTCGCCAGCTCCATGGACATGCTGCCTGGAAGGCGAGTCAGCGAATACGCATTAGGACAATACCTATCGGACATACCCACACCCCCACCTACGTCCACGACTGTTGCGCCGCTCAGAGCCTCCCATGGATAGTCTGAAATAATAAGCACAATTAGCGGCTTAGACCCGTCGATCCGATCCGGAGAAAACGAACCAGAAATGATGGAAGAAGAGACTAGTTGTCCCGTAGCCATCATAGCCTTAGTAAACGTCTTGAGCAGAGGGCTAGGCTGTAAGGTCCCGTCTTCCTGTCTGACGTCTTGCTCACACCATTCCCAGAACGTCATGTCTGTGCCCATGGCTTCTTGGAAGGCATTTCGGTTCGGTGCGGTCTCTCGAGATTTCACGGGATCCATGAGTACAGAGGGCAGCTTATCCATCGACTTCGTGTAGACGCCAAAGCCGCTATAGTATACTCTCAGACAAGATAGGTCCCCGACGGCTATGATGACTTACTTCATCAGCATTAGAGACTGTGCCGGCTCGTTCCGCACAAGGATCCCACTTGTGCGAGTATTTGCGAAGTGATCGCGCTTGACTTCCGAAAGTATGTGGCTAGTGCACAGCAAACGGAGAACGCGTGCTAACACAACCGATGTTATTACGGCAGCGGCCGATAAGTAGGACTACATGACTCACCTAAATTCGTGTCGTCAATTTGGGTCCTGCGACTCAGTTCATAGATCGGCATGCCCTCGCCAGGCGCGACCTCAGCAAGGATGTCCGGAATCCGTGCGGCAACCAATATATAGAGGGACTCTATGAGAGACAGCGCTCCGTGCGATACCTCTTCTAATCGAGTGAGGGGATCCTGTACCATATCGGCACACATACCGCAAGCACCACGTATAACGCGGCGAGCATCATACAACTCTTGCGACGGGAGCGCATTTTCTTCTCTATTATCACCTCGTTCTTCGGCCTCCCACTCTTTGATGACTACCTCTGAAGCATCAGTGAGTAGACGAATCAGAGAACGCAACTGCTGCGCCTTTTCCGCTGCGGACATGGCGACCGGGGCGAAGTTGAGCAATGATCCAAGTGCTCACTTTCATATTTAAGCAGGGCATAAGGTTCGGCCGTACGTGATGAATCTCGGATGCAAACGCAAGTAGAGGCTCGTGGACTCCGAAGATCGGACCCATCTCAACTAAGCGTAACTGCGTTTGTAACAGCGGCCATCGGACAGTGGCGTTGAACTGGCGGACGCCGTCAGACATTAAGTGCTGACGGAACAAACATTAGAGCATGAGAGAACAGAAGACCAATAGGTAACTTGCGGGACTTACTGTAACACCGCCCACGACTACTCTTCGATGGACAGCAAGCCGAAGGCGTTCCGGGGGCGTGGAACTGCCGACAAGAATGCATTCGTTCCCGACGCTCTGATGACCGGATTGCAACATCTTTGGCGTCTGGCCTGGTCAACGGCAGATTTGGTATGGGCTGTGCAGATAACAGACCGATACTCGGGACGAAGTCCGTTGAGCGGACGATGGTCTACGATGGTCCAGTGTGATTAGTTCGTTCTTCGTGCGACTTCACTGTGTCCTTCAGCCTCTTTCACAGCCGAAATGGAGTGGGATGGCTGGGACGCCTAACAGTCGATTGCAAATAGGGAAATCCGATAACCCCCTCGCACCAGAAGGTCAAAGGTACGCATGGCCCTGGCTCCTCCCGTTCCAGTCATGGCGCGAGCCCAAGGAAGCACAAGTCACTGGAACCCATGAGATCTGAATCGACGAAGTGACAAGCTGCGGCTGCATATAAGTGAATCCGTGGGCTGATCAACATCTTCTGTCAGTGTACGATCGGCCGGTTAGCATGACAACCAGATTCAATTCACAGCCGAGCGTATCATGGGCTTCGTTTGGCCGGATTTCCCTGCGTCAATTAAGTATTAGCGACCGAAGGACTCCGAAGGAACCGACGCGGACATTTCGATCTATGTGAAGTGGGTACATATGTGAGGCTTCGACACATGGGCCAGATCGTGAATAAACGAGCTGGCTGCTACTGAACGGATGGGTACAGACCTCGTACCTTGAGTAAGGCACGTTCCGATTTTCATACGGGACTGGAGCATTGATGACATTGACAGCGCGGGCCTGAATTCCCATCCAAATCGAGATTGTAAGTGAAGGAACCACTCACCGAGTTCGACAAACCTGTTACGAGCGTTTCCACCCTGTCATCGTGTACCAGCGGCGCGTCTCGTTTGTGACGTCTGTGAACGTCTCGTGGATATACGAGGTGAAGAGTTGTGTTTTTTTTTCATTGGAGGCTGACACAACAAGCGCGTAATGAACTCACGGAAAGCGCAATGTCTGATCACCGACCTTTCGCTCAATTATGCCGGCAAGACCATCCGCAGTCGACTATGCATTCACCGAAAGGCGCCAGTACGTGCGTGCATGCCGAGCCGTGGGCCTCGTGTGAGATAGAACGTAGGTTGGTACGTGCTCATCAAGCGACTGTCGGACAGACGCACGACGCTGGGCACATTGGTGCGACCATAGGACCCGGGCGTGGGCGCCGATGATAGGACCACTGGTCCCATTCGTTGATTAATGCGAGAATCGTCTACCGAGTTCACGCCTCAACCTAGAACACATGGACACGGAGAGTCGGCACTCCACTTACACAATGCCGCTCTGGATGTTCCTGCGTCAGGGTTTAGTGTAGGACGGGAAGGTTGCTTACACTGCGATGACCCCACCACGGGTTCCGGAGTTGCGCCGTCCTCCATTCAGTAACGGGGAAGTGATTCGATGGGTACGCAATAGTCGATTCTCATTACAGCTGCAGCCTGAGGGTCATAATGGCCGGTGAAGTATCGTTCGCTGGAACAGAGATTAACAACCTACTCTTCTGCGTGAGTGTCCGATTAATGGGATTCACAGACACATACCGTCGCCAGACATGTAGGCAAACACTGTGCCATAGGTCCGATCGTATACATTCAACGCATGACGATGCCTTAGCATTTCTCCCCATCCCGATTTTCGCCTGATATGAGAACACGAAAGCACGCATGCCATGTTGATCATACAATATACCTGCATTAGTCCATGGTAACGTCTACAGCTCAGCCAACAACATGGCTCCAAGGTTCTGAACCACCTGGTCCCCTATGGCCTTCTCCACTTGTTCCTCTAGATGCCGCTTCGGATCCTGTTTGCCAACATGCCGTGTCTTCAATTGGTCTGACGTAAGTGTGGATTCTTCCTGCACGGATTTGTTGTATGCTGCCGAGAGGCTCAACATGGACTAGAGAACGTCATGAGGATCTGATCAGAAGATCTCTGAAAGTATGTGCAGCGAACCTTAATGGCTTTCTCGTTGGCCTCCTTATGTCCCTTGAAGTCACGAAGCGTAAGCCCTTCGGTCCAATTGCGCTTGTGAAGATTCATGAGCATCGACTGCTCAAGTTCGGACTTCCGGTAATCAACCGCAATTGAGTAATAATGCCGGTTGAGGCCGTGGATGAGGGCTTGTATTGATGGCTTGTTGATGTGCCCGATGTTCGATGTCGTCTGTCGTGGTTCTTGTCCTTGAAGGACAGTGGCAGGGTTGATAAGCCGGAAAGCGTCAATCACGACCTTCCCTTTCACAGACTGAATGGGGTCAACGACGACAGCAACCGACCGCGGGTCCAGTTGCTCAAAGGACTGTATTACGAAGGTAAGCGGCATGCGGACTGTTTGAAAGCGAACAACGGACCTGTTGCGTGTTGATGTCAACACTAGACAGCCAACATCCGAATCCTGGATGCGAGTGATACCAGCCGACGACCATCTCTGATCTGCTTGCCTTTAGCCAAGGCGGACAGTGTAGATAGACCGAGTACCACTCACCGTCCTGTCTGCTTCAGCATGTCCACCATCTTGGTCTGGAACACATGGTCCACCGACTCGACCGAGACTGATGTTCCTGACTGAGGCATCGCAAAGACGTCGATAACCTGAACCGTATATTCATCCACGAAGTCTCCGAGCATTAGGCCCATGACTTCCATGGGTACACCGGCGCGCCCATGCTTCAGCATCTTTGGTCAAACATGTCAGAGTAGTCGCACATTTATTTCACGGGGTTCGTTACCTTGAGGAGCGCTAGTGAAGAGATGTGTATCGTCTCTCCGCTACGCATAACTTCAGCTTTCCTTCATGGACCGTGAAAATAGATGAACTCACTTGTCGGGAACCGTAGTTTCCCCGCCCTGACCGCGCCCGCCTGCTTGGGCCAGCATCTGTTCGAAGTCGGATTGCATATTGAGGGAGAGTGAGTGTAGGTGGGAGAGGTGCAGCCAAGCGAGGTACGCGTCGCGTCCGCTGACGCGTCCAGGCTGAGCACGTGCTTGTCTCTGTTTATGTGTGTTGTCTCAGAGTGACAGGAGATAAGCGCCGTTTCGGCCACTGCCCTCGGGCGTTTACGAGGTATGTTTGAGTCGGTCTCGAATGCATTTCTCTCATCGCCGTCCTCGTTGATGGCCCCCGCCCCATGTCGAGTGAACTGTCCAATGCACTCAACCCTAATGTTGTCACCGCCCGCCGCCCACGAGCTCCGCCGCCCAATGTCCCAGAGAACGCCACCACAGTCATCGAGCAACCGCCGCCACCGAGGCCATTCGTTCCACACCGTAGTGAGCTAGAGCTTGCTATATCTGAACCACCTCCACGAGCGGCAGCAGTACCAGCTCGGTATGTCACACATTTGAGTTCCGTTTTGGTCGTCTCACGCTTGCCCGACAGCAGTCCGGGCACTTCAACCTCTCGCCAAGCGACTGCAGTCCAAGAATTGCTTCGCGTTCTATCAAGCTCAAAGGACGCAGCTGAACTCGAGCGAAAGCGCAGACAAGCATGGGAGAAGGAGCAGGAAGCGAGGCTCACTCAGCGGCAGGCTGAGATGGAGCGACAGATGCTGGAGATGCGGCAAGAATTATCCTTGTTAAAAGCGCGGACCACTTTGCAATCGCCTAGTCCCCGCTCTGTCACTGGATCACCTGCTGCGTCCGTTCTTATCCCCGTTGGTGACGAGGGTTCCACCTCTCCCGCACCAATGCTGGCTCCCTTAGCATACCCGGCAGCCCTCCCATATACCTCCCCGGTGGTGCAGGCGTCCCTGAATCCTGGTGGTCTGCCTCCATTGTATCACCCAGTCACGATCTTGACCCCCCCTGCGGAACCGTCTCATTTCACAGCCCCTCCTTCACACACGCCGGATGGACCTCGATCAGGAGCAACGTCGACAGCAAATACTCCACAACCGGGCCTTCGCTCACCATCGTCATCCGGTAATCTTCTTACGCCTGAGCACACCCCGAGATTGCTGGCGGTTCAGCCAAGGGTACCATTGGCTAATGCAACTTCGGGCCGCAGTCCTCTTTTCGTGGAGGGTTCATCAACCCAACCGTACGCAACCCCTAGCTATTCGTCGAGTATATCCGGCATCGAGGAAGGGAGACCAGACGACACTCCTCCTATTCATATTTACGCTCCCCCGGGATCTCCGTTGGATGTTACGGCGTACATGGTGTCTCCCACGTTGCCCGTGCTGGGGAAGAGGAGCACACCCCATTACTCCAGTAGTGAAGGGAGCGACGAATCAAGCGATGAAGATGCCCCAGAGGGCAGTCGACCACGGAAGCGACTGAATGGGCACGATAAACGTTGCTTGACCATCCAAGTGAGCTACTGCTCGACAATGTCATGCCGCTTACTCATAGCCCCCACATGAACAGCACGCAATGCGTGCACATATCCTTCGACTTATGCAGTTGTCCGATGACAAGAGTTTGCCCGACAGTCATATCGAAGGTGAATCGCTCCCGATGGACGAGCCGGTCCGCTTCATATGGGAGAAGACCTCCAAGCAATCCTCCCATAACGCTGCGATGAAGAGGCGCATCATAGTCGACCTCCAGGCAAACCGCTCGATGTACAAGCATGTCCCAGAAAAGGACTTCGCTCGGAAGAACATGGAAAATGTCTTTGACCAAGCGTTCACCACGATGCGTCAGAAGTTCAAAGCGCAGCGGGACACTACAGCTGCGCGACATTTGAGACGGCGCGAGGACCGGAAGTCCTTGAAGGCGAGAAGAGCGAGCAGGAAGAAAATAGTGAGTCCCGCGTCAGTAAGGGATACTTTCGAGCTCACGTTGTCTTGTCAGAAATTGACCAATCGCGTTGAGTCGCGTAAGAGACTCGAGATCTTTTCACATCCCTCGTTCGATGGCGCTCTTCAGCAGGACTGTATGTCATCCGAGGAGTCATGCGACGACGACGATGACGGTCAGGATGCCGGAGCAAGGCCACAGACGAGACCGAAAGCTCTGCGAATTCGCGGCCTCCCGTGGAGAAGCCTCCGTCTCCAGCGATTCTACGCTCTGTTGGATGAGGAAGACCAAGCGGACAAGAGCAACAAACCCAAGCGTGGAAGCGGGCGCAAGGAGCGTCACGTAGGCCCAGACAAGGGCCCTCACATCTTACCACCCGCAGGCACATTGGGATGGATGGTCAGCAAACGTTGGATCCGTCAACTGCAGTGCACGCGAGCCGACCTCGCGCAGGCGGCGATGACCCTCATCAGCGTCTCCGACGGGATCGACTGGAATGAGTGCACCATCTTGGGTGCCGAAAGTGACGATGACGCAGATTTGCAGGAGATGCTACGGTCGGAACGGCATATACCTGTATCGGAGACGAGCTCGCTGCAGCATGCGCTGATTCCTACGTCGTGATTTCGAGTCGGGTATTGCGAAGGTATCCTTGGACGAACGTACTTTTCTGGAACAGGCTGCTTTCGATTGCAATGCTAGAGGGTCAAACTGGACAATACAAGCAATGTACGTTACTGGGTCGTCTACTAGCACATCTTATTGTTATTCTCGCTTTCACAATGCATCGAGTTGTCTATGCCCATCGAAGTCGAAGTACTGATTTGCGCTTACGTCGAGACTTGTCGTAAACGGCTTTGTGAATCTCAGATTTGCCACGTGGTGCATCTTAGGATCGCGTCCCCGCGTGGGGTGGAGAGACGACTGTGCAGGTTGTATGCCCTAGTCTTGTGCTGGCCGCCATAACCACTCGCGTGGAGACGGACATGGACACCAATGGTGAGCACGGACGCTGAAGTTTGCAGAAATATTGACACATCCTGCCACAGGTCCGTCCCTACTCTTGCCGGGGATGTCGCAAGAGCCGCGCAGTCATCTGGTAAACGAGAGCGGATGTGAGTAGTACAAGCACGGCCAGCACTGTGTTGCTGATCTCCTTGACTGCTGGAAGACAGTACTCATGCCCAGGACTTCGTGGATCTACACAAGCAGGTTCAAGTGCGTCGCTAGACGTGTCAGTTGACTAGCAACCTAACCGCGTGTTCCATTAGTCGAGTGTCAGCTTGCTCGACTCGCTGGAGAACTTCCTATCGACATTTCAGAAGGACCTGTCTGCCGTTTCGGGTCAAATATCGACCCTGCAGGACCGAAGCAAAGACATAGAGAATCGGCTCAAGAGTCGCAGAGTAGGCATCATTCGTCGACTTGCATGAACGTGGCTGTTCATCATGCTTCCTTGCAGAGGATTGAGAAACCACTGTCTAATCTACTCGCGGACCTTTGCATACCGCCTGAACTGGCGACCATCATTCTCGATACACCCGTAGGTGAACCGTGGATCGAAGCCATAGGCGAATTCGAGAGCAGACTGGATGCTCTGAAAGTGAGGGCGAGAGTCAAGGCTGCCCGGGACCTCACAGAAGTCGCGGAAGGCATGCGGATAGTCGTAAGCTCATCGCTATCCTCGTACACCTTTCCTTTGTGAATCGCGTTCGTCATGAAAATATAGGCAGCGACCAAGTTGCGAGCGTTCTTCCTCGCACTGTTACAACCCATCCGGACCAGCATGACAACCAATATGCAAGTAATGCAAACATCTATCTTCCTCAAGTATAAGCCGCTTTTCCTATTTATCCAGCGCCAGGCACCGAATGTCGCCAACGAGGTACAGCGGGCGTATGTCGGTGCTGCACGCACTTACTACGAGACGGGTTTCCGCCGGTACATCCGTAGTCTCGGATACGTAAAGGTAATTGATTCGTTTTGATGCTCTTGGATCATCCTTAAATAGCATGCATGTCAGGCCAGGGCAATCGAGAAAGCAGACGTCATAACCGCTGGAGCATCAGAGGCCAAGGAGGAGCCCGAGGTTGACTTTGACAGGCTCGGGAGTTCCAGAATCAATGGGCCTGGTGTGGTTCTTGCGCACATAGCAGAAGAAAAGTCATTTGTACGTACCGCAGCATAAGATCATCCAAACAAGCTGAACAGCATCCTAGAAAGAGCCCATTGAAGCCGTTGTACGATCGTTGCTGCTCGTTCTCATGGACAATGCGAGCGCGGAGTACACCTTTGTGACGACCTTCTTTGCCTCAGAACAGCGCAGGCCCACGCACCAGAAGCGGTCGAGCGGCTCCATACGGTCTCCCACATCGCTGCTGTCGCCTACAGATGGCAATTCTGAAGACGGGCACTCAGTCGTCAGCTCGGACTACGGGGCCTCCCCTCGCCAACGTATCACGAGCATCGGCAGTATCATGGCCTTGACGGAGGTCAATGGCTCCACGAAGGATGCGAAGGAGGAACAGACGGCGCTCAATGCGGTGTGGAAGCAAATCATGGACCCGGTCCTCGATTACTGCCAGGTTCGTTGAAAGTTGAGAATTGAATACGGTATATGTACTCGATTCTAATCAAGCCCAGATTTTCTTGAAGGGTGTATTAGAGCCAACACCTCCTGTAGTGCCGTTGCTCATCATCATCCGGCTCACCGAAGACGTCATGGCCGAACTGCAGAAGCGCAACTGCGGTCCTCTGGAGACGTTTATCTTCTCCGTACGCCTACAGATGTGGCCTGTGTTCCAGAAAGCAATGGGCGAACACATCGAGTCGGTTAAAAAGTTGGCCGAGGGCACGACCTCTTCATTGTTCCGGAGGGGAACAACGACAACTGATTTGGCCGTAACAAATGTGAGTTGTCTATTACGCCGGAATCGAAGTCTAGGACTCACAATGGTGCAGATCTGCCGGAGATACGTTGTGCTGTTCAACTCATTCATAGCGTTGACGGAGCAACCCGAGGAGACTATGATATTCTCGAAGTATGCCCCTTCTCTACTCTAGCAACTCGCATACTGATGGCTGCTCATAGCTTGTTGCGCTTGCGCCAGGAGCTATCCAAGCTCATCGCTTCGCACACTGATAAGATCACAGACCCGGCAGCGAAAGCATCGGCGCAGAACGCACTGTACGACGTGTTGTTGCAGAACCTCAGCGTATGTCGTCAGTTCATGTCCTTACGAACAGGCTCTGATGGCCGTTGCACAGCGAGGCGCGCGTCCCAGTAGTCATCCCAGGGCGCAGAGCGAGATGGCCTTCTGGCGTGGACGGGACGAGGAAGTACGCCGGAGGATCACGTCGACCACTCAGCAGAGATAGTCAACAGGTCTATAGAGCGAACATGCGATGGTGGATATTACAGTGACATGCAAAACGGCGTCCATGGAATTTGGAGTGAGAAATAGTGGCTAGAGATACTGTGGTATGTGAGAAAATTCAAGCAAGGCTTGCTGGTCGCGAACTCGATGCGACAGCTAAGCTGTGTAAGGAGGAGTTAGGGGAGAGGCGCTGACAAGTCATCAGTACAACCAGCTCTTTAGTTCGTTGCGTAAGAGCTCACCGTTGTTCGGGCTTTTGAAAGGTCGAGAACGATGACTTCAGTTGGGAGGCGCCATTCTGTTTGCCAATGCCTAGCTTGTTCAGCACATCGCGCACCTCCCCAGGGCCTGCCAGTCTGCTCCGCTGCCCGCGCGACTTCGTGGGTGTCAACTTAAGATGTGTCTCGGGGTGCGCCACGGAGGATGTATGGTCCAGTGTCGAGATCGACGGTGCCCTGTTGGAGAGGTTGGGATTTGAGATGCTGCTGCGTCCCTCCAATGCGTCTCGCAAGTCGTTGACACCGACTCCTCGAGTTGAGCGGGCAAGACTCTGCAGGGAGATGTTCTCGATGTGCATCAAGGCCGGCGCGACCCTGACCAGTGGCGAGAGAGCGTCCCGGCCGATGGTATCATAGCCAGTGTTAGCTTCTACGGCTGATATATCAAAAGTCAGACCAACGATCCTTGCCCACGCGAGCGATTAGACAGCTTACACTCTGTGAAGGCGCCCTCTGCAGTCCACGCCGCGGCCAAGCGACGTCCTAGTCCCTCGCTGTCTAGTCCAGTGGTTCCAGCCACAAGCTGGCTGCTGGCGATAGACCGCCACAATGACTCGGAGTCGAGGTCAGGCAAGTCAGTCGCTGACTCTTGGCTAGGGATTGATACAGGTTGTTGCGGGGAAGGCAGAGTACCGGGACGTGCTTCTGGCACAGAGGGAAGCGAGGCGGAGGACGGCAAAGCAGACAAAACCTATAACAGACTGCGTCAATTCATGCTTCAACAGCATAGGCGAGTGTCCCACCTGCTCGGCTCTCTCTATCACCTCAGGAGATTTCCACACTCTTCCAATCACCGCCCATGTGCGAGCGACCAACTGCTGCATTACGGGCGAAAAGGGTGCGAACGCTGTGCCATGGGATCCTTCACGCGCAGCTTTGTCCAGAGCCAGAAGCATCGGCACCCCAGTGAACAGGCCTCGTACAGGGAGATGCTCGTGTACGGCCGTCAACACAGCGAGGATGTTCCCGTAATCCGAGAGCGTCGCCGCAGGTGGTGTAGAGTGCGAGAGCCTCTTCGGAACGTTCGACATCGCCCGCATGACGAACGACGTTTTCCGGGAACGCGGAGGCAAGGCCATCGAGCGTCGGCTCATCTGGTCAGGGTCAGCATTCGCGGAACCTTCCCGTGGGGTGCCAGACGAGGTGGTCGGGCGGTCCTGTCCGCATGCCGCGTACGAGTGAAGGTCGATGTTGGATGCCGTTGCGAGGACATAGACGTACGCATGGAGAGCGTTGAGCAGTCGCGTCGTCGCATCTCCATGTACGATCGCTGCCGTGGTGTGCGCCTGCTCCGTAGGTCCATCGACAATGGATCTGCGACGTTTTGAGACCTCTGCGTCCGTATGGTCACCCAGTCTGGGTGCCTCTGAGCGCAAAAACGAGATGAGAGCGACCGCGTAGTCTGCCCGCACGGCATAGTCACGGTCGCAGAGGAGGAGGAGGGTATCTTGCCAGACTTCGGGGGATATCCTCGTGCGTCGGGAGGGGCGAATATGCACATCTCGCGGGTCCGGTTTGCTCGACGAAGGGAGGTCCGGACTTGTTCCTGCGACATGAACTTCCTTAGGAGAACCGGCGCCTTGTTCTCGCGCACTCTCGTGTATATCCGCTGCATGCATGAGGCCCAACAGACCTGCGATGAGACACCGCAGTGCCTGCGATCGATACTGTTCGCTGTCCGCTTTCGTGGCAGCAGGCAAGCCATTCGACTCCACCACAACTATGCGACTGATAAGCTCCCCAGCAAGGTCTTGGATTTGATCAGCATAGTAGACATGCGTGCCCAAGGATGCGATACACTCGACAAGTGCAGGGAGCAACCCATCAGTCAGACTGACGGAGATTCTCCGGAATACGAGAGATATGAGGCTCGAAATCATGTCAGATGTCGACAGGTTAACCAGCGGGGTCGGCGATGTGAAGACAGTCGTCACCATTGCTGCGAGGGTACTGTTGCGTGCAGTTGGCTCCGACGCATCCTGGCCTTCTACCAGGCATTCCACGAGCCTAGTTGGAACGGCATACCGGTATTGGTATTGCGTCCATTCCGCGGACTTCGCAGCTATCCACTGGCAGTGCTCAATTTTGCTCCAACCTCCCGAGTCGTCTAGATAATCAAGGACGGCGGACAAGATGACTGTAGCTTGCATGCCGGTAGAATGTCCAAACAATGAGGCCAAGGCATGCAGAGACGCATTGACAACGTCACCAGACGAAGGACCCTTGTCACCGTCGACGTGTATATGGATGGATGCTGCGCGCCTTTCCAACGCAGGTCTTGTCCGGAAGTCGTCCGTAAAAGCGAACTTCGGTTGATCCTTGATGAACGAGGCCCTGTAAGAGATAGGTTAGCAAGCGATATACCTCCGTATGAAGCTTTTACAGACTCATGATTCAACGTATCCACATCGGCCTCGAGCAAGGGAGTGAGAAGAGCCGAAGTAACAGTTGAAACTTGGAGTTTGAAGTGTGTGGACGAATGATATAGCGCCTCTGAGTGAACGGCAGCGATGAGGGCTGCTAAACCCACGAGCCGCGTGCTTAGGACAAGTCAGCTACATGCATGGACGGAGTATGCTATTGGACATACCGATTTCTGGTCTCACGGTCATCTAACCTCTGCGTTCCCAGACTGGAGAAGTGTTGGAGGCAAGACATGTAATTCTGCGTCACTTCTCTATCTACGCCGATGAGATGGCCGTCGGTATAGGTTGCCCAGGCCGTAAACTGTAGGTGTACATTCATAATTGTCGGGTTTGAGAATTATATAGGCACGTACCACTGTCGCCGCCCTCGCTGCTACCTCTAAATCCGACAGATGCGCGGAAAGAGTAATGTTGACGGCAGACAGGAGGAAACTTGTTAGCATAGCGATGTCGCGACGACATTCTGCAGATAGTGACTTGAGGATGTAGAGTGTAATGAGAAGGGATCTAGGAACCTCTCAACATCGATTTTGGTACAGACATAAACTGGAGTTATGACCTACGCGCGTGATCGAGTGTTCCCTGCTTGAGCTTTTCGACAATCCGTCCTCACTCGCTTCTCCAGTTCGCTGGCGAGCTTGTTGATTTTGCCCGGACGATTAGATGCATAGTAGGTTAGTCTGGAGAGTTCTTGTGAGTTGGGGAGGTAATCTGGGCCTGAGGTGAGGAGCGCAGCAGAGGGCGGGTAGCAAGCTGAGACGAGGGTGACATGATTAGGAGTAAATGGCAGATGCATGTAGCTGAGATGCCGTATGAGTATTTGAGCTAGGGAGCGAAGGTATCGAGGACTAGAGCGAGAGATAGTGTAACAAACCAGACAAGGCCCAGCGAGAGCAGACCAGTTGGACGACTTGGAGCGGTGACGCGCTCTGACGGCCGCAGGTATGACTACTTACGTAAGCATGCTGCACACACCGCGCACCGCAACGGGCAGTAAGTACTTCAGTGCCGGTGAATCAGTACCGCGACTTGATAGACTAGGTACTTTCTGTCATTTATCAAAAGCTCTGATGAGAAGCATAGCGTTGACAATGATAGTCGGACACTACTATCAATGGTCTGGCCACCGGACATTCCTATGACGTTTCAAAGTTATGGCCCAACTGGCCTGTAGGGCCTAGTCTAACCTGCGATTCGGATGCCTTAGGTCTACGAAGCTATGGGAGTGCCGTGGAAGCATTGGAGTGACAGAAACCGTGCATATCCGTGTACTTATTCAATGCCTACCTCAAGTCAAGTCCGATCGAGTATGTATTGCTCAGATGCCAGGAGGGGGGAATGATATGATATGATCGTCTCATTCGAACGGAATCCGAACAGTCATCGAGTATGGCTACAGGGGGTATATGGACGGGAAAGGGTCGGTGTTGTCCGTCGCCGTCTTCATAGTAATACACCATAAATCTAACTCGACTGTCCAAGTCCGCTGTTGTTGCAGAACATTGTTGGGATACTGCGAGAGGACGTGTCCATAACCACAGCGTAATCACGCTCCTGCAGACGTTTCCCCTCCTTGACGCTATCCGTCACCCACTCGGGCCTGACGACGTGCACTTTGATTTTTGAACGTGTAGTCAGCATCCTCTGCGTCTTGGATCCGCTGAGCTGTTGCGACGTAAGGATATGTGTCGCCCCAGACGCTGTCTGACTGGAAAATATAATTCATTACTATCCGCTACGTCGAGCACAATAACAATATGTCACTTACAGCATGTGGCCCCCAGCCAAGGTGACAATTCGCTTCATCTCGATATCGGTCGTGTCTTCGAGATAGCCATTGATATAGACCTTGACACCACTCAGGATATCACCCTCAGGGCCCTGCAGTCGCTCTGGGAGCTGTTGCCTGAGTTTCGTGGACCGTGAGGCTACATAATCCTTGTTGAGTTGCCCGCGGCCATCTGAGCGCTGATGCCCCGTAGCTGCGGATACAATGTGGTCTAGGGGGACATCGCATGAGCAGCTGCTGTATGACTACAGAGAGGCATGCCATGCTGACCTGTCCGATGGTAGATATCGGAGTGCGTGATGGGATTCGACTTCTCGGGAAGGGTACCAAGCAGATGTTTGGTTAAGGCTGATGAGGACGGCTTTTTCCCGTCATTTAGGAGGGGTGCAAGTATTCTGAGTAAAACGAATGCTGAATATTCGACAGACGAAGCACGAGGCGCCACAAGCTTACTTCTCAGTCTTCTTCTTCTCTTTCCAAGACTCGAAACGCCGCTCGTCCGTCTTCTTCACACCGTAGGGATTATAACGGAATTTGGCACGTTCTTGAGCCTTGTTCTTGTCTTCATTGGCAATTGCACGGTTTGCTGCCGGCTTCGTGATAGATACAAACTTATCCATCTTGAGGTAGGGAGGAGGATATATACAGAGACGACTGAGATTCGACTCTTCAGATACAGAGCATGCTATATTGCTGAATATTGGGGAAGGGGGAAAGGAGTGGGAGGCAACTCGATCACAAGAACGTCTGAGAGAGGTTCACGGACCAGGGCGGCCGGGCCACAAGCGTGTTGTTTATATGAATTTACCCCATCACGTGGCACGCATAACGCGCAGGCTTATCATTGATCAATGTCACGATCCTGACACGCGTCCTACTCTGAGTGCTCAAATCTCAACAGAAAGGACAGATGTGCCGCGAAGACGCGCCTTAGTATGTAGAATGCATATTCTTGCACATGCTCAAAGTGAATCGAACATAAATTAGGGAGGGCGGTACCCGGACGAGAGCGCTGCACATTATTTCTTCTGGATACGGACGTCCATACGCCTCACTGCGAAGCCCAAGACGAAGAGACCCATGAATGCGGTGGCAACCGCCAGCGGCTTCTTCAAGTGCGCGGAGAGTGGGACCTTGTACATGACCTGTGAATGGCATTTAGCACCTGCTCACAGCCACTTCGTCAATCCTCACATAGACAGTGCCAGCGTGCTTGGTCGTGAGGTCTTTGTATTCCAGAATAATTGCCGGCCTGCCCACAGTGTCAAGGTATGTGACATGCGTCTTGACGTAGCTCTGGATGGGAGTGAAGGGAGGGAAGAAGTCGACATCACTGCACAAGTAACATCAAAAGTCAACCGAAGCAACGCAGGGCGAGAGACCAACAACGTACGTAGCACCTTCAGGCAATATGATTGTGACCTCCGCATCGCCGACGACGGCTCCAGGAACAAGAGTCATCAGAGGCACGCCAATCACGTACTTCCCCGTACTCTTGTCGTAACCAGCATAGTCAGCGAGCGGTGAATCCCAACCCAGTGTGAAGCTGTAGTTCCAGCCGCCCATCAGCGGGTAGCGCGGACGAACCTCCAACAGGCTGGACTGTTGAGCAGGTAGATGCCCCACGCGGAGATGGGACGTAGAGACATTCCCGATGAGGTCGTAATAGTATGGCGAGCGAATGTTGGGTGGCAGATGAAGCGTCAACGATGGAAGGACATGCGGTGGCATGCGTCCCAAGAAAGTGGAAGCCTGATGCTCGAGACGCGAGAAATGGCCTTTGAGTCTGCAGGAATCTTGGTTAACGAGCGTCAAAGGAGCGCGCTATTCGCGACATACTTCGGTCCTGCGTTATGTAAATGGATCTTGTCCTCGATGTTCAAGTTCGCACCCCAGTGGCTGATCTCCGCAGACCGCTTCAGCTCGGTAACCTCGATAACCGGGTGGTCGTAGTTGTAGTGCACCGCAACCTCTTTCTGTTTCGGTTTGAGGAAAGTTGCGTCAGCAGTCGCCGGGATGTTGCTGAACGGTCCGTATGTGATTGTTGCGCCTGACTTGGTGACAGGTATCTCCATGGTGAACTCGTCGAGACCTTCCGGGGTCGAGTACGACAATATGTTAGGCGACGGTGACCTGCTCGGCCATTACGGTCACGAAGCACACAGATGGGATGCATGTACATACTTGATCTTTATCCGCTCTACGGACGTTTTGTACGGGCTCACGACAAAGAGGTCCGTTTCATACTTGAGCGACTGACCATCCTTCTGCCCTGCCTCCTCCGGCCAAGGATAGGTCGCGTGGGTCTCGATGGCCTCCACCACAAGATTAGCGGTCCCATTCGTCCGGAGGGTCTCTGGGAGCTCTACAGAGAATAGGTACACGCCACTGGTGTGGTAGGCGGTCAAGCGTCGTCGTTCGCGCGCAGCATATCCGCGTGACGCACCTTTCGCCATCGAAACCCGCACTCTCCATGGCTAGGATGTTCTGCTGGCCCTTTATCTTGGCCTCCAGCCAGCTTGTACGCTTCAACTCGCGTTCCGCCAGTGCCAGGGTGTAGACACCCGCGCCATCCTCGAGTGCTTTCACCGCGTACGTGGTGGTGACGTGCACGAGCGATCCGCCTAGGTCGATGGTCCGCACGATGGCGGTGTTTTCAAAGGAGTGCGCTGAAGCAAACGACGGACATAGCAAGCTCAGGAGCAGGAGGGGCAACCGACGTCGCCAGTGTGGGACCATGGTGGTCTGTGGTCCTGAGCGCGGGGAAGACGCGCAGTTGTAGACGTGGTCAGTTCAGCGGCTATTTTTAGCATCCCACGCGTAAGTAACTTAGTGGTAGGCGGCAGCCACTGTCATACGGCCATAGACGACCTCAATGCACATACTTAGGACAAGCACATTAATGGTAGTCAATATGGTAGCATCGGGAGGGTCTAACGATTGAGACAGGTAACAGTAACTACCATGCCCAGTTCGGACCAGGGTTCCGGATGGGGACGTGCTCTCTGTAGAGACCCGACGACACAATCCTCTTCAACTTCCTCTTCCTCTCCTCTTCCAGAAGCTCTGCCTTCGTCTTCCCCTCTTGCAGGACAACAGTGATTTTCGAGTCGGGGTGGACTCTGATGCCGGTCCTTCCACGACCTTTCGGCTCTATACGCTTCAGCTGCTTCGGCCCCTTGGTAACCCACGCTTGCGCTAGCGATGTTTCGTCAGCCCTTACAGCCGATGAAAGTGATATTCCAAACGTACCAACGACAAGCCTCTTCGGGTCCAAGCCCTTCAGCTTCGTGGCGTGGTTCTTCGCCACAACCAGCATGCTCTTGATCCGAGTACTCGCACGTTTCTCACTGAACTGCATCTGCAGTATGGCCATATCTAAAGGCTTCCCCGATATTTGACGACCAAGCATGTTGAGCTTCCTATGAGAGATTTTGAAGTTGGAGGTCGAGGATTGGTGCTACAGAGGACACGATTTGTAACTCCCCCACGAAGGTGCTAGGAGTATGGACATACCTCAGCATACTTCTTCGCATTCGCTATCTGAGCAGTAGGCTCCTCCGGGAGAGACTCGAAGACGCTCATCTCTCCCTTCTCAGCCTGTTCTTTTCGCACTGCAGCGAGTTCCTCCTCCGTGTTCTTCTCGCGGACTGACATCCCCAGAGTATTCCGTAACCAGCCGAACCTTCCTTTAGATGCACTGAATGGTCCATGAGCCAAAGAATGCAAACATAATCGGAGTCCGAGACTTACTATCGACGAGCATCCCTCTGGAGTGCCTGTGAGGTGGAAGCGACGGAATGCGGATACGCTGCAGTGAAGACAGCCGACCTGGCGCTCACTGTCCACCACTCAGCCGTCCAAACCAATGTCACATAGCCCATGGAAACGTACCATGTCGCAGTGCAGGTCGAGCGGTCTGCATGATGAGTTGCGAAGGGTAGTGCCTAGGCAGCAGCGTACACCGGCCAAGGCGAATGTCGGCGAGCAGCGTTGGCGCCCACTGAGAATTCGCGCTCACAACACTCCCACGGTGCGCTCGCGTTCTGGGTGTCGTGGTCGCGCCGCCTCCGAGTCTCTACTTCACGCGCCACGACCTCCATCTGTATTCTAGCTGCCGTCCCGGTCCTTTCGTTCTCAATTCAGGATGGCGCTGACCTTGGGTACGATTCTCTACGTGGCCATCCTCCTCATCAACGCCATGGCAGTCCTCAGCGAGGATCGTTTCCTCGCACGCAGTACGTCCTGTCTCTCGGTGCTCTCTCATGTTGCTAATTCTCGTCACCCAGTTGGCTGGTCCTCCGTATCACCACCCACAGTGGCGTCTGGCTTTTCACAACCATATGCCTCGGCGTACGACCAGGCGGGCTACGCAGCCCAACAGGACATCGGGATGAAAGCACGTCTCATAAATCTCATTAGCGCAGTGCGGACATTGATGCGCAGTACGTATGCTACAGTGTATGACATGGCTTGTCGGCTCACGTCGACCACGACCAGTACCCTTAATCGGAATCAACCTCATCATTATCATATACGAGCTGATCCTCGGCTATTGAAGTAGAAGAATTCGTCGTCGCGCTCGTGCACATCCGGGATATATCTCTTCAGAAGTCATCCTCCTCGCCATTGCGGTTCCCGTTCAGCTTGTTATACTCGTGATTGATTTGCCGCACGAAGTCGTGCACGTTGTGACCGTTCTATGAGTGGGAAGTCGGTCAGCGCGTGGATTTCGCGTCGCAGGATTTCCTACCTCGCATTGCTTCCACGTGCCGTCATGAATGCAAACCTGTTTCCCGTTAATGAGGATGGTGCAGCTCTTCCTATTTACCACAGTCAGAAGGACACGCCAAAGAGTACCAAAGGTGAAGGGCTTACTCGATTCCCAACTCCGCGGTAGCTTTCGCACTGTTCTGCAGGAGCAGGACGCCCTCCGGTGCTTTCCCGCTGCCATCAAGACCTGCGCAGTCTCCCACCCCGCTGTTGACCCAGTCGATCTGGGCAGTGTTGGCACACTTCAAAGCGGTATCCGGCTGGCCAATCTTGTCGATGCCTTGGTAATTTTGGCACTGTACAAACTCCCAGAAATGGGTTGGAGGCGCGTATTTCATAGCACACAGCTCGTGTACATTCCCAGCACATTCAGTGGGACCGTGCTTGCATGACACTCCGAAGTCTGGCTCTGAGGTGTTGGTGCTACATACCAAAACTTTGTCAGTTACGTCTGAACGCGTGAGCGCCTGGACATGGGCACGCACTGCGCGACGAATGTCAGCGAGAGGTCGACTTTGTTTGCCACGCGTTTCAAGACTTGGTCGAACACGGATTCACAGAGGACCGCATCAGGGCACCGGCTCATCACACCAAGGATCACGGGAACCTTCGTCTCGGTGACTACGCTTGGGAATGACGTCTGCGACTCATCCTGGATGACGAGAGGCGGGCTCGCGAGGGTGCGAGTGACGAGCGCAAGGGCCAGGGAGGCGAGTGTGAGGAGGGTCATGGTGGCAGGGAGCAAGGCGTGGAGATCTCGCGCGAGGGAAGGCTGGCGACGTCCATTCAGTCACTGCGATATATATTGCGCAATGGTTCTCGCGCGAACTTCACGCTTGCCCCGCAAATGTGGAGCGCCTCCGCGATCTTACCATCGGACTCGGATCTCATTCCGATATGCCTATATCGGGTCTATACGAGCGTACAGAGGGTCTTTCTTAGTCAGCACCCAATTTGGCAGGTCTCAGACACCAACCGGGTAAATGTTCTTCATCTTCATCGTTCCATCGAGCCTTTAGTACGCCGTTGCACCTAGTGTTTCTGCAGAGGGAGTCGAGGCGAGTCGAGTTCGGGAACTCGACATAACTCGGTGATGCGAGTTATGACGAGGCGAGTTGCGTGTCAACTCGCGAGTTGCCCACCACTTAGCACGTGAGCACTGACCAACTGGAGAACAGACACGGTGGCTGCGGCCTGCGATTGCACAGGACGCGGAGACGGGTAATGGGCGAACATGTACGCAAGGTGAACAACGATTGACACTATAGTAAAGTACTTTAAGCTTTCTAATGTACGCTACGGCGGCTACGCCATCTCCCCGGCTTGCTCGTTCGAATCACGGATGACTCGATCATCGAGAACATCGTATTGGCCAGTTCGTAAAAGCTCGTCCATCGCCGCCTCAGTGATTGGGCCTTCGATCGTGTAGTCGTCCTCGTGCACGAGAAGCTACGACGCGAAGTTAAGTCGCTCTTGCTTGTAGAGGTACTTGAGGATCTGTAGCGCCTCCATGACCTCCGGCGACAGTCTGTTGCGGCGGAGGGTATCGGTCTCCTTGCTGGACGGGAACATCCGCTCGCAAGAGACCGCGGGTGATTGAGGAGGGAGCACGTCGAGTGCGACGCGGTACATATACGAGTACTTCGCCTTCCGCTCCTGACATGAATTGCCGCGTCAGCAATCGTCGGCAGGTGATTGACAGAACCTTCAAATATACCCCCCAATATCGATGAGGTCTGCACCCTCGTCAATTGTGCCGGTGTTGTTATCTTTCAGGTACCTCTCTAATCCCAGTTCGACAGCTTGGTAGTCGAGGCCACAGGCCTGATCGGTCCCGCTCTCGGGAACACCAGCACTCGAGGTCGCGTTCTCGTTGTTCGTTGGCTTGCCAAGCTCTGGTGTCGCTGGCCGGGTTTCGGGGCCGCTGGGCTGTGCAGGAGAGTCTGACCCGGATGACGCAGACGAGGTCGGCATTGAGGCGGATCGTTCGATGCGGCGCGCAGCCAACTGACGCAGACCGGCGAGTCCGCGCCGCTGTGACTCGTGGGCCTTATTTGCGGCTGTTGGGAAGCTTGTCCTACGCCGGGTTGAGGCTTGACTCACCAGCCCCCGGCGACGAAGTTGTTCGTCCATGCGGTCTTCAAGCATCTGCAGCGGGGCATAAGCGTGAATTAGTCACTTGAGATTGCGTTAGTATGGAGAATCGGACGCACAGCCTCTATCTACCATTGACGTGCGCTGGCAGCTTCGCTGGGGTCCCAATTTTCCTCGATCCATTGCGGAGGACCATAATGACAGCGGTGGCCACTTCCAGCGCGACGCGGCGCGTAACGCGCGTTGAACGCATTCGCGTGACCGCAGTGGGGGCTGCCGGCCAATCATATGCGTGCGTACTCCTTATCTCAGCACCCCACCTAGCAACTCGGAGTTGGCTCGGCCCGCTCGGGGGTGCCGGTGAACTCGACTCGCCTCTCCATCAGCTCGGGGGTTCGAGTCGAGGCGAGTTGCGAGTTGACTCGCCTCTGCAGAAACACTAGCACCCTATCACAGCTATTTTCAGAACGTTGGACAGTCGCAAACGCGCGCGACATACGCTGACCAAGAGCCCCGCTCTTCGAGAAGTTGGAGAAAGCGGCGCTCGCGCCATCGCGCCGCACCTCCGCACGTCTATGTTCGCTTGAGCCTGTTTTGCCACTGTGCGCGGGACATTGAGATGCGTCGCGATCACGTTTTCTCGTGATAGTAGATAGTCTACCATATGCATGCCAACTATGTACATACAGCACTCCCACAATTGAGCTTGCATCACGGCTCGCTGCCTCGGATATCCCGCCCGTCGCAAGCAAGGTCGGAAGGAGCCATAGACGCGTTTTGCGAGTTTATTGGCTCTGCGTCTAAGGCGCACGGGATCGCGTCGCGCAGGCCGTATCATACACGCGAGGGCCGCATCGTCGTGCGCAGGTTCTGGCCTACTAGCTGTGCAGTGGGGAAGAAGAGCGGTGCGATGGGGCGAGTGCCGCTTTCTCCAACATCTCGAAGGGCGGAGTGCTTAGTCATCGTATGTCGCTCGCGTTTGCGACTGTCCAACGTTCTGAAAATAGCTGCAAGCGATGTTCCACGCCGGGTATAGGGCTGCTCAATTCTCGCCGCCCGTTCGTCGGTTCGTCGGGCACCTGCCCCGTAAGGCAGGTAGCATCAGATCCGGATCAAGCCCGGCAGATTCCCGACTAATCCAGCCACCGCCTACCGACAATGACGCTTAACGACTCGTCGATACTTAGCACTGACTGATACGACCTTGCACCAGCCAGAGGACGAGCCTAGGGTGACTCGGAGCTCAAGCGCTCACGTCCTGGTTGGTTTACCGTCGCAGAGCTGTGAACGGCGATTTCGAAGTTAAAGGGGGTAAATGTAAGATGCATCACATAACATTTTAAGCAGTCAATGTAGGTTATTGTCGGGACAGATGAGAGAGCGGCAGGGGAATAAAAATGCGATGAATAGCCCGATTAGAAACGAGACTCAAGACTGTGAACTGACAGCAGTGAACGCGCGCGTTAACGGAAAGTTACTGCTGACTACCTATGTGATTATGTAAGCCCACTGATAGCGAGCCCTCGACACTGTGTGCATGCATCCCATAGCAATTGGCAAGATTCAAATATTCTGTGGGTATCGTACACATCCGACACCTCGTAAGTAATGTACAGTCGGGAAGTGCGCTCGTTCTCTCGTTGGTCCTGCCGCTTTCGGTAGGCGGTGGCTGGATCAATCGGGAATCTTGATCCGGATCTGATGCTACCTGCCTTACGGGGCAGGTGCCCGACGAACCGACGAACGGGCGGCGAGAATTGAGCAGCCCTTATGGTTGACGGGACGTCCGAGGTTCGTTTGCCGCGCGCCTCGGGCATGTGCGGGCCAGGCCGCTTACGTAAACTGACCTCGCAGACAGTGTCTCGCTAGTATTTGGCTGCTTTTTCAATAACGGACACAACTCAGGATGCTGAAGAATACCATACCGTGCTTTAATGGCTTTTCCGGGTGTCGAGATCGAGTTCTGAGATGCACTGTCCGCAAAACCGCCATTTCTTGCGCACGGACAACATAAGCGCCGGTGATAACGGGCATATCAGTGATCTAATCTGACATGGCTACCTAAACGGGCGGTCTTCGGACAGATTACTATGTCAGGTTGCGATGCTAGTATCTGAGTAGTATGTGCCTCACTGACATTCCTTGGTTATGCTAACGTGCATCGGGCTGGACAAGTTTTGTGCTTGAATGTTATTGATTTCTCGGACGAGCAGGTGATCTCCAGCTACATCTACCCATTTAGGCAGCGAACTCAGATAAGATCACTGATGTGCTCATTATCACGGGCGCTTACAGCATGTCTTCCCAAAATGACCATTATTACGCGTCCTTATCCCACACAGACCGGGAAACCTACTGAGAACATCTCTAAGGTCCATATAAATTGGTTCAAATGCACCAAGAGTGTGTTGGGCAGTCCGACACGAGCGAGGGACACTGTGCGAGCGAAGCTTACGTAAGTGGCCTGGCCCGCAGATGCCCGAGGCGCGCGGCAAACGAACCTCGGACGTCTCGCCAACCATAGCCGGGTCCTATGCACGACATAATAATTAGTACACATTGATCTCACGCGACCAGAAGCTTCAGCCATTGTCCTTTCTGTCACACATCGCACGCAACTGGTAAGCCGTCTAATGCTACCGGCATATCGGACCCTGCCGGGCGCAGCAGCGGCGAATACCACAAGTCTTATCTTATCTATGCAGTCGCTGGCCTTCCATACATTGATTCTGAACGTATCCCGGATCCCGCTTCGCTGAGTGCATGTAAGGTGAGCTAGCACATTATGGTGCTGACATTGGACCTGAGGGCATGATGATTCTGCATGCGAGCTTAGCTTCCTTATATCCCAGTGCAGGCAAAGGAGATCGATGGGTGTGAGATCGCACCGATAGGAGTACAGGTCTGCAGCGATATTACCGCTTTCAAGGCATAGACTAGGATGCTCCGGTATTCGTATGGCTATAATACCTCTCAATTATGCACCCCTCTCCCCTGCATCGAGCAATTACAATTCAGCAGACCACAGACACGTACGATCTAGCCACGAGCCCATTTGCGGCTTGAGTATGAGATAGCATCCTGCTGAGTCCGTAAATCCGCTTATATGGCAGGGTGAGTGAAATGAGTTGTGAATCGTTGCTTTGGTCCGGTCAACGCTCTCAGACATACATGATAGACGTATAGACCCGGACCTTGGAAGTGCACCGCGTATGGGATGGCACATCATCGCCCTGCGCGAGCCGCGTCCCACCACTTCCTCGCGTCGGCATCAGTCAGCGGAGGCTCGAAGTATTTACATCGAGAGCGGAATGCTAGCATCCATCGCGTCATCAGAGCTTGCATACGCGCAATATGGCCGTCCACTCACCGTCCAACGACCGTTTCCGTACGATCTGCTCAACGACCAACTCGTTGTGCACTTGGTTTCGCTACATGATACGTAGAAATTGGCACATGTCATGCTGAGACAATGCCATTGAGGCTCACCTTGACCTCGTCTGCGTAGAGCGCACCTTGGATTCGACGCTGGGCGGCGGGATCCTCTGTCTCTGCGTCCAGCGCCATACGCTTGCCCTCCATTGACTGGTCGACTACGCCGACGCAGTAGTCCACTATCTCCGTCCTTCGCTTCCAGTTTGCTATGCATCAAGGACAATGTCGAAGGATAAGCATGCAGGCGGTATAGATGACCCACCCGTACCAGTGAGGATCACTCACCAACTAGTTCCCTCCAAATCTGGGTGCACGCCTCATCCTCCACTGAGCCCTTACCTAGACCTAGCCTATCCCGGTCACGGAATTGAGCAGTCGTTCGGTTCAGACGCATCGTAATGCTGTCATCAAGCCTCCGATATTCCTTCAGCAGGTCTACACAGGACGTTGAGCGTGAGAGGCACCAACTCGGTGCGACGGGACACATACCTTTGAATAGTGATAAGTCGTGACATGTCGACGCCGAGACATGAACTGTCTTGGGCGCGAGAGAGGGTGCTTGAATGGCAAGGCTGCCTAGTTGTGGTTGTTGAGGAGGCATTATTGGCCGGGCATGGCAGAGTGACGCAAGGTGGCTGCCGGGGCTCTCGGCATTCGCCTCGGCCCGCCTCCCAGCCTCTCCCAGAGTCCCAGCGCAGCGTGCTCGTTGGTGAGCCTCAGCCACCTCAAGTTGTACTTACACTGCAGTGTTCATCCAGACTCGGTGTACCGGCGACTCCAATTACTCACTGCGCCGGGATACAAGTCTGTGGAATACATTCTCATGCATTGGTGCGGGCTCACTTTCAGGAAACTACATTCAGATCGTGGAATTTACAGTATATACAGGGTATACGACGGTACTATCCTATCGATACGAATCACTAACGTACAGTGCGAGGTCCAATGGGACAACATAGAGAGGATCACAGCGAGGCGAAATCGATGCATGCAGGAGAAACGAACGTCGAACACACAGTCCAGTGGAAGAGCGGTACATATCGTGATTATCGTGATCATTACGAGGTCATAACCCGGACGCCTCAGTGGCCTTCCGTGCGACGACGGCGCCGGGATCGGAGTGGGGCAGCGACCCTGTGTACTGGTCCAGATTGTGCCAGCTCCAGGTCGGTCCCTCCGTACTCCGAGTCTGTGAATTCGAGGTCGGAGGCACCGTAGCCGTCTCTTTTCCTTTCGCGCGCGGTGATGTACCCGTGGACGTCCCTCTTGTGCCGGCAGCATCTAGCTGGGTCCTTGAACCTCTCGTCACAGTACGGGCATTCGTGCGGCCTATCGCCGGTACTGTGGGTCGTCTCGTTCAATGACGATGAGAGGACAGACAACGAATCATACGCACTGCGTGTTTATGTGGGTCTCAAGGTTGCTCAGCTGCGCGAATGACTTGTCGCACATCGGGCAGTCCCAAGGTCTGTAGTATCTTCAGTCTCTGTGTCTCACCATATTCATCACAACTTACCGGATCCCCAGGTGTTTGGAACAGACGTGGCGCTTCACCAGGTGCCGTTTTTGAATATACGTGCAGCGCACGTAGCTACCATCCTCTTGACGTGTTCCCCAAGTACACCTCAATTTATTGACGCCGCCTGCATTGTAGGGTTCGGTGTACTGGAGCCATTCGTCGTCGCTTTCCGGTTGGCGATTGGCTCTTGTTGCCAACGCTCTACGATCGACTTTCTGCTTGGCAGGGCCGGCGGCGACATGTGGGTGTACTATGTGGCTCTTGGTCTCCGCGGGGGGTCTAGCGCCACCAGGCGATGAGCTTGTGAGTTGGGCTTTGTTCCGGATACCAAGTCCTTGGAAACTTGTATGGAGGTCTCGCCCATCCGGTGACGCCCCGAAGGTGTTGAACACCGCCGGTGACAGACAAGTAGCCCTCGGCGGGAGGTCGATGTCATGTCGCGGGCGGGGGAAGTACGACGTTCTGAATCCTTTGTCAGCCACTGGGATTCACAGATTGCCTTGTACGACGTACTTCGGTTGCTTCAACGTGACATTGATGGGATCGTTCGAGGACCATCTAGTGGGAAATGTCAATGTCCAGCCCCTCAAGGAGAAGCTAGTGTCGTACTCGGATTCAATAGAAGAGCTGCGCTTCCTCCCGTATGTGTGGGGATCTTCGGCGTACAGACTAGCTGGCTCTCTGAAGGGTTGGTGAGTAACTTCCGAAGATCGCTGGCTTATCTAGTGTGGCAACTCACGACAGTTCAGCCTCGCTACTCGACGAAGTCGACGGCCTTTCCTCGCTGTGCGGTGTGTCCGATGATCGCTTGTAGGTGACATATATGACCGGCTTGTCGTCCGTTGATAGGGTGGAAGTCGGATCGAAACGTGGCCATGTATATGTGGCGCGTGGCGACTCATATACAGACAATCGCACTTGACCTTGGGAGCTCTGGTCTTGCGCGTGGCCGGGGCGTTGCGTGTTCATGTCTTTGCGAGCTTCCGGTGCAAATCTACCATGTCCATCTGTGAGAAAGGGCGTACATCATCGTGGGAGGGACTGGCTCGCCTTGTCAGCTCGTAAAAGCTTGGGATCCTCGTCGGAGGTATGCTTCTCGTGTGCCTGGCGAGAAGTCAGAAGGGCCGGATGCACTGGACACACTGAACTGCATACATCGAAGCTGGCGCTTGATTGATATGTCGCTCTTGGTGAGCATGTGGCGCACGATTGCTCTCGACGTTGGGCATCCTGGGGAGGTCGTTTGGCGTACTCGATGCTGAATATATGCGTCGCGTATCCCCTAGTGTTGTGCTTCTTGCAAGCATATCAAGGTTACGTTCATTTGTGAGCTTGTTTGATGGGCGACTATAGCGTGCAACGATGTGGCGTCAGCATGTGAGGGCACAACAGCGAAGCGACATGCGATGGGGGCATCGTGAGAGTCATTCTCTGCCATAGACTACTCTCATAATTCCCTCCAACTGCCAGGATGCCCGGCGTCACGCAGTTCATGATGCGCCACATTACGCCACGGGAAACGGCGGACTGACCTGTTCTCGCGCGCGGCATTGTGCGCAGCGTCTGTTGGCGGAAACTGACTGGACGACATGAATGGTGCGTTGAGAGGAAGGTCGGGGAGCAACAGCGGTGGTACGGGAGGATGAGGGAGGGGACGAGGGAGTGAGTGGGAGATTGCCCGAGAACGTGGTCTTATAGAAGGCCGTTTGTGGGTCCGCGCAACCTTGACAATTATAAGGGTGCACGTAGTAGGATGTCTGTTCCGGAGTTTGAATCATGCACAGACCGCGCAGCATGGACCTACGTTCGCGGGAGCGGGCAAACCGCACAGGATGGATGAGAGCGCCCAGGCATGACACGCGAAGTGCCGGGAACAAACGATCGTTTATATTTTAAGGATAACGCCTGCACATAAATGGTCACATCAGGGGGACCCACAAATGCACACACTTCGGCTAAGCCTCGGCCTTGCTGTGTATGGCTCGACCGAGTCGACGATCTGTGCGCATCCGTGACTGTGGTCACTGGGCCCGTCACATTGACTCGCCGATCTGCCTCTAGCGCCCGGTGTGCGGTGTGGGAACCAATGCACCAGCCACCCAGCCCTCGACGATAGCATCAAGCTTCCTCATGGGCGTATCTGTCTGAGAACTCTGCATTGTTATGCACTATCGTAACACATCACCGCCGCTCAAGAAGGGTCGGACGAGGGCTCAGTCGAACGGCCATCCCGGCTTGTTGGACAAGGAGATTTCATCAACATACTCGCGCGCCGGGCGCCCAACATGCTTCGTCGATCTCCTCTGACAATCGCGGACGGGCACATCGGGCTGGTTCGCGGGCGGCCCGCAGTCAAAGTGGCTCGCCGTCGACTTTGCACATCCAGCATGCGACGCATGCGGCGCCATCATCTTGACGTCCGGAATGTTCTACTGGACCTTCGCATGCGGCCTCTAGAATTAGCTACAGGAAATTGTGGTGACGCTAGACCTCCTTCTAGGCTGATCTGCTTTTTTTTGAAGCCTGAGAGTCGCAACGATCGTCGCGAGTCTCAGGACAAAGACTTCCAACTTGGGCACCTCCGAGTCGGCGTCGGGATAGGTGCAATCACGAGTGTCCGATGATAGCTGCGCATGGCTACTTTGTAGACAGGTGATTGCGGACTCTCCCGTATCTTCTGAGACGACTGAACCACTCTGTGAAACCATGAAACTCTAGCCGTACAGAGAACAAAGACTTTGAGCGAACCAGGCGATCCGGTGCCTTCGCTCGAAGCATCAGATGCCGTAAGGACGACAGAGCGGTTCATGGGAGCAGTTCGGCGGACACTTCCCTCCCTCGGCTCTAAACCGTGTGCAGCGCTTAGACGGACGTGCAGCCGCCTAGCGCGATACCAGCCTGCATCTTCGTCTTCAGGCTGCCGGGTCTTCGAAATCATGCTGGAGGTCGGGCTGCCCTAGAACTAGTAGACGCGGGCATTTGTCCCTGTGTCGCACATGCGATACTCAGGGTCGGGAGTAAATATGCATTCAATTGTCTGTCAGCTGAGGCTGTGGGGGACTTCGCATGTTCGTCACGCAAAGGCATAGCACCTCACTCAGCCTTGACTACGTGACATGACACACAAACGTTGCTATGAATATATTCGAACGCTCAAGCCATGTCCTGTAAGCGAAATACAAGAACGCAATCAGTCAATCCGTTTCGATGATCAGTCCATGATTGAGTTTCCGCGGGAGCTGTTTCGGCTGAGTAGAGGCGGCCATCGGTGCAGGTAACTTGAGGCGGGCGCCGAAAACGATGTTTGCGATAACATCGCTGCGTATTCTGTCATTCGGGGATCTGGATTGATGTGTCACATACAACAGTGTAACTAGGCGATGTAGTACAGTACGTAGATCAATGAGAAAGAGAGGAGGGGTTGAAGGCTTGAGATCGAGACAAGTGTTACTATTACTCTACGACGTATTACCACTCACAAGGTGCTACCGTAGGGTTATACGAAAACGAGTACACTACGGTCATTATCAGTGAGACGGATTAGTAAGATGGCGATGTAATCATGAAGTCGTGGAGTGAGCAGGGATATTAGGTTCGGATAGTATAGTACGTTCGTCGCGATCCCATGCATGTGAGACAGGGTCTTGAGAGTTCGGTAGAAGTGTGCTTGCAATGCGAAAGAGCTTGGGATGTAAAGTTCAGCCGTTAGGAGCAGCATGCAGACCACACAGGTGGGCATGAATATCGTTTCGGTTTGAGAACTGTTGTGCACAATGTATGCAACCTCCTTGCCGACTCGCGCTAGGTTCGATGCGAAGGTCCATCAGCGGTGCGCTCAATAAAGGAACAAGCGGACGCACTGCGCTTGCATGAGGTGACCAAATAGGAGTTCCCGCGTCTTGAAACCCCAATGACAGAGTCTGCATCTAAAGGGCCTGATATTTGATACAACTCGTTAGATGATGCAGATCACCAAGTGTCATGTAGACGTACCAGTCGGCCAAGTGCCCGTCAATGTGACTCTTTACAAAGGTCTTACCACAGTTGTGTCCACACATGCTGATGGTGCTCTGGAAAGTACACATGGCCTGATCTGAATTTTGCACGTATCTTGCATACCATTCCCATTCATCTCTGTGAAGGCAAACCATCGAGCAAGCCCATGCCAATTCGTGTATGTGAGGAGGTTAAGGGTCCGGTGGAAGGGGAGTAGAATCAGCCTTTAGAACTCTGAATGAGAGGCGGACTCAACTTGCCTGTGCCCCTTTGGCGGTTTCAATCCCCCGATAATCATACCTCGCAAGATCGCAGAGCCCTAGTCCTTGCTGAACCTCCATGTTTTCCAACCCGAACTTTTAAGGAAGCCTTTCGCATTTGGGCGGTCAAACCTTGAAAGCTACGATCTGGGCAGTCAGCACGCGCGAACACAGCGCGCATCCACACACTGTAGGCGTAAGGGACGTGAGGAAGCACTGTGAGCGCAATCAGCGACGCTTGACAGGTACTCGAGGATAGAAGGGATCTTACTGCTCCTCGCGAGGCTGGACTCGAAACAGATTGACCATGATAGAGTGGGACGTCTAAGGGTCTGAGGTGAGCGAGCAGTACGGGCAGCCGTTGAAGATGCGCGGAGCGCTGCTTTTTTCGTTTGTGTACATCTGAGGGTCCAGCTCTCGTGACCACATACTTGGCCTGCCACCTCGCTCTTTGGCCAATGATGGTCCATCGCAGGTCATCTTGCGCGTGTCTATGTGGTCCGTCGCCCTCGTTGCGCTGCAAGATAATCAACGGAGCTCGTTTACGCCATATCGTTGGCTGTATTTCCTGGGCCTCAAGGCGTATGAGGACATTTTCTCTCAACATCTACCATCGCCGTGGAGCTTGTCCGTCGTGCGCCCAGGGAATGAAACAGGAGGAGGCTTGTGGAAGAGGTAAACTTTGAAGACATGTGGCGTGGCCCCTGCCTGTTGGTGCGTCTTCGGACTAGCTCTCGCACTGCATAATAGTTAGTGAGTCGAAAATGCGTAGACGGTTGCAACACCGCACCTCAGACAAATGGCCCGTTTTGCATCAGTACAGACCGGTGGCTGATATCATACAGCCTCTCAGCACTGAAGTACTGAAGGTGGCGTTGACATTGTGTGGCCGCCAGACACTCCAGTACGGCGAGCACATCCACATACCTAGGAAATACCACACTCTCATATTCAGGTCACTGAGGCTGTCATACTGTGGCGCAACGCTTCTAGGTACCAGATTAACAATCCCTAGGACAGTTCTGCCATGTGCGGTCTCGATCACTCTGCCCTATAGCCACGAGCGTATCAAGCTCCGGTCCGCCTAGAAGTCGAGGCGCCTCAGGCATGGGGCAGTAGAACCACACGTAGGGTGGCGCGACACATAGCACCGACCGTGACAGAGCCGAGATAAATCGACGGTACCTCAAGCTAGATATGATTCGGACCATCATCCGCGCTTTCAAGACTCCGTGGCTGGATCGGAATATGAGTCTGCATGGATAACCCTCCCGTCTCATTTGAGGCTGTTGATCACGCTTGGCTTGATCAAGATTTCGAACCGTGTATCACAGGTAAATAAAGTATAGACTCAACGGCTCACCCAATACTGCCCAGTCGGAAGCGGTACGGCGTTGCATGGCCTCGACGCGTTACACGGTCGTTGCGGTCGCGAAGATGCAGATCTGCCAAAATGAAGTGTCGATCAGCTACTCAGTCAACCTTGTTTGTATCGGAGCGGCACTACCTATTTGAACGAGGCATTCGCACGCCGATGCGCCTTCGCGGGGCGTATCTCCGTGAGCGGTGAGGCCCGGGGGGCACTTAAAGCGCCAAACCAAGGCCAGCATTTGATGACCAAAAGAAGCAACGGGTTCAGGACCAATGCGACGTACAGGCATAGAGCATCTCACTTGACGTTGCGCCGCACAAAACGGACCATTGAGTGAATGAAAGCTGTTTCCCAATAAGGTTCACCGGTCTCCTACGCCGACAGCAAGCATCCGGGCGCTGCTGACTTACGTAGACAAACTCCAACCGCTCATTCGTGTCGTAGTGAGTCTGACGCGCGAGCGTTGCGAGCCATACGTTGAATGCCGAAAATAGTCGTTCGTGATTTTGTCCTGCTGCCAGTCTGACACCATCAATGGGTGCCAGTCCTCTGTTCAATCTGACAAGATACCGAGGTCCTTCAACAGTACCCGAGGATCACCGTATACTGCCTGTCGGACCCTTGATATGTAAGATGACATTGACATAGGATGTGATCCCACACAAACCTTTCTCGCCGTCCGGCAACTGTGCAAAATGAAAAATGCCTACGAGTCATCCGCGCCAGCAGCTGCTTCATTGTTTCATGCTAACAGCACAAGGCGAAGGTGCTACCCACTAAGGCTGCATGGACATACGTACTAGAGTTAAACACAGGACTTCAGATTTGGTTAGATACGCGCACCTAGACGGTTCAGGTCAGCATATTCGGTCGGCATCAGTCTCCGTGTGGTGTCAAGGAGCGCTGAACTCGTAAGTCCTGGACCAGTCCTTGACGTGTGTAGCAGCAAGTTAACGTACGGCGGCTACGGACGTGGCCACAGAGGCACTGCGCCTGTTGGGCGCAGCCAAGTAGCCGCTGTATCTGTATTTCGCGCCGATGCCTCGAGTATCAAGGCGATGTGATATGTCGGCTCATACAGCGGAGCGCCACCGTTCGGCGACCCGGTGAACTGGGATACCAACGAGACACTACCCTGGGCACAAGGCGTCAGTAAGTATAAGGTGTCTAACGGCGGAGGCGTACTCATACCCCGGACGACGATGGTCTCGAACTCGAGGCCTAAGCTCAGAACAACATTCGACAGATTCCGCGCGGTAGGACAGGATAGCGTCGGTATCATCGCGGCGTCAGCGATCCAACGTCGTCTACTGACTATGGCCTGTAAAGCCTGCGTGAACAGTGATTTATGTGCGCATGGGCCAGTGTTTGACAAGAGGCCATTGGTGCCATCACCCACTGCCTTGAATGTATACCGGCGCTGTGGCAATGCGGGGTTGACTCAACCTTCGACGTTTTCCCGGTAACGAATTGACACGCACGCTTTTACATAGATCCCTCAATCACGTTCGTTTTGCTGAGAAATTTGGAGAGATTGACTTGAGGGAAATCAGGCTACAACACGCCGTCAAGATGACTCTGCGTGAAGATACGGCAGGAATTTGTCGCTGCTCGTGACAAATGTAGTACGCACCATGAGATTGGACGCGTCGGTCTTCAAATATGAAATTACGGCGGGTATCTGCGGTCCACCGCGTTGTTGCGGCGGGCCCAGTTCAAGAGTGCAGTGAGGCGTCGGCGAGCATATTGGACGGGCGAGAGGGAATGGGCGGCCATGGGACAGAGAGCCACATGCATACAGGCGAGGCGTGGCACTTAGCGCCGGCTAGCCATGCCGCGGTGTGAACTCGGCGACGCGTTTGGAACAGCATAGAGCACGTCGTCTCTCATCCTCGGCTTCGTCCCTCACCACCGCCAGCTCATTGCGAGCGCGGGCGCAGCAAGGCTCTCCTACTCTGGCTGGTTCATGATCATGTTCTGTCGGCAGCGATCTATCATCTTAACAAGCCTCTGGCCTCTGCTTTTGGTCATCTTACGTCCCCACGTTCACGCTCAGAGCATCTCTACCAGCGGCCCCGTCCCTCCATTGCAGTGGATCAACATTACTGGCCTTACTACTGGATCGGCTCCCCCTGCTCTGAAAGATGCCTCAATCGGATACTACGACGGCACCAGGACACTCTTGATATTTGGCGGAGAATCTGCCCAGGGAATCCCTCAGTCTGAGACCTATCTGTACGTTAACATCTGCTAATTTCACATTTGCATGCAAACCACATAACCACCTTGCAGTCTTAATCTCGAATCCCTTGCATGGTCTACGAACAACCCACCTAATGGCCTGGGTACCGTGCCTCCCGCCAGAAGTGCTGCCATCAGCGCGGACGACTCCGCTGCTAGCTAGTACGTTCACCCTCCTACGATTATCACAGAAATTCTGAGTACTCGCAGCCGTTCAGCGCATATAGTCATAGGCGGCTTAGGTTCTGGTGGGAAGGCTTTGTCCGATGTCTGGGTCAGTGCCTCTGTCTGCACGTGGGAACGCAGCATTGCTCATATGGCGTTCTATAGGAATTCGACTACATCAGCCAGTTCTGGTCTGAAGTGATGGTATCGTCGGGAGGACCATCCGCACGCTACGGTGCTATAGGTGGCAAGGATCAACGCACGCCCTATACATGGACCGATACAGCGACGCCGAACAATTCCTTTTACCTCGCCGGTGGTATCTCCGGTGATTCGGTGTCGCCTCTCTCGGACGTGTGGCAGTTGAACGTCACAGGAGCTTTGTCATCGAACAACCCCAATTCCGTGCAAGCGGGTTGGATGCAGTTGTCCCTGCAGTCTCACAATATCCCTTCGAAGGTTGGAGCCGCGGGTGCAGTGGTCTCCTCTTCTGCCCAGGACATCATCGCATTCGGTGGTTGTACCTCATCGAGCGAGCTCACGCCCAGAACTTCGTGTGCACAAGCCGATTCGTACATCATCAACACCGGCGAAGATGTAATCAGCCCCTCGAACGCTTGCCCTGTGCCGCGATTGGGTGCGACTCTAGTACCCAATAGCAACAGCCAATCTACCGATTTCAATAATCAAGTATTTCTGGTGTTCGGGTTGTACAACAGCTCGCTCTGGTCTGATGACGGTGGACTCGAGAAGGGTGAAGTTGTGAGTATGCAATTCGTTCCGCCGCAACTGCGCAGGCGCTGATGTTCACTGTTTTCAGGATGTTCTCAACGTGGAAACAGGCTTGTTTGTCTTCATGCGGGTGACGTTCATGTACTAACATTCCTATGTAGGTGTTTGGAACCGTGTACTGCCGACCGGAGATCCGGGACAAGACGGCACCGATTCCCAGGCTTACCCATCTCCACGCCAGGGAGCTGTGGGACTGTCATACACATCGGCCCTAGTGGGATCCTCCGGTAACACTGTCTCCGACTCGATATTCTTCGGTGGCGTCGACGCGGATGGAAACTACCTCAATGAAGTTTGGGTCTTGCGGGCGTATAACGCACAACTGACGCAAAGCAATCAGTCCTGGACGAACGGCAGTGGTTCACTGACCGGCGGTATCGATTCGACGGGGCAAGGCGTGACCGTGCAGTTCATGACGCAGTGTGCCAGAGCACTCAGCCCGCAAGCGACTCAGACGAGTGCACAGGCATCTGGTACTGGCGGAGGCCCGTCTCCTACATCCCCATCATCGCAAACATCGACACCCCCTTACGATACCTCCGTTGCCCACAAGGCATTGTCGCCGATATCTCTCGCTCTCATTTTCCCGGCGGTCATCGGTGCTCGGCTGGCGATGGCATCTGTGACCTTCATGCAGCCGCCTGGTAACGTCGTTATAGCCGTTTCATCGGTCGTCGTGGCCATCGCAGCGTATGCTTTGGGGGTGGCTGGCCTGGCTACATCCTTCACCACCATCACCTCCGTTACCTCCTCTTCCTCGACGTCTTTGAGCAAGCGCTCTTCGGCTTTGTCTATGGCGCTGAAGACGGCACACGGCAAGGCCGGCCTAGCTTTGTTCATAATACTCTACGGCGTCGTCCCCCTACTCTTCGCTATTTCTGCGTGTTACCGACGCAGCCCCCCTCGCCATGTCGACGAACCGAGCAGCAATGCTCCAGACGGCAGACCCCGCGTCAACTCCATCGAAACCGCTGAGAAAGAAGGCCTCTACAATGGACGTGCGGTGAGCCCGTTGCGCTCGGCAGACACGCCTACAGACAAGCCACGGACCCGTACGCGATCATGGGCGGGGATCAGTCATCTAGGTGTCACAGGCAGACGCTCCAGCGAAAGCACCCATGATAGCCTCGGCGGACCTTCACCATCACATCGTTCCTTCGAAGTCGTCAATCGACCTGCTCGCACAAGGCGCGCCAGCGCTAACAGTCTGGCGGCGTTCTCTGACCCGCGCAGACCGGGCTCTCCGAGAAATCTTGGTGATACGAGCTGGTTCGAGGGCCGGCGGAGCACATCTGCTATGGTATGTCTTTGTCATGATCGCATCGCATTCTCTGACTTTGTCTGACGTAGGGCGAACTCCACTACCCACTCAACGAGCTCAATCACAGAGCAGACCCCAGTACGCCCGGAACCACTATACTCGACATGACTAGCACAAGCGGCCTCATGACTCCCGCAGGTCCAATGACACCCGAAATGCCTCGACCTTTCGACCTCTTCCTTCACGTTCTCTTCCATGCATTGCTTTTCGCCCTCTGTATACTCTCACTAATCGAGCTCTGGCTGCGCGCGCCTAAGGCAGCGTTCATCGTCTTCCTGATAGGGACGGTGCTATTCTACGTTGCCTTGTTTGCGCTCGCGTGGTCAGGGAGGCCCAGATACTCAGTGCTCACCGCATTGTTGGCTCGTTTGCGCGGCCACCCCACACATCCTGGCTATACACCAGGAACCGCCACGCCCTCGCGACCGTTGTCTGCAACAGAATCCGAAGTCCCCTTCCCGACCGAGCAGCGCAGTCCTTACCAGCACTACCCTCCGTACAGGGCGGCGTCTACTGTGCCCGACGAGTATCCCACCTCTGTCTCGCATGGACATGCGATGAACGAGGTTGATGACGACGATGAGGAGGACGAGGATATTCGACAGCGCAGGATCGAGGATGAGATGAGCAGGCGCGATGTCTCCATCGTCACCGTACCGAGGCGCAAGCTCTTCCTCACTAACCCGGAGCTTGACCGTGGCTAGCATATGTGTTCTCTTCCTGCTCTCGTGCTATGCAGCTCTCATTCTTTGTGTTACACCAGGACTTTCATTCATGGTCATACCATAGCATTTAGGATCATCTCACCTCTGTACTTTTGTAGGTAGATTATCATGGACTCCGCTGTATCTCAATTATCCCATCACTATGATATTCGGTATGTAGTCAGTGCAGAGTGACAATGCGAGGTAGATCCGCGATCCACGAGAGTCCCAAGGAATGTATGCAATGTCCATGTGTGAAACAGAATGAAGGAACGCGCAAGGTTGCATATCGACAGGACTAATTAACTGTCGCCCTCGACAGCCACGTCGTGACGCCACTTATCGACTCGAGTTAACTTGGATGGATCTTGGGCAGGCGGCGGCGTAGTAGCGATCGGTGGGGGCATCATCATCTGCGGTGCCATCGGAGGGCCGAAGAATCCGGAAGCCATCATAGACGGTGCGCTGAAAATCATAGACTGGTGAAACTGTGCAGCCTGCGCCTGCATCATCATCTGTTGTTGTTGGGCCATCATCGACATGTACTGCGTTTTGCGGACTTGTTCCGGGTGGAAGGCGAGCGGCTTGTCGTCGTCCTCATCCTGGCTCGCAGCGCCAAGTGCCTGCGATGAATTCATCACCCTTGAAACCCGAAGCCCCAGTGGCTTGTCATCCTCATCGTCGTTCTTGTCACTGCTATCAGGGAACAAACTCCCACCCGTCGAGTGAAAGGAGGGGAGTTTGAGTTTGCCTTTGTCCAGCAAAGCGGACAACGGCTTCTCTTCATCTGAGTCGTCGTCCGATGCACGAGTCGCCGCCCTTTGGGCCGCACGGCCAATGGTCGCAACCAGAGGAACATCTTCATCGCTACTGTCATCGCCCCCACCTACCAACCGGGGTGAAACCATAGAGACGGTAGGCTGAGCGATGAGTCCTGCTCCTGAATGTGTGCGTGGACGTCGACGAACACCATCCTCCTCGTCGGATGAACCAGCGATCCATTGATCGGCTGCGACGTCTTTCGACATTGACCGCTTATGTGCAGCGGGTGCGTCGTCCGAATCGCTCTCCTCGGAATCTTCGTTCGGTGGAGGGGGTCCTCTGCGCTTCCTCGCAGTCGCGCGCGAGATTTCAGGAAGCACATATGGTGTTGATGGTGTCTGAGGCGCTGCCGAGCTTTGCGTCTCTGGCTCTGGACTGCGATGGAGGGCAAGGTCGGAAGTCGACGCTGCCAAGAAACTGTTTACATCCTGCTGGCGCTCCCCTTCCGTCTTCTTGTGTTTCCTCTTCTTCTTGCTCTTCTTCGTTCGTTTCTCGTCTTCCGCCTGCCGCCTAGCTTCTTCCTCCGTTGCGATACGCTCCAGCTCTTCCATGTCGCGCAATTTGGCCAGCTCTCGCTCCCACAAGGTGTCGACGCCAAAGACAGACTTCTTGTTTGTTGCGTCGAAGTTATTACCAGATAGCGTGCGCCGGGGACCTCCCGCAGCTTCAGCATCCAGCTGCACGAGTGTGTTGCGTCGCGACAGATTAGGTTGAGAGCGTGATGCATCGAGGAACTGCGACTGCGGCCGCGGCTTCAGACTATCTGGATCGATCAAGGTGCTGGAGCGTTGTACTTGGGGTCGCGCCATCATCGACGGTCTCTCGTCCCCTCTGAACACTCTGTGCATCAAGGTCAATACAGGTCTCCCGTTGTAAGTGGAGCTACAGTTAGACATACCTCTGCTTCCCCCTCATCTCCGCTTTGCGTGTCTCAATGGCATCAATGAGGCTCCGACCATACAACTTACCCGCCGGACGTTTTGAGCGATCGGCGGGATCGATCACGATTTCCGGTGCAGGCGTTGGTGGGGCCGGCTCGGGTTCGGGCTCAATCTCGACCTGCTCACCGTCCTCCGTGGCACGGCGGATGTGGGATTCGATGTCGGCGTATGCGGGGTCGCGCTCACCGTCGACAGCTAGGTTATTGCGGAATGTGAGCTGAGACAGCGAGAGAGTTGATCTCGGGTTAGGTGTGAACGAGTTGGATGCAACTAGTCCGGGGGTTAGGGACCCCCCGCCCGGGTCAAGCATCGAGAGCGTCGTAGACGACCGACGGGCAGCACGGGCGCCGGGCGGAAGCGGGGCGGCGTCGCTAGCATGCAACTCCGCGCCTTCGATCGCGCGCGGCTGCATCGCGCCATTGGTCGGGCCCGAGTTCATGTAGGACTGTAGCGGACTCGGCATGATGAGTACCTTTGGTCGCATGAGCTCCAACCGGGAGTAGGGGCGCGTACGCCCGGCCGCCTGGCTCCGGTTGTCATCGCTAGAATGCGCGTCGATGTCCAGGAGCGCCTGGGTGCCGAAGGAAGCTACGGATGTCGTCCGCGCGCGAACCTTGGGGTCGAAGCGAGAGGAACGGCTTGGCGAGGGCGGACGGACGGCGAAGGGATTAGCTTCCTCGTCTTGCTGCAGACCTGGGGTGAGCATGGTACCCAGCGACCCATAGGACGTTGTACGAGCGCGGGCTTTGGGATCGAATCTGGACGCACGATCAGGAGATGGCGGGCGGACCGCGAAGGGGTTAGGTTTCTCCTCATTGAGCAAGCCTTGAGAGCCAAAGCTAGCCGAGGAAAGTGCACGACCGCGGTTCAGCACAGACTCGGATCCTCGAGATTGAGGTCGCACGAGGTTCAGGGCATCGGTGGACGCAGGCGAGGGCGAGCGGACCGTCTCGGTGCTCGGGAAGGGTATAGAGTGCAGTGGTGGCGTGATGGGCAAGTTCTCGATGAGCGCATGGGAGGATATGGTCCGTCCGCGATGTGCTGGCCTTTCCAACGGTTGCTTCGCCATAGGTGTGTCAAGAGGTGAGCCGAACGAATGTCGACGAGCGTTCAGGCTGTTGACGGTAGACTTTTCGTCCAGGAATGCGCCGCCCTCTCCAAAATCGTCGAAGTTACCCATGCTCATCGAACGCGAGGCATGTACGCCCGAACGACCTGGCTCAGATCGCAATCCAGCGGGACGGCGAAGAGGAAGATCATGCGGATTGGGCAGTACATCGGATTTGGCTTTCTGTTTCCCCTTCCCCTTGTCCTCAGGAAGGTACCCATCCAATCCCCACGATGCGAGATCGACTTCCATCTCTCCACGCTCCTCGTCTTCTTCTTCGTCAAGCGCTCCCTCGTACGTGGAATCGCGCGCGAAAGGATTGCGCAGTGCGTCGATTGAGGACCGCGATCGTCGTCCGTCCATCTCAGACTCCCTTCCTCCGTACACAGACTCTGGACCTCTGATGCTTCCCGCTTCGCTCGGGAGCGTGACACCGAGAAAGTCAGTGCTCCGTCGCGAGGCAGTGTCACGACGGATCCCTGCATTCTGCCGTAGGTGGGCGAAGATAGCACTCTCCTGTGCGGACCGACGAGGCTTGGAAGGGTCCGAGTTATCATTGTCGTACTCTGCACAACTCTGTAAATCGGGGATAGCGTAGCATGGAAGTGGCGGACTTGCCAATCAGAGCCGCTGCTAGCTGAAGTCTCGAGAAGGCAGCAGTCATCACTGTGTGTCGGAAAAATTCGGGGGAAAGGAGAGGAATGCGAGTATTAGACCGCCGTTGGCGACCACGAGTATGGTCGCCAGTGTAGAGCTATGTAGATGCTTCGGAAGCCAAGCTTTGTAGTCGAGACTAGGTGGACCTGGGGTGCAACACCTGAAGGTGAGGGATTCCTATCGGATGCAGCACAGCTTGGCGTAGAGGCAGGACGGGACCAGTGCTGTATTCTGCTAGTGCGGGCTCAGCAAGGTGCCGGTGGGATCCCGCACGAAGCTGCAGGGCTATATGAGCGTGGGAACATCTGCTGTCCGTATCAGGCAGGTCACTAAGAACCAACAAGGGTCAGCGATTGTACGTGCTGTCTTATAGGCGTTCTGATTTGGGATAGAACTCTATAAAGATCTAGATCTGTCTCAAAAATACCTGCTTTGTGTATGGATTCAGTACATTGCAGCGACAGCGAACAAGTTTTGACTTTCTGTCATCGTTCAAGTTGTGAACAAGTCCGGGTCAGTAATAAGTATGAGAAACTCACATCCGACGCACGGCCAGATGGGGTGCGGATTTAAGCTCATGTAGTTACAGCACGCACAGAGCTCCATCGCGCATTTGTAAAAGTCCAGACTGAGAGACTGAGTACTGAGTACTGAGTGTGACAGACTCTGAGTCAATCATTGGATTTGGCAATGGCACACCGACACGGTCTCATGCAAACACGTGACCGTGTCGCACTGGTCGCGCCGGTGACACGTCAGTCAATTACCCCGGAACACGTATGCAAATAAGTAGCAGTACGGCGCCTGGCCAGCTTCTTCAGCTTCAAGTTGTACCAGACTCCCTGACCACTTTAGCACAATCCCGGCCTAGCGATCTTGAAAGCAGGCTTGCGCCATGCGTATCGTGCGCCCGCTCTTGCTCGCTCTCAGCGCCCTCGGCTCGCATGTCTTCGCCCAGGAGAGTGCAAGCGCGCCGAAGCAAAGGCATGACTACCAGGTGCGTTCTTTGCTCAGAAGTCTGGTACGTTGCCCCATGCCTTATCTGTCTCCGTCTAGAGCGACGTCGCCCGTCTGCGGAAAATCGTGATCAACAGGTAGGATAGAACACCTGTTATGTATGGTCACTGCTAAACGGATTCCCTGGTACCAGCCTGTACTCTCATCGGTGTGTAGCTTCGCCCCGTTTCTAAGGAAATCCCATTGAAGTGGATACAGAGACGTCTTCCTACGGGAACTCATCTCGAATGCAAACGATGCGCTCGAAAAGCTGCGTCTGACTTCCCTTACCGAGAAGGAGGTGCTTTCAGGTGCAGAAGACATGAATATCACGATCAAGGCATACAAGGATGAGGACGGCAAGGGTCGCGTTGTCATAAGAGGTGCGTCCGCCCAGCACCTGTAACATAGCTTGACCCAACCTTCCATGCGTTAGATACCGGTATTGGGATGACAGCGGAAGAGTTGACGAACAACCTCGTACGTGGCTCACAACGATATATGTCTGCAAAGCTTATACCATATTGCAGGGCACGCTCGCAAAATCCGGCACCTCAGAGTTCCTCGCGCGAGCAGAGACGGACACGACGGGTACCGGTAACCTCATTGGCGCGTTTGGTCTCGGTTTCTACAGCAGGTAGGTTTCTCTGTGATCATTGAGACTGAGCGGGACACTAAATCTGGGTCAGCTTCCTTGTTGCTGACCGTGTCTACGTTGCGTCACTCGCTGCGAAGTCGTCCCGCAACCCCGAACCAACTCAATATGTCTTCAGCTCAGGCGCTGACGAGAGTTCGTTCGAGACGTTTCCGGACCCTCGAGGGAATACACTGGGCAGAGGAACGGAGATCACCCTTGTTCTGAAGGATGAAGCGCTCGAGTATTTGGATCCTCATAGGATTACTGACTTGGTGTAAGTTTTGACATTACATTTGTATTCTGGCCCGCCCAACGACACATGGCCATCAGGGACAAGCATTCGTCATTCGCCTCCACATTCCCCATCTACCTCTGGACAGAGCGGACAGAGACTGTGCCCGATGAAGAGTCTGCCAAGGAGGCACCTGAGATTGATGAGGATGAAGCCATTGTAGAAGACGTCACTGAGTCAGACGAGACTCCGAAGACGAAGGAGATCACTGTGGAAGAGTGGATCCACATGAACTCCCAGTCGCCCATCTGGATGCGGTATGATGCCTTGTCTGATACGCCGAACGGATACTCACAGCGTGCTTTGTCACACAGGGATCCCAAGACGGTAACAGATGAGGAGTACGAGACCTTCTATCAAGCAACGTTCAAAGACTACCAAAAGCCGCTCGCGTGGGACCACTTCTCCGGTGACTCTGGTTCGGGTACTTCCTTCAAGGCTATCATCTTCATCCCGTCAGAGCTGTACGTCAATGCCTGTCGCTGCCTACACAAACAACTCACATATATGAAGCTCGAACGAGTACTGGCAGAACCCAATGGCGTCGAATGCGAGGGATATCCGATTGATGGTCAAGCGTGTGTTCATCACGTCTGACCTCGGCGAGGACGCGCTGCCCAAGTGGGCTAGCTGGGTCAAGGTTGTCGTAGACGGTAGGCCTCGTCTATCGAGTTCTCATTCACTACCAGGCACTCATTCCGCACCCAGCTGAGGATCTCCCGCTGAACGTCTCCCGCGAGATGCTGCAATCCACACGTTTCCTCAAGCAACTGCGATCGATCGTCCTGAAGCACCTCCTCGCGCTTTTGGCACGTCTGCAGGAGAATGAGCCGGAGAAGTGGACGACGTTGCAGAAGACTTATGGCAATGTGTTCAAGCTTGGCGCGGTTGAGGACTCGAAGAACCGGGTGAAGCTCGCGGAGCTCTGCCGGTTTGCGACTAATCAGAGGAACGAGACGTCGTTGGATGATGTACGTTCGTGTACTAGCTGTCTTGACGAAGTGTGCTGATGAGTGGGTTGTAGTACCTCGAGAACAGGAAGAAGGGGCAGAAGCAGGTATGCCACACTCCGGGAAAGTATCAAGCCGTTGCTTAGTGACGGTGGCCCAGATATTCTATCTTGCGGACATGGGCACCACTACGGAGCACTTGGCCAAGAGCGTCTTCATCGAGAAGCTCCACGCTCGCGGCTACGAGGTCCTTCTCCTGACTGACCCCCTCGACGAGATCTTCGTCCAAAACCTCCGGCTGTGGAAGTGAGCGGTGAGCTTCCCTGAGCATTGCGTATGCGTTACTGACGCAGGTCGTGGTTAGGACGGTGCAATTCCAAGATGTTGCCAAGGCGGGGCTACGGTTCGGTGATGAGGGTACGGCAGTCGTTTATTTTGCATGAAATAGCTTCACTGAGTGACTCGACGATAGAGATGAGCCCTGAGGAAGAGAAGGAGGAGCAGAAGAAATTGACTGAGGAATACCAGCCTCTCCTGGCTTGGCTAAAGCAGCAGGCAGGAGACGTCGTCCGTGAAGGTGAGCAAACATGTAGTCCTTGACGGAAGGACCGCTCATGTATGAATGCATTCGTAGTCGTCATATCCAACCGGCTCGTCTCCAGTTCTTGCGCTATCGTTGCTGACATGATGGGCTACACGGCTAATGTGGAAAAGATGATGAGTCAGTGTCACACTGCGTTTATATGCACTTGTACCAACCAGATTCCGTTCGTGTAGGTGCTTCACAAGCGAGCGTGCACAACCCCATGCGCGACTTTGCTAAGAAGCAAAGAATTCTGGAGATCAACGCGAAGTCGCCGCTCGTCCAGGGTCTCTTGCGCAGGGTGGAGCAGCTCCCGAGTGAAGAGGACGGCCATGATGTCGAGGTTGAGGAAGAGCTGAAGGAGGTCGCCTCCGTGCTCATCGACGGCGCCCTTGTCCGCTCTGGCTTCGGCGTGCCCGACTCAAACGAGTATGTGTTGACTCCATTGACAACTACGAGTGAAAGCTGACCTATTCCCAGGTTCTTCTCGCGAGTGGACCGTATCCTTAGGAGGTCTCTTGGTGTATCGGAGACAGCACCTACGGACACCACGGTCAAGCCTGCGCCGCCTGTTGACTCCGAGCCTCTAGACCTTCAGGACCCGGAGTCTATCGAGTGGCCGGACTATGTTCCTGGCTCTCTTCGAGAGCAGGCGCAGGAGTTCAAGCCTGAAAACCAGATTGTATGGGATGTGGAAGAGATAGACGAGAAAGGCGATCCAGTGGAGACGAAGCACGATGAGCTCTAAAGGCAATTGCGTATTGTTATGGCTATCATTTGGGACATTTTGCTGGATAGTAGCATCAATATATGTACCGAGTTACTTGTCAGTTGTCGGCAACGGCTGTGAGAAGCCGGATAGATGACAATCGTGCTGCTAATATGACAACTTGAATCTCAGACTACGACGCATTCCCGATGACGATGAGTTATGTGGTTATCCCGACCTCTAAAGCGGCCTGGGCCTCCGCCGCCTGCGGTGAATTGCGGTCACGGTTACGATGGGCGCTAGGTGGTTTAATCAATGTTTATGTACATGAGGCGTCCTAGGCGAGCACTTTACATACATATGCACCCACATTATCGAGACATATTCTTGAGACGCTTCCACAGTGACCCACAGGACTCCGCTGTTGTAGCTGACTTGCCGTTTCGGTGATCGGTGAGCAAGCGCGGAGACGCCCGAGGCTGGGCGCAGATCTGAATCTTACAGAAGCACGTAATGGGCGCTAGAGTCATGAACGCCCTCGTCTGCCACCTGCCAGTGGTCCAAACTCGTCGCTCCTCAGCGAATCACGCGGGCCATCACCTCGCTCAGCGTGTAGTATATTCATATCGCTCTTGCTGCCCTTGACACCTAACAAACACAATGTCTCTACCATTCGCGTCCATGGGTCCGCCTCCACTTCCTCCCGGATGGACAGAACACAGCAGTAAGAGTGCAAGTCTTACGCGACGAATCTCTCGATCGGCTCACAGGCACCTTCAGCCCCCACTGGCCAATCTTACTACTTCAATGCCATCACAAAAGAGTCTACCTATGTCCGCCCTCTTTCTCAGTTCCCGATCCTACCGCAGGGTGTTATAGTTCCCGGTGCTCCGGTGCCAGCAGCTCCTGCGCCTAAGAAGAAGAAAGAGAAGCCATTAGTCAAGACACCGGTCGCTGGTACGGATTGGTTGCGAGTAACGACAACAGAGGGCAACGTCTTCTACACGCACAAAGTCGAGAAGAGGAGTGTCTGGACTGTGCCGGATGAGATTCGGGACGCGGTCGCGGCGCTCGAGCAGGAAGAGGAGGAGACGCGTCAGAAGCAAGAAGAGGAGGCGAGGCGCAAGGCCGAGTTGACGAGATTGAAGGAGATTGAGAAGGTCAAGGCGGACGTGGATGATATAGTCGGGAAGCGAAAGGCAGAGGAACCGGTGCCCATGGACGAGGTTGTGATCACCAAGAAGATGAAGATGGACGAGACGGATGACGAAGAAGAGGAAGAGTCAAGTGACGAAGAAGAGGAAGAGGAGTGGCAGCGGGAGGCCGCAGCCCAACTCGCCGCAGAGGCTGAACAAGAGAAGAGGCGACAGGAAGAGGAGAAGAAACGACAAGAGGAGGAGGCGCAGATATTGAAGGAGGCCGAGAAAGCTAAGGGGGCGCCGCAACTCAACATGCCGGAACGAGTTGACCTGTCGCTTGACGAAGCGAAGGCACTCTTCAAAGTACGTGATAGCATTATTTGCGCATTCTATAGTTGGTTACATCCACGTGTACAGAGTCTTCTTCGCGAGAAGGATGTGAATCCTCTTCACCCTTGGGACACATCTCTCCCGCTGTTCATCAACGATCCGCGGTATGTCCTGCTTCCATCCGTGTCTGCAAGGAAAGAAGCATTCGACGAGTACTGCCGAGACCGTGCTCGCGAGCTACGACAGTCCAACGTCAAGAAGGAGAAGGAGGCCGCAAACCCCAAGGAGGAGTTTGAGCGTCTCTTGCGGGACGAGGTGAAGAGCACACGCACGAGTTGGACGGAGTGGCGAAGGCAATGGAAGAAAGACAGAAGGTTCTATAGCTGGGGTCGCGACGATAGGGAGCGGGAGAAGAGGTTCCGAGAATACCTCAAGGCACTCGGCGAAAGTGAGAACTCGTTCCCCTTATAATGTCTTACAACGCTTACTCTCCGCGACGTCCCCAGGAAAGCGTGCCGCAGCTCAGAAGGCAGAATCAGATTTCTTTGCGTTGCTCAAGGAGAGCGGCATTGCCCACTCTGGTGCTGTGTGGAAAGACGTTAAGCGGAAGATTGTCGATGATCCTCGGTACGACGCCGTGGGGTCCTCATCACTGCGAGAAGAGCTCTTTAACACGTACCTGAAAGCCCATGGAGAGCCGTCCTCTTCTGAGATGCCAACGGATGCTCAAGCCGCTGACAGCCATACTGATGGCACGAATGCGGAGGACAGCGCTGAGGAGCGTGAGCGCAAGCGTCGAGAGCGGAAAGAACGCGCTGTGAAGGATAGGGAAGAGAGGGTGAAGGCTGAGCGCAGTAAGGTCGAGGCCGATATCGACCGGTCACGTATGGGCCTCAACAAGGAGGAAGGGGAGCTCGAATTCAGGTGCGCTGCGTGTCTCCCATTACCTCCGTAACGGTTGCTGGGCGCCGCTGACCGTGACTCACGTTCTTGTACAGGACGATGCTGACGGATGCGATACGGGACCCACAGGTACGTTAAACGCCAGGGCTAGAACCGGTAACTGATCGTTTCGTATCCCACTAGGTGACTTGGGATGGCGTATTGCCGCAATTGAAGAGAGATCCCCGTCTTGTCAATTCGCCCCTACCTCTCAATCAGCAGGTCCATCTTTTCCATGCACACGTTGCTGCACTACGGGCGAAGCACGTAGCCGGCATCCATGGGCTGTTCGAGTCTCACGCTCCCTCCCTGGCCACGAAGTTCACGGACTTGCCAATTTCGTCCCTGGTCTCCTCGCTTCCTGCCACAAAGTTAGGCTTTGACGTGGACAGCTTGGAGAACGAATTCAAAGCATGGCAGCGAGAGCGCACACACCAAGCACGGCTGGCGTTCGATCAGATGCTCAGCGAAAACGCGTTCGTGGAGTTCTGGGGACGGCTCGGGAAGATCGGCGGGAAGGGCGTCGACGGAACTATCAAAGCCGACGACCTCGGAGACGATGCCGAAGAGGAGCAGGTTGACATGAAGGCTTTGGCTAAGAACGTCGACCTCAATGAGATGGTGAAGGTATTGAAGGTGCGTGTACCGGGCGGCCCGCGCGCGGGAGCAAAAGCTGATTGCGTCAACAGAATGACAGGCGCTATTTGGTCTTTGACCACGTCCCGGAGCTGCGTGAGCAGTGGTTGCGGGTAAGTGTTCCGTTGGTGCTGAGGATATCGGCTGTTGACACGCCGGATAGGACTACCTGTCTCAGCTGCCTCCGCCGAAGCTGTCCGTCCACATATCCTAGTCATACTATGCAATGCCATGTTGTCCACTGTCTATTTAAACTCTGGTCTCACGGAGCCGTATCCCAAGACACTGACATTTCATCATATGTTCATGGCAGGCAATTCTCGAAGGTGAGTATCGTTCAACATATCCGGGGACACATCCGATGAGGTCATTCTCATTACGCTGCGCACTCGCAGTCCGTATCACAACTGGGATGCCGCGCCGTCTCGATCATTGCCTTCACCGACCCCCACAGATTAGGCTGCGTAGATCGATCAGATCTCACTTCCCTGCTTGGCCACAACGTACAACATTGATACAATGTAAGTCATAGCCTTGTCGTCTCGCATTGGTGGCTCAATGTGTGGATTTGCATCTCCATAGTTACTGCTGACAAGCTATGCATAGACTATCTTACATTGTCTGTTGCGTCCGGTACCGCGATTGCATAGCCTCCGGACCTCCGTTCGGATTGGTCGATTCTGGATAGTATGTTTCTGTATGAGGCCTCCTTCGTGTCTCAAAACCCGGTCGGGAGTCTGACACTTCCGCCTTGGACACCTTGGTCTTTAACTACTACGAATGCCGTGGTCGTCGAGATCGCGATGGCACCCGCCACTTCCCGCCGCGGATAAGCCGTATGTGGAGTAGGCGCACGCTCTGGACCACTAAACCAAGCCTGCGCAACAGCATGCCGGCTACTCAACTTGTCTGCGGCTTCGGAATTGACACCTCCGGGCTGTATGACTGGTATAGGCATTTGACGCAATCCGCCTGTGTAGCTGGCGGATGGCACTGCCCGCTTTTCCGTGATAGCATTATGACTCTGCCTGCGTATCCCAGTATTTAGGCCGGAGTATATCGCATATCCGCTTACCCGTCCCCCCTCCTCTACCTGTACGCACTCATCGTTCAGAATGAACGCTTCCATCGACCACGCCTACTCACCCCCGCTTGCTGGAGCGAGTCGGTCACCGTGCCCTGCCTTGAACGCGCTGGCAAACCATGGCTATCTGTACGTACCGGTATTCACTTACCATTGTATTAGAGTCTGACTTTGGTGCGTGTAGACCTCGCAATGGCCGCGGCATCACTGCGTTGCAATTGGTGCGCGCTCTGGTGGAAGTGTACAACTTCTCTGTACCGTTGGCGGTGGTGCTCTCCGTCGTCGGAGTCGTTCTGTGCGGCAACTGGTGGTCACTCGACCTCCACCAGCTTGCGAAGCACGGCCTCATCGAGCACAACGGCTCGTTGGTGCATGACGACGCACACCCCCACGAAGTCTATGCACCGACCGCTGTCGACCCAAAACTCGTTGCTCAGCTGCTTGCCCTCTCGCCCTCTCCCTCTCTAACCCTCCGCGATTTCGCCAGAGCGCGTGCGCTGCGGGACGGCTCCATCCCAGCGCCTCTGGACAAGGTGCACTCGGAGATCGCGAGAGGGGAAGCGGTTCTGACCATGCAGACCTTCGGCTCCGGGGACCAGAACGTGGACGAAGTCGGAGGACTCGACGGCGCTGTCTCGAAAGCATTCCTCGAGCAGTGGCTCGGTCAGGAGAGATTACCGGATGGGTGGCATAAACCACAAGTACCCATCGGTCTGGTCGGGACCGCTTCGCGCTCAAGGAATCTAGCAAAGATGATACGAGAGTTGCGGAAAAGTTACTCCTCACGCTGCCGAGAACATACACTACCTTGATCAGATACTTATGCACAGATATCGATTTGGACATGACCTGTTGTTTGCTGATATACGATCATACCCTTGCGCATTACACGCAGCATGTTTCCACGGATGTCCCTCCTTTGTACTGCTTACTCTACCTACGCTGATGACATGAATGCTATGCGAAATGCGGCATTGTTCCTGAAATCCGAATATCAACAGCCGTGCCTGCGACAATCACCACTGAACATAAGCGTCGGCGCAGACAGCCAGGGGCCGCCAGCTCGAAGCCTCCAAAGTTTGAACATATGTGGACAGCTAAGGCTAGCCGCTATGTGATACGTAGTACTATTTTTAGTGCAGACGCTAGACGCCACTCAAGACTTCCACGCCAAGTGATGTTACATAATCGGGCGCGGTTGCAACTCGACGCTGGTTCATGCCTAGTCAAACACCCCGTGGCCCTGCGACCCTGTCAATACGACACCTTCAAGTTCGACCACAAAGGCTCTGATTTGGCCAACAGAGCCGGCCTTCTCCTAGGTGAAGGATTAAGCACCCAACCTTGCAAAGACGTGTATGGTGTAAGTCTCGTACGAAAGCATGGCGTGATTCACTGAATCTTCTGATGCTCTCGACCTAATAATGCAGAACTCGAGGTACAGTTCTGTTATGTATCGCGACACCGATATGCAAACACGTCGGAAATGCGTCGACAAATGCGTATGACGTGGAGTTGGATGCATTCAAAGAGTAGCTCCGTCTGCGAGCGAGCGAGCGCCATTGGCCGCCGCGCGCGAGGCTGGCTCACCATACTACGCGGGCACCGACTCGGGAGTGGGAATGAGTATTATCATTGCATTCGTGACTGAACTGTCTGTCCATTGGTCAGGCGATACTTTGATATCAGGGCGCTCGTATTGGCGAAGAATGTCAGGTTGGTCACCGTTTGGCGTCGGCGGACCGTGTTGCTGCACATGGACTTGTGACCGACCGTACGCGCGGGCCCAACCTGGCAGATGACCATGCTCGCCACCATTAGCCAGCTAGTCTGCATCAGTGACCGGCCACCCGAGCCTCAAGGGGACCCGTGTTGTACTACTTATAGGCAGTGTTACTCTGGCGTTCAAGAAGACTGCTTCCGGACCGATGCCTCCAACATCCAAGTCAAAGGACCTGGACACGGGGCACCTAGACACATCGGTGCTAGGAAGGGAGCGACATGAACTGACTCGACGGATACTGTGGAAGCTTGATCTGCACGTCCTTCCACCGTTGGCTTTGGTGAGTCACTAAGCAAAGCGTAGTGGAGGGGACATATTGTTGACCACGAGTTTGCACAGTTGTGGCTCGCGAACTTCATCGACCGTACCAATGTTGGCAATGCAAAGTGATACACGCTTGCAAGGATTATATGTGCCCACTGACGGATGCATAGGATCGCAGGCTTGTCCAATGAACTCCATCTACAAGGAACTCAGTTCAACATAGCGCTCGCAGGTATGCATGTATCGGATATCGCTATGGTATGATGTCATTTCTCACCTACTGTATTTCAGTGTTCTACGCACCGTAAGTCCCCTCTGTTTGAACCTGTCGGGTATCTTACGTGTCGATCTTGGCTTCCTCAGCTATATTTTGGTTGAACTGCGTAAGTCAGTGCATCTTGCACTATTTTATGAAATTGACACCGAAATATCAGCCTCCAACTGGATCCTGAAGAGAGCGAAGCCTAGTAGATGGCTTCCGGTTATTGTAGGGGTGTGGGGCATGGTCACGACACTCAGCGGCCTTGTTCAGAACTTCAGCGGCTTGATCGCTATTCGATTCTTCCTCGGATTCTGCGAGGGGGGGCTGCTGCCGGGAATTGTGAGCCGAGTCTCCTATGACTGTGAAGCTGCGTACTTAGTGGGGTTAGATGCTATACCTAAGTACCATATACAAACGCCATGAGCTGCAGACACGGTAGGCAGTCTCTGTGTCATGACAGCGACGCTTTCTGATGATAATAGGGTCGGCATCTTCTACGCGTCTGCGTCCCTGTCTGGTGCCTTCGGAGGTCAGTCCCTACTCTATCTCTTATATCCGTGCTTTTGTGACGGTCTGTAGGTTTATTGGCAACGGGCATCGAGGAAATGGACGGCATAGGCGGTCTCTCTGGATGGCGATGGATCTTCATCCTCGAGGGTCTCATTACTGTGCTCTTCGCTGTCATCGCCGCGATATTTTTACCCGCGGACATAGGTTCCGCGAAGTTCTTCACTGGAGAAGAGAGAGAGTTCGCCTGTAAGTTTTGCTAGTGCTCAGAATGTCTTAGTTACCTAATAACGCACCCTTAGTGAAACGTTTCCGCGACGATAGCGCTGTGACATCAAGCGCTCCCCTGTCTGAACCAGCGCAGCGCATCAATGCTGCGGGTATGCAGATAGAGAAAGAGGACGACATCCAGGTAGAAACGCTTACTACGCGTAGCGTTGCACAGGTCGTCAATCAGGAGGACGAGAAATTCGAATGGTACGAAGTCTTCAGAGGTAAGGTGTCCATGTCAGTCGTCCCACATCTTCACATAGAACTTAATATCGTGTCAAGGTATCAAGGAGCCACAAGTCTGGATGACGTCTCTGTCTTATCTCGGGATCATCGTTAGCCTATACTCATTCTCGCTGTTCTTGTAAGCTCCTCCCTGCCAGCGACCTGTCAGGAGAGACTCAATTTTTCCATTCAGGCCTACCATCATCACAGGCCTAGGGTACTCTGGAGGCCAAGCACAGTTGCATACTGGTGTGTTATGGTTCAGTTGTGTCTCTGCTGCGATGATCTAATGTCGTACAGTGCCCCCATACGTGCCTGCCGTCGTCCTCACAGTTGCGGTCGCGGTCGCAGGTGACCGCTTTCGCATGCGCGGTCCATTCATTCTACTGTTTCTTCCTATCTCAATCGCGGGTATGCTGTCGACTTTATGTCACCTTATCAAATAAACTCAGTGCACACTTCATAGGGTACATACTTGCGATCGTAGCCAAGGTTCGTCACAAAGGCCTCATCGATTGCTTCATCGTCATGTTCATCTCAACCCTTAGAATGATACACAACGTTATGCCGCAGGTAAGTGCGCTTGTATGGCAACGGTAGATGAAGCCGATCTTGATCTTTGAAATCAGTGTTCTTGATCGCATCCGGAATGTAAGTACTACGTCCATTGAACATGCGTTGTCATGTGTACGATGAACCGGGCGTAACAGCTATCCTTGTGGGCCATGCGTCCTGTCGATTCTACCCAACAATACCGCTGGTCACTACAAGAAAGCAACCGCGGTAGCTCTACAGCTCGCAGTTGCGAATACAGGGTATGATTCTTCCGTCGTGCTCCTTCAAACTGACTCAATCGCAGTGATGCAGAGGCTTCGTAGCTACGTTCGTCTACACCAGCTCCCAAGCGCCGAAGTATATTGAAGGACATATAATAACTGTCTCTTTCTTGGCGATGGCATGGGTTACTATGTTCGCGAACGTGTAAGTGCAGAGCCATGAGTAACCTCCAGACACTGACGGTAGACCTCAGAATGTACTGCATAGTAGAGAATAGAGCACGAGCTGCAGGACGCCGTCAAGGAAACCTCATTGCATATCAAGAGCTCTGGGACTCGGGAAGGACAAGAGCGCCCATTGGTGACCGCCATCCGGACTTCCGTTTCACGCTGTAATGACATCTTCATGTACGTAAGACGCATACGAACATGCACGATTATGTCAAGTGTGTCCGTATACAGGTTTGATCCGTCACCAGCAAATGAACCTTGGGTATTGGGGTCAGGTCTGCGTGTAGACAATGACCTCGTACAGGTCGCCAGCGTAGTCTACGAGTTCTGGTGTAAGCTATAGAACGCAAAGAGGAAACCGTGCTTACTGGACTGGTCGGCGCCGAAGGTGATTGTGTTCGATCCCTCGTTCAAGTGTACCTGTACTGGAACACTCAAAACCACATGTACTCCTCCTGTATTTGGCTGGTCGACCACGACGCTTGAGCCGTTATTCACGCTGAAATGCGAAGTCAATAGCCGTTGTAGTGACATCGCAGTTAGCCTTCGTTGACTCACCTGACGGTTACATTCCTGCACCCGGCGCAAAATGAGGTGTTCGTTTACAGCGTACAGTTTACAGAACATACCTCCACGTCGAATCAGCGTTAGCGTAGTACAGGGCCAGCCACTGGTCAGCGCCAATTCCTGGGACGGTGAGGGTCACCGAACCGCCATCACCTGTGCATGGATTGCGTGTAAGTCCGTCCGCTCATCAAAGCCAGCGAACGTACCAAGATATCCCACCCCTTCGTTTCCATTATACGTTGAATTTGAGCCCAGAAGCTCCGCGCTTCCGCTGAGGGTACCCGCAGATGCAGCGTACGCGGTGCCGTTCAAAACGGTGTATGTTCCTGCGTTGCGTACGGATCAGTGGTATCACTGTAGTGATGGTTGGCTGCAAGGGCACACGTACCAGCATCCAGGTCCACCGTCCACAGATCGGCAAAAACAATTTGGGGATCACCGGATGACCAGCTCAGTGGGTACCACACGTAGCGGCTGTTACCGAGCAAGCTTGACTCCCAGCGATCGCCCATGTAAATCGCATTCGTGCCCAGAGGTAAATCGTAGGCGTTCTGCGAGTTATACGTTTTTGTATCTTCTGGCGCAATATCGGCTTGACTAGACCACGTCCCAGAGATGCTCTGCCATGTGATGACGCGGGAGTGATGATGCAAATGCCGGTCAGCAATGACGCTTTTGTGAAGCAAATGTCGGTGATGCACACTCACATCTGCGTAGAAGTACTTGTTCGGGTTGGGTGCCCATCCACTAGTGTGTGAAGCGATTAGCCAATAAACCTGGACGAGTATAGGGCTTCAGAAGCGACTACGAGAGATTAGTAAAGACATACCCCGTCTCTCTTGATCATGCCTGGCGCTTCCAAGGTAGCACCTACATGACAGTGAGATCCTGTACTAACAGAGCAACAGAGAAGTCTGGAAGCGTACCTTCTAATTCAGCCACGACCTCTGTCACGTTGTAGTAGTTTGAATCCATCTGAGCTATCTTGAAGTTTTGATTGTTGTCGCTGGCGTAGAGCAGATAGGCGGTCTGGTCGTCTGTATAAGGTTGAATAGTGCATACCATCTCAGGAAAGTAACGACATACCGTCGAGGAACACGCTTTCGTCGCGAGACTGGGCTCCTAGAGGATTGAAACTGCCGCGATAACTGTAAGGTCCGCATGGCGTGTCCGCGGTGGCGACGCCAACCATGGCGAGACCATAGCTGATTCGCCTCAACTACACGATGACACTGAACGAGGACCTTCACACGTACTCTGAGCTATCAGAATGAAACCACATGACATATTGGTTGTTCTGGCCATGAGAGGTGACTTCATGAGCACCGTGAAAAAGGAAGACAGCGTCCTATCCCTACCTGCTCGTTGTATATGACTGATCAATGCGTCTTAGCATGTACTACACCTCCGTGCAACGTGGAACACATACCCTTGGGTCGCTCAACAATGTTGGACGAGGAAATATTGGTTCCTGATACCGGCGTAAGCGCGTTATCATGCCGTTCCCAGTTGACGAGGTCAGTCGACTACTGCTAGTGAGAGTTGCCAGGCTAACAGGTGGTCAAAGTCACATACGCTGTAGCAGGATACCGCAGAGAATAGAGCGCTGTTTGCAGCCTTGTCTTCACCAACCCAGTAATAGGTGCTGTCAACCTGAAGACGGGTCCCAAATACGTTAACACAGTGAGGAGGCTATTCTGCACCTCATACCTTCAAGATGCCTGCGCTGTGTGCCTGGATTTCATTGCCGTCGGTGTCATACCAGAGAGCACCAGGGACGATGACACTTTTGCCAAGCACCAACCCAGACAACAGACCGAAAAGCAGAGCAACGTGGACGTACATCACAGTGTCCGTATGGCGGAGCTATGCTGAAGTCGAGAGCGATTGCTCGCTAGGTTATATACCCCTCGCATTCTACAAGTAAGCGGGCTTGTAAATAGACGTGGGTAGCAACAGGTGGTCTACCACATGGGGCTATGGTCACCAGGGGATACGATGATCGGGCTGGGGAGCACAGAATACCAGATGCCTCCTACGGCCATGCCGTCGAAGTGTCCGATTCCACGGTGAGGAACGAAGAGAACGTTCCCCGCAGCCTGTGACTCGCGAAGATGATCAGCAGCACGGCTCCCGGACCCGAAATCCTGACAGAAGGCGGTGGTATCGGACCGCGACGTGAGATCAGTAGCACCGTTGCCCAACGCTCGGGAACAGAAACAGTAAACTGTGAAAGGAATGTATTGCGACCAAATTGCGACAGACTCACCGAGACATTCCAGCTGTCTCCAAAACGACGGGCCTGCGTCTGAAACCGCGCAGAATCGAAGTTGGTGTTTTGAGCAAGATCATGCCACGAAAGGCAGGGCCGGTGGCGATCCAGTCTCAGCCAGACCCTAGCGGGTGGCTGAGATGGGCCCGGTCGAACGGCAGAGGCTGCGGATGACCAGAAGTCAAGACGCGACGTCCTATGTGTGTTTTGTCGAGGAACCTATCGGTATCGAAAAGCTGTCAGTAAAATTACTTTCCGCTCTGAGGACGGAGAACCAACCGTGAAGTTCTTGGAGCGTATCAGCAATTTTTTCCCCAATAAGCCACCTCCGTCACCCTACCAACAAGTTAATCACGAACGTTCACGGACTTCCTCACCCGCGTTGCTCTCGCAATCGGCTAAGTATTGTCGTTACAATGGCGCCAACTGTGAATACGTGGTGCACCACGAGAAGCCTTGGCACTGGCAGGCCAGGAATAACAGTGGCAGGCTTCTGGACTACCTGTGGTCGGTACATACTGATGAAATAGGGAAACGTACTATTATATCAGTCGCGCCCTTCATCTATCAAATCGTTCACATACCTTACTACGTGGCCCGACTTGTACGTCGGATCCGATGCTAGACTCATCAGAGAAGATGGTTAATGTTTCTCGCATTTCAGAAAATAGCATGGCAACGATACACTGAAGGGAGGATGAGATAGCGGTACATGTGCATGCGAGATCGGTGCAAGTGTGTCAAGCAGATTGAGTAGTCATTGCAAGTCGTGTCGTGTCGATCGTATGAAAACAGCAATTGTGAGGTACAGTATCATACATAGAACCTGCGACGCGATGAGCAGTGGAAGTCAAATGACAGTCGAGACTTACTTCTTGTTGATTTGCCACAATAGAAGATTGAGATTAAACTTTGCGAGACCGTCGAATAACGAATAAGATGCGCGATTCTCGAACTGCGCTTGTAAGAGATCTTCCATTTTGACATCTGCAGCCGCGATCCGGTTTGTGATGCCAAGAGCGTGATTGAAGATCTCTATTGTGAAAACGCCGACTTGGTTGGACGATATGACGATGCCCATCTTGTCGAACTGGCGTGGTGAGTACTGATCGACCGAGAGTAGTATCCCCTTCTTGTAGAAATGCGCGGCGGTGTACTTGAACGAGCCAAACTGAGGCGACCTGCCCGCTTTCTGCAGTTCTCGCATATGAAAGTATTGCTGAGTGAAGGGTATAACAAAACGCCTCTTGCTGCAACGAACGTCAAAAAGAAAATGTCATGTTCGCAGAAGCGCACGCACCCTTTACCACGCTGCATGGTGTTCATGGCGGTCTCTACGTAGCTGTGGTAGCTATTGATCTGCTCCTCGAAGTACTTCTTCCGTTCGGCCAGGTACCGCAAGGCCTCCTCCATACTCTCCTTCTCGTGTTGACGCTGTACACGTCTACGATTCTTGCTACGAACATCGCCAGCGATGGCATTCAGGATACCCTGGTAGCCATCCATACGCGATATTTTGCCCAGCTTTTCGAGCTCGAGAAGGAAATAGATAGCGTGCGCTTTGACTTCACGGAAAGTCATTCTGCTCATGTACTATGAGCGTTCACATTTGGGAACAACTAACCGGTGACTCACGACCGGATGTCCTCGAGGCGATACGCAGACTCAGCCCCGGTGGTAGAGGGCATGCGCCTCTGATGGCGCAGTTGCTCCCTTTCCATCTCTTGGAGAATTTCCTCCCACACGAGCTCATGCTCATCAGTGACCGGTTGCATCAACGACTCCACGAGGTCCTTGGCAGGTTGCACTCTGAGAATGGCTAGGACCGCGCGCTTTGCCTGCACCCATAAAGCTTTCTCGTCTGCACCGGGATCTATGAGGCGAATTATTTCTGCAGTCTCTGCACTCATCCAAAGATCGCCAACATACCTCTGACATGCGCAAATCTGTTCGTCAAATGTAGCTCTACCGCCGTATCGCGAGCTTCATTGAGCTCATCATTGCCGATGTGAGGTACACCATCCAACTCCATGAGTATCACTCGGAGCGTATCGTCACGAGCGGGAGCCTTTCAAGTCAACATGAGTGAGCTGAGGCCAGGAATACCACATTCCCAACTTACCAGATCGTCAAGGTTCTCGGAGAGCAGACTATGCATAGCATAGACCTCATTGGGAGAGATGTAGATAGATTTCGGTTGGACAGTAGCATCGAGGAACTCATGAGCGTGCAGTTCAGTCTCCGCATCCTGAACATCCGCCACTAATGCAGAACAATTTCAGTATGTACCGGAGGTATCGATGACCAGATCATTTACCACTGAGCAGCCACGTCGTGATCTGTGTGATGGCCTTCCGAACGTAATCGTTGACAGGGATATAGCTAGGGGTGGTGTCACTGAACTCAGCTCCACTGGTGATCTGAGTGAGCATTCTCGAAATCTGCGCCAAATTCTTCCGAGACTCGATGTCGACAGTGCTCGACACTATGTCAAATGTTTCCGGCGTGCTGTATGATGGCGCATTTGTAAGATATCCAGTACAAGCTGAATAGACGTACATGATGGCAGGATTGAGGTATCGATAATAGACAAGTCTAGCTATGCACGCAGCGTGCAGATCGGCTGGGGCATCCGGGAACTTACTCTGGCAACTCATGAGATGATGTATACCAAGACTCCTGAATCATACTGACCTTCACGACATTGAGTGTTTCCCGAGCCATGAAGCGGACACCATATGGCATCCGCTGGAGCGACTGAGTGATAGCCTTGACGAATTCTTCCGTCCACCATTGCAGTACCTGGAGGTCTACGGGAGGTGATCAGGAGTCTAGGTGGATGTGTTCAGTGTAGCTGAGCGTACGCCTGATATATTCTGCCCTAGTATCTGGATCGTTGAGAGCAGTGCGAAACGCCACATCTTTGGGCTCCTTGGCGGCCTCGCCCGATCTTAGCTCCTCCAAATCCATCTTCGCACGATAGATCTAATCAGGTACGTCGGTGAGTAGAGCGTCGCCGTGTCACGAAGAGGGGAACAACCTTCGTCGGGTCCGTCTCCAGATCAATGTCGTCCGCATCAATGACGCCGCGGACTACACCTTGAAGAGTCTCTCGGATGTATGCACTCTGCTTCGGTCGAATGTACAGGACGGCGATGTTGAGGAACATCGGATGTCCATTGATGACGTCCTGGATGCTGGTCGCGCTCTCCACTTCTTCGTGGATTGCAGTCTCCATACAAATGTTAATAAAAATATGAAACCTATCGACAAACCGCACGCACCTGCAACAGCTTCAGCAGGAGGTACTCCTCGCGACGATCGTGACCATAGCCAAATAGAGTAAGCACCACGCGCTCGGTCAGCTTACGGTGCTTCTCTGAGTCCTTGCTCGCAGACATCTTGGAGAAGAGTCTGGTCAGGTACTCGGACTTGGTCTGCAAGAGATAGAAGAGCTGCTGATATAGCTCTAGCTTGCGCTTGGCCGAACGATCCAACGTGCTCGGTCCAGCGAATGGATCCCCGTGGGCTGCAAGGACAGAAGCTCTCGCCGCATGCACAGCTGCGCTGTCAGCGCCGTGTCGTCGTCGGACCTTGGTGAGTTCCTCGAAGCTCTTGACATTCTGCACGACAAGCGCAATCTTGACGTCGAGTTCGTTGACGTCGTTCTCCAGCGCTTGATTCTCCCGAATGCGCTTGACGACGTCCTGTCTGAGCCTCTCGACCTTGATTTCCTCCTGGAAGTCTGCTTCCGAGTCATCCAGCAGGTGTACGAAGTTCTTGATCGTGCCAACGGTGACATTCGTTCCCAACGTGAGCTGGCGATACTGCTCACGGGTCTCCTTCGCACGAAAGAGCGACTGGATCTGTACAATCTTGTCCAGGTTGGACCGATAGTACTCCATCTTCGCACGGAACTTCCTCCGCTGCAGCACGCCACGGAGTAGAGCCTGCAGAATGGTAGCCTGAGGATGACTACTCCGGATATAGTCTCTCCATGCGTGCCACTCCTGCCGGGCCAATGCGCCTCGCGCGGCAGCTTGGAATCCGACGACGTCCGGCTGGACGAACTCAAGTTGTTTCTTCTGCTCTTGATGACGGTTCCGTGCAAGACTAGCCCGGGCAAATGCCTGCAGGCCACCAATCGACTTCATCACCTCCACCTTCGCCATAGCCTTCTGCATGGACTCGTGCTTCTGCTGGGTAAGTCTGGCTCGAGCACGAGCTTGCAGACCAATCAAGGCTGGCGTGGCCTTGCGCAGACCTCGAATGAGACCCAACAGCCGCTTGCGGGCGAGGTATGTGCGCACAGCCGCCTGTATGCGCACGACCACATCGGCGACATCCACCAACTTGGCCATCTGCGTGCGGAATCGTCGACGGACGAGGAGGCCCCTGGTCTGAGCCTGCAACTGGACGATGTAGGGAGTAGCACGCTGCAGGAGCGTCTGCTGGCGGGCGAGCATCCGCCTGACTATGACTCCCCGCGCATGTGCTTGCAAGTCGACGATGTTCTCCATGACAAAAGGCGTCGCAAACGTCTTCGCGAGCTCCTTGTGCGACTTCTGCACGATCCGCGCACGCGCCACGGTCTGCAATTTCATGATAGAGAATTGGGAACTCGTAAGCGCCGACTTGAGCTTTAGGAATCTACGCCGCACGAGCACACCGCGCGCCTGTGCCTGCACCTTGACCAGATACTTGACGGAGGCGCGCACTGCTCGTATATGGGCCCACCAGTCTCTTCGCACCAGGACACCCCTGGACTGCGCCTGAATAGCCTTAGCCCAAGGCTCGAGACTGACTCGCTGTGCTCTGTCCCCTTCGAGGCGCCTCCGAACGAGAGCAGCTTTGCACTGAGCCTGTATCTTGGGCACATATCGTTCTGCCAGTCGTATCCGAACGCGCTGGGTGGCTTGCGCTTTGCGGACCAAAAAGGCTCGGGCGACGGCTTGCATAGATGCGATGGAGTCTTCACACTCCAGCAGTAGGCGGTCTCGACCTATGTCATGATCAGTACGGATGGTAATGAGAATGTGCTCACGGCACTCACGTTCATCCTCGGTCTCAGCCTCCTCTTCTGGCTCCTCATTGATCTCTTTCGCGAGCTCTCTACCCACACTACCGAAGTTAGGCATGACGACGCCAGAGTCCTTCAGGCCCTTCTGCGTCTTCTGCAGCTGGTCATCTGTGAACTGCAGGTGACCGACGAGATTGCCAATGCGCTGAGCTAGACCCCGTCTGGCGAGTAAATGACTAAGAACAGTAGTCAGTATGAGGCCTGTCAACACAGAGCAATATGCGCACCTGAGCGCGTGTATGCAATAGATGACCTTCGGGAAATTCTTCTTCTCATACAGATCGGTCAACTCGAAGATGAAGCCCTACAGCAAAGGGTTATCGGTCGTCCTCCAGGATTGCCATGGAAGAGGGACCTACCTCGGGCAGTCCGACCTCGCGGACGAAACGGAAGAAATGGTTGATGTTGTCTGAATGTCGGAAGTCCAGCTTCGGCGCCTACGAATGATGTTCAGACATGGTGTTGGGCTGCCTGGAGTCTTACAACGTACGTCGTATATCCTGCGCACAGCCGCTTCACCCTGGAAAACCCTCACCAATCGCGCCATGACAACACCATTCCGTAAGCCCTCCTCCATCTCGACGACTCCAAACCCCAGCTCCTCCCCAATACAACCTTCGATCCATTGCTGCGCCTCGCCGACGTGACAAAGGTACTCGTAGGCCTGCAGCAGGTGTCTCTGTATGTCTGCCCACAGGCCTCTCGTCAGTCTTGAAGAAGGTAGCGGTGAGGTCGGCGAGCTGGGCGCCTTGTCCTTGGACAACCTCAACCGCCCCGGGATACCCGCGACGTCTCCTGCATCAGTGACTCCAGGAACGACGAGTTCCGCTTCACGATACTTCTCGGGTGATGGCGGCTCCCAGTCTCGCGCGCGCTGCAGGCGCTCTTCTCGTCGACTCCTATAGTCGGTTTTCGGCGGGGGTGGCGGAGGCTCTTCGTCGGCTTTGGAGTCATCCACCCAATCCTCCGGCGCGTCTCCGCTGGCTATTCGTGGGAGATGTCGTCCTAATCGACGGCCTGTTGTCAGATTATCTCCGTACAGAGACGGCCGCTTGTTGGCCATGTATGAGCTTCGGTATGGCGAGGGGGTCATTACAGAGGAAACCGAGGACGCAGATGACGGTTGATTTGAGCTGCTTGAGAACTTGTCTGGCGAGACGGATGAGGCACGAGAGAACGTCGCGCTCGAACCAGTTCGTCCGCTGAACCGTTCGCCAATCTTGTCAGGAGACGGTGCCGAGTAGGTGCCGCCATACATCGAGGTAGGTCTCCGATTAGCAGTAGTTGCAGTGGAGGAAGATGACGCTTCTGGAGGCCAGACGCGCGAGATGCGCCCTTGGCCGGCTGGCGGAACAGAGCGGTCAGACGAGGTAGACGAACCTGTGGAGGACGGATTGATGCTCTCGAGTGTGTTAGCGCGGCGCACTCTCGACGGGGTCGCACTCTGGGCTGGGTGCTCCGGCGATGAAGGAACAGCATAATCACTCAGTTGCTTGAGCGCTGAGACAGACGAAGATCCGAGGGGTGTAGACACGGGGAGGCGGATACGCTGAGGCGTCGGCGTTGAGAACGGCTGTGTGGGGGAATCTGGACCTTCAACGGTGATACCTGTGGTATTGGGCGACAAGGGTGACGCAATGATAGGTGCCGGCATAGTGTGTCGCTTCAACATGGGAGGCGTAGTGTGCTGCTGTGGGTCACGGAAAGCCTCGGTCCTAGAGGGTGATATTGTCGAGACGCGGTCGAAAGAGGCCGTCCGTGACACGACCTCGGGAGACGCATTGGTAGAAGCCGTAGGAGTCATGCTCATCGTACGCGAACGGCCTTCTCCGCTCGCAGTGCTCGACGTGCTCGCCGTCGACGCAGTACGCTCGAGCAGCGATTCCGCTCTCGTTCGCTCCTCCCATTTGCCTCGTACTGTGTCCAAGCTGTTTCCGACTCGATGCGTCGGCGTCCATCTCCTGGTTGCGGTGGGCGTACTGTTGCCTCCGGTAGGGGATGCAAGGATGCCATTTCTTGAGACAGTACCAGCGCGAGATAGGGTTCCGGAACCACTCCGCGACGAGGTACGCTCCAGTAAACGCGTCTGGTACGCAAATGGCCCAGCCGTATTAGAGCCGGACTTCGAGCCTGTAGACGAGACAGAGTCAGAACGTTCCATGGTCTCCGTTCCAAAGTCGTGATCGTGAATCGTGATGAAGAATCAAGGTGGGTAGAGAGCGGTAGCGAGCAACGAGAGCAGTTGACGGTTGAAAATTGTGGTGTTGGAGGGCAAAGCCGTCCTTGTCGCCAGGTCCAGACGAGAGAGGACGGTCGGTGCGAGAAGAGGGACGTTGCCCTCATTTGGAAGCGCGTCGCGTTTACAGTGTACACAGCAGACGCTCGTTGCCGATTCTACATCGCTCACTGCTCAGGCGATTCTGTCTTTCTAGGCCTCCGGACTGCTCGGCATCCCTGGCAATGATTCATAATTATGATACCTGTTCATCGGTTCTTGCACATGTTCATGCCATGCAAACACAGGAAAAATACTGTGTGTTTGCGAGTTGTGGCCGGCAGGCCACACTGCCACTCCGGGTCGGTTATGGATCCGAGTCATGAGTGTGTGATGCTGTGTGCAATGCTCAGTGGTCGTAGAATGACGCTTCGCAAACAGAAACGTCGCAGTTGTTACCTGGCCCTGTGTGCAATTCCGCGACATGCAGGAACTGTGGCAAGGGTCGGAGATGATGTTCGATTTGGAAGGAGGAGCAGCTCGAGCGCCTAAGTGGACGCGATCGAGGAACGCGTCGACGCGTGCTGCGACGCGCCTCTCCTCTATCAAGCCCCCATGTCCTCCTCCCTCGAGTCCCTCGTAACTTCCCTCGTCCCTCGCGCAAGGCAAGACGCAAGCCTGAAGAAGGAGCTCACATCGCATTGTCAAGAAATCCTCAGCAGGTGAGCTACTCTCGCCACTGTCAGGACCATTGGCTGTTGTACCAGTCCTTACATTTCTGTCGCCGCAGTCATATAGGCCAGTCCGTAGATAATGATATAGGACATTTGGCAGACCTTGTAAAGCGCAACTGTGAGTCTCAAACTCTTGTCACTCCTACGTTTGCTCGAGCTCATGGCTGATACTAGTGCTGCAGTCTACACCTGATGGTACGACCGCCCTTCGCTTCACAAATCTTCTCTCACGATTGTTGGATCAGGTATGAGTGTGCTTGTGACACGTTGTCCCGTAGATCTGACAGGCTGCGTAGCAAATACTGTCTAGGAAACACGCATCCCTGCAATTCCTCCATGCGCTTTCGCTGTCGCCCAAGGTCTCCTCATTATCACCCTCATTCCTTCCTTCGCTTGCAGCGCCCCCACCACTCTCTAGGCCGTCGACAGCAACACTTACACCTGCAGACGCAACACCTCCAGTTAGGCTGCCGCGGGGCAAATCCAAGGCGGAACTCTTGAAGGAATACCGGAATCAAATTGGGCGCCCTCACTTGCCGGAGCACCTCATCCTCCGGGATACTCTGTATCTGCTGCAAGGTATATCTGGGAAATATGTACACTTCTCTGCGAGTACAGATCCAAATGGTAACAACGAATTGGTATTCACTGACGTTCCGGTGCGTATTCTCTCACTTGCACTTGTCTCTGACAATTAAGCATTTACACTGTAGTCGTACGTCATCTCACGGCCAACCAAAGCCCTGGTACATCGCCTGGCTGAAGTGGGTCACCTCTACATGCGTGTAGACGCATTCGTACGTGAACGGGAAGGCAAGGTCGGCGTAGGGATGATCGAGCAAAGTCTTTGCCACCACCTCCAGACTCAGCTCACGGAGTACTACCGTCTCATCGCCGTGCTTGAATCACAAATGTCCGCACAATCCAGCGATGATGACCCACCAGCGCAGGACGGCGCAAGCATACGGGAGGAGACTGGTCTCACGCTAAAGAGACTAGATGTCTGGATTGAGGACTGGAAACTGCGGATGCGAATGATGAGCGTTTGTGTGGAGGGTGCCAAGGGTAGCTGCACCTCTGTTACTGTGGGATTGGGCTCACCTCTTTCACAGGTGCACATGGCGGTGCCTTAGTGAATCTCATCCATGGATACGCAGACAATGGTGATCCGTTCATCCGCAAGTTCACTGACCAATTGCTAGATGAGGTAGCGTGCGATAGTATCTCATGTACTCGTGTACTCAACCACGGGTTCGCAGGTATCAAAACCCTTTTTCGCAACCCTGCACAAGTGGCTCTTCTCCGGCGAGCTCGTCGACCCCTTCTCAGAGTTCTTCGTCGCAGTCGACCCGGAGCTAGCGCATCTTCAGTATGGTCAGCCGTCACATGACGGTATTGGTCCGTCCGGCGGCGATGGCGGCTTCGGCGGATTGGGAGACGGTGAAGACATATCTAGTGAACGCGAGGGAGGTCTAAAGCTCTGGGAAAGCAAATACCAGTTCCAGAAGGACATGCTACCTGCATTCGTCGGAGAGGTCTTCGGCAGGAAGGTCAGTGTACCGTGTCGAGTCTGTGGGCACGATGCTCACTTCAATGCCACCAGATCTTCTCAACAGGCAAGAGTCTGAACTTCATTCGCTATACTTGCCATGACAGCGACTGGGTCGCAACACAAGATAAAATCAGCACTACTGGAGGCAGTGAGTTGTAGTTTCGCGGTAAGGTCAGAATCTCTGAGAGGTGACCTTGTCCAGCTTTGCAATACAGCGACATCGCCGGTCTCGAGCGTTCGATAGATGCCGCGTACCAGATCGCCAGTCAACGGCTGTTCGAGGTCTTCTTCGAGAAGTACAATCTACTAGACCACCTCCTGGCGCTGAAACACTACATGCTGCTGGGCTACGGTGACTTCATCGACCAGCTCATGGAAACATTGTCGTAAGTTCCCGCCCACGCTTGTCTCACGGATTGCTCAGTGCAAGCATCGTATAGCCCGAGTCTGTCTCGCCCTGCAAATACTCTTTACCGCCATAACCTCACAGCCACCCTCGAGTCCGCCATCCGCTCTTCAAATGCACAGAATGACACTCCTGACGTCTTGCGCCGACTGGACGCTCGTATGCTCGAATATTCTCATGGCGAGATTGGCTGGGACGTTTTCACGCTCGAATACAAGGTGGATGCGCCCATCGACACCGTCCTTGACCCAGACACGATGGTGAAGTACCTGAGGCTGTTCAACCACATGTGGAAGATCAAGCGCATCGAGAGCACCTTGACGAAGGGCTGGATGAGGATCGCGGGAGGATCGAGGACGTTCTTGCAGGTTCCAGGTGTGGCGTGTTCCAATGCACCTGAGGGATCTTCGCTGACCGCTGGTGTAGAACTTGACTTCGATTGGCATCAGATCCGCATCGTCATGGCGGAGATGATCCATTTCATCCGCCAGATGGAGGCGTATTGCCAACTAGAGGTCATCGAGTGCTCGTGGAAGATCCTTCTGGAGTTCGTCCAGAAGAGAGAGGGTGATCTTGACGCCCTCATCGAAGCTCACGGGGCGTACCTGGACCGTATGGTAAAGAAGGTTCTCCTACTCAACCCCAAAGCCGGTCGAGAAGAGAACTTGTTGAACCAAGTGCGGGATGTATTCGCGATTATCCTGCAATTCCGGGAAGCTACTGTAAGTTGCATTGACCATTGCATGGCCTACACGTTCTGACCTCCAGCAAAATGATAGGATGACTTTTACAACTACTGCCTCTCCGAGGCTGCACGGCGAGACTCAGAACAAGACGCCGCAAGAGTACGTGGTACGCCTGCTCGCGTAACTCAGCTGACACAGAGGGTTTCTTGTTGTAGGGCGTTTTTACTGGCATGCCATCCTCAGCTAGCAAACGCCACGACCCTGAAGCGGTCCACGACATATTGGCCCGCGTCAGGGAGTACGGCACCTCATTCTCGGAACGGGTGCAGGCCATCGTTCAAACGCTATCTGGCCATGCCGATCTTGACTGTCGCTTTCTTGCTATCCGTCTGTCGTTCTCGGACTTCTACAAGACCCGCAAAGAACCTCAGAAATCGTAATGTATTGTATTCCGTCGTATGTGTCATTACTGGGTCGTAAGGTATCACTACATTGTGTAAGTTGGGTATACCCTGGTCCGTAACGTATCGAGAAGGTCATCCGGCATTATAAAGTGCTGTGATGATACTAATACAAAGTATGGGATGTATAACGATACAGATGCTGAGCGGACTTCGAAGAACGCAAGCATAGTACTGTATCACGATGCAAGTGCGGCTGCCGGGGGTTTATACAGCCTCAGCGCAAGCGAGCTGCAGACCACAGAGACGGATCTAGCACGAGGGTTAGTAGAGTGTTCGTGCAATGTCAAAGATAGACTTACGATAAAGCCATCAGCAGCGACGCCCATGCCGGGGGCAACCTGGCATTCCCGGCAGGGTAGATGACTCCCGCAGCTATGGGGACAGCGATAGTGTTATAGAACAACGCCCAGAACTATGCGCCAATAGGTGAGCGATCGTCCACTACAGCAAGGATGGAGTGCTCACGAAGTTGAACTTCACCCTGTTGAAGATCTTGCGCGACAAATCGGTCAAGGTCAGCAGTGTGTATAGGTTCGCTGACACAAGGATGAACGCCGCGCTGGAGATGGCAACGTCACTGCCTGAACCAATGGCGATACCGACATCTGCCGCAGTGAGAGCCTGCCGAGTAGATGAGCAATCAATTGAGGAATGCAATAGTGCAAGACCTACGGGAGCATCGTTGATACCGTCTCCGACCATGGCTACGACGCAGCGCTCGTTCAGCTTCTGCTTGCCGAAGAGACGCCTAATCGAGGGTTGAGGTCTCTTCATGCCGACCTGCTGCAGCCAACGAATCTTGTCCGCCTGAAGGAACGGGTCAGAACATTGCTCTTAATTGGCTCAGTCAGGACGACATACCTTCTCGTGTGGCAGGACACCAGCGATGACATTAGTCTCCGGTATGCCGACCATCCGAGCCACAGCCTTAGCGGTAGTTTCGTTGTCTCCGGAGATCATCCACGTTCCGATGCTCTGGTTATGCAGATGCTCGATGACGCTCTTCGCCTCTGGCCTCAGCGGGTCTGCGATAGCGAACAGACCGACCAAGGAGAAAGCAGGCGCATCGGCCGACTCATCACGAATTGCAAGGAGGACGACGCTCTTGCCTTCCGACTTCCACGTATCGAGCTGGTTAGCCAACCTGCCATCGACGGAGCAACCATGATCCTTCATCCATGCTTCGTTGCCGATGATGGCAGAGCACTTGAGTGAACCGAACTCGGCTTTCAGACCTCGTCCAGGGGTCTCGTCGAAGGCAGAACCGCTCTGAGGCGATGCTGCGTTGTCCAAGCAATGCTGTCGAATAGCAGTCGCCAGTGGATGCGAGCTCGCAGACTCGACTTCTGCCGCGATACCAAGAATGACATCACGCGTCCATCTCGATCCCTCGCGCTCGACGATCTCGGCGTCTGTCACCTTCGGTTCGCCGCCCTCGGTGAGGGTACCAGTCTTGTCGAACACGACGATGTCGAGCTGAGCGGCCTCCTGGAAAGCCTCTCCTCCACCGCGGGCGAGAATGCCGTACTTCGCGGCAAGGCCCGAACCGACCAGTAGGGCCGTGGGCGCCGCAAGCCCGATCCCGCATGGGCACGCGACGACAAATACGGAGATCGCGAATTCCAGCGACCATACCACTGCGGAGTGTCAGGGTGTCACACCGACGATGATCAGCAATCCCATTTTTGGTTAGCACAGAAAGCCTAAGAGACTCACCCCAACCACCGATGTCAATGTCTAGATAGCTCGGAGGTAGTGCGCCGCCTAGTCCGAGGCCAAGCCAAACGACCCAGGTGATGATGGCTAGGAGAGTTACGACAGGGACGAAGTAGCCAGTGATCATGTCGGCGACGCGCTCGATGGGCGCGCGGCGGGTCTGCCCTTCGCGGACGACCTTGACGACGTGGTCAAGCATCGTCTCGCCGCCAATCGCGTCGACCCTCACATCCACAACACCTCCCTTGTTGATCGTACCAAGGAAGATATCGTCGCCGACCTGCTTCTTGACCAGTCTCGACTCTCCGGTGAGGGAGCTTTCATCGAATGCGCCACTGTCGCCAGTGACAATGGTTCCGTCTGCTGGAGGGCTTCCTCCATGCTGTACTCGGACGACATCTCCGACCTCGAGAAGCTCGGCGTCAATCCTCTCGATCTTCGTCCCGGAAGCTTTGGACGCGTCTGCGTCTTCTCGACTGACGTCGCCTTTCTCGAGGTCGACATCACCGAGCGTCGAGCTATCGGGTGACGGGTTTCTGTCTTCCCTCGCCTCAGACACTGGGATGACAATGAGGGCGAACGTAGGTCGCAGCTTGCCAAGCGCGGTTATTGCGTCGGCAGTGCGTCCTTTGCTGTACGCCTCCAGGAATCGACCTGTCCGTATGCATTACATCAGTCTGTCATAGTCCACGTTATGCAGCGCACTTACCAATGAGCAGGAACATCGTGAGGAACACTACCGAATCGAAGTACGTAGTTGTGTCGCCCATCCCTGAAGTGGACACGGGCTGTGCAGCAGCCAGTGCTAATAATGCGATAGACGCGAAGTACGCGACGGAGACTCCAGTAGATACCTAGCAATTCAATCAGCATTCTAATGAGGTACTCCTGGGAGTTGCGGGCGTACCAGAAGGTTCATGCTACCGAATCTGACGAATCTCCTCCACACAGGCGTTCGACTACCAGGCTTCCAGAGTGCCCAGATCTCCTTCATACTCCTGCGATGGAACGTTCCGGCGCTGTAGAACATGACCGGCGTTGCACAGAAGAACAGTGCCCACGACGCCCTCGAGGTGTTGCCCGTCCAGATAGGCGCCATGACCCACATCCGCCCGTCACGACTTATCGGGAGGAGGTCCATAAGGACAATGCCGATGATGAAAGTGGGTATTGCAGCGATGACGGCAAACACCAGACGCTCCAGCAGTTGCCTCTGCTCGCGTTCTTGCATGCGCCTTGCACGGTCCTCGAGCGAAGGTGGGTGATGAACGGATGCAACGAACGGTGTTCCGTCGGGGGAAGGCGCGGACGAGATGCGCTGAATGATGTGGCGCAAGGTGAAGGTAGGAGAAGATGGAACATAGGATATGCGCAGGACGGGGTCGGTGTGGTCGGTGATAGGCTTGAGAATAGTGACCTTGTCGCCGAGTGAGGAAACGGCATTCATCACCTTCTCTGGGCAGTGACTAAAACAACACGTTAGCAGTGTGCTACGCGGGAAGACAAACACATCTACTCACCCGCAAAACATGCCGTCTACACGGAGAGCTACTGTGCGCGGACCCACTTCTAGCGCCTTGTCGTTCTCGGAGTTGACAGGCTCGGTGCTGATGACCTCTGCCTCGTACCCAGCGTCCTCGATGGCTTCAACAACTTGTGGAGTGATATCCTTGCTCCCGACCACCAACGTAGCCGACGCGCCGAGCAGGTTGACCATGGGGTCGGTCACACCAGGTAGGCCTTTAAGCACGTCGGTCACCGTGTTCAAGCATGCGGCGCAGGTCATGCCACCGACGGACAGCGTCACTCGCTGCGGACCCTCCGCTTCAGCCGCATGCGCGACCTTCTGAGCGGGAGGGACATACAACGGTTCGACGCTGATGACCTCTGCCTCGTAGCCGATGTCCTCGACGGTCTCGGCGACAGAAGGGACGAGGTCAGCGCTGGCCACATTGAGCGTCGCAGAATTACCGAGAAGGTTGACGGCTACATCGGACACGCCAGGCAAGTCTGTGAGGGCATGCGTAACCGCAGTTGAACAGGACGCGCACGTCATGCCCCCAATAGACAGCGTGACATGATGTCGACTGTCGCCCGCTGCAGGCTCCGGTGCGGGCGGACTCTTCTGTAACGTGTGTGGGAGCGGAACTGTCTTCTCGGAAGAGGGACGGATCTCGGTTTCATGTACGAAGATGCCTTTCTCGTGCTCCTCCCGTGCCATCGAAGGTGACCCCGCTTCTCGCTCGACACTCGCCCTTTGTTCGGCCTGACATGCCGCGCATTGGTCCAGGTGTCTTTGCTTTTTGGGCGGAAACGGTGCCGCGAGTCGAGCTAGGTTGTTGGACAGCGAAAGGGACGCGAAGGACGGGAGTGGCGTGCGTGGTGTTCGCGGTGGGCCGTCGTCATCGGGATCGGAGACAATGTCGAAGCCGGCCTCTTCTATAGCTTCATTAATTTGTGCTGGCGTCAGGCCCTCGAGGTGTCTGACGGTAACCGTCTGGGTCACGATGGATACGTCCACAGACGTAGGGGCCGGCGAGAGCGCCGCGAGAGCATTCTGAATGGAGAGCACGCAGCTACAAAAATAACAATCAGCGCGTTGGTGGGAATGCGTTGGACGAGATAGGCGGGGAAGCTGGGCGTACCTGCTGCAATGAAGGTTGGAGAGGAAGACAGTGGTAACGACGTCGGAGCCGTCACGGTCTGGGTTCGTCAGGGCATCCATGTGTGTGCGTGCGGTGGCCCGGCGGGAGGAACGCAAGGCATATATAGGCGGTCTCGCGGCCATGGCTGCGTGGGTGTACGTACGAAGGTCGTGAGGAAGACGAACCGGGGAAATGACAGTGAGAAGGCTGAACGACTTGTCGCCATAATATCCTTTCCTTAACCCGAATCCACAAATTCGCTCATCGCAACGCACAATTGCCTCACCCAATAAGGCAGCAGGGATCGCTCGCAATAATCGCGCATCGAGATCCGAGCGCCCGATCTGAGTCAGCAAGATCTTGCCCTGGGTGCGCCCCCGGCCACCCTGGGCATCCCCGGCCAACTGGCAGGTGTGGCAGGACGTGGCTTGCACGATCTCTGCCCCGATCGCTCCTCTCAGCCACCGTCTGCAGTGAGCCGGACCTCGCTGCTGCTGCACGCGAGCCTCGACGCCCTTGTCCTCTGCCACGACGGTCTCTCTTCGACTGGCTTCGACCGGACCATACGCTCTATGGCAGAGAGCCCACCCTCTCACCGAGAGCGCAAGTCTCGCATGAACCTCTTCTATTCTCCGGAGCGTTCCTCGCCTCGTTCTCAGTCCATTCTCACCAGGTCTTCTACGCCTTCACCGAATGGCTCTCATTCCGACATCTCCGCTGTAACCGAACCTGGACGGCCTCCTATCATCCTTGGCATATGTGCCATGGACATCAAGGCACGCTCGAAGGCCATGCGGGAGATCCTCACTCGCCTGGTAGAGAGGGCGAGGGGCGTCATAGAGGTCAAGGTCTTTGGTGACAAAGTCATTCTCGACGAAGGTATGCACGCGTGATCGTCGTTTGCTTGTCTTCTGTACTCATGGGCTATGTTCCCCACCCATCTCCGCTGTATCTTTACCCACCAGATGTCGAGAATTGGCCTAGATGCGATGTCCTCATTTCGTTCTTTTCCACGGATTTCCCACTGGACAAGGCCATCCAATACGTGAAATTGCGGAGGCCGTTCTGCATAAACGATCTCCCACCCCAAGCCCTGTTGTGGGACAGACGATTGGTCGGTGCGGTGCTGGATCACTTGAAGGTGCCGACGCCTCAGCGCCTGGAGGTGTCTCGCGATGGTGGCCCAAAGGTGGACGAAGAGTTACGCCAGGTGATGAAGCAGAAGATAGGCATACAGCTCAGTGGCTTCCAGGTGACGCCTGAGGTCAGCCTGAGCGAGGACGGGGATGCAATCATCATCGACGGTCAGGTGATGGAGAAGCCCTTCGTCGAAAAGCCCGTCAGCGGTGAAGACCACAACGTGTACATCTACTTCAGGGGTGGTGGGGGTCGCCGACTGTTTAGAAAGGCGAGCATCCCTTACAAATGGGATCATGTGTGAGCGCTGAACATTTGTCATGAGCAGGTCGGCAACAAATCCAGCGAATTGGATCCCAATCTGAACTTCCCCCGGACCGACGGCTCGTACATTTATGAGCAGTTCGTGGACGTGGACAACTCGGAAGATATCAAGGTCTACACTGTCGGTAAGGACTATACGCATGCGGAAACTCGCAAGTCGCCGGTGGTCGATGGTGTTGTTCGACGTAATACAGACGGCAAAGAAATTAGGCGCGTCTCTAGCCATGCTCATGCAACGTTCCCGTTCTCCTTACGACAGCTGACCATAATCTCCCCGCGTTTGCAGATTCATAACCCATCTAAGCGATGAAGAGAAGAAGTGGGCCGCGCGCATCAGCGAGGGCTTTGGGCAAACTGTATGCGGTTTCGACATGCTCAGGTGTGACAACGGCAGAACTAGTCAAGTCATTGACGTCAATGGCTGGAGTTTCGTCAAGGGTAATGAGTCTTACTATGGTGCGCACGCTCCAAACCTTAGGAAGCAGATTGCTTACAGGCCCTTCTCTCATATGTGTGTGTTCCCGCTTGCTGATAGACAAGGCCGCCGAAATGCTCGCCGGGATATGTGTCCATGCTAGCGCTTCCGTCGAGCGTCCGCTCTCCGCCACCGAGGGGCCCGTGGAAGAGTCTCCGACCTGGCTTCTCAAGGCCAATGTGACTGTGTTTCGTCATGCCGACCGAACGCCCAAGCAGAAATTAAAGTTCAGCTTCCCCATCGACGAGCCGTGGACACAGCCGTTCGTCCGCCTACTGAACGGCGAGAAGGAGGAGATTATTCTCCGAGAGCGTTCCCAGTTAAGCCACATCCAGACAGCAGTCGAGGAGGCGAAAGGCCTAGGAGCTAGCGGCGAGGATTTAGCAAAGCTAACGCAGTTAAGCAATGCACTGATCAGCAAGATCGAGTTGCCTGGGACGAAAGCGCAGCTCAAGCCCGTGTATTCTAAGAAGCAGGCCGGGCACTCGAGGAAGCTGACAAAGTTGACCTTGGTCTTCAAGTGGGGTGGCGAGGTACGTGCGGCGCAGCGGTCATGCTCTCCCGTTACTCAACACCAATACAAACAGTTCACGCACTCGGCAAGGTACCAATCTCGCGATCTGGGCGAGAACATGAAGAAGGACATCTCGATCATGAGTGCGTATCCAACAACTTACAAACCTGTGTCCTCCAATTCGCTGATCACACTTTGTGTGTCTCCGGCAGACAAGGACGTTCTCAAGAACGTTAAGGTATGTACGATGTCTCGCCAGGGTTACTCCGCGACGGGGGACTGGAACCACATATTTTCCAGATATATACATCTTCAGAGCGTCGTGTCGTCGCCTCCGCCGAAATCTTCGCCACAGCTCTCTTCGAAAACAATAAGGATCCGTATGCTTCTCATCAGAGCGGCAGCTCGCGCACGTCGCAAGATGGTAGGGATGGCGTCAGCGGTTCTGCGCTAAGCCCGACCGCCGGGAGCGGCTTCCGTCCAAGCACACCCCGGCGCGATGGCTCTCAGTCTAATGCACCGAAGGCGCCGAAGCTGATCGTCCGCAAGGACCTCTTGGACGATTCGAACGCAGCTAAGGACCTCATGGACGATGTAAAGAAACGCCTCAAAATCCTGTTGCGCCCAGGCGAGCCGGAGAAGCGGCCGGAGTTGACTTGGCCGAAGAGTCTGAAGAAGGAGCCAGTCGAGGTTGTCAAGGTTTGTCCGACCCGCGTCTTCTAGTGTGTTACGGTTATCGACATAACCCCTGCAGGAGGTAATCGACCTTCTGAGGCATTTCCGCGAGGTTATGCATCGGAATTGGGAAACGCTGGATGTCGACAAGATACAAGAGCGATGGTGCGTGATTGCCGCAGACAGCAGGTGAATGACGGCATTGACGTGTGTTGATGGACTGATAGGTGCTGTGGGGACGAGCCCTGGCTTTTCCGCGAGCGATGGGAAAAGCTGTTTGAAGACTTCTGCGACGTTAAGCAGGAGAAATTTGACCCGTCGCGCGTGTCGGAGCTCTATGACACGATTAAGTATTGTGCCCTGCACCACCGGACGTTCCTGTTCTCCATATTCAGCGAGAACGGGCAACCAAGCTCGCAGCTCCGTGATCGGCAATTGCACGAGCTGTACGGACGCGCCAAAGCGCTGTTCGACCTCGTGGCGCCGCAAGAGTATGGCATTGAGCCGGAAGAGAAGTGAGTGTTTCGCACGTCGCATACGCAGCACAGTGCTGACTGTCGCCATGGCGCTTTACCCCAGGGAGGAGATCGGGGTGCTCACGTCGCTGCCGCTGCTACGCAACGTCGTCGAGGACCTCGAGAATGCACGCAACAACGAGGAGTGTACTCTCACACTCTACTTCACAAAGGAGAGCCACATTCACACGCTCGTGAACCTCGTTCTCCTCTCTGGGCTCCCCATCGCGAACCGGCGGATCCCCGAGCTCGACTACTGCGTGCGTCCTTTCTGCCGCCCTCTCATGCGCTCTGCGCTCACTGCTGACATCACGGATTACCTCACACACGCTTGACGCGCAGTCCCACATAACGTACGTGCTTTATGAACACGGGCGCCCCACAGGGGGACCCCATCTGCGAATCTGCCGCATCTGACACACCGATCTGCAGGTTCGAGCTGTACGAGCGCAACCACGGGCGCGGGAAGTCCGACAAGGAGTACTCCATCCGGCTCTCGCTAAGCGAGGGCGCGCACTCGTCGAACGTCCTTGACTCTGCGCTAGACGCACGCCACTCGCTCAACGTGCAGCCGCGCAGGTGAGTGTCCGGCGTGCTCCCTCGCGGATTGTCCCCCCTTTCTCTCTTCTCCCGCGTTAAGCGAAATGCGTGCTGACGGACGCGCCCCCCTCCCGCAGGAAATTGACGCAGCACATACCCTACAGTCTCGTCATCGAGAAGCTCTCCAAGCACTTCCACAGGCACATTGGCGTAAGTCCTTACGTCTCCCGCCTACCCATCCACCTGCGCACTAGGCTAACTCAATTGACTCGCGTACGCGGATCAGGACGACGACACGGGGCCGGACGAGCCGTTCGAGACGATCGATGCGCTGAGCGCACCGGTGGCGAACCAGAGCCCCGCGGACGATCCCTAGCAATCACAGACATGGGCGCACCTCATCCCCCTCCCGCCCTCGCCGCCGTCGACCGCGACCTCCTGGCCGACCGTCCCGTCCCGGTCCGTGTCCGTGTCTGCGTCTGTGTTGACGCGTGAGGCGCGGGTGCCACTGTGCTTGCCTGGAGTATGTTTCTCTAGATTATCGTGCATGAACGTTGGGGGCTTGATGCAGTAGAGCTGACGCTCTTCGTCTCGGCTGGGTTGGTTTGTGATGACTTTGCATGAGCGGACGTTCATGGCGACTATTTGCAAGCGCTGCGTTGTCGCCGATGACCATCGATAGTATCTTCCTAGACGCACGTCCGTCCGTGTTTCGGGTATCATACAAGCAGGATATATAACACTACTGTACATCTGCTACTTCCGCAGTCCCGCAATGACGTGATTCATTGCGTTCTAGATCTGTGTAGCCTCGCTACGCTGCGTGCCGGGGCCTCTGGTCTAAGGATGGAGGTTGTGAGGGTGCGTGCCATCGTTACGGCACCTCGCTCTCGGTCCAGTCGTGCAGGCCGAGCCTGGAGCGGAGGGTGTCGAGTTGTTCTGACTTGAGTTCGCGGAACTGCATCGCGTGCGGGCCCTTGCCTGCCATGGATGGGTGGTCGCGGTCGAACAGGGCTGATGCTGATTGCGAGAGCATGGAAGACTGTGTAGCAAGGGCGGCAAATGACGAGGTGGTGTCGTGATATCTGCGTATGGTCGGTAAGTGAGGCATCTTCGCGCTCTGAGACTTGCGGAACTTACAGTCTACGAGCTGATGAGTAAACGAACTAACGATAGATGTGTATAGGCTTACCTGTACGCTTCCTTGTTCAGACAGTCCGCGTCTTTGATGTCGTCTAGGGCGTGCTTCTTGAAAGCAGCCTTGATGAAATGCAGCACGTCAAAGACATGGTGGTCCTTTGGTCTACATCGCAGTTTTACCCACGATATTGTGAAACGATATTGTGACTCACCTCCATGGCCTGAAGCGCGGTGCAAGGTTGAAGGTGCCATCTTGCTGTGAGATGAGCGGATGGAATATATCCGTGACGAACTGGACGGTAGGCGGGCGCTCCGGGTAATTCGGAGGGAAGATGAGACGGAACTTCAGAATTGAGTCGGCGTAGTATCCTACCGAGCCCTCAGTCAGCAAACCGACCCCCGCAAGCGACACGCGTTTGCGGACGACGGACCTTGGTGGACGAAGAAGACGGCGTCCCATACGAGGAGGTCTGTCGGGGACGGGATGACATACATGCCCAGGGGACAGTGGCCGGTGTGTCGGAGAGAGGCATACTCGAGGGAGACGGTCGTGCGAGTGAGGGCGGGGCTGGACGCGTAGGCCTTGGAGGCGGCGGCGGCGGACGGGAGGCGTGAAGACGGCCTGGACTTGGTGGGCGTGGAGAGGTCGATGGTGGGGGAGGCCACGAGACCGCCTATTCCGAGCATGCTGTGCGGGATGCCGTAGGGCGTAGGACTCCTACTAGGAGGAGAGCGGGCAGGCGTCGACGCGAGGGCAGCCACTGGGCAGCGACCGGGACACGGCGCGGCGTTGCTCGGCCACGGTGCACTCCCGCCCTCCCCTCGCCCAATCAGCAGCCGGGAAGGTCACGTGATGCACACCGGGCAGACGAGGGAGAGCCGTTCGAGGCGCCCGCTGTACGTCCCGTTACCTCCCGGTCCGCCATGGAAAGTCTAGGTGGGTATGCTCCTCCGTGGCTCTACGATGCCACTTATAAACCCGCACCCGCCGCTGGCGCTCTTCATCACACCATTCCATCCGCGTACCTGCCATCGTACCTTCCCTCCTACCTCCACTTCACTTTGGGAAGTAAAGTCACTCGAGCACGATAAACAAAGATGAAGGTCGGTAGCCTCTCCTTCATGCACCCTATCATGTTCTGACCTGAGCACCTTCGGCAGTTCGCTACTGAGGAAGAGATCGCTGCACACAACCGTGCCACCGTCCGTGGTGCCATCGAGGGCACAGCCGCCGGCCTCGCCCTCTCCGTGCCCGGGTCCCTCTACCTCCACCGCCGCTGGCCCGCCTACCGCGCCCTCCCCATCCAGCTCAAGGTCATGTTCTGCATCTTCGTCACCGCACCCCTCTACGCCATCCAGGCCGAGCGCCGTGGTGTCCAGTACGACGAGTCGACATGGACGGGCGCGGGCAAGCGCGAACTCAAGCGGTTAGAGACCGACGAGGAGACCCGCTGGAATCGCCTCAATACCCAGGAGAAGTTTAAGGACTGGGCCTTCCGCAACCAAATCAAGATCGTCATGGGCAGCTGGGCGGCCGGCATGGCCCTTGCCGGTGGTATTATCTGGCGCGACAGGTACGCGCTTTCACTCTGCCCCGTACGCGTTGACAGATGTTGACGATATGGACTTGTAGGCAGCAGTCTGCTACCCAAAAGATTGTTCAAGTCCGTATGTGGGCTCAGGGACTGGCCATCGGCGTGCTTATCGCCGCTGCTGTCTTGACACAGTCGAACAGCAAGGATGCCGCTGAGCACGTAAGTCCCTCTTCATCGCCTTTAATGCCCAGCTATCTGACGTGCCCTCTCTACAGCGCATGGTGGACCACTCATGGCGGGGCATGGTGCAGGAGTTCGAGGACGAAGAGCGTGCTCGCGAGAAGTACCGGCTCATGCACCCCCCCACCCGCACCCCTTCATCATCGTCATAAGCTGCTCACCTATCCCTCGGACCATTCCGTTCATGACCGTCATGCCACGCCACTATTCCCTAACCACCTTCTAATCCACACGACTAGAGTCAGTCTTGGTTTCAGACAGCACAGTCTAGACATACCGTCTGCGTTCATGAGGTTGTGATAAATTATACTACCCACTGTATCCTTTGACTGTCACAATAGACCGGTGCCAGGTGCCTGCAGACCTGTGCTGAAAATAGCTCACCATGTCTGCGCGTGCATGAGTAAGCGCCCACTCGATCGTAGAGATATGATCGGGCAATAACTTTGTTTGCGGATGCCAGTGAGCCGTGCACTGTAGCTTGTGCACGCCATACCTTCCCAGTCCCAGCCATGTCCTCCGCATCTAGCAGTTCTTCAAGTGCATCATCCTCCGATTCTGAGGGCAAACCTCCACAGAAGACGCCACACCTGGCGGACGACGATTCCGAGGACGATTCTGGCGACTCAGACAGTGAAAGCAGCAGCAGCGACGATGAACCCGCCCCCGGGGCCGACGAAGACGACGGCCCCGTCCTCTCCCACAAAGAACAGCGCAAACAAAAGCGGAAAGAGCTCAAGGCCCTCTCCGCCGCCACGCTCTCCGCGAAGCAGCAGGGCAAGCAGCCCGTGAAGAACAGCGCCGAGCTCGCGCCGTCCAAGCTGCCCCGGCGGCAGAACTCCGTGTGGGTGGGGAACATGACGTTCAAGACGACGCCGGACGCGCTGAGGCGGTTCTTCGAGGGTGTCGGCGAGATCACGCGGGTGCATATGCCGATGAAGATGGCGAGCGGGGGGCCCGGGGCGGGCGGGGCGAGGAAGGAGAACCGGGGGTGGGTCCTTCAGTGTCGTGCTACGAGACTGGGCGGTGTTGAAGCTGATCGAGAACAGGTTCGCGTACGTCGATTTCGCGACGCCGGACGCGAAGACGATCGCCATAACCCGCTCAGAGAACCCACTCGACGGGAGACGGCTGCTGATCAAGGATGGTATGGCGTCGCCCATCCGTTCTGCAATATATGCAGCTGACACTCTTTTCTACTGTTAGGGGACGACTTCAACGGCAGACCAGCAGCAACCGCCGACGCCGGCGACGCCAGCGGCACGCCCGCCCCCAACCTCTCCGGACACACCAAAACCGCGCAGAAGATCCTGCGCGCCCAAAAGCAGCCCGCAGGGCCCACGCTCTTCCTGGGCAACCTCGGCTTCGAGACGACGGACCAGTCCATCCGCCAGCTCTTCGACTCGCATCGGCCGAAGCCCGCTGCAACCACAGATCATGATGCGGACGCAGACGCAGACGCGGAGGACGCGGACGCGCACAAGAAAGAGGCGGACAAGAAAGAGAAGCCGTGGATCCGCAAGGTGCGCATGGGCACGTTCGAGGACAGCGGGAAGTGCAAAGGGTGCGTATCTCAGCTGCGTATGGTCTCCTTTGTGACGGGCCGTCCCAGACCGCGCTGGACGCTGCTCGAGCCCCGTCGAGCAGCGTCCAGCCGCGGTCGCGCGTCATGCTCGCACATGCGCACTGGCGGGCTAGACGCGGGCCGTGAAGCACGAGCACGAGCACGAGCCGCACCCGCGAACCGACGACTGACTCCGCCATTGTGTGTGGCAGGTGGGCATTCGTCGACTTCACGAGCCCCGAGCACGCGACGAGCGCGCTGGTCAACCCGAAGAACCACTTCCTCGACGGGCGGAAGCTCGTCGTGGAGTACGCCTCGCCGGACGCGGTCCGTCGCGGCGGGAACATCCCGCGCTCCAAGGATATCAAGGACAAGAGAGCCGCGACGGGGAGGGAGCGCCAGCCGAAGACGGACCGCGCGCCCTACCACCAGAAGGACGAGGCCTCGAGCCCGCATCGGAAACGCAAGGACAGGGGAGAAGATGCGGACGTGGCTGCCGAGCCTGCTGCTGCTGACGGCGAGGACGCATCGCCCAAGCGGCGGAGGGTGGAGGATGGCGCGCGGGTGCCCGCTGAGAGGGGCACCGCAGGAAAGGGCGGGAAGCCCCCGCGGGCGAGGCCAAAGCCTGGGGCGGCTCTCGCCCTGGCGAAAAGAGAGACAGCAGCGATTGTGCCTTCGCAAGGGCGCAAGATCGTCTTCTAGTTGTATGGCGTTAGCTGCTCCATCGTGGCGCTTGAACAAACATACAACACATTGCATTGCCCGCATTATGTACTACGGTATTACTGACATATACGGGTAATCGAGTACATGCATGAGGCGGCTTCCGCATTAACTTTGCTGATGCCATAGCGAGCAGACAGAGTGTACGTAGAGTATTGTGTTCGAATAAGCGTCGTCAGTGAATGAGTGGAGTATGCATGCAGGCCGGCGGGCCTGGGTATTGCTCAGTCCTCCTCCTCCTGGACCATCCCGATCTCAAACTCGCCGCAGATGTCCCATCGCGAGCCCTGTGCCGCCGCAGAGACATACTTGACGAAGCGCATGACGCCCTCGTCGCGGAGGACGAGCAGCAGCCGATTGAACCCAGGCTGGACAGTCAGCAGCGTGCCCGAGTCGTCCTCGTCGTCATCGGAGTCCTCGTCCATCGCCTCGGGGTCCGTATGGCCATTGCCATTACCATTCCCGTTGCCGTTCGAGGCTCCGTGGCCGTTGCTCGTGCTCTCGCCGTTGGCAGTGCCGTTCGCCTTCTTTTTCTTCGATCCAGACCGGTAGACGGCCGGATCATCTTCCTCGTCGTGCGGGGCCATATAACACTGCGAGGTGCACAGCAGTAAGCCACCATGCATCCAGCCATGCAAGTGACACCAGACATACCTCCCAGCCACCCCACTCACCCGTCTGCCACCCACCCAACGCATCCTCCTCGCTCTCCTCCGCTTCTCCGTTCACGTCCGCTGCGCTGAACTGCGGCGTCAGTCCCAGCACCACGTCGAGCCGCGTCTCCTTCGTCTCTCCCGTCGCAAGCGTGTAGTCCATTCCCGGTCGGAAGCGTCGCGCCATAGTCGAGTACCGCAGAGGCAACAAGCTTGTGACGATCGCGAGCCACGCGCGGAAGGCTGCGCTCGGGAAGAGCTCGTCCTGCAGTGCGCGCACGATCTCGTCCGGTTCGCTGTGTGCCCACCGTGGGTCCGCTTTGCTGCTCGTCCCGTTCGCGGCCTCGCGTAGCGTGCAGTACCGCCATTTATGCGGGGGACCTTTCAGGGTCCACGCGCCCTGTGCGCCTGCTGAGTGCGGCGGGATAGGTGTTAGGCGGGATGGACCAAGCCCGTCGGCTGCGTCTGCGGCGCGGAGCCCGGTCTCAAGCTTCGCGGCGAGCGGTGCGCAAAGGAGTTCGTGCAGCTCGAGCGAGGATTCGTCGACGAAGCGCTGTGCAAGTGCTTTCATCGTGCGCGGTTGGAGGTAGACGGGGTTGAGGAACTCGGAGAGGAAGGAGACGTCGGATTCCGAGAGGGGCTCAGATGGAAGAGGCGGGTCAATGGTGTCGGGATATGACTTGAATTCCGTTGACGTCGACGCCTAGAGAACACGAACACAAACTCAGGAAGACGACGCTGCGTACAAGCGCAGCAAGCTTACCAGCTGCTCTCGCGAGCTCTTGAACTCGGGCGGGTTGATCTCTGGTATGTAGCCCTCTTCACCTGGTTGTGCAGCATGGAACCAACCACTGATACTCAGCCTCTCCCGGCCATCCTCTCCCTCGCCCACGACGACTTCCTCGACTGAATGGAAACTCTGGCCCGGCTGCACCTCGAAGAATACGAACTGGTTCCAGCTCGGCGGGATGTTCTTGCTCGGTACAGGCTCGGGCTCGAGCACGCCGTCCGGCCCGGGCTTGGTCGGGTACAGCTCGAGGGCGCCGCCCCACTCCTTCTGCCAGCCCATGTAGTGCGGGAGGGGCATGTAGAGGATGTACGACACGCGCCGTGTGCCGATGACATCGTCGTGGTTCAGGAGATGGCAGGACTTGGAGTAGGACACGATGGACATGTCCTGCTTCGTGCCGGAGAGGGGCCCGCAGCCGGTGACCGCGCGGAGGAACGAGCGGAATTTTGAAGAGTAGAGCGCATCGCGGAGGGTGAGGAGGCTCGGGAGGAGCGCGCGCTGCTCGTCGGTGAGGAAGGAGAGCGACGCGAGGTCGCCGGTCTGCTTGACCTGCACGCGACGTGCGTATCAAGCATCGATCCCATCCGTCAGGCCAGGGAAAGTGCGAGGTGCACCGGCATACACACCTTGTAGATGTCCGTCTCCTTCTCCGCGAAGCTCAGCTCGGACAGCGCCTCGTCCTTCACGTTCTGGAGGAGTTCGTCCTGGAAGAGCTTGTCGACGACGACGTGCTTGTAGGGCTGGCTGGTCTCATACTCGGTATGGAGGCGGTGGATGTTGGTAGGACTGAAGAGATCGTTCGCAAAGCGCTCCGCTACGGCGTCCGGGTTGGAAATATGGCTCATCTTCATCCTCTTCAGCAGGGCGGGCTCGGCCTCCGTCTCTGCAGCGGGCGCGGGGCTCTCAGAGCGGGCGTGGGTGCGTGCCATGGCTGGGCGATTCGACTCTTTCGGATTTGGGAGCAGAACGACCACTAGCTTCGGGTCTAGTTTTGTCAGTCAGGTGCCAGAGCAGCTGCCCGAGGTGCGACGAAGGCGTCGACCGGTTTGCGCGTATGGAGCACGGAGTAGAAGGCAGATGCCTCAGAGAGAAAAACGGAAACCTGGGAGAGGGTGAGTATATGTCGGCGGGACTGGAAGCTCTGGAAGTCTCGGCCAGACCAGGCTGGGGATGCTGGGCTCATGCTCTCCGAGCGTTATGTTTTGCGACCAAGCGCCGAGTTTCTCACCCGGCTGCTCTGTACGATGAATTCCAGACCCTGTGCGAATACTATGAGATTCGTAAAATTGCCTTCGCAACGCCAAAGACCCCTTGTAGGAGACTTCTCGCACGCACTCGGCCGGGCAGTAACTGGAGATTGAGGGCGACGCGTTCTGGACTGTTTCCTGATTCAGCTGTCGGGCGCGGGTCGCGGCAGAGGCGGGCTCGAACCAAGCTCGAACTCATACAACAACGTCTAGACCGCTTCCATCGTTACCCTGCAGTAAAGCGGCGCAGGGATTCTCTCAACAGCTCACACGAGCGACCAGCCAAACGCCGGGCAATCGGTACGCCAGGCTGTGTCACTGTCAGATGGCCTTAAAGCTTGATAATAGCTTGAGGCCAGGGCTGCATGCGATGTTTCCGCTCTATACGGATTCTTTGAAGAATCCCTGGAACTAGAGGCCCACGAAGGTGTATATTACACAGTGTGACCACCGAAAGTACTCTACCTTGGTATCCCACTCAGCAGGTACCGTATCCGAACGTATACGTATGTCGTACGAATGAACTAGTCGTATTGGTATTCGTACACCTAGACTATATACCGGCAAAAGGCACACACACGCACACTCTGGCCCGGGCGCCCTGCGGTGCGCAAGCCACCGAGGCCAGAGACCCAGTCAGGAGAGGCAGAACGTACAAGAGAGGAAGCGGGAAGGAATCGCGGTAGGGAATGGGAGAGGAGGGGGCACTTGCGCGACAGGATGGCATAAATATTGCGAACCAGTCAGGCCAATGGATGATGGACACACGAGCTTGCAAGACCGAGGCAACACCAGGAAATTGCGTCCATGATGAGGCGAGGGCGGACCGAGTCAAGTGAGGAGGCAGGGTAACGGGTGGGAATATAGCTACAGTAGAGGTGTTGTCACAAGTCGATAGTTGGCGACTGCCCACTCACTCAGAGCGGCCCTGTCTCCGACTTCTCGTCTACTGTAGAAAAGCCGCTGTCCTTCCGCGCCCCTGTCGAGCGCGGGTTTGAACCATGGCGTCGGTGCCCGTGGACGGAAGCAGAGCGGCTGTGTCTGTGCGAGCGCGGGGATGAAGAACCCGGGCTCGAGCCAGCATCCGCGGACGTCCGACGCGGGATCCATGCCTCGGTGGCGTTCATCTTCCGCGCCTCCGCCTCAGACATCCCGCCTACCGGGATCGGTGCGTAAACGACAATGTTACCCGAGGGAGAGCGGGAGTGTGATGATGTGTCGTAGTGGTTGAACGCCATCGAAGACGACTGGGGCGACGTCGGTGTGGGGAGGAGGTAGATGCGGTGCAGCGAGTCGGTGTTGAGCTGACGAAGACTCGTGTGCTGCGACTTGTTGATAGCGGCATCACGCCACATGTATCGGTAGTGCTTCGAGAGCGCAATCAGCGTGTGGAGCTGGAATGGGGTCCACCTATATTAGCTAGGAACGGGGCCGCACTGACGACGAGGGTACGCACGCGAATGACAATGAGGATGAACATGATGCCAATCATACCCACGACGGCACGGTCAAACCACAGCTCGCAGTTCTCCACATTGAGGCCCATTTCGACCATGTCGCGCATGAGATCGGGGTGCCGCGAGAGCTCTTCGCAAACACCTGTCCGGACATAAGGGGTGCTGTACGACGTATAGCTGACGAACAGCGTAGAGACGGTGATGAAGGCGAAGTCGGCGATGGAGTAGTCGCGGTAGAAGCGGACAAAAGAGGGGATAGTCTGCAACAAGGGGGGAAAGCGTCACTAACAGCACGCCCAGGGAGCGCGAGGACCGCGCACCTTTGCAAGACCGACGAAGCCGACGAAACACGCCAGCGACGCCGCAGCAAAGTAGGTCGACAACAATCCCCACACTATCTTGACGCTATCCACCCTCCACACGTCTCCCGATGCCTCCCACTCCGTCTCCGACTCCCATCCGAGCGAGCGCCAGAGGCCGAGGAGGCGGGCCGCGAGCACGAAGTTGAGGCCTGCGCCGACGAGCGACGCGGCGATAGATACGGACCTAAGGGGGCGCACAAACATGGTTCTAGCGTCAGCACGGTCCTAATTCTAGTGCGAAAGTAGGCCGTCGGTGAATGGAAGGGAGGAAGGAGAAAGGTTAAAAGAGAGTGGGCGGGTGTGGAGGTATGCGAGAGAGAAGACGCGATTGGCGGAGTGGTGCGACAGAGGTCCCTGCGGATGATGTATCTCGGAGTCGTGCGACTTACCTCTCGAAGCGGCGCGTCATGCCGGGATCTGCCGAGGCTGCTTGGCTGTGGCTGGCGGGGCGGCAGGGGCGTCGACGACGCGGGTGGTGGGGAAGGAGAGAGGAGGGAGAGGGAGGAGGGCACGTCGAGGCGGGAGAGAGAGACGGAGCCGAGCAGAGCGGGCGACGCGAGCGGCATGCCCATAGAAAAGGATTACAATACTCGGCGCCTAGGCGTGAAGGTAGTACTCCTCCCCGCCGGCCGGCCTCCCCGCCTTTCACGCTCCGCCCATATTCGTCTCGCCGCACTCAAACGCGTTCCGTGACCCGCCCCCGACCCGGCTGCGCATACTCGTCTGACCTGCCTCAGCTTCTGCGCAGTCCACCGCTGCACCGATTGTTTGTGGGCCTTATTTCCTCGTACGAGAACAGAGTGTCGGCCTACTCTTTCGGAGAACGTCGGTCCGCTCGTGACTCTCCGAATCAGCGCGCGGGAGGCGGTAGCCGGAGGGCTCGGAGGGCTCGGAGGGCTCGGTGGCTCGATCATGTTGCATCTCAAGGCGTTGTCAGTGATCAACTTCTACACCTCACGCCATCCGCATGTCTTCCTCCGGGACCGAACACCATGGCCACTATCACCTAATCGCACAGATGACAGCACTGGCAACATCGTCCTGCGACTTCTCGTCAACCACCGAATGTGCACAGTTGCCCGTACAGTTTCTTTGTCATGAGTATGACTAGTCACTAGTAGTGACTGTCCGCTGGGACGTCTAGACCGGGTCATTCCATAGCGTTCCATGATCAATATGGTGGACAGTGGTCGACATGATCATCTCGTACATCTGTCCGTCGCGTTTCAGCCATGCCACACGCAGCGTTCCGAATCCGAGATCCCCCTCAGGGGTGGTCAACGCTGACGTGGAAAGAAACCGGTCAACTTGCTTGGTGAGCACTTCGTGCCGCTCAGGTGAGTCGCCTTACACACGATCGCCATCCCGCTTTTGCCTGGCATGATTTGATTAGCTGTACACGCCTGGACCGCGGCGGACAACGATGAGATTCGAAGAGATGGAGACTCGACAGAGAAAACAGGCGTCGTGAGATCCACGGGAACGATGCCTACACTGAACTTCGCAATTGGCTCGGCAGACTCGGGGGTGAACGAGTCCCACATCGGCCTAGTGCTAGGAAATGAAGTACGGAGATCCTTGACCTATACATTTTACAGCGTGTCCGCGATGTAGTGGGCCCTGCATAGAAACTGCACCAGGCGTTCCCACTCGGCATGCGCTCGGCTGTCCCAGGGTACGTGAATACAGTAACCATGCTACCTCATAGGTGTCCTCAGGTACGTTTTTGTTCGAGAGCAGCCTTGCTTGTTTGTTCGACAATGTCCCTCCATGAGTGGTCAGGTTCCTAGCAATCTCATCAGCAGAGTTCGCAAGGATGAACTAACGACCACCTCACGATGTGTCTCAACCCGTGCTCGTCCACAGATTGCTGCCTCCGCGCGTTGGTCAGCGCGCCAGCCGCGATCAGGATACCGATGGTCAGCCCCTGCGCCCACATACGCGCTTGCACGATCTAGGCATGCGACGTCGCAGTCGCTTCAACGCCGGTCACACACACAGCAGCGCGATCAAGCATACCTTTTGTGGCAGCGTCTGGTATCTTGTTTACAGAGCGCCTGGATCAGTACCACCCCTAACGCCGCATCGTGCATTCGGTACGTACTTGTCCCGCATAATCCAGCCAAATGAGCCTGCCATGGTCGCCGCCCACGCGCCGCCAATGAAGCCATATTCGTGTCTGCCCACGACGTCCGCCAGCTTCTCCACCGGGCCCATCTTGTCCCAGCGCTCCTGCTTGCGCTGTTTTCGGATATCGAGCTCATGCGCGCCCACGTCGCTCCTGTGCCCGAGCGGGATCAGCACACCAGCGACATCAGGCATCCACGACTGATACGAGATCGCCGAACAATCGCCCGTACGTACCAGTGCTCTTTCTCGTAGCGCAACCCCGCATGTTCGGCGTTGATCGCGAATGCGGGGACGGCCACGAGGATGACGCCGAATGCCTTGATGGACGGCGGGAGCTGGCGGTAGTACGCCCAGCGGCGGTTGAGGAGGTAGGAGGTGGGCAGGGCGAACGCCAGACCGCCCGCGAATCCCTTCGCGCCGCCGATGATGGTCGCGTGCATCTGCGCCTTGCGCTCGTCTTCCCCGACAATCTAGACGGGGTTCACAGGTGTCAACGTCCTTCTGTTCATGGAATATGATGCAACACAGGACTTACTTTCATGGTCTAGAATTTAGGCTCTTGCTCGGCCAAGCTCTTGAGGGTGTGGTTGAGAGTGGGGGTAGAAGTGCAGAGAACTGAGCACCTTCCCTGGCGGATATATGAACGACAGCCATGATGAGCTCCTCCTGCATGCCGCTACGGGATCGCTCGGCTTGCATGAGTATTCAAGCCTATCGTGCGCGTGACGTCATAGACGCGTCCGTACGAGCCCAAGCTGGAAGCTGGAAGCATATACGCGTACCCGAGTTTCCCCCTCCCTCCTCCCCGGTCGTATTTGAGGTCTGCCTACGGGAGACTAGGTTTCCCCGGCGGACAGGGCGTACTTTGGCGTTGGGCTGCTTTGAGGCTCGGGGGGGGGGGGGGGGCGGGGGGTCGAGGCCAACAGAGCACTGACCTCCTGTCTCTTGAGGTCAAACGACATGATCTACTGAAATCCAATGTGATCGCATCAACATTGCAGGACGCGTACCGTTGCAGACGCGTCGTATCCCCACAGCAGCGAAGCGACTCGGGATATTCTTCTGCAGAGTCCTGCGAAGGTGACGTCGCCACTAGATTGAGTAAACACATAGTAAAGTAATCTTCGTCAAAGTCGAATGCTAGCTACAGCTATCCAAGAATTATGCACGCGCTGCACGCGCCCGCCGGCGGTCCGCCTCCTCCAACACGCTCTTTGGGCCTCTCCTCGCCATCGCATACAAGAATACCAAAATCACGAGGGCGAACTGCAGCCACAGCCACACCTCGAACATGATCCGCGTAATGCGTCCCTGCGGCTCGGCCCCGAGGACGCCTGAGGTGGCCGCGCGCACCTGCATCGCAGTTGTATCCTGGCCGCCTCCGTCTGTGACTCTGCCACCTTCATCATCAGGCAGAGTGTCGCCATCGTCATCAGGGAACTCCGGGATCTGCCTCCTGGCTCTGACTTGCATGTGCGAGAAGTCCCGCGCGGTCTCCTCAAACACCTCGTCCATCGTCAGTTCTGTGTCGAGGCCGGAGCGCGCTTTCGCCTTTGCCTTCAATAACGGCCGCCGTGCGAAAGGCTCCGGCGATCTTGACGGCGACGACGACTGCGAACGCGGGGCGAACCGCCCTTCAATCCAGCGGTGGGTGCGCGAGCGAACCGTCTGCGACAGCCGTTTCTGCCTCACCGACGCTGACTTCTTGGGTGTGGACTTATCCGGTGTCGGCGTCGGGGGCTCGATCGTGAGCTGCAAGCCGGGTGCCCGCGGGGGCGTCGAGGGCCCGGCTTCCGCTGCCCAGTCCTCCTCAGGCTGCTGCGATGATGCTACGGCCTCGCCGGAGTCGTCGAGCGCGGGGAACACGAACTGCGGCGACATAGATGCATCGCGCGAGAGATCCATTCCTGCCATGCCATATAAGCTTGTCGTCCGCAGGTGGTAATTCACCGCGTTCGCGCCCCAGGTGTCGCCGCACTCGCTACCCAGTTCGCTCCCTAGCGTCCGGCCCATCGTGCCGGGGAACGGTGTCGGCAGACCACTGCTGAGTGCTGGGGAGGCAGGGACCATCCCGTCCGTTGCTGCGGTTGACCAACTGGACATGTCTCCGAGCTCGGAGACTACGGCGGGTGATGGCATACGAGCGGCAGGCGACGAGAAGAACGGCTCGCTGCCATCCATGGAAGAGTCAGGCGTCAACTGCTCGCCCTCGAATAAGCCTACCACAGACTTGCGAGCCTTGTGCGCTGGGCCTTGCTTATGCGTGAGCGCACTGCGCACCGTACTCCGCATCTCGCCCGAGATACCGCTCGCAAACGCGTCTGACTGGTCGTACTCAAGCAGCTTGCTGAGGTCCTGGTGGATCGAACGTCTGAGGCTGCTGAACTTGATGGTCCCGTTGGATGCCATGCGCCGGACCTTCGTCGGGCTCTCCTCGATGCTATCTTCCGCTACGACCTCGAGCTCGACACTGTCCACTCCATCAAGGCAGTCGTAAACCCGGCGGATGCTCTCCGCGTCCCATTGCGCGGAACGCAGTTGCTCCTCGTTGAGTTGCTGCTCCTTCGAGATCTGCGCATTCGTCTCCTCGAGTTCACGGATCTTGTGCAGTAGCTGCGAGACGATGGCAGATTCCGCACCGGATGGGGTCCGTGTGCTCAGGAAACGGGGCCGAATCCGGGATGCAGGGAGGATGTCAGGCTCAAGCACCTCCAGCGGTGGTAGAATAGGCTTCGCAACCGGTTCAGGAGATGATGCGGAGGGCTGAGAACTACTGGCCGACGGTATCCGTATCGAACCTGGTGAACGCAGTTCGGACGGAGGTGCGAAGTCCTTGATCTCTTCAGGATCAGCCGCAGTGTCTGAGCCCGACACGGACGACCCCGCCTTCTCCCTGAACACTCGCACGCGCTCCTCCCGCTCTTCCTTCCGTCGCTGCGCCTCCTCCTCCGAGAGACTCACCGCGAGCTTCACCTGCTCGAGCTCCACCTCCTTAGCCTGCGTCTCCTCGAGCTCCTGATGGAGGAGCTGGATCTCGCGCTCGAGCTTCCGGAGCTTCCGCTTGCCCGCCTGGTCGGACTTCGACGACTCGGCCTCGAGCCTCTCGAGCTTATCCAGGAGTTCTGCGTTCTGATCTGCAAGACGCGTCAAGTCGGAGGGAGTGACTGATATCCGCCTCGTATGCCGGACGAAGGGCATGGGGAGAGATGTATCTGCATAGTCGGGGGAGCGAGGGAGGTTGGTGTCCGGGTATGGGGGCGACAGGATCCTGTAAGGTGTTGGTGCTATTGGGGAAGCGGGCGCTGTGGACGCGGGCGACGAGGGCAAGCGAGAGAGGAGCGTCTCGTGCTTAGTCTTGAGCTCGACGTTGTCCTTGTACAGACTCTTAATGATCGTAGACGTCAAGCTCAGCTCTTCGCACACGCGTCAGCTAACGACCTCCTAGTTGTCCATGAACACGAGTCTCACCAGTTTCTCGAGACTTGATCAGCTCCTCTGCCTTCAGCAGGAGGTCGGAGAGTTCCTCCCTTGACTTCTCCTTGACCCATTCCTCGGAGTCGTGGGGCAGCAGAGGTGGCTTCGTTTCGTCCAAACCATGTTCGGGAATGGCGCTCGCCGCGTCCAACACCACTTGGTCGAGCGAAAGCGCGTATGGTGGAGGAGGGAACGACGGGAACTGTACCGAGGGTAGCCTTCGTGTCTTCGCCGGAGGCCGAGGTCGAGGAGTCGCCGAAGTAGTCTCAGACAGCATAGTGGACAGAGTCCGTGAGCCCGGGGTAGGACTGCCAGGCCTGCTGTACAATTACTGGAGTACCGAGGCGTCCAAGCACCGTATTGCGAATCACGGCCTTAGGGGTTGGCAGGTTATGCCGCAGGGTATCGCTAAGTCAACCAAGAACAGTGGAACTCAAAGGTAGTAGTCGGGTCGACCCATGGTCGTTCCATGCACGAAACGCCTCTGGCGACGTTCGAAATCAGATGGGGTTCAAATTTGGACCAACGGAATCACAGGCCTGGCTCAGTTATATACGGGCTGCGAGCTCACTGGCAAGCACATCAGAGTCAGACGACGAAGATTGCGTTGTTGGACCTAACGTCCTAGAACTAGATTTCCACAAGAGCGTAGGTACTACGAGAAGATGTGCGTGATAATTTATCATGCGTAATGGGACAATAAGTGCTACGTGGGGTTGGGTGTAGAGTACAACATAGACGGGCCTTACTTGACAAGTTCGGAGTGGCATATATACATACGCATAGAGGAGAGGGGAGCTCATGGTAGTACGCTGAGGGTGGAAAATCACTGCTTCTGATTTTGGTTGGCGTTCGAGGCGGACCCAAAGTTAAAAGACGAAGGGTTTCCGAAGTTGAGTGCGCCCGAACTCGGCTGAGAGGTTGCGCCGAACGTTGGGGTTGAGGCGGGCTTCGGTTCGAAAGGATTCGACGCTGTCGTTGACGACGACGAAGGCGCAGCACCAAAGTTGAATGAGAACGCAGGCTTGCTCTGCGCTTCGCCACTGTTGGTGGTAGATGGCGTCGCGCTACCGGCCGGCGCTCCAAATGGATTGGCTGCGCCTGACTGCGAGGTCGAGGCACCAGCTGCGCCTCCGAACGTGGGTGTACCACCAGGTGTGCCGAACGTGAACGCGGACTTCGTGCCGGGTGGGTTAGCTGGCGTGGTGCTACCACCGAAAGCACTTGCACCACTCGCTGGAGTTCCAGCAGGCGTCGTCGAGAAGGCGTTGATGCCTGCCGGTTTGCTAGGGGTCGTAGCCACATTGCTGTTAGATGTAGAAGGAGCGCCGAACGGATTTGACGAGGCAGGCGCGCCGAAGCCAAACGCAGCTGGTGTCTTGGCGGCAGATGGCGCAGATGCCATGGTCGAACTCTGGCCAGCTGCCAAAGGGCCACCGAAGGGGTTTGACGCACCGCCAGCCGTCTGGGTTGTAGGGGCTGGCTGACTGGGAGCACCAAAATTGAACGAAAATGGCTTCGACGTGTCCGTCGCGCCCGCGGCAGTGGGCGTGGTCGATGCCGCGGGTGCGGCTGGTGCACTGCTACCCGTGTTAGCACCAGTGAACCCAAAGTTGAACTTGGCTACAGCGGTACTCGTGTTCGACGATGCAGCTGCCGGCGTGCTAGCTGGGGTCGTGCTGGCGGTTGCGGCTGACGCTGGCGTACTCGGCTGGGCGAATGTGGGCTGCTGCTGACTCAAGGCACCTGCAGCAGGAGCGCTTGGCTGCGTAAAAGAGAACTTGAGTGGCTGGGGTGCAGAGCCTGAGGCTGGTGTGCTTGTCTGCGGCTGAGTAGACGATGGAGCTTGTACCTGGGGACCCAAACGTGCCAGCAAGGAAGGACCAGAGCTCGCGCGCGCGGCCGTTGTCTGCTCGGTGGGGCCTGTCTCAGCAGGTTTGCTCGTCGACGTAGCGCTCGGCGGCGCAAATGAGAAGGCTGACTTCGGAGCCGCACCGGCCGCCGGAGCCGTGGAAGGCTGAGTGGTATTCGCAGCACCACCGAAAGGGTTGAACGACGGTGCACTGGTTGATGCAGGGGTGGCAGAAGCGGGTTTGGTCATAAATGAGCTCGCAGACGGAGCGGACGGCGCAATTGATGGTTGAGTGCTTGGTTGAGGCGCCTGTGGCGTAGTTGTCGTGGTGTTCTTAATGAAAAAGTTGGGGACAGACGATGGAGGCTGGGCGGTCGTAGAAGCGGGCGTGGCAGAAGTCGAAGGGGGAGCTATGTTGAAGAAATTCTTCTGGGCCTCGTGTGCAGGCCCTGGAGCAGCATTCGATGCAGGCGTAGCGTTTGATGACGAGGGCGCAGGTAATGTGCCAAACGAGAACGAAGAGGCCGGTTTGTCACATGCCTGCTGCGCCTGCTTCTCTGGTGCCTTCTCGTCAGGCTTCGCACTAGTGAAGGTCAAAACAGCTGGGGCAGACGATGTCGCCGGAGCAGCCCCTGCGGGCGCTATCGATGGCTGAGTGGCTGTCTGTGGGGGGGCGATAGCTTTCCTCGCCTCTCTCGCCTCTGCCAACTTCTTCTCCCTGATCTTGGACATCGCAGCAGCCTCAAGATCCTGCTTCTCCCATTTCGAGTATGTCTTGACAGTGCGAGGCTTCGCCGGGCTGGGTTCAGGTGTGGAAGCGACGGAGAGCTGTGGCGCGGAAGTCACTCGACGGTTGGGAGGAACCTGGGAATGCCGGAAGGGATTGAGACGCAGCCCGACGTTGGTGACGATTGACTGCCTGAAAGGACCTCTCTGTGGCGCAGGGCTTTCCGGTGTCGTTGGCTCTGAAGCCCACAGAAGACTCTTGCCCGAAGGATAGTCCTATTGTGCGATGATCAATTCGAAGTCTATGCAGAACAATGGAACGTTACGCACTGAGACATCGCCCGGAGTAGCAGGTACGCTCGGGCTCGGGCTATCCTGCCATGCCAGATCACCATGTTCCTTGGCCGCCTGGTATTCTTCTTCCGTAAGCCATGTTTCCACGTATACATCGATGTTGGCACGACGATCGGCATGCTGCGAATCCTTTGGCTGTTTCACCAGGTGAGACGATGCCGTATAAGGAGCTTGAGTACGACGCACCATAGGGAAACGTGTTCGGGACCTCTTGACCAAGTCTTGGCGCAACCGCTGCCCATTGGGGCCGACCTTGTACCGAATCTCATTGACCTCCCATTCCTCTCCAATTCGCCTGCCCTTGCACAATGGATCGTTGGACAGTGGCGCGTCGAACAAGGGATCGGGATCACGGTTGCCACGCTGCCTGCGAGTGATGCGCCTCTTTGGCCGTTCCGGTTCCTCTTCACTCTCTTCCGATGCATCATCACGGCTGCGTTTCTGGCCGCGGACGGGGTCCTCAACTTTCTTTGCCATTGCACGCCTCTTGCGCCTCCTACGAGACTTGCGGCCGTCCTCCGAGTCGAGCTCGTCAGCTATGGACTCATCGCCACCGAACGTGGAGCCAGCTTCGTCGCGGTCTCGCTTCTTGCCTCTGTACACTGGCTGCATCTCCGTGACCTCGTCCTCGTCAGTTGGTTGGACTTCGGCCATCTCCTCGTCGGATGCGTCGTACGCCCGCTCGCGGACCTGCCTCCGTACCCGCTTGTCCCTTCCACTCGTGCGTACGTGCTCGATGCCCTCGTCGTCATCAACATCAGCCTGGCGCTTGGCACCTCTCTTGGGTTGTACAGCTTCGACCTCAACCTCCATGTCGTCGTCGCCGTCTACCACAATGCCTTCATCGACCTCGCCTGCCAATCTCGACTTCTTCTCAGGTTTCTCAGCCTCATCATCCTCGCGCGCGTGCTTGCCTTGAGTCTTGAGCGCAGGTGGCGATGTACCCTTACCAGTGGCGTCACTCAGGGTACCCGGCGAGATCGTGGCTGATGAGTCTGCCTCCCTCTGCGCAGGCGTATGGACGTAATCTCTTACGACAGGCTCTTCAACAAGCGTGGCCGATTGTCTGTTTCATCAGCATGAGGTGAGCTCGTGCATAAAAAATCCAATATGCATCACTTACCCCATTAGCCATGCGTTGTGGGCAACCTGACGAGGGTCGTACTGCGACACATATGGCGCGTGGTTGGCGCTGCGAGGCACCTCCGGCTCTCGGAACCCTGAAGAAAGGGGCTGTGAGCGCGAACATGAGGAGAACAACGTACAAGACGTACGGGCCAGTTCCTCCCCTTCCAGCGGACGGCGTACAAGCATAGGGACATCTGAAGAACCATGTCGTAACAGGAAACCGTCTTCGTCTAGTTGCTCTGACGCCTCACGACTACCCTCCTCGGAACCCCCATGAGTGCGCGTTCGCACCGCAGCGTAAGCTATGTTGAAAGGGCGTTCGTCATCGTCCGGAATGCCGTATCTCCTGCGTAGTGCCCTGCAGAGCAGTGAGTAGTGTTCTTCAGAGAGGACAATATAGCACGTACTTGCGGTACCGTCGGTCTTGCCATCGATTGAACGCAGGTATAAGAACGAAGTAGGAAAGGAGAGAGAACACCACCGCAAAAGCCGCCGTCCCGGTCGGATGTTCCGCCAGCCAAGCCTTGTACGGTTGGCCCGGGGCCTTCTGGAGGTGACCGCCTAGGATGTCGGAACGTTCGTCGACCATGGCGAGCGGGAGGGGCGGTGAGTGTGCAGAGTGTCGCGACCGGCGGAGGACAAGAAGACAAGATCAGCAAACCTTGCGTGGCGGATGCAGGGGAACGCGTAGCGGAGCTTCAAATAAGACGCGTCGGTCAGCCACTCGGGCCAAGTCCAGCCACCACGCCACATATCCGCTTTGGCTACATACTGCGTCCATCACGTTCTCACAGCTTTGTTGTTTGCTCATTTTGCCTTACGCTTGAGGATTGTCCAAGCGCGCTTCTACTCAACCGCCTTCTCCGGCTTTCGGGAAGCGGCCGTCATATCTGCTGATGCCTATCCGACCTGGACCACCCATCCTTGCAGTCGAAGGATACTACTCCCCATGATGTGGACACGGCTACGCTGCCTTCGCTGACGGCAGCCCATACGTTACTGCCATAAGTTGTTCAATAAAGGATGATCATCTGGAGTAGGCATTCAATAGCCTGAGTGCCAGATGAGAAGCGGATGGTCCACATTCCCGAGCCATTCGGGATATGTAGCACTGTACATGCCATGCTTGGACAGAGAAACGAATACACGAGGATCCCCCTGTCCTACATAGAGTACATTTCTTTCTTCGCCATGCGCCGCTGTTCGGGAGAGAAACGATGAGTGGGCCGATTTTCGTCGCCGACGAGGAGGGCAGAACTCGAACGACCGCGCCAGCAACAGGCCAGCAACGAGCGGCCGGTGAAACGCGTCTGTCAAATCTCGTTTACCACGTGTGAAAGAGAGCACGGCCTTAGCCGGCGCATATAACGGACCAATAAACATCGCACGATTGCCTCAACCCCAGTCGGTTCGCCGTCCTCGCCCTCCCCTCCCCGTCGTCGCCAGAGGCCTGCTGCAGCCATGTCTGAGACCAAAATTATCACCTACGACGAGCTCAAGAAGAACAACAAGAAGGACAGCCTGTACATCCTCATTCACCAGAAGGGTGCGTAGACATGGCCTCATACAATGTCACGTATCTCCGCGGTCTCCTGATACACCTCCTCAGTGTACAACGTCTCAAAATTCATTGATGAGGTAAGGGTAAATTTGGGTTGCGTACCTTCACTATATGAACCGCGGCGTAGCACCCAGGAGGAGACGAGGTGATTCTCGCCGAGACCGGTGAGTAGCTGCGGCACCCGTTACCTGTCTACGTGGCCTAACGTGTCACCACAGGTAAGGATGCTACAGAGGCATTCGAGGATGTCGGTCACTCGGACGAGGCCCGTGCTATCCTCAAGGACCTCTTCGTCGGTGAATTCGAGAAGGATGGTGTACGTCGCGTCGGTTTGCTTCTCTGGGGTCGGCTGTAACATTTCGTCCAGGCCCTCAAGGTGAAGCCTGCCTACGACAGTCACTCTTCGGGCAGCCAGGCTGTCAACACAGCCGTGCAGCAAGGATCAAAGTGCGTACACCTCAGACAGCCGCCTTCATCTCCGAGGCCTAATTATGTCCGTGCAGTATGATGTACTTCGTTCCTCTCGCCATGCTCGGCGCATACTTCGCATGGCGGTACTACTCGAGCGGGTCGCTATAGACTGTTGCATTGCTATCTTTTGACTAGTTGTTCTCATATTCTGGTAGTGCTTCATCTTGTTTTTATGCATTTCTTTGGCTCCCGGATGAATGGAGTAAGTTGAGGTCGGCCCATTTCATGGCCGTCACAGGGACCAGTGCTATTCCTAGGTGAGAGCCCCACTATGCCCGCGTGCAGAGGTGTCCTGCTGCCTCGGAGGAAGTCTTCGATAAACGGAAAGTCAGGAAGGCAGCGTCGTGCGAAGGGAACAGACAACCGAGGAGACACGGGTGGCATATGCAGCGGGAGCGTGACTGCTACTATGTAGCGCGAGCGGCTGCGCGACGACCCGCTGGCCGAGCTGTCGACGTGTGGACGCGCCGTTCACCATGCCACCCCAGCCCCGTCTGAACGCCGTCGCCTTCGTCTCGCCGCAGAACCACCCCATCCTCATCCGCACCTTCGCCCAGCCGCGCCAGGATGAGCTCAAGTATCACTACATCGCCCACACCAGCCTCGACGTGATCGAGGAACGCAGTGCGCGCCCCCGCTGCCCGGCTCACCTGCCCCGTCCCGCTGACTGAGGCCGCCGTGCGGTCTGTTGTTTCCCGCAGTTGCGTCCGCGCAGGCGGCCAAGTCGACGGAGTGCTACCTCAGCCTGCTGTACACGATGGAGGACGTCGCGGTCTACGGCTACGTCACGCCCCTGCGCGTAAAGATCATCCTCGCGCTCGCCCTGACCGACGCCGTCGTACGGGATATAGACGTCATCGCGGTGCGTATTCCGTTTCATCTAAAAGCTTGTCGTCTGATCATCATCTCTGTCCTCTTCCTTCGACCCCCACCCGCATTTTCTGCGAAACAGATATTCAAAGCGATGCATACCGCATACCACCTCTCTGTCGCGAACCCGTTCTTGAAGGTGAACATGCCCCTCGAGAGCGTGAACGACCACGCCGCAATGCTCTCCGCGGGGAGCGCGAAGTGGAAGGCCTTCCGCCAGCGAGTAGACGACGTCGGCAGAGTCATGGGCGCGTCCATCCCTTCCTCTACGTCCAACGCGTCCACGCAATCGCATTGAATTCTTCTCAAACCCTCGCCTGTGTGAGTAGAACATAGTCTCGAGTCTCGACACGTCTGCACGCGTCGGTTCGTGTCCCCGTTTCAGGCTGGCCGGCTTCACCGTCACACGGCGGTGACGGCCCTCCACCGTCTGGAATGCGGATGCACTCTATTCTTTTCTCTTTGTACGAAGGTGCATCGGGACTGGGCCAGAGGACAGAACCTAGAGCAACAAAGTGCCTTTTTATTGACTCAGCTCTCGAAAGGTCGCCTGTGCTGGGACAGATACGGGGCAGACAATCCATGTATTTTCACTCACTGCACTCAGTCGTTGTATAAGTAACATGTAGACAAACTGCAATCATCTGATGGTGTCTCAATGGCAGCAAGTGGGTGAGCAAGGTCTCAACTTGGCATCGTATTTGAGCTCGACGGCAATTACATTACTACTGCTACCAAGAAAAGCCCATTAGGGCACGACATACAGAGCTCATCCCGGCCGTTGCATACATTAGTAGACACTCTACATACACTGGCAAGTTCTACTCTATTTAACACGGTACACACATCTTCACACATCTTAATAACCCCAGTACTTCTTCTCGATATACCGCAGTGGCGGGAAGACCACCGCCGTGAACGCGAAGCTCAGCTCGAACCCGATGTCACCGCCATAGATAGGGTCACCAATATGCCGCGCGATCTGGCCGACGTACCACGTCTGCGCCATGCCGAGGACGGCGCCCGCGATACCGCAGCCGAGCGCGATGAACGACGCGACGCCGAGCGGGAGCTTGCGCCAGTTGTTGTAGTGGTCCGGGTCGTAGTTCGCCCAGCGGCCGCGGCGGAAGATGAGGTGCTCCTCGACGAGGATGGTCACGAAGATCGCGAGCCAGTAGCTGAGGATCGTGAGCAGGGTGTCGAGCCACTCCTCGAAGTGGCTCGCGCCGACGATCGCGAGGACGATGTACACAACGGAGCCGACGATGACGATGAACACGCGCGGGATCGCCTGCGCATACGGATGAATGTTCTGGAAGGTGAGCGCGAGCGAGTAGATGTTCGGGATGTTGTTTGCGATGATGGAGAGCGAGAGGATGACGAGCAGGAACCGGCCGAAGCCACCCATGGGGCCCGTCAGACCCGCGCCGAGTAGACCACCCACGGAGGAAGCGTCGTAGGCGTCAGCCCAAGTCGTCTTCGCCGTTAGTGTCGTCATGGCAGCAGCACCAAGGCACTCGACGAGGATAAGAGGGATGTTGAGACCGAGATACGTCCAGAAGAAAATCTTGATAGCAGGCATGTCTTCCGGCATGCGGACGGTGTAGTCCGCCGCAATAGACGTCCATCCAAGAGCGAATCCAGCTAGGAGCCTCAGATGAATGATAGCCGAGGATGAGGGGACTAGATGTACTCACCGACTGCAGCGCCGAAGGACAGTACGTTACCCGCCTCGACGGCGCCGGTGCCACCCCACGGACCTGCGTCCGCGAACCGAGCGATTTGACCGAGGTAGATGATGAAGATGATAGCAACCTTGGAGACAATTCGTAAGGAAATTTCGCTATGATAAAGTGATAATACGTACCGGGATCCAGGAGTACATCTCATATAAGTGAACGACACGGTATCCCATGAAGCTAACAGCAATCGTGCCAATTGCTATCACAATAATTGCCGCGGCAGTAGGGATTTGATGCGAATCGCTGACTGCACGGAGCGTCTGCGCGCCGACAATCGAGTTTACTACTGACCAACCGACGCAGGCGATGCAGTTCAGGACGATAGGAACGAGCGACTGTATGAGCGCGGGGGTCAGCATTCAAGACAAGAGCGAGTACGATGTATACGCACAGTGAAGTACCCAAAGGAGAACCTGGAGATCGTGAGTTGTCGTAGACCGAGCTTGGGACCCCATGTTGAGAAATATGCAACAGGGATAGTACAGAGCAGGTTGAAGAACAGGATGACCAGGCAGGCTTCACGCAGGCCCAAGTAGAAGATGGAGCTGGCGAGCGTTCCCAAAGAGAATGTCGACGTCTGCGAGGCGTCAGGTCCCGCGCATATATACCTCAATAGAGCAGCTTACGGTCATGTTCGCGGCGAGCCATAGCCAGAAAGGCGCAAGGGGGGCTGCAAGACCTTCCGTCAAACTCCCCGGCCGGGAGGCATTCGAAGAGCAAACGCACACTTCTGCGGCCGCGCATCTGGCGGGACCCGCTCAATACCCTGCGCCTCGACACCATACGCGTCGAGCTTGTCGACGATCGCCCAGAGGCTCCTGAACTTTGTCCGTGGGACCACGGCATCGGAGACACCGACGGGCTCGACGCTGGGGAGACAGTGAGAAAATGAGCCCAAGATTTTCGGGGCGGGTGGCGGACGGGTGGGAGACTCACTAGTGCTCGATGTCCTTGTTCTTGAGGTCGTGGTCGCTCTCGGAGGCCTGCTTCTCGATGGACGCGCTCATGGCGGGGAGAAGATGGAGGGTGGGCGGAGGGGTGGCAGCGAGCAGAGGGATATGGGCATGGCGGGAGGAGCTTATCTATGGCAGCCTGGCAGCTCCATATGCCCGGCGGTATCGTCCTGTCGTCGGATATTGCCAGGCGCACCCGGGGGCGGCCCGCCCTTGGCGCCCGTCTTCCGCGCGCGCCCATTGGCTGAGCGGTCGTGCCTCGGCCTCGGAGTGCGCCCACCGCCAGGCACCGTCCTCAAATTCACGATCCCGATTGCCCCCATTTATTTTTCGATCCATCGGCGCGGACCTCAGCGCCCACCGCCAGTCCCGCCACACCGCCACCCAGCCCAGCCGTCGCCCATCTCAGCGCAGATAGCACGAGGCACGCACCTGGCTGCTAGCGCATCCCGCGGTATGGCCGTGGATAGCGCACATACGTTTCTCCACCCAACGCCAACGAGATAAGACGGTCGAATGCACGTCAGGCGTCGCCACTGGCAGCTCTGCATTTCATCGCCTCAACGAATCAAGTCTCCTACGCGCCAACCATCGCATGCGCAAGCTGATCTATCTCCTCCAGCGCCTCCCGTGCCATCACCCGCACGACAGCGTCCTCGTCCGTCGCCGCAACGTAGCCCAGCGTAGTCTTCGCTCGTCTGACCAGTCTCGTCGGGAACGTCGGGAACGCGGGTGCACCACCCGCGTCCGAGTCGTACAGCTGCGCCGTGCACGCCTGGATGAGCAGCGTCAGGAAGTGCAGTGCGGCGCGCCTCAGCGGTGGGAACTTTGAATTACTTGACGTAGGCTGGGCGTCCATGGTGTCAGGCGTCGGTGGTGGCGGTGGCCTATCCTCGTCCTTATCGCGTGTGCCTTTGTCCTCGCCTTCGCGGTCGTGTGCCTGCTGGTCTTCGCGCGGCCTGTTCTCTTTGCGTGGTGTCGCGGGAACAGTCTCCACTTGCAGCAAGTCAATCATCGCTTCTGCAAGGTCCGTGGCGTACGGGAGCAGTGCCAGCGAATTCGTCTTCGCGCATTGAGCGAGGAGCGAGATGGCCGACGTCCTCAGCGTCGTTGGCAGGTCTGACGTCCGTAGCACTCTGAAGAGCGGCGGCACCAGAATATCAACTATACTCACAAATCGCCATGAGTATGAAATGCATTCTTGACAGTTCGAATGCACGCTCACCGTAAGCAGGTAATGCGTCCCCACACCGCCGCACAACCTGAACAAGCGCCTCCCCCACCCGCGTGCGCATGTCCACCTCCTGCTGCGTCATCACCCCGCCTTTCCCTGGGCCCTCCGTCCCATCGCAATACGTCCGCACGAGTCCGCGGAGTACCTCCTTGCCATAGCCGTCCACCATCGCCGATAGTCCCTGCACTGCGTTCAGGTACATATAGCTATCGTCGTCCTGCACGCTCTGCAGGAATATACTGAGTATCCCGGGAACCAGCGCGCGATCGAGGGCGGGTTCCTCCAGGTGCACCGTCCCTCGCCCCGGGGTCGCACGCCGGGCAGAGACGAGGTTTCTTAGGAGGAGCAGGCCATGGGCGCGCACGGGCAGGAGTGGGTCTTGTAGGAGTTTGAGTGCCTTCTGGTAGGTCTCCTGGGGAGTCTCTTCGTCACCCTTGGACTTCTTGGCCTTGCGGGAGCTGCCTGCGGCGGACGTGGAGGCGAGGCGCGCGGTCATGACCATACGAGCCTCTCGAGCGAGCGGGCGGATTGTGTCTGACGAGTCCTTGGACAATGGCTCGAGTAGCGAGAAGATGTCGTTAAGTATTGGCGCGGTCCTCGCGGACAAATCGGGGTGTGCTGTACGAGATATATGAGCGGTGAAGTGCACCTCGTAGCAAGGCACATACCTTCGAGGATCGAGAGAAGAAGGTTCACCGACGTGGCGACCATCTCATCATCACCCGACGCCCCCATTTCAGGCCCTTCGTCGTCACTGTCACCCTCATCTACTTCGGGCTCCTCTTCCTCGTCAACAATGCGCAAGTCCTGTAGGTTGAGCCCACCGCCATTTGCACGTGGTTCTCTCTTGGGCGATTGTGCCGCGGGCGACGCCGCAGATTCGAGAGCGTGCTTGATGAACGAGAGGATATGGTCGGGTTTATTTAGGATACTCGAGGCGGAGTCGTCCGTAGCGAGCTGGGTCTGCATCTGTAAGATGAGTTGCAGATACAGCAGTGTTCTGATGAACGTATGTCAGTATCTAGAGTAATGAGACTAGAACACGACTCCACGCACCGCAATGGATCGTTCTCGGGTTGCGCCTTCAGCTCCCGGTATGCTTCAAGGAGCTTGACGAAGACCTCCGACGAGATGTCTGACCGATCGATCGACTTCAGGTAGCGGACGAACTGCACTGGATCCGGACGCAGATCAAATAGATTCGCGTCCGCGTCGAGCTCACCGACCTCCTCTGCGCGTCGGAGGTCTTCTGGGGTGAATAACGAGAGCGTTGGGTTCCGCTCGGTGCTGCTCAGAGGGCAGGTCAGCGTACAGGCGAAGCACGAGCATGAGCAAGACCACGCACGTTTCCAGTCTCGCTAAGCTGCCGGTCACATCGGCCTTCCACTCGCCTCCTTCGCCGAGCACGACCTCCCAGAGCGCATCGATGCCCTCGTTCGTGTTCACAATCCGGCCCCAGGTCACGAGGAAACCTCGCACAGACTCCTTCAATGCGGGGTCTGATGCCTTGATCGTCTCCAGGTGCGAGAGGATGGCATACAGTGCAGGCAGAATAGGCGTCAGCAGGCTCGAGATGAAGGTTGGCGACGGGTCAGCGTTGGTAAGCAGTGTCTGGAGTACATCGAGTGCCTCAGACGGCGTCAGCTCGGGCGTGGCTGGGGCCTGGGGTGTCTCTTCGTTGTTTTCGTGTCCGGGTACGTCTGGGGACGTGACCAGGAATGGCCGGTGTAGGCGAGCTAGCAGGATATTGGACACAATGCTCGCTTCCTTGTCCCCCTTTTCGGAAGCAAGCATGCGTGAGAGCGCAAACGCGATAGCTCGTCTATATATGGGCGGGATTCGCTTCGGATCCGTCGACAGTATGGCGAGGAGCCGAGGGATGATGACCCCATAGTAGTCCTGGAGGCCAAGGCTTGTTAGCAAGGAGCTTGGAGGATACAAGGCATGGACTGCGTACCTCTGCTTTCATGCTCGCTGGAACAGTACCCAGGAGACGTGCGACATGCTCTAGCTTTTCCAGGGGTGCATCCTCTCCAGAGATGTCCTCTTCGCCGAACATCGCACCGAGCAGGCCCGCTACGCCTTCGGGCCGGAGCAACTGGCGGCTCAGCAGGAAACCGCAAGATTTCCGTGCGTAGGGGAGGGCGATTGAGCTGTCTGACAGTATGCTGCCGAAGGCAGCTATGGTCTGTGCAGCCGACAGTCTTACGGATCGGAATCAGCGTCAGTCACTCCGTGAATGACGAATGCGTCTGTACTCACGTAGACAGAAGCTGCATGACAGACGGCCGAATGAAATCAACAGGCTTGACGGAGTCTGTAGCTAGATTCTTTGGCAGCCATCCGAGAACGATGGATGGCTTGAGCAGGTCCGCGACGTGCTTGTTCAGCAGGGCGGAAGTAATCGCTGTCTGCAGCAAGGGTGTTTGTGGACCGTGCGGGTATGGTAGACGCAGTAGACGAATGATCGTCTCTGAGAGCCTCTCATAATCGTCCGGGACACCCGTGAGGTCAATGATCTTCGCTCCCGCATGAGCCTGCGACGTCTTGACGGGGATAGCATTAGCGACGCGTCCCAGCTGCGGCTCGACTCCCCACTTGAACACGATCGAAATGAGGGTGCGGATCTGCGCCAGGTCCCGCGAGCCTATGCTTGCGTTCGAGGGGCCTTCCTGTGACTGAAAGGCAGCATCGTCTCGACTCCACTCGCGCTGCAAACACTCCAGAACGTACAGAGCTTCCGTCGCAGTTCGAGCCTGTAACCCCTCAAGCGTCCCATCCATAGCTGGACATTCCAGTCCCCTGACGGAAAAGTATTGCGTCAACCTCTGCTTGAGCACATCCGCGACGTTGGTCGGTGTTTCCGATGGTGTAGAATCGATCAGTGACCCGCCTGCACGAAGCAGATTGAAAATAATATGGTCGTCCATGCTGAGCGCTGAGTGCTGAGCAGCAAGATGGAACGTGAAGAAGACACCAACAGCTGCAGCCTGCAGCTTGAGCTTGAGCAAAGACCGGTCCCCCCGAGGCGCTAAAGCGATCGACGACTCGTACTTGGCGCCGCCGGGCGCTCGATCCTTGAGCGCTTGACTGGAATGCTCACTGCTCAGCCTATATCAATGCCAACTCAAGCTAAAGCTCCTCCTTTCCTGACGCTCTACTCTATCGTCTGAAGCTCAAGCTCATGACCATATCTTGACTTGGATTCTATGCATGTACGACAGGAAACCCTTCGAATATGTTCTGGCCTCCGAGTTAAGCTGCGACTCACTGGGAACTCTGGCGAACTCTGGCACTGAGTAGTCTATCGGGCTGCCTTATACGACTGGGACAGGCGTGGGCTAGTTTGAGCGCAGTCTGTTCAATTCAGTTTGGTGAATACTTTTGCGACGTTCTTCGATCGCGTGCATCTAACGAAAAGGTTCGTGTCGTGGTTGTCGTGGTCGTTCCCCAGTGCTTATCCCATACTCAGTACTCCGAGTCAGTACTCGGTGCGGAGTGTATACACTAGCGCAAGCGTCCAGGCTTCCGGCACTTTGATTGCGAGCACGCATGAAGCTGCGCCGGAACCATTGTTGCGGGTTGGGACTAGCCCTCTCCAGACTCCAGCTGATCGCATGTCAGTCCACCGCCTCTCTATTTGAACTTCTGTGGCGACCTACGAGCCATCGGTATCTACGGTACGGATGCACAGTTTGAGATCCGCGGCAGTGTGCACCAGCTGCCTGTATCTTCACGCACAGCCATGCAATGAGCTCCAAAGTGGGTACGGCTTTGCAACGCTATTCATGATGCGCCCAGCGCATTCTCTACCCGCTTCGACGTAGTGACGAGAACGTTGCATCTTATGAAACTTCGCGGTCCGCACTATTCACATGCAATCCGCAAATTTCACTTACTGACCGCACGCAGTCCAAGCCTTACTCTCCTGCCACTCGACCTCAGAGACCCGGGCATTCATCCTTCCCTACCTATCCAGGTGCCTACCTCCTGCCTCACTGCCACTCCGCCCAGTGAGGATGGGCCGTCTCTCACAGCGACATTGTAACGACTGTCCTCATCATGCAACATGAACCCCCGCGAGGACATCTGGTCTAGCATACATCGAACTAGGTTTCAACTTTCAACCTTGATCCGAGATGTGTGTTCACATGAAAGCGCATGGTCACGGGTCATCGCGAGGACACTAGGACTCTACATCGCTTTGACCTACTCACATCGCATGCCCCTGCCGGCTATTAACCGCTCCGCTTCCTCCCTTCACCGGATGCTACTCTGGCGACATCCATGCGGACACATGCTCCGGTAAGTGTCACTGTTCTCATACGCTCATGATGGCTCTAAGCCAGTTAGGATTGAGTAACGCCAAATATAGGGCTTGACAGGAATGCGATGCTCCGAAGGAACCTCGTGCCATGAACTCGCGCCGTGTCTACCATGCTCTCTAAGCCCGGCATACAGTTTCATGGTTGCAACACGCAACATCATGTAGGTAGCCGCGCGAGGAGGAAGCCTACAGCGTCCCCAAACCTTGACAAACGGTGTGCAGAAATGCAGGATCGGCGGTCCGCTCTGTCTTATTAACCCGGTCACCACCGTCAACTCGCCTCTTCAATTTGCTCGCCCTCTGTCCATCACCGGCTTCGTTGTCTACCCAACCATGCCATCTGCGATTGCTACCTCCACTGCTCGCGCTCGTACACTTAACGCTGACATCTGGTATGCCGGAAAGGGTCAGTATAGCGAGGGCGGCGGCGGGTCGTCGTGCGGACTTGCTGCATTGAACTGCGCTCGGGTTGTCTTGGGCTTGGAGCGAAAGGAGCCCCAGGATGGCAATATTCTGGACATTATGTTACAGCATGACACCACAGAGGTACCAGCCCCCTTCTCGCGCCGGGATACGCTGATTTGCTGATAAGAGCTGTATAGGAAATTCTGCGGCCGTGTGCATCTTGGTCTTCTGCGACCCATCTGGACGTCGACGACATATACAGAACTCCAATCTTCAACAAGTCACTCAAGCTGCTGCATACTTCCTTCGGTCGCCCGAAAGTCCAGGAATTCAAGCACGTCCTAGCGTATGACATGTTCCCCCACTGGACTCAGTCGCGTAAGACTGACTCTGTGCAGACGTCTTGCACAGACAACGCGGACAACCGGGGCTTCGGCCAGTGTTGTCATCACCCGCCCGCCAGAGATCATCTCTTGCCTGAAGCTTGTCACGATGACAGGTGGTGCAGATTCGTTCGTCGTCTATGACTCTCATCCGCGACCCGAACATCCCGATGGCGCGGCCTTCATCGTTTTCAAGTCACTCGACAATGCGGCCACGTATATTGCCCGGCTTATGAACTACGAAGAAAGCCTCCTGGCTGACGACGACACTCAGTGGCAGGTGCAGTACCTAGCGCAGTTCTCTGCGCACATCTTCGCCGCTCGCCCCATGCCGTTCACGGCCAAGGAGTTGGAAGATGCGACGCTGGAGGCTAGTCTTGACATTCTGAACCTGAAGGCGAAAGCCTCGGAACTGGAGAGTCAGAAGGAGAACCTCTTGGCAGATCAGACGCGCTTGACCAGCAGAGTCGCTGTGTTGGAAGACGAGCTCCGAGTCACTGAGCTCCGCGAGCAGAACTGGCGTCAACTACGCAGAGACGACAAGCGTCCTCGGTTCGGAGGCCTATTCAAAGACTCGGACCAAGGCGCAGACGATGCTCGAGCACGGAGCTTCTCTACAAAGCGCGGTCTGGGGAGGCTATACACTAGTATAGTCCCTAACGATGGTTGGAGAGAAGGTTGGTATGATTCACCACGGTGCGTAACGGTCTTCATGTCAAATGTCAGTATGTCCAATCTGGTCTGACATAGAGGACTCGCCAGCGCCTCCGGCTCTAACACCAGAAATTACCGAAGCGACGTTTCTGGACAACAGTCCGACCTAGCCAGAACCAGAGACCTAGCACATCTGAGTAGTAGCGCCATGATTGCTGAGGATGCGAGACTCGCTGCCACGCTGCAGCGTGAATTCGAGCGCGAGGACTCGCAACTGGCCCGTCAGATGCAAGAGCTGCTGTGGGCAAATCCTAGCACATTCGAGTGTGGGGTTTGCTTCGAGACATGCCCGATCGAAGATGTTGCCGAAGTTGAATCGTGCGGACACCAATTCTGCAGAAGTTGCATACGAGGGTTCGTGGCGGCGAAGATCGAAGAACAGCAATATCCGATCATGTGTCCGTCGTGCGCTGTGGACGCACGGAAGGGGGGCCCGGGAGGTATGTCTATTTGGAATAATGACAACGGGTATTTTACCGACCGGCATCTAGTGGTAGATGGAGCACTCCTGCAGCAGCTCGGTCTATCTGAAAAGCAAGACGCGGCATTCCACGAGATACAAATGGCTGCGTTCGCAGTTCTACTACACTGTCGGCAGTACGTCGCATTTCCTTACCACGCGCTTATGCTGTCTGATGCAAAGCGATAATAGCTGCCAGAACTCGATGTTTGTCGACAGGGAGGAACTTGCGACTGCCGATGTTGTGACTTGTCCTTTAAGTGACTGCAAGGCTACGTGGTGCAAAAATTGCTCTCAAGAAGTTGTCTCTGGCGGACCGAAGCATTCGTGTGATGGCACGTCCGAATTTCAACATCTCATGGAAAGTCGAGGGTGGCGGTACTGTCCAGGCAAGCAGTATAATGACGACAACGCCATATGTTCTAACCTCTATCATTGCACTACAGGATGCCAGACACCGACGGAGAAGATCGACGGCTGCAACCACATGACGGTGAGAACAGCATGAACGGGATGAAACGATTTGCTAACCCGTACCGTTGTATGCCTCAGTGCCGGTCCCCGGGATGCAACACGTCTGTATTCGTCCTATACCGCAGCTTAAACTTACCACTGATGAGGCCCACGGACCTGATACAGGCATTTTTGCTGGCATTGTGGTCAATCAATAGTCCGCTCCGTGCAGGGGGATGAAATTCGGTCTGCGTTGCAGACTCACTTTGCCACCTGTCGTCTCTTTCAAGATGTTCCTGAGGATGCGTGAGCCCCAACGTTGCAGATATGACACCTCTGCAATTGTTGTTTTTATTGTATTATATTGTTTGTTCTATCATGGCCGCCTGGCGAAATGGCATCGCGTCTGACTACGATTGGGTATCATCGGGTAATCAGGAGATTGCAGGTTCGACCCCTGCGGTGGTCATACATTTTGACCTCGACAGTCGTTTTACCTTTTGATCTTCGTTTTCGGCCCAAGTTCTATGCAGTAGTAATACCAGGCTCGATAGTCCTTCGTGTCTTCAGCCAACTGTCCTCGCGAGGCGTGCCGAGACGATGCATACGTGTTGCAGACGCATGGTCATGTCACTTTTGCTTTGCATGCCTGTACTACACATCTGTGCGAGAAAGCGCACGCTCAACTCGTCGGAATTGATATCAAAGCATGTTGTTACAGTTATACTGATATTCATCGAAAGCAGTCGCCTCCGGCTCTTAAGCTGCAACAGATAGGTTGCCTACACCATCCACGACCTCCTCCGACAGGCCCTCGATCAGCTTCGTAATCTACAGCAGATGTGATCAGTTCAGTTGGACGCGCCACGAGCATATAGACACATACCTTGCCAATAGCGATCGTTTTCCCTGTAGATCCAGCAGTGCGTAAGCTACGAGAAGTATAGAGGATGCATGTCTGGACTGACCTTCGTCTCGCAGTGTGAACCGACCCAATTGTGGATAGTCGGTGAAGCGTTCGACACAGACAGGCTGCGCTGTCTCAATCAGGGCTACGATCTTTTGGCCTAGAGACGCGTAAACCGTCAGTGGCCATGAAGGTGCTAGCATTGATTGTGCCACTCACCCTTCTTCGCGAATTGGGGAGGCTTCTTGGACTTGCGGCCGGTTGCTTTGTCGAAGTAGTGGAGAAGTGCCTATAGCGTTGCTTCAACTGATACCGGACTGTAACGAAAGTGACTGATAACATACCGAGAGTGAAACCTCCTCGGCGAGCGTGTGTATATGCATGACCGCAGAGTAACCCGCACATATGATGTTCTTGTGGTCCAAGATCGCCAACTGCGCTTCGAACTGCCGTACGGCGTGAACAGGCTTGCTCGGGCTACTGAGCACGAAGCCGGGGGTGATGTCGTCGTCCTCCACGCCGCGCAAGCGGATGCGGACGTTATCACCACAGATCGCGGTGGACACCTCCTCTTCCATCTCGTTGTACATGCCAGCGACTTCAACGATGTCCCTGTTCGGCATGAGCACGAGCGAGTCGCCCTTGCGCATATGACCCGATTCGATCTTCCCGACAACGATCGTGCCCATGTCTTTATACTTCTCCGAGATGGGCATCATGAGCGGCCCGTTGGTCTTGCGGTCAACCATCGGCATTGTGTCGAGGAGCTCCAGCAGCGAAGGGCCACTGAGCCACTGCTGTCAGGACAATGTACAGACGCTATGTATCCGGACTTACTCATGCCAGGTACAGACGCCCTTGGGGACGCGATCCTTCAGGTTGAGACCCGCGTATGCGGACACAGGGACGAAGGTGACGTCTGTTTTGACGTTGAAGCCAGCTGCCTTGATGAACGGCGTGAGCTTGTCCTTGATCTCGTCGTAGCGCTCCTTGGACCACTGGACCGTCGCCTCGTCCATCTTGTTGATGACACAGACGACCTTGGACACGCCAGCGGTCTTGACCAACATGATGTGCTCGCGCGTCTGCCCACCCTTCTCGAAACCTGTCTCAAACTCACCCTTGCGGGCAGAGATGACGAGAATAGCGACGTCTGCCTGAGCAGCACCAGAGATCATGGAAGGTACAAAGGTCTTGTGGCCGGGGGCATCGAGGATGGTATACCGGCGCGTGTTCGTCTCAAAGTAGGCACGGCCGACCTCGACTGTCTTGCCCTTTGCACGCTCCTGAGGGGTCGAGTCCAGGGCCCAAGAGAGGTACCACGAGTCACGACCAAGATCCTTTGCCTCGCGTTCGTACTTCTCCATCGTCCGCTTATCCACCATCCCGGTGAGGTAGAGCAAGTTACCGCCCATGGTACTCTTGCCAGCATCGACATGGCCGATGAAGACGATGTTTAGATGCTCCTTGGCTGATCGACAAACATCAGCTGTGTCCTCCTATGATGAAGCCTACGACGTACCAACGCCGAAGAGATCATGGAGCGTGGTTTCATCGGCAACAGTTCGCACCTCCTGGGCGATCGCGGCGGTATCGTTCTTCGCTTTCTCGAGCGTGTATGTTTTGGATGGCACAGCAGCAGGAGCCGGTGATTCTGATCGCGAGTTCGATCCTGACGATTTGGAAGGCGCAGATGCCTTCACGGATGCAGGAACGGAGGAAGCATGCGCGGCGGGTTTGGAGGCTTCAGGCGGCGGCGGGGGCTGGGATGCAGGCGGCGGTGCAGGTTTGGGGCCGCCAATGTTGAGAGAGATGGTAGGAGGAGGCGCAGGAGCCTCAGCTTGCGGTGCCCGCTCAATGGGGGCAGGGGGGACTTCGGATGACTGCGAGGACTGTTGGCCGGGGAGACGGAAGGACTGCCCCGGGACGAAACTGAAGGCATTTGCGTTGAGTCTGCTCATGGCTAAGGCTACAGATCCTGACGTTGTCGTAACAGGCGAACAGAGTTCAGTATACAAGTGAGATGGGATTCTAGGAAATTAGTAGCAGTCGGGGGCGATGGCGGGCAGCAGCAAGTCGTGCAGCGCGTACTTCAAGTTTTCGATCGCCTTCCTTGTCAGGCAGGCGCACCCCTCCGGGGCTCTCTCACTCTGTGCGAGGGTCGCAAATGCTGCGTGGCCTCGATTGCACGTCGTATGTTGATATAGCCTTGTAGCATTCAAATCCTGTCCTACGCACGAGCATGTCAGAACTATGTAAGAGACTCCCAGTTGAAGAGAGAGGACCGCAGAGTGGCATAGCACTTGGCGGGGTCCGGGGTACTGGCGACCCCCGGTGACCGATGTCACTGGAGAGAGATCAGTGCGCGACTGTGCTCGTGCTGCATGCATTTCAGCTTAGCCCGCTCTCCTCCACACGACCTGCATGGCAGACGCAGAGACCTATTTGGCCGTTCTCAAGGCCTCCTACGACTATGAGCCCCAGCCGGACTCCGAGGATGAGCTCGCTATCAAGGAAGGACAGGTCCTGCTCCTGTTGGAGCGCACAGACGAGGAGTAAGTCGCCACGCTATCCTGGCCTGCCGCCCCATTGATTGAGCATCCTCTAGCTGGTGGAGAGTGAAGCCGAAGCCAGACTCGCAGGATGAGGATGGTCCCTCGGGAATGGTGCCAGCTGCATACGCGGAGGAGGTGGGCATAACGTGCACTTTGGTCCAGACGTGTAGTTCAGACGCTATCCTTCCCAGGCCGAACATACCCGAGTGGTCAAGGCAGTGTATGATTATGAGGCTGCACAAAGCACAGAGCTTGACATATCCGAGAACGACGTGCTCTACGTCTACGGCGAAGACGAGGAGTGGATCCTAGTGCGCAAACAGTCTGACGATAGCAAAGTCGGCTACGTGCCTGGGAACTACGTCGAAGAGGTGCGTCTCGCGTTCATCTACCCTCTCGCTTCCATTCACCAGGTGTTCACGCCAGATCGGTGACGAGTCTGCTGCCGCGGACCTGGAGGCTCCAGCACCGGCGGCAGTGCCGCAGATCGTCATACCGCCCTCGGTTCGTCTTCACGATATCGTAGATACCCCGAGTTCTGATACCGGTTCTCTAGCCTCGACCTGTCAGCACCTACGTGGATCCCGCAGATCGCGTGGCTGCAGCACGAGCGCATTCCGACGACATCAAGACCTGGGCTGTCTCGGAGGTGGACAAGAAGGGGAAGAAGAAGAAAGGCACACTTGGTGTAGGCAATGGGTCCATCTTCTTCGCAAGTGAAGCAGACAAGGTGCGTAGTTGTCATGAATATCAACTCCATGTTCGTCTCAGAGTTGTACCTCGAATTCTACTTCCAGACCCCGGTACAGAAGTGGCAGAGCTCCGACGTCCAAGATGTACGGCTGGAGAAATCCAAGCACGTCCACATCGACATTGGCGGAGCCGATCCCATCAACCTGCACTTCCACGCTGGCTCCAAAGACGTCGCAGACGCAATCATAACCAAGCTCGAGTCCTCGCGCTCTGCCGCAGCTGGCGCCGCCGGACCCTCGACCCCGCCGCCCGCTCCGGGCCCGTCTCTGGCCTCGCCGGAGGAGCCGCCTCGGCGCAGCAGCCCTGCGAAAGCTGTCCACTTCAACAACGAGGAGCCCGAGATAATTCCACCGCGCGAGCCGTCTGTGGAGGGTGATGAAGAGGCGCCGGAGGGCGAACCCGCCGTTGTTCTATACGACTTCAGTGCAGATGGTGAAGACGAGCTTTCGGTGCAAGAAGGCGAGAGCTTGTTTGTGCTCGAGAAGGACGGCGCAGAGTGGTGGAAGTGTCGGAACGTTCATGGGGCCGAGGGCGTCGTGCCCGCGCAGTACGTGGAGGTATGCTCTCCGCATTGCTGGGATCCTGTATCGGGTTTACTGAATTCATCTCAGCTGCTCAACCCTGGGGCAAGCTCTGCGATAGCGGCGACACATGACGAGGACGATGCTGAAGCCGTGCGCGTAGCGCAGGAGGCTGAGGAGCGCGCAGAAGCTGAACGTAGTGCAAGGGAAGACCGACTCCGACAAGAAGAGCGCGAGCGCCAGGAGAAGGAACGCGCAGAACGTGAACGCAAGAAGGAGGGAGAGCAGCGGGCGAAAGCCGCCGCAGTTGCTGCTGAGGCGGACAGGAAACGTCGCGAGCGCGAGCGGCAGGAACGTCAGAGGTTGGAGGAGGAGGGGCGCGCGAAGGCCGAGGCCGAGGCGACGAGGAAGAAGGAACGCGACTCTGTTGACCATGGCGAGTCGTCGAAGAGCAGACGGTCGAATGGCGACTCAAGGCGATCGAGCGATCGTGCCACAGATGACAAGGACATGCCTGATCCCGCGAAGGTGCGAACATGGCACGATCGGACGGGCCAGTTCCGAGTAGACGCACAGTTCCTGGGCTTTTCGAGTGGCAAACTGCGCCTGCACAAGATCAACGGCGTCATCATCGAGGTTCCTACGGAGAAGATGTCCGATGAGGACCTGAAGTATGTCGAGAAGGTCACCAAGAAGGAGCGGGGGCAACGGCGCAAGAGTGACGACGACGACGAGCCCTTGGAGATGCGGAGACGGTCACTTCAGCCAGAAGCGCGGTCTTCCTCAAAGAAGAAACCGACAATCGATTGGTTCGAGTTCTTCCTCAATGCTGGGTGCGATATTGACGACTGTACGCGCTACGCGACGGCGTTCGAACGCGACAAGATTGACGAGGCCATCCTGCCCGATATCACGGAGGGCACGATGCGCTCAATAGGCCTCCGCGAGGGCGACATCATCCGTGTCAAGAAGGCTATCGATCAGCGTCAACCTAAGAAACCTAACGATGGCTTGACAGAGCAGATGCGCCGGGATGAGGAGCTTGCGCGCCAACTGCAGGCTGAAGAGAACTCGGGCTCCGGCAAGACCAGGGGTCAGCCGCCGAACCTCTTCGCCGAGGCAAATGGTGCGCTCAAGAGCAACATGCGGAGAGGCCGTCCACAGCCTAGCAAGAGTCTGCCGCTCTCCAGCGTGGACATCAGCTCGATTACCTCAGCTTCTGACCAGATCCAGCGGACGAGCTCGCCGATGGTCAACAGCCCCGAGAAGACGTCCTCGCCCTCCGTGCAACAACCTGGACGCCCCGCCTCTGCCGCAGCCGTCTCTACCGGCTTCGACGACGATGCCTGGACCAACAGGCCGAGCTCGACAAAGCCCGCTGCCACCCCCACCCCGCCCGTTGCAGCGCCCGCGCCCGCGCCACCTGCACCTCCAGCACCGCCTGCGCCTTCTGTAGAATCTACAATTGCTCCGTCACAGAGTGCTCCTTCTATCGCGACGGCGGCATCTGCTAGCTTGAGCAACCCGGCGGCGCAACAGGCGACTGGAACGACGTTGGCGAAGACTGACGATGATATTTTCGAGCAGCTTGCCCGTCTATCTAAGCTCCGCACACAGAGCCCCGCTGTCCAGCCGCCACAGCGCGCACCTTCTGTTCCCATCGCTTCTCCTGCCAGTTATCAGTCGGGCTTGGGGATGGGCGCTTCAGCTGTCCCTATTGGGCAACATTTCCAGAACCAACAAACGGGCATGCTGCCTCCCCCACAGCAGTTTGGGCCTCGCGGGCCTCTCGCGCCTGTTCCTACCAATCAGGCTTTGCTTCAGCCTCTCGTGCCGACCACAACAGGCTTCAACGGCTTCGTCCCCACTCGCCCGCAAAGTGTGCAATCACCGTTCGCGAACCCTCCACCCCAGCAATCTCCATTCCAAAGCCCCCCGCCGCAGCAGCCGTCCTTCCTTAACACTCAACCAACTGGTTTCCCGGGGGCAAACCATTCGCTACTACCGCAACAGACCGGGTATCCTGGTGCAAGTCCGAGCCCTCTGCAATCCCAGCCGACCGGCTACCTGGCTGGCAACTTTGGGAACGCTGGCTCGATGCTCTCGCAGCCACCTCCGTTGCCGAGCAACAATTTCTCGTCTGGGCTGCTTTCTCAGCCAACAGGCATGCCAAATGGTGCCTTCGGTGGCACAAACGGCAACTTTGGCTCCACGCCTTCGTTCCAGTTGAATGGCGGATTCAATGGGATCCAATCAAGTACGTGGAATAGCCTGCGTATCGATCCGAGTACTGACGCCTCGTAGATCCTACCGGTTTCAATCCTGGCATGGGTGCCTCTCCGTTCGGAAATGGGATGACTTCCCCTCCGCCGCAGCCCCAGTCTAATGCTGTAGACACGACGCCTGCAAATATCTTCGCCAAGATGAAGAGCGGCACCTTCGCGGATGACAATGAGGCGGGGCCGCAAAATGCAGGTCTGTATGGAATCTTGTTACATCCAAGTACATGACTGAGATGAGGTGATCCGTAGACAAATACAACGCCCTTCGTCCTGCTCGTGAGTGTACACCGTTTCTTATCGGACTCATTGCTGACGAGAGTTACTTTCGTTTCAGCAAACTTGACCGCGCAGCCGACAGGTTGGGGATACCAGGGGATGAACGGTGGTTTCACGGGCGGATACGGATATCAGCGCTAACTGTTAACACGGACTTACCATTATGTATCAACACACGATCTCTGCGTCGTCACTATGCTAGGATAGATGCGTTAATATACCGACCGATGAATATACAAAGCTGAGCATAATAATAAGTAGATGCTAAAGTGAATGTACAGTATGCTATGACCGTTCCATGATGCCCTGAATGTATCCGACCCGCTTGAAGTACTCCCGTAGACCATCCCGAACCTCTGTTGCCAAATCCCGAGAGAGCAAATCAGTCGCCAAAGGGTATATGGCCGGCATATATCTCCCGAACTATCCCAAGGTCAGTTTCGGTTGTAGTAACGAACGAGTGCTCCACTTACTGCCTTGTCGTCTAAGCGGACAAAGCCCTGCATGATCTCGGCAACGACAGGTGTCCATGCCATGATGTTTTTCAACTGTGTATCGACCCGGAGCTTGTTGTAGTCGCCCAGAACACCCAGACCCAACCTACAAGCGTATTAGACACAGGGAACATAGGCCGAGCATAAAGGCTTACGGCATGAGCCGGTCCATGACTTGTGGCCGTGCAGTTTGATGTTCGGGGCGGGGGTCGTAATACATGCGAAGGAGTACATGTACCAAAGTCGACGCGCTACTGGACTCCTGTTTGAGAAGGTTAGGCAAGTGCTTCATGAAGCCTGTCTCAATGTCAGCAACCGACAATCATGAAGTGACGAAGCACTATACTCACCAACTTTCCAGAGGCCAGTCCGTAGGTCCTTGTCCTCGTTGAACATCCTCGCGAACTGGTAACTATGATCGAGAACACCCATCAGACGGAGCAAATGCTCCGGCGGCATGGTCATGTAGACTTCGTCATTCCTCAGGAGATCGTTGGTCATCTCAATGAGCAGAAGTTGCAGGACGCATTTCACGATGATCTGTCGGAATATCCGTCGGCGATCATTGAGCGTGATCTTCACGCCGGCCTTGAGCTGTCCACTGGTATTGGGCGAAAGAGGCGCAGGCACGATGGTCTGTCCATTCGATTCTACGATCAAAGTGAGCGATAGCGTCGGACGGCGACTCACGAAGTGTGTTCCTACCATTTGAATCGGACAGATCTGGAGTGCTGCCGTCCAATTCTACTCGCAAATTGTCATCGAATAGCTGATGCGGTGTCGTTGTCCTGAAGAGTTTGACGAAGGTAGTAGCGACGCGCTCCCACCGGGCAGGACTAAGCTTCTTGACATTATTCTCGAGCAGCTGTTGTAAGCAGCTAGTTCCGATGCGGGCGAGCGTGTCGTTCTCTATACGACATGTGAATATCCTGATTCAAAGCTAAAGCTGAGTCACGGACCTTGGCAAATGCAAACGCACAGAAGGTCGAGCAGCCCGTCAAGGAAGCGCTCTAGCGTTTCGAAGTAGAATGTGTACAAGTCGATCAAGTTACGCAATGCCTGAATCATGGTCGTTGAAAGCCAGACACTCATGTCTTCCTGGGTATTGAAGCGCGTCATGTCTTGACTCGATTTTAGAACGGCGAAGATCGGGAAGAGCAACTCTTGGCAGACAGTGTCCCAGAAATCGACAGGGAAGGTCTTGCCGTAGGTTTTCAGGGTGGAGAAGAGGGAATCGAGTGCCCTGATAACCTGTCAGACCCGCGCGCAGCGACAACGAAGCAAGCTCTCTACTCACAGTCGTCGTACTTCCAGGTCCTCGCCATTCATGATGACATCATAGAAACCGAACAACACCGGGAACCAGAACTTGATCATAGGATCGTCAGTGCTGCGATCCGTGTCGTTCACTTCTACGTTCAAGCCACACTCGGGCGAATTGAGCATGATAGGAATGATTCCTCGCAGCATGGCGATGGCCAGAAGGCTGATCTTCTGATACTTGTTCACTTTGCAGAAGTCCGTGATGCATACGGTCAGGTCGGCAAATGCACCGTTACGAACAATGGCCGAGAAATGTTCCTTGTTCACGCGAGTGACGAGCTCGAATGCCGAGTTCACGATGCGCTCTATGGATGCGAATCAATGAGCGAGTAATGCCGAAGTGTCTTGACTTACCAGTCGGGACCTTCGATGCAGCTGAAAACACGCCAAACATCGTCCTCCAACCTGATCTCATGTTGCCCACACGCGCTTGGATCATTTGTTGCAAGCATTGCAACACCTACAACCAGTAAGTTCCTGCCGAACAAAGCACAGATAGGCTTACCATATCACGGATATCAGGATTTGAGTTATGTGACATGGTGTACTCGAACGGCCGAAGGAAGTCCTTCTGGAACTTGAAGTGTGGCAACTCCTCCTTCTCCAGGAAACGCATGGCCAGTTGTCGCAAAGCATCCAGCGCGAAAAAGCCGACATGCGGGTTATTGTGACAGCAGACCTGAATTATGCTAAGTCAACTCCCATTCTGCGACACTCGGCGTCTCCTTACCTGGTTGAAGTGTTCGCCGAGAATCTCCCACAAATTGGACCACTCGAGACGGATGCGGCTCATGTTGTAGTACGCGATCTCGACGAGCTTTTGTAGACTGAACAGACGGGGATGTTGTGACAAACCCGAGGATTGGATCTCTTCCCATGAAACGTCACATAGTGCCCGAACGAAGTCAACAATTGCGGTCTGTAATGCGTGAGAGACATCTTCGTTCTCGGAAAGGTGTGACTCACTCCAGAGAGATAATGACTTAGAGAGAAGACCATGTCAGCAGCGACAGTGATGTGCGTAGATCTACTCTCGTTGGCAAGCTCTTCGGTGGGCGGTTTGCGGGAACGACTGGACAAGCAGGTTATACTTGGCACCCAGTAGTTAGATCGCTAATCCATACCTCTTGCGACCGTTGTCGGGCAGTTCGACGCCGCTGCTGATGAGCTGCATATGCTCAAGTTGACTGACGCAGGTAAGCACTTCACGCCAAGAGCCCTTGAGGTTGTTGCCCTCGTTGACGGCAACGTCAAGCAGCGCTTTGATGGCTTCCATGTTCTTCGTCTTCATCTCGCCCAGGTTATTGAGGAAGGTGAACTTGGCGAGTGTGGTGACGAAGGCATTGCGCTCCAGCTCCATGTCAAAGAAGGAAACTATCCGGATGGCGTTCTTGAAACCGTCTAAGCAGAGCTCGACGACTTCCAAGTCATCGGTACCTTGCAGAGGTCCTGAGATCCCTGCCAAGAATGGAATCCAGGCGACTTCAAACATGGGTCGAACGTGAATGAAATGCGAGGCACTGAAGAACTGCTCGTTCGACTTAGAGCCCTTGCGCTGCGACCGCATCAACGTCTTGAACAAAGCCTACGATGCCGCGGTGTCAACCCTGGCAACAACCGGTACAACAACACAGACCAACCTCTGTCTTGCTTGTCATGTTGTTCGACTGCATCATATAGGCTTCCTTCTGCAAATCCCTGCCGACGTTCGCAAGAGCACCGGCCAGACCAGGCCCCGGGGTCGCAACCATAGGCATAGCCTCGACCTCGTCCTTCATACGAATCTCGTTGGAGACGATGTCGTCGTAGATTGCTGACAAGAACTCTTCCGGAAGGTCAGCATCATCATTGATGCCACGGTTGTTCTTGATGAAGTCGGCAAGACTCATGCGGCGCTTGACCTGCGGACTGTGGGCGTCGGTGTTCAGAAGGATAACAGAGTATGCCAGAATGTATGCGGCATCTGAAAGGTACAATGAGCCTTACGTGTAATCAGGATGTGCCATGTATATATACCTGCGTTGGCGAACGGCGTCTGGATGTTTCCGGCGATATACCGCTCAGCGAACTTGAGCATGAAGCGGTCAATTTTCTGCGCTTCACCCGGTAGCCGGAAGGCTTGCAGGAATGTCCGGAGAGCATCGACAAACGCGAGATCACGGAACTCCATCATGTCGACGAATACGTGCATGATGGCGATGTTCTTCTCGTCACTGGTGCATCCAATCTATCAATATATGTTCCACAGACGAATTGAAGTGCATACCCTTCGCCCAGATATTCGCCGATCATAGCTTTGCTGAGCCCGTCGGTTTCGTGCAGAAACTTGGCGATGTCCTTCGGCGCATCGCTCGGGATGAAGCCAGCCTCGATGAAGAATTGAATTCCCTGGAAACAGTTAGTCACCCACAAACCGACCCAATTTTTCAGCCCTTACCCGCTTCGGTTTGTAGTTGAACTTCTTGATGCCCTCCAAAAGTGTCGTCTTCTTCTGCTTCGCGCTCTCGAACTTGCCGGGATCGTCCACGACTTCAGGAGTGGGCTGCCGTGTCGGATCTGCGCTAGGAGGCCCAGGTCTGAGGTCCAAGGAAGATGAGTCTGGGGTGAAGTTGTCGCGCTTCATCTCATCAGGCACGGCAGAGCGAGCACTGGGTTCAGGCGGGGCATGATCAGGTTTGTTGTTGTCGGACCCAGCGGTACCCCAAACTACCAGCGACTTCAACACAGCAACGAGACACTCCAAGCCTTGTCGCTTCAGGTGCTGTTCTGACAAGCCCATGGACGATATGTCTGTAGCTCCCGGGCCAGCGAGTGCTGACGTGCTCAGAGACGGAGGCACGGCCGACTGACTCGGAGCCCTCTGTGCAGGAGTAGGGGTCGGACTCGTAGGGTCGTTCCCCTTCTGTTGCGTGTGCGACACCTGTGCGGTCCCGATCTTGGAGATGATGTTCATTAAGCTGCGACGAGCGTGAGCGATGGTGGATGATTTCGGCGGAAGAAGGCTTACTGCTCGTAGATATTGTCTACCGCCTCGCTGTCGCAGTCATAGTTCAGGTAGATCTCGACAAGTACCTGGGGATCTTGGCAGAGTCGGTGAAGCATATTGAGAATCACTGCCTTCTGCCTCAGCGTCGATGTCTTCATCTCCAAGATCGGTATGAAGATCTCGTGGAGCAGGACCTCAATCTCTTTCTACACGCGAGAATTAGCGTTTGTCATGTACATCAGAAGGGCGACGCTAGACCAACCTTGAGCTTCGTCCGCAAAGCCGAGATGACCCTCCAGAAAATCTCCACACTGATTTCGAAGACCTGCGGCACGGGGCTGACGGCATTACGGCTCAGACACAAACACAGGTACTGGTTGACGGCTTGAACAAATGTCGTGGCCTCATGCGAGGAACTTGAGTGGATGATAGCAGATGGTGAGACGAAGAGGGGCATGTGGGTGTTCAGAATGCTCAGGACGAGATGCAGAGAGAGTAGCTTCGATCGCATGCCATGCGACTTGAGATCGCGCTCACTACTCGACGTTAGACAGCGTTTCATCAAGGGTAACGATGCACTGCCTTACCTCTCTGAATTGAGCGGCTTCATCGTGAGCTTGCAGAGTGCACGGAACACAAGAAATGCGTCCTTGATAAACAAATCGTTGGTTGAGAGTCGCTTGCTTGCGTCGTAGTCGTCGTCGTGGCCGGCTTCACTTGGGGCCATCTCTGACGGTTCTCTGCTGGCAGTCAGGTATAGGGCACTTGCAGAAATAGCGAATGCACTACTCACACTGCCGGATATGGATGTTCCTGAGTGTCGCCGTTCGAATGCCCATTTAGTTGGTCGTCACCAACGTCCTCGTGGGATGATGCATCCCCAGCTCCCTCATGCGAAGCCTCGCCAGGCTGCTGAACATCGCCATTCACGAGCGTGGACCCTGAATAATCGGTGCCAGCGAGCGAGGAAACCCGGATGCTCGCGGGTGGACTCTGCGGTGCTTGCATCGAGTTCCGCGACGACTGAATAGAGGGCCGCCTCCGTGGCGCCTCGATCTTGGAGTTCAAGGTTGTAGTAGACTCGCTGCGAGACAGCGAGGGCTCAAGCATCACGCGGCTGAAGACATGGTTCACCATCTGCGTGAGGCCGCCTTGTGCTACGGTCTGATTGACAGGGTCGGAACTGAGCAGGAAGACGTTGTAGACCGTCCGAACGGCTTTGAGGAGAGAGGATTGATGGACAAGGATGGTGGAGGACAAGACGAGAGCGAGGAGCGCTTTCACGATTTGGAGCGAGACCGGGTCTGGGGTTGTTTCGGAATGGCAGGACGTAATGGTGTGTACGACGATGTCGACAAGTGAAATGGCCGGAAGGTTGACATTCGAGCCGGTGGAAATAGAATGCCTGCCATTCGCTGCGGGCGAGGGAGGAGGGGATGGTAGTGGTTGCGAGTCGGTGTTCTCCACGAAAAACGAGTACGAGATGAGCTTGGAGATACAGTCCAGACTAGCGACCATGAGCTTCTCGTTACGCGTTTCGCATGCCAGGCGCAAAGGCTCGAAGATCTCGCGAGGACGGTCTCCTCCTTGCCCAGTCTTGACCAACTCGAGGGCCCGTTGTACACTCTCCCGCAACGGAACAGACCGCTTCGCATCCTTGGACGCTGCAATTGTCTCCAACGCGGACGTGATCAGCACACTCGAGACCGTTTTGCCTCTGGAGATGGTTAGCGAACGCCGATGGGATGCAGCAGACGAGGGTCTACTGGGCGGTGTCTGCCGGCCAGAAACATGGCTATTCGCGTACTTCATTCCCGTGTTGTGTGCCGCAACAGCTGCGCTACCATTGAGGGGCAGTGGTGCTGGCATACTGTCCCGCCGCAGCGGTGGACCGACGCGGTCGACAGGTTTTGCTGGGGGAGTGGGCGGAGTGGGCGAAGATGGCTCTCCTGTGTCCGCTCTGTGTTCCACCGCCTGTATGGCCTCCTCCGCTACCAATGTCTCCTGGGTAATTTCGGGGACATGAGTTACGGCAGGCGGTGACGTAGAAACTTGCTCTGGAGGCGTTGCCTCGACGTGCACTTGTTCGCGTGGCTCCTCCGCATGCTGGACGACCTGCTGTTCGCTCGCATTGAGGTCAATATCTACCATGGGTTCACCGTCCACAGGAGATGCATGCGACTCGGTGAATGGCTGGGTCGTTGGCGCGTCGAGCTGTGCGAGGACGTTCGGCGTGCCGGCATGGTCGGGAGGCAGGGAAGTAGGCACAGGTATTGACGCTGCGGTCTGGGAGTCAGCAGCGTCCATGGTCTGCGTCGTCGGACGACGAGGAGGAACAGACGGGGGAGGTCTGCGCAGTTGCTCGGTGGCGGAGTGAGAGCTTCAGCGGTCGGTATACAATCATCACTGTTCCCGTATGCCTAGGCGCGCCGTCGCCGGCGCCTCCGGTTCATCTCGATCGTGTTGCCCTGCAGAGATCCTCATCCGCTTTTTGCTTCTCACTCGACCACCATCTTCTCGCTATCCTTTGTGTCGTTTGGTTGATATTCTACTCGACATAATGTCTGCGAACGGTGTATCCATACCAGCAGGCGCGTCTGCCGCTGTTCTCAAGCCCTCCGAACCGGTGCCGGACGTCGCAATTTCGGTGGAAGGGCCGAACTTCGACAAAGCTGTTTCTCTCACCCAGCTGCTAGACAGTTACAAGCGCATCGGCTTTCAGGCAAGCAGTCTGGCAAAAGCAATCGAGGTCGTTAACAAAATGGTGAGTTCGCATCATGCATCTACCGAAGCCATAACACCGACATGTTTTCAGCGAAAATGGCGGCTTTCGGACGAGCCTCTCACAGAGGACGAGTCGGAAGAATATCGTTCCCAGGAAGTGCGGGAACAGACCCGATGCGATGTGTTCCTGGGCTACACCTCCAACCTCATTTCGTCTGGGCTGCGCGAAGTCATCCTGCACCTCGTGAAGCACAAACACGTCAGAGCGATCGTGACCACAGCTGGGGGCATCGAGGAAGACTTTATCAAATGTCTAGGCAAGACGTACCTGGCTGACTTCAACCTGGACGGCGCGGACCTGAGGCGACGGGGAATGAATCGCATCGGGAACCTCATTGTGCCGAACGACAACTACTGCAAGTTCGAGGACTGGCTCACGCCTATACTGGATCAGATGCTTGCTGAGCAGAAGGAGACCGGGGAGGTGTGGTCGCCCAGCTCCTTCATTAGGAGGCTCGGGAAGGAAATTAATAACGAAGAGTCTGTGTACTACTGGGCTTACAAAGTGAATCCAATCAGCAAACCATCGAATCGCTGTCGTCCGAATGCTAAGTGATGTTGTCTAGAATGACATCCCGGTATTTTGTCCTGCCCTGACTGACGGGTCATTGGGCGACATGATCTACTTCCATTCCTTCAAAAACCCCGGTTTGGTCGTTGACATCGTACGCGATATCCGCGCCCTCAATGAATTGTCCCGCAAGTCGAAGAAAGCAGGGATGATCATTCTTGGTGGTGGTGTCTGCAAACACCAGATTGCCAACGCGATGCTCATCGTAAGTCTCATAAATCTCGCCGCAGTCGAATCCTACTGACGCTACTCCCAGCGCAACGGAGCCGACTTCTCGGTGTACATTGTAAGTAGTCTCTGAACGCCTGGTATCGCTCAGCTACTCAGCCATGACACAGAACACTGGACAAGAGTTTGACGGTTCAGACTCCGGTGCCCGTCCTGACGAGGCTGTCTCATGGGGCAAAATCCGCGTAGGCTCCGAATCCGTCAAGGTATGTTACCATTGTTCGGTGGCAGTGCACAATCGCCCTCACACACATCGTCCAGGTCTTTGCGGATGCCACTCTCGTGTTCCCGCTCTTGGTGGCTGCTACATTCGCCCAAGACGTGTCGAAAGAAACCGAGGCATAGGGTCGTATCAATGCGAAGCGTCGATGTAATCCACTTCAAGGCTGGCCATAGACTCAATTAAACCAGATATATGTAGCGATAACGAGTCGGATGTGTAGCTGTTGGAGTGCACATGTATACTACTAGTGTTTGTGTAGATCGTGTGTTTTGATTGACTGAATACTGCCGGCAAGAAAACCCAGCCTTCAGATTGAATTGCGAGGCGTAATCGTGATGCGCGTGCCTGCCAGTTTCGAACAGTTGATGCATGCCCTATTCTCAGTCACTGGGACGCTTCGAGTCGTTCCTTCAAATGTCAACCAACTCTCAAGCTCGAGGTGAGGCGGATCTATAGCTATACTGTACATCATCATCGATGAAAAGTGAGAAGCGAAAAAAAAATGACCACCGCAGGGGTCGAACCTGCAATCTCCTGATTACCTAATCGTAGTCAGACGCGATGCCATTTCGCCAGGCGGCCATGACAATCATAAAAAAGGTTGACATATCATGCGCTCACAACCCATATGCGAACGTTATTGCCTCGGACCTTCCTCTCCTCGCAACTCTCCCGACCAGAGAATGAGATCGTCCTTCAACAGCTGCAAAATCATCAGAGCATCCTCCAGGTTGGACCGCGGGAACGATGGATGGGCTGCTACTGCGATGGCCTCGTCGAAGGCATGCTTGGCCAAGAAGCAGGCTCGCTCAGGACTATTGCATATGTCGTGGTAGTAGACGGCGAAGTTCAGTGCCAGGCCCAATCGCGTAGGGTGAGCGGGGTCCAGGGTGTGCAGTGCGTGCTTGTATGCGAACTTGTATGCGTCGAGAGACGTCGTCGCGTACTGTTCGCGGTGGTGGTCGTGGGTCATCTCCGCGAGATATCGGTAGTAATCGCCTCGCCTTTGCGCTGGATGAGAGGTGTGTCGCGCGACAAAATACGGAACGTACATCTTGCAATAGAATACCTTCTCCTCTCCCGGATTCGCGGCGGGTATAAGGAAGCGCTCCAGCAGCTCCACAACGTCCTTGCAAATGTCGGCAATGTCGCGCTCGATACGCTCTTTCTGCCGATGCATAAGCTTTCGCTCCTTAGCAGAATGCCGTGTTTGTGTCTCGATCGTATCAATGGTGCGCCAGCTGGCACGCAGTGTGGCGGTGATGTTCTTGTAGGCTACGGAAAGCAGGTTGCGTTCGTCCACGTTCAGTCGGGCATCGGATACGCCGACGATATCCTTGATCTGCGCAATGACATCTGAACCGTTTATGAGCCCCACGTAAACATTCAATGGCCCAGGGACTACTCACCGTGATATCGCTCCGCTTGGTCGGCAATTCTGGCTAGCAGGAGACGATCAAGACGAGACAGAGTCATGTCGTCTTTGGGCGCGTCGAGCTGAGAGCGAATGCTCGGATACCCCAGTAACACCATGGACGTGAAAGGATAGTAGGACGGAATGACTAGTGGGGAACCGCATCCCGAGCGTACTTTAAAGGAAATCTGCTGATCCGTCCATTTAATGATTGCAGTCACGGTGCGTACGGTGGGCGAGGGGGACATGCGACTTACAGGAGGCGGCAATCAGTTCACAGGACACCGTGGTTCGCTCCTGGAGCATTCTGGGCTACTTGATAGGCCCAATACGACTTCGATGTTGCTAAGGGTAAGGGCATTGGGCTTAGGGCGACCGATGTGCCGCTGGCGAATGGCCGATGCCGCGAGGCCTTAGTAAACCTTGCGTGGCGAGCGGAAGGGCTCGCAGATTGAGGAAGTTGGGGATACAGTTAGAGTTGTACTGCAAGCGTTGGGGGTGACTGGGCACAGTATCACAGTCGTTTACAAGTTACTGCCGGGATGAGGAGCAAGTGGACGTGCGTCGCGATCCAAAACGCTGTTTACCGTTACCCGCTAGTCCGTGGATAAAGGTCTCGCGCCACCTGCGCGCCACACGCCTCAGCCACCTCGCGTCTCGCGATCGCCTTCACACAACGCTCGATGCCTCGCTCAGTACTCGTTCTATAGCTGTGACGACCTCGTTTTCGGAATATACGCGTCAAAATCACCTCAGGGAAGGTCTCGGGAAGGCCATATCGATAGTGAGCGCCTTGCAAGACCTCCAGACGTGTCGGCGAACACCCGCAGACATCGCGTGTTGGGATACTGGAGTAGACTGTACGGCGACTAGATCGCGGTATAAATTTATAGGGAAAGCTTGAGACAGTATACACAACCCAGTTTGTCAACGGTCAGTTTGGCAGGCGATGGTACTGGTGGTGAGGATGCCAGCTTCTTTGAATCTTGTCACACTCACAAAACATCATGTACGCTGTGTGATGTATTCTGGTAAGTACATAAGCGTGGAATATGAGCACATACATGGGACTGTGTATGATAGTCATGAAAGAACACGATTGTATCGGCTTAGCAGCTGGACCTCCTGCCGCCGCGGAGCGGGTCTGGGAGGCGGCGCTGGCGTTGGACACAAGGTCGTGTCATTAGTGTTTCACATATCAAGGTTGGGTTTGAACGTCTCAACATGGTGTATTGCTACATTCAAAATTGCGAACAAGTATGCTATGACTCCGACGGGACTGAGCGGGGCTTGGCACCACAAAAGTGCAGAAGGACAGAAGGACAACTCACTAACATCGAACAATTTCTGCCCTTCCACCCCAGCAAACGTCTCCTCGGCTCGACCATTCCTTAGCACCCTCTCCTAGCGTCCCAACACGCGATGTATAAGACCCGTGCGCCAGTCCTGCTGTCTGCGGGTGTTCGCCGACACGTCTGCCAGTGGAGGTCTTGCAAGGCGCTTACTGTCGATATGGCCTTCCCGAGACCTTCCCTGAGGTGATTTTGACGCGTATATTCCGAAAACGAGGTCGTCACAGCCATAGAACGAGTACTGAGCGAGGCATCGAGCGTTGTGTGAAGGCGACATCGCGAGACGCGAGGTGGCTGAGGCGTGTGGCGCGCAGGTGGCGCGAGACCTTTATCCACGGACTAGCGGGTAACGGTAGCTGTTGCCTCGGGCGAGCGGTGGCGCCGGTCCGGCTGACCGATCCGCGAGAAGACGACTTGTGAAGCTTGTGAAGGATCAGCACGTTTGGCGTTGTGCCACATTCTACCTTCATTGGGAGAGCAGTCAAAGTTCTAGATCGAAGCAATGCTATTCGGAAACCCTCTGGATTAAATGAACGCCTATGAAAAGCAAAATACGTGTCACGTTCCGACGACTCGAGCTCGTCAATGTGCGTCGCAGAACTCATCAGCCACTCGCTGTCACAGGCATGCAACTGGACTAGTATCCTATTGCAGGTCTCACCACACCAATATCGTTGAGCTATATATGCGTCTGCGGCATTTACGCAGGAGAGGGTGCTCGTTGCTCTGAGCAAAGAATCGTATGCAACTGCATATGAATTCATTTGGCATACTGCCTCGACTCTTCTTCTGATCTCCGACAGACCTTCTCCCGTTCACCACCCCATCTCCTCTACGGTCCAGCCACCCACCATACCGTTCTCATCAGGCTTGTTGCAGAGCCGCTGGTTGCGATTCAGAGCCGTGACATGCTGCACGTCCTCGGGGGATAGCGTCGGCAGCTGTACAAGGGCCTCTGAGTGAGATGCAATTGTTCCTAGAGGCAATGCAACTCACATTCAAGTTGTCTCTCTGTCTGCTCGCGTTGGAGCTCTTTGGAACGACGGCGATACCGCGGCCGAGGTGCCAGGCGAGGATTATCTGCGCAGGGGAAACCTTGTACTTCTCCGCCAATTCGACGATGGTCGGATCTGACCGGACGATGTCCCAGCCTGTAAATTTGACCGGTGAGCGACTGGAGTCTACCTCTTTTGCATGACTACTTGCCCGTTGGCGTGTAGGCAGTCAATACTATGCCCTTCGCATCGCAGTACTCCTTCAGCTGAGGTTGTGCGAGATATGGGTGTAGCCTACATATTGATCAGTGCCTCAAGGGCGACAACATACACAACATTGATCGACTTACTCGACCTGATTGACAGCGGGCGTGATCTTTGCCGTTTTGAAGAGCTTCTCCAGACTGTAGATGTTAAGCTCGATCACGTCGCCCTGGGATCCCGAGATTTCACTCACTTCTTGACAGAGAAGTTACTGACCCCGATGTTCTTCGCCTTCCCCTTCTTGTGCAGCTCCTCTATCTGCGCCCACGTCTCGTTGAACGAAGGCGCATTGGTGCGGATCTTGACCGGGCCCTGGTACTCAGGCCCCTCGTCTTCGTCTATGTCAGATTTCCGCCTCTGTGACACGGGCCATAACACGTACCAGGCCAGTCAATCACTTGTGGCCAGTGGAGCAAATACTACGATGCATCTCATCTGCATCACAATGGGCAAAGCAAGTAACAATAGTCACTGACCAAATCGACGTAGCTCGTATCCAGGTTCTTGAGACTTTCATCTAAGGATTCCTCGGCGGTCTTCAGACCTGGGTGGCTCCACCTGCAACAATCGTATGAACTTAAGCATAGCCTATCTTGTGAAGACTTTAAACGCACGGAAGCTTCGTCGTGATCCATATTTCTTCGCGGGGTATGCCCGATAGTTGAACTGCCTCCGCGACATACTTTTCCGTCCCTGTGGGCCACGTTCAGCGATGATATGAATCGGACCTGAGACGCGATAGCTAATCATCCGCGGAGCTTCTACTCACCGTATGCCCATGCTGTATCGATGTGGCGATAGCCAGACTACCGTGTAGGTGTACAAGACCACAATTAGTGTCTGGGCTAGAAGCAGCCTGAGGCAAGCACAGCGTACCTTAATCGCCGTCAGCATCCATGTCGTTGCCTGCGCGTGTTGTTCCTTCGTTGTACCGCTCCATCCACCAAGGCCTGGGAGCATTTCATACAGTGAGATCACCGCCCCCACTGGGTGCGCGCCCAGAACCGGGAACCGGATGTCCACTCACCGACAGCAGGGATCAGCGCGCCTGTGTTGAGCTTGAACTTGGGTACAGCAGTCATAGTACGTTACGAGCAGCAGTGCGGGATGAAGTGATCCTTTCCAAGCAGCAGACTACATGACTCCCGTCTTATATCACCGTTCCATCATCGAGAGGGGGTGCAACTTCCTTCGTCTGACGAAGAATTGACCTGACATGACCTCATGATTCGAGAGCCGACGCCGTTTCGGCACGGCGCTCTTGGTTCCTGTATTGTTCCTGTAGACGGCAGATTGAGTTACGCAGAACGCGGGGGTTGCGCGGGGGTGTGGCCCATACTACCGCCGAGGTTTGTCCGAATATGATAGCCATGGTCAGTCGCAGACCCTGAAGAAAACCTCTTTGAGTGGGAAGTAAGCCACGGTCGTATACGGAACCGCTCGCATTAGTCTATGCATGTGGCTAAAGGTTGGCCAGCTGCACAATCATATGATAGACTGTGCACGGCCGAAACATCTACAGAAACCTAATAGAACATTTACTACTCTACCAGCGGAGTCTTCGCCATCAAGGCCAGCATGTCCCACCCGATGTTGGCTGCAACAATTGTTGTAAGCTCAGCTGCACCGAATCAGTTCCTGTGAGTACGTCATTCCCAGTTGCCGTCAATAGGACTCACCTTGAGTATCATAGCCTGCGATGACGATGGTGGTGTTAGCGACTCGTACAGCAACTCATCGGCGTGCAACGTACCTGGTGCTACCTCCACGATGTCTGCACCAACGATCTTGAGGCCTTCCAGACGTTGCATGATTTTCTTGATCTCCTGCATTTCAGTAGGGACTCAACAACTATGCGTACGTCTATGCTTTGTGAACGCGTACCCTCGTCGTTATACCACCAATCTCGGGACTAGCAAAGGGATATGAAGATCAGTGATCTCGACAACTTCGCTCGTGTTTCGACTTACGTTCCAGTTCTGTAGGCACAATGTGAGATATGTTAACACCGCGAACACAAGCATTACTTACGCAGGTGCAGATCCAGGGTCTATGGCGTCAATGTCCAGCGAAACTGAAACAGTATCAGCAAGCTGTGCGGCTCGCGTCAATGCTAGGTTGCACGCACTGTATACCGGGTTGTCGCCAACAGTTTCCCGAATCTTCTTTACAACACCTCGCCAACCTACCTCCTCCAGCTCCTCTGCCGTGGAGATGACGAAGCCGACCTCATAGTCGTTGTCATAGTCCGCCCAGCTGCCAAGGGCGTTGCGGATACCGACGTGCTGTTGTCAACAGTCAATTAGCACGTAGTAGATATCCGCCGTAAATCGCCTAGACTGACGATGTTTTTGTTGTCGGGTGCGAGCAGGCCTTCGTTGTGTGCATACCAGAAGTAGCTGCCGTGCGAAACGGGTATTTCCTTTGGCTCTTGTAAGAACGTACCTGCACGGGAGATGAGTCGGTACTTGCCTCTCCCGGAAGCCAGGGGCTATTGGGCTGCGAAGGAAAGTTGGATTCTTGCCTCGCTACTTATGAGACGAAGGCGTATGCTTACCATTGAGCCGGGTTTCTTCGTGTCTATTCTGTGAGTTGAGCGGCATCCAGGAGACAAGAGTACTATGATCCTCACCGATATGACTGTCGAAATGGATGACACTGGTATTCACGTTCTTGTCGGTTGCCTTCATGTGAAAGAGCTGTTCGTACGTACCTGACTGGGCCATAGATAGCATTGATCCCACGAAGCAACGGAAGTGTGATGGTATGATCACCTCCCTGGTACCATCGCATCAGAATAAATCGAGACGTAATGGCTACTTTCAACCCACCAGGGTAAGCACCCGGGGGTGGAACTTTCCGTCCTTGGCGATGCTCATGCCCTCGTATGAGCGTAGGCTTGTGTGGTTCAGGAGCATCTTATTGGCGGCCTCGAGCTGGCGCAGTGCGACCTTGTTATCGGTGGGAACCATGGCTAGAGGCGGGTGATAGCATGAGGGCGACCGAAATTCGGGTGTGAGCAGAACTCAGACTTACGGACGTCGCCGCAGTCAACAACATCCAAGTAATCGGAGACCTTTGTTTTCATGTTGATGTTGATGCTAGTGACCTGGATACGTCGCGACCCCTGGCGAATGCCGTTGGGGCCAAAGCGGGCACTGCAGGGGGACATATTGAGTAACGCTTCTTCAACATCGCAGTAGGCTCACCCTGGTCGGTAGCTCGTTGTTGTGTCGAAGGGAGCGCCTGCCACGCGAATGAGGAGAGCACTGGCGCATCGATCACACAGAACCGGGACGTACCAAGCACAGCGACATCATATGGGGACTCCGCGTCCAAGCCAAAGCACCTAAGAGGCGTAGCTGCTGCAAACGTTGTAAGACCGTTCCAGGACTCCCTTGTCCAAGCCTCCTTGTACACAGGAAGCACTGGGTACGAGAAGACCTCTGTCATGTTCACGTCTGGCGAAGGGGCGTGCATCGGCTGTTCCTGCCCTCGCGAAGCTGTAGCTAGGCCGACCGAAAGGATGACGAGGCTTCGCAAAGCCGAGTCAGAGAACATCGCGAAGGCACCTATCACGGTTCAAGTGAGGACGGAAGAGGTCGACCTGGTAAGAGTGCGGCGCGGTCGCCCGTCTTGGTGCGACTCCATGCCATTAATATAGCAGCTTGAAAGATAAGCTATGATACTGTAGGGGGAGATACGGGCTTTCTGGCAGTTCTTCCAGGTTCTGCCGTGCGGGACGGAGAGATAGCCAAATGACTGGATGGTCGACGATTGCGCTTGTCAGGTTGTTCAGGCCTCAGGGGTCCCCACAGCCGCCTCATCTCTCCGGCAATCTAAGAGCTGTGACCTTCTTCGATCGTCGATCTCAGTCCGGATCGGCGGGCGCAACTCGAACGCAACGCGCGGATCGCAATCTCACGGCGTACGCACTCCAAGGCGACTAACTCGCGCATGGGGCTGATGTCTAAGCTAGAATGTCTATCCCCACACGTCACGCTGGTTCGATGCCATGTGTACCGAACAGCAGAAGGTAAGACCCAATTTACTAGGGAGACAGTTGTCCAGCAGCAAATATTCGTATGAAACGAGTGTGGACCTACCATCACCACCCAAGCTGTTCATGCGTCCAGCCATTCGCCTTTCCGGTAGGACCGGCCTTGGTATAGCGCTCGTTGCGGTCCAGCGCACTGATTCGTTGCACATCCCCCGGCTCCAGACTGGGTAACTGGCAGACCTGGTAAGGTTGTAGGAAGAATCAATGGAGTGGAGGAGGCTCACGTTAAGATTGGCTCTCTGCCTTTGAGGATCAGCGCTCTTTGGCACAACGATGACCCCGCGAGCCAGGTGCCACGCGAGCACTACTTGCGCTGGTGATGCCTTGTACTTCTCCGCCAATTCAACGATCAACGGGTTCGTGAGAACAGCGTTGTACCCTGGACGGAGCATTGAGAAGATGCGGGGTAGGAACATATTATTAGACAACATATACCTGTTGCTGTATAGGCGACCAGTCTGATGCCTTTTGCGTCGCAGTATGTTCTTAAATCTTCCTGAACGAGATACGGATGCAACCTGGGACCACGGTCGGGGGTCAGCAGACTGATCCTGTGGCTGCATATATCGTGAAGGAGGGTCGACACCTACTCGACTTGATCAATTGCAGGTACCACTTTGGCCGTTTCCAAGAGCTTCTCCAATCTGCACAACGATTGTCAATCCTACGTACGTGTTGGCGGCCGACCACGCTCACGTCTTCACAGAGAAATTGCTCACGCCAATGTTCCTCGCCTTCCCTTTCCTGTAGACAGCCTCCATTCCTGTCCACGTCTCGTTGAATGTCGGCGAGTCTCTGACCGCGATCGGCTCCTTTCCTTCCTGGAACAATTTCGCTGCTTTGCGCAGCATATCCAACGCGCCGACTCCGTACGGCCAGTCGACTACCTGGGGCCAATGTAAAAGATACTGTAAAGTGTGAATGTGAGTCGACATTGTGCATATTCAACGCGCGTGTTTGGCCTACAGAGTCGACGTAATCAGTCCCCAGATTCCGGAGACTCTCGGCTAGAGACTCTTCGACTGTCTTGAGACCGGGATGGTGCCATGCCAACTTCGTATTAATCCACAGCTCTTCTCGCGGAATGCCGGATTGTCGGATAGCTTCTCCGAGGTACTTCTCCGTCCCTGGTAGTCCATAGTCGAGTCAGCGGGCTTTCCTGATACTGACAGGACCACAAAACACATACCGTACATCCATGCCGTGTCAAAATGTCTGTAGCCCACCTACGGATAGCGTCCATGGGCATTCATCAAACCCGGCAATCCGGTGTTACTGACCTTCAGGGCGGTAAGGAACCACGACACAGCCCCTTCTGCTTCCTCTTCTGAGAAGCCGGCCCAACAACCCATTCCTATTGTGTGTTGCTCAGCGTTCGAGCAAGGTGAAAAGGGCGCCTCAGAAGCTTACCGATGGCTGGCATCTGCGCGCCGGTATTTAGCTTGAACTTTGGGACCGAATCCATGGTAGCGACGGTGTTAGCGGTACTGAAGGCCGGAATGAACGCTTGGGGCCTGTCGAAGCTTGACAGTGATGAGGATCATGGTGTATATAAGGCCACCGCTGCAGCTAGACGCCCTGCAGTATCTCTGTCTACAAGCCCCGGGCCGCCCTGATGGCCAGTTATCACTCAGCAGGGCAGCCGGAATACAAGAGCTCCAGCTGCTAGCGTACGCCACAGTGGCAGCCGTCCTAGCCTGCACGCACATGTGGAGACGCGAGGACGGTGCCGGCATCCCAGGGACAGCCGCCGAGAGCTATCGCCGCGACGCATGTGGCGAAGAACAAGGGACGCGGAAACGTGGCCAGAAGGAAGACGCACCCGGATGCATCTTGGCACGCCGTTTCGGGCGGCCACTGCGTTTGGTGAGAGTCGGCGTCTCACGGCGCCGGGCGAGCGGCCTTCGCGCACAATGCGCTCGCGCTGCTGACACCATCGGCGAACTTTTTTGACGGCCCGTCTTGGTGCCGCATGACCTATAGAATATGCCGGCGACTGTACAGGTCGTAAGTGCTTAGCACAACAGTTCACACCCTGCGCTGTCTGAGCGCATCGCCGTCCAGTTATGTGTCACGACACTCACGACTCAATCTGTGAAGACGCCTTGGCACGCTCGCGGATTCCCCTCACCAAGCTAAGCAGAGCGGGTCAAGGGTGACTTTCACCTGCTCGAACGAGTACAAGACAGTACATACCGTGCCAGTGTCGTTCAGAGTGTATCTGCAACCGCTCCGATTTGCGCCAACTTCGTACCAGGTAGAGCTGGTTGTGGCGTGCCTTCCAGCGGGAAGTGGAGCCAGTTCTGTATCAAGTTCCAATCCAGTTCGGATGTGCAGATACACTCTATTGTATCGGGAAGCATCGGCTGGTTCCAGCACGCAATTGTAATTGCACTGCGCAAACAACTGATAAGACACCTTCAGCCACAAGCGCGTTGTGGTTGCCGCGTGACCGCGTCTAATCAATGTCCAGCCACACCTGGACGTGGACCAGGCGTCGAGATGCCAGACAAATGGATGGGAACCATATTAGCGATGAGCAGTTACTGGCTCTGCGGAACGAGCGTGCCCTTGATCACGTAGATGTCGTTATTCTTCACGTCGGCGTGGGCGAATTGGGGAAGCGATCCACTCACTACTCGGAACACTTGAACAAGGATGCCCAATTGAGATATGCACATCGCTCATCCGGAAGAGCACTGTAAACTGTGTCTTGTCCCACAGGTGATATCAAGTCTGACTTCTGGGGAATAAGAGGTGAGAACGAGGCCACACTTCTTCGGAACGTACCGTTCGCCTACCCCAAACGCCACACATGTAGAACTGTGAGGCCATCCAATCACTAGCCTCCGAACAGGCATGCGAGAGAGATCGTACGTGCCTGCAGGAACACGCACACAACGCAGCGACCGCTTGAACACGTAACGGCGAATGCTTCCGTCCATGCATGCAGTTGTGATAAGCATGGTAGCATTAGACGTACATACAAGCTCATTTCATTCGTCGCGTCCTATCATGTTTCTGCACCAACAATAGGAACGGTGTTGTTTGATGTTTGAACGCGTTTCCTGGGGATATCCGGTAGAGCCGCGGCGATGCGGGCGAGTTCTGCAGCCATGTCTGGAGGCGTCTCATCGCTCTCCTCTTCCTCGTCGAACCAGGCTTCCTGCGCAGATCTGTCATTGTCCGCGTCCCACGACTCGTCCCAATCGACTTTGTCGTAGTCGACCGACTGAGCACCCATCATAGTAAGCTGACTTATCCATGTGGTAGATGAAGTCCAACATACCTCAAGCAAGCCGTATATAAAGCGTTCTCTGACTCGGCGCAGAAACCACGCCTTCACGTCTTCTGCAGACTCGTCCCCTTCTGGAGGCGGCTGTGTCTCATCCCCCTCCTCCTCGTCGCTCTCTTCCTCCTCAGGCACTCTATCCCACTCATCCGCTGCTGCACGTCGCTGTGCCCTGACATGCTCTGCGGATCGCTCTTCCTCGTATCCGCCGAGCAGCATGCCTAGCTTTCCAACGTGCGGCTTCAAGCTACTGCCCATGAAGAACTTCTCGGCCCACTCGCGCTCGTCCTCGCCTTGTTCCCGACCGGGTGGTTCCCTCCCCGGCCACAGTGTCGGCCATGTAGCCTTTGCGGACGCAAGGGACAGTTCCGAAGGATCGGAGTCCACATATTGCAGCCTTCTGTTTCGGATGGCAGGGATGAGCGAGCGCTGCTTGGGTGCAGTCGTCGCCGAGAAGTGAGAAAGCAGATGGGGAGGTAGCTCGCGGAAGTGCTTAGTCAAGAACTCGATGGGTTGTGTCTCGGGCGATGGCACATAGTCTTCAGGCAGATCGAGATATGAGAGTGCCAAGGACGCTTTGGGTGTGCTAGTGCTGGCACCGGGAGAAGACGAGGAGGCGGGGGACTGGGAGGACATGATGGCGGGAGTGAGAACGCGATCGGGCAGGGATCTCATGCGATCGCCCTTCTCGGCGAATGCTCGGCCGGCGATCGTCCGCTCTCTCCCCGCACCCACTCACTGTCGACTCTTGGTCCGAGGTCGACTCCTGGGTATCTATCACCGCTCTTGAATATTCATATCAAGTCCTCGTTGTACTCGTTGTACAGAGCAGAACAAGGCATGTCCGACGCGCAGGACACTATCCTCGAGAGCGAACCCACGGCTGCTATCCCAGCACCGCCGTTGCCTCCCGATCTGCTCTTGGTCATATTCATCCATGGGTTCGCGAGGGGATTGCTATGTTCTCAGAATCATGACGAGCTTACCATGACCTAGTTTCAAGGGAACGGACAGCACATTCGTTCAGTTCCCACAGAGGTTGCAACATATCCTCTCCGAGACTATCCCCAACACAGTTGTGGAATGTATTGTATTCCCAGCGTACGAGGTGAGCGTTGCCGTAGACTGCCTTTGACCAGTGTTGATCATTGTATCGCAGACGAAAGGAGACCTGGTAAGGGGTACAGCAGCTTGACACTCGATGTCAATAAACGCTGAGACCATGGCCGACAGAACGAAGCTATCGTCCGATTTGCCGACTGGTTGACCAACCTAACCGTACAAAGAGAGGTTGCTAATGGATCAGGGGGTGGTGCAGGTAAAGCTAGGATAGTACTTTGTGGACACAGGTGCGTATGCTCGACCCGCTTGACTATATCGCGAAGCACGACTGACACAACATCCATCGCCCAGTATGGGTGGTCTACTCGCTGCGGACGCTCTCCTTGAGTTCGTCCAAACTCGTCCAGACAGCACAGCACCACTCTGGCCAAATATCGTCGCATGCATAGCCTTCGACACACCCGTAAGCTAGCCCATCCTCCACACCTCAGTGTTAACCACCCATGCCTCGCAGTACCTCGGTCTGCACCCGTATGTCTTCAAGAACAGCGCGACTCAAGCCGCCTCCTACGTCCAGTCCGCCCGCTCAGCATTCTCCGCATTCCAATCCTTCACCTCCAAGTCCACCACGGCCACGACCACCGCCTCTGCGCCCAAGGCGGCCATCACCGCGCCACCGATGGCCGCTCAGACGTCCGCTGGTGCCTGGCAGAAATGGGCCCCTGCGGCGTACGCGGTCGGCGGCGCACTTGTTGCCGGGGCGGCAGCGGGCACTGCGTACTGGAAGCGCGATGACATCGGGGTCGGTTACAAGTGGACGGCGGACCATATGAAGTACGTGGGGACGTTGTGGGACGAGGGGAGGCTGCACAAGAGGCTGGAACGGTTGTTGGCGATCGAGAGAGACATGGGGGTACTCTTCCGAACGTGGGTACCTTGTTGCTTGGGATTGTGGAACAGCCTGCTCAACAGCCTCGCGGTGCTAGGTTATACACCTTCATTCCTGCAGATCCCCCGACTCAGCCTGAGCCACGGATGTTCATCGTGCTCCCTAAGCGCGGTACCACGCTTGCGGAGCATTTCTTGGAGGCGCCAAACACGCTCGCGCAGGACGAGGTGCAGGCCCACACGGGCATGTTCGGCAGCAAGACCAACGATGGGTACTACGAGCTCGGGCTGGTGACTGCTCAGTTTGTAAGAGACGCTGTCGCTGCCAGCAAGGAGTCTGCTGGTGATACGGGCAATGAAGGAACAACGGCAGCGACAGCGGATGAGGTTAGGATGGGGCACCCTGGCGATAGTAGTGCTCATCCACAGACGTCACCCCAGCCTGCTCATACAGAAGAGGACCTTATGTTGTGACACCCGTTCCCGGAGTAGTGCCGCTCTCGTCATGTAAATTATCCTATGTATCAGCATGTATCGTACACCCTGTCTGTACACCGCATCATCGGGCAAGCTCTTTGAGAGACAGCTTCATAGCATACGCGTCCTCCCCGTCCGCGTCTGCAACACCTGGTTAGCACCAGCCCCGGCCTTCCGAGCGATCAACACCACTCACAGTACTTCTTTTCGATCTCTTTCACGGTGAACCCGAGGGTGTCCCGGTAGAGCGAGAGCGCCGCGCGGTTCGACTTGCGGACGTGAAGCGAGACGTAGGAGGCGCGAAAGACGGTCGCCATGGCTTCTTCTGTATGTATCGCTGAGGATGAGCTCTGGCAAGGCTGAGCTGCGAAGTGAAGACGTACGTGACTGGACCATCAGCCGCTTCGCCAGCCCCAGCCGTCTGTACGACCTTAGCACAGATATCGACGTGACGTGCCCGTGCGGCTCCTCTGCTTCCGTTAGGTCCTCCTCCCTATGTTACAGCACGCAAGAATGCATGCATGTCAGCGATTCGGAACACACGCAGCTGGTGGAAGTAGACGTACATCTTGGCGAGGATGTAGCCCACTATCCGGCCCTTCTCATCCTCAGCAACGTACGACAGTTGCGGCCAGGTCAAGATATGGTACAGATCTGTGTCGCATACGAGCAGTGTGAATCGCTGAAGTAGGATAGAGACGGGGGTACGCGTACAGTACTTCATAGTGTAGTTTTCAGGCAGGTTTTGCAGGTTGCATGCCTGCATACCTGGGAGGTCGTCTACCTGGCGTGAATCAGCGCCTCAGACTATACAATGAATCCGGGCATCTTACCCGTGCTAGCCGAATGTTCATGGTTGTGTAGACGAAGGCAAAGGGATAGTAGGTTAGTAGCAGCCAGACTGAGGGCCACGACCGATCCACCTGTGGCACGGAAGCGCCCAAACAACGCCCATGCTGTAGCTGAGACTCTTGGTAGACAGACATCCTGCACACTAGGTCATCTCAAAATCTATATACATATTGCTGTAGGCGCGGGTATACATACGCAACGACGGCGAGTCCGAAGTTCACGCCGCACCCATTTGGTACTAGAAATAACCGGGACACCGAGAAGTACAACATACGAGGAAAGAGACCATGCAGTGAATGAGTACTTGAGTGCTAGACCGACGTGTGATTTAATGGAAGGGTCATATGCTCCGATACAGATGATAGCAAACCTAGTGTCCATGCGGATCCGACTCTCGACCAGTGGCAGGGCCCGCAGCGCCCTCATGCCCGCCGCTCGAGCCCCGTCCTCCGAAAAAGAACGAGCTCGCGTACTGCTCTGCTGCGCTGATCGTGTTTCTAAGACTCCGCTTCACGCTCCTCCCCCGCGAGTCTCCTTCCCTGTTCTCGAAGAACCCCGACTGTGGCCCCAACGCGGAGTGGATTGACTCCTGCAGCTCGCGCGTCGTTGGCGAGGAAGAGAGCGACCGTGTTCCGCTCTCGTGCTGCATGTCCCCCGCCCATGGTGGCGACGCCTCGCTGCGTCCGGGTGTGTGATGGTACGAGTTGGACGCGTCCACGAGGATCGATCGCGAGTCAGGAGGGTCCATGGGTACGTCGCGGTCCACGACCGGCAGTCTATACCCGTTCGACATGCTCGACCCACTTTGAATGTTTGCGAAGGCCTGTGCGACAGGCTGCATGCCATACATCGCCGCCGCGTTCATCGACGTCATGCCTGCGCGGCTTTGAGGATACGTATACGTGTTACTGGGCCCTGGGTCTGCCCCTCGCCCGTGTCCAATTTCTGCGAACACCAAGTCTGGTGTCATGACGCCGTTCCTTGCGCTTCCAGACGTCGGTCGATCTGCATACGTCCGGAAGAACGCGGTTCCAGTCGACTCGTTGGTCCCGCCACTACGATTCGACGCAACGTCGCTGGGAGCGGGAGAGGTCGACGCCTCGATGATCGGCTGCTGACCAAAGCCGCCCCTTGTTCTCCGAGATGGCCCTGCTACTTGTTGACCAGTCGTTGGATGGGGCTGAACTATGACAGCGGAGCGCGGCACAGGATAACTTCCTCGATCGCGAAGCATCTGCAACTCTCGCGAGACAGCTGCCGGATGTGGTGCGGACGTGCTCGTCGTGGGTGGCACGTAGTTCCGAAAGACGACAGGTGGCTCTGGTCTGTACCCGCCCCGCGTAACAACAATATTAGGATTGTTGAAGAACTCCGCATCGTCGTCATCGTCATCGTCCCCATCGGCATCTCCAGGCTCCGTATCATAGTGCCCGTAATCCGCATCGTAGCGGCGGTCATACCGCACGTCTTCGTCAACGCTGCTGCTGTCGTCCATGATATGTGTGAATAGCTCCATCAGAAATTGGCGTAGGTCTTGTACGCCCCTTCCTGAGTACACGCAGAACGCCGCGCGCTGACTTGTGTTGAATTCCTAGAACAAGCTGTCACGACTCACACTCGCTGACAAAAGCTAAATACTCACTTGTGGGGGTGTTCGGCAGAACTGCTGCAGCTCGGGTCGACGGAACGATGGGATACCCGTCAAGCTCAAGTGAGTTAGCTTGGGAAGCTTTTGCAACAGGAAGTGAATGGCGGGCACAGTGATTTGGTCGCAATACGATAGATGTATACGTTCAAGGGTCGCGTGGCGCTCCCCAAGAGCGTAGATGGCCTGGTCCGTCAGATTGGTGACGCGGACGAGACCAATCCGGCGCAGCTTCTGGAGGCTGCACAGCTCATACACGGACATGTCCGTGAGCTCTGTGCAGTCTAGGAAGACATCAATATGGGCGCTCGAGAAGAACCGGAATTGTAACTCACTTGCAAGGTCAATGTATCGCAGCCTCGTACAAGATCTCGCCAGACTCCTGACCGAACGGTCCGTGATGGCAGAAGCATGCCCCAAGTGCAGATAGTGCAAGTGCCTCTCCAACCTGCAAATACTCTCGACGGCAGCATCCGTCAATTGCGAGCATTTTGCGAGAACGAGGTTCCGAATCTTCGGAGCAACAGAGATGATGCCTTCGATCGCGTCGTCCGTGATTTGTGAACACGCCGTAAGGTCTAGCATCCGGAGATGCTCGAACATATGCGAGATGCGGAGAGGAGGCAGCGCTTCGGCCAGTGGCGTGTTGGACATGGGGAAGGGGTTCAATCCCGTAGAAAGCTGCGCATCGACGCGTGCTGGTGCGGGAAACGCCAGGTCAGTGAGTTCCACGCATTGGGACAGCTTCATTTCCCGCATTGTCGTGAGGTGTATCCATATCTTCCGCACAGATGCGTCCGTGATGAGTTTGCAGTTCTGGAGGTCGATCTCGAGCAACAGTGGGCAGGATTGGGCGAGTGCTGAGACCGACTCGTCCGTAATGAGCTCCACGCCATTGAGCTTGACACGCCGTAGGAGGGGGCAGTTCGCGGCGAGAGCGAGGACCGAGGTGTCCGTGAGTTTCTTGCAGCCACCGAGGTTGATGCCCTGCAACTTGGATGTGGCGGCAGCGAGGGCGACGATGGACCGGTCGGTGACATCGCTGACACTCGTCAAGTCGAGCGCGACTAGATTGTGACAGGATGGGAGGACGCGTGCGAGGCCGTCATCCGTAATCGAAGTGCAGTTGATTAGGGTCAATCGTTCCAGCCTCACGCAGTTCGCGAGGCGAGACAATAATGAGTCCGTCATTTCGCTACCCAGGTAGAGGAAGTTGAGACGACGGATGAAGCGGGCGTACTCGAACGTCTGGTCCTGCCGGGATAGAACTCTCATCATCTTCACCAATGTGGAGAGCCTTGTGAAGTTGGGCCGATACCAGAGGAGCTCGACTGAACATTCGCACCAAGCGCGGGAGACGAGGAGAGCATGATACAGGTCTTTGGATGAATGAATGTGCTTCAGAATATGGATCAGAATTTCTGGAGGTAGTCGCGACGCAGGTGACGAGGAAGGAGTGTCCGAAACGGATGGGAGAGGGAACGGCTGGAGTCGAGATGACCATTGAGCGGGCGTGATGGTCAAGGCATCGGGAGGCGCGAAGTAGGTCGACTTGTTGAAGCTTTCCTCGTCGTCGTCGGAGGCGGAGGTTGTCGACTGCGCAGGCGAGTGGCTTCTGTACATGGTGGTACGCAGGACGAGCTCGACGTTCGCGACAATGGATAGTGAGGCACGTGTAGTTGGCAACTCGCGGAGGCGTACCGGGGGCGGCGTCTGCTGACTCAGCAACTGTGATAGCGATCTTGGGGAAGGCGGGGCCAGTGCTGCTGCCTGCTCAAGCGTGCTGGGAAAAGTCTGCAACCAGCCCCAACTCATCCTTATGGCTCCCTCGCCCGTCAAATTCAGAACGCCAGAATCCCTCGACCACGAGAACTGGAGACTGCCTAGCCCCGCGCTGCGTAGTCACCCAATTCCCCATGAGGACAATGTATACTGCAACGACGTTGTCTTCCCTCAGGCCACTGCGGCCGCAGTGGCGCCATTCGAACAGCGACTCGCATCCACACAAATGCCACCTCCAGGCCCATCCTACTTCCAAGCACGAAGAGCGATATGGTGGGAACCTGTAGCGAATACGCCACCATCAGAAGAAGTGTCTATGACCCATCGCAGACTGGAGGATCTACTCAGCAAGGAAGATGCAACGGAGAGCGACGAGGCATGGAGAGCAGGGTTGGGGAAGGTATACCGGGCTCTTGTCAGCGGAGCGCGATTGAAGAAGCGCATGCCACTCAACATGGTGGTTCGTGTCCTCATGCCTTGCATCATGAGCTGCCCATTTGCACACCCCTATTCACGTCGTCCCTCAGATTCAGATCATCATGTCAGGGTGGATCCGCGACGGAACATGGCCACGAGGGGCCAGTGCCCCAGAGCCAGATGACGAACTCTCACCGCCACCTGAAGATACGGGATACATGGCACCATCGCACACGACCACCCCGGACGCCATGTCGACAGCAAAATTTCCGTGAAAGCTGCAAGATATCGATTCCTCTCGTAATCTTTGGGCTAGACGACTGGACATCTGTCAGCTACACTCTAGTCAGTACGATGAAATCCCTGTTGTTCGACGGCCAGGTGCTTATAGGTATGGCGACGCACCTAGGTAGGCACGCATGCACAGGATAATCCCGAGATACCCCATACCTACACAGCAGAAGCTCATGATCGTATTGATATGAAGTACAACAGGATTGCGTGTAACGATAGTAGCAGCCGAAAAGTATATTGGCGTAGCTTTTGTCAAGTCCGCGACGGCGGAGAAACCTGTGTAGTGCATGAGGATGGAAAGCCTTGCCGGAAGGTATGCGAGACGCACCAGGATGACACCGTCTCCTCTCACGAATAGCATATCCACCTTGCGTTTTGCAACCTAGCGGTCGCTTTACGTCTAACTCGCTGAGAGCAATATCAATAGCGAGACCTACATTCACAGTTGCCTGTCCTTCTGGCACGCCATCCGCGTGTTCTACAATCACGATCGTCTCTTCTACGTCGCTCAGAATCAAATTCATATGTCCATCGTAGGCCTGCAAGCATCCAGCGTGAACGAGAGATGATCTCATTCAACAGAGAGAAGAAACGTACGTGCAGAACTCCCGTAAGCTCACGGTCTCCTCTAAGCTTCACAAAGACACGCTCGCTGAGCGATAGCCTGATGAGATCGAATGGCTCCTGGATGCCAGAGGAAGCGGGATCCATGTCTGCGCGGCGCGCAGGGCGCGCACGGTCGTTGGAACGAGACACGGTATCACGTGGTGCTTCATTGAGACTCCGCTGCGAGCGCCGTAGATTCGTCGGGCGTCCCACACACTTTGCTTGACCGCGACGCTCACGTCTTGAAGATAGGAAATGCCGGTACGTACTTCACGGATTGCGTATCCTGACCATGCTGATGCCCTTGTTCAGAAACACTACTGTGACTACTGTGATGTCTTCTTGACCCATGACTCGGCCTCTGGTGAGTACTCATACCTTCCTTCTCTAACGTTGCTATTTGCTCACTGCTACGCAGTGCGCAAAGCGCACAATAGTGGTCGGAACCATCTCGCAAATGTTAGGGACTACTATGCATGTGAGCACAATCCATGTCCTGTGTACGACTTAGCCACTGACATCATGACGCAGCACTCGGCCATGACAAGGCGCAGAGCATCATCGACCAGATCACTGCATCGTACGAATCCAGTGGCGGACCTCCTCCCGGTGGGTTCGGCTTCGGTCCCCAGCATCTAGCACCCCCCGGGCCCTTTGGTGGGCCTCCGATGGGATTCGGAGGCCCTGGATTCGGAGGTCCCCCTGGCAGTGAGTCTCCTGCCGACTTACTTTCACCGGCTCATACTCACGCACATATTTAGTGCGCCCTCCCTTCCCGCCACCTGGTATGATGGGTCCTCCAGGTGCGCCCCCTTTCCCGCCGAATGGTCAGATGCCTCCTCCTGGTATGGGTCCTCCAGGTATGCCGCCTCCAGGTATGGGTGCTTCTGGTGCGTTGCATCGTGCCATCCTGAATGCTCACTCATTTTGACCCTCAATAGGTATGCCACCGTTCCCGCCAAATGGTGCGGGTGGCGCCCCGCCATTCCCTCCTAACGGGCCGCCCGGTCAATTCAACAACTCACCAAACGGACCGCCTAATGGTGCGCCTCCTTTACAAGGCCCACAGAATGGTGGTCTGCCCCCCGGCGCCATTCATCCTGACAGGCTGAGGATGATGGGACAGTGAGACGCCCAAGCACTTCTGTCTATGTTGCATGTACATACTTCCCATAACGCTTCGGTATGTTTCGCTAGGTCGTTGTCTTTGTTATGTGAACACGCTGCTCGTTACTCCATGACATGTATTCTCCAATACAAAGACTGGATGGTTCAATGGGTTTGATTGATGTCCGGTGGACAGTCATTCAACGATAGAGGTGCTCGCGAGTGTCTGTACAAAACCCGCAAACCTCGTACCTACCTAGGCTACTTAACGACAAGTCTTGGTGCTCTCCGGTATTACAGGGTGTCACTCACTGTCACCAATTCGCCGCTATCATCCGACCGACAGAACACCACCGCGGAAGCCATCACTTCAACGCGCATCCCCGCTGCGATCGTTTGTGTCAGTCGCTCCTGGAGAGGCTGTATGACGTTGAGTCCAACTTCATCTATATGCACACCGTTGAAGATTTCGAAGGTGATGGTCAATGAGGGACATCTCATGTGGAGAGCCGCAAGAGTTTGGTCCAGATGTGGCCAGTCAACGTGGGCCCAGTCCTCGGGACAATCCTGCACCTCGAAAAGCATGTGGACATTGCGTAGGTGGCCCGACGTGAGTTCTGCGTAAAAGACGTGCAACGCGCCGAAATACATATCGTCGGCAGCGAAGCCGAAGTCGAAGCGCAAAGTCGTGAGCCGTTGATGTCGGGAAAGGTCGAGGTCTCCCAGCCATTCTAACCTCCCGGGATGCAGGTCAGTAACGTCGGCCAACATGAACGTGAGGCTGACTCACCGGCATCAGGGAGTACTACACTGAGGGACTCTAAGGTAGTCTCCGACTTCCGCAGCACCTCCTTCAGTAGGTGAGTATCACTGACCAAACGCCTTTCAAGTGACTTCGACATCCATATCACTTCATGGAAGCTCCCTTCGAACGGAGGTGAGAGTAAAGATTCCAAGATCCTCGCAAGCGCAGCCGGCGAGCTCGCTAAAAAAAATCAGCCCTCAATGTCCGGATGTGTTGGCCGAGTGCACCAGCGCGCTGCGAGTTCACCGAGGTGCTGCGATTGTCTGGCAACGAGTCTCTGAATTTGAAGAGGACTGAGAGATCCAGCCAGGAGAGTCGAGGGAAGATGGATATGAGAAGGGTGAGTTCGTCTGGCGAATGTAACTCCAAGGACTCGATGAACAGCTTCTTGAGCGTCGGGCACGGGAAGAACGCAGCCATCGCCTCCCGCAAGCTTTCATCACCTGCCTCCGCGCGTAACAGGTGAATGAAGCCTTCCCAGTCGAAGCCATTCACCCGTAGACAGGTGAGGTTACGCAGGTCACGTAGTATCCTGCACAACAGCTCGAAACGCCAGCGGTTTCGGCGAAGTCGCCTCCGGCTCATGAGACTCATATCGGGGAGCTTGAATTCGCGAACGTAGTCGGCAATCCTTGTGTGAGTCTGCGCGGAGGATTCTAGGGCATCGAGGAAACGAAGGCAGTCCGACACCCGTACGAGGACGACGCATCTGGTAGCGGGAAGCCAACCTTGGCATGTAAGGCTGCAGGCCCTGAGTGCATGGATGTCGTTGTGGAGATGGTCGATTATATGTTCATGTAGCTCGAGCGGTTGCGAGTGCGGTGACATGGGACAAGTAGCATAGGCGCGCACATGCAGCGAGGCACGTCCGGACCCCGGTCCCGGTTCTAGCTTTGCCATAGTTTGTGGCTGAGTGCGAGCAGCCTGCAGCCAACTTCGAGCCAGTCTCCTGCCGCTGCAGAAGGCCTTCCCACCTAAGGCCGCAAGAATATCGAACAGTGATGAATCTGCAGCAGGTGAGGTATTGTCTATCGATGCTGCACAGACTGACTCAGGCCAGCTGTCCGCTGCCTAGCTGCATACGCACGACTCCGAATGAGAGGCCTGCTAAGTCGACTCAGCGTTAGAAAGCGCTGGCCATTACTTTCATCGACGACAAAGATGGCGTTCTCTACCGAGGTCGTGCGTTGCGACCCGGCTTGCATCTCCTTCGATGCTGCAGGAAAGCCGGTGGTATCATCCCAGAAGACCTCGGAAGCGCTCTTCCGCGCAGCCAGGCTGCTCAATGACAAGCAGACAGTAGCCTTTCCGACCGAGACGGTGTATGGATTGGGCGCGGATGCATTGGATGCTGCGGCGTCCTCAAAAATCTATGCAGCCAAGGGACGTCCTCCAGACAACCCGCTGATCGTCCATGTCTCGTCACGCGAGATGCTGCAGAGGCTCCTTCCCGTGTCATACGCTATCCCTCCCATCTATGAAATCCTCATCCGACATTTCTGGCCCGGACCCCTCACCCTCTTGTTTCCGACCAACCCTGACGTGATTCCTTCCCTCATCACCGCCAACCAACCCACCGTCGCGATCCGGATGCCGTCCCATCCTGTAGCACGAGCTCTCATCGCTCTTGCGGACACCGCCGTCGCAGCACCGAGTGCGAACTCCTCTGGACGGCCAAGTCCAACTCGCGCCGAGCACGTCTTCAAGGATCTGAACGGCAAAATTGCACTTATCCTCGACGGGGGTGCCTGTGATGTTGGCTTGGAGAGTACCGTAGTGGATGGTCTCCATGAAGACGGGAACATCCGAGTACTGCGTCCAGGAGGAGTGACTGTGGAGGGTATTGAGGAAGCACTCCGCGCGGAGTTGGTGGATAGCGCGGCTATCCCGAGGGTCCTCGTCCACCGGCGTGACTTCCGTGATGAGGTGATGGAGCAGGCCCCGACTACGCCTGGGATGAAGTATCGACACTATTCCCCAACTGTGCCCGTCGTCCTGCTGAAGACCTCGCTTCCGCCATCCACGATACAACCCCGAACAGTACAAGCCTTCTTGGACTCGATAGTCAAGGAACGATCTTCTGGCAAGCGGCTGAGTATAGGCCTCATGGCCCCGTCGGATTCGCCGCTGCTTACGAAGATGACTGCATATGACGGCGTGCAATGGGTTCCACATCTACTAGGACGACTATCGGAGCCAGGGATTTCAGCACAACGGCTGTTCGATGGATTACTGACTCTGGACAATGCCGGGGTTGATCTCATAGTTGTAGAGGGTCTCAAGGAGGAAAAGGAAGGATTGGCGTTTATGAACCGAGTCAACAAGGCTGCGGGAGAGACGGTGTGGATAGAAGATGTCTAGGCGTAGGCCAGCACACTAGGTATGTCCGCTGACTCCAACGAAGTACACATTGCTCACGCATGATCGCCGTGCAGATAGATACGACTTACAGTAACGCCAACGTAGACATGTAATGCAAAGCCAATTGTCACCGCTTTCATCGCTGGAACAGTGGTCGTTGCTGGTTTTCCCTCCCAATGTTGTGATCTGCGTCTGCGAAGAACGCCACCATCGAATAGGTGAGCCCCAAGAGCCTGAGCTTTAGTCTGCCACATCCTCGAGTCAACATACCGAAACTTATCCGCCGGTATACTACGAAGTACTACGTTTTGATCACTGCGCCACCCTCTGCTCATTATCATGGTAGGCACTCGCGTCGCTGCCACGGCCTCACTGCGTCAGGGGTCGGCATAGCTGGTATGTGGCTACTCTTAGTGCGGATAGGCTGAGTGGCGTTACCAGGCACAAGACTGAATAGCAACACCCTGTGCCCCGGAGCTTGACACCGCCCTATAATCGACCTACCAAATCAATCGACCTACCAAATCAATCGACCTACCAAATCAATCGACCTACCAAATCAAGCGGACATGCGTTCTCGAAAACGTGGTCGCGGCCCTGACACGCAAATATCCGGGCCACCTACATGCACCCACCAATGAGGTGCTGTAGTTGGGTTTTCGCCCTAGAAGCTGATCTGGAATCTGTGGCCGTGCCACGCTTTGACCCTCGCCCAAAAAGACAGCTGCAGTTGTGGCGCGGAAGTATAAAAGGGCTCTCTTCAGTCGCCGTCAAAGCATCGAACGCCTGCGCCTTTCGTCCTCTAAAGACACCACCATGTCCCATCCGTCCTCTTTGTCTCCATTCACGTCCAAGCTCATCATGGACCCAGATAGTACGTCACTTCTGTTCAATTTCTGTACTGCTTACCGTCTAACCTCCGTCTTTCAAAGGCGCGACCGTGTTCTACCCCACTCCAGCACCGACGCCATCGACATATTACCCCCAAGCCGCCTCCGCAAGCTCCTCATCGCGCTCATCACCCGCGTACATCACTTTCTCAGTCGCACCCGCCCCATCGACCCCCGACATCGAGCCCGTGGCGTCCCCCAACGCCTCGTCCGACCTGCCGCCTGTCTCCCTATCGTCGGTCGCTCAAGAAGCTTTGACTAGGTTCAACATGAGCGTAGAGCTGTGGGAGGCAATTCTCAGGGATGCCGAAGCACATGCTCGCTATCTCTTGCGCGCGCCCGCCGCGACGCTTCCAAGCCCGCCATCGACGCCTGCGCCACAAGCGAAGGCCAAGGCCAAGCATATCCGTAGGCCGGTCAACCGCTGGTTAATCTTCAGGCGCTGCGTCAACTTATCCAAGCACCTCCCCGACCTGCTCAGGAGCGAACAGAGTCATCTTAGCGAAGTCTTCGGGCCCTGCTGGAAATCGCTCCCAAAAGCGCGCCAGCATGTGTTCAAGGAGTGTGCCAACAAGGAGGCCGAGGCGCATCGGAAGATGTACCCCGGGTATACATACCAGCCCACTCGGAAGGCCGAGAAGAAAAGCAAGTCCTGCGGGGACGTCAGCGACGAGAGGGGAGCCAAGGAGTCCGCGCGGGAACGTTACTCCCAGACCGTCGCCGCTGCAGGTTCGTCCTCGTCGAAGAGGAAGGGCAAAGCGAGGGCAACGGCGAGCGAGCGCGGGGTGGCGACGAGCCACGCACAGCATCCTGCCGTAGACCTGCTTCTCGTGCCACCGCCACAGCAGCTGCCCATCCACGCCCCCACGGCAGTGCCACCCACCCTACCTTCGATCAGGTTCCCGACTCCGCAGCCAGTCTATTATCCTGCTGCTTCCACAAGCTGGGCGTACAGCCCCTCAACAATGCCGTCGTGGCAGTTCTCGGAACCGATCCCCACTGTGCCGATAGCGCAGCAGAACTACTGGTACTCTACGCCAGTGTCTCTGCCAGTGCCCTCGGCGCCGATACCAGAACCGGCCCCTGCATCGCTACCGCAAATGTCGATGGAGGACTACTCCAACATGTACTACCCCACATTTAACTCCTTCGACTGGAATTCTTTCGATTCTTTCCAAGCGTAGGCTCGTCAACCATCTAATGTGGCGTGATACCCCCCCAGGCCTCAGGGATGATCCTTGGGTACTGAGTTGTGGCGCATGGATACTATGTTATTCCTATTTCATCAGCTTCGAGTCTACTTACGCATGATACCCGATGATACCCAATGCAATATATCTCCTTTCGTGTCTTCTGTGAGCCTAGTGCGTGAGTCATGGGGAAGCCCGAGGATGCGAGGCGAATGGACGCGCCACCAGTGGATGGTTGTGTTCAAGAAAGACAGGCGCCCACTCAAGCGTCGCGAGCAGCTTTGATCCGCGAAACTCGGGAGGCGACAAGGGGCGATCGAGCGGACCGGAGATTGCCGGCCCACCTTGCGCTTTTCCTCCACTGCACGTCCGATCTGTAGTGCGTTCTCAGTAACACCAGGCTGCCTGCAAGTATGCGCGGAACCAAGCGACACGCACTCACCACAGACGAGCTCATGCGAATGCAGGAGCAGCCCGCCAGGAAGAAGTTCAAGCCATATCCTGCAATCCCTGACGACTCAGATGCGGAAAGCCTCGCCGACGGACGCGGCTCGGCTTCACATTCGCGCTCGGGCGGAAGTTCTGAGTCGGAAGGCAGCGATGGTGATGAGGAGAACGATGGGGAGGCCGATGAAGGGAGCGGAGAAGATAGCGAAGACGCGGAAAGCTCACAAGGAAAGGTGCCACATACATCACAAGCGAATTGGGACGACGCGGACAGCCGCTTCGGCTCTTCCAGAGTCTCCATCACCGCACGCGCCTCAAACCCTGTACAACCCGAAATGCCAAAGCCTGCACGAACCCGTCCGACGAGTTTCGAGTCCTTGGGAATTCCATCGGCGCTCCTCAGTGCTCTCGCAAAGATGTCTATCAGGGCCCCCACGGAGATTCAGGCGGCTTGTATACCACCGCTACTAGCAGGCGAGTCGCCCGTCACTCCACTCTCTGTGGTCCGTGTACTGACTTATGTAACCCCAAGGCAGAGACTGCATAGGCAATGCGAAGACCGGTTCCGGTAAAACAATCGCGTTTGCCCTGCCTATCCTACAGAAGCTCGCCGTTGACCCATATGGTATCTTTGCCCTTGTTCTGACACCTACACGGTACGTTCGCACACACTCCGCATATGCATGGCTAAGTTGTGCCGTAGAGAATTGGCGTTCCAGATTTCGGAACAGTTTGCTGTCCTCGGCTCAGCACTGAGCCTCCGCACCGCCGTAGTAGTCGGTGGCATGGATATGATGGCTCAAGCAATTGAGTTGGGTCATAGGCCACATGTAGTCGTAGCCACTCCTGGTAGAATCGTCGACTTGTTGAAGAGTTGCAGTGGAGAGTGGGACCTGTCGAGAATCAAGTTCTTGGTGAGTTGAGCGCACTCGCGGTAGTCAGTAATCTGACTCACTGGACGCAGGTTCTGGATGAAGCTGACCGTCTGCTCACTCCAACATTCGCCCCGGAATTGTCATATCTCTTCGAGACGCTTCCCAGAGAGCGACAGACATGCCTCTTCACGGCTACCTTGACGCCAGCCGTTGAGACGTTGACAAACGCTCCGCCACGCCCTGGGAAGCAAAAGCCGTTTATTCACCGAATGACAGAATCGTAAGTCGTACAGTCGATACACGTCCCTACGCCGTCACTCACTACGTTCACAACAAGCGTGGAAACCGTCGAGACCCTCCAGCAACACTACATTCTCGTCCCGTCTCAAGTACGCGAATCCTACCTCTTCTACTTGCTCTGCAACCCCCCAGAGTCGACCATCCACCTCCGCCGCGCCCCTCCCGAATCCGTCAAGCCCTCCAAGAACCGTAAATCCACCTTGCATCCCAAGTGGAAAGCGAAGAAGAACAAGCCCACCTCGTCTGACCCGGAGGAGATCGAGCAGCCTCCGCCGACGATCATCTTCTGCCGGCGCCCGCGCACCGCCGCCTACCTCACCTCGCTCCTCCAGACCCTGCACATCCGCGCGACCGCACTGCACTCGCGCCTCACCCAACGCGAGCGGCTCAACTCGCTCTCGCTCTTCCGCGCGAGCGTCGTGCCCGTGCTCGTGTCGACGGACGTCGGCGCGCGTGGCCTCGATATCGAGGACGTCGCGCTCGTCGTGAACTGGGACATGCCGGACGAGCCGGAGGAGTACACGCACCGCGTGGGCCGGACGGCGCGGAAGGGCAAGGGCGGTGTCGCGGTGAGCTTCGTGACGGAGCGCGACGAGGAGCGGGTGGTGAAGGTCGAGGAGCGCATCCGGACGAAGCTGACGGAGATGGCGCTGCCGGAGGGGAAGGTCCTCGATAATCTGAACGCGGTGTCGACGGCGAAGCGGCTCGCGAACATGGTGAGGACGTTGCGTGTGCTCCTGTTTGGAACGATCAACTCACGTACGAGCGCGGCCACTCAGGAACTGCACGATTCCGACTTTGGGAAGCGCGAGGAGATCCATAAGATCAAGCGCGCGAAGAGGCGAGCGGATGTCGAGGCCTCACGCGCCGAGTGACGGGCACGCGCGTGGGCGATATGGCAGTTCCTGTCCTAGAGCTGCATGCATGCTGCCATACTGGGTGCTGTCAACCCCGCCAAGTCGTCGATCTCACGTCCCTAGCATGTCCCGATACAGTATATTATGTGTACGTATTATCTGAACATGTCCATGGAGCCAGTCTCCTCCCCACCCACTCAGGCGAGGTAGGGGGCCCCGTGTCGATAGTTTCTGCAATGTTACTGTACGTATCGCCCGTCAGCCACAATCCCGCCACCTACATTTGATTGCCGCCCGCAATGCGCCCCCTCATCTGCGCCCATTGCAAACTCCACAATCGTAATCCCCTCCGGTTGCAGAGATGTGAGGGGAGTAAGGACATCATGATCATAATGAAAAATGAGAAGCGAAAAAGATGACCACCGCAGGGGTCGAACCTGCAATCTCCTGATTACCTAATCGTAGTCAGACGCGATGCCATTTCGCCAGGCGGCCATGTCAATCATACAAAATGTTGATATATTATCCGCTCACAACCCATATGCGAACGTTATTGCCTCGCACCTCCCCCTCTCCTCGTAATCTCCCGACCAGAGAATGAGACCGTCCTTCGAGTTTCAACAGCTGAAAAATCACCAGTGTCTCGCTGGACTGAACGACACTTCGACACTTCGCACTGTACTGTCCATCGACACGGGGCCCCCTAAGTTATCACCTCCCTCAGCGGTTGGGTAAGAGACTGCCATGGAGCCAAATCCACGTCGAGCCACAATAGTTGTCTCGGAATGACGTCAACGCATACAGCCAAGTACACTAGCGCGGGGAGCGTGTATGTAGGCCCAGCGCGGGCAGTACGAGTGCGTAGTATACGATTATCCTGGACCGTAACCATAACCTCTGAGAAGAATGCATGCCACGGCCGGCCAGACGAGCTGAACCGGACGCATCGCACGAAAACCAACACAGAGCATAAAAGACTGTCTATTTACTAGAAAAGAGTCCAAAGGCGGGAACTACTGTACAGACAAGGTTTATGGAGAACGGCCAAACACGACGCGAGCGAAGCGCGGATGATGTACACACAACCTAGTTTCCAGTGCAGACGGGAACTTGCGAACAGAGAGTCGATGATGCGGTGACTAGTGGTACATTGGAGCTGATGGTCGTTGCGAGTCCGATTGAAGGCCGGGAGAGGGGGACGAAGGGTAGACGAGGGAATGGGGAATGGGGGACGGGGGACGGGGGACGGGGGGACGGGACGGGGATGCGTGTATGGCCCCGTCTCCCCGCTGCAAGTCTCCTCCGCTTGCGTGGGGTGCGTTTTGTGGTTATTTGCAGAGTATCGGGCAAGTCGTTATTCGTGTGCGGTTGCTTTAGAAAGTAATAAGTTAAGCTCTATGGTGGGGCCTATCGGCTCCAATTTGGCACGGACGCAGACACGCCCACCAGGCCCCAGGAGGCTGGCAGGCGATCGAACAGCGACCGAAAAGGGCGGCTCGGTGGCAGCACGCGGGGGCAATTGCAGGCCGCCTCGTTGTGCGCGCACATGACGTCACTATATCGTCCTCTGTGCGTAGTACGCGAGTCAGTACGCGCATCATGAATACGCCGTCCCCGCATAAAAGGGCGCGGCGCACGCAGGGGCGCAAACGCACCTTCACGATCGACCACTGCACGACAAGCTGCTTGATGCGCTCCGCCAAGTTCTTCTTGCACACCTCGCACGAGAGATGCTCTCCCAGCGGGCACAACGCCGACTCCATTGTGCTCGTCGACAAATCTGCGGTGGAGATGTAAGTGCCCATCTATAATACGCGTGAAGAGCCTGATATGAACGTACCCGGTCGAGCATCCCATGCCAGATAGGCCGAGGCCAACGCCCATGCGCGCGTCAGTTTCTTCTGCTCCGTGAAGTCGCAGCCCGCCGTCGGCGCATGCGGGTGCGGAGGCGGCAGCAAGAGACGCTTGAGCGCGTCAATGCGCCCCAGGTGCAAGAAGAAGAACCGCCTTAGGTACAGCGGGCCCATCCGCGCGGCGTGCTCATCCGATAGGTTCGCCAACTGGAAGCCCAGCAAGTGCGCAGAAGCTGGCACAGCCAGTTCGAACAGATCGTAATGCCCCGCGAGCGCGTAGACGTCGATCGGCGCGATCGGTGCGTACGCGAGGATCAGCGCATATAGCGGCGTGGTCGGCGCACAATGACGCGCCACGGGTATACCGTACTGGGCAAGCCCGTCCACCGCAGCGGAGAGCGTGTCGAGCGAGGGGGAGTAGTGCGCGCACGAAAGGCTGTAGATGCAGTGGAGCATGATGTTGAGGATGGTCGCGTGCTCGGGGAGAGGGATGATCGGCCCGAGGTCCTCAGAAAGACCGAGGACCTTGAGTGCGGGGTGCGGTCCCTTCGTCGGCTTCATGGGCAGGAGCCCGCGGAAGCCATTCTCAGAGGCGCTGAGGACCTGGTGTGAGTGGACGTAAAAGAATACGGCGTCCGAGGAAAGGAGGATGAGGTCGGGTGGAAGAGGGTTAAGGTTGGCGGCGGGGAAGAATGTCGTCGAGACGGAGACAACGGCATTTATCTCCGCGTTGACCTCACCAGGCGAGCCCTGATTCGAGGCCTGGCACGCATAGCAGCGCGGATTGCGTAAGATTCGGGATGAAGTGGAGCCATCGCGGAGAGACGAGGGGTTGTTAGTCGGTTGGAGAGATGGACTGTGGTGATGCTTACCGGCGGGGTAGGCACCTGAGAAGGGGGGTGGGAGGCGTTAACGGAAGCCATTTCCGAGATGGGCTTCTCAGGAACAGACGCGGAGGCGTCAAGAGGGTCGGCGACAAACTGGAAGACTTGATCCCATTCCTGAGTCTCCATCGTGGCAAGTGGGCAGTGGGGTATGGATGAGAAGTGTACGAGGGGGGCTCTGGCTACGTTGAAGACGCGTCGCCGATGCTGATATGCAGCGGGCCAAAGCTGTGGCAGCACCAGGGGCGGCGGGCCTTGGGCAGGCTAGGCCGATTACCAGGTGGCGGTCAGATATGAGGCTGTAAGGCGGGGCGTCAGCGCGAGGACGATTGCAGGGATAACGAAGGCGATGGGCGGAGGTGCGACTGTGGTGGTTGGGTACGAGGGGCAACGGAGAGGCGTTCGCGCGGAAAAGGACTCACAACGGACAAGGCAGGCGAGGGCAGCTGGCAGCGAAGGGGAGGGTGTATGCGTGTGTATTGGGTCCGAGCGGTGTATAAGGGCGGCGGGTCTGGGCGAGCATCCTGATTCCTTCCACGCGCACCGTCCGATTGGCACACCCGGCAGGTTGGTGACGGCTGGTGCCACTGCTGCCCGTCCCGTGCTTCGCCGCTCCCTCCCTGCATCCCCCCGCGCGTCCGGCCTTGACGCGTCGCTGCCCCGCGGTGGCCCCGCGCCCCTCGCAGCCCGACGCGTGCGCCCAAGTCGCTGAGGGACGCAGCCACGGGTGGGGGGCAGAGTCGCCGAGCAGTTGCCGCGGTGGTGCGTCGAGTGATGCTGCCAGACATGACGTCGCCCGACAGCCTTGCATCTCGGACCCTTTAGCAGCAGCCACGGCCCAGGCCCTCGCCAACGCTCAGCCACCGCCGCCGTCCTGCCGTCTCTCAGCCTCAAGTTTCAACTCCTCTCCGCCTGCTTGCGGCCGTCGGGATACATCGTTCATCAACAACAAAAATACATCGAGGGGTATCAGCATTCCCGCATCCACGCCACCGTCGCTCACATAGTACACCTGCGCTGTAAATCCGACGGCGGACCCGTGCCTCCGTCTCACCTCCATCCGGCTACTGCCTCCGACTGACTGCACACGCCGACCAACGTGCACTCCCGCGCACAGCCCGCCGGCTATCTCGTCTTGTCTTCAGCGAGGATCGCGTCATTCAGCTCGTCTAGCGGAGCAAGCTCCTTCTTATCCACCAGGTCAAACTACGGAGGATTTTGGGCCAGCGCACCCAATAGTGTCAGGGTACCAATCTGTCGGATCCGACACATGCACGCACCTCGTGTACAAACAGGAAGAAGTGGCGGTAGCTGGTATTCAAATGCGCTGTGGTTCATCATGTACGTCAGTGTCCATAGGCGACCAGAATTGAGTTGGATCGCGTGCGTCGACCATCCAGAGCAGGTGCCCCGACGACGCGCGCGGGCCTGCTATCCCACGAAAGGCAGACCTTGATCACGCAAGGAAGACCCGCAGGCGGATCAATCTGGATAGATAGACTAATCCGCTCACCTTCGATACCGAGCGCGCATATGTGGTCGAAATGGTTGCTGTAGAGGTGTGCATACACCCTGAACATTCGCCGGAATATGGTCCGGATCGTGTCACGGAAGTTCTTGGGGAACGGTACACCTACGACGCGTTCGAGGTCAACCGGAGGGGCCGTTTTGGAATGTCTCTGGCGTACGCACCGATCCTGTTCGGGAAGACGTCCTCGTTGTCCAGGAGACCCTGCGCCCAGTTCATCAGTGCATCGACGTATTCCGGCGCAGGCAGCTTCGTTGGCCGCTTGTATCGCACGCCGTCTTCCCAGAGGTACTCGTATCTGCGAGCGACACAGCAGAGAGCGCGTCAGCAGGATTCCGTCAAGCGCCATATGAGAGGGGAGGGGTGACGCAGCTAGATGAGAACAGACCTTGGGCCGGCAGACATGATCGGGCACTAAACGCGATACGGCACGCGCCGCAGGTCGTTAGTACGCCGAGCAAATTGAGCGGCCGCATGAGGGGGCAGACGGAGAGGGGGTGGGTGCACTATCATTAGGGATGGAGCGTAGTAGTGGATGCAGCATATTGCGCACCTCCTGTGGCGTGCAGAATTCCGTCACGGTCCCGTAGAGCATGTTCAGGTGGTTGAAGAAGTCGACCGCTGCACCACCCGCACCCGCATCAGCCGCGGCTCACAGCGCACCGGCCGGCAGGGAACACGCACCGTGCACCGCGAGCCACTCGTTCAGGTCCTCGCCCTCCGGGAGCTGCACCGCGAGGCGGAGGTTGCCTGAGCCCTGTGGCACAAAGCACATCCGGCATTAGCGCGCGCGCCTGGGTAGCTTGGACTGGGGGCGGAGGAGGAGGAGGAGGACGTACGAGGGTCGCCTCGGCGTACTTGCGCAGTTGGTACTGCTTGGTGCCCTCCGGGACGTCCTTGCGCGGCTTGAACGTGCGCGTCTTGCCGCTGCCCAATGGGGCGCCGTCGCTCAGTGGTCATCGATCGCGCGGTGAAGACACTTACAGGCCGAAGAAGGAGGACATCGTGTGCGATTCTAGGTGTGAGTTCTAGCCAGGAGGGTGGGCAGGCGCGAGGTGCAGGGCCGGTGGGGGGCGATGTCGCTGAAGCGAGCAGTGAGACGGGACTCGGACAGTGTGCTTAGACGCCCAGCGTTGGGGAGCGCGTAACTTACGAATCATCGGCCACGTGACTTGCACAGATCGCTATCTAGAGTTCGAATCGAACTCGAGGCTGTTGACGTCGAGGGTGGGCAGGTCTTCGGAAATGGGTTCGTGTTCCTGCACTGTGCTAATCTACAGAACGGAGCCCGCGAGCTTGAATGCCGGTATCAATCGCGGCTCCATTCCTGACGACCCTGCATCAGTACTATCGGACGAAGTAGATGTGAGGGAACTTTGTCCTTCATAGAGTATCGCTGAGTGCTGCGTTGTCTGAGACATAACCTAGTCCGAAACACCGCGAACCCCCAGCTTCGAATTCTTCCAGCTCCGAGCGCCATGACGTTCCTGCATTAACGTACGTGAAGTCGCCGCATAGAAGCCGACTTGCGCGCGGCATTTCAAAGTAGTGGGCGCGCATCGATGTCGATGTCGAAGTACGCCACCGTCACGGTGGTTCGCACACGCATTTTCAGCGTTGCAGAAGACCTACGCTTGATACACGTGAAGATAGGATAACTCGATGTAATGCATAGATATTAAGTTATAGCCTACAGCCCACTACAGCTCTATTCAGACAAAGCAGACTGGCACCGACATATATGTACCGTGCAGAAGGAAGAGAGTATCTGATCACACGTGAACAGAGCGGGACGCGATGCACAGGAAGACAGACCGTCGAGGATACATTTGCGGTGCTTACGGGATATAGTTCATCTATGATGATCACGCTCCACGAATGAGGTACACACGTCGTGAACGATCGGACTGTATAACCCTGGCGTCGCAGGCGGGAGATCTAGCGAATCCGACCAAACCGGAAAACCAGCAATTGGCACCGAGGCCGTAGAAGTAGTACCATGAACTTGAACGTGTGTTGGAGAAACAGTGATGCAGCTCGAAGAGGGAGGGCGATAGAGGTACAACATAGGAGTCAATCTGAGGCTGAGCGTAAGGGGCGAAAACAACGCACAAGAAAGGGTCCACTCACAAGTTAGGTACTATTCGCTTGCCTGTGTATAGAATGCTTCATGGCCCTGTCCGATCCGGCCTAATCCTCGTCGGCCCGGGAGTGGAAGTTGTCGACGTGACGTCTGAGCGCGTCGGGCCTGCAGATGACCTTCGGGCAGTACGGACACTGCTCCGCCGTGCTGCCGTAATGCACGGCCGCGATGTGCTTCCCCCAGTTGTTCTTGTCGAGGTCCCTACCGCACATTGTCCCCGAGTCATAGACCCAGGTGCACTGCACCCGTCCATGCTGCAACTCTGCCGCGTGGAAGTCGCGAAGGTGGCGCCTCTGACCTCCCACTGTGAGGTCGTCTAACCGGATTGAACAGCCCTCGAGTCCACATATAGGGTCTTCGATCGCGCGGTCTAGTTGTAGGTCAGCCGGTACAAGTTGTGCTGGGGCATTTTGAGGCGGGGGCGGGGGCGCGTACGTAGGCGGAGGCGGAGGCAGGGCCTGAGGTGCATACGCCGGTGGAGGCGGCGGTTGGTAGACGTGGGGCGACGCATAGTAGGTACCAGGAGCAGGCTGCCATGTCTGCTGAATGGGATAGGAAGGACTGAGAGCGAGAGGGGAGGCCGCGCGCGACGCAGTAGCGGCGGTCGTAGGGCACAGGGCAACCGTCTGATTGCCGCTGTGCGCAGTGAGAGCGTCGGCGTCGGATCTGGGAATGTTGGCAGACAGCGGAGGGGCAATCGCGCATGGGTAATCTCGGACCGAGGGCGAAAGGGAAACGTCTTCGGCAAGCCAGGATTGTACATATTGACCCGGAGATCGTCTGTGGAGCACAGATACCAAGTTGAGTACTGGAGTAGGCGCAAGTCGAGACCGCAGTAGGTGTTCACCGATCGAGCGTGTTTCCTGGCTCATCATTCGCCCAGTTTCGGTACGACCTCGAACCCTGTTGAATTCTACAGAGAGCATCCGTCAGGCTCTGTGCAATCTTCCAACAGAGCCGAACTTACTGGGAGAGAAGGTGGCCGGGGCCGGCGCCGTGTGGCGTAGAGGGTAACCTTCACGTAAGTCTATTAGTCCTGAATGAACCGATATAGCAGGACGAGACCTACGGAAGAGCGTCTGGCGACTGCATAAATACTGCTTCCCAGTGGGCGAAATCATAGCTGGTGCTTGGTAAGTAATGAGCTCGTTGATCAGCCGGCTGATAATCAGTGTAATATTCAGACGTACTATTCAAGTTGACCCCCAGACATTTCAGTCCTAGCGTCGCCGGCAGCGTCGATAGCGTACTGCTCAGCGACCGCGACTGCATATTGATGCCCAGGGCCGCCTTCAGCCGCAGTACGTCCATGATTTGAGCTACAGCAAGTATCTGTAACGTTATCACAGGAAGAACCTAGCGCGATAGTGTCCCAATCCTCTGGCATCGAAGGGGGATGGTAGTTCATGATTGAGGCCACGAGCTGTAATGGCTGGAGACGGAGGGGCTTGCTGTGGGGTCTGGAAGAGCTGAGTGTAGAGCTATTTGTATGGCGAAGGTGGAAGGCAACTTGGGCGATTCGGAGGGATTCTGGTTCGAGGAAATGAGGCTGAGGCATGTTGCGGCACCGTCATTTGGAGACGTCTCCTGACATTGACTTACGCTTTCCAATCGATTGACTCCGCGGTTCGGTGCAGCTTCCACTACCATCTGATCATCCTCTGTTGCCTCACCGTATTCATTTACGCCACAATACGTGTCTGCGATAGAAGGAGTTGTGATAATATCCGTCTGCCTGAGCACAGCGCGGCAGTCGTAAGGCTGCAACGGTGTCTACGTAAAAGCAGAGTAACCGATTCTGTTCAAGCCAGTGGATATTCTATGCCAGTGTTCGCCTTGCGGAGGAGGCACTGCTTCAAGTCTGTGCAGCACCCTTAGCCAGGCAAGCGGTCGATAAAATGAGGTGAACGTACCGCATCAGCCAGGAACCAGTGCTCGGAGCATGCTCTGGTCGAGCATTGTGTTCACGCCGCGGTTCGACCCCATCTCTGACAGTTACGGCATCTGAGTAGCAGATGTATAACATTTACAAGCTGCGGATACTATACCACCCCGTCCGAGGCCGTCCCTCCAATCAGGGTCGAAGTTCATGGCGTTCGGTAGCGGTTTTGATTAGACCCAGAGGTGCACTTCTCCTATGGTGCGGGGATGGTTACCGAACTGAACGGTTTTAAACCGAGACGTTTGTGAGCAGATCGGGTAGTTGGATCTCTCGTGGGGACGGCTGGCTCTTGGGAAATTTAACAAAACCTTAATTCAAGGGACGTATTATCCGAGCGTTTGGCTCGGTGGCAACGGCTCACCACTGCCGTGGTTCCGAGTGCAGAGGACCTTCAATCCCAAGTACACTGTACTTAACACAGAGAGTTTGCGTGGTGTACGCAGTAGTGATAGGTTGGTGTAACATTATAGTATTAGCTGTATACAATGCGCATAGTCCATCGCTGCCATGGCCGGCCGCCGAGTCGTCGATAAGCTGTCGGTGCGAACCATGTGAACGCGAGCAGACCCGCGAGCAGACCCCCTTCATCAGTACTGACCAACGAACTGAACATCTAAATTGAGTCGACATCATTGTGCCGCCAGTGTCTTCTCTACGCATTTCCCGAAGCCAGAAGCCGCCGCATTGCGCACACCACCTGCGGACAATTGCCATTAACACATCCCGAAACCATACCACACGCCGTGAGTGGAGCGAAGGGGTTCTAAGCCGCCGCCTTGAAGCTTGAGGGTGGAATCTCACCAGCCATTATGAATTATGCTTGACAGGACTCGAGAACTCCGGTCGTTCGTATGACAGCAGCCTGAGGTAGATTCATGAGATAGCAAGGGGATCAAAGGGTGACGAGAGATACCGAGTTAGTACGTCCATGGATCCTCGGGTGAGAACTTACTGGCATCGCATGGGGAGCAGCGCAAGACCCCATCCCCTCGAGGTCAGGTACGACGCCTGGGAGAAGTGCTCAGTATGTAACTTGGTCCAATATTAATTGTCGTTCACGGCTCCATTATCTGACATCGGCGTCCTGCAGATATGATGGTCCTACTAAAACCGAGCACTGGCGCTGGCGCTTGAGTGCTGCCAGAGTGCAAAGACCGGTCTCGTGGCTCATCAAGCATTTGGCAGCAGGCACCGCTAGTACACTCTGGATCGACAAGCTATGAGCCGATGAGCCATGCTGGTTTCATTTCCGCGTCCACCATGGCCCCTTTCAATAGGTGTACTTACTCAGTTTGCCTGCCAAGCTGTCGCTTCGGTCGGAGCCTGTGCCATTCAGGTCAGCATTCGAGTTGCACCACTCAAAGGGGTCACCTTTCCAAGAACCTTCATTGATCGCCACTCTACGAATTTCCCCAAGGCGCCGGCGTGCAGGATTAACGCATACTGCGCATAACTTCCCGGATGTTGATGTATGTGGCTGAGGATAGCATTCGGACAAGGACGACGACAGTGCTTGCGATGCTGCTCTGATTGCTATTCGGGTCTAGGAGCTGCCAAGTGAACGTGCCGAATGTCGGCCCTCCACGCGGGAGTAATCGGTCCAACCTAATGCCAGGTTGAAGAGCGGCGTCGTTTAAGCAGCTGTACTGACAGTTTTAGTGGAAAGCACATCTGATAGCCGAACAGACCCTGTGCACGTTCCTACCACGCTGTCAATACTCGGACCACGGCCACGGTGCAATAATTGAGTGTCTCCGAAACGCGCGACCGAGCCCTTGAGTTTGGTACTAGTGGATCGCCCTGAGGCACCCACTCGGAAAACACTAAAGCATTGTGCGATGATAGCGAATGTGAATGAGCGCTGGATGAGGCGGTTGTACTTCAGTGTTGCACGCCGGACTCGGAGCAAGACCACCGACCATACTGCTCTACCATATCCGCCCCCGTCAGTTGTAGGTCCAGTTGAGCCGCATGTGGCGCATCAGCAGTTCCGGGCGAACCGCTCACGATTTGTGGTTCCTGAGGCCTTAGGCCTGAAGGACTGATCTGAGTGGTCTCAGCCGAGTAGAGCGAAAATCGCGTCGGCGATGTGACTGGAAAGCTAAAAATTGTGTGATCGCGAGTTCGCAGCGAGTGCTTGTAGATAACTTACCTTGTTCGAGGGATTGCCATGGATCATAACGACGACGAAAAGTTAGGACTAGCGCGATGTTCGAGTTCGCCTATCGCCAGGCTGAGTGCAGTATATCCTGATTCGCATTCATCAGCGCTTATGAACGGAGAAACGAGAGAGGTGTATGTATACACGTGACGCCTATCTTGGCTATGGGCAACATATCATACCAGCGTTCGACAAGGCTTGTTCGACAGACGAGATGAACTAAGTCCGTGCGCTCACGCGCACGCCCAACAAATCGGGCGTCGACACACGCGCACAAACGGCAACTTTGTTGACCCGCTTTCGGGCGTATTCTGGATGAAACTGGCAAGTGACCGGTTGTCCGGTTGTCCGGACAAGACCGGACGCGAAAGTGGAGAGCCGCAAGCGTCGACGTCAGCAAGTCGCTGACACACATCGATCCACGCCGAAATCCATACCGAAAATGGAAGGCTCGCCAGTTGGTTGGTAAACCGAGGTGGGAGTGACGGCTGCATATATAGGCTCAGCGGAGCGAAACCCTTCCGTCACTGAACTCGACTTCACCTTCCACCATAACCACCTCATCGCTCCCGACGCAAGCTACAACATGGGCCACATTCTGTTCGTGTACACCTCTTGCTCGAAGACCTTGACGGGCACCGGTACAGTAAGTGAAACACTTACGAACGCGGGATCAAACGCTCACGAACGACTCCCCCCAGGGATGGTACTTGCCTGAAGCCGCACACCCCTACTATGGTGGGTTCCCTTCTGTGGATGGCAAGGGGCAATTTCTGATGCCCCAACGCGTGAAGTCCTCGAGAAACATCACACAGTCGACTTCGCGGCGCCGGATGGCCCGAACCCACCCGTTGACGAAGGTAGTGTGCAGATGTTCAAAGACGACGAGAGCCAAGAGTTCCTGAAGGATGAGACCGTGGCGAAGAAGTTCGCTGCGTGCAAGAAGCTCTCCGAAGTCGATGCGTCGCAATATGATGCGGTCTTCTACGTTGGCGGGCACGGCCCTGTGATCGATCTTGCTTCTGACCCCGTGAACATCAAGCTAGCGACCGATGTAACTCAAGCACTTGAACCTCTGGTGATCGTTGTCTGACCTTTGTCCTATGTAGTTCTGGAGGTCTGGCAAGATCACGTCTGCTGTTTGCCACGGGCCTGCGTACGTTTGCTTCGCGTTGATTGTGTCCACTATCGCTGACGTGGCCCAACTTGCAGTGCGCTTGTAGGGGTGACGGATGAGGCCGGCAATTCGATCTTCAAGGGACGATCTGCGACATGCTTCACCAACGAGGAGGAGGTTCAGGTGAACGGTGTGCAGGTACGTGTTCTGTGCATGTGACCCCCATCCTTGGGAATTAAAGCTTATCGGTGATCCATGCAGAGCATTCCCTTCCTCGTCGAAGACAAGATTGCGTCCCTAGGCGGAAAATTTGCAAAGACTGAGCCGTGGGGAGTGAGTATGGCCTCGACCCTATGATAGATGCGTACCCTAACACAGCTGCAAAACAGGTCAAGGTTTGCGTTGACGGCAAGCTGATCACTGGTCAAAACCCTGCATCTGCGAAGGGTGTCGGAGAGGCTATTCACGCGGCGTTGTGAGAACAAGGGGTAGCGGCAATGAACTCTGTACGAATAGCATGAATAAAACCTGATAGAACGTTATCAGCGACAACTTCAACTGGTGAGAATATCGCATCGGGAAAAGTAGGGTGGCTCGCAGCTACGTCAGAGAGCTCCCAAGAAGGCAGTACATTGATTCTGAGGCCGTAAAAATATGCATAATACAACAAATCAAATATAGGCGACAGACATCACCCATCCTTTCTTCAATGTGAAGCCGTCCAGGGCCTCTTTTGCGACGGATGCAAGCTCCGGGGAGTCAAATAAGACTTGCGCCATCTTGACCTTCTGTCCGGCCGCATTTGGTGTTGGAGACTGGACAACTTGCGTGGATTGGAAGCCTTGATATCTGAGTTCGTCCCGATCATGAGGATAGCCATTGCCAAATGGAGAGAGCTCAGACGCACTGTTGAAACAGTACGGATAGCACGTCGTCCGTGACCTCCTGAGGCAAATTTGTACATAGCAATCGCGCAGATTGGTAGTTCACAACTTGCGGTATGACCTCCGTCCCTGCATGCGTGCACCCGCTATGAACACGATGATATCACAACAAAATCGAACGCACCGCTTGTAGCCGTTGTATTCTGCCTGGAGCCCTCATCGTCGTCCTCAATCTCCATCTCCTCGCCGTCCTCATCATCGTTCCTTTCCCGCTTGGCTTGCGGCCCATCCTCGTCCATGCGATCCTCTCTTTGGCGCTTCTCTCCGTTCGTCTGTCTGCCGTTCGACGATGCCACATTCTTCGCATGCACGGATGTCGGGGGGATGAAGGTCGGATCCTCGCGTTGCAAAGTTGCATATGACTTGGTCTTTGCGTACTCTATCCGCTGTGGGACGCGTCCATTCGAGGCTTATTCGAATCAACGACTTCTTAACGGAACTCCATGAGACGACGGCGCACCATCGGCTTATCGTAGAAAACGATACCTTCGCACGCACGCAGCGCCGCGGTCGCACCTGCGAGGTCGGCGAACACTAGGAACGCCTGGCCGCGCATCCTCGGTCCTTTCATTGCGACGATGTCGACCACCCGTCCATAGGTTGTGAAGAGCGCATATAGCTGCGTGCGCAGCTCTTCCTTTTTGACCTTGTCGTTCAGATTGTGCACGTATAGCGTCGCGTTTGGCTGTGTGAAGGACATCGTGGTGGGCGGTAGGTGAGCCAATAATTGTCGCAAGACATCTGCAGTGACCGCAGGCTTAGGAGGTCAGCTGCAGATCTGGGAGATGGTGAGACGAACCGATCCGGCCTCCTAAGCTGGGGAGCCGGAATGATGGGGCCGTACGGGAAGCGCCCATGTGCATCCCAGCAACGTTCCACTACTTATTCTCGCTACTTGTAACTTAGCGCCGAGCGAAGGGTTTCACCAACGGTCGACACGTCTCTCTCGCGTCCCCCCTTCGAGTACTACTCGTGCCTCACTCGGGTTACTGGCCAGCACCAGGTATGCACCCTTGTTGCGAAGCCTCCGTCTCCGTAGACTGATCTTGCCGCCGCGCCATCCCAGACAGTGACAGGCCGGGTCAAAAGTGAATCGGACGCGCCTCCTGCCATTTTATGGGACTTTGACGCGTTACTGTCTCCCATTTCGCTGCCATGAACACCGACCAAGCCCCGGGCTGGCTGCCATCCTTTCTCGTCCCCTTCGTTACGCTCTCATACCCCGCCGCACGTCCGGCCGTGCCAGACGACTCCTTCCCCGACACAAATTACTATGGTTCGGGTGTCCTCGATGGGTGCCTGATGATCACCTTCATCATCGTGGCGGCGGTCCTCCGCGACGTTGCAAGGCTATGGATTTTGGAGCCGTTTGCGACATGGAAGTTAACGCGGGATCTTAGGTCGAGGAAGAGGGCCAACGCTCGTCGCGTTCAACAGAAGGAGAAAGCGGATGATGCAGCCAACGGGAATGGTCACGTCTCTCATGATCACGGCAATGGCCATGCAACACATACGAATGGTAACGGTCATGTCGCTGTCGCCGACGACCACATCTCGAAAAAGGAGGCAAGAAAGTTACACAAGAGCGTGCTTCGCTTTGCTGAGCAAGGCTGGTCCTTCATCTATTACTCCTTCGTCTGGAGTCTTGGGCTGGTCAGTGGTCTGTCATGTCTCACGGCGTTTGCTGAGTCTCACCTGGTACCAGTATGTTCACCGCCACCTGCCCACGCGCTTGCTAGACCCCATAGACGTCTGGCCAAATTATCCGCATATACCCCTTGCCGGACCTATCAAGTTCTACTATCTGCTAGAGACGTCGTTCTACGCTCACCAAATTTTGGTTATCAATGCCGAGGCCCGCCGCAAAGACCATTGGCAAATGATGACCCATCATGTCATTACCGTGTGCCTCATGGTAACCAGTTACTTCTACAACTATACCCGCATCGGCTGCCTCATCATGTTCCTAATGGACTGGTGTGACATCTGGCTGCCCGTGAGTTATCTCTCATCTCGTTCATCTCGACCGTGCTAATGTGATTACACAGCTGGCGAAGATGCTCCGTTACATGGCTTTCTCTACCTTGTGCGACATATTGTTCGTTTGGTTCATGGTCTCTTGGGCGATCACACGGCACTGGCTGTTCGTGCTCGCCATCATAGCTACATGGAACGCTGAGCACGTCATCCCCCCGCTTTGGGATCCCGAACATGGGCGCTATATGACCACCGGCGTACTCAGAGGATTCTGTTCTATGCTCATTTCTCTCGAGGTGTGCCTCCTCAGCAACACAAGCTGTTTGCATCGAATTAACATTGTCGCTAGATTCTCCAAGCGATGTGGTTCTATATGATCTGCCGCATTGCTTACCGGGTTGCGACCGGTCAAGGCGCTGAGGATGAGCGTAGCGACGATGAAGAGTAAGTTGTCCAGTCCAATGAGTTTTGCTTTACTCATGATATTCGGTTCAGCGGTGATCGCGACGTGAAAAGCAAGAAGACCCGATGATGGAGCTCTGGAGACTGGCCTCATCATAATTTTCTCGGGCCACATACTCTATCGAGGCTGCTTTGTAATTGCTGTAGCATTTTTTATCTGTGGTTGTGCTGTCACGACAGTGCTTTCAGCTATGGATTGATGGTTTCTGGCTATTCCGCGATCCCGGTTGGATCCCGGTCAACAACCACGCCCGAACTACCTGAGTTGCCTTATCGGGCGGACTGGCAGCGCGGCAGCGCGTTCCTCTGACCGAGACTCAGCTTCACCCTACCCTACCTCGGACTGCTTCTAGCACATACCACTTGTTGCACCTCTCTTTGTCTTCTCTTTCACTTGCATCGAACAATATGATGGCTGGGATCATGGGCTACTTCGGTGGGCGTCGGGATGCCAAACAATCCTCCCGGGATGCCATTGTCACGCTGCGGCAGCAGCTGCAGCTGATAGACAAGAAGGAGGAGTACCTGCAGAAGAAGATTGACGAGGAGATGAAGAAGGCGCGGGCGAACGCGGTTACGAACAAACAAGGTCAGTATGGGCATCGTAGTGCGTAACTGGCGTCGGTTGGATTGACGGTGTGGCTGTGGAACCCCCTCGCGGATGCAGCGGCGACGGCTGCGCTCAGACGGAAGAAGGCGACGGAGCAAGAGCTAGAGAGATTGCAGGGCACGCGGTTCCAGCTGGAGATGCAGGTCAACACACTGGAGTCGGCGAGCTTCAATGCGGAGACCATGTCTGCGATGAAGAAGGCTAGCAGCGCACTCAAGGATATCCATGGCAAGTTGTATGTACATCGTGTCACACATCACTGATGAGATGCTGAGCCTTGCTTAGGACTATTGACAGGGTCGATACGACAATGGCGGAGATTCAGGAGCAGACGCAACTGGCGAACGAAGTATCTGAAGCGATCTCCGCGAACACATACAATGGTGTCGAGATTGATGAGGTATATTCTTTGCGGTCGCATCTCTACGGCGTTGTACTGATATCCTATCAGGATGAGCTCAAGGCAGAGCTCGCTGGTCTCGAGGACGAGGAGCTGGACAAACGCCTCATGGGTGCAGATCACGTTCCAGTACATCAGCCAGGAGGACCGAGCACAGTGGAAGAGCGTAAGTCTCGCACCATGACCGATATGTTGGTCGTGCTCACTTGCTTGCAGATACGGGAGTCATGGAGGATGACGAAGAGGCTCAACTCAGAGAACTGCAAGCCGCTCTGGCGATGTAACGGACGCCGCCACTCGTTGCCATCCTCTCGTTCTCTTCATTCTCTCGCGCATTTCTGTCGACTGATCATCTGCTATTACATTACGACTAGGGTACCCATCTTTTTATCGTGTCTTACTAGTGCTATCACCACGAGTCGTGACGCTGTACAATTCTCCCACTTTCATGTGCCTTCGAGGCGGATTCCATTGGCCGCGGATAGAATGACTCGGACGTGCGCAGCTCAGAGCAAGACGACTATGTACGTATACATACATGTACACCAACACGGAGCCATTAAGCACTATCGAGTGAGCTATGCGGTGAATTGGTTGTTTGCTAAGATCGACAATGGCAGTAAATTATTATGAGTGATAATCAGCGACAATGCGATAGTGACTTCCAGCAGAATTGAAACCCGAAAACGTGATGGTGTATGCTCCATGATGAAGTCCATGCAAGAATGACCGTCTAGAACGAGCGACCCAAGAGGTGTCATGAGAAACCACGAATCCCTAAGACGTGCCGGACATCGCTCGTAAAGCGGAGTGAATCAAGGACGGGCAAAAGGTCCAGTAACGCTTCGTCGTGTGGGTCATGCGTCCATCCCTCTATAGGTATGCCGTTCGCTGTGAAGTGCCGGTTAGGCCACTGTCAGCCGAACGCCAATCGAAAACTCGCCTTCGTTGATACTGTAACATACTGGTGAATTGTCTATGAGACAAACTCGTGCCAGGTCCGCTTCGACGATGGACAGGTCTTTTGAATATGACCCGTTCGGCAGTTGTGTACATGACTGCAGAAACGTTTAACATCAGGCTCAGTGTGTTCTGCGCCACAGACGAACCTCTCTGAATAATCGACGGGTCAGGATCCCCCTACCAGCATCCAACCAGTCAATGACAGGATCGGCATACTCTTGCATAGATGCCGTGAATATAACGAGCGTATACCACGTAGACACCTATTGCCATAACCATATTACGTCATTGAGATGCTGGGCATGGCACGACTACGAACCTTCCGCAGAAAATAGTCCACAAATGGCCGCTTGTAGACGTGGTACAATGTACTACGACCTCCAAGCATGACCTCCACAACATGGCCAGCGCCCTTGTTTGAGTGACCAAATATGCTGAGACCCAGGAAGCCCGTCCCGCTTGAGGCCGACATCATCGGCCGCGACGTCGAGTGGATGAGGGTCTCGTCCAGATCCAACACAAGCGTCTTGGGCAGATGGAAAGGCGTTTTGTGGGCGACGCCGCTGGGGGTAGATGCGCGTGAGGAGGTCCCAGTGTGGGTCGCTGGGACGGCACGGACGGGGACCTCGGGATTAGTGGCGGGCGGTATGGGTATCTCAGAGGGCGAAAGACCGGCGGCGGTGGTACTGGATTCTGCGGAGATGCTTGAAGACGGCGGTGGTGGGGGTTGGGATAATGGTGGTGGGATTGCGGGGGGAAATGTTGGTTGGCGTAATAATACAGGTTTCACGTCCTTACTCTCGTCTTCAGTGTCCTTCTCGTCCTCATCCGAGCCATCCTCCACGGCTACCTCGTCAGCTACTCGTGCTTGTCGTTGGCGAGTGATCGTTCTCCATGCTGCACAGATATAGTGCCACAGAAGGAGGAAGAAGCCCAAGAGGAATATACTGTGGATGACGCCGTCAATGGGCGGGGCTGCCTTCTCGGTTGACGAGACGGAAGGACGTCGAGATGGCGGTCTCGAAGGCTGTTTAGAGGAAGATGAGGGGCGTCGAAGCCTGAACTGCACAGGCTGGTCGGGAGAGGCGACTGCCGGGGAAGACAAGGACCGTCTGAGGGTCCACGGCCCCGATGGACTACCGGGCAACGGAACGCGAAATGACTTCGTCGACCAGGTCCTTACTCGTGGAAGTCGGGTCTCTTGTTGACGATCACCAGCAGCGGAGAGGGAGGGCGGCGATTCTGAGACCGGCGTAGACGGTGGCGCACGGGGAGAGGCTAGCACATCGAACTGCCGCGAGAGGTAGGTCAGCGAGTTCATTTGCGTCGGCGCGACGCCAGAGGACGCTGCGGCGAGCAGGAAGTGAAGGCAAGCGGTGAGGAAGTGAACAGTGAAAGATGCGAGCCGGGAAGGGGATAGGTCGCGGAGATGTCGGTGGGCAGACCAGAAACGCGTGTAGCGTGATTCCCGCGTCTCGCGCCCGCGCTGGACCTCTGCTGCTGCCATCGTGCTGCTCGCTCTCATCGCGTCGTCGACGGCCCCGACGCTTTATACTGTCATGCCAGTACACTCTTGGTCAGGCTATAGCCCGGCTGGAACATGTGCAACGCTATTCGCGCTATCGCTCACTCACGTCCGGCGTCCTGCGTACTTCTCAGGAACCCTCCTTCTTGTGTTCGCAAATGCATCTCCTCGTATCAACGCATCGATGTTACCTCTCGCTGAACGTGCACCTGTATCGAAAGAGATCGTCAAACGTGCGAGGTCTACCATTGTCTTGATCATGGCGCTACATGCGCAGATAGCGCGCATGTGTGGGTACGTCCAATCAGCACGGCATGCAAGTTTCCTCTCGGATGGTTCAGTCCATGATAGCGCTGCTAGCAGGCCGCCCGTAGTCGAGTCTGGGGAAAGAATCATTGTACGGAACGCCATAGAACGGATCAGAGTAAATGTCCAACCGATGGACTGCCATGCCCCGAGTTCCGGTTGAGACGGTCATGCATTCCTACAAGGTCATCCTGCGACATCTCTTAGACAGGACCTTCCGGGGCATCGTGGCCGCTTGCTCAGATGACATCGCAGAAAACGGTTGACTGCGACGTCGTAGCCGATCGTCAGTATGCATTCTACTGAAGACCCGCCCGACGTATGACGAACCAGCATTTCTGTGGCACACAATACGGAACCCTCTAATCTTAACCGAACTTTGCAGCATGGTGCTTGGTCACAACCTGACGCACGAGTCGTCAGGCCTGGGGACACATGTGCCAAGGATGCTTGCCTGCGACGTAAGTAATTGTACAACGGAAGAGTCGTCTGAATAATCATATCAAGTATCGGAAGCCCTTCTCCGTAATCCCCTTCTCTCGTTCTTCCTTGTCCATCTGTCGATTGAGCGACTCCAGATGAAGCTTGAATATATAGCTCATCACGATGGCGCATCCGCAAGTGGCGATACAAATAGCATAGGAGTTCCTGTAGGTGGGTCCCCAGCTGCTCGGCCACACATATCTGCACAGAAATAATGGTCAACTCTGGGCAAGCCGATGTTACGACTTCTATCTACTCACGATCCAGCAACGTTTCCGAGCTGCGAGAAAGCATTGACAAGCGCAACAGCCACTGCACGTTTAGACGGTGGACGAGGGAATGAGTTGCTGACCCATGTGTACATGACCACGAAGCCGGCGTATTGTTGCGCCATCAGAAACCTACATACAGCGTTAGACATGGGTTCACACAGCATACGCACGTTCAATGGAAAGCTCTCACAATGAGATGTACCGAGCCGCGGTGTTCATGGTACAGATGGAGATGATGAAGCCTACGATGCCTATCGCCCAGGAGATTGTCATGTGGTAGAACCGTTCCTGCGTCAAGTCAGAATGACTGTAGTGTCTCGTCTTAGTGTCCATCCTTCTCGGAACATGCGAGTTGGACGCACCGTGAGTTGACGTACGCCAATATAGCGGCCAAAATGAACGGCGGGGCGCATAACAATAGCGACACTGTACGGTTATATCCCAAGGTGGCACTGAGGGTGGGGAAATACGAGTTGAAGCTCAAGCAAACGACTTGGCTCAGCATAGCGAACGCCATCCACCAGACTTTCCAGTCCGTCACCGCCATCCACAGCCCGGTCCCATGATGGCCTATCTCCGTTTCTTGTTCATCGCCGACACCCGCGTCTTCTTCCATCCGCCGCAAGGCCAGCTGCTTCTCGATTGGGCTTAGCCACCGGCCCTTCTCCGTGGCAGGGAAGTCAGGTAAGATGAAGATCGCGCAGATGGCGAAGAAAACAGTCAGGGATCCTTCGATGTAGAACAGCCAGCGCCAGGCCGCATCCCCCAGCTTGCCTTCCATGGTGTCTAGGATACCCGAAGCGATGAGGGAGCCGAATGCATTGCTGATGATGTTGCCACAATAGAGGATGGCTGTGCGCCGACCGAGCTCGCTGCGCTTGTACCATTTGCTGATGAGGAAGAGCGCGCCGGGGAAGAATGCTGCCTCCATGAAGCCGAGGAAAAAACGAGTAAGAAGCGCGCCCACAAAGCTTCAAGGGTCCTGTCAGCTGGGTTAAGCACCGTCTCGGCACTACTCACTTGTGCGTGATACCTGTCTCGACTTCTTAGATCTAGCGACATGAAGGGGGCAAGAGGACACGCACCAGTCAATATTGAAATAACGCCCCAGACGATCATACAGAACGGTAGATGAAGGGAAGGCTTCCCGACATAGTTCAGAATCATATTCCTGGTGACATCAGAACGTTTATTGACAAATGACCAGAGACGTTAATCAGACATTATAAACTTACGAAGGAACCTGCATGATGATGTATCCAACATAGAGGATAGATAACAGTGTCGCAAACTGTTGGCCCTGAAGGTGCAGATCGGCCTCGAAGCCTCGAAGCCGGGCAGCTCTGCGTGCAGGTATCGTGAGTAATGACGCCGAGCGTCCCTCGGAGTCGCGAGACTCACGCAGCATTATTCCGGTCAATCTGATGTAGTTCAGTTCAATATCACAGGAGGTCCGAAATGAAGTACACACGTAGTTCAGGATGTAAATGATCACCAAGATAGACATTCGGGCGTCCAGTTTCAAGAGAAGTCTTCTCTCGAGCTTCTTCCGAGCGTCTGGTCCACCGAACTCGGCGTCCGGGTCGCCCGCGGCCAACTGAACGGACTCGACATCCTCAGTTTTCTCGACGAGTGGACCGAGGTGGAGCTTCGTGTCAGACATGGACGCGGTAGTGAACGCGAGCAGCGACCTATTCCCCACAAGCAGCTCTATGTTTATATAGACCGCACAAGGAGTTGCGGCCCACCGTCTCCGAAAGCCCAGCTTCTGAGCATATACGATGTTCCTTGGTCACCGGACCCGCGATAGTGGAGGACGCGTCCCGGACAAGCCTGTACTCGTGACACTCGGTAGGTATTGACGACAACATAATCTCGGCGATAGGCTTAGCTTGAACGCGACGAGTTGATCTGCAGTACTACCAAGAGGTTTTCAGGGCCGGTCATATGACAGGTTCCTGGCAGCGCGAACCCAAACGGCCTGGCCGCTGGTAAGTGGACCCACAGCTGCGCCACCTGGCGGAAACGCGGTCCTGAAAATCTTCATAGCGTCGTGCAATGCCAAGCCACTAGCAACATCACGCGTCAGTGTCGTCGTAGTATACATCCGCCGCGAGTTACTGACCCTTCTCAATGAGGTGCAACTCAACTCTGAGCCATTGGTGCCATGCATCTCGGAGGAACCCAGTCGACCTCGGACGGGGAACGAGCCGCTCGAAGCTCGGCGACGGTAAGTATGTAGCAACGACTTCTCATTCCATTCTGGGACAGGGTCTCTGAGGCGCGCGCACGTGACGAACGCGAACGTTGTTTACGCGTGCGAACGCGCACCGCGCCAGGCGGGCGCTCCTTCAACCTGAACCCGAGCAGGCCCCTTCCGCACCAGCCTCCCGCATGCCCGCACGCGCATAACACTCCCTTCAAGCCCAGGGAATCTTGAGTTACAATATCTTGTGATAATGGCGGACTCGACGGAGTTCATGACCCTCGGCGAGCGGGTGGAGCACGCGGTCGCGACATTGCCGACGCTGGGCAAGGAGGAGATTCCGCTGGACGACGCGTGTCCGATTTGCTTTCAGAACTTCGAGGCGATTTTTGAAGGAAAGACACAAGAGGACACGACCTTTGACAACGCGCTCCTAATCGCGAGCGACCCGGAAGAGCTCAGGGGCGTCACAAAGCTGAGAGGATGCGGGCATGTCTTTTGTAGAAAAGAGTAGGTTACTCCCATTATCTTCCGTTTCTTGCGCCCCGCGTACTCACGTATCCTGTAGTTTGATTGAATGGATTCGTGGCTGGGTACGTTCTCTTCTCTCTTCGGCATCTCCGACACCGCGTCATCGCAGCTAACCGTCGTCGCTTCGCAGCATGGCACATGCCCCGCCTGCCGCGCACAGTTCGCGAACATCCGGCCACCCTCCGACTCGGAGGACGGCTCCTCGGACGGCGACTACGTCCCGAACGATGACGAGGAAGATGACGACCTCGATGAAGACGACGGTTTCGTCGAGTCCGACGGGTGGGACACCGGCGGGGAAGACGAGGACTTCGGCTTCGACGTCGAGGGCGATGTGGCCGTCGGGTACCTGCCTGGGTACCCGGACATCGATCTGGCCGCGGACATCGACGCGTTCATCGCGGAACATGGGGACGGGCGCGACTCGCCCCGCTTCGAGAGAGGCCCCATAGCGGATCTGGCCGCGGACTTCGACGCGTTCATTGAGGCCCACCAGCACGGGAGGAATATGCGGGGTCGCGAGGAGGGACAGGGTCAGGTGGATGGCTACAGGAGGGTGAGACCTGGGGATCGGGGGCTTGGTTGGGGAGCAGAGGCGATTGGATACTCAGAGGACGGGAACAGAGCCGGCTCGGAGGCAGAGGTGTCGCAGGACCTGAACGCTGGCGGTGATGCAGACATGGACGAGGGGATGGAGAATTGGGGACTCAGCCATAGTGACGGAGACGCGTCGGAGAGCTTGTCTGAGGGAGAGCTCTTTGCCAGCATTGAGGACGACCCGCATATGGAGGATGATGGTACGTTCTTGCGCCGTTCGCTGTCGTCGCCAGCATGATCGTATGCTGACATGCTCTTCCTGCAGCTGCGGTAGTTGCAGAGCCCGGCTCGCCTTCGGCTGAGGTCCCGGAAGCAGAAACGAAATAGAGCTAATAATCATAGTCGCACAAGAGAACATGGCATCGAGGACTACTTCTACAACAATATTGTATATACCTTCTGACATCTGTCTGTCTCCTCGGTTGTAATCATGCATAGTTATGTATGTACTCTGTCACAAACATTGTTTATTCCATGCATTCCCGCCCCCTACCATATCACTGCCCTTGGCGTTCCACAGGCTTTAGTCTCGCCTTGAGCCCGTCCCCAGGGCTCCTTCACCTTCATCCTCTATTATGATCAATGTGCAGTGCATCATACGCTGACGCCCCCAATGAGGGAGGCTAGCGCTTCATCGACAACCTTACTCTCCTTCTCCCGCCACACTCCGGTGAACTTGCCACTCCAGCGACCCTTCCCGCCGCCCTTGGCGTTCAGCTTCGTCTTGAGCATGTCCCCAACCTCCTTGACCTTCGCCTCGTCCGCACCAAAGACAAGCACCACGCTCGTGCTCTCCGCAGTCTGCATAGAAGGCGACGACGAGAGCACGACGAGGTACGGCGGGGCGTCCCCGCGCGCCGCAGCCTCCTTAGCGAACGTCATCGAGATCGCATTCAATAAGCCCAGCGGGTTCGCCGCGTCGTCCGTCCGGTGTCTATGCACTTTACCCTCGCCACGGACCACCTCCGCGACGAGGTCCCGCGCGATCATGCCCGCCAACTCCGCCTCGACGTCCTCGCCGCGCTTTACCGCGCGCTTGCGCTCCTCGACGACCTGCGCGACACGCTCGGGCACGAGCGGCGGCCCGCAGGAGAGCGTGCCCGCGGTGCGCGTGAGCGCGGCGTGCGTCGCGCCGAGATGGTGCAGCAGCCGCGGGCCTGCGAAGAAGTAGAGCCGCGCGGTGGACGTGCTCGCGCGCGCGACGGACTCGGTGTGGGGGATGAGGAAGAGCTGGAGGTTGTGGATCGTCGGCATGTGCGTGCCGCAGCATCTGCAAGGGGGTGGCTTGTCAGCGTCACGGGAGGGAGGGCGGGAGGGGAGGGGACGCACAGGCTGCGGTCGACGCCCTCGATGATGACGGTGCGCTTGACGCCGCCGGTGTAGTCCGCGGGGAGCACCTGGCTGACGGCCCTGCCGTTCTCGAGCTTTGCCTGGTCGGACGTGTTCGCGCCGTGCAGCTCCTCGACCTCGACGTACACGCTGCGGCCCTCGAAGACGAGCCGGTTCGCCTCGTCCTGCACGGACGCGAGCTCGTCTGCGCTCATACTGCGCGGGATCTCGACGTAGCATGGCGTCGGCCAGGCGGTGACGGACCAGGAGAGCGTCGGTATATTGCGCGAGTCGAGCACTGCGGAGAGCAGGTGCTGCGAGGTGTGCATGCACGTCTGTGGGGTCGTGAGTATCCCTCGTGGCTGGAATGTGATAGTTTGTAAGAGCGTACATGATCCAGTCGACGCTTCCAGCCCTCGTCGCCCAACGCGACGCCGACCCTTGTGCCGGGCATGAAGGCGCGCAGGGCGGCATCAGCGCTCTGGTCCTTCGACCTGACATAGTGTACGGCATGTCCACCGTGTCGCTTCGCCTCAACGACGCTCCAGACACGGTCTCCGTCAGAGCATGTTAGAAGCCCAACATCGGACGGCTGCCCACCGCCTTCCGGGAAGATAACGGTGTCGTGTAGGATGACTTCGATCAGCGGCTCGGAGGGGGCAGGCGCTGCCTTCTCCTTCTTGCTCTTTCTACCATTGGAGGGCGGCGTCGGTGCTTGCGAGACTGTCGCACTAACTACTGTGGTGGTAATCTCGCGCAGAAGCGGATCGCCTGTGCCCAAGGACGTTCAGCTTACCGGCCGCGGCACTCGGAGGGGGCTTACAGACGCTGGCACGCGAGGAGTCCGACGGGGACAGAGACCTTCTCGTCGGCGGGCACCTGGAGCGTCGGGGAGACGATGCGGTGGTAGGTCGGGGGCGTGACCTGGGGGAGGGCAGCGACAGCCATGGATGCTGTTCCGAATTCGAGTCAGGGTGGAAGGGAAGCAGCGATCGGGATGACAGGCACGATCGACGCAGATTTGATGGCGCATCACGGCTCGGGCAGCGGGAGCGCGCGCCGAGGATCATCCGGAGGCCTGGCGGTTGCCCCGGGCGGGGATGCATTCAGCCCTCCCCTCCCCCATGGGCCGCCCTTTCCCCCGCATGGCCTGGGGACCTCCGTGCTTGGCTTCTCGTCTTACTGGCTCGTCCCTGCTCCGCCCCGCTTTCCGGTGAGCGTTCATCCGGGGCAGACGCCTTCCAGCACGATAAAATCCGGCGGCCTGCCAGCGCGATGTTAGCCAGCACCTCTCTGCTCTCCTCCTCATCAACGACACGGACATCCGACGACCGTAACGCGCCCACCATGTCCACCTCGGAGGTCAAAAAGGCTGTATCGGAGTTTGAGGACATCGAGCACCAGCAGCCGGAGCTCGTCGGGAACGCCGGGGACGAGGAGTTCGGCGGCACGGAGGAACGCAAGAAGCTCGAGAAGAAGCTGCTCCGGAAGCTCGACCTGCGGTTGTCCATCCTCATTTTCATTTACATCCTCAACTATGTACGTTCGCTGCGACCACTTCCGCGCCATGATCGACCGTCTGACATGTCCGCGACGCGCAGATTGACAGGAACAACGCGTCGTGAGTAGCGCCTGCACTTGTCACGAAGTCTAAACACGTCGCTCATGGCACTGTCTGCAGCGCTGCGAGATTGCGTGGATTCGAGGATGACCTGCACCTGAAGGGACAGCAGTTCAACACGCTCCTGAGCATTCTCTATGTCGGGTACATTCTCATGCAGGTCCCTTCGTATGTCTACCCTTTCTCCTCTGGTCATCCCCGTACTGATTTCGTACCAGAAACATGCTGCTCAACTACATGGGCCGACCCTCCATCTACCTGCCCTGCTGCATGATGGTCTGGGGCATGATATCCTGCCTCACAGGAATCACTACGAAGTATGTCCGCGCCCCTCAACCCATTCCATACCTGCTAACGCACGATCCCGCCATCCCAGCTTCGTCGGTGCACTGATGACAAGGTTCTTCCTCGGCTTCGTCGAGGCCGCGTTCTTCCCGGGAGCCCTCTTCCTCTTGTCCAAGTGGTACAAGCGCTCCGAGCTCGGCGTGCGTACCGCCGTGCTATCGTGCGGCAGCCTCATCAGCAATGCATTTGGATCTCTGGTCGCCTCGGGCATTCTAGACGGCATGGAGGGCAAGCTCGGACATGCGGCGTGGAGGTCAGTGCACAACTCGCTCTCCCCTCCCCCTCTCAGACATACTAACTGCATATGCTCCGCCTCCCCAGATGGCTCTTCTTCATCGAGGGCGCACTCACCATCTTCGTCGCCGCCTGCGCGATCTTCGTGCTGCCCGACTTCCCCTCGACGTCGCACGGGTGGCTCTCCCCGCTCGAGGTGCGCCTCGCGGAGCAGCGCATGGTCGAAGACGTCGGCATCTCGGACGAGAACGCGGACGCCGCGCAGACGAGCCAGGTCGCCGGGCTGCGCATGGCGATCACGGACTGGAAGGTGTGGTGCCTCGCGCTCGCGCTCACGAGCATGGTCGTCTCGCTGTCGTTCAACGCGTTCTTCCCGACGCTGAGCGCGACGATGGGCTATTCGAGGACGGACACCCTCCTCCTGTGTGCGCCGCCGTGGGGGTTCGCGACCTTGGTTGCGTTTGCGGTGACGAGGTGCGTGTGGTGGCGATGGGAGTGTTTGGTTGTGTGCTGATTCGAGTCGTTCTGCAGGCATTCCGACAAGGCTGGAGAGCGGTTCTGGCACATTGCCATCCCGCTGGTGTTCGGTATCGTAGGGTTCGTGATCGCAGCGAGCACGATGAACACCGCCGCCCGCTACGTTTCCCTGTAAGTTCAGTCCTCTCCGAACGCAGGATCATTGCTGAACAGCAGCGCAGGTTCCTGATGGCCCAGTCGTACGCCGCGTTCATCACCTTCCTCGCCTGGGTGAGCAACTCCATCCCGCGACCACCCGCCAAGCGCGCCGTCGCACTCGCCTTCATCAATGCCTTCTCGCAGCTCGGGAACGTCGCCGGCTCGTAAGCACCCGCTTTCCTGCCCTTTTGACCCGTTTTGAGGACTCACCGGGTGTCTCCGCAGATACGTATGGCCGACAGGCTGGGGCCCGTCCTACCGCTACTCGTACGCGATTTGCATCGCGACGAACGGGTTCTGCATAGTGATGTGCTACGTGTTCAAGCTGCATCTGCAGCGGATAAACAAGAGGTTTGAGAAGAAGGAACAGGAGGAGGGTCTGCCGAAAGGATACCGTTACCTGCTATGACCCTCTTCGGGCCTGACCCGGAGTCAGCACGATGCGCGCAAGTTACGCGCGTTCTGTCCTACGCTGACAAAAAGTTGTACTACCAACGATGTACTAGTATTTAATGATAACTTACCAGTCTCCCAGGGAGCTGCCTATGGCGCAGCCGCGTGCCGCGAGTTGAGAATTTTGATGCTTCTGTGGTAAGTTATGCTCGTCCCGATTCCTTTGGCGCCTCTGTGCTGCGTATGTATCTCCGCGAAGTCACCGCGCCAGATCTCCGATTGTGGGAGACCTGCCTGTTATGGCAAGTCGCCTTCCTCTTTCGTGCAGTCGACAGGCACCGGGGTCTTGCGTGAAAGAGGGCGACCGGACCGTGACGGACATCGACCAGCCTGAGCTTGAGCCCAACCAGGCCACCACTACTTACGCCGCCGTTCCTGTGAAGCCCAGCGACGGACCGACGCGACCGACTCCCACCAGACCTGAGAACATCTCGCGCAGGCAAGACGAAAGAAGCCCGCCGGTGTCCATAAGGTCGCACCGAACGCCGCGAGGAGCCGTCAGCGCGCCGACGGACGAGCCAGGGACGAGCAGCGCTGTGCGGCGGCATCCTGGTGCCCTCGGGGATTCCTCGGGAGCAGTGCGAGAGAGCCCCTCCCGGCTGCCCTCCGCCGGCGCGTCCCCCCGTCTGCTGACCCCTGGCTGTCCCCCTCCGAATCGATGCGCGGACGTTCATAAAGGTGCGCAGACCCTGGGGTCGCCATTCCCTCGCCCGTCTGCGCTGTTCCGCTGCTGTTGGCGTGATATCTGAGCTTGCTGTTTGCTGACCATGAGTTTGACTAGTAGGCCGCTGCATGATGGGTGGAGCTTCACCCAGGTTGGGGATGGACCGCGGGAGGCCGTGAAGGAAGGCGAGTGGTTACCCGTGCAGACGTTCCCGACGACGGTGCATGTGGAGCTCCTCAAGACGGGCAGGATTCCGGACCCGGTGAGCTGCGTGACGCGCTCCCGGACTTGCTTGTCACTCATCCAATGCATCTCGCGTAGTTCATCGGGCTGCAGGAATGGGATGTGCAATGTGAGCGGCCACGGTGAGATAGTCCTGTGAGTCGCTACTGACGCTCGGGATACAGGGATCGGCGAGGTGCCGTGGGCTTTCAAGACTACGTTCACCGCTAGTCAGTCGGAGATCTCAACCCCGAACGTCGACTTGGTCTTCGATGGCTTGGATACCTTTGCAACAGTGACTCTCGTGAGTACCACAATTGCTCAACAACAACCCACCAAGTGACTGAGGACGCAACGTAGAACGGTCACAAAATTCTAGAGTCAGTCTGGCCGCATAATATCGTTCTCGCTCACGGACTCCGTCTAAACGTTTTACAGGACGGACAATCAGTTCGTTGCGCATCGGGTTCCAGTGAAGCAATATATCAGTGAGGGTGCCAACGAGCTGCTCATCACCTTCGCTAGTGCTTTCCGAAAGGTAGGCAAGTAGTTGCACTGTCTCTTACCCGCTGACCACCTTGCACAGGGAAGAGAAGTTGAAAAGGCTCACAAGAAGTACAGCCTCTGGAACGGGGACTCCAGCCGTCTTCACGTCCGTAAGGCTCAGTACAAGTAAGCAAAGCAGTGCCATGCAGTTGTTCATCCAGCTGGACTCTAACCCTCTCCGCTTAGCTATGGCTGGGACTGGGGTCCGGTCCTCATGACTGCTGGGCCCTGGAAGCCCATCAAGCTCGAAGCCTACACCGCCCGCATCTCCGACGTGGACATCCGCGCGCGAGTGGCCGAGGACCTCTCCGCGACGCTCGAGGTCAACTTCGCGCTCTCGCGGGAGGACCACAGCATCGCGTCCGTGAGCCTCCGTGCCGCGGACGGCAGCCTTGTCTCTGGCCAGAACAGCGTGCGGATCGCGCAGTCGGGGGCGCAGGCGACGTTCAAGATGTCCGCGGGGACGTACGAGCTGTGGTACCCCGTGGGGTACGGCAAGCAGCCGCTCTATACGGTGGAGATCACCGTCGCAGACCAGGTGCGTATGGACTTGCTTTCCCTAGCGCGTTAACAGCTGATGTAGGATTTACGTCTAGCATGGTAATCAATTGGACCAGACGGCCCAGAAGGTCGCCTTCCGTCGCGCGAGGATAGTCCAGGATCCACTCATCGATCAGGAAGGCCGGACGTTCCTCTTCGAGATCAACAATATCAGACTATTCTCCGGAGGTGCGTGTCCACATGAGGTTTACGATGATGCTAGAGCATTCTGACACCAATGTCCCGTAGGCTCGAACTGGATCCCGGCAGATTCCTTCCTCACCACGTCCGTCCTTCTCTGATCCTTCTCTCGTTCCTCGATCTCAACATCAGTATGCTCACGCGACTGATGGCAGGATGACCCGTGAGCGGTACCGGGCGTGGCTCCAGCTTCTCGTCGACGGAAACCAGAACATGGTGCGCGTCTGGGGCGGCGGGATCTACGAAGCGGACGACTTCTACGACATCTGTGACGGTGCGCACGTCCTTCACATCGTTGACTGCGGCCCCCGCTCACGTCTCGTCTGACTTCGACGCGCGTCATCATTTACGTTACCAACGATGCAGAGCTCGGCATCCTCGTCTGGCAGGACTTCATGTTTGGTTGTGGACAGGCACGTCTGGGTCATCTGGCTTTGTACTGGCGGCTGCGGCTCATCGATATGACTACCAGTACCCAGCATATGACTCGTTCACGAAGTCTGTCGAGATCGAAGCAGAGCAGAATGTCAAGAGACTGAGGCACCATCCCTCCGTCGTCATCTTCGGTGCGTCCAGCGCGCCTCTGCCTGTCAACGCCGCGTTCGCTCACCCCAGCGCCATTCAGCGGGCAACAACGAAGGTCGGTCACACGACGGCTACCACGCGCTCCTCTCTCACCGTTGTCGTCTTGCGACTGTTAGACTACCAATTGGCAGAGTCCGACAAGCTGGACCTGGACTACAGCGATGAGAAGTCGGACTTCCGCAATTCGACCTTCCCCGCGCGCTACATCTACGAACGCCTACTGCCGTCGGTCGTCGAGCGGCTGAGCGACATCCATTACCACCGCAGCTCGCCGTACAGCGGGTTCGGCAAGCCGACGACGGACAAGAACTACGGCGACCTCCACCAGTGTCAGTCACCACGCCTTTCGTGGCACTCTCGGTTTACGTATGAGTGGCTGATGTATCGCGATCGTTACGGCACCAGGGAACGTCTGGCATGGCTCGCAGGAGCCTTGGCACAACTGGGACATCCTCGCGGGACGGTTTGTGTCAGAATTCGGGATGTACGTGTTCCGTGTTCTGGTGCTCGTGTCACGCGACCGCGTCTTGACTGACGTGCGTGGCGGACAGGGAAGCGTATCCTGACATCCGGACGGTCGACTACTGGCTCGGCGGAAACACCGCTGAGCGGTACCCACAGTCGAAGTGCGTTTCGAGACCCACCTGCGCCTCTGCATGGGAATGCTGAGACGTGTTGCAGGACGATGAACAACCACAACAAGGCGGATGGCTTCGAGAGGCGCCTGGAGGTGAGCCGCGCAGCTGTCGTTCGTCTTTCGAAGCGCGGATCTGAATGGGGCTTCGCAATTCAAAGCTGTACTTGGTCGAGAACTTCAAGCACTCGTTCGAGATGGAAAGGTGCGCATCGCGCTCACGGGGACTGCACGCCACGCGCAAGCGCGTTCCGTCCGCAACACTATCCACTTACTCCTGTCCGCAGTTATGTGTATTACACGCAGGTCATGCAGGCGGAGACACTGGGCTCGGCCTATCGTCTGTGGAGAAGGAACTGGCGGGGTAAAGGAAGAGAATACACGGCAGGTGCTCTCGTGTGGCAAGTGCGCATGCTCCAAGACGTACTCCTCTCTTCGTCGCGCTCACCTGACGTGCCAGATCAATGACTGCTGGCCGGTGACCTCCTGGGCCATCGTCGACTACTTCCTGCGGCCCAAGCCCGCGTACTTCGCCATCAAGCGCGAGCTGCAGCCGTTCACGGTCGGCATGACGCGCAAGGACCGGACGACGTTCGCGGACGACCTGACCGCCGCGTTCCTCACCATCGAGACCGTGCTGGAGATCTGGGGCACGAACAGCACGCTGCAGGAAAAGCGCGCGGTGCTCGAGGTGACCGCGTTCGACCTGCACTCGGACTGGCGCGAGACGACCAAGCAGGACGTCGTCCTGGCGCCGAACGCGAGCACGGAGCTGTTCAAGGGCCTCCTCCCCGGCCAGCCCAAGCGCACGAAGCGCAGCGAAGAAGCGAAGACCATCGTCGTCTCTGCACGCCTTCTGGACACCGCTGGCGCCGTCCTCGGCCGATACTCCAACTGGTACGTCCCTCCGTGTCTCAGCCCTCGCCTCGCCGTCCGCGCGTCCTCCCGCGCACCACCCTTCTTTCTGTGCTGCACTCCCGGTTCCGACCGAGCTGAGAACTGTGCGGTAGGCCCGAGCCGTTCAAGTACATCAATTTCCCCGATATTAAAGAGGTAGGGCTCAGTATCGTGGTGGGTAAGGACGGCGAATCCGTGGAACTGTCAACGAAGAAACCAATCAAAGGGCTCGTGCTCGACGTCGAGGGGGACGCCGCGCAGTGGAGCGACCAGGCCATCGACCTCGTGCCGGACGACCCGCAGGTCGTGAAAGCCGTGGGACTGAACGGGCGGAAGATAAAGGCGAGATTCCTCGGCGACGGGACGGCCTGAGCGTCTGCGGGCAACGAGGTGCGGGAGATGTCAACGCATATGTATTAGTAGGAACGTCAGTACGGCAAATGAACTTGATAGGATTGCACACTGGCGCACGTAACGTCATACCGTAAGCACCGTGACCGCGCACGGACGGGGGCGTGCTAAATCCAGCGGGCAGCAGCGAATCGGGGAGAGCAGTATATGCTTATTAGGATCTCGGCGAGAGGGTGTACATAATAGGGGCCCCACGAGGGGAGGTGCGCGACAACAACAATCATACAGGGCTTTTACATAGGAACTGTAAGGCTAAGGGCATAGGCACACGGCTGTGACAGAAGGCAGAATCCGACAGTCCAATATACAAGAGACCCAGGAGGGAAAGAGGCGGGCAGCGTGCGTCGAGCGGGTTTAGTGGGAGAGGGACTGACGTCGCTGCGGGGGAGAGTCGATGAGGGGACGCAACAACGAGGGCAGCAGGACAAGTGGAGACGATGCAGGGGATGAGGGGTGCGCAAGGACAGGGGATTGCGAATGTTCTATGAGCCAATGCAAGATGCCAGTGGGGAGAACAACAGAAAGTCTAGGGGCGCATCACATAATAATGCATTTGACGGCTCCTGCGGGCGGCACCACTGGTTTGCTGGTCGGTGTTGTTTTCTCGATCTCTCCGAGGACGAGCTGGAATACTTCGGCTGTGTTGGTTGCGAGACGATGAGCATGCTGGGATGGGTCTGGGCACGAGGAAAGGCTACGAACCGACGTTCTTATTCGTCTTTGCACTTGTTTCGATCCACGCCGCATGGTGGCTTTGTGCGAGCTCTTCGCCCTCCTGGGGTGCTACCTGTCTGGTTTTGCTGTGAGGAAAACCGAATTATGGGCGACGGGTCTGGGCAGCACGCGGCCGCGGCGAGTTGTCCCGGCACTCACCTCTGTTGGAGGTCCATCTTCGCGCCCACCATGATGCATGGGATGGTGTTCTGGCCGCTGAACTCGATGATCTTGTCGTAGATGATGCGCACCATCTCGAAGGACTTGCGCGAGGTGACGGAGTACACGAGGACGAAGCCATGGATGCCTATAGCGTGTTTCTGATTGAGAATGGTGAACTCGTCCTGTTTGGCGAGCGGTGAGCGTGGGCAGTAGTGGGGAGAACGCGAACGGGCACACCTGGCCAGCGGTGTCGATGATGTCACAGTCGTACTCGACACCCTTGTAGTTTATGCTCTTTGAGAACGTGCTTTCAATGGTAGGGTAGTAGGACTCGACGAATTGGTTGTCGATGAATTGAATAATGAGCGACGACTTCCCTGGAGCAAGCGGGTGTTAGCAACGGGTGAGACCGAGGACGGTGGCGGGTGGGGGCGGGTCGAGGGGAGGGTTGTGCGCGCACCGACTGAACGGGAACCCAGGACGGCGATTTTCCTCTTCTTGAGAATATCACCAGGCATGTTGAAGCGGAGAGGTGGGGACGGAAGGGGATTAAAGGGAGGCGTAGTAGAGGACTAAAAGGGAGAGGAGAGGCGCCAAAGACGAGCTGAGCCAGCCTGAGCCACCGATGATCCGCACCGTTTCTCCGTCCGCTACTCTGCGTCGCGACGGATTCAGCCACCGCGCACATCGTTTAGCCTTTTAACTCCCTCCTCCATTCCCCCCTCACCGCCTCGTCCTCTTACGTCCCCGTACGTCCGCCCACCACCCGGATCTCCCCTCACCTGAGCCCCCGGGTCCGGTGACGCCCCCACCGTCGCCTACAACAACAGCGCCAGCCCGCTTCTCCCCCACCGGCCAGCCTGGATCCCCCTACAGATCTCGCAGTGCCCCGGATCGATGCAGGCATTTGTATTGCTCGAGTACTTTGTACGTCTTCTTCGCCTCACTCGGACGCGTGCATGTGCCCCCGGCGCACGGTGCACTTTCCCCCGAACCATCTATTCCGAAATTGCGCCCGATGCCATTTGCACCCTCGTATCCGCTCCTTTAATTGTTTAGCACCTCAAATATTCGTGCTCCCAGCGATTGGTCCCCAGCCTAGACAGCTGGCCAGAACGGTGCGGGCTAAAATCGCTGTATCTGATGTTCGTCTAGGACCCATCTACCGGCTATCCACCTCGTGGAGCACCTTTCTCGCGAGGCAACAAGGATGCGGGGTGGTAGAGGCTCAATCGACAGATCGCTCCTTCTGCGAAGTGGTCCCCGAACGGCATGCCCTCCTGCGAGATCAACTCTGATAGGCAGGCGTGTGCCCAGAAGCAGCCGGCGCTGGAGGAAAATTCGCCATTGGCCTCAAAGGGGAATGGTTGCTGGCGCTGTTCACGTTGTTCGTATGCGGTCCGCTCGACGGTACGACAGCAAAGCCCCCGCTGGCAGGCACTTACGGCGATGGTGTAAAGGGCTGACGCACAATCAGCGCTCGCTCAGACGACGGCGCTATCACATGCGATTCCGCTGGTCCGAGGATACACCAAGGGAACGGAGACACTGTTATTGGCGAAGTTCAACACCGGGCGACCAGAATGGCGCTCAGAGGCCACCAGTCAGGAAAATTGAACGTCGTTTGCTGCGGACGGGTAACATCAGATCACTACTATCTGTACTTTATTGCTAGACATACCTGATGAACAACGCATCGTGTTTGATGATTCTGGGTATTCAGTGTGCACTTTTGTCCCCTCGCGCCATGACTAGCGCCGTGGCCGCAAGGTCGGACCCGGACACAATTGTTGAGTCGAGGTATGTAGCTGCCTGCTCAAGCTCAAGACGCGGTGTCAGTCCGATAGTTAGGCTCCGTGCAATCCACGTCGGCGTGCTCGCTGTATTGGACATGCACTGGTATTCGTGGCGAGGAACGATCTGACAGACTGCATTGAACATCGCCCGAGAGGCATTGTTCCGCGAGGGAACGGAGGGAATTGCCTCAGCCTATGACCGTGCGATCATCAAAAGTTTAACGGAGGGTGTAGGGCACCTGGCCCGTACCAGAGCCGCAGGGCCAGTTCTATCATCGCTCGCCCAACGCCGCCGGCTTGTCAACAGCTAAGTCGCCGACATATCCCAACATTGGCCGTACCGTTGCAGAGCCATTCAGCGGCTAGGGCGGCTGACGTTCTACATCCGCGAACGCCGAGCATGAGGCATGACGAAGCTCCGTCTGCCCTCAGGACCGCGCATGCTTGACACTGCCGAACTCCAGGATATGTCGCGTGTCGCTGGCTGTCGCTGCGGACCAATGCAAACGCGCCGCAATGGAAATTCGTCGCAGTCGAACTGGCTTATCGGCTGAGACGCCTTTCTGAGGAGCATCCTTATGGCAGACCACGGAAGGTGACCTGTACGAGACAAGTGCGCCGCATAGACGGTCGAGTGGGTTACGCTAATCGGTGGCTCCGTGAGACGCTGCGGTTTCTATGCGCTTTCGACGATCGCCGCTTGCGGATATAAGCACGGGGCTGGTTCCGTTTGGAGTGACGATCGTGCAATTGGGTTTTGAGGTGGCCGGTATTTGTCTGCTGGGTTACGAAAGCCTGATGAATAACGTTAGATCGTCCGACAGAGGCGGCCTAGGGATACCTTATCTCTTCGGCAGACGAGAGGTTTGCGTTGTGTGCCTCGTTGCCAGTTGTCCAGAGCGCAGGGAAGTCACCATGTCTCAGACAGATACGCCGGGATACAGGTAATTGAGTTGGTCTGTGTCCAGTCCAAATACTGAGACGAGCCGCTCTGAGACACATTCCTGGATGTTAAGAATGGGTTTGTGATGTGTTGCAACAGTAGATATGAAACCAGGTGGTGCTATTCAGGGAAGATAGGGTTCGCTCAACTGCATATCACATCCTAGTACCCTCGAAATCAACGTCTCGAATTGTGGGTGTCTGTTTTGTACTTCAATGAGCCCAGACTTAAGATAGTTAGATCCCTTGAGGGGGCGTGGACGACACCGATACTCCGTGCACAACCGCACTATTACAGCGAGTACAGATGTTCTGGTGCTGTCACTGACAGGTGTTCGCCTGTATGTCGAAGCAGTCTACATACCAAATTACAGTTTTGAGAAGGGCACGAAGTGCGAGTGCTACTCAATTCTGTGTTTTTGTCAGCTCTGAGTACAACGGTTCTGGTACGGATACTAACCAATGGCCTAGCATGCATCTCAGTACTTGAAAACCCTAACGTCGGCGCTGAGACGGTGTTCTAATTTCGACGTACCATTTCAGTTGGTCATCTCACCATCACGCATCAGGATCTCCGTGTAGAGTTTTGTGTCGAATCCTGTAGTACCTAAAGAATGTTAACATACAGGAAGAGGGAACGTGGAGAAAGCTGGCCAAAATCCGCCAGATCGAGCCGCGTCGCAACGCGGTCACGTGCGCGACTCATGGTCTGCAACGTGACCGTTCGATTTCGAACACGAACCAGCCGCACCGTGTTCAACTTCACCTTCACACCGCGACCACCATCTACCGTCCCGCCAAACTCGCCGCTCTATCTGCCTTGCTCACCGCTCACGACACCGATCATCATGTCTACCACCACGACGCCCAACGACTCTCCCGTCCACGTTCAGCCTCTGCACAACCCATCACAAGCAGCGCACGTCGTGGTGCCGCAGGCGCCGCTCGGCAACGCAACCAACGGAGTCCCAAGCCAGGCACCAGGCATGGGCGCGAAGGCACTGCTGGCCAAGAAGATGGCGAACCAGTATGTCTGCGGTGACAGTGGCAGGTGGCCTGGGCTGACATTGTCCTTTGTCGAGCAGTAACCCGAAGTACATCTCGCCGACCGACAAGATGATGACGCCCGTCAGCCAGAAGCTGAATGCAGCGAAGAAGAAGCACTTCACTAAGTACGTACCCTGTGTCTGTCGCACGCTCTGTGGTCGTGTTGACCGCTCTCCGCAGGGGCGCGAAGCCTATGCTGTCGCTCTTCCCCGAGAAGGACGCGACATCCGACCCCGAGAGCGCTTCAGATGAGGAGGCATCGTCATCGTCACCAGTCGAGAAGAAGGTGGCAGACGACGAGAACCCTTTCTAGTCTCGTCGATGACGCCCCTGCCCTCCCCCCACACCATATCGTTATTCCCGCCCGGCTTGTACGACTATCCGTCCTATACCTCATGCATCATCCCCTTGCTACTCGTTGTTTGTCCAGCTTGCACTAGTTATGCATCTTGTACTATCATGAGCTGGGCCTCAGGCCGCTGCAATCGATTGGCTGCAGCAGCATCGTCATGTCCTTGTTTGCAAGGTGGGGGCTTCGATCGCTGCGAACCCGATTGCCTCAGATGATGTGTTTCTCAAATCCGAACCCGCCACTTGGCAGGCTTGTCGAAGGATCCCTGTAGCCTTGTACTGTAACGTACGAAGGCTACAAACAAAGCTACGCTACGACATCCACATACAATGCACGTAAGTACAGTTACGTTTATGAGGTGCTTCCTGTCAGGGCAAGCTCGTTTTTGTGCGCTCCACTCAAATGTCACTTACCCTCAATTGAGCTCCATATTCCCTTGGACGTTCTGAGTCCGCTTTCATAATCACGTAACAACAGGTACCGAACGGGTCTTGATCTTCGTGGACATAGTGCACGGGCCCGCCATAATGGAGACTACTGTCGTCCCCGTCATTCTACGCAGCCTAGCCTTAGCCAGACATATGATCACCGGAAAGACCACCAACGGAACCCCGGTTTTCATCTGCAGTGAGACACCGCTAGGTCAATTGTCGGACCGCGTGCATTTCGTGGCGCGTCACGTACCATACCCTCCCCTTTTACATTCCAACAACGCTCCGGCTCCCGGAGTATGGGACGTATCTGCAAATGTTCGGGACCGCCTGAAACGCACCCTTGCGCAGCTGTTCTGAGTCTGACAAGTGACTTCACGAGTAGCACTAGAAATCGAGACACGGCAGTGCAATCGGACCTCGATCCCACCACCGCAGTGTCGTGAAGCAGGCCAGCCTCCTCCAGGCACCATTTGTGTATATCTACAAAGAGCGAACGATACGCCTCCATTAACGATCGGTCAGCAGTAGCCGGACATGAGTAACTTAGGAAACGATGTAGAGATCCGAATCCGTAGGGACGGCATATAAAATGTCCACGGGTCCCAAAATGCAGCAGTAACGACGACGATGTCCATATCCCAATGCACGCCCAACGACGTAACTTTAATTCAGTTCCTCCTGCAGCACCGGAAGAGATTCCGCTTGAAGAAGTAGAACAGGCACTGGAGACGAGCGGTAAGCTGTCAGCTTGGGGCGTCGAAGAGAGCCGAACACTTACGCCTATAAACCGAACAGCGGCCAGCCCGAAGGTGGAGTACAGGATGATAGCGAAGTAGATGTTCTGCTTCTTCTCGAGGATAGCGTTGTCCTGAGACTCGTCGCCGGTGCTCAAGCCGTTCAGGTTCTCGACCGAGATGGCAAGCGTAGCGTTTGACAGCATCCAGAACGAGACCAGACGCGTACGGAACGTCTTGTTCTCGTCGTCCATGGTGGGCTTCTCGACCTCCTCCTTGACCTGCAGCTTCGTCACCGCACGCGTAACGGTCTCCTTGAAGTGAGCATCGAGATCGTCCTTGTTTCTGGCCACATCTTCGACGACGGCAGTGTCGGCGTCCTTCGACTTCTTCGACGAAACGGACGGCAAAGCCTCAGCCTTGTCGCTACCCTTGGTACCCCACGAGACCTAGATACAGTAGGTCAGCATGGATACAATTTCCGCCTGGTGATCACTTACATCGTGAAGGTTGCAGAATGCGTAGACGTTAAGGACGTTCGTGAAGCTAGGGGCCAACGCAAGATACTGGGGGAAACTCGTGAACATATGCCAAGGGTCGCGCTGGACAATTGCTCAGTAGGTGTTTCAGCACGAGAGGACAGTGACGCTTACGTAAAGGAACGACGCCGTCAGGTAGATACCGTACGTTGCCACCATGGCGACAATGAGCGAACCGACAGGAGGTTTCAAGAAAATCACGATGATCTGGGTAGCAGTCTTGCCCTTTAACTCGTTGGGGACGTTCTGAAAGCCGACATGAGTTAATGTGAAGCGAATAACGCTCATGACACTTACCATGAAGGCCTTCACGGTAAGCGCGAACGAGCACACCAGCAGGTAGATCGATAGAACAGCGTATACCCTGATATCGGGTATGTGAGTAACGTTCTGAGGTTATACGGTGCCTCACATACCATAGTGTGATGGTGTACGCCATTTTTTCTCCCTTTGGTCGATTACCCAGCGCAAGGATGAACTGTAAGCAAAGGAAAGCGAGGTAGATCCATTTCAAGACTTCGTTGATCCAGTGCGTCTATTTCCCGTGGTAAGTCAAATCGGAACGATAGAGCTCCGCACAACTCACGATTTCCGTAGTGCCGAAGAGAACGAGACCTTGACCGGGGAGCAGATCGATGATGATACTGAATGTCAGCCACATGTTGGCGAGCGCGAACCAAGTAAAGATCAGCGTGAAGATGTTATACTGCACCCGAGTCAATAACAATACCAAAGGGAACAAGCAGTATGAAACGCACCAAGGCCTGAACGTGGAGGAAGAACATGCGGATGATACCATGGCTGGACCGGTACAGCTTGAAGAAGTTGACGAGACTGTACTATAGAACGAGGGAGTATCAGTGTCGAGCGTCAAAGGACAATGTGGGTGTGCTCCCGTGTACTTACCACCGACGCCGCGAACGAACCGTTCAACCAACGACGACGCTGACCGATGAGCTCCGCGGCAGACTCCGGAACATCCGTCTCGGCCTTACTAGGCTTGACGTACGTCAGGGTCCACCGCTCGTTGGCCTTGGCGACGAGCTCGAAACAGAGGATACGATCCTCGGCCAAGAACATGTTCTTCGTGAAGATGTTCATACCATAGATACCCTTGGGACCAAGACGGTCGGCCAGGGAGTGGTCACCGTGGAAGTACTGCTCGAGAGGACGGCCGAGGATGGCGCGGTACCGGTAAGCAGAGAAGGCACCGGGCAGCACGGACACGTAACCGAAGCTGCTCTCGAGCGGCTTGTCTGCATGCATGTATTAGATCACGAACGGCGCTGCCGGGAAAACGGGTCTCACCCAGGATGTTGGACATCTTGTACTCGAAGTTTTGTGCGGCGACGAGAGGGTTGAGGAGCTTCTTGCCCCCCTCCAACATGGCGTGAATCTCACCACAGCACCCACCCAAGTGCGCGTCATTGTAGAAAGCCTCCCACAGATAGTAGATGGACTTGTGGCCGGGCTTCGTACCAGCATCAATGAGAACACAAATCTCCGGCTATCGCAATTGTCAGTTTGACGAAGCACCCAGGTGTGGTTGAATGTACCTCAAGCATCCGACCAATAGCATTGAAGAGCCAACGGTGAGAGTTGATCTTCTTTTGGTTCTTTGCCTTGATGACGAGGATGAACGAGACCGGGACAAGGTTAGTGCTGTCATCGCCGTGAGGGAGAATGAGCTGTGGCGTCGCATCGACGGACAGTTGTGTCGTGTACTAGGAGACATGACTTAGTATATTACTCCGAGAATAGGTATGTCTGCCTACCTCGAAGATATGGGCAACGGTATCCTTGCCGTCGACCTGCTTCTTCATGACACCATCCTGGTAGACGCCTACGGTGGCAAGAATATCCAAGACTGTCTTGTCCATGGGCTCCAAACCATCAATGACGAGCGCTACGGTGATCTTCTGCCAGCCCGGCACACCCTCCTCAGCGGTACGGCGCCAGTACTTGGATTGCTTGGTCTTGCAAATGTCACGGATGTTCAACATGACACCGTGCAAGGTACGGGCATAGAGCTGCTTGTCTTCATTATACGACGTGACGGCAATGAGCAGCTCCGTCTGTCGGTTGAACATCTTCGTACGGAGGGAGTAGCCATTAGCTTCCGAGAAGTCGTCGGGATCACACGTTGCTGCAGTGTAACGCATGTGTCTAATCGGAAGAAAACGAGGTTGGCGTCACGTTGAAACGCGGTATTGAACAGTCACTCACGAGAACTCCGTCGATTTCGACATGCCCAACCACTTCGGCTCAATAGCACTGTATACCGGACTCGGCACAGGGTACTCCGCAATGAAGTTACCCTTCGTAAGCCTGACCTTACGGGTCACACCACGCTTGATGGTCTGCCGCCGCCTCCAGGAGGATTCGACGCCTGACGAGGCTGTCGAGACGGTAGAGATGGGACGGTCATACGGGTCTCCGTAAGCGTTGGGGTCAATGGGCCTGTAGTAGCGTAATACTCGATGAGCAACACGTTGCATGCAAAGAGACAGCCGACCGCGTCGCGTAGTAGCGTGGCACAGCAACTCACCCTGGGGGATAGAGACTGCCAGGTGCGGCAGTGAGGGGAAGCTTTTCAACCTCATCATCATCGTAGTTGCTGCCGCCCATGCCACCAAATTCCTGTGGCAGAGAGACCGAGCTCTCGTACGCAGACAAAGCCGGTTCTTGAAAGTTGACCTGTCGCGGACGGTCAGCGAACGGGTCACCATGATCGCTCACGGAGCCGTGCGAATGGTAGGAAGGAAGCGAGGGTCGATGGTCCTCGGCCATGGCTGGGTGTGCAGTGAAGGAATGGCCTGAGGATGTCGAGGGCGTGAAAGGGCAATCGTCGGGAGGTCGTCGTGGATGGAAGGACGGACGCAGCAACCCTCCAACTTGAGGTCGCGCTCGCCCCGGACCCCGAATACCCTCTGTGGCTGTAGCCCTGTCTTCCTTCTCGCCCGCCATTCTTGATCCCCTCCGGCCAATGGCGGCGTCCCCGTCCTCCGTCCCGCCGACTCTGGCTGTGATCCATCACCTTCCCGCCGCTCGGCTCGGCCGGCACCGCCAACCGACCGGTCGTTGCCACGGGAATGAGTGTTCTCTCTGCGCCACCTGTCACTGTCAGCCAACACTGGCAGTGGGACTCTACGCCAGCTTCACCTTGTAGACATGTACGTCCTCTAGACTACTGGGCTATCACACTTTCCGACGAGCCGCTCAAACTGGGCCCAACATGCGAGGGCGCGGCTGCTGCGTGGCGTTTCATGCACAACAATCTGCATTGGATCGGCTTCATCACGTTCTTCTTCCCACCGGCATTGGGCCGTTGACTGGGGAATGGCTGCTTTGAGTACTACTTATGCATACTTAGTGACGCCGTAAGTCAGTCTTTCTAAATGGTTGGCATGATCGTTGCGACTATGGCTCGTTACTGAGAGCTCCTCTATATTTAGGTCATTAATTCATACCTCGCGGGCTATCTTTGCGCTACTGTATCCTCATAAGAGTCATGGGTTTGCGGTATGTACACCTCGAGGCTATCATACACTGTGCACTTCTCTCTTCTCATGAGGCAAAGTGGACTCATCGCAACCTCAACTTAGTCATAGGTTGAACTGCCCGACTTGCAGTCCGGTAGACTAGCTGTGTCCTGCGCGGGGAGAACAAGGTTCCCGGGGGTCGTCGCGTCAGCGCTACTTAGCACGTACCAGGCACGTACAGCATTTCATAGCCATTCCGCCTGCTTTGTCTCGCATGCCGAGCTCCTATTCGACAGACGGTCTTGTTATCCCGTCCACGAGACTCCGCAATGCCTCAGTAAGACGTCTGCACAAGGAGGTCGGACATTGCCAAGTCTGCACTTGCGGGAACGAAGCTTCATGCGCTCGAGGGTTGCAATGTCGGCGTGACGGGAAATCCGGGTACGAGCAGCGGGCGCCACATGGCTGCGTATGGCTGCGTATCAAGAGCTGCGGGCTGACATCGATGGACGTTTGGGCATGGCACCATGGCAGGGTATGTACTCTGGATACAGAGTCTCAGTGCGCGCAGTGAGGGTGTCGCGCATTTATATTGAGACTAACGTGGGTCGGATCGGGTTTACATACCCCGCGATCAGTCTCGCGGGAAAATGGTAATTCCAAAGCAGCCAAGCTCCAAGTCCCGCGAGCATCTGAATACCGCCTGGTGAGCGCTCCGATACCTCGAGCTCATCAACTTGTTACCAGCCGGGTCAGCGAACGCTAGGCTTCTACATGATCAATGAATAATATTATGCCGGACGTTGAAGTACTGACGCGGTTGATACTCTCGGTGCCTGCGTATCCGGGAGCTTCTGGGTAAGGAAAATGTTCTGCACATCGTACAGTATGAAGGATACAATCACTGGTACTGGGGGCGGTCGTACACGACAGGAGCTTTTCCGGAGAAATATAGGTAGAGAATTCGAGAGGAAAGCGGATGCGGAGCTATATATGCAAGATTCAAGTACTGCCAGGGGCGGTCGTACATAACAGAAGTTGAGTAGAGAATGGCAGACAATCCGAAGAAACCTCTACATGTGGGACACTTGATTGGGCGGATGTGCGTCTGCTCAGCTCAGAGATTCAACTCTGAATCAGAGATATAGACGTCCTCCGGTTCCTCAGGTTCGGACCTGTGCCTTCGGTGAGACAGGATGACCCAAAGCAGGGACGGAGCGAACGTACTCGGGAGACGGCGGATAAGCGTGAGCGCGCATCTGCGTATATATCCCTGTAGGGCCAGCCATCGGCGGCGCTGGTACTTTCTCCAAGCGACCAAGGCTGTTCACATGCACTCCCTGCAGTAGGCTGAGGGAGGAAGGCAGTTTGTGCATAATGAAACGCAGCCGGTTTTGAAGTGTTCGCGCAGAGGCGCACAGCTCTTCCAACACCACCGTGAAATTGCGGGCAAGTGAGAGGAACCGTCGGCGATCGTCATCCTGAAGATGGACGCGATAGGTCTGGTCGTCGACAGTCCAACCGAACAGGCGCAGGCGCTAACGTTGCGTACTGTATCAATCTCTGGAGATACAAGGAGGTACTAAGGGACTCGTACCTCGTCACACTCTGAGATAATCCAAGTTCGATTCATCTCGGCTGCAAACGAGTGCTCGCGGTTGTCGGAATCGACGAGGAACAGGGCAACTGCGATGGCTCGGCGTCAGCCACTATGCAAGAAATTGAAACCGTCGCCTCGGCACTCACACTGAGAAGGTCCGTCGGGGTAAGCTACATCGACTATAGCAATGACTCCGGATACCCAGTCGGTGTTTTGGTCGTCATTCTTCATGTTGCAGACCGTGAATGAGCCTTCGGCGATGAAGACGACGCTTTCGCTGAAGAGATAGTTAGATGACCATAAGCAACCCAAAAGGTGCGTCAGAACGTACGCGGGGATAGTGGCGGGAATTTGGGACGCGTTCTCCATGCTGGCTCGCCGCGATGGTTACAGTGAGCTCGCCGAGGGTGGTTGTTCGAGGAAGAGATGCGCCTCAAAGGTAACAAGGAGTACTGAGGTGACCATCGTCGCCTTGAACGAACACGACGGGTACGTAGACGACTCAGGCTCGTATACTATCACTGTGAGAGTTGCTCCGCGTGAAATTACCCCAGCTCTCCGTGTGAATGCCTGGTTTCACACGGTGACTGGAGGGAGTGTGGCGAAGGACCCGTTCGGATGAATTTCATCCCCTTCGCACCGGATGAAAGTCATCCGTTTTCTTGGGGAAATTCATGCGAAGTATGGATGGATCACTCCGTACTATTCACTACTATCACAGTCACGCAAACTAGGATAGACCAGCGCGCGCGGCGCAGAGGACTCGGAGATCAATATTAGTGTACTATCACTGTACTTGTGTTGATGCCAGTATATCACTTCGGTCAACAATTGCCCACAGCCGTTGACTAGGATCGTACACACGTCCGACTACGAATCGCACGGCATCGAGATCGACCACGTCCACCGGACCCATCTGCGAATAGTATGACATACCGAGTGAATGCCGTTTCTCGATCTTCACGGTCCTGATCACAGCGAGGGCGTATGTCCGCGGTCCACCATCAACGTGAAGGTGCGCGTCCATCTCAGCGGTGATCGGCACGATGACCACACGCAGAAGCTGCCCAAACTTGTCTCGGCGTTCCATCTCGACTGGCTTGTTCTTGAAGCGTGCATTCTTGTCAACGAATCGATCGTACTAGTAGGAGAGAAGGCAGTGAGTCAGTCCAAACTGTCTTCGCAGGCTGCCACACATGCCACGTACACGAACAAATGTCGCATCACGGCCATCCTCCTGCCGTCTCACAAGATCGCTCGCCGACATTGTATCGCCACCCTCGAGCCGGCGAACTTTGCCATGTTGTGTGAAGCACGTCGTGCGAACAAGCTTCTGTGCAGTACTAGGCCGCACGCCAAACTCTTCCACCAGCCACCCTACAATTTTCGCATGAATGTCGTTTGGAACATCAGAACTTCTCTGATTTCGGTTAAGGGCTGTGACGGACCGTAACGGTTGCTAAAATACCGATTTTACATAGCGTCAGCGTGTCAGACGTTAGCAAGACTCGCCGCATTTTAGAAGGTCGGGCGAAGATGGCGATTGCGCCGTTAGATACTCATAACTTGTTAGATACTCATCACTCGGTCGTCACAGCTCACACAATTATTAGCAAGTGTCACTGGAATGACTCCCATTCTCCGGTTCTCTACTCAGTACATTGGATCAGAATACAGTATATAGACGACTCGGAACAGGTAAGTCCATAGCTAGCTAACCGACACAGTTAGGAGTGCACGGAAGGAGGTGCGCACCGTACCAAACTCTGCGGAACAGCGGCGGCTACGTTTGAATGACTCGCCGTCAAGTTTCAACTGGCTGTCTGCATGCTTATGCTCGTCGTGCAGCACCCTCACCTGTTCATCCGCCGTCCCCATGCCCGCTATGCTCGTCCATCCCCATGCATCTGCTTGGCCGCGCCCACCGCTCATCCTCGCCCACTCCCGCTTGCCCTTGTCCGTCCGCAAGGCCACGTTGTACGTTCTTCGCGGCGAGGTCTTCGTAATGTGAGCGTCCCAATTGGGCAGGCAGGAAGGCCTGGTTCGGCATTGCAGCTATTCGCTGAATGAGAGCATGACATTTGCGCAAGTCCTGTCCAAACGGAGGCGCAAAACATGCGTTGGTGAGTGGGTATCACTCGGGCCAGCTAATACAAGCACATTACGTGGTGATGTCCATGGTAGCCGCCTCAATCTCCCTCTCCTCAGCTGACCGGTCCGAGAAACCGGGGACATGTTTTGCATGGAGCTTGTCGAGAACACCGGCTAGCCTGAGAGAGAACGTTAGAGGAAATGCTTGGAGAAGAGGAACAACGGAGTGGAAACATACTTTTAGCCTGTGTGCCAACGAGTATCTCCTCCACCTGGTCCGCGATGTCGACCCTGTGTCACCGGTGATCAATTAGTACGAGAGAAAGTGGGCAGAGGAAGATATGACCGGTTGTAGGGGACGGTCCGGGGATTATTCACCATCTCGGCGGTAAGGGTGCGTCTATGGCGACATGGCCGGGCTCGTGGTCGATGAGGTGTTCCTTCTCGTCGCCGTCGTTGAGGGCGTCGTCGTAGTTTGATACAACACGGGAGCGGCGGAAGCAGGAGGAAGAGGCCCTGGAGTCGCGGTAGGAGATGAAGAGGAGGGTGTGCGAGCGGGTTGTGGGCGACGACAAGGAGCCTGAAGACATTGTACACGCTGTGTCGTGCTGCTCTCGCCGTGGCGATCGTCATGCTGCTGTTTGTTTGGAAGCAAGTCGGCGCCTGAGCGAGGGGGAGAGACGCGCCGGTTTGAGGCTCGAGAGTGAGGACATGCCACGACGCTGACAGTGAGTCGCAGCTGCACCGGGACGCGCAAGTGTCCACAGTGACTTGCCCTGAACCACCTAAGCGCCGGCGGCCACGTCCTCACTCTCATTAGCTCTCTATACCTCGACGCGCGCACCGTGTCGCACACGCTCTCCCTCGACCAGTTCGCCGACCGCGCGGAGCACCCACACTCTCCCGAGCTCGAGCTCGACTGACACGCTGCGACGCCACCCCATCGTACCCGCGCGCGACACTGCCCTTCCTGCGCGCGTCGCCTCCGCCTTGCGCGGTCGTCTGGGAGGTGATGCCAACTCACCCGTACAACCTTCGGCCGAGCTGCTTGGCTATCATGTCAGACAAGGAGGGAGAGGAGAAGGGGGTGATAGAAGCACACGAGTGGGTCGAGAAAACAGGTGAGTGTATACATATTGATGTCTCTTGCTTGTAGTACACACCATCGCGCATTGTCACCCGCTCCACCCCGCACACGTCGGAGCCTGACTGCGTTCGTGCGCACATACGTTTGCATAGACTTGCCCGCACAGACTCATGCACTGACCTACGCGCAGTGGCGCGCGCCCTCCTGCTCACCTATCCGTCTGTTCACTCACCGGTAAGCTCAATCCATGTACTCGCCCGCGGGTGCACCTAATAGTACTTACTCGTCAGCTCCTCTGGTCTCAGCGCGGCCACTGCGTCTTGCGACGAAAACATCGCCTAGACGGGCGATACAACGCATCCGGGGGAGCAAGGGGTTGGTATACACACGACACGACATACCATTCCGCGCCAACGACGATGTATAGGGACACTCCGTGCATACCAGGAACACGACGGACCGCGGACGAGCGGACAGCGGCCATCCCCCACATAAAGATGTGATGCGCGTCGTGCCCAGAACCCTCCCGCTCTTACATCGCTCCACCGGTCCCCGTTGACACACAGCACGCCAGCCGCGCCGCCGTGGCCTGCGGCGACCAAGAAACCCCACCCGCCAATGACGTCCAGCGTCGTGGTGGTGCAGGCGTGCCTCGCACATGTCCGACATCTGGACGCGCGATGGAGGGTCGCGGGTAGAGGCGAGCTCGGGCTGTACGAGGTGAGCTGCTCGCACGTCTGCGAGGAAGGAGGACGGATGACCAGCTGGCAACCGTACATCAACAGATGGCAGACGTAATGTGCGCAAGGGATGCCGATTGCGGCGGGCGATCGACCAAGCAGCGCCGCCTGCCTGCGCGTCCCGCCATGCTGCTGCTCGCGCCGCAGAGCTGTCGGTACGCGCCTTGGGCTCATGGATCATCCCTGGCCTTTGTGAACGCGCTTGCGCCCGTTTATAGTCCTGCCCCTTTGCCCACTGATTTTGACCTTCGGTATGCACACATAGCGTTCCATTGGTCCTAGTACAGCAAACATGTAGATTACCACTGTACACATGAATGCCACCCTATAACATAGATAGTCGTTACGTGATGCTCAGCAAAGCATAAGCGCGAGTTCAGCAAAGCGTATGATTTACCCACAATCTCTGTGACCTGTTAACACTGTGACAGTTACGTAGTGCGCTGACAGTATCTAGTGAATTTGCGTTAGCATCGGTCAGCGCGTCACCGATCATTAGAGCTCGTCAGCAATTTCCGACTTCTACTGATGAAGTCGCTCGTGCGGAGTTTGCGGAGGCATGAAGACGAAGAGGGGGTCTGATGATAAACAATGTTAAATGTGCTGTTGCCACACTCAGGACACGGAGACTCACATTCAGGGAGTGATACATGCCCGGTACCAGTAGCAGGAGCTCGTAGTCGTAACTCTTCATATAGGTTGTAGAGCAACTTGATATGCTTCAGTTGCGAGCGCTCTAGAATGTAGTTGTCGAGACTGGCATAGGGAAATCGACGGCTCCGAATGCCCCGAAGAAGCTGTCCACAGTACCGCTCCATCGGGAATGCCCACGCTGTCCAGACAGGGCCAATCGCAGCAATGCTATCTGCGATGTGAAGCAAAGCATGTATCGTAAGTGGACATAGTGCGAGGCGGGCGGGATCATGCCGGTAGTATAACCTAAGACGTGCACCGCAAGTGACCAAATAGCTGCTGTCAGCCCAGATCTAGCAGCAACACAAATCTTTCACTAGGCTCACCTCTCGTACTCCACCACCCAGTCACGAAAGCCTCGCCGGAGCTCGTCGATTTGACTGTCAGTGATCTCAAACTGCATGCAGAGGTTCAGCAGTTTGACAAGCGAAACGAAGTGCTTGTAAAACTTCGCATTCTTGAATCGATTCAGGAGCAAGGTCGGCGCGATGTACAGCGTCCAGAGCGCCGTCGTCTCAGCGGTGAGCTTGATTGATCCATCTGCTGGATTAGGCACACGCGAACCGAACGCGCTGGGCATTGTACTGCCTGCGGCAGCAGATGCGGTGCCAATCGCCTCCCAGACTGTGGGCGTGAGGACGTATGGCTCGTCTACATGATTGAGGTCCTTGAACTTGCCCGTCCAGAGCTTGATAAGATTTGGGAGGAGATTCTCCCAGATGAGATGCATGAAATCGAATGGGAAGGACAGAGGGAAGGACAGCGAACCGAGAACACTCAACAGAGGAACCCCCTTGATGCCGTACTTCCGTGACAGCTCCTTCTGCGCTGCCTCCGACGGTGCAAATTGAACCTCGCGCGCCTGTCGCATGAATTCGTCATGGGTCCGAAGAGGCAGTTCGTCAGGATTGTAAACGCGAGGTTCTGGATTTGACGGATGTTGACTCCGGTCGAGAGGAACATAGTGTGTCGTTACGCGCGGCGTGAGACTTCGCACCCCAAGGATCGAGCACATGCGGCATGGGCAGATTGCGTTGTGGCCCTTCATTTTCATGAGCATCGAGACGGCAGGGATGTCGCCAAATGCAACGATGAGGAACGCGCGCAAGACAAACATTGCCTTGGTTAGAGCGTCAAATGCTGCGACACCGATGGCTAGTTGAACAAGTTCTTGGACGAGCGGATACAAAAACGAGTCAGCATCCCAGGGCTTTTTAGGGCCTGGAATCTCGCCGAGTTCAATGACATTGCTGTCATGGATCCGCTCGTCCGGAGGGAGGTTGTAGTTCATCATGATCACCGGCCACGATGTCTTTGTTCGTGACTTGTGAGGGCCGAAGCCATCTGTGGACAGACCAAGGGCAATGTCGCGTGGGTCGTTGAAGAACCAGGACGGGATGGGACGGTCATCGATCTCGACTTGTTTGCCCTTCAGGTGACGGTAATGTGTACCACCGAAAATGTCCGTTGTGATGCCAGGTGTGTAGCTCTGATCGTGTTTGGTACGGTACTGCATCTTGGTCGCATACGACACATTTGCAGCTGCTGTACGTAGGCGCGGGATGAGAGGGAGATAACGGAAATGCTTCCGTGGACGCCCTGAGCGATCAAAGCGGTCCTCATTGCAGTGTGGACATTGGCGACAATCGGCGTAGGGTCCGGTGTAGCAGACACAGCTGTTCACGCAGCAGTCGTAGATCTCGGGTGTAAACCCTGACAGAAATGCAACGCGCGTTTTGGCGGCTTTGATAGATGGTAGATCGGAGTTATGGAACGCAAAGCGGAAGCGATCGAATGCTTTGTCGGTGAGCCGCTCTTCGACTTTGAGCGTCCATGCACGTAGAAGGTTCATGTCCGCCTCCGTCAGTTTGTTCCCACCTGACAAACACAGTTGGTAAACTTTAGATGTCGTGTTGCCAGATTATGAGACTGCCTTACTCGCAACAGAAGCAGCTTCAATCTCGAAGCCCTCACCAAGGATGTCCCAGAGGGAGAGAGCACTTCCCTCAGTCTCGAGTGCACGGAGTTCGTCGTCTTGACACAGGCTCTCGTCGTCCCATTCGTCAGGGTCAGATCCCAGAGACATGTCCGACTCGCTGCCAGAACCAGCGTCAAAGAACGGCGCTGTCTCTGAGTCATCCGAATCCGACGTTTCAACCGTATCTGAATTCAGTGTCTCAAAGCCACGGCTTGAGAGCGGACCATCCGAGTCAGGCTGGAAGAGACTTGAGTGACGTAGTAACAATGCATCAGCGCGGAGGTCGGCCATGCAAAGTGCAGGTGAAGGGGGTTGATCATTGTTGGGTGGCTCAGGTAGGGTATCAGAGGCAGCACTTGGTACAGGAAGTGGGCTCTGAGGTCCCGGGGAGTCAACAGGCAGCTGTGCACAGCACTCAGGGACAAGAGGGAAATGAATATATTGCATGAACAAGGGCATACCGGCTGTGATGCCATAGAATCCGCGCCTTCAGTGGTTTAGGCATAAGCTCAACGGTGTAGTGAACATGATCAACATAGAAAAACGCACCAGGCTCATCGACGTCCTCTTGTCCATGCTCCCTAACTATTAGCCTCACACGCTTTGGTGGCCGTGCTGTAGTACAAGCACCGCCAGCATGTGCTGTCCGAGTCTGCGAGCTTGATTCTCCCGTTTCTGCGCGCCGGGAATCCGCGGGCACGCTTCGCTCATCTTCGTCGCCTTGCTGCGTTATGTTGGATCTTGTGCGTTTCCGCCTTCTGCCATCTGCTGCCGTGCCTGCAAGCCACCGGTTTTCGGCAAGCACATGGATAGCGAGGTTCTGACCACCACGGCCGCGCAGATGGCCAGACTCTGTTGACGGCGTGACATCCTTGCCGCAGCCACAGCTGCAGAGGCTACGCCGAGGAGGCATGGAAACAAGTCGAGCAAGAGCAATACAAAGGTTACCGAGGTGTCAAGACAAATGGATCGCGTCGGCGGTGTCGCAGGTTGGCGGGCAGGTGCAAATGAGTCGGGTCAATGTATGACATAGGGCAGATACCATATCGGGTACAGCATGCCCCGCAATCTTGCGCGGTCATATATAAGACTCACTTGCTCCAATTTTTTCTCCCCTCATCTTTAACGCCTCCCACTACCTTCTAACGACCCTAGAACATCTGCTTTAATACCTGAAACACTCATTATAACGACATGACTTCTCACCTCTGTTGAACTAGGAAGGCGCTACCGGGCTGCCGGGTTCAATCACAGGCCGGACTGGTTCTATGGGAAGCTCCGGGTCCGTGATGTCATCTATGATGTCATTTGTGTATTATCACATGGCTACGCCACTTACCTTGTATGTCGTGGGAACGTACTATACAGTAGCTTAGATAAGCGGTCTCCTCATGTATATAAGGACCCCAGTAGCGTAGCTCAATCCTCAGTACCTTCAGTCGAAGTACTTGCGTGTGCATCAAGCATCAGCAACCTTGCAGGTAAGTTGTGAGGGCGCACCACTGCGTGGAGCTGCCTGCTCAACAGGTTATGAGCCCTGGTCACTGCCTGAGTACTGCGCCTCACTGGCTGCGTCTCAGTGTGCGCACCAGCTTACCTGTGGCTTCGCCTTAGTGGCTTGAAGCCAGGAGGGGACTATGCGCGTACATCGCTGCAGGTCTTAGCGCAACTCTGTTGCTGCTACCCCCAGCACATGCACCATAGCGGTGGTTGCGCCTCTAAGGCTGCACTCGTCATTGAGTAGAGGGCTGATGACATTGTTGTCAGTATTCCCCATTTACCGAGTTTATCACCTCAAACCCTCTACCAATGGCCTCCAACACCCTCTTCACCGCTGTCCCCATCCTCGATGGCTCCAACTACCGCGCCTGGGCTGAATCCATGTCAGCCTTCCTCATGGCGCAGGAGGTCTGGATCATTGTCAATTCGACCTGGCCCCAGCCTACTCTGGACACAGAGAATCCCTCAGTCTACTACGAGTGGCTGCAGCGCGATCAGAAGGCACAGGGGTCGATCCGTCTTCGCCTGACGTCGTCCGTCAAGGCGGCCGTCAAGAATAAGACGACAAGCAAGGCCCTCTGGGACGAGCTGAAGGCGCTCTATGACAAGCAGACCCCCGCCGGTGTTTACAAGGAGTTTAGGACAGCGATCAATGCTCGGATCCCTCCGAACGAGCACCCAAACCCGACGTTCGCTAACATCGCAGCTGCGTTTGACAAACTTGCGGGCGAAGGGATCGACATCCCCGCTTCACTGCGGGCGATGATAGCGCTCAATGCGCTGCCCTCCCGGTACGACACCGTCGTCACCACGATCCTCCAAGCCAAAGAGCTTACGGAGATGAAGATCGACTACGTCCGGGAGTCTGTCGTCATTGCCTACGAGCAAGGCGGCAAGCAGGCGTCATCTTCGCAGAGCGCGAAGAAGATCTCCGCCGTTAAGCGTAAGCACGGCGAACCAAACTTCAACCAGCAGCAGCAGCGCCAGGATGGCAGCAGCAGCGGCGGTGCGAAGGAAGGTCAAGGCAAGGGCAAAGGCAAGCAGCGCGGTAAACGCAGCGGCAAGCAAGTTAAGTCCCGCACCAACCAGGGAGATCATACGGACCATGCGCATCTCGCCTCACAGGCGTCGATAGCGGGTCCTACCACCTCCAAAGTCGTCGAGATAGCGCCTTCGGGCAGCAAGTCTCACACCGTCACCACCCGTCCCGCCAAAACCGGCCACAGCAAGAATGCTCACCGGTGGCTCAAGAGTGCCCTCGAGCTCGCCAAAGACATCGACGTCTCTGGCACCTCACAGCGTCTCACGACGTTGTCTGAGGTCGTTGACAATTCCGCTCGGATTGAGGAGTACCTCTCCGACTCGGAGTCAGAGTCTCGGGCGTCCAAACGCTCTCGTCATGGTTCTGAAGTAGGCCATGCGATCGACGCGATCATGGACGGGACGTACAACTCGTACGACGAGGACGAAGGTCCTACGACTCAGGATCCACTTGATTGGGGATCAGACGGTCAGTACGACATCGACGACGAGCTGGCTAACGCCGCCGGCTTAGGAGAGGACTTTGATGCTGGGTCAGTCCCTTCAGCTTCTATTCCCAAGCGACCTACTAACCCTGCGCTTCATACAGCCGCATGTAGTAGTAGACGCACTAGGTCTACTTTAAAGAGACGTAGTATTCGCAGTCGTAGTCGCAGTGTAACGAATGAATATATCAGTAGTTCGTTGCACAAATCAGTTGGTTGTCGGCATTCGCGCGATTTCGCTGCGTGCACCAAATGTAAGGGAAAAGCTAAGGCTTGGCATGAACCAGAGCCGGTTGAGTCGTCAGACTCCTGGATGTTGGACTCTGGAGCATCATTACATTTTTCCAACAATTTAGATGATTTTGCTGAGATTGAGGACCTCAGTGAGCCAATCGTCTTGTCGACCGCAAACGGCTCTGCCGTATGCACAAAGCGTGGGACAGTCTTCTTGAACTTTGAGAATGACGATGGTAGTCATACGACGACCAGATTATTCCCCGTTTATTACTTCCAAGGTCTTCATCAACGTCTCCTATCCATGGGAACGTTCCTCCGTGAAGGAATGACAGTGCGCGGTGGTGCGCAGCACGTCGACCTCTATGAACAAGGAGCGCGTGAACCACTATATGTGTTCAAGCCGCGGCACCCTAGTTCAACGATATTCGAAATACAGTCCTTGCCTTCACAGGACGCAATGAGTATCCATCAGACAGTTTATTCTGTCGATTACCATACTATGCATCGCCGCCTAGGACATCCTTCTAAGGACGTACTACGGCAAGCACAGAAACACACCGAGGGTTTCCCACCTTCGATAGAGTTCCCTAGGGAGGATCCTATATGCCCAGGATGTGCGGAAGGGAAAATGCATAACAAAGCATTTCCGCCATCTACGTTGAGAGCGACAGAGCCCTTCGAGCTCATTCACTCTGATGTGAAGTCGTTTCCCATCGACTCCTACCATAAGTATAGGTACTACATCCTGTACTATGACGACTACACTTCCAATGCATGGACAGTGAATCTGCGCAACAAGAGTGCTGCGATCACGGCCACGCGCCAATTCTTAGCCATGGCAAAAAACCAGTACGGCAAGAAGGTTAAGAAGTGGATGTCAGATGCTGGGGGAGAATACAAGTCTGAAGCGTTCGACAAAATGCTGAAAGACGAGGGTATCCAGATCCTGCAAAGTTCGCCGCACACTCCTCAGGAAAATGGCAGAGCGGAGCGACTCAACAGGACGATAATGGACAAAGCTGAGGCCATGCGCCATGAAGCGTGTCTACCTGAATCCTGGTGGGAATTTGCGGTTGAGCACGCTGTTCATCTCTATAACAGGACACCTGTCCGACGTCTCAAATGGCGTACCCCCTATGAGATGTTAAATGGTGAGGCTCCCAGCATCAAGCACCTAAGAATATTTGGGTGCGGCGCATATGTATTCATACCGAAAGACGTGCGCCAGAATACACTATCTCGGAAATCTGAGTTAATGGTGTACCTCGGGGTTGCCCCTGGTGGGCATGGGGCGCGATTCATGCGCAGCCCTAATAATGTGCTTTACACTTCATCGAACGCTCTGTTTGATGAACTCATGTTCCCAAAATGCCCGGACATGAAACGGCGAGGCAACACTAGGTTGCAATCTGCACCTAGACCTGACCAAGCGGGTCGCCAACCCACTTCTCAGGAGAATTATGATGACGATGACAACGATCATCCCTCTCATCACCTTCCAAAGGGAGCGGACAATGAGCGTGACGATGCTCAGGAGCAGCCTAGGGCGCCCAGTCCAGTTCCGCCGCCTCAACCTCCGGAAGAGCCAGCGCACGATGATGCGCCGCGGCGCTCAGGGAGAGAGCGGAAGCCAGTAACCCGCCCAGGGAATGTCTATGGGGAGAAACGGACCCCCGTAGAAATATACAAAGAGATCGAAAAGAAGGGGCAATGGAGGAAGATTGTCGGAGAAGAGCCGGGTAGCTCCCGCTCTCAACCACAGTCAAGGCAGCAACCGGTTCCCGGACCTAGTTCTGCGCCTGATCCACAGCCAGACCAACCTTCTGGATCCTCCTCGGGCTCTGACGACGACGAAGTCGAAGAGTTACTCATGGCACAACTATGCCGGGAAGGGGGAGTAGGATTGGTTAACATGCTGCTTGCAAAAGCGCTACCACTAGTTGACCAAGATTCTCCGAAGTCCAGCGTACGCGAATGGACATTCCGTGATATCTCGAAGCTACCTAAAGAGGAGCAAGAGAAGTGGAAAGCTGCGTGTCGCGAAGAGTTAGAGGCTCTGCGCAAGCGTGGTGTTTATGAGTTGGTTGACCGTCCTAAGGGACGTAGGGTTACCAAAAACCGCTGGGTCTTCGACGTCAAAACTGACGGACGAAAGAAGGCTAGACTAGTCGCAAAAGGCTACTCCCAGATTGAAGGCCTCGATTACGATCAGGTTTTCTCTCCAGTCGTTCGCTTTGAGACCGTGCGCCTTATACTCGCGCTAGCTGCGCTCGAGGGCATGCACATCTCCGGACTCGATGTCCGTAATGCGTACCTCTATGGTAAACTCGACGAGGAGATTTACATGGAGCAGCCTGAAGGCTTTAAAGTCAAAGGCCAAGAGCACAGAGTCCTCCGGCTATTGCGTGCTCTCTATGGACTCAAACAGGCAGGGTTAGCGTGGTGGCGCACCCTGAATGAGTCTCTCAAGGAACTCGGCTTTACACGCCTTGTATCCGACGCCGGAATTTTCATCTATAAGACGAAAGACGGACGTTTCGTCCTAGTCATAGTCTATGTGGATGATGCCCTATTTTGTGGCAAAGACAAGGCCCTTGTAGCCAAACTCAAGAACCGCTTCATGAAGAAGTGGGAGTGTCGCGACCTAGGCGACGTCAAGGAGTTCCTGCGTATGCGCATTACTCGGAAAGGCGACGAGATTCATCTCGACCAAACTACCTACCTTGAGACTGTGCTGCAGCGCTGTGGCATGCAGAATGCAAAATCTGCGCCTACTCCACTCCCTGCGGGTTACAAACCTGAGCCGCACACTGGCCCGGTTGATCCTGCGCTTCGAAGCCGGTATCAGACCGTCATCGGCTCCTTGCTATATATCATGCTCGGAACTCGACCTGACATCTGCTTTGCCGTGACTAAACTCGCGCAACAAGCTGCGAATCCGTCACAGGACCACTTGGACAAAGCGCTATATATCTGCCGCTACCTCGTGGGTACCAAGTCCTATGCGCTTGTATACAGCGGCAAATCTGGACAAGGTGTCTCGGCATGCACAGACTCTGACTGGGCCAATGACCCAGAGATGAGACGGTCTCAGAGTGGCTACTTTATGAAGTTGGCGAATGGAGTGTTCAGTTGGCTGTCTCGACGGCAAAAGACGGTTGCACTGTCTTCAACTGAGGCTGAATACATGTCGCTCAGCGACTGTAGCCGCCAAGTCGTCTGGGTTAAGATGCTCCTCAAGGAGATCGGTTACCTACTTGGCGCACTCCCTATCTGCTCGGATAACCAAGGAGCGATATTCATCGGCTCCAACCCTGTAACTGAGAGGCGGTCGAAGCACATCGACATACGCTACCATTACATCAGGGAACTGATTGAGGAGAAGCAAGTCGAGCTCTTCTACATCAGTACAGATGAAAATCCAGCAGACCTGTTCACCAAGAACTTAGGCCGTGTCAAATTCCTTAAGTTTAGAGGAATGCTCGGACTTAGATTCTATGAATCGTCCTAGAGCACCATTGGCAGCGTTATGCGCCTAGTACGCTTATGTGAGTCTACGACGCACTAAGCGAGGGGGAGTGTTGAACTAGGAAGGCGCTACCGGGCTGCCGGGTTCAATCACAGGCCGGACTGGTTCTATGGGAAGCTCCGGGTCCGTGATGTCATCTATGATGTCATTTGTGTATTATCACATGGCTACGCCACTTACCTTGTATGTCGTGGGAACGTACTATACAGTAGCTTAGATAAGCGGTCTCCTCATGTATATAAGGACCCCAGTAGCGTAGCTCAATCCTCAGTACCTTCAGTCGAAGTACTTGCGTGTGCATCAAGCATCAGCAACCTTGCAGGTAAGTTGTGAGGGCGCACCACTGCGTGGAGCTGCCTGCTCAACAACCTCAACACGAAGCGTCAACTCATCGGCCGCAGCAGCAATGCCCGGTCACTGGCGCACAAGTCTCCGCAGCGCGTGGCCCGTCGCAACGCAACGGAGAAGTCGAGTCACAAGTCGCACCGCAGCAAGATGAGCTCCATGAAAGCCCGTATGCGGGCTCTTGAAGGTATGTACCATGTCGTTGTGAGCCCAGGTCATGACGACTCACCGTCTAAAGCTCAACTGGCGGAGCTCCGTGTCGCACAAACTGTACAAGTCCAGGCATCACTGCCTTCTATCCAACGTCCCAGCAAAGGATCTGCTGGCGACGGCTTCAACCTGGAGAAGGAGATGGGGTTAGCGGACGATCATGCCAAGTATCGAGCCATTACCGTGAGTACACAGTGAATGTGAATCCGCGACGCGTGCACCACTCACCTGACCGCGAACGCGTTCACGCGTCTAGCGCACGATACGCAATATCGTCAACGGCTCCCACCTCGACTGGCGCCTTCCTTGGTATCGGCAAGATAAGACCAAGGTGGGACGAATCTTCATATTGGTAAGTGTTTGTGTTCACTGCATGCGATTGTGTCGAACTAACTATCAGCAATTGAATATATATGACACTGGCAGGCACGAAAGCGACAACCATACCTGAAGTGCTTTCCACGCGACTGGGCTACCGAGGAGTATCTGAAGTCGCACCTCAAGAACAAGCGTCGATACAATCGGAAGATTGGTCTTGACGTCGACGAAGACGAGCTCGCTGGAGCCACCTTCGCAGACGAGGACATTCCGATGATCGATCAAGCCGATGAAGATGGCTCAGGTGGCAGCGATGAGGAAGATCCGGATCCGATGGAAGTCGATGGTGCCGCCAGTGGGAAGAACACCGACGAGGAGAAGTCCGATGACGATGACGCTGAGGACGACGAGGAGGAGGACAAAGAGGACTAGGAGGTTGAGACTCGTACCCCGGCTGCACTAGCATGTGCACGGCTGTGCAGCATACACGGTCCCTGTACATGCGCGCGTGTATGCGTGTGACGTACTTGATTGTTGCGCATTGCATTCCACAGTTCTCTTATGTATGTAGGAACAACTAGTCGAATGTAACCGTTGTCTGTTGAAGCGTGCCACGGATCCGGAGCAAATGGTGTGAAACCGTATCAGGCAGGCGGCCAGGCGTACTGCATGAGCTACTCACCCATCGGATGAATTCGACCCTCAGAGCACACAATTTTCGGACAGCATTCATCTTTTCGTTGGATTACTTTTCATCTAAACCCAGTATGTATTTCATCCGGGGAGCGGCGGGGGTACACCGAGGCTGGCACCGGATGAACGGGGTGCGCACTGTACGATATTTCGTGTGAATATCCATCCGACGCTCGTCCCCCCTAACCGGATGGATTCACGCCACCGCGGATGGATTTCACTCGGTCGTCGTGTCAATCTGACCCTCACTCCGTGTGGAATATTGGATGCTTTTCATCCAATACGGCGCTCTCAGAGAGCTACTGTAGAATTTCGACATCATGTTCAGTGGGTGTGACCTGTGACGCTGAACTAGGTAGGCGCCCCAGTTCAGGACCGGCTGGGACCTGTGACCATAGGGCTAGTTCAGTCCAGAGGGTCTGTCCGCGCTGGGGCCTACGTATGTTCACAAACCGTCACTGTGACCATCGGCAAAACCTAGTCTCCCGTAGGCAGCCCACTAGGACGACCTTTCTGAGGGGAGGAGGGCGGTCGTCTAGGGTCTGCTTCAAAACGCGCCCGCAACACCGTTCGACTCCTGGAGGACGCATTCTGTGATGGCCGAGCAATGCCGGTGGCTACGGCAGAGCTGCCGGTGGCTATGACCGGACTGCCGGTGGCTGGTGTTAGATCCATCTAAGATTGGCATCATCGGCCACTACTGTAGTACTAGGCTATGCAGGTGCGATAATTACATGGTATGTCGGTCTCGGGGTTTTCCTATATGGCATCCATCTCGTCAACCTTGCACTACGCGAGGATTGCCCGTGCGACCCGGGTGTCGACTCGTGCGGAAGCCGACTTGTCCAACTCGGCTGGGGGCCTTGTGCTTGTTAAGTTAGTCTGAGACCGTGATACTGACAGTACCGACGTAGCTTTCACGAGAGCCACGGCTTCGAGCAAAACAATGGCTGACCACTATCAGCAAGTCCTCTGCCACCTCCGCTTAGGCGTCGAGCGGTCCTCATAGCACATCGTTCTCTCAGATGACCTTCGCTCTACAAAGAACGGACTGGAGACAAGAACATGCTCCCCAGTCCCGCTCTTTGTACGGTGAACTCCGCGCGAAGTCCTCTTGCGATGAGAGTAACCCGAAGAGTCGCGCAAGGGACATGTTCGTCCCGAGCGGCACTTTGAAGCGCGTCGCGACGCGTCTGCCATGCATGCTCCGGGAATTTGTGTCATGAGCTCCTGTGCGCGGACGACCTCATCGCACGTCGGACAACAGAAATGCACCTCGTAGGTGGCATACCGTTGGGCCAGTGCATCGGTTGTGCCCACAGCTGCAGCAAACACGACCTCCATCTCAAGTGTCGATACCCGTGGAGAACTCATCGAGCACGAGTTCCCTGAAGCACCAAGGTTAGTGCCACCGATGCATCAGCGCAATGTTCATGGTGAGCGCACCTATGAGCGCGATGGCCAACGCCAGCTTGCGCTGATTTCCACCCGGCAGCCGTACAGCCAGGCGGTCCGCATAAATGTCCAATGACGTTGCGCATAGTACCAACGCCTGGACGTTCCGAGTGAGCTCCTCGCCACGGTATAGCAGGCTATAGTGAGAGACGGGCGGAACGCGGGTGGTTGACCACATAAACGCCAGTGTGAGGAATGTCTGACATGCCAAAGACAATGTCAAGGAATGACAAACGGATCATGTTGAACGTCGTTGATTTGCCCGCGCCGTTCGGGCCAAGGAGAGCAAACACTGTGTCTTGCGACACTCCAAAGCTGCTCAGTGCTCCGGATCCTTCGCGATGGCTTGAGCGACAATCACGTAAATGAGGAGGAAGCCCGTCTTGCCGGGTCCCATTAGGGTTATGGCGAAGACGTTGATCCCATCGAGAGCCTTGCAAATGCCCTCGAGTTCAAATAGTCGTGAGGGTCCCAGGGGAGGCTCTTCGAGGCGATGTTGCGGCAGAACGCGAGGCCCTCGGGTGAGTTGAATTGTGTAAATGAGTGTGTAACGTCCCTGTGCAAAGCCGGGGTCTCCATTGATTATCGACGGCTATGGTACATGAAGGGTAGAGAGCGACGAGGCGAGGATAGTATAGGGGATCGCGTCGAGCCTGACGCGTCGCGCGCGACGAGATTTACACGCGCGTTGCGGAGATCGAGGTGCTTATGTAACTCCGCTAAGGAGTCGAGCGGTATTCGACCCGTTAGTTGAAGCAGACTAGGCAAAACCTCAGTTCAGGACCCCCTGCGACCTGTGACTTCTGAACTGAAAGCCCAGTTCAGAGAGGCCCGTGACCTGTGACTGAACTTGATGTCGAAATTCTACAGTATGCGTGGTCACATCAGAACTTCGGCGATTTCACTGACGGGCCGATCCTCGGCCTGCTCGGGCGCACACAAGCAGCTGTGAATCACAAGCACCTTTATTAGCAGTATACATACACTGCCAGGCGTTGCGTTGCGGATCGTCTCGACTTGCAGACAGCTGTCCGACAGTGGCAGTGGCATCGGAAGCAACGCACTGACGTCTCAGCGACGCACACTGACCCGCAATAGCCCACAATGCCTCCCGCAAAGTCGAATACTCCTCCGGTAGTGCTGTACCAGTACGTATCAAGCATCTTCTCTCAAATGCGACGCCGAACAAGCCCTTCTGGCCATGGCTTCCCTTCCACAGCTATGACGCATCTCCGTTTGCAGACAAGATCCGCAACGTGCTCGTCCTGAAGCGGATCCCACACAGTCGGGTCGAGGTACGTCCGTACGTTCCCCCCCAAGCGAGGCAGTACTACATCGCGTCTTGATACAGGTGTCTTACATCCTCCCTCGTCCCGAGCTCTCGGACTTGCTGGGCATCTCCTACCGGCGCATACCCGTGCTGGCGATCGGGAACGACGTGTACTGTGACACGAGTATCATCACCGCCGCCCTCGAGCGCCGCTTCCCCGCGACCAAGGGCTACTCTCCGTCCGCACGCGGAACGATATTCCCTCCGCGGAATGGCGGTGGCAAGGTCGCGAAGTCGGACAAGGCGTTCATCACCGCGTTCGCGAAATACTACATCGAGGACCAGATATTCCCTCCTGCGGCGGGCCACGTGCCTTATGAGAAGATGCCTGCGGACTTCCTGCAGGACAGGAGCCAGGTGAACGCGGAAACCGTCGCCAGGTTTCGATTTCTGACGTTGGGATACACAGATGTCTGGCGGCCCCATCGACGTCAAAGCCTTAGTAGCTCGGCGTGACGAGGCGAAGAGCACTCTCGCGTCACATTTGGTATGTCATCCAGACTGTCATGCGTTGGCCTTCCCCTCAAGGAGTTAGTGCAGGCCCTCCTAGAAGAACAGCTCGGGGACGGCAGGGAATGGCTCGCGGACACCGCCGGTCCGAGTCTTGCTGATGTTTCCGCCCATTTCCTGTTAGTCTGGACGACAAAATTCCGGACTCTTCGTGACCTCATCGACCCTAACGTCTTCGCCAAAGTTGCCTCGGTATGCTAGGACTCCCGCGTATGACACGCACCAGCTGAGAATAATTCGTAGTGGCTATCCCGCATGTCCGCGTTCCTGGAGAGCCAGAAGGTCTTCGCGCCGTTCGAGAAGATCAACGCCGACGCGGCTGCGAAGACCATCGTCTCGGCTCAGTCGGAGGACCTCTCCGTCGTCGGGTTCGTGGACGTCGAGGCGCGTCGTCTAGATGTCAAACTAGGTGATACCGTATCGGTCGCTCCCAAAGACACAGGTTAGCTTTCAGCCCTGCGTCATGGTTGGAGATGTAGCTTGACATGGTGTCATCCAGGTCGCATACCAACCACGGGCAAACTGCTTGCGCTTAATCGTGAAGAAGTGGTCATCGAGACAGTAGGGTCTGCCGGTACTGTTCATTGTCACTTCCCTCGCCTCGGTTTCTCGGTCAAAGCAGGACAGCCATCGGCGAAGCTGTAAAGGATTGTTGTGCCCATCCGTATGTCCGGCCTGATGTCCATGGTGTTTGTACGGGATGTATTCTTATGTTCACATTTTATGAGGACAAGTAAGATCCGTTGGTTGTACCGGTGCTCATAGCCCTTGTCAAATGTAAGACCGGAAAGGGTGAAAGTCTGATGCGTTGAAATTATCATATGGCTTTTCGGACGCTTAGCAGACAACAGTGTTACAGCTCATTGCATCTGGGCCTGGCTCCAATGACCATGACCTACATTCGCGACTACCCGAAGGCTCCCCAGAGTAGCATCAGAGGCACAGCAGAAGTGCCAGATCGTTGAATCGTCCTTTGTAGCATTTTACACCAGTACAATCAGATAGTCCGCAAGATTCAAGTACATCCAAACCATTCTCCAAACCTCAGAAGATGAACGAACGACCACCCATCGCCACAGGCCTAACATCGCCCGCATTCACACCAGACCCCTGGTTATGCTGCGGCGGCATGCCCCCGGGCATGGCCATCCTCGTGCTGCTGTCGCTCGTGTCCCAAATCCGCCCACCCGCACCAGGCAGGCGCGAGCGGAAAGCATCCAGCCCTCTGCTCGGCTGTCCGATACGCACCGCAGAGACGCCGGAGGTCATGGAAGAGGTGGACACGGGCGAGAAGGTCTTGCTGTCCTTGTCAAGCTGGTCGCGCAGGGTCTTGACTTGGCCCTTGAGCACGGAGGCGAAGTCGGGCTTGTCGCCCTCTTCGAAGCCGGCCATGATGACGAGGGTGGACACGCTGTTAGATTCCGCAGATGAGCAGATGAACGTCGGCGGAAGGAGGGGCGCTACTCACAAGGCCTCCTTGAGGTAAGCGAAACTAAACTTGTTCGTGGTCGCAGCGATCTCATGGACGAGGCTGTCAGGGAAATCGATATCCTTGTTGCTCTTCAACTTGTCCTGCCAGTACTTCGTGTACAGCGCGCGCTCCTCCTCGTCAGGATCTTCGAACTCCCTAAGCCCAGTCATTTTCAGACGTGCTTCCAGGACTTGAAGGGGACGTACCATTTACGATCGAACCTGCTCGGCCTACCGCTCAACGCTGGATCCAGCTTATCGAAGTGGTTTGTCGAGCCGATGAGGAGTAGACCGTCGTTGCCCTCAAGCCCATCGAGCTGGTTCAAGAAGAAGGACCGGTTGCTGTCATTGATGAGGGAGTCCAGGTCCTCGAGAATGAGCACGCAAGGTGCCATTTCGCGCGCTTTATCGAACACAAGTGCCATGGAACCCTCTTCGCCCATGAAGCTCTTGAAAGACTTCACGTAAAGGGGCGCGTAGCCCTTCGCGTCGCACTCTTTCATGATAGCTTTCATGCTGATCGTCTTGCCGTTGCCTGTGGGCGTACATGAGTCCAAAGCCCGACGGAATGTACGGATCAAACAGCTTACCAGGAGGTCCGTACATGATGAGGCCTCGCTATCAGGACGTTAGCTACGCTGAGATCTAGCGAAGCAATTCTTCACCTTCCAAGGAATCGCAAGGTTCTTGTACAGTGTCTCGGACTCGAAGAAGCCATTGACGTCCTTCTGCAGTCTGTCCTTGAACTCTTGCTTCAGGATGACATCGTCCCAGTTCGCTTTCTGAACCTCGATCCAAAGGTTGTGATCCTTGCGCCAGTATCCCTGATTGAACACGTAGATCTCCTGATGGAGCTGGTTATGCCATATTCCAGCCGCCATGATCAGTGCTCTGGAGTGTTCCTCGGGACCTGCGTGTAACAAGAAGTTCTGGACCGTTGAGCCGAACGAGACGGGATACTGGGATGGGGTGTAGAGCAGTCAACTCCATGCCCTCTCTGACCGAGAATGAGACCTACCCGGATAGTATACAAGAGGAAGTCGTATTTCTAGAGATTCATGAGATGGATTGTTCAATGTGTGATTTCTCGATCAACACTCACGTCGTACGCGACGCGGAACGCGCCGAAGTAAACGGAATCATACAGGACCCCCGACCTCTGTCCCGAGCGCCTGGACAGAGGCTGGAACAACACGCTTGTGACCAGCTCCGAGGGCTGCATGGGTTGCACCAAAGTACCAGGGAAGCCCATGATATTCACCGCACCCTCCGTGTAAGGCACCACCGTATGGGTCGGATACAGTTTACGGAGGGTTCGCGTCCTGTGAATGGACATCAGAGTCACGATTCCGCATGCAGAGAGCAGCCTTGCTCACGCGTAAGCGACCTGCTCAGCGAAGGGGGCAGATGCTAGGCAAAGGGATATCAGCGGTGTGGGCGTGCGTCTGGCTCTTTACACACCCTGGTCTATCCAGACATCGTAGAAGGGATCGGTGCTGTTGCTGTCCGAGCTCTGAGAGGCACGAACGCCCTCCTCGAACATCACATTGACGAAGGCATCGTCGAAGTCAAGGGAGCTGCGGCCACGCTGCATGATATGAAGAACGAGGTAGGCAAGGAGGCGGACGCGTTTCTACACTGTCGGTGGGGCTTATATAGACAGCCTGGGTGAAAGAATGCTGTCTGCGTATTAGGTTCGATGATGCTGCGACGCAGCAAGTCGAGCCGGTTGACGGTGACCGCGTGCGATGATGGCTCGGACTCGACGCGCTCGCAGACGCGCAGGAGGCCCGCGTCGCGTGCCACTCGCGCCGCGTCACGCGCGTAGGCGCCTGTGACGCGTGTCGGGCATTGCCGCCGGCGAACAAGGATGTGGCGGCACCCCGCCACAAACTTTCCAGCGACCACCACCATGTCCTCGAGGGTGTCCACCGTCCTCACCGTCGCCGGCGTCACCGCCCTCGGCGGCCTCGTTGCATACGCTGTCTACTTCGACTACAGGCGGAGGACCGATGGCGACTTCCGCAAGCGCCTGCGTATGTCGCCACCCTGGCAGCTGTCTTTGTACCACACTGATGAATCGACGCACTCCTAACCACAGGGAAGGACAAGAAGAAAGTCAAAAATGCAACGCAGTCGCAGGCGGGCGAGGCCTCAGCTTCTGGAGTGGGTCCGGAGGAGCTGAGAGCGGCCCTCGACAAAGTCCGAGATGAGGAGCTGCCACCCGACCCGGAGGCCAAGGAGCAATACTTTATGACCCATGTTGGTATGGGTGAACAGCTCTGCGCGCAGGGTAGGTGCATGCATCGCTACTGTCAGCTTGTTACTGAGTGTCGTTCAGGTCCTATGTTCTACCTACCCGCTGCGCTGTCATTCTACCGTGCTCTCCGGGTGTACCCCTCACCTGTAGAGCTCATCATGATTTACCAGAAGACCGTACCGGAACCCGTGTTCAAGGCGAGTGTGCCACTGTACAGTGTCCGCGCCGTGGCTGACAATGGTTGCATAGATCATCATGGAGTTAACTCAGCAGGACGTGAGTGTGCCTTCGTCCACAGAGGGTAGTGTGCAGCGTGAGGCCTCGGACGAGGATGAGACAAGTCCTACGAGGTCGGGTCCTCCCTCGGAGGCTTCATCCCAAGAATGGGACAGGCTTACTGATCCGGGCAGCCAGCCTATGTAAAAAAAGTCATGTCTCCCGCTCTACGGGGGGTTGTAGATCATCACTGCACACTATTGCCGCGCCTATCTCCACTTCACTGTGCTTTATCATCTGCATCCACGATCTAATATACATTGCTTGTCTTCCGCGCCACTTCTCATTCTCAGGTAAAAGCCCGTGTCGAAGGTGAGCTCGTCGATTTGACGAAGTAGGCAACGTGAGCTAAGTGATTCCGTTCGACGGATAGGTTATTACGACGTGTTCCCGCCTAAGAGCATGAATGTGTCTGTACAACCTGCACCCGGCGATGCCAGCAAAGTTCGCAAAATTCTCGTCGCTGAGAAAGATTTCGAGCCTGGAGATGTCATCTACAAGGTCATTTCCAACATGTGCATCTGTACAGTCATCTGTGTGCTTACGCACCGTTTGCAGGAGCGGCCTATCGTTGCAGTTCTCGACCCAGATCTTCAAGCTCAGGGCACATACTGCAGCCACTGTTTCCGTTACATCCAAGGCGACTCGGCTATTCGTCCTGAATCCGATCGTCTCGGTTCTGTCTACTGCTCGGAGGATTGCCAGGCCAAGGCCAAGATTCAATCTCATAACCTCCTATTCGGTCTCGACCCCGTTCTCCCTCCAGAGCTCGACCATGGACAGTCGCAGCTGTCAAAGCCTGCCCGGGAAGCAGCCCAGTCGAAGTTTACGGACTACATCAAGAAGGAAGGTCGCTCAATCCCTCTGCTCTCTGCCCGGTTCGTTGCGCGACAGATTGCAATCGAGACTGCGAAAATGCTGCCGATCAAGACGGGCCCGGTCGTTGAAGAGCTTGCGGAGGCCTCGATCGGCGGTACCGACTACAGCTTGTATGATCACATAGAGCGCTTGCGGTTCGTCGAGGGCAAGGCCTCCGAGAGCGAGACGAAGCTTCTGTGCGATGTTTTGGGTGCTGCTCTGCCCGGCCTCGAGCAGTCGGTCACGGAAGAGCGATTGGCTACGTACCAGGGCAAGTTGGCATACAACGCTATTGGTGTCTGCTACTCCGGCGGAAGGGATGACAAGGTCGGTATTCGAAGTTATAGTTTTTTTTCGAACGACGCTGATTTCTAGCCTCAGCCCGACTCCGGCAAGCGCCCCGAAGAACAGGAACGAATGCGTACGCCGCATGGCACATCGCGACAGATTGGCAGTGGTCTTTACCCGGTCTCGGCTTATGTGCGTAGATGTCTCTCCTTGAGGCTCATCGTATTCATCTTGGCTTTACCTCGATTTGCAGATCACGCACTCGTGCGCGCCTTCCGCGAGCCCGTCGTTCAGCTCCGGCACCTCGGAGCTGTCTCTCATCGCGTCGAAACCCATCAAGAAGGGCGAAGAGATCACTATGGCTTATGTGGATGTCTCGCAGCACCCCGACGAGACGCCAGAGCAGGCCAAGCGCCGCCGCCGTATCGAGCTCGCTCGTGGATGGAGGTTCAAGTGCGAATGCGAGCGATGTCTCTCCGAGGCCACCGACGGCAACGAGAGCGATCTCGGCGTCGAGAAGGATGAGTCGAAGGTCGAGGACGTGGTGAACCGTGTCGAGGCGGGTGCTGAGACCTACCTCACGGACAAACCTCAGTAAAACGCTTGCGGCTGCTCCCTAGTCCGCCACCGTCCGGCTTATATGACGAGAAGTTATAGATACGTAGTGCTCTAATCATCGGACGATCATTTGCATAGACCTTGCTTCGAATGCCATTCCATAAGGCCTTGAAGCTTGAAGCCCTGCTGGACTGACTTGTGCACCAATATCACACAAGCCGATCAGAGCCCTAATATTGCTGACACTAGAATGTACACGATAGCATTGCAGAACAGTGGTACACAGCGAACTATACGTAGATAATGATACGCGCTGTTAACTACAACAACGTTCGTGCCAGGGTGACATTATGTGAACTATTAAAGTAGAATTGTCAATGAACAAACACACAACAGGTCGTTGGGCTCATGCTGCTAGGCTTCGCCACATGCCTAGCAAAGATGAATGAGTACAAAGAATAGACATCTCACCATCTGTAACTCACCTTCCGAGGGTACCCCATCGGCAGCTTCAAGGATCTGCAACGCACGCTTCTCTGCCAGAGAACCAACTGGAATATGTGGCCCCGTATCGTTCTCTTCCTCGTCGTCGGCCACGTCGTGCAGCTCAAATGCGCCAGGATCGATCTGACGATTGCGATCACGCTCCGCGTACACCTGTCTGCGGACAGCGACCGATGACGACGTGCGCAACGCTGGGACGAGCAGCCCCGGACGATCTGTCAGAGACGTCTTCGGCTGCAGCGACGCGCTGGGCACGTCACGCATGAAGGGTATCGGGAGCGATGAAGCGACTGTATTGCGCTCCGTCAAGCTGCGATCTTCACGGTCTGGGATAAAATGTCAGACGGGGTTCAGGTACAATAGAAGCTGAGGCTCACTCATAGTGTGACCATTGAACGCCTCGTCATCGTACTCGTCGAACTCATCCATATACCGGCCTAGCCGTGCGCTATCGTGCTGCACCGTGCTGTCGCTCTCCTCTTCCTCTTCAATGGAGACGGGGCCAAGCTCCTTACTCCGCCGCCCTTGGCGCTCGACGAATACTTGCCAGGCCTTGCTATCCTTCTTCCAGGCACTCCTGTGACTAGGGACGCTGGCGGCTACCAGGCTCAATATCTGCGCCTCTCGCGAATCAGGCGAGAGAGGAGGTTCGTCCTCTGGCTTGTCCCCATTGGTACGTGCCCTCTCGGCCCTCCCCGGCGAGTCCTTCACCTGGGTACGTGGGCGATCAGACTCAACCCTGCGCGTGATGGGTGGGCGCATGTTCTGGATGTTTGGCAGGGACGAGGGTCGCAGCGATGATAAAGACGAAGGAAGGCCGTAGGCGTCTTGTAGACGTGGGCGTCTGCGTCGAGAAGGCGACACGACTGGGGTGGTAGGCGACGTAGTTGACTTGCCGTTGGTGAGCGCAGTGGGACTTGAGGGCAAGCTCGCTTGTTCAGGGTTGTCCTCGCCCTCCATGTCAAATATGGCAGCTGAACGCGACGAACAGTGAGCAGACTGCTTCCTCGTGGATCGAGGCAGCGCCCACCTTCTTCCGTGGTATCTTTCTCCGCTTCGTTGCCTGCGGTCTCGTCGTCGATGATGGCGATGTCAGGTTTGACGTCAAAAGTGACCTTTCGTTTGCCCTTAGGAGTTGTCTCCTTGGCAGGTGCACCAGTCTTCTCTGCGGCTTCAGGCTCCTGCTCCTTCGTCGGTGTGACAGGCCGTGCGTTCTCCTTCTCCTTTCCCTTCTTGATCGAACTCTTGGTGCCGCGAGGGGACCGCCCGCGAGGTGCAGCTGCAGGAGAAACGATATCGACTGTACCTGCGCTGGACGGACCCGCATCCTGAGTGCTCGACGAGGCCCGCTGATGTTCCGCCATCTGAGCTTCCAGATTGAGCACGTATCTGTAGCTCGTGGCAATGTCCTTCGACTCGTCCATGTTTCGCCTGTGCGCATCGCGGATGCTTGCCTCTGCGTCGAAGGCGGCCATTGTTACAGTGCGAGAAGATGCGGTGGAAGGAGATACTACACGAGTCGTGCTGGAGCGTCCCGGAGAGGATGGCGCAGGACTGGAGGGCGAGGATCTCGATGAATCGCCTTCATTACGTGTAACGCTACTTCGATCTCCCGGAAAGTGGAAGGAAGATGTAGCCATTGATGCAGAGAGAGCTGATGTCACCTGACGGGCTGAAGTAGGGGATGTCATCCGCGCGGGGACACTCTGGGCTGGGACGAAGTCATTGATTCGTACAGAGGCCGAAGGATCGTCGGTAGCCCCATTCCCATGGATAGCACCAGCTGCCTTCTGAACACTAGACCGTCTCCTGGTCATAGACGACATGGGGCGACCAGCGGTGGTCTCTTGCTGCAGCTTATCTATACCTTCTTTGAAGCGGCTCCACAGTACCTCTACCTCCCGTCTGAGCTCGGCCTCAAGAGCTTGCAACTCCGCTGCCTTTTCCTGGGCAGTCTTGACCAGGTACGCTTCGGCCGCCTCTCGTGCTCGGTCTGATTCGCTCGCGGCGAGCGACCTGAGATATTGGAATGCTGGGTGACTTGGCGTGAAGGGTGGAGGTGCGAACAGAGGTGGTAATGGAGGAAGATGTCTCCACGGACCTTCGGACGTGCTCGAGGGTGGTGACACGGAGGAAGAGGTGGGAAATGACCATTTCGGATCTCCGGACGGGACGACAATGCCAAAGACTTTGGAGAAGGACGCCGAGGTTCCCGCCTGTGCTATTGCATCCCCGGTCTATTCTCGAGGACGAGTCGGTCAGACATCTGAATCTGCAAATCGTGCGACAGTGCATGAACCTCTTGGTGTCTCGAGACATCAGGAGGCTCATGAGCTACGCTAGACGCAGCGGGCGGCGGAAGACCACATACCAGACAGTTCTTGGAGACCTCCACCCAGCCACTCGCACTCATCAACAAATCCTGCTCCGCCCAGTCATCACTAGGTAGTATAGGCCCTTCGCCACCGTCGGCAATGGCGTAAAGGACCTGTTTGACTCGGTACACCAAGCTCTGGCATACGAGGCATGTTAGAGAGATGAATCGGGTGCTCCGCGGTCCCTGGGCATCCGCCTCGGGCACCGTACTACTGCGACTCCTGAGTGTGGCCTGCACATGGTTCTTCCCTGGGGTGTCAATCCTTCTATCCTCGAGGTGCGCTACCGGGGGAGACGTACAATAGCTATGCCATTATCCCCGCAGTGAACAGACACGAAGTCCTGGTCGGCCGGGGGTAGATTATCGGGGGTAGGCTGGTGCGTGATGCGCACGTTGAGACAGTGGCAGGCGTATGTCAGATTGAGGCCATTGGTGGCCATAGCACGGAGGGATGCGAGAGGAGAGCAGAAAACGATATGGCAACTCTGCGAGAAAAGGGAGTCCGCTACATCTGAACTAGCGCTGACTCGGGACGGCGAGGCGCCCGCGGGCAGGCGGTGTGGCGCTGTACAGCACACCAACCAGGCCTGTTCGTTTTCCACGCACCGTCCTCGGGTCGGCCCAGTCAGCGGTCCACGGACGGCCTCCTCCTCCCAGCATACCTTTCTCAACACCGCAGCGTCCCGGCGAGTGGCCCAGCTCAGTACATATGGGGCATCCTCTGCCATACGCCCGCCCGTCAGATGAGACGAACAGGAATTTCGCGCATGTTCCGGCCGTGATACATACAACGTGTAGCATCTATACAGGGCACCCTCAGACTGGTCATCCAATTGATCATTTGTTCTTCTTGGTCTCTGCGTCCTCCTTCCCCTCCTTCGCTTGTACGGCATCTACTTCCGATGCCATCACTTGACCATATTCGTTCACTCGCTTCGGGTCGATTCGGTATATCCACCGCTGCAGACTCCGGTTAGCCTGGCACGCGTCGCCGCAACGCTGGTCGAGACTTACTTGGTAGAGAAAAACGAGGAACACAACGTCGTCCCGGAAACATGCCAATCTGTGCAAGAACGGCATTTTAATGCAAAACCTAAGCCCTGGCGTCAGCTAAATACGCGCACGGTTTTAGTGTGGACATACGCGAAAAGATCATCCACAACCGTCGACAAAGACTTGTATATCATCGCCTTCATGGGCATGTGGGCAACGCTCTGTATCGCCCCATACGTCATCTATTCAGTAGCAAAATTCAATCACACGGACGAACCTTGAGTTTGTAGTTTATGATCAGTTGCGGGACGAGTTGTGCCTGTGACACGCATTGACAGTTGGTTCCGGTCTTCATCGCGGAAGTAGTGAGAGACTTACGAAACCAAACATGTACACGAAGGACGTCAGTGTTGAGATGACGAAACTGTACCAGCCTCTATGTGTCTCGTAGAGAAGCGAGTAGACGGTGTAACCCGCCAAGCATGGGATCGTGACATAAGACACGTAGCGGAACGCGAGCTTGTCGTACCTAAGGTGTGTCAGGACGAAACAGTTCGATACACGTACGGGAATGCGCTTACTCTTGGGTCTTCTTCTCGTCCTCAGTCAAGACATGCTTATCTGGTGGCGCACGAACGTGAGTGTCACCCCTCTCGATTTATGAACAGCATTACCTTGGATGTCCAAGCGGTATGGGAACCATGAACCCGGGGCCGAGGGCGCGATGCCGATGTCTACGGCCTTCGTGATCTGGGAGACAACTGAGCAAGATGCAAAACAGAGAAGCGCATCAACGCTACCTTCCAGGCCTCGATGAGAACACCAACGCCAGAGCCCATTAGAATCATCCAGCTAGTCTGTTCATTATTGTCGATGAGATACAGTAGGATAATGATCTGGACGACGACATTCGTGACGATCTTGATAAAATTTGACGTTAGCTAGCCTTCCAGAGTGCATGTGCAATGTTCGGAACTCACCGTTCTAGGATATTGAGCCCCGTATCAGCGAATGCGAGACAAGCGGATAGAGAACGGGACTGACCGCACGGATACACCGACGAGCTCCTGTTTGTGTCTCCAATGTGACACATCCGAACTGAAGGCAAGCATCTCAAACCTAGGAGATCCCGGGCCGTCAGTGCGCAAAGACAACAGACGCGCCAGGAATACATACACCATGTGCAGCACGCTAACCAGCGCAGTCAAACCCAAGAACCACGGGTTAGTCTCCACAAGCATCCGCTTGATTTCGTCCAACTCCGCACCGCCCGCACTGCCCTGCTGTTTGGCGGCTTCGTCGAATCCTTGCGTCATGGTAGCGAAGATTTGGAACTTCCAGTACGACATGGGCTGGAAAGTGACTTGGAGAGGAAGCTGCGGAGTGGTGGTGTTGATCTCGAAGAATTGTGAACGGAGCAACCAGAAATCATTCGGGTACATGATGGGCTTGTAGAATATCTTGGTCCCGGACTGGTCACTTTCGGGGTAGGCCTCAACGTCTAAGGGCAGGTTGAGCGGAATTTGAGCCTAAGCGTAGCAGTGAACATACGTCTTGCGACAGGTTCAGGCAGCTTGGTAATGGGTATGACTGTCGCATCAGAGACAAGAGCCAGCGTAAGGTTCTGAATACGACGTAAGCACGCGAACGTTCATTGACGAAGACATATGCACTCACAGAATGCCAGTGAGACACAATTATGTCGTCCTTGATATCATGCTCGGTGAGGATGGGCCAAGGACGCACAGACAGCGCCAACAAGCTCACCTGTTGAGGCTCCTCCGCCTCTTCTGGCTCTTCTTCCTGCCCGCCGCTGAGCAAATTCTTCTGTTTGCGAACCTTAGCCTTCGGTAGGTACCGTGTTAACACTGCCACTCCGTGAGCCCATCATCACAACAGGGTACTGGGTGTGACACACATTTCCTCGCACGATGGATGGCGCGAACGTCAAAGTTCGGCTTTGATGGGTCAGGACTTGCACCGTCCTTTACGAGGAATATATCCGCCCAGAGAGATCCGTTATGTTGTATGCTCTGAAGAGAAAGTAAGAACTATTGTCTTTTGAAGCAGTAGGGGAACTCGTTTACATCCGGCAAATCCAGCACCAGGTCAACTGTTCGTGACTCCTTGAAGTCGCCGTACGTGATGTTCTCCCAGACAAAGCTCGGGAACTGTGCCTTGCTTGACGCAGAGTCTGAGGACCATTGATTCGCGAAGACATCTGAGCCGTCCGGCGTGGTTGAGAAGTGCACGTGCATGGCCAACGGTATACCAAGAGGCCATCCCGGGGTCGCCTGCTGCGGTGTAGCGGCCTGGGAGCCCTGAGAGCCCGGTTGTGCTGCGCGACTATCCTGAGCAGCAGTGGACGGTGCAGGAGCATCCGCCTGTTTGGGGGCAAAGAACTTCGTGGCTGTGGGTCGAATGAGCTCAAACAACGATGCTGGCCGCTCTGATATGTACATACCGACTTGCATGACTAGGTACATAACTAGCATTTGCTGGATGTGGGTCGGCACTGCCTTCTTTCCAAAGCTTATGAGCTACTCACCTGGGCCACACCCCATAGCCTCTGCCATGTCGACTGCTCCTCTCGCGCTGCAGGCGCGGCGTTGGCCTGTGCCTGTCTTGGTGCAGCTCCTGCGGAAGACATGCTCCTTCAAGATTCCTCGAAATGCCGATTTTGCGATTAGGATTGGGCCTTGCACTACTCGTTGATTGGCATGAGCAGTGACAGTGAACAATGAACAAATATTCCTGGGGCCAGCGGTCGAGGCACGTATCACGTGACTGAGGTACGACGCGCGTCGCGGTCTGTCCTTCGAAGTCGTTCATGTCGCGAATTCAATCAAGTTTTCAGAACAGTTCAAGCATGGATCAGCACTGCGAAGGTGTTACATAACGATCTGAACCAGATCCGCTCTGGCATGGGCTCATGATGCTGTACTGGTGAGGGAATCCCGGCGACAGACACACATTCGTGGTAGAATCAGCTTCGGGTCAGTCGCGTACTTGAATTCGAACTTGAAGCCTCCGCGATCAACGTACGCTTCATTCAGCCCGGACCCGATTGATATACGTGAGATAAGTATACATACTTCATTGATGCTAAGCAGAGCTGCTTCTGCTGTTGGGGGAACCATTAATGCCCTCTGAACCGAAACAGAGCACGTAGGAAAGGGACGCGGACAGTCGTGCCAATTTAGATTTGTAAGTCGAGTACCGTACAAAGATATCCAGGATCAATCGCACAATGATTAGGGTATCAGCCAAGACTCGACCACCTCCGGAGCATGAAACACTATAGCGTGCATCTATGTCTCAATGGACGATAATCTCTCCGACACTGCCCTTCAGCCTCCTCTTCCTCCTACCGGGCGGGGTACTCTTCACAGAGCCTCTATGTTCCTCCTCCATCTCCCTCTTCGGCAGTCCGTCCAGCGTCGCGCCCAGGTCATCATTGAAGAATGCTAAGGCGAGGTCCCCTAACATCCGGAGGAGCACCCGCCCGCTGGGCGCGACGTGGCCAATCGGCCAGATGACACTGAAGTCCGAGAACGATACATGCTTTGCACGGATGAGCGTCACAAGCTTCGCCGGGGGCGTCTCGTCTCCCTGAGCATCAACACCCATAGCTGTATCCCCGCCTCTGCGACGGGACCCACTTGCCTCTGGCTCAGAACTGGAGTGCCTACGTTCACTGTGGGCCTCGTCGCCAGAGCCGGGGAGCGAGTTCGGCTGTTGCCACTCATGCACTACCTTCAGCAGTCGTGCGAAGTGGTTTCGCCAGAGCGTGAACTCCTCCGAGTTGATGATGAGCACCTGGGGGGCTCTCGCGTCGCGCGTTGCCTCCACTCGTGGTGCGGGACCTGGCGATGGTAGTGGTTCGAGCCATGGGTCTAGCACGAGCGCATGCGTGAGCGGCAGAGCCTCAAGACGCTCTTCGCGATCGGTCCCTGGGACAGCGGGAGGAGGATTGGAGAGCACTGATAACTGCGGAAAAGGGCGCTGATGAGCGTCTGCGTGAAGTACACGGGTGATGACAATGGCGCACCACTAGTGAACCGCCGAAGGAGTGGCCCATGATGCTGATCTTCTCTCGTAGCTTGACGCGGCCAGCAGTCCAGCTCTTCCAGAAAGGACCATGCCGGGGAAGCTCATGGGCCGTGTACCCGCGGACATAGTATATCCCGCCGAATGCTAGCTTCTCTGTTCCGCGCAATGTGATAATCGATTATGAGACATGTCTCATAAGGTATGTATGTGCTTACCGGCCTCAGCTCTGGGATGTGAATTGACAAGGTCTGCCAAGCCTCTATATGCGAGATAGAGTTCTAGCTCACGAAAGAGCAATTGGTCGACGCGGAATCTCGAGTGTGGTGGCTCTTCCCCATCGTCGTACCTTTCATGGCAATAAGGTCAATCACCATCCAAACACCAGTGAATCCGAGTATGAATTGACCTACATGACGTCTTCCGGGTGTAAGTAGTATTTGACTTTCGGTTTATGCTTCTTCTTGCCCTTCACATCGGTGGAGGTAGTGGCAGCAAAATGGGATGTCACCACCGGTGCCGTTCCGTCCCTGTGCTCAACAGCAATGACGACATTTCCCTCTGAGGCGATACGGACACAAAGATGGCTATTGCAAGAATGATCAATCAGAGAACAGGTACGGTCAGCGCTGGTGGATTGAGCCCTACCTGTACGTTGTGCGAGTACCGCTCAGTCCATGCGAGTGGAACACAACAGGCCATTGAGCTTCTGGGTCGGAGAACACCTCAGCTGGGTCGAGCAAGGCAGTGTTTGGGTACACTGGGAGCTGGAACAAGTTCAGCGGTACTGCTTTAGGCTCACCAAGTGCATGGATGACATGACGGTACCTTCAGACGTGGAGCGATTGCGCCCACAAATAACTTTGTGAACCAAAAGGGCACCTTGGCGAAGTGTGCATAGCCGCGTAGAGTCGAGTGCACTGGCCTGACAGTGATACAGTGGAGTGTACGCTGCGGAGTCAGTGTCTGTTACGAGCCCTGGCAAGAGGTCCACCCTACCTACCTTAGTATCCAATCCAGCGACTTCTTCAGTTTCTCCGGAGGCGTTCCATCCGCACTCGGACTGTTGATGTCGGCCGGGTAGAACGCAGTGAAGACAACCTCCTCTAGCAGTAATGCGGGTTCATGTGGGGTGTTTCCGCTCGACTTGGCGAGCTTGGCTGCGCCAAAGACCTGCGGGTCATTCAATGGCAACGCGAATGTAGTCGCCCCGACTTGAAATCTCCCGGGTACGTCTGGAAGATGAAACATCGGTGAGGAATGCCGCGTAGATGCCCTGTAGTTCCAAGTCACTGAGGGCCGGATGTCAACGACATAACGAGCATGGCCGTTCGCTGGCGTTGAGGCGCATGATGATAGCCACGGCCATAACATTGCCCCACTGCTGAAGCGCTGACGGGAACAACGCGGGGGAGGAGCAACCGCTCGCGGCGGGGCCCGAGCCAGCTACATGTACGAAAGAGCGCTTACGGCGAGTACTAATATAAGTATTGGAGTCGGCTGTTCAGCCCAAGTTCAGCCCGCCCGCGCACGAACATTGACTGTGTAATAGTGTTGCCCGAACGCCTTGACTGGAGGTAGTCGTTACAGTATGCGTCTAGTACTGAGGGTAGGTACTGTACACGATGGAACTTTCTGTTGTCAGTCTTCTTCACTCCTACGCCGCCTTCCCCGAGTCCTCCTTCAAGCTCACGATGCGGTTCAGCACGAGATAGTCACCGACCTTCCGGACAGGCTCCACCCCCTCCGGTTCCTCCAGACACGCCAGCCTCGCGTCCTTGTCAGTGGCAAAGTACGCCACCCGCAGGCCCTGGAACCGTATGCACTCCTTCCCGACCAGCTGCTCACTCGTCGCCTTCGGCGTGTCATCGTCCGGTTCCGCCGGGCCCGCGCTCGTTGCAGCGGCCTTCAGTGCCTCGTCCGTTCTCGTCTTGCTCTCTTTCCTCGCCTCCAAGTACGCGCGCTTCGCCAGCGGCCAGAAGCCCACCTCGACCATCGCGCCCTTGACGACTTCCAGGCTGTCTGGGTTAATGTCCGCCTTGAAGTCGGGGACCGCCGCGGAGGGGTTCTCGCTCTTGAATAGCTGGTAGAAGATCCGCGTCTCGTCCACGCGTACGGGGCTGCCGGACGGCGCGTGCTCCGCAACCCACTGGATGAACGCCTTTGGCTTCTTCGCGGCTCCCTCGCCGTCCTCGAGACGGCAGATAAGCTCCGTGACCGCGCCCGTTACTGAATCCGTTTTGTAAGACGTGCAAGTGATCGGGTAGGGCGCCTGGAAGAGGCCGACGGTCTTGCCGGGTGCGAGCCTGAAGTAGTCCTTGGAGTCCTCCAGCCGGAAGTCGTCTGCGTCGATGTAGATCGTGCGCGTGAAGGGCATTTTCGACGTCCCTAGCTCGGGCACCTTTGGATGGAGAGGCTTCTCCAGCCAGATGAGGTAGTCTTCAGGTACGTTTTCGATCGTGACTTTGAGTGGCCGGAGGACCATGAGCAGTCGTGGTGCCGTGCCCTCGAGGTACTGTCTCACAGTCTGCTCGAAACGAACCGCCTGGATGCTCGTAGTGGCCGTGGACACGCCCAGCGAGCTGACGAAGGAGATGATCGCGCCTGGTGGGATACCGCGCCTCCGGAGTGCGATGAGGGTGTACATGCGGGGATCATCCCAGTCGAGCACGTACTTCTCCTTGACGAGCTGGAGAATCTTGCGTTTTGACATGATGGTACCTGTGACGTTGAGCCGGCCGTACTCGGATTGGCGGGGCTTGTATACCCCCAAGGCGTCGCATAGCCATTCGTACGACTCGCGCGAGGAAACGAACTCCGTTGTACACAGAGAATGCCTGCAACGCCAGTGATCAGCATTTCACTATATCTGGCTGGCTCATAATTTGACACCTACGTGATGTTCTCGAAGCTATCGCACAGACAATGCGTGAAGTCGTACGTCGGATAGATCTTCCACTTGTCGTGTGTCCGATGATGTGGTGAGTCAAGCACTCGGTACGCCACCAGATCCCACATCATCGTGTTACCCGACTCCAAATCTTGCTTCATGCGCAAGATCGCCTGCCCAGGCTTGTAGAAGCCATCCTTCATCTTCTGGAACTCGGCAAGAGACTCTTCGACAGGTCGTGTGCGATGTGCGCAAGGTTTTCGTGGGCCGAAGTCGTCACCTCCGCGATTCGCATACATTTCCTCCGCTGTACAGTGGCAGACGTATCCCTTGTCCCGCTTGATCAGCTCGATGGCAAGCTCGTGGAGCTTGTCGAAGTAGTCGCTCGAGTACGTGATCTTCCACGGTTCGTACCCAAGCCACCGCACTGTCTCCAAGATGCTTTCAAAGTACCTCCCCTCCTCCGCCTCCGGGTTAGTATCATCGAACCGCAAATAACAGCGACCACCGTGGTACGCTGCATAGCCGAAGTTGACGAATATTGCTTTGGAGTGTCCGATGTGCAAGAAGCCATTGGGCTCAGGCGGGAATCGGGTGTGTACCACACCACCGGTGGCAGCGAGGTGCTGCTCACGCAGGTGTGAGTGGACCTGGGGGTTGTCGCCGACCTTGTGGAGTCGTCCAAGGAAGCCTTCGGAGAAGACCGTCTTAGAGGAGGTAGCTGATGCTGATGCTGCGGTAGATGCTGCGGCAGGTTTTGAGGGGGCCTCCTTCTTGGACTCCTGGATGCAGTTCAGTACGAATTAGGGGAGGACATCGGACACTTGCGCACCTTGCCCTTAGGTTTGGCTGTCTCTTTGGGCCCGAACTTCTCCAGAAACGCTTTCTCAACCGCATTCTTCAGCTCGAGCGGACTTGCCCACCGCATATCCGTGTTCTTGAGAGCACCAATGGTAGCTCCTAGGCTGGCCCAACCAGTTGCCGCGCTGGACGTGAGGTAGTCTGCTACCTGAGTCGCAAGTTGTTCGGGAGTGATGCTGAAGCCTGGTCAGCAAGAGGTCAGTATCTATTTCGGCAACAGGTGTTTCCCGGCGCAGACATACCAACACCACAGTTCTTGTCGAAGTCAGCGCCATCGATGGGTAGCGTATGCGACTCGAGGTATTTTGTGGCCGCTGAGATCTAGCAGATCAGTATAGCAACAAGCTGGTGGGTCTGCCTACACACCTGATACCTGGTCTGTCGTTTTCAGCCTCCCGTCAAGGATCGCCGTCACAGCGTACTCGCGCTCGCGCTCTCCCAGCTTGGAGCCCTGCACCGCAAGGCTTGCCAGTAGGACGGCCTGCTTCTCCTCGATCTGCTTGTTGGAAAGATCGTTCGTGTCTATGATGTCCTTGAGCACTGTCGCGCTCTTTGAGGACTTGGCTGCCTCAGCGGCCTTGGACTGGGTGAGGCCAATGGACTTGAAGAGCTCGATGAGCTCCGCGGTGTCGGGGTTGTCTCCCTTGGGAGCCATGGCCGCGTGAGTCGAGAATATCCTGTTCCTATAGTGCACTGTTCTTTGAAGGGTATTCAACCTTGTGATGCAGCCTCAGATGGCAGACGAGAAGCGTCAAAGAGTAGAGGAAGTAGTGAACACCGCGTCGAGTCAAGGCGCGACGCGGTCAAGTGAGATCGATCACTGGACCGATCTATTCTAGAATTGCCTCGAGATAAGATTAGATTGGCGCCAACGGCATGAGTGTCGCAGCTGTCGCTTCCACTGCGGCCGGGGGGTCGAGCAACTCCATACATACCACCTGCTTGCCTGTCGACCGGTCCCATCTCCATACCCACCGTGGTCACAAAAGAAATTTCGGCTGCAGAATTACAGAGGAGCTGGAAACATATATAAGAGGTCAAGATGCCTCCCCGGAGGCGACCACAATTCACCCAGGAGACCATCGACCAGCAGCTTCAGCAGATCCATCTCCTTGACCAGTCGTCTTCGTCCGAGAACTTGGAGCAGCTCGGGCCCATCATCAAGCAAATTCATGCGAACCGGCAGCAAGACGCGTACCTCCGCGCCGTCGGCCAACTCATCCAGGCCAAGGACGCTGAAATCGAGACAATATGCGGCGACAACTACCAGGAGTTCATTAGCTCCGTGTCTACTCTGTTCTCCGTGAAGTCTTACACCAACAACCTTCGCGACAAGATTCAGACCTTGGACGCTGGGGTTGAGCAAGTTGGGCGCGGACTGGTGGAGAAGAAGCGTGCGTTATTGCAGACCAAGAAGACGGCCGGAAACTTGGACGAGGCCGTGGACACTCTGCAGGCATGCCTCCGGGTCCTCGACGTCGTGAACCGCGTCGGAGAGATGATTAAGGAGGGGAAGTACTGGAGTGCACTACGGGTCTGTCACTTTCGTTATCCGCACTTTCGGTCCGTAGCGTTGAATATATCTCGTTCGTAGTCACTTGAAGACATTGAGAGCATGCCAGCGACGTCGTTATCGCAAACACCGCTCTTCCAGCATCTGCTGTCCTCTCTGCCATCTCTTCGCGGCCAGATTAAGGATGCAGTTTCTGCCTCCATGAAGCAATGGCTCCTGGACATCCGTAACGTCAGTGCACAAGTTGGACAGTTGGCACTCGATGCGATGGAGCATCGCGTGCGGAAATGGCGAGCGCGAAGGGAGAAGGATCCCCTCCTGAAGCTCAACCGCGTGGGTAGCGCTGTGGAAATCTCAACGAACGAGAAGACGGAATGTATGATGCATCGACCTCTTACCTCGAGTATTGAGCTGAACCTAGTTCTCTGCTAGTTAACGTCCTAGATAATGAGCATTTACAAGTCGATTTCAAGCCGCTCTACGAATGCATACACATATACAGTGCCTTGGATTCCCTCGATGAGATTCGCCGATCATACCAAGCAGACCGGAAGGTATAGCATCGGAGTTGACCTACCTTTCGAGGCAACTAACGGTGGTGCAGGCTCAATCAGATCTCATCCTCCCAAATATACTGCCCTTAGATCAGTTGCCGAAAGTGACTGAGGAAGTCGTCGGCTTCTTCATCATCGAGACGCACGTCCTCAACACGACAGGCAGCTTCCGTTCACCGCGAGAGGTTGAAGATCTGTGGGATGCGTTGTTGCGCCGCATAGGGAATGCAGTGGATACTGCGCTGAAGAATATCAGCGATGCGGACGCGTATCTAGGCGTAAAAGAGTGTCTACTCAGCTTCACTATGACTCTGGAGGTGAGCACGTCAAGCTTCCTGTGTATTCACATCACGCTCAAGGATATACAGCAATACTCGTACTCTACGGAGAACCTGCATGCTTTCATCCTATACCTCTTTGGACGATACGTATCAATTCTCGAGTTCAAGTTCGGCGTACGCTTCGAGAAGGTAAGGCACACTCTTGTCAGATTCGTTCTCAACTGAATATCCTCGCTAGATTGTCTTGCAAGATGACTGCCTGCCCATGTACGTGGAGAATGCCACCGAACGGGATAGTGTCTTGGACACCGTATGGCTGACGAAAGAGGAACGAGAGCAATTGACTAAGTGCGTTCTCTCCGACACCCTCGCTCCTGTATTGCTGACTTCGTCCGCAGGAGCTCATTACCGCTGACGTTACCCTGGTCTTCAGGCTTCTACCTGTGCTGTCAAGATGTCAGTCTCACGAGATGTTTGTCGGCGACTCGTCGCTGATATTTGCAATGTCGTAGATCAGGAACTTCGTGCAGAACTTCTATCAGTTCCTCGAAGGTGTGTCACAGCATCACCGAAACATCGATGACCTGCTCAGCAGAGTATGTCTCCGACCTTTCTGCGTCTCTGTCCTGCTTCTCACAAGATGCTTGGCAGACTCTTGACCATATCCTGGCCGATTTCATTGGCACCAATATTGCGAAACGAGTACAGAGCACCTCGAATCTGTCCCAGATTGTGCAGATCGTTGCAAACATCGAACACCTCGAGATTGCCTGCGCGGAACTAGAGCGTTCTCTGACGCTAATCCGGTACGCACGTTCGTCTCTGTCATTTGCGTCAGGACTGACGGAGAGTTGGCAGCTCGTCGCAGCGTGGAGGCGCCATCCACATCACCGCCGCCCCTGCCTTCAATGCCACCCTCCAAACAGCGGTCGCCCGCGTGAATTCTTCGATCGCATCGAAGCTCGATGACTTCTTCGGGCTGTCCGAGTATGACTGGACACCGCCGCGACGCGAGGAAAACCCGAGCATGTACCTGTACGAGCTCATCAACTGGCTCACGACCGTCGTCGACTCGCTCGTTATCAAAGACGCATACAAGGACAAGGCGTACCGCGGCGCTGCGGACTACATCGCGGAATGCTTCATGGTGAGTTCCGTCTCGATCATACAAGGCTGTGAGAGTTGAAAGCGTCCCGTAGGACTTCCTCATAGGGCGCAACGTGCCTATGATCAACGAGAACGCTGTGGCAAACCTCGTCACCGATATCGAATTCCTTGAGGACGAGTTCAAGAAGAGTGGTCATGCCCATCTGAACGCCGCATTCCTCGAGCTGCGCCTGGTACGCTCAGAGCCCGGTTTGATTCGCGCTGATCACCCACATGATGTATCACAGATGGCCACGATTGTCCTGGAGGATCAAGTCCAACAATACCTCATCCCAGCGGTCCGACAAGCTTCCTACTCCGTCGTGAGGCCTAGAAATCTTCAGTCATTACTCCAAAAACTGGCCAAATGGGGTTCGGAGTGCAAAGACACTGCGTCTCGGCAGCGCGGCGAGAAACGCAGAAAGGAGGCGGAGGCAGTTGGTGCACTCGTGCAGGCGGATGGGCGGTAGCTTAGAGGGGAAGATTCGCAGTAACTTATTACTTGTATGACGACAGACGCATTGGTAACGGCAATGGAACTTCTGGATATACCCGGACCGCGCTATCGTTCTACGATTCGCCCTAGTCAAGACGCAGGAGCTAAGACCTAGGACCTAAGGACCAGGAGCTTTTTCATGCACCCCTTGGGAACATTGGAGAATAAGCGTCAAAATCATATGTGACAGGAAACAAATTTATCACGACTAGAGAGAACGGTAATCACGCTACGCAGCTGAAGAAATGAGCAGAGACGACGTGCAATAGCAGAATCTTCATATCGTAAGGATCGTGCGACGACAACGTTGAAGAGACCCAGAGACGATGAGGAAGAAAACGCGTTTACACCCGCCGCTTGATGTTGGCACTCAACCACTCCAAACCCTCGTAGAGACCATCGCCGCTAGTCGCACATGCCGCCTAGCAAGTCTGATGAGGCGAAACCACGACCACGCTGACACAGGGTCACGTACCTGAATGAACCACGTCCTCTGCCTGAGACCGTGGAGACCAAGCTTGTCGGTGATCTCAGCAGCGCTCATGGCGTTAGGAAGATCCTGCTTGTTGGCGAAGACAAGCAGCAGCGCATCACGGAGCTCATCCTCGTTGAGCATCCGTTGCAACTCCTCGCGTGCCTCCGAGATACGCTCCCGGTCGTTCGAGTCAACGACGAAGATGATACCCTGGGTGTTTTGGAAGTCTGTCGGGTGGTTGATCAGTCACCCGCTAGATCTGGGCGTGACACGTAGAAACCACATACAATGCCTCCAGAGGGGACGGATCTTGTCCTGTCCTCCAACATCCCACACAGTGAAGGAAATGTTCTTGTATTCGACCGTCTCAACGTTGAAACCTAGTGTTAGTACGCGTCAGATCGCGCCAGCTGTGTGTAAGCTGTACCACTAACCGATTGTAGGGATGGTTGTGACGATCTCTCCTAGCTTGAGCTTGTATAGGATGGTCGTCTTACCGGCAGCGTCCAGTCCGACCTGATGGGTAGTGTTAGGTCTGCCTCCAGGGGCTCATAATTCCGTGCACACCATCAATATCCCTGCGCAAAAGCAGTGGCGGGTCAGGACTGAGATGCGTCACCATCGATGCGGACAACTTACGCATCTCTTTCTTGCCAAAAAGGCCGGAGAGCAGACGAGAGACCGAGAGACCCATGGCTGGTAATGTAGAATAAAGAGATGAAGTATATGGACGTGAACGGAGGAGTTGAGGCGACTGGCGCGTTGGGAGGAGGAGGAGCGTGTAAGTCGCTAGAGCGTTTTAAGCTCCGATCGTAGCTGTGTTACACGTCGCTTATGCTACATTGATACCCCGCCACGTAAGAGGCGGTACACCCGACTCAGTGCAACGCCCTCGCAAGCCCGCCACGCTCACACTACGTGTAGCAATCGTGTTGCTGGTCTGGTGGTCGCTGGAGTCATCCTGCCGCGCGTCGCAGTAACGTTTAGTATAAAGGTCGGCGCGGGATATTCCAAACACGGCAATAGACGCCCATCGCTTCATTTGGCGCCCATGGACCATACAGCGCTCAGCAACTTGCACCATCACGTCGGTCAGAGGTGGCTTTCAGTCAAGGCGGACTCGAAGGACTTGGATTTTCCTGTGGCCCGTGCATGCACCGGTCTTCACAAGGATTTGAGCCATCATGATCACATTCACGCCGCTCTCAGGTGCAGCGCGGTCCTCGCGCACAGTCCCTCTAGCGTACCTCCTGCAAGTCGATGATGTTCGCATACTGTTGGACTGCGGCTCACCTGACTGGTGTCCAGAGGGAGAGTCGGGCGAGGAAGGACATCATTGGGACAAGTACTGTGACACATTGAAGGAGTGAGCATGCTTCATCTGCGACCCCGCCCTACTTGACGCGAACTTCGAAGGTGTGCACCCTCAGTCGACCTGGTCCTCCTGTCGCATGGCGACCTGCAGCACTCGGGACTCTATGCCTATGCGTATGCCCACTGGGGCCTCACAGCGCCCGCGTACACTACGCTGCCTGTGCAGGCTACGGCACGTATAGCAGCCACGGAGGATGTGGAAGGCATTCGCGACGAACAACAGATTGGCGAGACGAGCGAACGCGAAAAGAGTACTTCGCCTGAGGCAAGTGGCTCAACCCCTCCTGAAGACAAATCCGAAAAGCCTTCTACCCCACCACCACCAAAGTCTGCGAAAGGCAGATACATCGCTACCCTGCAAGAAGTACATGACGCCTTCGACTCAGTCAACGTACTGCGATATTCACAGCCATGCCATCTGCAAGGTATGTCAGGTAAATCCTTCCAAGCAAGTGGATATTTCTGAACCATGCGCAAGGGAAATGCCAGGGTCTCACTGTTATCCCATTCAATGCGGGGCACACTCTCGGTGGTACAATATGGAAAATTCGTTCACCAACCGCCGGAACGATTCTCTATGCCGTGGATATGAATCATATGCGTGAACGGCATCTCGACGGGACGGTCTTGGTGCGACAGGCATCTGCGGGTGGTGGTGTCTTCGAGACTCTGGCTCGCCCAGACTTGCTCATCACGGATGCCGAACGCGCGGGCGTTACAACAGCACGTCGCAAAGACCGCGATGCTGCCCTCCTCGGTCAGTAATACTCTATGTGTATCGACCCTGCAGATAACTTACGCACCGCAACCAGACTGTATCGACTCAACGTTGACCTCCCGCAACTCTTTGCTTATGCCATGCGACTCGAGTACGCGGGTTCTCGAACTCCTGGTGCTCCTCGACCAACACTGGAACTACTCCCGCTTGAAGTTCCCAATTTGCCTTCTCTCGCGTACCGGCCGCGAGATGCTCACGTTCGTGCGCAGTATGATGGAATGGCTCGGAGGTACCATCAGCAAGGAGGACGTAGGCGAGACTGGCACAGGAAACAACAAGAGCAAACGGAGACGCGACGATGATGACAACGAGGATGCTTTGGGAGCGTTCGCTCTCCGTTTCCCGTACGTATGCTACTGTCACATGTTGGCAGCGCGCTGATGAATGCACCCTTGTAGACACCTCGAGTTCTTCCCTACCCCGCAATCCCTCATGCAGACCTACAGCTCGAAAGATCCCAAGCTCATTCTTGCCGCCCCCGCCTCCCTATCTCACGGTCCCTCGCGCGCGGTCTTCACAGAATTCGCCGAGATCCCCGACAACGTCGTGCTGCTGACTGGTCGGAGTGAGGAGGGCACCCTCGGACGCATTCTCTTCGACAAGTGGAACGATTCGCAGAGGGACGACGCAAAATGGGATCGTGGCAAGATTGGGAACAATGTCATGATGGATGGCATGCTACACCTGGAGGTGAGGACCTGCACGTCGGTAGTGTATGACTGGGGTTAACTAATTCTGTGATGTAGATGCGCTCGAAAGTCCCGCTGCAGGGCGCGGAGCTCGAAGAGTACCTTCAGAAGGAGCGTGCCGCCCAAGAAAAAGAAGCTGCGCAGAAAGCCGCTCAAGCACGCACTCAGCGAATCCTCGAAGCCGACGAAGGCGAGGAAGACAGCGATGAGGACAGCGATGCCGAGTCTGACGAGGAGAACGAGGTCGAGAGGGCACTCAGCGACGACCTCATGGACGGCGACGATACGCGCCCGCAAGCCTCCGCGAATGGGCGGCCGAAGCGCCGGAAGGGCGGCGTGGGCGAGGGCACCGACTGGATTGACGATGTCGCCGACGAGCCCATGCAGAAGCTATCCTTCGATATCTACCTGAAGGGCAATGTGTCGAAGGCCACGTCGTTCTTCAAGAGCGAAGGGCAGACGCAGCGATTCCGAATGTTCCCGTATGTGGAGAAGAAGCGGAGGGTAGACGAGTATGGAGAGACGATCGATGTGGGGCTGTGGCTGCGCAAGGGCAAGGTGCTCGAGGAGGACGCAGAGACTGAGGAGGTCAAGGAGATGCGGAGAAGGGCTGAGGAAGAGGCGAAGGTGCGCACAAACCATACCCCGTCCTTTCTAATGCTATGCTGACTGCTTCTACAGAAAGCTCCTGTTGAGCCACCGTCGAAGTTCGTCACAACGGAAGTGGAGGTCCAGCTTGCTTGCCGACTGTTCTTCGTCGACATGGAGGGTCTCAATGACGGCCGTGCAGTGAAGACGATTGTACCCCAAGTCAATCCGCGCAAGATGGTATGTTTCCTGATTATCGTCATATGCTGGTGATTTGCTCACTAGGTTTCGCACACCCGTAGATCATTGTCCATGCACCACTGCAGGCAACAGATGCTCTGATCGACAGCTGCTCCAACATCCGCGCTATGACGCGTGATATCTACGCACCAGCCCAAGGGGAGAACGTCCAGATCGGTCAGCACACCAACAGCTTCTCTATATCCTTGGGCGACGAGCTACTCGCGTCACTCAAGATCTCTCAGGTGGGCTTGGAATTTGTGTTGTTGCTGCAAGGTACTCATATCTCCGTCTTTTAGTTCGAAGACAACGAGATCGGCTATGTCACCGGACGTATATCGAGCCTCGCAGGTTCTACCATCCCCATCCTCGAGCCCACAGGCTCACGGCTCCCCGAGCGCATCACTCGAAAGGCGCTGCGCCCGCACACGCTCGGCTCACGACCGACCCGGACCCTTCCGCAGTCAACGATGATCGGCGAGCTGAAGCTCACTGCACTCAAGGCCCGCCTGGCGAAAGTGGGCGTCCACGCGGAGCTCATCGGTGAGGGTGTGCTCATCTGCGGCCCTGCAAAGAAAGGCGCCGCCGTCGAAACGATAGAGCATACGGTAGCAGTGAAGAAGACTACGCGGGGGCGGGTCGAGCTGGAGGGCACTGTTTCGGACGTGTACTACGTCGTTCGGAGAGAGATATATCATCTGCATGCACTTGTTGCTGCATGAGTAGTATATTGGACTTCGCCCAGCGTGAGGATGTGTATATACTTTCATTAGATATTTACATAGCGATCGCGGTTTGCTACGGTCGGTCGCAGAGCTGGGTCAGTTCTTACACTGTTGCCATAAATACATTAAATTGCGCTTCGTATCAGTACTCCTGGAAGGTGCAACATCCTGTTCCCGCTGTTTGTAAGGGAGCAGAGTTAAAGCCAACTTCAGCTTCCCCGCTGCCGCTGGGATGGCCGAATCCAGATAACGATCTGACGAGGCGGTTGTTTGGCAAAAGCCTCTGGTCCAAACATCGGCAATATCTCGGCCGGACTGCTGACCGGGCCGGTTCCGCGCTCCTGGACATGTATGTAAAGAGTCAAGACGGCCTGAAAACTCCAACAACGCTGCACTCGTTCTGACTGCACGGTCACCCCGACGTCCGACAAGCCATCCACTGGGAACGGCTGCAGCCAAGATGCCCTCGACTACGCTCCATTTCGATGCAATGCCAGTCCTTCTGCCGTACCTCCGCGCACGGCCGAGTCGTTAACGAGTCATTCTTGTGATCATGCAGCCTCTTCGACATGGACGGCACCCTGGTCGACTCGACCGACGGTGTCGTCGGCGCGTGGGAGCTGTTCAAGGAGAAGTACCCTCTCCTGGACGTGACTCAGGTCCTCAGCTGTGTGTAACATTCTACGAATGCACTGTCCGCCTCATGCTGAAACAACTATGGCAGCATCGCATGGTGTACGGACGGTAGAGAACCTCCGCCGCTTCTGCGGGGTCGAAGACCCCGAAGAACAAGAGGTCAGTGCGCTCACAATCGCAACCCCACTTCTCACTAACCCGCCGGTCACCCACCTACCCACCATGCAGCGCGAAGCGAAGCGCTTCGAAGAGGCCATCGTCACCAACTCGACGCGAAACGGCCGGAGGGGTATCCTCGCGCTGCCGGGCGTGCCCGAGATCATGGCCGAGCTCGCGCCCGTGAGCAAAGGGCCGAAGCCGCGCTGGGCGATCTGCACGTCCGCCACGAACACATACGCGACCGCCGCGCTCCAGAAGGCGGGCATTCCCAAGCCCGAGGCATTCGTCGCCTCTGAGGACGTGCAGAAGGGCAAGCCGGAGTACGTGTTGCGACCTTTTTGGGATCCTCCGAGTGTGCACTGACGATGATCTGGTGTGGTAGGCCGGATCCGTATTTGCTGGGGGCCAAGAAGTGTGGGGTCGACCCCAAGAATTGCCTGGTCGTGGAGGATGCCCCAGCTGGCGTGAAGAGCGGACGGGCCGCAGGGTCCAAGACCCTCGCGCTGCTCACGTCGCATACGCGGGAACAGCTTGAGGGGGCGCAACCCGATTTCGTGGTGAAGGACTTGTCGAGGTAACTTCGGACACATACGTGCGCATATACTCAATGCTGAAGCGCGCTTCAGTGTGACGATGAAGACGACAGACAATGGTGTCGAGGTCACGATCAACACCGATTGACGCAAGCATCATGAATGCACGGGATAGAGGGGTAGACGCGATAGAAATGCTAGATGCGATGCATGTGCAGTGAACAAGATCATACCGCCTCTAATGAGCAAGAAGTGGTTCAATTCAACTTCGTGTAGACATCAATTGGTCGCTTGAATCCTGTGACCCACATTACCGGCTTCAGTCAACCTGAGGTATTGCTGACGAAGATCCACGTACCTCCTTCACCGATCTTCCCCAGATGCTCAGGAGGACCAAAGCCAATGTCGCGCAGTATCCTTTCGAAGTCGTCTGGACGCAACTTCAGGTGTTCCAGACTCTTGAGTTTCTAGTGCGCTTATTGAGCCATGTGCGAGTAAAAGGATCTAGGTGGTTCGTACGCACCGGGTTCATTCGCCTCGCTTTATGATACGACTCCCATTCCTGAGGTTCCAGTACGAAGGTGCCTCCTACCCTCAGGACGGAATGAACGCGTCGGAAGAAGCGCATCAGCCCTTCGTCCTCGCCGTTCAGGTGTATCCACTTGGATATTGAGAACCTACATTACGCGTTGTCAGCCGGACTAGCACTGTATACTACCGGAACGGACTCACGCGAGCACAGCATCATAGCCTTCCTTATCCTCCAGAATCTCATTGTTCACCCAGTCCGCCGCGCGGAACGTCAAGTTATGCGGGAACTCGGTTCTCCCAGGGCCATCTGGGTAGTCAACCGGAGGGATAGGTAGCGGACTGAACATATGTTCAAACGACGCGGGGAAGTAGTCTGCCTGCAAGGAGGGCTTCGAAGCCTCAGCTTCTCCGTTGTCACCGTCGACCTTCCTGCGCTTTCGGACAGGCTGAGTTTCATGCTCTTCCTGATGCTTCCCCGAAGTAAAAGGATCTTGCAGTGTCCAGACGTGACGCCTCCGCTTCCACGCCAACCTGACGAGCTTGTCGTCGATGTCCACGCCGACAACCTTCTTCGCGCCCTTCGACTGTGCTTGCGTGCACCACACGCCCATCAGCAGTTACTCCCGCAGTGATACCGAGCACTCACCAATTTCGCACGTCACCCAGCCTTCGTTGCATCCTACGTCTAGCACGCGTGCACCTTCGAAGATGGAGGCAGGGAGGACGGCGACCCGTGGGTCGTTCGCGAAGGGTCGCTTGATGTAGTACCTGCGGACTGATGTCAGAACTGGCAGGATTTATGCGTGTGTGACTCACCCGTGGTAGTTGCCGTGAATGGGTGTCGACGAGCTGGAGGATGCCATCCTTCTATGTAGTATGCAGTGGCTGCGAGAACGCGTAGCGTCACCAGGAGGGCGCGATAACCCTAACCCGACCATACGTTACTTCATCCTGACAATAATGATTACAATGCACGCTAGCACCATCCGCCTGGAATCGTAGGCGGGTCACCGCCGCAGTATAGTGAGCGCATCATGCAGCAATCCCTCATCGGATTGCAGAGGGTATATCAACTTTAAGGAGTACGAGTGATATACACAAGAGTAGACTACATTTTGAAAGAAGAGCAACGACAGTACAGTGCACAGCCAGCGGAACAAATTAAGGACTCGCAAGTTGCTTGAATACTTTCACCGAACCATCGGGACCAGTCGTAGGATACGCGTTGCTGAAACTAGTACTCCTCGCCGACAGCGTCGTCATCAGGGGTATCTGCGCCGACCTCCTCGTAGTCCTTCTCCAAAGCGGCGAGGTCCTCGCGTGCCTCGGAGAATTCGCCCTGCGCAACGCGAAGAGAATGAGACATCGAAGATTGACACGGGAATCGGGGACTAACCTCTTCCATACCCTCTCCGACGTACCAGTGCACGAAGGCACGCTTGGAGTACAGGAGGTCGAACTTATGGTCTGCAGGAGATTATGAACTAAACTGTCCACAAAGTAATGCCTCACACTCACCTAGCCTGCTCCATGCAGCACCGATGGCCGTTGTGCTGTCATCAAGTTTGCATGAGTGGAGATGCCCAGCAAGCAGAACCAGCCACTCACTTCGACAGCATGCACAGACTCCGTGTTGTATGGGCTACGTCGCCGCCAGGGATGACCGCAGCGGGCTCGTTGCAGATGCCAAGCTACATACAACGTCAGTCCCCCGAAACAGCATCTGGCATAGATGCGCTAACCTTGAACGCCGTCTTGCACCAGTCCACAAATTGGATCGTCTTCTTGGTCTTCACTGTCCCCACCGCCGCCTGCGTATCCTTCGGGACGACGTCACCCCTGTACAGCAGCGCGCACGCCATGTACTTGCCCTCCTTCGGGTCGCATTTGACCATCTGGTTGGCGGGCTCGAACGCCGAGAACGTCATCTCCGCGACGGAGTTCTGCTCGTGATGCGCCTTCTCTGCGGAGAGCAGCGGTGCGTAGCTCGCGACGGGGAAGTGGATACGCGGGAACGGCACGAGGTTCGTCTGGAACTCGTTGAGGTCGACGTTCAGCGAGCCGCCGAAGCGCAGCGATGCGGTGATGGACGAGACGACCTGCGCGATGAGCCGGTTGAGGTTCGTGAAGCCCGGCATCGACACGCCGAGCTTCCCCTTGCAGATGTCGTAGATCGCTTCGTTGTCCACCTATACACAGGAGATCAATCGCACGACAGCACACATGCTTGAGGAGGCACGCACCATGAACGCGCAGTCCGCATACTCGAGCGTCGCGTGCGTCGTCAGCACGGCGTTGTACGGCTCGACGACGGAACTCGACAGCTGCGGAGCCGGATACACGCAGAACTCCAACTTCGACTTCTTGCCATAGTCCTGGAAGAGCTTCTCAAGCAGGAGCGCACCGAAGCCTGAGCCCGTGCCTCCGCCGAACGAGTGGAAGACGAAAAATCCCTGCAGGCCAGTGCAGCTGTCTGCGAGCCTGCGGACCTTGTCCAGAACAGGGTCAATCATGTCCTTGCCAACAGTGTAGTGTCCTCGGGCATCTATGCAGGCATGCCAGATCCTCGTTAGACGACACGTGAACGAACGAGGACGACACGAAGCTGCTCACAGTTGTTCGCAGCATCCTCCTTCCCCGTAACCATCGACTCCGGGTGGAAGAGCGCCCTGTACGGCCCCGTCTTGACATCGTCAATCACGCTAGGCTCAAGGTCCACGTAGATCGACCGAGGGACGTATTTGCCCGAGCCTGTCTCGGCGAAAAACGTCGAGGGGTCGCTATCCGGCTTGTGAACACCGTCCACGAGTCGGCCGTCCGGCTACACACCTGCAGCATGAGCAGCGGTGAGAGAACATCACACATTCCACTCACGCTGATGCCATGTTCGAGGGTGTACAACTCCCCTACATAGTATGGGTCGCCAGTCGGTTAGCCGATCGGAAGAAAGCAACACGAGACTGTCGCACAGCATGCGTTGCCTATCTGGACACCTGCTTGCCCGACGTGGATGGAGATGACTTCACGCATCGCGTTGAAGTTCCTGGCTGGGTATGTGGTTGGAGGATGATGGGGGGTGACAAGAGCCCGCGCTGGCAAATACGGCCCATTTGAGGCGCGCGAATTCGGCCTTGAGCCTAGTCTGTCGCGGATTGAATCGTCGAAAACGGCCCCGCAAGGATGACTGTCCACGTATGATGACAAATGGGGCCTGCAGCGGCCTGCAGTCCATGCAAGGCCAAAGGCTTGTTATGACTATCTATTCACTGGCACCTCTCGCGAGTTGCATTTCGCCGTATCACACACACGATTCAATAGCGGTGGCTGAATGCGGACATTAATTTTATTGTACCGATGGTATACGTGCACATGCCCATTTCACAAAGGACAAGCGGGGATATCGTAAATGATCATAGCGACGACACAGAAGGAGAGTGACTCGACAAATAAACCGTGATGAAAGGAACCGAAGCATCAACGAACTACTCAGTACTCTCCAACCTCCTCAGCATCGGCGGAGTCAATGCCGACCTCCTCGTAGTCCTTCTCGAGGGCAGCAAGGTCCTCACGAGCCTCGGAGAACTCACCCTCCTCCATACCCTCGCCGACGTACCAGTGCACAAAGGCACGCTTGGAGTAGAGCAGGTCGAACTTGTGGTCCAGGCGGCTCCACGCCGTCGAGATTGCAGTCGTGTTGGAAAGCATGCACAGCGAACGTGTAACCTTAGCGAGGTCGCCGCCAGGGATGTGCGCCGGAGGCTCGTTGCAGATACCGAGCTTGAAGCCAGTAGGGCACCAGTCGACGAACTGAATCGTGCGCTTCGTCTTGATGATCGCGACGGCAGCGTTCACGTCCTTGGGCACGACATCGCCGCGGTAAAGCAGAGCACATGCCACTACGAGGACGTCAGCATCTGACGACGAGCGCTCCATGAAACTACGAGATTACTCACTGTATTTGCCCTCCCTCGGGTCACACTTGACCATCTGGTTACCGGTCTCGAAGCAAGAGAAGGTCATGTCCGCGACCGAGTTCTGCTCATGGTGAGCCTTGTCAGCCGAGATGATCGGCGCGAAGGTGGCAAGAGGGAAGTGAATGCGAGGGAAGGGGACAAGGTTGGTCTGGAACTCGTTGAGGTCGACGTTGAGGGAACCATCGAAACGAAGGGAAGCGGTGATAGACGAGACGACCTGGGCAATCAGCCTGTTGAGGTTCGTGAAGCCCGGGGACGAGATGCCGAGCCTCTTCTTGCAAATGTCGTAAATGGCCTCATTGTCGACCTATTGCCAAATCAGGTTAGCCCACATCTCACATTAAAATCTGTAAGAGACATACCATGAACGAGCAGTCAGAGTGCTCAAGGGTGGTGTGGGTCGTCAAAACAGAGTTGTACGGCTCGACGACCGAGTTGGCCATGGTCGGCGCGGGGTACACACTGAACTCGAGCTTGGACTTCTTGCCATAGTCAGTCGAGAGACGCTCCAAAACAAGGGCACCGAAACCAGAACCAGTTCCACCACCGAAGGAGTGGAAGACGAAGAAGCCCTGGAGACCGCTGCAGTTATCTGCCAGGCGACGGACCCTGTCCATCACATTGTCGATCTGCTCCTTGCCAATGGTGTAGTGACCACGGGCATCTAATGAGACACGACGCGTCAGACACGCACGGCACGCGTTCAAACACGTTGAAAGAACTTACAGTTGCTCGCCGCATCCTCCTTACCAGTTACAAGAGTCTCCGGGTGGAAGAGGCTCCTGTAAGTACCGCTCCGAACCTCATCGATGACGTTCGGCTCCAGGTCGACGTAGAGCGAGCGCGGCACATGCTTCCCAGAGGACGTCTCCGAGAAGAACGTGCTGAAGCCGTCGTCGTGCTGCGAAGGCGATCCCTCAATGATACGACCATCGGGCTAGCAAGAAGTGATCAATTTTTGTTATCAACACGTCAACACGACGCGACCTACGCTCAGACCGTGCTCGACGGTGTAAAGCTCCCCTGCGAAGTGTCATCCATGTTAGTCTAAGCCATCATAGACAAGTAGATCCCAGAATACGCCAGGCGACGCGTCTTTCGGGGATGGGTATGGTATATGCAGTCGCGACTTACAGCAGGCGTTACCGATCTGGACACCAGCCTGACCGACATGAACGGAGATAACTTCACGCATTTTGGAACAAGATTGAGGGCTATCGTGGCTCTCGTCAGTCTCAGCAACAGGGACGCGTCGCAACAAGCTTACTCGGAGCGATGAGGGTAAAGGAAGAGGTCGACAAAGACAACGCATAACGCGCGAGGTTGGGCGTTAAGAAAGGCAAGAGAGGTGACAAATCCTTTCCCACGGCGTTGCGTACCAACTCTGGGCCGGGTCCGTGCACGGTACGCTTGTCCTGAAACACCTTCGAATCCCATTGTTCGCTTTCCAGGACAGCCATATCGATGAGAATACCGGGGAGTACAACATAACATACTGGGCAAGTACGAGGTATGAGGACAAAATGAGAGGATGGCATTGTCCAGTCCGTGATCGTAGTACTTAGTGAAATGGTGATGTAGCCTGTGGTGTAAGTCCAATGATGAGGGAAACATTGGGAGAATCCTATCAACGATGGGACTGCGATGACTTGAGTTGAAGGGTTTTTCCTGCGCCATTGATGGCTGAAGCCGCATGCTTTTTACCATCAGCCGCCTTCGCAGCCGCCTTCTCAGTACTCTTTCGCATGAAATAACTGAAGAGCAAATAGCAGCGTAAGCGGACGCATTGGTTGCACATACATCCTCAGTACTCACGTCACAAGTGATTGCCAAATGCGCAGGCCATGCATCGGAGAGCTCGGCGGGTAGACCTGCTGTTCAGACGCGGATTGTGGTGGCGGATCGCGAGGATAGTCATGCTTCTCGAAGGCCCCTCGGACAACATCGGATGTCTTGAGCTTGGGGACCATCTTATGCGTGGCCGGCGCTGTGTGGTAGACGTTCTTCTTGAGAAGAGCAACTGCTTCAGCCTAGCAAAGGTGTCACATCAAATCAAGGTGCAGAGTAGTCAATCCTCGTACCGTATCGCGCCGTCCTGCGATGGCGCTGGGGGCAGGCGTCTCGTTCTGCAAATCCAAGGGACCTAGCCAAACGTGAGCTCCACATATGCGCAATATGAAGTGACACTTACCCCAGCGACGATCTGACACAATGGTGCCAGAAGCACCAGACGCAAGCGAGAAATGGCTGTGACTTCGATGGTCGGCGCTGGGTCGCGTGAGGGAATCGTGTATGACCCCTTGCTCATGCGCATGTCGAAGAAGTCGCGCCGCTTTCTGCTCGTACTTGCGTCTCCGCTTGATTACCTTCTCGGCCTTGTGTCTATACTTCTTGTCCCACATTTCCTGTCCCGTAAGCCACCTCTTCACCGGAGCCTCCTTGATGATGCCGATGGACCGCGGCTTCAGTTGTAAGGCAGGGATGTCCTCCTTTGGCTCCATGGGCCTTACTTTGCCGAATATATCGACTCGTTCTCTCAGCATACTGACGCGGGGGATGTCCTATCCGTGTTTATGATGAAACGTTATGTGGTGGCGTCGAGAGAGCGACTCACCTCCTCTGACCCATTCTGCTTCACCGATTCACTCTCCGTGCCAGCCGGTAATTGCTCAGCTGCACCCTCCTTGACCTCCTCCTTCGCCCTCTTTTCGTTGCTCCTGAAGTCATCTTGGCCAGAAGGCACGTCGACGGGACTCTTCCCCCTGAGAACCTTCTCGCCATCGTTGACAGCGTGCTGGGCTGGCGGGCGTTCCGGTGGATCCATATCATCTTCGGACTCGTCGAGATCCTCAGGGGGGATATGGAATTCAGGGAATGGGTTTCGTGCTAGATGCTCTGGAGGCTGCTTCGTGACATGCCGAACGAATTGTGCGATAGAGCTATACGCGTATTTGGCCTGGAGGCAACGTCCAGATGTCAAGACATAACTGCGTGACAACATGACTCGTTACGTACGCATCGTATGAACGTGAACACAGTCAAGACGTGACACATGCCTGCAGTTCATCAGCATCCGCCACATGACTTCGAAGCAAATCGCATACCGTCGTAGACTTGCAAGTGGACCTACAAACCCATTATTAGATCAGAATAATGTCAACGCAACGCAACTAGTCACCTTCGTCGGTGTCTTGAACCGCTCTGCATTCTCCTTCTGACGTCGTCCTTCCCCGAGGACCCCGTCCCTGGCAGGGTATTCCTCCGGATGCGCGGCTTTGTGTGCCATGTATATGATCTCATCCCTCAGGACCTCTCCATCGCCGCAAATGATGTACAATGGGCACAAATTACCGAGCGAGCCTTGCAGGACGGGCGACACCAACGGGTGTGTAAGCTGTCTGTGAATGTCATGTCAACCGCGTTTTCCAGTGAGAAGTGTTGAAAGCACGCACTCGTTCGTAGCATAGAGCTGGATCTGGGAACGGAGCTCTAGCGGTCTTGCATGTGGGTCATCCATGAGTACCTTTGGCGGCTTAGGCTCCCAGAAGTCATCATATTCGGGGCCAGACTCGTCTTGACCATCATTGGCCCGTTCTGTCTGAGAAGTCGCCTCAGGATCCTTGTTCCCTTCTCCCTTCGGAGCCTTGTCTTCGGCAGCTGAGTTCACGTCTTCATCCACGATGGGTTCCATGACGCCGTTCGATGGCGCCCCAAAGGGTGACTCAGGCTTGACGCTTTGGCTGTCAGCTTTAGCCGGTGAACTAGGCTCAGGCGGTGTTCCCTCAGCTTTCCTCAACATCTCTTCTTGGCTTCCGACATGGTCGTCTTTCAGGTCCTTGCTCTGCACCTGCTTACACTCCACGGCGGCTTGCTCCGCGATTTTATCGGCTTGAGAAGCCACCCGACTTCTGCTGGGCTGCAAAGTATCCGCGTGCCCAGGTCGTGGAGGGGCGTTAGTCTGAGTGGGAATGACGCGAGCGCGTCCGTTCTCGTCAGGTAATGAGTGTATAGGCCATGCTGGAGACGGCTTATGAATGAAGCCATAAGGTGGGATGATGTCCTACGTGCCCCCGATCATCAGCGATGCATTACACAGTGTATACACGAGTGCTCACTGTTGCAGTGCTCTGCATAACGCTGGGAAAGCTGTGCGTCATGTCAATCCACGGACTGATGAGGACAGCACCTGCCGGCTGTGTTATTCCCATGTCCCGAAGAACGGTGAGAGCGGTGAGGCATAACCCTCCGCCAGCAGAGTCTCCTGCGAACACAATTTTGGACGGATGGACGGGTTTGTGCAGAGCGCCCGGTGGTGGATCCGTCAAATAGAAGTCTGCACACCAAGTCATTGTCAAAACTCCGGACACCGGTGAATACGGAGACGTACAGGCTGCGAGAACGTCATGCAGGGGACATGGCCATGGATACTGAGGCGCCTTCCTACGAGCGTGTCAACTCGTGATCGAGTGTTCGTGATATGACTTACCGATAGTTCACTGCGAACGCTCGGCCCTTGAATTTGCGAGCTGGAACACAAGTCAGGAAGAGCTGTGAGAAATTCATTTTGAATGCACTGACCATAGCGAATGATCTGATAGCGATGTGTGTCTATACGATATCAATTAGTCATGGGGACGAACGAAACGCTGAGGCAAAAATACACATACTGACAGATCCCCAGAAGTATGCACCTATGCGGACGGTGAGGTTGGATCAGGTGGACTCCTGAAATCCGGCGTACCTCCATGTACGTACAACTGTTTCATTGCCTAGGTTAGCAGCATGATACACCTGCCAAACCCAAAGACTCACCATGACACTCTCGAGATGTTCCATGCGCGGAATATATTTCTCCGTCTCCGACAGTTGTTCATTAGTGGACAAATCATCGTTGCTGAGGTACTTGTGTTCGGTGATCCATTCAGAGTCGATGCCGTCGAGCCCTCTGACTTGCCACCAACGCTCGCCGCCGACGACGCGCTTGAGATCATCAGGACCGAACCAATCAATGAGGACATCCGCTGCCTTGTTGCACGAAGTGAGTGGTATTTGAACAGGTGCAACAGCAGCCCAGGGTGGCGCGGGGACGTGCGTATTGGTGCTATACAAGTTCGTCATGAATGTCAAACATAGATGACACAGGGAAGGCACCCACAAGGCCTGCAGGGACTCCACAGCGTTGTGTGTACCCAGTTCTATGAAGGCCTTGACAATGTGAAAGCCCCTACATTGATCGCTCGGTTTCAGTGGTCTATAAGCTCTGGCGTAGCGACAGGACGCACTCGTCAAAGAATATGTCATCTGTGGCTTCATCTATGGCTTCACCGTCCTTGTGTTTATGGGCTTTCCTGCGGCCATGTTTGACTAGTGTCTTGATGGCAACTGTGATGTAGCTGTAGGTCCCAGGGCCCACGAAGCTAGTCCAAATCGATTCGGACTTACCCGGTGCTATATGTGCGGCAGCGGAGAATGTGTTCACGCCCATGGTTAGGCGGTGCGAGTAGCGGCGCCGAGGATGAGAAGGGTACCCAGCGGGGGTTGGAGCCAAGCAAGTGGGGGTCGGGGGAGCGCAGCGTGCAGAAGGCGCGCCCGCGGTGCCCCCAAGTGCCCCCAGTCGCGCGTCGAACACGCTCAGCCACCCGTCTGTCCCTGAGCGTGTCATGGCACGTGCACCGCGCCACCTCCGGAGCGCCCGCAGCCGCTATCCCGGGCCGCGTCACTCTGTCCACTGTACACCAGCACTTCGTTACGACTCTAGCACGTACGAATTGATAGATCTGAGTACAATAGCTAATGTTCAGATCGTGTCGACAAAAGAGCCATATTTTACATACACGACGGCTTGCCCTCTTCGTATTCAGCTGGGGTTTTACACATTCGGCTGAACAACCTGCATAGTCGCTGAAGATTTCGTCGCGCCTGACAACTGGGCCGGCGCGCGTCGTTGTCAGGGCAAGCGCTCACACCGTGATCCCGAAATGGCAACTGTTGAGGTTGACCATCATCAACGTTGCAACGTTCAAACGTTCACCGGCACCCTTGACTACATCGCAGGGCATACGCAATTCGGTAATCAAATAATCTATAACGTTGGAACGGAGTGCTACTGCTAGGACGGTGATGTAGTCTCTATGTGACTGGGGGAGGAGAACAGGATTGTACAGATGCGGGTAGATCGTTCTACCGTAGTTTCGAATGCGGCGGTCTATGGTACGCGAGAGCGAGGAGAGCACTAACAGCACAGGTGAGATACAAGCTCTAGGGAATTGGTGCTACATATTGCGCTGTTGTGTTGCTGGGAAATGATCTAGGAAGAAGTGTTCTGGAGAGTGCGTTGGATCCGTTGGCGCCACTTCACGTAGATACCCTCCTGGGGCGACGGCGCGTAGCGGCAAAGTTCGAAGAGTACGAGTTGTTCCTGTGATAGAATTAATCAAATGATACGAGCAGAGCAGAACAAGTGGACCTCACCATGAATCCTGGATTGATCCACACCTGCTCGCGCGCTTGATACGCAAGCAGTCAGTACGAGTCGATGAGTCGAAGAAGACTGCTCACTCTTTCTAATCTCTGCGACCGCGTCAGTGGGGCTAATTCTCCTGGAATACATCACTACGCGATGTTAGCGACTGGACGATTGCCGATCACGATATGCGCTTACAGTACGCAGCGATGACTGCTGCACTGCGCGAAAGGCCCTGGACGCAGTGCACAAGCACAACTCCCCTATAGCTCAGGGCGTTGTGTATGAACTGACACGCCGACGGTAGGTGAATCAACAGGTCAGCGTAGTCCATGTCTTCAACAGGGATACGCAGATGCTGGATGCCGGACGCGGGATTGTCTGCCGGAATAGGCTCTCTGCCAAGAGACACTATGTGCGTGATGCGCCTGTCGGACAACGTTCGGGGGGAGATAGCAGCATCGAGGCTATAAAGATCGGGTAGAGAGGTCAGCCCCATATAGGTGATGGTCGCGGAAGGGCAGTGTCGGCTACTTACGTCCCGAGAAACAACCTTTCCTCCAGGCCCGCAATCGTGTTGATCTTTCCCCAGCTGGTAGACATCTTCGCGGCTTCGTATCACGAACAGGTTCGTCGGCGAACCCGTCCCTCTTTGGCTGCTGCATTTTGTACGAGTCCGCCATGCATAGCGGGCCCACAGAAATGCCGTCCGTGAATGCATAGCGTGCTCGCTGTCTGTATGCTTCCGAGCTAGGGGCCACAACCGTTGGGCACTGGCAACGTCGATGGCGGTGAACACAGCGCCCGAATGTGGTACAAGTGCCCGGAGTTAAGCCCACGTGACCGCGCGTCACCGTCCTAATCTGGCGTTGAGTCTGCCCGGCCGCTGCTCGCAGCCCATGGCTGTGCCCCGTCGCAAGTGCCGCAATGGGCGAGAGGTAGCCCTCTCTGTACTCGTCTCCTCAACACCACAGTAGTCTATAGCAAGATGTCACGTCAGTGGGCAATCATGCATAAAATTCCTGTGGCTCTGACCGTTTAATAGCGTCACTGCGCTTCTGTGGGCGCACTATCACTGCGCAAATCCCCCTAGCATTTGGCAGGTCGTATGCAATGTCCACACGCTACACTTGGCGTCGTTCTTCGGACAGTCTGCCTGTGGCACCGACGCTGTGAACGGCGATGTGTTCGCCAGGTGTGAAAGAGCGGATATGATAGTGGCTCACCTCTGAGATTGCCTGTCGTAACGATCGGACCCGGGCCTCTGTTTCACCGTCTGAACAGAGTCGAAACTTGTGTGCGCGTATGCTCGGCCGTGGAAAGGGAGTATGACGACATGCGCACGAGCTATCAGTCGCGCAGGCACCGAATAGATCACTGCAGTAGATCGCCAGAACCGAAAGGATCCATGAAATTCGTTGACTCATCAGAGTGCGCACGTATGGCAGTTTCACACAAGATATCCGCGGGAGGGTAGGGACAGCATGTCAACGTGTCAACATGCTGCCAGGCTCGTCCATGACCTGTCAGAGGTGGCGGTGCAGTTGCCCGTAGCAACCAGACAGATAGTAAGTACTCCGACAGAGTCGCGGAACATGCCCGGGCGCTCCGTTGTGTACAGTCGATCGAGATCAGGAAACGTACGATCGCGGGATAGAAGGCACCAAGCCTCCGCCGATTGGGCGCGGGTACTGTAACTTAATATTCACTCGGGTACAGCGGAGTACAGCGGGCGCAGCATTCTTTCCACTGAACCATTACAGCGACAATCGATACATGACTTACATAAGACATAGGGTACACGAAACAGCGGGAGTGCATCGGAATTCCGTTCAAACATGGGGCTGTCGGGACCAGCATGACAGTTCATTCATCGATGTAGTGCCGGGCGAAGAGATCGTTTTGAATCCAGATGACCTGTATTGTAGAAGGAAGAAGGTCAGTCATGTCCGCCGGTCTACCGCACAGTGCAACAGCATCCTCACCTTATTGATCGCTGAGACAGCATCTATCTTCGTCTGCATGCTCGCTGTCTCGTCCGGTAGCCGCAGAATGGCCGTCTGCAGGACGTTTTGCACCACACTGAGGAGCAATGCGCAGTCACGGTCTACCCGAGAATCAGAACTTCCGTAGAGGCGAAATCGACATCGGAGACCCACAAGGTACATTCAAGGGTGCGATTCCCAGTGCTCTTTGATGTTTGAACGGCGAAACACCGGTGTGCATAATCCCGACCTTATCCATGTAGGCCCACGTCTTGCCTTTGGAGTAGTCGGCCGTCAAAACTCTCCGGGCCCACGCCTTCATGAAGACCTGGCATAGAAGAGTATCAGGACGGCGCTCATCCATGAGTTGGACCGCACCGACCTTTCGGAACACAATCTGTGCACTATCCAGTGTCAAGTCCTCCAGCTTCTCAGGCAGAGGCCCGTCGAAACCCTAGATAACGGACACTCAGCGACACGACCATTCATCATTCGAGAAGGGACATACCTGGTTCCGCGTCATGAACACCTTCTTGGTGATGTCGAACTCGAACAACTTCGAGTACAACTCGTCCACCATGCCTGGTATGACCGCATTTACATGCGGCGCGATCGAGGTTATGACGTCGGAGTCGTGCGAGCTGAAGTTGACGAAGTCGGTGAGATACGCGACACGGTCCTCCAGGGAGTTCTTCAGTAGTACTGGATCGATCTCCTGCACGAATACGGGGCAGCTGCTCGCAGAGGAAGTCGACCGAAGCAGCGTCGAAGACGAGTCCGTCGTGGGGGTGTTCGTGCGCTCGGAGCTGTCATCGAGCGAGGGCCGTTCCGCGAGGTGGCCATATTGGGCAAAAGGGCATGTTGTATCCCGAGAGTATGAGTCAAAGTCGAACGCGGACATGACGCAGAACCGTCACGAATACAGCAGATGGTTGAAATTGACTGGAAGCGGATTCTGAGCGGTGAAGACGGTCTCGACGACGCCTATGACAGCTTATATGTGGACTCATCGCCATCTGCGCGGAACATGCAGGACGGTTTGGCAATTGCTCATCGCGGTTCGACTTCGTTACGGGTCGAGAACCAGTATAATACGAGATAGGTGGACCCAGGCAAGACGAGGCAGATGTACGGGATCGAGACTGTCGGTGGTTGCCTAGCCATGCTCCTCAGGAGGTGGCAGCGATGGTTACCCCGACGTTGGTGAGGGCGCGGAGGCGAACGAGTCTTACCGAGACCCCGCACTCGGCCCTCGGCCAGCAGACGGCGCGCCCTTCATTTGTGGTATGAGGGACGTGATCGTGGAAGCCGCAGCCGGGACATGCCGGGTGGCGAAGCCATTCCAGCGCCCTCGGCCGACCAGTGCAGCAGCCCCGGGTACACCTCTTGCATCCTACTCTGATTTGCTCATTGCACTGGGCGGTCTCCTCGATGTGCCTTGGGGGCTTTTAGCGATATGAACACACCTGCTCTCTTTCGAACAGCCTGAGCCCTTCTTTCGTCACGTTGTCGATATGGTCGTGGGTCATGCATTCATGAACGACGGCACAGCACTCAAGTATTCAAGATCGGTCGGAGAGGAGTGCAATCAGAGGGCCATGCCTTTCGAAGCTGCTCGCAGTTCATGAAGATGTACACGGCCACCACAGTGCTCCAAGACATACCTCTACCGCGACTCATCGTATGCGAAGCAACTCCACATCCAGTGAGTGGTCGCATGCGGGGCAGTCCACTGCGCAGCCTTCGTCCGCAGAGGCGGAAGGGGTCAGATGGGTGTTCATATGGGCACGGTACGTACTGTTCTCGAGCGTTCCCGTTGGGCAATTCATTCGCAGAGCGTATGCGACGTCGGACTGAAGATACTTAGCTGAGCTGTGGTGGATGACGTCGTCTAGCGCTCCGGCCTCTACCGAGTGTGTACGACGACGACAAGATGGTCACAGTCTCGAGCGATCGTCTGCGGCCACCGCGAGTCTGGGGTGCATTCTCGGAGGCTCGGCGCTGCACACGGGGCGGCACAGAGCGGACCCTTGCGCAGGAGCATGACCGCAACAGGCGCCCAGGGCCGGAGACGCGTCGCGCGTCAGTCACGTGTGAATCCGACTCTGGGCCATGGAGACCTGGACGCTGCTGTGTGCACGACAACAACGGATCCCTTCGCCATGAGGCGCCCCCGGCCTGCGTTTCTTCATTTCCACCCACTTAGGCATGCCCCTGCCATCCCCTTCCAGCGCGTCCTCCTGCCTATAAGTCTTCGTCAGCCTTCCGTCCGTCTTATTCCCCCACACTCTACCCTTGTCACATCAACATGATCGACATTACTTGGGATACTGTGAGTACTATATCTCTCCCTTTGTGCGTTCCCTACTGATCGATGCAATCAGCCCGAGACCAGCGGCCATAGTCGCAAGGCATCCACTATCCATGGCTGGGTGACCAAGATGCGTGGCACGCTCGTAGACGACGAACGCATACGGAAGCAGGGCATTCGCGAGATGGAACATGCCCGCCGCATCCGGGAGTGGAAGAAGGAGAAAGGGATCGAGGAGCAGAACAACCTCCTCTTCTCCTTCGTCCCGAAGAAGCCGCCGCAGCCCAACAATCAGGTCATGATCGTCCGGCGGCACACGACTACGAGTGCTCGCCAGTCGAGCACGCGTAGTCCCCCCTCCCGCAGCGCTTCCCAACACCGGCGTCATGACAGCCGTCCCCAGCTCACTCAGAAGGCTTACTCAGCTCCGAATGGTCGTCTGCTCAGAGATGCGACGCGTTCGGGGACGACCTCTCCGCCGAGCGGCCAGCTGGTCAGGGCCGGAACGCAGGTTAGAAGGGATGGTACATCCGGGCACCGCTCGGAACACTCTCGCCACCACCATCGGTCTGGGTCACAGAGTACGCGTCAGGCGTCTCTGCCTCTCCCTGGCGGGAGCCATCAGCGATCTCAGAGCAGGCGTCAGGCCTCCTCGTCTGGAACACGGAGTCCTGGTGGCCGTCCCACCAAGCGTCATACCCATTAATCATCCTTCTACCCCGCCCTCCCCTCCACAGTCCATCCCGAGTTGTCTTTAATCGTATTTATCCACTACGCCGCCGGAGACGGCCCTTTTCCTCCTGTTCACTTCTTCCCCATGGATGATTGTCATGACGTTACGCTTTGTTATGTTGCGCAGTTTGCGCTTGTACTGTAGCACATTACTCGTATAATGACTTCATGACCTCTGTCGTAGGACAGAGGCGCCGTTTAGCTGCGGAACATGCTGCAAACGCAATGCACTTTGAATGAGCACTCATATACACATGGCGGCGCATGGGACTAGGGCAATACAGCGGCTAGGGTACCAAGGTTCACTCTGACCCATCAGAATCACCCTCTTCGACAGGAACCTGCTCCTCTTGCGCGACCGCTTTCTTCTTTTTCTTCTTTCTCCTCCGCTTCTTCTTCGACGGTGACGCTGGGGTGGCCTCCGCCTCCTGGGGAGGTCCAAGGAGATTCAGGAGGGGAGTCTTGGGCGTGTGTGCGGACTTAGACGGTGACGACGTTGTGGATGTGGGAGGTGGTGCGGTAGGAGATGGTGATAGTCGTCCTTTGTGGCTCATTGGTGGCCTCGTCGGTGATGACGGCACTGTGGCAGCTGCATGTTCGTTAGCATACTACACGTACGATCAGGCCAAGGTGACTTACGAGATTTTGCGCGCTCCGCAGGTGGTACGGGTTTCGAGGACGTTCCAAGACTCCCTGGAGTGTCAGCGGCGGAGTCATGGGTAAGAGCCGTGGGTTGCTCGGACGACTGCGTATTGTGGGGCAGCTTTGGTCGTTCGATGACGAGTTGGCTGACCGAGTGACGGTCCTTCTTTTTCTTTTTCTTCTTCGAAGATAGCGGTGCGGTCGGCGTCCCAGAATTGTGCTCGCCCTGGCCCTCGCGAAAAGGCGTCTCAGGAGGCACGGTCGTTGCAGCATTTGTGTCCTTGTCACCGTCCCTATCACCATTGAGCCTCTGGAAGCTCGGGTGTTCGTTGAGTGCCTTCGGGGTGTCCAGAACGCGCCTTTTGCCCTTGTCTTTGGGCGCGAAGGGATCTACCTTCGCCTTCTTCTTGATAACACTCGCCCGACTCTCCTCTTCGTCGTCCGAGGGCAGGGTGGCCGCAGGTACATCCTCCTCGCGTGCACGTTTCTTTCCCGCGGACGCGGTGAGCTTGCTCTTCAAGCGCGCACTGTCGCGGCTAAGCAGACTCGTCGACTCTGGGACGGCAGCACCGACGCCTAACCTGTACTATGCTAAGTCGTACCAGAGATATCTCTGCGAGCGGGTAGGTGACGTACCGTGGAGGTCTTCGCATGTACTCTGCTAGATCTTTTTCTTCGTTGCCACGAGACTTTGACGAGGGCAGTTTGCCCTCGGTGGGCTTCAACCAGGACGAGACTAGGTTCTGGGTGAATGCCAGAGACATGTCGACTTGGGCTTGGAGCGTCTCGAGACCGATGTCCTCGTCCTCTGCCATCTTGGCTGTATAGAGGCCAGGGAGACTGGCGCGTGAATGGGTGATAAGATCGACCTGCGCGACAGAAATGCAGATGAATATTGAAGTCGATTGTGGTTCCTCCTCGGGAGTCGAGGCAGACAGCCACAAGCGCTCGAGATCAAAGCTCTAAACAGACGCCCATAAGCGAGTTGCGGCAGTCATCGACCTGGCGCAATTGCCGTCTGAGGACTCTTCGCTCCCTCACCGGCCTCACCCCTTCAGCCAGTCCGATCACGTTCAAGGTACAGTATGTTTGCACTGTCGGCTGCTCCCAAAAGAAAGTACCAAGAAGCAGACATCTCGGATGAGGACGACGAGCCCTCCCTTGGAAGACAAGTGTTGCCCGTTGCGAACCTCCCGGCCAACTTCAATGGTGTACCTGAGGATGGGCTGCAGTACTTGTTCACAGTTCGGTGAGTCTGCTCAACGATTGTATGCTCCGGAATGCATCTGACGAGTTGTGCGTTAGACGTGACGCGCGCATGCGTCCACACATAACGAGAGTAGCAAACCCCTACGAGATCAAGGAAGAACAAAGAGAACCTAGTGTTGACGCCATGGACCCGGACCACCCTCTGTTACCGTCCGAGGAATGGCGAGATGTCTTTATAAGGCGATTCAAGAACTTCCGCAAGGCATGTTGCTTCCCTCTTTCGATAGCACGAAATGCTCACACATATCTGTAGAACTCTATGCAGCCCACAGTGGGCGCCCGTGCACCTAGCTCTTCACGTAAGCTTCTGCCGGACATGCGAGAGAGAGACCTGTGGTGGGCCTTCCTGACGGGCCAGCCCGCATCTGTATGGGACCCGCCCAAGAAGCCAAAGCAGCCCAAGAACAACAGGAATTGGAAAGGCCGCTCTCAAGGTTACAGCGTGGACACGCTCGCCTATTCTGATGACGCAGAGTCTTCGCAACATCTCAGCTACTCTCTCGAGGACGGACGCGTCTTTTCCACGTCGAGCAGCGAGATGTGGAGGGTCACGACCGACGGCGTCGAACTCACTAGTGCTCTCAACGCTACGGCATCACTCCCCACTCCCTCTGGCACGCCCGCACCACCGGATCGCCTGGAAGAGTCTTCTGGCAGTAACGCCTTCGCAAGTAGCTCCTCGTTAAACGCTCTCCATCCACCGGAGCCAACTCCAACCCTGATGCACCGAATAGACCACGTAAGTCGTGGTACATGCATGTTTGCATCGGGTAACTGATTCTTGTCTAGCGGTACGCGTTACATCTATTGATGTACTTTACCCATTGGATCAATCTGCGTCTCGAGCGAGATGCGGCACCCTCGCCGCACCTCGTAACGGAGGCGCACTCTCGCTGGATGTTCACGCTCCTCTCCCGTGTGGAGGACTACGTCTCGGCAGACGAGACAAGCCTGTTGCGGAGTCTCGCGCGCGCATGCATATCCCTCATAGAGGAAACGAGACGAGAGATCGCCGGCTCTTCAGGGGACACGTCTCCTGTTGAATCGTCACCTCTGGAACCAACTTGCTGGATGATCATAACCGCTGTGGTCAGCATTTGGGGCCAGAAAGACTTGTGGATGGACGCGGAGGCGATGTTGCGAAGACTGTCGGCATGATCACTGGGACTGTCTACATGTTGCGTGTCATTGTATTCCATAGTGCTGTATTGTGTCCTCACGCCGGATGATGACAGATGTACGACAGGGGAACATGCAGACACATGATGACGACTGCCCAACTTGGAGTTCCGCACGTCGACTGTTCCAGTCATGGTCTCGACCCAGACCACATCGCTTTATGGCTCGATGTTGATCGAGATGGACATCTTCCATCCCCTTGGACGGTCGCCCCAACTGGGTATCGCGCTTTTGGTCACGAATTGGGAAGCGAACAATCGATCCTCCTTGGCCAGTTCTGCGTCATGAGCCATTCCAGGGGCCCTCCATGGGTGCCGCTGGCCGCCTTGCTCAATAATGCCGGAAATTGCTTCGCCAAGCTTAATCAAGTCGTGCGCCACCGGCCCTGAAATCGTCGATGCCTGGAAAGGGCATGCCGGAGTGCGCGGCCACTTGTCGACAATGCTGTCCTGCTCGCCCTCGGGTAATCTGCTAGGATGTTACCAGCCTCCTGCATGAGAGAGCATTTCGGGGCGAGCGACGGGATGTCGAGCCCGCCGGACGTGGGCGGGATAGACCGGCGCCGTGTGAAACAGCCTGAAAACGGGCAGGAGACGCCGTGCTGTCACCGAGGGAGCGGTCGAGATTGGACCTGCGAGCGCCAGGCTCAAAAGGCGAGGACAGTGCACGTCGTCTCCCAGCTCTGTCCCCTAATTCCCAGCAGAGAATCCGTTCCCTACCTTCTCTATTCTACGGTCCTTTAACCCCGTCTTCACAACCCCTCAGTAACGCTCTCTCAAACGCTACATACCATGTTCGCCGTCGCCAGCCTCCTTGCCTTCGCCGCCTCCGCCGCCGCCCTCTCCGTCACCCAGCCCTCCAACAGCACCGGCTGGACTACCAGCGGCCCGAACGCGGTCACTTGGTCCTCTGTGTCTACGGACAGGAGCAACTTCACGGTTGTTCTCAACAATCAGGTGAGTTTAGGCAACTTGAACTCTTTTCTCCGCTCGTCCCCAGTATCTCACATCCATATTTTCTGTAGAACAGTTACCCTGCCTACACAGAGGTTCTTGACGCCCTTGTCGTCACCAGCGACGGCAGCGTCACCGTGAATCCGCCCAGCGGTGGCTGGGTCGCCGGCAGCGGCTACCGCGTCAACTTCGTCCAGGACTCGAACGATCTGAACGCCATCCTCGCTCAGTCGGAGGACTTCACCATTACTCAGAGCTCTTCGAGCACCTTCACCAGCGGTGCCTCCACTGCGTCCAGCTCGGCGTCGTCTTCTGGCTCTGTGTCGGTCACCGCCCCTGGCTCCTCGGCCACTGACTCGTAAGTATTCGTTCATCAGTCTGATGCGTATACAGGCTCAACGGTGTCTACAGGTCTGCCAGCGGCACTGACTCCTCTGCGGGCACCTCTGCTTCCTCTGCAAGCGGCAGCTCTTCTTCCACGAACGCCGCGCCTGGCCTCAACGTCCAGACCGGAGTCTTCGGTCTCCTCGCCCTCCTGGGTGTCGCCCTTGCTTAAACGGAGTAGACAAACATGGACTTCACCTCCCCACTAGCGTTACTCTTGGGCTTCTCGTTTTGTGACTACTGGACACTCTAGAATAACACGCGCTCCTATTCGTATAGATTGTGGGTATTATTTTGTGCCAATGTCTAGGACCATGATAAAAGCGCCTGTTGTTCTGTCTCTATGGACACTCTTGCGGTGCGGTATGATGGACGACATCTGTGTATACTGGTCAGTGTAGCAATCTGTATCAAGTACACAGGTCGCGTATGCCAGCATAGTTTGATTCGTGTTGCTTGCGGCCGCCCGCTGGTGGCTGTTTTCCGGTGGGATGTTTGCGCATGCCGACGATTCTTTTCTGTGCTCGTCCTCTAGGACCATCTCTGATGGATATCGACCGTGTGCGTACGATTGCATGGCTTTTGAGCATCATTTAAGTACGGCGACTCAGTGAGCTGTATAGGCGTGGCGCCGGCGAGTTGTTTAAGCTCAAGCTCTACTAGTAGATTGACAAACAAATGTCAAATTCCCAGTCCTAGTCAGCCTGCGATGCGACGCCGATGGCGCGAACGGCTGACTTAATCCTGACAGACTGAGAATGGGCCCTAGCAGCTCACCCTCTTCGCCCAGTGTCCTAGCAAGGCTGCCCTCGACTGCTGCAGCATGGCCGACCACAAGTACGAGCATCTTCTCCCGCCAAGCTGGAAGCCCCAAGTGACCGCTTGGCTCGCGGAAGACACGCCCTCCTTCGACTACGGCGGCTATGTGGTGGGCGAGGATCAGCGCGAGGCCTTCCTCTTCGGCAAGGGCAAGCAGATCGCGGTCCTCGCCGGTGCGCCGTTCTTCACTGAAGTGTTCGCGCAGGTCGGCTGCCAGTGAGTGTCCACGCCGATCCACGAGTCGTGTCCGCCTTGGTGAAGATCGCTGACGCGCGTGCAGGGTGGAATGGCACATGCAGGAGGGCGAGACGTTCCATCCCGTCAAGCACGTCGCCACAGTCCGGGGGAAGGCCCGGCATATTCTCCTCGGCGAGCGCGTCGCGCTGAACATGCTCGCCCGGTGCAGCGGGATCGCCACCCAGTACGTACGCGCCGCTTACCGTGCTGTCATTGAAGAAAACATGCTCACGCCGGGTTCACTGTCCGTCAGATCGAAGCGCGTGCTGGACCTCGCGCGGGGGTACGGATACAAGGGCATCATCGCGGGGACGCGCAAGACGACGCCCGGCTTCCGGCTCGTGGAGAAGTACGGCATGCTCGTGGGCGGGATTGATCCCCACCGCCATGACCTGTCCAGCATGATCATGCTCAAGGACAACCACATCTGGTCGTCAGGTGTGTGCGCGCCCGTACATTTTGATCTAACCCCAGACCTGATGCTTGGGAGCAGGCTCGATCACGGCAGCGGTTCAAGCCGCGCGCAAGGTCGGCGGCTTCAGCTTGCTTCTCGAGGTGGAAGTTGGCTCGGAGGGGGAGGCTGACGAGGCTATCGACGCGGGTGCTGACATCATCATGCTGGACAACATAGAGGGACGGCAACTCGTCGCCGTCGCGAAAAAGCTAAAAGAGAAGTGGGCGGGGAAGCGCAACTTCCTGTTTGAGAGCAGCGGGAATATCACAGAGGCGAATCTGCAAGAGAGAGCGGTCAACGGTGAGTAGTCCTGACATCAACGGCGATAGCGCAATGCTGAAACAGACATTGCGACAGACATCGACATCCTCAGCACCAGCAGTGTCCACCAATCCGTGCAGCATATCGATTTCAGCCTGAAGATTCAAATGCCGAAGGGCGGAGAAGCCACAGCAGTGTAGACATCAATAGATTGTAGAGTACTTGTTTATGCTTCTAGATATCACAATGTAGCAGTATGCGTGCGGAACACCCCCCTCGCCTGGTTATGCGTTCTGCAGCCCGAACAACGCGAGCGCATTTCCTCCTCTCACGCCCGCCTTATCCTCCTCGCTCCATCCATACACACCTTCGATAGCCTCCAAGTTTTCGAGCACACTCTTCCACTTGTCGGTCTCCTTCAGGGGCGGGAAGAACGGGTGGTCGGTCCCGAACATCATTCGCCTGCTCCCCAACCTCCTCTGCTCGACGCCTGCACCTGCCGAAGCCCCGGCGGAGGAGCCGTTCTGCGTGAACTTGTCTGCGCGGCCGATAACGTCACTGACGAAGCCGAGCTCCTCGGACCCGTACGCGACGGCGTCGAAGTAGAGCTTGCCGAGGTAGAAGCGGGCGTCGTGCTTGAGGCGCGAGGCGACGACGGGGTCGTGGTCGATGCAGGAGGCCAGACGGGAGGAGAGCTGGGGGAGCGCGCCGCCGGAGTGGGCGAGGAGCATGCGGAGGTTGGGGTAGCGGTCTAAGACACCTGATAGAATGAGGCGCGTAACAGCCTGTCGTACATGTCAGTCGATGCGTCTCGAGCGAGGTTGTACCAGGGGACTCACGATGGTGGTCTCGAAGGGGAAGCCCAGCGCGAGGGGTAGAACGTGGCCGTTCTCCTTGTCTCCCCATTCCTTGCCGTCGACACCGTAGTGCGGATGGAGGAAAACGACGAGTCCTGCTTTCTCGAGCGCCGCCCAGACCGGCTCGAGCGCGTCGTCGTCCAAGCCCTTGCCGAGTCCGCGCGAGCCCATGATGATACCCTTCAAGTGAGGGAGAGCAGAGATCTGCCGCACGGTCTCGAGCAGGGAGGTCGTCGTCACTTCCGGCACGAGGGGCAGGAGGCCAAAGCCGTAGAGTTGCTTGAGCGAGCTGCTCCTCACGTTCGCGGATGTAGAGCAGTACGTCTCGAGGTCATCGTTTAGCTCGTTTGCTAGTTGATGCGCCGCGGTCGCAGGCAGGAAATCCAGCCATGGGTTCGCGGAGCTGTGAACGGGAAGTTCAGTACGATAGAGAAATAGATGTGATTGGCCCTAATACCAGCCTCACGATGGATATATCGATCCCATGCTTCTCCATGAATTTGAGCTTCAGGTCCCGTTCATAGTACTGCACGCGTTTCATTCAGACCGGATAGATGCGCTACACGCTGCTTCGCGAACGCACCTGCGGTCCCATGGGACGACCGCCGCTCGGCTCAGCATCGAGGATGAGCAGCCTCTCCTCCGTGCCGCCCTCGGGGATGCTCCTCGAGAAGACACGGGGAACTGCGGTGCGGGAACGCAGGAAGGAGACATAGCGGGGGAGGTACACATGTGTGTGCACGTCGACGAGGAGGCCCCGCGAGGCAGCCGCAGCCATGTCCGGACGCGGAAGGCAGTCAGGAGGGTGGCCCAAGGGTGACCGGAAAGGACAGGCCAGCCTACAGACTGGGCCGGATGTGATACGATCTCAGATCGGCGCGCGCCATGCTCCCGCGATGTTGGGTGGTGTCAATGTAATCCGGCGCACCCGCACCGCGCTATCACATTGTCAATGGCATTCAGTGAGCGAAGGGGCTCCAAGGTTAAGTCGAGACTCAGGCGATCGGCGGCGAATGCTTTCGGACTGATATAGAGTACTCGCGCAATCCGTTGCGCTGCACCCCCGATACTGTCCTCCACGTCTCCTTGTAGTACCATGGCTGAGTCTGGGCTACGCGCAGTGCGGGACGAGGTATACTTCGCTGGTCGGTTGTCCGTTGAGTCGATGATGACGGACTCTCCGTGTAGTTGGCCGCAGCAGTGTCTACGATCTCTCGGATCAGTCAGGACTTGTCTGTAAACGTAGCGAAGGCGAACGGGGACGCGGCGTCGATGAGGACGAGGGTGGCGGAACTAGAGGCGGAGCGATCCTCCATGTTACTGCGCCTCCAAGCTATGGAGACGCGGAACGAGGAGCTTTGCGCGCGCCTTGAACAGAGCCAGCCGGAACTCGCCAGGGCGACCAGGGCCCGGGACGCTGCCGTGAAGAAGCTGCGGCTGATGCGGGATGTCGTCCGTGACCTCATCGACGAGCGCAGGGTGAGCGCAGGGCGGCGATCTTCCCATCCGAGTCGAGTTGAGCCTCTTGAGCAGGTCGCGGGGACGGCGGTGCACGCAGGGCGGTCGCATCAGTCCGAGCAGGCTGATCACCGCCGTAGCAACGGTGGCAACTCAGAAAGCTCTAGTGGCGAGTCCTGGGACAGTTTGCAGCTGACGGATGTAGGCGCGGAGTCCTCGATGAGCGAGGATGTCCATGTTGTTCCTGAGGGTCAGTGGTCTCAGCGAAAACAATAACTCGTTTGACTCTAAAAAGATTCGTTTAGTTTCCAAGCCAAGCACGCCGCTGCCGCGGCGGACATTGGTATTGTCAGATGCTTCGAATCAGAGTGCCCCCTCGAGGAAACGGAGTCCAAAAATCACGGAGGAGATCCCACCAGCAAGACGAGGAGGCACAGCGTCGTCATGGAGAGGCACAGTGTCAACAAACCCGACGAAACTTGAGGTTGCTGAGCAAAAGCCCGGGTCTGAAGAGCATCCCGTCAAGGTTGCCCACTGTGGTCCTTCTAGGTCATCTAGACACAACTCGAAGGGTGGACGGGTCGTCAGGATCCAACGTCAACCCAAGCAGATGAATGGACTCGGAGGTTTGGGCGATGGCGTTGATGATCCGACTAAGGATGCAAGTGACACGCAACCCGCCGGTCCTGTCACGATGGAAATTGGTTGGTATCTGGAGTACAGACACCCACCAGCGACAGCCCTTCGACCTCGAGGGCCGGTCAGCTATGCCTCGCTGGGAGTGCAATTGTCACTGGATGACGAGACGGTAATGTGGAACAGTTGAAATCAATCCTTTGCAACACTCACGCAAGATCACAGATGCTCCGTATTGAGAGGTGCGCCGACATATATAAGTCAGGGTCAGACTTGGTGACGGCTAATGATGTATACAGTCTGGAATCGTTGGGAGCACCGAGCATGCAGATCCATGTCTACCGAGACATGGCCTTCGTATGTCACCCAGTGGTCCTAGAAGGCCCGACATCAACATACCTGATCAGCTGGGGCAACGTGACTGTGAATGCAAATGTCAAGACGTACCTTACAACCGGTACTGAACGACCAATCGATGCCATATTCCAGTTGTTTATAAGAACCATGGGACAGGTCAGTGTTGTGATGCACCCCTGGGGTACACGTTCTCATTGTAGACCGTCAGGATGCCGCGTGGTACTACCTAGGTGCACACAAGTTGCTCGCGGTGGATGTGCCGTCGGTATGGCACACAAGGTTGCGTGACGAGGTGGGCATGAGCTATTGAAACAGACGGCTACATGTCGCTGAGACGATGCCTAGGAGAAGCGTGAGCTCGTTGCGGGCCTGGAGGAGCGATGGACATGGCGGGATGCACCGAATGCCGAACGGATAGCACATCTCATCGAGACGGGTGAACTCGGACAGTGCACGGTCGAGCTTGAGAGCAAGGGCTTGGAGGAGAGATCACAGGCGTTCGCGGGTCGATATCTCTCTCGGAAGTGATCACAGTGTACAGTAGCATCGTGGATGGGCCGGGGTAACAACAGGTTGTGAGCGGGAGTAACACGGATCAACAAGCGGCTGGTGGCGGCGGGGTGCCGGTGACGGCGGTCGCTTTCTGGTCGCTTCATCTGGCTTGACTTTGGTTTCACTCGTTCTTGTTCGTCTACCCTCACCCGGCCACCGTCGCCGCCGTCCTCCTCCCCCCCGCCCGCTCTCCGTCATGCGGTGCCCAGCGAGCCCTGCTCGCATCCTCACGCTCCTTTCTCTTGCCATCCTTTTGTCCCACTTCACGCTTGTCAACGCCCAAACCTCGACTACTACCGCACCCACCGACTCCGTGGTCCTCCCGACCCCCACGTCTTCCTCGACCTCGGATGTTTCTTCTGCGCCTGCCACCAGTACCAGCGAGACGACGTCAGTCAGCTCGGCCACAGACTCTGCTCCGTCGTCTTCCTCGGATGCCCCGCCGACCTCGTCCTCCTCTTCTCAGGATGTGTCCAGCAGCGCTACCTCTTCGTCTACCTCTGACGTCGCGTCGTCCTCGTCCTCGTCCTCTGTAGAGAGTACCTCATCCTCGAGCTCTTCGTCGTCCTCGTCGTCCTCGTCCTCGTCTTCATCGTCCTCTTCGTGAGTCCTCAATGTACGCGTCACGTCGCGTCCTGACAGCTCAGACAGGTCGTCCACCACATCTTCTACTCTCAGCTCTTCGTCCACGTCGAAAACGCCCTTCTTTGCCACCTCCACCCAGATGACTACAGCTAGCTACAAATCCGTCGCGACCGAGGGCATTGCTAGAACGAGCGCATCCTCTACTGTCAGCGTAGCGGGCGCTGCCTCCACCGGAAGTTCAGCATCATCTTCAAACGGGTGAGAATATTTATGGCATATGATCGTCTCAGTACTCACATTGCGGCATAGCTTCTTTTCCAACAAATCCGCTGTTGCAGGCGTGTTCAGCGTGGTCGGCATCATCGGCGTGCTGATCATTATTGCCATCGTCCAAAAGATCATCCGGAGCCGTCGGTCCCATCTCAACGACGAAGAGGACCAATACTTCGACAAGAACATCAGGCCCCCGGCTGACTACTCGGATTCGCCCCCAGCCAGCGAGCTCGGCCATGGTACACTCCAGGCGGTGGCTGACGACGCATATCCCGACCGCTCTACCCACTTCGGCATGCCGTCTGCCTTCGATGATACCCAGACGCGCGACTCGATCGTTGAATACGCCAAGGGTACCGCTATCGCCGCCGCTCGCCACCAAGAGGGACCGTACCAGTACCAGGAGGGGTCGTACCAGTACAGCGGCCAGACAGGTGCCTATGAGAACAACTTCACGAACGCGCATTACCAGACGCAGTTCGCGGACGTGCCGGGCAACTACGCATCTGCGCACCCGTATGGCATCGCCAGGCCCGAGACGGCGGCGCCGATGGCACACAACGGCTACCACGGGTACGCGCAATAGACGAGGACGACATGTGGTACGTCATCATCCATGCGTCAAGGTCACCGTGCGGCCCAACTCAAGACACTGTCGTCGCAGATTCTGAGTTCCTCCCGAACCGGCTCATTCTCCCTTCCACTTCGGTGTCAAGGCACGAGCTGGTCTTGTTTGATACTCATATTCTGTTTTTGTGGTTCAGATCTTGCCCTCAGTCGTCTTCTGTTGCGACAGGGATGTATTGGGTACGGTGCCACCATCACCCTTTCTTCCTGCTTGTAATGTGAGCTCCGCTCCGTGTCCAGATGTAGATGTCTGATGTACAAGAGTGTCTTCCTCCACGGCACCGTGTCGCTCTTGTATTGTCCATAGGTTTTCCCCTCCGTGGAGGGATTCACATTGCTAGCCGCACCCTTCCCTTAGCCATTAGCTACGTCAGAACGACTTTTCGTTTGTTTCATAAGTTATGATTATTCTTGACACTTGACGCATACACACAGGGTATAGCACAGCGTCAGGTCCCATGTAGTGACAGACGGACAGCATCTCACTGTAAGTAACAGTAGCACACATTATACCCCTTTACCCGGTGAATCTGGATGTGATCGAGCTCGAGAAGTTCGCGGCCGAGAAGTTCGAGGCGAGTGAGCTGGGGAGCGCAGGCATGGCGGGCATATTCATGTCGCGGATGCTCATGTCCCTGAGCGGCTCCAAGTCCTTCATGATCATGCTCAGACGGCCCATGCCCAGCCTGTCTTTGAGACCCTTGCCTCCTGATCCCTCGCCATCCTCGGAGCTGTCGTTGAAGCCCTTCTCGGCCTGGCCCCAGTCGCTGCGCTGCGCAAGATATGGGCGCAGCAAAGAGGAGTCGATGCGGCCGAGGTAGCCCTCGGTGATGTATGAGCGGAGGATGTCCGGCCGGACGAGGAAGACGTTGCCGAGCTGACGGATGAACTCGAAACGCTCCGTCAATGAGGGTATGGAGAACGAGCTGATGATGTCCTGGTAGGACTTCAGATCCCTGCGAGGGAAGCATCGTATCAGTTCGCATCATGACAGAGGCGGGGACGTACTTCGCGAGCATCAGACCACCGGTCGCGCTGACGGGGAACTTCTTGAGATGGTCGAGCAGCAGACTGTATGGGGCCCGTCGGCAATGGCGCTCCAGCATAATGAGCGGAAACCATACCTGTGGAACGCGATCCCGACCTCGGTGAGGAAGACCTCGAGGTTCTTGCCGCTCAGATTGGCTTTGGTCGCGTCGCGCACTTTCTCCAGCGTGTCGCAGCACGCGACGCACGGCTCGGTGTTTACCCTTGCGAACGACAGGTCGTCGTTTCTCGGCTTGAAGTCCGTCTTCTTCTGCTTCGTCAGCTGCGCGGACAGCCAGTTGATGAGTGCTACACGGCCACCCGCACACAACAATCAGTTTCAGGTTTGAAGTTGGATACGAGCAACTGACCATCTGCAAGGCGTTGCATGACATGGTTGGCAGCACCCTCGATTCTACTGACGGACTGGTTGTTGAAAACGACCATCTCCCGTCGCACGGTAACGGAGCTGCTCGCGAGAGGAAGTAGGGCCATGCTGACGTAGTGTTGCCAAAGGTGGCAAATCAAGTCGACCTCGTGGAGGACGGTGAGTGCTTGAAGGGAGGGTTCAGTCTTGGTGTCGGAGGGATCTATACGGCCGTGGGCACTAGGCCAAATCAGTCAGTGCAAACGACTTGACCGACTGAGATACTCACGTCTCCAAAGCAGTCTCGATGTACGCAGTACCGATAGCTGCCGAGAGTACCCTGAGCAATGCGAAGACATGCTTGGGCCTGCGGCGTGCATCAGCTCGACCGTCCTTCAGGATGAACGTCGCACGTACACGTCGCTCGACGGAGTCAGCTCCACGCAACGCCCGATTGCCTCCGCGTGCCACTTCAACATGCGCTCTGCGACCTGAACGCTGACCTGTCCATCTTCGTCTCGAAGAGGTTCCTCCGGTTCAGCCTTCGCCTGATTGCGGTCGCCACCACCTGCGAGGTTACCGAAGCGAGAGAAAACGGCGGCGGCTGTTGACGACGCGGTAGCACCACCGGTTGTTCCGAGCTGGTTTACCACACGGTCGAATACTGAGCTCTTTGCGCCCTTGTTGACTCTTGCCTATACAAGGAGCCAATGTTAGCTCAGTCGTTCAGTGGGAATCACGGAATGGGTGCTTGCATGGTATCGCGTGAAAACAGCCAGGTAACCCGCGTACAGCTCAGACAGACTCTTGCTCTCCCGCTCGAGATAGCGCTGCCCCTCCGTGTATGGGACGAACAGCTCCTCCATGGCCGTCTCGAGCATGGTGCTGACGGTCGCCGCAGTGCCTACAGCCGCTGCCGCCGCTGAGTTCAACATCCGGTTGAAATCTCCTGGGTCGGTGGGGGAGCGGGGGATGACGGAGGTCACCTCGTAAGCTTTGAGGTCTTCGACGAGCTGGGATGTCTGTTGATGGATGAGTTTAAGAATCCGAAGGAATGAGAGGTCGGTTATGTTGTTCCCTCTGTTGAGCAGCTGTTCCATGTATTGTTGAATCTACAGACGAGTGAGGATCGACACGCGATTGCGCTGGACTTGGACTACGTACGATTTGCGCAAAGACGCGCTGCAAGAAGACTTGCATGACGAAGGGAGGATTGGGAAAGACTGCCTGCACGATCTGTGCCTCCTGGCCGACGGTCGCGCGAATCTCACCAAACAGCTCGTGCAGCCCTGACTCATCGGTAGGTGGGCTTGAGTCCGGTTCCGGCAGAGCGGCCCATCTGCTCGTTTGTCAGTATGTAGATCGCAGAATTCGGAGTCTTCGTAGGTGCAAACTTACAGTCCCTCCTCCATTTGGCTACTTTCTCGTACTCGGTTGATGAAGAAGTCGTGTTGATTCACGTACACCTGTACGCACGATGCACCGCCATTGAAGTCGAGTAACGTTTGGGCGCAGTGCTGAACAGAGGTCAGCGTCAGGACACGGCTTTACACGTCTGTAAGTGAGGTTATCACATACATGCATCATCTTGGGGTCTCCTTTGCGATATGCACGATCGAACAGATGGAGCATGTCCTTCTCAAACTTCTCGCAGTACCTATCAATACTTTCCCTTGTCTAGGAAGTCGTGTTAGAAAGTAGCATGCCTCAATTGAACGGGGAACCATATACCTTGTCAGCATGCGGTAGGTCTACTTCTTTCGCAACGATGTTCAATCGCCTCAGGAGGACGGCAACCTTCCGTCTGCCCTCTTTGCCCTCTTTCTTCATGACGTCAAGCTGCGAAGTGTCATCCCTTGAGAATTGGTTGTAGAAGTCAATGAGGTCATAAGCCGCTTGAGCACGCTGTCGTTGCTGATGTACGGCTTCCAGCTGTTCACCTGGGGATCGTAAGGATGGAACATTTGGGTCTGAAATAAAGCTGCCTCACCGATCCTGATCGCAGTGCGCCCGACTTCGTTCATCTTAGTTTCCATGCCAGAGAACGTTTGGCCTACAGACTGTCCCCCTGTAAGCTAAGTAAGCGGAGAATCTAAGACGTGGCACACACCTCGAATCCCTTATTGAGATCGGTCATCTTGCGGGAGTACTCTCGCTCGGTCGTCCTGACAATCTTTTCCATCTGCTCCGTCTTCGCTTGCACATCCTTCCTCACTGCTATGAGCTTGTCCACAGCGGCTTCAAACGTCCGGATGAAAGGCTTTGGGTCGAATGCTGGAGGTAGTGAGAATCTGAAGCGCGTTCTCAGTGAATAACACATACGTCCAGCATCGGCTTTGGATTGTGTGATGAGTTTCTCTGATATTGACCCCACGAAGTCCTTTACGTCGAACTTCCCCTGAACACACGTCGAGTATCGAGTTTAAGTGGCCATCCATCTAGTGTGCCATGACTACCGTACCTCAAACGCTCCTAGCCGTAGTTGCTCCTGCACAGAAGGGTCAAGCGCGTCAAATGACATGTTTGGCGCGACCTCGCTACCAGTTATGCTAGCGTCGAGTGAGCAATGGGGCCAGCGCAATGGGATGTACTTAGTCGGGAACAACACAGCCGGCGGTTCGACGTCGGGGTCGCGCTTGTCCGGTCACTTACCGGTAACTCAAGACTGATCACGATACTCGGGCGATCTCTTGGACGCCGGAGAACTGCTCACATTTTGAGAATCTTTTCTGCGCCGGTGGCTGAAGTGTCCTTCGCCGCATAGGAACTCTACTGCTTCAGCTGTCGTGAGGCCCCTCAGGCTACGTGGTCGCCACTCTTCACGAGCCAGCATGGAAAGCGTACACCCACTCAAGGGCCTCCTGCAGCTGCAACTCGCTTCAGACGCGTCTGCGGTGCTGCACCTCCCATATGTCCTCGAAACCATCTCTGCCCAGCACTTCGTCCCGTCCCCGCACACTCAGAAATGGTGCACACGCGTCAACTCCCTCATACACTCTCGTGACCCCGGCGCACGATGGAGTGGTCTCTGCCTTGCGTTGCAGACATCCATTCACTCGAGGAGCCTCATGATGGAGTACGCGACCAGTTGGATTGGCGTTGCACTTCCGTTACTCTCAGTCCGTGTGTCCGATTCTGTACCTCGAAGTTGTTCTTACGAATATGATGTATCAAGAAAGACGAGCCTGTAACGAGCCTTAAGGCGGCCATCCGTTTGCTCCGACGCATATTCTCAAGCGCAATGGACGTTGCAGAGTTCCAGCGACAAATATGCCTCCCGAACGTCCCAAAATTCAGTGCCGCACTCATCCCATTGGCAGACAAACACACTGATGCAGATATCAAGGTGCGTACGCAATTCCATTGCTGCATTAGGACCAAGCCTCATTACCTACAGCTACTCGCCTTGAACACCTTGACGCACTTAGTGCCTCTATTCCCGACCTTGCATAGGAGCCTGCATCTATCTCTCTCGTCGGCAGCTCTTAATTATCTGAACGGCTCAACACCAAGGCCAACGCCAGCCCCGCTGACAACTGCCGCCTCACAACTCTATTCAATACTGCACGTCACCGGCGGAAAGGTCGGTGCTGCGAACGTATGGCGCAAGTCACTCGACGACACCTTGGGGTTTGCGTGGAACGCACTTGCCTGCATGCGGAAGACGTTCCAGCCTGCGGCTCACGGGCAGACTGCTCCCCCTCTCAGCAGCGAAGACCCAGTCGTGGCGATTCCCCTCAATCTGGATCGTCTGCGAGCTGCGGTACGCATCATGTGCGACATACTCCAGTGAGTTTTATCGCGACCTCGGAAGCTATCTTCGGCTGAGATTTGCCAGCGCCCCGACGTCGAGACCGGTGGCTGTCCCTGTTGGCCCACTCGTTAAGTTATGTCTGGCAATGCTGAGGTGCACGCCGGAACAGAAGGTCCGAGCCTTGCATTCGTATCCGTCGATGACCAGCACTCACAGCGATTTAGGGAGCAGAAGGACACATTGACCTGTCGACGCGCGCAATGGAGTTGGCGGTCATTCCTTCAATCTGGACTCTGGCATGCGAATTATTGCAAAGCGTTGCGGAGAGGTCAGCCTTGTGTGTATTTCGTCAGGGAAGAGCCGCTTACAGAATGCATCCCCAGCGTACATCGGCATCTGCTGCCTTACCTGCCGCAGCTCGCCTCACACCTTGCGTTCCACCTAGAGCAACAGCGCACACCGTGAGTGAGCCACATTTCATCTGTAGGCTCTTGGCTGAGATGCGTCGCTTAGGTCCGAACGTCTCAGTTTCCTGAAGGCGACTCATGCGTTGCTCACAGCGTGTCCCCATTTGCATGACACCATCACATCCTCGAGGTTGGCGAGAGCCGTTGCACCTGCACCATCAGTTCTTCTCTCGACGAAGTCTCAAGGGCAACAGGATGCAGGTGTCGGTGCTTCAAAGTCAAAGAACCGCAAGGGAAAGAAGAGGGCTCGTGGGTACGAAGGTGACGAAGTCTTCAACGTAGCAGCAGACGTCGTCTGCACCAGCGAAACGGATGGAAACGTCCTCCTTACGTCCATAGATGGTGATAATTACTCTTTCCCCAGCACGCGCAGGAGGGCTAACATACACCCATGCAGTCATTCGGTTGGTACTCCGAAATTCACAACTCCCTCCGGCAGTGCACTCCCTCTTGTCCCGGGTGCTCTTGGCAGTCTACGTCTCCCTCCCGCAGATGCAGCCCGCACTCGTGTCCGCAGACCTCTCCTTACATGGTAAGGTGCACGAGAAGGTCAGAGCGGTGTGCATCGAGCAGGCATCAGGCACTAGCAACGTGTTGAGCAAGAGCCTCGGACTGGTCGTCTCGGGCATGTCCCCCGGCCAGCACGACACGGTGAGTCCCGCGCCATGGCCTCGGTCTCCAGTTCATTTGACCAATGCGCGGCACGGTATAGGATGGCGCAGACATCATGCGGGACGTCGATCTTCTCCTGCACCCACGCGTACCGCCGCTAGTGCGATCGCTGCCTCACGTAGAGATGCTCTCCCTGTTTCGCGAGGAAGAAGGCGACGAGGAGGCGGAGATGCGCAAGGCTATGGGGCTGGCAACTGCGGAGGAAACTCTATCGACGCTACCATCGACTACACAAAATTTCGCAACGCCACCGGGACCGGCACGCTTTACCCAAGTCGCAGCGCATACGATATTGCCCGCTGTGGGGCGCACCGATCTTCTCAAGAACACTGCTACCCAAGGGCAGTCGCCGACGCCTGTTCGACAGCCCCCTCAGATTCCATCTGTCGCTACGAACTCAGCGCAGTTCATCGCGTCCTACTCATCGACAGGTCCGGCACAGATGGTCCCGGAAACATCCACTGCGCACAATACGGCCTCCTCTAGTCAACAACAGACCGATACATTACATGCACAGGGTCTTCCGGTCCCGTCGCATCCTACGCTGCCTACAGAAACAAGTACGACGTCAGCTCCCTTCACGCCCGTGATACAGCCATCGACAGCGTCTGTCCCCTCTGAGGTACGACCGCAGATGCAGGGGTCAGCGCCGATGGACGAGGACGACGAGGACGAGCCGATGCCGACCATAAACATGGACTCCGACTCCGATGCGGACAGCTAGCGGGCGGTGACGATCGTGGTTGATGATTCGTGGCACTAGGAGCATGTACTTGTCGCCATCCCGTACGAAGTTAACGCGTTCCCCCAATCGTGCCGCTGTCCTGTAGTGCACATGTATATCTTGTGTCGTGTCGTAGCCATTCCAATGCTCAAGTCTTGACGCGCTTCCGCCGCTGGCTCATATCGTCAACTTCCATGCTTCTGTCTTCGCCCTCGTCGTCAGACTCGGGACCCTGTCGGGGGTCTGTTATCCGTGTGATGTTGGGCAGCTATACATAATAATCGATCAGACAACAGTGTTTTGTTCGATAGTCAGAGACGCACCTGCTCCAGGAAAGCGTTCGCGATGGTGTTGCCGGGGTCGATCCATCTTGCGCGTTCAAAGTGTGCCCGAGCAGCGCTGATGAGGCCTGCATTCCATTGCTGTCCTAGTTATCGACGGGATCGGTGAGGAACAACATTCTGATGATATCACGACTAGACTGGGCGGACCCTGTTGTGTGCCGCCTTCTGAGGCTTGCGCGGGTTGAGAGAGGTACAAAGCAAGTAGGCCGGCGTACGTATGCATCACAGGGTTGTCGTGAAAGGGGAATAGCGGCAGATACAAGTCCAGCTCATCCAAGGCTCGCCTGTATTTTCCCGTCTGTATGAGTCGGAGGACAAGCTCTTTCAATATCATTTCTCTCTGCGAGGCAAATTTAGGGCGTCTCTCCGAAGGACTCGTTCGAAGGACTCACTTCGTCGGGATGCTGCCTGATCACTACACTCAGGAACGCGATGCGCTGGTCGTTCTCCTCGAGATCGTCGTCCCCGGCGTCGGCTAGGAGGGCAATCGCTGTCTTCCACATGTCCTTCCAGTTTATTTCCTTGCATCGTATGAGGATGGTCCATGCCCGCCGGGCGCGATCGTAGTCCTGCCGCTGGAGAGAAAGCTGCAAGATATCGATCAACCGGCGGATGTGCACCTTGCGCGCTGTTGTCGGGCGTTTGGCATTAGACGATGTAAAGAGGAATGTATGTTCGGCGCGCGACATGGTCTTGCAAGAATAAAAAATGAGTGGTTTGACGTTGAGTACGGACCGGAGGAGTCGATCAGAGCAAGCGCGCCGGCGGCAGACGCGTGATGCGATCGTGCGCTGAAGCTGCTGCAGACTCAGTCGTCAAGCCACCACCCTCGCATCTCCTCGCCCGACCTCCCGTCACAGTACCTCCCTCGTCTGTAATATTTCTGGCACCCTTACCCGGCCCCCATGGAAGAAGATCCCTTTGGCGCGGTCTGGGGCACCCCCGATCCCTCACCCCTGGCGCCAAAACCTATTGCGGCCGCTTTCTCGTCCGGCCCATCCGCGGATGGCTTTGACGATTTTGACGAATTCGGGACGCCTGCAGAGACGATAGCCACCTCTGGCACTGACGGTGACGACGATTTCGGGGATTTTGGAGACTTCGGGGAGGCACAGGATCTGGGCGAGGGTCCCACATTCGAAGAGGACGTAGCCTTTGGGGAGGAGGTGCGGATATCTGGTCCATCGACGTATGCTTCCGATTGGGAGCCTCTGCGCTTGCGCCCGCTACCATCCAGACGAGAGCTGCAAGAACACGTCGACCATATACTCGCGCCGTTATGGGCGTCCATTGACGAGTCGCAACTGACCGACGAAGACATCCGACAAACGGGCGGACTGAACCAGACACTTATCACTCCGGAGAGGTAAGTATCACCTTAAGCCATCATCCTTCCGTGTCTCAGGTCACAGACTACTCCAGTCGCCAGCTGTATAAGCTGCTGTTACCAAATGCCCCTCCCACGGTGCAGCCTGTCAATTGGACACGCTCGCGAATAAGGAGACGACACCTCATATCATTAGGCATCCCCGTCAACCTTGACGAGGTCCTGCCAAAGGCGAACGGCAAGCTGCCGACGCTGGAGATCACGACGCGACCCATGTCCGCACCTCCCGGGCCCCGTACAGCACCGGTGCAGAAGACTGTGGCCTCACAAAGCAGCTCGCGTGTTGGATCACGGCCGGGGACGCCAGTGACCAGTCTGCCAAACGCGGCGTCGATGTCAGCCCAGTCGGTGTCTACGCAGCTTCGCCTTGGCCCACGGCCAGAGCTAGACGAACGCAGATTGAATCAGTTGCTGGAACTCAATCCAAGTCAGTATACCTTTTGTCTTGTCTTCTCGCAAGCTGATAGCTCTTCCATAGACAAACTGACGTTGCAACCGATTGCTTCACTGGAAAGATACCTGACAGACCTACAATCGCACACGATGCAGGTCTCCACCATGCTCACACACTTGCTCCAGACGCGAGATGCGTTGAAGCAAGACTCGGAGACCTACAACAAGCTTATTGGAGAGCTGGTAGCAGATGCGCAGAAAAGGAGCACGGCAAAGCGCGTCGCCGGCGGAAAGAGGAGTACATTGTCTTAGGCTACGACCATACACACCCCACATACCATTTATTATTCGTTGCATTTGGACTTGATCGCTGCAGTTAGCTCAACGAGCTGTTAGGCTGTTATGCACTGAGTGAGAGCCTCCGGTGACTCGTTCCTGCACTTCCGCGACGGCGGGGAGATCGTGTAGGTGGGACTCGATCTCCGTGAGTGATCCGCGTCCACGTGGTATCCCCGTGTGTTGCCCGTATGTCAGAAATTCTGGGCGTCTACGGTCAACAATTTCGCTCAGCCGGTCGATCGTGTCTGCAACTGCTTCTCCGCGACCGCTGCGTCCTCGGCGCGTCTGGTCTCTGCTCGCCGTCTGGTCTGCTGCACGCGTGGGCTCCCTTACAAGATGAATATCTCGCGGTCCTATCCGACGACGGTGACCAGCATCTCCTTCTCGTTCCTGACCACCGAGGACGTGCGACGCATCTCGGTCAAGCAAATCGTCAACCCCGTGCTTCTCGATGATCTCAACCGGCCAAACATTGGTGGTCTTTATGATCCTGCGCTTGGGCCCAGCGACAAGCAGGACATGTGCGTGAAGGAAGTGTACGATATTCGCCTCTGGTACTAACGGCTCGCGTAGCTGTTCAACATGTCACCTCACCTACTTCACTTGCCCGGGCCATTTCGGACACATCGAGCTTCCTGCACCCGTCTTTCATCCGCTTTTTATGGCAAACATGTACCATCTGCTCCGTGGGTGTTGCTTGTTCTGCCATAGGTTCAAGGTGTCCCGGAAAGTTGTAAGTAACAAGTATGTTTGATGCCCTTGTCGTTCTCTCATGAAGATGCCAGCTCTGTAAATACGCAGCCAAGCTCCGACTGCTGGAACATGGACTACTCATAGCCGCGCAGACGCTTGACGATATTCACGTCGCGACCAAATCCAGCCGTAAGGCGAAGGACATCCCGGGAGAGGAAGAAGATAATGTGGAGAGCGACCATGCTTTCGAGCAAAGGATCAACACATATGTGGCTGTCCACCTTGCGACTGCGTCGGGTAGCAAGCGCGACTCGTACAAGGACGGTCTCGTATACCAGGCACGCAAGGATCTCATAGACGAGTTCCTCAAAGCTACCATGCTCAAGAAGTGCCAAAACCCCAATTGCGGAGCGTGCGTATTGCGTCTTGTTCGTTGCGACTTTGTGTCAGTCTCACCGTCGAACAGTTTTGCCTACACCTTCCGGAAGGAGGGGTACACCAAAATCATCGAGTACGACCTTACGACCAAGCACAAGCAGCAGCATGCCTTCCTGCGCTTGACGCGACCAAACGTATTACTCGATCAACAGAAGGGAAAAGCAGCAGCCCATCGGCGGCAGCCGCAGCCGCGGAGTGCGAGTCCTGACGGCAGTTCGTCTGAAGAGTCGGAACCTGAACAGGAACCCGAGGGTGAGGATGTTCTTTCCGATGCCGACGAAGACCAAAATATGGACGATGTCCATGCTGGCACCGCAAAGTCAGCAAGTGGGAAGGCGAAGTCCAAGCGGGGACGCAACGAGCGTGTCATGCCTGCCGAGGAGTGTCGCGCGCACCTGCGCCGCCTGTTTGCGAACGAGCCCGTCATATGCTCCCTGCTCTACGGGCGGCACGGCCCCTTCGCCCCCATGACTGTCAACAAGCTCTCGCTCGCGAATGCGGACATGTTCTTCCTCGAGGTCCTCCCCGTCAGCCCGACGCGCTTCCGGCCACCAGCGAAGATGGCGGACATACTGTTCGAACACCCGCAAAACGAGCTGTTAGCTAAGGTACTGAACACGTCGTACAGGCTGAGGGACCTCACAGAGAGCCTGAAGAAGGCGAGCGTGAAGAGCCCGGAGAACGACGTCGACGAGACTGCGCAGCGGAGGATACTGCAGAGTCTGCTTGATACGCTTATTCAGCTGCAGGTAGACGTGAACAGCTTCATCGACAGTAGCAAGAACCCTGCGCCCGTGAGACAGGGTAAGCTACCTCCGGCCGGTGTCAAGCAAGGCCTGGAGAAGAAAGAGGGGTTGTTCCGCAAGCACATGATGGTATGGTTGTATTGCCCCCCGTTCCATCCGGTCGGCTCATAATTATGTGCTCTCTTAGGGTAAGCGAGTCAACTACGCTGCTCGTTCAGTCATCTCCCCCGACGTCAACATCGAGCCTAATGAGATCGGCATCCCTCCGGTGTTTGCGCGTAAACTTACTTTCCCGGAGCCTGTCACGCCTGTGAACTTCCATGAGCTCCGACAGCTGGTCATTACTGGTCCGCATGGATACCCCGGCGCAACTATGGTTGAATACGAGGATGGACATCTACAGTTCCTTGTACGTCTCGCTGCTCCTGGTCTCTTGACGGCATACTGACAGCACTGGACACCACAGGATAAATTGAGTGTTGAACAGCGCACCGCCATCGCGAACCAACTTCTAACGCCGCAGGAGGGTAATCATGGATCCACGAGTCGTACCGGACTGTTCACGCGTACGCCGGCCGTCAACAAGAAAGTGTATCGCCATTTGCGCGACGGAGATATGCTGATTCTCAACCGACAACCAACTCTGCACAAACCTAGTATGATGTGTCACAAGGCTAGGGTGTTGCACGGGGAGAAGACGATCCGGATGCATTACGCGAACTGGTATGTCTGCGTCGATGATCCCGTCCCTGGATCTTAGCTAACCTTTTTCTGGAACAGTAATTCCTACAACGGTACGATGATTCCGCTGGTAGTCCAACCTTATTTCTGATGACCCGTGTTTCGGTCCTTGTAGCCGATTTCGATGGCGATGGTCAGTTGTTGCCCTTCTTACTTGCTGAGCGCTCCGCTGACAGGGCACATCAGAGATGAACATCCACTTCCCTCGTGAGTATGCTTCCTTCGGCAGGTCTCGCCGTTGCTGACTCTGTTTCTGCAGAAAATCAGGTAGCCCGCGCAGAGGCGTCTGGCATCGCCAACACGGATAATCAGTATCTTGTACCGACGTCCGGCAAGCCACTGCGAGGGCTGATCCAGGACCATGTCGTTGCCGGCGTGTGGATGACTGCGCAGGATACATTCTTCAGTCGTGAGGAATACTTCCAGCTGCTCTATGGCGCGATCCGCCCGGAAGGCAGCGCCGGCCACATCAGTGGCCGTTTGGTAACCGTTCCTCCAGCCATTTGGAAGCCAAAGCCGCTTTGGACGGGCAAGCAAATCGTAAGGTGTCGCTCTGTATGGTGTTCACTTTGGCTGATGGGTCCGCTGCTGTTCAGATATCCACTGTGCTAAAGAACGTCACCCCGTCAGACTACGAAGGTCTTAACCTACACGCATCTGCCAAGGTCCCGGGTCATCTCTGGGGGAAGGATTCCCAGGAAGACAAGGTCATCTTCATGGACGGCGAGCTGCTCTGCGGTGTCCTGGACAAGTCCGCTTTTGGTGCCTCCGATTACGGCATGGTCCACTCCGTGTACGAGCTGTACGGAGCTGATGTCGCCGGTACCCTACTTGGCGTATTGAGCCGTCTGTTCACGAAGTTCCTCCAGCATCGAGCTTTCACATGCCGTATGGATGACCTCGCCCTCACGCCGGACGGTAACGCCCGCCGTGCGGATATCATTCGGAAGGGCGCGACGCTCGGGACAGAGGGCGCGATGGACAATTTCCCCTCGTTGGCCGACGCCTCAGCAGAGGAGAAACCTACCATCCTTCGCTCTTTGCTCGAGGACGTGCTGAGAGATGACAGCAAGATGGCAGGCCTGGATATGTCCGTAAAGGGCAAGCTGAACAAGCTCACCAAATCCATCGCGGACGCGGTCATGCCTCATGGTCTACTCCGGCAATTCCCCCACAACCATATGCAAGCGATGACACTTTCGGGAGCCAAAGGGAGCGCGGTCAACGCGCAGCAGATTTCCTGCGCGCTGGGCCAGCAGGAGCTCGAAGGCCGCCGCGTGCCTGTTATGGTCAGCGGCAAGACCCTCCCATCGTTCAAGCCGTTCGAGACGAAGGCCATCGCCGGTGGCTACGTTGCGAGTCGCTTCTTGACGGGCGTGAAACCGCAGGAATTCTTCTTCCATTGTATGGCTGGGCGAGAGGGTCTTATCGACACTGCGGTCAAGACATCGCGATCGGGGTACTTGCAGCGCTGTCTCATCAAACATCTGGAGGGCATCCGCATCCACTACGACAACACCGTACGAGGCAGTGACTCTTCCATCTACCAGTTCCACTACGGTGGAGACGCGCTGGATGTCACGAAACAGAAACACTTGCTTCAATTTGAATTCATCGCGCGGAACCGGCAGACTTTCGTCCAACGCTACAAGCCCAAGGAGCTACAGGAGTATGTCTCTGAGGAGGCCGAGGCTTACATGAAGAAGGTGCTCAAGTGTAAAGATCGAACGCAGCGCGATAAGTACAAGCCGGCGCTCTCCATATACAACCCCACTCGGTACCTCGGTAGTACGTCCGAGAAATTCGCCGAGAAGGTTGAAGAGTACGCGAAGAAGAACCCTCACGAATTGCTCAAGAAGAAGGATAAGGATGAAGCTCTGCCGATCCGTCGTCGCAAGACGCCGCTCAGTGTGAAACACTTCAAGTTGCTGATGAAGGTGAAGTACATGCGCAGCTTGGTCGAACCTGGAGAAGCAGTGGGTCTACTCGCCTCACAAGGGTATGTGGTACAGCGCCATCGCCCATGAGACCGACGCTGACGACGTGTCTAGAGTTGGCGAACCTTCCACTCAGATGACGCTCAATACTTTCCATTTCGCTGGTACGAGCTTTGTACTCGCCTGTTAACACCTGCTGATCACTAAGCAGGTCATGGTGCCGCGAATGTCACCCTTGGTATTCCGCGTCTCCGTGAAATTGTGATGACGGCATCCCAGAAACCGAAAACTCCTTCGATGACGATGAAAGTCCGTGCAGATGTCCCTCCCTCGGACATAGATATGTTCTGCAAGAAGGCCACTCGATTAGCACTCTCTCACGTAGTCGACAGAGTGGTTGTCAAGGAACGCCTGGCAGTCAACGGTAGTGCTCGAAGCAAAGACTTCACCATCGAATTGGCCTTCTACCCTGAGGCTCAGTACCAGGCGGAATATGACGTCGAGCCGTCGGAGATATTGATGTCCTTTGGCACGAAGTTCCCTCTCCTACTGAAGAAGGAGCTGCAGGCGGAGATGAAGAAGCTTGATGCAGACCTGAAGAACCAGATGAAGGAACTTGGGAAAGGCACTGCAGTCCGCGACACCGCTCCTTCCGGTCAAGGAGAGGCGGGAGAGGAAGACGCAGATGAGACTGGCAATCGCCGGGCGCGCAAGGACGATGATGAGGCCAGTGAAGTAGGAGACGGGGACGCTACAGCTGCTAAAAGGCAACGGCAAGCAAAAGAGCAAGCCACGTATGAGGATGATGAGGACGATGACGAAGAAGCTGTCGCTCTGGGCGAATACGATGACGCTGATATTGAGGCAGCATTCGCCTCAGCCGGAGAGGATGATGACGAAGACTCGGACGTGGACGAAGACATGGAACAGGCACAGGCCCGGAGGCGTCTCGGAGACGAGGTTGCAAAGGTCGAGGAATTGTTCATGGCGAACATGCCGAGCGCCACGTCCTTCTCCTTCAACGGCGCTAGCTGCGCCATTGGACTACAGGTACGTGCTATCCGCAATGATTACCGTAAGCTGCAGGCTAACGGTGATTGTAGTTCGGCTCCTCAATGCCAAAACTTCTCCTTGTCGGGATAGTGGAAAGAACTTGCGTCAAGACAGTAATACGTGAGATCCCCGGCATTACTGACTGCTTCAAGTCCAAAGACGACACACCGGAGGAGGGCTCTGTCTACACCGTGCGTGATTATTCGTAATCCTTGAACCACGCTCGCTGATTCATTCCGCTTGCATAGCTGACAACCAACGGATCGAACATCCCCGGACTGTGGCGTTTTGCCTGCGCGGAGCCGGCCCCGATGATCGAAGAAGACGGAATTTACTCGAACGATATCTATGCTATCTTGTGCGCATATGGCGTGGAGGCGGCTAGGGCTGTCATACTTCGCGAGATTGGCGGAGTGTTCGCCGTGTACAAGATTGACGTTGATCAACGCCACCTAGAGCTCATCGCTGATTATATGGTACGTCTAGTTCCGGCGTTACATCCTCGCATCGGTCCTAACTGTCCACTAGACGTTTGAGGGCGGGTACAAGCCTTTCAATCGCAAAGGCATCTCAACTAGCCCTTCGCCTTTGCTCAAAGCGTCTTATGAAACAACCGCTGCATTCTTGTCCGATGCCACTCTGCATGGTGACTTCGATGACTTAACAACGCCGTCTGGCAATATCGTAATGGGACGACTCAACCTCACAGGGACAGGGGTGTTTGATGTTGTGATGCCTGTGAACCCAGGTAGCGTCTAAGGGTGTATTGTACACGTATGTAGCTGTAGATCTGTACCGCAATGCAAAAGTAGAGTAATACGATTTGATGACCCCTGTATCCATGGTACGAACGCCCATAAGTAGTACTTGGAGGGCCATCAGCGATCGCACGGACGATCGGGAATAGTATCGCGGGTGGCGGGTGTCTCAGTGACATGCATGGACTCAACTTGCAGTTCTCGTCTGTCCTGTATGCTGCGAGTCTGAGTCTACGGACGGTGAGTCAGCTGGTGAGCCTCTCTGGGACGTTGTAGAGATTCCCTATCTCAGGCCTTCGATCCGCGACCGCGACTGTATTGGCCTGAATGTTCTGAAGCTCGCACACCCACGTCTGTCACCGCCCTTGCAATTGACTGTTCAGGCTCCTTGGATTTACATGCCAAAATGCTAATTGGAGACGATACAAGGCGGCCATGAACAACTCCAGTTACGCTCCGACATGTGCTACACATTTCAATCATCAGACTCGTCCGGAGTTCATTACGATGGCGCCACCGGAATCTTGGACATCTCTCCCCCAATCGGACTGGGCAGAGTAAAAGGTGCGATAAACGACTCACAGATAACGCTATACAAATCAGACGTCTGAGGACTAGTCGGGAGAGCGGACTACGACTTTGTCACCACGAACGCATGGTATCCTGCCGCAAAACGTGAGGCTGAACGACGCCAGATCAGGCAGGCAAGGCAGATCCCGATGGCCGGCTGGATAATGCATTTCCTGTGACAGAGCGAAGCATCGTCGCCGGATCAGCGTTAGCGGCAGTCAGGAGGGAAAGAGCCTTCTCTTGCATGCGATGGCCACTCCCTACGCCTGGGGATAGATCGGGCAATCTTCTCTCGTCTGCGAGTTCCAATGAGTTCGCCGGAGGACTTGGGAATGAATCGCCATGCAACGATGCTCTCCCCCCTGCATATAAAAGAGTGGGCACGAAATTCAGCATGTAACCAGCCCCCACTCACCGCAACCTCATCCCAGACAAACCTTCAGCAAAGCCTGCGTATACAGAGCGATGTGCCACCTCAGACAGTAAATCTGGCGGCTTCCCCTTCACGATGATGGTACTGACCGCTCTCACTGCAGAGTCAACACTGTTTGGACCAGGTTCGTTCACCCAGCACTTGCATGAACGTCTTCTGACACATCGGCTAGATGTGGCCACAGCGTTCCGAATGTAAAGTTCCACATCGTCGCTCTGTAGGTGTCTTCTGACTATGACATGTGCCTGTTCACTACAGGAAATCGAGGTCAGTCACAGCAGAACAAAATTCTCGACCCACGACTGACGTTTTTGTCAGATTAAATGCGAAGACGCGAAGTGTATACACAGCCCCAATCACCGTACCGACGCTCATAATTGTAGAACGGAATGTTGGCAGACGTTAGTAATTCTCCGTGATTACTCGCGTCAACGACTCACCGTATCCCAGTCGCCAGTGGCCCCAGCAATTCAGTGGGTTCGACTGCGCTGCCCTCCGCACGGTACACTGATTTTCTTTTCTCATAGCGCGTCAGATCGATGGTTTCTGCGACAACTGCATAGCGGCGGGCCTTGGTCAGTGAGGCTGAGACCAAATCTGGATCTCTTGTACAACGTCTTGGATATCGATGACGGAACTCTATCGGATCAGTGTTTAGTGTAGACGGAATAGGAGGCACCGATGAGTTCAATCGAGCGTGAAGCTAGAAGTTAATAGCCTAAGCCCGGCATGGCGTCATCGTTCACTAACGGCGTATTCCCCGCACCTTGCTCACAGGCCAACAAAATTTGCTTCATGCGCTTGCAACAGTTCAGCTGGACAATTTCATTGCGACATGAGGTACAGCGTCCCGAGTCTGGACAGACAAGTGAGACGAGCACGGCAACTAGAACGCGGTCAATTGCTTTGATGAATCGACATGGTAAGCTAGCGTTCTCGCGGGAAAACATGATGCTGGCCTGTGGTCGTTACACACAGCGTGACTGACTCAGGCTGATGTGGTTCTCCCGCGAACGGAGACCAATAGCGTCGAGATGCTCCGAGACAAGGCTGGGATCGTGTGTTTGAGTGAGCGATAAGAGCGTTCTCAGATGGGCACGACTCACCATACGGCTCAATCCTCGTCTTTGATGTCGTGATGTTTCTTGAGCTGAGCCAGTTCTTCCTCTCTGCGGGCTAGATCGGCTTTTGCGGCAGCCGCATCCTGCTTTGCAGGCATATGGTACAGAACTACAATGTACCGCTCTTGCAGATGGAAACCGTTCAGGTGATCGAGTGCGTTCTTGGCCTGGCGCGGAAGATGTCAGAATTGGATTAGGTGCTGCACCAGACCGTGTTGCAGACATACATCCATGACATCGTCGAAGACGACAAAGGCTGTTCCCCGTGTCTTTTGCTCATTGCCGATACGAATCTGGCGAATACTACCATAGCGGCCGAAGAGGTCATACAAGTCTTCTCCCGTGATTGTGTAATTCAGATTTTTCACGAAGAGGATTCGATTAGCACCAGGCGGAAGCTTAGCCTATGTAAACGTTAGCTCAGTGGAGAAGATGTACGGAGATGAAGGCACTTACAGCTGGGCGAGCGAGAGCCATGACCGTCGAGTGCAGGATCACGCGGGGGCGTGGTGGCGCAAGGACCAACATGGTCCTATGACACTTTAAGCGGACCTTAAATCCGAAAAAGGCAGGTGTGGAAGATCAGCTAAGCCACTTCCAGCCATGAAGGTACGACAGACGGGAATGACCACGAAACATGTCTCCGAATGCGCTTTATGACAATAAAATTGCTGAGAAAATAGCACAGTGACGTGTCATCTCGCTCTCTGCTACTTTGCCGAGCGACCCTATGATTGTAACAACGATTGACCTCCGAGTGCCGCAGGTCCTTGTCGCTAAACAATCGATTTGGTTCGGACTACTCGTCGGAGTACCAGTGCTAGTCTGGCCAGAAAATGTCTGCAGTACAGAAGCTTGTCATTCCGGGCGCTGTAGGCGGAGTGCGCATAGAAGGAGACCGGTGGTGGCAGTGACGACAAGCCCGACACGGATATTAGTGCCCGCAGGCAAAAATGAACAATGAACTTGGAGATATTTCTCATGGAGGAGAATGAATGCAAAAAACACGATGCCTCGACTCTCGAGAAAGGGAGCGTGCGATAGGAGCTCTTTCAAGCGGTACTGACACGACGTACAACGCTCCTGGCATCGGTTGACCTACTAGTAAGTTGAGATTAAGCATCCCATTCGTCTAGGTGTACCGGTATCACGGAGCGGTCTTTCCAATAGAAGTGAGAGCAACGACTTCTCCTCTTACTAGTGCCGACCAAGACCATTGCGCGCCGTCTTGGGGACGCCCATCGTCCACTGTGAAACATGCAGCGAAACTTCAACATTAGTGGAGCATGCCAGCGTAAGCATAGGCTCGCATACAGAGCGAGAAAGGAGTGTTATACAGCCTCGCCAACCATTGCTCATTTCCCTCGGAGTGCACGAGGTCATCGCTTCGCATGACAATTGAACCGCGGCAGATAGGCAGGTCCTGGCATGTTCTCCAGTGGCACTGACTTCGAGCTTCCCATCAAGATATGCTGGGGGCAAGATTCTGGTCATCGATCAGCACAGGGACGTGAGAGGCGTTATTGCACATCAGACAAGAACAAACCGAGTCGTTGACCCCGAGTCACCGACTCATCAGCCCTGATACACGTGCACCTTGCGATTATGTGCGGTCGAAGATAGTCCGCAAAGTTCGAAACCAGGCACACTTACCTTGGTTCCGTGAATTGGGCATCCTCTATATGTCGCGCGTTGTGTCGGAGAGCTGCCAGCATGAGTGCCATGTCGGCGAAGATCCCGTCTAGTGTGGCCATAATGTCGGACAATCCCCAAACGGACAGTGAAGTATTTCACGAACCACTTTTAGGCCCCATATCACGGATGAATGTAGCACTGGCCATGACGGAGGGCGATGGTAGCATTGTTTACCTGTTCACAGGTCAGGGGCCGCTCATGTACAGATGTCAGAACCCAGCACGACGAGACGGACCTAACAATGTCACAGCAACTGCCCACCCAACTGCCAGAGTAAATGCGGGAGAGCCCCGCCCAGCTTGTTCCCATGCGGAAGACAAGAACGCCTGCGATCAATTGTATGACGGCACCGATTCTCAGCTCAGCAGACCCTAGAAAGGCGAATCACCGTGCTCACCGCACCAGAATAGGCCGTCAACGTTTACGCCTTCGATCATCAGTGAGGCAAGGGACCTATATTTCCAGTGCCGTATCAACGATTCAAACCTGTCGTCATAATCGGCGCTGGCTCACGGCACCCCTGTGTGGATCGCCAGACAGTACGGCCTCCCCTATGCACCCGAGTCGTCATGCGATAGAGGTAACGCGCCGCGCCGGGAGGAGGTATTCATCAGAAAGCAGTGCGGCCAGTGTTCTTCTGCCGCGATGCGGCGGCGTCATTTTGCTTACTGTGCGCGCCTTCGATATGTTCAAAAACACCTGGTAGGCCATACCTCGGACTGTGATTCATGATCCGTCACGACACCACTGCATTGGCACCAGGGGTCGTTTTCAGAGGATGCGGGCTGTTCTCTCACGCGAGTCACCACACTCAACATACCATTGGGAAAGCAATGTAGCACGCACATCTCCGACTTCTTCCGCTCGGTCAATCACATAGCGGACGAATGACCCAGTGGAGTACGGCACATTGCATACGGAGCGCGCAGACAATGCTCCGACAGTTTTTATGAAACAACGAGGCCATTCTCCGCTGCAAGACTCGCCATCGAACATTGATCGAGTAACGACAGAAGTCACCAAATGCTAAATGGACGGCAACCTGGCGTTCGGCCCTGGGCATGAGAGTAGCCAGAACAGCCCACGCGCCGATCGATTCCAACATGCAGCAGTGTCTGAGCAACACCGAAATAATGAACCTGTTCCAAACAAACGGACAGCGTCAAGCCTGGGAAGAACGACGGTGCGACGTACGTGCCATAGACTACAGTTGGCTGTGTGAGGATTCTGGCTTTGAATTGTGTGCGTGGCGCCGATCGCGACACGCTGTCCCGGAGAAGTCTTGGAGAAGTCCATCACGACTGCGTCGCGAGATCCTGTTTTGCGCGATTTCGCACCCGAGCTAAATCAGCTGATGGCTATATGTGGCCATCTCCGGTTCTACAACGACACGCTTCCAGTTGGCTGCGAGGTTCGCTACCGATGGCATCTTACAGTTCCCGGAGGAATGTTATAGAATGCCATCTCTCGGAGAGAAGTAGAATTATCCCTCCGGCACACCGGTGCCTGAGGAGCGATTGATCAGATGCACATTGACAAGCGTTGTGCGTGCAAGGACGCATCGAAAGGGCTTCCCATGCAAGTTGCACTGCATCGCGTGTCTTCGTTGAGGCCCACACCTAGCCTGCGCTTTGTGAGTCGCGAGAGCGTCCAGGGTGTTTCTGGCTTAGCTTCCAAAATAGATGGCCCCTCCACAGGCGCGAAGACGCACATCGTACGGTGGCCTTCTTTACTTCGGGACAACATGACATTCGTCTCGTCAGACCTCGCTGGAACAGCGCACACCGTTATGAAGCTGTAGGCCATGCCAATATACTTGAATATGAGACGGCGCGGGCATACATGAAGTCACCGTGTACCATCACCACAGAATGCCTTCCGGCTACTTGCAGCGAGCTCGAGGTGCCTGAAAGGGCTAAAGTTGCTCAGCGATCGCCGCCCAGGAGCCTGCTTAGTACATAGTGATATCAGATCAACTCTCCCCGTTGCTTCGGAAAAGAGCGACTCACGTCACCAGGGCACCCGGGTCTGCGCTTCATGCGAGCTTAGAAGCTAATCGCTCGACCTGCTTGCAATCGCTGGCTCCGCGTGTGCACACAACAGTACCCCTTTGTTTGGCCTTTGCGTCAGGGACTACGCATTTGATGTCCTCGAGATCAGGACAAGGGCAGTCCGCCGGATTTGAGACGCAAATGAGGCTGTTAGGACATAGATACTGCGAGCATGGTACTAGAGGATTCGAGGATGCGCGAACATGTTCACTCGAAGTTCTGGCGTCGCAATAGAAAACCCTCCTCACCGCTATTCCGCGTGTGCCATCCACTGTCCCGGGCTAGGAGATCCCGAGGACCTCTGCTGCTGATGCATGGGTTGACCGAACATGTGCTCGAAGAATTGAAACTGTGCCCAACCCGATAAGACCAAGGATGAGAGCGTGTACAACAGAACGAGTTTATGTAGCATGTTGAGCGAATGTCGAGTCCCCTCGAGTGACCTGCGAGAGCGTAGTGACGGTGGCTCTGAGTCGTAGTATGGTCGCTCGACGTGTTCTTGCCACGGGCGATGTACGGCGGTATTTATTTGTCAACATCAACAAACAAACGCGTCGCGACCCACTGACCTTGGGCTTGGTCGCGTCGGGCCTTGATACATCGTACAGCACCTGTTCTGTGTTGCCGAAACACATGCAAGAAAGAGTTCGATGGATAAAGCATAATAATGCATACATGTCGTAGAAGTTATTGTGCATACATTTTTTCGTGATGTGTGATGACCGGAACAGCTCGTATACTACATATGTACCACCCTGCAAATGGAAGGCCTAGATTGTTGCTAGTGAGATAACGTCGAGAAAGAGTGTCGTCGTGGATGTAAAACAAGCAGTGATGATGAGATGGGGAGACGGGAAAATATTAAACAAAGAATACACGATATCAGCAAAGAAACCCATGAAACGCACACGGCCAAGTCCGTCCCAGCACTCCAAAGATGCAAGGCGCGCAGACGCCGTCGTCGTTGGCAGGTGTCCGAGGCGGACGGCTGTGTTTGCGAGCGTTGGGACCGTATAGGAACCTGGATAATCCGCGTCGCGAGCACGACCTCAGGCCATACTGCCCCGCTGGGATCGCGGTCTGCCCCTTACGTCCTGGAGCTTCCGGTGTGCAGTTGGAGGAAGCAGTCCTGCTTTAGCCCAGGCGACTTCGCCGGGCATAGCGGGAGGTCCCATGGAGCCTCGCGCCCTCCGTGGCTGAATGTTTTCCTTTTCAGCTTCCCTCCGCATAGCTACTAGGTCGAGCTGCGAATCGTCGGCACTCCCGCAGATGTCAACGTCCATATCCTGAGAGGAGCACTCAGTGCTATTTTCGGTGATGCAAGTGTCCCGGTAGACATCGAAACCGGGGTAGTGGGGAGACTGGCGGTCGGGTGCAGCGGTCTCGTGTGGCGTGGGGTCGGTCGCCAATGGCTCTATGGACGGTTGCCCGACGACAGGGCCGACGACGTGCGTGCGTGAGATGTGCGCGTCGAAGGTAGTGACATGGACGTGAGGCGTAGCGGACGAGCCCAACGAGTTCCCATTATTAAGCCGCAACTCGGGTGAGGGCGCCAATACGGATGCAATGGGCTGAGGGGGCCCATCGACCATAGCCTCCTGTTCCATATCCTCGTCTGCCGCCATGCTGACGCTTAGACGGCTGAAATCGAGTTTCTTGGAGGGGCTGTCTGCACCCTTCAGAGCGGCACTGAGCCTGCGAGACGATCGACGGGTGCGAGGCGACGACGGATCATGGTTCTCGCTCGATTTCTGCGGCGAGCATGCGCCGTCAACCGCAAGGATGCGTCGTTTGGCAGGGCTGCGACGAGACGAGCCACCAGGAGAAAGCGGACGCTTGATCACTCTATGAGGCGATGGAGTGTTGTCGTCGGGTAGCAAGAATTGCTCGAGAGGAAGATCGTGCAGCGGGGGACGACCTAGACGCATATGCATAGGAGGCATATTGGGAATGTGGAAGACGAGAGGACGATGAGGAGTGGCCCTAGTAGTCGCAGTCGCGGTTATAAGTGAAAGGAAGATGCGGATGTGGCCAAAGACAAAGGTAGCAGCCCACCGCGTGGCACATCACTCATCTGTGACGTCCCTCACGTGGCCACCGTCACACCTACTCGGGCGTCTCCAACAAGACAAGCAGCGGAAGACTGTCACTCCATCCTGCAGCGCAAGTACAATACAATAATGATGCCAGACTCAGAAAACAGCGTTCGTAGAAGGAAGCCCTAGCAGAACATATAACTACAGCACAAGGTAACGACGAGCTCTTAGATGAGCTCCGCAGCATTCACCGGCATTTCGTCCTGGGGCGAAGCCGTGAGTACGTGCGTCTTGCATACAAGGGGGCTGTACTTACTATCTGTGTACCATAGTATTGTTCTGCGCGCAAGCAGCGTCAGTCATAAGTAGCGGGGAACACACACGTAGGACTTACCAATGTCACGCAAGATGCGGACATCGTCCACTGTGACGAACTACAAGGCACCCACAGTCAGTGCTTCTCTCTGAACAACTATCATCGGTACTCACATTGATGGCAACACCCTTCCTGCCGAACCGACCAGAGCGACCAATACGGTGAATGTAGTTTTCGCGGTTTCTGCCGTCGCAGTCAGTACAGAATCTCAATCTCACTAGCACGCGTATACGTACGCAGGGAGATCATAGTTTATGACGAGCGATACTTGTTGCACGTCAATACCGCGAGCCCAGACATCCGTCGTAATGAGAACGCGTCTATGGACTCGGTCAGCGCCCATCGAAGCCTACAATGGCAAAAATACTCACGATGTCCCACTGCGGAATTCCGCCATGATGGCGTCGCGTTCCTTCTGCACCATCTCGCCGTGCATTGAGGAGACGGTGAAGTTGGCTGCGCGCATCTTCTCCGTCAGCCAGTCAACCTTGATGGCGCTCAGCCAATAGACAACACAGCAGACTGCATAGCCGACGACCTACCTTCCGCCTTGTGTTGCAGAATATGACTGCTTGCGTGATTGTCAATGTGTCGTAGAGGTCGCAGAGTGTGTCAAATTTCCAATCCTCCTTCTCCACGGCGACGAAGAACTGCTTGATACCCTCCAGCGTCAACTCGTCACGCTTGACAAGGATGCGAACGGGATCGGTCATGAACTTCGTCGTCATTTCCAAGACGTCGTATGGCAGCGTTGCACTCAGGAGCACGACCTGAGTTGCGGGAGGGAGGTATCGGTAAACGTCGTAGATCTGGTCCTTGAACCCCTTGTTCAGAAGCTCATCCGCCTCATCCAGCACCAGCATCTTGATGTTGCGAGTCCGTAGACTGCGGCGCCGGATCATATCAAACACACGCCCGGGCGTGCCAGATACTACGTGCTGTCCATACTCCAGTTTCCGGATGTCCTCTCCGATGGACGTCCCTCCGATACACGCGTGGCATTGGACGTTCATGTAATCGCCCAAAGCGAGGACGACGGATTGAATCTGCGTTGCAAGCTCGCGTGTAGGACTGAGGACAAGTGCCTGCGTTTCGCGGACGGTCACGTCGATCGACTGGAGGATGGAGATAGAAAATGTCGCGGTCTTTCCGGTTCCGGACTGAGCCTGCGCAATGACATCGCGTCCTTGGGTGATAGGCAGAATTGCACGCTGCTGAATGGCTGATGGCTTTTCGAAGTCTTCGTTGGCGTCAGAATGGTAACAGTAAGTGACAGCAGTTTCAACACTCACTATAGGCGTAGATGCCACGCAACAGGTCCTCCTTAAGACCGAGGTCGTCGAAGGTCGACACGACCGAGACTGCTTCCGACGACTCGAAGATGAGTTTCTAGGCACACCAAATACGTGCTTGAGTCAAACGCATACAAATGGCATAGCATGAAGACACACCTCGTCCCCGGAGTTGATTCCAGCCATTTTGAGGGATGTATGGAGTTGAGCGTTCTGGTGAAGACGAAGTAGATCGGACTTCGAATATCTGCTCTCCCATGACAGACGCTCGCGTAAGCGCTAGCCGTCTCTTCATTGCAGCCACCGACCACCGATTTGGACCACCACCTCGCGCGAGCTCCCCCTACCCGGCCATGGATTCAATCATCGAGGTTCAGCGACACACGCACGAGGAAGTTGAGCGGTTTGAGCGGGCCTTGTACACTATCCTCTCCAAACCGCAGCCGACGCACGAGTCGCGGTTGCAAGTCGAGCATAAGGCGTCCCAGCTGCTCGACCGACTATCCTCCCGGCTGGTCACTCTGAAGGACCTGTACGAGGATCAGGACACGAGGAAGGCAGAGATCAACTCTCTTTCTGCGCCTCCGCAACAGCAAAGTGACTTATCCGCGTTCTACGCACGGTTAGGCCGAATACAAGAGCACCATGCCAAGTATCCCGACGCCATCATAGCTGGGTTTGACCCGGAGTTGACCGCATTTCTTGAGGAAGAGCAGAGAGGAGATGATGAGGAGTACGAGGAAGACGATCGTGCGTTACTTGTCTTCATGCTTTGCCATTTGACTCAACCTTGGGGGATTAGCTGTTGCCCTTCTGTTCTCGGGTGAAGAGGCTTACGGCAAATACCTTGACCTGTATGCTAATCATACCACTTATAACAATCTCAAGAACATCGGCAAGCGTCTGGGCTACTTGCAGTACTTGGATACCCTCCTTGCCGCTCAGTCTGAGCCTGTTCACTCTGAGCTACCGACAGATTGTCGCTTGACTCGCGACTACGAACTGTGAGTATTTGTAACGCACTGTACGCCTCGCCTTTTACCGACACGTTACTCCAGTTATATCAAGGCGCTGCACACGTACCTTATGTCCTTCACAAAACGCGCACAACCTCTGGTCGTCGTGGAGTCTCAACAGAAGGAGGCTGAGGCTCAATTCACGTCGAAGTGGGATGCTGGTGAGATCTCTGGCTGGGAAGAGGAAAAGTCAAACAAGTCCGCAGCAAATGGTACTGGCGAGGGCATTTGGTGTGCAGCTTGTAAGTGTGTCTTTCATTTGCTGCGAGCAAATCTCACGGAGTGTATATGTAGGTCAGAAGATGTACTCAAAGCAGACTGTGTACGACGCTCACTTGACGTCAAAGAAGCATATCAAGGCAACACAAAAGCAAGCGAGTTCGTTAGAGCAGCCTCCCGCGAATCCGAACGGCCCGACTCAGCCAGCTCATGAGCAAACCGGACACGAGGCGTCTCAGGCCAATGCGAAGTCTAAGCATCGTAATGCCGCATTAATCACCCATCTCTGCACTCAGTTGCTGAGTTCGCTCGCATCTGTGCTCAATGACACGAAGTCCAACGTGGAGCGCCGGTTCTCTCTAACCGCGCGTGAACGAGAGCAGGAGCTTCTCGAACAGTCCAAGCCTCCGCCCCCTGCGGCTGCACCCGCGAATGGTGAAGCCGGCGGAGAAGAGGAAGAAGAGGAAGAACGGATCTACAACCCTCTCAAGCTCCCACTAGGGTGGGATGGCAAACCGATCCCGTATTGGCTCTACAAGCTTCACGGGTTGGGGGTCGAGTATCGATGTGAGATCTGCTCGGATCACGTATACATGGGAAGGTCAGTTGTTCCGTGTCGGACATGCACACCATGCTGATTGTGCTCTCTCAGAAAAAACTTCGATCGTCACTTCCAAGTGAGTCATGGCTGTGCATCAGTTGGGGACATGATTCTTACAGATCAATAGGAATCACGACACGCTTTTGGCATGCGTGCACTCGGTCTGCCCAATACAAAGCACTTCCACGAGATCACTCGGATCGAAGACGCCCTCGCCCGTAGGTCATTGCTTGTATGCGCCGCCGTGACGATCTAATGGATCGGTCACAGTTGCTGAGAAGTTGAAGCAGGAAGGCCGACATGAGATCTTCGAGCAGGAGACCATGGAGGAGCTGGAAGACGAGGAGGGCAATGTCTACAACCGCAAGACGTACGAGGATTTGAAGAAGCAAGGATTGATTTAGCAACTGCTATCATACATCCGCCACCGTCCTCTTCTACAGCCTGTATTATACATAGCATTCTTGTCATGGCTTGCTTCGTAACGTCATACAAACGCGTGCCTACCCTCTTCTGATACATTCCGGCCTAATGATGCAACAAATGTGATCACGATGCGCTTCCCTAGGTATACTACATGTCATCTTTTGGAGTGCTTCTCGCACTACGGAGTGGTGGTGGCGGGGGTGGCCTTCGGCGTGCTTGCTCTGGTGCCAAGGGGCTTTGCAGCGCATGGTACAGCTCTTCCTCGGATGACGAGGGAGAGGAAGACAAGGGCGAGTTGTCTGGAGAGTCAAACGGGTTCGTGCTCTTGCGAGACGATCTCTGCGGACTTGTCGGCACGAAGATGCCGTTTGGGTGTTCTACGTGTTTCATCAGTATACTGGGTCACCCGCCGAAATATAGGACGTACCGGGGTCATCCCACCACGCTGCGTCATCTGTACTCGGTGCAGGTACTGCGCAAGAAGGGTCATCATTGAACATTGACACATAGAAATAGAAGACACTCACACTTGTCTGTGTCGTCTCCGAAGGTCATTTCAGCGAGCTTCTCGTCGAGCTTTTCCCCAGGACCGCTGGCAGTGACGCTTTCGAGCAACAGACGAGATAGCGCATCACGTCTAGCGTGGTCGATGATCCTAATTTCCGCGCGGAAGAGAGCGAATACTGTTCATCGCATAAGCAATATCCTGAGGACTAAATCATGGCAAGAATCGCACCTGGACGGTGATCCGAACTCTTCAACTCCGCTCGGGAGTAGGAAGACAGATCAAGGGAGGTTCCTTTGAAGAGTACACGATCTGGGGGTCGTCAGGCATTAATTATGACTCCACTTCGAAGAAGAGAAACCGACCTGTCCACGCAGGGATACGCATCTTTTCCCCCGTGTCATAGTTGTCTGTGCCGACGTCGTATTTGTACGTGGGACGGAACAATATGGGGCCTTCCTGGTACCCTCTGTACGCTGCACCGTCGTCCATAGCTTGCTTGAGCTGTTGTATGTCTTAGCCATGACTCAATTTCTGTCATTCTCCATGTAGCCCACCTGATCAGCAGCCAGTAAGGCGTCATAGTCGTTTGACGCAGCGAGGGACCTGGCGTGCTCATTCTCAAGGTCTATGCGATAGTTCGTGTCCGCTAGCCAGATGACATTGCTAGAGATAATGTCAGGAGCAGCACCGTCGAGGTGGATCAGACATACTCGTGGCTATCGATGTTCTTGCCTTTGAGGAAATGCAGACCGTTGGTAATGGTACGATAGTCGGCATTACGTTCGTCCACATTCGTATGACCAGCGGCAAGATGGGCGGTGATGAAGCAGAAGCTGGTGTCGCAATATTCAAGCCGAATACCCACGGCTCCTTTGTTACCAGACATCCCTCTGAGACCAGTCTGCAAATCCAGTTCATCGTGAGAGACAAGATTCACGCCGCACAAGGTGAACGGACCTTATGCGATGCGGCCTCGACATTGCGTATGGCAGATGTGAGCTCGGATCTCACAAAGACGAGCAGCGCCGTGCCAACCAACTGAGGCGTAGATCATGAACAAAGGGCCCACAAAATTTGAAAAATAACCCACCTGATGACCACGTAGCAATATGTACTCGCCCTTACTCTCGGACCTCTTGTTGAACGTGTCTAGGATTTTCGCCTCCCAGGCCCGCCTGCGAGCAGTTCGTCGAATGCCCAACATGAAACTGATGGAGGGCCACCTACCGGCGTTCGGGGTCGGCCTGCACGATTTGCTGGGCAGTCAAGGGGACTATCTCCTGGAAGCCAATAACGATAATGTCCGGGCTACGAATGGCCATCAGACCATCTCATCTTACGGACCGGACGGGGAAGAGAACGCACTCCGAGGTATCTAGAGATGAGAGAGAAAGATGAGGGCATAGTAGATCGCTGTTACTTTAAAAACTTACAATGACGAGGGAAGAGCCATGGGAGCAAGGACTCGGACGACGGCGGCTGTAATCACGAGGCAGTATTGAGCACCGCAGAGACTGGCTATCCGACCATTTGTACGAACCCGGCCATTGAGATTCCACGTTCCAGCGAATATGGTGCACGATTTGGTTGTCGAGTACTCAGGCAGCCTGGGCTACATCAGTTATGGTCGCATTGAAAGGTCAAGGTAATCCACACCTCGCTTCCAGGGCACGGCGCACCGAGTCATGGATAGGATCATAGATGGTCACCTTTTTCTGGGTGCTGAGGTTTCCCTGGTCCGCAAGTTCTCAGATGATTGTCATATTCTGAAGACGGTGACTCACGACGAGCATGTCAATCGCAATCTGTTTACCCTTGTCTTGGAAGTTGTTGATGTACGCCCGGGACACACTTTTCGTGGCGTCGGATAGCACACCTATTCCTGACCGTTAGAGAATGGCAGAGATTTCAGGTCGTTAGCCTTACCAGCTAGTGTTCGTTTCCCGCTGCGAGTGAAACTGGTGTTCAATGCACCAGTCCCAGCGTAGATACGAGATAGAGCATCTCCATTCTCAGCCCACAACTCCCTATGATGCGACCAGAGAGCCGTGGATTGAACCCACTCTTTTCGAATCAACATCAGGTATTGTTCCAGGGTTGTGCGAGACAAGATATCCTGTACGAAGTTTGTTCGATCCAAGCTGTCCCCAAATCAATAGCTGCAGCGTCATAACCCAGAAGGGGAGTACGTACCAGTCAAGACAGTTAGTTCTGAAGACCCCACGTTGTTCCGTTATGAGCTCGTCAGTGGAAGCGTCAGTCATGCAGAAGCCAAATTTATCGATGTGGTCGGCAATGTTCTCTAAGCGCCTAAAATCGAACGGTGAGACCTAGACGCGAACAGGCATTCAACAACGACCGCGCCTTATCTCTCTGAACACACTCTCGTGACCACCAATCTTGACCGCGTTGTGAAAGTCGAAGTGCGTGATTCCGACCGTGTCCCCCATTGCTGTCCGAGCCGATTGAAGGTGTCTCGCGTACGCCGCGGTCAGGATTGCTTCGTTCTCTTTGCTGCCCAGCAGGTTGATCGCATGCATCGACCCAAACTCTTCTATCAGCTGCATCAAGTGACGATCGAATGCCGGTTGGGAGGCCTGTGGTCGGGTTATTTGGATTTTGTGGCCGAATGTCTGGAGTCCCTGTTGTTCCCAGAATACTGCAAGTGGACGGCGCGACAAACATGCGAGTGTAAATGCGGTGTATTGAGTATAGTGAGAGACATACATGGTACGCTCCCTCGTACTTGTACGTAACTACAGCAATGCTGGTCGGTGCTGAAAATGGTCTCTGTCTGTGCAAGCGGCTCAGCAAATTGTCACTCATATGCCAGAGAACTGCATACCTCCACGAAGTTCGCCACGTTACCATCATCATCGACACCTCTAGTGTTGAATCGAGTCCCAGACCGCTTCCAGCCCAAGCGGGAGATCAAGGCTAAGGTTGCGATGGTCGGTGCGCCACTGGTCGGAGGGGCGGGCAGAGCCAGATTATATACACCCACGTAGCCTTGAATGGCGAGAGCCTGTGGTGCGTTTGTTACTTTTGTGCTCGTGTATGCGTGGGCTGACCTACTATAAAACGTGTTCGGTCCAGTTCGTCTCGTTCTTGTGGATCTAGCCGCTCTCTGAAGTCTAACAGACTCTGGACGATGTACTCGTTCCATAGGAATCGTTCATCATAGAGTCCCGCGTCCGTCACTCCTCCCGATTCAGCTCGACGAGCTAGGCGCAGCGGCAGACGGGACGTGATATCCCAATGTTCTTCATTGGCATAGTAGAATGTGCCTGTAGAGAGGATCTTGGTTATAGGTGCGCACGGATGTTCGAATACGGGATTCGGTGTCGTGTTTGTATATGAGTCACCGAGTGGACTGTCCGACTGGTCGTCATAGCCTGACCTCATACCGACGTCGGTCGAGAGGCCATCCCATGCGGAGGAATTGAGGCTATAGAAGCCAACGTCGTGTATTTGAGCGACAGATTCTTCAGTGCGCGCAGATGGGCGTGTCTTGCCCACAGAGGTCGCAGACGTGATCATGACCGCGAATATCTCTGTTGGGACAACGGGTCAGCTCTGGGATTGAGCCGCAAAAACATGTATCGGCGCACCGTTCGACACAGATATGAGCCCGAGGCACCCTTTAATCGCCCTGCCCGAGGCAAGCCTAACGGTGGTAGACAAATCGACCTCATCCTTGGGAAGAAATTGGACCACGGCCTGAGATGAGCTGCCTTCGGTTGCACGGAAAACCAGTGCTCTGCTAGGTCGACCTGGCTCATCCTGTGCGTCCGTGACCAGATAGAGGGTACGCGGACTTTCTCTCAGGTGGAGGCGCATCTTGTCTGTGGCAATGCCGTCTTTGGGTGCTCAAGGCCGCCGTTGCGCTGTTACAGTGCGAGTGCTTGACAAACGCATGTATACCCTTGAAGCTGCGTTGCGAGAGCTGCCACAGAAGTGCAGTCGCTCAGAAAGTAAGTGGCGAGGAGGATGGGGGAATGTGTCGTTCAGAAGAGACATCTATTATTGACCGTGAGCCGGCGGCACACATCGCGGAGCAGTGGCGAGTATGTAATCTGTGGAGCGCTTACCTACGGGGGGTCGCGTCTGGCGCCGACATCTCGACGCCAGCACTCAACGGTACTGCCCGTCCTCGGACTCAACAAGGCACGAAGGAGAGTAACCCGCAGGGACCCACAAGGGGAAATGGGGCTCGGGAGGAACGGTCTTAGCGTTCGGTAGTGATCTATTAGTGCCTGCATGTACCTCGGCGTATGGGCTTTAAACTCGGTGAATCAAAAAAAAAAAAAAAAAAAAAAAAGAGTATGTAATCTGAGATTTGCAGGTTAGGCAGTCAGTACGACCTAAGTCCTAGTAGCGCTAGAACTCGAGAGGCCGATCTGAGCTCGCCAAGTACATACGACAGCGCTAGGTAAACTACAGTAGAACTCCCAAGTCGATCCCTATAGCAGTAGCAAGTGTCCAGAGCTACATGCGCCGAGTCCATCCACATATATCATATTGTACCAGAATCGTAAGAACTAGTGTTTCTCCTCATCTCCAGGCGTCCTTCATTAGAAGGCCTCCCCGAGGTAGCTGGCCTCCTTGGCGGTATACCTAGGTTCAGCGGAGATATCCGAATATTTGAATGGTCGACCTCGTTCGCGGATGCAAATGTTGAGGTCTCGGAAGCGCCACTCTCGCTCGAAACCCTCCGTCCCGGCGAGAGCAAGGGTGGAGGCAAATTGTTCATCGAGGGCACACGCTTCAGATGTGTGGTAGGTGCCTGGAGCGGCGAGGGGGACACCGGGCGAGGCGTCATGTTAGGGGATCTGGGCGCGATCAGACCCTCGGATGTGTCGCGGCGAGTTGGTCGAGGACGCACGCGTGGCATCGTATCGTATAGACTCCTGAACAGAGAGCCGCGAGGACGCGTTGAGATTGGTGTGAATGCCTTGTTGGCATCCGTGGGAGTGTTGGGCACACTGCTATGCCCTGTTGCGTCAATCAGCAACAGCAGAGCAGGGTTGCTCGACGACATACCCGTGTTTGTAGGGAGAGCATTGTCATTCGCGCTCAAGCTCAGGAATAGGAAGACTGGAATGAACCAGACACATATTCCAAAGAAGGTCGCGATATCGCCAAAGTTTGGTACTCGTGGAGTGTTTCGGGGCTGCCCGTATGGACGACGAGCAGCGTGCCTCGCCTCCTGCGAAATGTGGGAAAAGTAGAAGAACCACGTAAAGTGATTACAGATCACCATAACGCAGGACAGAATGAAACTGAATGACGACAAGGAGATCGATGGCCAGCTAGGAGTGAAGTTCTGCAGATAGACTATCTGGCAAGCGATTGAGAACGCCGTGTGCTTGAGCGGCAGAGAGTCGGTGAAGTACAAGAGACAATGGAGAAGTATATTAAACTGCGGACATTAGTCTATACGTGACATGCCATGCCAACGTCGTACAGTACTCACGTAGATGGCCCTTTCTCCTATTACCTTGGCTATGCGTGAATGCTCCTCGATCAACTCTGAGAGCCAGAGAAGACCGCTGGCTGTTCATGACGGTTCAGTGTCTCATTCTCACTTGATGTACTCTGAGAAACGCACCAAGTGACAAGGTTACGAAGATGAATGCTGCGGCACCACCTACATAGCTGAGAGGGATGTGAGCATGTGATGGAGTGGGCAATCGCGTGCACTAACCTGAGACTGTGGAGTACAGAGAACATCTCCAGCTCGCAGGCGCAATTGAAGTATCTTCCCCTGTTCTCGTCAAGGTGGTTTTGAGGTGGATGATCAGTTGGAGGGCCTAGTAGCGAATCCGAAGTACAGAGGGTGTCAGCTGGCTATAAACGCTTGTGTCTGCCACGGTGACGAAGTGGCGAAACGCGTCCCGAAGTGTGTCACGTGGAGCGTTCTGTGCATCTTTATTGGCTGCGGCGACGCGCGGGGCACCGCACCCAGTGGCGACCCAGGGGAGGCTCGTACATCCATCTCAAGATCGCCCAGCGAAGGACGACACACTATCAACTTTCCGAGGTATGTTTATACATGTACGTGCTCAGTCATGATGCGGCCACTGACAAGTTATGGCCCGCAGGCACAGCCGTATCAGCATGAGCAACCTTGAAAGTGAGTGTGGAGTTGCGAGGACGCGAACCACATCCTGATCATGCTTAGAGACACTCTTCCAGCTGAAGGTGTGTGGTGGACGAACAGTCAGTCAATGTAACATGCTTAAATACCGTCGCAGTTCACGGCTAAGACACTCAATCGACAAGCCAAGAAGGCGCAGAAGGATGAGAAGACGGAGAAGACTCGCCTGAAGAAGGTGAATCGACCTGCATGATCACGTCAATGTTCTATCTTGACCTCCAGCTGCAGGCACTACAACAAGGCAACAACGAGGGCGCTCGCATCTACGCTGCTAATGCCATCCGCAAGAAGAATGAATCCTTGAACCTGCTCAGACTCTCCAGCCGAATAGATGCTGTAGCAAGCCGTGTCGAGACTGCGGTGACCATGCGCCAAGTCACTGGGAACATGACGTCCGTTGTGAAGGGAATGGACAAGGCCATGGAGAGCATGAACCTCGAGAGAGTACGACTTACTCAGTGCACCAGCTTTATTCCCGCTGACCCCACCTGCGTGGTTTCGTAGATTTCCCTCGTCATGGACAAATTCGAATCGCAATTCGCAGACCTGGACGTGCAGACCTCATACATGGAGGAAACTATGTCCAACACGACGGCTGTATCCATGCCACAGGATGAAGTGGAAGCTCTGATGAAGCAGACAGCTGAGGAGGCAGATATCGAACTCCAGCACGACCTCGCATCGAAAGATCTCGCACCAGCCGCCGAGATTAAGGACAAGGAGGTGATTGGAGAGGAGGACGACCAGCTCGCCGCCAGGCTCCGCGCTCTGAGGCCGGCGACATGATAACACTGCAGGGTACACGCCCAGCGTGCCTTGGTTGATACTGGTGCTGTATTGTATGAGATGTAACGATATTCCGAAGGGTAGATAGCATACGGCAACATTGCAAACAGGCATGACTCGTGAGGTCCCAGGGAGACGTGAAGAAGGCGTGTATTATATGACCTATTGTTGGAGTGAGTGTCGATGAGCGGTCGTCAAATGGTATCAAATGGAGGCGAACGAAATAGAACACAAAACAAGTATGCAATCTACGAAGTACAGAACCTACGTAAATGAGAGCAGAGCAGATCATATCGAGTAGCAGCATATCGAGCAGACCGAACGCATCGCGGATGCGAGCATGAACGGGAACGATCGGAGTGTGTCAGCAGGAAACAATGTGGTAGAACAACAAGGAGGGTGAGGAGTGTGGGCACGCATGAGATGAAAGGAAGACACGACAACGTGGTATGCACCATTCACCGGATCTCCTGCACAACGCGATTGAGCTTGTGCAAGAGAACTTGCTTTCTCCGCGAGTCCAACCCGGGGGCCGAGTCGAGCAGCCGTTGTACGTGATTCATCAGACCAAAGGGGCCGTCCAGCGGTATTGCGCGTGCATCATATCGATGTACGTCTGAATGGAAGAGTACCAGGTCAGCATGACACAAATCATAGACACGAGGAGACGTACATGTCTTGAACGTTGAATACGCTGCATCTCCCAACACCTCGCGGAAAACGTCCGCCACTTCGGCACCAGACTGGCCTGCGCCGAACCTGTCTCTCTCGTCTGAGGTAGCTGCTCTCCATCTCGCCCCGGCTCTCGCAGCCAAGTCTGGTGTAACACGACCAGCGGCCGTCCGCGACAACGCGTCCTCCCGCACTTTCGTCGGCGCCCACGACAAACCGAGGTTCAGGTCGAGCGAGCGACCCTTACCCACATTCCGTGCTTGCCGTGACTTGGACAACGGTGACGGCGGCATCGGAGACGCAGTACCTGAGGATGCAATGGATCGTTTGCGCTCGTCGCTGTCCGCAGGAGACCCGGGAATAGTCGGTACGGCCGGTTCAAACTTGAACGCGGGATGCGCCGCGCGAGCTATCCGCTTGCCCGCATTCTTGCCCCAGGACGAGTTCAACGCTGACGAGTTGCCGGAGTGGGTCGAGGAGATTGGTGATCCTGGATCCGTCTCCGAGCCGTGGTGTGCCTTGGATCCGGAACTGCGAGGGATGACCAACGGCTGCCCCCGGGATGTCGCTGCAGAGCTACCCGTGGTGCGACGCGCCAGGTTATGCGTGTCGATGTCAAGGGCTGGCTTTGGTCGTGCTTTAGGTAGCGAAGAAGACAATGGAGTATGACGATCCTGTCGACCGTCGTCCAAAGTAACCCTACGAGCAGGACCTCGGGTGCTCGAACTCCGTTGCAATGCGTGCGGGGGTGCGATTGTCCTGCCATTGACATTTGCTGACGGCAATGGCTTGGATTGGCCAGCAGAGACAGGACGCTCGAAGTCAAAGCTGCCGTGCTTGATGCGTTTCGCCTTGATGTTGGCCTGGACGCTGCTGGGAACTACGCTTGTCGCCCCGTCCCTGGCCCTGCTACCACGACTGGTGCCGCTTCCACTAGCAACTCTCTCCATGGACAACGCACCAAGAGGGCGGCTTCCTTTCTCGAGCTCTCGAGTGGGCGAATGTACCTTTCTTGGGTTTGGGTTCGTGATGCGCTCTTTCCCCTTCTCGCTCTCTGTTCGGCCTGGCAGATGCCTGGTCTCCTTCTCATCAAACTGCTCCCATTCCTCCAACCGTTCCCTCTCTTTCCCCTTTCCCCTCGATGAAGTGGTCGGAACCAGTCCACACAGAGGCGAGCATCTTCCCCTCATCAGAGCTTCCGAGTCCACGTCGTCCTGGACTTCCTTGTACTGGCCATTGTGGCGAGGAGACGCGCTCATACAACGTGCTTGGGATGGGGGTGAAACGGGCCTGTTGTTGTCCAGCAGAACATCGCCTTTCACGGGTCGCTTGGGCTCATCCTGCGTCCTCGGGTAGCCGCTGGCAGAGCTAGGCCGGGACAAAACACCGCGACCTTTCTTGCCGCCCGACTGAGGTCCTGGGGTCGTCGATCGTGACTTCGATTTGTGGGAGTCGCCGAACGAGCCCATGAGCGGGCTCGAGAGCGTCAACCCGAATAGGTTCATCTTCTTGCCCTTGCGCGACGAGTTGTGGGAAGTCTGCTCCAGGATAACTACCTCCGTCCGGATGTCCACCGGACCTGCGGTCTGTGCGCTTGACGAGTGTGCACCAAGCGCCTTCGGCGACCTCTTAGGTTTCGTGGCGGGAGACATGGGTCGCGACGGCGACCTAGTAGCGGGTCTCGAGCCAGAAGAGGGCGCAGCAGCAGCATAACCGCCATCAGGATCCAAGCTCGAGTGTCGCTTATGCTTGCTTGTGGCGGGGCCTTCCGTCGGCATTGGGTCATGGGTCATGGCGGCATCGAGAGAGCGCGAACGTCTTTTCCTGGAGCGAGAACGAGATCGGCTCAGAAAGTTCACAATCTATCGATGGTTCCGGAGAGAGCATGGCACCGTAGGGCCGAATGCATGTAAGTTTGAGAACTACCCAGAGTCTCTGCGAACACGCACCCTGGCACCAAGTGTCCTACCTTGTCTCTCTTCGTGTTGGGGCGATAACTCCATGGGCTCGACGTCGACGCCTAGCTGTTGTAGCCTGAGGTTCCTGGCGTAATTCGGATACACAAACTTCGGATGCTCGGTCTCTTCTGTCTATTCGGGATTAAACGCCCATTACCGCAGTACGTCAGACACATTCACGGTGTACGACACCCGGACTCTCGCACCTCAACCGACGAGATACGTTCGAGACGCTGTAGCTTGCCAGTAGAACAGAGAAATGCGCGAAACTAATATGTGCAAAGGCGAGAGAGGGAAAGGGAGGTCCAACACGTGTTAGGCACGTCCCCGAACGTATGAGAGTTCGGTGCGAAGCACTCACGTCCTGGGATATCCTCACACGGGCAGCGTCAATCAAACCTAGGCTGCTCCTCCGTTCATGTTTAAGCGTTCTGGAGGCGGCACGAGCTATATGCGAGCGGGAGTCGAGGGGGGATGTTGACGGCGTGGATGGGGGAAGGGACGAGTCGCACGAGCCTGAGTGCACGTCGGACAATTCCTCCGGAACATTGATGGGCATTGTGGCGATCTTGATTCGACATGAAATATTGTAGAGGGTTCAGTAAAAGCACAGAAAAACAGTGGTAGGGAGCTGGACTGGAATGAGCTGATAGATGCGGGCAGGGTATTAGGGCGATGAACGCAGGCTGCCTGAGACGTTCAACAGCCCTGATCAGTAAGCGTGCGAAGAACGTCCGCAAAGGGATATCAACACGTGTTTATGATCAGCACAGCGGATGACAATATTGACTGTGGCACGAACTTGTCGGTCGTTCGCAGTATGAATCCAACTGGGACCTATGCTACACCCTGTTGCATCGCTGTTGCCGTGCCTTCTGTGTCGTCACAACATTTATGACAGCAGTCGGTAGGCTTTGCGTCACATCTTATGCCAGCATTGCTGTCGTCGATCTACTGGCACTGCAATCCCCGCGTTGTATTAACTGTACGGACGTACGATCTCAATTGTCCGCAAGACATTCATGTCAGCTTCGGCCCCTAGCTGATCGGCCTGCTCACGATACGCGTGCGCTGGTACCTGCCACAATCAATGCTGAGCTCAGGGGATTCTGATACCGAGATTCTCAACTGAAATTAACTACCCACTCGGAACAAGCAGGATTGGTCGTGCATAGCGAACTGACCGGTACCGTCAAGTCGAGCTTCTGGCGTACTAGTACGTGTCACGTTTGCTTCATGAGTATGATCGAGAAAAAGACTGACATGTTGCGAAGGGACCGGTCAGGCACACCTATGTCCATCCCTAAACCCTGATGTTAGAACATGACCATGTGAGTGCGAATTTTATGTTCGCACATCTGTGCATGCATCGGTGCTTCAAGTTCATACACGCGCTGGGGTGGCCGGCGACTCCCTTCACATCCGATCATTGAGTCTGCTACCTAGCTAGCATGGCAATGGCATGATGGCATTATCGTCGGCGGGGCCGTGGGCGGTCGCACTAGTGATGTATGTTCACCGCAAGTTTAGAAGGCATTTACAAGGATGGCGCGCGTTCCGTATACTAGCCCACGTACGTAGAGAGGTTCTAGCGTCGGACCCCCGTATCTCTCGGATATGTGCTCGTGATTTCCTTACCAGGGCCATGCGGAAAGAGGTCACTGAATGCGCAAGTCGGCACACTTGCTAATCTCTATCTAGCCACGACAGGGTCTATCAGCCGGGTTTTAGGAGGACGAACCAGCCCCATGATGTAGAGTTGGAAGTTGGTCAGAGGACCATCGCCGCTTGTTCGTGGACAGTCGTGTTTTCTGTGCCTTTGGTGACCTCAGAATTTCTTGCGTTCTCAGGGTCACCACGCTATTTTGAGTCACTTCCACTTCGTGGCAGTAATATCGCACTGATACCTTGACCAGCCAATCCTCGGTATCTTCAGCAAGTCCCGAGGCGGCTCACCAATGCGCTCCGTTGCATTACATGCTCTCCCAAGGCGGCCGTTACTTGAGGTTCACATCGTAAAGTCAAGACCGGTCGAGAGCGGTCGGGCCGATGCCACGGTGAGTGGTCTATATGTAGTTCCAGACGTCAGTAAACGGCCTGATTATCTCTAGTCAAGTGCATAGCCAACTTGGAATTTGAAGCTAGGAACGCACTGACGGGTATGTATGGCGTTGTGCGCTTCCGCTTTCAGACGGTTGTCGTATATCCGTTGAGGCCGTGGGAGCGGGAAGGAGCGGCGTTAATCGTACGGAGCCTTCTCAATAGAGTTGCAGTGGACGGAGGCCGTTGCATCTCTCCCGAAAATTTCGAAGTTGCATCCGTCCGTCGCACGAGTGATGCTGGTAGTCGAAGGTTGGGGAGCGAGTCCCGATGCGCGACAGCGGTACGCGCGTCCGTGGCGTGTAAGTATGTGCACACGTGACCGTGCGCGGTTGCGTGCTTGCGAATTCTTTCGCCATCGCCGGGCATGGCGCGCCAGGTTCCTTCGCCGTCCCGAGCTTACCACACAAATGGAGACCCACCGATTACTTACCGCGGGAGGGCCTTGGCCTTATATTTGTCTCCACCCTCCATCCGCGTGGTTGACTCTGCCAGATTCGCTCCTCGACTTCCGCCCCACCATCTAACTTTGTCCTCCCGTTCGTGCATCTTCCCCAGCTCGTCCCGGATTTGCGTCGGACATGCCTGGAGTGACTTCCCACCTCTCGAAGGTCGGACCCAGACGGTTTAGGCTGCCTCATGCCCCAGCCCGGAGGCCCGCCATCCGCTCACCGGCAAATGAAGCCTCAATCGCGTCTACCTCAAAACCTCGAGACCGTCCCAAGTTTCCCTGCGTTGAGGCGCACGCGGCTCGAGAGTCACGCCTTCGCTCCTCGCGACAGTCGTCAAATCTTGCGACTTCTTCGCCATCCACATCTCGCGCCTTACCTCCAAGCGCGGAGCCAGAGCCGCCGTACGAGCGGCCAAATCCACGGTCCTACAAGACTTACAACCACTCAAAACCCCTCCCCTTAACCTACGCTCCGGCATTACCTGAGTTTGACATCGCGTACGAGACTTGGGGCACTCTGTCTCCGGCGAAGGACAACGTCATTCTCCTGCACACAGGCCTGTCCGCGTCGTCACATGCTGCCTCTACGGACCTCAACCCATCCGAAGGGTGGTGGGAGAAGTTCATCGGCCCTGGTCGTGCCCTCGATACGAACCAATTTTTCATCATTTGTACAAACGTCCTCGGCGGCTGCTATGGCTCGACCGGCCCTTCGTCAATCGACCCCACGACAGGTCAGCGGTACGCGACGCGTTTCCCGATCCTCTCTATCTTCGACATGGTCCGGGCGCAATTCTGCCTCCTCGACCACCTCGGGATTCATCAATTGTATGCAAGCGTCGGATGCTCGATGGGCGCAATGCAAAGCCTTGCTGCAGGCTGGCTGCACCCCGAACGCGTCGGCAAGGTGGTGAGCATTAGTGGGACCACGCGCAGCAGCCCTGGCGCAATCGCTATGCGTTTCGCGCAACGTAGTGGTGCGTCAACAATGGTTGAAACACCGACTCAATCGCACATACTGATCTTCTCGAAGTGCTGATGGCAGACCCCAATTGGAACAACGGTTTCTATTATGACGGTTTGCCGCCGCACACTGGCATGAAGCTCGCCCGGCGTGAGTTAGGTTCCGTGAGGTGTCGTCGGACGAGTGTGGCTGACACCCGGTCTGAACACAGAAATTGCCACTATCACTTACCGGTCAGGTCCTGAATGGGATCAGAGATTTGGGCGTAGGCTGCGACCCGCACCGCAGTCCGCACTATCCACGGGCGCGGAGGACTCGGGTTCTCCACGCGTACCAGCGCTCTGCCCTGACTTCTTGATAGAAACATATCTTGACTATCAGGTACGTATTGCGGCGCTTTGGTAACCCCATAAAGTCTTGACGGTCCTCGACTATTCCCAGGGCGAATCATTCTGTCTCAAGTACGACGCCAATTCGCTCATTTATATTTCCAAGGCAATGGATGTCTTCGATTTGACAAGCTCTGCGCTCGCCGAGCTGAGGCTGACACCTCCGCCACCACGTTCGGCACCTCCGCCGCTCCCACCATCCCTGGTTTCGCAACCTTCTTCGCCTGCACATCAGCATTACCACTGGCTCACGTCACATTCGAAGTCGCATCCACCACCACCAAACCCGCCGGCTCACTTACCGGAGCTGGCAGAGGGACTGCGGCCTTTGGCTAACACGCCAACGCTCATACTCGGCGTGCAGAGCGACATCCTGTTCCCCGTCGAGCAGCAGCGGGAGGTAGCGGATGCTCTGCGTATGACAGGGAACAATATGGTGAGCTACTATGAGCTCGGTGGCGTGTGGGGCCATGATACATTCCTGTGAGTGCTTTGTGGTATCGAACGTCTTGCAATGTGTTGAACCAGCCCATAGGCTCGACGTACAAAACGTCGGAGGCGCTATTCGAGGCTTCCTGTCATGACCACGCCGTTGTCATTTCCCTACGTCACTCATCGCATTCAGTAGCAGCACGAGATTCATACAGTATGTATGCCAATCATACCAATGCAACCAGTTGGGTACAGTCTAGCAATACGTACCCTCATTAACGAACCGCACGCCGAATTTGCACCTATATGACCTCGAGTGCAAGTACCAACAATGCATGGCTGAGATTCATACTATAGCTACATTGGCACGCGTGTTTTCTTCGCCTGCGGTCAGCGGAAGGTCAGCGAGGCGCAATAGGACCCCCCGCAGCGCCCATAGATCTCAGATACCGGTGCGGCCATAAACGGTCCCCGAAATTCGCCAACGTCCGATGCCCATGCGGACATGAAGGGCTCTGCGGACGCCCCAGGTTGCATCGCTATGCGGCCATACAGGCCATCGTGCTCGCACGTCAGATCGACGTGCGGACATATGGTGACCCGTTGGCCGACGTCAACCGGCGACCTGTCCCGGCAAACGAACTTCCTGTGTGGGCTCTGTGCTCTTGCGCTCCCCCGAAATGCTCAAGTTAATGCCTAGAGTTGGCCGGCGTGCGGCGCATCAGTCTTCCGCACTCGTATGCCTCGATCCTCCATTGGTAAGTGGGGTACACTTTCGAGCCATACTGATTCGCATCCAACCCCATTATAGATGGCAGAAATGCAACTACGAGCGTATACGTGTCTAAAAAGCCTCGAAGATGGCCTACCAATAGGCAGGCCTCGCTATCCCGGCGAGTGCTTTCCCCACGTTTCCGCATCTGCCCACTAAACGTACAGTACTTGCATAGGCCCCTTGAAAGTCACTGCACTGTACCGCTGTGGCCGCCATGATGCCCGCGGGGTTCACCCCTCTCTGTGTACCCGGAGCGAGGGAGATCGCTATTGAGTGATAATATACGGCGTAGTAGGGCATGTGTGCGCGCATTTCATTCTAAGCGTGCGTGTCCGTTGAATCTGCATGCTGTAACAACAGAGAGCTGAAATTCTGACTGTTCCGGGTTTGCTTACGAGGCGCTCAAATCTGTCAACGCCCATACGACCGCGGTTCATCGAACTTCACGCACCTCTTGCCGACGGTGGTAGCATGTCGATCTTGCAACCTCCCGGCAATCCACGCCGCGAATCTACTCCGTCAGCCACTATGTACTACCGTCTTGGAGCCTGCCGTCACGGGGTCACGCTCTCGTGACGGGCAACAGCTCACCTTGTGAGTTCGTCGAGCTCCGCGATGTGGTACCTACATGAAGGCCCTCGTCGCCAAGAAACTGCTGTGAAGGGTCTCTGCAGGCTCCTGAGGCTGGAACGGAACGCAAGCATGGGGCCGATTGCAGATATTGTCTGTTCTCTGGGGGATTCAAGCCCAGATCGGGACAGTTCGCGGATTCGGCAAATTCAGATGAAGGGAATGTCCATCGCTAGTTCTTTCTTGTACCCGCTATCGTTTCAAGCACACAGAGGGCGATTGAATTTTTTTTACGAGATTTTAGCGATTTTTTGTATGTTACATCGGCCATGCGGACGTTTTTGAGCCGATTTTGGCAGCTCCGAGACCGGTGCGGACACAGCAGGGTCAAAATCGTGCGGACATTTTGGCCTGGATCTCGGCCATTTTGTATCTGACATGTGTGCGACTTGCTGGGGGTCCTGGCGCAATCGACGATAGGGTAGCGCCGGTGTTGAGTTCGGCCCGATGCATCTCAGAAGCGGTCCGCTCGACTCTCGACCAACCCTCGACAGCCGGGCCGACTCTGTACGCGCACTCGACACATTGACTCGTCCTCCGAGTCCTCTGAGTCCCTCTTGAGCTTGACGAATCCTAGCACAGTGCCTTCTGTCTAGCATGAGGCTTCCGCGCGGCAAAGCTAGATTGGTGAGCACCTCCCTCAAGAGTGACAATGTCTGCGAGCTCACTGGCTACCGTTTACAATAGCCGCACGCTGAGGCGCAAAGCGTACTCAATCCTTCTTTGAGCCGCACTCGTTATGGACCATTTGCGACGCACACAATGGATAGACTCGCAGACCCAGATTCCAGCGGTCGCAAGGAGTGAGCACTCTTACAATGGCAGGCGTGCGCTTCTCACACCGGTAGCACGCGTGTAGGCACGTCGTGAAGAATCCTGCGACTGGTGAAGACGTTGCAACGTACGTTGTACATTTTGTGCTCAACTTATATGCCTACGGTTGATTTGCAGAGTTGTCATGGCGAATGTGGAGGACGCACAGACCACGATATACGACGCACATCAGAATTTCAGGTCTGGCATATGGTCCAAGGCACCAGCGCTCGAGCGTGCTACAGTGCTTTCCAACCTCGCTGGTATTCTTTCAATGCGCATGGACGAATTCGCGTATCTGGAGTCCATGCAAACTGGGAGACCAATCAGGGAAATGAAGGCACAACTCAGTCGTCTTCCAGAGTGGCTGTTAGTTCCGCCTTCCGTCATCGCATTGCAGTCCTATGTGACCGACTTTTAGTGAATACTTCGCAGCAGCAATCAGGACACATCAAGGGTTCATCGCACCGACTCAAGGCCAGCTACTCAACTACGTGCAGCGTGTCCCCCTTGGTGTGGTAGCGCAAGTAACGGTGAGTGTTATCATGCATGAGCTTTGTGCCAGCCTAACCAGCCGTGTGTAGCCCTTCAACCACCCGCTTCTCATCGCGATCAAGAAGCTCGCGCCAGCTCTGGCAGCTGGGAACACCGTGATCGTGAAACCTAGCGAAGCAGCGCCGCTGTCGATACTGCAGTTCGCGGAGCTGTCCGTGATAGCTGGCGGTAAGTGCCCATTCTCTATTCATAGGCCTTGTCGACAACGTTCGCTATTCCAGTCCCTCCCGGAGTCTTGAGCGTGCTGCCGGGTTATGGACGAACCATTGTCCCCGAGCTTGCGTCACACCCGCTTGTAAGGAAGGTTGATATAACGGTGAGTCGTTGCCGAGTTCAACCTGGGAGCGTTAGTTGACTTTTCACGATAGGCAGGCACAAAGACAGGCCGCGTTGTTGGCAAGCTTGTTGGTGCCAATCTAGCGGGGTACACGGCCGAACTAGGCGGAAAGGTGTGCAGACCATCACTCGTGACGAACCAAGCATCCCTGTTAAACACCACTGTGCAGGCGCCTATTGTTGTCTTCAAAGACGCAGACATCCAGGCTGCAGTCGCAGGTGCCGCATTCGCTTGCTTCATAGCTTCTGGTCAGACCTGCGTGTCGGGAACGCGTCTAATCATTCATAATGATATCTATGATGAGTTCATGGAACAGTTCTTGAAGAAGGTAGAGAGCATAACCGCCAGAATGGGCAATCGTACGTACTCCGGCTACTACCTATTGCGGATGAATTGACACATGGGATGTAGCATTGAATGAGAAGACAATGATGGGAACTGTCATCAACCACGGCCAGATCGAACGCATCGAACGCCTGCTACAGCGTCCGTACATTGGGAACATTCTGGCCGGCGGCCGGAGACTCACAGGGATATCCCCCCTCGACGGGCACGACTTCTCTAAAGGCAGCTTCTTCCCACCGACTGTCGTCTCAGACGTGCAACTCGAGGATGACCTCTGGCAAGAAGAGATCTTCGGTCCAGTCGTGGTAGTCAAGCGCTTCTTCGTGAGCACGCTGTCGCTTTTTCAGCCCCGCTACCGGTGGACTTGACGCGTCTGTGGTTCAGGACGAGTCAGAAGGTGTCGAACTCGCGAACGCATGCAAGTATGGCCTTGGCGCAGGCATCTGGACCAACGACCTTTCCCGAGCTCACCGCGTAGCGGCTGAGATTGAGGCAGGCCTGGTGTGGGTCAATACCCACCATCGGAATGACCCTAGTTCGCCCTGGTGAGTCGGATCGACATCGATGTGTTTTCGTGATCTGATGAACTCGAGTAGGGGAGGCATGAAGCAGAGCGGCATCGGCAGGGAGAACGGTCTGGAGGCCCTGGATGCTTGTGCGTCATCTTGTATGACGATGGTTCCAAAGCTAATATCCCTTGTCAGACTCGCAAAGCAAATCGACGATAGTCAACATTGCGTCTTCAGAGGAGACTCGAGCGGCGATTGACTGGTTTGCGGAAGACGATGCACTGGAGAAGCGTTATGGCTGATGGCCGTATGTCCCTACCTATCCCAGTCTCAGGCTGGAGCTGGCGAGCGTGCAATTCACATTGTACCTTCTATGATTACTCAGTCGACGGGTGCTGTGAGTATAGTCGACATTCATTTCAGTGGGTCAGCAGAGGCACGTCGTCACTGATGCAGAGTCGACTGCATACGAGCGCCGTCTCTCGTCACTTTGGATAGTTACTCTCACCGACCATCTGTGGCCGAGACTGTGTTTCGTCAGCGTGTCCCTCGCACTCAGTGTTGAAGCCAAGCCCAGTCCACGCTGAAATGCCTCAGTGGATGTGATTGTCACCGAGGACTACATCATTGAGAGCTCCGATGTGCGTGTCCTCCAAATCCCACATGTACAGTGGACTGACGAGGAGCGCTTCACCGTCGTAATTAAATCCAGGGCACATTCGATTCGGCCAGACGCGTACTAGATCTGTTCGGTTGCATATGAGAGGGGTTGATTAGTGCTGCACGGAATGACGGGCTGCCGTCAAGTTGAAGGATCCTAGATCTCTGAGGGCGTCAGCTTGGTGCCGGATATCTGTCCCTTCATGCCGTTGTGCCATTCAGCCTATCCGTCGGTTGTACTTGTAAGTCAGCTCCCCGGGTTCAGGTACTCAAAAGATGCATTCGGCACAGCTATCTGCTCCACTGTGTGATCTAGATATCAGAATCGAGGTACGAAGGATTCAAGGACAAGCTGCCCAAAGGCTGCTTCTCTGACCCCGTCATGTCGAAGGGACTGGTCAACAGAAGACAACAACGATAGGTATGCGGACGACCGGTGGTACGCCTCGGAAAAATGAGTCATGCATCCGGATCATTAGAGAGTAGTCACTGCTGTGGATGTATCCACGTATTCACGTTGGAAAGTACTTATAGGATGACCGTACACGATATTCGGAAAGGGTTATATGAGCGCCAGGTCTGCGTATACTGTACAAATCCTATGGGGTCCGCAGATGTAATGTAACAAGGTAGATGATCACTATGCCGTTGTCTTCACTGCCTCTTTGTGTTCCGCCTTGATGTTCATTAGCAACGGATGACCATAGCATACACGCAAGTGACCTACCTCAGACAGCTCTACAGGCGGCTCATCTATGAAGTCTGGGGTCTTATTGAGATCTGCCAGGTACGATGGACCTTCTTCTTCGACGTCCAGCTCCAGGGCGTCGAGCTCTGCCACGATGTCATTGATAAGTTATTGCAGGCGATCATGACTGACTGTACGTACCTGCTTGCAGGTCGGCTTCGTCTATCTCGTCGGGTACCGCGTATGAGCGTCCAAGCGACTCTTGGATCTCGTTGGCTTGCTCCAATAGATCCTCCATCTCGTAGTGTATGTTCTGGCCCGATGGTATCGACCGCTGTACTGCGACAAAGCAGAAGTAGGACGGCTTACCTCGATCTTGTCGATGTCGATCTTTCCGTACTGCTTCTTCATTTCCTTGTTCGCTTGCTTCATAGCGTCAACTGTCGCCATTGTGTTGCGCAAGTTCTCTGTAGCGAGTGCAGCAGACTCCATGTTGAATGTCTGCTGGGTGAGTTGCGCCAACTGTGACTCGTACATCCGCTTCTGCTTCAGAGTACGAAGGGCACGCTCTTGGATTGCATTCTGAGACGCGAAAGCAAAGGTCTCACATGAACACGCGCTACCACAGGCATAGACGGTCGACGTACCTTTCCGGGGCCGTTCCGCAGCTTGCTCATCTGCTCCTTGTACCGTGCAAGCTCTCCATCGAGTTTCTTGATCTTGACTTCAACCGAAGCCATACGTGTGTCTGTCTGGCGTTGTCGCCTCGATCAGATATGGGCGGCCAAGCTGCAGGATCGTACTGACGGATGAAATGGCATCTTGAAGGTTCGGCTTAGGTTTCTTGCTTGACGAGGATCCAAAGATGCGATTCATGCTGAGCCAGGTACTATATGAGGTGTACAATCCAAGGGTCGTGTTCCAGGAGCTTTGGTTCACAAATTCTGGTGCGCGAAGTACAAGTCTGAGCCTGGTCGCTGTTGTGGCTGCGAGTCTGCGGTGGCTACGGCGTTCTCCGGCTCGATCGGGGCGCACTTGTTGCTTTATCAGGCAATCCCTCTGCCCGGCACTTGGTTCAAGCTGGCGCTACTCACCGTTTCTTCAAGCTGCGTCCACCTGCATGCATGCACGGCCAGCTCTGGCAAGCTATCACGGCAGTCTGCTCAATGACAGAACCTACTCGGGTGCTCACCTGCTCCAATGCCGTTGCTTGGCCCGGCTTGGCGTTTATTCCTTTCATCCCTGTGCTAACGTTTATATAGAATCACTTATCGCAGCCTTGATACGTGAGGGCCCTTCGGTGTGTATCTCATCAGACTCCAGCGACTCCAGCCGCACACAGGACATAGATTCTCCGACGGCTCCCAGGCATGTTCCGCATGTTGCAGCCGCTGCTCCATTTCCCGGCCCAGGGGTGACAGATTAGATAGGCATGTCTCAGAACCCGGCGAGTCGTAGAAGAGAAGTCTTATAGCAAGTTGCCTCGAGCACACGGACTCTTCGTCTCACTCGATCGCACCGCTTCTGACGATCCTCAATGAGCGAGATGCCCGACCCCGTCGACTACCACTTGCGCAACGCGTCCCGGCGGGATGTGGCGCGGTCCCTCTCAAGATCCGAGTCCATTGACGAGAAGAAGACGGCCACGGTCGAGGTCGACGAGAAGGATGTTGCTGTCGACGATGTCTCCATGGATGACATGGACTACAAGGACGAGGCACTGAGGCTAGTGGGTATGGAACGAAAGGTGCAGTTCACCGACGAGCAATACTTGAAAGTGCGCCGGAAATTGGTACGCAGATCGCGCACGCGCTTTTGCCTGTCTCATGACAATTGTTGCCTTAGGACCGTGTCATTCCACCGTTATGCGGTGCGGTGTACTTCACGCAATATTTGTGAGTGCCGAGTTTGACGCGTTAGTACTAAATTGGGTATTGACCGATATATACTGCTTCAAGGGACAAGACGGCGCTGAGTTACGCGAGGTGAGCTTCCCAAGTCAAGCGCATGAGAATTCTTACTCAAGTATATTCTACAGTATCATGGGCTTCCCTGTGACAGGTCAAGGCTACAACATTGTGGCGTTCTCCTTCTACATCGGTATGTGGTATTCATACGAATCGGCCCGGTTATCCCTCAATGCTGGCTCCAGGCTTCTTCGTATGGGTCTTCCCGACGATGTACATATCTCAGCGTACCCGTTTGGGAAAGTACTTGGGATTTAACATCCTCGCGTGGGGAGCAATCATGATGCTACATGCTATCCCCAAATCATTTGCTCCTTTCTTCGTATTGCGACTGCTTCTCGGTACGCTGTTCAACTTGGCTATCTCTACAACGGCTCGGTCTGAAGTATGAAAACAGGGGCACTGGAGAGTTGCGTCGCACCTATCCTTATTCTCCTAGTGTCTATGTTCTACAGGAAGGACGAACAGGTTTGTCGTATCTTGGATTGAACGTGGTAAATGCTGAACTAGCTGTTAGGCCTCCAGGATTGCACTCTTCTACATGATGGTGAGTCCTGCCGTCCAATTTACAGAGAGGCTGTCTAATGCACTCCAGAATGGCTTGTCCGCTGTGTTTGGTGGTTTCGTGGCCTACGTGGGTACAAGCGAGTTTCATCAAGGGCATATCTGACTTCCCGGACCTCATAGGGCGTGTCATACACCAGTAATCCGTCCATTCCATCTTACAAGATAGTTTACCTTCTCCTTGGTGGCATGGCTATCATTGTCGGTTTCTCAGTGCTTATCTGGATGCCCGACTCCCCCGCGCACGCGAAGTTCCTGAGTGAAGAGGAGAGGATCGCCGCCATCGAGCGTATTCGCGATGACCAAGGCGGGACGGAGAACAAGAAGCTCAAGAAGGACCAGCTGATCGAAGCATTCACCGACATCCGAACCTGGCTTATTGTCCTTTCTACGCTACTGAGTGCGGTTTGACGCAGTTCATGCCCATACGTCGACTAACCACACTTTACGCAGCGAACATTCCCAACGGTGGTCTTGCGAACTGTAAGCATCGTCATTGTCTCGTGATTTGCTTACTGAAGGACGTCTGAAGTCAGCAACATCATTGTGAAGGTAAGCGCTCCTTGGGACCGCTTTCGTGACCAAGTAGCTCACTGCTGTTCAACGCTAGGGATACGGCTATACGTGTGTTCAAATTCGCTGGCATCTCGCCCCCCAATTGACAACAAGCATAGCACGAAGGAAACCTTGATTCTCACAGCTCCTAGCGGCGTGATCGGGTTTTTCACGACTATTATTGTTGGGTGGTGGTCCGACAGAACAGTGTGTTATTTCTCTAAGCTCCTCTTGCATATTGCCTGACGAGAAGCTTTAGAATGAACGAATGCTGCCGATTGTCTTCATACTCATTCCCACTATAGTCGGCGCGGCATTGTTGGTCGCCATGAATGGTACCCATGACAAAGGGGTCATTCTATTCGGTGAGCAATGTTTTGCGAGTATTATATTCAGGTCGTCTAATATTCTACTCATTGAAGCGGTGTATATTATCGGTACCTATGGATCATCACTCTCCCAGATCTATGCCTACAACGCAAGTAACACAAGTGGTCACACGAAGAAGGTCACGATCAACGCCATGACCCTGGCTACATTCTGCGTCGCCAACATCGTCGGGACGGAGACTTTCCAGCCAAAGGACGCGCCAGGCTACCTCCCAGGGAAGATATCGATTCTCGTTCTTCTCAGCGCGGAGATCTTCCTCTGCTTGTTCATGCGGTGGTACAACCTGCACCTGAACAAGAAGAAACGGGGAGTTATCGCGCAATTGAAAGAGGCGAACGGGTGGTCTGATGCAGATGTTGAGAGGGAGAGGCAACGTCATGCCTTCATGGATATGACGGACCAACAGTACGTATCACCCAGCGTGACGATTCCTCGAGTTGACAGATGCTGAGAATAATCTAGGAACCCATACTTTGTGTACACGGCATGAAGACTCGCCTCACCTTGGCTGGTGTTGCACGAGACAGATATTAGTATACGTGTGTGTGGGAGTGAGAATGGAAATGTAGACAGAATGGCAACTTAAATGAGCGCGGTTGTCGGCGGACAGTGCCGCTGCGTGTTCTTCACACCAGGACTCAGACAGCGAGGGCGTCTGTCAGTGTCACTACGCTTTAGGCAAGTGGTGTGTTCAACACGGCGCGCATCGCCGCTCTCTTGGCTCCAACACCTCACTCGTCTCGCCTCCCGGGACCGCCTACAACTTGCGTCGAACCCCATCTATACGTATGCAAGGACAGAAGAAGCCCTTTGATACCGAGGTGGCGCCCCTTCTTGCCGCAAACCTGCAATCCATCCCTGCCGCGACTCATCCAGACAAGGCGAGGTTCATCCATGACTTCATAGAGTCGCAGCGGCAGTATCTCGCCCGTTATACTAGTGAAGGCCGCACCGTTATCACTGCTTGGGACCGTGACTCACCTGCCGTGGGAGGTACTCCGACACGCAAGAATACATCTAGAGAAATCTTGGCTTCAGCGTTCGATACACCAATCCTGAAACCCCGCGTTCCGTTAGCACTGGATGTCGAGTCGGTCGTCCCGTCTCATGGCGAGATTGAAGCCTCAGCTGGATGTGCCAAAACATCCCGATCGAAGACCCGACGATCGAAAACCTCCGAAACGCCAGAGCAGGTCATCTGGTCCCAAAGCCAGAAAGAGAACGTTCCCAAAGCGGGCTCAAAGCGTCGCTCGGAACACAGAGGACATGCAGAAATCGACAAAGCAGTGCCTGGAACTGTGAACAAGCAACTCACTCTCGACCGATACGCTACCAAGGCGGAGGCAAAGTCCAAGCGGACCAGCAAGAAACGGCAACACAGTCCTGACGCGTCAGATCCCGAGCACTCCACGAGTCTGTCTTCATATCGTCGATCACGAAAACGCATTGATGTTGTCGCTCCCCAGGGCTTGCTGAACGGCGAGAGCGAAGGCGTACGAAACGAGCTATCGTAGCACCCAAAGGCCTCGTCGCCGCCTTGAGTGACGGAGAGAGCGACTCCACTAGTGGAAGACGGGAGGTCACGAAGGGCAAGAGAAAAAAGAAGAGTACCTCTTTGGCCGCCGGTCTAGCCCTCATGCATGGCTTTACTGCGAAGAATATCGGAAAAAATCGACTCACGGTATCTATATGTGCTGCCCACAGCTCACTCGCAATAGCTGACCAAAGTATCCATATCCAGACCCAACCAGAACAGCGAAATGGGGTTTTTGTCAAGGGGAAGGCGTCGGCGAACGTACCTGTGGCTCCATTCAAGACGAAGCGAGGTATGCAATGTCCCGTCTCGCTGGATGCTTGCTCAAACAAGACACTCTAGATGTCCTCTCCAAGGGTTTCTCTGAGAGCGACTTCCTGAACAAGACGAAACGTAGTCCCAGGCCCCGCGGAAACGCATTCGACGAGACGTCGGATAGTTCAAGTCGCCATCCAAGCTCAGGAAGCGACGTGGACTTAGAAGAGCCCGTACAAGGACGCTTGAAGCACCGCTCCAGTGAGAAGGCACAGCAGAGCAAGACGAACCATCTTCCGTCGGAGATCAACGAAAGCGGTCTTGTCGAGGTCGAGCAACAGTCCGGGACCTCAATCGCCCAGACGAAGAAGGGTACCACGAGATCCGCGTCGATTGTCTGGGACATCGAGATGGACGGCAAGAGTCTTCCCTCCGGCGACAGCGAATGTAACAGCGCCGACAAAGCGGAAGCTGGTACCGTCGTGCTCAATACGCAATCCAAGAAATGGTCGGAGACTTTGGCGAATCCGGCGATGCGGTCGACATCAATGATAGAAGGTGGTCAGAAAGAAGAGCAAGTCAAGAATCTCGACGCCACGGTTGATCGCAGCTCTGCAGTCTCCCTTCGCCCCTCGGAGTCTGCTTCGCAACTTCCTCGTTATCCCCTCTCGGCTGCAATCCAGCCCTCTGTGTCAAGATTCTTTGCACCTTTGCCAGTCACGCCTCTTGAACGTGCTCACGTCAATGCGCTATGTGCTGTTGAAGGAGAGACGGGGCCTCCGTCCTCGCCGCTACAATCCACGGTCCGTTTTAACTCGCCGCCCATCGAAGACTCGATGGAGCAATGCTGTCAGCCGTTGTCCCAGCTATCGAACGCACCGGAGGTTGTGGAATCCTTGTCATCGAATGCGGTGCCGCGGGCCGCAGTCCGCACCAGTCCAGCTTCCATCACTATGTCTGCCTTGGACCAGGAACTGTGGGCTCTTGACGACGGTGACTACGGTTTGCTGTATGCTGCTCGCAGGCAGGAGTCCAGCACACAGTACGTTTGTGAACAAGACGTGCAGCTCTCTGTCCTTCTGGAGTCACGAGTGAGTGCGCAGGACACGCGTCAGCTCTCGGATGGTTCGATGGACTTGTTCGACAACGCTGGACTTATACCTGAGCTGTCGGAGCTTGCTTTCACTGCTCCCGAGGTGCACCGCTGGTGCGGTCAACAGGAGCGTATGAATTGGCAAGAACAATACCTGGACCATGCTACGGTCGATGCCGACAGCGGGGCTAGCTGGCATGCTGACTTGTTCGACGGCGAGGTCCAATTCGAAGGCTGGAACGACGCAGTCGGCATCGACGAGACGGCCATGGTCCTTGGTTCTCAAATTGGTTCTGAAGATGCATTGTCATACGTGGACGGAGAAGTTGCAGAAGACGAGCTTTGTTTTTCTCTCTCATCGGACGAACTGCCCGACGGGGGCCACTGTGGTCGCGCACTGCGGGGTCAAATGACGAACTGGAGAGAGTTCTACGAAGGTGGAGGTGAAGAGCAAAACTCTGACGTACCATTACGACCGCAGACTGCTTCGTCGTGGTGCTCGGTAGCATCGGAGCCACCTATGTCTTACTCTCCAAGTGCCATCGCAAGCGAAGTATCCACGGTGGCGTCGCTGGTCCCGAAGTTCGATCAAGGTCGTGATCTGCTCCTGGGCCTCTCGGAGCAGAGCGACAACCGGAATCCCTATTCCATTGCCAACATCGAAGAGGATGTCGCACGAAGTCTACGTGGACATTGGTTGCCTCAGCGGTTGTAGTTATCGCGATATTTTTGTTCCAAGCTGGAGTGCAGAGCTTCGCATGCCGTGTTTTGCAGCGGCATATAACACAAGTCTTTTGCAGTAGTACTGTACTCTTCCTGTCTTCTGGAGAATACATACCAGTCGTCATGTACACTATATAGTACGTAACCGCATGGCCAACTGCTTGATAGCTTTGACCCAACTTTGACCGGCACAGATTGCAAATATGGAACAGCCGTGGCTTCTGCGTCGGGTGGCTTTGATTCGATCCATGGCCATATTTGGAATCGCTTGACGACCGTGAGTCAACCGAGCCACAAACGCGTCTGTGACGCGTCACCGTCGTGACCTAACGCGACTGTATCAAGCGCGTCTGCCCCTAACGCGCCTCCTACTTACAACTTCCATCTCGCCTCGAGCCACTGCAGTGCTCATTCGTACTCGACAAATCCCGAAAATCTAGAGACCTTTCTCAGTCCTCGCCATGAGCGCGAAGGAAAACGAGGCGTCCCGCGCGGTGAGTATGATCATGTCGCGGTTCCGGTCATGCTCTGAACGCCTTCAGAACGCGATGCCTTTCATCAAACCCGAGCCAGAGGAATATAAGATACTTGCTCCTGGAGTCTCTGAGAACTCTGCCGACGTGAAAAGTCCGGGTTACATAGTGAAACCGGAACCCGCAGAGGCTGGGCATGCCGTGAGTCGTCTAATAATTGTTACGCACATGGAAATCCTCACATATGCGCATAGGCCTTCGGCAGTTATAAGCCAGATCCTGACGCTGGCAGCGACGGTCTAGGTGCCCAAGATTACGGCGCAAATGGACCGCGGCTTCCTCCACGAGCTGCACCTCTGAGCAGAACCTCATCGAAGATCACGCAGCCTCTGTACAAGGTTTTCAAGTCTGTGGAGGAGATCAATTATCTGCCTGAGGAGGCGTTGAATGAGGGTCTGGGTATGGTCAAAACGATTAAGGCCAACATCAAGACCCTCGAAGTAGGCAGCAAGTTACGCAAGGAGGTCTGGTTGCGAGAGATAGAGAGGTAAGTAATCACCATAATTATCCCACCTGTGTCTCAAACCGAGCCTTTACAGTCTGCAGAGCCAAGGCGCGCCGACGACCATGATAGCTGTCTGCGGAGGTAGGCCCCTGTCAGCATATAGTCAGGTTATTTCGTGACTTATATGCGTCCTCTCAGCGACCGGCGCTGGAAAGTCGTCTATCCTGAATGCTATCCTCGACGGTAAGTCTTTGGCCCTATATTTGTCTGTAGCCATCTAACATACGTTCGTGATGTGTCTGTAGACAACATTGTGCCCACTAGCGGCATGCGGGCTTGCACGGCCGTGGTTACTGAGATTGCCTACCACGCGAAGAAGACGATCGATGCCGACATTTCCTTCCTGTCGGAGAGGGAGTGGAGAGATGAGCTAGCTGTCCTACTGAAAGACATGATAGATGAAGACGGCAACGTGAAACGTACTACTGACCTTCGTGGCGAGGCAGGAGTCGCTTGGTCCAAGGTATGCACATATATTAGCGCAGTGAATATCTTCTCATTGGGAAAACAGGTGCACGCGGTGTATCCCAAGATCACTCAGGACATGCTCGCGCACATGTCGGTTGACCAGATTATCGCACGCGAACCGAGTATGTGTTCCAAACAACTCGCTCCGTCTCGTCGTTTCCGTTGTCTAAGCCTATATTCCAGAAATCAGAGCCATCTTGGGGACGACAAAGCACGTATGTGCTAATGATTCGAAAACCTTCGCGAAGGAGGTGGCCAAGTACATCGACTCGAAGGAGAAGAAGCACGGGAAGAAGAACAAGAAGGACAAGGAGAAAGAGAAGGAAGCTTCAGGTAGCCTCATGGATCTGCTGAAGAAGGATAGCGGCAAGAAGAAGGACAAGGACGATGATGGTTCGGCCTATTGGCCGCTGATTCGGCAGGTGCAGGTGAAGTGCGACTCGCCTGCGCTGTCCACAGGAGCTATCCTGGTCGATCTCCCCGGTGTCGCAGACGCTAATGCAGCGCGAAACAACATCGCGAAGGATTACATGAAGAAATGCGATTGCATCTGGATTCTCGCGCCTATTACTCGTGCAGTCGACGACAAGACAGCGCGCGGTAAGTCTGAACGCCGACTTACCGTACCGCATACTGACCATCGACGTACTAGACCTGATGGGAGACGCATTCAGAATGCAGCTCATGAGTGCGTATATTATCTTGTATCGTCTCACATATATTGACTGACCTCGTAATTGTCAGTGGGTGAGTTAGACACGACTCTGCAAGGATGAAGTGCTGAAAGTGTACCCAATGTCAGATGGCGTCTACGACGATCATGCCATCACCTTCATTGGTCAGTCCTCTGGTTTCTGCGAAAAGTCATGGACTGACTTCTTCGTCTGAAGCCTCCAAGTGCGACGATGTCTCGTGCAGTGAAGTTATCCAAGCACTGAGCCTTGAGGATGAGCCTGAGCTCGAGGCAATCGAGGAACAGATTGGTCGGTGCAGGATAGAGACCAACGAATGGCGGAGGAAGAAGGCCGACGCCGAGGATTCCGTGAAAGGTCCGTGTCGGAAGGGTATTCAGTAGATGGTGAACTGACCTTATTGACAGACATGGAGGCGAAGCTGAAGGAGATACGCGCTTACCTTGCAGAGTACAAAGAGCACAAGACGGCGTTGAAGGATGGAGAGCCGTTTGTACCGCGGATCACCGCCAAGAGCTCAGGCAAGAAAGAGTCGACATCCAGAGGGAAGAAGCGCAAGAACCAGCGCGGCGGCAAGAAGGGGTCTTCCAAGAAGAGAAAGAGTAGCTTTGCGTCGAGCGACGAAGACCAAGATGACTTCATCGACGATGAATCGGACTTCTCTGAGCAAGAGTCTGACTCCGATTCCGAGAAAGAGTCCGACAAGAGCGACGACGACGACGAAGGCTCTGATGGGTCCGGCTCTGAGTCTTCAGACAAGGAGGACGAAGATGAGGAAAACCAAGATGGCGCTGAGGCTGAGGAGGTAACGGTGGAAAGCCTTGAACGCAAGATCAAAGAAGCCAACGACGCCATTAAGGCAGGCCGGACCGAGCTATCAGAGCTCCGCAAGCAGAAGAAGGAGGCCAACGACATGCTCGCCACCTTGAAGAAGAAGCAGACAAAGGTTCAAAGAGATAAGAACGCCTTCTGCTCGCTTAGGCGCTCGGAGGTGAGAACTCGTGCGACATGTCCTATGATAATCATCGCTCACAACACGTGCAGTTCTCTCGCGAGGTGCTCAAGGATGACTTCCGGCAAGGTCTCAAAGACCTGGATGGTATGTTGGATTGGCAGTACTTCGGCATTCCGTTGACTCACGCTGCCAACAGACGCCGCCGCTGAAGAACGCGACCCGGATAGCTTTGACCCAACGAGGAACATCCGTGGTACGCAGACCTTCCTTGGCTTACCCTTACAACATGACATTGATTGACGCGCTTTCATAGACTATTCTGCTATCAATCTCCCTGTTTTCACATGTTCGGCGCGAGACTACGTGCGCATCAAGGGTACGTAAATGTCATGCTAGTCGTGCATGTGGCAAGCAATAACCCGGGCATCACAGGGCAAGTCAAGGGCGACGGAGATCCTTCGTGCTTCTGCAAAGTCGAGGACACTGGCATCCCCGACCTGCAGAAATGGTGCCACAGGCTCACCGTGGCCTCCCGCGAGCGCGCCGCGCGCAACTTCCTCAACCACCTGAAGACCTTCGCCAACGGCGTCAAGTCGTATGTGGAGGGCATCGGCGACGTCACCGCCGCCGACCGAGAGTCGATGCGCGAGAAGTGGGAGTCTATGCAGGATGAGGATGACGACCCGATGGACGGGATGCACTACGGCGGTGGCTGGGCCAGTTCCGACCCCATGGACGACATGGATGGGTTGGATCCCTACGCGCTCGCTGGTCTGCCCCGCGCCAATCTCTACAGGATGCAAGAGCCTGCCGCTCCCAAGGTTGACAAGCGTGGAGATCCCGTCGGTATTGTGCCGCGCTTGGTGAAGGTACGCTTGCGTGCATACCACGATGTAGTCTGACGCAATCTGACTTTGCACACAGGAATTCAAGCAGGTCATCGAGGAGTGCGTCCAAGGCCTGCAAGATCGCTTCAGAGATGGACTGGAGGAGAAGTGCAAAGTCGGCGCCGAAAATGTGCGTGTATATGCAGTGACTCTTGTAGCTTTCACTGATTCTCCCGTAGGCATCTTCTGCTGCGGTGGAAACCTCAGATGTCTTTGCGGCTTCTATGCACTGGGCTACTTACCGAGCCAGTAAGCCCATTAATTCCTCTGTGATGTCTCACAGTCTCTGAACATAGCTCTTTCATCCAGCTTTGAGGCGCCACGGGTCCTGGCGACAGGATTTGAATGTCGAACTCACGAACCCGTTCACGCGACAGATCGCTAGCTCGTGGCAGAAGGTCTTCGAGGCGGACCTCTTCGCCTCGTTCGAGAAGTCCACCCTTACCGTGATTGACAACCTTTTGCACGACGTCGAGCAGTCTGCCGCGTCGGGGCTGAAGGAGCGCGCGCGGGGCCAAGGCGAGTTGTGCCTTCAGGAGGCGAAGATCGCGCTGCAGAAGACGCTAGACGTCGTTCGTGACACGGTGACCTCGCAACAGAAGGAGACGAGCCGGTGCCTCGCACCCCACATCCAGGAGCAGCTGTTTGATGGCTACGACGCTGCCATGGAGGAGCGCGGGACTGGCAGCGTCGCCCGGCAGAAGGTACGCACCCCTCCCTCCCTACCACGTGTTATTCCCGCGGAGCGGCCACGATGCTGACGCCTGGCGCGCTCTTTGCTACAGGCTGTGTTCCACAACTACGTGGGCGACATCAAGGACGAGATGTTCAATGGCGCGGTGGACGTGCTGTTCGGGCGCCTGGACGCTGCGGCGGAGGCAGTCGGCAAGGCGCTCGAGGAGGCGTTCGAGGCGCTTGCCCAGAAGGTGCGTTCGACATCCATATCCCACCCCTCCGCCGACGCCAGTCCCCGCTGCGCGCGGGCGGTACTGCACTGTGTGGTGCCTTGTCCGTTGATGTTTCATGTGCTGACGACCCCCGCGTTGTTGTTTACAGATCGAAGTCAGCATTGCGGTGCTGTGGGAGGGCGTCCGCGACGACCCTGCGCAGGTCAAGGCGCGCGAGGCGGTGATCGCGAGCATGACAGAGATGATTGAGCAGGTGGGCCTCTGGCAGCAGGCGGACACCGTGCGGCAGCCGCCCGCAGGTGCCATGGATGAGGCGGAGTGAGCTTTGTGCTCACTAGCCCTGACTGTGTCGTTGCTGGCAGACCAAGGTAACTCCTCGCGCCGTGTGACCTCTCCCGGCAGAATTGCTGGGAGTGTCAGCGTCTCGTGTGCTTATGCTTAGATCCCCCATGCAGTTTCGTTTCACTCTTACATTATCCATTATTACACGTATTCGTCGTGCTTTGTCTTCCTCTCGTGCTCTCGTCCAATTCTCAGTATGTGCATCGTATGTTTTGAACCGGTACCCTATGCGAAGATTAGTCGTACAACTGCTACCATACCCCTTGTGCGGACCGTCTGCGTATTTGCTTGCCCCTCTTGCCAATGATAGTGTACCTTTCCCCTTGATAGAGCTTCTCGCATGTTGTTGCTTAGCGCTTGAGCTCGAAAGAGGATCCTAGCTTGCTATAGACGTACAAGAAGTTGCTCCTGTAATAGATCGATCCCTATATGCTTGTTACACGAGGCCTTGGACCTGTGTCATAGTCTGAGACTCTCGCCGGGGGCGACTGAGAAGCCTGAGGGACATAAGGGGTAAGAAGATTGCCATAAACTGACGATCTGCGGGCCTGTGCCGCGTTGAATGGCAGAGTATCAACATCAGACTCACATCCCCAGGTCGTCGTTCTCCTGGGAGACCGGAGAGGTGGTGATACATTGTGACTCGCCTCGTGTATCACAACTTGCTACGCACGTCCAGTAAGATTGTAACCCCTGTACAATGACAGTCACGGTACTTTGTGCTGGCGACAGTGGTATCTTTGGCACGGCAAGGCCATCATGGGAGGCCGTAGTGCATCTAGCCAGGCCTGTCTATCTGACTGACTGAATCCTCGATGGCGACTCGGACTCGGAGATATTCCAGTACCTTCGTGGCAGAATGTACAACCCTTGCCACCAGTGCCACCACTATGTACGTACGCCATGCCGTGCTCAGTCCCGCTTGCCTTGTGAGGCCAAGTGCGCAACAATAATATTATCCGCAAGCTGTGCGTCCCAGGTCGCCCGGCACGCCGCCGGATGACGTTACAGAGTGAAACTATAACATGCCGGCTCAGTGCTCTCCCCGCGCGCCACGATAGCCACGAGGCGATGTTAGTGCGCCGAGTCGGACGCACGCTAGGCATGGAATGACGTCGTGCGGTTCGGGCGTATCATCGACGTCCGCGCCCGCAGCGAACCCCGCCCGATGCGCGCCCGGCCCGCGCCACGCCGGGTGCGTCGGTACCGAGCACGCCGTTTGAGTTTGCGTCCGCCGCCTGATCGATGCAGGTGATGTGCGCCGTCCCACTTCGGTCTCACTCCTCGGAGACTGGTTGGTCTGAGTCCAATTTTGATTGTATTTGTCCGGGTACGTGTTACTATTACAGGGCAATGCAGAGGGACACCGACGACGAGGTGCGCCAGCAATAACCGTACACACACTACCTCGTGGCCCAACGGAATACAGTACAGCGTATGCGTAATTGCGAATGAAGTTTTGGGTAAGATGGATGTGAATCGGGTAAGATGGATGTGAATCATTACGTAGATGTGATGGGGCGCGAATGTCATGAAGTCGTGAGCGCACGTCCTCGCACCATAGGGGCGAGTTAAATACCAGCGGGTCGTCACAGACATGAGAGCAATAACGTTAAGAAAGAGCAAAGCAAATGCGAGACGAAGCAAGACGGGAAACCGGGGCCGTCATAAATCAGAATAAAGGGGGCGTAACGAAGAGGCGGTGTATGACAGCCCCGACCACGGGAGGAGGCTCGCGGGCACCAGCACCCGCGAGCCGTCGCGTCGTCGGAGCCACTCGGTGGTCCCGCCACGGACGCGCCCTTACATGTGGTAGACGGGCCGGCCCTTGTAGTCGACGCTCTGACCGGTGCGCGCGTCGATGTAGTACGCGCGGTGCGAGGGCGGCATGCCGAAGAGGTGGCGCAGGCGGTCGCCCAGGCCCGGTCCCCCGACGGACGAGTACCTCCGGTGCTGCTGGTACGCAGGCTGGCTGATGTGGTGTGTGCTCTGTGGGTGTGCACGCGTCAGCACCGCGTCGGACGCGTGAGCGCGGTGGGGGGTACGTACGTGGCTCGGCGTCGAGACGATGACCTGCGGCTGGCTATGGTGCCGCGAGTGCGAGTGCGAGCGCGACGTTGAGTGCGAGCGGCGGTGGGAGCTGTTGTGCCCGTGCGAGGACGAGTGGCTGCGGTGGTGGCTTGGGGAGCCGTGGTGGTAGGAGTGGCTCGTGCTCGCGCGGCGGGAGCGGGAGTAGCCGTCGTGGTAGGGGGTGCTCGAGGTGTGCACGGTGGTGTAGACGGGCTGGGCAGCCCCGGCCTGCGGGTACTGGCTCTGGCCGTAGGAGTAGTACACTTGGGACTGCTGGGCGGGGGCGGGGGAGTACAGTTGGGGACGCTGGGCGGGGGCGGGGGAGTGCACGTAGGACATGGAGTGCGAGCGGGGTCGCTGGTAGCCGTTGGGGACGTAGTACGCGGGCATGGCTGTGGGTGTCCCGATGGACGGGGTGGCGAGGACGTGCTGGGCGTAGGACGGAGTGGCGAGGGGCTGATGTACGACGGCGGGGGAGGCCGTGTGGACGTAGGACGGGGTGGCGAGGGGCTGGTGTACGAGGGCGGGGGAGGCGGTGTGGACGTACTGGGTCTGCACGAAAGGCGTGTGGACTGGAGCGGATACGAAGGTGGCCATCCTGGGCGCACTATAAGTAGTTGGGGGGCGGGGTGGAGGTGTGGAGAAGACTGGAGAAGGTGGCCATTTCGGGGCGAATATAAGCACATTCTGGCTAGGACGGGCGGCGAGAGTGGCGACCCCCATCGCCATCGGGATCACCAGCCACATCTCAGATCTCTCGCTCACCGCCTCAGCCAGCTGCTGCTGCCAGCCCACCACCCGGCCATCGCCCCGTCGCCCTGCTAACCAGCACAGCCAGCCCTGTCCTCCAGCAGTCCTCCCTGCCGTCCGTGCGCCCGCCTCGTCCGCCGGAAATGCTCCGCGGGATCGACAGAACACGCGCACCGCCGCCCGTTCCATGGTCGACGTCCCCGCGCAATTGCTGACTGTGCATCACCAGAACACGCCCTGCCAAGGGACCCACCACTTATCGCACCCCGAGCCTCAGATCGCAGAAGCGGATTGCATTCAACGCCGCTGCCAACACGTCCACATGTCTACCGGCCGCTCCCATCAGCTCCCAGCCGCGAAAGTCCGCCAGCCACACGTGTGCGCCGGCCTCCCTTCTCCCTCCCGCTTATCCTGCACGCCTCGCCTCGCCCAAACGAACTGTCTCGCCCATACGTAGGCTAGAGCACGGTGGAGGTCGCGCGCACGACGCGTGGCTCCCGCAGCCCGGAGGGCACTCGCAGGCCGGTTCCATTGTCAGCCGTACACCATCCGGAGGACAATTTGCCCGACACTGCATGCTCGGTGGGTTCATTTCTCATGCGTGGAAGGCCGGGTTATGTTTGGGTGGACTATTCTCACTACTAGCGCGGCCTGTGCACACCGTAGCCTGAGCCACGGATATTACAATGCTTCCCTAGCGCTGTGTACGTCCTGGCGATACTCCTTTCGACCGTCTCTTTTCACGTGCGCAAAAATTAGGTACAACCGCCACGCTCCGGCGAAGAAGCCTGAGGCCTTGCGTTCGGCCGTAACGGCCTCGTTCTCGCGCTGCGCGGCATATTTACATGCCCCTTTTCTCCTCAAACGTGGTGCGTTTTGTGTTTGGTCTCTGCGGATAGCTCGGTGGACGTCTTCGGGCACACGCACCCTCGAGTGCCACAGGCAGACTTGTTCTCGGTGAGCGGTCGCCTTTTTCGCGCGGTCATGGGTGCCTGTTTAGTCGGGCCCGCATCGAGGGTCGCCGCAAAGCAGTCCCCCCTTGTCACTACACGTCAGCCACATACAAGAGCCGTGTATTCGCGCGACGCGCTCGCGTCATACTCAAGGTTACGCTCTCCATGATACAGCGCACGCGCCCACCTTATCAGCCTCTACTGAATTCCCCACACATACGTTAAGGCTGAGCCTCTCCACGCCACGACAAGCCTGCCGAACGACCTATCGCCCACGCGTCGGGCGCAGGTGGCCCTATTTATGGGCGCCTCCGGACACGCGCAGCGGTACAGAAGAACACGGTCTGGCCAAAGACAGCCTCGGCGAAGCCGTGGCGCGAACACATACGTAGGATCGTCAGTCGTCCTAGATCAGCAAGCGCTGTGGCAATTCACCGATCGCACTGACGGATCCGCCCCACTGGTACCTCTCCTCGTGTTTGTTGAATGCCATCTCCGTGGCCACGATACGGCTGTTCGCACCACCGCTTCTATGTATCAAACCACACCACCAAATACACCCTGCCAATTCGAGCGTAGTCCCCGGCCACTAGAGCGTGCTCTGCGAACACCTGAGGCCAGTCACAGGCGGTTGTCCGTCCTAGCATGCCGTCGCGTCGGAGGATTGCAAATGTGTTAAGAGATGTGTACGTGTACTTTTAGTCCGGTCTCTCACAGCTATCGCATCCACGTCCAGAGATAGGGGAGAGGAGGCGCCGGGCGAATCGTAGTAAAGCCTAAGGGTGTGAAGGGTCGGGCACGCCGGCGCGCAGAGAGCCAAGTTACTCCATATCCACGAAGTCACCCTCGTCGAGGTCGTGGGGCTGCAACATGCACAACACACAAACAGGGGCGTCGTGCATTGGGAGGCGCACCAGGGCGAGCGAAGGATGGCGAGGGCGGAGCGGCGAGCGGAGGCGGGGGTACACATACCATACCGAGCGTGGATCGAGCATTGAATGGACATACAACAGACGTCGGAATCAGAGTTGCCTTACGGAGAATACTAGCGAGTTCACGTACCTCCTTGGGTTCCTCGTCTTCCCCGTACTGCATCGTGTAGTCTATGTGGCTCAGGACGGTCTCAATCGAGTCCGGGTTGGTCAGGTCGAGCGGCATGAAGGATACCAGCGGGTGGTCCTCGATCTATCATCAGCAACATTCAGGGTGAGCAGTTCGATATCGGCGCGCAATTTCACCAGCGTGATCGTCAGTTTGTCCGCCACCACCGGTGCGACGGGTATGTATAGTTGGTGGCAACACAGCCCGGGCGTGATGGGATCCCATTTGGAGTTCGCGCATCAACACCCAACGCGACAGCGATAGGTGTCAGCGATACAGCGTCCGAGGTCGGCGTTGGGCGTCGAATGTCATCAGTGTTGTGCGCCGTCAGTGTCAGGTGTCGCGGGTTGCCATCCATTCAGTGATCGTGATCGAAACGAAATGCGTCAGGGCATCTATTAGCTTCCGTCGCTGGGCAGGTACGGAGGCGGGTGGTACACGTACGAGCTGGACGATCGCCTGGTTCAGCGCGTGGAAGCGCGAGTTGCGCTCGGTCTTCTCCTCGCGGCTTCCCGGCGCAGACACGAGTAGCATCGGGTCTGGGTCCAAGAACCTGTATGGCAGGCAGAGGTGAGTTTGTGTTCTGACTATCGATGCGGCGTGGACGGAGGATTGGAGATATTCTCTCGGCTGTAAGACGAGCGGTCTTGCTGATATCAGGGTTAGGACGCTAACCGTCGTGCGTTCCTTTGTTCTAGTATGAATCTGCGTCCGTATGCAATTGGTATTGCGGACAGCGCAACCCTGGCTGGCGTGGCGAATCAGAGGGTACCCTGCGCATGTACGGGTTCGAGATCTCGGTCATAGCGCGCGCTACAGCGTCCACGAGTGGCAGATACACGCACTGATCCCCGAAACCCACGATCCTAGAGACGTTCTCGTGTCTGCCACGCTCTCCCGCAAGCGAGAGAAGGGCACGGACAATGGGAGGATCGCTTAGAGACCGCGCGATGACCAGGGTCCAGACCCTCCCGGCGAGAGAAGCAAGGAGAGAAGCAGAGTCAGGATGCATCGTGGCCTACCTCGCGATGTCCTTGCGGGTCCGGATGCCGTTACGTCCGCTTGCGGCGTCATTCTCGCTGCTCATGACTAGGTCCATCTTGGACATCACGTTGATCCAGGGAATTTCGAGGTTCACCATCGCACTCATAGCCGAGAGAACGCCGCTGTGGAAGTGCACGAAGCCGATATCGGTCGGTGGGCGAGAATGGAGGCGGCGAGTACCCGAGAGAAGAGACAATGCAGGGTGATGGTGTGGTAAGTGCGCGGGCGGGACAATGGAGGATGGCCGAGACTCGCCTGAAGAACTTGTACTTGTCTTCCATGAATTGCGACTCGATGAGGTAGGCGGCACATGTTCGGATGCCGAGACGGTTTAGATGGCGGACCAGCATGGGAAGGAATGGATGATGCGTGTAGAGCTCGATTTGTCCTGCATGTGTGTAAGATTTTCCGCGAGACGATACATTGAAAGACATTTTACCTGGGCAGTCGATAATGAGGTAGTCGTCATCGTACCCACCCAGTTCCTCCTCCAGCCAATCCATATTTTGTTGTAAATACCTGTACCAACGTTGTCAAGACACAAGCTCCAGAATACGGGTCCTGATCCCTCGCGACGCATCTTGCCTCCCTCTCTTCCGCTGTAGAAAACTTCACTCACTCACTCGAAGCAATACACCAACCCGCCGTTCGGGCCATAGCCCAACTCGGTCATTACATCGTCCAGGCCAATCAAGTCTTTGATGTCTATTGCTGGCTCGTACTCAAATGAGCTGGCGTCCGCCGCGGGGTCGAGATTGACAAGGTGTCCAGTGCGTCTGGCGGTCTGCAGGTGGGTCATGAGTGCGCCACAGAAGGTTGACTTGCCTGCCCCGGCGGGTCCGGTAACGAGCACAGCGTAGCGCATAGTAGGGATCTCAGAGCTCGGAGAAGCAACGGCGGCGGTGGTGAACTGGATCTGGCGGTGAACTGGGGGCTGCTCTGCGTCGCGGACGGTGAGCGCGCCTCACGAGGGCTCGAGCGATGTATGCGGCGTCCGCGGCAATCACCGATCCCGCATCTCCCGCGATCGCCTCTTTCACTGCTGCCTCCCGGCTCCGAACCGACTCTCGCTTGCCTTCGTCCCTCGCACTTATCGTTGAGATCGCATTGTCGGTTGCCGTCGCTGCACGAGCACCGCACGCCGATATGTCCAAGCCAGCTATTGTCCCAGACACAACCGTCGCGGGTATAGCGGTCGATCCGCGCACACTCGACCGTGTTATTCCCGAGTCGCGCAGGCCAGACGGCTCGTACGTCTTCCCCCATCCGCTGCTTCAGACATGGTGCTCATCGACGCCCATCCGTGCTACGTCACCTATGCTACTGCATTGCTTCCGCTTGATTGGAACGTTGCAATGAACGCTAATTGACGACGCCACATTCACCTCTGACACCGACTTTGTACGCTACCTGCGCGCAGGGTCCGCAAACAAATTAAGATACGTCCTGGATTCACGCCCCAGGAGGATGTTCGCCGCTTCCGCGGCTCGCGTCAGCAACAATTGGACACGCACGCACTCCCTAAGGGGCACATCATCGGCTGGACACCACCCCCTACCTCATCTGCGCCGAAGCCAGGCGCTGCCCCCTCCACCGCCCAAAGCAAGGCAGCGAAGAAGAATGAGAAGCGGAAGGAGAAGCGAAAAGAGAAGCGCGAGACGGAGCCGGTGAAAGACAGCTGGGAGGATGAGGATGAGGAGTTGCCCGGCACAGGCGCGCAGGATGGCAGCCACTCCGCTGATAAACCGAACTTGGCTATGGCCCCCGAGACAAAGAAGAGTGCAGCAGTGAAGGAGAGGGTAGAGAAGGGAACGACGTCCCCTACCACGGAGGGAGACGACCAGTTGGCAGAGAAGCTGGAGAAACTGGAGGTGTAAGGTGCAACATCGATGCCTTCCGTGTCTGTACATGAGGGGTGCGTGTGGTATAATTGGATTAGGATAGGTATCGGTATATATCTGTAAACATAATTGTAGTATGTGCGTGAAAGAGTGTAGCTGGCAATGCAGCGTAGCGACGCAAGATAGCTAGGAGTATCCATTCAAATCACGCAATGTCCCATAGAATACACACCCGTAGTTGGGCAGCTCTATCCTCCAAAGGCCAGCCTTGAAGCTTGACTCTAGCCGGCACGCCGACCAGCGACGGGCGGCCTCCTCCTCCTCGGGCTATGCCCACACGGTGCCCTGATTCTCTGTACCCTCGGGTGGGCAGATCTCGACGATGGGCGGCTGTTGTTCTGACTTCGACTTCTTGGCCGGCACAGGCTTTATGACGAGGATCTCCATTGCCAACATTATGACCAAAAGGAAGCCGCCCAGCGCCACTGTTGACAGACAGCATTAGGAGAGCCACGTAGAATGATGGAATGCGGTAAGGCGCACCGACTGAATTACGCATATTGTTCCACCTGACACCCTCCATCTCCGAGCGGAGGTCGTACAGAGTGACCAGAGACTTATTGAGAACCTCCTGCAGACGCGTGTGTTCAGCTGAACAAGGGCACTGACATCGGCGATGCAGGTGCGCACCTCGATCTGAAGGTCGAATCGTTTCAGATCATTCTTCGCCTCGTTCCTCCTCGTATCCACATCCAGCTGAATACTACAGACGAAAGATGATCGGTTCCTCAGCCAAGTGCACTGAGAACGCGTCTGGACAGCAAGACGTACTCATGTTTGAGCGTCCCAACGTCTTCCTTCATCCGTACATCCAATGTGTCTACCTCTCTCCGCAGAGCCGCTGTTGCTGTACGTATTGCGGCCGTCTCATTGCGAGTCCACATCGTGGTCTCCGTCCGCAGCTCTGAAAGCGCGGCTTTGAAAAGGTATGCTTGCTACAGAGACGCGTTACTCACACGATCCAACGGTAACGGTGGATCCGCACTCACACTCTCCAGATCTTTCGCCGTCACCGCGTCCCTCCTGACCCGGCCTAACCGGTCGACCAGTAATGCGCGTGTCGCACGCATAAGATTGCGCGCAACACTGGTAGGGAATGTCAATTCGAGCACCGTGACAAACCGATGTGTATTGAACGGCGGGTTGCTATATGAAGTCGGCGTATGGGCATTACTAGGAAAGCGGGGTGCAGGTAGGTCCGAATTTGGAGGACGCTCAAAGGGTGGAGGAGGAGCAGGGACTAGCCCGTGTTCGCTCACGTTCGCGTCGGTCTCGTTCGGTGGGGATGGTGAGGGCGATGGATCCGAGCTTGATGGGGGCGTTGACTGCACGGAAGGCTGCTCTGGTTCTGACGCATGGCTAGGCCCAGCACCCGGGATTGCGCTTGAACTCGACCTCGAGCTATCAGGGTCCCATGGGTGCGCGGCGGATATTACCGAAGGCCCATTCGGCGTCCTGGGCGGGTCCGAGATGGTCATGGAGGCATATGGCCGCCACAGAGATGCGGGGCCAGTGCGTGGAGGAGTAAGCACTACATTCCGCAGCGGTGCCGTCGAACAGAAGTAGGCTAGATTTCGCGAAAACATGGAGGGCAAGATGAGAGCTCTGAGTACTGAGTCCTGACCTGTCCTGACTATGCTCGGATCGGCGCGCATGCCTCGCGTGCTCATCACGTGAACATCTGTGGTCTATTCGCTCATCTGGGAGTGAGCAAGTTACTTGAGTCAGGGCTCCAGACGATGTTGTTTCGTTCGTGCTGCAATCCGTGATCTACATTAGAGAACGGTATGCCGGTATGAACCACATCTGAGACAGCCAGAAGACGACGAGTTGCGTGAATACAACGATCTGAGATTCGCACTGCTTGACAAGCGCGCGCAGACCGCGCACCACGGTGCCTTCAAGCCGCACCCTCGACGTCGTTCCGTACCTTACTCGCTCCTTCCTCTTTCTCTCTTTCCGCCGCTCTTTCTCTGTCTTTCTCTCCCTCCTACCTATTTCATAGCCATGGTCGCGCCGTTGAACGCCCAACTGACGAATGCGAAACCCGCCCCTCCTGATGTCAAGGCGCCGAGTCAGAAGAAACAACCTCCGCCACCTGCGCCACAGAACGTCAAGAACAAGAAAGAGGTAGACCCGGTCGTGAAGCCTACCACAGAATTCGACACTAAGACTCAGTCGCTCCCGAAGAATGTCACCCGCCGATCCAGCAAGCCCATCATCAACTGGTTTCAACGCAAGCTCGCAGGGACTCGCACGAGACGCGTCTCTGATCCCGACAGCCCTCGTTCGCCTACGTCCAGGGCGAATGTCCACACCCCGAGCTTGCGCGAGAAACCTCGAAGGGCTTCCGCGCCGCAGCGTCCGTCTGGTCCGCCGCTTGCAGTGAGGATACGGAGCAAGACCGAATCGAAGCACGGTCGGAAGATCTCTACCGTCAGCTCGATTCCGTCGCGCAAGCCGGCTTCGCTCGACGGCTTCAGTTTAGCTGAGAGCACGGCGGCCCTAACCACCGATTCTGATGACGGCCGTCGTTCCTCGCTCGCTCGCGATTCATTGTGGTCCCCGACGAGCCATCTCGAGGCGGACGAAGATGCATCTATGCGACCATTCCCGCCTACGTCTCCTCCTTCTCCCTCCCCCTCGCACTCATCGTCCTCGTACATGTCGGACCCGCGTACCTTTCGAAGCATGGCCGCGAGTACGAAGCCCACGACCCTGCTCAGCGTGGATATCACAGGAGGCATGGCCCACATCGCACAAGCGCCGCCTACCCCGACTCGCCTTCAGGCGCACCTCCGTTCGCAGTACGCCGGTCCAGGCTCTAACGGCGCCGTTTCTTTCTCTGCGATTCCTCCTGCTTCGCCTAGCCGGCCGTCATCAAGCACGTCGGCTGCCCCAAACGGACAGTACGGGTTGCACGCACCGCAGCACACGGCCCACCATCCGCGCAATAATCCACACCCCTCGTCACCGCCTGAGGATGACGCATCTCTGCTTACTCTAGCGTCGTCCGCGTTCGCGATGCCTGGGGCGCGGATAGGCATGACGGCCTTCGCACTCTCCGGAGGCACGTCGGTCGCGGACGACTCGATCTCCCACTTCAGCCACGGCGTTGGCGCGGGGGGTGACTCCACGAGCCACTTCCTGCTGGGCGAGATGGACGATGATAGGGATTTGATGGAGAAGGAATACCAGGACGTAGACGCAAGCGTCCGTGCGTTACGGCCGCGCAGCTCGAGACGGGGAAGCTGGGAGAGCCAGGACAGCAAATGGAGTGCGAGCGCAAGCCTGGCACTGACTGGCGTAACGGGAATGACGTCTCATAGTCCTGTCAGCCATGCAGCACCCAGGAGCCTGTGGACGAACGGGAGTTACAGGACTGGCGGAGTCAGCGTGGATCACGGAGACGTCAGTGTTAGCAACGACCATAGCGAAGATGGAACCAGCGAGGAGACAGAGGGAGAAGAGACGAGTTTGGATGGGAGGGCGTCGGTGCCGGAATTCCGCTCGATATCGACCTCAGTGCGGGGGATCCGCTCCGTGTCAAGGCATCTAGCGGCGGACGATGTCTCTGGACTTTCCAGCCCTCAGACGTCCGTGAGCACGGATGATGCATCGACCCCTCCTGCTACACCTATGGATGCACTCGACAAGGCGGACGCACTATCGACTGAGCCCAGCGGGTCGTCCGAAGCGAGCAAGAGTGCGATGGCTACGCCCAAACCAGGGCCGATCGCCTTGCAGTCGCACGACGCTATGCCCGACATCTCGGCGACGATCAGGTCGTTGAGTGCCGTCAGGGATCAAGAAGAGAATCCCGAATATGCAGACGCGGCCAGCACCACCTCTGCAGACTACGAGACGGATACCTTCGAGACCCCGATGAGCACCCCTTTGCCTCAACCGGAGTAGCTGCACGCGTAGCTCCGTAACGATTCCTCGTAGTGCGTCTTTCGGTCTTTCATATGCCTTTCTGACTGACACTGTGACTTAGTTGATTTGGTGTGATATCCACGGCATATTTTCTCTGCTCAGCCCTTGCATACGTATAGCAGTACTGCTCTTCCTGTGCCGCCGCGACGCGTTTCGTCGGTAGCGGCCATTACATCTCTGCTAATCTTCTCCCGTTTGGCTCCTGGATACATGTACATACCTTGTATGCCTAGCACTATTCTATGTGTATTCTGTTGCTCGTCAAGAGCCCTTCTCCTTTCGCGCCTCAAAGTTCGGAAGTGCACGCTGCGCATTTGAGATGAGTCACGTGGGCGTGTCGCGTACCCTACGACTCCGAGCGCGAGGAGCGCGCTTGCCGACTGGGTGTTGCTTCACGGCATCCTCAGTCGAACTGTCAAAGTGCACATCAGACGGTCAGCTGGGTAGACCCGTGTCTATTGTGCACCTGCACGATCACGAAACTCGCATTCGGAACCAGGGGTCGATGTTCTCGTGGACAAACTCATCATGGTAATATGTCCACTGCCAACACGGCCCGGGTCGTGCACATCGAAGCTCACGCTCGCAGCGGCTTCTAGGCATCTTAAAGGACCGTCTCGCTGCGCACGCACCCGATAGCCTCTTCTCCCCGCTCGAGGACTCGATAGAAGGCCTTGGCTTTGCGGGTATTGCGAGTCTAAGGACGGCTTGGCGTGCTCTCAGCATGAAGTTCGGTCTGTCTTCCCCAGCAGTGACTGCGGTCACTCTGGGTGCTGCTTTGAGTGCAGCGCAATGTCCGGATTACACGACTTACTCGCAGGTGAGCTGGTCTGCAATGGGGCGAAGAGGCTCATCCGATGAATGGATCTACAGAGCCCTCAGGGTAATCCTTCCACGGGACCCCTGGCATTACCGTACATGAGACCGGATCCAGCATGTCGCACTTTCAATAGCACGGCAGTAGAGGTGAGGAGCTGCAACGTCTGTCGTAGCTCTCTGACTAATAAGTTACATGGTCTGCTAGGATGTCATTGCGAACATGACTTCACGTCTCAAGGACCCTGATATTGCACGTTTGTTCGAGAACACGTTCCCCAACACATTGGGTACGCATCACACAACCATCAGTTCTACGAGCTTGTGAACACCACCTCCGTAGATACTACCATCAAGTATTTCAACGAGGTAAGTTTGTCGAGGGTCCTAGTGCACTAGCCTGTTGAAACCAAGAACGTCCTAGACGGAGAACCTAGCCTTTGTGATCACTGGCGTAAGTGCTCATTGTCAGTTACGTCCGAGTGTTGCTCTATGTACTGACTGATGATCTTCAAGGACATCACGTATGCCGACTAGCTGGTTCCCAGAGTTGTCATGCATATGCTGAATTACCAATCCTACCTGACAGGGCCCAATGGCTCCGCGACACGGGGAATCAGGCGAGGAAGTCTACAAACGTTACATCTAACCCCGTCTGACATCTATGCTCCGCAGCTTGCCCAATATCACTACCTGTACACCCAGGATTCCGAGCTAGCAACGCTTGTCAAGGCTATAATCAACAATGAGGCTCGTTATGTCTCGCAGTATCCTTACTGCAGCGCATTCCAACCTCCACCTGAGAGTGGTCTGAGCACGACTGTCAATGATTGGGCTATTGATGTGCTGGTGAATCCGTATGTATCTTCGTGTCGTTGCAGGCAATGTAGGACTCACAGCGCCGTACCAGTCCGGTAGATAACCAGACCGTCTACGAGTGCAAGGTCAGTGCTTGCTCGCGAGAGCATACCGCACCGGCTACTTACTAACAACGGTGGACAGTACGAGCTCGACTCGCTATGCTCTTTCATGAAGCTGTCACGCTCGTACTACCAAGCGACGAACGATTCGTCCTTCATGAATGATAACTGTCTGTTTGCATATATTTTCTCACACCACTTACTACATTGCTGACCGAGGTATGTGGGATTTCCAAGGGCTGGACGCGATCTCACAGATCATGCGTGTCATCTGGGAACAATCACAGCCTACTTTCGACGAGAACTGGAACCTTGTCTCATACTACAATTGGACGGGCGAGGCGGGTTCCCTCCCGGGAGCGGTCAACAACGGCGGGAATGGCGAGCCGAAGGCATACACGGGCTTAATCGGCACGCACCACCGACCTTCCGATGACCTGTGTACCTTTGGTGAGCGCGAAACATCATGCCCCGGGCCTGATGCGCAGACTCGCTGAATGATTGTTGTGCACGACAGCCTTCCTCACACCTGCGAATGCGATGCTCACAGTGGAACTTGGCTACCTCGCGGACATCCTTGACTCTGCCGGCCTAGCGAGCGATGTCAGCCAGGCCGCCAGGGAGTACGTCACTAACATTACCGAAGCCATCTGGGAGCACACCGTGAGCATGCTGTTGGCTGCCGTCTCAGACTATGAGGCTCATCAATGTGTGGCATAGCTTGTAAATAACGTATTCGCTTACGAGACAAATGGTGTGTACATGGTGCGAGTCCATTGTTCAGGATGGTCTGACGGCTACCTTCCAGGTTTCGGGGGACGGTATGTCATGGACGACGCCAATGTGCCGGTACGCATAGCAACTCTGTTTCGATAGGAAATGTGACTCAATGGCTCCGCCAGTCTTTGATGTCCCTGCCGTACCTTGGTTTCCTAAACAAGTCCCATCCGGCGTATGTTGCAACCAGCCAGGTCCTCATGTCTCGGGTGAACCCATACTATGTCGTCGGCAAGAACTTCAGCGGTATTGGGTACGTTATTCGGGACAGAGCGTCGTTCTCAGAAATGGGTTCTGATCATGTCATATCGCCTTTAGCGGACCTCATGAGGATGCCTGGAATCCCTGGTAAGTGTCCGCCATAAATTGGACGCTTACTACTTCTGTTAATATGACTACAGGCCCATGTCTCTCATCTCGGCCATATATGGCACCGATGACGATGACGAAATCTTGGATTATCTGTATCTCATCGCGAATGTCAGTATGAACTCATTTCATCTATGCAGAATTTATGCACATCTACTGATACCCTGAACGATAATACAGAACACCGACGGCCTTGGTCTGATCCACGAGTCCATTGATATTTATGATGGCTCCTACACCCGTCCGTGGTTTGCGTGGGCGAACAGCTACTTCTCAGAGATGCTACTCGATCTCGCAAGCCGCAAGCCGTACTTGATATTCAACGACAACGAAACCTACGTCCCGGGCCAGTAACATTAGGCTATGCAAGACTGCGTGTTCTGCATACGGTGGTATGTGAGATATTGACTACTATACATGTCAATTGTACTGACAATGTTCTGAAGATAGGAGGATTTCATGTTCTCACGGGCAACGTTCAAGGCGACCAGGGTAGCTGTTGTATCATACGAGTTGACAAGGACCCATTGCTGTAGTCAACGGGCTGTCCACTTCTCAGGTGCCGTGGTTTCCTGTGTCTATGACAGCTCGCTTCTGGGCACTGTCGATCGCGCAGCCGTGTCCGCAGCAACACAAACATTCTCACTTGAGTACTAATAGTACTGCGCCCGAAGCCCATCTCCCATGGCTGTCAGTGTGCCAGTGAGTATGCAGGACAAGGATGGTGATCTGTTCGCCGGCGGAGTGCCAGTAAGCGATGCTCAATATCATGGACGCGGCACTGCTACCTCGCATCGGGTTCTTCTGATAGTGTTGAGGGCTGAATGAACTTGGTATGAACCCCGCGTCGACCCCACGGGCGGACAGGGCTAACCGCGGGGCTGCGGGAGGGCCGTCATGAACTCTCTAGCCAATCGCGTTCCAGAAATGGGCGCTTCAGGCACGTTCGCGCTCAGGATGGTTCGCTCTGCGATCAACCGCCTTGGCGCTTTGTTGTCGCGTTTATATGTAATTTATTGCCTCCTTTCCTCCTTCAACTCCTCAACGTTCTACCATTGTCCACGACCCCCGAGACTGTTTCTGCAGAGGCTGGAGACCGGACGGCATCTAGACGCGATTCATTCTCGATGGCAACAACAGCAACTTCGCGCGACGTCGGCACTCTAGTTGTGGTTGTACTGAAAGCGGTGTGTGTACCTAGCCACGGACACGTCTACATACCTCATTGATCCCCGTTGGCCAGAAAAACCTTCCAAATAAGCGACACATAGGGAAGCAGGACCCGTATTGCTCAGTAACGTTCAATGCAGAGAAGAAGAGGACGAAGGCCATCAAGCGCGGTGGGCAGCACCCTGAGTGGGACGAGGAGTTTCGATACACGCTCTACGAGGATCCAAACGACATGACTGCACCACCGCCTCACGGAGATGGTACCCCTCCCCCTCCCCCTCCCAAAAAGAACAAGGGTCCTCCCAGCGTGAAGGGTGGCCGATCGATGTTAGTCGCCTGCTACGCAGATGATGCACGCGAGCCGGATTTCATTGGGGAGACAAATGTGGATTTGACGGAGGTGCTGACGAAGGGTGAAACCGATGGTATGTGAAGCAGGCTCTCTGGCGCTATCATTCTGACCTTGGACCAGAGTGGTTCACTCTGACGAACAAAGACAAGTACTGTGGAGAAGTATATCTTGAGCTTACATTTTGGTCGAACGTTCGTGGCAAATTATGTTGGGACCAATACGCCATACTTACTGGTCCACCCCAGGAACCCGTCCCTGTCAAGAAAGTGACAGGGAAGCCGAACGGGAAGAGTCACAAGCACTACGGTGGCCCTGGTCAATTCGTGCCAGCAGGAGAGTCCCCACCTCACAACAGCATTGACGTTCAAGAGGCCATTCGTAGCATTTCTTCTGGCAGTTCCAGAGGGGAGTTGCGCCCAGAACATGTGCCACCATCGCTACGGCCGTCGAGTTCTCGCGTCGATCTGTATGTGCCACCGTACGAAACTTCCAGATCCCGCCATTCTATGGTGGATAGCGTGGCTGGTGATTTCGCGGAGCTGAGTGTTGGGCATGATGTGGATCGCAGACTGAGCTTTCCGGTAAGCGTAGCTCCCTCTACTGGTAGGCACCGTACTAAGGTTTGGTGCAGCCTCAGCAATCCGGTTTTGCATCCCGTCCCGCGTCGTCAATTGGCTTCCAGGACCAACGAGCCGTCTCCCCTCAACCAGGCCACGATTATCATCAGGGCACATATCCAGATGGTGGAGGAAACTACTACGAGGGAGCCGCCACACCTCCAGTGGCAAATGCATATCACCAAGGGCCGCCGCCAGAGCAGTATCAGCCACCATACGAGACATTGCAGCCTGCTGCAACTGGATACCAGGTCGTACCACGGCACGGACCTAGGCACAGTCTGCCACCGGCGTCCTCTGGGTTTATGCCCATGCCGACCCCTGGTTTCGTGCCTCTGATGTCTCATCATTCCCAATTGTCCGGGTTTGCTCCCCTGCCATCAGCAACGCCTACGCCGCAGAACTATGGACCTCCGGCATCGCATATGCTCATACCGTCGTCCAGCTTTTCGACGTTGCCCCAACCACCCATCGCCTCGTCTGGCTTCATCGCTACTGGGCCACCTCCAACGCCCACTCCTGCCCCGTACCATCGATCCTCGTTACCACAGCCTCCTCAGCCTCATTCGCCCGGTACCTATCATACACAGTACGTCCCACCGCTTGCCAATGCTTCGCAACCACCTCAGCCGCCTCCGGTGTCAACACCACCTGGTGCACCTCCAGCCCACACGGCCTACGTGCCTCCGCCTCCGCCGCCATCTGTGCCCCCACACTCCCACTCAGCCCCTCCGGAGCAGTTCTCCGGTCAACATATGAACCATTCATCTTCGCGTGAGAATATTCCTCCCCCGCCACCTCTTCATGACAGTCCTCCGTCTGGTCAACCATCCGGGTCAAGGCCTTTGCCACAGCCCACGCAGGCTTCGCAGCAGCACAGGCGTCGCCAGTCCTCGCTACCCATTCCTCCTGCTGGAGGCCCCCCTGGGATGTATAACCCGTCTCAGCGCGGTCCATCCGGGTCCTTTAACCTGCCACCACCACCGCAGACGGGCCCTCCCGCGACATACAATGGATCTACTTTGAGGGCTCCTTCTGGTTCGTACACTGCGCAAAGCCAAGGGGCGCTGTATACGCAGCCTACGGGCAGCTCGTCGCATTCCTACAACCTCCCACCGATACAGCAGACGGTGTACGGTAGCCCAGGTGGTGTGAGCCCCGGCGAAGCACCGGCAAGTCTGTACAGCTCTATTCCTCCACCACCGCCATTGCCGTCTCAGACGACGCCAGCGCCATATGCAACACACGGTCCACAGCCACCTGTAGCTGGGACCTCGCCGTCGTTGCCCCCGCCGCCCTCGCAGTACCAGCAAGCACCAATGCCGAGTCGTTCGCCGTCCCTGCCCCCGCCACCGCAGAACATAACCAGACGACCTAGTCTCCCGCCGCCGCCTACCATGGGCTATGCCAGTCAGCCACAGTCTGCATTCCAGGCACTCCCACCGCCTCCGGCACCGCCGAGCATGCCGCCGAATACCCACTATGAGTCGATTTCGAGCTACATGCCGGTGAGCGGTAGTCAGACGTTCCATCCCGGACCGCCACCGAGGCCTCCGGCGCAGCTCAACGGCCAGCCCCAATACCACCAATATTCTCCGAATCCGCAAGCGTCGTACGGAGGCCAGTCACCTATCGCAGAGAGGGGTTGGTAACTTCTAATTGCGTATCTTTGTACTCGTCGTAATGCACTATTTATTACTGGTCTTGACCTCCAATACTCTTGTCTCACATACACCACGGACTCATCGCGCTCTCTAGTAGTCTCTACGCTCTCTGTGCGTGTCATAGCCTCGATAACAGCATACATAACAAGCTGCGGACGTACTGCATCTGATACAATATACAATTGTCATGTCATGACGGCCTCGAGGCCTGCTGGGCAGCAAAGCGCTCCGCCTTCCACTTCGCAATTTCTGTCTCCGTTGCGACTAGCCCGCGCCGTGCGAGGTCTATTCGTGCCTCCTTTCTGATCGCACCCTCGGTCGAGCGGCGCTCAGCTTCGTGGGCCAACAAGGCGTTCTCCGCGCCTATGACGAGCCCGAAGACGGTGACTGAAAGCAAGATGAAAGAACCGTGCATGATCAGCAGACCCAAGTGTCGGACATACAGATAGTGACTAGGAAGCCCTTGAAAGGCAACGTCTGCCGCCTGGACACACGGTGGGTGGTCCAACGACGGCTGTGGGTGAGCACTGGCCGGCTGCGTTGCGGACGGACAGTGTACTGACCGGAAGGTGGGCCAAGTATAATGGCCCAACACGGCTAGTCCAGTGCCGAGCATTGTCGCCCTCGCTGCACCCTCCAGGCCTGCCTTGGTCTGCAGCTCGTAAGCTTGTTCAACATCTTGCTTGCGGGTGGCTCTGTCCATGGTGGCCAAAGTACATGAGATGGGCGGGCACCAGTCCGGCACCCCGGGAGTCGACGGTGTCTGTCCGCCGTCCAAATGGGGCAAGTCCGCACAACCACTTATTCCACGCGCAGTACGCAGTTGGGGGTGCAGCCTGTTGGCGCCGTGGAAGAAACCACGCAGAGTGCGCACACATTAGAAGAGCTATACGATACCGACGCGGTATCTGTTGGCATGTCGGATGTTGCTAATACGTACTCTTGCAGTGTCTCATAACCATACATTAGATCCGTGCGCATACAGTACATCGTCGAACGTCCACAGAAGTGTACACGTAAGAGTGCCAGCGAACTGAATGAGATTAGAACTTATCCTCGTTGTCATCATCTATTCGCCGGACCGATAATGAATGTACGCAAGTTCGTGGTCTTCGGAGCATGCAACAAGGCGCGCGTCATCGAACACGACCTGAATGATTCGTTGACCGGGAAAACAAGGGATCTGCGATGACACGCGGCAAATGAATGTCTATCTCGCCAGAAGGAAGATCTGTCATACCATCTCGATGGGCTGCTCAGCGTTCCGCAGGTCCCATAACCGCACTACGCCATCTTTATCACCACAAGCAAATGTGCCACAACGCACATCACCTGCAGGAACGAGCCACATCAGCGCATGGGGAGGGAGGCGCGTCAATACACCTTGCCTTTGATATACCGGCCATGCGTCGTCTGAGAAGGGTAACCAAACCTTTGGACCGCCTCCCGAGGAACTAGTCGACGGTCGCGGATCTCGAACTGTAATTCTCTATGTGCCACCTGTGTGCACTGCGTATCAAATTTCCGCCCTCCGCATCGGGCATCAGAAGAAGTGGGCTCACCTCCAGTAAGGCGCAGAAAGGCGAGAGAGCCTCGTGGATGTGATACACGGAGTTCGAGGTTTTCAGCGTATTCACAACACGCTCCGACGATAGATCGTAGATATGCACGTTGCAGTCCGCCCCACCTGATATGAGCTTATGACTCGTGTCGCGGATGGCTAGGAGGGATTGAACGGTAGAGGTGTGTTTGATTACCAGTGAGGTTGGCGACGGCCTTGAGACGTTCCTGCTGGCGTCCCAGAGATGTACCACATGATCGTAGCCTCCGCTCGCGAACATCATGCTGTGCAGCATGGCGCACACCGCGCTTGCGCCTCTATTCTTTCCGCTTTGAGCGGGTCGATCAACCTCACAGACATCCTTCAACTGCAGCCGTTCTCAGTGATCTGAGCTCTCGAATAGTCTGGTATGAATGCTACCGTACCCTGTCTCGTGTCACATGCGCCACCGATAACTGGTAGTCTTCGCGCGCATGAGCTGCGACTATGAACTGTTCGTCGCGGCAGCACAACAAGCAAGCGTCGTCGATGGAGTGCCGATTGCCTTCTGCCGCAGATCTGATGACATGGCCTCGTCTGTGCACAATCAGATAGGTACAACAGCGGCAGAGATGTTTTCCTAACCTTGGTGAGGTGCGGTCGACAGAACTAACAGCCCCTCGCATGGTGGCGCTCAGAATCCCCAGCGAAGGCGACACGAGCAGCCGCCGAGGCTTGTCATGACTATCCCTGCCAAGGCAGACTAACTCTGTCATAGGCTCGAGCTCATGGAGCGGCGTCGCACGTCCACCATTGCTCGGGGCTGGCGACACGTTTCGACAGTTTCGACTCCCTAGAGGTGATCCGCAACGTGAGGAACTCTCGGCCGCTACAAGGTTAGAATCCGGCAGACTTGTGCTGGGTGGCCTATGCGCGACAACATCGTCATCCCGCGCAGATCGCAGAGCAACTTCAGGATCTTCATCCTCGCTCTCTACGCATTCCCGGGTGGGTGCGCAAGTTTGTGATTCTCGTGATCGTGGTCGCGTCGAAGGAGAGTCTGGAAGGGGTTTGATGCGCAATACGCCAGAGCGGAATGACGTGGTTGACAGAGTTGAGAAGGGTAGCATACGGGTATAGTTAAGTCCATCGTTGACTATTGTTGATGTCGTGTGTAGCCCCTGGTGCCCAACTGGGGTGCCTGATCGCGTAGTGCGAGGCGTAGAAGATGATGCGCAAGCACCGAATTTACCATTCGCTTCTGTTGCACGATCTGTTGATTGTGACGAGGGAGAGTTGATTTCAAGGCAATGTTCTGTCCTCGATTCGTGTAGAAGGGGCATATATCTGGAAGTGTCTGCCGGGAGTTGGACCCTAGATTCCGACAGGTCGGACGTTGCGCCGGTGGGAGTGAGGCACCCCGGGTGAAATGAAGAAGGGGAGGATGGCCTCTGAAAGCACTTCAGAACAAACTCAGAAATAGACCACAGTGATGCACACCTTGGAAATAGATTGGTTAGGCTTCCGGCTTCGGGGATCGCTAATTGATTGTGGGAGATTGGCTTTAAGCTCAGATGTAGCGCTTTGCGTGCCGCTGCGGTCATGTTTGTCGACTGTGTGCCCAGGAGAAGGAGGGGGACTCTGTTCACGGTTCGGAGGGCGTACAACCTGAGCTCCGCCGGCGCGAACGAACCTACAGTTGAAGAGTGCGTCGGAGCCCTCGTAGGAATGGCTAAGAATCGTGACGCCGTGCTCGTGCTGGATTTGGCGGGTCTTTGACTTGAGCCAGGAGCGTCGATGATTATGGCACCGAAAAGCGCCGCTGAGGCAATTTGGAGGCAAAGGGACGGAAATGGTGATTACGGGATCTGGAACAGCGCTACCTCATTGGATGAATTTCCAGCGATCTTGCGGGCGCTCACTATGTTTCCTTGCATGATCATTATTAGGCTCGGGGTTTATTGTGTCGATACGTCTTCGCTTTTTCGGTCTCTCATTGCCTGCTTGCTCGCAACGCACCGGTCAGCAGTCTCGTAGGACCTGATGTGGAATGGCGAAACAGACCTGCATGCATGACATTATACAGTCGGTCATTGAACCGAGGGTCCGGGTCGGGAGTTCTCGGCTGCGAAGTAGACGCAGCAGACTGGGCCGAGCCTCTCGATCTCATTACTTGCGTCGCTCGACCGTGGTCTGATGGCCGAGACGTGCGGATGATAGGTACAACATTACGTCCCTTGTGGGACGGACGCAGCTCGTTCGGTTGTATGTCCTCGAAGGCTTGCATGTTGCGGTGTAATAAGAGCCCTATTGGGTGTCTGCGGGAGTGGCGTCGGCGTGTCGCGTAGTGGTGCAGATCAAGTACACTCCTGCCTTATCGGGCGAGCAGACGAGAAGCGGCGACGCTGTCAGTCCACGTGGTCTCCTTCAGCCACCGACGCGTTTGGCCAGTGTCAGCCTCAGTGTTTACAGCCTCTCTGTCTTCCCGTCAGGAAACTCTGCGCTCTGAAGCTTCCATATGTGAGACTATTCTTCTTTATCATCTATTTTAACTTAAGTGCGACTTTAGGTCATGAATGCTGATCAGAAACGGGCGCCATCGCCAAAATTTGCCGCCACGGATGGGAAGAGGATCAAGCGAGATCACGATTGGGACACCGACGAGGTGCCATTCACTCTGAAGAAGAGCGACCGTTTATCTTTCAGTCCATCTCGAGTGGGCAAACAGAGAGATCCAACTCGCGGTGCCGAATTCAGACGTGTCATACATCCTCAATCCCAATGTGTGAATACTCTGGTCATCCAAACAACTCAAGAGTTGGCCGCCGTTGGCAAGCGTCTCGTCCAGGCTCCTCGGCTACTGTGGGTGCTTTTCTCGTACAGTTCTTGTAAGATTGTCATCCGTACCGAACTCTAGGGATGATGGTATCTTATTTGACTGGTCTGTCTACCCACTCGATGGGGTGAGCGCATGTCCATCTGACTCGTGATGCAAGGGTGCTTGACTACTCCGCGAAGCGGGAGCCTGTCGAGTCCTTGTTGGCTGTGTGCGTTTGCAGCTGCTGTGACTATGAAATTTGCTTATACAATGCAACAGTGCCGGAATTGATTCTTGTGCGCTTGGGCCTGCGCTTCAAACAGTTCCGACCCCGGATCCAGAACAAGGAAGTAGTCGAGACGCTCCTCCCATGATCATTGACCTTTTGTCTGATCATGAAAGCGACGTCGACGACAAAACAACCGTGGTGTGCCTCGCTTCGGATGGTGCCGACGTGACTCACCCCATTATCCTTGGTACAGACGAGGTCGATGAGCAGAACTACTCACTGGCAGAGCCGGAATCCACGCAGACGGATGACAGCGACCCTGCTAAATTGCCCTTGCATAATTTCGAGCCTACTACCAACGCAGCCGCAGCCTGTTCTGGACCCAGCACCTTGGCGGCACGTATAACGAACGCAACTCTTGAGTCTGAGTCTTCACAACAAAGGTGCGATCAGGTGGCCAAGTCGTCTAGCATTGTTGACCATCCCGACTTGTGCCTAGACCACTTCATGACGTCCGTAACGAGGCGGAAGATATAGGTGGTTCGTCTCACAGTAGCTTCTCGCATGTATGGCTGATACTTAAGCGACCTGCAGCTCCGTGTAGGGACCAAACCCCGGACCCAGCAGACTATGACCATGACCAGGGGGATGAACGAGCTGAACGCGAACCACCACAGAGCTATGCAGACCTTTACGGCTCATGGAATATGCTGGCATCTAGTGAAGACGAAACTCTGTCGGGAGACGACGAGGATGAGGGATCAGCGGAGAGACTCGGTCGTCCGATCAGACCTCCGGATGCCGCGGGAAGCGGAGCGGACAAAGATCTGTCCCCGTCGTCCGGCCGTGGAACTAGGGTACAGGCTCTAGCAGACCGTGACAGTGGTAATGGCCGGTCACTACGTGAACGAAACGGACCACGCATCGTCAAATCCGCTGAACTCCCGACAGGATCACGCAGTAGAGGCGCCCATGTTTTGCCTAGTCCTAGTCGGTACAATAACGCAAGTGCGGGCCCCTCTAGTAGAGCGAAGCCATTGCGACAAGGCACTCGTTCCGCTACAAGAGGAACTGCCTCCAGAGTAGTGGTCGAAGCACAGGAGAGCGATGGTCGAGACGGCACTAGCAGCAGCTCAGACTCGGAGGACTCCGAGGAATTGATTCCACGAGCCTCATCGACACAGCGCCGCGCAGCAGAGCGCCCAACATCTCGGCGGAGCTCTGCTCACACTCGCATAGGACTCTTTGGAGCTAATGCCCAGATTGACCGTCATGAGGTGGGTATTCCGAAGGCGGAGTTTGCGAGGGCCAGGCGGCTCCTCGCATCTGTTGACCGAGGAATTCCCTACACCACGATTACGATGCGAGGAGACGCCTCCTTTATCGATCAACGACGATTGTGAGCGGTTCCACGTTGCCTCATGCTCGGACTGACCACTCCACGCAGGTGCAGGCTCTCGGCATTCTCGTTGCCATTCTATCAGCCTGACAAAGCGCCTGCCGCCCTTGTGGCTGATGCGTGTCTTGTCGAGGACAACAAGGCCATCGTCGGGTACGAGCATGGTCCATGCCAGGCTTCTCTCATTCTGCTGGGCGATCAGGTACTAGTACTTTCCATTGAATGCCGAAAGAAAGAATTCTGACACGAGTGCCAGTATCGGCCTCGACGTGTGGATCTGGCGTACCGAGCGCACAATACTGTGCAGGAGAACCGCACTCTGGGTACATCTCATCCTAATCCCGGCATCAGTGCGCTTGCTTCCTGCAACGGCTTGCGGCTTCGATTCCTGTCGGGGGGACATGACGGGACCGTTCATTTGTGGACTCTGACAAATATGGACGATGTCTACGAAGCAGATTCCCGCCGCTTGAACTTGCGTCAACCACGGAGGTGTCAGGCCCTCGCATATCGTAACGTCGACGAGACTGTTTTCTCGTGCGCAGGGACTTCAGTATACGCCGTGAATATCTCAGCACAACGTGCGCAGGATGCTATCAGGGTCTCTGACGGCCAGATCCTCCAAATACACGTTCACCCTCAAAACCCGCATGTTATAATCCTTGAAGTAAGTGTGACCGATCGTATCAACGCGCATCGGATAGACGATTTAATTCAGAGGTTAGGTAGATCACATGGACCGCCAGGTCCTTGTCTATGATATGCGTAAGAAAGCCTTCAATCGCCCGCCAACCCTCCAATTCGGGCACCGTGACGAAGTCGCACAGGACGCCACCCGACGATTCATCAAAGGTTCTACACTCAACAGCTTCTTTGCACGTCCGTACAACGATGGCGACAAGGGGGTCATCCGTGTCTGGGATTATCGCCACACAAAGGTAAGTCCACTTGCCAGTAGAACCGTCCTGCTAGCTGACCGCACCCCGCAGGCGGTAGTGGCATGTTTTCAGGAAGTACACCCGGCGCCAATTGTGCACGCGGTTCTTTCTGGATCCGACGTCCTAGCGTACGGAGGGCCTTCGGTTACAATATGGAAGGCCAGCAGCGGAAACTGACTCCCACCACGAGATATGCCATTATCATCCTTCAATCATAGCCGTGCGATGTACAAGCGAAATGACCAGACCGATTCCAGCGTGCTGAATGCAACATGTTCGAAACGAGCACACGATGAGGGTCCTTCTGAAGCTACTTGGACTTGGCCCACCCCGCAAGCTCGACTGCGAACCCAACCGCAAGCTTGGAGAATTCCAGCATGTGCGAGAAGCTGAACTCATCCGAAATATCGAAACGGCTGGCATGATTGTTAGTACATGCACAAGTGAACAGCCGGACGCTGTACACTCACTCGTTCGAACTGTGAATATTCTTGTTGGAGTTCTCGAAGGCGCTCTCTGTGAGATAATACATAAGTCAGGCGGCTGATACGGAGCAGGCAAAAAGTCCGCACCAATGGTGAAGACCGAAGGATACCCTGCCTTAGCCCATGAGGCGCTGAAGGGAGGACAGTCAGTCAGAAGAAGTGTAAGGGTCCAATTAAACACCTCACTGATCGCTGCAGGCGTAACCACATTTGGTCTCAACATACGGGATGTCCAAGTACAGGTCTACGAGCTGCTTGTTGAGCTCCGTTAAGCTGCGCCGATGCTAGGCATAAGTATCAAGTCTTGGCCGCTCGGGACGACTTACTCTGCATCGACGTAATCGACAATTACGCCAACCTCCTCGCGCGTGCCCTTCTTCACCCATGCTGTCATGTCATACTGCGCGAGGGTTTTCAGGGCACGGTGCGGAACGAGCGTTCATGAATGTACCTGACTCATCGCCACAACGTTCACACCACGACGTTCGTATTCTTGGGCAATTGCCTGGGAACCTAGAAGGCCACCCTCCTGCGTGGATAACATGCATTAGACCGAGACACCAGACCGTGAAACACATGTCGTTACCTCCGCAGAATACCAGTGGAACTCGACACTATGCTCCGGACGGAAATCAGCGGCGAGCAGCGCCCGGTAAGCTTCCAAGATGCTCATGGAACCCGACCCGTCATCATCGGCGCCTGGTTGAAGAGTCAGACTATGAAAAACGCGGAGTCCACAGTGGCCTCACCAGGGGCAGGAAGGAAGGGCCATAGGTTTGTGCTTCCCAACGACGTTGTCAGCTTCGAACCACACAAAGACTACGGGATCACGCACCTGTCCTGGTGTGCCCCAATAACGACGACACCATCACTATCGGTAGAAGACCCGTTGATCCGAGCAATCTGAGTCTGAAGTTAGACGACTTGCGAATCTATATGCAGAACATATTTCTGACCACTGAGCTCTGGATCCAAGTGTGCGGGAATTCCTGCACAGTGATGAGTTCCCTCAAGGAGTCTGAGGCATACTCTTTGGTGATCTTGAAGGCGGATGAGCGTGGCACTCCAATAGAAGTCAACGACAATACCTCGTTGATGGTGTCCAGAAGCCATTCTTGACTCTGCTTCCCAGTCTATATTGTAGTTAGGATGGTTATAGTTACGTCTCCAAGTGAATCAAAATCACGTCACTGCGGTAATCTTCGCCAAGTGTTAGCTCACGATGAAGAACGAAGCGGTGTTACACACATCTCGTTCGGAAGTTGGTGAACGCCTTCAGCCCCGTCTTGAGGTTGTCAATTTCCAGAGTCTTGAGTATGGGCTTAACAAGGTCTGTCTTGTTAGGAGACGGGTATGCCGCTACAACCGATATTCACATCGCGACGTGTACAGAGGCCGTACAAGGACTCACATTTCTTGTTCACTCTGAGATGAGCATTGAATCCAAGCTCGGGGGTCTCGGAACTGACAACAACGAAAACACGGATGACGTGGTAACTTCGTGGCAACGTATACGGCACACTCACACATCGAAGAACTTGACTCCTGCGGCCTTGAGATTTATCTAAGCGAGAGATGAGACTCTGGAAGGGACAAGAAGGAACGAAAGGGGATTAGGTCGCTGACTTTCTCGAGTTCGGTCATCAGCACAGGGTCCTGTCCTTCTAGCTGGACCCATCGGACTGCGCCTAAATCGAGATCATATCCCGGATGGGTCTGTGCGGAATTCTGAAGAGTAATCTGGTCGTCCGAGTAGGCGGCGGCGCCCACGGCGGCGAGAGATATGATGGCCAGGAAGGACGTGGGCTTCATGGTGGTGGTTGGCAAGCGCGGCTGCAGGACGCGTAAACGCCGTGGCTTCGCGCGATCGGGCTGCTACACATGCTCCCATATTTGGGCTGTCTGCAAGATGAGCCTCCAAGTGAGTTCTCGGCGCACGGAAATTGTGCGCGTGCAGAAGACCACAGCATCTTATTCCAAAAACATCGTGTCTGTCGGCTCACACTGCCCCCACAGGCGTGCTTGTGCCCCTACGCGACCTCGTTGGTGGTGGGTCGTTAATTCCGCCACTGAGAATGCCTTCCATATGGAGCATCTTACGTAATACTCGCCTTCTGTCCGCGCTTCGTCTGCTTCGCGGTTTTGCCCTGCATCTCGCTCCCAGGATCTCTTCATTCACTCCGCTGTCAACGTCGCCATGTCCAGAGGCGGGGCACAGACAAGAGCACAGATTGTGGTAAGTTCGCAATTGTCTCAGCGATGTCCGGCCAGGATATTGAGTCCAGCGCGCCCTGTTTCAAGCGCATCCTGGTTGGTGCTGGCAAGGCTGCGCCAACACCTCCCGTAGGTCCCGCGCTGGGTGCCAAAGGTGTCAAGTCGATGGACTTCTGCAAGGAATTCAACGCACGCACAGCGCACATTGAACCAGGCACCCCACTACCCACCCTCATCACGGTCTACCCTGACCGCTCGTTCACTTTCATTACGAAGTCACCGCCGACCACCTACTTCCTCAAGAAAGCTGCCGGTATCGAGAAGGGAACCGGCCGCCCCGGCCATGAGTCTGTGGGGACGGTGAGCCTAAAGCACGTGTATGAAATCGCCAAAATCAAGGCTACGGACGAGCACCTCAAGCATCTGCGTCTCGAGGCGATCGCGAGTACCATTGTTGGAACGGCTAGAACGCTGGGCGTGCAGGTTGTCCCGTAGTCCGGATGGGATCTATATTGATGGTGCGTCCTTGCCCATCCGATACGTATTGAGATGTTAATATGCGACAGCCGACTGTACCCAGGCAGCACCGTGCTCCGGACGCCAATCGCGCTGAGCAGGTACCCGATGATGCAGGAGAAGTCCGGTCTGTACATATACGGATGATAGGTGGTAGATGGTCATCCACGTCTCTGTTTACACGAGCTACAGATGCGCATGGCGCTGAATCTGAGCTGCCCGGCCTTCTGTGCCGGTAGAGAGCAGCGCTTATGAATTACGGCCCTTGTGTTTAATGATACAAGGTTCACAAGTCGACGAACTAGGTTAAGCTCGTGGATGGGTCATGCTGCTCAAGTCCTGGATCCGTACTTCATGACGCCAGTTGCCTATTCGCAGCGTGTAGCCAGGCTTGCAGCACGCAGTTGCCTCTTTGGTCTACGACTTTGAGAAATTGGGCCACTCCAGTTTGTCATGCCGTACCCATCCAACGCGTCCGGGCTTGAACTTTGACCGCGAGGAGATAGGCCCTTGTACTGCGTATGGCATCTCGGACACGCCGCGTACACGCACTGTTCACCTGGCCCGCATTCCTGGTGCTCCTCTTGGTCGATCCAAAGCCTTGCGTCTAACATGCCTTTTTGAGCCGCTTCCTCGGAACCTCGTGCATGAAGATGGCCAGTGGCATGTCGACCCAATCTTGTTCCTGCCTCGTTGATGGTACGGAATAATCCGCATTTACGAGCGTTTTACGCAGAGAACCCGTTTGGATCCTTGTGGCTCGAGATTGCGCAACGCGCAACCCTTCCTGACCACGCTCAAGGAGTTTACATATTCTGGACTTTTCTCTCACAGGTCTCGAGGTGAGATATGGCGCTTACAGCACTCCTCGTGTTGTCCTCGATCGCCATGAACCACCCGAAGGGAATATCGGCCGTCTACTCCACTGGACAAGGCGGGGGACGACATCATGAAGCCATCCGTCTTCTGTACACGTTGGAAGACCTTGTATTCACCTCTATCTGTCACGATGTACACGTTCCCGATCGCACAATCTCTACCATCAGTGCAAGGACAAGAAATTTTCGGAGTGTTTCGCTATAAAGGACTTGTGTCGATAGGACGGATCCATAGCACCCACAGGAACTACTGCCCAACCAGCTCGCCCCGCGCAATATTCCCTCGATGTCTGGCTCTGGCAACGAAGTACTCTCTTGGACGTCGCAGGACCCCCGGACAAGTCAGCTCTTTGGCAGCTACGGGGTGTTGTATAAATTCACGGTACGCCAGTACGCTGTCTGCATATTTGCCGACCGTTGAAACCATTCTTCGACTGTAGACGGACGTGAACGCCCAAGGCGTCAATGTCACGACACTATGGAGGACAATTCGCGCCAACAAAGAGGACCGCGTCGCGAAGCTTGAGTGGGCGCCGTCCGGCGGGCTTGGACGCGCGGTTATTGGCAAGGTGGGATGCCTTGCCTCGTGTTGAACGGCTGAGCGCACGACGCGTCTGACTCGTTCGGCTTCAGAGCACGCTGCCCATGGCAGACCTAGTCCGCCCCGACCCTCGTGTACCGGTAGGCATGCCCAATCGACAACCATTCACGATGGTTCCTGATCGACCGGTTCGTCAGAATTGCAGGATGTTCAACGGCCCCGACGGCTATCAGTACCGGTGGCGGCCAAGCAGTAACGCCACAAACGACGTTGTGGTATGCAGTGACCATGACCGAGCTGCACGGCGACCTGACGCTCGTGCTATGATAGCTGGAGGACCCGAACGGAAATGTGATTGCATTTTACCGCCATATCCGACCGCAGCGGTACAACATTGGCGACGTCTACTGCGAATTGCACTTCGTGCGGAATGCCGGAGCTGGCGTCGTGGTCAGTCGGTTCATTGCCAGTGTGTTTATCTGATCGTTCTCATCGGCTCCATCAGATGCACCCTCCCCTCATGGACACGGTGACGGTGACAGCCATGCTGTATCGTTTCGTCATTGCCTATGCCTTGTGATATCTCTTCTCGCATTCCCGTCAGCGCATCCCTCATCTTCACATTCCTACATTATTCGCAATCACACAAAATGTAAAAACTACAGGCACACAGCGCAGGATCTCGCTATATGTATCCTTCTAGCATACGCAATGGTCAGATGTACAGTATCCATTAATTTGTTCAATGACGAAGAGTTCCGAACCACGTACCGAAGCGTGTCGCAGAGATCTACAGCGCGTTCTAACACCGTTCGGCGCGAAGCTCCTGAGACTTGGTAACGGACTCTATTCCCTCTGACCTCTCGACACACGTAAGAGCGCGAGGGCGTTGAGGTGATAACGGAGGCATTATCTGCGAAGAATACAAATCGAATGACGGAGTATAGGTCACGCAGCCTACAGTTTGGCCCCGGGTGCGGACGAAGTCTCCGGCTTCACGACATCCAAGATCTCGTCCACCGTACGGATCACCCATTCCGTACCCTCGTCGGTTGCAAGCCAATAGTCTTCTTCGCTCAGGCCCTTCACGTTGCGCGCCTTCAGAAGGCCGAAGACGTGGCTCGTGAGCTGAGGTCCGACGTGTTCCTCGGCACGCAGGCACGCAGTTCCGACGACGGAGCCTAGCGCGCGACTGAGATTGCCTTGCTCAATATCACCGCCAGGCATCGGGGAGAGGACGGCGCCATAGGCTTGGATAATGAAGACTGATCGGAGGCAGTAAAGATCAGCATCCACAGCTCCGGAGAAGCGATTCGAGGCAAATGGCCAGAGTGAAAGACTATGGGCGAGATAGGAAACTTCGTTGTTGTTCTGCGACATACCTATGAAATCGGGGTGATACCCGCCTAACTTGTTATAGAGCTTCACTGCATGCGGCTCGTAGATTGTGTCCCACAGAGCTTGTCCCCGCGCCTTGATTGCCTCTATGTTCTCCGGCGTCGCAACCCTTAATTAATTCCCCGGTATTATGACGGCTGGCAAACAAAAAGGACAACAAGGGACCCACCGATTGGGTTGCTTCCGCAGGCCGTTTTTGACGTCCTCTTCGAAGGCTTCGAACATGCCCGCAAAGGAAAGGATGGTCTTCGGCAAGTGCGAAGAGTTGGTAATCCCGCCGGTGCATGTAATATCACAGCGTCACTTACTCGAGGTACGCCGACAAATATGCAGCTCTTCATAGCAGCTTCGCGCATCATGGCGGCCTTGCTGAGTGCTTCCTGGTAGCTGCGGCGAGTGTCTGCAGCGCTCGGGTCATTTCTAGTCGCGAAGCGGTAGAGATGGCCAACGGAAGGGGGGATGTTGGCGGTCAAAAGCGTGCAAGTCTGCGGTATATCGAAAACAAAATGGGGTCAGAGAAGAGGCCATGCGGTGCGCTGAAATCGATGTGCCCTTGATGGACTCTGCAGCATGTTCTGGGAGTAAAGAGACGCACCGCGAGGGTAAGCCACCCCTTCTCCGCTTTCTTCTGCTGGGCATCCCTGAACGTGCGAGTGAGCACGTCGTTCAGTTTCGCGAGCGGGGGGCCCGGGAACGAGTTCGGGTTGCGAAGAGTGAGGAGCTGCTTTACAACTGGAGGGAGGTGGGCGACCATGGTGGCTGATCGGGGCGTCTAGCTGGCGGGTGCAAACTACTTGGAGAGATCTAAGCGAGCTCGAGGGAAGCGGCAGCCAATCCAACCGGGTCCGTCCTGCTGGTCACCCTGTGGTCAGCTAAGGTCACCGGTCTCCGCAGGGCCTCCGTGCCTAGATATACACGTCTTCGACCGTGAGTTCGACGCCAGCGGAGGTCACGGCCGCCCGACTCGGTCACCCGGCGCACACACACAAGCCTCTCCGGCTGCTTCCCTCGCTCACACGGACTGCTCGGTTCCCACATCGTAGTCACAAACTAACGCAGGATTATCATTGCATTACTGCCGTCCAGGCAGGGCATGTCGAAAGATACGGCAGTGTGTTCTAGACGGCGTGGAAAACAAAGCTACCGGGCCGCCCACAGACGACCGAGAAGAAACAAGGGGATGCACAAAGTACACATCAATGAGCGCGCGGGTATATACGAGGTGCGCATGAAGGTCAGCGGCCGCACAGCGGCGGCATCCTTTGCGGAGCGCCGGGCTGTTCACTGCCAGCTGTTGTTGATGTAAGTGTAACCGAGAGAGGTCGGCGAGCCACCAGAGATGAGAGCATCCTCCTGGTTGACGTTGTCCATGTTGTCAAGGATACCTTAGATACCCCGTGAGCCCAACACACTGACAACCGAACGGTGCATGCACATACCGAAAGCAAAGTAGGACTGGATCCAATCGGTCGAGTCCATCCACTGGATGACATCGCTGTAGAAGCTCCAGATCGCGCCCGTGTCCGGTTGGTCGCCACCGCCAAAGTTCTAGTGCGAGGAATAAGTGCATGCGCAATAAACCATGAATGACGGGCATACCTGGCAGGCGAACTCAGTAACGTGGATGGCGTTGCAGCTGCTACCGAGAGTGTCGTGGTATTTGTTAAGGTAGCTCTTGAAATCGTCCGCGCTCGTGGTGTAAACGTGAACCGCACATCCTGCGGAGAACTGGCAGGGCAAAATGAGATGGATTTCCAAGACCCGACCTGACGACTTACGTAGCATCCGTTGCACGACGAAATGAAGGACTGCATCCAAGGGATACCCTGGTCGTCGTTGGTGACCGCAGGGGAAATCAGCCCAAAGCCCACATCCGCCTTCGGCTGGATATACTGTTGCCACAAGGACGCGGCGGTACCAGCATCTATGTTCGCTTGGCCAGATTGCTCAGGTCTTAATATATCAATCAATACTGAGCAAGTTTAGGCTCAACAGAACAGTACACACTCGTTGAAGCCAAGGATGTTCTGGCCAGAATATGCTGGCGTCGAGACTTGAGACTGGAAGTCGGAGACCTGGTTTGCGTCATGGAGCATAGGCCAGTAGTGGTAACCGAGTGAGATCGCATTCTCGGGCGTCCAGGGGCTCCAGTTGTAAAGGCTAGCCGTGGATGATAAGCGTGAATATCAGCAGGAGTACGCGATTGCTTACTAGTTGGTCTGAGCGGTCTTGACGGTGGCGAGCTCGTTGGTGTCGCTGCCAGTCCAAGCTACGCCAACCTTGCTGCCCCAGCTGGTTCCACTCGTGGGGCTAGCAGCCGGGGGGGACGAGCTGGTCGGGGTCCAGGCCGGCGTGTCGGACGCGGTAGGAGTCCAATCGCTGGAGGAACTCCAATCGCTAGAACTCCAATCGCTGCTAACGACATCCGTGGACGTCGGCGCAACCCAAGAAGACGACCAGGTGGTAGAAGCGGCAACGTCAGAGCTGGTGCTGTTGTCGCGGTTCTTGCAGCGCTTGGTGAGGGAACGCTTGTTCTTGTTCGCCCTCTTCGAGATCCCCTGGTGCGCCGCGAGGCGGTTCGCACCCTGGTGGGTGGCAACACCGGAGAGACCGTTCGCAGTGGGTGCGAGAGAGCAGACGAAGACGGCAACGCCTCCGACTGCCAACAAATTGAGGAGTTTGAGCGAGATCATGTTGTTGGGCGCAAGGAGGTAAGGAGGGTGCTTTGCGAGAGCAACTCAAGGAGAGGGATGTAAAAGAATGACGGCGCCCGGGGGCTGGTGCGGACAAGACGGAGGGTCGTAAGAGGGCGGGGGGACGGATGGATGAGTTGGCAGGAGAGAAAACGGTCGCGAAGGGGCGGGTCAAAGGGGCGAGCATCCTTATTTGGCCGCTTACGTAACTGCCAAGGGTCGCTATCCTAGCCTCGTGTGCCGACGCGCATGCGGTCTGCGAGGCCCAAGGCTGGCCCAAGGCCACCGCCTGCGGGCTGAAATGCTGATCCCGCCTTCACGCTCTCCACTGGCAAGTGCCGCCGTCTGGTGCGCGTTGTGGTCTGGGGTAGCATCATGAGGGGGTTCGAAGAAGGGCTGATTGCGTGCGCGCAGATCGCGTCTGCTTATAAGTGTGTATGTACGACGTGAAACCTGTCCTAGCGGAGAGACCTGTCTTAAGCCGAGTCTCCCTGAGGGGCCTGCGCCAGACCTCGCGTGAAACCACCCTGCGCACGTCCCAGACCGCAGAACGAGGCGTGCCGGGGCGAAACAGGCGGCTTCACAGCCTTTGTCAGATGGGAAGATGGCAGCGGTCATGGCGACGTAAATAATCATAATCCAGCGGCCAGCCTAACGCGAGCGGAGTTTGCCATCCAGATCAAAACAAGCCGGCGTGCGCAGGCTCGCCTTTCTCCCAACCCCCAAGTTTGACACGAAGAAACCGGTTCAACAAGTTCATCGCAACAAAAACCACCAGTTCCCCCTCGCTCATCGTAATGTCTGACGCCCCCGCCGCCCCTGTCACCGAGAACGGCGTGCCTCCCGCTACCGAGGAGAAGATCGTGGAAGAGACCCCCGGCTTCAAAGTAGGTCGCATGCTCTCTGACGTGGCACCCTGTTTACCCTCCGTCCGCTTAGGTTTTCGCCGGCAACTTGGCATACTCTACCACGGATGAAGGGCTGAAGGCATTCTTTGCTCCCGTCGCGAGCGACATGTATGTTTTGCATCACGCGTGTTTGATCATCGCTCACTTTGTTCCTCCCTCCAGTTTGACTTCCCAGGTTATCTTCCGGGGCACGCGCTCGGCGGGCTATGGCTTCGTCTCTGTGGCCACCCCTGAGGCTGCTCAGAAGGCAGTCGAGCTCCTCGACAAGCAGGAGCTCGATGGTCGCCAGGTGATCGTCGAGGTCGCCAAGCCGGCAGAGCAGAAAGACAAGGAGAAGAAGGAGAAGAAGGCCAGCAAGAGGCGTCCGGGTCGTCGCGGTAGCAAGAGCGTACCTGGCGAAGTCTCGGAGGCCGAGGCTAACGGTGACGCTAATGGCGACGCCGAAAAGGCCGACGGTCCCGCTTCTGCAGAGGGCGAGAAGCCCAAGAAAAAGAAGAAGAACAACGTAAGTTTCTACGACTCCGATATGTCGTACCTCCGCTGAGCTATCGATATGTAGCGCAAGTCCAAGGCGGCCAAGAAAGCTGCGGCCGCCGCCGAAGGTGGTGAGGCCACAGACGCTGCCGCCGCCGATGGCGCCACGGCCGAGGGGACTACCAAGAAGCCTCGTGCGCGTAAGCCTAAGGCACCCAGACCACTGCGTCCTGCTGGCGAGGACCCCGCCGGGGAGCCGTCAAAGAGCGTCCTGTTTGTGGCGAACCTTGGCTTCAGCATCGACGATGCCGGTCTCGCCCAGCTCTTCACGGACGCCAGTATCCCCGTTACCTCTGCTCGCATCGTTCGTCGCCGCTGGGGCAAGCCGCGCAAGAGCAAGGGGTACGGCTTCGTTGACGTGGGTGATGAGGAACAGCAGAAGAAGGCTATCGAGCTGCTGCAAGGCAAGGAGGTTGAAGGCCGTGCTATTGCCGTCAAGATTGCCGTCAACTCGCAGACCGAAGAGGGTGCGGAGAACGATACCCCTGAGGCTGACGAGGAGGCGAAGCCTGAGAGGGAGGCCACTCCGGAGGTGACTGTCGTTGCTTCCTAAACGTTCGATCGCACATTGCGGTCTGCATCAGAAAACGTCCTGTCCTCCACTTTCTCTTACATGCATCCCACTCCGTTAATCCCCCTTATCCCCCGCCCGGCTGGATCCATTCCTTGTCGAGGTTGACGCAAACTGGTGTTGTTTCTCCCGTCTGATCGCCTACTTTGTTGGAGCGGTCTGGAGCCGTTTCTTTGTCGATGGTTGGTGTAGTCGCTGTCGTCAATCTGCTAGCGACTTAACCTTGCTCTCGTGTATTTATGATTGTTACGACCCGTACGAAACGCACATCTTCTATCCCATCACTGGTGCCGGTTATGTAAGGTGCCTCCATCATGGCCGATGAGGAAGACGACTATCTGTCCGACAAGTTCCTGCTTGAGTCTGCCCCTCCTGCTCGTGCTGCACCTACGACTTACGCTGAACGTCGGAAGGAGGCCCAACGGCTGTCTGCTATCAAGAATGAAGAGAACAGGAAGAAGAGTAGGCGTCAGCTGGAGCAAGAGGCCCGGGAAGAGGGTTTGAGCAAGAGCTTGTTTGAACGCGCGAAGGATGAAGAAGCCTTGGGGCAGCAGAATAAGGCGTTGGCGATGATGATGAAGATGGGATATAAGCCGGGGGAGTCGTTGGGCCAGAGGTATGGCGACCCGCCGCCTGTGCAGGGCAGCGCTCCTGCGTCTGAGTCTGCTACTCCGGACAACGACGCACCAGCGGACTCTCCCAGCGTCGCAGAGCCAGTCAAGGGCGGTATTGGACATAGGCTCGAGCCTCTGCCTCTGAACGAATGGGCTGGTACGTCCTCGTCCTCATCCTCATCCCAGTGGCACCCGCCGCCCGCCCTTTCGGTACTCATGTCGATACGCAGGCAAGACGGGTATCGGCCTGCGCAAGCGGGCCGCATCTCCAAGTGCGTCGGAAAGGCTAGCCAAGATGGCGAAGCTCGCGGGGGAGGCAGACCATACCAGCTTCCGCGACCGCGCACGCCAGGAGTACGAGGAGCGTCGCGCCCAAGGCCGTCTCGCGCCCGCGCAACGCACCTGCGTCAATCTGGACGAGCAGGATGGTCGCAAGGTATGTCATCGCACCGAGCAACCATGTGCTGTACCACGGACATCTGACTACGGTCGTCCCCAGTTCAACATCCTTTGGCTCAACCCTGAGAACCCGGAGACGTTCCCGGAGGGCCTCATCGATGACCTGGATGATCCTGAGCTCGTCGCGAGCCTATCTCGTCAGCAGGCAGGAAACACCATCGAGGGTCGACTGAAGGCGAAGATGCAGGCAGACGCGCTGCAGCCGCTAACGGCGACACTCGAGGATGACGACGCGCAGCCGGAGAAGACAGAGTTGCGTATATCGCCCTATTCGGAAGAGGAGATCCAGGAAGCACGACAGTTCCTCCGTCTCAACGTGAGTGGCAGTCTAATTACGTTGAGCGCAGTCGTGAACGTGCTCATGATGCTCCTTATGGGTGCACCTCGTCCCAGGCAAAGCATCGATTGCAGCTGGTGCTTGACTACCTGCGACAAAGATATGCGTACTGCTTCTGGTGTGGAACGCAGTATGACAACCAGGAAGACATGGATCAGAACTGTCCGGGACCGGAGGAGGACGCCCACGACTGATATGATATTAGGGAGGTTGGCTCGGTTACGAACGCAGACGACGTAGTTGCCATCGTATGTCCCCCGTGACGTCCAATTCGATGTAGGATGTAGGGAACACGCCCGAGGATTGCATTGCAGGAAACAATGACAGACAGATGACCACGGCAACGAGTGTACAGAGGGGGTAACGAACGGTCTGGGTATCATACGGATGCGACGCAAAGGAAGGTGCGAGAAACATTTTCGAGGATACGACAAAGAAACGCTCGTCCATGCTGAATAAACAGATGATGCGTATTGGTACAGTGTGGAGGGGAAGATACAGCGATGGCTATCAGTCCGGTAAAATAAAGTTAAGTCAAACATATAGCGGCAGCGAGCGAGGGCACGCGAAGCACGCCGCCTGTTGCGGCGTTGTGCAGCGAGGTATGGGTAGGGCAACAGCGGCCTGGAAACTTTAGGTGATGCACTCGTAGCTCACGCCTAGGCATCGTGCATGTCTTCGTCATCTGTGTCCGAAGAGGCGTACTTCCACGTCTCCGGAGGAGGAAAGACGTGAGGGAGGGTGGGAATCGAGACGGGCTGGACAGGACTGCACGACCTCTTCCGGATGCGATGGGAGAAGGAAGGCGACGTTGGCGATGCTTGTGGTGTCTTGCGGCGGACAAACGTGGATATTGGTGTGTTCGCAGTCAAGTCGGACTGCGACAGGACGAGCTTGCGAGGGCGTCCATACGACTGTCGCAAAGCGTTGTGCGACGCACGCCGAGGTACGGTCGGCGATAAATAGGGTGATGTTGATAATGGCTGGGTAACGAATGTGAGATATGCCTCGAGCAATTGCACTTTGTACTCACTCGAACAGGTGCTTCCTCCATCTCTTCCTTAATGAAGATGGGAGCACTGCGCTTTCTCATGTGCGACTGTTGACTAGGTCAGTCATGAGTATTTTGAATCATTATGCTGCACTCACAATGCAGGGCGCGTATGGCGTGAAGCGGGGCGCACGAACGCGACGCCTCTCCGCATCTAAGTCTCGGTCTGATGGTGAGTTTCCGCGCTCGGTAGCGGATGATCCCTCTAGACGTATGAGGGGTCGTCGTGGAGAAACGGTATTGGAGAATGATGAAGAGAGGGAACTGGAAGAAGAAGCGGATGAAGAGCGAGAGTGATGAACACGGTGCCCGACTTGGACGGGTACCGCATCTTTGTGAAGGGCTGGCAAACCGGGCGTATTCTCGAGACCCAGGGTCGCCATGAGCTCTACGAAGGACGGAAGGGTAGTGGCCATAGTTAAGGGGCGGGATAGTCGAGGTGCGACCTCGAGCGCTGCCCTGACGGATTGAAGCTATTATAGCATGTGTATGATGTCTTGGGAACGGGCCGAGGGAAGGTGGTTGCCAGGCTGAAATGGGGGCGCCATGGAGCAGAGGGCAACGCTGGGCAACGACGCCCGAATCCACGGTATGTGTGAGATGATCAATAGACGCCTGGATAGTCGTCGACAAGGCGATACTGGACTCGAACATTCGTAGCGGAAGCGCAACAAGGGGCGCAGCGTGCGCAGCCACACTCTGCTGCCGCAGTCAGTCGGAATTGCGCATGTCTACTTACGGCACAATGAGACAAAGACACCAGCGCCCGCTGTCCTAGGATTGCAGCTCACAGCAGTGACAATACCTCTCGACCCTGCGCGTCGCACAGAGACGACCGTCTGTATCATGGCGACTGCAGCTGCATCTCGACGGGGCCAGCTGCAACAGCGCGACTGCACCTCACACCAGGCTGACTGATGCTTGATGTAGATCGCCGTCCGGTAACAGCGCGCCGATGCGCGTGACGACGGGTTGTAGTAGCGATTGCCATGCGCAATTTACGGAGCACTCAGGCTCGCCGAGTTCCTCGGATCGGCTACCGCTCGGAAGTACTCCGATGCTTGCTCGCGACTCGGATCATTGGCTGGGGGTCATTGTAACGGGTTGCGGCTGCAAAGCGAGCAATGATGAGCGCGGGACTGGGCACGCAGCGGTTGCGAAGGAGCAGGGGAACAAGAGCGAGGAGCGCTGTGCAAAACAGGAGAGGCAGTGGGAGGCAGTCCGGTCGCGGCGTCGCTGGTCGCGCGGATGCGGAGGACGAACGGATGGCAGTCGGGCAGACGCCCGCTCAGATCGTCGCGATCAATCGTTCCGGCGCTCCTTCCCCCGCCACACTCGCCAAACACGGACATACACCGACCTCCACTCGACCACCATGAACTCCCAGCCCGCAGCCGGCTACGGCACCCAAGGCCCATCGGGCGCACCAGGAGGCTACATGCAGCAGCCGCGTCAAGAGATGGAGTATCTCTGCGCAGGTCTGTTCTCTTTGACTGCGCACCCGCTGCTTTCCAACCTCGTCTCCAGATTGCGGCGCGAAAAACGAGATCAGATCTCGAGAACCGATTCGCTGTCGTGAGTGCGGTCACCGAATCATGTACAAGAAGCGAACAAAACGAAGTACGTCCCCTCACTCTGCGGCGCACTCCATTCACTCACTGGCCCCGACAGTGGTGCAATTCGAGGCGCGATGAGCCCTTCTGCCCGCGTCCTGTGCTTCTCTGCGTTATCCTGGACCGCTAGTCGATCTACACTGCGCTGTCCCCTTCATTCATTCATCTGTATATTAATCATGGGTATCTCAATAAAGGTCATTACATGATACATAAGCTAGTCATTACGACGATTCATGTATGCGGAGATGACAAGGCTCATTCCATCACCATAGTCTGAGCCCGTTCATCCATGAGTTGAGGAAGCAAGTAACTACGACGCGATCGAGGATGCCTTCTCCGCGGTCAGTAACGCGCAGCGTAGATTGATCATCGGACCAGGTGGCAACCTCTTTGCCCCTGGTGCTAACGCACTGCAACAACCATTCAGACGCTAGCAATGTAAATGAGCAGTGCGCCTACAAGTAGATCCCTGCCATTCTCTGCCTGTTTCCACTTGTACTCGGAACCCCCGGCCTTGAACCGGCGGGATCTGATCGCGGTGTCAGTCAAAGCATGCGGAACAACAGGCTATGGTGGGCCGCACTTGCTAGACTGCTTCTTCATCTTGCGCAGCTCCCTCATGTGGACCTACAAAGGCGCCTTCTGTCATTTGGAACGATGAAATGGAAGAGATGGACAATTACACGTTCGGCGGTCCCGAAGCCAACGTTGGCGGTATGGTCAGAGAGCCAGTCTATCTGGATGGCCGGTTCCCACCGCTGCGTAGCAGCGTTCTTGCGTGATACGATGGTAACACCGGTATTCGTTCCAGTGTTGGGGTGTTGGAACTGTCTCAGACAAGTGCAACCATCAGACAGCGGGCGAAACGGCTTGATAGACAGCTCGCACCTTGTACATCTCAACTGGCTCCGGCGATTCCTCTACGATCTGGATGATATTGAAGGTCCGTCTGTCTGGGTTGGTGTCCTCGGGGGGATATACCCATCGGAGAACGAGATCGGCGCTTGCCATTATGGGCTGAGCTTGGGGGGAACCGTGTCGTGCTTCGTGAGGGAAGGGGGATGTGGTAGCTGTAAACCAGATTTCACGGCGGGTAGCAGGCTTTTAACCTGCCGGCGAGTCGAGCATTGTAGTGCCGTGGAGTGCTGAAATAAACCGTGCTATGAGGATAGTGAGCAAAATCGTGTTTGTCATAGTAGTGCGCTGTATCATGTCCGATCTGATTAGGCTAGGGCGAGGTTAACTCGCGTGGTCATGAGATGCCGACAGCTGATAATGATTTCGTCCTCGGACTGCATCGAACGCGAATGCGCCTCATCGCGGGCGCAAGTTAACCACACGAGGTAGAGAAGTTGTTGGGGACGCTGAAGGGTCGATGCCAGAAGACGCCTGGGGGACCGCTTTTGGTTGCGGCGACTCGCTGCAGCGGTAATACGTCGCCTTTAGACACAGGATTTATGTGGCTGCTATTGTGACTGCCACATCAGTTAAAGCACCGTACCTTATCGATGATCCTCAGACACCAGCGCGAGAGCCAGAGCAGGCGCAAAAAGGTAATCAACGAAGCATGCTGGACGGAAGATTAGTATGGACGGCAGTGCCTTCGCCTCAATTAAACCTAATAATGCTCACCTGAATAGGGGATGCATGTAATAGTCGGTGGCCGCAGATGTGGTCCTCGTCCATGCGCTGGACGTATGGACGGAGGCCGGTATTAAAATGCGTCGACTCGGACGGAACAAGATAGATTCTCGGCAGGGGTTGGGCGTGAGGGAAATGAAAATCTTCAACGGGCAGGACGACATGAGAGCAGTGGCCTCGTGGCCAGGGCCCGATGACGATGTTATCTGCATGTCACCACCGCGGTCTACTCTCGATTGTCAAAGTTCAGAGGCCGGGACCGAATGCCGACCCCTTGGTCCTGGAGGACTGCTGAACGACGCTAGGGCAGCGAGCCGGAAAATCTTTCAGGGACACCATAGGCACGGACACGGGGGGCGGATGACGGCTATGACCGTCAGCTTCCATAAGCCGAGCAATACAGTATGCCCTTTAGTGGGACGAGAAACATCTCACCAGCACGGCCGATCCTTCTGAGGATGCTCCGGCAAGCAGGCAGAGGGCAATGTAACGGAGATAATGCTGGCAAAGAATTTTGTCGGGTTCCTAACGAGGCGAGGCATGTAACTGGGCACAACGGCTGAGGGCCACGGCTTTAGACCAGCACTAGAAGCGGATGCCGGCAGGGGGGAGGCTAGAAGACCCTGTGAGTGAGAAAATAGAGATCAACTGGACAACGACCGACGTAAAGAATGCATATTTCCGTAGGGCCCGCTGGCGGCAGGCCATTGACCGCACCCGCCTAGGGAAATGAAAACAGCACACCGACGCAGCGCCACAGGCAGCACTCTGCGGCGCGGCTCACGTGAGGACAGAGAGGTGCGCCGGCAATTTGCGAACGCACATGCCGGATCCGTTCGTGTCGGACGGGTGAGGAAGTGTGGGCGCTGGTAGACCGCTGCAGTTGAACAGCATCACTCCCGCCGGGTCTAAGCACTGCTGACCCCGTCGTCGCCGTGCTGACCTCGTCTGCCTCGATCTTCGACAGCTCCGACGGGCCTAAAATATGCCTAGCCACGCCAGCAGAGCGCGCAGCGTGTCCGGCGAAATAGACGAGGTAGCGTTCCCACCACGCTTTGCGACACGGACACGCGCTGACGGCCCATTCCCCAGAGCTCTGACCTCTCTGGGCACGAGGATGGTGGATCCAACCCATCTGGAAAGCCTGGCAGGAAGAAGAATCCCAAGTGCGCCGCTCACGCCGACGTGATCATGCTTACGCTAATGCCCCTCGCAGCTCGCAGGCCGCGCGACGCGACCAGAACCGTATAGCGCAGCGAGAGTTCCGTCTGCGGAAGCAGCAACGCGTAAGTCGTAGTGCCTGTGCAACGTGTGGTGCTCAACGTGTGGCAGATACGCGACCTGGAGGCTAGCGTGGAGATGCTCTCGGGTGGCAAGGATGAGGCGCTGGCTACAATGAGGAAGGTTCTAAAAGGCGCGTCCTGTCTGCTCCTCACAGAAACTGACTTGACAGCAGAAGCATAATCATCCAGACCTGATGCATGAGAACCACGTACTCCGGGACCTGTTGCGCAGCTTGAGTTCGTTCATCGGGGATGGCGCCGGTGGCTTACTTCCGAAGCTCGGGTGGGACTTGAACGACTTCAACAGTTTCCTCAACAAGTCAGAGACAGACACGGCTTGGGAGAGTTACCAGCGACACAAGCAGCAGGAGGCAGCGGATGCAGCCGCCTCGGGTTCACAGCCGGCTGCGGGACAAAAGCGGCCGCAAGAGGACGACTCTCTCGGTGGTCCGTCGAAGCGGACGAGGGGAGCAAGCGAGCAAAATGGCGAACGTGAACGCGCCGATTCTTTCTCTAATCCGATGTTGGTGCCGCTTCAATCCACGGGTCCCTCGGTGCCACAGAACGGCGGCGGTTTGTATACTGCATCCACAAGACCGCATGATTCTGGCCTGCTGAACGAATTCTTGCGTACGGGTGCTTCTGGTCCTTCCATGGTGATGTCTGCCTCTTCGCCTACTGCTGCATCCGGGTCGTATGGTACTCCGTCCACCCAGACTATGGGCGGCTCCTACCCAAATTCGTTCATGCAGTCTGGTTTGGGAGTACACAATGATGCGGGCATACCTCCTATGCCGATGGTAGGCGCATCACCGGTGTCTGTACAGCAACCGAGAGTTGGTCCTACGCCTCCGGCTGTGCCTGAAGAGGATGATGTAGATTCAAAGAAGACGGATGCATACAAACTTGTACAGTAAGTTCCATTCGACTTTTCGATGGAGCCTGCAAACGTCCACAAACTATATTGCAGCTACCACTTGGACAACTACAAACGCAACAGCGCATATTGCTTGCCTTCCTCGTTGAGACCAACGCTGGTGCAGAGGTACGTCGCCACTGCTCTCTTATTGTTCTCATCTGACGAAGTCCGCCTCCACTAGAACCGTCCCACATGGTCCGTCACTTGTTCGGACTTCTACGCCTATCTGGCTAACCATATCGCAGAGAGCGTGATTGATGCGATCGTGCACCCCGAACTTCGCGATCGGATGATTCTTTTGCGAGGTAAGTGGGTGAGAATTGGCGTAATGAAGGTGCTTGTTGACAGCTATGTAGGCCGTTTTGACCTTGTGGACTGCCTCCACGACTATCGCAACGAGGTGACCATTCATGGAGACGACGTGCTCGCGCACACGAATTGGGAGCTCTCCGAGACATGGCTTCATCGATACAAGTGCGTAAATCGGGAAGTACGCCTGTCTCGGAGTCATCTCATGACCATGTTTACAGATTCCTGGTCGACCAGGCTACGCTAGCCATTGCCAACCGCTGGAGGCGTGAGAGGGGCGAAGGCGAGCTGCGCCTGGCTGATTTCCAGGATCCCCATCCGACGGTCTAGGCAGTTGTGTGGATAGAAAATATCTTGTATGGACTTCGCTCTCGGGTACCCAGTGTATATACAGGTCATATCGGTTTGCTCTTGTAATTGTCGCAAAGCTTTGTCAACCATGAAGTGCTACGATCACTGAGAGCCAAAAGCATTCTATGCACAATGTGAAGCTAAGCTGGCTGGCAAGACCAGGCCTAAGTCCCTGACACCGGGCCTAAGTGCGGCTGCTGACGGCATGCACTACAATCCGACGTGAATGGAAATCCATAACTTAACTGCCTATGCTCACATATGCCACATTGCAATCACCAGGATGCCTTCCTCACTCCAGCGAGCTGTCCGGCCAGCGCCTTCGTGCGGAATTGGAACTGGTAGGGAGTCAGCGACCCCGCGACCCCAGGCTCACAACTATCCACGCACCCGGCAGAGACCAAACTCGCTGATGATACCCCGTCCACGGCCAGTCTCAGTGCACCTGTTCTTGGGGGTGGTCGGGCGGGTGTACTTGCCGAAGGTGTTGAGCTGTAGCTGCGCCTGGTAGCGCACCTCCGGAGGGAGGGTTTGGTTGCGCGCGACGTAGAGGTAAGCCCTGCGGGCAACCTCGTTGGCCTTCACACCGTTTCGAGCCTTGATATCCCGCAGGACGCGGGCACTGAAGTTGGGGGGCATGGTGGCAGCAGCAGCGGAAGATTGAGCGCCGGGTGGGCGCGGACCGAGGCGCAAAGTCTCGAGCAGCGTCGGGCGTCTGTCGCACTTGCTGCAGACCGTCATCGCGCGTCGCACACATACACCGCGGCCCCTCTAGTAAACTGCCGAGCGGGCAGGGATATGGTTGAAGAGGTTTTCGTGAGTCTCATCAGACTCCTCGCGAGTCCGTGAACTCATGGTGTTGCTGTAGGTCTAGGATGTCTGCGTCCAGAGCACTTAACCTCACCACCCAACAACGACGCAAACTCGTGTCCACTCTTTTCGGCCTCACGTTCGTCGCGTCCGTTGTGACCGTTTCCGCATCCAATGTCCTGCCATGTCCAGCGCATGATCGAGGCCGATACGCAGACGGAGCAGTGGGCGAGGGGATGAACGGTCAGCGAGCGGTCACTGTGGTGGAGAAAAGACCAAGGAGATGGATAGAGGAAACCCACCCCAAGCCGACATCATAACTCGAGCATTTTGCCAGCCGCAAGCAAGCATAACTTTCGCTATCGTATATGCTAGTGCTCAAGGAGCCTTAGTACGTCGGACGCTAGGTGCTGTGTAGTACTGTACAATCTATCTCATGACGCCCGAATTGAAATATAGGCGAGTACAAGCACATCATGCATTAGAATCGGTGCTACCGTAAGTTTTGTTTCGTCTATATTGTGCTTCCTGCTCTTCGTGCGTCCCTCTGCATAATTGTCAGTCCAGAAGCACAGAAACCAAAATGTCGACACGCACGGTAGGCTATTTTCCTGGATAGGTATACAACATAGGAAGCAGAGGAGGTTTGCTACAGCTTGGCATATGAAGACAATGCGTAAGGCGTCCGCATAAGAGTCTACGGCTGCCTGGCGCAGATGCGGCTCCAACTGTGGTATCATGCTCGTGGAATGCCTATGCAAAGGTTGTGAGCGTCCGGCAAGCCTGGGTGACACAAGTAAGCACGAACCGGATCTGTTCAATGATCTGATGGCGTCATCGGTCAACACCAGCATCAGTTTACTGAACACGAAACACCGACCTCGATGGCACCAGGCCCCGTTATGCGCTCGCGGAGTTTGCGAGTGAGTATTGCCTGCAGCAAAGCGCCACTAAGGCTGACTCCGAGCACTTGGCCAGTAGTGCGGAACAGATAGGTAACTGAGGGGTCGCGTTGTATTAGCGCACGTATTTCGAGAGGTTGCTGACCATGACATACTGCCTGTCGCCACAGCCAAATCCTCCTTCACCACGCTTGCGATCATTGCCTAAACAGATAGCGTCGATGAGTGCTCCGCGAAAGAATGTCCGACGGTCCCGGAGACTTACAATGAGCGTAGTCGTGATAACGCTCGCCATACCTAGACCCTGAGGAACGATGTCGAACCATAGATGGAACCACGACGTATTCTCGTTCCAAAAGACCAGCATAGAGGCGGCAATTACTGTCATGAAACAGGAAACCAACGTCAAGGTATACAATTTGCCCGTGCGGCGCATGACCCTGTGGCGTCGCAGTTGAGCACCGTTGATTGCCCCTGGAGGCCGCACGGAAACACGTACCAGCCGGCGAAGACGCTACCAGTCGAGATGGCCACCTATCGGATGCATCAAGTTGCGGGGTTGTCGGAGAGCACGCGTAGATTGCAACGTACCGAATGTGGAAGTAAGTGAAGACCTGCATATAATTTCAGTGATTGTCTCGAGACAATGACATGGGCGGCTCACCTGCATCGGTGGATGAGTCAAGCCTCACGGCGGAGAAATACTGTGATTGGTAGTTTTAGTTACTAAATAAAGAGTCGGGGAGAGAGCAACACACCAATGGAACGTTGTACAGCTGTGATACAGAAATAAGTTTCTCATAGGCCGCAGTAACGGAGACTGACTGACCGCAGAAAATGCGGCTACACTGCCGAAGAAGCACGCTAGCGATACAAAGAGAGGTGTGCGTTGCTTAACTAATCTCATGGGCATGACGGGATACGGTGACCAGTGTGTTTCGACCAAAACGAAGAGGATGCACCAGATCACGCTGGCCAACAGCAGCCCCCAAATGAGTGGATGTGACCAACCCAGCTCCTCCGTGGATTTAAGACTAAACCCGAGTAGCAGACAACCTACAGTCCCCACAAGCGTGAAGGACCCGAGGTAGTCGATACGCCGAATTTTCGTGTGTAGGCTTTGCTGCTGAATCTCCTCCGGCAGCTTGATGTTGACCTTCACTATGACCAATACAAAGGAGAATAGAAGAATCGGCATCTGTGCCGGTTCGATGAGATTCAGTGGCTTATAGGATCTCGGCATTCTGAATCCGCCTCACCTGGAAGAGGAAGGCTGATCTCCTGTCACGGCGAGCTGAGAACGTGGCGGCTGAAGGAATACGTGTGAACATACCAGCCGAAGGTATCATTGAGAAATCCTCCCAGAGGACCACCCAATCCGGCCCCTAAGCCGAATAAACTACCGATCCCGGATCAGCTTGAGAGTGCTCGGACGGAGGAGGATGCCTACATATTGGTCAAGCCCTGGTAGAGGCCCCGCTGCCGCCTGAAGAGGCCACAGTCAATTACACATGTTCTGCCTCGAGGCACCCCATACTTACAAGGGAATCAGATCCGTTACTGCAATGCTGGACACTGGGATGCTCGTTCAGTACGTGACGTCACGCGTACTGAGCTGTGAACGCACCTGTCATGACCCTGAAATTATCGATAGGTTTAATGATTGGCGCCTCGGACTCGGACCAGCGCAGACTCGGAGCCACTCACCCTCCTCCTCCCATGCCCGCTATTGCGCGCGCGACGATAAGACCGTCCATCGAGGGGGCAAGTCCGCACAGGAAAGTGCCTACACCTGGGGAGAACATGAGGACGATGCATTGCCCAGAAGAGGGCACGACCAACCGAACAAGGACAGAGCGAGGAGCATCGCTCCTTTCCGGCCCAGGATATCGGACAAGCGACCTTACCACAGAACGTGAGCCGCGCGATACAAGCACATACATATCTTCGGTTGGGGACGCACCATACAAAGGGGTGAAGCAGCATACAGACAACAGGTACGATGTTCCAATGTATGAGGATCTGTTAGATTCATTGAAATAGCTGCCGATTGGAGCGAGCAGAGTCGCAACAATGGTACCTATGATACACCGCACGCTAAGAGACTTGAGAATGAAGTAGCAGCAACAGGCGAACCGTCCAAAGCACCGAGGAATACTGCGCTCCACAGCCCTGCCAGAACCCAGGCGAGATCTGTCCCTGAGACCTTGTTCGGAGGTGCAGAGGACTCGGGTTCTTGCGGGTTTGTGGGTCCCGACTCGTCTGCGGGACAGGGAGAGTCGGGCCTGCAGTCCTGAAGTAAGGGTCGTGATTCCGAGCCGTCTTGGTGGGTCGTAGACATGGCGTGGGTCGGTGTACAATCAAGTGGGGTGGATCGTCTCGTTTATATCTCGTCCGGGAATGAGATGTCCCACGGAAGAGGATATCTGCAGTACGATCGTCAGCGCTGGCCAGGACGTGCGCCCATCAGGGAGACCGACCAGCAGAACCAGTGTAGGTGTTTCCGAGCCGACGTCCGCTACCGCAGAACGACAGTCCGGCCGATGCGGCGTCCGCGCAGATTATATACAGAGGGCGTGTGCCTGCCCACACCCAGCTCGAGATCCACTCCCCGAAGATCTGTCGGGATCTGAACTCGCACCAAGCCTATCGTCAGCATCCGTGATCAGCGGCTGCACGCATTCTACTCTTCCCAGGCGCCTCATATCCTCCTCCTCCTGTACTCGGCCCTCGCCCTGCACCGTGCGTCGCGCTGTGCATGCACCCAGCGTAGGCCGCAGAGGACCTGCAAGTACCCGCGTGCGCGCTGCTCCCGCCCGCAGTGTCGCCTATCGCATCCTCCGATGCTGTCGGGCATTTCGCAAATTACCTCGGCTCAAAACAGTCTCATGGCGTCCTGTGTCGCCTTATCCCGCCATCAAGGGCGGCAATTATACTAGGGTTAAGAGGCCAGTTGCCCACCGGCGTCATGTTTGGACTTGCAGAAGCCCCTCCGGATGGGAACCCAAGTACCAAGGCGCTTAACGAGGCCTCGAAGTGCTCCCGATACATATTTGGCAGTAACGAACAGTTGAATCCGTAACATTCGTGTCAATTGGCCGAAGGCAGCCGCGTTGATGTTCTCGAATCTCATTTTGCAAACGGTAAGTCCCTTTCTGCCCCCTGTGGTTTATCTATCGCAGCATTGCGAGCTTCCGTGATTTGTCTACTCAGTTGACGATGTTTTTCAAGTACGCCGTCATGCCGCATGCGGACCACATAATCCTCATTCACATGATGTGATCCGCTCTTCATCGGAGCCGCCTTGTGTGGGACAAATCCGACTCTGCGCCATTTACTCAGCGAGACTAAGGTGTACTAAGGTACGTCTCAGCACAATCGTCGTCGTGTTTCAGCAGCCCCCCCGCCCGACACCCGAGCTAACACCTCTTTTCTCACCTCCGCCAGGCATGGCCGCGCTTTCACGACGAGATATATGTTCATCGTAACAGCAGCGTCGCAAGTGCTTCGTACGAGCTGTAAGCGAATTGCTTGGCAGACGCGCAATTTATTTCGCATTATCTCCATCCGCAGTCGTTGCGGCCGATATCAAATCGACGCCGACGCGGTTGAACTGCAGTCGCAGTCTGAGGCAGCGGAGGTGCGTAACACCATATTTCATTTTGAGATCACCCCGAGGGTGGTCGCAACAAGTCTTGTGCCAGCACACACAACGCATGCCGGTACGTCGGGACCAGCAAACGAGCGGGTGCGACTTACTCATTCCTGCGATTGATCGGGTCAAATGGCCTGCAGGGCTTGCAGCCTGAGTGTGGGCGGGCTTCTGCTGCTTTCCGCTCAGAAGGTCTTGGGCGCTGATGCCGGCACAAATGCAACGATGCCAGACCAGCATTTGTAGCGACAGTTGTTCGTCTGTAAGGGTTTACCTTCGTATACGTACAAGCAACCTCCTCGCGGCGGCATGTGTGCTATGCAGCGAGTGGAGCTACATACAGTTATGTGAGCGTCATTAATTTTTGTCGCCAGCGATCTCCGATTCTCGTGTTGCTCTGGACCGAGGGTACTGCGTGTAAGCCCGCTGGAACATGCATGGGTTTGCTCCGCGACTCGACGACCATCCATGGATGCTCCGGCGGTCCGTAGACCAAGGAGCTCACCACATACATACGACGACCGACAAAGGCCCAGCTGCTGCGCAATGCGATCGTGACTCGATAGGTCTGAGACACTAAACTGACGAAGCGCGTTTATCGATGTGGAAGAACGCATTCGCTATGCCTGAGCGCACGATGGAGTGGACATCCTCAACTGCCCCAACAGGCCGGGCCACAGGTGTGGGGTTCTCACCTGTGGGCCTGCCTTGAATGTGCCAACCGCTGGTGCGTGGTCATACTAGATTCTTCACACATTCTAAATGTGTCTATTTAGGTCATCGTATGTTGGGCAGGAAGGCGCGAATGTGTTAGAGACCAGAAACAAGGTTCATGGAATACAGTTGCGAACGCCTGACGGGTCACGGTTCTCTCCTTCTCGTGCCTTCAGCACGTCCAACTGATAATTGCACCTGCGAGGCCTTCCCGTCTCCTCTATGTCAGCGATGCGTCTGAGGGAACGGGAACTGCGAGTCGGCACACGTTGCCCCATCCTCCACCAGTAATCAACTTACGACAGCGTCACTCTAAGAAGCGGAATGCAAGAAGGTGATCTGCACGGTCGATTTTCACTGTGCTCCCTTCTCCAAATCCACGAGCCATCGGAGGAATACGAGAAGTAGGTGTTATCAATGTCTCGCGCCCTGCACCACAATGTCGCTGCACTGAAACCGTCGGTCTAGCTGCTAAATCCAACGGTTCGTCGTCTTCGCAGTTCTCAAGCTCGCGGCCCTTTATGACGATCATCCCACCCCCCGTCGAGATTAGGACCCGTGGACCGTATCTGCTCCGCTTTGGCGAAGCTTTGATTGGATCGTCGCTTCGGGCACATCACTTCACGCTAAACCTGCTTACCTGCAAATGTCCGATCGGAGGTTGGAGGGTGCGCAGTGGCAGATAGCCTCGGCTTTCGAATTTTAGTGGTCATCCGGATAGCGCCGTCCGCTATAAATGGTCGTACGTCTGCTCATATGCGGGATGGTGGATGCCCCAGGCCTATCCAGGATCCACGATTGAGCGGGAGGCAGAAGGAAATTCGCCGCGGAGGCGAACGTGACCGAGAGCTGGCGCTCGTATGTACGCGTATCCCAAAACTCGATAGTGTTTCGTATCTAACCAAGACTCCGGCGAAGCCTACAGTGTAGGATCCCTTGTACCTCGCATCGCCGAGTGCGGCATGCAACTGTGGATTCCTCTTGGACCACAGTGACCGTTCTGTAATCCTGTGTATTGCTCAATGACCAGCCGGCTTGATACCAACAATCTGACCGTTCACCACGGACGGAAGGTTGGCCGATGGAAACACCAATCAGTCCTGAACGCGCTCTAATCATCTGCCTACAAATGAGCCGGCGACTAGCCAGTCTCCGGCGTATGTTCAATGTATACACTCCGAGTCGGATTGAAGCATGTCGCGCACTCGGATGCACATTCACTGATGGTAGGACTGGAACAGTGTCTCGGTCGACTGTGTGGTTGCCGAACCACACATAAAACGGAGCGTCATGTTATGTCTATTTGCCTACCGCAGCGCGGATGGTTTGGAAAACAAACACACATCTCCTGTACTGCCCTCAAATCTCGCAGACTGTGCTAAGGCTCTGAGCTCAATGCAATGCGATGCTATCCCGGGTCTGACCCATCGGCAGTCTGTAGCTTCATGAAGAAATGGTTCAGCATGATGTATTACCGGCTTGATTTCGAGTGTTGAGTGTAATGCGGAAACGTCAACAACTGCGTTTCCGGCGAGTTCGAGACACAACAGGACAAGACAATCAGGTATTTATTGAGGCTTACTCCGCATCCGGAGAGGGCGCAGCCATCTCATGGATCAATACAGCGATACGACCCCAATGGTTATACCGTTTCATCCGCTTGAACGCATAGGCCGCTTGTTAATACTAGGAAGGCATTCGCTGGATAAGAACTGGCAAGATCTCCACGAAATACTTGTGAGCCGAATGGAGTTCAGGTCAGACGTGCTATCACAGTACGTACTACTTCTGACACTCTGTGCGCAGCGACTACATGAGAAACGCGCCTATATATTGCCTAGCACGGTATACGTTGTGAGCCTGATTGTTTCGAGTTCTAATACTCTGGTGTTCAGTGATAACATACACGCCGACACTGCTCACTGAACGGTTGATTTCAAGGGGCTCGACCGCGACAGAGTCGCTCTCTCTTTTGAGGGGCCGTCTCGACTTCCGCCTAAGTTTTGTCAGCTTGTTGTCCGAGGTTGAACGTTGAACATCCAGAGGTTGACGCGACGCGAATATCGGATTAAATTCGGCAGCCACAACCGCGCGTCGTAATCACGTGCGACTAGTCCGGAGTTGCGCGCGCAGCTCGGATGGCACTGGCAGACATCCAGTAACGGATACATATCTCTCAGCTTCGGCGCGCTACACCTATGCGCATTGTGTAAGAGCATCGGGTTTTTATGACTATCGCTAGGGGGAGAACAACTGTAGCGAAGCATAAAGTTATCTCAAGGTCAGGTTTTGCTTCGTAACAATTGACACATAGCCTTGCTGACGGAATCACTCAGCGCAGCTGTTCAGCCTTGTTCAAGCTTGTTCAGCATACAGATGACTTGGTGACGTCGTGCGACAATTGCACGATCATCCCACAGGCATCCCCAGAGCAACTCGGGAGGGTAGCTTAGCGACAATCGTTTCACTGTCAGGTTCGTGACTCCGGCTATGTCGGTCTCTTCCTGAGCTATGGCCATGGCTTGAGTGCTACCCGCTGCCTAGGTTCCTGCAGACGGTCTTCGTCGAAGAACTGAGCTGCACTGCTGAGTTCACGAGGGGTTTCCCGGACGACTCGCGCGATCGTACCACCCAAGATACGCGCATTGACTCTGGCAAGGCAATAGCAAGGCACACCCTTTGAGGAGGATATTTCCCGCGTTCTGGGAACGACAGCAGGCTCGTCGATTAGCAGGGTAGATAACGATACCCAAACTTGCTTCAGAGTATGCTTCCACTGCCGGGCAGGCTCGGAGGGACAGTTCACTGCATCCGTGCGACACTGCGTCTGTCGCTGAGCGTGAAGCATCATGGCTTCCAAGGTCATGAAGCCCGGTCAGGTAGCCTCGCACCGCTCTGGATCTTGTTCGTGTTCGCATTACTCGTACGTCGTCCTGCAGCTACCACTCTCCTTCGAGGTCACATAGGTGTTTACACGACATCTGCATCACCCCTTGTCGGGCGCATCTGCTAATGACGGAAAAATATAATTGAGCAATATGATCTTTCGTGACAAAGCTTATACCAAGGAACCGAAACTCATGAGCGATTACATTTGATCCCGCGTCCGAGTCGCGCGTTGTCCGCCGTACGCGTGCATGGCGCGCCGCTAGGATTCATTTCCGTGCGGCATGGAATGGGACTTGTCCATTGCTGGGGGTTTGTTTATTGCTGCGGATGGCCGTTGGGCTTGAAACCAGGATTCATGAACGCGTAAAGCAGCCGCGGGGTCTAGGCAGGGCGGCGAGAAGTCGGCCAGGTCCCCGGTGAACCCCGAAAGGAAGCGGCGGGCGTTGGCAGGCTGCTGAGCTAATCGCTGTGTAACATTCCTCGAAAATGGCCTCTAATTCTCAATAATCCTTGAGCACGTCCAGGTCCCGTCCGCTGCAACCGCCAGCCATAACACGGCCCAGGGTCGACAACCAACCTCCTTGCAAGCTCGTGCACCCACACGTTCTTCTGCTCTCTCATCATCACATTTCTCTCGCTTGTTCCCCGGCATGCTGCAAACCGACGGCGAGCCACCCAGCCCCGCACTTCCCCACCAACAAGGGATCGTCCGTTCCGCCTCGTCTGGTCCTCACGGAGGTGCACCCGCTTGGAAGAGCATCTTTCGCATTGGAAGCCAGTCATCGAAGAAGCTTGCAGGCAGCATCACTCCCTTGACCGTTGACACCGACGGCGCGTTCTACACCGAGCCTGCCACCTTGACACCTAACACGTCGCTCACTCCTCATTCCGTTCTTTCCCCCGACCAACGTTCGTCGTATACCTCCTCGAACACGCTTTCGAGCGACTCGAGCAAACCGCTACCGTCCAGGACCCCTCATCGGACACCCAGCACGCCTGCGTACATGAATGGTCATCAGGATTCGAGTGATGTGCCCCCTTCAAATGGCCACGACGTGATGCGCACGCGCACCAAGTCAAAAGCGGAGAAGCCTCGTCTCTTCGGGCGTACCAAGACGCCCTTAACCGCGGACCCTATCCAGTCAGGCTTCCCGACGATCAACCAGCCCAGCTCATCCAAGTCGGGGCCGCTCTCGCCTAAAGCTATCGGTGCAAATGCATCGCGCTTCATCCGGCGCGTCGCGTCTGCTCCGAATGCGAAAGGTCTTTTCTTACGGACGACACCTGGAACGAATACACGGAACGGCCTGCTATCGCCTGGCGACCCATCGCACACAGTTCACGAGAATGGGCTATCTGACCAAGGAACGAACTCCTTGGAGACTGTTTCCTCCGCGTCTTCGAGAGGGCATCCGGTGCGCCCTAAACACCGTGCATATAGTACGACAACCATTGACGTGTCCAAGACCAAGGATCGCGTCACCAATGCTCAAAATCCAGTGGATGGTCCTGGCAGGGTAGCATTCCGACGAACGTATTCAAGCCATTCCATCAAGGTGAGATCGGTACGTGATTCATCCATTGACATGCATGCTGTGAGTCGATGGTCCTTGTGCTTAGGTGGAGGTCGGACCGCAAAGTTTCCAAAAGATTAAGATGCTGGGTCGTGGCGATGTGGGAAAGGTGTACCTGGTACGGGAAAAGAAGACAGGGAAGCTGTTCGCAATGAAGGGTGAGTCGTCAACGTCATAACTTGGGTAGCCGTTCTGAACACCGGCTGTAGTTCTGTCGAAGAAGGAAATGATAGAGCGGAAGAAGATCAAGCGAGCCCTCACTGAGCAAGAGATTCTTGCGACAGCGAACCATCCGTTCATCGTCACGCTCTATCACTCGTTCCAGTCGGACCAGTACTTGTACTTTTGCATGGAGTACTGCATGGGTGGCGAATTCTTCCGCGCGCTGCAGTCGAGGCCGGGAAAGTGTCTATCAGAAGACGCGTCCAGGTTTTACGCCGCGGAGGTTACGGCCGCACTAGAGTACTTGCACCTTATGGGTTTCATATACCGTGATCTAAAACCGGAGAGTACGTGTTGTTCACTCAGGGCTGCAGCATGTGGTCGAGGATGATTGTGCTCAATGCATTATTTTACAGATATCCTCTTGCACCAGTCCGGACATATCATGTTATCGGACTTCGACCTCGCAAAGCAGTCTGGCGCACCTGGAGGTCGGCCCGCCACCATTCACCAGGTTGAGAATGGGGTACGGCGTAATCTCATGGGACCGGAGTAAATCGCTGATCAAGGTGCAGATGCCCCTGATAGACACCAGGTCTTGTACTGCTGACTTCAGGACCAATTCGTTCGTCGGCACGGAAGGTAAGGTTCCACACCTCGGGTTACGTTGTCTCGACCCTGGAGTGATGACGTTACTTTTCAGAATACATTGCGCCTGAGGTGATCGAGTCTTCGGGACACACGTCTGCAGTCGACTGGTGGACGCTTGGGATCTTGATCTACGAGATGATTGTGAGTACTCAGCATCATATACGGCGAATCAACACCGGTGCGGATGTTGACCATATGTTGCGCGGCTCCATAGTACGCAACAACGCCGTTCAAAGGCGTGAAGCGTGACGACACCTTCCATAACATCCTTCATTTGCCTGTGCACTTCCGTGATTCGCCTAAAGTGACATTGTGAGCAATTCCCTTCTTCATGCGAATCCATGTGCTCACCTTGCGTTATTGCACTGCGCGCCCGACGGATCCAGAGCAGGCAAGGATGTTATCACGCGCCTGCTTGACAAGCGAGAGCCGACTCGTTTAGGAAGTCAGACCGGCGCGTCAGAGGTCAAGCAGCACAAGTGGTTTGCTAAAATCAACTGGGGCCTTCTGCGGAATACGCAGCCACCGGTGAGTATGACGTTTACTTTATGGATGCGCATCGGGGCGAAGAAGCGCGCGGGCCTGGGTTCGCGGGAGACGTCACCGCCACCATGGTACTGGGCAGCACTATTCCATTTTGGGACAACTTGGAAGATTGCTCTCCCAGTGCCATTACTGGTGGTCTTGGGAAGAAACCACGACGGTCGCAGTCGAGGTAACTTAGCCGAGTCCTGAACGCCTGATCGACGTTCCAGAGACCGCTAAATGCCGCTCCATTCTTGCCTTATTATATCCATGTCTCCTATTGTGCCACTTACTGACTGGATCTTTCTCTGTTCTCCGTTGCTGGTCCCTCCCTGCCATTGCATCTCTCGGCGGTGCTCGATCCCTGGAACCTCGCGGACAACGTTACTTTACTACTCATCTGGATCTCTGCGAACCTCGCGTCGGCACCGCTCTTCTTCCACTGATGACAACGACATACCCTCCTAACCCGCCTCCGTACTCTCTCCGCACGGCGATACCTTGCGTAACAGATCGTGCCGACCGTTTCCAATGGTGTGGACGCCGTGAACTTCCGACAGATGAACGAGTCGAGTTCCTTGCATCTGGAGAAGCAACAATCGCACTCGCCCCAGGCTTCTCCCCGCACCATGTCGGCAGTCCCCAGCGCTGTGTACGGTCAACGTCTCCCTATCCACGGCGTCGCTGGCGCAGGTGTCCCGGCTACCCCAGGATTGCGCGGAGACGACGGTATGGACCCACCTCCAGAGCAGGTCGACCTATTCACTGGATTCTCGAGTATCACGCTCCACTACGACGGCGAGAACTGAGCAACTCCCGCGCGCGGCGAGGGCCCCCTGTCCTCTGAGGCCGGGGACACCGCTGGAGCCTGCGCTGGTGGATCTATTCTACCGTGCGGAGCCGTACGTGCTCCGTGCGCAGGGGCGCGCTTTCTGGTTTATATTGATTTAGGGCTCGGTAGGGACTCTGCTGTGCTCCTTTGTTGGCTTGCTTTGCGCATTGGTCGCTGTCTATGGTTATCGGATTCACCGTGGATGGATCTCTTATTCCGATTCGACACTTTCTGGCTGCGTTCGCGTCTGGGCTGTCAACGTCAGCGGCGGGCAGTGCGTGCCCGTCTCCTCACCACTCACCCCTTCTGCTCAACCTCTCGCCCCCGTTTTCGGCCCCCCGACTGCATGGCGCGACGACACCCCGGTCTCGAGCTCGCCCGACCCCCCTTCCCTTCCCACCTTCATATCTCCCGCCGCCTACCCTACCAGGACCACTCGAGACCCGCCCGCCGCGCTGCCCGGCCCCGCACTGCATGGCTCATTTGCATCTTTGTTTCTCTGCATCGCATTCAATTGTACATATACCATATGCATGTACCACCAGCATACGTCTGCCGCCGCTCATTACAACGCAACCGCCCATCACCCATCGCACTCCTTTGGCATTCATTCATCACTGATTGGTGTCCTGTGTTTATTGGTCGCGCCGTCGCACATCCCATATCCGTATCCGTATTCATATATCCATCGCTATCTTCCTTCCCTGTTCCGCGCGCTCTCCAGTCCCGCTTCTACGAGCGTGGAGGGCGGCGTACATATTTCCTGACCTTCCTATACCTATTTACCTGCTACTTACTTAGATCGGCTCCCGGTACTTGACGACCAAAAGGAAGTATCTTAGGTTCCGTTGTATGCCCGCGCGGTCTTTGCTGTACGTACGTACTCGAGGATGGATTTGGGTTAATGCGTGCTTGTTCGCTCGCTCTGACTCGCCGCCGGCGTGTGCTTATCAGGCTGCAGGCCGCAAGCCTCGCCTCGTCTCGCTGTTCCCGAGGCTGTCAGCCAGAGTGACTTATCAGACTCTCCGAGGGGCGGAATGCAGGCTGTCAGTAGGGTGATGAGAGCGGGACAGGACGGGTGGTCCTCCTGCCCATGCCTCGCAGGAACATCAAGGCACGATCGACTGTCGCCGACGACCGTCGAACGTCGACGTCGTTGGGCCGTGCGACAGCATCTGGTAGGGCATCTGCCTGTTGCGCCTGCGGTGGTGATTACGCTGGCGGCTGCCAGTGGGCCTCCGGGTCCACGTCAGGCGCGGCGGCACTCCGCAGTGGCAGCAGCCAGATCGCACACGCTCGTCCTGCACTGTCGTCGTACCGGGCCCGTACTGCACTGTACATGCGCCGAGCCCCAGGCTGTGGGACGGGCGCTGCGGTGCTGCCGTAGGCTGCCCCTCCATCTGCACGCGCAGTGATGACGGGGATCTGCTGGTCGGGCATCATGCGTGGGACGGATGCGGAACCTGCGTCGCTCAATGGCAGGGGGGCTTGTTCTTAGGTTTGATTGCTGCGAGCGCACTGGCACTGGGCTGAGCCGTGGTGGCGCGCGGCGCTAGTACGAACAAGGGATCATCCCAGCGCGAAGTTGATTGGGGGCTCCGGAGGACGAGCGGGCTGTTTGCCGCGGACGGACTCGCGGGCAGTGGTCGTGCACAGTGCGAGCATGTGCGAGGCTACAAGGTACCAGCGGGGGCAGCGAAAGGGGTGCGTTGTTGTGTGATGCTATGTCTGGTTAGAGTTTCCTAGGACGGAAGCAAAACGAGCGCGCGTGAGGAAAACGTGCGAAGGCGGACGAGAGGAGATGTGGAGCTCTCCGAGGTCCTGGCGGTGCTCGAGCGAGTGGCCGGCGACGGGGGACGGAGCGCAGGGGCCCATAGGCCTATAGACAGCGGGCATTCTGCTGGGAGATCACAGCGAGAGTTGCCGGAGGCCGGGTGACGGACGGGCAGGAAGAGCTATTCATGGTTGAATTCATTCGTGGTGTGCAGGCAGCCTTCCGCGTTTGGTCTGGCCGTTGTCAAAGCCCTATTGAGATGGAAGGGGCGTATGCCGGCATCGTACGCGCCACGGGCTGATACGTAGCACGCAGACAGAAGAATTGACACGCAGGCCTCTCTGACTCAGGCCTGGTGCGTCACGGCACGTCCATGGGCCGTCCCGTCTGGGCTCAGAGTGGGAGTTGCGGTGAAATGGGACAGGTCGAGTGGCGCGGTGCGAGCACGCGCGCAGTGGCTTCCTGTGGGTGACGAGACGGGGTAACGGGCGAGTACGTACAGATTACGGGTCGCTGGGCTTTGGGGGCGCTAGGGCGTTCATAGATCATATCGTCGTTCATTCAGCGACGTCGAGGCTCGCGACACCCGGCATCCAAGCACGCGTGCGTCTGGAGACTCGAGTGCGGGTGTCCTGGCGGGATACAATGGGGAGTACGGCCGGGACGCGCGTATGACCATGGGATGGCTGGAGGCCATGTGCGAGCGCGGAATGGAGGGCGAGGATAGCCGACGCGCGACATGGGCGGGCGCTTGGTGCGTGGAATCGGGGGTGGTCGCGGTGCGCGGGCGTCGGGGCACGCTGTGGGCTGCTGGGCAGGGCGAGGACGCGTCCGCGGGGTGGGCGGGAGCACGCGTCGCGCGTCGGTGGCGGGCAATCTGGGCGATCGGAGAAGCGTTGGAGGGTCAATCGGCTTGTGGCGCAGAAGGCGGACGCGGCGGACACTGCATCGACGGGGCGTCTGCGTGGCTGCGAGCCGGCGGTACGGGCGAAGAGCAGGCACGGAAGCGCGGGCCAGGCGCAGTGTCCGACAGCGTCCGACGCTGGTCGCAGGCGGTCGCCCTCGCTGCAGCTCTCGCGGGGAGGCTGCCACTCCCGCCACCCGCGACGCCTGCCACTCCCGCACCCGCGACGCCTGCAGGACCCCGACACCGGCGACGAGGGTCCGTGGGAACGGCGCGCGGGGGCACCCTCGAATGGCCTCCCCGGCCCCCAGCCAATGGGCGCGGCCGCTGATGGGATGTGGCGATAGCGCAGGTGGCGAGTGCCGACGGGCCCCTGCCCGATTGGGCGCGGGCGTTCGATCAGAGATGGGCGCAGAAGGTTCCCGCCGAAGAACCTTGTGCGGGAGACCCCGGGGAGCGCAGGGGACGGCGGCCTGTTATCCGGAGTCGCTGGCGGGGGTTTACGTGCTCGGTGCAGAGCCTAAGTCCACCGTTGTCCCACAGACATTCCTGTCCCACACCAGCACTCTACAAATACGTTCCGCTGCCACCCACCTCCCCCGTCTTCTCGCGCCGCGCCAATTTCAAGTCTGGCGAATCCTCGTCCTCCCGCAGCTTCTCCTCTTCTCGCCTGCACGCTACCGTCTTCTTCGTGCATCCCACCACCCACCCGCGCCAGCAATGGCTGATCTCTACCCGCAGACGTACTCCAACCGCCAGACAACCTACCACCGCCAGGACCAGCAGTACCCCGTCCAGAACACCCAGGCCATCGTCTATCCCCAGCTCCTCAACACCCAGTCTGCACCCGTCTCCGATGACCACCAGTCGCCCTCGCCCCAGGACACCCAGTCCGCGTCCCCGACGCGCGACTCCGACTCCCCCAAGCACGATACCCCGCCCGCACAAAAGTCAGAGAACACGCCTCAGCAGCAGCAGGCTGCCAAACCACAGGCAACCTTCCTGACCAAACTCTACGCGTAAGTCGCTCCCCATCCGCCCGCCTCAGACGCGTCCTCACCGACGCGCCCCCAGCCTCTTAGAACGCCCCGAAAACCACCATATGATTCGCTGGGACCCCGCCGGCGAGCACATCATCGTCGAGCGGCCAGAGCAGCTCGCGTTACACGTCCTCCCGAGCGTATACCGCCAGTCCCGCTTCGCCAGCTTCTCTCGGCAACTCAACGTGAGCCGCACCGACCGTTTAGCCTTCTTGGCGCGCCATTGATGCGCTCGCTAACACCTGCCAATACTGTCATCCAGATCTACGGTTTCATGCGCAAGGTCAACCTCCGCAATGTCGATCCCGCCATTGACGATCCTGACGCGAGCACTTGGTGTACGTTGCTGTCCACACGTGACCCCGTAGGCATGGTACTCACCTCCTTGGCCTCCAGCCCATCCGACGCTCAACCGCCACTCGCCTCCGGAAGTGGTCGCAAACTTCAAGCGTCGCGTCCCACCGCGCCTCCCGAAGCCTCGCAAACGCGACAACGAGGTGCCTGTTCTCCCGCCTTCTCGCCCTCCGCTCGGTACGAAAGTCCGCCGCTCTTCCTATTTGTATACTCAGACAAATCTATTGTCCAGATGTTGCAGGACGACCCCGTGGCTTCTCGTCGCCAGGCTCATTCGCGCCAATTGGACAGACTGGCGCACCTAGCTGGTCGTCCGGTGGATACTCCCGCGGAACGCTCCCGCCGCTCACGGTCCCTTCGGATCCCCCAATGTCGCACGCTATGTATTCGCACTCCTCTCACATCTCGCATCCCATTACCCCTACAGACGATACCCCGTCCTCGGCTTCCTTCAGTCCGATGACGTACCAGAGCGCGCCGCGCGAGACGATGATGCTCCCGTCGCCGTCATCACAGTACCCATACTCAGAGCAGACGGGTACCAGCTGGGGCTTTTCTCCCACGAGCGCGTCGAGCCACTCATCTGGCAGCTTGTCTAGCTTGCTGAACCCGAGTACGAACATGAATGGTGGATACTCAAACACGTCGCGTCCGACTCCACCTGCCATTAACACGCACTCGTCCTACGCTAGTGTCCCGATGAGCCGATCCCACTATAGCGCTGGTGGCTTGTCGCCCGACAGCAGGCCGACGTCGGGGTACTCTGTCTCCTCCATGTCGTCGATGCCAGACGCGTATGCAGAATCGCCTCAGCATTACGGTCATCACGATTACTCGCGACCCAGTTCCAGCCATCATCCCTCGTCTGCGCGGCCGCTGACGCCTTCGTCCTCACGGCCGCCATCTTCAAAATCCTATAACGCGAGCTCGCTGAGCATCCGGAGGGCGCGGAGGCACAGCCAGGCGATGCAGCCGTATCCGTCCCCATACGGTGAGCATCCGCCGTTGTCGGCAGGTTCTGAGCGACCTTCGAGCTCGCCACAGCCGGATGAGCACCCGGGCAACATCGCGCGGGTGCGGAGCATGATACACCTCAACTCGGCAGATACATATGGTTTCAACCCTGCGCAAGCGGACTTCGCCTATGGGGCGGTAGATGACGGCCATGTGTCACAGCACGGCCACGGGCTGTATGTCAACACCGGACGAAGCGTCCGGCCGTCGACATCTGCGTCAAGTCTCTCGACGACGAGCTCGGCGGCGAACACACCGGGAGGCGATGGGTATGGGCCGGGTGCGGGCGAGGCGGACATCAACCGATGTGAGTGTTCGTCCGCTCTGTGCGCGACGCGCGGCGCTCGAGGCGCGGCGGTGGACGGTCGCTGACTTCGTGTGCTTTTTTTTCTTGTGGTGGTTGCGGTTGGACATCAGTCTCACCCGACTTCGGCTTCGTACAGATGAACGAACACCTCCCGCAATACGCTAAGGGCGAGATGTAGGTCCGCGCGTGTGCGTGGGCCACTCGGTCGTCGTCGGCGCCGGTGTCATATCGAGGGTGCGTCGGCGGCGGGAGCAGTGCGGCGCGGCGCTTGCAGTGATCGGCGGGGGCAGTGGCCGGGGGCCCAGGAAGTGTCTGATCGCGGTGCCGGGAGCATCTGCCACTCCGTGCTCTGTCTCATCTCTCCATCTCTCCATCTTTGTTCGCTCGTTCATCATGATCATTTGACACGGACTCGAAAACGTGGCTTGTCTCTCGCTTGTCATATCTCTACCTTTCATGTCTCGCTGCTTTGCAAAGCTGTTCGCTGTATTCGATAGCTGCTTTCGTCTCTTTACTCGGTCGCTGTACACTGCTCCCTTAGCCTGTCTCTTCTTCTTCTGGTAATGCGCTGTGATGTAAATATCCCATATACCAAGATGCGCGTTGATATCCCCCTTCCGCACGCGAGTGACGTGATTTACCTTAGGCATCAGCATTTCCCACTTGGGTCCACTAAATGTAATGAAGGGGAGACAGTGCGGCCGCGGATTCATCGGCGCGATCATCATAGAAACACCAGGAGCTTCTGGTGAAGCTTGTTCAGTAGACTCATGCCAGCTGCTGCATGCTGAGCTAACTCCGCGGGAGCATCTGACCGGACGGGTGCGCGCAGCTGCCCCCATTTCACATCGCTCTCCGAGTGCGTTCCGCCTGGGGGCTTAAGGAGCCGTGCTGAGACGCGGCGCGCTGCAGCGGTTTGTAGCGCTGCTTAGAGTAAGCGAGGCGGGCACTCCTGTGATGAATGATTTGCGAGTACTGTAGAATTTCGACATCATGTTCAGTGGGTGTGACCTGTGACGCTGAACTAGGTAGGCGCCCCAGTTCAGGACCGGCTGGGACCTGTGACCATAGGGCTAGTTCAGTCCAGAGGGTCTGTCCGCGCTGGGGCCTACGTATGTTCACAAACCGTCACTGTGACCATCGGCAAAACCTCAGTTCAGGACCCCCTGCGACCTGTGACTTCTGAACTGAAAGCCCAGTTCAGAGAGGCCCGTGACCTGTGACTGAACTTGATGTCGAAATTCTACAGTATGACGGGCCAGTGCGATCAATCTACGCTAAGTGGGCAGGGTGAAAATGGCGACGGGCTTGGGAGGCTCGCGGAGATGGACGCGGGCGAGGGCCAACGATCAGGCGGCTCGCGTGGCGGACGGTGGCTGAAGATGCGGCGCCGCTCGATTGCGATGTGGGCGTGCGCTCTCTGCGTGATCGCGTCGCCGCGTCCCGACTCTCCATCCTCATCCGGTCCATATCCGCTCGCTGCCCCGTCTCGGCCGTCCTACCGCGGCTCCGCCCGTCCTGCTTGCCTACGATCAGATTCGAAAGCCTCGCGATGGCCGACGCGGAGTCCAACGTCCAAAGGCTCATCAACCAGTGCACCAAAGCAACCGGTCAGTCTGCCTGTCGTCATGTAGCGCCGGGTGCGGTCCACCCATCATGCCCAGTTGCTCATTCCGGCCGCAGATGTCGACGCGAAGGTCGACGCGCTCGCAAAATTGCAGGTCGAGTTCGAGAATGGCGCGGAGGTGGGTGTGGGGCGCGTCCGTCGTGTAGCAGCCTCACCCGAACGCGACTTGCGTAGATCCCGGACTCGGACGCGACGATAACTGTGTTCAAGGCGTGTCTCAGGACAGCTAACCAGCACCTGTCTACCGCAACACTGTCCGCTCTCCCCCCGCTCCTTCCCCTCCTTGTTACTCGTCATGGTCTGACACGCTCAACATCCGCCGCGCCCAACTCTCCCACTGCCTCTACTTCCTCGAATGGCGCGTCCGTCATTGACGCGCATACAGTCCGTCAGGTGCTCACTGCGTTCCTGCCCTCTGGCGGTATCATCGATCGTCTCGGCGACAGCAGGGAGAAGTCCCGAGAGAAGGCGCGCGAGGCGCTGGTCCTGCTGGGTGGGTTCGCGTTCCGGAGTGGGGGGACGAGTGCGATGATGAACCGGTCGCGCGAGGGAAAGGGCCCGGAGACCCCTCTGCAGATTTTCGAGAGACATCTGAGGGAATTGGGGCTCGCTAGCAAGGTGTGGAGAGTGCGCGAGCAGGTGCGTCTCAGTGTTGCGTTGGTGTTCCATATGTCTGACAGCTGGGAACGCTGCGGGTGCTCGTGATTTTTTTTGCTCAATCCTACTGCGGTGGAGTACAGGCCGTATTGACACTCGTGCATCTGCGCCGTGCGCACCACCTCTTTCCCATCCGACCATACCTTCCCGCGCTCGTCGAGGCCCTCGAAGACACCGACGGGACTGTGCGCGAATGCGCGCGCCAGTCTACCGTCGAGCTGTTCACGGGGCCTGGCGTGTCGGATGCGGCTCGGGCGGACCTCAAGAAGGAGATGACGAAGAAAGGCGTGCGTAAAACCATCGTCGACGGCGTGCTCTCGCGCTTGCTCGCTGGCAGCAGCGGCGGTGCGAGCACCCCGGGCACCTTGAGCGACGCAGGCTCGGAGAATGGCGATGCGGCCCACAAAGAGTACGTTCCGCCGAGCGTCGCACTCATGAACCGTCGGCCGACGCAGACCGCTGGCCTCCCGCGAACAACGAGCCAGACCAGCGTGGGCAGCGTGCCGCGGCCTGGCAGTCGCTCTGCGATGGTGTCACCGTCGCCAGTTGACAGCCCTACTGCTGCCTCGGCGGGTGGTTCAGACGTCAAGCCCGTTTACGTGAGTGACATGGGAGGGATGTTCCTGCTTGATCACCGGAGCTTATGACGCATATACTCAGATTGCATCAGTGCACGACCTCGAAAACGAGTTCGCATCCATGGTGAAGCACTTCGAGGTAGATATACTGTCAAAGTTCAATGTGGCGTTTAGGTCTGATTGCCGTTCGAATTTCAGAGCAAAGAGACGGAGCATAACTGGGCGGCCCGTGAGCAGTCAATCCAGCGTGTGCGCGGGATGCTCAAGGGCGAAGTCCATACACGTTTCCATGACGCGTTCTTGCTCGGGTTGAAGAATGGCTTTATCAATGCATCTCTCAAAACGGTAACTCTTGTTCGCACAGACACAATCTGCTGACCGTGCTGACATTTCGTCAGCTTGTCAGTTTACGTACGACGGTCTCTGCGAACACATGCCTGTTGTATCAGGAGCTCGCTCTCGCACTCGGCGCCGACCTCGACCCGTCGTGTGACGTCTTGTACACGAATCTCCTACGAATGGGCAGCCTCACCAAGAAGATCACGTCACAGCAGTCGCAGACAACCGTCGACATGATAATCCCCCACACCTCAGCCCAGCCACGAATGGTTATTCCCATGCTGTGGAACTGTGTCCAAGACAAATCCATTCAAATGAGACAATACGCCCTTGGACATATACACGTATATCTTGATGTACATGGCGCCCGCGCGAAGCATGCCATCGAGTCTACTGGCGGCGTTGACCTCCTTGAAAAGTCCGTCAAGAAGGCCCTGGGAGACCCGAACCCGAAGGTTCGGGAGGATGCTCGGAAAATATTCTGGGTCTTCGAGGCCATCTGGCCAGACAGAGGTGCGGCCATCTTGCACGCGTTGGACTCCGTAGCGAGAAAGCAGTTGGAGAAGGCATGCCCCAACCCCAATGCTGTCGCCACTATTGCAGCGCCGGAAACTCCCAAGCCAAAGAAGAGCAGCGTCGCGGCGGCTATTGCTGCTACGAGGGCGAAGGCGAAGGCGAATGCCGCCGCGCCGCCATCCCTGCGCCATCAGGCCACAAGCACCTCGCAAGCTGTGCGAGCGATGTCGCCGACAGGCAGGCGCGAGGTGTCCCCTCCATTGACCGCGAGTACGTCCATGGGCAGCGTGCGTGCCACGTCTCCGACCACTCGATCGCCACCGAGATCACGAATTATTTCTGGTAACATGTCGCGGTCCGTCAGCTCAGGGGCTACATCGACGTCTTCACGGCCGCGGACCTCCCCCAGTCAGCCTCCCCCGGCTTCGCCGCCATCTCCCACACCTGACTCCGGGTCGACATTTCGCAGGCGCACATCATCCCCGCTCATCGCTCCCCCTTCTCCACCAAAGTCTCCTCCGAGTAGTCAATCTGTATTCAGACGGGCTGTGCACACGGCTTTGCCTGCGTCTCCGCCTCATAGCTCGGTAATCACATTCGCCGACCCTGCGCCTAAGCCCGGGCGATCAGCTGCTGTGCCATTGCCCCGAGAGTCATGGTCAATAGCAGGTCTGCATGGCCAGCACGGCACTGAGGAAGAGTCACTGCTTTTAGCTACGAAGATCCCGATCCCTGAAGATAGCGATTCCGATATGGACGAGTCGGTCAATCTGCTGTCTTTCTCGGCGCCCTACGAAAGGTATCCTCCCATCGAGATTGCAAGAGCGAATTCTCAAGCCGCGTCTTTCTCACCGAGATCAAGTAGCTCGCGGCCTGGGCCGTCCAAAGCACTCTCTACCTCCACAAATTCACCTCCGTCTAGTGCGCCGCAAGTGGTCGTCGAGGACGCGCTCCGTGCCCGTGCCGAGCAGGCGGAGAGTGCGGCGGAACGCCTGCTCGAGCTTGTCGAGCCGGAAGAAGATGGCGTACATCCGCCGCCGATCCCCGCGTCCTTAATGAGAAGCACAATGGCCACACCTCAAACGAAAACGAGGACCACTAGCGCGCGCAGCGTAAAGGCGACATTATCGCCGCCCCGAACACCTGTCAACAAGACTGCTGCTATGTTGAAGCAAGCCGCACTCTTCCAGGATAGCCCAGCCGCAAATGGCAAAACCGCGAACGTATTCAGCATGGTAAATGGCACCGATACCGCCACTGAATGGTGGGGGAAACGGACTTCGCGTGAGACTGAATATTCCTAGCATCTTCTGACGAGAAGACTCACGTTCTGTTCATCGCTAGTCATCAAGTCTGCGGGTGTTTCATTGCATCACGAGAGTGCGGATCGTGAGGAAGAACTGCAGGGATACATTTCCGCGCTCGAACAGAGTTCTGCAGATATCCCCGCGCTGAAGAACATGGCGCTTCTCTGTACCCAAATGGCCGTTCTTGAGCCTTCCTCGCCGACAAGCCCGGACTTCGCCGTGCCTCTCACGCCCTCACCCATACTAGGCAGCTCGGATTCCTTGCCATCTATCGCCAAGACCCTTTGGTCTCAGCACAAGAATTTTGACAGACTGTTCGACGCTCTTATCAGGTACTTGGATCCAGCCCAGGTCAGTGCGAGTGAGTAGCAGACGGATGATTGCTGATGTCAAACATCAATGTCAAACAGGATGAAGAGAAGTTGCAATATGGTCTCATCGTACTGTGGGAAATGATCGTGAACCAGTGGTCGCTTCTTGAAGGGAAGGAAGCCGACATATTCACTACGCTTCTTCAAGTCCGGTATTGCGCTAGATTGAGCGTAGGTGTCATACGTCATTGAGACAGCTCCACTGTTGAACCCGTTCTCGTAGGTCATGCAAGCCACGAACATGTTCCGAGATGCCCTCGCAGCGCGTGTCGACGCCGTATATGGTCTGACGACGTTACATGCGTGCGTGCGAGCGTTCCGTGATACTGATCCGCCGGAGTCCTCGAGCGTGGGGGCCAAAAACGGGACGTATGCGTTCGGACTCGTGGCGTTGGGCAAGTTTATCCTCCGCTTGCCTGCGGAAGTGCTCGAAGAAGAGCTACCACGACTTCGTGCCATGTTGATATCCGTGAGTGTCGTCAAAGCCTCCCTACTGATGCTGAATTGACTGATCTTCGCATGACTAGGCATCCAGCCATACCTCCCTCACGGTCCGCGAGGCAGCTGCCGCTGCTATGATCGCTGCACAGCTCGTTTTGCGTGATGAGGCGCACTTGTTCGCCCTCCTTGACGGGCTGCCAGATGACAAGAAGAACCTGCTGACCTACCTCTTCGATAAGCACGGCTGCAGGGACACGTCCGAGATTCTTGGACCCTCGCGGACGGAGAAGCTGGAACGAGAGATGCGGCGATTGGACACCCGTACGAATACACTACCACGGCTTGCCAACATGTCGTCTGGCATGTAGATCGATGGCCTGTCAATGGCCTGTCAAGCTATCCTTTGTACCCGGTACAGCCGTTTTCATCCTGTCCCCCTAATACCCATGCCTACTGTAATCCACTCTACTCCGGTCATTGTTCCTTCCGTGAAATGATGATCGGAAAGTCTATGCATCGACTGACATGATAGTGAATGATGTGAATCATGAACCTCACGCTGATAGCGCTGAACAGCGGGACTGTGTGGTGCTGAGCGCTATGAAAAGCATGGCCTCTCCGTTGGTTTGAGCGTGAAATGAGATCCCAACGTGCGACAAATGTACACGCCCATCGGCCTCGTGTTGAAAACGAGACGGACACAAATCGCTCGCCACAGATTTCAAGTAGACCAGTCTTAGCAATCCACCCACTCGGGTTCTGCCTCCAATGCGCGGTCATTCAGGGAATCGTCTGCGCGCTTTCCTGTGGCACCGCATCAAGACGATGTCGTGAGTTAGTACAATCCTGCCCTGGCCCATATTGGGGGGTCCATTGCTTCCCTGCCAATGTACAGCGGCCCTGACTCAGCTGCCTTTGTTCGTTGAGAACAATACGCATCTTCGCAGCCTCGATGCAGAACGCCATGTCTCCACCGAGGCCGTAATCTCAGGATCGGGGTGAGATGCGAGGCGATACCACCAGCGCCCACGTAACTCACTTGTACGACTGCGGTTAAGCCTGGGGACAGAGGCCTGAGTCAAGGGCCACGGAGTGTAGCAGTGGCGTATTGAATCGGTGGAGAAGACAAATTCGAACATAACGCCTGAGAAGATCCCGAGGAGAGTGCCCCGAAATGCTTCCGCGTCGCTGAGATCTCGATGTCCTCAATTGAACGCATGGAACGGGAAGCCAAACTCAGCCTAGGACCGGTCCAGAGGTGCACGCGCTCTGCTCCACTGGACAGGCCAAATGACTTAACGATAATGAGTATAGTCTGCTGGCCATGTCATGAGGCTGCCAATGAGCGACAGGGCGCTCCGCTCAGGTGTCCTACTACTTTTCCGTCCATGGTGGGACCGTTCAGCGTACGCATGCACGGAAGACTGAGAGGCTGAAAGCCGCAATTGCACCTTGCGTACCCGTGGGTAAGGCTTCATATCCAAGATGATCTAGGCCTATACTATGAGTATGTACGCAGAAACGCGCTCTGTGAGTCACAACGGAGCTCAGCAAGCACCGGCACTTCGGACATTGTGCGCAGAAGACTCAACGGGCATGATCGGCCGTGAGCATCACAAGGATAAGTCGCGGTCAAGCACATCCCGCGAAGGTGGCCGCGCGCGCGGCAAAGGGCCCCTTCCAGGCGTCATCCGTTGAGTGAACATCAGAGTCGCAAGTCACTCAGAGCATACAGCTGTGCGCCAGACGAAGAGCCACCGGTCCCGAAATTGGCTAGACCATGTGCGAAAAGGTACAAGCCCGGGCACTACAAACCTGGACCTACAACGCGATCACGTGATGGAATCGCCCATCCAAGATTTTACTGTCAATCGACGACGCATGTTCTGTTGGCCTCTAAAATTGCGGTATGCTAGATGCGACATGCAACTATGAGACGGGTCAGCTTCGTCATGATATGTCGCAGTGAAGAGTACTCACATAATTACACGATAGATAGTACAGTACCACTCGCGACGAGCCGACATCGTTATGAACCGCCTATTCGAAGAGCAGATGTCATGATGCCTCGACTCGCAGCAACCGACCCGGGCGCGACCTGAGGCACAGCCTGAGGTGTGACTGAAGGTACAGTCTCGGACGCACCCTCGGCGCCTTTGGCAGCCCGCACCTGCGCCCACCGCGGAGGCAACATCTTCGTCGTACGGAAGCGCACCTTCCTCGTCCACTCCTCCTTGCTGACGACCACACGGCGTTTCAGATCGCGCATGTAGATATCCTTCCCCTTCCACACCCGCCGGCCGAGCTTCTCCTTGATGCGCTGCCCCACGCGCCCCACGCCGTCTGCGATTCTCTCCTCGAGCTCCTGCAGACGCTCCAGGTCTTGGCGAAGTATGATGAGGTGTCGCACGATCTCGAAGGGTTTCGGCGGGGTCGGAGAGGAGGGCGCGGGCGTCGCGACATCGACATTGAAATAGGGCGTGGGCGGAACATGCACGGTTTTGTCGGCGACTTCCTCGGATGCTGAGGAAGGGGTGAAGTACGAAGAGAACACGGCAGATGAGGATGAATCGGCGGACGCCGGAGCATCTTCCGAAGGCGCTGAAGTCGCGTTCTCCGTGGCTGAAGCGGCCGCGGACGTTTCCTTGGCCGCCTTGTCTGCGTCACTCCACCGCTGTAATCTCCGTTCGTAGTACTTGATATAATCCCGTTTCCGCCTAATGGCCTGTCCCGTCTTGTAGAGCGTCCAGCGCATCAACTCCAGATCATTGGAGCGGTTGGCTACGCCAAACACCGCGAGAATCATCGAGCGGTTGACGGCCATATGTGGACCAACAATCTCGGAGCGAGGCTTCCGCGCACAGGCGAGCCGGACCTGCCAGTCCACGTCATTCTCGTACCGGATAGCTTGCAACAGGTAGTGTCGCGCGAGCGGAGCATTTCCTGCTCGCGCCAGATGCTTCAGAAGCAGGTGGTACGTTGTAGTATTTGGTACTGCATACGGTGTCCGCCAGGGTGCAACCTGGGGGTTGGATACGCCAAAGTCGTCCTCCTCGTCTTCGTCATAGGCTGGAGAAGTGGTCGCAGATTTTGTGGGAAGAGGCGTCGTGAGGACTTCGAACGCTTGTACAAGTTTCGATACATCTCCTAACCTTCCAAGGAAGTCTACGGTGGTGGTGAGGGCCGCCGATGAAAAGGGCAATGGGGGCGGTCGCGCTTGGGCCGATCTACTGGTGTCTGAAAATGACGACCCTTGCCCTTCTGCACTCGATGCTTGACCCCAAAGCTCCAGCGGTGGCCGGTCGGGGAATGAGAGGTCGATGCCATACGCTCCCTTCAAAAGCTTCTCGAAACCTGGCAGATCGGCGGTCTCCTTGAGTATACGAAGGACCAGGTCGGCGTTCACGGACGTGTACGGCACTGCCTTCTCCTGCATCTCCACTTGCAGTTTCATGCAGAGTTTCGTGACTTCGTCCACAAGCTCGGAACGTAAGTCTGGGGCACACGGCAATGACAGGCGGTGACATAATGCCTGCAGACACAAGCCATACGTCTGGGATGACTTCCGCAATTCCACCCGATCAATCTCCTCCATGACCTCCATGACACCCCGGTGATGGCCCACGGCAGCGAACTGCTCCAAGATGTAGTGATAGTCGTCGAGGCTAGGCGTGAGCCCCGCCGCGCGAATGTTACGGATGACGGTCTTGAACCGCGCCTCGTCCTTGTGCACCATCCGATTCCTTTCTCGGCTGGTAAACCTCGTGGCAGAGGCAACTCGCTGGTGAGTCGCGGGTAGCGTGCAATTCCGCAGGACCTCCTGGTGGACCTCGAGCGGCAGCTTGTCGTAGCGGAGGTGTTGTAGCAGTTCCATGTAGCAGGCCCAGACTAGGCCAGGCTCGGGGCGCAGGCGCCTCGTGAGGAAACGAAGGTCCGAAAGCTTGTTTCTGACGGCGTAGCTCTTCGCGTCTGCACTACTACCTTCCGTGAACGCCAGCTCCGAGAGCGAGATGGTACCAGCAAACTGAGACCGCGGACTGGAGTGTAGTCGGCGCGTCGGATGCGGGGTAAGTTGGGAGGCTGATTTGGCTAGCCGTAGTCGCCTGAGAGTGCATTTTGACATGGTAGGAGGACGAGGAGGACGGCGGGGAAGGCGAGGACGGCGCCGCCTCCTTCTCCTCAGTGCTGGCGGCGAGCACGCTAAGCGCCCACACCGGTACGCGCCCGCCACCGAAAAAATCAGCACGTGGCCGATCTTGGCGATCGGTGGCTGAGGATCGGGACCCGGATCGCATCTCTTCAACGCCAGCGGCCAACGCCTCGTTCTACCCGTCTGCTCTGTATTCATTGATGCATTATCGCTACAGAACGATCACAGCAACTTCCATACAAGTAGTCTCTCTATTCCCTGATGCGTAGGCAAGCTGTCCTTCGGCACCTCGTCCACGACTTTCTGCCAGCCACTGCCCAACGCTTGCACATAATCCTCGTGTCTCGCCCTGAAAGGGGGGCCCACGTCCTGAGGCTGGTCAAGGATAGGGAAGAGTAGCGTGACCAAGTATCCGCCTGGCTTTACGAGTGCCGTCATTTGGCGACCCCAGTCCCCGCGCTGCGATGGCGGCAGGGCCACAAAGAATCTACAACAAGTAGGCTCATGCTCAAGGGACCACCGATACAAGACGGAAGAGAATATGGTCTTACGTATAGTCGTATACGAGATCATATGGTCCCTGTTCCACGAAGAAGTCCTTGACCTCCAGCCTCACCTTCGACGAGGCGGGGTTGTTCATAGATGCCACGAACCTTCATTTCCCAATGAGTCCGACGTATTCTTACGCAGCTTCTGAGTCCTGACTTACTTCTTCGCGGCCTCTACAGCGGCAGGCGAAATATCGGTCGCCAGTGTCTCATAGCCAAGTAAGGATGCGATAGTGAGTGCGTCGTATCCCTAGAAAGTGACACTGACGTTGACTGAATCAGAACCAGCATATGTACGATGGTCTTACCCTGCCACATCCGGGGACAAATGCCTTTCCTGTCTCCGGCAGGTCCAGCAGACCGGAAGCTAGCAGTGATCGCAGGGGCGGCTGCGCCTCTCCGGCATCCCACGGCGTCACTTCGTTCTGCCTTCAACCATATGTGCAATCGCCGCTGAGTCCCGTCGCGTCGAAATTGGGAGAGGTATTCACCAAGCTTTGTCCCACCCGTCCACAGGGTCCTCCTTGATCAGTTGGCGCAGCTGCACCTGGCTAGATTGTGACAGGATCTTCTCAGTGATATCGGACATAACGTATGTGAGGACGGCCGGAAGAGTGGACGCGTGGATCGCGTTGAACGGTGAGTTACTTATATGGACGCAAGAGGCTTATCAATGCCACCAGTCAGATATGTACAAGTGACCGTTCCTCGATCAGCGATCCCCGAAACCTTCGCCGGCTTCCCTTGGGCTGTCCAGCGGAGGGCCATCTAACCGATGCCAATCCTCGAGTATAGCTCGAAGCGGGATATATCGCTGCCAGTGGCACGGTCTCTCAGACATCCGGTGATACTATGAATGGTCAAGGGTTCCACAGATCTGATATCTGCAGTACCAAAGACTCGTCGTAAGACTTCGATTGTGCCCGTCCACAGCAGGGACAGCTACAGCAGTTGTCTTACTCCGTCCTGATGGCGGTGGCTTTGTATCCCTGACATGTGCGACAGCATGCCTTCTGCACGTGCCGCGGGTCTACATGTGGACTGGACCGTAACGGACTGTACAATGCATGCATCCGGAGGCATTCATCCGTGTGTTCAGCGCGCTGCGATGTTACTGGTGTGTTGACCAGGTTTAATTCTGATGTTGACAACTGTCTCGCTGCTCAGGATCATCCCGCTGACGGCTACGGTATTTTTCCTAGCTTCATAGGCCTCGACAATAGGGTTCCACCACCCCGAAATTGCGTGAAGCTATGCACCGAGACTCGGATTTTTGCGGATCTCGTGGAGTGTCTTAAATGGCACGCTCGGCGCATGCGCCCTCGGAGTCTCCGCCGCCGCCCTCTCAAAAGCCGTGGAACATCCGCTTCGAAGTCTGTTAGATGGCATCAGCATTGTATGTGCGAAACGAGGGTACCTCTTTCGTAAGATACCATGCCTGTCTGATCCAGCAGACCCAGTGCGCTCTCACCGTCATCTCAGTGGCCCTCCTATGACAAGCTGCCCAATCAAGATCCTCGTGGGATCCTGCTGCATCTCCGTGCGAACCTCCGCACGTTCTGGGATTATACGCCTTGCAGCCCGTAAGGTTTTCCGCGGTGCGTATTCTAGAAGCGCAGGGTTCTTCTGATAGTGTGTCTCGCGCGGAATAGCAGTACTCTGACCTCGTCCTTGAGCAGGGGGGATGCCGTGGCGGCTCTTAGGTGATGGTGAGTAGGATCATTTCAAAGGATATAGACGGCATCCCAGCATCTCCGTAGGACTAAATGGAGGGCCCGCCTAGAACCGCGTCATCCAGCTCTGTTCACTCGGAGCCCCGCGCATGCAATGTGACAAATAAATGTACAATGTAGTACCGTCGCGGTGGCCGCCATACGCTACCGATGCGCGCCTGCCATCCAAGTACGTACGGTTCACGATGTCTCGCACAACTTGGCCTCACGGTTTTTCTATGAGTGGCATGACCGCCCTTCAATGAACCTAATCAAAAGTTTGGTCCACTTAGACCATCTCTCCCAATGGGACAGTGGACAACTTTAGTCCGTCTCAATTAATTGGCGAGGCCGGGCACTCAGATGTACGAGGTGTTGCCCTGTAACTAGAATGATACAGATACCAAAACTCCTGCCGTTTGGCACGAAAATAGGTCGAGTCTATAGAACTGTCAGGCGATACATTGGACATAGCCCAGCTGCTGCGCTACCGTCACCCTGCCGTAATACCATTTCCTGAGTGTGAACATTTCACCTCGTTCTGCCGGTGCCGGCCAGCCCAGACACCGAGCGGACAGCCGTTACGAAACGCCAACTCGTCCCCCTTACATGCGCGGTGCACTGACTGGTCGAGCCACTGATAGGGCAGCCAGGTGCCCGTTAGGCTCGCGGTGACTTCTACCGCGACGGGAGCCCTGCGACTTCGACTTCGAACGCTGCATCAGCTTCGGAACGCCACAAAGGCGTTGGACACGCATTAGGCAAGTGTGGCCAGTGGAGAGTTTCCGAGAAATGATGCCGGAGGTGTCAGAGGTCTTGCTAGAGCCGGGCGAGTGGATACATCATCGTCCGGAGCACGTCCGGACGCCCAAACGCGCGTCGGCGGACTCATCTCAAGTTTCCTCAGCCCATCCCGGCCGCTCGTCCCATGTCCCAGCCTCGAGTACGCCAACGCGCGACCCGAATTCAATTCGCTGATATCGAGGCCGTGCCCCTTTACCCCGGGTAAGTCAGAACTGCTTGTCAAACTGCGAGCGCCTGAGCGGGCGCGAGCGCGGAAGCAAATTGTAGGCCCGGACGGTGCTGAGAAAGGCTAAGCGTGGGCTGCACCGTCTTCGAATGCCTTCACTGTCAAGAATAGGCCTGATTTTCGCCTTCTCTTCCTATGATGGGCCTTGGTGGCAATGGCTATGCAACGTCATCCAGCTTCTCCAGCGTAAATCTAGGCCTGTCCTAGCCTGCAATCTGGCTACTCATCGATACAACGCATGTGCGCCTTCCTGAACGCTGGGCGCCTACGGATGCAAAGGTACACTGACAGTCGAAGGACTTCACTGCAGTCCTCGGTGCTTCCGACGCTGGGCGCGCCTACACCTCGAGCGCGTGGCTGACGTTGGTCAAATTCGTGTTTGTCCATAAGCCGGGTTTCGAAGCCCAATCGGCACCCGACATCTGTTACGCGTCGGACTTAGTACACAACATAGGGCCAGAGTCTTACGGGGATAGCATGGCCCAGGCGGCAGTGTCCTGCACATGCGCTAGCCCATTGCGGCGAGATCACTGTTCGCCAGTCTGATGTTGGGTCGGCCACTTCGGCGATGTGTGGTCGATCTGCTGAGAGCGTACAGCCTGCTATTAATAAACGCTATACATCACAGTGCTTGTGCGGGGACTTCGCCCGGAAAGATCGCGGTGTCTGCATCAGGCATCCAAGCAAGACGCGGCGGCGGTTGAGTCGACGAGCGTTCGGCGGGTTTTCACGGAGCATAATCACCGCACCTTTCATGATGGCCGCTGGGTCATTCGCCGCACGAGTATACCCCCAACCTAAGTTTGCAATCAAACTCATCGGACACGACACATTGGTAGAATCAGAGCACTTACCTCACTCGTTGAGCACAGCTAGCGGCCAATGCACAAACTCACTCCACCGCCCCGCACGTCAGAGGACTACAGCAGATGCGAGACGCAATACAATTCCGGGTTCCCAGCGGTAAGACACGATCATGAGGCGGACAGGATGCCTTGAGGAGTTAAGGGAGGACGTGGGTATCTCCAAAAATACAGTAGCTTGGAGGCGGGTATTCAGCTTGCGATGGGGGGAGCAGCCGAAGGCGAGTGGTATGTGAGCAAGACGTCATATTGTCCGTACGGCGAACGCAACACATGTGCAGACGATAGAATTCTGTTGGTCAGAACATCAATGTCAACGCTCGCAGCCGAGAAGAAAGACGGGAGAAAATCAGAGGCGTACATTGACAAACATCTCTCGTGCGACCGCGTCCGAGTCCTCCCAGTGACATACCATGTCAGCCCTAGGTCAGGGCTGTGGTCAGAACCGGTGTCAATGAAGCCATCCCTCTACCCACCGACCGCCTTGGCCTAGATTCTCGTGTAGTTGCGTCATAACAATGTATTTACTGTGCCATGACCAGACTCAGCAGCCGAAGTACGCTTCGTGCAGCGGTGGCTTACAATCCTCTAGGCTGGATCTCTGCAGAGTAGCATGATCTCAGCTTCCCCATCCTGAGGAGACATGAAGCTTCACGTACCAACCGCTCGCTCCTTAACTCTCTCGCCAATTTCCTTGTTCCATGCCTTCACTCTGTCATGATCCTTCTGCTCCGGCCATGTCGAATTCTGCAAGGTCGACTGCAGCAGCTTCTTCATGTACGCCTTCAGCAGCTCAGCATCGAACGTCGGGCGCGGCGAAGTCGCCCCCGAGCGGGGTGTAGGCGGAGAGCGTAGTCCCGAGGCCATCGTCGCCATGGTCGAAACGCAGCAGGGAGAGTGGCGACAACGGAGAGGGCGATTCTGAGTGCCGCCGCCGCTGCTGAAGCCGCCACAGCCAAACGCGGTCCGTGACCGGCGCGATCTAGGGCACGTGGCACGCGTCGACTGGCGTTTCTCGCAGGCGCGTACACGGCGTACAGTACTCGTCTCACCCCACACCCGAGTCGCTCACTGTCAGGCTGCGTGCGAGGATGTCGTCCATCTCGTTCCCGAGCAACAACTCGAGCTTCTCGAGCGCGGCGTCGTTTGGGCATGACGAGCACAGTCGCACACCGTCCTTCGACAACGTCGGGGATGGGTTTCGCATGAACCCGCTCTCGGCCCACCCCCCGCGGACGCCCCGCTCGTCGATCGTCGTGGGCTCGTCCGTGTACGGCACGGAGGTGTACAACAAGCTGGACGAGACCCCGGAGACGAAGACGACGTACGAGGAGGACTCGGAGGATGAGGACGACAAGACGCGCGCGGAGGCGGAGGGCAGGGTCAGGAAGGAGGAGATATGGAGGGACTTGTTCACGACGAGCAATGGTCGCGACAAAGCTCTTGTGCGTCCAGCCGAAGCGTTGTACTCCACGGGCTGTATTGACCGTGCTATTCTCGGTGAACAGAAAATCATGCAGTACTCGCTGCGTTTGTACCTCGTGTTCCATAGAGGCTTGACAGCAACGACCATGCTCAAGAGCAGGAAGTCACCATCCTGGGAGGCGGACATATTGAATCGATTTGAGTCTACTGCGAGTGGCCTCTCACTCACGAGGTCCGTAATATCGCCCAACCAACGTGCACTCCGACTAATCCTAACATAGGCGGTGTCTCATCCTCTTCAACTGGCTCGTTCCGCTGACATCAATTATGGAGCAGCATAACAGCGCTGCGGGCAGTGGCGGATCATCATCACGGAAAGGAAAGCGCAAGCCTCTCCTCCATACACTACTAAACTCGCCACCACCGGTGCTGCTCGATCTGCTCTGTGGCGCTGCAGACGATGTCTACACATTCCACCGGCTGGGCATGCTCGGTCCAAAGCTGGGAGAGCGTGCTGGTCGCGTAGCTGACTGGTGTTGGTTCGCGGGCACACTGGTCAACCTCGTTGAGAACACCGTGGAGAGGGGCGTGATTCTCAACTTGCAGCACGAAGGTGTGTGTACTCGTTGCCCGTGCATGTGATTAAACTGACCTGGCTCGACGATGGCGCGCAGTCGAGTCAAGATTGTACGCGGAGTCCATGTCAGGGCAGACAGCAAAATCGAACCCGACGGCGAACAAGATCGACGACAAGGAGCTGGTGCGGCTGCAGAAGCAGGACTTCTGGATCCAGGTGACGAGGCTGAAGCTACTGATGGACCTCATATTTGTCTGTGAGTATCTCCGCTCGGACTATCATCTGCCAGGCCCGTGAAAACCGAGACTGACGATCCGCAGCGTACAACGTCTTCCGCTTGAACCGGGCGAAGCGTCCGATCCAGACCGCCACTGGCTTCGCTGCGGCCCTCCTGAGGTGCGTGTCTCTGATCTATACGTCATTTGCTGCAAGTTCTCAGAAATGGCGCATACAGCACTGCAAAGCTATACGATCGCCACAAAACGACACTGATAAAGGCGGCGAAGCACTAGCGCAGATGGATACATACCCCCAGCTACCGCTCTTCGTGTTCCTATCTTATATCTGCATATTCGCCGGGCCTTAGGGTATGCTTGAGTTTTAGTGCTGTTGCTAATATATGGAATACTTTCGGATACATAGATCCCATTGTGCGCAGTCATCAGCGGGGAGCAGGGGCAACACTCTGATTCCAGGGATGGAGAGTCGGACTACGGTGAGGACGCTGACATACTTTGAACATGACACCGCCGCATCTCGCCTCCGAACACGCCGTAGGGTATCTACCGGAACCACCACCTCGACGTGCTCGCACTCCCGCCCGAGGGCCCAGCCTGCGCGCTGCTTTCTGTCGTCGTCACTTGCGCATTCCGCAAGGCCTCAATCTCCTCCTCCAAAGCGTTCACCCGTGCGTGTGCTTCCTCGAGGAATTTTTCATGTGAAAGGTGAGCCTGTGCGAGGCGCAAAGCCTGCGGATCCCGTTCATATGGGAATGACTCGTAAGCTGGGAAGCCGCACCAAGTAGACCGCAGAACCGAGGAGGGCGACGGGGATCATGCCCGGAATCAGGTCGGAGTAGAACTGGGCATGGCGCGAGGGCGACTTGTCGGACGAGCTGGCACTGTACTGGCGCGACGGTGCGGCGAGGCGGGCATGTGGCCTCGCAGACTGGGAATGCCGCCACAAACACGATAGCAGACGGGGAGACATGGGCACAGGCGCCGGGCGCGTCGACGCGATCGTGCCAAAATTGGGGCGGCACGTGACTGGAGAAGGGCGAGGCCTTCCCCAGATAGACGTCACGGCCACACACGTCGGAACGCGCGCTCTCCACAGCCACACGTCTTGGCGGCGGAGTCCCTGGCCCGGTCACGCAGCCAGCCCACAGGCACCCCATGACGGCTGGGGTGCAGATGCGCGAGGGGGTGCCCTCAGCGCAGGCAGCATAAAGAGGACGGGCAGCAGGGGGAGGCTCGTTTTGCGTGTCTACAGGCAGCCTACTTACCGACGGACCGACGGGAGTTCTGCCGGCGCAGTCCCTCAGATCAATTCTCGAGCGCCACAGACGCCCACGGACCCAAAGAGGCACGGTCCCCGTGGGAACAGCACCAGTACTTCATCTCCTCGCTCGCTGCCACTGCCCTCTTCCTCCAGGCCTCTGTATCCCGAGTGGTCTCATCCTCCTTCTCTCCGACTTGGGCTGCCCTCGCTCTCCCGCCCAACTCGCGACATCTCCATTTGGCTGGTATCCAATGGACGCATCGCACTCTCAACACCCCCGGCCTGGACAGTCCGCCCGCGTCCTCCACTTCTTATCGGGTACCCCTTCGCGGCCGTCCTCACCTGCCCGTTCCTCCCGCTCGCCGGCAAGTTTTGCATCGGTGGAACACCCCATGGACGAGAAGAGGAGCGAGAAGCCCCCGCTTGACGCGCTCCCGTACGCGGTCGGCCAGCAACCGCGGTGTTCACAGTGTCAGTGCGCTCTCCCGGATTCCTCCCACCCTCCTCATTCCGCGTCCCTCCACCCGTCGATGCACTCCGCGCGACCATCACTACCATCATCACTCCTTGCGACCTCGTCTCCCCTCGCTGCCTCGAGCTGGACCGCGACAACACCCGCCTACACGCGTCCACGAGGACTACGGATAGTTAACCTACTCAAACCTTGGACTCCTATAATCTTGTATGCTCTGACGAGTCTTGGGTTCCTCGCTGCCATCAGCCTTTGGAAAGCCGAGGTCTTCGCGGGTATGTGTGGCGCGTCTCGCTTCATAGCACTTAAAGTTGACACATCGTATGCAGGCCTTGACGCTCTCGCACATTGGTTGCAGTCAGATCTATACTTAGGTTATGCCGTAATCTCTCTCCTCGTCTTCGTGACCACATTCCGTGAGTACTTGGTCAGTCATGTTCTAAGGGCAATGTCATTGACCCGGATAAACCCCGCTAGCTCCTATGCCGCTGTACTCAACCCTCATTATACTCTCTGGCTATACCTTCGGGGCTTGGACCGGCGCTGTCCTCTCCTACTTCGCTTCCTTGGCTGGCGCCGTCGTTGTGTTCTGTATCTCGCGCGCTTTCCTCCGCCAGCAAATCTCGCGATGGCTCTCATGCACCGTTACGATCAAGCGGGTGGTGCGGGTGGTAGAGAAGCGGCCACAGCTGCTCTTCTTGATCCGCCTCGCTCCCTACCCGTATAACGTCATGAACTGTTTGCTCGCGGCGTCACCCAGCCTCACGTTCCGCACGTACTTCATGTGCACCGCGCTCTCGCTCTTCAAGCTCATCATCCACACGACGATTGGCGCATCAATCCACTCGTTCGCGGAGTACCACGTGAAGCCGGGTGCGCATGCAAGCGAGAACAACCTCGGCCGCTACTCCTCCATCGCGGGCATCGCGCTCTGTGTCGGCGTCTTCGTCTACATCTCCGTCATCACGCGGAGAGCGGTAAACGAGGAGCTCAAGGACGACGACGTGATTGTCGACAGCGAGGAGCGGATAGCCTTCCTCAGTGGTGCGGCCGCCAGCACCGACGACCTCGAGGCGCAGATGGTCGAGAGACCATCATCGCCTCTGCCAATGACGAGCGTATGAGACCCGGACATTCAGGATATGGACTTCGATTTGTGTTATAAGTGGCCCCTTGTTACAGTATAGTTCGCGTCGCTCGTTTCACGCAGACGCGGGAGGTCGGACTCCAGTAATGGTCGCACGCCGATTGGTAGTGCGTCGGACACTTTGTGTCGCTCTTGTACGTATACAGATAGTCATACAGTAGCTACTTAGCTCGCCCTACTTTCTTCGTTCTTGCCAGTCGCTCGCACGTGTACAAGAGTCGCTCTTTTGCTGTGGAATAGACAGTTGTTGATTGGTCCGCGCGGGGGTGTGTTCGACACCCTCCCGGAGCGACCGACTTTTTGGTGTTCATACTGCGAATACGTCGTACAGGGTCCCCACGGTAGGGCCCTTGGCAGTAAACTAACATGCTCTGTGCGAGGCTGTCAAGCTTCGGAGATTCAGTCCTCCACCGCGCAAAGGGCAAAGGCGCTCGGCGTATCATGCCCAATCCAAACAGCTCAGATGTAGTGCTGTCTGATATCTATCAGACAACGAGGGTCAGCCGGTGTAGAATGACTTCACGTAAGTATGACCCTAGTCAACCCCTAGTAATCAAGGTTTCACGGAACGCACTCAATCAGACGGTCCGACAGAACGAAGAGGGGTCAATGCGTTGAACCATGCCGCTCACCGGACAAACGCACAGCGTCAGACTTGCCTGCGATGCTAGCACAGATTACAGTATCGTGAATGGGGACATGGGGCTCATCTTCCCGCCAAGACCGGAGCCGAACAACTTAGCTGTCCTGCCATGACAGCGAATTGCACCTCGATTACACCCGCGAAGTGTGCACCGACCTCGCACCTCGAATCCGCCGGCGCTTGGCGCTATGTGACGTGCGAGGCGTCGAGTCGTCGTGTGGACGGAAGAAGCACCGAAGGTGAGGTGTGATCAGAAGGCCGGAGCGCCGCCAGATGGCCTGCGGGCGGGGAGAGTGCCATGTGTGTGTGTATTCCGGGAAGAGTCCTCAGACGGGCTTCCGCAGCGAAGGCGCGTCGTTCTCAAAGCGTCTTGTGGCCGTGATGAGGCTACCGTCGGTGACTTTGCACGGATGTGGTATGCTAGAACCTCGAGTTTGGCAGCATGCGGCGAAGACGAGAGGACAAATGACGATAAGACATACTACGCACGATCCGCCGGCGAGGATGCGCGAACGAGAAGGGACGGATCGGTGTTTGATCGGTATTGCATATTGTCGCGTGTGATCGCCTCTGCGGAGGCCGCACGTACGGGATCTGATGAAGCAGGACATTGACCAGCTTGGTTACGGGGCTCGAAAACAGGTGGGAGATCGTCTCGGGCGTAGAAGAACGGGAGGGGTTTCTTGACTCACAGAAGCTCACCAAGCATACCGTCTCGGCGTAGGTATGGAAAAAGAGACGTGCACGTACTGACCAGCTGACGAGAATATCGTCTCGTCTTCGGACTCGAGAGCATGCGGGTCTTCAGTGCAGGTTTCACCGCGAGTGCCATCCTTGTGCATGCATAACGACCATTCGTGTGGATGCATCTAAGGGTCACTGTATGGAAGTGTTACAATGTTGGGATCCTTCTCGCTAAACCGCCATTTGATGCTTTCACGACTTCTGTTCAGTACTATGCTTGTCGGAGTGTCCCAATGACTTGCCCGGCTGGATGCGATCGCGGATGCGCTGCTTCTAGTACATCAACGTCATTCAGTCGGTCACTTCCCAACGCAGCGATATTGCGCTACGTACAAGCACTTTGAGCTCTGGGAACCCGCCCTCGATCTTCCTGTCCCAAACGAGGCTCGGCGGTTGGCCATCCAAGAACAGCCATACGCGGAAGCGGCCTCCCGTTTCCTCAGAGTTCAAGGGGAGGATGGTTATGGCCCTCAGAGCCGGCGTCGGGAACGTCAGAAAGAGCTCGGTGGATACCCACGTTGCTCGGTGAAGCCTACATTAAGCTATATGGGATCTCCAATCACCGACGAGCGTGGGGACACGCACCAGCGACACTGTAAGAGCCATTCGTTGATATTGAGGTCATTTTGCCTTCGGTGCAGATGATTTCCATGTGCTCACGCGGTCGCAGAACTCGATAATTATGCTTGGGCCCGGGAGAGGCGTAGGAGGCACGAATGTGGTTGGGTCCAAGGGGTCATGCTGCTTCAGTATTTGCGGCTCTGCAACGCCTCCATCCCCAGGTTGCGGAATACAGTCGACACAAGTGCCTGGATCAGCCATTTCGTTTAAGAAGGAGGTGGCTGCGAGTAGAGGAGAAGCCAAGTAGCGTCGAGGACGGGATGGTCCAAGGATGGTCGCCGGATACGTCATCATCGACTCGATCCGAGCGATCTTCGAGCCGATCGCGTCGTGCACGTGGCAGACGCGCGACGCGTTGTGGCGGGACGCGTTGTGTACGCGTTGTTGGTTCTCTCAGCCACCACTCACTTCGAGCCACTTCAACCAGGGCACTCATCTCCTCGTTGATATTGCTTTGGGCTATAACCCGAAGGAAAACCTGCCTCTAGGACGGTGAAGATACGTCAAGCAGATAGGATGGAACAAGAGCAGGACTTCACTATGGCATCCACGTCTGCTTCTCCGGAGGTCGCCAGCCCACCGACCATATGGCCTGTACACAGTGAGTGACTTGCGACAACGACTTGTACTCTTGAGCTGACTGTATGCTTAGTCGAGGTGCGAGTGGCTCCCACCGCCACATCCCGATTCGACACCATCCGCACCGCGGTGCACAACTACGTCACATCTTCCCTGACCCACCTCTACCTGCCCTCCGTGATAACTGGATGGGGAGACGTTCCACTGCTAGCCTCTTCTGTCTCACGTGTTGTTGCATCCGAGTCTTCGTGCCCATCCACCTCGCTACCCATAGAGCGGATCGCGCTTCAGATACACGTCTACCAGCCATCCGACGCAGACGCATTCGAGGAACTCGCGAGCGGGAATGGAAGGGGAGATGGCGAGGAGACCATGGCGGCGAGTGTATGCGAGCTGCCCGCGCTGGCTTGGGAGGGTCTGTGGGAGAGCTTGATCTACTCGGACGACATCAAGTCGAAGTTGCTCGACTACATCTATGCGACTGTGATCTTCAGTGATGCGGATGTTGACTGTGCGTGGACCATCTTGTCTTTTTCGGTCTTTTCTCATGGGTTTTCAGTCAATGTTGTCTCGTGGAACCGGGTAGTCCTCCTGCACGGGCCACCAGGAACGGGTAAGACGTCGCTTTGCCGCGCATTGGCTCAAAAGCTCTCGATCCGCCTATCACACAGGTCCGCATCGCCTCTCATCACTCATATATGCTACCCAACACACTGAATCGACACCACTAGATACGCGCATTCGCGATTGCTCGAGATCAACTCGCACTCCTTGTTCTCTCGTTGGTTCTCTGAGTCTGGCAAGCTCGTACAGCGGCTTTTCAGCAGCGTAATGGAGATGGTCGAGGATGAAGATACATTCGTAGTGGTCCTGATTGGTACGCGCCTCCATGACGTTGCCCCAACCTATACTGACCAGTGGAAACACAGACGAGGTCGAGTCCTTGACGGCCGCTCGTGCGGGCGCAATGGCGGGCACAGAACCCTCTGATGCCCTGCGTGTGGTAAACGCACTCCTGACACAACTTGACAAACTGAAGCACAAGAAGAACGTGCTCGTCATGTCCACGAGCAACCTCGCTAAGGCTATCGGTTAGTCAAGCAGGGCTAATATACAAGTAATGACTCACTATCACATTTTCCTGCAGATTCTGCCTTTGTGGATCGCGCAGACATCGTGCAATACGTGGATCTTCCCCCTCGCGAAGCGATCTACGAGATTCTAGGTACCTGCTTGCGAGAGCTAGTCACGAAAGGCATTGTGGCAGAAGTGGTCAGTATCTTGAAAGTTCATCACTCGATCCTTTACTGTAGTAATGCTCACTCACTGTATGATATAGGACGTCCCTAGCTTAGCACAGGCACAGCTGTACGAGCGGACTGCTGGTTACCTCCAGACATCTTCTCTCGCTGCGGCATTGCCCCCACACCCATCCGCAAGTCAGCCAACATCCCAAGTGGCGTCTCGCAGCTTGTCTCAACAAGCGAATGAAAATACCGCTGACTCAAGAGAGCGTTCGAAACACGTCGCGCTCAAGCTCCTCACGTTGGCTGAGAAGTGTCGAGTATGTCGGCAACAACATGAATTTAGCATAACTCACTGACTCGACATCACAGAACCAAGGGATGTCAGGTCGCTCGTTGAGGCGTCTCCCTGTCCTTGCACATGCTCGTCACATAGGCTCTCTGCCGGTGCCCACCAGATCTACCGCGCAAGTCAATGGGACGACGAAAGTCAAGAGGAACGGGCTTGCGCCCGACAATAAGGGCACGGGAATTGTCATCGAGGTGTGGCTGGACGCGATGGAACGTGTTATCGACTCGCAAGCTTCGGAGAGGGAGCGGTTCGAACGGTGATCAGTATTGGCGTCGATGGCGTCGGTCTGCTCTGCTCTAAATTTGCTGTATGGTATGCGACATTCTTTTTGGAACGGTACTCGGTGTCTGTCCTGTTCGTCGTCGCACAGTTGTTCTGCGTGTCTCTTGCAATGATCTCGATGTAGCATATATACAGTACGCCATGAACGCATGCATGTGCATGCGTACTTACGAAAGATTCTAAGAAATATACCTCAAGCTGACTACTCAGGCAAAACGCTATTTTCTCATCGCAGGAGCCCACTGGTTATGTATGCTTATAATCCGCAGGGGGATATGTCGAGTTCCAGTCAGGATGGGCGTAAGAAAGGATGACCTTGTTCACCGATCGCCGTCATTGGCCATGGGTGTGATCGAAGCGAAGCTGTGTGCCACGACAACTCGGGTGCGTATGAGCGCTTCCCGAAACGCTGCACGCGTCCATCCCGGCCCTTTCAGGCCTCACAACGAGCAAGTTGTATCCCGATTCCCTTCGATTCAGACTTCGCATCCAGTTGCCCCGGTACGACTGAAGAGTCATGGCGTACGTTTCCATTGAGTCAGACGAGGTGAGCAATGTCCGGACTTGTGCTGCCCGACTGTCCTCATGTTATTGACGGATAGCCCTGCTCGTAGCGTATGGAGGAGGGACCCGAGGGTCTCCAGTTCCAATGTGCGATCTTCTACGTGTGTGGTGTCAGTATGCGTGTGAGGCTGAATGCGCTTCTGAGCAGCATTCTTGGGATCCGACCCTCGAGGGGGCAACGAGGGTGCAGCGGGTGGAAGTACTTCAAGAGGTATGTTACTTCACTTCCATCCTTCGTGAATATGGCCGTCACAGCGCATGACACTCACGCACTGCTTGTGGTATCGTACAGGGTACAGACAAGACTCCGGCTCGAGCAAGTTCTGGACGTTCGAGTACTTCCAACCTTACTTTGACGTCGACACCAAGACCGTACGCGTTCCACGCTTCGCGTCTCACACAGCCAGACTGATACACGAAACCGCCTGTACAGGTCCTCCAACGCTGCTACATGACGATGTTCCCTCCCTCCGCGACCTCCTACCAAGGGGCGTACCTCTCGCCTGCCCCCGACCTCTACGGGCCCTTCTGGACGCTCACCACCCTCATCTTCGCACTCTTCGTCTGCTCTTCCCTCTCCTCCGCCATCGCATCCTGGCTCTCCAACCCCGCCGCCGCTGCCCACATCGTCTATGACTTCTCGCTCATCTTCACGGGCACATCGCTCGTGTACGCATACGGCCTGCTTGTGCCCGTGCTGCTCTGGTTCGGCCTGCGGTACCTGGGTGTGGGCGAGTGGAGCGTCGTGGACGCCGTGGCGATCTGGGGGTATGGCCAGTTTGTGTGGATACCCGTTGCGGTGAGTGGTCGAGGCCGATATCTTCACTGGCACTTCGTCTGAACGATGGATCAGCTGCTGTGTGTTATACCCATAGCTATCGTTCGATGGGCCGTCGTCGGAGTTGGTGCGCTGCTCTCCGGATACTTCCTCATGGCCAACGTCTACCCTATTCTCGCCTCGGTACGTACATCCACATCTCCGTCACAGATTGCCGCGGCAACGGCGTGTTAACCTTTCTCACAGGCGGACGCAAAGTCTGTGCGGCTCATCATCGTGTTCCTGGTACTGCTGCACGCCGGTATTGCGCTCAGCTTCAAGATCCTGTTCTTCAGCTACTACGCGCTGAAGGACATCGGTCCTGCGGACCCAACAGCAAGCGGTGTTGTTCCTTGAGGCGTGAGGCAGCTTGGTTCTTACTTGCGTCAATAGTTGCTTGTCTCTGAAAAGTAGTACCGTAATTTATGCCTTTACTCCGAGCTTACGCTGACGAGCGCTATCACTCATGAGTGCCTCAAAGCGACTTGCATGCACCGCCAGAACGAGTAGACATCATGAGGGCGATGACTCGTAGCTCACAGGATACGCAGACGAAGGTAGCGATAATACGCGAGGCCAGCCAAGATGCCTCCGATGTGTCCAGCCGCGTCCGTGCCATTGCGCTGCGCCCTAGTCAGCACAATGGTGACTCGATTTGACAGCAGGCTTACCTTGTCCGTCATGGCGCTGTAGCCATCCCAGAGGAAGATCCCCGTCACAAAGGCCCATGCGGGTATTGGGACGATGGCGAACAAAAGGATCTGTGCCCTGGGCGCGACGCACGCGAAGAGCGACACGATGGAGTAGATTGCACCTGTCGGGAGCAAGGTCGTGCACCGTGAGGGACTGATTTGGAGACGTCGCAGAGGCGGGGCTTACCGCTAGCACCGTGTGACTGGTAGTTTTCACGAGTTTTTCTGGCGACGTTGTTCCAGTACAGGCTGATGACGCTCGCGACGGCACCCGCTGCAAGCCACAATCATCGGTTCGTCAAGGTACCGTGAGTGAATGCCAGATAGATGGCGCGCGTGTACTCACCACCCATGTAGAAGGTCAGGAACCGTGCATTTCCCAGCATCTGAAGCACTGTGGGCGCCATGAAGTAGAACGAAAATGCGTTCACCAAGATGTGCGAAGTGTCTTCATGGGAGAAGCACGACGTCAGGACTGTCCATCTACCAAGGCGTCAAATGAGCTGGCGGATGTTCCAGAGAAGGGATGCTGGTACGCACATTCGGCCCGCACTCAGGTTCTGTGCGCTCACTGTGAAGTTGCGGATCATGGTGAAGATACCACTCGGGTCCCCTGTGCTCCTCTATGGTGCCGCGTCATTGAATGTGTTAAGTCACGGTCATAGGTATGGCACACTTACGTATCTGACATGAGCCCAGTTCCACATCAGGTATACGACGCCATTCAGGCCAAGTATCCCCCATATGATGGCAGCTTCTGGGAGCGAGTTGAACCACCGAAGGAAGCTTTGCCAACCTCCTTCAGGCCCTGGTGGTCGGAACGAGCCGTTCGATCGACTGGGAGGGAGTGGGCTCCTCGAAGATGCTCTTGATATTCTCGACCTATGTGTGGCGCTTCGGAATCGACTCGAGAGGAATTGGAGGATAGATGACAGCTTCGTCTTTGCACTGGTGTTTTGGAGGCTGCGTGCTGTCCATGCTGTGTAGCTTCGTCGAGGAAAGCCACCCACCAATGAAGGGGTGGTGTATGTGGAGGTGGAAGGCCTGAGGGTCGAGAAGAAGTTGGATTTGAGGGATGACCGACAGCAAGGTGCCCTTATGCCCGCATTGAATATCCTCGAGGCCGACATCGTTGAGACTCTGGAGTATACGCTCATCGCGAACGGCGGTGGCAGCTGCAGCCTGAGGAAAGCGCGGCCGGCGCGTCGCGTCTACGAAGCCGATGCAGTCACGTGGCTGTGTACATCGCGCAACGCGTCGAGGCGGCCCACCGCGTCTCGACCCTCATTCACGACGACCGAGGCGGGCGAGCGATCCTTTCAGACTCCCATTCTCTGACGAGTCAGCGGCTATGTCCCACCATCTATACTTGCTATCGCCGTCCGATACCCCACTCTATAGCTTGACTCACTACTCTTCGAAGCCAGCCCAAACGACTACCACCTCGCCCCTGGCATCAAACTTACCGAGCTGGTCAACATCTGCATTTGCTGGTACCTTGACTGCTCTGTCTGGTGCGACAAGCGCAACACAGGCGCATCATGTGCAAGGCGGGACTGTCAGGATTGGTGGTGGCCAGGACAGGCATGTCATACAGATGATCGCCAACGCGAGTCTAGATGTAGTTGAGGAGGTAGTACGGAAAGACAATATGATGTGGGTGTTGGTCCGTCTCTGGGGCTGTGCGGCGCGAGGCTAAGCAGACTTCCTGATACATAGGTATCTGAAATCCGTGGACAAGTTCAACGAATGGACAGTGTCCGCGTTTGTCACCCCAGGGAGTGAGAAGCCCATCGTTGCCAGTCCTCGGAGATACTGAGCGCGTCGTCGCAGACATGAAGTTCGTGTTGCTACACGAAGCCCGCAACGACGACGGAATCAAGTCGTTCTTCCACGAGGTCTGGGAGTTGTACGTGAAAGTGAGTCTGGCGTTTCGTCCCGCGGTGGCAGGAGGTCGTCGCTGCTCATGCGCTCCCCGATGTGCCAGACAATGCTCAATCCCTTCCACACCGCCCACACACCGATTCGGAGCCCGGTGTTCGATGCGAGAGTGAGAGCCAGTGCGAAGAAGTACTTGTAATCCTAGGAGGCCGCCTGGCCATGAGTTGGGAGTCCCTGCCGTACAGACCGCTGGGTGTCGGCCTGTGTCAGCCACCATCCGAGGTCAAGTGGCCTGCCGGCGCCTGTACTGTCCTTGTTCTTTTGTTCTGGCTGGCGGCGAGGCCACCTTGTGCCAGCGTACGAGGATGTGTGCCAGTGTATTTGTAGCAGCAGCGGGCAATGCAATGCAGTGCAGAGACAATACGCGTTGGACGGGGAGGGATGGCGCGTCTGGGGGGTGGTGGCGGGGGTCCGGCGGGGATGGCGATACTGGAGGGTCGCGTTTTGATGATGCTCGTCGTCTCTCTCTCCTGCCTCCCTCTCGGTGGTCCGTTCTCCTCCTTCGTCTCGGTCTGTCTCTCTCTTCTTCCTAGGATATATAACTCTCTATCATCTTTTATATACTCTCGCCAAAACTTCAAGCTTCCCCGGCCCCAGTCCCTTAATCGCCCACTCGGCACTTCACTTTGCACTCCAGACTCGACACCCACTCCACCGAACAGCTTATCGCTCTTGAGAGAGAGATTGACGTGTCCTTTCCCCCTTCCATTGTCGGCCCAGCGCGCCTTCGCAACTGCACCAGGTACGGACGCTTTGGCTTGCTTTGTTGACGGCTAGATCGTCCGATCCTGTGCTGACAATGTCCCCGTAGTTGTATTCTGTGACCACCTTCACTCTCGCCTTCTTCTCGCGTACCATCGCTCGCATCTAAACCAACATGGCCACTGCGAACGCTCCCAACCCTCGCGCATCTCTCCTCGCTGGCCTCCGCACGGGAGGTGTGCGCTCTGCCTCGGCGAACGCACCCCATACTGCCGCGCCTGGCGCTTCCTCCTTCAACATACCCCGCATTGTTACTCCTCAGAACGAGGGTCTCTACCAGGAGGAAGAAGACGAGCTCTCTAACATGATGGCGCAGAACCTGTACATCAGGAACAATGCCGCCCGCGTTCACCAGCACCCGATGACCGCTGCTGTTGACGGTGCCACCAATCGGTTCTCCCAGCAGCAGGGGACGGGTATGATGAGCCCCGGGATGAACTTCCCCATGACCCCGGCCGCGGCCCAAACTCAACTGCAGGCCCTGCAGTTGCAGATGATGCAGATGGAGATTGCTCGTTTGCAGGCAAGTCAATGCCTATATGAAAACTCGAATGTAGTGGATCTGACTGGTTGGGGCATAGAATATCCAGGCTCAGCAGTACCAGGCTGAGCTTCTTGCGCAAGCCCAGGCTCAGGCTCAGCGCCAGCATCAAGCACAGCAACCTATGAGGCGCGCAGCGTCCGCGTTCGTTCCACCGGCTACCGCCGGCCCTGCTCAGGGCTCTTTCAACCTGCGCGCCGGTGCAATGGACTCGCAGATGCGGCGTCCAAATCAGGCCGACCAACTTCGTTCCAGACTAGGCGTAGGCTCTGACGACCAGATGCCCATGACGGCGGCCTTGGGAGGCAAGTTCGGCAGTCGCACCACATCTGGACGTTACGATTCCGAGGAGGATGATTTTTCCAGCGTCAAGCCCCCCTCCACTCCGAACTTCACCACTGTCATAAGCGGGGGCACGTCCCTTGGCACGCCCGTCACCGGTTCCCTCAACACGGCGACTCCCTCGAAGTCGGATGCTGCTGTGTCCTGGCGTCGCAGCGGTACCAACAACTCGGTTTTGAGCGGTAACCGTGCGGCTTCCTCGCCTCAGGTCAGAATTACCCCACCCCCCGTCGAAACCGGCTTTGGAATGCGGACTCGTCCTGTCGCCCTGCAGCTCGCGGCGTCCCAGCCATTCCCTGGCACCGTGATCATTGACACCTCTGATGGTACCGACGCCGACGATTCGTCGTCCGTATCATCGAAGTCCAACTCCTCCCCGAGTACCCCTCACACGGCCTCATCTACCGATGCCCCTCCCTTGTCCCCTCGTGAGGATGCTGTCAAGAAGCTCTACGAGGGTCTCGGCATCGGTCGTCCCATCCCGACCATCACTGTCGCAGAGCCGCAAGACACCCCAATCCAGGCACCCAAGGTGATGTGCATCCCCGTCCGGCAGCCGCGCGGTCCGCCGTCGAACAACGACGAGCTCAAGCCAAAGAACTTCGCCACCCGGAGCAGGCGCAAGGCCCTCGACGCCCTCATGGGCGCGCGCGAGAGACGCGAGCTGGTTGAAGCCTTCTGATCCTCCGCCACTAGCTGGCGCTCAGGTGTACGATTAGTCTCGACGACGAATACCAGCCTTTCCTTCTCACTAGGCTTTCCATAGCTCAACTCCTTTCTCGCCGCGTCGTAACTCCCCTTATATTATTGACGTGCGTATTCTGGCTTGGACCTTCGTGCTCATACAGATACACCGTATCTATCCTTTCTTTCAGCTTCCCCTTTTGTCTCTCTCTTCTCTTTGAGCCATCGCCACTACCATACCTCTCTTGTACTCAAGGAGTTGGCGGTGGTAGGGTTTGCCGTTTGTGTGGATACGAGTTCGATTGGGGCACCACCTGTTGCATCGCGATTGTGTCGGGACAGCGCAGGGAAGCAGCGCTTCCCCGGGTCGAAAATCTCCAGAATGTCCATCGAGACAGGTCACTCGCATATATTGTTGTAGGAGGCAGTTCATCACAGGGAGAATTCACGTTGCGCCTGTTTCTGTACAATACCCCTATGCAATACAGTTGCCTTTTCCGCGGGACTCTAGCAAGTTGGCGAAGTGAGCTGAGACGCAGCCGGAACAGTCAGACCATGTATCTCCCTGGAGATGAACATATTCCGCATTGATTGTGGTGATACAACAACAACGCACGGTGTATGAAATTACATCTGTCCATCGAAACCGCCTGGAACACAGCTTTCGCCTATACATGACCGTTCCTACTTGCACCGTTGGCCAACAATGGTCTTTCCATGCTCCTACAAATCCATTAGCAACGAATGATGGACAGTCGACGCACGTTTGGACATACTTGCCACTCCTCCTTGCTGATCCATAACTGATGGAAGGTGCCCAAACTCGCTAGGATGCTCCCACCTAGCCATGCACCGAAGCGGCGCTCCGTAGGGTTACCAGGTGCATGAATTTTTGCCTGATAATCGGGTGATGCTGTGAGACGAACGACGGACAGACGGTACGAGATGGTAATACGCACGTGAGGGAAGTTTCGAGACAGCTCATTCTGGAGACGATCAACGAAACCAGCGAAGAGACTCCCGCCACCGGTGAGGACCACGTTGCCCATGAGGACCTGTCTGATCTCAGGGTCGCATGCGCTGAGAGAGCCGCTGATAAGAGCCGGGATGGTTTTTGGGAGATTGGGGTTGGACGACTGTTCAAGCCGAGTAAGTACGCGACTTGTGGACTGAGACACGGCAGCGGAACATACAACCAGTTGTGGCGAATGCGTGAAGAACTGTTCTCCCACCGAGTAACGTTCTGCAGCACTGAAGTAATTATTGTAGCCCGTCGGGAACTCGTAGTGCCGTGCCCCACGCAGACCCGCCGCTCTAGTCACCATATTCGGATCAGCGTGATAACGAAAGCGCAAGTACTATACTCACTGTTCGTTCCAGCCCTGGTCCAGTACACCAGAAACACTTTGAACCCATTCTTCTACTTCGCGTGCTTCCGCCCAAGCTTTCCACGTGGCTGTGGTGCCCGCTATTCGATCTTGTCGCAGCTCGAATTTCGGAGTCGAGCCAGGGTCTACGGGCTAGGAACGCGTTCTGAGGTGTCGTGAACAGCGCAAGAAAAAGACTCACCTGCCTGCCGGCAATCAGTTGGTGGGGCCAGAGGTCAATGCCGGGACGCCTGCTGCTCGGAGTCGTGAGTAGGTGTCGCGCATGCGCTTGCACAAGTTGGGGAAGCGCGGAGTGTGCGAGACCTACATAGTACAAATAAACATGTGGGTTTATGCTAGCAAGAACGACATACCTCTTCGCAATACGAAGCCGTCGATGACAGGTGTAACGCTGGCAGTAGAACTGCCGATGTCAATGACATACGCTGAGCCCTTGCCTGCTGCAAAGCTTCGTGGCATGAGTCCAAAAATTCCAATGAACAGGTATAATGAGCCAGCTTACGCATTGAGCACACTGGTGTTTGAGATATAGAAGGCGGGGACGTTGAATTCCTCAAACATGATCTCCGCCATACGTTCCCTGTTGGCAGGGGTATTCCAAGCGGGCTCGGTCACAAGCACAGGATGCTCTGAAGGTTCACAGTGCATAACATCTCTGAGTGCGTGATCAATGAGTGAAGATATAGGGTCAAAATTCGAAACTGCAGAGAATGAACGCGATTGTCAGTCTGTGCGGAGGCGTGATCGCTCCAAAGGACGTACTCATCCCATTCTGCACAGGGTTGGATAATTCCATCTTTTCTCTCCACATGGACGGGCCGTTTTGTCCAATGTACAATTTGGCCTTCTGGTTTGGTTTCTCGAGTTTGGGTGCAGCGTCGCCATTCGTCGCGACGTCCCCCTCCGCCATGGTCACGTCCCCGTCCCCGCTTCCCTCAGCACCCAGTTGCTGATCTTGCGGAAGCTCAATGTACCCATACGAAGTGGGGATAATGGCTTTGGGCGTGTCATCTCCCGCGTATCCGGCACGCAGGGATGACGTCCCTATGTCTACGACCAAAGCCGAGACCTCGTCTGTCGCAACTTATGAACAGAACGTAAGCAGTGCAAGAATTAGCCGCATACCTCCGCCGTAGTTGACCATTGCGCCGAATGTTACGATGTGTGTTTGCGGGCTCGCGGAGAGACGATACGCGAGTGGACGCGTCGAGGCGAAAGCCAACTCGCGTCTATGATCGCTTTGCCCGATTTGATCTCTTCGCGTCCACGTGCACGAAATTTCGCTCATTCGCAGATCAAGCCCGCTACAGTTCCCATTCTACATCGCTCGGCAGCCACCTCCTTCACCTCTGTAACTTATTGCTATCACTCAAAATGGGAGCTGCAGAGCTGAATAAGAAGAGCAAAAAGCGCAAGGCCGCTGACGAGGCTCCTGCCCCCGTCCCGTTCCCCGAAGACGTCGGTCTGGACATGCACAGTGAAGACGAGGGTGGGGACGAGGCGGAAGCGGACGACGAGGACGATGGGGAGGCGGACGAGTTCCCGGAGATCGATACACGGAGTGATAGCGAGGGCGAAGACGGAAGCGCTGGAGACGAAGAAGAAGACGAGAGTGAGGACGAGGAGGACGAGGAAGAATCCGAGGCGGACACGGAGGATGACGACCTCCGGATATATCCCAAACCAAAGACCGTCATATCTGACATTACTGGTCAACCAAAACGCGTCTACCCGGAGATTGAGCCAGACTACGACTCGGACTCATCTACAGAAGACGTATGATTTATTCTATCCTGCGCGCGGACTATACTGACCAGCAACAATGTGCATTGATATGTAGACACCCAATCGAGTCGGTAACATACCAATGCATTGGTACGACGATCTGCCCCATCTAGGCTACGATATTAACGGCAAGAAGGTCCTACGCGCTGCGCGGGGAGACGAGCTAGACAAATTCCTCGAGACAGTCGAGGACCCGTCTGCATGGTATGTCGCCGCATTTCTTGCACCTACGCTCCCTCGACCTACACATATCTACAGGACATCTGCCTTCGACAAGAACATCCAGATGGACAAGCCTCTGACGGAGGAGGAGCTTGATCTCATCCGGAGATTGCAGGAGAATGAAAACCCTGATGCTGGTTACAACCCTTACGAACCCACTGTTGAGTGGTTCACCGGCAAAGGCAAGGAAGAAGTCATGCCTCTGTCTGCTGCACCCGAGCCTAAGCGGAGGTGGGTGCCTAGCAAGTGGGAGAAGCAGAAGGTCGGTCCAATGAATTACATCTAAAACATGCGTGCTCAATACATGCTTGATAGGTCATGAAAATTGTCCGTGCCATCCGTCAGGGCAGGATTATTCCCAACAAGCCCAAAACCGCCTCTTCACAACCCCAATCCTACGCTATTTGGAATGACGAACCATCTAACGTCCCCGCACCCCTTCCCGCGCCCAAACCCCGCCTTCCCACAAACGCCGAATCCTACAACCCCCCAGAAGAGTACCTGCCTACTGAGGAAGAGCGCAAACAATGGGAGGAGACCGACAAGGAGGACCGCGAGCGCGACTTCATGCCGCAGAAGTACGGCGCGCTCCGTTTGGTGCCCGCATACGACCAGTTCATCCAGGAGCGCTTCAGCCGGCAGCTGGACCTCTACCTTGCGCCGCGTGTGCAGCGCGTGAAGCTCCAGATCGATCCGAACAGCCTCATTCCGAAGCTTCCAAGCCCGAGCAGCTTGAAGCCCTTCCCCGTATACAAGTCGCTGCAGGTATCGCACGACGGGCATCGTGTGAGGGCACTCTCTGTTAGCCCTGACGGTGCATGGGCTGTCAGCGGCGATGAGAACGGTAATGTAGGCCTGTGGGAGGTGATGGTCGGAAAGGAGGTGAAGAGGTGGAAGTTCCAGGGCAAGGTTGGTGCGGTCGAATGGTGCCCGCGGACGGATGTCAGCTTCTTCGTGGTGGGAATGTGAGTATGCTTGACCGCTGCCGCGTTGCGAGCTAATTTGAACTGGTTCTTTTGCTCGCCCAGTGAGGAACAGCTCCATTTCATCATTCCGCCGAATCTGTCCACGCCTATACTGTTGGCTACACAAACTCTGCTGGCTCCCGCTACCCTGCCACCAGCCCCGGCGACACCATCGCCTGTCAAATGGGTCTCGACCGCAGCCGCTGCCTCATCGTCGGACTCGCCCATTCTCACCCTCCATCTACCCCCGTCCTCGGGTTTGCCTAAGCAAGTTGTTTGGCACCGTAAAGGCGACTATCTCTCGACAGTTTGTACGTAACCAACTACTGCTCTCCCCTCATCCTATTGACTTGGCGTCGTTATCAGCGAGCGGCGAAGGCCAGGGCGGGGTTTGGATTCACCAAATCTCCCGCAGGCATTCGCAAGCCCCCTTCAGGAAGGTCAAAGGCTCTATCCAATTGGTACTCTTCCACCCAACCAAACCCCATTTCTTCGTCGCCGTGCGTGTCCACTCTATTTTGGACCTCTCCGTGCTGCGTCGGACTCACATCTGTTCTGGAAACCAGACACAGCGCTACGTGCGCATGTACAACCTCGCGGAGCAGAAGCTGCTGAAGACCCTGATGCCAGGGATCAGATGGATCTCGTGCATGGACGTGCACCCGTCGGGCGACCACCTCATCGTAGGCGGCTACGATCGGAAGCTCTGCTGGTTTGACCTCGAGCTCAGCGACAAGCCGTACAAAATCCTCAGGTGAGTCCGCACGGCCTTTTTCATCTCCATCCCTTCGCGCGGGTTGGCCGCCATACCGCGCCACCGCCACCGTCCCCTCGTGCCGCACGACGTGTCATGGAAGGATTGCTGACGCGCCCTGCGCTCTGCTTGTGCGCTGTCCGTATCCAGGTACCATACGCGCGCGCTTCGCTCGGTGCATTTCCACCCGACCTACCCACTATTCGCTTCGTCGTCCGACGATGGCTCGATCCAGGTGTTCCACGCACGCGTGTACAACGACCTAATGACGAACCCTCTCATCGTTCCGCTCAAGATCCTGCGCGGGCACAACATCAAGGACGGGCTGGGTGTACTCCAGGTGAGATGGTGCCCGAGGCAGCCGTGGTTGGTGAGTGCGGGTGCGGACGGGGAGGTCGCGGTATGGTGCAGTTAGTCGAGAGAGGCTGCCGGCGAATCACTGGAATCGGGTAGTGCAGTGGTTGGGTATGTGTCTCAGTCTGTGTCTCTGCTGCGAGTTGCTACGTCCAAATTTCATTCTACCGGCGTTTCACTCTGGCAGTACTGGCAACGTCCCTTCCGTGTTGAAGATCCAGTGGTCCACTGTGGTACGCAGACTCAAGGCGGGCTGACAGGTCTCCGAATGGAGTGTACACCCCTCCGAGCGGGTGTGCGTCGTTGCGAGCCGTAGCGAAAGTAAGCGACGTCCATTATCGCTGTCGGACTCAGGGTATGGCGGCGCGCCTCTCGAGTCATCCGACGCCGTACATAACAGTCAATTACGGTACGTGATGCAAACGTGTCCGACAGGGTACCTGCCTTTGTGGTGCCGTCGGATCAGACAAATGGGCGATATTTGCGCACGACGGTGTCCTTGGTTTCTCGAGTTCGTCCCCGGCGAGTTACTGCCCTCAGTATGTCGTAAGCCTCAAGCCTGATTGCCCGGCAGGAGTTGAAGCTGAAGGAAGCCTTCGTAGGCAACCGAGCGACACCCACATTGGATTAGAAGGTGGCCGGAATCACAGTTAACCTTACGCGTTGAGGCGCACAACGTTGTGATCCGAATCGGGCCTTCGCTTGGTGGGCGAAAAGATCCGCAATAGCGGGCAATTATGCGCACTCCATACCGTGCGCGCTCGGGGCTTTCGCAGGTCCTCAATGCACACGGAAGTGGCTGAACGGCGGCGGCACACGAAAGCAACATATTCTTACGTTCATGCCGGATGCTTGCTAGCTGTTTCAGCGACATTTCGGGAGTGTAGGTGGCAAGCGTGCCCGGCCGAACTTGAGGAGGAACGCCACTGGCAGGCGGCGCCGCGGACCTCGTGGCAAGCGGCGGAAGCGCTGGACGGGACGAAGCAACTCTATCGTGTAGAGATCTCGGACGCCCGATCCAATACTTCCGCCTCTACGCCCTGGGCATGCCTAATCCGGGCCTCCCCTTGTTCTCCTCCGACTCCGCATGCAGCAACCGCCTTGCGCTCCCAGGCCTCTATCATCGCTGCCTGCTGCTAAGCCATCGCCTAGAACTGCTTCGCGCAGTCTACGGCGCGACATCCCGCGGATCGGCAGCGGTGGCAGCGGGAGAGGACACGCGAAGACGTGAAAGCGGTGTGAACTTTCGCCGCTGGGCCGCCTGCGAACGTACGGGGTCACGTAAATGGAAGCCCTCTCTCTGACAGCATTGTACTTTTGGGCGCTCGACACGTGGTGACGAAGAGGGGATTACCGCGAGCGATGTATTTAATATCTGAGCTTGTGCGCGCGTCGCCGGTTGCCACCGGTCGCGCTCTCCTCTCCCGCGTACCAAGTTGCTCTGGTAGCCTGGTCTGCAGCCAAGATGGTGGATTGGACGAATGCGTCCGAGATTGCGTTGGATTCTGGTGAGTACGAATCCCCTCGAGAGTCGGACGCGCTTTTCTGACGCGCTCCGAGAGATGTCTACGGGAAGCTGGTGTTCGCTCTCTTTGGTGTTTACGTCTGGGAGGTCTTCCAGACCTCCGGCTTCGAATGGTCCCTCATTACCAGAACACGCAAACTAAAATGGCCCCTCGTGAGTGCTTTGGTGTACGCCGCCTATGTCCGCACTTGCTGATTTACATATACAGAGTAAGACACTACGTCCAGAATATGTGAGTGTCTACTAATCGTGCTTCCAAACGCAGTATTCTTTTTCCAATGCCGATACTGTCTCCTCCTCTCTCTGATTGGCATGTGAGTCTGTCCCGCCACAATGATATGGCAGGATCTAATTATTATGCAGCATCATCTCCATGAGTGTCCGCGATCCAGTTCGTATCACCGCTACTCTCAATGCGCTCAGCATGCTTAATCTGTCATCAGATCAACTGCCAGGCTCTGTATACCTTTAACTCGGTGAGCCTTCGTCCCTCTATCGGGGGAAGAGTTTGAACTAATTAATCCACAGTGGGCGGGGAATATGGCAATTCTCGGTGCATCAACGTCCCTCATGCTCAGAACGTAAGTCTCACCTCGACAGCCGACGAAAGCACAGTCTCATTGAACTTCTGTGCACGCAGGATCGCCATTTGGGAACGCAAGATGAAGATTGTCATCCCGCTTTGCTTCCTATGCCTGTGCCACTGGGTACTGCTCTGGCGGGGCATGTTCCTCCTCAACGCACAGTATAGCTCCGCCGAGGGGGAGTGCGTTCTGGTTTCCAGCAACCACGTCTTCCTGAACGTGACATTCTTCATGAGTGTGTATCGAGACATGCGAGAAGGGATGTGTTTACTGATGGCATTGGTCCACACAGCGATGGGGTTCGACCTTACCATCCTCGTTTTCACAGTCGCCGCACTGGTCAGGCATAAGGCGCGGTCAGACCTGTGGTCGCTCCTCTTCACGGACGGTCTGGTGTACTTCCTCACTGCGTTCTGTTTCAACGCGCTCCCAGCTGTATGTTTTCTTCCTTCTTCAACGTGCTCGTAGTATTAACAGCTGGAAAAATCAGATCCTGAATGTTCTGAACTTGAACGGTGCGTGCACATCGATAGCCAGAGACAAGCCCTTCTGACGCTCATCTCCGCTCCAGTTGCCATGGACGTGTACGTTCTAAAAACCCCGCACACTCCACACGCACTAACCACTTCCCTAACCCTCCATCAAACTTCTAGCGTCGCCACGGTACGTCCCTCTCCGTACCTCATACGCACGCTCTGATCCCTTTGTCCCCCGGCACATCTAGGTGCCCGCAGCGACCTTCTCCGCGATCGCCGCGTGCCGCGCCGTCATCCGCCTGCAGGACTTCGCGCACTCCGACGTCTACGTCCACAGCGCGTCGCACGTTGTCTCGAGCGGCGGGAGCAACAACCCCCCGCCGCCCACCCGCGCCGCCCGCCGCTTCACGTCGCGCCGTGGGGACATAGGCTTTGCGCGCCCGGAGGTGCATGTCACGACGGACCAATTCGTCGTTGAGGATTATAGGTGTGTTTGAGCTGGTGCATGGTGCGGACATGCAGGGGCTGGTGCTGATGCGGTGTGTAGGATGAAGCCGTTGTCGCCGGCGAGCGATAGGACGAAGGTCAAGCTTGAACGATCGGACACGTTTGACCTCGATGGGTTGTCGGTGGAGGAAGACAAGGCGACGTACCCCATGGCCGAGGCTGTGTAGGGCAAATGACCTGTTCAAAGCGTCTTCGACTTGAGATGACGAGATATAGGAGCGGACATGAGGGATGAGATGGTGTAGCAGGAACGACGAGTGACGGAGCGGATGGAAGGGGACTGTGTGTTCACAACTGCTTGCAGCCTACGCGGAGACACATACGTGAGTAGCCTATTGCGTCTCATCTATATTGATGCTCCATCCAGGAGATTGTTCCAATACTATCGTTATTGATACCATAGCGTACGTACGATACGCAGTGCTCTGGAGTACATTACCAACTCGTTATGGTCCCGACAATGTATCCAGCCCTACTTTGCCGCAGAAGTGTAATCAGACATCATGCATCACACGCGATAAGATCCAATGCGAGCAGCAGTTTTGCATTTTGAAGAACGACCAAGAGTCCCAACATGCACGGAAAACAAGCAGAGGGGAGAAACAGCTACACTACGAGTACGAGTGATAATAAATACAACCATAACCTATACGGATCACCGTCTCCGTTGCGACCTCCCTGCCTTCCTCCGTCCGGCGATCCCTCCCTGGCGGTTCATCCCCTTCGACGGCGGGCGGGCGGACATGCCCTTCGATAGCCGCCACTGTTCGCGACGCGAATCTCGTGGACCGTGCGTGGATATCCGCTTTGTACCATCGGTGAAAGTAGAGGGGCCTGCGGAACCGGAGTCTACGGTCATGGCATCTGTGTTGGACCGAGTCGTAGAGTCGTAGAAGGATGAGAGGATGATGATGCGGAGGGTTGGTGGTAATGAGATGTGTATGCGTTGTGCGGGAAGAGGGCGAGTGTCGATGTGCAGTGCGTGGCATTGCAATGGGAGACAGGGTAGACATGAGAACGGGGATACGGTGAGACATCGTAGATGTAGAGGCGGAGGACACAAACCTGCGTCCTCGGCCGAATTGTCGTTCGTCGTCTGACCATCTGTCAAAAAACTGAGGCGTCAGCCATCGCCCCTATCACCAGCTTCAACACAGCAGAAGGGCTCAAGGGAAAAGATGACTGAACAGCCTGCTGCCGTCGTCTTCTTCGTCGCTGGAGCTCGGGCTCTCGAAGCTGCCCTTCGCAATCCTGTGCTTCAATGCATCGCTGCCACTGGCGATGGCGGGCGCAGTGTGGCGAGCGAGGTACTCCATGGCCTGCATGCCCTCGGTTGTGACATCTGCGGGGTCAAAAAGACCAAGGTTCGCAAACCAGTACCAACCTGGCTGCTGAGCACCCTCCTCGTCGCCAAATGAGTCTACAGCCTCCTCCGGGATCTCGACGTCGCCATCCTTGTCGTGGGTGGTGAGCACCTTGAGCTTCTGATGGAGACGATTAAGGCGTGCGGCCTCGGCGGCAGCGTATACGCCTTCGGTGCGCTTCTTCGCACGGAAATGGCGCTTGACTTTTGAGCGGGTCGACTTTGCCATTGCGGAAGGGTTGTTGGGGGGTGTTGGGTTTGGTTTGGGTGCGGGGGTTGAGTGTGCGGGTGAGGGTTGGGAGAGAGGAGGGACAACTGAGCGAGCCTGGTGAAGAAAAGCGGCATGTCAGATTCGGCCCCGCACTCGCACGTGCCGAAGGTGGCTGATCCGTATGTGGAGGAGGCACCTCCTGGACCTCCTCAATTGCAATTGCCCTGAACAGCTTCTTGAGTTAATCTTGACTTGGCTCGTACCAAGTTTAGTCGTGACGTACCCCAAGGGCCCATACAGCAGCACTTGCTCGATTACATGAGCACGGCCGCTGAACTGCACGCGGTACCTGTCCGCAGACGCTACTTTCTCCGCGTGTATGGGTTTACATCCACACTACAGGCTCTATATGTAGCCTACTGGAATCGCCGTGGGGGCCGTTAACGCAGCTGTTCTGTCAAGCGGCACTTCACAGCAACGTGCGTAGCAGCAGAGGTTTGCAATGTGATTCATACTGCCCGAATGTCTCGGGGGCATGTGAATACAGCATGCTCTTGTGATGTCCCCCGCGCTCTCGTTTGACCCGACTTGAGGTCATATGCAATGCAACCAGCTGCGGGAGCCTCCTGTGGACATTGTTCCCTCTCGTCCTTCATCCGCCCGGTCGGTTGTGCGCTGCAATGTCCTACCCACTCGGTTTTCCCCCGGAGCAACCGCTCGTGACGGTCACTCATCGTTCGTATGGTTCACTACATACTGCTACTGCGTTCAGCGTACTCAGCGTTGGAGATGAATAAACAGCTTCCGCAACTACATGGCTGCTCGAGATGCACAATGGCGACGACAGTCGCTTCACAGAGAAGTTCATAAACAAGGCTATGATGCCTGCGTTGGACGCTGTCGAACGCCACTGGCGAGAGAACTGGCGTGCAGCTAGAGCGGCGAAGGACAAGGAGGGCGGGAAGGGCACCCTCATTATCGTCGGTAAACGGACGCAGAACAAGTTCTTCAGTAACGGTGTGTACCCTTCGCGGGGATACTTGTGCCAGTGTACTGAGAATTCATGATATACAGGACTCGACTATGACAACTTGGTGAAGGATCCAAACTTCCACACGAACTTCTTCCCCCGTGAGACGCATTCTCAGCGTCCAATTTTGCCCATGTCTAACAACTGTGGACAGTGGTGTTCAATCCCCTCATCCGAAGGCTGTTCACTTTCCCGAGTGAGTAGAGGTAGCTGACCATCCACGAGCGGTGGACTTATCACTACGTTCAGTTCCTACGGTAGCAGCCATCAATGGCCACTGCTTCGCCGCCGCCTTCGGGCTCGCGATATGCTGTGATTACCGCGTTATGACCGACGGCAGCACTCGGAACGCTTGGATGTGCATGAATGAGGTACGTTACCCAACATGTCCCGTCTCGACTTCACTCACTCTGCGGCAGGTGCACTTCGGTGCCGGATGGCCCCTGTCCTTCGTAGGAATTTTCCGGGCAAAGGTCTCGGATAACAGAGTCCTGCGCAAGATCGCCTTGGAAGGGCATCGCTTCACTCCTGCGGAGGCACTTGATGCCGGTCTGGTAGACCACCTTGTCAAGGGCGACACGGCGGCGGTCATTGCCAAGGCACGCCAGGTCGGTGAGTCTGTGAGCGGGATGACTTATGCAGGAGCGTGGGGTGTCATCAAGGTGAGTCACAACTGGGCGGGCAAGTGAGGGGAGGGGGCATGCTGACACCAGTTTGCGCAGCGTGACCTGTACAGGGATGCAGTGGAGACGAGCGAGAGGACCGTATTGCAAGCCAGTGTCCTCTCGGAGGATGCAGCGGCTAAAGCGAGATTGTGATAACTTGTCTTACTGGAATGTATCTTGTCTCGAAAATGGATCATTATAGCCGTGCTACATCGACATGGCTGTTCGCCAGCAGGTCATTGGCATATTCGACGGGCTTGCGATGTTGATGGAAAGTCGTGGGCAGAGCAGTGTACGATCCTCGAATCGGGTTTACTTCAAGTATGTCGGAGAAGTACACAAGGAGCATGTCCGACAGCCAGCAAGGCCGGCCGGAAACTTCGCAACGCAGATTCGAGGCGTCCCAGCAGACGTCCGAATGTATAGTGCAACGCTGTAACGTGGCGCGAACCTGCACGCAGGGAATGAGGACACCACCAAACACAGAGAGCCCTGATAGCTACACACCGTCTATGACGACTTGACCATTTGGGCATCCGGCTGGAGGACCTCTCTCCGCACTCGTTCGCTCTCCTCCTCCAGCACATCCAGTCCCGGCCTCTTTCCAAATTCGAGCCCGTACAACGCCCGCAGCACTTTCCTGTCCCTCACATGTCTGCTCCCGCTCCACATCTCAACCTTCTCCGACTCGAAGGAAACCCGCGAGTCACCGATCTTGGGCGACGCCTTCAGCTGCCGGTGCTGCTCTTGGAGGTTGGCGTAGTTGTACTCGTCCGAGCGGCCGACCGACATCCCTTCGGTGTGCTTCGTGATGAACTCGTAGTCTATCGTCGCGGCGAGGTTGCTCGGTGTGAGGAACTGGTCCGACTGATGGTACAGCGAGACGAGGGCACGCATCCGCTCCTTGGGCACCGGCAACATGGGCCGTTTGGCAGTCGAAGATGCGCTCGAGGCGCATCTCTTCGCACCAGAGGCACGGCGGAGAGATGTGGACAGGACGTCGCTTGCTTGCCGCATTTTGACTGAGTGGGACGCGAAGGCAGCTGTCAGTGTAGAACTGCAAGCCTGAGGGCCTGAGCGGGTAAGCAATCAATATTAATCAATATTTCAATGGTTCCCCCTGCTATGCATGCTTGGCGCTATCATGCACGTGGCTTGGTGGTCTAGAGGTATGATTCCTTCTTAGGGCTTAATAAAGTTGTTAAATAATTAACAAAGAGTCACGTGATGGAGGAGGCCCTGGGTTCGATTCCCAGCCAAGCCCTCTTTTTATTATTATAATCACCACAACAAGACATTTTAGACACCCAACTGAATATAACACGAAGTCTCTCGAGCAGAGGGTACGCTTAAGAGGCAGTTGTAGCTTCGTATTGCAGTAGAGCAAATTGGCATGTGGACTAAGTGTACATCCGACCGGGGAAAATGAAGGACACTACAGCGAAGCCTTGAAGCCATGCTGTTCAAGGAGCCGCTTCTCCCTTTGCTTGATATCTGCGATGCGCTTCGCGATAACAGGGGCACGCTTCAGCTCTCGTTGTCCGATCTGCTGTATGTGGACCTAAATATGGACGGTAGTAAGTCACAGCAGCTTCGAATGAAGAGGAGTAATACGTACGGCGTCGGGACCCTGCACGAGTGCTTCCATTAGCATGCAATGACAAGGGAAAACTCGACTACGTACATCGGCGATACGGAGTGTTCTCAGTTGCGCCCACATTTGAGCGAGAGGCGTGTCTTGACTGACGCCTTCCGCACCGAAGGCTTGCATGGCGGTGTCCACGACTTTGAGCGCCATGGAGGGCACCACGAACTTCAATCGCGTTCAATTGGTGACACTCATATACGTTGAACAAGACGACGGACCTTCGCAATGCCGATCTCCTTGAGGGCACCCTTGGCCTTAGCCTTGTCAATCTAGAGCCATATGAGTGGATTGGACACATTCATCAGGAATAGAACTCGCCTGAAGGGCGGCGCTCAACACGAGAAGCCTAGCAGACTCAATCTCCGCACGACTACGAGCAATCTCGGAGATGACAGTGCCTGGGACCCGTCAGCACGCCGTCTCTCCATTGCTAAGAGAGGATGGCATACCATGTTCATACAGGTACTTGCCAAATGTCTTCTTAGCGGGATCGGTGACGCGTGCAATCATGAGGTCCAGTGCGTACTGAGCGCATCCAATGGAACGCATGCAGTGATGAATACGGCCAGGGCTGCCGGTACGAGTCAGTAACTTTACGCATGCAACTGCGTGATAGGACGCACCCTAGACGTCCTTGAATGATCTATGGCGAGTTAGCCCCGGTTTACGATATGCCACCGACGGCAAACACACCTCAAAGCCCCTACCCCAACCCAGAACCAGGTTGCTGACAGGGACACGGACGTTCTCGTAGATGATCTCGCAATGTCCTTCAGGCGCGTCATCATAACCGAAGACACCCATAGGCCGAACGACGTTGACACCAGGCGCATTGGCAGGTACAATTACAATGCTCTGCTGACGGTACTTGTCCGAGTTATCAGGGTCGCTCTTGCCCAGCACAAGGTGCAATGCGCAGCGAGGATCTCCAGCACCGCTGATATACCTGCGGAGTGTGACAAACAAATGAATTTGTATCCGCGAAGTAGATTCAAGCTGACATACCACTTGTGTCCACTGATGACTATCTCGTCACCCTCCCTGCGGATGGTAGTGCGAATGTTGGTGGCGTCCGAGGAGGCCACTGTGCAGTGTCAGACAGTCATCTCGAGGGCATGCCGTGACATTGCACATACCGAACCGCTCAGTCATGGAGAAAGCCGAGCGGGTCTCGCCGTTAAGCAACGGAACTAGCCACTTCTTCTGCTGTTCCGGCGATCCATAACGTGCGAGGACCTCTGCAGAGAGTGCTCAGGCATAGCACTCAGAAAGTGGTGTCACGCTTACCCATATTCCCCGTGTCAGGGGCTGAGCAATTCACGGCTTCCGAAGCCATCTGTCCGCCACGCCCCAGAATCTCTGCCATGAGTGCATACTAGAGCAGTGTCAGCTGGCGTGCTTCGGCAACCCTATTTCACGTACCTCGAGGTTCGTGAGCGGAACGCCATATTCAGGGTAGTGTACCTTGCTCAAGAAGAGATTCCAGAGCCCAAGCTTGCGCGCCTTCGCCTTGAGTTCTGCGACAATAGGAATCACGGCCTTCCACCTCTTCTCAGGATCAGCAGGCAGCTGCGCGTGGGCAACCTTCTGCGCAGGCAGAACCTCGTCCTATCGCCCCAATTCCTTGAGCGACATGTACAGTCAGAGAAGGGAGCGCTTTACATGGACGAAGGCGATGAGCTTCGCGAGGGTCTCCTTCGCGTAAGGCGAGAACTTGTCTTCGACCTACCCCGCGTCAGTCTGCAATGGGGCCAAGTTACATCGGAATGGCTTACCATAGACCATGCTGACGGCGACGTGTACTCAGCAACAGGGTGAGACGCCATGGCGAGGGTTAGCGCGAAGAGGCGTGTACTGCATTCTCGGAGATGCTGCTACATATGCAGTCGCTGTGGGGAGAGTCAGTTGACCTGTCTCCCGACCCGCCTGGCCTCCTGGCGGCACTTATGCCTTCGTTTGGCCGACTCAAACAATCACGTTCAACGACAATCCGGTAATTCATGTGACAGTGCAGTGCTCAGGCTGACAGGACGTTCGCGTCGAGACAGGCAGGAAAAACATAACGGCGAGATTACATTGAGATGGCTCGAAGTTGACTACAATCAATTCCCAGTATAGTAAGTAGCTCAATCGACGACAGGCAGTACGGATACAAGTACACAGTTAGTACACAACGTTCGTAGGGTTACATAGCCGAAATGTCTATGGGCGAGCGCATTAGTACAGTAACGTCAGGTCATGACATCCAATCTGGGAGACATAACAACGAAACGACGTGAACAGAGGTCATCGCGAGTCAGGTGTCATGGCACTGGGTTCTGCCATGGCTGCCCGTCCAAAGCCGGTTCACCCAGCGAGAAGGGGATCTCGGGGTCGTAGCCAAAAGCTCCAGGGTCAAACGTATGCCACGCATTGTCACTGCTTCCTCCTGCGTATCCGGCGGGGTTGTAATTACGAATAAAGTCGAGACCGCGGAACGGTAGCCCTGGGGCAGCGAACCCGTTGGTTGAAGGCGGCGACGAGCCCGGCATCCCAAAGACAGCGGGGTCAACGCCACTGAGGCCATCATACCCAAGATACGTCGACTCGAAGCCGGACGATTGCGATGGGTTGTAGGAGATAGGGGAGTACGGCTGAGACTGCTGCTGCGACTGACTCTGAGACGACTGGGATTGCGACTGCTGCGAGCCGGACGGGAAGAACTTCAGACCATTGCCTCCAGGCTCTGGCACAGTCCAACGATCGGGCGGGCTCTGCGACAGACCGAAGTCGTAATCGAAGCGCTGCGAAGGCACGGAGCCGGTAGGGGACTGCGGAAGCGGGATGTTCATGGGGTTGAACGCAGACGCGGACACCATGCGAGGGCTAGTGTCCGAGAACTCGAGCGCTGGACCCGAAGGGGACGGCTGGCTGTTGACCGACGCGGGGGAGCTGGTGGAGCTCAGCGTTGATCGCCCGGGGTAAGAGCTGGATAACAGCCCGTACCCTTGACTCCCGTCTTGGAACTGATCGTCGTCGTAGGGCCGCTTGCGAGACGTCGATCGCGCCCTCTGAGCTGCGGAAGCTATCAGTAACAGATTGTATGCACAGGAACGAATATACTCACAATCTTGGCGGAACTGCATACCCGGTATTGCCTGGTGCGTGGACAAGCGCGGATCCCTCGATCGGTTCCGCCGAGGCTTCGCCTTGATGAGCCTCTCGGGGACGGGCATAGGGACCGCGGCAGACATGCGTCCTTCTGGAATACCAGAAGGCGAAGCCGAGCTTGTCGGCGAACGCATTTGGACACTTGCTCTGTTGTTCGCAGCAGTGCGGATCGCTTCGCGCGCCGTGGCTGTGATCTCCTCCAGGAGCTCCTTGCACTTCCGGGCGCCGGGCCACTGAACCTCCCATTGCTCCAGGATAGGAAGGCAGCTCGTAGCCTCGTCCATTGCAGCTTGGGAAGCGTTGGGTTCGGGGGTGTGCATGGCGTAGAGAAGGATGATGACGGCAGAGCTGAAGAGGTTCTGGATGAAGAAAGCAAGATGGTGGCTAGGGGGAACAACACCGCGGATGGCAGGTGCCAGCCGGATGCACGCGCGGGCAGTAGAGACAGCTTTGGCTGTGGAGCGCGGGTAGAGGGGTTGGTCGTACTTAACGGGCATGAAGTTGCGGTGAAGGGTGACGAGGATAGAGTAATAATGGCTGCATAGGACAGCGCCCATCGAGACTTGCTTGTCGGTCATAGGGCGGGACTTGAACGCTTCAGGCAAGTCGTCGCACCACTTCGTCAGCTCCCTGTCAAGGGACTCGACAGCACGTTGCAGCTCGGCGCGTTTCTCGGGCTCGAGTATCTCCCGGCACTTGTCGAGAGCGTAGACTTGACGGAGGACCTTCCCAGCGATGCGGTAGAGCTGAATTAAGTCAATGAAGCCCTTCATGAGTTGTGGCGGCTCGCGGGATATCGTCGCGCCAGCGAAGTAGTCGGGAAGCAGTTCGTCGTCGACATCGACGGGGAGCTCGACGTCGCAGTCGATGTCCTCGACTCCGAGAGGGCGACCGAGCGCGAGGGCGAGCATGCGGTCGAGGGTGTACACGCCCCACCACACTTTACGCCTCGTTTCTTTCTCGATCGGGGAGATGAACAGTCGACGAGGTGAACGCTATCAGGGTCATCAGTACACGTTCGCGACGAAGACATATCGAATGAACGTACATGTAGACCAAGATCTTGGGCCGAACGGACGGCCTGTCCAACGAGCAGCCAAGCCTGTGGAAGGCAATTGACGGCACACAGGAAAGAAGACATGAGGATGAAGCACTGGACATGTTCAAGCTGAGTCGATGCATGACTGATGTAGTGTAGGATTAGAGCCCTGCGTAGCAGGTGTAAGCCGGTACAGTGCGGAGCCAGCTGAGGGCCACGTACCGCTCATAGTATACCATCCCCATACCGGCGTCATCGAGGTTATCTGCCTTCAACAGACGTGGGTCGTTCACAAAACGCGCAGCGACGGCGAAGACTGCGCAGACAAGGGCGATAAACGCGGTCTGCCTCCGGGCAAGCTCGGAGTCGTTGTTGTGGTCCATCAGGTACGTATATCGCCTCATGAACGATGGCTTGTCCAGAATAGGCACGAGAAAATGGAACCGAGCAAAATATGCGTCGACCTGACATGATATCAGTACTCGCGTACTTATCACATTTGAGGGTATGAACTCACCAGCTTGTCTGCGAGATCGCGGTCGGGGTACTCCACCTCTTCTGGCCTGGGCAAGGCACGTACCTTCCCGAAGAAGACTTGCGCTGGGAAGTACAGCTTGTTCACGCTCGGGCCCGGCGCCGAGGGGTCCTCCTCCATAGGGGATATACGGTGTAACGGCGATGAAGTAGCCTCGAGGAAGGACTGAATAATGGACATAGTAGACGAGCCGCCGATCCAGTGCATGTGGCCGTGCTCGTCGAGCGCCAGCTGACCAAAGGACTCGGACACGTCGTCCTCGACCTTGATCGGGGTGTTATTGTCGGAGCCGAGGCCACCATTGGGAGCACCGAAAGACTGTGCGACCTCCCTGACTTGCGGGAGGACTGACTGGATGAGACTGGCTGAGGACGGGTCTGGGCCCGACGACGAGGACGGGGCTATACTCGGGAGGTCGAGACCACTCGCACCGACCTGCTCGAGGATAGGAGCAACTTGCTGGAACAATCCCTCCAGCTGGAGGAGTCGAGCCTCAAGTTCTTGGACATAACTGAGGCGAAGGGTGGTCAGAGGAGGGCGCGCGCAATGCGGGGCGGCGTTACTCACTGTCTGCTAAGCGCAGCTCGGTCCTTGGTTTGTAACCACGTACACTGGGACTTGGATTGGGAACATTGCGAGCAGGTAGGCTCGACGCCGTCACACTTGATCTTCTTGCGACTGCGTAGAGGATGTGATCAGGAGAAAGCGCGGGGAAAATAGTGAGGCTGATGAAGACGTACCGACAAGATTCACATGCTCGCCAGACCCGTCTTCGCTGCAATTGAACGGGTTTGAGGCCGAGGTCAGCAGAGGCCTGGTCGTCGTCGAAGCGTTTCTTCTTGGCTTGGTGTGGATGAACGACCATGGTAGGAGAATCGGTGGTTGGCTGAGGAGGGCCCTCGGGCATGCTGGTATATGAGGGAGGAGGAAGAGAGATCTGAGCCAGATCGGGCGAGCGGACGTAAGCAAATACTGCGTGCCTGAGAAAGCGCACAGAACCGGAGTCATCCCGCCACAGCCCTGCCCTCTTCTCGGATTTACGTCTCCTTCTCGCCCGCCCGCCCCGTCGTCGTCGTCGTCGCTGCCCTGCTCGTCGTCGCCGCCGTCGTGCGAGCAGAGCTGCGGCCGGTGCACCCGCCGCACAGCCCCGACGCCCATCGGTACGCTCGGCGCGAGGCCCCTGCATCTGATAATCCCAATGGGCACAGTGGCCCCGACTGTCCTTTTGCGATCCGGGAGACGCACTCGCGAACCGGCGCGGCGAAGTGTCAGCAAGACATTTGACCACCTCGTTGCCAGCGCAAGCAATACATCGAAGGCTATCGCTGTGGTTCTTCAATGGATTCAGCCGCAGACAGGCCACCCGCGCACTACAGCGCTCATCTCCGGCTCGCACCATCCTGTCAATCTGCCTGGACGGCGACCGTTCCCAGCGATTGAGAAGGGCATGCGAAGTTCTAGCGTGCCCCAAGATGCCACGAAGCGCTAAACTCTCTTTTCCTGCCTCCTACGGACGTGCCCCTTCCGTCAATCAAACTCCACGGGGTTCATAGGATAGCTATCCAGGGCAAGACGCACGCCCATCGAAGGTCCCGCGACCCGCAACTTACGTTAGTTTGTCATTGGTCATCGTCCCCAACTGCGTTCGGGACGGATTCCTGTCGGTCACATTTCCTGGCGGGCTGTCCGACGCCTGCCTGCTGTTGTTCTTCAGCGCTATGCCAGCTGCTCTGGCGAGTACTTCGGCCCTGTAATCCCTACTTTGCTTCCGTATGGGGCATTCTGTCATGAAACGTGTCGTCTATGCTCATCGATGCATGCATGGGCCCTGGAACTTGACCCACTATTCTGTGACTACGGATTGAACCTTCGCCAACGAGAGAACCACGTTCACAAGATGAGATTTCGTCGAACGCACACCGCCCCAAGCCTAAGTCCCGATCCCCCGTTCTCTCCGCAGCCCTCTAGGCTCCTACACGTCTAGTGTCCGAATGGCGTCCCGCGGTTCGTCCGACATGCCTGCCGCTCACACGCTCCAGCCCGACGAAACGCTTTACCAATCGGGGTGTGAGACAACCGTATGGGACGCAAATCACGCAACACACCTTCTCGCACTGTCGCTCGTCTAGCCTCGCACGCCTGCTGAGATAGCAGTCATCTTCTCCGGCGAATCCCTGAGGTAGTAGAGCTTCACGCGACGGATTCTGGGGCCCGACCTAGACGTCTTCGTGGCGGCCCGCTGCAAGATCTTAATGCTCTTGAGATGCGGGGAGCATACATAGAATTGCATCTCCACTCCTGTCCGGTTGATCACGTTGCGGAGGACAAAAGACGTGTCCAACCCGCGCCTTCGCACCGACAGGAGCACCCCGGAAAAGATCGTAGGCGCATGAGCCAGACCAACGGTTAAGACGGATCCGGGGTGAATTCGCAAGGGATGCCTTCGTGCGAAGTATGTGTGGAGCCAGTTTCGTTTTTGAGGTGTTGCCAACGTCTCGGTGAGATGCTGCATGAGGCCTTTGCCCTTTAGCAACGGCTCGCGAGGCATGGTGCTCGTGCTGGGCAGAACGGGTGGGATTTTGGCCAGTTTGGAAAAAGGATAGGGCTGCGTCGCCGTGGACATCGCGCGTGCGCATTGTCGGAGGGAGTTGAGTAGCATGTCGGGCGTTGCACAGAGCAAGATGCTCACTGCTGAGTGCGAGGTCGCTGGCGGATCGAAATTGGACGGAAGCCGGATCACATGACTTTCTCATAGATCGGTCCGCCGGTTCCGCACATCCAGGTCCAACCGTCTCTGGGGATGCGAAGCGGTTCTTTCGCTCGACCATCTGCACTCGCCAACACGCAACTATCTGCTACGTTGCCCGCCAGGAACCCAACGCGGTCGGAAGATATAGTCAATATATTGAAGGTATCCAGCTGACACCTGACTGTCACAGGCTACTTAGAGCACGGAAAGGCGATCTCGAGTCTGCCGACACGATACCCAAAATTGGGATTACGATTCACCAGTACAGGTCAGCCAGCATAGCTACCCTCTGCTCGAATTCTTCAGCCGCACATCCGCAGTGTTCAAGTTCGTAACAATTGCAGACTATGGCTAGGAGATCGCCCAATACCATGAATTGGTTGGCTCCCATGAGCAGAAGACTGAACATCGCACAAGGTGAGCGAAACACCACAAAATAGGCAATGGAGTGGCTGCCCACCTTTCAGTGCTCCGCTATCGACATTCGTGCAGGCAGATATCCTACTAGATCAAGCGCGCGCGCGCGCACAGCAAACCTAGTCGCTTCAAGCCAGTGGTTATGCAGTGGACACGGCGAACACGCCACGGCCACGAGTACGAGGTGCGCGATCATATGCTGATATTCAGATGCCGTAAGTATATTCTCAGCCGTATGGACCTTACTGAGCCTAAGGCAGGAAGGGGCCGACGAGACACGGAGCAGTATCAAGACCAGGGGGCAACTTGCCCTCAGTCTCGAGTCCTGATCGGTGCCAGACAAAACACAGCCGCACACGATCCGAGTGCACCGTTTCACGTCTTCATGGCAGACATGCGTTTATGCCCTACAGTTAACCGGATCACAACACCAGGTGCTATCGGTGAAAGGCATGAGCATGCTAACACGACCACGCAATCAACGAGCGCGCGCTTGAAGACGGCGGGAACGTCATGCAATCCTGACCGGTACCGCATATACAGAGCACGGTAGGCGCATGATAGGGGGAGCGAGTTGAGAGAGAAGAGAGGGACGAGCGCATGGGAGGGGGACGGAGTGAGTCGAAGGCATCGCAGCGCGGTGCAGACGCCCGCGGTCACGTGCAAAGTGACAGGCCATTTGCGCCGTTGTCCACCGCCCATATAAAGTCTGTCCACGCCGCCGTCCACATCGAGCTCGCTCTCGTCTTGCCCTGCCGCCAGCGCACGCGCTGACCCTCCTCTAGCTCGCCGTCGCCGCACGCACGCAAAATCAGCCCGCAAATTACTCCCGCGACTACGCCCTGATCGCGTCTGTCTAGACCGACCAATCTCATCTGGTTCATTGCACCCAGGATCGACCGCCCACCCTATTTCATGATCGTCGGTCTTCCGCTTTAGCTCCTTCGCGACATTTATACCAGGTCTCTTAAGCCATCGCCCTGTTTCGCGTCCTACCCGTCTGCCAGCCAACATGTCCCTCACATCGTTGCCCGTCGAGCTGCTCGCCGCTGTCTGCGAGCCACTGGCCGCTTGTCCATCGGCCCTAGCAAGGCTCGCTCTCACTTGCACGTTCGTCCGTCACAGCGCGACGCGGGCTCTGTATCGCTCCATCTCCGTCTCGCATTACGCTCGCAATCTGCCCCTCGTGCATACGCTGGCCACCCGTCCAGATCTTGCAGGATTGGTACACGATTTCTCTATCACCATTGACGACACCCACCCCGTCTTTCGTGCGTTCTACTCGCAGATGCGGATAGCCATTGGCCAAATGCCGCAACTTTCGTCGCTCGCGCTACTGGTGGATGCAGGTGCGAGCTGGACTCTTCCTATCCACGACCAGCCGCTATCCCGCCTCGAGCACTTCTCCTGTTCATTCCCGCTAGACGCGCATGTCAGCGCGTTCCTCAGACAGACGCCTTCGCTGCGTTCGCTGCAGATCGCAGAATCCCCGCGACTCGAAACCCAGGTCCTTCCAGGCACCCACGTGCCACTGCTAGACTCGTACACCGGTCCAGCGGCACTCCTCCCCTACCTTGCTTCGCGCCCTCTCTCGACGATCCATCTCACCGGTGACCTGCGAATCGAGGACGTACCCCAGCCCGCGGGCGCTCCGGATGTGGGGGAACTGAATCCCGAGTCTATTTCGTTCCCGTTTACGGTACCGAAGCATCCGGCGTGCCAGGGCAATGTCAACGCGCGGAAGACGCTGCGGGTATTCAGCGCGATCACGAGCGCCCCACCCGCTGAATTGCTGGAGGCGCTGGCTCTGGCCTATCCAGACATGGCCTACTTGAGGCTCATGACAACGAGTGCGTTCTGGGAGGCACCAGACATGGTGCGTGTGATCACACGTCTGATTTTGGTTTTAGACTGACGGTCCGCTTCTGTTCTTCTCAGACATTATACACTCGCATCTCCGACACCCTGTCGTCCTTACCCGGCTTGTCGGTCTTCGAGCTCTCAGGAATGCATTGGGAAGCACGTCCGAAGTCGATCAGTCCCTCGGATTCTAGGGTAGGGGATCACTCTATTGCGAAGGAGTGGATCTCGCCTCCGGTGACACCCCGCGCCCTGGAAGTGCCTGCAGGACACGACATGGAGGACACGTCTCACAGCCTTGAATTTGGCGATTCCTATTTTGACTGGTCGTACTAGACCGTAAAAGAGGGAGCCGAGAGCATCTCTCGGTTTATACCTGGGAATTCGTACCTATACCCGGACAGCCCTTGACTCATGCACTACTCATGCTTCGCGCCGCTCCACTTCCGCAGCCACATTTGCTACCTAACTTATTTACCCTTGCATTCACGATCGTCGACTCGTCTTGTGCCCTGCTCGCGTTTCGTGTTTTTATCCTTCGTATACCTAAGTATGCCGAAGCTCGTCTTGATCAATGTACTATACAGACGACATATCCGCCTCTTCTCGTCCGCATACTCATATTTACAGAATACCACTTGTAGCTATTCGGCAACATCAGACTCGAAATAATACACAGTACGCTGTTTTACGATCAAGAGGAGGCTCAGAATTGGACGCATAACCAGAGCTTTGGTGAGATTAGATTACAGCAGTGTCTTCTTTCAAGACGGCACGCAGTGAACAGGTGCCGCGATGGAGTATCAAGGCACCTTTGAATCGCGTACCCTCTCCGGGTCTTGTTGTGTGTCGTACTTAGTACATCATAGCACGCGTCATTGCCTTCACTTCTTGATGCTGCTTGCAATCTTAGTAGCGGGCCAGTCAAAACGACGGTATAGACAAGAGTCAAAAATGTAAGACGGACCTGGTTTGTGAGCCCTCCAATCGCCTTTCTGGCATTCTGTCGAGCAGTACCACGCAAGCTTGCAAGCGTGGCATCGCTTGAACTCGCACACTTGCTCTTCACGCCGTGAACACGCTCCACGCGAGCAGGTTCTGAGGATATATGACTTCGCTTGGTCGCCATCCGCCCATGCCCAGACGTCCGGTTCCTCCCAAAGGTTCTGCGTTAGCCAGCAGTAGTCGTGTGCGTATTCGGGGCCATTGGGGCTGCGAGGCAGGTTGTTCAGGCCAGCTGTGGTACACGCAATATGTGAGTGATTCCTATGCATACGTGTGATATATACGCACATGGGCGCGAGACCCTCCCCAGAATCCTCATCAGGATAGCAGGGTTGTTCTTCGCACCTAGTCGTAGGTACTGGCGCGCGAGCTGGGAATCCGCACCCCACACTTTGAACGCAGCAAGGGCAGCTGTGTACAGGAGTTCGCCATCACAGTGGTCCAACAGCCTCTGGTAATCAGCCTGCGGGATTGGGTCCGACGAGGGCGCGTTGAACGTGCAACCCCCGCGAAGAGGGGGATCATCTGTCCGCCTGACCTTGAGTTGCAACCATTCCTGCGCAAAAGAAAGCGCCTCTTTGTGACGACCTGCTTGCAGCAGGACGGATCCGAGCCATTGCCTTTGGCCCATGTTGTCTCCAGGGCTGAGACGCAACATCTCGATCATGGTGTTTCTGTCAATGCACTTCAGTACGACCATATACCGGATGCGATGATGAATGATTACGACGCACGCAGACTTATTATAGTCACCTTTCTCGAAGGCGATCCTGACCATCGCTTGGAGTACTCGCATATACGGCCTAGTCTCGATGAGTGTCCAGAAAGTGCCCACTCGATCGCCATTGTCATCGAAGGCACGCGGGCCAAGGACACGCTTCAGCTTTGCACGGCCTGAAGTAGGCGTGAGTCAGGCCATCACGATACGCGTTGATCACGGTTCACCAACCTTTCTTCTCTGCCGCTTCCAACACTTCCATGGACATGTCGTAGTTGGGCTGAAGGAAGCTGAGTTGCACGTCGGCATCGAGGTTGTTGGGATCTTCCATCGCCTTCAGCAAGTATGGGAGGGCCTGCTCTGGTTTCTTCTTCCGACAGAGATCTTCCGCAATCGTCAAGCTATGCTCAAGAATATTGAATGATGACAAGCAGGTATTGCTATTACCATCGCGATACTCACTTCTTCTGCGACTCCGCAGAGACCAGACCTCCGCCTAAGCCCATAAGGCTCTCCCCTCCCTGTCGCTTGTTCATCCTGGTGCTTGGGGTCGAGCGTACGCAAGATGGCGGGAGCCTGGAAGAGAGCTTGCAGCGTCCACCGGCAAGTAGACAAGGTTTAGTTATACTTAGCAATGTGTTGGCACCACGGTCGCGTGCCAGAGTGCATTCTGGAATCTGGGGGCGTGTCGCGTACACAACACGTGATCGTACCCACAACCAGAACTTTAGCCAGCTGCCATGTACAGCTCGCGAGTATACAGGAGCAATCAGTCGCGATCAGTCGTTCGCCTAGGCTGGTTCTAAGATATCTCCCAGCTGTAGCACACGTTGCGAGACCGGCCGAGGTATCACGTCACCGCCGCGTGATGTTGCACTGTATCGTCCGGGCACTTGCTATTTCTGAGGTTCATACGCGCGACACAAATTGCAAAGTGTGATTGCGAACATTCGTTACATCCATGGTCCATTCAATGCAGCTTCGCGTGCTAGCAGAGATTATACCTTCGAATAAAAGTTGAACGCTGAAGAACTCGCGGCAAAGACTCGTGGACTACTTACCACGGAGTTGACTTCGCCGGAATGTGGACAACCCTAGACACCGGTACCGTAGAGCCAACACGACTCGGAGTCAAGCTGCATCATTTGTGCGGTAATAGTAGCTTCGTCCAGAAACTGCCTTTCCTTCGTATACTTGCACGGTTGGCGCCACACCAAACAGCTGCTTGCAGGGTTGCACACTAGTATCACGAGCTATAATTGCGCGCCTTCAGACAAATGTGCATGGTACTCTCCATGGACCATCAACGAGACTAGTTCAGGGTGCCACTTCGTCCGAAAGCGACGACATAATTTACCAGGAAGAACTTGACGCAGGGGCCCGCAGCTCCCACATCTGTTCGCTAGGACCGTGTTAGTTATTTTCCCTCATAAAATAGCAGAATATTCGCACCCTGATAGAGGAACGTTACGTCGATCCTTGAAGGTGAAGTTCAATTCGAACTTGAAGCCGGTGCGTGGAGGAGGCCTGCCCCAGATCGAGATTCGAACTTTACCACGTACGTAATAAGGTCACGTGAGCTGTGCGGAACACGAGCCGGCGCTTGGGAATCGTCACTACTGCACGGTGAGGAGGTTCTGGCTGACCCAGTCTGCACACAACAGGAAGGCTCTCATTGTGCCACTCATTAGCCTTTCAGAATGACAGACATCGAGGATATCACGCCGACCAACACAGCTGACCAAATCGTCGATGATGGCGAGGAGGAGGAGGAATCCAAGGTGCCAATGTCAACCGTGTTTTTTGAGCGCCGTACTCATACTATACCATTGTCATGCTAGGAAATCCTGCTCATGAAGCAGCGGGTTGAAGAAATGGAACGGGAAGCAAACAAGTTGAGGGAGCTCCAGGCTGCTGCGGAGAAGGCTGAGCGGGCATCGTCGTCGGAGGCCGCCGACACGAGCGTGCCAATGGAGACCGAGGACGACAAGAATGCCGCGGACGTCAGAAGTGTTTTCGTCGGAAACGTTCGTCCTTCGGAAGCCATGTACGCGGATTGTGTGGTCTGACAGTCGGGACAGGTCGATTACTCAGCTACGCCCGAAGAGATACAAGCACATTTCCAAGCATGCGGAGTCATCAACAGAGTCACTATCCTCTGTGACAAGTTCACTGGTCATCCAAAAGGGTGGGTACATGCTTGTGCGACAGCATGGTATTGTGCACGATGCTGATATATGGTCTTTGTTTACTTCGCATAGCTTTGCCTACGTTGAGTTTGCTGAGGAGAGTCATGTGGAGGCTGCGTTGGCGATGGACAACTCCCTTTTCCGCGGCCGGTTGATCAAGGTGAGTCGAACCGCGTTCTACTTGACAGTCATCCAACGTGTTACTATAGGTCACATCCAAACGCACTAACATCCCGGGCTTTAATCGTGGTCGAGGTCGCGGCGGCTATCGTGGTGGCTATCGCGGTGGCTACAGAGGAGGTTCATTCGGGTATGCCCCATACAGAGCCCGTGGCAGGTGAGCTCTTCCCCGTACCATATCTTTGACATCCTGGTGACACTACCACAGAGGACGGGGGCGTGGTTTCTGAGAGCTACAAAAGGACAGTTGTCCATAGTTTTAAACTTGTTCTGCTGTATGTATAGTCGCTATTGTCTAATTTAATGCCTCGGGCGCTGAGCCATTGTATCCTGTAAAACGTTCGTTTGAAGGTTCTCTCCCCATCCTGCGCACAAGGAAGATGTTTGAGGAACAGATCATGGTTCGACGCCGACGTGGTCGAGTTGATAAGTTACGACTGCGGCGGTGCGCTCTAATGCAGGGCCTCTACCTGGTCACACCATGTCGCATGTTCTTACTTTCTCTTGCTATAGTGAAGTGTTATCTCAGTCCATCCCTTCCCTTGTGTGGCCTTGTGGGGTGCGACTGTAGTTGCACGTCTCACCAAAGACAGCTAGATAGCCCCGGTCATCTCGAAACCGTTAAGATGCCGATTACCTGGACGATCTTGCAGTGTCGGTTTTCACCACTCTCAGTCAACTCTCATTGAACACAAGGTATGCTCCATTAGCATCCATCAAAAAGGCATGGACGAGCCACGGACCCGGTGGAACAGCTGGGCAGACTCCACGTTCCCGGTATTGTAAGTTTTTGCGGCACTCATATCCCGCGATGAGACCACAATATGCGTCTTTTCTTCACCAACGGCACCGTTCTTCGCCATTAATGCTGGCTTTCCCAGTGCGAGCCACATGGTCTTCGTCGCATGTTGCCGTGGTCCTTGTATGCTGATGACTTGTGCCACTGCAGTCAAATCGTCAATTGAACGCAAGAGTTTATCTGAGGGTACACGTTCCTGCGTTTGAGATACGGGGCATATGCAGAGCGAACGGTAACTAGCGTCAACATCGATCCTAATAGCCAGTAGCGTGAGACTTCTGAGTCAGGAGGAGAGCATCCAAAGCACAGATGCATCTACTATGCTACTTGTTTTGCTGCTGAGGACGTTATAACGTATATCGCCGCCCAGTTGCCAACTTGGATACATTGGCAAGAGAAACTAATATAGAGTCTGAGGCTGACTGATTGCCTCTGCACACATTTATTTCTGTGAGTGGTGAGTGCAATGTGACATCATCTTGATGTGGTCCATAGATTCATGGCAGTAGGCATTTTCTGTGGGAACTGCCGTTGTTACTTCGCCCTGACTATGACTAGGATACTTTCTTAGTGGCCGGGAAGGTGACGAAAACGCGACGCGCACACATTCGCTCACGTGGTCGTGAATGTAGAGCGATCGCGAGTCGCGCCGGACAATTGGACGTGCCAGCTGAAGACGTGCTAAAGATCCATCGTTCAGACGAAATTTACCAGTCTTGTCTGGAGCCAACAACGCCGCCTTGAGCTACGCCACGGTTGTCGAGGCCCGGTGTCTGCTGCTCACGCCGACCGATGAACATTACTAAACCGAACCTGCTCAGACAGGTCCTCCAGCCTGCTTGTTCTCGCATCCTTCGTTGCCATCATGTTGTATATACCGGCTCTCGAACGATTGGAACAACTTCAGGAATACCGCTCACGGAGAAGAGCCACACGCCCACGCTGACGGCGAGACGTTGTACGTGTTCCAATGACCCGCTGGTCTTGATTGGGCTCACCGTCACATAAGCTCCGTATCCTAGGCCGACGCATACCAGTCTCTCATTAACACCGGAGGTTGCGGACCAAAAAGTGATACTTGCGGGATGGCTAGTGTCCGAGAGGTATGTTTCGATTTGTCCGCTGTGTTGTCAAAAGACCGAGTTCAATTCAGTAAAGTTGGCAAGACGCTCTCCTTCTTCAAGTTCAGAGACACGCACGGAACGATTCAACTAGTAGCCTCGCAGAACGAAGCACTCAAGGCTCTGCGTGAGATCACGCCGAACTCTACAGTGCTTGTACAGGGTACGATGCGGTTACGTCCAGAACATCAAAGACGACCAGTTACGGCACCTTAGCACTTATCTATGACTCGTGGCTGACTGAGGACCCGTTATTCTCAGGTCCCTGGAGGGAGCTTGGAAGTCATGGTAGACTCTGTGACGCTACTGAATCCTGCAGACCGCACTTTACCTTTCGACCCACTTGACGAACATAACCTGGTACGTACACTCTGCAAGTAGAATATAGCCATCTTCGCCCTTGGTGTGTTTGCCTACCACTGACATGCTCTCGTTAGGCCAACGAACACACACGGTTACAATATCGCTACCTCGATCTTCGTCGCTCCTCACTAGCCCAAAACATCAAGAAGCGCAGCGAGGTCGCACATACTATCAGAAGCGTTTTCCAGGAGAATGGCTAGTGGTCATTACAACGACAGTCGTAGTAGTTCTAACAGCTTGCCATTTAACAGGCTTCACAGAAGTCGAGACCCCAATCTTGCTTCGGTCTACACCAGAGGGCGCGCGCGAGTTCCTTGTACCCACGCGTCTTTCTGCAAGTCGCACCTCTGCTACCGAGCAGGCAGACGGCGCAGAGGCTTCCAAACAGCCGCTATTCTATGCCCTTACGCAGTCGCCTCAGCAACCGAAACAACTACTCGTCGCGTCTGGGGCAGTCGATCGGTACTATCAGCTCGCGAAGTGTTTCCGAGACGAGGATGGCAGGAAGGATCGGCAGCCTGAGTTCACTCAGGTGGATCTCGAGATGGCATGGGTCAGCTGGGGAGAGGAAACTGGCAGCGTAGAGGGGGCTCGCGCTGAGAGCGGTGAACGTTCCCCGCCAGGTTACGCCACTGAGTGGCGGATTGGCGGCGCCGAGGTTCGTGACATCGTTGAGCAGGTAGTCCGGAGAGTATGGGCAAAGGTGGAGGGTATCGAACTACCGGGGTACTTCAGGGTAATGACTTACAACGAAGCTATGGCTCGCTATGGCTCGGACAAGCCCGACTTGCGGTTCGGCTTGGAGGTAAGTTCCAAGTCTGCTCTATCCTGTGCTGCGTAACGAACTATGTTTGTGTCACTCAGGCACAGGACATCACCCCCTATCTACCCACACCTCTGCGTGGTGCTCTAGAGCAGCGGGGAGAAATCCTTGAAGCATTATGTGTACGCAGGTCGGCTGCCGATAATGCTCCGTTCCTCAACGCCGCAGCGCAGCTCAGCGAGGGCGAACAGCAGGCTGTGGTATGCCCATCTTGCGTCGTTCCAAACTACTGGCTCTTTGACGCTTCTGTCATCTAGCGAGGTTTCAAGGTCACCGACGGCACTGATACTCTGTGGCTCGTCCAGAGTCCAGTTGTCTCCGACCTATTGAGTGGCACCGCGGTAGCGCGGGACTTTGCTGGCCTGAACGCTCACTTGGGGCTAGATCAAGGCGGGTATGTGTGGTTGTCAAGACGCCGTCGAAAACCAGAGGTAAGGCCTATAGGTCTCATCGCTCACATCTTCATCACGAAACTCATGATGAACTTTAACATAGGGTGGCTCCACGAGTCTTGGTCGTGTGCGTCTTGAGCTAGCCAGTCGGGCTGAGTCCCTGAAGGATCTCACGATGCCGACTGAACCTCACTTTCTCTGGGTGACTGAGTTCCCGTTGTTCACTCGCGCGGACGCCGACAAGGAGTTCCTCGCGCACGGACGATGGAGCAGTTCGCACCATCCCTTCACGGCGCCGATGTGGCAGGACGTCGAGAAGATGTACGTTGGAGACTTCGAGTCGGTCAGTATCCGTTTCACTTCTTCAGGAGTCATGTTGGGCTTGACGTGCTCTTGTGTTGCGTAGGTACGAGGCCAGCACTATGACCTCGTCCTCAATGGGGTAGAGATCGGCGGGGGCTCTGTCAGGATACACGACGCAGCCATGCAGGAGTATGTCTTCAAAGAAATCCTCGAGGTCAGTTCCCTGCCCATCCCATTGGCGTTGCATCTGACTGGCACACCTTCAGCTCGACCGCCAAGAAAAGGCCTCCTTCAACCATCTATTGCACGCACTACGCTGTGGAGCGCCTCCGCACGGCGGCTTCGCTTTCGGTGAGCCAATCAGGACATATCCCACTCGGTTTCGGTTACTCAACCTCGTCCACAGGCTTTGACCGCCTGATGGCTATCCTGTGCAAGACCGAATCCATCCGGGACGTCATCGCCTTCCCGAAGACTGGCACAGGGACCGACTTGCTGTTCAAGAGCCCAGCAAAGGTCAGGAAGGCTGCCATGGCGGAGTACGGCATCCAACCGCTGTAGATATGTGAAAGACATCCATTTGGGGCACATCATGGAATGCCGACCCCAAGAAATTCGAAGCGATACAATACGTCGGCGCGAAAGTATAGCACACTAAGACCGATAGTAGATCATAATAATCGTAGCATAAACAGTCCGCGGTTTGAGGTTGCGCCGAAGCCAGAGAAGTAACGTGCGGTCATTACGTCGTGATGGGTATAGCCGTCTCGTCAGATAGTGGACTACGACTTCGTTCGACATGGGGAGTCCCACCGCCTTGCGGTGTTACCGAGGGCGAAATACCGTTGATGAATGTTGAGTTGCGCGGTGTGACATCGCTACTTGTGCTCGATGAGTATGCGTGCGGGAAGCTGAACGTCGCCCATTGCGAATCAGCGTCTGCCCTGCCTTTGCCGTTGAGCGTCGGAGAGGCAGGGCGGTTGCCAGGCAAGTCAGCCTCGCCCATATCTGGAGGCTCCTCTATCTGGCCATTGGACTGCGGAAGGCTCTCGTCGATGACGGAGAGAACGCTACGCAGCTTCGACTCGGACTTGCGGGTAAGTTGCGAGGATGACCCAGAGGCGGTTGCAGGGTAGGAGTGTCTACGGCCGTGCGATGGTGGAGATGCGCCTACAGTCGTATCAACGGCTTGGGGGGAGGCAGAGCGTGCTGGGGAGACGGGATTGGAGGTTGTGCGTGAGCGGGGTGGCGATGTAGCCGGCGAGGCTACGTCTGCCCATGCAGCACTAGCATCGGGAAAGAAGCCACCTGATGTTGGTACCCAGGAGTTGTTGTTCGATGGACCATCGCTACTCTCTAAATCGGGCGTGGATGCAGTCAGAGGACTGGCGGTTGATGATGTGGATGGCGCGTTGGCGATGACAGAGAGGGGTTGCAGGATGGTGAATATTTGGTCCTCGGCTGGAGGAGGGCCGTAGGAATCGAACGGGTCTGGGATGGTCTGTAGCATCGGTTCGATGACAGGGTCAGAACTGAAAAAAGGTCAACTCTCGGTAGCATAGCAATGGCGATGTGAGACGCACGCTTTGCTCGTTAACCTGTCGAACACGTCCATAGTAGAGCGAACGGCGAGGCAAACCTTGCCTTGAACGAAGTCCCAAACCTCCTCTTCGTGATCGATGATCTCCTCGTAGTGCTGAGCTTTGAGGTCATCCAGTTCGTCGACTTGTCGCTGCAGGACGGCTAGTGCTTCCCTAAACGTCTGGAGGTCTGCATGTCATGTCAGTCTACCGTAGCGTGACACTTGACATGTGCTTACTTCGGCCCTTCTTCTTGAGATTTCCCATCTCCGTCTCCCGAATAATGTTGCTTCTGTCACGGAGCGCCCTCTCATAGGTATTGGACCGTTCCTGATAAGATAGGCAGGCATGTATAAATGAGCGGGATTTGCGCTCCGAGAGGTAATGAGTGAGCTTACAGTGACAACAGTGCGGTAGTTCTCGAGATGCTGTCGCAATGGCTTCTCAAACTGCTTGTCGAGGGTCTCGGCCTGCAAGGGATGTAAATGTCGAACGGTCCGCGAGTTATTGTGCCGCTTACCAGTACATGGAAATGGTTACTCATGAGATGGTGCAAGCCAGATGCGGCTTGCATCCGTGTTCCAGATTCGTACGTGGGGCCCTTCAACCTGACGCGGGTGAGCGTTAGCAGTGCGCAGCTGAGGGGTCGATGTAGTAAACGCACCCCGCACATGAGCCCATAGCGTCCGCGAACCCAGCCGTCGCCCGAGACACCGTCAAGAGTGCACCGCGATAAGCCGCGCACTTGTTGACCAGCTACCGGAGGAGTTTGGGTCACCGTACTGACAAGGGACTCGAACAAGGACGACATACGTCTTCATACGCCTGTATACTGTTCTTGAGGTGCGCTCTGGTGATAATCTTCGAGGGACCGTCTGGCCCGAAATCGAGAACAGAAGCATTGGTGGCCTCGGAGAAAGTGGGGGACGACGGCCGAGAGATCTCTCGCTTCGGCGACAGCGCCTGGGAGCGGAGGGAGCGGGGACGGGGCATGGTGCTTGAGGTCGTCGCCTGCGACGGTGCGAAGAGAGCGGGCGAGCAACCAGAGATGCCGTGGAGGACGGTGGGCAGAGTATCAGTGAGGCACCCGGCAACTGCGCTGAGCACGTAGGGGCATCACGTGCGCACCCGCTTCCGAGCGCATCTCACATCACACGGGCCACGGCTTTGACGACGTCGGCGACATAGATTGAGATTGCGCTCTGGCTGCATGCATATGGTCATGGACGTAGTAACGCCTTTGCCGTATAGCAGATACATATATACTAAGCTAATTCATGCAGTGCTCTCTCCACAAACTCGACAGCGTCGTGGCACTCCAACCAAGAGCCTGCGTCCCACCATTCCACCCGACAGTCCTCGGCTTGGCGAGCCTGCTCGCGGTGCGAAAGAGCAGCTACACCGACATATGTGTCCTCCCTCCCGGATTGAAGGTGATGTGGTATCTCGAAACGCACAAACTTCCACTCCCTGGCCAGCGCTCCGTCGATGCGGACTGTCTCTTGGTGTATGTCGTATTCGATGCGCTTGAAGTCGAAGCCCAGCCCGAGGCCTAGAGCTTTTGTGTACGCTTCCTTCAGCGTCCAGATTAGATAGAAGCGATAGAGTGCTTCAGACTCGGGGAGAGATGGTTCGGAAGGGGACGGGAGGAGAGAACGATGTTCTAGCGGTGTGAGCTATGTGAAGGTATGCTATCAGTCTGATCTGATTGGGAGAACGGGATCAACTCACCTGGTCACTGAAAGCCTCTAGGAAGTTTGCAAACGCCTCGTGCTCTGGTCGATGCACTTTCATCACGTCGATCCCGAGCCTGTAGGCCGGTGGACCCACAAGGTCTTCTCCGCTAGACCATGTCATCGCTACCACGCCGCTATCGTGTGTAATGTTGTATGCTATTGGAGGATCAATGCCTTCGGTTGCCTGCCTTCAAGTGACATCATGATCGCCGCCGTCAGCAAACAAGCAGCGGTGACCAACGTTTGATACTCGCGATGTAGGGCTTGCCAGACTGCGTCCTCCCGAAGGCCATCTTCTCAAGAGGCACCCCCCTTTGCTTCAATAGCATCCGCGGTAGCAGGCATCCCACCAATCCACCTGGAGTACGTCTCGACGAGTCCGTGTGAGTGCATGACAAGACCACTTACGGAAGCTGTCTCGCTTGTGGTAGAACTTGTTGAGTCGGTCTCTTGAAGCAGGATCGACGAGTGTGAGTCCTCGTTCGCAGACCTGGCTCTGGCTGAGCACGCGGCGGAGCACGAGGAGGAGACGGACTCACCTCTTTCCAGGCATCGGGGGTGGTTTCGTCGAGGAGTGCGACCCAAATATGCATGCGGGGGGCAGACGGGGCAGCTGAATGGGATGCGGAGACGTGCTCTGACTGTGACCCCGACGCCCTGCGGACGAGTCGGCTTGTGCGGGTTAGTAGATCAGATCGCGACGCGATCGGAGCCGATCGTCGAGATCTAATCTGGCCGATACTCAGCAGACACCGCTGCTCCACCGCTGCTCCACAGCTTGGCCCGCTCCCCCACCTGCTCCCCATGGCGGCACAGGACCGTGCGCGTGTGTTTGTATCCCTCGGAATGTTCATCATAGACGAGTTCCAGTTTCACGACGACGACGACAGACCGACCGGCCGCACCCTCCCTCCCCAGGAAAGCGCGCCCCGTTTCTGATGTTCGGGCTGATGTCATTAACCTCTCTCATCCACCAGATCGGAGGGGGAGGCACGTATGCCGCCCTCGGCGCAAGGATATGGTAGGTCCGCAGTCGACGGTTGCCATGCAGTATAGTCATATGCATTGGCGGCAGGCTGCCCCCAGCCCACGTCGGCATGATCGTCGATAGAGGGACAGACTTTCCGGAACAGATCCAACGCAAGTTAGATGTGTATGGCTCCGATATGTGGCTGTTTAGAGATCACAAAGACCGCGCCACGACACGCTCACTCAACTCCTATAGAGGAGAACGTAGAGGGCAAGTAAATACCATGCGTATCTACCTCGTCTAGTACAGACAGGCACCTCCGCAGGTTCCAATACACGACGCCTCGCCTCAGGCTCACGCCGCGAGACCTCCTGGAGACGAAGTTTCGGCGCCCCGAAATGCTACATTTCATATGTTCGCCCACAAGGGCAGCAGCAATCATCTCAGAAGTCGCAGAGAACACCGGCTGGAACCCAATCACCATATACGAACCTATCCCCGTAAGCACAGCGCACATCGCCGTCACAGGGTTCAACTGATAATACAACGCGAAGCCAGGATAGATGCATACCTGAAGAACTGCAACCTCTCGTAGACGTCTTGCCGTCAATATCAGTTTTGAGGTGTGCATGCCAGTATCGAATACGCATCGCAAAATGGACTCATCTGTGCGTTCTACATAGCCCCAATGCAGAAGAAGCCATGTCCCTTCTGTCCATACCAGGCTCACCTACCAAGCCGCTCATCGAACAAGCTTGCCGCCGATTCCTAGAATACGGCGTAGGGCCTCAGGGAGAAGGGGCTGTTGTCATACGAAGTGGTGCTCTAGGAGCATATGTCGCCACAAGGGCGGGCGGCGACGACTGGGTTCCCGCATACTGGAGCGAGACCGAGGCTCCAGAACGCGTAGTGGATGTCACAGGTGCGTAGAGGTTTGTAATGCGAGCGTAAACAGACAGCACTGCATGCTCGATACAGGTGCTGGAAATAGCTTCCTCGGAGGTCTGGGTGCTGGTCTTGCTCTAGCAGGGGGCAACATTGTGGAAGGTACGCTAGTGCGACCCTACATATTGACATTCCATATTGACCCGTTACGGGTACAAGCTACGCTCTACGGTACTGTCTCAGCATCATTCACGGTAGAACAAGAAGGGCTGCCCCGACTCACCGAGACGCGTGTCGAGGATGGGGTCGCCATCGAGCAATGGAACGAGGACTCGCCGCACAGCCGGCTCATAGAGCTACAAGAACGTCTGCGTAGGCAGGGCAGTACGTAGATGGATAGAACGAAGTCAATAACTCAGAGGAGATTACAGCAGGGCCAATACGGGTACGTCTGCGGAATGTATGTTCGTACATGGTATACAGCGACTGGTCCAATGTCCCTCTGGGAGCCTGAGAACGAGACGAATGCTACATGATACAGTAACCTATTGCTGCGCGGACTGGAACTTCGCTCGGCTGGCGGCGAATAACTCTTCCTGCTGTTTGGCGAGCTCTTCCTCTGTGAGCCCGGAGGACTCGAGCTTGGAGACCTTCTTCTCCCGGTCCTGGTACGGGAAGTTGTGAGAGACAATTCGGACAACCCTCGAATGACGTACCTTCTGCTGCTGCTTGTGATCCTTCAATACGTCTTCCACCTCCGCGGTGAAGGACTCAAACCCAAGGTGCTAAACAGCAGCGGTCAATGCTGTGAGCGCGAGGTGGGGCACTATGGAACACACCTTCAGAGCTGATATGATGTGCTCCGGAGCTATCGTCTTCTTCGACTCCTTCTCACAGATCTCATTCGCCTCCGACGAAATGAGATGTATGAATTCTACCACACGGACAACTCTTTAATTGGTGTTTACGCCGGAACGACGGGTGCACTTCACCTACACAACACTCGATCACCAAGTCCCTCGTCTCCTTAGCACACGAGACGTCGGACGGCAGAAGTTCTGTTGAAACCGTTCTCAGGACGGCGATGAACGCGGAGAAAGCACGACCTCGTGCCTGTGATCATTTTGGCCACCGTCGCCTTTGGGAGGGAGAGATCTTCGTCCGACCCGGGCAGGCCGCCCGTCTCACGATCCGACATCAATATTGCGGCCTTGCTGAGGCGTGCTCGGTGTGCGTGGAGAGCGTGAGGCGAGCAGCAGAGCCGGGGGGCGAGGAAAATAACGACGCCGCCCCCCGACGCGTGGGTGGCACTTTATAGCTCAGAGCTGAGAGTCGTCTGCGGCTTTGAAAGTCCGCACGTGTTCACTTGATCTTCGATCTTCACCATGTCCGCCGTATGTGCCTCCCGCCGGATGTGCATCGCCCTGCGTACTGACTGGCCTGCTGCTTCGCTAGGTCAACCCCGTCAACCCGAAGCCTTTCATCCAAGAGCTGACCGGTAAGCCGGTGTATGTTCGGCTGAAGTGGGGTCTCGAGTACAAGGGCTTCCTTGTGAGCACCGACGGCTACATGAACTTGCAGGTCCGTCTTGCGAAACTTTGCCTTGTTCTCTGCCTTCTCAACACCGTTTCGTCTCACGTAGCTCGCGAACACGGAGGAGTTCCAGGATGGAAAGTCAAACGGAGCACTGGGCGAGGTTTTCATTCGGTGCGCTTCAACTTACCTGGGCGTTTATACGACGACTCATTTGCTCTCCTCCTTCCTAGGTGTAACAACGTCCTTTATATCATAAGTCTATTTCCGATCTCTCGCTGGATGTTTGGCTGATACGTCCGTCATCACAGAGAGGCTCCGCAAGAGTGAGCGAACAACATCGATGAGTGACCCATGTACTTTTCTGCGGCGTGCTTGGGCTGCTGTCTGGCAGCGAAAAATGACCTCCCTGTGCGTGTACAAGCTTTCTGAAGCACTGTAATATATCAAGGCCGTTCACGGTGCATATTTGTGTGTCACATGCGACGAGTCTCAGTACATGTCATAGCATTTGCAGGGCACCCTTATTTCCCTGCCGCTATGCTCATTCAGGGCTGCATGCGCTTGGCCACTGATCGAGCTCAGCTTGCTGTTGCCAGCATTCATCACTGAGGAATGATCAGCTCTATTGGCCTTCGCCGCCATTCTCTCGTACGGGCATGTCAAGACCAACGCGGCGCGCTGTGGCTTTGACACGCTCCTCAGTCGACATATCGTGCAGCGGGTTATAACGTTCCAGGAGCATCTGTGTTCTCAAAACTCAGACGAGTATCTCACAGTATGTGTCACCGAGCGTACCTTGTGCATTCTCTGTGATCGCATGAACGTTAGCGCGTTCGCCAGGTCGTGGTCGAAGTGCTGAGGATTGCTTTGGCGGCCGTTCTCGATGACAGCGCGGAAGTTTTTCGCTATTGTCTTTGACCTTGTGGCCGGTGCTGATGTCAACTGCTCAGGGGTGCGCAGGTCAGCCGCAAAGCGTCAGGCACAGAAAGGGCTGAACGAACGGCTCTGTTGAGCTCCCGGACGACTGAACGGTATGCACTTTGTGGGGAGGTCATGACGGCTCAGGTCAATCGGAGATCCGGAAGTGGCTTAGCGCCCCCGGAGCCTTCGGTCACCAAGGCGAGCCGCACGTGTTGGCTCTCAATACAAAGCCGTTCTCGCATTTGGCTCCCTTGCAAAGTTGCTTGGGTTCCTTCTAGCCGTTCTCGGTCGTATTCAGGCTATCCGATCAGACGTGCATCATTCCCTGGACCACAGAGTTGGGGATCTATATCTGCTCACGGAAGTATAAAGCCAGGCTTGTCAGAGTGATCACCGCCCGACATCGACCTCAAGACCTCAAGACTCGCTCAACGGCACGCCACAAGCCCCAGCGTACAGTGCTGCGATCTACCTTGCGCAAATCGCCACAACTTCGTAAGACTACAGTATATCGCTCGCGAATCGTACAGAAGTCATGGCACGCTTCCGCGTCACATCCGAGTCGTCATTTACGACTGCTGCAGTAGCTCAGAATAGGGTGCGTGTCTCCCTTTCACGGTGCTCGGAGTGTAGACTGATTCTATCGCAGCGTCTGGCGGAGGCTACCCTCCGACGTGAGCCTGCCCTTCCCAGGCAGGGTGATCGCGGGAAAGCCAAGGCCCAGGATAAGGGCAAAGGCAAGGCGAAGGACAAGGGTAAAGGCAGGGCCAGAACACCACCAGCCATGGATATGCGCGACAAAGCAAAACTCAAGATGAACGTAAAGCGAAACGCGGTGTTGCCCCGCAACTTGAGGAAGCCAGACTGGCGTCATCTCTACGTTGGCAATGTGAGTGGCACACACTTGTCTGTCTGCCGCTGCTGATGACTCCTGTGCAGCTCAATCGCGGTATCACGCAACAGATGTTGACCGACCTCTTCCAAAGGAGCAAATGCGGCACAGTCACGCGTGTCATCATACGCACGACCGCTGGCGTGCCTGCGTCGGCGTACTCCAATCTTCCTAGCAGCCCCATCGATAGAATGTACGCATCTGTCGAGTTCGCGGACATCTTCGCTGTTCGCAGAGCTTTGGCGCTGAATGGTGCCGTGCTGAATGGCAACAGGATTACGGTACGTCCTATCTGGAAGTTGTTGGTGGATGGTCCTGATAATGCTGGCAGGTATGTCTCACTGCCGCCGAGCTGCCCGAAGTCAAGGACCTTGTCCAGAAACACATGAAAGGCAAAGCCGATCCTATCGCTCAATACTCCGTAGCGAAAGCCGTAAAGGCACTCAAGTATGTTCTTCCGTCGTGCATTGACACAAACACTTGTTCACTGACCTGCCACAGGCGTATCACAGTCGAACGTACTCAAGCCGTCATCGTTCCTGACCCCCCTAGAGCTCCTCAAGCTGGTCCTTCTAGGGTCCCCCAGGCTGCTGACCCCAATGCTCGCAAGTCGCCTCGTAAGCCCAAGGTACAGCCGCCACAGAAGGAAGAGCCACACATCCTCAAGAACCCTCGGGTGATGGGCGTGTCTTTCGCCCCGACGATCATGTAATGATTGTATTCAGTACGCGCCCTCACGAAGTCTAGACAGGCTAGCTAGACTAGCCCATCACGCCGTTATGAGCCCAATACAGATTGGACGCACCACACTCATTCCTCGCTTTTCTGATGCCCTCCTTGCCCGGCCAGTATTGTGTATACGTAGCCCCCTGTAGCATATGCAGATACGCGTAACTGGACGTATTGAATTACGATGCGATGCAGCTTGGATGCAGCGTTTGTTATGAGCGCGGTTGTAAGTACTAGAGTTGATGCTTCGTAAGCCGCGAAACCGCCAATCAAAGCGTCGCGAGTCGGAGTCGCGACAAGTGCTGGCGGCTTTGGCTCGTCCAGTCACCAACGACAGCTCACCTGGGCTGATCCCGCATTTCCCCTTACTCTCTACTCCTCTTCATACCCTGAATGGACTGTGTTTGGTAGTTTCTTTCCTGCGAAAGGCGTCAAAGGTTGGTGGGTAATGACCGTACGATTTCTGCGGTTGCTTATATGTTCTGGACAGCGTCGTCGCATCGTTTGATCGTTGCAAAGTGCGGGCCCATTGTTCCGTGCAATGGACCCAATGAATAGAAGTCCTGCTCTGAATCCATCCTCTACCCCCTTCTTTCCCGGTGGATTGCTGGCCAACGAGGAGGAGGGCAGGAGATCCGGCCTCGGATTCAGGATGCAGTCGAACAGAGAACAGCACTACAGCACCTCATCCTCCCTCTCCATCTCGCCGTCCGACTATCGCTCCATTCGGTCCTCTCCCAGTCCGTTCCCGGATGAGCGCGAGCGCAAGGCAGACTCTGCGCAACAACAGTACAACGTGCCGACTGAGGAGACGCGTAATTCACCCGCGGGTGGGAACCTGGAGACGGATAGGACGTTTACTGTGACTCTGAACGAGAGGCGAGTGTCGCGAAGCATGTCTGGCAACTCGGATGGTACGCAGGAGGAGGGGTTGACACCAGGGCCGACATCATCAAACGGGCAGCTTTCGGCAGGCTCGTCCTTCTACACCAGCTTCCTCGGACGCGGGCGGGATCGTCTCAACACACCACCTGTGTTAGTCGAGAGCGGCCCGCCCAAGGCCACTCCGTTCGTGCCGTTCGTGGCTTCGTCTTCGCCGGCTTCCTCTCTTGACTCCGGAAGCCACTTCGCGTCGAGCGCCGATCTATCGACCAGTTTTGATGCGCAGCTCAGGGCGTCGCCCTTCATGTCTGAGATGCTGGACCGCCTCTTACGCTACGAATACACGACGCGCGAGATACAGCGGGATTTGACGGATGTGCATCGGAAGGTCGAGTTGCTGGTCGAACGGACAACAACCCAAAATGGCACGCCCGAGTTTGGCAACCCGTTCGCCCCCAATGCCAATGGTCCACAGACTCTCTTCTCATCCGGGAACGGACCTCGCGCATCGATGAGCACGAACATCGCTCCGAACCAGAACCCGCCGTCGGACGATATCACGCAAATCTCGAGCCGCCTCAACACGTTGACTACGTCCGTCGGTCAACTGTTGGCGCTCCAGACGCAGCAAATGCAGGTCGTAACCTCTGGTCTCGGTGTCAACTCCGGTCTTCCGAACCCAATGCTTGGCGCAGGATTACCGCAAGGAGACCTGAGTTCCAACCAGGCGAACGCGCCTCTTATGCAAACGAACTCGGTGCTAGGTAATGGATTGCCGAATCGTCCGGATATACGGGGCAATGGGCGCGTACCGAATCCTCCGATGCGGACATGGTCCGCGGGGAACCTCGACATTCCGATGCGCCCTACGGACCCATCCACGGGACCGCTTGGGCGTCAGGACTCGATCCTCCGTGTTGACAAGCGTCGATCTGTGTCAGGCCTCATGCGGCGTGACTCGGCTGGGGTGAGTGGTTCAGTCTTCATATGAAGGCTGAAGCCCATCGCTGCGCGCATTGATTGCTGACATCCGAATCTTCAGGGTGAAAGTCTGGCGAGCGTAGCGACATCTAGAGACGGCGGACCAATCATTACGAAATGGGAGCAGCTGAACCTTGCTCCTGACCTGCTGCGATCGCTCAATACCTTTGGGTAAGCCTTGGGAGTCCGAGCGTGTATTGGCAGGGAGCTGATAGCGTCTACAGTGTTGGACCACCGAACAAGATCCAGCAACGTGCTCTACCCTTCCTTCTCCGCGGTTCCGACATCATTGCTCAGGCTCCCCCCACACAGGAGAGAATTGCGGCGTACGTAATTCCGGCCATTCATATCGCCTTGACGAACTGGAACCCTCGCACTGTCCTTCGCGGCCCGATTGTCGTCATGATCTCGACGACAGTTGACCAAGCTACGCAAGCTCAACGTATGATTCGCGACCTCGGCGGTCCGATCGGCATCAAGTCAGCATTGGGCGTCGGGGCTACGGGTGCCGGTACTGACCTCAGTCAGGAGCTCCGTATCCTGCAGCAGAACATGCCTCATATCATCTGCGGCACGCCCCAGAAACTCCATGCTCTCTTCACGAGTCCTGGAGGATTGTCTGGGTCGGAGGTCCGCTTCCTGGTGCTCGATGAAGTCGATCAGCTCATAGCGCGCAATCTCCATGAGTTCGTTTTCAACATCATCAAGCAACTACCCCCTCCGCGTTCTCGTGCTCTTACGGGCGGCCCTGGTACGCCGGCTACCACTCCTAGCTCCGGGACCCAAACGGCGTTTGCGGCGTTCGAATCCGGTGGTGGTTCGTCGCTGTCTGCCAACTTCCCTAACTCGAACAGACGGCTGTCTGCCATTGGGATGCGCTCATCACCACCGATCGAGCTGAATGGAAGTCTGGGAGCGGGGATAGAGCGGCAGACGGCGCTATTCTCAAACACCGTGCCCCAAGACGTCCTCAATCTGGCGTCGGCCATTCAACTGCGGGAACCTGTCAGAGTGCTTGTACGCCGCGACGGCAACGTCACTCACGCTGACACTAGTCAGGGTGCGCGGGGCTTGAGGCAGTTCTACTTGTATCTTGCGTTCACTGCCAGTGGTCGTTCTGATGCCCCTCTACCGGCCGGTGGTCTGGGCATCATTGGTTCCGGTCGGGGTGCCACGAGCGCCGAGACCGCACAAGCTAGGGAATGGAAGCTGGACGCGCTGACAGATTTGTTCGATGATCTGGAGATCCCTCAGGCCATCGTTCATGTCGGTGGTATGACCGCATTGGACGCAGTTGTCTACAAGCTGGCAAGCAGGGGTCTGGAGGCAGTCCCTCTCGTGCGTAACATGTATCCGCCACGGTTCGCTCGCTGACATTCGCACTAGCATGGCGACATGAATGCTGGAGCCAAACTAGCCGCCTTGAACAAATTTCGGAGCCCGCCCACCGGACTCATGCGGCAGCCTACCACGAAGGTTCTGGTCGTGTACGACGTGCAGGTCAAAACGCCTGAAGTCTCGCAGATCCCTCTCATCATTAACTATGGTGAGGATACATGCGTGCGATGTTCGCTGGCTAAACCTAACCTTGATACATGCAGACTTGCCAAAAGCTGTTGAAGAATACGCACATCGGTATGCTTAACCCGTCATCCCAAAATTCCGGTGGCTGACATCTAGCCGTATAACAGTGTTGCACCCGCTATTGCACCTAGCTACTCTCGCGCAGGCGTTGTCGTAAACTTCGTCACTGCTACAGGGGGCGATGTAGAAATGCTGCGCTCCATAGAGTGCTTCTACAAGATTAAATGCGTAAGTATCTCTTAGTCACGATACTGCCATATGATGACGCCTCTTCAGCCCGAAGTTCCTATGAGTCTGCGCGACATTGTTTAATTGACGTCGATCATCGTTGTATCCCTATCGCTTTCCCGGCCAAGCTATCAAGTCCACCCATGCTGCTTGTTTGCTATTTATGAGTCGCACTGCGCATTCACTGTGTCATACCCTTCACCGTCCCCCCACATCTAGCCAGGTTGTGTCGTTAACATCTAGTTCTGGGTATATACCCGCTTGTCTACTGTATACTGCGCTTTCCCTTGGTTACCCGACGTGTTGTGGGTGGCCGTCACTCCACTACGCAATGCGGACAGATAGTAGCTTCAATGTATTATCTTCACTACAACTCGCCAGTTGGATGGTTGCTGGGTCGTCCGACGGCCGACAAGCAAGATGGTGGATGTGATCTACATGAGCGAGCCTGCCAGGACAGTTCAATCATTGCCTGGTTCTTAGTATATCAACAGGTTACATACCGGGAGTCGAGGGTGAGCTGTTGTTTCCATTGCGTTGCGTCGTCGATAGGACTCGAATACACAAAAATCTCCCCGGACTCGAGCCCTACAAAGAGTATTCTCCTATGGACACTTCAGTATGATGTGCGTGAATCGTAAATGATTTGCGTACCGGCCCCCGAATTCAGAACTCGCGAACGCTACGGCTGTCGCCGCCTCTGCCGTTGTCAGCGTAGCAATAGCAGTCCATTTATCATGCTTGCTCGTGTCTTGCTGTCGCCATATACGCACCTGGAAGCGAGCACTAGTCAGCTTCTGGACGCTGGACTGAGTAGGCCACATACTGTCTTGTCTCTTGAAGCCGTAGCAAATACGTCACCTTGTGGTGCCCATGCACAATCCCAGATGATACGAGCATGAGACCTGTCGGCAGCGGCCGGCAAGTAGCCGTCTAGCAGACTCCATCAATACTCAAAAACCAATGGATCAAAGGAGCGGATTCACTGTCGCCATCCCTAACGAAGAGACGCCACGCCCGATCTCGCGATACTGTCAGCACATAGCGGTCGTCGGGGCTGAATACTATTCGCGTGACGGTCAACGTATGCCCGGCGAGTGGTTGGCCGATGGGCTGCCACCTCTCCGTGTCGTAGACTCGGACGACGGCATGCTCTGGTGTGGTCGCCTTGCATGCTGACGCGAAGAGCTTCTTGGAATTAGACACGGCTGAGCTGATGGACTAGGCGGGACCATGTCAGTGGTCGAACGTCGAGGAGGAATATGGGAAGACAGACCTCGTAACCGTGGCCGAAGACCTTCTCGATCTCGGGCCAAAGGGTGATAGCAGCGAGTTCGCCCTCAAAAGGTCTGCGTTTCGAATGAATTAGGTCGTATGAGTTGGTATGTTCCGTCAGATCGGAACCGACTAGATCGCAACATGTCATCAGAACTGTTACGTCAAGTGACGGTGGAATGTCTGTACCTTCTGTCACAGCCTTGTTGGAGAGTTGCAGGGGCGCGACAGTAGCAGCTCTAGGTCTCTCCTGTAGATGATCCTGTGCTCAGAATAAAAGTGTACGGTGAGACAGACGTCGACCGACCTCTACTGTGCCTCCAGACAAATCCGCCGCTCCCAGGTTGTTCAGCACCTGTATGAATTCGCGTGGTGCTTCGAAGACTCGTGCGACCTTCTCATCTGCAATGCTAACGAATCGCAACGCATCCAACGCTGCAACGCCCACGAGATCATAGCCGTGAACCTGAGGCCGTCCGACTTCATGCCAAGATACAGATGCGGGCTGGCCCTCGCTGGACACAGGTATTCCCGCGTGTATGCGGGTCGTCTGGTCTAGGCTAGTTTGAGCGTTCGTCTCCGCCACTTCTCGATACTGATCAAGACAGACTCACCTAGCAGACAATAGGTACTCCCCTCCAGGACTCCAGGAGAGCCCTCGCACAGGTGCGTTGTGCCCACTGATCGCACCCACCTCCACCCACGTCTCGTTCTGCACGCTGGGGATGGCAGTGTCCCCACCGGGAGTGCACCGCCAGCGTCGCCAGCCGCCGCTCCATCCCCACGCCGACGCCTCCATACCGCCGCGCGTCCAGAGCCCGCCGACGAACCCGCCGAGCCGCTGGCCGCCAATGTCACCGAAGCGCTGGCGGTTGATCCAGATACTAGTAGGTGATGCACCGTCTACGGCGGAGGTGATGATAGTTGAGGGAGACCAGAGGATGAGCGAGGAGTCGGTGGAGGTCGAGAGGAGGGTGGGGATGGAGCTGGATTGTTGAGGGGGCCGCCAGGAGAGCGAGGTCACGCCGGCTTCGTGACCGATGAGGAGCGCATCGAAGGTGATGGAGAACTGTCGTGTACTGCATCAAATTGTGCATGCTAATTCAATGGTCCGTAGAAAAATTAGGTGAAGCACAGTGTCGTACCTGTTTTCGCCTGTCCTGACAGTCAGGACATGCCGCTTCATAGAAATCTGACGGCCTCCTTCCTCTCCTTCGCCTAAATCGCCCAGAGACGCCTCGAATGCGTCAAGCAGTTCATCGCTAACCTCGCCTCTCTCGCTGACCAGGCTCTCTGGCGACTTTGAGGTCAGTGCCTCTACGTTCCACAGACGGATCGTTGCATCCTGAGACCCGGACGCCAAAATGAGAGGATCGCCGTCAGACCTCGGAGGGCAGAAAGCCAAAGCCTTGACCCAATCTTCGTGCCCAGAGAGTATAGCCGAGTTCACGAACTGGAAGAGACATCAATGTGTGGAAGAATTATTGTGAGTGGGAGCGTTACCTGGGTCTCAGAGCGAGTCCATATTTGCACGCTGCGATCGGTACCTCCTATCGCAAGAATGGTTGCTGTTGCAGAAAGCGATCAATTGGAGACGAGGATGAAGGTCGCCCATGTTACCTTGTGTCCCGGGAAGCGTAGTAACCGCTAAGGACAGCGGGTATTTTCCACGGATATTGATCGTCTGGGTTTCTTCCAGCCCGTCTGCACGTATTGATCAGTGTGCCGTCCTAACCAAACCAAGACGGCTCGGGCCATGCCTGTGTCTTGACTTTGCTTGATGCGCCAAATTTTGACGGTGGAGTCGGACGCGCCCGTCACGAGCAAGGTGCCGTGTACCGCAAGTGCTGAGATGGGTTTTTCGTGCGCACGCACCGTGTAGGTCGACTTCCACTGTGGACGGTATGTCATTGCCAAGATTCTCTACATACATATGAGGCAAGCATGCCTGGTCAGGATATTTTCTCCATAGTCTGACTACACCTTTGTCATCCGTGCTGATGAGGCGGGCCCCGTCGATGAAGCGCACGGAAGTGACGAGTGCTTCATGTCCTGGTAGTGTCTCATGAACGCCGCGATCATGGGGATCCTACTCTTTATGTCAGGAGGGTAATGTGACGTGTGAGACTTGAGCCCTACCTCTGCATCCCACAGAGCAATCAATTTTGCCGAGCCAAAGGCAACGAGAGAGGAACTCGAGGCGTCTGCAGCATGTGTGTGCCTGTTCGTTGATGCCGCCACATATTCTACGGTGGCTGTCATGCTTGAGGTCATTTTCCGTGAGATTTTTGGTGCACTCTTGGGATATAGAGGTGTGTAGAAGGTAGGGACCAGGATGGGCGGGTTCGATGAAGTCAGAGACTGCTGCATCGAGATTGTGAGTATAGCACGAGCACGTGGTCGTGACGCGGGGGCAGACGCGCGTTACTGCCAGGACATGGTCAGAAACCTTGCTTCTTGACTTCCTCAGCTCGCTCAGCGAGCATCCTTGCATGGGAATACTAGGTATAGGCGTCGACGTGCTACATGTGCCTCGCATAGCGGCCCTCGCACGGAGGCAATCAGCAATGAGACTAGCATCGCGCATCCTCAGCCCTCCGGAACTCGCTGCGTGGAACGGCATTCCAACTGTGGATCAAGAGCGGAGGATTCGCTTTTTAGCCGTGCGGTACGGTGCATACGTTTGGTAGATTTTCCTTTCTTCTGATAGCCTATTCTTCAGCTGGAGTGTCAAGGAAGCTGCGTACAAGGCACTATACCCGACAGCACGTCTGACATGGAAGGAATTGACATTCCTCAATACACCGGAGCTTATGGACGGTCAAAAGCCTGTCCTGCAGTACGCTCCCAAGAGCTCCATGAAATCTCTTGGGAGGTTGCACTCCTCTGTCAGTCATGATGGGGAGTACATATTCGCGACTGTGCTAGCAGAGACCTGCTTTGAAGCCCCAGATTGAGACCTGACATCTGGTTTGTCGTCGACAAAGCCGAACAATCGTTGTTGCGAGAGCGACTGACGCCCTGTTTCGTCAAAGATGGACATCGGAAAGTGGTGAGTCAAGGTATCTGGATTTGATGCTATTGCGTAGAAGCTAACGGTTCTGCAGCGCCAACCAGCACTACGTCTAACGCGGTGCCCGGGAGTATGGACGGTCTGGCGTGTCAACAAATGGGTTCGAGCGAGCAGCCGATGAGAAGGCTGGCTGGACCACGCGTGGGTCAAGTTGCAGTATCGAAAGGATCGGTCGAGAAGGGAGGGAGAAATATCCATGCTAGCCCTACAGTTCGAGCGGGGAGGTACAGGGTGTTGCACCACACATATATAAGTACCACCAGCGTGCGCCAGATGGTGCTTTCGATGCAAACGCCTGAGCGGAATGATAGAATCGGTGGTGGTCTAATGCATCGAGAAATTTGTGACTTACTGTGCAATACTTGTCGGTACCACGACGGAGTGATGGTCAAGTCAGCCAGCCCGTGAATCGTCTTGGAACTCTTGTCGTCTTGTTGTGCACGCAGGTGAGGGGGTCGCACAGCTGCTGTGTATCTGCCCTATGCTATGACTTCGTCTCACCAGCAGCCGCGCCGGCTGCATTGTCCGGTCCTTCTGCGGTCGACGTCTTGGGAGGAAGACCCACGTAGTTGCCTCGGAATCGTTTCCGCATGTCCAACTATGTCCGAAAGTCGTCAGCAGCATTGCACGAAGCCGACGTGAGCGACAACTTACCATGCCCCTCTTGCACTCAAAGGTGGCTTGCCGGAGCGAGAGACACTCCTCCGGCAGTTCCTTGGTATGCTCCCTAAGACATTCGGACGGCAGGTGGCCCTGCTTGACGACGCAGTCCGAGTGGAGAAGACACTCCTTGAGCGCGGCGATGAGATGCTGGCAGGACGAGGACATGGCGGGTGCGTGACAAACCGGCGCGCGGGGGTGGCTGAGGCTCGCTCGAGGTCGCCGATCGCTGGTCGCGCGCTCCTGACATCATGCTACCACCCGCCGTCCGCGCACTCGTCCGCACCGTCCCCTCCGTCGCTCACGTCCCCCACAGGGCTGTCCTCTCCGTCACGGGCTCGCAGGCGGCCGAGTTCCTGAACGGCATCCTGTCCTCGTCCATCCCCGCACATCCGCACAGCCATTTCTACTCTGCGTTCTTGCACGCACAGGCAAGTGCCCGCCTGTCCTCTCATGCTGACACACACTCAGACCGACCATACTGAAGGGCAGGGTTCTCTATGACACGTTCGTGTACTCGCAGCTGACCGCCAGCGGGAAGCAAGGCTACCTCATCGAGTACGACCCTCGGCCGTCCGAGGCGCCCCCGCTATTGCCGACGCTGAAGAAATACGTGCTCCGGTCGAAAGTCAAGATTCGGGACGTGTCGGAGGAGTACGACGTCTGGGCTGCATGGGGGTCAGAATCAACAAAGGTTTGGGAGACCCAGAGGAGATGGCTGCACGCGAGCAGCGGCGCGATAGAACCGGTATGGGACAGTCAGGATGACTGGCCCTGGGGCTCGCAACCTGGACTTTTGCGAGACAGGCGGGCCATTGGTATGGGTCATCGATTGCTCGTGAAGAAGGGCGACAGGCGTGAGTGACCCCGCTACTCTTCGCGTAACTGTCTGCTCAAGGGGGATGCAGCACAAGAGACGTCCACCCACGATACAGTCTCGGCAGAAGACTATCTGCTGCATCGTATAGCACACGGGGTACCGGAGGGAAGCACGGAGATTGTGCCAATGCATGCATTCCCTATGGAGTCTAACCTGGATGTCATGGGCGCACGTTAGTACCTGACTCCCTGATCATATACGTTTCAGACGACTGAGCTGATTTACCTCTAGTCGACTTCAGGAAGGGATGCTTCGTTGGACAAGAGTTGACAGTGCGGACATATCATACCGGAATCATTCGGAAGCGCATCCTCCCCGTACTCATCGAGCCGTATGTCTGCAGTCCAGTTCTCTGGAGGTCTCAACTGATGTTGATGTCGTCCTCAGGTTTTCCGGCTCACCCACTCCAACCGCCGAGCTGCCCTCCTTCCCATCAGACCTAGACATCCGAGCCCAAAGGACAGAAGTTGACGACGGCCCACCCAGACCACGACCGCGAGGTACAGGCAAGCTACTCAGCTCCACGAAGAGCGTTGGCCTTGCGCTCCTGCGGCTCGAGCACGTCGCTGCTGTAGAGAACGGAAGCGCCGTGTTTGAGATTGAGGTTGGCGAGGAGAAAAAGACAAAGTGGAAGGTCACGTCTTGGTGGCCAGATTGGTGGCCGCATATGCCAGAGAGCCAGCATTGAAGCTGAAGTGTAGTGAGTGCCACGGCGGATATTTCGTTGTATATTACGGTGCGTATATGTACTCATCCTGTCGATCTCTCGACTCAAATCAAGGAGGCGTAGCATGTAGTCTGCCAAGCCACTATGCGTCGTTCTGGGACCTTAGCCAGGTTCTCAACTTCACAGGCAAGTCGCAGAGTGCACTGCGACACCTTTTGAGTACACGATCAGGTGACCGCGCTCTATGCAATCGGCGTGGCTGTACGTACCTGGCTGTACTCCTCATGTTTGCTCCAGCCACTCGAAATCGCTTGGGTAACGTCAGTGGAGATTCGAATTTGACCCCATCCTCCGCACGGCCAAGCGAGGGCCCGGGATTGTGGTGCTACATATAAACGACCGCTGGGCAGCACCTTAGGATCACCACGTCTCTGCAAGATACCCTATTAGAGAGACGATAGAACAGCATGCTACCTGTACCATATCTTTGCATCGTCTTGCTGTCTTGTTTATACCTGATACCCGACACTATCGCTGCCTCGAATAGCACCAAGGCTGGCTTAGCATGGGCGAATGGAAATTTGGACGATATCGAGCAGTACACGACTACTGACAAGGTGACATGGTACGTGCTATCTATCCTCATTGACGTACTAGCAGGACTGACCTCAGTTTCAGGTATTATACGTGGAGCCCCAGCTCAGTCAGCACGAGCCTAGAGTTTGTCCCTATGCTCTGGGGCGACCGTCAAGTATCCCAGTGGGAGAATTCAATCAACCGAACCATTCATAACCTCGGCGTCACGCACGTACTCGGGTTCAACGAGCCGGACTATCCAACACAGTCCAACATGACGCCTAGCCATGCTGCGTCGGTGTGGAGAGCACAGATAGAGCCGCTGCGATCTCAAGGAGTGCTGCTCGGCTCCCCCACACCGACGTCTGCGCCAGAGGGCAAGCAGTGGCTCCTGGACTGGTTGGGCGCGTGTAATGGCGGGTGTACGGTTGACTTCGTGGCACTGCATTGGTATGATATCAACTCGACGGCGTTCATCGAGTACCTTGAAGACTTCCACGACACGTTCCAGAAACCATTGTGGATTACAGAGTGGGCGTGTCAGGTAAGCCAGGCGTCTGTGAGGCTAGTGCCGAGTCTTGCTGACTGAAGCGGCAGAACTTCAACTTGGCGGACGAACAATGTTCGCTGCAGAACATCGTGGACTTCATGAACGCCACGCAGTCGTTCATGGATTCGACTGAATGGGTCGAGCGATATGCGTGGTTCGGCGCCATGGAGAACCTGCAGGGGGTTAATCAGGTATGCTGTCAGCTGCCTCGGATTCCGCGCGATTGCTAGACCTAGAGACAGGACGACGGGCTCATGGATTCGTCTGGCAGGATCAACGCGCTAGGTGAACAGTACATTGGTGCGCTTGCGCCAAACATCAGCAGCAACTACATGCCGGGAGTTGTCGACGGAGGGAGTGGTAGTACGACGAGCCCGTCGTTAGGATCTGCTGCTCTCCCATGCGGACGTCTCGCCAGGACTTCTGTGCATTTTTTGTCATCAGTAGTGGCGATGCTGTTGCTTACCTGATGCTATACGAGCGAAGCAAGATGCTTAGTGGTTGTTGCTGCCTAGAACGTTGTTCATACGCGGTTCCTAGAGGCTTACACACCTGTTATCCGACCAACCGTCACGCAGCGGATCCGGAGTCGAATCTACGGCGCACTGCGAGGAACGATTGATCGGCTTGTCACTACATAGCTTGGCCTCGACGTCGCTGTCTGTGCTAGCGGATGAGCTTACTCAGGGATTGCATCATCGACCGCGTCTCGTTCTGCCACTCGCTATGAGCTTCGCTCCCAGCTGACCAGCCCGCAACGGCTCACCAGTTCCCACCCAGGAGACATCTGCCTGCCTATATATACGGGTCATACTAGCACGCCATTGAACTGCACCGTCGCACTTTGCGTTTTCACCCCCACTCTTCTGCTCAGAACCCCCTCAGGAATCGTCCCCGAAGCCTTTACTCATCGTCCAGCGCAATGGCCACGGGAAACAAGCCCCTCCTGCTCTACACGGGTGCGACCCCGAACGGTCACAAGGTGTCCGTCTTCCTCGAGGAGCTGAAGGCAGCCTACGGCAGCCCCGACTATGAGTAAGTACACTCGGCTTCGACTCGGGGATCCGATGCACTAACCGCACACCGTGGACATGCAGTGTGTTCAGCATTAACATTAGTACCAATGTACAGAAGGAGCCGTGGTTCATCAAGCTGAACCCGAATGGCCGCATCCCGACGCTCGTCGATCGCTCGCGGAACAACTTCGTCGTCTTCGAGACGGCGGCGATCCTGCTGTACTTGCAGCAGCACTATGACAAGGAGAAGAAGTTCGGCTTCGACCCTGTGACACAGGCGGACGACTACAGTGTGATGCTGCAGTGGATCTTCTTTGCTGTGAGTAGCCCTCGAGCTTTATTGAGGAGACGAATTGTTGACGGAGCTTTGCAGCATGGTGGGGTCGGTCCCATGCAGGGACAGTCTCACCACTTCAACCGATACGCGCCGGAGGACATTCCGTACGCCAAGAAGCGTGAGTAACATCAACAACACTCCCCGACTACGTGGAACTCACTACGCAACAGGTTACATCGACGAGACCAAACGTCTCTACGGCGTCTTGGAGATTCGTCTCTCGCAAGACCGTGACTGGCTTGCGGGCCCAGGCCGGGGGACATACAGCCTTGCGGACATCAACGTGTTCCCTTGGGTTAGGATCCACAAGCATGCAATGGTCGAGACCCTCGATGAATGGCCGAACCTGAAGGTTCGTGAACTGTGTTTGTGCGAAATGTAGACGGAGGCTGACCTTGTATTTTGCCGTTCTAGGCTTGGGTTGAGAGACTGCTCGCCCGGCCTACTGTGCAAGCAGGTATTGCTGTTCCGTAATCAGACGTGGCGTTGTGTGTGGCTAGTGTGTGTGGGGGGCGGCAACTCAATAGCACTGTACATAAGTAACTGTAATACCAAATGTGATCTACAGTCATCAACGGCTCCTTGAGACACCCAAATCGTATTCGGTCTCCCATAACCGTTCGCCTTCCTCTGCGAGAGATCGGACTTGAGTGTCGTGTTACGACATGTTTGAGGCATGTTATGAATATTCAGTAGCATTATCCATGAGGCCGACGTTGTACAGCGCAGAGATCAGTGCCGATTTTTCTTATCAAGGGTCGGACAGGTCCTTGAGACACTTGCCTAATCGGGCAGCTGCTACCACCACTCACCGCTGTCGGAATGACTAGAACTGAGTCCCTACTTCTTCGAAGACATGCTTCTTGTTGCTATCAGCCTGTAAGCCGCTCTACGCCTTCTCTACGTTGTTTGTTTTAATGGGGAAGGCTCCAGGGTACATGCGACTACTACCTTATGTAATGACACCTTCCAAATTGGGCAGCAAATTGCTCTCAGACGCGGATTCTGAGATCTTTGACATACTGCAAGCCTCCCAGTGCTCCTCCCATCCCATCGACACCTTGGTGACCTGTGTTCATATGCAAAACCAATTATCATATTTTTATTTGGTATTTAGGTGTGATTCATATCGCACGGAAGCGCTCTGTCTCAAGGACTGGTGGTGTCTCAAGGAGCCGTTGATGACTGTATAGCAGAACGCGCAGGACTTGAAGTCAATCGCAGTCAATGGAATGAACTCCCACTTATGTAGTATGCACTTGGTGCGTCTCATACCGTTTCGAGACCCTAGAAAGAAACGGTCGTACCACGCACGCCGGCACAGCGCGACTGCTCAACCGCTCGGTAAGATAGTATGTACGAGTCCAAAATAGAAGAAAAAGAATGGCAACGACTACCTCAGGTCAAGCTGAGAGCTGAAAAATTGGTGATGCGACATTAAGATGGAGGCGATACACGGAACCCCCTAGTAAAAGGCGAGGGGGTTGTCTTATTGCATCACCTCCTGCCGCACTTTCATTAGTACGGCTAGCAGCACATGCGACAGAGTCTCGCATTTTGTTCAACAAGCGGAGTATCACGTGTAGCGCGCCCATAGGCTCGCGCTCTCAGTGTCACTGTCAGGCCGCCCAACGCGCTCTCTTCATTGAAGCCACCATGTCTGTGGACGAGAGGCTTAAACTCGTCGCCTCGTCGGCACTGTTATCTCTGTTCTCATCCCGGAAGGTGACCACCCCGATCACCTCCTTTGACCTCCTCACACGAGTGATCGCGTCCGGACCCCCACCAGCTGGTCTACTACCCGGACCAAACGCGCCTCCTACATTCCGACTTACTGACCTCGCGCGTTTCGAGGCTATCTTGGAGAACCTCTCAAATGGTTGGGACCATGGCAAGATATCTGTGTTGCGTGAGATGCAAGACGACGGTCTGACTGTCATGGATGTGCGCCTTGGGAGCGGAGACGCACAGCTAGGCAGTAGTCTGCCTGGGCATGGACGCAAGCGGAAGCGACAAGTGGATGAAGATGCTGAGTCTACTGCTGGTGACTCGGAAGAGCAGGAGAAGGTCGAGCAGGCGCGTGAGAGGGTCAAGCCCGCACCGACTACGCTTGCGAGCCTGAGCAAGGACCTCAAGGAGGTATACAACATCCTCCAGAGAAGTACAGCAAAGGGTCGGTTGCTCGCTGAACAGGTACGTTGCACGCCCATCCACTATGCTCAGCCTTCCTTATGTCGAAATTTCAGTTCCGCTCTGTGAACGGGAGCTTCGAGCCCATCTGCCCGCACATCACCAAGGACGACTGTGCAAAGGCCCGCCGGCTCGCCTCCCTTGACGCTGCCTCCGCAGCCCCAACGATCTGCGACCGTATCCACTTCCGGCCGCTGCTCCGGCCACACACGGACCCGTCGCTCGGGCACTGCTCGTACCTCAACACCTGCTACTCCGAGCCGACGTACGCACAGTCGCCGTCCATCCCGCCTCTGCCGTCGCACCGCCAGATAGGGTATGGGATGCAGGGCGGGGGTACTGTTAGCCTGCCTAGCGGCTTGGGTGCCGGTGGACGCGGCAAGGAGAAGGCGCCGTGTCGGTATCTACACTTTGAGGTGGATTGGGACGTGACGGATGGCGGCGGTCAGCCTGATAGCCGTTCAGAGGTCAAGAAGAAGCCGTATAAACTTGGCATAGGACTGGGCCCTACGGGTAAGGAGACCAGAGTGGTGCGTATACTGTGGAGAGCTACTTCGCAGTGCGCTGACTGAGAAGTGTTGTTGTTTTTGTGGTTGCCAGCTGCCGCCCCAGTGGATCAACTGCGACCTGCGGAGATTCGACTACTCTGTCCTGGGCAAGTTCCATGTCATCATGGCAGACCCTCCATGGGACATTCACATGAGCGTACGTACAGTTGTTGTGGAACGCCCGCCTGCACGCGTGCCCAGACAGTGTGGTTGCGCGTGCAGATGGACGACACGTACTACAGGATGGTAGCGAATGTGGATTGACGTGGTATGTCAGTTACCGTATGGGACGATGACGGACGACGAGATGCGTGCCATGCCCATCCCGACACTGCAAGACGAGGGCCTACTCTTCCTCTGGGTGACAGGTCGCGCGATGGAAGTGGGCCGAGAATGCCTACGGGTATGGGGCTACACGCGAGTGGACGAGGTCGTCTGGGTCAAGACGAACCAAGTACAGTATTACCCTCTACCAACACGTTCGATGCTTACGATCGTGTCGACAGCTGCAACGCGTCATCCGCACAGGCCGCACGGGCCACTGGCTGAACCACACCAAGGAGCACATGCTCGTCGGCGTCAAGACCGTCACGGATGAGGCCGGCAACCTCAAGTTCCCCTCGTGGGCGAACCGGGGGCTCGACACAGACGTGATTGTGTCCGAGGTGCGCGAGACAAGCAGAAAGCCCGACGAGGTGTACGGCTTGATCGAGCGCATGTGTCCTGGTGGACGCAAGATCGAGATTTTTGGCAGGAGACATAATACGAGGCCAGGGTGAGTAGCATTGATATAGGCCGCTTGAGGATGACGGCGCTGACGGTGCGAATGCAGTTGGTTGACACTCGGGAACCAACTGGGCCCTGACCAAATTTTCGAGGAAGACCTAGCTGCTCGGATCCAAGCGAGGTGCGCTCAATGACATGACTTCGCTCATACGTTACTTATTCCTAAGTACTCTAGGTATCCTGAGCGACCAATCCATGGAGGTGGTTTCTAGGCATATATCGTATCGCTGCTGTCATGCTATCATTTGCTGTTGTCTTGATTGCTGTGTTGATTGTATGAACAGACACTCGGACAACGGACCGCTCACTTGTAAAAACAGGACATTGGATTATAGATGGCTCACTTGTATGTACCAGCGCTCGTCACTCGCATCTATGCGTCTACGGCGGGACCTCCTTGCCCGCCCAGTCCCACACCTTTCCCCGGCTCTTCTCGTCCATGTTGTTGACAACCTCCACCAGCCTCTCCGCTGCGTATTCCGGCTCGAACAGCTTGTCCTTCGGCACGCCGCCCCAGAATTCCCCGCTCAGGTCGGTCTTCACAGTCCCCGGGTGAGTTCCGACGCATATAGCGGGTATTCTTTTCTGCTGTAGGTAGAGATCGAATGTGCGGATGGCCTGGTTGAGCGCTGCCTTGGAGGCACGGTACGAGAACCATCCGCCGAGGCGGTTGTCGGATATGGAGCCCACCCGGGCGGACATGTGGACCCACTTCGAGAGCGACTTCGAGGTAGAGCTTGACTTGTCGTTCTTGGAGACGGGGGCAGGGAGGAAGCGAGAGAAGTGCTTCATGAGGAGGAGATGCGAGATGACGTTGATCTGGAAGGTGTGTTCGACGCTGTCTCGGTCGAGGTCCGTCGGGCGACGCTCCGGATGCAAGATGCCGCCGCAGAAGAAGGCAGTGTGTATGTAGGGCTTCGCGTCCCTGGGGTAGGCCTTCGAAAGCTGTTCGGCAGCGGAGGCTATGGTCTCTTCCGAGGTGAGGTCCAGGTGCAGTAACTTGAGTCTTTCTGGGTTGACGTCCCTCAGAGGGGAAAGGATGTTGTCTTGCACGTCTCGCGCATTCTGGGACCGATGGGTCGCGAAGACTGGCAGGTCTGTAGTGCGCAGAAGGTGACGAGCTATAGCCAAAGACAGACCCCGGGTGGAGGGGCAGACCAGTGCAAACGGGACTCCGCTCATTGTTCGCTGTGCGTGCGGCAGAATGAAGTACTGTTCACTTGCAGGTTTCTATGCGATGCCAGTTGCAATGTGGTGGCTCTGTGAGTGAAGGCAGGAAAGCAGCCGTACGCGCCTTGCGACATGTCGGTTCAGTGTCGGTTCGTCTTCGGGCGGTATGGCGCAACGTGCACTGACAGGCCTGAAGCTGCCAGTGAAGGCACATGTCGATCATCGCCGTCGTCCGAGTCCTGTCTGCTGCAGTGGACAGACGAGCGCACGATAGACGTTCAGATTCAGATACTACGGACGATATCCGACGAGAAATGCAACAGCTATGGTGGTTGTTCTACGTCTGTCACTCAACATCCACGAAGTCCCCCTCCTCTTCATCCCAACCCAACGTCTCCGGAGCGATCCCCAAATGGCGCAGCATCGTACCAAGAGTGTGCTGGACGCCAGGCGCATCATCGTCACCTTCCTTCGTCCCGCTTCCGTCTCCCTCTTCGCCCATTTCGCCCTTCGCAGGTTGACTGGCGTCATCGAAACCCCACCCACTGCTGTGCCCACCATCACGACCGCCTCTCTCATCGTCGAACCAGCCACCGCCCACTTTGCCTATGTTCGCAGTCTCTCCCGGGCCGAGGTCCTTCACCGTGTCCCAGACCGCCCAGGCAACTTCTCTGCCCACGGTCGTCCACTTGACCACCAGCTCGTCGAGCTCCTCTTCGTCATTTCCGTCGCTCGCCGTCTTGATCCTGATAGCCTGCTTCAGCGTCTGAATCTTGGCCTGCAGCGCTCGTATCGTAGGGATCGCTTGCACGCTCGAGACAGCAGCGGCAGGCGGACCGCTCGAACCAAGATGCAGAGGGGACTTGAATTGCTTGGCAACGCTCGGAGGGTAGTCTTTCACCGTCTGCGAGAGCGAAGAACCAGCCTGTGCACCTGTGGACGCGCTGTCGGCTGGCATCTCGGTCGCCTCGCGCTTCGTTGCTGCGAGCCCGGTGCTGCTCTTTCCGCTGGCATAGACAGCGTCTATCCCGTGGCGAGCAGCATCCTTGTCCACAAGAGGGGAACGGAAGGGCGCGATCAGCTTCTTGCGCTGTCTCAGCTGAGACGCAAGTGTCGGACGTTTTGGTTGCGGCAAGGACGACATGGACGCCATTACAGGTTCGAGTTTCTGCGACGAAGTGGTGAGAGGAGTATACAATGCATCAGAAGAGTGAGGTTACCACGCGTTTCTTCTCGCCGTCCTGCGTGAATGCATCAAGTTCTTCGTCGTCAGAGGCAAAGATATCTTCTAGGGCCCTCTTCTTCTGGGCGGTCTTTGAGTTACCTTCCCGATCGGACCTACATTCGTCGTCAAGAGAGAACGAACCCGCCTTGCGAGGTTTAGCGTCCGGGACCGGGGAAGACGGCGGAGAGCTGTTGAAGCCTGCGCGCGGCGGCGAAGAGAAGATGCACGGTGGGCTGGAAGACCGCAAGGGAGACGACAAGAAAGGCGGGGAAGACGACGGTAGTGGGGATGACGCGGGGACGAAGCTGTCGTCCGCGAAGTCATGCTCCATCGAAGGCATTTCCACGGAAGCTTCTGCAGGATGGTAAACCCCATCATCGTCCAGCATTTGGGCATCGTCGTGGACATATGAGACCTCGATGATAGCAGAAGGGGCCGCATGTGGTATAGATCCAGCTGTAACGTCGACCAATGTGTAGTCACTTGGTAGAGAGCAGTACCCCGAAGATGACTGGACAGCAGGGTCCACCAACATTGCGTTTGCCTCGGCTTCGGCCGTGCAAGACGTGTCTTCAGCGGCCGTGCATTCATCAGCGCCCGAAGCAGTAGTCGCAGTCGCATCCTTGGCTTCGACCACCGCGCCCATGGTGGCAGGAGCAACAGCGACGCCGTTGGGACTCAAGGTGTGCAAAGCGTCGGTGGTAGAAGCAAGGGGATCCGACCACATCATATCTTCGTCCTTATCAGTTGTACCTTCTTGGATCATAGCTGCCTCGAGTTCGTCTTCGTGGACGGAAATGCCTTCGAGAACTTCAATAGTCGCAGCGGAAGCTCCACGACTAGACTCAAGACTGACTTGCGCCTTCGTTTCGTCCGTAGATTTGTCACCATGAACGGTTTCGCCAGCGGCGGGCACCACAGAGAACCCTTCAGATTTAGAACGTGTGCTGCCGTCAGACGATACTGCAGGCATGTTAGAGAGCATGGAGAGTTCGTTCGGGGTCGAGCCAGGTAGTACGGTGTCCTCGGGGTCTTCAGTCACTTCTAGCACAGCCGAGGGCATCTCCAGATGGTGCACAGCTTGCGAGCAGTCGGGCAGAGCATTGGTAGCAAGAGGGTCACCAGCGAAGTCAAACACCATGGCAGGAGAGGATAGACAGGATTGTACAGCAGCAGCAGGTGCGATGTCCGTAGCGAGTGTAGACGCAGCATTCAGATCCTCAGACACTATGGGAGGCGGAACAGGGATGACGTCGGGTATTAGGATATGAGGGTTCTTCTCGACCGCTTCGCCAAACGCGAGAGACATCCTCCAGTCGACGTCCCGACCTTCGACGCCAGCAACGTCTTCGCCCAATGGTGCTAGGTTGTGGGAGGCAGCCGGTGCTTGAGGTATAGCCGAAGTAGCATTGGCTGACAGAGCCGAGTCAGAAGGGCACGCATGTTCGAGAAAGTGTGCTTGAGGTGAGTTAGATTCTTCGCCCACGGCGGGCTCTTCGTTTAGCTCGGAGGAGGCATTATGCCCATCAGCCAAAATGGCAGGTGCATCGTCGGAAGGTCCAGAGACAATGATGGCAGGCACAGTGAGGACGGCAGACGGAGCAGCAGCACAAGGTAGGACTGCAGAAGGATATGAGCCGAGAGAAGTAGGGAGAGAAGCAGATAGGGCAGAAAGAGAAGGGTCCGGTTCAGCAGATGGAGCAGGGAGAGAGGGATCCGGCGCAGCAGATAGAGCAGAAGAAGGCGCATCAATGATTGACAAGGCGCATATAGTCGGGGAGGCTTCCATGGGAGCAAGAGGCGATACGGAGTCAGATGCAGCAAATTCAGCAACAGAGGAGGAGACCGGTGCCGGAGACAGATCGACTGCAGGAACTTCGACTTGCGGTTCAGATAGAGTGAAAGGTACTGGGTCGAATGCTGGAGACAGTGCACGGCCAGGGACTTCATCGATAGTGGCAGTATGCAGAGCAGAGTCATCAAGGCAGCCAGAACCAGAGCTTCCGGGAACAGCGGGAAGGGGAGCTTCGCTAGACACGACGTCTTCGTGTATGCGTGGAGAAGCATCACCAGCAGCATCCACCGTAGTTGAGGCCTTCACCCAGGCACCGGAAGCAGAGGAGGTCACTGAGGAAGACACGGCGTCGAGTGCTTCACCCTGAGCTTCAATGGCACCCACATCAAAAGCCGTTGCTTCAGCCTGAGCAGAGGAAGCTAACACAGACTGTCGGAGAGGCGAAGGCAAGTAAGCCTTGCAGGCTGACTGGGCGCGGTCCTTGAAGTACTGCAGACTGGCATGAGCGAGGGTGATCGACGAGAAGCGGTCGCCAAGCGAAGGCCGAGAAGAAGAGGAATCGGTAGGGAACCTCCTCGACATGGGGATAGTGGGCTCATCTCTGGGAATAGGATTGGCGAGAGACTCGCGCTTCGTGGCATCCTCGACTGAAGGTACTGTAGGTTCTGCGACGCCAGACTGCATATATGCGCTTCAGAAATGGCTTCCAGGCGAATTTTGAGAGTAAACACCTTCTCTGGCTGAGATATACCGTAGTCTTTCTGTGTGGAGTGCATGTGTGCGCCATCCTCTTCTCTTGCTCCTGCTGTGCCCACCGTAAGTGTGACACCAGCGTCGGGCTAGAAGACCAGTGAGATTAGAACCAATCACATTGTAACAATAATTCATTCTGCTACGTTACTTACCGTTGCATCATGAGGTGGTACAGCGGATGATACGTCAGCGTGTATTGAGCCGTCGGAGGCGTTACCGTCGGTGTGAGGTACTGAGGTCGCGTGGATCTGTCGCATCCATGAGCTTATACCATGGATGAGAAATGACAAACAGTGTGTTTTACAGGTCTGGTAATGTCCATTGCCGGAATCGTTCCGCTAGGGAGACTCGAGTCGGATGCGACTGAAGAGGGCTGTAGAGGGTTCCAGTGAAGAAGGAGGCGCGCGATCTGGTTGGACAGGAGCAGCTCGCTGACTAAGCATACAGCTCGCGATCTCGATCGCCTCCAGATCAAGATCATCCAGCTTGGGGCGGCCCGGGCCAGAACCGCAGGACGTCGACTTCGCGAGACATTGACAGAATGTCTCACGACCACAGCGAGTAGTACATATGTTGTGGCAAGAACGCAAGGCCACTTCTGCGACAGCCAGGAATGTATCGCCGGCTTTCTTCGCTAGCTGAGCTGTAGTCGCGGTCACGAATGATCCAACAAGTTGCTACTGCCAGTGAGGCGATAAGCAATACGATGTTCTCTGCACCATCAGCTATAACATACATACATAGAGGGCTAGATATGAACGATGTGCCCTTAGGACCTTGTATTTTGCATGCGCACGCGCGGGTCACCACGCTCGGCCCGTTTGCGTAGCTTCTCTTGACGCTTACTCGACGCCTCTTTCGGTGCAGCGTCCTCCTGAACGCCGGCACCAGAAGATCTTCCCAGTAGCAGCGGTGAAATAGCAACGGTCCAGAGCTTATAACCTGCATAGAGCGGGATCTGGGGTGCGGGTAAGGGCGACGGAATGGACGAGCGGCGAAGACAGACGTACGACGAGATAGAAAAACCAGAACCAGTCACCGAATATGCCACTGCCAACTTGGCATGCCCCTACAAGAGAGAGACATGATAAGACACACAAGAGGATACAACTGACGGCAACGTACAGGTGATGTAGATGACATCGAAGGCATACTCGATAACACCAGGTCGTCCGAGGTCTTCTCCCGATGAAATCAGAGTTCCAGTTGTGGGGTCACGCTTCGGGGACCCAATACGCTCAAGGTACCGCGAGAGGAAGATCGACGGAACGTAGGAAAGGACAAGCAGCCAAAACGATAGCCTTGTTGGCGAGAGCGTCCCCTTCCGGAGGAAAACACGAAGCAGCAGTGAGAGTGCGCCGGTGAGGAGCATTCCAAGATTCATGTTCTTGATCGTCTCCGCATTCTGCTGGGCTAGCGAGGGATCAGTGAGATGTAGCGAGTGCAAGGAGGAAGGAATACCTGTCCGTTTCGCGGAAGCGTTGGCCATGGTGGTCGAGGTGGCGGTTACAGCGAGGCCGTTAATAACCGCAAGTGGATTGGCCGCCCGCGTCGTTGCCTCGAATATGTCTCCCGCCGATCAATTTGCGAGTGCGCGACCACGTGCAGCGTGTCATTGCGCTGCGTCCCCGCGCCGCCTCCTCCGAGTCGAGCTCTTCGCTGCGACCTCCCATGGTCCTCGGACGTCGCGTTAAGTCCTCCCTCATACCCCAGTAGGCGAAAGAATGTTGGCCTCCGAAGCGGACATCCAACAGAGCCTTCATGGAGCCTTACAAGCCAACAAGGATCATCAGTATGCTCTCAGGATCTACAGCGAGAGGATCGATGCTGAACTTGAGTCTCTCAACAAGCTACTCGTGAGTACCTCAGTATCTCCCGCGTATCGGTCGCTGATTTGTGTCTAGGCTGCCGCGGATGTATCTGACACAGAGGAAGACACTTTAGAGGTCAACTCCGGTGGTTGGGTGGTCATTCCGAACGCTGTGGATGCGCTTGCACCTCTCCCTTCTTCCGAGCTCTTGAGTGAAGTACGTGACCCTGGTAAACGTCATATCGCAAGATTCTCATGCGAAGGATAGGCGTCCCCATTCAGAAGTGCTGCTTTGCGACGGCAACAACACGCGAACGCGACGGTCATACATCAATGTGTGTCCTACGTTTCTCTGTTCGACTATGACTCATGGCTCCTCAGGGAAGTTACAGGAGCTTGAAGCATTATCAGACGCTGTGAAGTCGGAGAACCATCGTCTATACGCGGTAGAGGCTCAGCTGAGGTATGCTTGTAAATATAGATCTATGAGCGTAGTTCATAACTGCAAACAGGGGACAGCAAGGGCTGGCACGGCCAACTGAGGAGGCAGCGAAATTCATGGAAGAGAACATAGCCGGAATAGATTGGGAGCGCGTCTCAGTCAAAGTGCGCCTATCCTCACCACCAGGCGGCTGGCCTCCTTTGACTCAGGGACTTCCTAGGTATCCAAATCAAACTTGAGTGGCGACCATCGGACCGCCAAAGAATGTGAGATCAAGTGGCTAGGAGAGCGCCATCCACGATTTGACCACTCCCAATGGACACAGTCTGAGATCGACCGCGTGAAGCAACTCGTCGCCAACTGCGTACCCGGGCAGATCAACTGGGTAGACGTCGCCGAAAGATTGGGGGTGTGTACATCCTCATCTCTATCGTCATTTGCTGAATGATAGTGTTCGTTAGACTCGCCGTACACTGGTTGACTGTATGCGTCATGCGATCTTCAGGAAGCTTCATGCATGGGATTCTGTCAGCGATCAACGACTGCGCGATGCCGTGGAGGCGTACGGCACAGATAACTGGATCCTAGGTTGGTTCCGTTCCTCCATGCCGTTTATACTATCTTCTCAGAGATTGACCACTCTGCAGTCGCGAGACTCATCTCAGAGGATGCAACCCCACAACAATGCCAAAGCCGCTGGACGAGGCACATAGACCCCAACATCAAGCACAGTCCCTTCACAGAGGAAGAAGACAAGCTCCTGCGCGATGCGACAGCCGTGTTTGGCAACGCATGGCAGGACATCGCTCAATTCATTCCGGGAAGGACGAACGAGCAGTGTCGGGAGCGCGCGCAAGAGCTCCATAACACTGCCAATCCGAAGCGGAAGTGGACGGACATTGAGGATCGCACTCTCCTGGACACCGTCGATCCGGACAAGCCGGTAGATTGGAAGGAGGTCAGTAAAGTCCTGGGGACCGGGCGCACGGACAGTCAGGTAGGTTAATGTTCTGCCCTGTGTTGAGCTGTTGCTCACTGGAAACTAGTGCCGGAATCGTTACAATGTCCTCATGCGGCGAGTTACGCGTTCCGCGCTCCCCAGCGCAACGGGGAACTTGAGACCAATTCTTCCGGCGCCGACGCCAGCCCCAGGACCGTCGCTAAGTGTCGGGCCTAGTATATCTCAACCAGGTTCCCGCGCGTCTTCGCGGCCTCCCGGCCAGCTGCGGCCCATCCTCCCAGCTCCGGGGCACGGACCAGCTACCAGTCCAACTGCTGGTCCAAGCCAACCCCACGCTCCATCTCCACCCAAAGCTGGGTCAACAGCAGAGTCGTCGGCCTATTTGTCGCGCCTAGTGTCACCCATGCCAATTAGGCCGCTTGCTATCTCGGACCGGCCTGCTTCATCGAGTGAGGTTTCTTCAGCTCCCCCCAAACTGGGGCCGCTAGTCAGACCTAGGAAGACCGCCGAGACGAACTCCCAGGAACCACTTGCATCGTGCTCACCTGCTGTCGCAGAGGTGCAAGCCGCTCCCTCTGGAGGCAATTCAGCTGCTTCGCCTGCAGAAGCACCCCCGCCTCCCAGGCCACGTCCTCGTCCGCGTCGCAAGCAAGCCGCCGAGCCTGGCCCTGCGCCCACAGAACCGTCTACGTCTTCAGCGCCTCTGGTGGGCAACCCGCAGCAGAATATCCCACAGTCATTCACGCCAACTATGGTAGACAAGGGCAAGGCGAGGGAGACGGCACAAGAGCCTGCCGTAGAGGGGAATGCGAGTGCGAGATCGCGTAGGCCGACGAAACGTGCCCACGACGCCGTGGCAGACTCGCCGCCTTCGAAGAAGAGGCAGGCGAAAAAGAAAGCCTCAGATGCCGCTCCTATAGCTCTTGTCATTGGTGCGAGCGACGAAGCGGCCCAGACAGCAAATGCTCCCGCAACGGCAGCGAATGAAGATCAGGTTACGTCGTCACAGCCAACCCCGAGCGGCGGCAAGAGAGGCAGACGTCCAGGTACTCGGGCGCAAACCTCTAGGCAACAACCCACTAGACGATCCACGAGAACTCAACGCTCTGCCGCGAACTCTGCTGCAGAGACGACGACACCCTCAGGCCAAGCAAACGCTTCCCCTGCTGCTAATGCCGGCTTGGAAGATGACTTATCGGAATTGTCGTCACCACCGGCGTCACCATGACGGGGTCGAAGACTCGAAGTGCTGTACAACCGCGTATGGGTGATGATGACTCTGGATTCCACAACAATCCGTACGGTCAAGAAATACAGTAATTCTACCTGGTGATCACTACATCCTCGTGTCATGAACGACTGCAGTTCTACTATGCACTCAACTTCCATCGCTTGCGAGAATGTGTGGTTGACTCCCAGTTCACGATGTGGCCAAGCAACTCTCCATCCTCGTTGTCGGCGTTGTCTTCTGTCGCTGTCAAGAGGTTCCTCAAGGATTCTTGTACCAGCCCTGCGTTCTTGAGTTTCTTCTCCAATGAAGGCAAAGCAGCCTTCTTGGGTGGCGAGACCTGATATGCAAGGTAAGAAAATGATCGTAATGCAAGAGTGCACGACGCGTACAGGTGTCCTCAAATATGTATGTTTGGGAGGTAGAGCGGGTAGGTAGCGGTCACTCCACGGTAGTTGGCGGAGGGAAGCGGGTATGACGGGTGCAGCGTCTTCGTCGTCAGATGCCAGCAGTTCTGGTGAGGGCGACCGAGAGGGTGGCGGTAGCAATTCCATTGAGGCCGCACCTTGAATGGATGTACTCAGATTCAGCCCGGTGAGAATCGATTGATAGACACGTACGACGATCTCTCTTCTTTGATTTCACCGCCAACCGGTGGAGAGCGTTCGTCTGCAACCCCCACTCCTCCGTGGCTAACAGAACATCCTTCGCAACTGGGCCGGCGCGATTGGCTAGGTCCGCATATTCGTGTGCACTCTTGTAGAGTCTTTCTACGACTTCACGCACCCTTACATCAGGTTACGGATCCGGGAAATGAGCGTAGCAAGACGGACAGGCAATGACTTCCAGCTCCAGCCTTTGGAGGGCTACTGATTCAGCAGAATCGAATCCGGCGCGTGATAGTTCAGCAGAGGCCAGTCTCTTCAGTGCATGAGAAGCGAGATCGGAGCTGACAGCAGGTAGTGCAGGAGCAGAGTGAGGCTCCGGCGGCGGAGAGGGTGGCTTGGGAGGGTACGCAGGATATGTGGCCGCCGGCGTCGCCTGCGTCGGATACTGCGATGGGTAATGATTTTGGCCAGTATACGCTGGGTACTGTGGCTGGAATGCGCCATATGCCTGAGGAGGGTAGTGGGACATGGTGGGAGGTTGGTGGGAGGTTCTAGCAAAGGAGCGCGGGTGCGCGTCCGAGTCCAAGTCTGACTCCCAGGGCTTATCCGCCCGCATATCCTCCATCGCCCCCTACCCTGCTCTGATACCCCGGTTCGCTCTCTTCGACAGTCTACGATACATATAACAAGCACCACGCATCATGGTAGAGGTGGCTGCACAAGCAGTGATCAAGGAGGAGAGACCCACTGCTCCTATGCGTACGGAGACGTTCCGGCAGACGCGCCCCGACATCGCAGGTCCAGATGCTCCAGAACTGCCCTTCCCTATCGTCCTCTCCGGTACAGTGCAGTATGGCTTCGGGCGGGGAGGCAAAGATCTGGGCTGTCCTACCGGTACGCCTAGCCTAACCATGCAGTCCTCGTGTCTTACATGCACTCTACAAGCGAACCTACCTGACGAGTCTATCACACCCATGAGCTCCGTGACCCAGACCGGAGTTTATTATGGCTACGCCCAGATTTCCCCAGAGAAGAACGGACAGTTCGTCCTCTCTGAGAAGGATCGCGGCGTAATGCCTATGGTCATGAGTCTAGGATGGAATCCATTCTACAAGAACGAGCGGTTGACGGCGGTACGTCGGGATGCACCTTCGAATTCGTCTGCGTATTCAGTAACATCTCGTAGGAAATTCACCTCATGCATGACTTCGACTCCGACTTCTATGGCCACGAGATGAAGGCCCTGGTACTGGGATACATCCGCCCTGAGCTGGACTACACGTCCCGAGGTCAGTCCTAGAGTTCACATGCAAACACAGGCTTACACATGTGCTGCTTCAGAGGGTCTCGTCGAGGATATCGAGACGGACAAGCGAGTAGCTCTGAAGTCATTGGCGAGGCTCGCATACGAGAAGTTCAAGTCAGATCCTATTTTCGATACCACGCAGCCCAAGCTATGAGCTTGAGTATCGGTCAAGAGGAACTGTGTACACCGTGTATTACCCGTACTATCCTTATGACTGCTCACTTATAGATCGCCTGTAGCCTAGAGTAGAAGACTAGAAGTCCATGCTGGAGCTATCATAGCTGTGTCTGGAGCTACTTAGCTGTGCGATGATAACTGTAGTCGAAAGACATCTTCAGGTTGGGGTTGTTCGCAGCTCGCAGGCCCTGCCTCACTGCAAGAGCGAGCCGCTGAAAGCGGAAGGACTGGTTTGATCTGAACCACGTGGCCGAGTACGTAGCGCGCCATCGTCAACTCTTCGTCAATCCGACCTGTGACTGCGACGACCATCTCCTCGCCCGTCGCCCAACATGTACAACGGCATCGGTCTCACTACTCCTCGCGGGAGGTCAGTCCCTTTGGCTGATATGTGTTTTCGTAACTGACCGCGTTTGTACAGTGGTACAAATGGCTATGTTGTGCGCAACTTGTCCGCCTTGCGCGCCCACCAGAGCGCAGCCGACCGTGCCAGTGCATGGGACATAGCACCCCCAAAGCACAGGGAACCAGATGCTGCTATCCTGGAACACGAGAAGAAACGCAAGGTGGAGGTAAAATGCTTGGAGCTGCAGCTGGAGTTGGAGGAGAAAGGGTGCGTCGTTGCTTACTGCACGGTGAAGCTGGTCTTCGCTCAACTACTTCCTTCGCAGTCTCGAGGAAGACGAAATCGAGAAACAAGTTGACGAACTGCGCACGAAGTTGCTTGCCAATCTCAACGCGATGGCCTCGAATGCAAAAGGCCTGAAGCCCTCGGATACGCATGCCATTGCCGCTGCAAAGAAGGAGGAGCTCAACAAAATGGCACGGGCTCTAGGTACTCGCTCGGATTACACGGAGGGAGAGGCGTTTGACAGGGAGAAGCAAGAGGAGAATAGGGTGCGGAGGATGGCGGAGAGAGAGGAGAGGGACAGGCAAAGGGACGAGGAACGCGAAAAGATGAGGTTGCAGAAAGAGAAGTGGGAGGCCGAGCGGAAAGAACGAGAACGTCTGCGGCGTAGGGAGGAGGACAGGAGGAGGAAGGAGAGGGAAGAGGAGATGAATCGCAGGGAACGAATGCCTCCGCCGCCAATGCCTCCTCGCGACAGGGAGTACCGCGACAGGCGCAGCCGGAGCCCAGTCCGCCGGGATCCTGCCGTTCGTGACAGAGACTACGACGATCGTCGCCGACGGCCTGTGTCGCGCTCGCCTTCACCACCGCCTCGTGGACGTCGCCCGTCTTCACCCTCCCTGTCCCCGCCTCCTCGCGGCCGCCGACCGTCGTCGCGCTCGCCTTCGCCGCCTCCCAGGGCTGCGCGCCGCTTCTCTTCGCGCTCACCCTCCCCTCCGCCTCGCGCGCGTCGCCCCCCTACACGCTCTCCCTCACCTCCGCTTCGCACGCGTCGCCCTCCTACACGCTCTCCCTCACCTCCGCCTCGCCGCGTCCGCCGCCGCTTCGACTCGCGCTCCCCGTCGCCTCAGCCGCCCTACCGTCGTTCAGGCTCAGTTGAACCTCCCTCGCGTGGCGCGCGGGGCATCTCGGACTCTCCCCCTCCGTACCCACCAAAGTCACCTCCGCCGCGGTATCGCCGTGACCGCGGCCGCTCGCCCTCGCGCACGCCTTCGCGTTCCCCGCCACGCGGTGCTGGCCGGGGTGGCCGGGACTCACGCTCGCCCTCGCCGCCCGAACGTGCGCCGCGCCGTGGACGGGGGCGCTCGGCTTCGACGGGATCTTCGATGTCTGTTAGCTCGAATGGCAGCCGGAGTCGGAGCAGGGATTGAATATTGAATGTGTGCTTCTTGCTTGCCTTGCTCCAGTATTGCCCATATGATACGGCGACTGTGTCTATGCAGCACCTATTGTACTATAGCTATTGCCTCGAATCCAGGTCATGTCCGTTCTCGTCGATCTGCTGTAGCACCTTTCGGTAAGACCTCCGTATTCATAAGTACATGCTGAACGTTCCGAGTCTGTCGAATGCACTGTCAAATTGCAGTAATAGCGCATCACGTGTGGGCGAATGTTTCTCTGCCACCGTCATGACTCCGGACGCTCAGGGCCCTCATATCGCGGCGGACAGCCGGCATACCGTCTCCTCCCTCCCCCAAGCACCTAGGTACACCCTCAAAAGCTGCTATGTCGCGCTCTGGTGTGGCTCGTAGTCTTGTTAGCTGCCCGACGCGGGTAAGCGCCCGACAGACTCAAGGGTTGCGTGCAGTCAGGCATGCTTCGTCTTTGCCTGAAGTGAGTTGCTTTCATTCGGTCGTTATACGAAGCTGACGCTGCGTGTTGGACTCCTCGTAGAATGCACCTCATCCTGCGGCGTCGATTCCTGACGTGCCGTCTACGAAGTACACGGCGGTGACCCATCCTGAGGACCCGTCCAGCGTTCCCCGCAGTGTCAAGGCCATGATCGACCGTTCTTCTGCCTATGTCCTGCCTGTTTATGCTCGGCCGCCTGTCATCATGTCACACGGGAAGGGGGCGTACATATGGGACACTGAGGGTCGTCGCTACCTCGATTTCAGCGCTGGTATCGCCGTCAACGCGCTGGGCCATTCGGACATGGGTGTTGCCAATGTGCGGCTTCAATCTGTGCATGTCTAGTCCCGCGCGTCACTGATGTTGTAACATTTGTCTTTGACAGGTAATGGCGTCGGAAGCGGGCACGCTCTTACACGCGAGCAATGTATACCACAACAAATGGGCGGGCCAGCTCGCAGAGCTGCTCGTGAAGCTCACCCAGCAAGAGGGCGGCCTCGGCTGGGAGACCGGCTCCACGCACCCACCCCAAGGTGCGACCAGCGGCGCGAAGGTGTTCTTCTCCAACTCCGGCACCGAGGCGAACGAGGGTGCGCTGAAGGTCGCGCGGAAGGTGGGGAAGGCGCGCTGGGCCGCGTCCACGGGCAAGTCGTGGGACGACCCCGCCTGCGACAAACACGAGATCGTCTGCTTCGAACGCGGGTTCCATGGTCGGTCGATGGGCGCGCTGAGCGTTACGACGAACCCGAAGTACCAAAAGCCGTTCGCGCCGCTGCTGCCTGGCGTGAAGGTCGGCAGGCTGAACGTTCTGGAAGACCTGGACAGGTTGCTCAGCGAGAAGACGTGCGCGGTCATTGTGGAACCGATCCAAGGAGAAGGGGGTGTCCACGCCGCCGATGTAGCTTGGTTGCAGGCTCTTCGAAAGAAGTGCGACGAAGTTGGCGCGGTGCTCATTTATGACGAGATCCAGGTGAGTCAAATTGTCATGTCGTCTTTGTGTGTGAGACTTCCCCTCAACACTCGGAGGCTACGGGCTACTACGGGCTCTAAATATGTCCGCTGACTTTGATGATATGACCTCCAGTGCGGTCTCTATAGGACAGGTTCGCTATGGGCTCATTCTACAATGCCGATCGAAGCACACCCGGACGTGGTCACGATGGCGAAGCCATTGGCAAATGGGTACCCAATTGGCGCGGTTCTCATGCGCGACGATGTGGCGGAGACAATGACCGCTGGTAAGTGCATCTCCATCTGCGTCACGGTGTCCGGTACAGCAAGGCTGACCGCGGTGGTACTGTCAGGTTCGCACGGGACGACGTTCGGAGGCTCGCCGCTCGCGTGTGCGCTGGGCTTCCACGTCCTGTCACGCATCTCGGAGCGCTCCTTCGTGTCTAACACTATGGAGATGAGTGCATATTTGTCGGGGCGTCTCGCTCAATTGCCGCGGTGGTTCCCGAGTATGGTGCAGCCGGGGGTTCGGGGACGCGGGCTGATCATGGGCCTCGGCTTCAAGGACGCAAGTCAGCCGGGGGAGGTGGTGCAGATGGCAAGGGAACGGGGCGTGTTGCTGCTGACTGCGGGTAACGATGCCGTGCGACTTGTTCCCAGCCTGAACATCGGGCGGACGGAGGTGGACTTGGCGGTGAACGTGATAGAGAGCTGTCTACATGTGATGCAGAATGCGTAGATGAATGCAGTGTCTGAGGCATAACATAGGGACTGAGGCGGCCAGCTGACAGGCGACGGCGAGCGGCGGGTGGCGGGGAGGCCCCGGGGAGAGACGGTGGTGCCGGTGGGACGACAGCCACGTCCGACAGGGGACTCGCCGGGTGCACCGAACTGCCATTCGAAGATTCGGCGGGCGTCTGCTAATTGCCACGCCGTGATTGGCTGCCCCGCTCGCCTCGTCCCATAAGAGGAAGCCGTCGCTACCCGTCACCGACCCATCTCTTCCCCATCCTTCGCAGCCATGGACAAGCTCTCGTCCCTCGCGAAGTTCAAGTCCTCCTGCCCCTTCCTCGGCCGCACCAAGTCTTCCACCCTCCGCACCCTATGCACCTCTTCTTCGCCCCGCTACCCGTCGCTCTCGCGTCTTACCGAGCGTGCGACCCAGTGCCCCGTCATGGGCCCCGCCTTGCAGACCCGCTCCAGCCAGATGGTCGCCGGCTACGCTAGCTTCGCGGGCAGCGCGGACATCCAGAAGATACACGAGGAGAAGGGTGTCTTCCCCATCCCCACCGGCACGAACATCGAAATGTGCCCGCACGCAACCAAGGCCCTTGCGGCTGCGCGCATGGCGGAAGACCTTGCGAAGGCGGCGAAGCACAAGGCGGCGAAGGCGGCCGCGAAGCCGTCCACATCCGCTGCCCCTAGCGGCTGCCCGTTCCACGCCGCTCAGGCTGCCCAGGGCAAAGGCAAGGAGGCCGCTGCCGCGGGCGGCTTTAACTACGACAAGTTCTACGCAGACGAGCTGGAGAAGAAACATCAGGATGCTTCTTACCGCTACTTCAACAACATCAACCGCATGGCGCACAAGTTCCCCATCGCGCACACCGGTCACCCGAAGGATGAGGTCGAGGTGTGGTGTGCGAACGACTACCTCGGGATGGGTAACAACCCGATCGTACTCGAAACGATGCAGTATGTGTCAATCTCGGATCTGCTCTAGCCGATACTGACGCAATGCCTCGCGTCCTCAGTCGCACGCTCGATACCTACGGCCACGGGGCCGGAGGCACTCGGAATATAGCGGGCAACACCGGCATGCACCTTGCCCTCGAGGAAGAGCTCGCCGCCTTACACCGCAAGCCTGCTGCGCTGGTGTTCTCCTCCTGCTACGTCGCTAACGATGCTACCCTCGCCACCCTCGGCTCAAAGTTACCCGGGTGTATCTACTTCTCCGACTCCATGAACCATGCCTCCATGATTCAAGGTATGCGACACTCGGGAACGAAGCGCGTCATCTTCAATCACAATGACCTCGAGGACCTCGAGTACAAGCTCGCGCAGTATCCGAAAGAGACCCCCAAGATCATCGCCTTCGAGAGCGTCTACTCGATGTGCGGTAGCATTGGACCCATCTCGCAGATATGCGACTTGGCCAAGAAGTACGGTGCCTTGACGTTCCTAGACGAGGTACACGCTGTTGGCCTATACGGACCTCATGGCGCTGGCGTCGCGGAGCACCTTGACTACGAGGCGCAGCAGCGTGCTGGCAACAGTCGTGAGCCTGTCAAGGGGTCGGTCATGGACCGCATCGACATCATTACTGGTAAGTAGTTTTTGCGGTGTTGTATGCGTGCGCTCTCATTGATTTGCCCTCGCCAGGTACCCTTGGCAAGGCCTACGGTGCCATTGGTGGTTACATTGCGGGCTCCTCGGACTTCGTCGACATGATCAGGTCGTACGCTTCCGGGTTCATCTTCACCACGTCTCTGCCCCCTGCGAACATGGCTGGCGCCCGCGCCAGCATCTCGTACCAAAAGGAGTACCTGGGCGACCGTCAGCTCATGCAGATCAACGTCCGCGAGCTGAAGTCCCGCTTTGAGTCTCTGGACATCCCCGTCGTTCCCGGCCCTTCGCACATCGTCCCCGTCCTCATCGGTGATCCTACCTTTGCGCGTCTCGCCTCCGACATGCTCCTGGAGAAGCACAACGTCTACGTGCAGGCTATCAACTACCCGACGGTTGCGCGCGGCGAGGAGCGCCTCAGGTTCACGGTTACCCCCGGACACAACATCGACCAGATTGCGCGGCTCGCGAAGGCGGTCGACCAGACGTTCACGGAGCTGGGCATCAAGCGCACGTCGGTCTGGAAGGCGGAGGGTGGGCGCGCGGGCGTCGGCATGCCCGATGCGAAGCCCGTCGAGCCGATCTGGACGAACGGGCAGCTGGGTATGGTCGACGGCTCCGCGCCGAAGCTTTTGAGGGCGGGCCAGAAGCGCATCGTGGATGCCAGGGCCGTTGCGGTGACGCGCGAGAAGTTCAACGACCTGTTGGGTCCGGTCGTTGAGCCTCGTGTGACCACGGTGCAGCTAGACATGGCCGCGGGTATGCGTCCCCTCGCGTTGCCTGCGGACGCGCTCCTCCCGGCTTCTGAGGTTTCTGTCTCTGCCTAAACGCAGTGGTGTATTACTCTTGTCGACGGATGGGTCGGTTCGTCAACGACCCTGCACTTGATTAGATCAGCAGCCGCTGTGTTGTCGTACGTGTACCGCTGATGTTGTGAACAAAAGTGAATTGTCGTCGCCCTTGTCATTTGGCGACCTCCGTCTATCTCCCTTGTGTGAACTGTGTGCTCAATTTTCAGTAACATCATTTTGTCGTCAGCCTGGCTGCTTGGTGCGACGCCAGCTACGTCAGGACTTTGCCAGTGTCCAAAGGACGAGAAACTTGAAACTGTATGCCGGCTGGTAGGAGCCGAGTTCGGACGGACGGTGCAGAAACTAGTGACCGACCGGGCAGGTCAAAGAGTTTTAGGGGTCCATTATACTTGGCTCTGTGATAGCAATGCACATGTGCTCCATCTAGTCTCTATGAGTCTTCATCCTGGATGTAGCGGTCACGGATGTCCTTCCACTGCTTCTGTGCGGATGTCAGTACGACGGCATCCAGGAGGGAATTGCTGCGACGCACCCCCTTGTTCCAGGTGTCCCAGAACGACGTGATGCCGGTGTCAAAGCCAACGCCGAACGCGAATGCTCCGGCGAATATGGTCGTCACGAACACGCCTGGTGGAAAACGAAGGGGTTGGAGGGGAGGAGCGCGGAGGAATACGGAATGACGACTCACTGTTGCGCTTGACGATGGAGTTGTAGAAAGCGTTCGCCAACTGCACGGACGTCCATCAGCATCCCTGTCTTTGCTGTGGAATTTGGTACTCACGGAGCCCATGGCTGGATGTGTGCGCGGGGACGGTGACGGAGGAGGTGAAGGTGCAAACCGGCGGTGCCGGGATGGCAGGCGCCGTGCGCGATAGGCGCCCATACGGAGGTCCTCGCAAATTCGCGCGCTGTGGACGTTCCGCTCATCATGTCTCTGCTCAGGCAGCGGGTCGCTGCCCTGCGGCCTCTGCGCCAGTCCTGCCGCGCCGCCGGCCTTGCTACACGAGCGGACACGAGTAATCTCGCATTTTTCGACGACCTCAGTGGGACGCCGCCCCCCTCGACGAACCCGCCCTTGGACGACTCTTCGTCCTTCCCCCAGCCCTCGATCACTATGGACCCGGAAGACACAGGGCCGCCCAAGGGCGAGGCATACCCCCTCAACCCTATAAAAGTCAACGAGTCCAAAAGTGCTGAGATAGCGCAGGGGAAGCTCCAACAATCGGTCTATGCTATCTACTGCAAGTCGAATAAGTCGAACACGATCGTGTCTGCGACCCGGCCGAGCGGGCATATCCTGCGGACGTACAGCGGTGGAGCGATGGGGTTCAAGGGCGCGAACCGGTCGAGCTACGAGGCTGGCTACCAGTCCTGCGTGGCGGCCTTCAAGGTGCTCGAGAAGGCCATGGAGACGGAGAAGGACCCGAAGTGGCAGTTGTATTTGAATGGGAGAGGGCAGGGGCGGGATGCGTGCCTGAAGGCTGTAGTGTCGACGGAGGGGCAGGTGTTGAAGCACAGGCTGGTCAAGGTGATTGACAAGACGCCTATAAAGATCGGAGGTACGAGGTCGAAGAAGATGAAACGGCGGTAGTGCTGTCTGGGTGAGTTGCATGTCCTCCTGTGAATGTATGTTCTGCGCTCTTACACGCTTCCGTCGTTGTAGGTCGCAGTCTTCCGCTGCAGTCCTGTGCATCCGCTGTTCCATCGAGCCCTGGGCTCCTACACTACACCCCTTACACGCGGCTACCTTTGAATGAGAGACGGGTATCTCACTGCTAGTCCGACTCTGGCCAGGTGGGCTAGAGCTACTGCTGCCGACAAACTTAGCACCAGGTGTAATGACCCTGCGTACACGCGGGATGATAATGGAAGGTGGTCTATCATTGCATGTCCGCGGAAGAAGTCTACCATTCAGATTGTGCGATGCGTCGACCATGTCCTGCTATCCTCATCCGCCCGTAGGCACAGGCGAGGCGCAGTTGTGCGCCGCGGAGTCGGGCTGGCTATTGGCTGCAATGCCATATGTTGCCGTTCGCCGAGTTGAGGTGGCTGGACACGCGTTATGCGGCTTATGTCATCGTCACTGCCTAGCTTACTCCGTCGACGAGTCCGTTCGGCATGTGGCACTGGCTGCGTCCCCTCGCATTATAATCCGACATCGCCGCTCCCCTCCTCCCACCTCTTCTCTCCTCTCCGTCTACCTCGCAACCATATCCTCTGCACTCAGACTCGCTAGACTGCGGCTTCCACCCAGCATGGCTGCCACCACCTCAGGTACATCACTGCCCGGCGTGCTGCCGCTGCCACCCGCCCGAGAGATTCCATCTACCTTCATAGCTAGTATGAGAAGCTGGTGAGCACCATCGGATCACACATAGGTTGCACCGGTCTTACATCCATGGCAGGTGGTATGCTGGCGAAAAGGAGAGCGCGGCGGCGGAAGAGCGGTTACTCAGGTGCGTCCGCCATGTCGGATGTGTAAGCCGTTCGCTCATTGCAGTCCAGGAAACTGCCCTTCTTCCACCCTGCCGGCTCACCTCCGCCCACGCCAGACGGCAATTACCAGGTGGTGGCAGAGAGCAAGCGCGTTGAGCTCGACAGCCCGAAGCACTACATTAATACCTTCATCATGACCCCGACCTCACAGGCGACGTCGTCCTCCCGCTCGCCGGTCGTGCTGCTACATGGTTATGGAGCGGGACTTGGGTTCTTCTTCCAAAACTTCCTCGCACTGGGACAGTGGGCCGGACGGCGCGGGACGTCTGTGTTCGCGCTCGACTGGCTAGGCATGGGCCGCTCCGCGCGGGTTCCGTTCGCCGTAAAGGCGAAGCGAGACGACATCGACGGGAGGGTGAACGAGGCTGAGGGTTTCTTCATAGACTCCCTGGAGCAATGGCGTGAGCGCATGGGGCTCGAGCGGATGACGCTCGTGGGGCACTCGCTCGGCGGCTACCTCAGCGTCGCCTATGCGCTCAAGTACCCGACTCGTGTTAGCAAGATCATCCTGTTATCGCCTGCAGGCGTGCCTCGCGACCCGGAGAGTACTGTGTACTCGCGCGAGGTGACGGACGAGCAGGATACGAGCGCGTCAAGCGCCGACCATGCTGAGGCGGCGACGAAGGGTAGGCTGGAGCGGATAAAGAGTGGGCAGGAAGATGTACAGAAGAAGGAGAGTCGGTCGCGGAAGATCCTCACATACCTCTGGGAGGAGGGCTGGAGTCCGTTTCAAGTCGTCCGGTCGTCGCTGTTCTGGGGACCCATGCTCGTGGGCAAGTACTCTAGCAGGCGATTCATCGGGCTGAGTCAGGACGACACTCGGGCGATGCACGACTACATAGTAAATCTTGTCCTCGCGAAGGGTTCGGGAGAGTACTGTGTCTCTCATCTGCTCGCCCCCGGCGCCCACGCGAGGAGACCACTCGTAGATCGGATCCACGCCTTGAAGGTGCCGATCACCTTCGTTTGTGAGTACCGGCAACTTCGTTGCGCTTTCCAGGGATGTTGATCGGTGGTTCGACACAGATGGCGAACACGATTGGATGGACCCTGAGGGTGGTTCAGAAGCCGTTGAGAGACTGCGCCAGGCAGGTAACGGCGACGGCAAGATGTATATTATCCCTCATGCAGGCCATCATGGTAAGTATCATAGTGCCCCGCAGTCCGCACTTCCGGCTCACAGTCCGTCGTCTTTGCAGTCTACCTGGATAACCCGAAAGCCGTCAACGACCTGCTCGTCAAGGAGTTAGACCGTTCGCTGAAGGCATAATCACGACACACATTACGACAGTAGACCGCACGTACATCATTGGGACGCGGCGACTATATACACACTCTTGCACGGATCATACCTACCTACTATCTTTTGCTGGGCTATTTAAGTGTGTACTCTAGATGTAGATTGGGCTTTTGCGTTCGGACACACACATTCACCTGTTGTACTATGTTCCCCTAATTGCAATATGTTACCCTTGCGCTGTTCATTGTCAACGACATTGTATCAGTGTGAAGCATGATGCATGAATGCGGAGGCAGAGCGGGGGTTGCCGCTGTTTCCCCGCTTCTGCGATCACTTCTCCGTGCCTCATGCCTCCAGGCTGCCCAGAGGTCATGCCGCCGATTGTTCGCATGTACTCAACGCCCATCCTTTCTCTTCTACGCCGGAGAGTCAGAGACTGGCGGAGCACTGCAGCTGCCTGTGATTCACGCAGGGTCAATCACACTGCGTCGATCAGTGCTAGGTAGGAAGCCTGAGGTTTCCTGAGTTCGTGTACCAGAGGTGCGTTGAGATCATGCTGAGTGGTCCGTCTCCTTACGATTCCGATCAATGAATTATAGCTAGATCCCCTGCCATGGCCAAGAAGGGCCCGCCGTATACCGACGACCCGGAGTGTAAATATGTGGTCGTCGAAGATCCATTCCCGGGACACAGAACGGGCAAGGCGCGGGACCAGGCGTACTGGGACTGGCTCAGTGGATGGGTCTACTACATGACCGGCAAGAAGGCAGACCCTACGTCGATCTATTTTGTCCATACGGTAGGAGCTACGCGGCGTTTTGTGAATGGTCCTCTCAGAGGCGCTGACACTTCAGACTTTATCTCGCCGCCCATAGAAAGATGAAGTCATTGTGCAACTACCAGAGGAATACGACGTGACACCAATTCTCGGTGTCCATGTCTGGCGTGAGGTGCTCAAGTGGGGGCAGGAGCGAGATAAAGATCGCGTCTCATACGTCTTCGAGTACAACTACCGAAACCATGGCCGCCCTGAGAGTCGTATGTCGCCCCTCGCTCGGAATATCTGCGCTTATGAGGCTCGTTTGCTGACGAAGAACAAGATGGCTGGGAAGAAGCATGGCCCACCGGTGGCGGCCCTAATGACCCGAATAAGTTTCCTGTCAAGTTTCCGTATCCCCACCCGCATTGGGCGACAGTTCGGGGAAGGAACTGCGCAAGTCTGGCATTGCCACTCCCCCGGACTCGGGAGCGTACGCCAACTCCTCCACCTGTAACTTGAATTCTCTTTTCTATCCGAGGCGAGGCAGCAGCTGAGTATTACCGTCATAGCCAGAACCAATTTTGTTCGAGCCATACGAAGCACCTGCGCACCTGGCTGATGCTCGGAATGCGCAACTGGACGAAGAATTGCACGAGCCAGAAGAGCAAGATGTAAAGCCAACGATAGGTGTACCGTTGCCAGGTCAGATCTTTGGGTTCATTACCTTCTGTCTTTCAATATCTACTCACTCTCGCCACCACCTCTCATTGCAGGGCAATTCTTTGTAGATAAGCGAGACCCTTACGAAGAAGGTGAATTCGCTCCACTTTTTATGCCTCACAATCGTCTGACACATGTTTTACAGAGGATGCAGCACTCCGACTCGTCAAACAAGAACCATCGAACGATCCAATCCTCGTGAAGGCTGAGCCTTCCGAGGTGATAGTGAAACAAGAACATCCTGAACCTAGAGCAGGTATACGCCCAATGTTTGGTCCTGACGTAGGCAAACTGACCATGCCCCAGAACCGCAACCTTCCGAAGCGTTTCTTGCGGCCTTCAATCGCCTGGAACGCACACGCGCCGGTCAAGGTGGGTAGCTCCAGTTGATCAGATATGTAGCGTACTATGTGGGATACTAGAGTCAAGTGCGAAGCGCGAGCCGTCCCCGACCGGGGAGCCTCAGCCATCACAGGAGTTCTTGGCTGCATTCCAGCGATTGGAACGAACGCGCGCAGCGCAAGGCGAGAACGACTTATCCACGCATACGCCAGTGCTTGTCTTACATCTATATAGGCCAGGTTGAGCCGGGGCCATCAAGGACACCTATCCAGACGCAACTTACTCCGCCCACAGATCGCGCACGCTCTGATACGTTGGCTACGAGCACCTCACCAGAACGCGCGCGCTCGGGGACATGGACGCTAACACCCGGTGAGCTTCTTTCACTATAACCTCTACCGCATCTGTCTCAAGTAATGTGAATAGGCGTACGCGTCAAGCCGGAGCCTCAAGAGGACGCGCTACCCCCAACACCGTTCCAGACCGCGCAGGGCGTTAGTCATGCCCCAAGGCTCGCGGCACAGAACATGCGAGTGAAGCCAGAACCCCAAGAAATGAGGTTACCTCCTCCATCGCGTCGTACGTGTGGTGTTCTGTCTTCAGTGTCAAGTGTATTCATGTAGTCGGAAGCCACTGAACCTGCTGCGGTCCGGGTGAAGCCTGAGCCGCAAGACCACAGGATACCTCCACCTGCGTCCGCACGTCCTCCAGAGGACGTGCGCACGCAAGACCCGAGGCAGCGCAGTAAACGTAAGTCAGGCTATAGACGAATCGGGCGTCGGTTGACTTGTTTCCATCCTTCAGTCCCGTCCTTCAAACGCGTGAAGAGGGATGAAGACGAAGGTGTGTTTCGTCTATCGCCGCTGCTTCCCTGATCTGACGGTATGCAGGCACCGCGAAGCGAATCAAGACCGAGCATGAGCACAGATATCCGTGACAGACCGCGGTACAATTACCCTGCCATCCTATGTAGGACTCACCACACTACAATAGACTCATCACATCTACCGCGACATGTAACACGCTTGCTTGATATATGTACTAGCATACTTTTGATACACTGCAAACTAGCCACATCTTTCTGTCTCATTAGATCACGCTTACACACCTAGGGATAGCCTGAGCAGACCCCGGCTCACAACCGCTTGAGCACTGCGTCGAGGACCTCGGTCGTCTTGCTCTTCCCGCCCAGGTCTGGCGTCAACACCTGACCCTCGCGGATGACCTGGTCGACCGCCTTGTCCATCTTGTCTGCGGCTGCCGCGTACCCGAGGTGGCGGAGCATGAGCGCTGCGCTACGGATGGACGCGAGAGGGTTGGCGATACCGCGCCCGGCAATGTCGGGTGCCGAGCCGTGGACGCTGTGGTAGGTCGGTGTTAGTGTATCCTCGAGGAGATTGGGTCAATGATGTATGACGTACGGTTCGCCCATGACAAAGTTGTCACCTGCGTTGACGGAGGGCACAAGACCAAGCGAGCCAACGAGGGCTGCAGCGGCATCCCTGTTTCCCACCATTCATATGAGGCAAGCAGGGTGATAATTGAGATGGAGACACGCACGAGATGATGTCGCCGTAGAGGTTCGGCGCGACCATGACGTCGTAGATCCTGAGGAACGCGATTCGGTAAGCAACGTGGGCAACAAGGAAGTCGGCGATAGGTCTTACTGAGGTTCCCGGAACAACCGGTACACAGCGCTGTCTACAATCTGCTCCTCGATCTTGACACTGTCGTACCTACCGTCTCCAACTACACGAGGCACGGCGCGAACGGTGTCTCGGAAGAGACCATCCGTGACGGAGAGGACGTTGGACTTGTGGATAACTGTCACTTGCTAATGGCGAGGCTGAGATTCGCACTATGCCAGACAGGATGACAAGCGCATAACATACCTTGCGCGGGCGACCGAGTGCGATCTCGAATGCCATTTTGCCGATACGGTGGGATGCACGCTCCGTGATGAGACGCGTCGCGCGAGCCTCCTTACCGTGCTCACCGATGCTCATCGTCTCTTGCTTCACGTACTAGAAGCGATGGGAAGACCGTCAGTTCACAGTCGAAGCCAAACCAGTACCACGGCGCACCAGACACTCAGTGTTCTCACGTACGACCACGAGGTCGATGTCGGGCTTGTCCTCGGGGTTGGCAGCGACCTGCTTCGTGCTTCAGCGAATGATAGGCACATTTTGCCAGAATACATACCGAGATGACTGGTCGGACGTTCGCGTAGAGGTCTAACCGCTTACGCAGTGCGACAATAGGCGAAGAGTAGCCTGCTACTTTGTTCACGGGGGAGCTAGGGCGTTGACATTCAGCGACGATACGCCTGCGCAGCACACGCACTATTACACACCTGACAGCGCCGAACAGGGCGCAATCACAGTCTTTGAGTGCCCTGAGCTTCATTAGCAGAAGCTACATGAGTCATAGCACTCCGAGGACGTACTGGACCGTCTCCTCCGGCAAGGCCTCTCCCGAGGCAGAAAATAGCTCAAACCCTGCCGCCAGGTCAACAAACTCGGGCTTGGGAATCTCAGAGCCCAATGCTTCGATGGCAGCGCGTGCGGCCGGGATGACTTCCTGGCCAATACCATCTGCAGGGATGAGGCCGATCTTGAGCTTCTGGCGGTTCACAGGGACCGCAGTCGCCATCGAGCGCAACATTGCGCGCGAGGCGAGTCTACGCGAGGTGAATGCTACACGGAGGGACATGGTGGACAGGAGGGGCGGACGGAGAGAAGATACACGGCCGTATTCAAGCTGTACTGTATTTTGTTGACGCAAGGATGTCGACCGGATCGAGATTCCCATCGAGATCCCTCCTGCGCGTCGCGATCACGTGTAGCGCGCCCTCATTCAACAGACGCGGTTAATGGGCGTCTAGAGCCATTCTTCTGCCACGCCGTCGACGCTCGTCCGTAGCCACGATGGCCTCTCCGCCGGATTCTCCTACCCGTCCGGCCTTCACAAACACAACCAACACACAATTTGAAGATGTCCCTAGCCTCTTCACTCAGCCGACCACAGGAAAACGCGCATCGGGCGGTATTGACGACCGCGAAAAGAAACGCGTCAAGCTATCTGGCACGGAATCATATGCGGAGGAGGACGCCTCGTCAGACAGTGATTCTGATGTGGATATGGTGGACGAGTGGGCTCTTCGGGCGCGGAAGCGGAAGCATACCGTCTTTGGTATGCGCGATGCTGCTATGATGGCTACCTCGTCTTGGGCCTTGCGACACAATACACGTGAGTCGGTACACGACTTGCTGAAGGACGGCACCTTAGTACAATCCAACAGCATTGTCGCGCTCCGTACTCCAGTCTTTTGTCTCTTCACATAAATCCGACGTATACAACTGTCACTCTGTGGACGAAACCTCATACAATACACTCCCATACGCTTGCGCTTACTCACACTGTTCGTCCGTCTGCTCATGTTCTCAATTCACTCCCACTAACTTCTTACAGCTGCGAAATCTGGTCAGACTCCTCTCCTCGCCATTGCCACCGAGCAAGGCTCTATTCACGTCGTGAACACCCGTACTCGGCGCGACTGGGAGTGCGAGCCCCCGCGCACCGTCCTCACCCCGCACGCCAACGGCGTCTTTGACATCAAGTGGTCGCCCTCCGACAAGCTCCTCGCAACCGCGTCAGGTGACCACTCCGTGCGCATCTCTACGCTCGCGCCGGACGTGTCCCCGGAGGATAGTATTCTGCACGTACTCCACGGACACACAGGCACGGTCAAGTGCGTCGCGTGGAACCCTGCGTATGACGGCGAGGTGCTCTGCACGGGTGGGCGTGATGGCGGGATCTGTGTGTGGGATCTACGGGTTGGTGAGAGGCGCACCAGTACGCGCAGGATGACGCGTAGTGGGGCAGGCTACGAAGCGGAAGAGAGCGAGGCGCTCCAACCGGTCCTCAGCATACCAGGAGCACACGAAGATGGCAAGCCTTCAAAACCAAGAGGTAGGAAGGGCAAGGGGATGCTTGCCGCGGCCATGCGGAGCATCACCAGCCTTGCCTATATTCCAGGGTGCCCTCACACCCTGGTCAGCAGCGGTTCCTACGATGGGTGCGTTCCTTACAATGATCATCCCTCGGCTGGCTGACAGTTCGAATATAGCGTCCTGCGCCAATGGGACCTCCGCCTGCCCACCTCCAAGAAGACAGCCAAATCCAAAGCCGTACCCAGGCCAGTCCTGACCTCCGCCGATCCAACAACCTTCCAAGGCTCTCGGCGCGCACGGGGGATCACAACGCTCATCCCAGGCACAGGCCCCTCGGCAGGGCACCTGTTCGCCCTCGGGACCGACTCGCGCATACACACCTTCGCACTGCCCTCGCTGGAGCCACTCTCAGGGTACCTCTCGCCAGACCACGCGGATCCATTCGCGTACACACACATGCAGATGCAGACAAACTCGTTCTATACCCACGCGGCGCTCTCGCCGTGCGGGCAGTGGCTTGCGAGCGGGAGCACGGCGTATGGTCAAGTGTTTCTGTTTGATGTAGGGAGGAGCTCTACGGGGTGGGCGAGCAGGGAACTCGCGCAGGCTGTGATGCTGAGAGGGCAAAAGGGCGAGGTGGGTGCGCTGGATTGGGCGGAAGGAATGCTGGCGACGTGCGCCGACGACGCAACAGTAAGGGTTTGGAGACCAGACGTGGGTGTGCACAGACACTGTTTGCGGGATAGTGAGGAGATGCGGTGGCATTGGAGCTGGGCTATGGACGAGTAGAACTAGAGTCGTGAAGACAGAATCTTTACCTGTACATAAAACAGCTGTATATTGGACCCAATCTGTGATTGCTTTGAGGTTCAGGAACACTTTGATCCTTACGAAGTAGTCGAGAGAGAATGACGCTGAGTTAGCGGCCCGCCGCCGCGCGATACGATATGAAACCAATTAATATGCTATACAAATGGGTATGGTTGCGCGATAGATAATGTCCATGCAAGAGCAACGACGAGACGGTGGTCCGTCACCCCAAGACCTGCAATGCAGTACGCAATCCGTCTACTTTTTCTGTATCGCGTTGACCAGCCTGTGCGAGATATCAGCCCCGCGCGAGACCGCTTCATTTCACAAGATAGACGCACCAATCCAGCCCCTCCTCGAGTCCCTCGCCCTTGATCGCAGAGCTCCCCCGCACACTCCATTGCCGCTCCTTCTCGCCACCAGCAAGACCAAGCTCCTCGCTGACCTGCCCCGGCTTCAGCGCTCCATCTACGTCCTGCTTATTGCAGAATACGAGCAGCGGTACTCCGGCGAGCTCCTCCTCTGAGAGCATTGTGAGCAGCTCGGATCGTGATGTCTTCAGCCGCTCAGTGTCAGCAGAGTCGATGACGTAAATGATGGCTGCGGTGTTGGGGAAGTAACATCTCCAATATGGCCTGCAACGGGTGAGGACACTGGAGCATATATGTCTCGGTAAGCGTACCGTATGCTCGACTGGCCGCCGAGATCCCATACTTGAAACTTGATGTTCTTGTACTGGATCGGGGGTCAGTGGGCAGGAAGACTTTACTCCTTGGGAGCATGACAAACCTGTACTGTCTCCACATTGAAACCAATGGCTATGCAGAGGCCCGCGTCAGCGCTAGCGTACGCGGAAGCCGAGGAAACGCGACGTACTTGGTATTGTAGAGACCACCTCCCCAATCTACCATGCGACTTGTTCAGTACATACGCAACTACTGCGCAGTATCCAGCGTACCTGTAGCCTGTACAAGATCGTGGTCTAGCCCAGGTCGCAAGTGAGCACTCGCCTGGGGTGGTCATGTAGTACCTGGACGCACCTTGCCCGCAGAGTCAAGACCGAGCATCAATATCCGGACATCCTGTTCTTTGCTCCAGCGAACGAGAGAGGCGAGCGACGAGAAGAGAGAGGAGAAGGAGAGACCCATGGCGGCAGAACGGGAGAGACGTGGGGGAGGGGAGAGAGCGTGGTGTGGTTATTAGTTGGCGGAGACTGGCTTACACGACCGCTCACCGACGGGCGCCTGCGATCGACTCTGACCAGCGCCGCTTATGTAACACGAGGCAGCGCTCCCCCGCGTGCACCGCGCACCTGAATCTCGCGTCGATCTCCACCGCGTCCCGCTCCCAATGTCCCTCGCAGACTCCCCAGGAAAGCCAGCCAGAAAGGCCAAAAAGTCGAAGTCAAGAGACGCGGCTCCGGTCGACGCGTCAGACCCCAAGGAGAGCGAGCGTCATGACGGAAAGCCGGTAGCGAGCAGCTCTTCTGTACCCTCCGAGGGTAAGAAGAAAAAGAAAAGCAAATCCAAAGCCACAGCAGATGAGGAACTATCCGCGCATACTCCTTCTGACCAGACGAATCGAAACGACGTGCTTGTCGCTACGTCTCGCGACGCATCCAGCGAGGATGGTCAGAAGAGGAAGAAGAAACGGAGACATGCAGAGGAGGGCAGCGACGAGGCCATTGCTATAGGTGCAGTCGTAGGGGAAGAGGCGGGCGCCGACGGTGCCGCCGATGCAACTGCAGAGCGGCCAAAGGACAAGAAGAGCAAGCACAAAGACGACAATGGCAGTGAAGTCAAGAAGAAGTCGCGCAAAAAGAAGGAGACCGATGAGGTGGAGGTGGACGCCGATGCATCTACATCCGAAGTGACGAAGAAGAGGAAGGAGAAAAAGCGGAAGCGCGATGTTCAGGTAGATGGCGGTGCCGCTGCGGTCGAGACTGGCGATGCTCCTCCGGACGCACCGAAGAAAAAGAAACGAAAACGCGGAAAGACAGACCTCCCCAATCCTGCGGAGGACGAGAGCCTAAGTGAGCAGGCATCCCGAGGTGAGTCTCTCTTGGTGACATATGTACTGTACCGTTCATAGACTCATGATTGAATATAGCCTTGCAGTATGCATTCAATCAATTTGATGATCCTGGCTCCTGGAAATTCCACAAAGCCCGGCAAAATTGGCTCGTCCGCAATCTATGGTCCCAACAAGCTGTGCGTCTCAGCGAACACCATCAGATTCACTCGTCCTGATCGTCACGCAGATACCAGATGCTCATATGCCCTTATTGACGCGATATTTAGCAGGCATACAGGGCGGCGCACGAGAGGTATGTAACACAACATATCTGAAACTTGATGGGCTTACAACGTCGTCCCAATGTAGGCTCTCGCTAAGACATGCAGAGACGTGCTTGCAGAAGATACAAACAAGCCTGCCGCTGAGACAGAGGGAGCAGAAGCCACGGCAGATGAAGCTGAGCAACCCTCGACCGCTGTTGTAGATGAGCTGAAGCGGGTCCGAGCCACAGCTGTCCTTGCCGTGCTTTCAGATTAGCACTGAGTGTTCGCTAGTCTTTCCACGAGCATGTTCGAACGTGACACATCGGAGGGATGTTTGCACACAACCGTCTACATTCGATTGGCACGGAGCGTTGTCGCAACCGAGTGGCTTGCGTTATCCCTTGCACGTAGATCGCACATCTATCACAAGATTGTATTTCGGGCGAGCAGAATGAAATAATGGTCATTATGCACTGTATGCTACATGGCGAATGCTAGATAGGTCTAGTGTTCGTGGAGTGATATGTGCAACAAGACGACAGACAGGATAAGAGACAGACATGCAGTGATGATGATAGAGGTGAGAGTAGACAGACATGATGCAGACAGAAAGAGAATAGTGCCAACGAGAGACAAAGCATTTCCGCCCTCAAGCAAAATAGGCCGAATCATGTAGAAATCATACCGAGATCGAGCTCCCCGTCCGCCTCCGCGTTGCCGAAGATCTCCGTGAAGACCTCCTTGCCGTCCGTACAGAGCGGCGGGAGCTGGTAATCGACAGTGGCGTTCTGGTCCCGCGCATCCTTGATACGGCGTAACCGCTCCTCGTTCCATATCCTCTCCAGCGTGTCCGCAAGGTTCATCAAGCCGAAGAGGAACCCGCGGTCCGGCTGGTCAGGATAGTGAGGAGGGAACCGCGCATACAGCAGGCCAGTCTCCGGGTCGACGTCCGCCTGGTAGCCCTTCCCGCTGGTCACCTCCTCGGCGCCCTTGTCGAACAATCCACCAGGAGGGTATGGCAACCAGTCGCGGCCAGTCGTCGTGTGCGCGAAGTCGACGAGGCGGATCTGCATCTCGCCACGTTTACGGCGCCGACTGCTGCGCTCGGCGACGGGCCCGAGGAGGATGTCTTCGCTATGCGAGCGGCGCAAGGGCGGCTGGCCGGGTTTCTTTTCGGATGCGCGCCTCAAGCGGCGCTCGAGCGACTCGCCGCGCTTCGTGCGCGCAGAGGGGTTCTCGAGCATCGACGCGCGGAACGCCTCCTGCACGTCGCCGTCGCCGTCGTATATCAGGAGTAGGCTGCAGCCGTAGAACCGGTAGCCTTTGAGACGATAGATGATCCGTGCGAGGGCGTACAATTTGCGCAGGATGACGGGGATCTGATAGACGAGAAGGCGCTCGCCGTCGTGGAGGAACGACGCCACGACACCTGGGAAGTCATCCGGGCGGACCTCGCGACCCTTGTACTTGTCCTGTGTCACATACGATTGCGTGACGTGGTTCCATACCTTCAGACAACGCAACGGATCGTCAGCATCAGGTCGCACCCCACACCCAGCGACGTGAAATTGAAAACCAGATAGCGGGGCGGAGCTTGATCGCGGGATCGAGCGATACACTACGGCTGACATGCGAAGATGATCGCGGAGCACAACACGTACGACAAGCCAATATCGTAGTACACTAGGGTATATGGGGCTTTGGGAACAAGACGCGACGCTCACCTGCATGCCGCAAACACGCACGCCCAGCGCCCTGCTCGTCGTGCGGTCGCACTTCTTGCGCTGGCTCTTCTTCTTGGCTGGGGTTGCGTCCATCCCGTACTGCCGCGTCCCCATCTTGAGGTCGAGCACACACGAATGTTTCAGCCGTCCCGTCAAGTCCTCCATCAAGATGAAGTGGTTCTGGCGCGTCACCGACGGATCGCGCCCCCGACCGTCCGGGCTTGCCCGGTGCGCAGTCGGCATATGCGGTTCGAGGCGGCTGAGCGGGTCGGAGGGTCGGAGGGTGCTCGACGACTCGTGGCGGGATCGCGCGGCGAACAACGGTGCCTCGACGTGGCCATGGTCCCGGAACGTAGGCAGTCGGCCGTCGTTGTCCTCGCCCTGCTGGTCGTATTCGAACGGGAACATCTCTGGCGAGCCTCCGCTCTGTCCAAGTCCGTTTGGATCGGTCCTGCCATGCCTTGCCAGTCTGTCCTCGCTCTGGACACGTCGGAGCGGTTGCCCGAGAAGGCTACCTTCCTCGTAACGCAGCCGATCGACAGCACTCAGGCGCTTCTTGCGCCTGCCTTTGCCTATGCTGCCACACAGCGAACTTGACACATCCTCAGCCTCGGCGTCCGCAAGCTCGCCGTCGTCGTCTGCACGGCGCGTATGCCTCGTTATCCGTCGTAACAGCGTACTGAACACGTGGTCCTTGAACCTGGTGTTTACCACAGTCGAACCTGTCCCACCATAGAAGCCGTTCGTGTAGTTCGCATACGAGGCACGAGGCGACAACGCTTGCGCAGCGATCGAGCGGTTCGGCATCGCGCTGTTCTGCAACTGCGGCGAGTTCATCGGCGTCGGCGCATTCGATGAGTACGCCTGTATGCTCCTCGTCCGCCCTAATGAGCTTGGACCAGGCTTGGACCACGGCGATACCCCCGACGCTAGATCTGGACTCGACGCGGTGTATCCACCTAGATGCGACGCACGTAGTCGTTGGTTGACGACGGGGCGCGGGAACGAGGACGCCGCGGATTGCGACATGGCACGACTGCGCCCGGCGCGGAGAAGCCACTGCGGGACGATATGTTGGTTGTAATCCAGCGCAACCTCTGGCAGCTCCGCCTCGCTGACGTCGGTGTCGCCCTCGCCATGTGCAGAAGACGGCTGCGGGGGTGCGCACGACCTGGAGACCTCCGACGCTGCCTTATGGAGTGGCGGTCGTCTGTGCTCGTGCTGATCGTGCGTACTCGACACAGACAATCCGTTGGACGCGCGTGGTACGCGTCGGTAGCTGACAAGCATCACGCCTAGGTATCGCGGGATGAAATCCAACAACGGCGGCGCCTCTCGCTCCACAGCCTCGTAGAACAGGTTCTCGCGGGACACGAGCGGCTAAAGCAACGGAAACATTAGACCCTTCATTCCATGAACGTGAGACAAGACAATTTGCACGAACCTTACACACTGCGCGCCTGGTGAACTTGTAGATCGCGCTATGACCACCGACCTGGTTGCGAAACGGCCGCAGCGGTATATGCGGCAAACTCTCCTGCGGAAAGCTCAACGCAACGTCGTCCGGGTCGGCTTCGGCATCCGCGCTGAGCTCCATATCGTCATACGGCGAAAGGAGAGCGCGCTGATGTTGTTCCTCGTCCTCGTCGCTCGCATGCCGGACAAATGGCTGTGGTTGCGGACTCGTCCGCGACGGCGACAATGGGAACGGAGATGAAGCCTCCGTCGTGGATGCGGTGGTGAACGAAGCCGTGTCCCATGTGCTCTCTTCGTCAGTGGACCAGGGTGAATATGAGGGGACATCCGAAGCGACGGTCGGAGGGGGCGGTCGGTCCGAAACAGGTATCCTGTCCTGCTCAGCGGTGGGCGAGCGTGACCGATCTCGTGATGCGACGTGCGCGGGAATAGAGACGAGATGGACGCTCAACGGGCGTGGCGAGGGCGCCTGGACATCCAGGGAGATGGGTAACGAACGGCTGGCAGAACGGGGTCCAGCGGCTGGGGAGTGCGGATGGGGAAGCTCCGGAGAGTGGGCGTGATGGTAAGTGAGGGAGGAGGACAAGGACGAGTCCGTGCCGGGAGAGCCGATGGTGGCGTCCTCTGGCGGTTCGTCATGCCACACAGGTCGATCTCGCGGGCGTCCTCGAGCAATATCCTCTGCAACGGTATTCCGCCATTGCATGAGGTCATTGAGGACCGTATCGCGCATCGATGGCTGCCGCCGCTTCGGGCGGCGGGCGTCCGCATCGCGAGTACTAGACGTAGAACTCACGCTGTCTCGAGTCTTAACCCTCTCCATCGACAGACCGGTGACGCTCTTTTCTCGGCGGAGCGCACTCATCTCGCGGTCCGGCCAGTCGGAACGCTTGACGAACTCGAACTGGGCCTCCGTCATGTCCCCGATGAGGTGCCCCGAGCTTGGCTTGCGTTTTGAGACGGGCGAGCCGGGGCGGACGCGCTCGAAGGCGTCCATGTCCTCGATCGAAGGCGTGCCAGTAGACTCCTTGAAGAGGTTCAGAGATGCGGCGACCTTGCGTCCGATCCCTGAGGCGGACGTCGAGGGTAGCATCTCCGGGCCCGAGCTCGGCGAAGAGCTCGAGGACGGCGACGGGGAGCGGCGGGTCAGGGGCCGCGCAGACAAAGGGGAAGTCATGGAGAGCAAAGGATCGGAACTGGACATACGGTTGGTAGGGAGGGTCAAAGCCCTGCCGCGGTCTGAGGTTCTGCGCATGGGCCGCTTGCGAGGGCTGGGGGACGGAGGGGAGTGCTTTGTCTCAGTGCCAGACCCGCTGGACTCTGTCTCGCTATCATTGCGCCATGAGGCCTGGCTGTGGACCTTGGAGGAGAGGGTGCGACGGGGCTTTGCGCCGAGATGGAAGATGCGCTCCTTAGGGGTACGCGAGGAGGAGGGCCCGGGGGGAGTGGCTGGGCCTGTCGGGGAGAGTCGCTGGGAGCGGGAGGATTCTGGCGAGGAGGGACTCATATACTGGGTTGGACAGACAGAGGCCGGAGGGAAAGGACGGATGCGGGCGAGTGGAGGAGAGGGAGGAGATGAAACGACGATGCGGAGCGACAGAAGAGGGAAGAGCGGGCGCTGGCGTCGTGAGGAACGTTTTTGACCGGGGACGGGGAGGGCTGATCATGCACGGGGCGACGGGGATGATGCTGCTTGTCGTCGGACGGTAGCCTCTCGCTCTCGCCAGCGCGCGCCCGAAATGAAAGTTCTCACTGACGATATCCGAAGCCAGCAGCCCACACACGTGCGCATCGTCTGCTGACTCAGCACCCGCCCCCGCCCCGCCCGCCACAGCCCGCCCGCCGCCTGACCACCGCCGCACTGCGACACCGCCCGCCACCGCACCCAGCTTACTCCGCCAGCAGAGGCAGCCCCTATTATTTATCCTCGCCCGCGAACGCCCGCAGAACCTCGCAGGCGTCACCAGCCGTGGGTGCGCCAACACAACGCACGTTTGTACATCCTCGTTCTGCCCGCGGACGTGTCCAGCCGCAATCATCTGCCCACCCGCCACGCATGCTCCCCGCAATGTGGCCCTCGTCCCGCTGTCCCTCCCCCGCCAATCACGGTAAGCACGTCTCCCCTCCCGTCCTCCGCGCTGTCATTCTCTCGAAGCCACCGTCGCTCCCCACTGGCCTCAGGTCGTCACCTGCCCGCGCGACGTCGTCTGTTCGCTCATCACACCACGTCGAGTGCAGCCCCCAGCGTCACCTTTTATTGCATCTCCTCTCTTTCCCCGCGCATCCTACGTCGTGTATCTTGACGTACTCTTTATGCATGACCTACCCCAGGCCGAAGGCAGGCCATCGCCGGGCGTCCCCGACTCAATAGGCTCTGCGAACCCAATCGTGGAAGGACCGTGCGCTTTCTTCCTTTCTCGTTATTTACGCCTTCCTCTGGCGTCAGCGCTACGTCAATGAGGTACAGGAGGGTACAGGCGACATACGCGGAAGCTTTGTCTATGACCGTGAGTGAGTCCTTGTCCGCGTTGCACAGTGCACGCCCCCATACGCAAAGCCCAGTGACCGAGCACGATGTTCCCACTGGCGCTGACCCCGGCCGGCGAATCTGATAACCTCGCTGCACTTCCCCGGATTCGCGCGCCACTCTGATGCGGGCGCGGACGCTGAGCTGGTTCCCAAGAATGTAAGTATTGTTGCCATGAACGTTGCTCGCGAAGGCCGTGAGGAACGGGATGGAGCTCGCCCCGTACGACAAGAGCCGCTGAGCTGCGGCGGCGTGCGACTCAAATGCGAGTGATCGCGCCGTCTTCGGTCGACGATGACATTGACCGTTGTTCTCATGCTCGATCCGTCCAACGACCGTCAAACGTTCAAACGTCCACCGCACGACTGGCCCAACAACCGCACAGAGTGGCCGCTCAATTCGATTTCGGGCGAATCCGCTGTGGTCTATACCTACCACGAACGTGGCTCCCGACGGGAAGGAACCTTCATTGTGTCTCGCGACTGCGCATCGCGCGAGCATTGTCTCGGTATTGTCGCGGTGGCAACCTCATGGAATCGGCCTCGATCGCGACGATCATACCTATGCGCACACTTGTGTTGCGCACGTTGATGCTCTTGTCGCATGCGTTCGGCGGATATTGTTGCCATTGCCGCGTAGTTGTCAATGGGATTCACCCAATCACTGACAAGTTAGCTTACAATCACTACAAAGCCCCGTCTAACATTGAATCTTATCTACCCCACATCATGTAGTTGGCAATCCAGTCTTAGAACTAACATGCTACAGAGTGGAGTAATCATGCATTGAGCAGTACAGAGTTACTAAGCAGCAAGGCTTTGATCACATGACATGATCTGTCATGCTGAGTAATTCATTGATCTGTGATCAGCCAATAGGAAAAATGGAAGGAGTGGTGCCACTTTGTTTATCATTGTTTGGTTCTGATGGGTATATAAGGAGCACTTGATGGCCCCCTTTGTCCCCTTCCCTTTTTCCCATCAACCACCACCAACACACCTTCACCACCCAGCCACTCTTGCATGTCTGTTCACCATAGACAGCTTCACACTAGCTCCCACAAGCCCATTGCTGATGGTATGTCTGATTGGATCGCCAATCAGCACTCAGGTACTGACCAGATGTATGTAACAGAGGGCTACATCTCTGGCAGTGAAGCTGGATCAATGAAGCACGCAAGTTCCAAAGACACCACACCTGCACTCAAGTTTATCAACACCATGCCTGCCACCCGACCATCCCCTTCCTCACTTCCTGTGGTGTCCAATATTGGGTTTGCTCCCAGGCCAGGAGGCATGTCTGTAGGTCACATAGATCTGTCACAAACTTCTGACATGCCTTATCTCACTCCACAACAGAGCTCCGCTGTGATTGCCATCAATTTGCGCCATATCAGGCCTATTCCACCTCTCCCTCCCAGGCCATCTGAGCCACCCAGTGGCTCCGTTTCAATTGCTGGCAGTGATGCTACAGACACGCCTTCATGGACAGTTTATGACCCTGCCCTGGAGCATGCCATCTTGGACTCTGAGATGGATGATCATGCCTCAGAGGCTGATGTGGACACCGATGATCTAGGACACACAGATCAGTCTTCTGAATATGGCACCTCTCCCTCTCTTCTTGAGCCCCCCAGCAATCCCGTTGCTTCATCGTCCAGCACTGCCATTGCCCCACAGCCAATCAACCCTCCTACCCAGCCACATTCTCCCATCAAGCGCACTTTTCCCAGGCCTCACAAGTCAAGGGTCTTGAGGTCTCTCAGTGGCCTTGGGACCAAGCTTGCAGCAGAATGGGCCTCAGCCATCAATGCTTATGGTGAACTGCTTGCCCATACTCCTACCAAAGCAAGCACCCCAGGAGCAAAGAAACTCCTGCTGAAGGCCAAATGGGCTATGGGAGAGATGCAAGAAGCACAGAACAATGTTCAAATTGATGTCCTCATTGTATGTATTCATGTCTCACTCTTAAACAATCTTTTACTAACTTATTTTACTCTCACAGACTTCGGGTGCTGCTGCAGCTATTGCGGACTTCTCGGACCTCCGAAGGCACGCGAATTGGAGCGAGGACGCGATCGAGCTCTGGAAGAAAGCCGTCGACCTCGCGGAGGTCTGGCGCCATCGCTTCGTCGAATCCAACAAGCACTGACGAAGCGATCTCGTCGTATGCTAACGCGACGAACGAACACGGACTGCAAGCACATCAACTCATGGATCCGACCTACCGGAATATTTCACTATGCTATATGTATATAGCCCGTCAAGAGCGCGCCACGAAGCGCGATCGCGAGCGAGAGGAAGGTCGTGGTAGTGGGAAGGAAAGGAGAGTGGGTGGGTGGACGCCCACATATACCGCTGGTTGGGTGTGTGGGCATACGGTGATATCCGCTACGCAACGTCAAACCCTATGTATATGTCACATTTCTACGATTCAGTCTATAACATGCAATCGACATGCTGTACCTATGCTCATTGCCCCCATACCTATGCTGATGTGTGGTTCTGAGTGATCACGCGCGCGGAGATGAACGAACGCTGGTCGACAGACGTGCGATAACTGCAAGACCCGCGCTCGGCGTGGGTCGATGGATTGCGGCCATGAGCCAAGAACTAGTAATGATACAATACCATACCGATAACTCTATCCATGACAATACATAAACGTCTGACGGCAGACGGGAACGTGGATGGGGGCGTGACTGCTCAATGTTCCTACTGACAGTATCCGGGGAATGGAAAGTGGAAACGTACGAGCCCGAACGCGCATGCGCGCCTTCGAAGTCAGGAAGGCACCGGAGGTTCGTCGAGGCGCCGACGTTTCGCTGCTGGACCCTCGTCCGAATCATCGTCGATCACCAAGATCGGGGACGGTGCAGCCTCCGCCTCAGGAGGAGGCGGCCCAGGTGCAGAAGGCGAGGCTTGCACTGGGACAGTGGGGGCAGAGTCGGGCGATGCATGGTCCGGGGCGTTGAGAGCCCGTGGTGGCAGTGGCGCTGTCGTGAACGGACCAGTGCTCGCAGCGTCTCCTCTCCCTACTCCAGCCCCAGTCGGTGGGACCTTCACCTTCTTCGGCTTGCCGCGTCCACGGCTACGGCCACCCTCGGCCTTGAGCTTCTCCTTGTAGTAGCGCACGATGTAGCTCTGCAAGATCTCAAGCGCCTTCTGGGCACCGAGTGCCTCGAGGTCCTTGAGGTGCTCTGAAGTCAGATGCGAGAAGATCTCGGGGTTGAGGATGAGCGAGTTGTCATGCAGAACGATGGGCTTCGGAGGAGCAGCCGGGGCGCTAGACGTGGAAGACTGTGGAACATGACCGACGATGATAGGGATGCGGACGGTGGTGGGGATGGCAGGAGCGCTTGATAGTGACGGTGTGGCAACCGAAGACGAGAGAGGGTTCGTAGCGGGGGAGACGGACGATGTCGGAGCAGGTACTGGCGCCGGTTGCGGAGATACCTGGAAGACCGTCGTGGGTGCGGTGGGTATCTCCAGTGTCTGTGACAGTTCGGTCTTTATCTGAGGAGCAGGCGATGGTTCGAGCTTGACAACAGGTGCGGACGATGATGGATGAAGAGATGCAGCAGTCGGAGGATAAGCATGAGGTGTTAACGTCGAGTTCGTCTTGAACATCAGTGGTGTCGACGTGAGTGGCGGCGGGAGAAGGCCCTTAACGTCTCCCTTTACGCTTCGCTTGAAAAGTGGCTCCAAAGGGACGGCATTCTTTGACTTCTTGCTTGAGAGTTTGCCGTCCTTACCGCCCGCGCTAGCGGCCGCTGCAGCAGCTTGCCTTCGGGCATCCTGCTCCTCGAAGCTATGTTCGAAGGCCTCGTCCACCAGCCAGAGTGCACCCTTGCCCTTCTCTTCTTTACTTCGTAGTACCTTCTTGAATCCAGGATTCGAGGAGAGGTTATGTCGAACCGAGCTCTGCGGAAATCATTCAACAAGCCCGAAAATGCGCGTATATGGTACGCCACGTACCTCCCAGTCTTTAGCACAATACTTGTACCAATCGAACGTCTCGCGTATCCACTGACAGATCTCCTGCAAAGACGCCTTTCCGCCCAACGCCTTGATGGCCCGATAGCACAACTGGGCATACGTAAACGGCGGCTTTGGGGGCATAACCTCCGGGGGAGGCGGAGGCGGCGGGAGGGCGTCCGACTTCTTACGTTTCTTCGCATTCGTCTTGAACTTGCTTATGCTATTAGAGTTGGGCAATGATGCCTCCGATAATGGGGGTATCTTAGCAGGTAATAGCGGAGAGACAGGGGCCGGGGGCGGTGGCGGTGAACATGGTGGAATAGAGGACGGAGGCGAGATTGAGGTGACGTCGACAATGTCAAGAGAGGGTGACCGAGACCGGGCACGGTTGTCGGATGAATTCGAACTGGGTGACGGAGAGTCCTCAGGTGCAGGAGGAGGCGGGAGGATGAAGTGGAAGGTCCGAGAGGCGATTTGGATCTGTGACCTGTAGCACGAAGGACAATGAAGCTTCCCGACACTGACAGCAAGGGTTGGAGAACGCACCTATCGTTCAGTGGGACCTTACTTCCACTGCCCGACCAGACACCATCTACCCAAGCCCCGTTACGTCCGATGACAATAAGGACGAAACGCTCCTCCTCCTCCTCATACTCAATCTTCGCATGAAGGCGCGACACACTCTTCAAAGGACCGAGGTCAACGTCAACCTGAGGGCTGTCCGATGAGGAGGCGGTGTTGGCGGGGATGCAACGTCGGCCAATCGTGACATTGAGGGTCTGGAGATAGTAGGTGAAACTGGGGAAGACGAGGCTGTAGTATGCGCTGATCTTGGTCGGGAGGGCGTCCTGCTCCGGCGAGAGGGAGGCGGGGTCGCGGGGGGTATCCTGGGGGTGAGCTACGAGGGTGGCCATGGCGGGCTGGAGGGCGCAGAACGTCGAGGACGCGTTGGAGTCAAACACGGGAACTTGGGCGTGACAGTGTCCCCTCCCCTCGGCAAGCGCCGGCCTCCCTTTTCCGGCCACCGTGGCTCGCCCGGCGCCGCCGGGCTGCGCCACCCTCGGCCTCTTGCTCGGCGAGTCCTCTTGCTCGTTTGCAACTCGTTTGCATACATACCACTGCACACAATGTCCTCGTCCGTAGAGCCCGTAGAGGAGAAGGCAAAGCAGGAGCTCGACAGCCTTGCCGACCGCGACGTCGACTCTACCGACAGTGAAGTCCGGTACATGGCGTACGGTGCACGCCTGCGGACCGTCTTACGCGCGGGGCAGCGCTACGTCGCCTATGTACGTGCAAACCTCCACACTGCAACGATGAACAGCGATAGATTTACACCAGACCAGTGATATTGGAGAGGCGTTTCGCCCAGTCGTGCCACCAGCAGTCGTGACGGCTGCCTATGGCATCTCTTGGTTATATCTCACCGGGTGAGTTGTGCTCTACTATCCCATTTATGCCAACATTGCTCTAACATTGTCGCTCGCAGAGATGTCGGTTACGAAGCGTATAAGGCACATCGGAGAGGACCGTCACCTCTGGAGGCAGCACATTTCTCTGAGCCAACCAGAGTTGGTATGGTTGCTGTAAAGCGCGCCACTTTCCAGTCCATCGCGTCGATGTGAGCATTTATCCTTCGTTTACCTCATTGAAGCCCTGACAAGTGTCCTCGAAATCAGGGCACTTCCTGCTTTCACCATTCATACCGCTGTACACCAGGCGAAGAAGGCATTCGCAAACGTGAAGAACCCGCGTGTCAAAATGTGGGGTCCGACTGCGACTGGCCTTGCGATTGTCCCAATCTTGCCCTATCTCTTTGACAAGCCCGTTGAACACGCGACAGACGCAGCGTTCGAGTGGATAGAGAAGAAGATCATAGAGCGGGAGAAGAAGACAGTCTAGATAGTATGCTACTGTACTGTTTCCGCTTAGACCTACCTTTCTTACTCATAATGCGTCTACCTTAACTGGATGTCGATAGGCACCAGACAGTGATACAATCTACTCCATTGATACAACATCCGGCAATTTGAATGCCATACTTTAACTGCTGCCGATCGTACACGAGTGGAACAACTACCAAATACCTAGCGGATGGTACGATACGAGTAGATAGCATGCAAGAACCGTCCTGATGAGAGCAAATGCGAGGGATGTCAATGCGTGAACAAAAGGATGCGACGATGCGATGCTAGATGATAACGTAAGTCGACGAACGAAACACAAATGCAGCGCGGAAGCGGGTGGATCAGAGGAGTCGACCCAGCGCGAGAGGTATCGAGCTGATCGAATTTGGCGGGATAACGCCGACTTCGGTGACGACGGCCGTAATGCACGTTGGCGGAGTAAGGTCGTATAATGGATTAAGGATCTCCAGGTTCGGCCCGTTCTGGAGCGTCAACGCCTCTCGCGGCTTCGTGAGTGGGAACGATGAGAACAAGTCGCCGATCGGTGCTGAGTACCACAACTGTTATTCAACAGCAATGACACAGATGATCTGAACGACGTACCTAATTCGTTCTTCGTAAAGCTGTCTAATTGTACTCCTTCGGAGTACTTGTATGTCTCGCAGCACACAACGACCGGAACCGAATGCCGTTTCGCCATCATAGCGACGAGAGCGGTACCGGCTCTTGAGAAGACCGAGCCATTCGAGTGGATCGAATGCGCCCCCACGAGAACCATCGAAACTTCGTTCATGACGGATCCGAGGGCGGGCAAGAGGCAATAAGTGCATTGAATGCCGGCTGAGGACAACACGGACAGTGACCGTTTGCCTACGGAGAGACGTCAGCAACGAGTCACTGGTGTACGACTGCAAGCCCACCCTCTAGCATGGGTCTTGAGTCGACGACGATGACGGAGAAGTCACGGCCTTCCTCGTGCGCACCGAGAAGGACCTTCTCGACTATAGATGATCTACGATGCGAGTAAGCGCTGCAATGACGTACCCAATGAACGGGAACCTACCGCGCGTAAGTCAGAATAACATCGCCGTCCTTGATCTTGTTTCCTGCAGTTTCCTGAATGACTTGATCGGCGATGATAATCCGATCCCGGATGTAGTTGTCTATCTTGAGACATAATGCGTCTTTCGCCTGGGATGAGACGACAGTGAGTACTCGGGCATGTATGGACGACCGCAGATCGACTCACGTCTTGCTCGGGCAAATCTATATCTGAACCGCTGATCTCAAGCTTCAGCTGCCGGATTGCATTGCCCATTGTCACCGACATGGGTCTGGCTGCAACGAGGTGGCTGATCTGAGGTGACAGATGCGTCATGAGATGTCGAGAGAGTGTATTATTCGGCGGTGTGGAGTAGTCCTGGATAACCTGCAACGAGGCGCATCAGTCACACGGTTTCACAAGTGCCGATCGACTGAGAGACTCACTGTCTTGAATGCAGTCAGAGTAGCGATGCATCGTGCGTTCGCGCCGGCGATCTTGAAGTTCGCGAATTGCAGCGCGAGCCGCACGATAGTCGGGTGGATTTCACCCTTGGCCGCACTCACGGGCTTGGGCAGCCCAAAGTGCGCGAATATGCGGAGGCCGCGCGCTTTCTCCGTTGACGCATCGGCGGCAGCAGCAGGCGTGGTCTTGGGATCCTTCCTGCTGACCGACTGCGAACGGGGTCGGGTAGGTGTCTCAGGAGGCTTCGCTCCCTTCTTTTGAGCTGGTGCATTAGACGTAGAGGGAGTAGGGCCCTGTTTCACGCTGTTCGGTGCCTTGCCATTGACTCCATTCGCGGGCCCGGCTTGTTTGGCTTGTTTGGCAGCGCGTTGTCTCTCCTGCAGCTCGCGCCGCTCAGCCTTGGTCATCTGTTTCTGCGATTTCAGCTGCCCAACATGGGTGAGGTCGCCGTTAGGCGGCTGGACCTGGGTGTCCAGGGTAGGGGCAGGGGACATGGTGGGTGTGGAACAGACAGCGGCTGAGAAGGAGCGGGCGGACGGGCTGAGCAGATATGTTTTGTCGAGACTGGGATTGGAGAGTGACTCGAGTCATGCCCAAAGCGCGTTCTCGATCGCCACCCGCGTGACCGTGCGACCCATTACGCGAGTGCCGTTGGCCGCCCTCAGGCTCCAGCCGGCTGTAAACGCTACTCGTCGACGTGCTCGACGACGCTCTCGACGACCTTGGCCAGCTGTTAGGGCTTCAGGCCATTCAATACCCCGCTTTTTACATCTACATTCGCTGTAATTGAATCATGGTACGTCTCTTGTCGTTCCGTCTTCTCAGCATCTGACCCAAGCGTCCTTCGTTCAGGGTGTTCCGGCATTGTTTCGCTGGCTGAGTAAAAAGTATCCGAAGATCAGTACGTTGTCACACTTTCGCGGTGTCTTATCTTCGTATGCTGACGTGCTATATGCAGTTCTGCCAGTGGTCGAAGAAGACGAGGTGAAGGTCCCGGACAGCGAGGGCATTGAGGTTGCTGTGCCCGTCGATATCTCCCGGCCTAACCCCAATGAAGTAGAGTTTGACAACCTCTACCTCGATATGAACGGCATTGTAGGTCTCCCTGTTAGTGTTCGAGTCCGTTGTATGCTCACAGGCCGTAGGTCCACCCGTGCACGCATCCTGAGGGGAAGGTGAGTACTCGTGCTGCATTGTCTCGGACTGCGCATTAAGCCCCCTCCACAGCCTGCCCCGGAAACTGAAGAGGAAATGATGCTTGAGATCTTCCAGTATACTGAACGCGTAGTCAACATGGTCCGTCCGCGCAAGCTGCTCTTCATGGCCATCGACGGTGTTGCACCACGAGCGAAGATGAATCAGCAGCGGTCCCGTCGGTTCCGGTCCTCTCAGGAGGCAAAGGAGAAAGAGGAGGCACGGAAGGAGGCAGTCGCTATGTGGGAAGGTACGGAGGTCTCCGTTGCGGATGTCTGACATGACGCTCAACCAGTCAATCACTAGCTATGGGCAAGACACTTAGCGAAGACGAGAAGAACAAGAAGTCGTGGGATTCCAACGCCATCACGCCGGGAACACCTTTCATGGACTTGCTTGCTTCCTCTTTGCGCTACTGGGTAGTGCAGAAGATGAACACAGATCCCGGCTGGAAAGAGGTAATGTTCAGTGGTCGTCGTAACGGGACAACACGATTAATGATAGCGCAGATACAAGTCATCATTTCTGATGCTGGCGTGCCCGGAGAAGGGGAGCACAAAATCATGGACTTCATTCGGCGTCAACGGGCAAACCCTGGTCATGACCCGAATACACGGCACGTAATCTACGGACTGGTAGGTGTCCCCCACGGCTACAGCATTGTCAGATGCTGACAACCAAATCACAGGATGCGGATCTGATCATGCTGTCTTTAGCCACTCACGAGCCACACTTTAGGGTATTGCGAGAAGATGTCTTCTCTCAGTCCGGGAGTGCGACTGCTTGCCGTATCTGTGGCCAAGAAGGGCATTACGCCGCTCAATGTACGGGCACCAAAGCAGAGGTGCAAAACAAGCCTGTCGAGAAGAAACCGTTCATCTTCCTCGATGTTGCTACGCTGCGCGAATATCTCGAAGCAGAACTTCGCGTGTCAAACGCACCTTTTCCATTCAACTTAGAACAGGCCATCGATGATTGGGTCTTCCTCATCTTCTTCGTGGGGAATGACTTCCTGCCTCACTTGCCATCGCTTGAGATCAGGGAAGGTGCGATCGATACGTTGCTCAAAATCTGGAGAGAAGAGCTTCCGCGGATGGGCGGTTATCTGACCAATCATGGTCAAGTCGAGCTCTCGAGAGCAGAGATCATCCTCGAGGGTCTCGCTAAGAGAGAAGATGACATCTTCCGGCGTCGACGTGAAGGTATGCCCTTGTCGTGCATTGAATCACCGCGCGTTCACTGATTTACGCATCGCAGCTGAGGAACGTCAGGAACAGAATACCAAACGCCGTAAAATCGAAAGGGACATGGCTGCTAACGGCGCGGGGCCGTCGGCTTCGTTGAATCTCACTGCTACACCTATCGCGCCTGCTACACCACCTACGGCTTCCGCTCCTATGCACCACCCTCTTCCCCCTAAACCTACGAACTCAGACAGCATTGGCATGGGCGGGCCAAAAGACGCCGAGTCCGCTTTACATGCTCCTACAGCGGCCCAGGCGTTGGCCGGCTCGAATCGTGACGTCGTCGCGAATAGACGCGCCATCCGTATGGCCAACATGAGTGCTGCTGAGATGCTGAAGGCTGAGCTCGCCGGCCTGCAGCCGTTGAAACCGAAGTCGACGAAATCCCCTCCTGCTGTCACGAAGCCTGATTCTACGACTCCTGCCGCCTCTGTCTCTGCTCCTGCCGCTCCGCCTGCGTCCCTGCCTACCCAGCCTGACATGAAGATTGACGAAGAGGATGTCCCTGGATTGGGCGCGCCTACTAGCCCAGAGTTCGAGCCCGATCCCGCCGCTGTCCCGAACAGCGAGACGCTCGCGCAAAGCGATGAGATGGATGCTGACGGCATTCCGGACCCATCTGTCCAGTCGGAAGAATTCACTATGTCTGTTGATGACGGCCCCCGAGGGCGCAAACGTAGCATTGATGACGTCGAGGCGGATGAAGTGCCTGAGGATCTCGGAGACGAGGACGAGGATGATGCTCCTGTATCGACGTCGTTGACTATGAAAGTCAACGCTGACGGGACTGTTGAGCAGGAGGATGTTGTGAAGTGAGTCCGTCAATGTTGCCGGTCGAATTGTTTTTTATTCCATCTCCTAGGCTGTGGGAACCGGGCTACAAGGAACGGTACTACCAGCACAAGTTTGGCGTTGAGCATAGCGATGCCAACTTCAGAAAAGAGTAAGGTTCCATCCGAGCCTCTGTAAAGATGCATATTCTGACCCTTCACTAGGATCACTACCCGATACATGGAAGGGTTAGCCTGGGTTCTGCAATACTACTACCAAGGGGTACGTCGATCGAGTCTTCGCGCTTGCATCAATTCTGATACACTTCCAGACGCCCTCCTGGCAGTGGTATTATCCCTTTCACTTCGCACCCTTCGCGGGCGATTTTGAGGAGGTAAGACACACGCAAATCGACTTCAAGCTCGGTCAACCGTTCAAGCCGTTCGAGCAATTGATGGGTGTCTTCCCTGCTGCTAGGTTCGTACTTTCATCTCATCATTCATTACGTTTCTGACCACAGTCGATAGTCGCATGCACATCCCTGAAGCCTTCCATCATCTCATGACTGAGGAGACATCTCCTATCATCGACTTTTACCCTCCCAGCTTCGAGGTCGACATGAACGGCAAGAGAATGCTGTGGCAGGGTGTCGCACTGCTTCCCTTCATCGACGAGAAGCGTCTACTTGGTGCAATGGCCGAGCATTATCCCAAGATCACTGACGACGAAAAGCGTCGCAACAGGTGGGGTAACGATGTTATGTTCGTTTTCGAGGATCATACGTTATATCCATCACTCGAGGCATTGTATGGCAAGCGCGATAAGAACGAGGTCAGTGTCCGTACAATCATCCACCACCGCTATACTAACGTTCGTGTTCGTCAGCCTATGCCAATCGACGTCAAGGCCAGCAAGGGCATCAGCGGCAGCTTACTGCCCAATCCTGATTGTATCCCCGGGTCGCACTATTACTCCCCATTAACCAGCGTAAATTTGCCTGACATCAAGGGCGATCGATCCCTCTCCGCTCTCTACTTCTTCCCGAAGCAGTTGACGCCGCATCGTTCCGTCCTGCTTCCGGGTGTCCGACGACCGCGACCTGTCCTCACCGAAGAGGACAGAGAAAGCGCTAAGCGGGGTGGTCGCGGCCGCGGACGAGGCGGCTACGACAACCGTGCTACTCTACGCGGCATGTCCCATGGCTCCAATGGCCGTGACCACGGTGGACGTAACGACTACCGGGACGGGTCTTCGCATCGCGGGTCCTCATACCAGGGAGGCTACTCGAATGGCCCATCTAATCAGTCGTACTCATCCTACTCGAATCCGTCCTACAACTCTCGCGGTGGCTCCGGCACTGGCTATGGAGCGCCCCGAAGCAGGGGTGGACCTAGAGGCCGTGGTGGCTACGACTCGGGCAACTCGTATGGAGGCAACTACGGTAATGGTGGAGGATACGGTGCAGCCAACGGCCGAGGCGGTGGCTACGGAGGCAGAGGTGGTTATAGAGGTTACAGCGGCGGTGGCGGTGGTAGCGGCGGTTACGGAGGAAGCGGAGGAGGGTATGGCGGGTCCGGCAGCAATGGCTACGGAGGCTATGGCACTGGTGGTGGCTATCCTGCAAACAATGGCTACGCTGCTGGAGGAGGAGGCTACGGTGGTTATGGCGGTGGTGCCGCCGCCGCCGGTGGTGATGGTGGTGGTTATGGAGGTGCCCCGCAGAATGGCTATGGTTCGTATGGTGGCGGCGGTGGCGCTCACAACCGTGGAGGTGGATTCAACTCTCGCGGACGAGGGAGAGGCTATTGAATTGTTGATCTCCGTCTCTGCGCATGTCTATTATTAACCTATTGACGCGGCGGAGGGTACATGCACGCTATGTATCGGACTGTCTGCTTAACATACATAGCATTCTTATTTTGTAGCATCCAATATGTACATTGTCATCATCCTGGTATCCTCCAGCAGATAGCGAGAGCAGTGAGACAGCTTCAAACTCGAAATACATAGCAATTGCATGATACACACGACTGGACTGCTCCCTTTGACACGACGCATACAACAAGACCTTCCCAAAACCTACATTTGCGGACCCAGGCCACCCTCCCGTGGAGAGGTGCAAGTGAGATATAGCGAGTACTTCTTCTCGAGCTCCCGCAGCTTGGCCCGTCTCTTCTTCTCCCTCTTCCTGATTTTCTTCTCGGCCTTGCGCTCGCGCCTCACGCGTCTCGCCTCACGCAGTTCGGACATCTGCCCTTCAACCTGGCGACCGTAGACGCCTCCGTACGTGTTCCCGTATCTGTACCTGTCGTCGCGATCGTCATCAGACGAGTCGTCCGAGTCGTCATCGGAGTCGTCGAACTCGTCGGAGTCGTGGTCGTAGGTATCGAAGCCAGGGAGGTGCAGGTCGACGGTCCCGGCCCCACGCCCGGAACGGCGCTCACGACCCTTATACAGTACGACTTCGACCCCGCGGCGGCCGAAGAACGAGGCGTTCCAGAGGTCGATGAGGTCTGCCGTCAGAGTAGCCCTCTTTGGCGGCCTGCCATCAGGAGAGTACTCGGGCACAGGCAGACGTCCGGACCAAGCCATAGCAAGATCCTACACTCCCGTCAGTTGCTACTCGGTTGAGCCAATTGATGAAAGCTCACATTCATGAACCGAATCCAATCTTCATGGTAAACATCATGCGGCACCAGCACGAGCGGCATGCGGGGTACTACCTCCAGGAAATCATCCATCTCTTGAATCTTCATCATCTCAAAGTGGGTATACGGCTGCGCCAAGTTCGGCGGGCGCGAGAAGCCCTCCGGCGCAGAGAGCATCTGCTGGGCCTGCTCACCAGGCATTAGCGGCATGCGCGGAGACGCGGGCCCGCCGTACGGTCCGGGCTGCGTGCCGTATCCTCCAGCTTGCGCGCCATAGCCAGCGCCGCCAGCGGCGCCGTACACGGAGGCCGCCATGCCTGGATAGCTCGAGGTGGGCGGGGCGACGCCATACGCGCCGGGGGCGGGACTGGGGGCGCGAGAGCCTCCCCGACGGAGGGGCTGGCCTTCCATGACATGGCCCCGGGGGTAGACGTCCATGCCGGGGCGCGGGGAGGCGGCGCGTTGCATGCCGCCGGGCTGGTAGGGCGATACGGGGCGCCCGATCCCCGCAGGGTTCTGGTACGGGGAGACCGGGCGAGGGAGCGCGCCAGGTAGGTAAGGCGATACGGGGCGGGGCACGGGGCCTGCTGAGTAGGGAGATACGGGACGTGGGATAGCATCACCGGGACGAGGAGAGGGAGGAGGGTAGGTGTTCGACCTGCCGTACTGACCAGAGTAGCCAGGCTGGCCGTACGTGGCGGCTGGGCTGCCGGTGTAGCCAGTAGCGGCAGGCGAAGGATACGCGCCGGGTGGGGATGGATACGCAGGACCACCAGGGGCGGCCTGGTAGCCCGCCGGCGCACGGTCCCCACCATAGAACGACCCGCGCCTGGAGCGCGTCCCGGCGCCGTTTCTGCGCTCCGTCTCGTACTCGCGCTCACGGTCGCGCACGCGATCCAGCTCGAGGTCTTGGAAGCGCCGGTCGAGGTCGCCGGCAGCACCATAGCCGGGCGTGGGGTACGCGCCGCTGTACCCGCCGCTGAGACTCGGACGGCGGCTCCGGCTGCGGTCGCGCTCGATGCGGCCGTCCTTGTCGCGCGCGCGTCGGAGCTCGCGCTCCTCACGATCGCGGTCGCGGTCGCGCCTGTCTTCTTTCCTGCGTCTGCGCTCTTCGTCGCGTTGCCTGTGGCACGTCAGCGCACACGGAGGTGATCATCCACATGATATCCTTACCAGTCTCTCATGGCACCACCATCAGGCTGGACTTGGCCGCGGTTGAAGGAGGCCATGAAGTCCTGCGATTGCAGGCGATTATTCAGTCAATGTGTCTCCGTAGGGCGCACAATGCACACGCACCGCGTTCGCGGGGATCGCCCCAGCAGGGACGACCTGCGTCGCTTCCGCCGGGACCCATTGAATGCCACTGACGATACCCTGCGGTGTCTGATAGCTGCAGTAAATAGCGTTGAGTATGTCAGACGGCAGCAAAGACTCTCTATGGGAACGTACCTTGCTGCAACGGCTCTAGTGCGCGAAGCGAGGAAGGTTCGCGATCAGATCATGCACACAGACGCGACCTGGACGATCGCAGACGGGACGGACTCACTTGAAGGGGTGGTAGACGACCTGCCCGTTCGCGCCCACCGTCGTCGTGTACGTGATGGATCCAGGCTGGATCGGCGCTGCAGCCTGTGGCTGCGGGCTGGTGGTCGCGGGCATCTGGAACGGCGAGCTCGGCGGGATGATGGGCGACGAGGCCCCTGGGAAGGGGACGGTGGTGTAGGACATGCTCGCTGTTCGCGAGTGGACGGACGACGGGTGCGCGGGATGTGTGGCCCAGCAGACGGGGGAATCGATGTGGACGAGAGCTGATGCTGGGCGATGGCTATCTGGTATCAACCCCCGCAGTGCTATATTTCCGTGCACGTTCCGGCGCCATCTCGCTGCAGCGTGTACGGCAAGATCCCGCTCGCCCCAGAGCGGACAGATACCCTCTAGCGTGGCCACTCGTGCTGTGGCTGGCCAGACAATGCATCTTATAGCCGAGGTGTACGCGAGTGCTACGGCGGAACGAGGCCGCTACATGTGTCCATAGAAGCGATGAAAGGAGCGGAAGGAATGCAACGAAGGCGGAAGGAGCCAATGACAGTGCTATATCGACTAAGACCTCATGAGAATCTCCACCACAGCAGGATGATCAGAATGAAGATGACTGCGCCTATTGGCGCGTACTGGCGTAGCATCGCCTGGATGTTAATGTTTCGTGCGGCTTTACGATACTTTTCTGATTCGGACCGGAGAGAAGATGAGAGGTGTGACATCCCTGAAGAGTGCAACGCGTTACAACACATAGTCAACTCGGACAGCGTCGAGCACGTACTGTCTAGTGAGTCCCCTCTCCATAGCAACTCCTCCATGTTCTTGGTCATGATGCGTGTGACGTCTTGTAGGTCATCGTTGAGCCTGTCTAGGTTTGAACTACCTGCTGCATTCGCTGTCCGTGTGTCTTGGTACAGCCGTGTTGTCTTGCCCATGAAAGTATCTGAGGCAACAGTGTCAGCCAAAGAGCCTACAATCTCATGTACTTGCACTCACCGAATCCACCAAATGCATATGGCTTTCGGGCTGTGTCTACCTTCGCGCCATATGACGTCGCGAACTCCTTCGACAGCTCATCGAGGTAGGAGAAAGCTAGCTTCCGAGGATACGACTTGTCGGCGATGACGAGGTATACAACGTTGTCGGAAATGAGGTAGCTAGAACGACAACAGGCTTGAGGAGACCTTCCAGCAGTGGACAGCTCTGGAGACCTACTGGAGTGTGTACTGGGCGCTCTCGATCGAGCACCTGGGTTCGGCGTTGGGCGTTATCCGTCGGAAGATGAGCTTGGCTTGCTGCTTGTGCTCTTGTAGCGCATGTTCTGTCTGCGGAGCAGCCAGTTCCAGAACTGCCCGGGGCACTATTAATCATAAGGGAAGCTCACCTGTTCGTCATCCACGCTTGCAGCCAGGGGGAGCGCGTCCGAGGCTCGTACAACAAGTGTCGACTTAACCATGGTTGCAGCGACTGGCAATTGTCTTGTAAGTGATGTTGAGTGATGCTCGCCCTGATATACCGGCGGCGAGAGAATGTGCGGGGGCGTTGTGGATGTGCTGGAGGAGGTCGTACAATGTAGCTGGGCGCTTCTAGCTGTACGTGTTACGGTTAGACGTTCACGTGAACGGGGATTGCATATGGCTGGGCGCGTCTTCCCGGCCTCCTCCCGCCTATTTCACGCCTCGCCGCGCACCAGTCCCGCGCCCCTCTCCCTCCCGCTCTCCCATCATGGCCCCCTCCAACATGTTCAACCTCAAGAAACAGGTTGGTTGACTGCTGTTCACAGCGAGCGAGACTGACCATCGTCGCGGTCACAGCTCACGTTCTACGGCGCGTACCACGCCAACCCGGTCAACATCACCATTCACGAAGTATGCGTGCCGATCCTCCTCTGGTATGGCACCTGTGCTGCTTTGGAAGGGGATTTTCAGCTCAAGATCTCTAATTCCTGTCATGACCGTTCAGGACGTTTCAAGTGCTCGCGAGTGCACTCCCGGTCCCCGATTTCTTCCCTCCAGTCCATCTGAGCTTCAACGAGTACCTTGCCTTCGACCTTAACTGGTCGGCAGTCCACGCCGCACTCTACATCGTCTATTACTTCATGCTCGAGCCCACGGCCGCCGTACGTACCCCTGCGCTACCCATCCAGCCCGCCGGCTGACCAGTTTTGATGACATCACAGGCGCTGTACGTCCCTCAGATGGCCCTCTCCCTCCTCACCGCGACTGCTTTCGCGCACACGCATGATGCCCTCAAGTACGCCGCAATATTGCACGTCGGTTCGTGGATCGCCCAGTTCGTAGGTCACTTTGGTCCTGAGGGGCGTGCGCCTGCGCTGCTTGACAACCTGATTGGAGGTACGCACTGCCCACGCCATCCGCGCACGCATGTCACACAGAACGCTGATGCCTCCCTTTCCCCGTACGTGCGTCTCAAACACCAGCGGTGGTGTTGGCCCCGTTCTTTGTCCACCTCGAGGTCTTGTTCGCCCTCGGCTACAAGCCGCAGCTCCATAATGAGCTCAAGAAAAGCATCGACTTGGAGATCGAGAAGGTCAAGAAGGCTGAGAAAGCTGCGGGCAAGGTTCAGTAACCTGCTGCGAACTCGAGGTCACATCAAAGGTTATGCAAAGTGGCTCCCGTTCACGATCCCTGATGATGTTTTGCTTTCGCGCATCCTGATGTAATTTCTGACGACGCTGTACGAGCATGTACGTTTAGGATCTATATGTATGATTACATTCGCAAATTCAACAGTTATACATTGCCCTTCGTATCCGCGCGCCATCAAAATCTACTATACCTACGCTCTTCAAATCAGGCTCGCCGGGGGCGCGAGGGCCGGCTCTCCAAGGGGCGTCACATAGGATGAGCTGAGGCCACCGTCGACCAAGAAGTCGGTGCCCTGTAGCAGAGAATGACCAATCAGCCACCATGTAGTCATCGATGTGCTCGTTGACGTACGGTCACGTAGCTGCTGTCGTCGCTGGCAAGGAAGAGCGCACCCCTTGCGACTTCGATGGCCTCGCCGAAGCGACCCATCGGTAGGTGCACGAGGCGGCGCTGTTTCTTCTCTTCGGTGTTGAGGAAGTCCATGAGCAGCGCTGGAGTGGGCACGGCCGCGATCAGTTACAAGAAGATGATGGGCAGCTCATGGTTGGACAGAACGCACGGGTTTTGAGCGGGCCGCTGCGGGGGTGTGATAGGTGTTAGCAGTCGTTTATTCATGTACGTGAGTTGTATGCTTACGGGCAGATGGCGTTGACGCGGATGCCCTCTCTTGCGTGGACCATCGCGAGTTCCCTGGTCATGGCAAGAACAGCACCCTGTAAACCAATTCATAACTCAGTGGTATATCTCCCTTGAGAAAGCCCGTACCTTCGATGCAGTGTCTACGCACGTCATTCAGCTTTCGACAAATCCGCAGATGAGAGTCACTCACAAGCAAGCTGGGGCGTCGCCGCACCCATAAGGGCGACGAAGCTCGCCGTGTTGATGATGCTCCCGCCCGCGTGTAGGCCCTTGCTCTCATCCGTGGGGTTCTTGCGCATCGCGAGGATCGCGTACTTGCAGCCCCACCACACGCCCTTGACGTTGATGTTCATTGTAAGGTCCCATATGCGCTCCTCCGTGTTCAGCGCGTTGTCGTCCTCAGGGTGCATGATCCCCGCGTTGTTGAACTTCCCCACCATCAGCAAGCCTCTTCTTATCGCGGGAGGGGACGAGGGCAGACGCACCATGATGTCGAGCCTGCCGAAGCTGCTGACGGCCTGGTCGACCATGTCCTTCACGTTCGCCTCCTTGCTCACGTCTGCCTTGATGGGGAGCGACTTCACGTTTGGGTACCGCTCCGCGATTAGCGCGTGCGTCTTCTGCACGGCCTGCTCGTTCACGTCGACGAGCGCGACGTGCGCGCCCTCCTGCGCGAACAGCAGCGAGCACTCCAGGCCAATGCCCCTGTACGCCAACACTGTTAATACTCTGCGCGCTCACATGGAGAGATGGCCGTACGATCCCGCGCCGGTGATGAGAGCAACCTGGAGAACATCGCCTGAGCTCTACTACGGAGACCCATTGTGCGCATTACGCACCCTGTTCTGAAGACGGCCGGGCATGATGACGACAGGAGCAAATGAAATGGTGGCACTGACAGGCGTAAGTTACGATTGGTCTATCGCGCACGGAGTCAGAGTGCGACTCGGGCAATCGATACGCGATAATGAGACGCGGTCACGTGTACCGCGTCGAGCCGCTTGCCGCCGCTTGCCGATGTGGACGACGTGGGCGTACCATTCACCTTCGTCCAGACTCTACACCGAGCAAGTGCCAAGGGTCGTAGGATTGCAGGCATCGTTTCCTACCAACTAGACGAGTGACGTATCTTGATCAGCTTGCAAGAATCGTGCCACCGCGGGGGAATCAAGGACACAGCGGTCTGCCGCAATTGTTTGCCAAGTGATTCGCAGGTTGGCCCAACTCATGTGAGGCACTCCTTTTTCCCCAAACAGGGTCATCAGCGCACTGAAGGCAAATCACTCTTGTAACTTGCAGGCCCTCGTCATACGACCTCGATTTCAAGGGCTCAGGAGGTTCCGACTTATTTCCTGTCGGTCGAGAACCGTATCCAGCTTAAGGGGCTGTCTGGTCGGCGCCGAGAGCCACACGGGCCGCAGTTGCATGCGCATAGGTACAATGAGATTGGTGTCCTATTGTCCGTGAGGACGCGTGAGGGAGGCAACAAGGTAACATCGAGATTCGAATTTTAGCACGGCGACTAGTGATGCGTACTAACCGCTTTGGACATTGCGCAGATATGGTTGGCTTTGCTAGCCGATCCGTCCTCCACATTAGGGGCAGAGTCGACAGCCACATACTTCTGGGATGCACGACCTGAGCTATCTGAGGTGCGAATGCTTACATTGCTAGTCTCATCAGACTGTATGTTCGTGCCGATTTTGTTTGCTTGAGTTCAGTAAACTTCGAGGCGCATATCAGGTCGACATGATCCTAGCCTAGCGGGAGACATCTACGTTACTCCTCTTCCTCTATCACGGCTGGAACCCTGTCTTGTCCCCGTCTAGATTGCGATCTGAGCCCTGTTCCCTGGTCAGTGGGATTCTACGCTCAAAAAGACGGGTGGGCGCAATGAAGTTTCTTTGACTCGCCGCGATGACCGTCTCTAGCTTTCCTCTCGCGCAGCTAACAGCATTCGTGCTCGCCGTCTTGCTTGCCTACCGCTTCGCCAAGACCAGGCGACATGCACCCTTTCCACCGGGCCCTCAAGGCTGGCCGATAATCGGTAACGTCCTCGATATCCCCACCGAGTATCAGTGGAAGACATTTGCGAAGTGGGGCGAGAAATGGGGTAAGTTCCTTAGCACCCCGATCTGTACCTCTGCGCCTCAATAATGACCTCGTTCACGCACAGGAGACATCATGTCGGTCAACGTCCTCGGGCAGCGCATGGTAATCATCAACTCTGCTCGCGTTGCTGTCGAGCTGCTCGACAGGAAGAGCTCTATCTATTCCGACCGTCCTCACATGGTCATGATCGGCGAGATTGTCGGCTGGACGCGCATCGTCTCGCTGCACAACTACGGGCCTCGCTTTCGCGAGACGCGCCGCCTCCTATCCCAGATGCTCGGGAGTCGCGACAAAGTTGCTTGGCTAGCGCCGCTGCTGGAGGCGGAGGAACACCGGTTTTTGCTGCACGTGTTGAAAGACCCGGACAGCTTGGTCGCTCAGGTCCGAAAGTACGTTAAAGTCGCCTCCGTTTTCCGCCCATTCCTTCACTGAGGCGTCGTGTGACAGGGCTGCCGGGGCTATCATCTTGATGCTGGCTTATGGGTACGAGGTGAAAGACGGCGAAGACCCGTATGTCGCTATCGTCGAGAAGGCGATGTCAGAGGTATCAGCCGCCGCGACTCCTGCCGCGTTCCTCGTGGACTTCTTCCCGATCTGTAAGACTACGTTCGCTCGACACCCTGTCCGCTCAGTACTGATCTATTTCCGGTTTCTAGTACGCTACTTTCCACCGTGGTTGCCTGGAGGCGGGTGGAAGAAGAACATTCCCGAGTATACGAAGGACCTGGACGCAATGTGTGATATACCCTATCAGTTCGTGAAGCAGCACATGGTGAGTTCGTACGACGTGCATCTCAAGGAAGAGACCATACTCACGTTCTCCTGTCGCTGTTGCACAGGCAGTCGGCTCGTTCATCCCCAATTTCACTTCTCGCCTTCTGGAAGACAACCTGTCTGCTGAACGCGAACAACTTGTGAAGGATGCTGCATCTTCCTTCTATGCAGGTCAGTACCCAGTCGAGTCGTAAGTATGACCGCGGAGTCTCACATCGTATTCGCGCAGGCGGCTCTGACACTGTACGTTTCAGGTGCCGCTAGCTCTCGCGCACGCACTGACATCCATGTTTTAGACGGTCTCGACAATCACAGGCTTCTTCCTAGCTATGATGTGCTATCCCGACGTCCAGAAGCGGGCACAGGCGGAAATTGACACGGTAATCGGCTCAGACAGGCTGCCTGTTCTCGCCGACCGAGGTCGTCTCCCTTACCTGCATGCATTATGCTTGGAACTCCTCCGGTGGAACCCCGTAGCTCCACTCGGTACGTTTAGGCGTGCTACCCATTTGATAGAATGAATGCTGAGGATCGATATAGCTATCCCACATGTCCTCGCCCAGGATGACGTCTACGCTGGCTATTACCTTCCGAAGGGTACCACGGTGATGGCCAATGTCTGGTAAGATACCGTACTGGCATGAGAAACGTAGTCCTCTTAGGTCGATCCTCTGCACAGGAAACTCCTCCATGAACCAGAGACATACGCCAACCCATTCAATTTTGATCCAAGCAGGTTTATTTCCTCCGGAAAGAGGACGGCAGAGCAGGACCCGCGTTCGTATGCATATGGTTTCGGTAGACGGTGAGTTTATCACGAATCCGTTGAGGCAATATTGCTCACGCGCTCCCATACAGCATTTGCCCAGGTACGTTCTCTTGAAAGGCATATCTCGACGTCATCTGAACATCCAGTAGGCATGTATCTTGCGGATGCCACGGTCTTCCTCGCGGTCGCAATGTCACTTGCAGTTTTCGATATCCGAAAGCCTGTGATAGACGGCGTCGAGGTGCACCCCAACATGGAGTTCACCAGCGGTGTCATAAGGTACGGTTTTCACCCCTTGTTCCTCAGCCATCGTAGTCTGACGAGGGAATATCAAGTCACCCACCTCCTTTCAAATGTTCCATTGTACCTAGATCCGCCAAGGCAGAAGCCCTGGTTATCTCCACAGAAATGAAGGCTTGATGCTTTCGCAAGAGGACGACTCTGCCACTGTACCACCACTGACTATGCATGGTCTGGTTGTACCGTCTACCATGACAGTACTAGTGTCAATGATTCTTCAATACTGGTCGGCATCAGTGCTGTTTCCGGTGAACATGCGGGTTTGTATGTACCTACATGTTTTATGCTAGACAACTGAAAACGCTACAAGTATATCCAAATCCCACCTCTGCATCTGCTGATCTGGAGAGATTGACATTTGCGTTCACCGTGCCAGTGACCGTATCCGAGATTGCATAAATCCCGTTTGATCCATGTACTCACTAGGTTAGCCTAAGGCCCTGTGCGCCGTCGTTGTGCTTTTAGCCATCTTATCAATCACTTGAGTTGTCTCGCAGCAAAGATAACATACTCTATTTTGTCGGGAGTCCAGGGACCCGGGTCCCGCACAGCTCAAACACGGCGCGTCTTGGGTCGGACAGGTCAGGTGACCGTGTCATGGCCTGGTGGCGACTCGGCGCCCATGTCTGCTCACATACATACACTGTCTACTTTCACCTACAGTATTACTGGCCGCGACTGCGTTGTATCGTGCGCTACGCGCTTACACGAAAAAGGTCTCTGCGTTGTAGTCGGATGAGCAAATGGCGCCAGCTAGAGCGTCTCAACTAACTCGGCCTGATTCTGAAGATCCTCCATTCCTATTCAAGACCAATCACACACATGGTTAGCCCCATATCGCCTTCTGTCGCCGCCTTCCTTCCTTCCGCCTGTATACTGACTGTACACGCTCAGGAGGCCCCTGCGGATTTCCGATTGGCATCTCGGGTTCCTATCAACGACAACGAGCTATTCTGGAGTGATTGCCAGGTGCTCGCACCGCGGGCAAACCAGGTTTTTCGGGCTCCGAAAATGCTAATAACATCGGTCCTCCGTGGGAACCTTTTCGGAGAGCTTGACTGACTCCGAAAATGCTCCTACATCTCTCATGTTCGTAGCATGTTCGCCGAAAACACGCATGTTCGGCCTCCGAACATGCTGAAATCGGCTGAAACGCATCATGTTCGCAGCATGTTCTGACAATATTCGGAGTCCGTAAAGGTTCCCAGGCGGGACCGATTTTCGTAGGGGTTTTCGGAGTTCGAACAACCTGGTTTGCCCGCGGTGTCGGGACACGCGGTGTTCAGCATGCCAGTGGTATGGGCACTGTCGAAGACGCTGGATGGCTGTGAACAGCGTGTCTGGCAAGGTGATGCAATCAACACGTACGGTGAGCGACTGTACGTACTGTCCTATTCCAGACGGTGTACTGCTGACGAGAACGCGTTGATTTCGTAGTCAGTGGTGAATCGGATTGCCTATGTCACGAGTTAGCCCGGACTCCGCGGGATTCTCATCGGTGGTTCCGACCACTCCACCTTTGGGATCTTCATGACACAACCAACGACCTTCCTTTGCGTCAGTTGGTTTCAAGTTCCCGTCATGCATCAGTTGACACAGTCGCTCTCAGGCATGGCTGGACTCAGTAGCGTATTCAGCTACATGCGTTGACGCGTTCAACCAGCTCAGCGTCAGGGAAAACTGAGTCTGCCCGCCTCGTTCAGTCTCCTAGGAGCTAGTCCCGAACCTCATAGCGCTGTCTGCGCAGTATCATCGGGTAGAAGCGCCAGGCTTTTCCCTTCGTTATAACGGCAGCTTCGTGAGCTCGGATCTGGGGCAGTCCGCGTCGAATCACGACCATAATGTTTCTAGCCTTCATCGATATCTTGGCCCTCGCGCTGCTGCTGTATATCCTGGTGCAGATTTTGACATCGACAGGCAAACGACGAGGTGGTCTACCTCCCGGTCCTTCCGGCTGGCCCCTCATAGGCAATGTTCTCGATATGCCTACCTCACACGAATGGCAGACGTTCGCCGAATGGGGTGAGAAGTGGGGTATGTCCTTATCAGTGCATTCCTGAATCCCATGCAATTTGCTGATTCACAGTCACAGGCGACATCGTATCAGTCACTCTGCTCGGCCAGCCGGTCCTTGTTCTCAACACATCAGCTGCTGCAATCGAGATACTAGACAAGAAGAGTTCCATCTACTCTGACCGACCAACGCTCCCTGTGTGTGGAGAAGTGATCGGGTGGGACCGTACTCTGGTGCTCCTCCATTATGGTCCTGTCTGGCGGGAGACCCGTCGTCTCTTCTCCCAAACTATCGGAACCCGTGACAGCCTCATGCATCTCTCGGATCAGCTAGAACGTGAAGGTCATCGTTTCGTAGCTCGTCTCATGGCCAACCCAGCAGCTTTGTTTCAGCATGTACGCGGGTACGGCTCTTTATTCTGATGGTCAGACCTGTTTGATTGACTGACGGGCAGCTTTACTGGCGCCTCTATCTTGAACATCACGTATGGATACACCGTCGAGCGGGAAGATGACGACCTTGTTCGCCTTGTTGACAAGACTGTAGAACAGTTCTCACTCTCGAGTGCTCCTGGCGCATTCTACGCAGACGTCCTGCCTATTTGTTTGTGTCTATCGGTTCATCAGCAAACATCCCAGGCTAACAAGGTTCCAGTGAAACGAGTCCCTGCGTGGTTTCCTGGGGCAGGTTGGAAGAGAACGGCCTTAGCCTGGCGCAGAGACCTTGAGGCTATGTGCGACATTCCGTTCAATTACACCAAGCAGCAACTGGTATTTACTTTGCTCAGCCCCGTTCGTACACACTTTCTTATCTTGCGATGTTGGTTCAGATGTCAGGCAAAGCATCTCCCAGCTTCGTTGCTATGAACGTAGACCTCGACGGCGGGTCCGAACGCGAATTCATCATCAAGAGTGCAGCAGCGTCGCTTTACAGCGGTAGGTTATCCGTCGTCTCCTGGGTACAAGCATTGACTAAGACGCATCAGCGGGCGCCGACACGGTATATTTGCCCACTTATGAGTGAACACCACCACCCAGTATTAATGAAAGATTCAATAGACCGTCTCGGCCATCTGCTCCTTCTTCCTAGCAATGATGTGTTTCCCGGACGCACAGAGGAAGGCACAGGCTGAGATCGACCGAGTCATAGGCAACGATAGACTTCCAACCCTCGCTGATCGCGACGAACTACCTTATATCAGGGCGCTCATCTGGGAGGTTCTACGATGGCAGCCAATCGCTCCACTCGGTGAGTCCAACATCTACACAAAATGTTCTAGACAGCTGACAACGTGCGTTTCGTCACTCTCGTAGGTGCACCCCATTCCCTGATCCAGGACGACACGCATGCCGGGTATTACCTACCGAAAGGGACCACAGTCATCACCAATATATGGTGCGTATATGCCAGAACATGTATGCGAAGATGTGTGTCGACTATATGTCATGATCTAGGGGAATGCTCCGCGATCGCACGCGGTACACAGATCCTGAGGTGTTCAATCCCGATCGCTTTTGTCCCTCAAACGATGTAGAACCTGAGTACGATCCCAGGCAGATCGTATTTGGATTCGGCAGACGGTGAGAATCACGTAGTCGACCACAAATTCATTGACTGATCTCTACTCAGAGTGTGCCCGGGTCCGCTCCTCCTTTCCACTTGCTTGACCAATCGCTGACATGCACATATCAGGCTCGCAACTTGCGGAGACATCTCTTTTCCTTATTTGTGCCTTGTCTCTGGCTGCGTTTGAAATCGCCAAACCGGTCATCGACGGTAATGTCGTGGAGCCCTCGATGGAGTATACGACGGGAACCATCAGGTGCGCAGCACGATTGTACAGGCTCGACAAATCTCGACTATGGAGCATCTAGTCATCCACTTCCGTTTGAATGCTCGATCAAACCTCGCTCAGCTAAGGCCTCCGCCCTCGTCGCAGCAATGCGCGATTCTCTCTGAGGTAACGTCATTACATACTCAACTCCATGTGCTTGCGATTTGATCATGCCAGCAGATTATGGAGCTGTCATGAGGATACCTCGAAGTGGAGGTGACAACTGACACAGCGTTGTACTTGCGTGGTTTCGACATGTGGTATATCCGATATTGCTATGGTCATTCGCCGTCATTGCACCTTGAATCCCGGTCCACACGGGTTGAGTCTGGTGACCAGGGGCGCTCCTCGCCCCAAGTTGAGGGCGTGTGATGTCCTTCTGGAAAGGTATATAAATTTCAGTCGCGCGCTGGGACAAGATCTGGCAGCACTGTTGACTCTGTCACCCAAAATCTACTGACTTCAAGTTCGAGAACCTTGATGTCTACTCAGGCACCGACGCACTGCTGTTGCGGACATTGGCGAATTGGCATGCGCCTACCGTCGATGTAAGATGCTCCCTGACTGGGATCCGATGTCGAGGCAAAGGGCAACGCAGGTTCGTCGTGACCCACCAATTCAGCTTCTAGATGTGTGCGGGCTGATGGCTTGCCATTCTGGCAGAACATGCTGTTCATACTGAATCATTACAACCGAGCGTAGCGCAAACTTTAGACCCAAGATAGGGTTGAGGGCATGCGATAATCACTCGACACGACACGACAGCAATGGCGATGGACGTTCTCGTTGACCGAGCTGCTGCGTGATTGCCATCGGTGGGTCGCAGTGACCTTGCATCATTGACGCATGTCGTCCTCAAGGCCTGTATGAACATTCACGGTGATGTCCGCAGTCCAGGTACATGCCTCGGAGCGCACCTTATAAACGAGCTGAGCGCCGTGGTATAGGGACTCGGGTAACCCACTACCACCACCACCACCACCTCCTCCTCCTCCTCCTACCCAACCACTCAGCGGCTATGGCGTACCCAGCATACGAGACCGTCCCTCAGATGCACCGATCCCTATCGTACGGACAACAATATGCCTACCCTCCGGCAGGTGTAGCATACAGCCAGCCACTCACCCCTGGAGTGTATGACGTACGTTGTTGCCGTTCATGCATCCCTGGTTCGTCCTAATGGTTTATCGCAGTCATACGGCCAGGGTGCCTATCAAGCTTATACGCCTGGACGCAGCATAAGCCAATATGGTGGCTACACTTTGCTCCCAAATGTGCACAACTTTACTGACAGTGCTGCGCAGCTTACGACGACATGAACCTGAGGGGCTCATATTTCCCCGACACATATGCTACCTCCGGGTATGCCACACCCTACGCCCCCAACTTAAGCCGTCGCCGGTCGTCTATGTCCCGGCGCTCGCGAATGGGGTATGACGGCCACCGCGGACTCGGACACGGCAGCACCTTGATCAAGTTCAAGCGCAAGGGTGGCTTCCGCGCTGGCATCACGCTTGGCGAGGCCATGTCTAGTGTCATCTTGTCTGGGAACGATTCCTACACCCACTACGACTTCAATGCCGACCACAGGGGAAAGATTGTCCTGAAAATCCGGGTGAGCAGTGACTGACTTCTGCACGTCTACCCTCGGTTCCTGACATGTCCTCGTGCAACTAGTGGACTGGATATACGTCGATGACGTATGAGTTGCCGGTCGATAATTATGACGGTCGCGTGGAACTTGCGACACTCGCTAGGCGGGTCGCCCGCGCCTGTGTCCATTTCATTCAAGTGAGATTGTGTGATTCATATGACTCGGACGTCTCCATAAACTCATCATGATACGCAGGCAAACATGATTCCTATTTCTTGGGATCGTGTGATCCTCTACCACATGGAGGAAATCTCCGTCGGCACTTGGCAACCCGTCATCTCTACTGGCTAGAGTCGCATGGTCGAAGGCTTGTTGTGCCAGTCGACGCCCCGAATCATGTATTGTGTCGGCCTCTATGCCGGGCGCATCGCAGCTATTTATTGGCGCATTCATTTATTGTTTCACGTCCTTTCTGAAGGGTCACAAGTCTTCGTCATATAAGTCTTCGCATGTGTCATGCAGACTGGAATTGCGGTCATCCTCGACATGTTGAACGCTGGTCCCAAAAGTTGTATGACGCGTATGTAGTATGCTTCTTACTTGTATCCCCGGCCCCCGCCGGGCAACTTCTCGAATTTCCTTGTACCTATAGTAGTATTGTCCCGCCCAGCCGTAGCGGGGGCGTCATGAGGCGGTGTCACGCATCATGGCGACTTCACGAGTCCATGCAAGCAAAGCCTACCAAACTGCAGTACTACTAGGTACTGCTATATTGCGCCTGCGTAATAAGTCGGCTCACAAGCGCATTCGAATCATCATCAGATGCCTTTCTCGGTAGCACGGAACATGCCGATCGACAGATCTCATGACGTTGAGTCGTTCGCGCTGGTCCAAGTCATCTACAACTACAAGTTGTCCAGGTACACGCAACATCAGAGGTCGATGCATGGTGGACATCTCTCCAGATGGGATCGCAGCAGCGGCCCTTGATCTCTATTCTACTCTGTCGCTCAAGCTACCTCCCAATCAATACACAATTCTCGCCGCGTTCATTTTGACGTCTTCTGACGCACTACAGGTCATTTCGCTCGCCACGGGCTCGAAGTGCCTCCCTACGGAACGTTTCGCCAAGGAAGGGGATGCACTACATGACAGCCACGCGGAAGTGCTTGCCAGAAGGGGCGCAGTGCGCTGGCTCATGACGGAGGTGCGCAGAGCAAGCGCGAAGCAGCAGGAATCCGCGTGGCTTCGAAGGAACCTCGACGGCAAACATGCGCTCAAACATGGAGCCTGCCTGCAATTATACGTATCGACAGTTCCATGTGAGGCCTCGATTTAGTATTTAGGCAATGTCGCTGATTTGTTCATGGCGCCGGACCCAGGCGGCGATGCATCCACCCGCTTCCTGGCCTCCTTTCAGGACGCGGAGATGGCTGCTCTGAAGGACTCGAGCCAGTTCCCTGAGCTTCCTCCTGGGGCGGCCTCACGGGGTCGCAATAATTACTCTCTACACGGGGTGCTTCGAACCAAGCCTGGACGCGCGGATTCGCCGCCCACGATATGCATGTCTTGCAGTGACAAGATCGCACGGTGGAATGTGTTGGGCATCCAGGGTGCTCTCGCTTCGGAGATCATTAGCCCGCTGTACATCGAATCTGTCACCATCGGAGAGGTCGAACCGGACATGCAAGACATGGTTCGCGCCGACTGTGAGCGGGCTTTCTCGCTGAGACTCAGCGGGATCGACGGTGGGTACTCTTCTCGTTCTACGTGTCGAGACTACGCTCATGTACTGCAACAGCATCACAATTACCCGAAGGCTTCCGACTTAATGTCCCAGCAATACATTTCACTTCACGACAATTCATTCACTCGCGGACAGCGTTAGGGGCTGCCAGCTCATGCAATGACTGTAAGCAGAGGGGGCACATCACATGAGGACGCTTTCATTGATACGCACACCCCGTCAGCCCTGTGCTACCTCGCGGATTCTGTGAAGCCCTACGAGGTACTCATCAACGGCGTGAAGCGCGGGGTCTCGCCCAAACACCGCCACTTCGCGAAGTTCCGGTGGGTGCACCGTAGCAGCGAGGATAACACGACCAGCTGATCCGCGCCCATCCTTGGCCAGGCCTTTGCTCTGCAAGCTCACACTCTGGGAACTGCTCGAACAGGTCGACATCGCGCGAGACGTTGGACACCCGGGCGATGAGTGCGTCTTTATCTCGGTCTCGACTCCACCTATGACCCTTACATTGACAATCACGTCAGTGGCCTCACATACTACGGAAGCAAGCAGACCGCGGCAGGTTATCAAGCGGCCAAAGAAGCGTTGCAGGGCTCCGGCTGCCCCTTCGCAGGGTGGATTAGAAGCGGTCAAGAGTGGGAGAGTTTCCACCTGCCGTCCAGAGGCGGTGCAGGTTAATGGAGGTCGGGTCTTTGTCGTGTCAGTGCATCGGCCGAATGATCAGGGCGTCTGGTAACTTACCCCCGACTCGCAACACCCAGCAAACACTCGAGTTCTCACCTGTGAGCTTGAAGTTACTGTGCATTGCATCATACGTGCCTGCCGAGACGCTCGTTGGTTCACGGCCGAACGGACGCGTCATGATTGTCGAGGCAACGCCGTTCCTCGTAAAGAGAGATTACAACAGCAGAGTTACTGTAAACACAGCTACATGGACATCTACAGGGACGCGGTGTACCTTGGGGATGATGACAAGGGGGATTAGCACAAGTAAATACGAAGACAGCAAGGAGTAGACATAAATTCTAGGTCATGAGTAAATTGGTCGTAAAAATATAAGGATGCGCGGGACCGTTAGGATGTGTAGTCGTTGCCGAGTCGTGACAGATCGTGTGCTGAGACCAAGCTGAGGCTCATGTTGCGTGTGTACCGATCTCCGTGGGCAAATCCGGGGTCGGGATCTCTGGGGAGAGGTTCTTGGCAACAATGTCCGGAGAGCCGTTGACGGTAGACAGATCGTCATCATCCTGCGGCACGAGCGTAGGGCTGGACATGGTCGAATTCGAACGGGAGTGGGTCCCTTCTGCGAGTTCTTTCCGCAGCGCCTCGAGTTCGCGTTCGAACCTGTACAGGCTACGTCAGACGCTGTCAACAGATATCAAGGAAAGGAACGCACTTGCGACCGAAGACCTCGATGTAGAAACCGCCACCATTCCATACGCTGACAGCGAAGATGAATATGAGGAATGTGCCACTCCAGAACGGACTTCGGTACAGGACGAGGATGGCGGGAAGCTCGGTTAGGACCGAATATACTTCGAGGGGTCATCAGAGATGCAGAGGACAGGATGAATGCATAGTGCTCACAATACTGTCCGAACATGAACGCTAGCGTGCGATACTGTGGAGGCACTCTCGAGAGTGCGCGACCAATCACGCCTCGCTTATCGTTCAATAGGAACGACAGCGACGTCGTGCGCTGGCCGGACTCGATCTTCTTGCGCCGATCGACGAAGACGAACTGCATGACAAGCCATCAGCCACTTGCTACGTAAGGATTCACCGGACCCACCTTCCAGTAGAGCACCTGCCATATCAAATCTGTGGGGAGGCGAAGTTCAGAACCGAAGTTGACGCCAATGAGAAGGAAGGACTGACAGATGATGCCACTCAATAGCAGAGCCCTCATAGGCTGGAGTTGTGGTACTGCCGTTATTGCGGGGAAGCGCTCTGCGGCGTTCGGATAGTAATGCCTATTCTTAAATTGAGTTTCAGGTCCCGAACTCGAAGGCCGCTATGCACCCACCGGATGACAGAGAATGTCAACGGAGGGTAGACATGGATGAAGAGGGACGTGACTTTGTCGAAGTCGTGGAATACGAGACTGTTTCTCCATGTGATTACCGCGGAGGCAAGCGATCCATGTGATAGGCAGTAGCAAGCTACAAAGAGGGCGGAATTGGCTGGGAGGAACCAGATGTAGATGAAGTTGAGGATGTTCGCGTAGTAACACAGATCAAACAGGAAGTAGTGCCAGGCCCGCTTCTTGTACAGATAAACACGCATGGGCAAGTAGAACGCGGCCTGTAGCGTGTATGCGATGTGTATCCACCTACAAGCCTGTTCAGCTACATTGATTCATAGTGTTGGAAAGTCTCGGGACGCACTCAGGAGCCATTCCAAATAGTAGGGAAGTGATCAAGAGGGACATCACGCCCCAGAAGAAGGTGAGCTTCTCACGGAACCGTACGACGTTGGAGGTGTGCCACGTTGCCGCTAGTTTCGTGACTCTGGCAGACACCTAACACAGTGGGACGTCAGAGTGAGGGTTGTCTTCACGACGCGTACGCAGCCAACCTTTGCCTTGAACTTCTGCATCTCCATATCGAGCTGCTGCGTAGTGTGCATCGAACCTCGTCGTTTGAAGAGATCCTTCTTGAACACGTCGTTGATCGTCTCTTCCGCGCGCATCTTGAGCTTTTCGCTACGTTTTGCGAGTTGGCGTTGGAAGAGGTCTAACCGCGAGTCAAAGTATGTCTCCAGAGTATCTATACGCGAGATTAGCCACTCAGGACGCGTTGTTTGATGCCTTTGTTCGCCACACACCTAGCAGGGTGAATCCACTCGCCCAGTCGGATATCTCGTCGCGTGCAAACCGTTCGAATGGCACGGAGAAGTACCCAAGCCCTGTCTGTCCCGGCGGCATGTCTGACGGTGTGCGTACCGGCGACGGCGGTCGCGACGACAAGGGAGTCGCCATTGTAGTTATTGCGCGTAAATCGAGGGCAGGGGCGTTGAGAACAAAGCAGCGGCGGGCGGAGAGATGAAAGCAGCACCCCACACGATGTGGCAGCGCGTCTGCCCCGCTACCGCGTCCTGGCAATGACGCTCACGCTTATGTCAGCAGTGCACGTGACCCTGGGTGCATCTGCTGCCGCCTCACCACGCCTGCGCTCTGATTGGCCCGATTTCAGACTCCGCCAGGCTCGCTTATGTATATACGGCCGGCCAGAGTACGACACTCCCAGTCTCTTGCATCCAAGTCACCATGTTCCGCGCTGCCCTCACAAAAACCGTTCTCAACGCCGCCCCCCGCGCCAGCCGAGTAGCTGTACGCCCAGCACTCGCTCGCGGCTATCACGAGAAAGTCATCTCCCACTACGAGCAGCCCAGAAATGTGCGTCATATTCCGGCCTCGGCGGCTCCAGACGCAGTTATCTGATAACTTTTCCGATTTGTGCAGGTCGGCTCGCTCCCTAAGAACGATTTTGATGTCGGTACTGGCCTCGTCGGTGCACCTGCGTACGTGTTGTCTACTTGTTAGCCTCCGCGGGTCTTGCTGACATATCGCCTCCACAGCTGCGGCGATGTTATGAAGCTGCAGATCCGGGTCGATGAGAACGGCGTCATCTCCGACGTCAAGTTCAAGACCTTCGGCTGCGGCTCTGCCATCGCGTCGAGCTCGTATATGACTGAGCGGGTGAAGGGGCTGTCGCTGGAGGAGGCTGAAAAGATCAAGAACACGGAGATTGCGAAGGAGTTGTGCTTGCCCCCGGTGAAGCTGCACTGTTCCAGTAAGTTACATCCCCTCGTCTGAGAGTCGCTGCGTCTCACATGTCGTGCTCAGTGCTCGCGGAGGACGCCATCCGGTCTGCTATCAAGGACTACAGGTCGAAGCGTGCCACGGCTAAGAACCCCAAGCAGGCAGGCTTCATCGACGTTTCGCAGAGCGCGGCAACCGGGGAGACCGTCGCGACTGCCCACGCACCGTCAGCATAAGCTGTCACGATCCTCACCATCCGCCACGACCCGTAGTACTTTCCGCTTGCTTTCGACTTATGTATCGCGCGTGTATGATTAGTCGCTCATTAGGATCCTAGCGTATTGTGCAATCGTAGTGCATTGGAGTGAACATATAGTACGCGTGAGCCACGAGACTGCACACTGAGCCTACTTCGAGGCACCCTTCTGACCAACAAATGAAAATGTGCCTCCAGCAAACCATCTCTCGTTGGCCTCCTTGACGCGTTGCGAGGCCGCCGCTCGGTTCGTGAGCTCAAATCCTGAAGGGGTCATAGGTCAGCAGCAATCAAGGAATCCGTATTGAGACCACTTGCCTTGTACGGGGGTAACAGTCAGAGAAGTGGCAGTGCCAGATGACTGTGAATTGGATTGAGCTGCTCTCGTGAGCGCAGCTGTCCGGAGCTTGTTCGCCTTCGACAATTTCGCTGGTAGGGATAGGACGATCAGCATACAGTATCCGCACCATCAGCGGCGCGAAACGCACCTCGACTCTTCGCCTCGCCCACGCCTGCCCTGACCTTGCCCGAGCCAATCATACCCAGGCCCTTTGTCTGGTCGAACGCGCCAGCCTCCTCCTCCGGCTCTCCGAAGGTCATGCGGTTCTGCATCTTGCGGAGCTCGGTCTGCGCATACGCCTCCTTCGCCTTGCGTGCCCTATCGAATGTAACACGTTAGTCGGGCGCCATGGGTACAGGGCGTTCCGTGCTGACTGACCGTTTGCCTCCACGACGCTTCTTCGGCCCGTCGTTGGGAATAGGCAATGCTTTGACGATCTTCGACGGAGGGGGTGCAGCGAGTCGGTCGATGTGCTTCTCTATCTTATCGTGAAGCTCCTCTCCGTACGAACCTGCATATGCATTATCAGATAAAACGGACGCAAAAGCGCTGCCGAGTGTACACACCATCTCTCCGGTGCCGCTCCAGGTCCATACGCGCCGCCAGACAACATTTGGCACCAACCGTTCTTTGTACCTTCATCCGGTACTCTGGCGGCGTTTGTTGTATGAGCTCGGACTGGAACACGAAGCCTGTATGACGACGCTGAGTGGCGGACGAGAACCCTGCGGTAATCTTCCTTTGTGCTCCGAGTAACTTTAATACCACAGTACGTCAGCAATGTTCTCGCACGGACAGAATTGCTACTACTCACATAGACATTACACGCAGGCATCTTAGCTAAGCCATTGAGGCCACCAGCAACTCCAAGGAGTTTCGCAGCTGTGGTGGTACCGACAATAGCTGATAGGTTTGGTGCCAGGATATTCATTCGTGAGCTGACGTACATGAAGATCTGCGAGGAGAAATCAGCCATGGGGGCAATTTGTACACACAGAACGCCTTGCCTTTTTGCGCGCCTCCTCCAGTATATCTGCGAGGTCGCAAGCTCGTTGGACAGTCTGCCACTCCGCTTCCGAGAGTGGCTGCCCAGACGTGGTCGTTGCCGTTACCAATACACTCATGATGATCGCGGGAGGGAGGATGCCATTGAGGTCGACTTTCGTAGGGTCCTGGCACAACAGTCAGCTAGAGGCAACGGTCCGCTTGCGCGCACATACCTCTGAGTTACCCAACGCGCGAACGGAGCGGATGTACATGGCAGGGTCCGCAACAAGTTGCTCGAGTTCGGGGAACTTGGGAGCATAGTGATCCCGAATGAACTACGACAGCATGGTATGAGAGGCTGCCTGTCTCACCATACGGACATACGCACCTTGTGAACCACCATGATCTCATTATCAACATCGACTGAGAGGTTGTTGGCGGCCACAATCAAGTTGTATTCGGGATTTGAATGTGTCGGTTGAGCCATTTGTTCGGGAGTGCTGGGATTCGCTTCGAATTTCTCGATTTCCTAGCGACAAGCGCGTGAGATGGATAGAACACGCAGTTTCAGAGCGAACCCACCTTGAGGATATCGTTCATTCGCTTACTGCCATCCAGCTTCGCAACGCTGCGCACGTCCTCGACATTTCTCAATTCCATCCGCTGCACCTCTTCAGCGTCCAGCTCCTCCGCAGGGTTCACTCCGCCCTCCAGAACGAGCGATCCAACATCCTTATCATTTGACTCCCCGTCTTCCTCCGCCTCGCCCTCGTCCATCTCATCGTCTGAGGATGCTTTGCGCTTAAGGCCATTCGAGGTTGAGGGTCCTGCCACTTCCGTCTGCTCGTTTGTATCAACTTGTCCGTTATCTTCCTCTCCCTCTGAGAGTCCCTCGAGGTCGGCAAGTAGCTCGTCCGCTAGCGTACTCATGATGAGAGATGAAGCAAGACGGGACGAAGAGGCTTGTAGGTGAGATGAGTTGAGATGCAAGAGTCGCGCTCGACGAAGACGAGCGCTTGCCCTGTTGCTAATCCGGGAACCCTAGAGTAGGGGCATGCATGAATCGATCCGGATCTTGGTTGGCACGTGGCGAATGCGGGGTAAACGCGATCGGCGCTTCGACTTCCCCTTAATCTGGTTGTGCTCTTTCGACGACTCACAGGTCTCTGCGAGTGACTGGCCAACTCTGTGCGGTTGGACAATAGCTGACATCAATTTGTAGGCACAGCCAGCTTTAACGATGCGCTCGGCGGTGTCGAAGGCACTTCGGGTCCGACCATGTCGCCAGCCTGTGTTTCCACCTCGTTCAAGTTGTAGGAGGGCCTACCATCCGTCCGTCTTGCCGTCTCTCGTTTCAGCAACTTCGCCCGAGTTCGTTGAGAAGTCCAAATCAATGGAAGCACTGGTAGCAGACATAGATGCCAAGGCGGCGGCTGCACGGCTAGGCGGAAGCGAGAAGGCGAGGGAGCGCATGAGGAAGGCTGGCAAGAAGCTGCCCAGGGAGAGGTCCGTGCCCTTTGCATGGTGATGGAATTCAGGCGATGAATCAAGAACAGGCTAGCTCTCTTATTGGACCCTCATACACCCTTTCTCGAGCTTTCGCAACTAGCTGCTCATGATGTCTATCCTGAGTCTATCCCTGGCGCGGGCATCATCACTGGAATAGGTCGTATTTCTGGTCGTGAATGCGTGGTTGTCGTGAACGACGCTACTGTCAAAGGAGGTTCCTACTACCCGCTGACTGTGAAGAAGCATCTCCGCGCCCAGGAGATTGCGAGGGAACACGGGCTGCCATGCGTTTACGTCGGTGAGTGACCGATGAGTTTCTGGCAGGATGCTGCCTTGTCAGAAGTCGAACTGACCTGTATACCTGGAGAAAGTTGAGTCCGGGGGTGCTGCTCTGCCTCATCAAGCGAATGTAAGATGGACTGACATTTCCTCCTGTTATACTTTTGCTGACCTGTTACGGCCTTAGGTCTTCCCCGACAAGGAGCACTTTGGCCGCATCTTCTACAATATGGCACAAATGTCGGCAGTGGGAATTCCCCAGATCGCTATCGTGCATGGCATTTCAGTAGCAGGTACAGCACCTCATATGTATCGGCTTTGAAATCAGATCACACAGCTATTGGACAGGCGGAGCGTATGTCCCGGCTATGGCAGACGAGAACATCATTGTACGAGAGCAAGGCCGTATCTTCCTCGCTGGCCCGCCGCTGGTGAAAGCGGCAACGGGAGAAGAAGTGGACGAGGAGACACTTGGTGGAGGCCAGATGCACTCATCAGAAAGCGGTGTGACAGACCACTTGGCTCGAGATGACGAACATGCCATCGCCATCGCTCGCGGTATCATCAGCGATCTCGGGAAGGCGGGCGGACAGGAGGTTCCAGTAAGTCGTGGAGGCTGGACTGAAGAGCATTTGTTGGAATAATGACAACGATGGCAGCCTCCAGTACCGCCTGAAGACCCATTGTATCCCACTTCGGAGCTCCATGGTATCGTAGGGACCGACCTCCGGCAAGCATTCGACATGCGCGACGTAATCGCTCGCCTTGTAGACGGCAGCAGATTCCGGGAATTCAAGAAAGAATACGGCTCGACCATCGTCACAGTAAGTGACCCTTTGGTAGTGGGCACAACGGTGCTCACGAGTGTAACAGGGATTCGCACACATTCATGGCTACCCCGTCGGCATTGTCGCGAACAACGGCATCCTCTTCTCACAATCCGCATTGAAAGCGACGCACTTCATGCAGCTCTGCTCGCAGCGGCAGATCCCGCTTCTGTTCCTCGTCAACGTTACAGGCTATATGGTCGGTTCCAAGGCTGAGAAGGGCGGCATCGCCAAGGATGGTGCGAAGATGGTCCGCGCAGTCGCGTGTGCGGACGTACCGAAGCTGACAGTGATCGTCGGGGGGAGCTACGGGGCTGGAAATTACGGTGAAGTGTTTGCCGTTCCGTCCTCGATTGTCTCGGACTGACGTGCGCATAGGAATGTGTGGACGGGCTGTGAGTATGGTCGAATGCGACAGGTAGCACGCGCTAACAAAGGCTGGGTAGTATTCTCCGCGGTTCCTATGGATGTGGCCGGTGGGTGTTCTAGCTCAATGATTGCGATGGGCGACGTGCTAACCATGAAGCAGAATGCTAAGGTATCTGTCATGGGACCCGGCCAGCTCTCGCAAGTGATGGCTACTGTTTCGAAGTACGTGAATCCTCTGAAACCTTCATCCTCAGTCTCATGTGCCGTATGTAGGGATCCCACCAAACACAGCAGCCTGAAGGACGAAATTGAAGAGCAATCCACTGCGCTCTACGCCTCCGCACGCTTGTGGGACGATGGCATCATTAAGCCTACAGACACGCGCGACACAGTCGGACTAGCCCTAGCCCTAGCCGCAAGGGAGAGGAGAACGGGCAGTGGCTCGGGCAAGCCATCGACGACATGGGACGGCGACGGCAAGGGTTTCGGTGTCTTCCGAATGTAACATCTAAGTTGCCGGTAACGAAGGAAGGCGGATGGTATGTATATCAAGTTGTGTACATTCGACGGACGTTACGTCGAGCACTTTTGGAACAATGTATCATCATGTCATACGGACGAATGCTACCCCGATCGTCTCCTCTTGCGCGTCGGTCCGTCGGCGGAGTCGTCGATGTCCATGGGGTCGTCGTGCTCCATGCTGCTGTGGCTGGAGAGCTCATCGTTGCCGAGGAAGAAGCGAGAAGCTGAGGGACCGGACCATGCGTTCAGCCTGGAGTCTTCGCCGCCGGTAAGGAGGATGTTATTCTGTGAGCGCATCTGAGTGATCCTGATGACACGGATGAGAATCTGCGAGGTCACCTCTTCGTCCCACAGCACTGATCGGACTACCCCTACATGCCCTTTCTGCCATGAGTGAGACAGTACCCAAGGCGCGTTTGGGTCTTTCAAGGTAGAGCGAGTCAACAGCGCTACGTCTCCCCTGTAGGCAAGCTTATGAACTACGCATAGCAACTTGTATGAGAATGCGACGTACTCGTTCGACCCAACGAACATGCTGAGATCGTTGTCTAGGCCTTGTGGGACGGTATGATAGTTGTGCGCCCCGATGTAGTAGTCCGTTACCCAAGTAAACTCGTCATCCCTATGAATGGAAGGTTTACGTATGTCGGTGTCTTGTACCAAATCCAGCTTGACACAGTTTTAAGCAAGTCGACAACATGTTGTTAAAATTCAGCATACCTCTCCAGACCAAACGCTGAACGTTTCCATGTCGCTAGATGCCCAGATTCCTGGGGGACCTGCCCGCGTATGTATCCAACCAGCCTGGGCAATACCGCAACCCCAATTGCCGACGTGGAGGCCAGCCTCGTCTTCATCAGCCTCGTCTGCGTTGGACGTGCATAGGAGCCCATCGGAAGATCCGGACAGCAGATGTCTTGGAGAGGTTCTCGAGAAATGAACGGCGGTGATGTCGTCGGAGTGGGTGGATGAGTGTATCCGAAGGGGTGCAGCGGGGCTGCGCGGATCCCTGTGTGATGGCCTGAGCGTAAGCTGTCGCATTACACGCATGCTTGGGTGCAAACTGACCAGTAGAGCAAAGATGCATCGTCTCCTTGAAGCTCAGTTCCGGCAGCGATCACCGTGCCGTCAACTGAGATGTCACAGGATAGAAGGGCATGAGGCCGGAGCCCAGTAAGAGCGGTCACTGTTCACAGGCAAAACACGAAAGGACTCGCTTTGAGTTCAGTTGCAACCCTGATGATTAGGATTGCCGGGGCTCACTTATGGGACTGTTTCCGGGATCGCGGCCATCCCAAGCCTTGATCACTCCATCTTTTCCAGAAGACAAGAGAATTGGGGATGTAGAGCCCGCGAAGTTGGACGCAGAGCGCAGGCATGTTATTCCCGCTTCATGTCCGGCGATAGTGCGCACTCTGTCCAGCCGCGACTTGTCAAACAGATGGATTGCATTGTCCGGCGAGGACGCGGACAACGCGTAGAACGACGGCAGCGAGACTATAGAGATAACATAGGCCTCAGACGGCAGAGAGGTCGCCTTGAGCGGTGCGAGGGTGTGTTTTGTAGCGGGGGAGTCGAGGAGGGACATGGCGGCGGAGAGGGACCAGTGTTTTCTGCAGGGTCTAGACGCTGGCTGGCAGGGCGCCTGCGGCAGTCGCCTGTTGTCAGCGCCTCCGCATCCAGGTCCTTGTTTCGTCTTCCTTCCTGCTCGCCGACCTCGAGCTCATCGCCATCGTCGTCTGCGACACCTGCGGACTTCGCTCTCTGACCCACGCCCACACACTCTTTTACCACACAGTCTTTTCGGATCCCTGCCGCTCTCGACCGACTTCACACTCGGCCCTTGAGCGACGTTACAAGTTCATTTATAGATCGCAGCATAGAGTCCGCCCTTCTTCGGCTTCACTTCTTGGTTAGCATCTGGTCAAAATGCGTCGCTCTGGTGGTACGTGACACGCTCAATGTTGCCTACACGCCCTTATAGTGCTAATTGGGCTGTTGTGTAGCACCTCCGCGTCTTCACCGCCTGCCACAGCGTCTGGACTACACTTTGATCCCGGCACCGCTGGGTGAGTTACGTGATATGTTCACGCTCTATCTCCTTCTCACATCTGAGGCCGCTTCTTCCTCTGTGTCTGTAGACTTGGCCAAGCCCCTGGTGGACGAGAAATCTCCCCTGCCGGCCATCATTGTCACTCCGTCATCCCCTTCACACGATGGGGACTTTGCCATCGCGTTCTTGATGCCTCCCCCCAAGCCCTCAACGTGGCAGCGAATGGTCGACTCGCTCCCCACCATTCCGCGTCTCCCGTCCCAAATCCAGCTCCCGCCGTCTCCCAAGCCGGAGTACGAGCGCGTCGGGTCGTGCAAGACGCGTGCGCGTGCCACCGTACTGCTCTTGCTCCTGCTCTTCATCATGGTCTGTCATGTCGTCATGCATGAGATTGCCAAGGATCGTCCGCGCATGGAGTTCAGCATGGTTCACGACACTGAGCTCGGTATGCATGACCATATGGCTACCGCAGGCGCCTCGGTTGACACACCTGCAATGGACACCACGTCTCCCGCCTTCGGTGGGTGGTTCGATCTGAACGCGCTCTGGGCACCCACAGTCGGCGATTCGAAGCGGACCCCCGATTTCGTTGTCATCGAGGAAGGCACCGAGGCGCAATGAAGCGCGCGCCACACAGGCACAAGCACGGGTCCACGGGAGTTTGCATCCTATGCCACGCTATTGTCACGACACTTTATGTCTTTCTTCGCTGTCGGGACTATTCGCTCACCGCGATAGATTGGATAATGGGGGTTGTCATGAAAGTTGGTTGCTGTATTTATCACTTAACATCGTTGGTCCGTTTAATAGTGGTTTAGACTTTGGTGTGCCTCAGCCGCCTTTGCGTTCGTTCTGGCGAGGTATGGGCATCTACTCAGGTTAGATCTGCATTTAGGGCAATTTGATTCGCGTGCATGTCCCCGTAAGTGGAACATGCTCATCGAAGTCGTCATACTAAATAGGCTTCCCCCGCAGATTAGCAGTGCTATGTCATGTATCGTTACCAGCTGGCTTAGTTCTTTGGTCAATTCGTCCTCAATCAATTATTCTGTCTTGTGCATTGGCAGTTCACATGGCCCGCTTCGTGGTAAACATTCCTAGCTCAGGTGGTCTGGTACAGACCGGCCGCTTTCGCTATTCTGACGGCATGTCATCCTCAGTGTCATGCTTCGTTGGACCACGCAGGCACCATCAACATCCGCACAAACGGTCAATGTTACGTAGGCCCATCTGACCCGGAGGTGTTACTTTGGTGATACTCATTCGCCAGTGCGACTTGAGTGCGACGACTCGTGACAGAGTTAGCGCAGCGTCGCGATCTTTGTAGGACGCCCGGGACTCGCCTTACGCGGTCGTGTGCGACATTCGGTACGTGTGCACCTTCAGGCTGTGCTCCCTCGCCGTTGACTGTCTCTCGCTCACCAGCAAATTCAACACATACCTGTCCTGGGAAAGCGAGGCGAGGACCTGCACTCCTCGAAAGACGCTTAGCAAGGCTCGACGAGGTGGAGATTGCCACTAATAGTTTGAATAGTCTCGGACGGCGGATCCTCGGGCGAGCTGTGCTATAGGCGCATGATGATCCCTTGTGCTTCTACTCGACCTCTGCGGGGTAATGCGCGGGGAAATCGAGCGGTGGAAACACCTCAACTCGCTGTGCCTGGGCTGTCACAATGCCCACTCTGACCACGGACGGTGGTCCGCGTCTCCCGAGTGGTTTCGTGCCGTAGCCTCGGTAGGAGCTAGGCTTGCACGGTGCGCAGATAAAGACGTGGAAGGCCTTCGTGGGGCTTCGCGAACGCTTTCATTTGACGGGTCGCCTCCTCGTTGACGCTATCTGCGCAAACCGAACAGGTCTACTGGTTGCCGAGGCGGCGATTTGGTCGAGATGTCTAAAGACAGAGTGGGCGACGTCGAGCATGTCGATCAGTCCTCGTTGGACGATTCGCAGAAACCTCCTCTCGAAGATGAAGTTCCGCACCACTCGGATCTTGCTGAGGTCCTCGCGAAGGAGAAACCGGGTAAGCTTCATGCTGCGATCGCCGGAGCTGTGATTGACGAATACGCATTGCAGATCCATGGTCCAGAAGCATGCTCAGACTTTATTGCGTCGTCTTCGTCGCTTATCTGTGCTCGGCGACGAACGGCTTCGATTCGAACACGTTCGGAGGCGCGTCTGCGATGACGAGTTTCCAAGTTTTCTTCGATGTGGATGGAGGGTCAAAACAAGGTCTTCTTGCAGCGTCGTACGTGATTGGCAACATGGTAAGAGGATGTATTGAGCCCGCTCCGAAAGCGTGACGAGCAGTTGCTTTGCTATAAGGTGGGATCCCTCGGAGCGGGCCAAGTCTCGGACAAGTGGGGGCGACGAGTCGGCATGGGTGTAGGCTCCTTCATTTGTTTAGTCGGCGCCATTTTCCAGGCTGCTGCTCAAGATGTAAACTACCTCATCGCCGGGCGTGTGGTCCTCGGATTGGGTGCCGTGATTGCACAGACCGCAGGTGCGCGGATCAACTCCTTTTGCGTTCAGATGATTGACATCCTGTGTTCCAAGGACCGGCATACGTCGTGGAAATGTCACACCCTGCATACCGAGGTATCATGACTGGAGCGTAGGTGAACTTTACTACTTTGGCGACCGGTTAATCATACAGAACATAGCTATCAAGCCAACTTCTTCCTCGGAACGATCATATCAACTTGGATTGAGTTCGGTCTTTCGTATGTCCCAGGAGATCCGGATTTCCAATGGAGGTTGCCCTTCGGCCTTCAAGCGTTGCCATCTGTCCTCGTCCTCGTGTTTATCTGGTTTATTCCTGAGACACCCCGTCAGTGCCCTTGCATGTCATTCAGTCACTTCACTGATAATATGCGTCATAGGTTGGTACATAGGACATGGTGAAGATGAGAAGGCGCGCAAGATCCTTGCCAAGTATCACGGCCGGGGAGACGAGGACAGCGCCATAGTCAATCTGCAGATGAAGGAGATGAAGGAAGTCATCGAAGTCGAGAACGGAACCGACAAAAGGTACGAACATATCCCTTGGCAGTGATTGGTGTCCTGACATACGGGCAGATGGTGGGATATCCGCGGTCTTCTGCGAACTAGGTCGGATCGCCACCGATTCTTCCTCGTCACTTGCATTGCCTTCTTCGGCCAGTGGGATCTCCCGCCGACCAGTTACTATTTCCCTCTAATGGTGAGAGGCTGTTCTGTCGTAGGTTGCATGTCTTCGACTCACAATCCGCTAGGTAGAGAAGGCTGGCGTGACAAATGAACACATGGTTCTCATGCTCAACGCCCTCCAGGTACATCCGTCTCATACTGACAGCGGTCCTAATTGACGTCTATTATGTCTGAGACGCCTATCATGATGGCTGCAGCCCTGAGTGGCCTGCGTTTTATTGAGAAGTGGGGGAGACGACCCACGCTCATGTTCAGTTCGACGGGGATGGCGCTCTCTGTCGTTGTCATTACGGTAAATCTGCTCCTGTACGAACCGCCAATTCAGATGTACTGACCGCGCTGACAGGTATGTACTGCGTTGACGCCAACTCACCCGCAAGCCGGAGCTGTGGGCATCGCTTTCTTGTACATTTTCCTGGTCGGTGAGTATCTGTGCTTGGGTGTGATGCGGCTGTCTCACCAGGTTCTACCAGTTTTCGCATTCGTATGGACGCCCATGCAGTCATTGTACCCTGTCGAAGTCCTGTCATACAACAATCGGTGCGACGCCCGTCAATACTAACGACAGGCATGTCCGCTCACGTTTCTTCCGTTGTGTAGCGCGAAGGGCTTGGCTGTCATGAACCTTTTCATCAATGCCTGTGGGCTATTCAACACGTACCTGCCTCCTGTCGCTATTGGCAACGTAGGCTGGCGGTGAGTCACCCTTCATTCGGTCGCCCATTTGGCACCCGTCTAAAGCATCAGGCAGGTTCTACCTGTTTTATGCGTCCTTCGATGCCCTGGGCATTATCGTCATCTACTTCACGTTCGTCGAGACAAAGGGACGGTAAGCGGCTATTGGAGTATGATACCGCACAGCGCACTGACCGGGGGACCACAATGACAGCAATCTGGAGGAGATCGACTTGATCTTCCAGTCTCCGCATCCTGTGCGCACCTCGTTGGAGAAGCCTTAGATCGGCGGATAGGTATATGCGCTGTCTTCGCCGGAACCCACACGAGGGAAGATCAGCAGCTGACAGGCGTTCCGGTCCTTTTTCGCTCTTGTACTTGTACCATGACAGTTGGAATGCTTTCATCCTTTCGAGGTTGGTATCGGGATGTACGGAACATTCACCATGGCAGTGTGGGTAGCAGCCTCGGGCTCGGGCTCGGGCTCTGCTAGTTCGCGGTCCATCCGTCGACGTCTATTTATCACGATCGACAGGAAGCCGGGCGCACTCTCACTGGATACTGCACGACGCGCACGCCGCACGGTGAGTCCGGCGCACCGCGAATTGGTCATCGCAACCGTTCCTGCAACTAGACGCCAATGTTAACGGCTGCAGACGAGTCGGAGCCATGCCACTGTATAACAACGCAGAGTTGTCTGTCTTACTCTTCACTGAGTCATGTTGTCTTCAGGTGGTATCTCCAATTTACAACTGACCTACATCGATGTCTGCAGTGCCTGCAGGTATCGATGTTCCCGGTCAGCCAGGGGTATGTTTGCAGCTAGTACGTTATGTATACTGATTGATTGAATGCATTGGACCAGCATTGGACGGCGCACCGCGAGACGCCACGTTGCCTGCGAGCAGATATATGAACATCTTGGCGCGCCAAGACATAATCGCCACCAGCGAGCACGGAGCTTACATCGACGGACAGTAAGTAATCGCTTCTACATACACCCTTTCATGCGGAATTGATGCCCCTCGTTGACTATGCCAGTACTTCGGGTTGTCAGAATCGGATGGTCCGACCGCATATCCAGAGAGGTGCCGAGTGCGCATGGCTAGATGTGAGTCAGCCTCAGAGGTAACAGATTACGGCACAGGGATACGGCCAGTGGTTGCCCCTGGACTAAAGTGGACCCTCTTGACCAAGGCGTCTCTCCTGTTCTTACAATGACTGGACTCAAGCGTATGCCAAGAGTACGTCAACCACAGCCTTTGTCGCAACGTTTGGATGGGACCTCGATACAGGGACAGCGAAGACAGATCGCTGCAGACCGTCGGGCCCATTGTCATGCACCAGGGGTAAAACATGGCCTCGAGATCGGACCACCCTATATAGGCTCACGGACACGGTTGCGCTTGCGGAGCGGAGGTCGTTCCCTTGCACTTCTGGCATATCACCATCCCGCTCGTAGGCAGCACCTAGTCGCGCTTGCTCATCAGTCATGTTCTGGTTGGAGATCTTCCGTATTGTGACGCTTGGTAAGTCTCATTGTTCGCTGGGTGCCAGGATGTGACATTCAATGTGGATGCAGCATGGGTCTTGCTCTGCGGCATCATCGTGCTCGCACTGGGCGGGCACGTCATCTCCGTGTCTGAGGAATACTTCAACTCTTACGCCGACTATACTGCCCTCGGAGTGGCAACGGGTGTGCTCACCTTAGTCACCGTCCCTGTCATGTGAGTCACATCGACGCTATCGCAATACCATAGCTCACATCATCCGAAGGATTGCTCTTGATTTCTTCTTGAGCACGTTCACGTCCTGGATTGCAGTCGAGCTCTCATGGCTCAGTGAGTACGTCGGTGCCATCAATGAGCGGTCACTGACCGTCATTCAGGCCTTCTCTGGATCTTGTTCCTCGCGACAGCCGCCGACGCAGCCAGTGACTTGAACAGGGTTAACAACCGGTGTAATTTCTACTACACTCAGCAGAACACCATGTGTCATGAGACGCAGGGCATGGCTGCGTTCGCATTCTTGGCCTGGATCCCTCGTGAGTGGCATGCTTGAGGCTTTCATGCTGCATATGCTCACTTCATGTTGTTCGCGCAGTCATGGCTTACACCATCACGCTTCTTGTCATTGCTATTCTGAATAGCAGTCAGAGCGCGAACATCTGGACGTCCTCGATCAAGGATACCTTTGTGGGCCCGAAGACCGGAAACCAGATTCCAATGACTACGAACGCAACTGCGGGGCCCGTTGTACAGCCACAGCCAGCTACGCAGACTGTGTAAGCTTCCTTCGATGATGGCGTGGTTGTCTATTTGTAGAAATCGCCAAATACGTGTTACGACCGCTATGTTCATTTTCCGTTCGATAATTTGCTACGAGTAATATCATGACACGCTTGAAACGAGTAACTGAGAATTTCTGTTTCGATGACGAATTCTCCCAGGAGTGGAATGTTTGGACTTTTCAGATGAGTGCTGTTTGAAAGCGTGCCGGGACGCAGAAGCATACATATTAGCACACGCGTCGCGAATTCGGCGTGCGCTACACGACTCACGTGGGCGCGTATCGACGTCAAGCCGGAAGTGCCACCGTAGCCTGAGCAAGGCACGAATTGGGCGTGCTCTTGACCTGCTCTCTCTGCTGAGCAGGCTCACTTCCTTAAATCTCATTCCCATCCTACCGAGTTCCCTACGGTGGGCTACGCACCTGGAGCATGGATGCGCTGTTTGTACCGCTCGCCGCGGCGGTGGGTGCTTCGCTGGACCAGGTCAAGGTATGCAATTTGCTGTCCAGAACGACCTGACCATGCATCTCACGAGACACCTCCATCTTTGCCTAGTTGATATCCTGCTTGTTGGTATCGTACCCGTTAGGCAGCGTTTTCATCAGACTACCTGTTTCCCGGCCCAACCTAAGACATGCATTCAACGTTGCTGTCACGTCAATGTACCTGCTGCCCATACTGAACATGGGAACCGCGTACTTCCAACTACTCGCCGACATCTTGCTCACATATTATGTCGCTGCGTATGTTAAAAGCTCAAAAATGCCGTGGATCGTCTTCGGGTATGTCCTCCGCGTTCTTGCGAGGTGGCAAATGAATAACACCCGACCAGCATCATCATGTCGCATCTCACGCTGAAGTACGCGATTCTATTCTTTACCAAATCCAGAGACTAACGTCGCACCAGTCATGTAATACGAGCATTGCTAGGCCACAGCTACGAAACCTACGAAATCACGGGTCCGCAAATGGTGCTGACCATGAAGCTTACGACGTTCGCTTGGAACGTGTATGACGGCCGTAGACCTACGGAGGTGCGTACTGTGCTCCTATAAACACAGACGCCACCTACCTTTTCTCTTGCATAGGAACTCGACAAGTGGCAAACTGAGAAGCGAGTCGCCGAGTATCCATCACTTCTTGCCTTCCTTGGCTTCGCGTCAGTCATCCCTCGTCCTTCATGCGCCCCTTGACTTGCTCTTTACCATAGTGTGCTGCGCATAGGTTCTACTTCCCAGGTTTTCTTGTTGGCCCATCTCTCGAATATGCGGATTACGACACGCTGGTCCACGGCACCCTCTTCAAGAAACTTGAGAAGAAGGATAGCACCGGACGCGGTAGCCACAAGCTCATACCAAAGGGTAGGAAACGCGTGGCGTACCGCCGTATGATCTTGGGCCTCGCTCTGCTTGGGACGTACGTTACCTTTGGGGGCTCCGCCCATCTTGGGGTCACGGTGCAGGACTGGTATGTCAAGAAGGGCTTCCTCTACCGGTATGTAGTCTCCACGGCGTCTGTTATCCCTACGCTGAAGCGTGTTACTCTAGGATTGTCTATCTACAGTTCTGCGGTTTCATCGAGCGCACCAAGTACTACGCTATCTGGACGTTGACAGAGGTTTGTTTCAAGCCTGGGAGTCGTCCGATCATCGCTGATGAGCATGCCCCAGGGTGCCTCTATTCTGACCGGACTTGGGTTTACTGGGTTCAACTCCAATGGCAAGTCGACATGGAAGGGCGCCGCAAACGTGGACATGATGAACATTGAGTTGGCGCCGAACTTCAAGATTTTGCTTGACTCGTGGAACATCAAGACGAATGTCTGGCTCAGGGAGTGTATCTACAAGCGTGTGACGCCGAAGGGCAAGAAGCCAGGGTTCAGGAGCAGCATGCTGACATTCGCCACGAGTGCGATCTGGGTGAGTAACGCCCTAGAATATGCGCATTACTGCCCCCCCAGCTAAATGCCTTTCCACGTAGCACGGGGTACAAGGCGGATACTACCTGACCTTCGCCTTCGGAGGCTTCATCCAAACCGCACAGCGTCTCTGCCGGCGTCACATTCGCCCTCTCGTCCTCCCCGCGACATACGTGGCCGCAAGGGGCGCACCGCCACCTCCTCAGACCACGATCAAGCGCACGTACGATATTGTCGGCACGCTCGTCACGATTCTCATCCTCAACTACGCTGTTATCCCGTTCATGCTCCTCGATGTGCGGCCGTCCCTCACTGGCTGGGCGAATCTCAAATGGTATGGCCACTTGGCTATCGGCGGCGTGCTTGTGATCTTCTACACCGGTGGTGCAGGCGTGTTGAGGAGCCTGCAGGCAAAGAGGGTCGGGAAGGCCGGTATGTGGGCGGCTAAGGAGAAGGAGGATTCGGGGAATGTGTCTGACGCGTCGCAGGCACCAGTCCTGCCGCCTCTCGACGATGCCGCGAAGGGGCTGGAGGCGTCTGGCTTCGTGAAAAGGGTGAACGACTCGAAGCATTCGAGTTAATTGAGTTACGTCCGCAATCTACCGTAGTGCACGATCATTGTTTGTCGTCCTACTATATTTACTCGTAATGCGCAAATTAGATGTGGCTTCAGTGCGGGCGAGGTTCAAAGGGCACAATTCAGTTGTTCCAACGGATACAGGGAGCTTCGAATGGCAAGCAAACATAACGAAGCCTTTGTCACCGCCGCGGCGCGCCTGCGATCGTGAGCGCTTGAGCCACCGGCGGCACGTCCGGCGCTCAGAGGATCGCGCTTCCTGAACGCATCCAGTGATCCACTACATTTATCACCACTTTACACTGACATTCAAGCTGACGTTCAGCCCATTCGTGAATTGAAGCGTATAGCTCCAACGATAGCCACCTAAATACTTGGTACACATCCTAGGAAATGTCTCGCCCAGCAGTGGCCGACAACCTCCCTCCCAGTGCGCGATCAATTGCTCTCCTGCTTGCATCCACACCCACAGTACAGGATGCACAACCCGGTGTTCTGCACCAACTGCTCGAGTTTTCGCACCGGTATACAACACAGGTGCTCTCAGACGCGCTCGTCTACGCGGAGCACGCAGGGCGGTCAGGGAAGGTCGAGATGGACGACGTGGTCCTCGCGGTGCAGGCCCGTGTCGGCTGGGAGTTTGGAGGGCGTGTCCCCAAAGAGGTGCGTCGCAGACCCTTCCTTGGTGCTAGTATACACTGATGTGTTGTCCTATTCACAGTACATTCTATCGCTCGCGACACAAACAAATTCCGTCCCCCTCCCCTCCGTCCCCGAAGTCTTCGGCGTCCGGCTTCCATCTGCGAACGAATGCCTCACCTCAGTTGACTTCGACTTCGTCCCAAACAAGCCCCCGCCCGGCGTCAAGCTCTACGACGAGGATGTTGAGGAAATCGAGGAATCCGACGAAGATGAGGACGAGGACATGGAACCCGCCGCTATCCCCGCTGCGTCGCAAGCCTCTGCGGCAGCGGTCCCTCCAATGTCTGCACAAGCCCAACCGCAGCAGCCTGTGGGAGCGCTGCACACGCCGTCGGACGTTGATATGATGACGCCTGGTGCACGGGTGGAAGAGGGTAGCGAGGTTGATGAGGAGGATGGTCTGTTTGGTGGAGCTGGCGAGGACGAAGAGCAGAGTGGGGATGAGCCCATGGAGGAGGTACCTGCTGCATCACAGGCAGAGTCTGCCACCAACGGAGTGAAGCGCAAACTGGTAGAAGAAGAGGATTACGACTAAGTTGGTTGTTCTCTCTCAGTCTGAGTGCATGGGACTTATTTGCTCAAGGGAGGCATGTATTGTACTGTAATAATAGACACATAAACTGTACTGAGGTCTACGAGCAAGATCCATGAACCGAAATGCAGATATGAAGATGTGATGAAATTTCAAACGAGAAAGTGCGAGCGAACAGATGTTCATAAACCTTCGTGCATCCGTTGCGCGATGAATGCGAAGAGCAATATGAGCAACGTGACGATGACGACCCAGAAAGTCCAAGCTGGATGTCCGTTAGTGTCAATCAACCCTGACAGCACAAAGCGATGGTACACACAGGTAGCTCCCAGGTTCTCGGGCACAGTGACGACGCGGATGCTGTTGTCGGCACTCCCGGAGACGAGGAGATTGGACATAGTGTTGAACCGCAATGTCGTCGGTGGGAAATCGTGTGCTTTCAAGATGGTCACTAGTGGCTACATCGTTTAAGATGCAAGTAAGCAGTTTGCCGACACACCGTTAGTCGATCACGTACTGCTAGTGTCTTCGCATCCAAGATACCGACAGTGTAGTCCGAGGAACCAAACGCAACCAGCTGGCCATTGGGACTAGACACCTGTGAGTAACCGCTCATAAACAAAGAGGAGGTTCAGATGTACCTCACGTCGAAGCACGTCACACCCTTGTCTCCCACTTTGCGTAGCTTCGTAACCTCCCACTTCTCTGTGTTCCACCTACAGACGAACGCACGTCTTGGAGAAGACTTTGTTCGTGTTCTAGGCGGGACCGCATTCACTAGGGTGTAGAGCACCTTCTCGTCCTGTGGGTGATACCTAGGACGGGCGTCAATGGTTGCAGTATAGGTTTTGTGCGAAGGGCCTACACACCTCACAGACCGGAAACTACTTCCTGCATTATCACCCGGTAATGTAGGCCGTTCTACTGTCTCGAGTAGTTCGAGCGCCGGGAGGGCATTCGCCTTCTCCTTTCCAGCAGCCTTCTCGCTCTTTCCTTCTGACGGCGGGAGTGCGTACACCAAGAGACTGATAGTGGTCGCCACAACGAGCTACTCCGCATGTTGCTGTGGGCCAAGTGAACATAAAGCATAGATGACAACTTACAGTGGTCGATGAGAATGTCGCGTCATAGATCTCTCCCTTATCAAGGTGAATGGGAGACGCCACCGGCGAGAGGGACGGATACTGCAGGAGAGACAGCTAGCAAGGGATATCAGGAGTCAGCCACCCTGAACTTGAGAGAAACATGCGTCGTGCTCACATCCTTTGTACCGGCTGCCGCAAGGAGGTTACCAGAAGGCGAGAAGACGGTCACTTTCTATGCTCTGTTCAGTCGTTGCTATGACTGCGGGATGCTCAACAAACCTGAAAGTCGTCCTCAAGCTCATTCACTGTCAATGTGCTCTGAGTCTTCGAGAGAGCCAGCCTGCCGTTGTTTCATTGATGTGTCACACGCAGTGGCGGAAGGACATACCTCTTGTCCTCGACAGCGAATAAACGACAGTTCTGATTCGCACCACCCTGCAAAGCCTCGGCCGAGCTGTTTACGCCGCATGCAATGAATCTCTCCAACGGATGAGCGGCCATGCTCATTGGTGCATCTTCGCCCTTTTCTAGCTCGAGCTCGTGTAGTAACTCGATGTGCTTGTCGCTATCTATGCGGTACAGACGCTGTTGTTACAAGTACCATGAGGCATGTCATCATCAGAGATGCGGAGGCACGAGAGCTCACCAGCTTGTTCTTGATGCCCGTCTTTGATTGACCTCCGCCACCTCCGAGGACGAGCTCATTCTCGGAAACGAATGCGGAAGAGTAGACCGGGAAAGCGGGCAGCGAGTGAGGCGTGTGTTTCGTTCGCATCTCTATTGACCCAATGCTTCACCAGAACGTTAAGTAGTCGCAGCTACGGCAGGGGATGCGGGTGTCAGGAGAAGGAGTCGCGAGGTCGACACGTCTAAACGCGAGGACGACGCGTCCGGGCAGGTCCCCAGCATCGCACGTGCTCAGCTGTACTCGGCTTCTACACGCCCAAGCGCGCCACCCCCAGTCCGGCCAGTCGACCTACAGCCCCACCGCCATGTCCCCCTCCATCTGATACCTATTTCCCCCTTCTATCTAGATGCTAGCTCGCCATGCCGATACCCAGTATCGCTTCAGTGCTCTACGGTGCGATGTTTAAAGACGGAGACGGCGGCTATGAGATACCTAGTCTCCCTCAAATAAGTCGCGGTACCTTCGCCGGGATCGTCGTCGCCATCTCCGGGAATGTGGTCATCTCGTTAGCGTTGAACTGCCAGAAGCTTGCTCACAAACGGCTGGAGGAGGAACGCGCCGCCCATGGGGATGAGTTGCAGAGCCGGGGAACGAGCGGTGAGTTCAAGCGATCTATGGCTTTCACGTACTGGCTCCCGTTGCTGTCTCCATCCCAAAAGGGGTCATAGACGTATAGTATTTGCCTCTACCGGAGCCGCACTCGGCTTCTGAGTACGAGTAGCAACGCACTGGGCAAGGCGACTGCACACTAGAGGTGATGCCTGGCGGCCCAGCTTTGCTCAGGCTAAAGGCCATTTGCTTCGTAGGCCGCTACTCGACTTTCCCCCAGATAACGAAGTCCTCTGCTCTCCCATATTCTTTGTGGGATGCGCAGGATGCATTGAATTTATTACTAGTGATGCGACTGACCGTTACACTAACAGGCCAGAACACCCCGACGACAACTCTAGGAAGCTATACACCATCCCCTCAGCCTGGTACTCCTGCTATCGCGGTTGTAGAGACAGAACCACTACTTGGACCACCAAATCACACGCGACTCATGCCACCGGCTTATGGCAGCGATCCTGCTCTCGAAACGCGGCAAAGGAGAAAGAAGCGAGCTTTCTTGTCCAGGCTATTCGTCTTCCGTGAGGACGATGAACATCTATTCCAGGAGACGGACTCTGCCCATCTCGCGACAACCCATGCGCTCCTGCCAGTCGACGTTGTCCCAGCCCATGCAAATGGTGACAGATGTCCGTCAAGCAGGCGCACGACATCTGGCGAGAGCAAGACTGAGATCGCGGGGAACGAGTCCGACTATCTGAAGTCGAAACTTTGGTATGTCGTAGCCACGTCAAATTCGCATGTAATGTAATCTTCTCATCAATCCATTCTTAGGTGGTTCGGGTTCATCCTCATGAACATCGGCGAGCTCGGAAACTTCATCTCTTACGCTTTCGCCCCCGCCTCAGTTGTTGCCCCGTTAGGCACAGTGAGTACTGCGCACCTCGGGCAATGCGGCATTGTGTGACAACGTTATGACAGTTTGCCCTTATCGCCAACTGCTTCTTCGCTCCACTCATGCTGAAGGAGAGATTCCGCAAAGTGAGCGCACCTAGTCTTTGATAAGAGCCTTCTGCTAAGGTACCGTAAAAGCGGGATTTTATGGGCATCCTCATCGCGGTAATGGGCGCCGTCACTGTTGTGCTGTCTGCCAACCCGTCCGACGTCCGACTTGGGCCTGACGCTCTCGTCCACGCAATCACACAACGTCCGTTCGTCATTTATGCAGCTATCTATATCGCAGGCGCCGCAATCCTCTCCATATTCTCTGAACGTGGAACCGGCAAACGGTATGTGTACATCGACGTTGGTTTGTGCGCACTGTTCGGTACGTTTCTCGAGTTTGCTCGCCTGCGGACGTGCCTAACGGCGGTGCATAGGTGGCTTTACGGTGCTCTCGACCAAAGCATTCTCAACATTGCTTACGCTAGAGGCATTTGAAATGTTCTCTCAGTGGATCACATACCCTGTGCTACTGGTAGGGCATTCTCCATTAGTCTTGCGCCGATTTTTTTGATTGCAGCGTCGTGTTCCTAGGTGTTGATTAGCACAGGAGTTGGCCAGATTAGATACCTTAACCGTGCTCTCATGCGCTTTGACAGCAAGGTATGCTTTCCGCACGTAAGCCTATGTGCCACTTTTGAAGCTCACATGTTCCAGGTTGTCGTGCCTACACAATTCGTCTTGTTCAACATCTCCGCCATCGTTGGGTCAGCCATTCTCTACGGCGACTTTGCACGGGCCACCTTCCATCAAATCGTTACCTTCCTCTACGGCTGCGGTGCGACCTTCGCAGGGGTGTTCATCATCGCCTGGGCACCGTCATCCCCAGAGGAGCCGGAGGATGACGAGGACGAGGAGGGTACAATCGGCGACGCGCCGCCGTCGGCTGAGACAGACGGGACTATCACTGGGTTGAGCTCGACATCCGGGAGCGTCGCGAGACGCACCCGGGTGAGGATCCTTGGGCCGGATGGCTCGCCGGCGACGCCTATTCTAAGGAACAGGCAAAGTGTTGTCAGCATGTATGGGCTCTCGCCCGCACAGGTATGTCATTCTTGTTCATGACACAGCAAAGAGCCTGCAGACTCACTACGACATACTCAGCGCGCTCTACTCCTTGGGTCGCCACCGCGAGATGACGCATCTCGGCCTCACTCGCGGGACCCCGAGCGCGAGGCTGCATCTACTCCCGAGTCTCTGCGTCGGCGGCGGACAGTGAGCTGGCTCGGCGAGGATGGTCCGCACGGTCTGCGGCGGACCCCCACAGCCCCCATCGATGTCACCAGGGAGAATAGCCGTGTGCGCGCACAGAGCCATAGTGCTGCGGCGAGCAGGAGCGTGAGCCAAAGTCCTTACTGAAAAGCATGCTATAGGGTTTTCTACATTATGCCCTGGACTGTAGTACGTGTGCTATCTATCTAATAAGTAGTACTGATTTAGCAGTGTGCCCGGGACAGAGGACTCGTTCAGCCTATTATTAGAGTGTGTACAGTAGATTGCTGTTGTGATGTGTATATACTATATGGAATGGATGCGCAATTGAACTACTCTACGCTAGAACACGTCTATGTGGGCGCTCAAATCGTGTATGAATAATGAATGAATGACGAGCGACGTGCGGTCGGTACTAGAATCATTGTTTGTCCCTGTTGTTCAAAGGCGTGCGATCCTAATAGATACAAGCAACCGTCCGCCACATTATCGGGGATCATCCCCAAACGGCGACATTCCGGGGATTGCTGTTCTACACTCTCACCCTCTACTAACAGTGGTGATCAAATAGGCCATTCACTCTGACTGCAGAGGCTGTGATTACTTCGAAGAACGAATCCGCTCTAACAAAGTTCCTCCTGTGAGCCTCTCTATGTCATGGACCCAAATGATGCCCCAGGAAACTCGGGCCAACGACGGATCGATCACTCAAAGAGTGCTCGAAAAACTGCCAGCGGAATTCGTCCTGCAGCAGTAAATATACCTGCGGCGATACAAGGGACAACGGCGAGGAAAGTTGGCCGTCCTGGCGCACCGCCGGTGCCGATGCGTGGAGCTCAGCCGCCAGTGCGTCCGCCCCCGGGCCGCGGAACAGCTTCCAAGAGGGTCGAGGGGCGACCTGCCAGACCACCTGGGCCACCCGTTCAACAGCGTTCGGAAGGTGGGCAGCAAACACGACCAGCCCATACGTTAGCTCGAAAGCAAGCTGGGCCAGTGCAGCTGCAACGTGGACAGCCTCAGTTCGCACTCGCCGCCGCGAAGGCGCAGGCTCTTGCGCATAGGGCTACGAAGACGGTCATATTTCCCCCTTGGCTCGAAGCCAATGATGTATCCTCAGGAACCCGGCGCCGTCGTGGCGTGGACGATGTTGGCGGACGGATGGCGCCTGGCCGCACCGGTATCTCCAATACGGCAGTGGTCGGAGGGCAGCGGATTGGACGTGTACAAGTGGGGCCAGGGATGAACCAGCTGCCCAGGCGTCCTAATCGCAACGCCGAGGGTGGCATGGACGGCTGGGTGGTTGGACCACATCTCACTATTCAAAGGGCCGGTGAAGAGACGCGCAGTAGTGACGACGAGGATCTTGAGAGGTACGGTTGTATGGGTGTGACCAGCACCAGACGAGCTCATAGGTATGTCTTGATGTCAGATATGAAATTGCACGAGCTACGAAAAGCGCACGCAAGCGATCTACCGACGTGTCCATGCCAGGGAAGGCCGCGCGTAAAGCAGTGATATGGGAGTTACCTTCGCCTGCAAAGGTGGTAAGGAAGTCCCAGGCAGCTGCTGGCACTCCTGACGATATCATCGACTTGGCGTATAGCTCCGATGAAGGCGAAGATAGCATTGACCAGCTCGCTACTGCACTCGATGCACTGACGCTTGCACCATCGCGCCTCCAGCAGTTCAAGCAACTCCCATTCCTGTTGCGTAACCTACACAACGGTTTCAGGCACAGATGTGAAAGGTCGGGTATCGCAACGGCACCAAAGAGTGCCCCTACAGCGCCAGTCGGTGTTGTGTACAGGTATGACTGGGAGGCCGGGACGCAGGAAGCGTCGGGGAGCGAATCGGACCACATATACGAAGAGTGGCGGGGAGGTATGGACACCTGGTCCTGTCCCCTCTGTCGTCTGCATGGTCAATTTGATACTCGTGAGATGTTGGCCTTCCATCTACGACAAGATCACAATGAGGTCAAGGTACTATGGAATCAGTCTCAACGTCGAGAGGTGGGTACAGTCATCATCTTCTCGAATCTGGGTTCATATGCACTCATCATACTTCAGGGGATAACATGGGAGATCGTGCTGACGATACCTGATATACCGGACGACACCGACAGCTTAGTGGATGAAGCCTCAAGCTCTGACTCAGAAGATGACAGTGATGTCCTGCATGATCATGCTCAAACCGAAATCAGGTAAGAGACCTGATTATTCACTGACTGATACGAGGTTGCTCATCGTCATGCCAGAGTGTCTCCGCCTCTCGTGTCGATTTCTCCTGTGGTAGCAGCCTTGTCACCGCCCCCGGCGATGGAAGAAGCACAGCGGCGCTCTCCCATACCTCCAGACATCGTTGATGAAGTTCCTGGGCCTCCGCAACGGCCGCTCTCTCCAATTCTCATACCGAAGAAGTTCCGCGAGCCTTCCCCGACGCCATCCAGTACTGCTCAAGCTACTACCCGGACTCGTTCGACAACAGGCCCCCCACGGAGGCAGCACACATTATCTACGAGAGGCTCCTTGCCTGCGCGTTACCCTTCACCCCCTCCCCCATCGGATCTCCTCGGCCCTGCAGCTCAGTATCCATACATACCGGACGGCGAGTACTCGTGCCGCCCTGGCGGTCCAAAAGTATATGACCTGTTGAGTTCATTGGCACTAGAGCCGTTCGGTGTACTCTCGTGGATGATCGTGGACAGGGAGGAAGAACTATTTGAACTTGACGACGTACGAGATGAGGACAAGGTGATGATGGCCCTCTGGAATCGGTGGATTATGCTGCATCGGTGAGTCGTACGACGACAAGACATGGACGATCATCGACATCCTGTCCTGACTAGTGTGCGTTAGGTCCGAATACATCTTCAAGGGCTATCTCAAGGGGATCCTCGCTTTCGTAGACGAATATTGGCGCACAATACACCGTGCGGCCGGGTGGGGAGCCCTCCGCGCATTTCTCGTTGTACGTGTACCTATCATTGTGCTGATATCATCAACTCATCAGGTCATGAGCATAGATGCTTGTAGCAAATAGATTTTTGTCCGCCTCCGAAGTGGTCAAAGTGTTGAAACATTACGAGTCACATACAGGGATGGAATACTGGTACCAGGACGCCCCATCAGAGGAGCCAAATTAGTGGAGGTCGTGTCTCATGTAAATCTATCTCTATCTTCATTACGCTATCCGTATTGTCAAGTACAACTGCGTCGAGCTCCCAGCGAAGCTGTTGCCTACGTCGTCCAGGGTCCATGAATGAGAATAAGATGAGCAAACGCCCTCCAAGGATTCAGAATGATCATAGCCTAAGCACTCCCGCAGGCGGTGGAAGATGTCCAGCATTGATGGATGCAGAGGGCTCGGACGCCGCGAAAGTACAGTAGCACCCGCAGCCGGTAGCGCACTCCACTTGATGCATCGCTCTCCCCCCCAAGCAAGATACATGTGTTACATGCCCACAGATGAGGCAGTTATGCGAAATCCCTGATGCATCTTGTCAGTCACGTAATGCGGACGATGATCGTTGATAACCCACCCTTCGCCGGAAGACGGCAGACTGAACAGGTGGGCGGTCGCGAGTTTCCTCCACAGATCGCGCATTCCGTGTTGGAGTCGTGGTCGCTCTGAAGCACCCCGTGCTCGCAGATTCGGGCGCAACCTTGCATCGTTGGCAATGAGTGACTAGAATATAGCACTAGGGGCAATAATATACCTAGACGATCTCCTGCAACGGCAGTGTCAAACACTGCCGAGTCCATCACGGTAGAGAGCAGCTCCCTCTCTACGGACTTGAGCAGTTCTGTCCGCTTGTTAGGTAGACCCCATGCTAGGAGCATCTCTGCATATGCCAATACATGACATAGAAGCTGTGTCCGGAGGCTCTTCTGCAATAAAGATCTGTAAGGAGTGTACATGGTCAGGATGGACTGAGGGATGATTATAGTACTCGCTCACAGAGGATCTGGAGGCTCGAACGCAATGTGAACATTAAGCCGTTTTTGTTCAGGATCTAATCTAGGAGCCGACAAGACTTGCGAGAAGGTTGGTCGCCGTGTGTGCCCCGCAGAGGAGAAGGTGACCGTGGACGTCAACGAGGATATTTTTGGCGCTTCCGACCACGACTTAGTTATCGGAGGCGTACGTTGTACAGACGAGTCTCTATGCTGTCCTGGGTTTGGTGATGGATATCCACGTGTGACATGACCACCATCAGGAAGTGGGATGGGCATTCGGGTCTTCGGGCCTGCATGAAGTGGTGAGGCAGACTTTCATTGGAACGGGAGCGCTGTCGTACCTGTCATGAGTTGCCTCATACTATTAGTGTTGAACAGACTCGACCAAGAACCCCGTGACGAAGTGGGAGAGGACAGAGGAGGTGCGACGGGCGTCGGGGAGAGCGATGTGCGTGACCACATAGGAGACAATGAGATCCTGTGCTGGAGTGCCCTACGATACTCCGGGGTGTCGATGTCGGGCGTTTTATGTGGTTGGAAAGCAGCTACGTAAATGCGACATTAAGGGACCCTAGCACTGAAGAACGGACAGACAACTCACGCGAAGCTGTCGTGCGCAGGAGGAGGGCAGACAACATGGCTAGCATCTGTATGTCCTTGTTCTGGGACAGCTCTTGATACCTACGCAACTGGTTTGGGTGACTGCGACGATTGTGTAGGTCTGTCACTTACAGCTTCGTTAGAACCCGAACGGCTAGCACTCGATGGTCACGCGTGATGGTTGAATGCGACACATGCCCAGCGTGACCCGATTTCATCCCCTGCGTGAAGACAGCCTCCAGTATCCGCATTATCCGTTCATGGTCGATCCGGCCTCTTGCCTTCGCAATGTCAGCATTCTCTTTGCAGCAATCTGCAGGGTTGTCCACGGCAAACGTATACTCTGAGGCCATCACGGCATCAATGCCGACTAAACCAGCTGTATCCTTGATGAGAACAGAACTGCGCCTCTGCGGCAGCAGCGAATAACTGGCAGGTATGTCCTCCACAGGCCTAGAATGTTCTGAGACGCGCCGGGATTTGAGCTGCGAGTAAGTGAACAGGTTCGTCATGATCCGCAGGATATTCCCCGCATCGTCAGCTTGATTGTTTGCCTTGGTTGTCGAGGCGCGGTCCTGAGCGGCGTCCGTAAGCCGACGAACAGCGTCAGACAGTAAGGCTGGCGACTGGAAGAGTCGAGGAGCCGTGTCCGGGCCACGAGACGCTAACGACGGCGATACCGAGATTTCACGCATAGCATTCTTGACAATCCGTGGTGGTGCAGGGAAGAAGCATACCAGTTGACCTATAACACGAACTTGAGATCTACTGGCGGTAGCGCACATTGCCAAGACCACCGCTCACCATTGGGCCCGAATACACCTTGAGATGTCCGAGGCTCTGCGAGATTCTTGTCGGTCCTCAACAACGAGAAGCTAGTGCCCCGGTTACGGCGAGTCGATGGTGGCATGTCCTCATCCGATGAGGACTCTGAGTCTATTCCATTCCGACGGCCGTCACGTTTCTCGTCATCGCCAAAGAGCAGGAAGCGCAAGCATTTCTCTAGGCATGGTCTTTCCTTCTCCCGAATGACGCGTAGTCGTCGTAGGATGAATGCGCGAGTTGGCATATCAATGAGTGGAGTCCTGTCCATGTCGACTCTTGGAATGCCGTTCGGATAAGAGGCCTGAGGGTAGTCGCGGGGGAAGGTGAAGGTGGTCCGGATGAACACCGACGTGCCTTCGCCCCACGGACCATGCAAGCCGAAGGTGCACTTCCGCTTTTTCGTCAAATCTCGCGCGTCTTCGAGTTTGACCTTCGAAGTACTCAGTTTGTTGATGACGCTTGTGATCCTGCAATCGCGTTAGTGCACTTCTGAGCGCTGGAGGAAGTTGCCTGACTCGTCGTGTAAAGAATGGCCTGGTTCCCCTTCTCGATGGTCATCCTCTTGACTGCCTCTACGCTCGCCGTTGCGTTGTTTGTTCGACATGGCAAGAGACATTGACCGATTTGCAACCGATGGCGGTCTCGACGCCGAGTTCACGCGGGAAACATTTCCGCTCTCGGTCCCGTTGTTCGGGCCTGAGCTCCCTTCCCTCTTTGTCCCAAATTCGATGCTTGAAATCCAACCGTAAGGGGTGATAGGAGCAGACCGACCAGCGAGATGACCTCGGGTCATTGTTCCTCTCTCTTGTGCGATGGGGATAGGTTTCGAAGGCCCGCGCGACGAGCTGCTATCATTGTTCTCTTGTTGTGGCGCAGCCAATTCCCGCTCCAGTGGTAGTTTCGGATTGTTCGCATGAGAGGGTCGAATGGGAACCGGCGCTCGGACTTCAGCAAGTATACCTCGATGACCAACGGGCGCAGAGAGTTTGGGAGGCAAGTCGTTGCCGACAGGCGGATTGCTAAATGACACCTTCGTTTCGCGGCGGGGCGCTTCATGGCGATGAGGCTGCGTAGGTGTAGATAGTCCTGCTTTCTACAACACTCATGAAGTACCGATAGACACACAGGTGTTCGAGGTACTTACGTGCATTGACTCTGCGTCAATGGGCCAAAACCGGAGAGTCTTGTCCTTAGACCAAGTGATCAGCTGGAAATCGGAACAGTCTGATCAAGAATGAATGTGAGTACTATCCCAGATGCCGATGGAGTGAATCTCACCCTGTCCACCCCTTCGCCAAACGAACTCCTTAACGACGTCTGCGTGGCCTTGGAAGACATCTACCGGTATATGCGGATCGTCGTACGCATACATCTCCAGAGCGGTCTCACTTCTCTGCGGCAAACTCAGAAGGCCTCGACCGAAGGGCAGATCACGGGCTCTCCAAACGGGATAAGCAGTATGAATGTTGAGCTTTGGGACATGTCCGCCATCCTGTTGCACATCCTGCGTGTCCCAGAGCTTGATTGACTTGTCCAATGAACAGGTCAATATCTCGTTGCTCCGGCCGTGCACCCAGTCAATACCATAGATCTTTGCGGTGTGTGCCCTGATACGAGACACGGGGAGAGAACCTTTCTGTGCGAATCTCAGCGGTCGAACGTCGTACACCAGGGTCTAAGAGTGCGCACCCGCCGATCCCATAGCAAAACCTCATTTTGATGAGAAGAAGCCAAAAGATTACTATCTTGGCGGTTCCACTTCACCTGTGTACCACCAGCTGCACGATACGTCATGAGTCATTGACTTGCCGTGCACCCGAATGGTCTACCCACAACCAAAGGCGCATAGACCTGTTGAGATAGTTAGAGACTTCGTCCTTACGCACACAGGGATGTCGCTTACCCATCACTGGCTTTTGTGCCGCACGGAGGTCCCAAGCCCATAGCCATGAGTCGATCCCTGTGCTCACTACTACGTCGGGCTCTGTGTTGTGCCAGTTGATATCGGTGATAGCACGGTAATGCGAGCGTAGAACATGCTCAATAGACGTCTTCCCGGTCATATAGAGGTTCCATATGAGGCTAGCGAAGCTGTCAGACAGCGGCCCAAGCAGGGGTAATCTCTTCTTAAAGACATACAGCTTCTCGCTTGAGGTTGACACAATGTATTCGCTGCGAGAGAGGTGCGGATTCCATTGCACGTCGGCGACATCCCAAGTACCTCCTTGGGGAAGAAAGCTAGCAAGAGTTCGGAATCGAAGCATATGCGGAAAGCGGTGTTATTCAGACGAACCGAGGTACGTTTAGAGGCGCTTCCAAGTCGATGATGAAGAGGCCATTTCGTCTAGACAGACGTCAGCCAGAAAACACGATAGTGCGTGGGACATACGTCGCAAGGACTACATCCCGACTGCTAGGACTGATGCTCATCTGTGAAAAGAAATTATATCGATTTAGTCTTCCGTCGATTCGTGAACACGGTACTGTTTGCCATGCGATTCATAGAGGTAGCGCAGCACCGCCTGATGGAGCCACGGGCATGTCTGCAAACACCTCAAACACGCGGTTCATACATCGCATGTTCCTTCTAGCCCAATGACCACTATGAATTTGACGCACTCACATTGCCTACGGCATCGCCAACTAGCTTTTCCATGGTGATTTGGAGACTCATTCGAAAGTTGCTATCGTCTTCCTGGGAAACAGGCTCCATGACGTCCGGACGGATCGTCATCGCGCTCGACATGGCTCGCTGCGACTGCGTCGAGCAGATACCACGTTCAACCCTTATGTAGTGGTGACTTTCCCCGGCACAGCGTGGCGTTCGTCCTGATCTTCTTGTCAGAGGAGTTTGGGGGATCCACCACAGGAAATCATGGATTCAGAGGTTCTCGATAGACGGACATGAGGGTCGCGCTGAACAGCCGAGACGCGTGCGGCGTTCAAGTTGATGCTTTCAAGCTTCAAGACGCGACTAGTCTGTAACTCCACACACAATCAGCACGCCTTGCCTCTGACCTCGCCCATAGTTAGCGGCAAACTCTCTGACATGCACCTGTGGAGGACATCGTTATACATAAGCAATGGGGCTTGTGCGGCCAAGTCCACTGCCGGATGTGTATGTGATTCTGGAGGTTCGGGATCGGAGGCTCAGAACAATCAACACGCCCATTGTCGACGAACGCCTCATGTCTTCGCGCTTGCCCCTTGCACGCCGCACCCCTCGTGCCGTAATGTCTCTTCACCTCCTCTGAGCTTTATATCGCGTCTGCTGTCTAATCTCATCCTCACGACTCACGCCATCGCTTGCATCGAGAGTCATCCCAAAAGCATCGAACGCCAGCCAACTCTCTATGTTCAACGGCTTTCATACGCCAATGCCTCCCAGTGACGCTGAACTGGCCAGCCAGGCTCTCAACGAGGAATCTATCTATCGCTTCCGCTCATTCAACGCCAACGACGCCGTCACGCTCGGTCTCTCTCTTCGAAAACGGTTCCGAGCGTCTTCGCGTCACGCCAAGGGGAAAGGGCTTGTGATCTCTATTGAGACCATCGCTGGTCATACTTTGTTTGCGTGTACCGTCGGTGACCTGGGCGGGCTTTCCGGCGTCGGCGATGTCAGTCTTGACAGTTGGTCGTGCCTTGAGGTGAGTGGTCATGGAACGTATGTCGGGACGCTGTGTCCTACTGGCTTCCATGGGTAGGGTATGATTGCTGTTGTGCGCCGCACGGGTCACTCCAGCTACTACGTCGAGAAAGGCATGGGTGCTATGGGCAAGACGCCAAAACAGCTAGGTATCGAAGGCAACTACAGGATCAATGGAGGGGGTCAGTGTGCATGTGTCTCCGAAGTGACGCAGTGGCTGATCCGAGACTTTCGATTGCAGCGTTCCCTATTTGGCTTGAGGTAAACCCTCCTTCGGTCCTATCTAATAGGTGAGAGGACGCTGAAGAGCACAATATCAAGAATGCACCGTGCTGTCCGATCGCAGTAGTGGCATGCTATTCAGGATCGAGTGCCGACGATCATCATGTGGGTGTCCGTCTACAATTATGTGCCCTTGCCCTTCTACTAAGTCGCGCTTGGCTTCCAGATAGTTGTTGCGGCGGTCCGGGATTACCTCAAAAAATTGTCCAGGGATGACGAATTCACCCTGCCAACAGCCTCGATGCCGATGCCTGTCCCTCCAAGGGACACTCGAGAAAGCACCGTATGAACATTCCTCTCTTCCGTTGGCCCCGGTATTTATTAGGTATTATGAACAAGGCATGGACGACAGAGCCATCCAGTTCCACTGGGTTGTCATTACGACTTCACGAGCACTCCGAGCTTGAGTATCGCGACGACCACGACTTCTAGGCTGATGTCATGTATTAACGGATACGAGATATACGTATATTCAACGAACGACTGTGCAATCGAGGGCGAGTCACATGTAAAGAGAGAAGCCATGGGGAGTCTTACTCTGAAGCCTCCTCCTCGACTGGTTGCTTCAGCGGGCTCCTCAGCACCCGTATCGTTTCTGTCAGGGGTTGTTAGTGTAAACAGATAGCAAGCAGCACTGTTAACGAACCATGGCGCAGGAAGATTTGCCGCTGACCCTGCGGGCTATCCGCTTCAGCAACAGGGTCAGGCTCCCGCAGCTCGAAGTTGGCCTCCACATAGACTTGGGATCCACTCTTCAGCATGCGCAGATAGTTGTTGACACCCTCATTGAAAGACAGGATGCTATGCCATGTCGTCTTCGGATCATTACGCGCTGTCGTAGAGTGCGAAGCGCGTTAAGTACGACGCATTAGCAGTTGATTTGACTCACTGCCATCGGAATTGAGGGGAGGAGGAGGGTAGTTCGTAGTTGCCACGGTGTATCTATCCACAAACGTGCATCAATTCAACCTGAAGACGCTACGTAGAGGCTTGAGTAACGCACTGCACGTATTCCTTGTTGTTCCTGGTGTAACGCAGCTCAGGAACCTTGCCCAAGCGACCAATCAAGACGAGTTTTGCCAGGTCTGCAGATCGGGAAGGAGTGGTAGAGAAGGCCTGCCAGAAGTGGTGTCAAATGAAGGAAGACTGCTAGCGCTTCCTATAGCTTACCCTCGTGGATGCGCGCGTAGCCGCAGCAATGCGCTGCGAGAAGGCGAACATTTTGCAACAAATGGGATGAAGACTCGGGAGACCCTGGTGAGGACAGCGAGGACTCGCTTGATCGGCGAGCCTGAGCAGTGAGCAACGGCGGATGTGACGGCATGCACGTGAGTGCGTAACGTCGTGACGCAACCGCGCATGGCTTGAGCCGGTCTCGCCGCCAAACCCTCATTGCATCGCTCGCCCTCCCCCATCCGGGATATATCCTTATTTTTTCTTGATCATTGTGTGTATCTCGTGTATCCATAATGTCTCGTCACAGATTTGTACGCAATATCAATATCCAAGGTACTGCAGTATCCCCGTCTCTAGCCGCTGGATTGACGCGATTGTCCAGAGGAGCTCGAGGACTATGTATCGGATGGCGGAGAGGAAGACATGGACCCTGCAGAATACGGCAAGTATCCCTTCGGCACACACTTGCGCCATGTTGACCTCATTGCAGAACAATTGATTCTGGGGCTGGAGCAAGTCAGAGTAGCGATCGGATCCCCAGAACAGTCAGGCCTGTCAGACCAGGAGGTCAAGGATGCCCTGTATTACTACCAGTACGACGTTGATAAGAGCGTCAACTATCTCCTGGGTACGTTTTGTTGGCTGGGCTGCAATTGACATGGCTTGACGGGTTCACAGAGGAGCAGGAGAGGAAGAGAGCAGCTCAAGAGCGCAAAGGTGGGTCGTCGATGTCATATCTTATTCGTGTTCCTTTCTCCTGCCACCGTCACATTCCTACGAACCCTGCGAACGTGGAATTGAGGCTGGAGCGTGGTTCTTGTCCCCCGAGCGTACCCTGGAACGTCAACATTCACCATTGTCCGTATGACCAGACCCGGTAGAAAAGCCTCTACCGCCTGTGCCCCAAGACGACGAAACCGAAGCCCTAGACTATCAACCTGTATACCCTAGCTTTGTCCCCCCTGCCATGTCAGGTAGATCCAACATCCCGCTCATACGATTGGCGCAAATGCAAGCCGAAGAACAGGATTTTGATTACTCGGAGCCCTCGCCTGATTTTGTCCACACAAATCTCAGTACGATCGAGGAGAAGACCGAGCGCTCTGAGTCTGATGTTAGTCTCACACCACGTCCTCGGGTGCCCAATCTACCGCGTGTCTCGTACGCTACTTCGATGACATCAACGACAGACTACGGGCAAGTTATTGGTGTGTGATCTCCTTATTTTGTCATGTGTTTCTCTGAGTATTGTTCAGAACGCACATTGCCGAATCCTAACGACGTTGTTCCGTCTCCATCAACATCGGCGCTTCAACGACTATCATATCATGAGCCTGCTCCCTCCGCAACTCCCTCTGGGTCACGAACTCCATCCTCCAAGTCTCCCGAGCGAGGCACGCCTGTCCCTGTCCCTGCCATGGAGTCCATCCCGGATATACCTTCGATATTGACGAAGAAGTCCACGATAAAGCCTGCTAGCGAGAAGAAGTCCAAGCTCTCTTCCCTCGCGAGTTCAAGGTCGAGTGCTCGGTCGAGCGCGAGCAGTATCAGCTCGGGGTCATACACAACGGACGACGGGGACGAGTCTCTCATGACTTATCCTGGTCTCAGACCCTCCGCCGCATCCATGATGTCCTTCGCCAATGATGTCGACGACGCATCCACTATCACTGGTTCATCGTCCATGTCGTCCCACGTCCGTCGAGCGATAGCAACTGCGCTGGAGTTGGAGGCTGTCGATCAGGCCGTTGACAATACGACACCTATAGCTGGTGAGACTGCGCCACCGCCCCCGGGGCACTCTGTCGAGCAGCCTAGCCCCGCCCCAACTCGCATAGAGATACCATCCCCTCCACGGCCTCAGGCGCCAAAACCTCCCCGTCGGGTATCTCCAGCGGTCACAGCAACGCGCGAGTTGAGTCTGGCTCAGCCCTCATCTCCACCACGAGACACCCAGTCAAGCATATCCACACAATCCGTCGGGAAGCAGCCTTCCAAACTGGCCATGTTAGCCCAGGCCAAAGCTGCGCAACAGCAGGGGCCGTGGTTGCCGAAGCCGAAGAAAGCAGCTCCTCCACCATCTCACACTTCGTCAGTCTTGAACAAGACCCATACCAAATATTTGCAACCCGTGGCCAACGGCGGCACTGCAACGACAGCTATCACGACCTCCTACCAGACCTTCAGCAGCCTTATGTCCAAAGATCGGTCTATGCTGCCGCCTTCGATACCACCGGTCGCGCAGACGCCTGATGCGTTGTCGCCGCGAATAAGTAGTACGAAGGAAACAAAGCCGTCAAAGCTGACGATGAAGAGCAAGGCTGCGCAGCGAAAGGCTGGACGTGAATCCGAGCCTGTCCCTGAGGAACCACCGGCTGCACCGTTATCACCATTGTTCTCGCCACAAGCTACCCGCTCTCGTGCGTCACCCTCGCCGTTCGCCTCTATTCTCGTCGAAGAAACCGCTCTGATGACAATCCAAGACACCGACAGCCAACACACGAGTCGCATGGAGAGATCGTCCAGTCGGTCACAGGGTAGTGCATCTCAACACAGCTCGACGCGCAGCAAGTCAGAGAAGTCGAAACGCTCGAGCAAGCGCGACAGCTTGCTCCCTCCAGCCCCGGAGTTGGCAGCTCTTCGCGGCTTCGCCTTTGACGTACCTAGCCCGGATGACATCGTCTTCAACGCTCGGCGGGGGACATCGCTCGCGCCACGCTCTGTTTCCGGTGCTTTGCCTCTTCCACGTTCACCTCCTTCAGGACGTTCCTCTCTTTCCCATTCTATTGTTGATGCTGCCGCTTCTTAATTTATGGACGCTGACGATGTGCTAACTATTGCTATGTATGTCAATGAAATGTAGCTGCCAAAGAGCGCGAGAAAGCAGCCAAGTTGGCGCAGTCTAAGAAAGATACGTCACTGGCAAAACCGACGAAGAAAGCTACAATCGCTGCGACCGGCCAGAATCCACCCGCTAAACAAACGAGTGGTCAGGCCGAGATGGACATATCCGGTCTGAACCTAGCACCCAAGGACGAACCGATTGTGGAGGAAGAACCGCCGAAGGTTGCCATTGCCTTGGATAAGCTCCTCGAGCAAGTGAAAGCAGAACTGCAAACTCAAGAACAGGCCGAGAGGCGCGGTCTGAGTCTTGTTGTGATCGGTGCGATTGTTCGGCATTTCAAGCCACGATGTGTCACCTCAGACACTGTATGCAGGTCATGTCGACGCGGGCAAGTCAACCCTCATGGGTAGACTGCTATACGAGCTTGGGCGCATGGACGAGAAGAAGCGAATCGCCAATGAGCGTGGCAGTAGTAAGATCGGAAAGAGCAGTTTCAGTTGGGCCTGGGAACTCGACGGTACTACGGAGGAGCGTGAACGGTCAGTATAACGGTTTGTGCTTCTCGACTGACCGCTCACATATATGTACTTCTGCAGTGGTATTACCATGGACATCGCTCTGCAATCTTTAAGCACGCCGCACAGGGAGATCACGATTCTGGACGCACCCGGACACAAGGACTTCATACCTAACATGATCTCCGGAGCCTCGCAAGCCGATTCCGCTCTTCTCGTCGTTGATGCTGCGACAGGTGAATTTGAGGCAGGCTTCCAAAGAGGCGGGCAGACGCGGGAGCATCTGCTCCTCGTGCGGAGCTTGGGTGTAAGCCAAGTCGTCGTCGCCGTCAACAAGTTGGATCAGGTATGCTATACTCGTGCTACTGCTATGTAGATGACGCTGAGCAACTGTCTAGGTGCAATGGGAAAAGACGCGTTATGAGGAGATATGCGATGCTCTAACACCGTTCTTGATTCACTCCGGCTTCCATCCTTCCAAAACCAAGTTCGTCCCCGTCGGCGCAATGGCCGGCATCAACCTCACGACCCGGCAAGGTCCTGAAGCTGCAACCCTATCCAAGTGGTACTCCGGTCCTACGTTGACAGACCTCCTAGGTCAGTGTCATAGTGGGTGTGGTGTGTGCCTCGATACCCTGACAATGCCTTAGACGCTTTGGAGCCTCCATCACGGAACGTAACTGCACCACTACGGTTCCCAATTTCCAATGTCTTCAGAGAACAGGGTGCTGGACTAGGGGTTGCCGGTCGTATATGCGGCGGCGTCGTGCAAGTGGGCGAACGCCTCCGCATCCTGCCTGGAGACGGAACCGCGGTCATAAAGTGTACGTGAAGCCCTTGCACATGCTCGGCATTTAATAGCATTGGATTGCAGCGATCATGAGTGACGACAAGAGCTTGCCTTGGGCGATTGACGGTGCCAACGTCATTCTCTACTTGACGTCCGTCGACCCTGCCCACCTTGCCATCGGGAGCGTCCTTTGCCGCCCTTCCGATGTCATTCCGCTATCTATCTCTTTCACTGCGAGGGTCATCATCTTCGACATCGACATACCCATCACCGTCGGGGCATCGGTACGTCGACTCGTCATGAAAGAAGGCATGTATGAACTCTCCGTAGGTCGAACTCTACCACCACTCACACGACGTCCCCGCATCCATCTCGAAACTCCTCGCAACACTAGACCGAGCCACCGGCACAGTCATCAAGAATAATCCTCGGTACGTGCCATTGTATCGAATGTAAAATGACCTCGGTGAACTGCAATCTCGTCTATAGTGTTCTAACGAAGGGCGCATCGGCGGAGGTGCAAATCTCACTGCGTGCTAGCGGCACGTCCGGTCCTTCCGCAAAGGCGCAGCCCATTCCGATAGAACCATTCTCTGTGAATAAGGACATGGGCAGGATACTGATACGCCGTGGTGGTGAGACCATCGTAGCAGGTCAGTTGAATTCCTTTTGGCGACGATGTAGCGACATCGGGTGATTGACTCTACGCGTCCCAGGCATCGTCCTGGAACTTACTCAATGAATAACATGCCAAATCGTTTGTATAGACTGCAAATACACGAGAGCAGGCCATGTACGAATAGATGCAGAGGTACGGTGACGACCAACAGCCAACATGTAGTGAATCAATTCTTTTGAAGGAATTGCTACCATCCCTTGATCCATTGAATCCCACTTAGGTGGGTCCCTTGAACATAACCTACGACGTTGTACTCTTCTGCACCGAGGTTTCGCTTGCACTAAAGACCAGTTGTATTGATGTGGTGGTACAATGTTACAGCTACATGTCATCTCTTGCCCACACTTTTCTCGATCGGCACGTCGGCAAACTCTACGACATGTCAACTACACAACGAATGCAATCTCCGGCCTGGAAAGAAGACTTCAGACTAACGACTTTGAGAAAATGTGCAAGGACTTACGTGCATGTCGCTGAAGCCGGCGTTTATGTCGTCCAGCGTCCGGCTGTGAGTGACGTACTCGTCGATCTTGACCTTGCCCTGGAGGTAGTCTGTAACGACGGATAATTAGACAGTCATTCTCCTGGGTTCGGTCGAGCTTACCCTCGACAAGACCGGGGATCTCGGTACGGCCCTTCACACCACCGAACGCCGATCCACGCCAGGTTCGGCCAGTGACGAGTTGGAACCTAGTGTTTAGTCAGTACATGTCACAGCTCTGAATTATCAGACGACTTACGGCCTGGTGGAGATCTCCTGGCCAGCAGCAGCGACACCGATGATCGTGCTGACACCCCATCCCTTGTGGCACGCCTCAAGCGCCCCACGCATGACATGGACGTTACCCGTGCAGTCGAACGTGTAGTCGAGGCCGCCGTCGGTGATTTCGACGAGGTAGTCCTGGATGCGCTTGCCCTCCGGGAGTTTGGCCGGGTTTACGAACTCCGTCGCGCCCATCTTCTTCGCCCACGCTTCCTTGTTAGGGTTCGTGTCGACGGCGATGACGCGCGAGGCCTTGACGAGCGCGGACGTCGCGATGACGCCGAGACCGATGGCTCCGCAACCGAACACAGCGACGGTGCTGCCCGCTGGATCGAAGGACGTCAGTGAGGGGTATGCCTGGTCTGGTTACGCTAGACGTACGGATGCCTGGCTGCTTGACGACTGCTCCCCAGGCGGTGGTGATACCACAACCGAGCAGGCAGACACGCTCGAGAGGAGCCTTCGGGCTCACGGCCACGACGGATACATCCGCGACGACAGTATATTGCGAGAAGGTCGACGTGCCCATCTACCAACCGACGTCAACATCTATATGCAGCCTCATTTCGCGTACTCACGAAGTGGTGGATTGGCTGGCCCTTGCAGGTGAACCGAACAGACTCGTCCGGCATCAGACCCCGACCCTGGGTGGCGCGCACTTCATGGACTTGAGCATGAACATCAGCTTCCAGGTGCATATGTACTCACCGCTACCGCACAGGTTTGTCTTCCCGCTCTTGCAGAACTTGCACTCACGGCATTCTGACGTTCCGTCAGATTCACGGACCTGGCTCGTTGCCCACGACACTCACCAGCGGTGTAAAGGGGAATGACATGGTCGCCCTTGCATCCAGCGATATCAGGTACGCGTTGAATTGAAATCTCGATCGGAGACGTACAACAGAGACGCTCGTAACGCCTTCGCCGACGGACTCGACCTGCGAGCGGATCAACGACTGATGGAGGATCTCGAGATCACTGAACTCACAATTCCACCACCCTCGTGGCCGAGAACGACGGGGAACACGCCCTTACGGCAGACACTGCATGAGCTGCTAGAGAACGTGTCTGCGATGGTCGCTGCGTACCTCGGGATCCTTGCCGCTGCGGGTGTACTCGTCCGTGTGGCAGATACCTGCACGGTCGGGGATGAGTTCTGAATAGCGGACTGATCGGCAGGATGCCTCACCTGTGTAGAGGATCTTGATGCGGACTTCGTGGGCGCGCGGGGGCGCGACCTCGACCTCCTCGAGCTTGAGGGGCTCGCCTGCGCCCCAGCAGACGGCGGCCTTGCACTTGATGACTTGCCCTGCGGTGGACATGGGTGTTGTGAGAAAGGAGGACGGTGTGAGGGGCGATGTCTGCCTGGGTGGTTTATAAGGCGGGCGGGGCGTTCTTCCGTGGCCGGGACTTATCACTTGATCATCGCCCGTCTGGAGTCGGGAGGGGCAGGGTCGCTCAGGCGGTCATCCGCGCCATCTCGTGTACTCTCATGTCTTTTCAGAACATCTACTACAAGCGGGTGAGTCCGTGTTCCACCGCGTCCGCACAGACAGTCCACCCTCGTCCCCCAGGCGGTCGCCACCGCGCGCCCGTGCTATGTCTGCCGCAAACCGTCCACGACCGTCCTCGCGACAATCCAGACCGTAGACTTCCTTTACACATGCGACACACATCTCTCAGACCCCGGGTTCGCCAGTCAGGTGGGCCAGGCGAGCGACGGCGTGGGGGCCGGTGGCGCGAAGATGGGTCTTAGCCCGGACGAGATAGCCAAGGTGAAGCAGGAGTGGGAGGAACGGCAGAAGAAGCACGAGAAGGACACGAAAGAGAAAGATAAGGACGGGGACGAGGGCGACAAAAAGTCAGAGTCGGCGGGGGACAAGGGCTCCCAGAGTCCGCCCAAGGCAACCGGCTCAGCATCATCTACAGTAGCCAGTCCTCCTATGAAACCCTCGCATGAGCGATACGCCCTACACCGCGACATCTTCGCCTTGCGGCTCGCGGAGCATCGCAAACGAAGACAGGCAGCTCAGGCTAAGGAGCTTGCACCACGGCTTCCAGGAGCCCCTCGCGCAACCCTGCCGCCCGCTGCTTGACGATAGCATCCACATGCGTGCTGAGCGCGGAGTTCTTGCTTTCGTAAGTAACCGCTGTTCTTAATTCGGAAGTATTCGGAGAGTAATGCGCCTATCCAAACCTTTTGTCTGTCAGATGTTGCTGTCGTTCACTCTTCCTCTTGCTGTGTCACCACGGACGGACTGTACGGGTAAGAACCGAATTCCCTCGACTGTGTCTCGCAAATATAATCCTGGACAGACGCTCCGGTGTAAAGGGCGAGAACAAGTCGACAATAGCACTCCGAGCCCCCTATGTGAGCTCGGTCGTTCCGATACGCTGACAATTCTCGACTTGTGAACACTGTTATTCGATCGCAGCCGATCACAGGACGCGCTCCTCTGGGGCCTCGGTACTCTACGGATGTACCCACATCCCACACTCGGTCAGCTGAGCGTGTCTGGCGGACGCGAGACGGCGGATGACCACTGCTACATGCCCTTGGCCGTGCAATTTCGCGCGCAATGCTCCTGTTGTTTCCGAGACCGGTGCACTGGTCGCCCTGTCAGAGTCCACAGTGAAGAGGCGGAATAGCTGATTGAGTTTCATTTCGATGTCCCGAGAGGGTCCGAACTGCTCCCTTCTCCTTTGGAAGCTTGAGGTTTCTTCCGCAACGCGATGACAAACCAATCCAAGAAACGGGCGGCCGGGCGCCGCGACCGGAAGTGCCGGAAGGTGCAAGATGCACGGTGCAGAGTCGTGACTGGCAACACATCTACGCACATTCGTGGATGAATGGATTACAGCTTGTACAAGTCCGTCATTCTAACGTTAGCCCGATTGCGTATCCTATCCTGCACTTTCCTAGTCTGATCAATCGCGGAAAGGATTGCAGTTGCACACCATCGCCCTGACGGCGAAGCTCGCCACGCTACCCATCGTCAGTCCCATCACCAAACAGAAGCTCGCCACCGTCGCAGCGATGTCCACGTCCTCCGTGCGGCCCTTCAAGCGTGGGTTGTGCGCGACCGATGGTGCGGACATCATGCACATGCTCGACACGTACCCGTTTGTGACGCCGAAGAGCACCAGGATGAGCATGTAGAGCGCGTCGGACGTGATGACGGGCTTCATCGCGGTTGGCGACGCCCACTGGATGTTGCACATAAGGAAGAGCGGGATGAAGAGTGTGCGCGCGAGCGAGAACGATAGGAGCCGCTTGGCGGACCAGATGTGCAGCCGCGGAAGCGAGCAGAGCGAGCGGCCGGTGAGGTCGCCGATGTTGTAGACGAAGAAATGCATCGCGCTGAAGAGCAGCGGGTGCGTGCTCGGATTCGTGGATTGGATCGACACCGTGATCGGCGGGAACACGGACTAATGTCGTGGGTTAGCATGCGCACAGCCCCGCGACGATCAACTTACCAAGGTGACCACGAACACATAAGCCACAGCGAAGTTGAACGGCAGGTTGATCCTGCCTAGGCGGAGCATCTGTGCTTTGCCGCTACGTCCCTTGTGCGAGGGACCGCTAGATGTCAGACCTCGTCTTTCGTCCGGGCTTCCGAGGCTATCGGAGGGAAGCCTCCCAGGCGCGTGAGGCCGTTGTCTGGCGATGATCATCTTGTACGCAGGTAGAGTCTTCAGCCAGATATGCACTGCATATGTGACGAACAGGAACACTGTCGAGAGACCGAAGAACAGAGACGCCGACGTTTCCTCCGGAGTCCTCGAGAGCTCGTCGTCTCCTGTCTGAGGCGATGGGGGCGGCACGCGATGCGTGGATGCGGCCGCGCTGAGAACCTGTACACCGCTGACGGCGACACCGACAGCAGCTTGTCCGGACATGACGGCCTGCATGGCCTCATGTCCGAACAGCGAAGCAAGTGCGACCACTGAGCTTTGCAAGTATGACCCCGCAGCGGACTTGATCATGGCAGCGAGGAGGATAAGCGCGAAGAAGAGCCCTGGGTGGACGTGAATCCATGTGCTCAGCGTAAGAGCAGCAGTCACAAAGGCTATAATCAGCAGTGACCATGATATGCGACCTGTGCTGAGAGACTGAGGTGTTGGTGAATACATGATTTATTAGGGGCACAACATAGTCAACGTACTTGCTTGGAAGTAGCGGTCGCGTGCCCAAGGAAAATCAAATTGGAGAACATGAAAGCCATGGATAGATATGAGCTGAAGGACGCCTTCAGAGGGGACCCGTCCAATCTGGACATGAAGTACGGAGTAGCAGTGATCATTGCTCTCGCTGAGCGTCAGCACATGCGGCGCGACACGCAACCCGACGGACTCACCATTCCAGGGGAGGAGTACGGCACATCCCAGCACGAAGTGTATCGCGCGTATCTTGCCATCTACGACGACCTCTGGCGCGTCCTCCATGATATCCACAGCATCCTCCTCGTCAACCTCGCTGACATCAAGCGAATGCCTCGTAGCTGGACCCGCTGCTACGGGGGCCTGCGGTATCGGCTGATACTCCGCGTCGACGGACGAGGACCGTCTTGCTGCTCTTCCTGACATGGTGTTCCGTCGATATGTTGGGTGACGAGGAGAATGTGGACGTGGCGGAAAAGGGCTAAGGGAACATCCTCCGGCGTGAGGATATGGTCAACTAATAGTCGGTGTCGGTGTCAGCGACTCAGCGGTTCGGGAGCCGTACTCGGTACATGGATCGCACGCTGGATCTGGCAGGCACAGGGCCTCTGGCTTCGCGGGCCGCCGACCCCCGTCTATTGTATGGGCGCTCAGTGCTACCTCTCCCTGCTGAGTCCTCCGACTGCAGCTCTTGGTGGGCTTGTACTCGTGTTACGTATCAGTGTTTCCGCTGTGTGCAAATAGTTGTGCGGAACTGTGCGCCCCTGTGCACGGTCATATCCCGAGAGCCACCCAAACATAGTCTTGTATGACTCGGACGGAACCTCTACACCGTAACAAGTCACAGTCCGACTAGTGAAGAATCCTCCGAGATGTAGCTAGCAAAGAGTATGTTCCTGTTCCGTAAGAGTCGCAGTATGTACATAGCGAGCATATAAGCGATCCTCATACTCCTCGATTTACGAGCCTCCGCGGCGGTGATTGACCAGCAATAGCCCGCCACAGCCCGGCCAACGCAGCCAGGACCTCCCTTCGCCGCATCCCACTTCGCCTCCATGCCGCCTTCATAAGCGCCAACAGACACAGCAGGAATGATATGTCAAGAAAGAGCCGACGGACTACGATGAACGTCGGCGAGCGGCCGCGACTGGTCGCGAGGAACGCTGCCAGATGTCTTGCGAGGGTGGTGGCATGAGCAAGAGGGTGAAGGGCCAGCGACCACATGCCCATGTCATCTAGGTCCACGCCGGTTTGTTGACCCGAGGCCCACGGAGAGCTGCTCCCGTGTAGGGAGAAAGAGGTCGTAGAGCGTCGAGCGACGGCCTCCAGCGCCTCTATCCGCTCCGTCAAGGCGACAAGGGTCGCCTGTACGTGCTCGACCGCTCGTTCCAACGAGGGTCGCGAAGGTGGTCTCGGCTGCACACTGGGTATACTGGCATATGGCCGGCGTTGCTGCTGCTGGCTGGCGGGTCTGTACGCGACCGGCGGATGGTGGTACTCGGAGGTGCGGTCACTGGGCGGTGTCATTGGTGCACGGTCGCGATAGGATGTGAGACTCTGGTTGTACCCAGAGGACGCAGACGGACCCGCGAACGCTGACTCTGTCTGGAACTCGGGAAGAGGCTGGATAGCGGGTATATTCATACCCACAGGAGGAGGTGATATCATGGTAGATCCTGCCATAGGTGTGCGGTAGCGGCGCGAAGACATGGAGGATTGTGGGCGATTCATTTGGCTTTGCGCGTACACAGATGGAACAGGGGGAACTTCATCATTCTCTTCTTCGCCATCCTCAGAGCTGCTTTCGTCTGTCCGAGGGTCAGGCATTTGGCCTGGGACCGTAAGTCCTGCGCTCTGGGCGTTGCGCAGGTGTGCAGGCAGGGCGCCAGGTTGGTAAGGTGCGGCGGGATGATCGTCGGAAATTGTCGATCCGGAAGAGCTAGATCCAGCGGACCTAGACAGCGAGCCTGCCGGTAATAAGTACAGGAAAGAACGGTGGTGAGAGCATAGCGCGGACGCACCACTCATGACAATATTTGAAGGGTCCCCCGTGTACGACTCCAACTCCCGCACTAAGTCCATCGCCACAGTCTTGTCGGAATACCTCCGCAATACCTAAGAGAACTGTCTAGAGACGTCACAGAGACGGGACACTGGTCGCACCTTCAACAAGGCCTCGATGTATAGCCATTTTGCTTCATATGGGTCCAAGTCCTTATGTTTGGCCCATGCATCCCTACGGACGTACCGCTGAGCACGAAGCCGGCACGCGAGACGATCTGCGCGCGTACCATTTCGCCCGGCCCAGCATATCCCACACGCTCGGCCTCGGCGATTGCACATTGCCTACCGTGGCTACAATGGAACGACCCGGGTTGTTAGCAGATGGTACCCTGACGTGGACATTGAGATGGCAATGAGTACCTTGTTTGTACAGGCTGGTCGTATGCACACCATCACTGTCAGCTGTGGCGTCCTCGAGTGGGCATCAAGCATCACAAACCTGTACATCGTCAGTTTCTCTTCGTAACCGGTCTGTATCGGTCCATTCTTGGGTAGGCCCTGGACAATCTCCACTGCGCGGTCGAATTGCGCATCTATCAGCTCCCGTGAGTCCATCTCGTCTGGATCGGTGTCAGCGCGCGACCGAGCAAAGTCGTAGAGTCGTGAAGAGAGGACAGCTATAGCAAGCAGAACACGGTAGCCTTATGACAGCAAAAGCAAAAGAGCAATGTCTTGAGCGTGACTACCTGGAGTCGGAGGTAACAGGAAGACTGGCCAGGGAAGGTCGGAAGCACATTGGTGTCGTTGTGAGAATCAGCTGCTTTCGGGCTCGACGCCGAGGCTGCGTGACATGGCGAAACACTGAGCCGAGGCCATCTCTTGCTGTCTTTCTAAGTTACTAAATTCTAGTCGTAGGAAAGTCGAAGTCATGTATGTAGTACAGGCAGGCTCAAATGATCATTTACGGAGTGTATCTGCATCGTCCCGAAGGCTGAAAGCGGTCCAATGCTTAACACACATTCGAGTTCATACGAAACGACGCACTCTCTCGAGACTTACGATCCGTAGACATGGCGAAACGCAACTGTGTAGCATTGCCGAGACTATTATGTGTGCGGGTGGTGCCTGTATTCCTGGGGTGCTTCTGTGGTTGCTGCAAGTGCGGCAAGTCCTCCGAGTCGCCGCACTGGATGGCACCCTTGGGTCCAGGACACTCACATGGTACTAGAAATGTCCATTGGTCGAGTAGATGGACAAATCATCACATCACAGACGTGCAGGTAGATGGGAAATAGTAGCGAGTACGTTAAGCCGCAGCTTTTGGGGGTGAAGGCTGCCCTAGCCGTCCCCTGGATGCTCCCGGTGCCCACCGATACTTCAAGCCGCCAGGGATTTTCTCGTCCTGCTCACTGAGCCGTTTGCCTGCAAGGATCATACGGTCAGAAAGTGTATGGGACGAGTATATCTAGGACGGACCTCGCCATGTCAGATATCCCCAAGCCTTTCCATGTGTACCCTCGAGCTTCAACTTCGTCCGCGTCACCTCCCAGTAGCAGTCTGTTATGCCCCTCGTCGTCCACCGTGTCTGGTGCACCACCTGGCCTACACCATCTTGTGGATATCTCGAGAGTACCTCATAGAGGTTCCCTGGCCGATTTGAAAGAGACGGAGGGAGCTGCTTGGGGAGAAGACGTCGGATGGCACCCGTTATTCTGCTCATCCCGGTTGAGACAAGGAAGTAACAGTTAGGCCTAGGGTAGCTGTCAGCTGACTGCACATCATAGAACAAGGGGATGGACGTGGACGTGCCTTCTAAGAGAAATGAGGCAACTGCCGAGTGCCAGTGAAGGTGAAAGCAAGAGCGGACTTGCCACTTCGAATTGAGAGCGCCCGAGAGATCGGGCGCTTACCGAAGGCACTCCTTCCCTCTTACGCTCATGCAGCGTTGCGCTGTCCAGCATGTAACACTGCTCGCTCGTCGGCCCCTCCTATTCAGACCGTCTTATCATCGTCTTAGCTCTAGCTCTATTCCCTCAGGCGCTGTGGGTCACGACTTGTGCGGAATCCCCACCCAACCGACATGGTCCGTGAACGAGCTTCTGTCGTCCTACCCGCGACCATCCATTCCCCCTTCTACCCTACAAAGACTGCACGAGCTGTCGGCCCTCATACCTCCCGCTGAGGGCACGCCCGAACACGAGAATCTCACTCGTGAGATGGAGGGTCTGGTGAAATTGGTGGAGGCGGTGAAGCTGGTGGATACCAGCGGTCTGGAGACAGCGAGCGACGCACCCATCCCGGATGGCCGCATCTGGGAGGAAGGGCGGGGCATTGAATTGACGCAGAGCGACGACCTAGAAACCGATGGCTGGGACCTGCTTCAGCACTCACACAGAGTGCGGGATAGGCTGTACATTGTCGACGCAGACAAGCGGAAGTAGGGCCCTACGTTACATCCTTCAATTCGACCTTGCGTAGGTTTTCCTACAGCTTAAAACGGTGCTGGAGCCTGACAGTTTATACTAAGGTCTGTCATGCCGAAGCGTCGTCACCGTGTCCAGACATAGAATAGCGCCTCGTCGCGAACGGAGACATGGACGCGGTGGATGTTGACGATGTTGACTTCAATCAGTCCCGTGCCATCGAGCCCTTTGGAAGTCCATGCTGTCGTGCAATGTTGCGCTCTTTCACCAAGATGTATGATTGAAGCATTGCAATGGACACTAGATAGCTGAAAACACTGGCAATAGTCATAAACACAGTACAAGGATGCTCTTTCAGAGTGCATTGTGGCCTCCAGTTGAGCCAAAACCCCCGGCACCACGCAATGTCTCGTCGAGATCCTAGCCAGTGTCCGCATGAGCATACGGCGGTGTCGCATGTGCGGAAAGAACCGTACCTGGACCTCCAGTACGTCCGGTGTTACAACTCTCTCTAGGATAAGCTGGGCTACCCGATCCCCTTCCTCGACTGCGGAAATCTTTTAAGTACATTTCTCGGGAAGTTCAACATTACGAAGACACTACCTTGGAAGTCCTGGTCCGACAGATTGAAGAGAAGGACATAAACCACGCCGCGATAGTCAGCGTCGATGACACCGGCTCCTGTATCTATCATGAATTTGGACGCTGACCGAAGCATGTCAGTCATGGCGTGCAGAATCCTTGACTTGGTCTTCACCTAGGCCACTGCGGGGAGCCACACGCCCGTAAGTCCCAGCAGGTACCGCTATGGATATTTGCGTGTCGATGAGGGCTTTGCCACGCGCCGGGATGACTTTTCTCTCTGCACTACTCGAGTAGCATTAACTAAGGACAGAAATAGTCCCCGCCAATGCGCACCTGTACAGATCGTAGCCCGCAGCGAGCGCGGATCCACGTGTTGGTAGTTTTGCTTTTGGCGACAGGCGTTTGATGAGGAGGTTTGCAACGGGTGCCAATTGAACCTTTGTGTCGTCCTGCTCCTCGGACACTTTGCGTTTCTTCGCTGCAGTTTCGTCAGACATGGCGTGGCGAGTGGTAGTCTGTAGAACGGCGGGGAGCGCAACTCGCGAGACGCGTGATACGAACGACGCGGTGCCGGACTCTCAAAGCGTGTCAACTCCGCTCCCAGGCGCTAAGTCTGCAACTGTAGCGCGTCGACGCCGCATCACCGTCGACAACTTGCCAGTGTACAGAGTCATCTTGCTTGTCTGATGGATTTCTCACTTGCTGGGGAACAGCTCCCTATCTCATCATTCTTTACGCAGCGCGGAAGCCAAAGCAAGCCAACGGCGAAGCGTAAAGGAGATCGAGCGGACGAGACTGAGGACGCGCCTTCGAAGAGAACTAAGCAGAAGGGCCAACCACCTCATCCAGTGAGGACGCCAGCCGCATCCAAGGAGAATGGTCATTCGCGCGCTCGCTCGGGACCCGAAAAGGCGAACGTAGCTGTGCCTCCTGCCGCTACTGTACGTCGCGACCGTAATGCCAGTGAGGACGTGAATGTTTCCAGTCGTCCCAAAGGTGCTGTTTACCTTTGACGTCCCGCGCAGCCTAGCTAGTCGCATATGCCGTCCTTTGTTGCTGATGCCTTATAGATGCCGGCGACCACCATTATAATGCTGAGGCCTCGGCCGACCATGAGCCCTTTCTGACGCCGAGAGACAAAGGTCGACGCCCCATATATGCTGCCTCCACTCTCCCCACTCCGCCACCAACCCTTCCAGCATCTCGTACTCGCACAAGAGCTCAGCCTGCTGAATCGCCATCATCGACCCCACCAACAGGCAGTGCCAGCCGAATCTCGGCGGAAATCTCGATACCGTCCAAGCCGACAAGTTCTTCGGCGCCGCAGGTTTGTACCACCTCTTCCAAGTGTACCGTTGTATACTCACTGCCAGCACCTTCTCTACATCTAAAGATCAAGGCCGGAACGGACGATTCCCATTCTTCCAACATTGACAGTGCAGTATCTCCGGGGAGTACTCAAGAACGAGACATGAGTTATAGGCAACAGTACCACCTACTTCTCTACCCGCCTGGGTGGACTCCTCCTGCAGATATATCTATCCCTTCCTCTCAACCTCAGGAGGATGACCTGTTCCCCTCATCTCAACGGAGAGACGAACCTTTGTCGTACTCTCAAGACTTCTACGTCCCGTCATCTCAGTCTCAAGAACTGTCTGGGTTCAAGTCGCCCACTGTACCTCGAGAGCCATCGTCACCCTCACAACATCACAGCCAATACGAGGTCATTCCCTCTTCACAAAGCCAGGAACGCGAGTTTGTACTACCCTACGAGATCACTTGTGGCAGAACGAAGACATCGTCCAGTGATATAGTACCGACATCGCAACACGAAGAGCTTGAGCTATGTATGCCTGGACGATCGCAGCAAGCTGGAGATCTCTGGCTCTTGGGCATAGACCGTCCCGCCCCTAGGGAAAGCCCTGCTCCTCAGAATGGGCTGATCGTCGAATCGCCGGAGCCCGCGTTGTCCTCAAGAGACCGCATGAAAGAGCAACCTGCTATGGACAAGCGGCGAGTAGAGTCGCCTATGGGTTCCAGAGTTCCCTCACCGGTGAGGACTCGTGACAACGAGGCGGTTTCGAGGTGCGTATGATAGCCACTCTCGCAGCGACCTGTAGTTTGACAGTTGTACCAAGGAACAGGAGCGAAGACGCGGTCACTGCGATCCATACCGAGGACGGCGGCGACGCGGAGCCGTCATCACCTCTCACTCCTCTGACGCCCTCTTCGTTGGCGCCTTCGTCACCGAAACATGTCTCGCCATTGCGGCCCTCATCTATGCCACCTCCCTCATTACCTCCACCCGTACCAATGGTGTCGCCTATCGCGGGAAGAACGTACACCCCCTATGAACAACAAGCTTCACAAAATCCGTCATATCATGATATCAGCCAACGATCGTGCACACCGTCTCAAGTGCGCCAATTCCGGGAGATGTTCGAGGAATCGCACAGCTGGATTCCGAGCCAGGACGACCTCAGCTTCGGATCCCAAGTAAATCTCGAGCAATTGGCACGCGGGTTGCCAACTGGTACTCAGTCACAGACTGCCGCGTATCCCCTGGATCAATCTGAACACTCCAGGGAGATACGTATCGCTCGTAATCGCGCAAGCGAAATGTCACCCAGCAACCACGATTATCACGCCACCGACAATCGCATGTCCACGCAGGATAACTGGCTTGAGAGCAGAGACTACGTTGAAGGCGCTAGTTTCAGCTCAGATGGGTCGTCAATCCCACCGGTAGTAGACGACTTCTTGGCCTTGTTTAGCCAACCGGGTGCACATACCGATGATGTAGAGCGGTATGGAGACGACGACTGAGCTGGCACTATTTACGATTGTATATCATCATGCCCTTTGTCGAGGAACGAGGCATGCTCCACGACGAGGGCTTGATCCGTCTACGACCTGTACGCTTCACTCGCCAGACTGCGTATCAATAACCACATATTCGTGCCTGCCCCGAAATTCCTACGAAGAGTTGACCGATGTTCGTACATCGCAATTCAGTCCAATTAAAACAACCTCAGACTGGTTTGCCCGCGGTGCATATCGGCCGGGCTTGGGAACTCGGTCAGTCGAGTCTGGGCAGGGAAGGTCTCGTCCCAATTATGTATTAAGTATACCAATCGATAGTTACAATCGAAACATATGCAACGACGTACCTTCTATGTATCCGAAACTTCCCAGACTTTGTTGAGCATTTCGTGGCCGACCAGTGGGGTGCCCGGCCGAGATCCCGACCCGATATATGATAGTACAGTGAGTTACACAGGGCGGCTGTAGTCTGCTTCAAAAGGTGGGCCCCATACCGTAGCAGCCCTTAGGCGGAGTTACATAAGCATGTTCATCTCCGAAACGCGCATGTAAATCTCGACGCGTTCGACGCGTCGCGTCGCCTGTGCTGCCTCACGCCCACATTGCCCTTGCTTTGCCCCGTCCGTCGCTCGCTTTCACCCCGTCTTCTTGCTGCTGCGCCGCTATTGTCTCGCCCTCTCCCATCCCGTCGCCCGTTCTCGCCCGTCCCCTCCGCCTCGCCCATCTCTGCTGTTCCGCCCACTCGACCTCTTTTGATGCGCGGCATCGAGATGCGTCTGTAGACACCCCTCATGCCGCATACGTTGCCTTGCATTCTGTCGCGCCATCGCGTTGCAGAGTCTGCCATGAGACCCGCACGACCACCAACGCGAAGGTGCTTGCAAAGCCTTGGATGGCTTGGGTCGCGACGGCGACGGATGGCAACTCCGAGTCGCAGGTGCGGAGCGAGATGTTATCCTGCTCTCTCAGGAACAGCTCGCTACGCCAGGCTTCCGCAAGCTCATGGACGACAAGACCTTCGCCGCGCGAATCATGGCTCTCAATGGTGACGAGGCTCATCTGTTGTACAGCTGAGCTCACAGTTCCGACCGCTATCTCAGGACATTGGCAATGTTCATGCACAAATGCCAGGGGACATCATTCTCGTCGCCTGGACCGCGACAATCCGCTCGTGTCTACAGACAAGCACGATCGTGAACTTCCTGGGTATGCGGCAGTTCCTCTCCGCCGGTTGAATGCACGGTACGACATTCGCTGGGTTTTTCGAACTGTAGTTTCATCTCCGCAGAAGTCTACGGAGTTCTCTGAACTGCAATGGGTGCTCGAGGAAGGTTGGTGAGTCATCATCTTCTGCCAGACAATTGCACTCTCCACAGACTTTTGACATACCTCCGGAACAAAGTGAAGGAACTCACCGACCACGAGGATGACGTCCGAACGTTCATCTCGATTTGCAGTGCAACATATGTCGAACGAACCCTCGAACTCTTTCGCGACAACTGGACCCTCGGGAACGGCTAAAAATCGGTACAGACACGGCCTCCATGGCGTTCGGTATTGACGTAACGACAACTGATGACGTTGTTTCTCATGGATACATCTTGGACGACCTCAATGTCATGTTACAGCGCCCTGGGACGGTCGCGGTCGCAGTGCATGCTGAATCATGTACCTACCTCGGAACACATATGAACATGCGGAGGAGGCTCCGCAATCAACGATCGCAGAAAAGACGAAGGGACTTGGACGAGAAGCGGAAGAATTTGCGACACAGGTTCGACGTAGATAGCATTGCGTCCGAGTCCATCGACCTTGCACTTCGCGAGAATGACTCGTGCAACTAACCAATTAACGACACTGGGCTCATTCGGGGCTGTCTGTTTGTTATGTACTGCGAGACTGTGACTATGTACTGGATGCCAGCCTTGTTCGCCCGCGCCTGGCCCTGAAGAAATTGAACGAGTTATGATTATATCGCAGACAGATCTAAGCGCAGCCACCGGCCGAACTGCCCGAGCCACCGGCAGCCTGCCGTAGCCACCGGAATGGTTCGGCCATCAAAAAATGGGTAGCGTAAGGGCTGCTCCAGTATCAGGGACGCGTTTTGAAGCAGACCCTTAGAAGACCGCCCCCCCTGTCCGTACAAGAGGTCTTCTTTAGGGTCTGCCTAGGGGAGACTAGGGCGGCTGAGCCCTCTTCATCATTCCCATGTCGGCTTCACGAACCATGGCCCCAAACGATCCTCGTTTCCTGGTCGACACTCGTTTCGCTGAAGACGCAGATATCGGGCCATCTAGAAATGGGACAGACGATGAACTCTCTGAGGAGGAAGTAGGAGACGATGCGTCCGAAGGGGAGCGAAGCCAAGACGGTCTTGAGGAGGGCATGAACCCTGATGGTTTTGCTGGGCCTTCTGAGAAGGTCGTGAAGCCGCTCACCCCCGAAGCACTAGCAGCCTTCAAGGCTGCTCAAGAAAGGGCTGGAGTGCTCTACATCTCGCGCATCCCACCGGGTATGCGACCTACCAAGGTCAGGCACATCATGAGCGCGTATGGGGAGGTCGGGCGGGTGTATTTGCAGCAGGAAGGTGTGTATCGTTCTAGAGATCCATTCCTTGTAACTAACCCACTTTCACAGATGCAAAACGGGCATATCTGAGGAGGAAGTATACAGCGACAAAGAAAGCACACTTCACTGAGGGTTGGGTCGAGTTCAAGGACAAGAGGGTCGCACGTTCCGTCGCAGAGATGCTCAATGCTCAGCCTATTGGTGGCAAGAAGGGCACTCGCTGGCGCGACGACGTATGGACCATGAAGTACTTGCCCAAATTCAAGTGGAATATGCTCACGGAGCAGATCGGTACGCAGATTATGTCGTCCGACTGTCTCCATACTTACGACCATGCAGCCCATGAAGCGGCGGCGCATGCGGCACAACTACGCGTTGAACTATCTCAATCTCGACAAGAACAACGAGAGTATCTCAGGAATGTAGAACTCGCCCGAGTACTTGACAAGCGTGCTGAACGCAAACGCAAAGCTGGCGCCGATCCTGACACTACTACAGCAATATCGGCGCCCCAGCCCTCGCAGAAAAGCGAGGGCAGGCCTGAGCGTCCTCCACAGACGAAGCCCAGGAAAAAGCAAAAACAACTACCGGAGGATGGGGTAGACACGAGGAGTAGGCAATTAGACAGTGTACTGAATAGTATCCTTTGAAACCCCGCGATGATCCGTCAGTCATGGGCGTTTAGCGCTCAGAATGCCGAATAAGGACCTGTCAGGACAGTGAATGGACATTTGTAACTCCGTTTGAACCGCGTCAACGTAAGCAGCGCGTCGTCGCTTGCGTTTCACCATCGCGAACACATCGAGCTCGTTCGCTCAACGGGCATCGAGAACACCGTGCTCGTCGCTGTGTCGCGTCTCAAGAGGTCTGTGCTTCTATCATGCTCGCCTACTCTCTCTCACAGCTGTTCTTGATCAGTCGCGTTCCTCCTCTCCTCTCTGCGTTAGCGTCTTTCTCGTAGCATGTCCACTTGGTCTGGTTCTTCTTACCCTCCACCTCCCCGCGCACGTTCGCGCTCACGCTCTCCATATCGTGCTTCCTATCCTGCTAGACCTGGATATCCGGAGCCTGGGTATCCTCAGGATCCCTACCGTGCCGATTGGGAGGCATATGACAGGGAGCGCGCATGGGCTACGTACGAGAGAGAAAGAGCTGCGTATGAGTATAGTAGGCGTGGCAGGAGTCGTAGCCCAGGTCCAGACGAAGGTGAGGACTCCTTGCCATTTTTCGAGCTGCCCGGTATGCTGACTGACGTGCGTATAGCTGGCAGGAAGCGCCGGCGCTCGTTATCACCTTGGGAGAGGGACAGGGATAGGTTTGAGCCAAGACCTCGCTATGGGGACGATTATGGTGAGTGGCAAATGGAGGCTTTCTTCACATTTGTCTTGACTACGTGAGTGTTTAGACGCGCATACGCGTGGGTATGGGGGATACTCTCCGCATCGTGGTCAATATCCGCCACCGCCTCCGTATGGATCATTGCGACGAGCCCCTCCAGACCCGCATACCCTCGACTATTCTGCATCACTGAAACAGTATGCAGAGTGGTTTCGGTACTACTATCCTCAACAGGCGACGGAAGAAGACAACGCGGACAAAGCTGCCGAGCAGGAAGCCGGCGACGGGTCCAAACCTCGCAATGGGATCAGGTCACGCTGGGAGAAATACAAGAAGGAGTTCGCCGCTCAGCAGGTTCGTACTACCCGTTCGGTATAGTGTCAATGATCTGACATTGTGTTTAGCTGCAGCGGATGTTCGAGCATCATCGCAAGTCTCCTTGGTTTGCGGAGAAGTACGACCCGTCTCCGGAATTCGTGGCGCTACGCCAGCGAGTGAGGAGAATTGGCTGGAGAGGCCGAATGGACAGCTTCCTTTTGGACCTTGAAGCCGGGAAGTACGACCCCGATCTCAACGAGCCAGAAGCAGAAGCAGCCTCCCCAGTCAAAGAGTCGGCTTCTAACGGCGATACAACGGCCGCTGCTGCCGATGCCGGTACTGCTCAAGCGCCTGCTGAGGAGGCGAAGCCTACTGTTAATGCAAGCAATGCCGAGGACGACATGCAGTTCAATGTGGAGCAAGAAGATGACACCGGGGAACAGGACGCCAATCGTCAGGATGCTGGTAAAACGTCGGCCGACAATAGGCGTAACGTTCGTGGAGAGGAGTATGCAGTACTGCCTGAAGGCAACCAAGTGATGATCCGTACGATTCCTCCCGATATCGGACGTGTCAAGTTGGAAGAGGTGCGTCTGTGTACGGTCGCTGTCCGCCAATGTTCTCATCTCGATCTCTAGGCTTGCGACAAAATTCCAGGATTCGTGTATCTGGCGCTGGGTGACCCTCTGCAGAAGAAGAACTACTATCGCGCAGGCTGGCTGAAGTTTCGCGACGATGCTGATATGCCGACAGCCATGGCCGAGCTTGCTGAGAAAAAGGTAAGTCCTAATTGATCGCGTCGGCCCTACCGTTATTGATGTATTGATATAGATCGAGGGCTTCAAGTTGCACGTCGCCCACAATACCAAACCTTTCACGGGTAGGATACGCTATGCCCCTGAGGTTGCTAGTAAGCCGGATCGGATATCGAAGGATCTCGCCAATGTAAAGATCCTCGCTGCCATTTTGGAGGAAGAGTACGAGACCTTGAGGACACTGAAGATCCAATCGAGGAAAGACAATGGCAACGAGGCTACTAACGGCGACTCCTCGAATACCGACGTAGCAATGGCTGACGCTACCGGCGCTGCTGAAGAAGACCCGGAGCCTAAAGAACGGGGTAGTGAGGCAGTAGAGAAGCGTATTGAAAAGGTCATGGCCAATCTGCGTGACCAAGGTTTGGTCGATCCGGCCGACGAGAAGGCTATGGAGCAGAAAAAGGTGGGTCGTTAGCCCTGGTCCGGTTCTCACCTTCGCTGACTGGAAGCTCATAGGCTGTGGTGGCGCTCGACTTGTATCTTGCATATCTGCGCGCTGCGTTCCACACATGCTATTATTGCGCGGTAGTAAGCGATCACGTTGAGGAATTGCAGCGCAAGTGTGTGAAGCACGTGAGGAAACCTATGTCCAAAACTCTGCTCGAGGAAGTCAAAGCCGCGGAAGCAGCACAGGCGCAGAAGGTTGAGGAGGAGCAGAAGGTCAAGGGCGAGGGAGAAGAGAAGCCAAAGGACGCGAGTGGCAAGGAGAAGTCGGAGAATCGCGACTGGAAGCGAAACGGTGAGCCGAGCTTCGACTATCCTACGGCGTTGCGCTAAATCAACGTACACTGCAGACGAACGTTGGTTGGAGTGGCTGGACTCGAAGGTAGCTCTTTTGATCAATCGCGATGGCGTGGACCCCCGGGATTACGCTGGCAAGAACTATGAGGAGTACGTCTTGTTGGCTTTATACGATAACTTACCATGACTGACGCCCATCACACTAGGGAGTTGTCAAAGGCTGCTGAACCCCACATCAAGCAAGAGGATGAGGGCAAGTTTAGGTGCAAGACCTGTCAGAAGCTGTTCAAGGCGACCTCGTTCGTTGAGAAGCACATTGCTAACAAGCATCCTGAGCTCGTGAAGTATCTCGAAGAGGTAGGGGTCATACTGGTATGAGATGGTGTCCGGTTGACCCATCGCTCGTCCTCCAGATACCATACTTCAACAACTTCGCGCTTGATCCTCATCGTATACAGCCTTTCGCTCACCCACCTCCGCCCGTTGGGAACAGTCAAGCGCCCCCACCTCAAGCATATGGGCTGCAAGGGCCAGCGTACCCTGTAGCCGCGGATTACGGACGAGCACCCCACCCTGCACCGTATGGGTATCCGCCCCCATACTCAAACGCTGGTCTTTGGGATCCGTACGCGTACCCATATGGCCCCAATGGTTACCCTCCACCGCCTCCGCGTAGGGATGACGGTGTGACAGCCCGGCGACTGAGCGACCGCATAAGCGGGTATGCACCGGGTTATGATCCTGCCGTCGAAGTGCCTCCTGTCCCTGCCTCGGCTGGCTTGCCTGCGAAACCGGTGGCAACCTTGGAACCGGGACCAGGTGGTAGGCGAGGCGGACGCAACGGAAGCGTGAGCGGTCCCCCACCGCCGCCACCGCCCGACGCCAAGGAGGACCCCAGAGCGAGCGCAGGACGGAAGGTCAGTTACCACGACATGGATCTGGTTGCCGAGGGGGACGTGGAGCTACAGTATTAAACCGTTGTGTACCTGATATTCGGGGCTGGTTACTATCAGATTTGATCATGATTTGCGTGGTATGTGCGTGTGTTGGGCGTGGATCACCAGTCTGAAGACCTGTACGGCGAGCAGCCTCTGCCTCATCTGTCGAAATGTTATATGTGCCTCACCGCAGAGAATACGAAATCCACTTCCAAGCATCTCCGCCAGGGACCACCACGACCCAGAACATTCTGGGCAGGCTTGAGGCCGCATGCTGTGGACATTGAATGCAGACGACGCACTGCAGTAAAACAGTCGTGGTTCGTCGCCGCTGCGCTCGGATTGATTCAAGGTAGTTGAATCGGTGTCTCCTGGTCCAACCTTGTTGCACGGTGGCACTGCCGAGAGACTGCTCGCCAAAGAGACTGAAAGTATGTGTCATGTTCTGCCATCATCCAGTCTGAGCCTGCAGACATCGCACGTCGATGTATTCAAGGGAGAGCAGAGCGGTGCCAGTGAGCGGCTGAGAGGCTGGGGGCGAGTGTGTTTGCATCTATTTGTCCCGCACTCCATACTGGGCCATCCGGGATCACTGCGCCCAGTGCTCCCGCCACCGCAAGTCGCCAGGGCCTTCTTGGGGCTTCCTCCCAGCCTTCCCTCCGAGTCCTCGCTCTCCTCCTCGCTCTCCTGCTTCTCTCCCTTTCCGCCATCCCAGCATCTACTGGCAGTGGCCGACGCCCCTTTAGCTGCCGGATCTGGCGCCTCACTGACTGCGGTCGTAGGTCATGTCTGGGGCGAGACTGCCCGCAGTACGCCTGCCGTCCGTCATCGCAAGCCATGGGACCGACGAAGAACACCTTGGAGAGAGTCCTGTCGTGGTGGACCTGCCGCCGTCGAACAAATTTGGATTCGCATGGCCTGTCGAGTCTGCCGCGCCGGTTCAGTTACAGGTAGCGGCCGAGCGAACCACCGGTGTCTCATTCAGCTCCTCGGAAGGTGAGACCGACATATCCGAGGAGGAGCTGAGCCGCCCTACCAAAAGGTCCGCCAAAGCAGGGGACGGAGAGGAATCCGAGTTCGTTACGCCCACGAATCACTTGGACTCTGACCAGAATCCTATGGATCAGGCGGCGCAGAGTTCCCCGCCCCCTCGCTTGTCCAGAGCGTTCTCCATGCCTCTTCCTTCTCAACTCGGGTCCCTTCGGAATCCACGGCGCGTCGCTTCCTCCCCGGACAACGATGATACGACCACTATCATCCAGCTACCTCCGGAGTATGCTCACTTCCACGAGCTGTCGCTGGAGCTTGCAGACTCGGTGCAGATGGTCATACAGACCTTGCTTCAACTATCGCCTCCTCAAGTTCTAGATCCCGCCAAGGAGCAGTTCTCAGCATGCTCACTCTCCATCCCAACGCCCTCCGTATCTGCTATGTTTACATCTATGAAGAATCTAAATTACATGTCCGCCAACATGTCGGCTCTTAGTCTCGATCCTCCCGTCCAACAAGCAACTACTGCAGGCGAACGTCTTGGTATGCCGACACTTCTTAATGACTTCGACATTGGTGAGATGTTGCAGAGTGCGGGTGACGCATTGAGCGGTGTCGCCGCTCAAGCTGGGGTCGATCTCGTGTTATTCCATGGTGACTTGGGGATGAAGCACGTCGGGGTGAGGGGGGATGAAAGTGGTCTCTCGTATACCCTGTCGCATGTGCGTATCGAGTTACGTTTCTTGTGTTCATCTCAAATCTAACAGGAGGGGAAGGTTATACGCCAGATAATCGCTACATCTCATCCAGGGGACACCATCGAAGTAGGGTTGTTTATTGCCGTTGCGTCAACGTCTGCAAACGGTGCAGATGCAGGTCGAGCGTCGCCCTCAAGCGACGCTGAAGGCCCATTGCGTTGTACGTTCCAAATAGCGCATGGGACAACAGCGGCCAATTCAACGCGAACGAGCGACGCGGGTGCGTCCGAAGCTGGCAGCGCGCCTCCATCTCCATCAACCGCCTCCTTCCGATCACAGCCGTCCTTGAGGAGCCTCTTCCTGCGGCGTCTGTTGAGCCATGTTGGCGCTACTCTGGAGTTGGACGTTCAGCCCAAGGGCGCGTTACCGGCGGGCCGTTTTTGTGAGTTGGCTGTCAACTTGGATCGTGGTTCGCCAGCTGTGGTCGATCCTACCGTGAGCGGAGCGGCCGAGGAAGCGCTCCCTGGTTCACCGGAACTGAAGATCTCGCACGAGCCGACACTGGAGCAGTTAACACAATTCGCCGAGTCACTGCGAGGGCGGAAGGCAACACTCTTTGCGAACTCGAAGGGATCATTTGCGCAACATCTCACGAGTTACCTCACCGCATGGGGAATGGACGTCAGCCATGTATCAGCCGAACCGGACGCAGATACACTCCCTGAGCACATGGAGGGGAGTCCTCAGTCCGCCTCATCTACTTCGACGGGCAGAGACGATAGCCCGTCTTCGGCGGATGCAGAGCAGCCTACTGGACTAGCCCCTCCTCCTTCTGGGATCCCTGGACCGGAGCCATTGTCGTTTTACCTCATAGACGACGACGTCTCTGTTTTGCGGGAAAGGTTGCAGAAAATCAGAGCAGAGCAAGCGTACCCACTGCACCTGAACACGCGGAAACGACCGTCGCTTGCCAACCACCACCGCCCTCGCTCATCACCGCAGGTCGCCCGCGTGATGGGACTGACTCCCGCGACGACTGCACCCAATTCGCCTTCGCCCGTCATCGTCCACTTCACTTCCCTCTCGAACTTCAAGCTGGTCAAGGATGCTATCCAGTCGGTGTTTGTGCCTGGCATTGGCGCCGCGTCCCGACTCCCCGAAGTCATTGTCATCCCCAAGCCTGCTGGACCACGTCGCGTTTTGACGGCATTACACACGGCCATTACGAAGCCTATCGTGGACCCTTTCTTCTATCCTACCGCCACTTCTCCCATTAGCCCCGGTTTCCACGCTATGACCCCCTTCTTCAACATGCCGAATGCCGCCAGATCCCCCGGTGCCAGGTCGACTACGAGCATTCGGACGACGTCTGACAAGTCTGCCAGGTCGCCAAAGGACCACACTCCATCGTCGCCACGAGGTGTGTCGGACACGATGGAGTACTTTTCGGACGCGGCTGCCAAGCTTGGGACTTCGCCTGCCTCCGGCCTCGTTATTCAGAGTCCCGACGGTCAACCCGCAGGTATTTTCTTCCATCCGAAACCGAAAGGCTCGGGAAGTAGGAGTAATTTACCGACACCTGCGTCTGAACGGGGTGCCCCGTCTTACGAGTCAATGGGGCGCACTCGTGCAGTGTCGTTCCGTCGTCCGCCAGACGACGTGAAGGCCGGCGGCCTGACGGCTGGTACATCGGATGTCTCGCGGCGAGGTTCACGGCCGCCTATGCCGGAGAGCACCGACTCTGATGGGCGCGAGGGCCAGGAAATCCCGTCGATGGGCAGACGGAAGTCGGTACCTGCAAGCGAGGGTCTGCCGCCATTGTCCACGGAGAGCCCTATCTCTGCTGGTATCGTGGTCGGATCTCCCGTCGGTGAGCCGTCGCCGGCAACGTCCTCGTCGTTGCGGAACGTGCCCCGCAAGGGTAGCCAAGTGGACCCCCTTCATCTGCACCTTCCAGATCCACCGTCTCCGTCTGCGTCTGTGCGTCGACCAAGACGGAATCTGGACAGCCCAGCTTCAGCCCTTGCCACGGTGCAGAAGAAGGGCAAGCCCAGTGACACCAACATTGTGCCGCCAATCAGTGTTCTCATCGTCGACGGTATGTACATAACACGTTATCGGCGCATGTCATCGATAAAACTAACGTGTCCGTTTATACGTGTGCAGACAATCCGATCAACCAAACGATTCTCTCCACCTTCATGAAGAAGAAGAAGATCAAGTTTGATGTCGCGAAGAATGGGGAGGAGGCTGTGGCGAAGTGGCAGACGGGGGGCTTCCATCTAGTTCTCGTGAGTGTCTCGTTGCACTATTTCATGCTGCGGTCACGAATGCTGACACTCATTCCAGATGGACATTCAGATGCCTGTCATGGACGGTATCGAGGCTACGAAGCAGATCCGACGAATGGAGAAGTTCAATGCCACCGGGGCTTTTCCGTCAACACCCCAATCTGAAGGTCAACGGACACCGTCAGAAGCCTCGCTCAGCGAGTCTCGCTCGTCGACGATGTCCACTCCGCCGTACCGGTCGTCAGTGATCATTGTCGCCCTCACGGCTTCCTCGCTGCAGAGCGACCGAGTGGCCGCGTTGGCTGCCGGGTGCAATGACTTCCTCACGAAGCCCGTGTCGCTCCACTGGCTGAACAGCAAGATCATCGAGTGGGGTTCTATCAAGGCCTTGCAGATGTGGGCGGATATTCGGCCGGAGGTGGTCAAGAGCATATCGTCCGGTCAGGCAGCACAGGCGCAGAAAGTCGCACGCAGGCTGCATGTCCCGGAAGGCAGGACTCCCACCGACTCCCGTAGTCGATCGTCCTCTGTGTCTCGTAATAGGCAGGGGTCTGCCGAAGGTGCCGCGGCTGCGGCGAGGAAGCTCGCAGCAGATGACAGGACGCCCACACAGAACATGCCCATGCCTGCGACCCACGATGATTCTCCAGGCTCTACGAGCGGATCGTCATCCGACTCGGTGAACATGCCGCATGCGCCATTGGCAGCCGAAATCGCTGATCGTGAGTACCGTTATCTCGCTCATCTCGTCATTGAGCCAGATGTTGATCACTGACGGTGGGTGGTCACAGCTCTCGCGGAGCCCGAAATTGCGGCCGGAAGTGCGTTTCTTGGGGAGCTAGAAGACACCGCTACTTCGTCCGTGCAGAACCTCCGTACGTCGCGCTGACCTCACGCCTGAGGAGTTAGCTAATGTCCGATGTGCAGAGGGCGAGGACCCTTCCCGTGAGGCCGTCCCGGGGGCGTTCCGGGCTTCTGGACCGACCGAGTCGCTTCAAAATGAACCGCCGGTCTTGGCCGCCGACACACAACACCCTGTGACACCAGCTCGAGACGATAATGGTGCCAAAGAAGGACAAGAGGATGCACTGCCGGAGGCCGGCGACCCTCCAGTAACAGGCCGCGATGGCGAGCCGCCGGAACCGCCGCCAGAGCCGCAATGACGGTACGGGGCGACTCTTGGGCTGTTTGCATGGTTTGCACTCCCATTCGTTTTACCCTTCTTGCCAAGGGTCGCCGGGTTCTTTCGCAAGTTTTTCTGATGTTTTCGTTTTCTGGGGTTTCGTGTGGGTTGTATCGCGGTGCTGGGTCTTTCTTTGGGTTAACTGGTCCTAGGTCATCTACGTATGTTGTCGCTGCTTATACTGGTTCAGGTATGATAGTTCGCATTCACGCTTCACGATACACCACGACCATTTCGCCATTCGCGCTCGCCTAGCGGACTACTCTACCGCTGCCCTGCTGCTCTCGGGCTGCCTGATGGCGGCTATCTCATTGTTCTAATGCACTGTATCCAACACGAGCACGGACTATTCGCGTAGAATAAGTATATCCCATACACGAGACGATATATCACACGTCTTTGCTGCCTTACGCCAAGCACCGCGCACGAAGCTGTTGTTGAGGCGATCGGGGTGTGCTGTGCCTCGCGTGTCAGACAGCATGACACGGAAAGCGTCCGCGCTGGGAGGGGTGATGGGAGGGTGAGTCATAGGGATTTCGTTGTCGAGGGCGATACGCGCCTCGAGGAAGATCAGTGGATGACCCGTGTGCGCGTCTGTGCGCGCTCCTGTTTCGCGGGACGCGTGTGCTGACGGGCGCGCTCGACGTAAAACGGTGGGTGTCGCCTGTCGCCGCTTCTGGGGGAGGGGGATCTCTGGATGCTCGCCACTGCTCGCGTCGCTCTGATGACACGCGGCCGCTGACCGAGCGGTATGCATCCGCGCGAGGCAAGGAACACTGCAGGAACCGAGCAGCCCGCGCGAAACGATCGCGGGCCGCTCTGTTGCCAGTCCGCCACTCCGACCCCGCGAGAGGGGCGCACCCGTGACGTGACCATCACGCTCCCAATCTTCGCGGAGGCGGGTCGCGCGCTAGCCACTCGCCCAGATTGCTCGCGCGGCCAGTGCGGACTTCGACACTGGCCCTGCAGCCCGCTGCAGCGTCTCTGGCTCGCGGCGTGGCAGTGCGCGGTCAGCGGGAATGAGCGATGGGGCAGGCGAGATGCATGTGCCCTGGGAAGCGGCAGGCCGCAAAGCAGCAGCTGCAACCTCAAGGCGTTTATCGTCCAAAACGGGCAACTGCTCAAGCGGACTCATGAGCGGACTTGGTGCCGAGCGACAACACGCCCACTTCTTGTCCTCCTCCTGCCTCCTGCCTCCTCCGTCCCTCCGCCCGCGCGTCCGCACCATGGACGTCAACCTTCACCACCACGACCCCTCCGTCGTCCAGAACAAGCGCACCTCCATCCACGAGCTGCTCAACCCCGTCGGCCCCTCCCTCGACCAGCAGTATGCACAGCAGCAGCAGCTTCCCAGCCTATCGCATTTCATGCCCCAGCCGCACCCTCAGCACGTACAGGCCATGCCCCCGCCTCAGTATGCTCCCCCCATGAACTCCCAGCCCTCGTTTAGCCTGCGCACTGCGAGCTGGGACCAGCAGGCCACAAAGGACGACCTCGTTCGTCGCCCCGAGGATCCCAACGCGTGCCGATTTGGGCCCCCCTCCGTGCTATCCCATCATCCGTACTATCAGGACTCCTATCCCCCCGCTTCTCGCCTAGCCGAAGAAACGCACTCCTATGCGATAGATGTCTCCCCGTGGTCTACTGCGTCCGAGCAGGCGAACACATCCTATCCCATGTATTCCAATGACCGCACAGGTACGCCTTGGCTGTATTTCTTCACGCGCTCCTATGCCGACAACACACCACTCTTCAGCAATGTCGAGCGCGTCCGTGCCGCGAAGCCCGATGCCTCCTCCGCACCCAGCATCGGTGCCCTCTCACTCGCCCACGTCGGATTATGCGCCGCAGCCCCGGCACTACGAGGAAGACCCACAGTATGCGCCTCCAAATGGTATCTTTGCACTGATTATCGTAGATGTGAGCAAGACTGCTGACTCTCGCTTTCGCTAGATTGGCAGAGCAGCGATCGCGCTTCCGTTCGACTCGCGCAAGTTCGCACGGCGCCGCCGCAACAACTCCCTCCAATGATTGTACCAATGCACTCCCAACCCTATCAGGCTCCGACACACGTTGGCTATGCCCCTATGTCTTTCGCCATCCCGGTTTCTCCATATCCCCCGCCTGTACCCGCGACCCCCAAGAGGCAATATGAGCACAGCGATGATGAGTCGTCGTCAAAATCAAAGAAGTCGCGATCAACCGTGAAAGCGGCGAAGCCCGCAGAGGGTGCTGGTTGGTCTATGCAAGGCTTTCGCGTCATCGCACTCTTGCTAACTCCATCGTAGCCCAATCAAGACGCGGCTACAGCGCCAAGAAACGCAACGAAGCCGCACAGATAGCTGCTCAAAACGGTGAGAGCCTTTGTCGGGTATAGTGGCTTGTGGTCGGCATACTCACGGCATTGTGCAGCTCAACTGTTGCCTACCGTGTCGTATGCACACGTGCCCGAGAAAGGGAAGGAGAGGACCGCAAATAATAACAGTAAGGCAAGGTTACTTGACATGATGAGATATACTTATCCCCGCTTTAGCTCAAGGTCCCATGAGGATAGTGGGCCGTGAAGAAAGCACACAGTTTGAGAATTCTGGTCCACTCCATCCGGAACTTCAGTTCGCACGATGCATGTCCAACCGCTACCGATCGGAAGAATTCCCTCGCTGTGTATCCTGCACTCGTCGATGGGCCGGCGATACCTGTCGCTTTCAGGGGATACGCTTCTTCCTCAAGAATGACAAGAAACAGATTGTAGGAATCAGCTTTGTCGAGAGCCAGAAACCCGATGCGCCGACGATGAACTTCCCTAACAAGTGGAACATCACCCTAGACAAGCCTCATACTCAACGGCTAAAGGTACGGCGGTTTCAATAGCTTTCGCTCGCGTCTCATACTCAAAGATGGCGTGTGACTCTATCAGCGGACAGTCGCGCACGCTCTCCTACCCACGCTGAAGAAGGAGCTGGAACATCTCAGCTTGGACGAGGTTATCCGTCGTCCGAGGGAAAGTGAGGTCAGGGCAACTTGCGGTAGGTTTCCTGGCAGCCATGGAAGATCAACGCGTCTGATTAGGTATCCCAGACACGTGTATGACCTCCATCTTCTCGAGCAGCTGGATGTGCCGTCTGTGCGGCCGCGAAGCTTGCGCCGAGTGTTATGAGCAGGTCAGGGAACTGACTATCGACCGGGCAGGTGCGCCGGACGCCGAGATCGCGGCCCTGCAGGCACGCCGCGAGAAACATGCGCATATCAACCCGTTCTTCCTGTCGTGCACGCGACGGAACGAGCACCAGGCGAAAGACTTCTCGGCTATGTCGCGTTTCTGCAAGTCGGAGCTAGAGGAAGTCATAAAGGAGATGGAGGCGATGCTTCACGAGACCGAGCAAGAGCGCTCCACGCCGGAGCCGGGTCGTGATTCTTCGCTGTCACCCCCAGGTACAGCGACGACACCACCTTGGTCAGACTCCTCGCCGAGCAGCAGCGTACCTGACACTAGGTATTCCGCACCCGCCACTTACGCTGATAGCCCCAGTGGGAGCGTCCCTCCAGAACCATCGTCCTTCGCAGCGGGTACCAAGGTGCCCTCTCACGTCACGAGGTACTTCGCGGACGGCCAGCTCACGGATGACACTTTCCGCCGTATCTGGGCCCGCGGTGAGCCTATCGTAGTCACAGGTCTGCTCCCGAAGTTCCACGTTCAGTGGTCGCCTGAGTACTTCATCGCCAAGTACGGTTCGCAGAGCTGCCTCATTCTCGAGTGCCAGACGGACCAGAACCGTCGCGTGACGGTAGGCGATTTCTTCTCCTGGTTCGGCAAGTATGAAGGGCGTCGAGACTGCTGGAAGCTGAAGGTAATGCCGCGCGCGGACATCTCTCGTGCGAACCATGGCTAATTCATGTGCCTTGCAGGACTGGCCGCCTTCGACGGATTTCCGCACTGCCTTCCCTGAACTTTACGACGATTTCGCCAACGCGACGCCGGTGCCGAACTATGTGCGACGAGATGGTGTTCTGAACCTTGCGTCGCACTTTCCGGGCAACACGGTGGCTCCTGATCTGGGTAAGCACAATCCCATTTGCGTAGGCGTCGGTTTGAGCGTGACTTGCTGATATCGTCTGCAGGGCCGAAGATGTATAACGCGATGGCATCCTTCGAAGCTCATGGTAGCAAGGGTTCAACGCGGCTGCATATGGATATGGCAGATGCCGTGAACGTCATGCTCTATGCCGCACGAACGCCAGATGGCCGCCCAGGATGCGCGGCGTGGGACCTCTTCAAGGCGGAGGATGCAATCAAGTTGAGGAAGTACATGCGCAAGAAGTTCAAGGGCCACTTCCAGCACGACCCGATTCATTCCCAGCAGTTCTATCTGGACTCGGAGCATCGGGAAGAGCTCTTCAAGGAGTATGGCGTCAAGTCCCACCGTGTCTACCAGCAGCCTGGTGAGGCCGTGTTCATTCCGGCCGGCTGCGCTCATCAGGTATGTGTCCAACCCATTTTCGCGATGTCGATCGGAGTCGACTTATCTGCTTGGACTGGCGAAGGTTTGTAACCTTGCGGATTGCATCAAGGTGGCGAGCGATTTCGTCAGCCCCGAGAATATCGAGCGCTGCGAGACGCTCACGCGCGAGTTCCGGGAGCAGAATCAATCCATGGCGTGGAAGGAAGACGTGTTGCAACTCCGCACGATGATGTGGTTCGCCTGGCTTTCGTGCACGCGTCAAGAGAGGGATGCGGATGCCTGAACTCGGCTGGACTGGCTGTCAGTGTCTTTGGTTATCGCTGTCATGTTGCTTTGCTCTCGAAGCCGACTGTCTCATACATTACGTACAGTACTGCTCGCAATGCCCTCCACCTACTGGTACCTGTTGTCGTCCTCATTATAATCGCTTGGTAGTCTGTGTATTGATATCGGTATCGTTGCCTGGTAGCTTGCTTGCGTCAGATTAGTGGTAGCGTATTCACATTGGAAACATGAACGATACAGCTCCATGTTATTGGATCATAATATGACGTCCGCGAACGTGCTCTCAAGGTTCTCTCCGCCGCCGCTGTTCTGCTCAGGACTAGGTTTTCCCGATGCGAACCGGTATGTTACGGCTCTCAGTGATCACGCGCTCACGAAGCGACAGTGGGGAAAGCCGTTGCGTGCATGCAACGCGATGCATAGGTCCATAACAACATGGGCGACGCGGAGCAGACAGAAGTGGTTCCATGACCCTGAGGGAGGGAATATTCATGATGTCCATAGAAGCTTAGCTGACACGGCCCGTGCGTACAAAAATAGTGAGCCCAGGCCTTTGCGGTGTTTCCAAACGAAATGGCGCGGTAGAACAAGCAAGAAAGGACCGCTGCTCACTTTTCCCCAATGAGAGGGCCGCATCCGATCTAGCCGCACAAAACCCCCACCAGTCGGATCCTGCGACCATAGTGGTGCCGTCAGGGATAGTGTGAATGCCGCTCGGCGGGAGAACATACCGTGCATTCGATATTTATCCACAAGGTTCAAACTGCGATAGACTTCGAGTACAGAGTACCGTCACGTCACGTAGGAACGACCAACACAGACGCGCCCCCATCTCTGGTAACGCGTAGGCGCGTCTTGATCAACACGCATTTGCGCCCGAATTGACGTAGTGTGCGAGCCGTACTGCCGGTAACTGATCTGACGGACATGTCTTGGGACATCCCGAGGCCGGACGGAGCAAGCAGAATCGCCTGGCCGGTCTGCGGGCGGGTTGGCCGGGAAACGAATTTAGTCGAGGATCCACCGTGGACCCAGACAGGTTACATTACCTGCAAATTCACCACCTTGTCGAATGCTTCCTTGGTATTGATGTCAGCGGATACATGCTTCGCGACGTGCTCCCACCAGGCGGGGGAAGAGAAGCGATGAAGCAGTGCGATACTGCAGAGGTCCAATAGTACGGGTGGGACTACAGTAGGTTCTGCAGTACCCGTAACAGAAATGGTTAGATGACGGATGCTGCCAGAAACCGAGGGGCAACGACCCTACCCTGAGTACTGATTATGACACGCATGGCTTGATGCCGTTGTTGCCGTATGAGCGACAAGAGCTCGTTTGTCAGGCCGCTAGTCACTCTGTCGGGCGACAAATACTGAAGGATAATCGATAAGGTTCATGGTCACTCTTTTTCTGGCCAGCTGGACACGCGCGATGTGCAATAGAGCTCACCTTGTGCGCTTCATCGACGACCAGAACCTTCCCGCTTCCGACACTGGCACGGACAAATAACCTCGTGATAATTTCAAAAAACCCGCAGGCCGATGCAGGGTCGACGAAAGGGTCTGAAAGGTCAATTATAGTCAATTGGCCTGGGGCGAACCGCGCAGGTGCTGCTTGCTGCCCTCGCAGAGATCTTTCATCTAGGAACGCCTCAAGCAGCGCCGTACGCTGCTCCAGGCCGGCGACTTGAGCACGGTTGAGCTTCGTCTTCCGTGCCTCGAGTGCGTCTTTGAAGGCTTCATAGGAGTAATCCTCGCCAAGTTCGCGCAGGATAGACTGACGGACGATTGGGTACGTTAGTTATGATCATAACGTGGTGATCAAAGTCTGGACGTACCAAGACAGTCTGCATGTACAAAGGCATGTGGTCGGACTGCCCGATCGCCATCATAGAGAGGAAGGCTTGGGCATCGAGCTCCTCCCTTCTGAATAACAGCGGCTCAACGGTGACAGAGCCGCCGAGCGGAGCATACACAGCCTTCATCGTTCTCAATGAAGACTTCGACACATACACTCGGACGCGCGGCGCTTTCGCCCCAGATTTCGCCGCTGGTAAGCCAACCCACGCTGCTTCACAGGGTTGTGAATATGGGCCACCTTCACCGAAATGGAGGACAAGCCCAGCGAGAGGATTCAGAATGGTTCCGATGGGTGGACAGGCCGTCACCATCATATTTTCCAGCATCACAGAGACCGTGTGTGATTTCCCCGAGCCTTGCACTCCGCACACCAAAGCGGAGAACGGTGCATTCTGCGAAAGAAACCATCAATGGTCCGTATGGAAGATACAAGTGGTGCGTACTCGCCGTGTTCAAGTAAAGCCGTTCGTCCTGACATTCATCAGTCATGCAGGTACCAGTTTTGTCACTGTCACCTCCGTCTTGTTCAGCCACACTCGATCACAATGCACTGGAGTCGGAGCCGGAACTCAACTAGATCTCCACCACAGAACCTAGTAGCCCTCGCTGAGGAAAGCTCGCACGACCACCAGCCGCATTGTAAGCCTCCCTAGTCATGATAGGAGCCGTGCGCAGCTCATGATCACCCGGCTCACAGTGGTCGAGCTTGGCATGCGATAGGAGCTGTCGCTCTTCCTACGGCGAAGGTTTCCACGAAATTTCGAGACCAATCAATTGAGTCTAGTACAATTGCTTGGACTTACTTGGTCGTCTGGTTCGTTGTCAACATCACAATTGACGTTCGAGACTGGATAAGATGCAACCGCTTCATCATGTTCCACGCTCGACTGGGTGCATCCTCAGGTTAACGAGACTCATTCGCTGAGATAAAAACCGACTGCATACGTCATCAACATCGCTGTTCGCACCCGTCCCGTTGCTAGGATGCATGACGCCGTTAGCAATGGGCCGACGACGAGTGGCCATGGTGTACCGGATCGCACGATGTACTGCACTCTATAGACCAACTCACCTCGATTCTCTACGTATATGAATGCGCTTTGCAACTGGACGATGTGCTTCGTTCGGTGAGCTGCTGCGGGCTCGTTTGGTCGCGATGCGTGCTACCGTACGCTTGGAGACATCAGGGGACTCATCACTGTCCGATTCACGGTCAGACACTAAATGCGCATATGTCAAAGCGATATAGTAAGAGCGAAAAGGGCCATACCGCTGGAGCTTAAGGATGCAGTGCACTCGTCGTCCGAATCTATACCGACCATAATTAGGTTGCAATCACCAATGAGGCTGATAAATGTCGAGGTCACTTACCACATGAGCTCATGACTATTCCAAGTAGTAGGGTGCAAGTTGCGCAACGTAGCGCTGCCGTCATTTTTGGCTCAAACCCCGGGATACGTCAATAGCGATGGCGGCGTACTAGATATGGGCCGCAGCTTCTCGACACCCCAGACTCTGGCAGTCTACTCCCACTGACAGTGCGTCCGCTTCGTCGCACAGTAATCCCCACCCAATTACAGTCCCACAAAAAAGTAAACGCCAGTAGAGGAGCGATGTACAGTGGCACGGCCGTGAAAGGCCGTGAAGTAGCAGAGCTCAGTATGATGTGGCTTAAGCGACGACTCAACTGGCGCGACGCGTCTTGGGCACGTGGTCGCGTTTCTTTCTGCGAAGCCGAGCCTGCGGCTGCCTGCCTTTAGGCTTTTCCAGCGCCATCGTCCTCACTCTCGCCCAGATCTCATTCTTGTCTAGCGATGTCACTTTTCGATGTTCCAGGATGGTCTGTCCCAGATGCACCAGCTGCGGGGTCGTCCAGCACCAAGAAGCGCAAGCGACCCCCCTCGGATGGCGGTGCTAAACTTGAAACCGCGCACATCAACTTTGAGAAGCTCATGGAGAAGCTGGAGGCAGGCAAAAACACTTCTCAGCCCAATAAGAAGCAGAAATCGAAAGCGAAGAGCAAACAGAACGATGCTCGGAGATCTGAAAGCTCGGCCAAGCTGCCTCATGTCGAGAGCAGCGACGTGGGTTCCCGGGACAGGAAGGCTAAACGGAAGCAGAACGCAGGGGGCAAGCATGCCCAAGCTTCTGTATCAACTTTTGACGATGAAAAAAGGGAGCAGCCGTTGGTTGAGTCCGACCATGCATCTCTCTCGAAGGCGCGGAAGAAGGCCAAGCAGCGCGCGGATCTGACTCCGCCGACCGCAGGGAGCGATGTTGCGGGTACCAGCAAACAGCCACCGCAAGAGCAGTCAAACTTGACGAAGCTGCAAGCAGGGCTGAAGAATAACCTAGATGGTGCTCGCTTCCGGTACGAGTTGTCCGACACCTATGTCGACACTGTACTCACAGTGCCATTAGCTGGATCAATGAAGCTTTGTACAAATCCGACAGCAAGCGTGCGCACGATATGATGCGGGAAAATCCCAAGGTCTTCGAGGAGGTGAGTCATACAAATGTTATAGCGGCTCAATCCCCATCCTACTTGTCCGTTAACTCTGGCATGCGTACTTATAGTATCACACTGGCTTCCGACATCAAGTGCATTCATGGCCAACTAATCCCGTGTCCCACTACATCTCCGTTTTGTCTGCCTACCCCGAGAAAACTGTCATCGCGGACCTTGGCTGCGGCGACGCTGCACTCGCTCGTGCGCTTGTGCCAAAGGGCTTCACGGTCCTGTCGTTCGATCTCGTATCCGACAATACGTACGTCATTGAGGCGGACGCGTGCGTGCGACTCCCGTTACCTGGGTCGGAGGATCCGGACGAGGCAGAGGAGGATATTGAAAGCGAGGGCCGAGGCGGCGTAGTCGACGTCGTGGTCTGTGCGCTGAGCTTGATGGGCACGAACTGGCCGAACTGCATCCGCGAGGCGTGGCGAGTTCTTCGACCGAAGTAAGCACAGTTTCACGTTGGAAAGAGCCCGTGCCCTTACTCACCGTCTGGGTGTCCATGCAGCGGCGAACTGAAGATAGCCGAGGTGGCGAGCCGTTTTACTAATCAAGACGAGTTTGTCTCGTACATATGTTCGTTTGGCTTTCGTCTGAAGACGAAGGTATGTCTTTCCTGTTCAATCATTATCACCGAATGACGATATGCCGCCCACAGGATGACAGCAATTCGCATTTTACTCTATTCGACTTCAAGAAGATGGCAAGAAAGTCGAAGGGATCGAAGGAATGGGAAAAGACATTAGGTCGCGGCAGTATTCTGAAGCCATGTGAATACAAACGGAGATGACCGTGGCAGGTTAGCGTCCCCGTTCCAGAAACTATGGCATGTTTAGGAGTATCTTCGAGGAGTATCCTGACCTCATGTTGTCGCCGCAACTCCGCTCTGTTGCCTCAGGACACCCAGGGTGCGCATCCTTGGCCACCCCAAAATTCGATAGTCGACTGGCCTTCCAGTCCAGCTTTCGTCGACATACTAGGCTGCTGTCAGCTCGTAACTCCGCTGAGCAGCCTGACAAAAGCCAGGAACATGTCACAGTGACAATTCGGTACAACGTTCATTCAATTTCAGGGGTCACCTGCGCCACTATTACGTCCCTGTTTTACTACTCGAGCTGTGAGGTACGACGCTATCCTTCGTACTTGTGCTCCAGCGCCCTTGACTCATCAGCCTCATCAACTAGTTGTCGGCGATTGTTACTGTCCGCCCCTCACGCGCACTCTGATACGCCGCCTCGATGATCTCGATCACCTCCGCTGACTCCTCCCACTTGACCAACGCTTCCTTGCCTTCGCGGATCACCTCTGCCAGATTCACGAATAGTGCGGCGTAATTGCCCCTTTCCGTAGTCGGCCACCTAATCACCGAGTAGCGGGAGCGCCATCAGTCAGATCCAAGCAGCTCATCTACATCTGCTATGTAGCCGACGCGTGTTGGTGGATGAAAGGACGTACGTGGATCTCACGACCTCGAATTCTCCCGCCTTGCCGCCCAGATTCTCTAGTGTCCCCCAGAGCGCCTCATTCTCGACGCCGTACGCTGGATCCCCGACGATGTCCGCGGGATTCGTGTATAATTTGAGCTGTTGCTCCTGCACGTCGAGTCCGGTCTTGATGTAGGTGCCCGTGGTCCCCCGGACGACGTAGCGCAGCTGAGGGGAGCGCACGGACAGTATGTGTGATCGCAGGATCGCCGTAAAGGACGTAGGCTGAATGCCTGCGCGCCCGGGGCGCGGCGGGTAATGCAGGAAGATTGTGAACTAAACAGTGAGGTGGTCGTCCGTGTCAGTGCCTCTGTGATTGCATAAACCCTACGACGCGCCGCGTCTTGCAGCCCGTACATGTCACTCACACAGTCATCCACCTCTGCAGTGCCAATTCCTCTGACGTTGTCGATGAACGCAGTGACCCTGGCCGGCCGTCCAAATAGCACGAGCGCCTGATCTATGAGGTGCGAGCCAAGGTCGTATGTCAGACCGGTACCGGGGAGAGGTACGTTCTTCCAGCTGTTCTTGATTGCGGTGCGATAGCGGTCATATCTATCATATAGGATGTGGCATTATTACGTGCATAGCGCATGGAAAGTGCAACCTGCCAACCGCGACTCAAACTCGATGAGTGTGCCCAGTGACTGTGGGTGGTCCGCGGGCAGCCGCAACAGCTGGCGCAGAGCCAGGAAGTCGGCGTTGAACCGACAGTTCTGGTACGGGTAGAGTACGATGCCTTTTTGCCTTGCTAAAGCCCCTAATTCCCAGGCCTCTGACGTATTTGTAGTGACGGGCTTGTCCACCAGTACTGTCAAATGACGGAAGTCTGAGTGAGCGTTGCCCGGGCCTACTATCTGGAGAGGATCCAATACGTACCGTGCTTACCCGCTTCAAGAGCCTGTCTCGCAAAATCGAAGTGGGTGTTATTTGGCGTCGTCACGATGATCAGCTCGATCTCTGGGTCATCCACTAGCTCCCGATATGTCGTGTAGAGCTTGACGTTCGCAGTAACCTCTCCACCGAAGCGTTCCTTCAGCTTGCCTCCAGGAGCCGATGGGGTTCTCTCAACCACCGCATGCAAAATGAAATGCCGCGGCAATGCTAGTATGAAAGGTATATGAAAGGTTAGTCCACCGAACCCTACCCCAACGACGCCTGTCTTGATCGGTTTGAAGGACATCGCGCCGCTAGGCTGATTCTGATACAAGCAACCGTTAGAAGTACAGACGAAATCCCAGTGGACCCTACGCCGTGGGAGCAAGAAGCACATCTCAGCGCAGGCGCGAGAAAGCAGAATTTAATTATGCAGCGTAAAGTTCAATCGAATATAGCTTCGACACGCGGTGTCATAAACAGTAGTACAGTTGGGTCATTTACTTCTCCTCTTTATGTTCGCTGCCGTTGACAGGACGTGTCATCAGAGTGCAGGCTGCCTCACAACCTCACGGCCGAGGAGGCACAGTGATCGTGCGTCCCTCGCGCGTGCTCTCGTATGCAAGCTCGATGATCTCAATAACTTCCGCCGACTCCGCCCACTTCACTGCCTGTTCTTTTCCCTCGCGGATGGTCTTCGCGAGATCCTCGAAGAGCCCCGCGTAATTTCCCCGCTCAGTCGACGGCCATCTGCACTCGTCTGTTAGTCTCTAGGCTGTAACGAAAGAGGGAGGACTCCAGGACGTACGTAGACTTCACGATCTTGTCGCCTGTCGTGAGGTTCTCCAACGTTCCCCAGAGGCTCTCTGGCTCCACACCGTAGGACTCGGATGCGGCGATTTGTGCGGGATCCGGGATGACCTTCAGCTGGTCCTCTTGGACGTCCACGCCGAACTTGGTGTACGTTCCTTGGAGCCCACGGACAACGTACCGCACCTGCTGTGAACGGACAGAGAGAATGTGACCCCGGAGGATGACCGTGAAGGACGTGGGCTGGAGACCATTCTCCGCCTTCCGAGGCGGATAGTGCAGGAAGATCGTGAACTGCGGATAGATCCATGGTCAGTCACGACTGCTGCTGTATTTCGAGGAAATAACGAAAAGTGTATAATTCATGGGGCTATAGAGTGGAGCGCCTGTTCTACGCACAGCGCTGGTTCTTACGGCATTATACAGATCAAGCTTCATGCACAAACACCGATACCGGCAGCCCTGACGCATGTTGTGTGCCACGAAGCTCTCATGTCCATTTGCCCACATGGTCGGAACCAGTGTTTGCCACGCGGACCACGGCCAGTCATTCGATGCAGATACCCAAGAACGGAAAGGGAAGCATGGCAAGACCAACATAGAGGCGCATACTTACGCAGTCATCCACCTCCTTGTGCCCGAGTCCTCGGATGTTTTCAATCATCGCAGTAACCGCCTTCGGGCGCCCGAACAGCACCAGAGACTGGTCGATAGTGTGGGCGCCCAGGTCGTACGTCAGGCCGTTCGCAGGGATTGGTAGATCCTTCCATGTGCCCTTTAGCGTCGCGCGATAACGGTCAAATCTGTACGACAACCTTCAGCATCCGTCCCCCACATGGCATCCTGGATGCGCAAGGGTAAAATAGCCTACCTGGATTCAAATTCAACGAGCGTCCCCAGCGACTTCGGGTCTGACGGTGGGAGGTCCAGGAGCTTGCGGAGGGTCAGGAAATCCGAGTCCCAGCGCCTGTTCTGGAACGGGTACAGAACGACACCCTTCGCCTTCGCGAGGTCACCGAGTTCATATGCTTCTTGAGCAGTTGCAGTGACGGGCTTGTCAACGAGGACTTCCATGGTTTCAGTCTCGATTGCATATTGGTTTAGTGGGATACGACGCACCATGTTTCCCAGCCTCCAGCGCTAGCTTTGCGAGCGCGTAGTGCGTCTCGCTTGGGGTGCTGATAAAAACAAGCTCGACCTCCGGGTCGCTCAACACCTCGTCGTAGCTGTGGTAAATCTTGACATTCTTTGCCTTCTCAGCGCCGAATCGTGCGCCGAGCTTGCCCCCAGGGGAGGCGGGGTTGCGCTCGAGAACAGCGTGGAGTGTAAAATACTGGGGCAGCGCAAGAACAAACGGGATGTGGAATGTCATTCCGCCAAGCCCGACACCGAGCACGGCTGATTTGATGGGCTTGAACGAGGTCATAACTCAGAGAAGTTTTCTGTGTTGAGGGGGAAGAAGGGGGACAAGAAATGCAGAGCGGACGCCGATGTTCCGCCCTAGGACGCTGATGATATACCGACGGACGACATACGGCCAAGCCGGGCCGCACGCTGGGAACGCGTCAGCCCCTTTCGACGCTGACAGCAATCAGCAGGCCTTCTATGGCGTACGACGGAGTCCCGACGACGATCTCGAACGTTTGCTCAGCGGAGTGTCTGTGTAACAGAACCGTTGAACCTGCGATCGTCGAGTCGACTCCGATTTCATCTCGGCTACAAAGTGACGATTTAAGCGTTGCCCCTCCGAGGTTTCTTCCTTAGGTTATCATATTAGTCCGTGCGTCGATTATGATGTTCGTTCATATCAGGCCTGACAAGCAAGGGGACCGTTGACGGCAGCCCGATGTTTTTCGCAATGTTTTCCAAGGATTTTGAGAGGTACGCGCCGATCCGGGAGAGCGGGATGTCTGATCGATCGAGATCGCGCGCAGGGGACGGGGCCACGTGCACTGTCGCCATCCTCGCCTCATCGTCCGCCCACAAAATGGACAAAATACTGTTTACTATTATTCCTTCTTGCTCACCGTCAGGATGCCCTCGGGAGTGTCGACCCCGGTCTCTCCAACCGCGACGCTTTCCACTCCTCCATCGCCCAAACTCAACGCAAAGCGCGACTTGCAGCAAGCTGTCAAGAGCGCGCTGATTTCTGCGTCCACCGCGGTCGAATTCATCGCGTCTAGGGCGAGTTCCAGCTCTTCGGTCTTCATCTATGATGTTGCAGAACACATCGGGTTTGGGACCTTCACAAAGGAGTGGGCGGGCTCGTCGGACGACGTCGCTTCCGTCGTCAGTCTGCAAACGCGTGCCGGAACAGGGTTAAGCTTGGTAGGCAGACTGTCCCAAGGAACAAGCAAGGATGCTGCCAACGGCGCGGTCCTCACGGCCTACACGACGCCGTCGGGGCTCGCCATGATGGTCCAGTCGCTGACCTATCTTCCCCCATCCACCCCCGACAGCAGGCTCATCATCCAAGTGCCCGCCGTGACGCCCGTTGGCGAGAGCTTTGCGTTATCCCCGACCCTTGCGCCGCTTACGCCCGCACTCGCCATCCTTCCGGACGACTTCACCGTGCTCCTTTCCGCGACCCCGCGCGAGACCGTTGACTTCGCTGCGCTCGCCTACAAGTTGACCGACAGCCATGTCATCCATCTCTTCGACCACCATGGCGCGGCACGCGAGAGCGGCCATACTATTGCCCCTGCCCTGCCTTCCCAGGAGCCCGGTTTGACCGCGAAGGACGGACTGAAGAAGGCTGGCTACGATGCCTTCGAGTATGCTGGGGACAAGGACGCGAGCACCGTGGTCGTGATCCTGAACGGCCCGCTTGCTTTGACAGCAAAGGCAGTCGCTGCGAAGACCGCTGGACTGGCTATTGTAGTTGTCAAGATGCTTCGCCCTTGGGACGAGGAGGCATTGCGCGAGGTTCTGCCCCTGGCCGCGAGAAACATCCACGTCTTCGATGACGTCCCCGCGGAGACCACCCAGGGCTCGTTGTACATGGACGTCTTCTCGTCCGTGCTTGACCCACTCAGCCCCGGCCCTAACGTCAGGTCGCACCGTATCGTGCCCACACGTACGCAAGAGTTCCTCGATATACCCTTGCTCTTCACGTCCTATCTCTGCGGCCTCGTCTCGACGGCAGCTCCGGCGTCCATCGATGTGCCGAACACTAAGAAAGTCCTTTTCTTCAGCACGCCCGGTTCCCCTCTCGCTTCTCTGGCACGTTCCGTGGAGCAGACGTTCGTCTCGTTCAATTCAATCTCGTCGCGTCTTCTGAGGGGCCACGACGTGTGCTCCAAGCCTGGAGGCCTCACCGCAGACAGACTCGTCCTCGCTCCCAAGGATGAGAACGCCGCTTTCCTCCCCGCGTCCGTGACGCTCCCTCTCACACCTGACAGCAAAGGAGAAGCAAACTTCGTAGCTGTCCTGGATCAGGGTTTACTGAAGTCCCATGAAATTATCGCCCATGCCGCTCCGGGCTCGCCCGTGCTGATTTCCACAACCTGGAGCGCGGCCGAGTTGCTCTCAAGTCTTCCTCCTTCCGTCGTTGCGCTCATCCACGAAAGGGACCTCCACGTGTGCATCGTCAACCCACTCAGCCTTGTCGAGGAAGTGACCGGTGGTGACGCTTCCGAGGCGTTGCAGGTTGTAGTGCTGCAGGCTGCGTTCCTGCGGTTGTACCTCGGGCTGGCAGCACGCGAAGAAGCCGTTTTCAAGCTCCTGCGTAAGGCTGTCGGCGACACAGTGCAAGGTGTTCCGCTCCAGCAGGTTATTAGTGCTACGTGGGATGGACTTGTCGAAGTCGAGATCCCTGCACCTCAAGAACTCTCTGCGGAGGATGCAACAGAGGTGAAGCCGCTCAAGCATTTTACCTTCAACGCCATCTCTGTCGAGACCTCCGAAGGCGAGGTCGTGAATGGCGCACGCCTCGGCTCCTGGCACGACGCGGCGAAACATATCATCTTCCCCTCCGCCTTCACGCCGCAGGACGCGCAGGTCCCGTCCGACGACGAATACGCGCAGAACCCCTCACTACGCCCGGAGGTGCCCGAGCGGACGTACCTCGTCACCTGCACGGTCAACCGCCGCCTGACGCCGCTCGACTACGACCGCAACGTCTTCCACATCGAGTTCGACACCCGCGGGACCGGGCTCAAGTACGAGATCGGCGAGGCACTCGGTGTACACGGGTGGAACGACGCGGACGAGGTGCTCGACTTCTGCCGCTGGTACGGCGCCGACCCCAACAAGCTCATCACCATCGCCGTCCCGAACACGGACGGTACGCGCATGCACACCCGCACGGTCTTCCAGGCGCTCCAGCAGCAGATCGACCTGTTTGGCAAGCCGGGTAAGACGTTCTATACGGAGCTGGCGGAGTATGCGACGAACAAGGCGGACCAGTACTCGCTGAGGTTCATTGGCAGCCCTGAGGGCAGCGCGACGTTCAAGAAGTTGAACGAGAAGGATACGGTGACGTTCGCAGATATTATGAGGCGTTATGAGACTGCACGCCCGGGCATCGAGGTTCTCTGCGAGCTCATCGGCGACATCAAGCCGAGGCACTACAGTATTGCGAGTGCGCAGGCTGTCGTCGGTGATCAGGTTGACCTTTTGGTAGTCAGCGTTGACTGGGTCACCCCTAGTGGTACGTTTGACGAAACATCTATCGTGTCATACGTCGCTCATGCCGTACGCTAGGCACCCCTCGTTATGGCCAGTGTACGAGGTACCTCGCTGATTTAAAGCCCGGGCAAAAGGTCACCGTATCATTGAGGCCTAGCGTCATGAAGGTGAGCATCATATTTTCTGCACCCGAACAACCCAATACTCAATATCGCTCTCCAGCTTCCCCCCGACAACATGCAGCCGATCGTCATGGCTGGTCTGGGCACTGGCGCCGCTCCTTTCCGTGCCTTCCTGCAGTACAGAGCCTGGCTCAAGTCGCAGTCCATCCCCGTCGGACCCACGTACTACTACTTCGGCTCCCGCCATCGCTCTCAGGAGTACCTCTATGGCGAGGAACTCGAGGCCTTCATAGACGACGGAATCATCACCAAGGCCGGACTCGCGTTCTCTCGTGACGGCCCGCGGAAGGTGTACATTCAGCACAAGATGAAGGAGGACGCGGATGTCCTTGCCAAGATGCTCTGGGAAGAGCAGGGTGCGTTCTACTTGTGCGGACCGACGTGGCCCGTCCCGGATGTCTACGAGGCGCTGGTCGAGGCGTTAATGAGACATACTGGCCAAGATGCCACGCAGGCGGGCGTCTTCTTGGAGGGCTTGAAGGAGGAGGAACGTTATGTGCTGGAGGTGAGTAGATGTACTGCTGACTTCGTCCGTCTCATGTCTGACCATTTGCTGAAGGTATACTGATTGTTTACGACGAGTGTCATCGGTCGTATATGATTCAGCATGATAGAGTACAGTGGGTTGTGTACATTGCTACGTCCGTCAATGCTCTGAAACATCAATCTCGGAGTGTGTTGAACAAGCGATCTCCCTATGTGCTTGTGAGTAGCTGCGCGTGACCCCATTCATACGAGGTACCCACCGTATCACCCAGCCCTGGTGCGATCAAACCCCTGTCCGTCAGCTCGGGGTCAACTCCAGACACCCAGATCTATGCGTTGTTAGCTAGCTTGCATAATGATCAAGTGAGAGTCGCACCTCGAGCTCTGGGAACTCAGCGCGCACGCGGTTCAGACCTGTCTGAGAGGCCAAGACACAAAGCAACTTGATGTTGTTCACTGCACAAGCCTACATGAGTGACAGTCCCGTCTAAACGGGCGGAGGACGCACCAGGCATGCCCCAATCAATGAGCATCTGCAGCGCAGCAGTCGCCGTTCCTCCTGTGGCGATGAGAGGGTCCAGCAAGTAGACGATGTCGATCGTCGTGTCCGACGGGAGCTTCGAGTAATCTGACATTCGCGTCAACGTCTCGCTTCAGGGTCGTTGAACGGCAATGACATACACTCAACGGGCTGCAGGGTTGTCTTCTCCCTGAAGATACCGAGATGATACACCTGCGCAGCCCTGGTCGGGAGGTCAGGGGTCGTTTGAATGTTTGGGTGCCAGAGCCAGTCGCAAAGGATACACACGGGAACAGGTTCAACATTGCATCGGTCATGCCGAGGCCCGCACGCAGGATGGGTGCGAGCCCAATCTTGGGCTTGATCGCGGTGCCCGTGAAGGTACCTACTGGTGTTTGCTGGAACGAAGAGCCGGTGAGCCTCAGTGTAGTATACAGCTGTTAGTGCGAGACCGTAGACGTACCCCGCTGAACTCTTCCTCCTGCAAGTTCTTGCTCGCCTCGATACCCAAGAAGATACTGATGTCATGGATGCCCTACGGGCGTGTACACATTCATCTGAGCGAGCCTAGCGAAGATCGAACGAGCGACGCACCTCTCGGAACTCCTTCGGGCTGGTCGATGTTTGTCGCAGTTTCGACAGACGGGCCTTCACGACCGGGTGGCTTAGAACATGCGTCTTATCAGACATTGTGATGGCTAGGCAGTCTAGAGTTAGGTGGAGAGGAGAGTGAAGCAGGCAGCCCGGGACACGTTGAGGGCACGAGTACCGCTAAGAGGCCTAGGGGCGTATATTGCTTATCACGTACTCCGTTATCCATGCCACCGGTATACAGGCGGCCAAACCATTGTGGACGGTCTGTGCCTCGTCTTCGACGCGAGGCAAACAGACCATGCTGATAGCATCGGATGAATGGTGCAGTTGTACATCCACGTTGATGGCAGTCATAAGCAAATGGGGGCAATCATCACAAAGGAGAGAAGTACTATATCGAATCCAAACGTCCATAACAATATAGCTAAACGAAGCCTATACGTACAACAATCCCGTCCAGTATCAGTACTGTACACCACCGCCTAACAATAACCACAGCGGCCCTACAATTCGTCGGCCCAGTCTGTCGTCTGCACCCTCTCGACATATTCCCTCACCCACGCAGGCCGCCTCTCCTGCAACCTCTCGAGAGCTCGTGACCTCTCAATCTCAGCTTCGCGCCCAGGTTCGCCTTCTGCGTTCCGTGCTGCTTCCCGTGCATGAGCCTCCGTCCGCAGCCTCCCCTCCCGCCGCCTCAGCGCTGCCCGACGATGATCCCAAACCGCAGGATACACAGTCAGCAGCATGAGGGTGACGAAGGTCCTGATCTTGTGGCTGAGACTGGGCGGAGGGACATTCGCACCGGTGTCGATGATGGAGTCTTCCCTTCGCAGGTTCATGTTCGACAGACCGGTGAGGAAGGACTGCATCGCGCTACGGTTGGCGTTGGGTGTACCACCGCGCTGACGGCGCACAGGTCGATTGGGCTGCTGAGCCTGACCTTGTTGCCCTGGTTGGCGAGCCTGATTGGCTCCAGGCCCGTCCGCAGCACCCGCCTGCGGTCGGTCCCGAGGCCTGTCATGTCCGAGCACAAGACGGATGGCACCCCAGGCTTCGTAGAGAATCCAGATGACGACCACCAGAGCAAAGAAGGGCCGTTTCGTCGGTCCGAAGAAGTAGAAGAGTAGGATGGTACGGAAAGCGACCATAAGGAAGGGTATCAGGACGGCGCGCATGGGGATCGCACGGATTTCCACCGCTGGCGCAGGTGCCGCGAGATTGTTCGGGTCATTCGGGTTGAGATTCTGATTAGGGATCTGGCCTGGCACAAGACGCAGAGCAGGCAGACCAAGACGCTGAAGGTGTTCATTGAGGTTGGTGGTGGCAATCGTCTGGGCGACATTCGTCGAAGCAGTCGGGAAGTAAGGAACCGCATGTGGGCCCAAAGTAGACAGTATTGTGAACGTGAGGGAAAGGACTTTGAGAGCGTGTAGTTGAATAGGCGTTGGCTCCGCCCTGGGATTTGTGAGTGAAAGGTATGGCAGGCCACTGATGGACTGTTGTTAGCCTAGACCTGTCAAAGGCGCACGGATTACTCACTCGACAAGGGTCCGCTCATACTTCAAACCTCCCGGGCTCGTCGGGGGATACTGTTCGTCAAGTAGTGCCGGCCACGCCCATCCATGATGACCCAACATCTCGATGGCTATGGCGCGCCATCGCTCAGCATCGCCCGTGTTCGCACCCTCGATACGGTCCGTCCCATGCACAAGCACGTACAGCGCGCATGCGTGCTTGTAGTAGACGTAACCCAGTGTCGAACCTGCCATCATAGACGGATCGGTCATAGTCGGAGTCGCCACCGGTGCCGATACCGGGTATGAGAATGGCACTGAGACCGGCGTTACGTTGGGCACTGACAAGGGTACCGCAGTAGGAACCGATGCAGGTGGCGACGAGGAAGACGCTACGGTGGGTGTTCCGTGCGTCCACGCCGAGGGGTGCACAGAGAGGTGAAGAACGTGCACCTCGTCTGGCTTCTGTATGCGTGCGCGCGTTGAATGAAAGGCGAAGGGGACGCTCAGAACAAGAACGCGCACCTTCCATATCTCCCCCACTAGCTCCTCGTCATTGAGAAAGCGCCCCTTGTGGATGAGCCGCTGGCCTTGCGCGGTCGGGCTGCCTGGGCAGACTCTGGTTATCTCGTGCTTGACGTCGCGGATCGACGACGACGGTCCGGCTTGTACGGTGAAAGAGCGGGAATACGTAGGAAGTTCAATGCGGATGTCTACTGTCGCGTCCTGGGCGGACATAGCAGAGCGGTCTGAGAGTCGTGAAGGAGAAGGAGTGAAGCGGAATGAAGGTCGTTCTGGAGGAGTCGCGCGAGTGATGCGCTAACGTGTAAGTACGGCCCACGTGACCCATGTCGGCTCCCCGCATGACGCTTGTCTGCCGAATTCATTCGTTCTTCGTGCTTGTCGGCCTGCGGCGGGAACGTCGCTCGGCCAATCTACCGGACACACTCTGCGAGCTCACGGAACCGAAATGCCTGGTATTCGCCTGCTCGATGGCCCCGGGACCCGGTGGCAGGATGCAGGCCAGCAAAGGCGCAATTCACCGACCACTTCTGTGTTCCGAGAAAGGAAAGCCACGTGGCTCGAGACTCACGTCGGTGGATGCCATGAACAGCCATAAATCGGTGCCGCCCTTGTGGTCGGTGTCTCCCTTTCATTCTGCGCTCGCTGACCCACCCAAATACAAAGGCGCACATCTCCGCCACGAACAACACGTACAGCACTCTCGGAACAACGGGAACAACGCCGCACGACGCATAAGAGGCCAGAGCTCAGGCGGACCCACCTATAAGTATCTGCCATGGCGAGCAGGAGCCACTCGATGTCTACCTTTGACCAGCTCATTGTCGACCTCACTCGCGACGCGCACCGCGTACAACCCAAAGACGCGCTGCAGTTCTGCGCGAATTGGTTCCAGTCAAGACTCGAGGAGCAGCGCACCCGCACCCGCGATATCCTCTCCGAGCACTCATCGTTCGCGCGCGACCTGGCGACCGACCACTATCACGACACACCGATCAGTCCCACCTCAGGCTCACAGCCCGACGGTATCTCCCCTTTCGCAAAACCCACCTTGGCTCAGCGCTCCTCCCTCCGCGCGTCCATGGCCAATCCAAGCCCCTTCGGCACCCTGAACGTCCCCGGGAACGCGCTACTGCACGACCCATCCACAAGGGGCCTTCACTCACTCACGCCCCCCACTTTCCGGATGGAGGCAGACGAGCTCTCCCCGACTTCGCCGACCAGCGCGCCCAACCCCTTCGCCTCGTTTGCTAATGGCAATGTGACGCCACACGGCGACTACCTGCAACCCCCCGAATCTAACATCTTTGCTCGCCGCGCATCCGTCAGCGCAGAGTCCATCGCAGTGGACGAAGAGTCTGATGAGCCGCTTCCCGTCTACCAAAAGACGGAGGAGCAGCTCCAGCGCATCCGCGCGGCGATCACAAAGAACTTCATCTTCCGTGACCTCGACGAGGAGCAGGAGACAGGCGTGCTTATGGCGATGCGCGAGGTGCATGTCACGAAGGACGAGGTCGTCATCCGGCAGGGCGACGTCGGTGATTTCTTCTACGTCGTCGAGGCGGGATGGCTCGACTGCTTCATCCGCCCCGAACCTCTGCCGCCGGCATGGCTCACGGGCAACACGGCGTCCGAAGAGAAGTTCACGCAACCGGATTATCACCCGGAGTTTGGGAAGAAGGTCACGGAGTGCAGGGAGGGCAGCTTTTTCGGCGAGCTCGCGCTGATGTACGGGCATCCGCGCGCGGCGAGTGTGGTAGCGATGGAGCCGTCCACGCTATGGTCGCTTGACCGGATCACGTTCCGCACGATCATCCTCAAGGCGGCGCACAGGAGGCGTACCATGTACGAGCAATTCTTGTCATCCGTACCGCTGCTCGCGTCGTTACGGCCTGAGGAACGCAGCAAGATCGCAGACGCGCTTGTCAGCAAAGTGCGCGAGGACGGCGAGGCGGTGGTGCGCCAGGGCGACATGGGCGACACTTTCTTCTTTGTCGAAGACGGCGAAGCTGTTGTGACCCAAACCGAGCGCACGGATGACGGCCAGAGTCGCGAGGTTGAGGTCAACCGCCTCACCAAGGGCGACTACTTTGGCGGTGCGTGCTCCGTCGTGCGGACATCGCGTGTTGGCGACTGATCGACTATTTCATAACAGAGTTGTCGCTGCTGCGGCGCGAACCCCGCGCTGCGACGGTGAGTGCGATTACCCGAGCGGATCCCTCAGCGGCGAAATTAAAGGTGGCGGCGCTTGATGCGAATGCGTTTACGCGGCTGCTGGGGCCGCTGCGGGAGATCATGGAGCGGAACGCGGGGCAGGCGTACGGGGCAACGCCCCGGAGGACGCGCTGAGGCTGCTGAGGTCTGTGCCGTAGACTGGGGAGAGTGAAGTGTAGGATTTGTTCTTGCTGTGTGTAGTCTATTGTAGTCACGTGAATCGTAATTGGTGCGAGTGCCATGGCGATGTGTGGCGGAGGTCGAGGACGTCGCCAACAGCCGCCAACACAGTGGCAACACCGCGCGCATCGTCGAGGAGCGTTTCGATGCCAACCACGGCCATCAGCCAACCCGAGTAGCGAGGGTTGTTGGAGCACCCATCGATAGTCACGGTGCGGACGAACATTGAACATTCTCCACACCGGTTTGTGGCCCCAGTCAATGGACCCTGGAAGGTCGTCCGCTATTATCGCCGTCCTTTTGTCTTCTCTCCCTCCTCCTCGAGGCTCCCTTCCTTCCGTCCCCCATCATCTGCGCCCAGCCCTTCTGTTGGTCCCCTCTCTTTGACCACCTCTTTCTGCTTGGGTCCTGGCAGACTCAGAAGCTACACCGGCAGCTCGTCTCGGCGCACCGCACAACGACCTCCCACCCCATTCGTTCTTTTGACATACCAACTCAGTGTCGGCCCTAGACCTCCATTCTTCTGCACCCTCTCCGAGAACTTTGTATCACCATGAGTGTCGTCGACCGCGAACTGGATCTGTCCGAGCGCGACTTGTTCAGCAGCGGTGAGTCTCCGCAGCGTTCATCAGTCAAAGTAGCGTGCTGAGACGTCTCTCTGTCACAGTGGGCAACGCACTGTACGTGTGATCGACGCGTTTCTCTGCACTCACGTCGAAAGCTGACATGGCAACAGTTCCTCCCTCTTCACTCCAATCTTCCCAGGACAGCAGACAACGTCAGAGACGTCGACCAGCTCGACCCTTACCTTGACGCAGTCAGCCACAGCGACACAGACTGACACTTTGACTCAGTGAGCATACCCCGTTGACATTTCTGACGTCCATCACGGACTTATGCGCCTCGCAGGTCTACTGCTACTTCGACTGCAACCTCGACGACAAGCACTGTCGCATCGACTCGGTCGAGCAGTTCCTCGTCATCGAGAGCGACTTCATCATCTTCATCCTCATCCGCGACAGCAACATCCTCAGCTGGGACCTCGTCGACCTCTGCTACACAAACCTCCGCAGAAACCGTCGTGAGCACTGGGCCACAGGGAACGGTCACCCTCACCGAAACCTCGTCCTCATCGGCATCCGCCACGGCTGCTGCTAATGCCGCGACATCAAAGGGCTTCCTAGCCAACAAGGGCCTGTCAGTGGGCGTCATCACGGCGTGTTCATTGGTGGGCCTCGTGCTCATCATCATCGTGGCAACGTGGACCCTCCGCCGTCGCCGTCGCAACAAGCTGCACGAGGAGGCCGTGGACTTCACTCCCTTCCCGTCGTCCGACGAGCTGCTCAGCAAGGATGTCGAGCGCAGTGGAGGCGGCGGCGGGCGCACGCGCCCGAGTTCCCGTGGCAGCGCGAACTCGAACGATGGGAGCTTGCCGCCGGCCTCCGCACGGGGCGCCGTGCAGCCCAAGACGTCGGCCCCGGAGATGTACCAGACAGGCTATCCTGTCGCGCCGGTGTTCGTGCCCACGGCGGGGCTTGCGGCGCCATCGAAGGCCGTGACCTCGAACATAATCAATCAAGTCGCCTTTCCGTCGCAGGCGTACTCGAACCCGATGCAGGGCTACAACGACTTTGGGCCGTACCCTGTATATGATGCGCGCTCGCCGCCCCCAGCCAACGCCAACGCGTACCAACCTGCGGGCACGCTCGCGCCTCGACCAGGTCCCACATATAATAACGGGTATGGCGCCACGGCTGGCGCTGCTTCCGCCGCCGCCGCCCCTGCAGGTCCGCCCGTGCGGAAGGCCAGCCAGCGCAAGCAAGTCCCGCCGCTCAACCTCAGCGCGACGCGCGACGATGCTAGCCCGCCCGCGTACCAAATAACACCGGTGACGGGCAACAACGCGTCGCCGATGCTCGCGAACCCGTATGGGACGACGCCGAACCTCGCGGATCCGCCTCTCTCCGCGGTGTCGCCCCACCCAAAGCGCGGCTCGAAGTCGCTGCTGAATTCACCCGTGCACCTAGCGTACTCGGACGAGGGCGCGAGCGTGGACGGCGACAAGGCGTCGGAGAAACCCAGGAGCCGGACGAACAGCTATTCAAGGATGCTCGACCCGGGCCTGCCCCAGATGCCTGTCGCCGCCCCGCTGCCTGACGAGTTTGGCACTCAGGGCGACGCCGCGGTGAAGGACGAGAAGGCGGCCGTTCGACAACTCACTGTACGTCATATCTAGTTCTGCGGAGTTGATTGTTATTGACCATGACCTCTTCAGGTCCGGAACGAGTGACAGTCGGACATCGGCCGTTGAGCGTCGCCGTCGCAACTATACCTCGCCCGAAGTTATACCTCACTAACGCTACTCACACGCCCGCCGCCGCACTGCTTTCCGCTCTTCTTTGCGTGTACCATCTTCTGCACTTGTCTTGCACTCCGTCGCCCGTCAGCGAGGCCACGTTTGCGCCCGTCCTCCGTCGTGCTGTGCGCCGCGGAGGAACACCTACTAGACCCGAACGTCCTAATTCCCCGCTGCCGCCCGCGCAGCCTGTGTCACACCCTGTCTCTCTTTCGCCGTACATTAGCCGTCTTGCGAACGCTGCGTCTGTATCATTAGTGCTCTCATTCTTGATGTCTTGAAGGTTTTGATATGCCTGCTTTGTACTTAGTTGTGGCGCGTGTTGCGGAGAAGTACGATGCTGCTGTGTGAAGCGCACATGCGAGTAGTTACTGTAGCAAGTCTTTAGGGATAATGAAGATGTGCCGTGCGGCTGTGTGAAGTAATATACCGGGCAGGTGTATGTTCGCCGAGGAAGATCTAGTATCAATGTGCATGGTATGTTACACAAGTACAAGTGCAGCCTATCTAAACACGGTGACCATTGAAGCAAACCACCGCGTCTCATTCGATCGTAATGTCAGAACCCATCGACATTCTTCTCGTCCAGGTCCCTCTCCTTCTCCTCGATCACTTCATCCACGCGGCCGGCCTCGCTCGTCGTAGCGCGGGCGGCGCCCCGCTTCTCGCGGCGTTCGAGATACCACACGAGGAAGGTGACGAGGAGCGTCGCGAGCCCGATGCCGATCATAGCCCACATGCCCTTGTGGAAGCGCGGCGCATCCGTGGCGGGGTAGAACACGAGCTGCCACCAGGCATTGACGACGTTGTTCCACATGCTGCGGGGGAGGGTGAGTACGCGTGTGCGTAAGGGGAGGGACACGTACTTCATGGAGGCGAGGACGACGGCGCGTTCTTGGTCGTCGTCGGCGCAGATCTGGTTTGCCCATCTGTGGAGGGAGGATGTCAGCGACGCATCGTGTGGTAGATGAAGACAGACGCACGCGAACGTCGTCGCCTGCCCCGCATAACTCGCGCCCGCCAGATCTAACCTCAAATCAGCAACCTTCAACCACCGCCCAGTCCCTCCGCGCGACTCACAATATGCAAAGAACTTGAGCCCCGTCGGGCTCGCCCACACCAGGATGCACACCGCCGCGACGATGACCGCGACGGCCATGTACACGAGCACGGGCCAGCGCGCGCGCTCGCGCGTCGCGTCGGTCCACGTCGCGCACACGAGCGTCGAGACGATCCCGACCGCGGTCACGCCGCTCGGGTAGTAGTCCACCTGCTCGACGGTGTAGCCCCCCGCCGCGGAGAGCCACTGGCCCATCAGATTGTTCGAGCCAAAGCTCTCGGTCTCGCCCGAGATCGCGAACTACAGTGACGGGGAGTGTGAGTGAGCGTGGGTGACGGGTGGGGTGGGAGTGGGGCCACGTACGAGGAGACTGCAGCCGTACCACCGCCAGCGGCCGAGGACGCGCTTTGCGAGGTCCCAGGTGGGGCGGCCGACCCCGCGGTGCTTCTTCGGGGCGTCCTTGCCCGTTTGCAAACGGGTTACGGCGAGCTCGCGTTCCTGGGGGATTTAGGTTAATGAGGGACACGGTGGGAGGGGATAAAAAAAACTTGCCTCCTCCGAGAGGTAGAATGCGGTCGTCGTGGTTGGGGTGTTCGGGAAGACGAAGAAGCCGTATAGAGCGATGGGGAGAGTTATTACACCGTCGATGATGAATCTGCGCGGGATAGGTGAGTGTTGCTCGCGGAAGGCCATAGCCTGATCATAATTGCGTACAGCCAGCGCCAGCCACTGCGGCCATTTGTTCCATTCAGGTGCCTGCCATAAACGTCAGGGGAGATGGCAAGAGAACGAATGTCAATTACTCACTGATATACTGCTGCTTGAAGTACTCCTGAGAAGCTGGGTTTTCCGTCAGCACCTAGCAGAGTGAATCATCACTGGCTGACTTACAGTGTCCCAATCAGACCTGAACTCGTGAAGATGCCGGAGCGCTTTCCCAGCTCGCCTGGCTTGTACCATCTGCAGTGCAGCCTATGTGAGCTGGTCGAAGCTCCAAGCAAGGTATGTGGAACGCACGAGCCAAGGATGTAATGTGTGCCGACGAATGTTGATGCCTCGCTCAGGCCTTGGAAGAACCGAATAGCATACAGCTGTCGTAGGTCAATGTCATGGATGGTAACAGTAGTGAGATCTCACTGTAACTTACCTGCTCAACGTTCTTGACGGCGCTCGAGCTAAAACTTGGAATGAGACCCGACGATGACCATGTCAACGTAGAGGGAACTCACCAAAATGTCAAGACACCCCATACGATCTGCATGGCTGGGAACCAGATCCTTGGCGGGACCACCTGGAGCATCAAGTTGTCTACATTGTATGCGTCGTTCAGAGCTGCTTTCCCTCTCATTTCCATACGCAGGGCACTCACTTGGTACCATTCCGACGATATAACCGCATGTGAATATCGTGTTGATTTTCTGCAAATGATATGAGAGGCTGCGAATGGCGCAATAGGATCAGGCTCTGACGTTGAATTCTGTGCCGTACATGTGGAGGTCTTCCTTCATGCCCGAGACGTATGCATTTGAGACGTTGCTTCGATCGAGGTCTGCGACCAGGGCGTGGATGCGTCATGACATGCAGGCGGTGCAGCCCGTGCGACTCACAGTTCGTGAAGTACTGCATGCGGAGGTATCTGAGCCTGCTTCCTGCATTTATATCTAATCGCGACTCACCATGAGGCAGCAGTATGACAGGATGAACCAGTCGATCTTCAGGAGCAGCGTCCGCTCCGCCCTGGTATCCGGGACCTCTCCCCACACGAACCGCCGTACGCTCCGTAACGAGAGCATCGTGTCAAGCAAACAATGTTTCCCCTCGTCGTAACGCTGGTCGTCAATTCAGGACATCCAGTCGGCAGTAGAGGGATTAGTAGTCGCGTGAAGAGATGATGGAGGTCGTCCACAAAAAGACCGCCAACGCGGGTGGTCCGACTCCATGGCCGATAGCGGGCGTCCGTGGATTGTGCCTATTCAGGCCAGGCCTGTCGTACGCAGCGGCAGCCGCGCGGGACGACTCTCCATCATCCCCCGATGCACCAATCACGGTCATGTGACGGCATGCCCCGCGCTTCTGTACGCCCACAACGTACGATAAATCGGCGGATACGGGAACGCGCCTCGCCAGTCTTAGTCTACGTCGACGCGTCTTTCCACGACATGCGCCCAAATTGATTATTTCAATAAGCGATGGACGGCCACGGCAGGATCTTAGTTGGCCTCAAAATGTGTCCATGGGCTCGGAGCGCCCGCGCTCAAATCTAGCAGCGACCGATCGGGTCACATCCCCCACAGTACTAGCGTGGGGGTGGGCTACAGTGGAGAGCCTGCTGTCACGAGCGAACACCCACCAACTTCACCACATTCTCGCGAAGGGGCCACTGAAGCCACACAGGCACCGACGACTCCCTCAACATACCAGCCAATTCGCGAGCAGCTCAACGCACACCGTGGCTGGGCGCAACAACACTCATATCACACACAGCATCTACCCTCGCACCCGGAGCTATTACATACATAGCACGCCGTCCTCACATCCTTCAAGTTGCCACGGACCGTGCGTTCACTGGTTCCAAACCGCCGGGCCGGGAGCTTCGTATCCCGTGAAGTTGCTCGGGAGGTCGTAGATGTCCTGCGCAATCAAGATCCTCAGAACCGTGCGCAACGTGAGGAGTTCATATGCACGTACGATGAGGATGCCGGGCTCGTAGCCGGTGTACGCACCGGGGAAGGACACAAGCGGCGTAGGGGACCTGCGAATCCGCGCGTAAGCTCTCTGTCAGGCGAAACTCTGGCTTCCGAGGACGTACCCGCTCCCGCCGTTCGCGACGTTGACCTGAGCGCAGGCCAAGTAGTACTGCGCGCCGCCGTAGGTGCTCGCCTCTGCGATCGATCCAGTCAGCCTCTGGCACATCACATCAGAGCCACGCCGACAGACTCACGGTGCAGGGCGATCTGCTCGCCGCGGATGAGGTACTGGCCGTCGGGGAGGCTCGGCGGGATGCGGAATGTGAACTGGTCGCTGGCTACAAATGAGATCAGAATGTCAGCACTGGTGCGAGCGCCCTCAGGCTGCGGAACGCGACCGACTCACACTCTAGGGCGAAGGTCAGGGTGCCGGGCTGGCCGTTGCTACCGGCGGTGAAGGTCGGGGTCTCCTGCCAGATCTTAAACCAGGTCTGACTCGTGCCGGCGTCCTCGGAGTCGGCCTCAGGGCTCGCCGCCGACATGTAGGCCGAAAAGTACTGAGCAAGATGATCAGTACGAAGTCCTCAATGCTGCGGAAACCGAGAATGCGCACGCCGGGGTGGTAGAAGTCGCCGTTGGCCTGGAAGCCGACCGTGTCACCGGCGTTGACGGTCGCGGTCGAGGTGGAGGAGGCCGTGTTGTTCTCGTAGCAGCGGATCAGGTCGCTGGTGACGTCCGTGAGCTGCCAGTGTGGAAACCGTCAGCCGTGCGTGCGTGAGGTAGAGGGGCGGGCGTATACCGACCGGCATGTTGGTCTCGTAGTTCTGCGTCTGGCGGACGTATTCCCAGTCCGTGGCAGCAGCGCCGTTCAGGATGAGGTCGGGCAGCGTGTCTGGACGGGAACACCAGTCAGTCAGCTGCGGGTGCGTCGTTGAGGAAACGGGAACGTACAGTGCGCGGTGACTGAGGTGACCGCGGCGGCAACGAGGGCAGCGAAGAAGGCCTTCATAGTGAATTCTCTGAGAGGACTCAAGGGCTGAGAGGTCGAGAGTGATTTCACTGCCGTAACCGGGCTCCGCACCCCCGCCTTTATACACCTCGCCTCACTACAGTGCGAAAGCGACCTTCGCAATAAGCTCAGGCTATGTCGCGCAAAGCGACCGCGCCTGGATGGCATGTTGCAGCCGCAACGGAGAAACCGTGCGCATCGAACAGGCGGAGGAAGAGGCAGCGGACATTGCGCCAATTGTGCGGACTATCGTCGGCCTTCGCCCTGCCTTCTCTCGATCCCTGCGCATTCATGTCAACTGAACGTCTTGAATGCTGCGATGTCTGCGCGCGCACCCACCTCCAGGGATCCTCCCCCGCCTGACGCAACAGCTATATGCACTCTGCGCACCGAAGTTCTCGCGAGACGTCGATCGGGCTGTATGTATCGTCGGGCTCGACTGCCGCCGGCCCATGCTCGTTGGACGGTCGGACGTTGACTTGCGGTCCCGCAGACTGGAGGGTGCGCACAGCCTACTGACGGCCTTCGTCATGCCTATTCATCTTGCGTGCCGAAGTTCTCTCGAGATGGAATCGGGTGCGTTCTCATCTGCCACCGTTGCATGTCCAGGATTGTACACCTTGCGGTCCCGCACGGATGTACATGTGTTCTTGGCCTCCTGACATATCCGGGGTGTATACGCATTTCAATGTCAGGGACACACACGCAACGGCTGTTGAGTGCGACTCCAGACTTTGTTTTAGGTCACCGCGTCACGCCAGTGCAGAGCCAATATTGGCCGTGAGTGGACTGCTCGTGGTTCGGTGAACTTCACACGAGAGCTGCTCCGCGCCATGGCTACCAGGTACCAGTAGGAGTCAGGAATCTTGCAGGGTCAAGCGGGGTAGTTGAGAAGACTCACCGTGCACCACGCGGACTTGATACAGAGGTCATCCTTCACTGGCAGGTAGGTGCGTGACGTTCATTCCTCCCCCGACCGCTCCGCCATAGGTATGAAACGGCGAACCTGGCCTGGTAACATACTAGTTTTAGCCCTCTAAGTTATATCGGTATCGTTGCGGAAACCATGGCCTTCGTCCGGATCAGGATACGAGGACACTGCATTGACAGGCACAGCGGAAGGCAGATGGTATGCGTTGAACAGCGTACGATATGCCCTCGTGATCCCGAAATCTCTGCGCGAAGAGTCGGACAGGACGTTCAGCGGCGAGCATGAGTACTCGGAACAGCGACGTGTGAGGTCGCTCACAATTAGCACGCCGCTGCCTTGCGTCAGAACCCCTTTGAAGGGAAACCCATCCGACATGTACGGTCGGATGAAGAAGAAAAGCCCTGTGCCCAAATTCAAGTTCCGTTGCATCGGGTGCCGCCAGCAGAGCAAAACGTATCACAGTCCGCCGCCGTGGTTGGAGCTGGTCGATGAGAGGACTAAGGAGTACAGGTATCCGCTGGTGACGCCTACTGGGGAGGAGCCGCAGAGGGCATTCGTCGGGGTGGAGATGGTGCCCTGGACGGAAAATGTCATCAATGCTGTACTCGAAGCGCAGCAGTAAGTAGTACTTACATACGCGTCGGACGCGCGCGAACGTTGTCGGCTGCGACGACTATGTATCTCGCAGATTCAATAGAACTGAACAACGCCAAGTATTGGCGATCGAGCTCAAGAGTCGTGCGTGCCGATACACGGGTAATCAGTCTCGTGACAGACCCTCTAGCCCGAAATTGCTCAACATCGACGTTCGCGTTCACTGCCGGTCATTCTATCGCAAGGCCTCCTCGTATTCTTGTCAAACCACGATTGTAGGACACAAATTCAAGGCCCGAGTGCTCGTACACGGATCCAACCCGTCCTTAGGCTCTCAGTATGATCGCGTAAGCGCCCAGACTCCTGATGTAGTTTGGATGAATCTAACCGTTCGACTGGGGCCTCCGGACTCTGTGCACCAAATTCTGCTTGCGGCCACTTCGTGAACTGAGCCTCGAGAGCAAACATCCACAATGTCTACCTGAGTGGGGTGGGGGGGGGGACCGCTCAGCCAGTCACAGCCAGTAAGTACTCAAAACAAGCACAACACCGCGATTGCTCGCGATCACAGAGCCGTCTACGTGCCGATCGCGAATCCCGCCGCGGACTCATCATGGCAAGCTGCGTGCCTCCCCCGAAATGAATGGATGCGCCGGGCCGTAGGGGGGCCTCGAGCCTCGAGCTTGGCGAGGCCTCGCGCTTACTCACCGCCCGCGCGCAAAGCCCGACGCGTCCTTCTGCGGGCTCCCCATTTCCCAGCGACATGTGTGCCTCAGCCTGCCGGCGCACCGGCGCGCCCGTCCACAGTCATACGTACGCGTTGGTCATACGCACTGTGTTCGCAGCGTCGGAATCGGAGTGAAGCTTATTTATTGGGTGGGCGTCCCGGGGTCCCCGGAAATAGAGGTGGGTTGGACACCGGTTTGGGCGCACTACCACTGGGAGGTGGACGTAGGGAAGTCGGGTGACGCTCGGGCATGGTGGAAGGCGTTGTTCGAGTTCGAAAACGGATCAGACGTCGATTATTGAGTGAGCGGCCTCGGACCATCCACTGAGATCGCTTAGAAGGACGTCGAAGTGGTTTGCTTGACGGGCGTGGGCGGACGGACGGTGCACATCAAGTGCACATCCCTGCCTCTGTGCATCATGACGGCATGTTCATGCGAGTGGGCGAGGATCACTGAGGGAACGCTCGCGACTGATTGAGCACGCTGAGCGTCTCGGGCGGCTCAGGCGTCTGCGCGATGTTGATCAGTGCGGTGGGATACGTGAATGTTCATGCACATGTGCCGCGGTGTGACACGTAAATCGACGGCCTGGAGGAGGCGTCGTGGTGCCGGACGTAAACCATGCAGCGGCCTTCGAGAACGCGCGCATTTCGGGCAGTGTGGGATGCGCCGCTACGCACAGGGAGGGAGTAGACGAGAATAATGATATATTGCTGACAAGGAGCCCGCGGTAGCGGTATGGGAGCTATTGCAGTCATATGTACGGGCGAGTGGGACGCACCGCTGACAAGTAGTTGAGCTATGTGATACAGTACGGTACCTTTGGACAGTTGGACAGTTGACGTGCGGCTTCGACCGCAGCCCATCATCGTATGCGACACCGCCCAGATGACGCTTCCTGTCCAGAGGTCCTCAGTCGAAGTGGCACCAGGTGCGGCTACCCAGAATGCGTGGGTGTCACTGACCTACCGTTCAAGCAGAGTGCAGCCGCAACTGCGTTGGGCAACCATAGCCGTAAGCTCTCGTCCGCAGAGACTGCGCTGGGCAACCCTAGCCGTAAGCTCTCGTCCGCAGGACAAGACGAAGCAGACGGTCGCGACATCGAACTAGTCAGCTCTGGGCAGTGCACCATATGACGAGCTTGATGGAAGTGAACAAACCGGGGCACTCGACTAACGATGGCCGACACTCGGCGACAGCGCGCTGTCGGCGTCGTGAACGAGGGGACGGCGCGGGTGATTGGAACGCTGCAGTCACAGAGCACGGGTCCGGACGAGGGCGTGACTGGGCCGGACGAGGCGGACTCGCCGCTCGGCTTTACTAATACGGGGTTCGGACCAAGGTAGGAAGACGCCGGGACACCAGAGGCAGGAGTGCACGCCGGGAGCGCGTGTGCCACGGCAGCACGCCAGCAGCATCGCCCAAGCTGAGCCGCATAGACGCGGGCATCGCCACAGAGGACGTGGACGCTGTGGGGCACAGCGAAGACGCAGCGGGGCCGACGGTGGCGGCGGGTCGGGCGGCATGGTGGGTTCCTGAAAGGGAAAGGCGTTTTGGCAGCGAGGCCACGGCGCGCGATCGCATCTCATTCTCCTCCGTCATTTTGGGTTTGTGATGCGGGCGCCAATCGGGTGTGCATCGCCCGGTATGCGCTCATCGTGCGCCCTGGACGGCGGGGTGGCGCGCACGGGCGGCGGGGCGGCGGGCGGGGCTGGCGGGAGGCGTCCGGAGGGGTTGGGCAGGAGGCCCGGAGCAAAGAGACGGCGTGGCGCGGGGCAGAGAGCGGACGGGCAGAGTGCGATCGGATGTGACGCGGGGGGGATGAGTCAGCCGCGGACGAGTGAGTCGCACGGGGGACGCGAGCGCAGGCGGACAGGCCGGGCGAGTCGCAGACGTTCGCAAGCCTTCCTCCGAGCTTCTCCGTCAGCCGCTGTTATAATAAGATTTCCTGCTCCCTGTCCTCCGCCCTCTCCTCACCGTCTCTCCTCTCCCGCCATGCGCGCCCTCCACATCCTCCCCTTCCTCGTACCCGCACTCGCCGGCGCCCTCGCCGCCGTCCCACCTCACGACCCCCACGCGCTCGACCGTCCTGCAGCATCAGGCTCAGATGTGTCCCCACACGAAGAGATACTCTACCGGAGAGACGGTGACCACCACCACATGGGCGCGCCCCTCGCCCACCTCAACGAGACCGAAATCGCGGCCAGCCACCAGCCGACGCCTCCATCTTACTACTGGAGTGATATCATGGACCCCCAGGGTGAGCGCCGATATCCCGGCCTCATGGCCGTGCACGTCCTCTCCATGGGCCTTGCCTTCTTCGGCGCGCTTCCAGCAGGTACGTCGCGTCCCTTCGCCCGACATGTCCATCCATGTCTGCAGCATTGGCCGCATACCGACGTCCCTACCCCTCCCCAGGCATTGCGCTGCGCTCCGTAAAATCCGCATGGCACCCAGTCACAGTGATCCTTTTCTATACCTTCGCCACGATTGGCGTCGGCGCGAGCATGCTATATCGCAAATTGACTCCGGACATGTACGTTGTGGCGCTTTATGTCCGAGGTTCCTCCACTTACTCTCTTTGCTTTGCGCGTCTTTCCAGGTACGAGGGCGAGCGTCATTCGTCCCAGGGCTATGGCTGGTTGTTCTTTGCCGCGGCATTGTCCGCGGTGGATACCCTTGCTATCCTCCTCCGCGCATGGCACTACGTCGTCGCCCTTCGCCGAGGAGAGGAGAGTTTCGGCATCAAGTCCGCATGGAAGACGGTCATCCTTGGACGAGATGAGCCTGGAGTGCATCTCACGTCCGAGTACACCAATTTGGTCGCGGAGGACGAGCTGGAGGCCGCCGAACTGAAGACGCGCGACATTGAGTCAGAGGACTCAGAGTCGGAGACCCTTCACGAGCGCCGGAACCAGCCCATGCAGCCGATCCGCACCATCTTCGACGCCCGGGACAGCGACCACGAGGAGACCGCTCAGTGGGCCAACAGTGTCCCTCGGCATGCACGTCAGCCGTCCTATCCACAGTCCGCGGCTTCGGAGCGCACGCTCTTCGGCCCCCGCTCTCCGCGCGACTCCGACGACACGCTCCACGTCCCTGGTCCATGGTACGCTAGCGAGAACCGGGCGTGGCTCATGCAGAAGATTGGCCGCGCCGCCTTTGGAACGTCAGAGCGGGTGCTCGTCTTCGCTGGCTTTATGCAGGTCCTGACGGGTATTGTAACGTACACTGGTGGCTGCCGTCAGAACTGGATCAATGGTTGTCTTGCTCACCTGATCAGTACGTTCCCGCACTTGTGGTATCTTTACCATTCCTGACGAGGATTCCAGAGGGTGGCATCTTCTGGTGCTACGGCCTCGTAACATTCGCGCGGTACCTCGGTTCGTTCTCTGAGCTCGGCTGGGCGTGGAATCGCGTACCGTCAGGTAACTACCCTTCCGCCGAATTCGTCGAGTCGCTCGTCGTATTTGTTTACGGAATCACCAACACTTGGATGGAACGTTTCGGTGCGCACCCGGGCGACCCGTACACCACCAAGCAGGTCCAGCACATCAGCATCGCCGTCATGTTCTGGTTCGCTGGCCTTATCGGTATGGGCATTGAGAGCAAGCGCATCCGGCGGTGGCTTGCGGCAGGCAGCACCGCTGCGATGGGCATCAACCGTGGCCAAGAGGCGGTCGCGGAGCCTCCGAGCTACGCAGCAAGCTTCAACCCCTTCCCGGCGCTGTGCATTGGCATCACGGGCGCAGCAATGGCCGCACACGCGCAGACGTACCTCTTCCAGGTGCAAATCCACATGCTCTGGGGAAACCTGTTGACCGGGTTCGCCGTCCTGCGATGCCTGACGTACTTCTTTGTGTGGCTCAGTCCTCCGCGGAGCATCCTGCCCAGCCGGCCGCCGACGGAGGCGCTTGCGAGCTTCCTGCTTGCGTGTGGGGGGCTGATGTTCATGTTCTCGACGGAGGAGGTCACGATCGCGGCGATGCGCCAGGGCCACGACGATATGATGATGTTCCTGAACGTCGGCGTCGCGATTACGTGCCTGGCGTTCTGCTGGGTCCTCTCGGTCGTCGCGCTCAAGGGGTGGCTCAAGAGCCGCACGCATGCTGCGGTGAAGTTCCACGCGTCAGCGTGAAGACGAAGATGGCTGTGAAGACGCACGCGCGAACCTTCACGTCGGCCTCGCCTCGCCGCCTTGCCATTACCTGCTGTCCCTCGCATCGCCGACCTCGCTCGCCAACCTGCTTCAACATTAACGAGAGCCCGTGAACGTCCCGCCACATTGTTGCATCACCACCCACCTACCTGTAGCCCCAGCCCCACTCTGCTCGCGCCCGGTTATTTATCCCTAATGACCTTCAACGACCCCTGCGCCGCTGGCGCCTTGATGCCCCCCGTGTCGGTTGTTGTGTGTATGTCGTGAGTGTACATACTCCCCCTGTTGCATAATACGTAGCCCATACTTCATTAACGTCGTGTTTTTACTTTTGGAATGGGTTAATGGGATTTTGGAACGTACCTCGCCTGTGTGCTGTGAGATGTGCTGGTTTGCGTCGTCTGGGTTACAGCAAGGCGGTGGGTCTGCAGAGGACGATGGGGGGAGGATGAAAGGATGGGAAGGATGGGAGAGACGGAGTGCCAGCGTGAGATGGGGGTGGTGCCGAGACGGTTGCGACTCGCTAGCGGAGTCTGCAGTCTCTTGCCAAACTCCGGGGATTCGAGTGTGAAGAGTGCCTGAGCAGGCGTGAGGGAGACATGTGATCCGTGGAGCCAGATTGCGATCGTACAGAACGCCTGTTTCGGCGGCGGCCATCTGTCTTCCATCTGCATTGCGACCACTCAACCTGGGATGAGCGAGTCGGGGGAACGGCGGCCGTACGTCGTCTTTGGGTACGGCTCCCTTATATTCAAGGTAGGCACCTGCGTCATCTCCGCACGCCCGTCTGAAGGTTGGAGTGACGTCTTTCGAATATGAATATCGATATCGGTTTCTGGCGTGCGTGTAGCCACCTCCGCATGTTATAGCCCAGCGTGTGTCCCATCCTTGCGCGGCGGGGTTCCGGACTGATGGCATTCGTGCGCTCGACAGATCCGGGTTTCCTGAAGGGTTACGTGCGCCGCTTTGCGCAGAAGTCGCATGACCATCGAGGCACGCCGGAGGTGCGTCGTCCTAAACGTTGTCTCGAAAAGTGTCGCTCATGTGGTATCCCCTCCGCTTGGCAGAGCCCTGGCAGGGTAGTCACTCTGGTGCACACGGAGGACTGGGACGCGTTCTCGGGATCGGTCAGTGCGATGATGATCGCTCCGGGTTTGGGTTTGCGTTTTTACCGGTGGCGTACAGGATCCGTTCCCGGACGATGATGTCGTGTGGGGTATGTGCTTGGGGATCCCTGCTGCTGCCCCTGGTGCTCATCGATGTAACAGGCGTCGCGTATACCATAGACCCGACGTACGAGTCAGAGGTCCGGGATTACCTCGACTACCGCGAGAAGGTACGCAGCCTCATCGGCTCGGGACTCGGATGACCAGAACTCTGTCGTCATCAGGACGGCTACACGTTAGAACAACTAGACATCTGGGGCATCGCAGACGGCCGCGAGCAGGTCGTCTTCCATAATGTAGGCGAGTCCGCTGCTGTTCCGCTTCGATGTCATACGAGCATGACGTGTGCAGGCATTCGTACGTCTGACTTAGCCCCTCTGTGACTGCTTTTGCACTCAGATGGTGGCACGCAGTGCTACGTTGGACACAACACCAATCCATCGTTCAGTGAGTGCTTCCGTAGTTGTCTCAGGTCGTCGCGCTGACCATCCTGTCACACTTAAGTCGGCTCTGAGCCTATAGAACAGCTCTCACGGAAGATATGGGAATCTGTCGGACCCTCAGGACCTAACAAGGAGTACCTATACCACCTCGCTGAAGCCGTCCGACAACTGGCTCCCGAGTCGCACGACTCCCATCTGTTCGCGCTGGAGGTAAGCAACGACGGCATGCGGACTCTTCATACATGATCGTTGATGATACTCCTACAGACAAGATGTCGCGAACTTGACGCAGAGAAGGGCGTCAGCAGCGTAGCCGGTCATCCGGAGATTGAGGGTACGAGGCCGCTGCAGCCCGAATGAATAACATTGTAGCGGGACATCACTGTAGCCCATACCACTCGCGCGCTCACAGAGTTCATACTGACCACAAGTTCACGCAATACAAATCATGTATCAGTTGCCCATACCAGACATCAACCATCCATAGTCCGCCAGCGCCCCCATCCATATCCAGAAGCCAGCCCACCCACAGCCTACGAAGCCCTTCCAGCAGCTCGGCCTGTCGTCGAAGTTGACTCTCGCGAGCACGCGTGCGAGCTGAAGTGCCGCGAGGCCGGTGCCCGCGTAGAACAGGGCACCCTGCGCGTTGAGGTATCCCGCGTAGGTGATGAGCGAGATGGAGGATGCGGACAGCGCGCTGAGGATAGGTCGGGTGTGTTCGCCGAAGAGAAGCGCGGTCGAGCGGATGCCGACGGTCACGTCGTCTGCTTTGTCCTACGTCCGATGAATCAGACACTCAATTCGCAAGGATGAATGGGGATAGACGGACCTGGTGCGCGTATATCGTGTCGTAAACGAGCGTCCAGCAGAAGCCGCCGGCGTAGAGAGGGAGAGCGACACTCCAGTTGACTGAGCCTGCTACTGCTGACCAGCCGAGCAGTGCTCCCCAGTTGAACGCGAGTCCTAGGACAGATTGCGGCCAATATGTCACCCGCTTCATGAAGGGGTATATGGTTACGACCGACAGCGAGGACGCTCCAAGCAGTATACTGCGCGCACCATCAGCCAGGAGTTCACGCCCAATGCAATCGGTCACTCACCTATACCAGTTCAGCTGAGTGAGCACCGCCAGCCCCGCGCTAAGCTGTAGTCCCAGGAAGCCAACAGCCTGTCCCGTCGATATGTCGCCCCTTGCCAGCGGTCGTTCTTTCGTTCTATCTGTCGTGCACAAGTAGGTCGGTGTGCCGTCAGAGTGCTCGTGAACAGACAACTTACCGACACTCTTATCCAGTTTCTTATCCCACATGTCGTTGATAGTACACCCCGCTCCTCGCATGACGAGTGCCCCGATGCCAAACAGGCTCAAGTATGTCAGAGGGACCGTGTAAGGAGTCTGGAGGGCGAAGGACGCCATAGTGATCGACCATGCTGCGAGGTGACATTAGCATGCTGTCGACGCGTTCTGACGCGTCCAAGAACCCGAGCACGCACTGCAAGGGTAGTAAAGCAGCAGGGTCCCGATAGGTTTGTCTATACGCGTGAGGTATAGGTACGGCCGAATTTTGGAGGGGAAGTGTTCCACCCATGACTTCGGGTCAGGCGGTGACGAGAGTGTGCCATTTTGTCGGAGAAAGGTTGTTCGAAAGCTGGTTCGCTTGGCCCTGTGCAGTTGAGAGTAGAATCTAAACGTGAAGCAGCGATGGGGATGGAGGCCGCAGAGGCTCCGCGACCGCGCGGTGGACGCGGTGAGCGTGAAGTTCATGCCTCGGGCGTTGCCGCGCAGACTGTCCGACTGTACTCTCCGGGTCCGAGCCCAACCTCAATTTGACCTCAATGGAGCTACCAACAAGTGCGACATGTACGACCCCAAAAAACTTCATTCCTTCAATATAGTATACTCGTGCGCGGCACGAGATTGTTGATTCTTCTCAATACAACCCAAAAGCATGTGGTATAGTGCGCGATGATGAAAGTGATACAGATGCCATGATGCCTCCGCCCGGGACGACGCCCTTCCCCTACCATTCCTTTGCAAGCTTGAATGACCATTCCCAATCTGTTCGTTCGTGAGCGTCTGAGCACGTATACATCGGTGTCGTACTCACCGGCGTAGACCTCGCCGTCGTCGTCAACGACACGGCTCCTCACATTGTACGAGCCAGAGCGAGCGAGCATACCAGACGGGGACTCCTCGGGATCAAAGTTCTTGGTGTATGCCTCTCCTTTCGGGTGGGGACCGTAAGAACCAAGCATCTGTTCCATCTTGTCCACTGTTGCGGCGTGAGCATGCATTGCGTTAGAGCCAGGTAGAAAAGCCGCGTACCGCGAACACCAGAACGCTTCACAACCTGCATATACCGTACACCCTAAGGGACGGCCTGTCAGTCCCACGTGAAAGCTACTGTACCGCGTGGCGTAGACTCACGGAGATGATCGAGTGGTTGACCTTGAACGTGATGCGGACACTTGGGTGCACCCAATCAGCACGCAGTTCATGTGCACAGATCGAACGGCACCCACTTGTACTCAACGCCTTCCTTGATGGTGATCGGATGCTTCTTCACATTGGTGAGCTGCGAGGGATCCTGGAGGTCGAGCACGAGCTTCTTGCCCGGGGGCAATGTAGGTGAGTCAAGCTCAAGCGTGAAGACGGTGACCTGTGGGAAACGATGTATGAGGACACGCCAGACACTGGCCGTGGCTGTCTCACGCACCTTGGGACCGGCGGCGGGGGCCGTCGAGGCACCCGGTGCGATACCCAGGCTGGCCTTCCAGCGTGCCAAACTCTCGTCCTCCGCGTCCATCTGTGCATATTCGTCGACACTCTTCGCCGCCGTGGGTTTGTAGCCTGTTCAGACGATACCTTAGCCTTTTCCTACCCTGAAACCTAGATGGACGTCGCATACCCGGAGTAGACGCGGGGGCGAAATCTTCTTCTTCGTGCTGTTACGATAATGTGAGTCGACTCCCATCGAACCAAGCTAGTTTGCCGGCTTACTGCAGACATGGGGCAGGGACGATGGTGGAGATGTGATGAGAACTAGGTGAGGGTCTCGATGCAGTGGCATTGCTTTCGGGTTGCTATAGATCGATTTCCCACGGGTGCTATACTATACCGCATAGCGCTCGCGTTGTTCCAAGCCACTGAGGTCTGGGCCTGGGGCCTCATTGTGTCCAGCAACAGGCTGGAGACGGGAGCGACTATTTTGGTCAGCAGCGGAGAGGGAAGTGGCAGACATGACTAGAGAATACTGCCGAGAATGCTCAGTGGCCCACTTATAAGTAGGAGGTAGCGAATGCGTCCACACAAAGTGCTTCTCAATGATGGCAATCCATATGGTACATCGGTTTCTCTAGCGCAGAAGCAGAATATTTATGTTATGTCAGACATAGTACTAGTAGCCTATTGCAAGCAAGAATATATAGTGAATACCCAGTAGATCGAGGAGCATTATACGAGACCAATCATAACAGCGATAGCTTGACTCCGACAGCGTGTTACCCTTGCTTGTTGTATATCCAATATGCCATCCAGGATTTTCGAGACGGAAGTCTAAATGACAAGCTCTGCGGGGCCCATGATGGGGTGCATGCCGTCTGCGCGAAGATCAGCATAATAATTACGTGTATGCATGCGAGAACCTACCGCCTTTAAACCAGCACTTGCCCTTGCTCAGGTGGAAGCACCTCGCCCCACTGGGGCAGACATGGCCCTGAGTGAACGGTCAGTGCTATGCTCCGCTACAACCATGGCGGAAGTGTCTACATACCCAGCAGCACCTATCGCCATGCGGGCAGTCGATGCCTACGAGGCATGAGAATATGAACCTCATGACGAGGTAGTACACGTACCATTCTTCAAGTAGTTGCAAGGAGCCTTCTTCGCATTCTTGGACAGTGTTTCGAGTTGCTCAGGAGTGAGATACCAATCGTGAGAGTACTTGCAGTTAGACTGTACACATACAATCAGAACCGACGCACTCGCGTGACACCGATAGCCACGTACACCTTTCGAGCAGGACATCAAATAGTGCTCGTTGCAAGGCGGCGGTACTTCTGCTCGCCACGTGTAAGTAGGTTGACATGGAGGAAGCGAAGGAACACTATTTGATACTTACGTTTGTGCAGGGGCTGTAGGACATGGAATTTCAATTCGGTTGCAATGGGCTAGCGATTGTTGCGTCTACTCACCTTCGTCGAGTCGATTGGCTTTGTCCCATGAGTCGTCCCATGAGTCGTACCGGATCCCGGCCTTGTGTTGACAGCGGCCGTAACAGAGGTAGAAGCAGCCGTGCCGTACGTCTCAGACTGGGGGCTGATGAGGCCTCCCTGAGTCGTTATGTTCTGGTTCAGTCCGACTAGAGGAATCGACCCAGGTCGCCTGTGAACGTAGGCCGGAGGCTGGGCCATGAACAGTGAGTCGGTCTGCATGATCGACACCGGGAGCTGCCGCAGCTCCTCTGGAAGGCCATTGCTCCCCTGCAGGAGCACGACCTTCCCGAGCAGGTCGTCCTTCTCGAGGTCGAGCAACACAGACTTGTAATAGGCATCGGAGCCACCTGCAGCGTGCGCGAAATCGACGAAAATGGTCACGGATGCATACCTCACGGCGTACAGCTGCACTCACTTCCGAAGAATAGCCGCATCGTCTGCGGCAAGGCGACGTACGTCTGGAGGTACTCTGCACCGCGGAATCAGAGTCTAAAGCCATTGACAAATGAGAACGCGGGATTTCCGCACCTCTGATTTTTACGTCAGACCCATCCTTGCCCGGACCGACGTCCACCAAGAGGAACCGAGGGGACGCCTGGCTCAACCCGGACATGAATGCCTCGAGTTGCTCAGGCCCGCAGATGCCTTCGTCCCGGAGCATGTTCATAAGGCCGCGCTTGTTGAAGTAGATTGACACCCAGAAAGAGAGCCGTCCGAAAACCTGGACTTCTTCCTGGGATAGGAACTCGGCGATGTTCTTAGTAAGCTCTTGCGCGGCCTGCCTGCCCCCCTGGTGGCCCTGGCTGAGGAGCGTCGGGGAGAAAATGTTCGTGTCTCCGTCAATAACGCAGAGAATGAGCGGGTCCTAGTACAACGCAAGCACACCATGTCAGACGGTTTTCGAATGAAAACACAGCAAGCCGACCTTCAGCATGCCCAGTGAGGCTATCTGCCTGTTAAGAGTGGCGACTCGCGCGTTATGCGCTTTCTTGTCCCGATCCATCGCGTCTAGGACGTTCGAGTGGGCCTGCTTCCAAACCGCGAGCTCTATCTCGAGCTCCGTGGCCCTAGCTTCCAACTCTGCATTGCGCTCGATGGTGGTCGTGGATAGATCTATACGCAGGAAAGCGCGTCAGTCCCTCTGGGGCGCGGTTGACACAAGTCTCTACGCACCCAGGACCTTGGTGAGAGCCTCATCCCTGTCGTCGCATACGCGTAAGCCTCTTCATACTTCGCATACGCCGCATTTTACGGTCTGCACCAGACACGCCACAACACGCGCCTAGTGGGCGCACACTCACCACTGCTGTTTGCTGACCACCCCGACTGACGGCGCCGCCATTGAGAATTATCCAAGACGAGGCGGGCAACCTAGAGTGGGACTGGAGTGAGAGGAGGAAAGAAAAGGGCCCAGGAGCTTATAACCGCCGAAGCCATGATGCCTCCTGCTGCCAACAACCTGCGGCAGCTGGGCTAGATCTTCGCGGTGCTTCTCGTCCGGACATGAGCCAATAGTAAAATAGACAACCTCACTGACACAGACAAAGTTACCGTCAGGATCCCACGGGCGCGTTGCGGGCAGCCAGTTGGCACTGCTCGCGAGCCCGCGGCACCTCAGTCGCTGCTCGACGCGGCCGACGCTGCGAACAACCGAGGATCAACAGCGCCGGGGCTCCGGATTTCCATATCTGGGCCTCCGTGCCACCGCTGCCAACTCCGACCGTTCGCTGATCTCACTCCCGTGGCGACCCCCTCCTCTCTCTCTGCCCTCGCGCGCGGCCCAGCGACGTGCAGGCACCGCGCGAGGGGCAGGTAGCAAGCTCGAGGACTCTTGTGAGCCCCACGCCGCTTGCGTGCGAAGGGCCACTCAGGGACACAGGCTGATGCTGATAGGCACTCATATTCGGTGGGTCGCGGGCGCTGAATTCAATTACTTATTTGTAGTGGTCGCGATCTCCCGTAGCAGATGGGCCAGTAAATCCTATTTATCTGCGCCTTGACAGCCCCTCCGACAGTTGTTCCCCCTGAACTCTCTGTCTGCCACCTTGGGTATGATCTACGCTGGGGCCACAACGGCCACGAGAGTGGACAGACGGACACCGTGCCACCGGCGGGGTCATCAACCTCTCGGCGCCAACCAATCAGACAGAATCTGCAGTCGACAACGGTGAGTCTCGATGCGGGCATGCCTCACCGACCGAGCGGGTCGGCGAAAATTACATGAATGAAGCTGCCGACTTCGCGAAGTTGAGATGTTCCCCGCGGCTGATACATCTGGTAACCTAGACAGCGCGAACAACGGTTTGCGATTGCGCGGACAGGCCAGTGGGCTAGGCGGAACATCGTGGGCTGGAGTCATCTGAGTCGCTGGGGCACCTGGCAGCGTAACTTACACAGCGGTCAGGACAGTGCTGGTATTCGAAACGTGGTTGGAATAGATCCGGTGCTTATCACGGTCGCATGGACCTCGAGGAGGCTTCGATGTCGCTGGTCCCGTCCAGTAGTCATTGACGAGAGAATTGTGTACCATTACAAAGCGCATAAGCTCTCGGAGGTAAGGTCATGTGCGTGCAAGACCTACACAGCTGGACGCAACCGTGGGTGTGTAATTGCAACGGCACTATCCCGCTGAAGATATTCATGAGCCTACCAGCCTACAAATACCCCTGACTGTACGAGCTTGAGCCTTCTAGTGCCACGGCGAGCCTGAGCGCCGCTGACTTATGGGGCAAGTTGATACTTACGTTACAGAAGCCTCTAAGTAGGACACCGGATGGATCCAATCGATACGGAACGCAATGCGGCTCCCGTTCGAAGTTGTGCCTATCCATGCCACGTACGTCAGCGTCCTTTTGCCACCTGCACACGCCGCAAGTGGCTGCGACCATGCACGATGCAGAGTCAGACTAGTATTTCCGGACGATACGGTGGCCAGTCAGACAATGCAGATGTCGCGGTCCATTGTCCTCCGTCTCAGTCGCCGCCAACATCCCCGTGCACTTGACGCTCGGGGTGGTACCCCACACGTTGTAGTGTCCGCTATACCTATCGCATCGTGCGCAGATGCATCGGATTGGGTGCGAGCGATAGAATCGATGACACAGTGTCCTGCGGCCCTGTGTAAACCTATGTCCCTTGATGTCGTCAGAGAGAAGTTGAGACGTCGCAAACGAAGTTGGATGGCTCTCCACATGCGAGTGCATCTATGAGACCAGCCGGCGGCCTCTCGCCATTGGAGTCGCCATAACGTGTGGGTGTGCGATATGAATGGCATATCGACTCCAACGTGCGATGTTCGATGGATCCGGGTGTCTGCGAAGGCTGAACGAACCCGAAAATGGTGCTCAGGAAGCCTGTAGGCTGTTCGCGGTTACCTCTTGGACGTCCAAACGTTCAACATGGAATCACCGATATGATAGAACACGGCTGTGGCCGTGTCACTGCAACGGTGTCTGACGACATCGACTCATCGCCAACGGCTGAGCAGCGGTAGCCCCCTCCTCATTTACCTCAGCAGAGGTGAGTCAAGGTAGCGGGATGCGCCGAGTTGAGGTCGCACGTATGGGTTATCGCTGCATACACAGCCGCCGTGGTTTCGACTCAGAACACGGCATTTTGTGGATCATATCGGCAACCAGCACAAAATTAGATAGACGCACCAGCAGAAGGCGACAAGCGACTGGCAGAAGCCTTCTTCAATCGACAAGGCTCGACAAGGGCGTCGGTAGATTCAGGGGGCAACCGAGTACATACAGTACATCATTCCCATACTGAGTGACCGTTCGCCGACTTGCTGGCCTACCGGTACCGTTTCGGTTGCTTCAGTACAGCTGTACGTAAGTAGTCTCCGTTGCTGATCAGAAAGAGTTACTCAGATCTACGATGCCTGCGCAAAGATTATGACGACGCACCTCAGGACCCCGCCCAGCGACCGTTGGTGGAACATGCTTATCCCGTGTCAGAGGACATGGGCAAAATTGCCTCTCGCCGCCGGCCAACGTCCGAGCAGCGCAGAAAGGCTCCAACGCCGAGAGTTGCTGTACAGGAGTCGCGAGCGACCGGCAACAACTGCACTGACTGGGCCGTCGCTGTCGGAACCGCCGGTTTCTTGTCGTCCGCTAAGGTGCGTTAGGCAAGGACGACGTCACGGTGCCCTGGCGGGAACGATGACGGTAGAGGATTGCAAAGGATTCATCCGTGGCCAAGCAGCGGCCAAGCGCGAGCCACCAAGCGAGATCTCTCTCCGATCGGGGCACTACGCCCGGCGCCTACCACTCCGCGCACGCAGCGACAACATCCCACGCCGCCTCCCGCCTCTGCCCGTCGTGGTCACGTTGCGGCGCATGTGAGCCCGCTCTGACAGTGACCAGAAGTCATCGCTAGTCGTCGCTGCGTGCGGTGAGCTGCTGCCTGATCTGCTGGCGGATGCCCAAGTGTGATGGTACTGATATACCGTGTGTGCGTACAACCGCTCGGCAGCGTAGCGGCGGGCAGAGTGTCTCCACCCCCGAATTGAACGAGGATGCATAAGCGCCTGGCACAACGCTCTGCAGCATTACGGGGCGGCGTCGGCGGGGGTGGCTGTCGCAGCCGAGCTTCGCGTTTATCGGGCTGCGATGGGCGTGCCTTGTTCTGCCTTAGCGTGTCCGTGGGCGGGCAGCGGTGCGCTCGCTTGGGAGAGAGCCCGGTCCGAGCGACGGGCTGCGAAGGGTGGAGGTGGAGTGCGCGCGGTGGCGGCCAAGACGAGCGTCCGGCAGGATTGCCTTTCGCGGCAGACCCGCTCTGCAACGCCCGGCTGCGCCACTGTTCTACCGTATGTCTTGTTTTTGGGGTGTTCGGGGATAGCCTATCCATCACTCGCAGTGGCGTACCTAACGCTTCTTCCCAGCTTCCCTCTCTCGTCATGCAACCGCCGCGTGATCCTAATCGTATGTCGCTCCACCCAGGGCCACCCTCAAACCATTTTCGTGCGCTTCGTCGCGAACAAAGGAAGTTCGCAGGTATATAAGCCATGCTCGTCCTGCCAGCCCTCCCCCGTGCAACTCCATCTTCTCCGGCCGTTGTCCACCATGTCCATGTCGCCCTCCCCCGCATCGAGCGCAAGCGGCCACGCCTCCGTCTCCGAGAAGGGCCACAAGGAGACCGTTCGCACTTATGGCGCAGAAATGGACGCAGAGATCCGCGCCCATGCTCCCGCTCTGCGAGGCAGACGACTGACGGCCGCGCTTGCCTTCGTCGCGGGCACGGGGTTCACGCTGTTTGGGTATGTTCAAACTCACCACTCGAGTATGCGCGCCGAGTCTCTGACACACATCTGCAGTTACGACCAGGGTGTCATGTCTGCCCTGCTCACAGCGAACCAGGTACTGTCCTCTGCCCGATGCCCAGCGGTAACAGCCCCCTAACGCACCTTGCAGTTCGAGAGCACGTTTCCTCAGGTCAAGACAGGTGATGGTCAACCAAGCAACCACGCGACGCTCCAAAGTTTCATCGTCGCCATCTACGTGAGTAACTCACTCCTCCGTACCTCGGACATCTGTCAGTCGGGGCCCCGTGCCACGCTCGACGACCCTTTGCCTGGGATCAGCGCACAGGGAGCAGCTGCTTCCCGTCAGGGCATCTGGTTGAATCCACTGCAATTTGGTCAGATGATGTCTTTGCGGGGATCCGCCCGTACTGGTCGGAGTGCTTCTGGGTCCATTCAGTGGTTGCTCGCCTTCTATCTTGCTCTCCATTCCACGCACCTCGCACCTGACCAGGGTGCCATGATCCGAAGTGTTGCTTACGACCGCTCTACAGGAAATCGGCTGTCTTGTCGGCGCCTTGTCCAACCTCTGGCTCGGCGACAGACTTGGTCGGAGGAAGACCATTGTCCTCGGAGGGATCATCATGATCATTGGGGCCATCCTCCAGACGACTTCGTTCAGTTACTCGCAGATGATTGTTGCCCGTATTGTCACTGGTCTCGGTAATGGTTTGAATGTAAGTACACGCTTGTCCGCGCGTTTGTGTTTCGAGGCGCTAATCTTTGGGGTCTTACACAGACGTCAACTGTGCCATCATACCATGCCGAGTGCTCCCCAGCAGCCAAGCGCGGAAGTTTTATCATGATTGAAGGCAGTCTAATTACCTTTGGTATCATGATTTCATATGTAGGTTCTCCAGTGGTCCATACGAGAGCTAATGTTGACCACTCCCGCGTTTGCAGTGGATAGACTTTGCGTTCTACTGGCTCACTGGCTCCTCTGCGCAATGGAGAGTGCCAATTGCGCTGCAAATTCTCCTGGCTGTCATGATGGTCGGCGGTATTTTCTTCGTAAGTTACACCAGCTCCATTCCCATATTCGTCTGACACCGCTCTTCAGCTCCCCGAGTCTCCTCGATGGCTAGCCAAGCACGGGCGTAACGCCGAAGCACTCGCAGTCATCGCGGCTCTCGAGAACAAGGATTACACGGCCGAGTCGGTGCAGCTTACCTATCATGGTATCCGCGAGGCCCTCGCAGCCGAAGGAACCAACTCGCCAGCGCGGTCTCCTATCCGCGAGGTGTTCACGAACGGCCGCTCGCAGAACTTCCGTCGTGCATGCATCGGCGTCGTGAACCAGTGCTTCCAGCAGATCTCTGGTATTAACCTTATTACTTAGTGAGTACACTCGCCGCTTTGTTGCTGGATTCAAGCTGACTGGGTGCCCCACAGTTATGCTACGCTTCTCTTCCAACGCCTCGGCATCAACGACGTGAACTCCCGCATCATCGCAGCGGCGAACGGCACCGAGTACTTCCTCGCCAGTATCATCGCCATTTTCCTCATCGACCGGGTGGGCCGTCGGCCACTCATGCTCTTCGGCTCGATCGGACAGATGGCGACCATGATTATCCTCGCCGTCTTGGGGTCTGTCGATTCCTCAGGCGCAAAGGTGGCATCGGCTGTCTTCCTCTTCGTCTTCAACTCGTTCTTCGCGATCGGCTGGCTCGGTATGACTTGGCTCTACGTGAGTAGTCTTGGCACACTTCGCGCTCTGCTAGGATATTGACGCTACGCACGGTAGCCCGCTGAGATCGTCGGTCTCCGCATTCGTGCGCCTGCGAACGCGTTCAGCACGGCATCGAACTGGATCTTCAACTTCGTTGTTGTCATGGTTACGGGGCCTGCATTCAACAGCATCGGCTGGAAGACTTACATCGGTACGTAGCATCTCTCATACCCGCTTACGAACCTTCGCTAACGAACATGTGAATGCAGTGTTCGCCGCCCTGAACGCGTTCATCATCCCTATCGTCTACTTCTTCTTCCCCGAAACTGCCGGTCGTTCTCTGGAAGGTGCGTTCATCATGCTTCGCTCGTAGCCGAGGCATCCGACTGATCGGCACACTGTATAGACATGGACGTCATCTTCGCTCTCGCGTACAATGAGGGCGTCTCACCGGTCGGGGTCTCACTTCGCAAGGACGTGCCGGCTGCAGGCACGCCAGAGGCCGACGAGATCCTCGGCGTGCGCTCCAGACGATCAAGCACAAGCAAGGAGGAAGTTGAGCGAAACAAAGAGTAGACGGGATCTACGACCTAAATCGAGATGAGTGAGACGACACCATCTCCTTGTAGTACTACAACCACCGCACTGCACTCCACGATACCGCAGCGAGTTTCAATACCCATGAATCTCATGAATGCTATCTCATGTACTACGCAACCACGATCCACTAGCTATCGCAATGTAATAAAGCTGTCTTGTTTTGCCCGTAGTCATCGTTGTGTTTGATTCTGAGAACTGAACGAAGTTGTGACAAGGCGCGTCTAGTCACGGTGTGACGCGACGCGTCGTGTGGGAAGTGCTTACGTGGACGCGTAAATGATCGCGTAGCGCGGTCGCGTCATGCATCTTTTGTCCGCAACTCCGCGAAGGTTGTTGTTCAACTTCGACCCCGTGGCTGGTCGCGTCCCTCTTGCTGGTGCACTCGCCAGCAATGTCGAGCCTCTACACCGCGCTGCGCGTCTCACCCAAGAAGAAGCGTGCATATGCCGAGGACGATGACGACCTCCTTACTCCCAAGAAGCTACGCACTGCGTGAGTAGTATCTAGTCTGATGCACGTGTGTTGAACTCTAAAGTGAACTGGGTTCGCTCCTCGTACAGTCCCCCGACGCCCCCTGCTACATTGACGCGTCGGAAGGTCAAGCCGGATGAGGTCCCCCTACCACCACACCTGTCGCGTCTGTTCAACATCCAGACCGCGCTGCAGCAGGCCCTGGCGCATGCTCTCGCGACGTGCGCCGTCGCGCCTTCCGAGGACACGGGTATCGTCCGGAACGTGCTGAACCATCTCTCGCTTGCCACATACCATGGTCTTACCACGAAGTTCGAGGTCAATGATCTTCGGAGGCTTTGCTGGCTGTGGGAGTGGGACGGCAAGACGTTGCCTGTGGCGGAGGCTCCAAGATCGACAGGATCCGAGATCAACGATGAGCGGAACCCTTTTCTCGTCGACGAGCCCGCGCAATCACCATCCAAGAAGACCCCGAAGAAGGTTGCTGTAGAGGACGATGAAGAGAACCCCTTCCTCGTGGATACGCCTACTAAATCGCCGACGAAGAAATCCCCAACGAAGAAGACTCCCAAGAAGTTTGTGGCCGTCGAGGATGACGACGAGAATCCTTTCCTGGATAAGACGCCCAAAGCATCGGGATCGGTGCGGACGAAGGCCAAGGTGAAAGCCAAGGTCGAGGACGACGAGTACCCTCTCGCTCTGTCTTCCCCCACCAGGTCGCCATCCAAGAGCACGGTGCGCGAGGACAGTCCGGACGATAACCCATTTCTCGAGAATCGGCCCGTCGCGTCATCTTCCAAGGACTGGACCCGAGGTGGAATGGGCTTCGTCGTGAGTCAGACAAGACATTTCTCAAAAGCCTCGAACGCGAGAGTCGCAGCCTACGGCATTGGCATCGAGGTAGAGATGGACATTGATAAGGGTATGAGCGGTGGGATGGCTGCTGTCGCTCGGTGGACAGCAGCAAGCGAGTCAAGACGGAAGGACGTACGTACGAAGCTCGGACAATGGGTAGAGGTACGCTTGTCTTCCGTCGCATATCAGTGCTGCGACACTGACATTTGTCGCTCTAGCTACACACTGGCAAGATCACTGTTCCTCAGCTCCCTACAGCGAACTTGCCGTCTCTTCCCAGCACATCCAAGCCTTCCTCTCTCACTCGCCTTCTCGCCGCTTCCTCTCCTAAGTCGCCTTCCTCGGCCTCTATCCTGGCGAGATCGTCATCACCTACACCTTCGTCTCCGTCCAAGTCTCCATCCAAGCTCCCACTTTGGTCTCCGTCCAAAAGGCCACATGAGTTTGCCGTACCATTCCCGATCACGCCCTCCAGCAAAGCGGGCACACCAGCGAAGAATACCATTTTCTTCCCGAAGACCCCTTCCACGCGTGGACGCTCAGACTCGATCACTAGCCTGCTCACACCCACAAGCTCTCGATCGCCTTCCCGAACGAGCTTCATGACCCCCAGTAGTTCTCGGACTCCTTCGCTATCCGGGCGGAGCACGCCCACGGCAAGCGAGTCCGGCTCGGTGCCTTCCACACCAACTCACCAGCGTGGAGCGAACGCAGCGACTGTTCCGCAGACGCCAACGAGCTCTCGGCGGCAGGCACTGTATGACCGCGTCCGGCAGCGCTCTCTCACAGCATCTCCTACGAAAGGCATGCTCGGTAGCAATGCTGGGGCGAGCATGAGCAGGGATCAGCTGAACAAGCTGAGTCAGGACGAGGTGCGCCGACGGTGTATACTTGGACGGCTAGGGGGTGTCGCAGAGAGCGTATGGATGTAGGCCTACTTTATATCCGATCCTGACTTCTACTGACCCGATGTTTTCTGTCAGGTTCTTCTCGAACCCGGGCGGATCGACGTCTGCACCCACCGTACGCAAGCGCCGTATGATGCCTGCTCCCGAGGTAGCAACTGCTGTGATCAAGTCTTCGCCTGTCCCAATCTCGTCCGCAGAGGCACAGGAGTCGCTGGACCTCCTGACAAAGCTCTGTCCATTCTTCCTTCGCCCACTCGACGTCGATGGCGAGGAATGGCTCGAGATGCCTGCGCCAAGCACGAGCGCGGAGGCTGAGATTGGATCCAAGGCGATCACGAGCAGTCCAAGCAAGGTTCCTACTAGTCCCGGGAGGATCAAAGGCAAGGATGAGAGCGCTGAGGAGCTGAGAACGAGAAGCCCGAGGAGAGTAAAGCGGGAAGGTGCCGGCCTCCGGGAAGTCCGAGAGAGGATCCGGAAAGAACTCGAGATGAACGATTGAGGATCTATTTTTGCGCTATCTAATGACCCGGAACGTTCATTTGTCACTCGATTTGTACGAGAAATGTCCTTTTGTTTGCCTGACTGCTCCACAGGCTGTCTTGTTGCACTAGTACTACTGGACCCTAGTCATGATTTGTCCACGTCATTTACGTAGTTTTGTCGCAGTATACCCGCAGTATACCAATGTACCTCATGTCAATTAGGTCATGTAGGTTTCTTTCAGCATCGAGCAATGCCAGCCGAGTCCTAGGATCCCAATTATCATCGGAGTGAACAGTCTGCACATCGACTAGACCACTCCCTGGGAACCAGTACATGCTGTACATTTTGTCCCAAACAATGGCACTAAAAAATAAGGAAGATACAAACACACTCAGACAAGCACCCGAGCCTTCGCCTCCTGCTCAAACTTCTCACAATCGACAACCGTCCCATCCCTTCTGCTCTGCTCCGCCGCAAACACCGTCAGATGGCTCTTGAGCACCTCGCTCACGTTCGTGCCGAGCAGTTCCTGCTGTCCGGTGCGCACTGCCTCTACGAAGGTGCGGATGAGCCCGATGTCGCCGCCGCCGTGGTTGCCGCCCTCGCTTTTGGGCGCGTGGTGCGTCGTCTTGCCCGTACGGAAGTCAGTCACGGTGAAGGTGTTCATGTCGCCGATGATCTCGCCGTGCGAGAAGTGCAGCCGGCTCTGCCGCTCGCAGATGCGCTCGGTCTGGGCGATCATGGTAAAGGAGACCGTCGCACCACTGGTGTACTCCAAGTTCACAACCTGAGAATATGTAATGTCAAATGAACTGAGGGTGTTGTCGTGGGTAAGAGGCTGACCTGATTGTCGCAGACGTTGTTATCATGCTCATACACACAACGCCCATACGAGCCGTGGCGCAGAGCAGACGTTACGTTCTCGATGTCCGGGATCCCATCTACGATCGTAGCGACCGGCCAGCCGATCTGACCCTTCTGCAGAGGGTCGAGGTAGACTGTGTGTAGAGTTTAGGACAAAAGAGTCGGTTTGAAAGGCTCGTGAGAGTCTCACTCTTCTTTGCGCTATATGGACATGTACGTTCATATGCACAGTCGAAGCACCGCTTAGCATCGCTAGCCTCCTTCGGCTTGTTCTCGTTTCGGAAGTGCAGCAATGAGCCAAAGGAAGAAACACGCTTGGGCGTGCCACTGGGGCTGAGCCAATGGCACAACAGGTCGATGTCGCTGAGGACTTGTCAATGGAGAACAAGCACATGGTTATCACAAACAGCACGTACTGGCAACTTTTGGTCATAAGCGAGAAGCTGCATTCTTCCTCCTTCGACCAGTTCCCTCGCACATATGAGTGCGCAAAGTGGAAGTAGCCAATCGGTTCTACATGGACGACGTTGATCAGCTGTCCAAGTTCACCGGACAGCACGATCTCGGATACCGCCTTGTTGTATGGGGAGTAACGCAGAACTGCAGCTGATCAGCCACCTGCAGGCTAGTTGCCTCGAAGAGTCCTGCGACGTACCATGCCCCATACCAAAGATGATGTTAGCCTTCTTCACGGCAGCCTCCATCTTGATGCAGTCCTCAACGCTGGTCGCCATAGGCTTCTCGCAGAGAATATGGTACCCTTGCTCCGCAAAGGCGAGTGTGACTTCCAAGTGCATGCGATCCTGTACTGCAATGATGACAGCATCAGCCAGACGTTTCCCAACCGTGTTGATTGTCTCCTCAGATGCCTTCAAGAGGTCTTGCCAGGACTCGAAGACGAGCGTCTTGTCAACGAAGTGAGCCTCGGACATGAGCTTCCGCGTCTTGGGACGCGGCTCTGCAACCGCGACGACCTTGCATTTGTTCGGCTCAGCTATAGCGTACGCACTATATGCCTGCAGGTGCCATTCACAGCTGAGTGGGTGCTATTTACACGCGGGCGAACGTAACGGACCTTGCCTCTGCTGCCACAGCCCACGATGGCGAGGGTGACAGGCTCGTTCGAGTAGGATGCGATGTCAATAGCCATCTTGGACGGGAGAGAAGAGCGATCACCCCTAGGGGAGCGCTTCCAGGGCTTTATAGCTGTGCTTCTCAGAGGCATATTGCGGTCCGGGGACTCAAGCTATCGTGGTGCGCCGAGCGGCAGGTGTATGAGCATCGGGCCTGGGCAGGGAGCCGGATTGGCAGATAGGTTCCAGATAGAGTGCAGCAATCAGGGCCAGAACAAGCCGTTTGTCCGACAGCCTCAGCGTGCTGCGTCGCCTGCGTTCCTAGATTATGTATGAGGACGAGCAGCTGGCCTCACTGAGCATGCGGGTGCGATGTTCATAGACGCCCGAAGCGATAGACAAAGACGGCGTCTGTGATTGGTCGGTCGATGTAGCAGGTTCGAGCGCTTGAGCTTGAGCTTCGAGGGGAACGAGGGTGTTTGCATAGCGGAGGGCATGGATAGTATACACTGTAGCATCGGGTGGTCGAGGACGCGGTTGAGTGCGTCGTCGTTACCGACCACGACCACGCCAAGCGCACTGCACGTGACGCGCCCACCGCGGTTGTGGCTGTTGAACGACAATGAACGCAGCACTTCCGACTGGCATGCCTCGTCTTATCCCGCGACTGATCCAGCGTCTCCAGGCTACCCGCACAAAACCAGCTCCTGTCGTTCCGCCAGAGAGGCGACCGCAACCCAAGCCGCTGCGCCTGCCGTCAAAGCCCCGCCCACGTCCGCCATGTCCATCACTTTCCCCCAGAGGCCGGACACAGTCTATAGTCCTCGATTCACTGCGACCCATCATGGCCGTCTCGCGCTGGCGGAGGCACAAGGAGCCTGGTCCCCGTATTCGACTATCTCAGAGGAGGAAGCCAAGTGATACAGAGGATCAGACGGCTCCTCGTGCGATGACAGAAGAAGAGAGGGAGCTTCAGGCGAACCCGTATTGTAAGTCTGTATTCGCAGTGATTCCGTCAGCTAACTATCCTCCAGTACGAATGTTGTCCACTCCTATAAGAAACACCATCATAGGCAATAGCTCCCTTCCAACAGGTACGTGTACGCGGTGCCGGCGAGAGTCGTGTGCTGACTCCGTATCAGCATTCCTCATCCGTCTCTCCGTGAAACGGGTGCCTTCGCCTCAACACCGCATCATAATCTTAGTAGCAGACACACTCGAGCACCCTGCATTTAGGAAACCCACACGCCCAGGAAAGGGGGTATACGTCTCCTGTCGGAAGGAAGCAGTCAAGGCGATGGATGAAAAAGGTCAGTGGATATCCCGGCCGGCTCGTCTGCTATAGCTGACTTCCTTCAGGCAATCACAAGCGGGTCCATCAAAATACTAGGAAGAACACCGCACTGGAGGAGCAGGTCGGCCATTTGTTGCGTGTCCGCATCCTGCAGGAGCTGCGTGTACTTGTGAGACATCTCAAGCGTAGACTCGAAGGGGCGACGGACGCGCCTCTTCTCCGAAGACTTACCCGAGCTGAGTGGAAGGAATTGAAGGCGTCTGGTACCATCCCACAAGAGGATGCAGTAGCCGTGCTTGTCGTTCCGCCCGTAAACAAGAATCCTGCCACGAGAACACGGCCAGAGCCGTCTATGTCGTCGCTGCCCCCGCCAGGAGCTGGGGTACCCAACGAAGATGGTGGTCGACCGCGAAACCCGGTCTCAACGCTGATGCCTACCACTACCTCCGATGCATTTGAAGATGGAAAGCTATCGAACATCCTCCCTCATGCGAGAGTGCCATTGTACAACGGCGTTGCACTATTCCCCGATCCACAGCAGCGGGCGTCGTGTCACAAATCTCTAACGGAGTTGCTTCACGTCGAGCGCCAGGCTCGGCGAAGAGAAGCCGCCCACTCTGCGAGGCAACAGGGTCGCTCGGAGTCAGCATCGGAAAACGCAGAACCCGGCAGCAAGGATACTGCCAGAAGTCGTGGGGACGAAAAGGGAAGCCATGCGTTCCTGCTCAGGTCGAACGCGAAGACGATTCTACGAGCGGACACGGTCCCCTTGACTATCGCGCTCTGGAGGCTTCGGATGTGGGAGGGGCAAGGTTGGACACTCACAGGCGAACGCCGTCCATGGGGCGTATGATAGTACTTACACTTATACTCATTCTCTCGTGGACGCATGACGCGCTTCATTTCCATGCAAATGATTGCAAGATAGCGATACGCAGACTACAATACACAGTGCTCAAGGTTCCACAGCCATCGGTACAGGTTCGTTGCCGTCTTTCTTCGTGAGTGGCATGCCGAGGACTTCCTTGCCCTCCCAGAATTTGGGCAGCTCGTTCCCTGGAACGAAGAGCCGCTCGACGCTGTCCTCTGTGATCACGCACATGCGGATGACACCGCCCGAGGAGCCATCTCTTGACATGGCGAGCGCAAGAGCTGTGATGTCGCGTCTCAACGAATGGCTGAGCTGCGACGTGATAAGGGACTCACTGTTCTTGACGAACTCGACCGTTTCGTCCCTGCCCCAACCGTCACGGTATGTGGCATCGCAGTATCCATACACGTAGGTGGAGCCAGAGCCTTGTCGTGCACAGAAAGGTTAGCTTGTACATTGGCGCGGTTATGTCGAGGACGCACCTCCAATAGCCCATGGCTGCCGGAAGAGACCTCCACCAAGAGGAATGTTGTATACACTGGGGCCCGCCTCCTTGTCCCACCCTGCTACAATGATACCTGCGGAGAGCGCGTCCTTGTTCTCGTAGCAGAATCGCTCGAACACGCTTGCCGCCGTATGGACTGGTGGCCGTTCGCCGTGCGTTTGTCTGTGCGCCAAGGTCAGTACGGTCTAGCGACGCGGTATCAATCGTAGGGGCACGACGTACGTGTATAGTTGGAGATAGTAGTGGACGTAGTCTGCGATCGCCTGCGTGTCTGCCGCGGAGCCTGATCGACAACAGTAGATGCGGTCGTGGACGTGCGTGAGCTTGTCCGTGACACGGTTTGCCTATGCTAGATGTCAGGCAAAGCCTCAGGAGAGTATCCCAAGAGCACATACGATATAGCTGCCGGTCGTCGTCCGACTATCCGCGCCCACTACAACGCCGTCCCTGAACTGGACCGCCATGATGGAGGTCTGCGAGCGGTCTTCAATGAGCATGATCTCGAGAGCGCAACTGAGCCACTTACACCGAGGTTGACCTCCCCAGACTTCAAGCGGCTGATATCAATCGTTTCCATGGTGTGGTGCGGGGTGAATGAGAAGAGATCGAGCGCAGAAGGAGAGCGGTATGGTGAACGCGCGGTGGAAGGGAGATGTGGCTGAAGAGGTGACGCGTCTCGACGCGCGTCGGGCGGCACGCATCTTCAGCACTAGTCGCTACGTCCGTTACATCGCCTTCCTTGCATTACTCTCCCTCTCCCTCTCCATCAAATCTGACAACAAGGTTGCTCCGACGCCATGGCTCCGACTCAGTTTGTCTCTGCGTATAAGCAATTGCAGCAGGCGTTCAGCGCGCGTCCCTCTGATCCCAAGAAATGCGCCTCGCTCCTCGCCTCACTCAAGGTGACCATGATTCACAGCACTTCATGAAGATATAAAACTCAAGTACATTTATTTTGATAGATAGCCTTGAGTGAGCTGGGTCTTTTGGTCCCGATGGGCGAAGCCAGCCTCGAAGACATGGTCATGGCCCGTACGTCCGTTTGTTCGACCTCTACTTCAACAACTGCTCACTCGCGTGTCGCGCACAGGTGATGTACTCGAGATTGGCGCGTTCTTCAGCATACGGTCGAGAGACATCCCTTCCTTCGACCGCTACTATTCGCAGCTCCAGACATACTACAACGACTACAAGTGCGTACCATAGTTTTCCCCTGCACCTGCGTTGGGCGATGCACTCTATCTCACGCTCATGTCTACAGCACCGTCCTCCCCCCATCACCGCGCGAATACCCCATCCGCGGCCTCTACCTCATCCGCCTCCTCACGCAGAATCGCATAGCCGACTTCCACACCACCCTCGAGTCGCTTCCTCTCGCCGCAGACTCCCTGACCGCGAACCCCTACATCCAACATCCTGTCAACCTCGAGCGCTGGCTGATGGAGGGCAGCTACAGCAAGGTGTGGAAGGCACGCGAGGAGGCACCCGCGGAAGAGTACAGGTTCTTCGTGGACAGTCTTATGGAAACGATCAGGTACACGTCTACTAAGTCGTGTTGCGTGACATGCTGACTGAATGCGTGCGTCCTTGAAGGAACGAGATTGCAAGTTGCGAGGAGGCGGCGTACGAGAGTCTACCGCTCAAGGATGCAGGGACACTGTTGTTCTTCACCAGTCAGAGCGAGCTGTTGAGCTTCGCTAAACAAGTAAGTTCGGAGCGTGACCTTGCACACGTAATCTCACTATCCTATTCCATAGCGTGGATGGCAGGTCAACCTCACAGCGGGGACAATCACATTCGCAAAGAAAGGCGAAGAGAAGATCGAGATCCCGAAGGAGAAGCTGATTGCAGCGAATCTAGCACTTGCGCGAGAGTTGGAGCAGATTGTATGAACGTGCACAATGGACTCTTCCGCTTTGTTGTTTTCGTATATCTTTGAGTGCACATTCAAGACGCATTGTTAATCTGCAGCTGGGTTCCGACGAGAGTTGACAGCAAGTCCGAATACAATACACAATCAGCACATCTAGTCGAAGTTCTCCAGGCTCTCCTTGGCTTTCCGTGCCGCTTCATTGTACAGATCCTTCGGTACCGGTAGGTGCAGGCCATCCGTTTCATCGCCGATCCAGGACAGCTCGAGCTCGAAGTCTTTTTCCTTGGCATCGTCGTGGACCAGGTAGATACTACAGAGAGTGAGATACAAAGCCAGCTGATGAGGAGATACGGAACGCACATCCTGGCAGCCTCAAAGACCGCTTCTCGTGTTGATAGCTCTGTAAGCTTGAGCTTCTCCAGCTCAGTCTTCGCCAATTGCCGCCCCTTCCCCACTGCTGCACCGTGGTAGCCCTAGCGGGGACGTAAGTTCTTCACTTCGAATATACGCAGTATTCAGGCGTACATAGGAAACGCCACTAGGCTCGATGATGAATAATGCTGGACCAGTCTTGTCCACTCCACCGATGATGGTGCTGCAGCCGAATGGACGGACAGAGGAGTACAGTGTGTAAGCCTGCACGTAAAGCCCTACGCGCTCCACCAGTGACTACGAAGGGTAGCGATGTCAGCGCGTGTCAGCAGGTATCTAGGCCAGCACTGTACCTGGACCGTCGGAGGTGAACGCCACATCGTGAAGAGACCCGCCACCTCGTCTCTTGCACGGTTAGCTAGATGCCGGCCATCTGCGAGAAGACCTGACGATGCCTGCCATATTGCCGTTTGTGCGAGAAGGATACCATTGGATACTATGCAGACATACCATGCCGATGTGCTTGTCAATCGTTTGTATCCGGCGGTTCGCATCCGGGACGAGTAACTTGGAGTGGATGATCTTCTCGACAGCCAATACTACACCGTCTTTGACCCGCAGCCCGATGGCGGTTCTAAGGGAAGGAAGATTCAAAAGATGGTTACCGAAGTAAGTCGCCAGAACATACCCAGAATTCTCGACTGCCTTGTTTGCGTACTCAACCTAGGCGGGGTGTATGAACATGAGTGCGCTCCATGACGCGTCTCGGGCAAGCCATACCTGGAAAATACGGCCATCGGGCGAGTACGTGCTCGCCGACAAGTCATAGCCCGTTCCGATAGATGTCATGTCGGTGGATGGAGGTCAAGGCTGCGTGGAAGGACGATGCAGGGCGGCGGCGGATATGGAGGACAGGACGCGCAGGACGCGCAAGCTGGGGACGTGCAACGCGTAGGCGTGCGAACATTGCCCGCTATGGACGCCGACGCGTCGAGGAATGACCACGATCGAGATCCAACTCGACGCGACCAACTCCCAGCCAGTGGCAGAAATGGACAAGGACAAGGAGCCCGACTGGAATGCCCTCCTCAAGGACCACCCCATCTTCTCTCTCCCCAAGAGCGTCGCGGGCATCGGCGGCAAGGGCGAAGCATCCCTCCAGCTCTCCCTCAGCTCTCTCCCCGACTTCAAGGACGTCGACCCCCTCCACGATGGTCCCACACCCTCCGGCAGACGGCAGGTCATGGTCATCAAGGACTCCGAGTTGATAGTTGCTGCTGGAAGCGAGATCAGGATAACCACGCTGGCTGACACGAAGTTCGGTCGGGCTACGCCCAAGTCGTACAAGGTGCGTGCAAGGACATTCTCTGGGTACCTGAAGTTCAACCTGGACACGGCCCTAGGTCCTGCACACACCCAATGTACAGTTTGAGATTCACCAGATGACACTGAGTCCTCACGGGAAGCTGCTCGCTGTAGCAGGAGCTTTCCAGGTCGCTGTGATAGTCCTACCTCGCGCCGGCTTCACCAAAGCGGTCCCCGCCACCATCGACTGCAAGTGCGTCAGTCTTGTCGACCTCTCTGATATATGCTTGACCTTTTGTATCACACAGGTCGCTCCAAGTTGGGCAAATCTACCACGCCGCCGATTCCTCTGCACCCGTGGCGAAGATTGAATGGCATCCATGGGGTGACGGCGGTACCACTCTCATGGTGATGACTATTGACGGGAAGCTACGGTACGCCTCCTGGTTCTACGCGTGTCAAATTGTTCCAGCTAATACCATGTAGGGAGTATGACGTCTCTGTGGACCCAGAAGAACCGCAGCAGGTTCTGTCCTTCGTCCCTGACAAGAAAAAGAACAGCTTCCTCGCAGACGAAGGAACAGAGCGGGAAGTTGCCTCTTTTGCCTTTGGAAAGGGGAAGGCAGATTGGGGTCCCCTCACCGTGTACGCCATCATGCGAAGCGGCGACATCTATGCAACTTGCCCTTATATGCCTCAGAATGCGTAAGCACTTCGTCTTGATTACAGACACGTCTCCTCACTTCCAAGCAGTTCGATACCTTCTGCATATGTCCACGCACTCGAGTGCTTTGTCGCAGCAAAACAGGAATATCTCACCCAGTCCCAGGGAGAGGGCTCCTCTTCACGAAAAATGACGCATCTTTACGACTTCCAGTATAGATACGTCACAGCACTCTTGAAGCAACTTCCCCCAGGAACTGTCTACCCCGCTATATCTCGCCCTGTCCCCATGCATCCTCCAAGAAGTATCAAGGCTCTTCCAGTGCGCCAGGGCCCCTTCCTGCTCCAGCCTTCGCCAAGGACTATCGACGGCAGCGAAGGAGGCGACGCCACGGACATTGCATACATGGCGTTTGGCAGCGATGTAGAGGAAGGCGTCGAGGGAGAGACAGAGCGACTGGGTCTTGTGTTGGCTTCTTTCCAGGATGGCAGAGTGGACGTCTACCTCGACGTGGAAAAGGTCGAAGCGAGATGGGAACAGAAAGAGGTCAGCTGTCTTCTCATGCCTCCTAGGTATGACTCACTGACACTTGATACAGCGTCACGATGGCGATCTTCCAATGCTTGCTGTCTACGAGACCGTTGACCTCGGAATCATTTCCACGCTCCAGAAGATCTCTGCATCGACGTCACAACGACTCGTGGACTTGGTCGAGGGTAATCATCCAGTATTATACCCCGATCCCATCAACCAAGACACCGTATACGTCTACCACGCCTTTGGGATTCATGCTCTACAATTCGAATCGATGCTACGGAGTCTGGCTCTTGCGCTTCGCGACGATTCGTCGGACAAGGACGGTAGCTCGTTGGACACGTCGCTCCAAGTATGTAAAGGAACGGAGGTTCACCCTATCATATCCACATTCGATATCGAATCAAGGTGATTGCTTCTGTTGTATACGTATACACAGTGCCTGACGTTCAGAGCAGGTCGTCAAGCCCTATAGTAGGCGTATCGGTGCCGGGCGATGTGTACTTGACGTACAGCATCTTCATCTTGACAGCCGCCATGCGTCTCACGGTATTCCCTCTCAACCTGCGCTCAGAAACCCCTTACTCTGTATCGTCAGAGTTCCCTGCACTGAAGGACAAGGCACCATCACCGAAGCTGCTGCCTGCTCCTGAGCAGACGCAGTACGACAACCTCTTGGGCAGTGAGGTCTACTCCATACCTGCTATCCTCGCCAATGCCCAGGGTCTACCAGCCTATGCGCGACTATCACTCCCACCTAACGCCAAAGCAGAGTTCATGGTCACCCCGGACACGCTGCGCTACCTCGGCAAAGTGGCCGAGCACATCACATCCCAGATCCGCGACGTCGTCCTCGCGCACCGTGTGGCGGAAACGCGGGCACAGCTGCAGTTGCAGGAGCTCCAACGGCAGCGGCAGCGGGTCAAGATGATGCTCGACAAAGTCGCGCAGTTAAAGGACAGCCGACGGGAACGCACCGTCAAGAGGGTGGAGGAGCTGCAGGCTAGCCAGAAGGCGATCATGGCGCGGGCAGACGCGGTCTTGCAGTCCATGGTGCAGAAGGCGTCCCCAGCGCTGAGCGAGAACGAGTCGAAGTGGTTCGAGGAACTCAGGCGAATGAAAGCGGAGGTGATGGGAGTTGGCAAGTATGACGACAGGGCGTTGTCCTCTCGGTTGAAGCTTGTGAGTGTCTACAATCATCCAGTTGGCAGGTCTCTGATGTTTGTCACGCTTGTAGCTCCAGAAGGAGGTTGACCGCCTCTTACCTCAGCTGAGAGAGATGAAAGAAGTCGACCGAAGACGGCAGCAATTACGTGGCTCCGAAATGCTCGGGGTTACCCAGGCCTCGGAGCTTCGCAAGCGGTCTGGCGAAGAGTATGTGATATTCTCCCCGACGCAACTCATTAGTTGACAATATTGTCCAGGCGCAATAGGATTGAATCAATGAGGAAGGAGTTGGTTCAGCTCGCATCAAGACTCGACATGACATTAGAACCACCTCCTAACCTCAAGGAGCCGGCTGATACTTGACATGTCTTGCTACACCCTAGGGACCAGCTTGGATTCTCAGCGCATATTTGTCACTCAACATCACTGTACATACTCCATCTTGTTGTATCATACCCGCACTCGTATTGTATGTATGACCCTGCCGAAGTGTATCATGACTTGGGACTAGGACGCGCGTAGTATACGCGCGATGCCACAGGTCACCTGACCGTGCCTCCGGTTAGACTCAAATCTCGACATCTCAGACCAAGATACACCCCATCTTGCCCTTATACGCATTGCAGCGAACCTAATCATACGCTGCACGGAACTCTAGGCCGTCTTCTTGGTCTATTGAGCGTATCTACCTCCTCTCCTCTGCATACGTCTCGGTGACGATCTGACTCATATTTGCCGCATCCATGGATGATTTTCTTCAATTCCTCGAGTCGGGCGGTATACCACCTGCACCCCGCGCTCCCCATCAATCGTCGGATCCAGAAGAGACGTTGCGGAAAGGGAACACACAATGCCAGCACTGCTTCAAGTCGCGCTTGGATGGGGCCAGGATGTCGAGGTGTAGCGCATGCAAAGTCGACATGTACTGTGTAAGCCCCCTGTGCTTCCATCTGCGATCTCAGATATCGACTGCTGCACATAATTGCTTAGAGCAAGGAATGCCAGAAGGCAGCCTGGCCTGTACACAAAGCCCGTTGCAAGATCAACCAGCGGGTGCATTCGCAAGTCGGCGTAGATGCAGTCGAACATTACAAGTCTCTACGGAGCTTCTGTCAAAAACACCGCCCCATTCTCTCCGACTCTGTTATCCGTGCCCTCGACCTCCGGGCGGACCCCTCCCGCGCCGGGCGCGACCTGCTGACAATTGCTGTCCGTCCCCGCCCGGGATCGACGCGGGCAGAGACGAATTACTTCGTCGCGGCCGCGGAGGTTACATCGCTCAGCGACTTCGAGCCGGAGAAGCAGGAGGAGATGCAGTCGCAGCTAAAGTACGCCGCCGACCTGTGTAAGCGGGAAGGTGGAATGGGAGCAGTCTTCGTGATGGTTTGCTGCATCGACCCGCCGATTATGAACGTCATCCCTGTCGGCTTCTCGCAGGATTGTCTGGATGACACCCGGCCAGGCGAGCCATGGAAGGAGCAATTATTCAATAGGATGAATGAGGGTATTGTAGTATAGCAAACTTACCGGTCACTGACCGCGATGCTTAATATTCTCCACGCGACTTCGCCCGCGAAAAGCACGTCGTCCACAGTCTACCCATTGTACCCTAGTGCTAGCCTCGTCACCTTGTTCCCTCGACCGTTACAATGGGGTCACTTTACAAATTTCAAGCTCCAGGTGTGCGAGTCCCATCTCCACATTTTGACGAAGACGGAAATCGCTAGAGCTGTGCAAATGAGTACGACAAAAAATACGGCGATAATGATAGAAGTTGATGCAACATCGGACACCGTGTCTCCCGTAATGGGCTGCAGAGCGTACGCGACGATCGCCACTGTGAAGCCAATGAGGGACCACACGAGTAGTACAGCTGGTAAGCTCAGGAACAGTGCATGCCCCGATAGCCCAAAGGTATTCCGGTGAGCGTTGTTGATGTAAGCGAACTCATATGCAACATGAGGATGAGAGTTCTAACATGCATTGAGAGAAATGACACACCGTTCGGGTCGTTGACATCTGCGTACCGCTTTGGTGTCGCCAGACGAAGAATACACCAGTAGTAATACTGCCGAGCGAAGCGAAGGCTGACATGATTGAGCATGCGCGTGCTATCTGAGCAATGTCCGTCACAGACAACAGACCGACGGTAGCTCTGTCCATTCATTAGCACCTTTATATATTCACGGCGTTGATGGAACACAACGTACGAAAGAAGCACGGTAGACTTCAGTGGAGCAACGTGCATTCAGCAGTGAGCGTTTACATGCATCCATAGGTACTTACCACGAGAATGAAATCCGAGTACTCCCGAACGAGTTGATCCTTGTACTCTTTCCAGCTCTGATGCAGACTTGATAAACGTCCACGAAACTCGCTGGCATGCTGCACATGCTCCAGGTATGTCTGCGGGATGCCGAAGAACGGACCATTCACGAGAAAACGAAGCAGTATGCTAGCGACGGCGGATGGGCTCGTTGGTACGTAAGGCGGGCTGCCGAGTGTCCGTCGACGTATGCGGTGTTGGTTGAATGTGTATTGTCCGTAACCTTCTGCGTGGCGATGGCTATCTGCATAGCATCTCAGAATATCGTTCTGTAGATAACAAGACCGAACGTACAAACTTCACGGAGGATCCATGCGACAAGTGCCACCATTGACGTCTCACGGATGGTGGGTCCTAAGGCTGACAGTAGGTCCGGAGTACCAGGAGGCTGGAAATCAAGGCTCACCCTGAGGTACCACCAAGTGTTGAAGGAGATCGTCACACTCAACCTTCGAGAACGGCACGAAGCTACGTTCACCGTGCATCAGGTTATCTATGCGAGCTTATAATCCATTCGTTATACAGGGTATAACTTCGTAACGTACCAAAGTAGTACGCCCTGATGGCGTCGACAGCTTCTGTCAATGCTCTATACGGCATCGTCATATGGGAGGGATGTCCCTGAATGTAATTCCAGTACAGTCTGCGACGCCGAAGGACTGCGCTATACGTCTAAGTTAAATGCAATAGCAGTAGCGTAAGACGCACGATTCACGCCCGACATGTTCTCCGAGCCAACCCAATCCTTAAGAGGTTTGGCACTAGCATGTTCCGCGACGCATTGATTATGATCGATGATGAGATAGAAGTAGGAGCCAACAGAGCCCAGCATGCATGCTTCCAGCCCATCCGGTAGAGCCGACGTCTGATTGGCAAGGTAGTACTCATTTACGCCTGCCAGGATGTCCGGTATGCGAATATCGTCATCGACAACCAACTTATACTCGTCGTTACGGAAGTAGGCCCAGCTCTGCGGATGAGTATACTTGGTCCATCCCTGCGGCATGTTGGTGCGGGTGCGTTCGACGGTGATATACGCGTCATCCGCTGTATTGACGGCGGTTGCAATGCCGGTGTTGTAGTCGTCAAAGTTGTCGTAAGTAGCCATAGCGTCAGAGCAAAATTCGTAGGGTCGCGGAGAGGCGATTGCAGAACCAAGCAGCTAAGACTACGGAAGCTCGAGCAGTGAACGATGGAATCGCATGTCGTCGCGGCCTGCCTGATGATGGCAGTCGACCGCGCGTGTATCCCTGCGCGGCTGTGGCTTCAACTTGACGCGTCGGTCAGCACGTGTTCAGGTCGCGTCTTGTCTCGCGTCCCGTCGCGGGGTCATCGCCTCCTTCTTCTCCAGACTGGTAAGTTCTCTAGTTGTGTCGATTCGAACAGGGCTCATATATACAGTATTACTTGGCGTAGGGCGAACATGAGTGCCTTCGGCAACAATCCTACACAGAGCGCCGCGTCAAACACGACGGGTGCGGGAACGCCTGCAAGCGGCACTGGTCCTGGAACAAACCTTTTCGGAGGCTCTGCGTTCGGAGGCGAGTTTAGATCTTCTTTATATCCCTCTGGAAACGAATGTTAATCACTGTTACCACAGCTAACAACAGCGGTGCGGGGCTTTTCGGTGGAGGTAACGCGACGAACACCACAGGTGGTGCTGGCCTGTTCGGAGGTGGTACGTGCGCAGATGGCTGCAGATGAATACTGACTCAACATTTCCATCCAATCAGCGGCTTCTGGCGGCAATCTATTCGGGAATTCTGGGGCCAAGCCAGCTGCCGGGGGTGGTTTATTCGGGAACGCAAACACGACTGGCCAGTCTTCCGGAGGCAGCATCTTCGGAAACCAGGGTGGCTCTACGGGAACGTCAGCAGGACCGACTGGGGTGGGGCTCTTCGGCAATGCAGGTGGCAGCTCAGCCGCCCCAGCGTCGGGAGGGGGCCTTTTCGGAGGCACCAGCAACAGTGCCGCCACTCCGGCCGCAGGTGGTGGTTTGTTCGGGAACGCCGGCGGTGCATCTTCCAACCAATCAGGTGCAACCACTCCGGCAGCAGGAGGGGGCCTCTTCGGCAACAATGCGACCGCTCCAGCAGGAAGTTCCGCCACCTCAGCTCCAGCTGGCGGATTGTTTGGTAACGCAGGTGCCTCAAACACGCCTGGGGTAGGTCTCTTTGGTTCGGCCCCCGCGGGAGGCAGTACTGCCGCGGGGAATAACGCCTTCGGAGGAGGCCTTTTCGGTGCGAAACCAGCGGGGCAAACAACATCTACCCCTACAACAACTGCTGCACCGGGTGGCACCGCCGGTACTACACCGAATCTGTTCGGAAGTGCGAAGCCTACTGATCAAACGTCTTCCACGACCCCCAAACCTGCTGCAAGCAACTGTAAGTGTTGGCGACCAAGCACTTGACAAGCTGAACGGCCGCTGACGAGTTGACAGTCTTCGCTCAGCCTGGCACGAGCGGGACATCGTCAACGAGTAAGCTCATCTCGTATATATGACCAACAATATGTGTTGACCATTTTCTCGCAGCACCCGCCGCCGCACCTTCCGGAGGCCTTTTCGGCTCGGCGCCCAAACCCGCAGGTGCCCCTGCGAGTTCAGCGGCGTCGGGGACAAGCAGCACGCCGGCACCGGCTGGTGGTGGCCTCCTTGGGGCTGGGTTGTTCGGTGCTAAGCCGAGCACGCCTGCACCATCATCGACTGCCGCTCCTGCGACCTCAACATTGCCAGGATTTTCGCTAGGCGGCGGGGCCTCGAAGGATGCGGCTGCAGACAAAGACAAGGACGCATCGAAGACGTCGTTATGTATGTCCGCACGTAGTTGACCATATTCTTGGCCCGCTAACGAGGGATGCCCACAGCAATACCGAACTTCTTTGCGAAGCCTGATGACAAGAAGGATGCACGTGTGTAATATTGCTGCTTTTCCGCGGTCCTCATTTAACCGAGTCTATAAAGCCACGAGCCTACCGGCATTCAGCCTTCTCGGGGCTGCAAACAAGGATGCAGAGAAGAAGGATGGTGCACCTGGTGGGTAATGCCGCGATTCTTGCTGCGGATGTCGCCCTGAATCAATAGCAGCCCCTTCTTCCACGTTCTCGCTAGGTGCCAGTCTCGCACCAAAAGAAGGTGATAAAGCAAAGGATGCAGCCGCATCAGGTACGCGTAATGAACCACGCCTGAATGTTCTGTCAATGACCGTGCTTGATAGGTGCGCCTGCTACGACATCAACCGCAATAGCAGTGCCTCCGCCATCTATGCTCCGAGGGAAGACGATCGAGGAGATCGTTAACAAGTGGTCGACCGAGCTCGACAACCATGTTCGTGAATTCAACAAATTCGCAAGCGAGGTCGCAGTATGGGACCGTGCGCTTATCGAGAACGGCAACAACGTGAGTATCATAGATATTTGCAGGATGTACTTGGTCTGACTCCAGTATCGGCCACCAGCTCGCCGCGTTGTACAACCTCGTGGTCGCAGCGGAGCAAGAGCAAAATGACATCGACCAGTCGCTAGACCATATCGAGCAGCAGCAAAGGGAACTTGTTGCGACATTGGAGGCGTATGAGAGGTCAACAGAGGAAATACTCGGCGGCCAGGGTAGCAACCTCCGTGCGCTCGACACGGGTCCTGCCGATACCGAGCGTGACAGGAAGTCAGTGTCCCTTCGTTGTCTCATTGTGCACTCGCACTGACTGTAGTGATTTCGGCACCAGCTACACGGTTGCGACCGAACTGCACGGTCACCTGGATGACCTGTCTGGCTCGCTGACCCAGATGATTGACGCGGTGAACGCGCTTGCGCTCCCTACCGACGGTGCCTCACAAAACAACGATGACGCGCTGAGTCAGATAGGCGAGATCCTGAGCAGTCACCTCATGAGCTTGCTCTGGATAGATGGCTCTGTGAAAGAGGTCGAGAGCCGAGTCAACGAAGTGGAGAAACGGGTCCGGCTCGCGGAGGAAAGTGGCGCTGGCTCTAGCTTCAAAGGCAGAGGGTTCGGCTTAGGTGGCAGTCGATAAGACTTGTAGAACAGGTATGATGACCGTCGTTCATTGTCGATACATATTGACGGACACTGTTGCAGAGTGTGTTTCTGAATCGGCGACTGGATTACGATAATTGTATCATAAGTTACGAGCGATGCGCCCCATCACATTTTTCATGGAAGTGGCACAGGCTGAAGCGCAGGTGCGAATCGGAGGGACCGATGCGTCTTCTGACACGTTAAGGGGTATGTCCCACAACAGGAGAACGTCCGATCGACTGGGAGGTACGTTCCCGGAACGCGTTCCGGGAACGCTCTTGCGGAACGGCCTTGGGGAACGCGTCACATCGTGACGAGAGCTCAAAGCGTAGTTGAAGGCCACTACTGACAGTATGTCAAATCTTATCTAATCACTCTGTAAAGTTCTTACCACCTATTGATCATTGAAAAAACGACCGCGGTCGTAGCTGTGTCCACTGGATATTTCCGCAGCAATTTCACAACTTCGGCTCTGTCACACAGAGCACTTAGAGGAATGCATACAGATATTCCGGGGGACTACAAATTGAAACTGATTCCGACATAGTACACTAAGGCCAGGATTATTGAAGCCTACACTCCAATATATTGACAGCATTTTAACATTGTCTGCATGATCGATATAGCATGAGATACAGTGCAGTACTGGCTACTACGAACCAGCGGCGAGGCTGAGGCCTGAGGCACGGTGAAAAACGCACCTGCCCAAACGGTACCCAGACCTGCCCGGAGCAGGTCGTGACAGGACGTTGACAGATTCCACCTGCCCAAACCGGACTGAGACCTGCCCGCCCGGTAAGATGGGCGTCTAAACCTTGACGTTTGCTCGCTCTTGCACAACTCTTGCTGCTCTTAAGCAAACTCGGCTCGATCAATTAGCTCGTTCATGTGCTGTCGCACAAGGGCCGCTCCCCGCAATCAGGTAATGCATCGAGTCTTAAATGCACAAGTTAGCTCGACGCGGGCCTGTTCACATTGGCTTACAGCAGCCTGCCTGCCCGCCACCGGTCCCGGCCCGTTTTGGGAGACGCGCCGCAACGTTTTGGGCAGTCGTGTCGCTGCCGCCGTTGCATGCTTGAGCTTTCCATCCACCATCACTTCCGTCCTCGATGCGTGTCTAGCCACGTACGTATAGAGGTCACTGCCTTGCCCAGGCATCTCCTGCTGCTAAGTCACCCAACTCGAGTACAGTACTAATCTATACTACAAGAGGCCAGGAAAGTTCTCACGGCAGACAAAGAAGACATCGGATTGGCCAGTTGAGGGAGACAAACGCACTCACCGAGCCTTGCCCGAGCCCCGAGCGCTTTCGAGTCGCGGGAATTCGAGGTCATCGTGTCTCTTACTTTCTCATATGTACCTCCTCCCGCAATCATTTGCCGACTGGCTACTCATTTGGTCGACGGGTCTACAGCTCATTATATACCTTCAAGTGTTCTGCACAGATGACCTGACCACGTTGAGCATACCGTTCTGCTTTTAAAGACGGGCATGAAGTCTACCAGAAACAGAGGTAATCAATGTCTGCACGGACGACTCAGACGTTAACGAGAAAGATCCAAACAAGCAGAATAGTGTTCTGCTTGCAGACGTGGCCAATGAACGTACTATGGGCACGTCAGCGAAGGACGGGCGAGCGAAGGAAGGTGAGTGCAGACGCGTGCAAGTCAGCGAGCTAAATGTGGGCAAGAGGACGCGGCCGGCGACGTGCAGCACACCACACGCACCGACCGCGAGCGCGCAGGACTAATGCCCCGCGTGCAAACACAGCCGACGGGTGATCCATGGCCACGGACATGAGGGCGGGAAAGCAGGTACCAGTGGAAAGATGGGCAGGTGGACAGACTGGATTGAGTAGCTGGGTGGACAGGCAGAGACTCTGAGAGCGGGCAAATAGGTAGGCGAGTCGGACAGCGCCAGTTCCGACCGCGAGCGCGGCGGGCGACGACTCATGCATGGCGACCACTGACGAGCGCTGTGCGTGGCAGCATGCAAACACGACCGACGAATCGACCGCGCGCGAATGGGGGAAAAATGCGCGAGCGCGAGTGGAGGACGGGCGAGCACGAGTGGAGGACGATGCGCGAAGACGAGTCGGCGGCAATGGGCGCGGCCGGGGCACGGCAATGCAACACACACGGTGACGGCGCACGAATGCCCTCTCGAGTGGCGGCGCGCTGCGGGAAAGTCGGAGAGGTACCTCATCGCATCTCTCTTTCTCTTCAGTTTATCAACTGACAATCATTTTACAACTGGCTACTAACTGGGCCGGCTTCAATATTCGACGACCTGACCACGCCAGACCGTGCTGTATGTATGTTCTGCTTTAATGATTAATCCAGAACAACATTTGGACGAGCGAGAGAAAGGAACACAGGAAGTTTGCCCAAACCAGATGTTTGCGCGGATGACCCAGACACAAACCAGACATACCCGGACAAGCAGAACAGTGTTCTGCGTGCAGATGGGGCCAACGAACGGACTGCGGGCGCGTTAGCAAAGTAGGGATGAGCGAAGGAAGGTGAGTGTAGACGTGTGCGAGCAAACGAGCTGAATGTGAGCACAGGACGCGGCGACGTGCAGCACAACACACACGTCAACCGCGAGCACGCAGGACTAACTTGAATGCCCTGCGTGCAAACACGGCCGACGGGGGATTCATGGCCACGGACGCGAGGGCGGGCGAGCAAGCGACAGAGTGGGACGGTAGTCCAGCACACGCAGGCGACGACTCACGCATGGCGACCGCGAGCGCACAGGGCGGATGCCCAGCATGCAAAGACGACCGATGAGTCGGGCCGCGCGCGCGTGAGGAAAGAACGGGCAAGCCTGACCGAGAGACGGGCGAGGACGAGCGGAGGACGGTGCGCAAAGACGAGTCGGCGGCAATCCGGGGCGCGGCAATGCAACACACACGGCGACGGCGAGCACGCAGGGCGAATCCTGTGTGCAAGCGCAGCCGGCGAGCGGATCACAGCCAAGTGTGCAGATGAGGGCATGAACATGGGCACGGGCAAGAGCATTGAAGGGCGAGTAGATGGTGGGAACGGGCGGGCTTGAGGGCAAGTGAGTGAGGGCCAGAGGATGGTAGGGGATGGGCGAGCCGAGTGATTGCGAGAACGGGCGAGCGCGAGGGCAGGCAAATCGCCGAAACGAGCAAATGCGATGGCAAGCAAGCGGGATGCAGGTGCATGCATGCCGTGACAGGAAGGTAGGTAGTATGAACGTGCAGTAACTCAGAGTATTTGTTGTCAGTGGTGGATAGCCGGTGTTCATCGCAATATCATCACGAGAACGTTATGTAACTATGAGAATCTTATGGTGGAGGAAGGAATCCCGGGCAGAACAGCTGGAGGCACGAGGCCATGAGGCCGACTCCCGAAGGGAGGAGGCCGAATGGCCCAAGTTTGAGTTATACATAACTGCTACTGACTCAGAGGGTTCTGTCCGCGGCGAGGACAACGATCGGAATATAAAGAAGGCTTGCAAACCCCTTCACGGCTGATCAACAGGGCCATGAAGCTGACTCCCGGTGAGGTGGCTGAATGGCCTCCAATTCTGCACTACTTACTGACTGTAAGTACATGGTACAGCGATAATATCCAGTCCGTAGCGGAGCACGGGTATCCGCTAGTAGTCTCATACGGATGCAGATCTGCGTGTATGATGTCATCGGCAGAGTCGGCGCTGACGTCACCAATCCTGCCCACACACCCGTCTTCGACAGGTGCGAGTGCTCCCCCTCCCATGACTCTTCCCCAACATCCATGAGCCCACGACTCGGACAACGTACAGCGCCCTTGTGGTGGGCCACCGCCGTCCTCGCCGCGTGCAGGGACGACATCATCACCCTCTGGGAGGACCCTGTCGTGAGGGCCATCCTCAAGCGGCGGGACGTCGCGGCGTGCGCTTGCAGGACATGCCCGAATGTGCGTCGCCCGTCGTTCCCTCTACGAACCCCACTTGCGCACGCAGCTTCCTCAACAACGCCGCGCGCATTGCGAACGTGAACTACGAGCCCGCCGATGGTGCGTCCCCTCCCTCTCCTCGTGACCTGAGTTCATTCGCATCCTACAGAGGACATCGTGCGTGCGCAGCTGCGCATGCTCGACGTCGAGGAGCACCGCTTCACGATGGAGAGCGGCACGCTCCTCGGCTCCGAGTGGTACATCTACGACGTCGGCGGCAGCAGGAACAACAGCCCGATGTGAATACCGTTCTTTGACATCATCCAGGCCATCATCTTCCTCGCGCCCCTCGCCTGCAACTTCATGCTCGAGGAGGACTCCAAGGTCAGCCGCCTGGTGTGTGTGATGAGCGAGGATGCGGTGCCCGATGGCTAACGTGCGCGTGCAGGAGGACTTGATCATGCTCTGGAAGGAGATCTGCTAGAACCCGCTCCTCGCCAAGACAACACTGATACTCTTCCTCAACAAGGTGTGCGCTGTTCCTCCGTCCGCCGAGCACTCCAATAGTGCAGACGCTCAACACGTCACAAAGTGTGCGTCCCATCCGCGCGCACGTCCTGCGGTATCCGTACTGACTGCCTGAAGAGTGTTCTGACACACATGATTGCAGGTGAGTCACACTGTACACGTCCAGCTCCCATCTCTCCCATCTAGTACAGCTACTCGGACAGCTGCGTCGCGTCTTTCAACCGCTGGCTCGACCTCCTCGCGCCCTTCGCCCTCGAACACATCAACCTCTAAACTCAACATCGCTGACGGGGAGTCGACATTTACGATAAGCAGATGGAGCGGATAGCGATGGGAAGGTGTCGGAGGGACAGAGGTCGGGTACCGAATGGATCGAATAGTACTAAAGCCGTGTATATTATTGTCACAAAAATGAGAGCAATTTTGAGCAGATTCAAGCAGTTTAAAACCTGCCCCCAGCTGCCCCAGTCTGCCCGCGCACTGACGAGGCCTTGTCCGGGCAGATTGGAGCAGGTTAGAGCATGTTGTGATATTGTGATGTGTTTCAAAAACCTGGTCGTACTCGACTGAGACCTGCTCAAACCGTACTCGGGGACAGCTGCTGTCAGACAGCTGTCACGACCTGCTCCGGGCAGGTCTGGGTACCGTTTGGGCAGGTGCGTTTTTCACCGTGCCTGAGGCCTGAGGCCTGAGGCAAGATGTGGCCGAGCAATAGTTGCCTATTCCGGTAACATCGTTAAATCCGTCACGGTCACCCTCAACGATCACAGATGATACAACACGCTCCGCTAGCCGCATCTCAAAGCTGAAAGGTAGATACTAGTAATTTTATATGTTGACAACATTATTCTCAATGGGGCTCTGAGTGAAATAGGAGTCAGCAAAGCGGCGGTTGCGCTCCCTAGGAACGTCACTGAACGTCACAGCGCGTGACGTTCCGCGTTCCGCGTTACGCGTTCCGGGAACGCATGTCCCCGTGGATCGGACTTTCTGCACAACACTGCAAAAGGGAGGTCACGGCGGGCACCGCGGGCAAACCAGGTTGTTCGAACTCCGAAAACCCCTACGAACATCGGTCCCGCCTGGGAACCTTTACGGACTCCGAATATTGTCAGAACATGCTGCGAACATGATGCGTTTCAGCCGATTTCAGCATGTTCGGAGGCCGAACATGCGTGTTTTCGGCGAACATGCTACGAACATGAGAAATGTAGGAGCATTTTCGGAGTCAGTCAAGCTCTCCGAAAAGGTTCCCATGGAGGACCGATGTTATTAGCATTTTCGGAGCCCGAAAAACCTGGTTTGCCCGCGGTGGGGTTTACTCAAAGCGGCAGAAAGTCCGATCCACGGGGACATGCGTTCCCGGAACGCGTAACGCGGAACGCGGAACGTCACGCGCTGTGACGTTCAGTGACGTTCCTAGGGAGCGCAACCGCCGCTTTGCTGACTCCTATTTCACTCAGAGCCCCATTGAGAATAATGTTGTCAACATATAAAATTACTAGTATCTACCTTTCAGCTTTGAGATGCGGCTAGCGGAGCGTGTTGTATCATCTGTGATCGTTGAGGGTGACCGTGACGGATTTAACGATGTTACCGGAATAGGCAACTATTGCTCGGCCACATCTTGCCTCAGGCCTCAGGAGTCAGGCCTCAGGCCTCAGCCTCGCCGCTGGTTCGTAGTAGCCAGTACTGCACTGTATCTCATGCTATATCGATCATGCAGACAATGTTAAAATGCTGTCAATATATTGGAGTGTAGGCTTCAATAATCCTGGCCTTAGTGTACTATGTCGGAATCAGTTTCAATTTGTAGTCCCCCGGAATATCTGTATGCATTCCTCTAAGTGCTCTGTGTGACAGAGCCGAAGTTGTGAAATTGCTGCGGAAATATCCAGTGGACACAGCTACGACCGCGGTCGTTTTTTCAATGATCAATAGGTGGTAAGAACTTTACAGAGTGATTAGATAAGATTTTGACATACTGTCAGTAGTGGCCTTCAACTACGCTTTGAGCTCTCGTCACGATGTGACGCGTTCCCCAAGGCTGTTCCGCAAGAGCGTTCCCGGAACGCGTTCCGGGAACGTACCTCCCAGTCGATCGGACGTTCTCCAAAGCGGGCCCCGGCATGGATGGTTGAAGATGTGCTGTTCAGCGTGCACAGATACTTTCTGCACCGACACTCCTCTGTCTTCCGGGATTTGTTTTGGCTTCACTATGCCGCTTCCAGTGGACCCTTCGACATTCTCTTTGACGACGCCTGACAGTTTGGCTTGCGTAGAGTACTAGTGTACATAACTTATGTACGGTGTACCGTACAGATGCGTTGATTCCGAGCAAATGGTACTTACTTTGCTCATTAATGATATCACAGCAAACCTAATCAACATGTATAAGGCGCCATAGCCAAGTGGTTACGGCGACAGATTAGAATTTAACCATAATTTATCTGTTTCCCTTTGGGAGCGCAGGTTCGAGTCCTGCTGGCGTCGTCTTTTTCCTTTCTTACCTAAAGTTTTTACGACTTTGTCGACGCAGAAGATGCGGTTTGGTGCTTTGAGAATGCACCGGAGTGAGCAGAAGATCGGTATACGGAAATAGACGCCGGCCGTAGTGCACGCCTGCCCAATATGGCAAGTGCGCTCTTGCCCGCCGTTTCGTGGCAAAGCTCGACTCATCTGTACACTTCTTTTGACACGGAGAAGCTAAATGACCTCCAAAGTGCATCAAAAGTATTTTGATGTGGCTGGAAGGCAAGTCGTGCCGCTTGAGACGCGCCGGACCCAACTTTCGGTCGACGTCAGTCGCGGGCAGAGCGCCATGGAGACGGTACCACTGCAGACCAACTGTTAGTCCGCTTGAACTACGCCAGCACCCAAGTTAGAGAGGATGATTAGGCGTATGCGGCCGAAGTACATGCGCTACAGGCTTGGGGGTGAATCAAGATGTCCGATATGTCCTTGTCGCCTTCAAGTTGTCTCGCGCTATGAGCATACACCGACGGAAGACTCGGGTAAGATCTCATACGGTGGTGCCACAAGCGGAACATACGCTGCGACATCGCATACGTTTTTCTCGCCCCATCAGTACATATATCTCACATGCATGCAGTCAGACATAATCCTCAGATATCGAGACATGGTATTGTGAGCTGCTCGAGTCGCACTATAGTAGTAAGAGATGTGTTAGACCGTATTATCCGTGTTGTCGTACTGGCTTGTAAATCGAAAATGAGTGTACATACGTGTACCCGGAGTCTATCATTAAAGGCGTCGTGAAGGTCCATGCTTTTCTAAGGTTGATGCTAGTGTCATCATCGTGAAAGAGGACTCTTGGCACGTATCCGTTCCCCAGCGAAGTACAACCATATAGGGAAGGGTATACCAATGACAATGCCTAGCCCTGCGAGCAACGAGTTGCCGCCCCCCAAGCCAAGCGCCGCGAACATCTGTTGGCCGAAGAGGGGAAACGCGAAGCCCAACAACGAACGGAAGACCTAGATGCGAGCCAGAGGGTTAGCGTCGGTGACAAAATGGATGAGAACAGTAACTCACAGAAGCAGCCGCTAATGCGCTCGCCGCATACGAAAAGGAGTCTACGAGGTAAAGTTGTATAGGCAGGCTGCACAGGCTTCAGTCCTCCCGTTCAGTCCCAAAGAAGACCCGACACTCACAATGTTGTCATCATTCCGAACCCATAGATGCCAGAACCAATAATGGGCATTATCCAATGTACGCGGGCCTGCGCAGACCAGCCATACCAGCTACGTACGACTGTGAGAAGCTGATGCCACGAAGGAGGACTGCAATACTCACAAGAGGCCGATCGGGACGAACAAGGAGCCGAAGATGAGCGCAGGTATACGCATCTCCGGCGTCCCTTTCCCGCCGTTACGAATAGCGAGCTGTGAACGGTAGTACTCAGCGCTGGGTCCGAGAGGGCATCGCATAACGCCATACCTTGTGGTAGATTGTGTCGGCGACACTCGCACCAACGACGGTAGCCGACATGAAGCCTAGCCCCAAGCCAATATAGGCCAGTCCACTGACACCAACGCTGAAGCCATAAACCTCCGTGAAGAGGTCTAGAATCGAGTCAGCTACAAATCGTCCGAGCCACGGTCTAATACGGCTCACCAGGGAAGGTCGTGAACATCAGGTAGTAGATACCTATTGCCAGTCAATATGGGTGAGTAACACGACGAATGAGCGTACTGACCGTACATGCTGGAAGCAATCGGTCAGTGTTATATAGTGTGTTTGTACTGGTCGCACTCACAGGGCCATGTACAGGCTGAGCAGGAAGCAAACATAGCTCCTCGTCAAAAGGATGAACGGCCGGCTCAAGTCGACAGAGATCCTGTGCCACTTGTTGCCATGCTCCTCGAGGAGATGCGGGTGCGCCGCCGCCACCTTTTCTGGGTCGGCCGCGCGCTTGTCACGGCGCAAGCGGACGACAGGATGGTACGTCTCTCGCAGGAATGGGATACCGCATACCGCTCCTACGCCGCAGAGTGCAGCGATTACGACAAATACATACTTGAAGCCGATCGTCTGCGCAATGAAGCCACCTGCGATAGGCCCCACAACAGGGCCGATCAGAGGACCCAACGAGAACACCGCCATGGCAGACGCGCGATCCTTCTCGGAGAACAGGTCGCTAACAGTTCCACCACCGCACGCGATGGGCGCACTGCCTACAAAGCCAGCTAGAAGTGGGTCAGCGGCACAGCCGGGTAAGTCTGACTAGGCATGAGCTTACCAAGTAATCGGAAGCCCAAGAGGATACCAACCGTGTCGGAAAATGCGCACCCGAGGTTGAAGGCAAGGAAGAGCAGATTCGCGATATGATAGACCCATGTCCGACCATACATCTCAGAAATAGGCCCGAAGAACAGCGGTCCGATGGCGAATGTGAGCAGGAATATACTCAGGGTCAAGGCCGTTACGGTTTCGCTCGTGACGCCGTAGTGTTCAGCTATCTGCGGCAGGCCTGGTGCCATCATGGAACTGGCGAGAGGTGTGATGAAGGTGTAGAGCGAGACCTGCGCACGTCAAACAACCGGAGCGTCAACAAATCGAACATACTGCCGCCAAAAGAGTTTCATACAATTCCAGTCATGATCCACTTCTTTTTGAATGTCCAATTGCGAGGGTTCGCAGGGTCGTGTGCCCAGTCGTCCTCCTCGTTCTCCAGGATCTCCTCCTGCGGTGGACTCTGTCATGAGTCTTTCGCAACTACGCAGTGGCAAGGAACAGACCTTCTTGTCCTCGGGAATGGCTGAATGGCCTTCACCACCCTTGAGCTGTTCCGGATAGCTCCCGACATGGGGGTCTACTGAACCCTCGCGCCGTTCCCCAGAGTCTGCGACTGCTGCAGTCTTGGTACTAGACGCCCTGCTTGCCGGAGATGCTGCATCTTGGCTGTCAGACATCGCGACTACAAGGGAGCTCGAGAACGTAGCGGGAATGCGACATAGTCCTCCGCCCGGTTCATTATATAAGTAGAGCTGATTAGTCGTGCGGGGGAAGTCACCGGGCACGCGCTCCGAGTCCGACGTGCGCACCAAGGTGGGCACAAGGCACTCGCCTGGGAGATTCGATCGCCGGCCACTTTCGAAAAGATTCGAGAGCGTATCTGCATCGATCACATTTTCCGATGTCTCGGTGAGCAAGCAATGTTGTGTCCAGCTGTGCGTCCAAGAGGTACGTACGGGATCAGGAAGCACAGAACGACTGTATTGTCAATGGTACCCTGAACGACCCTGAACAATGTCTGCCGCTGAGCATCTATAGTCGCAGTGAGTCAAACTGCGACACTGAACAAGGCACGAAATTGCCGGAGCCAAGTCCGCACACTCAGCTTCTGCAATAGAGGGTGACCCTTCCGACGCGAACGGCGCCCGTCGGTGAGGTTTGTCAACAGTGGCGACAAACCAACCGGTCCCACTAGCACGTGCCACGCGCGACGGAGTCTCAATTTGGCCAATACAGTGTTCACTGTTTGTTGCGCTGGACGACCGTGAGGGACCGTTGCACCTATACAGCATCGCCACGGGCTTGCTGCTGACAACAGTCACAACACAACACTTGAATAGAGAATCACGGATTATATTGCGAGCGTACGTATGGACGATACAATGAACTTAGACAACACTATAGCGACCAGCAGTGGCCGTCGGGTTGCGCATCTCTGCCTGCAGGGCAGCCGCAGAGGCCTCAACAAGCAACCGTTTGATCTCACGTACCGCTTGCTCAACCTAAAGGACGGCGTAAGCACAACAATCGAAGTCCACGTCAAGGGACGTACCCTCCATTCCTCATTGGACTCAATGAGAAGATGCAGCTTGGGCGGACCATCGAATGGAGGCTCCTTGCCCTGCTCGTAGTAGATACCTATGCATTCAGTTAGTCAATGACACAAGCAGCGGAGTCGCAACACCGACTTACCTTTGTTGGTAACCGAAGCACCAGTCATGTCGATGAGCTGCACCATCGTCTCCTTGTTCGTGACACGCCACCTCGCCTTCTGCGGGTAGTCGTTGATAGGGATGATAGCATGGAACTCCGTCGCGTCGACGCTCGACTTCTTCCCTAAGTCCTCGTGTCCAATCTGCGACTGAGCAACTAGCTTGTGCGCCCGAAGCTGAGCATTGAGCTTCGCCACCACGCTGACTGCCTGCTTGTGGGCAGCCGTATCTTTGCCCGCGCGCGCGGCCGCTTCTTCCGCGGCACGGAGGGAGTTCTGAAGCTTCTCCTCTTCCTTCGCTTGTGCGAGGCGGCGCGCCGCAGCCGCAGCGCCGGCGACGCCAAGTTGGCCCTTCGATGAGTCCGGGGCGGGGCCGCGCTTGACTTCAACTTTAAAGCTGCCGAAGGTCATGTCGTCAACAGGAGCAGCCTTCGTCGTCGTCGTCGTCTCCTCTGTCGCGGTCTTCTCATCCTCTGGTTCACCGTAGGCTTTGCGTTCCGCTTTCTCCTTGGCATCGCGCTCTTGATCAAGTCGATCAAGACCCTTTCCGCCGAAGCCGGAGCCCGCGACCTTCGCCTTTCCGGACTTGACTTTCTCCAGGAAGCCTGAATGAAAAGTAATAAGGATGTGTGCAAGCAAGTATGCAGTCGACGAGCTCACCGTTAGCCAGGTCCTCAAGCTCCTTGGGCACGCTCGCGTTACTAGCCTTCAATGCACGGTAGATGTCAACGGAGTACCTATCTTGTTCGGGCGTGATGAAAGTGACGCATGTGCCTTTGTTGCCAGCGCGCCCGGTACGGCCCGCACGGTGGACGTAATCCTCCATGTGATTGGGCGCGTCGTAGTTGATAACCAGTTTCAGCTGCTTGACGTCCAGACCACGAGCAGCGACGGACGTCGCAATGACAATAGGTACGACACCAGATTTGAAGTCAGCGATGGTCGAGTCACGGTCAACCTGGTCCTTGCCGCCGTGCAAAGACATGCACAGGTAACCTTTGCGCATGAGCTCGCGCAGGAGGTTATCGGCGGCTTCCTGTCGGTCAACGAAGATAAGGGTCCGTGATTCGGGATCCTCGTTGTACGTCTGCCCGAGAATCTCCAACAATCGGTTGAATTTCGAGTCTTCATCACGAACTTCGACGATCTGATCGATCTCGGGAGCGACGACAGACCGCCCGCCGACTGTAATCTCGAGCGGTTTTCGTAGGATCTTGCGTGCCAACGAATCCATCTGCTTCGGGAAAGTCGCAGAGAAGAGGACTGTCTGCCGGTCAGGTCGAATGTTGTTGACAATCTTCATGACCTGGGGCTCGAAGCCCATGTCGAACATACGGTCGGCCTCGTCGAGGACGAGGTACGTAACGCGCTTGAGGTTGGTGACACGACCCGAGTTGGCAGTCAGCAAATCGATCATACGGCCAGGAGTGCAAACGATGATTTCCGCGCCTTTCTTCATCTCCGCGATTTGGTCCTTGATTGGGGAACCTCCGTAAGCACAGACAGCCTGTAGTCAATTATCAGAACCTGGCTCAACGCAGATCAGGGTCACACACTTACGCGAAGGTTCAAAACACGGAGGAAAGGCTTACACTCCCTGTGGATCTGGACAGCGAGCTCGCGGGTGGGGGTCATGACAACAGCCATCGGGCCCTCCATTTGCTCCAGCGGCCGCTGATCCTTGATATGTCGGAAAAGCGGTAGCAGGAATGCGATGGTCTTTCCAGACCCTGTCTTCGCAACACCGATGACATCGCGACCAGACATGATTGCAGGGATAGCTTGGGCCTGGATAGGCGTCGGAGCGGTATAGTTGAGCTTCTTGATGACTTCAAGACTACAAGGAGAGGTCAGAATACAACGCAAATCACGGACGTATGATTATGTGCGCACCAGCTGGCAGGAAGACCGAAGTGGCTCCATTTCGTGACAGGCCTCGGACAGTCAACTCCTCGGATCTTGATACCATCCAGCTCGAGCCGCAGGAGGTCGGCTTCCTCATCCGTCATTGAAGCGATGTCTGGGGGTGCGATGTAGAACTCCTTGCGGAAGGGGTCGTAGGCGATGCGTGCATGATCCACAGCAGCGAGATCCTTCTTCTTCGCCTTCTTCGCGGCCAGGGCGAGAATATCCTCCGGGTTGAGGCCTGTGGCGTCGAGTTCGTCGACCTCGGGTCCGTCCACGTCGTCAGCGCCGTCATCTAATGTGCTGTTATCAAGACGCATCCGACCACTGCCATTGGCCTGCAACTTCTTGATGTCCTCGAGATTGACCTTCTTGACCTCCTCTTTGACGCCGCTCATGAAAGCGTCAAGCGGGTCGACCTCGTCCTCATCCTCGATTATGGCATTCTCGACTATGGCATCCTTTTCCTTTGCCTTAGCTTTCTCGGCAGCGGTTACTTCGTCATCGTCATCGTCTCCCTCGAGGTTGCCAATGATCTCCTGACCGTCAGTCATCGACATGTCGACGTCCGGGAGGTCGAGCGTCTCCAGCTTACGCTTTGTCTCCACCGAGTCGTCCATGGCGCTGACAATCAGCTTCGACGCCTTCAGCACGTCGTTTTTGACTGGCAAGCCCTTCAACCCCAGGCCGCTGAGTGCAGACCGGTTGAGCTGGACGGAGGTCTTTGCGGGCGCTGCAGCAGGCACTGCACATACGATCAAGTGGTGTGAAATCACGAATACCCCGATGTCAATGTATGGACGCACCTGGGGCGGTCTTTCCCGCCAATGCCATAGCCTTCGCCTTCGCCTCATCCAAAGCCTTCTTCGCCTCCCGCTCTTTCTTCCAGGCCTCGAGCTTGGCTCGCTTCGCCCTCAGCTTCTCATCCTCCACGGGCGGCGTCGCAGACTTGATCTCGGGCGGGGGGGCTTTCGGTGGAGAGCGGTCGCGCGGCTTGCGGTCTCTCGAGCGCGAACGTCGGCGGTCGCGGTCGCGGTCGTCTCTGCGGTCATCGCGGTAGTCTCTCCGGCGGTCACGCTCGCGGTCGTCGCGGTATTTGTCGTCTCGATACCGGTCGCGATCTCTGTCCCTGTGGCCGTCCCTATCCCTGTCCCTCTCGCGCTCCCGGTCTCTGTCTCTATCGTCGTCGTACCTCGACCTGGGGGGCCTGCGCCTGGTCGGCGACGGAGACCGCGGTGAAGAGCGGTGGGAAGGTCTTACCCTCTTATTCGGAGTGTCCGGTGAATACGATCTGTCGCGTCGCGCCATGAGGAAAGAAGAGTCGGGGACGAAGGAGGTGAGCTGGAGACCGCGTGCACCTGGACCGAGGTGTATAGCAGTGTGAGAAAGAAGGGTCGTTGTTTGTGCTTACTTGCAATGTTACTGCATATGGAATGAGCCTGCGTAAGCGAGGCGATCGGCGACACCGCCAGGCGCCTACAGACGCGTCTGTCTGCGAACACCCACCACGACCACGACTGTACCATGTCTGCGAACATCCTTGACCCGTCTGCTCTCATCCAGGCCATCCCGTCTAAGCTTCCCCATACCAAAACGCGTCTCGAATCGCCACAAGATGGGATCGCTGTACTCCTGCATACCGCCCTGTCTGCACTCGGCTTCCGTCTGATCGCTGTTGACGAGAACTCTCCGGCGCGCACCTTCGATAACAGCGTGCTTCCCGAAGAGTGGAACCAACATGGCCCAGGACACTACACATTCAGGTACAAACATGAGCAGAGCAGTCTTGAATTTGTCGTCAAAGTAGGGAAACTCGGGTCGCGTACCATGATCAACTCCATTGCGCTTGAGGTATGTCCATGGGCGATCCCAGTCCACACGACGCTTATTCTCTGTTAGAGCGACAAAGCCGCCACACTTGACATCTCTACCAATGACTTCGTCTCGCCATCATTCTTCCCTCACGACTTGTCTGCTACGGATGCTCAGCCTCTCATCCATGGCTTCATCTCGTCCAATCGAGTAGCGGATCTCATATCCCAATTCCAACTCACGACCATCCAGAAGCTGATCCCCGGCCTACGCAAGGAAGGCTATACTGAGTCGGAGGATGTTTCGTCCAATGCGAGTGGTAGCAGGCCAAGACCTGACGCCCCCCCTCGTGCTCACCCTCCGGTGTATGTGCCGCCGAATGCTCCAGTTCGCTCGCCACTGGTCGTTCCTCCTCGGAATCCTTTTGAGATCGGTAGACGAGACCTTGATCCACTGCCTCGCAACCCATTCCAGCCTCCGTCTCTGTTCCCCAACAACGGAGACGATGGGATGTTTGTTGGGCCGAACCACCCTATATTTGGACAGGGCATGAGAGGACAAGGCCCTGGTGGACGGGGGCCTTGGGGTGGCGATGGCTTCTTGCCACCGATGGGAGCGCCTCCGGGTGCACGTTTTGACCCTATTGGACCTGGCCCACTTCCTATGCCCGGCAGGGGTCCTTTCCCTGGCATGCCTGGCTCCGGGAACATGCGTGACCCTGACAATGACGACTTCATGCCCCCTGGCGCGGTGAGTTTCATGTTCGGTATGCAGAGGTTAGTATCTGACATGAAAGTAATTCGCAGGGAGATATGTTCATGTAAGATGTAGGAAGATGACAATATTAGGCAGTTGGATTGGAGATTGTGTACGCACGTGTATATGTATGACTATGAACGGTGGCGCGTTATGAGATCTGTGTGCCATCACTGCTACGTGGCGGTCTCATCAAATGTAACATCGCCATTTATTGTGCTGTGTCCGGGACCATTCCCGCGGTCAAACATTGGCCAAGCACGAGGAACAATAGGACAAAGCGTGTGGCTTTCTACAACACCTTCCATAAGAGGGTAGCTTGTAAGAAGCGGCTGGATCACAACCTTGTGTACATGTGAGGTCAGACTGCCCGCCTATAAAAGCTGTTCTTCTGCAGCCATCCCAACCACTCCCCGCAGCCCCTAGTCCGCTTCCAAACATGTCCAGCCCCCCGCGCAGCCCAATAGCCTCGCGCTCGTCGCCAACGCGCACCGCGCCGCCCGGCTTTCTTGTGCCACCCAAACCGCGCAGCACCCCGATCGAACGCATGACAGTCCGCGAGCTGTGTGATGCCCGCGCACGCAACGCGCGCATGCTCGCAGAACCGTACGTCCGCCCCATTCTCTCCCCTCCAGTCCGTCTGATGTGGACTCCTGCAGGACAGCCTCCACCTCCGCCTACGCGCAGCGGATCGCGGGTGAGCAGGCACAGATCGAATCGCGCCTCGTTGAGCTCGTCGGGATCCAAGAAATCCAGGACCAGCTCCAGAACACGCGCCTGAACGACCCCGATGTCAAGATGAATGTAGACGTCGAGTCTCCGCCCCTCCCGCAATACAAGGCCATATCCGCGAAGCAGAGAGCACTGGCGAAATACGTGAGTGCTTCTCTTGATCGGTGCCTTCTGAGCACCTGCTGACCGTCAATCCTCGCAGGCATCCCATGCCGCACATCGTAGTGGTCCTGCTAGCGGCATGTCTCTCCAGGAAGCCATTCAAATCGAGCAAGAAGCACATGCAGCAGACCTCAAGAGACAAGAGGAGCTCGCTGAGAAGAGACGGCGACAAGGCTACATTGGCGAAGGCGAGCAGCTAACACGAGCCGAGCGAGAAGCCCGCATGTGGGCATTCTTGTATGTATTCTTCACTCGTTATGAACCATGCGTGCTGACAACGTGACAGCTCCCAGAAGCCCTCTGATTCCGACCTGGAGGATGACTATGAAGACGATGAAGACGACGAAGATCCGTCTACATGGTTCATAGACGACCAAGACGACGGCCGCAAGGGCCAAGACATCGTTGAGCCGGACTACGACGACTACTCAAGCATTATCCGCATTGACCAGAGCAGGATCCCCTGGTCGATACCGCGCGAAGAATGAAATTGTCGTTATCGATTCGTAATTTCGCAGGGTAGCAGTGTAATAGTGATGTAACAATACGGAATCCATCCATAATCATGACAATAGCATAAAGGCCGTAACGCGTCAGTAGGCATGAAGAGCGTAACTCAAGTATCAGGATCTATCCTCCCCTCTCAGCGGGCGTGGATAGGGCAACTACGACCGCGTTGTAGCCAAGACGATAAACAAGCTGGGCGGGTTGCGTCAATATTCGCATCAAAACCAGTAGGTAAGGCCACTTACCATTGTGGAAGCTGCATAGGCAGCTCAGACGGGCGACAGTAGATCCTAGCACAAATGTCAACACTGCGCCTACCGAACAGAACAACAACGGATGCATACCTGCGACAAATTCTTCCAGACAAATCGCACCTGAACATAAAGGGATAAGAAAATACATGAAGCGTAGTCAATGTACACTCACATTCTATCCCAATGAGGGCACTCTCTGCTGGAAGCTTGTAGACCAGATACTTGGCCGTTTGCGGTGTGGTGCCGCTTCCTCCTTCCAGACAGTGTTTGACGTGAGCTTCTTGATTGGAGGCAGCACCCAGGTCCGCCAGGTTGGTATTGCAAACAGGGCATCTAATCGATATGCACGTTAGAAAAAACCGGGCGACACGATCGAGTCATTCCAACGCACTCGGCCAGATCGCTCAGCTGAGAGCTTGACTGTGCTCGGGACGGGCTCGGAGTCGACAGTCTCGCTTGGTCAATCACAATCCGTTCCATGGAGGTCGTCCGAGTGGGATGTAGACCAGAAGGGACGACTGCCGTTGTTTGTTCATAGCACACTTGGCATACCCTCTGCAGAGCGGGTGTATGCAATACCTCTGCATCTGCAGGGTCGTGCACGACGTCCGAGGGATCGAGGAGTGCTCTCCACGAGGAGCAACGGTCGCAGAAGATGCGACCACAACGACGACAGTGCTGTATGAAGTGAGTCCGGTGCCCCTGCATGAGTCGTATTCTTACTTACATGCTGAGGGTAGAGCCTGATCAGCATCGCCGCAGACGTGAATCACGAAGGGACTTACTCTTCGGTTCAAGAAGGTGAATCTGCGACGGCACTCGCGGCACTCGCCGACAGCATCGTCTCTTTCCCACTGAGCGTGGACTTGGTGCGGAGTCGGTGGTGTCCATCTAGGTGTCAAGACCTTCTGAGGAGCTTCATGCGTAGGCACCCGGAAGTCAGGAGCTTGTGCCAGGTGTGGCGTAAGGTCAGTAGGTCCTCGAGAGCCTATCCGGCGGAAGTATGTGGTAGTAGATCGTATTGACGGAGCCCGGGTCGTATCGGGGACTTCTGAGCCGGGGTAGTGAAACTCTTCGTCGGAGTCGTCATCCTCATAGTCCTCGTCATCTAGGCATTGAGTGTAAGTCAGTTGCTGGTGGCTGTAGACCCGAAGTTCAATGAATCGACACCCCCGGATGGGCCTGATCCATCGGACAACGCAAGTCACGAGTAAGATGGCTCACCGTCTCCGGCCGAGAACAGGCCCTGCGCCCCAGCTGCGAGTCTCCGTCTGTCTAGTTCCCGACTATATGCATTCAGTAGAACCTCAGCCTGGGTCTTGCGCTCGATGTCCATGTCGCCTGTCACTTCTTAGCACTCAAGCCACATCGGTACCGCGAAGACAGCTTACCCAGGATTCCTTGCCTCAATTCACTAGTAGCACGCTCCAGCTTGGCAATCGACCTCCGAGCATCCAAGGCGGATTGCGTGCCATTGGGGCTATCAGAGTCGCTGTACTGAGTACCTGCAAGGTACCGAGCACGCGCCACGTAATCTTGGCCAGACAGTCCACTTCTCGGCATCGAGCTCAGCTCTTGTCCGTCGCCGTCGCTGAAGTTATCGTCATCATTCTCAACGTAAGGTATAAGCGTCCCCTCAGCCGTCAAATGATACAGCTGGCCATCAGGCTGCAGGAACGGCAGAGGTGGGATATCCAAGCGTCGTCGCATGACCCGCACCCAGCGCCGGCGTCGGACCCAGTTCTGCGACCCCGAGGAGTTGCTGGGGGACCTCGAGCTAGAACTCGCGGCGCTGCCACTGCGAGATCTACTGCCGCCGAAACCCGCGCTGACAGCGCCATTGCCATCGAGCAGGCGCTCGAGCTGAGGAGGCAGCTCGGCGGTCCACGCCTCGTCGGGATCATCAAAGGAATGGGCGTATTGCCACCCATCATCCGCGTCCACGCCCGGGTGCGTGACGTCGAGTGTCCAGTCCGACCTGATGAACGGCAGTTCAGGATCATGACGACATTCCGGTGATAAATGAACACGCACAACCAGAAATGGCTCCTTTCTGTGCCTTCCCGCGAAGAGCCAGGCCTGGGCACCGTCCACGGATCCTCCCTTAGCGGCAGTTGCACGTCGCTCCGCCATGCGGCAACTTCTTTCTTCCCAGTACTGTGCTCGGGTATGGGAAAGCGCAGCTCGAACGGGGCTCGACGGCCACGCCTGCCCAACCCAGAAGCCGAGAATCGCGGTCGCCCGCCTGATACAGCCAACGTCTTGAACCGCAGATCGAGGCGCTGGTTCTCGTACAGCACGAGTGGCACTGTGGTATGGACAGACAATGGGTTATAGGGTATGTGCCTGTTGCGCCAGTTCTCAATTTCGGCCTTTTGCAAGACCTGAGACGAAGTTAGCACACGCCTTGCAGCCGCCTAGGTGACCACTGACCTCGCAGATCCAGACTTCAAATACAGCAGCAGCGACATCGTAAGCCGTCTCACCCCAATTGTTCCGGACGAAGGGGTCGGCATTCTGCTTCGTCAATAGATACAGTACCACGGGCAAGTGTCCCTTGGACGCAGCATTCACTGCAGCAAAATTTCCTTAACTCCTACATCGTTGTATGAACAGACATGTACTCACTTAGGGGGGTCCAGCCACCGTTGCTTCGCATATCTACACCTCGGACACCGTTGGAAGCTTCGGCGGCACCTCCGGATTCACAAAGCCACCTCACAATATCAAGGTATCCCTAAGACAGGTCAGACAACGAAGGGGATAGATCGTAAGCAATATACCTTCGAACATGCATTGTGCAATGCAGTCCAGCCATCCGCATCTGGTACATGGACGTCTGCCTTGTCCGGGAGCAGATATTTGATGACATGCAAGTGGCCGTTGAGCGAGGCTTTGTGCAGCGCGGTCTGGAGCGGGGTCAACTACACGTCAGACGACCCGACGCGGACACGCGTACCTCGCCCTCCCTATCCTCGATATCCGGCATAGCCCCGCAGTCCTCCACAACTGGACACATCATGAGCCTTCAGACACGCATGCTCAGAATGGAGGGGACGTACGCCACTTCACAATGTCCAAATACCCCCTGCTCGAGGCAGCATGCAGCGCCGTCTGTCCGATACGCGAAGGCGCATCATTCGCGAGCGCGAACGACTCCACGTCACCCGACCTCAGCGCACTCCTGAACACAGTCTGCACGCGCTTCAGCTCCCCAGACGTGGCAGCCGCGTGCAGTGCCTCCAGCTGAGCGGGGGACGGCGGACTGTTGGTCGGGACCGGCGCTGCTGCCACTGGCAGGGGCTCGGGTTTCGGGGCGGACCTCGGGAGCTCTTCCCCAGGCTGAGCGTGTCCCTCCACACCGGGGTAGAGGAACTCCTCGTCGTCCGAGTCTTCGTGCATGCCCGGCTCGCTGGGGTTGGGCGAAGCCGCGCCGCTCCCGTTTCTGCAATGACGCACAAACACACAGGTCAGTATCGCATGAACACCACGTTCTTTTCATCGCAGCTGCCACGTACTCCTCGATGGTGCCCAGAAAGAACCCAGAGTCGTCGCTCATTGCGCTGTGCTGGAATGTGGGGACAGACAAAAGATTATCTGCTGGACGCCTTCAGCCACAGGCATGCATCAGTTCGCGCGAAGCGGCCTCATGCCACTCAACTTTTCGGCTTACCTAATCAGGCAGCTCGCGCTCCGAAATTGGGAGGTGTAGTGTTGACCGCAAAATATCTTCTTTCTTGACCGCACGGCCGCGATCCATCCAGGATTGCACACGTCTGCTGTGCATTTTCCTCAGCATCGCTGTATTGTTACAGTAATGCATCTCCATGTATGACATGCATGCTGCACCTCTGTCATTCGGTTGATGTTACGATGACATTTCACTCAAGAGACTATCACAGCAAACGTTGAGCCGCCGCTACAGCGCGGTTTGCTGTCGAACAAACCCTGTGGTAGCTCGTACCAATTGTGGTGGTTGCTGTCGCCACCAAGCCGATGCGAACGAAGTGATACGACCCTGACATCACGGTGAACGTCTGGTTCCCGACCAACTCGGAGTATCTACATAGGTTGAAGTTTATTGGCCAGGAACTTGAATGAAATGAAGGCGACCATCGTACTCCTCTCCTGTCTTACATTGTACACCCGGGTCCAGTGCATTCTCCGAGTCCGATCGTCGGTATAATCCGAGGAGAAGACAGAAACAAGCATACTGCCTACACCCCTTGTTCCACGGCATAACGATATGGACGATCGAACGCCCAAGTATCTGAATCGCCTTGACATTGGTGAGAAGTTGATCTAGTCCACTCAACTGCGACAAAGGCGTTCATATACAGCGCCACTGGCATTTGCTCCCATTGCAACCGTTGTCACCGAGGTCCGAGGGAGGGTGGCGTACGCATGAACAAATTCTATGCTCAGGGTTCGGGGAGATGACTCGGAGGTGAGCTCTCTGGTAGAAAGCGACAAGGAAGGTCAATATCTTCGCATGTGGGGTCCTAGAGATTCCATGGACCTCTGTAAGATACGGCGAGTAAATGAGGAGCTTCGAGTTCTCGATCGAACAGACGTTCCAGTCAAGAACACCTAAGTGGGTGCGTGAGCGAGACGAGCCCTTACATGGACATCCGGTGTCTGGTTCGTAGGACACAGCAGTACAACGCACCCAATCACAACTGCCGATATCATCTATGTCGCATAGGCTTGGAGAAGATCGTTGTTAGACGTCATGGATGTCCATGAATCAGGAAAGCACTCACAGGCTGTTTCCAAGCTGTATGCATTTGCTGATAAGTTAGGCTCCGAAGAACAGATGCTGTCCACACACCCAAGAGAGGCGCGGGAAATCATCAGGCAACGCACCATTTGTACATAACAGCCCGCGAACGCAGAGAACGCGACAACACTAGCTGAACACTAGCGTAGATGCTTTAGATGCGGGAGAGGATATCGCCGAATGTCGCGGAAAGCGAAGCTGTCCCCGCGGCGATTGCGAACAATGACGAGCTCATCGTCGCAGCCCACAGCAGAACCGGCTTACTCGAGTATCGCCGTGGCCGTCAGTTGCTCCTCGGGACACGGCGGCGTCACAATTCGCGTCCGCGTCCGTGTGAGAGGCTGAGCTAAGTTCCCACTTGTGGCCACGGCGCACGGCGAGATCCAGCGCTGCGACGACCGTGTGCTGGCTGTGCATCGCAAGTGAAGACGAAGGTGAGGTCCGTTGCTGGTTTACGGTGGCTGGGTGGCTGGCGATAGAGGGATCTGGTGGGATCTGCGCAAGGTCCGTCCGGGCTGGCTGGAGAATGGCTGGCGGGCGTTGGACAGGCTGCACACGGCCACCATCGCTGCTCGCACGCCCTCTACGCTTGGGTGGCGCCCCGCCGACGGTGTTCTGTTCCCAGCCATGGGCCTGCACTGCTCACTCTGGTCTTCAGCTGGGATGCGAGTGACTGTCGCCGATATGACCCAATCTCTCGTAAGGCGCTCGTGCGGGCATAAAACTCATGACAGTCGCAGATGCTCTCCCGAGGCTCCTGGCTAACTCGTCTTCGCCGTCCTACCCGTCGCCTAACTCAGACTGCCCTCGCCCCTACCCCCGCTCGTACCTTCGCAGCATCCCCCATGGCACCCGCCGCTACTGAAGTACAGCCCGCCGCGACCAACGGGGCCAACGGCTCCAACGGATCGAGTCATATTAGAAAGTATAGAGATCGCTCGAATCTGTTCCCCCTGGCCTCCCGATTGAAGGAGGGCCGAGCATTGGCGGAGGACGTATGGTCCATCTTCAAGTACGTCCCATTCGCTTGCCGTCGGCAGACTGCTGTACATCCGGTATCACAGCGCTGCGAACCTGCCTGCCGACTGCATCAACCTTGGTCAGGGATACATGAACTTTCCTCCCCCGGCTTTCGTTCGGGAAGCTGCGGAGAAAGCCCTCTCTGTCACAGCAGCCAACCACTACTCGCATCCCAAAGGCAGGCTACGGCTGCGCGAGGCGATCAAGAAAGTCTACAGTCCACAGTTCGGGCGAGACCTCGATGTCGAGACTGAGATTCAGGTCACTAGCGGAGCAAACGAAGGTTCGTCCGCAGGTTCGCCTGCTTATATGCGCGTATTGAGCGCGAAACAGGCCAGTACTCCGTGTTCACCGCATTCCTCGAGCCCGGAGATGAGGTCATCCTGTTCGAGCCGTTCTTCGATCAGTATCTGCCATCCGTCGTCTTCAACGGAGGAGTCCCGGTCTACGTTCCGCTTCACCCGAAGTTGACAGGCGCGAAGCCGACGAGCAACGACTGGGTGATCGACTTCGACGAACTTTCGTACGTCAATGCGCGAATCCCGCGTCCCAGTGACTCACACGACACCTCGACAGCCGCTCAATCACCCCCCGCACCAAGATGATCATCGTCAACACGCCGCACAACCCCGTCGGCAAGGTCTTCACGCGCGAGGAGCTCGAGAAGATCGCCGCGCTCGCGGAGCAGCACAACCTGATCGTCATGTCCGACGAGGTGGTACGTAACGTCGTCCGTGCATTCGATCAGTCAAAGTCTGAGAAGGTGTCCAGTACGACTTCCTCGTGTTCGACAACAAGGAGCACGTGCGCATCGCGACTCTCCCGGGCATGTGGGATCGCACCGTCACGGTTGGCTCCGCAGGCAGTGAGTATTCTCCCAGCGTGCTTCGTGAAGGTCTCTCACGCTCGTCGTGTGCTATGCAGAACTGTTCTCTGCGACGGGATGGAGAGTGGGTTGGCTCATCGGGCCGCCATCCATCATCAGACCAACCCTGGCAGCATGCACGCGCATAGTGTTCTGCAGTAACTCGCCATTGCAGGAGGCCACAGCAGTTGGCCTCGAAGAAATGGAGGAACGTGGATACCTTCCGCAGGCGGTCAAGGAGTACGACGAGCGACGACTGACGCTGACGGCAGCGTTCGACAAGCTCGGCATGACTTACTCTCATCCCGAGGGAACCTACTTCGTGCTCCTGGTGCGTCCCTTGTGCAAGACGTGTACATGAAGCAAGAATTGTTCACACGCTTCCCTAGGACATCTCCACCGTCCACTGGCCAGAAAACTATCCCTTCCCAGAAAGCGTCCAGGGGCGGGGACGAGACTTCAAGTGAGCACACGTCTGTGAACCTACCTTGGGCCCCATTTCTCATTGCATCGCAGGGCATGTTGGTTCATAGCCATGGAAGTGGGAGTATCCACTATACCCGTGAGCGAGGTGAGAGCGTTCCCTGGACCGTGCGTCTCGCCCTATCTGATTGCATCACGAAAGTTCTACTGTGAGGAGCACTGCTCTATCGGCGAGAACTACGCCCGCTTCGCGTTCTGCAAGGACGTCGATACCCTGAAGAGGGCAACTGAGCGCCTGCAAGGCCTGCGAAGATTCCTGCGGTAGACGCGCCTGTAGAATAGAGAAGACAACCAAAATGATTTCCCAGCTTTCCTATTCGACAGTGTTGTTCTTGCATTGACTCAAGTCTGTGCTTCTCAGTGCTCACGAAAGGGTGTAATTCCGTGGATTTTTGATATATTTATCCTTCAGCTACTTCCCCATCCAGACTGTCTACCACACGGGAAAGCAGCTCGTTGACAGACGTGGAAGAGCAATCATAGTACACCGGGTTGCTCGTCAGCCGGCGCGCGAGGAACGTGAACGACAGCGCATCGACCGCCTGCTGCTTATCCACGATGCTCCCATCCTTCCGCCTATCTCGGTACCACGCCCGGAGCACGTCTGTCTGCAGGAGCTTCGACTCGAGCGGCAGGCCGTCGTTGAGGAACCGCATGAACGTGTCCTTGCTCTCGACCTGGCAGAAGAGGTGGAAGTGCCCCGCGCCGGTGTGGCTCACCGCGCGGCCCTGCATACGGGCGAGCTCCTCGAGACCGTAGTCGCGCAGTTGCCGCTCCTCGTCCGTGACGTGCAGATACTGTGTGCCCATGACGACGACCGTGGTCGCGCGCACAGGGAGGCTCCAGCACGCGTCGCGGGGAACGATGAGCACGCGGATGAGGCCTTCCGCGTACAGCTCCAGCATGAGGTTGCGGTCCTCTCTTGCGATGCCTTCGTGGAAGAAGCCGACGCCGCGAGAGATATGGTCCATGAGCTCGCTGTCTCTGAGCCTCAGCCTGTAGTGTTCGAGTCTTTCCACGGCGGCGTCTTCAGGCAAGTACCCTCTGGCTGTCTCCATCTCCAGCGCGCACTGTGTGGTGAGATCGAAGGAGATGGGGCGACATTGTGCGCGGGACGGGACGAACACGATAGCGGTCCCACCGGGTGCTTTCCGGATGGCCATGTGCGCAGGTTTTGCCATCGCCTTGAAGAGGGCGGCCGATTGCGGGGTCGTGAATGTCTGGGTGTGGACAGTCAACGACTGGTCTCTGTCGCTCGACCGGAAACTGTGCAAGGCCAGGGGGTCGACATTCAGCCATGCAGCAAGGTCGGCTGGGTCATTGAGTGAACTGGATAGGCCGACAAACCGCACTGGGTGGGTCTGCGCCGCATGGATAAGAAGGGACACCCCGAGCTCGTACGCAGAGTCGAGCAGTTCCAGGTTTTCGCATACGACTAGCTTCAGCCCCGAGAGAGCAGATTTGAGGTGCCGTGTGCGTGTTATGGACCGCAGCAAATCAGCACCAGTAGCGAAACGGATGGTCTTCTTCTTAGGAGCTGACAATAATGCCTCTGCCGTGCTCAGGTCCACGGGGATGTTGAGCATCTCCGAGATTGGACGCATTTCGGTGACCATCTCGACGGCCACGCTGCGACGCGGGACCACCACGAGCACCCAGGATGTTTCCGTAGCACTTTGCAATGTGTTCCTACGCAGCCCACAATGAGATAATCCTGACCCGGCGACGAATGCACGACTTACCATATCGTTGCTTGCGCTAATGTAGACTTGCCGGAACCTGTAGGAGCACAGAGCAGCGCATGTAATGGCGTATTGACAAGACTCCATAGCGCGTGGCTTTGCAGAGCATTGAAGCTGTGTATTCTACGCGACATGTGCTTCTCGACTATGGGGCTGTGTAGAACGGAGAGGGGAAGGAATGGAATGTCCAGGCGAGGAGTATGCGAGTCAGAAGCCGACGGCATGACAAGATCGTCGAATGGTACCGCGACTTCATCCTCCGCGCCCATCCATTTGTCGGAGACGAATCGTATCGTTGCGAACGGAGGTCGCTGGCTTTCTGGTATTGAGATGACAAAATCAACATCCAGCGCATCCGTGCCTTGCCGAAACACCAGATGCGACATTTGTAAGATGTTGATCCCCTCGTCGTCTTCAATCCACAACCAGAACGGCTCAGAAGAACCATGGATCCTGGAGCTCCAATTGAACTTCCGTGTAACGCGTACGGAGATCCTCAGCACGTTCGAACCCAGCGGCCGTAACTTGTAGGCAAGCGCAACTGTGGGGAATTGTTTCGCGGCATCGCGAATAGCACCACCGTGGTGCTCGTTGAGTCGGACGAGCTGGCCTAGCTCTGCTGCCGACATGGCAGCTAGCTCAGCGACCGAGTAGTCATCGGCCCACCGTTCGAGGTTGTAGAGCACATCCCGCTTCAGTTGGAATTGTTTTAGTGGCTGATCGAAAGGCCACAGGCGCTTCTCGATAGCCTTGCTCAAGCCCATCAGCACAGCGCTAACATTCGCCCACTTGCGGCTTATGGCGATCTCCAAAAGCGAGCGCACGATACGGCCCCCGTTCTGCGCTGCATACGCTTGGTCGGATACCAAGGCGAAGTCCTCCGGGCGGATGTCGGATATGTAGCTTTGCAGCAATATGTTGACCTTTCCCTGACTTGAGTCCGTGCCTCCCTGCGGAAATCATTAGCAAGCACATGATGATAATTGGTCGCATTCACATACCTTGACGGCACATGGAACGTGTTCCATGAGCAGCTCCAACTCCTCTACCTCATTATCTCGAACTTGGATTTGATCGAACTGAACTAGCTGTTAGCACCGTCGTGAATAGAGTCGGGCGACACTCACCTCCGTGCTCATACACAACATTGCTAGGACGTCGGCCTCTGACATCTTTGGCTTGAATTGCTTGTTGAAGATTTCTATCGATGCATGCCTAATGTAATATTTCGCGGCGATCCGACCGAGGTCGAGGATCGTGAAACTACCAGTCATCCTGTCGAATGTGATCATCCGTGCATCAGCCAGCTTCGTAGCCGCCTCAACGACGAGTTGGTTGCGCTTGGTACCGAGATTCGGATCGTCTGCTACCTGGTCGCGAGTAAGACCTGCGTATGAACCGACTTTCAGGAGACAATGGCATCGACAACTGTGTTAATGCTGACCATATTGGAATGGGTTCTTGCGCATTCGAACGAAGAGGTAGGTATAACCTATCCATTGTACTGCATCGTGCGTATTGGCGACAGTGCCCAGTGCGATCTCGGCGTTGAGAGCGTCGATGATACCACCAATGAACCTGACATGACGTGAGCGACGCGCATATTAGTCTGTCAGCGCACTACGAGCTTACCTTGATTCGATTGGATTCTGCGTAGGCCAATCAGTCGCCGTATAGTGACATGGCAAACATGCAGACAGACCTGAGAAGTGACCGCATCGAGGTAATGCTGTAACTTGTCCTCAGTAGTGCAGATGAACCCGACACCGCTGGTCTCCAGTCCTGGTCGACCTGCTCGACCGAACACCTGCAAGACATCTAGGACAGACAGATCCGTGAAAGATCCCTTTGACGAGTCGTACACTTGCGTGCCCTTGATGATGACTACCAATACGTGGTAAGCGTCTCTCTCCGACGTCAATCAGCTCACATACCTGCATGAGCGGGAAGGTTAACACCCCACGCTAGTGTTGCAGTACAGCACAGGACCTAGTTATCCCCTCAGCGCAGTTGTGACCTCAGCCACTGTCCTGCTTACCTTTATCGCCCTTGCTTCGAACATCCTCTCCATCATATTTCGATCCGTACGCAACATACCGGCATGGTGTATGCCAAAGCCGCTATCGAAGAGCTGCTTCATCTCCTTATTCCTCGACGTCCCAATGTCCCGGCGGAAGAAATCGAACTGAGGATGGTCTTCACAGATGAACTCGTCGAGTAAACCATCCGCCATAGCGGCTTCCTTGAGGGCAAGGGCAGTCTTGACCGTCTCCTTCCTCGCGTGGACAAACACCATGACCTGGTGCCCCTCCCGCACCATCTCAGATACCTTCTCGAACGACACAAGGTCTAGGTTTTTGCGAGACTGCGGGCTCGCGGGCTTGCCTTTGACGCCAATGAAATGTTGCTCAAGCGGCACAGGCCTGAAGGACGAGTCGAAGTAGAACAGACCGGTGTAACGGTTCACGCTTTGAACAATCGTGTTAGCAAGGGAAGCGCCCCGGGGCCAATGACACCGAACCTGAGGAATTCCGCGACATCGATGTAGTTGGGCAGGGTGGCACTAAGGCCGATGATACGAATGACAGACTGTGTTGATTCTACCTGCGATGAAGGTAAGTCACGTATAGCAGCCCAGATTCACATCACTTACCTGTCGTAATGTGCGCGCGACAATTGTCTCGATGACTGCACCACGCTCATCGTTAAGCAGATGAACTTCATCAATGATGAGCAGTTTCACTTGCTAGAATATTCGGAAATTTAGCTTGTTTCATACGTGAAATAAGAGAGGACTGACCGATGCAAGTTCACCCTCGCCTGTTGGCTTGCGAGTCACGACATCCCACTTCTCTGGGGTGGTAACGATCATTTGCGTCTCCGCAATTTCGGCCTTCGTGAGCTGCATGTCACCTGTCTCCACATTAGTATTCAATGCGGATCACCTCAGTTAGCGACTCACCAGTGAGTTCCCGCACAAGAATGTTCAGCCATTTGAGCCGCTTTCCAAGCTTCCTAGTAATCTCGGAAGCGAGTGCCTTCATAGGTGCGCTATGAAAATCGTGAGTACTCCTTGTACAACCGATTGTTTAGCTTCGACGCACACGTAGACCACCTTGAATCTATCTCTTTGGATCGAAGCGGCAATTGAGTTGTTTCCGTGGGCAGACCTGTGTTGATTCAGGACCCGCAGAATGGATAACATGGCGACATCCGTTTTACCCTAGGATGGATACTCCTAAGCTTCAAATACCACATCTCACATGGCATTGGGGAACTCACGGCACCAGTGGGAGCTGTGAAGATAGTGAGCGGAGTCTCCAATGAAGCGAGATCCTTGACTGACCGCATACGAGCATGTTCTCGTTTGAATGATACGCAGTGGGATACACGATGGACTGTATCCTGTTCAGCGAAGTGTAGCCCTGGCGTGTTCATGGTTAGCAGACGGTCCTATATGACTTAGGTAGAGATACCAACAGGGAAGGAACCTTTCGCGAGGGGATCAAGCTCCGAGACAGGAAGGAGACGTTCATTTATGCGAGGAGGGACCGGTTTTGTAGGTGGGATTGTGACTTCTTCGTAATCCTATTCATACATTAGCCATACGAATTGTTCTGGTGGGTGCTGGGTCAATTACCTCGTTCATCATGCGCGTCGTACCTAGGGGTAGAAGAAATCGCGTGCCAAGATGAGATAATACATTCCCTTGGACCGCAGATGCAGATGTATATACATGCGGCAATACTTCCGGTGCATCATGCTGCGAGAATCCTTCAGCAACATGGTATTATGAAAAACTATCTACTCACTGCGGTTCCGGTAAACAGCGGGCGAGCGGCGTTGGCGCGTAACGTCTCCTCCATACGTCTTCGAGCAGCCTCGGGGTCAATACTACTTGGGGCATGTGCTAGAGCGGAATTAGTCTCGTAGAGAAGGCAGAACAAGTATGAGCCCACATTGGTTACCGATCTGTGGGCTATTCCGCGAGTAAATGGATTGGCTGTTTTCGGTGCCGCGCAGGTAATCTTCTACCTTTCCTGAGCGGTCAATCGACTGCGAACGCGCATGGAGGGAATGGAAGGCTTACTGCTCTGGCTGTGGTAGCTCGATCGGCCAAAATTTCCATCACCAGCTCGATATCGTCGAAGCCAATGATGTCTGCGAGCTGTTCGGATATCGAGTCATCCGAACCTTTGGAGTTTAGAATTGATGATAGTGACGGGAGGACGTCTCGGAGGTTCGGTTTCCTGCGTGAATGTCGGTTATTCGACTGTCACGACCAGCATTCTGCAGTTCTACGCACGCAACGAGCTTGGATAGTATTGGAGGATAGTCCGCGGGTCCAGAGGCAGATTGGGCGGTGTATAGGTTCAGTACTGAGTCCCAGTTCTCCTCAGTGTCCTCGGGCAATGCCGCGCCCCTTGTGTCTACAGGTCGATTAGTTGAGGCGACGTTGTCAATTGGTTGGCACGTACCATCTGTCACGCCGCCTTTCCTGCAAGAACGTTAAACAGTACACCTGCGACGTTCTACATGAACTCACCTTGTCCATTCTTCTACAACGCGTCCGTCCCGGTCAGCCGATTCGTCCGGGGAGCCAGTCAAATACTTGATATGGGCCAGGAAATTCGACATAGCTTTCAAAGGGAATTCCTGCCGTCTGCGTGAATGTGTTTCTGGTGAAAACCTCCTCTACGAACTCGCCAGCGAAGATCGACTCGGTCCAGCGGTGACTCTCTCGGGAACGAGGACAGGACGCGCGATTAGACGCCGTGGAGAGATCTTGATCGCAGGCGCTGGGCGCGTCCACGAGATGAGATCGGACACGCCCGATCCGGGGACTCGGAGGTTACAGCGCGTCCACCATGTCCAGCAATGCGTACGTAGCTCCCTCCAGCGTACGAGCAACTATGCAGGTGCTGATCGCGATTCCTCAGAGTATCGCTGTACTTGGACCCGCAGATCCGTGATTGGGTTCTCTTCCCCATCACGGTGGTCATGGTTAGTCGCCGCGTCCTGTGCTTCACGCATTTGCATCTTACGCCCACTCGCCTCCCCGACAGATCCTCGTGGGCATTCTGCGACACTATGTCGTCCTGCTCCTACAGTCCGCACCGAAGAAGCTACCACGTGCAGCCATCCGTGAACAGTGAGCCTCGGCGCTTTCTCCCATACCTCCTCCATGCTCTGACGAGTCCGCCCAGACGAGCTCTAATGCGTTCCAACATCCTGCGCGCCTCGTCGGCCAACTCCCCACTTCCACCATCATTCTACCAGTCAATATCCCAACATCTTTCGCAGGCCTTCGCGGCCGGGACGTTCTTGAAGGACGGGCCGCCAAAGAGTGACGCGCCTACGACGCCCGCGAACCCGCTGTCCGACCCTTCGCAGATGGACGGCATGATGGCAGGAATGAAGACTCAGATGGTCATGATGGTGCCCCAGATGGTTATTATGGGATGGATCAATTTTTTCTTCCAGGGCTTCGTGTTGAGTGAGTGGCAGTGCACTCCCGTACTTCGTCGAGACTAAGAGGCCGCAGTCAAGCTGCCGTTTCCGCTCACGCTGGGCTTCAAGTCGATGCTGCAACGTGGAGTTGAGACGCCGGACATGGACGTGCGATGGGTCTCTTCACTTTCCTGGTACTTCCTCAATTTCTTTGGGCTGAACGGCTTGTACCGGTTGATCCTTGGCAATGACAACTGTGAGGTGCTCTCTGTCTCTTCAGTTTGCAGGGGTAATTGACCACTCGATGAATCCACAGCTGCGGACTCCTCAAGAGATATGACGACACCCTTCGCTGCCGCAGCCGTGGCCCCGCAGGGACCACAGGCACAAGACTACAACAAGTTGTTCAAAGCCGAGCGAGACAACCTCGAGTTTGCTGAAGGCTTGTACTCATGGGTAGGGAAGGACATAGAGACGACCGTACTCAAGAAGTATGGTCGGTTACCCGACAGTCAGTAGGCAGCACACAGGTTGTTGTAATTGAATGTATTTCTTCTGCCACATGCACAGCCACCAAAGCCGTAAACCATTAAGTGTACAATATCGTCTATGTGAGAGCAAGATACAGCCTGTTCCTACAACATTATGCGACCAAAGAGCAATGCGTGTCCATAACGCGCCATGAAGGCAGATGAGTCGTGTGTGGCTACAGGTGCCCGTAGCAGCGGGGCGGTCTACCGGCATGCAGGGGGCAGGCACTGTGGATGCGCTATACGAGGCCGTCGTACAACGATAACGCCTTACGATAATGCTATGTGAATGCCAATGGCGGCGAAGGATGGAGTGACATACCTGGACAATCGTAGGGTCTTGCTTACTGCCCTCGACGAACTCGTCGTAGGTCAGCTTTGCGTCCTTATCGCGGTCCATGTTTCTGAAGATTTTGTCCACGCGCTGGGTGCACGGGATAATACTTGAAGAGATTGAAATGTGGCGCGACATAATTACTCACCTTTTCCGGTGTATCCTCATCTACAGGCAGCTTGACCATTTGTCCGGTCATCTTGTAGATGGACTGGACGATCTTGAGCATCTCGTCATACGTGATGAACCCATCTCCGTCGATGTCATAGAGCTGGAAGGCCCCTGCATTGTGCACGGAGACACATACACACGCGGTCAACACGCACATCAGCAGGTCTCGATCAAGCACTCACATTTGAGCTTCTCGTCTAACCTCCCTCTGCTCGTGACGCTCAACGCGCATATGAACTCTTTGAAGTCGATGGTTCCATTCTTGTTTTCGTCAAAGACGTTGAATACGTAGTCCGCGAACTCGCCAGGGTCGCCGAAGGGGAAGAACTGCTTGTATATTCGGCCAAACTCGGCCTTGTCCAGCTGGCCAGAGGGACAGTCCTTGAGGAAGCCCTTATACCTGGAAGCCGAGACCGCGGATCTGAGGATGAGCCCGCGCGCGGAGATGAAACATGGGACTGACCACTGCTGCAGCTCCCGCTTATCGACTGGGTGTGGGTGAATTTCGGTGGGCTAGGGAAGGAGGGGCGACATACAGTATGTGTGCTTCTGGAGATCGGCAAGTTGTTCGGGGGATAATTTACTTTGCGATTTCCCCATGATGGCTGCCGTACACCGGAGGCGCTAGCGATTCAGATGACGGGGGGACGACGGCGGCGCGGGCCACTTGTGTTGCACTAGCAGAGCGGTGGGTCGCGGTATGGGCGCCTGCGGATAGGTGCGTCATGGATTTGCAGATATTCGGTGACCTGCCGGATGCGGAATATGGATGGTAAGTCATATCGCGTATCAGACAATTGCAAGAGAAGTGATCCGTGCTGGGCTCTCCGTGCACGATGCAGCCTCGAGGCCGCGCGGACATGCACAACGAGCCCTGTGTGATTTTGGCCTCCAGAGAACCGCCATGGCCGCCAGTGCCAGTCGACACCAGCGAGCCCACCGCCGCCAGTGCCCCCGCCGTCGCTGGACTTCGCTCGTAAACCCATGATCCGCCTAAATGGCCTTGATCAGCGTGAAAAGGAACCGCATGCATATGCCTTCTTCGAGTTCATTCTCAGCCGAGACAGCCTTGTATCCCCCTTATAGCACCGTCTCGTTCGCCTCCGACTATCTCCTCCTCCGCCTTTCCCGGCCTGCCTCTCCCGATGTGCTACGCTCTGGGCTCCATCGAGCAGGCGACGGGGGTCTGCCCGATGTGCAAGGTCTTCAAACCCGTGGGCGGTGCCCGGTACGTCGATCTCGGTGTCCCATCCACCTCGAGCGCCCATCTCCTCCATTGTAGGTGTCCCCATGTGAGGGAAGTCTGCCGCAATAGGGCAGCCCATCCCCGATGCGACGTAGTCTACCTCAAGAACGCGGAGGGTGTGTTTCTTCATTGTTTCTTGCACCGCCACAGCTGTCCTGAAACCCGCGTGGCGCACTAGTACAGACCTTCAGTGGGTGTGGCTACTGCAAGGTATGTACGGGAGTGTAACGTGTTCGATCGTACTGATGTGGACGCTTGTGTGTGACGCAGTGGGCGGCCACCAGTCCCCCTCAGGCCTACTCTGGTTACCAAAACCCTGGGTGGCCGGGATGCTGCCGACCCCCCAAGTCTGACGAGCAGAGGCTAATCGGGGCAGCAGACTGGCCTGCTGTCTGCCTGATCCACCATCTCCCTATCCCCTCAGATATCAAGGCCATCCTGGACAGCCTGACGACCAGGTCGGGGGTAGCCAGTCCTGGTGGTGGCAGCCGCGCCACGAATATATCAGCCACTGCACCCTCCATGTCGCGCAGGCCCAGCTACCAGGTTTCGAGCCCGACTAGGGCGGAGAACACTGCTACGAGAAGCGCGGCGATGCCGATCTCTCCTAGGGGTCGATCCGGTGGTAGTCCTCAGCAGGCGACGATGGCCCTTGCCAATAGCGCCTCTCGACACGCGACCGGGAGTGGTGATGGGTCTGCGTCATCGTTGCCGAATCGATCTGCTATGGATCAGTGCCAGGGCTCGCGCCGCCCGAATACTGAGCACAGCGAGAGGCGCTCCGAATCCACCAATTCTTCTCAGCACTCGCCCGGCCACAGGAACATTGATCTCGGCGGATCGGTGTCGCGCCGCAGTACCGAACGAAGATCCTCTGTATCTAATGTCGCGGCAGTATCGGTCAATAAAGCCGCGATGGAAGCCCAGCCTGCGCGACGGCGCACTCAGACGACCAAATCGGACTCCCCTCCTCCCGCTGCCTCACCCGCGAAGAGCGAGCGTCCCAGCGCTGCTCCGCCGCCTTTGAAACGTGCCACTAGCACTCTGGAGAAGTCGCTCAAGGAGATGAGCATATCGGGCGCATCCAGCAACAGCAGTGGCAGTACGAGCTCCGAGACCACTATCATATCGGACGGGGGTTTCACGGACTATCTGTCCGACGAGTCTGAGGCGGAGCTGCAGCGGCAGGCAGAGGTCAGAGCTGCCAAGTTCGCTCAAAACCAGGCGGAGGAGTTGGAGTTCCGCGTTGCCCGCCAGCAACTCGCTACGGTCGATCTGCGCCCTCCGAAATCGTGGAACGGCAACAACAACGCTACCCCGCGCTCGCAGACGTCGTCGGCTCGCCCTCCCACGTACCGCCAGACCTCCGACTACAACATGTCGTCTGGCAAGGCCAGTGTGGCGCAGGGAAGGAGCTGATGGTCTCGAGATTCTGACGGGTTGTCTCAGTGCTAATCTATGCAATGCTTGGAAGGACGTCATGGGATCCGGTGGTGTACTCATATAATCCTCAGCTGCATTCCCCCTGTTCCACTAGCGACTCTGTAGCTTTGTGACGGTTTAGGGCATGCTGCATTTATGTACACAAGTGTATCTACTGCAATCTCGGTATCTCTGGTTGTATGGTCTTATGCTATCCTTGGTTCTCGATGATCTCTGCGTGCATCAGTCTTCAACTGCAACCCTCCCTGAGCACTGACCCAGACCAGGCTGACATTCGGGTGGTCATGGCAGGTTGGTCGGACTCGCTGGACGCTGGTGCTGCTTCACTTGCGATGGCGCACATACGCGTATCACGTGGTGCCATACCCTCCGCGCGCAAGGCGTCTTGATTAGACGGAACGTTACTTGACCGCTCCCTACACGCGCCCCCCTCCCACCGCCCCTCCATGAATCTCGCCCGACATTCAATAAGCTCTACAGCCCCGGTACTCATCTTCGACGCGCGATTCGACTCGGACTGCCATATATTCACAGCCGCAACCCCGGCAGGGTTCGCGGTGTATCGCACGCGCCCGCTGCAGCTGCTTCGGAAACGCGGTACGTGGTCATCCCACCCCGGGATCCTTCCGGACGACTCAAGCCCACGCTCCTCGCAGAGATCACGGGAGGCACGCTCGCTGCTGTAGTGCCGCTGCATACGTCCTCGCTACTGTTCCTCATCGGAGGCGGGCGCAGTCCGCGGTATCCACCGAATAAGGTTATCCTGTGGGACGATGCGCTAGGCCAGGAGGTTGCGGAGCTCGAGTTTAGGGAGCGGGTGAGGGGGCTTGCGTGTCGGAAGGGCTGGCTAGCAGTGGCACTGCGCCGCCGCGTCGTGGTGTTCGAGCTAGGGAAGGGGGTCTCTAGGTACGGAGAGTGGGATACATGCGATAACCCGAGAGGTACGTACGATCGGTACACGCGACACCCTCTCGTCTCGTGAATTTGCTGTGCTGTATGTCTTACATATATGCACTTCAACTCATGCGTAAATCTGCGTAGGTCTGCTTGCGATGGCGACCGCTGCATACTCTACCCTACTTGCGATACCCGGTCGCCAGATGGGTCACGTCCATCTCGTCCACCTCCCTCCATGCCCTCCGCCAGAACCCTTAGGACCGCCAATGTCCGCACCCCCAAGACCGCCGGCGCGTCCAACGAAGCATCCGGTGTCTATGTTCATTGCCCACGAGAGCGCGCTTACCACACTATCTGTTCCCTCATCTGGGAACCTCGTCGCCACCACATCTTCCAGAGGGACGCTCATTCGGATATGGGACTCCAACACCGGGAAACGTGTGCGAGAATTCCGGCGAGGTACAGATAAAGCCGAGATTTATGGCGTGGCCTTCCGGCCTGACGAACGGGAGGTATGTGTGTGGAGCGACAAAGGCACAATACATGTCTTTGCTCTCGCAGATGATTCGGGCTCATCGTGAGTACTCTCTTGGTGAACCGCAAGCCGATGGTAACGACGTCGGTAACGACTTCTAGGAATCGACAATCTACTTTCTCGCCGCTGAAGCCGTTCGTCCCACTGCCGAAGTACTTCAAGTCGGAGTGGTCGTACGCACAGTACCGGATACCCTCACAATCCGCACACATCTCAATGTCGGCGGGGCCGTCGAAGTCGCCCACCGCGGACGTCATCGATGAAGAGAAGTGTGTGGTTGGATGGATTCAAGCACCATCTGACGACACCCTGGAGGGCGAGCCTCCAGTGGAACACCAGCTCGTCGCCTTGACCTACACCGGAGGTTGGTATCGATTATCACTGCCAAAGACCTCTGCTCCATCAGCTATACCGCCGCGTACGTCTGCAAGTGGTGCTGGCACGGTCATCTCAGGATCGCCGCCGAGGCCCGTGCCTATGTCGCGTCCGCGATCCTCGAGCGGGTCATCCTTCGCTGGGCGCCTAGACAAGGGCAAGGACGTCGACCGCGAGAAAGAGGGCGGGCCGAGCCACGAGTGTATCTTGCGCGAATTCAGACGGTTTGGGCGGTGGGACGGATGGGGATAGGAACTGGACTGGAATTGGATGGACTCGTCGGCATACTTACCTCTCTTGGCTTGTGACATGGCCCGCTCTCTGCATCTCCTGCTCTTCGCCGCTCACGCACATCTGTATATCTACCTCCATGCATGCATTGTTTGTACTCGTGTTGTATCCATATATGCCAGTCCACCCGGATGCGCTGCGCACTGGTAGGCTTTCCACGCAAGATACACAAGAGGATCTCGATCGATCCCAGTCGTGATGTGAAATACAATCTCCAGCCAGCTATGACGCCCTCGCTACTGCCATTTGCCTTGTCTATGAAAGTGTTTGTTCCATCCTCTGGCTGCAGCGACGCATAGCTCTCCAACTAAATTCCTGGTTCATTACTGATAGAAATTAGTGTTGGTGCGGTGATCTTTAGTCAACCCGGGAGTCAGCGTCTGTTCCTAGTAGCCCACTGCCACCAGTGCTCCAGTTGACTTCGCAACTGAACAGGGTCCTGCAAGGACGGTCATGGAACGCACTGTAACCATTCTGGCCCCGTTGACCCCTCATAACTCTACCTGTGGGTATTGCTCGCCTCCTGGGAAGCGGAGCGAAACCAAGTCCAGTTGCCATGCCGCGGAATGCATCCCTTTGCGGATGTCCTGTGAGGTATAGTAACATATACCTCGTGCTGAAAACGGACATAGCACTGAAGGAGCGCTTTGCTAGGGGTACCAGAAGATGATAGACCGTGGTTGGAGACGGTCAGGCACGTATTGTTATAAGCCTGACCTCAAGAAGTCTTGTTGCCCACAATACACGATCAGGTATGTTTGTGTTCAAGGCACCCTCATCGTTTCCTGCTGACTACGCGTCGCCTACTAGGCTTGACGCCAACAAATTCAAACCGTCCAAATCCCAGCGAAAGCTCCTCAATCGGTCAGTGGCGTTCGCATGGATTGTCTACGAACGAAACTGATTCGAGGGTTCAGGTGGAATCGCTTCGTGCTCCGCGGGGATACCAACGAGGAAGCCTTCGATGAGGCGACAAGCATACCGTGAGTAGTGCTTGACCGTAATTGAGTAGCCCGGCAGACAATTCTGGTAGTAAGAAGGGTAGTCCTCACAAAGGCAAGAAAACGGAGACGGCATTTTCTCTGACGCAGGAAATACATGCTTCTGAACATGACTTTTGTACATGCAAATCGCCGAAACATCGGTTCGAGGCAAGTCATTCACACATACTGTAGGGACGAGACTAACGCTGACTGCGCTGTTACACATCAGGTCACACTTGAGCCTTCCTCGTTCACAGACGAGAAATTCGATTTATATCAGAGTTACCAACGCAATATACATTGCGAAGAGGACAAGATGCCGAGCAGCTTCAAACGCTTTCTCGTCGAGACACCGTTACAGGTAACATCATATGCATGAATGGCCATTCGTCACTCAAATGGTATGCTGCAGCGTGAAACCATACCATATCCCTCCCCGCCACCAAGTCATTTACCACAAGAATACGGGTCGTACCACCAATTGTACAGACTTGACGGGGAACTCATCGCGATGGGTGTCATTGACGTGCTCCCAAATTGCGTCTCAAGTGTGTACTTCATGTACGAGAAGAAATGGGAGAAGCATTCCTTAGGCAAGGTAATTCTCCATTTACTTGATCATGCATCGACCCGAAGACATGGTTGACTGATCCATGTCAAGCTCAGTGCCCTGCGAGAGGCTTCACTCGCCAAGGAGATGTACGACACGGGGTTGACTGACATGGGGTTCTTGTACATGGGTGCGTTGCATGACTGTTGGAGACATGGGATTCGACTGAGATCCTCCCTAGGCTTCTACATTCACTCCTGCCCGAAGATGCGATACAAAGGAGACTACGCCCCGTCATACCTGGCTGATCCCGAGGAATACACTTGGTGCCCTTTCGAGCAATGCCGCCCCGCACTAGAGGGGCACAGATACGTCAGCTTCGCACATCCCGAGCATAATCTGGAGGGACCGCCAGATGTTCCTGAAGACGGTTCGTCTCCGTGTCATCGCCATTGCAATTGCGGTCTCAAGTCCCAATTGTAGATTCTATTCAAGAGCAGGAGCTTCCTGCATCTGTACTGTCGGAGGCTCACATTATACAGACGGGCCGACGCGGCGGTGCGGTTGCTGTGCCTGTGATAGTGCGTATGCACGGTCTTCGCGCATGCCAGCAGGAACTGAGTAGCCATGATTTCCTGTAGACTTCCCCGCAGTGGAGGCGATCCCAAGAAAGGCTCGCCATCTCAGCGCTGTTGAATGGGTTAGGACCTGAGCTCGCCGCTGAGGTGCTTCTGTTCATGGCATATGAACTGTGAACTGTGTGGGTCACCGCCGGAGGGTTGCTCACTGTTATACAAGCACTTGTGTACTTTGTATGTACGACGATTATTATAGTCTACCGCGGAGGAGAGACCTGCGGTATGAGTTCCAGCCTCCGAGACGTTGGCTCGCCACTCGTGCCAGGCAGCCTGCCAGGCGTGATCAAGTGCCAGTGGACGGTGCCCGCAAGCGATCGGATTTCATCTCGAGATCCAGATCTGCTCTCGAGGCGCGTCGCGTCGCGCCGGCGGAAGGACGTCGACCGCATCGGGGTCTGCCACTACCAACTACCTTGAGCTTGCAGCACCATCTACCGAAGGTCTGGTCTCATGCGGCAAACATGGACTAGCCTCCGAAAACCATGGCGTACATTCTGGGATGCCCACAGCACGCTCAGGCGTGCGCTGTACCCGCTCATCTGGCTACCCACGGGCATCGTGTTCACTCAGTTCTTCTACACCGTGAAGTCTGTGAGTGGACGGAGCATGCAGGTGCGTCTTCGCGTCTTCGTCTGAGATTTTGCGCAAGTTGACTGCTCCAACTAGCTAGCCAACGCTGAATCCGGACACTTCGCCGTGGCGAGACTTGGTGCTGTTTGACCGCTTCTCCATACGGACCTTGCGGAAGTATGAACGAGGTGACATCGTCGCATTGGCGTGCGTATCATTCCTTCAGGGTTGTGGTATGCGTAAGGGATAGCTCATGTGAACATGTAGGTCTCCTATTGACTCCAAGCTGCTTGTCAAGCGAATTGTCGCTTTGGGAGGAGACACGGTGCGCGAGCTTCATACGTACATGTGCGTCGATGTGCATGAGCTCACGCTGTTCTCAGGTGAAGACATTGCCACCTCATCCTGATGCCGAAGTCCGTATCCCCCCTGGGCATGTATGGGTGGAGGGTGAGATAGAGATCAACATCCAGCGCGGCCTACTCGCTGACCGTGTACTCGACAGGTGATGAGCCCTTCCACTCAGAAGATAGCAACACCTTTGGACCTGTGCGTGCCCATGCGCCGTGATGTCAGGGTTTCCGTTGCTGACCTGTAGATCAAGGTTCCCCTCGCGCTCATCGACTCCAAGTTGATATGGATCGTCTGGCCCCAGCAGCGGTTTGGGCCGCTACTTACGCCTTCAGAACCAGACCCCAAGGCACCGAGAGGGCCTAGTTGGCGTTTGGAGAAGGCCGCGATGGAAAGGGCACAATGGAGGAATTCACGCGTTACTACAGTACAACAGAGGCTGTCTCCGCCAGATGAGCTAGACACGGAGGTCGTAGTATGAGATGCCTCACCACCTGGGCACCGTAGTCTTAGTTGCACATTCGAGCTTGCAGGCTGAAGATGTCCGTACCCTACTAGGGCTATGAGTACACTGATATCCATTCTGTAATAATGTAGACGCTGATAGGAGGAACGGTGAGATCGAGAGTGAGAGAGACGAGGAAAGATGCAAGAGTTCACACAGGTCGACAGTAATAGGGAAACGAGTTCAATACAATGAGCCTGACTACATAGCATGGCCCTGCCCCGCATCGTAGTCATGCCCTCCCGCATGGTGTGCTCCATGATACGCCTGCGCGTCGTGGTACCCTTGCTGATCGTGGTACCCTTGCGCGCCCTGATACCCTTGTGCACCTTGGTACCCCTGGGCATCATGATATGCCTGTGCTTCGTGGTACGCCTGGGCTTCATGGTACGCCTGGGCTTCATGGTACGCCTGGGCTTCATGGTGGCCCTGGGTGTCCTGGTAGCCGTGCGCTTGCGCGTCAGGGTGTGTGCCGTGGTACGCCTGCGGGTCATTGAAGTACCCTGCCCCCTCTGGCTGGTGGGTATAGTCATCCGCGCCGCTGTATGCCGTGCCCTCATGTGCATGGGGCTGCTGGGCGTAGTCCGACTCGGCTGGGCTGTCGCCGTAGGCCTCTCCGTAGTAGCTGTACGGCGTCTCCGCTCCTCCGCGGCCGGGCTCTGTACGAGCGAAGGGTGCCGCGCTGCTAGTCAGGTGTGCGGTACTTCCGTACTCGTCCTCGTAAGGAGACGGCGCGTCGAATGTGCCGACCGACGGGTTGTACTGGTGTTGTCCGTATGCCGGATTGAACGCAGGCATGGGCGGGTACTCCGTCGGGCTGTATTCCTTCGTCTCGTAGTAGTACGGGTTGGCGCTGATCGTGCTAGCAGGCGGTCCGCGGGAGCGCATGGAAGCCTTGTCATCGTCATCGTCGAGCGAGACGTTGGGAAGAGTCGGTTGAGGAAGAGGCTTGGCGACGAGCTCTCCCTTCTTGTTCTTGAGGTGAGAGTAGTCACCGGCGGCTTCTTTCTTGGCTAGAGCAGCCGCTTTGGCAAGGCGCTGCTTGTTCCTCCGCTTGATGATCTCGGCAATACGCTTGTCGACCTTGTGGCAACAGTATTCCTAGGTGATCGACATCGCATGTTAGCACGCACACATGTGGACAGTTTGACATCGACTACCGACCTTGAGGTTACCCTGAATGTACGTCAGGAGAGGGATGTAGCAAATGCCGGCGATGATGAGCATCAGCAAGGACAGTGCGAAGATGAACGTGGTGAATGCCGTGGAGATGGTAAGGGCAATGGTGACGTAGTTACTTCCGCTGAAGTACGCTGATATGTCGTACCACGCATCGTGTTGTTTCTGCTTCGAGAGGAAGAGGGCATACAGAGTGAGCGCGTTGATTGACTGACGCGGACCCTCGGCGAAAATAACTCGTTTCCAGCCTGGACGGACGAACATCAGGTAGGATGGACGCGGGAATGCAAACCGGCGTACCCTTGAAGGTGAAGAACACGAAGAAGGCGAAGTCATCCGACCTCTTCGTGGAACTGGAGATGTGTGAGAAGAAGCAGAAGTGGTCATATGACCCTAAGTGCGGCGTTAGCGACAAGACGTGTAGCGTGGTGGGTCAACGTACGGAGAGAGTAGTAGTGGTTAGCCATGATATTGGTGAAGGCATATGAGATGTCACGACTAGCAATGATCTTCTTCGCCTTGCGCGCCTCGTATGCGAGCTAGTGAGGTTAAGCGCAAAGTTTGACTGGGCATGACAGACGCCACACACCAGCAAGAACGAGAACACGATACAGCCGAAGAAGAGCCATTTGCCAACGTTGAAAGGGATGTAGACACAACCGTTGTTATCGCTCTGTTGACAACTGTTGTAGATATCGTTTGACCATGTGGTGGATGTCAACATGGTCACGGCGGTGAAGATATCGGATATGTAGACCAGGAATGAAATGAAGACCGTGATGTACAGCCACAGATACCTGGACAGATGCAGGTTCATTAGCTCCTAGCACAACGACAGAGCCAAGCGACGGTGAAGGAGCATTTCCAGCTCGTACGTGTAGATTGAACCAAGGCTGCGGGACAAAGACGACTCACTTCATGCGCATTCCACATGAGTGGTCCGCGAAGTCTCGCGTATCGACGAAGTCGAACTGCGCGGTATGCTGTCAGCGTCGCATCGGGCAGCAAGGTCAAAGTGCTGACCTTGTGGTCGGGAACGACCTCTCGCTTCCAGTTTCCCCCTGCGCACATGCTTGTCTAGTCTAGTGAGGGGCTACAGCGTGAAGGCGTGTTTGGCTGAGAACGAATGGGCAGCGACGTGGGACAACGCTGCGAGTCAAGCAGCGTCCGGGCCAGCCAGTCGCTGAGGAGCAAAGAGCGGCTGGTGTCGAAGGACGGGAGGAGGTCGCGAGGACTTGGGAAAGCAGAAGAGAGCGGTTCACGAAGCGAAGCTGTTGCGCAGGCCAGCCGAGTTGCTACATGCCCGCTGTTAGCCGCCCGCAACATCCCCGCGTGCCCCGCCTGCCTCTTTCGGCAACAAAAGCTCTCCCCGCCACCACCACCACAATGACCACCGTACAGAAGATCAAGGTGCGTCTGTTTGCACACGGGACAATGCACAATAGTTCTCAATAGTATCGACTCTCAAGGAAGTCGAAGATGAGATGGTGAGTCGCGCACGCATTGTATTCTGGTGAGACGCTCATGGCGATCTGCAGGCCAGGAGTATGTCTGCAGTTCACTCCACACCTCATCCAGTAAATTTACTCGCTCAATACAGCCCAAAAGAACAAGGCCACGAGCTACCATCTGGGTCAGCTCAAGGCCAAGCTCGCAAAGCTCCGCCGCGAGCTGCTGGGTCCGCAGGGCGGCGGAGGCGGAGGCGGCGGTATTGGCTTCGATGTTGCCAGGACCGGTATAGCTTCTGTCGGCTTCGTGGGCTTCCCGTCAGTTGGCAAGGTCGGTCTGAATAGCCTACCGCTGATAACTAGATTGTGTCTGACACAGTCCGTCAGTCCACACTGATGTCGAAACTCACGGGCACACACTCTGAAACGTCGGAGATTGACTTCACCACCCTCACCACTGTACCTGGTACGGTCAAGGTGCACGGAGCACCGATACAGATCCTTGACCTACGTGAGTTCGTTGTCTTGGCTGTCAACTGATCAACGGAACTGAAGCGCGGTGAAGCTGGTATTATCGAAGGTGCAAACGATGGTCGAGGTCGAGGTCGCCAAGGTACGTGCATCTGTATCACTGATGAATCGTTTCGTCCTGACACAGACCGCAGTCATTGCCGGTATGCCGTTCCACCCATTCGGACGCCGTTCGCACTGAGGATCGCTCCCGCAGTTGCACGCACTTGCAATCTCATCTTCATCGTACTGGACGTACTCAAGCCCCTCGGTGACAAGAAACTTATCGAGGGAGAACTGGAGGCATTCGGTATCAGGCTCAATAAACGGCCACCCAATATCACTGTCAAGAAGAAGGACAAGGGCGGGATTGCGATCACGAACACTGTGCCCCTAACGAACATCGATCACGACGAAATCAAGGCGGTGTGCAGCGAATACAAGCTGAGCAATTGCGACGTTGCTATCCGAGAACCAAATGCGACGGCGGATGATTTAGTGGACATGATTGAGGGCAACAGGTAGGAACCTCTGAATCATTAGTTGCTGGTTTGCTCACAGCATGTTAAGAGTGTATATCCCAGCCATCTACGTAAGCCCCCCCTAATTGTATTGTCTGGTGACTGCATCTTACCTATGCTGTCTTAGGTGCTCAACAAGGTGTGCATGCCTCCGGCCTCCACTGAAGCCCGCTGACTTTTGACATAGATCGACGCAATCTCCATAGAGGAACTGGATCTGCTCTACAAAATCCCGAACAGCGTCCCCGTATCATCTCGAGAATGGATGAACATCGACGAGCTCATCGACGTCATGTGGAAACGACTCGATCTTGTGCGGGTGTACACGAAGCCGCGCGGAGCACCACCAGACTACAGCTCCCCCGTCGTCCTTCGGCGAGGCAAGTCATCAGTAGATGACTTCTGTACTTCTATCCATAAGGAGATCGCGAAGCAGATGAAATAGTGAGTGGTTGAGCAGCGTAACGAAACAGTAAAAACTAATGCCAATCCCGTAGTGCGATTGTGTGGGGTTCGAGTGCGAAGCATACGAGAGGACAGAAGGTCGGCCTCGAACACATACTGGAGGACGAAGATGGTACGCAACCATCGTCTCTTGCGGGTTCCAAGTTAGATGCTGACGTCCCGCACGTCAGTCGTTCACATCGCGAAGTAGTCCCTGGATCTGTACCACTGTTGTCGTATTCGCACATGTATGTAGCTATAGCTTCTGCAACACTGTTTCATCTTGTATTAGCAAGGCGTCTATAAGGTGTGCCCGAGCATTATATAGGAGTCGTATGGTAAGCGAGTGACGTGGAGTGTAGCGGTGTGCGGTGAAGATCCATGATGATATGGGGATGCCGTGGTATGGTAGAGTGGTGAGGAGTAAACCGGTACTGATTCTACAGATACAGCAATAGTCCCCTGACATCAAGCAGGTAATGGTACAATAGTGTATGCCGTAGACGTAGAGACGTGAGCTCAGAACTCCTCGTCGAGTGTACTAAGCGGCCCGTCAGCGTTGTGTCCGCACCGCTTTTCAACAGATACACGTACAAGACTCTGCTTTGATGTGCTGTCGCTGCAGTGGCACTGTTGTTCTGCGTGGCGGTCTTGAATCCGGCTTTGGCATAATCGGAGACGCGTTTCTCGAAGAAATTGGTCTTGCCCTGGAGCGAGATCATGTCCATGAAGTCGAACGGATTGGTCACATTGTAATGTTTTTCGTTGCCAAGCGAGACCAATAATCGGTCTGCAACGAACTCGATATACCGGCACATAAGTTGTGCGTTCATGCCGATGAGGGCACATGGGAGAGCATCTAGGAGCGAAACGTCAGATATACTACCCCGCACACGAGTAAAGCGAACGCACCTGTCAGGAACTCCTGCTCAATAGCAACGGCTTCCGTGATTATCCTCAGGATGGCGCTTGGGTGAAGGCGCCGTCTCAGATGCTGATACAGAAGACATGCGAAGTCGGTATGCATGCCCTCGTCGCGGATGATCAACTCGTTCGAGAACGTCAAGCCCGGCATGAGACCCCGTTTTTTCAACCAGAATATTGACGCGAAGGAGCCGGAGAAGAATATGCCTTCCACCGCAGCGAATGCGACTAGCCGTTCAGCGAAGCTTGAACTCTTGTCAGAGATCCACCGCAGAGCCCAGTCGGCCTTCTTCTTGATACATGGGATAGTCTCGATAGCGTCGAACAAGTGCTCGCGTTCCTGCGGATCCTTGACATAGGTGTCAATAAGGAGCGAATAGGTCTCGGAATGGATGTTCTCCATCATTATTTGGAAGCCGTAGAAACACCGCGCCTCCGCAGCCTGAACCTCGTTCGAGAAGCGCTCGACGAGGTTCTCGTTGACTATTCCGTCGGAGGCCGCGAAGAAGGCGAGAACGTGCGAGATGAAATGTCGCTCGTCGTTGTTTAGGCGGTGATTCCAGTCCCAATGGTCGTGCGACAGGTCAATCTCCTCTGCAGTCCAGAAAGACGCTTCCGCTTGTTTGTACATGCGCCATATCTATTCACGGAGGGAGGCGAGGGGTGAGCAAAGCCACAACAAGGGGGGCCAGGGACATACGTCGTGATACTGTATAGGGAACAAGACGAAGCGCCGCTTAGACTCCGTCAGGAGTGGTTCCTGATCTATATGACCCTCAGAATTCGTCTCGACAGCGACAAGGAATGGCATGCACACCTTCAGGGAGGTCTACTTCGCCAATAAACTTTGATCGAGCGCCAGACAGCTCTTCGTCCTGCCTGGCAAAATCATTGGTATCCCTGCCCATTGCTTGGAGTGCCCTTTAAGATGACTTGGCCAGGAACGAAGTTCAAGAGGAAGGATATGCGCTCAATCTAAAGGAGGCTAGGATAGGCTATGTGCGAGGGGACTAACTTTGGACTCACTGCTCAGTCATCCGTCTGCGCTTTGTCGCGGAAGAAAACACGGTCGCGTCTCAATAACAAAGCACGTGATGGTGGCACACGAGCGCTTCTCAGGCCACTCCGGCGCCCTCCGGTCCAAACTGGGCAGAACGTAAAGTGATTGGCCCGGGCGGGGACGGGTGGCCACCGCTGGCCGCCGTCCATGCTGGCTGATGATGTTCCCTGCCGGATTAGGCAGGAGGCACCGGCGGCTACGACGCCACGTAAGGCAATCACGTGCGGGTAAATAATCTGTTGACCCAGGGCACGTGACGTGTTCGCCGTTGAACCAGGTCACGGCGCGTCGCGTTGCATCTTGTTGAATTGTTGACTGAGCCAAACAACGCGACAACAAGCCACCTGTATAAAGCCCCTGCCCTGCCTCCCCTTTCCTTACCGCTCACCGGCGACCTCACACACCTGAACCTCCTTGCCTAGGCCTCTCTAGCCTCTCTTAAAACCGCCCCCATCCTCTTCCATTTTCATAACAATGTCCGTCGCTGGAATGAGCACCCCCCCTCGCGTCGCGTCCCCCGCTCCCACCCCGAGCAAGAAGGTGTGTAACGCGTCTCGACGCGTCTGTTCGTGTTTGGTCTGAGTCTTACTCAACCTTCACCGACTAGGCTGCGGCTGCTATCAATGCCATGTCACTCACGACCCCTACGAAAGCTGGCAAGATCCCAGCACTCAACCTCATCGACGATGAACGTCTTTCGAAGTCCCCTGCTTCTCTTGCGGACGAGCTCGAGGAAGAGGAGATAGACCCTGAGCTTGAGGAGCTCAGGAAGAAGTGGGTCGGGGAGATTGAGCTTCCAGAAAGTGAGTGACTTCAACGTGGACGCGTCGCGACGCGTGGTGCTCACATGACCGCGCAGATATGGAACCCCTGTTGACCGAGTCTAAGCGCCGCTTTGTCTTGTTCCCCATCCAGTACCATGAGGTTTGTTGGCTCAGTCTTTTGCCGCACCAACATTCCTCACACGTGGATGCAGATATGGCAAATGTACAAGAAGGCCGAGGCCTCCTTCTGGACTGTCGAGGAGATCGACCTCTCGAAGGATACCCACGACTGGAACAACCGTATGAACGACAACGAGCGTCACTTCATCTCACACGTCCTCGCTTTCTTCGCCGCGTCGGACGGTATCGTGAACGAGAACCTCGTCGAGCGTTTCTCGAACGAGGTGCAGGCCGCTGAGGCGCGCTGCTTCTATGGCTTCCAGATTATGATGGAGAACATCCACTCCGAGACATACTCGCTCCTCATCGACACTTACATCAAGGACCCGAAGCAACGCGAGCATCTCTTCGATGCCATTGATACCATCCCGTGCATCAAGAAGAAGGCGGACTGGGCTCTTCGCTGGATCTCGGACAAGCGTTCGAGCTTTGCTGAGCGCCTCATCGCGTTTGCTGCGGTCGAGGGTATCTTCTTCTCGGGCTCGTTCGCCTCCATTTTCTGGCTCAAGAAGCGTGGCCTCATGCCTGGTCTCACGTTCTCGAACGAGCTCATTAGTCGCGACGAGGGCATGCACACTGATTTCGCTTGCCTCCTCTTCACCCACCTCAAGCGTCGCCCTCACCCCGACATCGTCAAGCGCGTCATCACAGAGGCCGTCGGGATCGAGCAGGAGTTCTTGACTGGTGAGTGGTATCGATCTTCGTGCTCAACAGGGTGCTAACAACGTATCGTAGATGCCCTCCCTTGCGGGCTCATCGGCATGAACTCCACGCTCATGTGCCAGTACATCGAGTTCGTTGCCGACCGCCTTCTCGTCGCCCTCGGGGTTGAGAAGCTTTACAACGTGACGAACCCCTTCGACTTCATGGATATGATTTCGCTCCAGGGCAAGACCAACTTCTTCGAGAAGCGCGTCTCCGACTACGCGAAGGCCGGTGTCAACGCATCGGCGTCGAGTGGCAAGTCTGAGGTATCAGCGAAGAGCTTGTACGTCGCCCTCCTTTCTTTGTATCGAGGCATGCGATTAACGGTATCTTTGTAGCACGCTCGACGATGACTTCTAGACGAGCGTCGACGCTGTATCTGTCTATTGTATTGCTCACATTCTATGTTGTTCTGTCATCACTCCACGGACTCCTGGCCTCATCATCCATTGTGTCGATTCCTTATTAGATTGTTATCACTAGCATGCATACCATTACGAAGATGTACTCTTACGATGTATCATTGTCCATAATATACTTCATTATCATCGGAATCCTAGCTTGAGTCTAAGTACTTCGACGCTCAACCATGTCGCAATCAGCAAGCCTTGAAGGACCACTGTTTTTGTTTTCAGTCTGCGTGCAATGCGCCTAATGAAATGCCGACGGATCAGCTCACAGCGTCGTGGCCGACTCCCAGGTGCAGAGTAGTACGGGTCATAAGTTACTCCAGACAATCGGCTCGCTTCGTGTAGACAAAGGAGATGAGTTGCAAATACACGGGGCAACTAGTGATACACGTCAAGCCTCCCTAACAGCCAACGCAACAGTACGTACGAGTTTATTTCTCCTTCTTGGACTCGCCAGTCGGCTCTTTCCGTGAGGCCGGTGAGACCAGTAGCGCAGCACGTTCCTCGCGTATGGAGAGGATGACATATGTGACCAGGACTACGTTCGCAGCTACAATGGCTGTGATAGCTGCGAGGACCGCATTGCCTGTACGAGCAGCGTGCATGGTGAGCGAGAAGTGGTGAGGAGTAGCTGCACTGCGACGCACCATCCCAGAGGTAGTCCTTGGACAGAAAGTATGATGATACCGGGGCAAATGCCAACGCTGCTGCGAATATGAGCAGCTTGACAAGGATCCCGCTGTAGGTGTCGAGCCCGTTACGTCAGTGCTGCTTTACTTCGAGCCAAACGCGAGGCGCGCACCTTTGCTGAGCGGCCTGGCCGGCGACATTAGCGGCTGCTGTTTGTCCACTCATCGAGGAGCCAAACAATCGGTAGAATAGTTGCGGATGGGGGGGGGGGGGGGGGGCAGTATTGGCAGGACAGCTGGGTATCGTAGAGGTTTGGGTCGAGTCGGACTCCTCGCTGACGCGGGGAGAGATCTCAGATGCGTGTCCTGCGTGTAAACACGATCGACCCCGTTACCGGTGTGGCGGATGCCACGACCGCGACAGTCCTACTTACCTTCTGTGACCATCCCCTTCCCTGTCTTGCCATATTCTCGGCAGCACGCCTGGGACTGCAGTTTCTTTTCGGGGACAACCTACGACTTGTAACTCGCCATCGCAAGATGCAGCGTGTTCGCGCGACGACGCCCTCATCGCCCTCAAGTCGCGCCTTCCCCGAGATGCAATCAGGCCACCCCGAACCAATACCAGAGAATGAAGAGACCAAATCTGTGGAGAAGAAGCCTGAGTCCTTTGTTCGCCAATGGAGCTCGCGGCTGCGTCTGGAGCCATCCGAATGGGATATCCTCATAGCCTCGACGTGTCTGAAACTGCTCCTCTTCCCAGCATAGTGAGTGCCAGGTGGCCTTCGTTGCAAGGTATTCTCTGATATGATCGACTCGTAGCAGGTCGACTGACTTCGAGGTGCACCGGAATTGGCTCGCCGTCACGCACACGCTTCCGATATCCAAATGGTACTATGATGTATGTCTGCCTCTCGCGTACGTCGAATATATCTTGTGTAACCGATTGGGATGTACTAGACCACATCAGAATGGAGTGAGTGCCATGCAAAATCATGAAAGCTTCGGTCGTAAAGCGGTTTCCTGGCAGCACTCGACTACCCACCATTCTTCGCCTACTTCGAGAAGCTCATGTCGATCCCGGCATACTTCATTGACCCGCGCATAGTTGACTTGAACAACCTGAACTACGACGCATGGTCTGTCGTCGCGTATCAGCGAAGTACCGTCATCTTGACAGAGCTCGTCCTCGGCGCGGTCCTCCTGAGGTACTCACTATGTCACAATCCTGTGCCACAGTCTAGCTGACATTCGACCAGGTTTGTAAGAGGAGCGGTCAACCCTACTACGCAGAGAATCATATCCGCGTCACTATTTCTGCACCCGGGCTTCCTCATCGTAGACCATATACACTTCCAGTACAATGGCTTCATGTACGGGATTTTGCTTTGGTCTATCCTTATGGCTCGTGAGGTACATTCAGAGCATCTAGTCAGGTCAACGATGCTTCGAACTAACACTATCTAGGATAACAAACTAGCAAGCGGCTTCCTCTTTGCTGTCCTCCTCAACTTCAAGCACATCTACATGTATCTTGCCGTATGCTCCTCGAATGCCCTCCATCGTCCTCCGAAGGCTGACTAGTTGATATAGCCGGCATACTTCATCTACCTCCTGCGCTCCTTCTGCCTTTCGCCTTCTGGCGCCCTCCTTCCTACGCGCTTCATCTCCCTCGCCAACGCCGTCATCGGTGTTTTCCTCGTCTCGCTCGGCCCGTTTCTTCTAATGGGCCAGCTCCCACAGCTACTAAGCCGACTGTTTCCATTCACGCGAGGGTTGAACCACGCATACTGGGCACCGAACGTCTGGGCCCTGGTCACCGCAGCGGACCGTGTGCTGTTGAAAGGTGGGTAGATGGGGAATGTTGCAGTGAGATACTGATGCCGAATTTGTTGGTCACAGTGGTAAAGCGCGGCGCGTTGGCCATGTCGGTCAACGACGCGGGAGTCGCGTCGACATCCCGCGGGTTCGTTGGCGACACCGTCTTCGCTGTTCTTCCGAACGTAAAGCCCATCCATACTTTCATCATCACGATTGCTTTCCAAACGGTGAGCACGTCTGAGTTCTTCGGAGATCCCGGAATGATTTACCAGGCCGCACCTTTGTAGATTTACTTGGTAAAGCTCTGGCGCGCGCCCACGTACAAGTCGTTCGTGACCGCTCTCACCCTCTGCGGCTGGACATCCTTCATGTTCGGCTGGCACGTCCACGAGAAGGCTATCCTACTCGTCCTCGTACCCCTCAGGTATGGTTGTGTTCAGACTGTTCAGTGCGCTGCAGACGGCTCACCAACGGACAGTCTGATGGCAGCTGACAACCATGCATATTTCCGGACATTCATGATAGCCTCCGTGGCTGGCGTGTTCTCGCTGTTCCCACTGCTGTTCACTCCAGCAGGTGCGCCTCTTGTGCTTGTGCCTCGACTGGCTCATGACTCATGTCCGTGCACAGAGACCCTCGTCAAGGTTGTCTATTCAGCACTCTGGGCGGTGTTTGCTTTCGCTCCCCTCCACAGTCGAGTTTACGAGTACGTGCGACGACAGCTCAAAATCCAGCAGGTCACTCATGCTTGTCCCAACACAGGTTCCCGAGGTCTCTGCCCTTCGTCATCATCGACAGTCTCGAGAAGCTCTACCTCGCAGGCTTCCCTGTCCTCCAGCTCTTCGTCACGCTCTTCCCGATGTTGACCAGCAGCCAAAGCTCCGCCTCGCCGTCGCCTGGCGCTAACGCTGAGGTGCAGGTCGAGGCCGTGAAAAGCGACAAGCTAGAGCCGGGGATGAGTGCCTTAGAGTTCTTGCCATTGATGCTGACGAGCGTGTACTGTGCGGTTGGTCTTGTATGGGCGTTCTTGCGACTGTCTGTCATTTATATACGGCAGCAGTACTGATGGTGGAGACAATGATACCATTGCGCTGTTTGGGTCATAGGGTAGAGGTTTCTGCACGGATGTTTGAGTCATATACATTCAAGTACATCCCATCACCTGGGAGAAGGTACACTGTTGTGTGATATTATGACTACTGGTCTGTGTATACGTTGTCTACCGAACGTAAGTTTTTACCGAAGTAGGCGTTTGTGCGTCACAAACTATGGCAGGCGGTGGTGTGAAGAAACACCGCCCACCTCAAACAAGGACGTTTTGTTTCCTCTCCCACGACGAAGAGGCCTTTGCACAAGACGGGTCGCGGCGGACGGTCTTGTATAGGCGTAGGGCAACGTTGTGGTGAACGAATAAAGTGCGTGAGCACAAGACGCGTCCTTTTATATGGTCGCTGAGCCGGCCACGTGGTCGACACCTTCGATCGTCGGAATGATGTACGACTGGCAGCCACAACCCCCGCAACGCGCGCTCACCGAGTACATACCGCACTTCGCCTGGCCTATCCTGCGCCATACTATTTGCCCCGTTCTCTTGCTAGATGCCAGCGACGTCGCGTACCTCGGAATTCCGCCAGCTACTCAAGGAAAAGGAGAATGTATTCCCTGACCCGAAACGACGCAAGAGATCGAAACGCGCCTCCGCAGACGGACAACGCGAGGGTGACGAGCTGCTCAACAGGCAGTACCTGAATGATGCCTACTCTGTGGTATGCAATGAACTTCATCTGTCCTGCGGTTTATGTGGCTCATCGCGCGCACAAGCTGAACCACATCAACTCACTGGCGCGCATGGCTTCGTCCATACGAAAGGCATACCTGAACGTCGACCCTCGGCATGGGCCCATATCGCGGCAGTCCCCACGAACGATAGACCTTGGCTCGGCAGACCAGTCTTGGTCGAATATCAAGTATCTCACGGACGCGGAGCGGGACCAGATTGACCTGCAAGCCAGAGTCATCCTCTCGAGGTGCTCGGAACGGGTGAAAGAGCTTGAGGTGGTAGAGAAACGTAAGTCAATATTGGTGACAACTCCGTGATGCGGGTGCTGGACATAGTACCTCCAGGCCGTGCGGAGCTGGTAGCAAGCCGCAAGAACCCTCTCACTCGATTACTGCCCGCACGTCTGCGGCAAGATGACTCCACCGCAGCCTCCGACTTCATTGCCGCGCACCACTCCAGCATAACATGGTACCTCAGCCGGCGACTGGCAGACGCCAGCCAGTCCCTCAAGGAGATGCAGGAGGAGCGGATGAAGCGGCAGCTGGAGCGCACACGGACGCTCGGCTCGGGAGCGACGCGCGAGGCGATGTACATGGACATGTCCTCGTCGAAGCCCTCGCCCACAGAATCCTCGGCGAGCGGCAGCTGGCTTGGCGGCGCGTCGAACCTCGCGTCGAGCTTCGCCGCGAGCATCGGGTCGAACGACGCGTACGGCTCCGCGGCTACCATCAAGCCGGGCCCGTCGTCGCTGCCGGATGACCTCCTCGACGACACGGACGAGGAGGAGCTCGAACTCACGCAGTCGCAGATCATGCAGTTCGAGACGGAGAACGCGAACATCCTGCAGTCCGTGCAGGACACACTCGCATCCGTGCAGCAGGCGGAGTCGCGCCTGTTCGAGATCAGCGCGCTGCAGGCGGAACTCGTCACGCAGCTAACGCGGCAGACGGAGCAGACGGAGCAGCTCTACGAAGACGCCATCGCCACCGCGTCGATGGTCGAGAAGGGCAACGTCCAGCTGAAGGAGGCGAGGCGGAGAGCACGGGACAGCAGGAAGTGGATCCTGATGTTCCTCATTGGTGCCAGCTTGTCGCTGCTTTTCTTGCACTACTACTGATTTACTATGTATTGGGACATCTGGATCGCGCATTCTGTAGACATCATATATCGCACGGGACTGACTGCCTTCCTCCATTATGTATCCATTGTCCGCCATCATACCTTATTCATACAGACAGTGCACAGGTTCATTCTAAGTACACAAAGTCGGAAGTCTAGCGAGCTCTGGATGCTGTGTCTATCGCGGGTGTCCAAGAAGGGGTGCACCCTCCTCCGCGTCTTCGACAGCTTCCTCGATGGCCTCGGCAGCCAGCTCCTCTACGTCCGGAGAGACTCCCTGGAGGCGGCGGATCTCCGCTTGCATTGCGCGGTAGACGATGCTGTATCAAAGGGCTCATGAGAAAGCCTATCCACGGATTGGAACGCTAGTACGTACACGCTAGCTGTCATCCCTAGCAGCAGGCCGCCGACGGAGAGACCTACGTTCAGCCACTTGGTGGCTACGAAATACAGCATGAGTACCTCTATCAGCAACGCTCCTCGTGATGACAGTGGTAAACGTACACGTATCCATATGGTTTCGAGTCTCGCCGTCAGACAGCGCCGCGAGACGCGAGCCTACGAAGACCAGCAGCGCGACCTTTGGGAACGTCGCGAACGTCGCGATACAGAATTGCCAGAGAGCGACTGCCCTGATAGACTGTCGAGTGTTCATGAGCTGTCGTCAGTCATCGAGCGTTGGTCATGAGACCCACAGCGAACAGCGCATTTGAGTACACCCATGGCGGGAATGGTGACGCGCGGATGAGCGTGATCAGCGGCAGGCCCTTCGCGTCCTAGCAGAGGTCCCATGAGCAACTGTTTCGCGGCATGGGATGAACAGGAAGATACGTACAACGACGATCTCGAGGGCCTGCCATTTCTCATTGGAGGCTGACCATTGGTGGAGTTTCCGACTGAAAAGAAATCGCAGGACGGTGAAGCAGAGGGCGGAGCCTAACAATGACCCGCCGGCTGCGAGAGGGAAGCCCTTCAAGCCGTATGCAAAGCCGCATAGCGTGCACACGGTCGAGTGCCCGATGCAAGGAGGGAACGAGATGACCACTGTATGTGCGGATTAGTTATATCAAACGCAGACTTTCATATACAACAGGACAAACCTAGTACGCTGAGAAGGATCAAGGAACCGTACCACAAGTGACTGATCTTCTGAGCGAGGTCATACAGCGCCTGGCCGATGCGCCCCGGTCCGACGACAATGAACGTAGTCGGGATGGCAATGTATATGGCTAGGGAACAAAGTAGAAAGATCTTTGATTCCAGAGAACCATCCTGCAGTTCAGCTACGTACACGAGAGCACATCCCATACATAAGACTCGCCTTCCCGCGAATGCCCAACTGCCGATACCGCCTGAAGGCAGCATAGCCGTAGTGTTTGAACGCCGCGAGCGCCCAGCTCACGCTGTAACCACTTTGCGGTGCCATCGTCTGTTTCCTGCTTGCCGCTCAACGAGTTCAACTCGAAGGAAGACGTGAGTAGGTGGGAGTGAGTGCCCTGGGAGGAACCGGGAGGGTACACGCTGCTGTCCATCATCGCTGCGGCGGCGTCACGAGCGTCCACCAGGTCTATTTCAAGTATCATACTGCAAGCTCGCTCCGTCGGCCCATCTGCGGGAAACCTGCTGTCTGCTTGGGAGAGAATCCAGGAAACGTCTGTGAACCGAAGGGTGTAGTGGGAGGACACCAGCAAGAGGCCATGGAGAAGTTCTCGGCATTTCGGGTGCGCCATTCTTCGCAGATGCATCACCGTCGTTCTGGAACTAACATCGCATGACCACTAGGATCCTGGAACAGGCATCCAGGTAGGTAGCCTCGCAGTACAGCTCGCTTTCTAACGACGACTCATTGTATCCTCTGCAGCCATTTCTGAAACCCGTCCCGCCCACGGATAGCGAGACACTCACGGCCATTGCGCTACCATTCGGCTATGTCATTGGTGCAGTACGGACATTGCTCGTGCTGGTCCTGGGCGGGCTGTATGCCGTGTTGGTGGAAGGACTTTGCGCTGCCCTCGTGAGTCGTCTCCTCGCATACGAATTGTGCTCGAACTCATGAGACCAGAAACCAGTCCCGCCCCTGCACAGAATTGTGACGGGGTTGTCTACGGCGATCCTTGCGCGTCTAGTGCTTCTGATACTTGGACTGCCCTGGATACCTGTTGAGTCGGTGACTCGTAAAAGAGGGTGTGTACTCCAGCTTTTTCACGACAATCGGAGCAACCACTGAGATGCTACTACTTCGCAGACGGGGAGCCAAAGCACCTGAGCGATGGAGCCCAGGTGCAGGCGACATCATCGTGTCGAACTGGGTTTCGACCATCGAAGTCCTATGGTTAGCATTCCGGTGTGCCTTCACGTTGACTCACGCTATGCAGCATCATCTCACCCTACTGACTGGTTAGATTCAATCCGATATTTGTGCTACCAGTGTACTCGGCCTCTGATTTCCCAGAGCCTACCGCTCGTGTCTCGTCACCCATCACCCGTACTCCCGGACGACGTACAGGTACAGGGTCTGCAGCTATCTCCTCCCCAACCGCTCGTGCACCGACCCCGCGCGTGTCCATCGCTGGATTCAAGCAAGTATCGCTCTTCGGTATCTTGCACGCTATCGGGAACGTTCCAGAGGCTGTCCAGCCTGGTACACCAGGCATCAAGTCTTTGGAAGAGATCAGGAGCAACGCCGACCGCCCGGTAGTCGTGTTCCCAGAGTGCACCACGAGCAATGGCCGTGGTCTGTTGAGATTCGCGGAGCTCTTCAAAGGCGTTTCTGTCCCAGTGACGAAGTTCAAGGTCTTCGTGATGTGTGTTCGGTGAGTAGCTTATGCGGCTGACTATTGTCGAGTCGTACTCACTGTATGCACGACTTCACCAGCTATGACCCTCCGGCTGCGCTCTCGCCGACGATGACCCACTCAATACCGTCAAACGCGTTGAATCCAATACCGCACCTATTCTCTCTCACGACATCCCTAGTGCCATTCACGATGTCCATCCGCCTCCTTGCGCCGTCGGAGTCGCCCAGCTCAGGCTCGTTCCTTGCGAGTGAGTTCCTCGCAGAAGGCAAACACGACGACTACCTCACAGAGGCATGCGCATCGCTCATTGCGCAGATCGGCAAGATGAAACGAGTCGGATTCGGCTGGGAAGACAAGATTGCATTTCTCGAGTTCTACAAGAGCAAAAAGTAGACAGCACGCAGAGCGTATGTACGCCATGGTACGAGACATGAAACTTTCCTCCACAGAAGAACACGTAAATGGACAATCGCAAAATAAAAAACATGATTGAAGGAAAGGGAGGCGACCCCATAGAAATCGGGAACCTCTTCGCCTGCGGTTTCATGAACACGTACAGTTTGTGCGGCCTTCTGATCCGCATATCGTCCATGAAGTATCGTGTCCCGTAAGCACTGCCAGGATCCATACCGCCATGGCAGTCTCACTACCATACAGGGGAGGCCTCGACGTTGCCGGTGCCCGGTGTCTCGTTCTCTTTGTTATTCTCGGCCAGTTCGCCAGGTTCCACAGGATCGACTTGCTCCTCGAACGCTATCTGCATGTCCCTATCTGTTCTAGGGTCACCCGAACGACAAGTGATGCGCCTTGCGGGGCTCCTTCCACGACTGTCCTCGCGGCGCGCGACGCGAGTGCCATGGGGTGATATTCGCTCTTGCTTCACTGTAGACTGTGCTGCGGGCGACCGCATCCTACCAGCCTGCAGCAGAGGTTCGGTTTCACGGACGCGAGTGGCATATTCATCCTGGTAAATCGCCTTTGAATGAGTGACAGCCCCCGTAACCCTAAAATGCACACTGACCAGCGAAACGATGCGCACACGACAATTCATCAATTCCTTGCCGTCCAGTTGGTCAATGGCGTTGTCCGCCTCTTGCTTGGTCTCGTACTTGACGAACCTGTCGTCCGTTTCAGACGCTGTTCTCGCTGTCAATCGCCCTACTCACCCAACACGTCTACCCATTTTACCGATCTCGCAGTAGGCGACACGGCCAGCGCTCCGTGCAAAATCTTTCAATTGCTAAAGGCACTGTCAGCGATACACAACCGAGCTCAAGTAAGTCAGATTTGCCTGCCAGCATATTTCCCTGTTGAGGTACGTGATCGCCACCGTGTTCCTGCTATCAACGGATGCCGAGTATTCTCGCAACGCTTGCCTGACGAACGGAGTCACATCCAGCACGGCGCAATGCTTTGGTATTTCTGCTTACCGACCACGCGGTTCGCGAGCCGGAGGATGTTCGACGTCCCGCAGTTTTGTGCGAGGAACGTACAACGAGACGTGAAGTTCTTGAGAGGGGACGCGTTTAGTTTGCCTCTACCGAGACGTCACCATGACGCTCACCGGCCCCCAGAAAGCGACGCTTAGCTAGCACGGAGACAACGTCCTACCTGCCATGTACATCATCCAGTTCTTCATAGAGTATACCAACGTACCAGGGCATCCTGTCGTGCACACCACACTTAGCGGTCCGTTGGCGCATGATGACGACCAGTCGCCTACCTTGTCTGATTCGAACTTTACGATCGCGAAGCCTGGATTGTATGCGCGATTCGGACATGCGAATAAACATGTGGGCGGTGCCTACCTGTCCTCAACGTCAAGTCTACTATTGGTCCGTAGATAGAGAGGTGCTGAGGAGACATCGTTGTTCGCTATTCAGTCGATCTAACTGAACGTGCTCACTTTGCGCAAGTCATCTTCGTCAATGTCGTTCGGCATCTCTGCTGTGCGTCAGACAGCGAACTCGAGCAGTGAGACGATGGCTTACTGCCGAAGTAGACGCGTCTCTCAGCAGCCATATTCACACCGAACGCGTTGCTTGAGGACGAAACAAAGACGAACAGGGTCGAGAACGGAGGGAGATGGGGGTCAGAGACAAGAAGGGCGAAGCTGCGACGGCACGCCTGACGAAGCCATGGTGCTTGGTTCACCAGGTGTCACCAAGGCTCCCAGAATGGCAAGTGTCGCATGAACGAGACATCCCCCGCTTCTACGCCGTAAACCAGGCATAGACCATACGCCATGAGACCACTCAGAACTGTGTTGCCGTGAAGCTTCAGCAATGTCTCCGTAAAAGCATCATGAATTGTTGGAACAATTGGTTGAGCGTTAGCACATCACATCTGAGTATCAACACTGTACGTCAGTTACCAACACAGAAGACGAGGCACTTGAGACATGCACGCACCTATGCTACATCATATAGGTACATTGGCTAGAGATACTGAGTATATGCTGCCTTCAAAGCCTCGCCTTAGGCTTCACGATTGCTTGGAACGCTCGCCTCAAGTCGGTCTTCATATCCTGGTATGATATCCGTGGTCGATGAGCGCAGACAGCTGATGGCTATATGTGTATACGTACCTCAAGGTCTTCGACGCCGCAGCTGATACGAACCAATCTAGGGTCCGCTCCAGGATCAACTGTGCTACGCTGCTCTATGAGAGACTCGACGCCTCCTAGACTTGTCGCAGGCTGTCGAGGCTATTAGTGTGAGCCACACACCCCATGGGTCGTATATACTTACGACGAAGAATTCCAATGAATGTGGAAGTAAACGAGCATACTCTGGATTCTTCAACTGAAGCTCAACGTGAGTATGGTGTCGAGTAGAGGAGTCAACAATGACCGACCAGAATAGCAAACGTCGGATTCCATCCGCCTTCCAACTGAGCACTCGGCTCAAATCCTCGGCTGTCCTTGCCCTGCAGACTCGAGTGCCAAACAGTGTCGATGACACCGGCAGGGATCCCGTCAAAAGCTCTGCCCTATGACCAGAGAAAGGCGTCAGAGAGCTCGGTTCCAGCGTGCGCACGAGATGACTTACACCAGCAGCCTGGCTCAACCAGCGAGCCAGCCCCTTAGCATTTTCCGACTGGCGCGGTACGCGGAGGTGCAGCGTACGGAGGGAGCGCAGGAGCAGCCACGACTCGAGGGACCCCATCATAGACCCAAGGAAGGTGCGCTGCGTCCATAGCTGTCGACATTATAAGGCATGTCAGCGGGATGTCTTAGACAGACGGGCCAAAGATATGATGCGGGCGACGTTGCATACGGGCACACTCGAAGAAGCTTCGATCACGCTAGCCCTGGTTGTCAATACAGTACCAACATACACCGGGCGGCGGGGAGGATAATCCTCCGCGCGATGGAATCCAGGGCGAAAGCCCGGCAGCGTGATCGATCGTATCACGTAAATCGAACTCACCGTTTTCCATTCGGCCTCGGTTGGCACGACGAGAACACCGCATAGCAGATCCGAGTGTCCGCCAAAGTACTTCGTTCCTGGGGGATCAATCTCAGCGACGTTAGTGGATCCCAAGCAAGTTTGCGACCTACCACTGTGCATAACCATGTCCGCGCCCCATTTGAATGGGTACTGCAAGGGAGGTGGGGCGAACGTCGAATCCACTAGCATTTTTGCGCCAGCAGCATGTGCCTGCGAATGTCAGACAAGATCAGCACTAGTCCGAGGAACCACCTTTGGCCGGTGCTCAAAGTCCGTACTTTTTCGGCATAATACTTGATATCTCTGATCAGGACGTTCAGTATAGAACCGCGTGGCGAGCATGAGTGTGTAACTTGCCGTGCTTCGCCGGTGGGGTTCAGAGGCGTTTCGAGCCAGCAGAGGTCACCCGGTTGGTAGTCATCGTCTAAGCCGATGAGGGGAAGGTCGCCGCCTCGGCTACGCTTGTACACCTCAATGGTGTTATGACATCCATGATACCCGCCTGTAATTGCGATGCGCTTTGGGTGGAAGTGAACTAACGCCTTTGGGAAAAAGGTGAACAAGGCTTCGAGCAGTTAGTCAACATCCCATCCGGGGGCACACTTACTGCATACGAAGCCGCTAGGCCAGACGCATACGTCAACGCAAATCCACCCTAGACATGGTCTATCAGCTTGAGCTTGGGAGCGGGTAAGGTGACCCTTACGTTGATTTTGCTAAGGACCCTTTCCGCACGCGTACTGACATCTTGGGTATAGCGAGAGTAGACGTGCCTCTCCGGGTTGCGCAAGTCCATGTTGTCTAGGTTAAGAGGGGTGTTGTCCGGAGGCAAGGGGGCCCTGAAGGCTGGCCAGATGTCAGTGCCCCTCGCTTGTATAGCAACATGGGTGAGACTCACTCGTTGTGACCGAGATGGACGCAGCTACTTCTCTGCCATGAACTAGCTCGTCATCGCCGTGAACGAGCTCAGTGCCAGTCAACTTTGGTGCAGCTTTGGGTGCCATGTCGACTCGTATGCAAGAGTAGTCTCCCATAGGCAGACCGCAAATACGACCTTTTTGGAGGGGAGGAGGACGGTCGTATTAGGGTCTGCTTCAAAACGCGCCCTCCATACTGGCCAAGCCCCTTGAGGACCCATTCTGTGATGGCCGGACGATGCCAGTGGCTGCGGCACGGCACGGCAAGAATGCCGGTGGCTGATCCCAGATCCATCTCAGATATTATCGGTCGTACTGTAGCCTTGTATGAGGCAGACTGCACATTGAATATGATATGATTTCTCGCTCTACGTCTACACTCAGTTCACGGCGAAACACAAGATGCACCGAAATCCTTCCCATGATCATAATTTCCCAACCTACAGCCCACCTCCCCCTCCGGCAGAAGGCTGGTACAGACCTATTATGACTTCACCACCACCCGCGTACGCGCACGGTGTTCATGGTGTCCCCCACGAACTGACACCGGTAGCCACAATATCAGCCTACTTCCCAGGACCATACATACCCATGATGCCTCCTGTCAATTGGCAGACTCCTCCGCCGGTATATCCGGCGTTTGCGCCACCGAGGGTATCGCAGACACCTGTAGTATGCGTAACGACCGTCCTCCTCCCCTCCAAAAAGGTCGTATTTGCGGTCTGCCTATGGGAGACTAGTATGCGTACAACCCAAACCGACTCGTGCGGAAGAGCCAGCGCATGTCGTAGCGTGCATTAGAACGGCGAATGAGGTGACACTCACCCTCGTGCAGGCCCGAGAACCGGCAGACCGAGTCCATCTGAGGACCGGTGCAGATCGTCGCAGTTAACGCGATGATGACCGGAGTGTACACGAACGTGGCCGATGTTTTTGAATGTCGTGCGAAACTGGTTGCCCCAGCTGCAGAGTAGGTGCGCCTCGGCGACGTTGAGCGCCATGAGACGACCGGTAAACGTCTTGTCATTGACCAGACCTCGGAATCCCGACGTAGATAGCTGCTCCGGGGAGAGCAGGATAACAGCCGTGTTCGATCGCGCCCTTTGCCAAGGGTCAGTGTTCACGCCTTTCGCTCGAGTGGTGTCGGCATTGATGACCACAGTTGTAAGGCCGGTGGCCTCGAACTTGGACTGCTGTTCTGATCTGAGCCATGATTTCCGCAGAGGAGTGTAGTGCCACTCACCATATCTTACTCAAGAGCCTTCGTCGGGCAGACCACAACCATACACGGGTCCGCTCTGGAGCGACTACGCAGCTCCTTCGGACACAGCTCCCGGTCCTTCGCTAAGGCTTGAGCTACAAGCATGTAAATCAAGAGAAATCCGGTTTTCCCTGATCCAGTTGGTGTGATTGCGAGCACGTCGACGCCGTCGAGTGCTTTACAAGCTCCTTCGAGCTGGTAGTCGTGGGGGTCCCATGGTAGAGTTTTCGAGGTGATGTCGCGGCAAAAAGCGATCCCTCCAGGGGAGCTGAACGAGGTGAATGAGTGTGTATAAGCCCCTTCAGACACGGGGCTTTGCATTGATTGGAGTCGGCTACGGTATATGCAATGAAGAGCTCAAGAGAGGGAAGCAGCAAGCAAATGAGGAGCGCGACGCGTCCGACGCGTCGCGCGCGAGAGATCTGAACGCGTGTTTCGGAGATGGACCTGCTTACGTAACTCCGCCAAAGGCGTTGGCCAGTGTTTGCCAGGGATATTGAGACAGACTAATGCAAGAGTGGGATGCTGTCGACTATCAAGCTTTGAACCGGAGAGCGTCAAGGAACGGTGAGTCAAAGAGAAGCCAGAGGATGTATCGTGGGCTAGTCAGGGCACCCTGCTGCCGAGAGTATTACCACGGATGTAGACTCGCAAGCCAGTCCTTAGAGGCGCTTGTCCCCTTTTGTGCACTCCTCTTTTTGGTAATCGTTCATGTCCAGGAAAGGAGACGGAGTGTGAAAAGGAGACAAGCGCCTCTGTCCTTAGAGGCGCTTGTCCCCTTTTGTGCACTCCTCTTTTTGGTAATCGTTCATGTCCAGGAAAGGAGACGGAGTGTGAAAAGGAGACAAGCGCCTCTAAGGACTGGGCGGATTGGGCGCCGTTTACCTTGGTCGACCCGTGGGAATCGGGACTTAGTGAAATCGCGCACCCTCCTCTAGGACAAGGGTGGTGAGCCTCGCGCTGCATCGCACATCTACAGCATCTCGGATAGGAACGACTCTCGATTTCGACAAGTAAACATATGCTATTCAGATATCAACCAGGATTCCCGCCTCGCCTCGCCCTCGCCGCGGCTCTCGCTCCCCGAGCACCTCTCGCGCGCTGTCGCGCCGCCTGCTCCCTCACCTCCATGAAGTTCTCTGTCGTAAGCTGAGACTGGAACGTGAACGACCTCGACGGTGCGGCCGCCGGACCGCTTGGAGCGCTGGGACCGGCATTGGAACTATGCGGCCAATATGGGGGCGGGATTGGTAGCGGGAGGCCTGGCCGCGTGCCCGGTGCGGGCGAGTTGAAGTGCGCGGATTGAGGAGGTGCGTGTCGAATTGATGGACCGGCACCATGAGTGATGTTGTTCGTATAATGGGATGGTGGTGAGACCGCTGAAGGGAAAGTGGGAGCGAATTGGTGGGGTATGGCGTGTGGTACAGCGAGCATCATGTCAGGGACTCGAGGTCCATCATACGGAGTTGGTGAGTGATAAGCATATGTCATAGGTGTGGGGAGCTGTATGCTGCCAGGCTGTGTCGGTGTAGACGGCGGAGCAGGCCAAAGCGGAGGAGCACGTCCTGCTGGGATGGCCAGAGGCGGTGCGGTTGTCAAATTGACGCTGTGGGTGACCTGCGGACAGTGGATGATGTCGCATTCAAAACGCCTGCATTCAAACGGTCTGAGACGTACCAGGGTGTTTGTATGTGGTCGTTTCGCAGCAGGGGCTGAATCCATAGCATGTTCGCTGCGCGGTGACGTGCCAGTCTGATCGCTCGCGCGGGTCCTCTTCCTTGTGGTCTCTGCGGGAGGCTGCCGCAGGATGATTGTGTGACAGATCATTAGCCACGTCTTCGCAATATGGGTCGGCTCTACGCACCTGAGTGATACTAGTACTCTCCTGAGGCCCAGACTCTGCAGATACACCTGCTTGGAGCTGAGCAGCTGGTTGCCTGGCTGACGCAGCCTTTGGCTTGGCTATGAAGCGGATTTCAAGGGAACACAGAACATCGCAGAGCTCGTTCTCATATAGATCTCCCCAGAACCAGCCATCAAGCATCGCTTTGAAGCGTGCACGGGGGATAGGCCCAGCGGATGCGAGGCGAGTAATCATATCATCGTCAAGGAGTCCGCTGGCGGCAAAGAACGCATTGCTGTGGTCGCGCGTGAGTACCTCTTCCCGCCAATTCTCCAACGTATCTTGGACGTTGGTGTCCGGGAGCCCTTCCTTCTGCGAACGGCTCTTTCGAGTGCGTGGGAGCCGCGGAGGTCGTGCGCGATCAAAGAGGGATGGGTCGCAGATGTCGCAACACGGCACGCTAAGTTCTGGCTGGGCTAGGAGAAGTTCACTCATTGTCAGTCTTCGTATAATGCTCGAATGTAGGATCTCTCACCGATCAGTGTACAATCATATATCTCCCTCCAAACTCGACGCCGGCAGTGGGTGCTCTGCACGAAGGCTAAAAGGCCTTCATCTTGTGCTTCAAGATCGAGATGGGGCTGGTCGCGTTCTTCAAGCGGACCATCTGTGTCGCCCAGGCTAGTGCCCCGCTCAAGCCCGTGCCGTATGGCATGTTCCTTGTTGCCCTTTGGGTGACCAGCCTTCGCCCGACCTCGTCCTTTCGTCCGTTTGTTTCCGCTTTGCTGGGTAGGCGGTGCGGTAGTACTACCGGCTGTCACAGTGGATAGCTGCTGAATGACGTTGTTGTAGGCAGAGCGTTCGACGAGGAGCACCGCAAGGCCTGTCCGGTTTCGCCCTCGGGCGGCACGGCCAGCGCGTTGAACAAAGTTTGAAAGCTTCGCTGGCAGCTTCCACTGAACGACAAGATCGACGTCAGCTACATTACAGCCCTACAGCATACGTCAGTCAGTGATCTTCGAGTTGAAGCACATTATTCTAAGACTTACCATGCCCGCCGCATCAGTACAAACCAGGATGCGGATTGGCCCGCTCCATCGTGTGTCGTCTACGTTGGTCGTCTCGGAATCTGGGGCTGCGCCGCTACTGCGGAATGCACTCATTGCCGCGCGGCGATACTCTGGCGACATTGTGGCGTTAAACGGGCGGATGAAGCCCGCGTTTGCTAGTGCTGGGTTGCGTTGTTTGAGGACCGTCTCCAGATGGTCAATGATCTCGTTTCCCGTTTCGATCTTCTCAACATAAAGGTATGTCTTCGGAATGTCTTGTGCTGTCGTAATCGTTGTAGGGAGTATGAAGTCGAGGTCAGCGTATGTGTTCTGCGGATGTTCGCACGCACGGACAATGATCGACACGTTTGGGCGATCGTTCCCGACATTCACAAATTTACTTCCCAACTTCGGGAAGTGAAGCTTGGTGTGCAAGTCTCGCCGGACACGTGCCGTGAGGGTCGCTGTTAGAGCAATGATAGGCGTCCCAGGCCGAAGGAACGCGCGAATGGTTCCGAGGCTGTTGTAGTGTTTACGGAAGTCTGAGCCCCAGTGTGAAAGGCAGTGCGCCTCATCCAAGATGACACTGAGCACGCGTGAAGAGAAGCGCTGGTTGCGCAGGACTTGCGTCTTGAACATTTGTGACTGCAACATCTCGGGCGATATGAGGATAATCCGGTATTCACCGCGGAGGATCCCCTGCGGGCAGCTCAGTCAGTCATCGATGCAAGAGAATGGAGCACTCACTCTGATGTTCTGCCTCATCTGGGCGAAGTTACACTGACTGTTGACCGCGACAGCTGTGAGGTTAAAATCGGTCTTGAACGTCCCGACCTACCATACACACTATTAGCAGTGGCTGAGCCGGCGGATTGCGTGGACGTACCATCTCCTCTTCGAGTGCAAGCAGAGGACTGACCATGATCGTGACCTTGCCTTGGTTGGCGGGCCACAAATGAGGGCCTGCTGCGATTGCCGTCTTTCCCGAGCCCGTGGGTGCTTGGATCATGGTGTCAATGCCCTCAATTTGCGCTCGAATACCTTCCATCTGGAATGGCCGTGGGCCGTTCTCCCATTTGTATGCGTCCTTCATGAGTCGCACTAGCTCGTCCACTTGCGCGGTTGTCATGCGAGGTCTTGGACGCAAGAAGCTCAGATCTGATCGTCGATGGGCATCCCGGAGCTTCCATGCATGTTGGGAGGCTGGTCCATTGGGCATGGCTGACAGCTGTCAAGGAGTTTGACGGTGAGCAAGTGATGCAAAGTCAAGAGTGAAGGGGTTCAAGACAGAAAAGCGGGACCGCTGGCGTCGCGGCCAGCTCGATCGTGCCAGCCACACCGATCGTAGCCCAGTTTCTTTCAAATATTAGAGGGTGCCGTTGCACCTACGACCACTTCTCTGTGCCTACGCCAGGGCCGTCTGCAAGCCATGGACAACGTGCTCCCACCGTCATCTCCACCTCTAGAGTCACCGCTAACCACCCCGCCGTCTTCCCCGCCAAGGGCAATAGGAGATGAGCCACCCCTTCCGTCGTTGCTGGACCTGCCGGGCCTCCTGCAGATGTCACCTGAAGTCAGTGAGGTTGACCCGGTTGAAGAACGTACCTTGTCATCAGATCCTTCAATGCTACCCACCTCACCTATCCGGACTCGTGAAGATCGCCTGCGGAAGGCAAACACGGCAAGGCGTCGAGATCGCAAGGCTCGGGAGGAGGCAGCCGAGGCTGAGAAAGCGGAGGCGCGGAGGCAGACATGTCAGTCAATTTTGCAGATACTTCGAGACACAGACACACCTTTTGGTGATCTCCTCGAGTTCATCTCGGATCCTGCCCACCAGCAAGGGCGAGAGCGGTACTGGGGCCTCTTTGCGGACACTGCCCGAGTTCACCGGATCCTGAACTTGTGGGTTTCCTCAGAGAACAGCACAACCGGCCGCGAGGCAGTTCACGAATGGGCTGTGGGATATGTCAGTCGGATTGTGGCCCGTGAAGGTCGGAGGGCTACGAAAGACGGCTTCTTACGGACGCAAGAACGAACCGTTGACCAAGACTTTGCCCTGGGCTTCAGGCTCGCAAATCTGAAGGACAAACTTGACGAGCAGTGTCCTACCGTTGTCCAAGTCCTAGAATCATTCAGTAGTACTGCACGGCAGCGTCGTAAATCTTCACGAAACTGGCAGACACGCCAACAGAATGTACGTGATCAGATATTCCGTCATGACAGATAATCAATCGTATTGTTCAGTACCTCACCAACAGCCTGCTCATCGGACTTGGTGCCAGAAGCCAAAAGAACAACTACGCGAGGCATGTCTTTGGACTGTACGCGTATGCGTCTGGGTCCCAGCGCCAGATGATTGAGCTGTTGTCCCATCTCGGGGTGTGTAGCAGCTACAGCACCATCACGGCAAACATGAAGGACGGCATGCTCGATACACATGCCCTGACTAGTACCACCAGTGACACTTCGCTTCCCGTACCTCCCATCCAAGAAGCCACCGTTGCGCTCCTCAATCTCAATGAGTCGAGTTCCGACTCTGACCCAGATTCGTCGGAATCGGACTTGCCAGCTGCCACATGGATGACTACCCCACGTATGCAGAGACATGCTCCCGAGCGAGCAGAGTCAGAATCAACCTCGAATGCTGCACTACCACTCGCGCAAGAAGAATGGGAAGATGATCCCCAGCCCACAGACACAGCGCGTACGCGGCATGAACCCGTCCTGCAGGAGGACTTGGACTCACCGGCAGCATGTCAGCCCAATCCTAACCATCTAGGGACGACAGACACCGATGAGGAGGCCATTAAGCAGGGACCTTTACCCTCGACACAGCCATTAGGAAGCCCAGTGGAGGAATCCGCGCCGCCTGCGAACGGCGGCTTTTCTGATCCTAACGAGGACTCGGATGCGATGTGGGCAATGTTTGATGAAGTGGTTGGTGACGCCGACCTCAATGAAGCACCGAGATACTCCGGTGAACAGACAAACGCAGACGCAGAGCTACGTGGCAGGTTGAATGACCTACGCACAGAGACGCAACAAGGGCAAGGTCGCCAACACGCGGAGAAGAAGCGCGTCGTGATCGGTCTACTCAAGCGCCTCTCAGATGCGTGTCGACACGCTGCACGTGTAAAGGCATCTACGCGTATCCTCGCTTTTGTGTACGACAACATCAACATGTTCTTTCGCCTCGCGGAGCCCACTATTGGCGACAAGTCTACCCTTCAAAATGGGACGTGCGCCACTGCCTTCGAGCTCTTCGACGCGCATCCTGACGACATGCTCGCGTCCGACTACATCGCCTCCCTCACTCACGCACCAAACCTCTCCCGAAACGACATCCTCATGACGCATAGCGAGAACCGTGCATTCACGGATCTTCTCCAGCGCACGGTTCTCTCCATCATCATCAATTACGGAGGTCCAGGCTTCTCGCGATTTCGCAAGCAAGTTGAAGATATGGCGCCGGGCGCATACGATCAACGAATTCCTCTTCATCGCACTGAGATCTTCCCATTGCCGACCATGAAGATAGATGAGTCCACCATCATTGGTAATGCGGAGGTCACTGAGACGATCTTCTCCGAAGTTGGCCTCGAGATGGGCTCGGATGATTTCCAGGAGACCGTGAAGCTCATTGCTGGCGACCAGCTATCAATTGCCCGTCTACGCGCACTCGCGAGGAATCGTGCGGGCCACGACAGCTTCTCCAATTCCTATCTCTGGGCAGTCGTCATCCCCGGTATCTTCCACTACAAGATGGCTGCCACCCACGGCTTCATGGAGCTGTTCTACGGCTCTAATCCTAGTCCTCGCAACCCTGGTTCACTCGCCTTCCATAACAACGTCCTCGATCGCACGCCAATCACTATTACCTCCATGCCGCCATTCCGTGAGTCCCGCAATCTCATATTCATCTCACTCTATGCGCGGGTCTTGCATTGTCTCGAACTCGTCAGCCGCTGCGAAGATCTCGCTGATTATGCTGCCAATGTCACCTTTGAGGTGTTGAAGTTCCATGCCGGGGAGATCGTCGCGCAGTTCACTGATGGCAAACGCGTTGATCGCATGCGCACTGCTCGCGCCGCTGAGCTGCGTTCCATGGGGCCGGACAATCAGCGGGCAGAGGCGATGCGATCGGCGAGTCGGAGTGGAGGGAATACCACCATAAGCGAGGCTCAGGTGCGTATTTCAGACCAATTTTCATTCACTTGCTCACCTTGTATCATCACAAATAGGGTGCTGCGCAGCATCAATCAGACGCGGACATCCCGAATCTGTCGTCGCGCCAGCTCACCGAGGGTGATATGGTCTTCGAAAATGCCATCCTTCTCTTCCGCGACGCGTTGATCCTGCGCCTCCTCACAGATACCGTCAAATGCGGCGACTCAGGCCGGCTGGTGCTCGTGTTCAAGATTCTCGCACTCTACTACCGCGGCTGCGGGCGCACGAAATACGCGCAGGAGGTATTGTTCGTCCTACACAACATCACACATGTCTGGCCTGAGCCACTACGGTACAGTCCGGTTTGTCTGCTTACTAATAACCGCCACCGTCTTACAGATTTCCACAGGAATGTCGTTCTGCAAAATTGGTTAGTGAATCCGACAGGCAAGCCCAATGCTTGGGTCGAGGTCGACCTGATGCAGGAGCATTTCAACTTCTGGATCAAGGTCAGTCACGTTCCGCGAATCAGCTACTCTCGCAAAGTGGTACTCATCTACATAATCATCTTTGTAGACCATATACAAGGCACACGGTCCAGCCGCTTCATGGGAGTGGCTGGCGATGATCTCACCCTGCATCGACATTCTACGCCGCCTCGCGACCGAGATCAACACCACCCTGGGCGCAAAGCAGGGGACGAAGCACACCACACCCAATCTTGAGAGGGATATAGGCTATCTCATGGCGTCTCTTCGCCGCTACGAAGTCTACCAGTACAATCCTGGCCGCGAGATCGACGACGGGTCAGACTCTAACCCGGTGGTTGCAGACTCACTCACCATCGGCCTTCAGCGCCTCTCGGAGCCTCTCGGCGAGTTCAATACCTCACTCGCAAAGCTCAAACAGCGCTGCAAAGCAATACCCCTCATTGGCGGCGCATACGCTCACGTTCATGGTGCCAGCGACGACTCGGAGGAAGGAGTCTCGGCTACGCATGTCCGGCCACCAGTGGACACCGCACTTGCCGGCGTCGATCATCGCGGCGGTGCAAACGCTACTCATGTCCAGCCACCTGGAGATGCAGCAGCTGGCAGAGACCCTCTCAACGCTGCAAACGTGCAGCCACAACCCAACGGCGGAGATCCTGAGGGTGGTTTGCGCGAGGATGAATCTGAGGAGGAGTCAGGCGATGAAGACGACGATTTGGAGCCTCAAGCCCTCATGTCACTCGAGACAGCGGAGGACGTTGCGCTCGATATGGATGCTGCTGACTTCGTCTACGAAGACGAATGAACCTTACGTACATGCGTCGCTGCTAATCAACACGTTCAACTCGAACCAACGGACCTTGTTGTGTGCATTGTATATAGAGGCGAACGCGCGAATTCTCTAAGTCCCGATTCCCACGGGTCGACCAAGGTAAACGGCGCCCAATCCGCCCAGCCGTTCTGGCGAACGTGACGGACTTTGAATTTTTCTCTCGCCAGAACGACTGGGAACGAGCCTACCACGGATGCTCGGAGCGGAGGAAACGCGTCCCGAAAACGCGATGTTGCGCGACAGCACCCAGCACGTGACCTCGACGCGCCCGCGTATGTTCATGTTCGACTCGCGCGCCGCCGCGCCCTCATCTTCTTCTCCTCATCCCGCCCTTACTCCGGTACCTCGCGCCCTCAGGCAGGCCTGTCTTTACTCCTCTTTTCCTCCCCTGTACAATACTCTCCCCTTCCTCTCGTCCCTTCTGAACCCAGAGCAGCAAGATGCCCCGCTTAACCTTCCTCGCCGGCGTTTTCCTCGTCTCGCTTGGACTAGTGCCGCTCATGACTACGTCTCGTGCTGCCGACATCAGTGCCTTCCAAAGCTCTCTCGAACGGCGCTACACGACCCCCCACTCTCTTGGCAACAACTATCGATTCGACCCTAGGGATGGATGGCAAGCAGTCAACGTCACGAACCTGCAGTACAAGTACTCGCAAGCACAGACAGACGAGGACGAAGATGTCGACGGCCCTGTAGTCCCCCGTGCCCACTCTCGGCGCTCAACCAAGAAGTCAACCAAGAAGGCCTCGAAAAAGACCTCGAAAAAGACGAACACGAAGGCTGCTTCCAAAGCTACTACGACAAGTTCGGCTTCCGGCGTCGGCGGCCTGGTGGGATCTGTCAAGTCCATCGTCGGAACCATGAAAGCCGCTGGAGACTCGGAGCCTGTCACGATTACCTGGTATACCGGCCATGACTTGGAAAACCCGAGCTGCTGGTCGAACCCTACCTGGGCGCCCACGGTATGTTCGAGTTTCACAGCTCCTTTACTACCAAGTCTCAGTCGCCATGCTGGCCACAGGACGATTCCATGGTCTCAGCGGTCACGCTAGATGGCTGGACGAATCGACCTCAGTGCTTCAAGTTCGTTGAGCGTAAGCCTACTTCACTGTGTCACTCATGAACGCATCGTTACTGACAACTGCTGTAGTCTGCCACACGAACCAGAAATGCGTGTTTGTACGCATCGTCGATACCTGTGCAGGCTGTGCGCCTGGTTCGAAGCACGTCGACCTCACCAAGGCTGCCTTTTCATCGCTTGCGGATCTCAATGAGGGGACACTCACGGTACAGATGCGCCCGGCTACCGATCCATTGGAAGGATGGTCAGTTGGTCTATCTTTGTATGTTTCCTGATCATTGACGTTCATTGGGCAGGCTGGAAAGTCTCTGGGGACCGAAGGCCTAAGAGCTGGTCACCGGGGCCGCGGCAACCCATTGAAGAACCAGGACTAAGCTCGCGCTGGCACGCACAAGATACTACGGACAACGTCAACGGACGACACCTCCTAGGATGTATCGATAGACACTAGATCTGTACTACCATTCTGTGTATTGTACTTTTGTCACTACGCCTTGAGCAACCTATATATACTACCACGAAACGGACTACGACTTGATGGCTACACGCTTCCGCTTCTTGCCCTCGGTAATCCTCTCCCGAACCTTCTCTTCGTCCATGCCTTCCTCCTCGTAGAACTCTGCGATCCGCTGCGCGTCGTTCTGCCGCTTGATGTACTTGAGCGCGGCGAGGTTGTATGCGACCGTGTCCTTCTGCTTCCTCAGTGACTCACGAAGGTGCTTGCGCAATGGAATGAGAGCTGTGCGCATGATGCGGTTGGCAACAATCTGGTGGTAGTGTGTCTTGAGGAGGAAGAATATGATCCTTGACGTGAGGATGATGTTCCAATCCTGCCGTAACACTTGTGAATCCGCTGAAATGTATGCCAGCGACATACAGAACTCACCCTCTGCGCCCAGACGTTCAAATACTTCATCAAGCTCACCACATTCCCAAACGGCAACACCAACAACGCATCATACAGCGCCGTCCCCGGCACCTTCTGCACCACCCTCAACACATACTCCTCCGGCTCAACATCATACGCCGCGAGCACCGGGTTCCGCGGGGGCGGCGCGACCTGCTCGCCGAGCCCGCCCGCTGCCCTCGCCTCCTCGTACTCGCGTAGCGCCGCGATCTCGCCGTCCGCGAGCTCGAGCGCCTCCATGATCCGCTCGCCCGCCATGAGCGTCTCCGTCGTTTGCTTCGAGACGGTGGTCGCCTCTGCGCCCTGTGCGAGCGTGGGGTCCGCGTCGTCCGCGCCGCTCCCGATCGGGGCGTCATTCCGGTTGAGCGTGTCAGCGATGCCGGACTCGTAGAGCTGCTCGAGCTCGCGTTCGTGCTCTTCTTCCAGGAAGAGCTAGATCATTTTCAGTTGAATTCGAGGTCGCGGGCAGCCGAGGGACTCACCGGCTCGTCGAGCTTCTCCCATACTCGGATGGACTTGTCGTGCGAGCCTGTGACGACAAACTTGCCGGTGTTGCTGACGGCTAAGGCCCACACCTCTCCGTGATGTCCCTCCAACTTCTGGATGTTCTCGAACTACATATTCTATCGTCAGTGGACGACCCAGTACAGGATGTTTTCAATTACATACCTTGTCCCCATCCCAGTACTTCACCATACGATCCTTGCCGACAGTCCAGAAATAATGACTCGGCTTCGCATCGAGCTCTCGGACGTCGTTTTTCTCGAAGGCCACCTGCATCACACTCTCGTCGTGCGCAAAAAGCGAGCGATGACAGTCGCCGAAGTCGAGGCCCCAAATCTTAACGTTCTTATCCGCCGAACACGTAACAATGAGCTTGCTATCCGGGGAGATGTCCATGCTTAGCACTGGGAGCTGTGTAAAGTGAGATGTCAGCAAGAGGAACTACGCGCGAAAAGATATGATCGGACCTTGTGACCATATAGCGAGAGGAAGAACTTGAGTGTGTCTTGGTAGAAGACCTTCACAGTTGAGTCGAGTAATGCTACTGCCAGGAACTTGCCGTTCGGGCTATACCGCACGCTAAGCACGTCGTCTGTCATCTTGAGGGTTCGGACATGTACTAGCGATAACAGTCTAGTACTCCGTGGCTATACTCTTCGCTTCAGATAGCTGTCCCTGGACATTAGAGGATCACATCTCACATTGTCACTATCCGCAGCTTTTGACTCGAACTCCCAGAACTTGACATCTTTGTCCGCACTGCCGCTGACGAGTGCTAGTCCATCTGCGCGGACGTGGATCGACCATACGGTAGACGTATGCGCTTTGACGGTCTCGACGAGTGTCGAAGAGGCGACGTCGTAGATAAGGATCTCTCCCGACTTCGTTCCCACCGCGACCTACCGTACAGACTAAGTTCAGCGTGTTCGTTCAAAAAGCCTGATGAGTCGCACCTGTCGGTCACCCGGAAGGAACGTGCTGCAGATCGCATGTCCACACTCCATAGTCCTGATACACGACGTCGTCTTCATGTTCCATATCTTCAACGACCCATTCGAGCCCGACGCCAACAGGCTGTCGTCCGAACTCAGGCACATCGTCCTTACGTCCGTCCGGTGACCCGGCAGGTCAACAGAATAGATGCGGGTCGCCTCCGGTACGACGTCTTTGCTCTTCGTCGGAGGGGGGATGCTGTACACCTCCAGAGCGTTAGACGACAGCGCGGTAAAAAGCTGCGTGTTGCCCTTCGCCCTTGAGGCATCGTCTTCGGCGAAGTCGAACGAGCGGATCTTGCCTGACGCGCGCACGACGAGGTAGGGCGTGAACAAGTCAGCGAGCTCAATCTCCTTGTCTTTGTCCTCTGTGTCTCCGTCCACTTGAATTTGGGCTTCGTCATCGTGCTCGGTAGGCTTCTTGCCTTTTGTTTGTTCTTTCTCCTTCTGTCGCTTACGACGCCGCGCTTGCTTCTTGCGGATTTCGTCCTCATTGCGGATGCGGAAGAGCTCGACTGTACGGTCATGCGACTGGACGGCAAGATAAGGGCGTGATGGGTGGAAAGTGATCTGTGATACTCGGTGGTTGGAGGCTAATGGAAGCGGGGCGACTGCATGGATGAGCTTTGCTACCTAGTGCGCAGTTCATTACCTGTCGGTTTTGTAGGCCAAGCGCACGCACCTCGCCATTCTCAGTCTCTCGCAGACCCTCTGCAAGTGCGTCATGGTCGATCTTCCACGCCTTGAGCTCGCCCTCTCCGCTGCCCGTGAAGACCAACTCGTGCTTGCTATCCACGTCGAGCGTCCAGATCTCGGAACGGTGAGCGACGATAGTCTGTATGCAGTGTTGTGTACCGAGGTCCCATAGCTTCAAGAAGGTATCCTTTGAGGACGTAAGGAGGTAGCCTGGAGTGGTTCCAGAGGAGGAGGACGGTTGTGCGGGAGAAGCGGATGTGATGAAACGTATAGCGGTGACTTGGTCCCGATGACCACGTAACCTGTTGACTGTGAGAACAGTTTGAACAGCAGAGTAGAGGAGACCTACCTGAACAGGCCAGCTTCCGCGACGACATCCCACAGAATGAGGTCGGTGTCTTGCGAGCCCGACGCGAGCCTAGCACCAGCGTCGTCGAAGGCAAGCGCGGTAATGGCTTTCTTATGACCGTTGAATGTTGCAATGACAGACTTCTCTGACGCGCTCCATAGACGAATGGATCCATCTGCGTAACCCACTGCGAAGGTATCCTTCTGCGGTGAACGGAGGATGCAAGTGACCTCCGCTCGATGGCCTGTCTCGTGCCACATCGCGATCTAAGAAACCATGAGATACATTCTGCAGTAAGGGGGTAACAACTCACCATCTGACCCTTCTTCACGTCCCATACCAGGACATCCTCCAGGGCTGGTACATACGCGAGCTTGCCGTCATAGTGGGAGCTCGAAGACGAGCTACAGACGAGCCCGAATGCCTAAGCTCGTTCAGCAATCGTTCCTCGCTGAATATGGAGCATGCTCACCTCTGTGGGCCCGTGTTTCAAGTAGCTCTGGACCATAGTGCTCAGCACAACAGAGAGGAAGTCGCAGCCACAGGCGATCAGCCGGCCAATCACCAAGCATGTCCAATGAATTTTCGTGCTTCGCACGGTCAATGAATTTGACTTTCAGCGTCAAAATCGGAGGGGCGCGGGCCGCTTGCCGCCAAAAGGCCTGTTACACTCAATCCACAATAGAGCGTATTCGAAACGGTGGTGACTGCTCCGCGCACAGGCCCCACTCCGAATATACTCTCATGTGGTGGAGATACTTTGGTGACACTAAGTGAGCACCGTGAAATACTGCGGCACCGCCTGTGGTAAGTGGTCACTAGTGAACTACCTCCCGAGCCTGAGGACGAGTGGGAAGGAGCCTGGATCGCGCGTTGATCGCGCGTCCCTTTCATAATAATCCTTGCCTCGGACGGACGATCGCTGTTGTATTTGTGCTCGAGCACCCCACCATGATGATCAACGCTGCTGCTCCCGAGGCCGCGACTCGCCTACTCCAATTTGTTAACGCCTCACCTACTCCCCTCCACGCAGTCGCCACCGCAGCCCTCCGCCTCGAGAAGGCCGGATTTCGCAAGGTCAGCCTGAGGCATCATGATCCATCTTGTGTGGACTGACATTATCTGCCTGACTAGCTCAGAGAAAAGGATGATTGGGAGAAGGACCTTAACGGCGGCGGCAAGTTCTATGTCACCCGGTACGCAGACATCGACTCCTTGCCGCGCTCCTGCTGTGCTAAATCCCACTAGCAACCAGAGCTGCATCCTTGCTTTCACCGTTCCTCAGAAGTGGAAGCCTGGCGGAGGCGTCTCCATAGTCGCTACACACGTTGACAGCCCAAACCTGAGGGTACGATATTTCTCTATTACTGAGCCACCGCTTTGTGCTGAAGTGGCTTTCCCAGGTTCGTCCAGTCTCAAAGAAGGCGAAGGTCGGATATCTACAGGTCGGCGTAGAAACCTATGGTGGCGGTCTCTGGCACACTTGGTTCGACCGCGACCTCTCGCTGGCAGGCAGAATCATCCTGAAGGAGAAGAATGGCGGATTCACGTCCAAGCTCATCAAGATCGACCGTCCTCTCCTACGCGTGCCTTCCCTAGCCATCCACTGTGAGCACCAAACCATGCATATTTGTGCATCAGCGGAACTGAAGTGACGGGTAGTGCAGAGGGGTTCTGGCGACAACTTCCAGTTTAACCAGGAGACTGAGATGATGCCCATACTCGGCATGATCGAGGAGCAGCTTAACGCAACCGCGGACAAGAAAGGTACCGTCGAGGTGAAAGCGACGAGTGTCCAGGAGCAGCATCACGCTGCTCTTTTGGAAGTGCTCTCTCAAGAGCTATCCGTGGTCCCAGAGGACATCCACGATTTTGAGCTGTATGTCGACTTGTTCACTGTTTCGCACTGACCTTGCTGAATTTCTACTCAGACACTTGTACGACACCCAACCCTCTCAGCTCGGTGGCATCAAGAATGAGTTCATCTTTTCTCCCCGAATGGACAACCAGTTCTCTTCGTACGTCCGCTGCGCTGTCCTCGCCGTCTGTTACTGACAAGCCCGTCACAACAGGTTCTGTGCACTCGACGCTCTCGCCACCTTCTCCACCTCGCCCTCCTACTCCTCCTACTCCTCTTCCGTCTCCAACAATGTCAACGCCATCGCGCTCTTCAACCACGAAGAGGTCGGCTCCGTCTCCACCACGGGCGCCGAGTCCTCTTTGATCCCCTCGCTGCTCTCGCGCCTTTCACCGACGCCCGCCGCGCACGCACAGACGATCGCGCGGAGCTTCCTCGTCAGCGCAGACATGACGCACGCGGTGCACCCGAATTACCTGAGCAAGCACGAGGAGAATCATGCACCGCGCATCAATGGCGGCGTCGCGATCAAGACGAACGCGAAGCAGCGGTATGCGACCGAGGCGGTTGGCAGGTTCCTCCTGAAGAAGCTGATCGAGAAGCGTGCTGGGAAGGTGCAGGAGTACGAGGTCCGCAACGATATGTGCGTCCAAAGACCTTCTCGCAGGGTCACTATACACATACTGACTTACTGTGGTTGTGAATAGGGCGTGCGGGTCCACCGTAGGCCCCGCCCTATCGAAGATCGGCGTCCGGACAGTCGACATCGGCTGCCCGATGCTGTCCATGCACTCCATCCGCGAGACCGCGGGCACGCACGACGCGCAGAGCCTGATTGACCTGTTCACGTCGTTCTTCGAGGGCTTCGCGGAGCTCGATGCTGAGCTCGTGGTGGATTAGGACATGGGGTACACGCTAAAATACATCTGGGCACTGGACAATCCACAGCAAAGAATACATATACCAGAGATCGAGCGACATAGTGTGAGAGCGGTTTGTGCAACCGAAGTCGCGTAGTGGCCCCAGCGGAGACACAACGTAGCGTAGGGCGGCCAAGGTGGCCATTTCAGCAGTCGGAAAGATGTTGAGCTCGGATTGAGCTCGGAAAACATGTCTCACTATCGACGTGCTTTCTTTTTGGGTTGTTCTGACTCTGCGGAGGCCAATGGTCGTGATGGCCCGGTCAACAGCGATCGCTTTTTTGCTGTTCGTGAGTAGTGCGCGAGGACCCATTCGCGCTCTGCCTCAGTCTGTTCGATCGTGCCTTGTCGTATTTCGTATGCTGGATACGATCGTGAGTACTGGGAGCACGAGTATGGAAGTGGGGGTTGACATACGTTTCATCTCAAACCGGGGGCCAACCTCCGCGAGCTGGACCTGGCGTGGCGGGATCTTGACAAAGACATGATGTCTACAGGGATATCAGCATACCTCACTTGTGCCTATGTGCTGACAGCACTACGCACCTAAAGGAGATGAAGTCGTCCTCGTTTGAGAAGGTCATCACCCGCTTGCTGTCCTCCTTCGGTACCGGGAAGAGGTACTTCAGTACGTCCCGCATCCGCTCACCCAGCCGTGAGTTGAAGTTTTCGAAGATGAGGTGTGGGTACTGCTCAGAGACTGTCGACTCCTTGTATGTGCCGATGTCATGTCGCAGCTGAACATTGTGGAGGGTGAAAAAGACGGTGGGGCCATGAGGAAAATGGGAGACAATCATGGCATCTAGCAAACCATGCCTTCGTCAACGAGGCAGTCCCGCCGAGGAAATGGACGACGCACCTGGCGTGCCGCGGTGTTCGTGTAGGATGACAAGGTCGGTCACGTCGTTGGCTCTGCATGCCTCCGACAGCTCCTTCATGACATAGTTTCCTCGGTTCACTCGATGTGAATTCGGGAAGACCAGTCGCATCTCCTTCGCGAACTGCTGCAGCTTCGAGCTCGGGTCTCGAGACGTTGTGACAATGATCTTCGGGTCTTGGATACCAGCCATAGAGTACTCGTTGTCGATGTGCGTTGTCGGGTCTACACAGCAACAGTCGAGCGATGTTCAGACTCGGCAGACAAGTGAATGACCGCAGTACGCACCGGCCTGAGCCTCATCGAACGCCAAATCCTTCCCCAAGGTCTGCGCCTCCTTCCTCAACTCCGTCGGGAGTGCCTTCCCCGCGGCGAGGGCATCCTTGAGCTGCTGTTTCCGCTCGTACGTCTGACGTTCTTGAGCCTCTAGAGACTTGGCATAGATGTACTGGCGACGCTCACGGGTTTGCCGGCGAATCTAGCGCGATATCAGTCATTTTCTCTGGTCCGTACCGTGACTTCCGTAACTGACCATCACAAAGGAGAATGCGGGTTAGTGTACTGGTCTTGTTCTTGTTCGTCTTCTCCCAGCCACAGGTGCGAAGAAAATCTGGCCGATCAAGGTCATCCCTGTAACCCTGTTGCGGTTATTAGCGCTCGCAATCCACGGTAACGTGACTCAGATACAGTAAATGTTTTCTGAACCAACGCTCCGTCCACCGTGACTCTCGTACGCGCTCTGAATGCTCTCGCAAATTTTTCTTGTGTCAGGACTGCTTTGCTACATGCTACCTACTTATCTCGGTTTGGGAAAAAGGGTGAAACGATAGGTGGACGAGCTGCACCTCACCTCGGCCCACTGCCTGAGTCCTGACCTACCGCTGGTCCGACAACTGAGCATTGGTCAGACGCGGAGGGCGCGTCTTGCGCGTTCGCTCCTCATGCACCCTGCCCTGTTTATCAAGGAGGATGAGAGATCCGAACCTCTGAGTACGTGGGCATTGATAGCCCTTCTCTTTCGAGCTAACCGGACATTGTAGTCGGCTTGGGTTTGGAGATATGATCGATACTTGCTAGCAACCTAGCAAGATATCATGGACATATATCTGAACATATTCATATGGATTAAAGCACATAAATATCGTAATGCCATGTAGTGAGCCACTAGTACTTGTTCCCGATGATGTGGCCGACTTCTCAGCTGGCCTTTTCTCTTATCATCATTAAGATCTCTCAACATGATGACCGTACACATGGGTCAATACAGGCTGATACAGGCCACATACAGTAAGGAGGGCTCATCGAGGCCGATATCCCGGCTGGATATAGTAACTTATCGTAGTGGCCGTGCGCCACAGCTGCGCCCTGATAATGTTTGGTACGATCTGGATCTCTGATGGGACTCGGCTTCGCTCCAGACTTGTCTGCGCCTCATCGGTAGCGTTCCAGACGAGGACCTGTCTTGTCCCAGGACCCCTGTCAATTGGGGGAGAGGCCTGATCCCAATCCGGACAAAATCCGGCCAATTTGAGGGGGTATGCCTGATGTAATCCGGACAAAATCGACGTTCATGAGGGCGGAGGCCTGTGTCAGTATCCGGACATGGTTCCCCCAACCTCGCGAGGCCTGATCCTATCCGGACACCTCAGCCGTCCGTATAGCGTCGCAACACAGCCTGAAGCTGACCTACACGTCCCGTGCATGTGCAAGGTCGGCGTCATGACTTCCCTGACGTCGAATGCCGAGCAGCCATATCACGCTGTGCGCGACGAAGACGACTGGCATGATCATTGTCTAATAGCCACCCCATCCGCGCACCGTTGGTGCTCACTTGCCCGACTATTCACCATGAGTTACATGGCTGACTCGGCCTGATCCTGCAATCCGGACACCGATCCGCTCGTACCAAGGCCTGAGGCCTGATGCACAGTCCGGACAGCAGCGGAAAATCCTCCCTGAGGCCTGATTTAATCCGGACAAATCTGGACACATACGTCCGGACAAAAATGCCAAAATCTCGGGCGGCAGGATCAGGCCTCCCCACCAATAAACAGGGGTCCTCTTGTCCCCTCAGTGCCATCCGCCACTGTCTTCCTGAATCACCCGAGAGGCACGGCTGCTTCAGGTCGACCTGCCTCTGGCCTCTATCCAGACTGCTCTGTCCTGCCACATTCGTCGAGTACGACTCCTTGTGCCACTGCGCCTCGCTTCTGGACTTCTTTCCAGCCCACACCAGATTCTTTGATGGCGTCGAGAGTCCCCGGAGCAACAGACACGATGACACTGCGTTTCTCTGAGTCAGTCGACTCCGGGGCATAATTAAGAGTATATAAACTTGAATTGGTGTGTCGCTCTGGCATGTTCTCCATCACATCCAGCCTACACAGCGAGCACTCAGCCTTCACTCACATATCCAGTACATCCCTGTATACTTCTCTCTTCGCAGATATGATGAGCCTCATTCGATCCCGTGCACCCGTAAGTCGGGCATCGTTATCGAAGTATGAATCCAGATACTCATTGTATCGTTCGTAGACCTTGATCCTCTTCGGCAGCATTCAGACTGCTATGTGGAGCTGGGTCTACATGCGATGGCAAGAACCGAGGTCAGTCTCTGCACTGACGCTCTAGTATGCATCCGAGTCTGACGCACTCACTGTAGCATGATCCAGGGGCCTCTCCCATCTCACATCCCGAAGGGCTTCGTCGGACGGTCTCGGTTTCGTCAACCGCACGCCCCATTCGCAAGCGAATACGCAACATACTAAGCACCACACTCACCACGCTCGCCCCGCGGCGCACGTCGTGGAGGAGGCGTTGTCGCGCCCGGACAACTGGCGGTTTGTCGTGCTGTATTGCGATGGTGAATTGGGGCCGGCTTAGTTGGACTTGACTCTTGCATTTACGAACAGGAAGACGCGGGAAGTTTGTAACATAGTCGTCGAATATCCGCGGTCGTTGTTTTTGGTGTATATCCTTATTATCTGAATACCTTGCGCGTCATCAACGCTAGGTGACTTGGGGAGGAGGAGCCAGCGCATCTGGCCATTCGTAGCCTGACACAGCACGAGCGGATGCACCGCAAGTGCGATGCCCGCTATCCACAGACTCGATAGCAAGTAGTAAGATTGAACACGCACACTAATGCGCACCATAATGTGCACTTGTTCATCGAATGTATCGCGATCAAATCGCCTTACAGCGGAGCAGATCCGATTGCCATGGAGGGCTAAGTGACTACAACTCAGGATGCGGCGTTAGAACACAACGTACAAGCACAAATCATACGACGACAACATTTCAATTCCTGGCTACCGAATCGCCTCCAAGGTCTCCATCGATGATACACTGTTCCCTCGGATAACCTGCCCAAAAGAACCATTAGACACGCATGTTCGAATTGAGAGATATGGTGCTACGCACAACGGTACCGATGGGGTGCTTTTGTGCGGGGGTCGTCTCCTCCGTCGCATCATCAAGAACAAGGTTGAGGAATAGGTCGTAGCCGCGCAAGACTCCGCTGACTTTGCGGCCGCCTTGAAGATGGACGAACAATTTCTTGTCCATGAACTGCGATGATCCAAGCAGTAAGCAATTGCTGCAGCATACTGATGCCGATGGATGAGTACGCACTTTTTTGAGCTCCGGCTGCGATGCCTTGGACATGGTCGGCGCGAGTTATGTGGTAGGGTATGGATGTGTCTGAGACGGTAGCAGAGCCGGATAGTTGCAGTACGGCTCAGACGCGCGGGGAAAGGATTGGGACGAGCGCCGGGTGGCTGCACGTGGACGAACACCCGCTCGGGCACGCTTGGCGCATGTGAGGACATCCGAGGGCGGGGCCAACGGTTGCTTCCGCGAATTATCAACGTTCTGCCCTCAGCCTACGCCTTGCTACGTTCCGTGTCATACAGCCTCTCACGTCTCAGTCTACTAGACCACGAAACCCCCTATTCAACGATTCTCATACGACACACTCCCCAAAGTCCCGCCATCATTCTATTTCAACAGCCCTAACCGCCAGCCCTCCGTGAGTGTCAATAGTTTCAGAGTTTCAAGCCCTGTCACTTCGAACATTCCAATCGTCTCTTACGCAATGTCAAAGATACGCGGAACCTTCGGGACTCATTTGACAGAGAAGGAAGTCAATGGCCTCTGCGCTCCCTCCAGCCGCACACAACACCAACAGCCTGTCATGGTCTGGTCCGGACCGGCAAGCTTGGAAGCATGGTGACTCGGGGAGTGCGCCGCGCAACGTAGGCGGTGGAACCAGGGGCAGATCGGGTGGTCGAGGTGGCAGAGGTGGGCGTGGTGGAAGGGGCGGCGGCAGTGGCAGGGGAGGCGCGCCCTCCAATGCCAGTACAAAGCCCTCAGACGATGCGCCGAAATTGCAGGCGGATCAGCCAAAGGGAAAACCGACTCCGGATATCCCCAAGATTGTCGAGCCGCCGACACCCGCTCCCGCCGGTCCAATCGCCGCTGCTGCGAGCAAAGCGTCAGGCAGGCCAAAGTCCACGAGGAAGGCCTCCGACAATAAGAACACCCGCAAACCCGGACCCACCACAGACACATCCGCTACACTCACTCCCAACCCGCCGCCTGCAGCAGCAGCTCGTCCTTCCAGACGAAGGCGCTCTCAGAACAAGGTTCTCCCCGCGCTGAACACGAAGTCATCTCTTTCTTCTGATTCGAGTGCCTTTACCGTGCAATCCGCTCCCGAGAGAGGTGTAATCACGAGCAAGGATATCCCACCACATCTCATGACGCCCTCCGACGCACACACCTTTGACATCAAATCGGACATCGACGCTCTCGTCGACCGCATGCGGTCCGTGGCGATGGAAAGGCCTCATACGCCCGGAAGCCATAGTCACTTTGACTGGGCGAGCGACGACGACGACAGTCTCCCCGACCTTCCTGACTGGGGGAAGACGGACGTCAAGACAGATGGGAAACCCTCCATTATTTCTCCCATCCTCGAAGATGCGCTAAGGCCTCTACCGAACATCGAGGTCGGCTCGCCTTTCACTGTGCCACTAGCTACTCCGGAGTCTGCAGCTGCGTCTCCGGCGAAAGCTCCTCATGAGGTTATATCGAAGGGCAAAGAATCTCAAGCGGCACCACAGGTTGTGGGGGTGAAAGAGAAGAAGGAAGAGCCTCTAAGCGCCCTCATCAACCTGGAGCAGTCTCGGGTTGGCCGTCATGAGGAAAGCAAGGCTGGCGAGCCCAAGGATTCACGACAGCCTACACAAGCACAGCCTTCGCAAGAATCGACAACGTCACGCCTTGTACCTACCTCGAACCCGTCACCATCGAAGGCACCCGCCAAGCTTCCGATTCACCCGTCCCTACCGCCGAAACCAACCACGACTGTCGAACCGGCGTCCGCGAAGCGTCATCCTCGACACGCTGAGCCGGGGCATAAGCGAGGAAATTCCAGTACGGGTTCGGCGGAGCAGAAGACTGAGAACGGTCTTGCGAATTCGATACACGCTTCGAAAAGCAACCTTTTGGAGTCGATACACGCTCCCAAGAGTAATCTCGCGGAATCGACACATTTGCCGAATGGCGGTCTTGCAGAGTCGACACACGCCCCGAAGAAGGGCCTCGCCGATTCCATCCACGCTCCCAAGTCGGCAGCGACGTCAGGGGAGAAGGAACCGTCCCCCAGAGACCATGCTCCCGAGAAAGGCCTGGCAGCATCGATACACGCCCCTCAGACCACACAATCCGCGCCGAGTCACATCTCCAGTCATCCCATCCCGGACGTGCTACCGCACCTCCGCTCGAGAGGTCCTGCACGAGGCCACCGCCAGCCGTACAGCGCCTCGATCTCCAGCTTTCAGCATCCCGACCTGGATCGCGGTGCCCGGACTGACAACGCCCATCACACCCGCACGCAATCGTCCCCGCCGACCGGCGCGGGCATCGGACACGCCCACTCCCGTTCGGCGCACGCGACGCGCCCGGTGATTACGGGCGACGCGATCTCGAGGCTTGCACGCACGCTGGGAGCGCATGCGCCTCGCCGCGAGACTGCCGTTCCGGTTCCTGCTGCTGCCAAAGACTGAAGTGCCCGAGGTTCGACGTTGTTGCTCGATTTCCGTAGTGCATCGTATCTTCCGCCCATCTATCACGATATTGCTTGTATTTGAGCCTTGCTGGCCTCCCCGTTGGACATTGTCATTGTGGTTGATCATGGTGTCTATACCCACACAAATCGGTGCACTTGCCCCGCCTTACGGCTTCATTTAATGTCCCCCTGGAATCTGATTAGTGTTTCTCTATGGTACATGGCCCTGGATATGATGATGCAGAAGTCCTTGTTGATCGTACACGCATACTAGTGTCCCCCAAGTCACGAAAGCAATCCTAGCGATGCACTGGTGGGTGTTCATCCCGAGCTGAAGTACGATAACTCCAGGCCTATTGCTTTTATGGGCTTCGACCTGCTGGTCAGGTTCGAGACGATCCCGAAGCTGACCAGCATGTTTTTCAAACGTCCTTCCCACAAAAGGGAAATGTCCTGTAGTCGATCACTCAGTTTGGTTGTCGGAAGACACTCCTAACAGACGCACCGTTGTCGTAGATACACGGGCTTTCATCACCCCTTGCACCTCGCCCATGCCCTCATGTGAAGCTGGAGGCGTGTGTTGCAAAGCAGAGTCATCCTTCGACTCGTCTGGGCTCGAGCCCAGCGCGGACGTGAACATGCCCTTCCCACGGCGCATCCACCACTCTGCTCCCATGCACCACTCGCTCTCGTAGCTGTATACGTTGAAGTCGTACCGCGAGCTGAGAGAGAGATCACGGGAGGTTCGCGCGGTATACGCCGCGGAGATATGTCCGAGCATGGGGTTGAACAGAGCAGTGATGGTCGTAGGTGGCTGGGAGGGAGGGCCGCGCGATGTCGATGGTGCTGTTGAAGGTTCCTGGAACGATGGGGGAGTTGCATCGGGCAACGTCGTGAACCGTATACCGGTCGATACTACACTCAACTAAGCATCATTCCGAGAGTTAGTGTAGAAAGGTCCTTACCACCTGCGCTCTTCTCCTTGGCACTGAAGTAAAACTCAGCGCCGGCGGATATTCGGCCTTTGAGACCTCCCTCCATCGCCTCCTCCTCATCCACCCTTCTCATCCACGAGCGAGTCCGTGGTGGTGCACCGGTCGACTTCTCGCCCTCCTCAGCCGAGTCGCTCGAGCCGGTTAACTTCCCGAAGTTATGCAGCGTCCGGACACCCCACATGCCGTCCTCCGCACTCCATGTGTATTCTGTACACCACCTGCCGGTATCGTGCTGCAGGCTGAACATAATGTTGCTGGGATGCGTAGGTGCACTCCTGACCGACTCGGCAAACAGGCTTGCGCGCGGGTCGGATATTGCAGCCACCATACCTTGCAACGTCGGTGATAGCCTCGCTGAATACAGTGCATCAAGTCGGCCTGTCGGGATGTAGACACGGCCGTAAAGCAGGTAGTCTACAGAAGCTGATCAACGACGCTGCACCGGATGTCAGCAACGAAGTACGTACTCACCCCGAGTGTTGACTCTCTCGCCCGCCAGCCATTCTTCCTCCTTCCCCTCCGGTCTCCGGGGCAGGTCGTAGACTTTGAAGTGGTCTGCCATGTCCTTGAAGCGCACGTCGCCCGAGCCCTTCACGTCCAGCTCGCATGAGGTGAAGATGTAGCCAACAGAACCGTTGAGCGACGGCAGTGCGTTCATAGAATAGGTGTTCTTGAACAGCGGGCTCGGCGACTTTGAGATCGAGAAGTGTAGCCCTCTGGGCACAGTGAAGTCGAGGACCGCTAGGAGGCATTTAAGTTAGGCTCTCCGGATGTAACCTACCAAAAACTTACCATTGGATGATCGGGTGAGGTTGGCATACAAGTTGTCCTCATTCCAGCCCGTCGCCCGGTAGTAGCTGCGTAGAACGTACGATGCGAAAGGATGCATGGTGGAAATGGCACACCAGGCAGTCCGACAGTAGAGATGACGGACGCAGAATCAGTGCATAAGCGTCAGCTAAGAAGACAGGCCCGAAGAAAGGTGTCAAGGGTCGATCGAGTATGCGTGAGGCCCAAGTGAGGCCTGTAAGGAGGTCGGTAGCGCGTGGCGAGCCGGAGCGTCCACTGGGCGCTTCCGTGCCGAGTGGGCATACGCGGTCTCGTGACTCAACTACATCAGGCAACCCCGCCCCCGCAAAGTGCAAGTCGCGTCCTACACTCATCTCCTATGGCCACCATTTTCCCCCCACCATCCCCCGAGCTGCCGCAATTTCATACTCTCCTCGTCCGAGGCCCGTACCACCCCTCCGCCCCCATACACCTCGTGCTATCGCACAACTGGCGCGACCCGAAAGGCAAAGCGATCTTCATCTCGCCCTCACGCGCCGCATTCCTCGCCAGCCTCGCCAAGTTCGATGACGAGTGGCTGAAAGTACATGGAGGTGACGGTTTGACGTGCAGCGCGTCAGCGCGGATCGAAAACTTGTCAGTCGAATGTCTTCGTAAGGGACCGCCGAGTTCTACTCCCGATGTGAGTGAACCGTGTCGATCGTGACTTACCGAGGGCGCAGGTATCCTCCGACACCAGCGCACCTTGTCATGATCCTGAGCATGCTTCACGTATACGAAGGGACACTGCACGACCCCAAGACGACGCTCCCAGAGGCACCTACTCTGTTTGTCCTGCACGAGTTGTCCGCTTTGCTCAAACCCACGACGCTCGAACCTACGTGCGTCAGTATATACTTACTCTACGTCAATTGATGTAACTTTTGGAGGAACCCGACAGACTATCCTCTTACCTGTCCCTCATTATGCACGCCCTGACGGCGGTCAATTCGCTCTCTGCCAAAGCGTCAGTCCCACCACCCGCCTTTCACGGATGACTCTCACAACCGTCTTACTGTTGCAGAACAGCAAGTGTGGCGCTCGCTGTCTTTGACTCTGGGCTGCAAGACCTCAAGCTACCCATTATCCGGCCCGTCTCTCCTTCGGGCGGCGACCCCAACGAGGCTCGACCGTCCACAGGAAGACGAGAGCCTGTCGCGTTCTTCGTGGAGCAGTACTTCGAGTGGACTGCGAGGGTAGAAGGTACGACCGCCTCGAGCTCCTGTAGACCGCAGAGACGTACCCAATTCATCCTGACCTCACTCTAATCAGCGTTCGGAGAGACAGAGGCCCATTCGGAGGGACAGGCGGGCGGCGGACGCATGCGAATGGTGATGCACCGCACGCCGGACGGGGATAATATAGGAGACATCGCGATGGAGTGGATGGTCGCTACCCGGGTTGCTGGGCCTCATGCAGGGGCGAGGTATTTTGCTTGGACGTAGAGGTGCCCATTGAGTCGCCGTTCAAGTTCGTACTTGACCTGACTTCCAGTTGCGATGCGTTTCACGTACATGTAGTGGAGAGTAATTGAGACACTTATATGACGGATTGCACTACTAGGAGGACCCTCAAGGATAGGTGGTCTACAGAATGAGGTTCAAAGTTGTTGTGAGCTGCTCGGATTCGCCACATGCGCAATCACATGGCCGTCGCGTGAGGCGGAACGCGATCGGGACAGGACCGGCGCGCTTCGCCACGAACGTCCACCGACCGCTGCAGCCCGTACTCTCCAGGGCTCGAAGTCTGGGGATCTAAAGAGTGTTGTAACACCCACCATGGAGTTCTTCAACGACGCCGGCGACGATCCTCTGAAGCCCACGCTCTTTGAGCTCGTTGCGCAGGAGCAACTGCGGGACCTCTTGCAGCCGGCCCTCAAATATGTCCTCTCTGTAAGTCATGACCAGTGTACTGCCTAAGATGAGTAGCTCTCATGATATATTGCTACCGTCACTCAGGTATTCGCGCAACGATACCCCCGGTACCTCATCCGCGTCGTGAACCGGCACGAAGAGTTCTATGCGCTGCTGATGTTAATTGTGGAGAGACATTACCTTCGGAAGCACGGTGAGACATTATGCATGTTGTCTTGATTATACCCCATACGAATGTGCGCAGGTGCATCCTTTTCAGAGAATTTCTACGGGCTCAAACGACGGCGGCGGCCGCTGTTCGAGACGGAGCGAGCCAAGGCAGCAGTGCCAGGCGTACTGCCCGAGGAGCGACTCCGAGACAGGGAGATCTTGCGGTCGCTCATCTTCTTGGTGAGTCCCATGTCTCCGCGTGTTCACACAGCCGTGACGGAGGTGCGTCAGGTGGGCCTGCCCTTTCTGCGCACGAAGGCGCAAGAATACTACGAAGACCTCGGTGGGGGGATACAGTCCGAGGTGATCGAAGAGAGCTTGGCAAGCCGCACGGCGCGTGCTTTATCGGAGGAGGTGCGTTGGTGCACTGGTGCGTGCGCGTACGTAAAACTGAGGGGAACGTTCGCAGAGCTTCGCGGGTCGCCTCCGCCGGATGTACAAAGCGGTGTTTCCGCTTCTTAATGCCACCTTCGAAGTGTGGCTTCTCGTGCACAACATTGCGTATCTGTTCGACCAGACACCGCACTACCGTCCGTGGTTGGCGTGGATTGGCGTAGACCTGCGGCGGGTGGGCATCGACGACTTGGTACGTGAAATGGCTTAGCGCACGAACGGCCAATAATACTTCTCCAGAGGGCCGCACAGCAGGCGATGAAACCCAAGCTAGACCCGGCACGCACACAGGGCGTGTTCCGGAGCTTGCGGCGGCTATTGCTCTCGTCACCCCGGCTCTTGCTGGACTCGCTCAACGTGATATTGCCAACGGCAATATTCTTCGTGAAGTTCCTGGAATGGTGGTACTCTCCGTCGTCACCGGCGCGTGCCTTATCGAGCTCGCCGCTCGGGCCTGCGGTTCCGCCGCCAAGTTTAGCCCGGCCGCACCCGCAGGGGCTAGCGGTGGACGAGAAGGCGTACGGACAGTGCGCGCTGTGCTCGCGGGGGCTGGCGAATGCGACGGCGCTGCCGTCTGGGTATGTGTTCTGCTACCGGTGTGCATACTCGTATGTAGAGAGGCACGGGCGGTGTCCTGTGACGCTGCTGCCCGCGCGCGTGTGGGAGCTGCGTAAGATCCTCGTCTGAATGCCATCGAGTCGAATCCGCGCTCGACCAGGGAGCGTCGGCGAAGTGAGATGCGATCTACGCACGTTCGTGAGGTGATCGAGTGATAAGTCCGCACGTGCGCCGCCAATCGCCCGCAGGCGCTCTGGCCGGATGCTGCCCGCGCACAGTGCGAGTACTTGAGTCTCCCGTCCACCTCCCCTCCGCTGTCCATGCACGCCCTCCAGCGCACGCCCTCCCGACTCGCCCGCCCCCGCCCCGCCCTGTCGCCGTAGTAGCCCCCCGAGCAGCCGGCCATGAAGGTACACCCGCCCTGCGCGTCGTATCAGACCACCGCCCGCTCATTCCCTCTCCGCGCACCCAGTTCGGAAAGCAGATACAGGTAGAGCAGGTCCCGGGCTGGTCGGCGTACTACCTCGACTACAAGTCCCTCAAGAAGATCATCTCCTCGCTCGAGGCAAACCGGCCCCCGTCCGAGGCGGAGGGGATGGCCCGCAGCGTCCGCCCGGGTGACCTGTTCGGTCGCACGACCGTACCCGCCACAGTAGAACTGAGCGTATCAACACCGGGCGTGGCAGAGGAGCCATTTATCCTCGCCTCGCTTGGCCAAGATGACGACAGAGGTCCATATTTCCAAGCCCACAAGGCCGCTTTCTTCTTCAAACTCGAGCGCGAACTCGAAAAGGTAAGCCGCTTTCCGGCGCGGCGCACGCGTCCGCTGAACGCGCAGACGCATAGATCAACGCGTTTTACCTCGAGAAGGAGGCAGAGCTCAAGCTGCGCCTCGAGACGCTGCTCTCAAAGCGGCGCGCCGCCGCCATGCGCGTGCTGCCCGATTCGCCCGACGACATCACGAACAACGTCGAGTGGAGCGCAGTCGAAGAGGGGTTCCGCCTCCTCGAGCGGGACCTCGGAAAGTTGCAGGTAGATGAAATACTCCTCGTCGCCGAGCTGATGCACACACCGGGGCCATCTATGTAGCAATTTGTGGAAATCAACGCCACCGGTTTCCGCAAGATCCTCAAGAAATGGGATAAACGCTCTAAATCGACCACCAAGGAGCTCTATCTTGCGCGTCAGGTCGAGGTTCAGCCCGTCTTCAATCGACAGGTGGGTATTCCGCCCAGCCTGAAGACCGCTCGCTCACGTATGGACGATGCAGCTCATCTCCGAGATGTCCGATACGGTCGCTGCCTGCCTCCTTGATCTCACAGACCTGTCAACAGGCCTCAGCTATGAAGGCTCACTTGCAGACGAGAAGATCCTCAGCCGCGAACTCGGCATCGAGCGCACAGACCGGAACGTTCCCCTCGGGCCCTTCCTTGACCTCGAGAGCAGCCTCCGCAAAGCCGTCGCAGATCACGACCGCGATGCGCTCCGCGAGCTCGTGCGCTACTCCGATTCCCTCTCACAGGCCCGCGGCGCGCACATGCACGTCACGCGCGTGCTCTGGAAGGCTGTCATCGACGCGCCGCTCGATCTTGCGGACCTAATCCTCGCGTCGACGTCTGGCCCCTTTGACTTCATGTTCGTTGACGACATCAACGGCCGGACATCCCTCCATGAAGTCGCGATCGTCGGCGTGCTCAGGCTAGTGAATATCTGCCTTGAGAAGGGTGTACAGGCAAACAAGACGGATGTCTATGGCCGCTCAGCCTTGCACTATGCTGCGATGTATGGCCACGACGTGATATGTAAAAGGCTCATCGAGGTCGGCCTACCGCCGGATATAACTGACGTAGATAACTGCACGCCGCTCGTGTACGCGACTCTGAGAGGCTTCGTCGGGTGCGTACGGGTCCTCCTCGAGGACGGCAAGGTCTCCGTGCGGAGCTCGACGCCCACTGCAGACCTGATACCACTCTCGCTGGCCGCACGAGCAGGTCATATCGACGTCGTCAAGCTACTACTCGGTCACGGAGCCCCGAGCGTCCCGAACACTAACGGCGAGTATCCCATACACCTCGCAGCGCAAGAGGGACACGCGGAGATCGTGCAGCTACTGGCCAGCCACGAGGGCTGGGATATACCGGACAAGTACAACGAGTGGACGCCGCTCTTCCATGCCGCTCGGTATGGGCGCGATGCCTGCCTGAGGGGTTTGCTCGACGTAGGCAGCCGAGTAGATCGCTTCGACGAGTCGGGCAACTCGGCGCTGTACTACGCTGCCTGGTATGGGCACCGGCCATGCGTCGCACTGTTGCTCGAGACTGCAGCCAATACTACCCCGGGGCCGACACCCATCACGCAGAAGTCGCCTCTGACGGACACGCAGCGGTCGACGGGGACGGAGTTTGACATCGACATTATCCCGTCGCTCTACCTGCCCCCGCCTATGATGCCGTATCGGGTATATGGGCACAACTATCTGGACAAGACTTCGCTCATACAGGTCACGATCGGACACCTCACATCGCGCTTCGGTACGGAGGCCCCACAGACTGTCTCGCTCCGCCGACCGCTCGCGGGCTCGCAGTACGATGAGCGGCACCTACACTCGTCCCCGATGCTCAAGCTCGTCATGACAGCTACCCCGGCGATTACATCGGCACCGTACAGCGTTCCGCTCCCTGTCCGGGACCAGAAGATCGCATTCAACTTCCAGGTCTCCTCGGCGAGCACGCTTTCGCTCGAGTTCTCGCTATACCCGAACTTCGGTACGAGAACAATAGGGCGAGCGGTGGCGCTGCCGTACTTTTTCCAGGGCATCCAGAACGGGCATCCGTTCGTGCTGCCCATATTGGATCCCCGCCTACATGTCATTGGAGAGGTAAATCCCGCGTTTTGCCCTCCTGAAAGACAATAAGGCTGAATGGTTTGTCCAGGTAGCGTTTGAGGTGAACATCATTACCCCCTTCAGAGGGGTTACGTTAGAGATTGGGGGAGCTGTCGAAACGTACTGGAAGTCATTGGCTACGCCTGTGCACACGCCGTCGTCCAAAGTGGTCTCGTCAAAATCACAGCAATCGAGGCGATCGATGACGTCCGTGCACACATCGCCATCAAACCTCTCGACCACAGTGGCGTCTGGACACTCTCTGACGCACTCGTCCGTAACAGGCAGTTACGTTTACGTGACCGTGCAGGTTACGCGCGACTTCCACCCGGTCGCCTTCGCGCAGTGGCCAGTCTCTGAGGAGGGCTACCACTTGGGTGTCGCCGATCTCACACTGCAAGAGTTTGAGGCGCTGGCCCAGCGTTCGGGGAAATGCATGATGCAAATGGACAATCCGGCCCTCTCGCCGCTGCAGTGGTCACAGTTGATATCAGGCTGCATGATCTCGCTCGCAGAGCTCCTGAGGGTTAGTCGCCCTCCGATCCTCGGTGCCCGGGCGTAACGCTGATCGCTAGAACATTTTTAATTTCCCCCTTGGGCGCAGGTCGTCCCAGCAGTTATCGGCATCTGCCTCGAATTGGCATATCCGCCCCAGCGCGTCCGAGAGCGGCTCGCTCTGAGGCATCAGCTCGACCTGAATGATGTTACGGACTCTCTCCTGCGCACGGTCTATGACACCACGACAGCGCCAGAGGGCACCGCGGGGCGCCGTCCTGTCGTCTTTACGTCGTTCTCGCCGGACGCCTGCGCTGCGCTGAATTGGAAGCAGCCTAATTGTAAGTGGCATCTCGTTCTGCCCGCCAGAACGGCGCCGTTGATCAGTGCCTGTTCCTCAGACCCTGTCTTCCTGGCTACGCAATGCGGCGAGCAGAGTCGCGGGTTGCCCAGCGCTACCGCGCTCGGTGTTGATGACGTCCGTGATTACCGATTTACGAGCCTCGACTCTGCTGTCGACTTTGCGAAGGCGAACAACTTACTCGGTGTCCTATTGGATGCGGGGCTTTTGGTGGGTGCAGTTCTTGGTCTGGGCATCCGCCGGCACTGAATCTTCTCAATAGGTGCGAGTCCCCTCTCTGATCCAGGGTGTGAAGGACCTGGGTCTGCTGGTGGGTACGTTCGGAACCCAGGAGGAATTGGCCCAGCTACCTACCTCGTCCGGAGCGGACGCGAATGGCGTGGATGCGGCCCTGCAGGACGGGGTCTTGACTTACTTCAACTCTTACAAACGCATACAGTAATGACCTAGGATAAGGACCCGTCTAGAGACCACCGATGTATCAAGTAGGCACAGTGCACCCCAACAATGTTGTATACATTCTCTCATTTGTTTTCACACTGCGGTGAAACAGTTTGCGTAAACTATATATGCGTGGGCGAGAAGCAGCACATCACCTTCCTGTAGGAGGCGCATTGGAAAAGAGAAGGCCATATTTCCGTTACGATCGCATGTGTACACGTACAGGTGACATTTTGCCTTCACTTTTAAACTTTCATCTACATCACTCAGGGTACTACGCTCTATATGGAGCTAATCCACGCCGCCTTCTTGTCAGATCGATGCTCGATATAGTGCTGCGTACTTCCCATCACGGCTGAGCAGCTCCTGGTGGGTTCCGAATTCACAGATCGTCTGGAAGCTTCGTTAGAGGAGAAGGGAGGGCAACCGGCAATTTCCAGGAACTCACGCCGTTCTCCATCATGGCGATTTTGTCAGCCCTTCGAGCTGTCGACAGGCGGTGGGTGATGAAGAGCACGCTTTTCTTGCGTTCGCTGGAGCCTGAGCAAGCTATTTTTTCGATGCTGTCAAAGATGCGCTTCTGCGCGTGTGCATCGAGAGAAGACGTCTGTGGGCGAACGGCTCGTGTAATGTTCAGGCTATTGCAGAGACCGTATCCGACGCACCGGCTCATCAAAAACAAGCAGTTCAACTTCTGGCCGGCTGGCCCTCATAAACGCTCTGGAGATAGCAATGCGTTGCCACTGTGTGCGAAGGATAGCTCGTCAATAGGATCATGGGACAAGATGAGATAAGCGTCTACCTCGCCGCCGGATAGGCCATGACAACCGTACGCGGGTCCGCCGCCCTGGACGAGCTGGTCGCCATCGAATGCACCGCCGTCTTGACCCACTATGTCGAGCTTCGTCTTGAGGCCGAGAGGCAGCGAGCATACGGTCTCTCTCGCTCCGGCGAGACGCATCGCCATTTCCAACGTCTGGGTGCAGCGCATCTCGTCGATGTACCCGACTCCGATGTTCTGCTGCGCAGTACTGTTGTACTTCGCGAAGTCCTGGAAGACGGCCGTACAACGCGAGTGGTAGTCCTCCGGCGAGTAGTGTCTTATGTCGACGCCATTGACCAGGATCTGCCCGCTGTCGAAGTCGTAGATGCGAAGCAGGATTTTTGCGAGGGTGGATTTTCCTGCATCGGGCGAGTCAGCGGCCAGGGAGCCTGAGATGTCTCCGTACACATGTGCCTACACACCTGAGCCATTGAACCCGACAATCGCCACGGTCTCTCCTGCCTCAACAGTCAAGCTGACATGGCGCAGTACGGGAGTCTCGCACCCTGGGTAGGTATATGTGAGGTTTCTGGATGACCGGTGAGCAGGTGGTAAGGTATGCGCAGTGTCAAACAATGTTCACCCACTTGATGTCTAACCTCATCCCCTTCCCAGAGCTCTCAAAGGGGACATCCCGGCCCTTAGGCTGAAGGACGGGCTCAATCTCCATAGCCGCACAAAACGCGCCCATTAAAAAAATCCCCTGGTACGCCATCCTCACGGACTGGATTAGGTTTGCTGTTGTAAAAATTATTGCTTGCACAGATGTTTGATATAATGTGAAGAGACCGAGAGACGCGGACGGTGACCGGTATAGAAGCATGAGGGGGACCTAGACAAAGGATGGATCAGTGACAGCCTCGCAGGACGAAGGCATTTAAGCACTAAATACATTCTGCATGAACAAGGCGAAGCTCGACAGATCCACAGAGAAGAGGCACCGTAACGACGCGTCGCACTCGGTCTGCCGTCGCTCCAAGCCAAGTACGGCTCTCCGTGCCTTCGCCCAGCCCTGCAGGATCCACGGCCCAAGACCGAAGAATATCAATTCCTGCCGGTACGACTCGCTTTGCGCTAGGTACCGCATTTTCTCTTGCTTATGGATAGCCCGGGATTCTTGAGGGTCCATCGTCTCGTCAAGACACGAGCCGTGTGCCCTCGCCGTCCGAAGGATGAGCGGTAGCAAAGATGTCACGACGGAGAAGCAAAAGGCCGTTAGGTGGGGCCTACTAAATGTCAAGGACGATAGGACGAGGGCGTGAGAGAGAAGCTCGGAGATAGAGGTCAATATCCGCATGAAGTCGAACGTGGAGAAGAGACCAAAGCTCGACATCCCGCCGAAGGAGCGAACGAATAGGTCTGACTCGCGGAATAAATCGCGTATTTCGGGGTCCGCTAGGGTCGGGAGGTCGAGTTTGAGACGCTTCTCCATTTGTCTGTATTCGAGCGTGAATTTCGCTGATCCATAGACGATGCTCTCGTTTTCTGTGCTGTAGGACGAGTAAGTGGGATCTTCTGCGAGCTACCTCGTAGTGTACTTACGCAATGGCATCAATTAGAGCCTCGAGGGCGAGTCGACTTAATTCGACGCCTACATGGCGAGTTATACACGTCCATGAGGTATTACTGGAAGATATAAGAGATTGAAGCTATTGATCAATGTAGCTGTAGTGAACGTCGTCGTCGGTGAGAGGATATATACGAACCTCATTGATAAGCAAGGCTTGTGAATAACCGCGAAACGCAGGGAAGACGCCGCGAACAAGTTCTAAAATAACAAGCAGGAACGATCTCCATGGGTGGAGGGACCACAGGGTGAGCAATAGGTCTGCAACACAAAGTCTAATAATCTCGCAGGCCAGACTGAGGCTCCGGGCGCAGAACGGGCGGTGAGCGCCGGGAAGCAGTGCTTCTCCTGCAGGTCCAGGTTTTCTGGAAGCGACCCATAGCACGTATAAACCCTCCGGATGGGCGTACGTTGAGTGCAGCTTTTGTGGGACACCGGGGGCGTGGCGGACACGGGGGCAGGCGGTCGAGAAAGAGTGGGCGGTCCCGAGGCATAGGTTCCGCAGAGCAGCGAGAGGCGATCGGAGTGACATACCGCAGGACGACGAACGGTCCGACAGACACCTACATACGTAACTGCTTTAAGAGGTTCCGCCAGTCCCGTTGGGGCTTGGGTCCCACGTCAGGCTGTCTTTTTGTTCTGGAGGACTTCCGTAAGATGAGATCCCTAGCGCCTTCATTCCCTCGGAGAGGAGAGGCGATTTATGGGAAGCTCGCACCGAGGCCTGCGTAAGTATGAAGGGGCTATCACATCAGGTGGATGAGCCGGATCAAATGGGACTCGCAGTTGGGAAGAAAGACAGGAGTCTGCGGCTAGTCGCACGCAGGCCGACAGATGAAATTTGCGACGCGCTCATCTGGGCAGTGTTGGGCCAGTGTGAGCTGCCTTTGAGATAGCCGGATGTGGCACACAAAGAGCGGCTGTGGCGGACGCCTGCCCAAGCGCGGCTGCCGCACTTTCCTTTTCCGGACAAGGCGCATCCCACGTGCTCGCACGCCTCCTCCTGTCCATCCGACATCCCACCCGCGACGGTGAGAAGTTTTGCGACATGCGCATTTCCACCAAAACCAACCTTTCTGTTTCACAGCCATGTCCACCCCCTCCACCCACGGCGAGCTGCTCTCCGAGAGCCTCCAGCGCCTCCAGCTCAGCCAGCAGGCCCGAACCGACGACGCCGATCCGCACGACGGCGAGCACAGCGATCAAGTCATGTCTTTGCCGTCTCCTGGCCTAGGGAGATCCGCGTGGAGTCCGCATGTCCGTGAAGGGTACGGCTTCAGACCCGCTTCAGGTCATTCCACGCCCCTGCTAGCCTCGACCTCCAGAGTGGGAGGCGACAGCCCGCTACCCGACCCAAATGGCTTGGGGTGGCCTGGTGAGACGCGTGAACCCTTGCCGTCCGCCAATTAGTCTAAAAGAGGCGTATTTAGCGAAGTCGACGGTGGCTCGATTGCATGCGACACCGGCTGAAAAGGCTGAACGAGAACAGAAACTCGTCGGGGCCGTCCGCACCATTCTCGAATGCATTGGCGAGGATCCCGACAGGGAAGGCCTCCTGAAAACGCCAGAGCGTTATGCCCAGGCGCTCATGTGGATGACTCGTGGGTACGAAGAACGCCTCGCAGGTACCGCGAATGCCTTTCATCCTACGCTACCGAGAGACTTAGTGACGTGTTTGGCTTGCAGATGTCATCCACGATGCTATTTTCGCTGAAGATCACGAAGAGATGGTCATAGTTCGGGACATTGACATCGCGAGCTTATGCGAGCACCATCTCGTTCCATTCATGGGGAAGGTGTGTCGGACGTGTGTCCCGAGCTCTTCGCAGCTGACCAGCAAGTCGGGTTTAGATCGCAATAGCGTATATCCCCAACAATCTTGTGCTTGGCCTATCGAAGCTGGCGCGCATCGCTGAGACCTTTGCCCGACGCCTGCAAGTCCAGGAGCGCCTCACCAAACAAATTGCGCTTGCTGTCCAGGAAGCAATTAAGCCTCGTGGTGTCGCCGTTGTAATGGAAGCGACGTGAGTCCTCCGCCTCGTGATAAGCACCGCCATCTCACCACCGTATAGGCATCTTTGCATGACGATGCGCGGCGTCCAGAAGCCAGGTTCTATGACCGTCACGTCATGCATGCTCGGATGTTTCCGCACACAACAAAAAACTCGCGAAGAGTTTTTGACACTCATTAAAGGTCGCTGAGTGGTCGCACTGGTCATCCGACAGCCCCACGATTCAACTCGGATATGATTCAACTCATCAATCATCTTGCATCTCCCCTCAGTTCAACATTGCATTATCCTTATACTTTGAGATCACACAAGTTCAAACCAGCTGTACGACTATTGTGGATTCTGGATCAAGCTAAGCCAATAATGATACAGTATCAGTAAAATATGCTACATTATACAGAGCTATGCGTAGTAGAGCGACATCAACTGTTGCGTGCCCGGGTCTTCTCTGCGTCGATAGGGAGTAGCTTCTTTGCGAGACCGTGCGATGGAGTACTGTAGCGGTCACGTTTAATACGAGGTCGTTTCGAAGGTTGCGTCTGCTCAGCACTTGCCCCCGCAGCGTCACCAGTGTCCTTCTCCCGTTCTGTCGTCGGCAATGAGCGAAAGATCTATACAGTATCTCGTGCGATGCTCACCTGAAAGCGTTCGCTTGCGACTACCATCGCGCTCCTCGTCCCTTCCTGACGGTTCGGCATTGCGGTCATTGGCAGACTCGGAGCGGTAGCTCGACGGGGCTTGCGGAAGAGACCTGGGCGCCTCCTTGTCACTAATTCGCGAGCGCAGCGTACCACCAGGACCCGGCGGAGCGTCTTGAGGACCACTGGGTTGATCCCTCTTCCAATCTCTGTCCCGCGTGGGTCCGGGATCTGCCCTGCCCAGCCTAGAGGCATCTGCGGAAGCCATCGCACGGGGAGCAGACGGCGTGGTCGGTGGCAGTGACCTAGCGGAGGCCGACGAGGGGCCCTCGGGAATGCGTTTGTCGCCAAGCTATTGAGACGTCTCAGATGCATACACCAATTGGGAGTTTGGTTTGTTTAACGCACCTTGGTATCGACAGAGAGGTTCTTGCTGTCACTCTCGCCTTGGTCGCGCTCCTTCCGGCGACGGTCCGACTCGCGAGCCCGGCCTTCCTTCTCAGACGAGCGACGAGTTCGTTCTTCGTGGTCCCTTTCCTTGCGCGAAGCCCGCTTTGAAGCGCGATCAGACTATATATCAGTTAGCAGCCGATGGAAGAGGGGCCCAAGTAACATACCTCGTCATCGGTAGGCCGCCTTCTCTTCCCGAGAGACTCGTCGCCATCACGATGTCGCGGTGGTTCGGGTCGGGCGGGCAAGCCACGCTCGTCCACAGGCGGTACAGCAGTCGCCGCTGGAGCATTCCGAGCTGCATCTCGCTCCTTCCTGCTATCGCGGTCCTTCTCGTCCGTGCGATGCCTGTCCCTGTGTCTGTCCCTGTCACGGTCACCACGGTCTCGCTCCCGGTCGCGATGTTCACGGTCGCGGTCGCGATGGGAGTCTTTCTCGCGTTCCCTCTCGCGTTCCCTCTCCCTCTCCCGTTCGCGCACACGATCCCTCTCTCCGTGACGATCCCGACCTCTTTCCCGGTCCCTTTCGCCGTCCTTCTCGCGTTCCGAGTCGCGCGTACTGCGGGAACTTCGCTCCCTTGTATGCGACTGACCTTCACGCCGGGTATGATCGCGGCCATCCGTGCGACTTTCTCTTTCAGACCGTCTGTCTTCAGCACGATCGGACCGCCGGCCACCACTGGCCCGACTCTCTACACTCGGGTTCCTTGTCCCTGGCCGGCTCGGTGGAGATGGCGAACGGCGGCGATGTGCAGGAGACGGCGGGATAGGTACGCTCGCCGGACCACGCGGCTCGGTAGATGAGACTGAACGTTCGTCCGAGCGATCACCTGGTCCGCGGCCGCCCCTGGCGGTCTCTCTGAGTTCTTGGGCAGACACCGTTTGGCTTGGAATAGAGGGTGGGGGCATAGCATGGCCAGCGTCGCCGCGTCTCTGCTCCACAGTAATGGGGATGCGAGGCAGCTGAGACATTGAACCCGGACGACCGTTGGGAGCGTGGGCGGGCGACGACGGTCGAGCCTCTTGGGCGACGCGGGTCATGTCTTTGTTCGACGGTGCAGTGGGAACCGAGGCAGATGGGGCCGTTGACTGGTTTGATGCCTCGCCAGACTTACTAGCCGTCGTCACTTGGCCGTTGGGTCGCGAGTCGGGTGCGTCGACCTCCATGGCATCGGACCGCTCTTGTACCTGCGTCTTGGCCGGTGCGTTGGCCCCATCTGCATCCGCCTTCGGCTCGGGTCTGATTCTCTTCACAACTTCCGGACGAGGTACACTGCCAAAAGCCATGAGCTGGAACGCGTTGGTAATGTGTGTGCGACAAACCTGTCCATGGCCGCTTTCATGGAGGAAAGGGACCTGTCTGATTGTGCATTCGAGGAACCATTGGTGGCTGCTAGTTGCGCCCGAGGAGCGGATGGTACGCTTGGAGTAGAAACAACATGCTGCGAACGACTCTCCGTTGACGCAGCAGTAGTCGGCGTGCTGGTACGAGTTTTGTTCACGTCCGCAGCCGTAGGCTAGACCATCGTGTCAAGACGTGTTGAAACAACAGTACTATGGTCAACGACCCACCTTGGGAGGGGACGGCGGTCCTTTCCACACCGATTCCCGCTTCATGAGGCTAGCCAAGTACCTGAAACAGACTGAGACTATTGCGAGGTGGATGAATATAGACTTAGACGTACGCCCTGCCTAAGATCTTGAGGTCGCCACGGGTCTCCCTCGCCAAGAATCGCTCCATCTCTGTGCGAATGTTTGACCCTGACATATTGTGGACAGCACCGATAGGGAAAACAGGAAGGACCTCCTTGAGAACTATGATCGCGTTGTATACGTTCATAAACTCCCCCGTCTGGATGCAGTGACAAAGACACTACATGACAACTTAGCCTCATGCACCAACGCAGTCCGTCCAGTCACGTACCAATGTCATCTTGTAGTGCCATTTTTTGAGGAGCTTTCTCCAGTCTGGCCATAGGAGCAGATCTTCTTCGGCAAGAACAGCCTTGGTATACTGACGCCTAGTGATGCCGGGGAGCATGGTGGTCTTCCCGCCGGTCTTCGTGCAATTTTCTTGATGATACAATGCCTCATCTTGCCACCACTTCCATGCATCACTCAAAATTGCATGTATGAAACGAGCTGAACAAAGTCGTCAGATACGCGTGGGCAGAAAATGAGATGCTTGCATACCATAATTTCGGCTTTCGTATTCGCTGCACGAAAAGATAACGCCTTTCATCTGGTCACTGATGAGCTGTATTGTGGACACTGTGAATCTTGTGTCGACAGTGGAAATGCGGTGATACGTACTCGATCCCAGCATGTAACAGTAGGAAAGCCCGGGGTGCCGAGTGCATGAATTGACTTGATGAATTGTGCACAGTAGTCGGCGTCCATCGGCGATAGAAGACACCTCGGTAGGAAGCAATAATCGACCAATGCTTGTCCCAGGGAGGTAGAATTGATGCCAAGACCTGGCAGAAGGTTAGCCAATGCGTAGTAGTCTAGGACGTAGTGACGTACAATGCGCAAACCAATGCTGCTTTTCCCGTGCAAGGCGTTTGATAGTAAAGCCGCGGACCGCCGTTTGCTCCTTTAACTCCTGTCCAAGCAGAGTGATGAACGTATTATAGCGGCTTCGCTTCTCTCGATGCAGGGGTGCCACTTGTCGTTTGGTACGATCGGAGGAACGGTCAGCCGCGATATACTTCGAGTCCTCTTGACGGCTAAGGGTTCGCAGAGTAGAACACTCCTCATCGTATCGCGAAGCGGGAGGGGCCAACTCATATGTCGACAACTGCCAGAACGTCAGATAGAAACCAGGTCTGTGCGTGGATGCGTTAGGCATGTGTGCTATGACAATCCTGACGAACTCACCCAATGTACTGCGCTGCGAGCGGAGGCGCAATCTTCCTGACGTCGTCGAACAGGGCGTTCAACTCCGGCAGCCAAGGGTTCTGTAATGAGATGTGTAAGTATCAGACCCAGAGCAAATTCAGGAAGCTCACCTCTGGTCGCGCGGCCGTCGCACCGCCATTGTCAGAGCTTTCCACATTCATGTCCCCCGAATGCGACTTCGCATCCTGCGAAGCATCACCAGCGGCAGATGATTCGCCAATGTTGGGAGAAGCGACCCTGGATGCTGAATTGGGCTCTCGCTTTGCGTTCAGAGTAGCTCTGAGTCGCCTTTCTGCCTCCTCGCTTAGCAGACGCTCCTTCTCTTCCATTTCCAACGCAGAAGTCTGAATGTCACATTAGCCCTGCTAGCAAAGTTTAAATTACTACCGAAACTTACACGTATGGAGATATTGAGCATTGGGCGTATGATCTGCATGCAAATAGGAGCAGAGATACCATACTTCTCATGGAGTTCGGAGAGGGATAAGACGATCTTCTGAGCATAATCTTGAGACGATACCACCGTCGGCGTCGTGAGCAGGTCCAGGTATTGGAGCAATACGCCATGTGTCTGGGAAGGTAATGAGCCAGTGTGCTTCAATGAGGAAGAATGCGCTCACAGTATCGTAGAGACTGGCCAACGACTTCAGGTATGCATTGGGCGCTTGATATACACAAGACTGCCGTTGTTGTGCTACTTGTATGAGTAGAGGCAGAGCGAGGTTGGACTCCAGTAATGCCTTGCCCAGCCGTTGGGGACCCTTCAGAACCGCATCACCTGGATCTAGCCGCGCACCTCGAGTCGCCGAAGCGACTGCCTCGATACGCAAAGTGGGTCCACCTGCCATGGCTGCTACCTGGGCGTCTGACAAGCTAGGTAGTGGTTCGATACCAGCCATCTTCCAGATCAACTCGCGGAGGACAACGATCTCGGTGGTCTGGCCATTGTGCAGCTGATGCACGATGTACTTCAGGAGTGGAGTCAGATCCGCACTGTACCGACGGAATAGCATTCCTGTGAAAGATGCGATACCTGGATCATGACTTAGCAAGGGCCACATATATCGGTGAGATTGCACACTCACTCTGCAGCCAATCTGAAGTGTTAACACCATCGTCCTTTACGCGCTCCTTGTCAGGGTTGGCCATGGCGTCCAGGATGACGAACACGAGGACATCGAAGCCCATGATCGTGACGTAGTTCAGGGCTTGAATGACCACGCCTGCCAGGTTGTCATAGGCCATGATCTGGTTGACCGCGTTCGTGAAGAATATGCAAGGATTCGAATGCGCCAGCTTTGCCACCGTACCAGACAACGAGTCGATCGTGTTGTGCGATAGGCGGCGAAGGATGCCTTTGGACTCCCGATCGGATTGGACGTGTCGTACGCGAAGCTCCGGATGTGATTTGTAGGTGCTCGTCTTCCACTCGCCGTATAACTGCCAGCGGAGAGTGGTCTCGTACTGTCGCATGATATTCCAGACCTCGACGGTGCACACTGCATTTCCACGAATGAGGGGCAAAGCTGGTAGTAGATAGAGCCGTAGAATCTTGAACCAGAACTGCCGGATCGGGTGATCAGGATCAGGTGTCCCTACAGGCTTCTTCGTTTCCGGATCGATGGTAACCTGTCGCTTGCATAAGAAAGTACCCAGAGGACGAGTGGGCAAATTCTTACCGTCGTTGTCATGTGTGTTCGACCAAGACGAAGAAACTTCGTTAGGTACGCCGGATCTCTAGAGACATGCAGGCCAATGAACTTCATCAAGGGGTCTATCACGTCCACCAAATCGTCGAGGGTGGAGCATACTGGGACGCGTTGTGTCCAATCCGGGAAAAAGAAGACGAAGTCGATATGACTCGTGCTGGGGGGTGTAGGAGCCCACAGAGTCAGGTGTGGCCTGCGTTCGACGAGCGAGACGATGCCTGTCGATCCGTACCGAGCGCGCGGTTTGGTGAAGCTCGTAGTCCGTTTCGCGTTGCCGTTGGACTCATACAAGGGAGTGATGGAGTGCTGCAGCACACGGATGATGAGGTCAGCGATCTCCGGGAACGCATCGACCATCCAGGGCCACTTGGAGAGCAAGGCGATCGCCGGTCTGAGAGCCCCGACAGCAAGCAACGCGTTCAAAAGCCCGAGCTTCTGGTTAGAAGGCTCCTTTGCTTCCTTTGGCTCCGGAGCCGGAGTGCCCTTGGCCTTGGGAGGCGCACCCGAAGACTCGAGAGGTGCAGCCATCGCGAGCTGACTGACTTTGGCATTCGATATCCGCTCTTCGACTTTTGCAAGGTAGTGTTTGTGGACACCCTCCATATCTTCATCACTTGGCGTTATCTGCATATCCTAGCTCTGAGTACCAACTTTAGATCTCTGTAGGACAGACATACGTGAAGCAGCAAATCCTCCAAGGAGAGGAATTCTTCCCGAATGAGAATAGCAGTCATCAGGTACAAGGCGCGCGGCACAGTTTCATTCACTTCTGGAAGCTGAGCAAGAGTTAGAGGTGGCATCGTCGTCAGTGAATGGTACCGACCTGATAGTGCGTGAACTTGAATCCCAACACTTGAGCCAGGACGCGCGAGTTGGTACCCTTGTTGGCCGCTGGAGGTGGGTGGATCTCCCCACTCGGACTCTCGGCGAGGGCCAGAACCTCATCCAGACTTTTACCACGGTATCGCTGCGGGTCTGACTCGACAGCCATCTCATCTTCGGCTCGCTTGCGTAGATGCTGGGGTCGGAGCGACCAAGGAGAAAATGACAAGAACGCAGTGAAGAAAATGTGATGTGTGGCCAAGTGAGTAGAGAAGACGTCCAAGATGACGTCCAGCGCGCGGTTGGGGTCCAGGTCGAAATATCCTATGAGCCCGACAATGCGCTCCCAGGCCGGGCGCGCCCGCGCTTCAATGGCTGTACGAGACTCTGTTGGGTGCCCCGTTATAGGAGAATGCGGTGGACCCAGGCAGCTTGTCAACTCCGTAACGAGCTTGCTATAGCCTTCCGATTGCTCTCGAAGGAGATTGAACTTGTTCTGCTTGTAACTGTATGACGGTCAATTCACGTACGGCTGCGTGCGTTGGGAATTTGACTCACAAAAGTCCGGTCCTTGTACGAATCTCCTTCTTCTCGAAGGCAAGCTTGTCGGGGACAAGACCAACATTCGCGACGAGACCGAGGTCGAGACGCTCTCTGCATACACCTGGGTCCAGAATGTCCAACGACTATACGAGCACCTTCAATACTATGCAAAGCGTCAAAGAAACATCAACACGCACAAGTAGTCTCCGAACGATTCCAGCCATGGTCTCCTTGTCCTCCTCCGCAGATTGCTTCGTACGGAGGCCCTTCGCCACAGCATCCCTGTCGAACGATTTGCTCGAGTCTGCGCCCTTCTGCTCTTCAGCGAGCGCCGTCTTCGCGTCTGAGATGATATCCTCCAACTCCGCGTCTACAGACCACACGACGTCCACCAGCAGTTCACTGAATGGCACCGCGTTCGGTGAGCCGGAGGCAGTCGACGACGATGACGGGAGGCGCTCGAACATCGACCGCACAAACTTCAGGAAGGCGTCGACTGTCAGTGCAGGCTGTGCGGGCCAGCTCGTGAGGGTAGACACGAGCAACGCGTGGTATACGGTGGTTAGTGTATCATTAGAGTCCGGATCCGCGGGGCTGGAATGAGGCCCCACGACGAGGTTGACGCTACGGATACAGTCTCAGTTATGAGGGTATATGCACAACTTTCAGGTGCGCACCATTGCTCAAAACCCCCATTGTCCCATTTCGACAGACATCGCCGAACCTTGTCGACTACGTCCATAGCGTATGACTGGAGCGCGGAGCAACGCAAATTGTGGCGCAAGAATTGCCTTGACGTCCAGAGAACCGGAGCCTTCTCTGATAGGTGTCGAGTGACCTGTGTGCGCGTTGAAGCCGGGAATAGCTGGGGAGGAAGAGAAGTAAGGACAGCCGTCGGGTGGTCGTCGGTGGAGAGTCTTGAGCCGCAGCGTTGCTCGCGCTGAACACCAGTGCCACATCGAGGCGCATCACGTGCCTGGCTATTGTGTGCGGTGTCACTGTGGCTCGCCAGCGCTTGGCGCTGCGGCTTAGACCACTCATACTTAAGACCTGTCTAATCATTGCCTTCTGGTTACACTTTGCTTCCACTGCTGGTGGCATGCTGTTTCTATCTGTCCAGTGAAATTCCCACTTGATGAGAAAGCTACTGGGTGCCGCCGATGTTGAACTCGGCGCAGTCTGGGCAACTCTGCTGGCGACCGGTATACATCATGATCCACGACCAGTCCTGGGCCTGAAGCATGAACTCACTGTGTAGATTCAGCGACTAGACCAGACACAGTGTTCCATTTCCAGGCGTCGCTCGAACAGTCGTCATATTAGCACCGCTTTGACCAGCGTTTGTTATTCCTGCCATGGTGTGCCATCTTCCTATGATAACATCGTGTTGGTCAAATTGACGATCAGTCTACGAGTGTCCGTTGCGGCGTCCTCGGCTGTCCTCGGTGATGTTGGTCAGTGGATAGCCTGTTCTATCGGTCAATAAATACGCGGGCCCTGCTAGGGGTGCTTGTGCACAGTTTGTCCAATGTACGGACGAGGTATGCTATTTGAATTGCTTCCATTCATAGTTACTTTCCAGGTCTTCCTTTCGCTCAACGTTTACCAGTGCAATCTTCAATCCCCGGCCAGGGGGATTCAGCGCTTTAACGTGTCCAAAATTTCACTAACGGCAGTTCGTGCACTGGTCGAGAGCAAGAAGAGCTCGTTGTGAACCGCCCCTGGTGCGGGCCGTGCGGCGACACTACAGCGTAGAGCGACCTCCATGCCTCGTTCGACTTCTCCAACGCGACCCCGGTAGCCGTCATGCGAGTGCATTGTCAATTGGGGACACGGGCACTCCTGTAGCAAGACATCGACCACTGCGTGCCTTTTGGACCAGAGTGCACTTCTCCATCGTACCTTGGAGTGGTTTGCGACAGACAGCTGTTCATGTCCTACGGACACAGCTCACTATATGTACGTGGCCTCGGAGAATGCGATGTTGAACGACAGATATGAAATGGCCAGAACTGAGAACATGATCTGAAACGCGAATTTTATCTTCCCTGGGGTGATGATGGCGACAGACGGCAGCGAATGGGAGCGCGTGGGTTCGGGCGGCAGAGGCGCTTCTGGACGGAGTGAAGCGAGCTGGCCTAGAGACTGGTCGTATATAACCGCGTCCTGCGCAACCAACTTGCCCTCTCGGTCCCGCTCCCTTGACCTCTCCGGGCACGCTCAATGCGACTATAGCCTTCGTTCCTGGGCCACTGAAAGCCGTTCAGGCCGTCGCTCGCAGCGCATCATGCTATTCATGTTCTTCCTCTCTCTCTTCGGCTCTCTTGTGTTGTGCTGTGTCCTTTTCCCATCGCTATGGACATCAATAACGTCGGGAGATGACTTGTTGGATGCACACGAGGCTGGCATTGCTCTGGTGGCGTACCGTATGTCGTAATCCCTCTGTGCCATGCTCTCGTGCCCACTGTTCTTTTTCAGGCGCCCCGTTCCGTGAGGTGGGGCCGCCAGTATGCATGGCAAAGCTCATCATGCTGAGACACAAGGTCAGTGCAGTTATGTGAGGCGTACATACCAACGCTGAGTATCGAGCTCATGAGTGCAGATCAACCAAGACAAAACTCGGAAGCGGGCTAGTGTCAGCCGTACCCGTCAGGCTGCCTTCACATACTCTATCCCACCCATTCGATCCTCTCGCGACCTCTCTTTCATGCGCTTGGGTAGGATGCGCGGAAAGCAGAATCACTAATACGGTCGTCTTGTACGCGGTGCCCCATGGCGCCTTTATACCCGGACGTAGAATACCTTCAATCCGTTCTTTCGGGACTCTACGCTGTCGGAGTTGCTGAAACCAGGCGAAAGTTTGTACACAAGCATGAACATGAACTCCATGGGATTGCAATCATCAACATAGACTATGCTTTACACTACATTACAGATGACATATTCAAGGATAACATGTGGATACAGGGTGAACGTACGACATACTCAGCGCATAACGATGGGTCCAAAGTTCTCCAAACCGGTACATAGTATGACGACGCGCATTCACTCAGTCCTGGAACTTCTCGCGTCTGCTCGTCGACATCGTTGACAGTATACTCGGGGTCTTCGCCACCTTGTTCGTTTGCTTCGGGCCATGGGCTGCCATGCGCCCTGAGCCGCGCGAAGCAATACCTCCTCTCTTCTTGCCACCTCCGGTCACAGAGACAGAGGCAGTCGTGCGTCCGGTGCCGTATACACGCGTCTCCGTTTTGGCCCACTTCTCCATGCGAACGCGGTCGCGCTCATTCTCGAGATCGGTCTTTGGCTGTCCACGTGAGAAGAGATAAGGAAGACTGCAGAATCGCACACGACTGGCACTCGCCTGCATGCTAGGGTCCCAGTCGCCGTCCTTGCGGAGAGAAACCTTCTTCGACGTCCCGGACCACTCCTTGACGAGAAGGGCATTCTCCTCTTCGTGCTCATCATTATCAACCCAAGAGACGTCATGAGGATTGAGGCTTTGAACGTGCTGAGAACAAATGTGTTAGTATTCCTCGCCGCAGCGAAGTACATAGGGTCTTTACCTCTTTCTGACGCGCTGCGGCCCGAAGCTGCTCCCTCAGCTTCACAGCAGAGATAACTTCTTGCTCTTCCCCTTCCTCCCCTTCACCGCTCCCGTCGACGTCCATGCCTTGTGAACCGACCAAGGTATCGTCGTTGTGCTCCTCGTGTACGAAATCTTCGTCCTCTACCATGTGATCCTGGTATGCAAGCGCGAAGGGCGCAGTCTCCGGGTTCTTGGCTGTATGCAACGTTAGACAAAGTCTCATACAACCCAGAGCTGTAATCACCTAGATCATCAAGTGTGTCACCGTCAATCTTCCTCTTCTGGCGTTGCAGCCTCCGTCGAGCTCGAGCAGCCTCGTCGTCATCGTCATCCGAATCATCATCTTCGAAGCCGACGCCGCGATTGCGACGAGTCAACCTCAGTTTACCCTGGATAGCATCCTGGTGAAGCTTTTCGTTATCCTGGTCGTCCTGTTCGAGATGTTCCCTGCAGCCACGTGAGTAAGATCGGCAATGTGAGGTAAATAGATTGTACTGACCGATGTTTTTCCAACACGGCATCCTCAGCGAGCACAGTCTCGTCCATCTCCTGGTCATCCACCAACTCCTGGAGAGTCTGATCCTGCGTCTCGTCGTCCTCCTCTTCCTCGTCGTCACGCTTGCGCAGGCCGAACCCTCGCCGGTCATCGTCGTCTGATTCCTCCGCCTCGCCTTCAATGAATTCTGACTTCTTCCCTTTCTGCCCCATGAGTGCAAGCGCTTTCTTCGGATGCACCGACGCCTGCCTCATGATGGCAAAAGCGTCCCTCAACTTGTGTGGGCTAGGGCTAGGTGAGACACTGCCGCCGCGGCTACCAGATGGGACGCTCTTCTCCGGCGAAATTTTGCGACGCTTCAAGCGCGTACGCGGCTGGGCGTCGAAATCGTCGTCGTCATCGTCGTTGTTCGTCATGAGTGCGTCGATTGTTGCTAGCGGGTGCCGTGTCGCTGGGCGAGGCGAGAAGACGTCTGGCACCAATATCGGGGTTCTCTTCGCCAGTTGCGATGGAGAGAAGAGCTGGCTCCGCGCCGGAGTCCACATTGGACGAGTCTGAGTGAGAAAACTGGAAGCTAAATCAGCTCGCCGGAAGTAATATCAAAGAAGGGCTGCACATACCCATGCTCATTCACATACATCCTTTTCTTCTCCGGACTTGTCTCCTTATTGGCACCTTCGGCGATGATCTCCTGCTCCTTCTCGAAGATATCATCAGCCTTACGGCGCAGTGTTTGATTGATATCGAGTGCGGGCTGCAGCGTAACATCCGCCGTCAAAGCAAGGTCCTGTGAAGTCCTTGCGCCTTTGATCTGCGCAGGCCCATCAAGTGCCTGGAGGACGTATGAGTAAGTAAATGGCATAATGATGAGAATCCACTCACCGATTGCTGCGAGAAGAAGTCGGACAGGCCACCGTCTTGTATGACCCTAGGTGCCACTACAAGCGACGTTGCTTTGTTCGAGGCCTGAGACTCGAACAGATCTGCGAGCCCGCCCTTCAACGAGACGGGACGGATCGCTGGGGGACTCGTGGGGTTGACCTGAACAGGTGCGTTCTCGTCGGATTGCACGGGTGGCAAAGGCGGGCCCGGAGAGAACGTCAGACGGCGAGCAGGGCTGCGCAAGTCGCTAGAGAAGGAGAACGGATTCTCGTCGTCGTCTCCGGTCGGCAGCTCTTGGAACGGTGCACGACGCCCATCTTGTGGCGTGCTCTCCATGGGTAGGTCATCGTCGAGCAGGAGTGGTCGACCCTGCGACTGGCTGAAGAAGCTGCCTGCCCTGCTGAATCCGGATGACTGGCTTGCGACCACTGTGTTCTCCTTGTCTTCGCCCCTGTCGTACATCAGAGACACGTCGTTCTCCTTGTCAGTGCCGTTCTCTGTGTAGTACTCTAGCGACGATGTGGAGGCGCGACGGCGCAACAAGCTTTGTGGAGGGTGCTGCGGCCCGGGGAATGCAAACGAACTGTCCGCAACAAGGACCCTACCTAGCGGATCTGAGGGCTGGCCCTCTTCGTCATCGGAATCAAGAGCGACCAACGCACGGCGAGGATGTGCTCTACGCCCACGCGGTGCTGGAGCCACATTCTCGTCGTCGTTGTCGGACCCATGTACCAGTTCGGTCAGACTTGGGAGAACTTGCTGGTTCTCCGCGTCAGAGTTGGCCTCCTCGCCGCTCGCGACCTGGTCATTATCACCCGCAGGTTGGTAGTCAGGATCCTCTTCGTCTTCATACTCGTACTCCCCGTTAATTTCATCGCCAATTTGTGCCTCGGCGAGACGCTTCTGTACGAATTCGGCGACCGCGCTTTTGAAGTCACTTGGTGCAGCGTCCGCTGGCCTCGTCTTCAATCTTCCACCCGCCTTCTTCCACTGCTCTTCCTTCTGTCTGATCTCCGCGGCTTTCTGCTCTTCCGCCCTCTGCCGAAGCACGCGATTCAGCTGGTCGGCCGTCAACTGTCCGTCCGCGCCGTCATGTGTCTTCCTCCTCTGGAAATTTGGTGCAGCAGCGGCGGCAAGCGTCGGTGGGCCTGCCACACCACTCTTGCGGCGCGGTACGCCTGCCAAAGCCAGCTGGGCGTTCCTCCCGATAGATCGCCTCACACCGTGTGCGGCGTCTGCCCTCCTCGCCTGTGCTTCGTCCCGGGCGACAGCCTGCATGTCTTCATGGACTATCTCGAGCCCGTCGTCGTCGTCATCATCAGCGACAGTAAGACGTTTCTGCTGTTCCAGGGCACGCCTCTTGAGCTCAGCAAGCTGCAGCAACTTCTCTCGCTCTCCCCTCTTCTTTGCCTCTTCGTAAATCAGAGAACCAACGTCAGGCATCTCCTCGTCTTCGCTGGAGTCACTGCTCCTGTCGCCGTCGACAGCAGTGTGCCCAAGAAGACCATTGGGTTCGAAGGACGCGCCTACCACTGGAGACGGTGTCCGAGCGAACGGCTTCAGTGACACTGAACGAGCACGCGATGGCACTTGAGAGTGCTCTGTGGGTATGCGCGATGAAGGAGAGGAAGAGAATTGCTGTATGGGATCTGAAGCCGGAATCTCCACAGGTTTGACTTCCTTCGGAGCGGGCACTGCGTGCTTCCTATGCGTGGAGGTGACTATCAACGAACGAAGCTGCCATGGAGCAGTTTGACTTACTGCATCTGCTCTAAGAAGTGTTTCAGACCATATTGCTGTGTTTGCACTCTAGGAAGCGTCGCGTCTCGCTCGGCCATCATACGCGCTGTCGCTTTCTGTGTCTCCTCTTGCTCCTTTCTCGTAGGAGGCTGTGGCACATGGTCAGTCACATTCAGCATTCGTCCGTCGGGATTACTTGCCTTGACTCGCTTCTGCTTGCCCTTTCCTTCAGATCGCCTCCGCCGCTTCGTGTGGCCGCTACCATCGTCGTCACTCGCATATTCCGCGTCCGACTCTTTCGCCACTGCCCTCTGCTTCCCTTTAGCCTTGGCTGTAGGGGGCGCGGGCAATGCGGAGGGAGAAGGCAATCGGCTGAACACAGCACGAAGGGGGCTTCTGTCAAGAGCGTCGCTGGACTCACTGCCAGAGTCTGCCGCGGGCATGAGCGACTTCCTGTTAGGCTGGCGCCGACGGACGACCGGTGAGGGTGAACGTGACGCCACTGGGGAATCATCACGACCACCGATTTTGTTCGGTATGGCGTTGGAAGAGCCCCCAATGCCCCGCGTCTCCGTCCGCTGTGCATCGCCCGTAGGCGAAGATGGCTGCGGTGACGAAGCGACTTCGCTGTCCAAAGCGCGCTCACCAGACGCGTCTTTCACCGTCTTATGCACGGGTTCATGATCCTCGTCCAGTTCTCTAAGTCTCTTCTTCCAATCGAACTCATACCGCGACGAGAGCGCGTCGGTACCGTCATTGTCTTCGTTGCTGGCATCAGCATCGCCAAATGAAGCCGGGGAGGAGGCGGACGCGTCGAGACCGTCAGATGTCGGCGGATATTCGTGACTTGGTTCGAGAGAGGGCGGCTCATTGGAACTCGCCCGTGATGATGCACTTGTAGGAATAGTGGAGTCGACTATACTCGTGTCGGGCGCAGGGTCTCTGCGGCGTCCGTAAGTCCGCTTGACTGCAGGACGTGAAGGGCCAGCATCATCGGGAGCGCCCACTACGGCCATGTCGTCCATAGTCTACGCCACGAGAAGAATCACAGAGGAAGGCGTCGCGAGACGAGGACAGCTGCTTGAGCCAGCAAGCTGTGGCTAAGTAGTGGTTGGGCGCCCCAGACGAGCGCCCGCCCGGTCACTTGTCTCGGGAGTCACACCTGTGACTCCACGCGTTTTTGGAAAGGGCACTGTAACAGCCCCTTTCGGGGTCCTGGGAAGTTTACGGCTGCATATGGATGAACTGCATAGTTCTCGTCAGCCACCCAAGCCCCGCGAGATTTGGGCAGAGTACCTGCACCGGCATAGGCGCACGCCCGCAACGACCTCAAGGCCTCAAAATGAGGTGAGTATGCCTATCCGACGGTTGGTCGAATGCGGGATATTGATGTTCGCTCGCTTCCAGTCACCGTAAGGTGTGTAAATTGGCGTTATGGCCAACCTTACGCTCTTCCTAACCAGTCCCGATAGTACGAAGCTCCCCGCCACGGTTCCCTTGGATTCCTCCCCCGCAAGCGGGCCGCACGCCACCGCGGAAAGGTCAAGGCTTTCCCTAAGGTGTGTAGATTGTTACAAGACCGCACATCAAGCTTATTGAGTCTCTACGCAATCTAGGATGACCCGAAGAAGCCCGTGCACTTGACTGCCGTCCTGGGCTACAAGGCGGGCATGACCCACATTGTTCGTGACCTTGACCGTCCTGGCTCCAGTAAGTTATAGGTCCCACGGGGCATAATTGAGTGCTCATCTTATTTTCCCAGAGATGCACAAGAGGGAGGTCGTGGAGGCAGTTACCATCGTGGAGACGCCCCCGATGGTCGTTGTTGGTGTTGTTGGCTACGTCGAGACTCCCCGTGGTCTCCGCACTCTTACAACTGTTTGGGCTTCTCACCTTTCCGACGAGCTCAAGCGTCGCTTCTACAAGAACTGGTATCGTTCGAAGAAGAAGGCATTTACGCGCTACGCGAAGAAGGCTGCTGAGAACGATGGCAAGTCAATTGAGCGCGAGCTCGAGCGCATCCGCAAGTACTGCACCGTCGTCCGTGTCCTCGCCCACACGCAGATTCGCAAGACCGGTCTCAGTCAGAAGAAGGCGCACCTTATGGAGATTCAGGTCAACGGCGGCTCCGTTACGGACAAGGCCGAGTTCGCGCGCGGTCTCTTCGAGAAGACGATCGAGGTCGGCAGCGTGTTCGAGCAGGACGAGGTCGTGGATGTCATTGCGGTGACGAAGGGTCACGGTTTCGAGGGTGTTACCCACAGGTGGGGCACCAAGAAACTGCCCCGCAAGACACACAAGGGTCTCCGGAAGGTCGCTTGTATTGGTGCATGGCACCCGTCCAAGGTCATGTTCTCCGTTGCCCGTGCCGGTCAAAGTGCGTATATATGGAGCTCCTCGTCGGGATACTCGGCTGATCATGTAATGCAGACGGCTACCATCATCGTACGGAGCTCAACAAGAAGATCTACAGGATTGGCCGTGGCGACGACGAGGGCAACGCGTCGACTGAGCACGATATCACCAAGAAGCCTATCACGCCCATGGGCGGCTTCCCTCACTACGGTATCGTCAAGAACGACTACCTCATGCTCAAGGGCTCCATCCCGGGTACCAAGAAGCGTGTGATCACCATCCGCAAGTCGCTCATGGTGCACACCTCTCGTCGGGACCTGGAGAAGGTGCAGCTCAAGTTCATCGACACTTCGTCCAAGTTCGGTGTAAGTCATGCTCAGCCTTGCATGAGGTACTCCGTGGCTCACTTGGTTCGTACAGCACGGTGCCTTCCAGACATTCGAGGAAAAGGCCGCGTTCTTGGGAACGCTCAAGGCCCGGGCGTGATTTACTACGTTATCATGTACTCTCTGTTCATTAGCTCTACCCACTCGCATTACACGCCCTATGCTATGCCATGCCTTGCAGATGCCGCACTTTACGGGATGACTTATATCCGACTGAAGCAGCAAGATGTGAGAGAGACGAGTACTCGCAATTGCTGGCAGCGGCCTGACTGTGACTGAGGCCCGCCCCCGCCGCGATTGGCCCGCGTTATGCCGGAAGTGTGAGACGGCGTCTAACCGAATTTTCCTGTTCCTCCGCCCATCGTGTACAGCGACAGCGCAACACACCTCGCCACACCGTCCGCTCGGCTTCGCCCTCTAGATTCGTGTCAGGACCACGTCTGACGGTGACCAGGTGGTGGGCACCTTGGAGTTCGTCGTAGTTGCTCATCGCATCGCGGTACGTTCACGGTCGATCTCGTAATGGTCTAGGTGTGCCCAGTCACTGAACTTCACTCAGGATGACTGCATAGTCCATTGATGCTGAGAGTGTCCTCTCTGGGCCTCCGTCATGACAAGTCGCGCTTTTCATTCTCGTCGCGGCACCGATGCGTCTCAACAGCGGCCCACCAAACGACGGAGAGTAGCGATCGACGGCGCTACCCATCCCTTGGAGAGGATTCCCTTGCTGTTTCCCCCACAGAGTCTTCCCGCCGACCTTTGTCTTCGGTGTCGCCAGACCTGCCTGACCCTGGCAGTTTTGACCGCCGTGGCATGCCTCGCCTCGACTTCTCTCCCCGGCCCTTCGCTGCCTCAAACGGATACCAGACATACTTGCCATATCCGATGCCAATGGGTGTACGCGAGAGCAAGACGGCGACCGACCACGGCCCACTGTCTGCTGCGATCGCTGCCATTGTATCAGAGAGCCTACCACACGACTCGTCGTCAACAGAATCGACCATGGATATGGCATCTCCACTCAAACCCGCCCAAGAGGCAAGCAGAGAGGAATTGGAGAATGTCATGGACACGACGAGGGAGGTGGAGAAGGCCTGGGAAGCGTTTCAACACCTATCGGCCATGCCTCTTCCAGAGGGTCGACGCCTCGTACGTTACTACGCACGTTTGCACCGACTGGCACGGCTCCTGTCGAAAGTCAAGCCACGCACACGCACACTCTTCCTTCGACTATTCTCAGTCTTGTCGATGTTACACAAGAATGGGGGTCATGTCCACCACTGGGAATGGACCTTGCTCATCGACTGTACGGGCAAGGGTCAGCGGAAAGGCCGCCCGCAGGACTACAAGGCGTCCTTGGACGTGTACCGTGATATGATCGAGCAGAAAGCCCCTGGCTCGACTTCCAGCCGCGTTCGGACTGTACGAGACCCACAGGACAATGGCCGTCCAGTCGTGCAGCCGAATGTCGTCACGTATAATACGCTCCTCAACATAGCTGGTCGCACCTTCCAGCCCTCGATCCTGCGTCACGCCCGGGGTGTTTTCGAGGCGTCAGGCATCCCGCCCGATCGCATCACGTATCTCTCCCTCGTCAGGTATTACTCCCGAACGAACGACCTCAATGGTGTCCGTGCAATCTTGTTGAAGATGCGCGAGCAAGGGATGGAGCTCGGGTTGGACGGCATCAATGCATGTATATGGGCCTACGGTCGTGCTGGTCGCCTCGATGTCGCCTCTCTGCTGTATCGCATCGTGCGGCACAACCTCGTCCCCGAGGACCAAGTCGGTCAAAACGATATTCAAGCCGCAATTCGCCAGCTTGCGCACATGGAGGGCCTGGAGGTCCCCGTGACAATCAAGCCGGACACGGTCACCTACAACATTCTTATCCAGTGCTACGCGTATCGCGGAGACCTCACTCGATCGCTCGAGGTTTTCAGGGAGATGATGGCGGTAAACGAACAGCTACACTCCTTGGGTCAAAGCCTTTCGGACGACGATCCCTCGCGCACGGACAGAGCACCCTCTATGCACTCGTTTCGGGCCATATTCTATGGGTTCGTTCGCCATGGTGGCAAGACCGATGGGCGTGCCGGCCCTGTGACGCAGCGGGCGACCAGTCAGTGGAGGATGGAGAACCTGCAGGCGCTGTTCGACATTTTCATGAGGCTGCCGCACGATACGCGTCCTAGCGCGCGGACGTTCTTCTGGATCTTGACCGCATTTGACAGGTTGAGTGGGCACGCAGATTGGAAGCTGCGTCAGGTCTGGGAGAAGTTCACTGAGAAGTTTGGGGACTATCGTGGCGGCAGGATGGAGCGAATTAGAATGCGAGTCTACGAGAGCAACCAAAAGAGTAGCTAGTACAACCATTCATAATACATACAGTGTACAGAGATTCCTAGTTCCAATGTGTGATGCTTTACATATGTGAGGAAGGTGCTAGTCCATGCTGCAAAACCACGAGTGATTACATGGAACCGCCGTGCTCCGTCCGCCACTGGACGTACTCCTCCCAGCTTGCGGTGCACTTCCGGCTCTGGTATCGGCGCAGCTTCACACTGCGGCGGATATCCTCGGTGATGCGACCGTTCCAACCTGCCTTGTGGATCGCACTGTCTACTGTCTCGATCTTGTCCCAGCCTTGCTCCGGGGCGATCTGTGGGAGGTATGTCGCGAAGAACTTGTGCTTCAGCGCGCTTCTAGTGGGCACAGAGGTGGACGATGCGTAAGGAGAGGGTGCCTCGGAGGGAGATTCAGCCCCGGCTGGGAGTAGAGAAGGATGCGGGAACGAGATGCGGATGCCGTGCACACCAATCGTCCAGTCGAGGTACGACGAACCGTCCTCAAAGTCAGTGAGGAGCGAGACTCTGCACAGGCAGATCAGCTCCTTCACTTAGCAGGGCATAACTCTAGATATTCGCTCACCCGCATTCCAAGGTCTCCAGCTCCCGCTCCTCTATCTTCCTGAATCGATGGTCTTCGAACGCACTGATCAGGGCATACTCAGCCAAGCCCTCCCGTATAGGGACCGCCTCAAACGTCCCGATGCAGCCTCGCAACCTGGGCGGGCGGCCGGGGCGGGACGACCTGGTGTTCCAGGTGACAAAAAGCGGGCTGCGGACGATGAGCACCGAAAGGGTTACGCGCTGACGCGACATACTATTTCTCGTCTGGAAACTTGGGTGCGACGGCCTTGTGCCCGGTCAGCGCACAGAAGAGCGCATCAAAGCATCGGAAGCAATGCTCCTTTGTGCAGACCGTCCCGTCGTCCTCTACGAGATCAACGGCTGGGTTCGGCGGGATGAGAGCCATGGCCAGGCTGATCAGAAGTCAAGTACACCGAACAGCGAGCTCGTTGAAGGTAGAGTGAGACAAAGCGGAAGAACGACAGGGGGCGACCACAGGCTGTTTAAGGATCGCTCGGCGAATGGCTCACTGCAGCAGGTGAGATCGCCCGATCAGGCGTACTGAGAGAGGACATGTATAGACGCCCATAACCTAGGCTATGATGTAGAGAGCGAAAGAACAGCAGGAAATAACTGGAGACTACTACGATACAAGAGCGTACACGAGGACGGAGAGACAGAGTGAGTCCTACTGTTGAACGTCTCTGAGTGCGGGCACTATTTACAAGGTATGATGTATGCTACGACATGACGAGCATCTGAAGAGGATAAATCAAAGAGACCATAACATAAGATACGACATGAGGATATCTGACCGGTGATGAGGTTGAAGAGGACACCCGAACAGAGATGGGAAGACGTGAGGGCATGTGAGATCCATGGGGTCATGAGAGGATAGGCGCGTAAGCGGAGGCGAGCACATTCGGCAGAAATCGTCGCGGAGAGGGATGGGAGATGAGCATTCCGGACGTCCGGTGTAGACGAGGTGTGGAGGGGGAGCAATATCAGGAAGACCAGGGCAGGACGGGCAGGACCAGGGCGACGCGAAGGCAGGGTCGTTATGTCGAGCAGCAGCTCCACGAACTTCCCGATGTTTGTTGCGCCTTCTCGCGCGCCTCCTCGGCCTCGGCCTGGGCTGCCCACATCGGTGTTGTAGGGCAGGTGAGGTAAACGCTATCTCTCTTCTTAACTTCGTTTTCTTCTTCGATGCGATCCCTTCTGGCTATGATGGCGCCCATGAGGGAGTCGAAGAGTGTTTGGATACCTGTCAACATTGCGTTAGCGTTCCCGTTAAGGCTGAGACAGCGAGCACCACGGACCAGTGTCATCCTTGGCAGAGACTTCGAACAGTTCCATTCCCTTGTCCAGGCCCCACTCTTGCTCGCTAGCTTCATCTGTCTCGTCCTCTTCCTCGTCCATACTGTTGCTGCTCCCGTCCGCTACTTGACTCCAGCCTGCGGTCCGGTAGCCGAATTGTGTCTCAAGCCGTGAAGCGGGGGACCGGATCGCGCCATCCTTGCTAGGATCCACGCTAGGGAAACTCAGAAGGCTACCACTTTTGGCGCGAGGCCGGGTCACCGCAGTAGTATGAGACCGTTTCATGGCAGTCGCCCGCGGGTTAGTGTCCTCGAGCTCCGGAGGCGATGGTAGTGGCTGTTTCGCCTGCGGCACCGCAGAGGCGGAGCGCATGCTAGGGAATGATGTGAAGCGGGGTCGAATGTACGAGAAGGTTGATGATGGTGGTGGAGGTGGTGGACTGGGTGGCCGGGGAGGAGGGAACCAGGTGTGCAGGGAGAGACGGGCGAGGTCCGAGGTGACCTGCCGTTTATGTTGAAGGTCGGCTTTTGCACCGACGATGTAGATTATCAAGTCAGGATCGCAATTCTTCTTGAGCTCTGGCGTGTGGAACGTCATCAGATGATTTGCGACCAGGGACATGCTAGATGGTCTTTACGCACCTTCGAGCCATCCTCGCACGTCATCAAAGCTGGAGGCATTGGTGATATCATACAGTAGGAGTGCAGCGTTTGCACCCCGGTAATACATGGGTGCCTTGGAGACGAGATCAGGGCCGCCTGGCCAGCAGCACAGCGATGTTGCGTACGTACCATGCTCCGAAACCTCTCCTGCCCTGCGGTATCCCACAACTGCAGTCGCACCTTGATGCCATCCACGTAGACCTTCTTCGTCACGAAAAATGCACCCGTCGTAGAGGTCGTGTTCTTAGGATCGAATTTGTTCTGGGTATATCTGTGCAACAGGCTGGTCTTGCCAACACCTAGGGGGGCGGGAGCGTCGTGAGACCATGGAAGCGCGGCCGAACAGCCTGCGAGGGAACGGCAAATTTACCTGTGTTGCCCATAATAACGATCTTCGCGTCAATGCCCTGGTCATATCTGGACTTGGAGTATGGGTTGCGTGCATAGGCCATTCCTGGGGGAAAGAAACCGTCGCAAGCAGGGGCAGGGCCGCGGGGGCGAGGCGGGGGTGGCGGGGCACGCAATGCAAGGTCGGGTATTATGGCAGAGAGACTACAGCTCAGCGCTCGGACCAGAGCGTAGTACGACAGCCTATCGCGGTGGCGGTCCGAATTAGGACACGGAGCAACAGGAACACGGCCACGCGAGCGCACGTGCCCGCGTTTGCGCGCCGGACCTAGCGTCGCAGCCGAGATAAGATCGCTCTCAGCCTCCGGTCGCAGCGCACACGGCACCCCATACAGCGCAGTACAATGCGGAGATGAAATCAATGGACATGCTCATAGAACAGCGGGCGCATGGGATACATTTTCGGAATGCGGCGGCATATCATCATAGACTCCCACACCGTCCACCTGACACAACAGACCCCTACTCCTGCGCCTGCACCGGGAACTCGAATACGACGTCCTTGCCCGTCAGGCGGCGGTATACAGACGAGAACGAGTCGAGCTTGTACTCGAGTGATGTCGCGTCCTTGGCGTCAAGGAACCTGTATATAGATCGATCAGCATTCGCGCTGCACGGAGCCGGTCCACCGCTGCGTACACTTTGAGGAGTTTTGAGCCGTCGACTGCGACACGCGTCCGCTTGCCGACGATCTCCGTCGGGAAGACGAGGTCCTCGAGGATCTTCTCGTGGACGTTCGTGAGGGTGCGGCTACGAGGCCTCTTCTGCTGCACGCGCGAAGTACGGGTCGGCTTGCGCAGCATCCGGCGCTGGGCAACAAACACGACATGACGGTCTGAGAACTTCTTCTCAAGCTCGCGGGTCAGCCTACGCAGATAGTCGGTGCCAAAGTGAGATACGACAAGCTACGTTATTTGAATAGAACGCACCTTTGCTGGACCTTGTGGAAGGCCTTCAGCTGAGGAACGGGGACGAAGATAACGATCGCCTTCTTGCCACCGCGAACGTCGACTTCACGGGCGGCAGAGATCTGGAGGGGCCGCAGCTCAGACTTGAGCTCGGGAACGTTGTTCTCGAGGTCAATTATCGCCTGCGCGACGCTAATCTCGGTCTCATCGGGAGGAGTGGTGGGGGCGTTGGCCGTGCGGAGGATCTTGTGCTGTATCGACATCTTGAAGCTTGAGGGGCCTGTACAAGCATACGCGCAGAGTCAGCATCCAGTCGTCCGCCTAGCCATCCATCCCATTCCGCCGCAATTCTTCGCTTTTTCAACATCCACAGCCCTCGACACCATCCACAAGACCCTCTCCAGCAGCAATTCGAGGAGAATGGTGTACTCACCGTGCCTACCGCCGTCGTCGACTTGGATGCGGTGATTTTCGTGGTGCAGTCGATGCTGGCAGGTTGGCGCACGTGAGTGAACAAGCGCGGGACCCCGAACAGTTTAGGCGCCTAACCTTTCAGAACTTGTGCATTCGACGCCCTTCGTGGCAGAGGACTTTGAACCGTCGGACCGATGCATCCTGTAGTTCACATAATTGGTGCCGCACTATTGCGCGACTTCTCAATATGATTTTTCGCCTTGGAGCCATTCTGTCAAGGGGTTTGTTGCGTTTATATCTGTTCAATTGCTATCCCTACTCTTCTTGAACTCCTCTACCCAATTGGTCTCTATCGCGCCCTTGGGCAATACCACGAACGTCAAGCATCCGTCCTTCAACTCAAGGCCATCCTTCGGCTGCCCCTTCTTTTCCTTTGAGGCCTCAAACACGTCCCTCAACGTCATTTTCTTGCCGACCTTCAAGAGGCGCTTCCTATGTGTCATTGCATATACGACCAACTTGTCGGCGACGTATTCATGATCCTTGTCCCACTCAGGCGCAGGTGCTTCCGGCGGGAACATCGTCGCGAGATGGATAGATAATGGCGTGTCCTCGACGAAATGAGAAATGACGTCGGATGTCGCATACTGAGGGTATAGGAAGAAGACGGGGACAATGAGGGTGCTGTTGGTCGGATCCTCTGGGTCAAATGACGGCGCGTAGGGATTCCCGGAAGATCCGTTCGGCGGTGAGATGGCAATCAAGTTCCGTTCCTATGGTGGCCTGAATCAGGCTCTATTGGTTGCGAGCATTCTCGTAATTGCTCACCTTGAAAGCTGCTTCTAGCCGTCGTTTGTGTTCCTGCTCTTTGCGGATCCGCTCCTGCCTCTTCTTCTCTTTTTCCTCCTTGGCAAACTTCTGGCCCTCGGCCCTTTGACGTAATGCTCTCACGTCCTTGTTCTTCTCATCGAATTGTAGGCAGCGGTCGCAGCAGTCGATGGCCTCGTCGAACCGTTCGAGGGCCACGAGGGCGAGTGCCGACCGATAGTGCGCCTTTGACGAGTGTGGATTCGTATTGATAGCTTTGGAGCAGTCTTGTAGCACCGAGCCATAATTCTCTGCATCACACGGAACTGATCAATCAACATCACATGCATATGGAGACGAGTGCTCACTCAATTCCAAGTTGCACGCGGCGCGATTACACAGTAGCGCCTCTATAAGGGCAAGGTCAGTGGGCTTGGTGTCTAGCCCTTGTGCGTAAAACCCAAGAGCCTCGCGGTAGCGTTTCCCTTTGAAGTAGTCATTGCCTTGCTCCTTGAAGTTCTGTGCGATCTCTACACGTCGACATCAGCATGTAATGCGATGTCTGACTGCATACACGTACCGTCTGGCGTTCCCTCATATGCTAAGCTCTGCAGTGCTGCTACGGTTGCGTCCTCCACGGCATCCTCAGGTAGTGATTTCATGAAGAGAGGCACTGAGTCGAATGCGGCTAGTTTCTCCTCGAACGGAGCCGGCTGGGGCAAGGGGACATGCGGTTCCTCCATATCAGTTTATGGTGTGGCCTCCGACGCCTGCAATGGCTTGAGTAGCCTCAAAAGAGATGGCGGTGGCAGATACAAGGTAGGAGGAAAGCTGATTTTCGAATTGAGATGGGTGACCATGACGGTGTATACGATCGAGATCGCTCATCGAGATGCGATCGGCCCGTCGCATCACCCGCGACACACCCGGGCCGCTCAGCAGGGACGGAGACCCATGCCTTCCTCCCGCTCTGACGGCACTCTCCACCGCACGCGTTCATGTTCTCACTCTTCGTCGGAGCGACCCTTTAATCTTACAGTGTATCTGTTGTACCGGCCATGAATGTCAGAGGATTGGCTGCAGCCCTGAATAGCAACGGACGTTATGCGTACAAGGCTCGTCTTCGTCTACAGTATTGCCGAGTACCGCTAGCTAATCGCTGTCTTCTAGTAGAAGCCCGAGTTTGCGGTAGACTACCTGGTCGTTGGAGGAGGCAAGTTCAAGTTGATTCACATACCGAGATTGTCATTCATCTGGTCTACAGGTGTTGTGGGCTTGGCCATTGCCCGTCAACTAGTGCAGTCATTTCCGTCAAAGGCGACGTTTTTGGTGGAGAGACATGACAGGGCTGGAGAGGAAATCAGGTGCGTAAATCCGTGTATGTTAACTGTGGTTCACGACTGAGAGGTGTTATTAGCTCTCGGAACTCCGAGGTTGTTCATGCAGGTGAGTAAGCACTTGCACGACACACAACGAGGCATCAATCGAACTATATCTCGATTGTGCATAACAGGTCTATATTACCCTGCAGACTCACTGAAGACGCGTCTATGCATCCGAGGGAGGCACCTCATGTACGAGTATTGTCAAAAACACAACGTCCCGCATAAGAAGGTCGGCAAACTGGTCGTTGCCCGGGACGATCAACGGCCGTACATTGAGGGCCTCCATGACAAAGCCGGCAAGATGGGCTGGCCCCGCCGCTCTCCCCCGTCCCTCGCGCAGACTCCAGCGCTACCCACGCACCTCATCAACGGCGAACAGGCCCGCGAACTCGAACCCGACTTATCCAAGAGCATCGTCGCTGCGCTCTGGAGCCCCGAGACGGGCATTGTGGACTCGCACGAGCTCATGGACAGCTTTGAGGCCAACATCACCGATGGGGGCGGAGAGGTTGCCTACCAGACTCGCGTGGTCCGAGTCGATCCTTACAAGCCGGATGCGAGCTCGGGGACCGGTCTGAAAGACAGCGGATGGGTAGTGCAGACGGTCACGGGAGAAGGGGACAGCGACGCAATGCTCGCCCGAACTGTGATCAACTGCTCAGGGCTCGCTGCACATCTCATATTGAACTCGCTGCTCCCCAAGGAGTCCCGCATACCCATGTACTATGGCCGAGGCTCGTACGCGTCGTACCGGGGGCCGGGTATCAAGAACGTCTCTCATCTCATATACCCGTGTCCTGACACTGGACGCACCGTACACGGCTTCCAATCGCTGGGCACACACCTTACCCTCGACATGCAAGGGAAGATCAAGTTCGGGCCCGACCTAGACTGGCTGCAACCGTCCTCCCAGGACGACGGTGACATCGTCTATGACGCCGACCCCGACTTCTGGCAGAGTCGTCTCATCCCTGACGAGAGCCGGATGGGACAGATGATCGACGCGGTGAAGCAATACCTGCCCGAGATCAATCCAGAGGGCTTCCAGCCAGACTATTGCGGTGTCAGACCGAAGTTGGTCGGGCCACAGGGCGGTTTCAGGGATTTCGAGTTCCATACTCACTATCCACACACATTCCTAGGCCCACACATGGACCCCGGGAGGAGCCGCAAACCGATGATCAGCCTGCTTGGCATTGAGAGTCCAGGGCTGACGTCAAGTCTTGCAATTGCGGAGAAAGTCGTAGAGGATATGCTATGCGGGGAGAACGGGCAGGCGACGGAGTAGATCCAAGTAATATATCAGGATGGAAAGTACAGATATTTCTATGCACCCCGCTGAGCGACCTTCGGCTCCCAAGCCTCGTACTTGGGCTTCGTCGTGTTGTAAGACTTGTATGCGCCCCGCGTACCGGTCAGGTTCTCATAGTGAGGCTTTGGGTTGATGTCAGTGATGATGATGAGGAAACAGAAGCAGTGCTTACAGCCTTCCAAGGGGGAGAGAGGTTCTGCATGATGCGGTCTTCCGGGGGAGGATCCTTACGGATGTGGCTCAGCCATGCGTGCCATTCAGGAGGGACTTGAGTTGCATTGAAGTCATGCTGATTGTCATAGTGAGAAGAACCGAGGCAGACCGGTGATATACATGTGGAATCTATACCTGCGCGAAGTCAACCCATCGGTGACGGCCTATGCAATCGTCGTTAGGACATATCTCGTCCTTACAGAATTTCTGGGCTTACCGGGAATTTCTTCCTCCGCGTTCAAGTTCTCAAAGTAGCGGTTCCCAAACCTGCGTGATGAGGTTAAGCCTGTGTCGCTGCCGCTCCAGCCTTGACAGCGATACGCACTGGTCCTTGCCCATGAACAGTCCAGACTTTGCGTCGCCGATGTACTGCATCTGATGCCACCATTCTTTCAGACCGACCCTGCGGATGGAGCGTATCGTGCGAGCAAGCGAGACCATGGCTGGCCGGTGGTAACTGTTCGTGCTCCTGGTGGTTGCAGAGGAGCCGACCTCTCCGAGGTATGTGATTACGTAAGGCTATCACCTGAGCGCCCGCGATTTGCCTCTCGCAGACTCTCGAGTCTCCAGTCATCCATCGGTGACCCCGCCGGCTGCTCTACATGTTTCGCAGCGCTACACCCTCCGTGCATGCCACCTCCACCAACCTCAGAGCGTTCCTTCAGGCCCCCTCAGCCGGCGCGCACCTGTTCACAACCACCGCAAAACCCAGCAGTACGAAACCTAAACGCCGTCCGGTACTAGATGCGGCGGAACCTTCGTCGCGCAAGACATTCTCTCCCAGCATCTACGAGGATGTCAGACCGAAGTCTCCAGAGACACGGGGCCACCGGTTGACTTTGACCAAGCGCGCGCGCACGGCTGCGGAGCAGCCACAATTGAATGCCTATACGTTGTCGCTTCGGCTCGAGCGGATGGTCGCGGCAGGGCAGCTGGATGGCGCTATCGAGCACCTACAAGATATGCCTCTCGATGCACAGAATGTACCGGTTTGGAATACGCTTATACGCCTATCGTTGTGCGCGGAACGGTATCAGCTAGGATTCCGGCTTTACAACGACGTACGTTCCTCATCCTGTCACGATAGCTCCCAGTATCCTGAGACATCCCCAGATGAAACGCCGTGGTTTCGTGCCCAATCTCAGGACGTACACCACAATGCTCGGCCACTTCACGACTGTCAAGGACTGGGATGCTCGTACCAAATTGCTACACCAAGTCAACAGGCTCCACGACAACTACCTGGAGTATGCTACCAAGATCAAGAAGGATGACCCCAAAAGCTCAGAGCTCAGCACTGCACCCACGAGGGGGTATCTCCGCATTCTGAGCTCGGCCGGACAGTACCAGCAGTTGTTCGATGTCTTCAATGCCATGGACGAAGAGGGACCACTGGCACCTGACCTAACAGTGCACGGTGCTATGTTGCGGGCGGTCTGCACGCGGTCACCTACCAGTACATCTACTCCCGACGCTGCTCGAGCGGAGAACGCAGCCCGGGCGAAGCTTGTCTGGCGGCAGCTACTCAAGTATGTGGAGAGGACCCCGTCTGCACGAGTGGACAGCTATCACATCAGAGAGATGCTCTTTGCCCTATCCCATGGCAGTCCCTCTGACCAAATCTTCGCCTTCGACCTCGTACGCGATTACCTGGGCCTCGCCAAACCTGGCGAGACCCCGAAGGAGCCCATCGTCCAGCTAGAAGCACACACCTTCGAGGAAGTGCTGAAACTCTGCAACAACTCCCAGAAGTATCGTCTTACCATCCACTTCTTCCAGCAAGTATCGGGGTCCCTCGAGCCCACGGAGAAGTCTATCATCAACTGGCGCCACGTCGAAGCTGTCCTCAATGCCCATGCAGCGCTCGCCATGATGACGAACGACGACGGCGAGGCCAGTCAGGCCCTAGACACACTGCTATGGGTCCTCAAGCAGTGGGCTGTCGAAGGCCGCCCCGATCGGCTGCAGCCAACTCGCGACCACTTCAACTACGTGCTCAGTTGCTGTCAACGGAGCGGCAACTGGGCGATTGCTGCGCACACGTTCGAGGTCTTCACAGGCTACCGCGCTGCCGACTTCGCTGACGGCGGTGCTGACGCGAGCGGCGAGCAACCACATAGGGACCTGCCCTCTGGCAGGCCCGCCGAGACTACCATGTTCTTCCTCTCCGACCTCGCGCGTACTGCCTACTTGTCGGGTGACCTCGCCCATATGCGGCATTGCCTGCGAATAATTCGATTTATCGACCCACAGTGGTACTACCCCCACAAAGAACACAGCCACCACGACGATCGTATTATGATGAGGAACTTCGTATCACTCAACGATAGGCGCTTCTATGCCACCAGGATGGCGGAGGATGTTGTCGCTATGATCGACAAGGTGGTTTCTGCGGTCTCGGAGCAAGAGCGTCATACGAAGGAGGAGGACTGGTCGAGGACACGGCAGAAGGCGAAGCTCGTCGTGCGCGAGGCACGCGCGTCGACGGACACGGTGACGACGCCTTTCCTGGCGATGAATCCCTTGGGCGGAGAGCGGAGTCTTGCGGCGACGGACAGCTTCGTAGAGTATGACATGACTGTGCGGCGGAATGCGTCATCTCGCTCGACGAAGCGGTAGTCCTCTAGAGTGATTGCGCGCCTCGTTACCTGTACCTTCACTGTATCTCAAGCTTTGGACGGCATCTCGACCCTGCAGTACGTCTCGAGAGAAGGATCGAATTCTGAAAATTAGAGCTAGGTACTAATTCACAGTGATATCAAAAAGCAAGGAGACCGCTAGCTACGACCGTCCATACCAACCGTCCTAGATGCGTATCGTGCAAAAACTACCCACAAAGCAGTCCATACCCAGCAGGGTAGTAATACAGGAACATACCGTCCCCACCAAGCAATGATATCCGCACACTATGCAACTGACTTCGGTCGCTCGATCGGGCTCACGCTCACGGTGGACGCGCGCAAGCGGTTGTTCCCGCCGTCGAAACCTGGTTGCGAGAACGCGGGTGTCGGCGGGGTGAAGGGCATGTCCTCGGTGAGTGCCATGGACACAGGCTGGTACGAGTGCGAGTCCCGACTGTTCATCAGGCCCACCGTCGACATCGTGTTCATGGGCATAGGTTCCGAGCGACCCGGGTTGCGACGTGCGCGCGAGCGGCCGCGTTTCCGCAAGATCCACCAGATCCCTCCGCCAATGAGGCCGAGCAGCAGGAGCGTATTGAGTGCCATGAGCGCCAGGACGGCGGGGAGGAAGTTGCCGACGGTGTTCAGAGTGTTGACGAGCTTGTCGGAGAGGTCGACGCTCGTGCTGCCACCGGAAGCGGTGGCCCCGGTGACGTTGGCGGAGTTGTAGGTGACATTTTGCGCAGTGCCGCCGCGCGTCTTGTGAAAGTCCACCGAGGCTTGGCTGGCGTCGACAATGGGGAGGAGCTTGATATATGGGTTGCCCAACTTGCCGGCCGAGTCATAATCACCGAAGTCGTAGACAGCGTAGACGGAGCGCAGAATGTTGTCCCCAATGAGCCAGTCGCTGTGTCGATGGCGAGTCAGTCAACACATGTGACATTGCCAACTCTGGTGGACTTACAACTCTGTCCCGCCAAGGCCATCATCAGGTATTATGGTGCCAGCACAACGCGACGCGTTTGACGAGTCCTTAGGCGTAATATCCAAAGGGCTAATAGGGAACACGGTATCACTGTTGGATCGAATAGAGTGAGCAGACGCATTGGGTGCTAGACTGTCGATGCCTACCCGAATTGAAGTGCAATATCGACTTCGGCATCACAAGGGACGATCCACTGACCCAGATCCTCGTCGAAGGAAGCATCCGAGACCTCTCCGTAGATCGCTTGAGCTATAGCAGTCGGAACATACCTACTCAGCATCGCAGTGAGCTACTGGAGAGCAACAGATGAATGATAGCAGACGCACGAGTACGATGTCCCGCTGTCTAAGACAACCACCGCCTTGCCAGACGGCACACCGGAAACGACGCTCGTCGGCATGACGGCGCTGTCCTTGAGCAGGAGGTAGTCCAGCAGGACGCTCCACCGCGTCGGGCTGGATTCGGGCCACGTCGAGATCTCGCTGCTGTTCTCGATGGCGGTGTACGACGGGTTGTACTCGCCGATCGAGAAGTAGCCCTGGACGCTGTCGTACGAGTCCTCCGTGTCCTCAAGCGTGAAGGAGATGAAGTTGGGCTCGGACTTGTCCTTCGCGAACGCGTTGTAGAGGAATGTCCGGCCGGTGCTGGCCCCCGTCCTGTTGATGAGCGCGTCGACCGTGGAGAGGGAGTCGAAGCCGAGACCAAGGATCCCGTCGGCTCCGTAAGAGAGGGCAGGGTTGTTCGCGACCTTGACGTCCATGAACGCCTGGTTTTGCACCTCGACACTGCGCAGATGAGTAGTTGCCATATAGTCAGCAGAATGACTACTTACCCAGCGAACTCTACTGTAGCGTATGAAACGTTGCCAGATGCCCAGCCGATTCCGTACTGTGTCACAACTATAACTCTGGACGCGACAATGATGAACCATACTTACCGTCATATTATATGCTTGCGACTATGGACAAGCTTGTCAGTATCCTAGCATTGGACCAACAACGCACGCTAACTCACCGTGTGTGTTGTGTTTGATAAAGGGAATGAAGTGCCTTTGACCCAAAGGTCTGATGAACCGGTATCAATTTGGAGAGGGTATACTGTAGATTCAGGTCAGTACTTGCGCTCTTTCGGAGCTATTGGTGTCCCAAGATCCCGTTAGAGGGCTCTGTCCGAAGTTACACACACGATGCCATGCTCAGTCTGCAACTAGAAGCTCGCGTGGAGGTGGGGGTACGCGGTCATGTACGATACCATGTCGCGACATACGAGTTGCGTACGACAGCGGGACGGCGAAGTCGCATTGCATAGCAGGGGAAGTTGCACGGCAAACCGAGTCGTATTGCGTGGCAAAGAGGAGGATATAACTCTGGGCACCGCTTTGGATCTATAGCTCACCTGTGCCGGCAATAGTGACCTATACACCGTCAGGACCATGCTCGCATGCTTTATGAATCATACCACTCACATTGGCAATATACAGCAGATCGTGAACCGTACTGCGCGGATCCTTTCAGCGTTCGAATCGTGTAAGAATAGCTTGAGACTCACTTGAGACTCGTTGCATCGCTGCCGTCGGAGTCTGTGGCAGCATCTACGACCGGACGCGAATAAGACGACCTTCCGCTCCTCCGTCTCAGATGTGCCCCCGCGTCAGGATATCGTTGCCTCGTGAAAGGGACGGTAGCAGCATAAGACAGTGGGACGGAGAGCACAAGCCAGAGTGACAGAGCATAGGACCGCATGATGACCGAGGCGAGTAGGCGAGCAACCGAGCAAAGGAGTGACTGGGTGAGTAAGGGACCCGGCGGGGGAGGGGACGAAGGAGGGGACGTCGAGCACTGGCTGCCTAGGCCGAGCACCGCACGAGGGGAAGAGGGCGCGCGCGCGGTGTATCTCAGTCTGCGCCCGATGCTGGTCGTATAGGCGTGGGAACACAGACCCCTTGCGATGGCACAACTCTTCTAGCGTTCGCCAATCCCGACAATCACGATGCTAGCAGCCGCACTGGGGTCGACGAAGAGTGCTGAAGCACGCTGGACACAGGGGCAGCTGCGTCGGGGCAGAAGGTTTGCGGCGGTAGACCGTCCCAGTACTGCTGTTGCCTAGTTTCAGCCTTCGCAACGTAATAACCTCGTATGGAACGTTATCAGCCTGGGACCTGTGCATCCCACTATCGCTGTCAGTGTGTGGGATGCTGCAGCGACGTTGACCATGCGGACCACGAGCGCAGGTATGTGCGATGAGTCCGGCCACTGATGAACCCGACGTCGTCGAGGCAGGCAGAGCCGCAGCAGCGACTCGGAGCCGCCGACTGCCAGAGCCCGACGGAGATGCTGCCTGGTCGGCGCGATGGGCCCCATGACCCTCACGTGGGCGCGTGCATCGCCGTCCGGGCTTCCTCCCTCCCACCGTCTTATAAGTAGTGAGGTAAGTCGTCCTCGCCGCCCCTCTTCTCCTCGCCAGCAGCTCAGCATCGACCATGGCGCACCGTCCGGCCTCCAGGAGTGTCATCAACAGGCTTCTCTATGCTGCACAGCACAGCGCATGTCCGTGCCATGGTTGCCGCGGTGGAGGCGCGCACAACCCCTTGCAGGCCTTGAACCAGATGAGGAAGTTCGCGACGCCGGTGGACGCCCCTCCGATCGAGAAGGAGTATGCCTTCGAGGCGAGTGGGCACTGAAGGCTGTGCACGTACCGGAGACTCATGAGGGCGCTGTAGGTCGCAGCATCTAACTTGCGGTTCGGCGAGGGAGTGACGCGGGAGGTTGGGATGGACTTGAAGAACCTGAACGCGCGAAAGGTATATACGTCACGCAGAGCGGCCATCGCTCACCGCTCACTTGGCAACGCCGTAGGTTGCCGTCTTTACGGACCCCATCGTGTCGAAGCTGCCGCCCATGAAGATGGTGAGCGCCGGCATGGGCTGAGCATAGCTCCCTGGTTGACAGTACATTTCAGGCGATCGCGTCATTGGAGCAGCAGGACGATTTGCCTTTTGTCGTCTATGACCGGGTCGTAGCAGAACCGACCGAGGCAAGCTGGCGTGATGCCATCGCTTGGTCGCGGGAACAGGATTGCAGTCATTTCCTTGCGTGAGTGACCAGACACTGCATATTGTAACGAGCCCCTCTCTCATGCCTACGTCCAAAGAGTCGGAGGTGGAAGCGTCATGGACACTGCGAAGGCCGCCAACCTGTACGCTGTCATTGTCAGTACACGGGTCATGTCATATGCTGACTGGCATCCCAAGGTTCACCGTGTATAAGGACGCTGACCTGTTTGACTTCATCAATGCTCCCGTCGGAAAAGGACTGCCAATCACGCAGACCCTCCGGCCACTCATCGCAGGTGCGTTTGGCTCGAGCACGCACAATGTGTGCGGCTATGTACCTTACTCTGCGTCCCAGTGCCAACCACCGCGGGGACTGGCTCGGAGACGACAGGGACAGCTATCCTAGACATCACTTCCATGTCGTTCAAGACTGGTATCGCCAACCGTGCGATGAAACCCATGCTCGGTATCGTTGACACTATCAACACGCGGTCATGTTCAAGAGAGTTGCACATCAGCTCTGGGTTGGACGTTCTCTTCCATAGCTTGGAGAGCTATACGGCAATTCCGTATGTGTGCAGCTTTGTAGTGAAGCGACAGTGACATTGACAAGAACGTTCCAGCTACACTGAACGTATGCCACGACCCAAGAACCCCAACCTTCGCCCCGCATACCAGGGTAGCAACCCTGTCGCAGACATCTTCTCGATGTGGGCGCTACAGACGACCGTGAAGTGGCTGCCGAGGATCTCCAAGGACCTGAACGACTTCGAAGCCATGCGTCAGATGGCACTCGCTGCTTCGTTTGCCGGCATCGGTTTCGGTAACGCTGGTGTGCACTTGTGCCATGGTATCAGCTATCCGGTAAGCTTGAACGCGTTCTCCCTGCAGACGTTCATGCCTAACGGATGCCATGCAGATCTCTGGACTGAACAAGGCGGGCCCGAAGTACAAGCACGCTGGGTACAACGTCGACCACCCGATCATCCCCCACGGCGTCAGCGTCGCCCTCACCGCACCCGCCGTCTTCCAATTCACCGCGCCCTCCTCTCCCTCGCGACATCGCGAGGCGCTCGCCGTCTTCCTGAACACCACCCCAGCAGACCCGAGCATCTCCGCGATCCCCGACGCCGATATCGGCGCGCACCTGTACGAGGCGATCGCGCGGTTCCTGGACAACCTCGGCGTGCCTCGCGGCCTGAAGGCGGTGGGGTACACGAAGAACGACGTGCCGAGTCTGGTGGAGGGGACGATCCCGCAGAGGAGAGTGCTCGACTTGGCGCCGGGCATCGGCGATATCGCGGGCGCGGATGGCAGAGAACACTTGACGCACATCATTGAGAGGTCGCTCGAGTACTGAGCGCATGTACTGTGTACTAGCATACAGGACCACCTAGCAGTTGTATAGTAGTTGATATGCACACGACCGTTACAGGAATACATAACACAAGGTGATGAGCCTATCAAATCCCCATAGTATGCAGACCATCGTCTTGCCAGAGGATCGACTGGGCGCAGCCACAGACGCGTCTCGACACGGTCACGGTCGCGTAAGCGCCCTCCAACAGCGCTTATTGGTGCGATCGTTTTGGTCTCGGGAACGATCTGCTTGAGAAATTGGTTATCGCACACCCTTACATGTGAGAGGCACTGCACCCATCGGCCCATTCTCAGTTACATGCGCTTTCTCTCCCTTCTCTCCTCCTCTCGTCCACGATCTGCTCAGGCCCATATTTATACGGGATATTTATCTGCACTCCGAGCCGTGAGGATGATGAGCACGCGGACGTACAGCGACGCGGTCGACCACCTCAATTCGCTCCAGTCCAATGCTGCGACGCTCGAGGCGCTGAGGATGGGCAAGAGCCGCATGGACTCGCTCGCGATACCGGAGATGGTGGAGTACTTGGGGAGGATAGGGTACACTGTCAGTATCTCCTTAGTTTGTCAAAATTGGTCCAGCCTGAGTACATCCAACCCAGCCAGAGGATCTCAACACATTAAATGTCATCCATATCACTGGAACGAAGGGCAAGGGGTCCACGTCTGCGTTCACGGATTCCATACTACGTCATGCGAAGCACGAGTGGAAAGTCGGTGAGGATGACTCGGAACCCCTGGTATCTCTGGTATTGACCTGGAGCAGGTCTGTACACCTCCCCGCACCTGGTCGCTGTACGAGAACGGATACGCATCAACGGTGCACCACTTTCTGAGGATCAGTTTGCCAAATTCTTTTTTGATGTATGGGATAGGCTCGAGAAGAACGACAAGGTACGACATGTATCCCGAGGTCGTCTGTATTGGCTCTCATGTCGGTCACAGAGGGAACACCCCGAGACGTCTAACATGCCTGCTTATTTCCGCTTCGTAACGCTGGTTGCATACCACGCCTTCCTCAGCCTCGGGGTCGACGCGACCATCCTCGAAGTCGGGGTTGGAGGAATGTACGACAGCACCAACATAGTGCCCAAGCCGGTTGTCACTGGTGTATCTGCGCTCGGGCTCGATCATACAGCTGTACTCGGGAAGACCATCCAGGAAATAGCATGGCAGAAGGGAGGAATCTACAAGGCAGGTTTCGTCTACTCATGTTGGGAGCTAGCCTTTTATAACGTGTACCTGTAGGAAGGCGTTCCTGCGCTCACCGTGAACCAGCCCGAGGAAGGGTTCGATGTGCTCAAGCAACGAGCACAGGACAAGAAGGTAAGTCGACGTGTTCGTTCATTGCGTCTATTATGAACAAGTGTCAAGCAAGGCGTCCGAATTCATCCTCGTGCCTCTAACGCCAGGACTATCTGACATCAAACTAGGCATGCCTGTCCTATCCTCATATTCCCTATCCCGCTAATTGAAAACAGGCCTCGCCGGTGCTCATCAGTACCAAAACGCCGGCCTTGCCGTGCACCTCGCGAAGCACTTCCTGCACGCTGAGACAGACTGGCCTCTCGACGACACACTGCCGCCATCTTTCGTTCAGGGCCTCAAGAACGCAAGATGGCCAGGACGATGCCAAACCGTCGTCGACCCGAAGCTCCCGCGCCTGACCTGGTTCCTGGATGGTGCACACACTAAAGAGAGCCTTGAGTGCTGTATGCAGTGGTTTGCGAGCCCGGATGCCGCCCTGCATCTCTTGTCATCCTCGTATGTCGATACATCTGAGTGCTTGACGGTGACGGTGACGCATGTGCATGTGAATTGCAGATCGAAGCCGTCGAGGGTACTGATATTCAACTGCACGAATGGTCGGTCTGCGCACACTCTCCTGGGGGCCGCGGTCGCGAAGATTGCTGCACAATTGCAGCTGCACGGAAAGGAGAAGGACGCGAGCTCTTTCTTCGACCACGTCGTCTTCTGCACCAATGTTACTTACGCTGACGGAGGGTTCAAGGGCGGTAAGTTCTTTACCGTTCTGAGGGTATGTCTCGACTAAACATCGACGCCGGTAGACCTCACTTCGAAGTCAATACCAGAGAAAGATCTTGCTCACCTGACGACACAACACGAGCTTGCCACAGCATGGGCCTCTCTCATCCCCTCGTTCCCCTCCCACCATATCCACGTTCTCCCCTCCATCCAGCACGCTATCAACCTCGTACACGACCTCCGCACCACAGACGAACAATCAAAAGTAGACGTCCTCGTCTCAGGGAGCCTCCACCTCGTTGGTGGCGTCATCGAAGTCGCGGGTCTGTCGGAGGTTGCGCTCTAATAGAAGTAAGGAGAAAGAGGATTTAGAGGTTCGGATTGCTGTGTATTCTGATTATTCTGCGCATCCTACTGGTTTCGCCTTCAACAGGCTCGATAATCTAGACAAATTAGACGAATAACTTATAATCCTTCAGAGCAGACCATTCACGGGTGTCGTTTCCTCGTCCGATCTCCTCCGGGTCCGTCGGCCCCATGGAAGTGGATGGCCTGCATGACAGGGAGTGAGCGGATTGCGATCGTACAATGTAGTCAAGGAAGGTAAGTACCATCTTGTCAAGGAATGTGCGGATTCTGCTCTTCATCAAGCCGAGTTTCCTCGCCTGCATCAAGCCCGCGTCTGTCGCGAGCTGCACGAATAGGTCGAAGTGGACAGGCTATAGGTGCGAGGCAGTTGTCAGGCTTATGCGTAAAGTGATGAGTCTTGTAGTCAAAAGACGGGCTGACCTCGTAACGGATGACACGCAGGTGTAAATTCTTATCCTGCATGATGGCGTCGTGTAGTCTGGCCTCGAACTCAGCTTCCGACATCTCGACGGCGCTCTCCTTGACCGGCGATGAAGATGCAGGTTGCTTTCCTTTTCTGGACCGCGGTTTCTTCGTGGGGCGTTCAGGTGCTGGTTCGGGCGTGGACATGCCTCTCGTTACCACCACTGTGTCCGCTTCTTGGATGACCACTCTGCTCGGCCCAGCGCCTCTTGTCTCCTGCAAACGTGAAGGTCCGGCTACAGGAGACAACGGCCTGTCATCCCCAGCCGGTGGCTCGTAGACTTGGCCTCCGTCTTCTGGATCGAAATGCAGGTATGCGTCATCAAACCCCCAATCTTCCGGACGATAATCATATTCAACATGTTTCCTGTCCTCTACATCGTCCGTCTCAATCGCAGTTCGCGACTGAACGACTCCAGGGGTGATATACCTACCATGATGCGGTGAGTCCGAGTTGATATCCAGAGGAGAGACTGGGCCTGAAGGTGGACGGGAATCAGTGGGTGAAGGGCTCATCCGTGGATACTTTGGAGAAGCTGCGTTTCCGCTTGGTGAGGGATAGGTGACCTGGATGTTATGAGTCTTACTCAATCAATGGTAGGAAGGCGAACTCACGGTGGGCTTCGCCGCGGGAGATCTGCCAACTGCGGCTTCGAGGACTCCTATATTGCCGAGGCCCGTCGCAAAGCGACTAGGAGCAAACGCCTGGGTCGAGGGTGGTAGGCTGTCCTCGTCGTCGTCTGCTCCGTCTATTATTGCGGACGTGGCGGCCACACCGAGCTTGCTAGGAGCGAAGAGTTGGGTAGGGGCAAAGGCGATTGGCTGTATGGGCTCCTCATGAACCCGCCGATTCCTTGCCAGCGCACTCTCGCCAAATGCTTGCGTCGGCGGGGGAATTTGGGCACCGGCATCTTCTTCCTCTGATTGCGGCCTCTCGTCATCTTGTTCTACCCTATCGTCTGATCTAGCCTCTCGTTCTGCGAGTAGTGCGCGAGCTCTGTCGAGGATCTGGCCGCGAGTGTCTGCGAGGTCTCGCACCGTCTCCGGCACAGCACGTCGCTTGGTCCTCTTCTTGTTCGTCCCGTCCGTCCAGGTCTCCATGAGGGTTCCCGGCTCCTTGGCCTTCTCCGCTGCATCGCCGCTCTTCTCTGGCAGTGGCGGTGACACCGCCAGTTCACACCGAAGGAGAAATGCCACAGTTGAGTCTGCCAGTGCTTTCTTCTTCGCGCATGCTTGAATATGTTTCAGCTTCTGGGTGACGCTTTTGCGCACTGTCCACTTCAGCTCGCAGCTCACACATTTGAGTAGCCTAGCGAGGTCGGCTTCTGCGAACTCTTCTGTGAAGTCCGTCTTGGGCTTGCTCTTCGCTCGTCTTATTGGCTGCGCGGCGCTGGCGACACTGACAATAGATGTTGAGCGTGATGCAATGCTCGCGGACGAAGGGTTGCGCGATCGACTACTCGACGATGCACTGTACGCAAAGGTCTTCAACTTGAGATTCAGGCCCGAACGCTGCTCGTCATCGGAGTCGCCAGGCCCGGCGGACGCCTGAGATGACCCTGAGCGCTCGGATATGGGCTGGGGTATGTCGATAGGTGGTTCCAGATAGTCCGGAGACGGCATACGTCTGGCAAGTAGGGCGTGAAGAGACGGCATTGAGGGATCATCACTCATGTCGTCTGCACAGAAAGAATGAGCTATGTGAAGCCATACGGGCGTCCGACATACCACTGATGTCAATTATGCTAGTGTTGTGCGCACCACTTTCCTCGCGGCGAACAGGCTCCTCACGTGGCACACCTGCATTGGAGGCGTCTTCTGAGCTCTCTTCTGCGTGTAGAGATACCTGAGCAAAGCGGTACAAAGACAGAGGTATTGCGTTACCATTCACGCTAATGACACTCTGTGTGGCCGGGGGCACCTGGGATGCTTGGGACACAGGCTGGGTAAGGAGGGGTTCTTGAGTGTCTGTGAATTCTATAACGTCGTCTTTGCGAGCGCGTCGATGATGCTGTTTTCGACGTTTCCGGTTCTCCTTTTCCTCGTATCTACGTCCCTCCCTCTCCGGTTCAGAGTCAGACACTTCGTGGACGTCTGTGTGGCCGGGGGAGACCCAGGCCGCCACAGGGGTTGATCTCGAACGGGCTGTTGGCTGACTCGCCATAAGCCTGCTGAGTGTGCGGTGCATTGCGGATGAAGCCGTTCCGGTGAATGTTCGAATGAGGCGGGGTAGACTGTAACAGGGCGAGACGCGTCTCATGAGAGAGCGGATTGGAGGAAAGATGCATGGGCTCGACGCGTCCGACGCGACGCGACTGAGCGCGCGTCACGAACTGTCACAGTCGCGCGTCCGGCGCGTGCGCAATGTGACGACACGCGGCGCGTCTCAGTTTACAACGCGGACTCCAAGTTTCAAGCAGCACGCTTGGGCGAGGCTCACTGTTGGACGGCGTGCTCTTCGTCCTTTCTACTCTTCACTCGAAAATAAGGCTCAATAGTGATCAATGCCCCTACCTTCGACCTCTGCTGAGACCTTTTCTCCCGAAGAACTCTACAATGTCGTCTGCGGCGCTGCGTCTCAGGACCCAACACAATTGCAGGCATCGGCGACACGGCTGAAGGAAATCCTGCAACTGCCTGGTGCATTTGAAACGCTATATGAGATTGCATCACAGAGAACAGTGCCGTTAGCTGTGCGCCAACAAAGTATCATTCAGTTCAAGAACAACGCCGTAAGTCAGTGGCGTTCCAGGAAGTGAGTGCAGTAGCAACTTGGCCAGCATAGAGGTAACTCACGCCTGGTTGCTCAACAGACTCTTCTCAGACGATCACAGGCAACGCATACGTGCGAGGTGCTTGTCGCTGCTTGACGAACCTGACGATGTTGTGAGTTTCATGAGGAATAACTTGATTTCACAATGCTCAGCGCAAGACAGATTGCTGAATGCAATGAAGTCATCGTCGCCAAGATAGCACGCAATGACATGCCTCAGAACTGGTAAGATGGCGACGGTTGATTATCCGCAGGAACGTAGTAACCTTTGCCAGGCCTGCCTTGATTCCAAATCTACTGGGGACCATTGGTACGAACATCGACGCACGTTACGGAGGTGGCCAGGGTGGATCGACTATACAACTGCGGCGCAGCTTGGAGGTGCTCAATGCAATATTGAAGGAGATGATGAGTGTCAAGTTGCCTAGTGGGGTGAAGGTTATGGGGGCAGTACGTTGTCTTTTTCACCCGAGGTCTCCCCATCTGACGCATGTATGCCAGCTTGTGCAAGAGCTTCATCAAAATCTGCAGGGCCATTACTCTCGAGTGGCATTGTCCTTCCCTACAACCATAACCCCCGTCTCAATATCTCAAATCCGTACCGCGGAAGACCTGCTGTTCGCTCACCTCATATTCAAGTGTGTCGTCAAATCTGCCGAATGGGCTTGGAACCGCATTGTGCACAATAACTATGAGAATCTCGAGCCCTGGGTACAGTCCTGCGTATCTCAGCCACATCAGTCTCTTACGAATCCCTTACAGATTCAACAACTCTTCCAAGCCTCTGCTATGCAGCTACAGGCCCTCTCGGAACTTCGCATCAACATCATGCTAGCACTGCAAACCGGTCAAACAGACAAGATTAGTGCTCATTCCATCGACATCTTGACTCGTCATGTCAGGCTTTTTGGAAAACTCTTCCGACGAATGCAGCAACTGTCTCCATCGCGATTTGTGGCGCTGCCTATATATAGCGATCTCATTCTATATTACTGGAGCAAAGTCGTACAGGCATCGAATGCGCCAGCCGACGCAATCGCGGGTATGAATCCGTCACATTGACTGTCTCTTTACTACAATTGCTAATCGGTATGCGGGAACGAACCTCGCAGACACGCCGACCGCTGTGTTCCCTGTCCGCTTCCTTGTTCAAGCGATGGTACTGTTCAAAGACAGCCTAGCCCAGTGGGCACCTGTTCGCAAGGATGGCTCTCAGAATGCGAACGGTCGGTCTTCTTACCTTGTAGCCCATTCGAGGTTCACTGACACACCCTCAGCACTATCCAAGGAATTCGTCGAGAATGCGGTGCAATTGCTAGTGACGAGGTTCATCCCGCTGAATCCATCTGACCTCGAAGAGTGGGTTTCGGATCCGGAAGGGTGGGTCAACCTCGAAGAGCAAGACAACGAGCAGTGGGTGTTCGAGATACGCGTGCGTTCATCTTGTGTTTGTTACGAGGTTTCGAGTGACAATGTCATTTAGCCGTGTGCGGAACGAGTGCTCATGACGCTTGCTAACAACTACCAGCAATACGTCACACCTCTCCTCGACACCACCTTCAAGCAAGCTGTCGGTGCGTCTGTTTCCTCTGACGGAAACTGAATTGCACCTCACTCGGTCGTGGACGCAAAGGACAACGACCTGTTGATCTTCCAGGCGTCGTCCAGAAGGAAGCGCTCTACTGTGCTGTCGGCCGGTGCGCAACACGCCTGAAGGACCTGATCCCCTTCGGTCAATGGCTCGAGCATACGTTGATGGCTGAAGCCCAGGACCCAAGTGCCAGGTCAGTCATCCCTTTCGTCCGTGCTCACTGTTGCTCATCTATCCACGCACAGCTACCCAATCCTGAAGCGCCGTATAGCCTGGCTAGTGGGCAAGTGGATTGCAGACGACTGCTATCCAGCAAACGACGCGAAGATTTGGCAGGTCCTCCTCTATCTCCTGCGAGACCGAGGGCAGGGCTCTGATGACGTCGTGAGGCTAACTGCCGCCATGGCCCTCAGAGAATGTGTCGACGTACGCAAAGTCAGGTTTCTGCACTGATCTCTGCTGATGTGGATGTTGTCGTGGTAGACTTTGTCTTTCGACATTGACGTCTTCGCTCCCTTCCTTGCGACAGCCGTCAATGAGCTCGTACGACTCATGGCCGAGGCGGAGACCCTTGAGGCCAAGCGCCGCATTGCGAATAGCTTGAACACTGTCATCGAAAGGGCAGAAACAAGGGTAAGCTCAATATCATCATACACAGGTGGATCCACTTTTTGATTTATATGCTGCAGATCGTCCCTCTCATCGGAAATATAGCCCAGCCCCTTCCTCAGCTTTGTGAGCTAAAAAAGACAGGTCCCTGAAAGACTAGATACTAACTGTCTACGGGGACAGGGAGTGCTGCCGGAGAAGACTGGCTGTTCAAAACGAGTTTATTGGGCACGCTGACGAACCTTGTACAGGTATGGTTGTCTTTGCGGTTCAGACAGGAAGTTCCTTCACCTCTTGTCTCTCTAGTCGTCCAAGGAACATTCTGTCATTCTCACAGGCCTTGTCGTCCACTTAATCCAGCAGAGCTTCACTCCAGGAGTACGTAGCGTACCAATTCACTGACATCTCTAACCATGCTTCAGGCACAATTGCACCTCGATCAAGATGCCCTTGTTTTGTGGCTGGCTGCTATCCGCAACACTGTAACGCTTGAAGGTGTTGATGGGGGACCGGGCTACATTATCCCTTTCCCGCTAGTCATCTCGCTTCTGTCCGAAAATCTTGACCTGCTTGGCAGCATCAGTGAAATCGTTGATTCATACATCCTGGTCGATGCAACGCGTGTACTACAGGTACGCATGATAGCCACTGTACAATTCTTGTCACTCAGGTTGCTGCAGTTGTACGCAGTGGAGCTTTTCCAAGCCTTCGCAAAAGCAATGACTCAGGCAGTCGAAACAAACGTCGGCGACATGGCGAAGATTTTGAGCACACTATTCCAGATTGGGCCACCTCAACTCTGGGGAGAACCCTTGCACAGATCCGGTCTCTTTGCGCTTGTTGTAAAAACTCTCATGGACGACAAGGTACGTTGGTTTTTGCATGTCTTCGCTTTGTCACTCATCAGGTGCAGGCGAAGACGTCCATCCTCACGGAGGAAATCTACGTCCTCGCCCGAGTCGCGGTTGCCAACAAGCAGCTCTTCCTGCAACTCATGCAAGCTACCGCCCAGGCGAACAATGTTCCCGAGAACCAGATCTGGGAAGGGGTGCTGGACCAATGGTGGACGAGGGTGCGTTGCCATCGCCGCCGCATGACCCGTCTTCCCAGAACTTTCTCCTGTTTACTGCAGTTTGATAACATGTCCGAGCCTCGACTCCGCAAGCTGACGGCGATGGGCATCGCAAGCCTCGTGTCGACCGGTCGTAAGGAGGTGCTAGAACGACTATCCTCTGATGTTTTCAATCTATGGCTGGACGTGTTTGGAGAGATCAAGGAGACTGAGAACCAGGATGCCGAGCCCGGGTAGGTCCCTGTCATGCGTAGATTGCGGAGCATGGCTTATAGTCTTGCAGAAGCCCCACTTTGACGCGGTACTGGGATAGGCCGACCGACGATTTCTTCCAGGGCTCAGAGAACACGCTCGAGTACGAGCGTCGCAAGGCGGTGCGCATATTGTTCAGTTCGCCGATTGCACAGATGTTTGATGCAGAAGTACACAGCTGTACGAGAACGACCCTGTACGCACCACGAAACTCACGACATATGTCGCGGCGTGTCTACAGGAAGCAGAGATTGCGTGCGGCGGGCCAGCCAACCTACAGGCGATGTACCTCGCCAAGGCCGACCCGACCGTCCTCAATCAGCTGCAAACAGAGCTCGCTCGTCCATGATCTTGAAATCCTCACGACTATCTCACGGTTAGCTGTATCAAATCTATGTCTGTGATGATGGCCGACTGACTTAGCGAGCCAGCTATCTCATTGCACCTTCGAATAGCTATCGAGCAACTGGTTTCTTTGCATAGATACAGAACCTACGCTGCACGCGCCAGTCTTATCATCCGGTCTTCTTGGATGCTTGTCTCACAGATCCTACTGGAATGTATTGTATCGCACGCCTACTAATGAACGGTATGACCGAATGTTTGGACGTCTGGATAACTAGCGATGAAATAACACTACTTCGGTTTACCAAAGAAGTTCATAAGACTACCTTGTCCTGCCTTCCCAACGGATTTGCGAGACTTAGCGGGCTTTTCGGCAGCCTTCCCAGATTTCTTCTCTTTGCTCGCATCCTTCGCCTCTGTCACATCCTTGCTGTCCTCGTCTGCATTCTTCTTGCTCTTAGTCGACGTTGAGGCACCTTTCTTCCCTTTGCCTCTACCCTTCACAGGCTCTTCGACCTCTTCTTCATCGACTGACTCGTAAGAGGAGTAGTCCTCAGTGACTACACGCACTCCAACCGTCAGCATACGGTCCTGACAGAATATCGTAGTGATCTCGACTGACCCATATACCCCTTGACATCCGTCTTCGTGCGTGTCCGCATTACGCGCCGTTTCTTCAGACCGTTACTACCCACGGGCACGGGTTTCTTATCCTGTTTCCTCTTCCTTGGCCGCTGCTTCACACGTTCGGGTTCCGAATCTTCGATGAAGTCCTCGGTTTGTGTATCCGGGGGCGCTTCCTCTTCCGTCTCCACCTCAGTATCAACCTCTGCGACAGAGCGGGATGCTTTGATGACATCGTCTGTGTCACGTGTGAGCAAGTACGTCTCTCTGCCTACATTTGCCATCTGGCCATACGGCGGAATACCATAATACCGAAAGTGGGGACTTACCGTCGTCAATATCCATCATTGCCTGGAGACTTTTGTCCGGAATGGATGAGCGGGTCTTGTCCTTTACCTTTGTCTTCCTCCGTTTGCCTCGCTCCACAGTATCCTCCTCGTCTGAATCAGACAGTACCGCCTTCTTCGCCTTGACGCCGTTCTTATTCTTAGCGGCTCCCTTAGCAGGAGGAGGGGTAACCGAAGAGTGCGAATCGTCGTCGTCTGAGTCCGACATAAGAGCACGAGTGGACTTCCGGCCGGTCAGCGATGGCTAATGGTGGTATATCAGCACATGGTCAACCAAACGAAGTACGCTAGTACAGACCTTTGTCGTGCTGCTCTTTGATGTGGACGGCTTTTCGTCTTTCTCCTTCTGCTTGAGGCTAGAGGTAAGGGGGCTTTTCTTGCGCGGTGTGTTGTCCTGAGCTTCCTCATCGTCGGACGAAGACGGCAGAACGGATTTGCGTTTCACACCTCTCTGGAATAATAAGTAAGCCTATATTGTTCCCAGGTAAGCTTTCGCAGCGTCAGGTCCTACTTGCCTTCTCTTCCATCTTGCCACCCTTCACGTCACCTACCGGTGACGCTTTCTTTGCCTTCGATTGGGCAACAGGTGAAGCGACCTTCTTCGTATCCTCCGGTTTGACTTTGCTTTTCTCTTTCTCCTTCACTTCATCAGCCTCTTTCTCCTTTGCTTTCTCCTTCTCCTTGCCCTTCGTTGCTGTGCCCTCGTCTTGCTGTTTTGACTTTGCCTTACCCCAGTCGAGAGTGCCTGATGCCCTTGGTTTCAGTGAAATCTTAGATTCCTTAGGTTTCAGCGAAGGCTTAGATTCCTGGGGCTTCGGCTTCGGCTTAGAATCCTGCTGTTCCGACTTCGTAGCTGCGGCTTGCTTGGACACAGTGCTTGCGAGGGGCACGACAGGTGTCTTCGCGGGCAAAGGTGTCAGAACTACAGGCTTTCCAACCTGGACACGACATATTATTATTGATGGGACTCGGCTGCAAAGGTGACAGGGGACGTACATGGACGTGAGGTCCGATAAGCCGTCCGAGTAACGCTGGAGTGTCCGCTTTGACTTTGGCATCCACTTCGTAGACCTTCTCAGTAGGTGGACATATGAGTGATGAGTCCTACACCGGACATTGTCAATTTGAAATCAGGCTTTCGCTCGTACGGCTCGTGAATTAGAACGCACAATGAGATGTGCCGGTGATAGACTGTAAACGACCTGCGAGAAGACGCGTAGATATTGCGTTTTCGCCTCTGACATGAATAATAAACGAGCTTTCACGACAAAGACACGGGAAAGACGCACTCTCAAGATCGTTTTCTCCGACAAGAAGTACTTTCATGAGCGGCACCACGTCGCTATCTTGCTCCCGTTCGTGCTCCCTCATCTCCCCTGACGTTGTAGTATCACCCGCATCGACATCCATTCCGTCCTCTTGCGAGTGTGCTGATCGAGCCGTGGGAGGAGTGACCTCACCGGTCAACATGTAGGTGGCGTATACTGGCTCCTGTGAGCTGCGGGAGGCAGCATGAAACGCGGCGAGGTTACTGCGATGCGACGACTTGTGAGAAGCCAAAAACCACAGTGCACATTCTGTATATTGCTCACTTCTTCGCGGTGTTGACGTGCGTGTTGAAGTACCGGCTAAGTGACCTGAAAGTGACCTAGAGGCACACGCATCGAACATTGGTGAACGACCGCCTATTGAAGGTACCAGTCTCACGCACCACATTGCGATCTATCTGAACCTGCTTCGTGAGGTAGTCAGTGATCGACTGTTCCATCGTCGATGGACACAGCTGAGGGAGATGGGGGATGGATGGCTGCTGGAAACGCGCGTGGACGCGACAGCCACACTCTGGCGACATTTCTGACGCGATCACCTGACCGAGACCTCCACCACCAATCACAGTGCTCTAAGGCTGCGATGGCCATAAGTTACCTCGCACGCGCCTAGTACATATGCTCGTGCGCTTCGTGCTCTCGAGTCTCAACTCTGAGCGCTGACTAGGACTCCTGAGCTGGGGCTACTTATCTTACGCACTTCAAGTTTGGAGTGCCAGACACATGTCAATGGAACGAAACAAATCCCTCACGTCTTCTCTGACTGCCAGAGCGCGTATGTGAAACAGACGATTCGTTCTGCATACAATTGAACACGCCCCAAACCCTAGCAGTACTACATGGTAGTGAACACTGCCCGGAACCGCGACTAAGCCTTTCAATACTGTTCTACTGCCCTTCAATCCAGGTCATCGATCTCCATGCCGCGTACGACAAGCTCTTCGTCGACTTCGCGACCGTAGTGGCGCACTGGGGGACGTGTGGAACCATGCGAGCCGCCGTGGCGTATACTGCCACTGCCGTGATCGCGACCATGGTGGCGCACTGGGGCACCAGGACCATGCGAGCCGTGTATACTGCCACTGGGGTAATCGCGACCATGGTGGCGCCCTGGGGCACCAGGACCATGCGAGCCGTGTATACTGCCACTGGGGTAATCGCGACCATAGTGGCGCACTGGGGCACCGTGCGTAGGACCATGCGAGCCGCCGTGGTGTATACTGCCACCGCCGTGAGAAAACTGACGGGCGATCAAGTCCTCAGACTCGAGGCCACGGGCCATGGCAGGGTGGGGGTTGACAAGCCTGTGGAAGCTACAAACGCGACAAGTTGAGACTGAGTATCATGGCTCATAGAGCGCATGAAGAGACATACGGGAGGTGGAGGATCTCTCCAAGAGCGGGCGCAGCGGCCATGGCAGCGATAGTGACGGCGAGGGTAGCACGCATAGTGATCAAATACTTCTCAGTGACCTTGGTGAAATAAGACTTGAGGAGTCGTGGATAGGGTAACGATGGTGAGAGTGCGTCAAGCGATACAGTCGTGAGTCGTCAAATGAAAGCAAGCAAGGCTATTGTAACGATGATCAGCTTTGAACCCATTCGTACAAACGATGCGAGCTCACCAGCCAGTACCTATGCTTGTAGGGGAGCTCGAAGTGGAAGAGGTGAGCTGAGGTTGTCTCGCCACGAAACAACGTCTTTTATACTCGTTCATAAAGGGGTGCATTTGACTTGTGTTCCCCTTGGGGATCACTAACCGAGACGCGGTGTACGCATAACATCCAAAGGGGAAACGCACCAGCACCAATCTGTCAAGTCCATGTCTTCGAATTCGTAGGGCCGGGCGCGCGAATTGTGCCATGCGCAACGGTCCTTAACCATGCAAGTAGACAGCTTCTAATACTGTAGGCGCAGGGGCCATCGTAAGATGCGAAATGGACCGACCTCTCATGCGATATGACGCTTGTGGCGCAAAGGTTGAAAGCGTCAGGAGGCGGTGTAGTGAACGTTGATGTCAAGCGCTGGGACCTATGTAACTTATCATGGTTCTCCATTCGTAACGCTCCGATATTGCAGTGAACAGATCCGCTCCCTTCGGTGCATAGCTCCATGGTTTTACGGGTGGCCCAGGTGTGATAGAGTGTCCATGAGGCTAGAACCGGAGGAGTACGCATGGCATGCCGTCTTTTGCAATTGCAATCGTAACGGAATTTTGCTCTAACGAAGACAGGTTTGTGTGTATCACTGGTTGAGGCATTGCTACCAGTGGATTGCGTACAGGGATGTGCCGCTATGCTGGTGTTAATCCTACAACATAAGGGTCACTCTTGGTCAGGTCGCTCGGAGAGAAGGCAAATGAGAACACTCACACGATGCAATGAAGGACACTGCTATCATGTTAGCGCCGCTACAACAAAGCGGTTTAACTCACAGACGACCGGGATCCCCGCGAAGCCTCATTGCAAGCAGACACAAGGGCAATTAGGTATCTATTCGGACAACCCACTCTCGCTGTACGTCCCCACGCTCTCACTCATCTCGCTATAATCGATATCTTCGCTCCCAAACTCCGGGCTGCTATCCGAGTCCTCCACCCCGCTCTCATACTCCGGGCCCTCCGCCTGCGCCTTAAGCCTCTCCGCGCCCGCGACGCCCTCCGCGCACCTCAGGCACTCCCACTGCCGCCCACCCGGTCCAACGCCCGTGTGCTCGTCCGCAGCCCGCATCATCCGCTCGGAGATGCAGTAGTAGCAGAAGACATGCCCGCACGAGGTGACGTACGGGTTGTGGATCGGATGGGCTGGTGGCGCATCCTCTGATCCTGATACCTCCGCGGGCGATGAGGCCGAGCCCGCGTCTGCTGAGGATGAGGCGGCGGTGCTGTATGTTGGTATCGAGGCCCTTGATTCTAGGGCACTCGCGGGATCGGACAGGTTCGTGGAGGCGTTCTCGGCGCAGATGGCGCATTGGTCGAGCGGGAGCGCCCAGTATTTCCCCTGCCGAGAGTGGTCCTCGGCCTTGCCAGCGGATGCAGACAAGCCAGCAAGTGAACGTATGGGGCTCGGGAGGATGGCCGCAGGAGACGGTAGACTAGACAGTAGGTTTGCGAGCCGTCTGCGTAGCGCGCGGGTATTGACAAGAGGTAGCAGGAAAAGCAGGAATTCCTGGAGAGGGAATGAGGTGAGCGTGAATTCTGCGGGGCAGGAGGGAGAAGCGCACTGTGAAAGCATGCCAGACCATCTGGCGGTTCATGAACTCGTATGAAACCTCACGCCTGGCCAGCCTGCGAGCCGGCTCCAGGCTTAACCTCAGTAGTCTGTCAATGGTGGTGCGGTAGCTGCCAAAAGTTAGGAATACCCCGACTTCGTAACGGAAAGCCCTAGACATACCGACCGTTCCACAGAAACGCAACAAAGTTCAGGAAACCTAGTAGGCCGTGTATGGACTCCAGGCGAGTGAGTAGCTCCCATGCCTTCCGCCGCCTGTCGGAGGATGGGGCATCCGGCCATGCTTGAGATAGCGCATGGGAGCGTATTCGGGTATGAATGTATGGAAGCAACACGGTCAGACCGCCGTGAGCCAGTAGTACATGGTACGGCAGTCCGGACGCTATGGACGTCTCAGCCTCCAATCGCCAGCATAGAGGTGAACGCACAAGTTTTCCGGGTACTCGATGGTCCTGAGTATGCGTACTTGAGGCCCTGAAGCCTAGCTCCGTAGCTTGTCCCGAGGTTCCAGAACGATAGCTTGTACAGTATGGCTTGTATGAGCAAGACGAGCTCTGGCTCAAACCGAGCTCTCCAGGAGGACTGAGATTATGTTCAATCAAACTTGCATAGACGAAAAGTAAGCAACCAACATTGACGAGACTCAGAGCCTTGACTAGGGGGTCCTTGAGCAGTTGGACCAGTTCTTGGTCAAGCAGCTCGGCATCGAGTTGGCCGACGCGGATGGTGCGTGGTGAGGGCTCAGCAGAGGCAGCGAGCGACTCTCTGATTCGCGCAAGTTGTGGTTGCGCGCTGTCCCATGCTTGCTGCCAGTGAGGAGGGATGGCCGGGGAGATGGAGGAGGCCATGGACTGGAGGAGCTCATGATCGCCGCCGTCCTCGGGTGGGATATTTCACGTGCGGAGGTGCCCACAACGCGCGTCTATCGTACATGGGCGCCTCCCGAGTCAGATTCACTCTCGATCGTCAATTGGCCGCCTCCAGTCAAGCTAACCTCCGCCTCCGCGACTCGTATCTCGCCCTCCGCTCTCGTTGACCGTCGCATATCCAATCAAACATCTGTATTCAGCTTTTCAGCCTTCGCGATGGCGGAAGCGATCCAGCAGCTCGTCCTCGACACCCTCGACAAATTCGGCACGATTCATGACACACGAACATTGGTCTTGCCAGGATATACCGATCCAGCGGCGAACCATGACTCGCAAATCATCATCCTCGGTGCTCTGAACTCGCTGTCTAGTCGAGATGTACGCATTGCCTATTTCTGGTCTGCGGTGAACGGAATGAATCGATGAGAAGCGCAGATGATCTCGTACACAACCCATGAAACTGTCTCCCATGTCCTTACACCGGAGGGCGCACAAATAGCCGTACAAGGCTCGCATGAGGCTCGTGTATGGCAAGCGTTGCCCCACAAAGGCGATGGAGCGCCCATGGCCCCGAAGCAGCTTGAAGAGCGAGTGGGATCGGAGACCGCGAAGATTGGACAAGGTCGTGCGTTCAAGAACAAGTGGATCGCAAAGGAAGGAGATGGTCTCGTTAGGCTTGTAGGCATAGATCCCAAATATGCGAGAACGCTCGAGTGACCCCGTCTCTGCCGCAGGCACCTTCAATCGAGGATAACACGCAGGTAGAACTGCGCGAGGTTGACTCGACAGGTACCTTGAAGGCAGGAGAGAAGGCATTGGCTGAAATGCGCAAGCGCAAGCTCATTGTACAAAGGTGAGTAGGTAAAGCATGTCTGCGCAACTTTAGCTCACTTCGATCGCAGAAAGGGCCAGTGGTTCACAGTGAAGAAGGGGCCGGCTTTCAGCACATCAATCGCAAAGCCCGAGACTGATCTGACGATTGACATGCTTGCAACGTGCGACTCTACTCGTCGTCTTTCGGACGTGCCCGGCTGACCCTGATCGTTAGTGGCTCGTGGAAGACCTCCACGTACAAAAAGTACAACTTTGAGGCTGAAGGGCTTGTTACAAACGGCGGTGCCTTGCACCCACTGCTCAAAGTTCGTGAAGAGTTCCGAAACATTTTCTTGGAGATGGGGTTTGTTACAGCACGCGCTCGCACTCGTTCTCGATCTGACATACCTCGTTTCCAGCTTCGCGGAAATGCCAACATCATCCTTCGTCGAGTCCGGCTTCTGGTGCTTCGACGCGCTCTTCGTGCCGCAACAGCACCCCGCCCGCGAGGTCCAGGACACCTTCTACCTCTCTGACCCCGCCGAGTCGCTCCCGCCGCCCGCCGACTACTATGAGCGCGTCTCGAAGGTGCACGAGCACGGCGGGTACGGCTCTACCGGCTACCGCGCGCCCTGGTCCGACGCCGAGTCGCGCAAGCTGCTCCTCCGCACGCACACGACCGCCTCGTCGGCGTCGATGCTTTACAAGCTCGCCGCAAAGTGCCGCGGCGAGGGCGAGGACAAGTCGGCGCGCTCGGCGGCGGCGCATGGCAGCGGGGCACAGGCGAAGGAGGGCGATGATGGGTTTAAGCCGGCGAAGCTGTTCAGTATCGACCGTGTGTTCAGGAACGAGACGATGGATGCGACCCACTTGGCGGAGTTCCATCAGGTTGAGGGTGTCGTTGCGGATCGCGGCCTGACCCTTGCTGATCTCATAGGTGAGCCCGTCATCTCCTCACCCTTGTGGTCTTTTCGTTCATCTTTCATCCCAGGCTTCATGAGGGTCTTCTTCACGAAGATGGGTATTGAGAACCTAAGGTTCAAGCCAGCATACAATCCTTACACGGAGGTTTGTCTATCGCCTCAACCTATTCATTCCCCCATTTCTGACGGATCCCTCCGCCTAGCCCTCACTCGAAATCTTCGCTTTCCACCCGCAGCTCCGCAAATGGGTCGAAGTCGGGAACAGCGGCATGTTCCGTCCCGAGATGCTCGAGCCCATGGGCTTCCCCAAGGATGTCCATGTTCACGGCTGGGGTATCTCGCTCGAGCGCCCCACTATGATTCGGTATGTCCCTTTGTTGTCCTCTGCCGTAGAACAAGCTCCTGACCGGGATCTCAAGGTACGGCATTAACAACATCAGGACGCTGGTCGGGCACAAGGTCTCGCTCGAGTCCGTGGAGAACTCTCCGGCGGTCAGGTTCTAAGTGGATATATGTAGATGATAGAGCAGAAGTAAAAGTCCATGTATTCATCGCTGTACTTGCGTGTCAAGAAATGTTGAGTCACTGCCGGGTTCTTCATCAATGGTTTCCTTGATTTATTATTGCTGAGGGGTAAAGCGATTTATATCGTGTGATGCCGTAGATGCCGGCACAGGTCTGGCGCACCGAACAAGTCGTAGAACAAGTGAAATGACATGCATTCAGAAGGAGAACACGGCAGCGTTCTTCCGTGAGCCAAACATGTATACAAGTGCCTGGCTCATGAAAAGCCCAACGGTGATACCAATCGTGACCGATATCATTGCTGCTCCAATGTCGATGCCGCTGCCTTGTGCTGTGATACCTCCGGCTGCAGAAAGCCCGGACTGTAGAAAGTTAGCCTAAACTATCTGCAGTCAGCCAATACTGGTTTCTACTCACCGGCACAAGGAATAGAACACCCGTGACCATTGACGTGAATGCCGTCCCATTGAGCTTTCTCGAGTACAGATTGCCCATCAACCCTACCACGAACGCGCCGATTGCGGACACGATGTCGGAACGGTTGAAGATGAAGTGGTCTGCGGCCTTGTTCGCCGCATACGCCACGCACGAGATGAGCACCATGACGAACATCTCGCGCGTCCAAAACGGCTGCAGGTTTGCCATCGACGAGAGGATCGAGAAGAGCGGCACGAGGATGAACTGCGTCCACCACGGGAACGGCTGGAGCCACCACGGGAAGTAGACGTTGCGGTAGCAGCCGCCGTCGATAGTCTCGATAGGATTTTTCGTGTAGTTCGTGAAGGTGAAGGTTCCGGAGATAGGTCGGCCTTGGTTGAGGTCGTACGCGATGCTGCTTGCGTTGTCCGTCACGAAGGTCCCGGAGACAATCGCTACAGTGCTGAGACGTTCTTGCAAGGAGAGCAGTTGTGCACGCGCTGTCTTGTCGCAAACCAAGAAAAGGTCGGACCCGATTTGGAGGGCGAAGCCCTGTATGGCGTCAGTTACTAACGGTCGAAACGTTTTCGTCACTGCTGTGCGCCAGGAGTAGCACGTACCAGAAACAAGGTATAGATCAAGGCGTACACCATCCTGACGCTACCACAGACGATGTTCTTGGACGCAAGCTCTAGAGAGCTACTGACTATCGTGCATGTAAGTCAGTGTAGAGTTTTTCGTGCTGAGGTTCGACTCACGAATCAGGTATCCTGGCAGGATACCTACGATGCCGGACGAGGAGATCGCAGTGTAGCAGAACAGGTGGCTCGACCTGATGGCGCTCAACCCGCGGGAAGCGAATGAGACGATCATGGACACAGTGATTCTATGCAATGGTCAGCGGTAGCACAAGGCTCGACAGATACGGGACTCACTCGTAGACTGCCGCATACATTGCAGATCTGGCAGCAACTTGGACTTGCATGACCGAGAGGAATACTCCAGTGACACCCGCAATCCACATGTCAATGATCGACCCGCCGAACGCCAACGGGCAGATCATCGCGGACAAGAAGAAAGCGAAAATGATCCGGACGGTGCGACGGTAGGCAGGTCGGGATGTCAGAAGGTGCTCCAGAAAGGCCGCCGCCTCTTGCGCGCTGAGCTCGTCGTGCACAACTCTGCGGTAGAGGACATGCACCGTATGCAAGCTCCCGAGGTCCAAGCTTCCGGCACACTTGACGAAGCGCAGGTCGGACGCCCTCCGCATCTTGTCGCCGAAGGAGCACATGATGAGTCCGGGGATGTGGACGAACTCGGCCTCAATCTCGAGAACACGAGCTGCAGAGACGAGCTGAGCTTCGATACGGTGGGAGGGTGCGCCGAAGGTCATCAGACATCCAGCGAGCCGTATGAGGAATTGCTCTCTCCAGTATATAGCTAGGAGCAGATTAGCAACTCGACGAGGGCGCTCTACCTAGGCCACTTACGCGAGACGTTCCACTCGATCTTGACGCGGCTCATGTACTTCTTGCGCTGGACGTATGTCATGTTGGACATCATCTCCGCCTCCTCTGCAGAGCCGACAAAACCCTCGTTATGTGAATGTGGGTGCCTTCCGGTAGCCTTGGGGTCGTGAGGATCCAGCAATTCCGGGTCTGCGTCGCTGTCATCCGATCTGTTCGATATACCCGAGTTCGTGCGAGGAGCAGAGAACCTAGACAACGGCGGGTCGTCCTCCGGGCCATTGTGCGCCTTCTCTCTGGTCATCGACCAGGGCTCTCCTGTACTATCCGTGGAGTCGGTTCGGCGCATGGGACCGCGGTGCGAGTCTCCCATGAAGCGAGCGATGAGGTTGTCGAAGTAAGATCGGTGATGGCCCTCTTCCTCTTCCTCATCGTCATCGTCGTAGGGAGTGGAAACGCGCCGGTCCCTTCTGTCGTCCTCGTTTGCGTGCTCTCTGCGCCAGGCTGCACCGTCTGTGTCGTGGCGATAGCCTGCTCGACGTCGAGGACGACCTTGAGGCGGACCGTGATCCTCGAGGCGAACGCTTTCAGGAGGTCTCAAGCTATCAGTCTGGCCCTTCATTCGAGAAGACGACCCGCTGTAATGAGTTGTGTCCTCCGAACCCGAGCCATAGAGGGTTGCATCACTGTCATTCGACCCACGACTTCTGGAGGATATGTTGTCGACATGCAGGAGATTGGATGTTCTATGGTCGAGCGGATCCATGTTACGCTCCTCCGCGAAGTAATCGTCGTTCGTCCGCGGTAAGCGACGGCCGTGCCGCTGAGGGAACGACGTGTACGGCATGATCCTAGATCAACGCTCTGAAAGCTGTTTTAGCTTGGAAGTCTGCGTCCGGTATGAACGAGTGAAGCTTTAGCGTTGAAAGAGTGCGAAGCGGGACATACAGCGTGGAGAGGTGATGACGACTCCAACGTCTTCCAAGCTGAGTGTCAGCCGCCGTGATTCCAATTTTGACTACAACTAACAACGCAATATTGGCCATATTCCAAACAGCTCTTACAACGCCCGCTTCAGTTTAGCAATCAAATGATGGCTGAGACCATACTCGCGACACGCACCTTCAGTTCCGAAGCATATCATCGATGCAGCATGTGTATCGACAGACTCAGAAGCCGTGCTCATCGCAGTTTCTGCATGGTGTCCGAGTATTAATTATGCTCCGTTTGTCGCGAGGCCCAGCTCTAGGGTAGCTGAGTCATCAACATAACACGGGGAGTTACGTGTAACATAGAGAGGCCTCTGATCGCTGCTGGCGCATGCGAGCTGAGGATGATGGCTGTCACGGTTGGAACTTGTGGAGGATTGGCTTTAAGAACGGCGCCATATGATTGGACAGCGCATGCGATTGGCCACCCGCGCATGCATCGGACGTGGGATCTGACAGCATCAAATTCGGCTCTGAATTTGACTTGCATGCGACGTTACGTTGGGCGCCCACGACGCATCTTCAGGGTCATAGCTTGTGTACCTACCCGATCTTTGGTTACCTGTTCATGTTCATTTTCGACGTCGTTCATTTACTGGCAGAAGATAGCAGCTGATATCTTGTCTAAGTGCTACACATGGTCCGCCGCGACGTCGGGCCTTGGACCGCGGCGCTTCTGGCATCAAGTGCATCTTGATAACGCAGCTCGAAGACAGGAGGTAAGTAGCCTGGTTTGGCTTTCGCACCCCCCACAGGAAAGCATCACAGAGCAGGTGAGATCATCTGTTTGTATTCTGGTATTAATGGTTGCTAAGTTGTTCGTGCGGCGTGCAGTACCAGATTGCTGTTGGACAGACAGTGTTAACCAATCCCAAGTATCCCAAATGTCCGACACCGGAGGAGTCTACGTCAGGGAGGCTAGGGCGTCGGATTCTGCAGCGCTCTCTCGCATATGCCTGCTCACCGGTGATGCGGGCCAGTCCGCGGAGCATCTGCACGAGTTCGGAGAGCTCATCGGTCTAATGTACGCCGAGCCCTACGTACACCTCCCCGCTGGCTTCGGCTTTGTCATGGTGGACCCCTCAAAGTCCGACGCAGTCGTCGGCTACATCCTCGGTACGGCCGACACTCGTCTTTTCGAGCAGCAAGCCTCCGAGTCGTGGTTCCCTGAGGTCCAGAGACGCTACCCCTACCCTCCGCGACACCCGCAGGACCCAGATCGCCCGCTCAGACCAGCCGACGAGCGCTACATCCGCACCATCCACAACCCGCCCCGCGCGTCGGACATGCAGATCGCGTTCTCCCCCGCGCACCTGCATATCGATATCCTCCCCGAGTATCAGCGACAGGGCTGGGGAGGCCGGCTGATGGCACGCGCGGTCGAATACCTGAAAGAGAGGGGATTGGATCGCGTGTGGCTCGGCTTGGACCCGCGTAACGAAAACGCGAAGAAGTTCTACTTGAAGCTCGGCTTTGAGAATCTGGAAGGGGCACCGGACGGCGTTATGGGGCTGGAGTTCTGACGGGCAAGGCTAGATGTGTTCGTAGTAGGTATCTAATAGCTATCCTCCGAATCGGACTGTGTCTTTGCAGCGCCTTTGCAGCGTGCACAGGCAGCAGTGGCCGCCGCAGCACGCGCCTGTGAATGTACTAGTCTCTAGGAGATGTGTTTGGGCACAGCTACGATCAAGCGATGAAGGTTGATATCCGATGGCGCAAAAAGGGTCGTGGGTTTACCGCAGACAGGAGTCTGAGGAGACGCGTTCTCATTCGCTGTCGCCACTGGTACGCCGCTCTGGATGTCGGTAGCACGAGGCCAAGACGACCCCAGCGGCATCTGAGCTGGTCATCTGCAGGCAGCACACGGCATCGTGTGTATTGGACCAAGCTAGATCGTGCATGTCGCACGCTATCATTCGCTGACGCCTCGATAGGCTCGATAGACGCGAGGATGCGCGCGACAAGAAGCCACTAGCCACGGCCAGGCTCAGAATAATGGGCCTATCAGCACCGGGGGTAGCCTCTAGCATCCTTCGTAGCTTGCGACGAGTTTCGATACGGGGATAGAAGCGAATGAGAGGGATGCCAGCCCGTGCCGAACGAAGATGCACGAACGCAGCGAACTTCGACGCGTACCAGACAGCGGGGACTCGGATGCGCGCGTCATAACCCGTCCACCTGGTAGCTGGCAGTCCCACCAGCACGGCGCGCGCATGATCACCGGATTCCGGAAGGCCCGTATTTGATATGCAGCATAATTGTCGAAGCCCACGGCACACGCGCTGGATCTCGCAGTGGACGCGGGGATGCCGACGGCTCGAGGGGACCAGCAACCCAGCGAGCGTGCAAGCCTTCTGATCCCTCGTAGCTACCCCGCACCTCGATCGCTCGGCAGCACGGCGCGTGTGGCGGGCCGCTGATGATAGGTATCAGTGGGACCAGCCAATCCGCGTGCGCCCCGAGATGGAAGGTGTAGGATCGCGAGGAGAGGCTGTACGGCATGGGTGGGCCCCTTCGCGGTGCGCGACGCAGCTAGCCTCGTCGAGACCGCGGCTGCTGACTGAGGGGACAGCGTGCGGCGGTCACTTGTGTGCGTCCTGGGACGTGGGGTACGTAACGATGCGCGTGCGCGATGGGCCAGGGATGTGCGCGTACGAAGTAGGCACTGGGATCATGCACCGAGCACAGGGAGTCATACGTGCTTACTGAGTACTGAGTACCGAGCGTTGACCCCGCTGACCGCGACCGTGGCCAGGGCACAGCGGCTTACAGATGTTGGTCTTTGGCGAGCGTGACTACGGAAAGCCAATCAGTCGCCCGCGCCATGAGCGTGTAACGTGAGCACTTACGTGAAAGGTTGCACGGTCGGGGAAGACATCACTTGCGTACGGCAAGGAAGATGTGCGACGGATGCTCGAGACCGGACCGACGGCTGACTAAGATGGAGTGCGAGCGGACGTGATCGCGGACGTGCTGAGAACCTAATCTGCGTGGAAGTAGTGGAACCTTAATAAAGTATCAGGCAGCCTGTCTACGACGTCGGAAAAAACGCGGAGAGAAGACGGAAAGCTTCATGAATGCTCATTCGTGGTCTACTCACCTTGGCCTGACCACGATCCACCGGAAATGGAGAGTGTGACTGCGAATCATGTAGATGGGCGTGGAGGAACCGTTCTTTCGTTAAGATTCGAGTTCTACGGGCAATAAATCGTGGGGCAACGGAGATGCAGTGGCCAAGAACGCTTAAATATGGGAGATAGTGCGCCCATCACACAAGAGCTTCTCGCCTTCTAGTTGAAGGTTCCCGCAGCTTGGTGGACACCGAGGAGTTGGTCAACATCAATGCACTCAGCGCAATGGGATTGAACAGTGCATGTGTTATTGCGACAAAATCAAACTTGTCTCGCCCGAGGCGAGGATCCTGCGGTAATCAGCTTGAATATGGAGTCTCGCCTGCGCCTACAAGGATGTATGGGCCATCCAGCTAGCCAACAGAATCAGTCTCGCCACCACCGCACGGCCCTCCTCGGCCGTTCTGGAGAGCAGCCTTGTCCGATTCGAAAGCGATCGATAGGCCACCCACACGCATTAGACTTGTGTCAAGATGCGTCGTCGTCAACGGGTCATCTCGATCCCGAAGCATCCTCCAGGCTGTCGTTGACGGCCCAGAGGCATACTGGCCGCGTCTATTAGGCGGGGATCTTTGTCAGACAAGGATATCCTGAGGTACGAAGGTTGAAGGAATTGTCTACGTCTGCCTGGGGAGACTAGGGATCTTCGCATTTGTATTTCCCACCGCAGCGCCGCCGCCCCGCCCACGCTGAGACCCCTTGCGTCTCGGTCAGTCGGACGGGCTTCTCAGACACCATAACGACCTGCGGGGAGGATGGCGGCTGCCGGCATGTCGTCCACGCGTTGTGGAGCTCCACCGAGTATCTAGTGCCGTCTAGTCGCCGGCGCGCTGCCTCTCGCCATGCTGAAGACGGCCTTTCCACCGTCTGAAGGCGGCCAGGAATAATCCAGGTTCGACAGGGGATGCCACGTTGGGCGTTTCCGTTGCACTGTGGACTCGGAGCGTATGTCAGCGCCCGACCGCGGAGCAGGAACGGTGATCGCGCAGCGCCGCGATCGCGACCGAGAGCGGACGAGGCGGGTCGCTTGCACCCACGCCGCCCGCAATTATACAGTTCCAGCCCAAATATGGATATTCTTGCCTGCATAGAGATGACCGATCAATTGACACAACCTATTGTACAACGGGCTTGGTACGGCTACCTGGACGCATCGAGAAGCAGCACGACGCGTGCGGAGAATCAGAGAATGCGGTCCAGCGGTGTCTGGCGGTCTGCAGACGGGTGTTCCCCGCACATATTATAAAGACCAGTCCTACCGAGAACAACCTAGGAGCTGGCCATGTGTCAGCCGCATGCGTCGAGCTGTGGGGAGCCATTCATCGCCTGCCACCGCCGCCGCCGCCGCCACCACCTTCTTTCTCTTCCTCGCCCGCCGGGGCAATCACTGCGTCGGACATTAGCGGCGAACACAAAATATTGGGATGGTTCCTCACGAAGCGCGACCGCCGCGACGGCGATGTACATCCAGTACTTTTGCAGGAATGACTTCTCAGGAGGCGGCACGGCTGGGGTACCTTCTGGGGTCAATGGCGGGGGAACGCGTAGGCTTGGCCTGGAGTAGACGAGATGCATAATCAGCACGTCGATTGAATCATCGATGATGAGGCGCGACGTCAGGGAATGCCGCCGCCATTTTGGAATATCTGTAGAACTAGACAAGGGACGCACAGAGGTGGCAACGTCGGCGACTTGACGAAGACGGCTGTATGCTGCGTGTGGAGCAGTTCGGGGGCGCTCTCGCTCTCGGGCGAGCCCTCGCCTGCCGTTACCAATGTGCTCCCCTTTCCGCGACCGCGCTTGAGCTTGGGGCACGAGCCGTCATGAGGAATAGGGCCGACGAAGTAGTCGAGCGTGAAGGGTGTGCCGTCCGAGTCTACGTGGACGGTGATCTCCTCAGACGTGCTGTGGGGCAGGTAGCACTACACAACGCAATACGCGCGGTGCACGGGGCGGGCGTGAGATCTAGATGGCGGGAGCTAGAGGTGCCGCGCCGCCTGGGTGCGTCGGCGGGAGCACCCAGGCGGCCCGGCGGGAGCAGGGGCACTCACGGCCTTGACGGACGAGATGTCCCATGTTGAGGGGTCTGCGCCCTCGCGCTCCAGGGCGACCTGGTAGAGCGCGCCGGGTGTGTGGTGGAGGGTTGCAGCGAACTGCGAGAGGTCGGCCTCGAGGCTCTGGGTGGGCGCGAGGCTGGCGCGGGCGGCGGGGCCAGAGGCGGACACCGAGAGGACGGCGCGGGGGCGGAAGGGCGCGTCGGGGCTGGCGGGGTCGACGACGCGGTGGAAGAGGCGGGGGGACGCGTCGGCGAGCGCGGGCGGGAGGGCAGCGAGCAGCAGCCAGTGGACGAGCATGGCAAGACGTGTCGCGCCCGTCACGCCCGCGGCCAGCGAATCACAGCACGCCGGCCCAGCGGCGCCCGGCATCGCGGCAGGCGCACGATTGGCTGGGATGCGGTGCGGGAGAAGCGCACGAAGGGCCCGCATGTGGCCTGGTGTGGCGTCCAGAACGGCTCCCACTGCTCCCACCCCACCTGCCGCACTGGGCGACCCGCAACGCCGCGCCCCGCGTGCCCTGGGCTCAGATATCTGATCACATGCCTGCTGAGGCTGCTCTCGCTCGCCGCAGGCTGCGCTCGCCTCGCCGCCAGGTCTCGCGCGACCAGACACGCTCAGCCGCGCACAGGCTCGACAATGGCTTTGCGCCTCGCAACGCAGGCGAGAAGGAGCCAATCAAGGGTCTGGCAGGCAGCTGATTGGCCGGGGCGAGCGGCGGCCCCCATTGGCCAGCAGGCAGTACGAGCGCGGTCTGGACTGCTATTGGCCTGGCCTCGTCCTTGTCCGTGTGTCCTACGGTCGAGACTCCACCATCCTCCATAAATGCCCGTCCGCCGTCCAACCAGCTGCTCCTCCCGCCTCCCGCATCTGCCCTTTCTCCTCCCGCACCCAATCCCAGCACGCCCTCCCCTGTCCTCCCCCGCCGACCGCAATGGCCACCATGACCGAACACGCCCTCCCCACTCCCCCCCACTCGCCCCTCGCGCTCGAGCCCGCCCGTGGCGCGGACGTCCTCCTGGACTCCCTGACCGCCTTCTACCAGCAGGAGCGCTACTGGATCCACCACACCCGCGCCGCCCTCGAGGTCGCCCTTGCCAAGGGCTCCGACGCTCGTGCCATTACCTTTGGTGCCTCCTCGCCCTCGGAAAGCCCCAGCGTATCTGTCGGCAGCCTTACGCCCGAGAGCGCATCGAGCCCCTCGGCGTCCACGACCTCCACCATGGACGAGCCTTCCGCCACAGCCGCGCTCCCAACTGTAAAGACGGAGCCAGACATGCTCCCGGATGCCTTGTCTGCCTCCGATCACAGCGCCGCACTCGCGAAGCGCATAACGCGCTGGAACCGGCGCAAGAACATGATGAAGCTCAAGCTCGAGGGCATCTCCTCGACCGCTTTGCGTCGACGCCGGCCGCACCGCGCGCCGGTGTCTGAGCCGGGTGCACGGCTGCTCGAGATGTTCAGCGAGCTCGTCGACGCACGCATGGAGAGTTGCCAGCGGGTCTCGCGCCTCGTCCGCGAGACGCACCGCCCGCAGCCGGAGTTCCTCTCCCTGGCCATGTGCTGAGCCCCTAGGACGGCAAGGTAAGCACCAGCTGCTCATGATCTGCGCAGTGAACACGGTCGCTGATCGGCTTCTGTTCGCTCCCAGGTTATTGCATCCTATGCTCTGCATTATGCCACCCACCATGTCCCCACCTACCGCCCTCTCTGCCCGCAGGATACCCGGCGCCGAGGGAGAACCTCTCGAGGCGCTGCGCGGCGTGGGGGGGCGGCGCGATTTGGAAGCAAGATACGGAGTCAGTGACACATCCGAAAGAATGCCTTGCGACGCGGCCGACAGCCATACGGAGCTCCTTGTCGCGGTGCGGTGGTGGTCGAGGTGCACCCAGACAGGTCGCTCCGAGCCTCGGTCGCGGTCTTGCGCGCGGACTGGCCAATCAGCGTGGTGCAGCCGCTAGAAATCATGCTACGGTCCGCCTCCGTCAGATACGCTTGTACTGTGTATGCACTAGAACCCCTGGGAACCCCGTCGTGATATGTATTGTGTCGCTATTTGCATGCTATGAATCTGTTCTTTCTGCAGTCACCCGTCCGCGGTATGAACGGCTGTGAGAAGCATGCACCGGGAGATTGGTCGCCGTCACAAGGCAAAGCTGTGCCGCTCACCCGCAAGAGGTCACTGCGGCGAAGATGGATGCTGTACGCATCGCGATGGACGAGACCAGACGAGACCAGACGTCGAACTGAGAAGGCGATGAGCGAGATGATGCAACGGTGCGAACGCGAGCCCGCACTCAGAAGAAGCCAACCTGAGATACGCGAGGTGGCTGGCCAATGAGGATCGCCTCCGCCACCGGCCAGATATCGTGAGTTTCCATAATAGGAAGGCTCGCGACGATTGGCCAGGCGGTCCAGACGCGTCGTCCATTCGATTATTTCGGGGCTTGTTATGTACGTTCTCCCCGCCGCCCCGAGTGCCTTCAATTGCTCCTCCGCCATGCATCATTTACACCTCAATCCGAAACGTAATCTCATGTAAAGACGACTAGTAATACTAGCGGAAGTCGTAAGTATAAACTGGGCGGCACTTCTACGTAGCCTCGTTAGCATTTCATCACTGCAACCTCGGGCGAACTCCAGCCTGAGGTTGTGAGTCGTCGACACCGGAGACACTCCGACGTACTTACGTGTTGCCTCGTATCTTCGGGGTCTGTTTCGTATTGTCATTGACAATCAGTCGCGTTGAGTGCTCTCGATTGGTCAGCCGTACCAAAGTTCGGTCAATTAAACACAACCTCCGTCTGAGAGTTAGGCCGGACCGTACGTTTGTAATCATGTGGCATAAACTATGCCAGAGTCCGTAAGTATACTATCGGAGCCATTGGGTACATTTCCATGGAAGTAAAGTGCGAACTACAGATACGTCCGTTCGTTGGAGTGTCAACGCTACTGACAACCCGTGTCGAGGCGTTTCATGCCCCAAGAGCAAACAAAGGAATTTAGGATTCAGACTGCCTGCCCGAGCGAGGTGTTCACCTCCACGTCCATCATAATCTCTTTTCTTGAGACGTCTAACAGGTCCTGGTCGAACTGTATCCTGCCCTTCTCGAAGCAAACGACGATCGCGGAGCCTCCGAACTCGAAGATGCCGCCCTCGTCCCCCTTCTTGACCTGCAGCAACAAGCCATCCATGTGTCAGGGATATGAGTGACGGTTTCGCGGTAAAATACTTACAGGAAAGTCGTAGCTCCGTGGCGATTGACTTACTCTGAAGACTTACTTTCGCGCGACTTAGACTTGTGCGATTGGCGCCCGGCCGACGTGCCCGAGGCGGCCTTGCCAAATCGGGATGAACATCGCACTTGCCGGGACCACTGCGCCAGACGGTTTCCCCTTTATTCTCTGTGATGCATGACATTTCTGCATTGATTAGATACACTTTCAACTTATGTCATAATATCTGTCCCTTTCGATACCATGAGAACCGCGGGCTCAAGGCCATGGCTCTCCTACTGAAGATCCCGGGCCATTCGTCTCGTCAATAAGAGGGGCTATGGAGTATGAAAAGGCATTTCACAGCTCCGAGTCTATAATATGATGATCGGGCCTCCGGGGTTCGTGCTATCCATGTCATGCAATGGACAGCCGCAGTGCGCGTAGACAAAGTTGCCACAACTGGCTGATGATTCCGCATTAGGCAATTGATCAGCCGCCGAAGCGGACTTGGGCATTCTAGGTGAGCAGACAACGGGTGTGTCTCACTGCAAACTATATACAGTATTAGTGACTAGACAAGAAATATATGCATGATTGTAGAGACCAAGTGCACGAAACGGCATGAATTTATGTCCAAAGGGTACGGTTCACGTGTCAACTAAGTGGTAAGTCTTACGCGACAACTAAGTTCTCACTGTAAGTATTTTTCCGCGATAACGACCGTCATACAGGGACCACGGTTCATACAAGTCGGACGCAGAGTTCACTTACCTTAGAGCCTGGCGTCATGAACGGCTGGTTGAACTTGACCGTACCGACCTCCTGTGCGCCGATCGCTACGAAGAGCACGGCGCCGAACTCGGGCGAGTCGATGCACACGGCACAGCGTGCAATCAGACAGAGGACGTTGACTGCGCTCCGCAAGGCGATAGGGTCGACGCCGTAGTAGTCACCGTCGATTTCCTTCCACCATCGGACGGTGCCGCTCACAGGGCAGTGGTAGCGGTGGTAGTCTGCAATGGCATTCAGTCCCATGCTCAACTCATGAACGGAGGGGAACTGGCCTTGGGGGCTGAGTCGGTAGCTTGCGACCGCGCCGTCGTCCCAAACCCGCGCCGCGACCTTGTCAGTGATGAGGTTCCCAATCGTGAAGTTCTTCCCCTTGATCCACAGCCTTGTCGTCTCCGCCACGGAGTCGTAGCACACCACCCGTGCATCCGCCGCGTTCACCGCGATGGTGTCGTCGCCCTCCGCTGTGACCGGCCTTGAGCCCGGGCGGTGCCTCCGGACGAAGAAGTCCTGGAAGGAGCCGTACGCGTCGAGGTCGGGGGGCTCGAAGTCCGCCATGTTGATGTTGTACGCCTCGACGAACTGCCGGATCTGCGCCCTGGACTTTGGGGAGGACTCGGCCTTGCCCTCGTGCACGGCCTGCTCGTGCAGGTGCCACCGCATGAGATGCGTGCGGTCGAACCAGTCTGTGAGCGGGTTGAAGAGCACGAGGAGCCGGAGCTTTTTGATTAGCGGCTGTTGCTCGCGGATGTACTCTCCCGTCTGGCGAGAGGAAAACAGGCGACGTCAGTGCGATGTATACCTAGGAACGAAATAGCACGTACTTTGCGGCTCATGGTCATCCAACCGACCTGCCCTTTCTGCAGGACGTTGGCTGTCTGCAACGTATAGTCAACAATTGAATGTAGGTAGCTGGTCATTGGGAGTGTTGTCGGAGGTCGTGCACAGGTTCGTTCGTCTCGCGGTCCAAGACGGTAGAGCATGCATGCTCCTCCACATGCATGCAACTACGTCACCATGGAGGTGGGCACGCGAGGCATCCCTATGGCCCTAATTATTCTCGCCAAGACATATATAACTCATAGCGGACTTGAGCACAACCTGGTCGTGAGCAGCTATGCTGGGCGATGGTTGAGAGAAGCACGAGCGGTGATCGTATCTAAAGCGGGCGTCCGGGAGAGGCGTGGCTGGAGCCAATCAGGAGCGTGGCAGGAACCAGGCTGCTTACGACGGCGGGCTGTGATTGGGCAGGGCGGCTGGGCGGGCGTTATCTCAGCGTCGGCCCAGCGCCATCAGCCGCACCTCTTGCAGTACCAACAGTCTACCCTCACTTGTACTCCCATTCCGCTAGTCCCAGCAGCCCCTTCACTCCTCTCCGGCGAGGCATATGCCTGCTCACTATGCGCCCCTCCCCAGCTCACACACCGACCCCGACGCAGACCATGAGCTAGAGGCCGCCTTCGACGACTCTGACGACGAGGATGACCAGCAGGGCGCCCCTGGACGCACACGCAACGGTTACCACGAGCTCGCTCACGACGAGTCCGCCGCCTCGCCGTCCGACCCAATCGCCCCCGAGCCAGCCCCGGGGACATACAACTTCGAAAGCACCGACTTCGACTGGGTCCGCCCGCCGCCAGGCTCCCCGCCAAGTCCTACTCGCGCGCTCGCTAATGACTACGGCAACTCGAACGGCGTCGTGCCGGTATTGACAGATATGGATGGTGCGAGGAGGGGTGGGTGGTTCAGGAGGACCGCCGCCGCAGTGCTACCAAGTCACTACGTTCAGCAGTTCGGGCTTGCGCAGGAGGTCCCAAGAACACCTGTGGGCGGCGGGACGAACAACGATGGCGTCTTCGCCAATGTGGTTGCCAAGCCGTCTCGGTCTGTGGTCATCCAAGAAGGTATGTGGTACATCCGTGCATCTGCCGCTGCGTCCTGGTGCGATATGTTCCGAGTCTCCCTTCGATCATCCATCTGTCGGTGCACGGGCGCGTGTCCCCTCTTGTTGCTTCTGAGCTCCTTGTTTCTTCCTGCTGGTATGCTGGCTCGGCGCGGTATCCCCATGGCTCATGGCTCACGCGAAGACGGAGGACCAGCCGCCCTGCATATACTGCCGTAGCTTGCTGGGATAAAGGGGATCCGTGCTCCATGTTTCGGGGCTCGCATCTTCACAGTTCTAGCGTACCGTCTAGAGCGTCCATTCTGTGTTCAACGGGAACCAAACCGGAGGCCTGGACAAAGTTGCTAGGTTGCTGACCCGTCTCACTAGGTGACGAGACGTTCTTGGTGCCGGAAGATGCGCAGAAAGACGCACCACCATCCTACGCCGCCGCCCAGCAAGATGCCGTACCACCCTATTGGGAAACAACTATCCACGCCCCGACTGCCTCCACCGAGCCCGGTGAGATCGTCATTGACGGCCTGCCCACTGGCTCGCTCTTCTCCTTCCTCTGGAACATGCTCGTCAGCGTGTCCTTCCAGTTCGTCGGTTTCATGCTCACGTACCTGCTGCACACGACCCATGCCGCGAAGCTTGGCTCGCGTGCGGGCTTCGGGATCACGCTCATTCAGTACGGCTTCGCTATGCGCCGGGACAGCCAGGAGGCTGGCTACGGGCAGACCACGCAGGAGGCGTGGAACAGGCCACACTTCTCAACGCCGCAAGAGGCTGAGAATTACTACCAGAACTTGAACGCGACAGCACCGACGACGGAAGAGCCCACGAACGCCGATGGCAGCAACCCGTTCTTCCTGGGCGACGCCGCGGCTGAGTGGATATCGTTCCTGCTCATGACGATCGGTACGTTATCCCCCTCACGAGTCACTGCCCTTTCTCACGGCCTGCAGGGTGGTTCGTCCTCCTCACCTCGCTGCTCGGTTTCTGGCGCGTCAAACGCTGGGAGCGCGGGATCCTCAACTCGCAGCGGGACAACCCGTCCGAGCGGCACGCCAACGGGCCCGCCAACGGCACGCTCATCCACTCGCTCGAGCGCGCCCTGGGCATCAACGGGCTCGCGGACGGCTCGCTCATCCGCACGGGTTTCGGGCTCGAGCGGCCAGGCGCGCGCGAGGGCGACCTCGAGGCGGAGATCGCTATTGAGCGCATCGTGGGCCCGTTCCACGACCCGGAGGAGCGCGCGGCGCATATGGCGGAGCGCAACGAGTACCAGCTCCCGCTCACGGATGACCCCGAGCAGAACGCGCGCGTCGCGCAGGCGATGGCGGAGCAGGCGCGGCTGCACCATAACTTGCGGCAGGCAGGGCTTATTTAGGCCACCGACGCCGCGCGGCGCGTTCTCTCCCTATCCTTATCGGTCACAGTTTGGCGGGATTTTGTACGAGGGCGGTGAAGTTGCGTTTTATGCTACGACACGTACAGTCTAGGCGGCGTGCGGAGTACGTGGGCGCATGTATATGGGTAGTCTTTTGTCGACGTCGGACCCTGGTCGGACCCACACAGGTTTGGTTGCTGCATGTAATATTACCTACCATACATATCGTTCGTTCCTGTTCGAAATCTTCTTGCTGCTATCTTAAGCGTCCACCGGGCAACTGCGTGCTTCTTACAGGCCGTTCATTCCTTCGTCTTCGCTCTGTAACGATACGTGAAATGCGATAGTATAATCATCGAACACATTGGATTGTACATCTGTTGGATACACTGCAACGCTTCTCCAATTCTACAGTTCAGCGGTGTCATTCTGCATACCCCACTCCGTTGATGATGCTCAGTCTGAGTTCGTCCAGACGGCCTGCATCTCGCCCTTGAACGGCTCGAGAGTGAACTCGACAGCGGAGCACGGGAAGGGGATCTCGAAGTTCTCGAGCACGGTCGGGTGCAGAATGCCGAGGACGCCGATCTCCTGGTCGTTGGGCGAGCCGACTGCAGCCTTGATGCTGCTCTTCAGGTGCGCGAGCGCACTGGTGTGCCTCTCCTTGGGAGGAGCGCGGTAGTAGATCGTGGCAGCACGGCCGGGGAAGAAAGTGGGGTCTGTTGATGCGATTAGTACACACACGAGAAGTAGACACGAATGCACATACCCTGCCTCTCCTTGATGTAGTACCCGGTCTCCGCCTTCGTGTCTGTGCTCGCGATCCTCGGCACCTCCAACATGCGCATGATCCTATCCAGCAAGCCGTGGATGACCTCGAAGCCCGCGGTCTTGTTGCACCAGACCGCCGCGGCGTGGCGGACGTTGCGCGCCTGGCGCTCGCGCGTCTTGTCCTTGAAGACGACGTCGGCGGTCTCGAACACCTTGATCGGGAGCGGGTGCGAGCGGTTCTCGCGGATCGTCTTGAGCAGGCCCTGCAGCAGCGACGTGCGCACGACCTGGAACTCGAGCGTCTTCGGGTTCGCGATCCGCACGGCCTGCGTGCCGTCGTCTTTGCGGTTGAGCCACGCGAAGTTCTCTTCATGTGAGCACTGGGCGGGGATGTTAAGCGAGGGAAGGGAACACTGGACGCACGGGTCTTACCAAGATGAGAGGGAGGGCCTCCACCCAGCCCGCGAGCGCCCACTCGATGCGGACGATGTCGCTGAGTTTGCTGATGGCTAGCGGCTGCGCCACCGTGCTCGTGGCAGGGAAGGTATCTGGCAGCTTGTTGAAGCCATACGCGATGGCGGCATCCTCCATGATGTCGCACTCGTGCAGGATGTCTGGCCGCGTGGGCGGGATTTGCACGATGACCTCGTCCGAGTTCTCCGTGGAGAGCGTCGCAGAGAGGGTCATGCGCTCAAGGAGCCCCGCAACCTCCTTTGCGCTCAGGTTCAGCCCGGTACATGAGTTGACGTAAGAGGCGTGAGCGGTCGCGGGGCGGTAAGTGAGGTCGGGGGTAATGCGGGTGGTGCCATCAGGGTAGACGACCTTGCACGGCTCGATGCTAGAGGAGCGGTATCAGACACCCTGACACGATGGCAGCGATGACACGAACGTACGCGAAGGGCTCAGAGCAGTATTCTGAGAACATCGTCGTAATGATGTTTGCGACGATTGCAAGCTTCGTCTCATCCGTCGCGGTGATATCAATGAAGATATTACGCGTGTTCATGGTAATCTTGCTGTGGTCCGAGTTGATGATGGGAGGCATCGAAAGCACTGTGTCGTGTGTGTCGTAGATGATCGGGTACACAGGTGAGTCGCGGATGATAGGCAAGTACCGCGACAGATGCTTTTCTGACTGGATATGACAAGGCTTGGGCATACATACCTACCTGGATACACTGTGCACATACCTCGTACACCGTCATGAGCTCCTCTGCAGTGTATGCTTGATCCTTGTTTAGAGGAACAAACTTGATGTCCTTCGGCGGCCGTGCTTCATATCTGAACGGCGGCTTCAGTGTGTCCAGGTCGTGCGTACCGATCGCGACAAATTGACGTCTTCTACATAGATTCTGGTGCAGCTTGTCTTGGAGGTCAATGAAAGAGTCATAGGATAGTTGAGTGAAGTGAACATTGCGCAGGACGGCGCATGCAAAGTATGGTCGGATTCGCTTCGTCTGCAAAAGTTGAGCATCCAGCACGAGGTACGTGAAAGTGTATATCACACCTCAGGGGCGACTGTGACCGTCAAGAGATCTGACTCCCCTCCTGTTGGATACACCAGCTTGTATTGAGGAGCCTTGTCAAGTCCAAGGAATACCCGTAGTGCGCGAGCGATGCCTTCGATGCAAAGGAGATCGTATCTTGTCCGAAGGAATTCTCACTCTGTAAGCGGTGAAGCTTGCACTAGATACATACCTGTTTGCAGGGATTTCTATTTTGAGTTGCTATGGAGAAGGTAAGTTCTACATCTTGTACGACAATGTAGCATATTACCCACCGGACGCTCTGCGGGCAATCCCTTCCTCCTCGCGGCCTCCACTTCCTCAGTTGTCTTCGGGTAGCTTGCATGAGTTCGCAATCGCCGATGACTGCCGAGCAACTTACATCCTCGTCAAGCTCAAGGCCAAACTCGAACAAGAGTTTGTCGAAATCATCGGCAGCTGCACGGCGGATGAAGCTTCGTGAATACTGGAACGAGATTCGACTCACAATACTCCCGTCCCAGCCTCTTCCACAGGTCCTCCTTGTCCACGGCCACGGTAGGCATGACTACTCACAGTCCTACTTTTCAGATGTGCTTGAGATAGAGGAGCGATAGTACACAAGCGTCTCACGCACTGGATTCAGTCGAAGTCGAGTCAATCCGAGCGTGAAGCTTTCTGGATGGATGCTAAGATCTAGATCGCGATCACCCCGATCTACTTACTTATTGCCTCGGCACACACCGAGCACACACCGCTACAGCCTACGCGGCATCCTCGACGGAATTCGTTGGATCAACATAGGCTGCAATCACTCAGAGAATCAGTTGAACGTTTGTATCCTCCGATGCAGTCATGTCATGTCTAACCACTACCATGGTGATAAATTACACATCCGCGTAGAGTACAGCAAGTTTCGTGGGAACATGAGAACAAGTCTGATCAACTTCCGACACACCTGTCGTAGACTCGTACTAGTACTACCGATGCACGGTACAAGGGCTTTGGTCTCCGATGCTCACGCCATCCACATGTGTGTTACTTGCGATAAAACTGAAGGGGGGTCACATGAGTCAAACGAGCAAGCATCGATATGATAGGCAGACATACGTTGCGCCGGAAGTTGAACCAAAGTGACAGACATCCTCTGTCAAAGCTACTACGGAACCCACTGTAATGAGGTTTCAGTACTCTGTAAAGACAGCGATCACCTTCTGAAAAGCTTACCGTTTATGTGAGAACTCCCATTCGCGATTGACTATCCGGAACGCGATGTCTTCATACGGCGGGCCGGCAGTGAAGTGCAAGAGCACAGTCTCATCGTTACCCGGCTCTTTGACAATCTTATACGTCGGCGCTTTCGACTTGTCAATGAGATCAGGGTAGAAGATGTTAAACTGCGCGCGACGGATGAGCCTCATCATGGGTTCAATGCGAGCTGAACGTACTTTGTATCCCTGCACAACCTTCGGTGGGGGGTTGTCCGTACTGCAAACAGGATCAGCTCCGTGTTGTCAGGCCAAGTTAAAGTATAGACATACTCGTAGTGCGTCTGGTTGTACTTATTCCACTCGTATCCAGTGTGCACGCGATTGAAGTAACGAGGCTTCCGAGGCCTGTACTTGTCTTCCCAGTTGTAGGACGTCGGATGGGCAATGTTTTCCTCAACGTTAAAGAGCTCCTCTTCCTCGTCCAACTCTTTTTCAGCCTCAGCGCGATACAGTGCCTCGGAAGCAAGATCGGCTCCACTTGCTGGCTCGACAATCTCTACTTCCACAGGAGCCTGAGCAGTCTTCGGTACGAATCTCGAGCCAGCGACCGAGCGTCTTTGTTCCATCTGTACCGTGCGTAAGCACGGCTCACATGCAGCCAAGGAACGCTGATACTCACCAAAGCACGCAAGCCTTCTTTTGCGGTCACAATGTCGATCTGACGCTCCTCGTAGGACAACTTGCGGATATCGACGGGCGGAGGACTCATAGACCTGTCGTACGGCTCGACCTCTTCGGCGGCTTCGGCCTCTTGCTGCGCATTCATGACAGCAACCACATTGCGAGCATCGCCCCTCGAAGCAGATTTCGCGACACCGGCAAGTAGCTCTTCTTGGGCTTGCAATGCCTCGTCCCGTTGCCGCTTGCGGAGTTGCTCGAGCCTATTGCGGACCACGACCTCGTGCAGAGCCTTCAACTTAGCCTGCAAACGATGGTCTTGGTCAACGACAGAATATGATCGTTGTCTCGTAAGTCTTACCTTGGCCTTCCAGACCAGTAGCTTCTTCAACAGGCCTTCCCAGTAGTCCGTATCGATGGGTTCTCCGCTCGTGAGTTTCGTTTGCACGTGTTTCTGCAGAGCCACGAGGTGGTCATAAGACTTGCCCTTGAGCAGCGCAGTGATGTCCGCTTCGACTGCGGCTGCAGCTTCTGCGCCAAGGTGTTTGTTCGCCTTGATGTGATCTAGCTGGTCTTTGCAGACAACCATCATATTCTACGCACATCGTCAAGACCCGAATTGACAGGAAGTACAGTGTCTGCATACCGTCCAAAATTCGATGTTGATGTCGGACTGCTCGAGCCTGAGGTATTTCTCGATGTCCTCATGCAACTCTTCAACCTGCTCCGGTGTGAGGCTCTGTGATGTTTGTGAGCAAGGGTTTACTGCTGAGCACAAACTGAGGAGGGACTTACGTCGAAGATGTTGTACGGCTCATCCAAGTCAATCTCCAAGCCATCGTCTTCTTCTTCTTCCTCCTCGTCCTGTGGAGGGTTGACATAACGAAGGTTGAGCGCAAGGAAGTCGATGGCCTTCGCGCGCTTCTCTTTGATGCGGATCGCAGCCCTCCTACGCTCTTGCTCAAGCTGGAAATCCTCCTCCTTGGATAGCCAGTCTGCCATCTGCGCTGACTCCGCTAACCTATGCATCTTCACCTCTTCCTCCTCCCGCAGACGTTGGTCCGCCTCGCGCTCCGCTCGCCTGCGATTCAACCTCTCCAGCTCCTCCTTCGCCTCTTGTCGCCGAAGTGCATCTCGCCTCTGCGCTTCTTCGAGTGTGAGACCCTGTTTCCGCTCTTTCTCGTTCTTCTTGTGCCAACGGAACTGCTGTCCGAGGTTGACATCGTGGAACGGGTTGTCCGTGGCGCTGTACACACTCAGCTCGGCGACCTGCCGTGCCTCTTCCTCCTCTCTCGCACGCTTCTTCTCTGCTTTACGTGCCTTTCTATCCGCGGACTTGTCGCGCTTGCGCCTGCAGGACGGAGGGTGAGTAAGTGGCTACATAGCAGGCTACACGGTGAAGACGTACTTCTTCTTGTCCCTTTCTCCAGAATGACTCCTGTCCCTGCTTCTCTTTGAGCGATCATGGTCACTATCAGGCGTTCGGCTTCTGGTTCGACGAGACTCCCGCCTGACGTCCTCGTCTGGGTCGTGGTGTGAACGCTTGCGGTCTCGCCTGTCCGGGTCTCTGTCTCGAGACCTATCGCGGTGACGGTCCCGTTCCCGAGCTCGGTCTCTGTCCCGAGGTGATACTGAGCGGGAATCGCGTCTCGGCATGTCACTGGTTGCGTAACAAGAGCGCAAGAGCGTGCCTACTCACACTCGAGGGTCGAAGTGGGTGGTGGTGCGAGGAGACTCGGCGAGGTCCCGGGCGACTTGCCGTGCAATACAGGATGGGCGCTTATGACGCGACTCAGGACCCTGGCGGACGGCTGAGCTCATCGTCTCAGGTCTGCTCTGACGGGCTCGGACGTGGGCATCGCAGCCACGGTGCTAGCAACTTCTTCTGGATCTCTCTTCTGTCTGTAATCTAGGGTGTACAATACCACGCAAGCATCTCTGCTCCAGCAACATCATGTGGCGCACAGATATATCGCGATGCTGTCACTCCTTCAAGTTCGCTCGCCTCACACGAAGTCTACGGACGCAAGCACGCTATGACTACGCCACCCCCGAGGATGGGGGAGGACCCCCGTACTGGGCCAAGCCTGCTGGGCTTTCCACACCACGAGAGGTGTTTGCCCATACATGTATTTCATGAAGCCACGGTGTCTGATGAGTCGTGTTTCATCCTAGCTGGCCAAATATCTGGACGGGTTCGTTATTGGACAGGAGCGGGCGAAGAAAGTGCTATCTGTTGCGTATGTATCCCGGAATATGTCGGGAGCGGCTGGAATGCTCTTCTGACGAGACCCAGTGTGTTCAATCACTATAACCGAGTGCACGCGAATGCATCCATGCAAGACCCGACCCAGGGTTCGGGCTGGGTAGATCAACATCACGACGATTGTGAGTCTATAGATGGATGTCCAATATTCAGTTGTCTCAACGGGCCGTCCAATAATCAGCTGTTGCACCAGCCACTGTACAACCACATCCCAATCGACTGCGCTTACAGTCCATGACGCCATTTCGATCCGGACGACCTCTGCCACTATTTGAGAAGAGCAATGTCCTTGTTATGTGCGTCCAGCAACTGTCAACGATGAAGCAGCACTCAGGTACTCATGCTTAACACACAAGTGGACCCACTGGATCGGGTACGTTCATACTATTCAGCCTACATGTATCCCGAGTTCAATGGCATCGCAGGCAAGACATTGCTAGCCCGGACATTAGCCACCGTACTCGACGTTCCGTTCTCAGTCAGTGACGCGACCTCTTACACCCAGGTAAGGAGCAAATTGGCTTCGTCAGTCTTCCCTGTGCATACTGACGCCACATCCGTAGGCCGGATGTAGGTGATGCTATGCGTCAATGATCGGCTTTACTGAATCCTATGCTACTAACTTAGACGTGGGGGATGATGTTGATATGTGTATACAACGACTAGTAAGTGCATGCCTTGACGGGAAGCCGAGAAGGAGAATTTCATCTCAGTGTTACTAGCTACAAGCTGCCAACTGGGATCCGATCCGTGCCAGGTGAGGAACGCGGTCGTATGAATGGGCGGCCAGCTCTCAATATTCGCGTCACTAGCATGGGCATTGTGTACATCGACGAGATTGACAAGGTAGCAAGGAAGGTAGGCAGTGGGGGCCTCGAAGGTAGCCGCGACGTCGGAGGAGAGGGCGTACAACAAGCATTACTCCGTATGACGGAAGGATCTACGATCACAGTCCAGGCTAAGGGCACTCCGACTGTGCTGCCACCAGCCGGTAGCGACGGTCGATCAAGAGCTGGCCAGCGAAATCCTGGCCTGGCTGGTCGTAGGTTTGGTTTCTTCCCATCCAAGACTCAAGCTCAGCATGTTCTTGTGCATCAGCTCGACCCGAGGCATACTCCATTGATACCAGCAACATACTCTTCATCCTGAGTGGGGCATTTGTCGGGTTGGATAGCATCATCAAACGGCGTGTGGCGAAAGGGGTAAGTCGGCGGTCTATTATCGTCGAGGCTTTTACTCAATTCCGAACTGTAGTCAATAGGCTTCACTGCTCCTCTACCCTCGTCATCGGAGACCCAAGGAAGCGGCCAGATGCCCTTCTTCACGCCGAACACAGAGGCTGCGCCAAACATGCTTGACCAGGTTGAGCCTGAAGGTGAGCCAACTGAATTTTCGTCCAGGTATCAGTCGCCCATGATCATGCTTTCCTCAGATCTCGTGAAATATGGGTATGCCATGTTGCGGTCATTCGTAGGCAACGCTGAGCCCAACCCGTGTGCAGTTTCATCCCAGAGTTCATCTCCCGAATGCCTTCCGTGACAACATTGTCACCGCTGAGCATCTCAGATCTGCGGAGGATCCTCACGGACGTTCGAGGGTCCCTTGTATCGCAATACACCGCTTTGTTTGGCTACTCGGGCATCGAGATCAGGTTTACAAGCCAAGCTTTGGACGAAATATGTCAGAAGGCTTTCCAGCGAGGCGGTGGCGCAAGAGGTTTGCGTGGTATCATGGTATGCCCCTGCCCGATGAGTCCGACGACATCGGTGACTAACGCCACCATCAGGAATCGTTGCTCCTGGAACCGATGTATGAAGCACCGTACGTGAATGTTCATTCCTTCTGGTCCCCATGATGCTCATCCTGGCGCGTTCGACAGGGGATCTGTGTGTTGACTCGTTGCGCTCGTGTTGATATTGTACACTGACGGTCTCTGCCAAAACAGTCGAAACGATATGTCCTCATCAATGGCGCAGTGGCGCGCGGTGAGGAATCACCGCAGTACTGGCCGAAGAACGAGGCGAACGCTTTCTGGCAGGCTTGGTCCACAGAGGATGAGCGGTATCCAGGCGGATCGCGGTAGCTATTGGTTCGTGGATGTTGGGGGTTGGTTTGGGGTCCTGTAAAATGAGGTCAATCTACGTCTGATGAACTGGGTGGCGTACGACTACATTTTTCGCCGCTAGTTCGGACGTCACACGAGCGCATAGAACATGAACGTAAGCATTACAGCATTACACTTTATCCATCTAAACTGCCAGGTGTACCACGGATCACAGGATGAAGTCAGACTTGGGATGTGTTGACGGGAATATGTGTGATGTCGAGGCACGAGATTTACTCTTCCTTCTTCTCCTCAGCGGACTCTTCCTTCTTCTCCTCAGCGGCCTCCTCCGCTTTCTCTTCGGCCGCTTTCTCCGCCTCCTCTGCTGGGACCCCCTCCTTCTTCTCTTCCTCCGCGTAGGCAGGAGGAGTACCACCGACAAGGTTCACGTTTGCCTTCTGCGCATCCTCGAAGGCCACCTTAAACTCGCTGGCATCTGCGAAACATCAGCTCCAGACCAAGCGACTACGATGCTATACTTACGATCCGCGTTTGCGAAGCGAATCGCGAGCGTTTCCGACGTCGGGGGAGACTCAGAGTAGTCCGCCGCCACCTTCCAGACCCAGCTCCTGTCAGATCCGATGTTGGGCTGCAACTTCATGTCCGACGTGACTATGGCGCGCGGACACGTTAGATCCGTTAGAGGCGGTCAGAGGGCCTGCTCACTGGCGTGGTTCGCGCAAACCTTGAGGGTCTTATCGCGCCTCATCACTAGCCGCACTTTCTTCGTCTCCTTGTGCTCTAGCAGCCTGACATCGCCGGTACCACGTTCCTTCCACTCAGAGGAGTCCGCAGAAAAGCGGAAGAGTTTGGCACGCCTGGACGCGTCGCACAGAGGTCGATCAGTATTGTGCACGATATAATTACAGGAGATCAATGGCGCACATTTTGAAGAGCACTTTCTCGTCCTCCTCATTCGTCTTCGTCTCTACCTGCTCCGTGAGCTTGATGACGGGCTCGAAATGAGGGTCGTGCTCCTCCTCCTGCAGCGATGTCCGAGAAAATCAGCCGTCGCGTCGCGGGTGGGCAGGCCATAGATCGCGAGCATCGATCGACGCGTCTGTGCATGCCGATGTTGGGGGAAACACATACCCTGGGAGCGAGAGCGTCAGGTGTGTCCGTCATGGTGAGATGGTGGTGGGTCGTAAAGAGTCGAAAACGATGGAACGCAGAAAGTGGCAAGCACAAGCACGTCGCGTGTGATGGCCTTCGCCCTTTGACCCAGAATTACTGGCCCGGCCCAGACCCCGGGGACTCCTTCTACGCGGTTCCGTGTGTCCCAGCCACCGCCACGACTACCGAGGCGTTCAGTACACTCCAGCGTACGGTTACCTCCCCTACCACCTCCTCGACGGACCACAATGCCCACACACTATACCCGCACTGTCCTCTTGCTATGTCTCTCCTTGCTGACCTCTCTTGCGACGGCACACATGATTGAGGTCCCAGCGGGCAAGAAGGAATGTTTCTTCGAGGACCTCCATGTCAACGACAAAGTGCGTATACGCGTCCGTCACTCAGCGCGAAAGACTCACATTTCGCAGATGACAGTGACATATCAGGTCGGAGGGGGCGGCCACCTCGACATTGACTTCTGGGTAAGTCGCATACGATCGCGTGTCACGACCAATGCTTACTAGCCGTCTGTAGTTGCAAGATCCAGACCACAACGCTTTGGCGAACCATGAAAGGCACAGCACCGGGACTGTTTCAATAACAGCAAGAAAGGATGGAAGGCACGAGTATTGCCTCTCCAATTTGATGAGCACAGTAGTGGACAAGCTCGTGAGGTACGTGCATTCGTGCCTCGTTTGCAGTCCTATACCTGAGTTGGTGTCAGCTTCAATGTCCACGGTGTAATCTATGTGGATGACGATGGTGAGCAGTAAGACTAGTCTGAGTAGTCTTTATCTGACGTTCACAGACACCGTCGCACCGATCGAGCGTGAAATCCGACAACTAGCCCACGGGCTGACCGCAGTGAAGGACGAGCAGGAGTACATCGTCATCCGGGAGCGGAGACACCGCAACACCGCCGAGTCAACGAACTCACGCGTGAAGTGGTGGTCTATATTCCAGGCTATGGTGTTGATCGCTGTTGTCGTGTGGCAGGTGTACTATTTGAAGGTGCGTTCTCTTACTCCGCACAACCTCTGCTGGCCTCACTCTTAGAGTTGCAGTCATTCTTCGAGGTCAAACGTGCATTCTAGTACATCGGGGTATTCACTCCAGCATTGGACTTGTTGAGACCGTAGGTCTCGAGGCAATCCATCCACGCATGTTGTAATCGCCAATGGTGCCAAGCGACCATATCCTCTCCACTCACGGTAGGCATGATGCGTGTTCCAGCTCGCTCCGCAGTGAGGTTTTGGGCCGTGCATCGTATGGTGCACGTTCAGCACCGCATTTGGACTGATTTGAACATCACCGCAAGCTGCTTAATCAATGACCACTTGGGTAGGTGCGCCTGTCACTGACACTGAGCCAAGCCACCTCACCTAGGCTAGACCAGGTTTCCTTTGTCTTCCCTACCAAGTTCCGCCACGGAGGAGTTGACACGTATGTGCTATGTCCGGGAAGCGGTCTACGCACTGGGAAGGGGGACCAGTTGTGGGTTCGCGACGCGCCCAAGCGACCGCACGATGTGTCACGGTGTTGTCGCGCCACGATGCTATTGCAACCCTAGACTTGGCATCCATCGCCGGAACTATGGCCAATCTCTACATGTAGCTTGTCCGACACTGCAGGATATATACACGCCGGCGGCTTCTGAGACAGCTGTTGAAAGCTCCATTGCTTCGCCACACGCAGTTTCACTACTATCCATGTTCCGAGCCCCTCGGCGCAACAGTCAGGTACGAGCCACTCATCAAAGTGTGGACTCGACTATCCGCATGCATTGAATAACACGCTACTTCCCGATGAGACGGCGTCTCCTGGCCCGCGGTACTGTTGCTATTCCGGTATGACAGCGAATGAACTTTACGGTGCGTTACATCGCTCCCTCGGGTGGGGTCTCCATAAATACGGGTCGAGCTGGAGGATCCTTTGACTGATCTGCATCACCTGCTAGTGCTTTGCTTTTGTCTGCCCCCTATCCTTGATTAGGAGCTGGTGCGTCCGATGCATCTCATTGTCGCGCGTCGATCATGAACCACCACGATATAAACGCTACCCAGCGTCGCCTCAACACGTCGCACATCTCTTCCGGCGCCAGCGCCCCTCCACCGCTGCACCCACACCACCCTGCGACTCATCGATTTCCTCTGCTGCAATGCCGGACGCAGGGAGCTCACCAACCGATCGTGCAGGAGGAGAGATGCCCTCCTTCATACAAGATGAGGAATTTTGGTACTCAGACGGTACTGTCATCCTGCTGGCTCGTAACGAATTGGCCTTCCGCGTGCACAGAGGCGTACTCGCGGATCACTCTACCGTGTTCCACGATCTCTTCGTTGTGCCTCAGCCTCCAGAAGAAGCATGCCACGCAGGTTGTCCGATAGTAACTCTATCTGACGCCCCGGACGAGCTGAGGTATCTGTTGAGGGCTCTCTATCATCCTCGCAGGTGCGTCTGAAGCTTGTGCGGCAGGAAGTTTGCTGATGATGTCATATATCGTGCATAGATACTACATGCCAGACCAATGTGTATCCTTTGCCATGGTCGCGGCACTGTTACGACTCGGCCACAAATACGCCATAGACGATCTCGTGTCGTCCGCGCTTTCGAGGCTCAAGACATGCTTTTCCACTTCTTTCGATATGTACTGCACCGCGATTACTGCTGGCGGGAGCGAGGCGATGTCATTCAGCTCAGAAGACGCGATGGCTACGGTGAATCTCGCACGCCTCATCGGCGAAGACGCGAACACCATCCTCCCGAGCGCGCTCTACACATGTTGCCAGCTGCCCGCGGAGGTACTGGCCCACGGCGTTTCCAGCGGAAGCAGAGACGTACAGAAGCTCAGTGACGCGGATCTGGAGCGGTGCATCGATGCCCGAGCACGACTGGCCGCACTTGCGTTGTCCTCCACCATCCGGAGGCTCCAGCCGACCTCAGATTTCCCAGACGATCCCGTAGCGCAGAAGGAAGGTGGTGCAAGCTGCACGCAAGCGTTCTGTCCGTCCTATCTCGCCGCGGCGGTGTCCAGAGTACTTCTTGGAACTTTGGGTCTTCCGAGACTGTCGGGAGCCTTGGATAGTATTGACTGGTTCGTCGCCAACGCCGTGAGGGGCGGGCTTTTATGCCGTGTATGCACAGAAAGCGTCAAGGACCAGGACAGGCGAGAGCGATTACGGATATGGAGAATGCTGCCGGCGGTTCTTGGCTTACAGCTGGAAACATGGGGCGAAGCCGACGGGCAGAAATTGTAATAATCCCCTCCGGTGCGTGTGCATGTGCTAGCTGAAGTCAACGCTGCTAACGTATGCGATAGTTGTGCTTGGATCATACATATGGACTGTACGTCGATGCCATGCGCGTATTTTGCGGGCGTACCAATTAATCAGGTGCGAATGTATCCTCGACATGTATTATATACTGTATGTCGTATTGAAAGTGATCCTCTGACGTTATGGACTGCCGATAGCGAGCGGGGAAGGGTATTGGCCAAGTATCACGTTCGAGAGGGGTCCCAGGTGCGTGCCTCTGGCACGTCGAGGAGCATCTCTATACACACTGATAAGTGAGTAGTAGTCATGGTTTTGTGATATCATGAACACCACATGAACGCGTTTCACTCTAGCTTTACATAACCTGCTATGACCTGCATGAACTTCGCTCGCTCCTCCCATTGGGCCATGTGCGAACTGTCCGGGAAGGTGTACCATTTGACTCGAGGCAACGCTTTCCAGACAGGTGCTATCACGCTGTCCGCGGCCTCGTCGTACGCGCCGTTCGTTATGAGGACCGGGACAGTGATCTTTGGTAACTGAGGTGTGATATTCCATGTCTTTAGGCTCCCAGTGATGGTGAACTCCGAAGGGCCTTCCCTATCGTCCTGGTAAGCATGACTAGCGTCGCGCGGACAACAGGAAGGCATACATGGTACCATACACAGTTGGGTCCTCCAATGCCTTGAACGTTGCCAATACTTCCGGTGGGTATGGGTCAAGTCGGCAAACGAATTGCTGGTTGTACGCGACCATCGCCTCGGCATACTCTGGCGAGTCGAAAGTTCCAGCGCGCTCGTGTTTGTTGATGGTCTCCTACAAATAGATGCTGAGATGTCAATCTTGTCATGGGGGGTGGTAGTACTTACCACAACGTCTGGTGGCAGAGTGTTGAGGAGTTTACGCGTCGCCTCCTCCCACAGCTTCATCGAAGCCAAACCCGACGATAGAATGAGCCTCCTGAGACCAGTTGGCTGTCTCACAGCAATTTCCAGCCCCAACATCGAGCCCCACGAATGTCCCAGGACATCGTAAGTCTCGATTCCAATATGTTTCATGAGGTTATGGAACTCGTCCACGAAGAGCTGGACGGTCCAGAAGTCCACATCTCCGGCCTTCTCCGGCAGCAGTGTCGAACCTCCACAACCCACCTGGTCGTATAGCACGACAGGAATGTCGTACGGGGGCTCGGCCAAGTCGGCCAATGAGAGCAGGTAGTTCATCGTTGCTCCCGGACCGCCATGGAGAGCGATGAGCGGGGTCACGCCCGACTTCACCTCCCCGAAGATCTTGTAGTATGTCTGACACGGCTTCCCCGCGCCCGGGACACTGAGCGGGGCGAAACCCTCTGTGACGGGTACCGGCATCCTGTACTAGGGATCAAGATGTACGTGGCCGGTGAGGCAAGTGGCAGCGTGATACACTAGGACTCAGTCCTCTGGTTTATATATCGCGTTGAACTTGCACCCGAGCCAATCTGAGCGTCCTTATCATGTACTCCCACATACCTGGTTCCCGCTGCGGCTCATGCCGTCACGTATGGCCATGCCAGTCGTCTGTTATCATACGCACGGCCTGTAGGTATGTTCGACTCGTTCTCTCATGGTCTATATGTATTCAGGAGGGCTTCTATCTCAGCCCTCCGACACGGTAGACATGGTTGTATCGACCAGGACCGAACTGCGATCTGAGTGCCTGATCGATTCTTGCGCCCCCATGGCTGTGATCGCCCCAGGATAATAGCATCGTACCAGAGAAGCAGACAATCAGATACACGCCGATGGTTAGGGAGGAGGCGACACAGTCACACGCAATCCCAATCGGCGAGATGCTCTACGGAACATTTGCTTTTATTTCTGGAAACGCAGAGCCCGGAGCTCCGCCTACGGTGCCTGCAAGAAGTCGCCGACAATATGCATGTACCGCTCCCGTTCCTCCCAGTGTGCCATGTGCGAACTTTTCCCGAATGTAACCCATTTCGCCTTCTGCACTGCCTGGAATACGGGGGCAACAGAGGCCTCTGATGCTCCATCGAATGCGCCGTTCGTGAGCAAGACGGGGACAGAGATCTTGTGCAGCTCTGGGCGGATATCCCACGTCTTGATCGAGCCAGTGATCGTGAATTCCGAGGGCCCTTGCCTGAATGCGCGTAAGTATTAGAAGTAATGACGCAGTCATAAACGTCGGGGACCTACATGGTGAGGTATACACTGGGATCTTCATCCATCTCCGCAAAGCTCTTCCGCACTTCTTCGGGCCAGGGATCGAGCCTCAGCGTGAACTGCTTGTTATAACGACCTATCGCTTCTTGGTACTCGGGCGAGTCGAACGTGCCTGCGCTTTCATGCTTGGCGACCGTATCCTACAGGACCAGCATTAATGTGAATCAGTATCATTCATACGTCGTTCAATGAGATAGCTTACCTGGACATCCTGAGGAAGAGTCTTTAACAACTTCCGGGTAGACTCCATCCAGAGCGATATTGCTGTGGGTCCTGACGACAACACCAGCTTCCTCAACCCTTTCGGCTGCCTGACCGCGATCTCCATGCCAAGCATGGATCCCCAGGAGTGCCCCACTACATCGTAGGTCTCCAAACTGAGGTGCCTCAACAGGTTGTGGAACTCGTCCACGAACAGTTGTATGCTCCAGAACGCAACATCGCCGTTCTTCTCTGGCAGGTGCGTTGAGCGACCACCGCCGACTTGATCGTAGAACACGACGGGGGCGCCACCGTACGACGGCAGGGCGAGATCCGCGAGGGAAAGCATGTATCCGTGCGACGAACCAGGCCCGCCATTCACCACGACAATAGGGACCTTGCCGGAAGTGAGGTCGCCCAAGACCTTGTAGTACGTCTGACAGGGCTTGCCTGCACCAGGCACGTCAAGAGGTGCGAAACCCTCGGTGATGATTGGTGTCGACATATCAGGATAGGGACGTGCAGGTGAGGAGGACGATTGCTGCCAGTGTCACAATGAGCGATCCTCCAGAGCCGCCAACTTTAAGTAGTCTGGAGATCAGCTGTTCCTCGACTGTATCTTGAGGCGCTGCATGAGAAAGCTCGGCACCGCTCGTTGACTCAGGGCAATGTTTCACGTTGACCGTGAAACTACGCAGAGCTGCTGGCCCGCGCCCCTTTGCGAGCAAGGCTTCAAGCTTCATCGATCATCGCCACTCAGTCTAGCATTGATATCGTCACTAGCTCATCACTGCAATAGCGCTCGTCGCATAGCTTTGGACGGGAGGTCATCATGTCGTACCTCAACCAAGGGGTGCTTCTTCATCGGACAGAACAGACGTCCGCGAGAGAGACGATTACTCGGCGATCTACTCTTCTTCTCGTACGATGGTCCACGGGTGTTGTCAAGGTGTTGTGATCTTCATCTGTTACTTCCACATGCCTTCACGAGTCAACGATCTCCCATCCAATCGGGTTTCCTGCCCAGAAGGGCACTACGCTCTGCTCGCCCTGTACCAGCTGTTCTTCAATCAACTTGCCGGACGTGCGCCTGATGAACACCTTGTCTTCGCCCGGAGCAACAGGCACGCGGTAGAATGCCCGCCCATTGATGCTCACGAAACTCTCGAGACGGTCCAGCGCGCCGAACGAGTCAAGCAGGTGGGCAACGAGGGGCAGAAGGACCGCCGATGTGTATACGCCTGCTGCACACGCGTGCAGAGGTGAGGCGGTAGACTTCGTATGCGGGGAATGGGGTGCTGAATCGGAGCCCAAGAAGAATCGAGGATGCCCTGCAGTGCAACGGGCTGTCAGTCACGAAGCGCGAAGGATGCATTGCAGTTGACGCACCTTCTTTGATGACGTCCCGCAATGCCTGCCTGTCATCGGGGTACTTTGCAACAGGCTTGCAGAAGTGCCATGACTGACCGGCCCAGTCGTCGACGGTCAATGCGAGGTGGTGGGCGGTAATGGTGCAGGCGACGGTGTCGCCCAGACTCTTGACACACTCGACAGCAGCACGCGTCGTCGCGTGCTCAAGGACGATACGAAGGCGAGGAAAACGCGCGTGTAACTTGCGGAGGTGGGGCAAGAAGGCAGGCTCCGCGTTTAGGACACAAGTGTTCGTGGAAGCATCGGATGGGACCTCGCCGTGAAGATTGAGGACCATATCCTCCTGCTCCATGGCTTCGAAGACGGTGTAGTAAGCTTCATATGACTCGATACCTCCGTCAGAGTTTGTTGTCACCCCACGCGGGTAGGACTTGACGCCTGAGAGCACACGGTTCGACCTATGAGCGCGAGTGCGAGAGGCGGAGTTACAGACCGACTACGCCTGCGCTCTTTGCTTTGCGAACCTCGTCAGGCGTGAGCTCCGGAGAGAGGTATAGAGTCATGAGGTAGTCAATAGTAGGGTCAGCAGCCTGCAGCTGAGCTCTGTAGAGAAGAGCCTCCTCAGTGTTAGAGATGGGCGGCCGGAGGTTAGGCTGGGGCGATTGTCAGATGCCGTAGACGTGCAAGACAGGCATCAGTACCATGACATAGGCAAGCCTGAATCCTCCTTTGCGCACATAGGGTGCGAGGAATGCAGCGAAAGCTCCCTGGCGTAAATGAACGTGGAAGTCGGCGGGAGCAGCGACGGCGAGCGAGTCGGTCATGGCGGCGAAGTGTAGAGGGCCTCGGGACAGAGAGACGCCCGCTCGCGGCGCCTAGCGTGCGCGGTCACATGCTCAACGCGTGCCCACGGTTCGGTTGCTACCAGCGGCGGTTCAACTTCAACTTAGCTCTCCCCGCCATCTGAGCAACCTCATCGCTCCCGCCCCCGCCGCCCCAATCACCAGCCACAGAGGTGGTACATCAAACATGGTTGCCGCTGGGTCTATCGCCGTAGCTGGTATGTTTGTTCTCTTTGTGCCCAGCGACAGTAAGCCTCAACCGGATCACAGTCCGCGTCCGCCCGCCAACAACATGGGAGGGTTCACGACTTCCACAAACCACTTACGACAACTGCATACGGACGGACGGAGCGCTCTCCATCTCTCCGGCAAAGTCTGTCACGAATAACGCGCCTCTTCGCGACGTCATTCAGATTGTTGACGACCGCGTACTTACGTTCGACCCCGAGGAGAAAGACGCCTCCAGGGCCTTCGTCGAGCGTGGGTTTCTTCCACCAGGGACGAAACGATACAAAGATCGCCGCTTCATATTCGACAGGGTGTTCGACCACCAGGCGCGGCAGGAAGACGTGTATTGCAACACGGCCAAACCCCTACTCAGCAATCTATTAGATGGATATAATGCGACGATCTTTGCCTACGGTGTATGTCCAGTAGCCAGGTAACATTCCGTTGCTAATGCACGACCTGTAGGCTACAGGGTGTGGCAAAACACATACCATCAGCGGCACCGATGACGACCCGGGCATTATCTACTTGACCATGGCCGACCTTTTCCAACGGATAGGAGATCGGCGGGAAGAATACGTGACCGAAGTCGTGGTTACGTTCCTGGAGATTTACAATGAGGAGATTCGTGACCTACTTGGGGAGCCTGGCAAACCGACGCCGCGTGGGGGCCTCCAGATCCGGGAGGACAAGACAGTGAAAGTAGTGGGACTGCAGGAGCTTCGACCGAAGAGTGCGGACGAGGTGAAGGCTATTGTCTTGCTTGGCAATTCGCGGCGAACGCAATCTCCCACCCACGCGAACGAAACATCGTCGCGCTCGCATGCAGTTCTCCAGGTGCATGTCACACAGGCGCCGCGCACTGCAAACATCACGGAGCAGAGGACAATGGGAACCCTGTCCATCATTGACCTCGCGGGTAGCGAGCGCGCCGCGGCAACGACGAACATGGGCCAGCGGATGGTCGAGGGTGCGAACATCAACAAGTCGCTGCTCGCCCTCGGGAACTGTATCAATGCGCTCTGCGAGAGCGGAGGCGCGGTACGACACATACCATACCGGAACAGCAAGCTGACGCGCCTTCTCAAATTCTCCCTCGGCGGCAACTGCAAGACGGTCATGATCGTCTGCATTGCGCCCACATCGCTGCACTTTGACGATACGCAGAACACCCTCGTGTATGCCGAGCGTGCGACGCGCATCAAGACGAAGGTTGTCACGCGCAACGTTGTCAACGTCGATCGCCATGTCGGGCAGTACGTCGAGGCGATCAACCGACTCAACTTGGAGGTCGCGGAACTCAAGCAGAGGCTCGCTGGCAAACGCGACGCCGAGGCAGAGAAGGAGAAGCGTCGCCGGCAGGAGGCGGCGGCGGAGGTTGCACGTTCGAAGAATGACATGCAGCAGAAAGCAGAGCAGATGCAAGCTTCCATCGTGGACGGTGCAACTTGTGCAGGCAAGATTGCCATCGCGAAAGCGAAGCTCAAGGTCATCCGCGCACGTCTGACCCAACTCGACGCAGAGGCGTCGTCCTCATCCACACTCCCAGCCGACCTCGAGACGGAGCGGCAGTTGCTCAAAGCACTCGCGGGCCCAGAGGAGGATGTCGTCAAAGCACAGTCCACGCTTAACACCCGTGTGCAGCGCTCCAGCAACGCTGACGCCATGTTCGATGCGACCCTGCGTGCTGTCAGCGAACGCAGGTCGGACAAACTAGACGAGTACGCAGTGGACAACGTGAAACTCGACGCTCGCTGGCGTAAGGCTGAGATGGAGCGCGCGAAAGCGGAGGCCGGGAAGGAGGCCCTGCAGGAAGCAGTCACCACCCAGGCGGAGGCACTGGTCAACTTCATCGGCCTGGTGAGCCGCTGCACAGTTATGTTGGGCGATGCCAGCCGGATCCTTGCTACGGCCGTGGGGGAGGGGCGAGATGGCATGGAGGCCACCGTCAAAGCCCTGTCATCCTCCCTCGGCAACGTCGCCGAGGGCAACGACGAAGCATTCAAGGCACTCCTCGGGCATTCGATTGCTTCCTACGCCGTTGGCGCCGCTCCGTCATCTCTTGCCAACTTCAACTTCAAGGCCTACCCTTCGACTCTCGGAATCAGCAGGTCGGCTTCGGGATCGGCGGCTCCGCAGCCCGGGAAGCCAAGGCTTTCGAGACGTTCTTCCTCTTACGGGTCCGCCGTACCAGCTTCTCCTTTGCGGAAGAAGAGCCCTCGTAAGTCACTGCGCTCTAGCCTTGCTCCGCCGTCCGTGCCATACAGACGTGTCTCCGACAAAGACAAGGGCAAGAAGAAGGGGGTGCAATGGCGAGATGAAGCCGGGCAGGGCGACATCGACGATGGCGGGCTCGGTGCAACTGGTCCAGTTATCACAGTGTCACCAGATCTCGCAGAGACGTCCGTCGCCTCCGTCTTCGGCCCAAGCTCTACCACATATGCTGCAAAGCGCCCCACGTCCAGAGCCGGATCTGAGAGCGAGTGGGAGGACGAGAAAACCGATGATAGCTTCAACATCAGCTTCTCCCAGAACGCCTCACTGGATGCATCCGCCCCCTCCGCTGGCGCCGTCCGCAAGCGGCCAAGGGCCAACCGGCTCGACCCCTCTTTCCTGAAGTCGAAGTCCCGGGGCTCGAACCTCGAGAGTCTGACAGAGAAGGACGAGGACGTTACGATGGGCTCGCCCGCGAAGCGGCCCCTGGGCGACCGTAACATGAACCGCATCCCCTCCCCAGACGGCTCTAGCAGCAGCTCGAGCACCATGGACCCGCTCCACATCCCGAAGGGCCGCGACAGGCACCACGGCAGCCCTGAGAGGCGTATACCTATGACGCCGAAGGTGGTCGGGATCAGCAAGGGCGCGCGCCGGCGGTCGCAGATTGGGCCTCTGCGCAGCGACCGGCCCCGGAGGCGGTCGAGCATGATCCCACAGCTGTCGCCGGTTGACCGCGACGGGAACGATTCCGGCAACACGTCGCAGATCCTCCACAAGAGCATGTCCGGCGCCCGGCGCGTCCCCATCAGTGGAGGAGAGCGGTCGCCGGCGAAGCGGGCGAAGAAGATGTCGCTGCTGAGCGTGTCGTCTACTCGGATGGTTGCCTCTGCCCGCTTGAAGATGCCGGACGCTAACACCAGTGCCGAGATGAGCTTCAACAAATCAGCAGTGGGAGGGAAGCCAACCTGGAAGTGAGCCTGAGGAGCTGCGGCTTTGTTGTATAAACATAGAGTATCACCATGATCATGATTCAGACGACTTGCCTGTGCCACCTTGTTTACTGTGATCGTCGTTTGTCTGCGTTCGTGCATTTTCGTTATACGTGTCTTATATATTGCTATGTGTTCCGAACGTTGTTGTCTTAACATGTCCTTGTTCGTGTCATCTATACCCTGTCGACTTTATCCTTCATGCAAACCAATGGTATTGCGTACACCACCTGGGATTCATACAAGTTTCCCCCTCGGGGCTCAAGTTGCTCAGTTGCAGATTGAGCTCTGTCGTGCACGAGATTCTCGCTCGCCACCGTATGGCTTTCAACGATGTTTGCATGACGGGTCTACCCACCATACAATACACAATTCAAAAAAAATTCATCAGAGACGACTCTGCAGGTGGTACAGAGAACACAGTGCGCTCGCACAACGCACCAACAAGCCATAGAAAGTACAATAACATTGCCGCGTCCGTACATTACAAAAATGAATAACGACTAGTCTGCACTGCGTAGTCCACGGAGATCCCATGAATATACATCCCATATATATATATGCGTCGAGCAGATAACGATGGCACAAAACAGCATGTATGATGACCCTCCTCCACAACCCACGGAGCCCCTACCCCCTCCCGAACATCCCACCGACGGTCTGCGCGACATACACGGCGAGGAGCGCGACGACGAAGGCCATCGCGCCCGCGGGGACGACCGCGCGGAGCACCGCGCGGATCAGGAGACGACGCAGCCACCAGAGAACCACCTGCAGGCGGGACGCAGAGGCGTAAGAACGCGCCCTTCAGAAGGAGGAAAGCGGCGGGCGTGAGCGGGCGCGGGGCGGGCCAGCGAGAGGGCAGGGGAGGAGGCAGAGGGGCTGGGGACGGGGGGGGGACGGGGGAGGAGGGGACGGGGGAGGAGGGGACGGGGGGATGAGGCGAGGACGCACCATTGACTCTGCAGCTTCTCGATCCAGTGCACGACGAGGCGCAGGCGCAGACGGGCCGAGCGGATCGGGAGCAGCTTCGCCTTCTCGTGTTCGTCGATCGGGAGGAGCTGGACGTGTACCGCCGGCGCCGGATATAGCCCATCGTCGCGGACGTGCGTACGCGCCACGGCACACGAACGCGATCCCCGCCCGGCGGAACCATAGCGCACGGCGATCGAAGGCAGGCCGTCCGGACGACACGACACCGACACACCCATAAGAACAAGAACAAAGAGAGCCATAAAGTCCGTCAGCACAACCCCTCGGAACCGCGGAAGGAAAGCCGCGAGGATAAAGGGCAGGGGGAGGGGAGAGCCGGACACTCACCGCACCCATCCAGAAGCTGAAGCTCGCCGGGTCCGTCGGCATCGCGACGTAGTTCGTGTTCAGGCGGTGGACGACCCACGGCGTGCCCTCCCTGAGCTCGTTCATGAACGTATGGCACACCTCCATCAGCTCCGCCATCGTCCGCGCCTTGCCGTCCCCCGCCCTGCGCCCCACCGCCTGCCCTCCCCTGCCCTCCCCTTCCCCTGCCCTCGTCTCCTCCACACCCACAAGCTCCTCGTCCCCCTCCTCCCAATCATCCACCCTCTCCACCCTCGCGACGACATACCCATCCAGCGTCCCGCGCTCCACGATCCTGAACCGCCACGCGCCCCACGTCTCGACGACCGCGCGCCCGTCCGGCAGCATCTGCACGTTCCGGATCTCCAGCATCGTCCCGTACTCGTTCCCCGTGCTCCGCGGCGCGTCGCGCGGGTGGTGCGCCGGGTCGGCGGGCCGCGCGGACGTCGAGGGGGCGTGCGCGGGCGGCGCGTGTGCCTGGAGGGCGGGCGGGAAGGCGGCGGAGGGCGCGGTGCGCGGGGGCGGGATCATCCCGAAGCGCGGGTTGGGCGTCGCGAGGCACCGCCGGAGCATCAGCCGGTACCTGGCACACGCAGAGACGCGTCAGGCGCGCTGCGCACGCGAGGATGTCGGGCGATTGGACTCACCGCGGCTCGAAGAAATGGAGCATCGTAGGCATGCCGGGGTAGCTCAGCTGGGCGATCATGACAGGCGTGTCCAGGCGTGCATCGCGCTCTTCCGCCTCGATCGCAGAGCAGCGCTCGTCATGCACATCTCGGAACGCGCTCAGGACTGTCGAGCCCGCTCAGCTCGTGCTCGGCATTTGACGAGGCAGCGGGTACTCACTAATTTTCAGCACCAGCTTGTTGCACGGGTGGTCCTGGAAGTACGCATACTCAAGCGGGTCGCGGCATATGGGACACGCGGCGTTGTAGTCGAGCGAACGGTGCAGACACCCCGCGCAGAATGTCTAGAGGATGAAGGCGCGTCAACATCGCACACGCAAGAGACCGTATCTCCATTCGGCGCAAGCATCGAGCCACGCAACAGAAACTCACATGCTGGCATGGCGCCGTGACAGGCTGCACAAACAACTGGCTACAAATGTCGCACGTCAGCTCGCCCAACAGCTCCTTCTCGAACCGCGCCGCAGGGGTACGTTCCTGTGGCTCAGGCGGCGGCCGGCGCGGGGGCAAGTGACGGCGGCGTTTCCTCGGTCGTGCGGTTGACAGCGCGTCGGGCGAGCACGAACGTGGACGCCGGGTCGCTCGGGGATCGCGAGCGGGAGAAGACACCGTGTCCACGGCAGAAGCGGGTGCGGACGAGGGGCCCGCGACGGCCTCCGCTGCAGGGGGCGCGGGGTCCAAGTACATGTCGTCGATGTCGTGCTCCGGGTCCACGCGCGGGGGCTCCCCGTCGTCCCCCTCGGAGTCGGTGTGCTCGTCTGCGTCGGGCGGGTACGCCGGTGCGCTCGAGACGCGGTCCCCGCGCTCGGCCTCATCGAACCACGCCTGCGCGCGCTCTGCGAGCTCGAGGATCTTGCTCACCGTGACGTCCGCCCTGCCGGGGCGTGCCCTGTCCGCGGCGGAGGGCGCGCCCGGCATGGGCGGCGCGGTGTAGTAGCCCACGCCGGACTGGGGGTGGGGCGCGAGGGCGGGGGCGAGCGGGGCGGAGGTGCAGGAGGGCAGGGGGCACCGCCCGCGGACGTCCGCACGGGCGTGCTCCGCGCAGAGGGTGTCTCCGCATCGGAGAGTGACTGGGGAGTGCAGGAGCGTGTGAGATGGGCAGAGCGGGCAGCGGAGGAGGGGGAGGAGACGCGCGGGCGTCAGGGCCATGGGGTCTGCGGTGTCGGGGCTGGACGGGGCGGGGATGGGTGATGCTCTGCTCGATGGTGCCGCGCTGGAAGATGAGGCAGTGAGTGTGTGGGTGGTAGTGTGAGTGTGAGTGGGAGACGGCCGTGCTGGGGAAGACGGGCGAGACGAGGACGCAAGAGGCGGAGAAGAGGCGGAGGGCGTCGTCGGGCATGTCGGGGATGCGGCGGACGATGAGCCGGGCGTGGCGGGCGAGGGAGGAGCGGGCGCGGGAGTGTGCATCGCGCGGGGGGACGCGGACGATCGATGGCCTGCGCGCGGCGACGAATATCGAGACGGGCTGCCACGCCCAGGCAGGTCTCGGTCCGCATCTGGCTCGCGCTGGCGATGCTTCCCCTTGTCTGGTGCGGGCGAGAGTGTGGGTGCGCTCGCTGCATGCTCAGCCTGGGGCTCCGTGTCGCCATGCGTGTCGACGGCGCGCGCGGGGCTGGTGGGGAGGGTGGGGTCGCGGGCGGGGAGTTGGAGGGGAGACATGCAGCGGGGGCGGGGAGGCGGAGAGGCTGAGGGAGGGCACACGCAGGCAGCCCAAGGGCAGCATCGGAGAGTGGAAGGACTCGACGTGCGGATCGCCAATTACGCTCTTGCCGATAGGCGCCCTCCGATCACCGGCCAATCGCGCAACGATCTGGATCTCGCGTGTTGGGGGCGGGAATTGCCCCTTCCGTGTAGAGCTGGGCGCCTGTGCAGGCCACAGCTGAGGCTGAGTCTGCTACGGCGCGCCATCCGCCTTTGGAGGTCGTCTTGCGCCTTGCGCCTCGCCGTCCCCACGCCTGTCATCCCTCCGCACCCGTGGCCTGCCCGCCCATCTCCCGAATAGCCTCTCCCCCCAAGTAGGGCCACATCACGCCGTAAGAGATCCGCCCTGCTTCATCGTCAACTCAAACGCCACCGGGCACTTATCGTCGTTTCCCTGCCCTCTTCGCGAATCCCACTGACACTCGCGCGCCCAGGCCCTAGGATGCCGGCTTCGCTCGTAGCGTTGCCTGCCCAAACGAGCAGCACCCCGCGCCCTACGCCCGCGCCGGCAGAGCAGTGGCCATCCGCTACCACGCGCGCGATCCCGCGCGGCGCGCTGTCGCCCTAGACGCGGCCACACACCTTCCGTAGGCCACACATCCCCTCCCCGCCTCTCGGCTCCTAAACTCGACGCTACTCCGTGATCGCGCCCCGCGCCTCCCCGCGCGCGAGGCAGGCAGCGGGCGGACGATCGTGGCAGGCCTTCTCCCGCCGCCCGCGATCCCAAACGCGCGCAAGCCGCATGCCGATTCTGATCCTAGCAAGTGACTTGCCCAGCGATGCCCGCGGCACCTTCTGGCGTAGCACGCCCGAGGGTTTCCTCTGTAGTTCATATGAAGGGCGTCCGACGCGGGTGCAGTATGGGACGGCACCTCCCGTATTGTGTGTTTCCAGGTCGACTGTCGGTATTCCGTATCCGACAACGACAGCTTCTACGCATGACGTCCGACGGAGCGCACCCGTCCGACGCGAATGCAACGTACCTCCCGCTAGGACCTCACGAAGCCTTCAAGACCTCACCGACATCACCCAGCTCCCAGATCTCAGCATAGCGACATCGCGTCGCGGTGTCGCCACGGCCGCGTTCTATCTAGCCCGAGCCAGCGGCGCCGCCCACGCCTGTCGAGCTGCTGCTCCAAGTTGTGGCTCCATTCATTCGGCGGCAGTGCACAGCTTGACACTTTGGCGCGGCCGGGCCTACCCTTTCTCCGCATGCCTCTATATGAGCAGGCAAGAGCGGTGTCCGTGTGGCCTGTGCCAGTGGGCACGCAGGCGGTGATTGTGTAGAGTTCGATGGGGTTGTCAACGATCCACTCGAGTCGGATCTATAGCAAGTAGGTGTGGTGGATGGCAAGAAGGTGCGTTTCCTTCACCCGCTGAGAACGGATGTCAGTCGCTCCTGGTGCGTACTGCTCGCGGCACCCATGGATTGACGTCAGGGTCGCTGTCTGCCTCCATCACAAGTCAACAGTACAGAGGCCCTGTGGTCATGTCCACATCCTGGTGGGCGTCGATGGATTCGTTTTTGCAACCCTCATGCACTGGCGCGCAATCCCATCCGAGTCACCCCCCTCGGAGTCGGAGCGCGCTGGGCCTTCGGAAGTGACAGAAGCGCCAGAAACCTGTACCTCGGTGTCGCGCATAAGTAGCACGTAACCCTTGCAGCCAACTACGTCACGTTGGCTGCTCATTGAGGTCGCATCTGCAGCAGCTCCTCCGCGGAGACGCGCTTGGCTGGGCTTCCATAACCTGTTCCCCACCGACGTGCAATTTGAAGTACAGAGCTAGCGCTGGTGCGCTATGCTTGTTCCTCAGTTCGCTTGCATAGCGTTATCTACCGCGTAAGCGTGATTGATTTCGATTGTCGGCAGGTACGAAAGCGAGAGGCGAGCGTCGAGAACTGGAACACGGCATGCACGCCTCGTACATGCGAGGGTGTGCGAGAGCAGGCATGGTCTGCCCGTCTCTGCGCGCTCACAGGTCGTAAACCACAACCCAGCCCGACCCCAACTGCAACGTGGACGGGCCCCGTCGGCGACGTGCGGATCGACCGTACACTACAAAGCAGGATATCAATACCGCCCTCGAACTCTGGCACCGACGTTCGGACACCTCTCCAGACTCCTCGTCCTATACGGCGATGGGTATCGCATCCGTGCATCCGCGCCGCGACGTTATCGGTGGGGCGCGTCCAGCCAGCCAGCCAACTTGGATTGGCACGGAACTGTCATGGTTCCTGGCTACGTCACCCGTCCACCCGCCCTCGGAATCACCGTCGCATGAGCTTGCAGTCCCCCGCCTCGCCTCGCCGTGACTGGAACGAGCGGAGCAGGTGGGCGTGCAGGCACATGAAACCGCGCGCGACCGTCGATGGATTGCCCGTGGAGACGGCATCCGAGTCCTTCGCCCTTCAAGTTGGGGACGGGGCAGGGGCGATGGCGCGGACGATGCGACGAAACGAACGTCCCGTCGGACCCGAGGACGTGCGGAGGCGCGACTTGGTGGGAGTGCGGAGCCGAGGAACGTTGGTGCGCAGGGCGGGTATTCAATGCTATTATGATATGTCTAAACGCGAGATCAGGGGCCACGGAAGTTGCGGTGAGGCGTCGCTAGGCTGGCATCGGTAGAGCGCTGGCGCAGAAGGGTCTAGGCCGACAGTATGCTTGTATGATTTGGGCAGCTTCAGCCGTAGACGACTCGCGATACAATCTATTGCACCTTAATTTGTCCTGCGCAATGTGTATCCCGTTGCTCATGCAAAATTGCTTCCTGACACAGCGCCTCGGTCAACGGCGAGTGATATGAATCGAGTCGTATGCAAGTGCGTACCGCCGATGTGGAAATGGTGTTGATGGAGAGCGGGTTCGGTATTGTGACTGTGTAGAGAATTTATCTCGTGCAACAGTCCAGCCCATCAATGTATGTGTTCTGCGAACCTGTGTTGGTATCTTCGCACCTGAGGGAGAAGACATAAGCAAAAACATTCGGATACGGGGAATTGAACCCCGGGCTATCGCGGTTTTTTGTGAGAGGCGATAATGTTAGCCACTACACCATATCCGATTGACAAATCATTCCCAACACAGTTACATAACTTCTTCCGCTGTTACAATCTCATCCCGAGAAAGCAGGACCTATAGAACTTGTGTGCTCAAATATCACAGATAGTTTTGGGAGTCACCAGCATGTTTATGCGTGCCTTATTGCCTACGGAAAGGCAACAGAATGTGGACACCCGATAAGCGCCGGAAGGACAGTATAATCTGTATCTCGATTCGTGATGGCGGTGATCCACGTGGCTACGTCGTTGAAGGCTACTACTTACCATCTCTATTCCTCAGTTTTGCTTGTGATTTGCGAGGTCTCAGATCTCAGTCGTCATACATGCACATGTGGCCTGCGTCGGATAAGGTTATGTACCCAGGACAAGAGTTCTCACTACTAACCAATAGGCGTTCACGTTCTAGACCGAGTCGAACCGTCATTCCTTTAAGTTCCAGTCACTGCGAGCATTATTTGACCAATGACTGCCAGTGCAGAACCCAGACCAGCCACGAGCCTTACGCACCCGAGTGGAAGAGTAGCCAAGAGGTTCTGATAATATCTTCTCTGGACGTTCGTTGAGACTTACGTCGCTAATGAACTAAGAGTGGTACATATTAAGTGACCTGCTCTCCTGGACTCGCGCCTCCGTGTCTCTAACCATCGCCGTCCACTCAGGGCAGTGCTTGGTGAAATCTTACTTCAACCCATCAGCTGGCGCAGGTGGTCATGTTCCGCGCATGTCGGTTGTGCATCCAGCATGGACGGGGGCCCGAGGCTGCAGATAGTACCGGCAACATGGTGTACCGAGGTTGGAAGTCGCCGTCCATCTCTCGGTGAGGCAGCAGCGCTCTCGTCTGTGGAATCTGGTATTTGCTGATCACGTATTGCCCTTTGCAGCAGCACCACGAACCACGGTGACGTCCGATAGAGGCGCGCATTCAATGCGCTTCTCGCCAGCGTGTACGCGGGCTCACCAGAACGATGAAATACGCGTATTTCAATTTCCAGAACCAGGAAATCCATGGCTGAGAGTTCAACGGGTGCTGCTGCGCGTTTGCATTGCCAGTTCAATGGAACTGCCTTTGAACGCTACCCGGAGTGCGTCGATGCTCTGCCGCCTGGCATGCTGGTAACTTGAGTCAAGTCGTTGCATTTGTGGACTGGCTCTCCATATGTGTTTCTGCGTACCCGTCGTCGCAATATCAATGTGATGAGACTCGCGTTATATGCCCGAACTCATTCATCTCACATGGGAATGTGGTCTGAACCTGACTATCATCACTCGAGCGCCGATACCTGGGCCCCTGGCCGTGGCGGGTACGATACCCGTCGCGGTTTGTCTGTGAACATCAATCACTGGCAGGTATACTTCATCCAACTTCGGATCGTTCGTGGTCATCGCTATGCTTCGGTCCGTCACACATGCATACGTGCCAACGGGACCTTAGATCTCTGCCATTCGGAGTCGCTGTTAGCGTGACTATAGCCCAGTCTCCGAGTCACAAAATTTTACTCTTCATATACTACGGCTTAGCGGATGACGAAAAGGCAAATGCATACAGGCCGTTCCACGCGGATTCCATAGTACTGCTCGGACCTGTCACAAAAAGCATGCGCTCCATAGCTGCAGTTGACCAACATACATCTCTCCATTGCATTGAATTCACGTTCGATACACAGCACGTCTCATAATTCTAAGGAGAACACTTGCATCGCAGTTCGCTTCCATCCTACACTACTCCGCACAACAGGGGGATACTTGCACTTGTAATACATATCCTTGACTATGTTCTTCCCGTTCAGCGTCCCTCACTCACGCAACGACGCAGCACACGCGCCGCACTGCGTTTATAGTGACGCGAGATTCGTGACCGGCCACTCGCTGGGGACGATTAGGAAAAGTAACAAGAAGGTGGGGTCAGGTTAGGCTGAGCACTTGGCGAGGGTTTAAGGAGGCGAGACTCACTATTCCGCGACGGTGCGCTTGTAGCCGTACTTGGAGATGAACGGGTCGAGCTCCTTGGGACCCCGCGAGCCGTAGGGGTAGGCGACGGGCTTGGGCGGGGCACCGCTCCGCCCGTCGATCCAGTGCAGGATGGGCGTGAAGATCTATTAGCTGCATGTAAGCTTCAGAGCTCTGCGATTACAATTGCTCCACTCGCCTTCCAAGCAACGTCTAGTTCATCGTCGCGGACGAAGTTCGAGTGGTCGCCCTTGAGCGCGTCGAGGATGAGCGACTCGTACGCCTCGGGGATCTTCGCGTCCAGGAAGCGGCGCTTGTACGTGAGGTCCATCTCCGTCGGAATCGCACGCGTGTGCAGGCCGGGCGTCTTCGTGTTGAGCTTGAGGTAGACCGCCTCGGAGGGCTGGATGCGGATGACGAGCTCGTTACGCGAGATGTCCTTGAAGATACCCTGCGTAACGTCCTTAAACTGTATCCGGACCTCGACCTTCGCTTCGTTGAGGGCTACGAGTCAAATGAGAATCTGCTACTCGCGTCCTCAACTCAGAAGGAATCCACGCACCCTTTCCGGCCTTCAGGATGAACGGAACGCCCTCCCAGCGGGGGTTGTGGATCCAGAGGGTCGTCGCCGCGTAGGTGGGGCACACCGAGTTGTGCGGGACGGTGTCGTCATCGAGGTAGCCGGGCTTGCCGTTCGCAGCGACGTACTGGCCGAGCAGCGTGTCGCTGCGCTCGATGGGCGGGATGCAGCGGAGGACCTTGACCTGTGCCGGCGAGTGAGCAGCGTGAGAGAGGAGCAAGACACGCTCCGCACCTTCTCATCACGGATGTCCTCTGCTGCGAACGACACAGGACGCTCCATCGTGAGGATGCTCAGCACCTGCAGCAAGTCTGTTGCGGAAGCCAATCAGGGAACAGCGTACATCAGAGTAAGCGGGCATGACACATACGGTTCTGGAGGATGTCACGAATGATACCGAACTCATCGAAGTAACCGCCACGGCCTTCAGTACCGAAGGGCTCCTTGAAGGTGATCTGGACGTTGCTGATCGAGTGCTTGTCCCAGAACGAGCTGAAGGCGATGTTCGCAAAACGGAGCACGAGCAAGTTCTTGGTCATCTCCTTGCCGAGGTAGTGGTCAATCCGGAACGTCTCGTCCTCAGTCCAGTGCTGCTTCAGCGAGCCGAGGAGCACTCGGGAGGAGTCGAGATCCTTTCCAAACGGCTTCTCGACGATCATGCGGCACTTGCCCACATCGGGCGTCACATAGCACTGTTCCTTCAGGTGCTGTGCGACCGGGATGAAGACACTCGGCGGGAGAGCGAGGTAGAAAAGCCGGTGACGCTCCTTGCTCTGGTAGCCCGACTCGATCTTCTCAAGGGTTTTGTTGAGGTTCCCGAAGGACGGAGAATCCTCGTAGCCACCGGAGATGTACGAGGACAACCTCTTGAACTCTTCGAGCTTCGAAGCCGCTTCCGCATCGCCCTCGTGGACCTTGATGTACGAGGTGATACGCTTGTGGTACTCAGCATCGTCCATCTTCGTCCGCGCATAGCCCACGATGTGGACACCACGGGGCAGGAAGCCATTCTTGTAAAGCCCGAACAAGGCGGGATATGTCTGGGCGACAAAAATACGTAGTTAGCACGAGTTTGTTGACGCAGTGGGCCCCACCGGAAGTCCGTATGACGGTAGATGAGAAACTGCAGATGGATAAGGCGGGAATATCTCATCGGCGAGACCTCGGGCGCTCCTGAGCGTGCCAAAAGCATTCCCGCAGCGTCCCGGTGGATGGTAAAGACTGTCCACGGTCAAGGGAGAGGGGAACACACTGTTCAACGAGGGGGGACGGGCGACCCCAGCAGCCGAACAATGCATGAGCGGAAATGATCTTGTGCTCAGCTGACATGCTCTCAGGACGTAAGACGCGTCGGGGGTCTCCCGAAGGCCCACGTCTCCCTTCGCTGCTGCGCCCGTCGATCGCCATCGCGGAGTGCACAGGCTCGAGGGCAGCCCAGGGCAGGCGGGGATGATCGCTCACTTTCTTCTTTGCGAGATCTCCAGATGCACCCAAGACTGCGGAGGAATAACACGGTCAGTCGAAGCCAGAACGCGCGCGCGATCAGCAGCATCGTACCGATGATAATGGTGTTGTCCTTGAGCTCCTCGTGAGAGGACTCCATGGAGGGGATGGTCCCCGACATTGCGCGCGGGCGGGTGCTCATAGTATCTGGAGGGGGCTGGGGGTGAGGATGATGGTGAGGAGAAAGAGAAAGCAGCAGCGGGCGGTGAGAGTCGTTCGGAGACTGGCGCCTGCTGAACGAGCAGCCTCTATCGGCCACTGCGTAATCGTGACGGTGCTCCCTCCGCGCGAGAACAGATCCCGTGCCCGGCCCGGCCTCCCCTCCTCCTCCCCCTCCATGTCCAGCGACCTCCAGCACCGTCCCCCCGTCCCCGACCCCGTCGTCGACTCCCTCCGCGACCTCGTCGACCCCGCGCAGCTCGCACACGACCCCGGCGCCGTCCACATCCGTGCTGGCGCCCTCTTCGCCCGCCTCAAGGCCCTCAATCGTGCTGCCAATGGCGCGACCCGCGTGCAGAAGCAGACCACCGCCGACGCCCGGCAGCAGATGGACCACACATATCTTGGCCTGCAGAATCTGCTGTATGAGAAGCGGCACCTAGAGCGAGAGATTGAGAAGTGCCGTCAGTTCGCGTGAGTCTTATATGCGTTTCACCTCTCGTGCGATCTAACACCGGCGCGTGGCAGCTCGGTCTACCAGGACATCCCTGTACATTCTCTGGAAGAATTCGTTGAGCTTGCGCCGGAAGAGGCAAAGTCCGAAGTTGTACTGTCGGACGAACATCAATTGATGCTGAACCGGCTCAGCTTCGAACTTGCTGAACGCCAGAGGTATGTTTTCTGCTTCGTCCGCTCGGCCGCATTGTTAAATTGAGCGCCGCGCCACAAGATTGGACCAGACAAAAAAAGAGCTTGCAAAGCAGAAGGAAGAGTTGCTCAAGCAGAGCAAAGCCAAGCTCGCCACAATGGACAGCGTAAAAGCACAGATCGACTCTCTTATCAAGGTCAGTGAGATTGCAACCCTTCGCCTCAGCTCCTTTCGCTCATGTTCACTCCTAGACTGCAACCGAGGTGCAAAAGAGAGTTAGCGAGCTGGCCGAGCCTCTCGGGCCATCCGACTCCCCGATGGCAGTGTCATGAACGAACGTGCCTGCCATACCGACGCACCATGTGGGCCGTACTACTCCATCCGCCGCCGAAGCATTCATCACCCAGCCAGTGTGGCCACCACGCATTACGAGACGGGCCACGATGCCCGTATGTCGAGTCCGGGATACCACACGTATGGAATAGGTCCGACGATCGAGGGGTACGTACAGGGGGGGTTACAGACAGGCTATGTGACAGGAGGAGAGCAGAGGATATAGTGGTCGTAGGAGTACAAGCAGGAATGGGACGGGGCGTGAATGCGATATACAATGTAGACAGGACAATCCAGAGGTGGCGAGGCGGAAAGGCGTGAGCGTGAATAAACAACGGAACGGATCATGCATCATCTTCGCTGATACTGCCGATGTCGCTCATCTCCGCATCCTCATCCTCGTCTTCATCCTTGCCCGCGGCGGCGTCTGCTGCCTCCTTGGTAGCGAAACGTGACACATACTCTAAGGCCACAAGATACATGTCAAGGGTCTGAGTAGCAAATAGGGATGAGAGTATGACATACCCTTCACCTTCGCGTCATACTCCTTTGGATGACGCATGAGCAGCGCGGCAGCCTCACCGTTCAAGGGATCGTTCGGGTTTGGGTACCGGAGGAGCTGGGGAAGAAACACCTCGAAGATGTTGATCATGTCTATCAAAGATAGAACACAATACGTCAGCGACCTTCCCAAGCGGAGGCATGAATGCATGAGATCACGACGGGGGCTCACCGAACATGGGAGACCATGTCTGGTTGATCACGTCGAGACACACGGAGCCACTCCTGTGAGTCATCTAGTCAGATCCTTTGCGGTTCAGTTGGATGGGAACTTACAGTTCGTCAATATTAGGGTGAAATATCTTGTTCATGAAGCCAATACTGGGCGACTTGAACGGGTACTGATCTGGGAGCTCGACATGGATCTTCCAGACGCCGCCCGCAAAAGGAGCTATCACAATCGAGTGTATATCAGTCACTGACAATGCAGGATATTTAGGGAGGGTGCGCACTTTCTGCAGGCCCGTAGAAGCGAACATAGAACTCCTGCATGCTGTCGTTCACGAGGTTCACCTCATAGTCGGACATCAGCCTAGCCAATGACCGCCTCAGCCTGCATTATCCCGCATGCAAATAGTAAGTCTTCACACACAGTCTCATGACATCAGTCTCGATGCGACGCTTGCTTGGGGCACTGTAGAGAACGGCACCGGGTGTCAGTACACGCCCATAGCACAGGTCTACGCGGGTACTCATCATGGTGGGCTCGGTCGAGATAGCAGAACGGCGAGAGAAATGGCAATGCGAATGTGCACGAGAGCGGCAACCGAGGACAGCAGGCAAGAGAAGGCGTGAGGCGCGAGAGGGCGGTCAGCGAGCACGCTTACTCCGGGGAGGGACAAGGATGAGCAGGGGCGCTGCAGCAGGAGGTCGGCGGTCGATCGCTTTCGGTATCACGCCGCGCGCCTCTGCGCCCGCACTCCGGCCCGCGGTGGTCTCCGGCGGTCCCAGCGCGGTCTCGCAGGTCCCGCATCTGGCGATCTCGTTCTGCGCAACCCTGTTTCACTCTGCGTGCTCGCGCTCGTCGCTCTCGACCGCTTGCATGGTTGCTCCTTCCCCCAGCTCTGGTCTGGGCCCGCACCAGGGCGGTTGTCATCGATGCGGTACGACTCGGATGCTGGTAACGTCGCGCTTGCTATTCCCAACTTGGTGAAGATTTCCCGGGACATCTCAGCGAACCACCGTAACTGTGTTTGTTACTCTCGATGTATTTCCTATTTCCCTCGCGACGATCTCCGCTGCGGCTGGGATATTGCTTAGAAGAGGATCTGCGCGGTGCTAGGCATAACCTAGAAGAAATGTGAAGCGGGGACTACAACTGATACAGCCGATGTCTTTCAGCGGCGATCCTTGCACGGGCTTCTCGTCACTACCAGGGCTCAGAAAGGGTATGTTCCTACAAACGTGTGTAAAGTGTACAAGACTCAACGACCAGATGGCCCCTAGAAGACCATAAATACGACATGGCCCTCAATCGCCGGCAAAACAGAGGGCTCGTCTTCAATACCACGAATACTCTTCGACTACGCAATACCAGGAATCGTCCCTACAGCCATAGCTCCGCGTACTGGTGAACCCTGGTTCCCTTCTTCCGGACACGGCGCTTGCTCTCCTAGACTGAGTCGTACTGGGCACCGGCGCGAGTTCCCCGTGTCCTGGCTGTGCGGTGAACGCTCTCCACGCCACGAGAACAGCTAGTCGCCCAGCTCCCGTTAGCGGGCCTGCGTCCGTCGAATCGTGGAGGATAGCGCACTGACCTAGCCAGAAGAACCCGAATGCGGCGATGAGGATAACCTCCTCCTGCGTTTGCGAGAGGAACTGCCCGTTCCTGCGGTGGTGCATCACGACACTGGCCAGCCACCCAATCGTGGTTGCCCGGTGAGCATCAATCAATGCAGTACGGACTTTGAGCGGGTGGACTTACAGGATGGACAGCGACGCCAGCGCCAGCATAGCCACCGAGCTCTGCAAGAGGTTGTAGGTGTCTAAAATCGACATATCGGGACGTAGGGCCCGCAAACGTCGCTTTAGCTAGGGACGTCATGGTCTCATCGGAGGACGGTGCTCTTACGCATAGTATGCGGGATCATTCCGGTCAAGAAGTGCGCTGCGAAGGCGGCCAGTGCGGCTGCGAGACGAGGTCTTAGCGATCTCTGTCTTGCCGCAGATCGATGGAGCGGACACACCTGAGGTTACTGACCGCACCGTCCGGTCCCTGAACAGAGGTGTCGCCGACATCGTCGCTGAACAGATAGGTTGGCTACAGACTACGAGCCTGAGATACAAGCTGCTGTGGTCGAAGGGCGATAGCACTGGAGATACACGTCCCCCTCCTCTTCACCTACCATCCTTTGGATGGTCGAGCATGCCTCTTCCGCCCGCTGTACTCGCGTCCGAGCTAGAGCCAATTCCACACCTCGTGCATACCATGCCCTCCGGGCAACATTGCTGTCAGATCTTGATACATGTGTATTCCGGGCGCATTAGTCGTAAATACATTCAGCGATCGCATGTTACACAGGCTTATACATCCGCAGCGCGTGAGTCCGCTTCCGCCCCTCCTTTGTATGATCCACGTTATTCTCCCGTTTCCAGCCCATCATCGGGTGTCCTATCAGTACGTTCCTCGCCGTGGTTCGAGGCCTCCAGCGTGTCGGCGGACACACAGGCCCGCAGCCATTTTCGTTCGACCTTCCATTTCCGTCCCGATCAATGGGGTTCTTCAGCCGTTTCCCCGCACTTCGCTTCGATCTCGATACGCTTCTTCCCACATGCGCACGTTGTAGCCGCAATTTGGGCGCGGAAATAATTACTGCATTACAACCCCACGACGAAACCAAGGTGGAATTCGAAACGGCGCGCCGTGAGTCAGTCAACTCTATCTCTATCGAATGAAAGGGGACTGCAGCTCAGCGGAGGCTGTGCTAGAAGCAGCGTAGAAAGCGAATTTAGGGGACAGAGCTCACCGAGCCAGGGACCTGCGTGATCGTCGGTGCACCGCCCCCCGGGCCTGGCTGGATGACGACCGAGTGTCCGGGTGCCTGCTGGATAACGTAGCCACCGTTCATCGCGCCGGGTTGGTATGGCACGCCCGCGGTGGGGTACATTCCCATCGGGTACTGCCCGCCGTTCATCATTTGCCCACCATTCATCTGCCCACCGTACGGCCAACCGGGAAGTTCCCCGAACCAGGGCAGCTCGAAGATGGGGGCGGCCCACGCGTATTGGTAGCCAAAGGCGCGGGCGCGCGATGTCAGGGAGATGAGGACCCAAAGGAAGATGGCAACTGCGAGGTGTGAGTTGAGTTGAGACCGTGAAGTCAGTCGTAGCACGCACAGAGGCAGAATATCATCCATGAGAAGGCCTCGATGACCTTCATTTCGTAGCACCACGATCTCGTGGAGACTGCCAACAACTTTAGTGACTGTGTACCGTGAAACGCAGGCAATGTCACCCACCAGTCCCGCTCTTGGTTGCGGACCGCGCACTACTGTTGATAGCGTCGCATTGCGTGTTTCCGACCATGTCTCTGTACAGAAATGAGTCCCGGTCGCCCTGAGTGAAACGGATATGCATACGCGGACCACGCTCCCATAGCTACAAAGATTTGGTCAATCGCAGCCAGCAACCGCATCAAGAGAGGCTCACCTAGCCACATAACACCTAGTACAAAGAGTACAACAGCCTCAGTCCGCGGCGCAGACCATGATAATCTACACCATTAGGTCAGGCCATCTATCCTCGATGATATACGAACCCACTCACGTTATTAGAAATACAAGAATCGTTAGTGAGGGCGTGACGATCGAGTAGATGCCGAAGTCATCTGGGGTAGTTAAGAGGTCCTCTCAGTTTCCCCCATCCGGGACAAAGGCGGGGATGATGCATACGTTGGATGTTAGGCAAGAATATGCTTCCGAGGTAGGCTGAGATTCCGAGTACGGTTGCAGAGAGCAGGAGGATCGTAACTTAAGGTGGTACTGTCAAGACTTCCGTCGTCGAGGGTAGTAAGAAAGAGATATTCACTGAAGCCGTAAAGGCGCATCTCCTTGAAGAGTTGCGTCATCTATCGAAGACACGAGAATTAGCCGTCGTCTGTCGGCACGATGGCTCGCGCCGAGCGGAAAGAAAGAGAACGCACGATGGTTAGGATGTGTTCGCAGGGCAGATGAGAGCACTGTATGAAAGAGACGCGTGCGCAGAGCAGCGGAGGGGCGGAGAAGGCGTGTGGGTCGTGCAGTCGTACAAATAGGCGTGGTCGAGCTCAGAAGCAGAGGCCCAATTCGAACATCGAGCAGACGCGCTCAAGGCGTTCGGCGTCATTGCCTCTGTCGCGTGTCACATGACCTCATACCGCGACCACGCCCCGAACGCGTGCCTCGACCAACGTAACCCTCGTATGCCCGTGGGGCCCGTGCACCCGTCCGACAAACCCTCGAGGTTCCGACCAAGCCGAGGCCGACATGCTGCGCTGCAATCAGTCTGCTGATGTTCACCGCCCCCGTCCCGCCTGGAAGTTCCTATAACCAAAATAATTCTTCGTATATCCTATCGGTGTTGTACAATCGTAGTGCTGCTACACGTAACCCTTAATACACCCGTAAATACATGAGGCATGACTCCCAATGCCTCTCTAAGGTCGTGAATAGTCATATCATCGCACATCACCGCCTGGGCGATGCGTCTCTCCGGTAGTTGTCCCGCGGCCGTGTTTCCCGCACATGCGCCTGCTCAGGCGCCTTGTGCGGCAGCCAGTATACATACGTGGGTGCTTCGTTACGTGTCGGCTCGTTGACTGCTGTCTGCGGCAGCCGGCGGCTCTGCGAGTCTTGCCGCCGTGGCTGCGACCGCGTCGAGTCCTGCCGGTATGGATGGTTCCGATCGCGCTGCGAGTCCTGTCGGTTGACGTGCGTCCGCTGCGAATCCTGGCGGTTGACGTGGGTGCGCTGCGAGTCCTGGCGATTAACCTGCGTGCGCTGGGAATCCGAGCGGGACGGCCGCCCGCGCTCGCGCTGGGAATCGTGTCGGGCGACCTGGCTGCGCGAGGAATCTTGGCGGTTGACCGTCGTGCGGCCCGTGTCTTGCGTGCGCGTGGTGTCATTGCGGTACGCAAGCGGGCGGATGTAATCGACGATGCGCCAAGACTCGGGACGCTCAGTCTTGGACGCCTTCGAGCGCTGTGAGTCCTTGCGCTGTTTCTCGTCCAGGGCAGGTCTTGACCGTGAGCGCGAGCGCTGCGTGACAGGCGCTGGGAGCTTGCCAGCCTTCTTGCCTCCCTGGCCAAACCAGGTGAAGGCAGTCACAGGGACGATCCAGACATAGCGCTCGCCGCGGCGGTGGTGCCGCAGAGCAAGGACCAATAAGAATATAGAGAAGCCCAAAACTGAACAATTGTCAGTAGCGCGTTCTCACCATGTCGCGGCAGAAGGCACGTACTAAGAATAAGGTTGAAGAATGAAAACGCTTCCAATACGCGATATTGCGCTTGGTAGATCTCCGTGTTGACTATGAGCCGGGTGAGCGTGGAATGCATGCGGAAAACGTGGGATACGCACAGCTAGAGAGGCTTACGACGTCGCTAGAATCAGCCGAGGAGTAACATTCGACATCGGCGTCCTCCGCATCGGAGGAAGCGATGAATGCAGAGAGCGCTTTACGCGACATGCAACGTCAGTCTAAGGCCTCTGAGCTCAACAGCAGACTGTACTCACCAAGCCAAAGTACTCCTGCGAGCCCCAAACATCCTAGCTCGATTCTTGTCGAGATAGGATTCCGCTCCCTCCAGAGACCGAACCCGAGTAGTGCCAATATGATGAGCACACTCACGCAGCAAACGAAGATAGCGAACGGAACGAAATGAGCTAAGCGGAAGTCAGGTCTATGCTTGGCGGCAGACACGAGAGAGAGCACGTACTGAGATCCGATGATACCAATATACTCTCGAAATGCGCTGCAATTGCCAAGCAGATTATCGTCCACACCAGGACTGCGCCGTAGACGCAGAACCTGATGATGTTGAACACCGAAGGCATGCGGGGAAAGAAACGAGTGATAGCAAGGAGTGGCCGCTTAGTGAGACGAGATTGTGACTGGGCTCGGGGCCCTCCCTGCTGCTTGGTATTTGAGGACTTCATCATGTCAAAGGGGACGTGCGGAGTCAAAGCGATGGGTTAATGCAACGAGGCTGCGTGGCGCAGCTTTGTCGTGCGGATGCGTCGCTTGAGCCGCGTTCCCGGATTTCCGTTCGTGCGTCCTCGTCAAAGCAAGAGACCTGAGCTGGGGACCCAGCTGAGGTCTGAGTGTGGTCCGGGTGGTGGGAGAGGAGGGACGAGAGATCGCCCGGGCGGTCGGAGGGTTTATACACACCGCTCCGGAGCGTGAAATTTTCGGGGCGACCATGGTTGCCTGGCCACGAGCCCCAGGTGGGCTGGGATTCTTTGCTGATGGGGCCCGAGCGGGTGCGAGATTGGAAACGCGCAGATGCCTCGAGGCAGAAACAGATTGCCTTTGCTGCCCGAACAGGAAGCGCCTGCCGTTCCGGGCTGTTTGGCCACCCGTACGCGCCTTTGTTTGGCCACCAGCCGCCTGCGCTGATTGGCCACCCCGCAGGCGCCGGCGGGGACAACATTGATCCTCTCGATAACCTTCGATCTAGTTCCGCTCCTCCCACCGCCACCAGGCCCCGCAGCACGGGCAGCCTGCGCGCACAGGCCTACGTTGGGCCTACGCGTCCTCAGCAGAACCTGCCCTTGACGCGTACGAAATACCAGACAGCGCCTCCTATCGTCCGCCTGATGGCCCGGCGCCTTCAGTACACGTTGTCCGCGAGAAATGTCGAGCGAACTGCTTCTACCATACCGGCCACCTGCCCGGGGCCTCACACGCGGCCGGACAGCTTCCCTCGACAGACTCTTGCGGCACAGCACCCACGCCCGGTCAACGTTCCAGGGCCGCGCAGCCCGAAGCATGGCCAGTCCGTGATCGACTGACCTGAACGGGCTGCCCGCTTCGCCGCCTCGGCGCTCGGCCTGCGTCTACTTGACCCCGCGTTAGCATGTGTCGTTCGCGAAGCCTGGGGAAGGGGATCACGCGTACGTCTGTTCCAGCCTATCGATTCGTATTGGTCGTTCCGCCGACCAGAAGGGACTCAGAAGGGTTGACAGTGGGCGAGGTGGACAGGCTTCGATCACGTCGCTGTCCTCGACTCACTTCCGCCATGGTCTCAGGGCATTTGACGGCGTGTTTGTCAATCAAGAATGACGCTGCTTTTCGCACAGGAACGCGTAATGCTGCGTCCGTCGACTCAACCAGCGTCGTGCATACCCATCTGCCCAGCCGTCGTCATCGACTGCTCATCGTCGCATGTTGCACAGTGGACTGAAGTCCGTGCAGAGTGGCTGCTAGCGTGGCTCATGCATATATGTCAGCATCTGTGCCCGAACGAATTTGGGTTTCCCAGGTACGAACCTCAAACAAAGTATCCACGTCCAATGTGCTCCGCTTCATTTCTGCCAGTCTCGCCCGCATCTAAGGCAAGAAGCTCTCACGCGTGCGCCTGTGTCGGTATATTCTAGCGCGACGTTTGTGGCCCGTGCCATCCGGTAAGTTTTCTCATTCCTTCATAACTTCGAGGAATGTAACCATCACTGTAGGTTGCGGCGGATGAAGAAAGTAAGCCGGTGTATCACATCAATCATGGATGTGTACACACCCATCGATACACTCTACCTCAGTCCAATCCATACAGGAACCCCGGAGGATGCGCGGCTGGAGTTCTAGGCCAATTCAAGGATAAGCGGTGAAGGTCAAGAACACATGTTCCGCGACGAGAACTGTGGGTCAGATGAACTCATCTAACAACAGAGTTATGCGATAGAGTGAGTCTGTCTCGGTGAGTCTGAACTGGCTGAGCAGTCAAGAATCATAATAATCACAATCAGGAGAGTCGAACTCGATGGACACAACACTGAACGCCGACTGAAGTCAAAGTGAACACAGAAGACAAGTGGTACACCGCTCCAAGGATGAAGCAGTACGTACCTATCCTCAATGCACGCCATGTACCCTTTGAAGCTGCTGCGTTGAAAGCAGGATTCCAGAAGAATGTGCTGAGGATGTGCATGTAGAGCTCTTCTCGGCTTACGCGTTCGATGGTGCGCGTGTCCATGCATTCTGTGAAGAGGACACCCGTGCGTCCATCCATTAGTTGCGAGAAACACGATAGCGCGAGTCCGTGCGCACTGCGGACGCCGAGTCGACCTTGGGGTCCAGGGCTTGTACGCTGAGCCCAGTCTGCAGGGGGATGCCCACGGATCTATCTAGATGGGCTGCGACCTTCTGGAGCACATATATACACCGAGGCCGAGGAAACACCTTCTGGGCACCGGGCATCCAAGACAAGCTTTGAGGCATTTCGATATTCATTCATGATACTCTATCCCGGAAATTTATTGAATGAAGCAGGATCCGAGCACTTGCGCATAAGAGCGTATGGGGAAGGAAGAAGAGGTCGGATTGCCTTCGTGCATTTGCATGAAAGCCTAAAGGAGACTTCCGCGCGAGCGATATCCGTGAATGACAGAAGCGGCGCGGCGCGGCTTGTCAGCGTATCGCGGCGGTAGCGCGGCGCTTCGTTTTGCTTGTGGGCGCGCGGCGGCATCCAAGAAAAGAACGAAGTGCCAAGGTACATAGGCGCGCCGAGCGCCTTGTGTGCTCGTCCAGGTGGGCTTGTTATCGTCGATTGGTACTTAAGATATACAGTAATGCTCGCTCGTCGTTGCTCCATGTGCATTAGTACGAGGCCGCGCATGCGCTTCCGCCGGTCGGCGGGATGGCGAAACATATCCGCTTGCACGATCAAGTCGATGTCAGCTCGGAAACGGCATCGCACTACGCCTGTCCTCGGCCCCCTGGGCGCAATTCCGGACATCGCGGATGCTCTGACTTACCAGATAGGAATGGCATGCTGTTGCATGAGATGGACCGGACTGAATACTATAACTTCGGACAGGTCAGTTGTGCAAGATCCGACGGGACTGCAATACTTTCAAGACACAAGTGTGTGTTGGAGAAGTATGACTTGAGAAGAGGGGCGGAGAAAGGTATAGCGGCTCCATAGATGCTGCAACAGCGGGCGTATGCATGACTCGGGTATTTCGGCGCTCCGTGTAACCTTCGTCTACATCGCTCAGCCGCCGGAGCAGTCGGCCAATGCAGTCGCGCAGGTGCTGGAGCATGGAGAACACCGGGATCGGCGGATCCTGCGCCTGGCAGTGCGCCATGCGCGCCGTTAGAGTGCACTCGCCCTGCGGGCTCTGTTATCGCCGCAGCTTACTACTCTATCTCCCACAGGATGGGAAAGGAACTGCACAGATTACCTGACACAAGTCTCACACACCACATCTGACAGAGACGCACCTCATGAGGATCATATATGCGATGCTTCGGCGGCCAATTCGAGCAACTCCAAGACTACGTGTGCGGGCGTCATAAGAGCGTAGACGCAGGACGATATCGATGTGCAACCCCAGGGAGTTACTCGAGGGCACTCTGGTTCGACGAACGTGTCGGACGATGAGTCGACACGGCGGATATCAGTGATTCGGATGCAGGCGTATGGCGCCAGAGACGACAAGGCCCCGTTGAGTAAGCAGCGTAGAGTCAATTGTCCTGATCGGGAAAGTCCGACAGCGGGCGGCATTGTTATTGGCTGGCACGCACGTGCGATCTTGCGAAGATCTGAGATCTGCCGTCGGTTTATAACTGTGGTCGCGCAAAAAGGCCACCGCCCGCTCAAGAACGTTTGTTCATCTCACCACCGCCACCGTCGCGGCTTAGGCCTGCTTCCTGTCCGCGTAACCTATCTGTGTAACTATCAGCGGCCCCGGCGCCCTCATATAAAGAAGGAGCGTCCCCTCCGCATCTGGGCACCCCGATCTTGCCTTTGCGTACTTCAACCAAGGCCTACCTGCTTGTGCCCACTCGCCCCTCGCTGGAACCCAACACCCTCGCCGCAATCAACACACCCATGGAACGCTTCCTCGCCCCACAGAGCCCTGAGGCCCTGGCACACAGTCATCTCAAGTAAGTGCAGTTCTCCGGAGGCATGACTCTTCCTAATGCGATCCTCTCGCAGTGAGAACTGGTTCAGTTGGGATCTCGAGCACCCCTCCGTTAACGAGACTCTGATTGCTGGGTGCGCCACATACGAAGCGTTCAAACGCTACCTCAGTGGCTCGGACTTGTACCTTCTCCCCACGACAAGGACCGAACTAGAGAGCAAGCTGTGAGTGGTCCACCGTCTTCCCCTATCGCCGACGCATCCTCACCAACGCATACAGGAGGCGATACGCATACGATACCATCCATAATGCAATTGCCAAGGCACGTTCGCCGCTTGAGCGTGGCGGTTACAGCCGGGTAAGCTGCGACAGTTCCAGTGCTGTCCTTGCCATCATGACTAACATATGAAATGCTTGTAGATGTGTCATCTGGTGGAGGAATCCATCAGCAGGATACTGAACGAGAATGACAATGCGTCATACCTTCTGAATCTGCACGACGCGCAGAGTAACTCCGTGGTCGACATGGGCACGTCACCGCCAACAAGATCCGTCAAAATCAAGTGAACGCGCTTTGGCCTGCCTTATCCGACCATCTTGCTATGCTCCGGGGGCATGGGTCTCCTTCTCTGCTCTCGTCGTCCATGTTATCGCATTGGTTTTCGCATTGGTTCTCGTCGCATATGTAGCATCACCATCCGCATCCGTCTCGCATGACCGTTATCGCACCTGTCGTGTATAATGCCTGTACCCAGAACCCTGCGTCTGTACTGTATAATTTATCACCAGCAGCTGAATGAACTGTGTTTATAGAGTTGTGTGTGAGTGAGCGGACACAAGGGTATGGGCGGAGTGGCGCCCGGCGGGCGAGAGAAGCATGTCATCGACGCCATGTCGGCATCGTCCGGGCGTGCGCTCGCTGGACGAACGTGCGCCGGCTTCCACGAATGACATTAATGGCTTCCCGGGGCGCTGCACGACTTTGGCTGGCTGCTCCCTGGAGGCGGGCACGCTTCCGCTCATACACCCGCTCCACAGGGCGCGACACCGCGCCTGCTCGCTCTTTTATCCGTACTGCACACTCGTCCGCCCCGCACGGCCTGCCATGTTCGAACTCAAGCTCCTACTGTTTCTGCTGCTGACCTATACCCCTGATGTGCTCGCCGCGCCATCGCAGGTCCCTATCCAGGTCCCCGAGACGAGTGCGTAGGTTCCTCGAGATCGAGAGCGCGGCTGACCACGACCAACTGGACTCTGTGGATGCGCAGACGCGAAGCGGAAGCTGCAGGGGAGGTTCCTGCACATAACGGACATGCACCCAGATCCGTACTTCAAGGAGGACGCGTCGGAAACGTCGGCGTGTCACAGGCGGAAACCAAAGAAGGCGCGACCACGCTCGGGCTACTATGGGATGCCGTACAGGTGAGTAGTCCTCGCGTACCGGAGCGCATGCCCAGGCTGAATGGAGGTAACAGCGATTGCGACTCGCCTATGACCTTGACGAACTTTACCCTGGATTACCTGGACAAGCAGTGGAGCAAGGAGATCGATTTCGTAGTCTGTGAGTACGCGAGCGCGCGGACGGGTGGACGAGTCGGCTGACCAGGCGTGAACGTGGATGTGGATGTGGATGATCGCTTGAAGGGACGGGAGATAGCGCGAGGTACGTGAGTTGTCGTTTTGAGCTTCGGAGGCACCCGCGGGTCTTTTCTGTTCACGGGACGTTGTGTGTACGGCTGAGCACCACACGAAGCGCAGATGACCGTCGTGCGGGTTTTGCGGGCGCGTAAGACGACCGTTCCATCTTGGGGGCCAAGCAGGTGGCTTGAAAAAGCAGACAACATCCGTCTTCGCTTGACGTACATCTGTGCGGTTTTCCTGTGCTTGGTCACTCAATCAAACTCTGCTCTGTTTGGTGTGGTCATCCACCAAAATACACTGCACATGAAAGCCTATGCAGTCAGAGTTCAATTCATGCCGAACACCACAGGCTTGGCTGAACCTTGACTCGGTCGAGGTATTCGGTGACCCACACAGCAGAGTGGGTTGGACTGTTGGACCGATACGATCTGTCTGTCTGTGAGGATGATCCCGACAAGTGCCTACCGAAGCATAGCCTGCTGATCATGCCGAGTTGATTAATCGTGTCTCGCAGACATGATAATGACCGGAAGAATCCTCGTACAACAAATGAGATATACATGCTTAACCGAGCAATGGCGAGGAGGATGGAGGATGTCTTCTTAAGCAAAGGCATACCCGTGATCCCCAGTATCGGTATGTATGCATCTTTTTGCATTCTCGAGTTATGTCACCGATTCCCCCGTGTCATGCACTGTGTAGGCAATAACGATGTGTGGCGTAAGTCTCCCGCGAGCTTCTAGTACATCCAACACGGACTAACGGCATACCATCCCCCCTATCCTGCCTCCCTCACAGCGCATGTAGGTCCATCTCGGCCCTGTGCATTTCATGTGTGAGATTAACGAAGCATCACGCAGAATATCATGCTCCCAGGTAGGACCTCTCCGTATATGCGTGGCGGCGTGCTGACAGACAATCCCGCGCATCCAGGCCCGAACGGCGTCACTTCCGAGTTCTCTTCGTACGTGATAGACTCGTGCCCTTACCTCATACGCCGCTGACCTTGGAGCACACCCGCAGCATCTGGCGCAACTTCGTGCCTTTCGAGTCTTACCAAGTCTTCCAGCGCGGCGGCTACTTCTCTGTCGAGGTCATCCCGGCGCAGCTCGCCGTCATCAGCCTGAACACGATGTACTTCTACGACTCGAACAAGGGTGCGTCATCCGCGATCTCGATCTGTCACTGCACGCATCTATAACATTATGGGACGAGGGTGTTGCTGTGGCGCGCGTAACTCGCGTGGAACGCACATGGAGAGCACATGGCGTCCACGTTCGCCGCGTGGCCTCAGCCACCTACCGGCCGGGCGCTCTCTCCTCCCCGGCGCCTGCGACCCCCGCCCGAGCTGTCCCCGAGGCGGGATTTCCGCGCGAAATGCAGGACAACTCAGTACCGGGAAATAGGACCTGTGAGTACTGAGGGATGATGAGTATTGGGAAAATTAGTCAGCACCGGGAAATGTCAGTAGTGGGAAAACAGGACACATCAGTACCGGGCAATAGGGAATATCAGTACTGGGAAATAATAGTAGTGATATTCAAAACATCAGATCATATTCAAGGAGACAATTGCTGAATGTGTACCACAGGCTGGGAAACATTCAATTAAAATGCAACCACAAGACTGAACATATTGGGAGCGCCGCGAAATCAGTACCGGGAAATAGGATATCTGAGTAGTACCAGGAAAATGACACATAAATACCAGGACAATAGGGAATATCACACCAGCATCAGGAAATAGTAAGAAATGTCAGATTATATTCAACAAGACAAAGATATCACTGAACCACAGGCCGGGAAGCATGAAGACTAACACACAGCATTGAATGAACTAATGCTGCCAGCCCGTGGCGAAGCCATGGGCTGGCAATGCCCAAGCATATAACCTTCAAAGTAACATAAAGCACAGAATGAAAGAACCGCCGCCAGACCTGAGGCGAAGCCTAGGTCTGGCATTGCCTAAGCATGAAATCTTAAAAGTAACATGAAGCACAGAATAAAGAAATCACCTGCCATGGGCTGGCAATGCCCAAGCATATAACCTTCAAAGTAACACAAAGCACAGAGTGAAAGAACCGCCACCAGACCTGAGGCAAAGCCCAGGTCTGGCATTGCATAAGCATATAACCTCCGAAGTAACACAAAACACAGAATGAAAGAACTGCCGCCAGACCTGAGGCGAAGCCCAGGTCTGGCATTGCATAAGCATGAAATCTTAAAAGTTACATGAAGCACAGAATGAAGAAATTGCCCCGTAAACCCGTGGCGAAGCCACGGGTTTGCGATGCTCGTCTCATGTGTCCGGCGAACTTTGTTCATACACGCGCCTTCTGTAACATATCGCCATGGCGACCGCTGCAGCTGTGGGAGGATGCGAGGACGGTGATCCAGAGGACCCCGGGAACCTCCAATTTGACTGGCTCGAGGTGCAGTTGGATAGGTTTCGGAGTCGGGGCATGCAGGTCCGTGTGTTCGGTCCGTTGGCGGCGGTGATTGCGGCGCTGTGTGCTGTGGCCCGCTTTGACAGCGTCGGTGTCCTCGGTGTTTGCTGAAGGTTCCGTAGGTGTGGCTCAGCGGTCATGTACCACCGTCTGCAGACAATTTCTTCCCCGACTGCGTGAGTGGCGTGTTTCATGCTCGCTGGATATCATTGTGTTGAACGTTGTGTAGCATGTTAGGTACACCGAGTTGTCATTGCGCTACCAGGACACAATACTCGGACACTTGTATGGGGTAAGTGACAGAAAAATTCACTTGCATCACCCAGGCTGATGCGTTCTGACAGCACATGAACGCAGACCACGTAGGCCGATCACTATTCCTGTCTGATGTAGCTAACAAAGTTATGCCAGTTCTTCTTCCTCGATGCCGATCACGTCCGAAGCACACGAAACAGGAATGTTTCGACGTCGGGCGAGCCGCACTTTGGGAAGAAGAAGCGCAGAGCGCTGTACAACACCTTGCTGAAGACCTTTGACGACCTGCCGAAGCCGAAGCACAACGGGAGCTACGACGACTATGGCGTGGTGAACGTGTCGCCGTCCGTCGTGCCCAACCCGTACCTGCCGTCGTTCCGGATATTCACGTACAACACGACCGGGAGCGCGTACGTGCCCGCCCTGGGGCCAGGGCGGGGATCGTGCGCCGATGCAGGTGGCCAAGAGAAAGACGCCTTGCGGTGCGACGTGGCGAAGCCGTGGCACGCGAGCCCGGACGCGCCGTCGCGGACGAACAGGCTATGGACGCCCCTGGGCTATGCGCAGGTGGGCGGGATTGCTGTCACGGTGGCCGACGGCATGCTGACAGTGGCATGGACAGTACTATCTGCCGGACCTGGAGAGCGCCAACAAGAAGCACGCGCCGAAGGTGAAGCTGGAGTACCTGACGTTCGCGCGGGATGCGCTGCACCCGCAGCCGGGCGAGGGCGAGGGGGCCCGGCACCCGATCCCGCTGCGCCACCTGCCGAAGACGCTGAGGAACGCGACGGGGGAGGGGGGCGCGAAGTACCTGCCGTACGGCTTGGCGGACCTGACGATCGGGTCGTGGGCGGGGCTGGGGCGGCGGCTTGCGGGGGGGACGGAGAAGGCGCTGCGGCGGCGGTTCCGGGGGTACATGTACATGGGCGGGGAGGGGGCGTGAGGGATGTAGCGTAGCCGCGTTGTGTATGTATCGTGTATGGAGTCGGACGGTGGCTTGTGTGGCGGGCCGCTTGGCGCCGGGGCTGTGGCTGAAAAGCGGCGAGTTGCCTTGACCACCGCCCTGTCTGCGGCACTCGCGCATCTCCCCGCTCAACAGATCCGAACTGCACTCGCTCGGTGGCCTGTCCATTCATTTGTGTCTGCTCCCCCGGGTCTCCTCCGTCTCTTCTACTTCTCCGTCATTTCCGCCGCTGGTCAAGGCGGGCGGCTCATCACCCATCATCTCCATCCCCCCCGCCCCGCTGGCCACGCGTGAATACTAATACGCTTCCCCACCCTCCTTTGCTCACCACGGCTGGCCCGCCTTTCGATTTTCGTACCCGCTCGCCCGCGACGCCGTCTGTCCTTCACTCCTACTATATCCCGCACTCCTTATCTTTATGGCCGCTGTCAATCTCCAGCTTATGGCCAACGTCCCCTTCGACCTCATACCCAACTCTGGCTACCACCACTCCCGCTCAGACTCGGTGTCCTCCAACTCGTCCGCCAACTCCCCCGGCTCCCGCCCCACCTCTTCGCAGGGTGCCATTTTGCGCACATCGGCTATGATGCCGCCGTCCTCCGAAGACCTCTACCGCGCTTCTTTCCATACCACCAACTCGTTCGCAGGTGATCACACCCGCATCCCCTCAGACGCGTCCCACTCCTCTGCCTACTCCCTCGGCTCCGACATCATCACCCCAGGCGATTCCCCGCCGAACCACAACCTCTCCAACCCGTCCCTCAAGTCCCATCTGCGCCCCACGCATATCCGCGCGCGCGTCGCAGCCTCTCCCTATCCCCGCGATACGGAGAGCGTGCACTCGTCTTCGAGCGAGACGGAAGACATCTCTCTTTACCTAGGCTCGACGGGGAACGACTATCATCCGATGTTCGGAGGGCAGCAGATGATGGGGCACAGCGAGGCCGTGCACACCACCGGCGCATTCGGTCGCATGACGCTCAGCACCGACCATGCCCTAGAGAAGCTCGCCGCCAACGTGCGAGCAGCGACGACGACGAGTGCGTCTGACCGGGCCAAGCAGATCTTCGTGCAGGCATGGTGAGTCCCCCCGCTTCTCCGTCCTTCCATGAGTCTCGAACCTCGTGCCACTGCAGGTTGACCGCGAACTACGCACCCTATCCCGACGGGAACGTCCCCCGCCAGGGGTTGTACTTCTCGTACCGCCGAGTCTGTGACCAGTATGGTATTCCACATATCAACACCGCCACTCTTGGAAAGGCCATCAGGCTGTGTTTCCCCACTATCAAAACGAGACGGTTGGGCGTTCGAGGGAACAGTAAATATCATTGTACGTCTTTGGCGATATCATGATTCAGTCAAGAAGGCCCCTGATTGCCGCTACCCTTGTCAGATTGCGGCATCCGGCCTGGAACATCGACGGAGGCCGAGTTTATGCAAGATTACATCCGAAAGTCGAACAACACCGCAGCGCAGTCGGCCGTCAACGCTGCTCGTGCGTCGACTGAGGCGACAGAGACTCTGAACAGAGGCGATTCGGATGGCGAAGATGAAGACGATTCCGAGGGCCCTAGCTCGGGACAGGTATCAAAGCGGAACTCGCTGCAGCTGACGAATGGGGTGAAGAACCCGCAGCTGTTCGCAGATGAGAAGACGCCCACGGCGAGTAGTTTGCTCGCCATGGCTCAGGCATCGCAGCGGCCACCCACGAGCTCCTTCCCACCACAGGCGTCAATCCGGCGGCATGCTGGCCAGACCGAGCCGACGCTCAGCGTTCCGTCGCACTCACCAGTGGATGTGACCAGCTCACTCACCCTTGTGGCGTCGACGCAGTTATCGGTGCGACAACTGCCCCATTTCCCCTCCATCGAGGAGGCGGTAGGCGGATCCTCGAACTCGCCACACAGCATCGCCGCAAGGGAGGTGTGGCGCTGGTTCCAGGACCACCTCGATGCGCTGCTCGACAGCGTTAGGGCGTACCGGTTTGACCAGTTCGAGCTGCATGTGCGGACGTTCTGGTCGAACCTCACGGGCAGCCACCGCGAGATCGTGCATGCGCCCGCTGTAGCAGGCTTGATGGCCAAGGCCGATGCGATGGTCTACGATGTAAGGCGTTCTGCGGTTATCGTGTGATAGGGGGGCGACTGATGAAATTTGCGCAGGAAATTTTGGAACAGCTTCGTTCGCAGATGCTCTCGCCGATCCCGGCGGCGTCCCTCGGTGGACTGCGGCAGCTTGCTAACAAGATGGAGAAGATTCTGTTGGTGGCGTTGGAAGGCTACGGGAACACGTTCGTCGAGCCAAAAGTCGAACTTGGAGCGCGCTTCGGACATCTAGTTTGTACGTCGCTCGTCCTTGCTTGTCATGCCGTTCCCTGACTGGCCCATTATTCAGTGCGCTTCCTCGACATCTACCAAGTGACGCAAGCCCTCACGACCGTGCTCACAAACCCTAAGCAGGTCGCCGAGATGCGGCGGTCGTGGAGCAAGGTCGACTTCGAGTCCGTTCGCAATCAGTCTGCGTTGGTATGCAACTGCCGACACGAGGACCTCGTGCACCTGCTGGAGGTCGAGTTCGTCAACCTCCTGGACGGTCTCATGAAGAGCAACACACCAGTACCGGATGTGATGTCATGGGCGGATAAGTGCTGCGAACGCTTGATGGGCTCACGGGGTGGCGATCAGGAACGGGGAGCGATGAGTTCGAGAAGTGTGCTGATCCGCTGGGGATATGTGACCAGTCAGATCATGCGGGACTTGGTATGTCGTCCTCCTCCTCCTCCTCCGACTCGCTGTTGACAATTGTGTGTCGTGCAGACCATTCGGAGTGACCCTGCGTTTGGCGCGTTCCAGATCCTCAAGCTTTTCCTGGAGTACGTGATTCAGTGTTCTGCAGTGATAAGAGCCTTGTTAATGACGTGTATCGCAGTGACTGGATTGCACTCAACGTGCTAAGGAGCGTCGCACTGTCGACAAACTCAGTAGCAGCATCAGTTGAGCCCGTCATGCAGCAGAACTTCTTCACCATGTCCCCTGAGATGGCCGGGCAGGAGCACTTTGGACAGCACCTCGAGGTGCATCACCCCGTCATGGCGCACACGCCGACGACGTCAAGCATGCTCGCCGCGCTGCAGCAAGAGTCCTTCGGGTCGGGCTCCCTCGACCCGTCATCAAACACGTTCGGCGCAGACGCCTTCTCGTCGCTGTCGTACATGGACACTTCGCCGTCGCACGACGACTCGATGCCCGTGCACCCGTCCGCACTCTCCTTCCCCGACTATGTGTCAGGCTCTGGTAGTTTCGACGCCCCCGCATTTACTCCGGAGCAGATTGGCCTCCACAGCGCCTCAGCGACGCCGCCCTCGAGCAGCGAACCAGAGAACTCCCCGGAACCTGTTAAAACAGAGAATTCCCTTTAATAACGCGTCTCCTCTGTCGCAGTGATATCACGGACGCCTACCTTATCCCTCCCTAATTGCTTCGGTGCTTTGCTTTCGTGTGGCTTGTTAATTATTGTTGACTACTTGGCTCGCGTGCTGTATTCCCCTTGTTGCTCCCTACCCTGACACTGCTCTCGCCTGTCTCACTCCAGCAATGTATCTCCATGGTCTGCGGGCAAATGGAGTGTCTCATAATACGATACCAATGCCCTTAATAATCCCATCAAAGGCGGTGTATAGGTAGTAGATTGAGCGAATATACACGGGATCGACAAATGCAGTAAGTCCAAGCCGTGCACGATCATCGCTATGATTCATCAGCCTCGCCGCTCTGCTCCTCCTCCACATCCTCCAGCTTGTCGATGACCGCCTCGCTTGGGACAGCTAATGACGGGACATCCACGCTTGCCGGTGTAGGAGCGGGCTCCGCGGGACGTTCGCCGCCGCCGTTGGGAGGAGTGAGGTCGTCGGGTGTGGGCACGTCGACCTTCTCCGACTTGCCGATGAGCTGCTTAATCCGCGTCTCCGCCTTCTGCTTGTTCTCAGCCGTGACTCGCGCCTGGTTCTCCAGGAACCAAGCTTTCTTCGCTTTGAGGTCCTCGATGACACGAGGTACGTCGGCGGACGACGTAGGTGGCGCTATTGAAAGGGAGAGGAGCGCCGAGAGCGTGGGCAGGGGAACGTGTAGCTGGCCCTGACTGCCCGACGCGTCGCTCGCGTTGGTGCTCTCTGCTGCCGCCGGTGCGGCCTTTGCCCCACCCTTCTGCGCCTTTTGACCCTTCCGCGACTTCGCGACGAAGTAGTCGGCCTCATCGTCGTCCCTCTTCTTGTGGACAACCATGCCCTCGCCCGGAGCAGCATCGACCTTCCGGATCTCGAGCTTTGGGACACCAGCAACGCTCTTGTCCTCCTTCTCAGAGGACAAGCTGGGTGCGGACGTCTTGCCTGAGAAGTAGTCGACCAATGTCTGGCAATCCTCGACCTGCGCCTGGAACGCAGGCGCCTCCGCCTCCTCCCGGATCTGCTCAGCCAACTCCTTCTTCTTGGCCTCCTCGTCTGCAGCACGCTGAGCCCGGGCACGCTCCGCCCGACGTGCACGCTCCTCGTTCACCTTCGCGAAGTACTTGTCATTGGCCTCGCGGAACGCCTGCACCGACTCGCGCTTGCGGTTGTACAGTACATCGAGCTCGGCGGAGAGCTTGTTGCGCTCATCGAACAGCTTGTTCCGGTTGGCCGCAAGCTCGTCACCCTCCTTCTTCATCTCGTCGAGCTCGGCCTTCAGTGCGTCATAACGCTCGGACGCGGCCTTAGCCTCGGGGTCGTCGAGTTGCCTCTTAAGCTCATCAGCCTTAGCACGCTCGGCCTCTATCGAGTCCTGCTCAGCCTGGAAGCCCTCGACAATACGGCGGGTGCGCTTGAGCTGGCTGATCTCCGCCAAGGCACGCTTCTCGTCACCGAGCTTCAGGTTACCGGACTCCACCTGCCTCTCGAGCAGTCTATGGTTGTATGGTCAGCTCTGACTGTAACTGGAATGCAGCGCTGTTACATACTTGATCCGGTCGTCAACTTCGTCCACGGTCTTGAACGGTGCCTTCGCCTTAGCAGCGTTCAGGTCCTTGATCTGCAATACCGCAGTGAGCAAGTCGCACGCATGACACGTATGCTATGACATACCTTCTTCTGAACACCGTCCTGAATAGCCTTCAGTTGCTCAAAGATCTTGGTACGGGAAACCTTGCTCGACGACTGCTGGTCACGAATGCTGTCCAGCTCAGCGCGAAGAAGAGTCCTCTTGTCATTGTTACCGCCGGGCTTGGTAGCGAGGTTGATCTTCTCCCTCACAACGGACTGTCCGGAGCAGGCAGCGGAGTGAGTATGGCTGCTGAAGCGACTGCTCAAGAACAGGTCACGTACCACCTTGACCTGGACAGCGTCGATTTGAGCCTTGATCCGTTCCTGTTCCTTCTCATACGTAGCCTTGTCCGGCCTGCCTGGTCCGTATGTCGCGAATTCGAAGGAAGCCTCCACTGGAGTAACAGGCGCAGGGCTGGTGCTGCCGTTCGCTGAGTTCCCGTTGGCGGGCTGGGCAGCGGACTTCGCCTTCTTGTTTGCGCCGTTAGAAGAAGCAGTCTTAGTTTTAGCTACGGCCATACTGAAGAGAATACGAAGGTCAGGGGAACCGTGGTAGAGCGGGGGGAAGGAGTGACGGGAGGAGACGTGGTGGTGGGGAATTGGGAAGCGCTGAGCGTGGACGGTCGTCCTACATCTCGATCTCCACGGCCCCCGTGACGTGGCTACACCCCACGAAATCTGTCCAACGTTAACGGATGCTTGTGCCGAGCTCGGAGATGCACGCAGAGGGGAAGCAGAGGTAGTAATACAACTGGTAGAAGTATGAATTACAGCAGAGCAGTACGTAGGTCCGGACCAATGGAAGCGAGACAGCCCAATCAAAAGACGACCTTCTGGTCGAGTTTTTCCACTTCTCGACGGCACTCCTCGTACAGTTCTCGGTACTCGTCGTCCTTTTCCTCGCCCTCCTCGCCCTCCTTCCGCTTTGTCTTCTTTTTCGAATCTGGGCACACCATCACACAGCTTGTCGGCCGTTTTGTAGCACTAGCGTGACCTAGCTCCTCTTTCGATGTGATGAATACGTATGGAACACCCGCATCTTCAGCGAGAACAGGCAGATGCGATATGATGTCGATGGGTGTAATGTCTGCCGCGAGAACTAGCAGCCTGCTCAGAATACTAAGTCAGTAAATGTCGTTGCAAGAGAATTAGACTCAACGCACCCCTTCTCTCCCTTCCGGATCCCCTTCACGACTTCCTTGACACCTCGTTTCACCTGTCTGGACTTGGAAGCTATGCGGAGGAATGTTTTGAGAAATCGAGACATACAGTCAAATGACAAGACATGCGTACCTTTCTTGATTGTTTTATGAAGCTTCTTCAGCAGTTTCTTCTGCGCTAGAGGATGCGCTATTGGCGACAGGTCCTCTAAGGGGATGACAATCTCGTCCTTCTCCTTCTTGACCTTCTTCTCAACCTATGACGCATTGTTCAATCACAGGAACGCATAACGGTACTAACGGTGCTCACCTTTACAACCTCCGCACCCTCCATCTCAACGTCCTCCCCGACCGGTACTATGGACTCTTCAACCGTCTCCGACACCTCCTTGGTCTCCTTTCTCTTCTTGTCCTTCTTCTCGCTCTTGTCTTTGGACATGATGATGGTAGGGGAGCCTTGAGTGTCTGATAGTAATCGTAAGACTGCACGATGAAGGTGGTTTTCACTATCTCTCCGAGAATGAAGCTCATGATCACGTGCCAACGCGATCGAGATCCCTGTGTTTGTGAAAGAGGCGGCATGCGAGATCGTCGAGCGAGACTCAGCGAGTGCGCAGGCGGGTGCGCACCCGATACATTCTGTACATACTGCCGGTGTGCGGAGTATTTCCGTGAGCACCGTTTATTCATCTTGTCGGAATGATAACTTTATAAGATTTGACAGAGATGGATCATGCGACGCACACTGGCAGGCTCGGCCCAACTGAAACATTTGAAGAACATTGTTATAGGCCTTATATGCGTGTCGTTGTAGTCGCAGCACGCACTAGCACAATGAGGCTGCGGCTTACGGCGTTTATCCGAGCCCGGCACAGGTCTGTAGTGGCATATTTGAAAAGACGTACCTACCAGTGTTTTGGGGATCCAGAACTACACCGAAACGATGCAGTCGATGATGAATGTCCTGTGTGAACAGCGACAATTTGTGTATTTACATCGTCGATCCGTCACATTTCATATCTGCTCTTCGTCTCCGTTCCCAGGAGGGACATCAATTAGTCCTCTGAGCAGATTGAGCCAGACCCACGCCGTCCCACGACCTTCCATATCATACCAATGGTTGATGGCAATGGTTACCTCCGACTGCCGGACGTAGTGCCACCACCCAGCGGGGAGGTAGAGCGTCTCACCTGCGTGAACGGTTATATGAATGGGATGGGCTTCAGAAGGAAGGAACACCGCGGCGGAGGGATCAAGGACCGAAGACCAGCGAACTTCCGACGTCGTTGGTGGCGATGGAATCAGCTCCAGTTGGGACGTGGCCTGAGAGCGGACATAGCGAGCGTGTGGATAGCTGTGTTCTGTCAGAAGTATACTTAGCATGTCAGTCAGCTGGAAGGCGCTGTCGAGTGACGGACCCAGTAAGCACCAGCCTTCAGTTGGCGGGAACAGCGTAAAGTGCTTCGCCCCGCGAATGACGGAATAAATATTCTCATATGGGTCTGAAGTAACTTCTGAGTGCGCGGAACAAGACATGTCTATGACGCTTACCGCTGTGCACGCTTGTTACACTCGCACTATTTCCTATCCACAAGTTCACTGCGTCTGGACACCTATCTGTTCACTGATGCATTAGATGTCGATCAATTGCGAACGATGTTGTCAGCGTCTCAATCCTCTCACCGAGTGCTTCGCTACACCATGATATCTCGCTGGGAACATCCGCGCGCAGCGGCGCGAACTCTGAAGGGTCCGGGTCGCTTGTCAGATCGAAGTAGCGCCCGGTGAACATGTTGCCGTTCTGCGATTGGAGGTAATACACTTCTTTGTCCACTGCATTGCTTTCAGGGCGGTCTGGGGATCGAGACTAAGGTCATTGACACTTCCGATCTGTTCAGAACCATTTCATACCTACCTGGAGCAATCTTTGCTAAGAAAGCGTCCATTGCCATTTTCTCGACATGTGGTTCGGCGAAATACAGTCGACCGTCGTGGCCGCGAGTAATCGCGTCAGCGCGTCTGCCAATTTCAGTCATAGAGTGCATGTATCTGCAGGCTCAACGTCATATATCTTACCCTGTCGGTGTGACAGCGATGGATATCTGCCGGTCTTCCATCCGCTCGGCAAGGTATTCATCTGTCCAGAGGGAGATGATTTCCGGCATTTCACTTGCTGCATGCAAGGGCTACACAGGATTTACTTTGACCATTGGTGCTTAAATCACATACCTTTGATCAACACTGGTCTGGAGATGTGAATCAGCCGGGAGAACTCAAGGGGTGAGGGTAGTTCGTCCAAAACGTCGTAGTGCGAGCCGTTCAGGTCTACGAAATCTTTGAGGGCATCCTGTCTGCAATGGGGCGCGCAGCATACCGTAATACTCGTTTGCTATCCATTTCAGGGCCCCTCCTCGCACCGTGGGATCGAGCGGTATGTGGTTCTCGGCCATGAGGTGTGGAGGCAGGCGTAGGAGTTACGGTGGCAGGGCGCAGCCACATTTGCGCCACACGCGCGATTGGCGGAGTGCCGAAGGCGGCGCCGATCTCGATCTGACGGTCGTGATCACTTCGCGTGAGACGCGTCCAATTCGCGCGACGCGTTTCGTGTTCGACTAGTCACGCCCTCCGCCAACCACCGCTCGCTGCCCAGTTGCGTAGACGCGTTCAACTTCGTCGAGCAGGCGTGCTTGGTAGTACGTAGACGCCATGAGCCAACCCAGGAAGACGGCCACACGAAAGAATGCGAAGACCAAGACAGTCAGTTCGTCTCGACCCTACTACACGAGAAGCACTCGCACCACAGCCCCACTAACGTGTTCTCCAGGCAGGCCAGAGGACCCTCTTTGATCTCTTTCCCGCCAAAGCCTCTGCCACGAGGCCCGCATCTCCAACATTGGAGAATGCGAGCCTCACAGGAGGCACTGCGGACACCCTCTCCAGTGACGTCGAAATAGTGGACTCTGTGTCCAGTCCTCTCCTCACAGACGCGGATGCCCTCACTGATACGAAAAATGAGGGCTCGGAAATAGGCGTAGGTATGTGGCCCCCCAAGCCGTTGCATCGTTTTCTGACAGCGCGGATAGACAATACCACGATGACTTCTGGCGAGCGAAAGCATGCTGCCCTCCGGGCAAAGCTGCGTTTGAGGCCTGCGCTATCTCAAGGTTCTGAAGCTACACCTAGCAGCTCCCAGGCGACCACGGAAGGACAAAGTCGTGACGATCCCATCATTGTCGACTGCAGTCCAATCCGACCAATGAATGTCAACCGGGTATCTGACAAGCCCTTCTACTCTATCTTTGCTCCGAAAAAAGCATCCCCGGTCATCTCGGCCCCGTCAGATTTGTCGACTCGTGCATCTTCGCCGCCCAAACGCCTCAACAAGCATGGCATGATTGTCCCTTACCCTCCACGCGACTCCCAGCACATCCGGGCAAATCAGACAAATTTCTCGACATCTCCGTGTCCCTTTGAACGCCGCCTCCAAAACTCCCGCTCATCCTCCCAGGCTCAACTACCTTCACAGGACGAGCACACTACGGCGTATTGTCAAGCTCAGGGCAGCGAACCACTGCGCAATGGTGTACGGTCTGCGGGTAGGACCGATGACTTCGCGCGAAACGAGCGCGGCCGCACGGTTGTCAATGGGTCATCGGCCCCTTGTGACCCAAGTTCAGCTTCTCATATAGTCAATGACATTCCTGCGACGCACAAGTCGTACCCCGCCATCGAGCGCCTCGTCGACCGAATCCAATCAGATCATCACGACGAGGCGGACTCATCGCCCCCGTCACAAGAGCTGTGGATAGACAAGTGGCGTCCCCGACGTGCAGACGAGGTCCTTGGTAACGAAGACCGGGCGCTGTACCTTCGTGCCTGGCTACTCGCCCTGAAGCTCCACATCGAGAGTACACCGGCATCCTCACAGGCTTCGCGTGGCTCCGAAGGAAGCGGGAAAAGGAGACAGCCGGCCGCGAAGCCACGAGGTACAAAGAGGCCCCAGGTTGTCCGACAAGTGGACAGGCGGAGGAAACGAAGACGGCTGGACTCGGAGGAGCCGGACGACTCGTGGATCGTGGACGACGAATGGGACGACGACCCTGAGGTCGATAATGCCCATTACGGCGCCGGGGGTGGGGACGAGCTCGCGTTTTGTCAGCAGCCTTACTCACGGTTACGGCGTGTCGCAGAAGAAGTCGAAGCTCCTCCTTGCCTAGATCCCCCTGCGACGACCGCAGATACCGAAAAGGACAAGGTTGCTGAGTTCTCGCCCCGCAGCCCTCAATTTGGTAATCAAATCCACAACACTATCCTCCTGAGCGGGCCGTCCGGGTGCGGTAAAACTTCTGCCGTATATGCGTGCGCGGAGGAGCTGGGTTGGGACGTCTTCGAGGTCTATCCCGGCATTGGAGAGCGGAGCGGTGCTGCGCTCAACAAGCTCGTAGGAGACGTTGGCAAGAACCATATCGTAAAGCAGACCCAGCGCCAGCAGAAGTCGATCTTTGGCGGCACTATCGCTGTCCAAGACCCACATGCACCGAGAAATGGCGGGGCGACCCAGAAGGCAGGGGGTCGTAAACGCGTCCTCAAGCGGGTCGACTCGGAGAACGATCTGGACGGGGAAGGGCAGAGTCAGACGGAACCTACGGCCTCTGCCGCGCCTAGCACACTGCCCTCCGAACATCCGCCGGTCTCCCAGTCCATTGTGTTAATAGAGGAAGTGGACGTGCTATACGACAGTGACGCCAACTTCTGGCCGTCCCTGATCAATATCATCAAGGAGTGTCGTCGACCCGTTGTTATGACATGTAACGGTCAGTAATCTCAGTAACTTCTATACCAATCACTCAGCATTTGGCTTCATTGCAGACCCGTCCTTGGTTCCCATCGCGGACCTTCCTCTTCAGGATATTCTCTTCTTCTCACCGGCAGTGCCTGCACTGGCCACATCTTATTTACAGTGTGTGGCTCTCCTTGCTCAGCGGCCTCTAGAACGATCCACAATCTCGCGGTTGTATGAGCGTGGCGCGGACGCACCATGTGGATACACTGGAGGCTCCTCGACGGATCCTCCTGCTCGCTACCCGGATCTCAGGCAGTCGCTGCTACAATTACAGTTCGGCGACCCAGACATTCCGACAGATTCCCCTGCCGAGTCTGCCAGCGCCGAAGAGCGGGTACCTCACTCGCACGTCCCCTCTTCTCTCGACGTTCCATTGGAGGCCGCACAGGAAGACCTGCGTATCGTCCACGGCCTCGACAAACTCGACAAACTCTACAACAACCTATCCTTCGCGGACTGCCATTTGCACCGGAAGCAACTGGACGACCTCGTGGTGCGTTTCGTACAGAGTCAGATTGGGAGTGTACCTGATCGTTCGGGTCTCAGGATACCATGACTGCTGATTCGGGAGCAGCGAATGATGAACTGGGCTACAGGGTGCTGCACAACGACGCCTCGACGGCGAGCCTGGCGCCCATTAACACATCCTTCTATCACCAAGATGAAGCCGTCATGGAATTTCTCTTGTCCAGCTGGCAAAACCTCTGTGCACCCGTGTGCAGCATCCCCACGGAGCTACACGGTGGTGGTATTCCGAGTGGAGAACTCGCTACGCAAATGGTCTCCGTCTTACAGGAGACCGAGGTCCCATCCGATACGCTCGCAAACTCGTCGGCGGTATACCTCGATTATGGGCCGTGGCTGAGACATATGGTCAATCTGGATGACGCAGTCGAGGCCAATTACTTGGAGTCGCAGGCCGGCAAGGATGAAGTACGCAAGACCAGGAACAGTCTTAAGTCTGTTCGGCCTGTCCGCTACGTCCTTATCAGCGAGAGCAACCGACGGACGCTAACGCACACCGCCCTGCGTAATTAGGGACGGTCTGCGGACATGTTTTTGTATCGTAAATGTAGGGGCGTCGCGCTCGGTCAACTCGGTTTGTTATGCACTCTGGCGCAGCCTGTGACTCAGTGCTTCTGTCTGCTATGGCGCCTTAGACTGTCTCAGTCGTCTCGCGTTGATCGAGCTAGGTGCACGGTGTCTGTACTACATCGCGGACGGGATGCTCATGTCGTCTGCACGATTCCGGGCGAGGTTATTGAGTGTCTGTTGTAACTCCGCGATCGCAACAAGCCGCCGGGGATCGAAGGGAAGCGGGCCATGTGGCCGACGGTCGTACAACTCACGTTGTTGAAACAGGCTAGCGACTTGCAGAATAGAATCGCGATCAACAAGATTCCGGTGAGCGGCGGCTTCTCTCGTGGCAAGGTGTGATCGATACTATCGGCCGAGTGCCAGAGTGACTGATAGATTCGAGTCGGACGGGGCTTGTAGACGGCGCGGTGCAGGCCCAGTCTCCGTGCGGGGTGTGTCGGGAGAGTCTGTGTGACAGACTCGGACGCAGCGGGCGCTGGCCGTTGACTCGGAGAAAGGTTGAGGGAAAGAGTGAGTATCAAACAATGTACCCAATTCAGGAAGAGCTGGCTATTGATAGCCACGTGGGCGGGATGGCAGCCACGCGCCTGTTTCTTCTCAACCATCCTTACCGCGAACCCGACCTCCGTTAAAGCTGCCTGTGCCCCGGCCTCTCCCCATCGTCCTTCTGGCCCTGCCCGCCCCCGTCCCCGCCGCATGGATCGCCCCGGAACCTCACACTCATCAGCATCTGAGTCCGGCCAAAGCGCTAGTCACTCCGGCACCGCCTCGCAGCCCCCTCCTTCCGCATCTGCACCTGCTCTGGGCCCCCGACATTCGCCCGTTACTCCCCTCGCTCCCCTCGAATTCCTCCAAAACCAGCGCAGAGGATCTATCACCGATCCTTCACTGCACGCCGGACCATCCATTCCCACACATCTTCCCAATGGTGCACCCTTGAACAACCTCCGACCACCCTTCAGACGTCCCAGCTTCACTTCGAGTCCTAGCTTCGCCCCCTCAACACTGTACCACGATGCATCCCGACCGCCACCAGGGCCACACCGGGCCCCTTCGCCGTATCGGTTCGGCGATGCCAGCATGCCGCCGCCGGAGAGCAGTAAAAGACAGTCCCGAAGAGCGCCACGATCTTCTTCTGCCGACGCGGGCAAGAAACCACTTCTAACCGATACCATACCAGAGCTTGAGAGTGATGCCGCAAGAAGCCTACGTGACAGTAGGCAAGAAAGTATAATTAGAGGTAACGCTGGAGCCCACGTGCAATACAGCTTAGCGAATTCACATCTCGGTTATAGAGTCCAGCAGGGCGCAGGGGAGTGACGACATGGAGATTGATCCGCAGGAGTTCCAGGAACGTGGTGGTGGGTTGCGAGGCTTGCAGGCTTTCCGTGAACCGGTGGGGTACAACGCGCGGCGACATTCCATTGCCGCTGGGTTGCCAAGTTTGAGCCAGGACAGACACTCACCAGGCTGGCCTCAAGGCACGAAACGCAAAACACCCTCCGCGCAGGACACGCCGTCCCCTGGGAACCGAGAGATCGATCCGCTGCTTGCTGGGCCGGGGGCTGCAAACATGATCACTGATGAAGGCGACGGGCCCGCGCCAAAGCGACGCGGGTCGGCGTTCGACACGCAGAACATCGCGCAGCTGAGCCTGAACGACCGACACAGTTCCGGGGACACGCGTGCGGGCGGGGGAAACGGGGGGTCGTGGTGGTCAGGCGAGAGACGGGACTCAGCCGCGAGCTCGTCGTTGAGCGCGTCCACGCCCTCGTCGGCGTTTGCCGGCGAGTCGCCACATGGCCGACCTCCTGGCGGCATCGCTACTTTCGCGTGGCCTGCCAACCCTCAGGATCAGGCTGCAATGCAGAGCGAGGCCAACGTTAATATGGCGGGGCCTGCAGCGCATCCCTACGACCCCCTCGCAATCATGCCTCCAGTCGCCTTCGCCCAAGATCGCCGTATGTCTGTCCCCAACCTCCCGCCAGAAAATTTGCCGACCCCGCCGTCCACGGGCCCGACGCGGGTGCTTCGGTCACGCTCACGCCCTCCGTCGCGTGTCCGCGGCGCGAGTCAATCAGACGCCAGCAATGTTGCCGGCCCTTCGTCTGGCGTAGGCCAGCCAGACGACGCTGCAGCACAAGAGAATTATCGATTCAAGGAAGGCGCCGGAACCACGCCGTACTCGCGCTCCCCCGAGCTGCGAGTATCCCACAAGCTCGCGGAGCGGAAAAGAAGAAAGGAGATGAAGGAGCTGTTCGACGAGCTGCGCGAGCACCTCCCAGCGGACAGAGGGATGAAGGCGAGCAAGTGGGAGATATTGAGCAAAGGTGCGTTTGTGCTGCACGCGTAGTGCGGACATCGCTGACGCGTCGATCTCTTTGTCGCCTTTGTCGCGCCTTTGTTCCTCAGCGATTGACTTCATCAATAATCTTAAGCACACTTGCACTGAGATGCAACGCGAGATCGACATGCTACGCCATGAAGTAGAAACCATGCGTCATGGGCTGCCGCCACCATACGCTGGAGGCCCTCCACCACCGGGCGTTTTGTATGGCCATGGCCCACCACCACCTGTCGGTGCGCCCCCGTACCCACACCCCGGACCACCCCATCCTGGGCCTCCACCGTCTGGACCACCGCCTCACCAGCCGCCCCAGCCACACCATGTGCCACCTCCCAGTCAACCACCCCATCCGCACCAGCATCACATGCACCCGCCCATGCACCATCCTCATCCGCCTCCGGACGACCCAGCATCACGACCTGCATCTTCGCAAAATCTATACCCGCCCGGCGTTGGCCCTGCGTCGATGGCGCCACCATCGACTGCTCCTCCGGGATCGAGCATTCCGCCCCCAAAGTCAGACCCGTCGCCATAGGATTGGCTCTGAACCTATTGTCGCATCTACTCTTTTGTCTTGTCGATGATAGGTCCGGGGTACTTCCTGGCGGCGGGCCCTCGTTCGCTTCTTGGCGTGGATCGTCTGCAAACATGCGTTGGAGGTGGGCTTCGTAGGCCCGCGTTGCACGCGGACTACACGTTTGTAATGGAGTAGGAGATGATATTTGACGACGCTCACGAACTTAGTGACCTAGTAGTTAATATTAAGTCTTGGACTGTCGCATTCCTGTAGAATCCTTGCAAGCCAGTTGTTGTCTTGTCTCGTTACACTAGCACTGTACAGTCGGAATACATTTGTGCTCACTGAATTTCGTCAGTCCGATGAATGAATTGTGTTCGCAGATCTGAGATTGAGTGCAACCTGATCTCTTGTGCCCGATTTAGGCATTGTGCTCGGAGCCTTGGACAAAGACGCGCCGTAGTCATCTCCCGCCACACCATGCTCTGACCCCGACCGCCACCATCCGTCTCCCCCCACCCTCCTCTGACCCCCTCTGCATCATCTGAGACTGACCGCGGACAACTAGACAACCTCTGATACCCCTCTTCTACATCTACTATCGACAACTAGACGCGTTCACAGCCATGGCACCGAAACGCTCAGGAATGGATCTGCTCTTCCACCCGAAGAAAAAGACGACCCAGGCTCCCCCTCAGAAGAAGGCAGCCACCCCCGCCGGGACTCCCTCGGGCAGCCCATCGCCGATGAAGCCTCCCCGCGCGCCGCTTGCGAAGCCACGGCCACCAAAGGCCCAAGATAACGATGACGACTTGCGGCCACCGCCGCCCGAGGGGCCCTACCAGGAGTTCAAGCTGGTCTCTTCTCAGCTGAACGGATGGAAATACGACGTGATGAAGTTCGACTCGCGGAAGCCGGTCGAAATCGCGAGTTGGCAGAAACCGGTGAAGCTGAACAGGAAGGAGCCCCGCCGCGAGCCCGATGACGCTGCCAGCGCCACGGGGCCGAAGGCTGTGGGGGCCATGCTTGGGCCCGACGGAAAGCCCGTCGTTGGACCGGATGGCCAGATCGTGATGGTGGATGCAGAGGGACGGCCGATCCGGCCTGGTGAGGGTGGGAGCGCCAGTGGCGACAAGGGGAAGGAGAAAGCGGGGCAGAAAAAGCGGTTCCAGAAGAAGACGAGGCAGGTGTTCTTGGTGCCAGAGGAGGTACGGAGGCTCAGGAGGGAGGAGCGGTACCCGTGGGTGATGGAGGACTCGGCAGGAGACGAGACTTGGGTGGGGAAGATGGAGGAGGTGGCGAAGTCGGAGACGCATTGCATGTTTATGCCAGCCGACAACTGTACTTTCAAGCTCGTTCCCGCGCATCGATGGTACAAGTTCCAAAAGAAACCGAAGTACCATGTGCCGACGCTGGAGGAGGCGGAACGAATGGTACGTTTTTGTCACCGCTGTGGCGGCGTGACGCTACATTGTGCCTCGCCTTGCAGATGAGCAACATCAAGAAGAACCAGGACCCTGAGCGTTGGCTCCTACGTAAACGGAATGGCCAGGGGCCTTCAGCTGAGACTGCCGCTCTGTTCAAAGCCGAACGAGAAGGCAGTAACGGTCCTATACCAAGCACGAGTCTTGGTCCAGGGGGCCGCCGTCTCAAGACCGTTGATAACGGCATGAACGGTCTTTTCGGGGACGACGATGACGAAGAAGAGGGTGAGGGCCGTAAACGAAGAATGAAGCGTGAGCTCGGCGCGGAGGGTGACGTTGATGAGATGGACTTTGAGGAGACGTTTGCCGATGACGAGGAGAAGATGGAGCCCGATGATCGGGATGACGAGGAGGCAAAGGAACTTGAGGTACGTTGCTTCCCCGCAACGCACATTATGTATGCTCATTTGTTTGTAGGAGCGACTCAAGAGAGAGTATAAGAACGCGAATAAGGCCCGAGAGGGATACGTCGACGAATCAGATGATGAGGATGAACCGACACTTACCCAGGCAGGCAAGGGTCTGCGGAAGACCCTGCAGAAACTCGAGAAGGATGGCGGTTACGACGAGAGCGACGATGATGAGAATCCCTACGCTAGCGAGGTATGTCCGCGTTTATCAATGCCGCGAGACAGTATCTGACACCAATCAGGTTGAGGAGGAAGAAGAGGAACCTATCCCAGTCTACACTGGCCCTGCCATCATCGCCCCAGAACCCAAGCCGGGACGCCAAACGCCTCAGGCATCCTCTACCAACGGGACAAAGACGCCAACATCGAGCCAGCCGGCGCCACAGGTCAAACCAGAGTCATCCGACTCGCGGCCCACCTCTCCAGTCATCGCGAAGCACGGTGGCCATTCTGCTCTCGCCAAGCGGGCGATGAGCCCGAAGATGCCGAAAGTCGAGTCGAATGGCGTGGGCCGCCCTACTAGCCCCCTAGCAGGAGGGTCACCGAATGGCAGCCGTGCGACCAGCCCTGCCCACGGAGGAGGGAGTCGCGCAGGTAGTCCAACATCGCCTACGAGTCCTACGAGCTCCGCTATTGCGAACGGTGTCAACGGCTCCGCGAAGCCGAACGACAAAAAGCGGAAGGCCAGCGACGATCCTAACGCGAAGCCCAAGAAGAGGAAGGCTCTCCCGCCTCTGCCTGGGGGCGCGGCGCTCGATGACCGCACGGTGATCGAGTGGCTCAGGCAAACCCCGAACGCGACAACGCGCGACTGCATCCATCACTTCCAGCCGTATCTTACGGACGACGAGAAGAAGCACCGGTTCACGACGCTTGTGAAGGAGGTCGCGCAACTGAAGGACGGCGTCCTCGTCCTGCGGCCTGCCTACCAGACTGTGGGTGCGCCGTCACCTCCGCAGGCGAGTGCGGCGTGAGTACAGTGTATCGATGTGATGTCGAGCAATATGCACGGACGCTTTCTTTGATGTACTTATAATTGAGTGGGTGTATACGCGGTTATTCATTTACTCTGCATCCCACGGGATGCGCCTCGTCATTCGTGCTTGTCGCTGTGCCAGTCAATCTCGAGCGCCCTTGAACGCACGGCATCCAGTGAAGATACAGTTCGTCTCTGGCATAAGACGGGCACTGGGAAGTGCTCTGCGGCGTTGGCGCCACCTAGCCCCGGGCTCACTTCTTGACGCACAAGTGCTCACGAGACAGTGGGTCCGTTCTACGTCCGAAAGACTGTGTGTACCCAGAGCTGATAGCAAGAGCCAAACGTTAGATCGCTGTCATGGCGGGAATCGAGAACTGTGCACTAGCACAGGGTCGCTGCGGGGCAAATACCTTGAGGATCCCGTGTCTCAGAAAAATGCCTGAGACGCATGTTCCGCGCAGTTCGTTACGGTCTCTTCTCGACGCGTTTGACATGGGCCGTCTGCCATTCATGGCCGCAGAGTTAGGTCCTTCACGTCATGTACAGGGTTCACCGCACATGATAGAATCTGGGGCAGTGCGCTGAAGTCGAAGCGCCGACCAGTGTCAATCGCAGCGTGGATGCCATGTTCCTGCCTACGCGACCCACGCATACCTCGTGCATCTGCGGCGGAAGGGTGTGGAAAGTTGACAGGTTCTCTCGTAGCTCACCAACGGTCTAGTTTCCTTGCTCCGGGTTCCCTGCCCTTGAGTAAGCATAGCTTGCGGTGGGCTCGCAGGCTTCCTCGTGTTTCTCGCGTGCAGATTGGCTGGCCTACCCGTGCTTGCCTTCGCGATTGCTGTGTTGGTGGTGGAGATCCGCGTGTTTCGACAGTGCATGGGACCCGAGGAAGAAACTCCCTGTGTCATGGTTGGGCCACGCCTTTGCCAGGTGGTAGTGGGCCATCTTACGCCCCCTCCATCACTACACGCGTGGGTTGCCACCCAATCCCATGGTTTCTCCATCGAGGGGGTAGAGATGCCTTCGAGCACTGTAGACACCGGCCGCTTCCTTCGTGAGGTAAGGTCGTCTCAGGCAAGCTTGGTCACACCAGTGATTGACCCAGATAGGCTTTTGTACTGACTCACCGTAGGAGGAACCATCAGCTAATGTGACAGGCGAAGCTGGAGTCCTCGCCAGTTCTGCGTGTTGAGCGGATGGTGATATCGGTCTGCGTATCTGCCGGATGTACGGAACGTGCCAACTGTCCGAGCACACCATGTCCAGCAGATCTCTAGTGTGGGAGATGCAGACATGTAGCTGTAATCGATATGTGAATACCCTCCGTGACAGAGTGCCAACTCAAATTTTCACTGTATGAAGCGGCTGACAGAACGACCGCCGACGTGCGCCGGATGCTGTTTGTGTTCTTGTCGAAGAAGTAACACGGCTGTCATGGGGTTGATAACGGCTAGGCTGTGTTCCTGACCGCGACTGCAGTCTGATTTTATAGTGTACAAACCTTCGTTCCGCTGCATAGGAGCATGTCTCTCCGGGGCGTTATCGCGTGCGAAGTACGAGCTCGTTTCTGGCGACGATAATTCAGCCGGACTGGCACAAAGCATTCGTCAGCATCCCGTTCAAAAGACAAAATACAGAGGTGGCAACGAACCAATGGTAAATATGCGTGAGGTCCGCTGGAACATGTGAGATCTGATAGGTTCTCCCTGGTCCTACAAGCCTGCCCGACAAGATTAAGCTCAGCAATTGTAGCCAGAATGAGATGTGACTAGGAAAGATGAACAACTCGGACGACGTCGAGCAACTGAAACCGGATGACTTTCGCATGTCAGTGACAGAATACGTGGATAGCTCCTAGTATTTTACACGCCGGGTCCTCGTATAGGCTTTGTTACCGTGAAGCCAATTGTCCAGGAGCTCTGAAGATTTCGGACATTTGCCGCTCGATGACAATGCAAAAATGGCGGTCTGGCACTTGTCTGGCACCATAGTCAAACGAGCGCCCACTGTGAGCACGACGTGATCGATCGAGATGAATGTCGCTAACCTTCTCTTCGTAAGCACGAGTTCATTACGCAGATTAAGCCTCATCTAAGCGACGGGCATGTACCCTGAGCTCGACTGCAGAACTGGGAGTTGCAAGTGACAATTGTCTATGCGACTCCTTCGAGGGCAACGGAGAATCTACGCATCGACTTCATGACCGAGCCTGTTGGCGAGACAAACTGCCAATTAGGCTGCAATGGAAGCTAGCTTGCATGACATTCCTTCCTAGCACACACGTACAATCCAAAATACACATACATCATTGCATCTTCCTATCCCGTCCTCCGCCCGCGCTGGACACCAGCTTAGGGCTGAATTTCAGCGGCAAGCTGGTCAAACAGCGCCTCTAGCCTGTCCGCCTCGTACTTCACCAGCGTTGTGTTATTCTCAAACGTGATTGCCTCCGTCAAGGCGGGGAGCGTAGTAGCCCCATAGCCTGGTAGAGGCGCTTAGCATTGCACCAGGTACCGAGAGCGCCAGAGACTCACCAAGCCACTTCCCGGGGGCGACACCGAGATGGCGGTACCACTCGCGGTCCTTGATCCCATCTGGGTGAATGAACCCGCGCTCAAACCCGGCGAGCTTCTTGTTCACCGCGCGGACGCGCTTCGCTGCCTGTATGAACTTCTCACGCAGGCGTCCGTCGACGCTGTCCATGGCCTTGTGGGCGTGGCAGCTACGGGTACCCTCAGGACCAGCACGCTCCATCTCGCGCTTCCTCCGCTCGCGCTCCTCGCTCAGCCGCGCGGGGGCAAGCCCAAGACGTGGCTTGGTCTTTTGGACATCGCCTTCCCGCTTGGTTGTCATGCGCTGGAGCATGGGCTCCACGACATCCTGCTCATGCTTGTGTTTGTTCACCCTGTGTCCGGGGTGATGCATCGGCCGCTCGAACAAATCTTCCTGACATGGCTTGTGGAAGACCTTGCGGATCGTGCACCACGCCTCGCGTGCGCGGCGCTTGATCGCTCTGTGCAGCGCGATACGCCTGGCAAGTTGGATGAGCTCGCGTTCCGCCTCCGCTTTCTCTTTGTCGAGGGCGGCGCTGGCGTCATGGAGGGCGTCGATAGAGGCCCGAAGAGAGGAGAAGTCGACAGCAAGGGACGAGGTCTCCGCGAGCTGTTCGACACTGCGTCATACACATTCGTTGAGCCAGGTATACAATGAACGACATGAGCGGAGCGTACCCGTCCAAGTACTTGTCGAGCTGCGCTGCATAGTGAGTCGTGTTGATCGGCAGCACAACGGCATCGGCCAGACGAAGTGTCTGGAGCCCCAGGAACTTGGCTACTGCAACCTACGGTTAATTAGTACAAGGGCGCACGGAGCACGATGACCGAAGCTCACATGGCGCAAGAAACCAGGGTCGGCATACAGCTCCTGCCACCTCTCCGAGTCGAACACGGAGTGATAATGGTACACAGGATCAGATCTCGTCGAGCCAAACCCGTTATTCGTGCTCGCGACCTGCGCAATAAGATCGTCAGTCGCCCCCCTCTGCAGCATGGATCCAACGCACCCCAATCCGCTGCAAGAACACCGTGTAGTCACTTCCCGAACCCAGGACACCGACACCAAGCTCGTCAACGGCCATCTGCGCGAGCTCGTCCTCGTAATTTGCCTTCGCCTCCACGTCGAAGTGGTCTCCCGTCCTTCCGAAGAGTGGGCCCTGGTCATTGCGCGCGTCCCAGAGCGTGAGACCAGGCTTGGTCGGGTGCGCAACGGTCTCGGCGGCAGAGCGGAGGAAGTGCGCGAGAGAGGGCGAGCCAGAGACAGAGAAGCGCGAACCGGAGACGGAGGAGTCTGCATGCATGTGGTCAATAACGGGACGAGAACGAGAACGGCCGGGGACCGACATACCGAGGTTGAGATAGGCAACGACGTGCTCGTCGATCCAGTCTGCGAAATCCTCGCCCCATTCAGTGCTTCCAATGAGACCATACTAATGCGGGCAACAACGTCAGCATCACTGTTCGAAACAGCTGGACAGCACTTGCCTCTTCGGCATCCCAGCTTGCGATGAAGATGGTCCTGAGAGGCTTCCATCCCAGCTTCAGTAGTGCGCCTAGCCCACGGATGACTTCGTGGGCAGAGGCGGTTCCCGAGGACGGGTCTGTCGCGCCCATGACCTAATCAAAGTGAGCCCGCATCTAGCAAACCCCCATGTCCAGACATACCCATGCTGAAGCCGTGGAGTGAGCACAGTTACCTGCGATACCGTCCCAGAAGCTTACCGTCACGATGATTACCAACGACCACTACCTCGTCCCTGATGTGCCCGGGGATCACACCCATCGTGTTCCAGATCGGGATGACCCTGTCGTCCACTGCACAGACGTGCGACTCAATAACGACGCAAATATCCGCACTTCGGCCCTGAACTCACCGTGGTTGACTAGCTTGATAGTCCTGTTCTCGCCGCCTTCCTCGATCTCCTCCAAGAGTACCTGCGCATTAGCCCATGAGATCGGCAGACTAGGGATTTCCGGGATGTTGGTGCCTTCCGTGCGCGTGCTGTTCTCATACGCAGGGTACCCGGGAGTCGTGGGATCACTGAGTAAATTGGCTCAGCATGAGTATGAGTGGGAAACCGCATAGAGGACGTACCCTGGGTAGATGGAGAGGAATTGGGTACTTCCACGCTGGACAGAGGTCGGGTTGCGAGCGGGGCCATCAGGGTAGCTAGCGTGATGTCAGACATCAATCAATGCCACCGACAAGAAACGTACGCCTCGTAGCCGTTCTCAACGGTGACAGTACCGTCGTCGCGGGGGTCCGAGTAAATGAGACAAGCAGCAGCGCCGCGTTCTTGCGCACCCTTGACCTAATACATAGGGCGTAGTGTTATGCCAGTCACGAAGAGCCACAAGGAAGCAACACACTTTCAGACCTCGGAAGATGCCACCATACCGAGTGAGGACGATCGCTCCATTCAGGTCCACGCCCTTTGCATCCAGTTCGTCGTAGTCCTGCTTCCTCCCATAGTGTGCATACACTAGTTTGCCCTCCGCCTCGCCGCCTCGGCTGAGCCCATGGAACGTCGGCACAGCGTCCGCATACTTCCCCGCCTCTGGATCCGTCTCGTCCGCAACCTCCTCCAGCTCCGCAGTCCACACCGCGTCCCCATCCTGACTCAGGATCTGCAAGCTTCTGTCGAGGGGTGTGTTCATCACCGGGTAGTACACATCGATCCATGCCGTCGGCGCATCGAGAGCCGTGATACCGAGGGTCGCATTGCGGGACTCGAACGAGCCTGCGGAGAAGACAGGTTCGGCGCCAGGGATGGGGATGCCAAGCTCGCGCTGGAGGAGGGCGAGGAAGTCCGTGGCGGTCTTGTAGTCGCCTTCAGAACCAGCGAGATGCGGAGTTGTTGCATACTGCCGAGAGGCAGCGAGGGCACTCGCAGGGTTTGGCACGGACCTGCGTTACCATAGTGTATCAGGGTTGTGCACGGCGGAATCATACTGTGATGCTTACAGAAACTCCTGCTCTGCCAGCTTCCCAAACGGCACCTTGCGTTCGTTGAGCCTGTGCTGAGGACGCCCCGTGTTGAGTGCTTGCGTGAGCCAGTATCCCTGTTGAGCGTCCAGCTCCCTGATAATCTGGCGATTGCAGATGAAGTAGACGAGAGCCCAAAGTGCTACGCTCGTAACGAAGAGCTTCCGCCTAAGTGCCTTCCGGTCGCGCACCGGAAGCTGCGCCGCGACAGCAGGCGGTGGAATTGCATCGCGGGGAGGTTGTTTGTCGGCTGCAAATAGAGGCTTCTCGTCGGTCATGGTGGCCCTTCGGACAAGGAGGATCATGGGAGGGACCAAGGAGGGACGCAAGACGAGATGTCTGTGGAAGTCGTTTCGTGGGACAGCTGCCGCCGCAGCGCCGAGCGGCACCGTGATGCGAAGTTCGCGGGGTTTGATCACCTCATACTCTTCTTCATGACGGGGCGCGGCGAAGGACATATAAGTAAGTACAGTACGTTGTTGAGTACTTGCGGTATGACTACTGCTTGCATCCGGTTCTGGGAATCAGTAAACTAGTAACCACTGAGCAGATCTATGATCATAATACAGTATAAGTCCTAATTATGATAGGGGCGACGATGTATAGGCGCCTAGGCAGTACTCAATGATGATATCATGCCCCAGTGAGGCGCGATCGGCCTGGATCGAGATCGGCGTAGGTGCATTGTTGCTCTGCATTAGGTAATTGGTGCTTCTTGTACAGTACACTGTACAGGCATGCATAGGCGTGAATTGTCCCTCTAGTTCAAGCGCCCCGGTACTCAATCTCGAATCCCACCCATGACTGGAATGTTCCGAGTGGTCATTGATCTCGTGGGAGGAGCGACAAGCAGTTACAGTAGGATCATGATTAGTAGGGAGTCACCGTTACCGTGCCATCTGTAGTTCATGGCTCATGCAGCGTCCTGTATCCGTCCGCCGAAGGCTTTCAGGAGATTGAATGAGGGTACGAACGATTTGACGTTCCATATCGCACTGCATGACCAGCCCATACGGAAGACCCGTGGGGCAGGGACGTGTCCAGTACGTGATAAGTGTACAACTTGTTCTCTTCTGATGACGGTAGTTGCCCGCGATTGCTGCGGCGAGCCGGTTCGGGGCTTTGTTAGCAGATACTACTGAGCCTCGCAAGTTATGACCGAGATGCGCGACCACACAGAGTATGCTGGTGTATACAGAGGTTTGAACCGAGTAATTAATCAAGCATGTCCGAGACACGGGGGCATCTCGGAGTCGCCGATCGCAATCTGTCGATCGCACCGTACGATCTTGATCCCGGTGGCTGCAGGCCGGGGCGGTTACGGCTGGGTTACCGTAGACAACTCGACGGCCTGCACCGTCATCATGTTGTACTGAGTGACATCGATAAACAGCCCAGCAACCAGTTGCCAAAAAATGTCACGAACGCATACTTGGTACGCATGCTAACAAGATGACAAGATTGGACGCACACTGTAATTCTTCACCTCTCGTCATCCATCGAGCTCCATTCCATTTGTAGTACTCTGCGAGAATGGCGAAAGCTGGTGTAAGCACTCAGACGGTACGAGTGGCCTCTCCCATGCTGAGCAAGATAGTCAGTCAACTTTCTCCCGAACCAAATGGTTGGGACAGAGACTCACATTTTGCACTCCTCCAGAAGATCTCTACACCAGGCTCCAAGTTGTTCCCGAACAGAGCCAACAGTACGCAGTACCTTGACGGCACGCCCTCCGCGTATGCGTACAGCGGTGTCCCGCAATCGGGGCAGAAGGTGCGCTGCACGGGCTCCCCCGACATACTCTTGCCTTCCGGAGATCGGTACGTCTTCGGTTGCCCTTTCACGATATGCAACTTTTCTACGAGTACTGGTGCCCAGTAGTGGAACACTATGTCACCGTGGTTTATTGTCACTTGATGAAGCCTGCGAGCGATACACTCACGACTTCCAGCGGCTCTCTGACAATCCGTGCAATGACATATCGCTGCCTTTGCATTGTCTCCGAAACCGTCAACCACGCGCACCGTGATGGCACCACAGGCGCAGCTGCCTGGTCGCACTTCAGCATACGTATTTCAGCTGCCTGCACTGGAACTACTGTCGTACCTTCTACATCAGCCATGGGGACGCGATGCTGGGATGGTAGCGAAGGATAAGCTCAACGAGGAAATACTAGGAGCCCCTTTCACTGACATCGTCGGCGCAGGTATACGACTGCTTATATGTGGGTCACTTTCCGAGCTCGACTCTGTGCCTGTGCTTTGGCGCTGCATATAGAGGCGAAGCGGAGAGGGCTGCTCGGAAATTTGAAGTCCTGACACGCCGTTGCACCGTATCCGAACAGTGCCAAACCCGGGATGGACGCTACCATGCCCAAGAGGAATGACGAGAATAGCATCCGCTCGAGGAAGACGCCATGACTGCGGCCAGTGATCGGCCTAAATCTGCACTTCGTCAAAACCAGGTAAGTAAAACACTACACAGTCCGACGTCTGACAGCTAAGTCCATTACATAGGTTCGACACAGACCCCACACGCTAGCGCAGCGTGGAGGTCTTGAATCGAGACTACCTCTTAAGTCCATATTGTTAGGCCCCATGGGCCATCGACGGGGCGCAGTGAATCGCGATCAAGCCGCTCCGCCACTGGGGCGCTAGCGCAGCAGGTGGCGCAGCCTAATCGGCTGGCACCTAACGATATGGACTTACGTAGTTGGAAGCACTCGTCGGACGAAGGTTCGTTGAGTTTTACACGTTGCAGAGGACTCACTGGAGTCAGTTGGCACCCGCGGCTCTTGAGGAGTCAACCTGTATTGCCGAGACGACAAAAGACCATGGCCAGATTAGCTAGCGTCCACCGGAGCTTCTGTGGCAGTTCATCTGAGGCTTGAAGGGGTCCCAGCCACAGGCACACGATTGTGACGGAAACAATGTATATCGGTCGACGGTCAAACAATATGACATCTACAGCATCGCTAGCCACCCATGGCGCGAGACGTGTCCCATCCCAATCGAAGTCGACGTCGGCGTGAAGATGCTGAGATACTACATGTGGTACGTCATCAGGCGGTGTCAAGCACTACGAGCCGATCCTCACTCACCTGAAGACGAGAGATAACGACGAAGAGAGCAATTATTTGCTCTTGGGGGGCTCGGCGCAGCCGCACGCGGGGTAGGTGCAGGAGCCGCCGTTGGCCTGGACGTTTGCGCAGGTAGCCTTGTCCTATCATTCCGGGAACCCGTCAGTACTTGAATGACTCCAGGTCGACTGCCTCGTGTACTCACAGACATTGTAGAGATGATTTGCGAGGATGGCGAAGTCGATGTAGTGACTGAGGAAAGGGATGGCGCGAGCACCCGTCCTTATATACAGCCAGGATCGCCTCCTCAGCTGGTCTACCTCCCAAGAGAAGGACAACACCTACCAACACGAGACACCTCACAAAGCGGAGGAACGAGCGACCCCCTACCAATCACGAGACGAGGGTTCGTCAAGAAGCCAAATCCAGAGCCGGTAGTAGGCCGTACCAGATGCAGCACGAGAGGGAAGCGGGCGTACTGCGGCTTCGGAGCATAACATGTTTACGCTGATTCGCTCGTCAGAGGCGCATCCAACTTCCACCAAGCTCTGGACGTCGATGATCCCCCGTACTTACTACTATCACGCATCATCACCAGAAGAGATGTGTCGTCCATCACGGACTGGAGTAAGTAATTCGTACCAGCGGGCGCCGCCTGTGGCGGTAATCCTCTTCAACGTTGCGAGAGGAAGCCTCGAGATAAGCATGTCAATGCGCCTGCTATCCGTAGTGTCACCCAACTCAACGTCGAACGCACTGTAGCCCTCATGATCAGCCATCGATGAGTACATGTCTTCTAACGTTTCATCCAGCATGTTAGCGTACATTCAGGTTGCTACAAGAAGTTTCGTCATTCCTTATTCTACACAATCGCAAGCACTTCAGATTCCGAGATTCCGCTTTCTTGCCTTTCCTCGTCATCTACTTCGCGAGCACAATGCACGTGCGTGACGGGATATATACCTGCTCCGAGGCCCCAAACGGTCAGTCAAGCTGGTCTCTATAAACACAAAATCGCACACACCTGCAGCCAATTCTTCCGCCCATTCCACTCCATGGGCGTCGTGATATACTCACCCCCGGGGAGCACATTGTCAAAGCCGCCAAACCGCTTCTCATCGCTGCTCAGGACAACGCTGTACTTGCCTGGCTCCTCGACGCCGACGCGGTAGTCCGTGAAGCTGTTCGTCGGGTGGAAGTTGAAGATGAAGAGGAGCCCCGCACGCTCGTACACGACCACCTTGTCGACCTCGTGCTTGAGTGAAACGTAAGCAGGGTCGGCGGCGAGCCAGCCGTACCGCTCCTCGGTGTGATTCATCGCCTTATCGAACTCGTTGAGGTACTTGTACCGGAGCAGTTGGTCATCGACGACGTTCCATTGGCGGCGGGCATAGTGGAAGGAGTTGCCGTTGCCCTCGCGCGGGAAGTCGAGCCACTGAAATCACGTATTGTGAGATCGCAGGAATGTGTGTGATTCATAGACGTACCTCAGGGTGACCGAACTCGTTTCCCTCAAAGTTGAGGTATCCCTCACCGCCGAGCGAGTGGACGAAAAGCCTGTCAGACGCTGCATTAGCGAGACTGCACTCCAGTAGCGTGCAAAATGCTCACCGTATCATCTTGTGCAGCGCAATCCCCCTCGCGATGACCGGCGTGTATTCCGTCATGTCGCTCATATTCGTGTACATCTCCTTGTCCATCAACCAGAACGCGAGCGTCTTGTCGCCCACGAGCGCCTGGTCATGGCTCTCCGCGTACGCGATACTCCTCTCGCCGTAGCGGCGGTTCGTGAGCGTGTGAACGATATCGCCCATGTCCCATTGGTCGTCGGGCTTGTGCTTGAGGAGCTTGATCCACATGTCCGGGATCGCCATCGAGAGACGGTAGTCGAACCCGATGCCGCCCTTCGGGACGGAGACACAGAGAAGCGGCATGCCCGAGACGTCCTCTGCGATGGTGATGCTGTTCGGGTAGAGCGTGTGCATCGCGTCGTTTGCCTGTGTTGAGACCGTAGTCAGGATATTGTCACTTCGCGAGAATATGCGCTGCTAACCAGCATCAAATACACGATCGCCTCCAAGTCCGCAGAATCACCGAAGTACTCATGGTATCCGCCGCTGAAACCAGTCCCAATACCATGGTGAACGTACATCATACTGGTGACCCCGTCAAACCTGAAGCCGTCGAACTGGTACTCATCCATCCAGAAGCGGAGGTTGCTCATCAGGAACCTGAGCACCTCGTAGTGGCCATAGTTAAACAGCCTGCTGTCCCACAGTTCGTGTCGGCCCTTGCTGCCCTCGTGGAAGTACTGATGGTCGCTCCCGTCGAAGTGGTTCAGGCCGTCGAGGACGTTCTTGCACGCATGCGAGTGCACCATGTCAAGGAGGACGGTAATACCCATGCCGTGGGCGGTGTCAATAAGCTCTTTCAGCTCTTCAGGGTTGCCGTACCGCGAGGATGCAGCAAAGAAGCTGGTGACCTGGTAGCCGAAAGCTACAGGGATCTTGGTCAATTGTAAGGGTGGATGGAAAGTGCAAGTTAGGCATACAAGCATAATACGCGTGTTCCATAACGGCCATAAGCTGGATCGTATTGTAGCCCAGATCCCTGATCCTGGGGAGCATGTTTGCGGTGAACTCCTTGTACGTCCCGACGCGGTACTCCGTCGTCGAGATACCGACATGCGCTTCATAGATCCGCACGCTACGAGGCTTCGGCGGTCGTGCATTCTTGAACTTGTAACGCTCAGCCTCAGGTGGATTCCAGAATCGTGCATCATAGACAGGTGAGACAGACAAGTCCTGCGTGACACGCTTGATCCACACAGGAAGGCGTTCGATACGCTCGCCTGAGGCTGCAATCATAGAGATCTGTAGATATGTAAGTCGTAAGGATAAGGTATGCACGACACAATTCACTACTTACTTTGACCTTCGAATCATGAGGAATGGGACAGACACCTGGTTCCTTCGCAGGAATGGTGATCTCCCAAACGCCATACTGGTCCCTAGTCATCGGATGAGACATCCTGTTCCAGTCATCTGAAAAGTTTCGAAAATATGTCAATATATAGGAAAGGGTACTCCAGTGATTCCGCACGCACTGAAGTCGCCGATAAAGACTGCCTCCTTCACATTCGGTGCCCACTCCCTGTACGTGACGCTCCCGTCGGGATTCACTTTCAGGCCATACTTGAGGTAGGCCTTCGTGAATGGATCATATCCACCCTCGTTCTGCTCGATGGTGTCCTTCCACTTGCGGTACAGGTCGTGTCTGTGGACGATCGCACCGACATTGGCCTCGAGCCACGGATCGACGCCGAGCACGGTCTTTGGGTCGAGCGGTGCGGTAGGCATCTGGGCAGAACGGCCGGTGGGAATGAGGGAGAAGGAGAGGGCAGCGATCAGCGCGTTATGAGCATATATGGAGACGCCAGCAGTGGACTTTGGTGGACTCTAGAAGTGGTCGGGGACGCGTCTCTTGACGTCAAACCCCGTGGGGCAAGGCACTCTGTCACATGACCGCAACGCGCTCTGGAGGATCTTCGGCGGCAGCTGATCCCCCCGCCACCACCGCGCATCGCTGTCGCTCGCCATGGCCGTCCTGACTCTGAGGCCCCTCCTTCACCAACCACCATGCCCCCCCAGCAGCGGCCACAGCCTCAGCAGCAGCAGGCGAAGGCGTCCCTGCTCGCCAACATCGTCGGCAAGGCCCTCTCTGTCGTCGTAGTCCTCGGCCTCTCGCTCACCGTCTTCGCGTACCGCCGCTCTCTTGTGCCCCTGTACGGCACCGCGCCAGTTGAACTACACCTCAACAAGGTCGGCTGGGTCGCATGCATTATTGGCAGCGTGATACCGCTCATGCCTCTTCAACATGCGCTACTTGCGCTAGGGACCCTGCTCTGTATGATGCCCAACACATCGTATTGGGCTGCTGTATACACTGGGCGGCTGCATGAAGCGGTATGGGGTTCGGTCCTGACGCACCTCGCGGTTATAGCGCCTGCCATGGCGCTTGGAGTCTGCACTGTACGAATATTGCAAGTGAGTCGTAATTTGGCTGTTCCAATGTCAACGAAACTCTGCTATGACAGTACCCCTGATAATTGGGGAGGAAACCTTAATTATCCGGACAAATTTGGGCGATTCGGAGGGGCTGGGGCTGATGTTTGTCCGGACATATGGCAAATGTCGCCGGGAAGGGCTGAGGAAATGTCCGGACATGGCTTGTCGTGATTGCTCGAGGGGTAAGGAACATCGGACATGGCCAGTCCAGGTGCTCTCGCGAACGGCGTCAGCGCGACGACAACCTCCCCCCGAGAGCCCGGACCTTTTTTTCATTGCCAAAAATCGCGTCCGGACATTAAGGGCAAATCCTGCGAGTCGCGGATCAGGCGTCCCCGCATATAATCAGGGATCCTACTTTGACTCCTTGTATCCCACTTAACTCGCGATGTGGACTGCATTCATCTTCACAACTCGTCTGGTTTATACCACCTCGCAAAATGCCCGAGATCGAGCCAGGAGTGCCACACGCATTGCATTTTTCCTAACGTTCCCGCACACCGAACATCCGTGCTCATGAATCCATGAACGTAGCACAATCCTGACCCGGAACAAGGCGCAGCACCTCAGCAGATGATCACAGTTCCCGTGATTCAGACTTCCGTCATGAGTCTACAAGAGCTATGGCCCCTCCTTCCCTATGTCAAGGACCTATCAAACGAAACGATCGTGAGTGTGTTCGTCACAGGAAACGGCTACGCTAACAACGCGTAGATCTTGCAAGTTGGTACGATGATGCTCGTGGTTTGGGCTGTCTATCCCTTGTTACCCTCGTTGGCCTCAGATGTGCCTAAAATTTCGGTACCTGCGCCTCAGCCAACTGCGCCGCCGACTGCCAAAAGCAAGTCTCAACACAAGAAGAAAGGCTCTGCGACAAAGCCTGTCCCGGAAATTTCAAGTAGCCCTCCATCGTCTACACCCGCGCCGAAGAAAGCGAGCCCTCAGAATCTGTCACGACTACTCCTCCTCCCACTCCTCCCATTCCTTACTGGCACCGTCCTCCAGCCACCCACGCTAGTCGGAAAGATAAACGCCACGCCATATGTACATCCCACCTATCCCCTACGGATCCTATCTTCGGGGCGATCGCAATTCTCAGGCGTCGTCGTGGTCGGCGAGGCGTTGACCTCAAGCCCCTCCGGCATGCTTGGCAGTATGCCGCCGATGAGGTACCTCCGGGCGGGGCATTCGTTGCTTGGGGGGAATTGGATGGGCGAAGACGTGATCAAGAGAGGCCCGCTGGCCATAAACCGCGAGACTGGTGAGATGTTCGGGGATTCGGTCTACAACGCGTTCGTGCTGCAGGAGGCCATCCGACTTGTCGAGCGGCCTAAGCGGGACGTTCGAGAGCAGGAGAACGCCTTGGTAATGTGCGTTATTGCCGAAAGTCTCTCTAGGCGCGGACTGACGATTTACGCGATGGCAGTGGCTTGGGTGTCGGGACATCTGCGTCCGCTCTAATGCGTCATAACATCTCTACTACGATAGTCGAGATCGACGAGGCTGTCTATGACGCCGCAAGAAAGTACTTTGCTCTCCCTGAGCCGGAACCCAGCAAGCTCATCTTGGCGGATGCGAGGAAATGGCTGAGGGAACGTACGGATGACGCCGCGAAGGAGGCCGAGGCACAAGAACTAGGTCAAGGAGCAAACACGGAGTTGTATGACTATGTGGTCCATGACGTATTCTCGGGCGGAAGCCTGCCTACGTTGCTATTCACGAAGGACTTCTGGAATAGCACGAGCAAAGTCATGAAGCCCGACGGGGTGCTTGCTGTAGTGCGTGAAATCAAATGTCCAGGCAGGAAGTGTGGTGTGCTGACGTACTGGCCAGAACTTTGCGGGCGAGCTCGACTCGCCGTCGTCTCGCGCAATCATTGTCACGCTCGAGTCCATGTTCGGACGGTGTCGTGTGTTCTGCGACGAACTGGATCCTTATGAGCAGCCTCAGCCATACCACAACTGGGTACGTCTCTTTTCAGCTTAAACATCAAACTCAGCATTCACGTCGTGCAATGCAGCTCGTACTCTGTTCCAAATCCACAGATTCCCTTATACTGCGCGCCCCCACCCACGCTGACTTCCTCGGCTCTCCGCAACGCGCAAATGTCCTTTCCAGCCTCACAAGGCGCGAGGTCGACCTGCAAGCCGTACGCGACGCTGTGGAAGCGCTCGAGGAGAAGAAGCGCGAGGAATACTACCTGACGGACGCGAAGGTCGCGGGAACGATAGCCCGGTGGCAGGAGAAGGACGCTTTGGACCATTGGCGAATCATGCGGAACGTATTGCCTGATGTTTTCTGGGAGACGTATTGAGGTTAGATAGGAAGTCGCGGTTGGTCCGGCCGCTTGATGTCCATGTGTGGGTAGAACTTGGTCGATCACTTGAAGCCCCGTGTACGAATTACAGTACGTGATGGACGACACATCTCTTCTGGTGATGATGATGCGTGACAGTACGGGGGATCATCGACGTCCAGAACTTGGTGGAAGTCGGATGCACCTCTGACGAGCGAATCAGCGTAAACATGTTATGCTCTGAAGCCGCAGTACGCCCGCGGCTCTCCTCTCGTGCTGCATTTGGCGCGACCTACTACCGGCTCTGGATTTGGCTTCTTGACGAACCCTCGTCTCGGGATTGGTAGGGGGTCGCTCGTCCCTCCGCTTTGTGAGGTGTCTCGTGTTGGTAGGTGTTGTCCTTCTCTTGGGAGGTAGACCAGCTGAGGCAGCGGTTCTGGCTGTATATAAGGACGGGTGCTCGCGCCATCCCTTTCCTCAGTCACTACATCGACTTCGCCATCCTCGCAAATCATCTCTACAATGTCTGTGAGTACCCGAGGCAGTCGACCTGGAGTCATTCAAGTACTGACGGGTTCCCGGAATGATAGGACAAGGCTACCTGCGCAAACGTCCAGGCCAACGGCGGCTCCTGCACCTACCCCGCGTGCGGCTGCGCCGAGCCCCCCAAGAGCAAGTAATTGTTCTCCTCGTCGTTGTCTCTCGTCTTCAGGTGAGCGAGGATCCGCTCGTAGTGCTGATACCGCCTGCTGACGTACCTCAATTAGTATCTCAGCATCTTCACGACGACGTCGACTTCGGTTGGGATGGGACACGTCTCGCGCCGTTGGTGGCTAGCGATGCTGTAGAAGTCATATTATCTGACCGTCGGCCGATATACATTGTTTCTGTCGCAACCGTGTGCCGGTGCTGGGACCGCTTCAAGCCTCGGATGAACTGCCACAGAAGCCGGTGGACGCTAGCTAACGTGGTCTTTTGTCGTCTCGGCAATATAAGATGCCATGACTCTTCAAGCTTCAAGCTGCAAGAGCCGGGTGCCAGTTGAGTCCTCGAAAGAACATTGAAGCTTATGAAGCGCTACAGCGTGTGGCACTCAATGAACCTTCGTCCAACGAGGTACCTGGGTTCGGCGAAATGCAGGGTTTGGCCGCTCACTGGCCGCATTCATGACGTCTTCCTCAGGGCAAATGCTGTTCTCGTCATTCCTCTTGGGCATGGAAGCGTTCATCTCGGGTTTGCCATTGTTCGGGCACGGTGCAACGGCGTGTCAGAACCCCGAATTTGAACCGCATCGCCTTTGAAGATCATATGTAGCGCCGAAGCACGGGCACAGGGTGAAGCCTCACCGGAAAGTGACCCACATATAAGCAGTCGTATACCTGCGCCGACAATGTCAGTGAAAGGGGCTCCTAGTATTTCCTCGTTGAGCTTATCCTTCGCTACCACCCCAGCACCGCGTCTCTATGGCTGATGTAGAAGGTACGACAATAATTCCAATGCCTGAGGCAGCTGAACGACGTATGCTGAAGTGCGACCAGGCAGCTGCGCCTGTGGTGCCATCACGGTGCGCGTGGTCGACGGTTTCGGAGACAATGCAAAGGCAGCGATATGTCATTGCACGGATTGTCAAAAAGCCGCTGGAAGTCGTAAGTGTACTTATCATCCGCATGCTTCATTCAAGTGACAATGAATCACGGTGACATAGTGTGCAACTACTGGGCACCAGTACTCGTAGAAAAGTTGCATGTCGTGAAAGGGCAACCGAAGACGTACCGATCTCCGGAAGGCAAGAGTATGTCGGGGAAGCCCGTGCAGCGCACCTTCTGCCCTGACTGCGGGACACCGCTGTACGTGTACGCAGAGGGCGTGCCGTCAAGGTACTGCGTGATATTAGCTTTGTTCGGGAACAACCTGGAGCCTGGTGTAGAGATCTTCTGGAGGAGCGCAAAACGTGAGCGCGTGAGCCTCTGTCCCAACTATTCAGATCTAGAGAACGTTGACTGATTATCGCGCTCAGCATGGGAGAGGCCACTCGTACCGTCTGAGTGCTTACACCAGCTTTCACCATTCTCGTAGAGCATACTTTACTAGTAGTAGCCAATGGAATGTAGCTCGTTGGATGACGAGCGGCGAGGAGCCACGGTGGGCGTCCAATCATGTCCGCATGCGTGCAACTTATGCGTTCGTAGAATTGTTTGGCAACTGGTTGCTGGGCTGTTTATCGATGTTCAGTACAACATGATGGTGGGCCCCGAGTTGTCCGTGACCCAGCCGTAGTACTTAACCGCCCCGGCCAGACTCCCTGCAGGCTGCAGCCACCGGAATCAAGATCGTACGGTGCGATCGACAGATTGCGATCGGCTCCGAGCCACTGAGTACACCAGCTCACTCCGACTCGTGTGTGGTCGCGCATCTCTGTCATACCTTGCGAGGCTCAGTAGTATCTGCTAACAAGGCCGCTATCCGACTCACCGCAGCGTTTGCGGGCACTGAGGTTATAACTTGGACAACCTGCCCACAAGTTACAACTTCGACTGGAGGAATGGAACTTCAAGTTGTCGCGGCTGCTCCCAGTAGCGCTGGAAGTCAGTATGTCCCTCTAATCCTCGCATCGATCCTAGCACTAGAGTGAAGGTCGAGTTCCAGCATGTATACTGCTCGATCGCCATACAGAATTCACAGCATCACAAACCGTCGAGACGCGATTCATCCCGAGCGAACTTCTTGCCCAACGGTGATCGTGAGGGACTTGAAAATCAGGTGATACGCTGCCGCACGTTCTCTGGCGTCAGGGTCCAGGGAATGCGAGACATAATAACGGAGCAACAACATACATGCAAAGCAGGAACCGCCGTTGGCCTGGACGTTTGCGCATTGACAATCCGAGTCACGGTAGACACTGCATCCAGTCTCAGGAACAGAATCAGCTCCTCCTCATATGATGTGACGGTCTGCCTGGTCCATGAGGAAGAGGATCTTGGATGCTTTGAGCGAGTTTCATTTGCGGCTCGAGCGACGGCTAACGTCGTTGTGACTGTAACATGCATCGACAACACGACCCCGTGAATGATGCGCGTAAAGAGCAGAAAGTCGGAACCACGGGGACATTCGTCCCGGGGACGAGGGACGCGAGACGCGAGACGTCACAGTCAGTCACAGCACCGTGAGTGGCCGGCCACCATCATCGCTTTACCTCCCACTTTGACCAGCTTTGACATTGTCATTATTGAGGGCCAGAAAGATAATTCACCGGTCAGCTAGGTGTCTAGATATACATATCGACTGACTTAGTCACTTACTGACTGAGATTTACGAAGGCGTCACGGAGGCCAGGCATAGTGGCGCGCTACGTGACGGAGATGATTATGTAAGCATACCACAGGCACTACTCATAGGCTCTTGTATATAGTTACCTTGAACGACACCCATTGTTTTGAAACCGTGAGGCTAGATTAGATGGTGTGATTACTCAATACACAACGATCGTTGTACACGGAAACGGGGAGTACATAAGTTATTGGAGGACTTCCTGAAATAGTAGCCCCTGTTACTCAAGTCAGTCAGTGTGACAGCGTCCCGCGGGACGTCCCGCAGAGCGTCCCCGGGACGCGTCCCCGGGACGTATGTCCCAGTCGTTCAGACGTTCTCGTAAAGAGACGCGTCGCGTCACAAGCGACGGTCAGTCACGTGGTCATCGTCACGCGATTTGTTGACTGTGGCGCGGGCTCAAGGCTCTTGCTCGGCCACACGCACGGTTGGTGTTCACCCCTCCTTGCTCTCAGCCTTCATCTGGCGTTACCCGCTCGTCGCTCTCATCGCTTGCCTATTGCTTGTGTAAGCTTATTAGTGCGGCATTCACGAGAGCTCCGCTCACGGAAGGTGCTTACTGTCCTCACTCCGTCATCATCTCTACGATATTCGACATGCCCCCAAGGCGATCGACCCGTGCAGGATCTGCAAAACCTGCAGAAAAACCCGCTACGAAGCCAGCAACGAAGCCAGCAGCGAAGCCTGCCTCCAAACCCACTAAACCCGCTGCGAAAGCGGCTGCAAAACCCGCGAAGGCTGCTGAAAAAGCAGCGCCGAAGAGCACTACCCGCGGTCGGTCCGCAACCACTAAACGAGCGGCTTCCCCCGAGAATTCCCCTCCCCCTCCGGCAAAGCGGAGTCGTGCTGCTGCTCCCAGAATCGTTGAGAACGGGGCCAGTGTGGTCAACGGCGTAGACCACGCTGACGAGGACGCTGCGCCAGCTCCACGTATGAAGAAGGCTCCTGCCACGAAGAGGCCCACTCAGAGGAAACCCACCCCCGTACACACGCAAGAGAGGCCTTATTTTAACCCTCTCCCTACTCCCCCCGAGCATTTGCGTCCGGCACCACTGTTGTTCGTATGGGGCACGGGCAACTTCGGCCAGTTCGGAATGGGCGCGGACTTCCTGGGCGAGTACGATAAGCCCACACGGAATAAGTGGATTGAGAAGAAAATGGAGGAGGGAAACCTGGGTGGCCCTGGCGCGGGCCTTGAGGCCGTTGCGGCTGGCGGTCTGCATTCGCTGTTCTTGGACGAGAAGGGCACTGTGAGTTCTCAACCGTCAATTTCACTCCCTGTTCGATGCTGAGCGGCTACATAGGTCTGGTCATGCGGTGTTAACGATGACGCTGCCCTGGGGCGTATAACTGTCGATGTGCCGAACCCTGAGAAGGAGGGCGAGTTCCTCGATGTCGACGAGCTCACAGCTGTACCATATCCCCTACAATCTCTTGTCGAGGAAAACTTCCGTGCTGTCCGCATAACGGCCGGAGACACTATCTCAGCGGCTATTAGCTCTCAGGGTGACTTGCGTGTCTGGGGATCATTCAGAGTGAGTGTCGTGGCATTGTTCTAGTCGATGATGGATGCTCATGCATCGTGAAGGGAAATGAAGGCGTACTTGGCTTTTCAAGTGGTCTTAGGCATCAGTTCCTCCCGGCGTCTATCCTAAATCTCAAGTCCCGTCCAGGCAACATCGAGAAGTTCTCCTCTGTCGTCGCGGGAAACAACCACCTCATCGTGCTCACAACTCATGGCAACATATACACCTTCGGCGCCGGCGAGCAGGGTCAGCTCGGACGCAAAGTCATGGAACGGCGTAAAATCCACGGAACTGTGCCCGAGAAGATCGTCCTCGGCTCGCGTAGCCACAAGGCTGTCGTCGTCGGCGCTGGCAGCTATTCATCGTACGCTGTCGATGAGCAGGGGACTGTCTGGGCTTGGGGCCTCAACAACATGGGCCAGACCGGCACGGGCTTTACGAGCGCCTCTGCGGACGGGGAGGTGCAGCTGCCGAAGCAAGTCATCGGACTGGGCAAGGGTGAGCTCGGTGGCGAGGCGACCGTCGTGCAGATCGTTGGCGGTGAACACCACACGCTGTTCCTCACGTCCGACGGCCGAGTGTACGCTTGCGGGCGCTCGGAAGGCGGCCAGCTCGGGCTCGCCGATGACGATGAGGCGTTTAAGGACCGTCCCTTCCCGGATATGCTCGCGGAACCCACGAAGATCACTTTCTCGGACGCCAACGACCCCGTGGTCCACATCTCCGTTGGCGTACACAACAACCTCGCGGTGACAAGGGGTGGTGCGCTGTACGCATGGGGCAACGGTCCCTCGGGCGAGCTCGGTGTCAGTGGCGAGGAGCAGGCGCGCACGCCGACGGTGGTTGTGCGCAAGGAGGGTGGTGCATGGGCTGCGATCACGGCGTCGTGCGGCGGCCAGCACTCTCTAGCGTTGTTCAGGAAGAAGACTTAAGGGTATACCCTTGCGCGGACGAATTCGAAGTCGAGACAATCTATCATAGACTGATGCTCTCGTGCATTGTTGTCGATCTGTACCTCTCTAGCTATACTTGTTCAGTTTTTATCGTAATGTAAATGCGCGATGGGGCCTCATGCCCATTGCCTCTGCTGTGTCTCCACAATACACGGATTGTGACGGCAGCCACTTTTGGCTGGCCCCTGTTTTGTGAATACAGTACTTGGTACTAGTAGTGTTGTTGACCGGTGACGTCCTTGAGCTCATGAGCACTGCGCAGCCGGATTAAAGGCACCTCAAGTATGTCTCGTCCTATGTGCTCTCGATGGGACCTTGAACGGCCGTAGATCAGCTTTGTCAGGAAGCTTTGTTCTCCTGGCGTTTTTCCATATTGCATGACGCTTTCGAAGGTCTTTGACCATGCACAAAGCCACTGCCACTTGTTGCAAAAGGGCCACTTGTTCAACGGCACGTCTTGGGGCTTGGACCACCCCCCTTTCATGCCCATGCTTTGCCACTCGTTTGCAGTATAAATGCAGCTCGAACAAACCTGCCCGTTCCATATTTCCTTCGTGCCTGCCTCTACCACTCTCAGCTCATATGCCGAAAGCGAAAAAGTCCAGATCCAAAAAGAAGGCGGGGCCTGTATGGGTAGACCCCGGGGCGGAGATCATCCCCTATGGCCCCCCCACCTACCACATCGACGCCAACGGCAAGGAGACCATCGAGTATGAATGGTACAAAATGTACCCGATCGGCGGCAACAGACCTGTGAGCACGCTCTCTCAGTCGCACTGGTACACCGATCGTCTGACCTTTACAACTTCCATTTGTGAATAGCCTCCCACTCGCAAGGTGGCAAACAGCGCCCAGAAGAGAACCCCTAGAGATACAGCATGCCCGCAGATAACCACCCAAGACGCCTCGCCTACTTCGCACCCGCCGTCAAGCTCAGCTCCAGCTTCAGGTGTACGTCTCCGAAAGCCGGCGGACGATATACTGCTCCGTCGTCACGGGGGAGTACTTCGCCTGGCCGGCCTGCGTGCACGTCGGGAGGCACTCGATGCGCGCGCCCTGGTTCGGGTTGCAGAAGAACGCGATGGACTGCCGCGCGGGGGTGATGGACTCGGTCGCGTTGATTTGCCTGGCGGGCGGCGCAACGACGCGGTGCAGGGTCGAGCGGAGGACGTCGTTGCTCCAGCGCGCGAGCAGGTCGCCGGCGTTGACGACGATGGTGCCGGACTGCACACATCACGTTAGTCAGGGGAACTATATATCATGGGTTTGGTGTGACGTACAATGGGTGTAGCGGGCTGGAATTGCTTCGTGTGTGGGTTCTGCACTTCCAAGCCGCCGACCTGTGTGTAGGAGGGAGGTGAGGAGGGAAGGACATCGGGTTGTTGTAGCTGGATACTTACCGAGTCTTGGAAGAGGAGAGTGAGAGTGCCATAGTCTAATTTGCTGAGGTCAGCTCCATGCATAGCGATTGCCCATACGAACGTACCTGAGTGTGCACCAGCGCGTGCTTGCCCCTCCTCCTCAAGCAGCTGCCTCTTGATAGGCGGGTAGCTCAGAAGCCGCAAGTTATGATACTGCTCGTTAATCTTGTTGTCAAAGAATCTCTCCTCCAAGTCGAGCCCGATCGCGATCGCGCGCATAACGAGGGTGTGCAGGTCATGGCACTCCTGGAAGAGATGCAGCATGGTGTCGCGAAAGTCGGGGACGGCGCTCTCCTCTGGCCAGCGGTTCTTCCAGGTCTTGTCCCAGTCGCGCCCGATCTCCATTGTCTCCTTGAAGTCGGGGGCTTTGGCGCGGAGCTCGGCGATCTCTTTCGCGTCTGCGGATTGGGTGACGCGCTCTCGACCAACCTTGACGTAACCACGGTTGGCCCGTGGGTCTTCCCAAGCCAGCCTGTCCTGAGCCAGGGCTTAGGGACGGTATGGAGGGCGCAGGGCTCAAGCGGGGCCGAGGACTCACCTTCACTTCTGCCGGAAGATTGAAAAACTCGGCGCTCTTGCATGAGACTTGGATGAGCGCACTGTGTGTGAATAACAGGAAAACAACAGACCTTGTAATAGGCCTGTTTGTACATGGGTCTCGGGATCCCATGCTTTTCCAGATAGATGAAGCCGACTTCCTTGAAGCCGCTCACGATCTCGTCCGCAGTACGTCTCTTCTCCGACAGTGAAGTCGCTGAGCGGAACTTGCTGAAGTCAATGATAGGGATGCGGAATGTCGTGTCCGATTTCACATCCTGTGGTACGCAGTGTAGCTCTTCAGTTTCTAGAGGGTTGATGGATGTATGAAACTGACCTCCGCGAGGGTGGCGAGCGCCCGAGAGTGCCAGCATCGGGGCGCCGGTGCGAATGCGCGGAGGCCGCTACAGAGCTTGCTGAGCGACATTCTGACGAGTGGGCACAGTCGACGTCGGGATGCACTGGATGACTGCTCTGTGCGTATATATCGCGCGGATGTTCCTTCGTGCTATCGGTGGGAGAGGCCGCGACCGCATTCACAAGTTCCCCGCGTTATCTGCAGGCTCCAGCGCTCGGCCTCACAGATCCAGATTCACTTCACACTCAGCGGCTCTCAGCCCGCCCGCGAACCTAGTTATGTTTGTGTTTGTAGCCATCCACTTCCCCAGTAATAGTCGCGCGCAAGGGATCCATCCTCCGTGTCCAATCCTACTCTGCATCCCTTGCTCGCTGGGACACGACCGCCGCCGGCACAGCACGCAGTAATAGGTGAGTACGTCAATCAGATAGTTGCAGTAGGCGGTGACACCCTCAGCCTCGTGCTACAGCCTATAGGACACTATATTTGCGACAACTCGAACCATGTCGTCTCGCTCTAGCCGCACTGCACCTCCTCCGTATACCGAGGAAGCGATCAAGTAAGCCCGTTGTAATGCATGCATAACATTGTATTTTGATCCCTTCGGCCGCCTTGAATTTGTAGCCACTGGCGCAATCATGATGATCACATCTAGTACGCTTTGAGTCTTGCCCGACATGCCTGGGTCCAATTAAAGACGTCTGTCATTGCTGCTGCTGCAGCCGTAACGAGACATCACCCCTCAACCAAGACTTTCCTCGGTATGAACGCCGTAGATCACCTCCAACGGATTCAACGTCGAGGATCCCATGGCCGACCGGGATCCTGGTCGCCGCCGTGCTCTGCTTCGTGACTGTACCGGTGTTCTCAGGCTTCCTGATCAACAATTTCCGTGTGCAGACGTTGAATCGTCGCATACACACATTGGAATTCCGCCTTGCACAGTATCCTCCGGCGCCCACCGAATTGGACAATCTGAGACGGCAATACAGTGATTTGAAGCGGGAATGGGACCTCGGACTTGCTGCTCACAAGCAGCTGCAGGACTACGACGCCTGGGCACAGGATCGCGCTGCGTTTGAACACGAGAGGGAGCAATGGTTGTTGGCGCGATGGGAGTATCACATCGACCAAGACAAGTGGGAGCAGCACAGGCAGACCATCACAGACGACATGGAAACCTGGCGGAAATCAAAGGAGGACTTCGACGTTAACAAGGAAATTTGGGAGCGGGAGAAGGGTGAGTGGGAGAATGAGCGACAGACTTGGAGACAGGAGCGGGAGGCACGGGAACGGGAGCAGGAGCGGGAGCGGCAGAAATGGGACCAAGACCACAAACGGGAGCAGCAGAGATGGGACCAAGACCACGAACGGGAACGGCAGAGGTGGGATCGGGACCACCAGGAGGAGCACGATCGGTGGGTGCGAGAACGGGAGAGTCGCCAACAGCAATGGGATGAAGAAGCAGACCGCTTTCGTTTGAGTGAAGGCAACACGCTGGGCTTGACCTGGACTCAAGTGGAAAGCCATCACTGCGTCGCCCATGGTACCCGCGAGTATACGGCTCGTCTCACATTCGATTCAGACAGAGCTTGTGAGCAGATGCCTGTCAACGTGAATGGTGTTATTTTCACAGGAAGTGCCCGCCAAGAGTGCAAGAAGGTGAGTGTCTACGATCTCGCATTTATATGACTTGCTAACGCACTATATTCCGGTTTATGGCAGGATGGTAGCACTCTTGTGAGTCGCTGGTATATAGACAAGAATGAAGCGTCATGCAAGATGTATTGGGGTGACCTCGTTGAGAAGGTATGTTCCTTCAAGTTCAGGAAACTTCGGAAAGTGCTTAACAACGGTCTCGCAGGGATGTAGTTCTGGCAAGCGCGTAAGCATTCTCCGTCTTCGGTACCCCAGGCATGCCGCAGTGCTCACCGTGAGCGATGATCTCTCGCGAATGTAGCGCTTTGAGGCGCGTCTATCAGGGCTTTCCAACGGAGACGATTGGATGGCTATGTGTAGCTCGACTCCTATGGATATTCGCGGCCAACACTTTGATCGCCCAATGCAATGCGAAGATAGAGTGCGTCTTTCGCCCGCCATTGACCATCTTAGTACTCACCCGTGCGCAGGGTGCATTCTATGGGAAATTCGGCATGTGGGAAGTCAATGACAACGCCTGCTGGTGAGCCGTGTGGTGCCGTACTGCATGCTACATTGGCTGGAAGACAGCGCGATTCCCGTCACGGTGAGTCTCGAATCCAGGAGTTACAGCAAGGTGCCACAGCCTCCAATCGATCCCTCGCTGACTATTGTTTAGCAGAACGCAGAATGCGTGAATCAACAATCAAAAATCGACTCGAACCTGCGTGCAGGTTGTATAGTAACATATCTCTCGTTGTCTCTTGCTGTGTTCTTGCTGTCGCACGCTCTACTTTGCTTTATCTCGTCTTGTTGTATGCCATTACATCCGTCCGCTCGAGTCTGCGCACAACGACTGTATCTCCCGTGCGACTGATAGCATCGTTTGAGCTAGCGCCGCACGGGTATTCCCTCGTGCTATCATACTTAGTAGCTTCTCAGAAGCGGGGTCGTGACCAAGTCGTGATCTGCAATTGCTGGCCGGCGACCGGCCAGACGAAGCTTAAGGTTATAGTTCATACTCAGTCGGACGCTCATTTATCTGCTCAGAACCTAGTTCGCACAACATCCGTATCCTCCACCGTCGTTGGCTCTGGAACCGGCCACCGCTTGCATAAGACTGTTGTCACGGCTCACTACTACGATACGGTACGTTATCAAGTCGACTCCTACCGTCGTGCTTAGTGTACTCAAGAAGTGCCATAGCCTGCGATGTATCCGAATCTTCCACGAGCAAACTCTTCTAGCAATAGCTCTGCTAGAACCGCACCGCCTCCATATTCCCCGGGACAAGCACCCTCCAAGTGAGTATTCTTTGCACCATTTCAACGGTGAGATGCTCTGAGCATTTATCATTACTTGACTACAGTGGCCAGCACGAGACATCGCCCCTAAACGTTGTTTTCCCTGGATATGGCGCTCGAACCGAGCCCTGCTCGACAAGCACCTCGAAAACTCCATTCAAACTTTCGAGCGTCTTGATAGCGATGACCTACATCGCGCTGTTCGGGGTCATCAGCATCCAGGCATTACACCTAGCAAAGTACCCTCCGACTCGTGCGGAGTTGGCCGAGTTGAAACAGGAATGGGACCTCGAGCTCACCGCACACAAACAGATGCAAGACTATGATAAGTGGGCCCAGGACCGCCTCGCCTTTGAACGCGAGAGGGACCAGTGGCTGGTGGCCCGAAGGGAGTACCTCATCGACCAGGACAATTGGGAGCAACAGAGGCAATCTTACGAGGATGACACCGAGAGCTGGCGGCGGGCGCAGGAGGATTACAACCTGACGAAGACATTCTGGGACAGCGAACGGGAGGCATGGGAGCTCGAGCGAAAGCGCTGGGCGCGAGAGCAGGAGAAACGCGACAAGGAATGGAAGGCAGACGCTGACAAGCATCGCCGCGGCGAAGGCAATGCGTTGGGCGTGACCTGGACCGGTATTGAGAGCCATCACTGCGTTGCTTATGGTACCCGCGAATACACAGCTCGGATTGCTTTTGATGCAGCCCAAGCCTGCAAACAGATGCCCCTCACAGTGAATGGTGCTCTCTTCAGCAGTCCTCAAGAATGCACACAGGTAAGCCCTCGCAATACATCGTCTGCGTGAGTACTCCGAGTACGTACTGATGCAACATCATTAGGATGAGGACTCTTTCGTGAGCCGTTGGCACATCGACGTAGGCGAAGCGTCGTGTAAGGTTTACTGGGGCGACCTCTCCAACAAGGTTTGTCCCGCCGAGCATTCATTGTGAGGAGGGAATACAACCTATCAGCGATTACTACAGGGTTGCCATGGTCAGGGCTCCAGCAAGCGTGTAAGCATTACCGAATAGTCAGTACAGCGCGAGACTCATACTTTCGCAGCGCTATGAAGCACGTCTGTGGGGCGCCGGAGAGTGGGAATGGATTCACATGTGCCGCTCAACACCTACTGATATCCACGGTCAACACTTCAAAAGCCCAACGGAGTGCGAAGACAGAGTGCGCATCCTGCCGTTTCATCGCGATATGAGCTGATACTATATGGATAGGGACCGTTCTACGGGATGTTCGGCATATGGGATGTGGACGATGACACTTGCGCGTGAATTATTCGAAGTCATCCACTATGCACTACATACATTCCCGATCAAGTTGACGATCCCTTACTCTCACGTGAGTCTTGCCTTGATCTACCGCAAAGTGAAGTAGTTTCCATGCTAAACCTCCTCTGATTTCATCGTAGCAAGTGGTATACGGTCCACCTGCTTGAAGTGCCAACAGGATGGACTACTACATACCACATGCGTTCAAGGACTCAAGCTCTGGGCTGCTAGTGAATCTGTTCTTGATATGTCCTCGCTGTTCAAGTTCTAAGCTTTTACTTTGTTTATAATGTACACCTATATATTCAGCATATTGGCACTGCTGGCAGTCCGAGTCTGCTGTGAACGCGTGAACGTTTGAACCTTATACCGGGCGTCATTACGAGGATTGGCGCTTGCGCAACTCTCCTAGCATCCACGTCTATGACTTGTGGGGTGGACCGCCGGGTTGCATCTCAATCCACCTACGTACCCATGTGCGTTTATCATACTGAATTCCACACATAACTGCGTCTCATGCAGGGGCCCTATGCTAACAGATACCAACCTTCGACGCCGGTTCTACTACATAGTAGTCTCAACGTGGTACTACGATATGACCAGCTACTACGGCGACTCGGAGAGCGTGACGTCGGTGCCTCCGCCGTATAGCATGTACGACCCGAATGATACAGGGGCCCAGCAGGCCTTCTCGCAGTCAGTCGCTTCGTATTCTGGATGCGTACGATACATTCATGCGCTTCCAATAGCCCGCAGTCATACACGAACTACGGAGCCTATCCACGGCAGCCCTCGGGGATCCCTAGCGTCATTGGCACTCGCATGAACTATACTGCTGCTGTTGATACTCGATACCAAGCCAGGAACGATGCCGACGAGAGAGCCCCTCTCATTGATCGCACTTCAGGCAACCCGGACGCAAAGCCTAAGGACGATTCCACTGTGCCTTGGGCCTGGGCTTCAGTGGTCTTACTGCTGTTTGCGGTGACATGCATAGCCGCAATTATCGCTAGCAATCAAACCCACCGTGTGGGAGAACTCAACGCTCATGTGGAGGAGCTCAATAAACGCATGAAGGACTATCCACCGACGCCGGGAGAACTGGAGGAATTGCGACGTGATTATGACATCGTCCGTGCGGCTCATGAGCAAGACTACAAGACATGGGACGCCACGCGCACAGCATACAAGGCGGATGAGGAACGCTGGCTCAAAGCTCGAAACGATTACTTTGAGCTACGTATCGATGAAGGCAACCTGCTCGGGCTGTCCTGGCGCCAAGTCGAAAGTCATGAATGCGTTGCCTTTGGTACGCGCGCGGTTACCGCGCGTCTGGCTGTCAACAAAGCGGAAGCTTGTCGACACATGCCTATCGTTGTGGACGGCATTGCAGTAGATGAGCCTCATGTATGCCACACGGTGAGCTATCCCACTCAGCACAGCTACGCTTTCTGACGAGTAATGCAGGACGGTGAAACCTTTGCAGGTCGCTGGAACGTCGGCAACGTCACCGCATGCAGGCCGCATTGGGGGGGCCTGAATGACAAGGTTAGCTTGTCTGAGTCGTACGTGCGCAGATATGGGGCTAACCATCATGACGCAGGGTTGCATTGGACAGGGCTCTGGCAAGCATGTAAGTCTCCGCTAATGTGACTTACGGCGGCATACCTAACGTCTACTCTTCGATCACAGCGCTTCGAAGCACGGCTTTGGGACATCCACAACGGTGATTGGATGGCTATGTGTTCTACATCCCCCCAAGAGATCAATGGACAAGTCTTCGAGCACCCCACGCACTGCGAGTCTCGGGTACGTCTATTGGTTGATATGTCTCAGCTCTCAGCTTGGTTGACTAGACCCGTTGAAGGGGCTTTTCGGAGTCTTCGGTATGTTCGGGTTATGGGATGTTGACGACAACCACTGTCGTTGAACTTCCCATTGCCGGAATATGCCTTGAAGTCGCCCATATCCGTGTGGAGTCCGTTGACTCTTGCCCTACGACCGAACTCTCTACTCTCGATGAATCTGATGGACGATACCTGCTGTACGAGGACGTCGTTCAGAATTTTGTATCGTTGTTTCCGCTGTCGTTTCCGCTATCGCTGTTGCTATCGATCTGAATGGTTTGCCCTGTTGTACAGTATCTCGACGTGAACGGACGGTATATGTGATGCATTGTAGTCGATGATGTTACTCCGTTCAACATTCATGATATATCATACATTCAATCAACAGAGCTATCAAGGTGCAAGTAGTCCACGAGATTACGAGATTGATGCAATAGTGTTACAAGCAAGTCAGCAGTTTCTGGGACAAGATTACGCGCGCCGCGGTCTACGCTGTTATACTCGGCGACCGTAGTCGTCTGAACAGGGTCATCAGAGTCTTGCCACCCTCCGGACCCCATCTGCAGAATATGTCAACGGACGTTACTTCAGTAGAACATGGAGCACATACTCTCCGCCAGCGACTTCCTCACAGCATTGCTCGAACTCTTCGGAGACAGAAACTTCTTCCCACTTCTCGACGACATAATCCTGTCAACAGCGAGGTCAGTTGTTTTCGAGGTTAGATGTAACGGTAACATACCTCTACCAAGGAGTGCAGTTCATCCCAAGTTGACGTCGCGAGCAATACAGCGAAGCTGGACTGTGGCGTGATCGTAGACATGATATGTTCCATGGCCAGCGAGGCAAGCCCCGGCATCCCATATCTGTGAGCGACTTGGTACATCGATAGAGCAGATGCGGGTGGGGGAGGCAGCGTCGGATGCGGGTGTGGATCGGGCGTGGACGCGGCGGGCGGGTGGGACCTCTGGCGCTGTTGGCGTGGAGAGATCGGGTAGTGCAACGGTGCCGCGAAGGCGCCGCCAGACGGCGAGATCGGGACAGGCACGTCCTTCGCGCCGCGTGAGGAGGGCGCAGCCGGAGCAGATGGGGAGACAGTGAGCGTGTTCTGGCCACCAGGCGTGGAGGAGGCACCCGGACGACGCGTCTGAGTTGCCGGAGAGCGAGACGCTACCTTGGGTGCCGACGTGCTCTTCGAGGGCGTCGTTGGCATTGGAGCTTGCGCAGAACTTTGCCTCGAGTCGAACGTCCGCTTATCCTTCGACTGCGGGCTCACGCTCTTCCCTCCGTTTGAGCGAGCACTCTCCGCGCTGGTGACGCTCCGTGCATCACTCACGCCGGCCGACTCGGGAGGTGAGCCCTTTGAGAACGTCTTCCACTCCCACTCGTCCGGAGCACCGGGTGTGCTGAGGCCTCGTGCACTCCAGCCGGCACCAATGCCGTCAACCGCTTCCCTGGGATCGTCTTCCTTCCGGAAAAGGAGCCAATTGGCATACACGAACTTGAGCAGCCAATATATCGTCACGAAGTCGGCTTCCTCAACGATGACACTGTATATCTTGCGCTCGCCAGGGTGTAAGGGTGCAGTGCTGTTCTCAAGGAATGATGAGCCAAGCATAGTCGCGAAGTACTCTGAACGTTTGGTGAGAATGTCTGCATGTGCCCAGATGATGCGCTTCCTCGCTACAGTCTGTGGTCCGGACGCGTGCGAGGCCGAGGAAACGTGGCTGGAAGGCCCTGCAGTGCTGGGTGTTGCCGGCTCCTGCTCGACAGCCGACTCTTGCGCATCACGACGCTCGAGACAGACAAACTGAACATCACCGGTATCTGTCCGAAATCATCATCACCATGCCATGATTCCTTCGCTTATATAGGCACTCACTCGGATTGTCCAAGGATGCCTCGAGACCTTCCAGCAGATCTCGCGGCACGTAATATGCTGATGGTTGCTGAGGAAAGAAAGGCCCTACCGGTGAATGCATTTGCACGCATATTACGAACGAGTCCGTCTCCTTGATGCGCGGGTTCTCAAGGAGAGATGACAAAGGAGGCAATGGGCATTCTACATGGCGTGGAGCGCATGTCAGACAAAATATGCGAAGTGTGAAGATGATGAACTGACCCCAGACCTCGCTCTCCTGACGGAAGACCCATCCATTATGCCAGTACTCCCAAGCCCAGTCGGCACGGGCACCCCGTTCGCCTACGCGGTCATCCTGACACTTGATCGCGGCGAACATGGATGTGCACATCTCGTAATCGGCGTTTGCGTAATCCATCATGAGTGAAGTGATATACAGTGACAATGTCGGCGCATGGCTGCGTGTGTTCGGTGATGATGCTGGGTCAGTGGTCTCGGGAGCGGATACCTTAGCTGTGTGAGTGACGTCAACTTCGACCAAGCTCAATGAAACAGACCGACGTGCCAATTTCGAGTTTGAACTTCCCATCCCCAATAATAGGCGTTTCCTTCAGGATCTCAAAGTCGTCCGTCTCGGGCGATGTTCCTTCCCCCTCCTCTGACTCGCCTGCAATATCGTCTGGGGCATCCGGACTCTCCACGAAGTCCCTCAGTCTATGCACGTCCCTGACCACCCATTCGAACGCCTGTATAAGAAACTTAGTAGTTGACCTGCATCAGAAGTACACACACCCACACTGAATGACCACTGTCTGGTGCTCAACTCCTCCGGCATCTGTGCTTGATACGACACGCCTGAAAGGGTCGAGTTGCGCCTGCCGCCCACAGGCGTGGATACGAGAACAGTAGGAGTGGACACTGAAGAGCGCGACTCCCAGCCCTGTCCGCCAGAGTTGGAACCACTTGACGAGAACACGGAAGTGGAGGACGAAGATGACCGGTGTGTATAGGTCGACCACGGCCAATGGGGTCGCGATAGGGGAGACGGACGGCCTGGGGAGCCTGGCAGTCCTCGGACTGAAGACTGTCTCAGATGATCAGACATGTCGTGTTGTTGAGGGCGATGAGTTGTTCTAAGAGGAGGGCCGAACAAAGGCAGATGGAGACAAAGCGCTGCTCGCCGCTGGCTGGAAGCGGGGTGACCGCGCCGATCTCGATCTGGTTGGCTTTGATTCAATCACGAGACCGCGCCTCACAAGCACTCGACCGAGCATGGACAAACCATCCTGTGCTACGCACAGCCGAACCGTAGGCATGCGCTTATGTGTATATTGCAGCCTGCAGTAAAAAGTATGATAGCAATGCGAGTACAAATGATGCAACCATCCGAGACGTCCCTACAGTCCAATATAGCCTACAGCTTCTGAATGACAATCGCAGACGCAGCACCACCGCCATTGCAGACACCCGCCGCGCCGTACTCGCCCGACTTCAGCGCGTGAACAAGGGAGACGATAATACGCGACCCAGAGTTACCGATGGCGTGACCAAGCGCGACCGCACCACTGCAAGACCGACGGTCGGTCAGCCTCCACCAAGTGCAAGCAGAATAGGTACGTACCCGTTGACGTTGATCTTTGCGGGGTCGATACCGAGCACCTTCTCGGCTATCCGGACAACGACGGAGAATGCCTCGTTGATCTCGAAGAGCGAGATGTCCTCGAGCTTGAGGTTTGCCCGCTCAAGCGCCTTCGGGAGCGCGACGGTGGGAGCAATGGGGAAGTCAATAGGATCGAGACCAGCATCCGCGTAGGCTGAACATAAAGTCAGTATCCGAAATCAACTGCACAGCTGAGCAGGCGTACAGATGATCTTCGCCAGAGGCTGGATACCAAGCTCCTTCGCCTTCTCCGCAGACATGAGAATCAGAGCAGACGCGCCGTCATTCAGTGGTGATGAGTTGGCGGGCGTAATGCTTCCACCCTTCTTGAACGCCGGGTTGAGCGTCGGGATCTTTTCGTAAATGACCCGCTTGTACTGCTCGTCCTCCGCGACGATGGTGTCGCCCTTCTTGCCCTTGATCGTCACGGGTGCAATCTCCGCGTCAAACGCGCCCGCCTTCCATGCACGCTCGGCGCGGCGGAAGGACTCGATAGCATGCGCGTCCTGCGACTCGCGGGAGATCTGGTGCTTCTCCGCTGCCACCTCGCCGCAGTTGCCCATCGCAAAGTCGTTGTAGACGTCCCAGAGACCATCCGTCTGCAGAGCATCCTTGGTCTCGAACTTGCCAAATACAGGGTTCTGGCGGGGAAGGAGGAATCTAAAGGCGTTTTAGCGGCGATGTCAGCGTTGACAGGTTTAATGATACTCACGGTGCGTTGCTCATGCTCTCCATACCACCTGCAGCGACGACACTCTTGTAGCCCGTCTGGATAGTCTGCGCCGCGAGCATGACTGCCTTCATGCCGCTCGCGCAGACCTTGTTGACGGTCGTCGCGTCTGACTTCGGGCTCAAGCCTGCACCGAGTGCGACCTGCCGGGCGGGCGACTGGCCAACACCAGCCTGTACGACATTGCCGTAGTAAATCTCCTCAATGAGTTCGGGGTTGACCTTCGACTTCTCGATTGCGTGCTTGAGGGCGGTGACACCGAGCTGAGGGGCAGTCAGGGCCTTCAGGTTGCCATTGAAGGAGCCGACAGGGGTGCGCGAGGCAGAGACAATAACAACTTCGTGAGAAGACTAAAATGACGGGGTCAGATTGGTCCGTCACGCGAGCGACCGCTCTACGCACCATATGGCGAACAAAGGAGGCTAGACGGCGTGAAGCAGAGATGGGCGCAGAGGGAGAGGAGGCGAGGCGTGCAGCTAGCATGTTTGAAACAATTTGTAGTGTTTATATGCCACTCGCTAGTGGAATGAGCCGACCAATCGCCCTATCTGATCACACTCGCCAATCGTACCACTTGTAAAATGCGTAAGAGGTGAGTCGTGCCCGTCGTCTACTGCCGCGTCTGCAGGAAGTGAGACCACTCCGAACAGCTTCGGGGCCCTTTTATAAAGCGTCGGTGAGCATCTGTCCCATGACCGAGTTTGCTCGTCGGGTTGCAGAATCATGTGCTTTCGAGGCAGCGTGAACGCGGGGTAAGACGCCGGACGCATATATCGGCCCTACTCTGCTACAATGTACCGGTACAGACCCGACAGTCCGACGCCGCCTTCGTGCACAACGAATGACATTGACAGTCAACGTCAAGCGACATGGGTGCCGAGAACCCAAGGCGAATACGCCAAATGTAGAGACCGGACCGTCACTGCTCTGAGGGATTGAATAGAAAGTTCAAGAACGCTTCGCGGATCAGGCATGTCCACATTGAAGGTCGGCGATTTGACCGACAACCATGAACCATGCCTCCAACCAGCGACAAAGTACTCGGTCCTCCGCCCATCCTTCCAACGGTACTTCAGTCATGATCTCCCCCACTGCCTCCTGGGTGTGACATGGATGGAAATACCAGGCGGGTGTTCCGTGGGCCGGATGATCGCCTTGGGAGAGAAGTGGGAAGGAAGCAGCTTGTTCAGAAAGCGCAAAGGTTGTTGCTTCAGATCCAGGAATGGTGTGCGGCCGCAACAAGGGTGAGGCTATGATCTCCTTCAGACTCAGAGGTGCGCCGTCTGTTGGTAAGTAATGTTGAAGAGGGATGTGCAAGTCCGAGTGTAGGAAAGACCTACTGCTGCGGTGAATGGTGAAATAGAATGCAGGCACTTGGAATGTTGGAGAGAAGACAACGGATTGCGTGCATGTTAAGGCTTCTCTGGACTCCGACACTGCTGCCTCATCCTCACTGTCGTCTGGGATCAACCCATAATCTTCATGCTTGTCGGACGACGCCTCTGAAGCATTGAGAGACAACGGCACAAAGCGAGACATATAGCCTAGTCCGGGGACATACTAAAACGGCTCAGAGTGGTTGATGCGCTACAGATCGGGTTTGCGCACTTGGTGTTCATTCCATGTCCATCCAGATGGGTGTATAGCAAAGGTGCATACGGCGTCAACAGACTGTGTAGAATGCGCGGCAATGTAGGCCTTGCAAGCTGCCTCGAACTGGGCGCGCGAGAGAGAGGCGAACATGGGAGGCGGTGGTGAGATGTGGCGTGAGAAGGAACGTTACAGTTGCAAAGTAAGGTTCTTAGCCACCGGGGATTCCCACAGCCGTACTCGGTCGTACGCGTCAAGCGCTCACCGCTGCTGCACCACGCCCAAAACTCAGCCCGTCCAAGTGCCGGTGCTCTCCTCTCCTGCGCGGTCGCTATCACCTGAACCGACCCCTCCTCCACCATGGCCGTAGGAAAAGTCAGTGCATGACTCTTTGTCTCCATGCTTGTTCTGACGATTCCGTACAGAACAAGCGTTTGTCGAAGGGCAAGAAGGGTATCAAGAAGAAGGTAGTTGACCCCTTCACCCGCAAGGGTAAGTCTGCGAGCTTCGTATTCCTCCTTTTCTGGTGTACTCAACCTGCTGCTCGCCAGACTGGTATGACATCAAGGCGCCCTCGATCTTCGAGAAGCGTAACGTCGGCAAGACGCTTGTGAACCGGTCGCAGGGTCTCAGTACGTTATGCTTTGCCTTCGACACACACTCTGCCTGACGTCTTCCCAGAAAATGCAAACGATTCGCTCAAGGGCCGTATCATCGAGGTCTCCCTTGCCGACCTCAACAACGACGAGGAGCAGTCATTCCGCAAGATCAAGCTCCGGATTGACGAGGTTCAGGGCAAGAACTGCCTGACAAACTTCCACGGCATGTCCTTCGCCTCGGACAAGCTCCGGTCACTTGTCCGCAAGTGGCAGACACTCATCGAGGCGCACGTCGACGTGAAGACGACTGACGGCTACCTCCTCCGTCTCTTCGCGATTGGCTTCACGAAGCGCCGGCCCTCGCAGGTGCGCAAGACGACGTACGCGCAGTCCAGCCAGATTCGGGAGATTCGGAGAAAGATGTTCGAGATCATGACCCGGGAGGCGACGTCGTGCGACCTCAAGGAGCTCGTGCAGAAGTTCGTCCCGGAGGCGATCGGTCGTGAGATCGAGAAGGCTGCCCGGAGCATCTACCCCCTCCAGAACGTCTACGTCCACAAGGCGAAGATCCTGAAGGCACCCAAGTTCGACATGTCGAAGCTGCTTGAGCTCCATGGCGAGTCAACAGACGTGCGTATTGTTCACACTGCCTACTGGGAATTTTCACTCAACTTCATGCTTTCTTACAGGAGACCGGCACCCGTGTCGTGAAGGACTTCAAGGAGCCGGAGATTCTGGAGTCCGTCTGAGTTGTCGCATATCTGGTCTACCTTGTATCCATTCATGCTTTCTATCCATCAATACGGGTATGACGACATCTATGTTCATGACATGCAATGCTATGTATTCTGTCCATGAGCGTATGCCCTTGTTATAGGCAGGACCGCAACCGTTCTACACACCGCGCAGGGTCACGTCGTGCGCATCAGTTCCACAGGTACTTAAGCTGCTTGGGAGCAATACGAAGTACTTCCTTTGTGCACAAATGAGCTTCGTCGATCCGCGTAGTGACACTCGTTAATGCTAAGCTTTATAGGTCTCAATTCAGTGGGCATAACTTTAGTCGTTATCTTGCATCCTGAGTTCACATCGGGGTCTCGTAGTCCATGCGTGCGATTAAGAACGTGTCATTATCCAAGAATACAGTCCGCCATTATATGTTTTGTACATTATCAATAAATAGACCAGAAATGAAGAGGCAGCATCCGAAGATTCAGTTAGGGCGATCGATGTTGGAAAGTCTAGGACCGTAGAGGATCTGTCGGAGTCGTTGGTCAGTGGCGGCGACCAGCAAGAGAAGCCGACCGGGACGCACCTGTTGTTCAAGGCATGCTTGAGGGGGGAGAAATCTGTCCCATCGTTGTGGCGGAGTCCGTGTTCCGTCTGCCAGCTAGGCACTCATGAAGTATATCTTGATGATTGTTCCGCTCTCTTGAAGAGCTCCGGTGAACCATGCTGGGGGGTGCCGAATATAATGTGCTGATTGATTCCGCTCTTCAAGAAGAGCTCCGCTCGACCAGGGGCGACCGCGCTACGAAGAAAGACGTCAGTGTTCCTGGTCACGGGTCTCAGCGCGAGCGATGGGACGTACCGACGGTGGTATATGCATATATACGGGACTACTACGCTTGTGACGACGGGCGTCCTCGAGGGGTGGCCGTGTCGTGGAGGCGGGCGAGCCGTGCGGATGTCGAATTGTACCGTATCGACTACACCAGGCAAATATCAGCACTTATGCAAGCCGTACAAGAATGGATAACTGACCTTCCGTTGCTCGCAAGGTTGCAGTGCCAGTGACAAGGGGACCGATGCCAGATGTATGGTGGGCTACGTGAAGAGTACCGCGGCGAGCCATCACGGTATCTCGCACAGTGCCCAATGTTGAAGTGGATCCCAGACCACTCGTCCCGTTCTGTTTCTCCGAATGCTGTAAGAATTTCAAAAAGTCCTGTGACTGCGCGTGAGAGTCAAAGTCAAAGAAAGGGGAGGGGAATGCATACCTGATGCCCAATGTAAAATGAAGGAACCCGTACTCCAAATTTGATAGAAGAAATGATTGTCGCCTCTTGCAGTACTCTCCTCTCGCACCTCCTTCGCCCCCACTTCCTCGGCGCGGGGCCTCAGAAGAGCTTGGCAAAGCGCACGCAGAGCTCGTCGACCGGGTCAGGCACGTCGACGTCCATAGAGTCCTCCGCGTCGTGCATGTCAACGTCCATGGGCTCGTACACGGGGAGAACCACTTTGTCTAGGAAGAACCGAGCGCCGAGAGCGCTGCGGCGTTTGCGCTCGGGGGAGCCCTCGTCCTTCTTGGTGCGACGAACATTGGGGTCGAGAAGGGACAGTGTCTTGGTCTGGCGCTCGCGAACGGCGTGCGCACGCTTCTTGAGCAGCTTGATCTTCTCGATCCGCGCTTTGAACTTCGGGGACACAGAAGCTTGTTTGACGGGCTCAGGGAGGATAGAGATGGACTCCGGTTCGGGGACGACAGTGAGAGCCTCTGACTCCGACTCGGGCAAGACAGAAAGAGAGTTCGTTTCCTCCTGAGGCTTCGGTGCAGGCTCGACTTCCTTAACAGCTTGAACCGGCTTGACGACCTGGACTTCCTTGACGGTCTGAACGTCCTTGAAGGTCTGAACTTCCTTGACAGGCGGCTGGGCAATTGCGTTCTCGTTGTTAGCCTTCCGCGCAAGTTCGGCACGTCGCTTTTCCTTGGCAGCCTCCCATTGACGCGCCCGTCTGAACTCGGCGGTGAAGGCATACACTGGGGAGTTAAGGCTGGGGAGGTGCGGGCCGGGAGCAGAAGCAATGCGGAACTTGTGACGAGGAACAGGTATAGTACGAGGCTGAGGAGAGACTTTCTCTGGTTCGGGCGAAGGAGAGCCAGCCTCAGGGACAGGCTGCGTAGATACTTCGTCGAGATGTGGCTTGGCAGAGACTTCCTCAGGAGCAGGCTTGAAATGCTCTGGGATGGTGAACACCGGGCGAATGTGAGCACAAGGATCGAAGGCCGACCAGTAGCGATAGTCGGGGCAACGCAGCATCGTCTGACCCTCGCGGGCAGCGCGTAGACGGCGGGCCTGCTCTCCTCTGCTCGCGCAGGTCTTGATGCGCAGCTTCATGTCTCGAGCATTGAAGGCAGGCTGGGGAGCTGGGCGTCGTTCCTCCGTAGTGGCTCCGGGAGCGTGCCTAGGATGTCTGGCGAGAGCCTGAGCTTTTCTGTGAGGACGACGGCGACGAGCGTTCCGTCGAGCGTCAGGATAGCCAAGCAGCTTGACGCGACCAAGGTGGCAAGCAAGGAAGACAGACAAGTAGAGCGAGAGCCCGTAAGCCAAGTACAGAACCGGAGGAGGTGTGTCATCCACGAAGAGACTCAGAAAGTGGACACAGCCGCGCCCAAAGGAGTCTGGTAGACCCATATGCAGAAGCGTAGTTATCACTAGAGAGATGGAGAGATCGTTGAGGTTGGGCATCGTGTATGTTATTCAGGGTTGCGAAGACTTGCGAAGGGCGGGGGGGAAGAGGCAAGAGGCAAGAGGCATTCAGACTCGTTGAATGGGATTTTATAGGAGCTGGATGGCTGACAGACCTGCCAGCCATTCCTTCTGAAAGCATATGCCAGTCGTCAGCCATGGCAGCCGACGGTCAGGTTCGAAACGCCTGCAGCTGGACCCGCGGAACTCACACTGAGTATGACTTGCCAGCGCAACATCGCGTGTCTAGTTGTCGACAACTAGACACGCGATATTGCGCTGACAACTAGATGTAGGAGCTGTAAGTAGTGAGAGCCTATCCATGACGATGAGACTCATGAGAGTCGAGGATGAATCTGACCTGTGGCTGGCGTCGCGATCGCGCGACTCGGTGGCGGTGAGTCTTCGATCGCGTCCACGCGCCTCCGAGTCGCGTCTGTGGCGCTAGTAGCTACATACCTTCGCACCGGTCATAATTCATGGAATTGTATCGCAATCCTCTGAGTACAGTCTCTGCGGATATATGGCAGAGCACCGTATCACGGAATAATGCTAACATTGCGATGAAGTGGGCAATTGAAGCGTAGCTGTTCAGTACCGACCACCAGTGGCATGCACCCGAGAAAACTGTTATGGCGGCTGTCTAATTTTCACATTCGATCCTTTGCTGCTTGCCTATCACTGCCCGTAACATACACTCTTCCCCCGGCCACATAGCAAGATGGCAGACATCGAGCACCTCAAAACTCTTCTCCGCGTTCATCCCGACTTCCCTAAGAAGGTCAGCTAAGTTTTATACACCAGCGAGATAACGTCGCGATCTCACAGCCTGAGGCTCCCCGCAGGGCATCAACTTCCTCGACATATTCCCCATCCTCCGAGACCCTGTCGCCTTCGAGTCGCTCATCACACACCTCGTGTACCACCTGACCTCGCAGACGATCCCGCGGTCGTCCTCGAAGAAGATCGATGTTATCGTCGGCCTGGACGCGCGCGGATTCCTCCTGGGCCCCATCATTGCGATGCGACTAGGTGCGGCGTTTGTGCCGGTGCGGAAGCAGGGGAAACTGCCTGGGACTTGCGTAACGGCGACGTATGAGAAGGAATACGGTGCAGTGAGTACGCAGATCTTGGTGCAAAGGTCCTCCGCTGACCGAAACCGCCTCAGGACTCTTTCGAAATGCAGGAAGAGGGCATCAAGCCAGGCCAGAACGTGGTCGTTGTGGATGACCTTATCGCAACTGGTGCGTGCATCCGTCAGTCACGGTATTCACCAGTAGAGCTCACGATACGTTCAGGTGGGTCTGCAAAAGCAGCAGGACAGCTGGTCAACAAGCTCGGGGGCAACGTTCTCGAGTACCTCTTCGTCATCGAACTGCCCTTTCTCAAGGGCACGCAGCAGCTCGACGCACCCGTCTACTCCATGATCCAAGCAGACGACTAGATGCCTATTTATCCTTACGTTATTCACGGAGTCGACGATAGAACTTAAGAGGTTCGTCGCGAGCAGCGTACTTGCGAGAAAACCAATTGGCTGGATTCAAGCAGTGTACTCAAACAACCAATCTCGTATTAACTAACGGATGGCCGTTGATGTACAGCATGCGGATAGTAGTATCGCTAGCTGTGTGCGCCTCCGAGTCCCCTCTTGCATCCGCCTCAGCCTCCGCCGTCCTGCTCGGCTCTTCAGGCTGCTGGTCCGCCAGGGGCTGGAAGCCCTGCATCTCCGACTCGACTGCGATCAGTACCTCCCCGATCCCGCGCTCCTCAGCCACAGCCAACATCGCCGATACAGCCTCGCCTACCGAGCGCTTCAGCACGACGGCGACGGCGTCGCTAATGAGCCCCTCGACGCCGTCCAGGTCGGCAGCGTCCGCGGATGGGTTGATGTTCAGGTCTTCGTCGCTGATGACGACGACGCCCGAGGCACCAGCCTCCCGCGCGAGCACGAGTTTCTCGAGGAAGGTGCACTCGCCGCGGTGCACGAGGACCGCCTCGTGCGTGAACGTCCGTGTGTAGGGTTGGCACCCGAGGGAGTTGGAAGGCTCGACTACGAGACGGACGCCTTCGCCGTCCCCGAAGTGTATTGGTGGCTCGCCCTCGACTGATGGAGCATTTGGGTCGGCGCCGAACAGTGCTGTAGAGGCAGTAGCGAACAACTCCATAGGGACTTCCTCGTCGAGGCCGGTTTGGAGGTGGAACAGCGGGTCGATGTGCCGGAGATAAAACCGCAGTGCCACCTCTGGTATTCGACGCGTGTTGACGCGGCCCAAGGCGCCGTGCACGTCCAGGGGCGCTAGAACGAGCTCCGGGTCATTCACATAGACTACCTGGCCCGTCTTAACTGCGAAGGGGCCCACTGCACACGGACACATCGCTGATGTCAGTAATTCAAGACCTCGTTGAGACGTAAACTCACGCCTTGTGATGTCGTAGCCCCTGCCATCGAGCCTGCTCACGATGTGTGCACGGATGCCCGTAACGTTGTACAGCACATATCCATCCGGGACAAAAGTGACCTTCTCGACAGTCGGATGAGGGTCCTCCGGCACGAGCTGTCCTCCAGGAGACAATATGAAGTCAAACGACTGCCCGTTCTCGTCTCTCAGCAGCGCCCAATACCATACACATCCAAAGACACTCACGAACAAATGCGGCTTCGGGATCTCACACCACCCGCCCTCAGACCACCACCTCATATCGTGCTCGCCCGCCCGCCCGCCGACCAGCTCGCGGATGTACTCCATGTCCGCACGCCCGCGCATGCCCGCAGTGAGCCCCCGCTCCAAGACGTCGTCGTCGAACGCGACGAGCGGCGGCGCGTACACGGGGCAGTGATGGTGCTCCGCGCCGCGGAGCTGCCGGCGCACAGCGGACATCGGACGCAGCTGGTCGGGCGAGAGCCAGAGGATGTGTCCCTCGGTCGTGAAGACATAGTTCGAGTCGTCGCTGTGGATGGGGTTTTCTTCGTCGAAAAGCAGGTAGAGGTACTGTGCGATGGTGAGTTGCGTGGGACGGTGCTGATTGGAAGTGGAAAGACGATACCTTGAGAGTCTCGGACAGGACGAACGACTCCATGCGGTCCTCGTGGGCTTTACTGCGTAGATCTTTGATACTGGCGAGGCCGCAGCTGACTTTGCTGCGAGTGATCAGGTCATACAAGATGCGTCCCCCGACGTCTAGATAGAATGGGTCGCGGGTCGCCTAATGACGCATCAGCCAAGCAGTACACGTCTTCGCGTTCAGGTACGTACGCGATATAGATACCAAGTCGATTCTACAAATTCTACGGTATCCGGAAGCGTAAGAGTATGTCGGTATAACCTTATAGGACGCTCGAGCTCACCTGGCCTCAGAGGGTATTGTAATGAGGTGGCTTGTCGGAAGCTCATATCCCATACTTCCGGCAGTCCTGAATGCATTCTCCATAGATTCCAATCTGCTCAGCAATCAGCGAATCAACGCCTTCGGCACAACTGCGCGAGCACTCACAAGTTAGATGCGATTTGATAGCATTCTCGACGTCGCCTGCAAGCACTTGCAGGCCCGGCCAGAAAGCAGATAAGGAGTCAAATGTGTTGTATGCTAGATCTCCCTTGTTGATGCTGTGAGCGTGGTCACGGGTATGTAGGACAGCGTGTCTTACTGTGTGTATATTGACGCTGCGGTACTTTGTCCGACCATGAGTATCGACGCAGAGAAGAGCATCAAAGTCTACCTACCCAGAACCCATCTGGTGCCCGAGAGTAGCGCATGATAGCTGCATACGCTTCTTGCCAGACGTCCAAGAACTCAACCTCGCCTATGCATGGTGTTCGCGTCGTGAACAGCTTTTCAGAGTAGAGTCACTAACGCATACCACTCATAATATACCATTTCAAGGCATATTCAAAGAAGGAATCAATTCCTGCTCCTACGCCGGAAATTTCGGGTCGTAACCACGACTGTGACTGTGAGATTAGACGGTATTGTGAGACAGACTAGCCGAGAGACCCACTCCTGTCCAGGTGTTGATAGTGTTACCGACGAGCCCAATGTCTGACTTTCGGTTCCACAACGCAAAGAACGCCTTGTAGGCGGCTTTCTCAAACCGCGCATCTCCAGTGAGTCGGCTGAGTAAGCCGAACTCTAGAATGAGTGATCCTGCGCCGGCAGTACCTGGTATGATCATCACAGAAGAGCCTCGGGACAAGGATTCTGGGACGTACAGGTGTCGACGGTCTCGGATCTGAGCAACCCATGCCGCAGGTTGATCTAGATGAACGTTAGAAAGACCATGGCGATCACTACAGAACGCATACGCACTCTTGCGATGGGCAGTCCCGTGGGTGTCATGAACGCAGGAAGTAGCCTGTTGCCCAAGTCTTGCGCCAGATCCAAGAGCTCGCCACGGTACCAAGGTAGATGGAAAGGCTGCCCGGTCTGGTTGGCGAACAGATGGCCAGAGAGGAGTCCTCCAAGCACGCGAATGGTCGTCTCGAACACCTGGGGCTTGGTATCGACGTCGAACTGCACGAAGTCGATCGTATTCCGCACGGCGCGCTCGAAGCCTGCGGTGTCATTGAGGACCACAAAAGTGTCCAGCACGTCGACAAGGGTAACGGAGAAGTTGCCGTCCACGTCGTTCGTTGCGATATCCACAACGTGACTGTAGTCTGGACCTCGCCCTTTACAGGAGAGCGGTCTGAGCTCGTCCATAGGAAAGGCTAGAAAGCTTGAGTTCAATGAACGCGCAGATGAATTTGAAGGCGCACCATGCTTCATGTAGTTATCAAATCCGTGGTACCACAATGAGCGGATCTGCTCCCTTGTAACCTGTTAGGTTGTATTGCTCTGCATTCCGGAGCCAGATCCGTACCTTGCGTCTAACTTCCTCTCCTTCGTCCATCCCGCGCCCTCCACAAAGCCCGAAGACTCGCTATGTGTCCACGCATGAAAGTTGAGGCCTATGAAAAGCAAGGAGAGGACGAAATTCGGCCAGGACGTTGGCCACTTCATGCGGTCATGCGATGCGACTGAGGCTGATGAAGAGCCGTTGAGTGAAACGAGCAGGAGGTTCCGCGACGTGGCTGTCGTGAGCGCGGTGGCGAGGAGACCGCGCTGAGTGAGTTTCAGTCTCAAAACTCGGACGCGGCAGAAGGAGGAAGAGGTGGTGGTGGTGGTGGTGGTGGTAGTGGCCGGGACTGCCTGGTGGCTGCACTGGCGATCGGTGACGTGGATCTCCCGCGCGCTTGTGCGATCTCGACATTGTCCACCTTCAAGTTGTGTCCACCCAGTCTCTTTCTGTCAGCGAGCGGGTTCTCATCATCCTCCTCCCCTGCCTCTATTGCGCTGCTGAGGCCTGTGATCAAGAATAAACTATGAGCACGATTATCGACGTATCTGGCAAGCTCGGAGAGTACATGCTCAAGGGCTGGGTAAGTACACACCGTACACCCTTCGTAGGGATCGTCGAATGACCTTCAACGAGACAGATATTGACAGACAGGATATGTTCGAAATGCTCGAAGGTTCCACTCATGCGCTCGCCCTCTGGTCCCACTGTACACTTCTGCGCAAACTGTGATGCGGCATCTCCTACAACCGCTGCATCGTCGAGTCGTTCTGGTGCCGATATCTCAGGGCGCACGCCCCCGACTCGTACTTACTCCACGCAAATCGACGAGAAGTCCTCCGTTAGCAGTGCCTCAAGCATGATTCCATCGCGCACTTCCACGCCGCCGACGGAAGTCTCCCAAGCCCCCAGCTCCCCGATGTTTGCTCCAGTGGATATGGCAGAGATCATGCGGAGGAGACAGCAATCGGACACTGCATCTGCAGAAATTGGGCGGCGTATGCTGAAAGGCTGGGCGATGCTGGCAGACGAGTGCCCCAACCCTGACTGCTATGGCATACCGTTAGTGCGACCGCCTAAGGCCGGTGGGGAGAAGGACCCCCGCAAAGTGAGTCCCGAGTTCCTAGAGAGTGCCTGAGTTCCCCCTGATGTCCAATGCTTGCCATAGGAGTGTGTCGTCTGCAGAACAATCTATGTAGACGCTGAGGGGACCTCTCATTCGCGCTTGGTACCTCTGCTACCGTCTCCGCCGTCGAGCGACCGTGCGGAACGTTCTGCACTTCTGCCTCCTGCACTAGTTCCGGCGCCAGGACCGGTCTTTGCTCCCCAGTTGGAGACACAGCCGTCCACTTCAACTATTCAGCTAGATAAAGGGAAGGCGGTACAGCGGCAGTCCATTCTTCCGGTACGTAGAACGACCTGTCTGCCAGGAGGATTGAGCATTGAACTCATTCTGACATACAGCAGCTGTTCTCGTCCAATCCGGCAATTCAGCCACCACCTTCCGTTCTGGTAAGGGCAATGAGATCCACGTGTCTACCTCCGTCTCACAGCCTCGTGTAGCCTACCACAAGCTCTTCAGGTCAATCGGCTGTGCAGGAGTCTGTTCAGTCACTCGGATTTGCGTTGCGTGCTTTGTCTGAACGCATGAATCTACTTTCCGGAGGCGCTGTCCTCGAACCAACCCTCATTGCTCAAACAGCAGACGCCATGGTCAAAGTCGCGCAGGCACTTGCACAGGTCGGGAAGCTGCAGTAGGATTGTATTGGGGTATGTCATGACAATGTATCAAAGAGATGTAAGTGAACCGCAGCCGTGATTGTCAATGTGCGATCTGACAAGTGCAGTGCAACGTATTGTAGGTCGGCTCTACACTAGCCCTGTACTCCGAGAAGTTCAAGGTACACTAGTTTGACCGATCAATGGTCCTTAATGAAAGGCAAAGAAGGCGAAAGAGTTACAATCCAATTGGTGCATTGCGGCCATCGACCTCTCCAGAGCCTTCAACATGTGTATTCCGTCTCGTGTGTCCACGCTGGTATCAACCGAGATCATCCTTCTATCAACTTGATCCGTTCCCTCGAGATAGAGGACCTGGGTTCTCTGGCCATACAATTCGCTCGTGGCCAACATGCCCGGTATCAGACGTTACCTATGTCCGCTGCCTGGTGCACAAAGCAGGCCGTCGAGATTGTGCACCTCCGTCATGGACAGTGCCGCTGCGGGAGCACGGCTACCGCATGTCTACCGCACCCCTCGGCTATATGAAACGTTCAGTCCACGCACCATTGCTCAAGGGCTAGCACCGCACCGCGGCTAACCTATAGCACTCACCGTCCGCGTACTGGCAGTCCCTGTCCAGCCTCACTCGTTCGCTGTCGACTGCTGATGGGTGTTCCCTCCACGAAGTGATTTTACCCTCACTTCCAATCTTCGTTGACGCTTCTGTTCCCTTGCTTGATTTGTCCAGTCTACTGATATGCCTCGTCTGTTTCCCCACCTCGGACGCTCCTCGAAGGAGCACGTCGCTGGCTACGACGCCTATGATCCTTATTACGGCCACCCGGAGCACGGGTATGGTTATGACGGTTATGAGTATGTACCCGAGCAACGCGAGAGGCCTGCCTGGCGCAAGATGCTCTCCAAAGGCTCCGGGTCAAGCTCGAACACCAAGGCCTCGAGTACGAGAACGGGAGGAAGAGTGCGTAGTCATGTCACTATCACCTGCGCGTGCTTACTGACCTGTTGGAGCACAGGCATACTACGGTGAAGGAGAGGTGCCAGTACGTAAACACTACTGCTTGTTGATGGAGCTCGCCTCACCTACAAGCTCCTTGCCGTCTTATATAGGGCTTCCAACGCACCGTCTCGCGGTCCCACCAAACACGCTCTCCTCCCGAGAACGGCATGTACTCCTACCCCGTCCAGGTCCCCCATTACCCCAACTCGGACGACACTGAGTCGTACGTGAACATCCCGTCGCGGCCACACAGCCCGGTGCCGATAGTGCAGCGGGAAAGCTCCTTTACCGATATGAACGGCCTGGGGCGGCTGCAAGAAGCATTCGCAGATCACGGTACCTATTATAGCGCGACGACGCCGACGGTGACGGTGGACCCCACCACGCCCGTACGTGGTTCGCCGAGGATGCCCCCGCGGCCGCTGCGCGCAGCCGGACCGGTGCAGATGGGGACGGTGCATGAGGCTCGACACGAGCCCGTGATCATCGACGACTCGAACGGGAGCATGGAAGGCATTCGGCCCGATGTCGATGTTATGAGGCCGTCAGGTTCGAAGCACAGGCATCCCCGCACCCATCTCGATCACAGCAGACCGCCTCCACAGGGCAAGGGCAAGGGCAAGGGTCGAAGAATGGAGGTGGTGAGTGCGCCGGTTCTTCATTTCATTTCACGATGATTAACGATCGACCGCCTTCGTGGATGTGCAGGTTACTGGAGGCCCGACTTACTGGGAGCATCATCCTGGAGCGCAAGAGTATCCGCCCGTCGTCGTGGTCGTACAGCGGGGCGCTTACGGCGAGAAGGATACATACTACATCATTCCGGGAGGTCAACCGGTCATATTCGAAGACGACTACGGCAGCGAGATCACTCGGTAAGTCATGCATGCTCTGTGTAGTAGTAGACTCGTAGGTGTTCGAAGGTCGCTGATCTGCGTCTTCGATAGTGTCGGGGATTTCAGTGGTTACTATAGACCTCAGCCTCCACACCCTGTCATCGTCGAGGACGAATATGGCCGAGAGATTTGCCGGTCAGTGATCTGCAGGACACCAGCATGCCACGCATTGCTCACAGTTTTCATCTCAGTGTTGGCTACCAAGACGGTCGCATCTCCCCAGGGCCGTACTTCGGCAGAGTTAACGTCCAGTATCTTGGGGGCGACACACGTAGCTACCACCGAAGCCGCTCCTCGCGTCGCGAGCATTACGACAGGATGTACGATGGAGGATATGACAGAGGATATGCTGGGGAATACGCGCCCTCGTATATCTCGTACCCATCGCCCGCCTATGATGATTACGCTGATGGCAGACCAGCCCACCAGTAAGTTAAATACCTTCGTGACAAACGCTTTCCACTAACTCCAACAATTCGTGCCAGCCGAAACGGTTCCTACGACTACCGTGACATGGGCTCGTCTCGCAACGTCGTCTTTGCTGATCCCGAAGGATCGCTGACCGGGTGAGTCTCCCCACTTCCTCGGCTCCCGATAGTGTGTGCTAACCTCGGCTGTTTGTGAAGTCGTCGCTCGCACAGATCCCACTCGAACTACAGCGGCAGCCGCCGCGGTGACGAGAGATACCACGAGTCGCCTCCACGAATGGATGGCTACGGGTCTTCCTACGTCGAGGTAGACCCATACCTTGACCCCCACACCGGACGCAGTCGGTCGAGGTGAGCAGGCGTCGGGTAGCAGGTCGCCATCAACTACATACTGACTGGTGTTTGCTATAGGTCCGGTTCTGGCAGCTCCTCTTCCCGTCGTCACCGCGACGTCTACTATGACTCGCGGTACTGAACATGATTCGTATTTTTCCGGAGCAGTGCTACGCAAGCGTACCAAGATAAGCTGGACTTTGTTCGTTCGCAGTAATTATCGTCGTTCTTTTCGCTATGAGTCTCTCTTTCCTGCATGTGTCTGAGTGTTGCGAAGTCATGAATAGGATTGTATATCAGTGTATAATTTCGCGTGCAGGCTGCTCATGATTTCGATTACCGCTTTCCACCCCTCTTCCCAGGTCCGCGTCCACCCCGACTGCCACCGCCAACCACTGAATTGATCTCATCTTTACTCAGCTTGAGCACACCACCCTTGAACGAACCCACGCCCATCCTGAGACCCTTCTCCCTCTTCCTGTTTGGTCCCTGCGCAGATGCTTCATAGAGTTTCTTCAATACGGGGTGATAATTTCCGAGATGCTTCGCCTGCCACAGAGATATGAAAGTGAGAAGCCGCCGGGAAAATGCACGGGATCGTCGCCGGTAGAACTGACCTCCTCAAGCTGCTTCTCGCTCCGTTCCTGCTGTTTCGCGGCCATGCCCTCCCGGACGCGCTTCGCCGCCTTGTTCCGCTCTGTGAGTCGGACGTCTCGCTCGCCCTTGCCCAGCTTCGCTTTGCCAGCAGCTTCGAGGACGCGCCCGGCGAGCGCTTTCTTCCGCTGTGCAGACGTTAGATTGAGCTCTGGATTGAGAGATCCTGAGAGGATCCGCGTGTGCACGAGACGATGTAGGAGAGCGTCATTCTGGGTGTTCGACCTAGGGATGCGCGGTGCGCATTAGGAGATGCTCACACTATGCAGTTCACTGGACATACAATTCATCGCCTTCGTCGTCTGGCTCGTCATCGGACTTTTCTTGGACCTCTTGCGTAAGTTTCGCAACTTTAGATGACTATCGAACCGTTCAGAGGAGCGAAACCCAGGTAAGGCAATGGGGCTTACCCACCATGAAGGCTTTCATTTGGGCCTTGCTAGGCTTTGAGGTCGACGGACCGGCTATTGCCTGGGTCTCTGAAAACACAACTACATTCGCTTGGACTGCAGACCCATTATGTGCTGGGGATGCGCTTTCTGCGATATGTGACGTGAGATTCGCGTTTGGAGTACTACTACTCATCGGACGTACCATCCTCCGAGCCTGACTGTCCGCTTTCCTCTACATCCTCATCTTCCTCACTTGCACTCGATGAGCTAATACCCGACCACTCCTCTTCTGGGTCGGGCTCTCGTACTCTTTGTTTCTTCGTGCGTTTTCTGTCTACCCCCGACGTGTCTTTCCGCTTGCCCATCACCACAGGCGAGTTGAAGGAGCCTAGGAATTGCTGCCCATGAGTTCCGAGGATCCGGAGTAGCTCGTCTTTGTCCGTATCGGCCATGTTATCTTTCTATTGGCTTCAGGTTTTCGAGGGCGGCTTCCCTGACAGTATGGCGAGATATTGCAACGGCCTGTGTAGACAGCTGCAGAGGAGGTACAAATGGATGGCTCTGCAACTTTGGAAGCCTGGCAGGTCGCGCTGAGATCGGATCGGGCACACTCGATTTGCCTGGGCGTCTGCTGTCGGTGCCTCCCGCACACACCCAGTCCGCGCCGCCGTGTCCGTGTCCTCGTCTGCTCCGCACCATGACTGCCGGCTGGACGCAGCAGCAGGTAGCCCGCGCCTGGACGGGCTCGCCGCTCACCAAGGACTTCCGACACCTCCTGCGCATCCCGCCGCAGTGGCAGAAGCGCGTGTCCCGGCTCGACCCCGTCATCAAGTTCGTGAAGCCCAAGGACCGCATCAAGTACTGGAACATCATCCCCGGTGACCAGGTCCGCCTGCGCAATGACAGGAGCGGGAAGATATACCAGGTCAACATGATTAACCGGCTGTCGAATAGGATCATGTTGAAGATGGAGATGGACACCGTGAGTGTAATCGTTTGCTGGTTCCATGTTCGAGAGGAGGGGACGCTGTGGTGTTGACATACTGCTCGACACCAGGAAACAACCGGGACGCGAAAGTCCAATGGAAAGTCGGTACCATACTCGAATTGCCAGCTGTTCATGGGTCAATTTGAGTTCCCGGCAGAGGGCGACTCAACCCAGGCACAGACCAAGCCGTAAGTCTTCTGTTAACATACGAAGGCTACGCTGACCTTGTCATTGACTGTCGTGCAAAGTGTGTTTGCCTTGCGCATGGCCACGGACAACCACAGATGGGCGGGTTACTACTACACTTGGGACCGGTATGCTTCTGCGACTGTGCCCCGGCTACCACACTATATGCCCGGCGAGCGGGTTAGGGAACTCATCGCATGGCCAAAGAAATCCAGACACATACGACCGGATCGTGCGTTACCGTCGTTCACATCTCGCTGCTCTCATATTGACCCGGTGCTGTAGCTGGTCCGGATGACACATCAGAAGATGTTGTGATGCGAGTCACCTACACTCCCCCAGCTTTCCCCGTCTTCACTGGCTTGGCCGACCCCCAACCGAAGGCGCCCTCTGAGCATGAATACATTGCTGCCGCACGTAAGCCCAACGACGCCTCGTACGACGCCTCCCAGGTGTTCGAGGTTTTCCTCGCCAAGGAGCTCGCGAACCCGCACTCGCGCGCGAAGAAGCAGGCGCGGTGGCAGTCATATCATCTCTATAGGCGATCGCTTCTGCAGAAGTTCATTAAGGATGAGCTTGCGAACCTCGACGGGCGGACGCGGCGCGAGGCACAAGCGGAGGCGACGTGGAAGTGGCGGCACGAGCTGGTGCAGGAGCGCAGGGCGGAACTCAAGCGCAGGTGGAAGAACCGCGGCGCGGAGGCAAGCTTGCACCGCAAGAAGACGAGGAAGGTGCGCAAGGAGGAGAAGCGCAAGGAGCGTCTGCGCAATCTCGTCCTGGAGAACGGCCCGAACCAGGTCATTCCTCGCTCTGCGAATGCGAAGAGCCGTGCGTGATGCCGGATTCGTCGCGAACCACCCCAAAACACCGTTCTGTGTCCTCTACATACATTACGCTAATTTACCGCTTTGGGCTTATGCACATGGGCCGCACTACTGTGTCCTTCGCCGGTGACCGCTCCGATGTGATTGTTGCCTCCATACAGTCAGCTGTCCGGTAGGCTTAATGCCTCGTATGCTTCTCCGAGCTATTGATTAGGATGGCTGTCAATTAGTCCAAGTAGTTGCTATGAATGCATAACGCAAGGTCAGTGTGTGATTCGGATCTCGCGTTGTTGTTTGACGTCGGAAAGGGGGTCCGGACTCCGTGAAGTATCGGGGTTTTCATACCTTTTCTCGCTGTAAAGCTGCTGCAAGTGTTTGGCATGGATTCAACTGCCAGTGCCCGATCGTATTACGGAGGCAGTATCAAGATCCCCTTTGGGCCGCAAGGTTTGCGAAAGGACGATGATTCTGACGAGCATTGCTTGCTTGTAGCGCCGTTGGCAATCCATGCTCGCGCTGATAATGAGACATACAGTAACTTACCGACCACCTCGACGAACGAACGACATGGCAATCTCGCCACGGCTGTCATAAACTTACCAATATTTGCACCCTTACCAGAGCGTTGTCATGTTCCTTGCGACAGAACCAGAATAGTGGTCTTGTCAAGTGAAACTTCCCGACGGAATTTACAAGTGCTGTCCGACGGCTGCGGCGCAGTGCTGGATGGTTCATTCCGGTGGCAGCCGGTGGCTCGTCGACGATGCACACGTTGGACGCCGGACGGGCCGGCGGCAGATGGCGATCGAGATTGGTCTGCTACGACTGCCAAATGGGGTAATCGAGGCGGGCGTCTGTGGTGCTCAGAGAGGAGTGGCGGCCTGGTGGCGGCGGCCGTCCTCCGTCGGAGGACCTCTCGTGGCGCCTGGCCATGAATTGACCCAAATTGCCATGACCAGTCCTCGCTGCTCTGCTCACACCGCGAGGTCATGTCTGTTCCCCACTAGCCTCCTCTTGCACATACCCTCCCGCCGATTTCCTTCCCTGCGAACCGCGCTGAGATATGTCCTCGCACTCATCTGACACCGTCATTGCAGACCAAGAAAAGCACCAGGCCCAGGGGGGTGTGAACACCTGGGAGAAGGACCCAGAGCGGCAGCTGTCTCGCCCGCCTGAGCCTGACCGTGACGCCAATACAGACGGCATGTCCACCCCTGCTTCAATAGCCAACCAGTACGAGGTCACTCTGGGTCCCGAGGACGACCCCAAGAGGATCGGCACCGGGAGGAAGTGGGTGATCACCCTCGTCATCTGCAATGCCGCTCTGTGCGCGACGTTCGCGTCTTCAATTGTAAGCCGCCTTCACATTTGTGTCAAGCCACTCTATGTTAAATTCAAACGCGAAACGTAGGCTTCCTTCACAGAGACCGGACTGCAGCGCGATCTACATACAGTTCGCGAAGTCACTATCCTCAGTATCTCTCTGTATGTCCAGGGCTTGGGTAAGTCATACCTATATAGCGCCGATTGACTTTCCTTGAGTTGTCTCGATCAGCACTGGGGCCGCTTCTCTTTGCTCCACTGTCTGAGGTGTATGGACGCAACAATGTCTACCGTGTTTCGTATTTCCTCTTCTGGGTCTTCACATGGCCTATTGCCTTCCCGCCAGACATCGGTACGTCCTGCGTTCAGTAGAAGCAACAAGCGCTTAGCTCACTTGTTCGGCGGCATTGCAGAGACGTTTCTCGTCTTCCGCTTCCTCACCGGCTTCTCGAGCTCCGCGTTCCTCAGTGTCGCAGGCGGAAGCGTGAGCGACCTGTTCGACAATAAGCAGGTCGCAACGTAAGTCCACTCGTCTCATTGGCGCGACGACGCATCTCAATATTCACCTACACAGGCCGATGGGTGTGTACACCTTGTCCCCCTTCTTTGGTCCCGTTCTGGGGCCCTTGATCTCTGGCATCATCTGCCAAGTAAGCCCCTTGTTAGTCGTCCAGCATCATTGGCGCTTATTCGGTCCGTGTTCCCTCGCAGAATACTGACTGGCACTGGGCGTACCGTGTATGTCTCATCTATGAGTTCGTGACCCTCGTTTCACTCTTGGTAGTAAGTCCGATCCTCACTATGATGCACCTCAGATGTGCTCATGTTATGTGTACAGTTCGTGCCGGAAACGTACGTCCCCGTTCTGCTCAAGAGAAAGGCCGCGAGATTGCGGAAGAAGACGGGCAATGAGAAGTACTGGGCGCCGCTCGACCGCCGCGAAGGATCGCTGACGCACGCGATTATGGCGAGTATCTACACCCCCTTCAGTGAGTCCATCAGTACAGTATGCATCGGAGTTGAGGTATTGATCAAACCGCAGAGCTCTTGCTGTTTGATAAGATGGCGTTGTCGCTGAATACCTGGTACGTCTGTCAACTTCTCGTGCAGAGAACGCTGTCTCACAAAGTATGTGTCCAGGAATGCTCTCACACTCGGTATCCTCTACCTCACATTTGAGGCGTTCCCGGTCATATTCGGGGACGTGCACGGATTCACGTTCCAGGAGACTGGCCTGGCATTCCTTGGTATGGGCGTCGGTATGATCGCTGCACTGTCAACGCAGGGTCTCTGGAATCGGTGCGTACTCCCTACACCACAAGTGCTCTTGTAACCAACCAACTGCTCCCCAGCTACCACGACACTGTCGCCGCGCGTCACGGCGGGAAGCTCCCGCCCGAGACCCGGCTGGTGATGGGCATGGTCGGCGCGGTGCTCGCGCCCGTCGGGCTCTTCTGGATGGCGTTCACGACGTACCGCGCGGTGCCGTGGATCCTGCCGATCATCGCATCCTCGCTCTTCGGCGCGGCGATCATCTTCATCTTCACGTCGACGTTCACTTACCTCGTCACCGCGTACCGCCCGATCGCCGCGAGCGCGATGGCGAGCAACACCGCGCTCCGCTGCTCGTTCGCCGCCGCGTTCCCGCTGTTCGCCGTGCAGATGTATGACAGGCTCACGACGGTGGGGGCCACTGCGCTGTTGGCGGGGCTCATGACCCTCATGGCGCCGCTACCGTAAGTCTGTCGCTGGCTGTATCTTGAAGCTCAGTAGGCTGACGCGTGGCGTAGATTCCTATACTACAGATGGGGAGAGAGGCTGAGAGCACAGTCGAAGTTCGCCGTTGTAGATTTGTGAGCGCCGCTTCTCCGTCGGCCGCCTTCCGTCGCATTTCGTTCGGGTTCCAGGTGCCCCCGTGCATCCATCTATTCACTCTACTTCCGGGTTTACATATTGCCATTGATTTGTTACAGAGGCCATAGTACATTGTCGACACAGATTCACGATCATGATGCCCCTCACTTTGCCATAACTTTATGTAGTCCCTGTCGTTTCGTCATGTCCAGTAGCTTGCAATGTAGTAGAATAGTCCTAAGTACACCGGCATAATTCATTGACACATATTGAAGGCCGCCGTTGCATGCGCCGCTCATGGCATGTCGGTCCCGGAGACCGTCGGGAGTGCCCGGGGTCGACTGCCGCGCCCGTCCTCCGAGTCGCACTGCTCGCCGTCGAAGAGTATTCTCACGCTCCTCGACCACTAACCATGACGCTGCTCACTCGCGCCAGCCCCGCCCTCCGCCAGTCCCTCGCCCGCTCATCCGCCAGGGCTCCCGTACGCTTCTCGCACGGCCACGCCTACACCCCGGCCGACGTGCGTGTCCACCCTGTTTCTTCTCTCGTTCGCGGGGACTGACCGTCGGCTTTGCTTTTGCGTGACGCGCGGGTTGTGTGCTGTGGATGTCAATCACGGATACAGGCTGTCCCCTTCAGCTTCAAGTCGAAGGGCGCCTTCGGCGCGAAGGTCGCGACCTACCTTCTCACCGGCTTCGCGATCCCCTTCGTCGCGGCGTGGTACCAGCTGTACGTTTTCCCTTCTCTTCTTAGCCGCTCCTCTTACCAGCTCCCTCGATCGCCACGCTGACGTCGTCCCATCGAACTGCACAGGAAGAAGTCCGGCGCAGGTGGTGCATGATGTGGATGTATTCTCGGTCTGGGTCGCACGCGCTGGTCACGAGAGTGCGAGTCCGCAGGCAGTAGACGACTCGGATAGACGTCTGGATAGAGGAATCTACATCTGCAATGCAATAATCCTCCTGCACCCTCCGCTACGACTGAAGTTCACAACGCAAAACCAACTAGGGGAAGAAATTACAGCATATTACATGACAGAAAGATCATAGGCTAGATTACAGCACACCCTCGACCGACCGCGCTATCCAGAATCAGCGGCCAGTCACATTCTTAACTTATCTCATAGCCAAGCTGTGTCTTCTGCACCTTCTTGGCTTTCTTGCTCTGCACCCCGGCACGACAGTCGCACGTCCGCATCATGAAATCGGGGTCCCCGTCGAGCGCGTCGAGCGCATACGCTGCCGCCCAGCGCGAGGCCGACGCGACGCTGTGGTCCTCAGCGCTCGCGAGGATGACGTCGTGCACGACGACTATCAACCTGCCGTCAGACACCTCAAATACATTGATGGGGTGTATACATACCATCACATCGTCTAGGTCTTGTGTCTTCTTCTTTGACCATCTGGTGCTGCTGGCACCCATACGAATAGAGCAGGTCGAACAGCGTCGACGTCGGATGCAAAGACAGCGTCTGCATCCGGATGTGGCGATCGTAGAATGGCTTCAGCGCGCCATCGAAGAACTTAACCACACCGGACTCGGTGAAGTCGTCCGAAATGTAGAGGCCGCCCACGATAGACTCGACGATGTCCGAGAGGACCTACGACATAGCGGAGTCTCAGTGCCTTAGATCTCGTGAACTTGCGGCGCAGTGGACGTACCTTGGGCGGATTGGTATTCAGCCAGTACTGACCGAGCAGTCTGCCGTCGCGCTCAGCGGACGCACACTCGTCCCGCTTCGCCTTCTCAATCTTGTCTACGTACGCGGTGATGGCCGTGCCCACTTGCGGGGACGCGTGCCTGAAGTATTGGTACAAACCGGCGTCCACGCAGAATGCAGCCAGCGTCTCGTTCGAGATCATAGCGCTCTAATCTTTGATCAGTCTCTGAGCGTTTGTTGTACGGTTCACGAGACGCACCTTAATGAGTGTCAAGCCAGCGGGAGCCAGCGCAGGGTAGCTGTCGTAGACATACCGGGCCACAACTGAGTGGTGCAGGCCATCAGCACTCGTCATATGCCATTCGTCCGTTGCCAGGCTACTTACGGAAGTCCAGAATAGCATCTCCGATGAACTCTAGACGCTCATATCCAGTATACCCAGGACCATGCACAGAAGAATGTGTCTGCGCACTCATCAGCAACGAATCGACACGAATCCCTTAAGCACACTCACCAAAGCCTGAGCAAAGATGTCCCTGTTCTTGATCTCACACCGCACAATTGCCTCCAATGCCTTCACATCCACCAGCGGGAGTAAATTTCGTGCAGACGGGGGCGACCGGCCGATGATCCGAGCGAAGTCGGACCACTGCTCGATGGAGGGGATGGCGATGTTTAGGGTCTTCATGGCCTTGAGCGCGACGTGCTGCCCGCCGCTCAGGAAGGCAGCGCCGATGATGGCCTCGACCACGTCGGCTACAGTCTACGGTGTGCCGTGAGTGTGGCCTCGAGTGATGGGCATACGAGAGGAGACTACCTTGTCCCCCAACCACTGATAGTCCAGTTCGTCTTTCTGCTTCTGCTTCTTGCTGCGTTTAGCAGGCTACCATGAAGGACACGCCCTGGTCAATCATTGCCACTTCCCTGCAACAAACGTTGCTCACCGGTGGCTCGCCATCATTCCCAATAGTTGCCTTCGTCGGCGTCCCGGTCGGGGTGGGCGGTTCGCTAGCAGGCGGCTGCACGACAGGTTCCCACAGCTTCGTGACGAACGGCTTGCTGTGGACATACGCAGGAAGGTCGAGTTCGCTCGCGCAGTCGAGCAGGGCTTTGTTGGAGACGATGTCTTGGCGGGCTATGTGAAGGTCGCCTTCGCCGGCAGAGGGCATGGTCACGAAGAGATATAGTGAGGCGACGTATTTAAGGAACGCATCACCTAGGGGATTGAATCTTAGCAAGAGGCATCGTTTGACGAGGAGGATGTATCATACCCAGCAACTCAAGGCGTTCGTAGTCACGTTCTGCGAGAGCTGCTGGCGATGTGAGGGCGGCGAGCAGATCAAGGTCACGGATCGAGTTGTTGAAAAGTTTGCCGTTCAGTTCCTTGACGATAAGCAGCTCGTCGACCCGTCGCATGATGGACGGCAGCAAAAGCATGGACCGAAAAACGCTGTAAAATTCCGTCAGACAAAGGGTAGATAAAGACAGTGCCATACACCACCTAGCGGGCATGGTCAGCTTCTGGCAGAGCTCCGGGATGAGGTCTTGTCATTGCATCAGCAACTGCGACACGAGGATCATCTAGTAAATGACTTACATTTAGGAGGGACCTTGGACCCCGTAACGATCGGCTTCGCTGTTGGGTTGAGATTATTGCTCATCGCGGGTACCACTTCCACTTCTACCATAGGTTGTCGATTGTTCTGCAAACCCTGGAAGTCCTTGATCCTGTCCATACAGTACTCCAAGAAACTGCCATAGCCAGCCTCCCGCTGTGTGAGACGTCAGCTTCGCGCAGGTTTGTGACTTGCGGGACGCTTACTAGGCTATCCTCCGCCTTGCTGAGGGGTGTCATGTCGCGTCTGACCCTCGTGATGAAGTATCGGATAGAGAACTCGACCTTCCTGTCCTGGACGACCGCGTCCGCAGCGAAGTCGCTACGGGACGTGTTTCCATCCTGCGCAAGGGGGACAATGAACTCATCTGCGGCTTGCTGCACAGCCTCCCACGGGATGTGCTCATCCAATTGCAGGTCAGTGGCGCGGCCTTGCTGTGCGGCGTGCAAATCAAAGTCGTTGCTGAGAGGAGCGAGGAGATAGGGAAGGTTGTCGACTGGGCAGGTGAAGGCCCTGTTCGTGAGGTTACGGCATACGCGGACGGTGTAGCCATGCAACGCGTTGAGCTGCTCTTCATTATATTCGAGTGGCGCTGCCCTCCTCAGCTGCACGGGCGCAGAGAATCCAACAGAGAACACCGGAAAGGTCGGCAATTCGGGAATTGGCTCCCTTGTGAGAACTAGAATGGGGGAATGATGGGCTCCGTTGAGGTCACCGATCGAGACGATTGTGGAGTAGAGCCGACCAGCACGAGATGGCAAAGGGGGGACGTTCGCCCAGAACTCAGGTTTCTTCTTCGGATAGCGGAAGACACTGGACGACGATACGGCAGCTTTCCTCTCGAGTTCCCTGTTCTCGGACGGAGGTGGCGTAGGGGGGCGTGGTAGCTCCGCATGTGTTACCTGCAAGAGCCGCGCGCCAAGGTAGAGTTCAACGCGTGAATACGTCTTGGGGACCTTCTCGCCTGGACGCGGGCCTACGACGACGGCTGAGATCCGTGGCCTTGAGTGGGTATCAGCGGCCCGAGTGAAACGACCAAGCTCGGCAATCGCGTCGGGAAAGGTCAAAACGTCGCTGACGACAATTGAGTGAATTTGGCTCATGGTCAGGGTCCTGCACCGTAAGGAATCCAAAAGACACTGTCGTGCAGGTCAGAAATCTTAATTTACGAGGGCATACAGTAAAATGCGGCACCTCGATAGATATAACCGCTACATCGTTCTGAGCGAGTCGATACCACTGTGAATGGGGAGTGCCATCGGCTTGGGCCATAGATGCAGTGTACGTCCCAATACTGGCGAAGTCACCAGCACGCACGTAATCTGCAACACTCCGCCCAACGGTCTCATCATCCCTATTCATGTGATGCATCGGGTTAGCTGAATGGATACGGGCTAAATATGGACGGACGATAGGACGAGCAGGCAGAGACTCGCGCGAATGGAGTCTTTAGGCACCCGGCGCTTCTTTGCCTCGCTGTTCTGATTCAGCAGACTCTTGACGATCTTGTCGCGCAAAGCCTCATCTTCAGCCACGGCAAAGACTGTAATGAGTCAGCATCGTAGCCATAAATTGTGCAGATGGACAAAGGTTCACCGTTACGAACACTGGCCTGCTCTAGGACCATGCGGAGGTCGGCAACGTTGGATGTCTTTGGTGCATCTTCTACCTGCTGCTGGCTGGCCGTATTGTTTGTTCTGCGTCTTTTCTTTGGTGGTTCGGCCACGTCGCTTTGTGGCGGATACAAGGTATCGACAGAACCTGTGCGACCTTCGCCAGTGCTTCCAGATGCGCCATCGGTGCTCATGCCGTAATGATGGGTGTTGGACAGTGCCTGCCAGGTTCACGCGGTCCGGTAGCTGTTCCACCAGGCTCCAGGAAGGCTGCGGGCCTTTGTCCGTGGCCAAAGCGTGGTAAGCAGACTATCACGACCGTCAATAATATAGAACAGAGACCGTATGGTACTCCAGCAGAGCCAAACGGAGATAGAAGCAGGATTTGACAAAGGGAGCGCAGGACGTATTGTGAAAGGGGAGCAGATGGGAGAGGAGGGTTGCCTGCGAACTTCAAACAACACACGCAGCTTCCAAGAAAGGGATGGACAGATCTCGATCTCAGAAACAGCGCCCACCGCCACAATAACTGAATGGCCGGGCGTGTGGATGCGGCGACGACGACCGCTCAGTCCGTACAACAAGTCCCTCCTTGTGAGGACCGAACCTCGCCAATGGACTCGTATATATACTCGCCAGGATGCTCAACAACGCCTTCATCATCCGGCAGCTTGCCCGCCAACTGGACGCAGAGCCCGACCCGTCATCGACCATGTCAGCACCGATGAGGGAACGCCTGCATTCCGAGCCTGTGATGGTCCCTGGTCTCCCTACAACTGGTCAGTATTCCCTTGCAGGCTATCTGGCTGCATTTGTAGACCCGTTGAAAGCTTTCATCGAGCGAGAGGCAGAGCATCTGGCTCCGATGGCGGTCATCCGGCAGCTGAGACGGTCACCCAGTCCCTCACCACCCAGCTCAGTCGAGGGAGACGCAACGCCACACCCGAGTCCCTCACCGGAACCATCAGACCCGAAGGAGGAGGAAGAGTCCGAGCAGCCGAGAAGGAGAACTAGGAGTATCAGCTCGGTGTTCTCATCAATATCCCTGCCGTCGCCCAGGCTTTCCCTGAGACGCCTCTCTGGTCTGCCCCAAGCAGGTAGCGAGAGGAAAATAGAGGTATGCCACTGACGTCCGAGGTGTTCTATTCGATCACTCACATTGCATTGTACTCTGCAGCCATATGAAGTCTTCGCTGCGGTCGAGCGGAAGGACATCACCTTTCTCATGGAAGTCCGTGACAGGGCCTTCCACCTCCTTGTTCACAGACACGGTGGCGACACTCCCCTCCTCCACGCGATGCGCTGCGGACCGGGCCATCAGGATGTAGCCATCGTCATCCTCGGGGCCTTCTCGCGCTTCATCAACCACCTTTCCGACGAGGACTTCGTCCGCCCGGGGACGAAGATCCTCCTGCGTGCGCTCCGCGTGAACCTGCGCGCTGCGATCGACATGGGGCTGCATACGCGTCAGGTCGACCTGGTCGCGAGTTTTCTGCAGACGCTCGTCATGAGCGAGGGCGAGCGGTGGGTGTCCATGCAGGCAGCGAGCGTCGCCGCGGCGATGCGCAGGGAGACGGAGGACAAGCCGGTGAAGACCGCGGAGAATGCGGTGAGGGGCTTCGCGACGAAGGAGCTCGGAAAGGCGAACACCATCATGACTTGCGAGGACTACATCGCGAACGCCACGGGTGACCTGCTCATGATGGGCGCGTGGCATGCCGCAGTGGAAGCTGGCGTAGAAGGCGAGCTTATACCTGTGCGTAGACAGTTCCTCCGTTGTCCTGCTATGTGCTGATCAACGACCTGCGCCCATGCAGACTTGGTACTTCGCCCGCGATGATCGCGTGTACCGGGCGTTCGCCGAGCGCTTGAAGGAACACAAGAAAGAGCTCGAGCAGCGTTGTAGTAAGCGGCTCAAGTGGCAACTGAGGTTACTCGACTTTGCCATGGCGCAGAGGGCGAGTACTTGGCATGTAAGTATCATCTTTACCTGAGTAATCGTTGAAGCTAACTCATCCCTGTGTCAGCAAAAGGTTGGGATGGTGGAGCAAGAGTTAGATCACGGAGAAGGTGTAAACTAGCACAGACAATAGCTCGGACGCTGTGATATCCCTGCTTTTCTCTCCGTTGTACTGCTTGTTCTCTGTATCTGTTCTGATCGTTTCCTATTCCCTAGGCCGCCAAGGACAATACAGTGTATCCCACAGTGTAATCTATCTGCATTTCTAGCTGCTCCACGAGCGGTATCAACCCGAGTTATAAGGGAAGGTACGCAGTGTCGTCTCGTCCCATCCTGTGTCTGCCTTGTTCGCCTGTCTGCATATCCGACTCTTCGCTCTGCTCATACGAGGTGCTATCCGGGATCGAGCTCTCACCCCGTCGATGGCGTATTGTTGAGCATACATTGACCTACTGTACCTGCGGTGCCTATGCATCCGCTCTGCAAGTGGTATACGATACCACAGGTACTCGTATAAGGTGCCCTCCGGGCACGAGGTCCCGCCCGGGGAGGCGTATCATCGAGTACACATTACTTCTGGGTATGCTACAAATCCAGTGTCTTATACACGTCCTTAACAAATGTCATTGGTCCGTCCGAAAGTCTCGTAACCAATCCGAGCTATCCTCTCCGCTCCAAGGTATCGAGGCCGCACCGCACTCCGCTGCGCTCAGCCCGCAAGGCAGGGAGGAGATCCTGCACCTCACGCCAGGTCTCCTCCGCCTCCACACCCAGCTCGCGGATGGTCTCAAGGCTCGCGAAGGACTCCGCCAACACTGCGGCGACCACCTGCACCCCGTCCCCGTAAATCGGCCACGCCGTGTGGACGTCCAGGGTCTTCACTCTCGTGTTGGGGCGCGTGCCCCGCGGCGGCGCGCCGTGCGGCCAACTCGACTGCGCGGACGTCCCGAAGAACGGCCTGAAGTTGAGGGCGAGCGTGTGCAGGTTCCGGCACGTCTCCGCGACGTAGGTGAGCCCGAGCAGCGTCGCGCTCATCTCGGGGGACGAGGAGCGGGCCGGCAACAGCGTGAGCTCCTCGAGCGCGGGCCACGCGTCTGCAATTTCGAAGAGGAGCTCGTCCGTGAGGTCGCGCACGGACGAGAGGCGGAGCACGCGGAGGTCGTGGAAGGCCTGCAGGGCCCGGAACGACCTGGCGGAGGCTTCAACTCGGGGGGCGTGCGCCTGCCTGCTGGGAGGCTCTATGCGGAGCTTGGACAGGGAGGGAGGGCAGCGCTTGGCGATGGTGTCGAATAGCCGTTCGCAGGGATACAGGTCGTCGCGGAACGGGGACAACGTCAGGTCGGTGAGATTCGGAAGGTCGAGTCGGTCCAGCAGGTCTATGCTGTTTGACATGCGGAAGTTGAGGAGGGAGAGGTCGATGAGTTGCGCGAACTGTATACGGCCGTTCAGCCTTTCCACAGCGGGGTCAGATGGGGAACTGTCCACTTCAGCGCCAAGTTCATCTCTCCCGACGTACAGCGAGGTGAGCGAGGGGAGGTCCGCTACAGCAGCCCATATCTCACCCAAGGGCTCCGTCGGCAGCGTGAGCCTCAATACTCTGAGCTTGCGCAGGGTCTTGAGGGCGCCCACCAAGAGCCGCGAGGGGTCCGGCGACCACCTGAAATCGATATCGAGCTGTTCCAGAGACGGCGCGAGGAGCGGGGCCTGCGTCAGCGCCGTCAGCGAGGAGGCACTGTCCGTCGGACCGGACGCGACGGTGAAGCTGGTGACGGACGGGCCCAGGAACGCCATGCATATGTCGGACAGCTCCGAGGGCTGCGCCATAGCCCTGAAGGTGAGCGAGCGGAGGCGCGGGAGGTACGGTCGGGGATGGCGGTGGTAGCGCGCGAGCGCGGAGTAGACGTCGCTCGACATGCCGACCAGCAGGGGCGCGCTGTCTAGGGTGGGGCAGCCGAGGTACTTGATGAACTGCGCGTAGTAGTCGAAGCGCGCCCAGTCCCGGGGTTCCAGGGCGCGCTTGAAGTGCTGCAGTTGGGTTGACGTGAGTGAGCTCTGACTCTGCGTTGAGTCTGGCGAGACGGGACCACTCACGATGAACCTGTACGGTATGAATGTGCCGGCCACGGAGGTCAGGGATGTGAGGTCGTAGAAGAGATCGTCCGGCATGCACAGAACGAGGTTCTGGATACCGAACTGCGTCTCCCACAGCTTGCTGAGCGCGTAGTCCTGGAACGTCTTCGACGTCCTGGCGAGCCGCGCGAGCGCGGACATGACGGGCTGGTCGTTCAGCAACACATAGTCCTTGACCCGCTCGTCCTGCGTTGGCACCAGGCTGTCGACGATTTGCTGGGCGAGCTCTGGGATCCGGAGACAGCGGTGCATGTGAGTTATCCAAGGAGGAGGGTATCGCAGCGTATGGGTGGTCGGGTGCCTTGCGTATTCGGATGTGGGCTCGAGGTCGAGAATGGTGGACGGACCCCGCCGTCCGTGTTCAACATATACGTATCACATAGGCCACGGGGGCAATGTCACACAGGTGCGACGTTGGGGACATCGTCTCCACGGCTGTCACGTCCGAGAGCGACCTCGCCGGCGATTCTGAGCGGTTGAGGTACATCGAGCTTGCCACACGACGCACCTCTTGACGTGGCCGAAGTGATCGATGTATCCGGGGACGCGTACAGTGCCACAACCACAGAGTAGAGCGGTTCAGGTCAACATCGCTGGCACGCCGAAAGGCGTATGCCGCTGCTGTATCAGGAAAGTGGACTGCCAGACATTCCATGCAAAAAGTGCCGCTTGACCAGCGGGGCGGACGGCGGGTCAGCGCCATAACAAGGTTGCTCAGGCGAAAGTTAGCGTCGTGGGCAAGCATAGGTGCGAGTGTCCCGAATAACGCTCTTATGATCTAATCAGTGGCGACAAGAAGACTGACATTACCGGTGTAATCGCTGTTTGTTGCCTTCATGGGTCTTCAAGTTCCCTTGCAATAAATCATTGCCAGTACCACTGGGACATGCATGGAGGCTCGGATAGTTAACGCCGGGGCGGCGGCGGCGGCGAAAGCGCGTTGAGGCGTAAGTAGAGGGGCGCAAGTCATTCCAGCAAGCTCATGAAAGAGTTGGCCGGGGCGAGGCGCGACTCCAAGCGTGGCAAGCGACGAAGAAGACCATGAAGATTACTGCATATGGCAGAGAATTTGCCTTTCTGGGAGAGATCAGGACTTGCCTGATCGAGCGAGGGCATCTAAGCGAGAGGCGTCGCCAGTGCGACACTCCACTCGATGCGCGACATCTCTCACTTCCGCCAGCTCACGGCCTGTGCTCCTTCACTGTGCGATGCCTGCTTACCTGCATACCGGCCGGCGCGCAAACCCACATCGGAGAAACCATGGTGTATACAGGCCTCTTCACCGGCCGGCAGTCTCATGATCGGCGGCTGAGGACATGCTCAAAATAACGCAGCTCTGATAGAGCCAAGGTGGACGTTCCGCGCACGCGTATTCTGGCTTTAGAGTGGATAGAAGGGTACGCCGTTGCTATGGATGGAGGACCGGGATGTTGCTGAATAGTTGCGCGTGACCGCTGTCAAGACTCAATACACTGCAGGGCAGTGCACTGGCGGTGGTCTGGCGTCGTCTTATGAAGAGAGGCCAGGTTGGGAGCCTTTGTGGCACTTTCCGCTGTGCTGTCGCGTTATATGCATGCGGACAGTGTCCAGCGATATGTCGAAAAGTACGTGATACACATCCGTATCTGCATGCCGTTTTACCCATCAGGGCAGCCTACGCCGCCAATTAGGTATGCTGCACCGCACCGGCCGGACGTTCGGATCTAATTGGCACTGGATCCGGACGGTGGGAGATGGGTTGGAGGAGGCCTGGTGGAGGCGCAGGTCGCAGCCCGTGCGCAGGGCGGCGGAGAGGCTGCGTCATGGCTGGCTGGGCACATCACATGCACACCCGGGCGTACTGGCCATGGAGGAGAGCAGAGACTCGCGAAGGCCCGCGGGAGGGAGGCAGCCTCAGGCAGGCTATAAATACGCACGGCGGACTGCGGCGCTGCGGACGCCGTCCTCACGCTCCTCGGCCCAATCTGGCACTCGCCCATAAGATCCCCACGTTCGACAGCCGCTTTGTTCCTTCCCTTTTGCCCTCGTCCCCGCCCACCGCGGCGCCTCCAAGCTTCCTTTCTCCCCCCACAGGTCCCCCAGTGTCTCCCCCTAGTCAACATGTCCACCATAGTCGCTCTTTCTGTTCTCGTCGCCGCCGCCATCTCTGGCGCGCACGCTCAAACTACCACCACCGTCGCTCCCCTCGCTGACCAGACGTATGCCTACTCGGCGCTGGTTCGTTTTCTTCCCAGCTACCGCCGTTTGCATTTCCTGACATGCTATGCTCGTCCAGCCGTACCAGGTAGAGCCCATCGGCGACATCCGTGGCAACCAGGTTGGCTACAACAGGTGCAATTCCTCAACGGAGACCCAGGACTCCCTCTGCCAGACCCTCATCGTCAACACCATTGATGGTTTGTCTGACAATTTTTCATCTCATGTGCTTGACCTGAACGAGAATCTTCCCCTCTGCAGACTTCTGTCTGTGGTCCTCCCCCAAGGAGAACGACACCATCGGTGTATCCGAGGCGTACGAAGTTGCCTGGTGTGCCAAGCACGGCCACGGTACTCGTATCATGCCCGCCGGCACTCTCCAAGGCGTCCAGCACATCACGACCCCTGATTATATCATGATCGTTGGCTTCATCGACCAGACCCAGGTCAACCTCGCCGCCTCCGACTACGGAGGCGAGCTCGACCCGCACGGTGCTGACGAGGTGAGTTGGCAGCGTATTCTACACGCCGCGTGCGAACTGGCACTGACGGGACGGTACGCAGCTCGGTAACCCCATGGGTGGTGTCGTCTACTCGAACCAGTACCCCTCCGGCAACACCGACAACAGCTCACTCAGCCAGGTCATCGAGTGGAACGAGTGCGTAGCTCCCTACTCTCCCTGTCCCCTCACCCTGACACACCTTCCCTAGGTTCATCGGCAACAACCAGTTCTGCATCAAGATCTGCAACCCGTCCGAGACGACGCCCACGAACGTCGGGCTGTGCAACAACGTCTACGACGAGGTCGGCATCTCGTACAACTGCCCGAACTCCGCGCAGAAGGGCGTCTTCGAGGTGTGCGACGGCGACTCGATGACGCCCATCGGCCAGTACGTCTCCGACGGCGTCACGACGACCTGGACGCAGCCCTGGTCCGGCACCTGGACCGTCCCCTACACGCCGACCGTCCCCGCGTCGAGCAACTGCCGCACGTACGCGTCCACGGACCTCTACACCAGCAACTCCCTCCCGACGTCGAGCGCCTCCGGCTCGGGCTCTGCTTCCGGTGCGAGCGCGACTGGGAGTGGCGCGAAGGCGAGCGGCTCGGGTGCGTCGGCCTCTGGGTCGTCCGCCGGTGCATCCGCAACGGGCACGTCTGGCAACTCGAGCGGCGCGCACCACGTCATCGTGTCCGGCCTCGCGACCGTGCTCGGCGTCGGCGCTGCGCTTGCGTTCCTCGCATGAGTCACGAACAATCACATTCACATTCACGCTTCTTACGAACTTGAGTACACAGAGAGGACTCTGAACTTCATTCTGTGATAATCTGGTTCTAATTAGGTTTGGGCTTATCTTGACTTTTGCGTCTGTCGTTACTCGGTCTCGGTTTGTAGGTGTCAATTACGGTATGAACATTTTTGATATGTTTCTTGGTATGCCTCCCTAGTTTGGTGCAAAATGTCCGGCTTACAGCCATCTTCTCTGGGCTCGCACATGGACGGGCTCACACACTACCCATCATAGTCAACCCTGACCATCCAAAATACCATTCAAGTTATTTTCCCGATCCTTGAACTGGCAGAGGTTTGCAGGCACCCAGTTGAACGACTACGGCTCTGTGTCACTGTCAGGGTCCCGCGAACGTGCCAACACACCGGAGGGCCTCACACCAGATGAAACTTTCGATCCTTCAAGTGAAAGATCGATAAAATTGACAAAATCTTTTTCACGATATTTCGTATGAAAGATTGTCAATAAAAGTCAGAAACAATCAATTAATCATTCAGACTCGAAGTATCAGGAACAGATCACAGAAGGATTCATTGACAAGTGTCTTTGATCTGTTTGTGATCCTCTAGGCAAATGATTGAGAACATGATATTCAAAAATTCTTGAACACTATGTGGCTCAATTGTTCTGAAAGGATTGAAAACAGATTGTCACATGGGGTGTTACAATCTTTTCTCAATCTTTCAGGCTGTCACAATCTGTTTCAAATCCTTCCAGCTGTTGATATCTTGGTGAGATTGGAAACAATTTGTATCCCAGGGGTTCAAAACAATTTGCCCAAAAGGATTGACAAGAGATTGTGACACTAGCTGTGACACTGTGCCACTTCCCTATGACAGAGCAGTGAAGGCAATTATGCCAAACCTATGATAAGCTGCCTTCTGCTGGTATGCTCAGTCATTTTTGGTCCCTCATTCATTGCCTGCCATCACATGAGTCTCATTAGATGCACTCAGTGTACAGGGTTGTACTTGTGATTGTACATTCCTAGAGATGTGCATCTCATTGTATGACTAATGAACATGTCCCAGACCTGTGCATGTCCAGATGCAATGAAAGAGGGACCAAAAATGACTGAGCATACCAGCAGAAGGCAGCTTATCATAGGTTTGGCATAATTGCCTTCACTGCTCTGTCATAGGGAAGTGGCACAGTGTCACAGCTAGTGTCACAATCTCTTGTCAATCCTTTTGGGCAAATTGTTTTGAACCCCTGGGATACAAATTGTTTCCAATCTCACCAAGATATCAACAGCTGGAAGGATCTGAAAACAGATTGTGACAGCCTGAAAGATTGAGAACCGATTGTAACACCCCATGTGACAATCTGTTTTCAATCCTTTCAGAACAATTGAACCACATAGTGTTCAAGAATTTTTCAAAATCATGTTCTCAATCATTTGCCTAGAGGATCACAAACAGATCAAAGACACTTGTCAATGAATCCTTCTGTGATCTGTTCCTGATACTTCGAGTCTGAATGATTAATTGATTGTTTCTGACTTTTATTGACAATCTTTCATACGAAATATCGTGAAAAAGATTTTGTCAATTTTATCGATCTTTCACTTGAAGGATCGAAAGTTTCATCCGGTGTCAGAATGTCGATCGCTCCGAGGACTGATCCGGGCGATCGAGTAGAAGTGCGACTGCGCCTCCGAGACCGACGACTCCCGGCGTGTCGGCGACGTCGCGGTCCCGGAAAATGCAATCGGTCTTGGCACGAGACGTAGGGTGTCTCTGATAGACCACGGCGGGCCGACAACAATGTGAAGGCAACACCTACGGGGACGAGTCCTCTGCGAGGAGTGTCCAATGGCTTAACCTTGCAGCGGTACGATTAGGGGAGCCGTATATTCGGGCACATGAGCTGGGCGTGCAGTACAGCCCGCGAGAGGTAGTGTTCCACATCTTGGGCGTCGGAAATCTGAGGTGCGAAGGCCACAAAGACCACCCGTCTCGCCCAGTTAATCAGTACGGGCGGCCCAAACCCGTCGCAGCCGGCCGAGCCGCCAGGAAGCCAGATAAACACTGTAGGACCAACTGGATGTCTCTCGGTCGGCTATGGACACCATAGTAATCATAATAGGATCAGATAAATCAGCAAGAGAAAAGCAGGGAGGTTTCATAGTCCGTAAGAGGGAAAACGGAGCGGTGGGATGCTGTGTCGTGTCGGCCAGCAGCACGCCTCACAAGACGAGCTTCATGCCGGAGCACCACAACCAGCCGCCGATGATGGCCAGACTGAGGACGGCCGGCCCCAAGTCCAGCTGTACGACGGTGTAGACCCAGATGGTCGCCAGCGGTGGGCACTGCGTGGATACCCGCATGAGCAAGGAGCTCTGCGTAGGGAGGATGCGGAACTCACCTGCTTCATGACGACGCGCCAGGAGGCCATGTTGATGAGCCAGATGAGGCGCGGACCTACTGCGAGGGAGAGGAGGAAGAAGAGGGATTGCATCCAGCGGAAGCGTTTGTATCGGGTCGCTGTGCGATGTCACACCTCAGAGCAATATCGGCGGACGCGTGGTGGCGAGACGTACTGTAAAAGATGAATATCGATAGGACTGGCGAGAACTTGTTCAGTACAAAGCTCTCGTACATCAGCTCATCAACTCACTAGGCACCCCTGGGAGCATCCTATCCGCCAACGCCGTATATGTAGGCCGCTTTCCATACTGCCAATGCACCAGACTATAACACCTCGTCAGCACCTCCCCGCACTCATATCGCACCTGCTCACATCTCCATCAGCAGCAAGAGGAAGGACATAGGTATCACAAAAAGGGTTGCGTTGAATATCTCCTCTGCTAGCGGCAAGGCCTCCTCCGTTTCGTCCGGAGGCTTCTGGGAGTGCGGCGCAGCGAACTGCTTCAAGACGCCGGTCTCGTTGACGATCCGCCATTGCTCTTCCTCCGTAAGCTCGAGATTCTCTTCTTCTGGTTCGCTGTCGTCAGTGCTGGCGGTGGCAGCTGCCTTGCTGTTTACTTGACGAATGCGAGCCATAGCGCTGCAGGCAATGAGGAGCGTCGGCCGGCCAGTAAGCGTGGCAAGTGTGCATAGCCGCCCGCCGCGCGACGATCGAGACGCGCTCGTGTACACGACCACGTGCCAATAATGTGCTAACGCGACTCAGACTCCGGAGTCCGGGTGATGATGATATGCATAAAGAGCTCATAACTACTGAGACAGGCGGCGACGGGGAGCAACATTACGAGTATTAGTACAAGACAAAACTGAACATGAATAGATACAACAGCCCGAACATAGCAAAATGACTTGTCCTTCACTACAGACGACGGAACACTAGCTGGGTGCTGGTGGTCGCCCGGAGCCACTCCATGCTGCTGAGGACGAGCTGGGCTCTTCAGCTTCGAGTGTCTGCGAAGCTACAGTCAGAAGTTGTTATATGTCAGGTCAAGCGCGGACATACCTCAAGAAGCATGCCCAGTACATTGTCCACCTCTCCTGGCGGAACACCACCACAGCCAGCGCCAATAAGCCGACGGTACTCCGCCATATGCCCACCTGTGCCCGCCTCCGCCTGGAACTTCACCAACTCCTCAAACTTGTCTTTCCTCCTCCTTTTGTGTATCGCGAGGTCTTCTCGTAGTCGTTCGCACTCCGCGCGAATGGCCTCTGCATCAGCCGGCACGCCCGACTGCAGCGCGAGCAAGTCCACAACGTCCTCGTCTGCGGGCAGGCCCCCGCCGTGCATGCTTCGGATCGCCCTCTCGCGCTCCTCCTCGTCCTTCGACCACTTCTCCCACCCGAGACGGTACCGCTTGCCCATCTTGTTGCGGAGCTCCTCCTCAAGCGCTGCGAGTTGCTGCTTGGCTTGGGGTAGCCCCTGCGATTGCACCTTCAAGTGGCTCACAGCGCGTTGGCTTTCGAGGATCTCCGCCTGGATATTGTTCAGCAATGCGTTCGCCTGAGTCAGGTCGCGCTCCTTCTCGCGCAGCTCCGTGTCGAATGCAGCCGCTAAGCTCTCGAGCATCATTGCCACGTCGGTCACGCATCGTGTAGCCGCCTTCTGCCCCGTGGCCGAATGGTGTAACGGCGCACGATCATGGTGACCAAGTCCGATGGTGTAACTTGTTTGGGGGAATGCCCCTTGCGAGCTGCGGAATGGCCCGCCGAGGGGTCTTGACCCTAAAACAGGTGACTGACGGAGTCTCTCGTCCTCAAGTATGTAGTCCTCCGCGCTCTTTCCGTCTCGGTTCGGAATCTTGGGGTCTGCCTGGTAATCGATGAGCGTCTTGACCAGTCGCTTACTTCGACACCGCGCAGCCATCGTCAGCGCAGTCTCCCCCTCCTCGTCCTGGAAGTTGATGATATCCTTGAGCTCGGTGGGATAGTCGCTGAGACGGGAGAGCACCGTCTCCAAGTAGTATCGCGCTGCATGTGTCTTAGTCTTCGACATCGCCAGATCGACAATATGGTGGAAGATTGTCCGGTTGGAGTTGTCGATGTTTAGCGTGGAACGGTGCAGGAGTTCATAGAGCTCGGCGAACTTGCGTACGTCGTAGTTATTCGCGAACATGACGCTGCGCATCAGCGCCGTCTGCCCCGCTTTGTTGACCTTGAATATGTCCGCTCCTGCGCTAATGAGCAGCTTCACGATCCGGATGCGACCCATGGCTGCTGCCCAGTGCAGCGCGGTATGGCCGTCGTCGTCAATCGCCATGTCCGGGTCGAAGTCTTGCGGAGGGCTGATGAGGATCTCCGGTATTTGATTCGTGTCCGAGATGAAGTACTCGAGGATTTGGTCGCCGTAGATCGACGGATCGTGCTCGCCATTCTCCTGCATCTCCTCATCGGATTCATCGTGCTGCGCACGGTGCTTGCGCTTGCGCGGGTTCCCTAGGGGCGACTGGTACTCGTCATCTACGCCGTTTGAGTGGAGCGCCGACGGCCCAGGACTGCCCAGTGGCGAGGGCGTGCGTGAAGTGCTGGAACGGGACGGAGACGGTGTCATGGTACCATCTTCGGTACCCCGTGTGGAGAATGTTTCGATTTCAGACCCCTCAACTTGCTGCTCCCGCTTTCGAGAGGAGCGCGTGCTGATTGTCGAGCCTCCTGCGTCTCCTCTGCGTGAGTTTGGTTTAGAGGCTGCCGACGTGACAAGGTGCTTGGGTGCTAGAGGCGGGCTCTTCGCCTCCGGCTGGAACTCGACAATTGCCCGGATGTTATGTTCGCAATTGTATGTTCGCGCAAGATCAAGGCCTCGCTCGATGGGGATCCAGGTCCCTACACGGCATCGTATGACGGGGGTGGATATGCAGACCAGATATCAAGACGTACCTTGATACTTTCCGTATCCTCCTTGCACCTTCTCATGCTCTCCCTTCTGCACTTCGCGCTCTAAGATCCGGGTGCGTTGAGGCTTATCGAACCCGGCAACCTTGAGGATCTGAGTCGCGTTTAACCAGCCGTCGGAGCGCCTCCGCATCACGGCGACTCCTTTGGTCATCCTAGGGGGGATGGGGTTGAGCAACAGCGCGTGAAACGCGTTTCTGTGGCTTACATTTCGTATACAGGGATGCCACTGTATGTAGCCTATGGTTTTGCGCAGTCAGAAGCCATCCATTGAGATGCGTCTGAGAACAGGGCAGCATACCTTGAATATCTGATGTTCTGGCATATTGGGTATCGGGAGAGGCGTTCTGGTGCGTGACGACGGTGGTAAGGGAGGAATTCAGCGACGTCCTGCGCACTGGAGCGGAGAGGGGCTGCGAGAGCGGGAAAGGTGTATCCGTTGACGCGTAAACCGCAAATGACAAACGCGCCGCGTCTCCGACGCCCGCCACAGTCCACGTGCTGGTCGTGTCTGTGACCGTCCGAACTGAAAGCAGCGGATTCACCGGCGACGCTGCTGCGACGCGGGATCAAGGCGGAGGGAGGTTTGGATGTAGGCGGACGAGGCGACGTGCAGATGGAAATGGCAGATGGAAATGGCCACGCTCTGAGCCAAATGTCAGGCGCCTCCTTCCACAAGGCGTTCCGCCTGAGCGCGTCTCGGCGCGTCTTCTCTCGACCCCGCGTCAAGCCGGACCGTCGGTACGCTCCAGCAAACCTCCCTCCTCTCTCCTCGAGCGTTTTCAGATGAACTGAGTAACGAAAATATCGTTCCTTTGCCCCGCCGCCGACGAGCGGAACCGAGGCGCGTCCAATGCGGGGCCACATTTGGGAACTGGCGCTGCCACGATCACGGGGTGGTCGCGCGTCAACGGGTCGGACGCCGCGTGTCGGTCACGTGGGGCGAGGTCCGCTACTCGCGGGCCTCTGGGGCGAACTGCTCCTGAGCCACGACGTCCACCACGCTCGTCCTCCGTCCACTGATCTCGCTGGTTCTGCTCGTCTTGCACGATGGCTCTTGCATGTGAGCCGCTCTGCCACTTCGGTGGAAGGTGCGTACAGTTTCCCATGTTGGCGTGGCACAGAGCGCCCTGGATATCAACCTGAACCGCGTCGCGCAGGCTCTACTTCACGTCCTTCCCCAACCCGCCACCACGATCGGAGGTGCTGAATCGCCTCGCAGCTGGCCCAGATTATGCGCCTCGGATACGCGGAACGTCTGCAGGATCGTCATCCTCCGTCACCCCCGACGATGATGCGAAGTACTACTACTTCACGATCGACGACCAACTGCTGTATCTATCCTTCTTCCAAGACTGGGGTCCACTCAACCTATCAATGGTGTACAAGGCATGTATCCTAATACATGAACTTCTCCAGGTATGATGCCCTATGCTGCCACTCGCGCGTCTGTTTAGCTCCATCTTCTTTCTACATAGGACCAAACACTATTATCACACCGCCTCGTTCTCTACTCCTCGAATGACCCGCGTAGGAAGGCCAATGCGGCATTGCTCATGGCACTCTATGTCGTAAGTGGCACCGCCAATGATGCGCCCATGTTCTCTCACGCGACCTCTCCGTGCAGATGATTGTACAGCAGCGGCCACCATGGGAGGCATTCCATCCAATCGCAGAAATCGAATTCATGCCGTTCCGTGACGCCGGGCGAGGTCGGTCGGACTTCAACCTCAGCATCCAGGACTGTCTATGGGGCATCTACAAGGCCATGCAGAACGGGTTGTGCGACATGAACGATTTCGACGTCGAAGAATACGAATACTATGAGAAGGTGGAGAACGGCGACTGGAACTGGCTGACGCCAAACTTCATTGCCTTCGCGTCACCCGTGGACCCCGTATGGATCAAGAGGGAGAGGGAGAAGATAGAACAGGCAAAGGCAGACGCGCCTGTGTCGCCTGCGAAGTCAACGCGAGATCATGCTTTGCAGAGGAAACTGCCTACGCCGTTCCTCAACTGCTTGGACTACTTCGAGAAGTCCAACGTCAGGCTAGTGGTACGACTGAACAACGCGCTTTATGACCGGCAGCACTTCATGGAACGGGGCATCCAACATCAAGAGCTCTATTACGACGACGGCACGAATCCGACGGACGAGATCGTGAGGAAGTTCATCGACATGGCAGACGAAGTGGTGGAGGACGGAGGCGTAGTCGCCGTTCACGTAAGTACGCCGGTCCCAACGGTTTGTCTAACCTCATGCCATGCCGCGAACAGTGCAAAGCAGGGCTCGGCCGTACGGGGACGCTGGTCGGCGCCTATCTGATTTGGAAGTACGGCTTCACAGCGTCCGAGGCCATTGCCTTCATGCGGATAGCGCGACCGGGATGCGTCGTCGGGCCTCAGCAACAATACATGTACCTCAAGCAGCTGGAGTGGTGTAAGTGGTCGGCGTACGACGAGGTGAAGCGCATCCGCGATATGAGCGCAGCAGCGGCCACAGCGCTTGTTGTGCCCGCAACGCCACCAGCAGAAGACGACCGGATGGACGTCAGCGATGGGCCTGCTGCGGTACCATTCACCCCCGTCCCAGTCCCCCCTGTTACACCCAGCAAGCACATCGCTCGCGCCCAAGCGCAAGCACGCGAGATCGCGCCGCCCGCACAGCCGCGCAAGACGCCCATCGCGAAGCGTGTCGCGTCCGACTCGGATGCGGAAGAAGAGGGCGACGTCCTCCCTGCCCTGGGTGTGGCGCCCGCGCCTGTAAGGCGGAAATCGAAGCCAGCGAGCGCACGGCCGGCGGGTGTGCGCGGCACCGCGTCCGAGCAACGTCCGGTGCGTGTGACACGCTCTGCGGCGGGTGCTGCAGCCGCCGCACGGAGGACAGGTGGGACGGCCACGGCGCTGACCGTGACGAAGAGCGTGAAGGCGAACGGGCAGGCGCCGAACAAGATCCCGCGTCTCGCGAACGGGACGAGCGTACGCGGGACGAAGGAGGCGGTCAAGGAGGGCGCTGCGGCCCCGACGGCGACGACGCGCAAGTTGCGGAACCCACCGTCGCCGATTCCATCGCGCCTCCCGACCCTTGTCGCGAAGCGTACGCACCACAACGCGACGACGTCCGTGAACGAGCTCCCCGCAGCAGCAATTGCGGCGGCGAAGTCAGCCGTTGCAGCGGCGGGCGCGTGGATGACGACGAACGCTGCGGCGGTGGTATCGAAGGAAGGACGCCCGAACTTGCGGCCGATTCGCAGGCGACGGAGCAGTTTCAGCGCGGCGGACGTTGTCGCGTGAAGTTGCCCTCGTGGCACTAATTCCCAAGTTTATAGCAAACAGGCTGGCCTGGAAGTTTCTCTCTCAACAAGTATATATCTGATGGATTTTGCGTCGTCGTTGCATCTCCGTTGCATTTTGTCACTGTCAATATCTATCGCTATCCGCTACCATCGTGTCCTCTGTCCTATCCGTGCCTATCCCCTCATTCCCCCCTCCCCCCATCCCTCTCGCATGTCCCCATATCCTCCACCATCTCACGCCTCATCCGCATCGCATATAGCAGAGCATCGTTTGCATAGCACTATCTTGGCTTCATACATACACGACCCTCCCCTCTTTTTGACTACTGTGCCCGTCCATATGTCCACGGGCACTTTATGCAGCTTATGCAATACATGCATTCCAAATTCTTCGTACATGTCTACAGACAACAGCAATTCATCAAGCAACTACAACGGTATTGCCCCCTTAGGCTTTTGAGTACTTGTGCACACACTCCAAGAAGAACCGCATATCCTCGGGGTCCACACCCGGCGTGATCCCATGCCCTAAGTTTGCGATCCACGCCTTCGGGGCCTTCCCGCCCTTGAACCGTTCACACATCCTCTTCACCTCGCGCTCGATGGCCTCGCGGCCACCGTACAGCACGTTCGGGTCGAGGTTACCCTGGAGCGCGACCAGGCCGCCGACGGCCTTGCGCGCGTCCACGGGATCGATGCACCAGTCAATGCCGATGACGTCGTAGCCCGCGTACTCCGCGAGCTCGGGGAGCAGCGCGGTCGCGCCTTTCGGGAAGAGTGTCATCGGGACGGGGGCGAGGTTCTGTACCACGAGCTGGGCGCGCACCGAAGAGGCGATGTGCTTCAGAGCGGGGAGCGCGTACTCGCGGAAGTGGTGCGGGGCAAGCTCGCCGGCCCATGAGTCGAAGACTTGGACGAGCTGTGTCGGGTCGTGAGAAGCAGGGATGTGATGAGGAGGAGAGGTGGGCGTACCTGTGCGCCTGCCTTGATCTGGCCTACGAGAAAGTCAACGCAGACGTCCGCGATGCGCATGAGCAGCGCCTTGCTCTCCTCGGGATACTTGAACAGCCACGTCTTCGCCTTCGTGTATGTCCTGCTCGTCTCGCCCTCGACCATGTACGAGAACAGCGTCCAGGGCGCGCCGCAGAAGCCAATGAGCGGGACCGCGCCGTCGAGCTCGCGCCTCGCGCGCGTGATGGCCGCGAAGACGTAGCCGAGCTCCTGCTCGACGTCGACGTGCGCGCGCAGCTTCGCGACGTCCGCGGGGGTGTTGAGCGGCTCGGGGAAGTGCGGGCCGGGGTTCATCTCTACGGTCATGCCCATCGCTTGCGGGACGACGAGGATGTCGCTGAAGATGATGGCGGCGTCGAGCAGGCCTGCGTACCGCCGGATGGGCTGCAGCGTTACCTCCGTCGCGAGCTCGGGTGTGCGGCAGACGTCGAAGAAGCCGTGCTTTGCGCGCACTTCGCGGAACTCTGGGGACGGCGGGTGTTAGCTGTGGATAGCATACTGTACATTGGTAAGTGCGCACCAGGAAGATATCGTCCTGCCTGGCGCATGACCCATACTGGCGCACGCTCTGTCTGTTCGCCTGTGAGGGAGGTGTCTCGGAGATGGAGATGCACAGCAGGCGAAGACTCTACCTCGGGCGGCGCGCAGGAGCAGGTCGTTTTTGAGCGGTGGGAAGTCGAGCGACATCGTGCCTTGAGTCGTCGTGGGCGAGAACACCGACCGTGGGCTATATATTGACTGTCGGGGCCGAAGAGCACACGGGTGCAGGGAGGAGGCTTCGACCCGCCGCCGCGACGCGCCCACGATCGTAAGTGGCATGATCAAGATCGCCGGCGCCCGCAGACAAATTCGCTTCGCGCTCTCGCCACACATCCCACCCTCCAGCGACCGGGTCGCGTCTTCTCCAAATGCCAGCTGCAGCTAGCCAGCTCTACAATACTGTCTGAGCCATGCCTATCGACGACCCAGCGCAGCTCGTAGAGGAGTATGTGCCGTTTCGACCGGTCTCTTGACGAACTGAGCTAGAGGCTTAGGTTCAAGAAGTCGGGCGAGTTTGACCGGCTGAGGAGGGAGTTGTTGGCACAGTTTAGGAGCAGCGTGAGTATCACCGTCTCTCAAGGAGTAACATGTATGAACGAAAGTAACCCACGTTCAGGATGCCATGGACACGCTGATGTCCCGTGTAGAGGATATCGTCAAAGAAAGGCTCGCGTCTGACCAGAAACTCCACTACGTGCCAGAAACAGTCATGACACGCGAATTGATGCAGGAGCTTGACAGGTATGTACCAGCTGCACCACGCCAACAAGGTCTAGGAGATGCTGATGTCGCTAGGTCAGGTATCCACTGGTAGAACGAGCGGCGAGCGAGACCCGGGCATTCACCGACCCTACATTCACCTCTGGCATACGCAACTCGATCAAGACCATCCTCCAAGACGATCGTAGGAACGGTTCGCCACCATGTCATCATCCATGGAAAATAATCGCTCACCAGTATCTGCTCCCACAGAAGGGAAGTTCGTAGACGGCATGGACATCGACGGCATCGAAGAGGAGACACCGATGGACGAGGGCACCCCGGAAGACGACGAGACGCGCGTAGTGCGCTTCGTCAACTACGCTAGGAGCGAGCCGGACCTCGACCCACGCGACGAGCCTACGAGCGAGGACCCGCACGAGGGTGTGGCTCCGAAAATCGGGTTGGACGACTGAGGATTGCTTACACTGGTGCGCATATATGTTATGATTTAGGTGTACATTACTAGCGGGTGTCTTGCGAATCATGCAATGCGCCGTATGCGTGTACGGCGAAGGCGCTCGCACAATGCAACGCTGCGCTTATTGCGCGCGTTACTCGACGATCGCGCTCTCAAACTCCAAGCGGTGCAAATTGTGCCTCATTCAAGGTCGTTCATCAATGAATGCGCCGTTCATTCTCCGTGAGCGGCAGCCTAGAGGATCCGGATCCGTACATTGCGGCCGCTCGAAGATGTTGACTGCAGCTTGTTCTCCGCCTTCCGCGGACTTAACGATATACCTCCTCGGGTTCTCCTGTGCGCCCGCAGCGGATGTGATGACTGGTCGATTCCAGTTCAGCCAGCTACATCCTCAGAATGTTCGGGACTGGCGACTACCAGGTATACCTGCTGTTGGTGCGTACCTGATCCGAGTTACGATCGTTCACTCTAGTGCGGTCTCCATAACACCGTCATAGCAGCTTTGAAAGCTCGAAGGTATCTCAGGAGCCGAGGTAGTCGGCCTGAGCTTCTCCGGTACATTGAGCATGCTTGCGACGCGTTGCTTCGGTACATTAAATGTCCCTCCACGAAACGCCGTAGCATGAACATTGACCTGACGAACGCCAGCATATCAGACCGAAGCGCCATACAACATTGAGTCGTCTGAGACGTCTGAGAGTTTTACTCAGACATTTCAGATTGGCAGCTGATTCGCGGGGATAGTTGGACGCTCTCCTACGCACTAGCTACGTTCAAAGTTGCTGGAGCTCTGGAGCTCCAGAGGCTGGAGGCTGGAGCTCGCCCCCGGCAAACGCCGTCAACCGCGCAACAGCTCTGGCATCGCCTGAAATTCCCGCCACAGTGCGCTTAGGTAATCCCATAAGCTGTGGCGCTACCAACTGGTCTGTACAACGTCCTGGGAAGGGGTTTGTATTATATATGTCTTCAAAAAGGGGTGAGGATGGTCTGTCCGTACTTTCTCCAGAAGCCGTGACCCTCAAATACCGACAGCGGGTTCTACACACTCCCGATGACGTTGGTATACCCGATTAGGCCAACGGCGCTTATCCCAGACGTACCTGCGCATTGAAATAATCCATGCTTGATGTGCGATGCAGAGTGAATGGGACACCGTACACGTGTAAAAGTAAATGCTAGATGTGTATGGAGGCCTGTTTCAAGCTGCAGGTGAAGCATGTCGTACTGTGCAGGCGAGGGTCTTGCTGCTTAGTCAGCTGCATCCCGTAATCAGACCTGCGAAGGGAAAGTGAGACGCTTGCTGTCAAAAGACCTTCGCAGATACACGAATAGCCCCTAGGAGCGGTGGTATGCATAAAAACTTATGCATCTTCGTGCAGTTGTACGCAGGGAAAGGATAACTTGTCGCGGTCGAGTCACAGACGTCACGCGCGCGTGACGACGGCAGTGCGCTGTGGCGGCATGCTCTGGAAACGCCTGGCGGCAAACCCCGAGAACCGTCACCTCCAGCTCCGGGCTCCAGCTGGAGCTCCAGAGCTCCAGCAACTTTGAACGTAGCTACTAGAAGCTCCTGCTTGCAACCTCCGCCGTCGTCCTCCGAGTCGTAGGTCTGAAGTTACGCGTCGTAGGCTAGTCTGGCGTTCATCCACACATGTCGGGCGTGATGCGGCTGCTGACAGGCTTCACTGTCAAACATGGAGCGCGATTTCCGTGCATGACGGGCGTCCCGGAGGACTCAGCCAAGTGTTTGAACACATTTGCGCCCAGATTGCGCCCCGTACGCATGCGATTATTTGTGAACGAGTCATGAGCGGGCTTGCATGGTCGAGTCTCGGGAGATGCGGTGAGTGGTGTGGCCATCAAGGATTCGGGACAGGGCAAGTACTGCAGCCGGCGGGAGAGGGGCGAACAGAGGCGCGGGCGATCGCTGGGACGCCAATCACGGACGGGAAGAAATGAAATGGCTGATCAGGTGGGTGCGGCGAGCAGTCCGTTGGGCATTTCCTGCCCCTGCACGAGTCATGGCTGGCGGTGGGCCCACCTGACTCGCGCTCAGAGGGAGGTACATATCCCGGCCGTCGTCCAATCCCCTCGCCCTCCCTCCGCACACCGGCCCCGCTACCCCAGTTCCGCCCGACGGCCAAGCCAAGAACCGTCCTCGCCATGAGCGCAGAAGAGCGTGAGTCGCCCGCGTGCGAGTCGCCGTGACGCGTTGACACTGACCGCGGTCCGCGTCGCGTTTGCCAGTGAAAGGATCGGACGGCGCGTCCTCGCGCGACGCCGAGAAGCATGGCTACCGTTCCGACGCCGCGTCCGACGCCGACCTCCACGTCGACTACAAGACCCGCTTCCCCAACATCAACGAGGCGAAGGTCCTCCGCAAGATCGACATCCGCGTCGTGCCCGTGTTGTGTGTGCTGTACTTGTTGGCATTCCTCGATCGGTGAGTCATTCGTGGTGGTACGCGACCCCAGCGGCTAAGACGCGGACCAGGGTGAACATATCGAACGCGGCGCTCTTTGGGCTAAAAACGGATCTGAAGCTGACCGGAGACAAATATAACAACGCTCTCGTCGTCTTGTGAGTGCTCGTCCGTGCCGTTCCTGTGGGTCCCGGTGTTGAGCGGCTCGAATTTGATTTTCGCAGCTTCGTCCCGTATGTCCTTGCTGAAATCCCTTCAAATGCACTGCTCAAGCATTTCAAACCGCATGTATGGCGTACGTAGTGTCTCGCCGGCCCGGATGAACATCGCTCACCACGATATTCCTCACACAGTACCAGTGTGCATGTTCCTCTTCGGCATCGTATCCGTATGCCAAGGGCTGGTACAAAACTACAGCGGATTGATCGCATGCCGGTTCTTCCTGGGTGAGTGCACCGGTCCAATTCCGCTCGTTTTCCTTCTGTTAACATTCTTTCAGGTCTCGTCGAGAGCGGCGTATTCCCGGCATGTTTTTACCTCATTGCAATGTGAGAGACCTCGTCCCGACCGCATCAACTGACGGCTGACGCAGTGCTTCACAGGTGGTACAAGCGTGCAGAGGCGCAAAAGCGCTACTCCTTCTTCTTCTCGTCAACAACCCTCGCAGGCGGCTTCGGTGGTCTGCTCGCCAGCGCCATCGGCAAGATGGACGGGCTTCGAGGGTACCACGGCTGGCGATGGATCTTCATCATCGGTGCGTGCTTCTCGCATTCATTCCGTGACTTCGCGTAGCTGATCGAGGTGCCTATGTATAGAGGGCGCCGTGACGTGCGTGGTCTCGGTGGTTCTGTACTTCACCATCTCGGACTTCCCGGAGGAGGTCACATGGTTGACGCCTGAAGAGAAGGAGTTCGTGAAGGCGCGGTTGCATGCGGACGTCGGCCAGTCGAGGAGACATGACCCGCTCACCACTCGGTCCGTGTTGAATGTCTTCAAGGATTGTGAGTGTAGTTCAGTCTCATCCAACGCTCGTGCTAACTCGCACTTCAGGGAAGATCATTGCTGGCGGGTTCATGTACTTCGGGCTGATTGTCCCAGCATATGGCTACGGTGCGCCCAAATCCTTCTCTGCCCGGCGCACATACTTACGTCCCCCCAGCATACTTCGCCCCCTCCATCATCCAAGGTCTCGGCCACAGCAGTATCCGCACACAGCTCCTCTCCGTTCCACCATGGGCCTGCGCCTTCGCGCTCGCGATGATCACCGCGACCGCGTCCGACCACCTCCGGCATCGCTTCGCGTTCGTGCTCCTCCCGACCGCCGTCGCCCTCACGGGCTTCATCATCCTGCTCGTCGTGCACGACAACACGAAGCTCCAGTACGCGGCGCTCTTCCTCAGCGCGATGGGCACGTACTCGGCGATGCCGATGATCGTGTGTTGGTTCAACACCAACTTGGGCGGGCATCAGAGAAGAGCTGTCGGTACGGCATGGCAGGTTGGATTCGGGAACAGTGCGTCTGAGTCCTTTCTATCACCCTCACACGTGTAGTTGACCAGCTGCGTGTCCTCTGCGCAGTCGGCGGCATCATCGCCGTGTACGCCTTCCTCTCCAAGGACGCGCCCAAGTACATCACGGGCTACAGTATATGCATCGCCTTCATCTGCCTCTCCGTCGTCGCCGACGTCGTCTACTTCTTCGGCCTCACCGCGGAGAACCGGAGACGCAGCCGCGCGGAGGCCCAGGCGAGCGCGGTGCTTCTCAGCGCGGACGAGAAGACGAAGCTGGGCGACCTCAACCCGGACTATCGGTATTTCTTGTGACGAATGATGAGCGGTCTAGATCTTGAGCTCTATTGTAACGAAAAGACACGAGGGGCTGGTGCACACGTGGATTGGCAGGATAGATGGAGGCCCCCGCTTCATATCACTATTGATTATTGATGTATCAGTAGCTTAGTTTTCGTGCTAATACTCAGCTGTATCAAATGCATTCTTCGACGACATAGACCACGTAAGTGGTTCAACGTTCAATCGCCGAGGGAGCATGAGCTTGAATTTGGGTTGTGAAACTTCGCGTTCGGCCAGAACCCGCTAAGAGCGAGGCTCGGGTTAGGAGCAGACCCTACACAAGGACCTACTATACACCCCCGAGTGCAGGACAGTCGCAGAAACGGCGACAAGTACTGCGTGTACTGCACGGACCCCGTAGTTGAGTACGCTGTAATGGCGCGCATAAGTCACCCCGTATCTGAGCCTTACCGGCGAGCGGAGCGATGTAGTAACGGTGACTAACATCAGATAGCAAGCTACGATCACGCAGGACGCGCGAGGTGCGCGTGCCCGCGGGGGCATCGCGGGAACACTACATGATCCAATGAGCTCGCTGAGAGTATTGGCGAGCCTGGGGCCACAGTGGTCCTCGAATTGTCACCTGGCATGTACAATGGGCACGACCCACGGGACATCGGCATGAGCCATCCATGTAATCATCGTTGCTCACTACTGTGCACTCACGGTCTTCCTTACCACTGACCTCCACCTTGAACGACCATGGCCCCGCCACAGATGCTTCCCAACTCCATTCCAAGACCTAATACAAAGCCAACATCATTGCAAACAGCAATGAACGTGGATCGAGAGCAGTTTAGAGCCACTACAGTGAGTCGACTAGTACTAATGATCGCTGTCCCCGGGCATAGACCGGGTTCAATCTCATGCACATATACTCTCTCAACAGCTGTTCCTACGAGAGTTAGCAACACAGCACTTGGACTTGACCCAGTACTTTTCAACTCAATGTCCCCGTGCAATAGACAGGGTCATGCAAGAGGTGAGCACAAGCCTAAAGGCCTATAGTGCAAGCTTAAGCCACTGCTGATGTATGTACCCACCACATAGGTTAGAAAGCACCCAATCTTGCAATACTACGTCGATGGTTGGCCAGCCGACATCTATGTGCGGGATTGGGTCTCCCGGCAAGTTCTCCGGAACCGGCGGGATTGCCACCTTGGTGACATGCACGATGGCACTGGCAAAGCAAATGAGGTGAGACAAATGTACTATGTACCATCCTATCCTCATTGACCGTCCTAGCAGCCTCCAAGCCAGGGATCGCAACCGAATCCGAGTCAGCCTCGCCCACAAGTGCGATCCGATCCTGAGACATCGCCGAGATGCGTCAGAGAAGACCGATCTGCCACAGCAATTTCGCCCGCCGCCGGTCATGTTCTGCACGCGCCCGGGTCGAAGGATCCGTCGTTCAGGACGTTCTTGAAGTCATGCAGGCCGAGCCTCAGACCTCTGCGAAGTGAATTCCGAAGGGCTGGAATCAAAACCGTCGGAGACTTTGCGCGGATGGCGAGGCTGGAAGCAAAGTACCGCGAGAGGCTGTTGAGGGAGTGGATGCGCTTGACGGACCTGGAGGTGGTCGAGGTGGAGATGATTTTGGATACGATGAAGTTGTAGAGTAACAAAGCATGAACATCAGCAACGGAACACGCTCGCATCTCGGGCCCGTCGCGTCAGGTCAAAACACAGTGCCCGTTGTGTCCTGCACCGCAGCAACGCCACAAGCGCGTCGGCCGGTGTGCTCGGCCACGTGCTGCCATGATCGCGCCCCGGTCAGAGCAGGGCGTGGACAATACATACTGGGCTTCCCAGCCACCGCCCAGGCGGCCCACCACTCACAGCTTCTTTATTCCAAGACACCACCACCGTCCTCTTCCCACCCGCCCACCATCGCTCACGCCCTCCAGGTCAGCATGAGCACCGCCTGGATGCCCCCGCCGGGGCGGCACTCCGTCCAGATCGGCCAGTCGCTCGGCCGCGCACTCAAAGCACGCAGGGGCGAGCCAGCCCACCAGAAGAGCAGCAAGATACCTGACAAGGAGTTCTACTCCTTCCGCTGTGAGTGATATGAATCGGCGGGGAAGAGCGGCTGGTAATGGATTATTGTGTTGGCCGTGGCGCAGATAACTTCAAGCCCGAGGCCGTCGATCCGACGAAGGTGGGCTCGATCGAGACGCGGAAAGAGGGAGATGTCAATAAGTATGTCATAGAAAAGGGCAGCGAGAGGGTGCGTTTTATAATCTCTTCTGGCATCGGGACGGCAGTGCTGACGCAACTACCCTCTCGGGCCAGCTAGACGAAGGATACCTCTTTACCGCGACCGGAGCGGAGCCCGTGAAAGAATGGGACTGCATCTTGATCTACGACGAGGAAACAGGTGTACGCACAACCTGTGCTTCGACATTCCCTCTTCCGTACTCACACGTCATTTCCACATACAGCGGTACACACTCGAGAAGGTAGACACGTATCTACGACTCAACTTCGACCGCAAGACCCACGCGCCACGGCACGCACCTTCGCGTACGTCCCTCGCCTTCACATCTCATCCGCTATTTATACTAACTCGTCTTCTCAAGCCGCCGCATCGACAGGCCCAGGTACACCTTCCACACCGTCTCACATAGCCCCGCCACCACGCCCGGGGCCTTCCAAGCCCTTCGCACCCCCCCGCAAATTACAGAATGATGTCGACCTCGACCTCGAGAACGAGCTTCTCGCTGGGCTCGACGACGCCGACGGCTCGCCCGACGAGGACATCCCGCTCGCCGCCACAACCAAGGCCAAGAATGCCGCTATGGCCGCGCCGCCGGCTAAGCCCACTAGGCCCGCAAAGGCCAAAGCACCTGCCAAGCCCGTGGCAAGGAAGGAAGAGGAAGAGGAGAGCGACGGTGAGATCCTGGAGGCGGTCGAAGCTGCGTCAAAACAAAAGCAGAAGGCAAGGCCGGAACCTGTCTCTGCGCCGCCGCCTGCCTCGAAGACGAAGCCTGCCCCGGTTCGACGCCCAGGGAACAACCTGCCTGTCAGGCCCGTCGCGGCAGCAGAGCCGTCGGTACCCAAGCCAAAAGCACCCCCGGCCTTCCAGGCCAAAACGAAAGTGGCCGCGAGCGCAGGCAAGAAACGGCCCCTCGACGTCGAGGAGATTGACTTCGCACGCCCCACGCAGCCCGCGAAACGCCCACGGCCGTCGTCCCCACCTCCACAGGCGATGCCCAAGCAGAAGGAGAGGGAACGGTCGAGCTTCTCGCTTGCCCTGCCCACTCCGGCGCCGGCGCCGAAGCAGGCAGAGCCGCCGACCCCGCTCTCGTTCCCGGGCTCCTCTGCGCCCGTCATGCTCCCCGGCGCCGCTCCCTCTGCGGCAGCCCCCGTCGCAGCAGTCTCATTAGACTCTGACGATGACTGGATCGAGGTCAAGCCAGCCGCGTCCGCGCCCACGCCCGCGGTTGCACCTCCTCCGCCTGCGCCCCTGCGCGTCATCGAGATGGAGGAGATCGTGCCGACGTCGTCCCCGCGCCGGCCGTCCCCGCCGCTCGCGCTCCCGCTGGACGAGGACGACGAGGACGATTTCGATATGGAGGAGGTCGCGGTCGAGCCGTTCCAGGGCGGGGACACGCCGTTCCAGGGCGAGGACGCGGAGGAGGAGGACGACTTCCTTGCCGACGTGCTCAACGATGTCCAAGAGACGGTGGGGCTCCCAGAGCCGGATGGGGATGCGGGCAATGAGGGGTTGTTTGGAGAAGAGGATGAGTTTTCGAGTAGTGAGGAGAGCGATGATGATTAGCTATGGGGCGCGTAGCAGGCTTGCTCGAGGTGGTAGGGGCAGGGACGGGAACTAGGTCGAGATTGAGCAGCAATCTGGGACCGGACTCTTGGGTTAGAGACACTTTGTCATTCAGACTGAGGCATCTGTACTATACATTCGGCATTAAATTATTGTAAGACGCTGTTGCGCTACCTCTCTCGGGTTCTTCTCCATCGTCAACCGGTCCTTGGGACACCACCGATCATAATCGGAACACGCGGCTCTAGCTCGCGATCTGCAACGAACTCTGGCGGGCAGAAAGTCTGGAGATAAATGGGATTATATTCAAGTAGTGTCGCAAGGACCGTGCAGCCTCTGAGCATGACAACGAAGATCCAAGCTGATTAGCGACACGGGAGGGCGCAGCTGACTGCAATGAATAAGGGCGAGGAATGTACAGTACTCTTACGTTTCAAAGGTAGAAGAAACATACTGTCAGGCCCAACCTTCTTTGCGGGACGACGGGAATATGGGACGCCGAAAACCACTTCCCCGTTCCAAGGACCGGTTCATGAATGCCACCTCGAGCTGTCGGTGAACTGCCTTGACTCCAAATAGTGATTATGACGCGCAGCACTGGATTTTGGCGAGTTACTGAAAGGCTGGCATTGACGATGTCACTGTCACTGCCCATTGAGTGGGGTTTGGAGTCGACTGTAACGAGGGGCAGCACGCATTGGAGCAGAGGCCCGAGGCGGGTCGGTCGTCAACGAGATGATTTGCTAGCCTACGGACCTGCAAATCGGCGCTGAATGCACAGAAGTAGCATGAAGTCGTGGTGTACCTTTTCTGTATATGCGGGGCTGTGCACCCATGGGCCCGGGTGTGAGAGACTAGAGTGGTACGGCGAGGACTTCTAGGCCTCCTCATGGTGCGCCGTCTTCACGGGGGTGGGCCCGTCAGATTCGCAGCCTAGACGGGCCCTGAGACGAGCAAGTTGTCTCTGGGTATGATGACTACCATAAACACGCACCCGGGATCCTCGATTGCCTGGAATGCCACGAGAAGGGATGGCTGGCACGGTCGTCGTGCTCATACGTCCGAGATAGAGATCTGCGGGGCCTCGCGAGACCTTTGGGAGCTGGAGTGCGGCGGCGGTGGGGAGACTGCTGGGACAGATGGGGAGGGACAGGACCAACGAGGGCCCGGGGGCGCAGTGAAGTCATGCAGGTTCGATCGAAAGCCGCCGAGGATGTGGACGCGTCTGTGGAGTGTGCGCGTCATCGTCCGTCTACGCGTTGTTGCGAGCGCCGCGTGCGTGTGCTCGACGACGCGGACAGCAGCGGGCAGCGAGGGCACGGCGGACGCGGGGCGTGCAGGAGGACGGGCAGACAGGCGGCGGACGGGCGGTGGCGGCGAGGACAGGGATGGGGCCGGGAGACGGTATGACGTCGGCGGGCTGACGCGGCAGACTCCGCTCCGGGGGGCCTGAAGACGCTGCTGGTGTTCGGGCGGATGGCGGTTGGTCTCGCTTATACACCCACTAGTCTCTTCGACGCCCTCCGAACGCCTTCCATCTCCTCCAAAATGCCGTCCGGAACAGGCGTCGTCGACGCATTCAAGAGCGAGTCCATCACCCTCTCCCGTGACCATGTCCCGCTCACACCCGCGCTCTCTCACAGATCTCATTCGCCACGGCAAGAACCACCGCCAACACGACGACGCTGCACCATACGCCCAGCCACACTACCAGCCCGCCGCCGCTCAGCCGCAGCGCCAGCGCGACGCGGCGGTCGCACAGCCCCAGCAGCAGCAGCAGCAGCAACACCAGCAGCAGGCCCAGCGCCAGCACAAGGACAACCCCAAGTTCAAGGAGCAGATCGAGTCCATCGTCCAGGAGGAGCGCGAGGCCAAGGGCAGGATGCCCACCTACAAGGGCCTCGAGAACTACCAGCTGCTCGACAAGATGGGAGAGTGAGTCCTCATCGCTCCTTCTGTATCCCTCGTGCCCGCCGTCGAAGCGCGTCACGGATGTGCACTGCAGCTCCACCGTGTCATGTAGTCGACTGCGGGGCACCCATCGCGTCGTCCCTCCCCTCCGGGCCAGCGGTTTTGGTGGTCGCCGCCATGCCACCTGGCCCGCACACTCCTTACTCGCGTCCCATTGGCAATGCCGTCGCGTTCTGGCAAATTTTCAGGCCACGGCCGTGCTGAGCCTTCCGGGATGTTCGGGCTAGAGCGGTCGGTCACATAAAGTTGATCTCGATCAGCTTCTCATGGACACCTTCTGGATCTCAATCCAACGATAGAAGCTATCAGTGCACGTTTGCATGCACGCCTGCTTCGCGCACAAATTCTGTTCTTCAGAATGCTAACCTTGACTCTGCAGCGGCGCGTTCTCCAACGTGTACAAGGCCATCGATCTGCGAACAGGCCAGAGGGTCGCGGTGAAGGTGGTTCGGAAGTACGAGTTGAGCGCATCACAGGTTAGTGCCCACTTCTCCCCAAACTCCGTTTCTTTATTCATTGCCCCCTCTCCGTACGCCGCCATAGGCTGGTGATAAGCATTTGAACCGCGAGTTCAAAAAGAAACCGCGGGTGACAGAGGTGCTTAACCTAATGGTGGTCTGATAGTGTTGCTGACTCTGGTTCGCCTTTCTGGTAGCGCGCGAACATCCTCAAAGGTGTGTGGCGGTGTGGTCGAGGGTCGGGACTGCACTGATGGGCGTGTCTCGCCGTGCAGAGGTGCAGATCATGCGGGGTATCACCCACCCATCAATAGTTAAACTCTACGCGTTCTTCGAGTCACCAGAACACTACTTCCTTATCCTCGAGCGTGAGTGCACTGCGTTTCTCGCACGATCAGCGACATTGACGGTGTCCAGTCCTGGAGGGCGGCGAGCTTTTCCATCAGATCGTGAAGCTGACGTACTTCAGCGAGAATCTCGCACGGCACGTCATTCTGCAGGTGGCACAAGGCATCCGGTATCTTCACGAAGAACGTGGTGTCGTCCACCGCGATATCAAGCCGGAAAATCTGCTCTTCGAGCGGATCCCCGTCGTGCCAAGTAAGAACCCACACCAGAAGCAGTTCGAAGAGGATAAGGAAGACGAGGGCGACTTCATCCCGGGTGTCGGTGGCGGCGGCATCGGGCGAGTGAAGATTGCGGACTTTGGCCTGAGCAAGGTCGTATGGGACGAGCAGACGATGACCCCGTGCGGGACGGTAGGGTACACCGCCCCAGAGATCGTGAAGGACGAGAGGTATAGCAAGAGTGTAGACATGTGGGCGCTTGGATGTGTCCTGTATACCCTCTTGTGTGGGTTCCCGCCGTTCTACGACGAGAGCATCAACGTGCTCACGGAGAAGGTCGCGCGAGGTCAATATACCTTCTTGAGCCCTTGGTGGGACTCAATAAGTACATCAGGTACGATCCATGTTTTGTCTCACAGCAGCATCATACTCATCTACGGTGTAGCGAAGGACCTCATTACGCACCTTCTCTGTGTGGACCCAGCGCAGCGCTTCACCATCGATGAGTTCCTCGCACACCCGTGGTGTACTGCAGCTCCTGCACCACCACCGCCCCCGACTCCCCTCCCGGATGCCATGCCCCTGGACTCACCGCTCCTGGCTGCGGCGCGCATCGGCGAGGCCCACGGGATGCGCTCACCGGGGCTCGCGCAGCTTAAGGAGGCGTTCGATGTCACGTACGCAGTACACCGCATGGAGGAGGAGGGCGCGCGGAGACGTGCACAGAAGGGCGGTGCGAACCGCGGGTTCCTCAACAATCTCAACGAGGACGACGAAGAGGAGGAGGAGCAACCGACCATTGCGCGCCGGCAGCAGCCGCACGCAGCAGCCCCCGCGGCGGGCCAAGCGGGCATCGGCGCAGGCGCGAAGGCAGCGGCGAGGCGTGCGGTGGCGGAGGCCCACGATGGGCGGGCGGGCACGAGGGACCGGGGGCGCAACCGGCAGCACCCGTTTGAGCTCGATATGGATGGTGCGACGCTGTTGGGGAGGAGACATCAACGGACCGCAGGCGCGGGCGCGGACATGAGCAGCCCGCTCGGGAGGGTCCTCCAGCAGCCGAAGGATCTGGTGGACGTGCCGGGGAGCCCGATGCGCATTGATTAGGCTCGCTCTCGGCTTCCTTGCCTCGCCCTCCCCATTGTCGTGTGCATATCCCACTGTTTGTTGTCGCCTCGCCCCCCATCGTGTCCCGCCTCCTAGCCTGTTGTTCTCTTTTCGCGCCCGCACCCCTCATCCCGCCGTCGTCGACCCGACGCGCCTCCCATCTTGTGTATTCCCCGGGCCCCTCCTGTACGATCAGACTGTCTCGCAAGCCTCGACCCGACGTGGCTGTCCCGTCCCATTCGTATTTTTCCTGTCGTAGTATCATACACGGCGTCGTCAATCAAGCTGCAAGCCTCCCCCGCACAGGCTCTCGTGTCGAGGCGTACAACGTGCTGCAAGCCTCCCCGTTATGCCGTGACGTTCATATCAGTGCTCGCTGCGTCTCCGCGGGCGACTCGTAGGCGCGGTTTCGATTGCGATGCACCCTCACGGTGGGTGTCCGCGTCAGCCTCGTCGGGAATCGCATCGGCCTGGCGTTCGCGTGCACCCCTGGACAGTTGTTGTATCATAGCGCGTCGCATCTTGAAGCCCGACGGCGGAGGACCGATTCAGACTGATGTGTTGTTGTCAGTAACCCTACCGTAGTCCTATAGCACTTACGCATTTCTCTCTCGCAATCAGTACAGTACATGCAGTACAGTTTAGCGTACGATGACAGTGACTCTTCGTCTTTCGTTTGTAGAGTATGTATTTTATGACGTCTGTCGTGTGTCAGACGTCAATGATAGTCCAGTTATTACTCGAAGTGCGTGGGTTTGTCGCGAGGTTTGTTGGTGTAGCTCGGAAAATGCGGACTGGATACGGTAGTACGAGGAGTGTATCAGGGTGTGCTGTAATCGTAGTCGCCCTGGACGAAAGTCTGAATCTCAACAAGGGAACAGACCGACGTCGACGCGAGTACTCGGACTTCGATATTAGAGGTCGTCTCATTCTGGCTGAGGGGGACCTGGAGTACCTGAACACGCACGCACCTAGGAAGTCTCTCGGTGAGGAGATTCAACTTGGACTCAATAGAGGTACGATGTAGAACGCACGGCCCCTTTCGCGGGAAGCGACTTTGCTTGTCCAACGAAACAGGACGCGACGTCAGCCGCGGTGGCAGGATGGTTCAACATCCTGTTGGGTACGCCTGTTCGTGTACATAGGTGACCAGCTCCATGAGGTAGCAATGTACATGGATTCGGTGGCGATGATAACACTGCACATACTGTCAACTGTCCGCCATGCCACATCCCATTCACCACCATCACCGCTGCGAGGGAGGTCATGCCATCATACTCCGTTGTCATGCGAAAATGCGGGTTCAGGCAGTCCGTTCATAGACACAGAGTACGCGGTTGTCGAGTGCGGTAGGATTGGGCACGAGTACGAGACGGTATTCAACGGACGAGAGGAGACTGGTGGCTGTGCGAGAGAAGGGTGGAGAAACACGAGATCGGTCACAACGAGGACGCGTCGTGGAGTGGCTGAGGAACCGATCGCCAAACTGGGCGTTGCTGCCTTGAACTCTTCCTCAAGGGTCTCCTGCAGCCCATCACTCTCCCTTCCCGTCCCCTGCTTCTCTCCGTCTGAACTTCCGAACATAGAGATAGACCGTCCCACTCGAGGTCATGGCTGAGGCTGGCGGGAATATCAAGGTCGTCGTGCGATGTCGGCCTCTCAACTCGCGCGGTTCGTCCCTTCCTGCTTCAAATTTGTGAAGTTCGCGCTCATATCTCCGTCGCTACTCCCGTTCGCGTGTCTATCGCACCTCCCAAATGAACAGAGATCGCTCGCGGCGCGAAACTCCTCGTACGCATGGAGGGCAACCAGACCATCCTCGACCCGCCCGAAGCCGGCAGCGCGGGTGCGCAGGCATCGTCTGGCCGTTCCGCGGAGAAGAAGTCAATGAACTTCGCGTTCGACAAGAGTTACTGGTCTGCGTGCTCGCGGGACGAACCGAACTACTGCTCTCAACAAACACTATACGATGATCTCGGAAAGGAGTTGCTGGACCACAGTTTCTCGGGGTTTAATGCGTGTATCATGGCTTGTGCGTCTCCTCGTCCTCTCATTCGTTCTGTTCCTGAGATTATTTGCAGATGGTCAGACTGGTATGTACTCTGAGCTCGTTCAAGGGAGGATCCACTCACGCGCTTAGGGTAGGTTCCGGAAAGTCGTATAGGTACGTCTGAACATTCGCGTTTAGAGACACCTAAAGTAATGTGCTCTACTTTTAGTATGATGGGATGTGAGTTCTCTTTGCGAAGCGCGTGTTGTTCAACCTTATGAACTGTTGTGTAAAGATGGCGCCGACAAGGGTATCATCCCCCTTACTTGTTCGGAGTTGTTCACGCGAGTAGAGGCGAAGAAGGCGGCAGATCCTAATTTCATGTTCACGGTGGAAGTATCGTACATCGAGGTGCGTGGCTTGTTCTACGCCTATTGGCGTGCCCGACACCTAACACCGCTTGCAGATCTACAACGAGAAGGTCCGCGACTTGTTGAACCCGAAGAACACGGGGAACCTGAGGGTCCGAGAACATCCAAGTCTTGGTCCTTACGTCGAGGATCTGTCCAAGCTGGTTGTGAGCAGCTATGACGAGATGATGACCCTCATGGACGAAGGTAACAAGGCGCGAACGGTCGCCGCCACAAACATGAACGAGACGTAGGTGTCGTCGCTATACGGTATGTAGTCGGTATTTATGCCATGTTCTCAGGTCATCTCGGTCGCACGCCGTGTTCACGGTTATCCTGACCATGAAGCGACATGATGTCGACAGCAACCTGGACACCGAGAAGGTCTCCCGTATCAAGTGAGCGATTATGACCACACACTCCTTACCTCAGTTTAATCCGCCCGTCTACAGCTTGGTCGACTTGGCCGGTTCCGAGCGAGCAAACTCGACAGGAGCTACAGGAGCGCGTCTTAAGGAAGGTGCCAACATCAACAAGTCACTCACGACTCTCGGAAAAGTCATTGCAGCCCTTGCCGTCGCGAGTTCGAATGACGGCAAGAAGGGCAAGAAGGGCAAGGGGGACGACTTCGTCCCGTACCGAGACTCCGTGTGTAATGTTGTGCTTCTTGCTATGCTTGACATGCTGAAGCCGTGTTATCAGGTCTTGACATGGCTGCTGAAGGACAGTTTGGGAGGAAACTCCAAGACTGCGATGATTGCCGCCATCTCTCCTGCAGACGTGAACTACGAGGAGACTCTGAGTACGCTGCGTTATGCCGACCAGGCCAAGAAGATTAAGAACAAGGCCGTCGTTAACGAGGACCCCAACGCCAAACTCGTCCGAGAGCTCAAGGAGGAGCTAGAGATGCTCAGAGGTGTGTCACGCAATGCATATACGTCAGTTAAGCCTGACACGTCGCCCAGCGCGCGTGACCGGATCGACCAGCGAGGCTGTATATGACCCGAAGATCCCGGCGGCGCAGCAGAAGGTCACGTACCAGGCGAAGGACGGCACGTTGAAGACGGTAACGAAGGCCGAGCTGCAGGAGCAACTGGAGACGAGCGAGAAGCTCATGGAGAGTCTGAATGAGACGTGGGAGGAGAAGATGCAGCGGACTCAGGAAGTGCAGAAGGAAAGAGAGAAGGCGCTCGAAGAGCTGGGCATCACAATCGACAAGAATAATGTTGGCGTGCATACGCCGAAGAGGGTGGGTTTAGGACGAGTGTATATGCGCTTGGTGTACTAACGAAATTGATGAATAGATGCCTCACCTTGTCAACTTGGTAGGTTGCATAGTCCGTTTGCTAACGTTATGACTTACACTCACATCTCCGCGTTACAGAACGAAGGTACATAACCATTTTTTCAAGACACAAATCATGACTGACACCTGAATACCTCCAGACCCGCTCATGAGCGAATGTCTGATTTATCAGCTCAAGTCCGGAAAGACGATGGTAAGTACAATGGTAGCTAGGCTTAGGCCCTATCAAGTGACGCATTATCTTGAAGATCGGCCGGCTCAACAGCCAAATGCCTGCCTCAATTCGTCTCAGTGGCGAGAGTATCGGGGAGCAACATTGCTACTTCGAGAACATAGACGGCAAGGTAACCCTGCATGCAATGCCTGATGCCGTCACGGTAGGTTTTGGTAGCTATTTGCCTTGTTGGTTGTTGTCTGATGTGTGATGTAGTTCTTGAACGGCCGGCAAATTACTCCAGGGCAGGTAGGTGTAGCTGTCTGGTAGTCCGGCAGTTGTATTGACGCACTTTCTTTAGACCTACAAACTTCGCAGCGGTTTCCGCATTATTCTCGGTAGGTTTCAAGCAAGTCGGCTCCAAGGACTGCTGCTCACAAGAAGGTTGATGCAGGGGAACACCATGTATTCCGCTTCAATAACCCTGAGGAAGTCCGGAAACAGCGGGACCGCGCCCTGGCGAAGTCCAATCTGTCCATCAGCATATCTGCTGCAGAACTACAGCAGCAAGCGAACGCCGAGGCTGAGAAGAGCACCAGGCCTCACTCTCCTGCCTCGTCCATTGATGTCGCTGATGTTGACTGGACGTTTGCTAAGCGGGAGGCTGCCTTCGCTCGATTAGGCTTGGACCCTACTCTGGACAACCTGCCGGACGAGGACTTGAACAAGCTCTTCGAGAAGATCACGAAGGTGAAGACCATGCGAGACCATAATGCCCGACCGCGGCCGGAGAGCAGTCTCAGTCAAGCAGACGATATCTGGAGCGAGAACGGGCGACCATCTGCTAGCGAGGTCTTCACGGACGACACGAGTGTCGACGCCATGACAAGCCACGACAGCCCGGACGTCGGTGCGCTGAAGGACGTGCAGAACCAACTCGATACGCAGCGCGTTGAGTTTGAGGCCCGGTTGCAGTCGATCGCGGAGTCGAACGAGGCCGAGGACTTGAAGGCCGAGAAGGAGCAGATGGAGCACCAGCTAAAGTTGGTGCAGAACCATATGAAGCGCCTTTTGGATGCTCGGGCGAGAGGAGAGCACGACGCTGAGCTGGAGGCGTTCGAGCCTGTCATCTACACAGCGAAGCAGCTGCGGCTTATCCGTAGGGTTCTTGACAAGTGGAGAACTCACCGGTCCTTCTCTATGGCGGAGGTCGTGCTGTCTAACGCCGTCTTCGTCAAGGAGGCAAATGTCATCAGGTTGGTCTTATCTTGATCAAGCTTTACGAAAGGTCGCTAAGTATTCCAACAGCAAGGAACTCGGCAAAGACGTTTCATACAACTTCACCGTCGCGTCTGGTGGTTCGCTTGCAGCGCCGGCGTCTGCTATCGACACAATCGCGGGTCTGGATCAGTTTGGCGACGTCGTTGATCCTGTTCTGGCATCTGCGACACAACCCTCCGTCGCTATCAAGGTTGTTGACAAGCGCAACAATGCTATCTATGCCTGGTCGTTAGATCGCCTGCAGCAGCAACTCCAGCGCATGCGCAATCTCACCACCTTCATTGACCGCCCATCCTACTCCCAACATTTCTCGTCCGAAGAGCCCTTCTACGACAACCCCCCTCCCGAATACACATTCATCGGCAATGCATTACTGTCCTTGGCACCCCTCTCACGACGACTGTCATCCAACTCTACCGTTCCGATCTTCGACCGCTACACGGCTGAAGCAATCGGTTCATGTCGTATCGACTTGAAGATTGCCAACGTTGTGCTCAACCCGAAACACGCGCACACTTCCTCCAATTCTACCCGCGCATCCTCTCCTGTCCCTGGAACCGTCCCTCCAGGGAGCAAGCTCAGCTTCGTCCTCAGCATAGACAACGTCAAGGGCCTATCGCATCATGACTTCCACTCCGTCCACCTACAAGTCCGGCTATCATCGTTCCTTGGCCCAGCAACGATGTCAGAGGAAGTCTACCCTTCATCTGCTGTAGACCTGGAGAAGTCAACGCTCTCGGATCTCAAATTCCGCCGCAGCTTCTCAATCGTCGCGTCGTCGAGGGTCCTAACATACCTCCGTCAGGGATATGCGCCGATTGAGTTCTTCGCGAGACTAAAGCCAACCTATCTGGAGCGCATGGAACGTTGGGACGAAATGCGAGAACAGCGCGTCGTCCCCAACACTAGATCCAGCTCTCCAGAGAGCAAGACACCAAGTCTGCCCCTCATGCGTAGGTCGGAGACTGACTTCGTCGTGGAGCAGACCCACGACGTAATAGCTTGGGTGCAGATCAGCGAACTCGCGCCAGATGGTTCTTATACCCCTGTCTCTGTCATGTCACACGGAAACCTGGACCCGGGAGCGTTCCAGCTGCACCAGGGTCTACAACGCCGCATCATCTTGCAGCTTTTCTCGAATTCGGGACGACAGCTGCCTTGGACAGAAGCGACGCGCGTGAAGTTGGGTAACATCCGGTTACTCGACACGAAGGGCCGCCTGCACGAAGGAAACTCCAAAGCCATGATCACATTGCCTCTCTTGCAGCAGCAACACGTCGAGTTCAGACCTGATGGTTCAGGTATCCTCTCCGCGGAGGCGCTCTGGGACTCGAGTGTGCACGATTCTATCCTCCTCAACCGCGTCACAGCACCCGGCCAGCGCATTCTTCTCCAGCTGCAGTTCTCAGTCAACGTCGAGATCTGCGCAGACCCCGTGCAGTTCACCATGGACACGGCTGTGGCAATACAGACACGAGATGCACGGCCGCCGTCTCGCATTTTCAGCCTGCTCGGCTCGACGAAGATCATCCCGAAAACAAGCACGGTCTTCACTGTCAAACTGTCTCCGCCGCTGACGAGGTCGCCCAAGGACCTCTGGCGGTTAGACACTGCGGAGAAGTATGTGCGCGGCGAGGAGTCTCTGGGTGTGTGGCGACCACGTGGGGTCTCCGTGGTGGAGGACTACAACCGACTGGTGTCCATGGAACGGCGCGCAGCGGACGTTCAGGCCGTCCGCGTTATCCTCACCTCGTACCCAGCAAGTCGCGTCACCCAAGCCGATGCCGCAGTATGGGGCTCTGAGGCACTTCTGCAGAAGGCACTCGCACTGTGGCAGAAGCGCTTCGGGCACCCAGGCGAGGTGAGATTTGACTTTCATTAACCGATGTACATTGACGTCGGCTAACGCGCATCTCTCACCCGTCAGATCGTGATCAGCCAGGACCCGATAGATCCAGAGGAGTCTAGCGTGAAGTCGGGCAAGAGCTCCGCCGGCATGCAGCCCGCGGACTCGGTGAAGCTGATCTCGTCGACAAAGGTCGTCCCGCGAAAGTGCGTAGACGCTTGCGGTGCCCGCGAGGCGTTCCTGTCCCTGACCGGTTCGTGCGTTTGCAGTGATGGCCCGACGAAGAAGGGCCATATGATGATCATGATCGACGCGAACGAGAACGTCTGGGAACGCAGGTGGTTTGTATTGCGAAGGTGCGTTGGGTTCGCAAGGGCGGGGGAAAGCCAAACTGACGATTGCATTTGCCCAGGCCGTATCTCCACGTCTACGCACACTCGAATGAAACTGAGGAAGTCAATGTCATCCATCTGGACGGGGTGAACATTGAAGTCAATCCGGAGATGGAGGCTCTTCTCGGGGTTCGTCTTCTCTTCTCATGCTCTCTGTCCTGCGCGCACGGCGTACTGACTCCCACGTGCAGAAGAAGTTTACCTTCACACTCTTTACGTCCTCGAACTCGTACGCGCTCTCCGCGTCGAGCCTCAAGGAGCTCCAGGCATGGACATCCAAGCTGGACCCTACACGTCTCCCGTCATGACCGCCACGCACCTTACGAATCTCCCTTTCGCTTTCGCTTTGCGTCTCTTATTATTCTCTTGATTATCGCTCCCTGCGTCGCTCTCACCCTATGCTCGTCTGTATCGGATTATTCCTGTCCTGCGTCTCGGTGCATCCACGTATACCATACATACACAAGCACATTCGATCTGTCCTTTCCCGTTCTTGAAGTAGGAGTACCCCGGGGGCAGCGCGCACCCCAGCCACGATATAGTTGTACATCTGATATCTACCTACTAACAGCATACCTGTCGCCTCCAACCTCGTAGTAGTGTCTACCGCAAGCCTTCGCTGCATCGCTATCCGAATACAGATGGTAAACTGCGGATGGATCCGGCAGTGTGTGAATGGCTACGTGAACGGAGCTCCTCGGAGGGTGTGAGTGGCTGGTGGAGTAGGTGCGTAGGCCAGGCGACAGTTGTGTCGTTTCGTGGGCGTGCCGTCGAGCGTACACAAGGCACCTCTTGAAGAGGTTGCGCTGAACACAGCCGCGCGTATTCTCGAAGGATGCTGCACCAGACATGGGGACCCGAGATGGCCGACGTGGATACGGGGTTTACAAGAGGTCGAAGTCGTCCAGCTGTAGGCAGAGAATGAGTGTGCGTTATGAAGCATGCGCACGGAGCGGCGTACCTCGTCGTTGTATCTCATAATGGTGCGCTTCATCTTCGACTGGTCTACCCATGTCACGAAGTCTTCCATGTGACTGGAGACACCATTAGTGGCATGGCTCGCCGGGAAGACCGCTGTTCCTCACCGAGTAACCAGGTATGCCGGGTCTGTCACTGTGTCTGGGCCTACTCTGACATGCCCCTGCTCGATGAACTTGACGGCCTGCACTCAGATGCATCAGCGCCATGGGCCATACCGACGAATCGCGCATACGACGTACCGCGCTGACCGTCTCCGCCATGTTCGACATGGTCATGAGCACCGCGAGTCTGCGGCGGCAGAACGCGGCGACGGTGAGCTTGTTCTCGACGTCACTGAGCTTCGCCTGCGAGTTGAGGACGCCCATGTCGTACAGCTTGGAGAGCATCTGGCCCTCCATCTTTGCACGGAACGGGTCTTGTGCGGAGAGGAGCGAGAGTCGGTGGGCGAAGGAGCGAACCGAACCGCATAGTTTGTTGTACCTGTGTGGACAGTGAGATGTGTGGAAAGGAAAGCGGAAGGGGGCGCACTTGTGGTAATCCTCTCTGTCCTGGATGTGGTACCGCCGCATTACCTTGATCTCGCGGAGGTTCGCATCTTGTTTCCACTGAGCGCAGGGTGGTCAGCACTTCTTCCCTGACAGCGAGTTGTTTCACATACGTTGAGAAAGTCGACCTTCTTGAGGAGCTTCTGCTCATGATACTTGAACTGGCGGACCATCCTGGACAACTGTGGCTGGACGAGGAGGGACTAGGGCATCAGGCGCCCGCGTTCACGCCTGATCTAGGATTTTTCGCGCCGGGCACGTGGATCGCAAACGGGCGTCCCGGCGAGCAGCAATAGGCGCCCATTGAGGAGGACGGACCGGCAATCTAAGTCGCTGGCCTTCGCTGGCCCACCGAGGGCCACCTCGCTGCGCAGCTTACGGCCTCTGCGTGGGCAACGGTGGAAATGGAATCCGTACCTCGCTCAGGTCGCATGTCCACCTTACGTATGTCTGAGGTAGCCTTGACGCGGGTCAGCTGCGTCGTGGTCCGCTCGGACGCAGGCCGCATGGGCTTCGTGCACCGAGGAAGTGCCACAAATATATTCGCCATAGGCTGGAGATTGTCTGTACTCTATCTCATGGGAACGCATGGCGCCGTACATGACACAGGGTGTCGAGCGAATGAATGCGGAACGGGGCTGGTGCTGCAATGCACACACTCATCACGGATGGACCTGAGGCGATATCATGTCTGCTTATCCCCGATAGTGGGTGGGATCCTCCGCGGTACGGAGACGCGGGCAGTCAGTACGGCGCGATGGCAAGCCTCCGGAATCTGCGGGGACGCTGCGTACTGAGTGTGTCTTCGTGTCCCGGGAGCGGTTCCTCGGCTGCGAGGCCACACAGCTGGACGGCGGCCCCTGATGCAGATGCATGACGATCGGGCGGAACTCCCTGGCCGCAACGTCAGTTGAGTGCTCGTTCAGGACATTCTGCGCACCAGCTGAGCCTGAGCTGAGCTATGTTGGGCAGAGAGGACGGACATTTCCGGCGGGCCGACCACGATTGGCAGGCGCACGGACCACTTGTCCTCCGGAGCTTCTGACGATAGCTGATGCTTCGCCCGCCGCCGCCTCTCCGTGCTTGTGTCGGCGACGTCCGAAGTCATGGCGATGGCCAGACTTGCGCGACGTTTATTTGAAGCCACAGGCACGATGGTCCCCTCTAGCGTAGCCGTTGGCAGCAGGGCGCGTCACGAGTAATCGCTGGGCGGCGCGAAGGTTGACAGCCGCGAGAAGGGCGCATCTCGGTCGGTCCGTGGGTGGTACAGGCGGCTGCGAGATCATGGAAACAGTCAGGCGCGAGTTGGGCATTAGGGGCAGTGCGGGCAACGCGAATGTGCCTGCTGTCGCGTACGAGACGGACACTGACAGTGAACACAACGGGGACGCGCCTCGGGCAGCCCTCGGGGGCGCGGCCACGATTGCCAAACACGGAAGCATCTGGCGGCGGATCACTGTGGCGGGCGGGGGGCGGGTCGCAGCACCCGGCGAGCTCGCTGTGTGCGACGACGAGCGCAGGGCGGGCAACCACGGCGGCGGGGGTCTCGATAAGCGTTTTACGTATAAATGGGATCGCAATCTCGCGCGTCGACTCGTGGCGTGGAAGAAGCAGTGCCGTCGCGAGCGTGTGAGTGCGTCTGCGAGCCTTAACGCTCGTCAACATCCGGCCCCGTCCTCCTCCTCTCCCTCCCCACCGCCTCGTGCTGCCTGCACCCTCCTCGACGCTGCCCGCGCGGCCAGCGACCGCACCAGCGACCGCCTCTGCTCGCTCGCACAGCCGCATTATCTTCCTCGCTCCGTCGCACGCGCCGCGCACGTCTATCGCGTAGCCAGTCGCCCTCCGCCCTTCCCCCGAGTCTTGCCAAATCCGTCGGGCACCCATTCCTGCATGCGAGAACGCGTCCATCGCCTCCAGCTCGACGACTTCACCCGAGACCTCCCTCTCCGCGCGCCCTCGACCATACATGAACGTTGTCCCCGGCGGCGACCTTCTGCGTCCGGGTGTGCCTCCGCTCGCACCGTCCATGCTGAACATGAACACGCACAACTTCATGGCCCAGCAACAGCACCACCCGCAAGGGCAGCCTCCCCAGGGCCATCCATCGCAGATGGGCCTCCTCCAAAACAACCCCAACCCGAACGCGATGCTCGCTGGCGGCCAGCCGAATAATGCAGGAAACAATCCGTCGACGATGTACCAGCTTCAGATCCAGCAGGCCAACCAGTTCGGCCGCCAGCAGGTTCTCATGCAACAAGCGCAAAGCTCGCAGAACGGCCTCAGCCGCGCGGGTCCCCAACAGCTCAACGGCCATGGTGGGCATAACCCCCCTCACCCGGGCATGGGCTTCACGAACGGTATGATGGGCCCTCAACAACAGCAGCAGATGCGCCGTGTCGCCTCTCAGCCGACGCTGAACCAGGCTGGAGGGCATATGGGCGGCATGCCTCAGGGGATGGCGGGAATGGGTATGGGCCTGAACCCAGGACAGAACTTGGCGCAGCATATGCGGCCGCCCATCCCGCAGTCGCACCTCAACAACATGCGCGTCCAGCAACCGCCCCAGCACCCCATGCAGGGGCACATCTCCCCCGATATGCAGATGTCCATGAACAGGCCGCCTCAGATACCGGGCAGCAACGGCCTCCCGCCACATCGGACGACGTCCGCTCAGCCGCACATGATGAACAATCTGGGGCAGCCTTCCGGCATGCCGCAGCAGCAGCATCCTGGCGGGATGCAGGGCCCGATGCACCAGAGCGCGTTCAATAGCGCAATGCTCCAACATCACCAGCCTCCGCAGCTGCCGGGCGCGTCCCCGCACCCAGGGGCCCATTCGCAGAATCATACCCCCGCGAACTTCGGACCCAACATGCCCATGGGTAATGGCCCGCCTTCGCAACCTCCGGCGAATAGGCAACAGCCGCCCGGAGACAATGGAATGCTCATGGGCTTCCCGAATCCGCCAATGCAACCGAATCTTCCGCAGGTGCCTCGAATACCGCAGACTGTCAATCCGTTCCCTTTCGGATCGTCGTCCACGTCGCCGAATCCACCTGGGGACATGTCACAGAATGTCGGCGGGGGGCAGATGAATGGGCCAGGGCCCGGTCCGGGGCAGCATCCTCAGCATCTGCCGACGCCTGCCCAGCTCGTCGACCGCATGAATCCTTCGACCAACGACAACTTCCCCTCACAATACAACCTCCAGCAGTCGCAGGCGAACGTACCGACGCGGCCGCCATCGCAGCAACACGCGCCACACCCTGGCTTCTCCCTTCCACCGCAACAACCCCCACATCCTCACCACCAATCTCCGCGTCCCGCTGACCCGATGAATCAACATATGGCGCAGCGGCCACGATCCCAGCAAGGGCAGCAAAGGCAGTCGCCACCCCAGCCAGGCTCCTCTCGGACGCCTAGGGTCTCGCAGCAGCCACTTCCAAACAACATGATACCCCCTCGAATACCGATGCCTCCTGGCGGACCGAACCCGCCAGGACCGTCGCAGCAGCCGCAGCCAGCTCAGCCGCCGACACAAGGAGCACCAGGAGCACCGGCGCCGTCAGCGCATCCCGTGCAAATCGCGCCGAGGCAGCAGCCGGGGCCGCCTGGTCCGAGCGCTCCTCCGCCAACTGCGTCCGGTCCTGCGCAGGGCCAGCCAGATGGACCGCCGCATCATCCGCCGCAACCTCCGCAATCTGCTGGGCCCCCGCCGCAGGCCGCGCCACCGCAGGTGTCGCGCCCAGTATGGGTGCTAGGGGCGGGTCAGGCGATTTCGAGGCTGGTGAGTATGAGCGGTGATATGGCGATGAACAGGCCATCGGTGAGTGATGCACTTGTGCGGACGCGTTCATGATCTGACGGCTTTCCGCCCACAGAGAGAACTGCCGTACTGGGAAAGTTTCGTGAGGAAGTATTTCATGCCGAAGGCGACTATGAAAATCACGCTGTGGAAGGACAATCAGCGCCAGGAGGCGAAGCCGTTTGGTACGTGCGATCTGCTCGCTCGTTCGCTTAGATGGGACATCTAATCTGACTGCTGCTCGGTTCGCTTGTGTACATCCAGAGATTGGGACCCCGATCCTCCCGCGATTCTTCCAGGTCACGACGCAATCCGGGGTTCAAAGCATGTCCCTGTCCTTGGATGGCGCACGAGAGCGGGCGACGAACAACGTGCGCGCCGTCGTGGAGTGCCCCGACGCGCTGTGGACGTTCCGCTACCTCAACGGGTACACTGTCGTGCTCAAGGGCCCGTTCACCGCGAACGTCGTCGCTGTCACCGAGCCGCAGATGCAGAACTACACTCTGCGGATCGAGAGCTTGATCTTCGACGCGCTGACGCACGAGAAACTCATCAACATCGACTCGATAGAGGGTACGCGGATAGCCTCGTCTCCGGCGGCGTCGCAGGGCATGGGGGATGTGGACCCGAGGTATGAGGAGCCACGGACAGTCATCGAGCGTGCGTCTTTCCCGGCAGAGCCTATCAATGCGTTCGGTATCCCGCAGGCTACGATGAGGTGTCTGGAGGTGCGTTTCATTCTCAGGGCGATCGTCGCGCTTGATTGACGTCTGCGATTCCAGTTGGCAGAGAGCGTCACACAGATGGGCGACTTGATCCAATTCTCAGCGTCGCAGCAGATGGGTCCGAAAGGTACGTCGCCTGTGCTTCTCAATCAGTTAGCCTTCTCATGCCCCATGCAGAAGCACTGTCCCGATACGCCGAGCGATTGCGTGAGAATTACAGGCAAGCAACGGCGGGTGAATTCAAGCCGGACCTTGGACCAAAATCCAATCTCCCAGGTCGACCCGGTCCCGGCACGAATGCGTTGGACGGAGTCAACGGTGGCGTCCCACCGACACCTCCATCTTCCATGTACCCTGGTACGCCCAGCTCGTCTTCGATGCAGCAAGGGCAAGCCCCTCCAACACCTCAAAATCCGCCACACGCGGAGCCCGGCAAACAGGGTAAAGGAAGTCAGCAACAGGCGTCCAGCCAGAACATGGTGTCGACACCAGCGTCAGCATCAACACCAGCGGCAGCACAGACGCCCGGTGGGCCGACGACTCCGGCGATGGCGAGTGCGCCGTTGAAGCGCAAGGCTGGGCAGCGGGCAGAACCCGAGTCCCCAGCCCTCGCGAACAGTGCTACCGACCCACAACCGCCGCCGGCGAAGCGGCCGACGCGAAAACGCCCGCGGACAGGGACACAAGGTGGTGGATAGGATATCGTTATCGTCTCATTCAGTCTGTTGTTTTTCTAGCTTGCTGTCGGTCGTGCAATCACTGGTCCATCGATACTCTACTCATCATTAGCATAGATATCCTGTATTCTAGTAGTCATCTGAACCGTCTGCTCTCTGATGGCGTTGTCTTATCATTGTCTATTTAAACCGGGCTGTACTGTATACTAATGCATATCATCGCTCTTGCTTGTCAACTCAAGGATAGACGTGCTTTGGTGCGGGGCGAGCATGCTTGAGAGAAGTTATACTCACTATGGAAAGGAAGCCCCGCCGATACAGACATAAGATCGGCTAACTGTGGTCCGTTCCTACCAAGTTCCTACGTACCTCAGTCCAAGGAGATGGGACCATGACCGAAGATGACTGGAAAACATGTATTGCCCAACCAATAGCGAGACATGCGAAAGCGTGATACATAGAAGTCAATAAATTGGAAGTTCATGGCTGAAGTCGCATTGATCCCCATACTTGCATCTGTGCGAAGCATCGCGGCGTCAGTTTACCCGTTTCAGACTTCATGTGGAAATGGGCGCTCGCCTTCCTGATGCGTAGAAATTGCATAGTCTCCGTTTATTATTTCTATGTGGCTCTCCTCCTCGCCCGCGGCCTCTGCCTCGCCCGCGATGTCCTCCCCGACCGCCTGCCCTCTCTTCAGGCCAGCGTTGATCAGGCGGGCCTTCGTCGTGGAACCCTCCGGCACCGTTGGGGAATTCGGGCGGGTATCGCGCCGCGTTCCAGTCGGCGCTCGGGGCAGGCTGTCCGGGGGTCTGCGGTTGGATGATGCCGCTTTGGTTCTGCTGACTCAGAGCTTGGACGAGCTGCTGGAGCTGCTCCGGATTCATGTTGGGCAACGCCTGAATGACATTCGTATCGAGTCCGAATGGTTTGGAATCCAACTGTGGTGGTGCACCAGCTGATGTACTCCCTGCGAACGCATCGCCCCCGCTCGCAGCAGCAAGCTGCCCTACCAGCTCAGCTACAGACTGTTTCGGTGGCTCGACAGCCGCTGGTGCCCCCGCAGTCCAGAAGATAGCGTCGACATCAGGTCCCGTCAGCATTACCTTGACACCCTCGTCAGCCTGCTCCTCCGCGAGCTGCGTGGGCGGCTCATCCGGACTCGCTGGTATTTGCGCTTCCGAGACGTAAAGAGCGACCAATGCTCCCTGCTCGCGCTCCTCTTGCGTGGCCTTCTCTTGACTCTCTTCCCCTCTCGGCCGAACGTCGATTTCCGGAGGCATTTCGAGTACTGCAAGGGAACGCATAAATCATAGAGTACGGTGTTATGCTAGGGATTGGCTTACAGATTGGTTCGTACCACTCGATCTGGTCATCGAAAAGATGGGCGTGCAACGCGGCACCCTCGTCTCGGTCAAGATCACGGATGTTGTGCGTCGAGAGCAAACCCTGCGTATCCGCAACAAACAGCGAGTAATTAACATACAGTACATAGCACAGTCCAGAGAAAATGAAGCTGACATCTGAAGGATCATCGTCGTATATCGCACGCTCAATGAGCTTTATTCGCTCGAGTTCGCCCTCGGGTGCCCAGGTGACACGCTTCTTTGGCTTGCCGGACGCGGTCAGGCTTGTAGCTGCAGTCGTGAGAGGTGCGGACACAGGGGCAGGTGGCGGCGTTGCTGTGGCGGGCGAATCCTTGCGAGATTTCGCCATCGACTTAAGCGCTTCCTCGAATGGGTTGAACGACGACGGTTGGGCGACATTCGGATCCAGCTCCTTCTTGACGATAGGTGGTGGCGGAGCTTTCTTAAAGCTTGGCAACCTCGGTTTTGGCTTCGGCGCAGAGAAGAACGAAGAGTCCGACTTTGCATCCTTGACCTCCTTGACGACAGGTTTTGCCTCTTTCTTGACGGCGACTGGCTTCGACGAAGTCGTCGAAGTCGAGATAGCGGCCTTCTTCGAGGCGGGTGCAGCCTTCGTCGACGCGGCCTCCGCCTTTCGCTTCTTGCCTTTCGGGTCTGACAGGTTCATTAGATACCGAGATCAGTTCATACACGGACTTCAACACACCATCGTCAACGTCCATCCGTTTCGACTCCTCGTGACTGGAGACTAGAAGCCGCCTCCATTTACGTTCCAGATTCGACGCCATATCTTTGATCGCTGTTTCACCAACAAAACACCAAGTTAGATACATGATTCTTATGCATTATATTCATGCAGGAGGAAGTGCTATCGTAAGGTATCCGACGGTCGACGCAGAGCGCTATATCAGTCTCGTACTCGTTACGTCCTCAATGCCGTACCCATTTGTGTCGCGTGACGCCACAGGTTGCGGCTCATCCATCGAGCTGCTGTCGCAATGCTGCACCATAGGGCAGCAGTTCGATAGACGGCATCGCCGATTCCCGATATGGGGAGAACACGCGTCATACCGCACTAACGATGCAGGACGATACTTACCTGGTGCAGGAGGATCTTTGACGAGCTTAACGATGATCTTGCCAAGCTTGGAAGCCTTGAGACTCTCAAGGGTCATGGGTAAGCGATCGATGGTCTACAAAGCGAAAAGGACAACGTCAGTCGTGGGACACTGCAAGATCGTTCACGGGCACTCACTTGCAGCAGAGGCATGACCGTCTCCAACAATCCACCATCATCCTTCCCAGCAAATGCAGACTTCAGCCACTCCCGAGTGATCTCCATCGCGTCTTCGTTTTCGCCCCAGGCGCGGAAGTAGTGGTTGCCGGCGTTGTCTCGCATCTTGCTCAGAATTTCCATCCTGATCCGAGGTTCCACGTCCAAAATACCGTAGTCGTCAATGTGGCCTGCCAGTTGCGCGACGGCGCCAGCTCCAGTGAATGAGGTCGGCGTCAGAAGAGGCTTGATAGCTGCTTGCAAGGCGGCCCTGCGCTGTTCGGGAGTGGGTGCCACAGGCTTCGGCGGCGCCGGCGTAGGTGGAGGTGCTCCATAGAAGGACGACGGAGGAAGCGCGCTCAGTAGGGTACTTGAAGAGTGGAGGACAGAGGGAGAAAGAGTGCCTTGCGGCTGCATTTGTTGAGCTTGGGTTTGCGATTGAAGATGCTGTGATTGATGCGGTGCCAGTCGAGATACAGGTGGTTGCTGGTAATGCGCAGACGTAGTATGAACATAAGGTGAATTAACGGAAAACGTAGATTGCTGAGGTTGTTGCTGATATTGATACTGGGCTCGTTGCTGAGGTTGCGAAAGTGGTTGGAAAGGCGAGAACGGTTGCTGGGAATGCTGATATTGTGGAGGGGGTGACGAGGCCGAGCCATTCATGGTCGTCAAAACGGGGCTACAGACACTGTTGTCAGGACAGATCTCCGGTGCAACGGAAGAAGACGCACTCGATCATCATACCCGACGATGACGACGACCCCGGCTGATGTTGGCCCGACGGCGATGCGCTTGTGGCACCATTGAGAGAGGAGTAACTCGATAGAGGGAGCTGAGGAGACGGGGCGCTCCATTGCGATGTACCATAGGCGACCGCGTTGTAGGGACCCGGGGCACTGACACTGGGCGGATAGAAGCTGTGACCAAAGGTGTAGAATGGCGTGGACGACGATCCCACGTTTGAGCCGGAGGAGGATGAAGGACCTATGTGCGATAGAGAAGGAGAGTCAGAAATGGGCCACTCGACGACACTCTGAACACGCCGGGAAGCGCCTAATTAGGGGCGTGGAAGGACATGCTCACCCGACAGATCACCCAAAAACTCGCTCAGGTCCATGCCCGCCCCCGACACCGCCGACGCGCTCGCCGGCGGATCCTTCCACTCGTCGCTCGCTGCATGCTGCCCGTCGACGTGCTGCGACAGGTCCGAGATTTGTTGCTGCAGCCACGCCGTGTTCGTGAATTCCATCTGCAGCGATTCTTTTTGTACTCGCGCTCTCAGCGGTTACACTAAACGGGCTTTATTCTGCGCAGACGAGATGGAAAGAGACGAGGAGGCTACGACGCTGACAGCCTCGCAGGATTCACCTCGCCAGTTCGTCGTCGCGTTCACCGTTCGGGATGATGGTCAGAGGTTAGGCTCGATACCGTGCTTTCAGTCTCCGCCGCTATTTGCCACAACCCCTTCCCTTTCCTGCCGCCCGTTCCCACGCTTTCAGTGCGTTCCCACACTCAGTCTGCTCTTCGGCAGGGATGCATTCAACGGCTTCGTCCGCCGCACACGCGGACCGCACAGCATCAGGTTCTAGCTCTGTGCATAAATGGACAAAGGTCATGTATCGCCAGCAAATTGCATTATGACTCAGGAACAATAACAATGTCGTAAATGCGGCCTACAGTAAGACGCGGTTTAGCCGGTTTGTTATGACCCTACAAACATCAATTGAACCAAACACATACAACGTCTAGAACCCTACTACAGCCGGCATCAAACTTCCTTCAACCGTTTGCTTACCCCCTCTTCAGTCCTTGTAAACCGTCGCGCTACACGTCGCGACGCGTCTAACGCGTCCGAACGCGAACTTCACCTTTGTATTCGCACCAAATGGCCGCCCATCCCGACGCAGGTCAGGCCGCAGCTCAGTATGAGTACATGAAAATGCAGGTATGTCGCAATGCTCAGTTTTCACCGCCTCGACGCGCCTGACTCACTGAAAATCGGACATTGCTAGTTTGCGACCAGCCTAGGACATGTCGCACAGCAGTTGCGTGATTGTGCTGCCTACGCCGACCAGCTCTCGGGGTCCGTGTCTGGAGTGCCGTACAACCCGGCTGCCATGCCCCTCATGCAGTTCCCGGTCCCGCCTGGGGGCCTCGCAGCAGTGGCTTCGCCCGCTACGGGGAAACGCAAGACGCGCGAGGTCGAAGGCAAGAAAACGAGGAAGAAAAAAGATCCTTTGGCACCGAAGCGTCCCCCGTCCTCCTACCTGCTGTTCCAGAATGAGGTGCGCTCGGAGCTGAAGAAGACGCACCCGGGCATGCCGAACAATGAACTGCTGGGCATGATAGCGAAGCAATGGTCCGAGATGTCGCAGGAGGACAAGGAGGTGCGCGTTCTCTTCCTTCTGCTGCCCTTCCCAAGGCTGACGTGTCGTATGCATAGAAATATGAGACCCTGCAGAAAGCTGCAAAGGATCGGTACTTGGACGAGAAGAGCGCCTACCAGGCGGGGGGATCTCCGGCGACCGTTGTGGCACCTGTGGTATGTACGCTTTTGCGGGCGGTGTGGTCGTAAGTCTGATATCTTACAGGCACCGCCTGTGGTGGTAGCCGCTCCGATCGCTGTGAAGGCAGTTGCTCCCACTCCGGTCGTCGCAACCACTTCGGACGACGACACGTCTGAGGACGAGGAGGAAGGGTCGTCTTCAGACGACACTTCCGACGGAAGCTCGAGTCCTCCCCCCAAGAAGCAGAAGGGAGAGCAGATTTCGAAGGAAAAGAAGAAAAAGAAACCGTCGAAGGCCTGAGTGCCAACTGGTGTGGAACAGCGAGCCTGCAGGAGAATGGGTGTCTTTGGCTTTTTGTGTAAGTACATACCTGTATCTTCTAATGTGCTTGGCCAGATCGGCATAATCGCTTTGTCCATAATCATTCGTAATTCTTGTAGCAGCGGTTGCCCCAAACGACGAATCTGTGCTTGGACCTCGTGTTAAATAATGGTTGAAGTAGTGCCAAAGCTTTGCGGTAACGAAGGGTTGTGGTGTGCGCAATCGCTAGCCTACGGTCGAGGGGTGGCACGGTGGAGGGACGCTTGTAAGCCAGGTGAAAGCCGACATTCGAGAGCATTCGGGCAGTGGGCAGTGCGACATAGGGGCGATGCGCGGCCTGAGCAGCGCTGTCTAAGTATAGCATCGCCTTGTGCTGAAGGCGCTGTGCCAACCGGCGGATTCGTAGGAATGCTGGTGGAATCGTGTTTCCGAGTCAGAAGCGTGGTGTCTTCTATTGTATTGTGGATTGTAGGAAGCGAGGACTGGTAGAACAGCATTGACTACTGGGGCATGTGGCGATCCACGCTTTGTCAAACGACCCCGGTCGCGATGCTCTGCAATAGAACGGACGAGAATGAGCATGTCGCGAGTTGAGGCGGCATTTGGCCACGGCAGCGCTAGCACGGGGCCTGCTCTGGTCATGCTGTGTGTATCATATACCCGGTCCGTAGCGAGTCTCTAGATAACTATAAAAGCCTCCTCCTGCCCTCATCCGGACATCGACGCAACCTACACCTTTCGCTCGACTCACGCCGCGATGTCTCAGCCGCCTCCGTACAGCAGCAGACCATACAGCGAGAACCAACCTCGCGAGAACCCCGACCGTCGCCCACTCCCGCCGGGCTGGATATCCCAGTGGGATTCAAAGTGCGTGCCTGGCGTCCAGCCTCTCTCGCACGCGACGCACACTGACTGACCTCCGCTGCCACAGCTATAACGCATGGTACGTTCGCACGTCCGCAGCGCGTTCACCGTCTCGCTCATTTCAGATAGGTTCTATGTGAACACTCAGGAGAATCCGCCACGATCGTCGTGGGTACACCCTCTAGGCCCACCGGGCTCGCCACGTCCTCAGGCTGGCTACGCGCCGCCCTCAGGCCCGCCACCGCCGGACAACCGCGGGTACAGCCCAGGATACCAGGGTCCTCCGGCGCCGCAGCGGTACGATGACTACAGAGGTCCATCTCCGGGCTATGGTGGCCAGCCACCGAGCAACTACGGGCCTGGCCCTGGCTATGGTGCCCCTGCTCGCGACAGCCGAGGTGCGTTGAATGTACTGATACGTTGGCCTGGTGTCTGTGACTCACGAATTGCCCAGGATGGTTCGGCAGTAGCGCGGCCTCGGCGCAGCAGCCAGCAATGATACAACAGGCCGCTCCGAAGAAGAGCGGCATCGGGATGGGCACTGCGCTGGCAGCTGGTGGGCGGCAACAACTTCACGACCATCTCGGACATGGCTGATAGATCATTCATAGGTGGCGCTGGTCTCTTGGGTGGTGTAATCTTGGAGGATCTCTGGCAGAACCATGACGAGCATGAACGTGAAGAAGGCTATGACGATGGTGTGTCGTGGTGTTCATAATGTTGAAAGATCGATGTTGATCTGCTCTCTTTCGCCAGCTATGCAGGACGGATATGGAGGGGGAGGTTTCGATGGGCCTCAGGACGACTTTGGTGGTGGTGGTGGAGACTTCTTCTAGGTCTGCGAGGTGACTACGGCAGCTTCTCATGTCTGCGCTCCACTCATTGACGTTCGTTCTAGTTCTGACGCGGCTTCTTGGTAACTTAGAAATGACAATCAACGGCTTTCTCCTTTATGCTCCTCTGCTCTGGGAACATGCAATGGACTCGTATAGATCTGTGTATAAGTACTGGGCTCGGTCATCTTTCATTGGGTGTCATTCGTATCTGATTACAGAGGTGATCGTGTCGCTGCCACCTGTGCACCATCAAGCAGCATCAAGCCGGCGCTCGCTGAAGTATTGGAGCCCTGCCTCGTGGATTGTGTTCCGATGGCAAACTTCAGCGAGCATGAGACCGCGTTGAGGTTGAGCGCCTGATGCCAAACACTGCGAGTGTTCCACTGCCGAACACCTCGAACTTTCAAGATGTGACATCTGGTTCCTGCCTGCTACCAGTGAAGCCATCATGGATCGTGCGTCAACAACATCAATTGGATGGTCTCTCGACTGATGAGTACATTGGAGTGCGAATCAAGCTGTCACCTGTAGTTGTGTTTCTCCGCTCAAGCCACGTCCGTGACGCTTCTCACTTTGTCGGTGAACCGTTGACAAGCAGACTGCATCGCCTTGCCACGTTCAGAGGCGCAGTATTCCTTATGTTCGTCCGTGAGGCGCCACCCCGCCCACGGCGTCTCGTCGAGGGCCTTCCACCATTCGCTGGTGTACGGGTGTCCTGGCGCGCCCGCATAACCCCATGGCTTGGCGGTGTACGGCTGCAGGTACGGATTCATGATATGCTCCATGGCCGGATTGACTGGACCGGTGAAGTGCACGATCGCCGCATTCTTCATCTCCGACAGACCTGCCTCGATGAGCGCTCTGTCCGCCGACTGGAGTTCAGCATATGTGCCGAGTCCCTGTGCGTTCCACTTCATCGGAAGCGGGAGCCAGGTGTCACGGAAATGTGTGTTGAGCGCGTCCTGGTCCGCGTACTCGGCACCGAGCAAGGTCTCCGCAGTAGCGGTCAGCGCGTCCCACTCCGTACGAATCCGGGCGAGGTCCATGAGGAGCACCCCAGCGTTGAAGTAGGGCCCCCTGTGCATACCCTCGTGTCCCATAGGAAAGCCGACGTCTCTGACAGTCCCGAGTGGTCTCCCTACGAGGTCGATGTCCCAGAGTGACCGTAGGTCCGCCCTGACCAGGACGTCGGCGTCGAGGTACAGAACTCGCTCGACGGGGAGCACTGGGATCATGTCAAGCTTTGCCCACGTCTTTCCTCCCTTCGCGGTGAGACCTCCCTGCGGTAAAGTGACGAAAACAGCGGTGGCGTCGTTCGCGGACTTCGTGCAAGACTCCAATCTCTGACGGTCGCCAAGCGAGAGACCGAGGTCGACGATGTAGAAGGTAATCCTGGCGGATGTATGTTTGATGCAACCTCGAATGACGACACCGGCTGCCATCGCGTAGGAGGCGTCCACCGTCAAAGCAACATGTATACCATATCCGAGGGCACGATCGAGCCCATGGCCAACCTCCCTCGCGAGGAAGCCGATTCGCATCTCTGTGGTCTTCTGCAAGACGACCTGATACTGCTCCGGGCTCGACAAAACGTCGAACTCTCCGCGGTGAAGCGTCATGAACGCGTCTATGCCGCGTTTGGGGTGATGGATGCTGTCTGCGGGCTCTTTGTCCCAGTGGTAATCGTCGAAGATAACGATGGCACCCTTCCTAGCGAGTCTCCATACAAGCTCGCCGTCGAGGAAGGTGTCATCGGCCTCGTGGGACCCGTCGACGTAGATCCAGTCATACCCGGGGTTCGGATTATCCATCTCCTCCTTCAACAGCACCATGAGGGCGGGGAAGCTGAACTCGTCGAGGATGCGGAAGCGTTTGCCGGTCAATGATAGGTTGTGAGTGATTTTGGAGTAGCGTTCTCGTCCTGCCGCTGACTGCATGAGGTCGAAGTGGTCGATACAGACGACCTCGCCGCCCTCGCCGCATAATTCCGTGGCGAGAAAGACGGCAGAACGCCCCTCCCATGAGCCGATCTCTAGGACGCGGGGGTGTGGCGACTGAACGCGCGGAAACAATATCTTCCATGCGTCGACGTTGAAGGAGAACCAGTCTTGCGTCGGGGTGAACCGGTACGATTTCGTGTCGTCTGGTGCCTCGTCAGATTGGATGCTCGCGTGTGCCATTCTGTCGGTGCGTTCAGTTAGGTTTCGCCAGTTTGGACGAAACGCAATCATCAACCTACCTACCGTATCTTTCTGGTGTAGTGCTAAGCCAGGGATTTCAGACGTCGGTGGGTACGGGCGACGAGCATCGGTGAGTCTTGCTCCCTCGTTAATCTTTGTACACGCTGAGGATTCTCGCGGCTGTGCCGGGGTGTAGCTGACTCGTCTCATGATCCAGGGCCCAAGGACTAGGCGATAGGAAGACCTCGCGGACCACGGCCTTTGTCATGTCTTCATGCTTCTTGAGCGGCGCTGCCCCTCAACCGCACGTCCTCACCGATAGAAGTGACCCTATTCTGCTTAGGTTCCGTTCAATAAGCCGCCGCCCATTTCGCAGGACGCGTTTCCCTGGGACTAGAATCAACGGTTTGCCCTGTAGTTGCGTGGTCCATGTGGAGTTCTTTGCCGATGTCAACCACACAAAGCTTATAGGACCTGGTCACGATAACTTGCGGCTAGATTCACGATGAACTTAATCCTTGACGAGGCGCGATATCGAAAATGCGCATCCAGATTATCCCTTCCTGATCATGTCCGCTCTCACACCACACACCAGCCTCGCACCGTCTTGTGTAGTTGGTGACGCTAGCCCGGCGTCTTCACCGCCTGAACCGCACAACCGATTTGCCCCATCGCTCTTCGGTGAGGTCCGGGCCCAAGTTGCAACAAGAACAATCCACGGTATATACCCGCGAGCTTCCGCCCGAGGATCCTCACCGCCCATCCTCACGTTCAACCGACATGCCCCTGCCAGACGGCCTTATACTTGTGACCGGTGGACACGGCTTCATCGTGAGGTTTTATGCGAGCGTCGAGATTATTGTTTCACTGACAGTCATCCAGGGCGGCAATATGGCTCGCCATCTCGCTGGCAGCATTGGTCGACGCAAGATACGCATCGTTGACATCTCTCGTACTGCTTATCTCGAGCCACCGGCCGACGCAGAGGTTCTGATTGGCAACCTCTGCGACCCAGCCTTCTGCAAGACGGCCGTACGTGGTGTGAAGACGGTGCTGCACTTCGCTGCCACGATGGGCGGCGTGGGTGTCATTCACTCAGCCAATGACTTCACCATTTACCAAGAGAATCACCGCATGACTCTCAACTTGCTCGCGGCCGCTGTATCCGCAGGGGTCAACCTATTCTTCTACGCGTCGTCGGCCTGCGTTTATCCGAATTCCCTGCAGGGCGCCGACAACAAGGATGTCTCCCTGAAGGAAGATGACGCTTACGCGCAGTTGCCGCCGAGTCCCCAGGGGTTGTACGGTCTCGAGAAGCTCAACACCGAAAATGTGCTCTTCCAGTACACCTCTGGCTTGAGTATTCGCATCGCACGATTTCACAATGTTTACGGACCAGGCGGAAGCTGGGTCGGCGGCCGAGAGAAAGCACCCGCTGCCTTCCTCCGAAAGGCTCTCGCTCTCAAGCGTACCGAGGCGTCGACAAAAGAGATGGAGATATGGGGTAGCGGTGACCAGAGGCGCAGCTTCTGCTTCATCGACGACGCAGTCGAAGCCATCCTCGCGCTCATCCAGTCGGACTGCGAGGAGGTCGTCAACATCGGAGACGATCGTTCGGTTACTGTCCGAGAGCTGGCGGACATCGCGATCCGCTGTGCTGACCTTAACCGCGCCGACGTGCAGTACCACTACGTGCACGACAAGCCCGTCGGCGTGGCCTCACGCAACTCAAATAACGACCGTGTACGGAAACTCTTGGGCTGGTCTCCGAAGACCACGCTTGAGGAGGGAATGCGTAGCACTGGGGGGTGGATCGCCGGAGAGATGGATCAGGCGTTGAATCACTTGAAGCAGTCGGAGCGAGCGGACGTGCTCCGTCGGTGGACGACGAGCGAGAAGATCGACTTGCAGGCCGAGGCAACCACTTTTGCCATCCTACTTCCGATCACGTCGCGAGGATCCGCGTCGCCGGACGACTGCTTGGATAATCTCGCCCGCTTCGCGCGATCCCTGGCGCTGACGACGAAGGACGACATCGCGAGGCTCGGAGTGCGATATCGCGTCCGTATCTATCTTGCGATTGACCACGACGACGACTTTCTCTTGACGTGCGGCAAGGAGGGTAACAGGGCCGAACGTGTCTTGCGGCAAGAAGGCTTGTCCCAGCTTTCGACCATTTTTTGCCACCATCCCCGGGGCCATGTATGCGCGTTATGGCGCGACTGCGCCCGTGCAGCATGGAAGGACGGTGCGGACTACATGACGTTGATGGGCGACGACGTTATCTTGCAAGACGCTTCCTGGATGTCCGCCGCCGTCGATGCATTCGAGCAGTTGTCCGTCGAACACGGTGTACCGCTTGGGTTTGGCTGCGTTGCCTTTATGGATACATCATTCCCCGGTATGCCGACCTTCCCCGTGGTGCATCGCATGCACATGGACATCTTCAAGGGCGAGGTCATCCCGGATATGTTCGTGAATCAGGACGGGGACCCATTTCTCTTCCAGCTGTACCGCCGCTGGGGCTGCTCGCGTATGATGCTGCCTCGCGTATCCAATGCTGTTGGAGGAAGTGAAGGTGCCCGATACCACAAGGTGTCCGCCGTTGGTTGGACGTACGGTCCTCTTGACGATGCGACCACCGCCGTAGAGTCATGGCTCTGCGAACATCGCCAGCTCGTCGAGCGCAAACTGACCATTGACGTCGTCATCCCGTGCTATCGGGTCAACCTCACCTACGTGCATAGGTTCCTGGCTCTACGTCCATCATCGACGTGTACCGTCATGTTCATCATCATCGTTGATGATCCTTGCTCACCGAACATCGCTGCCTTGATGGGTAGATACGCACATCGTCCAGACATCCGCATCCGCGTCAACGCTCAGAACATGGGCGCTTCTGCGGCTCGGAACAGAGGCCTCCAAGAGTCCTCCGCTGAATGGGTCCTTTTCTTGGACGACGACGTCACGCCAGAAGACAACATCCTGATAGAAACGGAGAAAGTCATCCGTACGAACCCCAGCGCAGCTGGGTTCGTGGGGACTGCTCTCTTCCCCGTCGCCGACACTGTCGCAACAGCAGCTGTTCACCTAGCAGGGGTTACTTACTTTTGGGATATTGCGAGGAAGCGCGCAGACGATAATGATCTCCCATGGGGCGTCACGGCATGTCTCGTTGCCAGGCGTCACATGGAGGATAATATCGTCTTCGACTTGGGGTTTCCGAAGACCGGCGGAGGCGAAGACATAGACTATTGCCGTAGGAAGCGCGACTTCTCCTTTGCCCACGGCGGTGTCGGCTTCTGTGCGGCACCGGACGTTGTTGTCACCCATCCCTGGTGGAAGCAGGGCCGCAGGTCCTGGTGGCGTTTCTACATGTGGAGCAAGGGTGACGGGGCTCTCGTCGCCAAGTACCCCAAGTTCACATACCGACAAGCTGCCCCGAATAGCGCGGAGTCGCTGGTCCTTTGCGCGGTCTTGACGGTCGGTGCCTGCACCATCTCCCTGTTGACGAGTGGAGCAACGAGCACAGTGCTACGGATAGCTTTCTTGGGTACTCGGGCGTGCCTCTCTCTCTTGGCCGCCAACATTGCGCATGACCTCTATCGCCATGGCTGGAGGAACGCAGATAGGACAGCGGCGCTCCATATGGCGCTAGGTGGATGGCAGTTGGTCGTGGCGATGATCGAAAGTACGTTCATCCGCATCTTCAGCGAATACGGACGTCTAGTAGGTATGCTTGAGCGAGGCGAGTACGGCGTGATAGGTATGTCCTTTGACTGGTTTACGAACCGTGCTGGGGATGGCCCAAGGCGAGAAGAGAACAAGAACCGCCTGCAGCGGGTAGCCTTGTGGATCTTGATCTTGGCGATATGGTGCGGCATGTAGGTTACCGTAGATAGAAGTTGGTAGATCCAATGTGTCCGAGTCAGAGTCGACGACTGGCAGCAGGTCTGGGTGTGGAGCGGCGAACGCGTGTGTGGCCGCTGAGTCACTTCTCGATTTGGGAGGTGTGGGAATGCCGAACGACTTAGTCAGACACGCGTCCACCAAATTGGCAACTGAGGCCCCGAGACGCCCGTGTGGCCAATTAACGCGCAAATAAATTGAGCCGCGTCGCGTCTTGTCTCCGCGTCGCGACCTTGTTCAGCAACAAATCCTGCTTGCCCCTATCCACCCTTGCTCACAAGTATGCCCCGTCCTAGGCGGACTACGCGCAGTGAGGCCTCAGCGTCGGTCACTACGACGTCAGCGACTGTGTCTCCATCGTTCAGCTCCAAGAGCTCGAAACAGTCTACACCCGCAACGTCGATAGCCGACGAGGCAGACAAGCCGGTGGTCCAGACAAGAATGTCCGCAAGGAAAAGTGTTGTTGAGAGCAAGAAGCGTGCCCGAGAGAGTGATGAGGAAGCCGAAGAAATGGCTAGCAAGACCGGCACAAAACGCAGAGTGATCAAACGTGAAGTCTACGTAGAAATCCGGGTTCCTTCCAAGGTATTCGATTTGCAGTCTAGTAGTCACGTAGCATGTGCTAAACTGGTTGTCCTTGTAGAAGTCCACCGCTGCTGTCGCGGGGTCCTCAAAAGGGGCTAGGCAGCCGGCTGCCATCAAGACTGCGATCGAAGTAGAAGAGAGCGTTGACGAGGTCCCAGACAGCGAGGAAGAAAAGGAGCTCGTGCTCGAGTCTGACGACAGTGGCTCTGAGTACGCAGCTTCTGATATCGACGATGTGCCCGAGGACGATGAGAGCAACCACTTCGACGAGGACTATGTCGAGCCTATCGACGATGAATACGTCGCGGAGGGCATCGACGACGAGGACGTCATGGTGGGAGCTGCCATTCAAGCGTCCCTTGAATCTGCTCGGCAGGACGATAGTCGTAACGCAGGCATATCCAGTGCAGGCGCAAGCTCATCGAAGCAGCGGCCCTCCACCAGCTCAGCAGCGGCCCTTCGAGCCGCTGCCGCAGAGCGTCGCCTAGCCAAAGAACGAGACGGAGCGTCTGTACAGTCTCAGTCCGAGCCCGAGTCCGAGCCCGAGTCCGAGTCCGAGGATGAGCGACCACTCGCCAAGAGCAAGGGCAAAGGAAAGGCGAAAGTCTCAGGCGCGCTCGCGAAGCTGGCCGATACCAGTGAACCGAGACATATGACGTTGGCCGAGCGAAAGCATGCTCGCAAGCTCGCTAGAATGGAGAAGTCAGAAGTCAAGCAAGAAGAGCAAAAGTTGCGCTACAAGCTCGGCCGTAAACTGACTTACGTGAGTATACAGCGAGATCATTAGGATGTATGGCTCAACTTCCCCTTGTAGGCCGAGAAGTCTACAATCGCTCTGCAGATTCATCACCCAGAGCTCAAGGACGTCTGGGGTAGTCTTGAGAGAAGTGTTGCCATCGTTGAGCCGAAGAAGGCGGAAGCACCTCCTGGCCTCAAGATTAGCCTCCTGCCGTTCCAACAGGAAGGTCTGTACTGGATGAGGGAGCAAGAGAAGGGCCCTTGGAAAGGAGGCATGCTCGCAGTAAGTATCATTGTATTGGTCGTAGAACGCGCATATTGACTTGAGATGATTATAGGATGAGATGGGGTACGTTCGCTTGCTCGGCAATATGATTCTTAAGCTGACCTTCGTTCGCAGAATGGGCAAGACAATACAGATGATATCGTTGCTTGCGTCTGATGCTGGGATCAAGCCGAACCTTGTCGTTGCGTACGTCCGTCCCACTTCATCACCCTAGCCCAAATCGACTCACACGCTGCCGAATGGCCTGTCAGACCGACCGTCGCTATCATGCAATGGCGCAACGAAATTGAAGCACACGCGGAGGGCTTCAAAGTGCTAGTATGGCACGGAGCTTCCAGGGACTCCAATGTCAAGACCCTCAAGAGCTACGACGTGGTTTGTATCATACTCCGTGTTCCATCCTGATGCTCGTCCTCATGAGATGCCTCAGGTGCTCACTACGTTTGCCGTGCTCGAGAGCTGCTTCCGAAAGCAAGAGAGTGGCTTCAAGAGGAAGGGCAGGATCATCAAGGAGAAGTCGCCGGTGCACAGTATTCATTGGCACAGGATCATCGTAAGGCATCGTAGGGAGCACCGTAGAATTCGTTAACGAACCTTTTTCACAGCTTGATGAAGCGCATAATATCAAGGAAAGGGCGACCAACACAGCGAAAGCCACGTTCGAGCTGCAGGGTACATTTAGGTGGTGCCTGTCCGGCACACCTTTGCAGAACCGTGTGGGAGAGCTGTACAGTCTCGTACGGTTCCTCGGTGGCGATCCCTTCTCGTACTATTTCTGTAAGTCCCAGCGTCCGGAGACGTGTGTCGCGAACTGACGATTCATATTTTCAGGCAAGCAATGTCCGTGCAAGTCCCTGCACTGGAAGTTCTCTGATAAGCGCAGTTGCGATGGTAAGCCCGCTGGATTTATGTATTCAGAACAGCGCTGAAAACTGCTTTTAGACTGTGGACACAGCCCCATGAAGCACGTACGTACACTAGCATGTACTAGTTATACGTGCCAGACCTGACGACCTTTGCTCTTCAGACATGCTTATGGAACAACGAAATTCTGACTCCTATTCAGAAGAACGGAATGGTCGGCCCTGGAGAAACTGCTTTCAAGAAGCTCAAGGTCTTGCTTGACAGAATGATGTTGCGTCGTACGAAGGTACGTATCTCTTCATTTAGCCCACCATCGTTGGTTGACTGTGTTGTGCACTAGTTGGAGCGTGCGGATGATCTCGGTCTACCACCTCGCACTGTAATCGTGAGGCGGGATCACTTCAGTCCCGAGGAAAAGGAATTGTATCTGTCGTTGTTCTCGGATGCTAAGCGGCAGTTCAATACCTACGTTGATCACGGTACCGTCTTGAACAGTACGTTTCAATGTCGATATTACTTCTCACGGATGCTAATCTACCATCGTAGACTACTCCAATATCTTCAGTCTGTTAGTATATCTTTCGACGTGCCGCCGCTTTCATGACTCAACTCGTGATACGTAGGCTTACTCGCATGCGACAAATGGCCTGCCATCCCGATCTCGTGCTGCGGAGCAAGACCAACGCGGGGACCTTCTTACAAGACGACCAAGGGGAAGCTACCGTCTGCCGGCTTTGCAACGAAGTAGCCGAAGACGCCATCCAGGCGAGATGCAGACACATCTTCGACCGTGAATGCATCAAGCAGTACCTGAACACAGCCATAGAAGCGAATGTACGTAGCCTCGCACTATGCCCGCATGAACGTAACGCTCAATGACTGGTACAGCCCGCTTGCCCCGTGTGCCATCTACCCCTCACCATTGACCTCGAGGCTCCTGCGCTGGATCTTGAGCAGAATGCGAAGCCGCGTCAAGGCATCCTCGGTCGCCTGGAGCTGGACAAGTGGCGCTCGTCTTCGAAGATCGAGGCGCTTATCGAGGAACTCGACAACCTCCGGCGAAAGGATTGTACCACGAAGAGCATCGTGTTCAGCCAGTTTGTGAACTTCCTTGACTTGATTGCCTATCGGCTGCAGAAGGCTGGGTTCACTGTAAGTGTTCGCGTATGCGTTCGAGAGCATACGCTCAGACTTTACCTAGATCTGCCGTCTGGAGGGAACAATGTCTCCTCAGGCCCGCGATGCAACGATCAAACATTTCAGTGAGTGCGCCGCTTCGTCCCCAGGACAAGGGTGCTGACTGCATGTCAGTGAACAACGTTCACGTCACGGTGTTCCTGGTCAGCTTGAAGGCTGGAGGAGTAGCGTTGAACTTGACCGAGGCGTCTCGCGTCTTTTTGATGGATAGTTGGTGGAACCCAGCGGTGTGTTGTCTTCATCCTGTATGTTGAAGTCTAGATCTCATCGTCGTCTCATCTAGGTCGAGTATCGTGAGTGCTTACGTAGACCTGCTGGACGAATTATTTCTCATATCCTTTGCAGAGGCCATGGATCGTATACATCGACTTGGTCAACATCGGCCAGTCGAGGTTGTCAAGTTGGTCATTGAGGACAGTATTGAAAGTAAGATCGTACAAGTAAGTGTCTGGTTTAACGGCTTTTGTCATCGACGCTAAGCAGGGACCTGGGTGTAGTTGCAAGAGAAGAAAGCAGCGATGGTAGATGCTACACTCTCAACGGATGATTCGGTGAGTACATTTGAAGTCGGGACGTACCACTTGAGTCTGAAGGCATATGACAGGCTATGGGACGCCTCACTCCCGAGGATGTAAGTTTTGGTGTCACATTCATTCGAAATTCATTGCTAAGCGTCATTGCTTTTGTATGCAGCTTGGCTTCTTGTTCAGGGTAAGCTTCTTTGGCATCACCTGGCCGCACATCGTCGCTAATAATACGTTTAGCTGTGATTGCAAATTTGGCGACTGAAAATGTCGAGAAATCGTGCCCGAGTCCCAAGTCCCATCAACGTTCCGCTCTGTCTTGCTGCATCGCTGTCGTAGGTCCGTTAACGTCTTAATTATTGCCTGCTTGGCGCATAGAACTACTCTTCACGAAATTGTATGTGGGCTTTCTAGTATATATACAAATTTGAGATCGATGTGCACTGCTTATCGCTCAGAAAACGCCGGGTACCAGCTTATACTCCGTCTTCTGCGCCCAGTTGTCCCACTGTCCTCCAAATTCCTTGCGGAGTACTTCATCCTCCACCGCAGTGCGCGCTATGATTCCGGCTGGTATGATGCTCAGTATGCCGAGCCAAAGGCAGCCCATCACTACGCCCACGGGCGTTGACCACAGCCTTAGGTTGTCCGTCCAGTACGAGCCCGGACCCAGCTGCATAAGCGCCATCCCGGTGAGCGCCAGGATGCTTCCTGTGTACGCTGGGTGACGGACGATGGAGTATGGTCCGGTGGTCACGAGCTGGTGGCCCTCGCGAAGGGCGAGCTCGAAGGTGAAGAAGCGGCCGAGGTGTCGATAGCAAGTAGCCCGGATGAAGGCCCCGGATGCCAGCAGTAGCCAGCCGACGACGAATGTGCTGGTGAGGGTGACATTCCTTCCTGTGCTGGATGGGAGTTCCGATGGAGCGGAAAGGAAGTGCGAACGGCTGTACTGCAGGCTTATTTGCAACGATTCACAGAGCAAGGTGAGGAACATCGAGGGCTGCGGTCAGGGTCATTAAGATAACGAGGCGCAGCGATCGAAAGGCGTACTAGGACTAGCAGAGGAGGCACCCATCGGATAATTGCCCTGAATCCTCTGGTCTCGAGTCCGGTGAACTTCTTCTCCTCGCACTTCTTCGGTGGTGGCTGAGGCGACTTGCCACACTGATTATGGGTCAGAACATTCCATGTGAAGCGAATAATCAGGCTCACTACTCGAACAAAATATACCGCGGATAGTAACAATAGTATCTTGTAAAACAGAGCGTCAGTCATCTGGTAGGGGCAGCGGTCTAGATGAAGTCTGGCAATGACAAAATTTGTACTGCTCAGATACCTTTATATATACGCATTGTGGACCCTAACGCTGTCGAACAGCCTACAGGCTCCTGTGTCTGAGTCGCTTACAAGGTGGCTGTCAAGGTCATTCCACGAGCATTGACAGTGTCCGATTGACAGACGGAACACGAGCCTGTCGGATGTTCCGCATCGGACATGAGAAATCCAGCGAACTTGAATGGAATGTAGCATGCCAAAGGGCCGCGATGACCGTCATCATACTACGAGAATGGAGGGTGGTTGGTCTCGATTCGCGCAGAATGCACGTCATTGTAAGGTACCTAGTAGACGTGATAGAGTTAGTTTGATTATCTGACAATCTTATGCAAGTGATCAGACAAGCAGTGAAGACAGCCAGCCCAGCTGAGCAAGATGCTACGCCTCTCTGCTCAAATGATAGGGTCTTTCCATTCTTCGCGCCATAATAGGGGTGTCAATGCATCGTTGCCGTGGCACATGTGCGTCACCGACCAATGCACTGATGCTGTCGATGTGGCGGTGGTTCATAGTCCGTGGTCGTTGGCGTTAAGCTATGAGCAGCGCAGATCATTATTTCATGTACTGTCCCGAGCTGTCGGAATGGGTGCCTCTTCGGAGACCTTGACAGTAGATGCTGAGCCAAAATTCGTCGCTAATTTGGACATCGCCTTCCCAGATAGCGCCAGCCTGAGCACAGCAGTGACAGCACTGAGCAAGTTACATGACATGACATGGCGGATCAAAAACAGCCTTGCAGTAACGTGCGAGGGCGCCTAAGTTGCGTATTCTGGTTCTATGCCTCGCTGTCGATGAGCCGAGAGTATCAGCACTCATAGAATTCAAGCGATGCAAGTGCGAGGTGGTGGTCCGTGATATGAACCACAAGGGTTTCCTCATTTGGCCTCGGTAATTGCCCTGATCCGACTGGTCAGCGCTTCAGCACGAATCACATGCCGCCGATGATCGCGACGAGCGCTTCGCGTTCCCCACTGCGCCCCCACGGGGACTTGGAGTTGCACGGGCCCGGAGTACTTGACAACTGCCGACCTAGTCGGACGTCCTCTCACCACCCAGTCTTCGCGAAGTTTGACCCATGTCGCAGGCAATGAAGTCGTTCACAGTGGACGAAGTGGCTAAGGTGGGTGTCTACCTTCATTCTAAGATGTGACTGCCAGTGGTAGAACTCACGAACGCTGTTAGCACAACAGAGAGGGTGATGTGGTACGCAGAACAGCCGCATTGTCATCTACCCAGTCTAACGTGCTGTAGTGGATCGTCATTGACTCCAAAGTATACGACATATCCAAGTTTGCGAACCTGCATCCAGGAGGGACTGGGGTCCTCTTGACCGAGTCGATTGGTAAGCCCCTGCTACGTCGCAATTCTGAGCGGGGCTCAACTGCGTTATCAGCCGGAAAAGATGCTACGCAAGCATTCTTTGGTCTCCACCGACACGAGGTTCTCTTGAGACCCCAGTACGCTCGGCTTCAGATCGGTACCATAGCCGGAGAGGAGCCAGCCATCAAACCACTTGCCACCGACGAGCCTTCGCGTGTCCCATTCGCCGAGCCGTCATGGCTCTCGTCTGGTTACTTCAGCGCGTACTACAAGGACAGCCATAGGAAGTTCCAGCGAGCCATGCGGAAGTTCGCCGTGGAAGTCGTGTACCCAGATGCAGTCAAGTGCGAAGACAACGGCAAGCGGATATCCCAGTCTGTCGTAGATCAGTTGTGGTGCGTGTTCTTCGTACCACATAGACCCGCAAGCGTGTGAACTTTTGTCAAGCGCGATGAACATCCCGGCAATGCGACTGGGTCCTGGCAAACACCTGAAGGGTCGTTCATTACTGGGAGGGATCATCTCATCCGACGAGTTCGACCATTTCCACGAGGTATGATCTGTTGTCCCGTGTTGTTTCACAACCAGACTTAACCACGAACAGTTGATTGTCAACTTCGAGCTGTCCCGCTTTGGCACGCGTGCCTATGTAGATGCGCTCTTAGCGGGCGAGGTGATTGGCCTCCCGCCGGTGCTCAACTTCGGGTCGCCGGAACTCCAGGCAAAGGTGGTACCCGAAGTGCTCGACGGGAAGAAGTTCATCTGCTTGGCAATCAGCGAAGCCTTCGCGGGAAGCGATGTGGCCGGCCTGCAGACGACCGCGGTCAGAGAGGGGGATGAATGGGTGATTACAGGCACTAAGAAGTAAGTAAATGCTTCCGAGCGTAAGTCATCAGCGTCAGCCATTGACCGCAATGTTAGATGGATCACCAACGGAATGTTCGCGGACTACTTCACCGTCGGATGCAGGAGTAAGGTACGATATCAACATTCTAGAATGCTGGGCTTCCCGGTGACACACACATCATTTACCAGGATGGCTATGTCGTTGTCCTTGTTCCACGATCCGACAATGTCGAGACCAAAGCCATCAAAACGGCGTACTCATCGACTGCTGGCACTGCATACGTCACATTCGAGAAGGCTCGCGCTCCAGTCGCAAATACGTTGGGCAAAGTCGGTCAGGGGTTGCAAGTCATCCTGAGCAACTTCAACCACGAGCGATGGATGATTGTCTGTACGAGTCTGAGTGCGCAGCGATTGGTGGTGGAAGAGTGCCTGAAGTGAGTCGTCTGACTGATCCTGACCTATACGCCTGACGTTGTGGCCGGTAGATGGGTGACCCAGCGAATAGTCTTTGGTAAGCCGCTGAGCTCGCAGGCCGTCGTACGCTCAAAGCTTGCGAGTATGATCGCTCGAGTGGAAAGCGGCCAGGCCTGGCTAGAGTCCATCACACACCAGATGAACAACGTGCGTGTTTCCGCCGCATCGCGGCAGATGAGTGCTCTGACGTCAGGCCTTCATGCAGATGGCATACCACGAGCAGTCCGACAAGTTGGCGGGACAGATCGGTCTCCTGAAGCAGTACGTCTGATGCAATGCATCTCGCGGAGACGACGATCAGGCTGAGCGTTCCGGGCTATTGTATAGGTTCATAACACGCACAGGCCGTGAGACTGCAGAAGATGCCACACAGATATTCGGTGGCCGGTCCATCACGGCAGGTGGCATGGGCAAGCTGATCGAGAATGTGCGTGTTTTCTTGCTCCGCTTTTCTATTGCGCGAGTCTGAGACACACGCTTGTGCTGCCTAGTTCCATCGCACGTCACCGTATGATGCTATCCTCGGTGGCCAGGAAGACGTCCTGGGTGACTTGGGCGTACGGCAAGCGATAAAGAAGATGCCCAAGGGCGCGAGGTTGTGATAGCTGTCAAGAAGTCGGTGCACAGGTTCTCCCGCAACCTGGTCGTCATATCATGCATCTCGTCTTGTATACGTTATGTAGTAACGGAATACGGTGGCTCGGACGATTTCTACTGTGGAGTAGGAGGGAGCTTCGTGGTGCCAGGGCGTGTCTGGACCATTGGCAGTGCCATCGCATTATCGACATTGGATCCGCGAAATGTATCAAGGCCCGAGGCCTCGCGTTCACCACCTGAGCTGCCAGCTGTTCAAGTTCATTCAATTGGCCTAGGACCCAATGAAGGAGGAACGTTACCCCCCTACATGCTGATACTCTATCTCCTAGGATTCCAGCGTACTAGTACTGCCAGTGATTGAACGGTGACAGCAGCTGGAGTCAAGAGGCTGGAGTTCGATCCGAATCGTGTATAACGGGCGCTTCACTTGTCTTGTTCTGCAATCATCCAGCCTTCGGAGCTCGATTGCCAGGAAATTGTCGCCGCGACTTCACTTAAGGTAGTACTAGCCAATCACAGCTTCTTGCCTACCCTTCACCTACAGGTATTAATCGCGGCGTTCCGGTCTGCAGGGGACTGGCCTAAGACTTGCGAGTCATGTCGGAAGAGGATGTTCCACCCAGTGCGGATGCAACCGACGGTCATCTACACTGGATGAGAGAAGCAATGGACATGGTAACGTTAATCTTGTGACCTTCTTTATCGTCTAGCTGAACGATGGTGTCAGGCAGAGGAAGCTCTGGCGGCTGCTGAAGTGCCCGTGGGCTGCGTTTTCGTAAGGGACGGAAGAATCATCGCCAGAGCACGTAACCGCACCAACGAGCTGCGTAATGTACACCCTCTCGTCCCTAGAACCTTGTGTGTGCACTGAGGGCCCTTCCATGCACAGGCAACGCGGCACGCTGAGTTGGAAGCAATCGACGAGATTCTTGCGGACGCGACGCTAACGCCCGCGGTGACTCAGTACCCGCTATCGGAGACGACGCTCTACGTGACGGTCGAGCCCTGTATCATGTGTGCGTCCGCCCTCAGACAGATGGGGATCAAGGAGGTCTTCTATGGTTGTGGAAATGACCGCTTCGGAGGGTGCGGGAGCGTCCTCGGCGTGAACAGCAAGTGAGCGCGCCACGCAGCTGTCTCTTCACGGTAATGCAACTGACCGGGTGACCTATATCACATAGGCTTTCCCACCCAATCCATGCGCCATACAAGGCGCACGGTGGATATCTACGGGAAGACGCGATCTTGGTACTGCGACGGTTCTACATCACCGAGAACACCAACGGTAAGAAGGCGGTACGGACGAGAGGTCACGGCGCTGACGACATCATTATTAGCTCCGATACCCAAAGCAAAAGGAAATCGAGTCTTAAAGACGGACATCCTTCCGCGATCGTCTTCGGGAGACCGGGATTGATGCTCTGACTCGGAGGCGCACCATCGGATTTGGTTTGGTGCTGCAGCACTGTATCGTCGTCGCTCCACAATCGGAGAGGCTTCTCTGGCATTGTGTACCTGGCCAGACTTTGAGTTGCTGCTTGTGGGTACCCCTTAACAGCCGATGTGGTACCCCGCATCCTCCAGATGACTTGCGGAGCTACAGTTGCCATCCCTTGACCCTGACAGAGGTTCGATGTAGAGATGGACACCCACGGTGGTCGGAACAAGAGTTGCTCACCGGTAGCTGCGCGTATCCCGGAGGTCGGTGACCAGGGGCTGATGATGGCGAATAGCAGTCATAGGATGCAGTGATACAAAGCCTGCTTTCGAACGATGAGATTCCTAGATGAGATTACTACTAGCGTAGGGTAGGTCAACAAGATGACATGGTCTAGACATGGGGATCTATGTGTTTATGGTTCATTGTGCGTTTGCAAAAGACCGCAGACCGCTGCTGCCTGGCGCTCCGTATCGCTGAACATGATACTCGAGTCCCGCCAGGTCTCAGCTAATTCCGCTTTCCTCGATGGCACGTTTCCGCTCCTCCTTTCTGGCAGCGGACGTGCGCAACAGCCAAGCGAGATTCTCATACACAACAAACGTGACGCACGTCCCGGGCAGGACGCGCACCAAGTTCGTGCCCAACCCTCGGTAAAATCCACGCAACCCCTCCTCGGCAAAGGTACGCTTGATGCATGCTCGGATTGTGGGGTACAGATGCGCCGTCGCGTTGTTCTATCACCATGCTCAGCGCTGATATAAATGAGCTTCGCACAGCGAAATACCGACCTGTAGACGTGATCGGACTACTTGATACGGGTACGTCAGTGACAGGGCCCAAAGCTTGCTGGCACCTGACATGATCGTGTATGAGGTGTTAGACTGTAGGCTCTGCGTCAGAGGGGCTAGATCGGTCTGCCAACTTTTCATACCAGTTTATCGTCGGCTGGCGTGTATTCTTTGCCGTCTTTGGCGAGCTGTTTTCTTTTGCGCTCGAACCCCCATTCTTTCATCTTCTCGTATGCCATGAACTGCATCGCGCCATTGCTTACGCCAAAGAGTGCCAATGATGTACCCCGATATAGGCCGCGTGTTCCTTCCGTCCTATAGATGGTTCTGAGGCCGTCTGGAGTACATGAAACAGATTGTCAATTACGCGAACAACATGACCCGAGCGGTAAGCCAAAACTTACCCCAAAGACCTCGGTAAGACTGCGGACTGTCTGCGCGCGTGGTGAACATTCTGACTTTGACGACCCATATGGGATTTGTCATAATGGCCGTCACGGCACCTGTGCAGGCAAAAGTTAGAGTCTCGGGAATAGAAGAACTTCTAGAGACTGCGAACTCGCTTCCGCAGAATATAGCAGATAAGAGCCGGAGGAGAGTTTGTAGTTCGGATCCCCTCCCGTGGCCCGGTTCTTGAGCATGTTGTAACTTCACGGCTGTCAGGGGAGGTGCAGCGGTCTGATATGGTGACACTCACAATAAGAAATAGAGGCCCCAGCTGGAAGCATTGCCAGCGATGTTGGGACCGACACCTCTATAGAGACCTCGCCATCCTTGCTGTGTCTGGATGTCCTTGAGCGACAGCCAGATCTGTTTTCCGAGGCCACCTCGTGGCCGGTCAGTCGCTACTTGGAATTTGATTTTGAGGAGGTCCAAAGGGTGCATGCATAGCACCGCGACGACACCAGCTCCCAAGCCAGCGAATGCATGGTCCTGTAATGAAGGCGGTCGTGAGGTCGTGAGACGCGGTCGCATTGCACATGGGAACGGGCAGCTTACTATCGCGGTCGTCGGGAAGAAACTGGGAGGTTGCTGCGACATGCAAACCCTGCGGGTGGGCTAATGGGATGCAGCGCAGTGGTAGGGAGCGGGCGACATCCAACGGCGGCTACCGCGGCTTTGCGAGACGAGCGCACAATTTCGCCCTCGCGTCATCAGTGTCCATAAGAGGCAATAGATAAGATAAGATGGGCTCTTTGACTGGTCGGCGCGGGAAGGCCAATCCCTGTTCCACGGCCAGCTGTCAGCTAAGCACACCGACTCGCGTAGAGTCGCGTCGAGGAACGAAGTGTGTCGGCCAACAACGTTGGGGAGGTGTGTCATGTCTTCCATGATGCAAGCAGCACGTCGAGATTGACCCGGATCGCAACAGCATCTTGTCTCGCAGCGTTACATACTAGGCGCGTATGAATATTGAGTCACGCCGCTGATTTGGGTCTGCCAAGTTGGGATTCAGGTGGAGATTTACCAGGTTCTGCCCCTCGGAGAAATCGATACTGATTCACGCCCAGATAGAGTCGATAGACAGCACATGCTATGCGTGGTGCTCTCTTACGTGCTCCGACAGCTGTCGGGTTCTTAAGACGCGCCCTAGTACGAGCCAATTTACACACCACGTCCGTCCGAGCCATGCCACCACGCACCCCATGGACCCCCAACCGCTACCCCCCATCTCGTCGCTCGGACCACGTTGACGTGTACAAGAGCGAGTCCAAGAGCGAGGTCCGCGTCGCCGACCCGTATCAGTGGCTCGAGCAGCACTCCAAGGAGACTGAACAGTGGGTGGACGCCCAAGAAGCGTTCACGCGAGCCTACCTGGATCAAAATCCTGAGCGGCAGGGTCTAGAAGACGAGATCAGGCAGAACGAGAAGTTTGCTAAGGTATGTCTGCCAAACTTGGTCTTCCACCTCCGTATACTGAACTATCGTCGTAGTTCTCCTCTCCCAGTTTGAAATACGACAACCGCTGGTACTGGTCCTACAACTCCGGATTGCAGGGCCAGAACGGTGTGTAGCGGATCATCGGCTGCAGCAGATTTGTTCATGAGGCTTTTCTGCGCAGTGATCTACCGTTCCACAAATGAGAAGCTTCCAGACGTCAGCAGCGATACGGGCCCAGGCGGCGAGGTATTCTTCGACGTGAGTATTTGGTAGTGTGGTCCACTTTCTCCGGATGACTGATCATTGTCCTACTATATGCCCCGATAGCCGAACCTTCTAACCACGGATGGGACGGCAGCAATAGCCGGCAGTGCTTTCGCTCGCTCAGGGGAACTTTGGGCGTATGGTATCTCGCGCTCGGTGAGTTGCCGTAATGCGACCTCGTCATGGCGTTTGCAACTCACGCGATGTCAGGGAAGTGACTTCTTCACGGTATACGTCCGGCCGACGTCTGCACCCTTCGCACCGAAGGAGGGTTCAGACGCGCTTCCTATACATACGGAGGGTGCTCTGCCAGATGAGATTCGCTTCGTCAAGTTCTCGGCCATCACGTGGACAGCGGACTCGAAAGGGTTCTTCTACCAGGTCGGTGCATAGTATTCGTGTTTGCGTGTTGTTTAGCGAGAGATCGACCGTGCGTCAAGGATTGACAGTGAATGTTAACACATGAATCGTCTAGCGTTTCCCCACGAGAGAGTCTCATGGATCTGCAGACGAGGACAAGGCCGGAACGGAGACGGACGCCGACCAGAACGCGATGTTGTACTACCATCGCATTGGTACTTCGCAAGGTAGGTAGATCGGTTCCTGCAGCATGCTGGAAACATGGGGTGCTCGGTACGACGCTCATGGACTCTATACCTGTGTAGCGGAGGATGTTCTGGTGGTCAAAGACGACGCACATCCAGAATGGATGTGGCATGTAGACGTATCAGAGCTAGACGGACGCTACTTGATCCTTTCTGCTAGCCGCGACACTGCCAGGGTATGTAGTGCTTCAGTCAGGAACCTCTTATTGTCTCCTAGCTCACGCCGTGTTGTTCTCTAGAAAAATCTTGTGTGGATAGCAGACCTCGAGAAAACCTCCATTGATCAGAACATCAACTGGGACAAGCTCGTCGACGATTTCGATGCTGAGTTCAACTAGTATGTGTCTCGTCTGGCCAATGATGTCAGTCGCTGACTCAGACAATTGCTGGTGATTCGGGATTAGCATCGCAAATGACGGTACCAAATTCTACCTGATGACCAACAAGGATGCACCCCAGTACAAGCTCGTCTCCGTGGACCTCGCTGACCCTCCAGAGAAGCGTGTCTTCCGCGACGTCATCCCCGAGGATAAGGGCGCACACCTCGAAGACGTGATAGCGGTGAACCAAGACTTCTTCGTCGTCACGTACAAGCGCAGCGTGCGTCCGTGCTCCGCGCCCCGCTCACCTCTCGTCTGAGAACCCATTTATATAGGTGATAGACGAGATCTACGTGTACGACAAGTCGGGCAAGCAGCTTTCCCGAGTCGGTGCCGACTTCGTCGGGGCCGCGCGGGTCTCAACGAGGCGTGACCATACGTGGTTCTTCGCGCAGCTGATCGGCTTTACGAACCCCGGGATCGTCGCGAAGTATGACTTCACGGAGAAGGACGAGGCGAAGCGCTGGAGCGTGCACAGGAAGACCGTCGTCACGGGGCTGAACTCTGATGACTTCGAGGCTAAGCAGGTCCGTTGGCTGAGGTCATGGCTTTGCGGCGACTGAACGTGTCCATGCGTAGGTCTGGTATGAGAGCAAGGACGGTACGAAGGTCCCGATGTTCGTCGTCCGGCATAAGGACACCAAGTACGACGGGTCAGCGCCAGCCTTCCAGTATGGTGAGCAAAAATGCAATGACCATTATTTCTAATGTTCCCAATCATAATCCACGTGTGACCTGCAGGCTACGGCGGCTTCTCAATTGCCGTTTCTCCATTCTGGAGCTCACCCATCCTGACGTTCTTGCAGAAGTACGGGGCTGTCCTGGCGGTGCCTAACATCAGAGGTGGCAGCGAGTTCGGCGAGGAGTGGCACCTGGCTGGCACGAGGGAGCGCAAGGTCAGTGTCTCCATCCGCCCGTGATCATCGCTGCCTATGGATCGCTGAACGCGTTTGCCTTAGCACAATTGCTTCGATGACTTCATTGCCGCATCGTAAGTTTTGAAACCAGATCTGCATCGTTAGTATCTGACCTAACATCAAGGGAATACTTGGTTGAGCACAAGTACGCCGCGCGAGGAAAGATTGCGATCAACGGCGGATCAAATGGAGGTCGGTGCGTTCTCTAGCAAGGGCCGGCAGGTACTCATTTTCGATAGGTCTTCTCGTGGCTGCTTGCGTAAACCGAGCACCGGAGGGGCTCTTGGGTGCTGCGGTCGCTGAAGTGGGTGTACTTGATCTCCTCAAGGTAAGCTACGACCAGACTTTGGATGGCGCATAATACTGACTACAATGCTAGTTCGCTGATTTCACAATCGGTCAGTAGGCTGCGCCGATTAGACGATTTTCGCGGGCCTCATTGCGTTGCAGGTCGAGCATGGACTTCTGACTACGGCGACCCGCATGACCCACACGACTTCGACTTCATATACCCGATATCTCCTCTGCACAACGTTCCGACGGGCAAGGTGCTTCCTCCAACAGTGCTCCACACTGCCGACCGTGCGTGTCCAGTTCATGCCCTGCTTATCTCGCTTACCGGACATGGACAGACGACGACCGAGTGGTGCCCCTGCATTCCTTCAAGCACGCGGCGACCTTGCAGCACACGCTGCCCAGCAACCCGCATCCTCTGCTCATTCGCATCGACACGAAGGCTGGGCACGGTGCCGGAAAGTCTACCGACAAGAAGTGAGTCGTCCTCATGCTTGTCACCTGGTGCGCGATCTGACTGACGGGTCGCAGGATCAAGGAAGCGGCGGACCGCCTCGGCTTCATAGCGCAGTCGATGGGCCTGGAGGCAAAACGCGGTTAAGGGTGCTCTGGTTCTGTCCGTGAAATGTGTTTTGTTGAACGGGTTTCCTGCAGACGGTTGGTTCATCGGCTGTGATGTGTCTGGACATTACGAAAGTAGATACTGAACTCTCTGACAAGAGCGATTTTACGATCTAAGTACTATTCGGAGAATAACTGCGCACGCTCGACGATACAGCGTACCGTTAGATGGGGTGAGTTGTGAGCGGGTCAAAATAAGTGTGAGTTTACCGCAACACCGTTGCCTTACGGCACAGTCTGTACGGTTGAATGTACAGCCTTCAGTTATGCATCGTCCAAAGGATGTCCAGGCCAACTTTCTGAATTTTGAGTGCTATTTGAATGGGGGGCGAAGCGTGGCCGGTGTTTGTGAGAAGTGTCCGAGTCATAGACCCTCAAGCCTGAAACAGGTTATCTGAGATCTGGCTCAAGCACAGGCGTTGATTTCCACAAATGGCAACCGGCTGCAAAGCGTCATTGCCGAGCTCACAGACAGCCTACCTACTCAGACTGTACTCAGCTGTAACAGCTCATCTGATAGTCTGATCAAAGCTCAAGTACGTCCTGCTTTCCTTGGTCCTTTGAGCCTTGCTCACTATATTACCTTGTGGTCGCAGTTCATGAACGTGTTACGAGCTGCCACGCGCGGCTTGCTACGTCAGAGCGTGGTCCATCCCTTCCGTGTCAGACCCATCCCTTCAACGTCGCGGCTTGCACATACGCCTGCACCTGGCACCGGCAGGAACAAGAAGAAGGGTTCAAACCTCCAAGCGCGTAATGAACAAATCCCGTATCGCGTCGTCAGAGTAGTGGACTCGGAGACGAGCCGCCTGGGCGACGAATGGGTCGCCCTCTCGGACATCCTCGCAACAATCAAGCGGAAGGAGTACTACGTCGAGCTCGTCGCCGAGTACCCCGAACCGGTCGTGAAGGTCATCAAGTCGAGCGTGGTCTACAACAAGATGCGTGCACGGGCGGAGCGGCAGAAGGTGAAGCGGGAGGAGAAGGAGGTGCAGATGTCCTGGGCCATCTCGTCTGCGGATCTCACGCGCAAGCTGGAGAAGGTCAGGAAGGAGCTGGAGGCAGGGAACCGGGTAGACCTGGTGTACACGCCGAAGTCCGGGCAGCCCAAGCCTACCCCAGCGCAGGTGAAGAACCAAGCAGCAGAGATGGTGAAGGCGCTAGAGGATGTAGGTGAAGAATGGCAGCCACGGACGTCGACGAAGACGACACTCGTCATGCACTTCCAAGGGCACAACGAACCTTCGGCGTCGAAAGATGCTGGTTCGAGTCACAAAGCACGGTGGGAGGAGAAGAAAAAGAAAAAGATTGAGCGGCGGGAGAAAGAGTTGCTCAGGCAGAATAGGTACCCAAAACAACCGCAGTTACCGACATCCTCAGCATCATGACATTCCTCTTGCCCATCACATTTGCCCTACACATTACATTAGACACAGTACATCTACTTATTAGTTGCTTTCGAACGACTGCGCGACTTAGTCCGATGGTGATGACGAGGAAGAGGCAGTCCACGAGTTTTAACAGTGACGAGAGCATGAGAGCGGAATCGCGCAGGCGGCGCTGGGAATGCATACCTCCTCCTCCTGTCGGTCCTTGTCCGCCCTGTAGAGTCCGCGACTTGGTCCCAATGTCCAACAGAGCTGGCACGGAAGCCCGGTGGCACTGGCAAGCCTGCATCAACGATGCCTTGCATGACCTCTTGCAGAGCAGCCGTCCAGCCTTGCCCCTTCACACCCTGGCGTTGCCAATCACGCCAGGCCAAGTTCAGACATTTGCGCCAGCACCGCGGAGTCGTGTGCCTTTCCCGCGATGCCATGCTCAGCTGCCGACCGAACAGATCCAGCGCCTCGTTGAAGAACCGCTCGTCAGGAGCAGGGAACCGGCCCTTCCACGCCAATCGAGGGCTTTGCGTCTTCGCCATCGCCAGCAGTGCGCGGTAGAGCGACAGACCAGCAGAGACCATGCAGCGGTGCAGGAGCGCAGAGACACTCCGCAGACGCCTGCGCCTCTTCGAGTACTTGGACAGCTGCAGCTTCTGCATCGTCGCCACAAACGCCGCCCATCCAGGCAGCCCGCCTCTGAACAGCGGCACCCACGCGTTCTCGTCCGCCTGAAGGGCCTTGTCCAGTACCGCTTGCTCGCGCCGGTTGAGTGTGATGGCCCTCCTCGCTTCCTGAGCGTAGCAGCGCATCATTGAGGTGTACGCATGCACGGGAAGACACCAGGGCTTGACATCTGGCACGAAGTTGGGCAGCCAGCTCGCTTTCTCGGCTTGTTTAGCTAGCAGCCAGACCCTCTCCGCCGCTCCCGTTGCCTTCGCTTTCGCCAGCGCGTTGAGCAATGCAGAAAATACGCGGGGCCCGTGGCGCACTGCCTGTCGCAGGTACCGCTTCCTGAGCCCGAGCGACAGTCGCGCTCGTTGTCGGGAGTCGTCTGTATGCCCCCACGTAGGGTGATCCACAATGGCCAGCTCGGGCAGCATGCGGAAGAGAACATTCACGATGACGCCGGGTTTCCCAGTAGCGGTAATGTAGGAGATGAAGCTGACGAACGTGTGCGCATCTACTGTAACGCACTGTGCGCCGGAAAATGCCTCTGGAACATCCCAGTCCTCCTCTGATAGTCGTCGGAGTACTCTGGACTGTAGTGTGTAGGACTGAGGGGCCGAACTGCTCTCGTTGTCCCGGGATGACTTAGCCGCTGGAGGGTCCTCAGCGCGCCGCTGCGACCCAAGGATCGGTGCGGGAGCAGCAAGGGGCTCCTCAGGATCTGGCCGGAGCACTCCTGGTCGCGTGCTATGCTGGAGGACATCTGCACCCTCCGCCCCAGCTATGTTCGGAGGGGCGCAGGCCTGCAAGGTGGGGACAGACCGTCCGTAGCCTCCACGCAGCGCGCGGAGAGCAAAGTCCGAGATATCCTTTCTTCGTAGCAGCGTACCGGCGCGGAGGAGCGTGTTGTATGTGACGATGTTGGATTTTAACGGAGGCTCCCTCTTGCTATACATATGGTCCAGGATGCCGGAAGCGAGCGCAGGTGACACTCGGTGGCGGAGCGCGTAAAACAGCAGTGTGTTGTAGGATCCAATGTCGAGGTGAGGCGGTGGACGGTCCATCGGGTCCGGCTTCGTGAGCGAGTGGATCAGGCGCATGAGCACGTTGTGAAAGTACCGATACGCCTTGACGCGGACGGGCTTGCGAGAGCCGTCTAGGATCCAGACGTACTGGTTTGTCTTCGGGCAGGAGTAGAGCGTGCGTACGAGCGTGGATATTCGATCGGTCGGCAGCTGGCCTGTGTCGAGCAGCATTGCTAAATTCGCTAGGGCTTGGAGGATGGAAGCTAGCCTATCCCTGTCGTCGTCTGCTTCTGCGGATGAAAGTGACTCCATGGCCTTGTCCATCTCCCGGAGTACACTGTTCATGGTGTCAACAGCGGTGCGTGACAAATGGAACGAGTAGTCTCGTCGGATGGGTACGAAAGGCGAACACCCGTCGGCACATAAGGGCGCGGCGTTGGCATCGGCAGAAGCGTCCGAAGCCATATCAGCGCGAGCTTTCTGCAGTTCCATGCATTTGAAGAACAGAACGACGAATAGCGAGCCCATAATGATCTCGCCGTGTAGTAGAAGGTTTTTGATGATTTGGTTATAGGTGTACTCCGTTCGACGTTGACCCTGCATGCGAGCGTGCAGCATGAGCTTCACGGCGGCTCTCGTGCACGTATCGGAGACCATGCTACTTCGAATCTTCAGGACGTTTTCACCGGCGGGGACCTTTTTGCGCCGACCATGGAGACCCATGCCAGCCAGAAGACCGCCGAGGGGCTTGGAGGGAGTACTGGTGAGAGAATGAATCAACAAAGTGACGGTTGCAGGCCGTAATTGTATGCCGCAGTCCTGGAAGACTGCAGCGTACGAAGCGGCCCTCTTTGCGAGGCCTGCGCGCACGAGAGCATGGAGGAAGGCATGAGCGGGTACACGGGGAGAGATGGGTCGCCCGAAGTCTATGGGCGCCGCGGGCGATGCGGGAGAATGCGATTTGGAGTCGATGAGCGCACTTCGTGAGGATGCGAGGGATTCGGGGTTATGAGATTCTAGTAGAGAGTTGATGAGGTACAGAGCATCTCCGTACTTGCAATTCCGCACGGAGAGTCGGACGGCCTGCGCTGACGCACGGGATATCTGCCCCGCTGTCAGTGACAGTAGAAAGTGGTTGGACTCCGTCGTATCCGGTGGCTGCGAGTCGACCGTTGTAGGGTGTGCGTCGGGTGCTTGGCGGAAGACCAGAGCGGCTGCTCCCCGGGTGTAGCTAGAGTTGAAAAAGGATGCGACCTTGCTGCCGGGATGCTGCCTGCAAAATACACTTCGTCCAGCGGGGCATGGTCCGTTGTACCGGGTGCGGAGTGCTGAGCCACGGCGGGCGACGGTGTGCAGGAAAGCACTGGCCGATGATGTCGACCCATTACATAGCATGTGTCTCGCATTACTGTGCCGCCGCGGTGAGCAATGTTGACATCTTCGCCAACGATGGACATACCAAGTCTGCCTGAGGCTCCGACTGGGGAGCAGCGCACTGCAAGGCGGACAGAGCGGCGACGGCGGACGAGGTGGTCGACGCTCTGAACAGGTCGCCGGCGCCCCGGCCCAACTAGCCTCCCCGAGAGCTCTCGCGACAGACCGGCTCACCTCGGGCACAGGCATTTTGTTCAACTGCCCCTGGGCCAGTAGCTCATTTCATTTCGACCTCATCCTCTTCATGTCTCTCAACCCCGAACAATAAATTCGGGTGCACTACACTGAACATGGTACAGTACAGTAGACTCGTCCAACTAGTTTGAGGTCAGACTCACAGTGGCAATAATCATCGTGGGAAACGCATCAAAGACTACAAGTGCTCGTTCTGGGCGCCTGTCTCTGCGGTAAGTAGGTCGTCGACGGCAGCGTCATTGAGCAGGACAGACCTGGTTGTCGTCAGTAAACGCAGTTGGCATCGCTAGCATGAACCACCACGGGGGAGGACACCGCCGAAAGCAATATCGAGGTGAGAACGGCAGAAACATGCCCGGGTGGCCTACCACAACTTGAACTTGCACACGTTCCCAGGTGCAGACGACTACGACAGTCATGACCGCCGGCGGGACACTTTTGACACCCCAGAGCAGAAGCTGAGGAAGACTATCATCAACCTTGGCGAGGTGGTGAGTACGCCAGCCACAACCTCTTTTGGGAACGAGTCTCCGAACATCTCCATATACTAGGATCCCGTCCAAGAACTACCAAGGCTTGCAAGCGATATACGCGCGGCGAATGAAGCTGCTACAGCTGCGGGCGGACCCGCCATTCCTGCTATCACCGAGGGCTTCCGGATAGGGTGCGTCGCGCCCACTTTTGTTCACCTCCATTCCGTTAATACCATCGCGGACAGTGTCACCGAACAACCATTCAAGATTCCCTACTATGCTGCCTTGCTCCGCCTACTCCACGACCCACCAGCCGAAGCTGAAGAGAACCCTCCGACAGACGGATCGCCCACGCTGGGCAAACAAGTCTTGGAGGACTTCTGGAAGGGGTTCCAAACGTTTTTGGACAAGCTCGCCTGGCGTGAAATCAGGTTATGTGTACGTGTGTCTATCCGCGTCTTCAGTCAGAACGAAGACTTACCTCAGTGCAGATCCAATTCTTTGCGCACTGCACAATGGCCGGCCTCGTTTCGTCGCAAACTATGTTCGAATTGTTCAGGTCATTTACCGCGGTGCTGCAAGAGTTCGGTGTGTCGCACGGGCGAGCCATGAAGGCAGCATTGAGCGCAGCGGAGGGGCTTATGATAGTTCGTGTCTCGCCATTACATACCAATGTTTTGCACCTTGACACCTAACTCCATAGGCTGGCCCAATCATGTCGAAATCCGGTGCAGACGTCACTGAGATCATAACTGCTATCAGTGACTACTCTGAGTCGATGACAGGCTCCAAAAACATCGTGCAGCCTGTTGTCAGGCTACACGAGCAGTCATCAACCATCGAGCACGCCGATGAGGTATGCGCATAGATTGTGGTCGTGGACAATGCTGACACGTCCTGCTTGGCCAGCTCCTTGACTCCGCCATTGCTGCCCTGTATGTGTTGAAGAGCAGCGACTTCGCACAGACCGCGGACAGTTTCCCGCAGCCATATGTTGAGTACCCTGAGTTTGGGTCCCCGCCGTTCGAGCTACCGTCCGTCCTGGTACCTCCTGAGGTCATCGAGTTGGACGGCCTGACCACCGAGGCTGGTGAAGATGCTCAGGTGAAGAAGGAAGAGTGGCCCGCATACTTCGTCCGGTTATTCGACAACGACGTGAGTAACGTTCGTCGTGACAATGCCCACTGACCAACAAGTCGTTCGGGTAACAGGTTACACCCGACCCTACAACGCCAAGTGGTTACGCTATCCGGTCAGCCATCCTAGACATCTTAGACGTCTTCGAGGTGAATCGTAAGGAGTGTGCTCGACTACTGCTAGAGTATCCAAAGTGGACTCTGCATGGAACCTTCAAGCCCAGGCCCGGTGCACCAGAGCAGGAGCCAGTACCAGAAAAGAACTGGCAGCTGGAGAACTCAATCATCGAAGTGCGTCTTTCCTCTGTCGGAAACTCACATCGTCTGAACGCATATGCAGATTACGCTTGGCTCGATCTTCCTCCTGCCCGAATCAACCTATAGGTCGATCTATTATATCGCCTTAATCACGGAGATCTGCAAGCTGTCGCCGCAGACAGTTGGTCCCGCCGTCGGCAAGTCGATACGCAAGCTGTATACGCTTCTGTCGGACGGTCTCGACGTCGAAGTCGCACATCGGTTCGCTGAGTGGTTCTCCGTGCATATGAGCAACTTCGGATTTGCCTGGGTTTGGAAAGAATGGTGGGTCTGCTTCTCATGGTTCACGGATGTCATTGATCATCTGTATATTCAGGGCACCAGACGTCTCATTGTCGGCCAGGCATCCCAAACGGCGCTTCGTGAGGAAGGCCCTTGAGTATGAGATCCGGCTCTCGTACTTCGACAGGATCTTGAAGACACTGCCTGAAGCCATGCAAACCCCGGAGGCTCAGTGCATGCCCGAGGAAGCGCCTGGTCCCGAGTACGACTACGATGACCCGTGTACGTCAGATGTGGTCGCGGGAGCTGCTCTGCCACTCATCTTGTTTGTGCAGCAAAACCATACCATGACGCAGCGCAATCGCTCCTCAGCCTCTTGCGTGGCCGCACAAAAGCGGAGGACGTCGTATCGCACCTGGACTCGCTCAAGAACAGCATATCAGAGACGGCCGAGGGCAACGTGAACGTCAGCACCGTCGTGCGCAACATCGCCGTGCAGTCGCTCCTGCACATCGGCAATCGCTCCTTCTCGCACTTCCTCAACGCCATCGAGCGGTACCTCCCACTCCTCCGTAACATCGCATCCGGCGGCGGCGCAGGCGCAACGGGCGGCTCCAACCTCGAAGCACGCCTGGACATCCTCAACGCCGTCGCGAATTACTGGAAGCGCGTCAGGAACATGGTCGTGATCGTCTTTGACAAGCTGATGCAGTACCAAATCGTCGATCCGCCGGATGTGGTCTCCTGGGCGTTCGCGTATGGTGGGGCGCTGACGGGTGCTGTCGGCAAGTCGACGTTCGACTCATTCCAGTGGGACGTTCTCAAGGGCGCACTCGACAAGGCAAACGGCCGTGTCACGATCGCTCGCAAAAAGGTCACGGCGTTGAGGAAAGAGGCTGATGACACTGCGGCAAGAGCCATTGCTACCGAGGGCGCTGCCATGGAGGTTGACGCTGAGGCGAAGCCAGGTAAGCATGGCGTGCCTCCTTTGGATTCATATGTGCGATTCACTCATGCCGGCATAGATGTCATGCATGCCTCCGAGTCGCCTGCGCTGACCAACGCTCTCAAGGCATTCGCCACCCTGACGCGGGAGCAGAAGGCCGTGCTGGCGCGCACTCTGGACGGGTTCGTTGGCTACCTGGTCGCCGAAGGTGACGCGAACCCGACCGCAGCGGAGGTCATCGCAGAAAAGTCGTGGCACAACCGCATCAACTGGAACGAAGTGCAATGGGGAACCTGGGAAACATGGTGCTGGTTCCGTCACTTCTGCAGAGCGGTGAGTCTTTTCGGAAGTCCTTGTCGTCGATGGAGGCTTGATTGACACGCTCACAGTACTCGCCATACCTGCGTAACTACACGCAGTCGCTGGAGGAAGCGTCACTGACAAAAATCGGACCTTCCGACCCCGCCGTGGACTTGTTCAAGAAAACGTGGAACATCGCCACTGGGCAGGACGTGTAGAAGCTTCACCGTTCTTGTGGATACTCGCTTGCCAGGGCCATGCGAGACCGATAATGCTATTGCTATTTGTGATGATACATGTATTGCAGTCGTTGTTGCAGCTGATGCTCGTCAGTCGATCGCGAAAGCGTGCCATTGTCAGAAGCATAGCCGGGGTGAGCTGAGAGCGCCATTTCAGAGCGGTTCGAACATGGCAGATTGTCCGAGGAACACACACACTGATGTAGAACGAGGCGCAGTATGCGTACAACACACGTAGTCAGTAATTATACTCAGACCAAGAACACTTTGCGAGACTTTCGGACGACGAACTCGCACTCTTGAAACGCTCAGAGATCAAACCAAGGCAGGCGCATGGATGATGCAATAACGTTTTATTTTACTTCAACTTGTAATTTACGGTATATGCGTATGGATCTAGGTGCGAAGAGATCGTGCGATGTCCTGGCAAAGAGACGGCAGTATGTAGTGTGCAGCCAGCAGCCCATGGGAAGAGAGCGTCTGTCTATGAGGGGTAACGAGACGATGCGTTGCTACATTAGATCATGATAAGTGTAAAGGGGATGGGACACAAGGAAGGACGAGCACCTCAGCCAATCTATGCACCGACACGCGAGGGGTTGCGCGCGAGCGTCGCACCCGCACGCTGCGCCTGGATGCTGCTGAAGCGCTGGAGCTCCTCTGGCTTGACGGAGACCTTCTGGCCAAGACCGACACGGCGCGCCGCACGCTTGATGAACGAGACACGGTTGGAGTAGAGGGACGCGTTGACAGACGCAGCGCGGGAGCGAGTGCGCGAGAGGGTGATCCCAGTCTCACCAGACTTCGCGAGCTCAGCCTCGTGACGCTTGCGGAGCGACTTGATGACCGTCGCCTTCATCGCGAACTTGATCCAGTCGAGAGGGACGAACCAGAGAATGTCCTATGCAGAGCATGAGCGCAGTTCGAGTTAAGCAGTGCAATGAGCAACACTTACCCAAATCCAGACGATGCCAACCCAGCCACCGGAGATACCGTGGATATCAGTGAAGCCCCAGTTGGCGTACACGGCGATGATGGACGACACGAGCTGCGCAAGGCAGAACGCGCAGAACAAAGCCACCGATGGACGCTCCATGAAGAAGAAACCGTGCGACCGAGTAACGAAGATGAGCGCCTGCGAGATAATGGCAACCTGGAGGTAGACAATGGAGTGCAGGACACGGTCGTTGTGGTTCGTCGCCTGGATAGCACCGTATTCGAACAAGACACCGAACTTGTCGTAGAAGAAGGTCGTCTTGATGCAAATAGCAACGAGGGCGATCCTATAAAGGAAAGATCTCAGCATACAGTCGACGCACGGAAAGACGACAGACTTACGTAGACATGGTGAGGTACAAGCCGTAAGCGACGGCATACGCGAAGATCTCGGCGAGGTCCCAGCTATCGGGTTGGTTCGAGGGCAGGACACGGTCGACCGACAGAGTCATGATGGTACCGTCGTTGAGGAGGGCAATGATCAGGACCATGAACGGCGGGAAGTCGAACTTGAACGCGAAGGCCAGGATAGCGAAGCAGACGACGATACGGATGGTGACGGCGCAGGCGTAGATCGCGTAGTTGCGCATACGCTGGAAGATGATACGCGAACCGCGGATGGCGTGGACGATGGTAGAAAGACCGGGTTCCGTCAGGACGATGTCAGCGGCGCCACGAGCAGCGTCGGTGGCACCCTCGACGGCGATACCAACGTTAGCACGGGAAAGAGCGGGGGCGTCGTTGGCACCGTCACCAGTCATCGCAACCAAGTGGCCAAGACCCTGGAGACGCTTGACGATCTCGTACTTGTGCTCAGGGAAGACACCAGCGAAACCGTCGGCGTCGAGGATCATCTCGTCGAGCGACGCGTGCTTGCCGCCAGCCTCGGGACCGTCCTTGAGCACCTTCGCGGGGTACATGTGGTCACCGAGACCGAGACGACGACCGGTCTCCTTCGCGATGGCGAGCTGGTCACCGGTGACCATCTTGACCTTGACACCGAGAGCCTGCGCGTCGTCGATGGTCTGCTTGGTGTCCGAGCGGGGAGGGTCGAAGATAGGGAGGAGGCCAATGAGCTCGAAACCGTTGCCCTCGTTCTCGAAGTTGTCACCGTCAACCTCTTCGTAGGCGACAGCGAGAGCACGAAGACCACGCATAGCGAACTCCTCGACGTCGGCCTCGAGCTTGTTCTCCTGCTCCTCGGTCTTGTTGCGCGTGCACAGCTCGATGATGATGCCGGTCATTCCCTTCGTAACGCGCTTGAGCTTGCCGGAGCTCTCCTCGAGGTAGGTGATCTCCGTGCGCTTGTCGACAGGGTTGAAAGGCTTGAAGTCGAGCAGCTTGATACCAGCGCGAGCGCGAGATATCTCGCCAAGAGCACCGACGACGCAAGAGTCGATAGCGTCTTGGTTCTCGGTACGGGAGGCGTAGGCTGCCAAGAGGATGACGTCCTCACCGGAGAAGGGGCCGTAGGTACGAATCGTCTCGCGATCGATGGTGAGCTTGTTCGTGGTAAGCGTACCGGTCTTGTCCGAGCATAAGATGGTGACGGCGGCAAGCTCCTCGATGGCAGTGATACGGGTGACGATGGCCTTGTACTTCGCGAGTTGCTGAGCACCGACAGCGAGCGTGACGGACAAGACGGTGGGCATCGCAATGGGGATACCACCGATCAAAAGCACCAGGATGTTGTTGAGACCGCGACGGTAGTGGTAGCGGAAGCCGGCATACAAGCAGAAGATCTCGGCGATGACGAAGATACCAATGACGACGAGGCAAAAGGTACCAATCTGGGCGAGAATCTTCTGCAAGTGACCGGTGGTGTCGTCGTCCTGACCGACGAGCGACGCAGCGCGACCGAAGAACGTGTTGGCACCGGTAGAAATGACCACACCCTCGGCTTCACCCTGCTTGCAAGTAGAGCCACTGAGGGGAAAAATGAGCGTCACATCCAAATGCTCCAGTGGGAAACTTACGAGAAACACTGATCACCGAGCTTCTTGCTTTGAGGCAGAGACTCGCCAGTCAGCGCAGCCTGGTCGATAGAGACATTGATCGCCTCCGTGAGACGGCAGTCGGCCGGAACGATGTCACCGATTTTGAACGAAACGAGGTCACCGGGAACGAGGTCGGCGGACTCGATCTCCTTCCATGAATTGCCACGCTTGACCTTAGCCTTGGGAGCGAGCGATTCCATGAGCGCCTTGACAGCGTTACCGGCATTGCGCTCCTCGTAGAAACCGATGGACGAGTTGATGAGCAGAAGGAGGACGATACCGACGAAGTCCTGCCAGTCCGGAGGTTGGCCCTCACCGTTCGAGAGCGCGATGGCGACGAGGGCAGCAGCCTCCATGACCCATGACAGAGGGTTCCACATGAAGCTCAGGAACTAAAACCACCATTAGGCACACCGTTCAAATCACGAGACCGCAAAGTGGACGTACCTGAAGGAAGGCGTTTTGCTCCTCGGACTCGAGCCTGTTAGGGCCGAACAGCTCGAGCCGGCGCAGAGCCTCGTCGTCGGTTAAACCATTGTCGTCGCACTGGAGGAGCTTGAACACGTCCTCGACGACGATGGTCTCAAGGTCGACTTTCTCCTTATCGTACAAGTCCTCAGCACGAAGCTGGATCTGGGACATGTCGACCTTGGCATCTGCCGGAGAGTAAGTAAAACGCGCATACAGTCGGGGAGAAATGGTGCCACGTACGAGTCGCTTCCTCTTGCTCGTGACCAAAATCCTTGTACTCCCTCTTTCGCTTCTCAGGCTGCTCGGCGGGAGTACCGGGCTGCTTGGCGTCGACGTCACCGACCTTTTCGTCGTTGGCCGACATGATGATGACCAGGTAGGGGCGGAGGGGAGAGGGGAGGGACGCGGAGCGCGGCGGCGGCTAACTGCGCTTAGAGCGAGACAGACGACACCAGGAGGGGATGGTGAGGGATGGGGGAAAAGGGTTAAAAAGATGGTCGGACGGTCGGACGGATATATATACGCGCGCAGTGGGGGCGCACCTGTGGTTGAGAGCGGACCCGGTCAGAACGCTCTGCCAGAACCCGGCTGACACGAGCGGCTGCCGGGGCGGCTGACTGCCGGATAAGGCAATGATGGGCCGTAATGCCCGATAGGATCGCCGGTTCCCCCAGCGACGGCGCCTGGGAGATGATCGGGTGCGCTCGGCATGCCGGCAGCGACCCTCGCTTCGCTTTCCCGCGCCCTCGTCGGCCGCGTCCGCTGCCGTGCCCGAGCCTGCCTCGACGCTGCCGCCGCCGCCCACCCGTCTCCCGCCGGCATTCGCGCGCGTCCGCCGCCGTGCGGTGTCCGGGACTCCCATAGCCGTCGCCGCTGCCCGCCACCGGCTGCTCATCGTCGCTTGCAGCCGGCGGCCCTTCCTCGTCCCCAGATCGGCTGCGCCGCTAGCCTTGCCCAGCTCCCGCCACCGCTACGGCGCGCCGAGCCGCCGTGTGGCTGCCCTCCATTGGCTGAGCACCGTATGACCCCTCTTGGCTTACTGAACGCCGTATTCATCAAAGCGTCCCCGTCGGCTGGGCGCACCGCGAAGCCGTCGTTGCTTACCGACTGTCGATACCAAGTCGGTTCTGTGCTGTAGCGGACGTGAAAAGGCAGAAAGTCGCCAACGCTCTGTAGATACATGAGTTCTCCGCCGGGTGCCAAGAAGCCGGCCTCTCATTCGCTGCTCGCCGCTCGTCCTGGGCTCGTCTTCTCGGGTGGGCAGCCACCCCGCCGCAGCGCGCAATCAGACTTGTCGCACGACAGACTGCATGTTCAGGTGTCCCTGTGGTTAGACCCCAGGGACATCGCCCAATCCGGTGCCGTTGACGCAACACCCATGCTGCAGCGGCAGCTGCAATTTGCTGCAATCGATGCCGGACCTGTATGTCATTCTCTCTTTGTCCTGTCCGACTCTATCCGTGGACGCCCCTGGCCCTGTCTTGAGCCTATCGAATAGCCCACTGTGCCCGCAAACACCAGCGCTGCACCCGCCCACATCATAACCGCCCTCCCGCCTCCTACTTCTCGCCCCGCTCCACGGAAGAGTGCCACACTGATGAGCAGAGACACCGCCTTGCGGACCACCAAGACCAGCGAGACCGTGAGCGAAGACACCCGTGCCGTAAGCCGGTGAACGCCTGCCACACACAACAGCTGGGTAAGCGTGTTAAGGACCAGTGGGACATACGCCTCCGGGATCATGACTTCCCCGTCGACACGATAACCAGAACCTGGCAGGGCGGCCGCCATGCTGCGGACCGCACTGGGAAGCGGGACGTTGTACGTTGGTTCCGCGCCCAGTGCGTGAAACTGAGCCAGGAGATCCCTCCGGACAAAGAAGAATAACGGCATGGACAGGAAGTGCATGTAAAACAGTGCCTCCTGCCACGGCGGAACCTCCTCGTCTGCCTTCCTCGGACCGGTTCCATCCTTCTTCTCTTTCGCCTTCACGTCGGGAGCATCCTTGACATCTCGGTTCGCCTCGGATCCATCCCTGCCAGTGCTCTGAGGTTTGGCGTCCTTCCGCCCGTACTTTGCATACATCCGGTCCTGTAACACGCCGAGCAAACCACTCAGGAAGAGCGCTAACGTGAGTATCCCGACGCCGGTAGCGTACAATGACGGATCCGTCCCTGTCATCGGTGTGCCCGGACCCGATCGCTTCGGAACAGCCGCGGAAAGGGTGGTCACAATGACCCCGAGCGAAACCACTGCGACAGAAGTGATTTGTATAACGTTGTACCTACCTTGTTTGAGAATGGACCGATACGTCTACGACCATTGAACGACTCACCTGCGTCCGACAAACAACCAGTTCAGTAGCAAACTAGCCACCAGTCCTCCGCTCCGGAAAATGATGTGAACGGGCATAGGTATCGCGTATGCGAACGCTGCATTATTCAGCAGGGAGGTTGCAGCGAATAGCGAGACTTGTAGCATGTATGGGGCGAGGGGCACTCGGCGTTTTCGCAGGGTGATGTGAGGTATGGGCGTGCGGCGGTATACGACGAATCGAGGCAGGAAGACGACGGTAATGATGAGGAACTGCGCGAAAGTAATCAGGTTCCCAGAGCGCGGATGGCGAGTTGTCAATTGCTCGAGAGTGAGTGCATTACTGGGAACGCGCAGTCATTCGTAAGATACAAGACGGCTGCGCGACACATTTGAGACGCACCTGCAGCATCCGCCAAATATTAGGGCTAGGATAGATACCCACTCCGAGAGTACCGTAAGCGAAAGACCCTTCAGTATGTCAGAACTATGCGCCAGGGTGCTCATGCTCGGTAGTCGACGTTTAGGTTGTAGCCAGGGAGGAGACGCTGCAGAGCATCGTCAAGTTGTAGGGTGCGTTAGCGGTGCGTGTTGGGGTCGCCACAACACGCGCATCGCGCCAGGGCAGGAAGCCATCGCGACAGTGGCAACGTGTGCGGTTGCCATTGGGCGGGCCGATTTGAGCGCACTGACAAGGCTGAAAGAGAATGGCTGCAGACGATCATCATGCTCTGTGTTTTCTTCCGAGTCGTCGCGAGCTTTTGCACAGCCTAGACTGAGCCTAGAGTAAGTAGACGACTCGGAGTCGGAAGACGGAGTGGGAGACTGGAGACAGATCACGATCGTGGGGATCGGGCAGTCGCACTGTGACATCACGCGTCCGTCTTTCAGGTCGCGAGTAAGAGTGCAAGGTATCGTGCGGGCATACCACTGGCTGCTTATTGAGCTTGCGCTCAATAGTCTACCATTGGTATTACATGCATTGAGATCAGACCGAGTATGCGACGGATTACATACATGGGTGTACCGCTGGTGTCCAAGTAGAACATAATGAACGAAGAGAAATCCTTACCACTCGCCTGCACCACTCCACAGCTTCAACGCCAACCTAACGCCCAAGAGAGAGAGGCAGATGACCAACAGGACGTCGAGTGCTGCCTGCTTGATCCAGCGGTCCCAATGTGTTTGTAGCCGCGCTCGTTTCTGCGACCGGGACAACGTGGGGTGGATGCAACGCCATTGCCCAAGCACGTCGGCAGCGTCAGGCCTGCTCATAGGGTCCTCTCGTATCATGCGAACAACCAAGGGGCACAGAAATTCCACGTTGGCATAGTTCTGGAGGTATCAGCGTGAGTACGTTGAGTCGTGATGAACATATCAGGGACGACGAACGTCGATAAAAGCCTTGCGGAAGAGGTTTCCGAGCAAGAATACGTCGAGCTTGAACGGGTCGTACGGGACTTTGTCGCCTCTCCGTAGCTCCGGTGCATCCCGGTCGCGTCCTTCGTTGCCCAGCACAAGGGTCCCTCGTCTTCCCAAGGGAATGTGCACGGACAAACCGAAGTCGATGAAGTAATACTTGATCGGAAAGTCTAGTGTGGAACGCCAAAGCATCGGCCACAAGCCGCCAGAGGGCTTTGAGATATTGTAAAAGGGATGGCCCATCCCACTTGCATCCATCATGAGGTTCGCGTAAGAGCAATCCCTGCCTCGAGCTTAGGGTCGACGATAGCGAACCTGCAGGATCCTGTGCTCACCGGTGAGCCACACCAAGTCTGTGTAGAAACGCAAGACCCTGTTTATACGATTTCCGATTCTAGTTCCTGTTTCCCACAGACATATTCAGTGACGCACCTCGAGCATCTGGTCCACAAACTCGACCACATCACCGACAGCGCCCACGGGAGGGTCGTCGATATGCCGGAGGAACGGCATCACTATGTAGCTCACATATTCGTTGTCTTCGTCCCTGAGCACATCGAGAATGGGCACGGCATGATTGGCTAGGTCGTCGCAGAGCGGTGTCGACGAGAACATGCTTGCGATCCGGAGCTCGTGGCTGGCGGTCGCGACACGTTTGATGCATACAGGGGCGTTGTCGGACGTCCGAGTGGCACGCACGATATGTTCGTCTGCCCAATACGCCTGCATGAAAATGTTGAGCGACAACGCAACATATCACGAAGGGAAAACTCACGTATGCCAGCGGTGCGGCGTCTTTGCGAGCCCCGAACCTGTCGTTCATCCAGGTTGCCACTGATGCCATATACTGAGGAGTCACTCTGTATCCATTGCGCTCAAAGAAACCATGCCGGTGTGTCCAGTACGACTCAGAGAGTTCGATTAGTCCCGAGGAAGCACTGGAAGTGAGGCAGTCCGGATGCTCCCTGACTGCCTGCTGAAGCGATGGCCCGGGTTCCTCTGCTGTGGTCGACGCCGACATCAGTCAATGGAGATAGGCTGCCGTCACCTCAGGTCTAAATATCGAATGCATCGATGCTCAACGTGGAACTGCTCTTTTGTGTCCTTGGATCCATTGTGCTTCGAACGGCGTTGAATAACAAGAGATGCGTGGCAAAAGATTTGAGCCAGATCGAGATCACCCCCAGTATATGTAACCAGATCCGCGTGCTGCTGGGTATCATTTATATGAGCCATGACAGAGTATGTATCAGTGATTGTCACTTACATCCTGAGCAAGCAGTGGTTGAAAGTCGACTCGAAGACGAAGCCGACAAGTTCCCGTGTGGCCCGAAAGCGCCCGGAGTTCAGTATGATGATGTTCGGCTTCGCTCGGCCCGCACATCCCGGACACCTCGGGCGACGGGCACGGGCATGACGGGCGTCTATGACGAACACATAGATTCCATTAACCTGATCATGCAGAGGGCCACGCAACGAAGGCCCGGTTGCAGGCACGCACTACTAATCTGCGCAATCGTTCGTACTTAAATAGAGCGAATAGCGCTACAGTGGTGGTAAGGCAGGCAAGGGAATGTCCATCCATGCACGCTCCGAGGAGTCCACAGCGGTATCAGGGTGATATGGGGAGGTAGAGGGGTGTGGCGGGGTATGGTATGTAGGGTAGGCTGTGTCCATTCACAAACGAATAGTAGGCGAGAATAGCGCACTGCAAGAGAAATAGAAGGTGGGAGTAAGAAGAGGGGTAGTTTGTCCGGCAAATCCAACAAGTCCAGGGCGCACAAAACACGAAACGCAAAATTCGAAAGAGAAAAGAAGGGTCCGCGGAGGGAGAAAAGAAAAGAAAGGTGGGTAGAGAGAGACAAAGGAGCGCGTGAGTGTTCGTTCGTTGGGGTAGTCTCGTGTAGGATCGTCGTCGTCATGCAATGAGCAGTGCTCATGCAGCCTGCGCTTGCGTGCGGAAGAGCGCCGACTTTGAGTGCGCGAGGCGTCGGAAGGCGCTGCTGACGCCATGAGGTTCCACAGCGTCGCCGTTGTCAGCGCCATCCTTCTCCTTCTCCTTGTCGCTGCTCTTGTTCGAAGAGCCGAACATCCTGCTCAGGAAGCTTCCGCCTGTGGAGGGACCCATGTCGGAGACGTTCCGACCGATCGCGGGCATGGTGGTGCTTGGCGTCAAGGAAGAAGACTGATTCTGGTGCACATTGGCGCACGTAGTCGACCGCAGTCCACGACCCATACCAGCCTTGAAATCGATCACAGGAACGCTGGACGCAGCAGTAGGCGATGGCGATGACGCGCAAGAGGACGCGCGCGACGAGCCTTCAGAGTCACTTCTACCAAGGCTGGACGGCTTCTTGCCTTCAGTGGCATCCGATCTGATGGTGGATGTAGACGCAGTCGACGCCTTCCTGCCTTGCCGCCTGAACGCGCGAGCCGGGACAGGTTGTAGGACGAACTTCCTGTCGACGGCCTCGTCGGCTTGAGCATCCTTAATCTCGACGTTGTCAGCCTCGCAGTCAGACGATGACAGAGCAGGAGAGCTAGCCGCAGAGGAGCCACTGTCGGACGTGAGCGAGCCGGCCTCGGATTCACCGCTAGTACTGCTGGCGTCAGAGCCACTTGACAACTCGCGAGTAATCGGCCGGGGTTGGGGGCTAGCCGATGAACCAGACGCGCCAAGGTACTGGGAGGAAATGCGCTTCATGAGACGCTGAACACCAGACAGAGAACCAGCAGGCGACGGGAGCGGAGACGACCTGGCATCGTGAGGCGGAGTCGGCGGCATCTGAGCTTGCACCCGGGCCTTGGCGCGATTTACAGCAGTAGCACGAGCCTCCTTGGCAGCAGCAGAGGAGTTGGGCATGAATGGAGCAAACCGCTGAATAGCCTCCGCCTCGTCGAAACGCAAGTCGTAGTCCAAGAGGTAGAGAAGCTGCTTCTCCATCAGGTTGATTTCGGCAAGGTCAAACAGGGTAGCATATATTGCCCAGCACTTGTTCTTGGGCGACGAGTCGTTGAGGTACTTGGCCGCGACGATGAGAGTCGCCAAGAAGACTCGATGCCTCGTGCACTGCATACCTGCTGGGGGTAAGCGACGGGGAGGCGCAGCACGAAAAGAAGCACTCACCCTTGGCCATCTTGGGCAGCTTCGTCCGCAGCCGCTCAAGGTAGATCAACGTAGTGAGGAGAGTGGGAGCCTGCACGTGTGAGGACTGCGCGATGGTGATGATGAAGTCCTCGAGCGACGGAAGGCTGTTTGACGATTGTGCATCATCGAACGTTGCCTTCTGCGGCGTATGCGGGGGAGTGGGAGGCGCGGCAGGTTCTTCGCCCAGCCTAATGACACGAGTAGTCTGCAGGGCGATGTAGCGGATCATGTCATACGACACCGGCTGGCGCATGAGGTCGACGAGGGCCGGGTCGTGGCATGAGCGGGGCAAGAGAGAGGCTGGGTGACGACGATCTAGAGACATGTTTATGAGGGAGAGTGGGGTATTGGAATGGTGGTGCCCGTCGAGGGACAAAGCAGGAAGAAAGAAAGAAGAAACGAACAGGCGCAGGGGAGGGCGCTGACGAGGGCGGGCTCTTATACTCGAACCCCCGATCGTCGACGAGGGACAAACAAACAGCGGTGACGCGCTCGGTACCCGCCGGTGACAGTGTGAAGAACGAAAGCAAAGAGGTCTGCAAGCAGAGTAAGGCGAAGGCGAGCGAGGCGCAAAAGTTCTCGCCGTGGCCGTGTGCGGATTTACACACTCTCAAGGCGTTGCGGGGCAGACTGGGCGGCAGGTGTCGCCAGTTCCAGGCCAGAGGCTGGCAGACGGACTCCGGCAGCATCGCGTCCCCGCCCGCCACAGCGCCCTGCCCGACCGCCGCCGGTGACAGCGCACACGTGGTGAAGAGGCGGTCTCCAGAGTACATCACATGTCCCAGAGAAACACAAGTCTCAGAGAGACACAAGTCCCAGAGAGATATACATATCGAAGCGAGAACTTTCATGATAGCAATCAGAGTACCTTCACATACGCAGCAGGAACGAGACCTCTCCTGCCATCCATCTCTCCCGTCCACCTGTTGAGACCCCGTGTAAGTACAACCATCTCCCGTACGGCATGGTGAACACGTACCAATCATCGGATGTCCTCTCGACAATGAATACCCTCGCGCCCTCTTCCAGCGGCAGATCACCAGGATCCTGATCTTGTAAGCATCAAACGCAGAGAGCATGAACGTCGAGCACATACGTCACTGGTGTAATCGTACAGCGCTTCCGCCCATTCACCTTCAGGCTCCGGCTCCGGGACTCGAGGACGGGGCGGCGGGGGAGGCGGAGGCGACGAGGTGTTCCCCGCATTGGATGCAGTAGAATCAGCTCGTCTCACGGGAGGCGGCGCGAAGGCGCCCCTCCTAGACTGGATGGCCGAGGGTGTGGGCGGGGCTACTGACGGGGGCGTAGCATGCTTGCTCGCGGTGGAGTTGCGCAAAGAGGAGAACATGGCCTTCCCAGAGGAGACATCTACGTCGCCGAATCTCTGCACGAAGTAGAGGCGCTCAGCACAAACCGTACATGCCAGGTCGCATTGCACTCACCTTCTCTTGGACAAATTTATTGGCGGACGATTCTTGCTCCTCGGAAGCAGAGCTCGGTGCCCGACGGGCAGGAGGACGAGGCAGCTGAGCTCCAGATGCGCCGAATGCCGCAGCTGCAGCGGCTACCCTCCCTGCGGCGGCGGAGGGGAACTCTGGTACAGATGCCTGTTGCTATGAACATCGAAGTGATAAACAGACCACAGCAAACGCTTGCAAGGGACCAAACTCACCGAGGACGCACTAGATGCATCCGGTCGCGGTGGAGGAATCGCCCTCTTCACGATAGATGCTGCCTCCTGAGGGGTCGTTTTGCTGAACGCACTGTGTAGGGCGGACGCAGCTGATGCCTTCACTGCGTCTGAGGATTGCCCTGGCTTGTTCAGGAGTTCTGGGCGGGAGGTGAAGTACCTGCGGAAAGTGGGAGGGCCACCACGACGAAACAGAGAGAAGTAGCCACAACGCGCTCAGATTGATGGACCGATCACGCAGGGAAAGCACGGCACTCAACTCGTCCAGCAAAGAGAAGAACGCGTCCTTCTCGCGGTTGTTCAGATTGGCGAAGACCATGTTTGCATCGGACGATCGACTTTGGTGGGCAGTAAGTCGTGAGAGACGGATGACAGTCGGCGTAGAGCAAGACGTTGTTATAGAGCGTCGACGAACGCGATCTTCTCAAGTCATGTCACATCGCCTCCGAGATTCAGTACAAAGCCGCACAGGACCATCGTATCACGAGCTGCCATATATTATGTATCACGACAAGATGGGACGCTGTTGTTCTGAGTGTCTGTGCTTGTCGAGTCTGAGTCACAGGACCGGTGGCTTCAACAGCCCCCCGGAGTACCTGTAATCGTACCTGTACCACCACCAGTACCGAATGATAACATCCTTGACAATGAAGCTGAGCCTGAGCCGGCCTTTAATGTCAAATTTGTTTCTGCCAATGTGCAGAAATCTGCTGAGAATACGACTCAGCTCCTTGAGCGCTACAGAGACGCTGACGTCATCTGCGTGCAAGAGATCTTCTGGGGACATATCAAAAATGTGCCGTCCAGTAAGAAAAAGGACGGGGACTCGTATGAGAATACGACTGCTCACCGAAATTTCACGTGCTTCGGCGCGTCCTCCAAGTCCCGGGTTGCCACATACGTGCATCGCCGCTGGCGCGGGGCTAGTCCCCACATCATTACCGGATCAGCACCTCACGGTGACTGTCTCCTGGTCTCCTTCGGTACACCACAGGGCGCCTGCAATGTGCTCAACGTGTACAATGATAACGGGCCGAACAATGTGATCTCTCACTTGCTCGAACACGTGGACTCTCTCCCGCCTATCACGTTGATGGCGGGGGATTTTAACCTGCACCACGTCGCATGGGACAAGGTGACACGCAACTGCAATGAAAATCCTCCTCATGGAGGTACAATTTCAGACTTATGGGACTTAACCACGGAGCTTCAATTGCTCCTAGGAAATGACCCTGCAGCGCCGGCCACCTGGAAATCCAATAACCCTAGGTTGGCCGCAAGAACTCTTGATTTGGTCTGGCACAGACCGGACATCCAAATATTGAACTTTAAGGTCAATACCCACGCACGTCACCGGAGTGACCATGCTCCGTTGACGTGGGAATGGAATGCCGGTGATTCACCGGAGCCCGAACCGATAATTGCACGCGTAGGACCCGCATCCAACGAGTTCTGCCTAGCAGTTGCCAAGCTCATTGCTGATCTCCCCACTCGGTGGGAGACAGCTGATGAGCTACAGCGAACTGGAGATAAGCTGTATGCTTACATCCAGCGGACATGGAAGGGAAATGTGGTGAAACCCCAGCGCACAGCCCGTTCAAAGTCCTGGTGGAATGCCGAGTGCAGTGCCGCTCGCAAGCGCCAGATTCTCACATCTAAACAATGTGACAAAGTGCGAGGCCTTATCGGCCTTGCTCTACGAACATTAGGCAGAAACGCTGACCAGTTCAAAATTTACCATGAACTCTACGAAGGGGCTAATAACCGACGCCGTAAAGCGAACAACTCTCTCCGCCGCGCTTCTAAAGGCGCCAAGCGGGAATTCTTCGACAAAATGTTGTCGAATTGCCACCCCCAGCTTATCTCCAACTTTGTTAGCTGGGCTAAGCCGAGGAAACTGGATGCCAGCGTGCAGATCAAGCGCGCTGATGGATCCGTTATCCAATCGCAGGACGAACTCCAAACAGAGTTCAGAGAGCAATTCACTCCTTCCATCCCGAAGGAAGTCGATGAGACAATTCTCGAAGAGTTCAAGCAATTCGAGAAGCGTCCCTTTAATGAAATCTCCATGGAAGAGATTGCGGAACATTTGGCTGACACGTCTAACACGTCAGTCGGAGGTGAAGATCACGTCAATTGGGAATGGTGCAAACGCATATTCCACATGATTGAAGAATTAAAAGATAAACAGGGGAACGTGATTAACACGATCAACTGGGGATCTAAAGTCTATTCCTTTTTCAAGGCATACTACAACGCGTGCATCCGACTGCACAAATTCCCTGACGTCTTTAAGAGGTCCATCACGGTTGTTATACCCAAGCCTAATAAGCCGGATTATAGCAAAGCCAAAGCATATCGACCAATATGCCTCCTCAGCGTGTTCGGGAAGCTATTTGAAAAGCTTCTTGCAATGCGTATGCAGTTCGATGGCCAGAAGTACGGCATCTTACACCCATGCCAATTCGGCGGTACTGTTGAACACAGTACGGTTGATGCGGGCATGCAAGTCGTGCACTTTGTGCACGAGGCCTGGGCCAGAAACATGACACCGTCCATGCTTCTGCTGGACGTGTCACAGTTCTACCCTTCCATCAATCACAAAATGATGGTGGAAATATTCAGAAAGCAAGGCTTTGCAGATGATCTCTGTGACTTCTTTGCCGACTACTTCGTGGGAAGGTTTACTAAATACCTATTCAACGGCAAAGTCACGGAGGCGACCGCTGTTCCACTAGGAATGGGACAAGGCTCGTCACTGTCACCGGTTGCATCGGGATTCTATATTGCCCCGGTGTTACATAAGCAATACCCGGTCGGGAAACCGATGCCGGGTAACTCTTCCATCCAATTCTTTGTGGACGACGGAGGGATCTTGGCTGCAGTTCCTCGGAACCTATCCAACCTTACCCAAGTAGAATTGAACTGTGTCACAATACAGGTCATATTCCACGCCCTAATGCTCGACCTTATCAGGCTTGGGCTATCTGCGGAAGCGGACAAACTCGAGTGTATCCATTTCTGGAAACACCGAGACCCATGGCGACCAGACCGGCCCTTCGGGCCAGATGTGGTGGTATCACTTGGGAACCAAACCGTCAGGGTGGTCCCCTCAGCGTCTATGAGATACCTCGGGTTCTACTTCGACCCGAAGTTGTCATTCAAATCGCATGTTCGTTTTTATGCATGCAAAGCGGCTAGCACGGTATCATCGATATCAATGCTGGGTAACTCTCTCCGCGGATTCACTCCGGCTCAAAAGAGACAATTATACATAGCGCATGTGCTTCCGCTCATTTGCTATGGTGCGCAGCTCTGGTGGAAGCCGGGCTGGAAAGGAATTGGGTGGATTCTTCGTGAATTTCACACCGCCCAAGCTCGCGCTTGCAGATGGATCACGGGGTGTTTCCGCACCACGCCCATTGGAGCAATGGAATCACTGGCGGGCCTAGTCCCCCTAAAGGAAAATATCACCCGATACATGGAGCGCTACGCGCTTCGTCTTCGAACATTAGGCGAGGGCCACCCCACAAAGGCGATCCTTGGCAAGGAATGGGTTACTTCCCAACTCAACGTCGTTATGCCCTTTATCGAGGGCAGCCGCAAGGCATCTCGCACGCCGCTAAGGGCGTTTGCAAAAATTGCTGAACGAAGTAATGAGGAGTTCTCCCACTACAGCGACGCTTGTCGACCTGGAGACCGGCTCATCGATCTAGATGACAACCGAATCCAGAAGATGTTCTTCAGCCGAGACAAACGAGACCGGCACAAGAAGCATGACGACCCTCCTCCGAAAAAGAAGGATGGAAAAATCAGCAAGCAGTTCAGAGCGTGGATCAAAGACACCTGGACTCCCCGCACCTTCGATCTTATCTTCGATAAGAACACTTTAGTGATGTGGACTGATGGATCTGCACTCATTGACCGGGACAACCCGGACAACACGCGATGTGCTTCTGCGTGGATTATCACAAAGGAACTTCGTAAGGTTGCAGAAGGCGCATTTAGCGCCGGACGCGCTACTAGCTACGACGCCGAGGTTCTTGCCTCTGCGAAGGCAGCCAACAAAGTCTGGGAGCATGTCGAAGGCAGCACAGAAACACTCATCTTCGCAAGTGACAACATTGGTAACTTGCAGAAGATCATGAAGCCGGGTAAGGGTCCAAGCCAGCTGGCCGCCCTCATGGCAAACCAGGAAGCTGCACGTTTCCTGGAAGGAAGGCGTGACCGAAAGGTCATCTTCTTATGGAGCCCATCACACGTGGGCATTCTTTGGAATGAAGCAGTCGACAAACTCGCTTCAGACCTTGTTAACGATCGGGATGTTCCGATTGCTGATATAGTTTCCTTTTCTTTTGCCCAGCAAGGCATCCGAAGGGAGATGTTACGCGCGTGGGCCCGGGAATACAAACACCCGGACCACGTACAGAAAGCCAACGTTAGAGGGGTCCCCGACCCCTCTATCCTATCTCGCCCTAATAAGTACTTGGGCAACAAGATGTGGTGGCATAAGCAGCTGAAGCCATCCAATGTCCGTAACCAATCGTTCTTATTTAAGACGAAAGGTCTCAAGTTTAGTAATCAGAAAACGGCAAAAATTGCACGTTTACTGACTAATCACTTCCCTTGCGGGGAATACCGAGAACGGTTCCGGAAAAATGGACCAATCAAATGTTTGTGCGGACGCGGCGGACATAAAGAAACCCGCGATCACATACTCTTCAAATGCCCGTTTTGGATACGGGTTAAAAAGCACAAGCGCTCTCCATTCATCGGCCCGTTTGGGTGGAAGCAGCGACATGTGGACACCTATTACAGCAGGACCCAGCGTGGCTGGGCCCCCAGTGACATCGTGGATTTCGCCTATATGAATCCATTAGCAGCCACCTTCGAGTGGGCAGAGATCCTGTCCAAATGTAAGGATGATGAAACTCGCGGCGACATGCTTACCCTTAATTGGGCGCGACTACATGCCCACACAGTTTGGCGCCAAACACAATGGCTCAATCTGAAGGGGCGTATTGAGAAGGGAGGCATCCATGATAAGCCTTTCTCTAAGGATCACGATGACGTCATCAAATTCTTTGATGAAATCAACGACAAAGCTGAGATATTTGCTCAGCATCTTTCATCACAGTGGGAGCACGACAAAGAAGTGCTTGCCCGGTTTGATGCTATGCCACGTCATGTGGTAGACGCCGGTGATGTTCCCGACGAGGAGGTGGATGAGATGTTGCGTGTCCTAGACCGACATCCTCTGCCTCGTATTGATTCGCTTCTAGACTCGGCGGCTGGCCTTACGGCTGACGCCAGTCAGTTGTCAGACGAATTCGTACCTAACCGGTCTCCTGTTGGACAGCCGGGCGATGCCCTCTGGTTCACCCCGTCACCAGGCGGGTGAATGCGTCGAGGGACTCTCTATTATTATACTCTACATGTGCCTATGTTGTACGGAGTCTAAACCCGGTGAATAAAAAAAAAAAAAAAAAAAGAGTCTGAGTCACAGTCGCTGTCAATAGAAATTCTTGACGGGCGCGAGTGCCGTGCGGTCAATCCAGTATCGCGATTCGGGTCGGAGGAAGCAGGCTACGAGTGTACAACAGATAGGTATCAATAACAATGCGACAGCAATCAGCCTTTCCCTACGATACAGATATTATACGAGGACGACTGCATACCAGAACATATCGGAGTAATAGACAGAGACAGAAGGGGGGACGACGAGGGGGAGGGGGGACATGTATACGATGTGCACGACCGCCGGATACTATACGCCCAAGCAGCACGGAGAGTAACTTTGACAAGAACACGAGAGCAGCAGCTAAAGAGAGATCCAGATATCATCATCAAAACAACCGCGTCCGTCCCACCAGCCTCAGGGCTACTGCCCCCAGTTATTAAATATATCTGCGAAATCGGTCAGCCCGCCCTGGTCCGACTGCGGGCTGTTTTGTGCCATCGTCTGGCCCGGCGCGGGCGTCGCCGACATCTGGCGCGGGGTCATGGAGGGATCGGAGTGATGCTGGCTCGCGCCTGGTGATGGCGCGACAAACGGGAACTGCCCGTTGCCTAGACCGTTGGCATTCTGTTGCCACTGATTTTGGCCGCCTGCTCCAGGCTGGGGCGTGCCACCCATCCCTGCTTGCATCCCGCCACCAAACCCGCCTCCCGGGCCCGCGCTGTTCGGCGGCGACATCCCGTACGATCCCTGGCCCTGGCCCATCGGCGACATCTGCTGCTGCATGTTCTGCTGGAAGTTCATCTGCGGCATGCCCCCGCCTGCGTTCTGCTGCTGCATCATCTGCTGATGCGCCATCCCGCGCTGCTGGGCCTGCTGCATCATCATCGCCCGCTGGAGGTCGTCTGGCGTGTGCCCCGATATCCGCTGCGACATGCCCGCCGCTGGTGATGGCGCCGAGTCCGACGGCGTCCTCGTGTTCCTCGCGATCCCGGACATGGACGGATTCGACCGCAGCGCCGGGATGTGCCCCGACGCATCCATCGCGCCCGGCATTTGCATGCCTGCGTTCGCGTTCATGCCGGCCTGCGCCATCCGCTGCTGTTGTTGCTGCTGCATCCGCTCCTGTGCCGCAGCCATCATCTGGGGGTTCATCATCCCCGGATTCGACATGCCGCCATTGCGCATTTGCTGTTGCTGCATAAGGTACAGCTGCTTCTGTTGGGGCGTCATATTCGCGAGGAACGCTTGCTGTTGCGGTGTCAGGCCAGCTCCGTGCATACCCATACCCGAACCCGCTCCCTGGTTCCCGTACGGATTGCCACCGGCCGAAGAGGATCCCGGCATGGATGCTTGCTGCATTGACCTCGTAGGGCTGATCTGCCCCGGCGACATTCCGGCGTTTGCGAGCATGCCAGGGTTCATCATGTTCATGTTCTGCATCGACCCGCCGGACTCCTTCGCCATCCGTTGTTGTCGCTGCTGAAGGATCATCTATTAAGTACGATCGCACAAGTCAATGTGGGCACTGCCGCACGCCGCTTTGAGCAGTACATACCTGAGCGTTCTGAATATGCTGCAGCTGTTGCGGTATTGGTAGGTTCGTGAAGTTCTGGACCTGCTGCGTCAGGTACTGCATGAGCGGATGGTTCGGGGTTTGCAAGATCTGATATTGCCGCATCAGCATCGGGTTGCCCTGGCTCTGCTGCTGCAACATCGCGAGATTGCCCTGCTGTTGTTGCTGCATGCCACCCATCGACGACGGACCCGCCATGTTCGACATCCCCATCCCGCCCTGCTGAGCGTGAGGCGGCGACATCTGTCGGTTGCTCTCGGCGAGTTGCTGCTGCTGTTGCTGCATGTGTTGCCGCTGCATTTGAAGTTGCATTTGCCGAGCCCGTTCCCGCGCTGCGAGCAACTGAGCTTCGTTCGCGCCGCCCATCATGCCTGTCGGTGCCGATGGTGGCGGCATGGCAGGACTGCCTAGTTGCGGAGCTGGTGTCCCCTGTAATGAGGGCACCGCGCTCAGCGGGTTAGCAGGGTTGTGCCCCATACCAGGGTTCATGTGTGGCGTCACCGCGTTCGAGAGTTGCGGGGTCGATGCGATCGGTGTTGACAGCTTCGAGTCGCCGGTATCGCGTCGCTTGTTCGCTAGGTCTGGGAAGAGCTCGTCTGGGCGGTTGCGCTTGAGGCCATTCTGGAGATCGCCTGGTAGTGACATGCCATGTGAGGCGGCACCCGCTTGTGCGCGACGTGCGATCTCTTTGGCAAATGCGGCGGACATCTCGGAGTAGAGTTGGTGTATTCGATCCATGGAGAGGAAATCGATTCGAGGCGGAGGCGTCATCTTTGGTAGAGGCACGTTATTCCGACCCTGGACCAAAGTTAAGCGACGCAGAATTGCTATTGGCAAGGTTCGAATACCCACCTTCTCCTTCCCGTCTGCAGCTGCAGCTAGCCAAGCTAGGTTCGACTGGACATGCGCACCATATCTGAAAATACTTCTCAGTAAGAGGGCATTATGAGCGCACGCATACACGTACTGAGAAACCAATGGGTTTTCGCTCGAGTACCCGCGGTTCAGCAAAGCCGTCATTACACTGTGGCGCGGTGAACATCTGGACATGATGGGTACCGCGAATGTGCATACCTCAGCAACTGGTTGTTGAGCTCCAGGGTGGTGACGACCTTGGGGTCTAGCTTCGCGCCGGCGGAGGCCGCAGAGACATGGTTCGGAAGCGTGACGTCGCTTCCCAAGGATGCGATATCTGGCTGGGAGAAGGGACTCGAGACCGATGACGACGACGAATGGATGATCGACGATCCTCTGGCGTCCGAAGCAAATTTGGCGGGATTCGAATGGGACGATGATGCCTCAGGCGGTGCTTCGCGTGGGGATTGTGCGTTTGACGCAGCTGATGCATGACCCTTGCTCGTTGCGCCCTGTGGGGCACTCTTGTTAGGACCATCAGCCTCGTGTGTCTCCTTGTGGCCGCTCGGAGATGGTCCGCCAACGGACGCCCCTCCTTCCTTTGTCTTGTACTCTTCCTCGTCATCAGGAGCAGAGGAAAGCTCACTGAGTGGTGTAGATGCACGCGATGCCTTGTCCACCTCCTCTGCAGAGCTTCCTTTGTCCCCCTCCGTCGGCGCTTCCACCTCTCCTGCCGCCTCGCCTCCACTACCTGGAGGCTTGTCACCATTCGAGCCTGGGTCCGACGCTGCTGCCGCTGCCGCCGCCGCACTGGGTGTCGCTGCGTCTGGTGGTGGGCTGAGAGAAGACGACGTGTCGGCGACTGGGGAGCGTGGGTCTGCAGGACTTGAGGGCGACGGCTCTGGCAGGTTTGGTTCTTCTGCGTCGCCAGGAGTGATAGGGCCGTGATTGGCTGTTGCTGGAGCCGGTTGGTCTTGCTTTTGTCCTGGGGCTGGATCAGAAGGTATCGTGTGTTTCGCGGGGTCGCTTGTCAGAGCGAATGGTTCCTGGGAGTCGTGATAGAAAGTTGTGTCGGTGCGGGTGGATGGCGACCAAGAGAGGAGGGAATGCTGATCAGCATGGGGTGGGTCCGCCAGTATCAAATTAGACTTTGAATGCCCAGCGATAGCAGAAGGGTGGCCGCGATCGAGATGTATCATAGTAATCTGAATCACCGGATATGAGGCGAGAACACAGGGGTCCTCGCAACGGGCTGGTCGTCAGCGAGCGGCCGAGGCGTCCGGAGAGGGCGCGAGGAGGGCAGCCGGATGCGGAAGGAGGCGTGGAGGGCGAGGGCGTGTGTTCAGCGGGCTGGCGAGCCAAACGGGGCCGGGCTGGCAGGGACCGAGGGGGCAAGCTCGAGGGAGGAGGAAAGCGGTGCACGCGGCGCGCCCTCGTGAGACTTTCCAACCACCCGCGCCGAGTCTGGGAGCGCCCCCGCCAGCGCCCGCCCGCCCACTCGCACCGTCGCTCGCTCGCGGGACACGCTCTCTCGCCTTCTTATATACACCCGCACAAGCATGGCGCGTCGGGTCCTCGCGCAGATCGTGGCACCGAGGACACATTACGCAGCGTGATCGATTTCATCGACGGGCCTCCTCTGATCACGGAATCTGCCTCCATTCGGACGCGGAATGAAACGAGCAGGCGAAGATGCCATCTCGTGCACAATGGAAGAGCCTACTGAGACTCGATAAGAGAACCTTAGTTGAAGTGGGAATCCGCCAGACAACACCTCGAGCGCGCCCGATCGCTACATCACCGCAGATACATCCCAAGACTTTCCCCGCACGAACAGGTGCGCCGCACCCCATTGGATACTCTGACCTTCCCCTGCCGCTTCAGCTATCACCAGACACGGCTCCTCTGTGCGTGGGGGAATGTACGGTCCATGTGGGAACCGCTCTGCAGTGTACGTCTTAGCAGGTGAAGCTCGCCTGCTGTCAGAGTATCAATCAACTCCTTCTGTCAGGCCATGCTGCCGAGAACCAACTCTGTCGTTCCTGAGAACAGCAGTCTATTGTATGGCAAGAAGACTGTTGCGACCCGCACATTTGTGGCACAAGGCACACTCGATCTGTCGGTGCAGTACCTGGCCGAAGATAGTCTAGGTCACTGACCTGCATGACCACAGGATCTCGGAGGCAGCGAAGCAATTGCCTGACTAGCCTGTCTGTCTCTCAGTAGCATGTCTCGTCGTTGAGGCTATAGTGTAGCCGCACTTGTGGTCAACGAACATGCGTACCGTCCTATGTAACATACCTGAACCGTCTGTGAAAGCGGAGTCTTTGAGGGCCAATATGAATCCATACAGTTTCATAGGCGCATCTGCGTCATGACTCATATACACACAAAATGACGCGGCATATGGAGGCCCTGAATCTGAACCCAAAATCAAATCATTCACAGGTGGTAGGACGTACATGTGTACTTACGGCAGACGGACGCAGAACATGAGCTTCAAGTTCGAGGACGCAGTGGCACAAGCCGTTTGCTGCGACGCCACACGGTACGAGCGCCTGTGTCACGTGCCACGAGCGCTCACATTTCCCAAAGGGGCTCCGAGCCGAGCAAATCCACCAACGCTGTCCACCAAGTCTCTGACCAGCAAGAATGTGAGTATGCTTCACCGTCCTGCCGAAACGTCGAACCGGATATGCTCCATGAGTGTCTCACTTTGCTCTGGCGAGGAAACGCGGCCAGTTTAGGCCTACTTATGGGCTGGATGCACTCGGTCTCGTCTGGATGCGCCTCTACGCTTGATACGCGACTTGTACAAACTCTCAACATTTGCTGATACTCTCTACGCAGAACGAACAATGGGCAGGGTCATTCGGGCACAGAGGCGGTCTCATGCCATCGTAAGTGTTCTGTATCTCGTACGGAGAACTTACAATAACACATCCTCTACAATCTACAGTTCAAGGCGCATACGCACCACAACAAGCAGCCGGCGCAATTCCGTCCGCTCGACTTCGCAGAGCGCAACGGCTACGTTAAGGGTATTGTGAAGGAGATCATCCACGATGCTGGTCGGTGCGTGCAGTCTGAGCCGGTTTCTGGCGCAATATGCTGAGCGATAATCGTAGTGGTGCCCCCCTTGCCCGTGTCGTCTTCCGCGACCCCTACAGGTACAAGCTCCGCAAGGAGACTTTCGTCGCAACTGAGGGTCTCCACACTGGCGCCTTCGTCTACTGCGGCAAGAAGGCGCAGCTCGCCGTCGGCAACGTGCTCCCCGTCTCGCAGTGCCCTGAGGGAACCATTGTGAGCAACGTCGAGGAGAAGACTGGCGACCGCGGTGCGCTCGCCCGGACGTCCGGCAACTACGCGACCGTCATCGGCCACTCCCCCGATGAGAACAAGACCCGCATCCGTCTCCCCAGCGGTTCGAAGAAGACCGTCTCCGGCAGCTGCAGGGCGACGATCGGTATCGTTGCTGGTGGTGGCCGTATCGACAAGCCTTTGCTCAAGGCTGGCCGTGCATTCCACAAGTACAAGGCCAAGCGCTACAAGTGCGTATCTTGCGTTACTAGTCTTCGCACCGGTTACTGAATGATTTTGCAGCTGGCCCCGTACTCGTGGTGTTGCTATGAACCCCGTCGACCATCCTCACGGTGGTGGTAACCACCAACACATTGGTAAGGCGTCGACAATCGCTCGCTCTGCCGTCCCCGGTCAGAAAGTCGGTCTCATTGCCGCCCGCCGGGTACGTACATGTCATTGCATCGTATCACGTCCGAGCGCTCATAACATAATGTCTAGACCGGTCTGCTCCGTGGTACGGTCAAGGTCAAGGAGGTCTAAGAGCTTGTCGTCGGATTCTGTCTACCTTGCTGTCTATATGCCACGATACTTTTCCACGCACCAAAAGCTATGTATGCAGCGGTTGCATATGCATCATGACTTATGCTTTGCCTACGAATGCTGCTTATGCGCGAAGTCGGGAGATTCGGCCACTTCTGAGTTCCGTTCATTCTCCAAGCAGTGGATCTTCGGTGCCCTCGCAAGTGTAAGTAAGAGCACTCTGCTTGTACCAAGAACAGTTCATAAACTTGTCACAACATCGCCTTGCCCTCCAGCTCATACAACCAGGTTACCATCAGTATCTGACCACTTCGAACATCCATCAGCTGCCCCTGCAAGCTCGTCCGCCATCTTCCTTACGACAGCGAGACATTGTTGACTACGGTGTCCAGTTCGTTGTAGGCTGGATACGGGGCCATGCGACGTTGTCTGGACCTGCCGTGCGGAAGGCTCCGGGCTGGATGATACTGACCTGTTCAGGAGTAGAGATTGTCGGTGCCGCTTGTGTCAGCCTGGTGATGTGCTCACTTTGATGTTCCATTCGGGGCGGAGCGAGCTCGCTAGGGCTTCGCTCATTCGGTCCAATGCTGACGGAGATTCTCAGGCATGTCCAGGTGAAGCAAAGCGATGCGCATACCGGCCTTCACACCGTGACTGTAGTGCCCCCACATCAGGTTACCCACAAGACTCGCTATGGGCGACACCTGCAGTAACCTGCTCCCTGTGGGTTCGCCCACTTCGCGGAAAATTACGAGTCGCACCGCTGCTTTGCTGACGTCCGTCGTTGACCTCGAACATCGCGCGCACGACTTCGTCTTCGGCGCTTTCCACCTCGTCCGTGATCGAGTACCCGGCATGATTGAGGACCACGTCTATACGCGCGCCCGAACGTCCTCTCGGCGGCTGCGAAGGCGTCCTTGATAAGTCCTGTGGCTTCATGACTTCGAGCTCAGGACGACTCGGAGCAGCTTGCTTGGGCTGTGCTGTGCGGCGATGTGGCCTTGCTGGAGCACGGAGCTCCGTCATGATTCGACCGAAGCCTGTTGACTCTGATTCCTGAGGCTTCGGTGACTGTGGTGACGTCAGGCTTAAGCCTCTGCTTTGCTTGTACTCGAAACTTACTGCTACTGACTGGACCATACTTTCTCAGAGATCGATCCCGAGTTGTGGACGTGGAGGATAATACATAACTTAAGCTGAGGGTCGTTACTCACAACGTTTATGACTCGTGCCGCGTTATTCTTAGTTCGTGGTTTCTGCCAATGTTGCCAGTCTCATAGGGTGTAATGGTGAGCCCGAAGGCATCTTCGAACAACCATTTGAATTACATAGGCTGGGGCATGGAGAAGTACGAGTACGTCTGATCCTGATAGCTCACATCGATGTTGTCATTTTTTCTCACTCGATCTCAAGTAGACTACGAATGTGCCATCGCTTGTCATAAGCTGGCACGCATTCAAAAATGCAAATTATCAGCTGCGGTGCCCAATCTTACATCGTCAATGAGGCTGGATCGTCACGAACAAGTCAGATCCCCCTCTTCAAGCTTTCGCGTCTAGATCCTCCGACCAAGAGGCAAACCGATCGATATCCGCGAGTAACTTGGCAGCTTTCCCCCGAACTCGCTCCACGGCATCCTTGCCCAGGACAAGGTGAAGTGGAGGGTCAGGAAGCTGAGCGATCCGGTATATCGCGGCCACGGCCTTGCCAGCGTCCGCTGGCGTGTCGAAGCTATCCTCTTTGACCCACTCGCGAACTTTGGTCGTCGTCGCTGTCGACTTCGTATAAGCGGGATGCGGAGGTATGCGTACGAGGTTGCTGATCGCGGACGTCCCAAAGTTGCCAGGTTCGATGAGGACAATCTAACGAGGAAATCATTGGCAGGCTCGTTACCGTGCGGAATGCACATACCTTGATCTTCCATTCAGGTTCAACCTCCTCTGCTAACGCCGTACTGACGCCTTCCAGCGCTAGATCGGCGTGCTTCTGGTCGGTATGTTACATAGAGTACCGCAAACACCATGACTCACCGTATTTACTAGCGCTGTAGTGACCAAAGGTTGGGTACGCATAGAGACCGAGAAGCGAGGACACCTGCAGCAGCGTCCCACCAGCGGGTTTGTTGACGTCTCGGAAGACATGTACCGCCTGATTGCTGACGTTCACCGCCCCCCACACGTTGACGTCGAAGAGTGCGCGACCTGCTTCCTCTGGCGCGCCTTCGACTTCGCTCAGCATGGAGTAGCCAGCGTTGTTGAATACGACGTCTATGCGGCCAAATCTCTCGACGGCCTCGGAGAATGCGTCGTGGATCTCCTGAGGCTTTGTGACGTCAAGTTTGAGCACGAGGAGCCTGCCTGCGCCATGCTGGAAGGACAACTCGGCCAAGGCTTCGGGCTTTCTCAGCGTAGCGACCGCCGAATCGCCATTCTTGAGGACGAGCTCCGTCATGAGCCGTCCGAAGCCGCTGGACGCACCAGTGACTATATGTATGGTGAGCAATTCATGGAAGACGATTTGGTCGTGCACTCACTGAACCAAACTTTGCCTGTCATACTCAGTAGCCTCAGTATAAAGTGAAGGAATATGCTTCGGCAGAAGACTGGTACAATGGCGACTGCCATTCCTTCATCTCTTTATACGCCTCGTTGTCCCGCTGTATCTCAGATGACTTTGTCATGACTTACGTGCTCACCCTGTGCTCACCTATCTTTCCACCCTCTTGTTTCCCGACATGTCATCTCAGTCGGAGCATTGAATAGCGTTGAACGGCCTGACAGTGAGAGCCCTGTCAAAGGTAGTCTCGGGCGGCGATACACAATACGATACGTACATGCGTGTATTGCGCCATCGTAGCCTTACGAACCTACCATCGTAAGTCGACTTTAACACTGCTGATAGCTCTGTAAAACGGCGAGGTCGCGGAGCCCCGATGACACCGGGCTATGTTCGAACACCGAGTCATTCGGGGAGGCTCTGGGAAGTACTGTAGAATCCATGAGAGAAGTCTCGTTCGCGAGGAAATTCTGGGCACACATGCTCACATTCGACGAAGTGTTCTGAGCAGACAACGCTCTATATTTCGCATGTAATGCACCGTCAGGTAGCAACTTGAACAGACATTGATCAAGCGCCGGTGAGTCGCAAACTCGGCGTCGTCACCAATCGTCGAATGTCGCGCTCCGACAGCGCCCCATCATTGCAATGGCCCTGCAGGCGCACTATAGATAGATTGCAGTTGGAACGACGATTCACCATAGTATGATCGCAAGCCTTCGAATCACGTTACCGACTTCAGAATTGAACCTCGTCAACCCCCATTCCATCCGACCACGATGCGAATTTGTCGGTCTCCGCCAGCATGCTGGTAAGCTTTCTTTTCACGATGTCGATTCCCTGCTGGCCTAGGGGTAAATGAAGCGGTGGGTCGGGGATGGTCGTCAACTTATACATCGCCGCCACGGCATGGGTAGGATGCGGAAGCTGCTTGAAATTCTCTTCATTGATGATGGAACGGACCACTGCAGGCATCGAGTTGGGTTTTGCGTAAGGTCCTTGCAGAGGCACACTTGGCAAGTTCGTGCTGACAGCTCCGGTGCGGAAAGCTCCCGGTTCTATGAGGGTGATCTATAGGCATCGGGTGAACACAGCATCACCTTTCACTCATATTTGCTGTTCACCTTGACATTCCATCCCGGATCAAGCTCTCCTGCCAGCGCTTCTATGACACCATGCTTCGTCGCGCTGTAGAAGCCAAAAGCCGGGAAGCCTTGTATAGCGGAGGAAGAAGAGACCTGCAGAAGGTGCCCCCCGGCCGTTTTGTTCACGTCGCGGAATACGCGCAGTGTTTCCTTTGCAACGTTCACGGAACCCCAGAAATTCGTCTCGAACATCTCCCGTGCCATGTCCTCGGGTGCGTGCTCGACTTTGTGCCCAGCATTGCTGAACACCACGTCGATACGTCCGAAATGATCCACCGCTGCTCCGAATGCCTCCTTGATCTCGTGTGCTGACGAGACGTCAAGCTTCAAAACAAGGACTCTGTCTGAGCCGTATTGTGCCGCGAGATCCGCGACGACCTCTGGCTTTCGAAGTGTCGCAGCTGCCTTATGTCCTTTCTTCAGCACCAGTTCAGTCATATGCCGGCCGAAACCCGATGACGCTCCAGTAACTGCCACATTATGAACGATCAGCTGTATGAACAGAATGCAATAGAAGGAAACTTACTGAACCATACTTGTGAATCGGTAGCCATAGTCGAAGGTGGGGATAGATGTAGTAGAGCACGTTCGAATGAATCGATAGCGACCTTTGATTATGGACCCGCTCCTGGGATGCCCGGTGTCTTGCAATGTGCCGTCTATGATGTTGCATGCGAATTCACGTACGGGAATCAACATGCAATTGATACAAAGGACACGATGCAGCCGGTTGCAAAGGCTCGAAAGCATAGCGGGGGATGAAAAAGTCCGAGACATCATTGAAAGGCCAGCGCGTTACCAAACTATCGCCGTGAAACAAGAAGCCGGGTCTTCGTGTATAGCGAAGGCAGAAGAATGCCGGTACTTACAGTCGTAGATTGCAAGACATACCGTGATAGCACTCTGGTTGAGTACGTACCGCGGTGTTCGACGCTACGTTGGAATGGAAACATGCCAGATTCAGCGAAAACAACTTCATACTTGACTTTGACGACCCATGCCGGATCAGAAGCCTGCTGAGAAGGTACGCGGCTACATCGACAAGTCATCCGACCACACTCCGTACTTGTTGGCGTCCTCCAGCGCGTTGGTCAGGGTGTCCCGCATGATCCTAACCGCTGCCTTCCCAAGAGGAAGATGTGCCGGCGGGTCCTCTAGAGTCGACAGTCTGTAAATCCGGCTAGCTGCTTCGGACGCCTCCGGCATTGTCTGCACGAATTCTGGGGTCATGTTCCTCAACCTTGCAGAGGGCGACTCGGTGTAGGCGTAGGCGGGATGTAGGGGCGTAGATACGACGTTCTGATCGATAGCGGGGGTGCGGAAGAGGGACGGTTCGATGTTCGTGAACTAGGGGGGAACGAGTTCGGTTGTCTGCGAGTCAGACCTTCATACTGCCAAGACACACCTTGATGTTCCAATCCGGCGACACTTCTGCAGCTATTGCCCCTGTGAGCCCGTTCAGAGCTAGGAGGGATCTCAATACCTACGATGATTCAAGGTTGGCACTCCAACAGGGACGGCTCACCGTGTTTAGCTGCTCCATAGTATCCCAGCGTCGGGGGGGCTCGGATGCCAGCAGCAGAAGACACCTGCAAGAGGCGTCCTCCAACAGGCCTGTTCACGTCTCGGAAGACACGGACAGCCTCCCTCGTGACATTCGCCGCGCCCCAAAAGTTTACCTCGAACATCGTGCGCGCTGCATCATCCGGTGTGCCTTCTACCTCGGCCATGACCGCGTACCCGGCGTTGTTGAGCACAACATCAATGCGCCCGAACTGCTTGATCGCGGCGGCGAAAGTATCTTTGATCTCCTGCGCCTGCGCGACGTCGAGCTTGAGGACAAGCAGCTTGTCTGAGCCGTATTGCTTCGTGAGGTCGGCAAGGACCTCGGGTTTGCGCAAGGTCGCGACGACGATATCTCCCTTCTGGAGCACGAGCTCGGTCGTCGCACGGCCGATGCCTGTGGACGAACCGGTAACTGTGTAGCCCCATAAGTTATCACGCATACAACGACACTGACTGCTAGTAGACTCACCGAACCAGACTCTTGCAGACATCTTGACGGAGCACTGAACGTTTGGGCCCATCCTGTGGTGGACATCATGCACTTATGTATAAGTACCTCCCTATCGGGGCCGCGCAGCACTGGCAGAGCGGCCCTGCGGCTGTGATTCGTCTCCGCGTTGCTGACCAAAAAGAGTTACTCTCGTTTGGCTGTGACACTGATGAGACCGGTACCACCGATACTAGTAGTAAGCTCTGGCCAAAGGTTACCAGGTGGCATCAAAGCTCTCAAATGGGAGACAGCCGCCGAGCGCACGACGACAGATCCCACCGGAGACATCGGTCAATGCGACACCGTCCCTCAAATCGGGCTAAAACCCTACCGCAGCTTGTGACCACTGGTAACGTACTGAAGCTGAAGTACTGAGGGTTGTCATGAGCTAGCGTACTCTGAAATCTCGTCTAGCCAAAATTTGCGCCCGCATTTGTGCCTCTGGGACGATCAAGTTACATACTATCGATGTCTCCGGTGTCCAAGAAACCGCAGCGGTGCAGCCAAGGCATAGCTTACTGCATTCCTCTTACTCGATCATTCGGGCCAGCGTGAACGGAAGGCAGTGCGACATAGACGAATGGGCTTTGAAGCATGGCTGCAGAGCGACTCACCCGAGCACATTGCGTTCCGGATCCGCATTGATTTCCAGGAGCATTCATAACGCTGAAGCCGTGGAGTTTAACTGAGACCCTGCAGGCTGCTAGTGCTTGCGATGTCGACGGCCGGCGGTGCCTAAGAAGTCGTCAACAATCAATGGATCTGCACCATCTGTCCAAAGGTTGAGTGATGGAGTGTAACGAAGCTTGATAGTGTCACCACGTTCATGCAGACCGAGTCAGTGAGATCACGCCCATTATAGTGGAACCGTACCATCCGAAGGGTATCGGCACTAATCACTCTATTGTAGCCACGCTCCGAGTCCAAGCCCGCAAGCCGCACTGCGCTACGGCGCATGCGCACTGTTCGACAAAGCCCATCTAGATTTAATCAACGTCGGGCAGATTATGTGTCGGCAATACATGTTCATAGTTACACCTTTCGATATGCTTTCATCCCGCTCACCAGGGTCCCGGTCGCGGGGGCGCGTCACCGCGCCGCCTCCTCCATCTCCTTGCGCCAGCGCTTCTGGATGTCGATGCTCTCGCGGAAGATCTTGTACTTCGCCTCGAGCAGCTTCTTCTCCTTCGCGTTCGCCTTTGGCGGGACGCTCGTCGCCGTCGGGGTCATCTCGATCTAGCGCCCCGTCAGCTTCCCTCCACACGCCAACCACGACTGGTCGACGCACCATGATGTCCCACAGCGCCTGCGCCTGGTCCTCCGCGCTGAGCTTGCCCAGCTCGCCGACGCTGTTCGCAAAGCGGCCGAGCATCGCGGAGCCGAGGACGACCGCGTCGCCGCCGCTCTTGGGGAGCACGACGGGCATGTTGCACGTGTTCGCGAAGAGCTGCATCAGCATCGCGTTCTTCGCCTGCCCGCCGCTCATGTAGATCGCGGTGATGTCGTGCCCCGCGGCGTTCATGGAGTCGACGATGTGCCGCGTCTGCAGCGCGATCGCCTCGAGCGTGAGGTTGAACTTGCGTGCGAGGTCGCTCAGGCCGTCGTCCTGTAGGAGGCGGGTGAGTAAGCGTGCTGGGTAGAGGGACGGTGAGCGGGGATTACGCACGAGTGCAAGACCGGAGATCGAGCCGCGCATACGCGGGTCAGCGATGGGCGAGCGGTTGCCGTGCAGATCCGGGTAGAAGTGCATGTCCTTCGTGAGCTCGGTCCACGTCGCCACGCCCTCCTCCTTGCACAGCTCGTTCAGCTGGTTCGCGAGCACTGTACGCGCGTGTGTCGTCAGTCAAAGCCGACGAGGCCCATGCTAAAGGTACTGCGAACCTTCATGAATGCTTGTCTTCTGCTCTTCTGCAAGCTCTTGCAGTTTGGGGTATGCGGGGTGGGTCCGAATCATAAAATCGATGAGCTGACCGGTGGAGGACTGGCCGCCTTCGTTCATCCACCATCCAGGCATAACCGCGTTCTGGGATAAAGAGCATCAGTGATACGCTGAGTCTCCGTGGCTGTTGCCTACCTTATATGGGCCCCATACACCGGGAACGAAAACACCCTCTTTACTCTGCACGGGTCTCAGGATACGTTCAGAGAGCGGAGTAGGGCAGACTCGCCTGTACGATGTGACATGTACTGGTACCGGCACAAGCCGCCAGACGGTGCCGCGACTCATCAATAGAGGGCACTGCCGAAAGCTTGCGGCCTTCCTCGTATCGTCCGGCTACAGTACCCAGCCATCCCGCATAGCTGTGACCTATGAGTTCCGACGCATATAGTCAGTACTTTGAAGGTACTCACGCATCAATGACACCGCTTCCCACAGGGGTGCCCTCCAGCAGGCCGAGCTCCTCCGCGGCTTTCTTCGACAGACCCTGGCCTATGGGTATACCCGCCGTGAGGACGTTTGATTCATGCGCACCAAGCTGCTTGAAGTTGTTTCCAACGAACTCGCCGAGCCCAATCTTTTCGAAGAAGTCGGGCTGCCAGCCGTTCTTCGTCGGCACGAACGAGCACTTGCACGTCACAGAGCAGCACGAGCGGGTGTTGTCTCCTGTCGCCTTGTAGGTGAGGAAGTCGGGCAGGTCGAAGAACTGGCAGCGCGCAAAGCGCTCAGGAGCCATGTGCTTCTTGAGCCAGAGGGTCTTCGGGATCTCCATTTCGAGCTGGGCGGGAGATCAGCATGCGCTGCAGCGGGAATAGCTCGGGGACACATGCGTACACTCATGACGCCGCCGACATAGTCGAGCACAGTCGCTCCGGTGCCGTTGATGAGGTTCGCCTCTTCCTCGGCGCGGTGATCAGCCCAGAGGATGATGTTCCTGTCGCCGATCTCTCCGAGCTTGTCGCCCTTCGTGACGACGACAGGATCGCCGTTCATGTCCGAGACAGCCAGCGAGCACGTTGCGTCGAAGCCGAGACCCTTGACGTCCGATGGCGCGACCTTAGCCTCTGCGAGGACGGCACGGATGGTCTTGCACATGCCATCCCAGATGTTGTTGGTGGATTGCTCGAAGATACGATGATCGTTGGGATCGCGCCAGGTGATGGTGGACTCGGTGGAGGACGCGAGGAGGGTGCCGTCGTCTTGGACGAGCCCGGCGCGGACAGAGCCCGTTCCAACGTCGATTCCAATGTAGTAGTTGCGGGGCATGGCGGATGGCGTGGTGGTGGGAGAGAGAGGTGGCGTGGCGGGGAGGAGTGAGCGAAGCACCCCGCGCCCGAAGAGCAGTCGCCGGACGCGGTCTCGGGCGATCGCGAGGGTCCGCACAGGGACCGCCGGGCCGCTCGCCACCCCCCAAACCCCAACCTCGCTCTATGGCCTCCGTCGGCATTTGCCTCTTCTGGCCATCATACTGAACGCCTGCCCTCTCCGCCACACGCCACACCGTCAGAGTGGTCTCTTTCCCGACCTACGCCAGCATTCTTTGTCCTTTTTCAGTGTCAGTCCGCACAGTTACATAAAGCCGACCCCAGACTGACTGTGGAGTAAACGGCACGGCACGGGTCCAAGTACTTACCAGCGGTGACCCGAGTCGAGCGTCATACCGAGAACATCACTCCATCTGACATAAGTTACGTTGCAGCGAGGATAGGGCTCAACAAGAGGGTTTCAGTACGGCTTGAAGCCGTGGCCGTCTCCTCACTGATCTACAGTATCAATGTGAGTGACTGGTGTACGTATAAATGCACATGCATATGGACTGAACTCAGTAGCATATTATGTACTGCTCAGGTCGGGCCCGTGGTCGAAGAAGAGCAGTCACACCCTGATAGATTCCGAGGCCACATGCCCACTGCCCAGTATACATCATTCGTAGATTCCATTTGCCGCCAGCGGCCTCAGGCTAGCGTACCGATGTGAGATGAGCTCGGACAGCTCAGGCTCTGCGGTTAGCGGGTGCGTCTGTTTATGTCACCCGTCCTCTTACTCACAGATTAATTTACACGGGGTGTAGCACGTCGTAATTTGAGGTGAACTCAACGCGACTGATTGAACATCGCGTCCATGGCGAGATTTGAGCAACAGTACTACGCACTAAACGCCGCGGACAAAGGCGGCAGTAGGAGCAACTCGATAAGGAGGATGAATTAGTACTAGGCCGTTCTGGTAAGCTACAGTTGTCTTCTGATTCGTCGAACACCCTGACTGCCCGGGCCCGGGCTCTCCACGCAGAGTCAACTCGCACCGATCTGGACGCCGGTGTTTACACTGAGCGGCATCGTCACGGACTCAAGTTCCAGGCGTTGCCTGTTCTTTGTCGACCTGCTCAACAGCCAGACTGGAGTACATTCGCCCCCAAACAGCATGCGCAACCAATCATGTAATGACTACACTGTGGCGAAGACGTCGGACGTGCGATGACTCAGCCTGAGGATATACCGAGCAATGCGGAGCGCCGCTGCGTCTTCCACAAGGCAGAAGCTGACATAGCATTTCATGAGACAACTGGAAGCACATACCCGTCAATCATTTGGTTAAGTCCGCAGGGCGGGCCCGGTCCCGGTGTCGACGCTGCATGTATGCGCTCGTTAGTCATAGTCAAAGGTATTGATAATGCCAACACGCTGTGTTGGTGTGGTATCCAGAGTCTTCGCTCCTCGAGGACTCACAACGTATTTGCCATCACATTCATCATACCGACAATGCCTTCGTCTAAAGTTTGGTTCAGTAAGTTAGACCCTTCATGACAACGTGCACTCGACATACAACTGACTGGTTTCTCCAGTCACCGGTTCGTCGACAGGCTTCGGCAGGGCCATGACGGAGCACGTCCTCGCCAAGGGCGACATCGCCGTCGCGACTCTGCGCTCACCCGAGGTTCTCGCGGAGCTGAAGTCGAAGCACAGCGAGGACAAGCTCCTCGTCCTCAAGCTCGACGTCTCCAAGCCGCACGAGATCAAGGATGCCTTCGCCGCCGCGGTCAAGCGATTTGGCCGCGTCGACAACGTGTTCAACAACGCCGCGTATGGCATATTCGGCGAGGCGGAGGCCGTTCCTGAGGACACGGCACGGGCGATGTTCGACGTGAACCTGTGGGGCGCCATCAACGTGAGCAAGGAGGCCGTCCGCGTCATGCGCGAGGTCAACAAGCCCGCTGGAGGACGCTTGTTGCAGATATCGTCGGTTGCGGGCATCCAGGGATTCACCGGTCTTTCCTTCTACTGCGCCTCAAAGAGTGGTAAATGTTTTATAACGTCGGCGCTCGACAGCACAACTGACCCAACTTACTAGCTCTCAATGCATTTAGTGAGGCTTTGTCGAAGGAAGTTGACCCTGAATGGAACGTCAAGGCGAGTGTTTTGAGATTTCCCGTAGTTCTCCCAATAGGTATGCTGAACCTGTGATTGTACAGGTCATCGTGGTCGAGCCCGGAGCGTTCCGTACCCCAGCGCTCTCCAAGATTATCATCGCCTTGCCTCACCCGGCCTACGAGAAACCTTTGGGAGCCTTGCGCGCCAACTACGAGTCCGAGCTACACGACTGGCATAGCATGCAGGATCCCGTCAAAGCTGTCGAGGTACTCCACAGGATTGCGGCGCTGCCTGACCCACCGCTCTTCCTCCCGTTCGGCACGGACGCCATCGAGATGGCGAAGAAGAAGTATGCCGAGATGGTGAAGGGTACGGAAGCTGTTGCTTCGTGGTCCGAGGAGTTGCGCATAGTGGGCGGCGACGCCTGAACACAATACTCTTCGTTTCGTCGTATATGAGCGTTGTTCGCTGCGTTGATGGAATCGAAATATTACTGAAGGTTCGTGCGGGTAAGTAAGGCTTCACTATAGCACCGTACAGCCCGTTGTTTCGGCGAGGACTTCGTCTGTGCAACATTGATACAGCGTGCTGATGCTCTCCTTCACCGCGGTACCGTCCGCAGCACTCCCATTGTGTCTGAATGGCATACAGGCTCCGCACGAAGCGATAGCCCTGGTTACTGCCGGCAGGGTCGAGAGCTTTCTTGAATCAGCTTGCTACATGGGGAAGAGAGCCATCAGCTGCCTTCGTGACCGCCAAAAACGGCTCACGAGACACGACTCGGAGAGATGATATTGTTCGGACGTGCATAGACGAAGTCTTGAATTTCGGATCCGACGTCCCATCGAGGAGTGACATAGGTGGCGATCTGGGATCGTGTCTGCCCATCTCACCTTGGGTACTTACCAAAACCTATGTCTTGTACGGCCCACGAACACGAAATCCAGTTCATACTTGACGGTAAATTTGAGTCCGAAGGTGGAACTTCGAAGGGCCCCCTCGCGCGTCGCGCGACGCGCGAGGGGGCCCGTACACGCTCACGTGTTCAAACGGGACACGGTGGCACTGGGGATTGGCACATTTCGCAGCCAATCAGATCGCCGAGACGTCGACGCGATGGAGACATCGCGTCCTTCTCTACTTATGATAGAGGCAGACACCATATACTTACATCCGCCTTCTCTCCCATCCGCCGTGACATATAACAAGTTACATGTATATCGAAGAGTCCAATCATGGACCTCAAGTAAGTCAACGGTGAATCATATCCAAAAGCACGTAAGTATACGGTACTTACCTGGCAACTTGAAGAGCCTCAAGCAGAATGTCCTGATGCGTACATGAAGGGAAATGCAAACAAGTTGCAAGTTGCTGTTGCGGGATCCAGCCCGCCCCAATGCCCCGGCCAGCTCGGACGCCGCCTCGCTTGCGTGCGCCGAGCGCTGCACCCATCGCGATTCAGATTAGGTTGAGGGCTTTTACTAGTATTCAAGAGCACCCTTAGTAAGTACCGATGACCGACACTTCCAGGTAGCAAAGCCCGTCCAACGGAGGAGAACCTGGTTAGTACACTGGCACAACCTCCCCATCGCTTGTACTGATACAACTCAATCACTGAGTCATTCACCGTAGAATGCGGAACGGCTCTGTACCGAGTCCCTCTGGATGACGCGCTGACTTGTCACCGCTCAGGCTCTGCGTAGATCCACGGGCGGTCTCGGCGCCGAAGTGTGCGAATTGATGCAACACGTTCGTCCGAAGAGCGCTCTGGAGGGAACGGAGACTCAGGGTGTATAAAAGACTGGGCGTACTGAGAATCGCATTCCAGCCCCCAACAACAGACCAATGTCTCTCGCTAAAGTCTGGTTAAGTAAGTCACACTTCTGATCGGAAATTAAGCGTACTGAAATCATTGATTTCCTGCAGTCACTGGCTCCTCGACAGGCTTCGGCAGAGCCATGACGGAGCATGTCCTGGCAAGCGGGGACATCGCTGTCGCGACACTTCGCTCTCCTGAGGTGCTTGCTGAGCTCGCGTCAAAGTACAGCAAGGACAGACTTCTCGTCCTGAAGCTCGATGTCTCAAAGTCCCAGGAAATCAAGGACGCCTTCGCCGCAGCGGTCGAAAAGTTCGGCCGTATCGACGTTGTCTACAACAATGCAGCAATCCCCATATTCGGCGAAGCCGAGGCCGTCCCTGAGGACACCGCGCGTGCGATGTTCGACGTGAATCTGTGGGGCGCCATCAACGTTAGCAAGGAGGCCGTCCGCGTCATGCGTGAGGTGAACAAGCCTGCTGGAGGTCATCTGCTCCAAGTCTCATCCATTGCTGGCTTCACCGCCATTCCTGGCATGTCGTATTACTGTGCTTCGAAGAGCGGTATGTATGTTGCATCCAAGCCCGGGAGTGATGTTAACGACAAGCGGAACAGGTTTGATCGCGTTCAGCGAAGCTCTGTCGAGGGAAGTTGATCCCGCCTGGAACATCAGGGTAAGTTTGGTTGTCTGTCTTTCACTGATCATTGAATGGCTACTATCGTTCTCCGACAGGTTACCATCGTCGAGCCTGGAGCGTTCCGCACGGCGGGGCCTACCGCGTTGGTGCGAGTTGCGTCTCTGCCCGCCTACGAGACAGTCATGGCCGCGCCACGCAAGTCGATCGAGGTCGACGTTTTGTCCGTGATGCAGGATCCCGCCAAGGGTGTCGAGATCCTGTACAAGATTGCGGCACTGCCTGACCCGCCTCTCTTCCTCCCTCTCGGGAAGGATGCGATTGCCCTGGCAAAGGCTAAATACGCGCAGATGGTGGAGAGTACGGCTGCCGTTACTTCATGGTCTGACGAGCTGCAAGTGATGGCTAGTGACGAATGAACGATGCCTGCCGATGTATGTACAGATTACAAGCTTGAACACCGGCTGTCTCTCCCTGCTATTTTTTCCTCTGAATTATGATTTGTCTTTGAGCCTTCTCACATCGTGACGCACCCGTAGTATTTCACTGCTCATCTCAAAGTCGCCGACTTATATTCACGCTATTTCGCATTCTTGCGATCAACGACGCAATGGCTACTGGTCGACGTCCACATATTAGAAAGGAAGGTGGCGAAGGCTCTAGACACTGCCATCCAAAGCTGAGCCCATTCTGACGGTTCAATAGTGCGGCAATGCGCGAAGACTCGGACGCGGACAGTACCTGCGCTCCAACGGTTAATCGGCCAGATGACGCCACACCGGTGAGCGAGTAGCGATACCAGGCCGCGGACCAGCCGGTACAAGCAGCTCAACGTCGACACATCATTATAGTACTTACACCGACGCAATGCATCATTTTTAATGCATGACGTTCCGGTCAAGGACCTCTCCGGCACAAAGTCCATTCATCAGCTTTCGAGCTTTGACGTCACGCTGCCTAGAAATAGTGGGAGACAACTAGGTGAATGCTTGCACAACAGCGGCAACGAACTTGGCGAGCACAGCCATGGCGCTGCGAAAAGTCTGGCTCAGTAAGTCTGAACACAACACATTGATATTATTGACGGCTCACGACGTACTACAGTTACCGGTGCCTCTTCTGGCCTTGGTAGGCTCATGACCGAATTAGTGTTGCGACAACAATATTGCGGTCGCTACCCTCCGGAAGCAGAGACCCTTGATGATCTCCTGCCCCGGTGGAGCCCAGTGGAATTGCTCGCATTGAAGTGATATGCAATGAATGCACAGGAATTCCGATCTGGCAGAAACCTTGCAGTCGCAAGGTAAATCAGGGATACCTTCGCCGCAGCCGCGACCTGTGGTCGGATCGACGGTATCCTCGACAACGCCGGTCATGCCGTATTGGCCGGGCTGGAAGGCACCACAGACGAGGCTGCGCGAACGATGTTCGTGAAGTGCTTGTGGGAACCTACGAATATCATCAAGAATCTAGAAGTCTTTCGGAAGGTGAACAAATCAGCGGGAGGTCGATTGTTGTAAGTGTCATCCGCGGCGGGAGTCGGGGGAAATCTTGCTCTGAGTTTCTATGCCGCCAGTAAATACGGTAAGCACTTGACCATACAACCTGCTGTTGAGAAAGCTCAGTGTTAGTTACTGCACCACTCTGGAGGGACTGACAGAGTCTCTCGCCACGGAGCCGCCAGGCGCATTTCGAACAGACACTCGAAACCGTCTGATAGGGCTCCTGCACGTCAGGCGCACACGAAAGCAAACACGTCTAGTCCCATCACTGTCTGCTCTTGTTTTCCATGGATCATTGCAATGACATCCTGTCCAAGCGGGAGTCGTTATGGTGGAATGTGGAGTGTCTACTCTGTAGTTGTTTCCACAGCCTTCCTAGGACCCGAGCAACTGGTGAGTACGCTTCGTGGTCGGAGGATTTGTATGCCAACAACCCCACGGATTCATCCTGTATAGTGCAAGCAAATGCCATACATAGATCAACATCCAAACTACCTCGAGGTATACGCGATAGCTGGTGGTGGACGAAACGTACGTGTACGCTCCCTTGACAAAGAACCGCAGGCCTCGCCCTCCGCAGGATTGATAAAGGACATTGGTCAACAGTTGATTATCCGTGTGAAAACGCTACAGTCGGCCCCCCGCTGTTCAGCAACGAAAGCACGTAGCGGAACTGAGCAAACGCGATTCCTCAGGTCAGGGTCATGACAAGAATGCTCGATTTGATGGCGCGTTTGACTTGAGTGATCATGATTGCCAGGGCAGGTCTCCTGTATCTTTGGAAGGAAACGGAGAGCCCTTGTCCCGCCGGAATCAATAATCGCGACATTTGACAGTAGGAATGCCCATGCCCATATAGAAATACTACACAAATGAGGGGGAAACAACGACTGTTCCGAAGGACCAAGTACAGACGTAGGTTGTCGCCCGTGGCCCGGTTATTGCTCGCGGAACTTCACGATCGTCATGAGACCGTAATGATCGCTCGCCCACTGTCCCTTCGACGTCTTAACCCCGACGCCTATCCTGCTCGGCGCGTCTACCACTAGCGACAAATGCTTGGTGTAGAGAATCTTGTCCATACGACACACGGGGAAGCGATTGCGCGGCTGATATCCCCATGTGAAACTCGCCTCGTCATCTTCGGCACCCTGATATGCGTCCGTCAACCCAACCTCCGCAGGGAGGTTGGCATCGCGTGGATCGATGGGATTCATGTCCCCAGCCACGACCCCCGCCTGCACGCTGGGATCTCTGAGCAGCTCCGCAGTAGCCGACAACTGGGCTGGACGTCTCGACGTGCCCTCCGGCATAGATTCGAGGTGTACGTTGGCTATTCGCAACAGCGCCGATTCTTCTTCTCCTGGACGTGCCAGCTGCACGTCGACGCAAAGAGCATTTCTCCCCATGAAGGAGTTCGCGAAGACCAGTGATTGCGCCCCCACTATAGGCACAGTATTCGAGACGAGCGTGACGTTGCCATATCGAGTGCTTGGCCATTGACTGGGAGAGGTGGGAACGACAACAAAGTGCTCACGCACCCACTTGGACTTGAGAATGATAGGAGTCGCATTGCCCTCGACCTCCTGAAGGAGGACACAACAGGGGACGAGCGAGCCATCCGATCCACCGCCCTGCTGCTCGAGAGTAGTGCGGATGTGATCCAAAGCATGCTGTAGCCTGGCATTGGCGTTGGGGGCCATGAAGTCGACGTTCCAAGAGACCAAATGCATGGAAGGCGGCGGCGTTACGGTGATGTTCGTCGGCGGAGCCTCGTTCCAATTCGAGACCAGCCATCTAGTGGTGAACCGTCCAGGCCTAAGGGGTATAACGCGATTCATGGATGTCTCTGGTGGGTCAGAGTTCTCAGACATAGGAGGAGGAGAAGTCGTGTTCTGTTGCGTCCGAACTGAAAGCAGTGGCGACTCTGGCTCGAGCAGACGAGGGTAACTGGAGGACAGACACGACGGTGCGAGCAGCAGCAGCGACTCGGAGGCTGAGCGAGCCCACGGATCCGATGATAGCGCAAGCGCCGACTCGGATCGGGTCGAGCCACGAGGCTACGATACACCCTGCCTCGGAGTTGCCAGTGGCAGTGTGCCACTGAGGATCACACAAATATCCTACCCATATCATGAGTTACGTCGCCCCGGACCCCAGGGATGGCATACAAGGCGATAGGTCAAATGGTCTATGCGATTAACTATCTACAGGATACATGAAGAACAGATGATGGTCATAGCAGAAAAATTTGCTGACTAGTGTGACGGGTATAAGGTTATGACGAGGGTATCGGTACACACTAGGTCAGTAGTGACAATGATGTAGAGTAGATGTCGGCAATGTAGATCGTAGTGACATAAGGCACTGTCGAGGAGATGGGAGACTAGCGTATCAACCCAAAGACTGATGTTCAAAACACTGAAACCTTCTCTACTACTAAGCATGGACAAGCACGCGCGTACGCATTGCACCGCATGAAGGCCCAAGTTTTGGCCAGACTAGTAGAGTGTGCAGAACGATGGCGACTCCACTTTGAAAAGTAATCCCGGATGTTCGTCGGGGGTCCGAGCGACGTTTTGTGGGACTTCATGTGGCAGTCGAGGATACTCGGATGGCCCAGGTGGAAGGAGATTTTTGATGTGCGGCGGCAACAGATCCCTGATAGGCGGGAGCTGTTCTGTATCCGGGAGCTCTGGGTATCTGAATGGCGGGAGTTGTGACGTGGACATGGGTTCCGCCACCTCGTCGCGATACCAGTCTCCTACGGCAGAAGGTGACGCGTGGCTGCCGGGATGGACTGGACATGTGTTCCAGTAAGAGCCCAAAGAGGCGCAGCCAGTGTTCGTGGACGAGCCGCTGGAGGGATATGCGTACCGAGAGCCCATAGGGGACGCATGCTGTGTATACCGCAGCCTGTCCTCTGCGAATGGCGGGTTCGACCAGTAGCCGGCTTGCTGTCCACAGCGGTCCACAATCGCGTCGCAGTGCTTGATGACATCGTGCTCATGCACTTGGAAGTCGTATCCTATCAGCTGGCGGAAGTCGTAGTCGATGTTGCCGACATCGCTGGCCGAGAGTACACCTGTAAGTCGCGCCCACCACGAGTCGTCGTAGTGGCGGTATTCAGCCGTACTCTGCAGGGCAGTCACCAGTCAGAACAGATTCATGTTCGAGGCGTAGTCACGTACCCTTGCCGCCAACAAGAGTGCTCCAAGAAATACACGCTCGCAAGCCCAGTCAATGGGCATAGGCTCCATGACACGCGATGCCTTCTCCACATAGGCGAGGCAGGTCAGAATCACAGGTACGGGCACTCCGGATCGTCGGATGATGCTTTGCGCAAAGTCGCAGAAGAAGGCCGTCTTGAGCATTGGGGCGAGCCACGTCTCACCATCGTAGCAAGCGTAGCTCACCGCCCACACGACGCAGTCGATGACGTAGTCTACAAGTGATGCTTGTCAGTCGAGCGCGCGACTCGGAAGCAAAGCCAGCGCCACTGACCAACAGTATCCCAGTTGACGGGGGCGTCCAGTAGCTCGTCGGCAGCGGGACGACGCTGTTCGTATTCAAGGCTGCCTCGACACCGCCGAGGGCGCTGCCCAGATGATGCTGGTGGCGACATCATGATGTTGGACATATCCATGTCACAAACCAATGTCAACGTGATGACTAGAGTGTTCGTAGGGAGGGTCTAGCCGGCGCTCTGCTGTGGTTCGGAAGGGGGTCAGGGGACCCTCCTGCCACTCCCTGCCCCTCTTTATATACTGCTTTGACCACGCAAGCGCCGCCACTCGAACAGAACATACCGAACGCCACTTGCGAAGCGTACTAGGGCCATATGAGGCTGTACGGTGCATACATGCCGACGCGAATCGATTCGGCCGTATGGCATGGCAATCGCCGGTCATAAGCAGGACAAAGCAAACCTGGCACAGGACTAAGGCTGTGTGGTCGGTTAGGAGGAATCGCTGAGAGCCCGTACGAACTCACCTGCCATATTTGCTACCCTGTGCCTAGTAGTGCGCCAAGAGGCAGACGCTTTGTTGTGCGTGGCAACGAGCGTGTTAGCCACGAGGCGGAGGTTACCCTCGTAGACACTAGCAAGCTAGCCCTTTCCGTGGAGCCGGAAATCGGAATGAGCTGAGGTCGCCTGTCCAGTCGACGTCTCATGACGACTTGAAGTGGGCCGTTGTAGGTCTACTACGCGCCGTCTGGTTGGAAGATATCAACTACCTAAGTGAACAGAGAGTCAATAGTAGACCATGTCCTCAGTGACGAGCGTTGTTGCCAACTTGCAAGCTTGGCTGAAGAAGGAACTCGTGATGATGGGCAGGACGATAGTGTGCACAGCTTACGAGTCAAACGTAAGTGCGCGCACGGATTCATGGAGATCCCAGCTCTAGTCGACTCAGAATGCAGCGTTCCCCGAGGACGGTCGTCCGTACAGACATGAGCAACTTGAACACGAGGCTATCGACGTCAAGCGCGCGGGGTTACCCGGTGTGTCGGGTGTGGCAATTCCGCACGGCTTTCATCTCAACTGCAACCACTAGCATTGGCAACCAGTAACTTTGGGTATACACATATGTACAGCTCCCGGACAGCACGCAAAGCAGAACAAGCACCAGTACACGAACGCCACGGGGTACATAGCGGGTATGATATGTACGTTCCTGTCTCTGGTGTCGGTTCTTTGGTTGATTATGTCTGGTCGGCGGTGTAGGGCGACCGACTCGTGATGTTGGCAGGGACCTAGTCGATATGGACAGGAGTTCTGGTAAACGAGCTAGAAATAGCTATGGACAAGAAACTTGAGCATATAGCGCGGCGGAGGGTATCGCATGATAAGTATCAAACGCGGTCTGGTCGCAGCAAGGTATGAGACTCTCGCTGTAAACCAGTGCTGATGACCGTTTCGTCACAAATCACTAGTGGCCGCCGCTGAAAAGGGCAGAGTAGCAATGGGGTGTCCTAGTCGTTGAGCCGGTCGAGTTCGCGCCACGTTGAGTGTCAGAGTTGATCACGGAGCTCGAGCTGTTCATCTCTGGTACCGCGCGTGACGGTCGTCGAAACGCGGTAATGATGGCTCACGAATCCAACGAGGGTCGTCGTATCGTCGACAGCTCACGGGCGAGGGCATCCGATAGCGGTTAGGGTAGTCAGGCGCGTCGTCCTGCAAGCGCCACAGCTCTCGCAGAGGAGGCAAGCATGCCGCAGCCGGTTCGAAATGTCCACGCGAGCGGTGATACCGGTCGCCGTCGTACGGCATTCTCGATGGCTGTCCGTATGACCGCCGGGGGCGTGGGTCATCGTCATGGTCGAGGATGTGCTCGCGTGAAGTCCGGACTCTACGATCGCTGCGCGGATAAGGGTCCCACCGTCCGTAACGCTCAGCTTCACGGTACGGAGACCGCGCTGCAGGCAGATGGGGGCGACGTGGAGTAGGAGACCGGGACCGCCTACGCACTCGATGATCGTATGACGGTAGCGGCGGGCGAGCCTCGGCCTGCCAGGGCGCAGGTGGCGCAGGGCGACGTGGCGCAGACGCGTCGTCTCGCTCATGCGGAAGTGCAGGTGGCTCGTATGCCCGAGCTTCAGGTGGCGGATGTCGCGCAGAAGGAGGCGGAGCAGCCGGATGCTGAGCCCGTGAATACTGCGACGGAGGCCTCTCTGCCTGGCGGTACTCGGGATACGGACGTGCCGACGACGACGCCTCAGGACGGCGCTCTGACGGTGGACCGGCGCGTGGCTGCTGAGGGGCATCACCACGAGGGCGGCCGGTTCCGATGGGGGCAGGGTGCTGCCTCGGAGGAGGTTGGTCATCTCGCTCGACAGCGTCAGAACGCAGCAGGTCCATGAGTCGGTGCCAACCACCCCTCTCCCGAATGCAGTACTGCATCACCCCGTCGTAGTGGCGCAGTAGCTCTTCTTCCTTGACTTTGATGTCGTAGTCGATGAGCATCAGGAAGTGGCGCTCGAGCGTGCACAGCGTCTTCTTGTTCATGACCGTAGTCCATGCCTCCCAATAGGAGAGAGGATAAGGACTATCGTCGACAGCCTAGGCAATGCAACTGTCAGTTAGTGTGGCGTGGCATATGTCGACTATGCCCTTACCTTATTCGCCAGCATGAGTGCCGCTATGAACAAGTCTTCCGCGTCCCATGGTTTGCCGAGGTCGAGGTGGCGATTTTTCGCGAAAGCATCCCCGGCCCTGTTGATGAACGACAGAGCAACCAGCAGCGTGCCAATCTCCGTCTCCGACCTGCTGACGACGTTGCACGCAACATGCGCGAAGAAGGAGGTCTTGAGACGGTGCCTGGGGACATCGGGGCGGAACGGCAGCAGGAAAGCGACGATGTACTCGATGCAATAATCTGTGGCGTAAGTGGTTAGTCTCGACTCGGCAGGAGGTGACGATCGTACAAACCTATGATATCCCAATTGACGGGAATTTGTTGCAATTCGACGAGATGCGGATGATGGAGATGAGGAGGAAGCAGGCTCGAGGGCGAGATGGGTTCATCTAGAGGGTAGGTGCGAGAGAGATGCTCCATATCGTTGGTGAAGCAGAGGTGAGTGGCGAGGGGTGATTTGCTTTGATATGCTAAGGGCAAGTGGAGGCAGATCGTAGGTGGTTGCAGCTCACAGGGACTATGTGTAGCATCTTTTATACCGTTTGCTTCGGCCGTCTCGCTCTGAACTGGGACAACACGTTGGCAGTGCTCTGCCGGCGTTAACTGTGGATTGATGCAGTGGCGTCGACTCGGACCCTCTCATCGCAACGCTTCGAGCCCAGAAGGCCGGCATACACAAAGCGTCGGCCATATGCTATGACGACCATATGCTGAGAACATGAGTCGGAGTACAATAGCTGTGGGCATGACCCACGCACGCCGGCGCCTACTCTGGAAATCAGCGCTTTGGCCTTCGAAGAAGAGTTCTTACCTGCGTGTGCTTTACAGCCTCAGATACGCTGATGCGTATGCCTGCCAAATGTAGACATGTTCGGCGAGGCAGGCGGTGCACACGAGGTAAAGGCGAGGACGCTGGCACCGGCAGCGAGACGTTCCTTCCATCATGGACCTACGGCGAGCTGCGATGCCGACAAGCAATATACAGCGAGAGGCCGCGGCATCCCGAGTAGATTGAATGGTGTGACTCACCAGTACAGGCACCAAAGGTATATGGAGAGGTCGTGCTTCTCTGTGGCGTTGGTCTTGCTAGTCAGTTGGGACTGCGCAGACACCAACGACAGACAAATCCCGAGATACTAATCCCTGATCAAGGCTCGTAACGCTCACACAATTACGCATATGCAAGGGGCATGTCATGGCATGTTTTAACGTGGTGAGAATACATATGCTGCCTTAGCGTGCCTGCGAGTCGATGATAGCAGAAGCGACGAGAGAGCAATCAATCCGTTCCGCCGGTTGATCGTGCTAAACAGCGAATGGTTATTGAATGGCCTTACGCCGACTGAAGATGGATACGCACTGTAGATCAATTGGCCGCTGTGGTGGACAATCCGCTTGATTTGGCCCTCCTTCTCCAGATGCCTGATTGCTACCCGTGCCAAGCTCCCATTCACCTTCAGCCGCTCGATGAGGATACTCTGGCTGATGAATCGGAAGGTGGGGACCTCCTTCATGATGCGGTCGTAAGTGGGCTTGTCGAGGATGACAGCGTGCTGCGCCTTGTCCTTGACCTTGCCCTTGGACCACTTCTTCTTCTTTGCGGCCTTGCCGCCGCTGGACGACGTGGGTGCTGCCTTAGCCTTGGCCTGAAAACAAATTTGCAGTCAGAGATTGCATGTCATCCGGACGGGCATCCATGCATCCAACGGTAACCAGCCCAGTATCATTCACATCTTTCCGAATAAAGCACTGGGCGTAGTATGCAGGACACCCGAATAGCAGAAATACACACTCACCATTGTCTTGACGGCCTGTCGTGGATGCTGAGGACGGCGAGTAACACTCGAAGATCGGTTATGGCGCCACGGCCAAGGCCGAGCGGGATTCGAAGTCAGACGCCGGCAGTGCGCCACATTGCGGCCAACTATTGGTTCCTCTGAGTCTGCGCCACACCTGTCACCACTGTCTGAGTCTCGTCCTGCCACTACATACATCGGTACCGTCCTTGGAACATGGGGGTTTAACCACGATGACCACTTTCACGCATGTGTGAAAAACATCACCTCAGTGTGTCTTCTCGGTATCGTGACATTGAAGACAGACCAGGACCTACTCGTGCTTCGAGTATCCATCAGGAAAAATACCTCTGATGAATGAGCAAGAATGTTGTGTTATTCCATGATATTGATAGTAACAATGATCATTCATTCTGTTCTCATACAACCGAGAATTACCCAGCCCCACTGGGTTCATCTGTGAATACTCAATAATACCTGTAATTATGAGGCATTTGCTCGGCATACTCACACATTGATCAGCATGTTCTACAGTATACCATGAACATTTTACAGTATACCGCGAACATTCACAACAATCTAGCATCTTACTTTTGTTCACGCAGACTACTGAAGAGAACATTACGTGCATTGCGCTGATGATTCAAACAGTACTACTAGTAAAAGCCCAATGATTGGCACACCACGCAGATCCAGTGTCCATGATTACGAGAGCGAAGATAGTAAACGAAGAGAACAATCACAACAAGACAAGCAAACAATAACAACCGATAGCAACATGACTGAGTACATTGTCCTCAACCACACCTTTTATTCTACCCACACTGGCCAGAGCAGCGAGACAGGCAGCCTGTAGGGCGCCGTCAGTACGCGTCCCTCGCATGAGACCAGGAACACACTCACCCTGCGCGGATACAGCTGGCTCTTGACGAGATTCCGGTCCTTCGGCAAACTCGCCGCCAAGGCACTCGGCCAATTGAGCGTCATGGGTATGCTCACGCTCATGCATGGATACAGTCAATCTCAGGTTCAGTTTGCGAGGAGACCAGGAAACACTCACTAAATTGCTGTGACTGGCACGGGCAGCGGGGGTGCTTGGCCACGGCCCGACCTAGGTAAACCCCCGGTTGCGTATTGTGTTCACACACACACCGCAACGCTGGTTACCAGACTGCGGGGCTCGGACTGCCAGGGAAGTGCAGCAAGGACAGTCAGGAGGCGCGCAAGGTACGACGGCAGACGAAGAGTAGGCACAGATAGCAGGAGAAGGGGTGGACGTACCTGAGAGACGTTGTGAGGGCATGCACGTGCACCCGGAGTACTACGGCGTGTCTTGCGGGAAGGGCAACGGGTATCTCCGCGCGTTGGACCTCGGAATGATGCGTTAGATTAGCGGTGGAGATGAAGGGACAGACACCGCGGGCAAACCAGGTTGTTCGAACTCCGAAAACCCCTACGAACATCGGTCCCGCCTGGGAACCTTTACGGACTCCGAATATTGTCAGAACATGCTGCGAACATGATGCGTTTCAGCCGATTTCAGCATGTTCGGAGGCCGAACATGCGTGTTTTCGGCGAACATGCTACGAACATGAGAAATGTAGGAGCATTTTCGGAGTCAGTCAAGCTCTCCGAAAAGGTTCCCATGGAGGACCAATGTTATTAGCATTTTCGGAGCCCGAAAAACCTGGTTTGCCCGCGGTGAGACCGGAAGGAGAGCTCGTATTGACTGGTGGAGTTGATGTGGGTGTCGGCAGTGGCGATGTGGGTGAGGATGTTGTTGTGGTAGAAGGAGATAACGGGGTAGGATATGAAGAGGGCGAGGAGGGATAGCGTGACGGTGACAAGCATGGCGATGTTGAGGACGACGCAAGGCTGAGGGTCGTACACCAGGCGCGGCGCTCGCCGCAGGTCGGGTCGAAGAGAAAGCCAGCCTCGTCGGACCCAGGGTGCTTGACCACATCGAGGCCGTACGCGTAGAGGATGAAGCTGCGGTGAGAGCTGGCGACGGAGGCGGCGGGGTACTTGCTGTCGTAGGAGAGGGAGGGTGAGGCAGTGAGTAGGAGGCAGAGCTGGGAGCGCCTGACGTGGCGGTGGCATCGTAGCACGTGCTCTCCTCCGGGCGAGACCGGGCCTTAACGCGTAACGACTTAGCGACTCAGAGCTACTGTCGTCTCGTCGCTCGCCCTCCTCCCTCCCCGCCAATTCCACGCTGCTCTTCCCCTCCGTCGTCCCCGACACTGCAATGCCTGGTCTCGACCCAGCCCTCTCTTCCGGCCGAACACCGCGTGGACGTGGACCACGCCCCTCGCCGGCGCCCGCCTGCGCCAGGCTTGCTGACACGCACACATACCCACCCGCCCTCTCCTTTCGACCGCCCACCTGCGCGTTCGCACACCCGGCGCGCTCGCATGCACGCACGTGGCACGCCTGACCGCCGCCCGGTCGCGTCTCAAAGGTGAGCAAAATCGCCCAAACGATCGAGTTGCCCGCGCAGGCGACACACACAGCGATCACAAGCGGGCGCGGCAATTGCCCACCACGCAAGCACGGCCGGCGGGTGGACACGCGCGCAAGGTCAGGAGTGAGCGAATGGCAGAGATGGGTGGAGGCGAGCCCGAGAGCGCGCAGACGGGTGAGTGGACCGGCGGGCAACCGGTCAAGCTACCCGCACAGGCGATACACACAGCAACCAGCAGCGGGCAGGGCAAATGCCCCACACAATATTGGCCGACGAGCAGACGCCACGCGCGCCGCGCGCAGCACAGGCCGCACGCACCCAGCATACACACGGCGACCGACAGCGGGCAGGGCCTACCTGCCCACTATCTACCCACTCGCTCCTCGCACTTGCGATCGCCCGCACGCCCACCCCCCTGCTTGCCCGTGCGATTGCCAGTGCCCGAGTCCTCACACGCTCACCCGCCGTCCACCGCTCTCCTCGCCCGTTCAACCCGTCGCCAATCCCACACCCGCGTCAACCTGCGAGACCCGCGGATGACCGGTACCCGCCGGGCGGGTATCTGACCCCCGTGGGTACGAGTACGAGTACGAGTAAGCCTCCAGTACATTGGATGAGCAAGAACGTCCTCAATGCATGTACTCTGTTCTACCTAAATCACTAGTACCAACGCCCGAATAGCTCCTACCTTGTATTAGTACCACTATGTCTGTGTGTCGGAATATAATGCTTCTTTCCGTTCTGTTTGTGAATTGGCACCTGACGAAGTGAATGAGATCAATGACACCAACATTACTTGGTATACAGAAACGATTCATATCATATTGATATCATACATAAGATTTCGTCTAGTACTGAGAATGTCGCGAATGACTGTCGTAATGCATAGCAATCACAAGTATTCACAGTAATACTGTGAATGTTGCGGTGTTGATGCTAATTCCGAGGGGGAGATTTTCCTGATGTCCTCACACCGTGACCACCGTACACGACACGGGTATACAACGGGGCGATATAACCTCATGAAGCTGGAGGCTTAAACACCCTCGAGAAACCAAACGCAGATCAAGGAAATGACCATCTCATCCAACGGAACCATTGGCAAATCAACCTCTGCGCCGCGACGCTCAGTAATCCGAAGGGTCTGTGGATCCCATGTAAGCATTTGGACCCTAGTCCGAACAAAACGCCCTAGAGCTCTACTAACCGTTCTCCTCTGTTGCACTTGCACGCACTTCTTCCACTTTCCGTCGTGTCCACAGCTTGCCGTTCATGTTCAAGAGATTGCCCTCTTGTAGTGCAAACATTCCAGTCGCGGTTAACCCGCTCTCGTCGTTGTCCATTCCACATCTGAGGGCCGCGGTCGCGAGCATTGGACTCGTCTCGGCGGTATTCACCGGGTCCTGTGAATTCAAGGACGCGCTGCTCTCCTGAGTCTCCTCGGGTTTCATTGCCCGACACTGAGCAGCGCCTTCGGTTTCGGGCTCCGTTGGGAGCTTGATGTAGGAGCAAAAGCGAGCGCGCTCCGCGTATGTGAGACTCCTCGTATGCTGCTCGTATCTCTGCTGATTGGATTCGTTACGCTCCCAGGTAAACTCAGATAGCTTCTTCCCACCCTGCGGCGAGATCAGCCCATTGTTGCGTCCGAGAGGCGTCCCGGGAGGCGAGATGGTGGACATCTTGAATCTCCTCTCAGACTCATCCTGGGGCCTCGAAATGCTCCTCGCATTCGGAAGAGAACTGGACATGTGGTGGTGAGTGAGAGTCAACAGCGAAAGCCTAGAGAGAACTCACTTTGCCGACGCTGCAGCTTGTTTGTGTACGGACTTCATGCTACCACCTGCGCCTCTGCTCGGGTGCATGTTTTCGATTCGGGTTGTAGCCATCTTACAATCTGAAGGTGGTCAAGGCGCAGCGCCGCTAGAATGTGAACGAGCTCACTGTGGGTGATCGAAGACAGAGCAGAATCATTCGGTCGCCACACATACAACGCTTTGATTGATTTAGCAGTAAATATACATGAGGTATGCCTGTCATGGTATGACACGGAGGCCCCGTATTTTTACTTTGTTTTATGTTGAACTTCCGAGTTTTCAGTGTTCTTATCTTATCAGTTATGTACGGATATGGACTTATGTTCTGCGATGTCAGATTACATACGTTCTTTGATGGACTTTGCCTAGATTACATCATGTGACTTTAGTCCGGATCATTCCATGATATTCCACGACATTCCTTGATGTTCCATGACGTTCCATATCATTCCTTGATGTCCCATCACGTCCTATATCACTCTTTGATGTTCCATCATGTCTCATATTATTCCTGATGTTCCATCACGTTTCATATATCTCTCCACATCAAACTCCGAGTTTTGGCTTACTCATGCTGCTTACCAGCTTACTCATATCCCCAAAACCTCGGACTTAGTGCTTACTGATGAACCACTGATACAGCATGTGACCTGTATCAAATGTGTATATATACTGGGCTGGTTTGCCCTGTAATGATAACGATCCTTCGTCCTCTCCTCTGCCTGCCAGCATAGGATCTTCCCTTTGGGACTGGTCTGTTCACTCACTCATTAGTCCTTCACTGCCACTGGGCTTACTAAGCCTAAAACCTCTTTCTTCAACAGGTTATGAGCCCTGCGCTCTGATTCTTTGATCACCTGCACCCCTCTTTGCGCGCTCCAAAGCCCAACTCTTGAAAGAGTGAGTTGGCAATTTTTGTCCTTTGTTGGACTATTTTTAAGTCGCTGCATGACATAGTGCCGAAGGCCTTGTCTGAGCGCATCTCTAGGGCAGCCCGAAAAGGCAATTACGAAATTTATCATCCGTCTCGTCGTGAGAGAAACGACGTTGACGAAGACGACTCTAACGTCATCGCCGTACGTCATCGGCATTTGTACGGTCATCTACCCGTCCATCGCCAGATCGACATCATCCTCGCTCCTACCCCTCGTCGCCGCCGCCAAGCCTCTGGCCGCGTAGACACGTCCATTCCTCCCAAGGAGTCCTGCCGCACCTCGCCGGAGCAGCACCTCTTGTATTTGCAGAAGAAAGCGGACATTGCTGAAGCTCTCGCCGAGACTCGCCGAGCCGAACTCGCTGCTGCTCGTGCCGCTAGCGCCGCTGCTGCCGAGACCAAGGCTTCGCTCATTGAGCGTCTTAGCGGAGAAACTCCCATCGTTCCCACGGCTCTAAAGCCTATCTTCCTGTCCGACTTCCGCAAGAAGTCCACCGCTGACAAAGTCGAGATCCTGTGCAAGCGTCTCCTTGCCGTCCAGAAGCGCCTTCAGCCCCTCTATCGCCACCGTAACCGCCTCTACGCCCGTCTTCCCTTGTTGGATAACTTGGACGACTTTGGCAGGCGTTTCAACTGGGTGCTGACGAATATCGAGGAGGAAGGAACCACGTGGTCTGCAGTCGAATTGAACGACATCTGTTCTGTCTGCGAGCTGATTGCGAAGATTTCCTTCATAAATCTTAGCCAGAATTTCGGCCGCATTATCAAGGACGTAGGGGACTTGTACAAGAACAACTACTTGTACTGGGTAGATAAGCAATTGTAGTCGCATTTTTTCTGTATATCTTCGTCCCTAGAATTTAAGCATCACACTGTGGCTTCGTCTCAAGAAGAGACATTTGACCGAGACTCAAATAGTGAAGCATCGAACGGAGTAATTCCACCGTACAATTGCACCGACCATCATCATCTCTACGACTACGAGGAGAACTTCGATTATCATTTTGACGTCGAAGAAGATCAGTGGATTAACTGCGACGACGCTAGTTGCCCACATCGCTACGATCAACCTCTAGATCCAGTTCCAGAAGGATTTTCAACTGGAATATCGGTCGCTCCTTGGCAGGAGAATTTCCTATTTGCTAGTGAATTTTCGGAGTTACCTCCATATCCTGAACACCTAGTCCCGCTCCCTGAGTCGAGACCTCAATCTCCATTCTTTGAGGAATTACCCTTCGAAGTTTTTACCCCAGAACTACCATCCGTCTCACAAGACCAATTTATCCTCCTATCCGCAACCATGGGTGACGTCAAGCCTGACAATGTCCCCAAGCTTTCCTCAGCGTCCCAATACGCTGATTGGTCAGCCGCCATGCGCGGCTATTTGGTTTTTATCCAAGCCTGGCCCGCCGTTACTGCAACTGGCACACCCGCAGCGGACTTCGCCACTCAGAATGCCCGTGCCCAGGGTGTTCTATTTATGAGAACCGATCGCTCGATGCATCATCTGCTCGAGAAAGACACCGGTGATCTCAAGGATGCGAAGGACATGTGGAACTCGCTCAAAACCGCTTTTGGCACCCCCGACATGGCATACGTCTGGTCTCTCTTCCAGTCGTTAATCAAATCTCCGGAAATGTCTGACTCCAAGCCAATGCAGGATCAGATCAACAAGCTGGTTACCCGGCTTAAGGAGATTAGTGGTGGCGGAATTACGCTCGGTGACTCGACTCAGGCTCTTCTCCTTCTGTTGAAACTGCCAGAGTCATACCAGTCGATGATCTCTGCGCTCCTGGCGACGCAGACCCTCAAAGATCTAAAGGTCGACTCGGTCCAGAGCAAAATTCTTGCCGAGGAATCACTTTGCCGGTCCGGTATGGGACAGTCTGCGTCTAAGACGTCCCAGGTCAAGCATAAATCCAAGGACCCCTGCGATCACTGCGGTGGGGCCCATGGTAGCGAGAATTGTTGGACCAAGTACCCGCATCTCCGCCCTCAGAATAAAGGTGGCGGAAAGGGGAAGAACAACAAGGGCAAGGGCAAGGGCAAAGGAAAGGGAAAGAACGGAGGAAATGGTCAATCTAGTTCTGGTACTTCTAACACTGCATCTGCGTCGGACTCTTCGAATGTTGTAACTGTAGAATCCTCCTTGTCGTCTGCGAATACTATGACTGCTTCTTGGTATACTGCGGCTAACACCGCGTCAGGAAGAACGACTGATTGGATTATGGATTCTGGTGCATCCAAGACGATCACCAACGACATGGCTGATTTTTGGGATTACACTCCTTACGAGGAGCCCATGATTTTTAGCACAGCCGGCAAGAGTAAGATTGCAGCTTACGGTGAAGGCACTATCAAAGGCGTTGTGCATGTTGAAGGGAAACATATTGTGTCGACTATCACCAATGTCGCATATATCCCTGCCGCGTCTAGTCGCCTATTTTCAACTGGAGTTATTGAACGTTCAGGTTTCACCCTTGTTCAAGGTGGAGGCCGTATGGTCATTTTTGACCAACCTATTTTGCATGGTTCTGACCAAATCCGTGGTAACAAGATCATGGAGGCGCATCACACGCCCTTCAACAATCTCTATATGTTGCACATGGAAATTATGAAACCGCAATTGGCTAAGTCTGCGGACAAGTCAAATTTTCGCCTTTGGCATCAACACTTCGGACATTCGTCTGAAGAAGTTATCCGTCAACTACCCAAGCACACCAAGGGTGTGGATTCTATCGGTAACAAGGACAAGTCTCCTTGTGCAGGTTGTCAATGGGGCAAGTCTCATCGTGCTCCATTTCCCACGTCGGACAAGAGAGCTTCAAAACCTCTTGAAATTGTTCATACCGACGAAGATGGTCCTATGCGTACCACCGCTATTGGTGGATGGCGCTACTTCATCAGCTTTCTCGACGACTACTCCGGTCTTGGCCGCGCCTATTTCCTCAAACATAAGAATGATTCGACCCAAGCGTTCGATGATTTCAAGGCATGGGCTGAGAACCAAACTGACGAGAAAATCAAAGCTGTACGCTCGGATCGAGGGGGAGAATATACCTCTACAGAATTTACCGAACATTTGCGCAAATTTGGCATTGAACATCAGAAGACGATGCCATACTCTCCTCAACAGAATGGGAGAGCTGAGCGCTGGAATCGGACCATTGTCGAGAAGGCTATGTCTATGCTTCATCATGCTGGACTAAGCCATGGTTTCTGGCAATTGGCTGTTGACGCTGCGGTTCACATTTATAATCGGCAACCAATGCGACGCCTTAACTGGCAATGCCCCATTACCCTCTGGGATAGCACAGTCCCGGACATTTCGTATTTTAGGGTATTTGGGTGCAAGGCATATGTGCATGTGCAGAAGGAACAAAGAGCTGGGAAGCTCGACAAGAAGGCTGTTGAGATGATCTTTGTTGGCTATGAGTTAGGTTCCAAAGGGTATCGTTTCTGGAACCCGGCCACTCGAAGTATCGTTGTGTCTCGTGATGTGACCTTCGATGAAGAGACATTTCCTGCACGTAAAGATTTAGGCAATAATCCGAAATCCCTGGATAAGCCGTTTGATGAACCTCCTGAGGATGCGAACTCGGAGGATTCTGATTCTGAGGATTTACCTATTCCCGTTCCTATCCCGGAACATGAACCTGAACCTGAAGACCATCCAGAGCCAGTGGGAGACATTCCACAACCGCAACCTGATCCTGTACCTCCTCCGCAACCTCAGTACGAACGTCCACGTCGTCAAGGTGCTGGACAAAATCCTAAGAGGAATAAGGACAATGCCTATGGTGACGAGCCACCTGTGAATATTGATCGTCGTACCGATGCTCAAGGCCGTCAACAATCTGAGGCTGAAACTCTCATGTTTGTGCGGATGCTAGCAGAAGCAAACCATGGCGTTCCCCAGAGTCACAGGGAAGCTATGGAGTCTCAAGACAAGGCTAAATGGCACACATCTGAAGGTTCTGAATACAAGTCACTTATGGACAACAAGACTTGGGTTCTAGTTCCACGGCCTAAAAACCGAAAGGTTATCAAGTGCCGGTGGGTTTATGCGATTAAACACGATGGTCGCTACAAAGCGCGTGTTGTTGCAAAGGGATTTACCCAAGTATGGGGTCAAGACTATACCGAGACTTTTTCTCCTGTTGCACGGTTTGAATCCGTACGCTATCTATTGGCGCATGCTGTCGCGGAGCTAGGTCTGACGCGACTAGAAACAGAACTGGGAACAGAAACACTTGACCTCAAGGTGTTGGACCGAAGTCAACAACAGTCTAACAGCGTCGAACGCAATGCTAGCAACTCCAAGTTAGTTACATTGCACTCTACTTAGTACAATGTGAAGTGCTTACCTAGCAACTCCAAGAGGACGAGCTGGAGTGCTAGGCAGCGTACAGGACCCTATATATACTGGCCAGGTTGAGGGCAGGTCTACCTACGCTGGATCCGAGAACTGAGGTCATGTGTACGTATGAGTCAGAACGAGTCAGAACGAGTCAGGTGGCTAGGCGCTGCCGCAGGGCACATGATAAGTTACATAAGCAAGGCCACATGATGAACGAGTCACAAGACGAACCCTAGCACGTGATGTGTCACGTGACTAGTCAGAAAGCCGTTCCAGGCGAAGTCTACCGTACAGCGTATCATACAAGTCCGTAGAAAATGAGCGAAAATAGGATAAAACAAAGCAAAAATACGGGGCCTCCGTGTCATACCATGACATTACCCCCCTCCTAAGACTCGTCGTCCCGACGAATCTATCCCAACACGTCGCCCCGTCTCCCATTCCAGGTCTGTGGGCACGACGTCCGTCATATTCTCCGGAGATCGCCACACGATTCCGTCAAAAAGAGCAGCGTTTATCTTGCGAGGTGCATTGGGGTGCTTCCGATGGAACTCCGCTATCTCCTTCTGGGCGTGTTCAAGATTCTTGGCGGGTTCCCAGCTGTTGTCTCCCGCACCGTAGCCCTTCCATTGGACTAGGTACTGAAGCTGGCGTCTGAAGAACCGGGAATCCAAGATGGTCTCGACTTCGTACTCTTCCTCACCATCGATTACTACTGGTTCGGGTGGTTGAGGAAGGAGTCCGTTGACGTCATTACTCTTGTAGGGAGATAGTCTATCCACGTGGAATACGGGATGCACTTTGAGCGCAGGCGGCAAGTTAAGCACGTAGTCGTCTTTCTCTCGGACTTCGGTTACTTCGTAAGGTCCGAGTTGTCGCGGCCCAAGCTTCTGACTTGCTTGGTGGATCTTGATGTTCTTGGCGGCTAACCAGACTTTGTCGCCAACCTTGAACACCGGGGCTTTGACTTTGCCCTGATCCGCCATCGCGACTTTGCTTAGACGAAGTGCTGCTTCCGCCTCCTTGCGTGCTTCTGCAAGAAGTGCCAATCTTTGGTCGAGTGCAGGAATACTTGTTTTCCTACCCACAGGGACAGTGAAATCCGGCGTAAACCCATACATGGCTTCAAAGGGAGTCTTTCCCGTAGCTGATGCAACGCGCGAGTTGATTACAAACTCGGCGGTTGGGAGAAGCCGGGACCAGTCGTCTTGGCGTTTATCGCAGAAGAGTTGAATGTACTTTTCGACTTCCTGGTTAGCGCGCTCTGTCTGTCCGTTGCTCTGCGGGTGGTAGGCCGTAGTGAGACTCGAGTTGATTCCTAGCCGCTTGTACAGTTCGCGCATTAGCTTAGCGGCGAACTGCGGACCGCGATCCGACACAATCTCGTCGGGGATCCCATGCAGCCGGAATATCTCACGATAATGCAAATCGGAGATACCCGAAGCGTCTACTGTGGAGGTCGTGGGTATGAAGTGCACCTGTTTGCCGTAGAGATCAATGAACGTGGCTATGGCGTCGAATCCGTTGGACAGTGGCAATCCAGTGATCAGATCGACGCCCATCGTAGTCCACGGTCCTCTAGGCACGGGCAGGGGGTGTAGCTGAGCCGGCGGATGAGCTGCTGGCTTGTAGCGCTGACACCTGTCACATCCTGCGACGTACTTCTCCACAAACTTGGCCATTCCTGGCCACCAGTAATGGCGGCTGACCAGCTCAAGGGTTCTATTTCTACCGGGATGTCCTGCCGTGGGCGCGTCGTGGCACTGACGTAAGACTTCTGTGCGCAGCCCATCGTCGGCAGGGACATAGACTTTCCCTTTGTAGTAAATGATACCCTTGTCTTCTTCCCATTCGAAGAGTCCGTTCGTCAATCGACGTGGGCCATGCTCACGGAGCTCGTGTAGCGCGGTAAGCACCTCAGCTTCGCGCTCGCTAGCCTGACGAAGGCGATCTTCTAGTGGGGATTCTGGCTCGTTGAGGGTAGCAGAAATCTCCGCGAACCGCTCGGGCTTCAACACGATCTGACCCTGGTTATCCTCCGCATCCGTGACTTGGAGCGAAGGGATACGTGACAGGGGATCGGCCTGAGTGTTCGTCTTTCCGGGTTTATGCGTCATCGTGAAGTCGAAGCGTGACAACCATAACGACCAGCGAGCTTGTCTCCGTCCTAAGTTCTGCGAAGTTCGCCAGAACGTTAGGTTTTTATGATCGGAGATGATCTCGAAGGGGGCCGGAAGGCCTTCCAAATAGTGCCTCCAGTCCTCGAGAGCTCTGATGATAGCTAGCATCTCTGTAACGGGCCGTTACTCCGTATATACTGTATTACATGACATGGACCCTTTCTCGACTGAAACATGTAATTATCTAGTTTGCGTGTGTTTGGCGCCGACCCCATAAAGGTCGACGCCACGCGAGTGGGAAGAAACCCTTCTCACTCGTCGTCCTCGGATACACCGCACTTCTCTAATAGAGATTGGGTGCACAGTATCTCTGGTAGCGAGTGTGAGATATTACACTTTTTTACTGTCCTTCGAACATATCGAACTTCTAAATCAAGAAGTGCGATATTCGAGGAACACGCCAGCAAGCTAGCTATCTGTTATCGTCATCATTCCACGCGGTCGCTATCAGCAACCACGTAACGCGCGGGGCCAGTTCATTTCCAGACCTGTAATGTCTGGAGACGTGCCGGACTCGCCGTCCCCGAAAGGGTCACAAGGGGAACGGAATTCACTCCAATTGAGTGAATCACCGTTCCGTGGAGTCGGACCTTCCGCAATAGGAGGTCCCCAGGCCCCCGAAGAGTTTCCCCAAGGCGAGCTCATGGCGCCGGGGGCCACACAGCCAGGTTGGACGGGACCATCACGACCGTCCAGCAGGCAGTCGCGCAGCAGCAGCGCCGGGACCCGCAAAGGGTCCCGGCGTGCTAAACTCGCGGGATTGAGAGCTCTGCTCCAATCAGAGATGAAGTCCTTGACCGAGCAAACAGCCAAGGAACTTACAGCTATGGAAAAACGGTTTGACACGCAGTGTCAACTAGTTCAAGTCCGAATGTCGGATATGATCAATTTATTCGACGATTCGGATAGTGGAGAGGAGGAGCGACTCTCCGGTGAGGAGGAGGCGGCCCAGGATCAAGGCAAGGGCAAACAACCTGCTATACCACGACCACCGGTCGTGGTACAAGAGGTGGTCGACTCCGAGGACCACGCGAAACCCAAGCCAGTGTTGACACTGCCTCCGTTCTCTCAGGCCGAACTCGACGCGCTGAAGGCGGCCCGCCATGCGATGTCGATGCCTCGACAGCCGTTCGAGTCGGAAGAGGACTTCGAACAGCGTAAGGTGGACGCACGCCGTCAGATATACCGGATTCGGTACCCTAACCGGGAGCCCACCCCCACAGAGGAGGTGGAACCGGTGTGGTACAACGACACCGCGGCCGTGGACAGCAACCAGAAACGGTCTCCGCCGCGAACCTCGGGACCAGGGTATACTCATATCGAATATACCGCCGATGACGCTAGGTCAAGGTATAACGGTGTGGAGAGGTCATCGGACATCCCCCAGGATGCACGACCAGCTCCGCCCAAGGATGCCCCGCCCCATATGAGCATTCCAAGGGATAACCGTCCAGCTATGACCCAACCAACAAGCACCACAGATGGTGCTCGTCGCAGTAGGCCTGATGGAGCTCCCAGCCCTCCCATAACGGGAGAACTGGAGCGCGAGGTACACTTCCAATACGGTACGGGCGAGTCCATCTCGTCCCGTTGGATGGAACCGGAGTACGATATGTTCGGGACATACTCGTACCTCCAAGATGGCAACCCGAAGCATAATAAGGGACTCTCTGCCTACCTTACTAAGGTAGGCAAGGAGGACCCTATGGGACCTTCGCTCCGCAAGTGTCAGACCATGATGGACTCAATGGTCTCACACGAATCGAAGGGCGACATTCCGGCGTACATCAGAGTGGCTAAGCCACTGATGCCGACACCCTGGGAGGGTGCTGACGACCTGTATGCGTTCGAGGAGTGGTTGCAACGCCTCCTGTCGTACTTCCAGACGTTGAAGATCACCGGTCCAAGCATGGATAGTGATCGACTCCGCCTGCTAGGGAGTGCGATCAAGGGAGACGCCTACACATGGTACTTCCGCCATGTGCAGTCCCCACGACGAGAACGTTGGGACTGGACGTTCAATGAGGCCATACTGGCATTACACCGTCGATTCATACACAGCGACGGTGAAGTGCAAGCAGCCATGGACTGGGACTCAGTCAACTACAACCGTAAAGGTGGTATTAACGAGCTCCTGGACCGTATGACCAAGTACGGAGATAGGATGACTCAGAGGCCGAGCGAGTACGCTTGGAAGTGCAAGTTCCTGGAGGCACTCCCGGCCGAAATGAGACACACGTTGGAAAACGTGTATATCATGACCCCGGAACGAACACCCTACCCAGAACTGGTAGCGGTGGCGCTCAAATTAGAGCGGGCTGCTCAGTCGTCAAAAGCCAGGGCGGCACGAGGGAATAAGTCCACGGTAACCACCGCTAAGACGGGCAGTGGTATGGATGGTCAATCGGCGAGTGCACCAAACACTGGCAAGGCTACCAGTGGTGGGTACTCGGCCGCCCGGAACAGACGACCGGCGAAACCACAGACCGATGGACCGACTGCAACCTCCAATCGGCAAAGTACTGCACAAAGTACTAAGCCGGCAATGGATGGAGCAGCCTCGGCGACCAGACCCCTCGCACGCCGCAAGATAATATGCTGGACGTGCGGAGGCGAAGGACACACCTCTAGAGACAAGGCGTGTCCCGACTATGGCAAACCACCCAGTAAGAACCCGCAAATGCACGCTGGGCGTATTGTGGACGAGGATGCGAAGAGCGTGGCATCATCGTCCACAACTACAGCCAGCAAAGGACAGGGCCATGTGGACCACACCGCCGCCCACCTTGATCAGGTGGACGATGAGGGGCAGGACAGTTACCCGCGGTCCGACTATGGAGGTCTGCAATATGCATCGGATGGAGATCAAGCCGACTCTCCATTTGAGGAGCATAGCGACGATGAGGGGCTGGACGTACGGCTGGGCTCCATGAGATTTGGAGCCATGCGCGTCGAGCGACGTTCGTCAAAAGATCGGCAGGAGAACCTGGGACATGGATCACACAAGGACGCTACGGACGACCTTGTGCGAGCATGCGCGATGCAGGTTATGCCACCCGCGCGCTCTATGAAGGCGGCATGGTTGTACGACCCGAAGGTTCGACGAACATCGGATCCGCGAGACCAGCCGAAGCGATCATTGGAATCGCAGCGTCCACTATGCGCTGAAGTGGACGTCAATGGGGTAAAAGCGTACACCCTGTTTGACACGGGATGTACGACCGACACCATATCACCGGAATTAGCCTACTTGGCTAAAGCGGACAGAGTTGATCTGAAGGAGCAGATCAACCTCCAGCTGGGTACGAAGGGTAGTCGCACCACGATTAACTATGGTGCACTGCCACATATCCATGTTGGTCCAGTCAATAACGTCAATTACATGGACGTTGTTGACATCGACCGATACGATATGGTATTGGGTACCACATTCTGCAGCAAGCACAATGTGGTACTCGACTTCCGGCGGAGGAAAGTGTGGATCGATGGGGTGGACATTCCGGTCTACAACGCCGTCGAGGAGGCCGAAGTACTTGAGCACCGTCGGGACAACCGTCAGGCTCGATTGGCAGCACACCTTCGTGCCGCCACCACTTCACGGAAATAGGGCAGCACAGCGAGATCCACCGCTGTGCAGCCCCCCCTCTCTCGCTACGTTGATAGGGAGGAGGACTCCGTGAGGGGGGAAGGGAGTGACGGGAACGTCACTTCCAAGGTGGAGCAAACAATGAAGGTATCACCTCCCCAAACGGAGGTGATATACAATAAAGAAAGGAAGCAGTCGCGCACGTTACCCCCGGACAAGGAGGTAACAACGGCGAAACAAAGAGTCAGGGTGACTTGGAGTGATCGACAGGACGCATCGGTACCAAGGATTAGTGAGGACAATGTGCCCACTATACATTCAAAGGATCAACCGAAACGTGATAAACTCGGACGTTTGGACCCATACGGTACAAACGACGAAGTCGATAGAGCGGTCCGCAATCTCCTTATAGACGAGGAGATTCGGCAATCACTCAAAGCAGACCCACAACTCGATGCACTACGCGAGAAGTGGTTGAAGGAGTGCGAGGACATCATGCGACCACCACCTCCAGGACTACCTCCTTATAGGGAGGTAAACCATAGAATCCCACTCATCGACCCGGACATGGAATATAAGTACCATCTTCCGAAGTGTCCGGACGCGATGAAGCCTCAACTGCTCGAGAAAATCGAGCGGTATGAGACGGCAGGATGGTGGAAGCGAGTCCCGGCTACACAAGCCGCCCCACTTCTTTGTGTAGTAAAGAAGTCGGGTAAGCTCCGTACCGTCGTTGACGCAAGGAAGCGCAATGACAATACGAGAAAGGACGTAACACCTTTCCCGGACCAGGATCAAATCCGTATGGATGTGGCTCGTGCGAAGTACAGGTCTAAGATCGACCTGTCCGACGCATACGAGCAAATCCGTATTATGGCAGAGGACGTCGGCAGAACGGCGTTCTCCACCCCTTACGGATGTTTCATCAGCTTGGTCATGCAGCAAGGAGACTGTAACGCTCCAGCTACATTCCAATCGCTGATGACCGCGATCTTTCGAGAATGCCTGGGCCGATTCGTACATGTATACCTCGATGACATCTTCGTGTTCTCCGACTCTATCAAAGAACATGAACGCCATCTTGGTATTGTCTTCAAGAAGTTGAGGGACGCGAAGTTGTATCTCAGCCAGACGAAGTGTGACCTTTACTCGAAGCGGATGGATTGTCTGGGCCATCTCATTGATGACCGAGGCCTTCATGCCGATCGAGATAAAATGGAACGAATCCGGACATGGCGCACACCTCGCTCGTACAAGGAGGTGCAGCGATTTCTCGGACTAGTCAACTATCTCGCGCAATTCTTGCCCGAGATCAGTGGCTACACGTCGCCACTATCCGACATGTGTCACAACGGTCGCACATTCGTGTGGAGGGCACTACACGACAAGTGTTTTGAGTCTATCAAAACCCTTGCCAGCCGTGCCCCCATACTGAAGCCCATTGACCCCAGCCTGGATGAACCGATATGGGTCATCACAGATGCCTCCATCTTTGGAGTCGGGGCAATGTACGGACAAGGACCAGAGTGGCAATCATGCCGTCCCGCAGGATTCCTGTCCAAAAAATTCTCGGGTGCTCAACGAGCGTACAAGACGTACGAACAGGAAGCACTAGGAATCATGGAAGCCCTCCTGAAATGGGAGGACAAACTGCTGGGACGAAGGGTCCACATCATAACCGACCATAAGGCCCTCACGTTCTTCAATGGGGTACCCAACCCATCGAACCGACAGGTGCGATGGTATGAATACATGTCGCGATTCAACTACGACATAACGTACGTTGAGGGGCGCAAGAACAAGGTCGCCGATTGTCTTTCCCGCTATTACGAGAATGACAATGCGGACGACTTCACTCCGGATCACCATATGGTGAACGCGGATGTGAGACTGGATCCGGAACACGAGGACCTGCCTATGGGTCGGGTACTCGAGTTGCGATCAGGGCGTATCACGTCCCAAGCGTTGCCCGAAATTCATCAGGAACGAGACCGAGAGGCTATCGTGATGTCCCAAGCCCAAGGACATCGTGAACTCCCTCGTACCGCAGTAGAGCTCGACAGCAACCCAACGGTTGCTGACGCACTAACGAGCGGACCTTCGTTGAGACGACGGATCGAACGCGACGCCGACTTCCTGAAATTTGTGAAGTTGGGATATGCGGAGGATCACACGTTTCGCAAGATATTGGAATCGCCGAACCAATTCACCACCTTCATCGTACGGGATGGACTCGTGTACACAAAGAACCGCCAAAACGAAGAGGTTCTCTGTGTCCCGAGTGCCCCGATACGGCGACGGCTCCTAACCGAGGTGGTGATTGACCAAGCGCATACCACCCTTGGCCATTATGGACCACAAAAAACGTCGGAATATGTCCGACGTTGGTTCTGGTGGCCCAAGATAGGAAGGGATATCGACAAGTTCTGCGTAACCTGTGGGACATGTCAAACGGCTAAACCGCGCAACCACCTACGGCCAGGGTGGTTGCATTCGTTGCCCATACCCCTCCGTCCATGGAGTTCAATATCCATGGATTTCGTGGGTCCATTTCCCCAAGTCAGCGGGTACGACTACCTATGGGTAGTCGTATGCCGACTAACTTCCATGGTACATCTGATACCGATTCGGACAACCACTACTGCCGCAGAACTCTCGAATATATATATCCGAGAAGTCGTGAGGTTACATGGTCTGCCCGAGTCCATAGTATCAGATCGAGACTCGAAATTCACGTCGAAGTTCTGGCGAGAAGTTCATCGACTACTAGGGACAAAATTGATGATGTCCACTTCATTTCACCCTCAGACGGATGGAATGACGGAGCGAGCTATCCGATCGATATCCCAGATACTTCGGTCGATGGTGTCCCCAGACCAACTGGACTGGGTGGACAGTGTGCCACTGACGGAGTTCGCCATCAATTCGTCGGTCAGCGCATCGACAGGGTTCGCGCCTTTCGAATTGAACTATGGGTACCTGCCCCGCACGATGAGCGGAATAGCCACGGACGCCAAGTACACTGGAGTCCGGGAATTCGCTCAGCGCGCGCGCCATCACCTGGAAATGGCACACGACGCTCTCATCGAGAGTCGTGTACACCAGACGTTCCAGGCGAATAAACATCGGCAGCAAGAGCCTGAGTTCGCCATTGGAGATACCGTGTACCTGAGCACTCAGAACTTAACACTACCGCGAGGTCGTGCTAGGAAACTGATGCCTAAGTTCATCGGGCCATACGCGGTGGTGGACAGTAATCCCAGTACTTCCAATTATACACTGGAGCTACCGCGTGAATTGAAGGATCGGCGGATACACCCCAAGTTTCATGTCTCACTACTGAGGAGACATGAACCTAATGACGACGCGTTATTTCCGAACAGGGAAGCGAAGTCATTCTATGACTTCGGAAACGACGACCAGCAGGAATGGCTGGTCGACGAAATCGTTGGACATAGATGGGATGGACGCAGAATCGAGTTCCAAGTACGGTGGACCCTCGGTGACTGCACCTGGGAGCCCTACACACACTGTAAGGACCTCGCCGCTCTCGACGAGTATTTGACACTGCATGGTGTCAAATATTGGCGGGAGCTACCCCGGAAGGGAGGCCAATAATCGACACCACCACTGGGCAAGTGGTGGTGCATCATATGGAAGTGGCGCGAGTGATCGGCGGAGGGTAGCGCGGGACATCGTAACAGGAAACATGTCGCCGCGCACCGGAGAAGTCAGGTGACCGGTAATAGGCGCTCAGAAGTGACAAGCCACACCGAGTCGCTCACGTTCACCCATCTGCTACCACCACCGCAGACCTCGCAATGTCGCGACCCACCTCCCCAATGCGCACGGAGCCCGATGGTGGGAACGACCCAGCCGTACCACTCACCAGTGGTGCGGTGGCGGTAGCTACCGACGCCGTCGAACTGCCACCTCCAACGGTGGCCACGACGAGCGACGGCCACGTCGACACGACCCAGGACGTGTCGAACGTAACGAACGCCGGCCTGGCAGCTCCCCAGCCCCACGCTGGGACAGCGCATAGGATGCCGTCGTTGTTCGCGCCGACCAGGCAGGGCTGGTCGCCGCGTTATCCATTGCTCCCTGCAATGCTGCACGCGCCAGGGACGTGTGTGGCATGCGACTCGTGGGCCGCGCACCTCCCGCAATCGGAGGAGCAGGACCCCGGGTTCGTCACCGCGGCGTACAACGCGTTCACCCAGATCCACCTCCAGCACGAGGCCGATCTCGTCCAGCGGGGGTGGGTCCAAGGGGGGAGGGAGCTGGCGGAGCAGCAGAGGCGCCATGTTGAGAGCATGGAGCAGGACCTATGGCGCGCCCGGGATGAGGTTAATCACCTCCTCACCAGGATCCGCGACGTGGAGGAAGCTCTCCATGACACCCGCGACCGTCTCCACGCCAGCGACGACCGTGTAGGTCGTCGCGACCGCACCATCGAGCAGCTCGAGCGGGACGTCGAGAGGTTGCGCAGGGAAATTGGGGACCGACAGGTCGTCAACCCGCCGGAGACGAAGGTTGACCCGGAACTGCTGGAGCCGAGGGATGGTCCGACTGGGGGGCCAACGACCACCAGGCCACCGCCACCGCCTCCACAGGCCATCGCGCCGCCACCAACCCCCACGTCGACCTCCCACCCGAGTCGACCCACCATGCCGCGAGTCATGAACGACTGGGCGGACTTCTCGGGTTCGGAAGGAGACTCAGACGACGACGACGACGACCCCAAGGAGGAGCGGAGGCGGATCGACCGGGGAAAGAGCCGGATGGCCATGAACAAAGGGAAGGGCAAGCAACAGGAGGGTGGCCAGCCCCAGTTCTTCGGCGGAACTGGGGCACCACCAGCCGCTCCCGAAGGCTGGCCGGTGGGCGTGCAACTCCCCCAGAACTCTGTCATTGCGATGGCAGAGCGATGGTTCAATTTCATCCCCCGGTCCTCTCGCGATGCCCGCCGCTTGATCGACGCAGCGCGTCGTGGAGACGAGACGGCGGTGGTGCGCGCTCGGGACCTGGTCACGCAGGCCAACCGCGACGGTGCCCTGCGCGGGGTCAACGGCATCTACACTCTCGTATCCAACTGGCAGCCACCCCGGAACGTGCCCGCCGCCGCACCCATGAGAAGTCATGGAGAGACCACCGAGCAGGACGAGCGGGACCTCCGACAGGCGTTGCTCGAGAGCCGCGAAGAGGCACGCCGACGCGCCGCGGCTGCACCGACAGGATCGACAGGAGCGGGACCATCGGGACACCGGACCTCGGCCGCGACGTCCTCCCGCGGACGTGGCGCCGCAGCATCGTCCACTCGGATGGACCATGGGGCTGGACGACAGACGGGCTCGACGCGACTGGGGCCGACCTTCAGCCAGGTCGACGGTCAGTCGCAGTCGACCAAGCGAAAGGCAGAATCCCCGGCGGCCAAGATGAGAGCTCCGCCCACGAAAAAGGCGAAGAAGCTACCGCAGCCGACCAACCAGTCCTCCATAGAGGACTGGCAGGAATGGTACGCGACGTACCCTCGCAACATCCTATCCTCCATGCGCGTGGGTAGTGATGGGGTACCGGAGTACGACGACGTCGCAGCCCTCCACACGGCCAGGCGTATCGGTCCCCACTTGGGTCGATACTACTGGGAGGTCGCTGTGGCCCAGTTGTTTTCGATTGAGGGGTTATACGGACACGTGGTACAGCTGGGGAACTACCCCATCGGCGACGTAACTTCGACGGTGCCCTACCCGTGGACTGGCGCGAACTCCACGATCTTCGACGTGGCTCGCTGGTTTGCGGCCTCCGGCTACCAGCCGCACGAGGTGCAGTACCTCGAAAGGTACTTCATCCGTAGGCGCAACGAGCATGAGCGGCGGGGACTGGAAGAGGGCGTCCCTTTCACGACGTTCCCCACCAGTCCCGGCGACGTGCACGACGAGGACGTCCCTCGTATCGACCAGCTGCCGGTAATCCCATCCCATGTGCGTATGCCTACGGCCGACGTGGCGATGGGTGCTGCTGTCGCTGGAGAGACCCCCCAGCCCAGTACGGCCGGTACTCCCGCGGATGAGACCCACCCTACGGAAGATCGCGCTGACCAACAGCAGTAGATCGTCGAGGTCGTCTACGCGTGTATTGTCTGCGTACTCGGCTCCTTGCTGCGTGTGGCGAGTGGCCATCGTCGACTGAAGTGTGATCGTGTACAAGCTCGCTGCTTGTTGAACGTCCACGTCGGCGCTGTCGTCGTCATCGTCTTGACCGTACTCGTCGCTGTCTCCGCGTCCGCCCCTCTCGTATACTCCGTGGTCGCTACCGTCGGCGCTATCATCATCATCCCCACCGCTGTCTATCGGATTCGTGCGCCGACGTTACCCGTCGGTGCCGATTCACTGTCAATACCTCGTCGCGCTCGCCTCCTCCATCATTCTTGCTATCTCTCCTGGGACGCGTGGATCGCGTCCAGTGGGGGGGAGTGTAACGGGCCGTTACTCCGTATATACTGTATTACATGACATGGACCCTTTCTCGACTGAAACATGTAATTATCTAGTTTGCGTGTGTTTGGCGCCGACCCCATAAAGGTCGACGCCACGCGAGTGGGAAGAAACCCTTCTCACTCGTCGTCCTCGGATACACCGCACTTCTCTAATAGAGATTGGGTGCACAGTATCTCTGGTAGCGAGTGTGAGATATTACAATCTCGCGGTCGTAGATCTCATAGTTGCGCTCGGCTTCCGCCATTGATTGTGACCTAAACGCAACCGGGTGCCAGAGATTATCTGCCGTCTTTTGCAGGATAACTCCACCGGTCGCGAACCCGGAAGCATCCACTTCCACGCGCGTAGGACGGTCGGGTTCCCATGTGACTAGAATGGGTTCCGACGTGAACGCATCCTTAAGCGTCTGGAATGCTTCTTTCTGCTCTGGCCCCCAATGCCAGGATACGTCTTTCTTGGTCAGGTCATTCAGAGGACGTGCTGTCTTAGCGAAGTCCTTGATGAACCGGCGATAGAAGTTGGCGAAGCCCAGGAACCCTCGAAGTGCTTTCAGGTTCTGGGGGTCTGGCCAACTCGTGATCGCCTGGACCTTGACTTGGTCCATGCTGACCTTTCCTTCCGAGATTACCAAGCCTAGGTACTCGACGCTCGTCTGCTCGAATTCGCATTTCTCGGGTCGCAGGAACAAGTCGTGTTCCTGTAGCCGGTGGAGAACTTCGCGTACTACTTTGCGATGTTCATCCAAGTCCGTACTGTATATTAGGATATCGTCTAGATATACAGCTACTTTTCCAGCGGCGATGAGATCGACGAAGATGGAATTTTCGAGCGTTTGGAATGTCGCTGGGGAATTGGTGAGGCCGAAGAACATGACGTTCGGCTCGAACAGTCCGCGGTTGGTTACAAACGCCGCTTTCCATTCGTCACCTTCTTTGATACGGATATTGTTGTATCCCCAGCGGACATCGAACTTCGTGAAGTACTTGGCTTGGCGTAGCCGGTTGACTATGTCGGTAGCAAGCGGGAGCGGGTATCGGTTCTTGATCGTGACATCGTTTAGCTTACGATAGTCTTGAACCATCCGTAGCTTGCCGTCCTTCTTTTTGACGAAGAAGACAGGCGAAGCGATCAGTGACTTGGAAGGCACAATGTAGCCTTTCCGGAGGTTCTCTTCTAAGAACTTGTCTAGTTCCGCTTGCTCGTTTACCGGCATTGGATACACTTTCGACCGTAGCGTCTCGGGCGCGTCTGGCTTTAGGTCGATCGTGTGATCCCACGGCTTGTGCTCGGGAAGACGTTCCGAGTCTGCCTCCGAGAAGACTTTGGCGAAGTCTCGATAGTGCTCCGGCACCATCTCCTCGAAGGTCTTCTTGGACTTCTGCTGATTGGCTTGGGCTGCCAGTGTGGTTGAGTACGTTACACCTGCGCAGCACCAGAGCTCATTGGCCAAGTCATCTATAACTCCGCGCTTCTTCCATTCGCGCCGGAGTTTCCTCGTCCCGGCGATCTTCTGAAAGGGGGGATCATCGTTCTCAGATGAAACCGGCTCCTGCGGTTCCTCGTCGAACGTGACCGTACCCTCCTTCCAGTTGATGCTAGGATTCACCTCTCTTAGCCACGGAATACCCAGTATCATATCTTCCTTGTTCAGATTCGTAACTAAAAAATCGCACACCTCATCAAAGCTACCTACTTGTAATCTAAGACGAGCGTAGTGAGTGATGCTACCAGCTTTGTTCTTACTGCCATCGATGTTATACAAAACGATCGGATGTTTCATAGGAACGGTAGTTACATGATTTTCTAATACAAAACGAGAAGAAATGAACAATCCCGTAGCGCCTGAGTCAATCATGGCAGCTACTTGCTTTTCTCGACGTTTTCCGGAGACCGATACATCAATACGTAAATGTACATCTCGAAGCTCTGATTCTGGTATAGTACAACTAGCTATGCGAATAGAACCGAAGAAACGCCAATACCTGTCCCACGACCACAACGCCGCTGCCACGGTAGCGTGTGGTCGATCTAAAAAGCCTTTTTGAGGGCTTCGATCTGTGCCGCGAGCTCAGCCTGCTGCTTGAGCATCGCGTTCACCACGTCGGTCATCTGCGAGGTGGCCGCCACTGTCTTCTCCTCGCTTGTCGACGAGGAAGTTTCCGGAGAGAAGATCTCATCCACTTCCTTGTCCGTAGAGGACGTCGAAGACGTCGCAGCTGCCGTTGCCTTCTTTGGCAACCCGAGGAACCGTCTTTGGCAGACCGGGGTCTTGTGCCCAGTTCCACCGCACCAGTCGCAGATGTCGCGCTCGTGACCACCGTCTCGCTTGACGTGATCCTTGGAGCCGCAACCAAAGCAACGACCGCCCATGACTTTGAGGAAGTCCGCCCGGGTCTTCCCGTTACCGCCTTTCGGCGCCTGCAGCGTCGCGTCGATGTCCATCGCGTTCGGATCTTTGCTGATCACAAACGGAGCCGCTGTTGTCCTGACCGGGGTACTCGTTGACGAGGTACTCGACGTTTTACCAGCCTCGCGGGCCTTCTCGGCACGGCGTTGACGCAGCCTTGTGTCGAAGTCCGCAGCGACCAACATGAGTTCATCGAGCGTCTTGGTAGAGCGCTCGGTCGTCGGGAGGAGGTCCTTGATGTCGTTGCTGAGATGCTCGTAGAAGCGATCTCGCAAGTCACCGTCCGAGTAACCAGTCCGTTCCATGACCTCACGGAAACGCGCAGCGTATTCCGGAACTGAGAGCTTGCCCTGATACCACACCAGGCAGCGTCTCTACCCTATGACCTTGGGGTAGCTGACATGGCAGAATAGCCTATGGCTTAGGGCCAGCTGATGCCGGCCGACGTGACCTGTGGGCGCTATACCCGCTGCTCAGATGAGCGTAGGCGGCGATGCTAGTGGACAGGTGGTGGTTGTCGCCACTTGCATTGCGCCTGCAGATGTTAGCTGAAAGGCTATACTCATGGCAAATAGGTGAAGTTGTGGGTGAGTATAAGGACAAGAGTGGGAGAGTCGAAATGCGGAAAAGCAAAATAAGCGGAACAGCAAAGAAGCGGAACAGCAAAGAAGCGGAAAAGCGGAAAGTGTATAACAGTCGAAGAGTGGAAGAGCAAACAAGCGGACAAGTGAGAAAGCGGAATCAGTGGAAATGTAGAATAAGCGGAGATGCAGAATAAGCGAAAATGCAGAATAAGCGGAGGTGCAGGATAAGCGGAGGTGCACAATAAGCGAAAATGTAGAATAAGCGAAAATGCAGAATAAGCGGAGATGCAGAATAAGCGAAAATGCAGAATAAGCGGAGGTGTAGAATAAGCGAAAATGTAGAATAAGCGGAGGTGCAGAATAAGCGGAAATGCGGAATAAGCGGAGATGCAGAATAAGCGAAAATGCGGAATAAGCGAAAATGCGGAATAAGCGGAGGTGTAGAAAAAGCGGAGGTGCAGAATAAGCGAAAATGTAGAATAAGCAAAAATGCAGAATAAGCGGAGGTGTAGAATAAGCGGAGGTGCAGAAAATGTAGAATAAGCGAAAATGCGGAATAAGCGGGCGGAATGAGCGGGCGGAATAAGTGAAAACTGTTCAACTTCACCTATCCTTTTGCTTGCTTGCGATGTTGCCTATGTGTTGTTTGCTTATTCTGCATTTCCGCTTATTCTGCACCTCCGCTTTTTCTACATCTCCGCTTATTCTGCATTTTCGCTTATTCTACATTTTCGCTTATTCTGCACCTCCGCTTATTCTACACCTCCGCTTATTCTGCATTTTTGCTTATTCTACATTTTCGCTTTTTCTACACCTCCGCTTATTCTGCATTTTCGCTTATTCTACATTTTCGCTTATTCTGCACCTCCGCTTTTTCTACACCTCCGCTTATTCCGCATTTTCGCTTATTCCGCATTTTCGCTTATTCTGCATCTCCGCTTATTCCGCATTTCCGCTTATTCTGCACCTCCGCTTATTCTACACCTCCGCTTATTCTGCATTTTCGCTTATTCTACATTTTCGCTTATTCTGCACCTCCGCTTATTCTACATTTTTGCTTATTCTACACCTCCGCTTATTCCACCTTTCTACTTCCTTGCTGTCCCGCTGATCAACTCTTTCACTCTCTTGTCCTTTTGCCCACTTGCCAAGGTGCTTATCTGTTTTCCTCTTCTTTGCTGCTGCACTTTTCCGCTTTTTTGCTTGTCCGCTTTCTTCATTCTCCTGCTCTTCTACTCACTCTTATGTTGTTTTGCTTACTGACCCTTCATCAATACCTGAACCTGCAGAGACCTGTAAGAGCTGCAGATGACCCATACCTGCTGGGTACGTGGCCCTGAATGGTGAGGCTACTAATTGGACGGCCACAGTGTGTATTACAGTACATGCCTCATGCATTGTGCAATGTACAAGAGTCAATCAAACAGGGCTGCTGCTGCTGTTCCTGGAAGAAACATGCCAGTGTTGTATCACAAACACAGACAGCTAGCATATGATGATCACACAAGGCTGGCCAGTGACAAGCAGCACACTACTTGGTGCTAGGTGATCTATTACCCTGCTGCATACACCTACTTGGCAAGACAAACAGATTGAAGGACAGACAGATCACTGACACACAG